GGTTATAAAAATATAACTAAAGAAAGATAATATCTCTTAGCTATAAAGATAGTAAAAAAGTAATAATTAATAGGCTAATTAAAGTATTATAAAATAAAGAGCTAAAAGGGAATTATAACCTATTTAGGCTTATTAATATTAAATATTATATCCTAAAGTAAAGAAAAGTAAATCTAAGAAAAAGATTAATTAAGGAGATTATAAATAAATTATATATATAAACTATAAGCTTTAAATAGCTATTTTAAACCTTAAAATTATATAATTACTTTTAAAAAAATATATATAGTAAGGAAAAGACTTTAATTTATTATTTACCTAAAGGTAGATATAATATAATATAAAAGGAAATAACTATTTATAGCCTAAAATTACTAAATAAAGCTTACCTAGGTAAGGTAAGGGTTATTACCGGATGGAAAGCTATTAATAGTAATCTTAATAAGTATTACCTTAATAGTAATATATTACTTATTTTTTTCTTTTAAATTAAGTTAATAAGATTTAAAAATATATAATAAAAAGTAAATTTTTATCTTTTTTATAGAAATACCTTACGGTTATATTACTATTAAATTATTATTAATTACCTTACTTATCCTATCTAGCTACTATAGGGAAGGTCTATTAGGTTATATAATCTTAGTTAATTAATTATAGTAGTTTCTTATCTTAGACTAAAGGACTTTTTAACCTTTAGTAAAAAACTCTATTTTATATATATAAATTTTCCTCCTATATTTCTTTATAGTCCTTTAATTACTCTAGCTAGAGTTTATTTATTAAAATACCTAACCGAGTTTACTATTATAATTAAGTCTATTAACTATTCTTTATACCTACCTTTTATTATATTTATTTAATAAAATATATACCTTTAAAAAGGTAATAATTAGGTTACTATATAGATAGTATAATAAATTTTAATATAATAAAAGGTATTATATATAATACTAAATAATCTAATAACTAATTTATTAAAGTTTATAATATTATTATTTAAATAGCTAATTACCTAAATAATAATAATTAATATCCTTAATAAACCTTATTTAAGATAAATAGCTAGCTTTAGTTTATAATATATAAATTTATAGTTTTTTTTTACTTTTAATAAATTAAAATTTTTATATACTATTAAAACCTTAAGTTAACTATAACTATATTATTAACTAATTAATATATAAATATATTACTATATAATTTAGGTTATTAATAATTTTAAGATTTAACTTATTAATAAATATATAACTTAATATTTAATTATTAATACCTTTTTAAATTTAATTAATAATAATAATATTAAAAGATTAAATAGGTAATCCCTTTAGAAAATATTAATTTTTAAAATATATAGTAATTAGCTTTTATTAATTAATAAGCTATAGCTATTATAATAAGTATATTTTACTATTTTTAGCTATTTTTTATTAAAGCTATTAATCCTTAAATATAATTTTAAAAAGGTATTTTATAATAGATTTTAATAGTTTATATTAAAATACCTATTAAGCTAGCTTTATAGATAAAAATTATTAATATAATAATAATAGGCCTTTATTAATAATATAATACCTATTAATAGTTATAATTAATATTTAATATAATTTATAAAGTTAAAATAAGCCGTAATATTTATTAAGTTTAAGGTATTAATATTAAATTAAAGGGTAATAAGAATAAAAGGTTTAATAAAAGTAAGGAAACTTAAAATAAAAAGCTAGATTATTAATTATACTTAACTTAATTTAATCTTTTATTAATTATAAAATAAAATAATAAATAATTAACTTATTAAATATTATAATATAATATAGTAATATAATAGTTTAATATAGTAATTTATTAGATTTATATTATTTTTATTTAATATATTAAAAAAGGTAGTTTTTTTTATTATAAAAGGCTTAATTATATTATATAATTTAAGCTATTTTTTAAAATAGTTAAGAAATAATATCTTTATTTTAAACTATACCTTTTTATATAGATAAGTATTATTAATAGTAAATAAATTATATAATTAAAGGACTTTATAATTAAAAATAGTAAATATAACCTTAGCCTTTTAATTTATAGGCCTTATACTTACCTTAATAATATATTACTATTTAATTTTATTAAGTAAGTTTTATAGCTTATTATAGGCCCTAGGATTATTATTTATTACTTTAATAAATACCTTTTAGTTATATTAAAATTCCTTTTTATATACTTTAGTTATATTATTATTATTAACTAGTTAAAGGTCTTTATAAAAAGTAAATATAAAAGTTAAGGTATTAATTAATATATTAATTATAATTAAGGTTAGCTTTATTAATCTAATTATAAAGTAATTTAGTTAACTTATAGGCTTAATAGGTTACTTATTATAATCTTTATCTTATTTTAGGTAGGTTAATTAAAGTAAAGTATAAAAAGGGAAAAGTAACCTTAATAATCCCTATAGGGGTTTTTATATTATTAAAAAACAAAGTTATAGTTAATATAGTAAGTAACCTTATTAAATTTAAAATATTATTACTTTTTAGTTTATTTAGGGATCTTTATTATTAATACTTTTATAGATTTAATTAAAATAGCTAGATCCTTTTTTAAAGGTATTATTATATTTATTATAAATAGAAATACCTACCTAGATATGATTTAAGAAAAGAAAAGGTATTAAGTAAGGTATTATAAAGGCTAAAAATTAAAATTAATAAAATAAACCTTAAAAATAAAAAAAGAATTTCTTTTTATTAAATAGTAAAAGCTATTAAGATTATATTATTTATAATAGTTTAAGTTAATATATTATTAATATACCTTATTAATTATTTTAATTAAGGTATTATTTAAGTAATTAAGGTATAAAATAATATACTTTAAAAAGGTATTAAATAGTTAATAAAGGTTTAAAATATAAAAATAAACTATTTATAAGCCTATAGTAACCTAGTTATTAATAGTAAGGATATCTTTATAAATAAAATAGTATATAAAGGTAGTAAAGGGAGGGGAAATAAGAAAAAAGTTAAATAAATATTAATAACTTATTACCTTACTTTAAAGCTTAAATAATATACCGGCGGCGGTAATAGTTATAAATATAGTTATAATACCGCTTAGTAATAGTAATAATAAGGTTATTATTATTAAGGTTTTTAAAATTAATTAGTATTTCTTTTTATTAATTTAAAATTTAATAATTTACTTAAAAAGGTAAACTAAGCCTTTAGGCTTAGTCTTAGCCTTAATAAAGGTAATAGTAACGGCGGTAAGGGTATTAATAGTAAGGATTTTAATAAGATTACTTAATATATTAATATATTAATTAGTAATTTATTTATTTAATTTAAAACTTAACTAACTTATAAAAGGTAAGGGACCTTAGGATTATATTTATAATTAAAAAATAATTAGTAAAGTTCTAAAATAAAATATAATATATAAAAAGTATTTATAATACAATAGTACTAATAATAGTAATAAGAATATATATATAAAATCTATATAAAGATAATTAATAAATATAATCTAAAGACTTAAAAAGTAAAAAAGGCTTAAAGGCTTAGAAATAAGCTTAAAGAAAAAGATTATATACTAAAGATATTAATAAACCTAAAAAAGAGAAAAAGAAAAAGCTTTTTTATAAAGAAATTAGCTTTTTATATCTTTATAATTATAAATAAGCTTTTATGCTATAAAATATTAATTTACTATTATTATTATTAAATAGTAAGGTATTTTTTATTAAAAAGTTATAAATAGTAAGCTTAATACTATAATAATAACTATAGATTTTAAATAATTGTATAGAACCTATAATAATATAAATATATATAAAGCCACTATAAATATATTATAATTTAGTAAATTAATTAATAATTAAATAAAGAAAATCTAGAATACTAAAATATATCCTAAATAGGCTAAAGAATATTAGACTATTAATTCTTTCTAATCTAAGAGGGTATATTAAACTAAAGATATTATATAATAATATAAAAAGCGTTTTAACTAATTAAAGCTTAAATAGATAAAATAAGAGTTACCTAACTAGATTACTTCCTAAATAGGAATAGCGTAAGGTAAAACCTCTTAAAAGAGGGGAAATAGGCCAGACAGATTATTAATAAAGACATAGATCAATTTAACCACAATTCGCGGTTTAATAGGTAATATCTCGCTAAGGAAGCTTAACTGCCGAGAGTGCCGATTTCCCGGAACCTTCCAGCTAATAAGCATGACAGGTCCTCTTATTTTCATCCGCCGTCAATTCTGGATCGAACTCAACGACGTAAACAGATTGCTCTTCGTCTTCGTGTTTCCATATAAGATTCTTGTACAGGTATATGATTTTTTCTTTTCGATTTAACCTTCAATCTTATCAAGCCCTGGCTTTCCAAATCTCTCAATGATGTCAACAATATTGTACAGGTATATAACGCCATGGCAGCTAAGATATGCGCCCTTTTGTGATGAAATAAGGCCAGGGAGCTTGCCGTCGGGCTTTTGTTCAGCTACGTAAGCGTTGAGTTTGTCCCGGTAATGCTGGGCGCAGTCAGCATCACTGGACCAAGGGATACGGAACATTTTAAATCGGAGATCCTAGGATCATCATTGCCGTTCCGAATATCTGTAAAGAACTGCCTCATTTCCAGATCACCTAGAAAGAATTCTGGAAGGACGAAATAGAAAGAGAGGTTTGGCAGTGGTATTGGGATGTTTCATGGCGGGTTGCTCCAGATTATCTTCGCTGGCTGACCTGCGTGATCCGCAAAGTCGACACGACTCTGGGGGACATATCTTAAGAGACACTAATGTCTAATTTATTAAGATGTGAATTATATATTAAGAGAATGTAACCGTAATAGCGTATTGTAGATTCTACTATGCTATTCTATGCAATACCGAGGTGAGTATGGGCGAGAGCCAAAATTATTGCCTTTCTTATTGGGTTTAGTTAGTAATATAACTCTTATAGACTTAGCAGAGCTTCTCTATTTAACTACCTAAATGAAGTCTCGTGCATTCTCTTTAAACCTAATCGAATACAGCCCAGAGCTTGCTTGTACAACAACATAATCATGTCCACATGCCATATTCCCCAATTCATCAGGGCGATACTGAGCAGGTATCCACAACATCGGCATATTGTCTAGATATAGCCAGTGTTCTTCAACGCCACATCCGTAGGAATATCCCTCGAATTTTCGGATAGCTGAATATAGAAAAGGATCGTCTTGGGTATGTCCTTGTCTAACACCTTTGCCGTATAGCACCGACTGCGTGGTCTGACCTGGGATAGAGTAGATAGAGAAATGCCCCTGCTGGGTACAAAGGGTTTCGTTGTCCAGGAAGAAATGGCCTGAGAAGTGTGTCCAAAACCTGGAATCGCTAGTATTCCCTTCTGAATCCCACAAAAATAAACGGCACGTATTGGGATCATAAATCATACCCGATGTTCCGTTCGGAGAAAGTCGTAAGACTGCCCTATATGGGGAGTGACGATTTAGGAAGTCCATAGGTCGCCAGCTCATCACTCTATGGAGCTGCTCGCCAGTCCTAGTATCAAACAGGGAAAAGTCCCATCTGCAACTGTGTGAATCCTCAAAAAGCATCAAAACTCCTAGTCGACTGCCTGTAAAGGCTATTTGGCCGACGTCCCTAAACATATCATTCTGGGGATTGATCAGTTTCTTGTGCTCGCCTGTCGTGATTCCCCATACAGAAACGCAGTAGCGGCTTGCTGTAGCAAACCAATAGCCTTCCTCGCCGCCATCGTCGGAAACGGCCACACCTATATCACAAACGTGACTCCCAAAATCGTACAGGAGGTTATCGGTCAGATTCCATGCAAATATATGTGAATCATAAGGTCGCTTGTAGGTAAATAATAAAACCTGGCCATTGGGTGAGAATGTCGCTAGTTCAATAGCCGTACCACCGAATGGTAACGATTGTAACTCAGATATTATCGTTCCTGTAGTTGTGTCCCGTACCTCAAATCTTTCACCGATATGGCGTGCCATTAATCCCCAATCATCTGACATATGATACTCAATCATACTCGGGGGTATGAGTGGAGATGATTGGGCCAGGATGGTACGTATGTGTAAGACCAAGACCTCCCCCTCAGCACTGATCACAACTGTCTGACCGTCACAAGACAAGGCCATCTGCCTATATCCAGAACGAAGCGATATACTCACACTTTGAATCAATGTTCGCTTTTCGAGGTCATAGAGGTAAACGTAGTCCTCCCCAAGTATAGCTATCCAAGTTTCAGAATGCGAAAAGCCTAGAGCATCTACCTCATGAGGCAAGCTCCACTGTTCGTACACTCCCTCATATACGCGCCATAAATATATATCATGTTCATTAGTGCAAAGTGCGAGTGTATAAGTTCCAGGGACAAACTTCTGAACCCAAGCTACATTTTCTTTCGGTGGTGGATGCCTGTGATACCAGCGACCTGTTTGAATATCAAAAGCACAAGTGATACCAAGAGCCATCAAGGTACTATCAGAGGAGAAGGCAATTATGTAGGCGGCTTTGAGTGTCTCAGGATAGTCTACCGTATGCCTAGGTTCAATGGGCCCTACTTCGGGCTTGATCAAGTTAAGATCATAAAGCTCTAGTACTTCCTCATAGCAAACTGCTAGCCATTGATTGTTAGGAGAGATCTCTATTCCCTGGACTATCGACGGGCTAGTAAGTTCCTTGATCCGAAAGACTTTGTTCGAACTGAAATCTCGAACCTGAAGGCTGTAGCTACTTATAAATGGCAGAGTGATAGCTACTAACCATTTCAGGTCTGACGATATCCGTACTCGTGCCCCAATTAAGTCGTGGATCTGTGCTGTTTTATTTATGCTGCCATCTTCGACTTGCCATATGGTTATGTTCATTGTACCCGAAATAGAAAGTAATTGCCGAGAGTCTTGCAAGAACTTTGTCACAACGAAATCCCCCGGATCTTCGGGATCGCCGGGATGTGGATGATCATAACGGGTTTGAACCACATTCCAATTCTTGTCGACTTCAGGGAGTTTGGCAAAAACATCTGGAGTGCAATATTTGAATCGGCCACGAATAAGGCTTTTCTCCGGACTAAAAACCAAACCAGAGGCATAAGTTTGGAGGGGCGATCTTTCAATTATACAATTGAAAGAACTACAGAATCTGAGAGCATCTTCGACCAGGTCTTCAGACTCTAATGGCGGACGAGACTAATCAAAGTTAGTATGCTAATAACTGTCTGAACTTGAAACATACAGGTAGCAGGTTTTTAAGAAACACCAAAACCTTTACCGCAACTGATAATTTCTGGCATAGGCTGAGAGCTTCTAACCAGAATAAGAACTTGTCTTTGATGAAGTCAACGGCAAGGTTAATTAAAGAGCTTGTGTCATCGAATTCCCCCTGTTGGTCGAGCTTGAATGCTATCTGCAGATGATCTGCCCAAGAAATGCATGCATATTTGAGCCCACGCAAAGGGTCTGGTTCAGGTCGATTACGGATGGCTTCCTCGACTGTTACTCCCAAACGGACCAGACCGAATAAGTCTTTGTGCAGGGCTTGGAGTATAGTTATAGATCTTTGAAAAAGTGTAATGTGATGCTGGGCCAAACCAGACCTGAAGAGGACTGGACCTGATTCCTTAACAAGGAACTCTTTAGCGGACTGGTGAATGAAGAATACTGTGTTTTCCTTGGTAGTAATGAATGAACCACATTCCGCTATGATATCGGGTAACATAGTTTCGTCCAAATCCAGCCCTTCCATAGCTATCAGCTCCGGGAAGGTGAGTGGACGAAAGACAGTTGAAACGGTAGCAAGGAGCCTCGCGTAAAGAACCGAACTCGAATCTGAACTAATCTGAGCCAACATCCTCTGGTAAAGGTTGGTAAGTCCCATGGGAAATTGCATCAATTCGTTTCGTATCTCCCAAGCACGGCATTTCTCGAGTCGTTGACAAGCCAAGGATACCCAGAGAAATGTGCCTTCGGAGTTCTTTGACAAGTGATCGTGGACTTGCTCGGCCACGTCGTTTTTAATTTTCTTCTTTTCAACCAGTCGGTGGGTGCGGTAGTTGATAAAATGGTCGACAGCCTGGGAAATAGACTCTTCATTAAGCTCCAAAGAGATGTTGGTTTTCAACGGCTGGTCGCCCAAATGCTCCTGTATCTCGCAACGATTACGGCTGCTGACGATCCACCGGGCGCGTGAACATGTGCTCGATATCATGTCTAATAAATATGAAAGCTCATCGAGGCATTCATCTAGTGCGTCGACAATAAAGTATGCTTCTTGGAGGCCTGGATCGGCTAAGACGCTACGGAAGATCTCTTCCATTACCACCCTGGAGTTCCAGTGAGCTGCAATATACTCTCTCTTGTCATCCAGATGGGATAGAAGCGAGGGTTGTTGAGTGACTAGCATGTAGATGAGTCCTCTCAGCACTGCAGTGTAACTGTTCAGACCGGAGTTTGTCGCTTGGCAGAAGAAATAGGACAGGAAGAAAGGATGTTCGGTGTTTCCAAGCCTTGAGGCTTCGAGCTCGTCGATAATGCCACACATCAACATAGTCTTTCCTTTCCCAGGGTCTCCCCGGATCCAAAGGAGACGAGAATCAAGGCTATCATCCCGCCAACTAAGAAACTTAGGGTTGTCAAGTATCCACTTGTAAGAATCTCGAAGCAGGATACCGTTGGTGGTCTCGATTCTTACTTTGTCGTCACGAGGATCGGTGGTACATAGCGCCGGTGGGATCTTTGCTTTGTCCTCGTCGCTGATGCCGCTGTGGTGGTGGTGGGTTGTATTGTAATTGTTACCGACTTGGACCATTGAAGATCCAGCGGTATTTAAAGAATGAACGAAAGACGAATCGTTCGCTTGCATTTTGACAAGTGTATGATCGACACCACGAGATTGAGCCGTTACCTGAAGAAATTAAGCGAGATGTTGAGCCCGGCTGGACTGAAAGAGATGGGGTCGTGAAACTATACCGTAGAGTGATCGCTTTTCAGCTGAAAAGAAAGAAAGAGGGGGAGACAAGAGGAAATACGAATTCAGCCAATCAATCTGACAACATTCCGCCCGGCTTGTATGAGTGGCTGTTAGTGTGTAACCCTGCCAGCCTGATTTGAGACAATCATAAAAGTAACATTTTCCTCCAGAGCCTAAGACTTTAACAATAGCCTTATCCTACAACATTGATAAAGCACTTAATAAAACCATGGCAGAGGTATTTGGCGCCGTCACTGGAGCCATCGGCGTCACGGCGCTATTCAACAACTGCATAGACTGTTTCGATTATGTGCAAATTGCTCGGCACTTCGGCCAGGACTTTTCTCGGTATCAGCTCAGACTCGATGTGGCAAAATGTCGACTGGCTAGATGGGGCGCCACAGCCAATATCAACAACGACCCACAGCTGGTTAGTGATGTATTCGCTGATCAAACGACTGAACTGGCCCAGGATATCCTTAAAGAAATAGTAGCTAGGTTCGAAACGGCGCGCAAGATCTCTCACCGCTATGAGGCTCGGCTGGATGAAGAAAACAGGGAGGTATGCACAGAAAGGGACCTCAATTCTGTCTCACAGACCCTGCATAATCGCTTCCGAGCACTCACCACCGGTCGAAAGAACCAGATAGGACTGCTCAAGAAGACAGCATGGGCACTGTACGATAAAGAACACATGGGAAGAATGATTGCAGATATCATCACATCGATTAAGGATTTGGAGGATGTCTTTCCTGCCAACCCTCAAGCTGTAAACCAGTTAGTTGAGATGGAGGTTGAGGAAATTCACGATGAGAGGGAGTTGGAACTGATCCAGGAAGCTGCTGAAGGGGTGGATCCTGCATTGGAGGATGTGAGTAGACGCAAGCTGCAAGAGGTGACTGGTAGGAACTCGGCTGGTCGTATTAGTGGAAAAGGACACGTGAATGTTGGCCACACCTATTTGGATGCTTCTTTCAGTGGTTTTCGAGATGATAGAGTTAACCATGTTGATGAGGTGAATGGTGAGGAGACCTCACGTGTTAATATTGGAAATACTTATGGAGGGAGAGGATTCTGGGGCTAGTTGTAGCTCCATTATCATATGTATAACGAGGGGTGAACTAGGATGTTCTTTATATGACAAGTACTCAATAGTCAAATTGTTAAGTGTGAAGCATTATGTTCTATCGTAAGAGTATTAGAGTATTAAGAATTATGGTCTCTAAAACACAGCAGCTAGAATGGAATTAGGCACTAAAGCTAGAAGCTAGGGAAGGCTGGAGTGCTCTTGTCACAAGCTTCTCGGACAAGGTACTTGTTGTCAGCTCTATCACCATTGACAATGATCTGTCCACCAGGAGCCTTGACCTCGGCGATGAAGTTGAGCTCTCCCTGAGCATTGGCCCACAAGAGTCGGAACGCAGTGTAGGTCCCAGCTTGGAGATGAATCTGGAAAGACTTGGAAGTGCCGCCTGGGTAGTCCTGCTCAAGATCCGCGTTGTCGCGTGTCCATGTTGACAAGGCCTTTTCGCCGAACCAGACGAGGGTGATTTCATCAGAGTTTGGTACAGTGACTTCGTAGGTACCAGTCTCAGGCGCATAGAGGAATCCATGGTGGTTGACGGCCTTGTACTGGAACTTCTGAGATGGGCTGCCCTCGTAGATAGAAAAGGCATTCTGCCAGTTGGTTCCTGGCTGGATTCCGATTCGCTCAGTGATACCAGTGTATGTGGGAGTGGCATCGTGGAAGTACGTAGGGTTGAAGGATGAGAAATAGGGAGGGTTCGAGTTGTAGAAGGTATGCTCATAAATGGCATAGTCCAAGCCTCCGTTATCGCATGACTGATCAGCAGTTGGGAGAACTGTTTCACTGGTGAGTGTTGCGGTGCCAGAGGATGTTCCAATATCGGTTGAAGAGGTGGCAGCCTCGGTGGTACTGGCCTCGGTGGTGGTAGCAGCCTTGGTGGTGCTGGTAGCCTCGGTGGTGCTGGCAGCCTCGGTGGTACTGGCCTCAGTGGTGCTGGCAGCCTTAGTCGTAGTGGCAGTCTCGGTGCTACTAGCAGCCTCGTTGGTGCTGGCAGCCTCAGTCGTGCTGGCAGCCTCAGTCGTGCTGGCAGCCTCAGTCGTGCTGGCAGCCTCAGTTGTGGTGGCCTCAGTCGTGCTGGCCTCGGCGGTAGTAGTCTCTTGGACGACAACTGTGGACAGAGTGGTAGCCTCAGATGATGTCTCGGAGATGACTGCAGCAGAAGAGTCAGAGCTCTGGGAAATGGCTGATACAGAATAATCCGTGCTAGTAGTAGCAACAGTAGCGACAGATGCTGTGGAGGAGGCGCTCTCGGCAGATAAAACGGTGGAGGTGCTCTCAACAGACGAGACTGTAGTAGATACGCTCTCGACGGATACAGTTGTGGAGGAGACGCTCTCAATTGACGAAATCGCGGAGGAGGCGCTTTCGGTAGATAGAACTGTGGAGACACTCTCGATAGATGAAATCGTGGAGGAGCCGCCCTCGACAGATAAAACTGTGGAGGTGCTTTCGATGGATTCAATTGTAGAGGAGGCGCTTTCGACAGAAGTGATAGCAGTGGAGCCGCTCTCGATGGATAGAACTGTAGTGGAGGCGCTTTCGACGGATGAAATTGTAGACGAGCCGCCCTCAACAGACAAAACTGTGGTAGTGCTCTCGATGGATAAAATTGTGGAGGAGACGCTCTCGATAAACGAGCCAGTAGTAGAGACACTGTTGACGAATGAGACAGTAGTAGACTCGCTCTCGATGGATGAAACCTTGGAAGCGCTTTCGATAGACGAGGCAGTAGTAGAGACGCTCCCGATGGATGAGACAGTCGTTTGGCGAATAGGCTTGCAGGGGCTAGCAGTCGCCAAGTTGGCAAAGGCCAAGCCGGCCAGGGTAATGAATGGAAGCATACCGAAGTATTAACGAAACAATAAAGAGAGTAAAGATCGAGTGCACAAAGGAGTGAATGGATGAACGAGTGTGTGATTTGAATGAAAGGGGCCTGCATGAAAAAGACTTTATATATGCACTCACAGTGCAGAAACGATGGAAAGAGCACGAATTCCTACATATGGCTCCTTATTAGACACTGACTCGTTATCTGGTGTCTCGAGGGAAACGGCACACGAGATTCGGCTGTAGTTAAATTGGTGTCATACTGTGGCGCAACCTTAACTCCACCATTCAGGTCTGTATGGTAATAACCTCACATCCATCTCAGCCACCAGACCACATTTGTTTGTTGGTAAAGCAAACCATGTGTAATCCGGTTAGCTTACCGTTGCCTACCAGAGACTATTGGCAGCCCTAGCAGTCTAACTGGTGATGTTGTAGGTACCCGACTACTAGCTCGCGCCTCTTTTAGTTCACTAGTAAGTATAGAACAACAGTGGTAGGGCTTGGGCGACATTTCCAGCCTGGCACGCTCTTGCAAACTTACTGCAATTGCGTCTTGACGGATACACGGGCAGTCTTTCCAGGCTTAACTAAGCTAATTTTAATGTTATACGAGACGATCATCGGTATGGTGGTTACATGTTTTAGTGTGTCCCTCTATCCAATTGCCCTCTTTTGTTACATAAATTGACAGGCACACAAGGCGTTAGAACTAACGTTAGTTTAATTACCACAAGCACTGACCTTCTACAAGGCGGACTCCACTACATAAGCAGCCTAAACCAGAATGGGCTTATTTCAGTGGCACATTCAAGTTAACTTCTGGAAATGGGATTGTTGCTTTCTAAACACAGCTCTACATTTGGCCTGGTGAGCTCATGTATGGCGTAAGTGCTGTTTGAATAGTTTATCAGTGTCTAATTCCAATACTTTCAATATCCTCAGTCATCATAATCAGGCTCATCAGGTAAAGAGAACTCTTTCCGAGCTCCCCATTCACTCGGCGATGCCAGTGTATATGAGAGCAGTATCGTGGAAGAATGTAAAATCAGCACCCATGGCAAAGTATACAAAGGTTCCTGGTACGTCCCATAGTCACATACCACGGATATCAGCCACAGGTGAATACACTTGCGACTATCCTGTTTTTACTCGCAATTCAGGCCGGTAACTGCAAATACATATAAATAAAGTAATATAATACATCTAGAAAGTTTAATGAGTGTTGCCTTAGCCACCTATCGACCTAACCCTGTCATCAGGACATCTTTGTGCTCAACTTTCTGTCCAGCCACAAGCAAAGTTATGTCCCATCAAAGGTGGCAAGTTGAACCAGCACTTGGTGTATTGCAGCGGGTTGTTAGCGTCCAGATCCTTATTATCAGGAACATCCGTGTCTGCAATCGTGCATCCATCAGGCTTATCGCCAAAGGCACTGTAGCATGCACTCTTGTGGTCGACAATGTACTTGACGCAATCGTAGTTGTTCTTGAGAGCAGCTTCATAGTCGAGAACGTAACCCTGGAACTTCTTGAGATCATCTCCCGAGAAGGAGTGCACCATGGTGGAAACGGAGGGCACAGAGTTCTGGCGAGAGCCGAAGCAGAGGCAGCGCTGAGGACAGGTTAGATTTATAAGCCCTTACAATGTTACAGATTATGGCATCACTTACGTCGTCGTGCCAGAGGCATCCTTCCATCTTGTTCTTGCAAATGTCTTCAGACATATCCATGAGGTGGGCAACGGTACCGACATGGCCGCTTGACTGTATCAAGTTAGCTACAGCTCAAATGTCGAAATGATATACAGTAAGCTTACCTTGGCGCACTGCGTATCTTCCTGAAAGTTGCAAAATTCATGTCAGTGGGGTTTCACGATTAAACAATAGTCGAGTCCACTTACATCGCTAACCATGAGGAAGAAATCAGCCTTGTTACCAGACTTCATCGCCTTGAGGACTGCAAACTCATCCTGTTATTATTTTGTTAGTATGATATTAGAATCGACAGTATTCTGTATCACAAAAACTAACCCATTTCTTTTGAACCTTGGCGATAAAGTCCTTCACGGCAGGATTCGTAATCTCTTTACTTAACCAATTGGCGTCATTGAAGAAAAGATACACCCATTGTGTAGTAATCATAGGCACTCCACCACCAGACCATTGACCTGGTAGCTCGCCACGGAATAAGTGCTCAACAAAGTCCTGACTCGTCTTCATGACTTTCTTGAACATCTCACCATAGGCGCTCTCGAGCTTGTCGTTAAGCGTGTCGGGGGATACTTGATCCTCCCAAGACATGCCTGAAGACATGGACGCAAAGATACCCGCCAGAGCGGTAGTACTTCCAGCAATAGCTGGGCTAAGAGCTCCGAAGCCGGCAAGAGAAGTCAAGATACCGACAAGCATGTTGAGAAGGTTGGTGTTCTCTTCCTCGGGCGGTGTACCGTAATCGGCAACGATCTTCTTGATGCCCGACGAGAGTTGCTCAACCGCCTGCTCAACAGTGCTCATCCAGAGCTTCTCAAAGGCGTCGAAAAGATTGCCCATCTGGATATGCATGTAGAATGCCTCGGGTGGATGATACGTGACACACTCCTTGCCCTCGGGCCCAGGGCAGTTGCCCAGCGTGAAATCAGTGCAGTCGTAGGTTGAGCCACCTTGCTTCCCACCGGCCATAACCTCCGCAAAGAACTTGTTGGACCAGTCGTCCGCTCCCGTCTCCCAGATGAAGTCTTTCCACCACGCAGCAGCACCGCTGTCCTTCCAGGACTTGCGAACCACGTCGATGTCCTTGGAGTCGAACTTGTATCCACAGATCGTATCGGCATCCTGGTCATTGTCGACGCCCTTGTTGGGGAGATCAATATCCACATCGTCGTTACCGTCACAGCGGCCCTGGCATCCTTCGCCGCAGTGAGTCTCAGAGGAGCCGCACCAACCACCGGCTGAACAACATGGTCCGTAAGAGGTTCCAGAACATGTAGCATTTCTGAACCCAGCACCGCATCGGCCGTTAGTGGACTTTCCTCCCTCTTTGCACTTTCCACTGATACATCCAGTGCCGCAGTGGCCGTCAGTCGAGCCACACCATCCGCCTTCAGAGCAGCAGTCGCCAAAGCTAGTGCCCTCGCAAGTTGTTCCCTTGAAGTTGGGGCCGCATCTTCCGTCGGTTGACTTGGCAGGCTCACTGTCGCCAGTGTTCCCGGTACCAGGTTCGAAATCAACACTCCAAGCCATGAGACCACCGAAACAGTAGTTGTTGGCAAACTTACGCTTCATCTCGACCGTTTCCTCGTCATCGTAGCCGATCCACTGATCATCAAACACGAGCTCTTTCATAGCCGAACCTTCAAGTAGACGAGAGGTAGCACCGCCCTTGATCATGTCTTCAACTTCGGACAACGACATGACACCAGCGCTGTTCGTACATTTGGCAGGCTTGCTGGGACCAGCGAAATTACAGCCAAGTGTATTGCAGGAGGGGTCCGCGAGAGTATATCCCCGTCCGTACCAAGCAACACCAAAGACGATCTTGCTAAAGTCAACGCCGGGGTATGCAAGCGGGATCGTATTGTTGTAGATCTCCCTAATATCAGCCTGGCCGCGCACAACAGGTGCTAAGGTCTTGACGTCGGAGTCCCAGAACCCGTGTAGGTCATAGGCCATAAAACCAAAATGGTCGACATAAGGCTCAAGACCTTTAACATCGAAGTAGCGGAGATACCAATAATCAGGGGCAATTGTAAGGCTGATTCCATATTTTGTCCCGTATGCTGCCCTCATCTCCTTCAGCAAAAGAACGAAGTTGGCTGTGTCGTGCTTGCTGCCGCCACGCTTCGGCTCCACCGGATATTCCCAGTCGAGATCGATGCCTTGGAATCCATACTTGTCCATGAAGGCTGCTGCTGACTGGATGAAAGCCTTTCGGTTACCAGCGTCAGCACATAAGTCGCTCCAGGTTGTGTGAGTATCGCCATCGTTGCTAAAGTCATAACCTCCGACAGCGACCCAGGTTTGGAGGTTGCGGCCTTTGCCCTTGAGCTTTGTAAACTCCTTAACATTATCTTCATCTTGGGAGTTCCAGAGCTTGACGTTGAATGAAGCGGGATCAATTGAGGCGAAAGCCCAGTAGAGATGGGTATAGGCGTCTGTCTTGATGTCCTTGGGATAGACCCTATTGCAAGCCCTATCCCGGACGTTGGAGGCCTGATAGTAACCGATCATGCGCTGATCTGAAGTGCCAGAGCCCTCGCCACAGGTCTTGGGTCGAATGATCTGACAATTTCCGTAGCCTGCTTGACAAGGCGAGAACTTGTTGGGGCCAATACAATGGACTTCTGTGGTACCACACCATCCTCCTATTTGTTATTAGTCTCTAGCTTTAGAAGGGGGAACCAGAAGTATGTGAACATACCAGAGCTACAGCACAAATCGAGACCACACGAGAGATTGCCACCCTCAGAGAGCTCTCCACACATGGCAGTAGCATCGCAGTTGCTCTTACAGCCTTTGCCACAGAGCTCTTCGCCGTAACCGCAAATGCCATCCTTGGAGCAGCAACTAAGTTCATCACATTAATTTAAAGCTCTTGTGTAAAGTGCTGGCATGGAATATCGCCGTACCTCTTATCAGCGCATTCTCCAGTAGGGCATAGCAAAGCTCCTTCTCCTGCCTCAGCACGGCCAAATAACTGGGTGGTAGAGACAGCAGAGTAGCCCCGGCCAGAAATCTTGTCGGTACTGTTTGTGGTATCGTTCTCAGATGCACGTAAGTTTTGCCATTTGTCCAAGGCTTCGTGGTCGTTGTGGACTGGGTTCTGGTGCGTGATGCTACTGGACACGAGGGAGGCCAGCAGCCCACACTGGACAAGTGCTTGGAGGCTTAAAGCCACCATTTTGAAAATAGCGACGTCTGTCAGACCGGACTAAGAGAATGAAGAAGAATTATCTGCAAATCTGTGTGGTCTGCCGTAGACCCAGAAAGGGTGGTATATATAATTTGTTTACCACATCTCAACTCTGATCGCACCATTACCATCACGTTAGGAAATTCCATAGTAAGCATACTCGGCACTGGTGTAGCCGCGCCAAGGCAAGTAATACGGCTATGGAAAGATGAATCAAACCACTTAACCCTCGACTCGAGAGGCTGTGCATAGGGACAGGCCGTCTTGATCCTTCTCCGGTAGCGTCTCCATATCCGCCGGGATCGACGGAAATTAGTCAAGGACAAAATAAATAAGGTCTCCAGGTTATGGGGCACGAAAGAGTTTTCCTACCATTCTCCCGCTTAGGCTAATGTAGGTAATTACTTACAGATTCTGAACAATGACATTCGTGGTGTGACATATTCCGTACTATCCTAGTGTCTTGGCATAGACTCTACATTTCCAAACACAACTTCTTTAACACACAATATTCGACACAGGACTCTAATAGCAGAAGCGTAATTAGTCCACTGCAAATTATTAAATGGTTTGCAAGATAAGTAGAATGTTTGAGATGAAGATCCCCGGTCCTCAAATACGCGGGAAAACATCGTGGATACTCGAACCAGTATGAGAGCCTTGGCACAATAGTAAATCGCAGTCTGACCATTTTAAAGCCGGTGAATCAACGGCAGCCCTACCCTTTCGACTCTAATTACGGTGAATTATTATAACGCTAACGCAGGGGTATCCCGCGCAATTATGGGGTAGCTTAACTTTACTGTTGAATTTTTTTACCTGCTCCACTGTTCGATCAAACAGTCTGAGAGTGCCAAGCTCCTCGTTAAAAGGATTCGAGTTGCGGAAACCTCCACCCTGGGATTTAAGTGAAAAATAAGAGTAACGTTACCCGATTATATTGGTTCTAAATCCAATCGCTAAGTGTTATGCATAACGTTCACTGGCTATTATACGTCCGGTCACCAACCACCCACTATTAAGAGGACCGTAGGATCCGCCAAGGCTCTCGGTCGGCACCGAAGAGCCGTAGGTCCCCCGGGATTCCGCTCCTTCAAAGACGGGAGTGGCGCTGCCAAATCGGCAGATCGGAACCTCGGATGAAGTATCTCCCTAGTAATGTCAATGTTGCCCTTGCCTGAGACCGTCGTGATGATTGTTCAGTTTGTGGATTGTCATCTGGGTCGGCCGAACCTTGTCAACAGGATCGGACTCAGATCCGAGAATGTCACACTCGTGGATATCCTGGAAGGAGGGCCCACTCTACGAGGGTTGGTAGAATTCTGGGAGAGTAATATTATTTACGACTGCCCTTTATCCTTTATCCACTGGAGAAAAACTAGTTGGCCAGTCATCTGAGGTCCTTCGCGAACTCTGTTACTTGGTCTGGTAAGCACAATGAGCTTCTGTATATGGATGCTGGATGAATAGTGGATTCAACTTCAGAATCCTCACTCATCTTAGTCAAGCTCACTAGCTGGAGAAAGGTCTTTTCGAGCTCCCATCCGTGGGTTCGCTGAAATCATCGTCATCCTCCTCCTCACGGCTACCCACACCAGCTCTATTTCTCCAGTTTTGGTCAGACGCCTCAAAGTCTCTTTCATCGCTAAACTCATCCTCCTCTTCATACATATTATCGGAGTCATATCTTGGTCGCTGAGATGCCCGACCAGAAACTGATGGTCCACCTGGTGGTCCTGCTGGCGCACGAGGTCTTGGACTTCTGACCGGCGCTTCTGACTGGCCGCCCAAGCCGCTTTCCCTATGTCGTGTAGGTCTTGCAGATGGAACCTGATCTCTTGCCCTTCGTTGTTCTTCTCTCCGGTATCTTATTCGGGGGTAGTCGCGTCGTCGTGGGGTGAAGTCTTCATTCCGCATATGGTTAGCACGAAGTGTGTCAATTCTTGCTTGATCTGCATCAGTCATTGTTCTGGTATAGTCCATATAATTGCCGGATTGCTCAATCGCCAAAGCAACGTTTTCAAACTGTCTTTCATCTAGCACAGGTGATGCCACTTGGCCGGCTACAAGGTTACCCGAACTGAGAGATGCCCTGTTCATGTTGTAGTGTGCAAGCGAGGAAGCAATCTGAAAAGCATTGCGGATCTGTCGGCCGTTCCAGCGCAGATGGGGTGTGTCCTCGTGCTCGTCATAGTAACGTTGTGCATACTCAATGATGTTCTTTGCCATAATGCGGAGCCGTGGTTGTTTCAGTTCTGTTCCTTCTATTTGACGCTGCTTTTCTTCTTCGATGCCTCGGAGCCTTTTGATGTTGACACGGAATATCTCCACTGTTTGATGCCGTGGGAGGGGTTCGTAACAAAGACTGATGTGGATTCGAGACTTGAATGCTTTATCGAGTATACCGACTCGATTTGTGGTTAGAAACAGTATCCCGCTTTAGTACTCGAGCACCCTTAAAAAGACTAAGATATGAATCATTAGTAAACACACTTGAGATGAAAGACACAGTTCACAAGGATTATGTTACTTACCAGAAACTAGGGCATTTCTCTGCATGTTGTAAGGATCTCTCCTCGCGAGAAAAACATCCGCCTCATCTAGAAGCAGCACGCAGTCCCAGAGGTGAGCCAGTCGAAATACCTCTTTCAATTTCGAATCAACTGCCTCAGGTGTCAATCCCAAGTCTTCACATGTTATGGTAAACAACGGCTTCTCGTGAGCCTGGGCAACAGCCTCAGCAGTAGCAGTTTTTCCCACACCAGGAACACCGTGTAGAAGGATGAAAAGCCTAGAGCCTTTACCACTAATAAGGTCTTAATTAACGGGGTGAAGGACCAGATAGTACAATGTCAAATCGGGGTTTGCCCTTTTGTTAAGTGTGTTTAGACCTTTTTTGCAGGGAATGTTAGAATAAGTTTTACAGCCCTTTGAGCGTCATGGCTACGAGTCACGATGTGATTCATGTTAATGGTCACTCATGGGTGCAGGCGACAGCTAATATCTGCACCACTACGGCGTGAGACAGGGAAGAAACCCCAGCTACGTGATTCAAGGGAGATCCAACAGTTTTAAAGAGAAAGACAGACGCACTTCTGACAGATGTGAACAACTGCGAGATGCTGTGATTCAGAAAACTGAAAAGTACTCATAGAAAACGCCGGTCAGAGCCGAATTTATATATTGGAAAGCTATTAACATCAAAGCCAGTCTCTAGAGTCTAGAAAGATCAACACAAACAACCATCCATCATGGAAAATATCAACCACAAACAAGACGTCCTTCTGAGATTGTCTCAATGCAGAAAGTACAGTAACGACGATCTGCTCCAAATTAGACGGGATCAGCAAAAGAGTAAGTGTCTTTCCTTGGGCATGTGCCAACAACTACTGATATTTTCTTAAAGAGAATCGAGCCGCTATCACAAAGCTAGAGAGCATGATCGAGTTTCTCACTATCATTAGACCAGACCCCTACATTTCACCCAATTTCCCCGACGGTACATCCGAGGCTGCTCTCTCACTGGACTGGCTTCTCAGGATTTTATCGTCACCGATTCCTGGGCCACCTGCAAGCAATGGGAAGGTGCTCGATCTTGAATTTCTAGAAATGCGGGATGACGACCTGCATACTGTCCTGTCTTCAGCAGCAACCATTCACCCAAGATCCCAAAGCCAGGTATTCATAGATCTGAATCGTGACCTGTTTGAGTAGGTGTATCGGAAACGCTCTGATTTTCTTTTCATTGACGGCAATTACCAGGTGAATGCCACGGATAGTGCATCGCCTCTATCCCTCTTGTGTGCCAGACTTGGCCTGGCATTGGCAAAGATGGAGCCAGAAAACGTCTTTGTCCACTTTTACTGCGGTATACATGTTGACTCGGGCTGCGACAACTGGTCTGGGCCGGGCGGTATGATTCGCTCCATTCTGGTTCAAATCATTGCTGCTTTAGTCGCCAAGGATATTATCGGGACAGGTCATTTGTACCGGACAAGGTTGGTCAGACATCTTGAGAATCACGACCCTGGGGCTCTCTGCAATCTAATCTACTACCTTGTCCGACTGCTTGATCCCGGTGAAACCATCTATTGTTTTATTGACGGTGTTTCGAGGTTCGACGTCGATTCCAATGGTACTTTTGGCTTACTTCGGAAGATTATTGAGCACATTGAGGTCATTGTTAAAGATTGCTACCTAAAACCTAAGCTGAAGGTTCTTATGACTGCACCTTCTGAAACTTCTGACAGGCTGAGTAGGATCATTGAGGACCAGTTTTATGTTTCGGCGTCTCCCCATGCTGCCGGGGGTAGATAGCTATTGGTGGACTCAGTTGCGTCATCAATTCGGAACTTATCAACCACATCATTTGGCTCTAGGCCACCTTTTTATTGAAACTCAGGATAGTTCAAGTCATTAATTATAAAGTCTTTACTAGCCTTGGTTACCATCACAGTACATAAGTATTAAAACGTAATAACTTTTAATTAATACAGCGCCGGATATAGTAAAAGCTCAATAAAGGAGAAGACTTACCAACACATCATCATAAATATAAATATAGAAACTAACTATTTAGTTTAATTGATTGTAATTTCAAATAGCCTCAGACATTATTAGTTTATATACTAATTGATCTATTTACATTGAGTCTGGTAGCACCTTTAAAAAAGAGATCCAGCTATCCCAATTAAACCCACAAAAATATCAACAATAACTAATTGATCTATATCTCGTGTGCTGTATGGTTATCGTTTTACGGTCAATTGTATCTTACAGATCGGACTTCGGGCTTTAGACTTTGGTCATACAACACTCGTCACCAGGCTAAATAAACTGATGGGAGGCCTTTAATTGTCCTGACCGACGATAACAATCGTATTGACTAGCAAAAGGGCGTATAAATGGGGCCGATCCCGGCGGGCATGGTGACCCTCAGGGCGAACTACTGCACCTTGACATGCGCCTTGGAAATAGGGCGCAAGTTTGACAAGCGTCGAGCCACTAATCCATCGATAAGAAAAGCTTAAATACTTCTGACAGTTGTCGCATTGATTTATCCATCCACTTGCATAATTCGCTATCCAAGTACAAATTGAAAAAATGCCAGAGATTCCCGAGTTCAAGATGGATAGATGGAGTATGTACCCGACCGAAACTGGTGTTCCAGTCAATCAATACCATAAATGATAACCACTAACATGTCCTTTCTAGTTGAAGAATATGGAGTTTGTGGGCCCTCACCATAAGGCTGAAAAAGGCTAACGGAATCGTCCTGTAAAAGCCGAGAGGTCGGATTGGCTTGTACGGTAAGGAACCTTATAGACACATCATCGCAGGAATCTAAGATCTTAATGTGCCTCAGGATCGTATGCATCGGCGCTCTCGTTGAACGAGCTGCAGAAACTCGCTCCGAACACCAATGCTCCTCTCCTGGATCCAGACCTGCCGCTCAGTTATGGCACAACCTTGGGCTCAGTGCGTCTTCGAGAACGAATTGCTGAGCTTCACTCTTCCCCAGAAGTGGAGCTGACCGCAGCCAATGTTGTCATCACTCCAGGTTCTAGCATGGCTAATCACCTCGTGCTGGCCACGCTCTGTGGCCCAGGTGACCATATCATCTGCCAGTATCCGACTTACGGACCTCTTTATCTCTTGCCCAAGCATAGTGGCGTCGACGTTAGCCTTTGGGGCTTGAAAGAGGCTGAAGGGTGGTCTCTTGATCTGGAAGAGCTGGCCAATATGATAAAACCCAACACAAAGCTCATCATCATTTGGTAGACTCCCTCTGACCCTAAGTTTAACAGATTGCAAAAAGGTGGACTGACTGTTGTTAGCAATCCGAACAATCCGACTGGGACCGTTATTCCTAGAGATACATTGGAACAGGTCCTAGCTCTTGCCCAAAAGAATAATATTGTGGTCTTCTCCGATGAAGTTTTTAGCCCTGCCTTTCATACGAAGGACCAACCACCTCCTCTAGTCTCGCTGGGCTCCCCTCGCACCCTTTCGACAGGCTCTCTATCGAAAGCCTATGCCTTACCTGGTATCAGGATAGGCTGGGTAGTATCACAAGACAAGGAGATCATACGCCAAGTCAGTACGCTCAGAGACTACACTACCATCAGTGTCTCACTACTGGATGACTCTGTTGGCGCCTTCGCACTGAGCAAGGAGGTGTTACCTCGACTGATGGAACGAAACTTACGAATCTTTGCAGAGAGTATCAATTTACTTGATGGATTTGTCAAGCGTAATGCTCAGAGATGTCGCTGGACTAAGCCAAAAGGGTCAGGAGTAGCATTCGTTCAGATCTTGAACAAGGACGGTTCAGCCTCAGATGACTTGGTATTCAGCAAGAAGCTAGTAGAAGAAGCTGGAATCACTGTTTTACCTAGTTCATATTCCTTTGCCGAGGAGGGAGCTAACAACCTAAAGGGATACCTGAGAATTGAGATTGGGTCCCCGGAACGATTGAGAGAGGGTTTAGTAGCCATAGAGGAGTTCTTACACAAGTATGACTTTTTCTAAGATAGAAATAAATTAGTGGCTCTGTCCGATCGCCGTGATTCGAAACCCATCAACCCCATCATTTAGTTCTAGACCTTTCCAACAAAACTTCACATACATCAAGTTAGTAATTTCAAATTATCTATCACTCTAACTTGCTCCTATCGCATATAATACCCTCCTCAGTCGTTCTTAACACGGAATTTTCCATAACATTCACCTCATTTTTCTATGGTACTAGGCCAGTTCTTTCTTGACACTCTACAAGATCGTAGTGATATTGACCCAGAACAACGCGCCATCTTTACGGAACCCGCCCAGCTTCTCGACTCCCTCCTTCATTACTTCTCAGCTCGATGACTGATCGTCGCAACACTCGTGTAGACCTACGGGGACGGCTAAACAGTCGGATGAAGCTGAAACATGACGTAGAAAGCCAAATGCAAGGCGCAACCGCTCAAAAATACGTCTGTTACATTCTAGCGTATCGTTTGGTTCGCAATTGCCCTAGGCCGCAGTTTTCCGGGTAAGTGCGCGATGTCGAGAGGAGTAGTTAGTTATCTTGGGCATCAATCAAACATCGGACAACCGCGGTGTGCCTGATCGCCTCTCACCCATAAATCTATGCCTTCACTATATAGGGACCATTACTCCCGCCGGAATCCACTTTTCAGCGACAAATTCATGATAAATTAAGTCTAAACCGGTTTTGTCACGTTTACACTAGACTCACTCTATATCAAGCCAACCTTGCTGTGGATCTCCATGAGTCTGCCCTACTTGGCATTCGACATTTTCGCTGTTTCCTGATTTTCACACTACAACAACGCCCTTATTTCCCCCTCCTACCCGCCGAAACATCTACCGAAGCTCGTCCATCATTCCCAAAAGAAGGACGGGAGATTGTAAGACAGCACTGTTCTCAACTCTGCACTGCTCATGGACATCGCGATCAACACAGGCTAATGTCCTGCTGGCCAGACTTCGCCCACATCCCACTTGAAGAATACAAATTAGCAGAGGCTTAGGAATACATCCCGGGAGACTTACATGCTCAACGATACATCCGTTCTCCCATCGAAATCTGTCAATGACTTCCCCAACACCAGATGCGTTGTAGTTGAGCCAGCCCATATTTCCCCTGAATAGTGTTCGGTGAAGGCTAATGTTGGTGGTATGCCAAATTGGTGCCAAGAAGTCAAAAGCAGCATCAAAGCCATCATCGGCAAAAGGATTATGATTCTAATCAATACAACCGACCGTTAGTGAATAAATCTGACATTCTATAACCATCATGCAAGGGGTTACTGAGATAAAGTCTTTACCACGTACGATGTAGTCCTTCGTAATATACGAGAAAGCTTCAGTCAAATTTTTGCTCAAGAGAAAAGCGTTAGCGAAGCAATGAAACCGCTTCTTAGTTTCCTGTTTAGTAGGCGACGGAGAAAGAGCCCTGCAAGGCTGCGGTTTTATAGGGCTTTGACGAACGACTACGGTATCCGCCAGTTCGCTGTCAGGTCCAGAACTGCCAAGAGCCAGGCATGGAATACCGAAAGCGGTGATAAGGATGACGGCTGAGTGAGTGAGAAGCATAGCTATTGTCGTTATTTGCGCTGAGATGAGTGAAAGAAGTGTAAATGATGTCTACAGCATGCAGTACACAAAGATGCTTTATACACTCTGGTGGCAGTTCAAATGCCGCTTCTGATTGCCGACAGGTCTTCGAACCAAGGTTTATATTCTGGCCACAGAGCACAGCCACGAATCAACGTTGGTCGACGATCAATTTTTGATCGTTTCAGGCTTAGCTAAGGCAAGGGGTTCTTCCCTTCTCCAAGAATGGTAGACAAGGGTACCTTGAGAACTTTATCTCATGAATTCGCGCCTAATCTTTCCAATACGGCTTCTGGAGAATCGAATTTGAAGACTTGACTACGAGGAGTACGTATGTAAGATGAGAAATTTATCGTACCGGCTTTGTGCATATTGACCACTAGACGCACTACTGTATTAAAAGTCATGCGGACCACGTCAGGAAATTCTTGTAAAATGCTTTAAATGACAGGGTACCGATTACGGGAGGCGTTGACGAGGGTATGTGACCCGTGGAACGCCAACATTTATCAACGGATAGCGGTATTGATAGATCTTCCCGTCTGTTTGTCTGATTGCCAATTTGCAACTCTAGATTGCTATTCTTCAGCGTTGATAAAGGATAAAGTGGTTAGAGGCCTAGTTGATGTTTAGGCAACAGTTCCTGCACGCAGTCAGTGTAGTCATAACCTGATTGTGCGGCATTTACTACGTACTTAGCGAAACCTTATTTGCATGTCTTGTTTTTCCTGGTGTTTTCGGGCTTATGAACATGCATGCTAGAATGCAGGTGGAGGGTGATGAGTTTGAGCCCCTATAGATAGATAGATAGGTAGGTAGAGTTTATTATGCCCGGCAGAATGAATCTTATAGGGCCAGTGGCTTCGCTAAACTGCGTATACTTCTCCGCTACTCATCCTGGCCACCTGATAAAGCCTCACTTCTTTTCTTAGATACATCATACTATTACCCCGGGTTCTCTATAGATGACCACAAGGGCTTTTCTTCCTGCTTGGAACAGCGCTTACAAGCTTGTATAACGGCCGCTTTAAAGCATCCACGCGTCATCCTTATCTTGAGTGGGTAACTTTCAAGGCAGACAGGGTTACCAAAGAGGTATTAGCGTAAAAGCACGGCCGTCGGTAGTGCCAGGGACTCTGAACCTTCTAAAGCAGAAAGACGGCCCTAAATCGTATTATGTGTGGTGAGAGCTTAGTGTTTGTTTTACGTCTAGATAGTACTGTTCCTGGAAGTGCCTAAGAGCAAAGCAATATTGTCGTAATTGGGCCAATGTCTCAGACATTTTTATGTATCTCTTTAAAGAAGGTAATGCTGGTAGGGGCCCCAGAACCCCACACCCTACATCCCCTCAATAACTAGCGAAGTGTTCAGCGAGACAGTAGAAGAGGCTGGGAGTACGATAGAAATAAAATAGTAGCTATTATAATATAGATTAAAATACTTATATTTAAATTGTAGAATATGAATAAGAAAGGTAAGGTAGGAATAATAACTAGTAAGTTAAGATTGATAATATGGTTTATCTTAATCATGTACCTTAAAAGAGATCTAGCTGTCCTGATAAAGTTTTTAGAAATATCTATAATACTTATTACTGTTAATTTTCCTTTTCGTTATTACTATAATTATAATACTTATATTTTGTAAGGGATAAGCTGAGTAACGTCAGGTTTGTATTTATAGAAATATAACATATAATTTAAGTAATAATAATAATAGTTATATTTCTAAATAGCCAATAATACAAACAAGGCTTATTAAGGTAAAGAAATTAAACTAATCACTAATAAACTTACTCTATTTCAAACTAAATAATTAAATATAAGAGTTTAGCTATATAACTACCAGTTCTACGAGATGGGTTATTTTGCAATTTCAAGGGTTGCTATTGATACACTCAGCGGCCTGGACACCATTTTCCATCTGAAGGAACCAATTCAATTGATAATATTCACAGAATGACCCTACACAGTCACTCTATGGCAAGTCTCTGTGAAGTGGTTCTAAGGCTTGAACAATATCCTTCTTCATATCCTCTACATTCTCTATGCCGCAACTTACTCGCATCAATCGTGGATCGCGACCCTCATCACTCATGGCTCTCCATTCCATCAAACTCTCGACACCACCTAGACTAGTAGCGTGTTGAAAGATAAACAGCCTGCTGGGTAGCCTTCGAGCATGATCTTCCTTCTTCATCCACATGGAAAAGACAGGCCCGAAACCGTTAGGCATCTGCTTCTTCAGCCAGCCGTTCTTCAGATCGTGATGCTGGAGCGATGCATGCGCAACCTTGTCTATGGTCTTGCCGATGATGCTATTGGGGTCTTGAATTCCCTCTGACAGCCAGGTAACAAGAGCCGTGGCCGTGGCTGACTGTCGAGTTACTCGAAGCTCGAGAGTTCGAAGTGACCTGATACCTAGCCAAACCTCGAAGCTACCCATGACAGCACCGCTTGTTCGACGATGTTGCTGAAGCGTCTCAAGCCAGCCTCGCTTCACACCCTCTTGATTCAGGACGAGGAGGCCATAGAGCATATCGGAATGGCCCCCCACGTACTTGGTTCCGCTGTGCATGACAATGTCAGCTCCATGCCGGAGGGGATCCTGCAAGGGAGGAGGTGCGAAGGTAGCATCAACTGTGAGATAAACGCCTGCTTTCTTTGCAATGGCACCGAAGTGGTCTAGGTTACGCGCTTCACCTGTTGGGTTCAGCGGCGTCTCGATATGAAGGACGTCGCCAGGTTTGAGCTAGTCGAGATCATTCAGCGTGAGCTTCTCGACATGTGTGAGTTTCTCCACGAAGCCAATGCAACGATGAACACCATAGTAACCATCCTCGATGAAGATTCGCTTAGGGTTCAGTAGAACCATGACTGCGCTAAATTGATTTTTGTACTTCCAGACCCTGGCCCCTTTGCGCAAGAGTACCTAGGCTTCACTGGGCCTTTGGGACGATTTCTCGGGTTCTACACAGTATTTGCCAATGCCCTCTACGCATACTCTGGTATCGAAAATATATCACTTGCAGCGGCCGAGACACAAAACGCTCGGCGAGTCATTCCACAAGCCGCCAAGAGAGTCTTTTGGAGAATTCTTATATTCTATGTCTTGACAATTTTCCTTGTTGGACTTGTCATTCCCTCAGACAACGACATGCTATTCCAATCCAAGGGAGCTGCTGCATCGCCCTTTGTTATTTCCGCCAAACTGGCAGGTATCAAAGTCATCCCACATGTTATCAACGCCATCGTCATCACTTCGGCGTGGTCGTGTGGTATCATGGGCATGATGAGCTACATTCGATACCTATTCGGTCTAGCCAAGAATGGCCACGCCCCCAAAGTCTTTCTACGGATCAATCGCTTTGGCATTCCTTGGACCGCCGCCACTTTGTTTACTGTATTCATGGCTCTGGGGTATCTCGCCACCTCCAATGGCGCAGCACAAGTCTTCACATGGCTGCAAGACTTGCTCTCCACCACCATATTAGTCAACTGGTCAGTTATCTTGATCACGTTCCTGCGCTTCTATTATGGATGCAAGAAGCAGCGTATCAGTCGCAAGGAGCTCCCATACCAGTCACCCTTCCAACCATACTACGCCTGGCCCTCTCTTTTCATGTGCATCCTGCTTCTGGTGACCGGCGGTTGGAAGGCCTTTCTCAAAGGCCGCTGGGACACACATGCGTTCGTCTCTGCGTATCTTAACGTGCCCTTTGTACTCGTTCTCTACCTCAGATACAAGTATATCAAGAAGACCAAGATTATCCCCCTTGACCAGATCCCAATTCGACCCCTGCTTGAGATTGCACACGCCGATCCGTCGCCCCCGCTCAAATCTAAGAAGGGTTGGAGGAAACTCAACATTCTTTGGTAAACGGACTGCTAGGAATTGGGTATCGAGGGAACGGGGATTATTACTCTGAGAAGAAACGTTACTATGGTTTGACTTGAGAAGCTTATTATTGTTTTCGCTCATTTTCTGATACCTAGAATATCAATACCCTTCGTACCGAGACATTTCCATCCCATGTGCAAAATTTGCTTGAGGGATCATAACCTCCTTCATTTCATGTCTCACAGCAAAACTTGCGCCGACTCAAGTCGCATAGATGGCAAGCGACGGTTGTTTTTTACAGGGAGGGATATTAATGATCCACTGGTTGTAGCTACTACAGAACAATGGGTGTAGACTCAGCGGCGTACAATTTGACTGCAGTACACATCTTTCATCTTTACTACAAAAAGTCCTAGCACCTGCTCCCGTCAAAGTGCCCTGGATCGTAGATATTAGACGGGAATCCGACCGGCTCATTTGATCATGTAAAGCGTATGACAGATCATGATGACCAACAGGCTAGATCGGATGCGCAAGAAGACTTTCCAATCACCTTTTTCGTCAGATCAGCAGCCTTGAACAAGACCAAATGGAGATTAGAATGTACCAGAGGTTCCGACATGACCGTTTCGACCCGAAGAGCCACGTATCGTCGTAAACGGTTGGACACGAGTTCAATCCGGATCGATTGACGCTTCGGAAGAAATGCCTATCCTATCTCCTTGTACATAGGAGATATGTAATAAGGGGGGCTACGGAACAAGAGCCAGTCAGGGCGTGGTCCGGTCTCCGAGGGTGTGGGGAAAGCCTAATTAAGTCCCAAAACAGCGGTACCATGGTAATCGTAGCGGGCCATTGCCATTACCTCAGATGGGCATGGGCATCAGCAACCAAGCTCCATGGCAGATAAAGGTCCGCACCAGGACCTTGATGCCAGACAAATTTGAATCACCAAGGAATAAGCTCTAATAACTCCGACCTCCTTTTATATTGTCAATTCTCATTCACTACACCATGTCGCCAACAGCCGACTGCACTCAATTGCCCACGCCTGCTCCAATCCCCAAGCTCAACGGCGCCCCTCTCCGATCCAAAGAATACTTCGAAAATCGATCAGCGGATGAGATGCAGAAGAATCTCAAAATACCTCAGCGTACTCTCCAGGAGACTCTAGCTTGTGCCTGTCGGCTTGTCGCAGCTAAGCAGGAGGACGCTGGTTTGGCTGGTCAGATTAGTGCGCGGTCTGACCGAGGTGATGGCTTTTACTGGACTCTCAAGTTTGGCTTGGGCTGGGATGAGGCTATGCCGGAGGACTTCATCGAGGTAGATGGAGATCTCAATACCGTCATCGGCGAAGGCATGGCTAACCCAGCGACACGCTTCCATCTATGGGTTTACGCCGGTCGGCCCGACATCCAGTCCATCATTCACACACATTCTCCCTGGGTACAGGTCATGGCAGCCGCCAAAGAACCCCTTATAATTGCTCAGATGGATATGACGCCCTTCTTCAACGACTGTGCCTTCCTAGGTGAATGGCCCGGCGTCCCTATCGCTGATCAAGAGGGCGTTATTATTACAGAGGCTCTGGGAGACAAATACTCTATTCTGCTGGCTAACCATGGGATGTTGACGGCTGGGAGGAGCATCCAAGAGGCAACATATCTGGCAGTATATCTCGAGAGAGCAGCTCGCATCCAGGTTCAAGCACGAGTTTTTGGTCCTCTTAAACCAGTTGATGAAGAATTGGCTCGCGAAGCCGGTTCGTATTTACGTCGGCCCAGAATCATGAATGCAACCTTTGAGTACTGGTACCGGCAAACAAGACCTATCAAGCCGCTGCCATTCTAGGTCGGCCACTTGTTTTTTGTTTGCTTTATGCCTGGCATGTTAGTCGCTCAAAATGAGTCGTATCAAAAGTCTGATCCTCTTGCCATGGCTGTAGCCTTTGAATGGCTGGAATGGGAGTGGCATTCAGTAGTAGCTTAGTCTCCCACGCTGGGCCTTGTCCAATAACTAATTGGGGCATCTATGTTAGACTAACTAGAACCTGAATGGAAAACGTTTACTTTACCCCGCTTGATTACTCACTCAGTGATTTGTCATTTTAAGTGGCCGTCTCGCTACTTAGTCTACTACTGGACCCTCTGGCTCCTGTCTCCACCATAGTTATCTTTCTTCCTCTTGCACTTGCAAGCTTGTCTGTACTTGAACAATGGCACGCCAGAAGGTCGAAGCGGCATGCGACAACTGCCGACAAAGAAAAGTCAAATGTGATGCGCAGAGGCCGGGTAAGTTCAATTGACATATCCGCTACGCCGTATGAAGCTGAAGGCAGTTACCAGTATGCCATGCATGTAACCTTCGAGGAGAGACCCGGTGCGTATATCGCCGAAGTGAAAATTCGCGACGAAGACAACGCGCATTACTGCCACGTTATCAACTGCCGCCACTCGCTACGTCGATGAGTGAAGGTTCTACAGATGGGTCGACGTTGATGTCTGCGTCCAGAGAACTCTCAGAAAGACAAGTTCCAATCCAAATAATCACCATGTCTTCGCCTGAGAGTGCGGCCAGAAAGCGGCTGGCTAGCGATACACCAAGCTTAACACACACGGCCAACGCTCCACAACCCAAAGCTACCATATCATCGGAAACGGACGCAATGACGGGTGTCGGTAAGGACTGTTCAGGCACAGAGTTTTTCGGTGACAGTAGTGCTGTTTCCTTCATGACCCAGATCAATTCGGCTATCGATGCTCGTCTTGGACAGACACAGACACAGACACAAACGCCATCGACATCTGACATCATTAGTGAGGCTCAAATATGGCATGCAAAAAGATTTACAAGCAGCCAGTTCCAGGACTGCATAGACCCTCTCAACTTCCGATTCCCACCTAGAAACTTTTGCGACGATCTCATACAAGATTATTATGACTTGGTATGGGTGATTCTTCCTACACACGACTGGACCTCATTCAAGCAAGATTATAATGCTATCTGGATCGGCAGCTCGACAACTACTACCACCAAGCCGTTACACTGCATGATCAACATGGCACTCGCATTAGGTAGCCAATTCTCAAAAGCTGTGCCTCCTGGGGAGAGGAAGAGAATGGGCCAAACATTTTGGGAAAGAGCTCTTGAACTATATGATCCGCGGCTTCAACAAGGAGCTTCGTTAGAAGGAGTCCAATGTTTCTTGATGATGGGGCTATTCCTGCAGAGTACTCACCAGTCCCACCAATGCTGGATGATTGTAGGATCGGCGGTGCGTATGGCGCAAAGCTTAGGTCTGCATCTATGCCGAACAACAGCCCAGAACGAGGATATTCGACACGTCGAAATGATGCGAAAGGTGTGGCACGGTTGTGTATTTATGGATCGGGTTATGTCAATGACATTCGGACGTCCGAGCATGATTGCAAACTGGCTCTACGATTCTGTTCCTCTGCCGGTCATGATTGATGAAGACCTCCTAGGCAAACAATGCCGCCCTTCCACATCTCGACCAGATGGGGTAACGCCTACGATAGCATTCTTCATCAAATCTGTAGAGCTCTACAGTATCGTCAATGATTCGTTGCTCGAGCTTTACATGAGACAGCCACAGAAAGAGAGCGAGGAAGCCGAGCACGTCGCTTCCGTGTTGCAATTCGATGACAGGCTCGTGCGGTGGTTCCAATCGGTTCCTGACGCACTTTGCTATTCATCCGGGTCATCCGAAAACTCCGTTCTTCAAAGACAGTGTATTGTCTTACGGGCGAGGTAAGCGAGCTATATGATGAGAAGACTAGCTATACCTAACATGACGAACCGCAGGTATCTGCATGCCCGAATTGTTGTCCTCCGCCCGATTCTGACAGAATCCTGCCTGAAACAGGTAAGGGCTGACCACCATAGTCGGTCTGCACCTACAGATCAACGGCTATTACATAGCCTCGCGGACCAATGCTCAATCATCTGCTTCGACTCGGCTCAGGAGATCATCAACATGGTTCACGCAAATCTAGATCTGGAAACGGTGACAGGACCTGTGCCTGCATGGTGGTTTTCGGTACTGTGTGAGATTTAAGTTCCAAAACTATACAACATGATGCTAACCTTGACACAAAGTCGTGTATACAGCCGCAACAGTCCTTCTGGCTGAGCGTTTTAGACAGTTGAACTCGACTTGTTCGACTACAGAGCCATGGCAGGCTAAACCAACATGGGATCGGGCGATACAGCTACTCAGAACCTATGCAAAAGTAGGTGACTCAGCTGTACGCTGTGTAGCAGCCTTGGAGATTTTACTCGCCAAAATTCAGGGCTATCACTATATATCCGAGCATGGGGAAGCGCATGACGATAGGGTCCTGACGGGGAATGCTTTCATCGAGCAACAAAATCATGCACCTCTCGTTGCTTTTGACGATATTACTGGGCACATTGATCTAGATGGAATGGATTTCGATATTGATGATATGCTTTGGCTCAATACTTCAGCTGCAGAGTTTCTTGTCTAAAGAAGAAGTTCATATCACCTTGATACCAACAGGGAGTAATACGAGAAGTATTTTCTCCTGGAGGGAACAGGATTCAATTGACATTCCTTGTTTAAATGCAACTTGAGATCCAACTTCATATATTAATTCTTTGTGGGGCCCTTGAGGATGCCGTCAGGAGTCTTGACGGTTGGGGAGAGCGCTTTGAGAATAATAGCAAGTATTAACCCAAATGAGGTCTTGATCTGACATTGGATTCAAAATATCTGACCCAGAACGTGGAAAGGTATTTTTTTTTGCTTTAACCTTCAACTTTATCAAGGCCAGGCTTTCCAAATCTCTCAATGACGTGCAGAGGTATAGTGTCACCTATCAAGGCAGTTCGTAGGCGTCCAATTCCTTGGGCGGGAGTTATCCTCTATATTCTCTAACGGTGCCCGTCGTACTCATCCAGGTTTTCGTCGCCAATGGGACTTATTAGACAAAGACAGCGCTGAAGATGTCTGCCAGTAGTTTGGCACAGACGGGTCTTGAAGTTATCAGTCATGCATAAAATGTCAATTGTTTAGTGCTTTCTACATCTGCGAAATAATCTTCAACAGATCCCCTGTGACACCCATTGCAGTAACCTGGCCTCCAGCACCAGCACCTCTAATCGTCAACGGCATCTTTCCATAACGTTTAGTGTAGAAACTAATTATGTTGTCGCTACCTCGAAGCGTAGCAATTGGATGAGTAGGTTCGAATAACTCAAGGCCAACTTTGGCTTGTCCAGTTGTCACGTCGACGCTACCAATGTAACGAATAACCTTCCCAGCCTTTTCAGCGACCTTTTTATGCTCTTCCATAACCGAATCAAACTCGGGAAGACGTTTTAGGAACTCCGAGGCATTGGCGATGCCCTCTAGTTCCTGCGGAATCAAGCTCTGGACTGGAAATGCCGCAGGGGACTCAATAGGCACGCCAGCCAGCCGCCCTAAGATGGTGATTTTACGAGCCACGTCGAGGCCGTTAAGGTCATCCCGAGGATCAGGTTCAGTGTAACCAAGCTCTTTGGCCTTGATAACTTCAGCTGACCATGTCCCACCGTTTCCAGAGGTGGGGGCAAACGAGTTAAATAGAAAAGATAGTGTGCCACTAAAGACTCCTTCAATTCGAGTCACTTGGTCGCCAGTGTTGACAAGGTCATTGATGGTTGAGATGATAGGCATGCCAGCACCGACGGAAGATTCGTGATAGACGAAGGGGCCAGTAGGTGTAGTTGCGTCAAAAATCTCTCCCCATAACTTATAGTCTCCAGAGAAAGCCTTCTTGTTAGGGGTGATGATGCTTATGCCACGTCTAAGGAAGGAGGGATAAGCTGAAGCTACTGCTTGGGAGCTTGTATTGTCTGCCACGATGACCTTGTGAGGCGCTCCGGATAGGTAGTCGATAATCTTGTCCAGGGAGGGGGGATCACGGCCTCGTTTTTGCAAAGTCTCGAGAGCCAAGCCAATGTCCAGTTCGGAATAATCGTCATGATATAAAGCTCGATCGATATCCGCAATGTAGCATAGCTTAAGACGAGTGGTTTTTTCATTCTTCGCAAGCCATGCAAGCTGCTCAACAAAGATGGAGCCAACGCCTCCAGCGCCTGATATGTCTGTTAGTTTCAATCTATGGGGCGAGTTGCTTTTGGTAAGGACTGACCGATAACGGCAATGCAAATCTCTTTCTTTGTGGATGCCATCTAGTTGTTCAAGTCCTGCTTGTTGTGTGTATCTGTTCAATCCAGATCACCAGCTGCTCTTATATGTAAGAACAGTCGACCGCAGGGCCGGTTCTCGGCCCTTTGGCATCCGCGCCCTACAGGAGGTTAGTTGCTACTCGGAAACGTATCTATGGATTCTTCGGTCTTCGGCGGAAAGACTACCACGATGTGTTCTTTACCTGATAGTGCAGTGTGAAGGCAGCCCCATAGAGTCCGAAGAGATCTGTCGGATTCTCCAGTGATCCGACAGACAATCCACTCTGAGTAATCTAAACATGACATAACATCGGATATGGACTTTCCCGGGTGCCAGATAGTGAAGCCAATCGGTCAGTTGATTCCAAAGCCCCTTTGTTGTATAAGTTGGAGTGGTCGGAGATACACTATTGTGGTCCCTGATAAGAGGTATCTCCTGACGTACTATACTTACTATAGGCTGGAAATATCCACTATCACAGGTACCTGCAAGTAGTGATGGACAACGCGCGATGTATTTCCAGCCCCTGCACCGTACTAATCAAAACATGACATGTTCCCGTTACGCTACGGTGACCCGGCCCGGAGGGTTATCCAATCAAATCGACTCTTCAGTTCGAGCCTAAATTTATCAAGGAACTAACTTAGCCTAATGGGGAAATAAAACACCGGCCGCGGTTTTTGGTGTAAGTGCGTCCGCCGGTGTTGTTCTTCCCCCCGAGGCTAGCCTAGTAATGTGGCCGGTCAAGTTATATCGACATTGTAATAGTATCTCGGAGCGTTGTCGGAGTTGTGCAGAACAGCAACTTGGAAGTTGATTTTGAGTCTTGATAATCTTCAGATATATAAGTCTAGCAGATCTCTGACCATGCTTTACTCAACAGATAGATTAAACTGATTCTCTTGCCCAGCATGCCTACCAAGCTACCATTCACCGTAAGATAATTGCTGCGGGAGACGAATTACGCAGCTGATTATTCAATAGCTCAATGACCTATCCCTCTTCCATGAGGCCTCACTCTTGAACGGAGAATGGGTTCAAGCTAAATCTGGGGACAAGTTCGACGTCGAAGGTAGTCACCTCCCTATCTTGATGACATGACCTGTTACCACTAACACCAGCCTCTTGGCAGACCCTGGATCTTGCAGAGTGTGGGCATCTTGCGCCAACAACAACGTCGCCGACGTAGACCAATACGTCGAGTCGTCACAAGCCGCGTTTGAAAGCTATCGTTTCATCAACCCACGTCGACGGGCCCAGATCCTGCTTAAATGGCACGAGCTGATCACTGTTGCACGCGAAGATATCGCCAAACTCATCGTTTTTGAAACCGGCAAGCCATGGGTAGAGGCTGTCGGGGAGGTCGACTATGCACTCGGCTTCGCTTGGTGGTTCGCAGGTGAAGCTGAGAGAGTCCGAGGCTCTGTTGCAATTCCCTCCGTGTCCGACCGCCGTACATTTGTCATCAAGCAGCCTATTGGAGTATGCGTTGCTCTTGTTCCTTGGAACTTCCCGGTTGCTATGATCATCAGAAAAGTAGCTGCAGCCCTAGCTGCGGGATGCTCCATGATCATAAAGCCCTCACCTGAGACCCCTTTGAGCGTCATGGCCTTGGCTGATCTTGCCCTTCGTGCAGGCGTGCCGCCTGGAGTGGTCAACGTCATCTCGACGGACAACAATAACACTCCTTCTGTCAGCGAGAGGCTCTGCAAGCACCTGCTTGTGCGCAAGGTTACATTCACTGGAAGTACCAACGTTGGGAGCATCGTCGCGAAGCACTGTGCTGAGGGCGGTCTGAAGAAGGTAACCATGGAACTCGGAGGTAATTGTCCATTTATCGTGTTTGATGATGGCGATTTAGACCGAGCTATCGCTGCTTTGATGATTCTCAAGTGGCGCACTGCTGGCCAAGCATGCACACATGCCAATCGAGTTTACGTACAGAGCGGCGTTTTCGACAAGTTTGCCAAGCTAATAACTGAAGCCACTGCAACCCTCAATGTCGGCCATGGTATGGAAAAGGATACGACCATGGGCCCATTGACTACAGGTCGCCAGGTCGAAAAACTCAAGAAACACGTCTCTGATGCTATCGACAAGGGGGGCAAGCTCCTTTGTGGAGGTAGCGAACCCAACCTCAACGGCTATTTTTTCAAGCCAACTATCATCTCGAATATGACCAAGGACATGTTGACAACTAACGAGGAGGTGTTCGGGCCTTTACTGGGCCTATACAAGTTTGAGACAGAAGAAGAGGTAGTTAAGCTGGCGAATGATACCTCCATGGGTCTAGCATCCTACTTCTTCACCAGGGATGTTAGCCGAACGTGGCGATTACTGGAAAGCCTCGAAGCTGGAATGATTGGCATGAATACTGGTAAGTTGACTCAATATTCCTCTTTAGCTTTGTCTAGTCCTCTAAGTATATAACTAACAATTACTTCAAGGTAATGCATCTTGTGCGGAATCACCGTTTGGAGGAATAAAACAATCAGGTTATGGGAAAGAAGCTGGTAAGGACGTTGCGATTGAAGAGTATTTGGTGTCCAAGACTGGCACTTTGACCGTGGAGGGGGTACCAATGCTGTGAGAGTTGGTTTATATGGCAAAGTGGAATAGTCTTTAGAACTGAGTGATAGCCCACATAGTGTTTAGAACCTAGTATCATCGGCCTGATCTTCCACGACAGATATTATCAGAGTGATACATTCAGACATTTCATGAGGTAGTATAACCTTTGGAGATTCCAACGAGATCCTTGAAGCGTCGCAGCCATTCAGGATTATCGGCATGAGTTTGATTCCATGGATCGTCACTGTGATGGTTTAGATAAGTCTACGACATGCGTTTAATGGAACTGCTTACTCTCCATAGGCTATCCATCTAGCCTGATGCCGAAGTTCATCGTCCGTCGGTACATGACTTTGAGGGTTTCGTGGGGATGTCGTAGATGCTACCCACCGGCCTAATTCTCTTCCGAGCCATTCATGGAAGTTAGAATCATTGAGCATGTAGGAGCTCATTTCAGCCCAGAATAACTGATCTGCTCCAGAATCAGTGACTAGGCCTATCGGATCGTCAAAGCCTTCGCCAATTGTGTTATTAACTTGATGAGAATGATCAGAAATAGAAACTTGATCAGGTTGAAAGTTTGGTTGCAAGGACGTAAAACGAGATTGAATCACATCTGAATCCCCTATTGATCTATCAACAGGTTGTTTCTGTTTCTGATTTGCTTGAGGTTGTGATTCATTGGGGACAAGGTTTGTACGCTGTCTGAAGCCGAAGAGCCAATCCGTGGATCCGAGTATAGTGCTGATTAGCCAGGTCGATACTTTGTTATACGATTGTTTCGCGACAGGCCCTTTGACACGCTTGATTATGTTGCATGCCTCTTGTTGTAGCTCAACATCCCAAATATCGACTCGATCAGAACACTGCTGGAGGTCGACGAATTTGCGCAGCTCCAACTCAAATGGACAATCCTCGAAAAGACTCCGCTTGCCCTTAATCTCCAAGGAGGGCAGTCTGTTCTGGCGTCTTGATCGGATGGGACCGAAGAGTGCCTGCTGAGTGATGGCATGGTTTGACATGATGGCATCGCGTAGCCATGAAGTAAATTCATGAGGAAACAGATCGATAGTCGACAGCGCCTCTGAAGCAAAAATAATTCGACAAGCCTCAAGTTGAAGTACTTGATCAGTAGGCATCAATGTGGTCTCTTGAATATGATTTTCCACGACCTGCATTAGCTCCAGGCTTATCAGCTCATAGGCAGAGCAGGGAGAATTTGCTGCGGTATTACTGCCTTGGAAGGGAAAGGGAGAATTTCGCTCAGTAGAAATGAGGTCTATGAACATATTAGTTTAAAGTTCACAACCATACTAACGTTAAGCGGTGCTTCTAACACGGTGGGATAGCATTTTCTACCATTTTGAGGATTGGCTCGTCAAATCCCCAGTCTCCTTCCCATTCTGCCATAGTATGGCCCATCTTAAAGTGTTCGCCGAGATGTTCAACTCGAGCTTGCCATGTCTCGAATGAGACTCTACACAGCCCGCAGCGAGAACGAACCTCGGATATTGTCTCTTTCCAGGAACCCATAGACCATGGAACGAAGTCGGCTTGATGTACCAAGCGTAAGTGTTGCCTCAAATTGTCTTTTCGGATAAAAATGCGCTCTTGGCATGCTGATGGATTATGGCTTCGGATATGGTCTTGATCTGGATCTTCTTGACTGCAAAAGATGCAACAAAGCTTGCCGCTGTGGGGGTGCAATGACTGGGGCTCCTCATCGCGGCACAGCCATCTTTCAAGTGCTAAGTGAATTGATGTCTCATGGCGCTGCCAATCATACTTTTTGCGAAAGGTTTCAGTGCAAAAAGTACATTCAAACGGGGACGGCTTGCGATGTTGTAGCGTTCTCGGAGCCAGTTTTCTCCGTCTACGATTTCGAAACAATCGCTGGTGAGTAGCAGAACTGCCAGACCATGCAGAAGAACTCGAATCCCCGCCAGACGTCCCTGCACTGCTCAAAGATGATGGATAGAGTGCAGGGGCGCATATATCATCATAAGCATGTGGGTCTAGTCATTAGTGAGCATGTAGCAAAAGCAGTTTAAGGACAACTACTCACTGGAAAAGTTCGCCGAGGCTGCACGGGTAATAGCAGAGATGGGAACAGGTTCGTCCTCTGGCGGTGAATCAACCCATCTACGCATTGGACTCATAGCCCGCTGTCTGGAGTACGAATCAAAAAATGGCGTCCCCGGTCTGTTGGGAATATCAACAGGCGCATGCATGGAATGGGACCTTGTAGTTAGTTTGAAACGCCGGCGAGTATTCGCGAACCAGTTAGTAAGCTGTGTTTTTGTGAGGCCAGTAGAGCGCCGAAGGGCCTCCTTGGTCGCATCGTCCGGATACGGGGCGTCGCTATGAACATCGAACCATTGTCTTAAAATTCTAACTGATTCCCGGGATAGACGAGCACACACCTTGGGTGTAGCCACAGTTTGTCCTCCTGGAGAAACAAATGGTTCTGGTCGTGTCGAGCCGGCAAGTGAAGGAGAATCATCCGCGCTATTGGCTAGCTCTTCAGGCCGGTCATTCTCTGGCAGCTATGCTATGTCTTCGGACATTAGGTTTTGAGCCCCTGGAAAAATATCGTTGATGTCACTACCATGACCAATTAGATTGCCTTTTATCCTTTATGTTATTCCCACACTGCTCGGTTTTCAAGCAATATGCATGGGAGGTAAAAAAGCGCACCTATCGTTTATTATGGAATGGTGTGAAGAGCTAGGATTATCAAAGATTTCGAGTTGATTTGAGAAGAAGGGTTCAGTCATCGAGACAGAAGTTGTTAGATCATCGATCCCCTGTCCAAGCATATCCGAAACGCTTTCAAAGTGTATAACTGCCGGGTTAATATATCCATAGCTGGAACTTTCACCGTTGTTTGGAGTAGATTCTGTCATGCTTGCTTAGGGTTGAAGTAATGTTTCAAGGAGTGACAAAGTCTGTGCGACTATCATGAATACTTCAAGAATTAACATTACAGGGAGGATTTACGATTCGTAGTGGAGTAACTAGCATGGGGGCTTAGGAACAACTACGGCCCGGTAAATTCTGGGACTACTGATTTGTCTACTAAACCTATTTATCTTGATAGGTTTATACTTTTTCCAGTTCCGTTACAGTTTCAACACTCTTAGCCATTTTCTACTCTTTCTACATCTACAGTTAACTTCTAATATTCTAGCTATTCCCTTCCTGTAATTATATAACTACTTATGATACTATTTAGCCGTAGAGTTTTGAATTAAGAATTAAATAACTTAACTCATGGACTTTAAAGCATTTACTACTCTTAGTCATTGTTGTAACTTATACTATCCTCCACTAGCATTCTCAACACGAAAGTGCACTAAGCGCCGCTTCACTATACGAAGTGTTTGTGTAGTGTTATACACAAGTAAAAAGACAAACACTAAGAACACAACCCCGGCGCACACCAATGGTGCCAGAAGGGCAAATACAGTAAAGCCATATGAGGCTGACTGGAAAAGGGAGTTCTCACCAAGCTTCCCAGTAGCCAGGCCAACCTGCATTGCCGTAAGAACAATAGCAACATAGACTGTGGCTGCCGTCATCCACGCAAGATGGCTGCGGAAGAAATCTGAATAGCGATTATAGCGGTGGGCGTAGCCGTCCAGGCTGCCTTGCGTGATATAGTAGACGTAATTCAATCTACTGAGTCGTAGCTCTCTGTGATGAAACCTCTGGTTGATGTCGGGGTAGATATGTTCGATATCGAGTTCGCGAATAAAGAGGATCCAATTGAACCAGCTGATGTGTCCTGGCAACAGATGCCTTTCTTTTGCTAGGGTGAAGTCGCTTTCATACCGTATAAGGGCAGCGTAAGAGTACAAGAACCCCAGGGCACACCTGTAAAGTTCTCTTCTTTCGCAGTACTGTACAGTTCCACCAATGTCAACTACTTGACTCATACATGTGCAGGGGTCTTGACAGCACAGGAACTCTTTCCAAACAGTGGGGTCCAGTAAGAACAGTGGCAGAGGCTTGATAAATATCTTGCCTGTCGTCCATACAAGGTGCATATCCATGCTCTCATGGATAATTACTTCTCGACCCATGACAAGATGGATATGCAGCGGTCGAGGGGGAACAGTACTTCCTGCGACCCAGAGCCAGCGTTGAATGTTGTTCAGTCTTCGGATGTCAAGTTCTTCTCGAATAAGATTGTGGTAATTATGAGCCGAGGTGACTAAATCGAGTGACTCTGCACGAAAGGATGCAGGAAACAGCATCATAAGGGAGTCCGTTTTATTTTGCCCCAGGTCGGAAAAAGATTCCAGAAGCTTGATCGAGAATGGCGGTGACTATAAATCTATTAGCTCATCGATCGTTACTTGGGCCATTAAATACCAGACCGAACTTCTATCTCGCAGTGAATCATTCGAGCATTTTATGGAGGTCATTTCTATATTGGGGATGTGTAATGAGCGAGTCACAGATAACAAAATTCGAAACACCGAGAAGCTAGCAGAGATTAGTTGGCTAAGAGATATGTAGAAGGTATCTTGTTCTCTAATGGCAAGGGAATATGGCAGTTATGAATTGCAAATTCCAAATCTAGGACTTTTGAAAAACATAACGTGAATTGCGCGTGCACAGCCTTGATTGGCTCAATGTGTTATGCACAGCCTACAGTCACACCGCATTTTTTCAGCTGACGCGAAAACGAGACGCGTGAAATCAGGCTGTGGGATAAGGCGCAGCATGATGATTTTTTACTCCTTCATCTACCCGTAGCAAGCAAGATGGAGATCATGCTTAGCTTGGGGAACGTCTTTGTCGCGTCCATCGTCCTCATTTGTACCACTCTTTTCCTCTCCTACCGGTCGAGAAGTGCAAAAGGCAATGATAAATCTCAAAAAAGCCCGGCAAAGGTTAGCAGAACATTAAGTCACTCGCTGACATTTTACTGATTAATTGCGCAGGACTTTCGAGGCCGCAATCCGTTCGACATACTCTACGATCCGAAAACGAATACAAAGAATGCCACAGAAGCTGAGGTTGAGTATGAAGTTTCCCATGCCGTGCTATTTCAAACCATTGCTAAGATCAATCTAGCATCATTGCTATTCACGGGCTTGGCTCCAATGTCGACAGAACATGGACCTGGCGTGGTATCGACAAGACTCAGGAGCCAGTCAATTGGTTAAAAGACGCAGATATGCTACCAAACAAGATACCGACTGCAAGGATCTTAGCATTCAATTATGACTCGACATGGTTATCAGATGCCCCAAGGACGCGAGTCGAACTCTGCGGTGAGGAATTAATCCAGAGTCTCCACAGACTCAGACAAGAGTCGGATCGTCCAATTGTCTTTATTGCCCATAGCTATGGTGGCTTAGTTGTTCAGGACGTAAGTTTCCGTGCACCAGTTCATTTTCTTAATATCGACAATATTACTATTCGGTATAATATCAGCTCTAGCTAACATTTCATTCTTGTCTCGACTAGGCTCTTCTGTACGCCCACCGAGAAAAGCAATATCACCACATTCTGCATCACACCAAGGGGTTCATTTCCCTCGGAACTCCCTTCAGAGGAACCAAAGTCCAATGGGTTGCGGATTCGCTAGCAAGATTGATGCGATTTTTTGGCTCACATCACCATCTACTCTCACTCTTGATTTACGACAACTACCAGCTTCGTGACAAAGTTCATAGCCTCGGCCGGCTCAGGAAGACTTTCCCGTTCCCCATCTTCTGCTTCTTCGAGTTGAACCAGACTCAATTTATCAATCCCCCGTTCTTCCCCAATGTATTTCAGGGAATGGTAACAAGCCTCCCTCCCTTAACTATCTTGGTTCTGTAGCTGACATCATCTTAGGTCGTGGAAGAATCATCTGCATGTCTGGCTGGCGATGAGCGCTCAAACCTCCAGACTGACCATCTCAACCTGAACAAGTACTCGGGCCCAGATGATCGATCTTTTCTCAGTGTCTCTGCTGAGGTTATGAGAGCGTGCAACAACGTTAGCAGCCTTACTCATGCTGCGGAATCCGAGACTACTGTCTCAATACAAAAAGTGCACTGGGTGGTTCCTTTTGGCCAGAATGAAGGGTTTGTGGGACGAGATAACATTTTGCCCGATCTTCTAGCACGAATATCTCCAGATTGCCAGCAAAACGCTTGCCAGAGAACGGTTGTGGAAGGGCTTGGAGGCATTGGCAAGTCCCAAATTGCCCTCGAAGCAGCTTTTCGTCTACGTGATTTGGATCCCACATGTTCTATCTTTTGGGTATCCGCTCTCAGTGTAATCACTTTTGAAAGTTCGTACCGAGTCATTGCACAAAAACTAGGCATTCAGCTCCCAGATGGAGAAAGCAGCAATGTTCTACCCCTTATTAAGCAAGCTCTCGGTAACGAAGCTATCGGGAAATGGCTCCTTATTGTTGATAATGCCGATGTCCCATCACTGATGTTCGGGCCAGGGTCCCTGGAATCTTATCTCCCATCTAGCTCACATGGCTCCATTCTATTCACAACAAGAACATCCGAGGTCACGAACATATTAGATGTCCCCTCGTTGGCAATATTCCGAATTGAGGCAATGAGCCCGCAGGAGGCCGCAGATCTCATGGGCACCCGATTATCAACTTCGCAGATGGAAGACGTTGAAAGCCTTCATGCTCTTCTTGAACTGCTCTGTCATCTTCCGCTTGCTCTCAAGCAAGCAGCAGCGTATATGCAATTGCACAGGTTGGGGCCAAAAGAATATATTCATCGTTGCCAGTCCAGTGACAAGGGTCTTATCAGGCTACTAAGTCGAGGCTTTGGCGACCGAACCAGGAATGATGATGCTGAACACCCAGTAGCCAAGACATGGCTCATCTCATTTGTGCACCTATCGAGTAGCAATATACTCGCCAGTCAATATCTTCAGTTCATGTCATTCTTGTCTGAAAAGAATATTCCTTTGTCTATCCTGCCACCAGAGGACGAACTAGAAACCCAAGAAGCCATTGGTGTCCTACAAGCATATGGATTTGTCACAGCGAGAGAAGACAGGGAATTTGTTGATATGCATCGACTAGTTATGCTCGCGATCCGCAACTGGCTGGAGGATAGAGGACAAGAAAAAGAGCGCTATGAACATGTTCAGGCCAGAATGGTAGTTCTCTGTGATGCCGCAAACTACAGGAATCAGGCCAAGTGGGCAAGATACATACCCCATTGTCACAACGTGGTGGCTGAAGATGCTCTATCGACTTCCGCTAAAGCCGCTTGGCGTTTACTTGTACGCTTTTCGCACGCTCTTATAATGACGAATATGCTAAAGGCTGCACTTGAATTGAACCGACGGGCTGAAAAGCTTGGTGTGGCTATTAACGACCCCAATGATGTAGAGCAGATACGGTTCATGTCTTACTACGCCATATCACTTGTTCACGTTGGTAATCTCGACGAGGCAGAATACACTCTCCGGGAAACCCTGCCACGATGTGAGCGGATTTTGAGCAAGCACCACCCCCTTACATTCATGAACAAGAGACTCCTAGTTGGGTTTCCAATAGCACGAAGACAATACGAGGGATTAGAGCAAGTGGCTCGTGAGTTACTGCAAGAAGCCGAAACAGTTTTTGGCAAGGGGAAAAAACAAACCATTCTAGCCGCCTGTGACCTTTGCGTCGCACTTCTAGCTCTCAGAAGATACAAAGAAGCAGAGAAACTAGCTAGGCAATTGCTTGTGCAATCCCGAAGCACCCTCGGAGACCAACACTACGCGACGTTAAGAGCAATGCGCCAACTGGGTAATTCACTGATAAAACTTCAACGATTTCGGGAAGCAGAAGAGTTAGCCCGACAAGCTATTAAATCTGCGGAAATAATACTAGGTAAAGAGCACCCAGAGACGTTTAGTATTGGTGTTTTTCTGGCTAGCATCCTCTATCAGTCGGAGCAGCTTTTGCTAGCAGAAGAGTTATGCCGAAAACTGGTCAAAGCCCAAGAAAGAAGACTCGGTAAAGAGAACCCAGACACACTACAGTCTGCTCACATTCTGGCTGAAACCCTTTGTGGATTGGACCGGTTTTTGGAAGCAGAAGGGATATATCGAGGTAACCTGCAGACTTACCGGCGGCTTTATGGAGAGGGGAATGGCAACACAATATTAACTGCCATTAACTTAGGCTCTTGTCTTCGCTTAACAGGGAAACGCCAGGAAGCTGCGGAACTTTTACTACAGACAAGTGAGACAAGCAGTAGAACCTTGGGCGAGGGCCATAGATGGACAACTCACTGTTTGAAAGAGTTGAACCTCATTCCTTATGAGTTTCATCCACCGAGATCGATCTAGAGTTATATCCCTCCGCTTAGTGATGCTGTACTACTTTTGATTTTGAAGAGAACTTATTAAGGCCTAACTCTTTATCAAATAAGGGAAATATCATAATACAGAGGCTATGCTGATAAGCTCTCAGGCAAGAAAGTTATTCCCAGTGATGGCCATTCCTTCCTTATCGGCGGTGCTGAGGTCTACCACCCTCAATCGACAATATGCTATGTAACAACTCATGGGAGTAAACGGCTATGTCGGGCATTGATTGACTTTGATTTTATGTAGTACAACTTCTCCTATGGAGAATGGAATCAACATGCAAATTCACATTTCTTGTGCAGATTTTGGCAGCCGGTCGTGCAGAGTGAAAGTATGTATTTGGGCATCCACAATCAACGATAGTCAATCAACACCGCCCATTTATTCCACACCAAAGTATCTCTAAAAGTCTATGTTTAACGAATAGAACCCCACCTCACCAGTACACCTGTCTAACATCTACATCATGACCATAGCAGCACAAATAGCAGCCAGACCCAGCCACATCTTGGGCCAGTTTCCAGCAGCGCCGTTTGTCTCGGTAGCAGTAGCCGAAGCACTGGTCTCTGTGGATGTAGCACTCGCGCCAGTTGACTCGGCAGCCTTGTTGTTCTTGAAGTCTGTCTCGCTGGCCTCGTCAGAAGATGCGGTTGCTGACTCGGAGTCGGAGCTGGAGTCGGTCTTGGTAGCGGTCTGCATGGTTGTCTCGCTGGCGGTTGATGAGGCAGTCTTAGAAGCAGCCTCGGAAGATGTTGATGACTCCTCATCATCGTCATCTTCATCGTCGTCGCTGCTGCCTCCGTTGTCCTTCTTGTCGAATTTAATGCTCTTGTAGGATCCTGAGTCGTCGCTGTAGGTGTAGCTCTCGGCAGGGTTGAGGTTCTCGATCTTGATCTTCTGGACTGTCATTGTGTAAGGAACACCATCGTAGTCTGTCTCCCCGCCCGCCCATTCGATCGTGCCTTCCGCATTATCAGGGTCACCGCCGGCCCAGATACCAAGCTTGACACGCATGGGAGTCTGGGGGAAGGTCTCTCCACCGTCGGCATCGGAGTACTTGAGTGTTCGGACAGCAACGTCGTTGACGTACCACTCGATGGACTCTGGGGTCCAGTGGACGGTGTAGTTGTGGAACTCGGCTTGGTTGTTGGGGGCTGCGAAGGTCATGCTCTGTGTGTTGTCGGTGCTCGCTTTGCCGTAGTAGTTGGTCTGAACCTCTGCGTCCCGGCCACCGAGAAACTCCCAGTCCACCTCGTCGAGAACATCTGAAAGAAACACGATAGACGAGACAATACCCTGGCCAGGCGCGGCCTTCATGTGAACCTCCAAGCGGCCAAAGAACATGTACCAGTTGCTCTGGATCGTCGGCGAGGTGTTCTTCTTGGAGACAGAGAACTCAGCACCCTCGGAGGTGTATTCGACATCGCCATGGCCAACATTCTTCCAGTTGTCGTCGTCAGCGCCCTTGGTGAAATCGATCGTGTATGAAGAAGCAGCAAGTCCAGCGTTAGGATCGCATGCTGGTATATAGTTAGCGCATCATATAAACAAAAAGCGGATTTTGTGGTTCTTTACGTACTCTTCTTCATAGGGTTGCACTCGCTGTATGTCTGGGCTGAAGCTGAGGCAACGAGACCTGCCAGAGCGACCTTGGACCAGGAAGGATACATTGTGGAAATTGTGATTTAACGAAAGAAATGATAAAGAAATAATTCGAGTAATTATTATAACTAATAGCGAGTGTGTGTGAGTGTGCAAAGAATGACTGGAAAGAGTGACAGTCCGATCTACCAAAAGATGAACATGCAAAACTTTCGGCAAGTGGGAAAAAAGAATGGACGGGCTACGCGTGGATATAAAAACAAACGAGACATTTTTATTTTTATCCAACTATTTCCTGCTGCGCCTGCGCCTAGACAATCGCAAACTCTTTCTGCTCTAGCTTGGCTGCTAAATCCTGTTGGCTCTCTTTTACTGCAGCTGATAAGCAGCTGAAAGGGGGGGAGATGAAGATGGTCACCGTTATACTGGGTACCGTTGCGTAACCCGGATCCTAGTCAGTGGAGAATGAAAGCTCTGACGCGTAATTAGTTTTCATGTGGGGGGGACGTGTCTGTTTACGGGGGAATTTTGTGTGTTCTTTCCCGCTGACCTAATGCTGGAGGGTGATCGGGAGTGGAAATCGTGGAGCTGGGAGATGTGATTAACTGAATCTGTTTACGAATTATCCAATACGGCCTAACACGTATGAATGAGGCCTCTGCATCACTGCAAAGGTCAGGCATCATCGACTTGCCCTGTCGATCCCAGCGGGTCTCTGCTGATTAGCGGTTCCCTTTTTAGTCAGGTACAGAATCCTGCCCTTGTTCCTATCAGCTCGTAAACATCCCACAAGCGAAGGGCACATGGAGTTGTGACGGTGTCGTATTGACGAGATAAGACCTCAGGGGATGGTCAGATGGTATCTGTTGATGCTTGGCAGTCGGGCTGAGTCAACATGCTGCGATTCGACACCATACGACGATGCTACATCACGTGGAGGACTGGTCTAGGCTTATCTTGGTGAGAGATTTCGGACGAAATCTGTGGTGCGTGGCTTTGAGCACGGATCTTGCTTCCGAGACTTCCAGAGCCCTTGCAGCGCTCACATTGTTAGCGTTGAACCTAATCTCGCCTTTCCGCTTTTAGCCATCGACCTTCGTAGGTAGGTTTGGCTGTGTGTCTAGGGTAGTGCAATGCATTTTGGCTCCCACTTGATAATGTGTCCAGACAATCAGGACTTAGTTATTTGATGATGTTAACAATTGAGAGAGAAATATTGTTCTAAAAGTGCTTTTCGCAGCGATTACCAGACAACTGACGTGTGTTAAATCATAGAAGAATTCGTCTTTTGAAAACCAACTGCCAACTTTTTGCAACTACTGTCATCCACTCCAAATCTTACAACTGCGGCGAACGACCGTTCTACAAATTTCGCTTCCCAAAATAACTTGATCACGATCACACGATTATCTTGATACAGTATATAATTAGGCTTTTAATAAATTACATGTTTGGATTTAATTCTATAATCAATCTTCACTTGCGCGTAGCCTCACTGAGCCAAACACCCAGCTCAACACCCACCTGCGCCCCCTGGTCAATCATACTCAGATGTCCAGCCTTATCGATAACGATAACCTCCCTAGCCTTCAGCGCGTCTCCCAGTCGATGCGCGACTTCCACAGGGAGCCACTTGTCATCAGCGCCCCAGATAATCTTAACCGGCAGCTTTGGCCCAACCTCGCTGTATCTCCCTTCCACTTCTTCCGTAGATCTGGAATTGGCCTGACACAATTCTCTGATAAACCCGCGCTTTCCACCCTCGCGTAGCCAAGGTGCTTTGAGCATGTCCATGGTCTCTTTGGGTAGCGGGTGGTATGCTGCGTCGCTGATGTAGCTCTCTAGGATGCCCTCAAATGCGGTATCTGGGAGCTGTTCGAAGAGCTGGGGATTCTCGGCGATGACTTTGAAGAGAGGCTGTCCGAAGGGTCCGATTGCGACGACATCGATTAGACAAAGACTGGCATACGGCAAGTCATGGAGGAGATATCCTCGTAGACTGACCAAACCTGCATTATCATGTGCGACAACGTGGGCACTCTCATGAGTCCAGTCCGCCTGCCAGGACTTGAACAGGGCAGCGAAAACCTCGGCTTGTCGCGCCAGGTTACTATCATATTCTTCTACCGGACCTGAACTGGCCTTTGCACCATCCAGCTTAGCTTCCGCAGGTGTGTCACCAAAACCAGGTCTGTCGAAGAGATAAACGTGAAACTGGCGTGACAATGAGAGGGCGAAGGGTACCCATACGCGTGACGACCAGGGCGTCCCGTGGATGAATATCAGAGGAGGAAGACTTTTGTTCCCTAGAGAGCCCCATTTCACGTCGTAACTATGTGTGGAAGTTTTATAGTGGAAGCTCTGTGTCAAGGCTGTGGGGTCGTGTGATGAGGTCATTGTGAATGTGCAGATATGAGATTGAGTGAAGATGTCAGCGTATCAATTGAAGTATGATGTTGATATGGTAGTAAGTCTATGGAGAATAAAGAAAAGACGAATTAAGAGTTCAGGCTTTAACATTTATACAGAAAGAGTGGCCAATTTGTGAGAGGGCATGATGAAATGAGTGACGGAGATAAGCCAGCTGTGTGCCCCGCGCCTTTATTTTGACTTCCAGTATCGTAAGCAACAGCCTCCTCAAGATGTCAGATACAGCAACTGCTGTGTTTCACCGCGGTTAAATCTGAGAACATATTAAATAGTAATAGAGCGAATCCTCAGGAGTCTCATTTGTGCTGAAAATGTCTTTTATTCTTAACAATTGGCTACTCCACCATATTCACACAGACTTATCGCCGCAGGGATGATGTAACTCACGCCCTTAACTTGACACCAAAGACAAAAGCCTCTTAACGACGACCCTCCCATTTCTTCACCCTCTCTTCTTTCACAATCATTCAAAAGGCGTATGAGCTCATACCCTCTCTCAATCTTCGTTTATCCATGGTGCAAATCTTACAATGTCAACCACCACCGCCGTCCAGCTCGAAGCCTTTGGCAACGGCATCCACGAGCCCCACGCCTCAATTCTACGTCCAAGAGCTGGCCTTGCGGATACTACCTCAATTCACCAAAATGAAGACCCTGCTCTTGAAGAATCACGTATCGCTGATAGTACCGTTCCTGATGGCGGCTATGGCTGGGTCGTGATTATCGCCTGCGCTGTTGTGGCCTGGTGGGTTATTGGACTCAGCTACGTCTGGGGCGTGTACCAAAGCGCTCTCGTTGAGCGAAATGTTGGATCACCTCTTGCATTGTCCTTCTGCGGGTCTCTATCGCCTGCGCTGATGGCTACTGTTGGAATGCTGGTGTCACGAATGCTGCGCTCGTTTGGCACGCGCAAGCTTAGCTTTGCTGGCATCATCCTCATGGCGCTTTCTCTCATCGGCGCAAGCTTCGTCACAGATCATCTCATTGGACTTGTCTTTCTCCCTGGAGTTCCGTTGGGTCTTGGTATGAGTGGGTGTTTCATGTCCTTCTCTGTTGTGCCGGCGCAGTACTTCAAGAAGAAGAGAGGCCTTGCCAACGGTATAGTGTATGCCGGTGGTGGTTTTGGAGGTGCAATCATGAGTATTGCTACAAACTCTCTTATCGAAAAGTATAGCGTGGAGTGGGCTTTTCGAATCACGGGGCTGTTGATTGCTGCAACTGGTCTCCCTGCGGCGATGCTGATCAAGGAGAGAACTCCCCTCACGTCAACTGGGATTGTTGATTGGAAGTTATTCCGCCAGGCTAATTTTGCTCTTTTGTTCTTTGCTGCCGGTATTGGAATCTTCCCTCTTCTTGTCCCGCCCTACTTCCTCCCTCTCTACTCCCGCTCCATGGGTCTCAGCACAGGAACAGGTGCTGGGCTACTAGCAGGATTTAGTTTCTCTTCTGCCGTGGGACGAATCATGAGCGGCTATCTCTGCGATATTCTCGGACCGGTGAACACACTTGGTGTCTTCTTTCTCGGCAACTCGCTCACGATGCTTGCTCTCTGGCCTGCTTCAACAACTCTTGCACCGTTGGCTGTCTTTGCAGTTCTGAACGGCTTGATGAACGGTGGTTTCTTCTCGTCTATGCCGACTGTTGTGGGCAATGTATTTGGTTCCGTGCGTGTGTCGACGGCCATGGGAATGATGATTGCTGGCTGGGTCACTGGGTATCTCTTTGTAAGTTGCACATCTACAGCCCGATTGGTGAGACAAAACAGACTGACATTTTAGGGATCTCCCATCGCTGGATCTCTGCTCCAATCGCATGGAGGCGCAGATGAAGGACTGGGCGCATATAGGCCGGCCATGTTTTACGCTGGATCGATGTCGGCGATTGCGACTATTCTCACTGTGGTATTGCGGTTAAGGATTAGCAAGAAGTTCATAGCAAAAGTCTAGCGATTTGTGATATGTCCGACAAGATAGAGATACAAAGGGAGACAGATTCTACCACTGAAATTAAAACATGCCTCCCACTACTTCAGTTTCTGCTCTTTGTTTTTTCTCTTCCTGATAAACTCCACAGTCCGTCTTCCACAATCGCGCGGGCTTCCTAACCAGTTGACTTTAGTAATCACTAGTCCTTAACAAAATCCTCCCTTTTGTCCCTTGTATACCACGTCCGTCCTCAATATATCTGAGCCCACCATGGATTTATACGAGATGCATTTCTTAATAAAACATGTCTTGCGACACATTGTATTAGAAGCGATGCGAAATTACCTGGTATTTAAGCTGTTTAATTGTGTTGGCTTATAAAGTAAATTCCAGAAAGAGACAGGCTATGATTTTCCAGTTTAAGAGCCATTGAGCTCCTTTCAGGGGGTTCATTTCCTAGCATCACGGTACAGATCGGGGTCTATTTGATTTGAAACTTTGAGTTGATTAAGAAGTTGAAGAGCTATGTTTCCGAATAATTATCTTTGATCGCGTTTATCGCATCCTTAAGCGCTGACAGAAAATTAACCAGGTCGTTGTTCCTCTGCTTGCTGTATTTTTTTTTATTTTCCTGCTTGCTGCAGACTGAGCTGTCTGTAATGATTAGCATAAGAAATGTTGCTCGGTTCCCATATCCGTACATACCAACTACTTGAAATAGCAGATAAGTCCACAGCTCTGACCGCCATTGTAGTTACTGGCGTGGGCAAACTTGTTTCCCTCATTCCTACCTGCGCGAGCGCAAGCGAGACCACAGTCTTTATCGGTGTAGGGTTCTTTGCCGTTCACAAAGCAATTGTGCCAGAGCTCAACAGATGACTTTTTGTAGTTGCACTGTACATCTCTGTATAAATCCCAGGCACCTTCAACGCCCAGGATGCTGGCTCCAAAGAGCAGAGTAAGAGTAGTGATTTTCATAATTAATAGTGAATCGTGTAAAGAGAGGGAGGAAAAGGTATAGAATGATGGAGAGATAGAGGTCTGGAATAAGGAGCCTTGCTGGACTTATATAGATCTTGTTTTATCTGTTACTATTGTCTACTTCTATCTGCCGAAAACTGACAGGCAGTACTACAACCCTGTATTAAATACTGATAACAAGCGATCCAATAAGACATACTAAAGTCAGTAAGAAAGTATTAATTAGTGGATCGATGAAATGAAATACAGAGGCTAAGAATAATAAAGTTTCGTGTATAAGGGGGCGGTTTATTGCAGATAACCAGTTTAGCACGAGGCGGTGTGGATATATGAGCTTGCACTCAATTAAGATTTTTACTAAGGATCCATATAACTGGGATTCCTCCTGCTGTTCATCTGATTTTAACTTCCAATCCGCGTATTGCAAGGTCAAGGCGACCCGAGGAAGGACAAAGTATGCGGCATTTTGAAAGTTCATAAAGAGCTAGAAGCTTTGACTTTACCACTTTCTGACACGGTTGCACATCCTCTAACAGCAAAGCCCTAGCTAGCCCAATCAGCGTCTTCTAAAAATCAAGTAGATCTGGTCTATGCTTCTGCTCATATATCAGGGAGATGCCTCGGGCATAGCTGACAAAAGGCACGTGGTAATTCTTTTGTCGGGCCGTTGAAGTGCAAATATCTCGGCTCTTGCTTCTGTATCGTGGCATTATTTCCTGCATTCTTACCTAAGATTCAGAATTTTTACTACTATCGGAAAGATAAAACAGAGAGACAGAGCTATCTAACTGACATATACATAATCATAAGAGGAGGAAAGAAAATATTAAGACGCGGCAAAAGCGCGGTGATTCATGACTTAGGCGCCTTTGAAGCGGGAATTTAATATTCTTCAGCTACACTATCTGACTATCTCACGACGCGACACCACGAGCTCTAAGCTAGGGATACTCCAAGTTCAAATCAAGTTGCCCTATTACGAAAACCATAAGTGCCATTCCAATACCACCTGCGATAGCATTCTTAATCCCACACAGCTGGGTCAATATTTCTCCGTGTCAGACAATTGTACCCAGTCGCATTCCATGTATGTACCCTTTTCCCGTTGGCAATAACATTCCGTACGCGCCGCAATTGTTTGATCTCGTCCAGACGAAGTAGCCGCCTGTATTTGCTATCAACGTAGTTCATACTCCCACTTGGTTAGGCACTGGACTGTACTTTACCATTATGCCTTATCCTTCCCCTTCGCCTTCTTCTTTATACACTCAGGACAGTTATTCTCACCGACCCATATAGTGTTCGTAGGGGAGCGTGTCCCCTCACAAACGCCTTTGGTCCTGTAGCCTTCGCACTGTTCAGTGAGACCTATTCTGGTATTGATTACCGTAAAGCACTTCCGGCACTTGCTAACCACGCGAGGTGTACTGCACATTCTGGTAGCTAAGATATAAAATCTAGCGATCTTTGGCGGTAAGGATTTTTGGTGTCTGGGCTGGGGTTTCCTATGTATAGGGAAAGTTTAATAAAGGCTTGAAAGATGAATTGTACGGCGGTTTATATAGTCTTGAGAGTGTTGTGAATAAGTGACAAATATGCTTTTATGATAAGTTGTTATCTGCATGGATGTGGATTAATTGGCAGAATGTACACGAGGAATTAATCACAGCCTCACCTGGTATTAAATATTGAAAACGAGAAAAGCCAGGAATGAAGCCAGATATCGTTTACATCTTTGAGTCAGCGGAGCTAGCCCTACCCATTACCACCACTCGCAATTGTTAATGCTTCATAACTAATCATAGCGTATTGTCAAAGATAACTACGGTCTACGTTTCTTCTCCTCGTTTTTGATAGCGGTGCAAGTGGGACAATTGGTATCGCTAACAGGTTTCATGCGAGTTGTACAGGTAGCCCCATTGCAGACATTATACTGCACATAGTGCCAGCAAGGCATGCCCTTCCCTAATGACGTAGCAAGGAATCGATCGCAGGTAGCGCATACAGTAATGATGTCAATAATATTACACATGTTGCAGTGTTAGTTAGTAAAGCCGAGCAATGTCTCGAGGTGTTGAAATATACAGTGGTTGGCATGGTACGATTTGTGGATATATAGAGGTGTAATATTTAAGCCGAGTTTATTTAATTGGGATGGAGTAAAGAATAGAAAATCACATTAATGATTGGATTTGAGGAAGGACTGGATGTGATCCAATGACAATTCGGAGCATGGCCATTTAATCACGATGTGAAATATTGGTGCTTGACCTATGCCCTTAGTGATTCAGTACTAAATAAGCACTGTCATCGATGATCAATGCAGGAATGATGTCCTGATGAGGGGAAGAAAGAGTTCAGTGAAAAGGGTAGTGTAAAAAATGGGAATAGGTGTCAAATAATCACCGGTAATATTGCATTTATATAACCCAGCGATACTACCTGGGGGAATTACTCAAACCAATCTCTACAAGCCAATAAACTTCAACGAGAAACAATTACACCACGACAGCAACTCTACAACCATACTCAAAAATCAACAGATCCGCAATTCAAGATGTGTGTTTACACTCACCAGTTCACAAAGTGCAGGCGATGCCTCGATATTATCTACGAAGACAATCCTGTCACAAAACAATGCGAAGGTATCAAGAAGGGTGGAGATTGCACTGGGAGGGATCAAAAGGAGAAGGACACAGTCTATATAGAGCCGGAGGACTGCGCAAGCTGTATTAAGAAGGAGGAGGAGAAGGTGGCAAGGGAGGAGGCAAGGAAGAAGCAAAGAACCAGTTAGTAGTATTGTGCAGTAGACGAGATTAAGATACGGTAGAAAATTAAAGCTCAACATTATACACAGGACACTATACAATGCCTTGATTTATAGTAAGAGATTAACAGTGGTTTTCTAAATGGTAGATATATATCATCAAGAAGCTATAACCCTTCCTAGATATCTATATAGCGATTCGGGTTAAAAGAACAAACTAAAGGATTACCTTGTGATTATAGCTTTTTTCAAAGAGTTTTCACAATAGAGGTTAAATCTATTAGTATGTGTGTAAATATACTGAAGTAGGAATTCTAGAGTTTACTATTTACCAAGATATTTTATACTACAGACCAGGCCACATACTAAAGGTATCTTCCATCCCATTAGTTACTTTCATTCTTCATTATTAAATGCAACAAAATGTCTTCCTTGTACATATATCATCTCAGTGAATACCCGCCTCTAGGTCTTCTATTATATCTATAGTTGAAGATACAGATGTTTCATATCAGAATCAAGACTCCTTTTCTTATTCACATTGTGTCATATATACATAAAGCCTGGGATGTCACACCAAGTTACCACCTGTCAATGAAGTACTCAGTACCTATACCACCATATTAAACATCGCACCAAACATCACACCCTTTCAAGACCGACATTGCTATAGAAAATGTGTGTTATACCTCGCTTGGACATGAAATGTCAGGTGTGTCAGACACGCATCAAAACAGTAAATGGCTACGCCCGAAGGTGCGAAAAGTACGAGGAAACGTATAAATGCGACAACGTCTCTTACTGCACTACTACTTACTGGACTGGCGATACTGAGTGTCCTGAGTGCATTGAGATCAACAAGCAGCTAGCAGAGGCGAACAATAAGAAATACTAGGTATTCTGGTCTAGATAGGACACTCTCACAGGCTGTAGATATCTGAGATTTATAGCGACGAATGGAAACTTGCTACGCTTAAATGAGTATATCTCTTTCATTTCCAGTACAGCATCCCGTATGTAGAAGAAAAAACAATACGTGTTCCTCTCCACATATTATGGCCTTTCAGCTACATAAAACCCCAAAGCAGTACAGACATCAGCTCTAAATCTTTTCCACATTGCCCCAAATATGAATGCTTTTCGGAACTATTACTAACCATTAGGAAATTCTTTTACCAGCATGTATACCAATGAGCGCACAATAACAAAAAGCGAGGTCTGCTATAGGACTCTTAATAAGAAGATATTGCTTATCTCGTACTGCAATGGCTACTTAAGTAAAGGCGTCTGTGAGGGAACTAGTATATCCACGAGGTATATATTTATTAGCGACAGTGACTGTCCAGTAACAGGAGGAAGGGGACAAAGAGAGGAAGGAAAAGAAGTGAATGTCATAATTCTTCACTACATGGAAACCCGGACGTGAATATAGCCTAGCTACTGATGCAGATTTCATAATCTGACACTGTGTTCTGGTCACTTGTGAACCGGCAATACATCATGGTAATGGATACGATTACATGACCGCGATTCCGGATATAATCAATCATATGCTTGAAGCGCCGTCAAACTCATCCGTGACCAAGAGCCTGATACACTGTCTTTCAAATTCTGTATCAGCTTTTTCTTACGACCTTCCGTTTTTGTTTGCGATGTCCCTGCGTCATAATCACCAGGGTATGAGCGACCCCTCGTTACCCCGCCTTACCAATCTCCCCCAGAGTTTCAACTGTGGCCTCTTGCCAGAAACGCAAAGTCGTTAGATACTAGAAGTAACTCACTACATCAAATAGTGTATTTCTTCAGTTACCTAAAGATGCCTGAATCACAGATTGATATGAAGGCCCTAAGAGCCAAGTTTCCAGCGCTGCAGCAGAAACAAGTGTTTCTGGACAATGCCGGAGGGAGTCAGATTCTAGGGACCGCGGCAGACTCGTGAGTAATAAATTGTGACGAGTGTTGATTATGTTCTGATCGTTTTCTGCAGTATACGGGACTATTTACTTACCGCAAATGTTCAAATGGGTGGGACATACGAGGCAGGAAAGATCGCCACCAGCAAGGTGAACAAAGGGAACGAAGCAGGTGCGCGATATATTAATGCGCTGCCTGATGAGGTTGGTGAGTAAAATCCTCAGAATTCCTATCTGATCCAACTAGACTAATCCTTGGAACAGTCTTCGGCGCCTCGTCAACCCAGCTTCTGCGGAACCTCGCACTGGGCCTCACCTTTGCACCAGGTGACGAGATCATTGTATCGGCCCTCGACCACGAGGCAAACATTGCCCCTTGGCTCGACCTAGCACAAAGACAAGACCTCCAAGTCGTCTGGTGGAGTCCTGAAGATCAAGGTCACAGTCCCAAGCTCACTGCTGAGAACCTTAAGCCGCTTTTATCCGACAAGACTCGGTTCCTCGCATTTACGCACTGCACCAACCTTCTTGGAACAATCCACGATGTGAAAGCTATTGCGGCAGCTGCGCATGAACATTCCAATGTCTTGGTCTGTGTAGATGGTGTTGCGTATGCGCCCCATCGAGCTCTTGACATGAAGGATCTCGGAGTTGACTTTTACTGCCTCTCGTGGTATAAAGTCTTTGGACCGCATATTGCCATGCTGTATGGAAGTCGTCAAGCCCAGAAACAGCTTCGTCCTTTGGGCCACTACTTTAATGCTGCCGAGACCCTATCAGATAAGCTTGGTTTTGCGGCTGGAAGCTATGAGCTGATAGCCAGCATCTCCACAGTAGTCGACCACCTTTTCGAACAAGGATGGGATGAGTGCATTCAGCAAGAGACGGAGATCCAGAGTTTGCTGCTTCATTATCTGACGAAACGAGATGATGCGATAATCTACGGAGAGCCAAGCTCCGACCCCAAGAGTCGAGTTCCTATAGTCAGCTTTACCATCAATGGCTGGAACTCTCGATCTGTTGTAGCAGCCATCGAAGCAAACTCCAATCTCGGCTTGAAGCATGGCCACTTTTACTCTCACCGCCTGGTCAAGGATATTCTTGATTTGGATACGGCGGATGGTGTTGTGCGAGTGAGCATGGCGCATTACAATACTCGTGAGTCTTGAGAATATGCACAAGTTTTCTTGCTAATCTTTTTCAGGTGATGAGATTGAGACCGTTATATCTATTCTACAAGATGTTATCACTAAACGATGATAAAGGCAAGAACTTAACAGAAGGGTTAGTTATGGATATAGAAAATAAAGAATATTAGGTAGTATTTATCCTAAACTTCCAAGGTTTAAAGAGGTAAATACTAATACCAGAATATCACTACCATACTAAGACTTGTCTTAAGGAAGTAACAATTCTCTATAAGTACAAATACTACTCCGTGATAAACCCATCAATCATACACCATTGTCTGTGGTTAGCCCGTCGGCCAACGGCTACACACTCGCGATGCATAGCGACAATCTTCTCACCGCTACCATTCCGCTTTGCGTCTGCTACTCGCCACTATTGGATAGTGCATCTTGGATAACACAGAGGCCTGCCAAGTCTGGTGGATGAATTCTTCCAGTTTCCCCCGCAGCTCTAGAATTGGGTGAAACATATATGCAGCCACATTATTGGTGACCAGGATTATAACGCTCTTTACTGGACACGGCCGCAGGTAAAATCGCAGTGACTGCGAAACTTATGCATTGCGAAATTTAGTATGCGAAAAAAATGTCTTTCGCGTTGCGGCAGCCTGCACTAAGCATGGCGATGAGTGGGATGTGTGGAGTCGGAAAAAACAGACAACGCAGTCTGAACGGTCCAGAAACGCACACCATGTTATTATGATGGCCAGACCCGATTCGATGACGCTAAGTAAGGTATATCTTTCGAGGTTCAGACACTGTCCAAGAAAAGTCAGAAACAGGTTATCTTCTTCTATTTCCCCTGCCTTAGTTGACCTCTCCTGTATGTTCACCTCGTTCAAACTATTTACTACAGCGTCTCAAGATGGACTACCTCACGGGATTGCGTCTCATGGCTGAAGGAGCTTTATTAACTAATCGAGGGGTAGACGTCATTACCATTCACGGAATTGGGGGCTACGATAGCTGGAAGTATCCTACAAACGGGCTCAGTCAAGATAGCGAGGCTGTATTCTGGGTACGCGATTTCTTACCCATAGATCTGCCCTCAGCTGGGATCTTCACATACAGTTATCCTTCCTCTGCCCTATGCGATGACCAGGGAATCAATCAAACCGCAAGCAAACTCTTAGTCAAACTAAAGAATCTACAGAAAGATAACATCAGGGTTCGTCTTTTACATTATATATTCCATCCCGTCCAGCTCGGCAGTTCTGGAAACCCTATCCAGGTTTTCTAATTTACTAACAAGCCCGCTGTGCCAGGAATCTCGACCATTGGTTTTTATTTGCCATAGCCTCGGTGCTATAATCCTCCAATGCGCTCTTGCTAAAGCATTTGATAACAAAAGTGACCAATCACTCAACGATATTATCACAGCAACACAGGGAATCATTTTCTTGGGGGCGCCGCATTCAGGTTCTTTCCAGGAGCTGTCTACCAGCGTCTTACGAATCGCTGCAGCCAGTAACACAACCGAAGTAACTATGGTTGCAATCAAACTAATGCAGCAGATCTTGGTCAGGTTCGCGAGCTTACCTCAGCAAAGCCTGCAGTGGAAAATTGTCCACTGTTTTGAAGAGTTGCCGTTACCAGATACTGACTTGATGGTGAGCCAGTACCACATATTAACCATTGGTGAAAGGGCCTGACTCACTAATTCTTCTTCAAATAGGCGGTCAACCCTAGCCAGGGAGAACCATGGGCTTTGCCCCCAGTGTTATTATACAAGCATCATCTGGTGAGAAGTCTGGGCTTTTGGCCTGTATTATCCATTCTAACAAAGCATTAGGATCTCTGCCGTTTCAAGACCCAAAAAGACCTTTCCTATGTCAAGGTTCTGCAATCACTGCGAAATATTATTTTTGGGCCCAGCAGCTTCGATACCGCTGACATCGCAGTACACGCAACTCTATCACCTGTAGAGGACGGTAAGGATCTTCCCGCTGCCAATCAACGCTTTCCACTGACGTAGGAAATAGAGGTCCTTGGAAGCCTACAAACTGAAGACGTGTCGGCCAACGTTCCAGACGCTTCTCAGGGAACATGCAACTGGATATTACAGCATGACGCTTACAAGTCCTGGTTGGAGACGCCCTCGCAGCAGTTTCTATGGATCACTGGGAAGGCAGGTAGTGGTAAGAGCACTATGATGAAGTATATCGTTCAGCATCATCGTCTGCAACAAGTGTCGAGCCAAGTCGTTGCACACTATTTCTTCCGCTTTGGAACAAATCAGTCTGTGACAAGCCTTTTAAGTTCACTCTTGTATCAGCTCTTAAGGGCAACCCCGGCCATGCGAACCTTCGACATATTCTCCAGATTCATTGAGAAGAGAGAGTATGGAGGCTCCGACAACACATGGGATAATGATATTCTAACAGAAAGCTTAATGAGATTGGCCGACAAATCAACAGCACTAGGAGATTCAGTATTCGTCTTTGTTGATGGTTTGGATGAGTGCGATGACCATGACACGGTTGTTGCCTTTCTTCAACGCCTTAACACCTCCAGCCCTAGTTCCCGAATTCGAATCTGTATTTCCTCTCGGCCAGGCAACTCCTTCATGCCAGTGGTAGAGATCCAGATGGAGAAAAACAATTCATCCGATATACAGACATATCTTTGGGAAAGACTGTTGGCTTTGAAGGATCACCTACCCCCTGCGTTGGACGTTGCAAAAACAACCCAGACCCTGACAGAGAAGGCACAAGGGATGTTTCTTTGGGCGTCGCTTATGGTATCGCACTTGAGTAGCGATAGGTGCCTGGAGGCACTCAAGACTGAAAAGCACTTTACACCATGGCTTCCAACAGACCTGGAGGCAGCATATGAGACGATCCTAAGACGACTATGGGGTTGGAATGACAAAATTCGCCGTAAGGCTACGCAGGATGCGCTTATTCTCGTGCTATGCGCTCAGCGAGAGCTTTCGCTACTCGAGTTACAGAGTGCCCTAGCCACAACGCAAACGTATTGGGGGGCATCGAACGAAATATACGACAAACAGGAGAAGGCTCCCCTAAACATGACCGCTCAACTCATGACCCTCGGTGGCGGTCTTCTTGAGCTCACGCCTTGGGCCTCCAAATCGACAAACGACATGTCATCCGATGTAAAACCGACAGTACATTTCATCCATTCAACCGTTGGGAGGTTCTTGCTAGAAAGGGCTTCGTGTGCTCTAGGATACGATGATTGCTATTTCGACTTGACTTGTTCAAAAGTGCCTCAGGATTTCCGAGAACTCCAATTGCCGGAGGCGCGAAGGAGAAAAGAACGCAGTGCACAATACCACCTTCGGGTCGCTTGGATCTGCCTCACGTATGTCAATGCACTAGGTACACGCTTCCACTTCCTGGAAGACAAGGTTCCAACATCGTCAGCGCCCTTCCTAGCATATTCACTATCGTTCGGCATGCTACATCTAAGTCTGGCTGACCAGATGGGCGTAACTCCCGTGACAGAAAACATGTGGCAGCTTCCACCGTTTCAAAAGGAGTTTATTGCTCAATGGTGCTCGCTGCATGGCCAGATATTCAAAGACCAGATGCTGTTTAAGCCACACAAGACCAAGGCAGTACACATCATGTCGTACTATGGCTTTCCATGGCATGATTCCGGTGTTTGGGGTTCGAAAATCACAGACATCAATGATGAAGATCATTATGGGCGTACCCCGTTGTCTCTAGCAGCGGCCATGGGTCATCTGGACATATGCGAAATCTTGATTCTCGAGGGTGCCGATATGAGTCATCGAGAGCATGTATATGGTCAAACTCCATTGAGTTTTGCCGTGGCACATGGCCATCAGAGTATTGTTGAACTCCTACTTCGCAAGGGATCCGATTATGAAGATCACATTAGTGGTGTTACTCCGTTGTGGCTGGCATGCCGCAGAAGTAATTTGACTATCGCGAAGCGGCTGCTAGAGGCAGGCGCAAATCCCAATGCTACTAGCACATATACCGGCGAATCATGCTTGTCTCGTGCTGCCACTTTTGGACGCATTAGTGTCACTCATCTTCTTCTAGACCATGGTGCCAAAGTGGACACGTGTGACAAAACTGGATGGACTGCGCTTCATCACGCCGTAAGCCGTGGTCGAAAGAAGACAATTGAGGTTTTGCTCAGTTATCTCGACTTTCGCCAACTACGCCAACTCATAGTCAGTTTCTCCAAGGGGACGTCCAAAGGCTCTTGGGTGACCGCTGTTTTGAGTGCTATTGTACTTTCTGTATGTCGTCAGCGAGGCGGTGAGTCTCAGACGACTTCAGCTTGTAATCGAAACACCCAGAGACCCATCGGGACTGCCGGTAGGAGATTCTCAAAGAAGCCGCCCCTCAACGGGCTTAAGCGTAAGCTAGAAGGAGAGTCAGATGAAGATGACTACGAAGAGGGCGAAGAAGGTACTCCCGGGAAGAAAGCTCGTCGTTTAGATCCAAGTCGGCGACGTTTCGCTTGTCCGTATCATAAGAGAAACGAGTCAAGGTTTTCCAGTGGAGAATGCAACAAAACAGGATTCACAGACATATACCGGGTAAAGTAAGTCCCTCGTTAAACAAAAAGAGACGATCATCGACGGAGACGCCTGTTCCTAATACATAGCTAATGACGGGGCAGAACACATGTCAAGAAGAGCCATAATCGTGCAACCGGTTGGCGGCGATGTCACAACTGTCAACGGCGATTTCTACGGGACGATATCAGGGGCCATGCATCGTGTGAGCGACGAGAACGCCCAAACGATTACGAGGATGGATATGACCAAGACCAGGCCGAAGATCTTCATACGCGGTTCTTGCGTCCTAGTAATAGCTCCGAGGAGAGTTGCTGGAAAAACCTGTTCAGAATGTTGTTTCCCGACTGGCCCGAAAACGAGGATGTTCCTAGTCCATGTGAGTTTACGGATTGCCGTATTAGATGAAGGAGTTACTGACCTTGATGACGCCGCAGATCATGAGGATAAACTCCACCTTCTCTCGACACATTATGGACAGGCTATTCAACAGCACTGCGACATGATAATGGCCCCGAACACGATTTCTCGCATCATGACCTGCCAAAGCGAGGACGAAGTACGACTGATTCTGGGACAGCTTGTTGGGGACCTGGGAAGTAATTCTGGCCTCACTCTGACAACGACTGAACCTATGCCTGTTGTGCTTTCGCAGCAGCTGATGGTCGGTTCCCAAGCCCTGGGACCCCTTACATTCAGACCTCCACCAGAGCAATTATTCCTCGCACCACCAGGTAACTTTAACAACGGAAACCGATCTACATTCTCCCACTCCACTGATTTAATTTCCGATGCAAACTCCAGCCAGCATTTTCAGAGCTACATTTCCACCGACATGTTCACAGATGGCACGGCACCCTCGGACCAAATGTCAACAAATCTTGACTGGCCCGGGACTTATAATAATGAAGATGGCAGCGGAAACCTGTCACAACCTCAACAACAAATGCCTCCAGCGCCTCAGCCATCGACCAACAACATCAACTACAATCTCGGGTACGATGTCCCAGTAGTAAACCAAAGCATAAACCCAGCAAATTCCTTGGTCTACATAACGTACGGTTCTCGAAATCCCTCCTCCTATACAGTCGAGGGTTTGGAGCAGAGTGATCCCCAACCAGGGGGTTGTGATGGGGAAGAAAACAGCGGGTCTGCCTCTTAGGTTGGTGAATATGCCGAGGATTCTGCATTGGAGTTTTGAAGTAAATCAATAGGGATAGGGCCAGAGCCAAAAAGCTAATCGGTGCTTACCGAATTGATATACTAGAATGAAGGATGTTGGATCTTGAAAATGATAACTGCTGCCGCTCTTGTGGCCTGCTCCTGTGCTATATGTGGACTTTTCTGTATTTCACTTATAAGTTAATACTAAAAGTGAGAAACCTGTTATAAGTCAGTCTTGATAAATTAGAACTAGATGTTCTGCCACCGTCAATGTAAACGGCAAACTATAAACGAATGTTGTGCTAGAATACATTTTAACCGAGGTAAAAACCTCTGGTTTTATCAAACAACCCTTCAAGTATCATACTCCGATGGAGAAGAGCAAGTGAATAGATTGATCGTCTTGTTAGAATAAATGTGAAGATCCTAGATATGAAAAGTAGGGTAACAAATTAACAACAGACCTTGTTAGGAAACGAGGTAACGAGGGAGGTGAAGTCACTCACGTAGTATTTTTGTTTCTGACAAAATTGTATATGTAAACCTGCCAGATAGTTTTTCGGTCCACGAACAAGAGTCAGTAGTTCTAAACTTTTACCCTTGCCGAGCAGTCTGGGTCTCATGAAGCCTTCCAACTCCCGGATCCGTAGACCATGCCGAGACACTCCACCCGAAAGGCACAGAGCCACTTACAAACCCCTCAGCCTCCCCCTCGACGCCATCACTCCCCCAAAGCTTATCGCCAGGCGGGAAGAGATCCACGGGGACCTCGTCCTCAGCCATATTGAACGGGGAAGCCAAGTGGTAAGTAAAGTTAATATCGGCATTAACAGATGCCTCGACAATTGTGGGATATCGTATCCTGTTCTCATTGCTTTCCTTCAGCAGAGTTAATGGATAGCATAGCATCTCCAGTAGCTCGTTTATCAAGTGGTGAAGTTTCGTGTCCCCATCCGTCGCAACGAATAGATATGAGTCGTTTGGCACATCCCCCCCGAGAAGACCAAAGCTCTCAATGCCAGCATCAGTGGGCTGGGGTAAAAGCTCTTGAAGGACGCTTTGGTATCTGGTAATCCGAGTATGAAAGCTATGTGCTATCCTGTCTTTGGTGGCGCACAGTTTAAGGATCTCTACGCATTTGCCTGACAGGACTACGTCTTGTTGCCGAAATGCAGTGGCACCTCCGACGAGGAAGCTTTTGACCGCGGTGTAGTTCAGGGTCAGGAAGGTAACATAACATTGGTATCTACCCTCGTTAGCTTCATTCAAGTAGAGTTTCGACTTACAAAAACCATGAGGAAAAGAAAAAGGATTCTCGTCTTACATGGTCAACCAGCAATTCTTCACCACAGCCTGCTCATCGAGGATCAGTCCTAAAAGCCTTGCAGATGCACGAGCCGCCTGAACGCCTTCAACAATCGCAAAAGTCGACTGCAAGTTAGTAGAGGAAGACACCAGCTCCCCTTGAGTAGCAAGTAAAGCTCTAGCCTTGAGCATAATCGCAGACATGTAGAAAAGGTGCATGTAAAACGTGACGCGTCGCTGATCAGGATGTATCTCTGGAGATTGGAAGAAGGTATCGAGACGCATGTAAATAGGTAGACCTGATTGCCACAGCTCGAGATCTTTCTGCATTTGCTTGACAATAGCTGGTGACAGTATCCTGAAGGATGCAACTGTTTGGAGGATGTTGGCTTTGATGACTGTTATCTGTGCCATTTTCTGTTGAAGCATGTCGGTCTCAGCATTTTCTCTTGTGCAATCCAAAGAGCCATTATCCAGCTGCTCTCTTGTTTCCTAGGCGTCAAGTAAGCAACACAGGCCTGTATGTTTCTTTTACTGAACTTGCATGAATGCACCGGGATACTTCCGCACTAGGAATGTGTCCAAGTGTTGCTGTTACCCAGCTTCGTACTGTGATGAGTGCTCTAAAAGCCTTCACATATCCCCGGAATGCTGCCTCTGAGAGACTCGGTGACTTTTTGTCTAATCTCAGTCCGCTGGAAGAACCCAGAAGAATTCCCCAGTCTGCAATGGTTAGACTGTATGCGAAGGTGACTGTTCCGCAGCACAAGGACTTACCCGTGTAGGATATGGCTAAAGATGACTTGGCTATGACATTATAAATCCCCAGACAGCAGCATATTCTCATGGCACGCAGAGGCGCTTTCTCGACGACGTGGTCGAGAAACAACCGAGCCTTTTGATAGAACGGAGTACATATGGATGCATCCCCATTCGGTAGGGTTTGCCTGTCGTATTGGAAGCCAAGAGCACAGATGGCCAGCAGCTCGCCATACGCAATCCTCCGGTCGGAAAGATGATCTGCTCCCCGAGGAGGACCAGGCTGAGTTGCTAAGAATGTGCTCATGATTGAACTGACGTCGCTTTTTGTGTAAATGGGAAACATAGTGCCAAGGTACGAAAAGTAGCAATGTATGCCATCTCGCAGCGCTTGGACAGCCACCTCAGAAGTCTCTGTAGATAGAAGCTCACTCTCAAAAAGCAGGTTGCAGTCGTGGATCTGCTGACTCCATTCAACCCTGGCACTAGGCGGGTCTCGATACGTAACCGCCGAGTCATTCTCCTTATCTTTCACAAACTCAAGCGCTGCTTCTATCCCAAACCCATCACGGATTTTCTCAAACAATCCGTTCGCCTCGTCGGCAGATTTGTCCTGTAAGTAACGGTACAGCGTGACGAAAGACTCGACGTTGTCTTGCAGCGCCTGCTGTCGTCTCACCAGGCCGTCTACTCGCGAGACCTCGACTCGATATGCGCACGCCCGGCCTTTTGATTCGCAGACTCCGCATGCCGGACGAATGCCATCGCATCTCACCTTTTTAAGCTTGCAAGATTGACACGCGATGGGGACTCTGGATGTGCGTCGTGAGGGTGCCAGTTCGGTGACCGGGACAGGTGAGGGATCGTTGTTGCGACCATCGGAGGGACAAGGTAGCAGCGGCCTGAGGTTTGCCATAAGTGATTTATTTGCAAATGAACATTTGTATGTTTTGGAAGTGTTAGGTGAAGGATTAGTGAATTCGCCACCGACACTATTTCCCCGCTTATCGCGTGTTATCTTATCTTATCACACTTCTAATACACAAATACGAAATAAGTCGTAAATCACCCAATAAACAATGACCGATAGGCCAGCTAAGTAATTAACAATGCGCTTGATCCCTTTTTATTTCCATGGTTGGGCTCGGTGATACCGATCTCAATAACGAACAGTTTTCACATAATCTCAAACTCGATGGTAAAACTGTGTGTAGTGGTAGATTTGCTAGTATTGTCGTTACCATAATGCTATTCCTTGGTCTTTTAAATTAATACAGGATATTTAATTCAACCTCTGCATCTAAATATCTTCTAAAGCTGCTTCCCAGCAAACTCAAATAAAACCTTTGCCTTTTCAGAGATATCACACTTATCCATGATAACATCTACCAGTGTTAAGCCCTTCCCTTGCACGAAACCATCCGAGGTAAGAATGCGATCTAGATCCTCCCATGTCTTCACCCGGCAAGAATGGATGGAATAACCCTCTGGCTGACCAAAGAGCTGAGGCGCAGTGCTGTAGTCCCAAGGCGCAACATCATTATACTCCTCGCCCATGCCATGAATGTACCTCTCGTATGTATAACCAGAGTTATTAATAATAAAAATGGTCATATCAACCCGGTTGTGTATGATAGTGCTCAGTTCTTGCGCTGTCATCTGGAAGCTTCCGTCTCCGTCGAGGAGGATTGTGCGACCACTCGAACCATCGTTTGTCTTTGCCTGTGCAACGCCCAAAGCCGCGGGTAGCATGTGGCCGATGGAAAACCACATTCCAGATGCGATGAGCTGGGAAGATGGTGGGAGGATAAGGTCGCGGCCACCTATGATGGGTGTTGCATTGGCCAGTAGGACTGTGTCGTTTTGCTGCAGATGTTTACCGAGATGAATGTAGAATTCATCCTGGTTGATAGCCTCCAGAGGTTTGAGGTCATGGGATGGCTGGAGTCGAAAGTCACCCCACGAGGTGGTATCTTGCTTCTGCAATTTGGCTTTGTTGAGCCTTTTGTTCACTTCCACAAGGACACACCCAACGTCCGCTTCTTCATCCTCAATATGGTTCCTGCCAATGACAACCATGATATCGCGTTCAGGCAGAATGGCCCACCCAAGAGTTTGAGTGTCAGAGAACTGACATCCAAAAGCTAGCACCAAATCTGCTGATTTCACTGCAGACGTCAAGTCTACAGCGCCAATTGGACCAGAGTATACACCAAAGTAGTTGGGCAACGAATTGTCTACCATGCTTGCTCCTGAAGGCAACGTCACAGTAGGAATGCCTGAATTTTGTACGAATTCGTTGATTTGGTGTCTGAGCAGTTCTGTGCCGTTGCCTCGGTCGACCAAGATCAGTGGGCGTTTAGCGGAATAGAGCTTCTGCAGAATTTGCTCTGCTTGCTTCGTGCCGCAAGGCTCGTTCTTATCGTTAGATATGCTGTTTTGGTCGATTGGGCTTTCTAGTGCATGTGATGGCACTGCCGTGTCTACGACATCAGATGGTATCTCGATATAGACAGGACGACTATGGTGCAGTGCCTGCGACAGCACCCAATCGACCCGATCAGGCACTTCTTCAGACTCGACAGTCGCAAGGTCGAGCTGTGCCACAGTGAACTTCTCCGCAATCTCGCGGTACACCCCGACCCTTGAATCAGCCAGCGTGTGATGAATATGCCGATGCGGCCTTTTCCCTCCAACCGATGAAGCTGAAACACGCCGTGCCTGTCGAGACGGTGTACCGACGATGTGAACAACGGGAACATTCTCAGCATAGCTTCCAGCGATAGCGTTAGCCGCGCTGAGCTCTCCAACGCCGTAGGTAGTAATCATTGCCCCGAGGCCGGTCCTTGATCGATGACGCTGTGATCGCGCATAGCCATCTGCCGCATATCCAGCGTTTAACTCGTTGCAACATCCAACAAACTTAATCCCTGACCGCGGAAGGTGGTCGAGAGCTTTGAGGGTGAAATCTCCTGGAACTCCGTACACGTGCCTTGTGCCTGCCTGCCTAAGCCGGGTGAAGAGATATGATGCCAATGGTATCTTCTGTCTCAACATATTGGTAATAAATGATGCGATTCAAGAAAAAAACACTATAATATTGCAGTGAAAATCAGAATACAGAAGCGTTCGAACCAAGCATGAAAACTGACTTTGTGATTTATAATAGGCGGTCAGCCCTATTTTCTGACAATTGGATCTTACAAGAGTGGTATACGTAGATCTCTTCCCCACCTATGTCCCAGATGGAAGCACAAATCAAATCATCAGCTTACAACAATAAGCTTATCTCATGCCCCACTCGCTATTCCCTCTTCCCATTCTTATTATACCGGCAGCAAGACTCACCACATAGACACTTCTTGTCGAGACCACGCCAATAGCTCCCAGAGTAGTCCACAGTAATTTCCATCCCCACCTCAATTCCTTTACTCACCAGAAGAACATGCTGAGTGCCCAGCCACGTAAACCTCTCAAACTGCGCATTGGGCTTGCAGCTATGGTTTGCAAACCTTGTGAAATTCCCCTGCCGTCCCTGCCAGATTTGGTATTTCCTCCCAGCAACCTCACTATCAAGTACATCCTGGTCTTGTATACCTTTTGTTACCAGGCCTACAAATTCTCCAATGGCGACACCTCTATCGAACGGAGCTAAGGATTGGAGGCCATTATTGCGCTCGTTTGAAGTTCGAAATATTTGAACTGCGCTTGGCAGCCTTGGACCACCAAAGAAACCTGGAAAACACTTACAAGCATTGAGAGCACCTTCATTTGACTGCAGTTGTCCGCATAAATCACAGACGTTGGTACCTGCAATGCACACGGCTGTGTTTGGCGGAGGGATCCAGCGAGGATCGTCAGCTCCCCAGGATGCTGTATCAAGAACACACTCATCGATGTGTTCGAAGGTGAACTGAGGGTTGTACTTGAGGTATGTTGATCGAAGAGGGATGGGATCTGATCCATCTTGATGCACGACCCAATCGTGAGGATGACCAGTAAAAGCCCTCTCCGTCGATTCACCAACGATGGCTAGAAGCTGTCGCCAATTCGGATGTAAAGTGTCCGCAGCCACCTCCATCCGTAGTCGCGATGCTCGAGCTTTGTAAAATTTGGCGACATCAAAGCCGATACGATATTTGCATAGACGATAAAGGCCCATGCCCGAAAACACCAGCGCAGCCCAACCCAAGGCGTCCTTGATCTCTTTATATCCACGCCATATAGCCATCTTGTTCCGCAGCTCTTTCTCAATCCAGCCAAAGTCAGTACATGCCTCGGCTATGGCTCTCATACGAGTCTTTGTCGGCGAAAGTTCGGGGTTCATACTGCCGAGGTACTCAACATATGAGTCAAAGAGCTCAACCCAGCGAGCTTGGACAATGACCTCGATGGAGCGACAGGTACGACTAGCCTGTGTGACTCTGCGGCAGAATAGATTGCTTCGACTGAAGGACTCAACATTCTGGTTAGTCTGGCCATGGGCGTCAATGGCCGCTAAAGATCTGCCAGACGATTGGTCCGCGTAGTCATCAGTCGTACCTGGAGCAATGAGATTGACTTGCTCGGTAAGAACAAGAGGCTCAAGAACCAGGCCAGAATGTATTTGTTCCCAAACACCAACAACGAATTTACTGAGCGATAACTCTCGAGCTTGAAACACCCCATCTGGCTTGACTTTTGCTCTTTTTGGGAAGTTTTCCTGTCCAACTTGCATTTGGCGCCTGCTAGAAACATCATCGTCGATAGAGGCTGAGTCACTCACAGGAGCCAGACGCAGGCCGCCTTTACGTTTACGAGAAGGCAAGCTTGTCGCATCACTATGCTCAGCGACGCCGGCATTTCTTTTTTGATTGTCGCTCCTGTCACCCAGAGGCTGGGATTGGCCGAGTGAATCTAGGGATGTCTGACACGTGCCTTCAGAGTCAAAGTCGGAGTCCGAGAAATTTCCCGGACGAAAGGAAATTCGATGCTTCCAATATATCAGCTAACATCCGCATTCGTTTTCCTCAAGCTTACCGATATAAGAAACTCTACCCGCTTATTGGCTTCATAAGTGCCCGTTTCATCATCCGGGCTATCCCCGTCTTGGATAAATACTTTGACACAAAGCAAGGGGTTCCTGAATTGATACGACGGGAAACTCCGTAGTGCAGGTTCTAATTTGTTGAAAAAGTCGGTCTGAAGATTTTTCTGAATGTCTTCCATTTTGGAACACATGCAGAGGGTGCAGTGGTAAAGAATAAAGACGTGTTTTGGTGCGTAGAAGTTGGAATTTCTCCCCAGGTCGAAATATCTATTTTTGATTGAGTTTAACTAGCGGGTGCATTTTCCCGAAAGTTTAACATGGGATTTCTGTCGTCATCAAATGTCATGATCAGAAACAGATGCACAGGCAAAACCGATCCGATAAGCTATCAATACCCTAATGACCATAGCTTGGCTCCATCATCTGGATGGACCGCAGGTGTCGTATGTACGCAAATGGCCTGCTTGGAAATTGTACTTGGCCATCCGAATTAAGCCATATGGATAACTGCATACGTAACAGATTAAGAACATGCATACATAAAACAGATCTTACATGACGAATCGCAAGTGTTCTCGAAGGAAGAGGGGACCGTGACATCCCTACAGTCAAATCTTCCCCAGGGCGCACAGCCAAGCCTTCTGCACAAACCCGCATACCAAGTCCTCATTGGTGACGGAAGTATCCTTCCGCGGTCACCATCTGTCCGAGCCCTGTGCTTTGTTTCGGGTTCGGATTGCAGATTAGTTTCCGACGTTAGTTACCTGTCAGCCTAATAAATGTCTGACACAAATTGCGTGCTGTGACTGTGAGGAACTTTATGCTGCTGTCTCATTGGCTAGAGCGGAACTTTACCTGATGACAAAGCGCCTACCATCTTACTTCATCTTCTTCTCAAAGAGCGATGTAATAATCTTCCTACCGCATTAAACACCTTTATTACGAATTAACAACTATTGCTCTTTTCTGTTAAAATGAATTCACGACCGATTAGCCAACAAGATCTAAAGCCTGGTGTTGACTACACCAGATGTCAAGCCGAATTCGAGATCCAGATGTTACTATTGAAAGACGATATCAAAAAGCGATTCGGGTGGATCTACGATGGGCAGAAAGAAGAGCCAAGTTATCCCTTATGGCCTCCACATATGATGGGTGAGTGTAACCCTGTCTTAAGCTCGTTACTCACTATACTTACAGACCCAGCCACAAGTCCGAAGGAAGGGTTGGGATCGAGAGTGTAGCGGATGGTCTTATTGAGCGTGGGAATGAAATTTATGTTTACTTAAGAGTCTTCAAGCGAAATAAAAACGCAGCGTTTATTATTGATATTTTAGTATATTGGCTGGCAGTTGAGTGTAGAATGTGAAATAGTAAGCTACACCGTACAAGATCGCCACAGTGAGGCAAATACATAGCGGGCAATTACCAAAATTACCAAGACTTTGCAATCTTGCAATCTACCTCGATGCGACGAGCAGACCATCAGAACAATAAAACCTGTTAATATGAAGTGTTGCATTTGATAGATTTTCAGTTGTAGGTAGTATGTACACAAGAGCAGCCACCCTGAGTAAAATTCTGCCTGGGCAGAAATTGGCGTCACGGCCCAGCACCTAGCGTAGACGCCACCCAGATACTCCCGTTCCAAGTATAAGAATCCCTGCAGACATTTTCCCGGGAGATGATTATAAGACACGTCAGAGTGACTACCATATCTATAACCTCAAGCGTCTATCGGTACCCTTTGTTCAGCTTCTTTACCATCTTTGTCTTTCCCCCTTCCCTTCTTGTACCGCGTATTGCTTCATCCATCTTCCAAGATGTCAGACAACCTGGAGCCCGAAGGCTCATTCAGCGACCCCGAGCTCACTCGAGAGAAAACAAATTTGTCCTACTCGTACGATAACAGGCGCGGATGGCGTCGTTGGCGAGTCTTTCATCCTGGAAGAGGAATGTACCACGATGTCAAGCGCCGACTGCCATACTACTGGAGTGATATTACTGATGCATTCACATACCGCACCGTTGCTAGTACAATTCGCATGTACTTTGTCAAGTAGGTATCACGTCTGACAACTATGTGACTACACTAATCTTTCACTTCGCAGTCTCCTACCGGCCATAGCCTACACCCTCGATATGTATCGCCGCACAGGACAATTCTTTGGCATCAACGAAGCCTTGTTCTCTTCCGCTATGGCAGGTATTGTGTTCAGTCTCTTGAGCGCTCAGCCCCTCACCATCGTTGGAGTCACAGGTCTCATCTCTCTGTTCAACTTCACCATCTACGACATCGTCAGCAAATACGACGTGTCCATTTACCCGCAGTTCATGGCCTGGACAGGAATCTGGGCGGCCATATTTCACTGGATTGCTGCTATCTTCAACACCTGTGACTACATGCGTTATGTAACAGACTTTTCAAGCGAGGCCTTCGGGATGTATGTGGGGATTATCTACATCAGTAAGTTCAACCAGCCGTCGCGGCCTTGCGAAAACTGACATTTGATGTGCGTAGTCAAAGGTGTCGAGGAACTCGTCAACGAGTTTGATCAATCGGGGTCTGCAGCAGGATACCTAGCCTGCATCATCGCTATCCTTTACTTTGGTACAGTTTATACTCTCGAGAAGCTCGGGTCTAGTACAATATGGAGTGCGGGGATGCGTCTGATCCTGGCGGATTATGCATACGTGGTGAGTACAACAGCTAAACACCCCAGAAGTCCACCTTTCACAGCGACATAGCTAATTGAATTATAGTTCGGCACTCTTTTCTGGGTGGGCTTCTCTCATTTTCCTGGTACACTTACATCAACACATGTCGAACGAGTTCCTGTCACGAAGGCCTTTTATCCCACACAGGACAGAAGTTGGCTTATCGACTTTTGGAACTTGGAGATCAAATGGATTTTTGTCGCCGTGCCATTTGGATTTCTGACTATGCTCCTGTTTTACTATGATCACGTACGTCACCTCTCCAGTTGGCTTTTCGTTCTTGTTATAAGATAGGTCACTAACACGACGCTACCAGAATGTCAGTAGTATCACAGCCCAGGCTAGACAGTATCCTTTGAAGAAACCTGGTGGTTTCCACTGGGATTTCTTCCTCCTCGGATGTACCACCTTTGTCTCTGGCATTTTAGGACTTCCTATGCCGAATGGTCTAGTGCCGCAGGTATTTTACATCACTAGATACATGCGATATTGACTGACTCGTATTGTCTTTGCATCAGGCACCTGTCCACACAGATTCGTTAACAATCTACGAAACTGAGCTGAAGATCGTCTCAACTTCTGAAGGAGAAGGCACTGAGATACGCAGACCTGTCACCAAAGCCACAGCTGTTGTTGAGCAGCGCGCATCTCACTTTTTCATGGCACTTGGTCTCATTGGAACCATGACTGGACCTCTCTTGGTGGTGCTACATCTTATACCTGCCGCAGTATTCGCCGGTGTATTCTTCGTTGTCGGTGTGAGTATCTCTACCCCTAGTTGTGGATGACTTGTTTGCTTACGTTCTTGTCTAGTGGGGCTCAATCGAAAGCAACGGCATCCTTCAAAAGCTTATCTACCTCCAATCCGAGAAGCGCTTCATACAGCGTGACGAGCCCATGCTACTAATCCCCAGGCGAAAGATCATACTCTACATAGGCCTGCAGTTTGTCGGTGTAGCTGTGTGCGTAGCTGTGTCGCACACACTCGCAGCCATTGGGTTTCCTGTTCTAATCATCTTGCTTATCCCTCTGCGGATTTTACTTGTACCTCGATGGTTCACACTTCAGGAGCTTCAGATCTTGGACGACTTCACGGCGACCAACAAGGCGGTACTAGCAAGCTTGGGGGGTAAGCCAGCCTTGCCGGAGAATTCAAGAGAAGAAGACTGGGGTGTGGAGAGACGGCGGAATGAGGATCAACATGGTGTTGCCAGGCAGAGAGCGGGAAGTATCCACTGGTGAGACATTTCATGAGTGTGTTTACTGGGCTACGGAATGTTACCGGTAGGGTAAAAAGCCATTTACATAAATAAAGAGAGCTACTTGAATCTGTCAGGCGTCTTATTACTTAGAGTTAAGAGAACTTTAAAATCCTATCTCGACTAAGATATTGCTCAAGATTAATTAAATATATCCCACTATCTACCCCACGGGATTTAAGGATTCCAGGACTTTATTTTGAGACAAAGCTTTTAGATATAGGTTAACTCAGGTAACAGTTAATTATGTAAGACCTAGATAATATAACTTCCTAAGTCCTCAGCATATCCCAGCACTGAAAGAAGTAATTAAAGCTATAGTAAGGCAGATTAGTAATTATCATCCCCTTAAATACTTAAGAAGGACAAATACACTGGAGCTAAGGAGCTGCCAAACGCTTCACACCAACCTCGTCACCCAACCTCATTACCAGCCTCATTACCAGCCTCATTACCAAGCTCATCATCAGCCTCGTCACCCAACCTCGTTATCCAACCTCATTATCCAACCTCTTACCCAACCTCATCACCCAGCCGCATCACCAGCCTTGTCATCCAACCTCTTTATCCAACCTCTTTATTCAGCCTCTTTATCCAGCCTCTGACCCAACCTCATCACCCAGCCTCATCCAAAAACCTTCCACTTTGTAACGAGAGAAACGAGCTATTACTATTAATAATCGCGCTGAATACCTTGTACCCGGGATTCTAGTATCCCGTCGGTGGATTGTCGGAAGTTCTTTACAAAAAGATTTATCAGCCTGGACAGCTAAGAATCCTTTAACGATGATACAACTAATATCACACAGAACAGCGATAAGTTAATAAGAGAAGCATACAGTATGGACGCTACAAGCTCTATGGGTATTGATTCCTACTTATGGCCTCGATGCTTGCTAAACGTCAGTAGAGGTACACCGGCTTACAGCATTAGGTACACCGAGACATGAAGACCCAGGCTCTCCCTTGACTGTGGGCTGTCCGGCGTTCCGGGGCGATTCGTTCAGATAACTGACAGCTCGATTTAACCAAATGAGTCACCCAATGATACAGTTCATCTTGAAGAGGGGAAAGTTTAGAGCGGGGAGTTAATTGATGTAAGGGGCTACCATACGGAGTAGTAGAAACTTCATTGACATATACGAGACCCCTAGCTGATATGCCAGGGGTTAGTGATCCAAAGATTAGGAAGAGAATGCAGGATCGGATCAATCAACGACTGAAGCGTTCGTTTAACTAGAGATCTCGTGTATACTTTGAAGAAAGCTAATATTCCATTTGACATAAACAGGACAGCGAAGAATAACTAGAAGAGATCAAAATTGCCTCTTGCAACAGGAGAAAAACATTACTGAACGCTCCATCGTCAATCAAAATGACAACCTCATACCTTATCAGCAGTGCTCTTTTAGGAACCCATTGTCAGACTTCGGCTATACATCTTTCCAAGTATTATCCCAGCCATCAATAGCGATGCTCAAATCCTTTACCGCGTGTTAAGCCGACTGCGATGAAACGGCGCAATTTATCTCTCAGTTCTCCGAATGGGCACATCGAGAGTACTCAAGATGATTCCTTAACCTCATTCAGTTCAATACCACCAGAGCCCTTGTGATAATTGCCAAGACCATGGATGTCGGACAGGAATCCATGGTACCCGACGCTCGATCTAGATTACCCATTACTGGAATTGACATCGCTAATTTGGACTTATTCCCTCCCAGCTTGCGACCAACAAATTTGCAGCTCAGCGTCAGTCACCATCCATGGATTGACATTCTACCAATAGCCGGGATACGAGACAATATTCTACTTCGTGACGAAGCCCTCTATGACAAAGCCGAGCTATGCCGCGACTTGAGAGGGTTTTAGCAAGTGGCACACGGTCATGGCGGCATGAAGACATGGAAAGACCCATGGGACCCTGACGGGTGGGAATTCTCCGAAGCCTTTGCGATCAAGTGGCCATGGGTTATTAGAGGATGCCACGAACTACTTGAGAGCACAAATCACTGGCGCAGAATGAGGAATGAAGCGCCTCTGGGAAGCGGATTTAGATTCGACGAACTGGATATATGACTTTGTACTACAGACTGTTCCACGTTACGAGTCCAACTCCCAAAGACTTTCAGGTTTCAAAAATACAAGTTCTAGACCAAAAAGTACATCGGAGTCAATTGTTGGATCCCATGACTTCAATCTGAGTTGAAAACACGTTTACTTCATTCACGCACGGTAACACTTAGGAAGTCATCAGCTGGGAAGCAGCTACTTCTTTTAGCTTGGGAAACAGCCAGTCCGTCTCATATACTATTGGTTTCTCTTCGTCCCTCAGCCCGGTGAGGTGGATTAGCGGCGGCTTTTCTGACTCCGAAGGCGTAAAAATTACATGAGTGTTTCATCGACTGACTAGAGTAGGAGCTATTGATTGACTAATATGAGAGTGGCAAATGAACATATAAAATAACAGATAAAACAATAGAAGACATTCCTTTAGTGCATGCAAACAGATGCGAGTAGCTTTCTTATCACCTAACTGTTGGCACTTAGCGCTTATGCAAAAGGGTGTTTGTTGCTATGGCCTATTTCGGCATGACTCACCCTTTTTAGACTGAAGCTGAGGCCTCCGACTACTCATAATAACTGCCTCCCGTAATTACTTACCCATCACAATAATAAACTATCACCAAGGCCCTTATCTAATGGCCGCTCGTTTATCCATCTTTTGGGCACCGCAAGCGGCCACATCTTACAACCGTTCTATTTCACAAGCGAGACCTAACGTTAGCAGGACACTCACTAAGATATACAAACTCCCTATAGTCCCTGCTGACCACACATTCGCTTGTCAAAGTGTGCGAACGTATCGTACAGATCAGGACCCAAATCGAAAACAACTTGGTATTACTACAAAGTCGCCCCCGAACACAAGCATTGTAACAGACTTCAATCTCATTACCAGGCTTCAACATCCAATGGACACTCCGCAACAATTAGCCAAGTTGGACACGGAAACATTTGGCTCCAATGTGTCTTCGATCTTGCGTTCAGTGGCGGATTCTGGCCTAGAGACCAAGGCTGAGCATGTCGAGTTGGTTCCGTCACGCGCTGCAGAGCCGCCAACCATAGCGGCCATCTCATCGATTTTAACAACATCCATCAAAGAAGGTGACTGGGCAACACTGAAGCTACAGCAGACCGTCATCCATCGAATCCTCCTTGACCTACCCCTCGAACAACTCCAAGCTTACCGACCAGCCTTGGCGGTACTCGCGGCTGTGGACATTTCCTCTTTTGACCCCAGCAAGGACGGATCGTATTATTCACAAACTTCGCATAATATTAATCACGCAAAACTTCTTGGGCTCTTTACGGCAGATCCGAAAGCAGTCTGGGTTACAGCTGATAAATTTGACGAGGTCAGCTACCGTACACTCTCCGAAAGGATTCACACAGGAGAGCAGATGCGGCCCTACATGGAGGATCTGTTCAACTGGATGGTGGACCCCAACCATCCACCCTTCAAGCCGTGCAGCGAACAGTTGGCACGGTTCCCAGAGACTGCTGCTGCTGTCGCAGTTCAGGTCATGGCCAAGGCAGGTCAAGTCAACGATACCGAGCACCAGCATTATATAATTGACTTTGTTTCCACGAGTGTGCCTATTGGAAAGGCTTGGATCCCATTGCGTCCTCATGTACAAGAAATGGTGCGATCGATAGAGGAGAGGAAAGATGAGGACGAGGATGATTATCTTGACGCGGCAAAGGCGTGGCTCGATGAGCTGGAGAAGTGGGATGCAACACATATAGATGAGGCTTAAGTAGGATGTGGTGGTTTAACAATACATAGCTTATTATGCATTCAGATTATTCATACTAATATCCCTCTCGAGTACACCTAACTATTAACCGACCTTAGCTTGTAACTGGCCTGAACACCGCCTCATCCCACAAGTTCTTGAAACTTACACAGCTGTTATCCTCAGCCGGCCATACCACCTCTTTTAATATTGTCTTTGCTTCTGACCAGGAAGAAATACCCAAGAAATCTGCTTGTTTTCTCAAAGCCACCTGGAAGAATTGTCTGGCGACCAAGAGTCTCCGATCCTTATCTTCTTTCTGGTCTGTTTGAGACCCTATTAAACCAACCAATAACTGCCACAAAACAAACCCTTCATTCCTCGTTGTGTTCTCGTCAGAGAGTGTTGTGGCCATGTCCTGCTGGAATAATGTGATGGTGTATCTGTGGATACGTCGTTCGATTGCTTCGAGTGCGCCCAGAACCCTCTGCATGTAGAATATTGACGCGATGACCATTCCACACCACGGCGATGTAAAGGATTGTTGCTGTGCTTTCGTTGCTTTAGGCTTTTCTTTGCTTATTGATATCGATCGTGCATGTGCCATAACGTAATCTCCCAGGATCTTTGATGCCGGGCCTCTTCTCCAGAAGCCATGGAAAGTCTGTTCTGAGTGCACATCGCGTTGGTTGGCATACACGTCATCAAGGCCATTTGTGAACTCGCGGAGGGTGTCGATAATGCCATACACATCAGCATTCCCTAGCCGTGCACCGTGGGGTAGCGGACTGAAGAAATAGGGAAACAGGCGGATGGCTTGGAGCTTCAGGGCCAAAGACTCTACTCCCTCGCCTCTGTGCCAGACATTTGACATGTCAACAATTCTCTGTCCTGAAAGATCGTCGAGGCTGCTGGCGTATCCTTCTATACGATTTATACCGTCAAGAAGACTCTTGAGACCATAAAGGTAACTATATGACCTGTGGGGGGTGTCAGCATCAAAGATACGGATTGGGTGGGGTATGCAGTGAGGTTACGTACATGACGAAATACCGATTGGCGAGTTCTTGATCGGTTGAACGAACGTTCGGATCCTGGCCACGGCCATTATCGCGACCAGTATCGATGAGGGCCAGTATACCACTGATGTGAGTCTCGGCTGCTAGAAGCTCACCCTGGCAGATCTACAGTGTCTGGTCAGCCTAATAATCGTGCTGAAGAACGGATGGTAGAGTTCCTACCTCTGTGAAAGCCAACGTGGCCATGTGTCGGATGATTTCAGCCTTGAGCTTACTATCTCTGGATGCAATCCACTGATTGATCATTTGCATGACTTCGAGTTTGTGGAATAGAAATGTGGACTCGAACAAGGCAAGGTCGCCATACTGGAAAGAAAAATGCATGCCGGCCAAGAGGATGGCGCTCCGTAGGGCGCCGGGGTCGTCTACCAACCTTGTGAGGCTGGAACAGTCAGCGACTTGGAAGCAACAAGGGTCGTGGAAGAACAAACCAATCCGGACCAGGCATCTTGAAATCGTTATCTGATTCGAAGACTAGATGAAGTCAGTATCATAGTAGACATATGCAAGGATGAACGCGCTCACAATATTGAAACAGCTCGTGGGATCTCAGAGGCATAGCTACACCAAGCTTATTGAAGGCGGTATCTCGATTTAGAAAGCTTAGTCGAAGAGGGATGGTAACACGACTCGCCGACACCATCTCCCGTGATGTCGAAGCCACCTCCCATGGCGCCTGGTCCCAAGGCTGGACATCTTTCTGCTGGGCCCTGCGTTCGCGTAGGGGGATCTTGACAGGCGCATAGACACAGACCCTGTCACCTTTGACACAGCTCGAACTATACATGCAAGACGAATTAGTAATCAGCCTTGTCCGCGGATACGATACGATGGTCAGGGGTTGATAAGGGTCGGGTCGGGTCGCTACCGCACCATTGGGGCCGCAGTTCATCACAGCGCTTGCGACGGTTGCGGCAATTTGAGCATCCTGTCCTGCTGCGCGTGTGGAACTGACGCACGCGTGCAGACTTGTTAGTCAGCGGTCCGCATAGCTTGTCCTCTGTTGGCATGTTCTGTTCTCTGTTGGTTTCACGTTGTGTTGCGCTGCGCTGCGCTGCCGTTTGAGGTGGAGGAATCGGTTGGAAGTGATGAGGGATGACCAATGGACATGTCAGCGCTAGTCTACGGTAGTGATTGTTTCGTGCCGCGTGTAATGACTCAGCAGATCGACAAGGGGTTGGCCAATGAAATAGCTGGTCCAGGTAAACAAATCAGATGTTTCTAGATACAAGACTTCGAGAAGATACCAGAGAACATCATTATAGCAGACAAGACTTCCTTACTCGTTCTAGTGTGGCCCCTTTCTTCAATATATATCTTCCGCTGTCTAGTTTCTTTGACAATTACCATACGACCCTTGCCAAGATGAACCTGGAGAGCTACAGTGCAAAATACCAGAAGGAAAAATGTGAAGATCTTCCCCAGATACGTCACGTCACGTGGCATTATTCATCGCGATGTTGCCTCAATATTCTACCCAAATAACTGCCACAAAGAAGTGCACAGAACCCCCCAGTCTTTGAACACTTATCAGAGCTGTTAATCAAACCAATCATGATTTGGCCGATAAAGGGATCCATCACACAGGCTAGCCAAGAGGATTTTCCACCAAAATGATGAGCTAGTGACATAGGCTGCCCTGTAACTGGCCGGAGCTTTTACACCAGATCCTCCCACCCCAGAGCTTTATCGTTGGAAAGAGGAAGAACCCAACAAGAAATGACAACAACTCTAATGCATAGGTGGGCTGCCCCTTTCTTTCCACTAAAGCTTGGACGCCCATGGAAAGATTAAAAACAAGTAATACAGAGACTGTAGAATAATCAAGTGGAGCGCGCGTCATCATAGTATCACAACAGGGCAATACGTAGCTGCGTATGCTCCGGACCGATTACCTCATGTCTGTCGATGAAATCAAGCCTTTGGGATCGAGAGATTCTTATATAACTTCCCCACTGTCCGAATCCTAAAGTCTAGTCCTCCGGACAAATACAATACACCATTAACAACGCAAAGATGGCACACCTAAAATCATACCTACAACAGCTCGAGAAAGACTTTACCATTGACACGGCAAAGCTCAAATATGTCACCAATCACTTTGTTAAAGAATTGGAAAAAGGTATGACGCGAGAAATGGACAGAAGCAAATTTCACCGCTAACAAGAAATTTAGGTCTTAGCGTTGAAGGCGGAAGTATTGTCAGTGCAAGCCTATATCTTATCGCTAGCTCTTACTAACATCTCAACAGCCTATGATCCCAACTCGGGTTATGAACTACCCAACAGGCGAAGAGAAAGGAAAATACTTGGTGCTAGACCTCGGCGGCACAAACATCCGGGTCTACTCGATTGAGCTCACTGGAGAAAAGTCTGGCTTCAAGGTCGACCAAGTGCAGCACAAACTTCCTAATGAGCTTAAGACTGGAAATGCCGATCAGCTTTGGGGTTTTGTCACAGAGATTCTGGAATCCTTCTTAAAGAAGGCTGGCTTCGACCTCAGTGTCACCACAGATTTGAGTTTTATCTTCTCATTTCCCACGACACAGCGAACAATCGACGAGGGAATTTTGCAAAGATGGACAAAGGGATTTAACATCGCCGGCTGTGAAGGTCAAGATACGGCTGAAGCGCTAAGAAAGGCCATCGCCAAGCGGGTAAGCCACCTTTCATTTCATGCTAAGTTCAACCACTCACACAGCTTCAGAATCTCCCACTCAGAGTCAGCGTGGTGACAAACGACACAACCGCAACGATGATTGCTTCAGCATACCTCAACTCCGACACTGCCATTGGCTGCGTCTTTGGAACAGGCTGCAACGGTGCCTACATCGAGAGGAGCCCGGCGATCTACAAACTCGCATCCGAGAACCTTCCTGCAGACAGTATCATGGCGATTAACTGTGAATGGGGTGCGTTTGACAACGAGCATGCCGTGCTGCCTCTTACGTCTTTCGATATTGCTATTGACGAAGCCTCTCCCCGAAAAGGACAGCAGGCGTTTGAGAAGATGGTTGCGGGTCTGTATCTGGGTGAATTGTTTCGCTTGATCATACTTGATGTCCACAAGCAGAACCCAGACACGTTTTTCAAGGGTCAGAAGATTGAGAAGTTGCAAGAGCCTTATTTCATGGACTCTTCATTTCTCTCAGCTATCGAAGAGTATGTCCCTCTTCTTGATCGAATGATGAGTTGAACGCTAACACTTATTGTAGGGACACATCTGATCATCTTAAAGACGCCCTCGACATGACCGTCTCAACACTCGGCGTGTCGCCCACATACGAGGAGCTCAAATTTATGAAAGAGGCTGCGACTCTCATTACTATCCGCGCAGCTCGCCTATCAGCTTCCGGTGTTGGAGCAATTTGCAAGAAGAGAGATCTTGTGAGATGCCACGTGGGCGTCGAGGGCTCGTTGTTTGAGAAGCATCCTCATTTCAAGCGTGAATTGTCAAAGGCTTTAGGTGAGATTTTGGACTGGGATGACATGCCTAAGTCTAGCAAGGAGAATGTTGAGTTTATGCTTTCGCCTGGTAGTGGAGTTGGAGCGGCTGTTATTGCCTCGACTCTAAAGCGTAACTAAAAAGAACTGAAAATGGCATCGATACAGGCTGTAGCTATTTGTGATCAGATGGTATATTTGATGTGTTGCATGAAGCAATAGAATTCGTTTGAGTATAAGCATTGAAATTGGCTGTGAGGACTTTGAAGTTGATCCCCTTGTTGGTGTTCAAGTCACGGCAAGTTGAACATGATATGGGCGGCAGGACTTAATTCTATGGCAGGGCATATATTAGGCTAAATTCTTACGGTGCAATGCCTCCTATATGTAATCCTTTAATCATACCACCGGTCTTACAAGCCTATTTCAAAGACAAAAGATGACCTCTTGTAGTCATCCATCGTATCAAATCGTTTTCTGCAGACATTCTCGGCCATGGGCCATACCATATCCCAGTTTCCATACCGCCTCACAGCAGACTTCTCAGATAAAAACCAACCACACAAAGAGTGAGCCTTCAGTATCTGATCACAAACCAACGGCGACTCAAACATGCTAACTTCTCGCTTTAGCCAAGCGTCCAACGCACGCATGGGAAAGTTGTTTGAGATCCAGGGATCGGTCTCACCTACCCGGCGGTACGTGAGTAGCTCAGCTTGAATCGCTGCCCAAGTGAGCCCAATTGTCGGCCCAGTGCACTGAATTTTGCTTAGGTCTTCGTGTGCAAGTTCGCATTGGGGTCCGCAACCTGAACCTTGTGAGCCACAACTGGAGCCTGTTTCGCTCATTTCTTCCCATCTTGTGTTCGTATTCGTGTTGATATCAAAATCTCTCTCAACATCTTCAGCTTGGAGTATGACTTGGTGCAAGCAACTCCAGCCAACTTGACAGTCATCACTCCAGTTCTGAATGACTCTAGCTGGCACCGTCTGTATCAGCTCAGCCGCCGATAAGCTTGTATGATGGCACTGCCCCATATCTATCGGTATCCCTATGATCTCTTCTATTGAGACATGCGCTCTGAGGGTAACATCCGCTCCAAAGCTGATAAGGCCTACCAAAATAGCCATAGGCCCGAACAAAGTCTCACCAGCCATGCCTGACTGTCCTAAGAAAAAGGCGGTTACTATGAGAGTATGGACCGGCCCCAATCTCAGTTCAATACCACATTCCGTACAACGGCGAAGGAAGAGGCCGCTTAAAGAATTGATGTTTGGTGATAGCCGAGACCCAAAGATTATCATCAGAGCGTGGCATACCGTTTGAACGGCTGAATGACAGAAAGGATGCTTCCAGCTCGTGGGAATCCGCGCATAGCCTTTGCTGAAGAGTTCGCGGACTTCGGGGCTATCTGCATCCCACCGGCCACATGTGTCTTTCTCTTCGCCCGGAAATCGAGAAAGTACCCCAAAGTCGTGATTTACAACGTCAGGACGAACACTTGAATGTGAGCGTAGGATGGAAACTAGGATTGAGTCCAGTATTGTATGCCCATGATCGTCCAGACTATTTCGAAACAGGTACGAGGGCATCATACAATTTAGAGTGTTGAATATCATGCAGCATGGACCCCCACCGTTGAGATATGATGCTGCAAGGTGGTACGGATGAATGGAAACGACATGCTGAGGAACCTCATTGTTATCATAGTAATCAGATTCTTCCAAAACCTTGTCGAGGAGGCTATCCAGCAAGTCGAAATTTCCAGCCATAATAGCCAATCTCAAGGACTCGGATTGCAATGTGGTGGGGTTGTCTTCCAGGGCCTGGGAAATGATCTCACGAGAAACTGGCAAGTCTCCACTCCCATCAATACCAGAGCTGGCAGAAGTGAGAACTTCCTGAAGTGATTCGGTAAATGACAATGTGTTGGGCATTGAGTCGTACTCGGCTGGAATAGGTTCATAATTGATGTGTGGTACATGCATAGACCATCGACATAACTGTGTTGGAGGCATGGTGACATCAATGTTGCCGGGAAAATCGGTAACGAAAGGACTTGATGGGAGGTCTATGAAAACTGATGGTGTCCACGGACTGGTTGCATTCCACATCTGAGGGGTGAAGGCGGGCGTGGAGAAAGCGGGCGGGATGGTAAAAGAGGGGTTCCAGTTCTTCGCAGAACAAAATCCATGCATGTAGAGTTGGTGGAGGTAATCGACGAATAATCTCCAGTAGGTTAGTCGAATTTCGCTGGGGGTCAGGTAGGTGCATATAACTGGTGCCTAACTCACTTTCGATCATGTTGACCCATACTGATCATCAGCTCTTCGAGTCGTCCCTGAAGAAAGAGACTAGACCTGAACTTCGAGTGCCTTGACAGAGCCATTGCGATCTCTTCGACCAGCTCTTTTGTCATCCGTCGATCACTGACACCCCATCTGCGAAACCAATGGGGATACTGAGATACACTATCCCGGATTCCATTAGTATTTGCCAAGGTACTTGAGGTGTAAAAGGGATGCTTGAAATTGGGAACATACGCAGCATGAAAGCTATAATGCCTTTTCATAGCGTCAGCAATTTCGTCGATTGTTGCTGGTTTGCCATTTTTGCCAAAGTTCCCGGTGTATAGTTTCACTATGACTGGTTTGAGAGATTCCCATCGAGCGTTCCCCTTCTGATTGAGAAACTTGTCCTCATCAGTCTGTGGGAGAAGCTCTGCGGGTAAGTCGAGCATTGGTCAGGAACGTAGTTTGTGATTTGTTGTGATTAAAACGGACAAGAGAGAGGTACAATATATAGTGAAATTGAGGAAGACTTGAAGGTAATACTCGTTGTAATAAATCGGTGGGAAAACTACTATTTTCTACTTACCATGAGAAATGCGAACCATTTACAAGGCGACTCTTGGCGGTGCTGATGAGGGGCTTGAAAACGCCAAGAGCCAATCTGCCTTCGACATTGACGCCACTCACCATGTGATGAAACACCCAGCTGGCGGTCAGAACAGGTCAACTCGTTCAGCCTCAAGGTGGAGTTTCACAAAACGTCACTGACCTATGAGAGTATGTACAAACCGTCACGGGCGAATGACAGCAATTATCACAGGATGATCCTTGCACAGATGTCCGAAACACATCGTGTCTTGTTTTCCACCATCCCGTTCAAAACGTCAGCACCCAATCAATAGTTAGGAGTGGGGGCTTTCATTACAGTTTTTATCGGCGCGGCAGCAAGGGAGGGCATCGGCTGCATTAGCTTCGTTATTTGTAGCTGCCCTCCGCAGCATCAGATTACTATCAAAAGGCGGAATACCAGTAGAGCCAGAAGTAAGACTATGGTGATAGGCTTGATTCAAAGAAGCACATTACCGGTAATGGAAAACAGGGCAAGGATGTTGAGTCCTCGTATGAGACCAGACCATCCCTTCATCCTTGCCTAATCATTCTGGGCGATGTATGGTAGAACTTTAATACTGAAATCACTACATAAATACCCTCTCTTCTCCTCTGTTTCCCATCCTGCTACTACTCATAGCAATCAAGTACAAAGCATACAGACTGGCTGCTCTCCCAAACCTTGTGTACTCTTCAATCTCCCACACTCTCCACTCGAAACCTTTTCCTCTTTACCAGTGGCACCATGCCCCATAAGTCGTACGTGACGATCTATACCTTTCATTCTGAAGGAACACTTCTATTCAGTACTGTGACTAACTCATCATTGTTACTGCCAGAGTTACCTCCAGCACAGCCGTTACACGAGGCTCACCCGGACCTGAGTCGGCCAAAAATGACAATGTCTCTTCCACCGCTCAGGCTTCAAACAACGACACCCCTCGTATCGCAAGAAGGGATAAGAAAGTACAAGCAGAAGATCTCACAGGTCTCGGATCGCAGTTTCTAAATGGTAGGGTTGATGCCAGTCTTTCGAAATGACTGTCATACACATTCATTAATTCACGAAAGCCTAGGGCTATTGGCTAATACTTATTACTCTAGAATGGCCCATGGAGCCCTCCCGTCTGTAGGCTATGTTTCTACAATGGTAGGCTATTACCGTCAGACTATGGGCAGTTTTCACGAACATGATGGTCATCTTTCGTGGCCTTTTCAAGTTAGCAAGCATCCATAGGTAGAAGCAATTGAAGTTCACATTTCCATGGCATTTGTATCCATCGCATCTCTCTTTATAATACAGCACTACCCATAATGCAACTGTATTATAGGTAGCGCGGCGTAAGCGAAGCTTAGTATATATCCCCTCAGATGGTAAGGCCCTTCCCCAAGGAATTATATCTACCTTCCCCCACATTTAGAGAGATCACCGCATAAAAGGACACACTTAACCCATCGGCCATACAATCAACTTCAATAAAAGGGAATCAATACTGTAGCAGAAAAGGATCAGGAGATAGGTTATACGAAACTAACAATGCAGAAGTAGTTAGACCTGTGTTTTTATTAATCATTGCATCAGTCCTTAAACCCCACTGTAACCCCACTGCTCGTATGCAACTGAGGGAGGAAGATGACCAAGAATGAAGAAAGCTGGTTGGTGTAATATAAGATACTTGATTAATTGTCGTCAGACAATTGAAATATCCCCATTGAAATGTGTAGTAAATATAATGAACATATGTCCCTTAACAATAAAAATTCGTATCCCGCTGAGATAATGGATATTAGGATAATATTATGAAGACTAACACGAAATACGCTATAACAGGTATGTACATACGGTATTCCACCAACACCAAGTCCTGAATAAAAGAACCATGTAAAAGCTTCCAAACACGGAATGACTTGCTTTCATCTCTCTTAAAGTTAATTTCACTAAAAAAAGCATCGATACCTAAAATGCGTTAACCCTAGGAATTATTCCCATAGCCAAATACTGGAACCCATACTGTGCATCTCGTACCCGACCTGGCACACGATAGTTTAATCAAAGTAATATAAATAAAGGCAGTTACTTAAACTAACCTAATAAAGTAAGAAAGTAGCTAAAATTCATAACGTACTTTAAAATACCCTAAACGATGATATTATCTCAGGGGGGGATCATAGACAATTACTAAGATCTGGATTCCTTGTTAGTGCCACACTGTCTTGCCTTAGACCAATGAATTTGCGTGAGTAGGACGCCCGGCAGGCCTGTACAACACGAGGAATGGCTACAGCATCCAATCAGAGCATTCAAAACAATGCCAAAAGCATTGTCCCTATTAGCCCATCTCACAACAACGGAGAAATAGCTAGAGGTTTCGCCTCGACCGAACCTTAGCTGCTCTTTCGTTCTTGAATTGAGGCAGTGCAAAGTTCCTGATTGGCTCCTGAATGTTTACCACAGGGTGCATGTAGAAAAGTCAGTGTACGTACCTGATGAGTCTAACCAAGATGGAACATCTTAAACTCGGGCCTACAGGGATCAGGGCAGGTGCGGTGCTCAATTGACGGATGACTTGACATACATCCCTAGTTCCCCACTATGAGCTCAACAACGGCAGCATTTCAGGAGTGTCTCCTGCTCTGCAGCCGCATATAAAACCGTACGTATACTCTTCCTGTCCCGTCTCCTTTCCATTAACTCACACATTAATGCCCTACCTGATTTACCCCAGCCTCATAATCTCTCCCTTTACTTTCCCTTCCTTCCATCCCAGTTTCCACTCCCCAAAGCATTACCATGCCCTCGAAAGCGTACGTCTTCCATCATAACCAGTTGGTCATCTAGTACTATGACTAATGTACTTCCGTTACTTGAAGAATATCTTTAGGAGACTTTAGTACCACCGCCACCCCTGGTTCATCCAAGCCGGCGTCGACTAAAGACCATGAAGATTCTGGCACCTCGACGCCCACCGTTCAATGCATCACTTGCATCCCGCTGAGTGAAATAAAGAGGCAGGAGGATCTTCTGATCGGGATTGGGTCGCAGTTCGACAATGGTAAGCCTTTTACTACGTTGGCCTTCCGCCTCAAACACATTCGTATTGCAGTTCGCCCAAGAATAACACCTACTGGCAATAACAGACCGGCCCTTGGAACTTTCCCGTCTCTAGAGCCCTTCTCTAGAATGGTACCAGATGGAAGCTATTGTGTGGCACCCGATGATGGGTTAAGCGTTTGTGGATAATGCATAGGGTTGCAGAATGTCATCAATTGTTGTCTTGATATATTTATTTATTTTTTGCACCTAACGTACCATTTCAATAAACCAGTCCTCACCTCTTGATAGTATTCATTGAGCCTGACCAATTCTTGAGCTCTTCTCAATTGTCTACCAAACACGTTGTTTCCCAACTCACTTCAACTTTGAATCGTGTGAAACACTTCAGGATGACGAGATCAAGAGATTTTACAGGAGAACACGGATGGTACAATGTAGCAATGGTAATAAAAAGGCAGTCAGGCCCACAGCCATACCCTTTATGTGGTCTTTGTTGCATGTTTGCCCTGGCACTATATTTGCAGTGTAATAAATCTCACGGAAACCTGGACAGAATCCGCTTTAATATGCACACGGATCTGTGACTAGCCAGTGGTGTCAGGTATCTAAAGTGTGCTCGGCCGTCACAGATTCGTGACTGCCAGGGATCTGTGTGGTGGCAGTCACAAATTTGTGACCGTTACCAAGCGGACACAACGAATGACAGTGTCTGAAATTGAGTTGAAAAAACCTCACCGTTTTGCGAGGAAAAACTCGAACAATTTGGCGAATAGAATTTCATGTTCATGTCTTACCACACCCACTTAAGAAGAGTCGGTCAGTTGTTTGTCAGTTCCTGGGACTTGAAAAATGATGATTGAGGCCGTCCATGCAATTTCCCAACAGTGCAGAGGGTAGTATAATTTGATTGAGACTAGGACCCAAGCGACTTGACCTTCTACATTAGTATAAAACCATGAGCCTGCCGAGCTTGACGAAAAATGAGAAGTAGGATTATCCAACATCATCCTCTAATCTTTCCCAACCCCAAACTGATTATCCTTCGGTCTTTATCCGCCATTGCCCTCCGAGAAGAAAGTCAATATTGTTTATGTCCTTACCACATGACATTATCATCAACATCCCTCCTACAAAGATTTAGAGGGGTCTCACCACAGTCTGTTCTGTGACTGATCTGCTGCGATGCTTCCCCAAACGTATGGTCTTTTCGCGTCATATTCTTTTTTGCTTTAACCTTCAACCTTATCACGCCCAGGCTTTCCAAGTCTCTCAATGATATCAACAATAATTTTACGTCATATACCACTTCTAGCAGGAATTGAGGTATAGCAGTTTACTGACCGTCCCGTGTTCAGGGTCTGCTCCGATGCTGTAACTACAGCTGCAGTACGTGACTACAATGAGTCTGTTTCAGAGATCGAATTGTCTGCTTCCACAGCTTCCACAGCTTCAGTCTCTGACCAGTCGCTGGACGATGCGACAATCGTTTCCAAAGGAGGACAGGAGGAAGTACTGATTGGAGTCGGAGCGCAATTTACCAACTAACATCTAACACATGGAAGCTTTGGTAAGCTCTAGTAAATTACTCTCTTCTTCTATTCTATACTAATGATCCACTCGTTTCGATCAGTCTATGTATCATTACAGGCTGTTAAATCATAGCTAACTGTATTATGAATTCCGATTTGGCAAACAATAGAACATCTATCCATGTGAATAGTACGCTTAGTTCTTTTTAACTACGTCTTCCGCCTCCTGTTTCTCGTTTAGTGAATTAATGTATTTGTTCCTTATTTCCACTTAGAGATCGAATTACAATACATTAGCCTTCGACTGCTTTTTTGAAATGAAGTTTATAGAGAAAGTGAGTGAGCTGGCCGAGATGTAAGAGAAAATTGAAAATAACATTTGAGAAATATACCGTCAGAATCCATACAAATTCCCGCAGTAGGCCCATAGGCCTTGTAAATGATCTAGCTAGTCTACATAACAGACCTTTCACCACCATGTCAGATGAACTGCTTTGTCTGTTCATCGCACCAATCCCATAATTCAGCTGCGACTCCATTACCCCCCTCCTCCTTGCTCTTCAAGCTCTGAAGCAGATCCCTCCTCGGACCTGGATGCCATCTGCCCCAAGGGATTCCATATCTACCACCATCTTCAAGCTTGATCTCCGTACTCAGCCCAGCCCAAAGTTCTGCGTAGGCTCCTCGCTTTGGCGGATGGAGAAAGACTTTGTTTGGCACCCTAAGAAGCCACGGTACACGGTCCCAGATACCGGTCGATAGGTTACCTGGGTTCTGACAAATGCAAACAATTCCATCGCCTCTGACTCGTCGATCGAACTCAGAAGCGAGGAACCAGTTAGCCGTCTTTGATATCGTGTAATTGCGGGCGGGATCTTTAGACTGATTGCCAGGCGTGAGCTCAGCTAGCGGAATACCCCCAGGTGGAGACGCCATGTCGACTAAACCTGAACCTGAAAAGATAACTCGGGTCGAGGGTCCAGGGTTAATGCTGGCTGTTTTCTTCAAGACGGGAAGCAAGAGCTTTGTAAGGAGAAAAGGTGCCAAGCAATTGATTCCCATATGAGGCTCATGTCCCTGGACGGTGACCTCATCAACTGGTGCGTAGCTCATGCCCGCATTGTTGAACAACACATCGAGACGACTCTCCTGGGCGAGAAAGGCGGAGGCACACGCTGCCACTGAAGCAAGATCATTGAGATCAATGTGAAGAGTCTTGAGATCCCCAGTGCTTCCAGGATGAGCAGCTTTTAGGGCGTTGATCGTCCGGGTTCCTTTGGTGTCGGATCGGCAGGGAATATAGACGGTGCCTCCTTTGGCATAGAGCATGCGAACCAGCTCTAAGCCGATACCACTGGTTCCACCGGTCACCATAAAGACTCTCCCCTTTAATGAAGGGACATTATCTTCCGTGAATGTAGGCCTTCCTGGAAAGAGTTGCGTGAAGGCGGCTTGCATAATTGAGGCGGAGGGTATTGAAAGAACTCTGAGGTGTCAAAGAATGGAGATAAGCTGATTTTGGGATTATTACTTAAATACTTACCTACAGGAGAATTGGAGCACTGTCGATATTTATATACTCAAGTCTGTTGTGGTTTATAATACTTGCGGTCATTCCTGTAAGAAGTCTGACACACCGGGATGTAAGTCTTGTCAGAATACGTTCTCCACAACCGGCATTCTTTCGCAAATACCCTGCCTACAGGGACGAATCGATTCTGAGAAATTAGCGAATTATTGAATTATATAGACTGTTCCAAGTTCAGCGTTGCAACAGTTCCAGTGACAATGGCATCTCCCCTCGTTGTGTTCTCCAAAAATTAGTTGTCTGGATGATTCCACCATCCATCAAAAACCACCATCTTTTGGCAAAGTCCTCGGTGACCTCCCACCCCATTGCATCCCACGGCACAGCCCCCCATACTCTAAGACTTCCAATTTGTAGATCATGCGTAAATTCACCTTGATTGATGGTGGGAAGGGATTTGATGAGCCGATCCCTAAGTGAAGCCCATGGCAACATGTCCAAGTATGAAGGGTGTGCAACGCTCTTTTGCAGCTGGGTAGGCGCTATACCATAGGGGATGTTATTGACTGGGGCTCTGATGTGAAAGCCGGGCTTGACTTGGCAGTCAAGGTTGAGACATTGGGCGATGGCTACCATGGCAGCAGAGGAGGTCATGTCTGACAGGACGAGAAAATGGGTGTCAGTCATGGGCGCTTGTGGCATGTGCTGTGTATCCAGCAAGCTTGGGTTGAACACATCCACAAACGCGGCACCTAGACCTTCTGTGGATGGTTGCTCGCGACTACAAGCAGCATCTGTCCTCACCAGGGCGCCAGTTTCTATATCATTGACATCATTCTGTTTTGCTTTCTGTTGTCTGACAGAAAGTCGCGAGCCTGCAATATTATTAGTTAAACACCTCCTACTTTAGATACTACGGCACATACGCCTCGCCCGTTGAGAGAGCCGGTTTTGGATCCGCTTGCGCTGAGCGGGGTCTGGTACAGTGGTCCAATCATCCGCATTGGATTGCACAAAAGGTTCCCAGTTGGGCTTCATAATGGATGGGTCGACACGCGTTGAGCGGGAAATTTGATGGCTGCCAACGCAGGAGTGAAAAAGTACAGATGGCAGTTACTGTTTTTGCTGGACAAAAAGAAATGAAAGAGAGCTGATTACTCTGACTTGTCCACTTCTGACATTTCTGACCGGTGGACCTGTCAGATTGCATAAACTCAGTAAGCTATCCAATCACAACTCAGGCTCATCCGTACCCTTGTATTGTTGTCTGTTTCTGTATTTATCAGCCAAGGTCCGCACCTCAGGCTTATGTTCTATACTAAATCTTGTAGTATTTCAACAAGAGCAGGACAATGATATGACACGCTTGTTCACATGTTGCACAAAAACAAAGTAATAGCTTTTGGTAGGCGTGAAGTTCTGGCGTGTCGTCCATGGGGGATCGCATTAGATGGGGATCTTGACGATAGAATATAATGTGTGGACTGGCTGGACCTAGAAGTAGACATCAAGTCTTTCTTGAAATTTACCAAGTTGGTTCAGAGCAAAGGAGATATGAGTGCATGAGAATATTCTTACCTTAACTGGATAACAGAGTGTCTCTACCCTTGTTCGGAGTTTTAAAATAATAACAGGGCTGGATTGACAAAAGACAGGAAATCCCTAATTAGAAGGCTGTGATCATCGAATTCAAACAGGTGCGGTAGGTTGGTCTCTGTCACGATGGGAGATATAGAGATGTCCATAATATAATGGTGTCATAACCGTCTTGTAAACTAAGACTGGTTGGGTGTGAAGAACCACGGGAATACAAACCCTACATCCCCACGGAGAATAAGGTTGTATCGTGGAACCGGGACCAACTTATAGCGCAAAGCTTTACTTAAGCTTATCTAAAGACCTACCTAACATGGCAATTTTGTCTGTCCATCCTGCCCATCGCTTGGAACTATCGTGCATGCCAAGAATACCCCTCAGTTCGTCAGTAGATACTCGCATTAAACTCGGCTAGAGTGCGGAGTTTGTTACAACAGGAGGAATAATTGATGTCATGCTTTGGAAATGCAACATGGTGATTTAAGAACGGAGTCAAGATCAAGCGCCGGTCGGTATGTGGGCAGGGACATTAATTCCCGCCTTGTGATATTTAAGCTACTGTAGATCCTCCTCAACTCGTGATAGTTTCGTCGACACACGACAAGACTCACGGTTCGACAGGATGACTCACGGTATGACACAGCACGTTCTCGCTTTTGCAGCTCTTGCATCAGTAGTCACTGCCCAGTCGGGGGGTATCCAGACTGGTCTGCGATATGGCGAGAACTGGGTGCCCACGATCAAAGACTCCAGTCTCGTTGCAGCCAATTTTCCTGATGTTAACATCACACTTCGGTCTCCGGCGTTTTTGAACCCAGAAAGAGTCCCCGTTCGTTTCGCCAATGGCTCAGAAGGGCCGACCGATGATATTGAACTTGGTAATTATTCTCCTTCTACTGATGTGAACATTATGGCTAATGCCAACAAGACTACTTCATTAGAAACCTTGCTCAGAAACATGACTGGATGTCCTACGAATCGGCGGTCTTCCAATCCGAGGAAGGCCGAGCCATCCCATATGTTTTCCTATCCTTGCCAAGCTCCAACTCGAGCAGCGACAAGCTACGCATCTACCTCCAAGCCGCCATCCATGGCAACGAGCCAGCTGCAGACGAGTCAGTTCTTGCCTTCTTGGGGAAGATGGATGCAGAGCCATCTTGGGCTAAGTCAATCCTGGAGAAGATGGATATTAAGATCCTGCCGCGGTACAACGTCGATGGTGTTGCCTATTTCCAGCGACAACTCGCGTCGAACCTTGACCCAAACAGAGAGCATATCAAGCTCATGCGCGGGCAATCCAGAGGGATCAAGCGTTTGATTGGCGAATGGAACCCCCATATTGCTATTGATATGCGTATGTTATAACATTCCCTGAGAAGGTTGACGACTGACAAATGTAGACGAGTTCACCGCACCAACGATCTACGGCGGACATTACCAGCACGCTTCGGATTCTCTCATCTCAGGCGGCATTAACCCAAACATCCATCCCGACATTCGTGATCAACTACTCGAGTTCTTCATTCCAACTATTGGAAAGCGTCTTGAATCTTATGGCATCCGCTGGGAGCCTTACGTGACGGGAGCTTCCAACCGCACAGAGGGTTCAAGAATTCGCTTCACCGAAGCCGTCACCGAGGCACGCACCGGCCGTAACGCCGTTGGCCTGACGCAGACTATCTCGTTCTTGCTTGAGATGCGTGGCATCCGTATTGCTAACCAGCATTTACAGCGCCGTGTTGCGACTGCTCTGATCAAAATCCAGACTATACTTGAGCTAGCTCGGGATAATGCAGAAAAGGTCAAGGCTGTTGTTGAAGATTCTCGCCAAGACTTTATCGACAGTGATGAGGATATCGTCATCACAGATTCATATGTGCCAGAGAACAGAACCTTTACTATGGTTGATACCCGAAACGGCAGCGTTGTTCAAGCCCCCATTGATTTCCAGCGGACTACTCCCTCAATAGCAAACCTCACTCGGTCTCGGCCCGAGGCCTACGTCATTCCACGGACATGGTCTGACGTCGCTGAAAGGCTTCAGATCCTCGGTCTCAAGGTTGAGAAGCTGAACTACGAGTTCTGAAGGACTTTGGATACTCTCACCATTGAGTCCTCGACTGTTGACCCCGACCTGTATGAAGGCACTTACCTCAACACGGTTACGACAAACTCCACAAGTAGAGAGGTTGTGCTGCCTGTTGGAAGCTACTACGTAAGCACGAGGCAGCAAAACGCAGCTTTGGCATTTATTGCGCTCGAGCCTGAGAACATTGACAGCTATGTTGCTTTCAATATCATTCCTCTCAAGGCGGGAATGGAGTACCCTGTGTTTAGGATACCTCGCGAATAAAGCAGTGCAAGCCCATAGAATTGGAACTGGGAATGCTTGACTTAGTCAATTTGTATCTAGCTACACAAACAGGGTAGACCAAAGTCTTATAACAAAATACCTAAAATGACGCGTCCAATGTCACGTTCATAACGACAACAAAAACAACAGTGAGCCACTGTCAATCCTGAGCAAATGCTCCAGAACCCAAACTGAATCAAGGTTGCAACATGCAGAACACCTCCCCATCACCTTCTGTTCGTTTCTAAATCACTTCATGAATTCATAGTAAACCCTATTTGACGTCGGCTCCTTTTATGTTGTGGTATGTTACACAAAGCGTTTGTTCCGTCTTTGTGACAGATTCACAGACACCAAGCTTGCACACATCACCATTCCTTTGTGATGTACATTGAACAAATGCTCAGAGATGAGCTTTGCGACAAGAATATTCAGTGGTTTAGGTTTCTCGCAACCATAAAAAGGCCCCGAACTACGCGCTCAAATCAGCATATGCTTCAACAATCAGATCCCAATATCCCAACATTAACAGTCAAGCCATATAGTTCCCTTGATCAGCACCATCAATTTATATATCACACGTCTCAACGATATCATCCAAGATGCCAGCTAAGCAAACCAAAAACTCCCACAAGCGCGCTTACACCATCTCAAAGCTCTTTATCAGCGACTACGATAAGTTCCAGCAGGGACTAAGACAGGTCTTCGGTGTCGGTCCAAACCAGGAAACCACATGGGGCTTCCGCGAGGATGAGACAGATTTAACCATCGTCGCTCTTGTTCCGGGACCTGATGATCTCCTGAAGGAACTCCAAGGGTTTGGGTATGTTGAGAAGCAGGCGATGGAGAAGAAGATCTCTGGGTCATTGAAGCAGTATTACAGAAAGAGATCTTAGGCGTGAGAGACAGCATGGGAGTACTGCTTAGGGATAGACCTCCCGAATTAGTTGATTAGAGATCAAGACGATTTGCCTTGAGATCCACAGAAATCAAAAAGACATCCTTTCATGCACAGTACTTGCAGCTCTTGACACGATTGTAACAGTGACACCTGTCGACCTCTCCAAATCAAGCAACCGGACCAGCTCTGAATGGATTTGTAAGGAATTATTTGTGCTTTATATGACCACTTGTACTACCAAGACCCGGGTTAGATGTCCAGAGCCAAGCAATGTTTCACTCCATCACATAGCTTCACTTGCCAGTTTTTGAGCTTTCATCACCATGATGCTGTGATCTCCTTAGTCCAAGCGTCGTCCAGAGGTTTCAGCTCCATGCCTATCTATGTCTCAAGCCATTCATATCGAACAAGTAACATCCTTTGAGTCCTGTCGTGTTGATGATTCAGTAACCGATTCCAAGTATAAAAAGCAGCCTTTGCCTTCCTGAAATCTGAACTCAAACTCAACAACAATTCCCACTGCAGCACAAATACAAACTAGAAACTTGATCAACTTTATAACCGACCACACTCATCAAGGTTTCCAAAATGGAAAGAATTAACGATCGCGGCGAGCCCTACTACACTCATGTTATCCCCTTCGTTATCGTCACGGATATTCAGAAACTCCGAAGTGTTCTGAACGTCATATACCCTACACCAGCAGATAAACTAAAGGGTTTCGAGGTTACTCAGTACGATGTGGGCGACGACTATAATATTATCACCTGGGCCAAGGATCCGCAGAATCTTTTGGAGGAGGTCAAGAAGAAGGATGACAATGGCATCAAGAAGGAATAGTCTCGACAGGGATATATCCCATTGCTGAGAAGCATACTGGGGAAATATCTCGAAGGGAATGGTATTTACACAGGTATGCAAGGGTATAGTAGAAGTGAAAATGAGTTAGGTGACTTCGTAATTGTCTTGTGACTAATGTGGTGTGTGGCTACTAGACTGTTATGTAGGAAAAGTTAAGGTGGCAGAATTGATTGTCCAATTTTATAGTGGCATCCTATGCAAATCGGTAAGATAAGTAAAGTGTAAATCAGTACTTCTCTGGCCATATATCCCAAGCTACGGGCTCCCTCCTTTGGATCCTGATGTTCATGTTCTCAAAGTAACTCACACCTCCCTTGACCACGTAAGTTCCCCTATCCGACTCATCCACCCAATCAATCTTAAAGCTCCTCAAGAACTGCAAAGGTCCCTTGTAAAGCTCCATCCTCGCAATATCTTGTCCCAGGCAAACACGAGTACCGTACCCAAAGCCCATGTTAAACTTGTTATACTCCTTTGCCTTTTCCTCATCCATCCAGCGCTCAGGCTTGAACACCTCAGCGTCATCACCGTAGATATTGGGGTCTCGGTGCACGAGCCACGGGTTACAGGTGACCTCTGTGCCTTCCGGGACGAAGTGGCCGCAGAGTTCGAGGCCGCCTTGGGGAGCGATACGAGGGAAGATGTTGGGGGCGGAAGGGTTGAGACGCATGCTTTCTTTGACGCAGGCGAGGTAGTAAGGGCAGTGTTCGACGACTTCATCGTACTGAGGCATCTCAGATAGGTTTCCAGCGGCAGTAGCTGAGTCAAGCTCGGCGAGGAGTTTCTTGTACACGGAAGGGTTGGTGAGGACGTTGATGATCAGGGCTTGGAAGGCAGTTCCTGTTGTGTCTGCGCCAGCGAGAAGGACAAGAAGAATCTCAGCCTTGATGTAGTTGATGTCCAACGGCTTATCATCCTCATCTCTAGCCTCAATAAATCTGCAACTAAGGTCAGTATCTCACGCCAAGAGCACCGTCAGGTAACTTACGTCTGTAGCAAATCGACACGACCCTTTGTATTACCATCCTCAACATCCTTGAAACGCTGAGCAATAAGACGATCACGGAACCGCATCAACGTTCCAATACCAGAGTCCTGCTCAGGACTCGCCACCATGTACTTGCCCAAGAAAGTACTCTTGACCCAGTTGGTGAAAGGATGCAGCCTTGCCATGATTCCAAAGGGAGTAAGGCCATCGTGGAAGCCCTGGATAAGACCCTCCACATCTTTACCTTCTTTAACAAAGCCGAACGGAGCGCCGAAACCAACTTCCGAGATGATGTCGTAGGCCATAAAGACAGCCCAGGGAGCAAAGTCAAAGGGTTTGTTAGTCGAGGCAAAGTCTCGGTGCAGTCTATCCATCCACGTCTTGATGTTGCCATCAATCAGGGGCTCCATCTTCTTGATGTTGGTGAAGCTGTATAGAGGTGCCGCGATCTTCCTGTACCTGGCGTGCATGTTGGAGTCTTGCATATTGAAGAGGGACTCATCCTTTCCAAAACTGCCAGTGATGTAGTGCTTGGACTTGTTTGCATAGCGGTTATAGATTTTGGGAAGTTGAGTCGCATCGCTGACCAGCACCATCGTAGGTGTGATGCGAATAACAGGTCCTGTAAGATATTAGCCTCATAGTCTCAATTGATATGTCCTTATTTACCATGCTCCTTGTGAAGTTCCTGGAAGACCTGGCACTCATCGGCCTTGACGTTATGGTACGTGATCCATAGTCGCGTAACACTACCCCAGAAATTGCCAGGGACTCCGGCGAGAGGGTGGAAGAAGCGATATTTGACGATCTGATAGACAACACTAAAGACAACATACGCAACACCCAGCAGGGCGAGATTCACAAAGCTTATCACAGCCATTGTCGTCACTCAGCTTCAGCCGCAAGAAAAGGTTAAAAAAAAAAAGGAAATACACAAGGAACGAATTGAGCCAATTGTTGGGGACGAGAAAACAATCATTTGCTTTTTAACCAGGGGAGAAACGTGCGGAGCCAATGTTGTATCAGGGATCGACACGGCACAGTCAAGCGGCTGGCGTCTTCCGGTGAAGACCCATCTGATATAGAACCTGTAACTAAGCGAGACTTGGTAAAGAGGCATTGCGTTGGGTCACTACTCCGTATGCAGATTGACGATCTTCTTCCCAGGTTGTAAAAAGGCCCGTGATTGTTATGCCATGCATTGATTATGTGGGTGGGGGGTTCTCCATGTTCGGTTGCGCGGGTTGCTACTTCATCTAGGGATCAAACAAATATTGCAACTGAAGCACGCGATTTAAATGAAGAGGCCCCGATTAACCTGCCACTCTGAGATGTCGCATGGATTGGAATATGCATGGCTGTCTATCACTCGGGTCACTCTCCAGCGATTGACTCGCAAAAAGCATGTTTTTGGAAAGAGTTGAGGACCAACAGCGTCTCGGAAGAAGAGCCACCGTCGTGCAGTGAAAGATAAAACTCTGACCCCAGTCTTTGATCCACCGACGCTCCCATGAACCAGGATATCATTTACTTGACTCTGAGCAAACGCCTCACAAGATGTGTGTATTGCATCAGCAGCGGCAATCTGCGAGTCTCGATTAAGGAGAAGTTAAATAAGTCTGTAATGACCCCCACCCATATCAATCATCTTTTGTTCTTTACTCCGTACTGTCGTATGATATGATATATGCAGATCCCTGCCGTTCTGTTGGTTAAGGTGCCAAGGCTCCACATTCGAGAAAACATTCCGTAACCGAAAACTCGGAGAAAAGAAATGTGTCGTTAATAAATACGAAATAGACGGCGGCTAAAGCGGGTAGACTAGAGCTAATTTCTCCCGCACAAGCTAGACATTAAACGTTGGGCCTTAGGAAGATGGTGCTCAGACTAAAGAAACTTGTCAGACAGCGGGCCGTTGGCTAGCTGAGACAACTCGAAGATCTTTTCATCAGGGGGAAGAGAGAAGAGAGGGAACCGAGCTAACCGAGGCTTGCTCCGTCAAGTCAAATCCTTGTGCGGTCGTAATGACTGATCAGATGGCTCCACCGGCTCTTGAGTACCCTGTAACCCGGAAGGATCCTAGAAGCCAATCAATTTACTCAGCTCCGCCGTCCAGCGGAGGCAAATGATACATTGTGTTGGTTCCAATACGCGGGAACAAGAATTTTCTCGCAAAGTGTTGGCTTTCTTTTTCTTCCCCTGACTGCTGAAGAAAAGAAAGATGGTTCCTTACCGGGTTTCTCCCACCCTTATCCCAGGAAGATCATTGCGCGAAGGATCTAGGCTCTTGGCACTCGTGGGATCCTCTCCGGACGCGGCAACGTCTGAGCACCAACAACAAAAGCAGAATTAAGAAACGATTGTCATAACGCCTAAAGCATTATCAAATCCCAAATGAAACACCTTCTGCTTGTCTCAGTTGGCTGAAGATGGGGATATTCCTTTTAACTCGCGCTGGACGTTCGTTGCAAGATTGAGAAAATCCATCCATCTCACCTCCATTCATTTTTTCTGTTTTGTGTTTTTGGGTGTGTTTGATTGCTATCCATTATGGTTGAATCGCAGGGCTCGACGGTTAATTCCGTTGCTATTGTTTTCGCGGTCATTAGTTTTCTCGCTGTTGCTCTTCGGCTGTGGGGGAGGACCTGCATTGTTAGGTCTCTTGGTGCTGATGATTGTAAGTTTTCTCCACCCTCTTCGAGGCCGATTTTCTAACTGCTGCAGACTTGATTTGTGTGGGGGCTGTAAGTTCACCATACAGCGTTGATGTATTGAAGTGTTGCTAACTGCTTCAAGTTGCTATCTTGGTCATTCATTGCCTGCACAATAGCCTGTAAGTACTACCTCACCCTCCCACAGACTCTCACTCACAAGGCCAGCCGTCAACCATGGCCTCGGTAGCCACTACACCGACGTAATTAAGCGCGGCACCGACAACTTCATCGCCTACATGCAAATCGTCTGGCTCTCCTCCATCTTCTACAACGCCTGTCTCGGCTTCATCAAGATCTCGGTCCTCGCACTCTATACCCGCCTCGGCGACAAGACGCTCCGTAAAGTCGCCTTCTTCATGATGGGAGTTGTGGGTTGCCAAGCTGGAGCCAATGTCCTGGCATGCATCTTCCAGTGCTCTCCTGTCAAGTCGGCGTACGACATTACAATCTTGCCGGCGGATAAGAAGTGTGTGGACATTAATGCTTTCTACCTGGCGAATGCGGCTGTCAATATCTTTACAGATATTCTTACCTATACTCTGCCGTTTCCGCTGGTGTCGAAGCTGCGTGTGCCGCGACGACAGAAGATTAGTTTGGCCGTGATATTGGGTCTGGGACTCTTGTAAGTATCACTATAACACTCTGCACTGTCCATCACTAACACTCCCTAGCGCATGCGTATCGTCCATCATCCGAATCACCTACATCCCGCCCATGCTGACCTCCGACGACCCAACATGGGTGATCTCCAACGCCATGTACTGGTCTGTCATCGAAACCAACATCGGCATCCTCGCCGCCTCGATCCCGTCGTACAAAGCCATCGCGAAGCAATTCGCTCCCCGTCTCCTTGGCAGCTCTGGCATGTCGTCCAATCGCAAGCTGTCGGGCTTCAAGCAGATGCCTTTGGAGCTGCAGAACAACAGTCTCGCGGGTACTGGTGCGCCCAAGAGTACTTTTGAAACAAACATCAAAAACGGGTTAAGTGATAATAGCAGTGAGGAGGTGCTTGTAATGCCCAATGGTCGCATTGGTGTCAAGACGGATATTGTGTTCCAGTATGAGAATAATGACTTGGAGAATGGAGCTAGACACAAGAGGTAGATGAGTGTTATGGGAGGGGAAGTACGGAATACTTAACAATTAATAAACATCGCACTACTACTCCTAAGACGCCTGTTTATGACATCTAGCACTTAACAATACATGCTACGTGTCCTTTATCGTCTAACTCAGTGTTATTATAGTACACAAATAACCATACACAGCCACTCCCATCTAATACTTGTATCTGGCGATGTGTTCTACCCAATCGTCGAAAGCCTTGTAGTAATGTTGCTTATTATTTGGCTTCCCCAATAAATCCTGGCACATAACCGTGCGGTCCCCCTGAGTGATTTTCGTCGGCTTATACGCTAAATTTCGCTGTCGTTTCAGGTCTGACCCTATAACGCATTCATGCCAAACCGTCTTCATCCGGTTCAACTTGTAAAAGTTCTCCCACACAAAACCATTGCCACTCCCGGCATTTTCCATAAGCCCCGTCAACAACTTGTTTGTGATTGTTATCCACGGGGTGGAATCCTCAGCACGCCGGCTTTCGCTGGGGAAGGATGAGACAATTATCGTTTCAAGGTTCTTGCCTCGTGCGAGAGCTCGTGACATGGCATCCTGATAAAGTCAGCATCAGAAAAACACAGATGGGGAAGTGGTCACTTACAAGATCATCCTCATCAGGCGCAAACTCGAAGGTGTGGAGATTGACCAGGTTCTTCATAAGAATCTGCACAGTCTTGGCATTGACATGAGGAGTGCGATGGCTTCCACTTCCACTTCCCCGATAGGAGAAGCGCAGCGTCTCTAATTCTTTATGGTTCAGGACCACTTGTAATAGCCTCCTCGACAAACCGGGGTTAGATTCCACAGCGCTGTTGTATATGTTGTGTTCGGCGAATTCCAGTGTGGTCAGGGTATCGAAGGAAGCGACGAAGCGGTATATGCCCTCCACTTGATACTCCGTGGTACCATAGCTTTGAGAATCATCGTCCCCGGACATGTCAAGGGATAGCTTCCGCAGTTGGACAGTGCCCTTGTCAGCTCCACGGAACAAGTCCTCCAGGTATTTGAAGAAGGTGACTTTCCCTTCACTCAAGTCTTTCAGCGTCAGTTCTCTCAATTGGAGAAAGTCGATTGCCCTTGTCAGACTGGGCATCACACTCTCACAAAATTCTCCTGCGAATGCGACACCTGACAGCGAGAGCGACTTCAATGCCGTCAGGTCATGTGCTTGTTCCATGGCATCTGGATTGCGGGCCTTAATCTGATCTTTCCAGTCTGGTAGAAAACTGGAATGCCATTTGCTGGTGCTAACCTCCAGACTCTTGAGGGTCGATAACGAGTTCAGAAGCATTGATCGAAGGATGTTCTCGCTGGTGGTGACCAGGCTACCCCATGATATGTCGATGATACTAATATGCTCGAGATTGCTGAGCTCAGCGAGGGGAGCAGCCTGGTCTATCAAATCGCTGGAGCCGCCAGGAACGACACATAGTCGCAAGGCTTTAAGGTTCTTCTTTGCGGCAATACTTTCCGACATGGATCTACGCTCCGGTCAGTATATGCCAAGCACCACGCTATGGACAACTCACTTGGTAAGCTCACAGGCATCAATCACCTCCAAATTGGAAACATTCTTCAGCACCTCCTCCACATATCTCATGACGACTGGCTTATGCTTCTTCCCAGGATCAATCCCACCAATGACCACCTGACGGACATAGTCTGCACAAGGCGGGACAGCCAACGGATCAAGGAGTGTCGAGAATTTCTCTTGCTGGCCCTTATACTTGCCCTCTCTCTTGAGCTGCTTTTTCTGAGCGATGCTGAGATGCGGCTCGATCTGCCGGATGAGATGGGGGATGTGTTGCCAGAAGCCTATGGACACTGAGATACGCTTGTGGAGAACGGGCATGACGATGGAGTAGTGTCTCTTGGAGGTGCAGGCGAGCTTCACCATGCTTGGCGGGTGGTTGACCTGGTGGATGTTAGTAAAGCTGCCGTGGCTAGTGAGGGCAGATACTGACATTTTCAAGAATTGTCTCCAGAATCTCTGCAGGAAGCACTGATAAGGCGTCATCTGGGACATGGTCGTGTTGTTCTACGGGATTATCCACACTCAGCTCTGCAGCTGCGTCTTTGGCATTGGCCTCAGCCTTTGTCGTTTCTTTCTCTTTCTCTTTCACTGGAACTTTCTTCGTTCTAGCTGCTATTTTTCTCTTTGGCTCGGTGGCCTCTTGCGCATCTTCACTTGAGACCTTGCGCTTCTTACTCACCCCAGCTGGCGCCGGTACTACCGCAGGCTTGTCAGACTCTGCAGTGGCCCCGAGGTCGATATCTCGAATTCTGGTGCTTCTTCTCGGTGCCGCCATCTTAATTAGTGATTATTTGTACTGAAGTCAAAATCATTAGAAGAGTCGAGGTGAGAAAGGAGATTTGAGATTTGAGATTATGCTATTTGATGACAAAGACGTCTTACTAGCGTTTGATTGGCTGCTCTCAGAAGAAGGATGCTGCAGCCTGGATTAGCTCGCGATGCAGCGCCCTATTCCCCACCTGCTAATTTTGGAAGTCCCCGAATTGATAAGCCAACGATAAGAACAATAACTTGATTCAAGCTTGAGACAAGTTTCACGTCTCTGAACGCAGATATCATCGACCGACACTAAAGTTAGTGACTATATCAGCAATTGCCAGAGTCTTAGGGCTGTTTATTTCTCATCTTTGGGTGAAATGATCGAGTAAATCTTGTCCAAAGATACCAAGATTATAGAGTACCTAACAGCTCCCTATCATTGCAAAGTCCACCTTCAAAGCCCCAAGCTTCGTCCCTCGATCCAAGCTACAATGCGACCGGCACAGTCCTCCCAAGCAAGATCCATCATCAAGTGGTGAGCTGATCCAGGTATCGAGACACTTTTCACCACCTCATCAACATCCACAGCCGATGCCCCCTCCAGCGCTGCCTCATAAGCTCTTGTATTCTCCTCAACCGCATCAGGCGTCACCAATCGATCCTCCGAGGCTGAAATAAGCAGAACTTTGCGCGTTTGACCAGGATTACTCTCCAATCCCACAAGACTCTTCAGCACATCAACTGCTTGTCCAAACGGCCAAAACACGCTGAGCCCCGTGCGAATCCCCTCATTTGCCGTCTTGCATTCTGAAAGCCATCGCTCAATGACCTCTGCTTTTGTGTCTGACTGGAAGAATGCTGTACGGACTTGTTCTGGCGTATCAAGTTGTGAGCGAGGACTCCAGGGATATTTGTAGCCGTCGGGAGCCTCGACTTTCTCCCAGTTGGCCATGATTTCCTTTCCGCCTCCAGACAGCGGTGCAGCTGCCAGAAGAACCAAGGCACCGAATTTGACAGTCGAAGGGCTGTTCTGGTCCTGATGCGCAAGAAGATACTGCATGTGTCCACCGCCGAAGGAGTGTCCAACAAGAACCATAGGTGGCGCCTCGGGATGTCGATCCGTGATGAAACCAGCTGTTGCAATAATGTCTGCGACGTAGTGGTCCAACGTGGTGAGCAAAGTTCTTGTCATCCATGACATTGACCATGATTTTCCATGACCGCGTATAGAAAGCGAATAAGCGGGAAACCCGTGAGATGCAAAGAATGGAAGAAAATTTCTGTAATCTTCAGCAGAGCAGAAGGCGCCGTGTAAACACAGTATCGGAGGTTTTTGTTTGTCGGTTGAAGGGCAACAGCTCAACAGCTCGAGATCCCCTGACGGAGTAGAAACTGTGAGGGACTGGACTGATGGGGCGGATGAGTCTGTTTCTACCATTGCGGTGTGGTGTTTTTAAATGCTCGGTGTACTTCCAGTTCATCAATTGGTTACTTTTACTGTTGATTCAAGGTGTAAGATGTTGTTAATATGTGCATGACAGAGACAAAAAAGATTCACGTCAGCACAGTAATCTTGACTGACATCAATATCACTGCCGCTAGGTGACTTATAGCCTAGTGCTACTCGCCCGCAGGTCCGAGTTCATACAGTAAAAAGTCTTCACCACGCGTGCTATAGGTTAAGCATCGACTTATGAATATGACTTACTTCGCATGATAGCTTGACAATGCTTAAGATGTAGCGTATCTTGAAAGTATTACTTCATATATAAGCGTCAAGTCTATTTATCTGCAAGAAAGTTCTCTACCAATTGGGCTACGATTTACGCACGTAGTTCACGGGACGAAGAAAAATAATCATATATGGGGTAATCAAAAAAGGAGAAATTGAAAAAAAAACAAGCTTGTTCATTCATGTAAAGATGAAGCAATATCATCTTATTTCTAAATAAAAAAAGAACTGTTGCAGAAAGTGCGATTCTGAAAAGTCAGAGTCTGAAAGATGGCCCATCACCAACTGAAGCAATCACCAAATAAAGGCGCTTGAAAGTATTCGCATGTTGCTTGTGTGGGATGCCTTTCGACGAGCGACTGAAGTATCCAGCGGGTGGTATGAAAAAATAATAATTGTGATCAAAACATCGCGTTTTCGGTATCAGATGTGAGCAAAATCGTAGACGAGTGACCCGTTGCATTTAAGATGGCCGGAGCTTGATCTCGCTTGAGGTGGACTGGTATGACGCTTGTGCAGTAGCGATAATCAATATAAATACTGGTGCATTTGCTGAAATCCAGTGGCATAGCCCATTGGGTAATTCCAAGTGGGATCCATAGGTTGACTCGGCTGGTAGTATGATGATTGAACCGGCTGATAATAATCTGGCATGTAGCTGACTGCAGGAGGATAATACTGCTGGTAAAATCCATCGCTGGTAGAAGGTGGAGGTGAGAAAGATACTGGCGAGTACGTGAAAGGTACCGGAGAAGACGAAGGACTCGAAGGTGAGCTGACAGGCAAAGGCTTTGGTAGAACGCCCTTTGCGTATCCCCTGGGTCGATACGTAGCCAGTATAGCCATCTTGTTGTCCTTGGTCGGGTGATAAATCACATCATGGTCATCATTCGAATTCACTATGATGCGCACAGGTCCTGGTGCACCGTGCACATAACGCTTGTTCAAGTAGAAAGGGTACTCCTTCCAAGGTCCGGCCTGCTGAAGCGGTAGAGCCTCTCTGTTGTGGAACTGGCGAGGGTACTTTGCTAGTCCAAGTCCTGTCGGGAGGTCAGGCACAAGCTTGGCCTGCTCCCTGACTTGCGACGCTAGGATGTGGCGGTACCACCTGTCGTTCTCCAGACCAGCGAGGGAATAGTGCGAGCACTCTGATGAACAGTCGTCCATGTCCTCTGCTGGACGGGTGACCGACAGGCTTCCCATTTGGCTATTAAGCTGGCTAAGCGCTTCAAAAAGTAAGTGCCGACATTGCGAGAAAGAAAGAAAAGTGGTGCAAGTCGACAAAGGTGAGTTCGAAATTGAATATTATACGGTGGGTAAAAGTTGACGCTGAGCGCTGTTTGTGATGGTTAGCATCCAGATTTGATACATCCGGTTGGTAATGTCCGAAAAGACGTTGGTATAGCAAACATGCGTTGTGCAAGACAACGAGTATCATAAGGATTCCGAAGAATGTAAGAGAAACTTGTCTCTGAGGTAATGCGTAGTAAGAGAAATGTAGGTTATGCGACAAGTCAGGCGATGGGATGTTGTCCAAGATAAAAAGCTTGTGATCTCGACGCTGGTCAGAGTTCCAAAGAATTCTTTGACGAAACAAAGAAGTCGCAAGATTTTGTCTTGGCACAACGAGGTGATTAATTGAAAGACAGCGAGCAAAGGCTGATGGTAGGAAGCAGTAGCTGAATACTTGATCAGGTAGCGAGAGGAAGAAATTGTAAGAAGTCAGGCTGCTGATGAGGAAGAAAGAGAGTTTGCGTGCTATGTAAGCGAATGAGGCTGGCTGAAAAGCGACAAGAATGCGAAGACTGCAATGAAAGATGATGTAAAGGTTGAGTTGAAAGCAGGGAAGAAGGGGGGGGGGGGGACTTCTATTTATGCTCGTTTGCTTTAGAGTTGTTATGGTTGAGCCCTACCTTTGCGCACTCGGCATAACTCAATGAATGGGTTATTTACCATGTGCTTCATTTCGTTCGGTGTCGAGAAGATTCCATGTCTACTTCATAGTTTGGCTCCATCATGTTAAGGTTCATTAGGTATCCCCACAGCCCACGTGAAACTTTACACCTCGAGCAAATGCACATGTAAGTTTTTCTCACATGTTCAAGACCTACTTTCACTCAAACACATCACATCCGAGATAGTATCGAGCACGAAATAATTGACGATTATAAGGCTTCTACCACAACGGGAGACAACCCCGAAGCGACAACTTTGCAGTCTGATGGAAATTAGGTGGAACTAGACTAGGTGGGAAAAGCTAATGTCGATATGATATCGAAAAGAACGACGTGAACACTGTTGCGAGAGACAACGCGGAAGGCGACGTAGGTGCAGCCTCAGTTTGTTTTTGAACATCCCCGCTCTCCTGAGGACATCTCAAAAGTTAGGAAAGCTACCGTGGCAACAGGATATTGAAAACCACTTAGTTCTTTGAAATTCCATAGGACGCTATATGACCTTCTCAGATGACGTGGAGTCATTCACTCAAAGGTGAAAGAATGGAACTGGAAAGCCACAAAGAACTTGTGGTGATGTGTTCAATCTTGAGTGGGGTGTTTGATTGAACTTGGTGTCGTGAGTGTGTCTCTCGGGTTTACTAAGAATTAAGTGGAGGACAGTTTGATAAATCTCCAGAGGCGAGAGCTTATTCGGGAGGGGTAGTGGACAGTGGGACAATTTAAGAGCCTTATTCGACACTACGGCGAGATAGAATAAGGACATGTTCACAGCGTGGTTGCTTTGCAAATCCCAGGGAACTTAAAATTCCCAGTGGCGTAGAATTCTAGAAATGGCCAATCATGACTTGGCCAGTCGCTTCAAGGCTGTGCAACTCAACTTTACATAGTTGTCTGACTCAGAGTTCTGTTTGCGGCCCTTCCCGTGATGAAGTTGATGACAGATCTTGGGACAATAGTAAGTGAAGCCAAATAAACCTTTTATCCACTCTTCAGTCGAGTGACAGGGTGGCAACATAAGAAAACACTAAATAAGCTGCCTCAATAATGTACCCAACAAGTCGAGGTCAGGGAGCTAAGGCAGTCACCAAGGCAGATAGAATGTTCACTGGCCTTTTTCTGGCCTCTTTTCAATCGTAGAAACTGTGGCCAGAAAGGCTCGCGCAATCGACTGATGCTGACACCTTTGGCATTTCCGATGGTGGCGCAAAAGTGGTCTTTGCTCAGCGAAAGGCCATCTCGTTCGTCTACTGTTCGTTTCGCGGGTTGGTATTGTTTTGCGCCGTATTGTTGATAATAACAGTCTCTGAGGGAGTGGATGTTTAGGGGCTCATATGGAGAAGCTATTTGGAACGAGTAATAATTTGTCCAAGCCATGGTTTTGCTTTTTTAAAGCTATTGACAACTGGTCATGGTCTTATCACTTATTATTTCCTAGTGCCTTGGACGTTTTTGAGAGAAAAATGTTTCTCCGTGACTTGAATCACAAAATTGCTCATACCTTTCGCAAATGCAATCCTACTTCAGAGCCTCCACGCAGAAAGGGTTCGCAGTAAAAGTCCCGTTTGGATCGTACGTCTGCCTGATCTTCTGCATCTTCTTATACGTCTCTGGGTCGTAGTAGAATTGCCAAACGTCCTTCATGTTCCAATCACCATACGACCCCCAGAGAACACGTCGATCTTCCTTGCTGAAGTACTTTGTTCTGCCCTCGTCATTCACCGCCTGCCACTTCTCAGCTGCCTCTTTGGTATCCTGGTAGAACACATCCCAGGTTCCTCCAAAAGTAGCGTCTCGAAAGCAATAAGCTGTGCCGTTACCTGCGTTTCTGCGAAACATGGACTGCTCGCCGCCATAGACTTGCAGCTGAGATGAGACCCAGAGGCCGTTATGCTTATCTTTGATAACTTCTTCGATACGGCCCGAGAACCAGGATGACCAGCCTGTCTTGGACAGCTCGGTGGATGTGGAGCTGTTGGTGCGCTTATCGTAGGGGTAGGGAAATTCACGGGGGCTTCCGAACAGCCACATGGCTGCGATAGCAGACATCGGAGTGCCTTCGGGAGCCTCTTTGACAATCTTGAACTCGTTTGGTACGTTCTTGATCTGAGTGAAGAGATCAGGGGAATATGGCTCCTCGTTGAGATTGACCCATTGTGCGTAGACGACAATCATTGCGTATTTGAACTTGAGTAGATCAGCAATATTGTCTTTTCCGTCGTGGATATTGTTTGGAAGCTTCTGCTTGAGTTCGTCTTCAGAACCAGGGAAGAGATCCAGCAGATTGGCTTGTCTACTGACAATGTTGACAGTAAAGTCGTAGCCACGAGGGAACTTTGGATCTTCTCCCTTCTGGACGAGAATATCAAGCAAAGTCTTGAGTGTCTCCTCCGAATAACCGAAGCCTACCCATAAGCCCTTGGAGCCCTGATGATTCTTGTCATCTTGGACTTCGATCTTGAAGTGCGTCAGGACACCAAGATTGCCGGGGCTGCCTCCGAGAAACCCGTAAAAAAGGTCTGGATGAGTGTCTTTGGTGACCGTGACTAACTCGCCATTGTAGTCGACGATCTCAAGCTCTCGAACCCAATCTCCGAGAAGACCGAATGATCGTGCAAGCATACCATAGCCACCGGTCTGGACGTGCCCACCGAGACAGACGGTAGAGCACTGACCAGTCGGCATGAAAACGCCATTATCCTTGAGAAAGTCAAAGATCTCAGTGAGGTGCCAGCTGACGCTGGATCGAAGGTACACCTTGCCATTTTCCCTCAATATATTGAGATCAACGTTGGGACGGCGGAAAGTAGGCTTCAAGTCCAGCTGAATGCCCTGAGAGCCAGTCGAGGATGCACCGCTGTATTGGTGACCACCAGATCTGATGGCGAGGGGTTTTCCCATTTTGGCAGCGGCTCTGACAACTGCTTGGATGTCCTCGATACTTGCAGGCTGGAGGATCTCTGAGGGGTTCATGTCGCGACTGACGCCGTAGGTGGAGGTGGCATAGATGTTGTTGGCGCGCTTGTAGGCCGCTGTACCAGGAAGGAATTGGTTGCCTTGGAAAGATGGCTCCATTTTGATGGTGACAGTCATTTTGTGAGAGTAGAGAAGAAGGTGATTAAACGATGAAGTGGTAGATAATGCAGAGCAAAGCTGGTATAATGTCTGTTCTTTATACTTGGTTTCTGAACCTTGGTGAGGGCCTCATTTCAGCAACCCGACCGCTCAGCTCAACAGCCCAAATGCACGCTCTGCCACATACGAGACAATTTGCATTCCAATCTTTTCAGCTCCCATCTCACATGCCAATAAAAATACCAATATTTACAATCAAACACGGGCTAAGTGGCCGTTTCTGCCGGTATGTGATAGACCAACACGGCAGAGCGCGGCGTGGTCCAGACTCACCGGGACGGGCCGTGGCCAGTGACAAGCTCAAGAAGTCAATTTCATCTCATTCTTGATAAGCGAGTGGCTGTATGATGTCTCGAAGTCGTTGCGGGGAAGTTGATAGCTCGTCCCGCCACGGTAAGCCACAGCCTTTCAGCTTGCCAATTCGAGAGTGCTTACTGGACGGGAGGTGAAGCTTACGACCGTTTTCAGCCAGCCACCGAGAGCAAACATTATAAAGATTGTTCGAGTTTACATATGTGAAGCTGTTAGCGTGCTTAAGCCGCGTCACGTTGAAAGTGAAGATGTCTTTGTAATGTGAACCTTTTCACTGGGTGATATGGCAACGGATGAAGAGCTTTGCTGAATTCAGTAAGTTTTGGAGGTAAGGCTGTACTCTTTGAGCATAGATCGTCTATGATAAGGCATGTGAAGCACTCGTTGCAGTTTAGACAGATATTGATATTGTTCTGAATACTCACTGCCCAAAAAGAGCTGACGTATAATTACTTTCCTGCGACTATAAGATCAGCGAGTGACTCCCACTCATCGGATTAATTATGTTCATCAAAACAGCCAAACAGCCAATCCGTTTAGTAATCCTCCAAGTTATAAAGCAAGTACCATGGCACCCACCAAGGAATCATCGCGTACTGGTATCCATCTCCCCAAAGGCTTCCGCTACGATGAAGTCAACTTCGATCCTACCCCCTCCCCTCCAAGAGCCGAGCCAGACCCTGATCTAGGCATCTTGGAGACCTTCAAGGGATCCTGGACCGGACCTGGCTTTAACACCATCTTCAGACCAAACTCCGTCTCTCCTACTACGACCGATTTCCACAATCCCGTCATCCCTGCCCCTCCTACCCCTCCCAATGTCTCAGTCCTTGAGCTCAATCTGACGCAAGAAGATCTTGCCTTCACTATACCTCTTGTCAGAGTCCCCAATCGTGGTCTTGGGCAGCAGAATGACATTTTCATCAGTGGTGTCACGTATCTCCAGGCTGTCGATGATGTTACCAATACGGCGACAGGCAAACCTGATGGTACCAAGACGGGTATTCATACTGAGACTGGCTTTTGGCTAAACGTTCCTCCGACGAATAATAATCCCGTGGAAGAAAACACACTCGTCCGTCTGGGCTCTATTCCTCATGGAACTACCATCAACGGACAGGGTAGCCCCCCCATCGTGACCCAGGGAGCGCCAGATATTGGTCCACGACCTATCACTCCTTTCGTCATTGGAGACAAGGGAGATACTCAGGTCATGGCTAGCCAGACAGCCTCCCTTAACAACACAGCACGTCTGCCCCAGGATCTCAGCTTGTTCATTAAGGAGGGAACAATCACCCAAGCTATTCTTGACAACCCAATCCAGATCCTTCTTGATATCAACACCCAACTCAATATCACCGAGACCAGCACCTTCACAGTCTCTACCCAGTCTGATCCAACTCCCGGCGGCGGTACAGCCAACATCGCGTTCCTCGTTGGCGCGAGTTCCCAGGGTCCCAATGCAAATGCTGTTCAGATGGACTCTACGTTCTGGGTTGAGACGATCGAGTCGGAGATCACTGTTCAGAACTACACGCCCGGGAAGCCTCTTCTTCTGCAGCCAGCCTATAAGCAGGGTCAGGGCAAGACACCTCCCCCACTGCCGACATTCTCTGTCACGCCTCCTGGACCGGTTACTGGTCCCAAAACGATTCCTGTAACTTACACGCAGATCCAGTACTCTCAGACTGTTTTCCTTAACTTTCATGGGTTGACTTGGCCGCATTTGTCTTTGGCTACGTTGGTGCCTGCTTTACCAATCGAGATTGACTATCCTTCATCTTAGTCAATATTTGAGACAGAGTACGATGTTAGCAGAATACACGGGGCATCAAAACTGTAGGAGAGATTATAGGCTCATTAAAGCAGAAGGATGGAAAAGGACATGGAAACCAGACAAATTTATAGCAGATAGCACTTTTTTGGCCTCATCTATATTCAAATACGCAGCAGTTTTGTCCTCACAAGTTTGTACGGCTGTATTTTTTTGACAGCGAAATTTCTTGTCGGATTTTCCACATTATCTAGCTAGCCTGAGTTGCTCGAACCACTAGCCTACCTTCACTTATGACCTATACTGTCTTGATCATCTTTCTGCAACTCAACCCTTTAATACACAAGTTCAAGCTTCTTAGCTGTCCTACCACTCACTACCCTTCCCAGATTTATTGAACAGAAAATAGTCACAAGACAAAAGACTAATACACAATCCTATCTAAAGACGTCAAGGGTGATAGTTCCCATCGAGCCAAGCAAACAGTATATTTACTTCATTATTATCCTCGTCCTTGAGAACCAGGCGGAGTCAATGGGGTCTTGGCGTTTCCCACTTCCCGATTGCAGTTGACATGAGCCCATAGTGGGGATCAATGGGGTCTTGGCGTTTCCCGCGTCCCGGGTAGCAAATTTAGTCCTCTTCGCTCCTCTCCAATAAACAGCCAAAGTTTTGTCACTAGTGTCCCGCCATCTTCTAAGTCCGGCTCGAATATAGGGTGTGGTAAATGCCATTGGACGCCAGTTCACTCGGATAATGCCAAGTCCCGATCCTCGAACCTTAATTCACGTCCATGACACAACTCCGAGTCGGGCCGCGAAGTAATGCCGAGATGATCTACGTAGTAGCAGACTGATGAACAATATGCTGTTAAGCTATGCCTTGCGGGCAAAACTGCCTGCGGTGTCCGTGTATGCAACGCGGCATGAGTGGTCAAACTATAAAAGCCTCCCATCATCCCGTTTTCACTGGATCGACTCTTCACAGTCTTTCAACAGCAGCAAACATACACATTTCGACTAACATCAACAGTTCTTATTCCCATACATCATGTCCAAGCTCATCACTATATTCGGTGCGACTGGTAACCAAGGTGGTTCGGTTATCAAGCACATTCTTGAAGATCCTCAACTCTCCAAGGAGTATAAAATCCGTGGTATCACGCGCGATACCTCCAAGAAGTCAGCTCAGGATCTTGTCAAGCAAGGTGTTGAAGTTGTATCGGTGCGACCCCGCCTAATGAAGCCTTTGTTATCACGGTGCTAACAAATCATGAAGGCCGATTTGAACTCAGTCGAGTCTTTGACCGAGGCTCTGAAAGGGTCTCATACCGTTTTCCTTGTCACTAACTACTGGGAAACCGCAAACGGCGATATCGAGTATGCCCAAGGCAAGAATGTGACTGATGTGGCTAAAGATGTGGGCGTGTCTTACCTTATCTTTTCGTCACTTTTCCATGTCACAGAGGAAACCAAAGGGCGCTTGGCCCATGTTCCCCATTTTGACAGCAAAGCCAACATCGAAAAGTACATCAGAGCCTCTGGGGTTCCCTCTACCTTTGTGCTCCCTGGGTACTACATGAGCAACTTCACTCAGATGATCAACAAGGCCGCCGACGGTTCGTATCAGCTGTTCTACCCCGTTGATGGCAAGAAGTCCAAGTTCCCTCTCTTCGATGCTGCCAAAGACACTGGTAAGACATCCCTAAAAACTGCCTTCTTCCAGGCGAAGCCTAACAACGATAACAGGACTTTTCGTCAAGGGGGTCCTCAAGAATGCGGACAAGTTGTTGGGAAAGCAAGTATTGGAAGCTACCGCCTATTACAGCCCCGAAGAAATCGTTGATACTTTCTCTCAGGTTACCGGGAAGAAGGCGTCCTTCGTCAAGGTCACCCCCGAGCAATATCGTGCATCGTTGCCAGAGGCTATTGCTGAGGAGTACTTGGAGAATCAGTTGTTCGTCGAAGATCCCGGCTACTTCCTTGGGAAATCCTTAGATGATAGCTTGGTGCTGTTGGATTCCAAGCCCACAACTTGGGCTGAATTTGTTCAAAAGAACGCCGCTGCCTGGGATTGAGTCATTACTTGCAATATGGAAGCAGCAGAGGATAATTAGCTCAAGCAACTAAAAGGCATATCCTTTTCTGTGTTTTCCTATCTTCTGATTAAAAACCACAGCCTCGTCAATAATAAACAACTAAGCATTTCGCAATTGGCGTGAATTAGGTTTCTATGTAACACCGAAATCGACAGAAGTGGTCACGCGTCCCTGGAGCAAGATAAAGTTGCGGCTATTATCGCGGTAGCAATTTGTATTTCGTTGAAAAAACTCTTCGCATAACACTGCTTGCTGGCTTTGGCTCTTTCAACCTGTAAATATTCTCCTTTGATACTTTTATTCCTTCAATATTCATTCGATGGTATCACTGTTGTGAGACCTGTTGTGGGACTGGGTTTGCAAACATTGCACTGCATCAAGCCCAAATTTTGGATCTAGTAGCTAAGATTCATCTCTGGCAGAGTACTCCTCAATCAACCTAGCTTCCTTGCGCTCCCTAATCTCACGCAGTGACGACTCAGCCGAGAGCCAGCCAACCACTAGCATGCTCCTCAACACCCAAGATCGCCGAAAGTTATCAGGTGTATACCACTCTCGGCCTTTGTCGTGTAGGTCTGGTACCCATGGAAAGTTGGAGCAGATGTGGAGTCTCAACAGTGCAGGATAAAGATCCATTTGAAGTAGAGCTTCTCTCGTGGCTACTTCGTACCATCTGAAGCTTCCGAGGGCAAATCCAACTGAGGAGCCGATAAGGAAAGGAAGGGCAGCTGTTCCCCAGATCATGCTGCCTGCCATGCCGCTTGAGACGCCGATGACGGTGGCTGTGGAAATACCTGATACCAGGCTACGAAGCATACTGGTCGTTTATTAGTTTCTGGGCGATGTCTTGCCTTCAGAGGATGACATACAACAGGCCGGGGCCGCTGCAAACAAAGAATATATTAGTCGACAATATTTGGTCAAGATGAGCCTGGAAACGCACCTTACCACTCCCCATCCGCTCAGCAGTCTCATGAAAGGGAAGGTATCATAATTATTGGACATGTCGAAATGGACGAGCAGCGGGTCTGAGGGCTTACGACTAATTGACAGAAGAGAATCACGAGCAGGTGCAAAGTAATAGAGAGGTGGAGAGGGGAAGTTGTCGCGAGAAGACAAGCCCAGCCCGTCTTGGGTATGCCACTGACGTCATGGGCTAACCCAAACCACGTAGCGGGTTATGAAGTGAGTGTGTTTTCACAATCGAATGTGTGAGTGGAAGTCTCTGTGCAGTCGGATTGATCAGAGATTTACAAGATATTTACCGCATCTGATACTGTGGAAGGAGGGTGAAATGGTAGAACGGAGCCACAGGGAGTTACCAAAAAGGACAAAAACATACAACAGCGGGGATTCGCTGGTCGTCACCGACCCAACTACTAATCCGCCGGTTAGTGGCTTGACTATGGGAGAGCGGACGGGATCCCGTATTTTCCACTACCTTTGGTCGTATGTACCAGCAAGACCTTAAATTTGATCTATATACACATGTTGATGAAGGCTTTTATTTGGAGAACTATTTGCAAACTACCCTGCACCAACCACCCTGGTAGTAAACGATAGGTCAACTAAGCGTTTAAAGGTGATAGAGAATTTTTCAATGCATGTCTAGTTCACTTGAATGTTTGTTTGACTCTTGTGGACAAAGCCAAAAGCTTGTGTGTTGTCCATCTTTCTTTCACCAAGCAAGACTCGCACAAGCCAACACACCAACGTGAAGGGAAAAACAAAATAATGAGAAAACCACAACACGAGTGGAAGACGAAACACGCTTCAAAATAGGAAAGATCGACCCTGTGGAGAATAAACTACGTGTTCTAAATACTGCTAGTGCTAGGAGTCTTCCTGTCATGATGCGTGACCGAAACCTGAGTCTGCACCACAATGCCCTGTTCAGCATTTGAACTTTTCCCTGCCCACGCCGACGGCTCACTCGTGCCTCCCCTGCCCACATCATAAGTCAACTCTACCTCGTCATCGTCACTCTGGAATCCCGTCCCCTTTGCTCTGTTGACGCTGAAGAGCTGGAAATGCTTGGATCCAGACTTGGATAGTTCGTTGCCACCCGAAGGCGTGCCTCTTGATCGTGAGGTTGAGCCGATGCGGTTGATTCGGAAAAGAGGCGCCAAAGTTGGAAGGCATGCTGAGATGACGGCGACTGATGGTTCGAGACTGGACCATGCGAAGGAGGGGCCCATCCACCATGTTGCGTCGAGGTTCTGGAAGAAGCCCCAGAGGTAGTAGATACGGGCGATGCTGGCGACACACACGCTTTGCACAGTTAGTAAACATATGATTTGAGTAGGCACTGGCAAACTTACAAGCTGCCCAGAAGCATGATGCAAATGACAGACACCTTTGTCTTGTTGTTCATCTTCAGCGTCCAAATCCGCGGAATAGGAACAGTCAAGATGATGATATCATTCATCATATTCATGATTCCAAGAACGAGGAAAAAGAGTTTGACATCGATGCACTTTCCTGACGCGCCGAGGTACTGGTTCCAGAAGTGGCTAACCGGACGACAGGCAAAAGCCATGGTGATCCAGAGAATGAACGGGTAGACGCTCGTGAGGAAGGTTGCTGCATAAAACATAAGAGTGTACACTCGATTCTTGTCGATGCCGAGAGGGAAGAGGCGACGGTAGAGTAGGAGGATGCTGATCTTGACGGATGTGACTGCGAGGGCGTAGACGAATGGCTCGGCGTAGACGATCTAGGTTGTTAACGTCAGCAACTAAAAGGCACGGCGTGGGGGAAGAGGCGTACTTTGAAGACGTTGACGAGAGTTGGGAGACTGATGGACCAGACATGTGCTCCCGATCCATGAGCACCAGCTAGACACCTGTTAGCTAGTATATCTCTCAAGACAAGATGAACATACCCAGAATAGTCATCGCAACAGTAGCACCAGAACAAAACTACACCACAGTCAGTGTCAACTCCATCACCTGTAGTCGTCTCACTTACCAAACTCAACAAAACAGCCCAATCATCCATCTCAATGTTCGCCGACTTCATATTCCTCACATAAAATCGCAATCCCACCACTGCAACAGCAACACCGAGCACAGAACAAGTGACGACATTATACGAGAGGATGACACTATGACCAAGATCAAGCCCTTTTGGCGGCGGCCCAAAAATGGCCACGATGTTGGGGTCTACAGCCATATTCGCACAACTCTTCCGCTTGTCTAGCACGTAGAAAAAAAAAGAAGACTAAGAGTTTCCTCGGGACATTTCTGAATTCCTACCCCATGGGCTAGTGGTTCGTTAAATGGTTATTTCGGACGAACCAGGAGGTGTATGAGCTCATTTTCGCTTTGCTTTTTTACTTTTCTAACCGTTGGATTTAAGAATGCCTTGCCCCCAACCGTGCGGAAACGTCAATCTTTAGCCTGTTAGGGGACTCTTTTCTTTTTTCTTCTTGGTGGCTAGGCGGCTTTTTGTTTGCCTGGCTTGTCATCTCGGGGAAGGGGAAATGGTAGGAGGCACGAAACAGCCCACTATGGGAACTGGGTGTCCACCTCGATACTACCGTTTTATCGGCCAAGCCAAGATCGCATATTGCGGCTCCGGGAAACTATTAAAAACCACGCGAGTCGGAAGTAGGAACATCCCTGTAACCGCGAACGGTTATCCAGACCCGGATGTAACAGGGATTGACAAGCCAACAAGAGAAAAAAAGCACGTTTCAGGGCTTGGTCAGTGTGCAACGGTTTTCCTTATCCGTAAGGAGTCTCTTCCCCGAAATCCTTTGGATCCGGCTGTGATGTTCCATGGAAGAGATGATTGCGTATGTGTTTTCCTCATTCGTATAACCACAATCACGCTACATTGCGGGTTTGGCTTCCTTCGGGGGCGAAAGGGGGGCCAAAAAGGGCTGATCCCTTGTTCACGGCATCGGTACGGCGCGCGAATTTGTTCCGCTAGCCCCGAGGAGAATCCTCTTCGTTTGGGGGCTGCTCCGTTGTCTATTTCCATTTTTCACGTTCATATCGTGCTAGCTGGACCCTTTGAGGCTAAAGAAGCCTTCAGAGGTGAAAGTGCATGAATCGAGAACGTCGGTAAGGCTTACACATCTGTGCGTTTCAATGCGTGTTTCTTAGTTTGTACTATAGCGTGGTGCTAGCTACTTGGCTCACTGGCGGTAACAGGTTTAAAGTGGTGCTTTGTTTTACGACATCTTCACTATCTCTGAGCTCGATCCAAGTGCCCCTGATTAAGTGGCTCCTGTTTCCAATCTCGCCAATGGACAATGATAAAAAAAGCTTAGCCTCAGTTACTAAAAACACAGGCTAGCAGGACGATCTTCATACTTGCTGCGTGCGCAGATACGACCCTGGTGGTCAAGTCTGTTGGTTGCGCAGAGCGTTTGTTGAACTAGCAAGGGGAACTCCGAGCTGCGACGAGCAAAACGGTGCATAACACCGAAGCAAACTCGCAGGTGGCGAAGCAGAAGCTGAAACTCATAGCACTTACTCTCCTTAGGTCCCAAGTATTAGAAGCTGGGCCTGTCCTCGTTCCAAGATTAACCATTCTGTCCACAGTTACATCCTCCCAATCCTTCCTTCCTCCCTACACATATTGTTTATCCACTGTAATCATGGCTCCCGCTAGAATTGAATCCTCGGTCGTCGACCTATCAGAGACCATCCCCACAAAGACTCTCTTGACAGAGCCAGTAGTCACAGCACTGCCCGACCTCGCCCCTCCCACACTGCCTACCGAGAAGATTGGTCCCCCTGGCTATGTCAGGACGCTTCTTCACTTTGAGCTCCCCGATGACTACGATTCGGAGAAGTTGACGACCATTCTCAAGACGGCATACACCTCCTTCAAGGAGACTACTCCCATCGCTGGCTGCGAGCTCGTCCCTACTCCCACATACGCTCAGGATGGCGGCCTACAGCTCCGTTATTACGGCGATGAGATCGACTACGACTTCGTCACCAAGGACCTTCGCGACTCAGACTTCCCCAGCCATGCTGAGCTGAAGCGTCGTAACTTCCCCGCCTCTGTCCTCAAGCCTGATCTGGTCTGTCAGCGAGGCCAGGGCGGCGAGTGGCCGACTCCCGGACAGCGAATTCCCAACACCCTGATGCAGGTCAACTTCATCAAGGGCGGATTGATCCTCAACATAAGTTTCTTCCACGCTTATGTCGATGGAACGACGATCTACAAGTTCACTGAGATCTTCTCTGAGCATGTTAGAAGGGCACAGGGCTTGACCATCACCAACCCCGTTGAGATCCCCATGGAGGACCGAGCCAAGCTGTTCAAGGCTTCGGGTGGTTGCTCTGGTGCTGCAGAAGACCACCCCGAGTATCTTGAGCTGCCTTTCACCCCCGAAGCCCCACCTCCCAAGCTTGCTGCCCCCATGGCCCATGGCCACGTCTTCTACTTCTCACCCGAGAAGCTTGAAGAGCTGAAGGAGGCTGCATCCCCCGCCAATGCAAAGCTTTTCAAGGGAAATGAGGAATTGTCCTCTTTCATCTCTACCACCGATGCCCTCACAGCTCTCATCTGGAGATGCACCATGCTTGCCCAGCACGCGGGTGAGAAGCCCACAGGAACCTCCATGGTTGGTCTTGCGCTGGACTGTCGCCGCCGCACAAACCAGACCATCCACAAGCACACTATCGGCAACATCCTGGGCTTCGCACCAGCCGTCATGGATATTGAGTCCGTTCTCAAGGAGGACGATGTCAGCCTTGCTGATATCGCCCTCGTTGTTCGAGGTGCTGTTACCAAGTCCAGCAACTACCTAGACAGTGTCGGTGCTTTCATCGAGCGTCTCGAGAACACCTCCCGCATAGTCCCTGCTTTCTTCCTGGACATGCCCGGTACCCACTCTCTGTTTTCCTCCTGGAGGGAGTTCCCCTTCTACGAGCTGCAGTGGGGTCCCGCCCTTGGTGGACGAACAGAGGCTCTTCGACTTCCCTCCACAGGTGTCACACATACTATGCAGATTCTTCTGCCTTCGCGGCCAGAGGCTGGATCTGGTGTGGAGGCTTTTGTTGGTACTGAGAACAGTGCTATGGAGGGTCTGCTAAATAACCCTCTGTGGAAGCAATATGCCCAGGCACCGGAGAGCGCGTAATTATGGATGGGAATGCAGAGGGAAGGATACCAAAGGGAATACATGGACGGATTACAGGGGGATATACTTTGATTTAGAAATGATGAATGCGAATTGAACGCTATTATAGCAGCTTGAAAGATAACTGGATGTCTTATGTCCCCGAGTGACTGTGTTAGCTCCACCAAAACATGGTCTCCATCAATACCGGTCCCGAAGTCAGCGGTGGTGTTCTCTAAGTTATATTTTCAGAAACTACTAAAGAGCTCTTCTACTAACTAACAAGAGGCCGGCAAGGGTAAAACCGCCAAAATCTACGGTGGTAAGTATGCCGATAACAGAACAAACTCTATAATCACTCTCTTAGTCGATAATGAACTGGGGCGCTATATTACCAACTGCATACAGGGGTATTAATATTGTAATTATATACCCAAGGTATTCGCCACTACTGACCTTTCCTATGCCACTGACAGAAGTCCACTTCAGCTTTGACAGGGCCAAGATATTAAAAATAATCTGAGGATAAAAGTATATTAGAAGTGAAATATTTGTATGATATTTAGATAACATTATAAAAATAATAAAGATTTATTACAAGTTAGATAATCTGTTATATATATAGAAAGACTTTAGTAATACTAGATCAAAATATACTAAAAGTCAAATAATTTTATAATATTTAAATAATCTTATAAAAATAAGAAAGATTTATTATAACTTGAATAATTATTTATAAAAAGAAGAGACTTTAGTATAGTTTATATAATTTTAATAACAAAGCTTTAGTCATATCTTGGGGTGTATTTCTTACATAAGAGCAAAATAAGACTAAGATCCATAAGAGACCAGAGTCCTTGGCAGAGGAAACTCTAACTGTTTGCCATCCCCATTGGAATTCCCTTCCTCCTTCTCCTTGCCCTTATCCTCCACTTGCTTCACCCGCACATACACGATAGGGGGTCTTCCCTGAGTGACAATCCGGCGGTCCATTTCAAACGTCCCAGTAGCCTGTATCAACGGCCCGAACTTCTCAAACCCGTAGCTTCGGGAGTCAAAATCCGGATGCCATCTAAGCATAAGGTTCCCGACGTCAGCGAGTCTGACCCAGCCGTCTTGTTCCTCTGATGATGCCTCCACGGCGCCTCGCAGCCACTCGATCAGCTGCGGGGTGATGGGCTGAGGGTCGTTGATTGGCGCGTCGGTATCGCTTTTGGTTCGCTTTCGCTTGGCCGGAGGAGTGTCGGTCGGCTGGCTCTGGGGTGGTACTACAACCAAAGGACCTGCGCCTGATGGTCCTGCTTCGGATTGTCCTCCGTTGGGCAGGCTGTAGTTGGTAGATCCATAACTGTATGGCGCTGTGTTGTATGACCCCGTCTCAAACAGTCTTGCTAGCGTATTCTCAGCCGACTCGACCGACTCAACAATCGGCGTCTCAGTTCTCGGTATGAGATTCTCAACATAGATAAACTTGTCGCACGCAGTAACAAATGGCTTTGGTGTCTTGCGCTCTCCACATCCATAAACCAACAGCCCCGATTCACGAATGCGCGACGCAAGCCGAGTGAAATCACTATCGCTTGAGATAATGCAGAAGCCGTCAAACCTGCCCGTATACAGCAGATCCATCGCATCGATAATCATGGCCGAATCCGTCGCGTTCTTGCCCACCGTGTAGGCGAACTGCTGCATCGGTTGAATAGAATTCTCAAGCAGCTTAGATTTCCATTTGTTCAGGTACGAACTTGTCCAGTCGCCGTAAGCACGCTTGACGAAAGCGGTGCCGTACTTTGCGATTTCGGCGAGGACGTAGCTCACCATGGCGGCGCTGGCGTTGTCGGCATCGATCAAGACGGCGAGTTTGATGGTTGGTGTTGGAGCGGCCATTATTGCGGCGGTGATGGCTCTTTGTTGATGATCTGCTTCGCAACTCGGATGAATATTTATCTGATAGCGCTGTTACTGGCGCGCTCGGTTCTTTATATGATAATGAATGATGATGATGTGGTGTTTCGACGCATGTTAATAAGAAAGAATGCTCGGATGTTGACTCTTTGATTCCTTTGAGCGAGGCAGATGCAGGAGGCAGCAGGAAGTGGGGCCAACTCGAACAAAGAGAGCTTGTCAGCTGACACTGGCACGGCAACCAGCGTTTTGATTGGTTGAACTCGGCACAGTCCTGTGTCAATCAACAGAACATAAATAATACTTAGACTACTTTATATAACAGTATTCTCAATTTAGATAAGATTATAAATTATAGAAGAATTTATCAAAACTTATCTTATCTTTTATCGGCCTTAGCTTTTATGCGTACGGCTGTGTGAGTTATCTACGTGTTCACTTGGATAGAGTTTCGTTGCTGTGTGCGACTTCTGCTGCCTTAATTATATTAAGTTTTACCCTTGGAAGGGGGTATTTTTATCATCGATATTATCAAGGAAAAAAAATTACATTGGCCTTAGAAGGGACAAAGTAGACCCTTTACAAACATATATAGCCAACAATTCAATCCTACAATTTTTAATTAGTTCTTTTAAAAACCCAAATTAAATATCTATTTTAAGAATAAATTATTAAGTTTAAGATTTGCTTTATTTAATCTTATAATTATTCTTAATCTCTTTAAGAAGTTTAATATTAATAAAGTTATAAGGATTATTAAAGACAAAAACATGGTAGAATTATAAAGTATTTGTATTAATACCTAGCGCTCAGCTTCTACTCGCCTTTCCTCGCGGATTAATTGAAATTCATCCTTGAAAGGCATCTCTAAGTATGGAATTACTTTTGACTTAAGGCGGAATTTAAAGAATAGGTAGAGGACTGAAGTCTTAATATTAGCTTCCATAACTTAGAAGATAGAATTCATGGACCTGAACATACCAGTAAAGATAGCTATGTTAACATAGCATGTAATAAATCCTTCAGCAGTAAAGTTACCCTTTATAAAGATATCAAACCCTAAGATGGATTAACTGAAAGAACGATGAATAAAGTGAAAGTTACAGGCAATTGCTTACCAGAAAAGAGAATAACCAAGCAAACCATGATCAATGTTGCCCAGCTCACATATGGCTGTAAGGGACTTTTATACGGAAGTTCTGCCAATGTTAGGGAAACATGTCCAAGTTCGACCACGGCTCCACATACCTGTCCTACTGTACCCTTGTTTCGTGAGACCAGCATAAAAGCGAAGGTAAGTGACGAGGATAACGGCCCAGCCTATAAGGCCAGCAACAGTGGTGATGTTCAAAAACCAGGAAAAGACAACAGAAGTATTGTTGACGACAGTAAGATATACCAGTGGGGATAGAAGACAACTCATTACAACAGCGTAGTATGGTGTTCCATATCTGTTACACCGCTGGAAGAGTTTGGGAGCATGACCATCAACGCTCAGCCCAAAAAGGGTTCGAGAGGCGATGAATACACAGGCAGAGCCACTGCTGATGGCGGATGTGCAAACAACAGCATTGATGATTGAAGGTACAGCAGATACTCCCGATCGTTGAAAGGCAATGACAAATGGAGACTGCTGGGCGGTTCCAGTCGAGATACTAAGGGCGGGATCGTTGAAGGGCCTAGCAGGTATCAGTATTTTTCAACTCAAACCGCACCTGGTCCGTGAATGACTTACACAATGAGGCCAACGACGAATATGCTGCAAAAATAGAAGAGGAAAATGCGGAAAAAGGTCTTCTTTGTCGCAGTCGGGATAATCTTTCTCGGGTTCCGTGTTTCAGACCCCGAAATGGCGACGACTTGGATATTACCGTAACTGAACGCGGCGGGAAGCATGGCTTTCCAAAAGGCCAGAAAGCGGCCAGTGGAACCATCTTTGATGTAGGTATTGAAAGCGCCGGGATGGACCCAGTAGCGAAATCCGAGTCGTTCGTGGTTGGGCGCTCCGCCGAGGTCGATGACCAGTCCACCGATGATGAGGCCTAGGATGAGCATGATCTTGAGAGAAGCAAATACGACCTCGGTCTCTCCGTGGAGCCTGACTCCGCAGAGATTGACTGCGATGATGAAGACAAGGAATATCGTGATCCAAACACCAGGGTTGATGGACGTATTCCAGAATTGGATGAGCGTCGCAGCAGCACTGATCTCGGCGGGAATGTTGATGGCCATGGTATACCCTGTTCAAGGTTTAAGTCAGCATATCGTATTCTCGCGTCGCCATGGACAAGCTGATGTTGATTTAACGCACAAAAGTTCCAGCCAGCGGCAGCACCGAGCGCAGGCTCCACAAACTTGGTTGCATGTCGAATGAAGCCCCCAGTCACTGGCATAAATGCAGTAATCTCTCCTGTAGTGTACGCAACGCCCGCAGTAACGAGACCCATAAGAGTATATGCAAGAAGCGCACCAGCCGGGCCCGCTGTAGCGATGACTTGGCCAGAGCCGAGGAATAGGCCTGTTCCCTATAAAGAGTTAGCAGGACCATTCAATACCACTGCTATGTAGGTAGTTACTATTAGTTGGGGCAACTCACGATCATGCCAGCCAAAGCAATCATGTTGATATGGCGAGAGCCAAGGTCGCGCTTGAGGCCACCTGATTCGATGACTTCTGTATTTCCGGTACCCATCTCGACGTCTGTCGTTGTGTCATTGTTGAATTTCTCGGTCTTGTCCATGATAAAGGCAGTAGTAATTGGAAATACAGAAGAATGAGAAAGATGAAGAATGAAATGGGCTGGCGAAGAGAGGGGGTTTATGTTCAAGGGAAACCAGTGAGCCAAAACATGGGCAATCGGTACTCTTTCGTGTTTTAATAATTGTTATCAGGTCCATAGACCATAACGATCTCCAGCCTGGAGGATAGAGACGTGATGCGGGCGTTGGGTGGCTTATCGAGATAGCGTGTGGGGAAGACAGGGTTCATGGTGAGTCGCCGACCAGTGTTTGAGTTGCCGGTCCGGTCAATGCTTTAGACGCCGGCATAGTGGCGTCAAGGCTGAGGAAGTTGGCTGGGTCTGAAAAGTTGAATAGATAAACACTGGCTCAACCAAGGACTAAGAACAGTCACGCCATCACATCACCATTGAAGCTTATTTCCTTTTCAATTGATAACCAAACCATGTCATCATCCAAATCTAACGATTCGTTCGAGCTGTTCGACTTACGGGTTGAGGTTGTCTGCCCTCCAGACAAGAAGATAATGTGTGGAGCAAAAGAGGGCGACCACTTTACTTTGAAAGGCGAGATGCTCCATCTGCCACCAGGACAGGGGATCAGCATTTACAGTCTAGGTGAGAATTCATGGTATTTAACTGGCCAAGACATACATACTGATTTTTATTAATACGTAGCGTCTGTACTTCCACTTCTACCAGCCAAGCAGAGAGTGACACCTGCCAACGATTGGATGACAACCGACGCGATACTGGCGTGTCCAGACCCCCACTGTCCATCTCAGCTCAAGATAATCAGAGAGGGAATTCGCACATTTAGCCACTCTGAGACAACATTAGTCCCTCTGGGTGGCTGTTCAGAGGATCAAAACGCAAAGTGAAAGTCCTCAAGGTTGCTCAGTTATGAATGGAAACTTATTTCAGCAGTCAGCTTGAGATAAATAGAACAAATCTTGCGCGTCCGTTCCAACTGTAGCAAAGAGCTCTGCCCACATGTCATTACACTCAAAAGGAAAGTCCAGGCTCCCCTGTGGCAGCGAGGATATCTCCAACCCTCGTGAATGAAAAGGCCATTGAAGGGACGGGTCAACTGCTGCGACTGTCGTGGACCCTTCAGTCACACTATCCTGGTCTGGCATCATCGAGGCCTGCATCGACTCCTCGTTGGGGTTGTTGTCGGCATCTGTATTTTGCTTGTTCTGGGTTTCTGCGAGTTTCACACCCACTTTGGTAAGAAACGTAGCTTGGAGGGTGCAACTTGAGCTTATGCAACCCGACTGGTCAGAGAAGACTCGGGCGGCGTTTTGAATGGCCTCTATAGTATCGGATGCCATTCGGCTCGCAAGGAGGCCCGAAACCGAAAGAAGAACCTGTATAAGGCACTGTCAGTTTGATTATGTGTGGACACGCCGATTAACCTGGTACTACTAGCCTTGACGAGAAACGCAGCACTATACGCAGTCATGATATGGATCGAGTCCTGAGCGAAGCAAATATGGACAGAGTTTCGAGAAATCAACTCCAACATACTTAATGCGCTACTATAGGCTATCCATATTGTATCAAGATGGAGGGTGGAATCCGATTTGGCCGAGGAAATGATTCCATGTGATGGCAAAGTGTAGAGCTGTAGACGGAGGTGGGTGCCATAGAACCGAATCAGAAAGTCATGACACGCTGGTACTTGTGCCGTAGCAACCTTTCGAGTCCAATGTTCCTCCCAGCTATCAATCCGACCATTGATAAGGCTGACGAGTGGCTCACTCTCGAGGTGTGATATTCCTCGACGTTGCGACCTGGACACGAGGAAGGGGAATGCGGTAGACGTGATGAGACGTAGAGTGGTAAAGGCCCCGAGAAGCTGGTCATTCTCAATGGCCAGAGGTTCGTCGCACCAACTTTGTATGGATTCGATCAAGTCGCTACATTCAATCATCCACGGTCTCCCGGTTTGTAAACTCATACTTGATAAATCAGTTTCGTCGTATTCTGCTGTTAATCTCTGACATAAGAGACAACGACGTACCTCCGATCATAGACAAACAGCACAAACCATGTCCGCTCGATATTCCGCCGCTCTCTTCTTTCCATTTCTGATTGAGCCGCAGACACCTGAGAGGAACATGGGCTGAGTTTGTTCCAGCCCATGTCCATACATATGCGTATAGCATATCCAACCGATGTCCAAACTCTTGTATCCTGCGGCTCCTTCCAGTAAGTGAGGATAAGAATTGCCTGCACGATTTCGACCGATTTACTGCCACGACGAAAGACTTCAACGTATAGATGCTGCGCATGCTCATACAATTTATTGTAAAGAGCGTGGTTGAAAGCCTTTGCTGACATGGACAGTACGGCGCTCAGTAAGAATGCAGACTTTTGGCGGACATGGGAAAATGTATGTAGATGAGGGTCGAGCTGGCTGATGTATGGATTGAGAATAGTTATGAAGCTGGGCACAAGTCAAGTTAATATCTGAGGAGGAATGTGAGTCGGGATTGGATTGAATTGGACCAACCTATCGAATAAGGATATTGCTAGGGATGGATTGATCAACCCAAGACTCACAGGATCGTCGACATCGATAGAGTCAGGGCGACTACCCAATGGCGGCACGGGCTCTCGGTTTGCATTGAGAATGTTGCCAAGAGAGAATTTACCTGTCAAGGCTTCATGATTAAGCAAACCAGAAGGCTGTAGATTGTTCGAATCGTCTTCTGTCTCTAAAAAGGGAGGACTGGCTGTGGGTATTTGTTCTTCATGACTTGGTGAAGAACGAGATGAGGGTTTATTGCGCTTTGCGACCCTGTTGCCGATGTCAGCCTCGAGGAATCAACCACATGCAACCTGATAGCGGTACGTCATATTGCCTACCTCGTACCTAGCTTGCGCCCACGACGGTGCTCTCTAAAAACACAATCAAGCGACTTACGGGCACAGCGCTCGCATGTCGCGTCACCCAGACTACCTTGACGGCATTTCGTTTTAACTTTTCGACAGGGTATGCAGGCATTCATAGTGTTCATCTATGGATGAGCGAGAGGACTGACCGGCCCCTTCTTGCATTCGGTAGGTGTCTGCAAGTTGCGGATATTGGGGACTGGGCCCAAGCGTAGTGACACATCCATCACGTGGCCCGGATACGTGACGGTGCTGTAAGTGGCTGAGTATCTATCTGCCTCCTGATAAGCTATCAGTGGAACTATCTATACCTGATTGACTGATAATTAATTGACAGATAGAGTTTAGATGGCCGGCTATATCGTCTAAACTGAGTCCCCGGCACCCCGCAATTTGCCACAAAAAAGTAGCTAACCGAATGTGAACTTGTTTGTACTGACAAATTGGCCAAGCAGACGAAAGCGGGGTCTCAAGGATATCTTGAACGCCGAAACCTAATCTTAGACGCCGGCATTTTAGTTACTTTTCAACTACTAATATCAATATCTCTTTAAACCTATACTAGATGGCAGTGCGTTGTTATCCAGAAAGTCTGACCTGGGCCGCCGACAACATTCTCATTCTTTTCCGCTTATCCAAATACTTGATTTCACTATGGCTGTTACCAACAATGGGAGCGGCAATACCGCTCACGTCAATATGATGACCGACACCGTCATTGCAAATCTCCCAGCTGAGGGTTTGAGGGTCATAGTCCGCTCGCTTCTTACAGCTCACCCTGAAATCACCACAACCTTCGAACATGAAACTCGGCAATACTTTAGCCAAGTTGGAGAGAAGCTGTCCAAGGCTCAGGCCGATGCTCCTGATATTAATGGACTGAAACAGACCCAAAAGACCATTCGTTGCATGCTTGGGTCTGGACTTCCATTTGAGAGTATCCAACTCCTCAGTAGAGTGGTAATCAGCGGTGCACAACTGGCTCTGAAATCATTTCAAGATGACAAGGGGACCCTTGGAATGTTCCTCGCGTCTTTGGATGGGGATATAGTACAGGCAATGACAGCGGTTAAGAAAACCCTCTTCGTCGATATAGGGGCCCGAGCCCTCACTTTGGGAGAACGCGGCTTGATTCGTCATCTCTTGGATTCCTTAACCGAATGCCAGGATATACTGTCAAGTACAGAGATCGAGTTTCCTTATGCAAGAGGGCTCTTGACAACAGGAAAGCTTTTAGGTATCGCTTTACCAAACTTGCAACAGAGTTCTTCGACTAGCATTTCCCTCGACATGAACCCACCTCGAAAGGCCAAGGAAACCTTCCAGCTTGGAGGAAGAACACTACCTCGACTGTTCTCCGGGCTGTGGCAGATGTCGAGTCCAGCCTGGGGTGCTGCCCCAACATCCAAGATCATTGCCGGCTTCTCAACACATGTTCAAAACGGTTTCACCGCGTTTGATATGGCAGATCACTACGGCGATGCCGAGGTTATATATGTGAGCTACAGAGCCTTTTGCTATCAACTATTACAGACTAACTCCATTACAGGGCAGCTTCCGCCGTTTATATCCTCATCGGGATGAAATGTTTACTGCAACAAAATATTGTATATTTCACCACATGACAGTTTCTCCAGAGGCAGTCAAGGCAAACATTACAGAAAGATGTGAAAGATTACAGCAAGATGTCATCGATTTACTTCAGTTCCATTGGCAATTCGTAAGTCCCATGTTCTCTTTCCTGCCTCGACTACTAATATGACCTCAGTGGGAAGATCCTCAGTATCTTGATGCCTTGCGCTATTTATCATTAGATGAGCGTGTGGCCCGTATTGGCCTGTGTAACTTCAACACCGAACACCTCCACCGTGTTCTCCAAAGTGGCATTGAGATACATACCAACCAAGTGCAGGTCAGTACCGTGCAAGCGACTAACTGAACCATGTCGTTGACGTAATGCCAGTTCTCGCTTATCGACGCAAGGCCAACAGTAAAGATGGCAGATCTCTGCTCAAGCCACAATATAAAGCTGCTGACTTATGGCACACTGGTGAGTCTCCTCTTGGAAGGACTTCCCGAGTCCCATAGTCGCTAACAGGTTCCTCTTCCAGTGCGGCGGCTTTCTGGCGGACAAGTGGCTTGGCAAGCCAGAGCCAGATGTATACGACTCAAACAGCACACCCAGTCAGCGAAAGGTACGCTGAAAGCCTCCCCTTGGTATTACGACGCTAATGGTATCCTCTTTCACAGTACTACACAATGATATGTAGCTGGGGTGGCTGGGGTCTGTTCCAGGAGCTGCTGGGTGCTTTGCGCACTGTTGCTACAAAGCATCAAGTCAACATTTCGAATGTGGCTACACGGTGGGTCCTAGACTTTCCCTACGTCGGTGCAGTGATTATCGGGGCACGCTTCGGAATGAGTGAGCATACAAGCGATAATACTGCAACCTTGGGCTGGAGTTTGGATGACAATGATCGTCTCTTGATTGAGAGGGTCTTGAGTCAGAGTCGCAGACATGACATGTTCCAGAGAATGGGTGACTGTGGCAATGAGTACAGGTGATTGATGGAAAGATCTGTTATGCCACGCATAATCTCTGTAAAAATATATTGTAACTACTCAACGTAGTACGGAGACTGGATTAAGATCGTGGTGTTCTTGAATTCAGGTTAAGTGTGAAATTCGATAAATCATATTCTTTATTAGAATTATTATCTAATTCAACTGCTCCTATATACATATATATAAAAAGACTTATCGCTGAAGTCACCCTTGAGATTGATACTTACGGATTATGGATTATACAAGAAGCCATGTTTAAAGAGGTGATAGCATACCTAGTATCAGTTTATAGTAAAGGTGGCAATGTCGAAAAATCGTCGGAACGGATTGAAACATAGTCAGTAATTCTTGATAGAGTCAAACAGGGAAGAAGTAAAATAACACGTAACATCCAACCCTTTTTAGATAATAAAAAGCATCGTGCTCTCACACATCATATGCATTGATTTGGGCGAATGATATGGCGTTACATGACCACAGCTGCACCGTTAACCTTTGACGCTAGTCCTGTATTTTCTCCTTTCAGACAAGTGCTGGACATCCATGTGAGCAATATCCGCTGACGTGCATATTGGTAGTAAAATAAATTTGCTGATAGGTACACATCAGTCAATTCAATGTCAGGTCTCAACGAGAAGTACGTCATCATTTATATCGTACTGCAAGTCCCCTCAGTCAATTTGGGATTTATCTTTGGATATAAATAGACGGCCATGGAACTCACATCTTCAAGAACATCTAAAATCAAAACCAACTCTTGCATCCACCGTACTTGCTCACGCTTTACTACATTTCTCCCTTTATTTTAAAGAAATGTCTCCCACCGAAGTAGAGGCAAACGGTTGGACCGCTGTTTCCGTCAGCGCCAAGGAGATCAAGGACTCGGTCGGGCAGCTTGGAGCCACACAAACTTACACTGTCCAAGACATCATTTTCCCCTTCGAGGATAAACTTGTTTCTGAAGCTCAAGCCTTTGTCAAGGCACGTCTGAGTCCAGAGGCTTACAACCACTCCATGCGGGTTTTCTACTGGGGTAAAAACATTATTGGCGTTTGACATTGTTTTGAATAAACCCACTAAGTCTTCGACCAGGATCGATCATTGCTAAACGTCTACTGCCCAAGCATGCAGAGGCCCTGTCTCCATCTACTTGGGCGCTGACATGCCTCCTGCATGATATTGGTACAGCAGAGGCGTACTTCACTTAAACTCGAATGTCTTTTGATATCTACGGTGGTATCAAAGCGATGGAGGTGCTTAAAGTCCTCGGTGGAAGTACAGATCAGGCTGAAGCGGTCGCTGAGGCTATCATCCGCCATCAGGACATGGGCGTAGATGGCACCATTTCCTTCCTTGGCCAGTTGATCCAGCTCGCTACGCTGTATGATAATGTTGGGTCGTACGAAGGCATTGAAGACTTTGGAAAGTGGATTGATGACACCACTCGTGATAACATCAACAAAGAATTCCCACGCTATGGTTGGTGTTCCTGGTTTGCCTGCACAGTCCGTAAGGAAGTAGCCAACAAGCCTTGGTGTCATACCACGCATATCCCCGAGTTCGATAAGAAGATGGAGGCGAACACTTTGATGAAATCGTGGGAGTAGCAAAGTAGATAAGAGATAGGTGGTAATAGTGAAGCTTTGTGATACCGATTGTTTTAACAACAATGTCAATGCTGAAGTCTTGTTTATGTTATCGCAGTCGATGCGTACTCAGATGTCAACGTCATGCATATCGTGCAAAAAAGAATCAACGTTTTCTTCCCAAGACTTTCACGGTAAATTTTACAGAAAGTAACCTTTCAATGGGAGATAAACCTGGAAGATAATCCATTGTCAATCGTTCCGGCCTGTCCACGGGTTGAGGCCGAGACGCGAGGTCTTCCCTTGGTTATTTGCATTTCCAACGTCACATCCATGTCTTATTTTAGACTAGGGTTCAGCTTATGCGTGAAGCTAGCAGTAAAGCACTAAACTCATAATAGAAAATAAGTGAACTTTTATGGGCTTTTGGTTCATCTACCCAATGAGAGCCCACTGTCTGACACATTCTGATGACGTTGTGATCGGTCCTCGTGGAGAAAAGTCTCATTGACACTGACTGACCTTACACAAAAATGTCACTAAGACGAGGTTCCGTTGTTTGCAAACACCCAACCTCTTGCATACACTCCAAAGTTACGTTTCGATGACCCAGCTACGAACTCGTAAGTGCTGGAGCTGCAAGCAACGCCGCCTCAAGTGCGACGGAGGTTTGCCCCACTGCTTGAAATGTTGGAGCCATGGTGTTGAGTGCCTTGGCTACAAGAAACCGCTGGTCTGGGTTGAAGGAGTGGCTCGGCGAGGCCCTATGAAAAATCGTACTTTTGCAGATATCCTAGATCCGCAATCAACCTCGGTCCCGGGGCCGGCATCCGATGTCTCTCGAGCACAGCATCACCAGAGTGAACGGTTGACAAGACCGGCCGCAGCTGGTTCGATGCCAGTGACGCTTGTTGAGCCTCTATTCTAGGATATGAGTTACACTTCTAGGTTCTTTGTCGACTATTGTTAGTTTTGGGTAAGTTCTGTGTTGAATATTGTCCACTAATGTTTCATCTAGTCTCCAACCGCATTTGCCCAACCCTGGTCCTTCAGGATCAGCCGGACAACCCATATCGTAATACCATTCCCTGGATCAACACACCAACCGTAGCAAGTGCTATAATGACAGTGTCATCATGTCACTATATTCAGTATATTACGAACTGCTCCATGACAGACTTGTTACCACAACCCAGAAATGGAACAGGGCCGTTGACTCTATTGGAACCCCGCTCAGCCAGTCTGGACAGGGGACCGTTGGTGAACTACTATTTACGGTCCAAAAATCATTCTCTGAAGTTGGTCTCGGCGGCATTAGTGACAAATAGGACTCGTCAGGGTTATCAGTCCCTGCTCATCGCCGTTGTACTCCTCGCTTTCCTAGATATTTTTGAAAACGGGTCTGGTGCTTGGAGCTATCATATTGAAGGTATCAAGAAGATGCTCGAAGCTGGAGCCATGTCGGGTAATTCTGCTTGGGACCACAACCTTCAGAATTTACTTCAGGAGGCTGCCATGTAAGTGGCCTTGCATCAAGACTCGTTTCACAACTCGCGGCTTGAGGAACTAAAAGATGTATTATAGGCTTCAGACACTCGGCTCTTCTCTCGCAAAACCCGGTGTTCTGACCAGTGCGTCAACACTATCTTCAATGCGTACTTCAGCTTTCTCGACCGTCACGCCAATCGGATGCCCAGTCGAGATTCTATCTACTATTGAGATATTCGCATCTCAGAGGCGGCATGGCTGTGTTTTTTACGATCAGACGACCAACTTCGCCGCCCTTGAGGAAGCACTACATCAAATGCGATCGTATGATGTTGTATCATGGGCTTTGCATAATACCACAGAATCCTCGAAAGTGTCGCCCCAAGATGTGATGCGTCTTGGTACTATCTGGAAACTTTCTGCCGACATTTACGCTTGCCGTGTTCTCGCTTGCCTCGCGGGGCATAACTTCACATCTGAGTCACTGCAGGTTCAAAATCTCATAGCAGAGTACGCATTCCTGGAGCGTGAGGATGATGAGCTGATCAAGTGTCTCATATGGCCAACATTCATTGCTGGGGCAGCGAGTACAGGCTACGAGGCTAGAGCTTGGGTGCTCAAAACCTTGGATAGAATCTGGAATGCTGGGCATTGTGCCAACACCAAAAATGCTGCCAAGGTTTTGGGGAAACTGTGGGAGAAACACGACCAGGCGAACCTCAGTCCTTCGTCGACACATGCCACTTCTCAAGTGGCTCAGTTTCAACATTGCAGCTGGGACTGGCTTAGCGAGCTATCAAATCTGAAAGGTTCATGGCTTTTCGTGTAGCAAGTGTTGTTTAATAACATAACTTGCGACTATAATAGACTGCTAGTGATCAAGCTAGCTCTGCATTGGAAAGGACTGACCGATGCATGCTCTTGGCCCATGTAGGAATGGCAGAAGTCCTTATTTGCTAGATGCATGTCTCTACGTATTAGTGCTAGGGGATCTGATTTTGACTTCTGTATCGCTATTATACTCGTCTTCACCTTGCCGATCGTAGAGCCATCTATCCAGCTTAAAAGTATCCGCATCGAGGCCCCGAAGATTTGAAATTCCATTTGTAGCCTAAGGTGCGATAAAGATGCGTGTCCCCTTCAATCCCTTTGGCTCAGCATATTCTCCATTGATCATCCTTTCAATGCTTAACTACGTTGTAGTGGAAGGTCGACATAAAGGACGGCTGGTCCGCCAAGCCAGCATCCATGTAACAGCCGATAAGGAACTTACATCTCTGCGATGGAATAAGTATCATGAAATCCACTTCCGGGTTCATGTTTTAAGCGTCTTGTAATGCCAAGAACTAGGTCCTGTTGGCATCCCACATGTAAAGGAGAGACCGCTTCCCCGCAGATAAGCCTTGCAAGCGTGTGTGTGGACAGTTAGTGGACCACCCAGTTAGCGAAGACCGAACCGCCGATCTACGTTGAGTTTAGTTTGATTTTTTTAGTTTATAACAACTTGATCGTCACCTTTCCCTAAGTTTAATTCCCCATTCACTGGTGTGCACTACGACAGCCAACTGTAGAAATGGAAGACACGCGACCTGCGAAACGCGCAAAGCAGGCTTGCGAGCCATGTCGGTTGGTTTACATGGCATGAATTCTCTCATAGTCAATCGCTCTAACAGCTATTTCAGTCGGAAGAAGTCAAAATGTCCCGGGGAGAGGCCTACATGCTCATACTGCGAGCGACTTGGCCAGCCCTGTGTCTATGATACAGGGTCGGATTTTCAGGCACAACGCGCTCGCCAGGACAGTTCTCTAGTTTGTGACCAACATCAATTTATACCATCAAGTCAGATCAGCAAACGCTAACAACTTTTGACTTGAAGGAAGTCCGAATGGAAAGCCTTGAAGAGAAACTGGACTTTGTCCTGGAGCGCCTAGAGTATGCAACTGAGATAAAATGGTGCAGTGCCGATAATAATTGATGCCTTTTAGTCCTATGATTCGAGATAGCCGTCAACGTTCAGCTTCACAGCAAATGACAAGACACACGCCGAATTCCATGATTGGTCTTCCCGACATGGCAGAAAGTATTGACTGCATGCAGCCTGGACCGGGTTCAAGGCGAGAAACTGACTGTTCATCTGCATGTCCGCGACAGCAATTGCTGACCAAAATTCATAGTACATCATTAACTCCGAAATCCCGAAAGGACGAATTGGCATCACTGTATCTAACATGGCTTCACCGACAACCCTTGGTCATGTTCGACGCCGAGACATTTGCAGAATCTTTGCCCAGCCGTGATCCCGAATTGGTTCTCGTTTTGCAAGCCCTATGCTTTCGGTTTCCACCACAATCGTTGAACACAGAATCCCGTCAACAGTTGATCGCCATGGCCCGGACGTCACGACAGCTTGTGATGGAGAAGGTCTTTGCAAGCCAAGTCGATTGTTCTGTGTTACAGACTTTATGTCTTCTCAGCCTTTTCGAGTTTACAGGTGGGAAGCACACAGAATACGAATTGTGAATCATCAGCTAAATGTGTCCTTAGAGGGAAATGTTGCTCAGGCTGGCTTACACCTTGGTATGGCAATACAGTTCATGCGTGGTATCCCCAAAGGGAACGCTCTCGGTGATAGCGCCGAGTTCAACAATTGTCTTCGAAGCATCTTTGTGCTCTACCATTTGCAGGGCAGTGTCTCTACAGGCGTGTGGCTTACAAGTCTTTCTGAAGGAGATGGCCTCGTGACAAACTCATGGTCGGGTTCGGAATGGTTGACTCCACCCGACAACGCGATCCCAAGTGAGATGGATACAGGCATCATGAAGTACACCACGCCTCTTGCGCAAGTATGGAGAGAAGCAAGAATATACGCATCCTGTCGTGTCTTCTCCGGTATGCTACCTCCCTGGAACCCTCGATCAGATTACTCCCAGGTTGCATATCGCCATCTCGAAGTCGATTGCAGCGTACCACTGAAGTATAGGTTTTCTGCTAGTCGGATTGTAGAGCAAACACCAGAGTCTCTACAGCAAAATCGAGGTCACTGGGGCCCCTACTTATTCACACAGTTTGTCTACGCCTCTATCCCTGTTATTCTGAACCACCCGTTTCTCTTGTCAATGCGACTACGAAACTTCCGAAGTACCATGCCGCACTCGTTCATCAACAGCTCATTTGATGCAATTACCCGCCATATCGGCTGGATTATGTATCATCTTGAACTCATGAATAGGATGGCTTACCAGATATCCGATCCAACATTAGCACACATCGTGGTCATCGTTGCCACAATACATCTTCAACACAGTTTTGTGGACGACTCGGAATTGCGCGAAAAGGCCCAGTCGGGCTTTGCAAAATGTCTGGAATTTCTTCAGCGCATGGGTTCCATGTGGCCCAGTGTGTCTGTGATGGTGAGTGGGAATGAAAGTCAGATAAGTGTTTCAGGACTAACTTTGTTGCAGCACGAAAATCTGCAGAAACTACAGCAGAGTATTCAAGTGATTCCTGTACCTTCTGAGGAACCTGGGATGTCTGGGACTCCGCATCAAAAGTTCACAATCGACACTAGAATACTTTGGGACTTACTCTCCTACGAACAAGCAGGTCGATCAGATGCACACACTGACCAGTCCATGTTCAGCGGCTTATCATCTACGAATCTGGATATCGGAAGCAACGGCACTGAGTCTGGAGTTGGTTATGACTTGGTTGGTTCTGCTGGCATCATTGGACACAAGACTGTTCCCAAGGATACACCCATTTATGCCCCAGGTGAAGGTGAGTTGAACGTGGTAGAGAACAACCGCTCAGACTGTGGTCTAATCTTGGTAGAAACGTTGCAACAGAATATCCGGGATGGTTTTGGATCTGTGGGCCCACAACAGAACATCTTTCCGCAGGCACACGATTTTGGTAGGGCTATTGATGAGTGGTTGAGCCTCGACTGGGGAAGTTCGATGTTCTCATTGCAGGGTTCATAAAATACTTTTTGTTTGTTATCGTCGCGGTACTTCACTGATGGTTAGGAAATTCTTTACTTTGAAAGGCGGCATCCTCAAATAGCATTCAAACAACTCATTACCTATCTGTATTGCCAGGTTTCTGTATCTATTTATCACCACTCGAGACCTTCAGATCCAGCACATTCCAGCTTATTGCAGAAGTCTTCGTCTTCCTGACTTTCACCAGAGGGCATACTCTTGGGAATAGCCGGCCAAATTTGGTGTCCCTCGACCTCTTCTTGTTTGTAATGTTCCGTGACCAATTTACGTGTCATTTCTTGAAAGAACAAGGGGCCCTAGAACGGATTGTCAGCATGACCACTCGTTACACAGTCATGCAAATGGGGAAAGTACCTTTTCTACCCGAGGGTGAAGTTCGCCATTAACAAAGATACCCGCGTTGAGATTCTTTTGTGCGGCATTGCACAAGTCTTTGTCTTCCTTGAGAATTTGCTTGAAGCAGTCACTGATGTTATTGAAATCATGATCGGAAGCATTCTTATGTCGATAGACTTCGTACTCCATCTTAGTTTGACTGGCCGAGATAGGAATGCATCGCATGATGTAGAAGAAATCGGGACTAATATTCCATCATGTTAGAGAAGACCTCCTGGTGCATTTGTTGCTAGTGGATTATACTTACGAGATGGTAATGGACGCGTTGGGATAGTAAAAGGTGCTGTAGATACCCATACCTGTCGCGTCAGATTTATCGACATTAAAATGCTGGATATGACCGCCATCTGTTTCAACCCAGTACTTGGACAGGTCGGTGAGGGCGTTCAGTGCTGGGTGTCCGGTCGGGCAGTGGTAACACTAGCAAGCAGATTTAGTCAGATGAGGGTATGCTAAATTCATGTCTTGGGAGACTTACCTCGTTATAATTATCGGCAAGCGTCTTCCAGTTGTAGTCGCCAATCATTTCCCACTGGTGATCAAAATCATACGCTTCCATGTCGAATCCCTGCAGTCGTGGTTGAGTGTCGACTGAGGCAAAATCGTCGTCCCAAGCCACGGTTGGGGTAGGGTTGGAGTCCATGTTGATCCATACAAAGCCAAGTTTGTCCACATGGACATGGACCTTGAACAGACTATTGGCGGACTTATCAAAGGATGCTATCTCTTGGTACTTTGGAGCTTTGGCAAGTTTGCCATCGAATCCATATGACCAGCCTGAGAAGTATCAGAATACAGCAAGAACTTGTTATACCCAGAATAAGCTTACCGTGATATTTGCATGATAAGATCGATAATTTGCCAGAGTCTTGTTCGATCAGCGGGTACGCCCTGTGTCGGCAAACATTATGGTGGGCCCGAATCTCTCCCTGTCGATCTTTGATCAAGAAAAAGGTGAATCCAGCCTCTGTTACGCGTAAGAAGTCGCCTGCTTGGATGAATCTGGCTTTGTGAGAGACAACAATCCACTTCTTGGAAAAGATGGCCCGTCGTTCAAGATCATACATAGCCGAAGACCGATACCAAGAAGCTGGCAAGGCCTTGGTGGTCTTAGGACCTTGATCCTGGTCTTTGGATGCACCAAAATTAAACCAACGACTCATTGTGGCTTGTTATGATGGTGGAACGATACAAATGGTGGAGGAACGTGTTGTTGGAACAGCAATTTACTTGTTAAGGTGTTGTAACAATTATGGACCAGTATCGTACAGGTCAAGCAAATTGAACCTTCTACCCTTATAGACGTCCCAGGTGGCCACCCACTTACTCCTCCGGCTGCTTGTAGTCCAATGATACAGCTCAATATCATCTGCCTCATGCTTCTTGGCCCGGTATCCGTATCCCCCCATCTGGTCCAGATCCCTTAGAAACCCTTATCAATATTTGTGATGGGGTGCGGCAAGCTAACGGTCCGCTTCCGTACCCACACTTGACCTGTGATAACCAATCCACCGTAATGATAACAGCCACTCCAAGTCCCCTCACGGATTTTAGCCCGGACCGCTTCCGGAGCATCCGTATCTAGATTGGACCAATGGGATATGCTTCTTGTAGCCAGGTTCCGTAGGAGCCCCTTCAGCGAGGGAGCTCACATGTATCTCGCTGCCACACCTATAATTCTACAATCTTGGAAACGGTAGCTTCTCCAGACAACCGGAGTTTTCACAAAGTCTTCTATCTTAACGACCAAAGCATAGCAATCATGGCTACTACGCAAGCGCAAAAGTCCGACCGACTTCGATGCACCATTATTGGAGCTGGGTAAGTCAACTTTCCAGCACTCGATTTCGCACGGCAGATAACTAATCCTCGTGCTTACTTTTACTAGTGTCTCTGGTATTCTTATAGGTAAGCTCTCCTTTTTGTCTACGGCCTTGCTATGTTCTAACGAGGGGTAGCTTACAAGCTTAAGCAACATCTCAATGATTTTGTCGATTTCCAGATTTTCGAAAAGTCGCCAGAAATTGGTGGAACGTGGTACGAGAACAGGTACCCTGGATGTGGATGTGATGTGCCTAGTCATTGCTATCAATACTCGTTCGCTCCAAATCCTTCCTGGTCGAAATTGTGAGTGACGATTGTTAGTCGCCTTTGTATCTACTGCTAACTTGGCAAAGCTATGCATCTTCCCAGGAAATCCAAGCTTATCTGAAAGGCGTTGTCAAATATTTCGATCTCGAGCGATACATAACTTTCAACTCCAAAGTTGAGTCAGCACGATGGTCTGAAGAAGCGGGCACTTGGACAATAGAGTTGAATGATGGCACTCTTGTTACGTCTGAAGTCCTTGTCAATGCTGGCGGCATTCTCAATCACCCACAGCTACCCAACGTAGAGGGCCTGTCTACGTTCTCTGGGCCAATGCTGCATACTGCCTCTTGGGACTCCTCAATTGACTTGAGAGGAAAGCGAATTGGAGTGATTGGCGCAGGAGCTAGTGCCATCCAACTGATCCCCTCAATCCAACCTCTGGTTAAAGACATGAAGGTGTTTATCCGGACACCTTCCTGGATCGCACCTCCAGTTGCCCTACCAGATTCCAATGCGACAAACTATTTTTATAGTTCTGAGGAGAAGGAGCGTTTCGAAGGCCATAAAGACACGTACCTCGCCACGAGGAAAGGTCTCGAAGACCAGTTCAACGGAATGTTCCGCATCTTCCTCAAAGCAAGCGATGAGCAAAGAAACATAAGGAATCTTTTTGAATCCCGAATGAAACAGCTCATCCCTGATAAGAAGCTTCAAGAAAAGCTGATTCCCCAATTTGAGACTGGTTGCCGACGAATCAATCCGGGCGAAGGATTCCTTACTGCTCTGCAAAAGTCAAACGTCGAGCCTGTTTTTGACTCGATTCAAAAAGTCACTTCAAATGGGATCGTGGCGGGCGACAAAGAGTATCTGGTTGATGTACTGGTGGCAGCAACTGGATTCAATACGACCTTTAGACCACGATTCCCCATTATTGGTCGGAATGGAGTCAACCTCCAAGACTTATGGCAAGATGATCCGGCTTCATACCTGGGAGTTGGAGTAGCGGGGTTTCCCAACTACCTCATCTTTTTGGGACCAAATACGCCAATCTCCAACGGAAGTCTGATGGGTAAGTAAACACATGACATATACCGACTTAGATTATCGGACTAACTTTATGAAGGCTCTGTAGAGGCAACTGCCGACTACTTCATCCGTCTCATCCACAAGATGATCCGCCAACGCGTCAAGTCCTTTGAAGTTCGCAGCGACGCCCAAGAAGATTTCAACACCCATACACAGAAAGCGATGCAGGATATGGTATGGACTGGAACATGTAGGAGCTGGTGTAAGTTCAATGCGTATCGCGCGTTATCACGAGTAACACAGCTGACATTCACCCCAAGACAAACAGGGGACGAACGGAAAGGTGACTGGTATCTGGGCAGGAAGTTCTCTTCACTATATCCAGGTACTCTCTGAAGATCGGTGGGAAGACTATGAGTGGGAACACAAGTCAGAAAGGTACAGTTACTGGGGCCAAGGCCTTTCCTGGATCGAAGAACCCGACCTCGATCCGTTGGGTGCCAGAAGGCAGGACATGCTTGAGGCGATGACTACCATTCCGAAAAAAGATTCTGACTTGAGCTTCTATCTATGGAAGAGTGATCCTTTGCCCGATGGCTGTATACCTGATGTGGGCTTGGACAAGACTACGGCAGGAGAAATGCAGAGGGGGCAAAGGTTGACCTGGGATGAGGGTCTGCCTAAGGATGTAGGCGACGGTCACTTGAATGACCCTTCAGCGGCTGTTGCAAGTATTGATACACACGTCAACGGTACAGTCATATCTGCACCTGTTTAGTAGAGCTTAAAGTAATTGTACAAGTTCACTAGACCTTATCCCCGCTCCAGGTCCACAGGACCAGGGCAACAATGACAAACACAACAACTCGACTGCCAACAAATTGGCCATTGTAGCTATTGGGTGGCATCTCCATGAATCTTATGTTTTAACCCTTATGTCTGAGCTTCTTGAAAAGCAGCATTGTATTGAAGTGATGTATCATCATTTTCACGTACGTTTCATTTACCGATTTCCTGTCCCGATTGTCTGAAAATAATTCTGTTTCTATTTGAGTAGCAAAAACATCAGTTTCACCTACTGAGATTACATGCAGTAATCAAATTTCTTTATTCATCATCACGGATAGAATTAGTGACAAGTTGAAGTCTGAATTGAGCCAGTCTCGAAAACTTCATGGGTCGCGGCAGCATACCAATACGATCTACAACTTTGCTACAGGGTGCTTATACCATAGAAGTGTCACAGGCCCACCCTTCCCATAAACTGGGTCGTCTTCCGGCAAATCTACCTTCTGGATCATCGGGATAAACTCGTTCGAAGGCCTTTTTCCTGTCTCATTGCGCCACCTTGGGCAATCCTATAAACGGTTAACACATGCACGATATGAATGTCGAGAAGTCCTAACCTGTGGATAAACTCCGATGTACTTATAATCCGGTGAGCTTTGGGTAGAGGAGTGGGCAGTCCCGGCAGGCAAAAGAACAACATCTCCTGCTTTTACAGGGACTTCCATACCATCTCCAGCTTGGATCTTTCCTAACAACAGGGTTGAAGATCCCTGAAAGATTCCTGGACAAGATGAGAATGTTATACAACAGCATGATCCAAAATTGACTAACCATAACACTCGTGACTATTGGGGTGGAAGTGTCGTATTCCAATATGTCCCCAAGTTCCCTTAGAATAGACGTCGATCAGTGACTGTACATATGTGACGGGTAGGAACAGGCAGATGACCAACTCTTTTTTCCCACCTGTGTGTGGTCAGAAACTCTGTCGCCGTCTCCTCCGTTCTAAGATGGGGAAGGACATTGCGATAGACAAGGATCGGAAGTCGGCTATTGGGGGCATCCTCGGTCGGCGGCAACAAATAACATTCAACACTTGAACTCATTATGGTCACGTTAGTGGCTTCTATTATTGAACGCCCTGTTCTGAGAAAACCCAATGCCAACCCTTCACTTATCATTCCGTTGATCTAGTCGATTACTGTACCCCGCGTTCTTAGTGCCGTGGCTTGGAACGCTTATCAGGACACGGTCCGCTTCCGTGTTTGCGGAGAAATATGATGTTTGTTATCTCGGAAAAGTATGTAGTTCTCCGCTGGATGAACGTGTACAATTTTTTGGTTTGTTCCTATCTCTGAACTAGGTAAGATCAAGCGGGACGGAATCCGGGGAACCTTGCAAACTTGGAAAGGGCGGGATTGCTTGGGCCGTTGGCGAGATAGGAAACCCGGAGCCCCTAAAGATAATGGAGTTGCGACTACGGGTATGGCTATAGATAGGTCGGCAATCCTGTATCTTCAAACCCTTACATCACAGAAATCTGCTGCAGAGTGAGGAGTCCTCCCATCTTGTAGTATTACCGATATTCATCATTATCGTTGAAGTCCCTGTCCCTCCTTCCATCCTGACACCATTGGACATCATGTCAGCTCAACCAGTTGCCGCGGACGCAGCATCCGTTTCCGATGAGAAGCGGGAGAGCAAGACGTTCGGTGTACCTCTTAACTATTCGGAAAGTCATGCAAATGGCATCATTACAACCATCGATGGTGTGGATACCGCCACCTTGCACAACCATGAAGTGATCAACAAGGCAATCGAAGCCATTGGGTTCGGCAAATTCCAGTGGCAGTTGACATTTTCTTGCGGCTTCGGGTTTCTGGTCGATCAGGTAAAATGAATGATCTGCTCGCCCTTCATGATTCCGACTGACAACTGTGTGTAGATGATTCTCGTCTCCATCAGTCTCGTCACTCCCCAAGCTGCCATGGAGTTCGGCCCTCGATACGCAACCCTCCTATCCGCATCCTTATATGCCGGCATGCTGTTCGGCGCCGTTGTTCTTGGTGGACTGGCAGACAATATCGGCCGCAGGCTCGTCTGGCAACTGTCCATTTTTGGTTGCTCTATCGTCACCACTATTGCTGCCTGTTCACCGAACTGGGCTGCCCTTAATGTTTTTATTGTCTTGATCGGTTTATTTGCAGGTGGAAATCGTAAGTACTTATTCTTTATATGGTGCCCGGGTTCCCGCACCAAGACTTGCCGTGACTGTTGTTAACGACTCCCACAGTTGCTATTGACTTGACTATTCTAGCAGAAGCCATTCCTCAACAATGGTCCTTCATTCTCTCCAGTCTCGCTTGCATTTGGGGCCTTGGCAACGCCATCACAGGACTCATTGGTAACAGCTCCACCATTTTTGGTCAATGTTGTGTTGTATATACTTACTTTTCCGGTATAGCTTGGCCAATACTTGTCAACTTCGGATGCCCCAGCGGCTCTACCCCCGCCAACTGCAGCAAGGGCGACAATATGGGTTGGCGGTACCTTTATATCATTCTTGGTGGCCTGTGTCTAGTCATGTCTCTCATCCGAGCCTTTGTCCTACGATCTACCGAGTCGCCAAGATGGCTTATTTCTTGTGGCCGCATGCAAGAGGCTGCTGAGGTTATCAACAACATCAGCAAAACGAATAAATCTGACTACCACATAATGGAGGATCAGTTCATGCCGATCGACAGACATGAGGCGAACACCGAGGTTCGCTCATTGCGCGCCAATATCCACCGGGCTGCGAAGCTCTTTTCCGGTCCTAAACAACTCCGCCTTATGGTTGGACTTCTTATGATCTGGGCTCTGATTGGAATCGCGTAAGTCTGAACAAGTTCATCCAACGTATGATGTGTGAGTAACGTTAGATGTCCAGATATCCACTCTACACCATCTTCCTACCTTACTATCTGGCGGCCAATGGCGCCAACTTTGGTGAACAGAGCAATTACACAACATATCGCGACTGGACCATTTCTTCCATCGTAGGAATTTTTGGTCCTGTTCTCAGCACCATCTTGGTATCATTACCCTGGTTCAAGTCTAGAAGGTCGATGCTACTGACAGGAATAATTTGTGCTGCCTTCTCAGGTGCCTTCACGTCTGTCAGGACTGCCGGAGAAAATCTTGCATTTTCGAGCATGACCGGCTTTTCCCTAAACGCTCTCTACGCCATCGTATATTCATATACCCCTCAAGTTCTCGAGGTTCAGAATCGTGGTCTTGGTACAGGTGTTTTGATGGCGACTGGGAGACTGGCATCGCTCAGTGCGCCTTTCATAGCTACATTTGCTGATGTCACTACTTCAGCGCCTATCTGGGTTGCCTGTGCTTGCTTCCTGGCCATTGGACTTATCGCAATGGTTCTGCCAGTTGACACCATGCCTTATGTTTCTAAGTCACGAGAAGTGGAAAGTGTTAGATCATAAGTTCTTATTTGCACGAACTCATCCGAGCTATGGAATTCTGGGACTGTGTATGGGGATATTAGGCCTGGATGATTTGTAGCAGGAAAGGGTACCGACCTTACCCATTACTTCTGACTTGAAGAACGCGGACTTTGGTGTGGAAGAGGGCATTAAAGCAGCTGTCATTCCCATATTTTAAACATCGCGTAAGACTCATATCGATTAATAATTGCTATCATTTTAAGCTTCGTTGTGGTGTCCGATTCTTTTATGTGACATCATTCTGCCTCAAAATATGAAGCTAAACTCACTTTTGGCAGGTAAATCCTCTTTGTCTGCTGGTTTGTGACAATACCGTAATATGTGAAGAATGTTGTAATTATGTGGTAGGCTGAGCTTGACCCTCCAAACCAGTAATTCATTACACCAAGTCAACAAGACACCCAATGCTTTACTAGTATTCTTTCTTTACTTTAACCTTTGACTTTATTAAACCTAGTCTTTTTAAATCTCGTAACAGTATTCCTAATAAAAATAACCGATTATAAGCTTAAAAGTCAATTTAATTAAAACTGTAAAAATTGTACATAAAGCGAATATTTCGAGCTCAGTTCTGCCTAAGAAAGAAACGACTAAACTCGCTATTTCTTTCTAGTCTGTCCAAAGTACTAGTATCGTATTGCAGGATAACCTCAAGACCCCGACCAGCTCCTCGACGAGGCGGTAGGACAATGCAACGGCCATCAGGTTTGTTTTCAGTATCCCCTACAGTGACGCGCATTGCCGAAGGGTAACCAAGATCTTGCCCGAAATAGATATCATTGTATCGGTGTGTTTGGAGGCAGACAATAAGCATATCAGGGCCGGGATAGCGGTCAACGTTCCAGGTCAAGGTGGTGCTTTTAGGCATCTGGTTGAGGAGACCAACTAGACGTCTGACAGCTTTGTCGCTAACGGCAGCGATGGCTCTCTTGATCTGACGCGCTGGCTCAAGGTAGACGCTTCCCTCGTGTCTTCCAGGAGTTAGTGGCTGGAATGGGCGTTGAAGACTTGCAACTGGGAGTCTCGCAACAGCATTTGGTTCCGAAAAGTTTCCCCAATAGTTGCCTGGTACCAAGTTATCCTCTATCCGCCCTCGGGCATCAACTGTAATTGACAGCTTGGCCTCAGGATACTTGGAGGAGTCAATGTCTCTCGCCAATACCACGTGACGCCAAAGGAACGCACCCAACGCTTCCATTGTAGTGACGTTGGCTTCCGGAGAACTGTTCAAGATATATTTCTTTAGCGTGGCCAGTCTTTCGGTGCTGAGGTAAAATATGGCATTTTCGAATGTCTGGACGTTGGTAGGCTTGTAATCTGTCGGATTCAGGAAGCTGGTTGGGTCTTCTGTAAGCTTCCAGTCCGGAAGATCTTCCAAGGTCACATCTTGGTTGCCGTCAATAAGTCCGCTTCTGTCCAAAGCTGTGATTGGAAATGTTCTTATGTTGAATCCAATGTTAAGAGCTGTCAGGTGCATGCCCATTGTTTGGTGGAAGATATAGTTGCAAATGCCATCACCAACTACGTGCTGTAGAAGAATTAGTGTAATTCTAAGGATACGACATTCAACAAAATTCAGGTTTTTGGTTTTCCCATCTATATCCAGTCTAGAGGTCAAACGCTCAAAAGAGAGAAAAGGACCTACGTGGAGGCAGCTTCCAAGTATCAATCCGCCAGGTATGAAGTTGCATTGAACAACAAGTGACGGGAGCCTGATGCCCTCGACCAGTTTGGCAGATGTTCCGAAGACAACGTGTCTCGGCATTCCTTTGAGAGGGAAATGTTCCCGCTCCAACTGCTCGAACGTACCGAGTTGCCAAAAGTTGCAAAGTTCGGGTGATGTGTAGTCTTTGAAGTGTATCCTGGCGCCTTGGCTACAGTCGAAAACAAGCGCAACTTCTTCGCGGCTATTGCCATCATGCTTTTCAACACAACAGGCAAGCTCTGGAATATCACCAATTGTCTTGACTAGAGCTCTCTTGAAAAGTTGAAATATTCGTATCTTGTCTGCATCTGGAGCCAGTGAGAAGAACAGGCAGGATGAGATATAGTCTCGAGGGGCAATCTGGTCAATTGCAGAAAGCTTTACTACCTGGCCATTCACATTCGGCTGCGGGTGTATGATTGTGACGGAGTTGGCCGGTGGACCAGCCTTACTGGTGACAGAATGGGCCATGCTGGAACATCTGTCCCGGTAAAATTGGCCGCTTCGATATGCTTTAAAATATCAATAGGAGAAATTGCTGCACCTAAGTAGCTATGAAACCATCGGACGAAAAGGACGAGGGAAATGAGATATGCAATGCTTTTCATCACATTCTTTATTGGAGTGCTATATCACATGATCCATTGTAGTGCGAGTTTCATATCGCCAACTGATAAGGCAGGGGAGTACCGGTTAGCTTGCACATGTTTTCATGTTTTCGTATTTGCGCTTTGACAAAATCTCTTAGCCCGTGTAAGAGATAAGGAGTTTTCGCATTTACGCTTTGACAAAATATGTTCTTAATGACATGGTGGTCAAGGCGGCGAGGCCAATAGATTGATTTGGGGGACGGGCTACTGCGCTATGATACGACTCTATTCCTCGGTAGTTGGATGTGACAACGGCGACTAAACCATTCAGGGGACTCACTTCGTCCGATGATGATCATCATACTTGAATACTCGCAGGCTTAGCTGCGTTTAGTTTAGGTTGCGAACAATGAGCAAGATGAAACCGAAAATATGGTTAATATGCCACAGATATATGAATGTGAATGATCGACGTCTACAGATCCAGAAACTTGTATTACTCCCACGCATGTAACGTTTTTATTTAGCTTGCCGTATTTCTGTTATCAGTAGGAAGCCGTGATACTCAAACAATGACCTCAGACAGATCAGGAAACACACCAGCCATGTCCAGCTCCTGGGTTGAACCTGCGGGGCCAGTAAATGCCTGTATCATCAAGTGTTCAGCTCTGGACAACCTCACTGCTCCAGTCTATCCATCACCGACACATTTCTTTCCTTTGAAGCCAGAGACCGACCCTAGACAACTCTACGAGGATTGTAAACAAGGGCTTTCCCGGTGTATTTACGAACATCCGCATCTCTCTGGTGTTCTTATCAAAGACGAGAGTGGGCGCAATTCGATCGAGATTAGAAGCGCACCCCACGCCGGAACGAACTTTTGGTACAAAGACCACCGACACGACTCAGATGTGCCCTCCTATCAGGATCTCAAAGATGCCGGATGGCCATTCGCAGATGGCGAGCGAGACGGTTTACACAAGCTACGCCCGGAAGACTTCCCATCTCTTAAGGACGGCGATCCTATCATTGCACCTCAGTTCAATGTCATCAAGGGCGGTATCGTATTGACCATGTCTATAGCACATGCTATAGGCGATCTCGTGCAGTTCATCGAGTATGTCAAATCGTGGGCCCAGAATACCAATGCCGTGGCCACGTCTAGGATAGAAGGACGTCCCGTGCCTCCTCTTCGGCAGCAAAAGGCAGCAAGCCTGTTGGACCGCGCATGCCTGACACCGAATGTGCAGATTGAGGAGGATTTGGACAAGCTGGCGGCACGTGTCTCTAACCTCCCACATATGTCTATGCTTGATCCTCGTCGTCCAGAAGAACTAGCAGAGAAGGCGGATACGCTCTTCACTAAGGCCCGTATATCCAACCTTGATCTGGCAAGCTTGTCTGAAGACCATCTTCGCGCCCTATCATGCTCAGTTTGGAACTTTCAGCAGTCGTCCCTAGAGGAACTTAAGCGCACCAGTCAACAAGAATTACCGAAGGGCTCAAGATTATCAACTATCGACTGTCTCACTGCTTTCACATGGAACCGCTTCTTTGTCGCTAAATATGCTCCGGAATCGTCAAGCCAGGAGCCTTTACCTGACATTTCTCGGATTGTCTTTGCGGGGAGCATTCGACACCGCTTGACCCCTCCTTTGCCAGATGATTACTTACCGACTTGCGTCGATCTATTCCCTGTGGCTGTGGAAACTACCCATTTCGCCTCTCCCTCTCCTAAAAATCTCGCCAGGGCAGCAAAGATGATTCGTGACAGCAATGATAAATGGAACGAGGAGGTGTTTCGCAGTATGCTTGAAATAGCCCATTCTCATCCCATGAGCCCAGGTCTCATACCAAATGGACCTATTGATGCACTTGTCACCGATCATACACGCGCAAGTGCAGCTGTATTCGAGAGCTGGGGTCCTGAACTAGGCACAAGTGAAGCGTTTAGAGAACCGTACTTAGGAAGAGATCCGCCCCATGGAGAGATCACGCTTCTACCACGACGGCAGGACGGTAGCGTTGACGTTATGTTTGCGGGAGAAGCTGTCGTGATGGAACGACTCGGATGTGACCGATTCATGAACCAGAAGGCTTCATGCCGTTTTACCATGGACAAATACAAAACAGCAAACCATCGGCGCATGTCAAGGCTGTAGGGGTATAAGTTCTTACCTAGTTTCATTACATCCTAATATCAGCCTCTCATTCAATCACTTAAACCCTATCTTATAGGTTATTGTAATATACGCGACGCCCGCAGTAACGAGACCCATTAGAGTATCTACAAGAAGCGCGCCAGTTGGGCCTACCGTAGCGATGACTTGGCCAGAACCAAGAAACAGGCCTTTTCCCTATAAAGAGTCAACAGGACCAGTCAATACCACTGCTGGGTATCCCGTCAGACTAATTTCCTAATTAGTTTTAGCTAATTTATTGCCTACATCTTTTAGTTTCACCCAAACCAAGTCATTTAATTAACACGGACCGACAGCCATAAACGAATACCCCCACAAACTGCTTAAATTCGTAAGAGGACGTGCTTACGCCTCGGCTAGCCTTATACAATGGAGAAGAACGTGAAGCATTGACCTAACCTCTGATATGTGGGCCTCCATGGGCCCCTTGCTGATACGTGAAGATGGCCTCGTGAAAGGCTACGTGAAGGGCTACGTGATCATCAGATAACCTCCCAAGGTCTACAACACCAAGCCAGCTTGGATTGACCTCTTCATGCCTATGCAGATATCTTCATTTTAAGATCCGAGTCAAGTGACCGTTCAAAGCGCATCGCTTACGTAGAAACAAATATGAATTCTAAAACTAGTATTGAAAAACAAATGTTAGCGTGGTCGGATCGCTTCATCTGTCAAAGCGTCACGACAAGCCGCAGGGGAGCTACCGAGTCAAAGGTGTCCGTGTGAAATGAGACTAAACCTACTAAAGTTTTATTTTACGATGTTTTTAAAGTGTTTGTCTCCTCGACCTCGTGACGCATTGTTGGTAGAATATAATAGATTTGATGAAAATATACTAGATCGTGAGAAATATCAAGAGAAACACGATTTGTTAGCCTACCCTATAGTGCTTGCTGAACTTTTGGAAGATCTTGAGTTTGAAGCCGAGATTGTAGTAATAGTTTTGCGATTTCTTACTAGTATATATGCAGCATTGCTCTACGCACGGTATTTTATAACAAACATGAATAGTCTATTCCGGTGATAATGTGACATGCTCAGACCAATCCATTTTGGAGCTCTGGCAAACAGCGACAGTGTACCATGCTGCAGGGCAACAAAAACACACATACATCGCTGGTGATGAGTGTGTTATCAGAATAACGGCTAATTTCACTGACAATAAAGGAAATGACATGAGCGTTGATCGAGGATTATACATCAAGCTACATGGTACCTTTCTACCCTTATGCAGGTATCTTATTTGTGCGATTGTTGGGTAATAAATTTAAGCTCCTCGTTCGTATGAAATTATTACAAATGTTCTATATACATTATTATCATGTCTCAACGTCTCGTCTTCTCAGAACACACTGACTTCCACCTCTCAACCACAGCATCCTTCTCCGCAGTTGTCGCAGCCCGGAATTCCTCTATACCTTGTCTTATCCGGATGAGATAAATCTCAGCCCGTAATTTGGTAAGATGATGCTTATGAAACTCCTTTTCGAACCCCTTCAGTGTGTATCCTGGCAAACCAAAGATTGCCGCGCCTATATTATAAGTGAAACCCAGTGTGCCTTCCATGAGACCTTTGCCAAATCCTTTTATTCCTTTCTCCTTGGCGCCCTTGTATGGTTTTGTCACGACACCTGTGAATGCATCGTAAAAGCCATATCCGAACTCCTTCCCGGCTGTTCGTAGGCCACTTCCTAGACCGGTGATCTCGTCTCGTCTTCTAACCTCGGCGGAAACCCGATAAGATGGATAGTTGTGAAAGCCGTTGGCAATGTTGTAAAATAGCGAGATGGGAGCCTTGATGCCCGCTTTGGTCACGTCCGAGGCAAAACGCCCGGTAGCTCGTGTGTAGTAAAAGGCTTTGCCATGACGACCTGCTTCTTGAGCTTTCCAATGGGTCTTCCTCCGTTCGTGGAAAGTCGGTTGCCGTTCAAGTTGGTTGGTTACACTTTCGCCACCCCGAAGAGATTTACTGGCCAGTTTTTGCGCAAAGTCCTCCATTTGCTCTGGTGTAACATGCTGCTGCTGCTGTGTTGGCATCCTTTGGGCGGGAACCTGGGCTGGGTCGATTGATTGCGTGAGGGTTAATTGGTCACCGTCTGGAATGTTTTTAGGCTGCTGGCCGTCGTCGTTCGGTTCTTCGACATATCGATTGCCAGTGAGAGTGGCTTGGTCAGCATCATTTTTCGTCTCACTCGGCTTCTCGAGCGGAACCTGGTTCGGTTGTTGAGGCGGTGTATGTTTGTTCTTGAGACGTCTGTGATATTCGCTACTGGCCGTGGCAATGTTCGTGAAGAAGAGGGAGGTGGCGGCGATGACACCAACGATGGGATGTTCAGCTCCCTCGTCCACATACCAATGTCTGTGCCTCAGAAACTTGATATCATGTGACTCGATGAGGCCTTCGTTGATCAAACAACCTACTGCAAAGTTACTGAGATGCGCTCCAGTGCCTTTATGCTTCCAAAATGCAAGCTTGTCAGGACAAAGATCACATCGCATGTCGCTAAAATCATGTCGATCTTGGAAGCTCGTTACCGTGTCGGTGGCACCATCCTCCATGGCGATCTGATCTGCCATCTCTTGAACCGCGATTTGTACCTCAGGACGGAGAGCAAATTTGATGCTAGCCTGCAATGACTCGGCCGTCATGTCTTTGAAAGGGATTGGTGTAGGACCAGCCCCGGCTCGAGCAATCATCTGACCCCAGAATGGCTGATCACCAAAAAAGGGGACGACAACTGTAGGCCGCCCAGCTGCGATTCCAGCGGCGGTTGTGCCTGCACCTCCGTGATGGACAACCGCAGAGACACGCTGAAAGAGCCAATCATGGGGTACGTTGTCCATGAGGTAAATGTCTTCAGGCTTGTCCCCGTTGCCAATTCCTCCCCATCCTTTAGACACAATAGCTCGAACGCCGGCACGCCGCACCGCCTCATAAATCAAATCTGTCAGGCCTTGAGGGTCGTCGATGACGATGGAGCCAAATCCAACATAGATAGGTGCAGGACCCTTTTCCAAGAATTCGGCGAGGTCTGCCGGTGGGGTATAAGAGCTGGCGAGATGAAGAAAAGAGAAGCCAGTGATGGAAATATGTGGACCCCAGTCTGCAGGTTTCGGAATAAGAGTCTGAGACCAGAGGTAGCTATAGGGAACTTGAAGGCGCGGAAGCAACTGGTAGCCCCATAGGGGACTGACGGGGTCAAGACGTAATGTCTGAGTGCGAAATTTGTTGATGAGGTCGCCTAGTCTGTAAAAATGTTAGTTTTGACTGCGACTAGAATCTTGGGAGACCAGGATGTGACATACCCTTGCCAGGTCAACAGTTCCATGAGAATGAATGAGAAGTAGTTGGCTGTGCCTGTATCGGTGTCCCCATCGTATTTCATTGCAGCCAGCGGGTGTGAGAACTTGGCGGTTGGTGACCACGGCATCCTGTAGTGACGTTCAGCGCTGAGAATCTCTTGGTCAATGTGATATGATAGACTTACGTGAAGACCATATGCAGGGGAATGCCAAGCTTTTCGGCGCAGTGAATATGGGCCATAGAGGGCGGGTTAGCAATGATAGCATCTGCTAGAAACAGGTCCTTGGTATCCGGCACATCCGCAGCTCTTATCGGCTTTCCTGTACCGTCGCCAGCCTCGATGCAACTCCTCCACGCGCCATTGATGATATCCCACATCTCTTTACGCCGTTTGCCTACATCGCCAGCTTTCATACTCTCTCGTGACGGTAACAGGCCAGGGTTCCGCACCATATAGGCCATTAATTCTGATGGATCGCCACCTATGCTGAAGAATTCGATGCCTTGCTCCTCGACAAAGTTCTTGAAGACTGGGTGAGTGCAGATACGCACACGATGCCCAAACGGCGGGCGCGAAAGCAGCTGCGCGATAGGGATGAATGGTTGCACATCGCCACGCGACCCGACAATATGGATTGCAATATTTAGGCGCGGGCTCGTGGCTGGTCTGTGTTCGGAGAGCGCGACGGTGCTAAACTTTCGCTTCTTGAGCGGCTCTTCAGGCGCGGGTTTCTGGTGCTTCTTGAAATAATTGACGATGGATTGAGCGTTTTGATGTATTTGCACCTTGACGCGTCCGTCGATTCCGACGTTGCCGGACGTGCAGTGCTGCGAGTCGCCATCGCCAAAGGTGAGATTGCCAGGCGTTTTTGACTTGGTACGGTTAAGAGCCATATTGACGGTAACGTCTTGGGAGGGTTATGAGAGTGAGTTTCCCAAGAACTGTCAGCTGGATAAGTACAAATCTTGGCGAAAAATCGAACGCGAAAAGTAATTTCGGCACTCGTATTTAGTCGATAGCGTTCGCGACATGTGAAGTGGTCTGGTCAGTTGAATCCGCAGAGCGTCATCGTTGGGGGGAATATGCAAACTTTTTATTTGGAGAATCAATTAGCTTCACCCAAAAGCGAGACCGAATTCCTGGGACATCAAAAGGTCCTTTATCGCTCTGACAGGATTGGCCGAATTTCTAGACTTAAGTGATGATTGCGGATAGTCGGAGTCATGTGAAACACCGCCCCTCGGAGGGTGAAAGAATACTTGGTCGATCTTTACACTAAATCTGCATGAGAGCAATGGCTTCGTTTTCCTACACCCTTTTAGACCCCGGCGGAGTCGGCAGTTGTGAAGAACCGACAGGCTAAACGCGTATAGGCATTTTCGGTAGATCGCCGAGACATTAAGATTACTTCATTACCCCATCCCACTCAACTCACAAAAACAACCCTGCAGCCACATATTCACATTCATCAACCACCATCCGACAAACAAGGACCAAAAAACAAAAGAATTGACGAGAAGAAGCATCAATCGTCATGTCAGAACCTCCACCTCCGGCTCATCCGCCAGCGTCGCCGTCAACATCACCACCCCCAACAGCAACAGCAACAGCCAGCAATGGCTTCGTCAACCGCGTCCGTGGAGCGTCCATGTCGCTCATCAACGCGAACCCTCAATTGGGTATGTGGCAAGCTACCGGCACCGCCATTGCTCAAGCCCCCAATCTCACCGAACTCCGCGACGCCGAATCTGGCGGCGACAAGATTGAATTCAACGCCCAAGGTCACTCTACGCGCTATGCTGTTCCTGACCCAGATGCAAATGGTGAATTGACCCTGGTAAAGACCTCGACACTCACCCGTAGACCCAGTGTACTTGCTGCGACACCAAAGTTCAAACAGGATTCCTTCAGAGAGGAACCGTCTGTTATCGCCGAGGAAACACAGGTCGAACAAGGGTCGACAACCGTTGAGCCCGCCATCACCGAGGCGCCAGGTGAACAACATGAACGCCATCATTTTCATCTACGCGAAAAGTTTCATCATCGACCCGCACGGCGGCAAAGTCTGTATGAGAAGCACAAAGCTGACGACAAGGAGAAATGGGGACCGACAATCATGAACGGCCTCAAGGCGTTTTGGAAATTCTTTCTCACACCATCTGGCTTTCTCATCACACTTTATGGTCTCAATATAGTTGTAGGTATTTTCTTGTCCATCATCTGAGATTCGATCCGCTAATCAAGACACAGGCCTGGGGTGTGAGTAACATGCAATCCCTATACACCAACATCAATAGTTACGTGTCTCTAACTCGAATACTAGGCAATGCTTTTCTTCCTATTGCTCAACACCGCACCCGCTATGAACCATCCCAGCGCCAATGATAACAACTCAGCACGTAAGAAATGGATCGAGATTGACAGTCAAATCCTCAACGCCCTCTTCTGCGTAACAGGTTTCGGCCTCGCCCCATGGCGCTTCCGTGACTGGTACAGGTTTACGCGTTCCGTTTACTGGAAGGATGTTCCCGCTATGCAGAAATTGACCGAGCAGAATAAGGCTTGGTTTCGACCCCCTGCCTGGGCGACTAATGAGCAAACGAAACCAACCGACTCAGCTACCGGACTCAATCGATCAGCGACTTTTACCGGCGAAAAGGCGCCACCGACACCGCTCTGGAAACTAGGGTTTACGATCTACATGATGGTATTGAACACGGGTTTGCAAGCTGTGCTTTGCTATTGGATGTGGGCGTATAACCGCATCAATCGTCCTGTAAGCCGACGTCCTTGCAGTATTCCTGTGCAGTTTAAAGACAAATGCTGACTTTCGGTGATAGAGCTGGGCTACGGGTACTTTTATTGCCCTTGGCTGCGGTACTGGACTGTTGTCTGGTTTGATGTCGTGGTGGGAAGGTCGCAAGGTGAAGAAAATTGAAGGCCCCGAAGTGAAAGTTGTACCTGTTTGAGTAGAATAGAAGTTGTAATAGTTGGGAGTCCTTACTCATTTCGATGGGAAAACAAAAGTATATTCAAGCTATATGACATATGATACATATCCTGCATCGCAAAACAAAGAAGCGGCCGGCGTTGACAACAAATCATTCAAGCAGTTTCCTGGATGAAGGCAGCAATGTTGGGGCGCTCATTCATAGCGTCCACCAGCTTCTGCAGAGACTCTGGCAGATTGTCCTAAATCCCGTCAGCATTTTGACTAGATCCATAGTGGGCAGAAGAAATGCTAACTGGAAGGGTTTTCGTGCGACGCTCGTTGTCAATGCTTTGGAAAACGGCGAAGTCGGTGTAGCTGATCTTATCGCCGAGGAGGTAGGGACCTTCAGACTCGGCATAGTATTTACCCACGAGAGCATAGTACTGAGGAACAGTTGTGTTTTTGTAATCGTCAGAAGCACCACCCAGCGAAGCTACCCATGCCGTCTAATGTTACTTTTAGCATACGTCTACCTCGAGATTACTATGGAAAGGTGGACTAACCCTCCAGTCATTGTAAAGATCAGCGACCCGGTCGACAACGTACTTTTCGTAGCTAGTATCGCCGTCGTAACCACCATGCTCGCGGGATAGGTACCGCAAAATGGGTATGTGCTGCAGATGTTTAGCGCAGTCCTGAAAAACGTACATTGTGTAAGTATTGTCAGAACCTACCTGTGATAACTTGGTTCCCTTGTACTCAATGATAGGAAGGAGGCCAGTCGGAGAGAGGCCATCTTTTCGAAGTTTCTCCTTGGTGGCAGGCCAGGTGTTATCGTAGGGATAGCGGACTGTTTCGAAGTCGAGGCCGATATCTCGCAAAAACAAACTATAACATTCAGCGGACTTGTCCTGCGAGGGATGGTTTACGGAACGGATATTCTTTGGAGACTGACTTGACTACCTCGCCTCGACCAAGACGCCCCAGGTCGAGGTAGTGATAAACAATGGATTCAGACATGGGGAACTTTTTCAGGCTAGTTCCTCCAAGAGGATGGTTTCTGGGTTTCAGGGTAAAGCTGGTGGTAATTTGAAGCTATGCTTGATTCAATTGACTTGATAAATTGGATCGAACCGGGCGGGTGCAAGAAGTGACCGTCTTTATGCTTTTCCAGGCTTGTGCTACCACGGTGTAAATATGTCATCAAGTGACGACATACTGGTCGATCCATCTTTAAAGTTAACACCATGCACGTGAGTTAATCGGGCTTATGACAGGCGCTAAGAATGCACAATTTGGAATCATGGACAATGCACGAGGAGTAGCACGCGAAAGTTCCAAAAACTTCATCCCAGGAAGAGACAAAGGGTCTCTACTCATGTAACTATGCTAGCGGGGGAAGTAAAACACCGGACGCCATTTGGTGGTAGATCAGCAATTTTTGGTGTAAGTGCGTCTGAGGTTTTTCTTCCCCCCGAGTCCATGCTTAATAAATAGTCTTCCTGTAATGCAATGCGCTTACCAACTGAGAAGGGAACGCTGACATGAGGAGAGGTGCAGTCAGCAGTTGAGAGAACCAGTCACCGTACGGATACTGCAGACTGTTAGATGCCGGTTGGAACAGGGCAGAGTTTAGATTTTACAAGCTCAGCTGCCAGCAGATATGAAGCTGACGTCAGATTTAAGTTGTGGATTTGGGTAAATCCAGACTCAAACCGAATGTAACTCTTCACCGTTAAGTTGCAGGCTACCAGCTCGAATAGACTTTAGCTTATGCGTGGCTGAGGCGCCGTGTCTCATATTCGATTAGGCGAGTGCACAAATGCGAAAAACAGGTTTGAAGCTGGTTTTGTTTCCGATTGCATAATTTCTTATCAAGAGTTTGTCAGAGCTTACCGGAGTCTATGTTTATTCTACTCTGATTTTGACCAACTGCTGGCTATTGGCCTATACAACCAAAACCTCAAGGTTATATTCTTCAACGCCTTTGAACCTTTGATGAAAGAAGCTCTATCGACCCCCTTTGACCCCACTGATAGTGTCTCTGTCTTATACAAATACACAGATCTTCCAAAGACTCACTATGACAGCGGTCATCACGCCGTGGCACCAGGGGGAGGTTGCCGTGCACGACTTGCTCAAAGTGCCAACTAAGGGCAACCCTACTGCTGCTGGCTTTCCTACCCGCTACGAGGAGCGTCTCCTGCAGTCGCCTTTAGTTGCTGTAGGTACCGTCGACGACCAGGGTAGGCCATGGACAATCATATGGGGTGGCCAACGAGGGTTTGCCCAAAGGACCGCCGAAGACGTGATCAGCTTGACCAGTGCTGTTGACATGTCCTCAGATCCTGTATTTGAGGCTCTCTGGACCGATCAGCCACGGAGTGGAGTGATCCAAGGTCGAGGGAGACCAATGAGTGGGCTTACCGTCGATTTGGAGACAAGAGACAGGATCAAGATTGTGTCAAGTAGGATGGTCGCCGGAAGTGTAGAAAATGGGAAAGTACAGATTACAATGCACGTTACAGGAAGCTTAGGAAACTGCCCGAAGTATATCAGCAAGAAGGAGATCTCGCCGGCAAGTGTTGAGAAGGCTCGGTGTACGAGCCGTGGGCTACCTCTGAGCGCAGAAGCATTAGAACACCTGGACCAAGCGGATATGTTCTTCCATTCTACCACGAACGGTGAGAGTATGGACACAAACATCAGAGGAGGCCTGCCAGGGTTCGTGCGGGTCATAAAGAATGAGTTAGATCAAGTTGTGTTGATCTACCCAGAGTGTACTCCAATATCCTCCCTATGTGTAAAAACGGGATACAAGACGCTGATTTGATTATAGACTCGGGTAACAGATTATATCAGTCATTGGGCAACCTCTATTTGAACCCAGCTATGGGTGTTGTGGTGCCCAACTACGATACCGGGGATGTGCTTTACCTTACGGGCACAACATCTATTCTCACAGGAGATCAAGCTTCGTCCATCATCGCAAGGACCAACTTGGCGGTCAAAATCGATGTCACAGATGCTCGCTTCGTCAAGTCCGGCCTGCCTTTTCGCGGGCGTTTTATCGATTACTCGCCGTATAACCCACCTGTTCGATATCTATTGAGTGAACAGTCCCTTGGTGTCAAACCCTCCTCCTCTGACCTTACTGCTATGCTTGTCAATCGAGAATACCTTACGCCTAACATCGGACGCTTCACGTTTGAACTATCGTCGCAAAGTTCGGTATGGACTCCTGGACAACATATTACATTTGACTTTTACGATCATTTATATGCGGGGTATAAACACATGAACAACGACAACCCCCAAAGTCTCAACGATGACTTTGTGAGGACATTCACCATATCCAATGTTTATGCCGGCGATGGCAAGGTCGTCATTACGGTGAAAAGACATGGTCCAGCAACAAACCTCTTGTGGCAACACCCTCTGGATGGAACTTTAAAGATTGCAGTCATGGGCTTCGGCGGGAAAGAGTCGTTCCACATGGTCAAAGGACGTAAGAACATCTTTGTGGCCGGTGGTGTGGGCATTACACCTATGCTTGCCCAGGCCTCCAGTACAATGGAAGGGGAGAATGGAAAGAAGGTCAAGGTATTATGGAGTCTCAGAGCTGAAGATTTATCGCTGGCGGAAGACTCGTTCAAAAACATCCACGGTTTAGCAGCAGCAACCAAGCTGTTCGTAACGGGTAAGATTGCGGCGCTGGGCGGTCAAGAACATGATGTGGTGGAGAGACTGAGAGACCTTGGGGCAGAAGTCAAGATTCGGCGGATGGTGGAAGACGATTTTTCTTGTCACAAAAGAAACGGCGCTAAATTTTACCTGTGTGCGGCACCACAGCTGCTTGGAAATCTCACAAAATGGTTGGCCGACGAGGACATTGTGTGGGAAGATTTTGGCTATTGAATGGTCGAGACAGGAATCCGTGAAATCGGTAGAGGAAGAATCAAGCCCAATAAAAGACTCAGCACTCTCTTCTCATGGATTAATTCACCTCGTGCTTATAAAACCCCAGCTCAGATAAGCGTAATAATCGGAAGTCCATCCTTCGTCTGCTCCTCCACCCTCTGTCTCAAGATCTCCTCATCAAGAAAAACACTCCCTAATCTTGTGTATTCCTCACTACCCTCCACCTTCCGAACAATTAAGCCTCGATATAAAAACCCACCTTTCTTTGTTTGGTTTCGCAGTAAGATCAATGCAAAGACATCCGCCCCTTCCCAACTTTTCATCATCTCTAGCGCTTCCTGTGCGCCATCTTCATTTGCGACATCAAAGTCAAACCTTGCATTCATCTCTTGATGCCCCACACGTACAGTAGGGTACAGCTTTGGACAAATGGCGAGGTTAGTCGGGTCTCAGTTCTCAGTATCTATAGATACAGATTCCATAGGTGCCCGGAGCTGAACCCTGCCATCGGTGACTTCGCCATATGGGTTTGCACCTTTCAAAGTACTACGGACATCGACTACTTCAGCGAGCTCTTCGTCCTTCTCTGAGTTAACATAGCAGAAGCCACCGTTTATGGATGCCCATGACCAGGAGGGTGCTTTATACTCTCTTACCCGTCTACAATTCATCCCATCCCATACCAGGCCTTTGACAAGATGAGAACGCCAGAGGCCAGCCGCATACATATCGCCAAGTTGTTCCGCATAGATTCTTGCGAGTCCAGATACGGCGGGAAGTTTATCAGAGGCATGGGTGAGCTTCCTTTGGCCGTATGAGTATAACAGCTCGCGCCATGCTCCTAATATTGCTTTATGTCCACTGGATGTGTTATGGCCCTTATTAGTCTCGGCCTCGCAAACCTTTTCTGGGGTACTGCCTTTCTTTGGCTTCTCGTATACATCCATGTACTCTCGACCCAAGAGTAAGCCGTCTTCCCCTTGGAACCCTTCACCACATTCAAAGCACATCTGCTGAGTCGTATAAAGTATCGTCCTGCGGGACAACACACGTTCCTGCAGAACCCAGCCGCGCTCAGAGAGTGGCTCATTAGGGAGTGTTATGTAATTTTCAGGAATTGCTTCACTGTGAAGTGATGTTTCAAACGCCAAAATCGATCCTCGACGGTCGCCGGAAGCGCACTCAAACTCGAAATACTCTCTGGGGACCTTTTGGTCAAACAAACCTTCCGAGCTATCGGTGCCCTTTGAAGCTGCGACTGTCAGATAGGAGTGATCATAGACGGACGTCATCTTGGCTGATTCTCGCTCCCAGTCTTCGTGGTCATCCTGACAGATGCAGATACTGTCGATCCACAGGTATTGAATCCCAAGCTCACTGGTCAGCTTTATCGTATCTCTTTGCGTCGCTGGCAGGTCTGCTATTCTGATCTGGTGTTTTCTATCTTGAAGAGTGGCTTTCGTGGTAGTGAAGTGTGGAACTGGGCCCCAGCAATACCTTCGTCATGATTGTTAGTCTTGACTGAGCGTACAATTACCACAGGGAGTAACACGATGGGCTGTACCTCAATGAAATATAACTTCCACTCTCATTCCCTCCTGTCTCTCGAAGCTTCACATAGGGACTTGTCATGTCATCCCCCACGTCGATCACCCTAGACGGCAGGATTGTCCCTTGAGGTCGACAGTTATGCCTTTTGTTGCAGTCATTCACCCAGTTGCGAACTCTTGAGATTCCGACCGAGCTGCCGCCATCTTGTTCAACGGGGCGGCCTCGAAAAATATGCTTGAGGGGATCATCTAGCGAAGGTTAGACCCCATACAAGATGAATAACCACAGGAGTAGCGGAGCATCTCACCATTTCGCACGCAAAGTCCAATCGCTGCTACCAGCCTTACCCTCGTCGCCGCGGCGTTCTTGGTGTCCGTCATGACCCATATGCCATCGCCATTCGGTCGTTTGATGATCCAGAACTCCCACGTTGGCAAGTAGTAGCTGTCCGAATGTTCTGTGTCTTGTTCAGGCTTAAGCCATTCTACCTCTGACTTGCAGATCTCTGCTTGCTTCAGAATCAAGCAACAGAGACCACAGTGAAAATCTTTGGCGGAATTTTCCAAAGCCCGGAAGCTTTGGTGATGCACATACCCTCGACTATTTCTAGGCCACCGGGGAAATTCATAAATAGGGGTGACGCCGCTGGGTGGCCACCAGCTATCCCTCGGAGCTTCAGGGAGGGTATCCCAAGGTATTCCCTTGCAAAGACTGCATAGGCTCATGGCCAGTAGCTAACAGCGAGAGAGCTTTCTTGTAATTATTGAAAGGATTGGCCCAATAGAGGTGTCTTAAAGGCTGTAAATAAAAAAATGGGAGAAAGCCAGGCGCGCGTAAGCGTGAGCTTCAAGCTGGACCACAGATTATGCCTGAGGCATTAACCCATCACCAATGATCTCGTGGAGGAAGGAAAAAGATAGAAGAAGACAATCGGCTAAAGTTTTTTAACAAATCCGAATTATAGTATAATATTTACTTCAATCGTACAACGTTTCAAGGGTGACTTGTTAATGAGTTATAGAATAACCTGAGAAGTGCATGCCTAGGCGAAAAAGGGTTACCCTATAACAACATCGGTTAACAAGATTTCAAGCAGACCCTCAATATCTTTCAGATTATTTTCTCGAAAAGAAGGTTATAGATGTCTCGGAAGGTTAACTAGCCACGGTGTTAGTTTTTCCGAATGCCAAAAGGAATGAGGCTTGAAAACGTCCACGGGTGCTCCCTGCAATGTTTCATCCCGTGTCTATTTCCCTTCATAGCCTCGGCTTTATACGCGTATGTAACCTTGTGCATGGAAATACTCGGATTCAAAAGATTACTTTTTAATTAACCACCAAAGACTATCCGTAGCACCCGAGATTCTAAGCACCTAAATGGAAGTACTCAAGACATCTCATCTAGCTCGTGTCAAAACTTACCGCTCCTTATCCGATTCTTACGCTTGGACTGCCTCGTGGTCCCAAAGCGCGGGAATATGTTCCCAATTCGGCACGGATCGACTAGCTCCGTCGCCTGACAATTCTTCCGTGGAGCGCTTATTCCTCCGTGGTGCGGGTTCTACAGGGGTTGTATAGTGCACGCTCTAGTTTCAGCGCTCACTGAAACGGGACGATCAAGATTAAGGACTCAGAGAGAATGCCGAAGGGGCGGGAGAAGGACTGTGGAAAGTATAAAGACACGCCGTGTTCTATCTTATGTTTCGAATATGATGATCTACTGACTATCACATTCTCAACCGATCAGATCTGAAATAATGGCCATGTTGAAATTCCTCGTTACCGGCATGCTTGCCATGGCTTCGGCCGTCAACGCCGCTTATCCCAACCCCGGCCCCGTCAAGGGAGCCCTCACTGTCCACGATCCCACCGTGGTCAAGACTCCAGCGGGAGGATACATCATGGCTCACACTGGCGACAACGTTGCTCTCAAGACCTCGTCTGACCGCACCACCTGGAAAGAGGCCGGCCCTGCTTTCCCCAACGGCGCACCATGGACCACCCAGTACACCAAGGGCGAGAAGAACCTCTGGGCCCCTGATATCTCGTACCACAACGGCCAGTACTACATGTACTACTCAGCCTCGTCCTTCGGAGAGCGTACCTCTGCCATTTTCATGGCCACCAGCAAGACAGGCGCGTCTGGCTCGTGGACCAACCAGGGCCTGGTGATCGAGTCCAACAACAACAACGACTACAACGCCATTGACGGAAATCTCTATATCGACACCGACGGCAAGTGGTGGCTGTCGTTCGGATCCTTCTGGTCCGGCATCAAGTTGGTCCAGCTGGACCCCAAGACCGGAAAGCCAATCAACAAGAACATCATCTCCCTCGCCAAGCGCGACAGCTCTGTCGGCGGCGCCATCGAGGCTCCCTTCATCGTCAAGAGGGGCAACTACTACTACCTGTGGGCCTCTTTCGACAAGTGCTGCAACGGTGCCGCCAGCACCTACCGCGTCATGGTCGGTCGCTCCAGCAGCATTACTGGCCCCTACGTCGACAAGGCCGGCAAGCAGATGATGTCTGGTGGTGGTACTGAGATCATGGCCAGCCATGGAGACATCCACGGTCCTGGACACAACGCTGTCTTTGCTGACAATGATGCCGATGTTCTTGTCTACCACTACTACAACAACCAGGGAACTGCCCTCCTTGGTATCAACCTTCTCAAGTACGAGAACGGATGGCCCGTTGCTTACTAGAGTATCAAGCTCGCTGTTGTGAGGAGTGTGTTTCTACTTGACTTTTGTACATGATTTGAACTGCTTGTAAATATTCGAATTCGCTATACATACTTTATCTCGATCTGCTGTCAATAAATATCATCTGACCATGCATCTCAAACCTTTCTCTTATGCTGAATTTATTTTTACGATTATTTAACTCAACTTGCTCTTCAAAGTTAGCCCATCTGTCAAGTAGAATTTCCTCAACAGTCCACCCTCCGGCGCTGTCCCTACAGTACCACGTAAAGCCAATCCAGGTACAAAAGCTGAGCGATCGTCATCACACATGACTCTAACAAATCTATAAACATCAAAGCGCGATCTAAAGCAACCGTAGCATCGGGAAATACGAGGCCACAACGACTCGAGCGCTTAGAGCTGGGCCTGCACCCCGCAACGCCGATCCCCCAGATTTACTGCGGGGGACATTATTGGACTTTGCGCGCGAATAGAATTGAAGCATGGAATACTCTATTTGAAAAGACTCTCGGTCCGTAACGGGCCGCGGACTAGGTAGGATGATGTAACCTTCCAAGAACTATGCAACTTGTAAGTCTTGGTATTACTATATAGACTGGTAAACAGCATCGCGAATGGATCACCGTGATGTTTCTACGACCTGACTCAATCATCTGTCATTCATCATGCGTCTCCTCTCCCTCCCCAGCCATGCCCTCGTGGCATTCCTGACTCTCAAGTCAGCTTCAGCTCGAGTTCTGAACAAGAGAGACAGCCCGGTCCTCCCAGGTCTCTGGGCGGACCCCAACATCGCCATCGTCAACAAGACGTATTACATATATCCCACCACCGACGGCTTCGAAGGCTGGGGCGGCAACTCATTTTACTGGTGGAAGTCCTCTGATCTCGTCTCGTGGACAAAGAGTGAAGAGCCATTCCTTGTCCTGGACGGTGAGAACGGCAATGTTCCCTGGGCGACTGGCAATGCTTGGGCACCAGCATTTGCTGCTCGCGATGGGAAGTACTATTTCTACCACAGTGGAAATAATCCCTCGGTTCAGGATGGCCACAAGAGCATCGGTGCTGCTGTCGCCGATCATCCTGAGGGGCCTTGGAAGGCGCAGTCTAAAGCAATGATCAAGGGCACCAAAGATGAGGAGATTGTCAGCAACCAAGCAATCGACCCCGCAGCCTTTGAAGATCCCGAAACTGGAAAGTGGTACGTGTACTGGGGCAATGGCGTGCCAATCGTGGCAGAGCTGAACGACGACATGGTCTCGCTCAAAGCGGGCTGGCACAAGATCACAGGCCTGCAGGACTTCCGCGAAGGTCTTTTCGTCAACTACCGTGACGGAACATATCACCTGACATACTCCATCGACGACACAGGCTCCGAGAACTACCGCGTTGGCTACGCCACAGCCGACAATCCCATCGGGCCTTGGACATACCGCGGGGTTATTCTACAGAAGGATGTGTCTCAGGGCATTCTCGGCACAGGACACAGTTCGATTATCAACATTCCTGGCACGGATGAGTGGTACATTGCATATCATCGCTTCCACATTCCTGATGGTGGCGGTTTTAGACGGGAGACTACCATTGATGTGTTGCCGATTGATGAGGATACAGGGTTGTTTTCAAATGTGAAGCCGACTTTGGAGAGTGTGAAGCCGCGGCCTTTGTAGGCATAGCTTGCTATAAATATTAGAAGAATGATGCGATTCGTGATGGTTGCTACTCTATTTCGGCGCGGACTGTATACTACGTCTTTTTGTGATATAATGTCCGTTGACTGGCTATAAGATCAAGCTTTTCACTTGTGCTGGCTCTGGATCAGAGCCTCCCACTCAGTCAACAACCCCATAATCTCCAAACTCTGATCAACATTCGGCGAAGGTCTCTCCGCCGCTTTGACTCCCCGAGAAAGACAATCCTCCACCTTTTTGACTTGATGTCCAAACGCATCCAGCTCCGCCGGAATAACAACCTGCTCAGTCGTCCCGCCATAAGTCTTAACCTCGATGATATTGTCACCAGCAACCGGCAACCAAGGATTGGTAAGGAACCTGATTCGGCCCTTGTCGCCGAGAATCGCGAACGAGAAGTCATTTCCGTAGCTGTCGGTTGACTGCAGGCTCGCAAGAACACCATTGTCAAATCGGACTGTCAGTGAAGCGTCACGGACATGAACGCTGCCTTCCTTCGAGATATTGCCGAAGCCATGTAACTGACGCTCAGCAAACGCACCACCACCGTATGCTGTCTCCATCACAAAGTGAAGTAGTGACACTGGATAGCAGCCAAGGTTGTAAATGGTTCCCATGCTCAGCGGATTGGCCTTCTTCCAGATATTGGCAGAGTAGTAGCCCGAAATACCACGGACTTGGCCAATGCGACCCTCCAGGAGCAGTTCTTGAGTTTTCTTCATCAACGGATGCGTGAGGTACATAAGTCCCTCGAGAAAGAATACATTGGCGTCTTTGACTGCCTCCTCAATAACTTTAGAGTCCTCCATCGTTGTTGCGAGCGACTTCTCTGACAGAATCGCCTTTCCCCGCTTGGCCGCTGCGACAACGGCGGGGGTGTGCATGTGGTTTGGCAGGCCGACGTAGACAACGTCAATAGAGGCCTTGTCGAGGAGATCATCGATAGAGGTATATCGTTCTGCGATTCCATGCTTATCTGCGAATGCGTTCAGGCGTGTTTCGTCTCGCCCGAATACAGCTGCGATGGTGGAGCCCTTGCTGTTGAGGATGGATTTTGCCACGACATCTGAGATGAAGCTCGTTCCGAGCATGCCCCAGCGCAACATTGTGAGGTTCCTGGAGGAGTGGATGGCTCGCTGTTGATAATTTGACAAGAGATGTAAGGAATGCAAGTGTGCAGGTTGGAAGTTTCTTTTTGAAGGAAAGATATTTGATGCTTGAGCAAAGTCTCTGCTTATGAACATTGCGTAGATGGCGGCTTGCTCCGGTCAAATCCGACTACATCCACTTAATTCCGGCTATCTCCCGGCACAGTGAGGGGCTACCTTGCTGTCGGTTCAATTGACCATAGTAAATTCTTTTTATTTAAATATCTACACAATATTCTAGATGCACGGATATGCATATGAAATTGTGATGGAATAGTAAGAGACCTGGATAATCTGGTCACTTTGGCCCGGGCTCTGATAATGTGGCTTGGCGTCTTAAATAGCTGGGCGCTGTACAAACTTATAGAATCTTTAACTCATATACTCTATTCATCATGTTAATGGAATAATTGTGCTTGTTCTCTTGGCATATATACAAGCAAAAGGATTGAGATGATATGCGATCCTGATTAATCCCTTCCGCGGAGGTAAAACCCGGCTTATAAATCTCTTGGCGCTCAATTCCAGGCCGGCTGATCATAGACACAGCAGGAGAGAAACAGCAAGAGTATCTCTCCTCATTGTCAGCCTCTATGGGGCTTATAAAGGTTCCTGTTCCGCGGAACACACACCATCCCGAATTCTATTATTGATGAACACCTTTTGGCAAGTTGATTGGTCATTGCGGAGGAACTGAGGTCCAGAGAGGTATGAGACAAGTGAATCAGAGTTAGTATATATAGATGGGCAGTCTCTATCATAGAAGAGCAGTATCAAATCAGTACCAAGTTCAGAACTGAAACATCCCGCACAATCAAAGCCAAGTTACCAAAGCCAACATCATCATGGGTATCAAAACCGACATCACTCTGTATACTGAGGGGACTCCCAATGGACTCAAAGCCTCTATCGTACTAGAAGAGCTTGGCCTTGAGTACAAGGTATGCTCAAAGAATCGCGCACTTTTTTCAGTATACTAATGTATGATCAAGGTCGTAACTCTAGACTTTTCCAAGCACGAACAGAAGGAGGCCTGGTTCCTGAACATCAACCCCAACGGTCGCATTCCCGCCCTCACCGACAAAGACGAGAGTGGTAATGAGATCAAGATTTTCGAGAGTGGTGCTATTCTTTTGTATCTGGTTGCCAAGTACGATACGGGTCACAAGATCTCTTATCCTTACGGCAGTAAGGAGCACTGGGATTCAGTCAGCTGGGTATATCCTACACTCCATTACCCTAGAGTAATTCATGAGTCTTGTCATGGTCTAACGTGGTATTAGCTGATGTGGCAGATTGGTGGTCTTGGTCCCATGCAGGGTCAAGCCAACCACTTCACTCGTAAGTTTACACATCCTTCATCATCTTTCCAAAGTTACAGCCCGTTTACTGATCTTTGCCACTAGGCTATGCCCCAGAAAAGCTCAAGTATCCAATCGATCGCTACGTCAACGAAACTCACCGTCTTTACCGAACTCTCGACCGACAGCTGGCCACAAATGGAACTGGCTACATCATAGGTGATCGAGTCACGGTTGCCGACATCGCAGTTTGGCCATGGATTGCCGCACACAGTAAGCTTCTACATCTTCAACCACGTTTATTCTAACGGGAAACCAGATTTCTCGGGGATTTCCTCTCTTACTCAGTATGCGCATATCACGAAATGGTTTAAGCGTCTTTTGCAGAGACCTGGGTTTGAAGCTGGCCGCAATGTTCCACGACCTCACTTTCATATCACACTCAATGACCTCCCTGAGGATGAGCTTGATCAGTTTGCCGAAGCTGGAAAGAAGTGGCAGAAAGAGGCCAGGGAGATGGAAGCTGCGGCATAAAGAAACAAACTATGAATCGGCGGGAACCAACCTCTTTTCATGTCTTGTGTCTGGGGCTAGAAATGATGATTGAGGACTTTGAGATAGTTTACACTATGAGCCAAAAGTCGACTATTTGTCTACTGGCGCCTTCATTAAATACTATCCTATGTGTATAGTATTAAGGCTGGTAGATACTACACTCCACTGTGAGGCTTGTACGTTTATCTACTCATGAATGGGACAGCGGAATGTCGAAGCTGAGGAAAGAAGGAAGGGGCAAATTGTACTAATCAAAGGACCTCTGTATTCTGTTGGAAGGTACGACAGAATTTAACTGAAATCCTGGTTCTATGAAAAGGAGTGGAGGGGGTTAATTTTTATTGTTGATATTATTGAGAGATTTGGAAAGCCTGGGCTTGATGAAGTTGAAGGTTGAATGAAAAGATCAAGAATGAATAGGAGTATTATAGATGTCGTAGAGTCCTGGATCGGTAAGAACAAGATGACTTGAATGAAGACGATAGGAGACGAAAGGGGATTAAATTTGAATGGAATATTTCTATTGCCGCCGCCCACTTCTCGGTAGCTGTTTACGTACTCGAACTTGCCCTAAGTGAATTTTAAATGAGGCCCTCCGCGTTACATAATACAGTGGATACAAATTGTGTCTAGTATACTTGTGGCGTTGGTAGCTCTGGCCTAGAATGATCTGATCTCCGCAAGGCTCCAGCTACCTACTCATCGCCTGGCCCCCTAACGGGCTTCAGTAACTGTCCTTAGCTCTACAGTTGGTTTGTTAAAGAAATCAGGGTTCTAGTGTGCTCTGATAGCATGTGATTAGGCAGGGCATGGGGACTGATAACAAGTAGCTGGGGCATTAGAAGCTAGCACGGAATAGCGAGTTATCGAGCCTAACTATCGTTTGATCGATGGAGCAGACTAGTTTCTTAGATCCTCGGATGGATTCCGCCTGTCTGGTTAGCATGGCACCAGCTACAAACGAGGCGTCACGAGAGAAGGTGGCGTCAGTACTATTTCTAGAATCGACATAGCTTCAATTCAGGCCTTCGCCTAAGTCGGCGGCAAACTGTTAACATTCTACAAAGCCAACACAGATGACTGATTGATTTGTTAGAATCAGCCCCACGAACCATAACCACCACTGCATTGCCAGTGAAATCCAGGGGTCATTGCCGGATTATAGCATGTTAGTCTTATCGTTTTGGGTTCTGATGTGTGGCAGATAGAACACACTCTCCATCTGACCGGGTCGCACGTCGGCGCGTCCACATCCCGGGGACGCTATAAACGCCAGAGATTGTGGCAGCTTGAACGGCAACTAAATTGCCGATGTCATTCAAGATCTTGCACAGTCATCTCCATGGCCCAGGCAGCCTGGAAGACGACCATGGGGGCCTGGCAGGAACACGTTTATAATGATGTGACTATCCGTAAAATTGTTTGCATTAGTTCATCCTACAAGGATTCCCAGTTCAATTCTGATTCCCAACAGGAGACGATGATAATCTAGAATTAATTCTGCAAACTTGGACACACTATTTTAGCAGACAGGCTAACGTTAGACCCTGAAGGTGATACGAATCACCCAAACGGCACTGGACGCTTGGCAACCCCAACATTTCCCCATCCTTGATTTGCGGCGCAGACTTGGATGAATGCCGAAGGTGGGAAACGTTAAACTTTAACCCCGGTCCACGGGCGCAAATCCCCTCCTTTCCTCTCGTATAACCACGAGTCAGCACAGGACAGAAGGGGCTTAGTCTTCACCTTGCAAGTTTGACCAAGTTCTCTAGACAAACTCTGTTATCGACGGACCCCACTACCCCGTGGAACTAACTCTGCGCTTGCGGGGGAAGCGATGCTCCTGTCTTTCAGCTGTCAGAGGAATCTTGGCTGGAAAGCACTGTCCAGATCCCGTCAGCCAATCTGATCCTCCGGAGGGAATTTCCTGTTGCGCCATGGATGTCGGGTTCTGTTTTAATTAAATTGGGCAGCCAACAGCAGCCTCTTGACTCAGGATCAGGGGTTTTCGCAAACGTTGTCAAGATAACGTTAGCGGGCAGTGCAGTTAGCAGTACCGCTGTGCCTACTTAGGAGTACGATCGGCGCAGTCAAAATGTCCCTTAAGTTCCTTCCTTGGCAGTCCACGTTGCTTTTTCCCGCGCAGCCTTCGTCATTTTCATCCCTTCTTTATTGTTCTAACTCATCGATCGACAATGGCGGCGGTATCAGTGTTTTTCGAGCTGAGCTGGTCCATCCTCTGCACCATATGCATTGGAAATGTCGCCTTGGGCTGTCTGGTGTGCGGCATCACCAGTTGGACGCTCCTTGCCGCTGTGCCCATGATATCATCCGCAGCGGGAGCGATTGCCAATGGATTATGTTACTACGTGTACTATCAGAGGCACCCTCCCATGTATATCGCGATTGCCTCTGTATTTAGTGATGTTTTCTGGCTGGTATGACCTCATGTCGCGATTGGTGATGTTTGAGCTGACGACGACTAGGTGCAAGAAGCCGGTCTTCTATTCTACAGTTATATTATCCTCAAACGAGTCCTCCGAGGCCTACGGTGGAGAATCTTCTCTTCCCTCTTCTGGACGGGCATTGGTGGTATTATCATCGTCCGTATCGTCATCATCACCTTCCGCGTTCGATCTATCTTGAACGTTAAAGAAGATCTTTTGACCACTATCAACCACATCCACATCGCATATTTTGGACTTATCGCATTACTCGAATGTCTCAGTGCCTACTTTCTCATGGTCCTGTTTACCTCGGCCAAGGCTTCATCTGCCGAGATTGCACGCAGCGGAGGTCTTTTCCAATACTTGGCTCGAAGCACAGAGATGAGAGTCGCCCTTCTAGCTCTGCAGGGCATCCTTCGTGCTGTCACACATTCATTCAAGACGGCTGGCCAAACGGCCGAGAATATCGCCACGCAGCTCGACCGCTTTTTCTATGCTGTCTTTTGTCTGTACTCGATGGTTTTATAGTGAGTCCTACCAGCTGCGTGGTACCTTTTGAGATAAAACTAACATTTACAGCATTGATCTTCTTTCCTCTAAACTTAAGTTCAACGGCACACAAGATTATCCTTCCTCTCGGGATCGCTATGTACATCATAGCAACCAACCCGGTCGATTCACGTCAACCCAAAGGGACGACTTTGCGGAGAATAGAACTGAACATGTAGTAGGTGTGGATGGAGGTACACGCACACACAAGACGCGCAATGACTCGACAGAGCATATAATTGAGGGTGGTTCCTCGCAAGGTGGCTCGATCAACCTAGAGGATATGGATCTGAAGGGGAATGTTATTAAGAAGACGGTTGAGTTCAGAGTGGTTTAAGACCCCCATAGATGTTTTAGACGTATTATTTCATAGCGTGTTTATTATGTCACGTTTTAATAGTAGAAATCAAGATTACTAATTACTATTTGTCTGCTTGTTAACTGACTATACATTAACGAATTACTTCAGACGCTTAACTATAAATGACAGAACAAAGTGACGAGTTTGACTGGGACGTAGGACTTATGAAAAAGCAAAAAGAAAACAAAATTAAAGCAATACCTAGGTAGTCAACCGAGACCTAAAAAATAAACATACAACAGCGGGGATTCGCTGGTCGTCACCGACCCAACTACTAATCCGCCCCTTACCAGCTTATCTATGGGAGAGCGGACGGGATCCCGAGTTCTCTGATAGGTATGGTCGTATGTGAAATGTGCCTTCGTAAGGAAAGTCTATAATTGTGGTTGCTGAAGAGATTTCAGAGGCTGTGCCATGTTCAGCTCTCTTTCTACAAACACAAGATACCCGAAAGACTGCATCAGCTCCGGCTGCTGGAAATTAACTGGGGTATTATAAACTACATCGCTTCTAAATTGATTTTACAAAACAGTTCTGCATCTTTCATATCGCTTCGTGATTTGCCTCTTAGGGGTAACAGCCGATAGCCCTTCCTCAGGTTACCAACCTTTGCTAAACCTGAACTCATTTGAACACCCGAGACAGTCTTCGCTGACCACTGTAAGAACGTCAGGCTAGGGTGTTTCGTCTCAATAGAGACATTCAGGTTCTGGTCAAACATAATATTGGTGCCCTGAGCTGACTTGGTCGCGGTACGCACTCTCGGGCTCAACGTATCGGGTGCAAGAAGCTCCATCTCAACATAGGTTGGATCCAGTTCAGACGACCCTCGTACCATGAGAACATCAATTTGCATACGAATCTGCTTCGGTTCTGGCTGAGACTTGAGTACGTATCCACCACTTCCGTGAAACAATGCCTGATTCAAGCTCATGTGAAAGTCATTTGTCTGGTAGTTCAAGGCCACCATCTGAAGACCATGTCCCCAGCACTTGAGGGGGTCAAAGTTGGATGAGTCGACACGATTTGGATCTGGGTATACGCGAATCATATGGTTGGTATCTGCCAGTACAAGCGGTTGCTCATTGGCCATGTGCTTCTTGAGATTTGTCTCAGAAACTGAGTAGATGAAGTTGCGGTTAGTGTCAAATGCTCTATCACGAGGAAGTCTTTTTCCTGCGCCGTAGACAGCCAAGTCTTGCAGGAGATCTCGAGTGGTATCTTGAATATCCACAGTTGGTGCAAACTTGACTTTGAGTAAGATCTTGCCTCTCAGTTGATTTGGTGAAGGAAGCGCCTGCGAAACACCAGGCAACGGCTCTGTAACCAGGGTGGATCCAAATATCTCCAACATGACGCGAGCCATGATGTCTCGTTGAGGTGGACTGCAATGTACCTCCAATGACAACCACAAAGGCAACTCGGATGCAGCAAAGGCGTGCTCATTAATAGTTGCGATAACAGACCGAAAACTGATGGACTTGGTCAAACTATACCCATGCTTGACAACGGGTTGCCCATCTCTTCCATCCCAGCAGTCCACCTCCACAGACCGACATGCTTTGGAGAGTGTCGTGACATAGCCCTCAAGCTTGGAACGAGTGGCAACTTGTCGGCCGAGGAGATATGTGTTGTGGGAGCTGGATATGAAGTATTCGTTGATCGGACGGTCCAGATCGTGGTGTAAAGGTTTGCTCCGAATAGCCAGATTTTCTTCAGATAAGAGATGCGCAGCTAGGTCGTTGAACGATATTTCTGTAATTGTTTTAATGTTGAAACTGGGCTCTTTTGAATCAACGAGTGTGCTGGATGAATCGGTGAAAACTGTTGGGTCTTTGCAAACGTCGATTGCATCTAATTCTCCTTGTACTTCTTTCAAAATCCCAGAGAGGACTTCAGGTGCTATGGTATCAACTGTTTCCTGTGAGAAGACACCGGCCTCTCGTTCCATGATCATTTCTAGCAAGAGCTTCTCTGGATCTGGTTTAATATGGGAGGATTGTTTGAAAGCGAAACCAGGGTCGGGTGGCAGGGATCTGACAGTCTTCTGGTGTTGAGCCAAAGACAACCCAAACAGCTGAAAAGATTGACCAGCCGGCATTGAGCCTTCCTTGTCGACGTCTGGAGATTTGATGTGGTAACTTCGGTGCCCGAGCTTGATAAGGTTGAAGGTGGTGGGAAGAAGAAAGATGCAAACCAGAATCACAAAATGACCGCAGAGAATGATGTACGCTACGAGCATTCTGCCTGAGTGGTCTGCCACGCCGGGGAGGAAGCCAATATTCAACGAGAACAAGGCAAGTCTTGAGACAGATAGAGTGCCAGTAAGAGACATAAAGCAGGAGAACCCAGCCCAATATGACATTGATACAATTTGGATCACCTCGCACCCGAGAAGAATACCAAGCTGCACAGAGGTATAGGTCTGCAAGCCTCCGATGATACTTCCGCGAAGAAGCATAAGTGAAAACAGCACCAATGCGTAATATTGACGCCCGCCCTTTTGGTGTGCATCCAGGCGATTTGGTCTCTGGATAATGAGAGATCCCATCTCGGAGTCTAGCGACCAGCTCCACCAGAAGCTTGCCAAAAGCAAAATCAAGACAAGCATTGCCATTATTGACGTCTGATAGCCGAATACATAGCCTTCGTGGAATTGGTAGGTTGCCCACGCGCTGAGTGGTAGCATGAAACAGCTGAGGAAGATCTTCACCACAACCCAGTACTGGTTCTTCAACTGGGAGGCCAGAGTCGCAAATCTGAACTCAATATCTTTGCCGGCATGGGTGAGGCGGTTGCTGATATATGCAGCGATGTACAGAAAGAAAAAGACCAGAAGGGATAGAACAAGTGTGTTCATCCAGCTCTGACGCTTGACCGGCGATCCAGTCATCTGCGTTAGCAACTCCAAGCCTGGAGCGCCAGTGATAGTCCCATTGTGTTCGTAAATACCATCTTGCACACCGGCTCGCGCATAAGGAGATGTCGCTGCTACCACTCCCGCTGGCAGCATCAGAGTAGACCAGCTACAGAGACCGACGAGAGGTTGGAAGAAACCAGGGTACTGGAGGCTGAACGCGCCTGAGAAGAAGATAAACTGTATGTAAGCGACAAGATCGATAGGCCGTGCGATGCGTGTGTTTTCTGAATGAGTGGACTTGGCTGGCCAGCATGCTGCGATAGAGGCCAAGGCAAACGTAGTGATGGGCAGCCATAGACTGAGAAGGCGTATTATCTTGGGAGCGGCTGGTGTTAGAATCGCTCTGACGCAGGAGAATGTGGTGTTATCTTTTGATGTGAATTCGAGGGTTGTTCTGAACGTATCGAGTAAAGCTGAGCGGTTGAATGTAGACGCGATGGTGAACTTAGCCCTCGAGCCAAATCTCTCATTAGTGTAGCAGGACACATTAACGATCCGCCCCGAGACCTGCTCAGAGTCGTGGCTATAATCCACGATCGTGAACCGGGGTAGGAAATCCGCAGAGTCGACCTCGCAGGCATTCCGCCCAACCTGCCCAACAAGAACATCAAACCGCCAGTCAAAAGCATCCGCTCTGGGCACAACCGCCGCACGAAAGCTCTCCGGAATGAGCGAGGTTTCATTTGCTCTGTCAGTGCAGTCGAGAAACTGCACATAGGCGGCCTGGCAGCCCGCTGTCAAGAGCATGCAGGGTGTGACTCCTGACAGCTTCATGTTCCTATCTGCTTTCGGACATGGCGGATGTGAGAGATCAAATTGGGTGGTGGGCTAGTGGGGCTTTTTACTTGCTGGCTTTTCCCCCCTGGTATCCGTATTTGTAGCGCTAGTTACTCAGCAGGTGGTGCTATTAATAGGTGAAACCACTAACATTGTGTCTATTTCGGGGATACGAGAGTTGATGGGGGATTACCCTATAGTCGTACCACAAACCTCTTGCTTGGGCATAACTAGCAAGCAAACACTGATCGATTGTCTAAGCTGTGTCTCAGATATAACGTCGAAGGCGTAGCTAAATGCTTAAAGCTCAAAGCTGAAAGCTAAAGACAGGGATTATGCAAGAAATTAGCTTATGTTACCTTCGACTTAAGTATGTTACAACTTACTGTGCGACCAATTTTTATCAATGGGGGAATAATAAAATTGTAGGGGATGGGGGATGATGTGCCAATTTACCAAGGGCAGTCGTTGTAAGCTTGGAAGTGTGTAGCAGCCGGAAGAAAAGATACCCTTCAGGTATTGCCATGGAATACGCACGGGGCATGGAACAATCACTTCGCCGTGTCTTCTATTTAAATGCTAGCGACGACAGCTTCAAGCAGGAAAGAATGGTACTTGAGAGTCTAGCGTGATCTTTCTGGCATTACATAACAAATCACTGGCTCAACTGTATGACTCGGCAGAAGCCAGTGAGAACGAATCCGAAGTAGGCTCTTCATTCAGCAATACGGGCCAAATGTCGAAAGATGGAACAGAAGCAGAAGCCAACTTTATGTTACATAAAGACATCGTGATGTGTTCTCACATTCAAAGGTAGAGAATTGGGCTGTGTTGATTCCACCGTAATTTGCTAAAGAGCGTCTATCTACTGCAGAGATATGTGTTGCTGAGAATCCATCAAGAATGATAACCGCAATTTGGTCCAGATAATGCTGACTTCCGTGCTCAAGAGGCTTCCGCGCGTCGCTTTGCAGCTCGCAGCAGCGCACTCGGATGAGCATCTAGGTCCAGCACTGTCCAGAGCCAGGGCCGGGCTGGCACTGCATGCGGCCACCACCGCAAGACCAGCAGCCGTAGTTTCCAGCACACTGGCACTTTCCGGGGCTGCAGTCAGCGTGGGGAGAGTAGCAGGGGAAGCAGCTGCAGCGAGCCTCGAGGCCACGGAGGGCGAGGAGAGGCTGTAGTTACTTGTGTTAGTGACTGAGTTTGGAGGTAAGGCGGTGAACGGAGGAGACTCGAGATGAACGAGTCTTGTTGTTACGTACCTTGTCGATACCGGTGTAGGTGAATTCACCCTCCTTGATGGTGACAGTGTCGGCCTCTGGCATGGCTGTGACGCCAAGGGAGAGGAGAAGAGAGATGAAGAAAGTGGCATTCATGATTGCGGTGTTGTGTTGGTGTTGTTGAGTACAAGTTGTTGATGTGAGAGGGATGATATCTCCAGAAAGTTGGGAATACCAAGGACTCTTATAGATATCTTGATGGCCATGAATGCAGTCCTACTCATAAGAGTCCGTTGAGTATATCCCAAAGCAGTGCGTGTCTCCTCATCCCTTGAACTCACAGCTTCTAGTCTGACTTTGCCACATGCACCTGGATCCTCCCAAAAGTTCTTCGCCCCAGAGTCTGACCAAGACATTAGGTGACGAGAGTAATACTCATTGGCCCATACTACAAGCTGCGCCATTTCACAAAGCGAGAGTGAGCACTAAGTGTTTTGGAATCAACAAATCACCAGTCAGGCAGACTACAATTAGGAACACCTGACACAAATACAAACATCAAAGCACAAGACGTAGCAGCCTAGCTCTGGAGGTACGGTGTCAATTTGGTCCACTCAGGGAGAAAAGGATTCGCTTACATACTTGGCTTTTGCATTACACAGTCCGAGCATACAAATGCGAGTGGCGCGTCGACCGATGGTCCGAGTCTCAGTGAAAGCGTACAATTTACTCAGATTACTGCAGTTAGCTATGTCCGACCTATCCGGGTCCTACATGAAAGCTCGGGGCCGAGAGTGTAGTTGAATTCTGATCCCTGTATGATCTACACGCAGAGTCGCGACGTAGGACAGCGGCACAAGTCGGTCCTTAATCCTATAGGCTAAAGCGTACCTATTGCATTTATGCTCAATCTAGCCAATCAGCTCCAAAAGGTGCGTCACCCCATTGTTGATCGTGTGTAGGACGGCTAGGCAGGCGTGGTGTTGGCCATATCTCACATGATCACCGACTCTATGCAAAGAGTACGCCGACTGCCTATTGACTGGTCGCTATAAAACAAATCTCATTACCTCTAGAATCCTACAGACAGTAATAGTAGCACCATCATACTACATATTGTTTTGGGGTCGGATAGCTTGGTTGGTGACACAAATGGCAGTGCTGTGATGGCCCTCGGATCTCGGAGCACAATCTCCCCTCCGAGTCCAGGGTCATAAGAGGCATTTGGTGGGACCATGACAATTCAGAGTCTGGAACATCATACCTAGCAAGTGAGACTGTTTCCCTGTGGAAGTTTCGTAAGGCTCCGTGGAATGAATTTCGAGCTGCCCGCTAGAATCCGATATTATCCGTTAAAACCCAGTTAACAAGGGCTACTGATTGGTCAGGTACTTCACCGGAAGTCGCTCCGCGGCGCGGGCCGCAGATTTTCTCCTAGAGCGTGCACTCTCTCCGCCTCCGAGATAGATACTTCCCCTTGAAGACTAGAGCCTCTAGCGGGTCCAAAGCTTGTCTCTGCACACCTTCTTCTTGCTCCCTAGCATGCAGACTGGCCCCAAGCAAGATGCTTCAATGGGCGCTGAGCGTGCAGAGTAATACGAGATACCAATCCTACGCCGGGATACGGCAACTCTCTCATGACATTAGGTTTCGGAGTTTCATAGACTCCCGAGAGGGTGCGGTCTACATATGGAATCAATGCTCACATAAGACGGCAGTTCAGGAAGGTGGGCTGTGTCCGAAGTGAGGCCCTGTCGACCGGTATGTACTCGGTAGGGCTTACTAGAATTTAATGCCGAGGAAGAATCGTCGAATAAAATCCAACCTGCGCAGTTTCACATGGTGGATGACTGCGTCAATCCTGATGGGGGCTGCATCCTTCGGATCTCGGAATAGACACACACCCACTGCCCAGCGCTTATAGGGCTGTCGGCCGTTACGGTAGCAGTGGGTGGTGGCAATAAGGCGGCCAATAGATGCAGCCTGGCTCGTGTCTTTGACTTCTTGTCTGAGGGGTGGCGGGGCCGTTTTACCCATGATCATCGTGGCCCAAGGCTATGCTGGAGAAAAGCAAAAGAAGGCGGTAAGCTTCCCCACGTACGATCGTCACTACTATTGGGTTCTAGATACTGGTATGGGAAGAGAGAAAAGCAATTGTTAAGAGCTAATGTGAACTGAAAGTTTGTGAACTTGTTGATCGAGTTCCAGATGTCCTGTAATTATTTGCTGTCATGAGCGTAAGCAATGCCGAGGACCGAGGCCTTGACACGGCCCATATGTGCAAGCATCCAGCTTCATAGGTAGTTACAGTAAGAACTGGTACGTTAGTCCCCATTGGCACGTCTACTTGTTATATCTGAGATATTAGCGAGAGCGAGAGCGATAGGGGGTGTTACTGTATTTGGGTGCAACTTGCCAGCGTTGTGAGCAAATGGGAAAATTGCATCTCTCCATCATCCCGCATCCGCCTCAGTCTCACTCGCCCTTACCCCACAGTCCTCTTCGAGAGGTAACATTCCTAGGGCCCTCTACGTGTAAGAATCCCCGTTGGCCATCCGCTGTGAGGGGTTCCGTCATGCTCCCACGTCAGCACTGAACTCAGAGAACAAGGTTCTCCTTCATCAGTTCGTGGTTTAGCCAACCTCACGTCTTCAACAGCTCCACCCCAGTTAAATTTGGTATATCTTACGACTTGGCGCTGAGTTTCAATCATATCCAAGCCGTGAGCGATCTGACCGCCGTCCAAGCAACATTTCATAAAAATAGTACCGAAATTAGCGGTTGACCGGTGAAGAGACTGATCCACAGGTCAGCAGCAGTGAGTGGCATAAGAAACAGCGGGGTTACCATCAAAGCTATGTTACACCTTTGCTTCCAGGAGCAATGTCAGAACTCCCATTGACTTTGTATGGGCTGAAAAAATGAAACCATATCCAGAGACATTCCTCAATTACCGCCACATATTCTTAAACCATACAACACCATACAACACAGGCACTATACTAGAGCCTCCAGTCTTTACTAAACTCCAGGCCATCGAAGTTGTGTATCGTTTATAATTACTCACACTTGGTTGCGCTATGGGAAGATTTAATTAGCTTTATTATTAGAGGACTGAACCTGTCTGATGAAAAGAGAGAACATATGTGATATTATGTTGGCTTCCAGTCCCATTTTAATGAGAGATTATTGGCAGCCTCAAAGTGGGGCACCAGAAAAAGGACCTGTAGTAAAAGCTCCACCTTTGACCAGATAGCTAGACGAGGCAGTTACCCGAACACTATGCCGGTCTCTTCTCTAGGTTAGGTCACAGGAGAGGGATGTCCATAGGCACTTGTGACTTTGGTTTGATTAACTACTGATTGGTCCATATAGCAGTATCAACACTTTTACTTTTAAAACTCCCAAGGCTCGCACGATAAGGCTATTAAGAATATCTATCCGGGGAGTTGCAGCTGTAAAGACTTCCTTCTTTGTTTTATTTCACTAAGTGGTAAGTAGTTTGATGATACATCGTGATATCTATTAGACAATTAAACTCCACGTTTTACCAAGTTGCTTATCACGATCTCTGAGAAACTAGTGAATACTATCTCTAGAATAGTTGTATAGTATTAATGCATTATTAAAGGCTTACTCACTCACAGCCTGAACCTTGTAACAAGCTGGCACAGCGTCTATAAAAGGAGCAAGTTATATACCCAGCAATATTTAATATAGTCTTACCACTTGTGTTCTTGCGGACGAGCTCGGCCTCAACAGAATACCCAAGTCCCTCAATCGTCTTGGAACCAATTGTCTTGCATGGATACTAGTAAGCACAACTGGTATTGCCGAATTAACTAGTAAAGACCTTAATAGACCTTAACAAACTTTGATTTTAGCCGTTGCTTCAATAATATGTTGCGAGAGCTGATGTGATGGAGAGGCGAGGGCGCGTAGGATGAGAAGCTGTATATTGAGTAGTTTTGGAGGGCTGTATTGGGATACCTCAATTTGGAGAGTACAGCTCTATCGCTTTGCTTGTTATAAATGCTCTATAGGTAAGAAAACAAGAATAAAAGAGCTCTTCGAGAATAAATATGAGGAAAGTGATTCTATATTTGCGTCTTTGTTGCTTCTCTGGTAATATTAGGTGACTGTAAAATGTATTTGTTGCCACATCGGAGAGAAACGGATTATGTGGCCAGATTATAAGTATTGGTTATTCCCCTCCTTATCAGGTAAATAAGCTCCTAAGGTAGGAAGTACAGGTTACCTCTCGGTCGGCCGACTACCCCTTGTCACACGGGATCCTGCCCCTCTCATTCGTGAATATAACAGGCCCACCCTCTTACAAATCGATTATCCCTACCGTTACATCCTGACAGCGCAGGAAGTAAATCTTACAAATAACGCGATTTTATAATCTTGTACATGGATAGAGGGAAGGGTTTCTTTTTATTGTTGATATCATTAAGAGATTTGGAAAGCCTGGGCTTGATGAAAGTTAAAGGTTAAAGCAAAAAGAAAAGTACATGGATAAAGGGTTGAGAGCTTGCTGGGCCTTGCGTAGACATAGGGAACCTGAGCGCATCCACGGTACTAGTAGTACTAGTAATATACTAATACTCCGGCGAGCTATTGGCTTAATATATTTATTTATCTTCTGTGCTGACACAATAGCAAAGGGATGCTTTCCTTGTAATTAGTCACATCGACGGAAAACATGCCACAGATCGTTCATATACAGAAGAACAATGTACGATATACTTTGCTAAGCATGACTCAAGCTCTATTTTCTAAGGTTACCGCTTAACTAGCATCACTGAACTTCTACTTTTGGCAACAGCTACATGAGCCCCGTTCCAATTTCAAAAAAGATGATACAGGAACGGATACTCGGCGTCGAATTTCTTCTGGAAAACCTCGTTCAGACCCCACAAGATCTACAGGCAAGCTTCTAGACCTACCGAGGAGGCAATTTTCCCTTGGTTCAATGGCTAGTCCAGAATACGTCTCTATCAGCCTAAAAACTATCATTACGATTCGGTGGGAGGATATGAATCTAAGCATGATATATGAAGGCCTTTTGTCGGACCTCTCTGATTCAATCACTAAATTCCTCACTCAAGTACCGGGAAAGACATCTAAGCCCATAGATCTCTCTCGTTGGATCAGTAAGTTATCTCCCTTATTCCCCTTCGAAAGAGGAATTCGCAAGAAGCTAGGTCCAACTTGGTCCAATTTTCACCATCGCCATCATCATGCACGCCTCAACAATCTTCCTCGTCCCCCTTGGTCTAGCTATCTTGTCTGTGGCACTTAAACTGGCCGCAGAGATGGTGAAGTTGCCGTCGGCACTTGGCAAACCAGCGGCCTGGGCGACCCTCGTGCAGGTGCAAGCTGCGGCGACGTGCTTACAACCATCTACGCCAACAACTGCGGCATGATATCTTACTCGCGCAACGAAGGCTCTGAGTGCGAAGTCGATGGAGGCTGGCCCTCGGGATATGGGCTTACTTGCAAGAACAGGAAGCTATCGACCGCCTTCACCACTGGAGGAAACTTTGGCAACTGCTACCGGAATGCCAGCGATTGTAGTCCCATCCCCTGGACTTACTATTTTGCTTCCTGGTGCTGTAGCAGACTTTAAGCTGCTAATGTTTTACCGAAACAGCACACACAATTAGGCCTCGAAGAAGACTTTACTTGAGTAAATGGAAAGATATGCGGAAACGTTAGTTCTCTACGTTAACTTAACTCTTTTTCAAGGGAATTTGCTCATGATGGAATCAACTCCAAGTGCCGTCAGTAATTTAAAGTGACTAAATTTTGACGGATCCCAGTACACTTCCCAATTCCACTGGTGATCCACATAATAAATGCAGTAACAGGTAGCGCTACGGTAGTTGAACGAAAGGATCTGCTCCATCTCCATGACCTGTGCTGACTCCTGTACGAGGTTTAAGCAGTATGGCTCCTATTACTCCGAGTAATCATGCGGCCATTCGGATTATATAATGGAATATTAAGGTGAACTCACCCTGTATTCTTGGTTGCTTTTATTCTACTCAACGGTAGGTCTCCTGCCTAAGCAGTCTAGTCATAATATGTCATCACAGGTCTTTGGTTCTTGTATAAATGTTTAAAGCAGCCGAGTACATATGTGGTTTGATAAGAGTACGTGTCTGAATTGATATGCAAAGATGTTCTGTAGAGGGGCTGCATTAGGGGGTTTCCAAAGGTTGTTGTCTCCCGTGCTGGCGGCTTGTACATTGTAGGCTATCTAGCAAGCATGTCTCTCCCTTGAAGCCCATCGCCAACAGGATCCTTGACTTGAGACCTTTAGACAGTGAAGACGGCATAGATGCCATTGGTGGTACCAATACACTGGCCATCGCGCAGATTTCCAGTGAAGGGGGAGCTGCCGTCAGCATGGTTGGTAAATCCGCGGTCTGTCAAGATGAATTAGCAGGTGTATCACATATCTGTTAGTGTAAAGACATACAGGAAAGACCAGATCCGTCCGAGTCAACATACAGTCCACCTCGAGAGCCTGCAGGGCCACCCCTGTGGTGGGTACCGCCCTGGTTGGGGTCGTAGTCGATGAATCGAGACCCGATGTAGTTTCGGCATCCGGTATCAGAGTAGCTATCCAGTAGTCAGTTGGGGTTCATGAGGTGCGACGAAAGAATCACAAACAAGTTGACTTTGATGGAAGCGGCCATTGCCATGCTGGCAAAGGTGGCAACAGAAAGAAGGCTAGTGATCTGCATTTTGGATTCGGGGAATGTTCAAATTGATAGTGTTCAAGGTTGTTGTTTGCTCAAGTGTTAGGATGAGGGTGAGGATGTTTTGGCAAAAAGGAGAGCGAAAGCGTATCTATTTGTACTAGAAACACGTCTTGAAAAGGCTGACCGTAGGTTTCTTCCATTTCCTCATTGTACATCAAGTTTGCCTTCATCAGATGATCACGTCTCAGCAAGGAGTGATACGAGTCATGAATTCTGAAATGCAACCTTTAGTCCTTACATTCTCTTTCTTTATGTTACATTGGTTGTATGCAGTGTCGCAAAAACGCCGCCCGCTTATCCCACACCTCTGGTATTGTGCATAAGGTCCTATGTGAGCAGTTTCTAAACACAAAAGTGTTTTAACAAAAGGTAGACACAAAGATATATCCACTGTGGCATAGGTTCTAACAACAGGTATTGATGACATTAAAAACATAAGGTACTATAACTAGGAAACGGATGTTCCATGTTGGAAAATCTCAACTATCATACTTATTGCTCAATGATTAAAATACGCATAAGCGCACGAAGGTTTCTCTAAAGTTTGAAGAGGAGAAATACATCACCACAAGGCTGAAGTAGAACTGTCCCAGTTTAGTGATATCTGGCTTACACGTTGTCAGCTAAATTCAGCACAACGCTATTTGAAAAGTGTGAGTAAGCCAAAGTTGAGTAGGGTCAACATGGTGAGTAATCACTTAACTCCGCTTACGTGTAGTGAAACATATCATCGAAGAGCCCCAATAGGCAGGCGAATTGACTCAGGTGCATGTTGCTGACACCTCTCGATTTATCACCTTCCTCAAGTATCACTGGTGCAAGCTGGTGACTGGCCAAGCAGCTTTAGGACATCGTGTCGGCTCGGTTTATACCAACATAAGCCCTTTGAAGGCCGCTTATGGAGGAGACTGTGACATACTTTATGCATAGAAATGAGCATACTGTTAATCTGGTTTCACAAGCGCTCATCCTGAGGTCATTTGACATGGAAGATACTGTTTATTGTCGCTCGCTCAGGCTATCTCTCTCTATCCATGTCCTTTCTTTTTATCTAAAATATCATGGCAGCTTATGTGTGGGCAGGTGTTAAAAATACAGCCATATCTCTTTCACTCCAAACAGGTCATTGCTGGGCCACCGCAACGCAGCTGCGTCTGGCAGATAAGTTTTATTTTAGTTTTTTCTGGCTCCCCCATCTCAAACTTGCAGGTAGCCGCTAGCCCACTAGAGCGCCTAGCAGTAGCTTCAAGCAGAGCAATGAGGATATAGGTTCTTGGTGCAACTAGAATCCCTTCTTTCCAGCCAATGATGGAGACTTCTCATACTCGTAGCAAAGAACGCCCTCGCCATCGCCATTGAGAGTATCCATGACTGCCTTTACAGGTACATCGTCGTTCATGAAGCCCATCCACAGAGGAGTGTCGAGGGTAGTGAGCTCAACTTTGTCACTGCTGGGTCCAAATCCATCGATGGTTCTAGCACCACCGATATCAGCAAGACGCGACTTGTCCGCCTTTTGCCACAGCGACCACATGTAGTCAAGTTGGGTATGGTGCAGCCAAAACAAGGGATCGTTTGGAGAAGAGAAAATATCCATCAACTGCCGTAGTATGTCAGTAAACCTTCTTCTAATCATGCGACGAAAGGCGACGGATTTGGACTTACATCGCCACCAATGCCTGTGTGACCCATGCTATGGGGGTTGGATACTCCCATCGAGAGCTTATCCTCGTCTGGAATAAAATCGAGGCCATCAATAAAGGCTTGAAGTTGCACGTGGTTCTTTCTACTCATCGTTGGTGGATAAATATCCTCCCACTTGGAGCTACCGTCGAAAACATCCTCAGTGATCGCCCTTGTCAAGCATCGCGGGTTTTTGGCGTAGGACTCCGAAGGCCCAATGTTCAAAATGGCGTTGCCGGTGAAAGGCCCATCTTTTACACAGTTGTCCGTTCCGGATCCATCGCCGCCAAACGCTTGCAAGACAGGAGACTTGAACAGTGACCCGTTGGATGCTGGGTTATCGAGAGTCCAGTCCCAGTAAGGCTGGGCACCGGTGTAGTCGCACCCGTCGCGTAGGATAGATTCGAATGTCCAGATAGCATAGCGGTGCCATGGAAGGAAGACCCCAACGCCGTGTACGCCGTAGACCGTAACATCGGATTCACTTCCATTATCTAGGAGTATCATTGATTTAGCTTTCAAGACAACAAGAGATTGTTCTAAGTGGAGGTGCAATACTCACTTGGAGCCGTGTCGATCAGTGACGGTGCTTCCTGGCCTCCTGCAGTGGTGGGTCAGCTCATCATCAGACAAGACCGGTATTTTTAGGACAAACCTCGAGTGGCATTGATGTGCAATGCTACAAAGTCGTCGTAGCGACTCTCAAGGGTCTTAGAGAAGCGGGTACCCTTGGATGGAGCAGCCTTGAGGCACTGTATAGCGTCGATGTAGGCAGTTTTCTCAGAGGAGCTCAGCGTGCGCCAGGAAGGTTATGAGCATGCTTTGAATCTTTCGTAGATGGGTTTAATACTTACCACTCTTTTCTGATGCGAGGATTGGAGCATTTCGCAGTGGATGAGTTGTTAGAAGGGTATGGGCTGGCCAGCGATTCTTTTGCCAAAGCAGCCAGCAGGATGAGGTTTTGGAAAGAAATCAGCATAGTTGAAGAAATTACAAAAGGTAGAAGATCTGCACAAACGAATGATTCGGGAAGGATTTGACAGGAAATGGTTGATCTGGTGCTTAGAATAGACAGTCTAGAGGTTCTAGAGAAGAAAGGCTGGAATTTATATAACGGCCATTTAATATTTTAGATCCATATACACGATTGATTCATATCGCGATGAGGCTGTGCTACTGCTTGACTAATTTATTGCTCGTATTCACTGTTAACTTCTTTCGTAAAAACATAAGATGAAACATCGCTACTTGTCCCAGCCGTTAGCTCGACGCGCAATGAGGCGCAGCCTGTAAAGAGGGTCAAACACACATCACCTAAATTATGCAACCATCGCGTGGTTAAGGGGTAATGATCGCGAAAGTCGATCGGGTATGATAAATGCAGTCTCTACGTGGAGTCCAATCACTGTACAATTTCGCCTCACATGTTTTGATCTCAAAGTACGTACACACTCGGGCTGTGATCTATAGAGACCGTTGCCTTGGTTTATGTATTTATCTTGAGCCTTGCGGTGTTCTAGATTAAAAACAGCTGAACGAAAAACATTTAACTAGATATCACTCTATAAGCACCATTAATGTAGTATCTAACGGTACAGCCCGTTCCAAACATACAGTTAAGATTAGACAATTAATGCATGGCGACCCGATTAACACTAACGCTTGTTGTTGTGATTAGTGAGGCTGCATGTTACGTCACTGTTGATATCAACCGAATACTCGCAAAGATTACGAGTGCTCGGCCTTTCAAAAGAGGTCAGTGTGTCCATAGCGTATTATGTTAAAGTTTGACCCTTGAAGGCCCCAGCATCTCGGTAAATAAGCATAACGCATCATTCCATGTGACATCTTAATACCTATTGTCGGAAGCCACCTGTACTACGGATCGCGTGTGCCTTTATGGTCTTAATTATACATGTATTATAGAATGTCATCCCAGTCCTGAGAGAGGTCTACTTGTTATGTTTTTCGAAGCAGTTCTAGCTTCATTGAGAGATAGTAAATCAGTTACATAAGACAGTTCCGACCAAATAATTGTCTGACACTATAAGACTCTGACTTGAGTTCTGACTTGGTTGGAAATTTCAACTGATTGCTATTGATGTACTCTAAATAGATAATCTAGACAGTCCTGGCGATATACAACGAGATTTAGAATATATTCTGGTGTGTAGAACAAGTTTATTATTATACTACCCTGTGGCAAATAAACCGGAGTCGCACTTTAAGTGATGTTATTACATGTGGCTTTTATCCACAAAGCCCACCTATAGTGCTTGAGTGACCCAATGCTTGGACAATCTGATATCTTTGTTTATTTAATAACTAGAAAGAACAACAGAGTACCGTAAATAACTTCAAACTTCTTTAGTTAATGTATTTATCGATTTGAAAGGTAGCTAGGTATAGGTTAATACCCGTGTGATCTACCCTCTGACCTTACAGACGAAAAAAAATCTAAGATGGTCACACTATATTATGTAGTATTGGCCTTCCTCGCCTTAAACGCTTGTTTAACAGAGCCGAATAAGTAGGTGGATGTAGGGTATAGTTTTAGAATAGGCTGGACTAATATTATCTTTAATATCCCCCTCTAGTTATATAACGAGAGTATATTCTCAGAGAAGATTGCTTGGAGTTCTTATTGCTCGTACGGAATGCTTTTTAATAAATGTAAAACTGTAGTTTGCACCTTAAATTGAGAGATCCGCGGCGTCTAAAAAATGGGGCGATTGAGTCGATCCGGTTTAGCTGAAAATAAGAAGCACTTTTAGGATGCAGCTATTGGTTGAAGGTACCATCGAGCTGAAAATCAAGTAAATTGCCAAGCAGGGGTTTCACTTTATTCTCCTTGTAGGAGGACGATGAGCCGACGATCAGCGCTTCCATGAAATGAATTTTCATTTCAAAAGCAATGAAAAAGAAAAGCAGAGTAAAAGTAAAAAAGAAAAGGGAGATAAACTCAATTCTAATGAAAAGAAATTATAGTTAGCTACTTCGTCTCATTTTTTACATTTTACATTTAAGATTCAATTTAACCATAGCGCTGCCTACAACCACCAGCCAACAAGCAACGAAAATTGGTTCAGCTACTGCAAGGGTAGGGATGGGGTGATCAATCATAAAAGGGGGCTCAGCCATCACCATACCCCGCCTTCTCAACCAAGACTGATTGAAACTTTGAAAGTAAAATACCTCAAGGAATTCTCATATTTAATCTCTAGAAGTCTTACTCTGACCTATGCGAAAATGGACGAACATGACGCGCGACTATTTGATGACGACGATAACTCATCTCTAAGCCCAGAAATCGCCAAAATTGCCAATCGCTACCCTGAAAGTTTTCTGAACTACTTACGCGCCGCTTGGGAAAAGGATGGAGCAAAGGCAGCTCAGATTCCGTCTGTCTTGACTTCATTGAAGGCTACTTTGGTTCTCTGCGAAGATGGTGTGAAGCGACCACTCTCGACTACTTATCTTCCCACAAAAAGATTACGCGCTATTGTCGAGAAGTACATACGACCTGATGATAAGTTCCCATTCCTTCAGTTTCAGAAATTCTGGTCTCTGGAAGAAAAGGTTGATGTCTGGGCATTTCTGCCGTTGCATCTTGGTGTGGGAAATGGCGAGGACTTGGACCTATACCTCGATATTCTCAAAACAATTCGAACGGAGAGATCCCTCTGGCATTGGTCTCAAAAGTTTCCGAAGCGAATATTAAGCCTTTACCTCCACATTGAAACGGCTTATGCTCACGATAACGGCACTAGGGAAAAAATCAGGTGAGCAAGTCTTCAATCATAAACCAAACTCTTTCAAGTAGATATAGGGCGCTGAGTGTGACTAGAGACGTATTTGAAGAGCACGGACTGGTGCAAAGTCCACGACAGCATTGGAAAAGGCCCAGCGACTGTGCCCTCAGAGCTGCGAGAGTATCGCCTTGGCAGGGTGCAACATTCTCCCTGGTGTATCGAATGAAAATACTTGATTACTGGCAGAGCGCGCTGCTCAAGACAGGCTTATTGCCATTGAACCCTAATTGGAAAACCACAGAAGAGGAACGTACCACAATCCTGCGGTTTTTCAGGACTACGCTTGGCATTATCGAATCGTCCGCTTACCTCGATCTCATATATCTTCTACGCTTGAGCCCGACTTTTGGGTTGGTGGCTTCGCAATCGGAAGATAATCCGACGACAAATTATGAAATCATTAACGATTCGCTAGATCTTCTTTCAGATGGAGAGAAAGAAAAACTCAGGTAAGTCAATACTGCTCCCTAGCCTGCGAGGTCTTAATTTCTTCAAGGTCTGCATTTGTCGTTAGTCCAAACATTGCAATGCGATGTGGTAATGAATTACGATGGTATAAGCAGGCCGAGTGTGTCTGGTGTACTGACCTGAAATCTCCAATACCTGGCTTTGCCAATCTGAGCGGGGGGTATCAAGGCCTTGAAGACTTCTTTGTTGGTTTCTTGGGGGTCAAGAAAATAACTGCCTCTTATGAAAACCTGCTGCATTGCGAACCTACGAGTGTCTCGATCGATACCGTTAAGGAAATGCTGCTCTCTCTAAGTACGGTGATCACAGAGAAGGGGAGAACACTGGATCCTGTGCCGCTGTTGTCAAAGAAGATATTGCCCGTGAGGGGCAAAGATGGTAAAGTTCGGTTTTGCACTTCTGATGAGGAATTCTATATCATAAATCGACCGTATCTGGACGTGTTCAGGAATACGGCCCCAATTCTTGACTTCTCAGTATCTGAGATGGCGCGCCTTATACCCTTCTTGGAGTGGGCTACGCTTGAGCATCACTACCTATCTTGGAATGTTGACGAGTCTAGCTTCCTGCAGGGTTCTTACCCAACAACTCTTGATGGTCGCATCACGACAGAGAAAGCTCGCGGACTCCTACGGTATTACCTTGGCCCATTTTATATTCGAACACTTACATTCGTACTGACGCGCTTGGTTCTAGGATAGCAAGTCACTACCGTAGCCCCAGAACAAGGAGTTTGGAGCAGAGGCAGATACTTCTGAGACAACTGGAAGGATCCAGATTCATCGAGACTGCTGGTATCTTTCGAGAAGTGAAGCTGCTGCTCGAAGATGACTCTGAAGTAGTTCACCAGCTGGAGGGTCAGCTCCACATAGTTGCGGAAAACTTCGGACTACGCATATATGTGCCGCGTGACAAAACGTCGCAGGAATTAAGTGCTGTCTTACTACCGCGATACCTGGTAAAATGGTTGATGACCGATCCCACGAACGATATGACGCCAGTGATTGATGAGGTGGCTGTGGGCCTCGTAAAGAGTATATCGAATGTTCGAGATGAGTTGATACAGAGGGTTCTCACAGAGGAAGGGGTAATGCCATTGGAAGGCCTAGTCCATCCCTTTGCCTTGACTAAGTGAGCACTCTTTCCATCCCTGAGAAACTTACAGCTAACAAATCCCAGTTTGCAGCATCCGAAACGCATACCCGTCAAGCTTCCACAGCCAGCATCAGCAGAATCTGAAGCTTGCCAGGACACAGTAGTAGTCAAACCTGAAGCTTCCTCAGTACCAGGCCTTACTGCGACAGAAACTCCTTCGAATCATTCATCCCCTGCAAACAGGCCTACACTGCGACCAGTATCGATCAGAACCAAGGTTTTGGACAGCGATCCTGCGCCGTCAGAGATATCCAAAGTCAAGCCACCTGTAGAGCAACAAACACCAAAACCGTTCAAGTTGCCTGAAACGTTCACTTTTCAGGCTAGCAAACCACTGAATACCCAAGTAGTTTGGAGCTTTTCCTCGCCGGCTCCGGAGGGTAGTAAGAATCCTTGGGTGGGTTAATTAAATTGCTCTGGTATGGCTTTTACAAAGGACTGGCTTTGAAGAGCGCTATTATGGATAGCTTATTACTTGTTTTTTGCTCAAGTCTGCGAGGGCGAGGGAAAGAGATAACGTGGATAGACTCTGCGTCAACGCAGGAGCTACCAGATGATGTTAAAACAGTTTGAGATATGGCTACACTGTATATGTGAGAAACACGTGGAAATGATATACCTACTAGGTCTGTAGGTATGTCGCCAATAATATTTACATCAAGCTTACCTGACCGTCTAATGCAAGCAATGGATGAACGGAGCCAGTTCTCATTGGTTCGATCGCCAGGAACTGGAGATTAATCATTGTTTCACACTTTTATGTCTGTGGCGTCTTTTGTGGCGAGCTGAAAAGCCGTCTCCCTGGGGAAATGTCGCCCAACGGACTACCAACAGAGACATTTACAAAAATGCAGTGGAATTACCGCTGACCGCCCTTTGACAGATGAGACGTGGCATCTCCCTTGCTGAAGTATAAGCATGTTATCATATCATTGACAGTCTGGTTTGCTTCTTCTGCCTCCGAAAGTCCAATCGGGTACTGCAACTCAAACAAACATGAAAACCCTCGCTTTCGTGATCGCTCTACTAGGGGTCACGGGAGTAATCTCGGTGACTGGACTAGGAGAGATGGAGGTGGACTCGTGGTGTGTTACATACGTCTCTACCTACCTTGTTCCAGTTGCCAATCAAGGAGACCGCCCGACGATCGAGCCAGGGGAGGAAGAGCCAGAGGAGGAAAAGCCAGCAGCTGAGGACTCGGGTCGACTCCCTTTCGCACCATCTCTTCGGCCGACATTCGCAAGGAATGTATCTTCATTAACTGGTAATGCGTTGTCCGGCTCGTCTCTTGTTAGCTCCGAGCCTTCCATCTCAGCCGGTCGGCCACAGGGACAATCGGTCGCTGAAACGCGGTCTTCTGACCCGACTGCCGGTGATTCAGTATCTATCACCAGTACCAACATAGCACCTACTTCCAGTGACTTGGAATCCATAATCAACACTAACACGAACACCATAACTACGTCTAGTGAAATGGAACCTGTCGTCAGTACCAATAGCATACCCACTTCGAGTGGTATCGTCGAACCCGAAGGCCGGTCCATTATCTTCCAAGTTTCAATCCCCGATAATCCCGATAACGAGAAGCGCAGTATCAAGAAGCGTGTATCAGGGGGCTTTGTTGGCAATGATAACCCAGGAACTTGTACCTTCGCCAATGTCTTCAACCTTGCAGACGGTCAACTCTTTGAGGGTGGCATACCGATCTACTACTCGTCGGGCGAAGACTATAAAGAACTCTCTGGACAAGACATTCCTTCGAAGGGGGCCATCAAATCCACGTTCTTGGTTAGCCAACAAAGTCTTGTGTTTAAAAACCCAAGGTTGCCTAATGGAGATGCAGGCTTCTGTCAGGACACTAATGGCCGGGTCTATATCACATTTACAAATGGACCTCCGGGCTGTACGGTGGTCAATCTGGCTGTATATGATGGTATGAATACCTTTAATATCTTTTTAGAGGTTACTAACTCGGGTTTCAGTGGTCCAATGTCAAAATGGCCGACTTGTTGGGGGAGAGGGTTCATCTACTACGTCCTATGCTGCTACCTTTGAGACAATGAATTCCAAAGTGAGCACTATTGAGACCACCTCCACGGTATTGGACGAATCGCTACTTCTGTCGAAATCCGAGGCTATCGATAGTTTTACGAGTATTGTTCACTTTGAAACAGCCCACCCAGTTACCGAGTTATCCCTTATAACGTCCGCCTCACTCATGGCTATCGCCACAACCACTACTGTGGCCACGGTGTCGGATTCCTCGATGGTAAAGTCCTCGACAGTGTCTATTCCTGCGGAGGAGATGGGTAGCGGGCGATCATCAAACACGCAATTCCATGATTTCTCTTCCTCAGACACAGCCACACGTCCATCCTCGTCAGATGAATCCTTTTCAACTGACTTGAACACTGAAATCGTCGAGTCAACATCACTATCATTTGTTATTTCGACGGGTATATCGACATCACAGATACCACTGTCATACGATTCAAGCAGTGATCCCGCAGATACAGCGACTGAGTCAATAGACATCACAACTGAACTGGCAAAGACAACGACCAGACCACTACAAACACCAGCATCAATCGAGTCAGGTACCGAGCCTGTAGACACAGATGCCAAGTTGGTAGATACCACAACTGAATCGCTCGAGATAGCAACTGGGTCGGTGGATACCACAATTATATCGGCGGACACTACACTTGAACCAGCAGAGACAACGACTGAGTCAGTAAGCATACCTACGTCGATTGAGTCAGGTAAAGAGCCTGTAGACATAGCTACCGAGACGGCAGAGACAGCGACTAAGTCGGTAGAAATATCTCTATCATCAGAGTCAAGTATCGAGCCGACAGAAACCAAAGTTGATCCGGTGGATACGACGACTGAAGTGGCAGAGGAAACACCTCGGCTGGCAGATACAACAACGGGATTGGCAGAGACGACGACTGAATCAGTAGACTCCCCAACGGAGGATGCGTGTGTCGCAGGAATTACCAACCCAGCTGGATTGCCACCACTTGAGGAACGCAAAGACGATTGCTCTGCTAATAATGTTGTCACCGTTAGCCCATACACAGTGTAGGTTATACCTTGTGCCCGTCACCAAGAAGAGACTAACAGGTATCAGGACCGTTACAGAAACTCTAAAGAGGCGTTTTGTTTGGGTCGTACCCACAACTTGGCCACCAACGCCTACCAAGAAGCGTGTCGCCCGGGATGAAGGTGAGGCTACCACCATATTCCCTACCGAGTACCTGGATACCTATGCCACATACTGTGAAAATGCCGATGACTACTATGATGCGTGCTCGAGCCTTGGCGTCGTCCAGTCTACAACGACATTGCCTACTCCGACGACCACAGAGGAGAACCCCATTTGCCGTGCAAAGGAAATAGTAAAGAGGGCTGGTGAAGCTATGGGTTATGAGTTTGAGAACCACTGGGAACTGATGACCATGCCTGGTTATACTATGATAGCAATCTGATTATGGAGGAAGGTATTCTTTTGTGTCTCTCGTTTGATATATTGCATAGAACTGTGCTGACTGTCTAGTATCAATAAGAATAAATTTCCTTAAGAAGTCAAGGAGCCCATGAGAAGCTCACCGAGCTCATTTACCAAGATTGAAGGTCAACAGGACGTCACCTCACTAAGGATATCGCCCCGGTGTTTGTCCCATCGGCGAGTGACATCCCAGACCTCACCAACAAGTCAGTGAAGAGCGCGGGGTAGATCTAAGCTCCGCCACAAAGTGACACCGACAGGTCTTAAAGCCAGGAAAGCTGTGGTCAAAAACTATTTGCATATAAGGCAGTGCCAGCACAAGTCATATCATCTTTCCAGCTTGATAGTTTCTATATACTCAAGACAAGTCAACGGCCATAAATGAAAAATACCTTTCGCAGCTAATATGAACGCGAGTAATATATGGCGGATTTCTCATACAACACCACAGCCACCCTTCAAATGAAAGTTTAAAACTTGCATAGCCACATCTTCAACACTTCGGCTGGAAAAATGTTATAAACTCAGGAGCGACGTGCTATCACGATCAGATCAATGAACTCAGTACGTAGCTCTATAATATGGTCCAAGCTATCGAGTGAGTGACTGTGCTCTTGTTTGACCCACTTCCTTCATCAGCACTAAGACGGACCGTTGCAGTGAAGTAAGATGAATTGCCCCACTGTAAATCCTGCAGGAACAAAGTAACCAGGCTCAGCCGCGTTTCAAAATAGACATCGCGGTATATGCTTAAATGAATTACGGCGATCAATATGAGGACGAGGCTGAAGCTGGGCTGTGTCATTCCTTCTCATTAGTGACGAGAAGTGAAGATTAGTAACCATTCGTATTTATACGAACCTATCTGTCTTGCAATTTGTATCAACCTGTTTCCTACACCATCTCCCTCTCAACGCCTATCACAAATATCAACATGCACTTTCTTACCACTGTTATCACCACGTTGGCTGCTTGCCACTCTGCTAGTGCATGGAGCCGTAAGCTTTTACTCCCCTAACCGCACATAAAGACATGATTGAATAACATCCACTTCCAGTCGCTATCGCCAACACCCACGATGGCACGATCCAAACAGGCGGCAACCCTCCTCAACTGCGCCGCATCCTGTCTCAAGATGTGAAAACCTCGGCTTGTGGCGTCTTCGGCCAGGATCTCCCTGGTGTAGGATGCTCGCAGGAGACGATGGACGGGGACAGTCCTCAAGGTTGCGTCGGTGACTTTGAGACAAACTCTCTTACACCCCAGTTCGGTACAAGCTGCACCTTTTACAAGAATTCCGACTGCTCTGGAGACGAAAAGACTGTCGAACGTACACGATCTGAAGGAATACTTACTGAAGACAATGCACAAGGCTTCACTGCCTTCAAGTGTGTAAGTAAAATTCCGCGATATTCTCAATAGAAGTTTGCTAATGGAGAAATAATAGTGGGACAATGGCGCATTCGTCCCATGGAAGGCATAGGTGACTTGGTGCATTCACACAGTCAAATATGCCTGAAAAAGGTCACACCCAATAGGTTGATCGACATGTATTGATCTGTATTACTATTGATGAAGTTTCGTTGAGCTTAGAGGGGATTTGTATCTGAAGCCTGAAATATAATTAAAATATTTGATACCACCAAACTCATTCCAACAGAAATGACCTTAAGATCTGCTACTGTAAGAAGGTATTGAGACGGTTTATCCGCGTATGCCATATAGTATTACTCTTTCTACATATGTTGCTCGTAGCACATCTTCTTAGCCATGATAGCAATGTTGCCCTTCCTTTATCCATATAAGCAGCAACACATTCTCTAAAACCATGTTGTTTTAAGCTATGAGCAAATGCCCACGTGCAGTCTCGTTTCTCCCGTGGGATTTTGTCGCTGATTGGAGTTCACTCATTGTTCAACATGGTATACATGCCGGCTATGGGTTGTCGATCTCATTAACGTCCGCTTCACGCTTATCCCTGTGTGATTTGCTGCCTGGAAATATTATATTCATGAGAAGAATATAGAGCGACAGTGATTGGGTTTCGTCGAGGCGGTAGACGAATCCGGCAGGCCACGTATCGCATTTCGTATTCGCAACCCTGTCTTGACACGGCGATTCTCGACTGAATACCGGCGTCTCTACTAACTTATGATAACTTTAAATTCATAGGAAGCAGATCTTCATAAGGTCACCAGGAGTCTACTGAGATGAGGAAATATACAGCCAAAGGCAACTTATGGAAGGAACAGTATGATCATAGGACAAAGAAATACATACACAGAGATACAACATTGCCTAATCTACAGTTTCTTACTCTTCAGGTAGTTATAGTCCTCCATAGAGTCTTCCACAATGTGCCAGAGTTGCTCTGCAGCCTTAGTACCGAAGTCTTTTTCCCATCGAGCCCGAGCAACATTTATATCCAACCCCCTTGAGCTTTTGGAGCTATCGACTGACGTCGAATTCCAATAACCACTCATGAATTTTAGCTCGCGACACCCGGCACCCTCTGGTGCCTTGATTGTGTCCCAATCGTAGAGAACCCTGTTCTCGTCCATGCCGAGTAAGACGCACAATCTTTTGATCGTTGGACCTTTGTCAAGGATATCGTCTGCATCAATGACAATTGGTTTGGAACCTGGTGCTGGGCCCTGAGATAAGAACCAGTCGTACATCTGCCTAGAATACTGATAGGTCGTGTAGAATGCCCATGATTTATCAGCAAGGTCCACATCCCGAGCGCCGCTTTCCGCTCTGTACCACGATTCGAAAGTCATGGCGGGATGTCGTATCAGGAAGATGGGCCTCCAAGACGATATGAAACTGTCCGGGAATATGGTCGGATTTGTCTTTTCGCAAGCTGAGCCTGATGCAGCGCCCTTTTCAAGTACGGTGAAAGACGGGCTTGCAGGACCACCCCACATACTTTGCGACAGCTTGGAGGGCTCCCATATGTAGAAGGTGTGTTCCTTGAGAAACGTAGCTTTTCCCTGTTTCCGTTGTTAAAACCCCAAAACCCCAAAACACTTTACGCAGGGCAGAGAACTCGCCTGGCTGCTAATAGACATCCGTTCCTGTTGGATCTCGTCAAAACCTTCTTGAAGAAGCTTCTCAAAACCTTGCCGTTGCTGGTCGGATACGGAGTGTAATGGTCCCCAATTGAACGAGTCTCTCGCAAAGTCGAATGCTCGCTTGAAGTGGTAGTCCGAGTGAAGCCATTCTGGCTGATTTGAAAGGAGACGACAGAGGACGTGGGAACAGGTTCGATTTAGAGCAAATAGAAATACATCCTTCGAATGGCCCTTGGTGGCGTGGCTTTTGTTTCCATTGCCATTTATACCATTCGTGCTATTCATGCTGTGATTGAGGGCAGGTTTGAGGAAAGCTGGTGTTGTTTTACTTATGCAGAACGCGCTAGATTTTGGTGTTCACGCATATTTATACGGGACCGAGAGGAACTCTCCCGACGACCAACGCATGATGTATTCTACTGCACCTCTTGGACCTCAGCAGATTGTAGTCTACGTCGACCCTTTGGCCACCACGCGTCGTGTGGGACTTGCAACTGCGTAACAGAATCTGATAGTGAATAAGACCAGACCTAGTTGCTGTCTATTCGACCGAGTGTGACTGCGACGTACGTCATTGATCTAAGAAAACCTGTCGGGTCAACGTGCTCCAGGGATTGTAAGACTGTCGTTCAATGACCATTATTTGGATAACGTGATCCTTCAAGTTACATCACGTCTCAATGAATCAGGAACCATCATTTCATTCTATCGGCAAAGCAATGCAAATTGTTAGTCACAGAGTCGTGCCAGTTCAGTTGAAGGGCAATAATAGCGAGTCAATAGTAAAATGATAGCTTCATGACATGTTATATGGAGTGGGTTTGATAGTGCAGTCTCCCTATGATTTATTTTCTTCTAAAAGATTCCCATAGTAGCGAGTTCCATATCACTCCCGAGCAACCAACTTTAATTCCCAGCCAGTGCTTCACGTCGAGTCTTGCTCATGGGGTCAAAATAGGGCCTCTCGCCAATTCCAACAGCTCGATGCCCCGTGCGCGCGCCAAATCCAGCAAAGTCGAAAATGGCAGTGTGATAAACAGTGCGGTTATCCCAGATAGCTGCCATTCAATTAATCAATTACTCGTGATGTCCATCAAAAGCTTTGTACTTACCGACATCGTAAGGATTCTTCCACTGGTGTCTCAACTGACAGTCGTGCTCTTCAACGATCAACTGCAGGAACCAATCGAGAAGGCGCTTACTCTCATCTGGCGTCACGTCGTTGATACGTTCGGCGTGGTTTCCAACTGCAAAAAGGCTCTTCCAGCCCGTGACAGGGTTGGTGCGGACAACTGGATGGCTGGTTGTGAGGGAATCGCCTATGTTGTTTGGTGATCCCCGCGGCTCTGTGTAGAGTTCAAATCCCTTCTCCTTTGCCACGCGTGGTAGTCGCGTCTGTGAGAACGTGGCTGTCAAGCTTTCGAGGAATTTGCGATAGCTGGGAGAGATCTTGTCATAGATCTCACATGACGAAGCCCACATCGTGTCTGTCATGTTTGGTCAGCGTCGTATCGTCAGTTTCAAGACAAGGCTGAGTACCTCCACCCGTTTCGGGTAATTTGACAAGCTTTAGGATGGAGTAGTCTGGTGGATTAGGTTCGTACCCGGCGTCTGTGTGCCAGCTATTCCTGATGTCGCTAGGCCTATTCTTCCACAGATCTTCAGCAGGATTGGCCTCTTTGTCGGTGGTGATGGTGTTGATATGCTTATCCTCGTCAGGATTGAAGTTGTGAAGTGGATGGATGTGCAGGGTCGAAGACTCTGGCTTTCCCGTAAGGCGTCCCAGACGATCAGCCAACTCCTTTTGAAGTTCGTTGGTAAAGTCTTTCTGGGCACGGAAAAAGACCACTCCTCGCTGAGATACTGATTCTATTGTCAGGAATCCTTCGGAATGTAATTGGTGATGGTCTTACTGGCGATTGCCAATTCGCGAATAAGTTCATCACTGTTTTCAGCTCTCATCCATTCCGCAACATTGGCATTGGGGAACTCAGTCCCAATAACCGGCCCAACCTTGAAAGAATCATATTTGTCTAAACAACCACTCAGCTCGTAATGTTTTTTGATAGGTTGATCGTCCGCGTGGCCATTGCTATTGCCATTCATCTTGGAGGTTTTAGCTTGAGGTCCGGACATACTTGTTTAGTGTAGTGTAAGTTCAGTGAAGCAACTAATCTTCACCCTACAGTCACGGGGGTATACCGCATATTTATGATAGTTACTCTTCTAGAAGATGGGGGGAAATAGGGCTCAGCACTTCCATTACCGTGGTCGCTCTGCGGGGGATACCTCCGACTATTGGCGTTGGATGATGTCAAAGCCAGCACATGACCAAACAGTTGAATTCCAAGCTTTATCCTAACCCTCGAAACTTATAGGTAACTTTTTCTACATGTACTATACATTTCAAGGACAACTAGCCGATACGGTGGGTACATTTCAACCAGAGTTATCATCTTTTGTCTCTACCTCATGCTGATACGGTTTTCAAAAAATGAGATGATTTATGTGCATTATAAATATGGCGTATCTTAGTGCCTATGATATTCCTTCTACCTATCTACCCGTGCGCAGAAGAAACCCGAACCTCCTGATGTGTCAAATTCCTCACAGCTTGGTCTAATGTCTGTGTGAAAGCTCTCATCTCATCCATGGTGTTGTAGTGAACCAAGCTTGCACGTATTATCCCATCGTCCCCGCGTCCCAGAACATCGTAAACTGTGCGAGGAGACCAACAATCCCCACTGATCAACCTACAGGCCGACGTTTCATGGATTTCCTGTGCTACTCTGTCAGATGAAAGTCCGTTGGTAGAAAAGCTGACCAAAGACACCCGAGCGTTGGGATCGGATGACTGGGACCCATATACAGTGTACAGGTCTGGGTTGGAGGTCAGGTACTCCAGAAGATACGCTGTAATTGCTTGTTCATGGCCAATGATTGATTCCCAGCCGACCTGATCCTCGAGGTAATTGATGATAGGGACAACGGCGTGCTCGAGCTCAATACAACTGTTTCCAAGGCCCAGCTTTACAGAAAGAGGGTTTGCATCGAAGAAGTAGTGGTTGAGGCTGGTCAGGAAACGCTGCTGGACTCTACGACGTGCATAGATCTGCGCAATATGGGGGCCGAAGGCCTTATACCAACTGAAGACATAAAAGTCGACATCCAGAAGCTTCACGTCGATTGGACGATGGGGAGCCATGGCCACTCCATCTACGCAGATCATGGCGCCAGGAATAGTGTGGACAAGATCTGCGATATCCTTGATAGGCTCGATAGTTCCGGTGATGTTAGACACATGGCCACAGCATACAAGCCTGGTCTTGGGGGAAAGAAGAGGTTGGAGGGATTCGAGGGTGAGCTTGGGATCTGTGGTCTTTCCTTTGTTGGTCGGGGGTGTCCACCACTTAATAACTATCCCCAGACTTTTTGCTAGCGAACGCCATGCGGTAATACCAGCTTCATGGCAAAGAACAGATACGATTATTTCTGAGTTCGCATTGAGATTTGGGCGCAAGGAATTCGTCAAAGTTCGTAGCAGACCAGTTGTTGAAGGTCCAAATGCTTGATAGTCAAACTGATTAGCAACATGATAGTCTCAAGAAGGGTTTCTTGGATTGGTGGAATATCGCCAGAGATGGATATTTGTGAGGGTCTTACCAATTTCATCCGGATCAGCGTTCACAAAGGACGCAATCTTGGCATATTGAGCAGCACGTTTCTTGACATCAATCATACTAGTTGAATCTTGTCCGCGAAGATTCATATGAGGATGAGACATGGTCTTAGTAATGCTGTATTCAAGTCAGAAGGTTGGAGGTACTCGAAGTGCAATCCTTACCTCTCAATGGCCCCCCTGTACACCAACGATCCAGCGCCATTGTTGAGGCAGATGGAACCCTTGTTCAGGCCGGGAAATTGTCTCCGCACTGCTTCGGTTGCCAATTGTGGAAGACGCCTGCTGATTGCCATGACTAAGGGGATAATGAATATCGAGAAAAGAGCAAAGCCAGACCGGGAAAGACGGCGAGTTTCAAAGCAGAATATATTCCTCTTCAGTATATCCACTCTTCTGCGTTGCGACCCTTTCGGGATGTAATGACTCTGGCGAGTTGCACGCCCGACACACACTGCAGCTTACCCTGTTCTTTCAATCTTATCAGGTCAGCGAATGGAAGCGAGCATTGAAGAGCCACGTTTTCTCTTGTCGCTTTCAAATGGTTTGTCTTTATTCCCCACTGGTACTTACAAGGGCGCCCAGTTTTCATGTCATAAAACTCATGTTGTACCTGACTTTGTAAAGTAGTCGATCAGGTTTATAGAACTCCTGTATGAGATGAATCCTAGTATTGGACCAGAATCATAAAATTGAGCGACATAATCGTCGCGCAACTGGGGGGCATCATGGCGACAGAGTCAGTCACCAGTCACAAGCAAGACATTACCTTTAAGATTGCAATGAATTGGCTTATAAGAAGTCCCCAAGGGCGCTCGATAAACTACCACATCTACAACAGGCCTGGGTCACATCGACACTGTGTTATCGCCCTAGCGACACCTTGACAGGGGGCCTTTACTTGATTCATCAGTTATTCGTTTATCTCCGTCACAATTCGGCAATCTATGGAGAGGAGGTTATGCATCAGGCTCAAAATATTTGTTCGACTCCGCTCCGTCTGATGTTAAATTGGCAACCCTCTCAGATTCACCAGATCAAGAGCACCACGCGCCGGAGCTGACGCCGACGGTCCGACCCTCCAACTTATCAGCGACGAAGCCACCTGCTGCTTGTCTCAGCGATCAACCATAATCCAACCTGTAAAAAAGGTCTTCTGGAGAGCCAGCCTATGGGAGCACGATATCAATCCACATGGTCCTGAATTTCAGCTCATTTTCATGCCTAAGTGGAGTCGGTGTGTTCGATATTGCAGTCAATGAAAGTATTGCATTGTGTCTGCAGCAGAACCAAACCGTCACCTTGCAGGCTGACAATCTCACAAATCGGTTCCACGCGGGGTTGAGATCTGATACGGGTCTGGCTGTATTTGGATGTTATTCGGCTTTCAAATACACTGAAACATCCCACCTCTGGCAATATGTCCAACAATCCCATAGAACTTACCATAACCACAAATACCGGATACAATGAACCAGTTCATGAAGCAGCGCGGCATCATTTACCGCCACGGGAGAGACACGCATATATATGTAATGCACTATGACCCATCACATTGGCCATCGACTTGCAGTACGACATGCAATGCACCTCTAGTGGGCCTCTTTTATATGCGGAGAATAACATTTTAGCACTAGGGCGGTCCCGCGTGAAACAAACCCTCTAGTGAGATCCCAAGCAAGATTGGCTCTGGTGGAGTAGAGTCTAAATTAGGAATTATATCTCCAGGTCCATGTCTTATTCCCCGAGACTAGACTCATCCATCAACCGCATCACGACATCACTTGCTAGCCGGGTCTCACTGTCTCTACTCCTCTTCAAGTCAAAGGATAGAGCCTACCTGTTGTTTCATGATGCATATTGAGTCTGCCAATGCTGACCTGCAAGACTTACTTTTACGACTTGCACGCTATTTTAGTGCCAACGAGACCAGAATCTCGGTCGCAGAAGCCTCTACGTGCTTTCTACGTCTTCCACTAATTGATTCCACCGCCCTGGTTCGCCTCTTTCTTCTGTTGTGTCCGTCCTGTGAGTCGCCCTCTTCGACATGATGTGTCAGTTCTGCATATACCAGGGCTTGGCATAGACACAAGGCATGGGGTAATTTTCGCTAAAAATTTCGTAGTTCAGTCGGTGTTGTCGCAACAGGGAAAACCCTCTGAGACGTCCACAATAACGACAAACAGGCCCGAAAGCTCCAACCGTGCCAGAGGACTGCCTGAGCCTCCTGCATCGCCTCCCGACCCCTCTACACAGCCGAACTCTGAAGGCGACAACGCATTCAATGCATATGGTCGCTGCCAATCGAAAAATTCCACTTCCACTAATGATGAGACTCAACCGACGTCACAGCCAGGCCCTATCGTGGATGCCACGGTGAGTCAAGTAATGGGAGGTGTTGAAAGCCTAAACATACCTGGGCCTAGCATTCCAGAGCAAACGTCATTGTCTCCGCAATGCAGCTTGGTTGAGTTGGCTCCTCCCGTATTGGGCGAACTGACAGTACATCCCACCGACACGACATGCCATTCACCCACCTCCAGTGATGATGCCGTTGACAAAACCCGATTGGCCTCGTGTAACGACGTTGCCTTCACACCAACCCTGAGACAGCTTTTGGAAGACTGCAAAACAGATCGTGGCTTGTTTCTCCGCAAGGTCGAGGAATCTCAAGCAGCACTCCCTAACGGACAAGGCTGGCAAGCCGCGATAGCGACCAAGCAAGACAATGCCGATATGCGCGACTTATTAAGCATTTACCACAGGTTTGAATGCTATAACATCTACAGACACGTGGTAGATGCTGGCTATCATACGGGAGAACACTGGATTCGAGACAAGCGTCAGGAGCTAACCAAGAAGCTTTGTGATGACTTCCCCGAGCGATTCGAGAACGCCAAGGCAGCCAACAAGTGCCTGAACTGGGTCGATCAGGGTTGTAAATATCATGAATGGACCAAGGCGTTTAGTGAAGACCAAGAGCTAGGCTTTCTCGTTGCGTTGCCATCAGAGATACCGCGTTCAGCGTATGCCCCCATTCTCAGATCATCGGGTCATGTCTCACAGATGATTACCTTGCAGGTACACATCCAGATGCACAAAGGAACAGATGAGTGCAGCTGCTATGAGATTCACGGCTCTTGGAATCTGTGAGCTTGTGAAAAGCTTGGAGCTTTCTGAGTTGGGCAACCATATCGCACAAAGGGTCAAGGACATGACGACCAGGCAGAGACATTGTACTGATGGTAAGCTCGCCCGGCTGCTACCCTTCATAAACTCTCCATGATCTAATTAATGAATCTTTTAGCACCCGAGCGACACATTCATCGTTCCTGCAGACCCCCCGGGTTGATGCCTTCTTTGAGTACACCTGCAATTATACAGTCAGATCAAAGTACGCCACGCACCGCGGTGACACTTTGTGATGATATAGAGATGATGGATGATACTACATTCATGACTGAATTTATGCTACCAAACGACACTTGGAACAATTGTATGTCCTCTTGCTAATGTGCTAATCCGTGCTGACCGAATCAGATCAGTTGAGCTGCTCTACCTACTTGGACAATTTCATGGACAGTCAACTCACTGCCTTTACACTCCCTCTTGAGGAATGGTACCCGACTTGTATGGAAATAGAGAGCCAGAACGCAAGCTAGGACACGGTTGCCCATTCATCCCATTTGGGGTCATGTTCAAGAGTGATTTTCAGAAAAGGTGTTCAAAAGGTGATCAATTTCAGTAACATTAGGAGACACAGAACTAAAATCAAAGCTGATACACTACAATCAAGCATGAGTGGCCCCAAGATAATCCATCCGACCAGTTAGCATAGCCCCGTGCTGTCCCGCGTCCAGACTCTCCTCTCTGAAAAGTGCGTATTTCTGGTTGTGCCACTCCACGCTGTTGATCTCCTTACCATCGTGGGTCTTGAATCTGGCGTCAAACTCGGGCCGCAGGAAGTATATGACGGAGAACTTGTCCTGCCCGGCAGAATCGGGCGGCGGGACCACGCGATGAAGAGATGAGGCCAGTTTGCCACTCGACATGAAGCGCAGAGAGTCTCCAACGTTTACTACGGCATGGCCCTCTCGTGGTGGAATGAAAGACCATTCTTCACACCCAGGCAGCAGGGCTTGTAGACCATCAGACTTCGAAAAGACAACCGTCAAGGTTCCCATATCTGTATGGGCCATGTTGCCAATTCTCTCGTCACTGCTGCCCCAGGGCAAGTAGTTCAGCATTGCCATGTTGGCCGAAGAGGGCTTGTCCTTTCTGTGATATTGCTTCAAGTCACATGGCAGCTGCAGGGCTTCTGACAAGATGGAGAGGATACAATCGGTGTAATCGTTAATTTCGGCCAGGAAGGCTTTAAAGAGAGCCAGGTTGTCGTCGATAGCTTGAGGGACGATCATGGCATCGTCGCCAAACATTCCGTTGTTGTGGATCTGACAAAGATTAGCTTATGGACTTTGACGGGAGAAGCAAGTGGAACAGGATACATACTGAAAAGCTCTCATAGCCGTCCTTCTTGCCAGCGAATGGTCCCACAGAACATCCGGCTCGCTTGTACCTGGAACATCCCGTTCAGCTAAAGCATCTTCATAGAAGAAAAAAAGACCATACCCTAAGAGCCGCGAAGGCAAATACTTCTCTGTGCTGTACTCCTCTTTCTCTTCCAATGGCAACTTGAAAACCGACTTTCCAATAACAGCGAGCTCTTCAACCAACTTCAAGATATCGCATGTAGACGGATGGCGGAAATCAAGGTAGAAGAATCCATTAGTCTTACAAGAGGTCACGAGATCGTTGATAGAATCAGTTTGGCCAGCGAGTAGCCCAGCCAGCGAGACTGATGTAAGAGAAGCTGTCTTAGTCGTTTCAACAGTCATTGTAACGGTAACTGGTCGTCGAGTAGGTATAAGGGATCCAGATGGTGATTTTGACGAGGAATATTGACCTTCAAATACTTGTTCTGAGTTCTCGTCAATCTTTGTTCTCTCAAACATCCCTAGTGAATCAAAGGGTAGCGCCTTGACGGATTACCCTTTGGAACATCATACGTACATCACTCTGCTGCCACCTCGTGTTTGGTTACTTCTTGGCTCTAATCCTCCTCCTGTAGTCCCGGTCTAGGGTCACATTTTACTCAGGTGCAATAAGACTGCGACCCCACCACACGCACGTCTAAATCGGTTCTGAGGATTACTTATATGAAGACATTTCAGTGGTCGATGGCATATCAGTTCCGCCCCATTCACTTCTTGATAATAATTTTGAGGAAAGTCAATTCTGAGTTTTAGTGTCCGCCACTTTTCATCTCGGCTTTCATCCCGGTTTTCAGACACGCACATATACCGGAGTGCTTAATGTCTTTTGAACATCGTCATTTATACTGCTGATAACGATTTATCCACCACAAAATGAGAACAATCAACACCAAGGACTTCAATGCACTGAGCTTAGCGCAGCCGACTGACTTCAAGTCGATGCTGTCCTCTGGCACAATCCTCTGGGGCACGGGCTGTCGAATCCCACATGAAGAAGCAGCGCGGATAGTCGCCTCAACACCATATCACTTTTGCTTCATAGATGCTGTAAGATGTCTATCGCTCAAAGAAGAGACTTAAGCCATTGACACGTCAAAAAGGAGCACACACCACTAAACGCGACACTACTTGTGAACTTGATTCGGACAATTCAGTACCACTCCAACGGATCGATGGTACCTGTGGTTCGCTTCCCCGGCTGCTCACCAGAGCTAGTCCCTTATGCTCTGAATGCGGGCGCAGGTGGAATAATTATGCCTCATGTGCAAAATGCGAAGCAGGCGGAGGAACTGGTTCGGCTGTGCAGATTCCCACCCATGGGCGACCGCAGTTTCCCTCCAGCCGCCTTAATCAACGAGCAGCAGAACAGAACACCAAAAGGCCAGTCTACCTACGATGTTTGGAATAATCATGCAGCTGTCATATGTCAAATTGAGGATCTAGAAGGATTAGAGAACATTGAGGACATCTGCAAAGTTCCTGGTAGTACGTACCACTGTCCATCGAGAGGATTACAAGTCTTATTCTCTCGTGCCCCATCTTCAAAACCTTCCAGATGCTGACATTTCAATTTGCAGTTGACGGTCTATTCATTGGAACTGGCGATCTACGGCTATGTATGGGACTAGCCACAGGAAGCCTCGACGGCGACGAGCCAGCGTTTGTATCCGCCCTCGCCAGGATACGGGATGCTGCCAAGGCTAACAATCTCCCCATGATGGGATTTGGCATTTCGCACTCCACATTAAAGAGCAGGATCGCCATGGGATGGAATGCTTTTATTATTCATGGGGACATTGACGCCATTACTAAATCGGCCATCGAGGCTTTGGACTCATATGGTGGTGTTGCCTGTAGTGCTCTCTCGCAAGGTCATAAAAATGGTCGTAAGAGGGAATGGAATGGTGATTGATGTGGAGATAAGGTCTTTCGACACAGGAAATAGCTTGTTTGAAATTTTTTATTTCTCGATCTCTGGACGTTATGAGACGTGACAACTGGGAACGAGACTGCTCTGTCTTGTTACCTGATCCAATATTCTCACCCACTCTACTAGTCGTTAGCCTTTAAACTGCTGTATTCAATTTTGTAATGTGACAATAGTCTCATATTGACGGGCTCTGTATAATGACTTACAGTGCTCCAGCTGTACTATTGGTAAGGCACCCATATGCACTCGCAGATTAATTTTATGTTGCCTCAAGCTTAAATACCCTGGATGCCCCAGCTCACCTGTCCTCTCTGAAACCCCGCAACCAACCCATGTCATCGCAAGCCCCGAACTTAAAGTCACCCATTTCATCAACATGCATCTTCAGCACAAGACCCTACCCGATGACATTCTCTTCTCCAGATTTCTCAAACTAGCCACCGAAAAGGAAAACCAAGTCATTGTTGATGATTACAGCCATAATACGCAATTTGGCTACCGTCACATTCTCCACGGCACTTCGAAACTGCTTCAGAAGCTACAGAGCCTTGACGAGCAGCCTTTGGGTCATGATGGCAATATTTACATCGGCGTTCTGGCACCAAATGGCTATGAGTTTATCGTCGCTGTCCTTGCTGTTCTAGCTTTTGGTGGAGTAGTTGTTCCCATGCGTAGGTCTTCTCCCCGTACATTGAGGATCGCATAGCAACTAACAAAGATCAAAATAGCTACAGGCGCTCTTCCCTCAGAGGCGGCATATATGCTCCAACAGTGCAACGCAAGCTATCTCCTCGTTGGCCCCGAGCAAGTAGACCTCGGAAAGAGAGTCCAAGAGGAATTCAGCATTCCTACCTTTTTAATTGAGAGCCAAGTTCAAGATGCTGGGGATTTACAACCTACCAAAGTATATACCCTCGATCCATCCCTGGCAGTAGATGAGGATTGCCCGAGTATCTTGTTCTTCACTTCAGGTACCACTGGGCCCCCAAAGGGTGTCCTTCATGCTCGCAAAACCATCAACAAGTATGCTCGAATGGCAGAAGCAGGGACCAATGATGACATCTGTCTTATACCCAGCGGAGCCTTTTGGTCCGTTTACTTCACCAGAGTTTTCCAGATGCTTTTGACTGGAGTCCGCATCGAGATCCAGAATTTTGGACGCAACTATAACCTCATATGGGATAAGCTTCGCGAGAAGAGTGCAACAAAGATTGTCTTATCGCCTACCTTCTGGTATGGTATGATGCACTACTACCAGGAGAGTATTTCAAAGCTACCTGAACCGGTTGTTACAGAGTACATTGATGGCGTCCGGTACCTCCGCGATGCTTGTGCAACAGGCGCTATGCCTTCTGCTAAGTTGAAAGAGTTCTGGCAGAACTTACGCGGTGGACGGCCACTTAAGGTGCTTTATGGATCTACTGAGACTCAAGAGATATCGGTCTGCGATGGCGATCTGGAGATCACGGAGGTAAGACGAACTATAATTGAGATTGTAGCTTTCGCTGATATTCGGCAGAATGACCTTGGAAAGCCTCTTCCAGGTGTTACGGTTAAGCTAGATGGCGACGAAGGGGAACTACTCGTAAAGACGTCCTCTCTATTTCTTGGGTTTGTTTCTTAATCAATTTTTCTGTGAGCCATTACTGACATCCATGCAGGTACTTGAATTTTCCGGAGGCTACTGCTAAACGCTTCGATGCGGACGGATTTTTCAAGACAGGTGATCTAGTTACCCGTCAAAACGGAAAGTTCATCTTCCAAGGAAGGGCAAACATGGACTGTGCGTGGCTCTAGCTTTCGCATTGTTACACATGGAGAAATGGCTAACTTATTTTGCGCTTATAGTGTTCAAATTCTATACCTACAAGGTCCCCCGGCCGCAAGTCGAAGCAGTATTGACAGCACTCCCTTACATCCTCGAGGGCTACATCCTACCAGTAGAGGATCCCCACTGCGACACCCGAGTTGCAGCCCTTGTGCGCTTTCATGGTGGTGTGGAAAAGGTCAATCTGGATAAAATCAGACTAGACCTGTCTCAAGACCTCCCGGCGTATCAACTCCCCACCTTACTTCGCGTATTGGGAAAACACGAATCAGTTCCACGGACTTGGTCAGACAAACTGGCAATGAGGAAAGTTATTCAACAATTCTTCCCGCAAGACAGTAACGATCGGCTTATCACGGATGGTATACAAGTCACTGACATCAGTGAGTTCATGCGCAGGAAGACCACAAAGCTATGGGACTTATCGGGAATGCGACAGTAAGCTCTCAGTCAGGCTTTTCTTTTGTTCAGATGATGAGCTGAAACATGGCGGTGGATACGGATGTATGCAATACTCTCTTTATTGATAATATATTTGACAAGACCATCCAGGCACTACCCCCTTGCCAGACCATGTCCCACTATCGCTGATTATACAGGAGGAAGCTTCAGAAGCTCTTCGATGCACTCCTGCATGATGCCAAGCGACCATCGAATCTGATCTTCGGTAACAACCAGAGGTGGAGAGATTCTTATGATGCCTGTCCGGCTAGACTTGAGCTGTCCGTACGTCAGTAAACTTGAATAAACTCGATTCCGGGGGGTAATACCAAAAGGCCCTTCTCCTTCATCATCTCGCAAAGGTAAATACCGGTGTATCCATTTGTCTTGGACTGATCAATCACCATGGCATTGAGCAGACCTCTGCCCCGGACTGTCTCGATAATTGAAGTCTTGGCCTGGATCTCCCTCAAACCGTCACGCATGACATGGCCAAGTCGCTCAGCATTTTCTGCTAGCTTCTCCTCCTCGACGACTTGGAGAGCGCGCATCGCCACGGCCGCGCCGAGTGGATTGCCACCATACGTCGACCCATGAGTTCCGGGCTCGACAGTGAGCATCACCTCGTCGTTGCCCAGCACACACGAGACAGGATACATACCACCCGTCATGGTCTTACCCAGAAGAACCATATCCGGTTTAATGCCACTCCAGTAGTGGCCGAGAAATTTTCCGGTTCGTCCAATTCCAGTTTGGATCTCGTCGCAGATCAAGAGAACGTTGTTCTGGTCGCAGAGTGCTCTTGCATATTGAAGGTACTCATCGTCAGCTACAATAACGCCTGCATCTCCTTGGATCGGCTCGATGATAAAGGCGGCAAGGTTGGATCCCGCGGCTTCGAATGCTTCTAGGAGTGCGGCTTTGTTGTTGTACTCGATATGACGGTTGGTTCCAGGAATGGTACAGCTGATGTTTGGGTCGAGTGGACCATACAGATCACGCGACATGGAGTCCGAGGCGAGAGCAATGGTAGCCAGCTACAAATGTTACTTCACCTATCAGTGAGTTGGGTTAGATGTTACTCACCGTTCGCCCATGGTGGTTCCCAGCAGCGCCTAGAACAATAGCGTGGTTCTCTGGAACACCCTTAACCTTGTATGCCCATTTTCGAGCAATCTTTATCGCCGTCTCGGAAGCTTCGGCACCTGTACTCGCAGGTAGGACTCTGTCATATCCGAAAAGCTTGTTCACCAGCGCAGCAAACTGAGGATAGATGTCGTTGTGGAACGCGCGGGACGTCAAAGTCAGCCGCGACGCCTGCTCAACAAGGGTAGCGACAAGCTTGGGATGGCAGTGACCATGGTTGAGAGCCGTCGAGGCAGCGTGGAAGTCGAGATAGTGACGACCTTCGGGATCCCAGACAGAAGCTCCTTGGGCGTGGGAAAATACAATAGGCAGTGATTGATAGTTTTTGGCCGAGTATGTCTCTTCGGCTTTGAGAGCATCTTGACTGCTTCCTCGGGTGGAAGATACCGGCGTTTTTCCATTAGTATAGGTTCCGTTGGTATATGTGCCATTAGTTTTGGTAGACATGCTGATCGAGAGGTAGTGAAATGCTATTCGAAAAGATTGGTGAGATGTTGAAATTGTTTCTCCGGCCAAGGAAGTATGTGGGAAATCCAAAAGCTTAGACAGCGCTCTTTTATAAGCCATCAAGTGCAGGAATTTAGAAGGCCCAGATCATATGACCTTTAAGAATAACAATCTCATTCAGGTTAATCTACCTACACATCGATCTTATCGCTTCTTCTGATCTCTCTCAAAGTACCCCCTCACTTCATCAAAGAACTCGTCGTTAGTTAACACATCCCATCCCGTCATAGCCATCGCCTTTCCAGACAGTATCGTCCTCTCATACGCGACAGCAGTTCCTGCAGCCTTCGTGAATCCAGCCGTATGGTTCTTAGATCCATCATCTGCAGGGATTCCGATAACAGCGTGAAGAGCTGGAACAGCATAAGAAACATTGCCTTGGTCTGTAGCCGCAGCAACGGGCCCATCGGACTTCATTACTTTGATACCGTTGGCAGCTATATGTTGCTGAAATGAGCTGCACAACGCGTCGTTGATGCGCAGATCCGCGTACCCAGGCTTATCCTCTACTTCCAGCTTGCAACCCGTGGCGAGCGCGCCAGCCTCCAAGCACTGACGGATCCTACCGGCAAGGTCTTTCGCACCTCGAATTGTAGGGCTTCTGGCCGTGTACTCTGTTTTTGTGAGCGCTGGTATCGCGTTTGACGAGGGTTTGGGTGCTTCAACGATGGCGCCATGAATTCTTTCCGAAGGCAATATCTGCTGCCTCAGCATAGACACATTGAGATAGGCCGATACCAGAGCGTCGAGAGCGTTGATGCCCTCCCACGGTGTGGCTCCAGCATGCGCGCTGACACCGTGATAGATACCTTCCAAGCTGTAAGACGCGACATTCGAGAATCCTGCAGTGCCCAAGAAGCCTCTCTCTATGTACTCATGATCTGACATTGGATGCCTTTACTGTTAGTTCGTCCATCTATTCACGTATAGTGACATGTGAGGGTAAAATGCTTACATCATGAGCGAAACGTCCACTTTCTCATACGCACCAGCATTGAGAAGAGCAATCTTCCCGCCCCCATCCTCCTCGGCTGGTGTACCAAGGAGCTGGACACGTCCGTTAATCCCAAACTTCTCCAGTACGTGTGCGAGAGCAAGGAATCCAGTCACGCTGGCTGTCGCAATGAGGTTATGGCCACAGGCATGCCCCAGCCCTGGGAGTGCATCGTACTCGGCGTTAAAATTGACAATCCTTCCGCCCTTCCCATGAATGACTTCGAATGATGTTTCTATGCTGTAAGCATGTCTCTTCACTTCATAGCCAAGGTACCCCAAGAGATCACAGATAGAATCATGGGCCTTGTGCTCCTTGTAGGCCAACTCCGGGTTCTCATGTATCTTTATTCATATCCAAGTTAGCATTCCAGACAGCAGCTATAATTGCATAAGCATGCCACTTACAAAAGTGTTGAGGTTTCTGAGTTTTGGCTGAAGTGTCAGAACATAATCGGCGATTGCTTCACGCACGGTTTCCTTCGATGGCAGCGTTGAGGGACCGTTGGCTGCCGTCTTGTCCAAGTTGACCAAAGTACGCATTGCAGAGATCATAATGTGTTTAGTGATGGGAACTAGTGAGGCTTCAGGTTTGTTTTCAAGGAGGAGGGGGCTGTTTAATAGTGACGGCCAAAAGCATGATCTATGGATCCAATGTCACATCACAAGGGCTTGATTGCTTGATAGGTGGTTAGTTTGATACTAAGCTTAACAGGTTTCCATCGGGGGGTTCCATCCACCCAAATGCTTCCCGTTCAATCCCTAAAAGCCCAACTCAAATTGAGTCAACGATACATGTGGCTTTACAGCCACTTACATTGATCTTCACCGCTTCTTTCTATATACAGTCTATATTTACACGCCGTCAGTGCCCCTTTTGCTTCATGTTTATGATTGTCTCTGTTTCCATCCGGCTCAATATACAGTCATATCATTCGTGGCATCTGCCATACTTGTCGCAAATTCCACATACCACAAGCTGGCAGCATGATGACGGTTATCCCTGTATTGCGTGCTTCTCGCCTATCCATACGCCGGTCACTCCCTATCTTTGGCCTCAGACACTCTTCGTCACGCAAGGCCCTCCAACGTCTCTGGGTACATTCGCTGGAACGCAAAGATATCACCTCATCGCACCATCATGCCGGTCAGATGGTTGAACTACCTAAGGATGATTCCTTGACAAAACTAACCCATACTGAGATGAACAACGCTCCTCTTTCAATCCTTCCTCTGAGGATGATCATTCGTTCTTTGTTCATTACATCGATATCTTCCTCTACTGCGCTCCAGGCCGCCATTATCCGAACGCTGTTAATCCTGGCTCACGCGGAGATTGCAATTTTCAATCCTGACAGAAACCCTATTCTTCACCTCCTCCTCAAAAAGACCTTTTATGCTCAGTTTTGTGCAGGTGAGACGCCTGCCGAAGTCCGCTCGACAATGGCAAGTCTAAGGGACATTGGCTTCAGTGGAGTCATTTTAACCTATGCAAAAGAGGCTGTCTTGAGCGAGGTAGAAGCAAACGTCACTGCTGGGTACGAATCGAGTACGGAGACTACTCATGACATCACTAGTGAGATTGAACCTTGGACAAAAGGTACACTCGAAACCATTAAGCTTGCTGGCCCGGGTGATTATGTGGCCCTCAAATTGACTGGTTCTGGCCGCATGGCTATGGACAACCTATCTCAAGACAAAGGACCTTCTCCCCACCTCAAGACGTCAATGCACAACATCTGCACTCTAGCCCAGCAACGGGGTGTTCGACTCATTTTTGATGCCGAACAAGATGCTTTCCAAAACGGAATCGACACATGGACCATGGCATTCGCCCGCACCTACAACACTGCCGAGACTGCCACTGTCTATGGGACCTACCAGGCCTACAGAAAGGTCACGCCAGCTACCATATCACGTCACCTCGCTGAAGCGCAACAGGGTGATTTCACCCTGGGCGTGAAGCTGGTGCGTGGTGCGTACCTTGGGTCTGACCCTCGCGAATGCTTTCACGATACCAAGGCAGAGACAGATACCTGCTACAACACCATTGCCGCTGATGTTCTTAGGCGTCAGTGGGGTACGTTCACGACAGGCAAGGGAGCCTTTCCCAATGCCCATGTAATTCTTGCAACTCATAATGCCGAGTCTATTCGTCAGGCTCGTGTAATTTGTGATGCTGGAAATGCGAAATCAGGAATTGTTTTTGCTCAGCTTCAGGGTATGGCTGATGAGGTTAGCTGCGAGCTCATCAAATCGAACTCGGACGCCAAGTCAGTTGTCTTGCCCGCTTATAAGTATCTAGTCTGGGGAACTACCGGCGAGTGTATGAAGTATCTTCTGCGCCGAGCCTATGAGAACCAGGATGCTGTACAACGCACACATAGTGGCCGTAATGCGATGTGGGTTGAACTTGTTCGGAGAGGTAAAAGGGCTGCTGGTTTTGCCACCTGAGGTCTGTAACAGGAGAGGCTTACTTTATACATATATTGCATCAATTAAAATGATAAGCTTAGCATCACAGTCTGGTTTCCAATCAAGGTAGTCTAGAGATGAGCTTGAAAAATGGCGTGGGTATGAAATTTCTATTCCTAATCAGTGACGCAAATATGACTGCGACAGAAAATGCTGGGACCTCGTACTCCATATTCTATAAGCTACTGCACAGTAGCCGACCTCTTGTCAGAGTTTTATAATCTTGTCCATGTTGTCATGAATCTCGTCGTCGCTCAAACGCATCAAACCGCATGCAGATGATGATAACAGCACCGGGCAGCAATATGAACATAGCTATGAACCAATGTAGCCCAAGCCACATACCACCCCAGCCCATTCCCAGCCTGAAACCCTCAGCCATCACCGGCCCAGCCACGACGGCGCTGATCGCGTTCAGAACCTCGACTGCCGAAAGCACGGCACCTGCACCAGCTCCGTGCGCCATAGCCAGCAAGAGACTTCGTAGAGCAGGATTCAGGCAGAAGTTGACTGCTGACATGATGATTGCGCTGACAAACATGATCAAGTTGTCGGCAAATCCAGCCATGCAATAGGCGATCACAAGAATGACCAAGCATGTTCGAGCGATCCATACATCTTGCTTGATAGCTGATATGTTGGATTGTCGCATTACCCTTTGAGCATAGGGCAATGCGCCAAGACACAGACCTAACTGGGCGAAACTTTTCATGGATGTGATAAATCCAGCCTATTAACACATTAGTCCTGTTCCACCGTGCAAGGATGGCAACCTTACCTCGGGCCAGGACAGATGGAATCTCTTAGCCGCATATTGCTTCGTGATGATTGATCCGATATCCTCTCCCACATCTATGAAGAGTAGACTGAGAACGAAAAGTGTTATTGTGGTATCGGACCAGAAGATATCGCGCAATGATTGGAATGATTTCGTCAATAGCTCTTGACTCCCAGACCGGATGTTTGCCGTCATAGAGCGGCGGTCGCGAGGTCTGTCGGCATCAGATTCCTCATTCTTCACGACCAGCGTTTCAGGTATGAAAAAGGTTGTGACAAGTCCAAGAACTTGAAATCCCAGCGCAATGGAGATGGCGTACCATTCTCCAATAGGCATAAGGTAATAAGTTGCGGGCCCGCTGATGAGCGTCCCAACTACCAGTCCAGTTGACAAAACGACAAATACACCAGACCTTGGAAGTTTTGTTAGCGGTTTTTATCATATTGTTTAGCTTCATGCGAATATACCTTCGTGACTCTGGTACTGAATCGCTCGCCATTGCGTAGACCATCATAACTGGCACCAACGGCCCGCCGCCAATGACAGATACAAGTGGCACTGCCAAAAGCAGGCGCATCGGGAATATCTCAGGCAACCAGCCTAAACAAATGGATTAGATCCGATCTGATACCTCACATCTTCCGACAGGTGGACGTACAGATAACAAGATTGACTAAACCATATATAACACATCCCATTGTTGCTATGATGAGCACAGGCTTGCGGCCGTAAACATCTGCTGCTAACCCATACGGTATGCTAAATATTACTGTCGGGAGTAGCTCGAACGTAGCCTTCATACTGAGCAATATGGATAATTCCCCCTGCACAGACTCGTTTTTGCAGCGTGGATCTGAAGTCGGATCGGTCGTGTCGTGGTATTGTCGGCAGAGAATTCCTTCTAGAATCTGGCTTAGAATTGTATTAAACATTCCTGGCGACAGCTTCAGGAAAATAAACGACAGATATCCCAACGCAAGCAGAGTAAAATGTTGTCGCAAAGGGTTGGGCTCGTTGACGACGACTTCATTCTGCTCCTCGACGCACTGATCTTGCGGCTGCAGAAGAAGCTCCTGCTCCTCGACGAAGGCGTCGCGACTCGGCACGGGAATGGCGAAACGACGCTTTGCGCGACTGGGGACTGAAAAGCCATGCTGAGGTGTCATGGCTGTATTTGCGCTGGTCGTTGTCGCAGCTAGGTTTCGTTGGCGTAAGCAGAGTGAAGTGGGAGGGATTAGCAAAGTCCCCGCAGGCAAGGGCTTTTTGTTATATTTGTATGGGTGGCTGTAATCACGCGCAGCGCGTCACACACCCCTCCATTCCGGATGCAAGTCGTCACAGGGTGATTGGGCTGACCGTCTGCGGATTCAGTGTGCGGTTTCATGTGAAACAGGGCGTCGGGGACACTTGTGGCCTTAAGCTTATCTATAGCTACAGCTCGTCTTGTCGAAATTGGTAACTCAACTTGCACAATTATAGGGTGAGGTACTTCAGAGTACATACAAACTCAATTCCCAGCAAACACGTCATACACATCGTTTGTGTAGCTCTCAGCCTTTTCCGTCACCACAGAAAAACTCACTATAATAGTCAACTTCTTACAGTTCATATCTTTAGGACTATCAATTCTAACACAGCTCAAGTCAACCTTTTAATGTCGAAGAGCCCGGAGACCATAGCTAACGGTTGAAAGTTTTTACTACTGAAAATTATCGTTTTATATGCTTTATCCTATTATCTAGGGTATTTCTTTCTTTTACTTTAACAGTACCACTCCTATTCTTCGTTCGGGCTATAAAATTATGCCTCCGCTAAAAATAGAACGTGGTAAGTCTGTCAACTACCATTCGCTCAAAAGACCACTTTAGTAGCCCACTTGTAAGATCACCAATACCGATCATAGCTCCCAATAAATCATATATCAAACCGGCTTATTAGCAATTAATTGAAGAGCCCTCTTAATTGATCTCGAGGATTCATGTTTGAGTTGATCTGATTGATCTGAATTGAGTTGGCGATGGGTCTTATCTTATCGATAAGGCTCGTCGCAAGATGAAAGATTAGATAAGATTCCTTCAATTTTCCTCTGGGGGTGAGATAGCTACCCTATACACGAGTAGAACATTGGTGAGTAACCTTGTTGAATTATACATATTGTCGCTTTTCGGTCTGTGTAAAAATCACTATTGTTAATATTTCTCTGGGTTCAATTAGGAGAGCTGGATCTCTTTTTTTCAAAGGGTGCTACCCGACTTCATATATATACGCGTAAAATATGCCTCATAATTGGATCAAGGTTGGCATAGTCCACTGAAGTCCCAAAACCGACACAAAATAGCACTTGGCCAAAAATCATTCACACTTTGCAAATTAATTTATTGATAGTAAAACTCTTCCCAATATACCTGAAATGCGGTAAGATTGCTCGGAAAGGGGGGATCAGACTCCCTAAAAATAATGGTACACGAATTGTCGCAACTAATCATCTCATTATCTTCCTTTACTGCCCTAACGAAAGGGCACACTTCTCGCTTGTGACGAGAGGCTCTGGCAATTACTGAAAGAATCGTTTAGAAGACTAGCACTATTAATGACTTATGGAAGAATATTAGGATTACTAATATCTAAAGATGGATTCCAACCCAATCTGCGAGTACGATCCTTGAAGTGCAACCATTCCAAACTTGAGATTACAGCACTATCCACCTTTGACCAACACAACGTCGTTTACATAAAAGTTGAGTCGCTCACATTTGCCCATGATCAAGACACTCGGCCCAGCGTCCAAAGCAGCCTGAGCCCACGAGCACAGTACCCATGTACCCAGATCCCCTCCAAAGTTGGACAGGCCGAATACGGCGTTGTCCGTGCCACATCGGAGTTGCTGGTTTGAGAAGCCGCTTCTCAATGTTGTCTTGACAAATGCGGAGAATTGGTAGTCAGTGTCGGTTTCAATGAGAGACGAGTCGATGATGAGTCAAATCAATATACAATGTCCAATTCTAATAGATTGTTTGAAGCCCATGACTGCAGGGCCTCCTGGGTCACCGGTCATGTAGCCAGACTGACTATGTACCTTTGTGAAGGTCGGATGTGGAAATAGAAATGATTCCACCACTTCGAGGTCGTACCCAGGGCGCGATGGTGTCTTTTTCGAAGTCAAGATCAACGCAGGAGGTTCATAGGCTTCTGTGGGCCACTTGACGTTGTTGCTTAGCATGTGAGGTTGTGGCGTTGACAACGGAAGCCTCGGCGGTAAGGAAAACTAATGAAAAAAAAACCATCGAAAGCACGATTAATTCTAATATGAAGTTAATTTGACTATAACGGGCTTAGTTTACTAAACTATTGATTTCAGCTGGTGTTATTGAAATATCCCTGTGCTTGAATGGATCTGGGGACCAATCGTTAACGAAGGGTAAAGGGTAGGTATAACCATTTAGTAAAAAACCTTACTGAAGTTAGAAAATAAACTCTCTACTACCTCACCGAAACGTTGACTGCTGTAAGTTGTTAATTTGTCGTAAATATGGTCTCAGGCACCCACTTCTCTCAGGCTCTGACCGAGCTTCCTCACAACTATATCACTGTTTCTATTGTTAATGTCATTGAGAGATTTGGAAAGTCTGGGCTTAATAAAGTTAAAGGTTAAAATAAGAAAAAACTAAAAAGAATCTTTGTTTCACTTATTGCGTACCTGACCTCTCGGTGCAACCCAACTTGGAAGGCACACGGCACGCGGCACGGCACGCCACATCACATGCCATATGTAGCTAGCAGACGAACCAGGGTTGAAGCTCGCATGATCTCGACAGCATTTTATTTCCGCCCTACACACTAACCAACCACTCTCCTCCCAGAGGCATGGCTGTTAGTCTATTATGGTACATTTTGTAGAGAAGCCCATGTGTAATATTTCTCTCTATAGCCAGGTTTGAGAGAGGATAAATTTTAGTCTTTTGGTAAGGAAAACGTAGTTTACGGAGTAAAGTTTAGGTACCCGATACTATTGACATTGAGATATACCAGCTACTCAACATTTACTCGGGCTTGACCAGTATTAAATTAAATCTCTTGTACTACTACATCTGCCAGAAATCGGCCACAACGGCCATTCTAGTGGTAACAAGCTTTTTATTCTCGCAAATTAGTGTTAATACATTTCTAGAAGGTTTGCTGTATGGTTCTTGGTCGCCAGTGACATCGCTCCGTGGTCCACACCCGTGAGAACTCCGCGTTTAACCTTGTCACTATCAGTCGGTGTAATAAGCTCCGTTTTTGTTCTCATGAACATCGAATGATTTGATATAATCTCTTTGGAGATCCAAATGTCGTTGCATTTCACTGGAATTAAATCAAGGAGCGGAGGTGCCGTGGTGTTGGTTGTTAGTTTTCTACCGTAGTAATCCTTGCATTATGTTGGTCAAGACTGGAAAGAGTGGGGAGTGCAGTTTCAGGGTTTGTGCTGAATCACTCGGTAGTCGGCAGAGGAGATAGGGTTGAAATAGAGAGCTGTGATAAACATGTTATGGTCTACAAGTGCTTGGATGTTAAGGGCCTGGTTTCCTTCCACTGAGAAGAGTGTTGTAGTCGCTGTAGTATAGCTAGAAGTCCACTATAGAAGAGGTAGTGGTATTGACAAATGACTATTAATTCTTGATCTTCTTCCTTCTTGCTAGAGGCTACCTTTTGTTGCTATGAGCCTGTAGGGAAGTCGAAGTGGAGTGACCTCTTGCTAGCGAAGTTTAAATGCCGCGAGTGCCGATTTCTTAAAACGTTCTAGCCAATGAGCATGGCATTGGGCTTGTATTTATAGCTAGTTGGTAGAGGTGTGAGTTTACCAAAGCGGTAAAGAAATGCTATTATGTACAGTAATTAAGATAGTAAAGGAGGGAATCACGAAAAGCTTCATTCCTAAGTATACAAGAATGCGAATATAAGAACTATAACTATAACTATACGTCTATTATACTCTTGGTTTAAAAATCAAGCCTTTGCACATGTTAAAAAAAAAGCGAGACTTATAATACCCACTTCGGCTATGCGGCATGTTTTACAAGACCCATAACTCGCCTCATTTTACAACCAACAACATATTCCTCACAACCAACAACATATTCTCACTTTCTCTATAAACCCTGGAAGTTTCTTCGTATTCAAATTTCTACTCAAGCTAGACTTATATATAAACACTGTTGTTTACGTCTCTATTTTCAAGCACAGCAGCTATGGGATCCGAACAAGCCAAAACTCAACAACCGATCCAACGGCAACGCAGCTTCTTCTCTGCAACTGCAACATTCGTTCCTTTCGCACTCTTCTTCTTGAATCTTTTCCATTACATCTGGCGCGATGAAGATCTCGTCTCTGGTCTGCTTATCACCAATATGCTTAATGCCCTCTATTTGCTATGGAGCCGCTATGCCGGCCTCTGAGCCACTCCGGATGCCAAACATGGCAGCACGCTATAGGCTTGAAGATTATAGCGACAAGCAGGGAAATTCGACCTCTGCACTTGAGAAGAGGAGAAATGTCAATGTTCGTTCAATCTAGGGGCGATAACCGATTTTCAGCTAACGTGGTACCTACAGGTCTGTCAGTTTATCAACACTGTAGCGTCTTGATGCTAGCGCTGGAGCACTAAAAATAGTAATATTCGATTCCTAGTCCCAATCCAAACACTAAGGATTCAACGGCCAGCTACACGGTTCTTGCATTATTTCTGCATTAATCACCATTTAGCCAATATTTGTAAAAGTCTTATTGGAAATATTCCCTTTGTCATCCCTCCCTTTCAAAGACCGGGACCTGTCAGAATCGCTTTGCTGCTTAGAAAGCACTGATGAAGATAAGCACTTGCTTATGCATCTTGCGCGATGTTTACTATATGCTAAACCCCTGGAGATAACGTCAAATGCGGGGTGCTTTGCAAGCCACTGATGCAATGCGCTTACCACTGTATATAGAAGACCGAAGGACGTTGAGATATACAAACAAAAAATTTCAAAGCTCTTTCACTTACACAACCTATTCAAATAGTGCAATTCTAAACATTTTGTCATAATGGCTGATACCTACCTCGACCCGATCAACCGCAAATTTGCAGACGCTGCTGCCGCAGGTCCACCTCTGTACACAAAGTCTTTCCAAGAAGCTCGGGATATCCTAGAAGGCATACAGAACTACAAGACCGCCGCTGATATCAAGACGGAAGAGATTAAAGTTCCCGTCAAAGGAGAGGATGTTACCACTGTTATCTTCCGCCCTACAAGTGCCCAGGGTACTCTCAACATGATCTTCTACACCCATGGCGGTGGATGGATTCTCGGAAGGTGACTATTTATGGATGGCTCTTGGTAGGATTGAGGTGCTGACATTTGTAGTCCCACTGCGCATGGAGCCTTGATGGAGGACTTTGCACGCCAGACTGGGGCTGCAGTTGTCTTTCCCTACTACACTCCAGCTCCCGAGGCCCAATACCCTGTTCAATTTGAGCAAGTGTATGGTGTGTTGGAGCATTTCGTTACTAATGGAGACAAGTACAATCTCAAAGTTGATCGCTTTGGCCTTGCTGGCGACAGTGTTGGTGGTAAGTCTTTATTTTCTTACACATTAACTCGACTCATCTTTCAACAGGACACATGGCTATCGCGATGACTCAACTTGCCCAGAGCCGCAATCTACCATCCACGATCAGCCAGATAGTTCTCCTCTATCCAGTTACAGATACTCACAGTAAGAGCGAAACATACAAGATCTACAAGGATGGACCTTATCTTAGCGAGAAGACAATGGACTGGATGATTCCCGCATTCCTGCCCAATGAAGAAGATCGAAAGCTCGCCCTGACTTCGCCTCTCCAATTTGCTCCGGATGAGGTCCTTGCCAAGTTCCCACCCACGACTGTTTTTGTGTCTGGTGCTGATCCATTGATTAGCGAAGGAGAGGCATTCGGACACCGCCTTCAACAGCTTGGAGTTGATGCGGCAGTCCTCAAGGCAGATGGACAGGTTCATGATTTTGCAATGCTGGCACCTGTGCGTGTTTCTCCAACAGCTCGGGCGGTGGTGGAGCTTGCATCTTCTAAATTACTAAAGGCATTCTCTGAAAATTGATGCCCCAGAGTGGAATCGTCCACTGATTCAGATAGTTTATTTGCTTAGATAGAGATGCAGCCAGAGCTTATTTGTTTCACATATGATCAATCATGAGATAACTGAGGTTTGTCTCACCAGTCCCGGATTTAATACGGATGTGAAAGAAGCGTCAGCAGGCGAACTTTTGATGTCAGATTGAGGTATTTGTTTGTTCTAAAATTACCTTGCGTCTGTAAATAAGCAATCTTGATTGGGCCAAAACTGGCGTCCATGGCATGTAACTGGTTGATGGAAATGTGTGGAACAGGTGCGAGAATCAAGATGCATCCATTTAGCAGTGGAAATGCACTGATGTAAAATCTTACCTCTTTCGACCTTCCGTTTCTAGAATATTACTGAGCCCCCAGATACCACCTCAACCCCTCCTCAAATAGTCACTGCTTACATCCTCGAGATAAGTGTTACTCGATTGCAGTTCACACTCTTTCTACCAGAAAAACAAATAATATTTTGCGAAATGGAGGACCACAGCAATTTAAGGTCTCTAATTACTCCCTCGCTATTGACCCAAATCGCCGAAGCCTACCTCCCACTCCCCAAGACAGAACCGGTCGACTTTTCTGAAGCTCAGTCGCCCGACTTCGCCGCCAACTTCGCAGAAATCTGCAAAACAAGCACTGCCAGAGATACCCTGCTCGGTTTGAGCCGACTCAATCCAGATGGAACTCTTCCCTCCAATGAAGACTTGGACTTGATGTCGTTCCTTCCGCCACCGGCTTCACCAGACTTCCCTCTGCAATGTTTCGGCCTGCAATTGCTCCTGGACCAAGCCTCGAGAGTTCTCCTCGAAGGCATCGACGGTCGTTGGCAAGTTGCCTACTTTGGCCCTTTAGCAAGGCGTCTCGCTGGACAATGGCGTGCATTGCCAGAGGCTCAGCAACCGTACAAACGGCATCGATGGAACGACGATGTTGGGGCCACTAGCTTCGGTTACTGGGTAGCACTTCAGGTAATGTGGGCGGCACCATTCCTACATGCCGAAGATCTAGAGAGTCAACAGATTGGCCTCGACCTATCAGAGGAGTTGAGACAAGCTGTTGAAGCACACACCAACACGCGAGATCCATATCGTGCAACTCGAGACGCCACGTTGAAAGACGACCTTTTCTTCTTGAGGGAAGTTGTCAAAGGACCCCCAAAGGCGGCCGGAGAGTCTAGTCTCAGTATGACAAGTTGGACCTTCTGGTGGTGTATAATCCTAGACTCTCACTGGCCCATCATCGAGAGATTTGGTCGGTATCCATACCGTAATGGACATTTTGGTAGAGAGAGCACAGAGGCAGAGAAGAAATGGCTGGATGATATTGGACACTTTAGTGAGGCGTCTCCTGAAGTTGCACAACGAATCCGGGAGGACGTGGAGAAAGGTCGCTGGACGCCTTTGGGGGAGGAGTGACCGATATGCCATTGTCAGGAATCACTTGGCATTGTGGATGCAATGATGTTTTGGCTCGGAGCTTTAACGCACAGAGGAGTGCTATGTATACCTTTGCCTAAGATATGAGGTGCAATTAGTGCTTGCTTAATATTTAAAGTGTTAAGAGTTGCAGGCCAATATTGATCCAGTTACATAATTCTATAACGGTCTGTGTAGAAACCTCTATTGTTAATATTTCTGTGGATTTTATTGGGACGGCTGGTTTTTCCCTTCTAAGGTCTTACCAGACTTTACATAGATTATACAGTTAAATATTTTTCTTTCATACCTCCGCTTTCACAGATCCACAAAGAGACTAGAGCGATGCGCTTTATTACCTTTGGTGCGGTCTTGTGCGATAGTCTATGGAACTGACCAGCTTCCTGAAACCCTTCAGGAAGGTAATGGAGGATTTGCAGTAGCTTCAGTATCTAGTTATTTCGCCATTTGGCCATTGAGCTTGAATATCAGGGTCATGGTGAGGTTCTCTTGAAGAAACTTAAGACTATCTTTTCTTGCCTTTTTACCATCTGTGTAGATATGGTGTTGATCCTCGCGTCTCCTGTCCTCTGTTCCCCTGTCTTCGCTGCCTTGTCGTCCCTTGAAGAATTCTAGTATTTTCTAATCCATCTCGACGTCGTAAGCTTCCTGGGTCTCTGGTTAGTACGACAATCACGACGGGGAAGGAGAATCAAATTGCACCTTTGTAGGTGATTTGTGGAAAGCTTCAATTTCAAACTTGCAACCCCACGCGGCGTCTTTCATATAGTCGCCTCCATTCATAACAAGAAAAGTGTTTGTGATGCCATAGCGATCAGTATGATCCAAGACATTATAAATGATTAGGCAAAGAAAGCACAAAATACACAGCAAAGACATACAGGTTCATGGCCTTTCTGATGCGGTCGGAGATAGCTACATTAGCTGCCAGCATACACCCGTGAAAGCTTGTGTATGATGCACCAAGTTTTGATAGACAATTTGCTGCAACTGATAGGGGGTCGGATTCCGTATCGCCGGATCTATTATTGGATTTCCCTCAGGCGCAAGCTGCTTATTGATCGCCATGTCCACGTTCAAGGGGAGGAAGGATGTTGAGTTTAGCTAATAAACTCACCTCTGACAACTCTGATAAAAAAGAGGACAATAGGGGTTCTTGTATTACAATAGCTTTAAATATACCCTACTACCTAGACACTACTACAGCTCTGTTAAAACTTCTACTAAGCTAAACTAACTTTAACCTTACAGGGATTATTCATGTACTAAAATTATACAGATAAAGATTTAGTAGGACTATTCCTTTAGTATAGGCAATGAGTGTAGGACTGAGAGCCCCCCGGGAACGGTAGATGGATAACCTTGAGAAAGTCGAGCTGTAACTTCGGTGCAAACTGAATTCGTGTTCGTATTTTTTCCAGAACAAAGGGTTCCATCCCGGTCAGCATTTAATAAATATAGCAATTACTGTTTTGGGTAATATAGACCGCTGCGTTTGGCATACGTAAGATTCGGGTACTGTAATATGCTGAGTTAGACGTAGCAACTTATAAATTATACCTTGTTCGTAAAACACCGTTATTTACTTTTATTGGTCTATCCATCAGTTGGTTTAGAGGACGGACTCGTATAGCGCAGCGTATTTCCGCTTTCGAAAAATAACCCGAAACTCTACGTGCCACAATAAGACCTTGGGGGCCAATTCCAACACCCCAATGGAGGGATTAACGGCACACCTACAGGATCAAGCTTAACATCGGAGAGATGGATTATACCGCGATATCTGAATTAAATTTTGTTCGCTCGTCATAACCTGCTATTCTGAAAGAAGCGCAGAAGATTATCTGCGTACAGTACCCTCGCGTAATCGTTTCCCATGGCGGTATGAAGGAGCCTAACCTCACGAAGAATAGGCTACTCATTTGGGAAGCTACAGACGCGGTGGAGGTGCTTCAATGAGGAAGTGAGAATGAACTGACATAACTCTAACAACTGTTTAAGAGCTCGTAGGGTGATCATCAGTAGATATCAAAAGACATCGCCGACGCTCTCCGTCCTCACGTTCTTGGCTAGAATCGTTTCAATCGCTTCGACTTATCTCATCTCTTTGTCTTCATTATGCGTGTACACAACTACATGGTACTGTTGGCCGTTGTGTTGACCCCGCAAGTCACCGCAGCCCCAAACTTTAGCGAAAACTCGACTTATCTCCCCGTCGTAGATCTAGGCTATGCAAGTACCTTTCGAACCATTGCCTATCTTCTTGTTGGTCGTCAAACTGATAGGGAATTCATTCAGGAACTCCACCGTGCCCTCTGGCACAACCCCGACACCGACCTCTACAAATTCCAAAACGTCCGCTACGGCCGGTCCCCCACCGGTGATCTCCGTTTCCGTGCCCCTCAGTCCCCTCTAAAAACCGCACGGCTGTCCAGACTGGCGTTGGGACGCGCATATGCCCGCAAGGTCGGCCCCAATGGCAGGCCAAGACGCTGATGGCCATCGGCAAGTACTCAAACCCGACGTTGCCCTTTACCTTGGAGGGCTGGGTGGAGGCAATCGAGAACGGGATGGTGCCGCCGGGCAACATCAATGCAAATGCGACCGAGGATTGTTTGCTGCTAGATGTGCATGTTCCCAAGAAGGTGCTTAAGGCGGCGGGGACGGAGGTTACGGAGGGTGTGCCGGTGCTTGTATTCGTGAGTTGAATCTCGCTTTTCTTTTATGTTCTCTATCTTTTACTATATCATGTGAAATGGATTGACAGGTGTTCTAATGTAATAGATCCACGGCGGCGGCGGCGTCTTCGGCTCCAAAGACGGCTCCGGCCCCACCTGTTTCGAACCCTCGGGCATCCTGGCCCAGGCCCGATCTGCGTTTAACCAGGACTTCGTCTTCGTTACCCTCAACTACCGTCTCGGCGCCTTTGGCTGGCTCAACAGTGCCCAGGTACTTGCGGACGGCGACGCTAACGCGGCCCTCCTCGACCAGCGCTTCGCCCTCCAGTGGGTTCAGGATAATATTCACCTGTTCGGCGGGTCCAAGGACCACGTGACGATTATGGGGGAATCTGGGGGTGGGAGTTCGGTTCTTCATCACTTGATCGCTGCTGGCGCCAAGTCTAAGCCGGCGAAGAAGTTGTTCCAGCAGGCTATTTCTCAGAGTCCCGCTGATGTACCCGTGGCGACCAGCGACCCAGATGAGCTTTACGACGGGTTCCTGTCCATCCTCAAAGCTGATAACCTAGACGACGCCAGGTCCATGTCCTCCGCTACTATCATCGCCGCCAACGCCGCCCAGATTGCCGCCTTCCCCCACACAAACTATGTTCACGCCCCCATCACCGACTGCGACACCTCCTTCGGTCCTGTAGTCAAATCTCTGCAGGAAGGCAAGTTGGATAAGTCGGTGAAAGTAATGGCCGCGCACAATATCTTCGAAGGCGGGTTCTTCTTCGATCCGAGCGTGAAAACAGATGGGGACTTTCATGAGTGGTTGAGGAGGTCGCTCCCAGGCCTGGATGGGGAGCAAAGGGGGGAGTTGGCCGACAAAATATATCCACCTCTGTATGATGGGTCGTTGGGATATGTGGACATGGATACCAGGCAGATGAGAGTGTGGGGTGAGTCGACCATTGATTGTCCCTTCAACGCTATCAGCCAGGCTACCAAGGACACGAGCTACGCTTGTAAGTCAACCGCCGAGCACAAAATACCAGCATCTCACAGAGCATCACTAACACACACACACACCTTTTAGACGAGTTTGGTGTCTCCCCTGGTTTCCACATCCAGGACCTCTCCTACACCTTCGGCAACCCCGCTACCGCCATACGCCCGTCTCAAAAGTCTCTCCAACTCGCCATCGCTAGCTTTGTCCTGAAGGGTGTGCCAGTCCTGGAGGGCGGAAAGGAGTTCCCCGTGTTTGGCGACGAGGGTCTACTGGTAAATATCACGGCCGTGGGGGCCGTGCCTTCGGTGCTCAATAATCTCAACCAAACCAGGTGTAAGTGGTGGACGTCAATTGCCTAATCGATCTGGGACGTGTTGAGTATCGTGGGGTAAAGACGTTGGGGTTCTAACTTTAGAGTCAGGGTTTCGCTTCATTTTTCCTCATACGGAGTAGTCAGAGTTATAAATAAGCATGTTAAATAGCCTTTAATAGGATTATTCTCTATTTGCGCTCCTTACCACAAAAACGTCCACGCGCTTACGCCGACAACCAACAGTATTACTCCCCACCTTACCAGCCCTCTAGTGACGTGCCTCTTTGCAAAATTGTCTATAGCTTGGCTATCGTTGATCCTTGGGAAAGGGACATCTTTTGGGACTGGTAAATCTAAAGCCTTGCACAACGGCTCCCAGCCATCATGAACTTGCAGAAATACCAGGCGATTCTCCGGCACCTTTTCCTTCAGCCAAGTGATGTGCTGATCATACGAGCTACTCGTCACTGGCTCTGTTTCACCATACTTGAGAAACCACTGCTGACGTAGCGCATCAATATAATCCACAAAGTACCTCAGCGAGGGTACAGGGAACAACACGAAACGTAGAAACCACTGCGTCGATTTGCTACTAACGGTAGCCATGCTTCGTTCCCACGCTTCAACATCGCGGACAGTACAGATCACTATCGCATCTGGATAGAGCGTCATTAATTCCGGCACCAATGTTGAGCCGGGTGAGTCCGTGATTGCGACGAACCCATCAATGCGTTCTTTGATGAGATCTAGATTGGAGCGCCTTGTGGAGTTCTCTTGTGGATGCCATTGCATCAGCACCTGAATCCATGTTTTGATTTCTTTTTCAGGGCCAAGAAGAACTTGAGTCGCGCCATGATACACGGGACCGTCGAGCAGAATTTCCAAAGCACTGCTGATTGATGCAGTTCCGGTACGTGGAAGGCCAGCGCCAATAACCTGAAGCTTGGTGCCTGGTCGAGGTTGAGAGTAGTGTTGACCCATGAAAGATGTGAAAGAGACGAAAGTAGAGAGTGCAATGACCAATAGAACAACTAATTTACAAATTTGTCATTCCATGCAAGACAAAGCAAGGGCTACGTGTTCTATTTAGGCACTTCGCGATCGCCAACCCTCCTCACCGGTTTTGGTGTTTTGCAGCGCTGAGGTACGGGCGAGTAACAGCGGTGGATAACACTTTTTACGGCCTAGTTCATTACAGGGAATCATCTTGGGGATAATCGTCGATCAACGCTTTGGGGCCTGATTAGTCAAAATCTTGAAAAGACCAACCAATGATACTCCATCAAGCTTGTTTTTGACTGACTACTTGTGGTGTGGACGGGTATAGGGTGAAAGTCGCCCGCCCAGTTCCGCCTCGTGCACACAGCTCTATCCCATTCTGTGTAAGAGCTTAGTGCTTACCAGTACGTCAGGATGGCTATCTTATTCTCCCTGAGCCCGGAACTCATAAAAGTACATATAAGACAACAGTGCTGTGCTATCATCGACCAGACTATTCTAAGTCTGTGTCTGTCCCTAAACAAGATTCGAACGATTTAGAGGGCTTTGCTTCTTCCTCTTGCCTTCTCGCCCCCTCTTCCCTCTTATTTTCTTTCGAAATTCCCCTCTACCCTAGTCTACGAAGTCGCGTGGCTGTGCAGCATCATCATGGCCCCCAGCGCCGTCGGGTCGAATTTGTGCACATCAGTGTCTTGCATACACATCGCTTCAGAGATGCTCGGAAGTATGGCTTTAAACTACACCGAGATTGACCCCTGCGAGGACTTTGAACAATGTGAGACCTACCACGCACATACCTCCTCGAATCAAAGTTAGTCAGCGCTAAACACCAACATAGATGCTTGCGGTAACTGGGCTGCCCGCCATGAGATCCCCGCAGGTGGAGTCTCCACAGATGGACTCACTCTGGCCCAGGAAAATGTCGTTAGCGACTTGAGACGGATCCTTGAGAGCCCATACCCTACCGGCAAAGACGCCGGATGGATTGCAGTAAACTTGACCAAGGAGCAGTTCAAGGCAGACAAGGACAACTTTGCTAAGATCCAAGACGCATATCAATTCTGCACTAACTATACAGCACTCGAAGAAGAGAATCTCCAAACTCTGCAGGAGGTTGTGAGGAAGGTCGTCGAACTGTACCCGACGACTTCATCCTCAGGCAACAAAACAGCTGCAAAGACAACGCAGCATTCTGGCGCCCTGGGCAAGACTTTGACCTGGTTTGAAAGCGTCGGCATTCAGTCGTTTCAGCGATTCATAGTCAGGCAGAAAGACACCGACCCCGATGAGGTCGAACTCACTCTTTTGCCTCTGCAGCCCAAAGAGCTGGTCCTCCCTGCCACCAAGAAGGATCTTGAAGAGTACATCAAGATCGCGTCTCAGATTATGGTCGCTGTTCATCCCTCTAATATCAGCACGGCAGCTGCTGCCAAACTCATCACATCAGTCATCGAATTAGAAGGCAAACTAGTGGCTGCTTCTACCTGGGCCGAACAGAACGGACCGGAGTATGAAATTATCTCAATTGCCGAGACCGACGAGCAGATTCCTGAGTTGAACTACAAGTATGTGATCGAGAAGCTTGCTCCAAAGAACTGGACAGGCGACATTACCATTATCGGACCCGTCTATTTCAACAATGCGTCCCAGATTGTCTCTGAGACTCCGACTACAACTCTCCAGGCATATTTTATGTGGAAGGCTATTGTTTCCATTTCAGTCTACATCGAGGCCGATTTAACCAACGCATATAACAGCCTAGCGACTAGGATCAAGGGCAGAGATCCCGAGAGTCCTGAGCCCCGGTGGAAGCGCTGTATCAACTTGATCAACTACGGGGTTGCATGGACTCAAGCCTCCGATACCACGTCACAGTCTATCGGCCCGACGGGCTTGACATGGATACTCTCGCGATTCTTCGTGGACAGACACTTTTCTCCTAAAGCCAACGAGCTAACATCTGATCTTGTACAATATATCAAGGACTCCTTTTCGGAGCGTATTGAATCGCGAGACTGGGCCACGGATAAGGTCAAGAAGGCCTCTATCGAAAAGGTTGAAGCTATGCAAAAGGTTATCAGTCTTCCTACGCTGCCTGATGCTGTAGACCCCATTGCCCTCAGACAATTCTACTCAGGTGTTGAGATCCAGCCTTCTTTAGCCCTAAATGCGCTAGCATTTGCCAAGTCTAAGGTCAATAACAATTGGATGACTCTTGGAAAACCATTTAACAAGGGCCAGTTCGTCTTAAGTACTCTAACCGCCAATGCTTACCACGCCCGCAGTCGGAACCAGATCGTTCTCTTTGCAGCCTTCCAACAGTTCCCTATCTACGATATAGAATTCCCCTCTTATCTCCTTTATGGCGGAATGGGTAGTGTGGTCGGACATGAGATTATCCACGGCTTCGATAACACCGGCCGCAACTTTGATAAAACTGGCAATACGACCGAGTGGTGGGACAAGAAGTCGATCAACGCCTTTGAAGAAAAGGCTCAGTGCTTTATTGAACAGTATAACAACTTCACTATCCTTGCACCTAATGGAACAAAGGTTTATGTCAACGGGAATCTGACACTTGACGAGAATATCGCTGATGCTGGTGGTGTGTCTTCGAGCTTTGAGGCCTGGAAGAAGTGGGAAAGTAAGAAAGGTAAAGCTAAGAGTCTTCCGGGTATGCAAAGCTTCACCCACGAGCAGCTCTTCTTCCTCAAATGGGGCCAGACCTGGTGCTCTAATGTTCCGTCTGAGTTAGCATTGACCCTGCTCGAGACGGACGTGCACAGCCCGGCACCTGCAAGGATTTTGTTGCCTCTCAGGAATACAGTTGAATTCAACAAAGCATTTAACTGCCCCAAGAAGGAGCCTGTTTGTGAGCTCTGGTGAGGAGCTGGTAGCAATGAGCACACATGTAGATGCTGGCTTGTCGGTAGCACAGCTGAGTCTGCACTACGCGATAGTAGAAGTCAAAGCTCAGCTAGTTTGTATTGAACCAGATATCAATACTAATATATAAAACAAATGTATTCTATCCATAAGGTGTAGCCGTAACTAATTCCCTGGACGAGTAAAAGTAGGCCAGCCATACAGAAGAGGCCATTAATTACACAGCTAAACACCTGAAGCAGACGAACTATACTTGAATAATTAGAAACCAGAGCACCGAGGCGCTGAACATATTATATAATTCAGTATTCGAGAAGATTAGGAGTATTCTATAATTTGCAGTAAGTGGCATTATTTATTATAATACTTAGCATTCCTCTATAACTTAAATAACACACGAAGGCTGTAGAGGAGTAAATCTAATGCTAGAATTATTAATAATAAGACTTTTTAAGCGGCCTGAAGGACCCGATATTAAGGGGCAGGAGTATATAAAACTAACAAGGCTGCATACATAGCATAATAACATTAATCGGAAATAATCATAAATATAGCGATTGCATAGCTCTCTACGTCAATAGCCCAAATAATAATATCCAATTACCTATGCCCAGGCTATACATCTTCCGGCACCCATAACCGCAATTACGCTCGGGACTATACCCATCGCGAAGCCAATTCCATTAAAATTAACAAATGGAGGAGACGCAGAAGAAAAGTATTGGCAGCGTGAAGGATATCGTCGAGACATTGCCGGAGCGGGTTGAAGAGCAAAACGTCAAGGTTTCTGACTCATCCCAGAAACAACTTCAAGATGGCCCTGGTGCTTTTTTTGGCGAACCAGTCGTCTAGCTGATGTCAAAACGCTCGTAAAAATGCAGCTGACGTATTCAATTTGAGTCAGACTTCAGTAGCGAGCTACTCAAGGGCTTTGATTGCACAGATTAAGTCTTAGTTGACTCTAATCAACAGCTGCCAGAAGGCTGTAACATAGCATGAAATTCGAAACCTCAAGCAATAGGCGAATGAAATAATTCTCTATACCGCCGAATCTCTTTCAAAGCATTATAGCAATAGATATAGCAATGGCAATCATAGCAAGAGTAGACCCAGAGGACAACTTGATAGCTCCACTGTCATATCCAATATTCGATGAATCGTTCCCGAAACCCACTGTTCGTAGCCAGACAGGTCTCTCATTTTCAAGACTAAGTGAATCCGAATGGTATGTATCAATAGCCCCAGAGACGCGAATTTGCATGAAGCCATGAGCACCGGGGTCGCCTGTCGTAGGCCCCTGCCAATTACTCACGTTAGACTGCTCGTATGGTCTAGCAGCGAATACAGCATCCATAGTCATGTTGGCTGTCTTGCTGTCAAACTGGATGCTCATGCTGGGGTATCGAAAGTCATCCCAGCCCTCTGCCTGCCAAGACTGAAACTCCTGCACGCTTATCATGTAGTCGCCGCTGAGCTCAGTAGTGTTACATACGGGCATGGTGAGGTTTAAACTTGACGAGTATGATTCCGGTATATTACGATCGATTAACGCACTGAGGTTGTAAGCTCCTGATTTTGTCTGGCTGGTTGTGAAGTTGAAAAGATCAGGCCCTTTTCCCTCTGTGGGGCGCCAATATCCATGTGGGCTTGAACTGTATCATAATTAGGAAATTTGAAGTGAAGGGCGTTCAAATGATAGGCGACTAACTGGACAGAATACAGGGGAAATTGAAGTCCCCCAGATTGAGATGAATACATGAAATCAGCACCAAGAGAAGATACATTGAACCCCGCTAAGGATTTTGGGATAAGAGTCAGCCAGAAGACAACAGAGTTACTTCCAGCGTTCCATTCCCCCTTCTCAAGGATGCTAAGAATAGCGTCGTACTTGACGGTTTGGATAGAGTTCTTTAGCTTGGAACACAGATTATCAGTGTAGTCAGGGCCAAAGAAGCTTTCGTTCCAAACGTCTCCGAAGACGGGGTTCAATTCGACTTCTGCTGTCGCGTTATAATACCTATTAAGAAATATTAGTCAAGTGATTATTATTTCCTACCGCAGCGAGACTCACGATCCAACCCATTGATAGAAGTCACCGAGGCCAGTGACATTGCGAGGCCGAAAATTAGTCGAGTTGTCATAGTTTTCGTCATCTTTCGCAAGGCAAAAAGTCAGCAGGCAGCACAAGATGATGTGCAACTGCGCTATTCCACTAAATCTCATCATTTTTGCTCATGTTGTATGTACAAAATATGGCAAGCTTACGATGGATGCTGGAACAATGCGACTTTTATCCATCAGCACGCCAGCGTTGGATGCGCCAAGGTGGTACGGTTCATCTCGCTTCATCTTTTGGATAAATCTAATTGGTGCCAAGCCAACATAAATCCACTTATCGGCCAAGCAGCCGGCTTGGCTGTCAGACAGACCACTTGGCAAAAGGGAGAAAGGGAGGTTAGAATTCTTATCCTGAACAATAAAATCACCTAGGAAAGTCAATCAGATCTGAGACTAGTTGCACCTTATCTCAGGGTTTAACGTTGTCTTGCTCAGGGCAGGGAGCTATAGTCAACCCGAGGACCCTCTATCAATTATCCCACCTAACTAACGCTATGTGCTACGAGATGAACTCCGCAATGCTTTTGCAAACTGCAGGGTTTGGTGATAGATGATCAATGATAAAGTCTCTAAGGTTGAAGGATAATATAACATCTTGGCCGCTAAATCAAGGACTGTGAGAAAGACGAAACAGCAACGGTATCGAGTTTGATAAAGTCAAGCCGCAAGTATCTCTGGCGGGGAAGTGATACGCTCGTCTCTTCGACCGGAACAGGAACGCCATCTTCTTTCGTAAGTTCCAGGTGTGTAAGCGACTCAAGCGCCGCCTAGCAGAGTTGGAACAAGGTTGAAGAAAAGGGTGTTTTGTGGTGCGTCGGAGGCACTCCTTTCTGATACCAGGTTATATACTTAGTAGTAAAAGAGAGGGATTTAAGAGGTTTAAGAGATTTGAATCAAGTAGGCTATATCTAAAAAGTGATCTCTGTTTGCACGTCGAGGGCACCTGCTTCCCTGAATGTCAAGGTTTGTGGCAGTAGCTATATGATCTGTTGACTTGACATTTAACTCATTGCGACTCTATGGCGTAGTACCTAGTGCCTTATTTACTGCCGTTGACTCATTGATAAACTATCCCGCTTAAAAGATCGCCAATCAGTCGGCAAGTCATTGCTATGTGTTACTATGTGGAATTAAACTATCCATATCACAACACGTATAATTATTGGAACTATAAGCGACATCCTCTACTAATTTTTGTTAAAATCACGCAGTATTAGTTTCTTCATTCGAGGAAATTTCAGTAGGTATTGATACAAGTCATGAAAATGTTGATTACCTTGAGGCGAGCTCCAAAAGAACTGCATACCGAAGAAAAAGTGCGTTGACCGTGGGAGATACAGCATACCTCTGCAATTTAATTATCCCGACACTCAGCAACTTCGACTTCGATAATCTTAGGACTGTATGCCTAGTATAGGGCGGAGTGTCCAACTCTTGAATTCCTGAAGATTCCTACGAACAGTCGTACAACCTGCTTCGTTGGGCAACCGAGTCTTACTGTTAGAAAGTATCCCGTCCCTATAGCCGGGCTCTCTCCCCCGAGATCTACTACAAGCTTGTAATACCAGGACCTAATGCGAGAGAAGATCCAAAAGCGAGACCATGGCTTAATGTGGATGTTCAATGTTCCATAACCCGATTGAGCTACATAGCAAGATATCAATGCTCTTAAAAGACTTTAGGCTGTGTTAAAAGTACCAGGAGAGAGTTGCCGCATACATGCGTTATGATTTACCCAGCTAACTTGAAAAGCTTGCCACATGAAGTGCGCTGCTGGCTGCAGTTGCGCGGCATAGCGTGGTAAAAGCCAGTGGTCTGATACTTTCGTTCAAACTGCAGGTTTAGTTCGACTCTAAAAACGACAGTTACCGTTTATGGCTCTGCCGCGGCATGCAACGTAATGTGCCTATGAACCAACTGCATGACATTATGCGTTGTTAATACGCCTTCAGCAAGGATACTGTGGAAACCCCCTCACCAACAAAATAGACGAGAGACCTGCTTTCCTTTTTCTTTTAATGTCTCAAAGGCGCGGCATCAGTCAATTCGCATTCTATAGCTTTTTAGAGCGAGAATTGCGCAACTAAACATGTCTTCACCAAAGTCACGACAGTCGAAGTCGCCGACGGGGCCTCAGTCTCCAGCAGGACCTGAATCGCGTACTGCATTGGAGCAGACTGCTGAGAATGCGGTAGCGATTGAAGTCGTAGGATTAGCCCATAAAACTCTGTCATCCTCATGCACTAATCTTTAGTTGGGATAGGATAATGACTCCGATTCTTCTTACTCCAAGTCGTGAGTTGATGAAAACACTAATCACATGGAAAAGACTGATATTAACATTCCTTAGAACAGGCATCACAGACACGGAGTCACTTCGCTCTTCCATCTTGAGCTACAAGTGGGAGAATGGACGAAGATACCATGCTTACCAGGACGGATCCTACTGGTTGGTTTTCCATACCAGCCGACAAATCAGACAACTAATATCACTTTCAGGGCCCCGAATGATGATCGCCAACAGGAAGCAGAAGACCTCATGTAAGTAAAATCGGTATTTGACGTTCGTCTATTCACACTCTCCTCCAGGCACGAGGTTTATAAGATCGTCATGAACGATCAGCTGTACGAAGCGCCAATTGGCGAGAACCCACAGGTTAGCCCGAAAGGTCTATCGGAAAGTAAACTTGTTCTGATTGCGAGTAGAGAGTCTTGGACTTGGGATGCGGTACCGGTATTTGGGCGATGTGAGTGTACCATCCAACTACTAGTCCAACATCAAGACGCTAATATCGATAGCGAATTTGCCGACTTACACCAATCTGCAGACGTGATTGGAGTTGACCTCTCGCCCATTCAACCCAAATTTGTGCCTCCAAACTGCAGATTCGAAGTCGACGATATCACTCAAGATTGGACATACCCGATCAATCATTTTGACTTCATCCACGTCCGTGGCCTGATTGGCTGCCTTCCCGACTGGACAGAATTGTTTGAAAGAGCATTCAAGTTAGTCATCCGCCTCTATTAACAGAAAGACATTAACATTAGTAGGCACATGCAACCTGGCGGATGGGTAGAGAGTGTTGAGCTCTGGGGTGCTGCCAAAGCGGAAGATGATACACTGAAGCCTGATTCGCCATTCTACACATGGATTGAGATCTTTAAAAAGATCGGCGCCTTGACTGGGAAGTCATTTTTCTGGGATGACAAGATGTCGCAATCCATTACCGACGCTGGTTTCATCAATGTCTCAGGTCACCGAATTAAGGTCCCCATTGGAACTTGGCCCAAGGATAAGACGCTCAAGCAATGGGGAGCTTGGAACCGCCATTTCCTACTTCAAGGCCTTGAGGGATTTTCCATCCGCGGTCTGACCGAAATGCTAGGTGTAAGTCTTCCACGACAATGGGTAAAGTGAATGAAACATGAGCTAATCATACCTGTCTCAGTGGAAATATGAGGATGCGCAGGTGTTTTTGGCCGAGATGCGCAAGGAACTGACGGATCCAGCGCTGCACGCATACCTCGAAGTGTAAGCTAAAACGCCATCGCCCCACACAATATTACCGTTACTGGATATTGCTGACACTAGATGCAAACACAGGACCGTTTTCTACGGCCAGAAGCCAGAGGTTTGAGGGGGTTGGGTGAGTCTATGGAAGGAGTTCTGTGGAACGAAGACAATTCATTGGATGAGATGAGTATGACGAACAAGCATTGAGTTTAGGTTTTGCTAGAAAATGAGTAGGGATATTGTAAATGATAAACTGACCACATCCTATACTGTCTTTTCCACTATCCGCTGGAAAACAGGTGATACATCGAGAAAGATATCGGCATGGTAACATCGAAGTTTTCCATCATTGTCCTTCTTGACTGACAGACTTGAAAAGCCGGGAATCTGGATTATATCCTTCTCGGGGTCATCTCCCTTGAATGAATACCGGACTGTGGCTGCTTGATAGATTCGTGGAGGGACGTAGTCTAAGGATGTTAGTGGGTCTCTTTACAATTCGTCCTTGGGGAACGCACCGAAGTATTTAATGCCGTGAGTCATCATATCAAGATTGGCAAACACGTTCTTAAACATCTATGAATAGTTAGTTAACTGATTTACTCATTCAATAAACCTCAAGTAGGATTCCAAGGCAGCTTTTGCATGAAGAGAATAGGTGACTCACAGGACGGAGGTCATCGCCGGAGATCACCGGGTTGTTGGCAAATTGCAGGGTTCTATCATCCGTGAAGAATTCCTGTACCTATTGATCTGCGTCGAGAGTTTTTCTCGAGGCATGGAACTGTAGACAGAGAGTTAATAAATGCAGGATTGTCTCTGAACACTCAAATGACTCACAGCTAGCAACCAACTCTCGATTCTTTGTCTGTCTTCTTGAGCACTTGAAGGCATGATTGTTGTGCTTTTTTTTGAAGGCGCGGTCTGTGGTAATCTTAGGCTGTTCAGAAAGCGCTCAACAATGAGAGCAAGTCTTAGCTTTTATATATCAAACTCCCCACAGAATTTCGCCTGTTACCGTACCGTATCTTTCCGAGCTGTACTACGCCGCTATAGGAACGCCGCTAACCACCATCGTGACCACCTGGTTTTGTATGAGCTAAGACGCAGCCCCTGATTGTTCCGACCTGATTTCTAATACTAGCTCAAGTAAATGCTTTATGCTATATGGCACTGTGTGATTGAGATGTGAACTAAGTAGATAGAGCAAGTAAGAGAGTGATTAATATCCATCTAGGGTGTACTGTTGGGCATTGCTCTAGGTGTCACTGACATTAACTGTCGTGCTAACACGATGATGTACAGTTATTCCATGCAATGTTCCACTTGCGAATCATTGTCGCAACTGTCGTCACTGCCGGTGGTGGAGGTCACAGAAGAATAAATATGTCTAATATATGACCTCGTTTTAAGATAAGCATATACTAGCACATACAAACGGATTCGGCCTTATTTGCCCTTAGAGCTGTAAGTCTACTATATTTCAATTTTTTAAGATAAAACCGAAACCGATTTCGGTATGGAAGAATCGAAGTTCGTCTTGACGTTCGATAGCAGAGGAGTTGGGTCTTGCTATCGACAGGCCTTAGAGGGTCTACGTGAGTGATATGGACCCTTACAAGTCAGGATTGGGACGTCCGAATTCGGGAGGATTAGGGTGCATATGAGTAGGATATGCCATGATACACCAGCTGTGAGGAAGGACTTGAAGAGTTTAGTTCAGCGCCTAAATGAGTCGCCAGAATGGACTGCCGCTTTTTTACAAGTCCACCCTATAAGGCGTCAAACCTGGAAAGGTAATGAATTATTAATTATTACTAATCTATACTACCAAACTATAAATGACATTACTAACTGCGTAAAAGCCAAGTAAAGCAATTTAACTTTATATAATCATTTATAGGTAAGTATTTAAAGTAAGGTCTTATTAATAATCTCGCTGTATTATATAGTTAGTCTTGTACTGCTTAAAACTAGTTCGGGCCAATTCTAGCTTACTATGTTATCTTATAAGTATAAAAGGAGGAAATATACCTCTTTAGCATGGTTATAATTAAAGACCTACTAGATTATTACTTATATTTAAGATTATAAACTAAAATAAAATAAATTATATTATTAAAAATTAAATTTATAGTAAAACCTAGGTTTTAGTAAAATAAGTATGAAATAGAAGATGATAAGACTTGCTTAGAACTTAACAATAAGCATAATAGAAAAGTGCACGGCATGTAGGGCTAGACTAGTTAGGGATGAAAAAGCTATTTAGAAGGATACTAGTATTATTAGAGATATAGAAAAGGATAAAGGTGGGAAAGAGTCTTAACAGTGTAGATAGTAAAGAAGGGGGGATCAACACATTATCAGTCCTGTATTAGTTAACGGCTTATCTATTCACGGCACTCTAGATGGTATGATTCAAGAATCTTGCTTTCTCGTTGTGATTATTTGTGACCTAGGGAAGCTATAATGTGACGCGTGTTGAAGCGTCTGTTAAACACGGCACTAACATCTGATCAGCTGAAGGAAATCATGTTCACTGATACTCCATTTGGCTGGCATGCTAAAGACCATGGATGGCTACAAAAGTAGTGACCTCACCTTACCTACAGTTCATGACACCAGCAATCAACTGAATCATCTCCTGAAGCATCCAATCGACATCTCAACGCTCAAGTTCAACCATGGCAAAGATATACGACGGGCCTCCCGAGGACACTTGTTTGTGGATCTGCAACCAGTATCAAGGCAATGACATTACTTGCCGTTATGCTAATCATAAAGACGACAAGGCCTGTAAGAAATGTCGTGCTAGGCGAGACAAGGGAGATAAGGCCTATAATGTCGACAAGTACCCCATAGCAAATTTGATCAAGGTGGAAAATGGGGTTGAGCATTGGGAGTATACAACATAACACAGGGCGAGACGGTGAGCAGTTTTAAACAATCATGGAATCCTTTTCTTACAGAAATAATAAATTTAATTTGCCTGTAATTACATGCCAGAATCTGCACAAGAAGCTCTCATAATCTCAAAACGATAGATACGTTAACTAACTTGGTACCTTCTTCTAATATCTGATACTGTCGGCCCGTTTGGCCTCTGGCTGCTCCTCTCTGGCGGCATCTGACTGAGTTCTCTCAATAGCCAGCCTTCTTGTCTGCCTGGTCTAAGCTCCCGGGTCAATGGATCTCTTTCTGCCATTCTTTCCATCATTTCAAACACAATCAGAGCAAGCCTTTCACGCGCCTCTTCATCCTCGGTCGCTAGATATCTCTCTCGCAAAACATCTAGCGGGGTTGGTAGCCCCGGCTCCAACGATGTGACACTCATATCAGCACCTGCATTCAACAGAAGTTGGATGCTCTCCTCATCGCCATTTCTTGCTGCATCATGTAGCGGAGTGCTCCTATCAGCAGCCTTGGGATCGATATCTACCCCATGCTGCAAAAGTAGCGCAATGCAATCTGGATGACGGTTCCGGGCGGCAAGATGCAACAGCGTTCCTCCTCGCTCGTCAGCAGCGTTTACGTCAATATTGCGTTCAATCAACAGTCTGAGACACTCGATATTACCATTAAGTGCGGCTATGTGTCCCAATGTGATACCGCATTGTATCTGCTCTGTGGCTTTCACGCCAGCGTCCAAAAGAGCTCGAAGTAACTCGGGCTCTTCCGGGTCGTGGAAAGTAGCGGCTTGGAGAACGGGTGTAACAGGTTTTCCATCCTGATCTACTGCACGATTGGCGTCTGCACCATGAGCCGTCAGAACCTCGATTGCTCTCAGACTCTTTACCTCAACAGCATAGAGTAAAGGGGAGGTGTTCTTCCCAGACCTGAGAGATACGCGGTTCAAGTCTATAGCATCCAGCTGGGCCAAGATCTGTAGAATCGCCAATCGATGAGTTCCTGGCTTTTTGGTGTATTGAATAGCTAGCAGTAGTGGGGTGCAGCCGTCAGAAGTCACAGTATCAGGGTTGGCACCACGTTGAAGCAATGGCTCAACAGCCAAGACTGGATCATGACCTGCGGCTACGGCCATATGGAGGGCTGTGTACCCTGTGTCGTCGGTTAAATTCGCCGCCGCTCCCAGTTCTAGCAACAGGGACACAGGAGGAGGAAATGGTCTCTCCATTGCCGCCATGTGGAGCGGTGTTCGACCTTCTTTGTCCTTGGCGTTAAGGTCTGCATTGTGTTCTTTCAGCGATCGGATTACCTCAGTTTGTCCGTAATCTACCGCTGTGTGAAGTGGAGTTCGTTGATCAGACGCTCGTAAGTCCGGACCCGTATTTGCTTCCAATAGAAGTTCAGCAATAGCTATGGTTCCGTAGAGGCTGGACACATGAAGCGGAGCCCAACCGCAGCTATCTTTGGCTGCTGCATTGGCTTGCCATTCAAGCAAGAGACTTGCCAAGGCTGTGTTCCCGCTACGGGCCACAAGATGAAGGGGCGTCCATGAGTTGGTGCAGTGGGTGTTTGGATCTGCTTTGAACCCAAGTAACAAGGCAGCCGCATCGGTCTGGTCATGAGAGACAACAGCAAACAATGCTGTCTCTCCGATACCATCTTTGACGTCGACAGAAGCCCCAGGCTGTTGAAGTAGATTTCTCAAAAGAGATATGTCTCCACGAATGGCGGCGTTGACGATTGGCTGGTTCTGTACAAACGGCCTTGCGGCATCCATCAAAGCATTGGCGGCTTGATGAGATATGATTTCGGGGCCAGTGCCTTCCTCATTTTCAGGCTCCAATTCATCACCACTTACAGAGGATTCCTCACTAGAGTCGTCCATCAAAGCTGCGAGCAACTGTAGCCGCTCATCAATAGATAGATTGGCCATAGAGGCCTCAAGAAGCGAATCCATTCTGAGACTGAAAAACTCTGCAACTGAGAAAAGTCTAAAGCTCTTCGTCAGCGAGTCGAATTCTGAGTGCAAGACCCTCAATTGATATTCATGAAGTTGACAAGGTCCTCTTCCCGATTCAGTCTGATGATTCTCAGCCCATTTCAGCCTCACCCTAAAAACGCCCCTAGCATTCTTTACTCAAGCAGCTAACTTCAAGGCTGAATCTAGACCGGTCTGAACTCATGTAAGAATTACGACTAGTGACGTGTTCCCTAGTTCTAGCCCTCCACCGAGAATACTTAGATGTTTCGACCATTATATCAATGAAGCTACTCTAACAACAAAGCAATAGATGAACCGGACAACATCTACCAGCGCACAACCTCAAGAGCTCTAGCCCCATTTACGCCCACAGTGATTAAACAATGGCTGCCAGAGACAAGTTCCTCCTTTTGCACCCCTTGAACCTACTGCCATCAAAGTTCATCCCTTCATTACTTGGGAGGATATGCGTCAATGCCAATCAGCCTTTGGCCGGCTTCCTACCAGATGATCCGTCAGAATACTACAGTTCGGCCTCTCCCTTCTCTACAGAAGCCAAATCTACGTCACATCTTCTTGGTCAAAATACCACCACCACCGCACGGATTCTCATCGATAGTATCTTGACCGTCGGGAGAGAGAACGCCAATCATCCTCAAGCCAACTGGCGTGGAGAAAAGTCTCGCGTTTTCAATCTTCCACAGGAGGACAAAGTTTTGCACAACATTTTGAATCAGCCGCAGCTGAAGAAAGAGACCGAGGATCTCTTGGACAGATACGGGCAACTGTATATGATCACAGGCTTCATGACCGTGGTCAACGCATCGTGCCAGATTGACCAGACCAACACTGCTGGTGTCAACTTCGAGCTACCCATATCAACTGCCCTTGAAGCAGCAATTGTCGCCGCTGCAGGTGTGCCAATCTCCTTGCCGACTATATCTGCTGAGTGGCAGAGGAGGGTTGATAGTTCAGTTCAATGGGCCGCCACCTATGCAGGTGAGACTATCATTGCCATCAGGTGCCGGAGGCTGCGGCGTAAAGGTTGGATTCTTTCAAGGCTACTCGATGGTGAAATAATTATGACGAAGTCGAACATTCGGGGAACCATGATGTTTGGGCATGACGATGGTATGTATTTGCTCGACTGCCGCTTTACTATACCTGTATCCTAACGTCACATTCCAGAGGACCACAACAAGGAGGAAGTCGAAAAGTGGGAGGACTACATGTCGAATGGGTTGGACGCGGGTGAAGAGGAAGACATCGTCTTATCTCCAAGCTTTGACCCTGAGATTCGGGAGGCTGACGGCAACACCATCACGTCTTTGGGTTTCCATTGAGGCTTTCAACCCCTCAGCCCAGTCCATACCACTCCGTTCTGGCTTGCTCCGTCAGCGGACGGATGAGGTTGCATGTGAAAGTTAGAAATTTGACAGAGTTATTCAGCTGATGCGCCACATACGCCACGTTGTGAATTCGAGTAAGATTATAGTTATCGACGCTATTATAGTACGCGTAAGACGAGCCTACATTCTTGTAATCCATATGACCGTAAGATGCACGTTCCAGTGAACAGGAACGTTCTTGTCACTGTAGACATACGAGCTGTAAACTTGCATCACCATCGGCAACTGCAATAGTCAAAATACAAACATGCACAGCACAATATTCATTACCATCGAGGAGTCTGCTTCCGGCCTTATTGATCAAGGTCAGATCGAGGTCATACTGTCTTTTCACCACTTTGCTTCAACCCAGGACGTCCCAACAACACCACTAGATCCGGTTGTGCGTAAATGCTCACCTCTCAGCGCACCCGACGAGATTCAATGGTATTTTCATCATTATTCCAGTGAGCCTTTCTCAACTATAAGAGCAAAGGATGCCAGGGATTTGATCAACAACCATGCTTCTCTTCTGCTGAAGGAATTGCGTCTCAATGACACTTGCTTACCGACACTGAACGTTGGCCGGCTCGTGTTCCAAATTCTTGAAGGGCCAAATATCTTTAAGATCAATTGGGAGGCACTGGAATCGCTTCAAATCCTGGACAATGGTATTCCAGCCCACGTCTGCCGCTTTGCGAAGGGATGTGAAGAACAGTCGCGAAGACCACCAATCAATTCCAAAACGCCAAGATGCGTCAATGTCCTTCTCTTGGTTGCGAGGAAAAAGAATGACCTTATTGACCCTTATTTAATATCACGTCCCTTAGTCCAGGCCCTGAATGAGGATTCCTCTTGCCCTATCTCCATAGATATCGTGAGACCCGGCACACTTGATACTCTTAAGCAATATCTCCAGGCCAAGGATTATGATGTTGTGCACCTGGATCTACACGGCCAAGTTCAGCAGGGAAGGTATGTTCCCTAGCTTCTATCAATGAGCTTCCGTTAATTGTCATCTTAGAGCCAGTCTTAGTTTCCAAAGTCCATCCCGTGACGGGGTTGTGAGTGTCAACGCCGACGATGTAGGACATCTTCTGTTTGTGAATAGAGTGAAGTTGGTGGTGATGAATGCTTGCCAGAGCGCTTCCACCATGGGTTCGTCAACAACAAACTTTGCCAGCCAGTTAGCCTCTCACGGTGTGCCATATGTTTTAGGGATGGCTTATGAAGTGACCGACACAGCGGCTGAGATCTTCATATTAGCCCTTTACGGTTACCTCTTATGGGACAATCGAGACATGCTCTCTGCAGTCCGCGAAGCTCGGGCAAATCTGAGGGCAGACAAAAAGCGCGATGCGACGCTATTTGGGCTGTCGATCTCTTTGCAGGACGATATACTACCAGTGCTATATGCAAACTACCACCAGCTCCAGAAGGATTCAGTCACCTTGTCACAGTCTGCTCCTCACAGCTCGCCAGAAATTTTGAAGGCACCGGACAACGGGCTCTTGGGTCGGGGACTAGACATGCTCAAGGTCCAAAACCAGTTGATAACGAACAAAATGTGCATAGTCCATGGGCTCCAAGGGATAGGGAAGCGAACCTTGATAAATCACTTGGCAGGGTGGCTGCTAGAGAGTCATTTCATTGACCATATTTACCACATCGACCTTTCTCAAGGGGTTGATTCACTGGATTCTGCCCTGATGGCGATCTACCGCCGGATCGCCTTAGTGAGTGATGTGGACCGGAGTGCAGAGGATCGCCCTGAAGACCTAATACTTGAAGCTATGGCTTCCAGCAGCATCTTATTCACTATAGACAATACCGATCAGGACGAGGATGGGTTGACAGATTTGTGCTTGAAGCTTCTGTTGGCTAAAGGATGTTCAAAACCTGCTCGTGTTTTCATCTTGATTTCATCAACGAAGCCTTTAGCCTCCGTGCAGGAGAGAATACGTCAAATCAAATATTGCGGGACACTTGGTTACGAATTAAAAGGGCTAAGCTCCCGTGATGCAATGATTCTGGCAACAAACCTGCGGGGCAGAAGGCAGCTTCAGGAAAGTGACGAAAAAGATTACTCGGGACTTTGGTACAACCAATGCATCTTTGATTTACTCCAAGGCAGTCCACTAGCAATGGAGCTTATCATCCCAGAAACCAGCGATTATGGTTCGATTGATGTCTATTGGGATTTGAAAGCCCAAACGTTGGACTTTTCATTGGAAGGCTCTGTCGCCGAGGCATTGTTCCTTCGATGGCAGCACCATACCGAACATCGCTCTGACCTTCTGAAAGCATTAATTCCTTTTATCCGTTCGGTCCCTGGAGATTACTTGTTTAATCATCCCGAAATTGTTCAAGATAGCCAGTCTGCCATTCAAACATTGATCCAGGCCGGCTGTGCAACACAACGGATGCCTGGCTGTCGTATCGAGCTCCATCCCTTGTTTGTCCATTTTGCAAGGAGCAGGTCTTGGTCCGAGTCCGACACCAAGGCTAGTTGGCACAGAGCCGCTGTATATTACCAGAATCGAAGCATCGCCTGGATTCGCTCAGGACGATACTTGACCATCGGGCCAACGCATGATTGGGAAAATCTTACGACCATCCTGAGTCATCTTGTTCCCACTCTAGAGTCAGATACCGAAGAATCATCACTCTTTGATCTCCCATGGGTTTTCTGCTCACTCTGTGTCTTTCACGAGAAGATGGTTCGACATACCGTCGATATGTTTGCTGATTTGACCCTCAAAGCGCTGCATGCCATAATTCCAAGCTTGGTGCCAACAACCAACAAAACCCTTCGAATGGTGATCGATAATGACCTCCGCGCCAAGGCCATGAGTCTTTCGGACTTTCAGATCCTGCGCGTGACGTTATTAGTGCAGTTTATTATTCAGTACTACTACGATATATCACCCGATACTGCAATCATCTACCAGGATGCCTTGATCATTCTTCAGGGCCCTGCCACTGAAAGTCCAGGGGACGAAGAGTTTGCCGGACTATTATATATGGCTAATTCCATATCACTGCTGACTAGACGGGAACTCGTATTAGATTTGCAAATCATGCCAGACACAATGCAGCCTTTGAGTGGCTTCCCCCCCGGAATCACCGCACCCTCATCCTTTCAAGCATTTTCCGATATGTGGAACGACACTCAACAGCTGAGGTTTATCGGGTACCATGTGGACCCGGTCAAAACGTTACAGAACGAAGTAAACCAAGGCCGACAGTTGGTATGATCCTTGTATCTTTCTTATTTGTTCGATTTACTATAGTGCTGATTTTGTTCCAGTTTTCAATCTTAGAGACTGGCTCTCCAGAAGAACAGTTTCGTAGAGATGCTTTGGAGGTACTATCAGATACCTTCCAAACCCTGAATGCGTCGCTGTCCCTGAACGAAGAGAGCCATCAATCTTCTCAACGCCGCCTCGATGTAGCATTAAAAGAAGCCATAGATCGCTATGACTTACGGAGCCAGCTAGATATTTATGATAAACTGGTTGAAGTGAGTTTTCCGTTCCCTGGTGATGCTTTCTGTTGTTTGCATCTGACAGACTCAGGTGTATTTCACAATTGGGGACTGGGACGCTGTGCTCATGATTCTAGACAAGATTGATGATTGTTCAAGGCAAATCAATCTGTTTAGGGGCATCTACACTGATGAGATAACAACCCTTCGGCAGATGAGATGGATGACTCTTAAGCGGGTACAATGCTTTAGGTGTTTAGGCAAGAATTCTGAGTCTAGAGAGCAGGTTGAGATACTCAAAGACGTTGTCGCCAAAAGAGAGGAGCTATGGACAAGAAGGGACCGATCAAACGAGGAGTATCGGAATTTGATGAGTGCGCTTGAACGTGGGATGGCAGAAGGTAGCACTCCTGGGGACGAGACCAAGGTTGGCAATTTTGTGTTTCGTCTAAGACATACACACCGGGAGAAAGTGGAAGAGGTACAAGATTCAGCGACATCTCAACAGGTACAAGACTACCACGGGCCTGAACAGATCGAAAACCCAGCCTCTTATCTAGCAGAGACCCCGCTAGAAGGAACTCAACCTCTTGCCGCAACGAGGACTTTGAGCAATAGCAGCACTCAAAGTGACGAGGCAGACGACCTCTACCTCATTACCAATCCTTGGATGGCACCTATTTTGGAGTGGATGAATTCACTGGGGGGCGTTCCTGTTAGAGAGTATTACGATTTCCAAGTTCCCCCGGGTCGCATTGGTGGACTGTTCTTTTATCAGTCACGGAATCTTATGGTGGAAGAGTTTTTAAGGACTATGGGTATTCTTGAACCGGGTGTTTAGCAATTTCTGGCATATAGCAGTACAGTCGGGGACTTTGTATAGTTTTATCAATTGTTAATAATAGCTGATTTTGGTGGAAAGCTGAAGCTCCAACTAAGATGGGTCATTCGTTAAAATTCGCCCCAATCCCCAAGCTGAAATCAAGTGGGTTTAAGTGAATCATGGATATTAAAGGCGTAGCTTCGACACCGTGAGAAATACCATCTTGTATCTACTGGAATCCCGCCAAAAGTCCCAAAGCCAAGTCCAAACGATGGAACATCGGGAGGTTGCCTCATCTCACTCAACCTGCCCGAACAAGATCCCTCTACACAGACCATCCTCTGATGGTACCAGTCAACACTACTGGAGCAACGGTTGACTTCGTAATTCGAAAGCTGTATTGTTGATATCATTGAGAGATTTGGAAAGCCTGAGCTTGACAAAGCTGAAGGTTAAATAGAAAGAGAGAAAAAAGAAAAAGAAAGGTACTTGAGCTTTTAGGAATTAGTATAATTATACAAGTTTATTTTCCAGCTCTAACATAATCCAGCATCTGTAACTATATTTATTTGTAACTTACTCCGCTGATATAGAAAGCGCTACAGATCCTTATAGAAAATAGATATTAAAAACCAGAAAGAAAAGACAGAGATTACAATATGTACCAGAAGTGATAAAAAGGGTATAAACAAAACCTGTTTCTGAAGCTTGATGAGATTAAACTGAATTTTGGGAATTTAGCTTTTAGTGGTATAAACTAGATACACAAGCAGCTCATGAATTATCACCCTTGACATGTGAGACATCAAGCTGCCGTATTTTCAGTCTAGCCCGTCCAACTGTGAGACACCATAGCCCCAAGTGGCTTGCATAGTATGGATCGCGGCGTTAAATCATTGGCTCTCAATGAAAGTAAAATGGAGGAGAGACGCCCATATCACAATTAGAGCATAGAACACAGAGCACTGCCCGTAGTTGTTGTTGGTTCAGTAAAACAGGCTGAGGAACAATTGGATGTCAACAATCGCACGTCGTAGCAGGGCGTTCTGTGTCGGCAGGGCAGAAAATAGTCGCCCTTCAATGAAGGTCAAGCCCTGCCCCATTCCCGCCACGTTTTCGTCTTTCCTTCCTCCTCCTGCATCTTGTTATTTGTTGCGATTACACAAACTCCTTTCCATTTTCCGAGCTTCTTAATACTTACCCCATTAGTGTTGCGTATTATGGAGGCTGTTTCCCTTGCGGCTAGTATTGCAGGGCTGGTGACTCTCGCAGATCTCGTCTTCAGAGCAGCCGTGAAGTACCACAAGTCAGTCAAAGACGCACCGAAAGAGGTCAAGGCTCTAGTGGACGAGGTCAAAGATCTCTCCCTTCTCCTGCACAATCTGTCCTTGGTTGAGTATGGACTGGCTGCGCAGCCCGACCCCGCGGTGCAGGCCAACGCTCGACCGCCAAAGCCTCTCCATTTGCAGCAATGCCAAAACCTCCTGAGACGTCTTCAGTCTGGCTTGCCAGATTTAGAGGCCGGTTCTGGCCTGCAGAAATTACAAGGCCGCTTGAAATGGCCATTTAGCATCAGCGACACGAAAGAGATGCTGCAAGCTATCGGTCGCCACAAGCAGACCATCAATATTGCCCTTACAGCGCAGTCAATCAGCAAATTGCAGATCTGTTTATCTCGACAGGAAGAAACCTCCAGCGCGATCCAGGATATGAAAAAAAAACTTGAGGGAGATCCTAGACATTGAGACGAAGATATCCCTCAACGAGAACCGCGAAAAGATACTGAAAACCTTTCTCCCCGTTAACCCACGTGTTGAGTTCGAAGCCAACAAGAGCTTGAGGCACCCTATGACGGCACTCTGGCTCACCGAAGGAACGGACTTCGGAGACTGGTTTAATACCGAGAGGTCTCGCCTTTGGTGCAGTGGAATCCCTGGAGCTGGGAAGTCTGTCATAGCAGGTGCCATTGTTGATGAGTGTCTTCAACTCACTCAGAATCAACCGAAAGCTGGTCTTGGGTATTTCTTTTGCACATATAAGGATCCACGCACGGTCTTGCCATGTAACGTTCTTTCGACATTGTGCTATCAGCTTGCCCTCCAGCATGAGGATGCATTTCAAATCCTGGAGGCATATTATAAAGAACTCCATCCTTCTCCACATCTCCCCATGCCGCCCAAGACATCCAGACTCATCGAGGTGCTGCATGATATCTGCAGGGTCTTCAGTCGCGTTTACCTTATCGTTGACGGCCTTGATGAGTGTGGTGATCACACGGATGAAACCGTCCGGAGCATGCTGCGTGTCTCTTTAGCAACAGCGAACAAGAACATCAATGTCGCCCTACTGAGTAGAGACGAGCTTATGATTCGGGAAAAGCTTGAAGATCACTTCGATTGGATCGAGATCGAAGCTCACACCCATGATATTCAACTCTACGTGGCTTCCCAGCTCGCTCAATTGATCGAGGAAAAAAGACTTCGCCTCAGAGACCCGAGCCTCAAAGACGAGATAGTGGTCAAGCTTGTTGAAGGAGCGAAAGGAATGTATGTATTCTTTCTCTTAATACCCACATGTTCCTTTTGAGATACTCACATTTCTTTATAGGTTTCGCTGGGTCACTTGTCAGCTCCATCACCTCTGTGAGCTCCCCACCGACAGGGCTCGTCGAGAAGCTCTAGGAAAGCTACCACCTACACTGTTCGAGACTTATGAGCGGATACTAAACAACATCGAGTCTCGTTCGGAAGCCGTCAGACAGCTCGTGGAGAGAAGTTTACTTCTAATCTCTATAAATGATCCATTCAAAACGCTTACCTCGCGAGCGCTATGTGAGGCTATTTCCATTTCAGAAACGTCGGACAGTCTGGACCCGGACGAGGTTGTGGACGAGCAAGAAGTGCTTCGATGGTGCGGGAGCCTTGTGAAACTATCGCAAACCGATTGCAGGGGGCGGCAAACCTTTCAATATGCTCACTTTACGGTCCAGGAATTTCTTGACAGAGGTTACGATAAACATCCGCTTCTGGGTATATACGGCATCTCTGAAACGAAAGCCGATTTGCTGTTTATGCGACTGGCTATTCGATTCTTAACATTGAAGAATTTCGAAAAGTTTCCGACAGTAGAATATATGCAATCGGGGGAAAGGGACAAAATGTTGGAATCTCGGCCTTTTTACACGCCGGCATCAACTTACTGGACCATTGGAGCCCTTCTTGACGGCGATCAAAATACACAGGACCTTCTGTCTCGACTTTTTCATATTGAGAAAACACCCAACTTTTGTCTTTGGGCAACAGAACTTATTAGAAACCTGTGGGGAATAGTTCCTCTAGAAAAAGCTGTGGAGGTTCTTACTTCTATCTTGCGACATGATTTTACCCCTTTGCATATGGCAGCTGCTTTGGGTTTGGCAGATATTTGCCACCAGCTCATACGGAAAGGTGCCAGGATCGATCTTATGAGTCACTATGGTACTCCTTTGCATTTCGCCGTTGGGGGACTCCATGTTTTCCTCGGTCCCAATGACGATAACGAGTTGGCCAAGAGAGCCAGTAATAGTATAAACGGAGAGCGCTATACGTTCTACTACGAAACCGTTTTCTATAGGATCAGTTCCCAGGAACAGCTGAAAACGGTTCAGCTGTTCGTAAGTAGTAAAGCAAAAACGGGCCGGCGACTAAGTACGTCTATCGAATCGTTCTCACTCCTCACTGTGGCTATCTTGACGGCGTGTTCGTACGAGATAATCGCACAGCTGATCGAGAACAGAGTTGTTGTAGAAGAGGAAGATTTACAAATGTTTGATAGAATGCACGAATGTGCAATGGAAGAATACGGACCAAACGATTTCAAAAGAGAGTACAATCAGGGCATGGCATTTCTGCGCATTCTTAATGCTCTTCGATTTGATGATTCAACTGGAAAGCGCTCATCCCCAGAAGGCCGCTTGTTCAAGAAGACGGTTCAATTCGCATCCAAAATGGCTTTAGATGTCCCAAGCGATCTCGCCCTGTCCTCCATCAGTGAGGAGATTTCTGATCAATTGTGTAGCGAGTCTGTGCTATCCGCAATTGAAGATAACAACATCACTCTGTTGGAGACTTTACTGTCATCTCGACGTTGTCAAAACACAGACCTTTCCGACCTCGATCCTAGGCGACTCGGCTGGTCGCCGATACACATTGCGGTAGAAGCAGGATCACTGGACTGCCTTGAGTTTCTTCTTGACTGGGGCCTCGACCCTAATTCCATTACTGCAGATAACCAAACTCCAATTCAATTGTCTACGACATGTAGAATCGAAGATATCATGCAAGCCCTGTTGAAGCACGGTGCAAGTACTACTAAGCCTTGCGGCGAGTATGAGACGTTATGGCATGCAGTTGTGGATTCAAGGAATACAGCCATTCTCAGGCATTTATTATGCCATGAAAATTCCAAAAATAGAGCCTTGGCCCTCCGCACAGCATCTGGTCAGGGAGACACTCCAATATGCCGAGCTTTGACGACACACTACCAAGAGGCGGTTTTTTTACTTTTGCAGTTCTGCAATACTGAGCATTACTGGAAGTGCTCGAAGCCTATTTACCGCGCAGCAGCAGAATTTGGATCCTCTCAAGTTCTGGATGTACTACTAGATGTTGGTATTCAGTATGACAGCCACGATGAGTATGATGGGAACCCTTTACATTGGATACATATCGACTCCGATCTTCGAATGATTGAAAGGCTCAAAGTTATATTTTCTTGCAACCAACGCCGTACCAGAGACTTGGAAACTCCATTCCAGTCACTGCTTGACAAGGCAACAAAATTGGACTATGATTGTCAACCCTCTCTTGTTATGAGCTTACTGCCAGATGACCTATTTACGAGTCCACATCAGTCCAGAGCTTTGTGGTACTTTCTTTGTACCGAAATTATCCCATTGGTTCTCTTTTCTTCCTCTAGCAAGACATACTTCAGAAGATTCTGTACCGACTTGTTGGAGAGAGGTGTTGCCAAACTTTATGAAGAGGATTCTAGCACATCCGCTCTGATTCCGCTAACCAGAGCTTTGAAAGGTAAACTCAGCGCCAGTGTTCGAGACGCGTTCGACGGTGGAGAAGTTTCACCATCCGAGGAAGACTGGCAATGGTGTTCGGACACAATCTGTCGTCTACTGGAAGGCACGAATTTCAAAAACGAACTGGCACGCGAGGAGAGTTTGGATCACTTCTTGTACATGGCGATCCTGAGAAATGACCATCATATGGCGGGACTGCTTCTTGAAGTTGGCGTGAATTGTCATATCAAAGGTGGCACAGTCACTCCCTTTGAACTGGCATGCTTGCCTAGTCCCTCAGACACAACTGCTACTCTGAGTTGCCTTGTGGACCGCGCGAAACCCAAGCTCCTCACACAACGCAGTACTTACACGGACCTTGGCCCTCTTCATCTTATTGCAGGCCTGATTAGAGACAGCAACGCTTATTATCATGAGGGCCAAAGCGGTCATAGTAGATCGCTACACAAAGTTTACTCTGCCTGCTATGCTAAGGACAAATATTCGAAAGACGTGGCCAAAACGTTGGAAAAGCTCGAAGTCCTTTTAGACGCTGGGGCCGATCCAAATCTGCCTTCTGACTCTCTCTCCCCCATGACCTACCATATTCTACGACACCATTTCCATACAGCAGAAGCACTCTTAAACAGAGGTGCTGATCCATGGGTTCAAGGCTCTTTCACGTTAGACAGTGTCTTAGCAGCCATTCTTACTCGAAATGTCGCATTTCTTGACAAAATTACGCAGCAAGTGGCTCTACATAACTACCCGTCCCAGTGGAATCGCACTTACACTATTGCTTTGTGCAATAGCGACTTATATCCACAAATTCATGCGCTGCACGTGGCCGTTATATATGGACACGTCGAAGCTCTAGAGTTTTATCACGATCGAGATCTGGTAACGAACTTGGATGTCAAAGATGGAAATCAACAAACTCCAATGCATTACGCCGCCTCAAATGGAAACGTATCCGTGATCGACTACCTGGTGGCACATGGCTGTGACATTAATGCTCCCTCCTCCTCAGGGTTAACTCCACTACACTTGGCGGTGCGAGAGCGCAGAACTGGCGCTGTGGACTTTCTTCTCAACCATGGTGCCAGACAACAACCTTGCCATGCCGGTCGTTCTCCTATGATATATGCCTACAACACTGGTTACCAACCTCTAATACGCCTCCTCCAGAATCATTCCAACCAGCCAGCAGAAATTCGATCTGCAATTACTGACAGAGGCCTACAAGATATGAGAGACGCACTCTCTTTGGCCATTTCTCGCAACGATCTCGAAGCATGTCGCCGGATCCATCAGCTTGGCTGCCCCTTGGATGTTGAGGTCAAACCTAAAATCACTCCATTGGTTCTTGCTATTGAACTAAGTTGCAGTGCAAGTCTTGTTGAATGGCTTCTTAACAGCAATGTCCGGAGCTCAGCACTGTGTTGGCATGAGCGATTGGGGCGTCTCCTAACTCCCCTTCATCTAGTCTTGATGAATCCAGCGTATAACTCCATTCTCGGGGCAGTGGTTACTAAGCACCTCCAAGAGGGGGATTTGTCAAGTATGCACCATTGGAATCCCTTTGTTATCGCTATAGAGTATCGCAACACTCCGGGGCTCCTACTACTTTTAGAAACACTAAAGACTCACTGCTCAGCCAAGTAAGTAAACCTTGCATCTGTATTGACGAGTAACTGCTAACAGGAGGCTTTCTTCAGGGACTTCTCTTCCCTCGTGAAACAGACCAGCGATAGCTATAGCCAGTACGGGCCAATTGCAACTTGCGGGAGACACAACAACCCGGAGGCTTTGATCTACCTAGTCAATTTTGGGGGTAGCATAGATTGCTGTGGAGACCTTTTTTTGCAGGCGTTCTCTGAGGCGGCAAAATGGGACAGTTACCAGGTTGCTGAGTACCTGGTCTCTCGCTGTACCCGACCTGTTGAGAACCCATCCTTTGCCACAAACCCCCTACTGAGCGCGTGTTTCGAGGACTCATTCTCTGTCATACAACTTTTCTTAAAGACGTGCACCATATCTGACACGCTGGACTGTTTTGGAAACAATGCGATTAACCTTTTAGCCGATAGCACTAACAGCAATCCCGGAACTCCTAGTCTAGCTGTTCTTATGTCCTTAATCGACCATGGTATAGATCCCTTCATAAACAACGACGTCGGAATAAATGCTTGTCATCATATACTAGCTCATGATTTCTCGGCCTATCTTCGATACATTCTGGTCCGTTTCCCGCGCTGCTTCAGTAATCAACCCTTCAGGTGGCCGCCTGCCTGGGCATGGTTCCCTCCAAAGTTGGGCCTCAGAAGGCTGGGCAACATATCGCGGAACCTACGACTTGTCCGGCCATTTGTCAACGCCACTGAATTTCGCCTTCTTACAGATCTCCCATCTTGTGAGGGGCACACTATGCTCTGCCAGGCTCTACTTCAGGGACCATCTGAAGTGTTTCGCAAGTTCATCGAACTCGGCGTTGACATTGAGCGACCGTGCAGAAAACACGGAACGCCTCTTGTCGTTGCGCTAAACACAGGTTACCTATTAGCTGTCAAGTGCCTCGTCCACAGCGGCGCCAAATTCTCACTAAGCGATTTGTTAATCTCTGGAATGCTCCGCACATTATCGAACGACAGTGTTAGGGACTGGGTACTTGTGGGGAGACATTATGATCAAGCAAAACTGGCGGCAAACGCATGGGATCAAGACCGAATTCCGACCAAGGGAGCTGGAGTTATCCTGGCATTAATTAGAATGGAATGGCATTGGAGGAAAGGTTGCGGAGAGACAATGCTAGGGTATGCAAGCAGGCGTCAAAGATTGGTCCGGGGTCTGAGGGGAACACAAGTTAAGGTTATGAAACTTTTGGGGTAAGAAGTTTGTTATCATCCACCACAGAGTGAATTTGAAGAGTATAGAAGCAAAAACTTCTAGAGCTGTCGAGTTTTAATCATTAGACGAGTCATTGTATTAAATGTGCCAACCAACCATGACCTAAATCTTTAGCAGTAACAGCAAAGCACGAGCACAAGTTCCACAATAATTGGTATGACTATTTCTAAAATACTGATCTTACTCTATGTTCGAACAGTACATGTTCTCGTCACGGACATCCTCGACAGACATTGTGCAAGTCTCTCACTACTGTTCACCTCGGCACGAGGGATGTGTAGTGACTAATTGTAGGGGTTGTCAGTAATAGGAAAACTAGATTCCCATGGTCAGCAACGAGCGAGGGTATAAATATGCCTGTTGAAGTAAATTTCTTTGAGGTCAGGTCGCAACACAAACACAGAAGTTGAACAAATTATAAACCAAAGCCAGTACTGAATCTACACACCTTTCTTAACTTGGATTGTCAGACATAGTTAAAGCGACAATGAAGTGGATCCCACCCGAAGGCAAAATGAGGGTCACGATGAAGTTCACGGCTCCATGGGAGGGCGCCAGCTCTATAGCTGGAATGCGGCGTATAAGCCGGGATGTTGGTAAAGATTGTATGCGGGCTGAGCGTATCGGCGACACAGACAGAGGCGAGGTATTCGTGGATAAGACCTACGATGATGACTTCGAAATGGAATACAGGCTCAATGAGTTATGGGAAGCTATGAAAGGATTCGAGGATTGGGAAAGAAATTCTTTCTTGCTTGATCCAGTCTAGATGGCTATAGACTAGAAATTATAAGTTAAGATAAACTACCAGTCTTCTTATGCGATGGGCTCGAATTATTAAGTTTCTATGACGTAATGGTAATGTTACTAATTATAGACACTATATATTCTAACATTACGATGCCCTCATCTTATGCAAGTAACCAGGTGGCTGTCAATTGTTCAGATGGGAGTGTTATCAATGTTCGCGTGAAGCACGAGCGTACATGCTGGAAGGTACTTTATATGACTCATTGCATGGTACTATTGTTATTCAACGCCCGAGCCAAACACCTTCAAATCACTAAAAGACCTTATGTAAGTAGCCAATCACCTTGTTGTAAAGAATGTGCAGTGGCTCTTTGTAGGGATTTATTTGTGCATAGAAAAAATAGATTCTTATCACCGGCAACGAGAGAAGGTATAAATAAGTCAGCACATTTCCAAGTTGGTACTTCACAGCAAAGACCCAGAAGGCACAGAGACTGTTCATGAAGGTTAGCATTAACCCAACACTTCTATTTTTAACAAATCAGTTACCTCACACAGACGGACCACCAATGAAGTGGATTAGTCCTGAAGACAATCTCAGGGTCAGGATGAGGTTTATTGTTCTAAGAGGCAGCAGCACAGCTTATCGTGGGCTGCGGCATTTGTAGAGGGAAGTTGGGCGACGACGTGTCCGTTCGCGGCGCCACGACGATTTCTTGGAGGTAACGGTTGACGGGGAATATGCAGACGATGGAGAAGTCGATAATATAATTGAGGAGCTATTGAAGGGTATGGAAGAGTTTGAGGATTGGCACAGAGTTAGCTACTCAATTGAACGTTGCTTAACAATATGAAACTACAGTTGTTCTTTGCAGGAACTACGACATAGCTATTAAACAAGGCTTTAGTTCATTCTTGCCCCTCTCAAACCTCTTCAGAATGATGGCTTGAATTAGTGTATTCGTACGTGGAACAACGAAACAAGCGCTCTCTAACATTTTACTACAGTGTGTTCTTCTGATGTAGCTCATCTGGTGGGAGTACAATTAATGTTCGCGTGATAGATGGGCATCAATTTACAAGCAAAGTAACATTTCTAAATGAACAATCACATGCCGCTTAGTATATAATCACAGAACCGTCCTCACTTCTCCTTACTCTACCACAGAACCACAAGCTAGCCTACGAAAAACACAAGAACCGCCGTCACACCGTTTTTTACCGCACCACAGAACTGCAAACTAACCTACGGAAAACAGAGAAAACAAATCCCTTCGAAAATGACTGCCTACTTCCACCTTCTTTGTCGACGACGACCCGATGTGGAGATGCGTTGGTACGCACCCCGACTGCGACGCTTCATTCGAAAGAACCAAAAAAAGCACCAGTACACCTATCAACTCTACAGAGACGACACTGTACTTCGAGTAACAGTCATCTGTGATCCTCAAGAGGCGGAGGTGGAACAGGCTTTGCGCGATATGGGCGATGCCATGGTCAAACACCGGCTCCACCGTGACTGGGACTGTTTCGGCAGTGTGCTGAATGAAGACCCCACTGAGGTTCCTGCTGAGGAGCTTGACATGGCTAAGACTAAGCCTTGGCGTGAGCCTAAGCCCAAGCCTGAGCCCAAGCTACGTGAGGGAGCTAAATTCGCAGGTTTCTTCAGCTTCTTCAGCTGCTTCTAGGCGTCTCTCTTTCCGGTGTGTTCTGTGCATAGCCCACCTCCATGGTCTTCGCTTGCCATGGATTCCATGTATGATATGTAGATGTTGCCAAAGGCTGAGAACTTTCCATTTCGTGTATGATATGTAGATATTGCTCTAGATTGGGAATTTTGGATTTCATTGATGATACGTAGGTGTTACCATAGATTGAGAATTTGATATTTCGAATTAAAATGCAGGTCTTTGCCATAGGCCGAGTATGCCACGTGTTTAACAGTGAAAGAAATTGAGGGTTGAATGGCCCGAATGTAAGCGGTTATTATCTCTCCAAGCAGAAGCTGATCTTTCTAGTGAACAGTCTCCTTTGCAGTAGTATGTTTGAGTTCCTAAGCTCATTTATCCACCATTATGATATGATCATAGTGTACTGTGGCTACGAACTTTGACTGTAACCTCTCTCGGTGCTATCAGATGCGGAAAGAGATGTCCTGGTATGAAACGCGCAGCATTATTAATTTATGCACCTTCACTGAATGACTGTTTTTCATATCCATGAGCAAGAAACTCCGGATGGATGCTACCACTGATTCATTGCAGCCATGTGGAAGAATCGCTGTAGATCACTGTGAGGGGCCGTAATTGAACAAAATTGATATTGCTCCCTTAGACCTACACTTTGGCTATATAATCACATGGCCTCATTTCAAACCTTGTGTAGTAGTAGAGACGGTACTGTATATACTATCGGCATTTCGAAATACACCTGATTTAACAAGATTAAAATATATAATCTCCCAGCATGACTGATAAGGGCGAGATTCTGGTTTTCACCAGGAAGGCCACCACAGCGGGGAATGATCGCAAGCTACAGAAACTTGTCGACGACTATGAGAACAAGGGTATCATGATTCAGGTGACTAATAAGCAGTTGAAAGTCATGTTCCCAGTAGGGAGTCAAGCTGAACGCGCGGCGACTTACACAGCAAAGAATCTACGTGCTTGGATGGAGGAGGATGGGTTGTTAAATGACTGGGAGCCTAATGTGAAGTGACATTCTACTGCTTGATACGACTGTCTTGGAAATTCATTTTCAAAGCACTGTTAGTAAGCTATATACTTTTTCTTTAATAGATTTTCGGATTTGCAATTTCTTTTATCTTAGTCACGAACAGGTACATAATACAGCAGTAAAGTTTAAGTCAACAGAATCTATACATCTTGTCTCGTTCGCTTAAATATATTCGAGCTTTATCTCCATATTAATTTCGTTCAATATAAAAACTATGCCAACTCTCAGATATCCAAGATATCCTCAATTACTTTGTGATTAATAATTTATTGAATATTTCCTAGCACGTCCTGGCCGCAAGTACTCCTACAAGCCTCCCACTCACGGTGGGTTCCTATAGGTATCACTGAATCGGTGGCACCTAGGACACAAGTAGTTTGAATCACTGTTACGAATGGAATGATTAGAGTACCATTTCTTAATTCCCCTATGGGGATAAAAGTATTTACCGGTTCTGCCGTTTTCCGGATTTCAAATACAACATAGCCGCTGAACACCAACTAGCAGGGCCAATAACAATAAAGATTAGGAAGGCTGAAATGGCACCAATCAAGACCCAAGTAATTGACGAATTCGAGATCTTTACCAGAAAGGACCCAAACCAAGAACTGAATACGAAATATGACGATCTTCGTTCTATTTACGGTTCATTCATCGCGATCGTGTGCCATGATAACCTTCTTACCATTACAACCTACTTAAAGATTAATGAAGATAAAATACCAGAGAAGAAATATCTGTTAGCAGAAATGGAAAGTCTAGGCCCGATGGAGGATTGGGCTATTATGAATTGGAAGGAAGGTGTTTTCCCACCGGAAGGCACTCCCGAAGGCTAGAACGCGAACAGGTTAAATAGGCTTGAGGATAAGGCTATTAGTTAACTATTATATACGTAATAGTAGCTATATAAATACTATCTATTATTATACCATTATTGCAACTAAGGGTAAGGACTACAGCCTTGGAAATATCTTAAGCTATGACGAAATTAAATATTTGACGCACACATATGTCACGGTCTGAGTTATAAACTCTATGTTCTATTTCTATAAACATGTTTCTCCTTCACAACATGGCATTTACTGCTTTGACGAATCGTGGTAATAATTCACATACACCTCTTCAATCATAAGCATTGAATCAATTCAACGGTAAAAGCTGGATCACAACGATTGAGTGACTGTTACCACATCAGTTGCGACTTACTGCTTCGGATCACAGACCTCAAGAGCCATGAAACGGTACCAAATAATTCTTAGGGGCTATCAATCACAGGTAAAGAATAACTTAAAAGCAAGACATTTATCCACTATTAGAAACCAACTTGAAGTAGACAAGACAAGAGCATACTGCCGAGATTGCTCAACCAAAATCGCATTACGTTACCAATTGCCATTAACATCTAAGCACGATGTACAGAAACATAAAGGAGATTGCCGACGAGGCCTATTACCAAAGAAAGCCAAACGTTCCTAAGGTACCAGGTCAGAGGGGACGGCTTGAGCAACTGCTTGAATACTTCGCCGAAGGGGAGGAAGAGTGCCTCCACATAAGTATCAGCGAGGACATGGCTCATATTACCATATTCGAGATGGAAGGGGAAATCAAGCATGCCGACAAGGACATTCACACCATGATGGAGGAGAAAGGTCTTTTGGCGGAGTGGGATGCGTGGCCTCCTCGGTGATGTAACATTGTTATGCAAGGGAGATCTCCAGTAGCGAAGATCTCTGCATAATTCAGTACAATTCAGATTCAACAGGATAATAAAAGACAAACAATTTTAACAATAAACATTCCCCCGCATTCCCCATAATTACCATTTTCCCAGTCGCGTGCCTTTTCTCCGTCTAAGGAACGACATGATGTCAAGCAACAAGCTTAGTCCGAACCTTCGCACCGCCAAGCAGCGAAAATCTCCACGAAACTGAATTCCTCCATAACTTGATTTCTGCTCCTCTCCCCCGTAAGCATTTTCCGTGTTACCCGTCTTGGTTTTGTGCCAATTGCAGGCGCAACTGTAGCTAGATCTCGATAGACCTGAGACAGTGACGCTGGGAATGACGTGGGTGTGCCCTAATCCCGCGCGGTAGCTCGAGAAACCAAGGCCCTACTGTTCAACTGTCACTGAGCCTCTAGCCTTCTAGGCCTGAAATAGGCTGGTTTCACCATGACGCACAGCTTGATACGGGGCGGATGTGACGACGCACAAAATCATCATGAGCGCATCAGCCAACATGATGATGACGCATTGGAATTTCAGCCCCATAGCTAAGCTCTGGGAGCTTCAGATAAAGGCCTGGAGCTGGCTCAATTCGTGGCTTGTGTTCTTGTCTTCTATCTCTATCTTGTCAATTCACCCACAAGACATTTATTTTATTCCAGTCATATCAATTGACTGTGCCAATCAATATGGACGGACTACGAACCAACAACTTCCAGCCCGTCATGGCTGACGATACTGCCCACTCCCAATTCAACCCAGAGCGCCGCAGGTCCGGGCCGTTGAAGGAGATCATTGGTATGGACAATTCCCATAAACAATTCGAATCAGACGATGCTAACTTCATTTCGCAGCTCAACAGGACAGTCTCTACAAATACATCAGCGTACGTATCACATGTCGATAAATCCAATGACTGTGGCTGACATCATTTTAGTGGGAGGACCCAGCTCGCACCATCGGATCTTACTTTGCCGCATTGGGCTTTTTGCTTGCCGTTCACCATCTTCACCTTACTCAATACGCTCTTAAGACTAGCGCAATTGGCCTCGGAGGTATGTTCCACCAATAATATCACCCAACATCGATACGATACTGACTTTTATTCCCAGTTATGTCCCTTGCCGAGTTCGCTGGTCGATCATTCGGCCCTGACAACTTCGTATCCCGCCTTCGACCTCGACAGTACAAGACCGTCCCCGAGTCAACACTCAACGCTACTCTGAAGGACGTCCACGACTTCACTCAATATGCCGTTGTCCAGATCCAGAGAATTCTGCTTGCTGAAGACTTAGAGAAAACCTTTGGCGTAAGTCAACCTATCAAATGAAATGAACTGCGACTAATATCCAGCAGGCTTTCCTTCTGACCACCTCGCTCTACTTCCTCTGCCAGTTCATGACACCCTTCGGAATTACCATCTTGGGTCTTACCACAATCTACATCGTCCCTCTCGTCACTTCACCACGAGGCCGAGGCATTGCCCGCGATGGCGTGGCTCGTGCCCAGGAGATTAGCAGCGCAGCTGTTGACCAAGCCAGCACCATTGCCCAGAACGGCAAGACCACTGCTTCCAACCTCGCTGCTCAGGCACAAGATGCTGCCTCCAACCTTTCCACCAACGCTCAAGACACTGCCTCAAACTTGACATCCCGTGCTCAAGACACTGCTTCCAACTTGACTTCCCGTGCGCAGGATACCGCTGGAGACTTGAGACGCCGAGCTGTCAACATGGTTCCCGGTAACAACCAGAGCAACACTGAGACCCGACCCGAGCATGTCAGCGATGTTACTTCCAGCGTTCCTCACAGCTCTTCTGGACCCACCCAGGCCAAGGACGTCTCATCCAAGTTCCCTCAATCCGACATGTCGTTCGCTGAGTCTAAGGACAAGGCTTCCAAGGCCTCCCACGGTTCATCCGATAACTATCAGACACTCCCCAAGACTAGCTTCAACCCTGACATCCAGTCTTCTTCGTCCGGATTCTCTGAGGCTGCTGTCGAGCCAATCCCCAGCCACTCGCACAACACTTTCAGCCACGGTAACTCAGATAACTTCTCTTCTGTTCCTTCCGTTCCCTCAATGGAGCAGAACACCCCCGGCTTCTCCCAAGACAGAAAGCCCCTCAACTATTCTCAGTTCCCTCACACTTCAACTGGTGCGTCTGGGATCCCTGGAACTCAAGTCCCTGGCGGTAAGAAGCCTTCCATCGATGAGACCAACTACTCCCTCCAGAACCGAATGGGTCAGGACTCCTCTTACCAGAACTTCGTCCCTCGCGAGGCTGCCAACAGGGGAAACCTCAGCACTAGCGCTGATACATCGATGGGCAAGATGCCCATTGGTGAGTTGATTGATGAGAAGCAGAAGGCTGGCGATAAGGCTCCGCCTATTTCTGGTGGTGGCCTCAACGCCATGAACTAGGGATCCTGCATGCGACCCTAAAACTTTCACTGGCTTAGGCTGGATACATTGTACTATTAGTCCAGTACTTCATGATTGATATTTGGCGCAATGGAGTTTTGGAAGAATGTTATCATATGTATATAAGTTTAAATAATAACATTTTATTCAATCACTTTAACACATCATAATCTTTTCAACAATCAAATTGCTCAAGATATGTTGAATGCACGGATCGTGCGGGGACGAATTATAAAATAACAGTCAAGTCAAGTAGATAGTCAAAGCTTACGGAAGACATTAACACTCGAACATGAAATAGAATAATAACTTGCTTGGCTAGTGCGGTAAGACCGCTACAACTCGACCTGCTTTGTAGGCTAGGCTTCAATGCTTTTCACGACCTTGAATTTAAGTTGCTTGCCTTTCATGTTGAGCGGATGATATGTAAAGCTTTGTGGTAAACCAAATGGCCACAAACCTTTCTTGATACTGGGTCCTACCATCTTTAATTCCGTTTCTTGGTCTTTAAGACTTACGCCTTAACATTAACAGCAATTCTATGGACGTGGTTTCGTCTTCCAGTCAAAGGTTGTCGTAATCCGCCTTCAGACGTCGCACGAGCAATTAGTCTATGGGCGCCTAAGCCAAGATCAACTGTTGCAGCAAGCTTTTGCCAAGCGTGGTTATCCTTCTTCCTGACGACGCCTTTTACCCAACTTTCTCCATCATCCGTGCTCACCTCCACCATTACTACGCTGTCATGACTCCAAGCCCATCCTTCAACCTCAACCTTACCACGCTTCACTACCGCTGAGTCCGTCGGCTTGGTAATCATTGAGTTCACTTCGACCTCCCACACAGGTCTCATTCTGTTCCCTTGTGGATCTGCAGGGTCTTTCTCATTATACAAAACCGCTGCATGTGGACCGGGTGCCCGAGTTGTTTGTAGTGAGAGCTTGCAAAGCCATTTTGTCGAATTCGTACCATACCATCCAGGCACAACAAGTCTAACCGGTCCTCCTCGTTCTTTGCTCAGAGGCTCGCCATTAATCTTCCATGCGATAAGAACCTCAGGCCTTTGCGCTTTCGCCATAGTTACGTCCTTTTGGTATCGATCTGCTTCATACTGAAAGAACTTTCCATAATCAAGACCTTCTGACCACACAAAACGCGCTTCGGGGAGTGGTTCTGCAAGAGCCAGGATTGTCGATAAATGAACACCGGGCCAGACGACGTTGCCAATCCGCCAAGGATTGCTGACCGGTGGCGTGAGAGGACTCCCGTAGCATTCGTGAAAAGCAGTTACAGAAACTTGAGGCAAAGTTTTGAGTTGCTCGAGAGTAAGAGCAAATGGGCGACGGACAAGACCGTCAATAATCAAGAGCCATTTTTCAGGGTCAACAACGGCTGCGCCCATGTGAATTGTTTGAAAGAGTTGGTCGTCAGGTGTGATGAATGAAGATAGCTCATGTGGCGGTGGTGGAGGGCGGAGAAAGAAACCTTCAGGGCTTATTGCAGTACAGGCTTCCCTTTCGGTATCACGAAGAGGAATCGAAGATATGTTATAGCTTAGACATCCTTCTGTGCTTGTTGCCATTTTGGACATGAGAACAAAGGATGGGGTGAAATGTTTGTTCTGGAGAAAACTAGCTGGTGGTGAACTTATTAGCAAGAGACGTTTTCACACAGGTCTGCCGGGTTAGCCAGCCACGATCGGTAATATCGGCAATGTCGGAAGATATCTTCCATGTACTCCATATCTGCGACAGAGTCTGAGGGGGACCAAAACTTACATGGGATTTTGGCGAATGTCAGTCTTATCACCTCTCGGGGGCGGTTGTATGTAAAGTGAGACGAGGCAGAGAAAGCGACATTAGGATCTAGATTCAAAGATACAGTGCGTCCTGTGGTTCAGCGGATATACTGTCAAATTTGAGCTTTTAGGTCACTCACATCAATCACGTGCGATATTCGTGATCTGGTCTGGTGGTCTAGTGGTATGATTCTCGCTTAGGGTACACCCTACAGCACAGCTTGCGAGAGGTCCCGGGTTCAATCCCCGGCCAGACCCTTTCTTTTGCTCCTATGCCTCACGATATGTTAACAAGCATTTCTTTTTAATGGTGCTGGAATCTTGGACTAGGGGATTGGTCTCTGACTGGAATGCTTGGATAGGAAACCTATCAGTGGGTTAAAATCTTGTTCCCGTGGTAAGAGCAGCTACCCTAGGTTCACTCTTTCTCCTCGCGCATCCACGACGTGATTACAGAGGCCCGATTCTAGGATTTACTGCCAGCAATGTTATGATAGTGAATAGTGTTTTAGATTATTTACATCTAGTGTGGTCAGTTTACCACTTGGATTGTGGCCGTAGGTGGAAGCTGCGATCTGATGTTGCTGAAAATACACAAGAGCACCAGTGTCTTCGTCCTTCCTTATTCGTACTAGGATGCAAGGGAAATGAGCCCAAACCCTCACTGTAGAATTGTCTCTCACAAGATCCCTTACGCCAAATCTGATCAAGACCTGGACAGTATGAATGATCAAGAAACAGCCGTTTCCACAACAGTGACCGAGGAAACCACCTGGAACCCAATTCCTCCCTGGCCATCAACCAATCAGAGCCACGCCCGGTTAGCTCAATCGGTAGAGCGTGAGACTCTTACGAGTACGCGATCTCAAGGTTGCGGGTTCGACCCCCGCATCGGGCTGTTCCTATAAAACGATTGCGAGCAATAGCGAGGCATCTCTTTTTGTCATTTTCAACCACGACTATTGACTCTCAGCGAAGTAGCTTTAGGCCTCTGGCACTGAAACCCCAGAAACCTCCTTGCATATGTCCAGCAACTCCTCTTGTTTGCTCTCATTGTCTGCCCCAGGGTGAGGCTTTGCCTCTCCCCTAGTTGTCACAAAGGCACCGGATGCAACCTTTGTTAGAGATCCCTCCCCGGCGACCCAGCTTGCCAATGCCTTGGCTGGCTCACTAAGTGACACTGGTGCAGAGCTGCCCCCCATCTTGGTCTTGACCCAGCCTGGGTGCATGCTAATAACCTGAATATCCGTCCAGCGTCGCGCAAATGCTTTTGCAAGCATGGTGTCGTGGAGCTTCGTGTTGCCGTACGAATGTGATTGCGTCGCGTTCTTCAGCGTCTCATCTCCGCCGTAGTGGCTATCAGAGCTCATGAACAGCAACCTGGTGGTAGGTTTATCCATGAGACAAGTGAGGATATATGGCGCGAGGGTATTGACTGCAAAAACAGCCGAGATCTTGGCTGCTGTGAGTTCCCTCAGTGCTGTTGCCCCATATCCTATACCCGCATTGTGCACAATGACATCGAAAGGTCCAGCCTTGTTCGCTTCTTCTGCCAGCTTTTTCGTCTCCTCGATGGAAGACAAATTTCCCACGAGGACGGCTTGGGCGTCGGGGATAGCGGACTTGGCTGTGGCTGCCCGGTCGGCATTACGGGCATGCAGAACAACTTGGTGGCCTTGCTCGGCGAGGAGTTTTGCGGTAGCTTGGCCGATGCCGTCTACTGATCCAGTGATGAAAACACGGACCATTTTGTTGAATCTTCCGTGGTTGGAAGATGATGTTGAGATGTAGTGTGTGTGTGATATGAGACAGTTAGCAGAATGCTCGCTTCATGGGGTTTGATGTTGTCTGCATGATATCATCGAATCCATAACTGATTACGTCACCACTGTAGTGAACTAATGAAGGGCACTAAATAACATACTGCGATAATAACATTGAATAAAGAGTAAATAATAAGTGTCTGATGCATGAGCTTTTAAAGATGAGCCACTCAGCACCTGTCAGTAAGACGCACTAATAAAATGATGTAATTTGCGATGTCTGACAATGGAATGTTAAGTAAGAAGCTTACGTCTACATACATAAAAGATCTGAGTACTATTCTTACCAACTAATTTCTATAGATAAGAGTAGCTATCACTGGGGTATCATTACCAAGAATCAAGGCGAGGCTTCTCGAGTAGTTAGCTCTGTAACATTTAGTCTGCAATTATAGAACTTGCACAGTCTTAGTTGAGTGGCTAATACGAGTTATCGGCCAGCCATTTACCCACTATAAATAAATCCTGCAATATTCCCTCACCGCATGTTCTTTACTTCCCTTATTTTTACAAGCTCCGAAATCATTCTCATTCTTATGGCGCTACCTGCTGCCGATCTTAAAGAGTTTCCTACGTGGATACTTAACCCTGAGTTGCGGAGGCAACGCTTCGATGGAGACCCTCAATGTCGTCGTGGTATCTTCTCTCGATTAGACCAGGTATTGACATTAGACGATGGCCATAGACCTCTCCAATGGGGATTCGCCATCATACGTACTGTTTATGGCCCGGAATCAGATGAACAATTCCAGCACGCCTTGAATCTTATTAGTCGTATAGCTCAAGCATGATCTGACATTGAGATCGATGACTTTAACAATGAGCTGGGATATGTGAAGGAGAATAACATAGAGAGGGTTGGCAATGTCTCTATGGAAGTCGACACACGACTAAATATCGAGTTTACACGCCGCTACCAGAACGGCATTCTACAAGATAAGCAGCTCGATGGCGCTTCAGTGGCTATGGTGCGTAGCTACTTTAATGACTGGATTGCATCCAACAACGGCACTTCAGTTGCTGGCGATGTACGCTTTACTACGTGTATTATGTTAGACGCCGAGACTCTGGTCCAACTTTCCGAGGCGCCTCAAAACCTCCCCTCAGATTCGAGCGAATATTTCGGGTCGCAGTATTGGGTGAAAATGGTAGAGGCAGAATGTGGATACGAAGAAGCATTCCGCACTCGTATCTTTGGCAGATATGATCTCGCAGAATATTGGTTTCACAGAAATCATTCACGGCGATTAGTTGTCCATAGAAAGAACCCTGAATACCCGGGGGTTCTATACTATGGCACTGCACCGCTAGAGTTGACTCCCCATATGCAAGCAATGCAAGATGCTTGCAGGGCATATGCGCAGCAGCATCCAGGTACTGGAAGCGATCCGACGAAGACCTGGCTTTGGAGTTGAGAAGATTTGCGATTTGTATGTAGTTACTACGATCTTAGATGGAGAAAAGGGAATCTAGTTTGCAGTTATGATATCATGTTGCCCGACTGACTATCTATAGGAGGTTATTATAAGAAGCAAATCCGATGCCACGACCGCCTTAGGTATAGAAAATATTAGGCTGCTCAATGTCATACGTAAAGAAATGTGTTGCTGTAACCTCAGTCCTGACCGGAAACGGGACCTTCCGGTCATAATCAGGCCCTTTAAAGTATGCGTTACTGATAGCGAGGTTATCTGAGCATTTTGGGCATCACCTAGATCGGTATTAACTTCGAGTCATACCTTTAGAAATGCCACCTATCACATCCACTGGTTTGCGTTGCTGCAGCATCGCGGCCATATAGGCGAATTCAATAACCAGCTCGGACTTCCCCAGGATATCCTTGCGAAGTTAAAGCTAGACTAGAATCCCAACGGCATTCCATCGGCCATATAACGACTCTAACTGCCGCAGACGGGCGGATTGACCGCTTCGGCGACGGACACCGAGGCCGAAATGCGGAGGTTACATGGCTTCACTCTCCACTAGATCTACAACCCCAGATGCCAAAATCGGCAACTCACTAGACCATCGTGATCTTGTTTTTCGGTCAACGAGTTTGCCGATGTGCCCCTCTTCAGATTTACCGATGGGGATGTATAAATACTGCCGGGTATCGCGTGAAGGCATCTGAGCAGGAGCAAGACTCAGAGCCCAATTCTTAGTGTTCACGAAATCAAGATGCCATCTATTCTTATTAAAACGCTCTTATCGCTTCCAGTATTGGTAGTTTCCACAGCCTTTGCCAAGTCCTCGAGATGTACAGCCGATAGTATCATTATCCCCAACGCAACTGTAGCCTCAGCCAGCCACCACTCCCTCGGCGATGTCATTCCGCTTCCCAACACCGTAGCATCATGCGGTGGACCATTTTTCAAAGCCAACATCACAGCCGATCTTTGCAGAGTTGTCGTCAATGTCTCTACTAGCAAGTCTAGTTCAGTCCGTATTAAAGCCTGGCTACCCGATGACTGGAACAATCGTCTGCTGGCCACGGGGACGGGCGGAATTGGAGGATGTATCGACTATCGGTTTGTTCAGAACGGAGCTCATTTGAAGTTTGCCAGTTTTGGGACCAACACGGGACATGATGGTATGGCAGGATTTGACTTCTTTTTGAATCAGCCTGAGGTTATCAATGACTTTGGCCATCGGGGTATCCACGTCGAGGCGCAGGTTGCGAAACAGATTGTTGAGCAATACTACGGACGCAAGGCCTCAAAGAGCTACTACCAAGGCTGCAGTACAGGAGGGCGTCAGGGCCTGCAGAATGCCCAGCTATACCCAGAGGACTTTGACGGGATCTTAGCAGGGTCTCCTGCTATTGACTGGCTTCACATCGTAGCCTCCAAGGGCATCCTGGCCAGGCGCATCGGCTGGCCAGATCTTCAATCCGACTCTTACGTTCGCCCAGAGCAGTGGAAAGCTATCGTGGCCAAACAGATCGAGTTGCTTGATCCTCTGGACGGGGTCAAGGACGGCATCATCGACAACCCTGCTGCACACGCATTCGACCCTGTAATGCTGGGTTGCGGCAATGGACTCCTCAATGGCTCTTTATGCCTGAAGCCTCAACAGGTTGCTTCCGTTCGGGCTGCTTATGAACCTCTTGCCGATTCAGAGGGAAACATCGTTTACCCAGGGTTTGGGTTGGGTGCAGACACCAGCGTCTTCTCAGCGAACCAAGTCAACGGAACGGCAGACTTGACCTACAAAGTCTTGCAGGTATGGTCTTTGTATTCTATCTAGTCAGGGTGCGATACTAACAAGCGAATAGGACTTTTGGAGGGGAGCTGTTTACAACGATTCAACCTGGAGACCCAACAACTTCACCGTGAAAGACATGGATTTTGCAGTCAAGCTCAACCCCGGAGGCGTCAACGCAGCCGAGGCCGACCTGGAAAGGTTCTACGCCAAGGGAGGCAAGATCATCTCCTACCACGGCCAAGCTGACGAGACCATCACCCCCAAGCTGCTAGCCGAGCATTACGCAAAGGTACAAAGCAATCTGAACGTCACTCTTGATGATATGCACTCCTTCTACCGACATTTCTTCGTCCCCGGGATGTACCACTGCGGAGGAGGTCCTGGTGCAGTTGACTTTGGACAGGTGTATCCCATGGATGAAGATCGGTTGAACCCAAAGGAGAATGTCTTGCTTGCTTTGGCGGAATGGGTTGAGGATGACAAGGAGCCTAAGACTATTGTTGGAGCCAAGTATGGTTCTTCCGGAAAGGTCACGGCGCAACGAAGTAAGTTACATGCGAATTCGTGAAGAGATTCAAGCTAATGATATTTAGAATACTGTCCTTATCCGTATGAGAGCAAGTGGGATGGATCTGGAAAGACCAGCAAGGAGTCTAGTTGGCGCTGTGTCCTTCCGGGAGCCTTAATTTCATCTTAGATTTCAGTTTACTATCATATATAGTAATTATAAACTTTAAGGGCATATATGGTACCCTGAGTGTATAGAGAATACTGTGCAATATGTGACTTACAGCTCATTCTCAATAACCCTGTAAGAGAAAGGGTACCTCGCCATAACTATTCTCAAGCCCAAGGGATCGAGTTTTTAGATCTTGTATTTGAGCCCTGCAAGGTAAAGGGATATAACACAAAATTAGTAAGTGTATGGCTATGGCTTCAAGCTGGCGTTTTCATAACAAGAGGCTCATCAGAATTATGAAAACTTGCACAAGTGTCGAGCCAAATCACAACATGGCCTCTAAGGTCATTTCGAAGCCACATTGGCAGTGTCTAACCATTTGGCGGTCAGCCTGTGTATATTGCACTTCTCATAGCCAATCATTCTTTCCGCAACGTAAATAATCAAGCCTCTTTTCTTTTTTTGAACAGGGATCAACAATTTTGAGGTCCCTGACTGGGTCTCACCTGCAGCGAACAGACGCGTGTGCAGGGTTTAAAAAATCGAACTGAAATTCGTAGAATAGGCCTAAAATGAAGGTCACCACTTCGATTTTTTTCCGCATAAAAAGAATAACCAACAGCGCAATGAACTCGAAATTTCTTATTCATCTCATCATTCTTTTTTTATCTTTATTACAACCGTCTGCGAATTTACATCCCTGACATCATGTCGGGCTCGATGGACATCACCACTACGAGCGACAATGCCGAATCACCAGATACTGCTACTGCAGCAGCGCCCACAAAGCCTTCGCTAAGGGTGAGTCGATCTTAAGTCCCGGGATGGAATAACGTACACTAATTGACAACTCGAAACCAGTTCGTGGACCAAGCCTTCACCCACCTGACTACACGCGAGCAGGACCTGGCCCGTGGCCCATTGCTGTTAGGCTTTGGTGATGGCTTTGGTGATGGCCAAGAACATGTTCAAGACCCTCATCCCTCTCACCTGGGGTTGGAACTGGCATCTGTGGTTTCAGCACACGATCCAGCCAACGACATCATACCGCCTTCGCTGCATTGGAGAGGGCCCCTGCCATCATCTGCTCAGGTCATGACGGAGCCTACAATATCGCAATCTGGTCGATCGCTGTCGTTGCCATCCGGAAGTGTATCGCATGAAACCGTTTACCATCCTAGACAACAAATGATGTTTCCAGGGAACCAAAACAGCGCGGCCCTTCCACTTGCCTGGCATTACGAATTCTCGTGGAAGAATTCCCGTCTCTGTTTCGGTTCAACACCAATCGAGATTGTTGAGGCGCTGGAGGCCCAATCTTCCGATGCCAACCCGGCTTCAGAATCTAGATTTTCTGCTTCTCAGGCGTCGTTTTCTAGGTTACTGGCCGAATCTGATCCCCTTAGCACTGCTGGTATCGGAGGCTTTTGCAGTTCAGCTGAGGTTCGACCTACACTCTCCATTCCTGAAGACTTTGAGGTGTCGTCGATAAATTCCTCGGATTTCTGTTATGGCTCCGAATTTGACGAAATCATGGTAGATGACTACATTCCAAAATCTTCAGATCCAGGAGTAGCCATAGCTATGGAGAATAAAGCTCAATGGTTAGCGGAATTACTCTTCGACGACTTCATCAGGTCTTATGCGCCGCAACAATCACGAAAACAGACTGCTGCAACAAAACACCAGGACCTATCCAGCGAGCCTAGCAACAAAGCACAAAGATTCGCCGGAGATCGCGGACATGTAAAGAAATCCCGCAATTCGAGAGCTGCTGGTAGAAACGAGGGGAGTGGGGATGAGACTTCTGACGATGATGGGCAGGGTCCATCACCTGCTGCAAAGTCCAATGACTCCAAGTATCTTGCTTGCCCTTTTCTTAAGTGGAATCCGATTGAGTATGCGGCAACTTGCAGTCTAAAGTTCAAGCAAATTAGATATGTAAAGAGGCATATCATAGGAAAGCACCAGCGAGATTACTGCCCCGATTGCGAGATGATCTATGAAGAGACAGACATCCAAACTCATGTATGCGACCCGAACCGCATACGCCCTTATGACCTCTTGACGAAAGAAAAGATCTCAGCAATTGAAAAGATACGAGGGTCTGAGGTTGAGTGGAAAAAAAGGTTGCGGTGGTATGAAATTTATGAAATCATTTTCCCGAATCAACCGCGCTGTTTCAGTCCATATTTCAACAAAGAGGCGGACAGGAGTTTGTTCAATATGGAACGATATTTTCGCCTTCCCAAGGTACGTGAAAGGATGGAGTCTCAGGCACATGCATACCATGTCAGGGGAAATTTCCTCAGGCTGCTTTTTGCTGTCATCTTTCCAGATCTCTGGGAAGGATATGGTATAAACGACGAGGGGGAGCCTTACATGATCCACGATAAGGAACCCGCAGCGCGGCATGCCCAGCCAAGCAAGACGGTGAGTTTCGGTGAGCATGACATGATCATCTCACATGATACCAGCAGCAACACATCACAACGTCCTTATGGAGGAGTGGATATGCCCCAATCCTGCACTGTTACGGGGTCTACGGACTATTCTGCATCTATGCCAGGCATCTTTCCAGCTCAAGAGCAAAGTGAGAACATTAACAGTGATTTCTTCCCCGACTTGACTTACTCTGGAGAGTTTTCTGATCCAGCTAGGCGTGGTCTTATGGGGATTTGTGGGAGTGGCAGTTGGGAGATGCTACCGGGTCAGAACTTCACAGACCCTTCTTGGTCCGCAGGGTTTGAGGTTGGGTCGGATCTGATGTCGGAGTCGTAATCCTGGTACTGGAGCGGCTTGTGTTGCAGAGCTTGATTTCTTGCTGAGCATGTATTTCTTTTGTGTTAAAGGTCACTAATCGCGTTGTTGTCTTTATATTTCATTAGGCTTGTCTGTTCTTTATTTATTTGTTGGCTTAGGGCGCGCTGTAGTTATCTTTCGGTTAAGATAGAGGCTGGTAGTGAGAGAATGGAAAAAAATTGTTAATCGATATTTATAAGCGTATATGAAATGAAGTAACTGTGTTACTTAGCTGTAGTCCAAACCAGAAATATTTGAGTAAATCTGGGCAAGTGTTTAAAGTGGGACTGAGTTAATTTTGCGGTGTGGTGAGCAAAACAACAATCTTCAATTATCCCCACGCCATTAACTCTTCATTTTTAACCAACAACCCATCAGAATACCCAGACACAATTAAGTATGCGTAGACTTATTATTTCCAGTCGCCTGTGTGCGCGCAAACCTTGCTTCTCTGGAGTCAATCAGCCGCGTCACTCTATAGCCAACAGTCTCCCAATCATCACCGACATCCACAAGCACTGGACCAGCAGTCAATGTTGCAGCAAGAAAAGCCCACAAACACCTCCTCCCACATCAATAACATCTCGCGCATTTTGGGCCTCAAGACCGACGTGGAAGCGTGCTTCCGTCAACACCACGCGATGTCTGGTGGGCTGCACAGTGGGTGACTTTACCGCTATGTGGGTACTACAAGCCTACTACCCAGAGCTGAGCATGGCGATTGTAATGCCCATCTCCAGTAAGTCCTCTTTCACATGCAAGTAAATCTATTCTAATTAGAAAGTGGCATCTGGTATCTCATCGTCAATTCTTCTCGAGACCGTCATGCTGCGTATCGGCCGTGATGGACTGTCCTGGCTCACGGCTGCACGAACGGCAATTGGCATGAGTTTGATCTCGATGTTGACGATGGAAGCGGCTGAGAATGCTGTGGACTACTACCTGACTGGTGGACAGGTAGCTCTAAATGACCCTGCGTTTTGGGTCGCTGCGTTGGTCTCGATTGCGGCGGGTTTTATGGCGCCGCTGCCGTATAATTATGCGAGATTGCGGAAGTATGGGAAAGCATGTCATTAAGGGTGTTGGCTGGCTGTTCATGTGAGCTGAGAATGTACTATGCCTACTTGCTTGTTGTAAAACTCTACTCATACTCGCTGATATCACTGCATGATTAATTCTTATCTGCATGGCTTGTTGGCCTGTTCTCCGCTCTCAACAATCCCCAGTCGGCAAATGTTTGCCGGGCTTCCAGATAACATTACAACTAGATTGTTTATCACTTGTTGCTGATTTCTCAGAATACGATCAAAATATAAAGAAAACGTCAAGATAAAAGCCTACTACTTCTCCGGAGCCTACTTCTCGCGCCGTGTTTTCCCTCTCAATCACTACATTCTCTCCCATTTTGATCTCGGACACTGATCAAGCTCCGAGACGATGGCGTCGGTTCACGTGGTCCAAGGTTCAACGCTACATGCCAGAATAGGGCCCAGACTCTCCCCCAAGAGATACAACCTAGTCTTGGCCAGATCGCTTTGGATGGTGAGTCTTGGCTGCAGGGGCTAGGGCTGGGGATTGCGGGGGATTGACTGACCGTTGGGCTATGTCGTGGAGAATATTGATAGGGGATTGAGGATGGTTGCTGTGGTGGGTTGTTTGACGGGGGCTGATCTCCAAGTTGGGGATTGCAATGCAGCTTTCCACGGTAGCACGGGTGTACTTTGCAATTCCAAAGTCCAGATTGTCTCAACATATCTCAATGTCTACCATGTTGTCGGGTCCAATGCACCATCAACTAATACATCATCGACCATAGCCATCTCGTAATTATTCCCTGGGTCATTGCACCATCTATCCGATGGTTCCCCAGCCGATCTCCACAAACCCATCCCCATTGAGCATCAAATACCACACTACACCATAAACTCCGGGCTCTACCTCCCTCACCCTCACCCTTAAACCGTCTAGCGTCTCTCCCCCTCAACATCGTCACATCAAAAATCTCCTCGGCTTCTACTTCTGTTCTCCGGAACTACCCCAGATTGCCATCCACTTTTCCCCAGCTTTGTCACTAGCCCATTACCGCTTCCCCGCCATGATCACCCCCCAGTCTAGGCCTCTTCTCCTTGCCCCAAAAAACAATAAATACACTGAAACCTTCCCGTTGTGAAAAGTTTTCTCAGATCTCATCAATCCACCACCACCATCAGCCATATCTCGTGCATCACATCACCATGGCCACCACTACTCACCAGGCAAAGGACGCGCCTGAATTCGCGCATGTGAACAGCGTGCTCGACGATGAGAAGCCAGCGCAGGTGGAGGAGAGGGATTGGACGGGTACTGCCAAGAAGACAGACCCAGAGGAGATCCGCCTTGTCAAGAAGCTTGATCTCTGGATCATGGTACGTTGGTGATTCTTGGCGTACGCGCCAACGCTTGGCTCTTTTTGCTAACAATGAGTAGCCTTGTCTTTGTATTATGTACTTCCTCAACTACGTCGATCGAAACGCGATTGCTCAAGCGCGATTGAATAATTTGGAGGAGGATCTCAACATGACTGGTACCGAGTTCAACACAACAGTTTCGATGTACGTGGAGTGATACTGGTTGAACTGATTAATGCTGATGGTTTTGTAGCTTGTTTGTTGGTTATGTCCTTATGCAGGTTCCCAGCAACATGTTGATCACCAAGGTGAAGCCTGGTATGTACATGAGTTCATGGATGCTGGTCTGGGCTGCTGTGTCTGGTAAGTTATACCCAAAAGCAAGGATTTACTTTTGCTGATGCTTTGTATAGCTTGCACTGCTCTTGTCAAGAGCTACGCCGGTCTCGTTGTCTGCCGATTCTTCCTTGGTATCACCGAAGCACCTTTCTACCCCGGCGCCACATACATGCTCTCCATCTTTTACACACGCAAGGGTAAGCCTTTATCTCGCGTCATTTTTCCGGCAGTTCTAATGGTAAACAGAGGTCGCTGCTCGTATTGCCGTTCTCTACTGCGCCCAGATTCTCGCCACTGGCTTCTCTGGTCTTATCGCCGCTGGTGTCTTTGCAGGCATGGACGGTCTGGCTGGTCTCGCAGGATGGCGATGGTACGCACTCCCCTCCCTCCAACTTTGTCACTGTATCTAATAGACTTCAGGCTTTTCATCGTCGAAGGTGCCGCTACTGCTGTCGTTGCCATCGCAGGCTTCTTCATGCTTCCCAACACACCCCTCACCACACGCTGGCTCACCGATCGCGAGAAGCAGCTTGCTCACGAGCGCATGGAGAAGGATAAGGTGTCAGACTCTCAGGAGGGCGGCTCTTCTTGGGAGGGCTTGAAGCAGGCTTGCAGTGATAAGCGAACGTGGCTTTTCTGTCTCATGCAGAACTTTCATCTTTCGGCCTGCTCGTTCAATTCTTTCTTCCCTACGTAAGTTGTACTTTTTCTAAATTTTGATGACAGGCTAACTGGTTTATCAGTGTCGTCAAGACGCTTGGCTTCAGCACGACTATCACTCTCGTCATGACCTGCCCGCCTTTCATCTTCGCTGGTGCCGCGGGTATCCTCTTTGGATGGAATTCTGGACGAGTCCACGAGCGCACATGGCATATCACCGTCGGTCTCTCCATCGCTGTGGCAGGTTTCGTCCTCGCTGCTTCTACGCTCAACACAGCTGCTCGATACGTGGCCTGCTTCATCTTCCCCATGGGCGCCTACGCTGTCAACTCGGTCATTATTGGATGGGCTTCTTCGACTCTGTCTCAGACCAAGGAGAAGAAGGCTGTCGTTCTAGCCATGACCAACGTCGGTGGACAGGTAAGCTTCCTTCACTCCTGCTTTCAGCATTTGTGCTAATTTTTACTAGATTGGTTACATCTACGGTGCCTACCTCTGGCCCAAGAGCGACTCTCCTAGATATGGAATTGGTTTCGGTGCATCTGCCGGTTTCGCCCTGTGCTCCATTGCATGCGCCTGGTGCATTCGTATTCTGCTGGTGCGGGAGAACCGTCGCATCCGTGCTTCCACCTCTGAGCAGGTTAACTTATTCGGATACTAAATTGAGTACATCAAATATATAACGAAACTCGGAGACTTCTCAATACATAATAGTCTGAACTCTTGCAAGCTTGGTATTGGTGATTACAGTGTACGTGGAGCAGATTAATTGGAGCTGATCAGGTCATGGTTCACGGAATGATTCGTGAATTAATTATACAGCAAGGCTCTGATTTGTTGCAACTCGACCAACGCATAATGTACCTATCCCATGCAATAGAGCATCACCAACATGATGCTGACTGGACCAACAGCCAACAGCCAACAGCCCCGCACGGCTGCCTAACTTGGAGAAGATGATAAAAGCGACAACCACAATATCAGGCTCACTCTTTTGATAGAATTATTTCACCACTAACAATCAACTCTCACCACAACAATCAACTCAATTCAAAATGCCTAAACTCCTTCAAGAAAAGATTCTCTCCAAGCCTCAAAACCCCCAAACCCAGTGCCCTCTCTTCTGCACCCTCCCAGCAGAAGTGCGAGACGAAATCTTCTCCTACGTCCTCACAGACCATCCAGATCCCAACCCCACCAAGCAGTTTAAAGAAACAACCTGCTACACTCGCCCTTCCTACCTAGCCCATCAATTGACAGACACGAGACTTCTCCGCACATGCAGAGCCATTTACCGAGAAACTTGGTTCAAGCCTTATGTCCTCAGAGAGCACACGCGATGGGCTTCGTCTGGTGACCGCGCCCCGCCAAGAGGAATGGCGACCGGTCGACGCCTTGTGCAAACCCTCAAGCGCATCGCTAAACAACTGGGCCAAGAAAATGTTGAGATTGAACGCCTGAGGGTTTTTGCGCAAATGTACAAGCTCGACGAAGGGGACCTTGCCACAATCCTGCGCACGCCTTATCTTGCGCCCCGCGCTGTGACGCTTACTATTCGCCACACGGACTGGTGGTTCTGGGAAGACGATGAGCCTCTTACTTTCCATGGGAAATGGCTCACGGACGTCGGCATGGCCATGACGGCTAGCACGAATGTTTTCCGCATTGAGCTGGAGTCGCTCGAGCGGAAGAAAGCTCAAGTTGACAAAATCGCCGACCAAATGGCCAAGGAATGGTTCATCAAACGATCCGACGGTGTTGTTCTCTATGCAGATGTATCTGGCAAGGATCGAAAGGTTGACCGATGGAGCGGTTCGAGTATCTGGCATGGCAGACGATGGATTCGCGATGAGACGGAGCCAAACAGACTGGATTACTACATCCTGACTGTCACATTTCGCCCTCAGCATGAGATTGAGCGCAGTGGAGGGACGATCAGCGAGACCGCTTGCAATTCAGCGCAGAGACAGGTCCATTTCTATTCTGAGCTTCGTATTCCGGGTCAGGAGAAGATTGAGGACCCAAAGCCGTTTGTTTATGAAGATGACAGTGATGATGAAGCCTGTTGCACAATGATGGATTAATGTAAGTCTGGCCACAATTGCGATGGAAATGGATATAGTAGAAAATGAACCATTCATCTTTTCTTCAGTGCATATTCACTGCGTGATCTGAGACATTCTTACCATCTCCCTTTGGCCTCATCTCAACATCATCTGATCAAGTGACAGCCGATTAGTCAGCACCACTCCTACGTCATTGACACATCTCGGCTGTTGCTCTTTATCCCATCATCTTCAATATGACTCAACCAGACAAAGACAACAACGGCCGCGTCGTCGGCGACTTGACCTGCCAATCGGACTCTTATCTCAAGACTCTCGAGACAGAAGTTGTTTCGTGCGAAAAAGCGCTCAAGCAAGCGCACAAGGCAAAGAAGCACAATGGGCACCACCACGATGAATGGTTGATTGAGTGCGCCGACTCTGTTTTGTTTCCCGAAGGTAATCACTACATTTTTTTATGCTAGATAAAGTTTAACTCCTCTTTTAGGCGGTGGTCAACCTTCGGATCACGGCACAATCACCCCGCTGTCAGGCGACCAAACTCCCATCCCCGTCAAAAACATCCAGCGCCAAGGCCTCCGCTGCGTGATCTACTCTCCCAAGCCTCTCTCCCCGGGCGACAAGATCCGGCAGGAAGTCGACTGGCAGCGTAGATGGGATCACATGCAGCAGCACACAGGCCAGCACCTACTGTCCGCTGTGATGATGAAGCGCCACGAGCTCAAGACCCTTGGTTGGGGAATGGGCGCCGAGGGTAGTATGAATTACGTCGATCTGCAGAGGAAGCCCACGGATGAGGAGATGCAGACCATTCAGATGCAGTGCGCTGAGGTTATTCGGGATAATCTGCCCATCAAGGTTGAGACGCCGGATGATGCCAAGCACGATAAACTCCCTGGTGATTATGACAAGTCTGATGGTGTTGTTCGCGTTATTCACATTGGGGATCTTGATACAAACACGTATGTACCGTGCACTCAACTTGGTGCGTCTACTGACTAGTTTTAGATGCTGTGGAACTCATCTTTCTCAAACGTCGCACATCTCACTCATCATCCTCGGCTCGACACAGTCGGTGCATGGTAAAAACTGCCGCCTTTCTTTCATGGCAGGCGACCGGGCCATCACCCTAGCCAACGCCTCCGTCAGCGCCATCAGCACCATCGCCAAACTTACATCATCCAGCAACGTCCCCAGCGAAGTCGTCACACGCGTAACCTCCCTCACCGACAGCGCCACCGACTCGAAGCGCTCTGAGAGAAAACTTCTTCTTGAAATCGCCAAGTTTGAAAGTGAGCAGGCGATTCGGATCATTGTGCAGAACAGGATGAACGCTTACATCCATCGCTATGATGGGAACACGGATTTCATCAATAAGATTGTTGGTGAAACGAGGGATATTCTGCAGGGGACGGGGTTTGTTATCGTGATTGCCATTGGAGAGCCAAAGGGCAGCGGGCCTGTTGTGATTGTGGGTGATCAAGTGGCTGTTGATACTATGGTGCAGAAGGTCAAGGCTGTTTTGAAGGATATTAAAGGGGGAGGTGCTGGGGGAAAGTGGCAGGGTAAGGTGAAGGAGTGGACTAATGCTGAGTTGCATGCTCTGAAGGAGGCTGTTGAGACTTGATCCTCACATCTGAGAGCACGCGTTCATTCATTTGATATAGAAATACAGTATCTTATCCTAGAAACAAGTAGACCAAGCCCAATACAACCCCAAATTATCCAATCCTCTGAGTGCTTGCGACCCAAAACTGCTTACCAAGTCTCCTCCCAGCAACAAACTTTACTGTCTTCCAAAATCAAATCAGCTCCAACGTCTTCCTATTCGCAATTCTATGCAACTGAACCCGCCTCATCTTAGGCCTCCTCTGCGTCTGCTGAAACGCCCTCCGAACATGCCTCACATCAACCGGCGGCCTCTCAGGATCCAGCGGCACAAAAAGCCCAAACCGTCTATTCCCCAGCGGCGCTGCCTGATCCATCTTTCTTCGTTGAGCCGTCAGCTCGTTGTCCTGGATCGACAGTGCCAAGTCTGTCAGCTTCTTGACCATCTCAGCCGCCAGGAAGCCTGTAATCTCTAGGATGTCTTCTTTCTTCCTTGGCTCTGCGATGACGCCTATACCAGCCCACTTGCGGAACCGCTCTTTTTTGCGAGATGTGAAAGACGCGTGTCGATAGTCGGCGTACTTGGCGTACTCCTCCGCGGTCATGTTTTTCGTTATCTCATCCGCCCAGCGGAGCCTCTCGAGGGAATCTTTGCTTGACTCATTGAGCAGGGTTTCGTTACTTGCGCCGCCAGGGGGTTGAACCGGGAAGAAAAAGTCCACGTCCCAGGGAAGCAGAGCTGCTGCAGTCTCTGTCTTTTTCTTCTTTGAGAAACAATCAGCGATGGAACTACCGAGAACATCTTCAATATCCTCTGCATCGTCAAAATCTATTTCTCCGCTATCGTTGCTCTTCTTATTGGCTGCTCTGCGGATGGCTCGCCAGCGGATGAGGGCTTGTACGCGTGCGAGTCGAGGTCGATCGTGGCGGATTTGGAAGATAATATCGTTGATGGAGAAGGCTCTTTGGCCACGGCGAGCAGCAAGGTCGTTGGCGGTGGTTAGCTAGACTTGTTAGTTGTGGACGAAAGGTGTTTGGACGGACGGACTAGATGGATGACCTGGTTGCGAACGATTTCTTCGATGAGAGCCAGGGTTTCGTTTGAAACGTCCTGTTTTTCGCCAGCGCAGAACATCATCTGGAATCGTCAGAGGAAAGAATTTTGGGGGTGGACGAAGATGCTTACCTGCTGGATCTCAGCACTGTACTTGGGTTCGAATCTGGCCATGATAGGCAAGTTGGCTGCGCTTGTCACAATTCCGCTCAGCTGAGGTGTCATATATCAGTTGTCTCATACCAAGAGGCTCTTGATCACTGCAAGATCTGGCTGTGATTAGTGGTCAGGGTCGAGAAACACATTGACGCAGGACGGCATAGGAGTGAGGGCTGTGAAAGCCTCTCAGAGGATCGATCTTGGCAGTTGGATAGTTGAAACATCAGTCCAAATCTTCCGGGGTTTTCTCATTCACATATGATCCATTCCAAGTCAAGTTTACTTCTTTTTCTCATGGTGGTTCTTTGTTCGTGGCAGCAAGTGAGATTACAAACATCGTGGCTGGGAGTGTTGACCATTTGAACAAAGGAGCCGCCGTGCCCTCACACCTCAACTCCTACATGGAACGTGTCGATCCAAGAACCAGTCCTTTCACTCCCGCCGGGTTTTGCGCAACAGTCTTGATCATTTATGATGCGATGCGGCTTCGGCTTAGCCCTGGTCCTTTCAGTAAAACAGCTTTGTTGAAGTGGTACTAGCATTGGATAGTACCTGTTCATCGTATTGTTTGCACACCAGAGTGAAAGAACTGAGCTTAACCATTACAGAAGTTATTCAGCAATGATTATCCTTTCATGCCAAATTACAAAGAGTCTGATACCTTTTCTGGCTTGCGCTTCCCCGCCCCTGGCCCAAGGTCATGATCTGACATTAAATAAACCGCATCCTTCTCAACGCCCTCAGTCTCCAACTTCTTCCTCTTCTCATAGTACCACCTTCTATTCTCCTCAAGCTTTTCCTCCGATCTCTCACGGTGTTTCTCCTCCAGCGGCGGGGGCAGTATCCCAGCCAAAGGCTTGTACCACTGCTCCTGAGGTGTTTTGTTCCCGTCGACCCCGCGAAACACCTTCTCGCCTTCTTCATTGTACGGAAAACGGTCGAGTATGGCCTTTATGAGCGCGGGAGAGAATGGGACGGCGTCCACAACTTCACGGTCGGCTGTGAGAGAGCGGTAAATGCCATCTCGGCCGAGATGCTCAATGCCCATGAGAGTAGGGTCCTGTTTTATTGTGCGCATAATCACTCTGAGCTCTTTCTGTGCGGGATCCAAGTCTTTGTATTCCACACGTTCGGCGTTGGGATTTGGGATGCATTTGCCCATATTCTCGTTGTTCAGCTGTTGTGTCATGGTGTTTTTGAGGTTGGATGATGTAAAGTGAAATTTTCAGGGTAGAATGTTTGCTTCTGAAATGTACAAAGTCCAAACTATTAATGAAAGTCGTAAGCAGCATGTGATGAATGCATACTTCGAGAACGTGGTCTTTTTCAAGGTAAACAGGTGGATCATTGGTTGCCTAGTACCGACACCCTCAGCGAACCGCACATCATACATTGGACCAGTGCTTTAATGGCTGACAATCCTCTGAGAGGGTTGAAAATAGGCATCACCGCGATTTTGGAGATAGGATTGCTGATTGTGACGTCGTCTGACAACTCATGACCAGCAGTTGATGCAAATGCACCACAAGTTTTCTTGTTCGTTCATAGCAGTGTTTAAACTAATGCATAACTGATAAATTTGATTATCGTAACTGGAACGCCCTCGTTCCTTTCCCTCTTCTCTACCGTGTCTTTGAGAAATGTGACTGAGCTTTTATAGAATAATCACCACTTCATCATGCTGCGGCAACATGTTGTGATCGTACAAATATTGTGTCGTTTCTTGCAGTGCCCTCTGCGTGGTCTACATACTCTTTTCTTAGACGCCACGAAAATTGAGATAGACGAATTGCCAGGCCAGTGTGCGCAACGAACTTGAAAAGAACGTCCAGGACGCTGACTCGTACAACCAAGCGAATTTTGTTTATCTCTCTTTTGCGTGAGCGGGACCTAAAAGCTAATTCAATTGCAACTCTAAATTGTATCAGAAGACAGCTTTATTGATTGGATGCTCTTTTAAACGGATTCAACGACATCTCATCCGTCGAAGATCCTACAATATCATTCTCCAAGGAAAACTAGTGGATATAATGCGACACAAACGACTCTGTAACATCAAAACAGCTTGGTACTGTGGTCTAGTTGGTTATGACATCTCGTTAACACCGAGAAGGTCCCCGGTTCGAGCCCGGGCAGAACCTCATTTTTTCGCTTACACGCTACATGTGGAGGTAAAGTGTGTTTTCTTTTTATCTAGTCGAGATATTAAATAATGTTATTCAATAATGCTGTCCTCCTCGTTCACAAGCCAAGTATTGAGATTGGGGAAGTTTCTTCACTTAAGAGATAGGGGCATCACTTATGCAGTATGTGAGTTAACTGCAGCTTTATTAACCTGGATTCGAGTTTTTCTTCAAAGCTCAAAGCGGAAGTCCCCTCTTGTTGTTCGAGATTTGACCTTGTACGATTTTTTTGATGCATCCCGATATCCATTGCTGCTCCGAGGATGCCACCAAGGTAATTTGGGCAAGATCTGCAGGTTGAAACAGCTTACGCTTCCGTTGCATTTAGTAGTCAGACCAACTGATTCTGTAAGAAGTCGATGCTGTCGCAGGTGGAGCAATTGTTTGTCATGAATAAGGTTGTCTAGCGTTCCCTTGGCGTGAGATGCGTTTGAAGCGATGGTCCAGCATCGATTGAAAGGAATCAAGCCAAAGTGGCGGAGTAATTGAGGTCACTGGTAAGTATCCCAAACTTACTAAGGAGTGTCTGTAACAGTTCCCAACGTGACAAGATTGAGTTTGAAGATGACAGAGATGATGTGACAATCCATCATTGGCATGTAAATGATGTCATCAAGACATACGAATTGCATGTCTAACACACCTTGTGACACTGATGGCACCCAATCGGAACGTTTAGCTAGGGCTCCCCAAGGTTAAAATAGAATCTTAATTAAAGTTATTACAACATCACATCAGTCACATTTCATGGGAATTCGTCAAATATGATGAGGCCGTAGCGAAAATAATATTATGCAAGAAATGCTACTAAATACAAGGATATAATATGCTCTTTTGGGTTATGTACCACCTTGCTCCCCTATGCGAAAACAATTTTGAAATGCAACGTCCGTCTAATCGTTACGTGCCGGCAGGCCGGCTGCTTCTATAGTATACTTGTGGTCGTCTATAGTTCATGTGGTGTGTGTTGTGTGTGTTGTGGTTTGTGTGGTTGTAGTCGTTTAAGAAGAAGCCTCCTCATCAGTGACACCCTCACGAGCACCCTTGGAGGTGTTGTTGGGGATCCACTTGGAAGAGGTGATAGGGTTGACCTTCTGGACATACATGGTGTCAATCTCCTCGAGGCTGCGGTCCTTGGACTCGATGACGAAGAAGAAGACAATGGCGACGAGGGCGGCACAACATCCGGCGTAGACGAGACCGTAAAAGTAGTCAATAGCATCAGTGATGAAGCGAGTGCTGTGAAGTGTTAGTGAATTATTCATGCAGGCGTGGTGAAAGCAAGGTGACTTACAAGAAACCGATGAGGAAGTTGAAGAGCCAGTTGGTAGCGGTGGCGAGAGCCATGCAGCGACTGCGGTATTGAGAGGGGTACATTTCAGCGACGACGGCCCAGACAAGGGGACCCCAGGTGGTAGCGAAGGCGACAATGGCCAAGCAGGAGAAGGTAACGAGGACGGTACCGGCAGCGGGGGTGTTGAGAGGGTTCGCACGGTCGAGAGCGAAATGACCAACGAAGGCGTAGATGAAGAAGCACATCATCATCCAAGCAGCTCCGATCATGAGAGACTTTCTCCGACCACACTTCTGGACAACGTAGAGACCACCGAAGGTACAGAAACAGTTGACAGAGCCGAGAATGAGCTGGGTGACGTAGCTGTCCTTGAGACCGGTGGAAGCAAAGACAGTGGTACCGAAGTAGAAGAAGAAGTTGATACCAGTGAGCTGTTGACCGGCCTGGAGGACAATACCGAGGATGGTACGGTACATCATGCGCTCGCCAGTAAAGATCTCAATGAGGCGGGTCTCGGGGAGAGCGCGCTCTTCGTCAAGCTTCTCCTTGATCTCGGCGATCTGGCGGTTAACACTGGGGGAGTTGATGTCGAGACCAGCAAGGTTGGCGATGGTCTTGCGGGCCTCTTCCTCCTTACCCTTTCGGTAGGCAAATCGGGGAGACTCAGGAAGGAAGAGGATACCGACACCGAGGAGAAGGGCCCAAAGGAAGTTGAGGCTGTTGGGGATTCTCCAAGAAGCACTGCCGGCGTAGTCGTTGGTTCCCCAGTTGACCATCTCGGCACACCAGATACCGAGTGTGACAAAGAGCTGGTAGCAAGAGACGATGAGACCTCGGATAATGGCAGGAGCACTCTCGGACTGGTACATGGGAACAGAGACAGAGAGAGCACCGACACCAAGACCTGTAACCATTCGGCCAATGGCGTGTTGGTACCAGGCGTCCTGGGAAGCGACCTCGATAACAGTTCCGATACAAGTCGACAGGGCGGAAACGGAGATGGTCATGCGACGACCAATGGTATCACATAGATTACCAGCGACAAGAGAGCCGAATAGACAGCCAATTGAAAGAAGACCGGTAATTGTTCCTTGTCGGGCGGCGCTGAAGTTGTAAGTGCCATCGCCGTTGGGTTCGCCGAATCGCTCGCCATAATCCTTCATCATGAAATAACCAGAGATCTGTCCACTAGAGTAGCCGAAGATCATTCCTCCCATCTCAATTGAGTTAGTTTTAATCTAATTAGAAGCTGGAGATCACTTACGGAGGCGACGAGGCCCATGAAGCAGGCCAAGAAGGTGATGCGACCATCGGTGTCGGGAGAGGTCTTGCGCTCGAGATGCTCGCCTTCGCCAGCATGCTCGGTGCGTTTACTGCTAAAAAACTTCATATTGAAGAAGTAAACAATGTGTTTATCAGGCCAATTGACCAATTGATGTTGTGAGATGTGTGTGTTGGAGTTGTATACACAAGATGTGATGGGGAGCCAGAAGCAAAGATTGAGCAGCGCAGAGGGTCTTTTTGACTGTCTTTATTGTGGAGATGATCGTCAAAGTCCATCGCGGGCACCGAAAGAATTCAAGAACCATGCTGATGGATCCTCTCCCCATCTCATGACCTTTGATGGTCATGCTTGAGCAAAAACTCAAACCCCGGGGGGGCTCCAGGGAAAAACGGCATGCGGAGACTTGACGTGGGTGAGCAAAAGAAAGACTTGGAGTAAAGAGTGGGTAGAAGGCCCGGAGAGTGGCTATCCACAGTCACGTCATGGGGTCTGTCGAGGAAGAGAGAGTGGGTGAGTGGTGGTGAGTAAGCGTTGGCGTTGGTGTCTTCACACCGTTAGCAGACGATACACCCTGTGGGCTGATTGAGGGCTCCGGAGACGCCCTAGCTGACCTTAATCCAGATTCATCTCCGTCTTGAAAACGGTGGACCGATGGGAAAGTCAACGTGGGGTGACAATTTTTTCTTTCCGTCTTGGTATTTTTTACTGCCGGCGTCTTCGGCATTGATGACGCAGTTTGACCCTGAGTGAGCCCACTGTGGTCCACTCTTTTGTTCCTCGGCCCAGTTTTTGCTTCTTTTTGCCTTCTGGCATCATCTCTTGGCGTGAAGATCTTCGGCAGAGCGTGCGTCGACGGGGACATTACAGCGACCCTTTGGACACGATCTGTACGACCAACTGAGCACCAAAAGAGACCTGATGTGTAGTACATTGTTTAGCAAAAATTACTCTAATTATTTACCCTCTTTCACGACTTTTACCAATCTCGAAACCAACACTAGTCAGCTTCTCATATTTCCGGTTCTCGCCTTGTCCGCAGAGCCCCATTTCCAATGATGATATGACACCGAGAAGCGCCGATCGGTCCGACTGCTGATTGGAACGTTCGGGTACGCGCAAAGTCTTTTATTTCCGAAATCCAGATCTTGGTGTTTTTCCCTCGCAATTGTGGCCAAAACAGAAAACATGATGTTATTGTCACGGCATTTGTCTCCCGCCAGATACCGGATCTGATCTGATCTTTTTAGCGGTATTTCCGACAGAACCACTGCGGCGCATTTACTTTTAGTTTTACTGTCAAGGCCACACGCAACAGCTCATTCACAGTCAATGGTGCAAACTCGGCCAAATGTGTCGAGCTGCCATCCGCCGTTTGAGAACTCGCCGAGTTGAAGCGGAGCCACGCTCAGCGATAACAGCTCCATATTGGTGAGACTCTGGGCCAAATACATCACCAAAGGTAGCATTACCTACCGTGCTCGGCCATTTTTGGGTCCCTGATAAGCCTTGGAAAGTCAATTGGAACAGAGTACCCGTACAAGTTTTAGAACAGGGCATTGCGTGCGAGATAACACCGAGCCAGCATTATCAGCGATTATCACTTGCGACAATCCAAGAATGGCAGCTGAGAAACAAGATGCATTCCAACCGTGACAATTGATGTTGAAGTTATTGAATGGCTTCACCATCGTCTGCTCTTCAATTGTTCAACGCGCCATTCCCGTTCAGACTCTGCCATAGAAGCAATCAGCCGCCTCAATTGCCGCAGAGCCTCCTTCATTACCCCTGGGACCTAGGTCATTACCATCCATGCTAATGCGGCTCTGCAACGGGCCTTATCCACACGGGCCGAAAAAGGCACTCGGCGATACTCGATACGCATTCCCACTATTAATTAGTCCAGCGGGTGGGTAGAGAAGAGAAGAAAAAAGAGCTCAAGCTGAACTGAACCCATCGGACCCGAACGGTTCAGGCACGTCCAAGGGTTAAACTTTTCGTTACGGCGCCCCTCCCGAGGGACTACACCACTGCATGCATGCAAGCATGGGACAATTCTTGGATCGCGGAGGGCACGAGATCGCGGGTGACACAACAAAGACCATGGAGAACGCCGTAGCCTTGGAACGGGGTCTAGATTATGGAGGAATACGGAATCGATGCTGGAGAGAAACAGTCGACCAAGGCCTGATTGTCCAACTTGTCGGATGACGTCTGCAGCGTTTCTCCCCGACATCTACCCAAGACCAAAATTCGCTATTCTCGTGACAAACAAGTTGAAATCGTATACATGAACCGAGATTAATACTGGAACAAACTATTGGAGTCTGGACCACAGCTTCAATATCGAGGTGCACATGACCAGCAGAGCTTTCTTAACGAGTTTCATACTTATAATTAGCTTTTTCACTCAAGCTGTAAAGCTTAAGCTTGATGACATGTCTCACAACTCAACCTCGCCCTACACTTCTTGACTGTCGATGTACAACATCGCCAATACAACCTCAACTCTCATTTGCGACTGATCAATCCCCTCAATCCCCCATCCGGGGGAGAAAGTATGTAGCTGCCCACACACGACCAGAACAACCAACCCCAGCAGATCGGTCTCCTCGTCAACTTTCAACTCGGTCTTACCCACAGAACTGTATCCGCCTGCGAAGCTGCTCCTTTCCCCGGTTCTAATCACCGACCATGGGGGTTTGGGGGGGTATGAAGCCCGGAGTCTACTCGGTTGAATTTCTCCAACGTGCGCACCCGAGAAGAAGAAGTCTGTTACCTCCCCCAGAGCCACTCTCCTCCGCACCAACCTAACCCTCCCTCTCCCCCCTTTTCATGCGAGTTTACTCCTGACAAGCTAATCGGTCCTTTGGGACCTGAAAGGGCGGGCAAGCGAGGTTTCTTATCCCGCATCCTCCGCATTTGCGAGCATCTTGCGGGAGAGTGGGCGGTTGTGAAATTTTCTTCACTTCACGTGGTGTTTTGGTGTTTTCGAACGTACGATATTGGGATATACGAGTTGCTGGGGTTTCTGGGTGTTTTCGTGTAGAGAATGAGAAAATTGATCATATCATTGAGATCCTTGAGGTTTCGGATATATCGGAAAGAAGGTTATATATGAGATAGACACTGAGAATTACCCTATATGTCATGATGATCAATAAACAAGAATTTTTTAATATATATGATGTGACTTTGTCAGGAATAAAAAAAAACCTGTGGATGATTATGTTCAAGGTCTGTGGTTAACCTGTAGACAAGACATCTCGTTCTGAATTGCAAAGCATTGCAGCATGGCGAGAGCGAGATATGGTATGAGAAGCAAAGACGACAAGTCGGCATGTGATAACAACTATACCGGACAGCGAAACAAGAAGTTACTGTTGTGAAGAAACTAAACTAGATCGAAATATTCGTCTCTAAAATTATTACGTTGTAGGAGAGTCTTCTCTGGGAACTACTAGTTTACAGTCTATTAATCAATAGATATTCGAGGATGTGTAAATCTATGTCTAAGCCATAGATTTTATGTAGGGTTGTCATGATCTGATATATGGCATTGAACTGTGGCTGTCCCACCAAGTGTGCACAGCCATAAGGATAGAGAATATCTTACCACAATGATATCACTATCCTTGTCTACGCTTACCAGAGCTAAGCCGCTTAATGTGGAATGATATTAATATTCATATAAGCGAAGACTCTGCTCCAATCGCATGATGCGACAGGTCCCATAATAATCCAGCTTCCACAAGATCAATCCCACTGGCTATGCTACCCAAGGTTTCTCTTTTTCTTTACAACACATCTCTGCAGCTCTGTAGATAGGCTTCGAAGTTTTAGTCATACTTGACAAGCTAGATTTCGCTACAGGGTTAAGACTCAAAGCGAGTGGATTAGAGTCTTGTGATATTACTTCAAGTCAGAACTAAGAGCTTATTTAAGTTAATTTCCGTTCCCATATCCGAAGATTCCCAGGCCGGTAATAATGGTAATGCTTCACCAAAACTTCAAAAAAGGAGCACAAGTCTCTCCACATTAGTGAAAGTTTTCAAGGTGAAACCTAACTTTATATAAATGTGTCCTAAAGCTACACAAAATTATAAAAGTTACTATGGACTATTGAAATTTTTAATAAACTTTACTTATTTTATTATAGGTCTCTCCAGTTTAGACTAATTTACATAAATCTATAAATCCTAGACTAGTCCTTACTATAGCTACATAACCATACTACACTGGAATAATAAGCGCTCAAGGATTTAACAGGTTATCATACTAATATTAGAGACCACCACCACTCAGGCTATAACAAAACTCCAAAGTCACATAGTGCTTTTTGTACCCTATTGAGGGCTGATAGCCAGATATCCTTGAATTTCCTTGTAATTCGATTTACCCCAATCGCCGCCACGCAAGACTCTAGCTGAGTTTATAGCCAAAAAGAGTCTTAGCAAAAATTACAGACTTTTGTTGCGCAAACCCATCGAAGATTGTATTAAAAGCAAATCCCAGCGGCAACCGTAGCGAATTACACACTCGGGTCCATCCATCCATTTATTTGGCTCCTTTTGAGTCTGAGTCAATACGACCTATTCCACAGTATATGAACGGCTATGAGAGTCCATTAGCGACGACACTAATGATAAGGAATATTCCTCCAAAACTTGGGACTGACAACACGCACAAAGGCTTGACTTTTTCTGCTGGTGCTACTGCCATCTCTTCGGCCCTGGTTCTAACAACTCAAGCAATCTCACAAATTTTACATCATACAATTACAAAACTATTTCTACATTATCGTCCGAGCTTCAGGCCATAATCTAGACTCTTACACAGTTTAAGATCAATAATGAACAACCATTATCATCAGGCCATAATGGAAGTGGCGGTCAACTAAATATGCTTCATGATTTTAAGAACAGCAATCGACATGATTTGAAGAGTTCCATGGCGATCCGCAAGTGCAGACTGGTACAGGCAGGCCCTAGACACAAAACGACTTGCAAACGTCCCTAGCTGTTCAATATATGTGTGTACGCTAAGGCTTCTTCACATAACTACTACAGCATATCAAAGAAATCAGTCAGCTATTGCTCAAATGATGTTGCAGCTGAGAAGAGACAACCCGAACAGAGCACCGCATGGTTGTGCCAAACCTGAACCCGAAAGCGCGGATGCTTCATACCAAATGCATTAAATGCCACCGCCGTCTATTATACCCGCAGAGATGCGCCTCTCCAATATCAAGACGTCCCTTCACGATCGTCGAGGAATTGGAGCGACTATTGGTGGATAGTTTATACGAATAACAAGAGCAAAACTCCACCAATAGAGTCCTCGGCACTCCGACAACCTGAAGATCAACCCCATGCCGAAACTTACGGCTTTTGGGGGTTACCCCGGATTTTGGCGCGAACACTTTGTCTTTGCGGCGGGCCACAAACAAACAAACAGACATGATTGGTCTCCGCAAATGAGAACGATCAGACGGAGAATTAAGAAGCTTGATTCCTCGAATAAACGTCGAGGTGAGCTTGAGATGTAACCTCGAACGGAGTTTCACTTGGTTGCCGTTATCGGACTAGAGCGCTATTCAAGAACGCTCATTGGAGTAAACATCTCGTAAAATGGCAGGGTTGGGTAATATCAAGGGTTCACCGCAATGGAATAGTTATATCGCGGTGAAGTAAAACATATGATGGCGATGGGTTATATAAGAAGGGTTATGTCCAGAGCCAAGACTCTTTTCTGCATCTCACTCACAACTTCAACGCTCAATCCACTCGAAAAACATTCAACAACCCCTCCTCTCTCATCATGAAGTACAATGCTGCCGTCCTCGCCCTCGCTGGCTTCTCCTCCGCCGCTGTCACAAAGACTCTTCCCAAGTCTGCCGGCGCGACCTCATTCCCTACTGCTGTTCCCGTCAAGGGCAGCTACGATGGTGGCATGAAGCGATTCGAGCGCAGCCGTAAGCTTACCTATAAGAATTCCCCAGATGATCCCACTGACACGAATTTCAGCTGCTGTTTGCCAGGGCCAGACCGAGACTGGTGAGAAGGACGCCATGTTCATTCTTGAGAACGGCGCCACTCTCTCCAACGTCATCATCGGTGCATCTCAGGCCGAGGGTGTTCACTGCAAGGGAACATGGTAAGTTCAATGGCGCACTAGCTTAGTCCCTGTTACTAACATTATTCAAAGTACTCTGAACAACGTCTGGTGGGCTGATGTCTGCGAAGACGCGATCACGCTCAAGCAAACCAGCGGCACCTCTTACATCAATGGTGGAGGAGCTTTCCACGCCAGCGACAAGGTGGTGCAGTTCAACGGCCGCGGAACGGTTCAGATCAAGGACTTCTACGCCGAGGACTACGGCAAGCTTGTGCGCAGCTGCGGAAACTGCAAGGACAACGGGGGTCCCCGCAACGTGATCATCCAGGACTCTGTCGCCGTCGACGGAGGAGTTCTTTGCGGCATCAACACCAACTACGGCGACACCTGCAAGATCACCAACTCGTGCCAGAACAAGGGCAAGTACTGCGATCGCTACGAGGGTAACTCCAGTGGCGCGGAGCCTAGCAAGATTGGATCTGGGCCTGATGGCAAGTACTGCATTGCTACGGGAACTACCACTAGCTGTTAGATGGTTGATTGGGTTTATGAGTGATGGGAATGATGACTCGTGGAGGACGACTTGATGTATCTAAATGTTAGCTTTGTACATACTTCTATGACTACATATTATTATTTACCAGAGTCTGAATGCCTTCCTGATTTCTTCCCTTCAACACAAACAGAGCCTGATGCAGCACGATCATGTTTGATAGATTTAGAGTTTAATTTACTGTGTGCGACTTTTATTATTCTGTTTATTGAGCTTTGACCATAAAAATGGTACTTCATTGTTAATAGTACTACGAAATTTGGACAGCATAGGATTGACAGAGTTGAAGGTTAAAGCAAAAACAAAAATTGATAATTAGTAACAGTAATGTAGAAGAATTTGAGTGAGGCTTGTTATCGCGGAAAGACTACCGTTCAATATAAATGATTTAACCACAGTTCCGCAACAAGATGTCGATTAGCCCACTACGCCTTGGTTAGAAAGAACAATAATGTTATTGATATCTCAATTGACTGAAGATGTAAAAAATGCAAAAAAGAAAAAATAGATGGTGAGGGACACCGGATTTGAACCGATAACCTTCAGGATGCTCCAATATGAGACTGGAATCTGACACGCTACCGTTGCGCCAGCCCCCCAACTGTGATAAAAGTAATCAAATTGTAAAATATGTAGTGCACGTAGAACGACAATATCGTCAGAAAGTAAAATTCATCAGTCACAGATCATGCCCATGCATGCTTGCATGAATTCTCTCTGCTGCAGAGTATCCTGTCTTTCGGAGGAAACTCTAAACAAGTCATCATCTTATCTGCAACCATTATCAAACAGGCATCCCGCTGTCAACGCAAGGGGCACTAAGTAAAGATCTACGTCGGAACTTTTTTAGGCTCATGCAGGCCACCAGTTGCCTTCCAAAACTCGGCATCCAAGCCCCCTGCACAACTAACCGATTGCTTCAGATAACATCAATTGCTTGTGATTGGCACTTTTGGAAAGTGAAAGGAGCTCAGGTCTCTAGCTTTATTCTTCAAGTCCTTTTGATGGAAGCTTCCCTTCAGGGGTATAAACGTGAAACTGACTCCCTCATATGCAAATAGATCGCCACGCGAGGCTCACCATTGGCTGGTTCCTTAGGCCGATGTCGTTTCAACACAAATTAGTCCAGCCAAGGCACATCTCGCATCTCATTGGCGAGAGATCACCCATGCTAATTGCACAGGCGGCAATTGATTTCACCACTCACAGGGCGGAAACACGGCGGCGAAACAAGCAGCTCATTAATTATGCACTCCTTTCATAGCCGTACACGTTCCTGAGGCTCGTGGCGAACCGAACTTGAATCCTGCACGCGACGTTTCTGTTGGTCGGATTGCGTATGGGTTATTTCTCATGCTATACCTCGCGGCGAGGGCCTTGTGTCAGATCGACGCTCGCTTTAGGCAGGTAAGTGGCTGTGGCCGGGGGAAGGCTATCTCGAACGATGGCGATCATCGGAGCACATGTTGTGACGCGATATGTGTACGTGCCGACGACTACTAACGAGCAGACAAACGAAATGGCAATAGGAGATTGAGTCTAGATAAATAGATGCCTTTGTCTCTAGAATAATCATCTCATCAAGCAACTCAGCTCTTCGGTCTCTACAACACATTCACTACTCACTTTCTCATCACCACTCTCTTTTTCAACAACCAACACTCTTTACTTTCCAAAACCAACCCATCACTCATTATCAAGATGCGTTCCGCCACTCTTCTCGCCCTCCTCCCCTTTGCGCTGGCCGCTCCCTCCCGCCGGGCTGAGCCTGCTCCCGTCCTTCGTCCCCGCGGCGTCAAGCTCGTCGATGGCAAGTACATCGTCAAGATGAAGGGCGGAATCAGGGCTGCTTCCGTCAGCGCCACCGTCTCGACCATCGAGGCCGACGCCGACTACACCTACTCCAAGAGCTTCAGCGGTTTCGCTGCTAGTCTCAAGGATGATGAGATTGAGAAGCTCAAGAACGACCCCAACGTGAGTGTCATCTTATACTGTACTGCTGAGATAAATTGCTAACCAGCTTCAGGTCGAGTACATTGAGCAGGATGCATACATCAGCATCAAGGCTACCACTCAGCAGGAGAATGCTCCTTGGGGTATTGCTCGACTTTCCAGCAGCAGGGCCGGAGGCAAGACTTACACCTACGACGAGAGCGCTGGTGAGGGTACTTGCGCTTACATCATCGACACCGGTATTGATGTTGAGCATCCCGTAAGTTTGTCCTATTTTCCACACAAGCAATAATCTAACTGTGATCAAGGATTTCGATGGCCGCGCCACTTTCCTAAAGAACTTCGCAGGCGGTAGCGATGGCGATGGTCAGGGCCATGGCACTCACGTTGCTGGCACCATCGGCTCCACCACCTACGGTGTTGCCAAGAAGACCAGCCTCTTTGCTGTCAAGGTCCTCGGCGACGACGGCTCGGGCACCAACTCTGCTGTCATCGCTGGCATGGACTTTGTTGCCGGCCACTCGAACAAAAAGGACTGCCCTAAGGGCACCGTCGTCAACATGTCCCTCGGCGGTGAGTTCTCCAGCGCCGTCAACAAGGCCGCCGCAAGCATCGTCGATGCCGGCCTTTTCCTCGCCGTCGCAGCCGGTAACGAGGCCGTCGATGCCTCCGGCTCCTCTCCCGCCTCCGAGGCCAGCGCCTGCACAGTCGGCGCCACGACCCGCAACGACACTCTGGCCTACTACTCCAACTTCGGCGATGTCGTCGATGTTCTCGCTCCTGGCACTGATATCCTGAGCACCTGGCCCGGCGGCAAGACCAACACCATCTCGGGTACCTCTATGGCTTCGCCCCATGTTGCTGGTCTGGCTGCTTACTTCCTTGGCCTGGGACAGAAGGCTGAGGGCCTTTGCGACTACATTGTTTCTGCTGCCATTGATGGAGTTGTGGCGAATGTGCCCTCTGGCACTGTGAACAAGCTGATCAACAACGGCGTTAGCAAGTAATTTTGATCGACAGCTTGTGTAGTCATAGATATGACTCTTTTTTTTAGATGTATAACTTGACGTGTTTAGTAATACAGTTCATTTCACTACTTGACTGGTTCGCAGGCGGATGTAAGCAATGGCGATTCCTGTTATATATGACATGTCTAGATAGTCTGACTTTGCAGTTGTCTTCCTTCAACTTCAATCAGTAAAACTACAAGGTTGGTTGCAAGCGGCACTAACAGGATTAGCAGCGGGTGCAGTTGTTTGTGCAGTCATTTCATCAGACCATGCGAAATTTTATTCTTTTCACTCTTTCCAACCATCTCCAGCCCCAAGGAACCAATTCACGCCCACAAGTCGCAATCCATGCTTCTCAACAAACTTGGCCGTATCGAATGACCGTCTTTGCGTGAATTCTTCACCTCCAACATCCTCTTTTGTTAGGTCGAGGCTGACAGGTTGCCTGTATAGTAGAAGCAAGTATCTGTGAGGCTTTGAGCTGCACGATTGTTAGCAGATAGATGCTGAGGTTCGAGGGATACGTTGACTTACTCATCCTTAGGACCAGGGCCCAGGTATTCGGTTAGCGCAGGTTGGACCTGAGCGACTGCATCACCACTGCTCAAGGGTCTCAGCCCGGGGAGGACCCAATGCCGCCAGAAGGCAAACTTGGGATCATCTGGCGTAGGCGCATCAGGGTCAACGAGGAGGAGCATGTAGGTGGCATCCCCGGGAGCATCGGCCTGAACCTCATCAGTAAGTGTATCTCATATCTGTTCCCGAAAACTGACCTCCTGCGCAAACTGAATGCTGGGTGAGCGTCTGCACTCACTCGCGCGAAGAAGATTGCCCATCTCAACATCCTTCCCATCAAACGAGACCCGGAGGTCAGTTGTAGGCTTGAAATCCTCGGGGATCAAACTGGCTGCCACACCAGGGACTAGCTTGGCCTCAGCCAGAGAGCTTGATAGCTTGTTTGACATGGTGAGGAGTTATTCGGTTTGTGTGGTCTGGGGTGTGTTTTGCTGAGAAGACAAGTGAGGTTGTGTCGATGACGGTATTTGAACCGAGTTACCCCACGGTGGGGGTTTGCATCACCATGACATTTTACTGGTGGAATATTGTGCCTTGTGAACATTGATGCCCCCAAAGCTACATGGCAGACTCAGTCTTGTTGAAGAAACTGCGGGGTTCTTGCAAGCCACGGCGTTCACAGTCTATTGCTTGTTTATCAGTAAAACGTGGCCGTGTCTCAAGATTGACAACACCTCTCAGCTATTTCCAAACGTTTCGCAATGCCAGCACGTCCATATTCTTTTGTGGAATGGATGATTACATTCTCTGCCGTTGGTCTATACGACTCTCGAACCAAGCCAAATTGAATCTTAACAAAGACAGCTTCTTTGGTCTTGTTCAATCATATGAGGAAAGTAGTTCGGGCGTCTCCGGGTCTCAATGAATCAAACCATAACGCAGTATAAGTTGAACTTCTAGCAGGAGAATGATGTTGATTATTCCTCTTCATGGCACAAGAGGCAAGTGGCTATCTCCTATCAATAAACCGGCTACCAGCCAGTACCGTGGCATTCAAGGTCATCAAGACCTGACGCCGTGACCACAGCATGCCCTACACATTCCTTCTGAAACACACCAGTCCGAAACTCAGCCGTCCACTCGCGTCCATCATCGCCTAACCCGTAAGTGAAATGCCAGGTGTTGGGTAACAGTGCACAGCCCTTCAACTCTTCCTTGAGAATCTCACCGCGATCCGAACTTGCCCAGCCGTGTCCCCACACCCAGTACCGGTTGAAGTACAACTTGTACGCGCTGTCGCATCCTCCCTGCTTGCCAAACCCGGCAGGCGAGCGTAGGGACCCAGGAGATAGGCTGTAAGTAGAACCGGCGACTGTCACCTGGCCGCCGCCTTTGTAATTGGAAACATTGTTGTCTTCGTATGCACAGCCGTCCAAGGCCTTCATGAGATACTTAACGCATTCTTGTGTATTGATACTGGTTCCTTCTTCCAAAGTGTACGAGAGAGTGACCTTATTTGGCGTGTCGATGTTGTAGGTGCGCGAGACTGTACCAGCCTGCTGGTGAAGTCCGTTCCGTTTCGCTTGAACGGGGCAAAAGTCCTCTTCGATAAGTTCCTGGGCGGCATCACTCTCGACATAGACACCACTTAGGAGCCCATTACACTCAACAAGCTCCTTTGGGTTGTCGCCCTCTTCGACGCCATTCCAGAGAACACGTATGCCCGGGAATCGCTCCCAGCTACCCTCATCAGATTGAAGGTAATCTATGAGATTTCTGACCAGATTTCCATCACTTGTATCGAATGGCACAGTCTCATATGACAGAAGATTCGCGATCTCACCGGCGACTATCGGTGCAGCTGAGTAGCATGATGTTAGTTGGCGGCGATGGGGGACAAGTCGACATGGAACACTTACCATAAGATGTACCGTTCTTTACCAACATATCATCGTCTTCTTTTCCTAGACATTTAACATCTTGGCCAACAGCGTGAATGGTGACCTGTGGGCCTGTCTTTGAAAATTCGGATAGGCTGCCGGTAGAATCAACAGAGGCAACCACGATAATGGGTAAGTCGGCGCCCTGTAGTAGTTGCGGGTACTCATCTATCTCAGGCTGAGGAGGATCTTCTTCAATGTTGCCTGCGATGCACACGAATGGGATGTCCTTGTCAATTAGCCGATGAGCCAGATCCTTGAAGGCATTGATATCCTCGTCGCCCCACTCTGTACCCATTGACAAGGACATCGAAACAACACTTCTCTTGCGCCGTTCAGGATGGTTGTCGATATCCTTCAGAATTAACTCCAATGCTGCCTCAACTTCCAAATTATCTACAGGGTGAATTCTGACAACGATGAGAGTGGCTTTCTTGGAAGCACCAAATTGAGTTCCGAGTGCCTTCCCAGCGGTACAAGTTCCATGCGAATACCATGGGTCACTCTTAGGTACATCAGCCTTGCTAACAGTGTCGTCGGCATTATTATCGTCGTCGTCTTCGTCAGGATCATCGCTATCGTCGGGATCATCGTTATCATCCACCCAAGGTTCGTTGTGGTACTTTATTGCCTTCTTGATGAGGAGATGCTCAACAGCAACATTTTGGAATTCCTTGCAACTGTGAGGGGGGTTGAATATATGTACTCCAGTGATTGACTTACCTGGCTCTGAACCTTGAAGGCTACCCCAGTCTCTATATGATACACAAAGCTTGCGCCGCCTTGGTGTTCTTCATACACGTAGTTTCCGAGATCATTTAATTCTGGGATTGTGCTGCATGTTGTGAGCAATTAGTACATGTTGAAAGCGAAGTGCTCCCGGTACACTCTACATACCTTGGTTGACTGATGGCAACTAATTCTGTAGCAGCGTTCTTCTGCGTTTCGTACTTGACCTCTTCCTCTCGCAGGAGATGTGCCAGTTCTGCAGAACGGGTGGTGGTTCCACCTCTCCTCCCCTTGAGGGCTGGTCGGGTGGCAAGAACACCGTTGATGCTCTCGATCTGTGACACCTGTTCGAAAGACACATTGTGTACCACCCACTTCTGGATGTTTCCATTAGGTATCCATACAGTCCTCACACGATCGCCAAGGAGGCTTCTGATAGTTGAGTCTGTTGCTTTACATTGATCCTGGTCATCCCTGTCGATTGTTTCCACCGCGTATGAACCTTTCACACATGCCTTCATTGGCGTCACCGACCTTACGCCTTCGACAGACTCAGCACGAGACTTGTCTTCATCAGACAGGTAAACCATCCATCTACTTTTGAATTCGGTTATTTCTTCATTCAAAAGGGTTTTAAGAGCCAAACTCGTGGCTTCAAATTGGGTTCGGTTCCGGTATTCGATAGCGTTGATATAGTACCCCTTTTTCGGAATGTTTTCTCCCCCTGATACGCCTTGGTCGTGAGTAGCGATTTCCACCGGAACTAACCGCTCGATATCAAGGTGAGTCGCTAACTCTGCAGCCTGCTCGGGTGAGGCTTCGATCGTTGTTGATCTGAACTCATTGTCGATTTGTACCCAAGTAGGCATACCATCAACTTTCAAAATGGATTTTGCAAAGTCAACAGCGGCGCTGGTTTCTGTGCCCGTTTTGAGAACCAAGGTGTAGAGCTGTTTGCCTGGGCCAGGAGCACTGTCCCTACTGATGACTGTATCAGCGCCAGTTGCCAGTGGAGCAAGCGTATAGACGGAGAAAAACAAGAGAATAATTCTGAACATTATGAAGCGTTGGTGAAGTGACATGATTAAATTTTGTTCATTTGTTGTGGTTGAATGGCATATTCCTCTTCTCTCTTGATTTATATGAATAACTTCTCATTGTAGCAGACTTACCTAGACTGGTCTTCTGACATGGTGGATAAACTTGGATTGTGAATCCTCGGCAGTTGCAAGTAATTCTGTAAGATAAGTCAGAGGTTAAAGCCATCGCTGCTTGGTTGTGTGCAGCTTGTTCCATTTTATGTTGCAGTAAGGTTTGGCAAGCCTGCGTTGCCGGAGCCTTTTCGGTCAATCGAAAAGTAACGTTTCTGTCAAACGTTGCCCGCAGCGCATTCTCAGAGATATTTGTTAATTTGACTGGCGAGCAGCGAAATATTATGGGGCGCAATCTACGTGACTGTAGAACCGAAATGCTTCTTCATAACGCCCCCGAGAAGTTACCGCACACAAAATAACAAACTCTGTATGTGGTGAGTACATAATACCGACCACCATCATCTACATGGTAGTACTTGTCATTTCTTCCCATCTTCTTCGGCAGTTCAAGTTTTAAGTGGCAGGCATGAATGTGCAACAACTCGTCCCGCATTGGGTTACTACACTTCCAATCGTGGGCCGCCTCTTCGGCACCACGGTGGAAGATGTCCCCAGGGCAACTCCAGCTGAGATTCCTGTGTAAGACATCCAATGCCCTTCCTTTGTCAGTAAAATCTAACGCTAGCCTGCGCTCACAGCCCTGTGCGTTATTTCAGGGATCTTTATACTCTCTTTATCAAGGCCGATGCCAATAGCACCGCTACCATCGAGTTTGTTAAATCGACCCTCAAGATCACTTGCACTTTCTCTTGGGCTGATGCCGACGATGACCTGCTGTCAACCATGCTCGACGCTTCAACCATCCAGCTCGCAACTCTAGTGAAACACGAAAACATTGTGAGAACAGTCAGATTCATGCCTAAAGAACAAGGTGTCCCTCCCAAAGCGAGATACCTAATCAGCTCAATTGACGCAACCGATCGACAGCAATTCGACTCGACAACTGCTTCTTTGAACGCTTTGATCAAAGGCCAATTCGCTGAAGGGAGAACCATGTGGGAAGCGTACCTCTCCGAAGACGAAGCGCAACAAGTCCAGAGCATCGATGGTGTATCAGGGGTTAGTTGCACCCTGTGTGTTTATCCCAACCGGAAAGGGAAGCCTTTAAAGACAAGATACGCCGTCGTTCCAACTGATCCCGACAATCAAGAGCAGTGTAAAGCAACGGAGGCAGCTCTTAAGTCTCTGCTCAAAAAGCAGTTCAGAGACAAGGAATGTAGCATTCAGCGATGGGAGGTCACATCTCTCACAGACGATCAGAAGCTAGAGATTGAGAAGATGGACGGAGTGAGTCGCGTCGGAAAAATTCATATGGGTAGAAGGGGCGTTATGGCAAGGCCTCGGTTTTATTAGACTAGATCAACTACCCTACTACTATTTCACAAAGGCCGAGTCCCAGTAGCCACAGAAGTTCTCGCTCCCGCTTTTAATGTCAAGAGACAAAGGAAAATGGACCAATTCCATGGATATTTTACTCCACCACAGCCTAGCATGATGATGTCATCGTGTCCGCTATCGGCCTCTCCACGATGGGAGATAAGCTTAATGAGCGGGGCATCTGGCGACGTGATGTGGAACCCGTTTGAGCTTATCTTATCGCAACAGAAGCCAATAGCGGGGGGGATGGCAGCGCTAGATTGGGTCGGTACAGGGTAGGCTTGGTGCATCCAAACCTGAATAAAATCATCCTGAAAACCATAAAGAAAGGGAAATTCTAAGACATGGAAAGCAGATAGAAAATAACAGCCAACCGTAAATTTTTTACTGTTTCTTAGTCTCTATGAGAAAAATACGGGTTAATGCCCAGCGTTGATATTTGTCGATTTTGTTAATGTAGAAGTTTTTAGTTCAATCGCTAGTAAACTTTAGTACTACCGTTGAGCGCTCTCACGACTCAGCGAGCTTGACCCACTCCTCGCGCCATGATTGGACAAGATCACATTGAGATAAGATAAAAGCCTCCCGCGTTACGTCATTGACACGAAGACCAAGGTGGAAGCGCGTTTGGACGCGTTTTCCGTGTCACTGAGCGCGACGCTTTTCGCAGCTGCAATCACGGCGCCAACAATTTTTCTTCCACGTCGACAGCTATTTCGGCCGGACTTTATCTGAGCACGCACTTACATGTCGGCATTTTCACCGTTTGAAACATTATTCCAAAGTGACGCTGCACGCTGCACCATGCACAAAGGTGATGCTTCTCTTCCACCTCAGGGAGAGAAGCGCGACGGCTTATGCCTGTGTCCTTGATCTGATCTGCTCGGAACGGAACTCGTGTCCGAATTCTCGTCAAGACAACTGCCGATGCCCAATGCTGGAGTAGCACCTTCAGGCAACCCCCATCGGCGACAACCAGAACCTCCATCTATCCGATTTCGACGATGCTTTTGCACATTGCCCTCTTCGATTGACACAAAGATGTCGCGACATCTCACGAGATCACGATGGAAACAGCGGTCGTCCCGCGACAAGGCGTCCTGCAGGCCGAACCCCCTCCGCACATGACGACACACTTTCTCAACCAGTTAAATGCCTACAAGAGTGATTCTACTTCAGCTTCAAGGATCCCAGAGATCAATACTGGCCTCGACTGGGCCGCGTCTGATACTGGTCGTCACAGCCAGGCCGTACGTGACTTTCCTTGAGCAGCCCTTGCTTCGACCCAACGTGATCGAGACAGTCTGCCCACGCTTTCTATTTGCCTTTGTGTAATTTGTTTCGGAACTTGGTGATGTGTGACTTGACCTGTGCACAATCGTCATACCAGTGACATCTGCATTCACATTTCACTGCGACATGTACGCATAATTGCTGGAAACAGAGCGCCTAGCGACACTCCATCCCGCCGCGCTTCGCCGTGAACCATCAAATCTTTGCTCTCGTCATGTCCGGTGGATGTAAATGCCAAAGGCTCGCTTGTCATTGTTGTAGGGGAATCATATCGTGTGATGCTGCCATATTGGTTTCTTTACGTCAACACAAATAATATTGTGATCACAAACTCTAAGCCACAGCCATCTTCCCCCAGCATGTGTGTGCGTGTGTGTTTGGCCGGGGGATGAACGCTACCACACTGGCATCACCCTGCGTTCAACGCGATGTCCCTGCACAATCACCAGGTCTCCAATTGCGTAGTTTGGAAGTCTCATTCGGTAGGAAAATAAGTTCATACGTTTTCAAAAAGATTTCACCAGAAAGCAGACACACCATTGGAAACATCTCTGCTGGCCTACAAGCTGATACACTGAGTATTCAGTCAAGACTGGAGCATTTCTACGAAAAGAATAGACTGCAAGGATCATTGGCGTGTCGTCTCATTGATTGGCTTTGCTTGAGTGATTATTCTCACTGGTGCAGAGTCAAATGCTGTGGACCAGGCGGTGAGGACTGGACATAACGTGAATAAATTAAACGTGTGTCGGGGTAAGCTTGACTTGGACCTGTTTAACTTTTCGCTCATCGGTGTCGCTATCCCGATTGAAAATTGGAAGCAGGACAAACAGCCGCGCATTGAAATGTGCAATGTATGTTCCTCCTCTGTCGCATCGTATCTTGCGTCGCATCAATTGTGAAATGGCTGGCCCAGCCGCGACATTGTCCAGTATGGAGTACCTGGAACCTGGAGGGGAAATGATCCATATATATACCAGTTTAAGTCAAATCCTTCCAACTTCGGTCCAGGCAGCCGGGTAGCCCCGTAGCGCACCCAAAATTTAAGTCGGCGGGGTAGTCGAGTGGCCATAGACTCAATAGGATCCGACCCTGCCTAACTTTTGCTGGGAGATCATGGGTTCGAATTTTTTGGTGACATGTTCAAATCACAAAATACTTGCTGGTGATGTGTTTTCTGATGTTATTTAATCGATTCTGATGTTTTTCATCAAGGTGCGACGCGGTTTGACTGGTTTTCGGATGCAGATTTGAAGTTTGTGTTTTTGATGGCGAGGTTACCTGGCGATGTGCCTGCGTGGAAGGCTTTGGTCATCGACCCGTCGCTCATTCTCACCTATTTGCACCGGAATACAAACACTGATGACTTTGAAAGATACTACAGGGTTTATCAAACATCTGTGCTTTAGTTACAGTTCTATCAAGTGTTATTTGCATCGCCTTTCAACGTTTCGTGGCAGTTGTGCCCAGCATGTGGAGGATGTCAGTTATTGCCGTTAACCCATATATACTCTAAATTGAGTAAATTTGTCAGAGGTAGTGTTTAGGCGGGCGCTCGCTAGAGCTGAAGGTGCATGGCACTGTGGGTTAGTTGCCCAAATGGGCAAACCAATCACACCCCGTAGGCTGCGCTATCTCTTTTTGTATTCTTTTATGCTGCGCGAGGTCGTGGGTTCGAATTGCTTGGGTATTCCTTTTATTGAATTTTTGACGGCTCGTTCATTGATTTCTGTCGAACCAATTATGGGTTCTGTGCTTTATCTTAGAATGATACTTGTTATAAATGCTGAGTTGCTAACCACAAGCAAGATGTTTTTTGGCAACCCCACTGTCACTTCAAAGACAACCGCAAAACAGTTGCCATCGCAAAGTAAACGTAGAGGTAAGTCAGTTGTAAAGGCAAACCCCAAGCAGGCGCTAAGGTGAGCTGATAAAACAAGCTGTTGAACTTTGAGATTCCAATCACGGCTGTTACCCGCCTCAACCATCAAGCTCTTTCTCCCATGGGCATCCACCACAATTGTCAATACCACAATGTGAATGGTTGGTGTCTTCTTACATATATTTAATTATCTCTCAGTCACTCCGTCACTGGAGTCAAAAGTCCGAGTCTCCCTTTTTGGCACGTAGTAGCATTACGCATATATAGACTCGGTGTCACCAAATGAAGCCTGGCCCCTAAAAGCGCTGTACCATGTATGAAAACAAGTTAGTTACTCCAACATCCCACGATGACCTCCAGTTTGATCGTGAAGATGGAAGTGGTCTTCAAACATGAGGAGTCACAAGGACAGGGAATTTCAATAAAGATGAATAAAATACTGAAATGCTTGGACTATCTTTAGGCATGCAGATCTGATCGAGCTTTTATGTCTCTTGTTTTAACCGGAGCTTGGATTCCCTATTATTTTCTAACCCGCCTGGGAGTGTTCTGGCATCTCTTCTCTGGGAGCCTATGCTTTGGTCGATCAAACAGCTACACGCAACGGCAGAGTTGGTGGATCCTAAGTTGCTTATACTGCCGCCAGTTGTCGGCAGCCGGCATTCACAGTCGAACAATTTTATACGTCCATGAAAAGAAACATTCCATAGAATTCTTGCAGGTTCCTGCTGCATATTCTCATTCACTGCCACTTGGAAGACCCACTCTGCTGCACAAAAGAAAAACCTCATTGGTGATCTTTCTCCTCTCCTCTTCACACATTCGGCCAAACAGTGTTCCCTGGAGCAGCGCCTTGATGTCTGCAACTGTCCCCAACAATGTCGGCAAAGGAGGTGTCGACTCTCGACAAGGTTCCAGAACCTCTGTCACAAACTGTGCCATTCTGTGAGTACCTTCAAGTTCTTCCACTCCTGGACCATGACTTTGCTAACCTTCACTCAGTCTAGGTGACTGCGGCCCCATCTTCGCCTGCGGCAAGTCACTCGGTTATGCCACCAAGTTCGAAGCCCAGCTTGGTTCTTTCAAGCCAGCCGACGCGGATCCCTGGATTGGCTTCTCAATCAAGATCCCCCTTGGCCAGGAGCAGACCGCCAACGAGGCAGCCGGATTTGGTGTCTGTCACGGTAAGCACTCATAACCTTAAAGACCCCGGATCTCAACTGACTAGGCTCCTAGCCGTCCGACAGCAGGACGAGTCGATTCTTGCTGCAGAGCAGTACACAATTGAGATTCGGTTCCCTCGCTCATCTTTCCAGATCCAGTATGAAGCAGCACCCGAGAAGTTGGTTGGCCGATTCCCCGATGCCAAGAACCTCTCGTACCTCACTATCAGCTTTAGCGACACGAGTCCTGTTATTGTTGGCTATGGACGACCCTTCGCCAACGTTCAGGATCCCCAGATTGAGTCCTGGGTGAATGGAAACCAACCCGTGCTCAACGACTGCACACTATTAGACGCGCTCCAGCTGGAGAAGTATCACGTTGTTCTCCCAGTCAAGGTTGCTGACGCCCAGAAGAACCTCGATCCCAACCGAGCCCCCCCTCCTTTCTCTTTCCCATACGGATCACAGAGCTGGAACGTTACCGGTCTGAAGGCAGACATCGCTGCCAACCCAGGTCACAGATTCAAACCAACTTACATGTATGTAGACCACCATATGCTGTTCATATGTCATGCTAAGAAGAATTGAAGGCAACCGAACAATCACTCACTTTTGGTTGCTATGACCCAACCTGTTGTCCAGGATGTTATGTGGCTCGATGATGCTGTTTGGAAGGTGAGCATGTGACTCTAAGGGCCCTTGTCAACCTACTGACTGTGAATAGATGTATGCGATCAAGGTGCCTGGTTACTTCGTCCCCGCCTCTAGACCGAATCAATTCTACGTGGTCGTCACTTTGCCCGATGAGTTTATGTCGGAGTTCGAGGCTCCTTGGCGTCGGTTGACCAAGAACACACCTGCATTTAACCTACACATCTACAACTCCAAGAACTCGATGGACCCAAGTGCAGACTGGTATGTATTGATTCGTTCGATGTTGATGCATGCTAATGCGCAACAGGGATTGTCAAATTATGAGTTACCCTGCGAATATCGACGAGCTTTCGAATCACCAGATTCAAGACCACGAGCTTGTTCTTCTTGTTCGTCGCCCCGATGCCATGGAGTACCGCAATGACAAACTTCGCGGCAGCTACCACCCAGTCCACGTATACGGCGACAGACCTGCGGCTGACCATGCATTCACCGACAATGAGGACCGATAGGATTGGCTCTCTCTTGAGTTTGATGCTGGTCTTATGGAAACCGAGCGACAGGTTCAAGCAATCTTTCGTTTCGATGCTGATGCGAGGCCCTCTTCTCTGCAAGGAACCGATTTGCCGGTGGACCCTCAGACTAATGACATCGCTGACGACCTTACACCTGAACAGTACAAGGTGTTGGAAGAGCTGTGCGATCGCATGTCTCTACACCGTGATGTCATGCGTGGTGCAGGGTTCTTTGACTGGATGACGGCCAAGGCTCCTAGAGTTCCTGCTTGGGCAGCAGCCAAGTCTCCTGTCAAGAAGACTACAACCGAGGCTCCCGTTAACGAGGCTTCCAACGATTTGGCTCAAGTCGGTGAGGACATTGGAAACATTGAACTCAAACCGAACGGCACTTCTCTTCGTCCCCTTCCGACTGTCAACTTCCTCGATATCGAGGACCAAGCATACGTGGACTGCATTCTGGAGGAGGCTCTACCCGAAGATCGTGCTCGCTTCCGGGAGTACCTCAGCAACCGACCTCTGGGCCTGGGGATGATCACCGCTGTGCGTACATCTTCTTGACTTGAGATTACAAGCTGACTTTCTTCATAGGGTGCCGGTTTCGGAAAGACAACAGCTGGCGCTGCTGCAACCCTTGCGATGCAGGCTAAGCTTGGCAAGATCCTCTGCTCGGGTCCCACGAACGTAGCGATTGACAACTTCGCCGCCCGACTCGCCCTCCGTGATGAAGCCACGATCGATCGATACAACAAGGGCAAGGCTGCTTCAGATCCTGGGCGTCGCCGATACAAGCTCATCATCCGGGGCTACAATCCGGGCCAGGAGATATCTGCCATCGCGAGCCTCCTGATGGACCCCAAGTGTGCTGATGATGCTGTACCCCTCAGCTCTTGGAAGCTTCCACCCCGATGGAAACTGAACTTGTCTTGTGCATTTTGGCTGCTGTTGGTGCTCCGATCCCCTGCCGCCGGCCGACAGCTCCGGCCTGACGACCACCCATTTCTGTACGCCCTTCAGAAGCGTATTGATGCTCGTTCGGATCTCTTGTCCCTGAGACAGGTTGCAACAGGTGCCATAACCTGGGACGAGTACAAGATGGCAGCCAAGGAGTATGAGTTGTTCGTTGACGACGTTCGAAGTCTTGTTGCCCCTATCGTCGAGAACGCCGACATCCTCTGCGTTACCCCTGCCGCCTCCGAGAACTATAAGCCTTTTCTCAACTGGAAGATCAAGCAAACTCGTGGTATCGCGATTGATGAAGCAGCCTGTCTTTCTCGTGGGGATCTTTGCTGTGTTTGGGGCAACGCACTCCTACCATGCTTTCTCTTTGGGGACCCTCGTCAACTGCCGCCCACTGTCATGACTATGACCGACAAGGTGCCCAACACCGATTACTACGTCAACAGGTTCTCCATTTACGGCGAGATCTCAGCCATGGGTGCACTGCTTGCTTCTGGGCTCCCTGTTTATCGTCTCAAAGTTCAACTTCGCATGGCCCGTGGTGTCTTTGACATCATCTCCAAGGTCATCTACCCTGACGTTCCCTTCACGTATCACGCCAGTAGAGCAGTGTCAAACCCCGAGTTCAAAGTCGGCCATGAGATTGAGGCCTTCTTCCGTGGCAAGTTCTCTGACCTCCGCCCTGCTGCTGAGGGAACCCTTCAGCCCATCTTTGTCCATTGCGAAGGATCGCGTGTCTTTGTGGACCCCAAGACTGGCTCCAAGCGTAGCCAACACCAAGTCAAGGTTGCCCTTGACTTGCTCAGCGAGATGGTGCAGGCACTCAACGTCGACGTTCATGATGTTGTAGTCATTGCTCCTTATATGGCTAACGTCAACCTCATCAACAGCATGTCCAAGGCGTACCCTTCCTTGGCCAACCTGAAGAAGGCCACAACCATTGACTCTTACCAAGGCCAAGAGAGCATCATAACCTTGGTCGTTATGGGTACCGCTCACCCCCACCCCGGTCCTGGATTCACGTCCAACAAACAACGCCTCAATGTCCTCCTCACCCGACAGAAGTGCTCTCTTGTCATTGTTGGTGACATCAATGTTGCGCTCCCTTTCGATGATGGAAAGGAGCCATTGTTCAAGGTTGAAGACGTGACCGGCGATGTTGCCTATGTCAAGGCACCTGCTCTCCGCCAAGTGCATCGTCAGTTGAAGGAAGAGGGCCGTGTCGTCTCTGTGAGTCTCGACAAGGGAGAGAAGGCCGAGGGATTAAAACGAAAAAGGTCCATTATAGAATGTTGAAGTAGTGAAATGATATGTTAACTGTTAATCTTGTGTGTGAACCGACAATGTCAGCCTCAAATTACTGGGCGCCAGGGAGCACTAGAATAGAGTGTCCATTTCAGAGCCTGTTCAGCCAGCATTACAGGGGGCATCTGTCTTGACACCAACCTCCACCCAATTTCAAGGTGACGGAGAGTCTGCTCGTACTCTTTCATTGATGTGAACTCGGATTAATTCATCTTTGCCTGACTGCCCACATTAAGATCACCAGCCAATCACGACCTTAGCGAGCGTCCAGTTAGAGTTGGCCAGATCGGGCAATCACTAAATGCTAACTATTTGAGTGTTGTTATGAGATTTGTTACTTGCCGTAATATAAATCTCTATTTGCCGTATAATCCTTAAAATTAGAAATCACGTCTCTACTTATTAAATTAGTATAACCTGCTCATTCAAATGACATTTACATGCCGGAGCCCCATATGACATCCTTCCGACTACCTGCTGTTCCTGTATCACAAGCCCAACCCCATTCTCAACTGTATGCGAGTACGACAACCCGCGGATTCGATATACTTTTGCTCCCACTTGAGCATTCTCTCTGAGTTCGAGGCGAAATAAGTGTCGCTCTCCACAGCTATTGCAGTGAATGGTGCAGATATGCTGATTGAGTTTTGTCAGGATATGAAATTCCTCAGATGAAGATCGTGCTATAGTCAGCCGCGTGACGTCGCTTTCAATTCCCATTAATTCATGGTTTAATTTCAGAATGCTTAGGATCTGGCTTCCCGAGCGCTCATCTATAGCCGCTTTTAGTCTGGTCGCAAATGTGGGATCAGCGCACGTGTGCTCGTTGTATGAAAGTGGTGGTAATCGATGGATCCTGGTTGCAAGCCTCTTGTGGTCGATGTCAATGGGGAACAGGCGGGTGATGGCGGAGACAAAATTTATGATCCCACCAGTACATGTGGTCTGAAATAACGACAGAATCTTTTCCATAATTCCGGCTCCATCCCGATCCAAGAAGTCAACTAAACATATATTCGTTATATTTCCAACCACTTCCATCTTTGGCTTTAAACACCCCTCAGAGACAATACCTCGTTCGGTGGGACCGGAAATCATGTTGCCTAATCCCCAGGATTGCCGACATAATGTCTCATATCCAACTAGCCACCGAGCCTGCACTGTTTGCTCTTCTTCGGGCGGTGGTCGCAACAGAAGCGGAGAGTAATCGCCAATCTCAAGGGCATGTAGCCAGACCTGATGACACAAAGCAGTTGCGTCTTTAGGTAGGCTTGGCTGCCGATGAAGGTGAGTCGTGGGCGCGGATTGGTTTAGGATAGCATGTACGGCGATGAAGCGATCCCGAGAGTATAAACAATTCTTGCCACCAATCATGGATACAATCTCTCCGAGGCAAGGGTTTTCCGCTTGGCGAGAGAAATATGGCATGCCGATGAAGATTGATCTTGAGAAAGCTGATGCTTGTGTAAATACTTCGTTAAGTAGCCTTTGAGCGTCGTCACTGAACTGGGATAAGAAGTCGGTCGGGGCAGTATCGTTTAGGGGCCAAGTTCTCCAAATTCTATGATCGCCATCCATCAAAGATGCTTTTTGCGAACACGCATATTCGACTGAGACCCACATCCTTTGTAGCCATTGGCAATGGAAGAACGCATATAGGGCGGGAATTGCATCAAGGCAATTCACGAGACTTAGCCTCTGGCTGAGCATATGTTTGAGTCGAAGAACCTGACTTATATGGCGACCATGGACGTCCCTCATGCACACCAGTATCTCCGTCGCAGCGTGATAGATAGATGGAAGGATGAAAAGGAGTGACTGTTGAACTTCATAAACCCATTGTGGAACCGAGAGGTAGTCGTGCCAAAATTCGGTATCATCCTCGTATGCAATACGGCTGGAACTAAGGAGTTGGACTATGGTGTCGAAGACAGCTGTCCCAGCTTCCTTGTTTGTTCGTTTTGGGTGATGATGCGCCTCTGACACAGGGCGATGCCATACGTGGGAGACTGGGATGAATTGAACACCTTCGCCCTTGAGGCATTCAAAATGTCGATTGAAGACGCGAATGCAACATCGAATATCTTTTTTCGCCGAACCTGCTTCTCCATCTCTTTCCACGGTTCGAGAGAATGTACGGATAGGGGGGCCTCTTCTATCTTCAAAGGGTTCCTTGCAGACGAGGCAATCAGTGTTAAGCTTAGTCCTCCAGAAATACTCCAACACCTGCTGCGGAGTAACATCAAACTTTTCATCGCCAACAGAAATGCAGATCGAATCCACGTCTCGTGAGTTTCTGGCAACCTCTAACTGCGGCTGGGGCTCCTCGGGTATTAAAAGCCTAAGAAGAGTGGCCAGGAGTTCATCAACAAGCCAACCTGAGCCAGGTGATGTGTTTGCTAAGCTAGAAGACTTTTGTAGAAGACGGTTCGAGTATTGTCGCATTGTCGTGAGAAACGCAACTGGCTGACCAGTCCCAAGTGTAATTAGTTGTTCCAGGAATGTGGCGAGAAGGTTGTCATTCTGTTGTCGCAGGCTCGTCGTCACGATCATCCAGAACAAAGACGTGAATTCGCCTCCGAGATCAGGGGGTAGCTCTGGAGGCACGTCCTGCAACCTCGCATTGGCCTCTTCTAAAACATGAAAATTAGTCCGAATGAGGCATGCGAGAATAGTCCTAGATGTTGCTGCATCACCATGCTCCGCTATTTGAGAAAAATTAGAAACTTCTCCCGCCATGCCTGCGAACTCATCATCCATTGTACTAAGGCAGAGATCCAGTTGATCGCCCAAAGATAATGAAATAGGACTAGGTCTGAAGATATTTCTGGAGAAATCTCGAGAAAGGGTGAATGTCTCGCAATCATGAGACTTTAAGTTGCCCGAACTTGCCAAGCAAGCTGTACAGAATGGGTAGTTGTGTGTGGGGATGACTGTCAGGGCGTTGGAAGGTCAGACGTTAAATGAGCGCATTGAAAGGTCTGATCTGTTTCGATGAGTAGCAAAAGCTGTGCCATTTATAGCTGGCGAGCGAATGATTATCTCTTCATTGGACTAAACCACCTAAACGCCACGACCAGGCACTATTCGTCCGTAGCGAAGGACTTATGTACCTGACCGCGCTGGTGTGACCACTCGCGACTTGATGCTGACGGGCTGTGCAAGAAAAAGTGCCAACTCACCACTGAGCCAAGACACGGTCAAACATTGCATTTTTGGTCTCCTCACTGCCCTCTGTGATTGTTCCCCGCGCCGCCCGAATGCTCGTCCTACATTTACCAGCCAGCCACAAGTGTACATTTGATACGTGGTCAGCTGCCCGCTACCAAGCCTCTCTGCGAAGTAGCATGTGTCGATGTCTGCCTTGTTGATCGTATCAAGAGGGCTGTTGTGGCTGCAGCCGGTCAAGCTAGCCGCTTTGACGCCTTTGACAGGGTTTACGTTGAAACCGGAAATGGCAATGGTATTGGACCGAGGTTGTTTTCTCTTGTCCCCAAGAGCTCTAGAAGTTGCCTAAGTCGGCCAGTCATGTAGAGAGCTTGTATTGTAGGTTGATTCACTGAAGGTTCCTGTAAGTAGCAGTAGGCACTACTGTAATTGCTTATTAATAGTTTAGAGTCTAGTTTTATACCTTTTCATACGGTATTCAGGTAAAGATATTACAAAGTACAGGTTTTAATTCTATGAGTTATCCTGGTAAATAGTTGAGGTGCTGTAATATGTTTTAATGCTATTAAATATTAAAATAATTTATATATTATATTATTTTTCCTTCTATTTGTCTTTTCTCAACTAAAATTTAAAGTAAGCTCTATGTAAAGGGAATCTCAACAATAATAACCCAGAGTTATCAACTGGCTATCATTATATTCATTTTCAGAACTGCAAACTATCCCTTTATTAAACGCTTATGTATGCCCATTGTGTGGTAATTGATAAGGCAGGCTATCTTTCGAGATAACTTGATAATCATATAATCAGCTTTGATACAAAGGCAGGGCTAAGAAGCTTTACTTCCTCTTAGGAACCCTCGCCAACTTCCACCAAGTGCTGCAAACGTAACAGACAAGGCGCCAATAAGAAGCCATTACCTTAACAGGTCTCGAACTACAACAAAGTCTCGGCTATGCGTGTACTGATTGCTTCTGGGCTCCCCGTGTATCGTACAGAAAAAGAGGGTAATGAGGGTATCTTAGAATGAGGTTTGAGAACTTTGTAATAAGCATAGGCATAAAATCAGGGCTAAGAGCATAAATAAGTTTTACAAAAACAATAATGAGAGACTCCATCCTGACATAAATCTTATGGTTTCTCTACCCAATAAGGCTTTTAGGTGGCATCGGCCAGTATTAGTTGGCCTCACTGGCGAAGACAACTGACAGGCAAGAGTGTACTTTTGTTGCGATTTGCTTTGTGTTTCCTCGGTGTTTGCACCTTCGAAGAAAGCCATCGCGTGATTCGAACAAGGGATTGAACGGACGATTGGGGATGACCAAACTCCCGACTGAGCTTCAGATTGGGACTAATTCTTCGTAGGTGTTGCTGAAGACCCCCTGAATGGTGTAGACTTTTGCTGACACAGGGGTAGCATTTGCCAATTCACCAAGGAATTTGAGACTCAGCGACAGAATCACCCGCGTACCAAGCGCTGTCTACACAGAGATCCTCCACCATTCGTCACGGCTTCAACGCGGGATACAGAGCAAACCCAACTTCCGACGCTCTGTAGTGGGCGCATTCGCAAGGCGGTCTGTGTTGCTAATTCAGCCCTCTTTTCATGTGAGTTCGAGCTTGCCTGTAACTTTTACCTTGACCAAACCGATGGAGCCCTTCATTCCGAGCTTTTGTGAGGGCACAACCATGCGAACTTGGCCAGATCAACCGCCAGTTCTTCCGCCAAAACCAAAATACTTTAAACGCGCCAACGTCTCACTTACCCCTAAAAAGCAGACATCGGTTCGGAGAAAAATCGTTCTTTTTAAGTTTCTATAGAATGCTCCGTTTGTTTGGCATTTGGGAAAAGTCGTTCAACGTTGGCCGTTTTGTTATGCTGTCTTTCTTTATCTGAGAACGGAGGTTGATAGCGCTGCGAATCATGGCTTTATTTGATGGGCTCTGATGTTAGAAAAATATTCGAGAGTCGGCTCATTCTTATACTAGGGATCGAGGCTGCTCACAGCATTATCTACAGACTTCGCCAAAACCACCGTGCTTGTAACAACGCTCACGAGTGCGCGTTTATGTTCCTAGCTGCGAGAAATTCATTCACGTCGCTTAACGGACGATATAGAAAGAGAACCTAGTGAGTACTCCGTAAAAGGATTCCTATAATCAATTCTTTCAAGAAAGGTTCTCACTCTGCCGCAACCGCGCATAAAAGGTCTTATGAAGAACTCCCCCACTTTCTAATTCCAGACAAACCTCAAACTGTACAGCCTCACCATTTTAACATATCAATGGGACCCTATGTACCACCGTCCCATATTATTCATTGAGAGACCACCTTACTTGTAGTTGTCCCAGCGCTTCGTCCACAAGCTCGTCCATCCCGCCTCCACGAATCATCAGCACTGTTCAAGACAGAGTACATGTCATATCATGCCAGTTAACCAACCATGATGCATCACGGTCAATTACCCCGCCTTGACTAGTCCGATCCGGCCTAGAGCCTCGGACAAGGAGCATAACGGAGTCCGTGAACGTACGGTTATAGAACTGATCGATAATGTTCCTATTTAAAGGTCTCTCCTCATCCAGACCAAAGAATCCAGCCTGGTAATTCTACATCTCGTTTGCTCGAACCGCTCCCAAGTAACATTATGGCGCCGATTATCAAGAATGTCGTAGTCGCTGGCGTGGGTTTACCAGATATATACTTTTTATAAGTTGAAACTAACTTGCTATAGGCCAGCGGAAATCTAGGCTCAGAAGCAGTCAAAGCCCTTATCGAATCTGGCTTCAATGTTACTGTTCTCAGCCGGTCCAGTAACAAATCGTTCCCATCCAATGTGGCCGTCAAGGTAGTGGACTTCAACTCGATCGAGTCGTTGTCGGCTGCATTTGAGGGCCAAGACGCGGTCGTCGATACAACCTTTTCATTTGAACCGAAGACAGGTAGCAATCTCATTGATGCAGCAGCAGCCAAAGGCGTTTATCGATTGTATGTCACCATACTCCTCCCCCAAATAGTCTTCAAGTTTAGCTAACATCAGAACAAGCATCACGAGCGATTTTGGCCTAGATCCTGATAACCCAGGTGTTGCTGAAATGCCAGTCTTTGGACGCAAACAAGCTAGCTACAACCATGTCAAGAAAGTTGCTGCTGAAGGCAAAATGACATACAGTCTCATCGCATGTGGATCCTTCTTTGATCTATGCTTGGAGAATCCTGTGTATTCGGGCATAGATTTGAAGGGAAAGTCTGCTGATCTATTCGACGCTGGCGATAATGTTTTGCCTTGGACGACGCTTTCTGATGTGGGAAAGGCAATCTCTGGCGTGTTGAAACACCCCGAGGAGACACAAAACCGGCCTGTATATGTGCACGGTGCATACCTGTCGCAGCTTGACATACTTGAGGAAGCGAAGAATGTTATTGGTAAGGACGGATGGACTGTAACAAACAAGGCCATGCAGCCTCTCCTCGATCAATCATTTGCAGAGCTCAAGTCTGGCAACATCACCGAGACGACATTCCTTGTGCAGATAACATACTGCCTTGCAAAGAAGGAGCTAACACACCCTTGGAGTAACGATGACAACGCACTGGTTGGTATCAGGGAGATGACATCAGGAGAAATTCAGGATATTATTAGAAAGACTGCACAAAAGTAAATAGGCAAGAATTCTTGACTAAGAGATATTAGTAGAAGTTTGATACTATAAATAGTATTTTATAGAGGAGTAATCATTCCCTTGCTTTTTATATAACTTGTCTGGTGGGCGATACACGGGAACTTTGGCCAGCGCGCGCCACTGCAGGATCACGAATTTGCAATGGAGGACCAGATGCAGTGATCTCTACCGAAATTCTGCTGCCTACCTAACTCTTGTAGGGTTCTTGTGTGAATTGCTGGTCTTGCAGATTTGTGGGCCAAATATTTCTTCCTTCATCACAACTTCATTTCCTCCGTACCCCGCTGTCACTACACTTCCCTCCCGCAAAGCGAAGCGACAGCGCCTCGCAGCACTTCCTTTATCTTTTGACCATCTCAAGCCTTGTTTTCAAGAACCTACGCGCTAGATAATTTCGTGTTGAGTTGGTGCCAAGTTCGCCAGGTTGTCGATCCTATTTGTTTTCTCCCCATCCCTTTACACTCATTCATCGCCCTCCCTCACCTCTACGAATTTGATCAAATTGCTAACTGTGGTGAAGAATACAGACTCACTTCCTCCCCCCCGATATCGATCGAACCTCCCTGGGCATCCTGAAAGACGATCCGTCAGCACTTGACTCCAAACTCGAGACCGTTCCAAGATCTCAGCCTCCATTCTCAAAGTTGACCAAGCCGATTTCCCACAACCCGACAAACACAGCCCGACAAAGATACCTCCACACGTAACATTCCGCCCGCTATCATGTCTTATTCAGATAGTTTTTCAACCACTGACTATAAAGGCCCAGTCCCCACAGGAGAGAAGATCAGTGCGCTGATCAGACGAATGAGGCACTGTGGCTATTGTATCACCCAATGGGACCTTGAACTCATCGACAGCGAGCAAGTCCAGTGGCATCTGCAATACAACCCTACTCCCTTTTGGGACAAGAAAATCCAAGATGCACGAGACGCCTACAAAACGCAACCTGACCAGAACGACGACCTCAGTTCTCGCATTGTCGAGGAAACCATCCCACGCATTTTCGAGGACAATGCCCGCGTTCCAATTGGACAGCTCCGTAAACTGAACGCTACAGAGAAGAAGGCGGTTAAATATTCTTCGCAAGGGTACTCAGGTCCGATGGACAATCAACTGGGAATGCCTTCCAATGACCATAGTCCTTTTCGAGTTGACCCACTCACCAGCGCCGAGTTGGACGATAACAACGACGACGACGATGAAGAAGACGACGACGACAATTCAGTCCGCTCACCTGATCAGAGCTCCGAACAAGAAGACATACTACGAATCGTAGCTTCGTCCGACTCTGGCCTAGTCGAAGTTGACTACCATCTTCAAGTCTGGGAGCTAAAAGAACAACCGTTGATAAATGGACCCCCCGAGGTAATGCGCAAGCCAAAGGTTCCCATGAGATGTTTCCAGACCCTCGCCCGCTGTTCTCATTTGGGATACTTGTTCCTTGAAAGGAAACGCAGGGGCCGCCCCAGGCAGCAGATGGACAACTGGCACGCTCACCTCAGCGTAGGCTCCGATAATCGTCCTCCCAACAACGTCCCTCCCAAGGCTGTCATAGTTGGCTACTCAGGTCTTTCGGGACATCCCGTTTCCGCTCGTAGCCCGTCGGACAGCCTTATCGAAGGGCCTCTCGTTATGTCTGACAGCTGTTCGGGGATTCAGTTCAAAACAGAACCCGGCAACGAACCATCAGGTGGCAGTGTCATTTGGCACGAGACATTAACAGTTCCAGACAACATCAGTGCTATCAAGCGCCTTGTTGTGAGCAACGCCCGGCAATTTGACAGCGAAAAAGACCTACTGGGGACGATTTTTCACGCACATAAACGAGTGACTGAAGGTCTATCATTCGATCCGCCAGCACACCACAAACCTGAGACAGAGGGCGACTAGCAGCCTGACCTCGCTCATCTTTACCATGGTATCGGCGGCGAAGATACACATTTCACCCTTCAACTTCCCTGTCTTAGCATCCTCGACATACCAAAAGAACTGATCGACCGTCTCATCACCTTCCTATGGGAATACCCATATGATCCCATGGCTCTCAACGACGCAATCCAAGCAGTTCTTGTTTATCATAACATTGACCGTGCCAAAGACCGGAAAGCCGAGCTCTGGGCATACAACACTGTCAAGACAAAACTCGTGCTACGAGATGTTGTTCCAAGCGTTCCCCTTGCCACGTTTATTGTCTACTGGCCTCACTACAAGCGATTTCACGAAGTACAAAAGATGTCGCGGTACATGCACCCATTCCGCTTCGCTCATTCCAACTATGCCCTAGACTGCAAGGTGTTTGGCTCCCGTGCCGAGATAGACTCCTCTCACATTGATTCGAAGCGAGTATTTGAGCTTGTCGACAACCTCAAATCTCTGGAGCCTGACATTCCTGCCAATCACTTCATCCCTGTTCTGCCACATTCGATGCCCGGCTCCAAGCTGATCTGGCCAAAGGGAACAGGAGCAGCTCAAAAGGAAACAACTGCGTTGGCTGGTCTCCTTCTTCTCAACGACATCAACCTTTGTGGCCTCCCAAGCTACCATCATCCAGAAAGTAATGCAGCTTATTGCGATGCCTGCATGTTTCGCCAATACGATTGTCAGATCCCTCGTTTCCGATTACATCTACGCCCCCTCTATCCCGACTCAAAACTTCTGGAAGCCCGATGTGAAACCAGACTTGGTGTCTATCTCCGGGGAGGAAATCTTAGTTGGTCCGTTCTTCCAGAACATTTCACCCTCCACGACCCGTCAAGACCTAGACCACTCTCACGACCCCGGGCGATTCAACCGCCGGATAGTTCAGCGCTCGCGTATGTACCTCAACATAGCAAAAGCCCTCAAAATTCCTATCGAGAAAATCATCGTGGATCCAAAGTCTGGTTTGATTACATGGGATGGAATGCCGAGCGAAGCTGTTATCGCTGCTGAACAGGGGATGCCCTCTGTTGTGAAGCGGGCTGTTGGGATGCCCCAAGACTTGAACAAGATTGTTGCAGCCCCTGCGCCTACTCAAGCTTTCAATAATTCTTAGGGATCACGCGAAGGATGGTAGCACCCTAGGTGATATGGTCCTCTAAGTAGGTATGCTGGATGGAAGGGAAGGAAATTGTGGGACATGGTACTTTCTGATGCACGTTATCCTCCACAAATGCAACCATCTCAAAGACCGGTGGAAATCAAGTTTGAGTGGCATGCTATTTGCACAAGTGCCGGAATCGTAAAGGCAGACTCTCTGAATGGAGGGAATACGAGTCGTCAGATGAACCGCGAGAAGCTGCTGCTGGTACTCTCTAAAGAGTTTGAGGCCTGCGCCTAGAATTTGGTTCCCCGACCCAGGTGTTCGAGGGGACTGTAATATCAAATTTTAAATTATAAACACCGTCAACACCATCGTTCAGATAATCCAACGGTACGCCCGGCATAAATACACGTCTATAGTAGACTCGTGAGACTCTTAGGGATGGAAAGATGTAATTGGAGCAGTGTAAGTGGGTGGACCGCTCCAAGCCATGACAGATAAGACTGGAAATTGCTTCCTAAGTCGTGCAAGATGGTGAAGCCGCTGGAAGAGAGCCTTGAACAGCAGTGACAGTTATGATTTGAGTAGAGAGAGTATGCGATAGTCTCGGAACTAAGGAGCACGCAAAATTGCATTCATCCAATACCGGTGTCCCGCCGTCGACATTGAACTATTAAGCTTTAAGACTTTAACTTTAGCTACACCAAATATAGTCAAGCCCGAAAAGTAGCCAGCAGGAAAGTAGAAAGTCTCCTAACTAAATTTCTCTACACCGCATTTGGCCTCCTCTACCATATTCCTCCTAGTGGGAGAAATACCCAGAATTGGGAAGCGGCGCCCGGTCCAGCTTAAAATATCCTGGCTGTAACAACTGGAATACCTGCTGAGGATCATACTTCTTGGCAATACTCTTCAACTTGGCCTTGTTGCTCGCCCCATACGTAGCAATGACATCCTGGAACTCACTCCCGTAGTTCATGTAGACGTAATCATTCCCAACACCACGAGCCTTTGCCGTTTTGGAGATAGTCTCAAGAATATCGGACATCCAGCTGTAGATGGCCTTGTCATCCACTTTGTTCTCCCACCATACGGCCAATTGGATGATAAACAGAGGTCCATTCTTAGCGTCAATACCAAGGGCATTTCCTCCATTCTTCCGCATATGCTTGATCTGGGGAGTAGTAATGCCCTGCACAACGATACACGGTAAAATTCCGGGAACATCTGCAACAGTGAGAACAGTTTTGTAAAAGTAGTCCCGGGCAAATTCAAGGATACCACGGTCAACCTTTGTGCTGATAACGTAGTACATCTGTCGAAAGCCAGGCGGGCTATCATTCATTGTCTCCTTTACCCAAGCAGGGAGGCTTCTGTCTTTCGTAGTATCCGAGATAGCCTCGATGTTATCAAAGTCATCCCAGATGGCTGCGTCCCCAGCACCAGGCTCAGCGTAGTACAGAGTTGACATCACAACCCTGTAACCCCCAGTGTAGCTGAAAACAACAAAGAGACCAGCCTTGGGGTCTTTCTCCGAGTTTTTAACGATGTTGAAGAGTGCATTAGTGACTTGTGGGAATTTGTCTTCGGTGTACAGGCGTGCGCCTCCCCACATCTTGCCATTGGGAAGGGGGACGGTCTTGAGATTGAAGTTGACAACAAGACCAAAGTTATTGCCACCGCCTCGGAGGGCCCAGTAAAGATCAGGATGGTTAGTAGTGCTGGCTTTGACAATTAATCCGTTGGCGAGGACCACCTTGGTGACAGTTAGTAAGGACGTCAAGACGACGCATGATTGGGAAAGTTACCTCGTAGCTTTCGACATTGTCGCAAGCCCAACCATACAGGTTGGAGAAGTATGAGATACCGCCTACTGTATGTCAGTCAAGCCTTCAAAAGAAAATAAACAGGGACAAAACATACCTCCAGTACTTAACCCCCCAACACCAATATTATGAATTCGTCCTCCAATGACAGTGACATCAGACTTGGTCAACTCCTCAAACACACCACCCCAAATATTCCCTGGCCCAATGGAAGCAATCTTTTTATCTTTAGAAAGCGAAATATCCTTAAGATTAGTAAATGAGACAGTAATGCCACCCTCCACTGAAGAAGCACCAGCGAAAGCTGCGTGACCACCACTCTTTGCAGCAAATGGGCATTGTGCCAATCGAGCCAAGAGGACGAGTACAGAGACCTGGATAGGTTTTTGAGGCTTGAAGATACAATATGGATTCACGTCCGATTGCATCGCAGACCAGTAAGTGTGGGTAAAGTCACTGAAAGCTTTCTCGTTTCGGCTCTCGACTGCTGAATCACCGTAGAGGATCTTAAGTGAGGAGCACTGCTGAAGTCAGGCCAAGAACAGGATGTCTAGGATGGTTGAGCTTACAGCAGCTGCACAGCCTGTATCAGATCGCATCGCATCTTTGGAAGATACAGGAAGTTTTGAGACGTCAACTCCATGGTCGAGGAGTGCTTGGGTAATATTAAAATTCCTCGTTTCGAGTACAGGGTCAGCTGCCTTTGATACAGCTGTTACCGAAGCCAGAACAAGTAACGACGAGAAAAGCATTTTGAATTCAACTGAGTCTATGCGAGGACCTTAGAACACTAGACCTAGGATGAGAGCGAGATTTAAGAAAGAAGTAGTTTTTTTGTAAACTGGTGCGGGAATTGTGATATCCTTAGACGCCATATCATGCAGGACGAGTAGCATCACTGCAGCAAACCAAGACATGACAAGGTTTGATTCCGAAATGCACAATAATAGAACAAAGGATTGATAGGATTGGAGCGGAATTCACACACAGCGCCACGGTGCCGTTCCCCCGTTGAAAAAACAAGGTCAATTGGGTCCTCTTCTGCAGCCGAGATGTGTTGGTCGTTAGTAACTTCCCAAAAACAATAGTTTCGATGCAGCCAAGAGGCGCACGGTGTCGTTGGTCGTAAAGTGGCTTTTTTGGAAGTGATTGTGATTGTGATGTGGATGACCTGATGGCAGGGATAGGAGCCGACGTGCCGTATCTGGAAAACACCAATAGGAAATGCGCTGCAGATGTCACAAATGGCAATTGTCATTTCAAGCTTAATATTTATAAATGCCCAGCAAAGATAATGGTATCAGAGCATGCAATTCCCAACAGCAAGATGCTATGCCAAAAATGTATGTAGAAAAAGCAAAACATACAACAGCGGGGATTCGCTGGTCGTCACCGACCCAACTACTAATCCGCCGGTTAGTGGCTTGACTATGGGAGAGCGGACGGGATCCCGTATTTTCCACTACCTTTGGTCGTATGTACCAATCTTGGTTCTTCTTTGATATATATACAAAGCTCATCAGTCACCAAGTCATCTCAATTACATAGCTTGTCACCACCAGATGGTCCGGAATCAATCAACCCGAACTGCTCCTGAAATCAGGTTTAATAGATTTATAATTTGGAAATCTATAGCTTAGCTGATACCTGCTTTCTTGCTTCTCTCTCCTTGTCTCGCAACAGCCTTCTCAAGATCTTTCCACTGGGACTCTTCGGAATCAATTCGATAAACTCAACACCACCTCCCAGCCATTTAAACCGCGGTTTGTGCTCTTCGACATGCTTGCAGATCGCACGGGCAATTATTTCGTCTGGTTGCTCGCCACGTTTGTCGGACTTGACGATATACGCCTTTGGTACTTCGCCAGTCCGGTCGTTTGGCACCTGGATCACAGCGCAATCAGAGACATATGGATGGGACAGAAGATGAGCTTCGAGTTCTGCTGGCGCAACTTGGTGGCCCTTTTTTCATTCCAGTGTCAGTAAACCTTGCCAGATGCATGTGAGCGGGTGCTTGGTGGAAAAATAACGCACGTTAACCTTGATCAGCTCCTTAAGTCTGTCCACAATGACAAGATGCTCGTTTCCAGAAGGTGCGAGACGTATTAAAACCTCGTCTCCAGTCTTGATCCACCGACCATCTTTCCGCCAAACAAAAGTCTCAGCAGTAGCCTTCTCATTATTCATGTAGCCCAAGACCAACGACGGGGTCTGGACGAGGAGCTCGCCTGGCTTGTCGTATTCGGTGATTTCCTCGCCAGTCTCGATGTCAATGATCATGGCTCTGGTCGCGGGAACTAAAGAACCAGAAGAACCAATGTCAATGTCCGACTCGCTTGTAGTGCAAACAACTGTGCAAGTTTCGGTCAGTCCTACACATGTTAGCATTGATCAGGTTGAAGCTGTTTGGTGGAAGTACCATAGCCTTGGCCTACGCGCCATTTTGGATACTGTCGTTTTACTTCTTTAACTACTTCCGGGCCTAAAGGTGCGGCGCCAGTATACAACCAGCGAATAGAACTCTAGTCATACTTGTCACACAAAACTTTGTTGTGGATGATGCGGATGATAATGGGCGGAACCTGCCAAAGTTAGAACCTGGGCCACCTGAGCATAAGGAGAAATACTTACGACGTTCATGTGCGCAATTTTATGTCTCTGGACCGCAATCAAAGCCTTTTCCAGCTCAAATTCAGGAAGAACGATAACCTCGTCGCCCCTGAACGTGCTTGCGAAGGATATTATAAGAAGACCATAAATGTGGCTAAAAGGAAGTGCGCCCAGGCATGCTTGAGTCTCGATTCCATCCTCTCGTCTCGAAACGCTTTCGTATGTCGTGAGTTGGAGGACATTAGCAATGACATTTCTGTGGGAAATCATAACAGCTTTCTATCAAGGTAGAGTCAGTAAGCAGACGAGACGGTAGAGTCTGATTATTCGTACAGGAAGGCCGGAAGTGCCACTGGAATAGCAAAGAAAGGCGACCTGTCTGGCGCCCTGACCTTTAACCCATCTCAAAGGCTCCAAGTCTGGTAAGGTGGCACCTTCCTTGACAAGATCATCGAAAGTTGTGAAAGCGAGACCTTTCGTGGCGGTATTATCCGCGGCGCTTAGTATAAAGATACGGTCGTTGGGAATGTTGGCTGCTTTAGCCGCTTTGACAGCGATATCGAGACGACTGGCACATGTGAAAAGTGCTTTGACACCAGATGATCGCAATTGATGCTCCAAATCGGAAGCAGAGTATGCAGCACTGGCGGGTGTGATGATACCAGAGAGGCGGTGTACAGCTTGCGTAACCGTGAAAGTATCTATCTAAGAAAAGTCAGACCTAGGTATTGACTTGATTGCATGATAATATCCATATCTTACTGTGTTTACTGAGAATGTAGCAACGACTTTATCCCATTCGACTCCCTCGTTAGGTGAAAAGTCAAGTCTTTTGGCCAAGGCACGTGCGACAAAATCGGCTCGCTGGTGAGCTTCAGAGACAGAATATGATTTTCCTGTTATGCCGCAAGTAAAGGGGTTTCTAGAGTTGGAGATTGGCTGCCGGCCATAAGTCTCGTTTCTCATAAACTCATGGAGAGAAATAGAGTCGGGGGGATCTACAATAAATAAGTATCGTGTTTGAGATGAATGACAGTGGACGTACCGATCGGGAGCTCTGGCACCCAAGATGGTGGTGTGAATACCATTGCGAGGAGGTAGATAGTTCGATATAATCAGTTAAGTGAGATGGATTGAGGCACGCTTTTATATAGATGGCTTCGAAACAAGACAAGACGTTTGAAACTCAGTACCCTGCATCTATATTTGAGGGGCTTCGGCCAACCAGCCACCAGGGGAGGGGGCAGAGATGACCAATCATCAGCAATAAGGGCTAAATACTGGGATTTGGGGACGTTGGTCATATGATTTCCTAGTTGTTCCTATTATCAGATCGCATGGAAATAGTCAGAGCCGAAACCCTAACAGTCAGCGAAACCCGAAATCCAGATCGGGATTTGCGAAGGATGGTAGTCGCTTAAACAGTGACATCCTCACCAGGCCCATAACAGTAGACCGAGGTAAGGCAAGTCAGAAATACCGAAACTCACTTCCGGAAGTAATTATTAATTTTATTAGAATGTCCCGACCGTAAATTCTTGTTCCGCCGACTTGGAGAGCCCGATCAAGTCTAGGGACCAATCATGGCCGCCTATAATGAGCTTATATACCCTTAGGTATCTAGGCATCTATTACGTAGAAAACCGCGGTATTTGAGATGTTGAGCGCTTTGGATAATCTCTCGACAGGCAGAGAACGCAGACATTTGAAAGGACTAGACTTGTCAGCACAACAAGTGCTGATCTTCAGGTTCTGGTATAATGTTTTGCTGTAAATATAGGGGTCCTGGATGTTGTAGGGCCACTTCTTGGCCATACCACCGCTCTGCATGATGGCGGCGCGAAATAGGCCATCGTCGCGGCCACCATAGGCAATGAGCTGTTTGCCGGTAGATAAACCACCAGCGCTCTGGCCGAACAGGGTAATCTTGCGTGGATCTCCGCCGAAGAAGCCAATGTTCTCTTGAATCCAATGCAGATTTCGGCTCACTCCAAGTTTCGTTGAGGCTTTGGGGGGCACGGAATCGAAGATTTCCCACAGGTGGTTGCGCGTACGGGATGCCCAAGAAAACATCCTGCTGCTGATGAGATGAGTGGTAGCCTTCGTAAGTACCATTTAAGACAGTCACCATAGGTCCTGCGTTACAGAGCCCAGAGAAGATAGATAGGATTGAGATCCCGAGAGATAGCCCTCTAAATGGGTTCTTCATCTTGCCGTACTGAGGAGCTTGTAGGCTAAAGATCATGCGTGCTGCTTCTAAGATACCTTACATGAAGAGCCTACATTCGGGCGGATTATATAAAGGAAAAACACTTATGAGTTGGTAAATGCTGGCACGCGAGCGCCGCAACGGCAAAGGACAAGAAGCCGATGCTAGAGAGATACTAATACCATGGCCCTAGTCTAGACCCCGTGGGGGAAATGACTCGATCGAACAGATAACTAGTGCATTGTCCGGGGTAGAACATGTTGCCGATATGTGGGGAAGTGAGTATGGAGATGATGGCCATATTGCCGACAACCTTATCATAGCATCGGGTAGATAGATACAAGACACGCCATGCGGATAGATGCTTCAATCGACGTCATGTCCGCTGTGTCAATAGTGCCAAACATAAGTCGGCGTCCTGAGTTTTTATTCCATTTGGACGATTTCGGTGAGCGGTAGTTGTTGGGATTGAGAGTTCTGACGAAACTTGCCCAGTATACTTGAAGTATCATACGACATGGTTAGATATTCTACAGACAAATATAGTGAGCGCACTCGACTGTTTCGAAAGTGCTACTAGCTATATACCCAAACCATGTCCAGCACAGAGCAAGAGTAATTCAATTTGAATTCTTCCAGGGTGTAGAGATCATTTAGACGCTGTACCTGAACTCCCGGTCCTGCTTATCGGTCATATCCGTCTCTGGTGCGCCATTTCCATCCAAGACAACTGGCGAATGCCTGTCTTCAGAGCCTTCGACACCACGGACTTCGCGGCTGTTATTATCGCGAAGACAGACGAAACGATATGACGCAATCACTACGAATAGTGTGCACCAAGTAACAATGCTTGTTACAACGCCGGAGAAGTAGCGCGGCGCCTGGGTCCAGAGCTGAGGAGAGGCGATACACCCAGCGCAATGTCCGATGAAAAACATGGCATTGACAATGGCGCGCTTCGTGTTACCCTTGACATTGGACGCTGTGAGGGACAGCAGGATAGACCAGACGGCTGTTATACAAGAGGCCTGTACAAACATGTGAGACATGGGACACGGCTATCGAAAGAGGGTGGCTTACCAGCCATGAAGCAGCGATCATGCCCCATCCTGCATCGAGCGACAGCTTGAGGAGCAGAACCGTACCTATCAGCGGGGGGATGACAAGCGCCAACGCAACGTATGTTCGGTTGTTTGGAAACCACATGCAGCCAAGGACACCGACCCAAACCAATGAAATCTGCACAGCACCCGAAGGTGCCATGTACAACATGGTTTGGTAGCGATCATACCCAATGTTGTTGATGACGAGTGAGGCAAACTGGCTTTTGTTAGCATGCTTGGTTGTGCACTAAGAATCCGTCCATCAACTTACGGTTAATACAGGCGACTGCATTGTAACGAGCACACCGAACCAAAACACAAACCAAGTCTTGATGTCGAACAAGGCCTCCTTTAGTTGCGCAATAGAAAATGATGTCTTGTCACCTCCCTCGCGGTCTTTGGCCATGCGCATTGACAGCACCTGCTTTTGGCGCTCCGTGAGAAACCATGCGTTTTTTGGCGAGCTTGGCATGAAGAAAAAGAACAGCACACCGGCAAAAGCCGTGAGCGCTCCGCATACAAGAAAGAGGGTGCGCCAGGGGGCGAGACCTAATGACTTGTTGACACCGATGCCGTACATGAGAAGACAGCCAATGACCTGAGCGAGGCCATTCATTGTAATCCAAAGACTAAGCGCGGTCAGGAAAGGTTCACCGGATTATGGAGAGGTAATGAATAGCGGACGGAGGGTCTATACGTACGCGGTGCGAGTAGCGTGTTCGTTCTTACGATACCAGATGCTCGTCAATGTGATGAATGCTGGAGACACGGCTCCCTCCCAGAAACCGAGGAAGAAGCGAACAGTCGCAAAGCCAGCAAAGTTGTTGGTAGCTACAAGACATAGGCAAACAGCGCCCCAGACGATACTAGCGATTTTGTAAGCTCGACTATCTCTTCCCGTGGTAGTGATATTGCCTACACAGTGGCGCCAACGAATTTGGTCAGAGGCAGGCGGCTCATGAGATAGATAAAGGGATACTCAGCAACGAGCTGGCCGACATAGAAGATGGACGAGGTCCATGAGTATTGATGCTTGGTCAGTCCTAGATCAGGAATCAGACCAAAGATCTAGATGGTGTCAGTTAAAGGACTACATCAGAATGGGAAGGCCTGTTTATATACACTAGCGTAACTCAGACTCTGCTTGTCCAAGTATTGGAGGAAGAAGACAAAGCACATCTACAGACAGATCAGCAACGTGTCTCGCATAGAACTACTGTTGCATGGAGAAGGTACCATAGGCAGCACATAAAGGTCGATCTTGCGTAGGAGCTCACGCTCCTCCTCGGGCGTTGGCTCAGGGTACACATTCGCAACCTCGCCATGTTTGTTGTCTGGTCCCAACTTCTCTTCGCTTCGAGTCAAACAAGCGTCCGGCCCAATGTCGGGCTTCTGGTCTAATGCTTGGGACATGGTCGTGTGCGCTGGTGAGTTATGGCGAGTTGCTGTATATGCGCGTAGTGAGGGAGTCGGATCTGCTGGCGTCGAGGACTGAGGCTGGAGAGGGGAGCCCAAGATATGTACTCGCCTGATATATAATTCTCGAATCCCCGGACTCCACAGATCTTCCTCTTGCACAATGTAACGGAACCCTGCGTCTGCGTATGGCACATGGTCAGGAATCTTCGGAAAGTCTTAGTTCAACCTGGAGATATGATAGATGACGGTGGGGCCGATGTGTTATCTACGAACTAGTCAAGATGCAGTTAAATAGGGTCAGACCAGCCGACGTTTGGGTTTCGGGAAGATGTCATCTAGGGCCATGTTGCCGATGCTTATCTAGCAGATTACCGATGTCTCAATGTAACACGCACCCGATGCTATCAGCCACTCACAAGACAGGAGCATAGACATGGCGCATATAATTTCTAGACGCGAAAATAAGTTTACCTTCATCCCATCATACTCATCCAGCTATCACATCTGAATCCCACGCTTCATACTTTGTACACATTGCTGCAATGGTTACCGAAGCAGACTTGAAGCCCTGGCTACGGCAGCCGCCTCGTCGGTACATCCTCACCAATGCCTCCATTGTGGACGTTGCCTCTGGTAAACTCATCCGCAATGCCGCCCTTAAGCTACAGGATGGGCGTATCGAAGCAATCGTCGACTCCACCGCCAGTAACATCTCCTCTGCCTCCCAAAGCAGCTTTGAAGTCATCGACTGCGCAGGCAAGTTCCTCACCCCGGGCCTCATCGACTCACACGTCCACCTCATGGCCGTTCCTGGCTTTGGCGACCTGTCCAAGGCTTTCGGTAACCCCCATGATATCTCCGTTCTTCGACAGCCCTATGTTTGCGCGCAGATGCTCCATCGCGGCTTCACGTCTGTTCGTGACTGTGGCGGTGCCCTCCAGGCGCTCAAGGATGCCATCGCAGATGGAGTCTTCCCTGGGCCACGTGTCTTCATCGCCGGTCACGCCATCAGCCAGGCTGGCGGTCATGCTGACTTCCGAGGGCAGCATGACCACGATCTTTGTTGCGGGGGTTCAACAACAGGGCTTGGGCGGGTCGTCAACGGCGTCCCGGAGTGTATGCTTGGCGTGAGAGAGGAGATCAGGACAGGCGCCGATTTCATCAAGATCATGGGTTCCGGGGGTGTGAGCAGCCCAACAGACAGGATTGAGCAGCTACAATTCTCCAATGCAGAGATTCAGGCCATGGTAGAGTGTGCTGAAAACGCGGGAACATACGTAACAGCACACGCCTACACCCCCAAGGCGATCAGACACTGCGTCGAGAACGGCGTCAAAGGCATCGAGCACGGCAACTTCATCGACGAGCCAACAGCTAAGCTGCTCGCCGAGAAGGGCGTGTACCTAACACCGACACTCGTCACGTATGCTGAGATGGCATCGAACAAATGGAAGGGATACCTGCCGCCCGAGTCAGCCAGCAAGAACCAGGAGGTGCTTACGGCTGGCCTGTCAGCGCTGAAGACGGCACATGATGCAGGGGTGCCAATCTGCTATGGTACTGACCTTCTCGGTCCCCTCGGCACAGCGCAGACATACGAGTTTCGCCTGCGGTCCAAGGTGCTCTCACCTCTTGCCATCATTCAGAGCGCGACAGTCACTCCAGCCCGCATGATGGGCCGCGCAGAGTCGCTGGGCCAGATCAAGGCTGGCTTTGAGGCTGACCTGTTGATCACTTCAAAGAATCCGCTAGAGGATGCGACAATCTTCGACGAGCCTAGTAATGTACTCGCAGTGATTAAGGAAGGGAGAATCTACAAGAGCAGATGGGAAGACTTGAAAGAAGATGCAGGGATAGTTGTTCGCATCAAGGCACCGAAGCCAGCGCTGTAATTACTGTTGTATCACGGCAATAGAGGAAACAAATCATTTCATTTTCTATTCTATCCAGACCCTGTTGTGAAATCGAGAACATCCATACCCGTGAGGCCCATAAGATAGAGTTGGTCGTCACTTAACACTGATGATGGTAGATATAGGTCCAATGCTGAGCTCGCTGATGACTCAGCCAGACCATTTGAATGGAGTGACATACCATACGTAGATGCTGATAGGCCCTGGAGTTGCAAAGCGGATGCTATCATAGGGTCAAGATTTGGACTTGCCGTGTAATCAAAATGGTAGGCTGTTGGTTCTTGGTTTTGAGTTTGTCGGGGCGTACCATCATGTGGGTAAGCAGCCCCTTGCTGTTCCGCCCTAGCAAGCCAACGGACCCATTGTGCATAGTCGGAGGGCTGTAAGTCTGTGGAGCTCTCAGGCAGACTCTCGGTTTCGGGTGGCCGTGATGCCGCGAGCTTTGCCCAAGCTTCGTCGGCGATGGACTGGAGAGCCTCGACGAATTTAACGCCGGTCCTAGCGGTTAGATTGTCTCCGGCCATTTTTCGGAGACACTCAATCCCGAAATCAACCGTCTTGCGATACTCTGGGCCTCTGTCTAGTATGCCGGCAAGGAGCATAATAATGGTAGCAATGCTGCATCCCTGGAAGTCAGTGAAAGAAAAACGAGTTAGGTTCCTCGTACGAACGAGGTGCTCGAACAGACTCAGCATCTTTCTAGCAGCTTTGGTGCAGGATAAAGCTAGACTCTCGACGCGATCGTCGATGGCAGTCTGTTCGGAAGACGGGGATTGCGCACCACGCAACCGTGATCGCACAATTGTGACAACCGACACCTTTCCCAGTGCAATCCAGGCAAAGTAGTAGTTCAAATAGAGGTGAAATACTGCTCTGTAGCTAGATGACCTGGGATCGGTTGTCTCAAGCTTGAGCTCGGCAGGCAGCGACCTCTTCCATGACTTGAGAGTCACAGCGTAGTTTTCAGGGGGAAGCTCAGTATGATCTGACCACGTACTTGCACTCTGTCAGTATCCATCCTTCACTAGGAGGTTCGAGAAAACACTCACGCAGGCTGTGCCAGAGTGTCCATGACCCTGGTGAGCTGGGCGTTTGCAATCTGATGTTGAACGTTGTTGAACTTTTGATCCACGTCCCTTGGTAGTGGCCGTGGGAGACCAACGGTTATTATATCTTGCGAGACCGACCGCGGTCTGTTGAGCTTGATAGTGATCATCCTGCAGAGTTTGTGAGCACACGTCTACATGGTTTTAGTAGCGAAGTATGATTAACCTTTCCAGTGACCATACCGCCCAGAACAGTCGTCGCCGGGCCTCGCGTTCATCTTGGCCAAGGGAGTGATCATCCGATTCCTGGTGGAGGGCGATTGCAAGTGCCTTGCGCAAGGCTAGGCCCATGTAGACGTAGGAAGCCCCAATAGCGCTCGCAGGCATAAGGTATACACCGAGGACATATGCGGCTTGGACAGACCTAACACAGGCACGGTCGATGATATCGCCCATCAAAGTGCGGGCAAGTTCGTAGAACAGTCTCCCTGGATCGCTCCCCTGTGATGGAGATAGGCTTTCGCTGAGGTCGTCGGGCTTGGCTAGTCTGGTCCATTGGCTTCCCAGGGCAAAGGTGGCGAGCGCAAGACAGATGAATCCAGCATCCCGCCTCAAAGCCGAGCCTTGGTCAGTGTAGAAATTATCCAGCTCTGCCGAAAAGGTGACTTGGTTGAAGTAGTAGAAGCTGTCAGTGCCATATCGGATGCAGACGGAGAGTAGGAAGTTGGCGACTTCTCTGGGTGGGAATCTGTCGATGACGCCCTGAAGTCGGTGGAGATGCGCTGGCGAGGTTGACGCAGGCTGGGACATGCGTTCGTGGAGCTGGGTCATGTAAGGCTCTTGGGTAACAGTGGCGGGCTGGGGCTCGAGGCCAAATGCACCACGGAGTTTGGACAGAAATCGGGGCCACATGAACATCTCGGAGGTGGCTCCCTCGGGAGAGACGGTGGCGATGTGCAGGTCATGCTGATCTTGGTTTGGAGGTTGATGTTGGCAAATTTGGTGCTGCAATGATGGGCGGCGGACTGGCTCTGACTCTGACTCTGACTCTGACTCTTGGGAGGCAGCAGGATTGGCTATTAGATCATATCCACTTGTATCTGCTTGTGGCCGTGGATGTGCCTCTATTGGTAGCTCTACATCTGTCTCCGGCACATTGGCATGAATCTCATTCCCATTGGCAAGATGGTCGACTTCATGCATAGGCCGGGTATCCTCGGTGGGAACTGGTGATGTCTGCTTCTTGTCAAAGCGGCAGGTAAAGAAGCCTCGCAGGCATCGCTGGCAGATACCCGACGCAGTTTCCACACACGATTGCTTGCGGCTCTTACATCGGTCGCAAGCACGAGGAGCGCGTTTGCGGTCTCGATCTGCAACTCTACGGTGACGGGTTCTCCGAGTTGTAGTCGACCGTTTCATGTGTGCGCGTAACCTTGCGTTGCCTCTCTTTTGCCGGGTTAATAATGGTGTGGAGTGGGTGTAGATGCCGCAGGGATGGACAGGTTGCCGATGGTGTTGAGAAAGAAAAGCTGGGGCAATGCTGGGGTATAACTACTTAACCTACCCAACCACCTTTTCGTCTTAGCCTGGAATTTACACTAAAAACGCACCACAGTAAAACAGGGCAATAAGTTAACCATTACGTGCTGTATAACGGCCTGCATGATTGTCCTAATTAGGTTATATATAAAAGGTAATATCTTAAGCTATTTTATTAAATGAAATATTAGATGAAATGTAAAAAGATACTAAATAATAAAAGAAGATACCTAGGCTAAAAGGTACTTGAGTAAATTAATTATACACTAGATGTCTAATGACACAGTCGTATAGGGGTGTTTCCTAACTGTATTATTGGATTGCTATAATAAGAATAGGTCTATTAACTCATTTTCTACATGATCTGTTTACTATCAAACTTTCGACAAGACCTTTTGAATATTGAAATAGGTATAGAGTTAGTAACGTTCATGTGCAACTCCTTAATATATTCTTATTGAAAGTTTTGTAGCCAAATAAGTTCTTAGAATACTGACTCGTTTGGCCTATGGATATGCAGAGTGAAGACACCCTCCACAGAACAGGAAGAAAGCAAGCAAATGTGCACCAATCGCAAAGCCACCTTGTATATCATCCTTCACAAGCGTATAGATCAGGGAAACAGCAAGGGACACTACAAAGCCTATACATCCGCAAAGAAACACAGCAAAAGGATCAAGACCCTCGACAAATCTGATGCCCCACCCAACTGAGCTTCCTTTTCTGGGACAAGCACACAACCTCTGTCCCATTTTCTTCGGTATCCTGTTGAACAGGACAGGAAGCACCTCGGCGTGATCCGGGTTTTCAAAGAGATGTAATAAGAGGTTGGGGCCAATGGGTGGGTCGGTATCACATTGCTCGAAGTCGTACTCTATCCGCGCTTGACTCCCAGGTAGCGAAGGGCACTGTTGAATGTTGACGATCTCGCTAAGGAATATCTCAAACTTGAAGGCATGATTAGCTTAGCCGACCCGTAGCTTGTAATGGTAATGGTACGGTTCCATACCTTGACAAAGTCTATTGATGATACGCGCCGCAGCCAACGGCTTTTAGAAGCACCTCGGCAATCGGAGTAAGTATGTTGTAATGTCTTGAAGAAATCTCGATCGGAGTGAATCTTGCAAACATCAGGCTGATGTGCCTTTGAAACACGTCTCGTAAATGGGGCGCATATCATGAGAAACTTATGCTTTGGGTCCAAAGCTGACGCTTCGATGTTGGAAGATATGTGGCAGGTTTCACCAGACTTTGGGCCCCCGGCTTCCTGATTATAGGAAGGTAGGTTTGCTGAGTTCTCCTTTGAAAATGACCGGGAAATTGACGTTCTGATGCTGGAAGCCAGATTCAAAATGTTCGTCTTCACCGACCCTGGCCCGGTATTTTCGACGAGCTCAAGAGTCATCTTCTCATAGTCTTGCAGCAAAACTTGCAACTCATCGATTGCGCCTGTTCGCTTCCCAGTATAATCATCATGTCCCTTATGGCCACATCGCTTGTAGTAGCGTTAGCATTTATGTTAACCGATACCTGAATGGGAGACTTGCACATGACCAAGAAAGACGGGTTCGTTGATGTGCTGCAGGTCCCTTCCATTGTTTTTGAATTAGAAAGTTGAAGTACTGCCTGGTTTCGTGGCCTAGCTCTTGCGTTGACTCGGTGTTCCTTGACGCAAATAACCTCAAAGCCAGAATGAAGCTTTGGAATGGTGCTCCCTCGAAGATAAATTGCTGGACGTTCTCGTAAACTATGTTTTTCTCATCTGTGTCTAGATCCTCTATCTCTTCACCTTCGATGATCTCATCCGAAGGCGTCTCTTTTGCCGTCGTAATAACAGCCCAGTCGTCCTCATGAGTAAGCTCATTGATGTGGCATTCCACGATACGGTCGGCAATGGTAAGTCGAGCTAGACGGACGAATCCTGCGGCATCCTTGTTCAGACGGGTGGTTGCCTCGGTTCGTAAGTCACGAGAGAGACGAGACAGATATCTCGCGATATTTCTGACAGCCTGATCCTTATGATGAGATATTCTCACAATTTGTGGCCATAAATATCTGAGACTGAACTCGTTGAGCAATTCCTGGAACAATCTATCGGCAGCTTCCTGCTTTGCGTCATCTGGAAATGTCAAGTTTGTTGAGGGAGCTGAAATGTCGCTAAAGACAGACGCGTGATCGTCATCATCTGAGGTGTCGCCTGTATCGATCTCCGTGTTGTCGTCAGCGGGATGGGATGATGCGTAAGAAGAAGTGTGTGAGAAGCAGGCGTAGCCGACCAAGATCTTGCGTTTTTGGACTCTGTGACCTGGCCGGTCAAAGTCGGCACAGCGGTCAACAGCATGAATGTAGTAGACACAGCCACATGCCGAATAACACTCTGTAATTTGATGACACATGTTGACACATTGAGTGCATTATTTGGTGAAGTTGCCAGGTGGAGGTATTCAGGCAGCAAAGCGGATACCTCCAACTTCAGCCAATGGCTGTTTGCATTGGTGACTGTATATGTCAGACATACAGATACTTCTCTCATACCTTACCAAAATTGATATCGTAGACAACCCACCAATTTTTGATATCCCTTGATTTAAATGCCAAGTTATGCTCCCATTTCTACTTCTGCATCTTTCTCAATCAGGGCAAGTACAACAGACCATGCGATGGTGTGCTTTTTTGAACGATAATTTCAGCTGGGTATGGTGAGTGATAAAGGTAGGCACAGGGGTCTTATGCACTATTTTCCAGAGTAAGAGGAGAGTATGCAAAGCATGAACCTATGCCTATATAAGAGCTAGAATGCAGCTTCAATATTTTTGCTTGCTCTTCTTCTTTATTCTTACACAACTCCAAACAGTGCCCTATAATGGCCAGCGACCAGCATCAATTCAGAGCCGCCCAAAAGGCAGACTTCACTGACCTCTATAATCAACATAACCCGAGATCCTATTTCACTACCTTGCAACCTTTGGAATACAGAATTCCGCAGCAAGTACTGCCTTTGATCCGTTATCTTCATCATCTGTCCTGTCAGGGCGTGACCTCTTCCGCCATTTTGGACGTCGGCTGTTCGTACGGTATCAACGGCGCTCTGCTTCGGCATCATATCGACATGGATACTTGGACAGCCCACTACACGTGTTCCGAGTTGAGTTCTGAGGAGCAAGTTTTGGCAGACAAGGAATTCTTTGCAAGCCGGACACAACCTTCCAAACCGCCGGTCCTAGGATTTGACAAGGCGGACCACGCTGTCCGCTACGCCTTGAACGTCGGCTTAATCGACGCTGGTTGGGCAGAGGATCTTGAAAATGGCGACCCTTCTTCTGACCTTTGTAGGGCGTTGCAGGATGTCACTCTCGTCATATGTACAGGTGCCGTTGGCTATCTGACCTCTCGTACCTTTGACCGTATCATGGCTGCAATCGATAGACCAATCAAGCCCTGGGTGCTCAGCACTGTGATCAGGACTTCGTCCTACAACAAGATTGGCACTGTATTGAGAGAACATGGGCTTGTGACAGAGAAGCTTCCTGGCGTTGTACTTCGCCAGCGTCGCTTCGCTTCTGCTCAGGAGCAAAGCGACGCTATCGCACATGTAGCCGCGCTTGGATTGAACCCAACTGCCGAGAACAAAGGATATCTGTGTGCAGACGTTTATATATCCCGCCCTCTTGCGGAAACCTCAAGCCCGCCAATCTCACAGCTGGCGGAGCATCTGGGTGGTGTTCAGGTCGTGGAAGCCGATGTCTGCAATTGAGTAGATTTGACGTTAGAATGGATGTGCAGTTCATCTTTCACAGATCATTAGTTTGAACATGCTATGAAACATAACTGAGGATCCCCCATAGTGTTCGCTAATACGTCTTGGGAGTCAGAACCAAATGCAATCTCAGGAAGGGAGCTTCTCGCTTGTAACCGAAACCATCTCTTAGCCTCTTCTGAAATTTCATTTTACATCTAAACAATAACTTCAGCTTTCCCTGACAAGAGTCCTTTGATTTTTCAATGTCTAGCTTCTCATCCTTATGATCTCGGAATCAGATATCATCAGCACCTCGAGCTTATCTATGCGGCATATTAAGGTGCAAAGCCATTGTTTTCCCCCGCACACGACCTGCAGCACGATGGCAACTTCCAGATGACCAATTGGATGGGAGTGAAATGCATTTGGACATGCAGGTTATGGCGCGTAAATTGCTACAACCCTGGCTCACCGAGTTACTTATCGCCCCACCGACAACTAACTCTTTCACATGTTCAGCTTGAGATAATAACTCGCCATGTATTTCAATACCTCATTGATGTTGACATTACAAGTCATCGAAATTCTCTAAATGCCCGTCTGAATTACCGTCAGATTGTGATCTACGTCCCCTATCTAAAAATGCTGAAGATTTGAAAGATACACAGCTTGTGACGGAATATGAAATGCGGACCTCAGCACTGAACTAGGCTGTAACTGCACAAAATGAACAAAGATAATTTAGTTCCGAGCTAATACAATGCCATCTTCTATCGATTTCTAACTATCCCTCTATTGACCAGTTGAAGTTCAGCGTGGGTCGTAAAAGAGCAAGTTAAATATACACCATCGAAAGCTCCAGTGAAGGTTAATGCCTTTAACGGGTTTAATTCTTAAACTATCTAAAGTAGGTATTTAGCTAATTCGCAAATAGATTAGGAAACTATTACTTACTTATAGATTTAGTTCCTTAGGAACAGTACAGGATAGCAAGATTACTTATCAATCCTAAACACTAATAAAACCACGCTAGTATTTATACACATATATACTGGGAAAAATACCAAGCTAGTATTAGTATACTAATAATAAGTTAGAGTTTTTTTAGTCTTAATCTAAAACACTATAAGTACTTAATAAAATCTAATGTTATAATATTCAAGACTAGCTCTTCTTATTTATACAAACTAAATAAGGAAGAAACATGGACTAAAGATGGATTGAGAGATCCGTGATTCCAATACTGCCGATTTCTATATTTACTACCTATACCCAAATTTATTTGACCATTGGGAAGATCGCCTGCTATTTCTTCGACCTGTAGAACGGCAATGCGATTTTTATTCTATCTGTTAATCGTGCGTATCAACTCAAACGTTCGTTTGTGGAGTTTGAGTTTGCCATATACACCTGACCTTTCACGTGACCGGAGCTAAGCGGTTGACACCAGCTGATGGTATCTAACCCGGCAGTTTCAATCGTGACAAGGGTCGGTTTAATCATTGAATATTGCTACACCTCCATGAGTCTAGATACTCTGTGATATGTTGCAGCAATAATGTTGTGATCAACTCCAGTCAATGTGGGGCTGTAGGTGAAGACATCATTCATAGAAATCACAGGGGTTGTAGTATTATGCATGATTTACGTGCCGAGGCTGATCGGCCACCCAGTCAGCTCGTTGTTCGCATCCTGTCACGTATAATAATTATCTCAATGGTTTAGCAAATATTTATGACAATGCACCTCGTAGAACATGTCAAGTAATTAAGTTCAATTCGTAAGCTTCATTCTCAAAGGTATTTTGCTACATTGCTTCGTAAATCACAGTCGAGGGGAGACGTTTTGCGCAGATCCCTTGGCAACATCATACCGATCCGCGTTCATAACCTTGGTCCAAGCAGCCACAAAGTCACGAACCAGCTTCTCCTGGCCGCCAGCCTCGGCGTATGTCTCGGCCGTGGCGCGCAGCTCAGCGTGCGAGCCAAAGACAAGATCCACGCGGGTACCGGTCCACTTCTTGTTACCCGTCTTGCGGTCGACACCTTCGAAGAGATCGCCGTCGCCGACCTGCTTCCACTCGGTGCTCATGTCGAAAAGGTTGACGAAGAAGTCGTTGGTCAGCACACCAGGGCGCTTGGTGAGAATACCGTGGGATGAGCCGTCCCAGTTGGTGTTGAGCGCGCGCAAACCGCCGATAAGGGCGGTGATCTCGGGCACGCTGAGGCCAAGGAGCTGGGCGCGGTCGATGAGCATGTGCTCGAGCTTGACGCGGTCAGTGGAGGCGCCGTAGTTACGGAATCCGTCGGCGGCGGGCTCCAGGTGGACGGCGGACTTGACATCGGTCTGCTCCTGTGTAGCGTCGGTGCGGCCGGGGACGAAGGGGACGGTGACGTTAACACCGGCGTCCTTGGCGGCCTTCTCGACGGCGGCAGAACCAGCCAGGACGATGACGTCGGCAAGGGAGATGGCCTTGCCGCTGGACTGGGAGTCGTTGAACTTCTTCTGAATGCCTTCAAGGCTGGAGAGGACCTTGCTTAGCTGAGCAGGGTTGTTGACCTCCCAGTCCTTCTGGGGCTCGAGACGGATGCGAGCACCGTTGGCTCCACCGCGGAAGTCGCTGCCTCGGAAGGTAGATGCCGAAGCCCAGGCAGTGGAGACGAGCTTGGAGACGTCAACGCCGGACTTGAGGATCTCGGTCTTGATGGCAGAGATGTCGCCATCGTCGACGAGCTTGTAGTCACGCTCAGGGACGGGGTCCTGCCAGATGAAGACCTCCTTGGGAACATCAGGGCCGAGGTAACGCTCACGAGGACCCATATCACGATGTGTGAGCTTGAACCAAGCCTTGGCGAAAGCATCGTTGAACTCCTCAGGGTTCTCGAGGAATCGTCGCGAGATCTTCTCATACTCGGGGTCGAAGCGCAGCGACAAGTCAGTCGTCAACATGGTAGGCTTCTGCTTCTTGGAGGAATCGTAGGCGTCGGGCACAGTGGCCTCTGCGTCCTTGGCAACCCACTGGTGGGCGCCGGCAGGGCTCTTTGTGAGCTCCCACTCGAACTGGAAGAGATACTTGAGGTAGTCGTGGCTCCACTTGACGGGGGTGCTAGTCCAGGTGACCTCAAGGCCACTGGTGGTGGTGTGAGGGCCCTTGCCAGTCTTGTAGCTGTTGGACCAGCCGAGGCCCTGCTGGGCGAGGTCGGCGGCTTCGGGCTCGGGGCCGACGTGGTCGGTTGATCCGGCACCGTGGGTCTTGCCGACTGTGTGACCTCCGGCGATGAGGGCGACGGTCTCCTCGTCGTTCATGGCCATGCGGCCAAAGGTGTCGCGGATGTCGCGGGCGGCGGCGACGGGGTCAGGGTTTCCGTCAGGGCCCTCTGTGAATGATCAGCGATTGAATCCAAATAGCAGTGCCGTTTGTGTCGACACTTCGAGAGGGAGTACATACCAGGGTTAACATAAATAAGACCGTGGTGAGCAGCAGCGAGAGGCTTCTCAAGGTCTCTGGAGTGAATGTCCTTGTGAGGACCTTGCTCCGAGTCGGTAGCACCAGGCTTGTTGGTTCCCTTGTTTCCGTTGGAGTAACGAACGTCGTTTCCAAGCCAGGTATCCTCGCCACCGTAGTAGGTAGCCTCATCAGCCTCCCAGGTATCCTCTCGGCCAGCGGCGAAGCCAGCGGTCTTGAAGCCCATGTCCTCGAGGGCGACATTGCCGGCGAGGATGATGAGATCGGCCCATGAGATCTTGTTTCCGTACTTTTGCTTGATGGGCCACAGCAGGCGGCGGGCCTTGTCTAGGGAGACGTTGTCGGGCCACGAGTTGAGGGGAGCGAATCTTTGCTGGCCCTGTGAAGAGTGCGTTAGTGGTGTGCAATTGAAAGCATTGGGTTGAGGATCTTACCTGGCGACCACCGCCTCTGCCGTCAAAGACACGGTATGTTCCAGCGGCGTGCCACGACAGACGAACGAAGAGACCACCGTAGTGGCCAAAGTCAGCAGGCCACCAATCCTGCGAATCGGTCATGACCTTGCGCATATCGGCCTTGAGGGCCTCAAAGTCGAGGGTCTTGAAAGCCTCGGCATAGCTAAAGTTCTCGCCGTAGGGATTGGTGACGGCGGTGTGCTGGCGGAGGATGTTGGTCTTGAGCGACTCGGGCCACCACTGCTTGTGGGTGACGCCGTGGCCGGCAACGTTGGGCACTCTGTGCGCGACGGGACACTTGCTCTCCTCGGCCATGATAGCAGCTGTTGTATGGAAAGATGTTTTGGGGTGTTGTTTGTTCAAAGCCCTTCTCGCGACAGACAAGGACAAGATACGAGAGGAAGGGAGAATAAACCGAGGCATGGAAGATTTGCGGGGGTGGAGTTTGGGCTACTTCTTATACCGGGCGGGGTGATGCGTGACGGGGGATGGATTAGCAAAAGAAGGACGCTGAGTGGAGTGGCAAAGAAGCGACGGACCACGCTCGGAATCTCGTCAAGAAGCAGTTGCATGTTCTCATCGGAAACTTATGCCGGATTTGTCAAGGATTCTGCTGAGCCAAGTGCGGGGAAGCTGTCCGAAGTGAGCGACTGGTGCAACAAAGCCGCATCATATCGCGTCGCATCAACCAAAACACGGAATGCTTCGGCATCAGAGCAGATCATTTACTACTGGCCACATACTCAGTGAATGTCGGTGCCTGCAGCAATCGCCTCATAGAAGTGACTAGAAAACAAACCTCTGACCCTTTCATATCAATGATATCTTGACTTTGCCAAACAGCGATTGCCACCAAATATCCTTACGTAGTAGACCCGTGATCGGTTTGGAACCGATGGCCCCACAAAACAAACACCACAGCAACGTATGTAGAATGTCTGCGTAATAGTAGCCTCTTTGGTCGACCCCGCCTCTTTAGCTTATCCACTGCGGCGGCGGATTTGTTCCCGAGTTGTTGATCGTTAGCTAAAATCGGTAGGCCAAAGAGCGGGGTAGACTTCCAGGTAAAAGAGAAATGCAATTGTGATATTGCAATGGATTAATTCCAGTAAATTTATCTATTGTTTATCTGATGTTCCAATTGACATCCGAGAATCACTTCCAATGCATTCACAATAATCAATTCAGGGACCATGCGATGAAGCGCATTGACCTTCTAATGATTTGACATCAGAGTTCCACTAGCAATCGACAGCAACCACCCACCAAAACCACAAGCCAATTAGGAACCCCGCTTACATTTGGAATCAATTCTGTCACTGATGGAATCAATTCCAACCAGCAACCAGAAGCCAGACATGCACACACGTACCTGCGGCACCCGTCAATAGTTCATGCAAGCCTCGCGAAACATTTCTCGGTCTCTTTGTCATAAGTCCCGAGGCAGTGGCAAAAAGAAAAATGCAAAAATGTGTTATGCCGTGTGGGAATTGAACTGATGACTTCTGGGTGCCAAAAAGCAAGAAGGTGGACGATAACATCTTTGATCGGAACCCCCGAAGGAGCTCTGACCTAGTTACCATCCGAAAATCTGGTTCACTATTGGTGTATATATCGGAACAGCTCTCTCCTAACCGCCCGCCAAACCCCGCCCCTACCACCAAGGCAAAGGCAATAAAGAAGGATTCTTTTATGGCCTCTTCGGTCGCTAGCAACTTCGGCTCAGCTGTTTGTTCATCGGCCCCCCTCAGCTCTAATCACCCCTTTGGATGAATAGCTGCCCAGTGCCGCTTTTGTTCCCCTTTCTAGGCTGTCAACCTCTAAGTCTCGTCACCCGGTCGACGATCCTGTAGTTAATGCGAAACTTGCACCATTAGAGAATAGATATGAAATCCCTTGACGTTCTGGAGAATAGAACTTTCTAGTTAAAGCATATAGATTGTGTTGATTGTCTTTCGAGACGGATGAGTTGCCAGCAATTGCTGGTATGGCTCGTTAACGCCAGCAACATACAGGTGAAACGTATCTTACAGGACTCTAGCAAGAACATATCTGCCAAGATCACCTGGAGAAAACATCCATATACTGAGATGTAGCCTGTATGGGTAGATCAGTCGAGAAGACATCTTTGTGGACCTGGGGGGCCGTTGCTGCCGTTCAAAAAGCCCAAAAGCATACCGTGGGTGGCATCGTGCTGAATGGTCGGATTTACCATAGACATCCTTACTTAACTTTTAGTACGATATTCCCTGTTTGACAGCAATGATTTGCAAGTCTAATTGCATATTTTGTGAAAAGGTAACATCAAACCTGACTGCTTCTGGAGGATTGGTATTGCTGAATTAGATAGAGTAGAAGAACTTGAAATTATTATGTGTGAGAATAACAAGGTTCTGGCTTCTGATTTAGAAAGTGTATCTCGTTTTACAATTATCTAAATCAATAAAGTCTTGGACATCCTTTCTATTGAGATAAACAGGGCGGCATGCTAAAACTATTAACTAGATTTTTAATTATCATTTATAAATTAACGTAGTATAAAACCTTATGGTTAGTTCCTCTTCATATAGAAGCTAGGCACTAAAGATAAAGGGTATAAAAAAAGGTCTATGCAGTTAAAGTGCTCAACTAAAGAAATGGATGGAGGAAAGATGAAATTTACAAATCTAAACCTGCCCACATTCACAGTAAAATATCGACACACATCTAATCCATTTTAAACGAGGGGATAAAGCAAAATATATGAAGAGAGAAACGGCTATAAAAGCGGCAGGCTGCGGTAGGCTGCGACGGGCTATATGTGGTTTGAGTTTCGTCTTAATACTATCAGAATTCACCGTTGTAGCGGTCTATGGAATCAAGAAACATTGGATGCTTCGCCAGACCCCATAACCGCCTCTGTCAACACTCCGACCTCATATGTTAAGTTCTAACTCGCATGCTGCATCAAAGTGGCCCTCTCAGCAATCTTGACAGATCTCACCCGTCTCAACTCATCCTGCCTTCTCTGCTTGTTCTTATCTCTATAACACATGGTAATAAGGGCACAAGTACAAATGAGTATAAGTACCGAGAAAACAGAAGCTATGATAATTCCAGCAGTACCAACTTCATTCTGAAGTTCCATGCAGACCGTAATTCCGTTGCTTGACTGAGTCGTGCATAGATAACCCGGAGAACATGTGCTCGAGGTTATATTCGCAGCATAACAACTCAATGTGGTGACACCTGTTACTTCGCAGACCGAGCTGCTCTTTACTGTCGTGCTGTAACAGGAGGCGCCCGGGTCCGTGGAAGTTGAGGTCGTGCTTGTTGATGATGCTATGCTTGAGGTTGACGTTGCGGTTCCGGTTGCTGATGATACGGAACTTTCTTCTGTAGTTGATGCCTCTGTCGCCGATGCAGTTGTTCCAAGCGTGGTACTTTCAGCCTCAGCTGTCGTCGTAGCTTCATCTTCAGTGGTTTCTACCACTGAGGTATCTTTGGTTGCTGTGCTCTTAGCGTCTGCTGAGGTCCCGGTATCCGCTGAACTGGCGTCTCGACGCTGGATCAATCGTCGAAAGTCCAACTTCACCAGTCCATCGCCTTGTTGTTTTGCATGCCACACTGGCTCCATAGAGGACGAAGAAGTCCCATCTGGTGAAGCAAGTCCCTTGATGAGGTGGTTTTCCGAGCGTTCGACCCGGATACTATGTGCGTGAGCGATGGCGCTTGCGCCTAGGGCCAAGAAGAAAGACGAAACAAGCATTGTAGAAATTTAAGCGTCCGTGTTGCGGTGGTGTTGTTAAACAGTTTCTTCAAGCATTCTGTCAGATCATCCTTCTCTTCATATCTTATAGTTCATCATGATCTTGGTTCATATGCAAATCTTTCATCTTTATCTAAGTATAGTACCCGCATGAGGCTCATCCATCAGTTTTCGTACGTTTCTATTGGAAGCTTAAACTATTCTTGCGCGTCCTATTATAAGAACCTGCTGCGCATTTCCGGCGCGCCTTGACGCGGCAGCAATTGCGTCAACCACGTCCGCGCCGCTTAGTAACAGGGTGTTCAGGGGAACGTTGAGGAACGCGAAGGCTGAGAGCATAGGGGTCCTCGGGTCGGGATGTGGGCGGATATCAGCGATCCCCCGGGATGTAACTATTTTTACGGCTACGGCCCATCTGCAGTGCGTCATCAGAATATCAAGCGAGGCGCAGGTAAATTATCCATAGAAAAGCGGAACATATCTTCGGTTTATCCTATGTTTTTGCTTTTCAAATCCTATGTCTGATTATACTATATATAACATGGCAAAGCTCGAACATGGCAAAGAGATACCAACTTGTGTCATATTTACAGCCGTATATCCGGCACAGAGAGACTCCACAAAAGAAGCTTTCCAGAACAACAAGGACCTCGCTAATCCCCAGTAATTCGGCGGCAGTTACCTTCGGGTACATCATAGCGAGCGGAGCTTGATGCTTGTGTTGTTCTACCGCTGAGTAATCGGAACGAGCCCAATGAGACGTATTGATCATTGTGATTTACTCGTGGTGGAGTCGAATCACAGTTGAGTTATAGCATGAAGCTCCGAGGTATATAAAGCATCTTCTGCTAGGTTTCTTTTTGACAATCTGAAGATCTTAGAATCATTCTGCATCAGAATTTTCTATCGCATACTACTGTCACCACCATGAAATTCCAACTTGCTCCAGTTCTCGCCTTTGCATCGTCCGGCCTTGCGCAGGTCGCGGCTAATCCTCCTGATGGAAAACATTATTCCCCTATTCCACTCAACACGTTATCCAAGAACTCGACGTCCGTCAACGTGGCGCCTTATCAGTCCAACACATCGATGTACTATCTCGGCTACCAGGACGAAGACTGGTCTCGACCGTTCGTCAAGTACTGGAAACCTGCTGTGAAGCAGATTTCGGATGAGGTCCAGAAAGGCATCACTGAAAGTCCGCATACCAGTAAATTGGGTTAGTTGTTAGCACATCGTATACCCCAATACCTAGCTAATTTGTTTTCTAGTTTTCAACCCTCAAGAGGCGCCTCATTATTTCACTCAGCCAGGATACTTGCAGTTAGAGAATGGCTGGGCCTTGAGCGACGATAATAAGCTCATGATTGCCATTCGTACGGATATGGGCAATGGTGTGTTGTCGTTCGATCATGGAACCATAGTTGCTAACAATTGACAGTTACGGGAGACATGTATGACTGGTGGTTTGGGTGGCACCTGGTTGACCCTCAAAGGTATTGTTGTCCCTCTGCAAATGCGTTACTCGTTGTCTAACATCTATACAGATACAAGTTGTGGTATCCACTCGCTCATCAATATGCTTACCGAGTCCCGAACGCGATCAACTGGAAGGACAAGACCTTACCTGAGCGTTACATCGGATCGTACTCCTGGATAGACGAGTTCATCGGTAATTTTGCCACTAAACTGACCGTTAACTTCGTGGATCCTGAGTCTCTCGGGTTCAACACTAGCGCCTTTGAGTCGCAGGGCATCGAGACTATTGTTACTGCTCATATTTCTAGTGGTTGGTAAATTTATCAAATTTCATGTCTCTAGCTGACTCCTTTAGGGCACACCACCAACGTCACTGGTAACTCCTACCTCATGCATCAGATCCGTCGCAAGGAGGATGGACAGCGAGAACTGCGATCTCGATTCTTCCTTGACGTCTTTTCGGATACCCAAGGTCATGATCTTGGCGTTCATTGTGCTATTGAGATGTCACGTGAGTTTTGAATCGCCATTAATTGTTGCAATCACTGACCACGTATAGACTTGGCCACATTTCTGCCTCAGATATATGCTGAGTTCAAAGATACAGTTTGAGCTGAGGGGGATAGGGCGGTATTGGTTCCCCACTGATTAGTTATGGTGGCATATTGCCAAGACTCGCATCCCCGTACATACGGTAGCTAGCGTAAATATTGGATAAGGGTCTTGAGAATCGGGCGTGCTTTTAGCCAGAAGAGCCCTAATCGATTGGTTCTTGGGGGAGGGGAAGGGAAGGGAAGAATAAAACAATATGATCTAATACTCGTGCTTATCATGCATGCGATCCTCACAGGGCATTCTCTAGTGACGAATTCAGCAACAACCTGCTCTTTGACCTTGTCCCATAAGCTCTTACGTTATATGCTATGATTAGTGACTACTAGTTACTTGCAATATTTAAAGGGCCAGTCACGGTGCCATTCCCAAGCCAATATATAGGCTGGGTCGACTGTATCATCTTAGCGGTAGCACCCCTTAGTATAATTATAACTATCATTGGTGCTAGTCGGGTTGATAGGCCGTCTTAACTCAAGGCTATTATAGCCAGATCTAGAGAGAATCTATCAGTTGCAGAGATGGAACTTATATCATCGATATCCCAAGAAACCTATAAGCTATGGAATAAGAGGGATATGGTAGGATGCCAGGAGAAACGTCCTGTCATAGAATTGATATGTCTTGTATTGGTGAAAGTTGGTGGGGCGATGAAATGTACTAGCTCCATAAAGCTCAGTGAATACATTGATCAAAAACTGGTGCGGAAACAACGTATGTGGCTCCCTCTATTGAATTCCAACTGAAACCTAACGAGGACTAAGATGAATGCAGAGTAACTATCTTCAACGAACTTACCCCATCAGAATGCGGACCATTACGCTATTGCCTAAGATTCCAGCGCAGTTGTGAGTGAATTTGCGACACAGGACTGCACATCTAAGAATGACAACACATAGAAAGAAAAGAACGAGTAGCAGCAATAGAAATCAGATTACGAATAATTAACTTTTCCTCCCCTAGTATTGAGTGAATACATCCTATCCACCGATCTTCATGCCTTTCGGTACACCTCATGTTCATTCATCCTCAGAACCAGACCCAAAAATGCCTACCCGTAAATCATTTCCAGTGGAGACCACGTCAGGTTGTCTCAAAGTTTGCTAATCCCAAGGGTCCTTGAGATTCAAACCCATGCGTCGCTCTAAGAGCTACCAAACCTCCCAAAGATCCAGCCGAAACCCCGCTGGAGTCAATTGCTGAAAAGTCCCTCCTGTCCTTGCTGCACCATCTTCAGGACAGCCTCCTTGGCCTCACACTTGCAGGCAATTATTTTGACCAATCTCTCTGCTCTATCAAATTCCGTCTTCTTACGCCACACTTCCTCGTTGGCTTCTGTGATGCGATCAGATAGGCCGTGGATCTGTTTCTGTAGATTATCCTTGGCAATGTCAGATGCCTCGCAGAAACCAGATACCATGAATTCTTCAACGACTCTGCTTCGGTTGGCGATGAGCTCCTTCTGAGACATACCAGTCTGTTTGCTCAAGGTGTTGGGATGGGCTGTATCAGGTGCGATGCCCTCAGAGTCGAGAACTCGAGTCATGCTGTTGCATGCCTCCACAAGGGTATCATATTGTATGACGAGCTTTTCCACAGCCTGCTTGGCCTGGCTCAGATCTGCCGATATCAAGAGACGCTGGGCCTCGGCATCCTTGCTTTGGGCAGCAAGTGCCTCCATTGTGGTCTCACCAATCTCTGCCCAAATCTTATTTTGTTCTTCAGTATCCACTCGCTTCTTATGAGCGACCAAGAGCTTGTTGAACTCACGAACAATATCGTGATCCGTGTCGGAAAGCGCAGTTGCGTTGTGGTCGGCGTCTTTCATGCATTGGATGAGAAACTCTCGCTCTTCAGCAGGGCTCAGAGATTCGGTGCATTGCTTGCCCGCTAATTCGTTGCGAAGACAGGATAGTACGTGGATACCACAGTTTGTAGTGTCGCGTTGTTGGGTGCATGTCTATAGAAATATTAGTGTCAGTCAAGGAACGGTGGGTGGGAGATAAACAAACCTCAATGCGTTTGAAAGAAAGTGCATGCTTGAAGCCATGGTGTTCCTTCCACTCCTTGAAACGAGCACATACGACATTGTAGTGCTCAACTTGAAAACTGGGCATGGAGTCGTGATGACGAAGGGTCATGCTGTCGGCGGTGATGTAGATGACAGCGAGGGTCCAGTGTTTGGGGTTTGGGTGGTGAATGGGAAAACAGACCACATTGCAGTTGCTAAACTTCGTGGTGCGGTCAGGGGGATTCTTGCTGTTGAGCTTGAACCAGAGGGGATCGATGAGGTTTACTTTGCCGCCCTGGACGAGAGGATGGGGAGCAACGAGAACCTTGGAGAGGATTTCCAAGGAGTCGCTGGTAAGACGCGTATCCTCGGTCAGCTGCTGCAAGAGTGCGGCTGCTTTGGCGTGCGCCTGATCTTCCCAGCCTTGTCGCTTGGAGAGCTCTGGACGCTTCGAAGGAGGGGCATCGATGCGTGTTTCGTCGTCGCTCTTGCGCTTGGAGGGGAGGAGGCTCGAATGAACTTGCTCGGGCAGATGAGTTGAAGCAGCAGCGGGAGATGGTCGAGTAGAGACAGGCATGGCTGTTGATCTCTTGGCAAAAAGGTTCGGCTTCCTGGGAGAGGGAGACTGGTGGGGGAAAGGAGATGTGTTGGGTCTCTTCACCGAAGTAGGAGGGGCTGAAATGGCTTTGGACTTTTCGCCAGCATCGCTTTCGCTCTCCGAGTCTGATGCTTCCTGCTTGGATTTGGTGGTGTCGTCCTCAGAGTCATCACTAGGCTCGGGGTCGCTCACGTTGTCAGAAGCGCCTAGCTCTCCAGTCCTCTTGTTCCAGTCTTTGTAGACCTGGGCAGCCATGCTGGAGAGAAGACGGGGAGGTTTGTTACCCTGATTGACAGCTTGTCGAAGGAAATGGTATGGAGAGTTGTTGTCCCAGAGGGAGGCGAGAGCAACGTTTTCCCGCTTAGCTATCTTGGTTATCTTGACAAGATAACGGACTGTTTCTCCAGCTATGGGAGCTTTGTTTGGTAGGGCTTGTCGTACATCTGCTGGTATCCAGCTACTGTCGCCCCATTGGTTGTCGAGCCAGGTTATTCGTTTGGCCGTCTTGTTTGCTTGCTCCGACTTGTAGGTAGGGGCTTCCGTCTCAGAGTGCTCTTCCTCGTCATGCATTTGCATTTGGATGGGGATCGGTGATTCGGAAGAGGCAGAGAGGTGAGAGCTTCTTGGGCGGCGGCGGTCCTAGGTTTCAAGTCAGTAAGAGTAAGGGAAGCAGTTGGAGACGAGAAGGAGACGTCACTTACGGCAGTGGGAGCAGGAGACGACATGCGAGACTCCTTTGCAGTGTTCAGCGCTGGGATTCTAGCCATATTGATCAATGAAGAACTGAAGAGAAGGAAAAGACAGGGATGCGCGTCAAGACGACGAATGATGATGAAGTGAAAGTGAAACAAGCTCTGAAGCAGAAGAAGAAGAGGATATGAAAGCGGCAAGGGAGCTCAGACTTATGAGGGAAAGTAACTAATGCAAAAGGATGAAACTGCGAAGCACATCCGATGATATGTGTGAGTGTGGGTGTGATGTTGTGTTTTGTGTTTTGTGTTTTGTGTTGTTTTGAAGAGTCAGCTCCGATTCACGAGGGAGAGCGATGGTTGCCTTTTAAAGAAGCGCGTGGAAGTGCAGCGTGCGGAAGTTGGTGGGGCTAGCAAACCGCTCCGTGATTCACAAATGCCGGCACACTGCACGGCACTGCGAAGAAGGAGAAGATGCTGAACTGAGTAAGGCTACAGGGTAAGGCTTGTCCGAAGAGCAGGCCCTTGGCTGAAGAAGAAGGGTGCTTGGCAGGGCAGTCGAGTGAAGTAAGGCAGAAGGATGTGCAGAGATAGTGATGTGCTTTCAAGACCCCAGAGGAGTGTGGGGGCTGAATTTGTTTGATGGAGAGGAGAGATGAAGAAGGAAGGGTCTGAGAAGGAGAAGCAGGTGTTGTTTATGTGAGGAAGCTAAAGGGGACGTTCAGAGTGACAATGTGGCACAAACAAGGAGTAAGAGCTCAAACTGCGAATTCAAAGGCAACCACATTCAACCATCACCGTTTCTACTATTACAAGGAAAGAATTTCCAGGCAGTTTTGTCTACACCTACTTTTGCGGTGCTGTAGAATGCAGGAGCCCGTCGTATTCTATCTTGTTGGCTGCACCTGTCGGGAGACGACATGGCCACGTCGAAACCACACCGCTTGCTTGCAAACACTGGCAAAGAACACGACCTTCGAGGTTTACCTGCAGAATCATTTCGCATCCACCGCTCTTTTCATTACTCTGACCAGAAAACGAAGTCAACTGTACGCATGAGCAAGAACTTCAGCATACTGTTGTATCCAGCCCTGGAAAACAGCAACTAGGCGATGTCAAATTGGTCAGACCATACTGAAGCCGTTTCCATTCTCTTACCTGTAAGAGGTAAGAATACGATTTGAATAATATCAAGACATATATATGTTCGTGACACCTCAATATGGCGTTTGTGTTGACCACGCCGATATCGCACTGGTGGAGGAGGTGTGCACTCCTCGTTGCCTAGTAATTTCCCCAAGGCCACAGAAAACCTCTAATAGTTCTCAAAATGTTTCGTTCTTTAGCCAGAACAAATTGATTGAGCATAGGGGAAATTCTTGTTTGTGGAAACACAGACAAACCCAGCTTGGCTTGGATATTAAGAACACCATCGTTTGACAGAAATGAAGAATGTTGTCAAATACGAATATTCACCATCAAGGTAGAATTAACTAACATGCATCACGTTCTTAAGCCACTCCGCACGCCGCAATGTGTTGACAAGGGGAGGTGCCCAGATCTCTCCAAGCCCGTCTGTTGGCAGCTTGACTCAACTCCTGAGAAAGGAGCGTATATTGAGCTTCACAAACGAGATTTTGCACTGATGAACAAGACCCAAATACCATGCATGGCCTTGCTCATGATTTACAATAAGTTATCATGCCCAACGTAGGAAAATTACTAACATATTAAATATTATCAAGTTGACTCGTCACTACCATCAACACCATGCGCCCGCTCCCGCAGCTCATCCAAATGCTCCCTCAACACTCTCACAGCTTCCCCCTCAAGCAAGACACCATTTTCAAGCGACCGGCCCTGATGAATCATATTCCTCTGCGTCGGCCAGAAATAGGATGTTCCAAGATACGCAAGACTCCCATCCGCAATGATAGCATTGTAGTGCGGTCTCGGCTCCCACCAGCTCACGTCTTCGACAGAAATCCGTTTTCCATAGCGGCGCATTGCCTGCGCAAGGATCTTGCTCGACAATGCATCTATCTCACGTACCTGTATTGTTACCGTGACGCCGTTTGCGGCGCGGCGTACGAGAAGTTTGGTGATTTTGGGATCGACCAGCTCAGAGACGCTGACGAGGAGATCGCGTCTGGCCCCGCGAAGCAGCGTGTGCTGTGCGCGACTGATGTAGGTTAGACTGGCGATGGGGTCGTTGATTATCACGCCGAGGTTTGCTAGTTTTGCAGCAAGATGAGCGCGACGCTCGTTGTTTACCCCGCCGAGGATAGCTTCTTGCATGTAGACTTGGAAAGCTTTGGCTGCAGCGGGAGGAAGCTCGATTGAGAAGTCGGCTTTGTTGATAGGCTTAGTATCAACGATGGCGCCGGTGCTGAAAAGAGCTCTGTCGTCGATAACAATGGCTTTGGCGTGAACGACTTGCCGGGTCGGACCGTCGACACCAGTGAACATGTCAATATGGATTTGATGGTCTTCAAGGAGTTTAATGTAGTCGTGGTAAGCCGGCGTATCTTGGTAGATAGTCGGCCCCAGCTTGGATACCACCGCGGACATGATGGCATCGGGGTTCCGTTTGCGAAACTCGATCAGAGCGTCAATTACAATTTTGGCGTCGCCTTGGTCGCACATCGAAAGGTTCAGAATCGTCAATCTTCGTGGTTTGCGCGTACGAACATCGAGGGCCATGCAATCTCTGATAAACCTTTCAAACGCAACCAGATGGTCCAATCCGTTTGTGAGGAGAGGGACCCTGCCACATGAGAGAGTGCCAAACATGGAGTCGCAGTCGTTTGTCGGCAGCCTCATGGCTTTGACGCTTGTTGCTCGGCACCGAAGTTTGTCCTCGCAGTAGAGAAAAGCATCGATGTCGTAGCAGGCGCCAAAGTCTGGACAGTTGACTCTGACATAGGACGGCGCTATCTCTTGAGGCTGGACGCTGAATTTCAAGAGATAAGATCCATCCAAGACGTGCCGGGCTACTAATTGCCCGTTATTCCTTGCTTCGATTTGGAACGGTCCCAAGAGCTCACGACCTCGCAATCGCGCCTCAAACTTTTGTCCTGGCGTCAAAGGCTTGTGGACTCTTTGTCGAGATGCTGTTGGGATCATGCGGACGATGCCATGTTTTATAGGGCCCAGCGTGTGCTCGCCTTTCGGACTGGGAAAGATAGCCTGTAAATTATCCGGCTCATTAACGACTTTATGTATCTGTATTTTATTTGAGTATCTCGTGAGGTGAAGAACACGTGAAGGCGGTTTGGTAAAGTCCAGTGGATCAACAATAGCTTCGAGATGGTCGACTTGCCAGACCACATCGTCAAAAGTGGCGACGCGGCCTGGGAAGCACTCAATGCGTATGTCTAAATGCAGAGCGCACTGATCCCGTAAGAAGAGCTCGTGGTAAGAGCTCACCCCAACCAAGTCGTAGACGCGTCCGTTGTGCTCAATAGGTGCTGGCGCCCTGGCGCGTTCACTGCGGGACCGGGCGTAGACTGGTGACAGTGGATCAAGTGAGTCGAGTTGCCATTCCGACAGTTGTCGATCTTTGAAGTGGCACCCGACCTTGTTATGCTTCGTTGCGATATTATATCTCATTATTTCGTCGCTACTGGCATAATCACTTCTGAACTTCCACGAATTCAAGGTAACAGGCGAGGGGATATGGCTTTCAGGTAAAGGAGATGCTCGCGTGTCCCAGCTACGGAACCCGACTTTTCAAGAGTTACGCTAGGCACGGGATGGCAATCCAAGGAGCGGCCCGAGATTGGCCTGGAAAGCCATTATTGCGTTATACGGGGGATCGTGCACCATCGTCATACCTTGCTCCTCGCCCAGGAACCTGATTGCTTCCGATGGTTTGAGACCAGTGCCGAATAAGCTCTAGCGGATCTCAGCTGAGATCGAGCTGAAGCGTATTTACTGTTCCACAGTTTCCAAGTGCCGTCAGCACTGAGCAATTACCGCCGATAAATCCAACATTGACGCAATGCACTACGTAGTAGGCTTTTATCTTCTTTCCGTGTCTAAGATCGTCACTCGAATCATAGGCAAGGAGGGAAGACACACGTCCGGCTCCCCGCATTGTGGCGCCGTTAACGGGCCTTGATGTCATTGTGAGATTGGTTAAGCATGCAGCGCTTTGACCACGATTCGATACCCCACCACCAAATTGTTGTCGAAACCCAGCCCGCGCCATCAATTCGGGGCAAAATAAATGCTGATCACCCTTGATTAGTCTTGGTTTGTTTCCATCTAGCTGGAAAGTCTCGGATCTTGCTGGATCCTTGCGTCGATCACATCTATATTTGCTCAGCCTAGTCTTTGTCAAGGGCGCTTTGAGACACGGAGACGGCATTGAGGGGCTTTTCAGCCAGCCTCGGACTGTAGATCGTACCTTTTGTGGGAGTGGCCATACCAGATGATCTAGGGTAGCTGCACTTCGAAACCATGAACGGTATAATTCTAATTTTGGAGTGCTTGTTAAGTCAGAGTTATTATACTATCTGTTTTACATGCCATAGCATCACTGGAAGTTTCTCTCGTATCAATGAAGGGATACAGAGCTGTCCTTGCTCAGCCATCAAGGAAAAGACTGACAAGCATCATTGTCTTAGAAGACGTGCCGAAATGACAAGCACCACTCTCACTACCTCCAACGTTAGAAGCCTGCATTTACGATGAACTTAGGGCAACTCTTTACATGAGATGTTTCTATCAAACCCAATTAGTCATGAGTGCTGTCTTGATGGACACGCTACCTTGGAAGAAGAACATTTGCAACACCAGAGTTTTAAGAATGAGAGAGAGAAATCTTATCTAATCTTATCTTATCTAATCTTGTCAGCCACTCCACACCCAATCCAATTTAATTCGTTCAAATTACTCTGCAACCCCTCCGAATCAAAAGGTCATCATATCAATTCCCGGAAAAGTAAATTGAGATTTAATTTATTAGGGGCCCTAACGTGTACTGACACCTCTTGAGAATCCAACCTTGCCCATCAGGACGCCCTCCACTGCGCGCCGGTTAACACCTCTTGCCAGCTGCATATGATTATCGAAATGAAAGCACAATAGGTGCGGAAACTACATTTTCCAACTGAATGAACAGGCAGTAGCCCGCCCGGGCCATTTCCACCTAGAACAAAGCGTCATCGCTTCCTTCTCACCTCTCCTCTTTCCTTTCTCACCATCATCAACGCCGTCCCGCCGTCGTGCATACTCTTAGCTCATTTATCCTGTTCTCAAAAGTGGTAACGCCTTTATAGCAACAACAGCAACAACAGCAACAACAACAACAACAATAATAATAGCCACTAACAGCCACAGCAGGCTGGTACGGTAAGTATCCCCTCTCTGGCATTCCCGTATATAATCAAGTGCTAATCGCTTTATAACTTGCCTCTTTAGAAGGCGAGAGGGCTTACAGCCTGTGATATCTTATTGTAATAGAAGCATACCTTCTAATTGCAGAGGCTTATTACAGGTGTTTATTACAGACATTAATTGCAGATGTTAATTACAGTAATCAATTATAGTGGTCAGTTACAGTAGTCAGTTATAGTGGTCAGTTACAGTGGTCAGTTACAGTGGTCAGTTATAGTGGTCAGTTACAGTGGTCAGTTACAGTAGTTAATTATAGTGGTAAGCTATAGAAGTTGATTACCAGCCATAGTGGATAAGACGCCTTGTGGTTACCCAGCCTTTTAACATAACTCCAAGCACAAGACTTCCGTTGCCTCTTTTCTAGTATGGCCTTTCAAGGATCGGCTAAGTCAGGTCGACATACTTTAGTCATCGAGAGCTCGCTCTATGTATTAAAAACGATGTCCAACGCGCTGTTCTTGCTTTGCCTGGTCGCTTCATGGAACTTTTAAACAATTGGGTGCGAGTAAAGCAAATTTCGGGCAAGAGGGGCTGCTACGTGAACGCCTTCCTCATCCAGTTGATGGCACATGCAATTAAATAGGCATCTGCGAGGGAATTGTCATATACTGTCGGAACTGTGAAATAAATAGAATTTTTGTATCATCCCGGGCTCAATTGTGTTTTAAAACAAGACTAATACGCACTTCTTGCTTCCAGAAGATACTCTCGGACTCGGCCCACTACATAACGCACTTCTACCGGGTCGCTTGGGTGGCTGGCTGTTGGTCAACACATGTTCCCAACCTACCTGGCCTTCCTACTGCTGGTACCCGAGAAGAGGATCCCACGGTCTCCGAAGGAGATGACTCGGTCGTCATCTCAGATGATGACCTCGAGGATGAGAATGCGGACGAGGACGCTGGGCATCTCCCTATGGAGGACGATGGAGCCGAATTTGCCCCCAAAGAAGATGACAGCGATACGAGTCTGGTCTCTTCCTTTGACGACGGACTCGCTCATCAATGTACTGCAAAGCACCCTCTTTGCCTCGATCAGGTATGTGGCATTTCCTGTCTTGCATAAGCAACCATCTAGATAGCTCTTCACCGAAGAAGCCCAGGTCCATACTCTTGTGTGGAGGCACCAGTACGACGGTCAACACCTTCGCGTGATGTTTTGGGTTACTTACTGGGGATAGCTTGTCATGTACGTATGTGTGAGAGGTCCTTAATGAAGCGAAGACTAGCCAGATTGACTGTTTCTTTAAATGTGAATTGTATTATGATGCAAGACCACTTGGCCACTGTAGCATTGTCCAAGTTTACACGCTTTGTGGTCCAAGCTTGGGTTACCTCAAGAATGCAGAGAGCAACAAAAGAAATAGGTGTTATCTAACACGCCCATGTTTCCAAAGTAGAGCATAGATCGTTCTAAACTCCAATCCGCAACTAGCGTCTCCCGTTATATGAACAAGAACTACTGATGGTCGCGTGCCTGTGACTGAAAATATTCATCTCCTGTCTGAATATCGAAGCATTGAGCCAGTGTCTCCCTGACTCTGAGATGTTCAGGTAGTGGCAGGTCTCTCATATCAATCATACGTTCCCAGTAGGCCCACAGGCCTTCAGGATCAGCTCTCATCTCCTCTAATATGATGAGATGGTTCTTGGGAAGCCCTGGATTGAAGTCGCATCGCAAGGTGGTTGATGTCTGGTTGACCAGCTGCATAATGGCTTCCTGGATTATTTCTCCTACAGCAAGATCACGCGTTATCATCGTCATCTCTCGTTCCAGAGAGAGCCTTTCCGGTGTTCGTTCTGTGGGATTCAGACCGCTTTCCATAAATACATCCCAGGCCTGCTTCAAAGCAATCTTAGGGTGGACGAATCGCTCAAAGACTTCTGTGCAAAAGTCGGCGTCAGTCCCTGATTCCAGCACCAAGGTAAATGATCCAGGAGAAATGCCTGCATTGGCCACGTTACGAGCATCGAGAAACCAGCGGGACAGCGTCCCTAACATTGGCCAATCGGAGACGTTCCAAAAGGAATCCGTCTTGAGTCGGACATTGATGCGATCGACGGATATAAGGTCCATATAAGCGATCCCCAGGAAACAATAAAGAACACTGACGCGACGTTGAACTCGGAGTAGGGGGTTTTCCTGTAAAAAAGGAACCAGTCCAAGGCCGTGAAGTGAGGCGTTGTTTACTGACGGCAAGTCCTCATGGATGGTTATCGTGCGCAATTGGATACGTTGATTATAAGTTAGCGAATCAAGAAATCGAATCGCGGCAGAGGCGGCAGAGAACCTGGTCTTTTCGCGAATACGCGAATCAAATTTGACTGTAGGATGGTTGTACTCTCTGGGGAAGTGGCCAGGTGAGGGATTATCGCCAACGTCGTGGGTGAATCTGGAATCATAGGACCAGATATCGGGAAGTTTCCATACGAAATCAGGTACCCCAAGAAGATCCAAGACATGTGCGACCTGAGATCGGGAGGGAATAGCCCAATGTTCGAATCGTAAGTGAAAGAAATCTTCTGCCGGATACTTCCCATCCCAATGCGGCAAACATACGTATAAGTGAGCAGCAAATTCCTGGGGGTTCCTATCCGCGATGAGCCGTAGGCAATGTGGTAGACATTGATAAATTTCTCCAGAGTGCACGGTCCAATTTTGGTAACAATTGTCGCACATGTCCCAGTCTACCGGAGTACGATACCTCGGAGAGTCATGGTGTCGCAACTGCTCATCAATATCCCAGTAGCCACGATACTCACCCGGCGACATTTTTTCGGCAGCAGAGACTGCATCCTTGTAGAACTCCCGTATGAACTCGCACACAGCCGGCCGCACTGGTTCCGATGTATTCGTAGTGTCCGTGTCTTCAACCGGTCTGACATCATCGTGGGTATTCCAGGCGCGGATATGAGCTTTTCGTTCGGTTTCGAGTTTCGACCGGAAGGTTGGGAACCTCTTTTCGAGTTGAGCGTGCATTTCTGGTGTGATGAGGTGGGCAAGATGCAGGACGAGGTCTTGCTGCAAAACATTGTAGTAGGTAGCTGCGAGGTTGAAGCATCCGGCTAGACTGCGCCAGTCCTCGCGATAGAGGGTGGAGAAATGAAGCGCATTAACGGCCAGAGGGAGGTGCCTACAGTCGTGGGCAATTGAGCGACATGTGTAGACGAGAGAAAGGTCGATCGGGGTATTATCAGCGTTCCTGAGTTTGTCCGCCTTGCTGTCATAGATGTAACCCCCTTGGACTTTGAAGTACTCGCCAAAGATTTGCCCCCTTATCTCCAGAGGGAGATTGGTGATATGATGCTTGGTAGACATGGCGGGTAAATGCTGGGACAGCAGGTAGGTGTATTGGGAGAAGGAAGGAAGGAAGGAAGGAAGGGAGGGAAAAGAGTTGAGCGGAAGGGATGCGGAGTTCCAAGTACTTTATAGTGGAGGCATGGGTGGTGGAAATTTAAAGTTACAGGGCATGAGTCATATAAGTAGCCCTGCCTGGCAGCAAACTGGAAAACGAGCCGTGGACGGACATCACGCACAAGGTATCACCATACGCAGGCAAAGGAACATGTTGGTTGGTTGGCGGGAAGAGCCAGTATATATTTTTTGCTTTAACCTTCAACTTTATCAAGCCCAGGCTTTCCAAATCTCTCAATGATATCAACAATAAAAATAACCTCTTCCAAGGTCAAAAACTCAATATGATCAGCACAATAAAAGTCACATACGGCGACTAAACTCTAATCAGATAAACACATATACTGCTAGGGCTGTCAGCTTTATATCATTACGAAGGAACACACTTACTGACTCACACAGCCGTACGCATAAAAGCTGGTTTCCCCCACATCCTCAACTTGATCCACACCACAAGCCTGTAACATCAAAGGTCAGCATAACAACCAAGAAACGTAATACCGGCAGTGGCTTACATACTAGTCAATCGACCCTTGCAGCTGCCTAGTAGAGGTCAGAATCAAGAAGCAAAGCTCAAGCTAAGCAACATACCTACCCGTCGTTAGTCAATCCATCAAGGAGGTAGACCACACACTTACAGTCAGTCAATCAACCCCTGGTCCCCTTGTAAGGTTAGTAGGTCTTCACTAAAAAACAGGGACATAACATACCTACCCTTCGGTCCATGTCGCTAACCTCTTTCGCAGCTACCACGATGAGTGCTACTACTAATTTAGTAAGAACTTGTTTGGGAACAAATAGCATGTATGGTAACTCACTCGAAATAACAGAAACCTGCCGCGACGTAAGCCTCAACCTGTCATACGAGAAGATTAACGACGCATTGAAAAACTGCCACGATACGAAGCGCGAGCGACTCAAGCACAAGGCTAGAGACCTCAAAATCAACACGGGATGGGAAATAAAAGGCTCTTTGCCTGAAACCACTGAGTTAGTAAATATAATATAAATAAGAATTAGATAGTTTACTTACCACCTCCCCATAGCAAACGGGATGATCTTCACTTGGTTACTGAACCCAATAAATTAGAATACCTTATGAAGATAGAAAAGAGATTACGAACCGTTGATTGCCTTTGGCTACGAGCTTTTGGCACTATTTTACACACGAAGGAAGAAGCTGAATTCGCGGCATATAGAAAAGCAGCTTGAGAGCCTGAGAAGCCTAGAAAATAGGCTTGCAGAAGGGCTGGTCTTGGAGACTGACACCTCCTTCATTGAGGCATTCAAGTCGAAGCTAATAAATATTAGCTTCTCAAACATAAACTGAATAGGTAGTAATTACCCTTACCACATGGTTTGGCGCAACAGCTTGGAGAAGCAGGTCGACGAAGTGGTTGCGATCTTCAGGAATGAACCGTGAAGCTGGAACTTGTAAAATTAGTAAAAAAAGATGAAAGAAGGGCAGGTTACTCTGTGGAAGGGCATCATACAGACCATCCTGGTCTTGGCCTGAGACCAAGAGTGCGCGACTGTCAAGGACAGCTGGATGGGTGATAAGCTTGGGAGCGCTGAGTGGGAGGAGCTACAGGGGAGGGCTTACTGACAGAAGTTGTGCGCAAGGCGCTGAGGGGCTGCTGAAACTCGAGAATTAGCGTCGGGCTGCACTGTGGTGCTGGAAGGGCTTGGCGGGGTCATACGGACGGGCAGAAAGGTGGAAGGTTAATGTGCTGAGCATGGTCAGTAAACGTGTCAAAATCGGACAAATGAGTGAGCAAAGTGGACAATTGTTGTGACATACTTACTCGGAGGAATACGTGTTCTGTTGGTCCAAAGAGAAATGTCAGCAATTATTCGATGAAAGACAACTTTCGTGTAATGGAAGCTTACCAGAGTTAAAGTCAAAGTCAAGGCAGCCTGAAGTCAAAGGTGGCTACATCAGTCATTACACGCCAAATGTCGCCGTGTTTAGAACAAAACTTACCTTCGGGCCGAGGAATTGAATCAGATCACGTGACCCTCATCAAAATCCCACTGTGCCTACTTCCTACCGCAGTCAGTATTATTATGTGTTATGCCGCGAAGAGAACATGTCTGTAGGTAGCTGGAGGCTGGCTTACCGTGATGCAACGCGCAATGTTATCAACAATATTATCAACTGGGGGCCCCCACTGACCAGTAACGGGCCTCACCGACCGCTAAAGACAGTGAAGGGCCCTAAAAACACATTGTAGCTGAGAAAATGTCTGGAGGCTCCGAAGAGCGAAAAAAGAGTAAAAGTAAAATGCGCTGAAGGAAATCCAGCGTCATCATCAGGCATTTATCTCTCGACAACAAGTGTGTGATGGTGCCTAAGCACCGGCGTTCTAGTTGTAGAACGGCGAGTCCTGGCGGAGATAGTCGTACTGCTCGAGCGGGAAATGAGCCATGGCCCATTGAGTAGCCGTCTTCGCATGGACTGTCAATAGCGTGTTCCAGTTCAAATTCCCAATGCGATCCACTAACTGCATTCTCGCAGTGTGCAGTTCGGGGCAATGAAAGAACATGTGGTAGACAGTCTGCTTCCGGTGTCCACAAGGGCATTCTGGAGGAATGATCTCGTCGGAGGGTGCGGCTGTAGTCGCATCCTCGGACACACTGGAAATGGCACTCTTGGTAACGCACGCAGTAGCAGTAGCAGTAGCAGTGGCAGTCTTAGCAGTAGACCCGTTTGCAGTCTCAATAGTAGACGCAGTAGCAGTCATGGCAGTAGACGCGCTTGCAGTAGCAGTAGCAGTAGCAGTAGCAGTAACAGTCGCGGCGATAGAGGCAGTCGAAGTCGCGCCGGGCACAATGGACACCAATGGACGTTTCGCCTTCATGTCGTTCAATGGACCATTCAAGCCGATTCGCTCGGTGCGCAACTCGAGCAGGAGCGTGCTCTCTGCCCGGCTCATATCCTTGTAGTACTCGAGGCTCTCGGGGCCCCAGTCCTCTCTCAAGATGGCAGGGCAGTGCTTGGAAGAATGCGTTATCGCTCGTTTGCGGCGATACTTATTCCATATCTCGGCACTTCTCTCATCTGCTTCCTCAAGAGCCTGCGCGTTGATGGCATCCTTACGCGTATTGCGCACACTCCAAGCTGCAAGGAATTTCTTGCGGTCGCCTTTCTTCTTTGCCAGAAGAGTCGCGGCAGCGCGCGTGGCCAAAGAGTGAGATTCTTGATCAAGCTTCTCTGTTGCCAAAGGGTTGTGCTGCTGCAGTTTGCCCCCGGCGGTGACCTTCGGTACATAGGGATGTTCCTGCAAAATACCCAAGGACAAGGCCCGCGCAGAAAGTGCCCTTTGGTAGAGGTAGACGCTCATGTTGGGGATGTTGAACTCTTTCTGAATGGCTTGTTGTGACGGTTGGCCAAAGTAGGCAGTCACCGGCTTGAGGGCTCTGTATTGGATCGAGTCGAGCCGCTTGACTTGCCCCTTCAAAGAATGGCGCAGATTCTTGGTACCGGCGAGGTACCACGCTGCGCAGGCGTAGGTGACTATAGGTCGAATGCCACCGGTATAAACATCCCTCATCTGTTGGGTCGTCAAGCCTATCTTCCGGCTCGTGGCGAATCTAATATGTCTCAGCTTCTTATTGACCTTCTTCTCAATATCGTCGACGTGCGCCTCGAACGTGAGTTTCGGGTCGAGTACCACCCCGAGCACCTTGACCTTCCCGTCCTTGAAACAGTCAGCATTGCCAGAAACCCCCTCAATATCTGGAAGCAGTCTGCAATCGTCTGCTTTCTCACAAGGGTTGTTGAAATGCATAACGCTGTACTTCTTCGCCGAGAAAGTAAGGCCAGTTTCCCCAGACCACTCCATGATACTGTCATGAATCGTCTTCAAAGCCTTGCAATTCTGCTCATAAGACTGAGAGGCAACAACAAGGTATGTATCATCGACGTAAGCGAAGGCATGGAACCAGACCCCATCGACTCTCTCGTCACGGAGCATCTCAAGCAAGGGAGCCACAAAGAAGAGGAAGAGAAGTGATGACATTGGGGAGCCTTGGGGAATGCCAATGTTAATAAGAGTAGACTCCGAGGTACTCTGGGGAAGCCTGAGTGTGATGAAGCGGTCGGAGAGGAAAACTGCATGATGCGAAGGTACCATTCGGGTAAGCCGTTGTCGGCAAGGGTCTGAAGAAGCTTCTGTCGATCGACGTTGTCAAAAGCCCCTGCAATGTCGAGACCCATCATCGTGACCTTTTGGGACGCTCGTTTTACTCTTCTGGACATCTTCCTGGACCATTGTCGGTGAACAATATGTAATAAAGCCTTGAGAGCTTGCGTTGTTGATCTGCCTGGGAGACCGTACTGGTTTTCGGGAATAAGCATGTTATCCAGGGCAACCTTCTTGAGACGACTGGTCAAGATCTTGTCCAGCAGCTTCCCAACTGATGACAACAGTGCCAATGGTCGCCAACTCTTGGCCTCTTCGTATGACTCCTTGTCTTGCTTGGGGACAATAACGGTGAGGGCAGATTTGAAGGCGTCAGGGTATTAGCCGAGCTCCAAGCAGGCGCGGAAAAGGATGGTCAGGTAAGGGACGATCCTTGCGACCTGACTCCAAATTGGGAAAGGGAACAGTCTTCATGTCGTGGAGCCTGTCCGTACCACCCCATAGAGCCTGGAATAGGATCTGGTGCTTTTCGGTCTCCTTGACATAGATCTTGTTATCCTGGCCTTTGAGATTTGGCATGTCCTTGGCAATGCGTGGCTGTGAACGTCGTTGCCCCCTCTTGATTGCCTCCTATTTACCATTGGTGGAAAGCACAACCTCATACCTCGCGTCGCGGTTGGTATTGGGCTGCTTCTTCTTTTCGGCTCGCTCTTCACGTCGTCGTATGGTCCGGCAGTTGGGTTTGTCGGGTACCGTCTCGGAATGCCCTGACGCAATGCCATCACCCTCCATCAGATCTCGAGCCTTGGGATCCATAGGCCTGCATATGGGCGGTGGGAAAGCCAGCTTGGTCGGGACAGTTTTGTCGATTGCCGTCTTCAGCGAGGAACAGATATTCCGAGTCATCTCCTCTGCTTCTGTCATGTCAAGCTTGCGGGCTTTCAACTCATCAAGGGGTGGGAGACCGCTGGCTAAGGAATTGTTGAAGACTTTCTCATCAGTTTCGTCAAACTGGTAGTACAGCCTCGTATCTCGGAAGGGCTCAATGTTGAATATGGTTCGAATCGGGCGGTGGTCGTTGTTTGGCCAAGGGTTGCGTTTGTAGACTTCGCAAGACTGGCAGCTGTCATTCAATGACGGACTGACAAAAGTAAGGTCAATGCACGAGCGTATGGCACTTTTGCCTTCTCCCGCAGTGAATGTTTCTGTACCCAGGGTTGTCTTGAGTCTCATTCCAGCGCCCGACATCGTTTCCGGGAGCAATCCACATGCGCATGGGCGGCTTGTCCCCTCAGAAGAGTGGGTCCGCAGAGCTAATGAGGTGCCAGGGGTGGTGCATCTTGCATGGAAGGCTTCGGGTAAGAGTGGACTTCCCGCTCTAGCCGTACCCTGTAACTGCTTATTGGCCAGTAACCAATTGAGAAGTTGGTTGAATTGGAGATAACAGGGAATAAGGGCCAGATACGCAACGTCTGTCAAATTCGTCAGGTCTGCATAAATACATAGAACCTCTTATAAATGCACAAGCCACGAGCGTGGTGGCGTTTTCAATGTATCGCGCTTATGTAGGTGAATGCAGTCCCAATCAGGCTAGTTACCTTCCTATTTAGGAAGTGATCTACAAAGAGATGTCAGATCTTACATGTAATTTGAAAGCACCTTTCAGTCACTTTCAAAATGCATCTCTTTCTAACATCTCTTTTTACATCTCGAAAATGCCCTAATTTACAGGGCTATCCCCTGTAGCTATAGCGCTTATAGGGGGTAAGGTCCTTATATCTATAGTAACTATAGTGGCTATAATGGCTATAAGGAGTAAATACCCTATAGCTATAGTGGCTGTAATAGCTATAGTAATTATAATAATTATATGCCCTATAGCTATAGTGTCTATAGGGGGTAAGGTCCCTATAGCTATAGTAGTGATAGTAACTATAGTAGCTATAAGGAGTTTATACCCTATAACTATAGGTAGTAAATTCCCTATAAATATTTTTATAGCAGATAACTCCCCTATATTATAGGCTCTATAGAGCCTTATTTCCTATTTAGGTTAGCTTAAACCTTAATTAGAGTTATAGCTTCTAATTAGCTGTTCAAAAGCGACTTACTTGTGGCGTAAGTCACCTTTTTACATATCATCTGAATTTAACTGACCTTGCGTATCTGGCCCTAATTCTCTGCTGACAATATTTCATATGTTCAGCCCCCAGGTGTGTGTCAAGTGGCATTTTTGGGACTTCCTCACACCTAACTCCGTGGTCGAACTTCTTGATACAATACGTCTCTATTGTTCGAGAGCATAATGACCCAGAGCGACAATCTACTGACCAACCACACCCTTTCTGCTCACAGGGCCCCCATTGCCTCTTCACAGGACTGCAGGTCGACGCTAGGTCATGACGATTGTGAAATGAAGCTGTATAGTTTCCATTTAAATCATAAGTTCTCAGTTATGTTCGTCTGTACCTTTTCTGTCACCCGAGACTCATTAATACCTCTATTTACCACCAATGTTTACCACCAATCAATTTATCCACTCCAACATCATGTACTCATCGCCTGAAAGCCCTCCTTCTCAACCTGCTATGGAACAAATCGTACACGACCCAAACGTTTCAGCGTCGCTGGTCAGAGTGTTCGGATTGGTCCTCAAGCCGTTACTTGATGCTGTGCACAGCCTACGTAGTGAGAGGTCCAAGTTATAAGGAAGTGCTCCGCTCCTCTAGATTCTCAAGTTTCAAATGGATACCTTACAACAAACTATCCACGAGTACCTGAAGGTATATGAACCGGAGAAGCACATGCTCAAGATCCTCATCGGGGACGATGTTGGGGGTGTTCAGGCTCAATCCCAGTAGGGACGGCTGCAATTCGTCCAAGGCATTGGGTCTGTATATCAACTTGTTGTTTCAGTGGAATATGTGAACGTGAATCCGCCTGTTGAAATACAAAAAGTGATGTAATTCTAGTGGCTATTGAGACCTATATCTCAACACTGCCCGTGGCTCACGACGTGGAACGCAGAATAATGTGTTCCATGATGCTCGAATTCCGCGACTACAAAACAAAGGAGACTTCCCGGAACCAGGTCGAGAAACCTTATGACGCGTTTGGTTTCACTCATGCGACAAGGGCAGCGCACGATACCTATCCGCTTGAGATCGAACACTGCATTCCGCAGGGAAGGACTCGGGCATCACTGGCGGAGACTAAGCCGATGAGAAAGCTGGGATGAACCTCCTTTTTTGTGACAACTTCCTAATCTCAATCGGGGCCGTGTGCTCAAGTTCAAGATCTCTTTCAACAGGGTGTTGCTAGAAACATCTAATTTGGACGATGCCTCAATGGTCGACGGTAACAAGAAAAAAAATCCATGGCCAGCTCTATGCAATCAAGGGAGTCTCCATACTCCCTTTTCCATGTTTACCGCAGTCGCTAACTCAACCATCGAAGGTCCATGGGTCCTCGAGGCATCCTTTTGTTCTGTTTCAACTGGTAAGTCGGCTCACTTCAAGTAGCAGTGCACGGCCCATCGGCGGTGCAGTCGCTGCTCTGCAGACCACGATACTCGCGACTGCACTGCTCATGATAGAGCACACTTCTGTTGTCCGAACTGCGACGCTCATCATGCAGCCTGGGATTCGGTATGCAACAATAGGAACTCGCAGCTTCAGCACGATCCTTCTCACCGTCATGGAAGGATAGGCCCCGAATGGGCAAGAGTGAACCGATCTCATCCCAACAATCCCAACTCCTCTCAAGCTCAACCTAGCGTAGCGTCTGAGAGTCCATCCACTGTCCCAGAGCCAGTCAAGCGCCTTCAAACGTTGCCTCTTATCAGGTGGCTCCTGGGCAAGGTCGCGGTAGGGCACGAAAGGAACCCAAGCTGGAGGACCTCCCCCAACAACCGGTTAACACCCAACCAATCCCGAAGGATCGCAATCAGCAAGCCATCAAGCTTTTGTTTCACCCTGGCACGTCCCGCCCTAGCACAAGACACTTAGCCGCATCGTCCAGCAGCATAATAACGACTGTCAATGTTATTCATGCCGTTAAGGGTATGTTGGGAGATTTTGTAAATTTATCGCCTAATAATACAATGGATAAGCAGCCCAGGTCAATAAGCTTGCTTTCCAGCTATGCTCTCTCTTGTCTCGGCGATCGGGTATATTGTTTTCGGCTTCTGTTTCGTCTCCTCCCTTTTCCTTCATTAATCGCTTCATTGACAAAACTGGGTAAAGCTCTTCAGGTGGGTGATAGCACCTGGGAAATGTCCTGTCATATTGTGAAATAACGTTAGAAAGATTAGTTACACACCATAGCTATAAAGTTGGGCGCATCAATACTTTTCTGGCTTAAGAATGCTACTAGTAATGTCTCTGGAAATATTATATTGATATTCTCTAGGTATTGTAATTATAAAAGGGGTTTTATTTTAACTTGTTCCTTTGCAAATAAAAATGGTTGCACGTAGGCGAAGGAGAATTTCCCTTGCTCACTACCTATGATATAGAAGCGTCGTCTGTAATCAACAACCATTATTCTCCCTGGATAATTAAAATGGGAAGTTCTTCTAAATATGCGATATATTCTCAATTACCACTCTTTTTTATCTATCCAGCTGTCACTAAGTGTATCAGACTATTTTGATGTTCATTCCCAAACCGTGTTAAATGACGTGATATCGATTAACACTATCGTCATTCATGAGAACTGGCACGCCATACCCCATGAACGGGCGACCGGAGCTCAGATCACTGGCAAAGCGAACTCTCCCCGGATCTACTGATAAGAAACCACTAATAATAAATGGACATTCACACCACAGGGTAATAAAGAGGTAGCCAGGGTGTTGAGGCTTTGTAGACGAATAGAAAGCGCGGATCTGCCCTCGCGGCACATCAGATTGACGTACGGCAGTTCTCTAGCATGCAGTAGCCAATTGCACCATCAGAGCTATATAAGCGACATGGATTCGTGCTCGGTGATCTAGATAAGGATAAGAACCATTTAAGTAAACGAGACATGCCGGCACCCCGAACCAGGTTGTCGGAACAACCACAACAACAAAGTTCTCCACCACAATGTCTCTTCTCACGAGGGAAACGCAAGAAAATGGCATCGATCCACCACTCTCCCAAGTCGTCGGCTATGTTGTCGTGATTCTCATTGGTTTCCTCATCGCCTTCATCATGATGTTCCTGACCCACATCTTGAAGAAAACGGTTGGTGAGGATAACAAGACAACAGAGATGTTCATGACAGCAAATCGCAGTGTCGGCACCGGCTTGACTTCATCCGCTGTGATTTCATCATGGCTTTGGAGTACAGCTATGCTAGGTAGCACATTGGTCGGGTACAATTTTGGTGTGGCTGGGCCGTTTTGGTTTGCTGCTGGGTATGTTCAACCTTTTGAAGGCTTCCAGATATTAACTGTTTAATAGGTGCTCGCCTATGATTGTCTTCTTTGCTTTGCTGGGCATCTCTTGCAAGTTGAGGGTCCCTGAGGCGCATACTCTCCTCGAGATCGTGCGTATTCGATATGGTACAGCGGGGCATATTGTGTGGATTGGTCTCTGCTTGATCAACAACATCATCGCTGTTGCCAACATGCTGCTAGGCGCCAGTGCAGCCATTTCTGCTCTGTAAGTCGCATCTCCGAAATCAAGAGCTCGACTAATTCTGTAGATCCGGTATCCATGTCATCGCGGCTACGTTCTTGTTGCCTGTTGGAGTGGTGCTGTATACTTTTGTTGGAGGCATCAAAGCAACCTTCCTCACAGACTACTTCCATACCTTTGTCATCACAATCATCATCTGCTTCTTCACCATCAAGGCCTTTTTAGTGCCCGAGATTGGATCACCTGGAGGTCTTTACGACTTGATCGTCCAAGTCGGAAAAGATCACCCTGTCGCTGGTAACCACAACGGGTCTTTCTTGACGATGACCAGCAAAGATGTGAGTTCTTCCAGGTAGTCTTTGGAACATTTCTAACAGATGCAGGCTATTTACTTTGGCATCATCCACGTCCTAGCTAACTTCGGCCTCGTCATTATGGACACGGGCTTCTTCGCCAAGGCTTTCAGCGCCGCGCCACAAGCTGTTGTACCAGGGTACATCATTGGTGGTATCGCCTACTTCGCCATCCCATGGTGTCTGGGCACTCTGATGAGCTTCTCTGCTCTCGCACTCGAAGATACACCTCGCTTCCCAACTTACCCGCGACGTATGTCATCTGTCGAGATTTCAAACGGCCTGGTTCTCCCATATGCCGCCATCGCAATTGCTGGCGAAGGTGGTGCTGCTGCTGTGCTGTTAATTACCTTCATGGCCGTGACTTCAACCATCAGTGCTCAAGTCATTTCTGTGTCATCGATCATCAGCTTTGACATCTATCGCCAGTACTTCAACCGCGCAGCTACGGACCGCGATGCTATTCGATGGAGTCACATCGGTGTTGTCTTCTTTGGCCTGTTTTCTGCTTCCTTCTCAACGGCTTTATACTACGGCAAAGTTGATCTTGGGTGGACGTTGTACATGCTGGGCGTTTTGACATGCCCTGGCATCTTCCCGACTGTTTTTACAATTCTCTGGAAGAAGCAATCCAAGATCGCTGCTATTGTTTCACCCTTGTTGGGCATGGCGACTGGCATTGCAGTTTGGCTAGGAACAGCATCCTCTCTGTATGGTGAAGTCACAGTCGCGTCAACTGGAAAGTCTCTTCCTTGTGTTTATGGAACAGTTGCCTCTGCTTTGAGTCCGGCGCTGTACTCAGTCGTCATCTCACTTATCAAGCCTGCGAACTACAATTGGGCTGACTTTCGAAATGAGCGGCTTGCGTTTGATCAGACCGATTCATCTACCTCGGAAGCAGCAAAAAGCCATGAAGAGAAGGTTTCGAGTTACGCTGCTGATAAAGCCCGCCTGAAGCACTGGGGTACTCTGGCGGCTATTTGGTCTGCCGCCACGTTCTTGGGACATTGGGTTCTATGGTAATTATACCCGCATCCACAGCATGGCAATGGTTACTAACAAATCACAGGCCCCTCCCAATGTATGCCTCCAAGTATGTATTTGGTAGAACCTTCTTTGTCGCCTGGATCGTCATCGCTATAATCTGGGTATGGGGAACTATGTTTGTTGCTGGCTTCTATCCAATCATCGACGGTTGGCCACAGTTGAAGAAAGTGTACAAGGGTTTAAGAGGACAGGATTCCGTCGAGGGTCGAACAGAAGTGGTTCAAGACCCCCCAAGTGACTCTTCTATCACCGATCGCGATGATAAGGGCAACGCGGGTATTTTGGCTTGACCAGTCACGTTGGCAACATGGCATTGAACTTAAATAGCTCAACCTGCATTGTAACTAGACTACTCTATAAAATGATTTAGGTAGCTCGGTTAGGGCTTCCAACATGTCAAATCTTAAATTACTTTTTCGGGAACAATTTGATGACCTTCAGATTCGATTTAGAGAGGTCAGAACGGAATTGAATTAGATGTCTCATATCCATAGTGGTATCGTCGATACGGTACAATTGTGCTGGGAGGTGCCCACAGCCCGCCGCACAGCCCCCACAAGAGAAAGCCTTCTTCACTGCAATTTTAACCCCTCTCAAGAGTTGCTGCTGGTGGAGCGTCGATCTGAAGCGCAACAGAAGTGTCTTGATGCATTAACAGTGAGACCAATCACAATATTTCACTGTATTATCTCACTCCCAGCGCTTGAGATAGGAAACCATCCGCGACAAACTCCCCCGCATCGGCGACAAGATACCTGCGCTTCCCCGCCTTGGGCCAGAGCCGATGCAGACCGTGCCCGATATCGGTAAGGATAAGGCGAATGGTCTCAGACAACTTCGTTCAACATCAGCAGCCCAACCCAATTTCTCATCGTTAACCACCACGAACCTCCGCCAAATCTCCCCAAAATGCCTTTCACAGTCCTCTCAGACACCAACGTGAACCACATTCTAGACACGTTATCACCAACCGATGTCACTGATCTGGCTAGCGCCCTCGAACGCGCTCTCATCCAGTACTCATGCAACAATGAACAGCAATACCAGCCGCATCGCGCTGTCGTGAATCGAGACGGTCAAGTCAGCTTGTTCATGCCCGGAACCACCGACCAGCTACTCGGCGTTAAGATTGTCGGCATCACACCAGCTGAAAGGCTCAAGCCTAGTGAAGCTGGTCTAAAGAGCGTTTTGACGCTGTGTGATGCCAGAGGCGATGCTATCGGCACGCTCAACGCCGCTGCTCTCACGGCTTTCCGAACAGCTCTAGGATCGATGCTGGCCTATCGGTTCAGGCGGAATACCGAGAATATCGTGGTGTTTGGTGCAGGCAAGCAAGCTCTATGGCATATTCGCTTGGCGCTTTTGCTGAAAGAAAAGGATATCAAGTCTGTGACTATTGTCAACCGGTCAAACGAGAGGACTCAACAATTGATTGAGTCTCTCAAGTCCAACCACTCATCTCCATGGCCCTCGCACATCACCCTGCAAGCCTTCGACCCCAAGGATGACCGTGATGCAGCTTTGGAGGATCTAGTTGTGGATGCAGACGTGTTGTTTTTCACCACACCTAGCACACAGCTCGTCTTCCCCGCTGCATACCTCACGTCTGACAAAGCTCGAAGCAAAACCCGCTACCTCGCAGCGATCGGCTCATACCGTCTTGACATGCAAGAAATTGACCCAGATCTTCTGAAACAAGTCGTCGACCCTGCTGGACCCTTTGCCTCTGTTGGTTACCGCGGATCCGTTGCAGTTGACAGTCGTGACGGGTGTCTGCAGGAAGCCGGAGAGCTGGTCAAGGCTGAGGTGCCTACAGACAAGATGCTTGAGATTGGTCAGCTGCTTCAGACAAAGAATACTGAGAACCCAAGCGGTTTGAACAAATGGCTGGAGACTGGGTTTGTTATTTACAAAAGTGTTGGGACTGGGGTGATGGATCTGTCGATTGGCCAGGAGCTGTTGCGGTTGGCGAAGGCAAGAAATGTTGGCTTGACTGCTGAGGATTTCTAAGAAATAGCATGTGTCGCGATAGTTATCAACTTGACAGCAAAAGAATGAAAATTGTTCCCTTAAATCTAGATGGAACATTGATATGTCAATGGGATATCCGTATATGGATAAGCCATAAGCGTTATATCCCTAGCCTCTAAGGAAATACGGTGACCCTCGTTAAACATAAGACCGCTATACGAGCTCGCTTAGTTTAGTTAACAGACCTCACAGGTAGGTGGGGTTGTTTGCAGTGCTTTTTAACTGGCTCAGAAACATCTATTGACCCCAGGGAAACGCAACCTTCTCCGTAGAGTCGAGCTACGTCCATCTCGAGTGTGGCAATCTCACCAAGGACGAGCGCAACAACGTCGCCAATTTTAAATGGTCCTTTCCAGTTGATTGGGATCCCAAACCGAAGCCCAACGGTACATGGCACGGCCACAACAGGGCAGAATTGAAAACGCCGTGGGCTATAGCCATTGACAGATTTGTTGATCCTTTCTGGACAAATGTAACCAACTTATCAGACCGATACGAGGATTTCTTCTTTATGATGAGCATGGATGGTCGCCCGCTGCTCTTTGAGAACGAAACTGACATTGACGTCACACCCCCAAGACTTCTTTTCGACTCTGGCTGGATGTATAGCTCGTCCCGTGGCCAGGTGAATAGCCAGGTAGGAATGAAGACAAAATGCGAAGTCCTGCAGCGCTACGTCGAGTCGCAAGTCCACTGTTCTCGACTTGGTATGTCAACCCCACAGAACTGCTCTGTCATCGCGCAACGGTCGTCGCGTAAAAAGCATGCCCCAGAAGGAGTAACCATGCTTTCTTGGGAGACAACCTGGGGCTGGGTGTCATCACTGCCATCAGTGGTGGAAGGAACTCTGGAATACCCCGATATCGTGATGCGATACCTCGACAATCCGCAGCGCAATGACATGTATCCCGGGGCTGCAGAAGAAGACAAGGAAATGTTCAAGGGTGTCACTCCAGAGCAATTCAGCCGTCGCCTGGCGCAGGTGATCAACACTTACGTGCTAATCAGCCAAGTCTACCAGTCGGCCATGCAAGCCGACGCCCCTTTCGAGCAAAACGTCACCGTACCTATCCAGGTGAGCAACCTAGTGGAAGTTTACGCAGTGAACTGGACGTGGATGTTTCTCTTCTTTGCTTCTTACGCCATACTACTGGCCAGCGGTATAGTGAGTACTGTTTTCGCTCATTTGGCTATTGGGCCAGAGATTCTCGGCTATGCTTCTTCAGCGGTTCGTGACTCCAAGTATATGGACCTGCCGCCAGATTTAGGTCCAAAGGATGCTCTTGAGGTGACAAGGGTAATCGGTCAGAACAAGGTGAAGTACGAGTTTACGGAGGAGATGTCTCAAGATGGTCAACCCTTCGTGGATATTGGTTTGGAGAGTAAGATTGAGGGGATTCAGAAACATCGGTCATTGAAATCGAATCTCGGATGTACTTGACAGGTCTAGCAAAGAGGCAAACTAAATTAGAATTAAGCTTCAAATAACATATTCAAATACTTCTTTTCATATTGGATACCTCAGTTGCTAAACTAGTTCTTATTGAGAGCGTGAGAGCGTGAGAGCGTGAGAGCGTGAGAGTCGTAGCTTGGCCTCGACTTTACGCACATTGAACATTCTCTACTGGACGGAGACACAGAGCTTATATGACTCTACGGACATGTCGAACAATATAATGAGAAGACATAATTGTGTATTTGGCTTTTGAGACTTCATAATTCCCATTTTGACTACTGCTTAGGATAATGTATCTCACTTTCTCCAACTTGTCTGAACCCCACCAAGTATATCCCAACTAACAAAACTACCGAAGCTACTTCGAGTGTGAGAAATCTGCTCTGAGTTCCAGTAAAGGGATACTTACCTGGTAAAAGGGTGTAGAAAAGTATCGACAAGTTTCTACCCTGGGAGAACAGTGGGGCAATAGATATATTGGTATCCGTGGGATGTGAAGAACTGAGATTCGCACTTATGGGCGAACCCCCTTGCACCTTTATACCAGAATCATCCACTTCTGACTCACACTCCTCTCTTTCCATATTGCCTAGTAAGTTAAACAAACGAGCTTTGTTCTTTGGTTTCACAACTTCAATCCATTCTCGAAAAGAAATGCTTGACCTCCCAGCACACACGAATTGTTCAAGAGGCGCCTCAAAATTCTCGCCGAATTCCACGCTCAAAGGTCTCGCCGTGCCCCCAAAGTGAAGCACAACATATTTCGTGGATTCTGAGTTGTCAATAGTGACATGAAAACCAGTTGGGGCCCCGTGCTTCATAAACTGCTCAGCAGCTGTACCAAAGCGGTCTGGGTGAAATGGGTATTTTGAGCCTGCCCATCCTAGGAAACACGATACCAAATATCGTTGCCAGATTGTAAGCTCGTAGCATGTAGCGTAGTTGGGATCAACGGAGATGGGGCCGTTGGAGTCGACAGATGCTTGCTCAACTGCTTCGTCTGGTGATTTTGACACGGATACCAGTTGAGGGAACAGCTGGGGGAATTTCCTAGTTTCGAAACAAGCCACTTCATCGAAAAGGAACACACTCTCAAAGAAATACCCCACCTTGTCGATGGGCGTACTGCCGCGGACATGGTTGTCCAGAAGAACACTTGCCACAAGAGCCCTTTTCCAAGGCTCATCCACAGCCTTGGTATCGTTCTCAAACGCCCATCTCACGTACTCGATATGACCCAGCATCGTAGCCTGGCATATCGCACTGAAGTTATCCCGTCTTACCAATGCTCCGTAACGAACTAAGCTGTGCAAGCCCCCAGTCGCATACGTCGAGGTCCCATGGAAAACCAGAACCTGACTAGGGTCAGCGTCTAATCCAAACGCATCGCCTACCCAAGAGGCCATGGTTTGGAGGAAGTGGTATGGAGGTGTATCCACTCTCTCTGTCAGACGCATCCATGTTACGCCACCACATATTCGCCTAGCGGCTTTCTTGTCATTTATGAATTGGACTTCTGCGAAGATAAGATGAGAAAGAGCATTAACGGCGTCGAAATGGGATAAAGAGGACTCCATATCTCTTTTGATGTCTGCTTTCTCGAGCATTTCGGGGATGGATCGATGCGTAAAGCCAAGTTTCCAAGACTGCTGAGCTACGGGGTCTGTTGTTCCACGAGCCTCGACGAGCCCTCCGCAGATCCCTCGAAGTTGCTTGACACTTCTCGAAGGAGTCCTATCCACATCCAGTAACTTGTGGTCAAGAACCATGAATCTTTCACGACTGGAGAAGTCGTGGTCCTCTTGGTATTCCTCGAGGTATGAAAAGGCGAGTAAAGAAAGAGGCAGATAGTTTTCCTGTGCAGTTTGTAGGATGGCCATAGTCTGGTACGCCGTTCTTCGACTGTTTGGGTCAAGGCCACTGAGAATACGCTGAAACAGGGCTTCTATACCTGGAGGAAGATTGTCGAGTAGTCGCAGTAGCTGCTCCTGTGATGCGTCATCCTCGACCTTTTTGCGGATCTCATTAACGACTAGGACTATCCATAGAAAGATACCATTTGCCTTCTCAGGGATCGCGTCGAGGAAGTATCTTTTGAGATTTTCGTTCTGTATATGCTCAAGAGAATCGCGAACATAGTGCCTCATATCGAACCACGTCAGTTGGTGGAGTTGAAGGCGTTGGTCTGCTGAGAATCCGTTAAGGAATACGTTGTAGTCTCGGCTGGAGACAACCATCTTCAGTCTACCGTGGGAGATTTTGACCCAATCTTTTAAGAGTCTTACAAGATAGATGTGATCTTTGCTGTGAGACTCTTCGCACTCGTCCAGGCCATCGATAAAGAAGCAAAAGCGAAGATCACCACTGGGAAGCGAAGATGAGGACCCGATGGAGATGAGGCGCTCTAATCCGGACTTGAAAACATTTGAGGACATAGTGAGCTTGCTTTGTATTTGCCAAGGACTACTGGTCGCCTGGTTCCAAATTTCTGGTAGGACGTGCTGGATCAATTCTGGACGAGCTTCGAGGATGTCGTGGAGAAGAGACCGGCAGAGGCCGTCCAAAGACTTTTGCAACTCTGATCCGGGTTTCCAGAAGAAGAATCTAGAGATAAGAAGATAATCACTTCCTGTTGATGTGAGCGACGTCAATGAAAATATGGAACGTTAAACTGACCAGCCCACTTTTGGAGTTGAGTGCGAGTTTGTGAATGTGTGTAGAGCAGTTTCATGAGGGTAGACTTTCCAGAGCCTAGTTTACCCGAGATGTGAAAGATGCCTTCCGATGAGGAAAGCCAGCTCAAAAAGGCGGTCCTTGATTTGAGCTTCACTGCTATCATTTCTTCTTCTTCCGCTCTGTTCAGCGCTGGCTGTGATTTCTCTTGATCCCCTGGTTCGTTATCTTCCAACAGCCATTCGAAAGTACTGTCGTGGGGTAGATGAACTCTATCATCTCGTTCATGCATGCCGTCGAATCGCATGCTTCTGAGGATGCGTTGTTGGTAAATGGCAGCAAGTGCATCCTCTTGTAACCCTAGGAGACGCCGAACCTGATCACAAACCTCTGTGCCAATCTGCCCAACCTCTACACCTTTCTTGAGCTCTTCGATGTGTCCCTGCAGTTCCTCAAGTCTGGATGCATCATTTTGAGCAACGGATGAAAGCTTCTCGTAGTATGCTGTAGTGTTCTCACTAGGGATCAATCTTAGATATTGTGGATCACAAAAAATGCCAGAGGGGTGAATACTTTGAAAGGTCGACAAGTCCTAATGTAAGTTGGCTTCGGCAGTCATCTAAGCGCTTCTCTAGATCCTTGATCTCGCTTTCCTTACTCCAAGCTCGGAAAGCCGAGCGATATATGCCAAAAGAGCTTTGTGGCTTAGGCTTAATTTTGTCCAAGAGCTCAAGGATTTGCTGCGACAACTCGTGGCACTTTAGTGCAAGGTCATACAAACCTTTTTGCTCGGGTGCGATTCGAGTCTGATCCGTGGGTCTTAGCCTTCGAGAGACCGCTTGCATCTCCTCAGTGATGACTTTTCGAGTTTGGTTCCGTTCGAGACTGCCGTCGACGGAATCACGGATTTCCCGGGCATTTTTCAGCAGGTTGATCCCGAGAGGAACAAAGGAGATAATGGCAGAAGCCAATCCCACGGCCGTGACAGGGTCCATGCCAAGCTGGGGGTTGACTTGGTGATCATATAGAGAACAAGAAGTAACTCAACGAGCTGACCAGAGAAATTTGTGGGACTGGAGCCTGGCCAGAGTGGATATGCTACTGGCTGCTTACTCACGTAGACTTTCACCAATTGGGAATATCGAAGTCGGTCAATTGAAGGAGCTTGAGAAGAGAAGAGGTCATAAAAATATATCCTTTGATTATCTATAAAAAGTCCCTGAGGTATTAAATTCTATTCTATTTTCTATAAGTCCCTAGTCCCAAAAACTGGTGTCTGTGTGAAGCAATGTTGAGATGATATGAGTAGTGAAAAGTTGCCAGATCTAGGCCTTAGCAGCCTTCGCGGCCATAGCTGTTGCTTGTGCAGCCTTTGCCGAGTATTTGCAACGCTGCCGAATAGCAGGACCATATTTGAAGAAGATAAAAGGCATAGGGAGACATGCCAGTGAAAGAAAAGCAGGAACTGAGCTGGCCCACTGTGTGCCCAGCCTGTCGTACATCTGCTTGGTGAATAGCGGAAAGGCGGCACCGAAAAGTGATCTCAGCACTGCATTCGACGCCAGGACCGAGGCCGCGTAGATGGTGTATGAGTCGATGAGGTAGTTGAAGATGCTGTGGAAAACGAGCGACATGCCCAGACCGAAGGGGACGCCAGCTGCTACTGGAGCCATCCAATGCACGTCAGGATATGTTGTCCTATGAGGCTGTTAGTGGGTGATTCTCTCTGGAAGTTGAATATTTTCAGTCTTACCATGCGAACCAGAACATCCCAATTGGTACACAGATTCCACCAAGCATACACCCAGGAAGACGATTCTCGGGAGGCACCGGCTCGCCGTTGGCCTTTTCTGTGACCTTCATATACCACATGTTGATAAGTCCAATGACTGGAATAGCTCCAAGCATACCCACCGCAACTCCTAGGAAGGCCAAACCACCTTTACCAGCTGACCAGCCACGCTCTATTTGGAATACCACGGGGTACGCGCCAAAGAGCATGTATAGTGTGCCAAAGAGAATGGCGATGTAAGTAGAGAGAAGGAGGACAATCGGTTCGACGAAAAGGAGAAGCCAAGGGCGGATGAGTGCTTTCTTGAGGACGACAGATGGAGGGTCTGCTTTGCCCTGGTGCTCGTAGATGGACAGGTAGACTTTGCCGGTCTTTTTCGATAGGAAGTCTGCTCGGTTTTTTAGGATGTAGGGCGCGTAGGTTTCGGGTGCGCAGCATAAATCGAGGATCCAAATGGCTCCCGCAATGATTGCCATCAATCCCATGACCTGTTAAAATTAGTATTGACACTACATCCTGTTCGGAGTTTGAACCAACTCACCCAACGCCATCCTTGATCCTCACCAAGGTATCCACCAATAAAGGGTCCCAACGTTGGCCCTAAAGCGGGTGCAAGGGAGAAGAAAGCCATGGCAATGGCACGCTCGTCAGGTCTGAAGACATCGGAGATGACACCTCCAGCATTAGTCAGGGGTGATGAACCGAATGTTCCACAGAAGAATCGAAGAACAAGTAATGTCGCAATCCCGTTATCTGCTGTGCACGCTGCACTGAAGACGACATAGATACCAAAGCTGATGACAAAGATAATTTGCCGGCCGTAGATTTCGCAGAGTGGTGCCCAGAAAAGTGGCCCGACGGCGAAACCAAGGACGTAGAGAGAAACGCCGGCTGTAATGAGTGTTTGGCTTGCTTTGAAGTGAATCATGAGCTCCATGATTGTGCCTAAATCATGTAAGCAAGACGAATAACAGAGACATAGAAACTAACCTGTGTAGGCGCTGGAGCTAAAGGCGACGGCAAACGAGGTCGCGGCTGAAACCATGGTGATGGTCCATTTCAACCACTTGGCCCAATTGAGCGGATTGCCTGTATCGTCTGGAATCCAGCTCACAACGTAAGGATCCTCAAAAGTGCCGCTTCCTGGATAATCGTAGTTTTCAACCGCTTGATCGACGCGCGTGCGGTCGAAGATGAGGTTCACAAGCGATCGAGGGCGTGGTTTGGGCTCTGACTTTTGACGAAGAGTTTCATCGTCCGAGCTGTGCAGATCTGTTCTGGAAGCCATGATTAATTCGACTGATATTAAACTATTCCTTAAGGAGATAACACCAAGACGGGAGGTGCTCTGGGCTCTTTATAGGGAAGATTGGCCCAGATCGAGGTGACCATTTTGTCGGGAAGACCGGGCGGGTATGCATTGCATGGATGTAGAAAACACGCGATTCTTCGTGACAACGGAGGAATGGGAGTGGAAGGGGCCCAGAATTGTTGGCTCAGGTAGCGAAGCGTGCCCTGTCACCTTACGATCTTGCGGATATCAAGGGATCTACGATGACGAAGATTGTGCAAATCTGGTAGCATTTCTCCGTGCGTCGGGATATCGCTGTCTGACACCTCCGACATTCTCGATTCTTCCTCTAGAGGTTCCACCTAAACGTGGTTCTGGCAGATGTCAACAGGGATCACTAGCCAAGCTTTAACTCAATGTTAATTAAAGCTAGAGGAACTTGGGCCGTTTGGACCATGCTGGAAATCTCCGACGGCGTTTGTCGACGGGCAGGAGAAAAAAAAACGGGCTTCTTTAGACCCGAGCTGTGGGACCCTGGTAATTTGTGTCAGCGGTCAGCCCACAAATACGACGCTCTTCGTGATAAGGAGAATCTGCCGAGGTTTCAAGAATAAATAAGGGCTCACGTGTTTACAAGGCTGATCACATGTTTCTCAGCTGGGAAAGTTTGAGGTTATAAATAATGCTTTTGTATTCCATGTGATTGTCAGTTCCGAGATATTCCTGATGTAAATGACTGATGCTAAGAATGACCTGCTCATGAGGACAGAAAGCGTTGAACTCAGAATTTGACATTTTGAAAATCCATACTGACTAATCAAGTCAGAGATTCTGGAGATCCGGTATTTATTTATGAGCCTACCGCTATATCGATCTTGGTGTAATGGTGTTGAAGATGTTGACCATAGGCTATGGTCATGTGACCCACCTACCAATTGCAAACAAATGTGGCGACTATTTTGTCATCGCTTGACGTCTCCATGATGCTTTGTCAATTTCACATTGCACAGCGCTGTCGTGTTTTCGAATGAAAACCGCCATTTTAAGGCCAAAGTACCTTTGTAGGTATTTTAGCGATCGATTTCGTCTCCTGCCCATCAGGGTCCCCAAGGAAAAGCTATCCACTGAGGCAACTGGTTTACCAACCCCTTGGAATCATCTGCGTAACCTTCATCTTTGCATTACTCGTCCTCTCAACTTACGAATATCGCTACGAGGAAAATGGGCAGAACGGAACCCTCCGTCGGTCGACCGCCAGCAGCCTTCCGCAAGGATGCGCGCTCCAAAAAGGCCAAAGCTACGATCAACAAAGTCATTCCGAGTCTGCTACCTGGAAACCCCCGCGCCCAACAAGGAATCAATTCCGCAGAACTGGTGCCTTTCCCACATGCACAAGTCTATGGCACTGGATCAGCAGTGACTGCGCAAGATAGAAAGATTGATCAGTCAGCCAAGAATGGCAAATTTGTTGATAGTTTGGCAAAGCAAAAGGCTAATGATCAACCAACTCCAGCTCAAGGGGAGCTGAAACTTCCTAAGATCTCGGTTAGAGAGGTTGATACACTCGTGGCAGCGAGGGATCTGCTCGAGATAGAAACTGCGTCGGGTACCAAGACCGATTTCAAGAATGATCGAGCTCGTGTAACCATCCTCAACATGAGCTCACCCCTCAATCCCGGCGGTGGATTTCTCAACGGCGCAAACAGTCAAGAGGAGTCATTGTGCATGCGGACAACGCTGTACCCCTCATTAAAGGATGAATGGTACCGCATCCCCGATCTTTCATCAATCTACACTCCCAACGTGCTTGTCTTTCGAGACGAGGAAGCCGAGGACCTTGATAAGAAAGATCGCTTTTATGTGGATTGCATCACGGCCGCCATGCTTCGTGCTCCAGAGTTCGAGATGAATGGGGAGAGAGTAGCGACATACGCCAATAAAAAGGATCGTGAAATAGCGCATGCGAAAATGACGGCGGTAATGCGCATCGCTGCTATGAAAAAGACCAAGCGTCTTGTTCTTGGAGCTTGGGGCTGCGGAGCCCATGGAAACCCCGTTGGTGAAATCGCACGACTATGGAAAGCGGTACTGAAACCACGACACGATAAATCGAAGACGGGCAAGGACAGATGGGAGTCTCTTGACGAGATTGTGTTTGCCATTAAGGACCACAATATGGCTCAGGCTTTTGCGGAGGCTTTTGGCGAGGGTCTTGAGCGGCCGGATGAAGACATGGGAGAAGAGGAAGAAGGTGAAGCTGAGATCGATCTGGCTGATGTCAAGCGGCAAGAGTTGCTACATAAGATTGAGGAACTGGAGCAGCGCATGCAAGCGGTGGCGAATCCAAAGGTGAAAGATGGTCTGAGGACAGTTCTCGAAGGGCTCAAGAAACAGCTTCCTGCCGAGGATGGAGCTTCAGGGGATGAAAGTGAGGAGGAAGCCGTGTAGTCAGATGATCACAATCTACTGTCTGTATGGAAATATAACAAGGCGGTGCCCTACATGTATTGCCCGCTTCTCTACACTTTGTGATCTTTATCATACCTATCTTGATTGGGTAAATTATGGCCATAACGCCCGCATCGTGGCCTCCCAATCGGAAACTGACAGTCTTCCGTCCAACGTTAGAGTAGCACTGAACCCAAACCTTAACGTGGATTTTGAGATCTAGCCCGGTAAACAAATACCCGTGTCCTTGATGTGGCACTCACCGTTCCTCCCGAGACGTGTTCAACAGAACTGCCGGACAAAAAATACCCAATCAAAAGACAGGCGGACCATTTTCCATGGACTAATTTCTCTAGAACAACCGTGTAACCGTGTCATCCGCGGATCACCTTGAGCCGCGCTGCGGAGCCAATCCCGCAGTCGGGGCCGGCTCCGCATCCAGGCGCTAAATCCACGACAAGAGCATTTACGGACGGCATACGCCAAGACACCGGGATACTAATACCCTTGAGCATGGATTGGATCGACAAGTAGTGTTCCGCGTAGACTGCCCTTCGTCCGGATGTACATGTGGCCTGGAGTTCAATGTCCAAGCACATATCGGCTCGAGGCAAGATCGTCGGATTCAGGTGAGGGGATGGGAGCTCTAGGATGATCCCACGTGGAATCAGTGCGCTCTACGTCTGTGCGATCAGAGCAGGGAGCCAGTTGTGGTCGCATCGCAAGGCCGGCAAGCAATGATTGGTTTCCATCCCAGCCTCGTACATCGCGGATCTTCTCATCCTTGCGTAACTTCGCTTGACCGGCATTTGAACACCGAGTCAGTGCTGCTCAGAAGTACCCCAGGATTGGCATGCAGTCGATACCTCGTATGCTTGGATCTTGCATGTCCACATCCCCTCCCCCAGATTCCACTTCTCCAGACTAGCGATCCGGGGTAACGGGGATTGTCTTGCTCCTGATATGTATATAACATGTTGCGTGAGACGGTGGTGTGTTTTTGACCTTCTCAATTCCCAAGGCATTCTGCACTGCTCTACTAACTCACCGCCATCGCTTCAACATGTCCAGCAGCCCCAGCGCCAACGACAAGGCTCAAAGCCTTCACCGCGACGAGATGGAGCACATCCAACCGGCCATGAGCGTCCCTATCTCCCCGGAGCTGTTTGAGCAGCTGTACCTCCAGCCTCAGAACAAAGTCAAGGGCGAACTTCGAAAGACATTTGGCAACCCGACGCCAATTGGTGAGTCTTGTGCACTGAAAGATTTATCTTGTGCGCTAATGGAGTATAGCTCTGGCTGGATTTCTGCTGTGCGCTACGCCGGCGTCGATGTCTTTGCTAGGGTGGCAGGGTGCTGGGGGCTTTGCCGCTGCTGCGAATGTGTAAGGCAACGCACGCTTTTGATCGAAACCAACGACTAATAGTCAATAGTGGTGCCTACTTTGGTATAGGCGGTCTTCTCTTAGTACTGGGAGGAATTGGTGAATGGATCCTTGGTAAGTCGTTGCTTCATGCATGAAATGTACTAGTACTGACCTCTGTTTAACAGGAAACACCTTTCCGTCCACAGTCTTCTTCACATTCGGCGGCTTTTGGCTTGCTTTCGGTACAACAATTATCCCTGGTTCTGGCGCCTACAGCACCTATTCTACAACCGGTACTGCCGCGGATGGTCTTACTGAACCTTCGTTCTACTCAACATTCGCCTTCTTCCTTGTTGCAATGGCGATACTATGCGCCATCTATGCCGTCGCAGGTATTCGAACAAACATTGCGTTGTTTGTCATTCTCGTCCTGCTTGTTCCATGCTGTGAGTAAAACATTTTTGTAAACAATTACGGATGCTGACTTTGTTAGTTGGCTCTCTTGCCGCTTCATTCTTCGCCGTGGGCCAGGGTAAGGCGGCTCTCGCGCTGAACTGCCAACACGCTGGAGCAGGCCTGCTTCTCACCATATCGCTTATTGGCTGGTATATGCTTACATCGATGCTTCTGTTGTCTGTTGACTTTCCAATTATGTTGCCGCTTGGTGATCTTTCCACTGTCATTCATGGTCGCTCTGAAACAAAGAGAGGTACAACCAAACAGGTGTAGGACAAAGCTTGAGACTCGAGGCGCCCCGAGGGATCCAGGATTATCGTGTAGGAGATCAATTGTTGGAAGGGGTCATGAATAATGGTATGAGAATAAAGAGATAGCTGATGCGGAAGAGGTTGACGAATTAGCTTCATAGAAACTACAAAAGTTTTTAACAAGTGCGTAATACAACGGCTCTATAATCTTTTATTTTAGTTGCTAATCCGACAGATGCTTTAATAACTCCAGTAATGGACTTGTTTCTTCTACCAGTATCTTGAAAACTAGTTCCGTGTCGATCAGTCGTAAAGGGGCCCCGTGGAAGTGGTCTTGACCGATCGTACTGTAATGAAGATTGAACTAGCTTCTGTTTGTGACTTATAAGGTAAAGCTGATTGCCAGATGGTCCAGTAACTTGCTATAATCCAGTCTGTTTCTGTATGTGAAGAATTTTGTTTTAATTGACGCACCGGAGATATTCTGAGCAATTTGTTTCATCCTTCTATGGACCTCCCAGTCAACCTACGGCTTTATTCAAATACACAGTTAATTTCCTTCAGCTCAACGACCTGGAGATAAATACAATCTACTCCATTATTATCGGGAATTTACGTCACTATCGAGCAATTACTCCAAGTCAAAGTTCCGTGCAGCACAGCCTTCCCTGAAAAAGCCCTGGACTCCAGTTTATTCGTCAAATGGCCCGCAATACCCCACCATACATCCTTGTTGGTGTCGAACACATCGACGCGAAATGTGCGGCGCTTGGCCGAGGTTCTTTCCAGAAGGATTCAAAGTGTCATAGAAACATGGTGTAGATACTGATCAACCTCGGCTAACCCTTCGTCGTGCTATACCTATTGATCCAACAGCGGATTATAACTCAGGAAATGACTGATAAAATCATTGTTGTTTAATCCCAAGCGGTATCTGAGTATCTGAAGTCCCTATTTACAATAAATATTAAATCCACAGCAGCTTAGCAACTACAATATCTCGACCAAGAGTTGCTACCCTCACGAAGAAGACTATTCTCGGAAATAAGAGAACATGAAAGAAGGAGCTGAATCTCGATGACAAGTAAGCCCTAAAATCCTTCAGCTACGATCATACCGTATTTATACAGAGATCTGCTGTGGGTGAAGCACAAAACAAGCTGGGGCTCCGCCTTGTTTACCCCTGTCATCTTCCCAAACCAGCAAGGCGTCTATCAGCTGTTCCTCGATTGATACCAACTCGCCCAATGAGAAGCCACTGGTCTGTTTCGAAAGACATTTTCTGCTCCACGTATAAACACGGGGTATTTGGTGGCTTCGCCCTGCCCTCCACTCTGGAGACAACGTTAAACAGGTATCTTGGCATCCTTCTGAAAAGTCGCCCTATCAGCCTTTGCAGATGAATGATAAAAGGCGGGCCGCGATAGATCAGCCGTGGCCCGAGTTCTCAGGAACCAGGCTGTAAGGGCCATTTTCTTCACGAAGGATTCAACTGAAGGAGTGGTTTCCACTCTAGTGACATCATTGTCGTAATGCTCGAAGGCTGGTGTGATGGAGTAAAATGGATTGAAAGCGAGTTAAGATGGTAGCAAGAGAAGTATAAGAACCTAGCAGAGCACGACCTGAACAAGAACCATCAACAACAAGCTTCATCTCTCAGATTCAACAAACACCTTCATCTCATACACCTATCAAACTATTTCTTCTCACATACTCACATCACAACCAAAATGCCTTCTCCTCGCAACATCCTCTTCAGCCTCCTGGCAGCCTCTCTCTCCTCCACCGCAGTTGCCGAGCATCTCCGCGCTGTCTGGTCCCAAGGCGACTTCTCCACCATCTCCGGGCCCGGAACATCCAACGAGCACGGCCACACCTCCGGCTTCACCATTCTCAAAGACGACGGCACAGCCATCTACAGCCAGGCATACCCCGACGACCACGCACCCTGCTACTCAACCGGCGACGGCCGAGAGTTCACCCTCGGAAACGATCCCTGCTGGGGCTCAGTCCGAAAGTTCAAGTGCAAGGCCAAGTTCAGCGGCGATCCTGAGTCCTGCGAGGTCAAGGACAAGGACGGCAACAGCCTTGGAACGGGAGAGGGAAAGACTGACACTACCTTCATTGGCATCGCCATTGCTCAGGATAGTGCCTGTGTTGTTGAGTTCAACACTGAGGATGGCGAGGACTGCCCTGCCGATGAGGAGAACAACCTCGGAGTCACAGAGGGTTAAAGTAGAGGAAGCTGGATGGATTGGGTGGATGGTTACCAAATGAAAGCGTGAATCTTGTCTTTACTAGATGGATGTCAATGAAATTTCCCTATTATTACAAATTTAAATCATGAGAGTTTACATAAAGCCGGCCCCTGCATATGATTTGTAGAATAATGTTTAATCCCGGAAAATTGAGCCATAAGGAATTATAGTGGTTTGGTTACCCCGGTGGTGAATTTCAGTAACGTCCCTTGTTTACACACTTGGTCGCTATTAAAAACTTTAAAACACCGTACATCCCCCTTCGTTTTCCAAGAGAAATAATGTTTAACTCAGTGCCTGAAACGGCCTTACCTAATCAACAAGGATATTGCTGACACCCCTAATTTACTTTGGGGCAGATGCGGGTCGGAGATAAAACCTGTTCTAACCTGAGAAAAGAAGACTGCAGTCGTTAACGTCATGTCTGAATACCATCAAACGGCCGAGCCCCAGGGCGGCGCCTCTCCCATCCAAGTATCGTCCGCTTCGGCAAACAACCCTGTTCAGATCATTTTGACCCCCCCTACGCCCATCGTCCCCACAGGCGGCCTTGGCTTGCGCGGGGAAGACACTCATAAGGAGGTTCACCGCCTGCCTGATGTGTCTGAGGAGAAGCAGGTTGTCGAGAAGACGGATTATTCTAATGAGAAGCAAGTCTTTAATGTGAATGCTGATCATGATGAGAAGGAGGTTTATATCCCTGGAGAGGGGAAGGAGGTTTATGACCATGGGCTGGAGAAGGAGGTGCATAACCTGAATCTTCACGATGGACATGATGAGAAACAGTTTTATGATCCCAACAACCAGACTTCTCATGTGCATCATGTTCACCCACCCGAGAAAGAGGTCGTCCTTCCAGCCTATCAAAATGGCGACCCCGAGAAAGAACTATATAACCCAAACCATTCTGCTCATTCGCTGCCAACGCAGAATACCGTTGGGGACACCAACGCCATGGCGATGCAAAAGTACAACAGCAACTCTCGTAACCAAAGAGACAGCGTCTCAACCCAATCCACCGAAACGTCAGAATCTCAGAGCATCCGCACACGCTATTACCAGCGCCACGTGAACAAGCTCAACCAAGCCGTGGATAAGAAGAAGAAGGCCTGGACTACATTTACCAACCAATCCAGCACGTCCATAACAGAAAAGTACAACCAGATGGACAAGGACTTCAAGGATCGTCGCATGGCTTTTGAGAACGACACCACGGCCAAGATGAGTCAGATTGATAAGAGTATCAGCGATAGTGTTGATCGTGCGGGGCAGAATGTCAATACCAAGGTTGCGAATTTTAGGCAGAGTATGGTAAATGCTAGGAGCCAGAGTATTAGTAGTGTTAGGAGCTTGGGCTCGAAATGTCAGATTGGTGGGAAGGAAGGCAAGGAAGAGGTGAAGGGAGACAAGCCGGTGTAATCTAGCTGTTGATATTCAGATTCAGCTGTTGATGTTTGGAGTTCATAATGTATTTCCTTTCGGTGTTCGATCTTATTTGGTTTTGCTCTGACTAGAGCTGGTGCCAAACATAGAAATTTCATTGCACTTAGTACCACTCGAGTCCATCATGCTTTCCATCTAACTTCCCATCCTTCTCCAACTGGACCACAGCTTCTTTGGTCCTTTGAGTCATAAGCTTGGGATACTCGGGCGACGTGACAGGTGGTGCAGGTAGCGATGAATCCTGACGGACCCAAGCTACTCCGCGGGCCCCATCGACAGCTTTGACAGCATCACGCAGGACAGCGATATCCGATTCCTCAAAAGCACCCCCGAGAACAACAGCACGAGGGACCTGCTCATAATTTCCTGAACCAATGGTGCTGCTATCGGGATGCGACGAAGGAGCCTTCCCGCTGAGGAGGTCTGGGATTATGATTTTGCCTGACTCTCCAGGTAGAATGAAGTGCACAACTGTTGATGTTAGCTCTAGACTTAGCATCAGGTGATGGGTTTTTCAACCTTCAATCTCGGGTTTCAGAGCCTCAATAACTCTTTGGCCAATGAATTCCGTCTTTCCGCAGAGGATTATAGGGATTGGAGTTGGTTCAGGCATGGTAAGTACTTGTGATGATTCTTGTCAAGAGTAAGCACAGCGTAAAATTGTCAATTTGTTGCCAAGATATCAGACTTTGGCTCTAAATTCTTACATAACGTGATCAAAATGAGGGGTAGAAAAATCACTATCTGGGTATGAATCAATTGACAATTTTTATTTTTCTCAAGTTACGTTCATCATGATCTTAAGTCTGGGTCATGAATACTCTGGGTTGGCCATTGTCTACATATGAAAATGTCTCCATGATCCAAATCGCGATGCTGAATCAATCTCAGGTCAATTACACAACCCTCCGAGCTTGAAAGGAAGCGAGATAATCTGACATTATATTATGTGACAGCAGGAGGTTCGAGCACAAAGTTGGGAAGATGTGAATATGAGCCCCTACCCTATTGTTGCGCGGGTCAATGATGATCGTCGCGCTCTAATCAGCACAATTTGAGACACGTGCCATCATGGCTGAGAAGCGACAAGGGGCTATGAGCTATCACAAGGATGATCAGCCAGAAAACACGTGCATATCGCATCATTTAGGTCAGATGCAAGGGTCCCAGCTAATCGCAGCTCGCTGGTAAGTTCCGACTTGTGCTGCCTGTCTTTTTCCGTTCTAGCGGCAAGGAAATGTCCAATTCTTCGTCGGGAGTAGAACGTCCCGGCCGTGCGTAGTGGGAAACGCCCAAAGGAAACAAGTAGAGTCAAAGCGTGCATGGATCAACGGTGAGTCTAAAAGTGATTGACACGCGAGTACGGACGCAATGTGGGAATGCCTTTGGCTGGAATGTCACAAATTCTACGGAGTTGGCGCCCGTTGAAGATGGCCAGAATCATTATCCGGCTTTTGAGTCTAGATTGAGACGGTTCGTCCAAGCGAGGTCTAACTTTGACGGCACGTTGGAGCTTTTCGTTATTAGCGTTTCGTCTAAGCGTAGCATTCAACAGTAATGCATCAGCGCCAGCGCCAGCGCGACTTGGGTTGTGGTGTTTAGCGCTCTTGGGAAAATATGATAGCGCTAACAATTCAACGAACACGGAATTCTAGTGGGACTACGTCATGCTCTAGGTGCTAGGGACCCCTTTAATGATCAGTATGATGGGCTGTCAGTTGGACTAGCTTGCGAGTGGCTGACGACAGGGACCTTATACGAGTCGTGGCACAGCAGCCAGTGGGAATCAGCAGCTGGAGATATCCGGTAGATCAGGGCAGCAGCAATCAGCAATCATATCTGAGTTCCAGCGATGCGATTTCCTGCATCGTGATCTGCCAGGGCAAAGGAGAGCTACCACCGTAGGACATATCACAAATGGCGACCTCTGCCCCTGTAAGTAATGTAACCATGCCGGTAGCCAAGACGCTTTTCATGTCAGGAACACACTAGCGTTCGCTAACTGCCGCAAGGGCGACAGGGATGACGCACAAGATCACGATCCCAGAGCATCTCCTCCATCACGACGATCGGGCCCTGAGCGCAGCAGGCACAGATCTAATACCGGAGTTTCTTTATTGGACGGGGGAGTGCCGGATCGTTGGGACGTTTAATCTCGCAATCCACTGATGGGCGGTATTTCCCCAGAAGGTTCAATGGTGAATTTGCGGCCAGGGCGAGCAAATTGCTTGAATGGGGATAGGACCTTTTCGTCCTCTTCTTTTTTCTCACTCCTGCATGGAGTAAGGGAGGGGAGAAACGAAACAAAAAGGAACAGGGTGCCACCATAGCGTAAAGGGAGCCAATTAATACAATCGTCCATTGTCTATCTTGCTTTTCCTTCTGAGTCGTCATCCCGCCCTTGCTGCCGACCGTGTCATCGATTTCTCCTAGCCACCTGCTACCCGTGAATCAAAGACATTGTCATTCCCGGGCACGATCCACCCCCAGGAAAGAAAAATGCAGACAAAACATCTTAATCTTGTCGAAGACGACATGGACTCTCTACCGCCGCCCATCCCCCTCAGATCGCAAACACCACGACGACAACTTGCAATGAAGGCTAGGTATGCTTTTTGGGGAAAAGAATTGCCAATTGAACAATTATTAACTAACGGTTCAGTTTTGAAACGCAGGATTTAGGTGACGGAATGGGCAACTTCGACGTCGGACTACTGCAACAGCCCCGGTCCCAGTCCCACGCCCGACATCATCGCAATCAACACTACGACCAACATCACAACCAAAACCACAATCACATCCAAGCGCAAGCTCAATACCAAGAACCACCACAATCACCGCAGCAGCAATCCCGCTCACAAGCGCAAACTCCTGCTCCCGTCCCCGCACCGCCATCATCCGTAGACTCTGGGAGCATCATGTCGTACCGATCCCGCGAGTCGCAACCATGGTCGCAAAGAGACAGGGACGCCTCTTCCATGTCCTCCGTCTTTGTCCCTACATATCTCCCCGCACTGCAAGCCAAAGGCGCTGGTACAGATCGCGACGGCCTCGAGCCCTTGACCGAGGAGGAATATGACCCCTCTTCGTTCGACCTCGTTGTGCCCGCGCATGCCATGGGCAAGCAGTACACCCTCGAGGCGCAATCCGAGCTGCTCTTTTCCGTGAAGCATCTCGCCGTGATCTTCGACGACCCCATGCTGTTGCAGCGCTTCACCAACTTTCTCTCTGCGTCGCGGCCCGGCTCGGTGCCGCTGCTAAAGTACTACCTCAACACGCTGAAAGCGCTCAAGGCGATCAATTACGCCAATTCTTTGACTGGCAACTTGAAGGGACTTGATGGGCATGAGTTTACGAAGGATCCTGTTACAGACACCGTCAATGATGCCCTGTGGAAGAGGGCGAATGATGCGTTCCAGGCCATGGCGAACCACGATCTGCCAGCGTACATCACCCACACTTACATCCAGACGGTGAGCATCACGATCAAGAGGAGAATAACAGATCAATTGGCGCCCCAATTGCGAGACCTGTCGGAGGGATTGGCAGAGGTGTTCTGTTTGACAGACCCGTCGCGACCCGACAACCCAATTGTCTTTGCAAGTGAAGGTGAGTCGAGCTCAATTGCAATATTTGCGCCAATGCTTACTTATAAACAGAGTTCCACCGCACAACACAGTACGGAATGGACTACGTCCTGGGCCGCAACTGTCGCTTCCTCCAGGGCCCGAAAACAAACCCCTTCAGTGTGCAGAGAATTCGAGATAAGCTCACCGCTGGTGTGGATCACTGCGAAACCTTCCTCAACTACCGCCGTGACGGATCCCCTTTTATGAACCTACTCATGGTCTCACCGCTATACGACTCACGAGGCGTGGTGCGATACCATCTCGGTGCGCAGGTCGATGTCTCTGGCCTCGTCACAGATTGCTCCGGTCTGGAGTCATTAGCAGCGCTCATCTCACGCGAGAACCCCGAACACGAACGCTACCCCGGTGAAACATCTCACAGAAAGCCGGACGAAGAAAAGGAGGAGTTCGTCGAGATGGCTGAGATGTTTGACCTCCTCGAACTCAAGACCGTGCGCGAGGTAGGCGGCGCATTCCACCGTACGCACCAGCAGGATGTTCGACAGACGGACACGGTACCTGCGAACTGGAACAAGCCGAGACTGGTTTTCCAGGATGACGCTACTATCAACCGCCGCCTATCGGATCCTATTCTCAACGAGACAGCTCTGTCAAGCTACAGCGGTCGTCTGAGCGGTATCTACAAGCACTACCTCCTCGTCCGCCCATACCCCAGCTTACGCATCCTCTTCGCCTCGCCATCCCTGCGCGTGCCCGGGATGCTACAGAGTTCTTTCCTGTCACGCATCGGCGGCTCAGACCGTGTCCGCGAGACACTCACGCAAGCCTTCGCAGGCGGCAACGGCCTCACAGCCAAGATCCGCTGGCTGTCCAAGTCTGACATGCAAACCAAGGCAAACACCGACGGCAGCCAGTCCGCCCCGTCAAACCCCGGACGTAACCGCTGGATCCACTGCACGCCGCTGCTGGGCTCGAACGGAGCTGTGGGTGTGTGGATGGTGGTCCTCATCGACGATGAGTCTGATGAAGCGTTTATCCGAGGGATGAGGCGTGAGGCTCCTGCTGTGCAGCCGTCGCCGAGATCAAAGTCGAGACTTGAGATGCAGGATGAAGATAACATGAGTTTGAGTAGCTTTGCGGCTGCGCATCGACGGTCATGAGATGGAGTTTTTGAGGTCAGGTGTCATATTGATAATGGTGGGAGAGGATGAGTAAAGGCTACAAGTCTGATGAGTATAGAATGTACGAGAGTTGAACTGTATAACCTTGGGCATAAATATTTATAGTTAATGATGCCTCTCTAAAATGTAGGAGCTAATAATGGAGATGAACATCAAGACTTGAAAATATGACTTGTGTGCACTGGTGATGGATGATGTCTCAAAATATTCAACTCATGATATTCTAGCCATCTGGCAAAACGCTTGACTTTCTCGGCCCGGGCCGCCACTCACTCATACATAGCTTAATGACCGGAGGTTATATCCAAGCCTGGCATACGTTAGTATCCACGGAATGATGTAGTATCCGGTCAGAGACATAAATCCTAGTGCAGAGGCCGTGCGCCTGAATAAAGTATCAAGATAGTTCACTCAATCTGAATCACTCAGTTAAATAAGCTACGTCAGTGACGCCAAGACACGGGTGTAGTTTCATTGGCTTTCTGCTACACTAGCTTACTGCCACATCACTGTTTGGAGACCTGAGATTGCGACATAACTCCCCCGCATGGCGACAAGGACGGTTGCAGTATTGTAAGAGATATCAGGCAGTATATAAGGTCCTCTATCTATCTAATTTCAAAAGTATCCAGACCTACGTCAACTTACTTTTTAGCTTACCACAATTTCACATCATCTACGAAACACTATGGGTTCTTCAATCACACCTGAATACGAAGCTGCAAACGAGCAGTTTGCTGCAACCTTCGACAAAGGAGATCTTGCACTACCACCCTCTCGGTATTGCCATCACATTCTAGCAGTATTAAATAAGCTAACAACTGCAAAGTCAAGTAGCTGTAGTGGCCTGTATGGACGCCCGTCTAGACCCAGCCTCAGTTCTCGGCATCGAGCTCGGTTCCGCCCATGTAATCCGCAACGCAGGCGGCCGCGCCGCAGATGCTCTCCGATCAATCATCATATCACAGCAACTCCTCGGCACCCGCGAGATAGTCATTGTCCACCATGTCAGTATCGCCTTTTTAGTTGTGAAAGGGACCCAGCTGACGATTTACAGACCGATTGCGGTATGCTCACCTTTTCCGACCTCGATCTCAAAACCAAGGTTCGCAAAGAGCTTGATCAAGACGTTGATCACATCGCATTTCTCCCCTTTGGAGACCTTGAGCAGAGTGTCCGTGATGATATTGCGTTTTTGAAGAAGAGTCCTTTGGTATTGGATGTTCCCGTCACTGGTTATGTCTACGATGTTAAGACGGGTAAGATCAACAAGGTCGAAGTATAGATGCAATTTGGAGTGATACCTGAAGTGGAGCGTTGGGTGGGTGGCGTTTTAGGGGAGATGCTGGGCAATTGGCACAAAGACGGAGATTTACAAGCCAGCGTCACTCGGGAGTGGTTTTGAATAAATGTTAAAATTGACGAAGGTATTTTTTTCAAGAAACAGTTTTTAAACATCATACGGACGTACAAGAAAACCAAGTTCCAATCGATTCTATCTTACAACTAGCCTCCGAAACGAGCGACCAAGGCTGTCCTGCCAAGCATTGCCATTAAATCTGATTAGCTGTCGGCGATCTTTCCTGATAGATAGGGTTAGAAGTAAACCCAAGATCCAAACTCTGCCAGTTCCACAGCATGGCAAGGTCTCCAAGCTCAGCATCAGAAATAGCCTGGAATCCCATGTCGACTGGTTGAGGTCCAGCAGTGAGATTCTGTATGTGAGACCGGTTGTTGATGTCCCCGTTCCATGATGGGGCACTGGTTACTGGAATATGATGCATCTGTTGCTGTGGGTAGGTATAATTGTGGAAGCCTGGGTCTGAGCCATTGTGGGGGTATGCCATGTAGGGCTGATGGTTGGCATTGGCTCCGTTGGGAATTACCGCAGCAGGGTCTGGGTACTGTTGGTATTGAGTTTGCTGAGACATCTCTCGCACAGGCTGAGCAGGAATCGAAGCTGCTGGTACTTGCGCAACAAGTGACGATTCTATGCTTTGCTGTGAAGAAGCTATCGCTGCAGGAGGGGTAGACCCCTGGTTTCCAGAGGGCGGGTCGAAGCGACGCTTCTTGCGACCATCGTCAGCCAGCATCGCAGATGCCGAAGGCAATTTCTTAATCAGCCTTCGCAAAACATCATACGGCGCTTTGGCTGTATTGGTAGCAGTCCTCAGCTTCTTCAACGTAGCAAATGCTCGACCGATAGCCTTCGTGACCTCTTGCCGGCGTGGCACGTTGTCGTCCTTGGCATGGATGATGACGGAGCAGAGAAGAGCTGCTGTGTCAAATATGCAGAACGGCACGAAGTGGAAAGTGGTGTCTCTGGTCCACACATATTCGAAGAACCGATGGACGGCGTCCATGAGACGAAGGGCGTAGTCAATGCCGGTCTGGCGAAACTCAAGATCAATGCTGGACGAAGACGCCTCGGTCATGGTTTTGGCCATGTAGCCTCTGAAAGGCCCCAAGGCGATGGAAAGAGTGCAGGTGTGCATATAGTGGCGATGCAAGGCAATCCATGGCAAGTCTTCGTTGGTTGGCGTGTTGGGGTGATCGAGGGCGTACTCGGGTGGGAAGGTCTTCATGAACTCTTCCAGAATGGCCTGGTAATCTCGGATATCTCCTGGATCCTGTAAAACACTGGGTGGGCCGAAGCGATTATAGATGAGACTGACCAGCTCAGACTGTAGCTTGAGATGCAGCATTGGTGAAGCCGGGTAGTCTTCTAGGGTTAGACTTGGGAGACCGACGTCGCATTCTGAGCGGTCGATGAGCATTGGTCTGGCCAGCAGTGATGAGACGAGCCTAGAGTGTGTAAGTATGGGAGTGTCCTAATGAAAGGCTGCTATCTTACCAGTCCCAGGAATCTACGATGCACCAAAGACGCCTCTTCATCTCTAATTCAAAGCCCGGTAGTTGTCCTGAAGGCTTCTTATGAAGGTCTACACAATCATCAGCGTGCAGTTCGCGACTTCATCATCGTGAAAAAACTTACCAATCATTTGAGCCTCTCGGACAACAGCCCCAAGGACCTGCCAGCACTCCGCGAACCGCGCCTCAGCTTTGAACCAGTAGCACGAATGCAGGAGATATTGCACTGTGTAAACATGTCCGTAGCCTACAGGGATAACGCTGTGAAGCTCCCTAGCAGCATCGTGATATCGCTGCGTGAGATCCTGGACAGAAACGCCCACTTCACTTTCAATCTTGCCGCCAAGCTGACTGTCGACATGCTGCACAGAGCATGCGCAGACCATCAGTAGCAGACAGGTCCATTGGACACCGCAGGGGCGATCTTTGGTGTAGTCATCCCACCAGCGGGCATACTCTTTGCTGAAATAGGGTGGGTAGACTATATAGTAGTAGAAGTTTACTACGTCGAGAAAACTCTGGATCAGGGAATCTGCGAAATGTGAGATGAGGCCGGTGAGGGCGATTGATTGCTCTTACCAACGATGTGTCGCGGCGGTAACACGTCTAAAGCCCGTTTGAGTTGAGGGCTGGTCTTTGGATCGAGGTAATATTGTTCAGAGGGTTTTGAACCTCCAGACTAAACCTGTCAACAGATGCATGTCAAGATAAAAGAGGGTAAAGAGGGTAAAGCTCACATCCTGATCAAGCTTGGTCAGCAAATGAAGACGACTATACCCAATCGCCTCCAAAACATCGCCAACATCATCATCGCTCTCTTCCTCGCTGCCTTTCATGTCGCGCTTCCTCTTGATATCCAGCGACGCGGCCCAAGCATCCTCTCCAGAACCCCCCTTGGAGTCGTCCCTGAAGCGGCACTGGTCAGCGACCTTTCGCTTCTGGCAATTGTTGCATGGCCACTGGCGGTTGCACTTCTGCTTGCGACGATGACACTCAGTGCATGCCGAGCGCAGGAGTGCATCTGGTTGGGCGATACCCTCGACCGAGGCCTTCCGAGATTCGTCGGGCATGGCGAATGGGAAGAAACGTGTGCAGAAGGATGGGGGGGGAGGTTTATGGTTTCTGGCGGGGCACCATGACATCTTTCCGGGTTTATTCAACTTTAATGTTTAGTGATCTAAGACCCGAGGAACTAAGCCCAGTTGGGTAAATGTTGCCGATCTGTCAGGGTTCAGCGGATGTGCCGATGCAATAATGTTTTTCCAGCAGAATGAGGCTGGAATGTCTCGGTTGACTCGTCGTATTTTGGACGATCATCGATAAATCTGAGACTCGACCTTGGCACCGGAGCTGAACTGAGAGGTGGGCGTAGGAAAGTGATGTGTAACAAAATGACCGATTTTCAGATATGTGACGAAATTGGATGAACCCTGACACACTAGCAAAGCGACAGGGACATGCCTGTCAAAAGAGAATAGGAATGCAAACCCTTGATTAGGTGGGGCTTTCAGATATGCATATTTGTTTTGTGCAGGGTCTTGTCGTTGAAACATCATACATGTAAGTCTAAGAAGTGTCAAATATTAGCCACCGCCAAGTACAACACGCACATAAAGAACCTTTTACTATGGAACAGAAATTGTAATTTGTTTGAATTATATGTTATTGCACGATGACTATTGAAATTAAGTGATTAGATACCTATGATCCTGCTGTTCCTAATCGTTGCCCGCCAAGTCAGGGTCAAGGATGCCACATACGCAGATAAAGAAGCCAAGGACCAGCGAATTGGAATCTCAGAAAATGAGCAACAGCAAGAATACAATAGACCCTAGTAGTTTCTAGAAGTGAATTGTTATCGCTGGGTCTCAGTGAGCAATCCCACCTCTCCTGCAAGACGCTTCGTAATAGAGTCTGGTTATTTTTTGCTTTGATGATGTCAAAACCACTACTCTTGCTCACTAGACTGGTCTGCATAAATGTCTTTTGATTCTGAATTATAAAACGTTTTTTTCATAGCTATTGTATTTTGACATTTCCCTAAGCAAAGAGTTCAGTTGGTATAGGGTAAACAGCCCCCCACTGCTAAGGGGTCATTGTTCATCAACTCATTAAATGTACTCCTTCTTTCTCTTCGACACATTTATCTAATCTTCCCAGTGGGGGACCAGGCGTGAAGGTGGATATTGGCATTGATATACTCGTTTTCTTTTATATGTAAATGCTAAATGTAGCTAAAGAATCCTTTGTAAGTTTCAATCCATTCTACGGTTACAAAGCTCTCACTAGGGACTTATAAAGATAAAGGAATGTCATATTAACAACCAAACAAATAACAAAGAGCTGGGATAGAACCTTGCAGTTTACCGAAAGCGCCCAAAACTCAACTCAACGCCTCCGTTACTTCACTAGCCTTCCATTGAGTCCGCCGTTACAAATCCCTTACCCAGCCAAAAGAATGTGGAGGTCCTTCACTGCCCAAGCCCTGTGGTAACCTCATCCAGCCTGTGTCAGCTGCCGGAACTCCCAACCACATCCACAATGTCTCTTCTCGAGCCCATCGTAGATTCTCTTCCTCAAGAGTTTTCTTCGCCTCAGTAACTCTGTCGAACCGCAATAGTTTAAGAGCATCCTCTGCTATCTCAAGCCATCTAGGTGGATCTGGTTCGTCCTCAGGATCATCTGTTTGATCGGTGACGATGCCATCAAATAGTGAGCTCGCCAATGTGTCATCACCCTTCCCTGCCCTATATCTAAGCATGGTAGCCAGATCAAGTCGTATCCAATAGACTGCCCTGTTATTTCGCTCACTACCAATCTCGATTAGGAAAGCCTCCAACATTCTGATCGATTGGTCAATGCTCCCATCTTCGAAGAGCAATAGAGCCCTGATATGCTTGACCTGACATGCACGAACAAAGTTTTGCTCCTGGTCGAGCTTTGCGTCTCTCTCGAGCTCTCCAATGAGTTCAGCCGCCTTGTCGTCTTTCCAAAAGTCTCTATATGTAATAGCCAAAACCAAGGCTGTGTCAAGGGTGAGGAAGTGAGAGATTGGCCAAAATCCACGACGAAAGTCCAGCGCTGGTTTGATATTATCAAGGGCTTTCTCCTTGACCTTGAGCTTGCGATATAAGTCCCCAGCAAAGACTTGTGTAGCAATACCAAAGGAATCCTCTGGCCCGTACTGCTCTTTGCGCTTATCGCGCACAAACTCCAGCATTTTAATGGCCTGCTCCATGTGACCAGCGGATGCATGGGCTACAGCGTACCATAACTGTCCAATGAGATATCCATTACTCTGAGGGCCAGTTGTGCGGATGAAGCCCGCCATTGCATCTGTCAGCGTACTCAAAGCGGTTGAGTACTTCATCATAAGATACTCGGCCTGTGCTTGGAAGACTTCCGTGAAGAAGGGGCTGGGATTGTCTTCATCAACAACCTTTCGCTGGTCCTTGGCCACTTCAGCATATAGCCTCTGGGCCTTTTGCAATTGCCCGTTGAAAAGAAACGTGTACGTTGCATCTGAGGCTCCTTGTAAAGCCAGAGGGTGACGCCGTCCCAGTAATTCTGACAGTCCCGTTGCAACGTCTTGACGGACATCAGCCATCTCGTTTATCCGGCCCTTATCGAAATAGTAAAACCCAAGGTGCATAAGGGTTAGCCACTGTAGAATTTTGTCGTCATTGTTGTCCTTGTATGATTTGTTGAGGTTGGTATATGGTAGCTCAAAGTAATTGTCTAAATCCAGTAAAGATCTATCACGAGTGGATAGGGTCTTCAACCAAACAGTCAAGGATATCTCTGTTGATCGAATGGCTTGGAAGTCACCGACGTCAGTGATCGAGTACTCAGACCAATGGGCAAACTGAGGAGCACGTAGAAATCTTCCCGCGAGCCTCAACAAGTCTGGGTCCGGGGACGATAATGCAGTCAGGTGAATATTCCAGTTGCGGGCAGCATATTCGTAGAAGCCGCTTTCCTTGCCATGGGCTGAACCACCACATCCAACGTTCCTCCTCAGAAGTTGGCCGATACGATCTTTTTGGGCATATTCAGCCTTGAGGAGGAAGTCCAAACACCTTCGAGCCAGAGTGGCATCAGGCTCTGATGCTGAGAACCCAACATCGGCAGTCTCTCCATTGAGAAGAAAGTCTCGAACGGAGGCATGGCTGAGTTGAGCGCTGCTGTCGATAACTTGAACCAAAGGTTGGCATAGTGTTGAGATAATGAATTGGACCGAATCTGGAAACAGCCCAAGAGCATCCTCCAACTCTCTGAGCTCAAACTGTCGACGAGCCCCTAGCAGAAGCAAGAGAACATTTCGGCAGTCTAATCTGTCCTTTTCATCGAGATGCTCCAATCCGTCCTTCCATGCTTTGGTATAGACACCCCAGCAGTCGTCCGGAAATTCAACCAGCGTCTTTTGAAATACTTCCATAACGCGGATCCTTGAGAGTTCCTTCAGCAGCAAGTTTACCCACAAGAAGGACCCGCGGGCACCAGACTTTGCACGAGAGGCCACCTGGAGTTGTATCTCTTTCGGTACTGAGAGCCTTGCCGCTGCTGAATCACAAAAGGCGGCAATTTCAGATCGTGTGTCTTCCTCCATGATTCTGATCTCATCTAATGGAACCTCAGAGGTGGTTCCTACACCTAGCAGGTGACTTGAACGTGAGAATATGATAATCTTCCCAGCGGTGGGACCCAGAACATCTGAAATATGCTTGAGAAACCCTTTCGCTTGCCGAGAGTGGTCCAAGCTGCACTCATCGAGTGCGTCAATGACCAGATAGAAATCACGCTCTTCAGTCAGGAGTGAAGTGCAAAGAGGCCACAGTTGCTCAAATGGACAATCTTCAAAGCGGGACTTGTACTGATTACATAAAGGAACTAGCTTCGTCAAGACGCGCTTCTGACAGTCGGTCACTGGATACGATGAAGGAAGAAGCTGACTGAGAATCGACACTGCTAGACTGGTTCTGCCTCGCTTCCGAGTGGACACGTTGCTTTGGAAGGCATGAGAGATGACGTTATGCTTTGTCTCAGACAGAGCGGTTCGAATTTGGTCCGCAAGGGCAGACTTCCCGCAGCCTATAAATCGATTAACTAGTGTCCTTAGACATTAAAATAGCCATTGGCTTACCTGCTTTCCCAACTATCCAAAGGAGCTTTGGGGAGTTATTCCCTAGCCATCCCTGGTACTTGGTATTGTCCTTAAACCATTGAGGGAGGGATCCCAGATCTGTAACTGCCAGGCTATCCGGCCGAGCAGCGATCGGATTCGCCAATGATTTGATGCAGGCGAGAATCTCACTAATGTTGAGATTCATGGTGAACTCTCCTGTCATGAACTTGTCAGCATTAGATCACAGGCCGTCCTTCGATAACGTTGCCGAGATGCATTGCAGAGTGCTACTACGTCCCAGCTATCCTGGACCCATCGGAGGTCGAATCGCATGGTACGATAACGTGCCGGCGTACATAAAACAACCAGAATTGTCTTACCTCTCTTTGATTCATAGATTGCTAGTGCTTCGACCATCTTTCGTCTCTCTTCTAGAATGAAGTAGCGGTCAGCTGTCAGATATCCAAATAGTCCTATACTCCTAATATAAAAGTCATCCCACTGGGATCGGACGTCTCCAAGGCTAGGTTGTTGTTTCAGGATACTATGACGATCCTTGGTGCCAGTGACATTTCATTTAGCCCCGCGTTTCGGTTGGATGAGGGAAATTCATTAGAAGCTGGTCAGAGTGGCGAGGCTGTAACCTAACGCCAGTCCCGTGACAGCGATCATTACTACCAATATGTAGACAAGGCTGCCCGGCCAAAACACAACATCACACAGGGCATTCCTTGAATGCATTGAACCTTGATCCGTGTATGATAATAATCCGTACTTACCTGCAGGCGCAGGGGCGTTTGGTGTGCTAACAAAATTGAGAATCTTCTTGTTCGTTCGCTTATCTAAACAGCCAGTTAGGGAGAAACACAAAGTTTATTCGCTGTGAAAAAACACACTATCTTCAATGCCTATCCAGACGCAACGTGTCAGCTTATTATCAGGGCAAACTGATCTCCCTTATCAATGAAGTGGTATAGAACATACTCTCCCATTGTGCCGTCTTGTCAAATACATCCGCTGCCTCTCGTAGTTTGGTGAGTTTTGTCGCAAATTTGTCTTTCGCGCTGGTGTAGACCGATTCGCCTACCCTAGCTATGGTTATATTCAAAGTCAGCTATCGAATGTGTGGTCTTGAGGCTCGTGGTGTCGCATAAATCATGAGTATAAAAAGCACGACTCACCCAATAACCTTTTTTGAAATCGCTTAGTCGCACACTGTAAAAAGTCAAGGACTTGGACGTATAACTGAACAAGGGCCTCTTTGACACTCTCAAGATCGCCGAAGCACTGTGCCATTCTGGACCATCGTCCCGTATGTTGCACGACCAAGAATATGCCGTCTACCGTAATATCCGTTGCCTTTTCGCTGTCCACGATAACCTGCATCGTGTTACTATCGCTTCTGTAGCACATGTGTAAACACCAATTATTTAGGAGTCCAGGATACCTGTAGCAGAAATCGTATCGGTCCCCAGATAAGAGCAGTGGTTTTGGGCTCTTGTTGGATGCACACGTCAATGACCTGCGCATTCCTGTCGAGGCATGATACTATCTTATAGAAGGTCTCTCCGAATTTGCCTCTACTCTCTACTGAATTAGAATGTGCTGCTTGAGCCAGTTTAATGAGATCCTGAACACTTTCAACTTTAGCTGATGGCGTAGTACCGACTGAGTTACTCGTCAAATTGTTGCCTTCAAGCTTTTTGGATTTCTTTTTGCGCTTCTTCTCCGTCTTTCGAATTATGTCGAGTCTCTGTAATCCTCACGGGGATTAATAATGTCATAATCAGGATGATAGCAACGCCAAGTGCTGTGATGCATTCCTACGTAAGACATGAGATGTAACTGACCTGGATCGCTATTTCCCAACATTCAACATCCTTCTCAAAGAACTTCTCAAGCTGCTCTCCTGAAGGAGGCGTTTTGTCGTCCATAGTGGATTGCTACGTGATGTTTGCCGTACGAATGCCACGATTAATATCTAACACAGTTTGTAGGCAAGTTTCTCCCGCAAACAGCTTGTGCCCAATACTACATTTCTAGGCTTGCAGTCAAATTTCAGAATTCTCCATATACGTAGTTTGTGGTCGCCTGCATATTCTGTGCCCCTCAACATACAGAACACAAGTCGCGCGACTCCCAGGCAGCTTCTGAAAGGGCTGTCACAAGCATATTCGCAGCTGACCGTGTATGCACTTTGGGTGCAACGCGAGTCTCACTCATATCCTAATGACGCCTGGAATGATGTGTGACACACCGTCATAGAAGTTCTCTGGTAAGCGCTCCGTACAAGACAACTTTAAAACCTGTTTATCCCTAAGATAGTATTCCAGCTGTATGGTTTATCACTCTCTGAAAGTCCGAACTATGAAACATAGTTTTGATACTTTCACTTCCTCTCCCTTCGAGGAAAAAAAGATAAAAAATAAGTGAAAAAACGCTTGGTGCAATGATGGATATTCTGTGCCACCCACACTAGTTGACACTGAGTGCACAAATTCCAATCAGGCTGTTGAGGCTGCATCCTTCTGAGACCTCCATTTCCGTGGTGGTATGACAGTGCGGGCCTCAGAATTGCCTGATTTCCTGTCTCACCTCGTCAGCCTCACTTTATTTTTCCCCTCACGTTGCTGTAGCACCATCTTGGGAGCCTCAATCTATAGCCAGTTAAAACACTAACCTTGGGTATGATTGTAGCTGAGGCAGGTGGCGGTGAACGATTGTAAAACACGTAGTTATTACAAAACCAGGCTGAGACTGGTGTTTGACTGCCAAACTGCGATGCATCGAGACAAAGCAAAGAAAATAAGGCGAGTAATTATCAAGCGGTCAGAGAAAATCAATTGCAAGCATCATTGCCTCACATGGGCAATTCGCTAGTATTGCGCTTATACTGATATTTGCTCCATTAATCCTGTAATAAAGAATTGAAGAAAGAAAAAAGAAAGCCGAAAGAATAAACCAGTAGATTCCAAACACGTAATTGCCTCGACCACCAATCTGCTTCCTCATCGTCTACCACTTCGTCTCATCTGTGCACGGATTCTAGAGCTTGTGGCCTGTGCTTCTTCAGCGACTGCTTCCTGGTCCTCCTCATACTCGTACCGTTCATCGGGATTGGACTGTCTGTACGAATTATCGTCCAGCCTCACGTTACCCATCCTTGCTGAAAGCTCTTGGGAGTCAATTTCAGTCCTATATGAGGCAGGGTTGACTACCTGTGCGGTGCTAGAGCTTCCGTAGTAAGGAGCGTAGGGAGGATATTCCGAATATGCTACTTGCTGCCCATATGGAGCAGCCTGCGCATAAGGAGAAGTTTGTCCAAATGGAGATTGTTGCCCGTATGGCTCCTGTCGTCCAGGATACTGTTGGCCTTCCGGCTCTCTGTCAGAGCGTTGCCCCGGCGGTGACTGTTCATACGAATATCGTTGTACATATGTCTGCGGTTGTCTCGGTGAAGTCTGTCGGCCATACGATGGCCGTCCTTGATATTCCTGCTCATCTGGTTCCTCCCCATATAAGCGCTGCTGTACCGCTGGCTGCTGTGTGTATGGATATGGCTGACCATATGAATCAACCTGTTGATATGGTGACTGGCGAGTCCGCGAAGTGTTGCTGGTAACAGACGAGCCATATGTGGGAGGCGGAGATCCCCCATATTGACTTGACTGCTGATCATAAGAAGAGTCGTATCTCGGTTGATAAGAGCTATATGTTTCGCTGCTACCCACCAAGGCTCCTGCTGACGGCAAAGGAGCTCCAGTGTACTGAGCCGACTCTTCCTCTTCTTCTGGCTGTTCAAGACTTGCATCATACCTTGTAGGTGGCCTATCAGTTCTCAACCTTCTGTGCCGGGAAGAATCAGTTTGGCTAGATGCACCGCTCTGCCGACGTGAAGACGTCCTTCGCCCTGAAGCACTGCTACTATAGTCCTCTTGCTGCTCGCTTTGTTCCCGTTGCCCTGGTCTTTCGGTTCTAGGTCTTCTATGCCTCGATGAGACTGTCGAGGACGGCCCAGCGTCGTTATTTGCGCTACTTTGCAAGCGAGACGATGACGGGCGAGCAGAGGGACTGCCTCTGTATTCACTTTGTTGTCGACGATCCCCCCGATCGCTGGGCCATGGGATATCTGATGCTGTTTCACCTCGTTGCTGCGACCGATAGTGATTCGACGGACACCCTTCATGTTGTCGTTCACGAGGCACGGCTAGTCCATTTGTAACATCGCCACCTGGTATCCAAATCGCATGACGTCTACAAAAGTAGCCGTTTCCGCATGCGCATTGAACATTTCCCCATTGCTGATACTCTCTCCACCAGGCGGCATGATCTTCTTCATCCCTGGGATCTGGCTCTGGCCTTGGGGGCACTCTCACTTGAGGAAATCTGTCACAGGCATTCGCTGCACTGATGGCACGACAGCCTGGGGCTCCACACACTGTTGCGGATGGTTAGATGCTTTCGTGAAAGTGGTCCAGATAAACAAGTTTCAGATTTCAACTTACTTTTCTATTCGATATAGTGTCAGCTTTCCAGACTGGAGTTTGTTGGTTGGTTGTCGTGTATGATGGTGGGGATCGTGAACCCTTGAGGGCCTTGTCTTTCAATATGCGAGACTACTACCAAACGCAAAGTCGGGGGGAAACGCGTGATTCAATATGCCGAAAGTAATTTTATCAATCTGCTCTTGATATTTGGTAGTTTAACTGATAATATGAAAGGTAGTGGCCCAGCAAACCCTTCACGTGGGCAGGATGGGTTGCACACCATTTTATGTCGCCACCAACGCACCTGAACCTCAAGTGCTGATGGAGGCAGCCCCGATCGGGTTGCCTTGCAGCTTCCAGGCGCGTAGGCAATTGTGAATGAGACAATGAACTGATGCCCAACCCAAGGGAAACTCCACCGGCTAATTTCCGTTGCCTTGGGCTTTCGCTGGCAGCTACTTTTTACATCTGCGCCCGATAGCACTCGCAAGGCAACTACTTAGCCGCCCATATTCTCATAGGCTGGTCCTGTTAATGAGGCTCTGTAAAAGTACGTGTGAGGTATTTAATTCCCGCATTTTGGATCAGGCTGCGGATGTCTTTCATGCTTGACTGCCACTCGACGCAGGAGGGGCACAGCTGATCATGCATCCTCTCATTCCTTGTTAGGCCTGCTTTCCGGAATTTTCATATTATATCAAGGGAGTCACTGTGCAACAAACACTCGGCCGTCCAACCGGCGTTTAACATTCCACCTCGGCAACTTAGGTGACCATGGACAGCATCGTGACCTTTAAATGATAGCATTGTCCACAGGCTCTACCCAATCACTATATTTCTGTTCCAACACTTTACAGGTACCTATTTCCATTGATATCGGTATGCTGCATTATGAATGATTAGGTTCATAATTGGACGACCTTTTCTTCTTCCTTACCTTCTCTTACACCATCGGCAATCACATAATTCAAGAAAAGAATATGCCTGGTTCTGCACGCTGAATGGCAACTTTAATTACATAGTTTGCCCAAAAGATTTCAATGCTTAACTCGACGACATTATTGGAAAGTATTAATCTACTTCGGGTATACTGGAGATCAATGATTCGATAACCTTATTTGACACCTCGGCGAGAAATGCTTGAACCCTTCTGCTCCATATCTTAAGAACGAGAAGTGACTGGTTACTACTGATATCACTTCCCTACCATCCCTGCATACCGCGCCTTCTCTACGACAGGAGGTTTTTGGGGTTAACGAAAAGGGAGTTGCGACATCTGACATCTTCGACATGACACTAGCTTTGCTTCTATCAAATTGCGCCGTTCTCTCGCCTCCTATCATGCTTGGGTAGTAACATTTTTATTATTATTGCTGATTCGAGTACCTCGAGGGTGCGAGTATGTATCGCAACCGACATTCTCAACGAACCTAATGAGCTATCTTTTGCACTGATCCAATATACATTCTACTTGAATGCATTCACATTCGGGGACTTATCGCTTTGGCCTTTCGTCTTTGGTTAACAAATTTTATCCTGAAGAAGTGAAGAACATTGTCGACAAGTACATCGAAGTTGTAAATAAACTCGATCAGCACGTTCACTATTCAGGTGTATGTATACGCAAGCCGCTCTCAATGGGCTTTTAGGGAGGGACCCAGACTGTCATTTCAATGCGCTTCAGAATCCAAAGAACATCCCAGTAACTACTATTTAAAACAAGTAACATGTTGATTTATATATTCAAAAGACTTAGCCTACTGCGCAGAAGACGTATTACTCTTAGTATTCCTAGGCAGATACAATCAATACATATCTTACTAGTTATGTCAGCGGATCGACGTTTGTATTACTATGTTGAGCCTGGAAGCCCACTATCAAATATAGCAACCGTGATTGGGAGACGTGGCAACTAACGGTGACGAATCGCCGATTGTCACCATTTTTTTTACCCGTCTTGCCGCACTCACCCAATTCATCTCCCTATCATTACATTATGCAGTCCCAGATATCAGCCTCTCCTCAATTCCAATCTCTTGCTCATAGGGGAGCTCCTTCGGGAGCCCCCGCATCGACTCTCCCGCGATTCCGTAGACTGCTCCCCGCTTCGGAGCAAAATCCCGAAAGCGCCAGTAGTAGATCGGCATCTGCCTCTGAAACCGGACTATTATCTCCTGGTACTCGCGCTCCTATGACAAAGACAGCCTGTGAACGATGTCGTAAGCGCAAGATTAAAGTATGTATATGTGCAAATATATATATCAATGTACTAACATGGTTTGCTCAGTGCGGTGGGGAGCGTCCCACCTGCAAGTCTTGTCTAAGGAAAGGTTTTGAATGTGATTACCAGACCGATCAATTTCTGTCAGTCCGGAAGCGCAAACACGACGAAACAGAGGAAAAGGCTGGTAGTTTCGAACAACTCTACCATCTCTTGAGATGTTTGCCAGAGCAAGATTCACAAGGTATCCTCCAGAGACTTCGTCAGGGCGCCGACGTCGGCACAATGATAAGACAGGTGAAGGATGGTAACCTGATCCTAAAGCTGGCGTGGGCACCAGATGCTCAGCTGCATCACGACTTTCCTCATTTTAACTCGATGCCAGCAGCTTTACTCTCGCCAGGAGTCGGCTCGCCACAATTCCAGCAAACTAAGCCCCAAGCTGTACCGCAAGCGCGCCGCAGACAAACTGAATTAATAGACCCTAATTTACCAGATATCCAAGTCTCTAGGTGGACAGAAGTTGAAAAAGACGACGAACTACTACGAACACTACTGCGAAGCTATTTCCTCCATGATTACGCAAACTACACCTGTTTTCAGAAGGACATCTTCTTATGTGCAATGAAAGACGAGGATCCTCGGTTCTGTTCTGCCTTGCTGGTCAACGCTGTCCTAGCTCAAGCATGTGTAGGTACCCAAAACAAATTGAGAAATAGTCTCGCTAAGTAATCTTTAGCATAGCTACCGTGGAGCTACACATCGTGCCCAATTCCGAATACCGGAGACTCTTGGCCACAGGTTTCTTACCGAAGCAGAACGGCTCTGGAAGTTAGAAAGCGGCAGGAGCTCACTCACTACGTTGCATGCTGCAATGGTGTTACATATTATCTACACCATCAACGGAAGAGACGAGGTCGGTATATCATACCTGCTTCAGTCGGTGCAAATGGCACAGGATCTGCAGCTTTTCACAACGGAAGAAACAGAAGGGACAACAAGAACAGCCCGGGTATTCACCGCTTGGGCTCTATATCGCTGGCAATCGTGCGTTTTTATTCCCCATCCTTCCTTTATCTCACGCATGAACTGATCAACGACGTGTAGAATGCAGGGTCTTCATTGCTCTAGAGCTCCTCTGATACGGGAACCTCCAGCAACTCCAATGCCGGAGCCCAGCCAAGACGGTCAAGACTCATGGTACGGCGAGCTTTGGTTAAGACAACCTCCTAGTTCGACTACCATCCCAATGCACTTTGGACACGTCTTTCGAGCTCAAACGGAACTACGTCGTATTGCCAATGAAATCGCCTGTATACGATTCGGGGACGAAGAAACCGCTCGCGGCTTAACAGAGAATGAGCTCGCTCAGTTTCGCAACGCGCTTGACAATTGGTACAATGCTGTCCCAGACCCTATCAAATCACACAACGCGTCGCTGCCGTGCCAGCTTATCATGCAGTAAGTTCCAAACTGGCAATGAACGTTTACTGTGAATCTTGAGTTGATATGTTGTAGTATGGAGTATTGTATCCTTCTCTTTAAAGTCGCCCAGATGGTTTCAGATGGGCCGACGACACGCCCACAAGCTAGCCCAGAAACAGCCAATGACAAAAGCCAACCGAGTAGAGGCGTAGCGTACGCTTTGAGATGTCTCGAGACCGTCCTCCGTGTCTATTATCTCCGTTGGAGTTTCGAGCATACTGACACCTTCTTGACCTACTTCCTGTCCATTCTAGCAGACATGACAATCGAGAGCATAAACAGCGCCTCCATATCCCCGAACGACGAGGAAACTCTCAAGATCCTTCGTGCAACACTCATCCTCTGTGTTAAAGGCCTTTATGACCAAGGCCAACACATTTTCGTCTCGTCTATCATATGTCGACTGATGCAAGACCGTATGACGGATCAAGACATGAATGAGTTGCGACGGTGCACCACATGGGGAGATAATCAGCCACTAGTTTCTCAATACGCCGGGGTTACGTTTCCAGTGAACATATTAAAGATGAAGCCCGATGAGGGTTCGAAGATGGAAACTATAGAGAACCTGGCCAAGAAGTATAACCAATTGGCACTGGAGGCGACAGAAAATAAGAAGGCGACCTTTCAAGAATCGATAGTATCTGTAAGTCCGAGAGCTGCTTGATTGACAACGGTGGAGAAATTAGACGGATTATTCATCTCTTGGAGAGTGTGGCCAACTGATTTCTCGTGTTAACGCCATCCACTCTGATGGCGCCAAGGTGCCACGAATTGATTCTCATACGTCTGTTATATCCTAGAATGATATCGTTCTTGCATCCACTTAAGACTCCACACTATCACATCCTAATGACCACTTACCTGTTTAATGATATCTTCTCGTCTAAGATAGAACATTTTTGGATTTTTAACATTTATAGTATTACTAAACTTGATATTGTCGACCATTTAGCTTACAAGTGTTAAAAAGAAAGGAAACGAATTTGGGTTACACGACCAGCTTAGCTAGCAGTAGACAAAAAACATACAACACCGGGGATTCGCTGGTCGTCACCGACCCAACTACTAATCCAGCGCTTCGCAGCTTGACTATGGGAGAGCGGACGGGATCCCGTATTTTCTACGAGCTTTGGTCGTATGTGCTTGTGTTGATGCAATCCAAGCTTATATCCCAGCCCTTGGTGGTTGGATGTGGTGAGGCGGGTTGGTTGCTGCACCTTTTACAGGGGTATTTGTACGGACATGGTATCGATACAGAAGGGAAATGTATATATAAAAGGTGTAACTAGACCATATACTTAGCTCAGCTGGGTTAGACTCAATTGGCCTGATTGTGAAATTGCTAGGAGTGTTAAGTCGGACAGCTTATTTGGTCCGAGAGCGGCCCAGATGCGGCACAATGCGGCATCCATACAACAATAGTACAACATTAGTAAGTCTCCGACGGAAATCTCAGTAATCAGATTGTGGTCAAGCTGAATTAAGATCACTAAGAACCAGATGGTCGCCGTCTTTTCTCACGGGCCATGCCAAGAGCGTGACAGACTAGGCCCGCGCCTTTGAGACCACAGGCTGTACAGGCCAATGAGGGAAATTGAGGTCTTTGGTAAAGCTGAGGATAAGCGTTCTCCCACGACGTCTAGGGTTAGATGGCTGAGTTTAGGTCGCCATGGGGATTATGGAAGAAATCACATGATTTCGGGCTCCAGTCGCGCCGCCAAGTGAAGTCAAATATGGCGCCTACGTTCAATCAAGTGGCAGAGTTCTCATCTATAAGACTAATACTTCGAGCTTGTCAAGACCAATACAGTTTGCAACTTTACTCTACAGCCTCCTCTTGAACTAACTCCTTCAGATCGTAAACAGAAAAAGGTTGAGAAAGCTTATACAGTACAACACGAGATGGGAATCACTCGATTCATCGGCGTACTCTTGCCATTCACACTCGCCATCGTATCGACCATCTTCGTCCTCGTCCCTGCCCTCGCAGGTGTCACCGACAAATCCCCCTACATATTCCAACTCAACGTTGAGAATCTCAGCATTAGCCCCGCCAGCGATTTGATCGAAAGGCTTGACCTCCGTGCCGAGATAATCAGCAAGAACATCACAGCCGATGTGCTGGGCCTCGACAAAACTTACGATATCACCCTCTGGGGCTACTGCCACACCGACAAAGATGGCAAGCGAGAGTGCTCACAACCAAAGTTCGATTGGGTCAGAAAGAAGATGACGAATGAGTACCTTGAGGATGCGGATAAGAGCGTCAAGATCAAGGTCCCGAGAGAGATCAAGACTGCCATCACAGCTTTTGGAGGCATCACAAGAGCGGCCGAAGTCGCCTTTATCGTTGCCCTACTTGAGCTAGCTATCCAAGTTGCTCTTGGTATTTTCGCAGTCTGCTCTCGCGAGCTCACATGCTGGACGTGGATGATCTCTGGTCTTGCCTCTGCTTCTGTCCTTGCACCCGCCATTCTTGCAACCATCATGGCATCTATCTCGATCGGCGCCGTGGAGAGTACCGCAAAATTGTATGGCGTCAGGGGAGAGATCAATGTTGTCTTCCTCGCCATCATCTGGATTGCTGTCATCTTGGCCATTGCTGCCAATATGCTCTGGATACTGCCTACGCTCTGTTGCAAGCCCAAGCGGCGAATATCTGAGGATAAGAGATTGCTCGATCGAGGCTCTCAGTTCGGTGCCTACACCCCTATTGATGAAGGGCACGAGATGCAGCCCACCTCTTATAATCGTGTCCTGGCCCCATCTCTATCTGCCGATGCTCGTGCAGATATGGCTTACGAAACCTACACTCACCAGGTTTAGTCAACATAGTTGGTCAACTTCCGCGAGTTCTGGGTTCAAGCAATACTTATATCAGTATGAGTTGAATTAGATTTGTACGGGGTCCCAAGTGGCGAGTAAATCGGTATTTAAGATACTATTATAGTATCCCGCAATTCCTACAGTCACATTAAAGCATTTTAAAAGAATCATTTTCGGTTATGCGTGTATACTGTTAACTTAGACTTTATTACCTTGTGGTCCGATCTCCTTCTGGCCTCGGGTCATAATAATCTATTTAGGATAAGTAAGCTACTTATAGGGACTTTTCTATACTTTTAGTATAAATCACTTACAAGCGCCGGAATTGGGGTTGATACTCAAGTTATGCAGCAACACACTGGGTTATGACAGCGTGCACGAATATCTCACCATCTACGGGATTCGGAGTGACCGGCAACTAAACCGATCATCTGACTCATCTTTATTCTTCCAGATTTTTGATAAATACAACTGGTGTTGATTATCAGCTGGTTGCCTTGGCAGTTATAGCTGATGGACTGCAGGAGCGCCTATTGCCAATTGTTACCCAACTAATTTCTGCGCGGAGATGAACGCGAAAGATCTTTATGACAATCACCACCTTTGTCTTGTTCATTATTGCCAGCGTTTAATCCATAATAGCTTGTGAACTTTCTAGTTGCCTGCCCCTTGTTGTTGAGTAGTCGTATCACATAAGTATGTTGCAACACATACTAGCACATCTAGATATTGAATGCTTCGCTACAGCAATGAAGCGACATAACCTTTTACTATGTAAGGTTTGAATAAAGAAAATGAATTGACAGGAAACTTAGTAAGACTCATCCACCTGAACATGTTCCTCACGAGATATTTCCTTCGAAAGCGCAGCACATCTCGCACTCGTTGTGAATAGCACCTTGAATCCACTTTTTCGAAGACATTGGACAAGCTCACATAAGAGCTTTTCTGTGTCTCGAGAATCGAGCCAATGCATTCCATCGATCACGCACAACATGCCCGGGGCCGAGAGCTCAACGGCTGTTGTCAAAGCAGAAAGCGCTTGGTTCCATGTTCGCGTCGTTCCATCCAATTCAGAGATCTTGTTCCGTATTTGATCGATGGCATAATTTACTCTTGCATCTGTCATCTGAGGTAGGTCCATATCAGTAAGAAGCTGTTGGAGCAGTGCATAAATTAGAGCCACCGCGCCTTGGGCCTCTCTCGAACTATTGCCGTCTCGAGGTTTCTTGCGGCTAATATTGGAAAAGTACGATATCGAAGGTATTGGTTTCCCATTCCGTGATTTTATCTCGGCGCTCATCTGAATAAATTTGGCTGCCAGCATCGACGTGGGATTCTCCTGATCCTCAGACAAGGTGGTTGGTCCTTGAATCCATAACAGTGAAGTTCCTCCCGCATCGTCTTGAAGCCATCCAATTAGGCGCTGCACCATCTGAGGTGTAACAAGACCTAAATGGAATCCTTGTGGGGAAAGTGTTACTCGTTGGGTGTCGAAGGATTTCTCTAGTATTTGGATAGCTTGGCTTAGGTTGACGGGTTCTGTGATGTGACTGGGTTTCTCTTCTGTGACTGTTGTATAGTTAGCACTTTCCTGATAAATGAATGTGGCTCAAGGCTCTCACTGTCTTCGACAGAAAATATTGAAGAAGCCGTCGATTGCCATGATAGCCTCCTTTCCTTGGCCTCTACCAATAAACGCCGATCGTTGATAAAAGCTTGAGCTTGTGGTATCAGAAGTTGTTGCTGGCACAATTGGGCCAGCTGCTTATATGACTCCTTCATTTCTTTGATCATATGCTCCATCCTGACGTTATCTTCTCTCAAACCATCCACTCCACTGCTGATACCCTCAACGCGATGGCGTGTTATTCTTCCATCTGCCAGACCACTCTGTGTTGCAAATAATCGAATGCGTTCGAACTTTGACTTCACTCCACTAATATCGTTTTGGAAAATATTAGCTAGGTTCTCATTGAAAGCGTCGGCAGCCCTTTTGCTCCTAGATCTCATCATCCATTCCATAGCGTGGTTCAGAAACTGAAAGATGCCTGTATATAGATCAACAACTCTGCTTGTCATCTCATCACTGGAAACCAGCATCCAATCCCGCTCGGCATCTTTCACAAGATCTGTCATTTCTTCGAGGGCTTCCGCTAAACTTTCAATCACGGTTTCATGGTTCACACTGGCCTTTGAGTCTAGTCAGAAGCTTCCCTTTTTTGATACAATCAGATATCATCAAGTACATACCTGGACTATCGCTGTAGTGCTTCCCATGAATATCGAAAAGTATTCATGCGACTCGGGAAGAACCTTCATCAGCGACTTGTGTGAGTTTATAGCATCGCAAAACTTGTGGAATTTCTTAGACACAGTTCCTTGGCGGCCTGATTTCCGCTTGTCATTCCAAATGTGCATTTCCTGGCTGATGAGTTTCGTGATGCCTTCCATATTCGGGTTTGTGGTGTTTAGATCTAGGTGATCTTCTGGTTTGCTGAATTGCTGGAACTTGTTCCATGTTTCGCGCAGTTTCTCTGTTTCGTCGGCAATGGCGGATGTAATGGCATCTCTAGAGATCGGTGTCAGTTTTATTTACTATGCATCGTTTAATCTAACTCTTGACCTTCTTGACTCTGCAAGATTCATTGGATGCAGAAAAACGCGCCAGGGGTCTTCTAGACTATCAAGGCTTTGCCTATTATCAATTAAGGCCATTGAAATTCGATATGCTGGACTCTCTGAAGGAATTCGCCCTTGAAGGTCTGCAGTGTACATTGAAACTATATGCGCTGGGCTTTCTAGTTGATCTCTGTTCATCACGATTCTGGTCTGGCAAAACCTAAATAAGGCGAAAGTGAAGCATTTAATAATATTCTCGCTCACTGGAGCGGTGACTATGACAGAAGATCAACGCGGAGCTCAGAAGCCCACCATTTGAGCGACGCATCGCACCATCGCTTATAAAACGAGGCTATGAGAACCGGTCAACACCTGAAAGCGAATTCATGTGGCTGCCTGATATCTTACATGCACCCTACCTAATTAGACCGTAAGCTGCATAACTACTGACCAATATAAGGGCATATATCACTTAACAGGGTGCCTTACCTTGCACCGTACAACACATACATGTACCCAGCCGAAAGAATCATCTGACGCTCTGCTCGAAATGCCTCAGAGCGGGGTATGGTGCACATTTGTACTCGAGTTAGGAGACTGAAAGATCCAAAATGTAAGATTGGCATTTATATACGCTGATACGGACGTGAATAGGTAGCAACTTGATTCTTTAGCTTCTCTTTCTGCTTCAATCAACGTTCACAAACCGGGCACTCTCTTTTCACCATGAACACTCCACCAGAGTCTCGCGGTGACAATTCTGAACCCCCACACGCAGCTCCTCGCCCCCCTGTTCTAGACAGCAAGCCTTGGGTCAGGTATCGAGTCCAGTATCGTTCGCACACTACCAACGAGCTGCTTGATCAAAAGGATACTCGAGATCCCAGCGACAAGATTTGGTGCACCGACGAGACTGAGGTCGGTGATGGACCAGCTTTTGATATCATCAAGACCATCAGGACCCAAGATCCAGAGCGAGACAAGCTGGGCCACGGAGGAACTGAACCTAGTCGACTCCCGGTAACGCTATCTCCGAGCTATTCCATCCGCATCCACTCCCCGCAAATCATCAATGCAGTCCAATCGGTAGTCAAATACTATCCCAGTCAAGACCTTGCCGGAAGCCCGGTCGTCGTGCAGTGGCCTTATGCAGTTCTGGTCCATCACTATGACGAATTGCACGAATTTGTCGCCTCGGTTAATGAGCTAGAGCCGGAGAAGCGCTGCAATCGCGAGCGCAACGTAGGGGAACACTTGCAATTGCTGTTTGACTATCTTGAAGAGAGCGTCATGCCTAGTGTTCGTGAGGAACGGGAACGAAATTCTCGCGGTTACTGCACTTTTGAGTGGCTTTGGGTGCCCCTAAAACCAGGCAAAACTGAATACGCCGCTCTCAAAGGCTGTCCTGAGCGCCAAGCGTATGTAATTCATTCTCTGAAACAAGGCTCATTTGTTAATCCGTCCATGGACTGGAGAACAACTTATTGGTCATTGAACTTCGATGGCGAACGTCTTGGACGACAATTAACCGTCTTGACAGTATCACAATGGGATGGTGAAACCTTGCTTGCACGTACAGGTCGAATAATAGAGTTTCCCGAGGACTTGGAAGGGGACGATGAGGCGCTTGCCGATACAAACTTTGACGATGATGTTAAGCAGCGTATCCAAGATGGAGGCATTTACTGGAAATTGCTCAGGAAACAATGCCAATGGTATAGCGGGAAAACGGTAGACTTCCCTTACAACAACGTTCGTTCATCCCATTAACGTTCATGGAAGACAGACTAACATCGGAATTATCTGGCACAACAGATAGAGACTAACGTCATGATCGATGCTGAAGCCTATTTAGACACATTCAAAGGGTTAAGACCAACTCTTATGGGTATCGACGATCTAAGATTTGGGAGATCAGACTGCACCTGCGAGGTTTGCAAAACACGACACAGGAGTGGCCATGATGTTGATGCTCTGTATAATGGCTACAACGATCTGTACACTATTGATGGGGATGAGTTGAGTTGGCATCAGAGGTTTCTCTGCCCCGGAACCATTGCGGGATTCGTCTTTCGAACAAGGACATGGGGTGAGCCGAAGTTCCACGGCGTGGTAGAGCCATCATACTTACAAGATGCCAGAGACACTTCATGTTCACTCACTATCTGAGCCCAAGTTTAACAGTCAAATGATCGGGAGTCTTGTAATGGAGCCCGTCCAGCTTATGAGACTCAAAGCCCTAACTCAGAGCTTTTCCCGCATTGACAAGGATGGCAACAAGCTTGTTCATCCGCCTTGGAGTGCTGACTTTGTTAAGGGCAAGGGTCAAGGTCTAATTTTCCTTGTGGGCGCCACCGCATCTACGATGAGGATGTATTTTTATTAACAGTCTAATAGCTCCATGGGAGGCCCGGGGTAGGCAAAACTTGTACCGCCGGTAGGTATTTCATATACAATCACTCAAAGGAATAATAGCTAACCATGTGAACAGAGTCTATTGCCGAGTTTATGAAGAAGCCATTGATGGTATTGACCAGTAGTGACATCGGTACCGATCCCGTTGAAGTGGAGCAGAACCTCACTCGGGAGTTCAAGAAGGCTAAGAGCTGGGAAGCCGTACTTCTTATAGACGAAGCAGATGTTTTCATGGAGCAGCGATCGACAAAAGACTTGGAGCGAAACAGTTTGGTAGCAGGCAAGTTTTTATGTCCTGCACAGGGACAGAAGTTAATTAACCGTTATTTTAGGATTTCTTCGAGCTCTCGAATTCTATGACGGGATCCTATTCTTGACCACTAATCGAGTAGGCACATTTGATGATGCCTTCATATCCCGGATTCATATCCAGCTATACTATCCCGACTTTACAGATGAACAACGTCAACAAGTATGGCAGACTTTTGTTGACAAATTGAAACGGGACTGTGGAAGTTACATGAAACTTGATTACAATGCCAAGCGCTACCTCAAGTCCCCAGAGGTTAAAGCCATCAAGTGGAACGGCCGTGATATTCGCAATGGTATGTTTGCTTTCCATTTTTGTGGTCACCGTACTGACACGTTGGAAGCCTTTCAAACAGCCGTCTCATTGGCCGAGTTTGATGCGGAAAAAGACGAGGATGGAAAGATACTAGTGACTGAAGAACATTTCCAGGCTGTGATGGCGTTGTCGAGTGATTTTAAAGAATATCTTGACGAGTTGCATAAGAAAGATGAGGCACAGCGGGCAGCTTTCAAGCACGAAAGGTATGATAATTTTACGAAAGAGGACTAGTGCGGTGAAGTTGGTTATGGACTTTGGCATGATTTGAGTTAGTTTTGTATTACTACAAGATTGCTTAGTCGCCGCCTCCCTCAATGCAACGTTGAATATGGGCAGGTTTAAATATTTTATAGTTGTCTACAAGAAGTATATACTATAGATTGTCAGATCAACTGATACTTATCTACGCCACAGGCCTACCACCGTCTCGCTCAACCTGACCGCCCAATGATGGAACCGACCTTTCTTCGTCCTCCTGACTTAAATCCACTTGGTGGTAGCACCGTAGTTTGCACCATTAGCAGGGAGCAAGAAGTCACTGGGACTAATCTTGCCATTCGCCTGTCGTCGTCCCTTGACAAGGCTCGTGCTCACAGCCTTGAAGTCACTGTCCCTCCAAGAGCCACCCTTCTCCCAGTTGTTTCCCTTAGTCTTGACATCCTTCAACGTGTTCTGCTTGCTCAGATCGCTAGTATTGGCGTTGTTGGCAGCAAGGTTATTCTCGTAGGTAGCCTTGGAAGATCGCTGGTTGAAGCCCTCCTCGCGGTTCTTCCAGGCGGTATTGTGAATGAGAGTCATGTCGCCGGGCATGTTGTTGTCGCTGAAGCCGCGGCGGTTGCGGAAGGAGAAGTTGTTGCGCACGACATGGTTTACCTTGCCACCTTCATTTTTGACACCGCCAAGCTTGATACCGATGCCATCGGCACCGTGGGGGTTGAAGTTCCAGCGGTTGATGCCGTTATCGAAAACGATGTTGTCGAGGATGGTCACGGAAGACTTGAACTCGAACAGGTCGATACCGTCGTCGGAGTTCTCGTAGCTTCGAATACCGCGGATAATGTTGCCTGCTCCTGAGCCCTCCTTGATAGCCATGCCATCGGCATTCTTGCCATTGTTGCGAGGATCGGCGTTGTTATAAGTGTCAAGGTAGGCGATTTCGTTGTTAGAGATGCTGTTTTGCATGTGGAAGCCGGACTCGTAGTTGCTGTGGGTGGTCAAACGCTCGAAGTAGTTGTTGTGCGAGTCCTTCACGTAAACGCCATAAGGGCCCTTGGTAAGGGTGATGTGGATGAAGCGCCAGTGCTCGGCCTTCTCAACATGGAAAATACCACGGTCGCTGCCGGCAAGAGAGCCTCCGAGGGGAGCGGGAGTGCCGGGCATCTTGTCGCCATTGATGATGACCTCTTCATTCTGGTAGGAAGAGATGGTGTAGGGCTTGCTGGAAGATCCCTTCTTGGTGAAGTGGATATTCTTGGAAGGACTGTAGGTTCCTTTTCGGAGGTAGATGGTGTCACCGGGCTGAGCCTTGTTAACAGCAGCTTGAATATCAGACATGGGCGAACCGCTGGAGCCAGACCCGCTGCTGGAGCCGTTAGGGGCAACGAAAATTTCCTTGGCCAGAACTGCAGGCAGAACGGCAAGGATGAAGTTGAGAAAACGCATGATGATCTCGCAGAGATTTCTAGTATGGATACAAACGAATGTCTATAAAGGAACGACGAGAATGAGAAAGAATGACTGGAGTAGGATTCAAGTCGCCAAATCCGGCTTCTCTTCCATTTTTGTATTCAGAGATTCCATAAACTCCTTCACACGTCAGCACGTCCTACCCTCATCTCCCATACTTGGCAGTTTCAGCAGTCGAGTTCAGATAAGAGTAGTGCGTAACTAAAGCCAAGACCCAGCAAGGTTATTCCACCACTGTAAATCTCAGTTGTGACGTGAACACACTATAATCCATTCAAGAATGGAGCTCCATGTTCCGGATTTCTTCTTTTAATTCTTTTGCTCTAATTATGGTGGATGTAAAGTATCATTGGCGCCAAGGTGTCCAAGAACCGTTCGGGCCGCGATGTTTCTTGGCTGACTTGGCGTCATAAACAGACTACTTGGCGATGAGTTTGGACAAAGGAGTAGTATAACAGATCACTTCTGATGTCGCAGGATGGTCTTGTTGCGGAAATGTGTTCTCCTGTCTCGCTCATGAGCCTTGGGATTGCCCACAGGTCGACCTTTTTCCTTACACCTGGTCTCGTCATGTCATATTCCTTGTCCTTTCTCAAATCTAAACTGCGAAGCTGTAATCTACGTAAGATAAAAAAGGGGGAAATGGCTTAAAAGCAAACCGATTTTGAGTTCCGTTTCAGTGACTCCTCTTTTGCTGACTTGGTCATGAGAAATCAATGTGCTTCCTTGCCGTTTTATCCAGTGTGAAGATGTCGACTGATTACTATTGGGCGATACGTGTGAGACTATCTATTAATTTCCATATCGTGAGAAGTCTAGAGCGTAATTATAGTCTAATTCTAGTAAAGGTACTTCATGTTTAGTCTTCAAAGCATCTCTACTTCCATATTTCTGACCTTCATAGAGAAGGCCGAAGGCCTGGGAACTCTTAAGGCTTGGACAGCTAAGAGACTTGCTTTGTAAAATGGATTTCCCTCTATAAATACTATAGACATTGATCTCGGTTAAATGCTTTCACTTCTTAACTCAAATGGCACACGGCACATTTTTAAAAATGCTAATCTATTACTTCATGTATATTAATCTAGATCAATCTATCTTATAGGTTCTAAGAATATTTCCGTGTAAGTCTAATTCAGTCCATTCTTTTCTCAAAATTCCTCCCGTCCTTTCCATTTATTCCCATTATTCCTTTAGTAGGTATAAACCTGCTCAGGTCCAAGATTGCCAAACTGTCCAGAGCCGAAGGGGTTTGATGGAGTGACCTTTTTGCCATTAACATCTGCGACTCCAAACCAAGATAACACCTTGCCCTTGACAACGGTGATAACAGCGAAGGCAGGACCAGGCTGAGTCACGTATCCCCAGGAGACAATCAGGTTGGACTTATCGTTACAGGGCTCTTTGGACCAACTCTCAGTGGCAGCATCAGAGCCCGGCATACGGACAATAGTGCATTGTTCAGTCTTGCCACCGCCCTCAAAAATGAAGTTGTAGTCACATCCGTCGTTGTCCTCGCCACAGTAACGGGTAAGGTTTTTGATGATAGCTGTCTGGCCTTTGAGAGGCTTAGGGCTGGGATAGAAGCCACCAAAGCTAGAGTTTCCAGTGGGGGCAGGATGGGCGGCGCTGTGAGAAGGAACATAGGGGACTGCAGGGCAGAACCTGGGGCTGTCAGGGCTGCAGTCACCAGGCATAATCGTGACGGGAGTTCTGGTTGGGGGCAGACCAGTCTTGGTGAAGTACGAAGATGGGCAAGATCCTGGGTGTGCTGGGTTACACCCGCCCGGGATTCCAGGAAGCCATGACATAGTCTTAGCAGGTACAGTGCTATTCTTGCCGAGGTAAGATGAAGGGCATGATCCAGGGTGAGCGGGATTGCATCCGCCAGGAATCTTGGTCGGTGTAGGGTGTGCGAGGGAGGCAGTAGCGGAAGAACAATATTCTCGAATGCGAGCACTGTCTTCGCCGGCACAGGTTGTCAGGGTGCAGCTGCAGGCAACTTCAGGTGTACCAGCTGCAAGACATTCGCTGTAGGCTTTCTCGCACTCTTCAAAGGTATTCTGGGGGATGGCAGAGATGGCGGATACCAGGGCCAAAGCTATGATTAACTTGTTCATGTTGACTGGTGGGATATTTTGAGGGTATTAGAGTAATAATGTATTTAAGAATAAACCTTTTGCTGTTAACAGGTTTGGAGTTCACTGATACTGGTGTGAGTGAAAGATATCTTGGGAATGAATATTAAGATCTATATATGCATTTTATCCCCAATGACGGCCAGGCGAAGAATCTGTTGAAAATGCCAACCTCTTGTTTAACTTTGCTAGACCACTGGGACTGGTGATATCACGAGAGCTTATTGTGAGGAAATTTGCATGCCGTCACACCTTAGGCCCTTGGCGATCACCGTATTGCCACAGTGAAGTCTCGATTGGGTAAACGCCCGAAACGTGTCGAGAGTAGCTTCCCGGTAACACATCATGATCACCCAAAAATAACCCCAGCCACGGCTTTTCTTTGCCAATCGTCTGGAACAAAGTTTGACATTGCCGATAAGCCGATGACTTGCCCCTCAGCCAACCTCCAATCTATGGATTCGACTCCGCTGACACGAGGTTTTGACCAAGCCGAACATATTGGCTAGATGGAATGCGGTACATATCAAGGCTCTACCATTAAGCGAATGAAGTTTAATTGGCGTTTAGCGGGCGAAAACTAAGTTTTTGACATAGTTGCGGTCATAGGAGTGGCTTGGGCTGAACTTTAAATCTGTAATGGTCAGAGACTGGAATGTTATATTCTGGGCATGACACGAGTATTATCAGATGAGGAGAGATGATGAGATATTTATGACTTGTTTCCTTAGATTGCTTTGTGCTAGAACGAGATAAAAGTAGTAATTAGTAAGGTCGTAATCTAACTGCAGGAGCCATTTACTCATGTAGTAGTTATATGTTTAACCATATCCCAGAAGAATCTTTTAATAAGTACGATATTATGGTGATATTGTGTGGTATGCTCCGTTCCCTGAGATCTTTCTGAGGTGGCCATTTAGGTAGCTGAGCTCAGCACTGGTAAAAACTACAAATATTACAAATACTCAGTACTAGCCTATGGTATCCACGGAATCGAGGTCAAGATTGTACAAACTTGATACACGACGCGACTAATAGGTATTGATAAATGGCGTATATTACTGAGCATCGCAGCGTAGAGGAGTTCTGTTGGAGACTGGCCGTGATTTCTTGAAGGAGATTGGGGCTCGGCTTTTCTTTCGAGGAACAGCGCATAGCCAGACGATGATCAGGTTCAAACATCAAAAAGAGCAAATGAGAGGACAGGTTTTGGAGGTTTCATTGCGTGTAGGTAGATGATATGTCAATCTAATCAAATATACAGCAAGAATGAATTAAATCCAGATGTTTGAATGATAGAAGGTAAAGAAGTTATGTAACAAAATCCATATAACCCCACTACTGATCAAAAAGTTTGTGATATGAGCTGCTATGTCGTAGGAACAACAGATCAATATCGATTAATCTTCGTCTACTATGAAGCATAGGTCTACGAAATTGCTTTGCTGTCGAACAAATATAGATCTTCCTATTGCATCAACAGGTAGATTTGTCCTCGCTGGTAGTTGTGGACAATTATTCGATCGGCTCATAATGAAAGCCCTTCCAGGCTTCGGATTCCTATGACGGCGGCCGCCCCCTGCTCGCTCCACCTGCTCTGTGCGCTCCGAGAAAAACGATCAACCAGCTCCGATGCCCTGGCGCATTGTTGACCCTCAGCTTCAACAGCAAAATGAATCTATCACTTGGACGGGCAGGCAAATTCATTGCCGTCCTAGCACTTATCTTCAATGGAGTTAATGCATGAGTTGCCACTTTTATCTCCCGGCGAGGTCGCTACGAGCAGCGAAAGAAAACTATGGATAGCTACAGATTGGATAACGAGATCGACTCCACCCCTTCTGGTGAAATTACTTAAAGCTTGCCCCAAGGCTGACAGATTCTACGCGGGGATCCCCGAAAATTCATGGACTAAGAAGTAAAGGAGAGACCAGGGCACAGAACGGAGCCAGCAGTCTTAAATGTAAGCCTTGAGCTGCTACTGGATAATTTCGCCAGGGTAGTATTGACTATGTAATAAGAAACTAGATCTGGCAGGTTTGGGATTTGGTACTATATTAGAACCGTAGATCTCGGTTGCGGTTTTCCATCAGGTTTGAGGCGGTACAACAAGCAAAACAACTACAGCGGCAACAGGTCACACTCTTTCCGGAATTATCCTTCGGAGGACCATTAACACCCATATATCAACAAGCCATCTCGATTAAGTCAGGTGTAAGGAAATATTTGACGTTAAGTTTTTATAATGCTTATACATGCTGTCGTCCACACTCCGACACAGAGAGAAATATTTCATGTTATGAGTTACTATCCATTATCCGCATATTGATTCATTCCATCGCCTGTCTTATGGAAAAAATCCTGTTTGAATAATGGCTAAACGTTGACTGACCGTATTCTGACAAACCATAAGACGACGGTCCAGAAGACGGGCCGTGGGGATCGGCACGTACCTCCAGTATAGCATTGAGCATGACCCGCCAGTACAACAAGAAGTGGATCTGCGATCATCCTTCAAATCCACAAAGGATTCGGATCGTGCTGTGGTTTCAGCACGGCCCAAGATCCTTCGAGGCGGTGCATCACAAAGCCTTGGAATAGGACAATACTCCTGTTTTGGGATGAGAACCAAGTCCTGCATGGACCTTAATTAACCTCTTGGCAAACGTATATAATCACGGTTCTCGTCTGTTCTTGTCGTGATGTACAAGCCTTCATAACATCAAACCCAATTCCTTTACTTCTAATCACAAACCTCCACAATGCGCTTCTCAGTCACCACCTCTCTCGCCGTCCTGGCCACCGTCTCCAACGTCTCAGCCTGGGACCGTAAGATTCCATTACCGCCAAAAGCACAAGCTCTAGGACCCTCAAACTAACCAAATCCCATCAGTCACCGCTTACAGCAACGTCAAAGACTGTAACCCCGACGACGAAACAGAATATCAAATCCTCGAGGGCAACCAGGGCAACTGCTACACCTTCGGCTGGAGCATGCCTGGGGTGAGCTGCGGCCACTTTACCGGCGGCGGCATCGCCAACCAGGGCTGCAAAGGCCTGTTCACGGCTATTGCCATGTACGCTCACGAGAACACCGACTGCAGCTTCTATGCAGAGGACGATTGCCGCGGAGTCGCTACTGTTAGGGATTCTAACACCTGTATTAGCATCAATGAGTTGCTCAGCGGGGGTAGCTCCCCGACCAGATTTGCTTCGTTCAAATGCGTAAGTACATTTGACTTGTCACGTTGAGACTGAGACTGACGGGTTGACAGCGTAACACTGAATAATTAACTTCTTCTGGTAGAAATGGCAGATAACAAACAAGAGAGTTTTACCTGTGAAAAGGATTCATGTATTTAATTCAATAAGACAAATTACTTATTACCTTTACTGGGAGACATTAAAAGTAACGGATTAAAGGGCCTAACTTTAATGTATGTAATTTTCTATGTTAGCGGCTAAGCATTTAAGGATTACAACAGTGGATCACATGAAAAGCTTCATACAACCGACCATTGTTAAGACGAAGTGGTTTTCTTATCTGCTACTAGGAGGACGTCGATTTCGGCCCCCAAGGTGATAGTTTAGCCTGATTTCATAGTTGCTCAAACCGTATAGAGACTGCTTACTGAAGACCAATAGTTCACTTGAAATCAAATCTTGAATAACTTGTAATTGCAGAACAGACTTCCGGTGTTTTACGCAAAAGGGCGAGGCTTTTCATGGGGCGATTATTCCAACTCGCGTTCCTGTCATCACTCGGCGATTTAAATCTGTCTTCCAATGAGCCGACGGTTCGATACACGCATGCATCTGCGTCGCATAAAATTTGTGATACACCCGGTATACATAATTCCGCACTATAGTTTGCCGAAAGCAGCAAGTATAAATGACGCTGCCAAGAATCTAGCTGACGTAGACTGCGAAAACCAGATTTGCTGCCTGTTTATAATTCCTGTCGGCTTATCTCCCTCAGACACACCCCTCGCGAGTTGATTTTGCACTTTGAATATTGCCAACAAAGATGCCGAAACCCTTGTTCGAACATTATTATTGAGTTAAAAAAATACTTATTAAAATCTTGAAATGTCCTCTAGCTCAGTTTACGCCTCCACCCCCCTCGATCGTCCCCAAAAGGAAATCAGGCTTATTAAGATCCTTGAAACCTCCCCGCAGCTTCGATGCAGGCTCATCAAAGTCTCTTTATTGAACAAACCCATATTCTGTGCTCTGTCTTACGTTTGGGGCGCTTCAAAAGACTATGAAAATGTTGTCGTTAATGATGTGTCTTTTTCTGTCACAAAAAGTCTTGCAGATGCACTCGGCAACATCCAAATCCACTGGGCTCAAGCTTTTCCAGATCGAGACAAGAACGACATGCGGTTTTGGGCAGATGCGCTTTGTATCAATCAAGCCGATAATATGGAGAAAGGCTATCAAGTACCTTTAATGAAGGATATTTACTCCTCTGCTCAAATTACTTTTTCCTCTTTGGATGCGATATCTTCGACATCAAATATTCCCTCGGCAATTGACCTCATTCGTGAGATTTCTTCACGTCTACATCAGAGGCACCTTAAGACCAGAGCAGAGACAGTTGCAGCTGTAGATATTCTTGAAGATCTATCAATACACCGATTCCACATCAAAGTCGGATATGAAAGTTGGAAATCGAAAAAGCACCCACGTGAAGCTTCCCAGGTAAACATTATGAACGACTTCAGTCGACTACAATACTGGGAGCGAGCGTGGATAGTTCAAGAACTCGTGCTGTCGAAAGAAGTGATAATGTATTATTCGACAAGCTCAATTAGCCTTGAAGCACTTACGCGAGTCGCAAATTGGGCTTCAGAATTACTCCAGGAGTCATATGCACCATCGAGTCTTCCACAGAGAACAATTTCACAGGAACAACACATGATAGCTACGAGTCTGAGCCAGTTCAAAACAATACGGCAGATACATAACCTGCGAAAGATGTATCACAGTGTGGTTCCGAAAGTTCACGAGCTGCGCTTTCTTTGGGTCTGGGGCGCATCATTCAGGGCTACTAACCCAAAAGATCATGTGTACGCGTTATGTAGCATCGCCAATTTGGATATACAACCACGATATGACGAAAGTGTATCTGTGGCAGATGTTTATATCGAATTCTGCGTTCAGCAAACAAAGAGTCCCTTATATGCGCCGTTGCAATTTCTCCAGTATGCGGGGCTGTCAAATGGAGATCCAGCGAAACTCGGAATACCTACGTGGGTACCAAATTTCCCAGATTGTGCAGAGGCATATGGAGGCCAGCTGATTGTTTATTTATCTCATCCTGGGAGGACAACGAAGCTATGGAAGGACTGCATCGGATGTGTTGAGGATATTTCGATCCGTGATCGAAGCCTACACACAACATCCCTTCCTGTCGACTGCATCTCGGATATGAGCCCAATACTTCATTCAAAACAAGATCTGCCTAGTTTTCTCTGTCACATTTACAAAATGCTGACCGACGCATTTGTGGTTTCAGAGAGTCCTTACCGAAAGGACTCTCATCCATTCCTCAAGCTCGCTAGTGCTTTCTATCATACTAGGATTCCGGGCACAGTTTGGAATAAACTCGAATTAATCAGGGTGGCGAGACTTTTTCTTTACCTTCACCTTTCTATCTTAGCTTCGGGAGAAAACATCAGCTATAAGGAAAGTTTTGGAGACTTTCCGCGGAACATCTGCTGTGATCTGAAACACTATATGAAGGTCGGAGACTTAGAAGATGAGCCCTATTTCAGATGCTTTGTGAGAAACATAAGTGATAAGTCTTTTGAAGGGGTTGATTGGCCACGCAATTCGTTGGACGACCTCAATCGATTTGAGGCAAAGGGCATTCGAGTGGCACGTACGATTGGAAATAAATTTGCAGTAGTTCCTTCGGAAACAACAGTAGGGGATCAAATAGTTTTACTCACTGGTTGCCATGATCTCCCATTGATCAGGAAAGTAGAGCATCATCACATTTTCATTGGGCGGGTTGGTTTCGCCGAAGGGATTGTTGAGAAGAAGATCGAAGAGCATAGGGCAGGTCAGGCGGAATTGGAGTATATAGAGCTTCGATAGGAGGAGGTAGTAAATTATGTTAGTACATCAATTGACCAGATTATCTTATAATTACGACCAATTCAGTGTCAATTGTCCAGACTGCCCTAATTTCCTCAGCTCAATAATCGAACACACACATCTCTATCATTGCTGCAAATCATGTTCAACGGATCTCTTGGCCAGTTGAGAGAAACAATACTTGTATAAAGTGCGTTTGTAAGAACGTTATGGGATATGCTGTTGTTTATGTTTTGGTGTATTATTCGATTGTCAGGGATCACTGGTGTTGAATTAACAATGGACACCTTCAATTCATGCACTCTCAAAAACCTGTCAGAATCTCACGGCGCTTCTGGGACTCGCTTGTCTTCGGCTTTGTTATCGTATCGCGCTCGCAGTTTACAACATCTCACTTCTCCACCCACTCGCCAAGTTCCCTGGTCATTAGATTGCCGCCGCCTCTGATGTGTGTAAGGCCTGTCAGGCTGGTGTAACAGGAGTATAGATGAGATGCATTTTCAATATGGTGATTACTTAGTTACGACTTTCCGACGAACCTGTAGTGACTGCTAATTACCATCGAGGTCCTATCGTGCGCGTCAGCCGTGATGACTCCCTGCAGCGAGCAACCCTTTCTTTACTAATGATGCTACTCGGGCAAGCCGGGCCTTAGCATGCGTGTTGGAATTTCCACCGGGAAGGCTTAACTTTCCAGTGGCACTATGCTCATCTTGTCCCGGTTCCTGTGACAGCGCTCCGATCAAATTAAACCCAAATCTTGAAAAAGCAAAAAGTCAGCTCATGTGGCTGGCTAGAATTCCTTTTGACTAATTATAGAACATTTTTCTTTTTCGACCCCGTTATGTTTTGCTTTTTATGCTCCCTCCCCCCTCCCTTTTTTGCTTTTGTTTCTTCTCTTTTTTTGAGATTTGATTTGATGAAACGCTATGACCAACGTCGCTTATTTGGCTCAGGTTCAGGGGTGGTGAGGCAAGTTCAGGGTCAATCAATAAACAAGCTCATAAATAATAACAAGGCTATATCTAGGGACACTACAAGTCCACTGAACCACCATCGTTGAATTATGAATATTATTCTAATAAACATAGTTTTGCTAGATTGAAGGCGACAGCATCCCGAGGGAGCAAGGGGCGCGGATCAAAAATGAGACTGCCCAGCATCTGCAAACCAAAGGCTGTCTGTCGGTTCACAGGAAAACAGGCAGACCCCCCAGCTGCTTTGCCTTGGCTCTTATGGTCTTATTTTTGAATATCCTCAACGCTCTGTCTCTTGAGTAAAAGTCAGTTCTGAACTCAGATTCACCACCGTTTTAATAAAAACAGGAATTTTAGATACACGTACCCACTTCGAGTGAACTTCCGCAAATATATTTAATCGGCTCCCCAATGGAATTTGCATATACATATGCAGTTGTTTGCCTCAGAATGAATCTCCTTTTCAGATCATTCCTGCGCCCTTTCTAGAAATTTAAGGCATAATCATTATAGGCGATTATGATAGCCTGGGATGACCAGGGTCCGCCTCCAGTGGCATTCACCTCACCCACTGGAGGTCTACGGCCAAGCTCTTGGTCATCCCATTACTTACAAATCAACAGTGTACAAAGCATTTACCTTCAGTTCCTTACCGAGAAGTTCATCGTAGCTCAGAGTGTGTTATATAAGGGTACAAGCAGTTCCGAACGGGTACCTATATATAAGGTTTCCGTTGAGCTCAATGTGAGGAACCTGGTTCAAAATATTAGCTGTGAGATGAATAGGAATTTACATGTGAGAAAAGCTTAAGAGTATACGTTAAGCTATAGAATAAAGTGAGTAAGAACGTCTGGTACGTTTTGAACTTTTGGCATTTGGGAAGGCCTTCAACTGCCCGGAAAACTTGCCATTCTGCTGTGCAGAGTGACACAATCACATAATCACATAGCCTAAAGGAATATACGTTTACTCTTTTTGTTAGACCGACAATTACTAATAATTCTTTTTTGTATCATACCTATCTTCAGTAGATATCAGCATACCAAACATGTCGAACAATACAGATTCACAAATCATTTCTACTAAAGGACCTTAAGTCAGGGAAGGTCATGGTTAGATTAAGGACGGAGTACAACCGTAAACAGAAGCTTAAGCACAAGCCACAAACTAGGTAGCGAAGAACCGCGGAACTAGTGCCAATCTGTAGTCAAACTTATGGCCGGTTTTGTCTTAGTGTTTATCTGGGAAACTCCACAGCCGATTCTTATCGCTAACACATATCGTGGTCCGTAAAAATAAACAGCATATGCTTTCTGACAGGAATTGATCATCCAAATCCGTTCCTTCAGGGACTTTACCCAATTTTCCAAGTTTACAGGATCCACGTTTCCTGAACACCTTAAAACAGTTATGTAGGTCCCATTCAGATTTTGTAGTCAGGAAAGCTACAAGTTGTGTGAAGTTTGTCACATAACAGGAGATGGTCCAGACTCATCTGTTTGCAATAGCCACGATGTTTAACGCTCCACGCCAGCGGTCATTTGGCCCGCAGGTAGAGGGCTATGCGCATTAAGGTGGTCGAGATCTGCATTGGACCAACTCAAAGTCATTTTCACCGATTGGGACGGCTGTGAACGTGGTGGTGTCGACGCTTTGGAATGTCATGGCGTTTTTGGTTGGGTCATCCACTTCAATCGTCCGCCACCATATATGCTTAGTTTCGCTTGCAATGGGATGGAAAAGGGTGCCTTTCCAGCTTTTCCTGTCGCGAAAGCCTAATCATGTCATTTTGATATCACCAAACCCGTTCTACTACGAACAGAGTCCAGTGCATGCAGATCGAGACTGTTCTTTGCCTCATCCCGCGCCTTGGCTTAAGGGTCCCTTGCCTTAGCTTCCAAATGACGCGCCTAAAGTTGAGTCATTGAGCACTAGCCGTAGCTGTTCATTTATGTGACAAGCCCCCGCGTGCCATGTTCATGTCGCTCTTGGCGATTCAAAGTCTTGGATCTACCAAAACTCTCCACCGTTCTTCAAAGTGGTCACTCAATCTTGAGCAACATGATGTTACCTCATCGTGATAAATGGGACGTGCATCATGCCAAAATTGATGAAATGGTGTACATTGGTCGCGATGTTTTTGTCGTTGTATGTCTAACCCCATACACAGGTTCAATGTGAGAGTTGCTTGTACTGATCTCGAATCTAGGTCGCATCTACGCTGGCTCTTTACAACGCCATCGAACTATTGATCCTTATCTCTCTCAAGTTCAAGCGTCGCGCAGGTCTTTACTTCTGGAGCATTCTCTTCGCATCTTTTGGGATCCTTCCGTATTGTCTCGGTTGGATGATTGTCTATTTCGATTTAACACTCGACTATATTGGAATGATTATCGAAACCATCGGCTGGGTACTTGTTATCTCTGGCCAATCGGTCGTTTTGTATTCCAGACTGCACCTAATCATTACCGATATAAAGCTTCTGCGAGGAGTACTGATAATGATCGTTTTCAATGGCCTTGTCTGGGTAAGCATTTACATCCCATTTGCGTACTTTCCACTTACAAATATTAAGCATACAACAATGACTGTGTTACTCTTTGGTTCAGAATACAGCCCTCGAGACAACAGACGAGGCTTCAACAACATCTTTAACATCATGGAAAAGATTTCGATGAGCTGCTTCTACCTGCAGGAGCTTATCATCTCCGGCCTGTACCTCTGGAAATCGGTGGACATCCTCAAGACAGCCTTCGGCAACACACGAAGCATGCTCTACAAACTATTTGCGATCAACTTCGTCATCGTGATGATGGACATTACTCTCATGGTTATCGAGTTCCACGACTGGTATGTTTGGGAGCAGGGTATTAAGCTGGTCACCTACTCAGTCAAGCTCAAGCTGGAGTTTGCTGTGCTAAGCGAACTGATTGAGTTTGTCCGAAATCGTAGCGGAACAACATCACGTCCAGCCAAGAACTCGCAATACCAGAGCACCCTTGTGCCGCTATCGTCCATGAATAAGGGAACTACCAAAGGACCTAACAAAGGGACTGCTAGAGGAACTACGAATACAGTTGATCAAATATTCACCGGCGACACTCATACCAACACAACCATCGCTGCGACAAATACCAGGTTAAATGTTGGGCCGGGCAATGTGACAGACGATAGAATACATGTTGTCAGTGAGGTCGATGTGGACAGGGAAAGTCTCCCTATATATCCAGGGGATAACCGAAGCACAGATGAGTTATGGGGTTCAATACCTGGGGAACCGCCGGGGGAGATGGTCGGCAGGGCATTTTGAGGTGGGCAGAATGGCGTTTTAATAGATTAACAATTATAACAAGAACGAGCCATGCTGCGGCGTGTCCTATTGGTCAAAGGCCATCACACAAGATGGTGGATTTCTGCACCGCCCCTCCAAGGCATTTTGCGCAGCCTGATTCTAAAACCCAGGCTCTCGCGGTTTCCCCGCCTTTCAAACCCTCTGTCGTTCACATCATCACCTCAAATTAGACTATGGATCCAGCTTCTTTGGCTTTCGGTATCGTCTCCCTGGCGATGCAGCTAGTGCAGACGACGGGTGCTATCAAGAATTTGATCTCATCCTACAAGTCAGCAACAAAGGAGCTCGAAAGCCTTGTTGACAAGCTTGGTGATGTTGAAGTAATTTGCCACTCACTGGAGGTTGTTCTCTCTAAAGACACTGATCCGGACCCAAGGCCATGGGAGACCAGCCTTCTCAAAAGGCTGCATCGCACCATCCGCGAATGTTATGAAAAGGTCTCAACAGTTTACACTGTTATCAGGAAGATTGATACAAGAACTGAAAAAGGCCGGAACCCCTTCAGGCATACCGGCTTCCTGTTTTTGCAACACCGAGACGAAATTGTGACACGTACAAATGGCTTGGACGCAATACTTGCGTCTCTCCAGATATGCATGACCGCGAACATTTTGTAAGTCTTCAGCTTCTGGTCTTCAGCGAATGAATCTTAATGTCCCAGTGCTTTGAGTATGAGGCCCCCGCGCTTGAGACCATCAACTGTCATAATTTCGGCTCCGGAACCAACCTCGATGAGCACATGTCTAACTTCCACTGAAACAAATCTTACACCACCTAGATGTAAATCTGAGATAATGGAGCAATGGGTAATACGATGCATGAATCTTGTATCTCTCAAGAAAACTACACAGTCCAGGACTGTCACTACTCTGAACTGCGGCATAGCTTCAACAACTCAAAATGACTCAACATACACCCTCGGATCCTCATTGTTCAACATATATATTACGTTGTCGGTACGACGAGGATCCCTGGCTCCCCTTCGTGTTTCTCTACAGATACCCCGTGTTATCCCCATATACCAACAACGGACTGACCTCGGTAAAGAAGTCGGTACTGCTTTCGGAAACGATGATCTAAAGTCAGTCCAGCGGCTATTCAACAAGGGACTACTCACAGGTGCAACCGTGGTGGCCTGGTATGATTATGAACCAGAGAATGAGGTGTCCTTATTTGGCGTAAGTTTATAATTATTTGTTTGTACAACCCTATTAATAACTCAATAGTTGGCGGCAATAATGAGATCTCAAAATATTCTTACCTTTTTGATAACTCACATGTGTGAGTCTGAACGGCGGTACGTTATAGGGATATGTATTGTCCACTTACTTTAGTTGGCTGACGTTCAAGAAATCACCTTCCGGTTGATGGAGTCATTTTCACACCAGTCCGAACGCCCGATGAACTTCGCAGTGCCATTACTTATATCAACATGCGGAAAAGGAACATGACTCCGTCAGAGCTGAGTACAATCTTGGTCGGCATCAGTAAGTATAGCCATGTGGAAGCTTGCATTAAAGCATGCCAACGGCACTTTCCTGACGATTGGGGGACTTTCGTCAACAGTGTGTTCAATGATATAATCTCTATTTTCAGCAGAGTTTATTTCCACGAAGATGACAGACTGGTCGATTGGGCGTCCCTGGTAGCCGATGCCATGGCACGAGGCTCAGATGTCTACTCCAACTTCAATGACAACAGCACCCTAAGCACTTTGAATCGAATTATGCGCCACCAGGAAAGCTCCGAAGAAGCTTTGGAAAGTGTGCACCGCTGGGTCGATATGTTAGACCTAGCAGGAGTTGATACCGAACGATATCTGCAGATTGAAACACAACGTTGTCTTGAAACTTGGGGGCCCGAGATTGCTAACACATTCCTCAACACACAAGATGGAGATTCGAATATTCGACGCATTCTGACAATACAGTACTCGAGAGGTAGACGAATTCCATATTGGACCCTAGAGATTGACGACCAATGCCCTATACGAGATCTCTTGACTGGGTTTTCGTGGACACTACGACCCATCACCAGAACTTCGCTCTTATCTACTCACGAGATTATAAACAAGTACAAAGCTTGGAAGAATGGCCAAACTTTGGGGTTGTCCGACCCGTCGATGAAATCATGGCCGATTATAATGTCCCCTCAACGCGATGCACCCTTTCGTAGTATAGGAGGCGAAGACAGTAGAGAAGCAATCGAATGGATGAAACAGACTTGCGATTTGATAGAAAGTCGCTTCAATCGAAAGTCAACCAGGAAGACATGGAAAGCTGGCAGACAAGAAAGGTCTCACAAGTTATATACAGTACCAGGAAGTTGGGTGCATTAAGGAACGGCATAGTGAATAGATATCAGATTAACAAGAGGTTCAAATTAACTTGCTCAATAGTCTTTCACAGAATTTAATATATATTATGGTCATGAAGTACTACCTGCCTACCAGTAAGAGAGACTTCGAGACATCCTACACACGCTAAAACCAGTTTAAACAAAGTATTCTACCTCTAGGTCGTTCCTGTTTTAGGTCGGATCAACTGGCGGTCGAAGGCCAGAGTTAAAAGTCAAGTTCCTTGCGATGCGCCCCTACCTCACATCGTTAATGTAGTTCGAGGTCTTTGTTGATTGGTGGATTCCTGTATCTGAATAGATCTATTCGGGCTTTCCGAATCATTTCTATAACATCTGCGAAAGCCTCTTGGTTCCTCCTTCTCCTGTCGCCGTCATAGGTGGAGTTAAACTCCAGGAAAGTGTTGGACTGACGGTTATGATGCAGGATGAGACGAGGGTCATGAAAAGCCCTCAGAGGAGACACAATAAAAGACTAGTCTTCATTGTAAGCAGTAGAAAAATTGGCAAGATATACCAAAGTAAGGTAGAGTAAAGTTGATATTTCCAATGAATACGTGGTTGTCTAAATACATGAATGGATCTCATTCTCTCTTTGGACTTGATAGAGGGTGGGTAGGACCTGTCCTCAATATAATGTGTAGATTACTGCCGGATATTGGTCTACTTTGACAATTTGATAGTATTCTCCCACAGGCATGTGAAATTAGACTCAGTATCAGTTATAATTGGCTTGGGTTGGGGAATCAAAGACTCACCCCAAGGGACCACACTCAAGCCTATTGATATCAAACGAAGCAGAAGATCTATGCCTGCAGCTTGATATCTCAGGGTTCAGAACCCTACTATTGTACATAAAAGCTTACTTGACCATTTTCACTAAGCAAAGCCCTTCTTTATTAAGACTAGTACAATAAAATAGGTATGTAATGATATTCTTCGAGAACTTGGTCAATTCTGCTCTAGGCGCACTCGTCATGCGGTATATTACATAAGGTTGCTTAATCCTCGTTTTCAAGCCATCCCAACCCCTAGCGAACTTTCAGATGTTGATGTCTCAAATAAGCATTTTGGCGAGATTCACAAGATTTGACAATGCAGTAGGTGTATCAAACACTGGTGACATCATAGTAGGGCCAATATATTTTCTTGGGCTAATCATAACGGCCTTTCCTCATGTCTAACTGCTACCGCCCTTCCAGAACTATAACCCAGCCATATTTCAGGTAATCTCGATATAATAGCTATCCGCCTTGGCAAAACATTCGAACAATCTCGACCACACTGTTTCTTGTTTTCTTGTGGTCAAAGACTTGCCCGTGATCAAAGTCCTCAAACCAGACAACATCCATCTGACCGCTATTTCTCGAAAGATCGCTCACGTCCGCCTCCTCCAACGCCCAACTTTCAGAACCCTGTAGATACGCTCGGATTGCTCTTGTGTCGATCACGCTATCTCTACCGGCCAGTACCACAGCTGCGGGCCGATCTTGGATATCCTCCTTCCATAGTAGGTTGTCTGCCCAGAAGAAACGGCGGAAGAGAGTGTGGGCTATGCCTATGTCTTTAGACCCAAAGTAAGAGAGTAGATGCTCGTGGGGTATACTTGGCTCTCTGCATATCTGCGTCACCAAGGTTTAGTAACCTTCTTTGACAAATTTGAAGAAATAGCTGACTTACAAAGTTGTAGGCCACATCTGGCAGATGCAATAGAAACGAAACAGGGTCAATGAACAGGACTGGGCCAATGCTCTGGGACGTCTTGGGATTGCGAAGAAGTTGGGCAGCAACGACGCTGCCATATCTGTTCCACATGATTCACGTTAAAACGAGTTAAGCATAGAGACTTGCGGGGGTTGAACGTACGAATGTGATACCAGCACACACTTCTCCCAGCCGTGGGCACTCAGAATGCGGCGAATCTCATCACACATCTCACCCTTCAGCATAGCCTCACGTGTAATTCGAGAGCTTATCGACATTATCTCCAAAGCAATAATCCCAACCTGTCCATCTGATGGATCCTTGTTGTCTTGGGATTTTAAATCGGCTAGAAAGTTCACGTACGGGTAAAGGCCCACACCAATCCCGTGGATGAAGAGGATAGGAAGCTTGGTCTTGGACGTGTGTGGACGATGCCAGTACGTTAGGCCATTCGCATGTGACACGTAGGTCGCGAACAGAGTAAGAGGCCGAAGTGGAAACGTGGTGAAGAACTTGGGTAGTGATGTTCGGTGAAAGTTGAAGGAGTGGTATCTCATGGAAACAAATGCTATTGTGTCAACAACAAAAATGCACTAGATGTTAATGTTAGCAAACTCATAGTCCGACATATAGCTCTGCGTGATACTTACAAGATACCACCACAGACTTCGATGCAACATTTCCACCCGATCGAGAGTTAATCGCAAGCATTTGGCATTGCCTCGTCCAGGCTCGAGGGTTCTTCCCAAGAGCTTCTCAATCTCCTGCGTGTATTCCTCCAACTCCTCTTCATAATTCGGATCAAAGTCATCCGTATTTAAAAAAGCCCAGAGAATGAATTCTCTAACATTTTCGCGTTTAATCTCAGACTCAGGTGCATCTCTAAACCATTTTCTCAAATACAACGAGAGGTTTGGGATATTGTTGTGGCATTGGTGGAACAGCTTCCGGCGATCGGCACGGCAAGGAAGAGTGGGGTGATCTGCAGCCTTCTGCAGATGCTGATTGAGAGGTAGGTAGACTGCCAGATAGAACAGAGCCTCAAGCGCAAGCCATATCTGGAGTACTAGCGGGATTTGATACGGTAGAGTGAAGAAGATGTTGGCCAAGGAATAGACGATGCTGAGTGGTGCGATGAAATGCAGGACGGTGATACACACACGGATGAAGATATAGTCCCAGAGCGATGTCCCAGCCATTGTCAGAGCTCTGAACGATGAACCGCCCTTGATTGATAGATATCTTCCAAGTGCCCACGGAAATAAAGTTGTTCTGGCCAGAAATGCACAGATTAAATAAAATTCTAGCGTCACCGAAGTCTTGTTTTGTTGAACGGAATAGAGTGGATTTGTTGGGATCGTCCACATCCCACTAATAAATAACAGGGATCAACCCGAGGTCAGCCAGGCATGTGAGAAGAAGCACGACAACGACGACCTCGGCGAAGCACTATAAAACTTTGAGTAGTTGCTCTTATTTCACGTGTAACGACGAGCTTTCAGGCGTAGGAAGTGTAGTAAGTTAATAAACCGAGGGAAATTCAGGTACTCTCCAACCAATTAAAGGAGTGTGGAAATGGAACCGCGCGGTGATTTATCAACTAATTTCAACACTATAATTCGACAATTGTTCATATATAGCCAAACGTATATATCACCATATTTTTCAGTGAGAGTCCGAACGCTTTTCAAGTCCCAACTCCTAGGCACTATGGTCCTCCTTCATATCATGGTCCTGACTCTCCTGTCGGGGCTCCACTTCCTGTAGATGAGCATGTTGAGCAACAGTTGGCTCGCTAGTCTTTTTCTCGTTTGATGACCGCCGCTGATAATTCCTTTCAAGATTACTGGAGCTAGGTACTGAGCACGAAGGCTCTGAGATGTCTTGACGAATGGGATGCTCACTACCCGTCGTGACGCGCCCCATATCAGAAGATCGATGAGCTTGTGTAAGAGCAAAGTCCCCCGAGTCAAAATACTTCCTCCCCTTTGATCAACTAGTCAGTGCAAGTCTCGCGACTAATGGTGTTGAAGGTTTACTGACCTCCAACTGGTGGTGGAGAAGATTGCCTCTACTTGGAACTATTCCATATCGGCTCAGAAGAGCTTTGTTCTTTTCTGTTGCGGGCTCGGAAGTGCTTGTCTTATCCATATCAATGGTCCGAAGATGGGTGAGAAATCGGATGAATAGATGATTCGGTATTGTTGATTGAGTATTCATTCGTCTTTGTGCTCTTGTGTGGGTGGACATTTATTACCCGTTGAGTAAAAAAGTAGAGGGGTCCTCATTAGACCCGGCATTTCACAGCTGTCAACGCACGCTGAAGTCGCTACGTGGGGGTTACGTCAGACCATTTGTGAAGTGTCAAGTGTCAACGCAGGTGCTGTCATGTCAGTCCATGCAACCATTAACGTTACCCGTTTACGGGCTACACTTTTGACGGCACAGTGTCTAAGTATTCTACAGAGGGACTAGCTTTATTTTTTACTTGCTACACATTCATGGCGAATAGCTTGTGCCATCTATGCTTAATGAAATTGTGTGATTAGTGGGTGAGTGTCACATTCGCTTACTCCCGACCAAACGCCGCTGGAACTCGCGGGAAGCTTCAGGCCCATGGCCAGCCCGACAGCATCTCGAATAGTGTCAATGACCCTGCCAAACGATGAAGAGGTCCTTAATGCGATAAATTTACAAGCAAAGCCGCAAGACCATAGGCTATAGGTACGCTTCGACAATAATAGACAGCCTCATCGTGACCATGAGCAGTGGTCTCTACGAAAGGCAGCAACCTTTGACTACCATGCTCTGCATCTACCGTATGCGTGTTGTTCTTTCCGTCTCATCCACCGACGGCTGTATACCCAAAAACACTCTCGTCGGTATTCTGGCTTATCCTGGAGACAAGTCCGATAAACAGACGGACAAGGGCGGAAATCCATTCCGTTCTGGGTGTCGGTATGCAGTCAATGTAAAAAACAAAGTCTGTTCCCCCAGGACAAGGTTCACCCGGCACGTGGGCATTCCACTCCAGTCACCAGTCCATGTGATCTCGCTGTGGAAGGATGTAAAACAGGAGATACTAGACACATTTAGGACAAAATCAGGAACCTAAGGGTGGAACGATGCAGCCCAACGAAGGTCTCGGGAAAGCTGAAAGCATGTTCCTGTAAACGGGTTCTTATAAAGGGTGGTGTGTCGGCTGTCTTGAGGTTTGCAGGCTCACAAGGGTCATGTTCAATCGGTCGAGTGGTTTTGGTTGTGGAAATGGTAGGCGTTTGGAGGACTGGTCGCTTCTCCTCAATTTGAGATTCTGTGATGACCAAGTCGGCATTGTATCGGTTATGACGTCGAGGCATAATTTCTTAATGACAATACATGACGATATCGAGCTGATGGACTGATGAGATCAAGAAGTGGTAGGGGACAGGAACGCGTGCCCAAGCTTTCCGCGGGAGACCCTGAGGACCCTGTGGTTAATGGCGGGCGTGTGACGTACCAAGGGAGGGATCAATAGCCACCCAACGTGCGCTAGTTGGAATTCAGGGTCCTCACCGCACAGTTCTGCCTGCCCTAGCAAAACGATGATGGCATGGGGGCGACATTGGCTTTTAAATAAGATCATCAACAGTCCCCATGCGACGAATCTGTCTTTGGCACACAGTTCACTTCAAACAATCACACCTTTTTCTTACCAGTCATGTCTTCCTACTTTTCTCAAGACTACCCCAGCTCTGAGTCGCAAGACTCCACAGATTTGCAGAAATACTCGCTCTGGATGTCGCAGTTTACCATCGAAAAGATAGCAGTTCTGCTCGACTCCGCCAATGCCGATATTCTATTGAACCAAACACAAGTCTCAATCCCCAGCAGCTGCTTTTTGGCCCTGCCGAAGTTGGATGCATTGGCGCATGGAACGAACACATGATCGGCTTGTAACCACTTAATCGACTACCACACATCAAGCGCTTAACAGGAGATCGCGAACCAAACAACATCGCGTCTCTCTTTCTGCCTTTGACTTTTTCTCATTCATCGCACTCCGCGCATCACGCCTCGCCCTGAGTGGGCAGTTCCGATGGTGCGCGTGAGATTGTTCAAATTGGCTGGGGGTTTACATGGGCCAGGGATTAAAGGTGTCAGGGCCTGCTCGGGCCCTCATGACGATGGCGCACGCACTGTATGAGACTCGGAATTTTTGTGGTTTGACGTGCGGCCACGGGTCAGAGCTTTATTACTTATTCTACTTACTTTGATCGGAATAACACCAAACAGAAGTGACAGGTAACTGCTACATGCTGAAAACATACATTAACTGTCGTTTGTTCCCTTGATATCCATCAGTGCATCGAATGTTGGGCCATCCAGACCGTACGTCGACAAGACCAATCCTTGTCTTCTGTTGAAAGCTTGTCCTGCATGACGGGTGGATCATTGAGCATGTCAAAATGATAGTTTACTGGCTAATGCTAACTAATGCCGCTTAAATGCAGTTGATAGGGTTCGGTTAACGGACTAGCCTCCGTGAGAATAATAGGTGCAGAGCAACTTAAACGAAACCTGCGAATGCCGGGCAACCGGGTTCAGATGACCAGAAAAAAGCCAACAGGGATGTAAATGCGATGCCTGCAAACTCAAAAGATCAGTAATATTTATCTCCCTCAAAGCCATGGACCAATATTCCCTCATCTTACCCACCACCTCAAGTATTTGTTCACATAGGACGCATGGAGTCAAGATATTGCTGTGCCTCCTGCTCAACGTAGTGATGCACTGGAATGCAGTTACAATTTGTATGCTGTAGGACCTGCATCTTGAGACACAGAATCTCCTTGTTGAGGCTATCCACGTGGTTGCGCAGCTCTTCATGGCGCTTCTCCACGGCCTGCTCGTCCGACTTTAGTCTCGCGACTCCCTGCCGTTGTCTCATCCTGAATCTGATGGCAGCCTGGCGGTTCCTCTCTCGAATCGGCCATGTGTGTTCGTCCTGTGCGGGATATTTTGAGTGTGCTTCTTTGTGAGCGTGGGTCTCTTTTTGAACTCGAAATTTGCTGTCGCTCCCACTCCGCGCGTGAAGAGGTGCTGACGAACTTGCTCGGTTGGTCGACGAGGATATGCTCCCTCTACCAGGTATTCGATGTATCCCTGCCGCAGGTCGTGAAAAGTCGACCATTGTGTGATGCGGTTCGTTAGCGACTGGCGCGAATTGTTCGTTCGAAGGAGCGTTGCTCAGGGCATGATACTGTTGGTTTGCTCCATCATTTTCGAGATCGGGTTGTCGGTAGGATAAATATCGATCTTGGGCAGGCCCACCTTCTCTGTGGGATGTATTGAAGTAGCCCTCGTCTTGTGTGCTGTCCAGGAAGGCCGAAGAGTCTCTGTCGTCGAAAACGGTGTGGTCTGATTGCGAGCAGCCCTCATAAGCATCTGCTTCAAGATGTCAGCCTGGGGCGAGGAATGTTCGTGAAGAGAATACAAACTGTAACTCATCTGGTTGGCGATCTTAGGGACTTAAGGTGGTATTTCTGCCGGTATGCGGTCATGGGTATTTGCTGAAGATGGAAGGACAGAATGGCACAGGGACTTTCTGGAGATCGACGCGGGGTGGAATAGCGGGCTGGCTACTTGAAGATCGATGTCTCCACAGGTCCTGGGCCTAAACGGCCGCATCCTTGAACGAGTGGCAATTTACAGAGACCTGGTGGGCTTGTGACGGGCTTACTGCTAGGGTAGACAATGACGTGCTGCCCCATTCCAGGATTACCACAACTTTTGGCTACGGTTAGTTGTGGTGATTCACCCCTTTGGACTAAGAGTACAACGGGAGGGTTCAATTCGACCAATATCTCCTGACTGGAAAGCTTGACTTAGTTTCTTGCCTGTGCATCTGGTGGAAGAGGCTTGAAAGGCTTGGTTCAAGTGGGTTTCGGATCACTCACAGTGAAGACGAGCCTGTCAGAATCGCCCAGCTTTTATATGCTATCATACTTACCACCACTTATACTAGCTCATGGCTATGTGTCTTTATTTCAAGATATCAATCTTACAGTATATCTGTCGACACCTCGAACCCTTGCTACAGTTCTATTTAAGACTACGACTGTGAATGTTTGTTGTTCTTGTGCACGTATCAAGGAGACACGGGCCCAAGATCTCACAGAGCAACTAATACATCGGTTTCATACTTGCTCATTCTTACTATGAAGAGCTTCTATGCTGGATTTAGAAGTCAAATGGTCGCTTTATATGTATTGTTGTAACATGAATGGTGCGAAGTGGTTAACTGTTTAGCCTTTGCCATGATACATTATTATACTCTACTCTAGAGCATAGTCCCAGACTAGAATCTTCATTCATGTCGATGTAGATTACATACATTACTTAGCTTCCGTTGAGGAACTTATTGTATCTCATTCTTACTCTTCACTCATACTCACTGCTGTGAGATGTCCACCTTACTCCACCAGAACTCAGACTGCTTTCGGCCCCATTCATCATTAGAAAACACAGCCGCAGTTCCAGCATCTCCCCCAATCAACTCCTCATTCCCATCGCCAAATCTCAACACCTTGGGGTCCTTGGCGTTGTAAGCCTCCCACTTTGGTCTATCGGGGTATTCACCTGCAACGGCGTTGGGGTCGCCCTTTGCGATAAAGCTGGTGACATAGTGGTTGAGCGTCTTGGCCAGATCCTTCTGCGTTTGAGAGATAGCGATGACCTTGGGGTCGCACACTTCGTATCGCATGTTGTCGGCGTGCTGAGCACCGTTGTTCACGGTGCTTAATGCTGCCCAGTGGTAGAGATAAACAGGGACAGATGGAGATGCTAGTTCGGCTGTTTGTCGCGCAGGGGCAACGTAAGCGTAGTGAGCGTATGCAGCCTCGATGCGCTTATACTGAGAACCCATATCCTTGCGAGTTTCCTTATACTCTGAATCCTCATACTTGGCAGGGTCTCTGTATAGCTCTTCGATGGTATCAAGATCTTCCGAGGAAAGCAGAGGTAGCAACTCGGCCCAGAAGTGTCGGAACTGAGAAGATTCGGACATGGTCTTGTCGACGTATAGAGACCCCTCATTGGTGGTAAAGCCAGTCATGATGGGAACCTTGTGCCACTTTCCCTGCTTCCACGTCTCGAGAGGTGGACGTGCGATGATTTCGCCGTCGATGACAGGTTGGAAGGCCCAGCGCAGAGAAGGGTTGTATTTATCGAAGATTGCGGTTTGAGCATCAGTGACGACCTTCTCGGGCTGCTTCCGCAGGTAAGGGAAGATCTCGTTTTCTGGAAGGTCTTCAGGCACACCAATTTCGCGGAGGAAGTCTTTGAACTGAGCTTCGTGAATGGGCGCATCGTATGGCCTTACTGCTCGTGATGTGGGAGCGCCAGACTCTATGATGGCTTTGTGGAAGAGAGGTGCGACGCCCTCCTTGTAATGCATGATATGGTGACCGATCTATTTTTCGATTAGTTCTCTATCTCTCAATTGAGTGTCAAAACTTACAGAATGAGCACCAGCTGAGAGGCCAAATAAGGTGACATTTTTAGGGTCGCCGCCGAAAGCCTCAATATTCTCCTGCACCCACTCCATCATAAGAATCTGATCCTTCAGACCCAAGTTCAAAGCACCCTCTTTGGCACTCAAACTGGAAGGCAAAAATCCCAAAGCTCCAATACGATAATTGAAGCTAATCGCGATAAATGACTCAGGCGCATTGGCCACCATTGACGCCGTCTTGTGCATATGCGCAGAGCCTCTGTTGAACGCGCCGCCATGAATATACAGCGCGACGGGCAACTTCTCATGCTGACCTGCTGATTTACGGAAGACATTGGCTGTTAAACAATCCTCGCTCTTCTCAAGCGGTGGGCCTGGTAGAAGCGCCTTGCCGGGACCTGCAGGGCCATACTTGGAGGCGTCGATGACGGTGTCGGGTGAGGGTGACACTTTGACAGGGAGGCGGAAGCGAAGATCGCCTGTGGGCGGTTGAGCGTAGGGGACACCTAGCCATCCGTCTACAGGTTCGGGGAGGGAGTCGTGCAGCTTGACGCCGACGAGCTTGCCCTGGGGGATGGAGATGGTGGGAGAGTCTGAGTTGATTTGGCTACCCATTGTGATGGTTGGGTGTGCTATAGTGATTGATTGGGGATCGTGAAGCTGTGTTGGTTAAGTACAATTAATCCTCGACACTTGCAAAGGCCAGTATTGGGGTAATGCCACTTGGAGGCTCTCTTCGGAGTTCAAAAAGCACTCCGCCAGCAACGGCCCGGTTCCGACAACGGAATTACCTGTATCAACACTGGAGTTAGGAAGCAGATAACCGCAATTCACTCACAATCATTCCAAGATGGGAAATAAATTGTGCTTATCAACGCCTACTTGATCGGCCAACTTGTCGTACCCCGCAAACTCGCCCGTCAATCTGTGGCCGATCTCGAGAAATGGGTCCGGATTTTATTTCTGAGGGCCGAGTATCGGAGGTAGTATGATGATCCTCGTAAAACTGATTGCTGATGGGTATGTTCCAATTGGAGAGGATAGGCCTTGACTCGTTTGAAGAAGATAGGCTGATAGAGAGTGATAACTCAATAATGTCGGTTTCTGTACCGCCGACTTTTGCCTATCATGGATTTGCCAGTTGTGAGGAGTATATGGATCTAAACCCCCCCGTCATCCCTTCGTAGGGACGGATTCCATTATTCTAAACATTCTGCTTTACTTCACTCTTCCCTTTGCCGATAGTCGAATCCAGTGACTGATACTGATACACGAGTATCTCACAATTCGAGAATCCAACACAATGTCGCCACAACCGACAGGGCAGTTGCCCGATGACAAACCCTTCAAACCCACAGCAGCAGAAGAGCACATCGCCATGACAAAGCTCGACTCCTTGACTCCCGGCGAAGTCGTCGAGCTCGATGCCACGGAGACATTCCTGCGCGAGCACAACTTCAGCAACGAGTATATAGACGAGCTCCTCAACGACACCGCCCTCAACAAAAAGCTCATCCGCAAGGTCGACATAATCCTCCTCCCACTGCTCATGGGCACCTACATGCTGCAGTACATCGACAAGAACGCACTGTCCTACGCAGCCGTCTTCGACCTCTTCACCGACACGGGCATCACCTCGGACCAGTACAGCTGGTTTGCTAGTATCTTCTACTTTGCCTACATGGCTGCTGAGTACCCGTGGCTGTTCCTCGCGCAGAAGACGCGCATGGCCAAGGTAGTGTCCGGATGTGTTATTGCTTGGGGATGTGTGCTGCTTTTGTCCGCGGCGGGGAGTAACTTTGGTGCGCTGGCGACGTGTCGGTTCTTCCTGGGTGTTTTTGAAGCGCCCATCACGACTTGTTTTATGATGATTGTTTCTATGTGGTATACACGTGAGCAGCAGCCTTTCAGAGCTGGTATCTTCTACTGCTGCAACGGTGTCGGAGCTATGGTATGATGCTCTCTCCCATTGTCCTGTGTTTAACTGACATTTAACAGCTGGGTGGCATTCTTACTTACGGAATTGGTCAAATCAACGGCTTCCCCGTCTGGAAGGCTGTATTTATGACCTGTGGTGGTATGACGGTAGTTTGGGGCTTCGTCCTCCTCTTCTTCCTCCCTGACAGTATTATGACCGCACGCCAATTCAGCCTTGAAGAGCGAGCTCTACTCATCGGACGCAGTCGTCTTGCTAGAACTGGTGTCTTAAACAAGAACATCAAGTGGAACCAGATCCGCGAGGCTTTCGTCGACCTTCAAGTTTGGCTCCTGGTTCTCTTCATGCTTCTCAACGAGACTATCAACGGAGGTATTGCCAACTTTGGAAAGCTCATCATTAAGGGCGTTGTCAAGGATCCTCTTGAAACCGTTGCTCTTGGTATTCCAATGGGGGCATTCCAAGTATTCTATATCCTTTCTGGCACGTTCCTGGCCTCCCGTGTCAAAAACTGCCGCACCATTATTATGGCTGTTTACCTCATTCCTACGATGATTGGAGTTTGCCTGATCTGGAAGCTTGATCGTGAACATCACAAAGTCGGTGTTCTTTTTGGCTACTACATCATCGGCGCCTTTGTTTGTTCCTTGGTGCTCGCGATGCAGATGCCTGCCAGTAACCTGGGTGGCTACACCAAGCGAATCACTGCTTCTGCCATGGTCTTCATCGCCTACTGTGCTGGCAATGTCATCGGCCCCCACGCCTTTTTGGGCTCAGAGGCCCCTCTGTATCCCACTGGGTGTATCACCATTCTTGGCTGCTCGGTTGCCCAGATGTTTGTTGCAATCATGCTAAGAATACTGCTGGCGAGAAGAAATGCGCAGCGAGATGCGGCGGCAGCGGCTGTTGGGATGGAAAACGAGGATTCATCTTTGACAGATGGAGCTGATTTGACGGATTTCGAGGTGAGTCTGATCAACGCCCTCTTCTTGTCTAAGAGAACTTTTCTAACGATACACTACAGAATCCCCATTTCCGTTACGTCCTGTAAGCATAAAGCCAGAACTAGGTTCAAACCGAAAGAGTCTTTGTTACGCGCTATTCGTATACTACTAGCATGATTGAAATGATCACATTGAATGTGCTATTAAGTCACGGCATGAGCCCGAATCCACCACCTGTGACTTGGTTGGTGAAATATGCTGAAGTCATTAATATCCCCAACGCCCGTGATCATACTAGTCCTACTATCATACAGTTTTCCCTCTCTCGTACATAGGTCACTCATCGCTTCCTTCTGTCAGAAGTTTAGGCCAGGGGAATAACACATCATACGTTGCAGCACCTGTGAAGAAGCAAAGCCCAAGAACCCACTCTTTGCTATACAATCGTATTGTCCCAGGATAATCACCATCGGAGAGGCGAACACCAAGAGATACATGATGATCCAGATCATTTGCGAGATACTCTTCATCAGGTTCTTGTTCACACCAAAGGGATGTAAAAACATGCTCAAGTCCATTATCGTCGTGGCCCAAGAACGAATCCGCTTCATCAAACCTTGGGTCACGGACGAAGATTGCTCGCGCAGTTGTAGGCGCGCCTGACTCGTCGCAGAGATAGCCAAGAGACAATGGTTGGTCTGCATCCATGGCCCTCACTACTTCTCTGGCCATCAATCTTCGGTATCTCAGGCTGAAGGATTCCTCCTCGTCGACAATAGTAGCATCTTCCTCGAGGAAATATGTCATGTCGTCGTATATCTCTGCATGCTTCCTGCCCTTCTTCGCCCTAACTAGCTCGGCCAACTGTCTGAGACGTGTTCGTTCGTAGTCTGAAAACTGCCCTTCGCACTTCTGTGTTGGCTGTGACAATCTTGTTGATGATCGAGGGGCTCTAAGTGTTTCGCCCAACTTCCAAAGATGACCTCTTGTCACAATACCAGTTTCAGTGAAATTGACTTCAAAGAAGCGACAGCTTTTGTTAAAGGTAAGCCTGTTTTTCACAACCTCTGGAGCTTGGAAATCATCAAAGAACAAATCATTTATCTTCTCAATGATGCTTCCCAATCCTTCAGATGGCTCATCATTCTTGAGAATCTCCCCGTTCAGGAGACGCAGTGCCAATATCGAAATTTCAAGACTCGGGCCGTCTTTCCCACCCTGCTGGAGACTCGTCGTGTCTAATCGAGTTGCGTATTGACAACAATTAGCGATGATGGATAGACAATCCCACCTCACAGAGACCTCTCTATTCAGAACGTCAGAGACAATGTTCCCTGACATGGAACTTGACGCTGGAAGCAGAAGCTTGTATCTTCCAGCAGTATTCAAGATATACTTGATCTTTTCTTCGTCCTCGCTTGTGACGAAGTGGTGGCGCCTAAATGCTAAACAGAACGTTGTAGCCCTCTTAGAAAACTCGACGGACTGAACGCTCAGCTCGCGTGGTACTACACCAAATGTTGGTTTATTGCCAGTGCGTAGAGAGCGCTTCGCCTTTTCTAGACCTGGGGCGTGATGTAAAAGAAGCGTCATTTTCATGCCGGCTCGGTAGTTCTCCTGGAACGTCCAAGCTCTTCTCCACCATTTGTCTTTGGTGATTTCGTACAGTAGATCCAACATCTTTCGTGCTTGGCTGTACTCTGCCTTGCTGGCTAACGCCCCCCCGGCTTGCCGTTTGACCATTGCACCACGCAAGATGTCTGATAGAGTTTCCATCTCCTCCTCGCTTTGGATAGGACGGCCGAGGAGGGCAACAGGGTGATCGCTGCGCGAGTAAATCCAATCCATTGCATCGAGAGCGTGTCGCTTTTCCTTGCAGTCTTCGTGTGGACATACCGCTTTGCACTTTCTCTTCTGCGGGATGCTATGTCGATCAATCCAGAGGAGCGGGACACCGTGGCACTGCATGTATCGTGCAATTCTTTCTAAAACAGAGTTTCGAACTGAGGAGGGCCAAGCGTCTAGACCGTGCCTTGTCTCGATCAGATGCTTTTCCTCTTCCGGGTCCTGCTGCTCATGGTCCGAAGGTTCCCAGGTATAAGAAAGAGCAACAAAGCCTGTTTCCTTGAAGCCATTGATATTTTCCCGGAACCAACGAGGTGTTTCACGCTTCGCAACTTCGTCTCTGGTACGCTTTCTCTTCTTGGATTGTTCCGAACCCAGACACTGGAGGTTTTCAACAATCCATCTCATCTTTTGCTGCGGAATTCGGCATTTTTGAATTTCGAGCAGGGATGAGATTACATCAGGCTCGTCTTCGGGTGCAGGTGTGCCCCGGATGGTTCGTTTTTCGGTCATGTTATCGGCCGCTTGATAGACACAACGGGTTAGGTAGAAGTTAGTGATTGGGCATGGATTAATGTCCCCCTTGGAATTTCTTATGTCGGGGATGACAGACGTAAGTGGCTTGGGCGCGTCAAACGCGTCGTCATCTACCAATCACACGGTCCATGCACGACAATAAGCCGGCTATAGGGTATGGGAATCACATGAATATGTGTTATGAGGGAACTGATACGTTGCAATGATATTGACATCGGTTGACCTGTTCTGTCTCGTCTTATTATTTCCGGACTAATTAACCAGGATGATCAACCCCCATGCGGAATCTGTTGTCTTATGCTAGTCAAAACATGTCGCTCAAGGTTATTCCGCGGCTGTGATTTATGGTTTTCGACGTTTTTGTTTGTTTTGTTGCCTTTTTGTAATTTTATGCTTCCCTTGTTTCAAAACGCTCCCACGATGCTTTTTGAGACGTTATTTGTACCTCAGCCTTGAGAACTACTCAAAGATCTCGCCAGGGTACGTATCACCTCAGCAGGTGCGTAAGTGCAATTGATTGGCTGCAAGTGCTTGAGTGGGGTCGGATACGCGATACGAGTGATACGGGATACGACAGACATCACTTTTAAGATTGAAGATAACTTGATATTTAACCACAGCAGTTTTCCATAGTAAAAAATTCGACCATCTCATCTCTTCTTATTCTCATAATTGTGATCCCCACAAAGCTTTTTCCTTACCCTGGCAAAACCCCTTGCTTGTTCACACGGTCATACCAATACTACCATGGCGGTTTCAGCTCTTGTAGCTGTACGACCCCGGCTGTTTCCCTTCCGCATAAGTTATAAAGCCATCGCAATAAGAAACCTCAATTATTCTTTTACTTCGCGCGTGTATCAAAACCACAAGACTACACAGGACCCGAATCAAACTAGGCCCAAACGCAATACAATACCCGAACTGAATCCGTCATACCCCGCCTTCAATCTCAACTCACTTGGGCTTGGGAAGCGAATGAAAATTGCTGTAATAATCATCGTCAGCATCTTTGGGACTATCGAAACTTGGTTTTGGTGCACAGCTATTTGGCGGTGGTGGCAAGGACTCGGGGAATCCTCCAAATCTTAAAGCAGGCTTTGCTAGTAAGCATGTCTACTATACTTGGGAAAAGTCTGAAGCTAATATTGAAGCAGCGGTCCAGAACGGGGATGCCTCTACTGCAGGCACAAACATTCAAGGTGGCGATGTCGAAGTAGGACAAAGGAATAAAACTACCCGGATATATTTTGGTTAATCTTGATGTATAGTCGCCGGAGAGTCTCATTAGAGCGATCAAAGGTTGAATTTAGAGAGAGGCTGAGCAGGACATTAATTTGCCCTTATGAAATAAAAGAATGACAAGCTAAAATGGCCCGTAATCCAGCGCTACCAAGAAGCACCAGCTACCAATATCCATTATGACAAGAATTTGAGTGGTGTTCTGTTGCCCTGGAGTGCTTCCTCCCATTACAGCTTTGGGTACCACTCTCCCCAACACCCCAAGACAGCTGCGCTTCCGCGACCTTTCGTCCGTCCCGCCATCCTATGCCAAGCAATGAGTTCCTCACTACTTATTCCGCGCAGCCCGGCCCATCCACGTATTTTCTGTATGCGCACATGTCAGGCTAGATATCTACCATATTGAGCAGTGGTTCTGTGGAGAGTTGCCTATATAGGGTCAACTGGACCCGGAGGAACTCCGCCCTAGTTACTGTTAGGTGTTCAATTGAACCATTTTCCAAAATCCATAGCTCATCGGTCGGATTGATACAATTTGATAGGTTCACGTAGGATTCTAAAAGTAAGATACTAATATCCGTTTGGTGTCATGTTTAGCGTCCAGCTATTGAAACCAACACCAAATAGAATTCGCTCAATTTGCCTCATACCAGGCCGATCGTAGGCCGGTACTATTAGATCCGGATCGCTGTGGCAATTCCTAATATCGCTATACCATAATTGGCATACGTTCTAAAACGGGAACAATCGTGAGCAAGTAGGGTTTCGTTGTACTACTCTTGGTAGAGTTTCACCCTTAGCCGAGACTCCACTATGAAACAAAAGATCGTCTAAATTCCGATCGAGGTCGGATATATACGTGACTCGGCGTAACTTACTCCATTCCCTTGCTGGCCAGTCTTTCGTAAATTGGCTATATATACCTGACAACTAGGCCCATTTATAAAAAGATTAAATCCAACCTCAAATTCTAATTTTTCCTCGATCTCTACGCGACCCATTAGATAACATGGCTTCCCTTCAATTCGGCGTCCTCGTCTATGACTTCCAAGCTATTGATGTCATAGGCCCAACAGATCTGGTCAACTCATCGAGCAAAGCATACCTACAAGCCTGCTCAGGCTTTATGAAGATCGATCCAGAAGTCCTCTGTCGCACAAGCGATTTCACCTTCCACCACATCGGCGTCACTCGCGATCCCGTCATCCTCGCGTCGAGCAGCATCACCCTCGTGCCCTCGACTACCGTGGATGAATGCCCTGCACTCGACATCTTACTTCTTGGCGGACCCGATCCTGTCAATTTTGAACTGCATCCTAAGTTTGCAGACTTCATTCGAAATCATGTTGCAGCTGGCAAACTGCTCTTTACTACTTGCACTGGGGCTGCCGTTGCTGCGGCTGCGGGTGTTCTAGACGGCAAAAGGGCTACGATCAACCACGCAGTCATTCCACTCGTCAAGCAAAAGTTTTCCAACGTCAACTGGACGGATGAGAAGAAGTGGGTTGTTGATGGAAATTTCTGGACTGCGGGCGGCGCTGTGGCGGGGATGGACATGTTTGCGCATTGGCTCAAGGAAAAGTTTGGATCTGATGTGCTTATTCTTGGCTCCTCGCTTTTAGACTATGAACCAAGGGATATTGACGGGATGCTCAATGTTTTGCCGAAAAGATTTGACGAGAGTGGCAAGCAATTGCCTACACACTCTTTCAACTAGAGGAACAGCTCATCATTAAATAGCTCATATGGGAAGCAGTTACAAAGTTATTATTATATATTACATTATCTTAACTAAGATTATGAACTCCCGTGAGCTTTTGTTGATTCGAGTCACAAGTATCGAGCCCACGACACCTCAACTGCGAACTCGCCTTCATGTGAAAACCCGTCGAAGTTTGGTATGTAAACCTTGCACGGTTCCACGTCATCACCCTGCAGCATAGAGTTGTGTTGAGTGTAAATAATGGGATCATCTTTGTTGCCGTATCCAATCGTCGAATTAGTTGACCATCCACCGCTGTTGTTATAAATTGCTCTATTGTCTTCAGGCTTGATGCTCTCAGGTTGAGGCTCTTTATTAGACTTTGAGCTGTTCTTGTTGGATGATAGAAGTGAGCCGAAGACTGGTTTTAGTTTCTGGCGCATCCATGCCCATGTGCTCGGTATATTGGACGTTACGATAGCAACGAAGGATTCTCGAACAGCCCATGAAGCACCTTGTTGGGGGCCTGTTTGTGGGTTCTGGTAGATGTCAGGATTGAACGCCTGAAGTTTTGCGAGAGCAAGGGGAAGCACTTACGTAGAGGATAAGGAAGCACCGCAACAATCCAGCCGCTATAACAAAGATGGCACCAGAGAATAGCAGTAGCAGTCCATACCTCTTGACTTTCGGAATACCAGCTCCCCAAAGCATGGGGATCGGAATAGCGAGTAGGTAAACGTCGGTGGCAATGTTGAGGCTGACCACGATAAAGATATACAACTTGGATAAGGCAGGCTGGCACAAGTCTGTGATTGGTTAACATCGACTCAAAACTTGTAAACATTAACATACTGCCTGGGTCAGGGTTGATTTGCCAGAAATGATTGAATGGCTGACAGCTCAAAAGAATACATGAGAGTACTATGGCATATGTGGAGAGGATCATGCCAAAGCCGATATAGATGCGAGTCTTGTAACCTGCAAGACTAGCCTTTTGCCGTCAGCACTGTAACCGAAATATTGATAAGTTAGACTGGACTTACCGTGAGTCGGAAATAGAAGGCGCACAGCGCACTTTTGATGACCCAAAGTACTGTTGCGTACATAGTCCAGCCGGCAACTTGTATTTTGGACCCGCCAACTCTGAGTTCATATCAGCTTCTGGGATTCCTGTCGCGGGTGGTCTTCCACAAACCTCCATCGATATTCGTCACTCTGCGGTAATAAAGCATCGCGCTCGTCGTCTGTCATCCAGCTATTCGTTAATCCATGAAATCGTGCTCTGACCATATACGCAAGGCCCGATTCAATTGTATACGGAATGATGACCAGCAGCATCAAATAGTCGTCAGCCTCGAGGTTTCGGATGCCGACCTGCCGTATCCTTGCGTATGTTCGTAGACAGATGACTATGATTCCGATCGACAGAAGGATGAATGCCTCTTTAGAACAGGAAACATTGGTACTGGCCATGGCTGCATGCTGTGGTGAGGCAAAAAGGACTACGAGCCAAGGGCGATGCACTCTCTTAAAAGACAGACTTGGTTTGCTCTACTATTTACTTAACAGCAATACCAGGGACTAACCATGAAGTAAACCTATTACCTAGAGATTTTAGGGGTATCGGCAACTACCCACAGAGCGCTTTACTTCCAAGCATGATTTCATATAGATTGCCCAGCGTATGACAAGCGTATCACGAACGACGGTAAGCAAAACGCACAGATGATAAGAGGAGCCGCATGCAGCATTGAAGAAACAAGTGCTCGAGTCCTCGGGACACACCGGCGGCTGAAACGCGCATAGACGCTGCAACGGCTTGCGCTAGGGGATCTGCACGCGTCGTCAGGTCTCGGCTCGAGGGGTATTTCGTACGGGCACAATGTACTAACGTTAGCTAAAGCTTAAGGCCGAGCTGAGTTTCAAACTCATAAGCGAGCCCGCCTTGATGACTAAGACATCAAAGAACAATAATAGCAGTCAACCCTTTTGGTTTGAATTATCAAAAGTAGACCATCCCTTGCCCGGTGTGTTGATCCTGATTGGTTCCCTAAGTCTACTCGTAGTGTCAGGGCAAACCAATTGCATGGAATAGAAGCTCCCGCCACATCAAATCACCACGTGGTAAGACATTAAGTTTACACGGAGTAGATCCTTACAAAATCACATGTCTTCGTCTTTCAACACGACCAAGGCAATTCCTATCCATTCTGCAAACTAATAAGATCCTGAGGTGGGTTTCTGGTGAGAGAGCATGAATTAGCGGCCAGCTACCCGAGACAACTTTGTCTTTGATCTTCTTGTAAATCATCCGCTGCTCTAGCATAAGAAATTGAACGAATAGAACTTGTTCTAAATGAAGTCATGTAAGTATAATAAATTAATAGACCAAGTTAACAGATACCTTTATTTATGTCAAAGGTATTTCAATAATTTTAGATCTAAGGATATTTATCCATCGCCTTTAATTCGAACACTTTGGGTATCATCAATACATTAATTCTATAAGTTGTAATCTATCTCCATGTCCTACCTATGCGCATCCAAATTACTCTCCAAGACTTTTGCGTACTCTTTTTCTGTACTTCGAAGTGATGGATTGGAGCTGCCGGCTGTATCGGGGTATCTTGGGTCTCTCTCCATAGAGTCATCATGCTCGACCACCACCGATGTGATGGTGTCCATCTGAATAGCTGGTCCTCTCAATGACTCTTGACTCGTCGTGCGCGTCATGCCTTTCCGACTTCTATTCTCCGAGCCACTTGCTCTGGCAGGCCAAGTCCACCATCCTCCAGTAACAGCGGCCTCGTCTGTGTGTCGTCCTCCTTGGATCGAGATGGTATTTCCGAATTTTCTGTTGGTGGGCGTTTTGAGGAAAGCAAATGTACTCAATCCAACGTCGTTGCAAGAAATGTCGTACTTGGATGCAAAGATGATGGTGTTTCGTGTGGTGCCGAATAGTAAGCAATCGAAGGAGCCGTTGGACGCGATCATGGCGCCTGCGAAGCAAAAATACCCATTCGGAACGTGTGCACCAGCCATGGTGGCAATTCGGCCAGCTGCGAGAGGAAGAGTACACAGAACATAAATGACAGGGTAGATTAGGAAGGCTGGGTTGCGACTGAGTTGCAGATGCGCAGCGTCGCCTTCGTTCTCCGAGGCCGAAGCCTCGAAGGAGGCTTGACGTCGAATGTGAAAGAAGATGATGAGGTATAGAATACTTGTCGTACCAAGACCGAGGAAGATGTAGAGATAGTGGGTGAATAGTCGAAGGTTTTCGTACTTTCTATTCATCCAGCACTGCGACGAGTTAGTCAGTTGTTGATAAGTGAGTGCTTAGTCTAGTACTTACCCAACTTCCAGCGCGGACAAAGAAACCTCCATACTCAGCACCATTGCGCGTGGCTGCGATGGGAATAAGAGAAATAGCATAGACAAATACCCAGATAGCAACGATAACGCCATATAAGACGTTTTGTGGTGTTTGTCGTCGCTTGACCACTGCCAGGTACGTGTGGACAGCAATTGCAGTAATGAACATGGACGAAGCCAGATCTCCAAGCGACACAAAAAGACCTTGGGTATAGCAAGACGCTGTTCCGACAAGGATAGAATCGTGGCGAAGCCAGACGGCGTTGAGGAAAAAGGCTACTCCTTGGTGCATATCGGCGAGGAGCAGGTTGATGATAAGGACTAGGAACTGGTTCGGTCGTCGAGGTGCGACTTCGCCATCTTGCTTGTTGGACTCGCCATTGTTATCGGAGAATATCCCATCAATGCCCAGTGTAAAGTCAATGGCCCTCTGAATCGGTCCAGTGTGTTCGTGTAGATGTCCAGCGGACTGCGATTTGATGAAAAGACTCCATGTGGTGAGCTTGTAGACGAGGTAGAAAAAGAGAACGCTGGCAGAAAAGAAGGAAATGGAAGCCAGAACAGTAACCGCAGTCAATCCGTTGCGCAAATCAGGTCCTAGGGAGTCCAATGTCTGGCCCTCGGGGGGAAGATCGCCCCAAGCCATTCTTGCTCAGGTAAAGACAAAGAAACGAGCACAGGTTTGACCTGCTTTACGGCGTGACATAAACGAGCGGCATGGCGTAGGGGTTTTGATATGTGACAGAGATTCGCAGAGAAAACTCGACAGAACCCTTGTAATTGCAGGATTTCAGCGCAAAGCGGCACAGAAAGTCCGATGTCACGTCGCTTCGCAGGTAAGAGGCCCAGTTGGTGGTAAAAGGATCATTTTGGTTTTCAGGGCATCCCTGGCTATTTTACATTTTACACCGCTAGCACGGAATTTGTAGCCCCTCGGCCAATTCACTGAAGAAGTTTGCAGGGACCCTGTAACGCCACCGAGGCTAGCTAGCGTTTGACTGGAACGGACGTGGCTTGGAGGACGGGTCTTCCGCTTTGACATGTTGGTTGGATGGAGAAAGGAAGCCGTGGTTTGGTTGAACTGGTACGTAATTCGGACCCGTATTTGACAAATTTACAGGTTGTCGACTGGGGATGATACCCATCTTGGTCTGGTAATTTGGGGAGAGCCCAAAAGGATGAGCAAGGGCTCAGCTGTGCGAATGTGTCTGCAGCATGGATCTGAACGACCCGGCGATACCGATCTCCCCCAGCAACTCGCTTGATCCCCCGGTACGATTGGGCATAATAAAGTGTGGACGATCAGGGTGCAACACTGCAGTTCAATGCAACTGTATCTCACCGTTAAACACTTGCCGAGGCCCAAACATGTTCGCTCCATCTGTTCCTGGCCCAGTCCTGACGCTAGCTGGCTAGTGATAAAAAGTTGCGATCGGCGAAACGATAGCACCACGCGAGTCAGTGGTTTCGACTCCAAACGTCCCGCTAGAACCTTAAAAGGCAACCGTTAGTTCTATTCCGTGATAGCTTCACCCGCTAGCTTCGTCCCATGGCTCTCTAGCACCAACGCCCAGACATGGTTTACGAGAATATTTGGTTAGGCTACGGCAAAGCGTTTAAACGGCTCGTTACGCTCTTTGACATTTGCATTCCATGCGCTTGCGGTCTAGAATGCGAGATCTGCTCGAGCTTGATGTTCCCCTGCAATCAGCGATCGGGGACATGAGGCTCAGTGCGTACATGGCGCCATTTCCCACATGTTACGGCACGCCTGAAACACAATCAATTTTAATTCGCATTAGGGAAAGTCAAAACGTTTGGTCAATTCATGCAGCACATATAAACAGAGCACTTCTTCCGCCATGTGGTTAGCTGAAACCCTACCAATGCGTTGCAGCATCACCTGCGCATATTAACTCAGCCCTAAGCCTACAACTACATGCATCACCCTTGGGCAGTAGCTACAAGAATAGCACCGCCCTCTACGCGCTCTTCTCTCGAAATTGCCTTTCTACTTCTTCAGCAAACTCTCCAATGGTCTCGAATCTCCATTCAAACGCCACGTCCTGTTCCAATTTCTCGTAGTCACCTCCAACTCCCTGTCCCTCCTTCGTGCTTCCGCCCCGCGAGATCCAAACGCTCCTCAGGCCAAAGCGTTTCGCTGGGACGTGGTCTGCAGTTAAGCTTCTAGCTACGTGAAGTAATTCTCCCTGGTCCTTGCTCACGTGCAGATCTTTCTTCACGCTCTCAAATAGGTAGTCGAAGTTATTTTTAGCAGGCTTGTAACTGCCGATGTCTTCGGCAGTGCAGACCTTGTCGAACTCAATTGGCTCGAGATGCTTTAGAGTTTGTGAAACATTCGCGTTGTCCATGTTTGTAAGGGTGATCAACTTGTAATGTTTCTTCAGGATCTGCAGACCAGGGATCGTGTCGGGATAAGGTAGCCAGGTACCGGGAATCGACCCAACATGTTTGGTTTCATCCTCGGGTACAGACACTTGCAGTTCATTTGCAAGGTCTTCAAAAGAGCGTAGAAGAATGATGTCGTGACGAAGAGTTGGCTCCGCGGCTTCAATGCCCTTAATAATCTCATCAAACCGCTGGATCAACAGTGAGGGATTCTGCTTGTACTCGCTCTTTGTTGGAAGCCGGGAAATGATGGGCTGTAAGCCACGGATCATACCAGGTTCTTGGTCGATGAGGGTCCCATACACATCAAAGGACAGGGCCTTGAAAAAGGTAAGGTCAGGGTAGGACATTTTGACAAGTGGATAATGGGTAGTGGAGATAGTTCTTCTGGTGTTGAGGGTTTCTCTTTACTAAATTTAAAAGACTTTAACGAAGTAGAAAGCTTTTTTGAGTATGCTCGAAAGATGATCTGAACCATTGTGATCTTGTAATCGTTGTCTCTTATATACCCTATGCTTAAGGGCGTGGATGACACGGTTAGGATGCACTGCTGATCTCTGACGTCAACAAGGCATTTCGCAATACTTCTCTCTACTGCTTACATACACAAGATGCAGCGGAAGAGCAAACCTTCGGCTCTTTATTTTCTCAGGAAATCTTTCGTCTACGACCGCAAGTGCCGAGATATCCATCTCATTAGGTGGTGAGTAGGGCGCTTGTTAACCTCGAAGAGTTCTTAACACAATTTCAGGTGAGTGCAAAAGGCCTCTTTTAAATTTAAAGTAATTGCAATAAAATTACTCAGATATATAACATAATGAAGACGATCAACCTTGTTAAACTCGTTTTGTGACAAGGGCCAGCAATCAGAAGTTTGCGGATGTCCACCAACTCTGTAGACTCGGCCTAGGTCCTTTTCCACACTGCCGGTTGTGTAAGGCCCCATGGTGCTCAGCTCTCACAAACCTATCGCATGTACCCGGGCTAAATGCGAGAGACCGTATCTAGTATTTTTGTGGAGTTTGCCTGACTGGCCGGTGTTGAGATTGCTAACCTTTACACATATTAGACACGACTTACTGTACCACTGTCTCTGTTAGTTATTCCAATCGGTCGGATCGTGGAACACTTCAGCAATATGGGCCTTGAACTATCGATGAAGATGCTACTGACAGTAAGTTTGCATGTCAGAAGGAACCCCAAACCTTAACGAATAATAACTAAGAGGTATCAACAGGTTAGCCAGTAATCATCCTTGAATGGAAATCATATGATGGAGAAAAAGAACTCGTGAGTCAGAAAACGTGAGCTGAATGGGTCCTCAAAGTCGCAGTTTCGACTGCGAATAACCTCGGATCGGCAAAATGTTATGCATCATACTGAGTCTGGGATGAGCTGGAAAGGAAAAAGGTGAGAGTCATCTTACCTCTCTGCCAAAAGACTTGGGTTCTTCTCAGGATCTGCTTTGCCTTAATTTCTTTTTATGTGTCTCTCAAATCGGGGAATCTGACGACCTCATATATATGAATATTTCCCTTGAACAGGGAAAAACTATCAAGACCTCTCGAGGATGGGACAGAAACATTGCAGTCTCATAATGAATCATTCTGTATCCAAATTTCCCTTGCTTCATCAGACCGGGGTTTTACATGCAGGTAGCTTCCTGACCCTGGTTCTTCCTGCTCTTGGTACCGTACCGAAACCGCTCGGGTCTTCCTGAGTGACTTGTGAGACTCACCTGTTACAGAGATCACCGGCAGTCAACACTACACTTGAGAATATGATTTGCCCAAGTCTTGACTACGACGTAAATCCATTTATAGGATTTATATCCTGAGATTTCTACAGATCGGTCTTGTGGTCATTCTGTCATTATGGTATTTCCCCAAAGGTGAAATACGACTAGATCAGCTACAACTTCTAGCATAGGTACCTCAAGAAGGGTAATATTCTCAACCAGTTCCTACAGTCGCAAGTTACATGGTAGTAATACTATTCAATAGCGCATGGAAACTAAATTAATTGTGTATGCCGCCAAACAAAAGGTGCCACACAATAGGTAGTTGCATGGCGGCTGGTTGCACAAGCCAGTACCCCTGCTTCTACGCGACAGCAAGACCCGGATGACTCGGAATTATTCCAGAGCGATACAACATGGGTCAGAATGACTCATAGTGAGTACTCGACTCGGCAATCTGAGATTTCCTATAAGGCTAATATTTTTACCCCACAGCTATAAAAGCACATGGTCTATACTACCAGTCTACCATCTCACTCACTGTCCTCAGGCTGGACCAATGTACCCCTAAGTTCTGAACAGCTTAGAGAAGTTTAGAGGAAACTGGTCTCACATTTGTCTAAGTGGGTAACTAATTATGAGCATTTTAGTATAGTCTTAGAACCGACTGTTAACAGGATACATCATACGACTAATAGAATAACTCCCTATTTTCAGAGAAGTTTTCATGAAGAGAAAAAGAAACCCGGAAACGAGCGTTGCGCGAATAACACCTCACCTCTTCGGGGTTGCTACCCTCTTCTTCGGCCCTCCCAGGTCTGGTTTTGCCACAATGGTCCTCCCGACTAGCGGCCCGAAATATCGTCAAAACATATCACACCATTGAGCTCGGCCCTTTTTCTGGCGTGGTTATTCCATCGCGTTACCCATACAGATACTATTGAGAGACTCTGTCAAGCTCTCTCATGAGTCAGAACGCCCTTGTACTTTTTGGGTGGTGTTGATGCTGGAATCGAGGTGTTTGCAGGTCACAGATTGGTGCTATTCAATCTCAGCTACCATCCAGCAATTTGCTCTCTATGTGAATATCTATCAATTATCTCATGTGAAAGCAAGTAAGTAAAATCATATCATTCAATCGCTATATGCTTTGTTCGTAATATCTAACAGTTGACCGTTCTTTTCCATGTCTAAATAGAGTTGTCGCCACATGAGAAGACGCCACGGATAGAGCTTTGATCATTCTCAAAGATATCCAGTAACTCAGTAATAGAAGACCACAGTCCTCCACCATTCATGAAGAGTGATTGAACAATCAGGAGACCGTTGACAACACACAAGGCCATCTTTTTCCAGTTCTTAGTATACTGCCCCTTGTTGATGTGGAACCAGAAGATTGCACTGAGACCAAAAGTGAACCAGGCGATTGTTGTCGCAGAAGAAATAGACAGAATTGAGTCAAAGATAGGGATAGCGTTGGAGATAAGAAACACGACAATCCAGTAGAGGGTGACGCAGAGGACCCAGACGCTCCAGGATTTGACACTTCGGTCGGTGACTTGGTGGGTGGCTTTTATCGTTCGCATCGCGACAACGTACATATACTTGCAGCCAACATGCGCGAAGCTGATACAGGTGGCGAAGACGCAAGGCAAAACGACTCCGTAAGCTGCCATAGCGGGAACTCGAGGTGCGGATCCAAGGGCGGGAGAGGTGGTGTACTCGCCGGCAAGGCAGTAGATCACAACAGCGACGATCGTGTAAAGTGTGATAGAGAACACTTCAAGGCAAGCCAGAGCGTGGGGGAAATCTCTGCTGGGGTTCTTCATCTCGGCCATGTAGGAAACGAAGCCAATGTTGCCGGCGTAGGCGTAGCAGATCTTGAGACAGGCGTTGACTCCCTGGCGGAAAGTCGGGTTGCCGACGACTTGGATTTCTTTCTCCCAGCCGGGTGGAGCCTGAGAAGGTGCAGCGACACCCAAGCTAATCATGACGATTAATGCGGCGCCCAGAATGCTGAGGGTGGAGGGGATGCCGGATTGGGAGACGAATTTGACAGTTCGGGGTAGACACAGGACCCAGGAGGCGACGACAGCAATGACGACGAAGCTAACAGTGCAGAATGCGTGATGGCTGAGGGTGTTGAAGGCGACCGATAATGTTACACTGGCCGATGCGCAGGTCATCATAACCTTGATCATCAAACCGATACCCGCAATGACCTCAAGTGGTCGACCGCCAATGATACCGCACATATCGACGACGTTAACGACATGAGGGTATTTTCTGTAGAATTGGAGGAGTTCGTAGGCAGTGTAGGCAGAGAGTGAACCGAGACCAATAATGGCAATGACACCGGGGACGACACCGAGGACTCTAAGACAGCCAGGTAGTGACAAGACTCCCAAGCCGATCTGGTTGGTAAGTAGGACAAAGACGGTATCCCATTTGCTCAGGGTTCTGTAGTTCTCGCCGCCTTGATTGAAGATGTTCTGCACCGGCTCGTCGGAATGCTCCTTGGAGTACTCCATGATGTCGCCGCCATCGTTGGCAGTGTTGATCTCGTCGCCGTCAGCACCCCGGACGGAAGCAGGCCGATGGTGCTCCGGGTGCGCCATCTCAGGCTGAGTCTTTGCTGTCTTGTCCTCAACGCTCATGGTATTTGTCGTGGAAGTAAGAGCAGGGTGAAGAAAGTGGTGATGGATTTGCTGTGAGATCGCTGGGGGAGAACAACAATCAACGACAAATTTGAGAGTGCAGAGAAAACACCAGCTCGGTCAGGGCCATGCAGCTTTTCTTATATGCATCTGCCAAGACAAACGTCTGCAGACGGTTATCTCTCGTGGATCCCTTGGAAAAGCTCGTTATCTTCGAAGACTCACGGTACATCGTGGAGCCCCATGGGGGAACGTGAGTCTCTCACGTAAAAGTTAGCAAATCGTCAATTGCCATCAGGTCATGGAAATAAACGGCAGCGTTGTAGCGCCGCTTCGAGAACAATGGGGCCCGGGAAAGAAAAATGGGGAGTTCCAGGGCCGCGTTGTTTCTCGTTACGTTATGAGGGCAGCGATCTTTGCTGTAAAGAAAAAAACAACGAGACTGGAACTTGGAAAAGATCCATTTTATCCCGAGGGTCTGGTGGAAACTGAGAAGGGATTTAGAGATAAGAATGGGATGGTTTCTATTGCAACGGTCATATCTCATTATACACCATCTGGATTGCATACAACGGAAGAACGTAGTCAAGATGAGGCTCTTCGCTCCTCTCGGAGATGAGCAGGATTTGCTCTCGCCAACCTTCTCATCTTTGGCCTAGTGGACGCCAAGGGTACAAGCTTATTTTTTTTACTCCGGTCCTCGTACCACCAACGGAGGAAGAAAAACCTTACGTCGACTACCGGTCGGAATTGGCGAACCAAAAAAAAAGGTTGGAGCGATTTTCGTTACGCGAAAAATAGCCTCGTTTGACACATGCATTGCATTATTTGTGGAGTCGGCGAGTCGGTCTATTCTCTCACTTGTTCTTTGCCTGCAAGGGAGAAGCCGACACCGGGCGGTAATCGAGCTGTTGTTATTGGAGAGTTGGTAAAAACCGTCTGTAATTCTTTTGCGTCTGGGAATGATCTTCTCGGTGGAATGGTTGGAGTCGTAAGATTTTAATCTGCCGATTTTGATTGACTGCCAGCGAAATTGTTCCCGTTTATCTTGATGAGCTGAGGACCTCGGCTCTTTGTTGTATGTGTCCTGTCAAAACTTTTCGTATTGATCATCATGCGCGTACTTGGTGCCATTGGCCTTCGCATTCTCGAATAATAATGCTCGCCTCGCCTGCACCAACCCCAGCTGACTCGCCATGCGAAAGCGGAGAGTAATCATTGGGGAAGATGAAGGGATCTTTGTGGGGTGTGATTGGGGTAATGAGGGGGAGGTGAGATTCTCTCTCGTCTGTGCGGCAGCGTATTCTTACCGTCTTTGACTGAGGACCTCCGGGTTATCCTCTTGATAGTCCTCGGATCGTGGGGAACTGCAGCTTGGCAGTTGTTTAGAGTTCCAGAAATGGCACTGAACAGGCAAGCATCTCCGCGTTGAACAAACTCGCGGATTGTGGATAGAGCAGGGCCAACGAGATTTGCTAGTCTGGGGAAATGCCTGATACTACGGAGTTCCCCCATGTTTTGGAGTACCTCACTGGGGGGAAGTATAAGCTACCGTGCTGCTAGTCAGTTTACTTGACATCACTTTCCCTTGGCACCTATGCTCGGTGCCGTGCAATCCCGAAGTCAGTGTTATGTAAAATCTCATCTTATTTACGATGATCTCTCCTAAATATGTGTACTATGAAATAAGAGTTATATGATAGGCGCCACTGCCACCAACACCTCACTGGCACTTCCAACTATCTGCCTTCTTCCAATCGCCCTTGCGGTCCCAGACATTTCGGTAAGGGTATCTGCAGTGCTTTCTCTCGACCTCAACCTTGCCGGTGGAAGCACCGTTAACAAAGCGTTGTCCAGTGATAGTCTCTGGCGCAACACCCTCCTCGACCCATTTGATAATCGCCAAGAGAACGTTGTTGTCTGCAGTCTTACCGCCCAGGTTTGACAGGTTGTTTCCAATGCGAGCAGCTCCGTCTCCAGTTCCGCAGTGGCCGCAGCCGCTCACGCGGAAGTATCTGTAGAACTTATCCAGCTCGGTGTTGTCGAGACCCATTGTTCGTGACACGTGGTTGTAGTAGTCCATTGAGTTGTCGGAGCTGATGAGGCCGTCCTGGAGACCATGCCAGTGGATGATCTTGGATCCACGCTTCTGGAACTTGGACAGATCTCCCTCCCAGGTCTCGACGTTGAAGGGGTTGACCTCGGTAGCCTTCTCGTAATCGTTGGGTCCAATAGTGTCGGGGCTCCATTTGGCATCCTCCCAGATGACGTATTGGAACCATTCAGTAGAGTAAGGGAAAGGCTGCTCGCCAATGGCGAAGCCAAAGCCAGCTGATGCACCAGGGGGAATGCGAGGGTAGATGTAAGTACCGTTGTTTCCGTAGAGAGGCGAGAAGACCTTTCGAACAGTCTCAATCTGAGTTCCAGTCAAGCAGTCCTTGGTCTCGCCCTTGCTGCAGATGAGAGCCTCGGGGCGATATTCGCAAAGGTTGGGATCCTCAACCACGCCGTCCTTGACACCGTCCAGCTTCTCGTCGCATTGAGTGAGGACATTTTTGTGAACCATATTCCACTCGGTAGGGCTGAGATGAGTGGGAGCTCCAGGAGGACCAGTGATACCCCAGAAACTGCCAGAGCGCGACTGGAGGCCGTTGAAGCGCATGGCCGGGGCACCCGCCACAATACCGTCGAAATCATCAGGGAAGTCTTGCGCCTCCTTCCATCCTTGACGTCCACCAGTTGAGCAGCCCAGATAATAAGACTTGGTGTGCTTCTTGCCGTAGAACTTCTTGGCAATCTGCTTTCCGAGAACAACGCCCGTGTGCACCGAGCGGTAGACGTAATCCTCCACAACGCCAGAGTTATGGAACATAGCAACGGCTGAAGTCGAATTATGTCCATTATTAGTTCCGATAGTTGCGAATCCATAGTTGGCGCCGTATGCTACATCGCCGTACTGGATACATCCGGCCATGCCACCGTTTCCAGTGCTCATGAACCGACCAGTCCAGTTGGAAGGAAGCCAAGCCTCAACGGTGAGGTTAGACGCAGGGCCAGTCTTGACAAACATAGCCACACGACAGAGCTCGACATCAACGACCTGGCTCTTGGGGGTACATGTGGGGTGGTTGTCGGGGAAAGTGATGTTGCCTCCTGCTGCGACGTGCTCCGTGAACCAAACGGTGGTGTTGGGCAGCTTCAGCGACGTCTTGAGCGCAGCACACTTTGCGGAAAAGTCATCTTTTGCGCAAACGCCCAGTCCTGAGAAGAGACTGGGAAGCAACAGAGTCGAGAGATTAGCGCGCATGGTGTCTGACGGAGAACAAATGTCAGGTAGAGAAGTCGCCTGGCGAGCCAACAAGAAGGTCTGGAAGAGCAGCCACCGGTTCATGGTTATATATCCGTCGTCGCATAAATATTTACCATGAAACAACCCTTGTCTTTGCGGGGGTGGAAGCCGGATATTTTTCCCCAGAGCTCAATTAAGCAAATCGCCGACGATCCCGACCAAGAATACACTCCTCGGCAATACCATGGAGGAACCATCGCAGCAAAAAGCCCAAGTTAGAAGCTGGGAACAGCGCGGCAGTTGGGCCAAGGAGGGGAAAGGGGGAGGTTTCTAAAACCTCGGCATGCCTGACTTGGACTAGATCCGGGGTGCATGAACAAAACAGTTCAATGGGGTGCTAGCTTGCGAAATGAGCATATGCCAACAGCAACAGGTGTGATGTTTCGAGCATAATCACCTGAAGATTTTATTTGCAGGCAAGGTTTGTTGACAAGTTATATAGCCACCAATAGACAGTGAAGAATATCAGTAGATATCAGCTCATATTGTTTAAACATCTAACAAGTGGTCGCATATAAAATAAATCATCACTGCTAAGCATTTCACGTCCAGTCGTCGTCAGCGTTGATCTCTCTGATCGTCTCATCCAAGTATGAGATTAATTCTGCGATTCACCGCACTCCCAACTTCAAGGAAAAACAATATACTTGAAACATCGCTCCATGGACGAACGGCCATTTCATGATCGCGCCACTTGAACGAAAGATAAAAAATGGAACTTCAACAATTTCCTAAGAAACAACATAACCTTTGTTTTTTATTTTGCCCGGAAGTCGCTTATCGTATTTACAGTTCAAGCTACCCGTGAACCTTATCGACTCGATTAACCTCATAAATTTTGTAAAGGTGAAGAACCCAGCTTCGGTTAGGTTTCCACGTCGGATAGTTTCTCTAGCTTCTTCGCTTCGGCCTTATTCCGGCGATAATGTGAGCTATAATCCAGAATCGCAAGTTAGGCCCATCGTCCACGAAGACTCAATATGCCTGATCCCAGACATATCGCCGTTGGCATAGCCCTGGCAGCTCGTACCGTCACACGGTCGCTGGCAAAACCATCTACTTCGCATCAGTTTCATCGTCTTTCAATCCTTTCCGTGATCACTTACCTGCCACATATCAATAACGACATATTTGCCGTTAGACTCAGCAGGCGGCCTCTGCAAGACTCCAACAGCAAGGACATAGTTCAACCACTCATAATCCGGATGTCCCACCTGAAACACACCCCTAAGCAGCGTTCGTCCATCCGGCTGCGTAGGTCCAGAAGTTTGAATATAAATATCAACACCATCGTGCGTCCTCAGGTTATATCGCGTGTCCGGAAAGAAGACCCCCTTGGTATCCGTCAGACCCCAATCGGCGCCGAGATTGGACACCGTTCCGGAAAGACGAGGACCTGTGAAGGTCCCGCCCGTGATGGGAATCACGACACGGTCACCTTGGCTGTAGTTGCCGATTTCCCAGTACTCCCCCAGTGTTACGTTGACTGTGTAAAGGAATTCGTAGGATGGAGTGCCCATGATCTGGGCTGCTCCGAGGAGGGCATTGCAGACGATGAGAAGGGTGCTAGTGAGTCTCATGATGTCGTTCAGACTTCAACGATTCTTAAGCTGATGTAGAACAAACCTGGCTGGAATTGCTCTATTTATCTAGTATTTTATGGCTAATGTTCCCCGGATCGCCAGATCGATCGAAGGAATCACCGAGGTGACGATCATGGAGAACGGTGATCGGCTGGTCGTGAGGGGTTAACACCCCGCATAGATGTCGGCAATTGATCCGGCATGGAACCCATTCAAGATGCAATTATGTATATGGGCCAAGTTGAGTTGAGAATGGCCTGTATCGTTCTTTAACCACAAGAGAGGTTAGGCGTTGAAGTGTGGGGGGTACTTGGTATGTGTCTGTATGCAAGGATAGTCGATGTTGAATCAGTCTAGACTCAGAACAGTAATTCCAGCCGCGATAGTTTCCGAGACCTCGTTGAAAACATTTTGCCTAAAAACTTGAGCTATATATGCATATGCTGCTCGTGGTATCATTGGCTGTGGGTCTGCTCCTCGAAAAACAATGGTATGTCGCTCTCGTTGACAACAGACTTCTCCTCTGGCGCTCTGGCAGCCTCATTCTTCTTTCGCCACATAGCAGCTCTGTCTGCTTGGCGTGTTGTTCCCTCCCAAGTTCGACCTTGCAGATGTTTCAAGCAAAGTTGTTTCCCATCTTCGGGGTAGTAAACCCAGGTTCCCCATTTTGCCCACTGCTTCAGTCAGCTACCGCTGGTTGATCAAGCGCAAGCATACTGGGTAAACATCTCACTTACCTGTCCATCCTTCATCTGAGCGCGAGCTCGTTGCCCGATCTTATCCTCGATGAAGTCCCCCCGAAGCATCGCCAGTCGCGATGGGAACACACGTTCCAAATAATGCGCCGTTGACGCAAGGTGCGGCTTATCATGCCAGAAATACATGGGCGCCAAGGGGACTTTGACGCCCGGATGTGACGGTGCTTCGTAGTCGCGAGTAAGATATGACGATAACTCTCGAAGAGTTGGGTTCTCAGTCGCATATGCGGAGGTGGCATATGAGAGCATGCGCACTGCAGCCAAGCAGACATACTTGATGGGTGCTTCTGGGTTCGACTCGTGGGTTTGCATGATTTGCAGAAGAGGCTGGATAGGCAGATCTGCTACCAGTGCCCAGTCATGTTGCTGGACCCAGACGTGGGGGGTTTGGGTTACTCTTAATGCCGACCTGACTGCGAGACCAAAACCTAGACGTCGCGATGGTTCTATAAATGTGACTTCCTTGTCGGGGCTGTGTGTTATCTTATAGTCGACTGTATTTTGAGGGGTTGGGCTTCCATACTCCGCGGTGGCATCTTGCTGTGTGAACGCGGTGGTTGGTGTCTCATGGTGGTATTTATCGAGTATCAAATCTTTCACATTCCTCTTGTAGGCGCTGAAATCAGCCGCTTGCTGAGGCGTAACCTGCCCTTTCTTGAGCCGCGCAGTGGGAACTATCTGATCAAAAGCGTCAAAAACAACGACGACATTACACTCCAGCAAAGCGGGACAATGCCTCTCAAATGATTCAAGAATTGATGATACTAGTTCCGTTGACGGAGCAGATGGTGTCGGCGACGTTGTGAGAATGACAGTCACGAGGCTTCGCACGGTCGCATCGCGTGTCATTTTTGCTTATGACATAGGTGTCGATGCCCAAAGACCAGCATTTACCCTGTATGGCGAATTGACGTGTGGCTTGTTGGGCTGTGTTTGAGATCTGAGTCGGGCAGGGGATGGCGGTGAGGCTCCATGGGACGGGCCGCTTCGATTGTGAATGTGGAAAATTTTGCGCCTGCAGGGACGATTAGTGTAGATGACGGTATCATGGAGACGAATACAGAGTAAGTTCGACCTTCTTTGTATAATAAAGGTAAATAACACTGATATTTTGTCAGAGTGTGCGCAGTAACTGATGCGCATCAATCGTAGAGCATATACAGGGCATAATTATTAATTCATGATTGAATCATCCTCAGTATTGTTGATATGTTACGACGCGACGCAAATACAAACGAGTTAACACTGTGCACAATGACGTGTAACACTAAGTGCATGCATCGCCAAAAACACCAGACACGAGAATAAACCCAACGGCTGGCTAGACTCAATCGACAAATAGCAAAAGTCTAAAGCACATCATCAAATGTTTCATCGTTTAATTCCCTGCCATTTCAAGATAGCAAGCCAGCCTTTGTCTGGATTTGTTCCATTGTTCTAACTTCCCCTTGCCCAGCCACCAACCGCCTGAGATTACCTGCATGTCATCCCTGACAGCCAAGCCCCAGGATTAATGCGGGCTGCCGCTGTTTCAGCAGTCGCAACACTTGAACATACATGATAAGAGAACGTGGTGCAATAGGAATCCATCTCGTGCATTCAATTGCTCCGTGATTCGTATACAGCCTCGATATATGGATACGGACTGACTCTTTTGGCGCCATTGATGCATGCCCCCTTCAACACTGTGCTACCACAGGCGGCTGGGGTTTCTTGCTTCCTTCAGTGGCCCACAGGGCCAAGCTCAGTGCCTTGGTACACCACCAAATCCCTGGAGGCCCAACCACGGGATAAAAAAAGAGCGACTGGACTTGACACCACCAGAAAAAGGAGACACGCACTCTGCTCAACACCAACCTCGCCATTTCCAGCCATCGGGTTTCTACCTTCTCACTAAAACATGAATCAGCTCCGATATAGCTCACTGTAGATTTTCCCTCTCATTTCAACTCACCTCACCTTTTTCGTTACACTCTCTTTCTCTCTCTTTTCCTGTCGCTGCCCGCTTCTTCAATTCATTCCTCCAAGTCTCTGTCCCATCCACCGCTTTTTGAACACCCCGCACTCAAACGTCCAACAATGGCTACAATGGCGGCTCCTCACCAACCGAGATACAATCTCGAAGACCCAGGCTTTGAGCCTCGTACCGCCCGCGACGCACGAGAAGCTGCGCGCGCCGCGAGAAATGGCCAGAGTCCGCGATACAGACGACCTCAGTCTCCCGACCAGCTCGACGATTATCGCTTCCAGAGCGAAGAGTCCGAGATACGGTCTCCCACGTCTGACGTGGCATTGCAGGACGCCATGCTCGCACAAGCACAGCAGCAACAACAGGTTAGTTCACCTTTTTTAGAAGCTCGGATTGTTTTTTTGCGCTATAGAAAGGAGCAGCGAGTCTAGGCAAAATCTTTATTCCGTGCTCTCTCCCCAACCACCCCTGAAAATCTCTCAATTGACTTTTTGCTCAAGCGTGTCGTTCCGGTTGGTCAGGTCCCTCGTAACGCAGGTCAGCGCAGACAACCACCTCCCGGTCAACAAGGTCCTCCAGGTCCCAACAACAATCCCAGCATCAACTTCAACGGCAGACCCCAAGGACCACAAGGACCCCCTATGCCTCAGACTCACCCCGGCCCAATGGAGAACGGTCAGCAGCCCAATGGCCCCAGAGATGGCGGTCGTTACAGACGCCAACCATCGCGTCGCGCCTCAGAGTCTGAGCCAAGACCCCATGGTGAATCTCCCCCACGAGCAGGCCCAAACACCCAGCAGAGCCGCATTTCTCAATCCATGGCCTCGGAGCACCACCAGCAGCGTCGCGCGCCTTCACCAAACCGCCTGACAGTCCCCGGCGGTGGCGACGACATCAGCCGCATCCAGAGCCCCAGCATTCAAAAGAGCGTTCTCCAGCCCCTTGAGAAGAAGATCCACGAGTACGACCATCTCATGCACGAGGCCCAGGCTCAGATGAACCAGCTCGACGAGGAGCTGCGCGCTCTCGAGGACCGACGTCGCCAGGCCGAGGACCGCTTCATTGAAGCCAAGTCCAAGCACGACGAGTACGAGCGCCAGCACCAGGACGTCGGCAGAGCCCTGCGAGGAGAGGTTGCAAGAGAGGCGCCACCCCCCGCCGTGCGACAGCCGCCGCCGATGCAGCGCATGGACAGCATGGACAGCTTCGATCAAAGACCCATCAGCGCACAGAGCTCTTTCCACCAGAAGCCCAAAAAGGGAGGCATGCTGCGGATGAGCTTGTTCAACAAGAGCAACTGACTAGGGAAGCGGAAAGCTTGAATCATGAATTTATGCGATAATGACAAATGGATATCGACGCGCGGGGAAAATGAACGAACGGCCTTTTTTTTTTTTGGAATTGGTGGCTTTTTTCTCATTCTAATTTTCTCCTGACCAATATGAACAGGACTTTCAGCTTACATGTTCGTAATACGCATTTGCTGTACATAGATTGCTGAGGATGGGATACTTGTTTCGATCTTAATACTCTGGTACACTAAAATATTATGATTTTCATTTGAGTTGCAATTCGTCTGTGACGTCTGAAATCATGCCATGACGTCAACTACGGCTCGGATCCTGACATAGAGAATAATAACGAGATAAAACTATCTGTAATGTTGCTTGAGCATAATATTATATACTATAAACAATAAGCTACCTATCTACTTGTCTATCTAGTAATTAATTAAACATTATATTAAGTAAAATAACACCTATTTTCTACTTTCTATTTTAGGTCCCTCCATGTCTATTCAAGCCCGTAGTTATTTTTACTCGTTGAAGTAAGATCAATACCTCAAGCTTTATAAATGTAGTTATGTTTTTTCGCAAACAATATCAGATACTACTTATCACTCGAAGAGTATTAAAATCTAAAAGCTTTCCGGATTTATGAAAGAGTCTAGTGTATTTAGTTGTTATTATAAATGTTTCTATAGGGTATCCTGAGATCATTAGATGTCCCCTTTCAGGCTGCTACCACAATTGATATTGACATACTTAGTGTTCAAAAGTAGATCAAGATAATGTCAAACCGGAGATTAAGCCACTTGCCTGTCTTCACTGCTTGGCTATTAAATACTTTTTTCAGAACTGTACCCTTATTGTTTAGACAGTCCTTGCCCAAGCATAGACAAGGGTTTAGTGTTGAGAATATTATTGTCTAGAATTAGTCACATTGTTGACAACTCTTATACTATCATAGGTGCAGTCTCAGCTGATAAGAACCCTATTTATAAACTCGTAATGCGGGATGATCTACTTAGAATAGAGGGGGAATAAACCTAGCCTAGAGATATTGACTCTGTGATATGATCAGCAAGACGATCCTCTTTATCCGGTGAATGCCTACATTTGCATTGATTGACTGGCCCACCAATTATGATGTCTTATGCCTCCGCTGCTGGCGGACCTACTCTCTTGGCCTCTTGGGTGTCACTTGCATCAAATGATACGAAATCAAAATTGGGAGCTGACTGTCTATCCCGAATAAGTATCTTCGTTTGGAGAAACTGTAATTCCTAGGGGAGCTGAAAATTGCGAGGACAGGTTGATGGCTTCTCGCTGTCAAGTGCTTTAAATCATCTAGCTTATATTAAGACCCTAACTCATTGGCTCAGGAAAATAGTCCACGTCATTGTCGCTCGATATCAATGTCGTCATGATTTATATTGACATTCTAAGGTCATATCTGGAATTCCTTTCTTTAATTCAATTTTTCACGATAACCCTTTGAAAAGCAAGATGTCAGACTTATCTAGCCGCAGTTACATCCGATGGGATGAAAAAGGCGTCGAGGCGATACCTGCAAACGAAGCAAAGGATATTCAAAGTATTGTCGACAAGATAAACGAGACGCAGCGACGTTTCTACGAACAGAATGGGCATTGTTTTGGAGGGACACATGCGCGCACGCAAGGGATTGTGAAAGGAACGCTCTATGTTTCGGATAATCTGCCACTTCATTTGAAGCAGACAGAGCTCTTTTCTCAAGCCGGGGAGTACCCAGTCATCTGTCGATACAGTTCGGAGCCGAGCGACCCCAAGCTTGATGTAGGATCGGATCTGATTTGCTTGATGTCCGACTAACGATAGGCCAGGATCGCATTCCACAGCCTCGTGGTTTGGCCATGAAAGTTTTTAACGTGGATGGCGAGATGTTTGAGGCCGGAAGAGAATTCCCGACCCAGGACATTGAATTTAATAGCACACCAGCCCTCGATTTAGCTGATGCCAAAACAACCAAAGAGATCCTAGATCTTCGACTCAAGTATGGTTACAACACAAAGGAGCAAGATGAGAAGATCAATGCCCGATCAGACAAAAAGCTTCAGCAAGCGCGTAACCAGGTCCAGAACAAACATTTGGAGTCTACAACGTTTTACTCGCAGACTGCGTATCGATTCGGCGACTACGTTGTCAAATATAATTTGGTCCCATGTAGCGAAGCGCAAAAAGGTCGCAGTGAAGAGACTGTTGACAAACAAGCCGACGGCATTTTACACGAATGGCTACAGGACTTTTTCCGTAACAACGAAGCCGAGTACCTGTTTCAAGTGCAGCTGCTGGAAAACCTAGAGGACCAGCCTGTTGAGTATGGTGGTACTGAATGGGATTCGGAAAAGTATCCTTGGCAGACGGTTGCAAAGCTTGTGCTCCCAAAGCAGGAAAGCTGGAATGAGGAAAGGAATAGCTTCTGGGTCGATCATCTACGAGTTGACCCATGGCATGGCCTTGTCAGTTTCCAGCCACTCGGGAGTCCAAACAGACTTCGACGTATATGTAGGTCCCGTATTAACCTCTAATTGATACGAAGCTCACAGGTGTTGCAGTGTATCCAGCCAGCAGCGCGTTTCGAAGACAGCTGAATGGGAAGCAGGAAGTTAACGTCATTAGCATCAACGAGATTCCAGGCTACTAGGTATTTCTCGCAACGCTTGAGTGGTGCTCCAAGCCAAGGGTGGTGTGGTAGTATTTCAAGGCATGTTGCGCCAAACTAGTTCCCGCTACCCCAAGACAAATCGTGGGACTGGTCGAGCCGTGCTATGTCGGTGGTCGAGGGTTAGTTCTTGTATATGACCCTAGATTCTTGGGGTGGGCATATTAGTTCAGAAATCTAGGTCCAGCTCTTCTCGTCTTTTGTCGCAAGGTCCTGGGACCGGTATTGAACGTTGGGTAGGGTGATGTCCCGGAAACGGGTCAGATCCGGAACTAGATGGCGGGCCAGAGGTCTCACAGTCAGTGTTTGATACGGCTTGTACTAAGAATGCTTCAGCATGATTCAATTGATGTTAAGTAAACGGATGAGAGCGTTCCTAGTTTCATCAGTACCTACTGAAGTGCACCAGACATTAACTTGGCCATTCGAGCTTATTGCTGGCTAACAATCTTGGATCTATTCTATTAATGAACTAAGACCGTTCGAGAAAACATTTTGTCTATTACGTATTAATTAGGTTGCATAATATTACAGTCTAGCCCGACTAAACTCTCGGGTCGCCAAGTGGCTCAAGTTCTATCGATGGCCCTTCTTCCTGGTTTGCTCGTTCGTGTCGTACACTGATCTGATTTGTTCTCGTAATTCCATTCGTATTTCGCAATGATGTTTCTTTGTTTTTATGAGTCGGGAGGTCTTCCCGTGAATCTTGCCAACCTAGGTTGGAGATAATGACAGCTTCATGTCGACCATATAGAGGACCTGGATTATACCAAGCAGAGCTGAACCTTGTGCGCTTTGCTTGCAAACGGGATGTGGATCTGTCTGATGATCGGCATTGATAGTCTCTCGGACTCATCCAGAGCTTGGTGTGGAGCATTCTCCTAACCTAGTTAGAAATGTGAGCTGCGCTGAGTAATAATACTCACAAAACGGGGATAGATATCGCCATGATCGACGCAGCCGGCTCCGCCAAGGTCCAAATAGTTAGATAGGCACGTTCATAAGTAAAGTCGGGGCTCGTCATAGTAGGTGCTAAAGTTGTCTTGACGATAGCAGCCACTCCGGCACTAAATAAGTATAAGACAGCGTGCCTTGAAGGGTAGAGGAAGAGGTCATACACGACACCGAGACTCATTGCTATGGCAATCCCTATTCGTTCCCTCCAGTGGAGGTAGAATCCTACAATGATTGGCCATGGTAAAAATGCTAATAGAAAATCCAGGGCGGCGGAATAGCCTTGCACAGCTTGTTAGTTTCGGCAGGGTCTGTCGCCAGGAGGAGACTGACTACAAGCAAAAAGCTGGAAAATGAGTAATTTCTCCTTGTTCCAGCATTTGCCGGGGGTTGACTTATCAATAACCCTCTCAAATGGGGTGCATTTGAGAAGACCAAAGATCCATATCAAGTTGTAAATAATGTTGACGGACACGATGATCCATATAAGCAACAATTTCATCCAACGACTGCTCGTTAAACGATAGAGGGTCACTGCAAACGCTGTCTTGCTTATCGTAGTTGCTAAACAGCCAAACGTGGCAACGAGAATCGTATTCAAGCTGATAAGTCTTAGATCGTCGTGGCTGATAGTGTCTATATGACTGCCAAAGCCAAGGGAGACAATGTACGTGTTTATGGATACAGCGATCATTAACATAACCTGCCAGACAACCGGCGGCATTAGCTCTAACACTAAGTTGCATCGTGGTGTAAAAGCCATCAATCGTTTGGATTACTCACACAAGATAGACACAATAGGTGGTCATCCCACCAGAGACCCTTGCCACGCCAGAGCTTACAGTATATACGTAGCAGCAGCAAGGTAGTGGCCGCCAGAGTCAACGCCCAGCACGAGATGACAATGTGAGCTCCTCGATTATCGACCATGACGAGAGGCTCATTTTTCGCGGCTAGCGGAAATAAAAAATAGGATGAGAGAACTTCGTGGTGGTCTTGCCCCATAATTTTGCTGGACCCTTCCTTTATACCTGAAGGGAGATTAAGGTAGGGAGAGTCGCTCAGAAACGCCACCGGCTTTAGTGCCGCTAGCTGCTTATAAAAGGCGGTGGCACTGATCTTGGCTGCTTGAACATGAATCAGCCACATAGACGGCGGTGCTCACATGGGCCGAGATATCATTGCTGCGCTTCACGTTTAGTGTAGGGGAATAGAGCCTCAGGGATGACTGAACTTGCCAAACTGTAAATCTTCATCTTGTTTGCGGCCATGATCGACAATTGCAAGATCTCTCAAAAGTCTCGATGTTTGGGAGTGGGCGGAATGGTCTGCCATCCCTTTTCAATGCAAGGGTCATGATTCGCGCATGCGAAATTAGCTCTGCGCCATGTCAAGCCTCAATGAGCTTTCGGCAGTTTGGTCATCTTTCAGACTGTTAATTCGTGGGGAAAATGAACCAGTCTAGGGTAAATCCGCAGATCTATGTTGCCGCACCTGCCGGGAAACTTCCCTTCTACCGAGCTTTCCGACCATCTACCGGTAGGATACCTCTATGACGTAGAAAGTATTGTTGCTACAGGAGGGCTTGGTGAACGAGCAAGGCTTCTGGCGGAGGTGTGTAGACCGACGGAAGATGACACGAATAGTGGGATTAATAACAACCAATGAATCCCCTGTTGGTACATGTTTCTTTTTCTTACTCTAGCATTGTTATTTATAGCGTAGCTGAAATAAATATGTCGCCATGACGGCGGTCATTGATATTCACGCTACCCTTTCCACGTGATGCATTTACAAAAAGGTTGATTGTTTAGAACTGCTCTGACAGAAAAAGCGATATCTATGACGCCGGATGTCGCAGGAACCTTGTCGAGACTGTCACGGCTGCATGGGTATCCCCCCACCTGGGACAGGTAAAGAGATGTTCTCTCGCGCTACGATAATGGATGCCACTCCTGCCTTTGTTATTTACCTTTTGCGAATAAGTTAAGTCAGGAGGAAACCGACCCCATGAGAAAAACCTAATAGGTAATTGGCTTATGTCAGGTTATTTATGATTACACGTGATGATTAAATATGGGCAAATCGTGTATCTAAAATCGCAGGAGGGGTCGGTTTCCCCCTGACTCAACTTGCCTACCGCTCGACCTTATCCCCAAGTATAACATTTAACAACAACCTATCCTGGGGCCCATGGGATCGCCTAGTCCGACCTTACGTTAGAAAATGATTCCACGACGTCGAACTATACTGCCGAGTCGAAGATCCGGCCTGAATATGTTCGTCGATCTTTGAATGCTCTTCCTCCTGCCACTATCAACATGGCCAACGTGTCTGATAGGTGACGTTCTGTCATCTAGCCCGCAACTATTAATAAGCGTCGAGGTCTTGTCATAAACAAAGAGAATGTATTTCCGTCCTTTTTTACCCTGTAGGCTGTAGCTTACCAACTTAGCGCTAAGCTTGGAGCTATCTAGGCCATGAAATTTAAGTTAACCCTCTGGGGGGGAGGAATTTAAAAACACAGAAGAAAGAAGAAGATAATACAAGCGTCCTTGTCCGTATTAGTTTACCGACTTCATCCCAAGATAGGTTATGATTTGTGGAACGCTCCTCTTTAGATGCTCCCCCTATATCACTCGGATGATCTGCAAGGCCTCTTGAATTATGGCCGTATAGATGCACAGAAACCCCCAAAAGGCATTTCTCCACTCGTAGCCAGCCCTACAGTAGTTTCCGTTGAGGCACGTGTTCTACTCCATAGTAGCAAAAGGACGTGTCGACGCTACTCTACCGTGAGCCACTTAGGAATATAATACTTTCATTATCCAGGACATAGCATCACGTAATTATCTTGCTCCATCATCCGTAGCCCCCTTTGATTCGTCCAGCATTTTTTGCCTCTTGAAGGGTGTCTTTTTCTCCCGGCCCTCCGATCTTGAACGCCTCATCCCGACATAGTGTTATATGCTGTTCTCATTTGAATTCTTTTGGTGGAATCGGATAAACCTTGACTTGGAAACGAGAAAGGGCGTTTTATTAAGGTCAGGTGAGTCTTGCTGCTTTTAGGCTGGCCGCCTACTCCATCAGCGAAGGCACGTCTCTATGAAGAAAGAGCGTTTTTTTTCGCGAGTTTGATAACCTTATAAATTTCGTGCCTATTGCTTTTCAGTCGAATAACCTTGGCGCGGCTAGTATCGAAAGCCCATGGCTAGCTCTAGCTTTATGGTAATAGACAGGGTGGCCGGGTGATTTCTTTCTTTCATAGGAGCACCTAAAGTTAGCATCCTTATGATTAAAGCGTTCGTGGTACTCAGAAACCATCCATACTCAGTGCGTGCGGCGATCAGCCACCCCGAGGTACTGCCTGCAGTAACTGCTCTTGTAGTGGGACACCGTGGCTTGAACATTTGATCTTATGCTCGGTACAGCTCTTACGATATAGCTATGGATGATTTGGCGATCCTTCATACCATTTAGGTTTTACATATTAGTGAAAAAGATCTTCGTCACAATAGATATGTCGGCGCTTACTGGACCAAGACAAAACACTAGTCAGCAAGTTGGACTAATATCGGCCTCTTCGGGTCTAACACAGCAAACTTAAAAGCGTATAAGAGACCTCGAGCTGCTTGATTTGCGAGTTCATGATTTGGTGAATGTCGAAGGAAAAGCTCAAGTCAGCAGCTCATTGAATTACCTAAACTGACTGTATTAAAGGCGATCAATGTCCTCGGGTGGAATGTCATGAATGCCACGAACACCCATGATCTCGACACCTACTTCCTTGGAAAGTTCATAAAGGTCATTCTGTTCCGTGATGTCCACATCGGCAGTCCATGCAATCCACTTGAGCTTCGGAAACAACGCGGTGTTCTCCAAGAGTGTTTTTATCATGGCATAGTCTGAGGGCGAGAGCGTGAATAATGGTTCCCCATCGTCAGATTCGTAATCTTGCACAAAGTCCTCCCTCTCTTCCTCCTCAACTGGCCAAATCTCCAGTTCGTCGAAGTACATAATCTTGACATTCGGCGGGATTCGTTCCGTAATCATTTGCAGCCAATTTATGTCCTTTGTCCACATGTAGGCACCGAACAAGGCTCTCGCTGGAATGGCCAGATATCGCAGCGCGGTAAAGTTTCCGAACGCCATTCCCGGACCATGAAACGTGAGCGGCTCATGGCAGTCCCACGACAGCTGCAGAATCTCCAGCTTGTCTCGGCAAGGCTGTAGAAGCTCCGAAAAGTTTGGGGGTATAGTATCAATGAGCCGTGCATGTGCGCTATGGTGAAACTCGAATTTCTTGAGCTTGCCTGCGTTTTTGAGAAATTTGTCGAGGGCCGCGGATGGATACTTGGAGGCCGAAAGGCGGAATGTCCTGAGATTGTCGTAGGGCAGAGGCTGGACAGCTGCACGGGCGAAAACTTCAATGCTCGAGAGTTTTAGCAGCAGGGTGGTAAGGCGCGGCTGTTGGAACAACGGTATGTCTTGCGCGGTCAACTTCCTCTGCGTGTTCAAAGAGTCTATCTAGGGCGTTAGTGTCACTATAGCAACGCATTCCAAGCATTGGTGGACCGACATCTCGTCATATTGGGCTGTGCGGGTAAGCGAAGACTAGATATTTCCTTTGAACTTCGTCAATACCACCAGGTACGGCTTTTCGATCCCAAAGGGTGGGAATCTCGGGGTTAGATGAAGGAAGTCGAGAGCAAGCGACCGTCGAAACAAAATTGCGGAGAAAAGCAATTCCGGATTTGGCGGATTTGGCAAGCGTGTTGGCGATGGTAACAAACAAAGCGAGTGGTATGCGATTGGTCGTAATTCCAAATTCTATTTCCAAACTACCTACCTATCTCAAAGGATTCAATGAACATTATTCTTCAATAATGGCTTTGTTGGCCAAAGCTAAAATAGTACTTTTGAAGTTTAGAAACGAGGAAAGATTTTCAAGAAATATCGATACAGCCAATTGTTACACCTTCGATGATTGTGCGTCAAGCTGATACTCCCTCAAATTCTCGTCGTCGTTGTGTTCCCTGTCCCCGTGTCTGGTCGTGTCACTCCAGCGACTCCAGTGACTTGCGATATCGCAGCTTTCAGCTTTCGGTGAAGTGAATGGATCGCACAACCCTGCCGGTTGATCTGGAACACCCAAGTGAACCGAGGGTTCCGGGGCAGACGCACTCGATGCTTGAAGCTCGATTTCGTTTGGCGTGGAACCAAGAGGAATCTCGGGCTGCTTTGGCACTGTGCCACCTTGGAAGTAGCATACAGTGAGGCAGATGGTTGAAACACTGAAACATTAGTAAATAAGATAGTAAAGAAAGATAGAAGAAACATACCAGATGATGACAGCTGTGGCAAGAGCAAGCTTCCCAAGGACGATGTTCGGACCATCTGGAAGGTTCATGTCTCCCTGAAATGTCACGATAGCAGCAGCAGACCACATAAGAAGTCCCCGGATATTCAAGAGCATATAGACCCTCTCGCTACCGCGTGATTGCAGGGCTCGGACGTTCTCAGTCAGAAGCTCATGGGCAAGAAGACCAAGAGACTCGGCAGACTAAAAATGTCAGAAATGGACATGTCAAGTTCATTGGATGACTTACTATGAAAACACCGATAGCGGTGTAGAGGTAATGCGGACCGCCTGGTATGATAAGTCGTGGGATGGTTAGAGAGAGGAATGTGGCGATCATAAAAAGATGCCCAAATTGGACTGCCAGTCTCAAAGGGAGCTGCATATGAGAAGTCGCTGGTCTAGGAGGGAGCTGCACAGGAAAGGTCTCTGTTCTCAAGGGCAGCTCCCCAGGGCAAGTATCTTGTCTCAAACGACGCTGCCTATACTTTTTCGATATTCGGGGTTGGAATCGCCCCTCGAATAACTTTCCTATAGCCTTTCCTATAGCCTGCATTTTCGTTGTGAGCGGAGGTGGGAGATTGGGAAGATATGGGTGAGAAAGAAGTAGGAGAAAAGAAGTTTGTCGTGGAGTGACAAGCAATGGGAAGTAGGTAAGGAAGAAAGAAAAAGGAGAAGAGAGATGCTGGTAAGCGAAGCCTTTATACACCATTGTTGGAGTTTATTCTGGGGCTGTGAGTGCTTTTTTGAGGTGTTTGTTTCCCGCCTCTTGTCTTACATGTAGACAAGAACTTAAAACTTGGTTCGTGGGTGCTGTGTCCATACACCGGCTTAGGAGCGAAAGTAACCTGAAGTTATAAACTCAAATAAATCATGTGTCGAGGGATTTTTAATAACTCTCATATCGTCCATTGGCTCCATGGCTTGGTAGCAGCAGCATCTTTATAACCTTGTCTAAACTTTGAATCACAATATCTGCCGGGCTTGCACAATAGGCCCGTGAGATGACATTCATCCTTACTGCTTAATGATATTCCATACCTGACTCTACTCTCGAGTAGGTCCTGTTGAGTCCCACATCGCTCCCACCTTTCCCACTGCAGGTTTGCTCCGCGTCACCAGCGACTTTTTCAACAACCATCTCCAGCTTCCCCTCATCCCCGACTACTCTTACTGACACTGGCGTACTCCACGTCAGTGAACTCGAAACTCCTCCACCGACACTTCCCAAATCATGCTTTTGCGACCCAAGTGCTAGAACAAGCAACTCTCCGAAACTTGCCCAGCTGGAACTGAGCCATAGTCGACGGGAATAGATAAGAACGCCTATGTAGAGCAGAACAATGCAGACGTGTACTAGTAGGATAGACAGCGCGATAGGAATGGTGACACTGCTTTTTATACTGTAGCCATAGCCGCCGAGAAAGAAACTTTGATGGAAGACATGGTCGCTTGGTCCGGGTGGTTTTCCACCGTCCTCGTCGCCAGGACGGACACCCGAGCCGTAAAGCGAAGATCGGCCCATTCGCGACAAGACATTAGTGATGTGCACTGCTATGGCTAGCTCAAGGCCTGTGTCGCTAAATGAATACTGTCCCATGACTCTCGTGCTAAGGTCGACAATTCCTTGCCATATGGATTCTGCCCCCGAGCCGATCGTCTCCTCGGTCTCGTTTCGTCGCTAGCCTATAACTTCCAGCCATTCTTTCCTCATCGTTATTGACTCGGGAGGTCTTGAGGAGTTTGAGAAATGATCATAAATATCAAAGATCGAACTGTCGAATTGGCTTTGAACAATTTCCGATTTTGCTCTTTCAACCCAGACATCGACTTCCTCCCAGCGAGCATATATGCGACATAAGTGGAGTCCGACAATCTTCTCATTATATGGTTCAATCAAGGTATCATCCCCATAATAGAACGGCCCCGTATTCAAGAATAAGATATCACCACTGACGGGCGAGTCTGTCTTATGTTCCAAATTGGAAAGCTGATATTTCATTCTTGGGCGTTCATTCCTCGACGTGTTTCGAGATGCGGAGACGAGCTCTTTAAAGCCCAGGCTATCGTCAAAAGAGAAATGCTCTTCGCTTTCTCCGATATTGGATTCAAAAATGAACGTAGCTTCTTCACTGTCTGTGCTGTTCCAGGCACATTCAACGGCGACTAGAGGCTGTTTCCACCTCCGCAGTGTTGGAGAATCTGGCGTTTTCCAGTGTGATTCAACACGAAGATCCGTGGGCCCTAGCGACCACCCGCCAGATAGCTCCTCGGCAACAGCGTCCATAGGAGACGTAGCAAGCGCTACGGTGCCCTCGATATCAGGAAGGTCCATTGTCAACGAGATGCGTCGATTTGAGCCTATTTCGAGGTAGTTGGAATATGTGATGTTGGAGACCTTTCGTACAGTACTTGTCTGATCTGGGAGAGGGAGGTCGTTAAATGCTGGATATAAAAGGTTCAGTGGATTATCCCCAAACTGCGTGGAGTTGTTGTATATTATGTACAACTCCGTTTGGTCGGCACCAAGGTCGGTCTGATAAAGGCCTTGTTCCATGTAGACTGTGTGATTCTTTCCTTCTGGAACATCTTCATAAACTTGCCACCAGCCTTGACGCGGGATCATGACGATGGCCGAGAGGGGCGCAGCTGCAACAGAGAGCAAGATTGTGACGATGATGACTGTGCCAGTTGTCCAAGCGCGAGACGTTTTGGACTTGACACCTGGTTGGAATAGCCCAGACCAAAGCTGCCAGCTAAACAGATACTGAATCGGTGCACCTAGATAGTAAGGCGACGAAAGAAGACCCAGAGGGACGCCTCCATCTTCTACCAACAGGCTGTAGCATATGCGTTGTAGTAGGATCTCGCCCAGTGAGATCAAGATGAGAATCTCGTGAGCCTTGGCAGCAAGTTGGAGAAGGTTTAGTTGTTCGTCAGTGAGATCGCCCCATCTTACCTGGTGAACATAAAGTCCAAGAAGTGCCAGAGTGACTGCGACAGGTGGTAGGTGGTACAAGCCCAGATGACCCAGAGTAGACAGGATGCTTGTGTTGCATACCTGCTTTGGCGTCTCAGTGGTATGCAGCGTTTTCCAATACGATAATTTGTTCACAGCCAATGATGAGTTTTCCCCCCTTGCAAAGAGAGATTCGCTGCTTCGATTCGTGTCGCCTGAAAATTGATTCTGTCGGCTGCTGTGATCACCAAGGCTCACAGCGGAGTATTGTTGCGACAGGCCGAATGGACCGTTGCGTGGCCGAGGTTCTTCTAATGACTAAAATGTGTAAATATGTGATCTTTTGTAGATACAGCGCTAGAAGTCCCTACATCTCGCGACCAACTGTCTACGGACTTTCGCTGTCCGTGATCCAGGTTGGACATTTCCAACCCATTGAGGTGCGACATGAGAAACCCGAGTAAAACAGAAAGAGGAAAAGGATTAGATACGCGAGAAGGGACTGGGTTTATTTGAGCCTTGAATTGTGAGTGGGCTGATGGAGTCGTCAGGGTGTAGATCAGACTGGGGTTTGTGAGTGCCTATTGGTTGGTTCCTTGGAAGAGGAGGCAGAGTCGTATTCACGGAGTCATATTCGCTACCCAAGAAAGGAAACTCAGGTGGGCATAATTAACATAACAAATATATGCTGCATGTGCATTAAACTTTTACCTTATTAAAAGTTTCATACGTGAAAGTACAACATGCGAAAAAGTAGCACTATGTCGAAAGATCATGGTGTTTAATAGAGCTCAGATACAGACCATCAGCAAATCTATGGTTAATAAGTGCAATACCACATAGTCATCTGTACAAATTGGTGAACATTATCATCAACACTGGGAAGAATATTTCAACACTGGAATATACTATCCATCTACTAAGAACTGCTCAGCTTGCCCTGAAGCTTCCAGTACACATTATAGTTAAATCCCTGCGCATCATAGAAGGGGCCCATATCAACAGCGTTGCCACCAGAAGTAGCCTTGAACTTGAGACCAGTTGTACCCTGTCGCTTCACACTTGACAGATCGATCGTAGGAACAGAGCTCAAAGAGGTATCGCCGTAGTTTCCGGCCAGGATAACAGGGCCGAAAGCGACAGCTGCCATGTTCGCATCGTCGTTGGCAGCGATAGCTCGTAGGCTCATTGGGAATTGCAGAGTCACTGTATCGCCGGAGGCCCAAGTTCTGTTCACGAGGGCGTACTTTCCGGCCTTGATTTCTGCATCAACTGCTTTTCCGTTGACTTTGATAGTGGCCCCCGAGGTCCAGGCTGGAATGCGGACCGCCAGAGTCCATTGGCCAGATGTGCCACCGATCTTGAGAGTGGTTGAATCACTTTGGGGAAACTCGGTGGTCTGAGTAACAGACACCTGGCGTTGAGACCAGTTCAGCTTGGATGGCGTAAAGAGATTGACGTAGAGTGTGTCCTTGGTGTGGAAGTAGATCGAGTCCATGAGCTTGGTGTTTGTCTCAATACCAGATCCCTGACAGCACCAGAAGGAGTCATAGTCAGTGCTCCATGTACCACCACCCCAAGCGGGACCGATTCCGCGTCTGCCACCAGGGTTGAGAGGTGTGAAGTACGTGACATGCCCGTGGCTGTCCTTGGGGTTCTGCTGACCAAGAAGATGGTTCATCAAAGCGTTCTCGTAAAAGTCAAAGTACGACGCATCGCTTGGGTTCAAAGCCCAGAGTTCACGGGTCAGCTTGAGCATGTTGTAGGTATTGCAAGCCTCGCAGGTGTCGTTGGTCAAATACTTGGCAATCGCATCAGGGGCGCGGAAGTGCTCGGCTTGACTGTTTCCACCGATCGCATACGTGTGCTTATGGACGGTCAAGTCCCATGCGTTGCGGCCGATATCGAGATACTTCTTGTCGCCCGAGACCTTGTACTCGCGAAGAGCACCGATCCACTTGGGGACTTGGGTGTTGGCATGCAGCCCAGACAGTTTATCGACGTTTTGTGCAAGGGGATCAAAGATCTGAGCGTGGTCAAAGCGCTGGGCAACCTTGAGCCACTTGTTGTCTTTAGTGTAGTAGGCGATGTCGGCAAGGACCTCATTCATGCCGCCAAACTCAGTCTGCATCATCTCTTGCATTTGAGCGTAGCTCAACTTTCCAGTGCGAGTATCGACCCAGCCAGCTAGCGAGAGCAAAACGTCCATTGCAGTCTTGTCACCAACCTGGCGATAGACGTCGAGGAGTCCAGCAAGAGTCTTGTGAATGGCATAGTAGGGAACGTTGCCGTTGTTAAGCGTTCTATTCTCCACCTTTGCGATCTCAGACTCAGGAAAGCCAGATAGGTATCCCTTAGTGAAGCCGGCCTTGTCGTTGTTGGCTTGACACTTGGCCAGTTCTGCAACAAAGTAGCTAGCTCGAGAGCCACACTCTCTGTTTCCTGTGCTAGCAAAGCATTGCGACCAGGCTGTCAAGAAGTGTCCCTGAACGTGGCTGCGGAAAGGGAAATCTGGTGCGTCCCAGCCGCCGTTGGTCTTGGCGCCTTTGGTGTCCAGGCCATGGGTTTTGCGAAAAACATAGAGGAGGCGGTCGGGGTCAACTGAGAGGAGGTAGTTGACAGTGCGGTCTTGGTTGTCCATCCATCGACTACCAGTGAGGGATACCTCCTTCAAGTCGAAGGCGCTGGCCAAGTCTTCAATTTTGGGCCCTTGACCAAGTACTGGGAGGGCCAAAGTGGCAAAGCCCATGAATAGGGCTGTGGTTTTGATCAACACCATGATGAAGTGGATGCGATGGGTGTAGTGCCTTGGTAAGCCAAGACTTCAGGTACCGGAACCGGGTCTCTTTAAATAATCGTCTGTATAGCCATGAACCTACGATGCGCGCACTAAAGCCGGCATGTAGCGATGATCCTTAACCTCGTATGGCATATTTCACGCGGCCAGAGTCCAGTCCAAGCGTTCATACTCATTGGGGCGGCAAGATTAAGGTTACATCTGCAGATCCGGGGTAGCTCAAATACCGTATTTTAATTTAGCCGGGGAGCTCGCTGACGATGGCCAAGGTTTCCACAAATCGGAGTTGTTAGATCACTGCCCAAATAGTCATGGAAGCACACGCGCACCAATACGAGACTGAGTTTCCCAGCTTTAACTAAAATATCATAGTATGGAGGTGGAGATTCGTCGACATGATTTCAGAGCATATTCTCGTACCACAATGAGGGGTTTGCATGTTGGAGAACCGAGGATAACTATACGCGGATCAATCGTATAGAGTAGTCACAATGGGCTTCAAGCTCATGTTTCGTCAATCTAGTTCTTTCTAAGTATCAACTCATCACCCAATCAGGCACATCATTTTTTAAGAGATTCTATAGGAGTTAATTTTATGCTTCTACTTTCTTGGTTGGACTCAAATCTGATCAGACTCCCGACTACCCGCAACTCGCCTCCCTCTAACAAACACATGTGCCACATTCCTATCATCACCAGTCATGACATATTTCTCAAACAAACCCCTCAAAGAATCACCCTCCTCTCTTGGAGTCATAGCGGACTGCAACCCCGTCGTGGTAGCCACCCAGATAGCATCAAACTCCTTACCAACTTCAAAATTGCCGATTCGCTCTTCAAGGCACAACACCCTCGCACCCCCAAGTGTCGCTAGGTAGAAGACTTCCTCCAACGAAAGAGCCTTGTCCGCACCATGCGAAAGTACCTCCCGGGCGTTAGACGCTATCATAGCCTGTCGGATCACAGCGAGCATCTGCGATGCCCAACCGCCACCACTGTCTGTGCCTAGACCAACTTTGATTCCGCGGCGGAGGAAGTCTCGGATCGGTGCCACCATGAAACCTCCGCCGACGGTCATGTTGGCAATAGGGCAGTGCGCAATGCCACATTTCAGTGACTCGAGGCGTTCTTTCTCGTAATCAGTCATGATGGTGCAGTGGGCGAGAATGCTGCGCTTGTTGAGCAAGCCGTAACTTTCGTACAGATCAGCCTCGCTCCCGTTGAACTGTGGAAATAATTCTTTGGTGGCATCGATTTCCTGCTGAGCTTCGTTGAAATGCGTTTGCACCGCAAGAGTATCATCAGCCTGGACCATATCCCCCAGTCCTCGAAGGAGTTCGTCCGTGCAACAGATGGCAAATCTTGGTGTGACGACCGGCTTTACCAACCCCTCTTGAGCGCTGCCGTCGGCTTCCAGAGCCCGAATGTGGGTTATACATTCTTTCGTCTCCCGGAGAGAGTCGGACGCACTCTGCTCGCGAATATAGTCTGGCGCATTTCTGTCCATGTTGCATTTTCCCACAAAAGCACGCTGGCCTTTGGCGTGGCATATGTCGGCGAGGATACGTGTTGCTTCAGCGTGTCGAGAGCCGTAATAGGAGGCAGTCGTAATTCCCTGACGTAGAAAATCCTGGACAGTGTGCTCATACATCTTGGATGCGTATTTGGGATCAGAGAAACGAGCTTCGACGGGGAAAGTGACTTCGTTGAGCCAGTCTAGAATGTGAAGCCCTTGTCCGAGACCCCGCATCGGCCATTGAGGGGCTAGAATTAATCAGTTTAATTTGGCTATGCGTCTTCTTAAAAATGATATAAAAATGTTTGATCAAATACCATGATTGTGCGTGTCAACGAAGCCGGGAATGAGAAACTCGCCAGGGGGGAGATTGAGTATTTTCGCATTAGGAGGGAATGCATCTTGGGGCACCTCGTTTGGCGTTTTCCAGAAGCCTCTGATGCGGCCCTCACTGATCATTAGTGTCGCATTGTCAAGGAACTCCAAGGTCTCGACGTCGATGGAGTGAATAGCAGCACCGCGGAAGACCACAACTGAAGGCATGATGAGTGTGATCGGATGTAAGTCTACAAGGTCTGAGCGATGGACAGTCGCAAAGATATACCAGCACGATGATGTAGGAACATTCTCAAGCGTAGTGGTTCAACCTGTGGGAGCTAATCAGATAAGCGGCACCCCGCGCATGTTTCAGCCCAATCACATCACCTCAGACTATCATGCAAGCAAGGTGTGAAAATGATTACATGCTGCAGGGTATCCCACCAAAGAAAGCACTGCTTCACCATGTCACCATTAGGTTTCTTTCACGAGAGTGACAACTTGATGGCGTCTACTGCTTGTCCGTCTTAACATTACTGGTTCCTAGCTCTTTACATTGCTTTCTATTTTTGGGGGAAGCTTGAAGACAGCCACTGTGGTGTCGGCTTCGTGTTTGTGGTCAGTGGTGAATGGCAAAATACGAGTCCGTAATTGTCTGGTCAGGCTGAACGAACTACAACACAGCCTAACTGGACTTTTTTGAATCGTAATTGGACGCCTCATTATGACAATCATGCATTACTACCTAAACCACGTTTCCCCGCTCTGAGAAGGTGTTATAAAAATGCACTGCTGCTATACTGATATCCCAAAAATTTAAACTTCGAGAGTCTTTGGTTTTGACCCAGCTTTCTAAACAATCAAAATGTCTTTGTCACGCGGAAACGCCCGTCAGTCCGTTCCTGTGACTCAACCTTCTACTCAGGATATTGGCTTTCAGCAGCAGGGTAGTGTAGATTGGACCGCGGTGGCAAGTGGTACTGTCAGCTTCTCTGTGAAGGTTTTGTCACAACTGTCAAAAGCTGGCGTTGAAGCGCTGACCATTTGTGCCGCCCGAGCGATGTTTCGCGATGTCAGGTTGGGCAACAACGGTGAACTTCGCCTTCAACGAGCATTGAAAAATCTCAGTGCTTTCCCGTCTATTGACAAAGTCCTATGGCTTGGATTTGGTGTCAGACATATCATTTGGCATATGCAGGAATCGGCGGAAGGTCTGGCATGTCTCGCTATATGCTCCAGTCTCACCGAAAGCTATACCACTGCTGCTGCAGCGAAAGTTATGAAGGAGTTGTTCCTCGTATACAACCCACCTTCTGAGCTAACCCCCGCGCTGAGCCAATGGCAAGCTCTTGTCGAGGCCTGTGAGGGAATCCTTGCTCCGACCGAGTTTGGCCTGGTCCTTCATGGGCTAATTAAACTCTTTCCAAGAGACGGTCTGTCCGATATGCGCGCCTGCGCCCCACCACGGGATGTTGCTACTGTCCTGAGGAAGTTGTTTCAAGTGTCTGCAGGGCACATTGACCGTCTTTACCTGTCAGGTGGAGCCGATTGTGCCTGGAATGCCGCGGTTGCACACTGGCTTCTTGACCTGAGGGTCGAGATTCTGGATCAAGATGGAACCACAATATATCGGCCAGATGGCACACGAAGTCAGCTATTTCCAGATGCTCAAGTCATCGTAGCCTACACACAGGGTGCTGATGAGCCACATGTACCGTTGCAAGTCCTGCAGAAGCGTTATGTTATTCCTAGTGGCCATAAATTACTTGTCGGGCATCCCAGCGAGGAAGACTACACGCTATCATATGGCAGAGTATCGTGGGATACGTGTCTAGTTGACACTTTTGGTAGTCAGATGGAACTTCTCCTGGGATCTCAAGCCCGCACTGCGGGTGCCTGCCTTGGCTCCGCTGCCCGTATACTCTCGGCCGTCATGAGCGAACCTATGTCTACCCCAGAACCTAATCTTCGGTCTTTCAAACCTCCGGTATCGTCTTCGGCGTACGGAAGAGGATTCTATCTACTGGCGCGGCGCCAATTTGCAGAACTGGATCAAACTACGCCCCTCGTCCAAAAGATGGAGACAGCCTTACATCAATCGTACCTGGAAGCGGCCCAACAACTATCCCAGTCGTTCACCAAGCTTGGTCGTTTATGCTTATGCAGGGATTGTGATTCAAATGCAGGTATTAGTGTTACAGAAGACCATCCGGTTTGCCTCATAATACTTGTCCAAACTATCTGTATCTTGGTTCGGATCATGTCGGTGTGTTACATGCAACAAGACCTTGACGTTCACCCCACTCGCTGTGGTATAGAGAATATATATCGGATCCTACGATCACAGCGATTTGCATACGCGGAAGACTTGGAATGTGATCCATCTGAAACTGCTCTTCTGTGGTCCTGGACGCAACACGATAGTCTGACCTGGATGCAAATCCTCTTTACGGGACGTGAAGATAAGAGCCTTTACACGATACCTAGGGGCAATTCCGTAGTAGCAACTTGCAACGGATTATGCTTCTGTCTAAACACCCTGACTGAGATTACATCGGATCCTCAACGAGCATGTATGATTTTGGTCATACCTGGTAAGATTGAATGGCATGATTTTATATACCATCGTATACGGGATCTAGAACCTGGTCATCGTGATCCTCAGATAGCTTGTGGTGGCCCTTACAACGCGGTTTCATCCACAATCATTAACCAGTACGACGATCTGGCCGACAGCTCGTCCGCAGATCTAAATGCCGAGCTAATAGTCGAAGAAACCACGGCAGAAAGAAGACTTCTTCAAACTACCTATCGCATCACAACTCCAGAATCCCCAGGTAAATCCTTCCTGGTCGGCCCTAGAATGATATGGGGTGAACTCAATGAGGCGTTTACGGCTGCCAGCTGTCAGGGGGGGATATGTCGATCTCTAAACGGTTTTCAGTCTATCCTTGTGAAAGGAGAGGGGCTTCCCTATCCAGTCCTCGAGTTGCGAGAAACACAACTTCCAATCACGTGCGTATTGTCTTCACAAGACCTTGCAATTTGGGTTGCCCTTTCACAGACACATCTTCTAAGCTCTGATTATCGCTCGATGAAGCTATCCCACATACTCCAAGGCGAACAATGTATCAGGTGCTGTGTATTGAAGTCCAAGGAGTGTCAACGAGCGCCCAATACTTATGGTGTAGCTTTAATTACATCGATATAGACAGAGCAGATTCTAAAATATATTGCAGTCCCCTTTGAAAGCTCACGCTCTTCTCTCCTGGATAACCATGCACCACATAGACTATGAACATTACCACACTGGCCACTACTACCACATCACTGTGCACTACTTTTGCTTCAATACCTTAACTCACTCGTCACGAATACTATTGAACTTTCTGGAGAAAACATGACTTGTTTGTATTGCGACAGGTATATAAAACTGCTATGTTTCGCCTTTAGTTGGAGCAGATTGATGGCGTTATATCCATGACCAGCCAAGGAGGCCATGAATTTTGAAGTACCATTACAAAAGAGATCGAGATCAAACTCCGCTCCGCAAAGTCAAGGCCTTGGTCCCATTGATTCGCATGCATTTGCCCGGTCTAGGAAACGGGCATAAGGTAGCATTGCATGTTTGACCGGCACTGACTGGCGATCAAAGTCATGGGGTCTTTGCAGTGTGTCACTAAGTCCGCCTGCGAGGCTACGATTGCTCTGCCGGAGTACTGTGACTGAAAAGCTACTCCTTTCGCGGCTTAGTAACCATTTTCACAGAATTAATGAGGTGCTCCGTGAGTATAATGCTTCATACTGCGGTTAGACCAGAGTCGCGAATGAGATATTCTAGCAGATAATCCGTCCTTTTAAATGATAGTGGTGTTCAACAATCCTTGTATTGAATACAAAACTTCATGTTAACTATCATAATATTGTTACATTTCAGGGACTAACGAGCCACACCGTGATAAAACAACAAGCCTCTTCAATTGTGTAACTAATTCAATTACGCTAATCACTGACTGATACGGTCCTGGCGATTGACCATGACCCCTAACGCTCAAACACATACCGCATAGGGCGTAACTCTAACCCTATTCTTAATCGCCGAATCTACAATCGCTTTTCCCAACCTCTTCCTCGGAAATCCTGGCCCACCGCTCAAACACACAGAGATCTCAGATAGGTTCTTCACCAACAAGCTTATGCTTACTCGAATGGAAGGTAGTTCCGATTTCAGTCGCAACACACCTGGTGGGAAGATGTTCACAAAACTCCAGCTTTCCGGCTGCAGCCGCCTCTGATCCTCGTCATCTATAGTACTGTCGATAGCCAGCTCAAGGGTATCTTTAGCGACGATATGAGCGCCCATAGTGGCAAGCTGTCTCTCGACGCCGAGAACACTACAGAACGGTAGTGCAGGCTTGTTTGTTGTTTTCGTGAGCTCACTTGTGGTATAGCTCTTATCCTGCCATTGACGACCAAGGGGCATCAAAGCAAAGAATTTCATGTCATCTCGGCCGGGGCCCATAAACCAAGTAACCTTCGTCATCATCTCATTCCGCTCATCGGATCGCAGGGTGGATCCAAATACGCGAGCTTCGTCTGCAAGGGGGACAGGTGAGTTGGGTGACTTAGTAAGGAGGAGGAAACCCACGTTGAAGCAAGTGTGAGTAAGTTGGTGTGTGAACGAAGTGGGTGATAGTGGCTTGATGGTGCTCCACGGGAGCAGACCGATCGAAGGCGGTAACGTTGATGGTGGTAGGTAGGGTACTTCGCCAATTGCTGAGTCGGGATATATCCGTGACGGGTAGGATATGAAGTGGTGGTACTGTGGCATACTTTCATTGATAAAATTGATACTCTGCTCGTTTGGAGGCAGGCTAAAAGTCGGTATGTCACTCGAGACAGGTTGGTCTTCCAAAGCCCCTATATCACCTCTTCTAGGCTCCTCCTCCAAGTAGTTGGGAGTTGTTCCCTCAATCGGTTCAGCAGCGCTTTTATCCTCAGGGTCACCAGCCTCATTGGCTAGAGCGAGCACATTGGCGATGACATCCTGAGTGTCTGCCGCCAGTGCAGGATACTGTTTCAAGACATCTTCCTGCAGCATCTTGTCGGCGTAGCCTACTATCACTGTGCTCATCCTCTCAATGACACCTTCTAGCCGCTTGAGGCGCTGAAGTCGGGCGGCTTCTGCAGCTTGTCTTCGCTTTCGGAACTGTTGCTGTGCTTCTCTGTTGCGTTCTCTCCGGCTCTGCAAGTTTTGTTTAGCTTCGTTTTATTTTTTGACGTAAATTGTCCGATCGGGACAACTCACCTTGCTGGCGTCGGTGCTCATGTCCCCAAGGTAATTTGAACTCTTTGCTTGTGGCATCGTAGACACGGAGTGTATTAGTGAAAGGGTATTTTTACGTAACATGAAATTTAGTAGATTATAGAACACATCCGAAACTTGACCGGAGTAATGGACTGAGGGCCGCGATTTAACTTATTGTGGGCTTATCCCGCGACATATGAAGGGTTGCAGACCGGCACAGACAAGTTGTCACAACTTGTATGCTGTGTGGCGGAGCCTGCAAGCAAGATGACCCAGGTTGATCCGACCCCTCCATCTTGGTCTGAAGAGGTATTGCGCTGACAGGGCAATGATCATCCTGGCCCGCCCAGCTCCATGACCTGTTATAGGTAGGACTCTCGTTTATTCACCCCAAAAAACTGACGAGTCCCACGTTCAGAGACCCAGTCAAACAACAGAACTGATTCAGTATACGAATACAGGGTACTGTACCCGAAAGCTATCGGCCCTCGGGGCAGGGAGTTGCCAACTTGGGGGCGGGCTTAGCTATCAACGTTTTCGACGTTAAGTCTGACTGCATTCATAGTCTCATGCAAGTTTTCTTGGCGTTTAACGGTACGTAGTTGGGCACACGATTGATCATCTTGGGCTAGTTGCGATTCGCGAAGCACGCAGCGAATAGCGAAAAGCGAGACAGACCTTAATTATAAGCTTGGCGTAGAACTTATCCCGCCTTTTCAAAGCTAGTTACTCATTAAAGTATTCGGCTAATTCCTATTTATGCTTGGAGGCCCCATTTAACCAACCTGTTATGACTCTTAGGCCCATGGGAATCTCACCCACGATGTCAGTGTTCGATTTTCTGTGTAAGCCCTACCAAAAACAACAGTATTTTTGTAATTTCAAGATGCCACAGCCCCATCGAATAGTATGAGCTCCTCAGTAACTTAGACCTCCAAGACATAGTTGTTGCCTTGATGCTATCACCTTTCTTACCCAGCCGCAAATCTCCGCAATGGAGATTGCCTTCTTTAGCAGGTGAGAAGGCCAGGGATGGCCCACCAAACACCCCGTATCATTGTGGTACCCAACATCCTGGTCATCATTTCAATTTTGTAGAACGGGCCTAAAAACAAGAACACTGCAGAGGGACTTATAGCGGAACTTGCTATTCCACCAGCTACGCTGACCAATTTCAACACATTGCAAAAACTATGAGCTGTACTCCGGGAGGAACATGCCGATCGAAATCATCTGAGTAGATCAAGACCATCACCGGCACTCCAGCCCCGTCTTCTCAATGAACATAAGCTCGCTGCCAAGCAAATCTCACCGCAGCTACATTGTGGGCTAAATGTAGAGTCAGGGTTTGCTCAGCCCTAGATTCCCGCCATTTCAAAATTGTGGCATAAATTCAGACAAGGATTGCTCAGGCACTCGTCTAACGGTCACCTCTCATAGGCCGTCTCTCTTAATATGGCATAAATGAAGAGCAGGTGGTTACGCAACTAGGCCTCAATCGGTAGCCCCTGTTCGCTGATATGTGGCATAAATGCAGACTGAGCAGGGATCTTCTGGGTCTGGACCTTTACCGCGCCGCCCAAAGACGAAGGGATGACTACAAAATCCATGATTTACAAAAGAACACATCCTATTGATGTGGATGATAAAATGACATTATCTAATCCTATTGTCAACTTCATTCGTTCAATGAGACACACCTGGTAGGCATCCCATATGGGACAATAAGCTGATGATGATATTATAGTTATCTCTCGGGGGACTCAGGTAAGCTTAGAAACTTAGAGTCTTTTTTTAACTTCATTCGCAAATACTAGATAAAAGTATCCAAACATTGAAGGATTGTTTCCTGTAGTAACTCATTTCAGAACTTTTCCGCATATATCGCATCTAAACCCGACTTGAACACCTTCTCAACCTCTTGCCTTCGAATGTTGCCCTTGCTGACAGTTCTGGGTAGTGTACCCTGCGGAACGACGATGATGTACCGCGTATCCTCGACACGCTCATGTGTATATCTTCGCTGGTGAAAGGGTGTGATTCTTCCTAGAATATCTTCCTTCAGCCTCTGCACTGAGGCCTCGAGATCAGCTCCCTCATGATCTAGTAGTGATTTATCTTTTGGTTCGATGATAATTGTTGGACAGGGCCGCTTGACGCCAACGACGACCACGGCGTTGACGAGGTCATCCCCACAAGTCTCCATGATGTTGACTTCAATGGAAACAGTATCAGTACGACCACCGGAGGTCATCTTGATCCAGTTGTCATTGCGTCCTTTGCAAAGGTACTTCCCAGGTGCGACTTCTATGAACAAGTCTCCTGTATGGAACTTACCATCGGCGGATCGGAGGTTCGGAACCGGACAGTTTGGCGCATCAGCGGGCAACACCAACTCCAGCAGTTCCTCCCCAGACTCCAACTTATCGACCGGGATAAATTCGTTCTTAGCGCCAGGCATCATTTCGAGATATCCCGAACTCTCCCTCGAATCATTCATCATGACGACTCCAGCCTCAGTAGACCCCATCACATTGAGCATATGGAAACCCTGACTCCGACCCCAAGCCTCATCCACCGGATCGGGGTCCAGTCCTCCAGAGCCCAGAAGATCTGCCTTCTTCAGAGATGCGAGGAGTGATGGATCCTTGCGTGCTTGTCGAAATAAGGCTGATAGGTAAGGTGGGAACATACACACCGTCGATAGGCCCTGTTCGTCTAACAGCTGTTGTACCTCGGAAATGGGGTAAGGCATGACGGTTGGAAGTATAGTACATGAGCCCTCTCGTACAGTGAACCAAGTGAGGAATGATGCAGCCATGTGACAGAAGTTTCCACTATAGGTTTGTTAGTTGAGGGATCGCACCAAGGTTTGGGTTTATCCTTACATATGTAGACTAACCATCCGATCCCTCGCCATGTTGGCTCTTGCTTCGTAGAGTCCAGATAGCCCAATCACGTAGTTAATCCATGTTGCTGTAATTGGAACTAACTTTGGAACCCCGGACGTGGAGCCAGAGGTATGATAGATGAACAAAACATCATCGCCATCTGCAGGTTGCCACGGGAGAAGTGAAGGCAGCTGTTGTATATCTTCCTCTGATATCACGTCACCAGCCTGAAGATTCGGGACAGGGCAGTTTTCAAGGACGTCAGCATGGTCTGGTTCATGGATCAGGGCTTTAGCCTCAGCTCGCACAATGAGCTCGAAGATGACAGAGGGATTAGTCATGTTGAGAGAGACTAGTTGGGATATATAGCCAGCCCAGTTGAGACCCCAGATGTGAACAGCATCTCTATAGGCGTGACCTTTCAGCCTGAACAGTGGGTGAGTGGAGGCGTCAGGTCGGGGGTGAGATGACTAACCAGACACAAACAACAGCCCTTTCTTGGACTCCGACACTTTGAAGGTGATCTTTCCAGTACCGGGCCGATGCTTCAACATCCTTCTGAAACTGGAGGAAGCTGATTTCTTTGTAGGTTGTACCTGTAGCTGATTGCTGTGGAAGTTTGAACACTGCCAAACCGGGGTGTTTCTTTGCGCTTGCTTGAAGCACGGAACTGGGGGTCTTGAAAGTGGTCATGCTCACTATGTTCGTGCGAGGAGGAATATTATAATCTGAGAAGAGATGTTATGTTTGTGAAAATTGCAACATCGTTCCTCTTATATAGTCGGATCTGGAGCCTGTCAGTCAGCGGGGGACCAGGTACCAAACATTAGTGATAAGCAGTAAAGTTCTATAGCCCTAGCGTCGTTGGTCCAAACTTGGTAATAAGTTGCTAGGTAAAAGCGCCATTCTGATTTGAGAATTTAGAAAGATGTTGACTAAATCATGAGGTGATCTGCGGCTTTAGTTGCCGTCAGCATTGGATGATGAGTGAGTTGACAGTTGACACCATGGGAGGGCTCAGTAAGCTCGCTTAGTGAGCTCCAGGACCGACCGAAAAATGATCCGAACGGGCATGAAAGAGACTGCGCTCGTTGGATTAGTCAACTGATTGATTTCATTTTCATTCCGCCTATTCTTTCTACCCTCTAAACATTCACATTCAGCGCCTGCTAATTCACATCTTTTAGCGGTTGCCGAGCAAACATGTGCCATCGCTATGGGAAGCTCAAGGCACGCAACTCCTTTGAACCTCCGTATAATTTGACATATTTGGGTCAAATATACGAGTTATGTCAGCCTCTCGTATATTCTGTCATTTTCGGTTACAAACTTCCTCCCATGACGTTTCTGCGTAACTGGGCCTTGGTCAGACTGGCATTTTTAGTTGATCCACAATTACAGGGCTTCCCAAAAGGATTGCACTGCCCTCCAGCGCTTAGCCATAGCTAATGCCAAGAAGCACGGACACGGTTTATTCACAACTCAGTAGACATTTCCATAAGTCCATATGAGAATGAAGTTGATGAGTTATTGCTTCGCGAATGAGTCAAAGTGGAACATGTTTTGCCTTGTGTACTGACCTGCCTAAAACGCGTTGTGTAGGTTAGTACATAGACAAGGGTGCTCACGTGGCCGCGCGTCAGCCTGCTACTGCTGCTGATCGAACTAATTGACCCCTTCTGAGTCAAACATCATCACCAACCAAAGAACACAACATAGCCTCAATCCCCAGAATGAGCGCCAAACTCCCTCTCAGCCCTGAATGGGCAGAGCCGCGCCGTAAGCCGAGCATCAGCAAATGGAAGCTCTTCGGCGCCGGCATTCTCACAGTCGCCGCGTTGCATTGGCTCACCCCGCAGGTGCACTACTGTTCGCGTCATCACAGCCATCACCACCACAACGCGACTTACCCAGGCGAGAGCCTCGAGTGGAAGCCATGTGGAGAAATCGCCAATCGCACGGTAGAGTGTAGTAAGATGGATGTGCCTATGGATCAGTTCAACCCTGATGCCAGCAACAAGACCTTCAACGTTCCCGTTATTCGCCTGCGAGGCAAAGACGGTAGCCCGAATCTGCTGCTCAACCCTGGTGGTCCTGGCGGCAGCGGCTTTGAGTTTCTGCACAGGAGAGGAGTTCAGCTGAGCACAATTGTCGGCGACGGATTCCATCTTGTCTCATTTGATCCTCGCGGTATCAACTCGTCGACCCCTCAAGCTTCGTGCTATCCTAGCAAAGAAGCGCGTCAAGAACACGCATCTGTGCATGCCGCGGACATCAACAAGGATGGAGCTGAGTTGTACGCGTGGACGCACAACTATGTCAGAGCTTGCGAGGATACTATGGGCGAGCATGGAAAATACATCAACACCCCGCAAACAGCTGCCGATATGAACAGCATTCTCGATGCTGTTGGGCAGAAGGATATGTACTACTGGGGCTTCAGCTACGGAACTCTTCTTGGTCAGACCTACGCCACGCTTTTCCCCGAGAGGTCGCACAGAGTCATCATTGATGGAGTTGTTAACCAATTCGAATGGTACCAGCAACGCATCGACAGTGAGGACCTTGTTGATACCGAGAATGTTCTTGATGGGCTCTTCAAGGAGTGTATCAAATCCGGCAAAGCATGCCCGCTGTCTTCTGTCGCAGATACCTGGGAAGGCCTCAAGAAGGAGTTCATGTCCCTCATCGACGAACTGAAGGAACAGCCGATGGATGTGTACATCAACAGCACTACATACGGTCTGTTGGACTACCAGAAGATCTGGTATGGCGCTGTCTTCCCAGTTTTGTACAAGCCAGAGAGGTGGCCCGCCTTTGCCGAGCGAATGGAGCATCTCATCCACGGCAATGCCACAGAAGCATTGTTGGAATACGGACTCGATGGCCCTGATAACTACGACGCGCTCTACACTGTTGTTATGAATGATGGCCTAGCCGGTCCTTCTCACTGGCCGCAGGATTTACAATCACTTATCGACATTGCTCAGCCTACCTTCAACCGCAGCATTTTCGCGCCCGATGATCTCATCTACCCTTTCGCCAAGCAGCAATGGCGCATCCCCAAGACGCACAGCTATGTTCCACGCTCCGGCGTCGAAACCGCTCACCCTCTGCTCATCCTCACCACGAGCTATGATCCCGTCTGTCCTCTCGTATCGGCGAGATCCGCTCTTGCTGCATTCGAAGATTCGCGACTTATAGAAGTCAAGGGTTACGGTCATTGTTCTGTCGCAGTGCCCTCGCTGTGTCTCGCCAAGCACGTCCGTGGCTTTTTGTATAACGGTACCCTGCCTGCTAATAACGAGACGCAGTGTGAGGTTGACGGACCTTACTTTAAGCCTAGTGGGGTGGCTAGCGTGCAGAGTTTCGAGGACCCAGAGGATCAGGCGATTCATCTTGCGCAGCTTGATCTGGCAAGGGATCCTGACTGGCCAAGAGCTATCCATCTGTGATCTCAGCATGCCAGTAATTTGTTCTGATCTTTGACGTGCACTGTAGCAGGTAAATAGCTATAGTTCTCTGGTCATACTGGGTTCCTAAGCCGGTGATGTAGAGGATGACGCGCTCTCTTTCCAGCACCCTTGTGTTGATACAGGGTAGTAAAATCGGGAAGCTCGACATGAAATTTGTATCTTATCTTGTATGTAACTTGTTAATTGTGATAATACTTCCATGAATCCAGATTCAAGGGAGTCTGGAACTCGTCCATGGTCAAATTTGATATCCGTTTCGTTGAATGATATTTGAAACGATTTGGGCTCTTTACCCGCGTCATGAATGTTGGGTGTTCAACCACTCTTCAAGACTGGACACATAACTAAGATCAACAAGGAAAGCAGCTCATCACACGTAAATATGACGACAAAAAGGGAATTTAAGCAGTCGATTTTGGCTCATTAAGACCGTAATCGACAGAATTAGGTAAAATTCATTGCAGGGCGTTTTGCATGGCATTCATATTCCTCAAACAAATGCAATAAGTTCATACAAGCTAGGTCGCGTGGCCCAATGGCAAGGCGTCTGACTACGAATCAGAAGATTCTGGGTTCGATCCCCAGCGTGATCATGTTTTTGCCGTTCCACGCAAATTTTTGAGGGTTCATTCTACTCTCTTCCGGCATCCTTCATCACACACCACATCTTACTGACTCTGCGAAGGCTGATGAGGGAGCTCCTTCTGTGAGACGCTGACTTTCTGTGCGATCAATGTACGGCTACCCCCCGGCGGCCGTTGGAAATTGGGGAGTGTTGAGATACAGGTCTTAACAGCCACTAGGATTATATCTGATTTTACCTTCAATAGAGAGTGCGTAGTCCAAAATCATCCAGACCTCGTCATCGATCAAGCAGGAATGCACACAAGCTACCCAATATTCTCTTCTTGGTCTCACCATCATTCTCACGTAATTCAAACACTTTGTGTCAGCAAATCCTACAGCATTAACCTGAATTTGAATTGTGATCCTTCTGCGGCGACATTTTGCGTCACAGCTACATGAGCATGATTACCGCAGGGATTTGATTTGTAGTTCACGATGCAATGTGGTTGTCTGGTAAACAGTGCTAGCGCAGGATTCACTGTTCGTCAGCAGCTTCATAGTCAGTGTTAGCCAGTATTCTACCTCAGTCTGACCATGATGCTGACAAGTATCTCAACCACAACCAATAGAGTGGTGGAAGGGATAACTGATACAGGATCCTGCTCCAATGAGTAGGATGCTCAGATTTACTCGCCTCCTGTATGTATATAGGGGCCGAGAAGAACACAGGGAATGCAGTACAGTCTCCTATCATCTGAACTGCCTTTTGCAATTGCTTGACTGTGTTATCCTTTTCGTTATTCAAACTGTGTAGCAATGACTACTCAGTACCAGCATACACTTTTTCTTTGCATCGAAGGTTTCTTCCCAAAGCAGATCGCTTTCTATCTCCTGTCCAAAGGGATATGCTCTTCGGTAGAACAGCTTTATGAGGGAAAGACGAATGAGCCCAATCTGAAGGTTGTACGTGTCACCTTCACAGACGAAGGTTTTGTCTCTGAAGATCCCGAAAACCCACTACCAAAAGGGACAACCGGCTCTGCGCTGCGTCTTGACAATGCAGAAGATGATAAACCAGTCTGGATTCGTGAGCCTTGGAGTATGATCTCTTACCTTGAAGAGGTATTTCCTGGCACAGAAGACAACAACTACCGGCAGATTTGGGCCACAGATGCTGTTGAAAGAGCTGTCTCTCGAGACATCATCAGCTACGTGCACTCGTCCATTGAACAAGGAAACACCTGGCTTTCCAACAGCGCACCGTTCACATGGACTTACAGAAAGATCCCAGAGGAAGAGCGCAGTATTGGGGTAGGCCGTCGAGCGAGGAGGGAATTCGAGGGACTATTTAAGAAGTTGCAAGGAGTTGCTACGGAGAATCTCACAAAAACTGGTTGGCTGACCCCAGCGGCAGATGGAGGACCGGGTATGGCCGACTGTATCCTTGCTTCAACTGTTCGCCACACAGAACTCGCCTGGAGTGAGTTTATCCTTGAGGATGAACCGCTGGAGGAGCTGAGGAAGTGGTATGAGAAATTCCAAACTGTGTGGTTCTGGAATGAGCTGGAGGAGGCAGATCGTTTTCCTGATGTACTGCGACAAGGCAAAGGATCTGTACACAAGTAGTTCAAATAATCATGGGCGAATTGAGAAGGTTTATCAAATTGATTCAAGAAACACCAACTACTTGTGACACCGTGGTAGCTAACTCGCGATTCACGATTTAGCGCAGATAGATGCGTGCCGACCCTCACCATATTCCGCGACAGTGCGGGTATATTCCATGGCCCTTCTCACTTTCGCTATAAATTGGAGAATGTGGCAAATACTTTGCTCGTTCGTTTATTGTGTAGGAGCTGAGGCTCGGTATAAATTTAGTACAACACCGACAGACTAGCTTCCACTAAAACTGCTAGACCTTGCACTAAGTGCAGCCTTTTCTCTTCCTAGGCTGTTATGTAGGCAGAGTCGGATCACGGCTATCAGTAGCTGTGTCTTTGCATGTGGTGGTGCGTTACTTTCAGGTCCGACAATTCATGGCTACCCCGCCTACAAGGAATGTGAGGAGGCTGTATAAAAAGGCAGGTTTCTACAAGGGAAAATGCATCAGAAACCAAATATCCTACCCCGCAGACTATCGCTATACTATTGAGCCTTTACTCACCTAACTCCCAGCGAATAAATCATTCTTATGTCGACCTAGTTCAGCTCCTCACTAGCCTGCACTATCTGATCTTGCTCACCAAGATATATCTGGAGTGATCCTTCCAAAATGCCCTCCATAACTGCCTCTTTTGTCTCACTTTACATCAAGTGGATACGCCAAAGCAAGGTAGTCTATGACAGCGAGGAAAACACACAGAAATCACTACATGAGGGCTACATTCGACCACAAGACTTCCATCCCCCAACCAATCTCGGCACAGATATCAACATTGATCGCGTCGATCTGAATGAATGGCCGTTGTATCAGATATCTGCAACAATTCCTTCCTCGGAGAGTGAGCCTCGCAAAGCCCTCCTTTATATTCATGGCGGCGCCTTCTTCCGAGAGATTACACCCCAACACTGGAATCTCACGGCCCAGATTGCTCGCGAGACTGGCCTCGATGTACTGGTTCCGATCTACCCTCTTCTTCCAATACCAGGAGCTACTGCCCAGAAGCTCGCGACCGGCCTTGTTGAAATCTGCCGTACATCTAAGCAGACTGTCGTGAGCATGTGTGGTGACTCAGCCGGGGGAATGCTGGCTCTTTCATCTACACAGCTATTGCGTGACACTGAGCCTGAACTCTTCGCTAAAATGGATTCTCTGATCTTGATCTCACCGGTTCTAGACGTCGGACTGGATCATCCCGAAGTCGTGCGTTTGTCTGAGGTCGACCCTTGGCTTGGCATAAATGGGCTACGCAGCATCATGCCATTGCTGGCGGCAGATCTCCCGATGAAACATCCCATCGTCAGTCCCCTGTATGGTAGCATTGAGAACCTGCCACCTACGCTAATACTTTCCGGCACTTACGATATGCTTTGCGCCGACGCAAGGCGGTTAAAATCAAAGTTCACTGGGAAGGATATTGACGAGGCTCTGGCGGGCGGCATTGAGACGGATCGATTTGTTTATCTTGAGAAGGAGGAGATGATCCACGTGTGGCCGCTTCTGCCCCATCCCGAAGGTGCCGAAGGACGAAAGCTTATTTTCCATTTTATCAACAAATACTCAGAGAAATAGAGTTTTAGACCTGCGACTAGTTCTACACTTACTAATTATTCTATCGAGTCCTGAGGTTTGGTGACCTATATTTCGGAAAATTGCAGCGAGACTTATGGAATATAATGTTTTCGGTGCTTGTTCTATCCATGATACCCACGAAGAATTTTGGTCAGATTGTTGGTTACACACGGATAGACAGGAGCCGAACATGGCATCCTGGCCCAATAGCCAGATACAATAGGCCAAGATAAGAAGATCAATCAAGTCCGTGTTAGCCTAGCGGGGTCCGTTTTATCCGAGACAAGGTAATCGTCCTCTGATGCCCTGTAAATATTTAAAACGTGCCCGGCCCTGCCAGTTCTTTTGAACCCGTCACAAAATATCAACAGTCGCAAAGCAGCAAACACAAACACCATCATGATGAGAACAACGCTTGAACACATCCCCTTCGCCTACCGCTTCGTCTTCCTCTGGTTCGAGCCCCTGGCAGCACTCGGCGGTACTTTCCTGCTCTGGTTCAACCCCGAAATGATCCTCAACACCATGAGCCCCATTAGCAGGTTCGCGCCAGACAACAAAGTCATCTATGACCAACTCGCCGCAACATACGCGCTTTTCGCATATAACGAGGCAATTCTTCTGCGATCCACGAATGATTTGCGGGTGTGGCGCACCGTAGTTATCGGCATTCTGCTTTGTGATGCGATGCACATGTATGCTAGCTGGGCTGTGCTTGGGAGCGTGTTCTGGAATCCTGGCGCGTGGAGGTGGGAGGATTGGGTCAATCTAGGGAGTTTGTGGGGGCAGGGTGCCGTGCGTGTGGCCTTTTTGGCGGGGGTTGGCCTCGAGGGGAATTTACGCGTGAAGGCCGATTGAATCCCTGATTCGACTACTCATTGAGGGCAGAGGATGATGATCAAGGATACATGTGATGTAGCTAGGACATGGACCGGAATTGGAGGCCCAGCTTAACCCAGAATGAATGTCAAATATTTACGAAATGCTTATAAAATCAATCACCACTCATGATCTACCTGAGCATTAGAATCAAAATCCCATCTAATCTTGGTCTAGAATAGCAAAGTCTATGTCTAGGTAGTATCTACAGCTTGAAATAACCCTTCCAAAGACTCTTCAGCTTCTTCTCCGGATCCCATTTCTCAGCAATCTTCTTCAGCTTGCGATAGCTCTCATTGCCATAGCTCTTCTGAACATCCTGCGCGCTCCCAGCGTAGTTCATGTAAACATACCCGTTCTCCAAATGTCGCTTCTTCGCCATGCTCTTGACCTTGGCGATTAGTTCGCGCGAGCTGTTCTCAATGGCCTCGTCTAGCTCAGCATCTTCCCAGGAAGTCGACAACTGGACAATCATCAAAGGTCCGTCGGAGGGCTTGAGGCCAAGCGCATTACCGCCGTTCTTTTGCATCTCGGAAAGAACGTTGACGGGGATTGGTTGGAAGACTAGGTATGGTGTGATCTTCTTTCCTTTGGCGGCTGCGAACAAATCTGCATTGCGTGCCTCGAAAAGAGCCACAACGTCGGTGAAGAAGGAGGCTGAGGTGGCGGCGACCGTTGTATCCCACCATGTTTGTCTCGAACCGTAAGGAACATCTATTAGTCTGGACTGCGTCGAGATGTTTGCGACTAGCGTGGTATTCACAACTGCCCCAGGGACAGACTGGAATGGTTCGAAAACTGGGGGCATGCTCTTTGCTGGCGAGGGAATAGTGGCATGGTAAAAGCTCGTGAGTGCGATATATCCTCCAAGAGTAGGCTCGTGTGTCAAGACAAAGTAGGTGTGAGCTGCGGGGTCTGTTGGAAGACCCTTGACGGTCAAGTTCTGGAACATGGGGATCAGAGTGCTGTTCATCGCACCCGGGAAGATGAGCGAGTTGGTCCACAAGTCGCCCTGTTCGAACGAGGCCAAGTCGAAACGGGTCACGATGCCCAGGTTGGAGCCGCCACCACCACGAAGCGCCCAGTACAAATCTACGTTGATCTTGGGTGATGCATTGACGATATCGCCGGAGGCAACCACAACCTCGAAGTTGCGCACGTTGTCACACGCCCATCCCTTCTGGCCAGAGAAGTACGAGATTCCGCCGCCCAGAATCAAGCCACTCACCCCAACGTCTGCGACACGACCAGCAACAACGGCCAGCTTCATTGGATCAAGGACCTCGGAGACGTTGATCCACTTGTTTCCAGGACCGACGGAAACAGTCTTGCGGTCGGTTGAGACAGTGATGTTGTTGAGGTTCTTCAGATCGATAGTGACGCCGTTGGCGACATTGGAACCACCAGCGAAAGCAGTATGGCCGCCACTCTTAACAGAGAAAGGTGCGTCCAGCGAGGTAAGTATCTTCATGATGGTTGACACATCCTCTGTGGTCTTGGGAATCACGAAGCATCGGGGGTGCACCTCGGCTTGGCGTTCAGACCAGTAGCTATTGGCTTGGATGTAGGATATTGTTTTGGGATATGCCACATTATTTGGGAACGCTTTAGCGAGAGCGGAACACTGGGAAACTGTTAGCGGTGGACTACTTTGATGTGAATGGTTAGAGAATACCGCATCGCTCGAGTACTTGTGAGCAGTTTCATTTGCGCATGAGGATCCCACCAGGCCGGGCAGCAGGAAAAGTTGTGAGGCTCTCATTGTGATGGCAAGAATCCCCTTGGTGAAAGAGTAATGTTGAGTGCAAGTTGAGAGCTTGAGGAGAAGGTCTGGTGCTAATTAATGGAGTGGGAGGGCCAGAGGTCTTGGTCGCCGAAGTAAGGCGCACCGGATACTCGCTGGTCCGGGGCTAAAGTTCAGCACTGGCGGGTAGATCGCAATGCGCTGCGGAAACAGTCCAATAGGATATTTTGGCGAGGAAGCTAAGCTGTGGTGAGATTTAGGGTAGTATTTATCTGATTTCCGACTGAAACATTACCCTTTTGCCCGTTCTATTGTCACTGCGGAAGCAGACCTTGTGCATGCGCTTAACTACTCCATTGTTTGCTGTTCTTTGTATTGTTCAGTTGGTCGGGTATTCCCTACGAGGTTAGGCCTTGGCACTGTACATCACCGGCACTTGACGTCGTTACGGGGCAGATTCGGCAGATTGAAGCGAAAATGGCATGGCCTGATCTGCGCTGACTAACCCCTGTGACTGTTTCGGCCAGAGTATGTGCTGACACTCGTGCACCGACACGATTAAAAAGCCACCGATGTGCAACGGGAGTCATCTTATTAAGCAGTCAAAGATGGAGCTCTTTACTTCTCCAACTTTCCATCATCATGTTGAGAATTTGATGAAACAGAACCGAGTGCCAGGTCTTTCCATTGCAATTGTCCACGCTGATGATGTGAAATCCATGGCTTTTGGCTTGTCATCGGTCCAAGATCAAGCGCCATGCACCGCCGACACTCTTTTCGATATTGCATCCTCATCCAAGTCGCTCACCGGAGGAGCTATTGCGTTACTGGTCAATGATAAGACGTTTCCTCAAGTTCAATATGACGCGATAATGTCAGAGTTGCTGCCCGACGACTTTGTTTTGTCTGAGGATTCGTACACAAAGATTGTCACCGTAGATGACCTTCTTGGTCATCGAACTGGGATGCCTGGGTATGATCCTTGCCCAACTTGTATTCTTTTATTTGTGCTTACCATGAGCCAGTCACGATGATTCGTACATGGGACTGCGAGCCGCAGAACCCGACAATGCTAGGTCCATCACCAGGAACTTACGCAATCTGGCCTCCGCCACGCCTCCAGGATTACGATACATATACTGTAACATGATGTATACTGTACTAACTCACCTTGTTGAAGTTCAGACCGGGCAAAGCTTCGGTAAATTCTTACAGGATCGCGTCTTTGATCCCTTGGGCATGAGCTCGAGTGATCTCCAGCCGGAGAATGCCAAAGCCAGAGGTCATGGCTACCGCCTGGCAAAGGGTCATATCTGGGATAAGAAAACCTCAACTTTTCGCGAGTTTGAGGCTGTCGATTGCCCGGAGGGCCAGGGTGCTGGCTCAATCATCACAAGCGCAAATGATTTCATCAAGTGGATGAAGGCGCTACTCAATCGCAAAGGTCCCATCAATGAAGATGTTTACCAAGGTCTTATCCGACCACGATCTTCTCGTCCAGCCAAAAGTCGCCAGAAGAAGGCAGACACCGATCGAATGTTCTACACAGCTGGGATGGATTCCTATTGGCATGGGGATCATGCAGTATTTGGGCATAGCGGTGACATCACGGGCTTTGGCAGTCGATTTGTCTTTCTTCCAGATTTGAAATTCGGGGCTGTTGTCATGGGAAACTCCTCTGGGACAAATTCAGTTGCTGCTCAATTGTTTCGAGAGCTGATTGAGCATGTTACTTCACCAGGTCACAATCAGCTGTCCTCGGAACGCAGCAACTCCGATAACCAGGGCCGAATTCAGCACGAACCCGCCGTACAGGCTAATACTGAACAGCAGGACAAGGGCAAAGGGAAGACTGACAGAGCTCGGAAAGTGATTAAAGGAGCAGTGGGAGAAAATGAGAAAGTGAGCAACAGGAACAAATCACCTACGGAAACAACTAAGCGACAAGATCTGGATCTTGTCTCATACACCGGCAACTATTGGAACCCGGGTTATCGGAACATGAAGGTCGAGATCAAAGGTGGCCAATTATTCATCGATGCGACAGACCGTTCCTTGGGGTTCACATCCTACCTTGAAGAACGGAGAGATGGCTTGCTGTTCGATGCGCATGTGCGAGACGCGTTTGACACTGGCGCAGAGATTCTAAGAACCCAATTCGTGATTGACAATGGAACGGTCTTAAGGATGGGCATGGATCTGGAGCCGCTCGTCAACGATCTTATATGGTTCGATAGAGTGACATAATTCAGAGTACTCTTTTGCCTAAATTAAGCACGGTTCAGCTCCAATCAGCTCCCGCCCCGAAGTGGAAGCATTATGCGATGCGCACGCGGTCGTGTGCTGTCGTCATCGCTGACACCCCGAAGAAAACTCTACTTGTCGCGTAGACTCAGAATGGCTTCGATCACTTCGATTTCCTGATTTCCTAGCTCGAAAACCCCAGATAACCCCGCAATCCGCCGTGTCGATCAAAAGTATATAACCACACTGTCGATACTCAATGCCACTTCTTTATTTGTTTCGGATTGAAACCTCAATCTTTCAATCAAGCATGATGACGCTTCTTGTCGCAGCCCTGTTGGCTGTGCTGAAATTCACTGTTGCTTCAAGCAATTCCTGTCCTGTCATCACACAGCAGCTCAGCGATCCGCCTTACGAGAATTATTTCTACTCCGACTGCAACACTGATGCGCAGGTTGTCGTCACAAGCCCTCTTCCTGACAGTAATCTTTCAATCATCGGCCCGCGACTCATTGTTGCTTGGCCTGCAGGGAATAGTGGAATATGTACTTTTTTTCAACCCCAGGATGAGAAGAATGGCACACTTGCTGTTGAATTGGTGAATTCGACCTTGGGATCTCCGCTTGGCGTCATAAATAGTAAGGACAAGAATTCGGAGTACCCTTTTGTTGGAGTCGAGGGTGTTCTCTCATTCAACACTTCCGCAAATCTGACGATTGCCATTCTTGGGAGTATCCGGAATATCCGGGACTTTACTGAAGGACCCAGCATCGTTAACCCGACCATCCAAAATGCGACGAACATCACCAGCGTCAAGAATGGAGGTGTTCTGGTCTCTCGATTATGGCTGGACAATATCACAACGACAAATCTCGTGCTGGAACCGTGGGAGAACAAAAATAACGCCATGACAATCGACAACAAAATCATAAGCTTTGGTGCAGGGTTTTATCGGTTTTCTGCATCCTTCAACTACCCTCAGCTGAAGCAACTATCTCCTCAACAGGTCATAAACAACCAATCGCGATCTCTAATAAAACAAGAGCCGTCTCAAGTTCGATCATTATCCTTCTTTTCGTACACCGACAAGCTGCTCGCTGGCGGATGGCGCTTTTTGACATACTTTGGCCGCGACACCATGATAGCTGCTCTCCTGCTAGAGCCTGTCCTTAGCGCTGGTAACAATTCCGCCTTGGAAGCTGTCATTGGCGCAGTTCTCGAGCGAATTAATCGCACGGATGGATCTGTCTGCCACGAAGAAACCATCGGCGATTATGCGACATTGCTCAACCTGCAGAAAGGAATCGTGTCGACTGCTCCGGGCTTCACATACCCCATGATTGACACTGACTATTTCTTGCCTGTTCTCATGGATCGCTATTTCAGCGCGCTGCCCTCTCGAGTCAAGCCATTGTTGAGCACAAAAGCTGGCGACGTCGACGTTGAGAACCGAAACCTGACATGGGGCAACCTGAGCTACACCAATGCCCAGAAGATCATGAACATCACGGAAGCTTTTGAGAAAGATCAGTCGGTGAAGAACTTGATCCAGCTGAAGAAGGGCGAACTTGTCGGCCAATGGCGAGACTCAAGTTACGGACTTGCGAACGGACGCATCCCGTTTGATGTGAACTGCGCTCTTGTCCCAGCAGCGCTCTACGCCATTTCCAATCTTGCCAAGATTCCTGGTGTGTATCCCAACAATTCCGTTACAAAAGACTGGAGTGAGATTGCTGCAAAACGAGCAAAGGTGTGGGAGGATAACACTCTTCCATTATTCCAGTACAACGTCAGCGTCGATACGGCAAAGTTAAGGCTGGATGATTACGTTGATACAAACACGTTCTACAATGGACCGACACATGCTGACTCACTAGCAAACTATACGTCCTCTGGAAGAGTGGTTGACTATGCTATGGCGATCAACACCACTGCGAAACCAGACAAAATAGCCATCACGCATACCGATACTGCGTTCCGCCTGTTCCTTCTCAACTCAACCAACGATGCCCAACTGACAAGATTTCTGAATGCCACGGCAAACGCAATCCTTCGTCCATTCCCTGCAGGCCTGAGCACACCTTATGGGATAGTGGTAGCAAACCCTGCATTGGCCGACAATAAAGAAATCACCGCTGGTTTTACAAACTCCGCTTATCACGGGACTGTTATATGGAGTTGGCAGCTGGCGCTCATGGCCAAAGGTCTCGAACGCCAGCTTGCACGTTGTCTTTCATCTGCTAATGAATCTGAGAACACTCCAGCATTCTGCGGAAATGATGGAGTGCATATCGCGTTGAAGCGTGCATACAATCATTTATGGGACATCATTGACGATAACAGCGACAGATTGCAGTCGGAAGTCTGGAGCTGGAGCTATAGTTCCAAAGGCGGTTACAAGTTTGCACCCTTGGGTACTCTGCCGCCACCGCCTGGGTTGGGATCTGGAACAGAGAGTAATGTTCGTCAGTTGTGGAGTCTGACGTTTCTTGCAGTCAAGAGGAATAAGGATTTTGCATGAGGTTGAAATGGATCTATGTTGATTGTTGTTTATTACAAAGACACAAATGCTAAGACAGGCGTGATAAAATTATGAAATGAAACCAATGAAGGTTACGACCAATGCAACGGGGCGATAACAGTATGCATAAGGTGCTGGAAATGGTGACATAGCCAATAATCTCGCTACTAGTGATAAAGAGGTGTCCCTGGCACCCAGTCGCGCCGCCTCTGAAAGACCAAAACACTCGACTCGCTCGTCTCACCACTATAACGCGCAGTCGTCCTTGCATAAAGCGTAAAACCATACCTCTCTACAACTTCGAGCAAAGCCATGAGCTTCAGCTGGCTCTCGACATCGTCATAGCCGGTGGGTCCCCAAGGAAACTTCTTAAACTTGATCTTTGTTCGTTCTGGCGTGACTTCGTGTTTCTGGATGTCTGTGATGAAAGTCGCGATGACCTCGGCGGACAAGTCTGGGGGTGGGTGGTTGAGGATCTTGAGTTTGTCTCCACCGTGGAAGGATATGCTGATCCATTCACAAGGATGGGGAATGTGGTTTTGTTGCCGAAAGATGAGGGCATCTACCCTGTTAGACAATGATGCAGATTTCATATCAATCTAGCTCGCTGGCTTACCTTTTGTTGACACTCTTTTGGTAACTTCGATAGGCGAGTACAGCATCCAACCCATATTAAACAAAGCCTCTAAAAGACGAAGCACCAACAAAATGGCTTCTTCGTTGCCATTGAAATCATAGCCCCATGCATATCCTTTCAACTTGATTTCTCGTGATTCCTCACCCGGGTATACCTTGTCTATACCTTGTTCCCAATTCGACCTGATGACTTCGTGAATAGCAGCCATTTCTACTTCACTGAAATGGATGAGTCTAATGCGATCAAGTCCATTTCGTGTGATGGATGCAAATCGGCTTCTGGGAACTGGGGACGGGCCACCTTGCACGGCTTGTGCGAATGGCGGTGGTGCAGCGCTAGCGGCCTCTGGTTCGGTGTAGTTGTTGAAAGCAGCTTTGGACTTTTCAGACATGGTGGAGATGGGATTTCAAGACTTATATGTGTATAATAAGAGGCTCCCTGGAGGATGATTCAGTTTATATGAGTAGAGGATCAAGGCAACATTACGTCAGCCACAGATGAGACTGATAATAGCTTAAAGGATTTTGGTTGGGGCTGTGCTGAGGCTATGCAAGGCGCGCCAACGATGTCAATCGGGCGCTCTCAGCCCTCTATTCTAAGCGGTTACGTCTAACGTTAGTGGCAGAAATAAGGCCTAATTAGGGGCAGTCTACGGAAACACTTGACGTTGGTGATAAGTTGAAGCTTATGCGGTGTCATAACGTCCAAATAGGAAACTCGCTCGGAAAAATAAAAGCATAAAGGTATTCAAATCTCGTGCAATTTTTATACATACAAAACTCCAGGTACAGTATCTTTATCGACGTCATTGTTCGTGGTAAGGACGTCGGTGATCATTCACGCCCTTGCGGGCGGGGTACAAAAGCCCTTATTCACGGTAACAAATATCGCGAGTCATTCCTTCAAAAGCATCTCCATCAAAACAACTCCTCGCCAGTATTAAAAAGAGGAAATACACAAACAATCCTTCAAATGGCTGCCGACACCGATCACATCACCCTGACGGCCCAGTGCCTCTGCAAAGCGCATTCCTTCTCCACGAAGGTACCCCAATCCAAGTTACCTCTAGATGGATCAATGTGCCACTGCACATCCTGTCGAAATGTCACCGGCGCCATGTACAGCAGCGATACAGATTGGCCCGGACCAGCAGATGAGATCCTCAACTCTGATCTCAAGACTTATGCCTTTACCACCAACGTCAGCATTTTGTTTTGCGGTTCTTGCTCTTCGCCCTTGTTCTGGAACGAACATTACGAGGACAAACCTCAGAACATCAGTGTGTTTACGGGCGCGCTGAATAACGTCGAGATCAATGAGTTGATCAGGTTCTCGAGGCAGATTTTTGTAGGCGATACAGTCGATGGGGGAGTTTCTCCGTGGCTGCAATTTCCGACTGTCCATGGTTCGAAGGCTTGTCGCTGGCAGGGGAGACCTGATAAGAGTGAAGAGTTGGGCGATGACTGGCCCGGTACCAAAAAGCCTTCGATTGCCAAAAATGCTTCAAAGGCAGAAATTCCTCTACACTGTCGTTGCAAAGGAGTCAACTTGGTCTTTCGTCCGGGCAACGTGGACTTTTCGACCATGGACGTTGACTCTATCCCATTTTACATCGACCCGGAATCCCACAAACACCTCGCGACGCTTGATCCATGCAACTCTTGTCGCCTTTCTACTGGGGCGGAAATCCTGAGTTGGACTTTTGCTCTTCTCAAGCAAATAGACTTTGCCGAAGACTCCACAGGACCCTCATTCCCTCGTAGCACGCTCGAGCTCAAGGATGCTGTCGAGAGCACTGGTCGAGATTCTCGGTACGGGACTCTTTCCATGTATCGAAGCTCGCCAGACGTGCAGAGATATTTCTGCTCACGATGTTCTGCGTCGGTATTCTATGCAGTCGATGATCGTCCAGATCTCGTTGATGTGGCTGTTGGACTTTTGCATGCCCCAGATGGAGCCAGAGCTGAGAGCATTTTGGCTTGGCATTTGGGCGCAAAGATGATGGGCGAGGAAGACTATAAGGGTGGCTGGAGGGAGGGGTTCTTGAACGCAGTGAAGGAGACATCAGAGAAGTGGAGGCTTGAAAATGGTTTTCCTAAGACATGGGCGAGGGTCAAATCTGAGAGTTCCTCAAAGGCTGCCTGAAGGAATTGGTCAAAATGTCGGCAGTATAAAAGAGGTTGAGAGCTGAATAAGATCCGATTACCATGATATAAGCAAAAAGGTGTCCTCATATGGAGAGGGAAACTGAGGGATCCATGTCGGCGGGATATTAAATTAGACTACTCAATCATAAGGATATATACTGTTACAGCATCGTACTACAAGATCGCATAATTTGAGACTCATGAGTGCATATTATCTTATTCCTAAACTCTACTTGATGCTTACTTCTTAAGTACTATCTGCTCTCTCAGATCAGATTTTACGGCTTTAGAGTGATTAATCAGTGAAGATGGATAAAGTTTGTATTATTTAAAAGCTTGGTCAGCTCTACCTCCGACCTCCACTGTCCTTTTCCAGCTCGTTCCTTCATATGTGTAACACTTCACTATTGCATGTTTTATCTCTTTCCAATATTTGTAAATTCCGTTTACAAGTGATATTTTAAAAGTCATCATTATCTTTGAAGGACAGTCTCAAGTATGCGGTACCAGACCAGGAGAACATCGATACTATGATAACAGTAGCCACTCTTGGAATATTCTGAGTTTGAGTTAAGTTCGGCATTTTGAGGGCATTTTCCCAGACTTGATATTATACTGCAGTATTAGACGCTACTCTCAAGTCTTCAAGTTAGGTTGAGTGATTAAAAATCTTATGACCTGGGATATTTTAAAAGCCCTCATCTGGGAGATTTAAAAAGCATCCATCCCTCCTGCAAAAATACAGCCCAACCGCAACCACAGCCATAATACCAAATAGCAATCACGACCACTAACCCCATGACGATGGATTCTTCTGCAAATACTTTCAACAACAACATGGCAAGGCCAGTCCGTCATCATCGTAGCCTTAGCAGGCGGACATCAGGGAAGTTCGACCTACTCGCACTTCCCTGGGACATTCCGGAACCAATTTTCAGCTACGTGTTTCGAATAGAAGGCGGGTACGTTTTTGACAGCGCGTCTGAGAAGCTGGTTACCTCTTCTGGCAGCCCCATCAATCTCTCACTCATGTATACATGCCGCTCAATCTGGGAGGACACCAAGGACATGCCTCTGTCTCTCAACAACATCACATTCTCGACCTTATACACGCCGGAGTGGAGACCATGGGCCGGTCGCTTCTGTCACATGTGCAATTACCACCGCCTTCTACAAATAGACCTCCTATTTCACCTTCGTGCCGAAATCACGCCTAAAATGTGTAGTGAAGTTGATCGGAAGTTTTCCACTGTCATGCCCAAGCTGAGAGAGGAACTGGACCTGGAGTATCGGCGGCGCGGGGTGGGAAACTGTCAACATGCACCACCCGGTAGGTTGCCAGGATTAGCCCTTGAATACAAGTGTTACAGGTGGAGGATCAATCGTTGGGAGGGCATCGACCGGATTCCTCGCATCTTCCCGTGTGCTACGTGGGTTAAAGATCCTCATACGTGCAAGCAGGCTATCGAGTATACCCTGAAACTCATAGCTCGGGCACAGCGTGGAAAGTTCGCCTTGCTGATTAAGATGGCCTTGCCCAGATGGCCACACTCGATGTCCCTGGGAGGATTTCTTGACATATCCCTCGATCCATGGGATATACCAACCCGAGCCAAACTGGACGTACTTGGATATCTCTTTCAAGACGAGAATCAGTAGGCGGGCCTTCTGGACTGGCCTAAAAGAAACCCTGTCAATGACCCAGAGAATTATCCACCAGACTCTGATTGTGTCGGATACCAGGAAAAATGTCGCTTTTCTGCAACCGCTGTGGCCATTTGGTTCATTAGAAAACTCTCTCTCCGCCAGAGGCTCAGCTTGAAGAAAGTCACGCTTGTTGAGGACAAGCTCTCAGTGAACAGGCCTGCCATCCACGGCACGGGCCTTATTCCTCTCTGTCAGGAGAACCCCGATCTCAGGATTCAGCGTCATCTCGTGTTGTCTCAGGCGCTACCATCGTTTCGGCCAAATTCTTGGGGAGAGTCAGACTTTGATCATCATTTGAACGCGCAGAGACACCTTTCAGGCCCTGGCCGACAGAGATGGGTGTCTCCGCCTTGTCTGACCGGCGACCTTCTTCTGTGGATTGCTGAGGCAGCACGACTCCCGAGCCTTGGTATGCCCGCTAACTCATATACACTTGTTCTTGACGGTGGCCCCCACGGAGCATATTTCTCAGACCTCACTCAGAACGTCTTTCTTGAATTTTGCGCCACGGCCCTAGCATATCACAAATGCAGGGCAATCAACATAGGGCTTCATCTTTCTGAACCATCGTGGGTTTGGCTATCATTACCAACACATTGGGCGAGAGCTCTGTCAGTCCCCATACGCCTGTATTCAGAGTTTGGTCACCACAAACAAGTGCCACTGATACAATCCAACTTTAACTTCGGCACGCTGCCTCATGTCAGTCGGCGTTTGCATAATTGCGCGGGTTGGAACATTGATCGTTGGTTTTGGGAAAGAGACTTCTGTTTTCGCATGTGGACGACACCCTATCCACCAGCTTTCGGCCGATGGCAGGATAATGTTCTCGAGAATTATGAGCGGCAGCCTATCCAAGATAATACGGAGAGAGAAGCAACAAAAAAAACGAAATTGAACTCGACAAAGTAGAGTAATGAGTCGGTAATGACAGTCCCTTGACCTGGCTTCGATGGTATGAGCGTTTTGAGAATTCCTTTTGTCGAAAAGTTAACCAGACCCTGAATTAATAGCAAGCTATTATTCCAGAAAGGGGTTCACTAGGTAGCATTCAATTTACAATCTTCGTACATGAATTCGAGTATTTTTGAGTGCACTGGAGTATGATGTCATTTTATTGGTAAAATAATATTTCGTGAATGTTGGGCTTAATATACATATATACAGCAAAGACCAAATATGTTCCTATCTCTAACTATGCAATCTAGCTTCAATGCCTTCCCATGCGTGAGAGCCTTGAAGAACAGCAAGTATCCTGTGAAAGGTTGATTGAGTTCTGTGACTACAGTTCAACTATTTAGGGGGCTCAGAAAACTGGAAAGAAAATGGCTGGACCTTTCCAAAGTTAGGTGTGCCATCAGCATTGGCAGTAAGAGGCTGGGTCATAGCATATCGGGTGTCGTCACATGCACCCTTGCTGTTTGATGTAGCGTGGAAGGTGATGTAGGTCTGTTTGCCATCGGGGCTCTGGAAGAAGCTGTTGTGACCAGTTCCGTAACTTCCATTGCCACTCTTGAGAACACAGCCGTTGGACTTCTTCCAAGCCGAGGCCTTGGAAGGGTCAGTCTTGCCGTCCCATAGCAGAGTAGCGACACAATAATCTGGAGTCCAGCAGTAGTTTGCAGAGTAGGTGATATAGGTCTTGCCGCCAAAGTAGAGAGCGTTGGGGCCCTCTTGAACGGGGGTGCCGCTCTTTTCCCAGCTTTGATCGGGCTGCGAGATGATACTTAGGGCACCAGCGGACAGGAAGTCGGCTCCGAGCTTGCGGATACATGTTGATTGGTACTGGACACCAGTCATGCAGGAGTAGACAAAGTAGTTGCCAAATTGGCTGGTGCGAAGGATGGTACCATCAATGCCCCAATCATCAGAAAGCTTTGCTCCGTAGGACCAGGCATCCCAGGGTGTTGCACCACCTGTATATCTGTCAGTTGACCGTGGGTGCTCTTCAGAGTCAATGCTAAAGCTTACCCTTGATAACATGCGAACGCTGTCCGGTAAGGTCCTCTGATTTACCAGCGGTATAGTAGATGTACCACTTTCCACCCAAGTAGTGAAGCTCAGGAGCCCACACATTAGATGATCGGCTGGGGTCAGTGTCACTGTAGATGACTTTGGGAGTAGCGGTCTTGAGTCCCTCAATGGTTGTAGCCCGGGTTAGCTGCAAGTTGGTCCATTCTGTGGAGATGAGGTAGTAATAACCACCAGTGTAAGTGATCTGGGGATCGCCTCCACCTGGGTTTCTGATGGGGTTGGTGTAGGCACGTGCTGAGCCGACAAGGCCAAGGGCCAGAGTGAAGATGTTACTCCAAGAGACCATGATTGCAATTGTGATGAGATACTGTTAAGAGTATGTATGCTCAACATGCAGGATCTACCACATCTTTATAGACATCGATCATGGTCAGTTATCCGATGGTAGCATTAACAAGTCGCTTCTTACTAGAGAGAACACGGTCAACCTTCCTATAACAGCTAAGCTTGCTTGTTTATTCGAACACCGGCTGACGTCCCATTTTAGATTCCCTCCGAACAATATACTTCTTCTGGGGTAATTGCCGATCTATTGGGGGGTTCGTAGACGCGACCCAATCATAACACGCAGGGTTCATCCCGCAATGCCTTTTCCCCGGATTGCTTTTGAGTCTAAATCGAGTGGTCTAAGCGTTACGCGGGTTAACGAGAGACGCGCCAATAGAGAAGGTCTCGCTCGCATGCCAGCAAATCAATCAGGGAATATGAATGCCGACATGGCGGTCAATGTGACCTCAAAAGCACGGAGCATCGGCGGAGTTGCAGAGGCATAATTGACTTTCTCTATGGGGTCGTCCGGCGCTACTACACGGATACAAAACATCATCTACGGATAGGAAAATACCAATTCTTCCGCCAACCAGTCATCATCCATAGCACCCCTAAAACCCTGGTTAAGGCACCCACCACCATTCGTCGTGCGCACGTCCATCAACAAGATGACTCTTTGAGTGCCTCAAGCATATGTCTTGAGGGCAATCTCTGTGGCAGTCTCCCTCTGGCTGGCGATCCTTGACCTCGACACACCACCTTTTTTAGCTCTTGCCATCCATCCCCAGAACCTATGAGACCAGCAGGACATGATACCGTCTTGCAATTCTGTAATCGCTGATTCCAAGACACCGATACGGCCTTTGAGGACCGCGCTGTCGGATCTTTCTTGATCAAGTTGAGTCTGGTATTGCTGTGCCGTCAACTGAGCAAGTGCACGTTCGTCAACCCGTTGCTGTTCGACATCCTTGGACTTCTTCATCTCATCTTCGGCTACGCGCTTTGATTCCTTGCACTCCTCTGCCAATAACGCGACTTGTCCCTTTAGCTTATTGTTATCGCCCTGTACAGACTCAAAATCCCTAAGTTGTCCGTCCAACTTCTCCAGCCTAACCTGCAGGACGGCAGTCTCCTGTTCAGCTTTCCGTCGACATTCTGACTCTTCCGCTGCTTGGTCTTTCCAAGCTTGTTGGTAAGATAACATTTCCCGGAACGCGAGTTCTTTGGCAGCGTATTCGACCTTATGATCCTGCGCCTCTTTGTTTACTTTCGCGATCTTCTCGTTAGATTCCATTGAGATGAGATCTAGCCGAGCTTGTAGTTCGGCGTATTCATGCTGTAACATGGAAAGGTTCATTTCGAGTTGCACCACCTCTACCGTCCTGACGGGGAGCTGTGATTCCACTTCATTGGCTTGGGCCTGTATCATTCTCTTGTTACACTGGACTGCAGCGTTGATGACCGTCTGCCAGTCACTGACAAAGATTTCAACTTGATGAGAATGGTAGTTGGAGCAAAGACAAAGCCTGGCTAAACGACGTAGAGTATCAGTTGTGATAGACTCTGGTAGGGTTTGGGACATTTGGTCAAGTAGTGGGCGGATTTTTGAACGATTCGGCTCTTCGATGTCCCATCTGCAACGAACATTGTATTTCGCATTGCCAAAACAATTGACTTTGCCGCACCTATCTCTGATACCGTGTGTGATTTGAAGCAGATGTTCTGGATCCCACAGTGCTGAGGTCATTGCGGCAGATTTCTGGTGAATTGACAAAATTGCTAGTTTCGATAGACGATAGGCGGTGATACATGATGCAAACAAGCGAGAGAGAGCGTGTCGTTTTATAAACTCAGGATATTGTAAAGTTACAACTGCCAACATATGCATGGGTATCAGCTGAAAGCGTTAGCTGCACTGGGTTGCATATTCTAGGCCTGGAAGGACAACCTGATACACGGCGCAGCAAAAATGTTACCCTATGCTCGAAGCTTATCTGCTGGAGATATGCAATGACCCACCCAGCTGAGTGATCGTCGGGTGGTATGTTACGCCACGGCGGTAACAAAAGTCTTTTTATTCGTCAGCACACATTCTTGCCATTGCATTTTGCCATGGGCCATGTAAATCGAGTGGTGTGGTGCCTGAAGCTGGAAATCTTCGCGGTGCTGTACACTGCTCTTCGTTATCGCAAATGATCAAGCTGTCCAATCAAGCGAGGCCCAATCCTCTAGCCACTCTTCCAACTCTCAGCAGCATACAGTTATAGACGGTATCGTAGGGTTGATTAAGGGCCACGACGAAACGCAAAGCCGGCAAATTCCGAGGGATCCGAAATGCCTTCGAGGGCAAAAGGGTTTGTCTCCAGCGAGCCTTGGATGTACCAAAATAGTTCCTTTGTGGCATCGGTTGATGCGGGAAATTGCTTGTTGCGGATTCGCTCTTCGTATGAGGGAGTTGAGTGTGACATAATAACGTTATCCAGCAAAAGGAAAGGTGGAGGGATTGTTGTATTTTAAGGCGATCAGGGAAGGCAGAAAGGAATGATTGAAGCACAGTGGAATGAAAACGAGAGAAAGTCTCAGTTCGTGACCAGGGCTGGCCAACACCCACATTTTCGCAACTCAGCCCCCGGGGTTTTCACTCCATATTATCTGGTGGCGGCTACAGCATTGGCAGTTAAACCCCTGCCACCATTTCATGCAAAAATGATGTCCCTCTCTTGTAGCTCCGCTAGACCACAGCGAAGTGAGTCAATTGTGGCTGACTATGCTCACTGCGCCATTTCAGTTAAATACACACTCCAACTATTGCGACTGCGATACGCTCCAACCTCCCGTGCTTGGGTCATAATGCAGCTCGTACACAATCTCGACATCTTCTTCCCCAGTAACGGTATAATCAATAACAAGATTGGGCTCGTTGTAGTGTCCCATGAACTCTAGTACGAAACTCAACCGCGCCTCATCACTCAGAGTCTCTCGAAACGTGAAAGAGAACGGCTCAGCCCTTGCCACACGTCTGTTGTACTCAAGCTTTACTGATTTTAGATACGTAACAGGGATGCCGTCTTCATCAATGCCAGCCAGTATAATCTTCTGGCGGTCGTGTGCATCCTTCTGGGCCTTGATGACAAGTCTTCTTTTGAGAATGAAGGCTGGGATGGTGAAGCCAAGTCTATCCATAACTCGAGTCATCAGTTCGTCCGATTCAGACCAAACATGCATATCTGCAAGGTTTTCCATGAAAGTATCCTGTAGGTTGCAGATGATGAGCTTGCTCTTGCGACTCTTCCCACACGTCTCGGGGATGCCGTTTGCTGGGGAAACGCCGAGTGATGATCCAAGCACAAGACACAAGTCGGCTTTCTTGGCGTGGTTTTGAGCGAGCTTAAGTGGTTCCTCAGGCAAGCTGCCACCGAAGTTGATGATGGTGTCGTGGAGATTGCCTCCGCATTGGGTGCACTTGCGACCTGTCCGGTGGTCGTGTACAGACTTTTCATAGGTCGCTACAGCCCGGAAGTCTGGTAAACTTTAGACAGATGCGAGGCGCATATGACTGGTACTCTCACCTCGTATGTACTCTTTACCACAGTCTTTGCAACACTCTCGATTGCTGTTCCCGTGAAGTTCAGAGATTCGTTCCTGGAAAGGTTAGTCGAATTGTCTTGTAAGCCGAGAGTTAGTCCTTACCCTCGAGATCCCACTCCTCCGGTGCAGCCCGTCGCAGTTCTGGCTAACCAAGTACTTCAGTGCCCCTTGATTCTGAAGTTCGACAAGAGCCATGTGCGTTGGTGTTGGGATGGCTTGGAGCGTGCTGGTAGTCTTGCCCGTGCGAGCTCTTCCTTGAGCTCTGAGCGTCCAAGCACCTTCAGGGCCACGAAAGTCAGGGATGCCTGTACTGGTTATTATTTATGCCTACCAATGGAGAGAATGGAGTTCTTGCGAACCAGCTGATGTTGAGACACCTGCACCTGTGAACACAATAAAGTGCTTGCTTTTGTTGATGAGCGCCACGAGCTCGTCTGCTTGTTGGTCGATAACATCAGGTGCATCGCGACGCTCAGGTTGTGCGATCTTTGGTGCTGAAGATGCCATGTTCACTCGATTTCACGGAACTTAGTTGCAAAAGCGGTTGGAGATTTATCGAATGCACATTGTTTACTTGATGTCACTAGTTTATATATGAACGTAATCTGACAGATGCGGACCGGCGGCTAGGCAACCACCCCGCTACAAGCATAAGCAGTTGGTGTGATGTTTCAGCGAGCTAGCTTTCCGACGAATCAATTGAAGTCTAACTACTAAGGTAATGATAGTGTACGTATGTGCTTATACTTTCAGTAATATTTAATGGACGAGACTGTTCCAAATCAACTGGCTCGCTTCATCTTGACATCCAACTGGGGGATCTCAACACCAACCACATTGCCCTTCTTGTCTGTGGCGAAAACAACACGGATTTCCACACCAGCGCCAACTTCCTGCCAAGTGGTACAAGTAGGGGTACCCGCATCAATAAGAGCACTTCTATCCTGGAAAACAGCAATCCACTGGTGCTGACTACCCGTTTGGACGTTGGAAGGGTAAAGTCTGAAGTCTAGGTTCTTAGCCTGGATGCCAAGCTTCTGGGCAGTTTGATCCTTGACATTCACACCGTTGATCATGAGCTTCTGGACTACCAGACCATGGCCATTGTCAGTCGTGTTGAAAGTTGCCTGAGCATGCTTGCTCTCAAACTTGCCGGCGTAGCGAACTTCTGTTTCTTGGTGGGCGATCTGCTGGAAGTAGCCAAGCACCTCGCTAACAACATCGGCAATCACGTTGAGGTCGAGCTTACGATCCTCAACACTACTATCGTGGGCCAGGATGGCGAAGCCAGCGTTGAAGTCCGTCGTGAGGCCGAAGTAGCTGGCATACTTTCCGATAGCACCACTTTTGGTTAGGACATCTATGATGGGGCGGATGTTCTTTCCGGCACGATAAACCTCCCAAGGACGACCGACACCATTGCGAAGGTTGGAGGTGTCCGCCATGGGGTGAAGCCAGCGACGAGTAATGGCGGGTGAGAGAAGATCAGCGGCGAGGATAGAGTGGCCGGCTCGAGCGAGATCCTTCATGGAGCTAACGAAAGACAGGGCACTGAAAGATGTTAGAGGAGGACCCATGAGCATCAATAATGAACTTACGCAGGCTCTCCAATGAGAGAAGTGTTGAGGCTGTCCATGGCGAAGATGTCCTTGTTCTTGGGGCTTAAAACGCCACTGGAGGTCATGGTCAATGGACTCAGCAGAGTATCTTCAAGAACAGAAGACCATTCAGCGCCATCAATGCGCTGCATGGCAAAAGCCAGTAGCTGGAATGCGGCATAGGAAGCAATTGGGGTCGTATCGGGAAGGAAGTAAGGGGACTTTTTGGCAAAGGCCTTCTCGAATGCTGTGAACGCAGTCAGCATTGAACCAAGTTAACAATCTCGAGCGCTATGAGGCTTACCCTTCCAGTCACAAGGCTCTCCGACAACACAGGCCTTAGCTACAGTATGGAGTTAGTTCATGTTCTTCAAGCTTCTGACTTGGCTGACTTACATTCACGACTGAGACCAGAAACCTGGCCCGCAAGAGCACCAATGGTTACTTCATCCCAGGCGACCTTAAGAGAGCCCTTGACATTGGCCAGCTCAGGAAGATACTTGGTGATAGGAGTTTCCCACTGCTCACCCATCTTGGCCAACCAAGCATATACAGTGAACACCATACTAACATCACCGAGGGGAAATTTGGTAGTCAAGGTGATATTGTCGTTGGATGCCTGATCTTCGGGAGAGGTGTAATGGTACTCGAAGAAGACAGGGTCATCTCGGAGAGACTCATCACCACCGAATATGATGACCGAGAAGGACGTGGTGTTTGGGGCAATTTCGCCATATTTCTCGCTGCCACCATTCTTGATTAGATCGTCGAACGTCTTGGTGAACTGTGAGATGAGATTCTTGAATGTCTTCGAAGTCTTGGATATGGTGGGCGGGGGATAGTATGCGCCGAGAGGAGCACATCCGAAGAAGGGGATGTCATTGTCGATACATTCTTGCTGGGCGAGGACTGCCACAGGCAGAGCGCTCAGGAGGGTTGTAAAGATGGCAGAACGCATTGCAATTGTAGGTTAGCTTCTTGTTTGTGCAACTTTGTAACGATAGAAGTATAGAATGGTGGTGTCGAGATAAAGAAAAAAGTATTATGGTGATGAGAGATTCTTCTTATACATGAAGATCACGACTGGAGTCTTACTCCATCCTGGTCGGCATCTCCACCTCCTCATAACTATAGTAATATTAAAATCCCCGAAGAGGCTTAGCTACGAGACTAAACAGGTGATGAATCCTGTTATGGGATAAAGTCATCAAAAGTCTATGGGGAATGATAATTAGCCAGCGACATTGACGCTCAAAATGCTTACTCCGTATGTTACTCCGTATTAGTCCGACCCTCATTGAAGTGAGCGAGCTTAGTCCGTACCTTAGTCCGTACCACTCAGTAAGCCGGATGAGGATCAACTCGACGTCAGTACTGTAAAGAACGCGTAACAAGTCTGTTTTCTATCGAACAAGCGCTATTTCTCTAGCTTCCATATCCAAAATTCATCGGAAACTCAATAGGATCTGCAAAAAGAAATGTGCTAATATCTAACTCTGGTCCCAGGTACCAATCCGACGTCACAGGCCAGGTTTCGCCGTTTTGGTACGGTATAGACGCATCAACAGGCATACTGCTGGCACCTGTGCTTATGTTAATTGTCGGTTGGTCGTTGGGTTGAGGACTTATAGATAGGCAAGATTCCGCGGTGTGCTGCTCAATTTGCGAGAGATACCAATCTTCGAGCCGCCTTGACCGTTTTGCGAGGCCGTGAAAGGGATGGTCAGGCGGTGCATCCGGGCCAGGTGTTGCTTCAAATCGCAGAACGAGCTGTCGGAGAGTATGTTTCATATCCAGGAACCGCCGGAGGTGTTTTGTGAATCCTGAAATGCTACCCTTTGCAGCTATAAGATCTAGACGGACGGCCAGATTCAGAGCGCAGTTCATCGTGATCCAGCCCATGTTCGACATGGCCATCTCTTCGCCTTGAGGCATGGCGAATATGATGCTGATGAGGGAGCGTGCGGCGGACATACTAGCCGAGAGCCAGTCCATGAGTGAGGTCTCGTCTTGGAATGCGTTTTGGAACTTGTCCAGACCAAAGGCTGTTCCTCGCGGCGACGATTGACTGAGGAGAAGCTCTAGGATGTGTATCTGTAGTAGCAATGGTGCTGTATTAAGTAAGTCAGCAGGAAGCTTCAGACACGGAAAAGCCTGGATATACTGACGGCTTTCACTCAAAGGGAATGGCAGGGTAGACTTTATATCCGCACACTTTTGAGTGATTATTTCACATTCGGTAGAAAACTGCAAGCCTTCTACAAAGGTATTCTTGCAAACAAGGTCTTCAACTTCTTCGATGAGAATCTGCACAGTAATCATGTAGGGCAAGTATTTGTCAGTTGGATATTGGTTCAATGAGGCAAGATGCTGGCAACAGGCCAAGATGTATGGTGTGTGGGATGATTGACGTGTCTTCTGAAGAATAATAGAAGAACTCCGAGATTGTCAGCGGACAGTTTGAGACGAAGGCGATTAACGTACCTTGAGGATAGATAGTATGCACCCGCAAGTGCCCTCATCTCATCAGAACCCCAGTCGGGCTTGTTACTATCTTTACCGCCTTGGGCACTCCATAGCTTCACCTTCCGGGGTTTGTCCAGCCTTAGGTCGCTGACAATACTCGTGATGAGATGAAGATGCTGCATGTACCTCTTTGGCCGCGGCTGATAGTGTCCCCTGCAAGTCTTCAGCATATACGTAGGTACTGGTGCCAAATGTCATACCATGCAACGTGAATAAGTAGACCTTGCATCAGGTCCAACTGGTTAAAATCCCCATCCACCATTCTTGCCGCAACAATTTCCTTGAACATTATGCCGAGTGGCTTTTGTGTCGCAGCATCGGCATGTGAAGCAGCGGCTAGAGCAGCCAGGCAAGCGCAAGGACGTTCTGAGTTCAACTCTTCGATTGAGACATCACTCGGGAATAAAACAAATGGGAAGTATGGAGTCATCTTGGTCTTGAATATTTCCAGAAGAGCCTCGCCTGTTTGAAAAGATATAATCCGTCGTTCGAAAGGATCGAACGAGGCATCTTTGTCGTAGGCATTTTTCGTACGCTTACTGGCTGGTGATGAAACTGTAACTCTCCGTTGTTGTGGGCTTGTTGGTGATGTGGAAGATTGCTCAGATCTAGATCCCACATCTAGTTTGTCCCTAGAGAACTTGTTACAAAAAAATTGATAATTCTCCGTAACACTGCATGTCTCACCGTTGACGATTGATGTTTTGTCGGCGACGAGCCTGATTAAAAACGCAGGTTTTGCCAAGCCGCAAGCAGCGGTCGCACGCATCAGCCTCTTGGGTCTTTTCACAGCGAATTTTCAGCGAGAAACAGGTTTGACAAGTTTTCAATAGCGGCATAGGCGATTGTCGCCCTTTAGATTGATTCATCGTGAATATTTGATGTTTGATGAGTTATGGAAGTGACTTGCGATTTTCGCTTTCGTCGCGTTGTAGATGGCAAGTCACGTGCAGAGTCTTGGCGTTGATACGGAACTCCGTTCGTAGCAGGATGAGGCTGTGTGCATGGCCGCGTAATTTGCCTACGTTTTATTTATATGGAATGAAGTCGAGGTGGGATACTACAACATGAGAATTATAACAGTGAAATATTCAGAAATGGCTGGGGGATTGTGAGACAAAGGCTTGTGCAGGGTAGGTGCCAAGACAACGCTTTATGGAGTTGGACCTCTAATTGGTAAAATGTAAAACCCTGTCAAGCTGGGAATTATCGGCGAAAAGACATTTCAAGGATATTTCCAGCTGAAATTCAGGGTATCATATAATCTGACCTTGTCATAGCCGACTGTCCTATGGTGCTGGGTTGTGAGGACTACTAAGAAAATCCTCTCCCACCGACAAGGCCCGGATCCAGCGTGACCAGAATAACTAGACAGTGCAAAGTCATGGTTGTCATCAACTACGTAGCTTGTGAATTATCACATGTAAGGAAAAATGCTTTGTATAACTTCAGCCTAACTTGTTCTTCGCTTTTACCCAAAGCTCTCTCTTATCATTAGTCTCCGTGTTATGTCAATCTTACCGAGTGATTTTCTGCCAGCCGGACCACAGAAGTAGACTTGCATTTTGTCCTTCCTTTCTTTGGATGCGAAGATGTGTTTGAAGTGATGGATGATCTTATGAAGCATAGAGACCCAGCCGCATGGCCGCCACTAAATTACGACAACGAGACGCATTTTGCCTTACGGCTAAGCGTATAAGTTCCGAGTCTATTGTCGCGATGATTGAGAAAGTCGAGGAGCTATGATTCCGGCACTAGATTATACTGAACACAGAACGATACAACAAAGTTTAGACTGCATCTGTCAGGAATAACACTACACGTAGGGGGTAAGTCTTTTGTCAAGGCCAATGACGTAGAAATAACTATTAATATCATAGTACAATTTAGATAGACTTTGCGATAGAGAGCTATGCTTTGTGAGAAAGATATTAAGGACATCATACCGAAAGACGCAGCAACAGCCATTTGATTATTTAGCCACTTGGAAAATTATGAATAGTGAGGTGGAAATATTTGCGGTATCGGAGTGACTGTTTTTCGTCCGTCTACAAAAGCTCCGGGATTCTTTTATTTCCACACACTATCCCCGGACATTCGCCAAAGCTATCCTACATGTTGTGACATATAGTACTACAGATTCGGAAATGATTCTACTTAGAATGATGATACATACCACAAGGTATCATTCTAAGTGCACAGCACATCACGCGAGGAAACGCCATAGTAGTGGTCATTATTTCTTCCGTCCATTCAGCAACACAGGCCAAGTGATTTCATGTGGGGACCCTTGCACCCCCAAACCGCCAGGAAATTGCAGTACTACTTATACCCACTACAGTAGCGATCGTCTTAATCTTGGCCTATCATTCAGGCTGTTTTTACGCGTGTTCGGCAATGATAGATCGTCCGAACTTAATACTCCTCTCAGGTGAGCTATTCGGCTGTATTTTGCCCGATGGCCGAAATGCAGCGGAGGAACACCACTATAAGGGAGCTGGCTATGTGATGGACTGAACAGGGTATATCTCCCGAAATTGCAAGCATACTCTCATAATGCTCATCTATGGCGTCAAGAAAACAGGGTCTATATAATATCCCGTTAATGCATTTGTAGTCGAATAACATTAAACCGACATTCATTTTCAATCATTACCCTGGCAGTCGACGCAAAATGCTGCGACTAGCCGTCCATTCCTTTTTGATGGCTGCATTTGCAGGCCAGACAATGGCTGCTCCTAGCAACTCTTCCTCTTCCGCGAAAGTCCACTGGCTCGGTGACAAACCTGACTTCACCCAGGGAACCACCTTTGGCGTCCCCTGGCCTCAATCCAAGCATTTTCCCAGGACCACAAAGTTTACTGCCTCCGGTGCATCCGGCCAAGACATTGACCTTCAATCCTGGGTCACCGGATACTGGGCTGATGGCTCAGTGAAGTGGACTGGACATGCTATTGGGGCATCGGAAAGTGTTCTCGATGAGTATGTTGTCAAGGCCACCACTTCCACCGGCGGCATTAACTCAACTGTGTCGGCTGGAAAAAGTGGAAGTGGTATCACTGTTACTCAAACTTCTGGCGAGATCAAGGTCGACACCGGAAAGGTAACTGCCACCTTTTCCAAGAAGGGCTCTGTTCTTGTCAAAGAGATTCAGACCAATGGGAAACGCATCGCTCAGAACGGTAGACTTGTGCTGCAATCGAAATCTGGCGTTTCCCACCCCGGCGATGACGATGCCGAGGCGTTCAAGACGCTTCGCTTCCAGAGCAGCATTGACAACGTCACTGTCACCGACCAGAACTCGGCAAGGACTTTAGTCACTGTGAGGGGAAAACATGCGGCAGCAGATAACTCTCGTCACGGTTCTTGGCTGCCCTTCGTGGTTCGATTCTACCTTTACTCCGGTTCTGAGTCGATCAAGATTATCCACAGCTTGGTCTTTGATGGAGATGCTGAGAAGGACTTTGTTGCTGGTGTCGGTCTTCGCTTCGATGTCCCCCTCAAGGGTGAAGAGCTTTACAACCGCCATGTTCGAATCGCCGGTGTTGACGGTGGCCTCCTCAGTGAAGCCGTGCAGGGCATCACTGGTCTTCGAAGAGATCCTGGTGCGAATGTCCGAGCCGATCAATTCGACGGCAAGGAGCTTCCTGACAAGTCCACCTGGGATGTACGTGTCTCCAGTCGACTGCGCTGGATCCCACCGTGGAACGACTACAGTTTGACACAACTTTCAGCCGATGGTTTCACTCTGAAGAAGAGGACCAAGGCTGGCCAGAGCTGGGTGACCATCCCGGGAGGCACTCGTGCAGAGGGTCTTGCCTACCTCGGTGGTGCAACAGTTGGAGGTCTCGCTGTAGGCCTCCGTGACTTCTGGAAGCGGTTTCCAACTGGTTTCGACATTTCATCTGCCGCATCCGACGTCGGAAGCATCACGCTTTGGCTGTACAGCCCATCTGCAGAACCACTCGACCTTCGACCTTACCATGACGGCCTTGGTCAGAAGAACTACACTGACAACTTGGATGCACTGGAGATTACCTACGAAGATTGGGAGACGGGCTTTGACACACCTTACGGAATCGCCCGCACCAGCGAGTTGTACTTGATTGCCTTCGACAAGACTCCTTCGCAGGATACACTCGCCAGCCACGTCACTCAGATCAACAACCCTCCTGTGCTTGTCGCCGAGGGTGAATACATCAGAAAGACCGAGGCAATCGGCACCTACTGGGCTCCCGAGGATAGTTCCACCGCTGCTTCCAAGAAGCTCGAGGAGAACATCAACTTCCTCGCCAAGTTCTACCAGGACGAAGTTGAGCACCGTCGATGGTACGGCTTCCTCGACTTTGGCGACTTCATGCATACATACGATCCTGATCGTCACGAGTGGCGGTACGACATCGGTGGTTACGCTTGGGATAATTCGGAGCTCTCCCCCGATCTGTTTTTCTGGCAGTACTTCCTCCGTACCGGCCGAGAAGATATCTACCGTTTTGCCGAGGCTCTGACCCGACACACTGGTGAAGTCGATGTTTACCATCTTGGCAACTGGAAGGGTCTGGGAACTCGACATGGTGTGCAGCACTTCAGCGACAGTGCTAAGCAAGCCCGTATCTCGCAACCCCAATACCGCAAGTACTTCTACTACCTTTCTGGTGGAGACGAGCGTATTGGTGAGTTATTCGAGGAGCTTCTCGACACTGACAAGACCTACGGCGTTCTTGACCCTCAGCGAAAGGTTCGCAAGGACGGATGGGTGCCTACGCCAAATGCAACTGTTGCGTTCAGCCTGGGTACAGATTGGGGCGCTCTTGCAGGTGGATGGCTTATCGACTGGGAGCGTCGCGGGCCTCGATGGGAGGAGTCCAAGGCCAAGCTCACCAGTACTGTCAAGAGCATTGCCAAACTCAAAAACGGTTTTGTCACCGGCAACGGACTCTACAACCTACAGAACTGGACACTTGGCCCACCTCCTGCTGATCCCGACAACAAAGGTCACGTTGAGGTTTCCCATTTGTCTGCTGTCTTTGGACTCCCCGAAGTCGTATCCGAGCTCATCCTGTATTACGGCAATGATCTTCCCGAAGGTTTCAAGCAAGCTTGGCTGGACTACTGCTACTACTTCGAGGCAACTGCGGCTGAGCAAAAGGCTCGGTATGGCGTAGAGTTTGGAAAGCTCAACTTGTATCAGGGCCACTCGCGACTCACGGCTTATGCTGCGAGCCAGGGCAAGAACGAAACTATCGCCAACCGGGTTTGGAAGAATTTCTTTGAGACTGACGGGTTCAAGGCGCCGACTGCTACCTTTGCTACGACTGAGATTCCTGACCATGAGGGTTTAATCCCTGGAAAGGAGGCGCCTTGGATTTCTACAAACGATGTGGCCCAGTATGGACTGGCTGTCATCCAGAATCTTGCGCTGGCTAGGGATGCTTTGGAGAATTACAAGCCCATTGTCTAGACTTACTACACTGGACTCTAGCAGTTGAAGGACTGTATTTATTTTGTACTCTTGATATTCAAACACTGTGTAACTATAGAAGTTGAAAACACAAAAATACATCCATCAAACGTTATTGACAGGGGGTATGAGTGCGAATGATGCTACCGTAAAAGACCAATTTTCATGAAAAGTGAGAAGAATCGACAGGGACTGTAGTTTGTGAAAGCAATTGAACTTTTCCTTTTTCCATCTTATCAGTTATCGCTCCCACCAAGGTTTTTGCAATTCCCAAATTCTATTCGAGGCCATCTGTAATCTCCCGAACCTTATTCGTTCCTACAAACCCTTTGCTTGATATGTACCATCGTGATTCCATGTACTCATGGTCGGAAACATCGTCGTCGAAGGGTATCTCATTGGAAAAAGATTATGTCGATTTTATCCATTCCACTGGCTAGACGTAGAAGTCTCATTCGTGAAAGCTGCCCCGATTGATGGTGATTTCCTCAGCTTCTGAAAAAAGCACCTCAAGTTCAATCGTCAGTTGGAGGTCATGCAAGAACTCCTCCGAGTCCATCAACAGGTCTCTGGTTCGGACCAATTCCTTCAAGGCTTCCCGCGCAATCCGGCGTGTATTTTTGGCCTTGTTCTTCATCTGCTGCTGGTTATAGAGGAATGCATAGGCCTCTTTGTCATAACCTTGTGACATCATGTCCTCCTTAACAAGATTCCAATGATGGTCAGGGAGCAGGAAGGTGGGTGGTTTGCAGCGAAATTCTTTGATGCTGCGAAAGGCTTGCGATTGGGAGTAGCCGAAAAGAAACATCCATCTTCTAATATCATAAAATTCGATATCTTCCTCGTAGCTTGCAAAGAAACGAGGTCTTCCGTTCCTGAAGTTGTCCTGCTGGCCCCGGGGTGGGGTGATGTCTTGAAGAGGCATTCTTGGTCCGCGAAAATCCATGATCTGAAGCAATCTGTGAAGTCTTGGAGTGTCTGTAGTGGATGTTGTTGTGAGAGATGAGAAAGAAGAAAGGTTACTGTCACGCAGTCGAAGGGGAGACATGGAGTTTTTATACCCAGAAAGTGAAAGCTTGTTTGAGGGTATTAGGTATGGACCCTGATATGTAGAAGGAAAATAAGTTTTCTATCTATGAAATGTTGATTTATTTCGCCGAAAAATTGAATAAGGTTGTTAATCATGACGAGGCAAGGTATGATAGGCTGTTGGTTGGTGAGGATTATGAGTACCTGGATAACTTTCTATGAAGCTCCATTTCTACAAATGTAGATTTGGGTTCATTCGGGCAAATCTCTCCGGCCTGCGTCAATAACTCAAAAGCAACAATTGGATACTTGAATTTGACCATGCAGCTGCAACCTTATCCAGTCTTTTTCTTCGCTTGGCCCCTCGATGCGTTCGCACAGAAGCATTGAAAAATCATGTGAGCTTTATGTGGCTCTTGGTCTGACCTTATCCATCGACAGGCCCACAATCTCTGGATCATGCTTTCTATTCTGCAAGGTTAGATAGACTCTGACATCACTCCCAAAGCGACTCACCATTAGCTCGCTCCTGAACCAGGCGGTCTCTCTTCTCTCGCAAAGTCTGCAACGCACCCCTCAATGAAGAAGCCACACGTTCCAAATGACCTGCCTCTGCTGGAGAACACCTCGGGTCTTGGTGATCTGCGGCAATCCGTTGATCAGCCATGATCATGATCAGACAGGTTTCAAGGGTCCTCATGTGGTCTTCTACAGCCTGTATTTCGTCCCTAGAGTTGACATTGAAGCCGGGACCTTGCGAACGCGAGTCAGGATCTCGAAGGACTTCTCTAATTATTTTCGAAGGCAGGTCGCCGTTTGCTGCGCGGTTGCGCATGAAAATCATTTCGAAGTTCATCTTCGAGGTTGGGGTATTGGTAGGAGAAGTGCTGGTGATGATGTCGATACCAGCGTCGAGAGTATCCAAGGCTATTCATTAGATATTTATAATTTTTGTCAGAAAGTTTGACAAGAAACTTTTCAAGTGATGCCGAATAAGAACCTTGTTTACTCCTCATAATAGGCGCTTCCAGGGCCCTCCTTCGCGTGGCTGACTTAAATTTCCATACTCAGCCCAGACAAGTTGCAGCTCAAGGGTCACTCGGTTTTGAGTTGAAACTTTATGAGTAAATGTGTATGGCCACGTGTTGTTGGATGCAAAGGTAGTACGTCTACGTTCATCACCCGAAAGAGCCAGTTGGTTAAAATCAGAAGATTGATAGGAGAGCACTTATCATCTCTCAGGTTATCGCTAGAATTTGTTCTCATTTCATTGCCATCAAGAGCTTTGATATACGCTATAATATCAGAATTATCTAGTTTAAAGCAGACTTGGTATCCCCATTCTTGCCTAAGCCTTTATAACCTCAGACAGACGAACAACACTAGCGCTAACAGTGTTCTTGCCATCAGCAGGAGGCAAAATACCACCGCCCATAATCATGAGCAGATCAGGGTTCTTCTTGAAAGTCAAGAGAGCGCGAGTATAAGCAGCAGGCTGAGGAACATCCCACTTCTTCCAGGCCGACTCATCACCGAGAGCCTGGTTGGTGAAGATCTCGGACCTGGTACCGCAGCTGAGAACGATGGTGCCGTTCTTTCCGCCGTAGGGAGTCCAGACAACGTAGGGAGAACCAGCGGGCTGGGTTCCGTCGTTGGTGGCGAGCTTGTGGTGGGGCTTGTTGAGGAACGACTGGGGATCCTTGGACAAGCGGTAGTAGACGGGGAACCAGTAGGTGCTTCCAGCAGGAGGGTTGGGGCCACCACCGTACTCGTAGGCGTAGATGTACTCGCCGTTGGGGAGCTTGGCAACGGTGGGCATGCCGGGGCGGGCGTAGTAGTCAGCGTACTTGGTGTCGTCGACGACCTTGGACCACTTCTTGAGATCGGTGGTGGTCTGGTGAACCATCTTTTGAGAGTGAGTGGCGTTGTCACGCTGATCAGAGTAGTACAGAATGAGCTTCTCCTTGTAGGTCCTGGGAATAGTTAGTAAACATTCAAAGAGGGTAAATTTGATGACTTACATCAGGAAAGGCTCCCAAACTGGGGTCAGGCCGTGGTTTGGCAGGGCCTCGCCACCAAGAGCAACGTGGCTGACAAACTCCCAGGTGTAGCCCTTGTCACGACTGGCATAGACCTCAATGAGAGTCTGGCTCAAGTCGCTGGGAATGCTGCTGCCCGAAATAAGGACAGTGCCCTTGGGGAACTTTCCGAACTGGCGGGGAAGCTCGTAGAGAAAAGGCTGGTATCGAAGACCCCAGTTGTTCTGGGTGTCCTTGACCTTGGAGATCTCCTTCCAGGTCTTGCCGCCGTCCTTGCTCTTGACGATGGGGAACCACACATTGGGAGGCTCGGGGGAGTAGTTCTCCCATGTAGCCAGAAGGGTACCGTCAGACAGCTCCAGGGGACGAGAGTAGAGAACCTGAGGATCCCTGTAGTTGGTGGGAGGATCAAAGATCTCAACGTTGCTGAAAGTCTTTCCCTTCTGAGCAGGCTTTGCTGCCACGAGGGGCAGCAGGAACGAAACAATGGCGGCGAAACGCATGATGAGGACCTGGCTGTGGTTGACAATGGCAGGTTGCTGAAGCCAAGATAGAGAAACTAAGATGCGGTCAACGGCGGTGTCTTATATAGTGCCCATGCTGCTTAGCTCCGTCGCATAACGATGACAGCTCCAACCTCCCCTACCATGTCAACCCGCGTACATGTCACGATGTGGCTATCGTCATTGCGCTGTTCCGACGCGGAGAAACTCAGCTCCAAAAGAAATCTGGGGACCGTGGCGATGAACCTGGGGAATCCGGGGAATGATTGGAGCGGAAATTTCATTGCTTGTCCGTAAATCGACGCGCACCAATCAGTGCTTTAGGGTGATCCGAACAGTCTCTGGGTCTAAGCAAGGGTATGGACGTTTGAATGCGGGGGCATCGCCGTAAGAACACGAGGCCGTGATAGGTAGGAGTAAATAAGCTTGAGTATTCGGGAGTTTGGGGCCCGAGATCAGCAGATTAATGGTACTTTACCATGTGGCTGGTTGATGCGGGCGACCGTGTTGGGTATTGAGCCGTGGAAATTGACCCAGACAACCCTGGTTGACATTCGGTAGCCTCGGATCAGTGGCGAAGGGAATAGAGTTTACATGGTTAATTCATGGCCCACGAGACCTCATTTGACGGACAATGTTTAACAGGAGATGCGGTGACATTCCGCTAGTGGATTGATGGAGCTATATCCGTAACTTGCAAGATTTCTTATTCATGCTGCTTACTTGGGCCTTCAATACCGCCGTGGGCCTGTACCCTGCTGAACAAGCCGCACCAATGAGCCGGACATTAGTTTGATATTACGTTGATTATCAGTATCGGCAGACCGGTTGTCGCGTGGATCTAAGAACTATTTTTCGTGAAACTTGTATCATGCATCACCCTTCTTCGAGTTCTAATCAAACCAGGAAAGACCATTAACACGCATGAAATCTGGCTGTATTAAAAACAGTAAGATGCCCTAAAAATATCTAAGATCCTTCTTAATAATGAGGTAACTTTGTATCTATAGCCCGCCATGAGTTGCTGCCACAGTGGACGTCGCCTTGGCCTTTGAAGTGAGAGAACCAGTCATCCTGGAAGGTCACGTTATACCCAACGTTGGCGTATACCTGGGACACAGCTGTAGCAAAGATATCCTTCGAGCCAATTACAGGACCCCATGGGTTAGGCACGAGGACCTTTGAGTCGGTCATGACTAGACCATTCACGCTGCCAGGGTAGAGGGCTACGACCTGGCTAGCTGTGTCAACATCGCGACGATGGAGGGAGTTCTTTGGCGTAGCTGCTTCAACAATGGACTTTGCTTTGAAAGAAGGTCCACCGTTGTGAGATCCTTGTTCCGGGTTCTTGAACGAGATACCAGTGCTGCTCGAGGCCTTTTGAGGAGCTGAGGAAGATTCCTCCTCGTCTGAGGTGGATGGTTTCTGTCCAGGGCATAACCAGCCATTACCTTCGGCAAAGTAAAACAGAGAAGGCACGCGGTGAATATCCTCGTTGGTAATTCCAGTCTCGCGCTTGAGAATATCAAGGTTGGCTTCGATGCGCTGAGCAGCCTTCTTGTTGATCTCGTCAAACCTGTCGAATTTAAGGGCCTCCTCGATCGTCTGTCTTGGGAGGCACAAGTATGAGTCCTTTGCCTCCGCGGACGACCGCGGACGCGAGACGGCCTTGACCTTTCCGTGGCCGTCCTTGGTTGCCTTGTTCATAAGAGCAAGACCCTTGATCGGATCAGCTACCATGATGACCCAGCCGCGCTTGTTGTGAGCAGGAAGGAATTGTATGAACTCATCCACGTGTCCAACGTACAGCCAGGTTGTGTCGAGAATGAGAGGATCTTGGACCTCCTGCGCCTTGAGGAATTCGACCATGAGAGGCTTTCTGCCATCCCATGCGCCCATGATGTTTCTACCAGCAGGGTAACTCTTGCCATTGTGCGTGTAGGGAGGGATGGTCTCGAGGTTTCCCGTGGAATCAATGCTGTCTCCATTGCCTGGATGCTGAACAGCTCCAACCTTGTCACTGCGAAGCTCGTGGAATGCATCACGTCCAGATCGGCGTGAGCTCTGGACCGATCGAATCATGATACGGATGCTGATAGGGCCATTGAGGCCGGGCATGCTAGAATAACCGGCCTCGAAGAAGTCTTGAGTCCATATATCTTGGTTATCGAAATAAAAAATAGGCTCTTTGATGCCACTATTGGCTACGTTTCGCTTCAGGTCATCAAGATATCTCTGCTGGACATCGTTGAACCCAGGTTCATTTACTCCAGTGGAGAAGATGCGCTGGGCGAGCTGCCCGTGATGATGCGTTAGTACTGGCGCCACTCGAACAGCAACCGCATCAGTCGCTTTAGCCTTGCCGTCGGTGACAGTGAACTGAATTTTTGCGTTTCCGTTCCAACCTTGAGGACGACGGACGTCGCGCGCGTCAATACCCAATTCTAGGCCGGACGCGAGCTCCTTGGCAGTAAAAGCATAATCCGCTGGCACATAGACCCATTTCTTGCTCTTCTTAACAAAGACTCGGACTTTTGATGCAGCAACCTTGTCGGTTACCTGGATTGAGCCCTTGGCAGATGCACTCAGCCCCGTCACGGGAAGAGTCTTGATGGGAGCGAGATATGTCGGGTTTCGCTGGACATTGTCAACAGCGTCGTTACACTTGTCCAAATAAGATTCATCAGAGTCGAAGATGTTGCCGCTTGGTCCCCATTGTTTCGCGCAACGGCCACCGGTATCGCCAATGTTGGCGAGGAACACAGCGCCTTTGCCATTGGTCCATGATGATTTACCGGCGTCATCATTCTTATCAACTTTTCCATCGCGGTTTGTATCCGCAAGAATCGTCACCTTTAGAGCATTGCAAGAATTGAACAATGCTGTTGTTTTGTTAGTCAGAGGCGGACAATGCTGTAGCTATCCGTGGCTACATACCGAAGGCAAAAACTGCCGACTTGGCGCCCGATAGACGCATGATTATTCCAGAGACAGAGGCTTGTGCTCAAAACCGTGTGTCTTATACATGTCTTTGATGGAGGGCGGGAGCTATATATGTGGTATCTATTTTCGATGTAGCGCCCCTGTTCGTGCCTGGTGATCTGCTCATCTTCATATTAATAACCTCGTATTTGAAGATCTAGCGGGTTGGCCGTACCGTATTTGTAAAACATGCCCCTGCTCTAGGGGGTTCTAGACCATGAAAATACCAATCATTCACGCCAACAATAGAGTGGGTACATCAATGCCGCTTAACGCATACCATCCTTTAAATTAAGCCAAAGCGCAAAAACCTTGTCCCTTGGTTCTTCTGTTTTCTTTTGCTCGTGATAGAATTCCAGTTGCGTGCTTTGGTGCCGGATTCAGGCTTGGTGGTAGCTCGAAGGCGGAAGCTCAACCTCCATAGGTCGCTCACTCTTCTAACCACTTTTTCTCAATAAGCGTTATTACTCAAAAATCACTTAACTATGCATTAGAAAACAAAGACTTATGAACATAATCAGCTTAGAGCGGTAAGGCCGTCCTCGGAAGGGATGCTATAGTAGCAAGCTAATGCTAGTCACCCCGTATAGCCGCTGAAGAATGGCAACCAGAACTGAATAAGGATAAGAATAGAGTTTGGGTTTACTTGAGAAACATGTGCTTTCATAGTCAGGTGGGTATAATTCGACAAGCACGCTGGATTAACTAAAAATAGACAACATTTGTTTTCATGCCTCTGACCCGAACCATCAACTCCGCGCAATCTATTAGAAGGACTCACAAATACCTAGTACTTGCTGAGTTCGTACGTGCTCCTCTTGCGAAGCAACTCGCCCTTCCAGAACAACAACCACGGCACTGGGATAAATGCCAGACTGATGAACGCAAACACGCTACCAGCCCAGTGAATGCCCATTCCTTGGTACATCTGAAACACGAAATTGGGGAATGCTGCTCCCAGAGCAAACCGGAAAATGCCGTTTGCGGCAACGGCGGAAGACAAATCTTCGGGTTTAAATGCGCTGACCAGGTAGCCCAAGCAAGATAGAAAGCTTGCCATGGTACCCCATCCGAATGGGACTCCAGCAATCACGGGGACTATCCAGTGCACTGATTCATCTGGAGCCCACGCATACCACTATGTCCTATTAGTCAACATAAACAGGTAGGGTCTGAACAACTTACGAATAAGCCGACAGGCACAAGCAAACTTCCAACCAAAGCTGCATACAATCGATACTCCGCAGGAACTCTGTCACCAGTTCTCTTCACTTGTTTCTGATACAAAGTTGCGTCAAAGCCGGCAAATGTCACAAGCCCGAGAAGAATTCCTAATAGTAACATGTGAGCATGAGTATACAAATGGGTCAGGATTAACTCAACTTACCAATGATAAGACCAATGAAACAAAGCCCAGTTTCTCGTGCATCAAATTGATAGACGGTTGAGTAGACATAGGTGTACGATCCGAAGAAAGAGAAAATCATCGCAAAGGAGAAGCCGCTGTACAGACCTAGAACAAGTGACACAGGCTACATGAGATGCTTAGTACACAAATCAACGTCGACGTTGGGAGAACCAACCTCAAAGATACACATGTGCCAGGGTTTGAGCATGGCCCTGCCAATCTTTCTCAGTTCCTGGGAGAAACCCTGTGTCTTGATTTGCCGGCCACGTTTCCTTGCGCGAGCAGCAAGAATCTCCTTCTTCGATGTCTCTGACGAGAAGAAGATAGCAATAGCGACAGGTGTGAGAATGCAAAGAACAACCCAAATGCCCCATCTCCAATCTCCGTATTGATGAATCGAGTACGCACCAATCAGAGGCCCCATACTAGGTCCCAGGAAGGGAGCAAGAAGATATGTTACTCCCACGCGGCTCACCTGGTGCGGCAGCCAGAGGTCAGACATGCTGCCAGCCCCGACTGCCATCACGCCTGATCCTCCAAGCGACGCAAAGAACCTGAAGATCACTAGGACAGCGAAATTGTCTGATGCGGCGGCGATTGCGTTGCAAATGAGGAGTATTATGATGTTGACCTTGTATACGACAAGTCGTCCGTGGATGTCTGATATCGGGGCTGCTATACAGGGGCCGAATACGAAGCCGGTGGTGTACAGTGTGATGGGTAGCAAGCCAACGTTTCGGCTTGTTATGCTAAATTCCTCCATAATTCCGGGCAGACCAGCGACGAGCGTAGAGATTCCTGTTGTTCTTGGAAGGTGTTAGTGATGGCAAGATCAGATTCGCCAGAATCTGGAGACAAGAAGCTACATACAGACCAAAGGTGTATATCGCCGGTATGGCAGTGTGGATGACCTTCTTCCACACAGGCCAGTTTCTAGGATTTTCTAGATCATCGTCGCCCTCCCAGTCCAGCTCGTTTGTTGAGTCGGGTGCTGCTGATCCATTGCGAGTTGATTCCTTGTCGGTGTGATCTGTGTGATGCGAGTCAATAGAATGACCAGAATAGCGCGTGTAGTCAGGAAACCCTGGGAAACCAGGATATCCAGGATAGCCGTGGTGAACCGGCTCAGGGTCTGTCATTAACCGATGAGATTCAGACATCGTAGAAACGTGGGCTTTGTGACAAAAAGGATCTAACAATACGACCTACCGATCCCAGATTACCACGATACATATATACGACCGCATCGTTGCCACTGTTTATCTCGACTTGTGCAACAAAGCAGCCCTAAGCTTATCTGAGTGACCAATGTGCTGTCCGTGAGACTTCAACTGGCTGCAGGTTGTTCCCAGCCACTCCCGCAGTCAGCTTACACAAGAGTCCTAGATAACTGAGCCTCTGAGTGGGACTCCGTAGATGCAGTTTGATAACATGCGACTTGCTACGTAGCTTATATTTGTCACCTTTTCGGTTACAAAAGACAACGATTCGGTCGGGTTTGACCCGCCAGGCTGTGTTGCCATCTGACAAATGCCGATGGTGGGGAAGTAGAGAGATGCGGATCCGACAATGATAAGATGGAATTTTTATGACATTGACTTGAATTGATACATGGTCCAGAGAGGATTTGCGCAAGGTTTGGAATCCGGGACGATATTGCGTATCGTTTATGCCCAGAGTTTCAATCAATCCCACCTTAGTTCGCTCACCTTCTCCAGCGCTATGGAATCACCAAAACCGACGGAGCCAAACCTCCACTGTGCCACGTTCCTACAGCAAATAATGATTTAATCTCACCATAGGCTACGTCAGATATTAGACCCTTTGTATGGTTAGGCCGCTACCAGCTGATAGCGTAAGCGCCGTCAGCACAACCTCACTCGGTGATCGATACGTTTATTACTGAGCACGGTCTAACGCGCGCATATTAATCGTCCCCCCAGCCCCAAGACCCCTTCTCCAAAAGCTGTGCAGCATCACTTCTGCAAAACAAGGCACAACCCTCATCGCACCCCCATCTTGTTTCCCAAAATGTCCATTGACGCCGCTCTGTCAGCCAGGCCAAAGCCCCTCTCCTACATGGAGAAGCTGTCTGATGAGGTCTCTATTTACCGCCCTGCTGGCGACGCAGCCGCTAGCTCGTCGGCGTCCCCGAAGCTCATCATCATCGCTAGCTGGACCAATGCGGGCGACAACCACATTGCCAAATATGTCGACAAGCATAAGGATTTGTTCCCAGCTTCGCAGATTCTACTGGTGAAGAGCTACAACAAGACGTTCTTTGATCCGGAAATTCTTGCATTTTCTGTAAAGCCGATGGTTCCGGTTATAAGGGCCGCGGTTCCTCAAACTGCATCGCTGTCTTCTCAGCCGCAGGTTTTGATCCACATCTTTTCCAACGGAGGCTCGGCGAACATCTCAGCCTTATACGATGAGTATGCTGGGTCCGCAGGGGAAGGCGAAGATCCCTACCTCCCGCACCATGTAACCATTTTCGACTCAGCACCAGGTGCTCAGCGGGTCGTCAACATGGCTGCTTTCTTCCAAGTCGGTCTGCCAAAGGTGCAGCGCATACTTATCACACCTTTCATCTACTTGATGGTTGTGAGCTGGCAGTTTCTCAAGATCCTCGGCATCACCAAGGATTGGCTGGTCTTCTGGGGCAAGACACATAATGAGGCGAGGGGCAAGAAAGAGCGTGAGCTTCGCCGTACCTACATCTACAGTGAGACAGATGCTCTAGTCGGCCATGAAGACCTAGAGGCCCAGGCTGCCGAAGCAAAGAGTTTGGGTTTTAATGTTAGAATGGAGAAATTTGATAGATCTTTACATGTCGCGCACGCTAGGAAGGATGAAGCGAGGTACTGGGGTGCAGTGCAAGAGACTTGGGCAGGTATTTGAGCCTGGTCGAGCTTTTTGTCGAGCTGACCGTAGTAGTCATGAACTTTGAGTATATATATACTGTTAGATGAGGCATAACATAATATCATTGTCTATCTTTTGTTACATTTGGTTACCAATATCTAAGCAGGCAGAGCAGCTAGTCATGTAACACTACTCCGAAGGGTATGAATGTACTCCAGGAAGTGCGGGCTTACTCGTTCTCGATAACGCATCAAGAGTATCTGCCACATCACCAGAAAGTATCGCATATGGGCAATACCTGAACCGTGGTATTGTGCGGGTCTCAATATCTGCACTATCTACCCAAGGCGAATCTGTTTCCGCCCAAGGAAGAGTTCGCTGAGTTTAGCTCCAGACTCAGAGAACCTAACATCAATATAACCAAATCTTTCATAGGAGTCTCCCATGTCCTTCAACACAATAACAAGATCAGCCTTAGGGAGTACTATACCCAGCCAGGTACGACCAGCTTGCAGAGCTTCATATGTGCCATCCCCCTTTTTCACTGTCTGGGTTACTTCAAACCCTTTCGCGTCTGTGATATCTCCCACTTCGATGCTGTCTTTGACAAAGCAAGGCTCCCACATATTTATATAGTCTCCATCGCCGCCAGTTTTCTGCCGGATACAAACGTTCACCGTATCCGCTTCGATGAGTAAATATCTACTCAGCTTTTCAGACAAACCCTGAAAGCTTGCTGGGTCTGTAAGGGCATGAGCATCCTCAATGGTGCTTCCATCTTTGAGTAATAAAGAAGCCTTGATATCCTCCGAGTATGCTTCAAAGCCGAATGGCAAAGCGCTACCTGTCCATCCGATCCATGACCAGCTTGGGAACTCTGGTCTCCGCTCTACTTTGTTCCTATGTTGCCACCTCATAGCAGATGCCACGATGTCTCCCATGGAAGAAGTTTTTTTGTACGGAATCGGCTGGCCCCAGATATGACGGAACTCGTCTGGATATGCCTCTTGGAAGAAATTGAGAACACCCAGAAGTGCATTCAGAGTGTCGCTTTGGAATGTAATCTTTCTCTTAGAGAAATCTCCTATGAGCCAGTAGACGCTCTCTAGGCCTTGTTTCTGCGGAATAAGATGCAATATCCCGCACTGGAATGGCGTGGAAAGGTCGTCGCTATCACTCCGTGCCAGCAGGGAGTAGTCTTGGTCAATCGTTTCGCGGAACTCACGCTGCATGCAATGGAGGTAAACCTGTTCATCGGTGAAGATGAGCTTCCTGCGAGAAACAAGGCCTTCTTGATATGTCCAGGCTCGCGATGCCCATACTGTGCCGCGAAGTGTTTCTTGTACGCTTTTCCCCGTGGATAGTATGCGATGGGATCCGATGCGTAAGTCGACAGATGGTGCTTTGGCTCTGGATGCGCTGATACCAGGAAGGCCATGATCGGGCCCTTCTCCAGCTGCAGCGACGATTGTCAGGTCTGCTTCACGGTAGATTTCGTGCATCTTCTGAATTTGCTCGAGTTTCTCTGGACAATCCTGCTGTGGCACACAATATCTGTCGATCCATATGTAGGCAAGTCCAAGCCCGAGCGCCACGGCAATGGAGTCTTCAATCGTCCGTGGAAACATAGAAGCAGATTTAGATGTGCTGGTAGATGTGCTCGCTCCCCAAACATAAGACAAGGCAGCGAACTTGGCCTCGGCTGGTAGCGGCTCCAGGTTCCGAGATACACAGTTGATGACTGTGAAGCCCTTTGGCAAAGAACGGCTTTGCATAGGCGGGTTGCAGAGTTTCCCATGCTGCCCTTCGCAAAGTGCAAGCCATCGTTTGATGACGTTGAAGTCTACCCTTGCAGGATTAATGAGTCGAACCTTCTGGCCAATCCCATTGAATTCATCGGCATACTCAGCCAAGCATCCGAAATTGTGCGCAGATTGTAGCACGCTGGTGAACCAGAAAGGGCCCATGGATATATGTTGATTACGAAGCACCAGCCAAGTTGAATCATGTTGCGCCTTTGCTCGTTCGAGGAAACGATCTCCAAACTCGCCATTTGAAGGTGTTTTCTGACTGCGATATGCCAGTTGACTTGGGATGGCGTACATACAGTACCTATCTGTGCCGGTACCGGTTGGGTCATCTTGTTCATCTCCTGCGATTGAGAATAGTGCCAAACACAAAGGGCACTTCTTGTCTTCCAGAATGGCTTCTCGCTTGCCGAAGTAGGCCACTGGGTTCGGCATTCTCTTTCGGACCAACGACCTGAGAAGATATCGGTGAGATCGAGCGATCTACATCTGGAACAAAGAGCTGCTCCGGTGTCTGTACTCGTCGCGGGCATTTGCATGATATTGTGCGATTTGGGGGGCGCTGTTGATGACAAGAGAGGATTCAGGACTTTCGGTCAGATTGTTGCTGACAGATAGATATCACCGATGGCCCACTTTGTGGTATTGGTGACTGGCTACTGCCCGCATGAACTGGCTGGGGTTGTTTCTGGTAGGCGAGAATGTCAGGATACCATTCTCCTAATACCCGAAGGCATCAGTTGCGTCAACCTTGCACAGTGATTTTGACCATAGCTCCTATTTAATAATATGATTTATGTCTTGGCTTCTAACTATCCTAAGGTTAGTGGATATATAACATGCAGCTACTCGTTCTCATCGCGATGGTTCACTTAGTAAATAGGTACGATGTATTTGTTTGTTTTTCGATTTAACCTTCAACTTTATCAAGCCCAGGTTTTCCAAATCTCTCAATGATATCAACAATAAGGTACTATGTATCCTAGTACCGAAGATCAAGTATACCTTGATTTCTTTTATCAGATACCCGTGACCTTTATGCAAAATGCCTCCTTGCAGATTGGAGCGGAGAACCTTCCTGTCAAAGAGGTATTCCCGGTGTCGTATGATGAACCCTGACATCTGCATATGCTACCAACAACCAACAACCAACAACCAACAACCAACATGCTGACAAAGTTTGGCTAGGGTTGAACACTTTATAAACAGCATGTGTTCAGTGAGGGGAAGCTGCGCTTTTAATCGATTCACCATCGCGTGACTACCTTCCAACTCTTGTCAAGATGAATGAACCAACCCTCAACCATGAGCCTGTTATCGTGCCTGATGAAGAGGTTCGTATGTACATCTGTTGATACGGACTATTAAACTGAACAATATTCTTAGAATGGCCTCGACGGTGACTCTTCGATTGGATCTGTATGTTCTCTTTATAAGTTTCTTCCTCCATGCACTAGCCGATCTAACGTGCTCAGCAGAGCATTGCCTCGACTTCTGAAAGTCTGAGAAGTTCCATACTAGACTATCGAAAGGAAAACGGCAGAACATATCACCGATACAAGGATGGAAGTGAGCCTTCTCATTTCTCCCCAGTTCGTCACCCTGAACCTAATAACGACAGAGTATAATCTTCCCAACGACGACCTTGAGAAACAGAGACTTGGTAAAATGACCTCGATACTACGGTCGCGTTACGTGTTAACACTTGAAAAGACCTCCAACACAATATGACCATCATGATGCTCGACAACAGACTCGGTCTGGCTCCCCCGAACGACCCTGGTGCTAAGGTCAAGCGCGTTCTTGACGTGGGCACAGGTACTGGAATCTGGGCAATTGACTATGCGGACGAGCATCCCGATACACAAGTGGTCGGGGTCGATCTGTCACCAATTCAGCCGGATTTGTAATATACTCCTCCCTGAGACTGAGCTTGGGCAATTGCTAATACCTGCAAGTGTTCCTCCGAATGTCGAGTTCTTCGTCGATGATATAGAAGAGCCATGGACCTTCTCCGAGCCGTTCGACTACGTTCACAGCCGGCTGATGACCTTCAGTATTAAGAACTGGCCGGATCTGGTCAGTAGTATTTACAAGTAAGTCGATACAACAAATACCGAACAATGTTCTTATAAATCTAGCAATCTTGTCCCAGGTGGCTACGTGGAGCTCATCGAAATCGATCTTCCCGCCAAGTCCGACGACAATACCCTCACCGAAGATCATAACCTCTCCAAGCTAATCCGTCTACTCGACGAAGCCTCTACTAAAATCGGTCGTCCGTTTCAAGACAACAAGAAGAACAAAGACATCCTGCGCGACGCTGGATTCGTGGACATTGTGGAGACTGTCTTCAAATGGCCGACAAACAGCTGGCCGCGGGACAAGAAGTACAAGGAGATTGGGCAGTGGCACAACGCGAATATGGATGCATTCAAGGGCCTTGAGGCGCTCTCTATTGCAGTTCTGACTAGAGTGCTGGGTTGGAGCCAGGACGAAGTGGTGATCTTTTTAGCCAAAGTCAGGAAGGAATTCAACAACAAATCGATCCATGCTTACTGGCCGGTGTAGGTATTCTTCTTCTTTTTGAATAGTGCTTTGCTAACGGATCCAGATACTCGACCTATGGCCGAAAGCCCATGGAATGAGTTAAGATCGCTTAACACAACATTATCGGAAACTAAGACAGGGCGAAAATTCCTCTTTCCTATATATAGGCCGGATTGAAATGGAGGAATTATAAGTAGCTTACCATACCTATTAGCCATATTAGATATATTCCCCCTGGCGCAATAAACTCTATCTATCCATCCATGATATTCTAGACTAGAAAGTTAGTGATTAGCGTGACCCAAGCATAAGAGCTCGTTAGTCAGTGAGGCTTATTAGCAATTCAGTCGGAGAAACAACCCGTCCTATCAGTAACGACGGAGCCTATGTATAGCCATGTCCGTTTCAGAGCTTTAACGCCGAGATGAACTTTTGGGACTTGCAATCCCTCAATTGAGTATCACGACGATACCAGTAATACTGGGATCCCTGGTCGAGTCATCCAAGATGCTCAGTCAACTAACGAGGTCCGTCCCCTTGCGACTCGATGGGCCAACATGCATTAGCCATTTACACCAGGTTTGACAAAGACAGAAGCGAACGGTGTGACAAATCTGTGGTGTACTGATCGGTAGCACGATTAAGGTTTATAGGTTGGCTAGAACGAATAAGGGTAGGCCCAAGCGAGCGGCATGGTAAAGCGGCTTGTTAATTGTGCCGATGACTGATAGTGGACCTTCCAGCTCCACCTCACTTTTACTACGTTCAGGTACGTGCAAGCATCGAGCTTCCAACACATCTATTTACCTTGACTAATCATTCATCGCACACATCAGATCCTGGCGCCCCCCAGGTTGTCTACAGCAGATGCCGGACTTAATTTCGGATTGTCGAAGCTTATTCCATCTTGGTGTCGACAGTCATGGCAGGCCTGTATTTCACTGGTCTTGGCTTCGGCTTCTGTTCCTTGTTTGCCTTGGAGCATAATCCTCAGAGATAGTGGAGATTAACATATACAGTACCTCATTGGCTTTCGGAAGATGAGATGACAAGGTGTTACAATCTCAAAACTAATATATAAGAGAGCAAATCCTTTGTCTGTTTTAGTGCCGTATCCTCATCTCACTCACGACTCTCACCACCGCTGTCACCGCTCAACCCGATTCCTAACATCCAACTTCACTTTAACTCTCTTCACTATGATTCCCACGTGGCTCAAGACTTTCGTCCTTTCTGGAGCCCTGTTACAGACTGCCTTTGCTCTCGATCTCCCCAAGTATCGCGACATCAAGACGGCTCAGAATGGCGGCGTTCTTGAGGTCACCTTACACAACCAGGACTCGGCTATCAACCTCTGGGGTGCTGGTTTCCAAGATGGCATAACTGACATCGTTCGAAGACTTCGCAACGATAGCGAGACCAAGGTCGTCATCTTCAAGAGCGATGTTCCTAAGTTCTTCTGTGCCCACTTCGATCTCCTGATGCCCGGTGTCGGTAAGTAACAAGGTCTCAATCGTTCACTTGTGATAGGCCTTTTGTGCTGACATTGAGCCATAGAAACCGCTGGACTAAAGTTTGCCAAACTCATGCACGAAATCTCCAACCTCCCCCAGGTAACCATCGGCGCTATCGAAGGTCGCGCTCGTGGTGGCGGTAATGAGTTCCTGTTGGCTCTCGACATGCGCTTCGCTTCTGAACCCGAGACACTCCTTGGTCAGACCGAGATCGGTGTTGGCCTTCTCCCCGGTGGTGGCGGTAGCCAGTATCTTCCTCGTCTTATTGGTCGAGGTCTCGCGCTTGAGTATCTCCTGAGCGGGAATGATATCAACGCCAAGGATGCAGAGCGAATTGGTTGGATTAACAAAGCCTTTCCCTCGTCTGAGGAGATGTATGAGTATATCAACGGCCTCACATCGCGTTTCCGTCTCTTTCGCCTGCCGGCCCTTGCTGCAGTCAAAAAGGCGATTAACGTTCGGTCGCTCCCTACTCTGCAGGACCTGGTACGAGATGCTGAATCTGTTGCTGACCATATGAGTGACCCAGCTGTGCTTGCTTTGGTCAGCAGGGCCTTAGCTGTCACCAACAATTTTACTTTTGGCGAAGTTGAACTGAACTTTGGCCGAGATCTTCCCCTTCTGTACGAGGAGAAATAAGCCAGCGCTGTAAAGTAACAGCACAAGATGTTGGTCTAGAAGCTCTTTTCTCTATGTTTTGACAAGAAGTGTGGCGGAATGGGGTTGTATTATAATTTATTCCGATCTCGGCAACACATTGGCATACAATATATGGAGCTGGAGAGGGGGGGGAGCGGCTTGGGTCATTCACGATGGTACCACCAGACGCAGAGGTCACATGTATCTTCGATTCTTTTCACTTATTTCCATGAACGAGTTCCTATTCACAATGTGGAAACAGATCAGTGTTTACCGATTTTCCTTCGCAGTTTAGACTCTTCAGCTCACAGTTCTCCCATTTTTAATTGTCTTATACAATTGACCGTATCAAACTCCGCACAAACTAGCACGACACTGTGTTATGAGAAGACTTTGGTCTTACCTACTCAATCCTTTTGCCTGCTCGACACTGGCTATGATTGACTTGTAAATATACCGAACCTTCCGAATGTACAGGCAAGTAAAGGATGAGGTAACGTCCGGAATGGCTGGAGCGTCCGTGCTTAAAACATTCGGCTAGGTCGGGATGATTATACAATGTCCGCACCATGATACCCCGATAGCCCAACGACTTGCTACTGATTGCACGGATGGATTACACAACTTTTACTAATAGGCTGCTCTAGTCCTCGAACAACGCAGCTATAAAATGAAGTTCTTGTCCATCTTGTCAGAAGAATCGAGTTTCCATATCTTAGCATTGTGCCACACTATAGGTAAACGATAACAAATACCATCCTGACTTCAGTATTTGAACGTACTTTACGGCTTTGGCGCTATGTCTCAGCAGTTGCTTGTTGTAAGTCCTTTATGCTTTCAGTGTACTCGCTTCCTGAATACTGACCCGTGATATGTTTACGATAGATCACTGGTGTATCTGGCCATGTGGGCTTCCGTGTGCTCGTTGAAGCTCTCAGCAGAGGGTACAAAGTTCGAGCAGTGATTCGCAATGCATCACAGTCCGAACAGATCAAAGCCACCAATTCTGTGAAGCTATATTTAGCACAGGTTGAATTCGTAGTAGTCCCGGACCTGCTCGCTCCTGGTGCCTTCCATGGCATACTTGATGGCGCTGACGGTGTAGTCCACGTTGCCTCTCCACTTCCTTCAACAGTGAGTTCTTTTCTTTTCCTCACCCAACACAGCCGCTAATCACAAGGTTTTCCATCACAGAGCGACAACTTCAAGCGCGACCTCATCGATCCAGCCGTCAACGCAACAGTGAATATTCTCAAGGCAGCAAAGGAGATCACTACAATTAAGAAGGTTATTATCACCTCTTCCATTGCTTCTCTTATAAATTGGGACTATATTGTATCATCTGATACCACCAAGGTCTTCACGGGTTAGTAACGAAAAGAATTCCCAGATTCAAGCATCGCAACTTGTTAACACGATTCAATTCTCACAGTGCGAGACACTTACACCCCTACAAACCTCGACGGTCCCTTCGCAAATGTCATGGACGCCTACGCTGTCTCTAAAGCCGCAGCCTTTGCCGCCACGGAGCGCTTTGTCGAGGAACAAAAGCCGAGCTTTGAAGTTATCAACATTCTACCCAGCATGGTGACAGGAAAGAACGAGCTGAATCGCAATCCCGAGGATGTCGGGAAAGGCACCAACGGTACCACCCTTGGCGTCTTGCTGAACAACAAGAGCGAAACTCCGACTCTCGGTGCATCAGTCCATGTCAATGACGTGGCCAGAGCTCATATTGACGCGTTAAACCCAGCGATCCAGGGGAATCACAACTACCTCTGCTCTTCAGGTGGAGTCGAAGGTACGATGTGGGATGACGCCAAGGACATCGTCAGACAGCACTTGCCTAAGGCTGTGGCTGACGGCATATTCCCTCTCGAGGGAAGCCAGCCTTCGAGGCCTATTCGCTTAAACTCGTCTGAGACGGAGGAAGCTTTTGGGTGGAAGTTTGCCAGCTTTGGGGAGCAGGTAAAGAGCGTTGCGGAGCATTATCTGGAACTTTCGGCGGCAAGATAGGGTCAGCTTAATCAATGGCTAGGGTGATCGGCAGTGAGAGATCCTACCTTTAGCGGCTTCATATTTAATTCAGATCTTAAACAAGTTATAAATTAATGTCTTGGTCATATAATAGCTGGTTTGCTGATAATGTTGGGTTTTTTGGTGAAACTCCATCATGTGCTGCAGATTTCGCCCACCATGGCTCGGCATCTTTTTAGTTACTAGGCATCACCTAGGCATTATCTCCTGGATATCGTGGAAAATTAGAGCCGACCTGATGATTGCGTTGAGCCGTCCTCGTTATTCGTTGTTCAGTCATGGCAACAAGGCATGAGACTCCTGAAATAAGTACTACTAAGAAGACGAAATAAAGCGGTGCGAAGTTTCCATATCAAATTTCGGCCTGCGCCACTAATCGCTACCGGATTTCCGTCCCTCCTATGAACTAATACCAACATGATTTCCAATCATGCTAATGGATTGCCGTTTGCATGAGCACGAACCCCAAATATAGCTCGCAGTTGGATTTGTCATGCCGCACCAGGGTCGCCGGATTCCCCCAGTCTAGCGCCAAAGCTTGGTTCAAACCATTGGAAATCTGTCTAATTCTCAAACGCTGAAAATCAACTCGACCTACTTTCAGTACATTTCCCCATTGACAAATTAGACCCAACTCCTGATTCGAGTTTCGGAAGAATATGCAGCAACACCATTCCCCTGAGACCACGTTGGTCAAGGATGATGAACTTGCGGTATGTCTAGCACCCAGCGGCGTGGCCCACACTGGAAGGCCCAGCCTAACACGATAGTTGCAGAATCGAAGAGAGCGAGGGAGACGGGCTCAGCGGGAGTTTCGCCAGAGGCAAATTGAAACCATCAACGAGCTCCAGGCCAGCAATGCCGCCATGCAGGCCGCCATCGCCTCTATAGCACGCGCCGCGACTCAGTTGGACAGTGCTGAATTGAATGCAGCCGTGCGAGACGCCTGTCGGGTGGCTGGGCTTGAAACATCCAAAGATTCAGACTCGCCCTATCAAGGTCGCGCAACTTTGTCTGAGAATAATGAGCGCCCGGTACAGAAATTATCAGAGATAGCAGGCGCTACAGTGATCCCATGGGCACAGGAGCCGGACGCAACTATTGCTCAGAGCCAGTCTCCTACATTACAGAGCAGAGCTCCTAACATAAGTGGGCTTGGCGTTGAGAAATCCCACTATCCTTCGGGAAGAGTGTCGCCAACGCTTGGCTACGGTGCCTGGTTTGGCCCCCAGACATCAATATCCATCGTGTACCCTCCAATGGATATTATTCCATATTTACAAGACGGCTCGTCACTCGCAAGCACCATATTCTGGACCATCCTATCTTGGGGCTTCCAGGTAATGGGAGCCGCCCTCGGCGGGAATGTCGATGCTGTGGCGATGACTCAGAAGGTATTCGGTGCCATCATACCCATCAGTCCCGGCCGCGACATCCTCAACGGCATCCACGCCCGCCTGACATACCGCAAGACAGGAACAATCGACCGAGACCATCCTGGTAACAAGCCGAAGCAGGCCCCCGGGATGCTTGCAGCTCAGGCCAAATCGTGCGAAGAAAACGGAACCCCGTTGGAGACTTTCCTAACCCCTATTGATTTGGAAAATGTTTTGAGAAGCAAGCTAGGTCCCGCTTACGACGTGATCGATCGAAGTTTGCGCGGCTTTGGCTCGTCAGAAGAGATAGCCCACCTTCGCAGGCTCGTCCAGATGATGACTATGAGTAGCATATGTCTCGGAGGCGCGCCGCGGTGGTCAGCTGAGGAGGCAGAGAATGCGTTAGAGTATTGGAATCGAGGTGTTGGTTCATATATGTCTTGCTGAGTAGTACAATAGCAGACTATTATTCGTAATAGCTGGGCTTGTCTTTTACTAATAGTTCTTATTGAGGTTATTATATTACAGAGGTAGAATCTTTTTGGCAAGTCGATGTTAAGTAAGAGTTCACCCTGAAAGTACCCGAAGAATATAATTCCTTAGTCGTTCTACACTTGGTGGTAGTCCTTATACTTAGATTAAAAGATCATTTTCCAAAGTTAAGATTAAGATACTTCGTCATCCATGTCGGTCCCAAGACAACTATTCATGCAGTACAGGCCATGGTAGTGTTGCCATTGGTACCGGTCCCAGTAATCCCAGATGTTGAACTTCCTGCTTAGCACAATATCCCGTAAGAGCCATTATCGGCAGTAGAAGCGGAAGGCAGCAATTTGATGGTTCTGCCGCAGTAGTCGGCGCGATAGAGAGCCACCCTCTCCGGCTCCGAGGTGGCTGGCCAGTCTTCATACCAAATCTGCTGGGCTAAACGTGACGAATGCGCCAAGACACCCAAGGTTGTAGGCAGTAATCTCTACCCAATATCCTCACAATTTTGGAAAGGTTGTCTTTCTACCTGAGGTAAGAATATTCTCTTTACTATTCAATGGGAAGGTAATATGTATAATACTATTGACTTAAATAAGCAGTAATCCGGAGACCACAACTAGAGTGAAACCAATGTCCATGGCGGCTCTCAACTGCGCTGCGCTATCCGTCACTGGAATTGCGCTTGCTGTAGTTGATGTCTGCGCGGTGCTCTCTGTGCTCTCTGTACTCTGAACGTTCTCGGGCACTGTGGTGGTTTCCCTGGTTGAGGTTATAGAGGCAGAGGCCGTTGTTGCCAGAGATTCATGTTTGACACTAGTCGTTTTAGCAGTCACAGTCGCTGAGGAAGTAGAAGTAGCAGTGGTTGTCAACTTGATGCCACAGACTTTCTCGGCGTCAAAGCTGAAATCAAGGTTCCTAGCACTACACTCGGTATGCTGCCGCTCGATGGATTCTAGGTGTTTTCAGTCAGCAACTAGTTACATATTCAGAGCACCATTTTACTCACCTGGCATTACATCAGAATCACATTTCTCGGCCATACAGCAGAAGTAGGCTTCGCGATACTTTTGCTGTGTACACATACATGCTGCATCATCCGTGCACGAGCCGCCTGGGAAGCTACCAAAGAAGCAGCCATTCTGGGAGATTGACATATTAGCTATTACGGTCCAGCACAAAGGCGCGTTAAGTTTTGAGACTCACATCACATTCTGACTTGCGCAGCTCAGCCTCCTGGTCGAATTGGGGAGCTGCAACGGCGAGGCCCATGCCTAGAAGGCTGAGAAGCAGAACAGAATTGTATAGACGGACCATGATTGATGATCTACTAACGAGTGAAGGAATTTGGATAGATTAAAAATTGATAAATAATAACGTAATTATTTGCAGGATCGCGTTAAAAAAGGGGGATTAACGACGTGTTGTTGCCAGGGTGGCTAAATTAGTTAGTTAATTTTAACTATTAACTAACTAACTACTAACTAGGCTAGTTTTTAGTTAGTTAATAGTTAATTTTTTTAGTTAGTAGTTAGTTAATAGTTAATTTCTTTTTAGTTAGTTAGTTAGTACTTTTAAATTAGTTAATTCTAAATTAGTTAGTAGTTAGTTAGTTAGTAAGGCTAGTTAGTTAGTTAATATAATTAACTAACTACTAACTAGAAAAAATTAACTACTAGTTAGTTAATTTTAAAAATTAACTAACTAGTATTAACTACTAGTTAATAGTAGTTAGTTAGTAGTTAGTTAGTAGTTAGTTAGTAGTTAGTTAGTAGTTAATTAGTAGTTAATTAATAATTACCTTAAGAAATACCTTAAAAGTTATTATAAATAAAACCTTAAATATAACCTTAAATAAAACCTTAAATAATACGTTAAATAATATAATAATAAATAATATAATAAATAGTATAATAAATAGTATAATAAATAATATAATAAATAGTATAATAAAATAGTATAATAAATAGTATAATAAATAGTATAATAAATTATTATTATAAATAGTATAATAAATACTATAATATATAGTATAATAAAATACTATTATAAATAATAAAATAAATAGTATAATAAATAGTATAATAAATAGTATAATAAACTACTATTATAAATAGTAAAATAAATAGTATAAGAAATAATATAATAAATAGTATAAGAAATAGTGTAAGAAATACTATTATAAATAGTAAAATAAATAGTGTAATAAATAGTATAATAAAATACTATTATAAATAATAAAATAAATAGTATAATAAATAGTATAATAAATAGTATAATAAATAGTATAATAAATAGTATAACAAATAGTGTAATAAATAGTGTAAAAGAATACTATTATAAAGAGTAAAATAAATAGTATAAGAAATAATATAATAAATAGTATAATAAATAGTGTAAGAAATACTATTATAAATAGTAAAATAAATAGTATAATAAATAGTATAATAAAATACTATTATAAATAGTATAATAAATAGTATAATAAATAGTATAAAAAAATAAGAAATAAATTAAATAAAGGTATTAAATAAAAACCTAATTTAAAGCTACTTATAAGAAATCCTTAGTATTAAAATCCCCTAATTTCCAACTTTTAAGTAATAAAATCATCTTAACTGTTTCCGGTTCTAATCTATTTCTACTTTTTATAATAATATTATTACTAATAGAAAAGCTACTTTTAGCTACAGCAGAAGTAGCTAGAATAGTAAGATACTTTCTAGCTAAAATAGCTAAAGTAGGAAGTTCTAGGCTTTTAAATTCCCAGTATTTTAAAATATTAACCTAAATTTATATTAATATTAATTTAAAATAAAAAATAATAAAAAATAATAACTTACCTCTCTATTAGACCGTTTTTTAGTTAAATAACTCTTAATTTCTCTTTCTTCCCTTTAATTAGAGCTTATATATAACTCCTTCTTAAAATCATTAGAATCTTCAGAAGGGGAATTAGCCCTATTAACTTTAAAAACTCCTAAATTAAAAATATTTAAATTTAAGGCTATTTCCTTTTTAGCTCTATAGTATTTAAATTAGTATATATATTATAAAAAAATATATTAAAATAAAACTTATATATAAAACTTAGCCTTAAATAGGTTTAATATATCCCTTTTAATAGTAAAATAATAATATAAAAGACCGGTTTCTTTAAAGTGACTAAACTTAAATCGAGGATCTAAAATAGTAGCTAAAAAAAAAGGCTTATAACTAAGTATATAATTAGGAGTAAGATAGCAAGGAAAATACTTCTCAAGCTTAGTAATACCACTATTAATAGCATTATAAAAGCTAGAAAAATATAAAGCCTAAATAAAATTAATATATAATATTAAAAAAAAAGAAAAAAAACTTACTTTATCTTAATTTAAATTAAATTCCTCCTATAGACTTTCTAAGTCTTTAAAAATAAAATAAATATAAAAAAGAGCTTATGAGAGAGTAATATAGGTCAAGCCTTATAATTTAATAGAAGGTTTATAAAAAATATAGAAAATCCGCTTTAAATTAGCTAATTCTTCCCATTCTTTAGTATTAGGAAATACTTTAATAAATTCTAAATTTTAGGTATTTTTAGAAATAAATATAAGTACTTCCTTTAACTCTAAGAAGGTAGATAGTATAAGATAAGTAGAATTCCACTAAGTAGTATTATCTAAATTATTAATTAATTAAAAAAAATAAAAAGAAATAAAAGAAATAAATAACTTACCTAAAGGAATATACCTTTTTTCTAATTTTAACTTTCCTTCCTTAAAAAAAGAGTTAACTACTTGGTTAAGAAGCTTATTAGGCTCCTAAGTATAGCAAGTAATAGTAATAATTTTTCTAACCTGGCTAATAAGGGCTAAAAAAATATTAATTAAATAGGAAAATTAAGAAAAAATATAAAAAAAATATACTTACTATTAAAAGCCAGGGTAACCTCTAGAATTTCCCTATTACTTTTATCTAAGGTAATAACCTTAGAATTAAGATAATTAAAAAGGGATTCTTTAGAGGTAAAAGTAATTAAATACTACTTTAAAATATCTTACATTACTAAATTAATAATATATACTATATATCTAATATCCCCTAAAAAGTCCTTATTATTATAGCTAGTAAAAGCTTTTTTAAAAGACTTAATAAAGGTATTATTATTCAATATATTATCTCAAGTAATACTATATAAATTAGTAAAAAAGATATATATAAAAAGGAAAAAAAGTAATTACCTCGAAATATTAAAAATACTTAAACTAAAATAAATAAATAAAGCAGTTAAAAACTCACTATAAATATATACCCCAGTATAACTCTTAGGAAGGTAATAAAAACCTATATTAAAATATTAGTATTTAAAGTTAATAAAAAAAGAAAATTTACCTATAAGCTTATAATTAAGCTTAAACTTAGAATCTAAAAAAATAGCTAAAATCCCTAAATAAGGAGTTTAATTACTAGCAGTCTAGATATCAAAAGTAAGGGAAAAAGTCCTTAAGGTCTTAATATTAGCTTTAAGCTACTAATTAAGTTCAGTTAGGCTTAAATTAAAGGAATTAATTAAGAATTTCTTAATTTTATCCCTATTAATAATAGGCCTAGCTCTATAATTAAAAAGAATTTTATTAATATTATATAATTAATAAAAATAAAATATAAAAAACTTACTTATTATAGAAATCTAGTAATTCTTAAAAAGAAGGGGAGGAAATAACTCAAAAAGATAAATTATTCTCTATAAGAAAATTAAGTATCTTTTAATAAGCTTTTTCCTCTAAGAAATTAAATAAGCTAGTAACTATATCTCTCTTTTTAAAAAAAGGATTTTCCCTAATAGTTAAGGAATTTCACTCTTTAATAATAAAATTTAATTAGTAAATAAAGAATATATAAAATAGAAAAAAACTTACTTCTTTTATAGCTTTCTTACTATTTATTAATAGGATATTCTTTATATTTTACCTCAATATAGCATACAAAATTAAAGGCTTTAAATCCTATTATATTCTTATACTTTTTATATGAATAGCTATATAATTAATATTAATTAGTATAATTTATAAAATAAATAAAATAAAAGTTAAATAGTAAAAAATATATAAAAACTTACAGCTAGCAATAGATAAGATATTATCTTTCTTAGCCTAGAATAGCAGGCTAAATAGTACGGTTAAAGAGGTTATTTTTAAATATATATCCTCCAGTACCTTTAAAATCTTCCTTAGAAGATTCTAAAGAGTTTTTTACTATATTAGCTATATTAAAAGAATTAGATTTTTCTAAATTAATAGAATTATCTTCCTAGTTATTAAGAAGGCCTGAGACTTTAATACTGCTATAAGCCTGACTTTCTGACTTAGAATACTAAGATTCGATATTAAATAAGCTAGAAGGGGAAGTATAGTCTATATTAAAAAAGAGTTTAAAAAAAGGCAATTTTTTTAATATAAAAAGTAACTAAATAGCTTATAATATAATAGAGTTATTATTAAGTGTTTATTGGTAATTAAAAAAAGAAATTTATTTTCTTACTTTTCTTATTAATTATATAGAAAATTAGAATTAAATCCTACTTATAAATTAAAGGTTAATTTATAATAGAAAAATACTTAAGTCCATTAATTCTATTAATTCTAGGTTATATATATTAAATCCGTAAATATATTAATAATTATTTTCGGTTTTATTATAATTATATATAAATATAAGGAAGATATTAAAAATAGCTTAGATATAGTTTAATTATATATTATATAGCTTAGAATAACTTTAACTAACTTAATTTAAAGTTATATAATTTATTATTATTTAAATCTATTTATAATATATAATTAATAAGCTAATATAGTAATATTATTATATTATTAATAAATTATATTTACTTAATTATCTCTGGAAAAACTATATAAAAACTATTTATATTATAAAATAATTTTATAGTATTTTATAAGTTATTTTAAAAATATTTTATAAGGATTTTAAAATTTATATATATTTTAATTCTTAAAGTATTATTTATACATAATATATATTTTATTATTTTTAGTAAAACTCTAGAAAATATTTATATAATTTATTATATTTTTATAGTAATTTATATTAATTTATTTATATATTTTAAATATAATTTTATAAATAAAGGTTTTTCCTTTAAAAAAAAAAACTAGAAAATAAAAAGGTAGATAAAAAATAAGAGATAAGAGATAAGAAATAAGATAAGAAAAAATAGACTAAAAGGTCTTTTTAAAAAGAGGAAAAAGAAAAAAAAAGGAAATAAATAAGATATAAAGAGGGGTAAATAGGAAATAAGATAAGATAAGATAAGAAAATAAAAAATTTAAGATTTTAGTTTATTATTTTAATATTAATATTAATTATATATTATTAATAAATTATATTTTAAAATATATTTATTTAATATTAATATTAATAATTAATATTAATAATAATAAATCTTTTTTTTCAAATATATTTCTTTAATTTTCTTTTATTAAAGCTTTTTATAAAGTTAGTAATATATAAAATATTATTACTTTATTTAAATAAAAATTTAAATATTTCTTTATTTTTATTTTATTGTTTAAAAAAAATAGCTATTTTATTATTTTTATTTATATAAATAAAAAATAATAAAGAAATAAATTTATCTCTAGGGTAATTTAAGAAAAGTCTTTTTTAAATACTAATATAAGCTTAAAATTATTATTAACTATATAGTATTATTTATTTATTAAATTATTTATTATTAATAAATTAGTAAGATATTTATTATTTATTTTAATTTCTCTATTTATATATTAACTAGAGTAATTTAACTAACTAACTACTAACTAGGCTAGTTTTTAACTAACTAGTAATTAATTTTTTTAGTTAGTAGTTAATTAATAGTTAATCTTTTTTAGTTAGTTAGTTAGTACTTTTAAATTAGTTAACTCTAAATTAGTTAGTAGTTAGTTAGTTAGTAAGGCTAGTTAGTTAGTTAATATAATTAACTAACTACTAACTAAAAAAAATTAACTACTAGTTAGTTAATTTTAAAAATTAACTAACTAGTATTAACTACTAGTTAATTTTAACTAACTAAAATTAACTACTAGTTAGCTCTAGTTAGTTAGTAGTTAGTTAATAGTAACTAATTTTGCCACCCTGGTTGTTACTACGCCATTAGGGAATGCGGAAAGACGCTTGACTCGATTCGGTGGCCCCGCCCTGACCTCAAATCTGTCGAATAACAGCAGGGTAGAGAATTTCGACAGTTAGACAAACTATCCGGTTTAAAAGGTACTGCTGTTCGTAATGCTAATTGGGGGAATGATAGAGATATTCCTCTACATGTATTAAAATGAAAATAGACCATTACTGTGAGTATGTGTGTGGTGATTTGAAGTGTTGGCCTGTCAACACACCCTCTCGTGGTAGAAGTGTTAATTTTATAAGATACAGTCGGAACGTCGTGCCTATAATGGCCCGCAATGGACAGACGCACCCTAAGAGTATGTATTTAACTGGTGAAGTAATGAGCCACATGTGACTTCAGTTTTTTGTAGTGGTAGGATAAGTTGGATAAGTTACGGGCTGTTTATATCTCAATTAATTCCTCCGATATTTCACGGATTTAGGGTAGGTGAGTGGTAGTGTCAAATGTTAAGTGACATTCCATCCCAGTCGTAGACAAGTCATCATTGTTCAATATCTAGCTGTAAGAGCTGTAACAGATTCACATCAGAGAATCCTTCGACGTTGAAAATGTCTACTATAATGATCTTCACCTATTCCTCCGTTGAACTCCAATCAGGCGTCTGTGTAGCGAAAGGATTTGCGTCCACATCAATCCTTCATCTTATCGCCTTATCTAGACGCTGGTGGGGAACGCCAGGTTACATGATCAGCTCTGACTATACCACATTGGGAAGACCATTCGAAGCTTTGAGCTGCCGATTTTCCGTGCTGCCGTGCTGCCGTACTGGCCGCGTTGTCTAAGCCACAGCCCATCCTCTCGAATGTAAATCTTTTTCGGGAAATGATTCGACCTGATAGCAAGCACAGGTCTCTGGAGGCCGCTGCAACAGAGCTCAGTCTTCCTCATCGCAACGCAAGGTCAAGATTCATCGCATACTGCCCACTTGGACTTGTCAGACTAAGCTCAGCCGAGAGATTAGGTAACACGCCCGTGCAAATGAAAATAATTGTTAGTGTGAGGTGGGTTCAACCTGTCAATTGCCCATGAACAGCTTGCAAATCCGAACGACGACCCTGAAAATACATCCACTGACAGTGACATGTCGATGAGATTTCTATTTTCTCACATCACGGTCTCGCGAATCAGGGCCCATTAAGCTACCCCGGTCATCAATGTCAATCCCTTAATTAGCTAAGCCCTCAACCAGCGTCATCAGTTAAATGGCTGGGTGAGAAGTTTGATGCTGATCCCCGTACTCCGTCTCTCCCGGACGAGCCCGCGGACAAGACCGTGCCTGTGGCTGTACCTTGCTAGCTTGCCCATCTCCACTGACGGTCCCCAAATGTCAGATGCCAATGCTTGAATGAGTGCAACAACTGGAAGATCTGTCGTATGAATATCCATTCTTGAGGGTCTTTTGTTCCACCTTGCCCCCCAGCCTTTACCTCAAAGCAGCTGTAGGGCTGACATGGCGGTCTCACGGTCTGCCCTGGGCTGTGTGCCTCCGCTAAGATAACGGCGTGTTTGAGTTTCAACTGCAGGGATCCCCAAGTGAGCATGATAGTCGCTGGACTTTATATGTTAGGCTTTGTCGGCACTTTACGAAAACTCATATATTTACATCTTTCTCTCCCTCAAGCATTACTCCAGCATAGCCTTTTGTTTATTTCCTTCCACTCGACCAACTTCCCTCAGCACAACAGTCAACATGTTTAGAAACAGCGACGACGATGATACCCCAGTGACTTGCCCTGTCCATTCTTTAGATCAAAGTAGGCTAAAGCTTCACCACCAACTCGAACCGCCGAATGCTAATACACGGCAGATGCCAAGGAGAATTTCACCGGCAGCCTCTCTTTCTACCAGCTGAGCATGATCATTGCTGGAACCTGTTCCGCTTTGGCTATGATCACCATGTTTACCGTCAAGCAACTCCACGCGACGCACCTTTCCAACCCCTCAGAACAAGTCAAGTATGTGCTTCCGCGGTCGGATCTTCATTTCGCTAGCTAACCGCGTCAAGGATCATGCGAGTCGGCAATCTCATTTCAGCATTTGCATTGATCTCATTCCTCTCCATCTGCTTCCCATCTGCGGCAGTCTACATCCAGCCTTGGCTCCACGTATTTGAAGGTTTTGCTTTGGGGTCATTCTTCTTGCTTCTCTGCGACTACGTATCGCCCCATCGAGACCAGCGGGATGTCTTTTTCGCGACTAAGAGGAAGAACGGAATGAAGTGGTTCAAGGTACGGCTATCTCATATTCGACTTAATCATGGTTACTGATATTGACCGATTTAGACTCGCTGGACTATGATTTTCCAAATGCCTGTCATCGCTGTCGGTGTCGCCATCGCCACAGACATTACCGAGGCCGCCGGCGTTTTCTGCGAATGGAGCAATGCCCGCCAATTTGCCAACATTTATCTGCGCGTTATCATGAGCATCTCTCTCGTGGTATCCGTCCTTGCAATTCTCCAGATGTACATGCTTCTCAAGAAGGACCTTGCGCATCATTCTCCGATGCTCAAGCTCACTGCTTTCAAGATGGTCGTCGGAATGACCTTTCTCCAAGAGGTGAGCTGCTTTGCCCATCGCAACAGCAACTTAATACTGACTACTGCAGATCATCTTCATAATCCTTAGTGACCGAAACATCCTCGAGCCCACTAACCAACTCACCTACGCTGATGTTCACATTGGTATCCCTAACCTGGTCATCTGCATCGAGATGGTTCCCTTGGCTCTCTTTTTCAGCTTCGCCTATCCTTGGAAGGTGTACCAGCACGGCCATGGCCGTGGAACCTTTGCTAAGCTGGAGGAGGCTGACAAGCCGGAGCTTTCCTATCAAGGCGGTCCTTTCGGTATTTACGCTTGGCTCGCGATGCTGAACCCATCCGACTCTCTCAAGGCGATTTTGTTCATTGTTAGAGGGGATGACCGCCGTGAGCCTAGTGGTACTTCTGTTGCCATGAGAGGATATAACTCGGATGACGGTCTGGTTGCGCATCCTTATAATGCGCAGTCCTACTCCAGCCCTCACACGAACCAAAGAGAGTAGTCTTTCTCGTGTACGGGGTATGATTTTATGAAGCTGCAGCGAACATAGTGTTACTATAGATTCAATAGTCACAAGTTATTCAATAACGATTAACATCAAGAATTCCTGGGTCATATTTGGCAACAAGAGTGGGCAATTGGTTACAGTGAGAATGCGATATGGTTAATCTTCTGAGTCTAGTCAACATGGCCAAACCCATGGGGGTTTAATGTGTTCGGGAGTCACTCACATTCATTCACCCCGTGTAGTACAGCTTCGAGGATATGATACAGGATGATGAAACGAGGGGAGGTACGCAAAATGCTCATATACTTCAGTTGTCACTCGCTCTTTTAACCAATTAGAAGGCGCCGCTTTGGCTCAGTGGTAGAGCGTGTCACTAGTAATGACAAGGCCCACGGTTCGATCCCGTGAAGCGGCACATCAATTCGGAACTTATTCAGAATCCAAGTTTTCATTTTTGGCCGATCATACGATACCTACGACGTCTCTAGTTCTGACGCTTGATTTGTGTCTTCCAGGTCCACGATAAGGTCAGCCCTTTCCTTATGCGAGTACTTTGGCGCATCGTTCCTCAAAACATTCTTGTATATGTGACAGTGAAACACCTGTTGCGGAACGCCCATCAAAAGCTGACAGCAACCAATCCCGTCGGCCCTCATACTTTCGCTAGTAAGGTATACCATCTGATCCCCATGTATCCATCATGAATGTTGGAAACACCCTCTCCGTCCCACTTTGCCCACGGTGCTACGCCTGTATCTTGATCAAAGAGACACCACTTCCCCCTTCGAGCCTCGCAAGCTACTCCCCGTTGTTCCAAACCATGCATGAGCCATTCTCCTGGAGTTTCCTGAGTTGGCCTTCCGCGTGCGCGAGATTTCGCAACGAACCCGTAAAGATAGACCTGTTTCAGACCTGGGAAGGTTGTCGTGTGAATGAGAGAGTCTCCAAGGACATCCACGATCGCCTTGTTGCCGGCACCTGATATTCCAGTGTTGAGAAATTCTTCCTCCGAGAATCCCTCATTCTCTTCCATTCCGGCCCCTGGCCTCTGTTCCAGCACCAAAGTTCCAAGAGTCTGACTCGAAGCCGACAGAAGCCTTTTCCACGTCTCTAAGCAGGCTTGTTCAGCACTTATTGACCACGCATCGCTCTGATCAAAGTAATCCCCGTGGGGGTTACAAGGTTGACATAGGTATATGTGTCTCAGCTTTGGAAATGATGGAGGGATATCGGGGAAGAAGTCGCCAAGTGATCGCGGGACGACGCTGCGAGCATTTACTTCCCATCTGTCACGATTCTGGTCGTCTTCTAGCCCGATACCAACATGACTAGGTATTGGTGCGTCCAATATGCCGAGTTCCAGTCTCTCCAGCATTGTGTCTGATCGGAGGATGTATGTTGCAACAGGCTTTGGTACATAGCCAAACAGCTTCGCGAATCGGAGTTTAGACAGAGGTGAAGCCGAGATATCAGGACGAGGCGTGTCGTCCGATTTGAAGCCCTCAGGTCTACCGTGTATCTCTAAGGACTCGAGATTGGTGAAATAAGGTACAAGGTTCCACACTGAAATAAAATTTGACAACCCGTCATGGCCTGGGTGCCAGCTTGGCTCCAGCACTGTGCATAGGCCTTTCACTCTTCCAGTAAGTTCCTTCAAGCGTTCTTTGTCATGAGTTTGCAATGTCTGTAGCGAAGTGAACAGCTTTCTCGCACACTCTTCTATATCGCTTTGCAACCCATCCCTCTTGGAACCATGATAGAAGCGCTTGTTTGGCCTGAAAGGCGGTGGCTCGCTAAGCTCGGAGCTTGACTCGTGGTAACCTCTCTCATGTAACTCGATCTCACTCCACAGACAAGTTCCAGCTACAGCTTCTAGACGTTTGCAAGTGTAACTCAACCGACATAGCTCTTGCGGTGAACTGTCGCGGAAGATTTGAAAGAGAATTTCACAAGGCAGAGAGTCAAGGGATATCATGGTAATGCGATGCTTTCTTGATGATGATGAGTGAGAAACCAGGGACAGATATCTCTGTTTTCTCGCTTATACCCAGCCGCTTATGTTGCTTACGCTGAACATCAGCCGCAAATTGATCCAGAGCGGCGCATTTCGACGTTTGAGATTACCCAGGTAAGCTGATTACCTTCGCAGCCAATCATGACAGACAAAAGGTATAAACTTATCCAACCAATACTATTTTGGTCAACTGCCAAGCTTTCCGGAGAAGTAAGGGCTTAGCTGTCAGACTTGGTTTTGGTCGCCGACTCTCGACCATGAACTGTCGGCCTCTGCCTCGGTATCTTCCAGTACCTATAATATGCACAAAACAAGGAGGAGGATGGTACTGAATTTACCAGGATCTAGGTATCTGACGACTTGTGTGTACTTTTAAGTGGATGAAGTCATATTGAATTAAGTGACGTAAAGCAGTTGAAGCTGAAAGCTAGATGACTGGGCGAAACATACTGAGAGGCGTAGAGACAAAGCAGTACAGGAAGTATCCAATAGAAGAACAAAGCTTGAGTATTAGTCAAAGATAACTAAGATGGACTTGACCTATTAACGGGAATCGAAACGATTCTACTTTACACGAGAATGTGTACATACATAATAGTGATGTGATGTCTCCTGAAGACACTGACCAATTCCACATGGTCACCGAAGCAATTATCGTAGGCTAGCACCACTAGAGAAAATTATTAGCTCGTAACGGTGTTGATATGCCATCTTCCTTCCAATCGTATTACTGGCAGAGGGTCATTGAATAGTTACGGCTGAGTGTGGGGCGCTGATACAGCACAATAGCAAACCTAGAACTCATCGTTACACGGTTTCGTGGTCTAACGGTTATGACTGCGGATTCTGATTCCGCCAGCGAGGGTTCGACTCCCCCCGAGACCTTTACTTTTGAAGACTTTGCTTTTTTTGCCCCACCTGGAAGTACCATCATTTCCGTGTTGGAGCAACTAATGTTCATGTCTTTTTGGTGGACTATGCGATTGTTAAGGTGATTGGCCATGATAACCAAAACACCTCAAGATGTGCTACCCATCGATTCGGTCCAATTGTAATTAAATGCCCCGAAACTGCAAAAATTAGGCCCGAGACGTCAGAGCGGACGACACCCGGAATGGGGCTTTCACAAAGTCGGGCATCCACCCGGTCAGCGAATTCGCAGCATCGGCGTTTCCCTCCGAATACACCACGACGGACCATGCGGCCGACAATGCACGACTATCAGCACGAGACAAAAAGGAGGATAGTCGCTCCCACCTCCCGACCTCACTAGATCAGCCAAATTACTCAATCACTTGAAATCGCCCCTCCTACCCACACAAGCATGTCAGCCCAACAGCAGTCGGCCTTTGGCGCCGCGGAATACATCCCGCCCGACCCTATCTTCGAGGTGACCAAGAGATTCAATGCGGACCAGAGCCCACAGAAGGTGAATCTCGGCCAGGGCACGTATCGAGATGAGAATGCCAAGCCTTGGGTGCTACCATCTGTAAGGGAGGCGGAGAAGCGCATTGTGGATCCTGGTCATGAGTATCTGCCTATTGAGGGTTTGCAAAGCTTTCGAGATGAGGCTTCGAAATTGCTGTTTCACGATACCTCTGCCCTGAAAGAGAATAGAGTGAGCATGTCAACGTCTTTGCTCTGGCAGCTATACTGACACTACAGATCGCCACATGCCAGTCCATCTCAGGTACCGGATCGCTGCTGCTGGCAGGCCTTGTTCTCAAGAAGGCTAATTCAGGTATCGAGAACATCATCATCACAGACCCAACTTGGTCAAACCACGATTTACTATTCCGAGAGATTGGCTTCAACGTCATAAGAGCACCATATTACAAAGATCGGAGCTTCGACTTTGAGAGCTACATTGAGGCGCTAAAAGCAGCCGACAAGCGCTCGGCGGTTGTTCTTCATGCATGCGCCCACAACCCAACAGGCTGCGATCCTACTCATGATCAATGGAAAGAGATAGCCGCTGTTATCAAGAAGAATGGAATCTTTCCTATTATCGATTCTGCGTATCTTGGCTTCAACTCGGGCAACTACGACGAAGATGCCTGGGCTGTGAGATACTTAATTGAGGATCTTGGTTTGGAAGCGGCGGTTTGTATGTCGTTTGCGAAGAACATGGGCTTGTATGGCGAGCGCGTGGGTCTCACTGCGATCGTAACAAAGTCAGAGGATTCGAAGCGAACTGTCTTTTCACTTTTGCAAAATGCCCAGCGGCAGACTGTTTCCAACCCTCCTGTTTATGGAGCTAGACTCGCCGCTGCTGTTCTTAGCAACCGTGGCACGCTTGAGCAATGGCAAAAGGATCTTGTAACCATGTCTTCTCGAATCAGGTCGATGAGGAAGAAACTATATGAAGAGCTTGTGCGGCTGGAAACTCCAGGGGACTGGTCGCATATTGTCAACCAGACGGGCATGTTTGGGTATACTGGGATTAACAAACCGCAGATTGAACGACTGGAAGGTAAGGCATTTGTGGAGTTTATCATGGACATTGCTAATATGGTTACAGACAAGTATCACATCTACATGGCAAACACTTCAAGGATCAGCCTGGCGGGTCTAAATGAGCATAACGTTGAGTATGTGGCAAAATCACTCGATGAAGTGGTCCGAAATGTGTCTTAGATCAGCGAGCATAGATACAAACCCTTTTGTAAAAAGAGAAGATCCTTGAAAGCTTGTTGAATATCCTTCTGAGACCCGAGATTTACGACTGATCTTTCGTTGTAGTACATTCGCCCCCAGCCAAAGCGCATCCATGCAATAGACAATGACCTTTTGCAAAATACTACTGCATATCACCTCTCGATCATCAAATCTGCTCATGTATCGCTGACGCTCCCGACGCCTGGACCTCAAGCCGACGAAGAAACGCTTCAGGGTCCTCCACCACCACTCGCTTACATGCAATTCATGACAAGACAAAACTAATCCCCTCGCATCCTGCGACTCATGAACACGACTCTGCTCCTCCCTGGGAACAAGGGGTGAATCTAAACCTCTGGCCTAGAACAACATCCGTCCATAACCGTTCACCATCAAGCCCCAGACATCCATCCCAGTCAAAACAACCCCCACTGTCAATCCCATCCCGTGTTCGAGGCGTACAAGCCGGTGCATGATAACTTCTAGCGCGATACAATCCCGAGAATGAAGGCCACGACCCCTGCCCCTGTCTAGGAAGCCGATGCACGGTGTATCACAACGCCCCCTCCAATAACCCCTTCTAGTTTAGCTGTCGATAAGATGTTAGATGACACTAGGACAAAGCAACGGTGCCATTCCCGTAGTGAGGGGACAGCCCTCGTGTAAGAAGTCGTTGCTCAAGGTCATGAGCGACCCCGCGCTAATATCGGAAAAGCCTCCGCCCAAAGGTTCTGGACGCGCACCAACTCAATTCCCAAGATTAGACAAAGAGAGATACCGATGACGGTCTGATTAGGTTCGTGATACTGCAGCCATGTGACCCCTTCTTACCCCGCTCCCCTCAGACTCCCCGCGTTATCGTTAGAGTCGGTTACTGTGCCGATGTGAATGTGGCCTAGGTCGGACGCTATGGTGAACTGGCATGGAAGTCAATTATATGATAAGGTTATCGCATGCTTTACTTCAAAACCCCCCATTCTTGTCAACTCAATTGTTTATTTGACTATCTCTTCATCCTTATCACGATCAAGTCATACACATTTCAGAATTTAGTAGCCTGACATGACAACTGCGCTCTCAAGCAACATCTCTTGTGGTTCGCGGGCTGCCCGGAGCTTGACACTCACACTCAAGGCCTCTGGCCCTCGAGTGCGGAGAGACAGCATCGTCCCTCTTGTTCGCTACTCCTCATCCGCGGCCACCACAAACGCGGCCGACGCACTCGAAGCGACACGCACAAACACACCTGCCGTGAAAGGCGCAGAAACACCACTATCCGAACTCCCACCTCTCGTCCTCTACAGATCTCTCTTCATCAACGCCGTATCTTCAAGACCATGGCTTCTGGTACCATCTCTCCATCTTCTCCAGAAGCTCTCCCACCCGGGAAATCCATTCCTCTTCAATGTTGACCGCAACCCGCTGCTGCGCTCCCTTCTCAAGCACACCTTCTATAAGCAATTCTGTGCTGGTGAGACACCAGCCGAGACACAGGCGACCATGAAGCAATTGCAGGATATAGGCTTCAAGGGCACAATCCTCACATTTGCGAAAGAGACGGTGTTTGACTCAAAAACGGGCAAGCAGCAGGGTCTTGGAATTGAGACGTCGGAAAAGAACGAGTGTCAGTGGTGTGATAATATCGCGGCGTGGAGAGATGGGACTATGAAGACCGTTGAGCTGTTGCGGGAGGGCGACCAACTGGCCACCAAGTAAGTCAATTGACACCGCTGTTCTTCGTTTATGAGTATGACCTGACAACGTCCAGAGTAACTGGTGCTGGACCTGTTGTTTGCGACGCTCTCACCAACGGCACCGAGCTCCCTAAGCAATTTGTGGACGCTTGCTACGAGATCTCTCAAAAGTGCAAAGACCGCGGCGCGTACATTCTCATTGACGCTGAATCTCAGCATTATCAATGGGGCATCTTCCGCCTCGGCATGGAGCTCCAGCAAAAGTTCAATACCGACGGCAAGGTCGTGCTGTACAACACATACCAGGCCTACCTCAAGAGCACGGTAGATACTCTCGCCAAGCATCTGCAGGCTGCTGTCGACAAGAACTTCACCCTGGGTGTCAAGGTAGTCCGCGGCGCATACATGGCCTCAGACCCACGCTCTCTTATCCACGACACCAAGAAAGACACAGACGAATGCTACGATAAGATTGCACAGGGTGTTCTCCGCCAGGACCTTGCCGGCTTCGGCACCAGCTCCAAGCCCTTCCCCTCAGCGATGCTCCTCCTAGCCAGCCACAACAAAGACTCGCTCGTGAAGGCCCACGAGACGCACCAGCAGCGCAGCAAAGCGGGTCTCCCGACGGTGCCGGTCAAGTTCGCGCAGCTGCACGGCATGTCGGACGAGGTTAGCTTCGGGCTGCTCAAGCTCAAGGACGATGCGGGGGTGGCTCCCGAGGTGTATAAGTGCACTACCTGGGGTACGCTGGCCGAGTGCATGGCTTATCTGACGCGGCGCGCTATGGAGAACCGAGATGCGGCTTCGAGGACGTTTGATGAGTATTCTGCTTTGAAGAATGAGGCTTGGAGACGGCTTGCTTTTTGGAGATGAGGTTGCGAGTGGGAATGAAAAGCATCTGCATGTGCTGTGATTATTTCACCGAGAATAAAAATAATTATTGCAACATTAAAAAAAAGATGCTTGTCAGAATACTATTGCGCTCCCAATTTGGACTCGTGATATCATAATTTCCGCCATTGACTTTGTTTGTCTTTGTTGATAAACTCAATTCCTTCACCGTGTCCCTCTGATAAGGCTAGAATGTGTCCCCTCCTTCACCGTCCGCACACCTTGTGCTTATCCATGCAGATCTGCCATGTCAATCTTGTGTCATGGGATGGATCCATGTACCCTGGCACAATCATGTCGGTAGTGATATCGCATCTAGAACCCGAACAATTGCCAATAATCCTACGTCAAAAGAAAGTGATGGATCGTGCTGCAACCGCATTTAACAGTGGCGTCGGCGAGTGTCCCGTAGGTCTACCACCAACTCCACTGTAATTGTCTCCTCCCGCCTCTGAATGCGGAGGCTAGAGCCCTTTTCCCCACGTTTATCATGGTCGGTAGCCCTCCCGTTGACAGGCTCCTTTCCTTTTAGCTGTACCCCTCACCTCACGTCCAAAAGATAACAGAGCTGCATCTGCACGACTTGTCAACGTCTTTCCATCCAGGGTTTGGTCTGCTTTTCATTGTCTTTGTTATTTGCGTCACAAGATCAACTCAGTGCTCACATGTTCTGTGCTGAGCAATTTCCCTTATCTGCCGACGAATAAGACAACAACTCTGCCGCGTCAAACCGTTTCCCCTGTGTGCAACATCAAATCGCGAAAATGCCTGGTCTAAGCAATGCCACACTCACTATTCTCGGAACAGGTAAGATCTATCCAATCATTGTGCGACGGCATCCTCTGACCGATTGATCTCAGGAAACATCACAAAGCCTATTGTGAAGAATCTTTTACCTGCTATCAAGGATGGCAAGACAGATCTACCTTTTACAAAGATTGTTGCCTGTGTACGTTCGGAAGGTTCTGAGCAGAAACTCAATGAGCAATTCTCGGAGTACAGCAACAACTTGACAGTTTCTCGTGGTGAGAATGTCAAGGCAGTTCAGCAAGCCGACGTGATAATACTGGGCGTGGATCCTTCCGATATACAGAGTGTTCTCACCCAAGAAGGTATTCGCGATGCTTTGTCTGAGAAGCTCCTCATCAGTGTTGCTGCGGGCTGGACAAAAGAGAAGATCGAATCCACTATCTACGGCAGCGAAACAACCAAGGAAAACAGCTCTGGCAGGGTGTGCGTGATTCGTACTCTACCGAACATTGCATGTATGGTCTCTGAAGGTGTCATTGCCATTGAAAACTCCCCTTCTGAGCCCGAGGTACCCAAGGAGTATCTCGACCTCACAAAGAATCTCTTCACAACCATCGGAAAGACAGTCGAGGTGCACCCCCGTCTGATGAACGCCACCACAGCCGTTGGAGGATCTACCCCTGCATTCTGGGCTATTATCTGCGACGCTTTCATCGACGCCTCTGTGGCTGTTGGTGTCCCCAGGGCCGATGCTCAGACCATGATCTACCAGTCTATGAAAGGTTCGGCGGCGATGCTCCAGAGTGGTCTGCAGCCGGGTGACCTAAGGGATCAGGGAACTTCGCCTGAGGGGTGCACTATCGGAGGAATAATGGTTCTAGAAGAAGCGGGAGTTCGCGGACATCTTGGGCGTGCACTGCGGGAGGCTGTGACTACGGCACGTCTGATGGAGACTACCACACACGTTAATGATACACGCCCTACCTCATAGATTTAGTCAGGAACGATAAGAAGAAGACAATAGAGCTTGCCAAATGATTTGTTCACCGTTGTTTTTGTGAGTCCCCGAAAGATATGATCAAATCAAAGCAATGCTTTGTTTGTTCAAAGTAGCATTTTTACTGTATGTGTAATTTTATGTACGCCCTCTTCAATTTCTAGAAACCAAAACCTGTCATTAACCCAGCAGCCCTTTCAACTAGACCTTTTCGAACAAATTATGAAATCGTGATCGTGCTTCCATATTCACGACACACCCAACTCCAAAGGCTGGAATAATTCTCAGAGAGCGTAGTATCGTCGCTGAAAACAGGTCCCTTCGGATCTGTGCCGACCGCTCCACCCACGGCACACCACGGGGCCTCGAGTACAAGTCCAGCCCAAGAAGATGAACTGGTGTAGCAGCAAATTGTGAGAAGATGGGTACAGTGAGCTGCGATATGATAGCCTTGGAATGCGGATTTGAAGACAAACTGTCTGGAATAAGAGACGATAACCATGGAGCCATTGTGAAAGATCCAAAGATGGTAATGGCATCTCTCATCAGAAACGCAGCCGTGGCAGCCTTGGGTACGCCGGGCTTGATGGGCGGTGCTACTTTGTCTGTTGGTGTGCTTGGAGCACTGAACATCTGAGCATAGCGCACATCTTTGAGAACGCCGAGGGGCACGTTGATTATCATGGTGTTAACAAACGTGATTGTTCCCACAGCCGCTCTGTGGAATTCATGAGCGAGCGTGTCTGATGCGTTTGAAACGGCATATGTTGCGCCGTAGAGTGTCCAGACATAGGCGAACGCACGGCCAAAGATGAAGCGACCTGGGTGTTTGATCGCGTTCAAGCTATTTATCTTCATTCCTTGGAGAAGTGGTCTGTTGAAAGAGACTTTTTCAACCATTGATCTATGGATATGTGAGCTTAGCGGTATGGTGAGATTGGAATGGGACATACTGGTCGATGACTGCGATGACTGGGGTGATCAAGGTTGCTGAGAGAGCTGCTGCTGCAACATCTCCGATAACAGGTTTCCATAGCTGGTGACGACTGAATGTGGTTTCTGTAACATGTTGGTGTTTTTCCATAATATGATGTGCTTGGTCTCAAGATCGTTGGCTCATGTACTAGGATGCCGTTGACATTCGATATGGCGACAGTAGCATCTCAGTAAGAAGAAAACACAAAAAGATCTATCACCAACATTAGGACACGCTCCCCTCGACTCCCTATACCAGCCATCTCTTCCCACTCCACAGAGAGTACAGTAACACCACAGCATCGCACGGTCATACCGACGCCCAAACCACGGAATCCCCTGCCGAGCGCAGAACAATCGGTGCAGTTCCCGGCATATGCCCCGCCTTGCCTTAGTTAGTGCTATCACCTGTGCGGCTCTGGGGTGTGTCGTGTGACAGGCGCCCACCAAAAGAAAAGTCGGGTTGCAGCCCGGTCAATGGAAGCTTTTAGAGCAGGGTGGGCGTAAAGTTAGTGCTGGGGCTTGCAGTGAGGGGTAACTCATCCCACTAAAAACCATTCGGCAACGGCCCCGACTGCGGTAAACTTCAGCGTACCTATGGAAAAGGTTGTTGATGTCGGGTCGTTGTTGAGGCAGCATAAGAAAGCCATTTCGCAGGTTGTAACGTCAGACATTATTCTTCTCTACTCCCCAAGACATAACAATCCGCTTCTTCTTGATACTCAAAAGTTTTTCTCGTTGTTTCAACTCTCCCAAATACATTTAGAATGGCTTCTTCAGTTCGTGCCTTGACGTCCAAGGGGCGCTTGACTCCTCTCTGCAGAATCCGTGCTTCTGCTCCCACAATCTCCCTTCAGAAGCGCAGCAATGCCACGACAGTGCCATTCAGATTACCAGCTGCTCGCAACGAGCCCAACGTAAGTCAACCACTCCCTAGGGATCCTTTGACGAATACTGACAATTCAGCCCACATACACAAAAAACTCCCCAGAGAGAGCAAAGGTCGAAGCTGCCCTTAAGAAGCTCCGCTCAGAACTCCCCGTGAAGAGCGAGATCATCTTCAACGGCGTCTCCCAAAAGATCCACGCCAACGAGGACCAAGTCCTCCCCGCTGAGCACGCCACCAAATTCACTAACTACCCGCTCGCCAGCAAGGAGCAGGTCAAAGCTGCAATTGATGCCGCTCTCAAAGCAAAGCAGAGCTGGCAGGACACGCCCTTTGTTGACCGCGCCGCCATCTTCCAGCGCGCTGCTGAGCTTGCTACCACCAAGTACAGATATGAGCTTATCGCCTCAACTATGCTTGGCCAGGGCAAGAATGTCTGGCAGGGCGAGATCGATGCTGCGGCTGAGTTGGCGGATTTCTTCCGTCTGGCGGGACATTACGCTGCTGAGATTATGAGCAAGCAGCCTGAGCGTGGAACAGACGGTATCTGGACTCGTATCGACTACCGACCTCTTGAGGGTTTTGTTTATGCCGTTTCACCCTTCAACTTCACCGCTATCGGAGGTAACCTGATCGCCCCCGCCATTCTCGGTAACGTAGTCCTCTGGAAGCCTTCGCAGTACAACATCCACCCCAGCACCATCATCTACAAGATCCTCCAGGAGGCTGGTCTTCCCAAGGACGTTATCCAGTTTGTTCCTGGTGATGCGGCTGAGATCACCGAGACTGTCCTTGAGCACCCTGAGTTCGCTGGTTTGAACTTCGTCGGTTCTTCAGATGTCTTCCGCTCTATCTACGGCAAGATCGGACAGGGTATTGCTGAGAAGCGATACCGCGATTTCCCCCGCGTTGTCGGTGAGACCTCCGGCAAGAACTTCCACCTCGTTCACCCTTCGGCCGACATCACCAACGTTGTCAACCATACCATCCGTGGTGCTTTCGAGTACCAGGGCCAGAAGTGCTCCGCCACATCCCGCGCTTACGTTCCTGAGTCTCGTGCTAAGGAGTTCTTCGACCTCTTCCAGCAGAAGATCAAGCAGATCACCATCGGAAACCCCGACAAGGACTTCGAGGCTTTCATGGGCCCTGTCATTCACGGCCGATCTTTTGAGAAGATCAAGAAGATCATTGATGAGAGCAACAAAGACCCCCAGGTCAAGCTCATCGCTGGTGGCGAGTACGATGGTTCTGTGGGATACTTCGTGAAGCCTACTGTTTACCAGGTTGACTCTCCTGACCACCGCCTCTTCAACGAGGAGATCTTCGGTCCCGTCTTGGCTGTCTACGTCTACAAGGACTCTGAGTTCACACCTCTCCTCAAGAACATCGACCAGAACGGCGGTGGTCTCGCTTTGACCGGAGCTGTCTTTGCTCAAGATCGTGCTGCTCTCCGCGAGGCTGAGAACGCCCTTCGCTACTCTGCTGGAAACTTCTACCTCAGTAAGTCCATCTGTAAATAACCTCACTAGTATACAATGCTAACCATTTGCTAGACTGCAAAACAACTGCTGCCCTTATCGGCCAACAGTCTTTCGGTGGTGCTCGAAGCTCTGGCACGAACGACCGAGCTGGCAGCCCTGACATGCTTCGACGATTCGTTTCTCCTCGTCTTGTCAAGGAGGAGTTCTTTGAGCAGAACGGTTTCCTCTATCCTTCCAACACACAATAGACTTGGCATATGGCATCTAGAATTGTACTAAAAGCTGAGAAATGAATTTAATAAAAGATTAATGAATACTATATTGATTCTTTCGTGGATGTGAGGTTACTGACATTCTCAACCATAGCCACTATATGTGTCGACTGTATCAAGCTCCATTATCAAAACCTCAATGTTCTACTAGCCCTATTATCAGCGGCAGGCCCCTCCTGAACACCAAGCTACATAACTGGTGTGTGAGGTGACAAGTATACCAAAATACTCATCTAGGTATCTCTGGCTATTTAAGCAACGTTGGATTCAAGATCACATATAATTACGCCACTTCGTCCAGTGCCTCCAACGTAGCCAGATTACCGACGTCCGCCAGTGTGATCAACTTCACACCAGGAATACTACTACCGAGCTGCGCCTCTACACAACCAACTAGTTTAACATTCTCCTCGTCACATAAGACAACAACAAGTGGCACTGATATATCCTTAGCCAGCGCTTCCATAGCATCCAATGGCCACCCTCAGTTAGCAGACGCGTCCATCTTCAACATATCTTAGACAGTTTGTTTGTATGATTGTGTCAGCCAGGGCCATTGATGTCGGAACATGGAGAAAGACAAACTCTGTACTGTTGGCATCGTGATAGGAACTGATTTGTTAGTCCTGTTCTGAAATGACCAAGGGTGTCTCCACTACTTATGAGCATTTGGTATTGTATATCCGCTTATCAACTCACGATACAGGCGATGGCACCCAGATAGATAAACCGTTAGCGTGGATCAATCAAATCTTTACAAGCATTGTTAGGAATTATTCTCTTGATAAAGATTTAGCCTATGGCGATACTTCTATAGTCTAAAAGCTCAACACCAAATCCTTCAACTTTCCGAAGTCGGGTGTTCCGTATCCAGTGACAGGATCCCAGCCAACAGTAGCGTTCCACCGAGCACCAGGCACAATTCCAGATCCAGCAGGCTCAGGCTTGCCACTCTGAGTGTTGTTGCCATCACATCCAATGCTGAAACCACCAGTGATGTCCGTCAAGACCTTGGATCCATGCTTGTAGATGAGAGGGTTCAACCAACCCAGGCTCTTCTTGCCAGCTCGGAAACGGGCGTCGTTCAGGAGACCAACAATGGCAGCCCACACGGGAGCAGCGGCACTTGTTCCTCCACTTCCGGCTTTCTTACCAGCGTAGATGACCTCGTAGTTGGGAGAAACACTATGACCAGCGACATCGGGGAAACCTCGGCCCTCCCAGTTTGTGTAAGGGCCGTAGTACTTCTTGGTATCCTTGGACACAGTCTTCATGTACTTCTTGACAGCCTTATCCTGGTAGCTAGGGCGGGGGAAGTACTTGCTGAAACCACCAGAGGAACCATCCCAGGCAATCTCGGGGGTCACATCGACGGTTCCACCAACGGAGGTCAGGTAAGGGCATGTAGCAGGGAAGATGGCGTTGAACTCGACGGTCTTGTAGTCGGGGGCCAGGCAGCCCGCGCCGACGCCGATGTCACCGGAGGAAAAGATGACGCTGATACCGCGGAGGCCGAGAAGACCGATCATGTTGCATGTGAGTGTAGCATACTCTTGAGGGACACTCTGCGATGGTGTTAGCTTGGTCAATTGTCATGGAAGGAATGTTTGATCTTACGTCTTCTTCGTCACCGTAGGAAGTGGAGATAACAGCAGGGAGGTCCTTCTGGGACAGAAGATAGCGGAAGAACGGAACATAAGGCTCGTTCTGGTTATCAGCAGCAGTAGGCTGATCAATGTTGGGAAGGAATGGTCTGTTGCGTGTCAGTTGCCCGTGTAGTTCTCATGGGATGAGATAACTTACGGCGAGCCACCAGTAATGTACTGGACAAAAGGAAGCGGGTGGGCAATTCCAACGATGTTTTCGGCATCGAGATCAGCCTCACCGTAGTTCTTGTTGGCAGGGTTCTGGTCATCAGTGGCGTTGTTGATCAGAACACTGGAGAAGTTCTGTGGTGGAATGCCATACTTCTCCTCGAACAAGGCAACATCAGAGTAGAGGGCAGACTGGCCGAGGAAACTGCTGAATCCAATGGTGCTTCCGGACTTGGCCTTGGGGGTGTAGTCTCCGATGTTGTACAGCTGCTTGAGGCATGCAGGGGTGATGCTTGTTTGGCATGAAGCATCGATGGTGCTCTTGGTGGGTGTCACCTTGCGCTCGGTGACGGTAGCACGCTCTGGACGAGGCACAGGGTTGAACGCAACGGTGCCGCCGAAGTTGGTGCTTGGGTCCACATATTGAATGTGCTGAGCCAGGGCATCAGGAACGGAATAAGACAAAGTTCGCAGCTTAGTCTGGCCATCCTTGACATAGTACTGGTAATCACTTCCAAGCAGCGAGTTGGCCTTCTTGACATCAAGGGCAAAGTCGATGAAGCCGCCATTGACCTTGTAGTTCTTGACGCCGTTGGACTTGAGCCACTTTGTCACACTGGACACAGCCTGTGTGGAAGGCGAAAAGGTCGAGACGAGGTCTTCGTGGGACAGCCACTGGCCGTAGTTGGCGCTGTCGGGGCTGGAAAGATCAAGCAGCTTTGACTCAAGCTGGTCGACATTTTGCATGGTCAGAGCAATGCTGAAGACCTGCTGCTTTTCGCCGGCAAGTCTCAGGTTGTCCTCGACCTGCCAGCCTTTGGGGGCTTTGGCATGGTGCGAGAACGACTTGCCATAGGCTGTGGGCAGAGCCGATAGGGCCAGCACGAGGTACTGGGAGGAGGAGATATACATAGCGAAAGTAGAACACCCTCCTGGCGGATGGTAAAGAATGAGTGAGTAGAGAGCAGAGGATAGAGACAAGAGCTGCCAAGAAAAGTCCAGGCGAGATATTCGTGGGTTTTATCTACATGTTGCATTGTTGTTTATCGTGAACCATTTGCATCGCACGCGACTCTGGATAACTCGGCACCGGAATGGAGTTGCAGTTGGGCAAAAGGTCTTTACGAAGACAAAAGGGCTCCGGGGTTCTTGGCACGAGCTTCTCGATTGGGAGGGTTTCCGTAGCGGACATCGGGGCTCAATGCAGATCATGGTGCAACTTATCCATTACGGGAAGTTATCCAGGGGCACACTGTGGGGTCGTGCACGGCTAACGGCACTTGTTAATCGTGAGATCTTTATCGCTATCATGTGTCATTGGGTATCCGCTGATAGGAAGGCGGTTGATTGGAGGGCCGTGAGGACAAAAGTGCTTAGATTTAAGATTAAGTGCTGAATTCGTGCTGCTGGTGAGTTATGACGGAGGGGGGTTCGTGGTTTTAGCCTATTTCCACGGTAAAGCCGCCAGCGTTAGATGTATGGTAAAGACATGCAAAAGGTATTTGTTTCGCAATGGCAACTAAATATGCTTCGGCCATGGAATAATTTGTGCAACATAGGTTAACGAGGCATCGGTTCAACTCCATAGCTTCCAGTAGTTTGACGCATTGTTGATTGTGATTACGCCAACCGAAGGATCCCTTCCTTGCATGTTCTTTATTTTAAATTTACAAGCTTAACTCGACTTCCTTTGTCCTCGCAAACTGTAACACTAATCCCATCCAGCTAAGATGGGAGAATACCGATTGGCTGAGGTATCTGAACAACTTTATCGTATTCATATTGAATGCTGGGAGTTTGCTCGACACTACCTACAGTAGCTATTTCATAACAATCGCGAATTACTACTCGGGATCTAGCGTGATTTATTAGTTCAACCAGCAGTTGTCTATCTTGTCAAACACCAAACGATATGAATCACTCTCCAATTGTCGTCTTCTAATTGCTTTCGATGTATTATGGTGACTTTCCTTACCCTAGGTATTTGCAAATCACACAAGCCAGATTGGTTGGCTAAAACAGCCCCACAACCAATATCAGCTGTCATCCCGGTCCAGAACCTGCAAGGACCTTGACGCCAATTGAACTTATTCTGGTACCAAATCCCCTCACAAAAGATGTTTATAGCTAGACTCGCACGTTCTCATTTCCGATTTCGTCCTTCCATGTCACAGATGCCCGCCAGGCTTTGTCAAACTTATTCCGGTGGCCCAGCAGCCCAGTTGCCTCGCGTCTTTCCCTCGACAGGATTTGAGAAGATCGACCCGACTCTGTCTGTCGAGGAAGAAAGGCTACCCACATACCGCCGTGAAGACTACTATCCTGTGCGTGTTGGGCAAGTAATTCATGAGAACTACCAAGTAGTGGCAAAACTGGGTTACGGTACCACTTCGACTGTGTGGTTATCACGAGATCTTAGGTCGGAGCTATTTCTTTCTGCTGTTTCGCCAACCCACTCGCTGATAGCGTCTACTTTAGAGATGGAAAGTTCTGGGCGCTGAAGATTCATGTCAACACCCTGAAACACAATCGGGAATTGGCTGTCTATCGACATTTATCCAGGCTCTGCTTGGATCATCCAGGTCGCCAGCATGTACGACAATTCCGCGACACGTTCAAGCTTGCCGGTCCTCATGGCGAACATGATGTCTTCGTCATGCCTCCACTGGGAATGAGCCTCAGAACGTTGCAAGAGATGCAAAAAGACCATGTTTTCCAAAAGACCCTGGTTACGAGTGCCCTTGATCAAACCCTGTTTGGATTGAACTATCTTCACGATGCTGATGTAATTCATACTGGCAAGTAGCCGAATCTGATTGTGCGAAATCCTATCTGACCAATAATAAGCCATACACACCGATAATCTTCTTATCGCCATAACGGACGACTCCATTCTGGATACGGTGGAGGACAATGAGCTTCACAGACCGTCAGCACGAAAGTACGTCGGAGACACAGTCATTCACGTTTCTCAATACATGTTAGGGGGCGCTGGAGCTCTCACAATCTGCGATCTTGGACAGGCGCGTATTGGAAAGGTCCATCGTAGTAAGGCGATGCCCACGCCGTATCGTGCTCCCGAGATCATTCTCGGCATGACGTGGGGAAATTCGGTGGATGTTTGGAGCGTGGGGCTTTTGGTGAGACGGTTTCTTCTATGCTCATCTCAATAAAACTAACTTAAATCGCAGGCCTGGGACCTTCTTCAGCAAGAAGGCATTTTCCGCGTTTATGATCAGTCCGAAGACTTGAATGATGCGCATCACGTAGCTGCCATGACATCCCTTCTTGGGCCACCCCCCAATGCCTTCCTCAGGAGAAGCAACAAGACGAGCAAGTACTGGAACAAGGATGGTAAGTGACGTTGTCGTAACGTAACGCATCGAGTCATACCAAGACTGACACACCTTTGTTGCGTAGGTGAATGGCACGGTCCAGTTCCACTGCCACCCAGGAGGGAAATTAAATCTCTTGAAACAAACCTGTCGGGTGAAGATAGAGACAAGTTTCTTAACTTTCTCTCTGGTGTTCTTACTTGGCTCCCTGAGGATCGGCTTAACAGCTTTGAGGCGTACTTTCATCCTTGGTTGAGAGGTGAAGGCCCCCTCGAATAATAATAGAATAGTATCCATTCAGTCATTAAGTGAGAGGGTAATAATATGGAGAACAAATAACTGTTCCATTTGCGTGTGTTTGTGGCCTACATGTTTATTCTGGATGTGACCTATATTTCTGAAACTCTATCCAACTTTGGTGGCTATCAATACTCTACCTGTGCTATTTAAACGATTGGCTACAGCAAGACAAATGTTTATTGTCTCAGAAGAATAAGGGTGTATGGTATTCTATGGTGTTGGGATAATTCTTGGTATCGGAACTCTCGGGCATTGTGGGCACACCCACGTCCTTGAGATGCGGCTACGCTAACCCTAGCAATTCAACTTCCCAGTAGCTACCGGCCTGGAGGGGTGGAGAGATTACGCTGCTATGATCAGTCATTGGGTTTCCCGTTTCCAAATGCCAATCATTCTCAGTATCAGTACCGGCAAGTCTCCCGATGAGACGCTCAATCTCACAGTGTTGGGTTAGGCTTGCGAGTAGTGTCGTCCACCCCACTTCTAGCCAGTCTATTTTGCCTTACCCGGGGGATATCTAGCCGCGTATTATTATACACTGGAGGTGTTGCCGTATGAAATTACAGCCTTGACCGATTTATTGAACGAGAATGGTTTGAGAGCTTCGGGCCAGCGCTCGTATAGAAAGACGTTCAATTGCTTCGGATCCCCAAATCCTTCCTTCATCACATTTGATCTTTCTCACTAACGAACCCCAAAGTACATGCTGCAATGAGTATCCCCAAGTCTGAGCCTATTCTGGTCGTCGGAGCTGGTGCTTTCGGCCTCTCTACGGTGCACCATCTTCTCAAGGCGGGATATAAAGACATTACTGTTCTTGAAAAAGACGAAGAGATTCCATCTCGTTGGTCCGCCGCCAATGATCTCAACAAGATTGTGAGAGCCGAATATGAGGATCCTCTTTACCAAGATATGACTTTGGTATGTACTCCCTGTGGTTCAAAGCCAATGTCCCAATTATCTCGGCTTCTGAATCTTTCCTGGGCAATACTAACAGGTTTCCAACCAGAAAGCGATTGAGGCTTGGCAGACTCCTCTCTTTGCCCCTCACTTCCACCAAGTTGGCTTCATCCACTGCGTTTCCAGAACCGCACCCAAAGAAGCACATGATACACTCAATCGCTTTCGCACAGCCGCGGAGTGCGACCCTCGTCTCAAGCCTCACGTCTCCCCGCTCAACACCCAGAAGGACATTACGGATGCAGCATGGCAGTTTAAAGGTAGCCCATTTCCCGGCTGGACTGGATACCTCAACAAGTTTGACGGGTATGCGCACTCTGGCAACGCTTTGCGATCTATGTTCCAGGCTACAAAGGCACAAGGTGCGAAGTTCATCCTTGGTGCTGCCGGTACCGTCTCTCAGATTGTCTATGAAGAGACAGCACTGGGACGCAAAGCCAGAGGTGTCAAAACTACAGGTGGTCTTTTCTATCCGTCCAAGCTCGTCATTGTCTCCGTCGGAGCAGCAGGCGCAAAGCTCGTTCCGGAGATTGGCAAACAACTTGTCGCCAAATCATGGTCAGTTGCTCATCTCCATCTAACCGACGATGAGACGTCTGCTTTACGCGGAATCCCTGTGACATATGCGCGCGACCTTGGCTTCTTTTTTGAACCCGACCCCAAGACAAATTTGCTCAAACTTTGTCCTATGGGTGGTGGCTTCATCAACACCGATTCCAAGTCTGGAGTATCGCATGCACCTATATATCTCAAAGATAGCGCTTTCCTTCCCGAGGGTGATGACAAACAGCTTCGTGAGCTTGTGCGACAGACTCTCCCTCAATTCGCTGATCGGCCATTTGTCAAAAAGTCCCTTTGTTGGTTTGCTGACACGGTCAATTCGGACTTTATCATTGACTACGTTCCCGACACCTCGTCTTCAGTTTTGCTTCTTTCCGGCGACAGTGGTCATGGCTTCAAGATGTTCCCCATTTTTGGCGAGTGGGTTAAGAAACTTTTAGAATCAGAGGCTGGAGAGCAGGTTGTCGAACGATGGAGGTGGAAGACCCCAGTTTCCGATGACGGCAAGGGTGATTGGGGCGGTGCTGTGAGCTGGAGGCTGGGGAATTCCAAGGAACTTGTTGATGTACAACCTGTTGGTCACATCAAGCTTTGAGAGTGAGGTATATCCTTGTTAGAGGCTTAGACGGATCAAAAATACCCTACTATATGCAATCCTACAATGATTAATCTATTGATTTGATGAAGTGTCCTCATAAAGGTCATCAGTCCTTTGAATAGGAGTCTCCTTTGCTACAGGACTATGTGACTGAGCTGCTCTTAATCGTCCCGATGAGTTTGCAAATTGAGGCTGCTGATCGGCAATAGTGGGCCATCTGCACCCATGATATGATATGATGGATGCAACAGACTGAAAACATATTTGTTTTCCTGAAAACCTCATGGGGACCACCCGTGCCGCCCGTCTGCCAAGTTCAGCTGCAAATAAAAAGCCAATATCACACGGCAGGCTACCAATAATGTGACGCCGTTGATCAATAATATTGAAGGAACATTTCAGCTAGTGCGCGTAAGCAAAGGGTGGGAACCAACTGTCCAATTATCATCTATGAAACATCGACAGCAGATGTCAGTCAAGAATTAGGAAATTGTGATATCTGATATGAATAAATTGCTAGGAGATGATGTTGGTTCAAAAATATCATAAAGCCTTAATGATTCAACCTGAGTAACTGTCTTGTCCTCAGGCTACTGCGACAAATATTCTCTTACTTCTATATATCCTCTATTTTACGACTATATTGAGCTTGCCAATCATGATATATGACAGTGGAATTCAAAATCAAGGACCTTCGGTGATGGGAGAGTCTGGGAATAATCCGGCCAGCCCACCGACACCAGTTGAGGGACCTGTTGTAGGTATCCCAGAAGGCTCTGACAGTCCCGTATCTATTTTCGACATCCTCTACGAGATGGTGGTCGACGAAGATCCCAACACAGACGCACTACGCAAAATTCTCTCAAAAGATGGATCTATCGTTGGAAACAAAAATCCGGATGGATCCATGGCGCTACATGTCGCAGCAACAAAGGGTCTACTCAAAGCCGTGGAGATTTTACTCGAGTTTCATGCGAGTGTAAGCGCGCAGGATGATTGGGGGAGACAGCCTCTATACTTAGCTTGTTCTCACGGAAACACAGATATAGCAAAGCTGCTTTTGGCTCAAGGCGCAGCGATCGACGCCCGAAGGGATGGTCATACTTCCCTTGATGCAGCTTGTTGGTCAGGACAAGTAGCTATCGTCGAGGTTTTGATTGAGAAAGGTGCAAAAGTCTCAGTTGCGGATAACAATGGATGCTCTCCCTTGTTTATTGCAAGTGCATTAGGATACGAAAAGATCGCAAAACTGCTTCTTGGGAAGGACAAGTCGAATATCAATCACAATGAGAAGGTGTATGGCAGGACGGCGCTTCATGTAGTCACGCTTTTGGGCTATGTGAGTATTGCTAGTATGTTGATCGACGAGGGGGCAGAGGTCAACCTACAGGACAGCGAGGGCCACACAGCGCTACACGTTGCTATCTTCAGAAGATTCCCTCGGCTTGTTACTCTATTTCTTGACGGAGGCAGCAAGATTGACATTCAAGATCATCATGGTTGGACTGCGCTTCACTTTGTTGCTCGATTTTCTGATAAGGAGATCGCCACCAAAGTCCTGAGCATCGGCGTGCAGGACATTGTCAACGTTCAAGATAAACACGGACGGACGGCTTTGCATATCGCTAGCAGGCACAGTAATGAGAGCGTGGTAAAGGCACTCCTTGAAGAGGAAGACATTCGCAGCAAATTAGAAATGAACGTCAAAGACAATGACGACAACACGGCGCTACACCTTGCTGCTGGTGCTTCAGATGGAGACGTGGACCAATACGACCCTGACGATGGCTCGGAGAGTTCAAGCGAAGAGAAGGCCATCCGCCAAGGTGCCATAACCGAGGAGTTGTTGGGCGCCGGAGCAGACTCCAAAATCAAGAACAAGCAATCGAAAACGATTATCGATCTCATTATGGCGGATGATGAGCCATATAGATTTCGGGGGCTTTTGGCTTACGTATCTCACCCCTATCTCTCCCCCGAAAGCACCCCCAATGACCTTGATACAAAGAAGAAGGAAGTGAACAGTGTCTTGACAAGAGAGGAGTTCTTCACACTTCTGACCAAACTCGTTCATAAAAGCTCTCCAGGCATAGCAATAGACACGACTTTGAGATCGACACTTTACATGATACTGGACGTTTTGAGAGACGGTGATAGCATACCCCTGCTCAAGCACTTTCCCTCTGCCCTTAGGTTACTCATTGCTGCGTCGAGTCCCAACGATTACCTCAATACAATATTAAAGAGCGCGGCGGAGTCTATCGGCAATATCTTGAAGCAAAGAAGACGAGCACAGCGTTCCAAGGAGAAGCCGCAGATGGCGCCGCAGACAAACATCGCGATATTCAACAGCGAAAGCAAAGAGATTGTACAAGACAAGAGAAAAGAAGTAGTCAATGCGGGTTGTGATATTCCAGAAGAGAATTTGAATCGGAAGGTGCTGGGCGATATTAGAGATATACTTCGGGATCCCCAATTCTCGCAGCTCCATAGAGACGACTACAGCACATTCATCAGACCGCAGGCCGGCAAATGGCTAGAAGGCGTGTTGGAGAGGTTTGAAGCTGTCATCGTCCAATTTTATAAAGAGAGAGGAGAATCAGGATCACTTCTCAGGTACCGATCGGTGAATGAGGTGATCTACGGGGCAGGACCAACGACGATAATGAAAGCCCGATACCACTGTGCGGATTTTAAATTCAAGCAAGAGCCAAGGCTTTCATGGGTTCACTTACCTTCGACTAATGTGAGTATATGATCTCGAGAGGTCACTGTTACTAATCGGACATAGATGGTATGGATGCAAGTAAGTCTCAAACACAAACTGCACCCCAGATAAGTACCGGGATGCAACGGGAACTCACTATTCTTTAGGATCTTATGATGCGGATTTTGAAAGAGGAAGCTGAAAATTCTAAGGCTCAAAAGGACAAGGACAGAAGATCAGAACAATACTTCGCACTAAGGTCTTTCTTCCAAGACAGCTGGATCCAGGTGCCAGATGGCGAAACGCCGTCTAGAGTGATGAAGCCACGAGCTTTGAGGCAGAATGGAAGTAACCCGCCGCAAGATAACTTTGATAAGGATCAGGACACAGACTTGGTAGAGCATGAAGCTCCTGAGTCAGAACGAGTCGCGAACATCCCGCAAGCTTCAGCGGTTTATGTGGGTTCCTTTAATTTCACAGGACCTAGATCTCGCTCTAACCGTTCATCCATACAGATGCCTTACTTCTGCTTCTCGACTTGCCACGACGAGGCGAGGGACAAACTAACCGACTCCGAGAGGATCAAAGCTTACCAGGCACTGCTGAATGGATACCAAGACTCGGTTATTCACGAGTCCCCTACCCTTGACGAATGGTATTACCACTTTGCCATGGACAAGAACTCCGCCGAAGATAAAAGCATGCGTAACCGGGAACAAGTTGTTACTAAGTTCCTGAAAGAGCAGGAAAAGACCAAAGAGGTTGAGAGCGAGTTGTCTGCAACTAGAAACACTTACGTGGTTGGACAGGTAAATGAAAGACTCGAAACAGTAAAATCTGGCAGTGACGATCATTGGACAGTGCTGCGTGTGAATCAGATATGGATCTGGACCTTTGCGAACAGTGCGTTAAGTATCACATGGCATACCGATCAACTTGCTGACCCAGTCCATTTCTCAAACAGAATGGATAATTACCGCCTCATCTTGCTCTCTTGATGAAAGTCACGAATCTCTTGTGGAAGGCATACTCGCACAGCTGAGGAAGCAGGTAGAATACGGTGGTAGCGAATCGCAACCAGGAACAACAGAGGCGATGAAAAAGCTGATCGTGGATTATTGTGTCGCCTCCTATGAAAGGAAACCGAAGAAAGAACCACGGATGTCTATCGGCCAGATATTCTCCAATTACATGAACAGAATTGTTGGCGAGACCTTTCTTTCATCATGGCGTAGCTGACCAAGCTATAGGCTCGCGATGAAACCACTCTGTTCAATCGACTCAGTCGCGGGGCAACAGGCAATAGAAGCGACCCGCCTGGAAAGGTTAATGGATACCCTACCAGAGTCTCTTTGAAATATCTAGTCAATAATCTAGCCGAGGATGGTACGAGGGGTTCCATCTTGTTAGCCGAGAAACTATTCGCGGACATCAAAGATGTTCGGGACGAGCTGAATATTCTCAAGTCATGTGCACGGTTTCAAAAAACAGTGCAAAGAGACCTGGCGAGAGACTACGTCCAAGACACGAACCACTCAGCAGACTACGTCGAGAACGATATCATGGAGATGGACAGTGTTGCAGACCGGATACAATCTGCGGTGAGTCTTGCGTTTAACCCGAACAAACATCAATTCGCTAAGTACTTCCTGACTAAAGCTGAATGCGACTCTGTCGCTCCAACAAAGCGAGATTGCGAATGACCAGGCGGAAATTGCACGTCAGCAAAACAAGGTCCTCATGACATTTACGGTTGCTACTATCTTCTTCGTGAGTTACCTTGCAGCCTGGATGGTCCGTAGACTCACACAAACCTTCCAGCTTCCGTTGTCGTTTCTGTCCTCTTTATTTGCGCTCGATGCTGAAACTTTCAAAAAGACTCCGGGCTGGGTTTTTTTCGTGATATGTAAGCTACAAAGATGTGACTATTCAAGGATGTCGTAACTAACGCTGATGGAAGTCCTGGTCTCACTGGGTGTTTCTGGAGTCATTTGGGTCCTTGCTTTGTTCGTGAATAAGTTTGCGACTATGAGAGAGTACAAAGCACAAGTTGCTTCGGGCTCAGATGCAAAGGGTCAGACAAAATTACGCATTGATGCAAAATCTAAGGGCACAGCTAGTACTGTGGAAGTAGATAGTGGAGGAGTATTTGGTGGACGTCTCAGGTATCGCCACGGTCGCACAAAAATCGGGGATCAGGAACTTGGGAACATGACGAGATCAGAAGGGAATTGAGGCAGATTCAACATGGTTAGATAAACAGGGTTGGAAAGGCTTGAATAATGCAATCAACATCTTCTTGTTGTTTAAAGGAAGAAATGAAGAGTTTGCTTGGATTATTGAGTGTCTCATGGATTCTCTCGGTGTACAAGCTCCGATTGCAGGTTCAGACATTCGGCCGACATGTCCGACTTAGCCTGTCATTTAATTGGCTGACAATAGCGTCGTAACCCAGATATGATCCCGGGAGGGCTGCCGGTGATATCGGATGACATGCCGGGCCGGAGAGTTTGGGGTAATTATTCACCGAAACCCTCCATCTTCGGAGAGGCCTTGGACATGTCGGAACAAATGCGCGATGTAAACCCCACTTCTAGATGAGGAGGTGTTTGTTTTATCAGTACTTTAAAGAACAATTGAGTGAGACTTTTTGCATTCATACAAACCGAAATCTTACGACACCTTGTATATCCGCCATCATTTGTTACCTAATTTATTGTAATTGCATATCATCATGGGCTCCATCAACGATACACCGTCTCAGCAACCACATGTGCCCAGGTAAGCCTCACAATACCACCATTGAGACGCAGTCACTAACCATGGAGCAGCCCGGGTGTATGGTGTCCTTCCGTCACATTCTTCAACCACGCAGACGACACAGTAGACTATGATTCTCAAGCCAAGTACTATGCCCATCTCGCAGACTCAGGCCTAAACGGCCTTATCGTCATGGGCTCCAACGCTGAGGCCTTTCTCCTCACCCGCGAAGAGCGCTACGAGCTCATCGCCCTCGCTCGCAAGACCATCGGCCCCGACTTTCCTCTCATGGCTGGAGTTGGAGCCCATTCTACCAAGCAGACCCTCGAGCTTGCGGAAGATGCTCACAAGGCTGGCGCAAATTACCTCCTCGTCCTACCTCCGGCCTACTTTGGCAAAGCTACCAGCATGAGCGTTGTCAAGCGTTTCTTTGCTGAGGTTGCGCAAAAGTCTGCTCTGCCCATTGTTATCTATAACTTCCCCGGTGTCACAAACGGTGTGGACCTCGATTCCGAGACAATCGTCCAGATTTATGAAGAGAGCAAGAAGTCTCACCCCAGCGGAAAGTCCAATATTGTGGGCGTCAAGTTGACCTGCGGCTCTGTTGGCAAGATCACACGTCTGGCAGCTCAAATCCCTTCCAAGGAGTTTTCCACATATGGAGGCCAATCCGACTTCCTCATCGGCGGTCTGGCAGCGGGCAGCGTTGGCTGCGTAGCTGCATTCGCCAACGTATTCCCTACCCTTACATCCAAGATCTACTCTCTGTATAAAGAGGGCAAGTTTGACGAGGCGCTCAAGCTACAGCAGCTTGCTGCTCTTGCGGAACGACCGTGCAAGGCAGGCGTGGCATCGACCAAGTATGCTGTTGCAGTGTACTCTGCCAGGCTAGCCGGTGTTGAGGGTGCGGTGGAGAAATTAGCGCCGCGACATCCGTATGAGCCTGTTGGTGATGCTGTTAAGCAAAGCGTTCAGAGCATCATGAAGGAGGCTGGTGAGAAGGAGGAGGAGCTGTTGAAGACGTGGACAGATCGCGTCAAGGGACGTTTGAACTAAGTTTTACCGTCTATAAAAGTGTAAAGAATTAATCGAAGCTTTCTTTTCTTGAAAGAGAATTTTGCGTTCTGTTGTTTCGTTAAGTGGTGAGAATAGTCGATATAAATGGCCCTTTCGACCGAGTCTCGCTGGGTTCTGCTTCGCTCAAATAGGAATGAATCTACGATTGAGACTAAGTACTTGCAATTGTAAACAAAATAATCGTTGGAAATATGCTACTGTTTTAGTACTTATTTAGAAACGCATTTAGTTTGAAGTTTCTCTGTAAAACATTCTAGAAAACTTGTTGCATGACTATGAATACAGGGTAGCCGATTTACCAGCCATTCTTGAAAGTGGTGGAGTCTCGAGTCAGATGGACTCATGGACAGCCCGTGCTCCGAAGATCGGCTTGTCCGCGTCCGGGCACTAAATTGACAGGGGGATCAGTGCTACGCTATCATCCCAGTGTTATCGACAGTGGAGAATCATTAAAAACACGCCTCCAGCAGATGTGTGAATTACCTATGGAAAGGTTTACCATGCAACCAGAACGATTCAAGGATGAAGATATAGCGCGCCGTTACCCCGCATGCCATTATCTTCTTCTTCTTCCTTTTAGAAGCCGTCTTGGCCTTTTCTTCCACTATTCGCTATGATTTACCTTTTACGTCAGTGCAAACCTGGCCCCGTGACCCATCTTTGGCGGCTACTCTAACCCCAAATTCCAGCCAGACGAAGCGAACAAAAGCACTGAGAATGTGGCTACGCTAACCTCGAATCGCACCTCAACGACCAAACAAACACTTTTCATCTTCCACTTCATCAATTCTGCATTAACTTTCTCATCCCAATTCGTCGCATGATGGCTCCGTCTCACACGCGCAAGACATCAGGTACCACCGACTCGGTTGGCAGAGGGGCATCAGCAGGAGCTCGAGTCGCTAAGAGATCCGATAACGCGTGAGTATGAGTATGGGCGTTCCCTGCACCGCTGAACCCTGTTATCTTCCCCTCACCTGCCGACGTCTCACCTACTCACCGAGCATCACAAAAAGCGACAACTGACAAGTGAATTGTTTAGATGCTCGAGGTGTCGAAAACAGAAGATAAAATGTTCTGGCTCACATCCTTGCGATGCATGCAAGAAGCGCAAGCTATCGTGCGAGTTTGACCAGCGCGATCAAAAGATCCTCGTCACCCGTGGGTACGTCAACATCAATTGACTTTCTCGAACGTGCCCTACGTACTGATCTCAATCTGTCTTATAGGTACATTTTAGACTTGCAGCAACGCGCCTCGAGCAACCAACCAAGCGCGGGCACTGCTGAATATGTCACGCCTGGGTCTTTGGATACCAACATCAACGTTGGCGGCTCTTCCGACCAAGGTACTATGGTTCGCAATTGATCAAGTCCACAGCTAACACAAAAATAGTTGAACCAGCTCATCGACCAACTTCTCCAACCGGCAATGTTTCTGCATCTGTACCCACTGAAGACTCACTTCTTGGCAGTCGAAGCAGCACGAACAACAGTAGCAATGGATTGGACCCTATAGCGTCTGCCCTTGTGAACCCATTATCAGCTGGACAGTCCAAGTTCATGGCCTCTGCCCAAGGTCGAGAGTGTGAGTATTAGCCATGTCCTTGCGTACCTAGCATCAACTGACATGACAGTCTACCTTGGCACATCATCAAACTGGTCCTTCACCCGTCGAGCCCTCAGCCTCACCCACGAGTACATCCACCAAAGTCCCATCGCCACAGACACCTTGCTGTTCGATGGCTCAGCGTATGACCTAGGGTGGGACGGTTCTCGAATTACTCCAGCGCCCGATCCTCCCATCATGCCCAGTCTCGACCACGCCGTTTTCCTGGTCAACACTGTCAAGTTCCACTGCGGCCAACTTTTCCATCTGTTTGACGAGGAAACCTTCATGGGCTATCTCCATGAATTTTACGCGGATCCCACCGGCCAAATTGCCGCCGCAGACTTACGATATATCCACCTCCTTCTTGTCCTAGCATTTGGCAAAGCGTTTGCCGAGAACAACAACTATCAGTCGAAGAGACCGCCTGGTGCTGATTATTTCGTCACTGCGCTTCGTCTCCTACCTAGTATCCACATCCTCGTGTACGAACCGCTCATCTCGACAGAGATTCTATGCTGTATCGCCCTGTACTTCGAATCCCTTGACTACCGACATTCATCCCATGGCTTTGTAGGTTAACCATACACTTACTGTTCAAAAAGCTGACTCTGGGTAGATCGGACAGGCGATGAGGGTTGCATTGGGACAAGGTATGCACACCGATATGCCTGTGGAACAACTTGGGGATAGAATCGTAGAGCGAAGCCGCAGAATATGGTGGACGGTCTACATACTAGACCGCGAGATGACATCCCTAATGGGCCTCCCGCAATCTGTTCACGACGACGATATTCACCCACAACTCCCGCATTTCGACGGCTCAGCGCAGCGTGTGGCGGCCCTACACATGCAGATCAGGCTTTGTCGGAGTATCGCTTCAGTTGGCAGAGGTGTATACGGAGTAAATGGTCGGCTCAATAAGAAGTTCTTGCTGAGCACGAAAAAGGTTCTGGAGAATATCGCAGGTCTTGCCGACGAGCTACAGCAGCAGTTTCCCCTAGGGGTCGATAAAGCAATTAATGGAGTTTCAAGAGTGGCCGGATACTTACATACGCTCTACCATCAGGTAATACTTATGCCCCGATGCAGCAATGGTCATACTTACTAACCCCATCAGTGCATCGTTCTAGCAACGCGACCCTTGCTGCTTTGCTTCCTCAAAGTCCGCTTCGAGACACCAGACGCCATCGCCGAAGCTCTCAACTCGTCTCAAACTGTCTGGAACCTGATCAAGATGTGTGTCGACTCTTCCTACCAGATGATCAACATTCTTGGCTGTTTGCAAAGTCAAGGTCTGCTCGGTAAATCCACTCGAGATAAATCTCGCCACAGCAAATGTCACTAACACTTGCCGTAGAAGCGTTTCTGCCATTCGATCTGGAATCGTTATTTGTGTCGAGCTTCAATCTTCTAATAGCACCAGTTCTGGATCCAAGATTCTCTGAGCACGACGCGATATTTAGGCATAAGACTTCTATCATCTTCAACGAAATGGTCAGCAAAGGGAATCTCATTGCAGTGTTTCGAAGATCAGAGCTTCAGCAACTTGATGATATGCTGAGTTGTCTGCCTCGCGATAACACTGACACAACGCCGATCCCCATAGATGGGCAGATTATTGGAGGTACGATGGAGGGTAATGAGGAGAGTTTGCAGGATCCGAATGATGATAACGAAACAATGGCTTCTATGCTTCCTGGACTGGATGATCTGGGAATGGATGCATGGTTTACGACGGCGCAGATGATTGATATGGCTAATTCTATTGCGAATAGTGACACTGAATGGGTGTCGCACACAATGATGGAGCACGATATTTGGTAAACGTTGAGAACAAAAGTTTCAGTTTTACAGGATGGGTATGGTGGCGCAATTGTTACGCCGCAATAGGCAAGATAGCTAAATGATTCAATTGTTTTCAATCCATCCCCGGGTATTCGCACGAATGACTATAAGGTAAACCCGGATTCTTGTCAAAACTCCCAACTCCGTTCCCTGCAGACTGTTGTTGAAATAACAGCACCCTTTGAGCTTCGCGTCGTATCTTATCAGCACAGCCTCTCACACAGCCCCAGCCACTTGCACATTGCAACACCATCAAGTTGGCCTATGACGTCCCCCCGCATGCAATGCGAGCTGAAATCGAGGGCGCTTCGCCAAGAAAACGCGCCATTGCTGGTGAAAGACCAGAGGCAGGTGCCTGGGTCTTGGATGTATCACCGCTACACAGAATGAAGAGGTTAGTATTGCAATGTCGGGCGGTTAGCTGCTGCAGGGAGGACTTACCTTGAGACAGAGGCACATGAGCCGTGCTGAGGGACCATTGAGGAGGTTAAAGATTGGGTCGGCATTTTAAAGACGAATTAGAAACTTGGCGTTACAGTTTGATTGACAGGCGTGAAAGATAGGTTGTTTTGGTCGTTCTGGTTTATTTGTTTGTGATCTTACAATTCCTTCATGTTCAAGATTCTACAGTTAGGTATTTATATTAATTCTTCCCAGCACCATTATCAATTTCCAGTTCTACGCATTTGCAGAACACATTTACTTACTCTCAACAGTATATATCGAATTGCTTTACTCAACCTCAATTTCGCAAATTTGCCAGATCGCAGATTTGCAAGCCCAGTGTTATACGAGACAACGTTTTGCGCATGCGCAAAACTGTTTCCCCCACCACACTCAAACCAAACCCCTGCCCAGGCGCTCAAATGACGAATGCTTGCATCAGGGGCATGCACTGTAACAGGCCGGCCTCCTGCACGCCTTTGCGACTTTGCGAACCACTGATGAAAAACGCCTAATGAGCGAAAAGGCCCCTGGTGCGGCTGACAAGAAAGGCCCATTTTGCGGCCAAAGATGGAATTTCAATTCGTTTATGTACTCTTCCCCGTTTCAATCTATTTCTCGTTCGTCAAACACAGTCACGGCTTGCGAGTGCGACGTTGACCACGTATGAACCCGTTTAATCGAGTTTTGATTCTTTTTATTCTCCACCCGCTGTAGCTTGTCACCATGAGTGGCTTTGCCAAACCTCCAGCTTCCGACGAGGCGCCATGGATTGGCCCTGAACAAAATCAGCAGACCACGCAATCGGAAAAGAAGCCTCAATCCTTTGGCGAGCGTCTGAGGCACAAAGGACGGCATTACTTGAAGAAAGCCCCGCGCTTTCTTCATACGCAGAACAAACAACCGCTCTTGGCTCGTTGGAGGTCTAATTCTGTCAAAGTCAAGACCGACGTTGATTATCAGTCACCACCACCACCAGACCCGCCAATGAATCTCGGAACTATGGACGCGAAAACCGAGTACAACATACAATCACAAGGACCCCAGCCACTATCATGGCCTGTCTGGAGCCCACCGCTTCTCGATCCCGAAGCGAAGAATGCGAAAAACGAATTACAAGCACCTTTCATGTTTCCTGTGCAGCAACAGCAACAGCAGCAGCAACAACCATGGCCTGCCTCGATTCCACAGCCTGCAGCAGCAGCAGCAGACAACATGTCCTCTTCTGATGCCGAGGGCCATATCGTCAAGCCATCAAATCACCGCCGTTGGCTAAAGGGCTACACTACATCGAGAAAAAGGGTCAATTCGGCGCCGGCCCTTTCTCTTGGGCTAGGCGATCTTACTGGGGTGGGTAGCCAGTACGATGCTACCAACAGGCCAACATCTGCGTTGCCTACAGGCCCAAATCAATATACAGGGTATCCCCAACTGGTAGGCAGAGATATCCACCAACTGATTGATTTGGATTTACTAACGGTGCTTTGTGTTAATAGAATCAACACCAGATCCCAACTTGGGATACACATGTCGCTGAGCTTGGAGAACAAGCCTCTTTACCGGAACCTAGTCCTTCCGAAATAGACTTGACCCGAAGATTGTCCAACGACACAGCTCAAGGTTATAGCACTGCGACAGAGTCAATCTTCACACGCCCATCTTCAACCATTTCAGCCGCTAGCACCTGGGAGTCGTCAATCGGAAGGGCTAGCAGCTCGCCCTCACAAAGAAGGTCCTTGTTCAGGAGAACACTATCCTCTTCTTCGTCGCTGAACTTTGTTCGTGATTCCTCTAATAGTATTGGAGGCCACACTGTACCGCCTATTCCGATCCTCAGCCTGGAGATGAGGAAACGACTTTCATTGCCATACCACATGCCAGCTCATCAGCAACTCACGGCCAATCCTACTCCTACTGATCTGATTGCCGCCCGTGTGGCTTGCCAGGACTCCTCTTTGACTGTGTCAGACCAAGTAGCCTTGACAGGTTGGGTTGCACAGCAGCGTCGCAATAAAAGCCCGCTAGCTAATCAAGTGCAAGACGAATCTTCACTTGACTTATCCGAAACCCCTCTGCCCCTGTGTGATGCTGAATTGCACCCCGGGGGAGACCCAGACCCAGAACTGGCCACAATCGAAGAGCGTCTGTCAGAAACTGGACTCTCTAACGACGACACCGTTTCCATGGGACAGGGATTCTCTGGCGATCATGTCACTACCGGCTCCCTTTCCGTTCCTCATCATCTCTCACCCAGACGAAAGAGCCATTCTGTAGGGGCGTCAACTACAACCGATATGCGTTCCGCGATGGCCTCCAATAGAGACTTTATGGAACAGGCTAATACTCCCGCTTCATCTGTGTCAGATGTTGGAGAAGAAGTGGAAGATGATACCAGCGAAGCTGATGAGTCTATATCCAATGTCTCTCGAGAGACGGATGAATCTCTGGAGGAAGCTTTCCATGCCACGTCACTCGATCCTGCTCTGCTTGGCACCATGACCGCTCTGAAAGATCGGATCACAACACTGGTAATGGAACGCGTTTCTGAGTGGGTGACAACGTGCTCACCAGGACAAGATTCTGGGCAAGGGACTACTGGACCTCCTGGCGACTCTGGTTTCCATCAAAGTAACACAGGTCAAGATAACAACACAAAGAAAAGAGGGCTCAACAATGATGACGAAGACGAACAAGCCAATCATGCAGGCAGAGGCAACGGGGACGACCAAGACAAGCGCCGAAAAACAGAAAGTCCGGCAACAAGAGTGTTATCTAATCTCGCTTGTCCATTTGTAAAGGAGTATCCCGGAGAGAAGTGGCCTAAATGCCAGAAGGGCTGGCCCAGCGTCCACCGAATCAAGTGCGTATATTTTCGTATACAGAAATGTGACTTACGCTGATAGCGACAGGGAACATATTTATCGAGTTCACAAAGCTCCCATTCACTGCAAAAGATGCTTCACAGTTCTAAAAACGGAGAAGCTTCTTGAGCTTCATCTCCGTCAAGACCCGGCTTGCGAAGTCCTTCGTCCGGCCCGAGAGATGCCCGGCATTGACGCTGAGACTAAGGATCGTCTCAAATCCCGACAAGGTATTCAGCACAATTCTGAGGAGGAAAAATGGGCGCGCATGTATAAGATCCTCTTTCCTCTGGTGCAACAAGTACCTTCACCTTGTAAGTTGATTCTCATAGGTCATCTCACTGCCCACCCTTGTTGGATCAGTGCAGGTCACCTACATGTACCGGGCTTACACAGCATCCCTTTACATCATGGCTGTTACAACCGCTGATACATGTTTAGACTGTGACTTGCAAACCCTAGAAGCTCCCATGACAGCTGAGCAGCGAGCCCAATATCGGAGTTTTTTCCGACGGGAAATACCCGTTCGTGTGATCCGCGATGTCAATAATAACATGATGGCAGACCCGCGGTTCAATACCGAACTATCTGAGCGCAGGATTTATGAGATAGTACATTCTGCAGTTTGGGATGCCATTGATGCTGTGTTGCCGAATCTGCCCCAGCTAGAGCCCCCGGATATCCCATCAGAGCACACTGGAGTGTCAGAAATTGCTGCTGAGCATCAACATCAAAGTTTACCACAGGTTTCACCCAGCACTCAGCCACAAACGAACCCTCCGGATCATGTCCAAGAACTACCCGATGCGCCTGATACCATCCTGAGGAGTCGGGAACCAGAACCTCCGAATGCATACATTAATGATCCAAACGCAGAGTTCTACATGCTGAACCTTGCAAACCCAGCGATATTCGACCTCGAGTCGCTACCTGATGGATTCGAGAATACTAGTAATGATTTTGACTTTGGACTTCCTTTCACCTTTTAATCGCAGCGAGCCTGGCAGACACCGGTGTAATTACCAGCTACCACGAACCTAAGGAGTCTACGGCATTTGGATACAAGAAATGGAATGATACGCAATGATACCCATAGGCGGCAACGTACTGCCACAATATTTGAGATTGAGTAGCATTAATAGAGACAAAGTTGGATCAACACATGTAGACTAGAGATCACTCCCTAGCAAATGTACACGAGACCACATCTTTCCGGTATGATAGGGCTTTTTTTGTTACAAACTGTGTAGAGTGGGTGTGAACGTATAGTACAGAACGAGGAAGTTATTCAAACCTTGGTTGCTATCGAGAACCGTGCATATGATACAAATGATTCTTATTACCAAAGCTGGTGCACTGATTTCATTCTATGTCTTCCACTGCCCCCCTCCAAAAATAATTCGTTCATGCTGGAAGATTGCATGGTTTTCCAGCGCAGTTCACCCCTCCATGCGCGCACATTCGTCGAACATTTCCAAAGTCCTGAAAGTTCTGCACCTTGACAGTAGCTACGTCCGTTAGCGACATATTATGAAATTTGATGAGGCACAACTCACGATTCCAAGCCAGCTTTCCCGATGTGTACTTGGTGACAGTGCCACTCATCTTAGAGAAGTCGTCGTACGGGTAGACATTGACAGACCAAAAGTTGGTCCCATCGTTGGCATCAACACTAGGGGGTCTTTGTCCACCAAAGGCGCGAGAGACCTCTCTCTTGCCGTCTTTCCAAATGGCCCAGGAGTATGTGTTGGCTTTGAAGTCATCCTTGATTGTCAAGGTGACGCAACCCTGGGCTAGAGCAATTAGGGTGCTGAGGGCGATATAGAGCTTCATGATGGGTGCTAGTTAAATCAAGACTGGGACGGTGGATAGAAACTAGGAGGAAAACGTCCTTATCTATAGGAAATATCGTCTCTAATCTTTCTATCATTTTCCGAAGTAAGTTGTCGCCGAGATTGAGCTACACTGTAAAGTGGAAACAGGTGTCACAGCACACGACAACGCTGAGGTGAGAAATGTGTTCCTTCATACTACCGGATAGCTGGTCATCCGCTAGTCATATCATCTTCGGTGATTTAGAGGATTACCGAGCTCCAATTACGTTTCGGAGGATGGAAACAAGACATTACTAAGATTCTGAAAGGATGAGAACCCTTGCACAGTAAGACCTGTGGGGATGGTATTGTGGCATCTCACCAGGTGCATGTATGATTTGCTTCAATGAGAACAGTTTTATCTGTGAGCTGACACTCAACTTCATCAATTTGTCACAGGAAGACTGGATATCTCAAGCAATAACTCGGCCATTAATCATTAGTTTAATCGGGGTTTGTCAATCTTCGCAAACAGAAAAGCACCACAACAGGGTATCAAGGTGCAAAAGTTAATTTCACAAAGATTCCACCCAGCATCATCCCACTGATTTCTCCAACTTTTCCCTCACAGTCATCCATGATCGTCTCACCAAGCCCCCATTTACCCAGGCCTCTTTCTTCTTCTGCACCACCTCCAAGTTTCTGAACGACTCAACAGCTCTCTGCTCCTCAATATCGCTGCTGGAAAACCACGTTCCGTGTAGACCATACGGCACTCTTTGCGGAAGCCTCACCTTCGCCACAACATCACGCATGTTCTGGGCATTGAGAACCCACAGCTCAGATATTGAAGACGGTGGACAGTCGCCAGAAGGCAAGATCTGAGATTCGTCAAATACGTAGAACAAGAGGTAGCCAGCATCTTCTTCAGTCGACGAAGATCTTGGGATGAAACGAGGTTCTTGCGCGTAGTGATTTGGTGGTAGGCGGAAGATGTGCACTGGATCGTCATCTTCCTGTTCGTATGGAATCTCACTAACTGTGCGCCTGTCGACACAGCCCGTAACGGAGGTAGTTCTCATCTTCTTTCCCTTCTCAATGAGAGCCTTTGCATCCATCTTGACAAGTAGATCAATCTTATCCGCTCTTCCTAATGCGACGCTGAAGCTGGATGCTGATGTGCTGCACCCATAGATATAGCGAGCCTGTTGCATCTGGCGATCCGGACGGACAGAAGGGAACTCAAAGGGTATCGCGGAAAGGGCCCACTGACGTTTAACCTTGTTTTGTGACTTGGTTGTCATGTCGAACTCGTAGTAGTAAAGTCTGCACTGAGCGTAGTCATCAAACTCGTCACTGGTAGAGAAGTAATCGGCTGAACCAGTCTTTTCGCCTGGTGACTCGAGAAGTGGAGCTTCTTCGTATCGACATGCAGCATCTCCCTCCACAGCCCAACGATCCACATCTTGTTTTGTACCTTTGACTCGCACTCCGGAAGTCTTTGTGACGACAGGAGGCAGGATGTTTCCCGCAGTGTATACTACAGTGGAAGAGGTCATCCGACAGGCGAGGAGATTAACAGAGCTGATTCCGTCACTAGATAGTGTGTCCCACGTGTTCGCGGTATGGAATATGCAGCATGGTGCTGTATGAAACCACCGCACATTGGAGGGATCATGACGCGGAAAGACTCCAAAGCGCGAGGGTTTCGTGGAGTCATAGGAAACAACCTCTTTGCCCTTGAAAAGGTTAAGAGGGTCAAGACTAAGTGGTAGATCCATGATTATCGTGTGCGCTCGAGACGCTCCAAAGTCGTGCATCATCTTTGCTCCAGATACACCGGAAACAGGTAGATTTACAAGCCTGCTTTCAATGCTAGTTTTCTCGTTGCGTTGAGGAAGTACAGAATAGTGTACATAAGGCCGTAAAAATGTGTTGTGGTATAGAATCATTTCCCCAGAGATGGGATCAACTTTAGGGTGTCCTGTAGTCCATTCCTTCATGGATTTAAACAGGCCGTCGCCGCCGAAAGGGGAGTCATTTTCGTTGAGTGCAGGATCTTTGGACTCGCCCTCAGCTTCAACTCCACTATACCAGCCGACAGTATCCAGTGAGGGAAGCTGTATGCGCATGGGCGGACCACTTTCGCATGTGGCCAAAGCTCTGCCATCGTGGTACACGAGAGCTGTGTTGGCTACACTGGTGCGCTTCAGGGATTGTTGCGATCCTGGGAGATTTGAAAGCAATACCAAGAACATCGTCCTGAAAGTGGCCAGTACAATTCTCAACATAGTCGATAGTGGGTTGACGAGTGTGGTGATGCTTGGCATGATCGCTGATTTCACAGATGTTGTCTTCCTGGACAGGTATAGATCGGTAAGGATATACTGATTCACAAATTCCGGAACGACTACGCCATCAGGAGACATCTTTCGAAATGCGACCCCAGAAAGCATCCCATCACCGTCAAACCAGTGGGCATCTCTACCAAGATCTTCGTGGCTGACGGGATTGCCTCCATTGCGTACATACTGGCCTCCAGTGAGTTCTGAGGGGATGCGTCCGCTGTATGTGCATGGTGTGAGGCTGGTGGTTTTCTGAATTGGGGCAAAATTGCCAATGAGGTAACTGTGCGTTGTGAGTGAGGTTTGTGGCCGTTATTTTGTGAAACAGAACTTACGGATGGCGCAGTGGTTGGGCCGTTTTTTCGTTTGAGTGCGACATTATTGGTTGGTCGAGGGAACGTTGCGCAGGCGAGTTCATTATGATGTTCCGAATGGTTCTTCGCTGGTCTTTACAGATGTGATATTCTCAAAGTTAACCCGTTGGTGAATAGCAAATAGACGCGATGATTGAGTCAGTATTAAATGAGAGCGATCATGCTGAGTTGTGAGGATGGTACAGGCCCGAAGACATTAAACCACGGAAATAAGGTCAGAGTGAATATCGTCTCTTGATGTATCAACCTTTAAAACATCCAAAGCCAGCGATGAGCCATATGTTAACTATATAAAACAATCACACGCCATGCAATTGCCGTCGTAGCAATGACCACTGGATAGCTCGGCACAGGATGGAGATATCCATCCCTCACACCCTTTAGCACGATCTGTCAAGAACAACTAATCACCAAAAGAAAACTGGCGCGTCATGAATCAGGCAATTCGTGATAAAGGGAACAACGGCAATCTCAGAAAGACCGAGAACCGCGCGAGCAAGGGTCCAAAGACAATTGATGACAAGTAGACTTCCCTCACAAAATACGCAGTTCGGCACGTTGGGACAGAGAAAGCAACAAAAAAAAAAGTCTTGACGTCAACGTTTACCTAACATGGCAGGGGTTCGGTATGTGCGGATGGATTGTCTAGCCCAAAATGAAAGAAAGGACAAACAAGTGGAACACACACACACACACACACTCGCGCAACCACCTGTCCCCTAATTCTTCCCTAACAACAAATAAACCTTTTTATTTTTCATTTTAAACCCTCATTTTCGAATCTCGATATCTGACCTCACTTTCCCGTGTTCGAATTCTCCATCTTGTTGGCTTGTCTCCTGCTCGCCATAATCAGTCCTCGCCAAAATGGGGTGGGAATATGCCCAAGTGTATGTATCCCTTGTTTCCCGTCAGCACGAGATGAGCGCTTTACTCACCAAAAGGCATCTCCTTTGTTTAGACATCTAAAGTACACGATACCGCTGGGTATCATTCTGGGTGCTGTTTACAGACCGTTACTGTCGAGATTGGATGTTTTCAAGCTTGTGTTTATGATAACGGCAAGTTTTCTCCTCACTGGTTGATCTTCCAGGTGCTAATTTGTTCATCTAGATTGCTGTCGTTTCAACCATGTATGTGCAGCACGAAACGCTTTTTTAGCTTTACTAACCTGATAAAGTCCTTGGGACTCTTATCTGATCAGGAACCGGATATGGACATATCCTCCTGGTGTCGTGGTCGGATTGACAGCATGGGATATCCCCGCTGAGGAGCTCTTCTTCTTTGTGATCCAGACTCTGAACACGTCTTTTCTCTATATGCTCCTCAGCAAACCCACCTTTCATCCAATCTACCTGGGTAAGAAGACCACTTGGGGTAAAATCGCCGGCCAGGTCCTCTTCGCGTCTGCTATCATTTTCGGAGCGGTTTCCGTCTCTCATGGTGGTGAGGGGATGTATCTTGGTCTTATCCTCATTTGGGCGTGCCCATTCCTCTTGTTTCTATGGTAATGCTCAACTCTTGTTTTGTTTTACTTACGAATGCTAATTTCGCTATAGGACCATTTCTTATCAGTTCATTGTGAATTTACCCTGGACAAATACCGCGCTTCCAATTGCTCTGCCAACTCTTTATTTGTGGGTGGTTGACACGTTCGCGTTGCGACGAGGAACGTGGAGTATTACTTCCGGCACCAAATATGGCTTCGTTCTATGGGACGGTCTTGATATTGAGTAAGCTCTGAAACTTTCAGTGATTTGAGCAATGCTAATGGTTATCAGGGAGGCCGTTTTCTTTCTTCTCACCAACACTTTGATTGTCTTTGGCCTTGTTGCTTGTGATAACACACTAGCCATCCTTGACACATTCCCTGAGCATTTCCCTCGAACAAAGGGCTTGCCCAATCTCATTGTAATTATCAAGGCTCTTCTTTTGCCCAAGGAGAAGTACGACCAGGAGCGCATCTCAGGACTTGTCAGCGCAGTTGATCTGCTGAGGAAAAAGAGCCGAAGCTTTTACCTCGCCAGTGGCACGTTTGAAGGGAGACTTCGCATTGATCTCATCCGTCTCTACGCATTTTGCCGGGCTGCTGACGACCTTGTTGACGAGGCTTCTTCCGTGGATGAGTCTAGAGCCTATATCGAGAAGCTGAGAAAGTTTCTAGATTTGGCCTATGAGGAGAACGAGGAAGAAATCACTCCACGACTACGCAAGTATGTCACATCTAACTTCCCGGAGATGTTCCACATGGCTCTTCTTCAACTACCTACCTTTTATCTACCTAAGCAACCCCTAGATGATCTGCTCAAGGGTTTCGACACCGACCTTGTCTTTGACAAGAAGTCTGGAGGCTTTCCTATTGAGACCACTGATGATCTGGATGTCTATGGAAGCCGTGTCGCCGGAACTGTTGCGGAGCTCTGCAACCATCTCATTTTGTACCATACCCCTGAAGTTCTTTCTGAAGATACCCAGCGCGACGTTGTGGCTTGTGGCCAGGAAATGGGCATCGCGCTACAATATGTCAACATCGCTCGCGACATCAAGACTGATGCTGACATCGACCGAGTCTACCTCCCTCTTGAGTGGCTCAAGGAAGCCCAGCTCACACCCCAGGACGTGATTAAGCAGCCATACGGACCTACGATTGAGAGCCTGCGTCAGAAGTTACTTGACCGTGCTTTTGAAAAGTACAACATGGCAAAGAGTGCGATTGATAAGCTTCCTTCAGAAGGAAAAGGTCCAATCCGAGTTGCTGTAGAGAGCTACATGGAAATTGGACGTGTTCTCAGGGAAACAGGTCCAGTCTTGAAAAAGGGCCGGGCTACTGTTCCCAAGATGAGACGCATTCGTGTTGCCTGGTCTGCTTTGAATCAATAGTGGTGTATTTTCCGTGGCGGGGTTAATATTTAGTGGTCGGACATTCTATAGAGATTTATAGATTATTGATTTTGTCATCTTCAATACGGCTGTCCAAGCATGCACGACAGTCTTTGTCTGCTATCCTACCAGAGTAATCTTCACCGCACGTCTTGGCTTATCTTGCGTGATTTTCTGATGCCAAGAGGTCATACGCGCGTCGTGATGAAATGCTTCATCTTGAGCCAGATAATTGTTAGGTGGCCATAGCAGCAACACCGCTGTAAACAAGCAGCCAATCGTAGAACACGCTTTCGCGACAGCAATCCACTAAAGCGGCCCAGTCCAATAAAGTCAATGATCATCACCAACTTGACAACCTCGCCAACGTTTAATATTTCCAAATATCTTTGGGAATGACCCTGACAATGCCCAGAACTGCGCCTCAAATGAGACACAGGGTAGCCTTTCACATGGGAAGAGCTGGGCGTCTCATCTCACAAGGGAGGAGGAAAAGTGGACCGTGTCAAAATGGAAGACGTCATTGACTCTATACTTCTCTACAACAAAAACACTTTTCTCGGGTGAGTCGGTATACGCTTGAGAGTTCTTCACTATTATACCGCAAAAATGAGTGATATTAAGCAACAACAGAAATCCGTTATCGTGATAGGTAAGAACATCTCAGTGAAGCTCAATTGACCATAAGACTAATGCATTGGTTTTATAGGAGCCGGTGTTGGCGGTGTTTCTACCGCTGCGCGACTTGCAAAGGCTGGCTTTAAGGTTACCATCGTTGAGAAGAATGACTTTACCGGCGGACGATGCTCTTTGATTCACCACGATGGCTACGTGAGTTTACCACTATTGTTGTCTTTAATAACAGACCCTCTAACATCGCTCAGCGTTTTGACCAAGGCCCTTCTCTGCTCCTCCTCCCTCGCTTCTTCCACGAGATCTTCCAAGACCTAGGAACATCTCTTACCGATGAAGGAGTTGAGCTACTCAAGTGTGAACCCAACTACAACATCTGGTTCGGCGATGGCTCATCTTTCGAGATGTCAACTGATCTCACCAAGATGAAGAAAGCCATTGAAGCCGTCGAGGGCATTGATGGTTTCGAGCGCTATCTTGGTTTCCTCCAGGAGTCTCATCGTCACTACGAAGTCAGCGTGGAGTCTGTTCTGCGAAGAAACTTCCCCAGTATCTGGAGCTTGGCGAGACCTGAGGTGCTGCTCAATGTCTTTAACATCCACCCTCTTCAGAGCATTTGGACTCGTGCGAGCAAGTACTTTTATACTGAGAGACTTAGAAGGGTCTTTACCTTTGGAAGCATGTATATGGGCATGAGCCCCTTTGATGCACCAGGCACATACAGCTTGCTTCAGTACACAGAACTGGCAGAGGGTATCTTGTATCCTAGGGGTGGATTCCACAAGGTGAGCATACTCGCAATTTGAGACGTGTCTTGATACTAACAGCATTCCAGGTTGTTGAAGCCCTGGTCAACGTTGGAGAACGCCTTGGCGTTGAATACCGTCTCTCAACTGGTGTCAAGTCTATCTCAATTGACCAAGCAAGCGGCACAGCCAACGGCGTTGTCCTTGACGACGGAACACATTTGGCCTCAGACATTGTAATTTCAAATGCGGATCTGGTCTACACCTACAACAACCTCCTTCCCAAGACAAAATACGCCGACTCACTATCGAAGCGTGAGACATCCTGCAGTAGCATCTCTTTCTACTGGTCAGCTTCCAAGATCGTCCCGGAACTCAATGCCCACAACATCTTCCTTGCGGATGAGTACCAAGAGTCCTTCGATAGCATTTTCAAGGAGCACCTCATTCCTTCACATCCCTCATTCTACGTCAACGTGCCTTCGCGCATTGACCCTTCGGCGGCTCCTGATGGAAAAGACTCTATCGTTGTTCTCGTACCTGTTGGCCATCTTCTCTCTGATTCAGAGGGAACACATAGAGGTTTGTCCAAGTCGGGCAATTCAGATTTACTCACCTCTGGTCAAGACTGGGAGAAGATGATTTCTCTTGCTCGCGATACTGTTATCGAGACTATGCGTGCTAGAATAGGTGTTGACTTGACCCCTCTCATCGAGCACGAGATCATCAACACTCCTTTCACATGGCAGGAGAAGTTCAACCTTGACAAGGGTGCTATTCTGGGTCTGAGCCATTCCATCATGAATGTCCTCGCTTTCCGCCCTGGAACTCAGCACTCCAAGTACAAGAACCTCTACTTCGCCGGTGCTAGCACACATCCTGGCACAGGTGTTCCGGTTTGCATTGCTGGCAGCAAGATCGTTGCGGAGCAAATCCTTCGCGACTCAGGCTTCAAGAACAACCAGATTCCATGGGCGAAGGACACGTCCAAGTCTCCCAAGAGCGGGCTTGATAAGCTTCATGATTCGTCGCTGACCTTGTTTCACGCTTTCTTGGGAGCGTTGGTTGCGATGCTGTTGGCATACTATTACATGTTTATTGCTTCTAATTAGCGAACGTTTGGCCTTATAGATTGAGACAGGAAACTAATATTGTTTGTGTCTGTAAATATTAGCTAGAGGTGTTCGAATGAAATCTCCTAATTTATTTTACATAGTTGTTTGTCAAGTAATGCTGAAGTGAATCTAGTCCCAATAACACGGAAGCTAATCAAGCGGATGTCGGTCTTGGTCGATCACTGTATGGTTGTATTATAGCATGATCTACTATAACCCTTAGCCCTTCTCCAAACCGATGGCTTCGTGATGCATGCGGACTCACCATCTCAATACAACCCTGTCGTCATTACCGTCAAATCCATGAAACAGCCTTATAATCTTCAACCAACACGGCAAAGGCCATCTGGCGTCAATTAGTCTGCGCTACGGAATTCGGCACCCTCTTTGACAGGCGTTGGCCTCTCTCGTGCATTTAAAACGTGAGGGTGTGGACCAAGCCAAATGTCACCGTCATTGACTCAAATTCAGCCATGGAGGATTCTAACACCTGATGTTGATAAGCGTAACATTTAAATTATTAGATGACGATTACTCCGCAGTTGTAGCCGTGCAATGTGCGGGACGTTCGGGAATATGAAGTCATGGAATTTTGGCTAGAAAGGTAATGAAGAAGCTTGGCCATGAACGCTTTCATTTAAGAGTTAACCAGGACTTTACATCTTCTCGGCTGGTAGACCAACCTTACACAGCATACAACCATTGCGAAATCTCAGTATCAACTATTAACCGTTGAATCTAGCTGTTTCTAACTATGGCTGATCAAATATTCGCCCGCCATAACGGCGCTCTAGACGCCAACCGTAAGCCTCCCTTGGCCATTACCGCGACGCAGTACTGACCACTAACTACAGCTTCGACTGTCAATGGCCAAAGCAGCCAGATTAACATCACCGTACGCGGTTCTGACTGGTACTGGACCGTCTGTGCCATAATGACAGTTTCTACAATCGCCTTCCTCGGCCACGGAATGACGAAGCCTCGCACGCACCGCATCTTCCACTACATCACCGCCTCGATCACCATGGTCGCTGCCATTGCTTACTTCTCCATGGCTGCCAACTTGGGATGGACGCCTATTGCTGTTGAGTACCAGCGCAGCGACCATCGCGTTGCCGGTATCTACCGTGAGATCTTCTACGTACGATACATCGATTGGTTCATCACCACTCCCCTACTCCTCATGGATCTCCTCCTCACCGCTGGCATGCCTTGGCCCACTGTTCTCTGGGTTATTCTTGTTGACTGGGTCATGATTGTTACTGGTCTTGTCGGCGCACTGGTCAAGTCCAGCTACAAATGGGGTTATTTTGCTTTCGGTAAGTCAACTTCGTACAACACTGTTTATACAAATATTTGACTAACACAACATCAGGCTGTGTTGCTCTGGCTTACATTGTTTTCCAGCTTGCTTGGGAAGCTCGAATCCACGCGTACCACGTTGGTCCTGATGTTGGCCGAACATTCCTCACATGTGGCTCTTTGACAGCTGTTCTCTGGATTCTCTACCCCATTGCCTGGGGTGTCTGCGAGGGAGGTAATGTCATCTCTCCCAACGCTGAAGCCGTCTTCTATGGCATTCTAGACATCCTTGCCAAGCCTGTGTTTGGCGCCCTGCTTCTTTGGGGTCATCGCAACATTGACCCTGCCCGCCTTGGACTCCGTATTAGGGATGTCGATGAGCGTATCCACCCTGATGGTCCTGCTGTGAAGGCCCAGCGCGCTCGGGATGGCACCACTGGCACTACTGGTACTACCAGTGGTGCTGATGTTCCTTCTGCTTAATTCTTTGGGTGAGTAGCTAAGTTGTTGATCGACAAAATGGTTGGAGGGGTATCTATCTACCTTCAAAACAAAAGGCTCTTATTCTACCCTCCCAATCACTCTTCCAACACTGCCACTCGGATCCTTGAAGCTTTTGTATGGTACGAACAGAATCTGTTCGTGTGGACGTCGAAAAACATACCCCCTTCTTATTAAAGACTGTTATCATGATACCCGAAGTTCTTTTTATGCCACGGATATATCTACGGGGAGCGATGTTCCAATTCATTTAGTTATCTAACTTCATACTGTAATAATAATTTTGTCATTGAACATCTAATATCATGTGTTCTATCTTACTTTGAGACATTGTGCAAAACGTGTCGTTAAACTGTAGATTGGTGGAGGACAGACCTAATTTACGTTGAAAAAGAGTCGCTAGGTTTGGAAAACATTGACTGCTACATACATCTACGAGTAGAAGAAAGCAATACTAATCTTTAATAACATAAAGAGGCTCTATTTATACGTAAAATGCAAAATCTCAAGACGATTCTCTCATAGTAGATTAGAATTAGGTTTAATATCTCAGTCAACCTTTCTTTCCCCATCCTTCTCCGGAACGGTCTGCTGAGGGGTGCTAACACGCATTGGCGTTCCCTCCATGATAGGTGATACACCTCCATTCATGTAATGGTCTTCCCAATCAACATCACTCAGGTACTTGAAATCAAGGCCCCGAACTTCGTGCTCCTCACTTGCGCGAAGGTGAAGGCCGGGAATCTTGTTGATGACAAAGAGAAGTATGCATGATATAACAAAAGACCAAGCGGCACAGGTAACTGCACCCGCCAGCTGAAGTCCAAGCTGTCGGTAGTTTCCCTCCCACCAACCGCCGGCGTAGCTATCACCAGACACACCATCGAGAGCGGGAACAAATTTGGCTGCAAACAAGCCTGTGAGGATATCTCCAATGATACCTCCAATGCCGTGTATGGCAAAGATGTCGAGGCCGTCGTCAATCGAAAGTAGGTACTTATACTTGACACAATAGAAACAGCCAACCGTGGTTACCGCACCTATTACTGGGGCGACATAGATGGGCGTAAATCCGGCGGCTGGTGTAATTCCGACAAGTCCAGAAATGATGCCCGAGCAGAAGCCGACAAGACTGAACTTGCGCGTGTGGAGGTATCCGAGCAGTACCCAGGCAATGCCACCAGCACAGGCTGACATGTTTGTATTGACAACGACGTAGATCGATCGAAGACTGAGGTTGGCCGTGCTACCGCCATTGAAAGCAAACCATCCGAACCAGATAAACACAGTGCCGAAGCACATGAGTAGTGGGTTGTGTGGCTTGTAATGGACGGCTCGCTTCCGGTCGATGATTGTCGCGTCGGGGATTCTTGGACCAAGCATCATTGACCAAGCCAGGGCTCCGAAACCACTCGCAATATGTACTGGACCGGATCCAGCAAAATCATAGAGTCCAAGCTGATATAGCCAACCACTTGGATTCCATTCCCAATAGGCGAGGCTATAGATGTTGTGTCAGTCGAGGTGCCCCCGTGCCCCCCGTGATGCAGTTATGGGTACGTACATATAGTAAACAAAGGTGGTCCAGCAGAGAAGAAAGACCATGCTAGGCCAGAGCCTTCCACGTTCAAGCATAGCGCCTGCCAAGATCATGGCAGTAGCCGTAACAAATGTCACACCGTAGACGGCATCTACGTTCGATCACAGTCAGTAGTGCAATCGAGAGGTCTGAGTTCATCACATACATAGTAATTCTGGTATATCAGAATTTGCAATGCTAGGTTGAGCAAGGACATTATGAAATGCGGCCAGCGACAAGTCACCCAAAATGGGATTTGTGGTGCGAGATTGATAGAGAGAATATCCGTAAACCCAGAACTGTATTCCGACCGCACATGCACAAAAGAGCGACTGCAAGATCATGGTAAGGGCTGCTTTTCGTCGATGCATTCCTGCATACTGTAGATATTAGTTTTGGCTCGGAGATGGGGTTGAGTCTTGAGACATACTAGGAAGCCAATGGCTGGTGTGATCTGCCAGCACAGAATTGTGCATACCAGCATCCAGCATAAGTCACCCTTTCGCGTCCATGTATTAGGATTGAACTCGTTCATAGATTTACTGATTGAATTACCTTGTCATACAGAGCATTTAGATCCTGAGTAATAGGATCACCACCTGTTGGGTCGACATTGTAGTCGGGCCACTCAGTGACTGGAGTGATTGTGGAAGCCATAGTAGCAAACACCAATTCGAGAGTCGCTTTGCTTTGGTTATTCTCAATGCAAACGGTCGTGGGCGGAAGTATTAATAAATCAAGTTCGACTAAACGAGACACTATCTTAACATGTGAAATGCAATCATAGTGTTTTGCCAAGAGATGGGTATCATAGCCTCTCTGGATCATTTTTCCCTTTCCGGCGAAACCACGCGAGATAATAAATACAGACCTTGATAAGATCAGTTCTTGATACCTGGCTGAGATCTCTTATCTTTACGCGTTCCCTGTCGGGGACGTGTGGTTGGAGGAAGCGTAAGATCTGCGCCAAGATAACGGGCTAATGGAGGACCGCGTTGTCTGTCAATCAAGACATTGGTGTCTGAGCCAATGATAAGCGATATTTGATAGATTAAGCCCATGTAAGGGGACGGATGTTTATTCGGTAGTTTGCTGTGGCCTTATCTCTGTACCTGTTGGTCTGGAACGCTAACTGGGAAACGCGGAGACGGGTCCGATGGTGATTTGGGGAGAGGCTGGCAATGGCGTCTCAGCTGAATAACCAAGCCAAATCGGGCTTCAAGGTTTGGGTTGGGCCACCCTGATGCTAAGGAAGTGATAAGATACCTGGAGCCCTGTGCATCTAATAACTGCCAGTATTGCATCTTATCGAAAGGCATCCGGTACTACTCCTTCATCTGGTTAGGCCCATGCATTGTTTTAAATATGCTTATATTTAGCCCTAATTCTCTACTTCGGCCATCGATACTATTACAGTTCCGTGCAAACGTCCCGACAATAAGACAACAAGAGATACATGATTGAACAGATATCTAAAAGTATACCACTATTAGAAGACTTAATACATAATTTTAGGATGACATTATGTAATATTTTATGAATAAAAAATAGCTTATTATAGTTTAGATGCTTTTATATAAGATTTAGGATAGAAGGAAGTATTATAACTTTAACACGCCCGCTGTAGTTCACGATTATCCAATGATTGGTTACAACTGTATTCTCTCAAGGTTGATGCCATGCTTTAACCCTTGTGTCAGTATTCGATACCGGCCTTACCATCACGGGCCATGACTGACACCACAGTACTTCAATACGTCCCCTGTACTCTGCTTTGCACTTTGCCCATTTGTCCCGAATTTCTGCGCTTCAGACCTTCTCTTGAGATTCCACACGAAGGCGGCTTACAGCTGTATAGATATTTGTACTTGAACAAGTCTTTTGGTATTGGTCATCTGGCAGTCACGGTGGGCCTGTAGACCACAAAAACGCTAAACGATGAGTACAAACTGTTTTGGTCTGATATAGTCTCGACCCCAAAGATCAAGTTTTTTATGTGCTGATGTGCACCTCGTCACCAGAGCCTGCCTTTACACCAGGTTCGACATCCATAACCTCACAATCGCGCCTGTGACCAGATGCCGTGACCAGTCCAGGTTGCTTTTCCTTCAACTCCTTAAACTTCCTCTCAGCGTCCCAAACCCAAGGACTATCAGCTGCAAAAAGAAGATCCATCTCCTCAAGGGTGCGCTGGTTACTCTCGGGGTAGAGAGCCCACACCATGGGGATTGTGATTATGTTGCAGACTCCAAAGATGTGAAGCGTGTTCTCGCCGATCTTGGAGAACATGACGGGACAAAGCAGTGTTAGCCATCCATTACCGATAGACCACCCAAAGACTCCAAAAGCGTTGCCCTTTGCTCGGACCTGCAGTGGGAAGATCTCAGCAGGATAAAGCCAGGGAACAGTCAACCATGTCGCTCCGAAGACAGAGGTGAAGATGAAGACAAATGCGGCAGCCGCGGCACCATAAGAGTTCGCCTTGTCGATATCGCCGGCGTCTCTAGCATCCTGTCCTAGTTTGGAAAACGCTCCTGCGAGGAACATAGCGATACCTTGCCCAACCGAGCCCCAGTAGAGGGTCCATCGTCGCCCAATGCGATCCAGCGTGTATACACATATCAACGTAGCAAACATATAAAGGATGTTGTTGAGACCCGAAATCCACTGGCTCTTGCGCGTGTCGAAGCCAGCAATGCGGAAGATGGTTGGTGCGTATACGGTAACTCCAGCGATGCCAACCCACTCTTGCATAATTTGGAGCTTCTCGTTGTTAGCCTAGTGTTATTGATGAAGTTGATGTTCGGCACTTACCCAGATGACAAGTTGAACACGTCGCCCAGTGTGAAGCTCTCCAGATCCGATTCCGAAGAACATATGGAGATACGAGTTGTTAGATGACTCCTTGGTCTCAAGCTGCACAATGTTCTTGATGTCAGTATACTCAGCATGGGCCCTTTCTCGGTCAAATTCGCTTGACCCACGCAGTCGGCGAAGAATGTACTGGGCTTCGTCATCACGTCCAGCCTTGACGAGCCAACGAGGTGACTCGGGGAAGAACCAAACGGAGCTAAGCAACACGAGCAGGGGAACGATCTGGAATGCGATAGGGAATCGCCATCCGAACGCCGAGCTGTTGTTGTCAATGTACGACAGCCCAAACTCGAGCCAATATGCCACCACTACACCGAAGATGTTGAGAGTGAACTCAATGGCGATGAATTGGCCACGAGAGGTATGTTCAGCGGTCTCGGTTGCCCAGACAGGAACAATAGCGTTCAGGATGCCTGTGCCGATACCGTTGACGGCGCGCGAGCAGATCATCCAGTCGTGGTTTTGGGCTGAGCACTGCAGCGCAGCACCAACAATGGCCCAGGCAGCACCGATAGCGATCGCCCTGATTCTACCGAGTTTATCGCCAACCCAGCCTCCGAGGAGGCAGCCAAAGAGAGTGCCGAGGTAGTACACAGAGACGATCCCACCCTGTAGGAGGCTGTCCGTGACCACCGGCTCACCAGTCCTTTCATCTACATATCCAAAGCCCATCAAATCGATGTAATGCTTCGAATTGTTGATACCACCCATTATACCTTGATCGTAACTCGTTCTGTTAGTTTTATACATATATTGGGTCCGTGTTGAGGGCATACCCAAAGAAGAAAATGGACAAAGCGGCGATGCAGTTGATGGCGATGAGAAGCCGGCGCTTCTCGAAGTGGTTCGCCACATTGAAGCCTGGAAGGCGCTCCATGATGGTAGATGACTATAAGACCTGAGTTTCTCAGAAATCCAATGACGATCACCTGGGTGCGTGATTGCAGCATTTATACTTCTTTGTGCGGGCGGTAGTGGTGTGTGGAGGTGTGGAGGACTGGGGGATCAGACATCCGATATCCACTCTCGGAAAGCTGTGTTTGTTCATTAACAGAACCTGTTAATTAGCGCTGTTACATGGGGAAGGGGCGAAAAGCTAGCTGCAAGTCGAAGTTGTTCTCCATGAGGCTCTGTCGTCAAAGAATTCTGTTCCAGAACAGCATCACTGGCTCGTGGTGGTTTGCATCAAAGCCTTAAAGAGAAGTACAGTACCAGCCTTTACGAGAGACAGTATTCGCAAAAGAACTACTCTGTATCTCTTACTCATATCGAAATACCTGATGTCGATCCCTAAACTAAAGGTCATTGACCTCTCTGCCTCTCCATTTTTTTCCCCGCTGCCCCAGGTTGGAGATTTTGGAGGTGGGGAACATTTTCGATGACCCCATTCATTTTATGCGCTCGAATGAGTGATGAGTATCAACGTTTTAAAATGGGTCTGTCGGGGATTATTCTGGAGTCGAGTCGTATTTCCACGTTTTATTCTCGTTGCAAGGATGATTGAAGGGACAGGCAGCAGTTTAAATCCAACATACCAAGCGCGGATCCGTCGAGCTGCAGTACTTATTAGACATGCAGTCGTTCAGTATCGAGTCATGTTATTATCCATCGCCTGATCATGCATAAGCAGCCTCTCTGCGTGGAGACACCGCAAATTGGGGCTAACGGAGTTCCAAAGCCGGACTTACAGGTAGATAAGTTTTGCATAAATCTTTACAAAACACAGGGTAGGATGGTCGGGCTCTGTCTAACCTTGGACAAGTTCTTATAGTTTTACTCTAAACTTTCTAAGATAGCCTAAGCCTAAGGGTACCGTTCCAACTTGTAACCCACAGGTGTGGATGGGTGATCACACGAGCTGGCTGACTGGGGTTCCACCAAAGACTTTCGTTTCCATTCAGTGGCATTGCATCAAACAGCATGGGTCTTCTTCTAGCCGTTTCTGACAACGGCCGAGTGGAAGCCCTTATTCGCTCGGGGCCGACATCTGCAGCACAATAGCTGACAGTCAAGCTTTCGGCATTCGGGAATAATTGCTTGGACTGTTGAATATGTCGTCTCTGGGATTGACGTCGTCTACTCAACTCCGACATAGTCCTCCCAAATAATTTTTATCACATTTTAAGCATTTAATTATCAGCATAAAGTCATAGTATGCGGCATCGCTCTCATATTTAATATCCCCTAGTGACATGGACGATCGGAAATATGCTTCGGCAGTTGAACCGTGCGAGGGTGCCCGCAAGGTTCCCCAACCTCGTGAGTGTTCTCTACCCGGCTTGGTAACGACGATCATCACCTGTAATTCGCCGAAAGGGAACACCCGATCTGATACGTTCGGGGAACTTTCCAGCTGCATCGACGTTTAATTGTCTGATCGGTTACTGACAGGAACCATTCACAATGTTGCTCCACCTCTGAATGTTCGGAATTTATCCCGCGGTCTGCCCGACAATGATGGTCGCCATTGCTCAACTACATCCTCTTGTTGGCGCATATAACAAAGAAACCTTGTCCGGAGAACACCCATCAACGATCCATCTTATCAACTCGGTTTCAGGAACTAAAAAAAGTATGAATCTTCCAGGATGCATGCGAAAAGAAAAAGAATCAAGAAAAGGGTTTATCAAATGATACCGTATACTGAATTCGCTACCCTAGACATCCAACATTGACCACAGTCCATTTTATAGCAATTCAAGGCAAACCAATAACGCCTAGTAACTACCCCACACATGTAGCATAGATCCATGGTATCGTAACCGCTTAGCACGTCTTGAGAACATCAACAATCCACTCCAATCCCTCCTTGCTCTCTTTCAGCCCGTACTTGTAAGCCAGTGGGAAACAATGCATCTGATCGGCCCAAGATAGCCACTCTCCACTGACTCCCTCTTTCCGGCACCTCTCCCTAAAAACAACAGCCTCAGGCCCAAGAACATCGTGCGAGGCTGTGATACCGTGGATCTTGACATTGTTTCGGATACACCCAGTGAGATCTGCGTGGATAGGTGACACTCGCGGATCGTCGACTGTCCAGTTCAGCATCCCGTTCTTCTCACGCCCTTCCTGTGTTTGATGGTCCTGTTGATCCATGTTGGAGGGACCGGGTGCCCATTTACCGGCTGTGTCGTTGATGGCTTCCTCGCTCAGTATGGGGTCCACCTTGTCAACAGGTTTGATGTCCGGGTTGTTGTGGCTCAAGTCTGTCGTCGGGGTGATTGCCAGGATAGCAGAAGGTGGCTTGACGGCGTGAACATCTTGCTCTCTCAACGTCCATGTCACCACACAGAGTGAGATGTTTCCCCCAGAGCTATCGCCGGCAACAATGACACGTTCACCGAGATCGGATGACTCTTTGAGCAGGGCGTTATATGTCCTGCAAATTGCGGGAAATGAGTCTTGCACCGGGTCTTTAGGTGCCAATGGGTAGGAGACGATGGTGAGTCTGGTGTCTTGGAGTCGATGCACTATCTCAGCGCAGAACGTCCAGTGCTGGCCTATGTTTTATGTAAGTATGGACTTGACACATGGAATAGATGGTATCTGACCTGTTGGTGGAGCCTGCCATCCTCCTCCAGCAAAATACAATATTCTCCTGGCGTAAGACCTCTTTTCACCGTTTGGCAAAGTAGGCGTCAAGTCATAAGTCCAGACACCTTCAATGTCCCTCTCCTCAACATCGCATCTTTTCCGCGCACCTCTCGAAGGCTTGCATCTCGTAGGATCAGCAGAAGACACCTGGCCAAATTCTACCAACTTTGGTTTAATAGGCTTGATCACTGTGTGAACGAATTTGCTTGCAAACGACCGTCCAGAACGTTCATCGACGTGAAAGCTCTGTTCATCGTCCGAACTAAACTCCGAATCATGTTCGTCGTAGCCCGAGTTGGCTGTAGGGATATCATGAGCCATTAGGGAGATGCGACGGGATATTCGGGAATACTAGTGGTTGTAAGGTTTGATCGTTAGGACCCTTGGATCTGAGCGGGAGGGATTGTAACACAATAACTACGAAATATCGTCGTCATTCATCAAGACCCTGAGACCCTGCACAGAGAAAAAAAAGCTGACGGGCAAGATCTGCAGACGTCATCCATAATCTGACATCATTGTCTCCGCTGTAACAGTGCAACCTCAAAACAGGCAAAGTATGAAAGCTAGGCTTGATTGAGAAAGTGTTGAATTGTGAAAGATAACAGAATGTTAATCGCTCATTTCACGTGAGTAAACAATCACAGCCAAATAATAAGATAAAGTGTTTATTTTTTGAGTTTCTCTTCCCGATGATCGACAGTATGCGAACATACTGGCCAGTTGCTAATGCAGAAAGGGTCTGATGGTGAAAAGCTTGGTCCATCTTAGCCGTGTAAATACCCAGGCTAAGCGTCTGTCAAGCTTTCACGCACCCCGCAGCGTACCCAAAATTGTTGTCTGTGCCTCAACGATAAGCTTGAACCCTTCAAACCCTTAGATCGATCATCGAACTTGGCACCGGTGCTTAGCGGAGCTCATAGCCATGGATTACTAGTGATAATGACGATTTAAATCCGGTCAAGTCCCGCTCGCTTACGTGTGCACTTTATATCCGGGCCACAGACTTGCTTGCTCAATCCACAATGTGTCACGGAGATGACGAGGAGGAGAATCTTGAAAAATTGAGATGGACCTCAAGGGACAATGAAAATCAGGGAACAAACCTCGCTGGGCGAAGACTTTTGCCGATGGACGTTTTTTCTTTTAACCACGATCGAGAAAGTAATGCGTAAAAATCAGCTGGCTAGGAACTTGGGCAATAATTGCTATGAACGAAGGTCTGATATAACGATAAATTATTTAGAAATTCATTTCGCTCAGTCGCTAATTATGAAATCCATTGCCTCACTCGACCTGCGTTTGCTTAATTTGATGCGCTCTTTTTCGCTACAAAATGCCATACTAATTTCCAAACGCCAGCGCCGCGCACAAACATCGCGACCCATAGAGAAACTGCCTCTTACTGCGATAGACCGGAGACCGACGAGCGTCTTCGAGTAGTTTCCGCTCGCATCCTAGCTTCAGCCTGCGCAACAGCAGCCTCCCAGTCTGTAAAGTAAAGGTAGATAGCTTCGAGACCCGACACACTATTCTATCTATTAGCAACATCAACATGGCAGAATGGTTCAACTTACACAGCAAGTCCAGCTGTCAATCCCACCCATAGACCAGACAACTTCCAGCCGAGTCCGAAGCTGGTGCCAAGCGCAATTGGCAGTGCTACCACGTAGTATGAGAAGAGGTTGGCGTAGCCTCCGACAGCCTGGCGGCCGATTCCTCGCAGGAGACCATGCGATACAGCTGCTAGGGCGTCGAAGATCTGCATCACTGCACATACAAGGATGGTGCTTGAGGTGATTTCAACGACCTGATCATCATCGGTAAAAATACGAGGAAGTTGTTTTCTCAGAGTGGCGAAGATGGTCAAGTTGAACAAGCCAACGAGAAGCCCGGCAACGATGGCCTAGACAATCAGTGAGATGCACGTCTATCAAGAAACCATGAGTACGTACCACTTTAGCAGTCACTCGCGCAGCCTGGCTGAGATTGGCTCCGATGAGGTTGGCAACGCGAGTCGAGGTCGCAATTGCCAATGGGAATGGGATGTTGAACGAAGTCGACGTCAACGTCACGAGAACACCCTGAGCAGCGAGTTGCGCAGTACCGAACCTACCAGCGGCAATGGTGAGAATCTCTAGTACGGAGAACTGCGCCTCGATCATGATCATTCCGGGCAGAGCCAACTTGATCATCGGACCTAGCATCTTATCAGCAAACAGGTCTCACTCAGATTTCCGAGACACTTACCCCAATTGCTGAATGCCTTGCGGCTGAACCCCTTCCAGCACTCGGATCCTTCAAACAGTCTCACGTATAAGATGAGGATGAGAGGAAGTAGATTATGTGTGACCGCCATCGCGACAGCAGCACCGGGAAATCCCCATCCAAGTTTGAACACAAACAGCCAATTCTGCAGAAAGCTCAGTGGAGCACCCACTAGTAAAGTGTACGTCGTGGCGTGGAACAAGCCCTGCGACTGCACGAAACGCTTGGCGCTCTCAAAGGCTGAGACACCAGGCATACCCAGGATGAGAATACGCATGTACATGGCTGCTAGTTCAGTCGTCCTTCCTTTGCCAACGGCTGCTGCGAGGATGGGCTCAGAGAACCACCAGAGAACGGCGATGGGGATCATGAGGATCCACAGAAGCCAGGTCATACGCTGGGCTTGGAGGCCGACGAGGTGTTTGTGGCCTGAGCCGTACGCTTGAGCACAGAGCGTGTCCAGACAGGTCGCCAGGCCTTGCACGGGGACGTAGTATGTGATGCTTGCTGTCATGGTAGCCACTGCCTAATGTCAGTAGATGCCGTCAAGGCTGGGAGCTATACTCACAATTGACCGCTGCTAGCTCATCCACCCCAATTCTACCAACCGTCAGGACACTCGCAACAGTAACGGAGTAGTGCAGAAGAAAGGTAGCGATCAAAGGCAGCGCATATTGTACCAGCGTCTTTGTCTCTCGCTGCCAGGTTGTCTCGATGTTATGCGAAGCCAGTGCCTCCTCCCATCGCTTGTGTACATCATCGGCTGGCGGCGTGGGCGGTATACCATCGAACCGCACAATTCTGTGTCGCAGCAGTGGCGAAGTCTCCGTAGACTCCTCAGTCGAGAATAAGGGCTTGTCGTGGTCGTGTACGCGGGTGCTGAAGAGGTGGCGGTAGACACGTCCCCAGAAGGATGCTCTCCATCCAGTTCGAGGATGCTTGGAGGGGAGGATGTCGTTATCTCTAAGAAGGGAAACCTCGGCGCGGAAGGATTGTTCAAAGTCGTGAGGGTTCGGAGGTGGAATCTCTATGCTTGTTGGAGGGACCGTGGAGAAGCCCGAGCCGAAGGCCACGCCGCTGGGGTGGAATGCAAGCTGCAGATCTGTCTCGTTGACATATCGCGGGTCTTGCACCGCTTCTTCATCGTTGTGTTCGTCCCCAGAGGAGCAGTCCTCGATATCTCTGTTTAGAATCTCGTCCGCATTAGGAGCCGTGTCGATGAACGGTGGAGGAAAGGTCAAATCATCGGGCAGAAAGTCTGCAAAGATGGAATGTCGTCGACCTCTTCCGCCATCTGGATTAAAAGGTGAAGTCGTAGGTAGAGACATGTCTAAAACTTTGTACGAGTACCCTAGCAAAAAGAAAAAGAAAAGAAAAGAAAAACAGATAACAAACAACAAAGATATTGTCTCGCCGCACTCGTATACTATCTCAACGAGCACAATGACGTCCCCCACTCCCGCAAACAGAACGCAGATAACAAAAGGTCGGTCAAGGACGTCGTGATGTCAATTGATAAGTCGCGAGCCTGTAAATGGACAAACGTGCGCGCCACAGCACACCCTCTCGCTGCTGTAGTTGGGACCCCGCGCGAGCTATGACATTATGACATACATTCCAGACGGTAAGCAAGGTTTCTGGGCTAGCAGGCCCGGGAGATATGCCCCGGGGTGAGAATCACGACATCTGTTTCGGGGTGACACTGCATAAGTGTGTGAACCGTTACGTTAGGGGATGATTTCATTTGCTACTAATGCTATTATTATCGAGGCTGAAGGAGGGGATCTAGATTGTGAATCGCCATGGCGCATTGGCACCTTTTGGTGTTTTTCTTTCGCTGATCAACCCCACGAGCGCTCTTCATTCGACAGGGATCATTCCCAGGATTAACCAACAACGACGCTTCCCCGCCACTCGATCAAATTACGCCACGATTTAGTTTGCATGTGGGAGGAGGTTCAATCGTCTTTCAAAACGCTAACACTTTCATAAAATTCTTGCCCCGTATAGTTCTCACCTAGGTGCAGATAAAAGTTATTGTCTACATTTTGCTGGGTTAATGATCAACAAGTAGTCTCTGCTGGTAACTTTCGATAAGCGATGATTGCTAATTATCAGCCGGTATTTAGACTCTTATTGAACTAGCAGAATCACATTTAGTCACAACAAGGTATAGAATCGCTCTATACAGAGGGTAAGAATGTGCTATAAAACTGTAGACCATTCGTGAGAACTATTTAAAGCTTCTTGAAGAAAGAGTTATCCATTTATTGCCGATACAGCCCTCTCTAGAATGAAATTGGTTTGTCTAACCTTGACGTCAATTCCATGACCTACAAAGAGAGAACCTCTCCAGCTCAAGGCTCTGGGTCAGCCAATAAAGCCTCTTGTCGCTGAGGATAACGTCAATCTTGGCAGCATGCAAGTCATCCCAATAGGTGCCAACATACCCCTCTAGAGCCTTTGGAGATGTTCCTGATTTCTGGCCACTCTCATTCAAGCACACAGGTGTGCCCTTGCCAATATTGGGCATGCCCTTGGGGAGAAGGCCGGGATTTGTACCGATCTGGCCAAGGCGTCCAGAGAGTTGAACTATACTCCATTCGAATGAATACGAGGCCTCAAAATAAGAGGGTTAGTCGAAGAGTATCTTACCAGACATCATGTGGGTGAGCTGTTTAAAGGTTAACCCCTTGAACGAGGATGTGTCGCCATCAAACTCGTCGTTGAAATCCTCCATATAGCCGCCATACGGCTTGACCAGGTCCTTGACTGATGAACGGACACCGCTACTGGCGGCACCATACCAGTTATCGCCCATCTTGGGGCAGCTCACATGTCATTATTCTTTTCAACTAAAGGATTTTCAACGTGTGAAAAAAGGTTGTGTTTTCAATCCACGGGTATGGGAGTATACAGCAAGTATTGTTTATAACGAAGCCCCGTCCAGGTTTATCCTCCAGTTGCAGATACCTGTCGTGCTGCTGTAGAGGGAGAGGGTCTACCTAATCCTTGATAGTCCCCTATAATAAATAGGTGTTGACTAAACATCACTTATGAGATATTGAAGAGGACCATGTTTACCATACAGGGTGGATATCACCAAAAGCGAATTAACCCTAGAGCTTACTCGTTATGAGACAGGATAACAGGTCGTTATGTTCCTGCACTTTTCATTCTTTACTAATCTGCACGACAATGCGCCCTCTGAAAGCCGCTTCCTCATACATCTCCACGATATCCGGAATCTTGTTGAATGAGACGGTAGTCAAATGTGACGTCACTCCCGCCTTTTCCACAACCTTTATCATCCTGTCTGCTGAAGCCTTGCTCGCCACATAACTGCCCTTGATGGTCAACTCCCGAAAAACAATCGGCGCAGCGTCAAATTGCCAAGGATTCTGGGGGAGCCCTAATAACCCCAGGGTTCCTTTGATTCTCAAGATATTGAGTGCCCATTGGTTAGCTTCCAATGACGGCGTGCATACAATCGCTGCAGCTACTCCTTCTCCCTCTGTGAAATCGTAGATGATTTTGGATGCGGATGCTGTATCTGACGAGTCGACAACCAGGTCAGCTTTTAACTCGGGATTCTCCATGTCTTCTGCCAGTTGCCTGCCAGCCTCTCTACTATCCACAGCAATCACCCGGAAGCCAAGTGCTTTCGCGAATTGTACACCTAGATGCCCCAGCCCACCTACACCAACAATAGCCACGGTCTCACCTTTGGCTAATCCAGACGTCGCACCCTCCAAACTTCCCCAGACAGTAGCTCCCGCACAAGTAAGTGGTGCAGCTTGCTCGAATGAGATTGAATCTGGAAGTTTCACAATTGTCTCTGGGTCAGCAGAGGCATACTCTGCAAATCCGCCATCATGTAGAAAACCAGCTGTCTCCCGCACGTCGCAGAACCGGGGGTCAAGTTCTTCCCCTCTTTTCTTGATCAAACGACATCCTACACATGAACCGCAAGCATGCTTGAAGTTGAGAACGCCCACTCGGTCGCCGACTTTCAGGTCACCATTGTAGCTACTGCCAATTTTGGCAATGATGCCGGCTATTTCGTGTGAAGGGATGAGGCCGATTGGTGCTGGCTTCTCAAACTCGCCTTGCAAGGCTTGGAGATCTGAGTGGCAGAATCCAGCAGCGTGAACACGCACTAGAATATCCGTGTCTCTGATAGAGGGCAGTGGGCGCTCGCCGAGAGCGTATGGCTTGTTGTACTATCAGATTGTAAGACTCCGTCCATTTGGTTGCCGAGATAAGAGTTTCATCTTAAACTTACTTCTGCAATATAGGCTGCCTTCATTTGAGACGGCAACTCGATACTTGAGGACATGGTGGCTTGGCTCTCTTCTGATCACTATGGCTGGCTATGGAATGACGGTCTGAATTACTTCTACAAACAACAATGGCAGATTACCAGAATCCACTTTTATTGGTAGGATTCAGCGCAACCCTCATATTTTGCCACATTGCTCTGATACCAATGTTCTACCCCATAGCGTTGGAGTACCCCTACAGGGATCTTGGGGTAGGGCTCCAGATAAGTCCGAGCTACCCCGACAAATTGACTATGATCCAGACTCTTACTAGATAACAAATAGATTTGCGAAAGAGCTTGTTTGTCAGTATCAATAAGTCTGTATCTTTAGACAAGACAATTGAGCTAGTCGACCTTTCCTATTTTCTTAGCTCTTACTGTTCGCCACCACCAGACTCACCATGTCCGTGTTCTTCAAGGAAATATTGCCGTGAGTCCCACGAATACCACACTTCAAGTTCACACATTGACCGTCTCTAGTGGAAATCCAGTCCAGAAGGGCGATGTGGAGGCACTTCTTGAACCCCTAGACGTCTCAGTCCGCCCAGATGAGTCGGCAGATTATCAGCTCCTGCTGGCTGCAGTTCATGACTGTGCTGAACGCGTGTTTAGTCTACCAGACTATCAGCCAGTTCCGGACATAGAAAGATTCCCTCGCCAGGATGTTAGAATTCCCAATGAAGATGAACAAAGCTATGGTCATGCATGGGCACACCTATTTACAATCCGAGGCGACCAGTCATCACGCTCAGCAATAGCCGGGAAATCAGTCTGCATCAAGGATTGCATCGCTGTAGCAGGTGTGCCACAGTTCTTTGGTAGCGACGCATTCCCAGCTTGGACTCCCTCTACCGACGCCACTGTGGTGACAAGAGTTCTCGAAGCTGGAGCTACCATCACAGGAACAGCGACGTGCGAGAACTTCTGCAACTCAACGTCCTCTTTTACAAGCGCCCAAGGCATCATCGACAATCCGCGTCAAGCTGGATATTCCGCTGGAGGCAGTACCTCTGGTGGCGCTGCCCTCGTCACGGGTGGTCTAGCTGATATTGCTATTGGGACAGACCAAGGAGGCAGCATTCGCGTCCCTGCCTCTCTATGTGGTTGTGTAGGATTCAAGCCTACGCATGGTCTTGTACCATACACAGGCATTACCAGTGGTGATCAGATCGATGATCATGCAGGTCCGCTTGCGAGAACGGTGGATGAAGTCGCGGCCTGCCTAGATGCCATCGCAGGTTATGATGGTATAGATGACCGGTCTCTTGGTTCAGCATCACATGGCTCGTTTGGCTTTCTTGAATCGTTGGAGGGTGGTGGACTACAGGGTGTGCGTATTGGCGTTTTAAGAGAAGGGTACGATAACGATTTGGTTCAACCGGGTGTCAAACAAGCTTTCTTCGCCTCGATAAACAGATTGGAGTCTCTTGGAGCTATCGTGGAAGAGATCTCAATCCCTTTGCACAAGGAAGGACCATCGATATGGACGATCCAACAGCGCATCTCAGGCTCAGCAGGCATCCTGGGACAGGCACATGGTCGTCGGGGTCTCTATCTGACCGAGTTTGAACAAGCTCGTCTACCATGGAATACATCTGAATTCGAGAAGCTATTCCCCTCGACAAAGAACACAGTTATCAACGGTTTATACCTACAGAAAAGTTTCCCTGGTCTATATGGAAAGACGGTCAACATCGGAAGACAAATCCGCGATGCGTACGAGGATAAATTCAAGGAGTACGACGCCATTATCATGCCAACCACTCCACTCGTCGCTCCACGGCATGGATCCAGACAATCTGTGCTGGAGTCGTTCAAGCCTAGCATTGGAATGACGAACAATACCTGCATCTTCAATGTTACGGGCCATCCAGCTTTGTCGCTTCCAGTTGGATGGTCGCCCGCTGCCGATGACAAGAATTTCCTGCTACCGGTTGGGCTGCAGATTGTTGGTGGGCTCTGGGAGGAAAAGAAAGTATTGCGTATCGCGAAAGCATTGGAAAGCAGCTATGATTGGCAGCAAGTGGAAGTACGTAAAGCGACAGACACTTGTGAACCCACGGAGGTTTCACGTTTATAACCTAGTCTAGTGCTTCACCATAGATAATTCCTAAATAGAGTATATTTAAACTTTCATGAGCAAAATATCTCCTACTTGGTATCTTTCATATGGCGGCAGCATAGCTTTGCAGTTCAGGCGATGACTTGGGTGTTGGCAGATTGAGTAGTAACACAGCTACTGGATTATTTCCCAAGATGCTGTTATCTCACTAACGTTAGCATGTCTCGCTTATTGGAAACTGGCCAGATACATGATAGGCAAAACGGACCAAAAAGCGCTATCAACGGCGCTACTCCAATGCCAGCCCCGCTTGATACGACTCCAAGATAAACTGCCTATTACCCCATGTCCCATAACTCTCGTTCTCTTCCTCTCCAACTCTTGGAGTCGCCAACAATGAGTGACGCCATGGGACCCGACAACCACGCGTCTCCAAACAAGCGACAGCGAGTGGGTTACAGCAGTAGCAGTGGAGGCAACCTCCGAATGTGTGCCCATTGTGGACGGACTTTTAAGCGCACCGAGCATCTGGAGCGCCATATTCGAACACGTGAGTCTCGGTTCTGGCTTGTCAGAATGTGGAGTAACTGACATGATACGGTGTTGTTATGATTAGATACCAAGGAGAAGCCTTTTCTGTGTCACTGTGGTGCATCGTTTGCCAGGCGCGATCTTCTTACGCGTCATCAAAGATTAGCTGAGCATGAAAGTGATGCACCATCACCACCAGAACCTGTACAAGATCAAAGGACCATAGCACAATCGACAAATCATGCTATTGTCGGGGATCAAGCAGATTTGGCTGCAGCCGTGTCATTGTCTGGATTAAGTGTAGATCCTTGGTTCTGTGCGAGAACGCAACAAGCGATGCAACTTGCAGTTTCACCAGCAGCACCCTCAGTAGTCGATCAGTTTCAACAGCAGACAGGGACAGATCCTAATCAATTTGTTCCAAACTTTCTGTCTCCTCAGATGCTCGATAATGGTGGGTGAACATGCTGATCTCCCAAACAGTAATACTGACTCGATTAAGGCGTCGATTTTGATACGCACTTCCGCGAGTTTACCAGTTTTCTGGATGGCGTCGGTCTCTCTGCTGAGTGGAGTCCATTCTTTGGAGAACCCGACAGGCCACAAGAAGTCTTCGAGCCAGAGATAAGGCAAGAAAACAACGAGGCCGCAACTTCTCAACAAGGCGCACCAACTCGAGCTGGAACACCTTTCAGCTCATGGCTACCTTCAGCACCTACTGGTAATAGGATATCTAATTACGTCTCCGATACAGATAGTAAGTCATCCGCCCGAAGCTTTAATGTTATCGACTTACACCACCCTAGATCCGCGAGCGAGCGATCCTAAAACTCGACCATTCAAAGTCACAGAGGAACAACGATCCAATATCAAGGCCTCTATCAAAGACAATGCACACCTTCTGGATCCCGCTTTCTGCGTCCCCTCGAGACATGCTCTCACACGTTACGTGACTTCCTTCTTTGGCGGCTTCCATACTCATATGCCATTTATCCATATACCCACTTGGCAAATCACCGAGCACTCACCTGAGCTCATCTTTGGCATTGCTGCCATTGGTGCTCAGTATTGTTTTGAGTCAAGGGCTTCAGAAAGGCTATTCTTCGCTGGAAAGGCTCTAATAATGGAGAGACTACGACAAGACACAAATGTTATTGGCTTACCAGCATTTCCCATCACTCATCCTGCCACAGAAAATAATCGACCCGCTGGTAATACTGAGAAAGACTCGTCAGTGGAGACTATCAGAGCGTTGATCGCATTGATGGGCTTTGCGACCTGGGAGCCCAAAGCAAGTATGGTGCAAGAATCATTTGCTTTGCAAGGAATCCTCACGCAAGTCCTTCGCAATGCCGGTCTTGAAGATGTAGAAGAACCCAACTCGCCCACACCATCGGATCAACCAAGCGATGGCAACTCCCTATGGCATGAATGGATTTCATGGGTTAAGCAAGAGTCAAGCAGAAGATCTAAGCTAATCGGCTTTTCCTTTCTACACACACATAGCATTGCGTACAATGTGTACCCAACTCTACGCAGCAATGAAATCGGTCTTCGGTTACCCTGCTCGACAAAGGAGTGGAAGGCTCCAACTCCAATACTGTGGCGTGATGCCGCGAAGGAGGTCCAAGAGCCGCAGCTGTTCTTTCGAGAGGCCCTGTCGTTGCTACTTAGGAACAAGAGTGAATCTGCGCCTTTATCGCCGATCCCTACACCACTGGGGAACTACGTTTTGCTACATGGATTGCTTCAGAGGATACACATTGTGAGAGATTTGAGTCTTCCAGTCACGAGCAGCTCGGCGGTCCTCCCAAATGAGGAAGTTGAAAAGCTTGAGTATGTAAATCGCCTTAAGTCACAATTTTTACTAACATCTTCCGTAGACATGGCCTACGATCATGGACTTCTTGCTGGCAACAAGCGCCCGAGTCAACCCTTGACCCCAATAATGAAAACGGACCTATCCCATTCACCTCCAGCTCTCTTCTTTCACTAGCATATGTACGCATATATCTGCACCTCGGTCCCTACAGGCAACTAGAGACACGGGATCCTCAGCGTATCGCCAACGCCATCGCGAGCAGTCCGGACATTGAGCGAAGTGACGGAGTCATAGCAGCTCTCCTCTATTCAGCCCACATGATTGGCATTCCTGTGCGACTGGGCGTCGATCGGGTAGCTAAAAGCCAGGCGTTCTTTTGGAGCGTAAGACATTCGCTCTCTGGCCTTGACTGTGCGGTGCTTTTGAGCAAGTGGTTGTCAAAGCTAGCTGAGACAGTTGCTGATAATCCACTAAGTGGTAAGTCTTCTTTGATAGTTTATGTTCACAAACTGATACCAATTGGTTTTCAGATAGCGAGGATCGAATTCTGCATTGGGTCAGATGCATTGTGGAAGAGGCTTACACTGTGGTGGACTTTGACCAGGGTCTTGATCAAGAGGTTCCTAACATGCTAGATTTCAAAGACCCCGGGAATCTCTGCCTAGCTGTTTTGAAGATATGGGCACACTTCTTCAAGAGCAACACGCAGTGGCCGTTTATCAACATCATTGGCGTGGGTTTAGAAAAGTACCGTGAGATACTCATTCACCAAAGAATATGAGGTGTTTAGCATGTTTTTTTAACACTAAATAACTACACTTGTTCATGAATACAGGTTCTGATACTATTCCTTCGTCGATGGCATCACAGCGCCCTTTGGCGGCTTGTTCTTCTTCTTGAACTCATCGCACATCTGCTCCATCGTCACCCACTCGACGCCTTCATGTTTATTGATATACTCAATCAGCCTAGAGGTTGTCAGTACCCTCGGACCCTTACTCAACCCGGATATCCACTCACCTCTCGTGCATGAGAAGCACATGTGGTCGACCAGACACATCTGGATGGCATGTGATGGGGAACACGCAGATCTCATCAGGATCATCGGCGTACTCTCTGTAGAAGTAGTCAAAGTGGTCTCGCCACAAATCTTCGACGTCTCGCGAGTTGACCCAGCCGTGACTATTGGGGCTATTTTTGACGAACATCATGGGTGGAAGGCTGTAAACAGTCAGCGCAGAACACCAAGCAACGAATATCTTCCCAATTTCATTGACGGGGTGAACATACTGCAATACCTGTTAGCGCTTGTTTTTTATCACTCATCTGAAACTTACCTCATCTAAATACCAATTTGCTGGAATCTCAACAAGACCAGTATCCTTGCCTTTCACCAAAGGCTTCATCCAAGTCTCGGCCTTTTGTGTGTAATCAATCTTGGTCCAGCTATCGTTAGTCCTCAGCCAGTACATATGGCAGTCGTCGTGAGACATGGAGTGGTCGTATTCAATTCCATAGCTTAGCATCAGATCCACACCCTCCTTGCTGGTCTCCCACCAAGGGGCAACACTTCCTCGCGGAGGCTTCCCGCAGAAGTCTGTAAGCATCTTATGTGTCTTTTCCAGCACATCGCGTTGCTGCTCGAAGGTCATATCTGAGGGGTTCTCGTGAGAGTACCCTAAGAAACAATGTCAAATCCTGCGTATTGGGACAAGTCATGAGGTCCACTTACCGTGAAGACCAATTTCGTGGCCTGCATCGCGTACCATGGCACATTCTTCTGGGAAGGTCTCAAGACTGTGCCCAGGAATGAACCAAGTTGTCTTGATATTGTATTTGTCGAAAAGCTTCAGCATCCGACGAACTCCATGAGTTCCGGCAAAGAGGCCACGAGAGATGTCGCTTGGTGAGTCTTCGCCTCCGTATGAACCAAGCCAGCCAGCAACTGCGTCAACATCGACACCAAACGAACAGAGAATTCTCTTGGGCATTGTGAGGTTGACACTGTATGAGAACGCTCTAAGGAAGCAGTGAAAGGATTGATCAGAAAAGGACAGTGAACAAACTTGGTCAAACAATCACGATCCGAGATGAAGTCCTGGAACTATGGTAAGAAATAGACTCAAGACCCTGGGGCCCTCATTCCGCCAAGCACACATTTCCATACAGTGCAGCCCCGCGCCATCAACAGCCGAATGTTACAGTGTCTCAGATAACAAATTAGAGGGGTAATGACGCTTATCGACCACCGTTCTGCTATCATGGGGTAACTCCACGATATCGTCTGTGGTCTAAAGATACGCTAGTCTCCAAATCCAACGCTATACTCCAACTTCCTTATCACGCTTTATCTTGATCCAGTTAAGATATTCCCCAGTGATGACAAGGGTATTTTACCCCAGACCTTATCATTGGACTTGGGGGGAAACCAACCAGGAACGAGGTTCTTGGTACTGGTTTGGTGTGTGTGTTGACTAGCTAGGTTGTTGATAAGTTGAACTTGGCAAAATTATCTTTGATGATTGACAAGTAATAATAGGCTGAGGATTTCCATGTCTAGAACTTTGGTATCACCACACTACTCATTCATCTTCAACATTGTTCTTGGTCAATATGACATCCACCAATATGAGCTCCTCAGAGGGAGAAAAGGGCGACAAGCAGTCATCGGGCATGCTCAGCAGTGGCAGCATTGAGCTCGGAAGACAAGAGGGAGTTGACGACGGCGAAGTCTTCAAGCAAGGTGATGGGGTTGTCGATTTTCGAACCGTCGGATGGATTCAAGCTTCCGTCATTTTTCTCAAGGGTAAGCTATTTCCGATTATTCTTCTTGTCTGATACTGATATTATGATAGTCATCTTCGCCACTGGTGTCTTGACCATCCCCTCAGCCATGTTCGTCCTCGGCGCACTACCCGGTGCGATCAATGTCCTCGGGTGGCAAGCACTCAACACATACTGCGCCATTGTGCAGGGCAACTTCCGCAATGCGCATGCTGGCTGCCACTCCATCGCCGACATGGCCAACGTGGTCGGCGGAGCGTGGCTGAAGGAGGTCGTCGGTGTCCTCTTTCTTGTCACATACGCTATTGTCGGCGCGTCTGGTATCTTTGGCACATCTGTCGCTCTCAACGTGCTCTCCGACCATGCCATCTGCACCAATTGGTTTATGCTTGTCGCGACAATTGCGGTTCTCATACTCGCTAGTGTCCGCAAGTTTGAGAAGATTGCTTGGTTGACATGGGCTGGGTTTTTGACTGTCTACATCGCCGTTTTTATCGTCGTGTAAGTTATACGTGCCAATTGCACAAGCCGTTGCTAATAGGAAGCTTAGTGTTGGTGTTACTACCCTCGATCGACCGGCTGCTGCTCCCCAGACTGGAGACTACGACTTTGGTTACCATGTCATTGGCAACCCGACATTTGTCACTGGTATCACTTCAGTTGCTACAATCTTCTGCTCCGGAGCTGGCACTTCTGCGTTCCTTCCAGTCATCTCAGAGATGCGCAGACCCAAGGATTACAACAAGAGCGTTTATCTTTGCATGAGCATCGTCACTGCGTCGTATCTTACGTTCTCCCTTGTTGTTTACCGTTATTGTGGTCAATGGGTCGCAAGCCCCTCGCTGGGTAGTGCTGGTGACACGATCAAAAAGGTTGCCTATGGAATTGGTCTCACTGGCCTTCTCGTCAGTGCCTGTCTTTATGTCCACGTCGCAGCCAAGTACCTCTTCGTCCGACTCCTTCGTCACTCGGAGCACTTCCAGAAAAACACCGTCACTCACTGGGCAGTTTGGCTTGGCTGCACAACTTTCATGTCAGCAGTTTCCTTTCTGATAGCTTCCGGTATCCCTATCTTCAACTATCTCCTTGCTCTGGCAGGCAGTCTCACCTTTTCGCCTCTTGCGCTTGGCTTGCCCGGGTACCTTTGGGTATACGACCACCAGCACTACCGCCACGGAAAATGGTGGCAGATTGTGGTATACTATCTGAACTGGTTGATGATTGCGCTGTCCGTGTTTTTGATGGTTGGAGGAACTTATGGAGTCATTCAGAATATCATTGATGCGTATGCCAATGGGCTTATTGGGGGGGCGTTTTCATGCGACAACAATGACGTGTAGATGAGAATTTCACATCGAATAGATCTTATAGCAGATTTCGTTCGATTATAGAAGCTGTGGTCGTATTGCATATTTACTATTGGACATTTTAAGTGATGATTTTTCCACGCCCAAAACGAGTCCAACTAAGTTGTTGGTCGTAGCAGTCACATCCGCCAAGGGGATCATAAACTGCAATAGTGTCGCCTCATTTCAACCAATCACAAGTCGATTCGGGCGAATGGTTTAGTGGTATAATACTCCCTTAGCATGATTCATCTTGAAAAATGAAAAACCTGAAGAAGTTATGCTTGATGAATTCAATTGAACTGGGCTATGGTTAACGATCACCGCCCCTATCAGCTATCCCCATGGCCAGTCCGCGAACATCAATATATTACCCAGTTTCAAAATACCCTTACCACCTACTCATAGTAAGCCCCAGCCAGGTCAATTAAAGTCTCCGAAAGAAATCTTCCGCAGCCAATATCATGGCTATCGACTTTAAACTCCAGTTGAGCGCTGCTCAATACGCTCCACTCGGTTCTCGAGCTCTCTCAATTCAGTCGCGAGACTTTCAATGGAGCCTTCCAAGGAAGTACGTAAATTCAGCATTGCCTCAAAGTGTCGTTGTTCCTGAGCCTCAAATTTGACATTCATCTCTTTGCGGAGTTGAGCGACTGCGACAGATTCGCTGTCATCCATACGAGCAGGAGTAACACTCATCTGGCGATCGCGGCCTTCAATAGAATGTCGAGCATAATCTGCGTGTCGTGGCGCGGGAGAGGATCGTACTAATAAACATATAACATTAGAATCAGTCCATAATTAGGATTATTTAAAAATGCTGGCTTTAGCATCCACTCACCGGAGTATGGGTTTCGTGTATCCATCATCGATGTCGGTTCGTGATTACCACCGTGGTAGGCCCCTCCTTGAAAGTAAGGGTTTCCAGAGTAGGGAAGAGTGTGATTGTAATCCCTGTTCCATCCTCCCCAATATCCTTGGGCTTGGGGAGGGTATTGTTGAGGCATCATGGGCTGCTGAGACATCATAGATTGCTGAGGGATCATGGTTTGCTGAGGGGTTATGGATTGCTGGTGATGTCCTAGATGATACCCAGGGGCCCGTGATTGTTGATCGTTACCTTCTAGCTCATTCTTGATCTCTCGATGGGTCTCTTGTCCACCATCAACGACAAGACTTCCACTACCAGCCTCCGCCGTGGCATTTTCCTGCTTCTTGAGGCGCGATGAAGATGGCGTAGGAGACACTGTGATCTCATTTCTCTTGAGCTTCTTGTGCTTCTTGAGCCTTTTGGACTTCCTGGGCTTCTTGGAAATTTTCTGCCCTTCTTTGGATGAGGACGAGTTGCTACCCGTATCGTTGACGAAATCGCTCGCTTGGGACCGCTTCCTGGTCTGACCTTTAGAATCGCTTTGTGTGTGTTTGTCATCGGTGGAGCGAGAAGATTGTTTCTGGGGAGTCGAAGGAAGTGCCTGATCGATCTTCTTGGTGGCGACGGCAGACCGTGTGTCGGCTACAGCCTTGAAGAACTCTTTCTGGATCAGTGACAATAAGGCTTGATCCTGGGGAGCCGGTGTAGGAAGTGCCTGGTCGTTCTTCTTGTCGACGACGGTAGACTTCGTGTCGGCGACGGTAGACTGTGTTCCGGTGGCTATAGCCTCTAAGAGCTTTTTCGTAAGCTCTGCATCTTCGGCGCGAGAAGCTTGTTTCTCAGCAGTTACCGAGATATTCTCCTCGCCTTTACTGATCTCGTCGTCGCTGATCTTGTTGTCGCTGATCTTGTCGTCGCTGATCTTGTTGTCGCTGATCTTGTCGTCGCTGATCTTGTCGTCGCTGATCTTGTCGTCGCTGCTCGTGTCGTCGCTGCTCGTGTCGTCACCATCCTTGTCGGACTTCGACGACTTTTTAGTTGGTTTGCCAGGCCCTACCATTGCGTCAAAGTTGACCCCTGGGAAGGTGTCTCGGAGCTTGTTCTTCATGTTCGCCAATTTCGCAGGGTCATAAATACTGTTCATCACCACCCAATGACCAAAGTTCCAAGGTTGATCTTTCCAGATCTTGTGGCTACTCGGGGTGTTCGAGTTCGATGGGGTTCTCTTGGCCAGCTTGCAAAGCCTCAGAACTGTCGCTTGAACATCGTCCGGCCAGCCTGCTGCGTTCTTGTCCCAAATCTTCTTCACCCGTGCAAGTGCCGCTTGATCAGCATCGGCTCTTGAGAAATCGGCATCGTTGAGCGATGGGAAGGTAGATTTGTTTTTGGCGCGTGGTTTTGCCATTTCTGCGACAAGTTAGTTGATAGAAATGGATCAACCACGTATAACTCACTGCTCAGAGGCTAGGTAGGCAAGTGTGCTAGGAAGGGTTGTGGAAGAGAAATTCTCAAATATCAGTCACAGATCGCTCGAGGATGGATTGACTGTTAGGGCTTTGAACAACAAACGAGGGTGGAAGCAGAAGGAAACCCACAGATGTAAAATAAGCAAACGGAGAGAAATTTTACAGATTGTTAGCTGTCCTATTGTTTACTATTGGTCATGTGTTGTTCTTCATGCTGGTCTTTGTTCACAGCTATTGATAACTGGCACTTGTTGACAGCTGTTGATCACTGGCAAGTATTGATAGCTAGTGATTATAGGTAATTATTGAATTATTGATACCCATTGATTACTAATGGGCAATACTTTGTTATCACCTTTGTCTCTGCTCAATCCATCATCCCCTCTTTTCACCATCCACCATCTTCGTTTTTCATCAACCAAGCATCATACTCACTTCACATCAACCACCCATCTTCTGTTTCACTCTAACTACCCATCATGGAGGGTGAGTCGTCGCGTGCGGCTTCAATGGAAAAGGACCGATCGAAATCGGTAATCGCTGCCAAAGACGTCCCTGATCCCACCGTCGATGTCACGCAGGTTAAGGTGTGGGCATCCGTCAATCCCAACATGCTCAATGCCGGTACCGCTGTTACCCACCAGAACCTCCAGACGGTTAGTAGTTTCAATCAATATCACCTTAGTTAATGTATCTAACTAATGCAATAAAAAGCTAGCATCGATGATCCAAGCAATGACAGGCATGCTGGTTGATCAGAGTAAGAAGATCAAGTAAGAATCTACCTTGAAGCACAATACCAAGCTTAGCTAATATTATTTTTAGTAAGCTTACTACCGATGTTGCTATCATCAAGGATGTTCTTGGTGCTGGAGTGTCGGGAAATACCAGCCGTCGTTCATCCATGGGTAGTGTCGGTCGTCGATCCTCCGCTGGAGAGATAACCGCCGACGAAATTTCAGGTCAAGCCATTCCATTCGACAACGTCATGGAAAAGTTAGAATCACTTGATGGGTTCTTTGAACTTTTCATTCAGGAAAACCTATCTTTCAAGCCCCTGGTGAAACGAACCAAGAATGCCAAAGCATCCGGTATTAGGTTTATTAACGCGGCGAAGGAAGGTCTTAGTAAGGCCCTCGACGATGAAAATACTGGTAGGTTAAAGGCTTTGTTGATTGTTTGTTAAATACTAATCTTTGATAGCGGCTATTAATAGGTATCTTGCCCAGCTTGATGACTCCGAGATGGCAGATGTCTTTATTGCGTTGAGTAAACGATATCGGTCGAACCAGTCCAGTGGCAAGAATGTTGCAACAGTGACGGAGAGCTTTGATACCCAGGTCGGCGACGATAATGGTGGAAGCCAATCTACGCAAATCGATACACCTCGACGTACTAGATCCTATGCCTTTCCTAAGACTCCTGGTCGCCGTAGAGATGTTATTCTAGATTCCGACGACGAGGTTGAAGTATCATTGGCAAACACCAACGATGAAGACGATACGTTTCAACCTTGAGTCTACCGGTTTTGGAATCCTGTCGTCGATTCTTTGGATCGATTATACATGACTTTATGGTTCATTAGCTAGCTCAGTTTCATGCAATCACAACGTTGGCTTATGTCGGGCCTTTAATCACGCTCATATTACTACTTCCCTTCTATAAGCCTGACATAACCAGGGGACAGGGATCATAACCGTTGGTGACCAATACCATTTTCAATTACTATTCACTAGAAAAAACCGCCCAGGTACTAACTGCCCTCGACGAGGATATTCTGTTGGAGACCAACCCTGTGTAAACCATTAACACAAACCGCAATAACAGCCAACCAGTTACAACCAACCAGCTACAGTAGACGACCACTGGATCCATCCTTCTTGGACTCTCCTTCCCACTGGTCCAGTATGTTCTCTGCATTGGGAGGGTAATCTGGGGATCCAGGGATGGGCCCAGACTGAATTAAATGCGCAAAAAGAGGAGAGAATTCTGTAGGGGGGGGCTGGCTGACTTCGTGGAAAGTGATGCTGGAAGCCAACGATGGCGTTTGAAGAATTTCATCCTTCATTCCAGTAACGTCGCCGAGGGTGGGAATATCGCCCATAGTCACCAGAGATGCAGCCGTTGGGTTCGAATCGAGGAACTCGCCAAACCACCCCGGAGTTGAACCACGTTGAAGTCCATGACCGATAGGAATTGGACGAGGAAGCTCCTGATGGCCAGAGAACTCAAAGGATAGTTGTCGGTGATCTCGTCGTCGAGATTCGGCTTTTGCTTTCGTTTTGTGTTCAATGTTTCCACGGAAGTCGGGCTTGTACCACCCGATTTCTGTCTTGATCCGATCATGAGCAGCGAAAATCTCCTGCTTGTCCTTTTCACTCTTCGTCGACCACCAAGCATCAACGGTACCTTCCGCAGTAAATAGTCGCGTTGAGTGAGATTCTTCGATGTGTCTTGTCAATGTCCTTTTCGTGGAGTGATATGGAATGAACGTGCCAGGAGGTGCGATGGCGACGCAAATCTCGCACCGAAGACCATCGAGGTTTTCTTCTTTCGCCTTGTTTACCGCTCGTCGCAGGAATCGTTCATAGTTCGAGTGAAATGAGCTAGTTAAGTGTCGGGGGAGCCTGCTCGGTGCCCATGTTTTGGCCTTGACATTCGCATCGACGGTATCATCATCTTGACATCGGTGACAAATAACTTGAGCACCTTGCTGATGACCAAAAGACGAACCCTCCATACCCACGTTCAACCAAATTTCCATCGCTGCTCGTGCAACTGTAGCGTAATCGACGTCGGAGAGTTGTTGGTCAATGTCACGAGGAAGTTCTTCGGGGAAGGTGTTAACCGTCTGGTTCTGCTCGATCTGAGTCTGAAACTGGTCCTCAGCGTCCTGCTCTGGAGTTTCCAAGTTATCCTCAGGGAAGTCAACGCTGAGATCGATGCCGGATGGATCTAGCGAGCTTTCATTACCATCGGCTGGTCCATCATCGACTGCCCTCGACGAATGGCTATTGGAAATGGACTGCTTAGCTGCGTCAAGAACGCGGTGATTGAAGTTATTACACATTGACTGGAGCTCGTCAATTTGCAGTTTAGTTGCATCCACGGTGGCTGATTTTCGCTGCTCCTCGTAAAGCTGCTGCATTGTGGCACGGAGAGCTGCTCGACGTAAAACTCTGTCTCGGTTCTTTTGAGTCCGTCTATCTCCATCATGAGGATAATCGTCGTCCATTTCCCGTAGCTCAAGAAACAGGCTGTTGAGTAAGGGGCCGAATTTACGCATCTGTTCGTTGTCTAAGCGAGAAAATGCCAAGCTCCCATCAATAGGTTGATTGTCTGTATCACCAGACATGGTACCAAGGGCCACAGATGTGAGATCGGGGATCGCTGTTCGGCCTGCTGTGTAGTAAGTTTCCATGGTGGTCGAGTCTGGATCGTGGGCCATGATTGCGCGGGCCATTTCGCTTCCCAATTTGGTAGAGAGATCCATAGCAGTATTGCGTCTAATACTGTAAAAAGTGATCGATTTTGTCAGACCGATTTTCTTCCCTCGTAGCTGGAGGTAATCTGTGAGAGCGAGAGCTGTTATCGGCTTGTTCTGTACAGTTAATCCACGGTGGCCGCCCTGTAGAAGGATAGGTTGATCCTTGAATTCGTCCTTGATAAGGATGTATCTTTGGGGCTGGGTAAATAAGTCGTCCAAGGTCTCAATGCCAACTAGTACTCCTCGACGGAGGGCAATCGTCAATAGTCGGTGAGGGGCAGAAAGTTCGAATGCGTTCTTGCCTTTCGGGCTATGTATAGATCTAGGTCGATGGTCAGTTGATGATTGCCACTCTGGACAGCTCATCGTTTTTCGACTCACAGTACCAAGGATTTGTTGTGGTGTTCTTTCTCAGGATCGGTCGAGTTCGTCTTGAGGTTTCGAATAGTCAAATGGAAGTAGAAAACACCCACGGTAGGCGTTCGTTCGATTTCGACATCACCCCACACAAGAAATGGTAGATGGCGATCGCCCACCTTCCCAGGGCTACCAAGCGATCCCGGACGTAGAGCAGCAAGGCGAGCTAGGACCCAAGCAAGATGATGGCATTCGGCCAGTTCAATACAGGGTGTCGCCCGAAGATCGAAATCCATCATTTGTAGGATTTCCTAGGTTCCTACGCGGGTATTGTTTCGAATAGATGTTCGGGGAGTACGAATCTTGAGTTGGGTCTGTAGATAGCGCATCATTTCTAACGTCGCCGCCTCTAGCCAGACTCTCTTCGGAGGTTCGATAGATCGCTCGGGGTACTTCCGAAGCACCCAGAAAATAATACTGCGACGGTACTGCACGAGAACTTGATAACTGATGGAGTCGTCGCTAACCGATCGTGGTACACACTTTTCAAGCGCGAAGACAAGGAAACGGCGAAGCTGAGATTGTAATCGAGCCCACGGTTGTGAGCTATCGCTCGATGGGTCGGGGAAGCATAGACGATCAAGATCGTCATCTCCGAGCTCACCGTCCGTCTGACTTTCTGCTAGGACGATGCCAGCCCATTGTCGATAAAGGCTCAAATGGGCATCCTGTCGTAACTGAGTTCGCAAAGAGTGATGCCGAAAGCCACGTGATAGAATATCTAGCTCTTTGGATCGTTGGTTGAGTACGAATAACTCAGAGTCCGGGGCTTCTGGGTCGATACCAGATACGCGTTGGAGAAATTCTTTGAATCCCTCTTTTTTACGGCCGATACGGCGAGCTGTCGATACCGATGCTGCCATACTGACAAGGAAGTCCTCGCACGATTTGTAGTTGTAACGTTGTGGATGGACAATCATTGAATGGGTAAGAGAAATAATGGACTTACCTATGTGAATGGTGAATGAGGGGTGGTTCCACTTTAGGCAGTAATATTCTAGGTAGGTAGCTATCTATAGACAACAAGTGATTGAATTATTATTTATAGATGGTAATCAGTTAATTATAATAATTAATTTGCTACTGTAATTTACCACTATACTTCGTCACCATTTAATTAATTACTTTTTTATTTATTTATCCTGTTTTTTTGGTTTTTTTTTATTTTCACCCATTCAGGGTCTAAAATGTTCCTATCGGAACATTTCAGACCCTGAATGGTCCAGGGTTCGATTCCCTGTTCGTCCATCTTCGGTGGTTTGATTCCACTTGTACCAATATTTTTGGTCCTGTCAGCATTAAACTAGCCTTCTTCGATGACTTGGATCACCCATATAGTTAATCAACTCATCACCAACCCTGCCCCAGGAGATGTGCTTTGTGTACTTCTTCTCGAGCCCGAAAAGTATGCGCCTGGTAAAAGAATAGACGCCTCATTTAATGCCATTGTCTTTGTCATTTACTCGTAACCGCCCCATCAACTCCACTACCCTCGTCATGATCCAGTATTCCAACCAATCATACACGTCCATCGGCAGTTCACGTCCATGCAAATTGGGTCCGGATACAGTTCTTGGAATGCCATAACGTAGTCGACAAGCCTGATTTCAAATCATCTCCATCAGTTAGTTTGTTCTCGGAGTCCCAGCGTATATATAGCGTAACTACAACCCCACGATGAACACTCATCTTCTTGCTCATATACAGACTCTATCTCAACCGTGTATTCTCGATTATTTTGAACATCTCCTCACCAACATTCACCATGTCTTCCATCAAGCCTCTGGTTTTGCATGCCCACCACACAGGCCCCAACCCCTTCAAGGTGGCCATCCTCCTCGAGGCACTCAACATCCCTTACAATGTCAAACTCTGGGAATTCGGCGAGGGCTCTAACGGTCTCAAGGGCCCCAACTTTCTTGCCATCAACCCCAACGGCCGAGTGCCCGCTCTAGAAGACCCAAACCAAAACGTCACCAGTTGGGAAAGCATGGCTTGCGTGAACTACGTTCTCCGAGTTTACGACACCGAGAACAAATTCGGCCCAAGGGAAGAAGCCGGCGAGCAGGGCAGAGTCGACGTCGACAAGTGGGTGAGCTTCTTGATCAGCACAATGGGGCCCATGATGGGACAGTGCAACTGGTTCCGACACTACCACAACGTCAAGAACGACAACGCGTACGAGAGATACCAGGCTCAGGCTCTCCGATGCTTTGGAGTTCTTGAGGGGCAGCTAAAGTCTCACAGCGGAGATTGGATTCTTGCAGGCGAGAAGCCCAATGTTGTTGACTTTCATTTTGAGCCTTGGGTGCGACAGTATTCCCATGCGGGTTTGTCTCTCGACGAATATCCCAAGGTCAAGGCTTGGCTGGATCGAGTTCAGGCGCTGCCAATTGTGACCCAAGCGTATGAGAAAGTCAAGGCTGGAGAGGAGGTCCAATAATCACGCAAAATAGTCTATAAACCATAATTGATACTTTGTCATACTGCCACGTTTGGGCAAAATGATTCTATCGACTTGATCCTTTGTAAAAAGTCGCAAGAGATTCAACACTACTCTCATGTGAATTACACCTAGTTGATAACGTATCCACCATCGACTACCATTGCTGTGCCTTGCACAAAGCTTGCTCTACTACTCGCTAGAAACAATACACAATCAGCAACTTCTTGTGCAGTGCCCATCCGTCCCATCGGCGCGATATTAACTGCCGGGCCCAGAACCTCCGCTTGTGGTCTTGTCATGGCCGTATCAATAACTCCGGGACAAACGGCATTCACACGAATAAGGTCCTTGGAATACTACCAAAGTTAGAGATACAATATCGAGACATCCATCGTTGTGGGCGGGATACATACGTCGATAGCGTCGCACCTTGTCATACTAATCACGGCTGCTTTGCTACCACAGTAAGCGGCTACCGTGGATCAGATGTCAGCAGTTGGAAATAGTAGATCCTCTGAATTGTTAGACTCACGTGCTGCTGGGCGTCCAACTATTCCAAGTTGGCTGGCAATATTAACAATGCTACCTCTGCAACTAGGTCTCCCATCATGCGTAGGCAAAGGATCTTGCTTAAGCATGCGCTGGATCGCTGCTCGTGAAGACAGCCAGCACCCTCGATAGTTGACATTGTTGATCATGTCGAATTCCTCGACGGAAGACTCGTGTGATCTTTTGTTGTTACTCAACACGCCTGCGCTGTTGTCAGTACATGAAGGAGTAAACTACCTACTTGGAACGAACCTGCTGCGTTGACAACATAGTCGATTCGGCCAAACTTTTCGATAGTAGTGTTGTAAAGACTCTCGATCTCAATCGCTTTTGAGATATCTGTTGGGACTGAAATGGCTTGGAAAGCTCGGTCTTTTGACATACTCGCAATCGCTTTTTCTGTTTCCCGTAGCTTGTGTGCATCTCGATCTACAAGTACCAGACGCTTGCAGCCCTCACGAGCAAACGACAGAGCGGTTTCGCGGCCAATTCCTTTTGGCTGATTAGTGGTATGTAGTATGACAGGTTGGGAATCTTACCAGAGGCAGCGCCAGTGACGAGTGCCACGCCTTTGAAGATGGACACCATATTGTCTCTTATATCGGCTGGTTCTGACTTAATCCCTTTGCTTTCAACACAAACAATGCCCATAAATCATTCGTATTGCAGAATTATATGCAGAATTCTTATCAAGAAACTTATATGAAACTCCCACATTTATTTTGCATCAGCATTGGTTCGCGCCAGTTGCCAACCATTAACTAATCTGCGTCTATCAGAACTAATGACGCTAAGCTCCAAACCTGTGGCTAGTGGGTATCACTGATAAGGCTTTCTTATCTTATCCTTATCTCTGGGGTAGCGACTCCAACAGTTGGAGCTTGGTCCACTCATTGGGGTAGCGCTGTCAATGCTCTAGTGCAGGGTAAGTTACTTGACCATCGATTCTGGAAATCAATCCAAATGCATTTTTAATTACTCGGAGGATGGTGAACTTTTGACATATTTATGAGGTGCAGTAAAATCTTCATAGAAGCTTCAGGGTATGGTTGTCAGGTAGATTGTTTGTGACGCGCATCAATAACCGTTTTTCGCGTTTCGAAATACGTTCGGTGGCTCCAAGCAACATCCCGTATTCTCAATTTATTTCTCTCGCCACAAAACAGTTTTCTGTGCGAATGTTCTACATCCCATACAACTAATCGGAATACTCAGTCGGTACGCACATGCTTCATCTCACATTTTAATCTGAGTTCTCGCCTCTTCGATCAGACCGGGTCGATACCTCACACCACCACCATCGCTTAACACAAGACTCCGCCGAATGCCAAGCTCCGGGAACGGTGATCAAGCCACGTCTCCAATTTTGTTGCAATATGGACTCTACCAGTTGAAAGCAATTTTTGCGTAGGGGATCCTGATGGCATTTTGGCTATTTGACAATAATTCGAACATCTCTGAGGAACCGTGAGCTTGACGACTGGGCAGCCAAGATGCTTGCGTCGATCTTGATGCGGGAGAACTAAGACACTCGATGCAAATTTGACAGGGCCAGGCCATCACAAACCGTATTCCTGTCGGAAGGCTTCAACAAGCTTCCCGAACGTTAGCCTCTGCCACGATCGGAGCCGACATTAATTAGTGAGAAGCGGCTCAATCTCCGCAATACATACCCAAGCTAAGCAGGGATTAGCCTCTGATGTTGGATCCGGGGAAAGGTCGAAAGGAAGGCAAAGAAGAGAAAGATCATCGCTTCACCCCGCACTTGAACTGCTCGCACAAGCTTTTAGCAAGCAAAGGCCGAAAAGAAACAAATTAAATGCAATGAAACTTAGACAGAGGGGTAGAGCTTCTTCAGTAGGTAAAGTATGCACGCGGCGTCACTGCGGACACTCGTGATGGGTGGTGTCACCCCCTGTTCGTACTTGTGGGTCAATGTGCTGACACTCAAGTCGAACGATGCGGGAGACTTGGTAAAGCTAGCGATGATATAAAGCAGCCACCGACCTCACTCTCTTCTGTGGAATGATGTAAATCCCGCATGATGCCAAGATTATCAATTCAAACATTCACAAAACACTTCACTCAACAGTTCCGCGGTCCAGCTCTTAGGAACACACGCCCCTCATTCTACAGCACTATGATGCGAGCAGCGAGATACTACGGTATAGAGGATATCCGCGTCGAACAGGTTCCTCAGCCATCAGTTCTCCCAGGACAAGTAAAGGTACAAATATTTACCAAAGAGCAACCAAACCGTATCAGCTACTTATTACAGTAAACAGATCACTCCCGCCTTTGTCGGAATATGTGGAACGGACCTACATGAGTTTTTAGGAGGCCCGAATTTCTGTCCCACAACACCTCATCCCATCACCAAAGAGACGATCCCCGTCACACTCGGCCACGAGTTTAGCGGTGTCATTTCCGAAATCGGCCCAGACGTCAAGGGCTTTGAAGTTGGCCAGCCCTGCGTCGTCCAACCGACTCTATTCTGCGGGCACTGCGCAGCGTGTGGTTCTCATGCAGAAAATGTCTGTCACACGGGCGGTTTTGTCGGCTTGAGCGGAGGAGGCGGTGGTCTGTCTGAAGCAGTCTGCTGTAATGCAACGCACGTCTTTTCACTGCCCAAGAATGTGCCTCTTGAGATTGGTGCACTGGTTGAGCCGCTCTCTGTATCCTGGCATGCTCTTTCTGCGGCACCTGAGATCAACTCCAGCTCAAAGGTTACGATCCTTGGAGGAGGGCCCATTGGTCTTGCTATGATCCTGTGTCTGAGAGCCAAGAATGTCAGCGAGATTATTGTTTCTGAAGTTGCTGCATCAAGACAGAATTTCTCGAAACAATTTGGCGCCACGCGTGTCGTGAACCCGATCGAGGAAAATCTCAAAGATGTTGTGCTGGGCTTGACCGATGGCAAGGGTGCAGACGTTGTGTTTGACTGCGCAGGTGTCCCAGCAAGGTAAATATACCCGTCCAAGTTATTGTTCCCAGCTAACAAGCTTATAGTATCAAGAGTGCCTGTGAGGTTGTCAAGACAAAGGGAACAGTGGTTAATGTTGCCATCTGGGAGAAGGAAATTCCTTTTAACCCGAACTGGATCACATGGAAGGAGAGTTCATACAAGTCTGTTCTTGGATACTCGCGAGAAGATTTCCAAGCTGTTATCGACAACCTTGCCTCAGGTAAGACTTCTAGATATTGTACCTGTATTGAGATATCACTAACATATGTCTTAGGCGCTATTCAGCCTCAACAGATGATCACAAGAAAGATTAAGTTGGAGAATATCGTTGAAGACGGAATTAAGGCACTGATACGTGATAAGGATAACCAAGTCAAGGTGTTGGTGGACATCAATGATAAGTAGGCCAGAGAATGTAACTCACGAGGGCACATCTTAGTGTGGTTTAATTACAGCGTGATAGACGGTGTTGAACAAGCTGAAAACCTCATTCTACGGAAACAAAGCTTGGCTACACTTCTTGCGATACTTATCGCCGTACTTCTGTCCATGGTGGGATGAAGTAGTAGCACACACCATGAATAATACAAGCAATACCATCTGCCACCCTGCAAGACTAGTTAGCATCTCTCAGCAAACAATAAATCATGACATCTTACATACCAGTGGATCCAATGCCACGTTGGAAACCTACTCCCAACAAAAGCCCCCACACACCTAGCAGGATTCAATCCCGCGCCTCCATATCCGTATCTCGTGAAAGCACTTGCAAAACTCATCGTTCCAACACTAAGCCCTACGAGCAACGGCCCCAGCGCCGGGCCAATGACCTTAGCTTGTCTCGGATCCAGGCCTACCCCAAATGCGAGAAACAAGAGAATAGTAGCCGACACGAGCTCAACCACGAATATCTCCCGGGGTGGAACCACTTCTATGAAGAGCCAGCAGCCTCCAGTCTTGAAGTCTCTGCCTCCCCAACTAGCTCTAACCAGCAAACCAGCGAGCGCACTGCCCCCGACTTGAGCGGCGATATAGAGGATCATTCGCGGTAGTGAGCAGAGTCGTGCGCAGAAAGTCGCAAAGGTGATGAGAGGGTTGAAATGTGCACCTGAAATGGCACCAAATGACGTGATGAATAGCGTTATAAAGACTAAGTTGAGAATTCCGCCTATAAGTGGCCCTATAAAGGCAGCGTTGTCAAAGTTTCCCAGCTGTTGAGTTGGCGAAGCAGGAATCACGTCAGGCGAGGAGTTTGCCCATATCGTAATGTAGACAAATAATAACGTCCCTGTCGCCAGTTAGTTCTCCACCGAAACAATAGCATGAAGCTAGAAATACCGATTCCCTCGATTAGAGCTGCCTTCCACAGATTGATATTCGTTATTGGACGGCAGTCCATTAACTCGCGGAACGACATATGTGGCGTAGCATCCGGTTGATGCTGCAGTAACTTCTCGTCTTCGGATGTCACACCATCGACTACATACGCTTGATTGGCGCCGAGTCTTCCGGCGAAAGGTTGACTGTTGCTTTGGTATCGAGGACCCGAAGGCTCAAAGCTGGGTCTTGACTCGACATCTTGGCCAGGGCTTGTCGGTTGCCGGGCCGTGGTCCCCATATTCGCTATCGATCGATGATTCAACGTCGCGATGTCCAAGTCTGTATGAAGTCGAGGTCAATTGGAGCCGTGTTTGATCTATAACCTTCCTCATTTTGCATTGAGAACTCGAGGGATAGAAATTCTGGGCATGTCGTTAAACACTATTGTATTTAAACAGTCGTGTAATGACGTTTCAGAGTCTTACGAGAGTCGTTAGCGGCGCCTTACACATAATGACAGACGCTTACTAACGCTGACTTGACAAATAGCACAGACCAAAGCAAGGGTTGTGTACGATGTTGATTGGCACAATAAGAAAAGACAAGAAGTTGCAAGGAGCTTTTACAAGCTTGAGGTTCGGGTCACCTGTAATCAGTTTAGTTCGGTGCAAATGTTCCGATAATAAGTTGTCTGTATTCATTCAATCTAGGACTTCATAATAACCCTAACGCCGCCTTGTATGGATATCCATCTCAATCTCCCGGCCAGTGATAAACACCTACTGATGCATTTTGAGTTTGCTTTTGTACTAATAAGGGGAATACTCGTTCCCCTCCAGTCATTTTACTGCCTCTAATTTAACAATGGTTCGTTTTCTTCAACGCCATGTTCAGTTTCACGTTCTTGGTCGTCCTTTTCGATTAATATGCTTCCAGTGGGAGGGAAGTTGGACAATAACAACACTCCCATCGCAAGAATGGCGATGGCCTGTACAAGTTAGCATCGAAGCAGCGCGCTAGTTTTGATGGATACGTACCGCGTTGCAAAAGAATGTCGCATATGCTTTGCCAACTTCAGCCAGGCTAGCAAAGATGAAACCAAAGAGGCCCTGGGTGGCGAGACGCGCAACGTTCTCTACCAGCGTCACGGCGTTGAGAGCATCGGCGCGCTGGGAGTCTGGACACATTTGTGTGATGACGCCTTTTGCTGCAGGGGCAGAACCCGAGCCGAATGGAAGAAGGAACGCAGCTGTTTCGTTAGTCGGTGATTTTGCTACGGAGAGATGTACAACACTTACAGAGATAGATATGCCATGGGCGTGTTGCAAAAGCTGCCACCGTTGTCAGAGCACCGTCGATGAGAAGACTCCAACGTAAGAAGACAAGGTCGAACAGAGATCCTTCATCTTCTTTCTTCATGTTCACTGCCTCATAGGGCTCGTGGTCTGCCTGCTCGCCCAAAGTTGCATCGAACTCTCCAGCGGTCGTGGGAATATGTCGCGTTGCCTCTTCGTCGCCCTCATCGTCAGAGTTCGCCGCAGAACTGATGACACGACCACGTCCCCAATTGATAATACGAGGGAACAATATAATCAAGAACAAACTTCTCATGATGGCAAACTCAGACATGAGCCAACCATTGTCTGACTGACTGAAGTTGAAGGCTGCAGTCGCATACATCTGGATCAACAGTGGAGCATAGCCTGTAGCAAGTACACCGAGGAAGATGCCACTGCAAAGGAAGATGACGCCAAGGTGTTTCTTGACCTTTCCATCTGCTAACCGTAGTTTTTGAGGAGTGAGGATCTTTAGAGGCGCTAAGAAGCCCGAAACGCCCTGCTGACCTGGCTTTCCGCCGTTGGACATCGATTCCGGGGAGATGTATGGCAGCGCCATCCACACGTAGATACCCGCGAGAATAAAAGAGACAAAAGCCACGTCAAAAGGCGCCCTGATGTCAATAGCGTCACCAATCATCCCACCAGCTGCGAAAAACGTCAGTTTGCGTTGCCATGACTAGCCGTTGTAAAGAAAAAAACATACTGAGATAACCAATGCCCTGCCCAAGCATGATGGCGCCCTGCAGCTGCCCGAATACCGCTGTTCGCCTGATGGGTTCGACAACTTCACCAGCGATGATGTTCACAACAAGACTATTGAGCAAGTAAGTAACTGAACCTTCTCAAAATCTGAAACGGACTCACATGTAGCCAGCTGGACCACCCAAAATAGTAATAAGTTGGGTCGCCTGGATAATCATCATGCCATCGCGCTTACCGGCCACAACTCCGATTATTTGTGTGACGACTCGAATTGCAGGGATGAAGATTTGGACCAAAAGTGCGGCACGTGGTCCAAACTTTTTCGATGTCCAGCCCGTCACAAATAAATTCAAGGTGCCTAGACATCATTAGCGTCTTGTTGCAAATGTCTGACAAAATTGGCACACCGCAAAATGTTGTACTCATCCCCAGAATACTGAACTGAGTTGCTGTTCCGGCTGCAATCTCATCCCGACTGCACCTGTCGCCTGGGCCTTCGTAGGGAGGATGTGTATCGTAGTATGAATCGCATGTCATCAAATGAAACACATAAAACAGTCTGCGAAAAGTCAGATTGGAGTAAACGGATTTTACAGGGACACACTCACGGAACTTGCGTAAAACTGAAGGCTAAGGTGACGAGAAACCCCGCAAGAAGAATTCGATTTTCAACATTAAAAACTCTTTGTAGCCAACTTTTGACACTACTCTTCCCTTCTCCCTTGTTGGAAAGGAGTGGTGTCGTCTCGTCGCTCGCCATGTTTTAGCGTGACTCCCAGAAACAAGTAAAAATATGATGTCAAGTCGCAGCAGATAAAGCGAAAAAAAAAACGAGTGATGATAAATGCAATTGCGAGATCGCTATCAATTGATCGGCGAGGGGCCGTGGAAATTACCAGATGGGGCATAGTGGGATTTCCGGCATTATTCGGGTATTGCGACACGGTCTGTTATCAGTCACAGATGACGTGCTTTTCTCATCTTCGCCTGAAGGCTTAATAGACGTAGACCTTGAATGAGAAGATTCTCCCTTACTTCCTGAGACTACGCTCCAATTCTCCAAAGCATGATGATCCCCAGGTGCGAAAGGTATAATCAGTGTTAAAGAAATACTTTTCAGCATCCCCTGCCATCAGCGTATGTTCTTTTACAACGCGCTCCCAATCATTCTCGGCAGGGAATGTGGGTTTGAGCTTTGGGCACGCAGCCAAGAGTTGTTCAACTTCTAAAAGTTGAATCTCTTTGTCCAGGTTGATACAAATCACCTCCAGATTTTTCAACAATTTGAGACTTCTGAGAACCTATATATCCATTTTGTAGCGTTCTGAGATGCTGATCCGTTGAATAGTAGCTGCGTGTCTACTGATCATCTCGACGAGAGCTGCGTTCACCTCGGGTCGTGCAAGCTTCATAGCGCCCAGATCAATGGTCCTGAGCCGCGGCAGGCTTGCACGAGCAATATCCATTATGCCTTCAGTTCCGATTATATTGCAGTCGCCTAGAATGAGCTCCTCCAGGACGGGCATCCATGGCAAAAGCAGACCCAGCTTGATTTCGTCACGTGTGAAAAGATCTAGATGGAAACGACATAGTGTCGGTCCCCAGAGTCGGAGAGACTCAATAACCTCGTCTGTTAATTTTAGCTTGCTCCCGAACGTCGCGATGTGGAGTTTCTGCAGGGCAGGACTTTGCTGCCAGAGCTGGGGAAAGAATCCTGACAGCGCGTCTCTTGATGTGATAGAGAATGACGTTAGGCTAGACGATAGGTGTGGCAGAACAGCATGCTGGAACCATTCCGCATATCCATATAGTTTAACGTCAGTTAGCTGCTGGGCAAACTTTACAAAACGCTTCTCATTGGGAAGGACTGGGTAACGTTCCAGTTCGCACGCCGGTAATTTGTCCAACTTAAAGTGAAAAGACGTGACGGAGGGAGACGTATTCAGCAGCTTAGCTAGTTCACTAAGCTTTTGGTTGTAGAACTCGGCATTTTTGTATGATGATTTAGTCCGATAGAGCCGCACCAGATTAAGTGTTGAGAAGTTTGGGCAGGCTCGGACTGTATCGACCATGAGCCGACTGTTGCTTGGCTTATGGTGCCAGTAAAGATCCAATTTTTGTATAAGACGCGCCCGCCGAGGCTCGACAGCTAACGAGAACCTGAATAAATATTGGTACTCAATATCTGCCAGTCGTTCAAACCCGGACTGTTTATACAGAAATGCCTCAACAATCTCTTGGAACACCCGGCAGGTACGTGCCAGAGCAAAAATGTTATTGAGACAAAGGCCGTGGTCTTTCTCATAGTCAATATCGCCCGACACAGTCGCGTGGTGTATGATGATCTGGTATATCTCAATAGGTAAACTGAAGACTTCAATTCGTGGTTGGTGAATTTCCGTCGGTTGCTTGGGTTCCGGCAGAGGAGGGAACCTAGGGGTACGGCGGTACAAATCGACAGTGGCTTGAGCTCGACGCTGTGATGCTGGGTCATACGGCCTTTGCAGTGCTATTGTTCTCAAGTTGTTGGTGAATCCGGCCATTTTAAGGCCAATGGAAGTGTCCTTTAGTCTGTGATTTACTTGGCTTGTCCTCGGAAAATCCATGGTGTTTGATGCTGTCATATCCTTCCTTATTGTCCGGTTTGTCTATTGAACTGTCTTGTGAGGGTTAAAAAGTGGCGGGAGACTTTTATCACAATACTTGAGGTCTCTGAAAATAGGCGAATATGTTCAACTTATTGCTATTGTGTGGATACATGTCTGTGATCATCACGTGAAGGTTTATGAACAGAGAGAACCAACACAACTATTGCCTCAGGCAGAGGAGCCGTGATTATTACAGCCGACGCATGTAGTCCCTTTTCATATGCCGTACTCACTGGAGTTCTGGTGCCCAATAGCTTAGTCTCTGGCATAGACATAGAGTATCTTCATCGACAATCTTTTTACTACCCACTTCATATCAATTACACCTCTCACATCAAGTACAAGGGCCAAGCTATGAAATTCCCCGATTGAGAATAGAAAATCAAATAGAGCGATATCGCTTAGCGATATGTGCTTAGTATTTCAATACAAATGCGGTAATTCTCTGGCACAGTATGCTCCTTGGGATGGCGTGATGACAACTGATCATCACAACATCATTACGCCATGAGGATCCATCTTGTACGCAACACCTTCTAACTACATTTACTGTTAAACTACTATACTATACTTTTGGCTACTGTCTCACCGCTGTTAATTAGAACCCACAATTGTAAAACGACCTGTTGATACATAATCACACAATTTCTCTAATCAATAGCACCTTGCAGGAATTCTGAGCACTGGCGGGGTATATATAGGACTCTAGATAGTTAAATTCAATCTCTCAATAAACCATCAAGATTAAAACATATCAAAGACAGCTTATTCTCTCAATACCCTGTTAGTCGAATAAGACTTCCGCACGCCAAAATGCCCACCTCACTTTACGATCTCATTATTCCCACCTTTGAGCAAGGTCTCCAGACCTTCGATCACGTTCTTAGCCAAGCCGAGAAATATGCCAAAGACCAAGGCCTCAATGCCGACGACGTTTTCCCCCAAGCTAGACTCGTCGACGACCAGCTTCCTCTCACGTTCCAAGTTCAGAACGCCACCAAGATTGTCCAAGTAACCATCGGTCGCTTGACGGGCGTTGAGCCTACACCTTTCGAGGACAACGAGAAGACTATTGCAGACTTGCACGCTCGGATTCAGAAGACTCTCGAGCTTATCAAAAGTATCAAGCCTGAGGATGTGAATGCCCGAGAGGACACAAAGATTGAGCTGTAGGTTATACAACACCAATGCAAGATAATATGCTAACCCTTCTCAGAGCTCGTGCCACCGAGACCCTTCATTTTACTGTTAAGGAGGCTGCACTTAAGCATGGACAGCCAAACTTCTTCTTTCATCTTGTGACTGGATACTCCATCCTGCGAGCCAAGGGTGTCCCGGTTGGCAAGAATGACTTCCTTGCCAACTTTCTGAAACAGTAGAGATGGATACAAGATGACGTATACAGTAGTAAGGCATCCGATGGCTTAGATCACATAGAACGTGTGAAGGGATAGGAAAGATTGTCATGGCAATTGCCAATGTTGAGACTCTGTCCATTGCCGTCAAAGGTAGTCAAGTTATCGCTGGTTCACACTCAAAATGAAATAAAATATATGAAATCTGTTCAAAAACAAAAGAGAGTTTGTATTTCCGTTGACTCGTGACACATAAGTGAAAGTAAGTAGAATAATAATAATACACAAATACCCATCAAGTTCAATGGGACAGAATAAAAGAGCGGATAAGGTCAGTGCCCGCTGTAAACATCCGTCCATTTCCTCAACTGCCCCAGGCAGTTATCTCGTTTACTCTCGCATTTCCACCTAATCCCAATTCTCCTAGTAAGGCTTCTGGCCGGCAACATTGCCAGGACCGGAATACCGAGCAACAGTGTACCAAGCGCCCTTGGAGTCCCTGGCGGCAGCAATACCGACTTTGGTGGACTTTTCCCAGACACACTGAGCTGTTGCACGCGTCAGTCAAAAGTAAAACCTCAAAGTTAGGTTTCAGACTTACTATAGTGGCCATACTGGGTGAAATTGCCCTTAGGGATCTTCTCTCCTTTGTAGTTCTTCTTCTCATTGAGCCTGGTATGAGGGTAAGCTTCAAGAGTTATGAATCGACAAAATAGAACATACCAGCCCTTGGTTCCAGCGGTGATGGGGTTCTTGAAACCATTGCTTGAGTAGGCATAGGCCAAGTTCTCGCCCTGACCAGAACGGTCCTTAGACTCCGAATGCTTCATCTTGCCGGCCTTTGCAATCTTTCTCGCCCAGGTAAGAGCGGCTTCCTCAAGCTTGTAGTCCCAGACAAGGCCCTTGACATTTACCTTCTTGCGAGCCTCGTTATGGAGTCGCAGTGACTCCTTGTCGTCAGAGCTCATAGAGGCTCTAGCCATAAGCGTGGAGAATAGGTCGCGTTTCTCATCACTATCTGAATCGAAACTACATGAGTCCTCATCGTCGTCGTCATCACTGGATGGAAAGCAGAGAACTGGATCTGTTCCGAGGCCATCGCCTGAGATAGCAGGTAAGAAACCAAAGGTTTCTTCAATGTCTGTGCCATGCGATTTGCCGGGGGCGGGTACTGCTGACGCGCCAGTAAGGAGGTACAGAGCGAGAAGGAGGGAACTCTTGGTGTTGGGTGTGGATAGAAGCATGTTGCCTTGTTGTTGAAAGTGCTTATAAGGCTTGAAGTTGTTGTTATGCTGGTATAGAATTGCTGGATGTAATATGGTCCGACTGTTTGATCTTTATATACCCGTTGAAACTCTTATACTTAAAGCTTAAATGTTAAACCAGTTTATTTCTGACGTTAAACCTGCTGACGTCGATGCGTGGCGTTGAACAATTAGCTGCGGATAGATCAGAATCCGTGAGATCGGCGACCCTGGAGACCCTTCTTCTCGCTGCCAAGCTTAACTTTAAATATCCAGGGGCAAAAGGTACATGGCTTTCTTGGCTTATACTGATCGATTTGGTGGCTTCTCGTCCTGCTTTTTGTGGTGGTAAAGTTATGCATTTTGATGTTCTAGCCCTACGGATTTTTACAGTACATTCTGAAAACAGATCGTGGTGTCTCAGCTATTGGGAACTAACGATTTCGGCACTCTTTGTCCAACGCATTCAATAAACAGTACCGCTAGCGCGTCATTTTTACTGAAGCAAGGGATAAACTGCCGAAGTACATTTCTTGTTTTTCAATGCCATTGTCCGCCGTCAGAAAATGTTGCAGGCACAGTCCCTGGCCATCGCTTAACCAGGGTTTTTGATTGGAAGATCTTAACATTCGGAGTCCATGATCTCATATTTTGAACATGTCAAGAGTCCGAGAGAGCATCATTCCACCCAGATTGTACGTATCATAAAGACGTCGATGCAATGAAGTACGCGACCTTCAGCTGAAATAAGGCCACGTGCTTGGCCGCTTGTGGAATAGAGACATTCCAAAGTAGGTACCAGCCGTTCCCATCTCCAGACGTTTCATAGCTCCAGCGTCAAGATCCAGCTGTCAGCCTGTCAATTCCAAGCTTGAAAGCTCGTCGTAATCTTAGCCAAGCTGAATTCTGCATTCGTCATTCACATATCTGAGACAATTCAATGTCGCATTAAACATTGCTGATTTCGACGTGGAATCCACTACCTCCGCCAATAAGGAATGCCATTCAAACCTTGACCAGCACAAACTCGCCCACTTGGCCGAAAACGGCATTTGCCTCTGTTCAGGGCCCAGCCGTTGGTCTAAATGTCTTGACGCAGGGGAATTCCAGGTTGGCGGAGAGGGTCTCATGATGAAGATGCAGGTCCGGTGATTCATACCATTTTTGCTGGTTTCTTAGCTGGAATCAACTACATCGCGGCCGTTGAGAACGACGCGGCCAGGTTTAGTTGCCACCTTGCATCACCGCTGATGGGATGGAATTCGGAGGAAATGCGCCGGGGTTGACTGATTTTCTGAAGCGAATTGTGAGCAAGCAAGATCCATGCATGCTACTTTTCATTTATTCACATTATTATCAAATGTTAAGACTTTCACCAAGTAAAGACTACCAGGCGTTGGAGAAATTGCAAGATGCCGTATCTCTTTGCCTGTTACCTAGAGATGCAGTCTCATATCTAGCATATTGACGAGAACTTCCACCAAGATTGTTTCCAGTCAGGACAAGATCAAGGGCGGATCATGAACAGCGTTAATCGGACTAGATCTATACCGTGCGTTCTTCTTCACTCATGCTGTAATTGTAAGTAGTTGATAAGATAAGAGCGCCCTGAGATCGGGCTATGTCAGCGGATTAACGATAGTCCTGCAAAAGTGAACTTACTGAGATTCACCAGTTTCTCGAGCTCACACTGTACACACTAAACTGAATGACTCCACAGGTACAGGGTAACGGCAATCTCATGCAGAGATACTACTATTATCCCAGCCAGGAATTTATAAAAGAAATCCTAACGATAAATGAAACTATACAATAAATAGATTATTTTATAAATAATCTTGTATGTGATTGTATAAGATTATAGACAAGGAAAGATTTGACAATAATTTGTATTGTCTCAGGTATTGTTCAAAAGAAAGAAAGTAACCAAGACTTTCCTGTTTTGTCGCTCACATTGATCTCTTTAACGAAACAAGTATTTTTCCTCAAGCTCAATTGCGTAAAGACTTACTCCCTGGTAACTGTAAATACATGGATTAATAAGTGTACCAAACAATACTTCGTAAGAGAAATGTGACTGGATTTCAATGACTAACGTAAATATCACCGTTTGTTCCCCCTCCCTTGTAAAATTGAGAAAGATATCTTGTCCAGCTCCTCCCTAACAGCACGATTCTTGGCAGCATGGCCATGCGTTCGTTATGTGGTAGACTACGGATATGATTTCCTCAATTAGGGCTATACTTCTGATAACTCAGATCCACGAGACTGGTTCATAGGGTAGTAATCTAATGGATTGCATGAGTACCAAGTTTCACATGCTACTATAACTAATTTATCACACGTAAATACTTCAAATCTTTTTATCGCCAATGGTGGCTTTAAGAATCTAGATACTCGTTAAATCGAGGCTCAATCTCGCATGGTCGAGACCCCCGTCCGGGCTTGAATGCGAAAATGCAACTCCGCGGTAGTAAAGAAGAGGTGGCTGCTGATACATGGATGTAAGATGCAGGGTACAGGAAGAAGGATGCACCGATGTGTCAAGTAATGAACAATGCCCTATAACACAAACTGCCCACTGATTCTTATCAAGATACCGCCCTGCAGATTCACGGCCGCCGGCCAGTGAGCATTTATTACTTATTTCCACGTTCCAGCGATCGACCTGATAAGCATGCATTAAAGGCTGGGGTTGGGGGTCTCTACTAGCCAATCATGTACGTGGCTTTCTTATCATTGCCCCCATGGGGAATACTTATCGTGCGCCGGGGAAAATTGCTTATCTGCGCCCGCCGGCATTTGGAGACTTTATCATCGGTATTGGAAAGCTTGCAAAAAATGATGAAGTTGTATATATAGCAATGGTTGGAATTGTGATGGAGGTTTCATGATAGATGCCGCTGTGACAAACCGTTTATATTCACGTAGTCTTACTTTGCAAATACATCACAATGGCTGGTGGCGGCGGTCCTTCATCAGGCACAGTGGAGCCCCCTCTGAGCCAAGCCTACGGTTATGGCATCGTCGTGGGCCTTGGGTTTCTCTTTGCCCTGGGCATGATTCTCACAACGTGGGTTCTCAAGAGATATAACAATGAGAAGCAAACTTCGGAAATGTTCAACACTGCCGGCCGAACGGTCAAATCTGGGCTTGTGGCATCAGCTGTGGTTTCTAGCTGGACCTGGGCTGCTACTTTGCTTCAGTCATCTGGTGTTGCATACCGATATGGAGTCTCTGGGCCTTTCTGGGTAAGCTGCGAATTGGATACATTGATTATCAACCCGTGACTAACAATGGCCAGTATGCCTCAGGTGCCACTGTTCAGATCATTCTGTTCGCGACAATTGCCATTGAACTGAAGAGAAGAGCACCAAATGCGCATACCTTCCTCGAAGTCATTCGGGCTCGATATGGTCGTATTACCCACTGCGTGTACATCTGCTTCGGCCTCTTCACCAACATTTTGGTGACGGCAATGCTTTTGACTGGTGGCTCTGCTGTGGTCACTTCGCTTACTGGCATGCATACTGCTGCGGCGTGTTTCTTGCTGCCGTTGGGTGTTGTTTTGTACACCATGTTTGGAGGGTAAGTTAATCTGTCCACTTTTGAATTGTAGCGATCTAACAGATATACAGTATCAAGGCCACCTTTTTGACAGACTACGTACGTTGATCTATGGATGGGGGTATTGGCGAGCTGAAACTAACATCTTCAGGTCCACACTGTCATCATTCTCGTGATCATTCTCATCTTCGCACTCACAGCCTATGCAACCGGTAGTGAGCTTGGTTCTCCCGGTGAAGTTTACGAGGCACTTACCAAGGCTGCGGCTTCGCACCCCGTCGAAGGAAACGCCGAAGGTTCATACCTCACCATGCGATCTCGCGAGGGCATCATCTTCTTCGTCATCAACATCGTCGGTAACTTTGGTACCGTTTTCATGGACAACGGATACTACAACAAGGCCATCGCCGCCCACCCTGTCGCCGCGCTTCCTGGATATATCATCGGTGGTCTTTCCTGGTTCGCCATTCCCTGGCTCTGTGCGACTACCATGGGGCTCAGCGCTTTGGCTCTCGAGACTAGTCCATCGTTTCCGACATATCCCAACAGAATGGACCCTGCCGATGTCTCGGCTGGTCTTGTTCTGCCGTACGCTGCTGTTGGTCTGCTGGGCAAGTCCGGTGCGATTTGCACGCTGATCATGATCTTCATGGCGGTCACATCTGCTACTTCGGCGCAGCTCATCTCCGTCTCTTCGATCTTTACCTACGATGTTTACCAGTAAGACTCACCCCCCGCCTCCCCTCATACAGTTCTAACATTTCTTCAGAACATATGTCAACCCCAAAGCCTCCGGCAACCGTCTCATCGCTATCTCGCACACAACAGTCGTTTTGTACGGTCTCATCATGGCCAGTTTCAGTGTTGGCCTTCATTACGCTGGTATCAGCATGGGCTGGCTCTACCTTTGGATGGGTGTGATGATTTCTGCCGCTGTCATCCCAGCGACTCTAACCCTTCTCTGGAAGCGACAAAACTGGATCGCGGCTGCATTCTCACCCGTCCTTGGCCTCTTTTGTGCCCTTATCGCCTGGACTGTTACTTGTGCAAAGGAGTTCAATGGTGTGCTGAGTGTTGACAACCTTGGCACTAACAACCCCATGCTTGCAGGTAATGTTGTCGCACTTTTGAGTCCTCTCATCTTTGTGCCACTTTTCACATTCGGATTTGGCTCTGACAGCTACGACTGGGCGTCTATGGCGGCTATCAAGCAGGCCGATGACATTAGCGACTCAAATGGAGACTCGGAGACAGCTGTTGTAACCAGCTTTGCTGTGGCTCCTGAGGAGGACATGGCAAAGTTGAACAGAGCGTCCAAGATTGCAAAGACACTGACGGTCTGCATGACACTGGCTCTTCTCGTTCTTTGGCCGATGCCCATGTACGGTTCATCTTATGTCTTCTCAAAACAGTTCTTCACTGGCTGGGTCACGGTCGGGATTCTTTGGCTGTGCTGCAGTTCCATTGCAGTCGGTCTCTTCCCTCTTTGGGAGGGTCGACACAGCCTTATCCGCGTCACGAAGGGTATGCTTGGGATGAGCAAATCGGATACAACGGAAGAGATCCAAGGAAAGGTCGTTGGTGAAGAAAAGATTGATGAGTTTGAGAAGCAGTAGTTGTTGGAGTTAAAATCTGAGATTGATACCAAATTGAGTTATGAGTTGTTCGTTTTACTTGTTGCAGAAAGCCGTTAAAGTGATATTTGAAGTTATTCGTATTGACCGTTCTATTGCAATGAGTGGGGTCGTGACACTAGGAATTAATGGACCCCGCCAGCTCAAGACGTCAATAACCATTCCAGACTTTGCATCAAACAACATCACAGCAGAACCTCAATCCGAAATGGTCGTCATCAATCTGGCCTACAGCGCCCCCATTAACCCAAGCGGCGCTACTCCTATCCTCACCGAAGCGCAAATATGGAACGGTCTGAAGCGCAAGGTCCGCCACGCTAACGAATTTGTGGCCCCCATCATCGAATGTCATGTCGTCAGTGAGGAGCAAACAGAAACGGGCAAAAAGGTCACTCGTGAAGTTACATTCGAAAAAGGAACTCGAGGAAACCAAAACGAAATTGTCAAGGAAATTGTGTACGAATTTGAACCAAGCCGTGTCGACTTTCATCAGCCAGATGGAAGCAACATCTTCAACCTCGTCAGTGTTGACCAGGATGGCAATTTGATCATGACCTACGCCTTTGAATGGCGACACCCGGAGATTGCAGTGGATAGCGAGCAGGTGAAAGGTTTGCGTGAGAAATATTTCAAGGTGAGTAACGCGCCCACTTTGGCATTGCTGAAAGCTGACTTTGGACTCAAGATGGCCAAGGGCGCGGTGGAGGGGTCTATCGATACCATTCGTCGACTGGTGAAGGAGGAGGAGCTTTGAAGGGAATGTCTACTTGATTTGTTGCATTTTCATTTACGAGTACCTGGTAACATAAAGAAACTACAAGGAAATACTTTGCTCCTGGACAGATTCCTGACTGTCCTCCGTATTCCGAACAGGAATGACCAAGATATCGTAGTATACAACCACTCTCTTTTCTCCAATCTCTTCACAATCATCATTGATCTTGTCCTCGAATCGAGCTTTCATATCTTGAAAAGCGACATCATCATCCTTAGGCACCAGATCATCCCAACTCATACCTCTGCGCTGGAGGATAAACTGCACTGACTCAACATCTTGGAAGCCATGAATAGTCTGGAGCTCGTCCATTGATAAGGATTTGAAAGTACCGCGGGGATCCCAAACTCGAAAGACTCCAGGAGATTTTTGAATCCTATACTTTATGCTTATCCTTGGTAGTTTAGGGGTTGCCCTCGCTACTGACTGCGGGAGAGGGATTGGAGGTGGCGGCATTGTCCTTCTCGCATCAGATTCCTCTCTCGGAGGTGCTGTATATTCAGTGTGCGGCACTTCTGCCGCTACTGATTCAAGGATTGTTGAAGGGTTCTGAAGATCGCCTAGATGAGATTGCGCCCGGCTTGGGGTTCCAAGATCTGGACTACCACGACGGCTTACATTGCTCCGTTCAGTGGGCTCTGGAGACTTCGATACAGATCCAAACTCTTCCACAAATTCCGGCGTATCAACAAAGCCTTGGCGCTCAACAGGCCTCCGCCTCCGACCGGACAGCGTGTGGGTGCCGTTGAGCACACCGATTGTTGCTTCAGCAAGTGACGCTGCATCCTGGCTTTCAGTCATGTGCGCAACTGGGGCTGGTGGTGGTATGTAGCTTGTGGAAGCGTCGGCCAGATTTGGTTCTGTCTCAGGGGACTTCCTGTTTTCTCGAAGTGCCTCCTTGGTCTGACCATCCGTTGCTAGAGACTTGTTTGGTCAGCCAGTTCCTAACGTTTATAGCACAATGGAGTTGGCAAGTTTCCCCAGGAGCAAAGTAAACTTACATGGTCAACCGTTTCATTGTTCAAGGGATCCTGGTACGGACTTGGAGGGTATGAGCCAAGACTACTCCATTCATCCATCCTCGAGCCTACATCATCACTTCGATCATCCGGATGGTCTGTTATCCCAGCCACCTCCGAGTCTTTGTTTTGAAGTCGGAAAGCTGCCGTCGGGCTGATGGAACACTCTTGTCAGCTAGTATGTCTTGTCTCAATATTCGGAGATGTACAACCTATGATCTAGAGTCTGCGATCGACGCGACAGGTCATCATTTGGCACTGATGGACGAGAACTCTTGTATCGCGCTTGATAATTAAGACGATAGAATAATCGTTTAATCAGCCACCGTATCCTAAAGACATAGTCAGACCTGTATTTAATGGCTGACTTCAAAGTAACTTATAAGCCATATGTCTAGACCACTTACCGACTGCTATCTTCTGTCCATATCAGCCGAGGTTTCGATTCTGAAATCCCAATATCAGACCAGAATTGTGGTCCTCTTATTTCCAAAAACTTATCCGCCATTATCTGGAGCTCTTTCGCATGAGTGCCATCGTGCCACGCCACGAATTGACACCCCGCAGTCCCATCCGCACTCTTATATGTCTTTCGGAATATCTCCAAAGTGTGGTTGAAGTATATGCTTCGGCTGTCACGGGGGATGCCGAATCCCAATGACTTTCGGAGATCTGTGATGTTGGGAATGTCTTTCACTTTAGGTTTAGTCATTATCAAAGATAGAGACCCGGTACTGACAGGATTGGGAGGAGAATTGATAATGGGGCGGGGGAATAATTTAAAAAAAAGAAAAGACGGAGTTTGGGAAGTCGAGAACGGCGTTTTTTTAAGGAGGCCTCATCTTGGCTACGATATTGGGTCTGACTTGTCTCAGCCCCCTAGCCAAGGCAAATCGCGGAGGCCATGAGCTGAAGCACTCTATGAAAGCTACTAGGTCTCCCTATATGGCCTTATAACCCTTTTTTCATAAATCGATTCGGATAAGCAGCGGAGATTCAATGCAACAGTCAGCAGAGATATTGTTTTTATCCAAAACTCTTTCTCGCATACCATTTGTAGTTTTATTAACTAAACTATGTCGTCTTGACATAATCCCGATTAAATAGCTGGCGCTTCGGGGCTGTTGTTGGTTGACTTTCTCAGGGCCAACATGTTAAGGCCTATGCACGATGTTCCTTCGAACCAATAAGAATCAGTTCCATCGGCCAACGAAGTTTCTTCAACCTAAAAATAGCAGGTCGTCTCTTCTCTCTTTATTTCTTCCTTCTTTCAGCGCTTGTTAGTGTCCTTTACTATAATTCCACAATTCCTCTGCAACTATACTGTACTTGGTAAAGCATTGTGTAGACCCAGAATGAAGCTTTTCCCATTCAGATATTCACTACATCTTTTGACAATTTCCACCCTAAATGAATCATCCATATCACTAGGAATGATCTTAGATGCTCATTTTCGATAAAGGTGGCGGCCAGTATTATTATTTGTAGTAAGAGTATCTCGGATTGAATACCGTCAGTCTCACAATTATTTATATTCTCGTAACTGCATCTCAACATAAGATGCTGGTGCAACACCATCGCAAAGTCACATCGGCACATTCTATGCTCTTTCTTAACACGATATGTTATTGGATTTTTAAACGCAACGCCTCAGTTCTGCAGTTTGATTCCAGCCCAGTACTTCGAGCAGGTATTTGTGATGCTTCCAGAATAGCGGCATGCGGGAGACCTTGCTCCAATCACATCTGCGATTGGTAATCTAGAATCCTATCTGACATGTTCCAAACTATTGGCTCAACCTGCAGTTCAGCCACGAACTTAATCGTACGTAAGCTTGCTAGTCAGTTCACACTCTAATTGAAAGCTTACCTCCTAACCACAATCCTTTTTTTTTTGTACCAGAAGTGCATTTCATTTCGATACAGGGAATTGTTATATCTCAAAGTTGCGTCTCCATTGGGTATTTTTACCAATGTAATATGTTTCAAGAACAAAGGATTCCAAGCTTCAAGATCAGTCATCAATTCAAGGTTTCCGAGGAGCGGGGGAAGCGGAATAACATTAAGCTTGATTACACTCAAAAAGTTCCTTTCGCAGGCATATTTACCCATCAGGCCATATCAGGAAGGTGAATAACGCGCCGATCCCTCCTTTCAATCCCCCGCAGTACGGCCAAGTAGCCAAGACCAGTCTAATCATTGGCCAGCTTCCCAAGAAAGTTACAGCGGTCTGGTCCAGCGTGGCATGACGACATTGAAGGCAGCTATCCCGAGCTCAGGATCGTAAGCTGACTGGCTTGGAAAGGAAGCTCAACGGGTCCAGCTCGATCATGATAACGGTTTGAGCAAATCAAGACTACTCTTGGCTTCAATTGCGAAAGCCTGTTTATTGGGGATACCAAGGATCTAATGGGGTTCTGCGCAATGGTATCATTGCATGGCAGGATGACATGGCAGAATAGGTATGGTGCTGTGTGACAGGAGCTGCATTTATATCCGTCAATCCCCAGCTTCTTTGGAAAGCTACCCCTCTCTAGCAGAATATCGAATGCTATTGTAAGGTGCAATTGGCATTGATATTCCATCATGCACTTTAGACAGCTTTCTGTGCTTGCGGCTTTCGCCTCCGGCGCATCCGCTTGCCAGCGTGATCTCGTCCTCTCTAAACGACACACGCATCGTCAGCCCTTGTCCAAGCGCAACGACAATTGGCCTCCGGTCTTGACGGAGCAGGAGACCTTGCTCGTCAATTCTTTCGATAACTCCTCCATCGATCGATGGTCTGACTACTATGGTCACCAGAACAAGCTTGCCGGCTATGGCAAAGAAGCTGCTCAGTGGACTGCAGACAAGTGGGCAGAGAATGGCTTTGACTCGCACCTCGCCGAGTATCATATCTTTCTCCGATACCCCGTCAGCTCGTCTTTATACTTCACGGGTCCCAATGGCACAACCGAGGAAGTAAACACCAAAGAAGAGGTCCTTGAGGAAGACGACGTTACTGGCCGAGATGAAATTTCTCAGCAAACCTGGCTAGCTTACTCGCCTACTGGTAATGCTTCCGCGGAATACGTATATGCTGGGTAAGTCATACCTGAACGATTGGAAAGTCACTGTACTCACATCCATCAACCAGTCGCGGCTCAATTGACGATTTCGACCGCCTCGTTGAACTGGGTGTTGATTTCAAGGGAAAGATCGCTCTCATCAAGTACGGAGGCCTTTTCCGTGGCCTCAAGGTCAAGAATGCTCAAGACCACGGCGCTATTGGTGCAGTCATTTTCACGGATCCTGGTGACGATGGAAACATCACCGTTGCCAACGGCTACAAGGCCTACCCAGGTATTTTCGATTCTCAATAAGAACCTTGGATTCACGCTCACTCTGATCTTAGATGGCCCTGCCAGAAACCCAAGCTCTGTTCAAAAGGGCTCAACTCTATTCCTCTCCACTCGCACCGGAGATCCCACCACTCCTGGCTACCCCTCCAAGAAAGACTCACCCCGAGCCGATATCTCTGAGGTTATTGCCAAGATCCCAGCCCTTCCTATTTCCTACTCGGCTGCTGAGCCTCTGCTGAAGGCTCTCAACGGCCATGGCGTTTCGGCAGAGAAGGTAAACCGCACTGCTTGGACAGGCGGACTCAAGGTGGATTATAGTACTGGCCCTGCTCCTGGCGTGAAGCTGGATCTCAGCACTGTTTCTCGCGATTCGATTGAACCTGTCCATGATGTCATTGGCGTCATCAACGGTACCAACGCGGACGAGACTATTATTATTGGAAACCATAGAGATACATGGATGGTCGTAAGTCGAATTGTTATTCTGGGGTAGTAACCAATACTAATGTTCCTAGGGCGGCAACGGTGACCCCAACTCTGGCTCTGCCATCCTCATCGAGCTATCTCGCGCTCTCAAGAAACTCACAGAGTCAGGCTGGAAGCCCAAGCGAAACATCGTCCTTGCATCCTGGGACGCCGAAGAATGGGGCATCATTGGATCTACTGAGTGGGTTGAGGAGCACGTCAACTGGCTCACCGACACTGCTGTCACTTACCTCAACATCGATGTCGCCGTGAGCGGTCCCAGACCTAACCTTGGTGCATCACCTGAGCTTCACACCTTTGCCACTGAGACTCTCAAGAAGGTCATTGACCCCAACTTTGGCGGCTTCAACAAGTCACTCTACGAAGCTTGGCATGATGCTACTGAGGGTGATATTGAGGTTCTGGGTTCTGGCTCTGATTACACTGCCTTCTTCCACCGCGGTATCAGCGCTCTCGATACAGGTAGTGGTGGAGGAGCCAACGACCCTATTTGGCATTACCACTCCAACTACGACACCTACCACTGGATGTCCACCTTTGGTGACCCAGGTTTCCACACCCACGTTGCCCAGGGACAGTACCTGGCCCTGCTGGCGTACCATCTCTCCACTGATGATATTCTTCCCTTCGACACTCAAAACTATGCCAAGGAGCTTCGCGCATACTACGAGGACCTTGTGGAGTATGCTGAGGGTCATGACGCTGATCTCGACCTCGGTGAACTTGATGCAGCCATCGAAACCTTCAAGAAGAGCGCCGACGAGGTCAAAGCTCTTGAAGAACTCGCCAGGGAGCGTGATGACGAGATTCTCAAGAAGGTGGTCAACCACAAGTACCGCGACTTCCAGCGTGGCTTCATCTCCCAGGGTGGTCTTCCTGATCGTGAATTCTACAAGCACGTCGTCAACGCTCCTGGCCTGGACACTGGCTACGCCGCCGTTACCTTCCCCGGCATCACTGAGGGAGTACAGTACGCTAAGGATGGAGATTTCTCTGTCGCCCAAGGGTGGGTTAAGAAGACTGCTCGAGGTATTGTTGTCGCTGCAAACATCCTCAAGACATAGACGTTGTGCAAGCTATGTGTTTGGAGAATAGCGTGATTTTATTTTCAAGACTTTCATTTACAAGCGTTATGACTTTACGGCAATGATAATGACAGCGTTGCTTAATATTCTAATGGCTATTTTACTGGTGCCGGCTTGGTAGCTTGGTTTGGGAGAGGAGTTGGATGGGCACAGTTATCAGCAAGGGGTAGATAAGAGGTACAGCGGTGATGGGCGCCGCATGATACTTCTTCGATAACTCTAAATTCTATTGCGTTACAGCCCTTGAGTTATTCCGAGTTGTTGTGCAAGCAGTTCTACTTTGGTGAGTAACTTTGTTCAGTACCAAAAACAAGCTATGCTGAAGGGTACACCTATTCTGATGCAGGGCAATATCACATGGAACAGTCTCTAGTGTTTATTCTGGGCCCAACCTGCCAACATATCACATGTGTTATGCTTCTCGGAAGCCGGCAAGGAATACAATCTGTGCCCCCTAATACAAAGTCATACTTGACATAGACCTGGGTGTTGCACGAAGTCCACCACGAATGGCCACTGATATGGGCCCTTATGTGACATGAATATTCTACACAGCTTGCGTTTGCTGATACTATTATATCCTGCTGTTTAAGCTTAAAATTGGTGTTTCGGAATTACCCGTCCGCCATTTCGGCAGTTGGGCTAAATCGGCGAATACAAGTGTTTTGGACCCTCACAGCTTGGCATTCAGCGGGCCGGCATTGCAATTTAACTCTTCGTGATCTTGGCGCCGAACATTCTAGATTGATTGCGGAAAATTATGAAATAAACTGCCACAATGCTCCGCAATGGAGCCAATGGAATGGGAAAGAGTTTATTTCGTCCCTTTCTCTCCACGACTGCTTCACACACTCGCAATTGCAAACCACAAAAGGGAACGCAAGGCTTAAGAAAAGTGTTCGTCTCGGAGGTAGTTTCTTGCTTCTTACTGATACCTGTTGTCCTGGTACGTTGAAAATTATGAAGGGAGCCTCGGGTTTGACCATCCATCGGATGCCACGGAAAGCTGTTGAATAAGCATTTGTCAAAGGTTGTAGGCTAAGCGTTGCCAAGAAACTGTCAATCGTCTTCTGCCTCGGTGTGTAAAAGTCCGATAACACGAGATACGGTGGCTTCCAATCACAGACAGCAGAGAGAAAAGGTGGGCTTTAACATTCTAATCACGTCCGTCTTTTCCGAAGGTCCCAGAGCCCATCGTTTATTTAAGGGCTGTGCACCGAACCGCACTATTTTAACCATGTAACCTCAGAGTGACACTGGGAATGCGGCATCTACACGCGGCTTTACGGTGGCCCTGTAGAGCAAAATAAGAGCTGATAAAACATTATGTCGGTGTTTAAGCAACCTTTACAATTGAGCTTTTGCCACGTGGATGACGCCTAGAGTTCGGTAGCGTCGAGCGCAGCAAAAATGGCTATTACTATGTACAGCCCGCAAGGACGGTTTTTGCGAAATTCCGCACAGGTCGGCTATATTTCATCACAGCGGAATCTCGCGACTGGTAAGAACTTCTACTTTGTACCAGTGAGATATTCTTAAAGTTAATATCTAGAGGCTGACCAATTATGACTGGTGCACTGGCGTTCACAAAATCTACCCCTGCGGGCTGTAGGAGGTACGTCGTTGGCGTTGAGTTTTAAGCTTAGCCATGAAGCTTACCCCTCAAAATGTTGGAGGCTAGTGACCTGTCCAGTCCCCAGAACAGCAAGGAATTAGCGTTACACTGATGTCAGCCAAGGGAGGGGAATGGGGGAGATATCTCTGAATCAGCAGTCACCTGCTCATTTTTACACTTCTCTTTTGAGTAGTGACTCCCGGGGCTATAGATGAAATCAGCGCTAGTTGATGTGTGCTCCAAAGGCCGATGACAAGCCAAGTCCGTCGATGATGCTTGTTTGTTTTGTCCTCCCATGCGGAGTCGACAACGCTGGCGTCTGTGCACAGGGCACGCCTGGGGGAACTACTGCGATAAGCAAAATCCCTGCCGCTTCACACTTCTCCCGAAGGTACGGCACTGGAGAGCATCTTCATTGGGCCTTTTCGATCTTGTTCTCGTGATTAGCAGGAATGCAAGTAAGGTGGTGTTGCACAGAGGCCAAAGCGTTGGGCCCAGAACGAACCTCGACGCCGTGAACCTCATGTCAGATCCGGGACCACCACAGCCATCCATGCTGATGCGATGCGTGCTTGATTGGAAAGGGTTGCACTCGACGGAATGATCCCTCCATTCATCGTGTGCTTGACTCGGGGCATTGTTTCCTTGTTTGTAGGACAATCCAAGATCGGCATTTGCATCGCCCCTGTCGTCCAATCAAAGCCAAGGCTGGGCAAAAAAGCTTATCCCCAATCTCCACGTTGATGCTTTGACCTGCCAGCCTGCCCACGTAGATCGTCCTTCGTTGGTGCGTTTCTCACCTCCACATCCCCCGCATTTCATGGCTTAGTGGAGAGACTTACAGCAACCGGCGCCAGGGAACTGGATGTTGGATGTGTGCGTATGTGTGTGTTGGGGGGGGGATATACGGGCGTTGACGTACATGGCGGCCAGAGGCTAGCCTCCAGTGGAAGAGAAAACAAAAAGCCCAAAATACTCCCTCTCCCCCTGGTACTTGTCTCTTTTCCGCTCTACTGTAGAAAAGGTTTAACTTTGATCTCTGCGGCGCACATTTACGACTTTGTGTTTAGTCTGTATAAGCATTGACATATCTGTGCCATGACGACCGACAGCAGCGTCACGCCGCCGAATGAGCACGAAAAGCCCACGGCCGTCGACCTCGAGAATGTGAACTCGGAGAAGGTCGCGCCCACGGCGACAGTAGACGCTGAGCGCAGTGCACTCTTGGCCACTTTGCCTGATCCCGATGCCGGCAAGACTGACGAGGAACGTCGCGAGATTGTGAGTTGACCGATGCGCACCTACACTACACCGATGTGCCCATTGCTAACAACTACCAGGACAAGAAGCTGATGTGGAAGGTCGACCGATGGCTCATTCCCTGGCTATCTCTCCTCTACCTCCTCTCGTTCCTGGATCGAACCAATATCGGCAATGCGCGTCTCGCAGGCATGGAAGATGATCTCGGCATGGTACAGGGCGATTACAACGTGGCCCTCACCATCTTCTTTGTCAGTTACGCCTTCTTTGAGCCCATCACCAACGGTCTTTTGAAGCGTCTCACGCCCCGCATCTTCTTCACCGGAATCATCATTGCCTGGGGCACCGTCATGACTCTTATGGGACTCTGCCACAACTTCTCAGGCCTATTAGCAGCGCGTTTCTTCCTCGGTGTCGCAGAAGCCGGTCTTTACCCGGGTGTCAACTACTATCTTGGATGCTGGTACAAGAGTTCCGAGATCGGTGCCCGCGCCGCCATCTTCTTCTCCGCCGCCGCCTTGGCTGGCTCCTTTGGTGGTCTACTTGCCGCTGCTATTGCGAAGATGGACGGAATTGGCGGCAGACCTGGTTGGGCATGGATCTTTATCCTTGAAGGTCTTGCTACGGTTATTGTTGGCGCCTTTTGTTGGTGGATGGTCTTTGACTGGCCCGACACTGCTCGTTTCCTCACCGAGGATGAGCGCATCCGTGTTCAACGACGCCTCATCATGGATCGCCAGGGAAGAACGGCTGAGGACTTTGACAGAAGACACATTTGGAGTGCGCTGAAGGACTGGAAGACATACGGATACGCCGTGATCTACATGGGCTGCCTCATGCCTCTGTATGCCTTCTCTCTCTTCTTGCCCACTATCCTGCGCGGTATGGGCCACGTCGGTACCAAGGCGCAGCTGCTCTCAGTTCCTCCATATGCTTGCGCAGCATTGCTTACTGTCATTGTCGGCTTCGTAGCTGACCGAACCAAATGGCGTGGATACTGTAACATCGCGACTGTGCTTATTGGTATCATCGGCTTCATCATGCTTCTGGTTTCATCAGATCCCCATGTCCAGTACGGTGCTGTGTTCCTCGGTGCGATGGGTAAGTTGTCTTGTCTCCGTTCTGCAAGAACTCTAACTAACCTTGCTAGGCATCTATCCCACTGTCTCAAATACAGTATCCTGGGTCAACAACAACGTCGAGGGGTCGTTGAAACGTGCCATTGTACTAGGATTAGTCGTTGGCTGGGGCAACATGAACGGTGTGGTATCTTCCAACATCTACCGTGAGCCTGACAAGCCCCGCTACTTCACCGGTCACGGCATGGTGCTGGCATACCAAGTCATCTTCCTTCTGGGAGGTTCGATCTTTATGCACCTTGCACTCCGTATGGAGAACCGTCGACGTGCTCGAGGGTCACTTGACGCAAAGTATGCTGCCATGACAGATGAGCAGAAGTGGATCAGCGGTGATGTTCGCCCGGATTTCAGATATACTTTGTAGAGTGGAAGGAGACTTAGCTTGTGGGTGATATTTTATGAATGGTTCTTGTCTGAATGAGTCAGCTAGTCTAAACGAGCATGATTGTATCTCTGTTCGATACCTGTACTTAGTAGGCAGATATCTAGAATTTGGTCTTACCTGCTATTCCTTGCTGTGTCATGTCTTTATCCAAGTATCCAAGAACCGTCGTGCTCCAGAATTCTCAGGCCATGTCTCAAGCACTTCTGAACGATCTAGATACAAGTTCAACCAATACAATAGTAACATTTCATAGAGAAATCCAATTGCACAGAAGGATAAGATGTGTATCATCATTCTTAGACAAGATGACTTACTAGCTTGCATGGTGTTTCGTATCTTAAACCGTTCGACAAAAGCAGTTATTATGCAAGACAGCAGTGATCTGTGCCAGCTGAATTCAAGGATGGATGTTACACATGAACTCCGCCCAAGAACTTAGACTGGGCCTGTACCACATGTTTGCTATCAATTTCCCCCGTACACCGCCTCAAGCCCAGAGAGGTGGTTCTTTCATCGGTGTCATTTAGCCATCGCCATGGCATGGGAAGTTCCCGTACATGAAGGTCTCTCCATTTAGAAACACATTGACGGGCCCTATCTACATACGAGGATGATTCCAAAGCCACTGACAATGATATAGATCTTCTCACAGACCTCGGTTCTATTTGGCAGATTTATGGTAGTGCCGCTGTTCCTCTTACGCAAGGTAACCTTCTTTTTCTCCCACTGAGCCTATCTACTATCTAACGTTAGGCGACACTTGTGCGCTATTTGAAACCATGGTTATTCGCTCTAAAATAGATTAGTAGACACGGAGAGCACGGAGAAATTTTCAAAAAGTTAAGGACTCAAGGACTTGTCCCAACTGGGGTTGCCAGTGGTGAGTCGTTGTATCAAGATAGATAGTACGAAACTGACACCTGGTCATTCTATCTCAAATGTCTCTATGGAGTGTAACCAATCCATCTTTTTGTGCTTGCTTTAACTTCTACACCGCTGTCTCCTATAGTTACCTCCCTCTCAATGCAGACTATTATATAACGCATGCCTATCCGCCATGCATTCAGCACACAAACACTACCAGCAGTTCAACAACAGCCTTGAATTTTCCATCAACACTTTCAGAATATCACAATCAACTTTTAAACTTCATCATGAAGCTGTCTCTCTTCGCTGCCGTCCTGGCTTTGTCCACTGAGGCTTTTGGTGCATGTGCTAAGCCCGGCCAAGTTTGCAAGCGCGGTGATCCAGAGCTTTGCGAGTGCAATGGTAACCACGTCGTATGTTATCGATTCTCTCCTAGATATCTTCATTGCTGACACACCCAACTCTAGATGAGATGTGAGAGTACTCTTCATTTCGGACGTCATCAGCGTAAGATTCACCCCTTGTCCTCCTAACCAATTCACACCTCCAAGGTTTTCTCATGTAGGAATATTGGACTGATCACATATACAGCCAAGTTCGCCTACCGTAAGCGTTATTATTGCTTCGGACCTCGCAAGTGTAGCGACGGTAGGTGTGCTCTGCTCCCAACAACCTCCAAGACGGGGCTCCCTACAACCTCCAAGGGGCTCCCCACAGCAACCCCCAAGGGGAAAGTCTAGAGGTTAGGTAGGAGATAGCTCGCAGCTCGCTGCTAAATACTACTCTTATTACTCTTATTACTCTGTGTGACTCCCCGTGTTAAAAGTGTGTTGAAATACGTCAGAAGTGTGATTTGCATTCTATCAGATCGAATCCTCGTAAAGTTCTTTTCAGTCTCGACATGACCGTTTGACGCCTCTGCCTCAGTGAACCAACCAGACTCTTAGATCTAGCCCGCTGGTTGGGTCACCATACATCTCGTAAGTCTCTAGACATTGAATTCTTGCTGGCCGGCCCATACTTGCCAATTCCAGAACCATGTACACTCTTCTAGCTTAGGTACCCAATCAGATCCCCTAAAGATGACTCCTTAGAATAACAGCTGTGGCCCAAAGTATACTGTTGTCGGTTTTTACTCCGCTTTCATATGTACACTTTGATACCGCGATCAAGCAACCAAACATCAGAGTGAAAAGTGTATCATTAGGGCCAGGGCGGCGATTTGATCCCGAGGCAAATTAACATCAATAACAGTCCTCTCGCAGAGTGCTTGCAAGTACATACCCTGTGAAGAGGCTGGGGCTTGGCACTTGGTACAAGACGCAAGGCTGCTGTTGAGCCAAGTAAATAGCCAGTCTTCTAAGGTACCAGTTTATTGCCGGTATATGACGAGAATTCATTACCACGATGTACGACAGTAACAATGGCCCCAGGCATCATACATGTCGAACCACTTGAATTAGTGTGCAATATTCCCTTGCCAGAGGTAGGCTTAGTGTCGCACATTTATATCTTTTATACACTGACAAACTACTATCGACATGAGGGGGAGGTGGTGCCTCAGAATCCCAAAGGTAAGGTTCTTGCCAAAGTCTTTTGAGCCTGAGCCATAGCGTCTGGAAAAACAGACAAATGACAAAGGTTCTGAATTGTCTGGGTTGGGTTTGATTTCGACGTTTCACTGGCCAATGTTTTCTACAATACATAACTTTATCCAACATAATTGGCCTCCATCCAGCCACCGTCTACATAAATTTCTTGCTTCGTCATGAACTTGCTCTCGTCTCCCAGCAAGAAGGCAATTGACGCAGCAATCTCTTCCGGCTTGGAATACCGCTTAATAATCGATGTTAGGTTATCATCCTCTGTCATCGTCCATGTACCTCCGCCGTTGGGCAAGTGTAGAGGCTGGCGGATCATATCCGTGTCGATGCAACCGCTTGTAAACGTGTCAGTGGACGATTCCGTAAATATGGATCAGGCGACACTCACGGGCACAGAAGATTGACTCTGATGGGGTTCTTGGGATACTTTGCTCCACCTTCATAAGCAGCACTTTGGCTTAGCCCGCGGACGGCATTCTTTGAAGCTGCGTATGCGCCCATGTTGCCCGAGGCGTACTTGACCTGCTGGCTACCGCAGTTGACGATACTGCCGCCAGGTTTCATGTTCTTCATCTCGTATTTAATGCTGTTGAAGGTGCCAATGACGTTGACATCGAGCATCTCCTTCAGCTCCTCGAGGTCAAGTTCTTCAATGGGATGGATGCTCTTGTTCATCTTGGCTACATATTGTGTTAGTAGAACAATTGATACGTGAACAAGGCATCTTACCAGCTACATTAGCTGCACCGTCCAGGTCTCCCCACTTGGCAACCGTTCCCTCGATCCACGCCTTCACGTCATCCTGTTTGGTAACATCTGTGGGAAAATAGATGACCCGATCCTTGACGTCCGGAATATCTTTCTCGATACCAGCAATGGCCTTCTTCAGGTTCTCCTCGGATGTAGCTGCCATGGACACCTTTGCGCCTCGGACAAGGAGGTAACGCGAGAGAGCCAGGCCGCTTCCGCGACTAGCGCCAGAGACGGCAATAACCTTGTCTTGGAAAGGGTATGGGTTTGCCATTTCTAGGTATAAAAACGTAAAACAGATTTTAAATTGCTATCTTCAAGAATGGGGTATCGACCAACGTCGGTGAGTGGTAGGTTATATAGGCGTGTCCAGACGGCTTGCTGGTAAGTTGAGCGTAAAAGATTATGGGACTTCATATACGGAGTTGTATTGGGATTAGGACCCTGGCCCTTTCGAGTCGTGGTCTCTTGGCTGCAAGGAATAAACTGAATCGCAGTGTTTCCTCTTTCCTCAACAGGATATCGCACCCGACAGAACGGAAGAGATCTTCATGCGACGACCCATGACCTACCGAACACGCATCGAAAAGCGTTTCAAAGGGGATGGAGTCAGGGGAGCGTGCCTTGGTATCGGGTCATTTATCCCTACTGCGGAACCTGAGGAGCTACATCCTACCAAGGGGGAACACGGAAGGAAGCTGAACGATGCAGGGCCAGGGAATCACCCTCGAGGGATTCAGCTATTGCTGAAATTTCATGATGTCAGTTCATGCTAGACTCAGGAACAGGGTATTCAAATGCATTCTTCAGGGGTCATTTCCCTTTTCCTGGGTGGACTGACGGGGAGGAGACAAGAAGGAAGACTCGTAAGATAAACAAGTTGCTATTTTCTTTAGCGTTGACGGGAAACAACGGTCGTGCCAACGTCCGGCGGTCCGGTCCGTGGTTTTCGGAGCGTTATTATGTTTAGTGCTCGAATAATTAACAATGGGAGTCCATCGAAATGGGGGCGAGCCTGTACCCAGCCCAGTGTTTTGTATGGGGACGGCAGGGGCCTTGCAGGGCTTTACAACGCTCTTTTCTCACCAAACCCACCGCCAGAAAAGGACATGGGCGATGGAACCCCACTGACGAATAAAAGCAGGAACTGAGCGCGGGTCACTGTTGGCAGAAGAAAAGAAAACCGACATATCATTGGAATAGAAATGAGACTGCAGAAGCTGAAAACTCAAGGCCAGGTCTGGTAACCCGGGAATATCTTGTTTCGAGGGGAGGAGACGTTGGGGATAGCAGTGGAGGAGAGGCCGCCGTTTTGACAAATTACCAATTGACCATTTTTGGGGTTATATTTGCGGAGTAAATAAGCTTGCTCTATCCCAGGCCCCCGGATCCAAGCAAACGGATATAATATTGGAAACCTCCTCTCAATTCGCTACAATCGCTAGAACCGCTAGAACCGCTTCTCTTCCACATGCCTACCGAGAAAACATCAGCCCTGCAATTCCCAAATTTTGAGGCAATGGCCCACTAAAGCAACGGGCCAAGAAGCACGCTACAGAAAAGATCGACACAGCCGTTGGCTGATCTTTACAACGAGCCTTCTACAACCGAACGTTGCAGGAATCCTTCAGTCTTGGCTCCCTGCAAGTAACACACCACTCGCCCGCTTAATTGGATTCATTTGAAAATGTGGATTCCCACTCAGGCAAAAGCAAAGTCGAATAGTAAGGTCTCGTATCTTCTACTACCGACGTTACGGAGTAGAGTACTTCCCCTGAGGATCACTGCCGTTAGGGTTAGCCCATTGCGGCTTATTACCATGAGGCGGTCTAAGCAGTTCAAACGAATAACAGGTGCAAGTAGGGAAAATCCCAAAGAAAAAGAAATGCTTTCATGAACTAGCTGCCGTTGTACAGCGAGATAACGACAGACAAAGGTACCCTTCCTTACCTGAAGAGATTTCTCTCCTGTCTCACTCTCTGACCACTTTCCAAACGGTACCTTGCCAAACGTCACAGTGGCAAGGTCAGAGCCCTCGATGTTCTTGTAGCTAGCCGGGTAGTATCTTAGTTCATGCTGTAAGTGTATGGAACGAAATCCTCCGGCCGGGAGTGTCATCTCCTCGACAGCGGGAAGATGATCCTTGATGAGCCGGAGAAAGTGAAGTTGATCATTACAGACGAGGAAAGAAGAAAAGATGCATGATCTCTCGAAACGAGAATAAGACATGCATTTGCAGATCGTCTTTTCGTTCTATAGGTTCATTAAAGAGCCTCTCCCGACAGGATGGGCGAGTTAATCTGCTGTTTCCTGCAAGATTGAGTTACACCCGCCAAACCCTCCTCCCCACACCATACTCGCGCGTTGAAGACTCTGTCCAGAATACTGCCGAACGCTATGGACGACCCGTACATGATGGAGCCGCCCAAGGGGCAGGACAGATGGGAAGCCGGTAGCCGGGCTACTGCACAGATCATACTTGGAGCGTGTCTTTTCACGCTGGCGACTATTGTGTATGTAATGCGGATTGTTACAAGAGTAAGACTCTTGAAGAATCCTCTTCGTCTTGATGACTGTAAGTTGAGGTAGGCTTGTTGGAGTTCTCTAGCTAACGCTGATATTCAGTCCTCACTGGTGCTTCTCTGATAGCGTGTTGGGTGTTTTACGCTTGCACGATGGGCAGTATGTTACACTACCTCTGCGACTGATACAATACTGACAGATATAGTGGTTGCTCAGGGCGGCTGTGCTACCAACTTCTGGCAGGTCAAACAATCATCATATGAAGCATTACTCAGGGTACGGCAGCCCCCCTTCCTCTCTCGTCATTTCAAAGCTAACCTCTCACAGTGGACTGTCCCTGTCAACATCTTCTACATGCTCTCGTCCGACCTTGCCAAGATTTCCCTTTTATTCTTCTACCTACGTCTGTCTCCCGAACGAAACTTCCGTATCGCCATCTACATCTTAGTCAGTCTCTTCGGCCTTTACGCCCTGATCTATGCCATGATCAGCCTTTTTGGCTGCCAGCCTATCAAGGCCTCTTGGGATCTCGCCGCCCAAGCGACGGGTAAATGCGTGGATAAGTTTGGCTTCTTCTTGGCTGCATCGGTCGCAAATGTTGTTATGGACTTGGTGATTCTTCTTCTTCCGTTGCGCATCGTTATTCCGCTGCAGATTCCGAGGCGTCAGAAGATGTCGCTCTTATTTCTTTTCACAACAGGTGGCTTGTAAGTAGTGTTGGTCAAGGTGATGTCAACCATACTGATTAATACTACAGTGTGATAATCGTCGCCATTTACAACTGTGTCCTGACTGTCAAACTCTTCAGCAGTCCGAACTACACGTGGGGTCTCGCATATGAGCTCTGCTGGATGTACGCCGAGTTGACTGGCTGTGTCATCTGCGCATCTGCCAGCTCTCTTAAACCCTTCTTCAAGAGAATCCTGCCAGGTATCTTCAACAGTCACGGCGCTAGCTATGGTGGCCCTTCCGGAGCTACAGGCGAATCGCATGCCATCAAAAGTAGCAGAAGGCAGCTCAGCCGCAAGCAAGCAGATGCTATCGAGCTTCAGTCAGGTGATGACTCTGAGTCAGGAAGGAAGGTCACCGATGATGACGAGGCTACTCTCTGGCCCAAGCCGCAACAAAGCTTCGACAATGGTTACCACAAGGTTTTGGTGTCTGGGCCTGGTGGTTACTCTGGTGATGGAGCGGCAAATAACATCTCTAGATACGGCAAGAATGGTAGGACAGATGGCATCGAGATTGTGTCGACAACGGAGGTCAAGTACAGTTCTAGATAGATTTTCTTTCACTTTTATAATAGATCCTTCTGTCACTTGGGTGCCGCGAAACTGTTAGATAGATCAAATCTTATATTTATGGCAGGGCACCAAATGGTATATCTATCACACATCAAGCGTTACAAACTTTGCTTTTGAAATATCTAGAGGCCCTTCCAGAAGAAAGTCTTCTGTAAAACAAAGCTTTCCCTTGCAATCTCATCCCTCGGGTTTGAGCTCGAAGCAAGTATGACGGTGTACTTCCCTTCTTCAGCCTTCCATTTAGACACTTCTTGTGACCAGAAAGACAGCGAATATTTATCAAGTGTAAGTTCAACCTTCTTGGTCTCGCCAACCTCCAAGTACACTTTAGTAAACGCCTTCAGCTCCCTCAGGGGCCGCTGTAGGGAACTGTTTTCTTGGCGAATGTAAAGTTGAACAACCTCTGCGCCAGAATACGCCCCGGTGTTCTTGATGTCAACCGTGACACGCATTTCGTGATCAACAGCAGAAGTAAACTCTTCGGGTACGGCAAGGCCTGAGTATTCGAACTTGGAGTATGACAGACCGTGGCCAAAGTAGAATAAGGGCTCTCGGTCAACCATCTCATAGTACCTATGACCAATGAAGACTCCCTCACCGTACACAATGTCATAGTCAGCCTTGGAAAAGGTTAGGTAGGCCGGGGTGTGCTTGATAGACTTGGGGAATGTCAGAGACAATCTTCCAGAGGGGTTGACTTTGCCAAAGAGCACATCAGCCATTCCATGACCAGTTTCTTGCCCGCCAAACCAGGCATGAAGCTGTGTTGCGGCTTGAGACTCCCAGGGCATTTCAATGGGCAAACCCGACTGTGTAATGATGATCTATAACTTTGTTAGCGGATGGATGCGCTGGGGATCGTAGCTGTAGAGTGGCCAACTTACAGCATCAGGATTGGCTTCTAATACAGCCGCAATTAGTTCGTCCACTCTTCCTGGCAGGTTCAGGTGCTTTCGATCGCTGCCTTCGTACTCAAAATCCGAAGAAAGGCCAGTGATAACAATGGGAACATCAACGTTCTTGGCAAGTTCCACAGCATCTTTGATACCTTGATCCTCATCATAGACTTCATAGATTCCAACACGTCCGACAAGGGTCTGCGCAGTACCAACACCACCTGACACATTCTCGTTGACTTGAAGGACTTCGAGATCAAGGATCCGTCCCTTTTCGAAATCTTGTTCGTAGAATCGCTCCATGCACACGCGATTGAAGCAAGGAGTTGAGTCCGTCTTGGGCGGTTGGCTCGTCCAAAGATCGATGACTTCCTCGCCATCAATGATGAGCTTGCCTTTTCCTGAAGTACTGAAGCCGAACTTGAGTCGTCCTGACTCTTGAATGGTGTACCTGGCCCTAGCTCTAGCAAAGTATTTAGTTGGGATCGTAGATTGATAACTCTCGGGAATATCAACCAGCTGCTTTTCTGCAGTGGCCGATACAACCACTTTGGTGTCTGGTTTCTCCTCTGGGTTTTCGCCGAAGATCTCTACGAACCACCCTTCTGTGTCTGAGTCAGGGACCTTGTGGCCCTTGATGAGCGGACTAAATCGGAATGCTGTTCTCAACGTTAGCATAGCTAAACTAGATAAATCTGTGTAGTTGAACTTACAGTTGCAGCCTGGAGTATAAGTAATGTTTTCCTCGCCCACCACCTCCTTGATGGCCTCATATGGGGTAATGCCATAGTAGGGTTCGACCTCAGCACTTCCACCACCACACAGGGCAGGGTTCTTCACATGATCTCCGATGAGACCGAATTTGAGCTTCTCGGGATTCTTGATCGGCAACTTGCTGTTGTTGTTCTTCAGAAGCACAACTGACTCAGCAACAAGCTGTCGAATAAGGGCACGCTGCTCCTTGGTATCTGAGCGAGGAGCGTCACCAGATGACTCCCCAGCCTTCACTTGGTTCACGAGGTTTAAAACCTTCTCGACAGATTGATCAACTGTTGCTTTGGAAACCTTGCGGGAGTTGACAGCAATACTCAGGCATTTTCCCCTCCAGTCAGTTGGTCCAGGCATCTCGAGATCCAAGCCCGCGTTGATGGCTTCTGATGTGCTGTAGGTGCCGAACCAGTCACTCATAACAAGACCTTTGAAACCCCATTCCTCACGGAGGTTTGTCTTCATCAGCAAAGGATCCTCACTTACGTGGACACCGTTGATCTTGTTATACGAGGTCATGATAGTCCAAGGATCAGATCCGCGGAGGGCAAGCTGAAAAGGCAATAGGTGGACTTCTCGAAGTGTCCGCTCGGTCATGACAACATTGTCTTCAATACTATTGTCAGACTGATCGTGAGCCGCATAGTGCTTCACACTCGTTGCGACGCCCTGTTCCTGGACGCCATTGATATAGTGCGCGCCCAAGGTACCACTAAGAAAAGGGTCTTCGCCAAAGGCTTCAAAGCCACGTCCGATCAAAGGTGAGCGCTGCAGACAAAGCGTCGGCGCCAGCAAAATGTGAACACCACGATATTTTGCTTCTTCACCGAGAAGACGGCCGACTTTGTGCAGAAGCTCTGTGTTGAAGGTAGCGCCCATTGCTGTAGCTGATGGCAGCATTGGACTGGGCATCTTTTGGTCCGTGTTAGTTATTGGGTTCATGCTTGATAATTGAGGGGTTACCCACGCGAGTAAACGATCGCCGACCTCGAATTCCATGAGGACCGTCTGAAGTCTGTTCTCCGTCAGCTGCGCCTTTTTCTCACAAATATCACCTGTCAGACTTACAATAAGAGCAGGAATTCCATGTCGTTCAAGACCAGTCATTCGGAACGACCCTTGGCCCGCGAGAAGCTCTATTTTCTCATCGAGCGTGAGCTTGCTCAACAGAGCTTGGACATCGACAAAATTCGCGTCAGCCATTGTTTCCGAGGCTTCCTCTGCGATTATTGAGGATGGAAGTAAGAAGTTAAAGGACGCGCAATAAATGCTCAACTTTTGTCAATTGGAACCGTTTCGTAGCGTTACAAACGATTTAGCCGTCGGCATTTCGGGCCGCTGGAGAAAATCCCCTCTTATTTTGTGGTTTGTAATTGTTACTTGGCACTCACGATCGTCGCTGTCAGCAGCTGGCCTGGCTAACGTCGTGTTTTGGGCGGAGACTCCGCCTCAGCTAAATAATATGGAACATGGATGAGAAAGTTCGTTGAATGAGGGGTATTTATTGTGGTCGCTTACTTTACTGATAAGAGCTGAAATTGTCACCAACGCAAAACTGCATACTTATATCGCGAATGAAAGCCATTGTCCTTATCTAGAAACATCCTTAGATGCTACTGCCATCGTCAATTACACTTAGGCAGGCTTTTGTCCAATGATAATCTTGGTTCGAAATACCGCACCCTGCTCCTTAACTTCCTTCTCAAATCTCTCAGGCAGATTCTCGTACGTGGACTCCGGAATATCAGCTTTGAACACTGCTCTTGTTAGACACCATGTCTCTCAGCGGGTCAACTTTCACTTACTCTTGGCCCCCTGGATGATGTTTGGGATGGTCATGACAAAAGCCTGTCGTGACTTCTCGGCAAGCTCTTCGTCGTTCAACAGTTTACCTGTGGGCAGAAGAATGGTCTCGGAAGAAACATTCACGAGCCCTGCGGTTTTGAATGCCTCGGGCAGTTTGCTAACAAAGTCTGAACCCATTCCCATGGCATCAAACATTCCTCCGAAGACAGTGTTGACATCCTTCCAGGCTGGACCTGCATCAGATCTGCCATCCAGACTGAAGTCTAGCTCATGTACCTGCAGCCAGCCTCCTGGCGCGAGAGTGGCTTTCAATCGTAAGTTCGTGTCTGCGATGCTAAAATTGAGCTGTAATACATACCAACCAGGTTTTCGACTGCCTTCTGATAGCCGACTCTCCCAGCGGCAGCCATGACATATCGCATATGCGTCAGGTCAAAAACCTCAGTGAGTCCCTCGTTGGGCGACTCGCAAAGGTCGTATACCTCATATTTAATGCCGCTGTCGGATACAGGAAAGAAGCTGTCTTCGATATCTACACCGACAAGCTGAGCAGATGAAGGAACTTGCTTTTGTATATCACGAAGTAGAATTCCTGGTACTCCCGTCAACCAAATACACTACTTCATCAGACTTATCAACGTACCATCTGCACATCCGACGTCCAGAATCTTCAGTCCTTCTTTGTCAAGTGGCACTGGGGCGAAGACAATCTTGTTCTTGAGGACATGGTTGATCCAGGTGTGTTGCTTTTGGAGACGATCTACCTCGCTGCTGATGGTAAAGGGATACTGGGGTTTGTCTTTCATTGTCATTTTCAAAAGGAACCTTAGGGAGAGGGCGAGAAATAATAATAGGTCAAGTAAGGTCGGGGCCGGACTTGATAGATGATGAGAATTCGACTGATGTTGGTTGCTCTATTTACAGAATGCTGTGAAAGAGGAATACCGCCATCTTATATGATGTCCCGGTGCTTTAGCAGACACACAAAACCTACGGACTATTGTTCCCTGGACCACATCATCGTGCTTCACCCCATGTCTATGATGCTGGGTCGGCCACTTATGGAATTGTCATCGGCCACATTTCTATCTGATGCTCAGCCGCAACTTGTCCTCGAACAGGCAAGGTGAAGATTAAAATCCCAGGGTCTGAGCGAACTTGATGTGAAGTGGAACCATCCAAGAGCCAACGAGATGCGCCCTATAGAAAAAACTCGAGATTTGGCAGCATTATTCGGTGGATATATAGATACCCGATTGGATTGATTCGAAAGTTGGTCCCGGAAAGATAAATCAAGCTTACGTATGAGTAAGCTTAAAAGTATCCGAAACTCCACGCAGTGGATCATTCATGGGGGTAGTGAACCGAACTGAGACTGGGTCTGTAACCCTGTATCAAGTTTTATTGAATTTGATTAATGTATTTCTTTCCAAGATATGATACTCGTACTACAATCGCATTACATGCATTTGTGTTGAGCTTTCTGTACTTTTTTGGAATCGTAAAATCAGCCTCCATTGCGGAGAATGCGGAGATATCTTGGCTATTCTTGTCTCCATCCTGTCTAACCAGCTTACAAGGTTTAAATATATGCAAGTAATACTACAGAGGTATGTTTCAAACGTGAGATTGTAATATCCTATATGGCAGGCCTTGTCAATATATTAGGTGTGACATTCCCCTCATCTTAAAAACACCAGGAGCATAGAGGCATGCATATTCAGTTCCTATCAGATCGGCAACCATCCTTTTTGCGTTCGCAATTCTGGCTGAACATGTAACTTGAAGCCAAGCTTTTGCACAGTAGGAGAAACATTTAGGAAGAAGTAATCAGATCATACGTCAAGTGACTACACATGGAGGTTCAATATGAAACGAAGTAGATTAATATGTGGGGGTTCCAGTGCTATCTACAAGGTGCGACAGCATAAGTATATACAATCTAAAACAGGTGATGCATCAAACGCTTCCAGGCTGGTCCGTTGGCAAGCCGCGCACGGTAAGCGTTGATAGTGTCCCAATCGTGCTCACGACGACCAGTGTCGAGATCAATCTCGCTGACCTTCCTCCATCCTTCCCTCTTCCAGACATAGCCAATGATATAGAAGGCAATGACCACAGGTAGAGCCAAGTAGGATTGGAAGAAGCCCTCCGCAGTACCGAGAGATCCATCAATGTTGGTAATGGCAGTGTAGAACTGGGCGATGAGAACAATAACAATCAGAATGAGGCCAACCCATGAACCCCAAACACCAAAGACGTGCTGGAATGGAATCTCATCAAGGGTGTGGCCATGGTATTTCCAAGCCTGTCGGAAACGAATATGGCAAAGACAGATGGAGCCCCAGGTAAACAAGGCAGCAAGACCAGAAAGAGCCTGCAGCCAGATGAAGACAGTAGTTCCATCACCGTTGACGCTGATATATCCGAGAGCACCGATGGCAATGATCGAGACCACAGCAGGAAGAGGACGTCCCGACTTGTCGATGAATGCGAAGAACTTAGGAGCGTAACCCTGTTGGGCGAGAGCGACCAGAGTTCGGCTACCACCGTAGACACAAGACACACCGATGGAGAGGACAGACACGAGGATGATAACATTCATGAAGGAATCGTACCCCTTGAGACCAGCGTTTGAGGCGGCGATGACGAATGGCGAGGCGCTTGGGTTGTTGTTTCCAGCGTTGAGAAGTCTCTCATCGGTAGAATCAACCAGGAAGCCGACGAGAAGAAGACCAACGACGTAGAAGAGGGTGATTCGCCAGAAAACCTGCTTAATGGCGCCAGGAAGGGCCTTAGCGGGGTTCTGTGCCTCTGCAGCAGCCAGACCGACGAGTTCTGTTCCACTGAAGGAGAAGGCAGCAGTAACAAACACACCTACAAACCATTAGTTATTGAAACACTATGAAAATTTGGTACACGATGACTTACCGCAGAATCCTCGGAAACCATGCTGGAAGGCTCCGGGGTTGTGCCAAAGCTTGGCTCCCCAGTACTCATCGTAAATACCGTTGCTTGGGCCTCCTCCACAGACAAGGACGACAGCGATAATCATGAAGATGACAGTGGCAGAAAGTTTTAGCAGAGCGGCCCAAAACTCTTCCTCAGCATATCCAAGGGTTCCAAAGATGTTGACGATGATAATGACGGCAAGGAAGACCTGTACATTGTAAGTGGTGAGTTTATGAAGAACGCAAAATGATTAAACTTACGCTGACCCAGATAGCGACGCTGGTATCTGGTGCCCAGTACTGAATGACTGTACCGCAGACTGTCAGTTCGAGAGGAAGAACAAAAGCCCATTGCATGACATAGTTCCATCCCATGGCGAAACCCCAAGAAGGATCCACGAATCGGTTGGCATAGCTGAAAGTTGTTAGTATTGAATTTGGCTAAAGGATGATAGCTCTTACGTGTAGAAACCACCTGACACAGGGTACATGACGGCGAGTTCACCAAGAGCGTAGACGACATTGAAGATCATAACACCCATGATCAAGAAACCAATCGTTAATGAGCCAGGGCCACCAGTCTGTAGAGCACCACCACTACCAACGAAGAAACCAGCTCCGATACTGCAAACGTGTTAGTGCACCACGTTCGGCAGTTGTGCGTCATCATTTTAGCATGCGGCAATAAGCCGGTATTGCATGACAACAACGGGAAAAGTGAGTGCTGACCTGCCACCAATAGCGATCATGTTAAGATGACGAGGCTTCATGTCTCGCGACAACTCAACGGTGCCCTTGGAATAATCCTCATGGGGGCCGAAAGATGCGGGCGTTAGTCCATTGCGCAGTGCCCACGACTTCTTCGGCGCGTCGATGGGTTCTGAGGTGCCCATCTTCTCGTCATACCGCGGGGAGCCATCCTGAGCCTCGAGGGCTTCGTGTTTGGGTTGAATCTCGGAAGCCATGGTTGAGGAATATTTAATATCCTCGGGAAGGAATTTAAGCTCAGAAAGTCAATGGCTTTTTGAGATTTGAGCAGTCCAGAGGGAGAGTCAGAGGACGGTAGACGCAGAGCAATGGCACATATATACAACACTACGTACTCCCCCATCTCTCCTCTGCTGGAACCCACAAGGTCCACAAGGGCCGACTGATACGAGTCTAATTAGAAAGCGGAAGGTGCTCCAGGAGGAAGGATGCAGATAGAAACGTAACATGGGGGGGGGGGGGAGGCATATTGGGCAACGGCAGGCTTTCGTTGTAGGAATTGTTTGTTGATCGTTTCTAGGAGGCGCCGATGGGCAGTGACCAGCGAGGCAGCAAGCCTCTAATCTTACGGATAAAGCGGCATGTCTCAGCTGGGGCAACAGTGGACACTCAAAACACGCCGAAAGGAGCTTGGGCTAGAGCCATTATTACGCCGCTGGCTCGCATTCTGCCGCTGTCCAAACAGGCGCTACCTTGATTTTACAGAGCTGAGCTGCTAGCTGAAAGGTTAGAATGACGTTGTGGCTTGTTTTATCGTTGAATGTTTCGTCAAGCCGTTGTGATCTCGGCCGAAAGTATTGCCAGTACAGTTTTGAGCAGAACGTGAGGACACTTCAACTGCTCGTATCATACTTATCTGCAGTCGACACAAGGTGCCCGCACAGAGTCTGGGGAAAGTGGCATCTTTTGAGGAATCTATTTGTCATAGATTCAAGTACCCCAGAATATCTCTGATCTGCGCAACGCAACGCAAAACAAATGGAGTCTCGTCTGGATCATTGGCCAACCCCCGGAGCCGAGCTAGCCGATCCGTTCTTATCAAATGGGCCTCCTCCGCCGATCCCGAGCCAAACACGCGATGAGAAATTAAGAATCAAGAGAGGAACGGTGTTTAATTGGCCAGAGACATTGTTATCTGTGGTATCCGTACTGAATGGATTTGTCTGTGTGGTAGGACCGGGTTTAATTTGTGTCAGGAGCGGAAGGAATGGGATGCAATCATGTTTAGAGTTTGCCTTTTGCTCACCCAAATCTGAGGTCAGAAACAGCCGAGGGTGTGCGAAGGACAAAAGGACATGGCAGGGTGCCCTAAGTTTGAGGAAAGTCTGCCTGAAAAGAAATGGTGATTGTTTGAATGAACATATTAAAAGGCATGAAGTTGGTGAAACGTGTATCCAGGTCGTCGGAATATTTCCAGGGCTAAAGCCGCGATTGATCTCTTGGCGAAGTCTTGGAAGGCTGTTGACAGCTTGGCATGTAGATGTCCCATCTTGGCATTGAAGCGACGCGTACCTCAGCAAACCGTTTAGGAAGCTCGTTTAAATGCGTGTTGGCAGGCAACTTCTAACTTTGCCCATGTGATTAACCGTCGCTTTGACTCGCCAGACTGGGTCGATCAAAAGTTAATTGCTGTTAAACATGTCACTTGTCAACTGTGCCAAACGCCAGACCTCGCCACGGGTGTCATGGCCCTACCCTAAGCTAGAGCCCTGCACTGAGATCTTCAGCGCTCAGGCTGTAGCGAACCACTGAAGCCTGGGGTCTGTAAGCCCCAACCTTGTTAAACGGTCAAGTGATGATTAACGATGAACAAAACGATCGCCCAATGTAATTGTAACTGATTCCACAGGGGCAATAAAGAATAGACGAGGTCATTCAATAGCAACGCTGACGCAATTAAAACGCCCGGCTCGCTTTGGCTTGCATTAGCTCACCCACCCATCTCAGCTGTCGCGTGCAACCTCGTTCAACGGTTGAAACAGGAATTTTGGCGTATGACGTGGCGGGATCTTAACCGAGATGATGAGCAGAGTTGATGAAACAATAACAAAGAAACTCTTATCGTAGCCCTGTAGACTTCTTATCTGTTATAATACTAATCTACTCAAAACCAGTGTTCCGCAATCGCGGAATGATACCTCGATATTCTGTTACTGCACATCTCGATCATGTCCATCATCATCTATGCTTAAAACACTGCTTATTTGAACGTATCGGCAGCAATGCTAGAAATCGCTCACGTACCCCCCGTGGCGTACACTCTATTTGTCGTTTGTAATCTTGAGAACTGCCTTCTCAGCCGAGAGCTTTCCCTCTTTGCTAAGACGAAAAGCTTCAACAACGTCATCAAGGGTTCCCACGTCTCTAACGGGATTCGGCTCTATATCACCTCGTTCCAACCTCTCATTCACTAACTGCAGTTCCCTCTCCCAAGCACTCTTATCATTTGGCGTCGCTGGGCCGGCGCTGTCGAACATGGCGTATTCCTCTCCTAATGCTCTTCCAAAGACAGTAAAAGCTATCATAGACTCCGCCTTGACGTAGGGGTTAATGGCACGAAGTGATTCTTTGTTGACAGGGGAAAGGGCTATTAGCTTCGCTCCTTCGCTGCGCGCCATGACACTAACGATCTTCTCCGAAGAACCACCATCAGCGATGTTGTCGAGGGCATTCTTTAGCTTGCCTTGGGTGATGTGCTTCACCTGGTCGACCCAGTCATCATCGCGGTAGTCTACCGTGACATTCGCTCCCAGTCGCTTGAGAAGATCATGATTCTTGGAGGAAGCCACTGCAATAACCCGAGCGTTACTGACCTTGCCCAACTGGGTGGCGTATAAACCAACACTCGTCGACGCCCCGTATATCAAGAAGTCTTCTTGGGCTCCATGAGACTTGCTGAGATCCAAGAGGCCTAGATGCTGATACATAGCCTGCGTCGCAGTTGCGAAAGCGAGCGAGATTGTTGACGCCTGTTGCAAAGTGACGTTGTCAGGAACCGCAAAGACAAGTGTTGCCTCAATATTTATGAACTCGGCAAAAGAGCCAATATTCTCATAGGTAGCTCCATGGACCCAGCCGCCAACTCTCTGTCCCTTCTCCCAATGTGTGCCATTGGCTTCTTCAACAGTGCCAGCGAAGTCGCAGCCGGCTATGAGACCTGGTGGTGCTGGACCATCTATCACATCGCCTTCAACAAGCTTCCAGTCTCCAGGATTCAGTGCTGCGTAATGGATCTTGACAAGAACCTCTCCCTCGTGCAGAGCTGGGATGGGAATAGACTGGACGGATCCGCTGCCTTTCCCGTCTGTGACAAACGCTCTCATGGTAGCCATTTTGGCAGCAATCAGATGGTGTATAATTAACGAGTGCTGTAGTGAATTTACTAGGGAATGTTAGGTAAATATGGTGCAGGTGACTGAACTCCGCAGGCTCGGATCATGGTTTAATGCTATTGATTGACGAGCGATTGATAAGCGAGTCGAGAAATAACGTTAGTGATTTGGGAGCATTGTTTCATTCGAATTGGCCAAGGCAAATGGATTGTCATCCCTGCAAGTGGAAGGAATGCGCAATCGAGAAGTTACGATAACAACTTACGGTGGAGATCAAGGATGAAATGAAACAGCGGAAATATATCATGAAACAGACAATAAGTAAAGAATTTAAGTCATTAACATGTATTAATCATCGCTCGTTATGCAAGAGTGAGCTGCCTATACAGAATTGTTCCCAACTCAATGGCTTCTCTGCCACATTGGAAACCCAGCATCACTATATCTCAATGAGATTACCCTATCCAACCGCAAACACAAAGAAACCCCACCCAAGACATAGGAAATCGTAAAGGTCATAGCTTATAGACGAGCAGAGAAGCTGGCCTTAGAGTCCTGGCCATATGCACTCTTCTCGGGCTGGTAGAAAGGCAGCGAGGTTACAGTGGCCTTGACGCGCTTGCCAAAGTACTCAATCTCAACCTTGTCGCCCTCGAGAACATCCTTGGGCAAGTATGCGTAGGCGATGGGCTTGCGGATGCTGTATCCGAATGCAGCGCTGGTGACATATCCCACTGCTCGGCCCTTGACAAAGACAGGCTCCTTGCCAAGAACGACAGACTTGCCATCGTCAATTGTAAGACCCCGAATTCTTCGGGCAACCTTCTCGCTAGATCGGCCCTTGAGAGCGTTGTAGCCAACATAGCCGTCCTTGCCAGGCTGGAGGGCGAACTCGAGACCAGCCTCGTAAGGATCGTACTCAGAGGTCATGTCGATACCCCATGATCGGAAGCCCTTCTCGATACGGAGAGAGTTGAATGTGGCTCGGCCAGCGGCAATGACTCCGTAAGGTTGACCACCCTGCCATAGTGCATCCCATAGTCTCAAACCGTTGTCGGCACTTGTGTAGATCTCGTAACCCTCCTCTCCGATGTATGAGAACCGAGTGGCAATCACGGGAATGCCAGCGATCTCAGCCTTCTTGGTGGTGAGGTAGGGGAACGCCCTGTCTGAGAAGTCGTCCTTGCTGACAAGCTTGACCAGATCCTTAGCCAGAGGGCCCCAAACTCCAACGCTGGCAAGACCGCCGGTGATATCACGGACTTGCACAGCTCGATGGGGGCTGGCCTTTGACTGGACCTTGGCCTCGCGCGTGAAGTAGTGCAGATCAACAGGTCCATTCACGCCGAGATGGAATAGATCCTCTCCAAGTCTGGCGACAAAGATGTCACTCTTGATACCGCCATGTGTATCCAGTAGAAGAGTGAACGTCACTTTGCCAACCTTGCCCGCAACATTACCGGTCGTCAATCGCTGCAACAACTCAGCAGCACCAGGGCCAGTGACTTCTAATCGACGGATAGGAGTCTGATCGTACAGGGCAACACCAGTCCTCGTCTTCCACGCCTCAACCTCAGAGATAGACGAGTGGAACTTAGACGACCATGCGTCTCGTTCAACAGGCTTCCACTCCTCGGGCAGATCCTTGAGAAACTTCTCGTTGGATTCGAAGTAGTGAGGACGCTCCCAGCCGCCAGCTTCGAGGAAGTAGGCGCCGAGCTCTTGTTGGCGCTGGTGGAAGGGGCTGGCGCGGAGGTTTCGCGGTGACTCTCTGGGCTGGAGAGGGTGCAGGATGTCGTACACCTCGACGAACTGCTGAGATGCAGTCTCAGTGACATAGGCGGGCGAGAGCTGGACCTGTTCGAAGCGAGATAGCTCGCACTCGGAAAGATCAATCTCGGCTCGTCCTGTGGTCAAGAGCTGGGCGAGGGCTCGGGCGACGCCAGCGGATTGTGTCACCCAGACAGCCTCGGCGACGTAAAAGTTGTCAAAGTTGGGGGCTTGGCCAACAAGAGGTCCTCCGTCAGGGGTGAAGGACATGATGCCGTTAAAACCGTGGTCAACCTCGACCTCCCTCAGGGCAGGAAGAATCTCCTGACTCAACTTCCAGCCAGGCTCGAAATCCTTGCGTGTGAATTCTAAGCTGGAGGGCATGTTCTTATAATCGACGTTCTTGGGTGTCTCGCCCAGCGAGGCTGCAACAACGGGCATTGGCTTGTGGCCGTAGAATCCAATACCGTAGTGGTCGCCATGCTCTCTGTAGTATAGGTCCTGATCTTGATGGCGGAGGATAGGAAGTTGAGCACCGTTTGGCTCTTCGTTCTTGCCCTTCTGGCCAGGGAGTGAGGTTGTGTGCACGTATTGATGAGCCATTGGTGTTAGGGGCACAGGCAAGCCCACCATAGCACCAATCTCGACACCCCAGAATCCAGCGCATGAGATGACGATATCTGCTGTGAATGTTCCGTTCTTTGTGTGGACGGCTGAAACGTGGCCGTCGGTGTGGTCGATGGATGTAACCACTGTTGATCCGTGATACTTGACTCCAGCTGCTCGTGTGCGCTCAATGAGCTTTGCTTGCGCATCACGCGCCAGGGCAAGACCATCAGTAGGAATGTGAAGTCCACCGAGGACCTTCTCCTTGTTCAGGAGGGGGTATATCTCGAGACACTTCTCAGGGCTGATGAGGTTTGCCTCGACGCCCCAGGAGTAAGCATAACCCCTTTTTCGCTTGAGCTCCTCTAGTCGTGCAGGAGTAGTTGCGATTTCTAGTCCACCGACCTGGTTGAAGCTGCCTAGTGACAGAAGCTTCTCCATTGTGTAGGTAGCCATCTTTGTCATGGTCTTTGATGTGTTTGTCTGGAATACCAGACCTGGCGCGTGGGAGGTTGAGCCACCAGGCATGTCAAGGGGGCCCTGCTCGAGGACCGTGATGTCGGTCCAGCCGCGCTCAATCAGCTCATCAGCGACATTGACACCGACGATGCCAGCACCAATGATGAGAACCCGTGGTGAGGGTGCCATGATTGTCAATGTGTGATTTATGACGAGAGAGGTAGTGGGATGAGGAGAGAGGAAGAGATGAGAATGAGGTTTCCAACACAACAGCTTCTATTGGCAAAGGTTCTGGTTGAAATATATCTTGATACCACCCGCTCCACGACTCCGCACTCTTCCTCCGCATCATGATCTACCCGACTCAAAAGAAGTATCTTGTCACTATGTCATGGTTGCGATAAGGCAACTAACATGAGAACCTCCGGTTGCGGAAGCGCTCACGTGATCGGTGCTGTCGAGCAGCTTCGCCGTGATGGAGGGCGTGTGTTTATGGCGTCGCCGTATTCTAGGGTCTGTGACATGCGGGGAGCAAAGATAACAGCAAACAGCCTAGATCTATTTTGGCCCGCATTCTCATTCTCAATATCGACCGGGGATCAAGTGCCGGCCCAAGACAATGATGAGCCCGTGCCAAGATGATAGGACCCCCGTGATAACGCAGGATGGTCCGTGAAAGACTGCAAAGGGAAATACCTACACGCGGCATTGGCATCTTGCAGCAAAAAGGCCAACGGCCTGCTATCAATGCGTCAGAGACGCGATGCAATTAGTTGCTTGATTAAGAAAGACGCTCGGTTGGGGTTACAAGGGCCGGGAGGTCAAAGTGCCAATCAGGTGGGCACGGAACTGTCTGGGCTAGCAATGTTTCGTCCTTATCGAGCAAAAACACCCCAAAGACTCTGGTCATGGGACCTTTTGCGGCAGAGTCACATTTCACGATGCCTTCATTTCGACCCTTGTCTTTTGTTTTCGTCTGAGCCTTCTGGTTGCTAGCTTCGAGACTTGACCATCCCTGCACGCGCTAGATTCATGCCAATTGACCTGAAGACTGAAGTGCATGCTTCCCTCAGCAAACCGCATTGACCGTTGCAAGGGATGGCCTTTATCGGTTTGTTGCTGGTATGTTACTCTATTTCGCCCGTTCACAGGACCCCGCGCTGGTTTCCCATGAGGTTTAACCTAATAGAGAATACACCCATTTGATGCTAACAATGCTTATGGGCGAGGGGGCGACCACTGAGACAAACCTTGTGGTGAACAAATGGGTAACCGCTTTTGAATACCATCAATAATATTGTAATGGAGATGAGAATTTAGGGGTTCAATTGATCAAGAATTACTGGCCGTTCAAATCTCGCGATGCGGTGCCATCCAATCAATTCTTCAATTCAGCCCAACCACTCTTGTCAGCCACCGTCTTGCTCGGCCGAGCCGGCAACAAGTGAAAGCTTCAATTGAACACCAACGTTAGCGAGCAAACTTCCTGAAGTGGCTTCACACAATACGAATATCCCGCCACGTCATGTCACCCTCCTGGCAGAGCGGTGAGACTAACGTGGGAAAGGTGAACGAACGACTCAGTCTTCTCACGAGGCCATTCGCAGTAACACATTTCGACCATGTGTTGCTCAAGGCATTACAGCGCACCAAGAAAGAATGGAGGGGAGAAAAAGTCTACAGGGACAGGTGACCCGCCCCTTGCAAGCCAGTCCCCTAAAATCGCCAAGCCCCGAATTCTGTCATACCTCGTACCCTCCTCTCTACAAACAATTCTCGGTGCCCAGAAATACCCCGACTTCCCCAGAAAAAGAAGAAAGAGGCGGTTCACGATCTAAGCAAGGAGCAGGCTTGTTTACCCCAGATGGAGAGACCCCATGCCAAAGCTAACGCCAGTGTCATAGCTTTTTCTTTCGACATGACACATAGAAATGCGTTGGGGACGAAGCTATTATGTTATGCACAGGCACCTTTCCTTCCAGTCCAAGACTTTGGCGAAACTGACTTGGGTTAGGGATGGACACATTGTGCATAGCTAGCGCCATCTTTCCCTTCTTGATTCTCCTCTCCCCGCATAACGCTAAACTGCAACCCTTGGCTTACCCCAGAAAATCTCGGAAGTGCCTCACACCTTTCTTTACCTCTGGTTTTGTAATATCTTTCTCCGGCTTCGGTTACCCCGGACCCCCAAATCGAGACGTTCATCGGAGAACCCACTTCCCCCGGGAGGAGTCTAAGCTCCGCAGTTTATCACCGTGGGCCATGACGCCTTCTCTTGGAGTTCTGGTATAGCACTGTATATGCGCGCCGTTGTCATATGTGGAGAGTCTCTGTATGCACCTTTTGCCTTGCTTCTATGTAAGAGCGTGGATAGTGGATAGTGGATAGTTAATATTTGGAGAGGGATGGGCATGCATGCTCCATGTACTTCTTCACCAAATTGGGAATCACAAGTCTCGTTATGCATGGAATGGCGGGAGAAGTAGAACGAAAGAAGAAAAGACTGAATCCCCCAGTCTCTTCTAAACGCCTCGATTAAGCAAAAGACTATCTCTAACCTGTACAGTATACCCAGTGGTGATCCTTGAATTTTAACCCCTGACCCCAGGCCCATTACTCCTAAAAGTGATTAAACATGATATTACTAAAGTTTTCGCCCTCCCACCATGCAGGCCCTCTGTTCTCACTAAGTGCGGGTTGCGGGTCTTCGCAGCCCATGTCGGCAATGTTGACAAACTGTGAAGAGTCTGCGTAGAGCCACGGGGTGGTGCACAGCGTTAGACTGTCCTCCACGGGGATCTCGTCGTAGACTGTGTCCCGCGCCGAGTCTGGACCCTGCGAAGACAGCGGCGCCTTGTAGGATAGCGTGGGCGCTTCCTGACCACCATCGGCAGTGTTGATTGTTATTTCCGGTGCGCTGGCAACGATTATCTCCAGCGTGACATTCTCGTTGGCGTCCTCTTTCATGTGGTTGGGGACCAGAGACTGATTGAGGAGGCCGGCAGTTGGCAGATCTTGTGAGTCTGCCACGGTGTTGAACTGCAGGATCTTCCACATCAGAGGCACGCTGAGGTAGATCTTGGAAGGCATCCAATCTTCCACATCCATGCTATCAGTTGTGCCCGCAGCGATGCGCGTCATCTTATCCAGATTACGATCCTAAGAGTTGTTAGTCGAGATTGCTTTACCAAAATCACAAGAGAAATACGTACCAGTGCCCTACAAGCAGCCGAGGTAGGCAGGAAGGTCTTGAGAAATCTTCTACACTTTGCAAAATCTGCGTTGGACTTGTGTTTTAGTCTTGCCGCAGCTGCACAGCAGTAGTACAGGTGCACCGTTGCCGCAATAGCTGCAACATGGCCAAAGAAGGGATCTGCAAGAGGCACTTGCTTGTCGACCACCATATCAATCATGCGAACGATCCACGTTGAGTGCAGCAAGGCCAGCTCTGAAGACCGTCTCCAAAATGTGTTTGGGATGGCAAGGTTGGGGTTGTGCTGCGCGCCGACAATGTACAAGAAAGGGTGGTTGAGAACTGTGGGAATGACGTGGTATGTGAACTGCTCCTTCAGCCAGGGCGCCCAGTAGTCGCGGTGCATCTTGAGATCTTCCACTTTGCGCTCGTAGAACTTGACTGTGTCGTAGCGATGACACATTGGTATTCTGTTCTCGGTCTCCATAAAGTCGGCGAGGACTTTGGCATACATTGAGTCGTGACGCCATGGTTCCTTGATGTTGTTGTGTGCGCAATCAAAGACGTATTTTCTCACTTGACTCCATACCCAACCGAGATGCACGCTCGTGTTCCAGATGCCAGGTTCGTTTGGATGGTGGCATCCAAGGTCATCGCGGGGTAGATTGGGAGCTCTGGGGTCGAGTTCTGGCACAGGCCCACGGGTTGTAGAGTAAGAAGGGCGCCAAATCTCGGTTGACACGCTCAAGAGTCCTTCCTGGCGACCGTATGACTGCTCAAGCATCTGCAGACTCCAGAATAGCCTCTTCTTGCGATCGGCCATGGGGTCTTGAAGGCGGTACGCATTCTCAACATCCAGCATGGCGGAGCGACATAACTGGAATGCAAGACCGAGGTGGAATTGGCCAAGGTGGACATTTCCATCTGTCACTGTTAGTTGGGAATACGCAGGGCACTAATAACAGGGAATTGAACATACCGATAAATGAAGAGTACGCCAAAAGACACAGGCTCTCAAGCGTCGCAAGATCCACAGTCCCGTTCGCAATCCTCAGCATGACAAGGCTCTTTGCATTGTTGGCAAACAACTTGGCCTGGTCCGCGTTCTCAGAGTAGCGCAACGTCAGGGCGAGAATGCTGCACGCAAGCTCATCATGCATGGAGGCAAAATCACTGATCTCGTCGCGCTCAAAACACCATATTGGCTGTCGATGGCAGTACTCAAAGTAGAGTGCAATGCCGCCGGCAATATCGGAAGGGCTGGGTCGCAGGGACGAGTTTTCTGACTCGGATTTCACCGAGGGATGGCTGGTAGGGTAGCTTTGCTCGCGCGTGTTTCGCACGCCCGAGTAGGACTTTTCAGACGTGTCTGTTGTTTCTTGGGGGGATTCGAGTTGCTGTTGGGGTTGTTGCTGGGGCTGCTGAATGTGGTTCTGGGGTGATAGTTTAGGCGGTTGTGATGTAGGCCTAAAAAAACACCCAAAAAGGTTAACTTGAGTCTTTCTCGCAACATAGAAAAGAAGAGAGATTCATCTGAGGGGGAAACGTACAAATTGCCATTAAGTAGGAAGTCGAGCTTCTCTTCCAGGTGGGCCAATCTCTCCTCCTAATAATTGGTAAGGATGCATGTCTCTTTTGGTTTGTTTTATAGCCGTGTGCAAAAAGCATGCACAACGTACCGAAGGGCCGCTCTGGGAGGGCCTGATTGCCGGGGGGTAAGAGCAGGACTGTTTGAGGCGGACACAGCTCGAGCAGGCTGGTTTCTCGCCGGGACAGCGCGTCTTCTTTCGTCTGAAGCCGTAGGAGAATTTAGTCAGTACACAAGTAAGTCAATGTTTGCGCGCGGTGCTGCCAACCTGCAAGTCAAACAGGCGTGATGCGATCGTCTTCGGCCGCGGGTGCTGATGGGCGGTCCGTTGGTGCCCTCCTCAGCAGGGGACATGGAAGAACGTGACATTGTGAGAAGGAACAGAGTAAGATGAAGCAAGGGCTAAAAGTTTCAATATACTAAGATGCTACAAAAATAAACAATAATAATAATAATAATAAAGCTGAGGACGGAGGATGTGGTTTGAACCTTGTTCGCAAGACGAAAGGGGGCCTGCTTCCACTAAATACTTTATAATGTTTTGCGCTTGCGCTGGAAATACAGTGCACTTGGGGACAACAGTTGCAAACCCCGCACTGCCTACTGGCTGCTGGCTACTGGCTACCAGTCATTCACCTACCGGCTCCTTACGATAACGCGGGGTTTAGTTAGCTGCTGTAGGATAGTCCATGCGCTAAGGATAATCGCTGCAGCGCCTACGGGTACCAAAAGATGAGACGGGACAAGGGAGTCGAGGGAATGATGAAGGGGGTGTGGAAAGTGTATCAATAGAGTGTGTGTAGCTGTAACTCCCATCAAAGGAAAAAAACGAGGCCCACTGCTTGCGAAAGAAGAGGAGAGGTCATGGTACAGCATGAGGTAGCAATAGCATAACATGCCTTGAAACGTGTCGTGGAGGATGCCAAACACCTACACAAGCAGCATCTTGCACTGCAAAACATTGAGTCATGACACCGAATAACAGAAAAAGAGTGAAATCTCTTTTACACCGCAGAATTCCCTATCTTTCTCCCCTTTCGGCCAAACGCTTATCAGCCCATTACGCATCCATCGCAGCGGCGCCTACCTTCTATCAAGGCTTCCAGAAAATACACAATCTGGCTCACCGAGACACACCTCGCCTCGTTTTTTTCTTTTCTTTCGCCTCCGAATTACGGAGCTGCAACGAGATAACGCTTGTGGAGATCCCTGCATGCTCAAAGATCATCTGGGTTTCTAAGATAAGGAGGTGGAGTGAGCCTGTGAGGAGAAAAACAAGGGTGCCAAGACGAAGCCAGAAAATAAGAAAATGAACCTACGTAGCCACAGCTACTCCGACAACGCAGCGCGGATTCACATCTTGGCCAAGACAATCACGGTTTATGACGATGCCTATGTTAAATGGTTGTAAAATAGAAATGCTCGATTTGTTCATTATGGTCATGCTCATGCTGTTGATCTCCCTAGACGCCCAATCATACTTGCTTAATCCCTGAATGTCCCTCCCCCGCAGTTACAGTGTTCCCCTCAGGATACACTCTCCCCCGAAAAATAGAAGGATTATTCCTTGGTTCGGCCCCGTCTCTTCTCTGCATGCTTCTCTACGTAGCGATCTACCTGTTCTTTGCCCCTTCCCCTTCTTCCTTTCTTCTACAGCCTGGCCACAGGATCTAACAAGTCCCTCATCTCCCCGTTGGGGAACTCGCAGTTGAGAGCCGCATCGGGCCGCTCCCTGTCCCAAGCCCACTTCTCCTTGAGCTCGGGCTCCAGCTCGTCCTCGAGCATCTGCACCACATACTTGCCCAGCACGGGGAAGAACTTGTATCCGTGGAACGAGCCGCATGTGGCTACGTAGAGGCTCCTGGCCCCTGCGTGCGGAGAGATGATGAAGTCTCCACTTGATGTGAATGCGTCCCTGATTATCGCGAGTTAGTCGCCCGTTATCCTTCGTCATTGCTGTGGAGAAGGGGGGGGGGGGGGGGGGGGGGGTACATACCAGCAGATGCGGTGGTGCTCGTACTTCCAGTTGGCACCCTTGCTGCCAAAGAACAGACGGTTGGCATCGTCAATGTCTTCCTTCAGCTTCGCGGGCACCTTCCACTGCGCGTAGTCCTTCTCGTCTGGTGGTGCAGAAACGAAACGGCCTGGCAGCACTTGGCGCGTGTTGCTGAAGATATTGCGGCCCCACCACTTGATCTCGCGATCTGGTGTAGGTGGCAGACTGCCGATAAAGGGAGACTCTGTCATCGGTGTTAGCTGCATGCTCAAGATACTTCGCGTCGGGGATTAAACTGACTGTGCTTGTACGTATATCCTTGGAATCCAACTGGCATGTCCTTCATCCTGGCATATGACTCGTCATCCAGAGTAACCATGCCGGTGGTAATACCAGCAGCTGTGATGCGATCGCCAGATCGGAGATCGGGCATGTTGTGGCGCGCGGCGCTGTATTCTAGAAGCTTGGCTGTGTAGGCTCCTGTAGACAGGATAACGGTGTCGGCTGAGATGATCTCGCCCTTGGCAGTCTGGATGCCGGTAGCGCGACCAGCCTCAATCTGCAATGTAGCCACATCGGCGACGATATACTTGACGCCCAGCCTCATAACCTCGCGCGTCACAGCACGCAGGGAGTCGCCTGCAGCGCCCCAGCCACTGTTCCTGTTGACAAGCACCTCCTTGGCACCGGTGTAGTCAGCCTCTTCGTAGAGACCACCATAGAGCTTCTTGGCCTCCTCAATGGAGTAGACCTGGATATCGGATTCACGACCCAGCTTCTTATAGTTGTTGATGACATCCTGAGCGTAGTCGCTGCGACACACCCAGAAGACGCCCGCCTTGTGGAAGTGAGGCTTCCAGAGGGGGTCTGACTCAAAGATGTCCTGGGCCTCGAGAGCGAGGCGGCAGTAGAGAAGATCATCGTAGTCAGCGCGGACTACCTTGTTCCAGTCCCACGAGGCGGCCACGCGGTTGTCGCCGTCGTAGGGGTCCCTGTCTACGATTGTGACTGAGGCATTGGGATACTTCTGGATGAGCTGGTAGGCTGTTGAGACGCCAAAGACGCCAGCTCCGACGATGAGATATGATGAAGAGGCCATTATAGACGTCTTGTAAGTGGTGATGCTGCTGGGAGACAGTGGGGAAACACTTCAAATCTGCCAATTGACAGTGAGGATAAAGTCCAGGCAGTTTAAAGACAATAACTTCAAAGTCCAAAGCGAATTTACTCTTCAATTGACCTTGGTGTTTGGGCCTTTTATCACCCCGCGTTGGAGAGCATGCCGGTTTCGGTGGGCACCGTATTCCGGACGACTCTCACCAAATGTCGTTTTCCGCCCCGAGCCTGGAATTCCGGCGATGGAACCCGGAGTCCGGGTATGGGGCGATGAGAAACCCGATCACGTGAGAATTCTTCGCTGGATCTTATTTTTGGAGATGGGGATGAAGTCGTGATAACTTCATTTTACATGTTTGCGATATCATTGGAACTGTAGCGATTGAACTGTATGGGATGAACATTCTTGGTCGCCAACTTGTGAATACTTCACATCTGCTCTTCCGCATTGGCCATCTCACATTTCTCTAGTGTTTCCTTCACTCTCCGTCCTCGGCACCCTTCATCCCGTGTCACCAGACAACGATAACCCGTCCAACGTCTTATCCAGCTTTATCACCTGGACTCACCCTCAATGAAGTTATCCACACCCGTTGTCCCATCCTGCCACATGTACAAGTTGCCATACCGATCCCGCATTAGGAAAAGCCTTATCTCCATCTTCTTCCCTCCCCCGCACTCGTCCTTTCTCCATCGGCATGTAGCTCACGCACGGGTCACGGAGATCATTGATATCATAAACAACGGGGCCCAATGCCAAGCTCTCCGCCCTTGTCCTTTCTCCGCACGCAACAAGACGATGATAACGTGTGTCTCCCCAAACCGCTCTGGGGTTAGCTTCATGCACAATTTGCACTCGACCAACCTCAATTGGTATCGAACCTTGACAAGGGTGTTGTCACTATTTCAGCAAGCGAAATCTAAAACTATTTTCATTCTACGGAGGGGGGAGGCGTCGACCAAGACTTATCTTGGTCTCCTCTGCCCAATGCCTCACACCATCTTTTAAGCTCGGTCCCGTCCAAGCAGTCGTCGCCCAAAACCGGGGCTGGAGACCTCGAGCTAGCAACATGTCAAGATACGCTGGCGGACATCTGCTTATCTTGATGCAGTTTGGCCCACTTCCCCATGCCCAAAGTCCATCATGGCCTGGGCATTTGCTGGCGTGGCAAACTCCGGCACTCGTCATCTCCTTTCCCAGGCCGTAACAGGCACCGTGCATGGGTCAGGGCTACACTGCATACGCGTTGCTAGCGCTATCCTGTCCTATCATTTGACCATGGCAGATATCAAGAGATGCATAGGAAAACAGACATCGTGATACCACACGCGGTCGCCTATGCCGTGCTATCTACAACTAACCCCGGAGTGTAGACCGTGCTTCATCCCACGTGTTGCATGTTAAGGTTGATGATACCTTCTGGAACACGTCGTGATTATGCAGGGAACTCGAGAAGTTGCAAGTAATGCCGAGGACGGTCTACTTCCAATATGTCTGTTATCTGAGCGGCGTCTACTAGGCGATCTTGAAGTAGCACCTTCGGCAAACCGCATAGAATTTGAAGTTTGTTCTATCAGCCATCTGGCAAGGTTCTTTGCAGATTCTAGTGAGTTTCTGGTCATTTACGTAGATAGGAAGGAGAGCAACATGGCCTTGATCATTTGATCGAGATGTCTTCTTGTAGGGTAAGATTTGGCGAACATCTGTGAGGCTCAACTCTGAGTCAAGGCTAGGACATTCGGTTTCAACACCTGCCGATGCTATCTTTCCAGGAGTTTCACACAGGGTAGAATATTTACCACTTTAATGCTTTTCTGGGTGAAAGAAACTGCCCCAGTAAATGCACAGGGGTTTTACAACATCTTTACATCTATAATGCTCAGTTTCTTACATTTGCACTCCGTGATATATGACCAGATACGTAAAGGGAGATGAACCTTTTGAGACGAAAGCAATGGACAAGTTTTCTGTGCCAGGTCAAAGACGCTGAACTATTCTGACAGCACTTTGCGGTGCTTCTACCTGAATTGTTTAACCATTGACAAATTCCAGCAACCTCTCTCAACTTTTGCACAACATACGATTCCTCGAGTTCAGTCGTATGATCTCCTCGTTAGCCATGAACGATCTAAGCTGTGACACGAAGCAATCACCGCGTTTGAGGTTGCCCGTGCCTTGGTACAAGCAGGTCCTGACCAGGAGAAGCAACTATTCAGAGAACACTTGTAATCTTGAACGATTGTGATGTCACTTTGTAATTGAAAACGAACGATTATAAGCAAGCAGTCGTTCGATTCTATCGTTGTCTCTAACCAGCCCATAGGACATAGCCAGCTGGTTGTGTATTAAAATCCAGCCTGCCGTGGACATGGCATTGATTAATTTCGCCTATTCTTTCACAAAACTTCACTCTCCGCTTCTCCCAAACTAGAGAACAACTCGGCCCCAAAAACGAGTCAATAATTCTTCTTCATTTCTGAGGATGCCGTGAGTCCCCATGGGCAGAGTGGACCAGAAACCTCATACACGAGCCATCGCTTGATCTTACTATCGATGTTAACCTCTGTGATAAGTCTCGAGTCGTGACTTGTCCTAAGAGGGTCCAGACTTTGAGCGTTAGCTCTCGACTTAAGCGCTTGGCCCAACCCCGGACTCACCGGCACAGACCACCCATTCCACTTACACAGGCGCTTCGCTTACTTTCACCTCTCGTCTAAACTTGCTGTGTCCTAATAATGCCTCGCCTCGCCCAGGCCGGTCGCAGCCCAGGGGTATAGTCGAACAGCTAGCAAAGGCATTATCGATTGCCATCGACGGGTTATCAGCAATATTTTATCAAAAGTGTCTCCGTGTAGGTCCGTCTGTCTCCATCGACATCGGCTGCTGTTGCATAGATTGGGGCGCTGTTACGAAATCCCCTGTGCCGTATGACCCGTTAAGTGGTAACCTCCCCCGGATTTTGAATTCCATCCGTCGGACCCGTTTAGGGGGGTGATGGAGACATCAGTGCTCCGTCACCCGGTCAGGTGGCTTCGATCTGGGGGCACTTAGACCAATTTCTGTTTCAGCCCTGGGGGCGTCTTCGCGGTGGAAAGTGACAGCAGCAAGTTGAGCCGGCTCACTGCAACTCAATGGCCGATGCCAGATGGACAGTATTCTAGAAATCATGATCTTCAATGCCAATTCATTCTCCCGAGGCTGGGTATCTGCAGGTCCGGAACGGTCTAATTGCAACATCACGACAAAACAAAGGTGAACGTGGGGGACATCTCACGGCATAGGAGTGGCGTTGAAACAGACCCCTAATCTGGACGCGTAGAGGCCGTCATCTATGACTCTTGGAGGGTTTCAATGAGGCCGGACATGGCTTGTCCCAAGGGGGTGCAGTATCCTAACCGGGCCTCTAATATACACACCCCGATCATGTGACCGGTTCTCGACACCGGAGCCAGATGGGCCACCTGATTGCGAGCAACAACTCAGTCTATCAAGATGGATGGCTTCAGGTATCAGGTGGCAAGGGGGGTTTGCGTTTGGCGATAGAGTATGGACACGCCCTGATATTAGCTTCAGATGTGGCAGATGGGCAGATGCAAACGAAGTATTTAGAAGACGTCTAGTTCCGACCTCAATCAAATTATTATCATCACAAACAAACACTTCTCTACCAATCCAACAAACAACAACCACTTTCATATAAGACTTCAAGTCCTCATCTTTCGACTTGACTTTTGCCATCTTATCTTCACAAAGATATCAAGCACATCTTCTTTCTCTCTCACACACAAACACATCTTCACAATGGCTCAATCATTCTTGAAACGATGCTTTGGCCTCGGCGCCTCTGCCGCTCCCGCTGCCACAACATGCTCTGCTACCCCAGAGAAGAGCGCCGTTCGTGCTCTTCCCGCTTCATGGTACACCTCAGTTGAGATGTACGAGCTCGAGAAGCGTGCCATCTTCTCCAAGAAGTGGCTCCTCACCACACACCAGGCCAGACTCCAGAAGGCCGGTGACTGGCTCAAGTATGAGATCGCCAACTTCGAGCTTGTCATTGCCAAGGATAAGAACAACAACATCAACGCCTTCCACAACATCACCCGCTTTGGTGCTTTCCCCATTGTCGCTCCTGAGCAGGGTGACAACGGTGATGCCAGCACCGGCTTTGACCAGACCCAGAACGGTCTTCTTCCCATCCACGTCAAGATTGATGCCCGTGGCTTCATCTGGATCAACATGGACGGTGCCAAGGTCCCTGAGGTCGCCTGGGAGGATGACTTTGACAACCTCGACACCCACGAGCGCTTCTCTCACTACAACTTTAACGACTACAACTTCGATCACGTCTGGGAGATGGAGGGTGACTACAACTGGAAGATCCTCGCCGACAACTACAACGAGTGCTACCACTGCAAGGTCGCTCACCCTGATATCCCCACCATTGCCGACCTCAACTCCTACTGGGTCGAGACACAGAAGTCTTACATCCAGCACTTTGGTGCTCAGCGACAGGATCAGATTGACCGTGGATTCCGCATTGCTGTCACTTACTACCTTCCCAATGCCTCCACCAACATCTCTCCTCACTTCTTCATGATCCAGCGCTTCGTCCCCCACAGCCCTACCCGCTCCACCATGCGCTACGAGTTCTTCCGCAACAAGCACTCCAGCGACGATGACTTCAACCTCATCACCGAGCTCTACAAGCGCGTCATGTCCGAGGACAAGTACCTCTGCGCCAATGCCCAGAAGAACGTCAACGCCGGTGTCTTCATCAACGGCGAGATGCATCCCGAGATGGAGCAGGGTCCTCTCTTCTTCCAGCAGAGCATCCGCGAGCAGCTCCAGAACCACCACAAGAAGGAGCAGGCTATCGGCAAGGAGATCTGGCCCGCGCAGCAGGCCGCTCCCGAGACAACCATCAACACAAAGGCCAACGGCGGTGTCAATTACTCGTCTGGCACCGACTACAGGCCCGCACAGAAGGCAATTGTTGTTTAATTTGGGATATGACTTCTTCTACATGTTGAATTTTGAGACAAAAGCGAGTTTGTGTTTTTACAGGATTAAGATTGCATTTGATTTACTTACGAACGATTATGACTTGGCAGCTGCTTAATCCATACATTACAGCATGGCACTGCAACATTTCTTAGATAGAAATTGAGAACCTATACTTTGAGAACTACTTCCTTGACCATCGCGATTTACTCTGGTGATGCCTGCAAAGATTAGACAAAGCGGTGAGTGCTCGGTGAAGAGATAACAAGCTTCACTGCCACACCTCGCTGATCCCCAATGATAAGCTCTTCCTCCACACCACAAGGTGAGGCTGAAACGGACATGGAGCCGTGATAAGCCGGCCCAAGATCGACGTGGACCGTCCTGCAGCACCAACTCACTCCGGATACCGGACAAGAATGTCCTCGCGGCAGTCATATTATCACCCCAAAGCTGAAATCGAGATTGTCTCGACCAGGTTCGAGAACTAAGATAACCCCCTCACCCCTCCCAAGCTTGCCCGACAGGCCAATCAGGCTACACCCTTGGGTGCACAAACGCCCGTTTCGTGCTGGAATGCTTGTGTGAAGCGCTAGTCATGCAGCACTTGTCGGGGTATTACCCTCCCAAGAAACTTGGGCTGGTTGTGCCTTAATTGCCTAATTAGGATGTCTTGGACTTGGTGATGCTGAGATGAGATAACACACCACCGGTCTTCTGACCAAAAGATAGACTTCGTGAAGGTGCTTCAGCTGGTAATGTCTGCACTCTTGTTATCGTTGCATCGTTGATCCAGCCCCCCCGTCATTTATTGAAGTCAGTGAGTCAAGCGCTTCCTACATATCGCCGATACGAAGACAATCGTTAGATCTTCGCAAATAATACTTCTGGAAATTGAGTTAGGGTCCCCTCCCTCGGGGGTAATGATAGTACCTTTATACCCGATGGTAGAATGCAGTTTGACTAGCAAAACAATTGCGAAAATTCTCGACTTATGCGATCTACTAATCGAACTTTCACTTCTAATCAAGAAACCTATTTAACACAAGACTACTGGGAGTAAGGAATTGATATGCTCGAACAGTTTTCTTTCAATAAGAGAGAATATCTATCTGAAAGCTTTGTGTCATTTCGTGTACGCCTTACAATCAAAAACAGCCTAGTTTGAAGGATCAATACGTTTCACTCATTCAGCAGGGAGTTGGTCCGTCAAGAAACCAATGAACACACAGTCTGTACTGGTTATGTAGGGTGAGGCAACTTGCAACACGGAGTTGCCCGTGGGTGAGAAGTAAGTGGAAGAATATACCAACGCTACGTAAGAAAGTGGTCTTGGTTCTCCTAGCACCTTTTTATATCTAGCGGCTGGTACAAGAGATTCTACATTCTACTGTAGTTCATACTTTCAAGTCCTAGTCATAAGGCGCTTGGATACGTGGACTGGTAATGACTTAGTATAATCATGTCTTTAGTCAATGCTTTTATCATACAGCTGCTAAGTGAGTAACTTCTCCCAAGAGCGGTTAAATATTTGTATTTGAATTAGGTCTGTTCTGAACTATTGATTACTATGAGTAGAAGGGTTCACCAGCCCAGATTCAACCAGTGAGTATCGGGCTCTAATACAATGATCTCGCGACATCTACCTAGAAGGTCTCATGCATCAACCAGGGCGAGAGGAGTTTTGACATTAGACAGGGGTGGTTTGTCTGTTCCTCTCTTGCATTGTGACTCTCAATACTCTTGAGATGTGCGTCAGCGATCGTCAAGGCTGTTGCTTAAATCTGAGTCGACTCAAATGAGTTCGTGTTGTCACTTCTATATTATTATACCTGTACCCATGACTTGTTTGTCTAATGTCTTGAGAGACTTGGGAAGACTCGTGAACTCTTACTGAGATAAAGACATTGAAACCACATGTAAACATCAGGCTGTATTCGGCATAGTAGGTTGTCTAATAAATCATAACACTTGTTTCATAGCTATCGAGTACCAGGTAATAAGATTTAATTCTCTTCTACTCGAACTTTGAGCTTTCCTAATTCAGTAACATAGATAGAGTCCTATGAGTGTAGGAACCTTCTGGGTTACATTAGCTCAGTTGTAGCTCCAAACTCCAAGGGGCACAAAGTTCAAGGCTACTATTCACAAGGCATTCAGCTAATCATCTTGTCTACGTCCTCGTCTCTATGCGAGTTATTAAAATCTCTTTCACCTGAAAATGATTCTTTCAATACTGCAAGATGGAACCTAGAGAGTTGGGATATGGCAAAGCCAATAAGATAGTTAAAGGCGGATACAATATACATTCATTAGTTTCTCATCCATACCTCCAGTCACTTAACTGGGATATATCTGAGCTTGCTGTAACGTTTGATAGTGGTCGAATTGCCTCTATTCTTGAGTTGTTGTGTTCCTTGAACTTTTGGTGCACAGCTTACCAGGCCACCGTAACAAGCAAATTTAAGGTGCATGATGCTGAAGGAGGACGAATAATTCTAAAATAAGTTATACTTAGAGAACATAAGTGCACCATTCATGCGCAACATATCGAAAAGAGAGTAATGTCCTGGTCCTACCATTCGATTGGTCAATCAGCATAAACACTTTAAAACGCACCACCGTGGTTCATGGATCAGGCACCTAATGATCTGATCATGTTTGTTGTTGCAATTGCTCAGGGGCTCTGCTGTGGACGGAGAACCCCAGATTTGATACTACGGGGAAAGTTCAAAGACTTTCTTCGAAAATGGAGAGAGTCTGCTACAAACTCCTTGTTCGGCCTGGTAGGAAGGCGTGCTGGTGGTCAGAATCTGGAAGATACCCCAGTAGGAGGGATGTCAACTTCACATGTTTTATTGTTTACCTGGACACAGACATCTAATTGGTCCTGTGCCACCACACCTTGGTATGATGATAATGCATCGGGCGATATTGTCTCACTTGCTGCAAAACAACTCAATCTATCTCCGCACGGCGTAGAAAGGTTTCCCGGCGCTCTCTAGGGCTTCTATCACTCCCACCAAATTAGATTGTCCTGGGGTTGTTAGTATCATTTCCCTTCAAAATGTCTCCCAACATTCGGCGCGTGGCCGTCATTGGAGCTGGCCCAGCTGGCGCCATCGCTACAGATGCGTTAGTCAAAGAAGGCGCCTTCGATACGGTCCGCGTATTCGATCGCAGACCTATGGTTGGAGGAGCATGGTAGGATACTTCTCCTTCTACAACAGCCACGTCCTAACTTAACCTCGTTGAGGGTTTACACGCCACATTTACCACCAGGGATTCCCTCACTCGAGAAGCTTGTTGTCGGGGAGGCTGCTGCAGCCGTTCCAGTACCAGAACACTTGCCAGCCGTGACCCCAGTGTCAGAACGAGTCAATAGCCATCAGTATCGATTCTCGGACACGCCCACCCATGAGAATATTCATAGTAATATTACGCCAGAGCTCATGAGCTACACACAAGAGCCCTTTCCGAACAAGCTTTCTTCACAAGCACTCGCAGAGTACGGGCCCAATGCCCCTGTTCGACATCACTCTACCATCCGTGATTGGATCGAAGCTATCTTTGTTCGTGGAGGCCACGGTAAGCTGCTTGAACTCAGTACCACAGTAGAACGTGTGGTGAAGGAGAACCACGAGTGGATAGTCGCTCTAAGGAAAGTGATTGACGGTCGTAACTACTGGTGGCAGGAGACATTCGATACAGTGGTTGTGGCATCTGGCCACTACAACGTGCCTTGGTTTCCAGTAGTTGAAGGGTTCTTGGGGTTCGACAGCAAGTTTCCCCTTGCTATTCTACATAGTAAGCATTTCCGAGGAGGAGCCAAGTTTGCTGGGAAGGTACATCTCTTTCTCCCATCCGTCGGGTTCAAGGCTAACAATCATCCAGAGAGTCATTGTGGTTGGGGCCTCAGTCTCCTCCGTAGAGATCATCTACGAAATTCTTGACCTTGTCAAGAACCCATTGTACGCTTCTGTGCGGGAAGAGCCTATTGAAGCCTACGGATGGGTTCCCTTCGAGCATCCCCAGATTTCCGTCAAGCCTGCTATACAACGCCTGGATCCAGAAACAGGGCGTATTCACTTGGCAGATGGCTCTTATCTTGATAATATAGACCACATTATATATGGAACAGGTTACACATTTAGCGTTCCATTCTTGCCCAAGGTACAAGATCGGATCAAGGCAGGATACCGTCGACTTCCAGGTGTATTTCAACATACCTGGGATATCGAGGATCCTACGTTGACATTTGTTGGAATGGTAAATCCTCCTGTCAGCCCAACCTTCCACAATCCAACTAACCATTTAAGATTGGCCTTTTCACATTCCGCGCATACGAATGGCAAGCCGTAGCTGTCGCTCGTTTTCTCACAAGCCGGTCCAAGCCGCTGCCGTCTGTCTCGCGCCAGTTGGAATGGGAACAGCACCGCGTAAGGGAGAAGAGAGGGGGTAAAGCTTACTACTCCATTGGGTCCGAGTGTCAACACTTCTTTGAGTATCTCAGAGATTTTGCGGGAGAACCTGAAAGGGGTACAGCAGGTCGAAGGTTGCCGCCATTTGATCCGCAGTGGTTGGTCATTTGGCGCGAGATGGGTGCGCCCAAGTTGTGGTGTTGGAGACGGAAGATAAACGAGGCAAGATGGAGACAGGGACTTAGAACTAACCTCTAGATGATGTTGTCTTGAGCTCCCTAAACTGATTACTGATTCTGCAGGTATCTTTGATGGTCATACGATATAACATTTTGAGTAACAATTACATCCTTTTCAGATTTATTTTTACTAATGACAATTCAATGTCGTATTTCTCAGAGCTCGTCAACGTAACACTTTCATGTTCTGGGCCGGTTTTGACGCTTGGTTAGCTAAAAAGCGTTATGATCTCTGATCGGAACCATAGCTTCTAGGGACCTGGAGAGCTCGATATACCATCTTAGCAAACAACTCATCCTATGCAGTGTTTTTAAGTATATCTCGGGCATTACTTGCCGCCTTCCATTGACCTTACGTGACGAGTGGTGTTGTCATTTATGTCCTTCCATTGTCGTCTCACAAGACTGCTCGATTCAAGGACAAATAATAGAAATTGTACAAGATGGATTATAATAAACTCCAAAAATAAACTACCCACGTACCAACGCCGATATGTAAGTAATAATCGTTGCGTTCTATGCCGAATATGAACTTGAAACTCCAGATATTCGTTCCGTTTCCCACCGCCCAAAAAGGTACCAAAGAAGGTATAGAAAAGTTCATTAAGACATTTCCCTGACGAGGAATATTTATTCCCTCTTTCATCGCCTTGCAATGCAACACATGATGCCGGTTCGTCCAATGTACCAGAGGAAGCCGAAAAAGCGGACAAGAGACAGCACAGCTGTCGAGTACAGAAGAACGCGGAAATACATCGGTGTTCGAACCTCAGAGGCTTTCTGTAGGGATTGTGAGTACACCGAGGGAGAGAAGCAGGGGAAAATAACTTACAGAGACGCCGAGAGTGATAAAGTCGTCTGTTGTGACAAAGACGATAAGAACAATATTGCAGAGTAACCAAAGAATGACCAGACCAGTTCGGAAAGATTTGTATGAGTCTTCAACGTCCTTCTTCTCGGGTGCTTCCTCTGTTATTTCGCTCATGGGTGCAAGGGCTCGCCAGACAACCTTTTCGAACTTGCTGTCAATGTCCTCCTGCTCTTGCTCGATTTCTTCAACCACGGCTTCCTTGCCCTTCTCATCTTTGACAATGTTGGCTGAAGGCAGAGCCTCGGCGGCATCGGAACCCTTTGTTCCCCAGGACACGTCGTGCCAGTTGTTAAAGGCGTAGACCATCAGGATGTTGATGTAGGTGGACATGAGGACGAGATATTGAGGGAACGAGTGGAACATGTGCCACGGGTCGAGGTAGAGGAAAGATGCGATGTAGTTGAGACCGTAGATGGTGATTAGGGCAATGATGATCAGACCTGCGACGCCTGTCTCGCCCCCGAAAAAACTATCGAAGAAGGCTTGGCCGGACGCGAATGAGATCTGTTCTTCAATCGGTGTACCCGTGAAAGCGCGGTAGACGAGATAACCTGTCAAGACGAGAAGATACAGCTGGATCAAGCCAAAAACCATGAAGGAGAGGACGTATGTGTACTGCGCACCCTTGGGTCTGTTTCCGAGGGCCAGGACGAACTGCAGAACGAGGAAGGCGACGTAGATATATTTGATAAGGACGTTGACGATGGGCGTGGCCGTATCGCCAAATGGCCATCCGTGGTATGCGGAGAGAACCTGGGGGTTTCCGACAAGCTTCATGATGATCGTGGTGGTGAGGTAGAAAGAGCCGAGCGAGAACCAACTGAACAGGACGTTGAGCAAGTTGTAGACGAACTGGATGTGGAGGAAAAAGAGACGGATGACGTTGTGGCCAGAACCATACATTCGGCCAAAATGCATCAGGGAATACAGAGACATGGCGAAAGATCCGTTGAGCCATCGACGTCGCTGGCTAATAAACTCAGCGGCGCCTTCAGGGACATCAGTCTCGCCCTTGGAAGCCTTGATGTAGTTGAGATGCCACTTCTGACTAGCCTTGGCAACCAGCTCGAAGCATAGAATTCGGTCCTCGGCAAGGAACATGTTCTTTTTGAAGATATTCATGCCGTCGATACCTTTCTTGCCCAGAGTTTTGGAGAGTGTGTGGTCGCCGTGGAAGTACTGCTCCAAGGGCCTACCCATGATCGCACGGAAGCGATACGCAGAAAAGGCACCTGGCAAGACACTAACATATCCAAAGGCACTTTCCAGCGGCTTATCGAGGACGTTTGAGATCTTGTACTCGAAATTCTGTACCGCGACGAGCGGGTTGAGGAGCATCTTGCCGCCCTTGCCCAGCATAACGTGGATCTCTCCGCAGGCGCCGCCGAGGTCGCGGTCATTGTAAAAGCCTTCCCAGAGAGACAGCAGGGCGCGCGGGCCGGGCTTGGTTCCGGCGTCGATGAGAATGGCAACTTCTGGGTTAAGAATGCGGCCAAAGGCGTTGAACAGCCAGCGATGCGAATTGATCTTCTTGCTATTCTTCTGCTTGAGGCAGAAGATGAACTGCACGGGCGGCAGATTGCGATGCGGCTTGTCGGGGTCTGGTCGAATGAGCTGTTGATCGGGCGTGACGGAGACTTGACTCGTGTACTCGAAAATGTGTGCGACCGTTTCCTTGCCGTTGACGTCCTTCTTCAAAACGCCATCTTGGTAGATACCAACAGTGGCAAGGACGTCGAAAACGTTCTTGTCCACTTTGTCGAGACCATCAAAGACAAGACACACCACGATCTTCTGCCAAGCTGGACCTCCCTTGTTCCAGAACTTGGAGCGCTTGAGGTTCACAATGTCTCGAATATTCTGCATCGTTCCGTGGAGCGTTCGCGCGAGGAGCACCTTGTCCTCGTTGTAATAGGTGATGGCGATGAGGAGCTCGGTGTGACGATTGTACATGCGCGGACGAAGGTTGAAGCCGTTGCGCAGGGTGAAGTCGTTCGGGTCGCATGTAGCAGCTGTGTAGCGCATCTTTGTGAATTCCTCCTCCATGCTCCCAGGGCCGTTGCGGTACCGCGGCTCGATGGCGTTCTTGATGGCGCTGGGGACTGGGTAGTCGATGCTGAGGACGGAGCCCTGGACCAGCTTGACCTTTCGGGTCTTTGAGCGGCCAAGACCACCGGCGGCCTGCTGTTGCTGCTGTCGCATCAACCAGCTCTCGTCCACGTCGAATTCCTGGTATGCTGAGTCTGGGCGGCCATGGGCGAAGTCGGGAGGGACAGAGAGGGCCTCGCCGTTCTCGCCCCAGTCCTGCATTGTGGGCGCACGATGCATGACAGAGAGACGGGACTCGGCCAGGCGCGAAGCTTCGACATCGTACTCAGGCTCTGGGTATTCGTAGCCAGGCGATCCAGACAAATGAGCGTGCTGGTCGGGAGGATAGTGGCCGAAAGAGCCAGGTCCATAGCTGTTGTGTCCAAAGCTCCCTTGACCATCGTAGCTGTTGTGGCCTGGGCTGCCCTGGTATGAATTGTGCAGAAGATCACGGCTCGAGTCGTTCTGGTCGGGGACGGGGCGTACTGCACCGATGGGAGGGGGAGTAGGTAATTGCTCGTAGTCGGGTTGGTAGGGATTGCTCACGGGAGAGCGCGGTGAGGCGTTTGCATCGTCGGATTCGCGGAAGTGGTACTGAAAGGGTAGAAGTGTTAGCTAAAGGTGGGATTTCGAGTGCTACTGTTGTAGCTTAAAAAACATACTGCTTGGCCAGCGGGTAGATCTTGCAACTCGCGTGGCGCATCGTAGTTCGGGCCACTACCAGCACGGTCATGTTCGTTAAACACCATGTTTGCGCTCTTCTCTCTGCACGCAGTAAAAATATCCCAGGTACAGCAAAAGCTGTGCTATGTTGCGTTTGTACAACCTTTATTGTCCGTTTCTTGTTCTTCTTATTTTTCTAGAAAAATCGAACGCTGTTGCCGATGATGACATGCGATGCAAGGCGATAGCGATACGGAAGTGCCGGGCACCAAAAATAGAGGTGATGCAATGCGGCGGGCAGCTAGCAGCCGAGAATGGGAATTAAACGAGGGACAGAGAACAAAAAAAGAAAGGTATTACAGTAGTAATTAGGGACAAAAACTCCTTCTTTTAGTAAAAATTGCCTTTTGGAATTGTCTTTTTAAGAGAAACGAGAGAGAGGACACCTGTGACAGACAAGGGAAAAGAAAGAGAAAGTGGGAAAGAAAAAGTCTCGTAGAAAACGGGCTAAGCTTGGTACGTGCCTACAACTCCAGTACCTACTGTAAGGTACAAGCAGACATCGGTTTTTGTGTGTGTGATGAGGCAAGCTGGGACAACGCACCACAACGCACACAGTGACACAGTGGAGAAATACTGAATCCCTTCTTGGTCAAAGATCGTCTACCGTACAGACTAGTGTCTCCATATTATGCCCAGCTTTGACGGGGTTTGGTTGGGTGATACTGACGTAGACTCTCCCCCTTCGCAATCCTGTCAGCCATGATGGAAAAGAAAAGTCAGAGCATGGAGAAAAGGTTGCTATTTTTGGTGGGATGGCTTGGTTTGTCAGGCACAAGCCTCGTATACGCGCAATTCCCCTGTGGCTGCGTGTACCCATATTATGGGACAAGCCCGTTTGTTTGCATAGAACGGTATAGTGCAGTGCATTATCTTGCCATACTGGTTTCTCTTTCTGCCCGAGACATCCATTGCCATTGATTTCGATCATGACTGAGTTTATTTTCTTTCTGCGCTGTGGCTGACAGGTGACGGGCCGTTACGTCAAAAAAAACAGGGCGTTGACATTAAGCCTGGGTCTTGGGACGTTACAGGCACAGACACCAGTAAACAGCCATGGAACTCCACCCCGGCTCCGTAATCCAATGGGTCTATAATTATACAGTATACGAAGTACAGTACTGTACGATACGGTACAACAAGCCCCACAGGAACAGAACAGGGAGCATGCATGTCTCTCACAGAAGTCGTAAAAATAGAAGTCAAAAAACGCTCAGATTGTGGGAGATCTATCCGTAGTCTATTCCAGATAAAATAATTAGAGTAGATCAACGTTAATTACCCCGAGATCAATAAACCCTCTTTTTTCCTTCCCGCGATACGGTTTTTCGAGATGAATGTTGATGAGACTCGAGCTCTTGCGCCTACCACTATAACCCTCCCTTGTATCCTTAGTGCACTGACGCCATCAATTTCCTGTTTTCTCCCCTGCATTTTAATTTTTGCATAAATAATGCGACCATAGACGAACAGAAAAGGATGCCCGAGAAACAAGGAACAAAAGAATAATAAACAATGCGACTCTCCTCGGCTCGCTATTGTTTCAGTCATTTGATCAAATGTCGGATGCTCCCATATGCCACCATGACGCCATTCCGACTTCTCAGAGCATTTTATTTTAAGTTTGTCTCTTTTTCCGCCGCCACAAAACTCGCCAACTGCGCTGAGAAAATAACGCACTTCTAGAATAAAAAGAACAGTAACGTTAAGACCGCTAATTCATCGGCCAGTCCGTTTCAAACTCGTCCGGTTGCCTTGCGCACTCTTCAATCTAGACGAGACACGCCACGAGTCCCTGCTAATATCAGTGCCAGCCCTTGCATTGCTAATTCCGTCCTAGGCTCGGTGCATAGGCCATGTCAGCCTTGTATATTTAGCATGACGATCACGAAGAGCTAATCGTTACGGAGCAGTGTTGGCACGGTTTGCTCGTGTGTTGCTTTATGCGCTGAAGCGAAGATTGTCATCGGGTTTGCGCCGGATATTGCAGAGGTTGCTTAGTGAAGTGTCCTGGTTGGGGATGAACTAACGAGAACCTCAGCATGCGACTGGTCAAATTCGTATAAGATGTGTCTCTGGAGTCTGCCGTATTCGTGTACTCGTTCTTGACTACCAAAAGTCAAAGTGAAAGCGGTCAATGGCATGGAACCTTGCTGAAACATCGATCAACACAAAAAGCAAAGTGGAGGAGAGACTAGGATCTGTTGTCATGAGTTTGATGCGACGACAACTCTACCTAGGAATCTAAGACACACAGGGTAAATTCTCGAGGATCGATGAACAGCCTGCTCACAGTCGGCACCAGACATGCATTTTGACAACTAATGTTCTTTGACATCACGATAAATCTCCACACTTGTCGTCTGAAAGCCCGACAAATGTTGGCCTTGGCCCGAATGTAAAATCCCAGACAACTCCGATATTGACACACTCAGTTCAACGAAATCATATTTCAGAGTCGTCCCTACAAATAGTCCCGGCAAAACAAGAACCCGTGACATCAAACTCAATCGTCCTTTTCCTTACACGCCTTCTTGAACTCCTTCAATATCGCCTACAAATCATCAGTAAATCCGCAAAATCTCATAGCCAAGAAGGGCCAGGGCAATCCACTTACATCAAAATCCTGATCCGCCATCGACATAAATGCTCCAGTTTTATCCAGCTTCAACTTCCCGACCCGCGGGCTCTTGATACCAAACGCAATCCTCGCCAGGAATCGTGCATCGTCTCGCACATCTGTCACCTGGAGCACTTTGTTGATCGCTGCTTTGTCCACCTTCTTTGGCGATGAAGGCGGGAGCTCTACGGGTGCACCAGTGAGGCAGAATGTGCAGTGGCCGCATTTTCCCTTGCTATCTGGGAGATCCATGCCGAAATGCTCTGCGATGGCGAGACCGAAACATTTGGAGGCTGTGACGAGATTGACGACGTCTCGGAGTCTTTCTAGGGCTTGCTTCTCGCGCCTCTTGAGGTCTTCGTAGAGCTTGTCTGTGAGTTGATCAATCGCAGCGTCGCTCTTGGGCAACTTGGCAAGAACTTTGTACTTCTGTTCAACGCCACCGACAGTGAGGACGATGACGCCGTTGTTGTTGAGATCGTTGAGGAGATTGACAAGCTCAGTACGTCGCAACCCCTCCGTGTTAGCCACCTGAGTCGGGTCGAAGGAGTGGTATTTTTTGGCCTTCTTAGCATGCTGCAGAATGGCCTTGCTCTCCGGCGTGTTGATACCCTTGAGGCGGGGGTAGTAACTTGACGTAGCCTCGAATTTATACGAGCTGTACTCTGGCGTCGTGGCGCGGATGAGGTTGAATCTCAACTCCAGCGCTGCGTAGATCACGCTGAGGGGACTAACGCGGATGTCAAACTGAGATGACTGCCCGTAATGACTGACTTTGAAAGTCTCCCCTGGAGAGAGTTGGACCACATCGTCGTCAAAAATATCCTTGAGCAGATTTCGCAACGAGCTGCGAGAGGGAAGATCGCCGCGGGCAAAGTTCTCACGGATCCAAAAGTCTTCTCGGCAGAGGTAGAGCATGCAGTAGCTCTGTTTTCCATCACGGCCGGCACGGCCTACTTGCTGGCAGTATTCCTCGACGGTACTTGGGACGTCCCAGTGGATGATGTTGCGGATATCTATCGGTGTTAGCTATGTAGTCGTGGAGCTCTTGTGCTAAGTTACCTGGCTTGTCAATGCCCATGCCAAATGCAATAGTTGCAACCACCTAGACCGTTGTCAGCCACAGTCAATTTCCGAATTAAGATACGCACTGTTTGAATCTTGGAAGACATGAATTTGTCCTGAATGAGCTTCTTCTCCTCCACCTTCATTCCGGCGTGGAAGAAGGAGGCGGGAAATCCTTTCTTGGTGAGATGTTCGGCCAGCTCTTCAGCTTGCTGAGTCAGGAATCAGCGTCTAGAAGTAATCGAGAGAGATGGTATGGATAACCTTTTGGAGAGTAGCGTAGATCAGGGTTGAACCGGGATGTGCCTTTAAGAACTTGTATAATAGTTCGTACTTGTCCTTCTTGACCTTGACAGGCTCAGCCTCCAAGCGCAGACTAAGAACGGTCAGTGAAGGTATCAGAGTGGCCCAGACAAGACGCACTTGGGACGATAGACGGATGTTCTAAAAACTCCCTCCTCCGAAATATCAAAAGCTTTGCAAATGTCGTCAATGACAGGTGGTGTGGCTGTGGCCGTCAAGCATATGACGCGTTCTGCTTTAATCTCTTGAACAAATCGTGCAACTATACCAGATCAGCATGCTTTGAAAAATATGGCGAGTGTAATGGGAGGAACCTTTGAGGTAGTCAGGACGAAAAGAGTGTCCCCACTGGTTGGCCATCAGCGATCTGCACAAATTGACTGGAAGAACCACGTACCTCTGAGATGCAGTGTGCTTCATCAACGCCAATTAATCGAACTCCGCCCTTGACCCGTTTCATGGTCTCGACAAACCCTTCATTGTTGAGACGCTCAGGTGCGCAGTACAACAAACGCAGCTGTCCCTCACGAAGATCCTTGTTGATCTGCTGTATTTCATCCCACGTCTTGGTCGAATCCATGCACTCCGCGGCGACACCTTTCCTCTTGAGCGCATCGACCTGGTCCTTCATCAGTGCAATCAGAGGCGATACGACGATGGTGATGCCAGAGTTGTTGGAGTGTCTCTCATTGGTCTGGCGATCTATTTCTGGGAAGGCGATGGCAGGAATCTGCACTTGTCAGCACAAAACAGATGGTGATGAGGTTTAGGCATACCTGGTAGCAAAGTGACTTTCCTGCACCAGTGGGAAAGACGACCAGCGCATTGTCACCACCTAGAAGTCTACTTATGGCCGCCTCTTGTTCATGGCGGAATGATGTGTAGCGGAAGTTGTCTAGTAGGATCTTGCGCGCAAGCTGAATCCTTTGTGCCTCGTCAAGATGCCCATTGGTGGTGGTGCTAACAGAGCCGTGACGGGCCTTTTTAACGGAACTCAAGGCCGGAGTGTCGTTCTCTCTGCTGTGCTTTCCGGGAGTCTTGGCGATGAGTTCCGCTTCTTCGACGCCGTCGAATATCAGATCGTCCTCGTCGACATCGTCAAAGAGAGCGTCTCCAGAGTCAAAATCATCGTCTGAGATACCCATTTTGTTTGTGTGCGCGACTGCAAGAAAAACAATATCGCAACTCCTTGAAGAATGTGCTTTCGATGTCTGATTAAGAATGCGGCAAATGCATCCTTTTTGGCAATGGAGATGACAGGGTCCAAGGCTCCCGCAGGCCAGGTCTACCAGGTGTGGCGTGGACGCGTGGGGATGTTTACGCGTGACGCCAAATCACGTGTGAGGTGAGTGGCCTCAGATCGATGTTAAGGATTCACACTCATATCAGCGGTGAACACTAACAGCTCGCTTCTCCTGCGAAAGCCTCACATCAACTGATTTTCGCTTACCCTATGTCTACATTCTTTCTGCCATCTCTGATTAGTATACAAGAATGTCACTATTAGCAGTGGTTTTCTTTTGTTTTACTTGTTTTTGAAATCAGTTTCTTTTTTGAATTGATCTTAATTCGCTTTAGCATCTCGTGCCCCAAGTCTGCACGCCCGATACTGAATGGGCAGCCCGTTGTTTAACAAAGCTCTGATCTTTGTCGGTACTACGCACCATCCAACAGCTTAGCCCATTCGCGCTTACGATACACCACTGAGCCGCGCAAAAAGAATAAAACATTCTTAAGGTAGAGTCTACAACATATTCCAAAACAAACCAAGAGAGCCCTGCGTGGCTCATCTTTAGCGACTCGTCAAATGCCGCCGCTGAAGAGTTGGAAAATGTCCCCTCACGACTGATGACGTGGTGGAGCCTCGGGGGTTCCTACGTCATCGATCGGCGATTTTTAAGAATGATGACTGGAGGAGAAAAGCGTCGATCGGTTTCACGGCCAATGTTATTTACAACATTTCGATATCATAATGCTGATTTTATGATCACGATTTCAATCAAATGCCACATACTAAACATAAGTCCATGACGTTCTGCTTCCTCCTTAGTCTTCGGACACAGACGTAGATCCAACCATTACAGAAACCAAGCAACCTATCAATTCCCTTCTTAAAGAATCAACATCAGAACCAAATTTTAAGATCTTCAACTAGAATCATTACCCATCAAAATTATGTCCGGATTCGCACAGAACGAACGTGGTCAGGGTATGTCCCACGCATCGGCCCCTTCAAAGCTCTCTGAAGGCATCCAACGACAACTTCCCAAGAGTGTCGAGGAGGCTCTTCCCGAATCTGTATGTTATCCATCCCAGTAAGCCAGACATAAACCTAACATATCAGATTCACCCCACGGAGCCTAAGCCTGCACAATCCTGGAAGTCTACCAATGTCTCACATGCCAAAGATGGCGGTGAGGCCTCGGTCTTACCACAAAAGGTCCAGGAGATGCTGCCAGAGGGAGTTGAGCGGGCCGTTCCAAACGCAATTCACGACACTGGTGACTCCAGTGCTGCCAACAATAAGCAGTAGTTGGATTCGCAAGTTTAGCTTGTCACGCGACACCAATTAACCTGTTAAGACGAATTATGAGATACCTATAAAGATAATGTCAAACTACACATTCAATGGACTCTCGAGGCATGAAACTCTTATGATGTAATGTTTTAATGAAACAGACTACTCAATCACATCAATGAATCATCAATCGAGGCCAGAAGGAAGTTATTGTTACAGTTTCCCATGCACCCAACCGCTGATAATGCACTCAATCTCAATCCAGGTACAAAAAGAGGCCAGTCGCCAAGATGAGAACAGCCGTAATAACATGGCTGACGCTGGCTTTGGTAGCCTTGTCCTCCGCCTCGTCTTTGATGAATTCCTTGTTCGCAAACTGCCGCACGAGCACGGCATCGCCGACGCCCACCAATGTGCCAAACATGAAGCAGATTCCCATGCATTTCTTTGTGATAGCCGCAGCCAATGGGCTCACTTGGCAGATGGGGGAAAACTGCCAGAAGGCGAAGAGACCAAGCGTGCTCAAGCCTGTGCCAATGTTTCGCAGGCCTGTTGCATAGATGAGGGATTTCTGGAAAGCTTCGGATTGCGTTGAAGAGGTCTTTTTGGAAGATGTGTTTTGGAGACCAAAAAGGCGGATTGCGTTGTAGGGCGACACAAAGCTGTAGATGCCGATGCTGGTGCCAGTCAATCCAAAGAGGAGGGGAAGGGCCGAGACTACGGCAGTAGGAGAGATGTCCAATGCCATGTTGATTGAATTACTTGAGAAGAAGTTGATTGTTCAATCAGGAGGCTGCGATGGAATGCCGGATAGGTCGAGGTTATAGAAAGGACTGGTTGGTAGATTGGTAAAAAGTAGAGATGATGATAGTGACGTCAAGGTAGGAGCCAAGGGCTGCTGGCGAATCAGCCCTCATAGATGCATATTGCTATCTCTTTGACCGGCATAAGACTGCAAGATATCACATACCCCGCTTTTTTATAGGTACCTACGGGGTATATAAAGTTCCCGTCAGACAGCTTTTTCTTTTAATACTACTAAAATTATTAAAATCTTTATATAAATTAATTATAATAAGTCTTAATTAAAATAATAAGCTCTTAAAAGATATATAATTTTATAGATAATTATAGCTTTAATAGCCTACCTTCTTAGGTAGCTATTAATAACCCTATTTATATACCTAACCTTCTGCCTAAAGAGGGCTATAATAATAATTTTTAACCTTTTAAGATAAAAGATTATAATTTTTAGATTAATCCTTTACCTTAATAATTATTTAAATTATTCTAGCTTTTTATACTTATTTCCTTTATATAGTTATAGGTTAGATATATTAATAACTAGGCTTTTTTCTACGCTAAAAATAGCATTATTAATAGCTAGAATACCTCCGTTTTTAATTACTTATACTTATAGGCTTAAAAAGGTATCTCTACCGTAATGGCTTATATATAGCTTAATATCCTTATTTACCTAGGAATTTATAAAGAAATATCCCTTAAAGACTATTAAAAGGCCTCTAGCCTAGGAGATTAATACCCCCTTTACCTATTTATAAAGTTTATACTATTATAAAAGTTTAAGCTAATTATATAGTATTTCTATATTTTTAATTATACTAATCTTAATATAAGTAATAAAAAAGATCTTTTAAAGACCTTTTAAGTAGCTAAAAAGTAATCTAATTATATATAAAGGGTATTTATTAAGCTCTATTTTCTAGGGATTAATCTAATTATAAATAAGTATATAGTCCTTTTTATAAATAGATTAAAATAGATAATACTTATTAAGGGAAAGCCTATACCAGTAGGCTTTAAAGTCTAGGTTATTATATAATAGGGTTACTTTTTATAGTGGCTTTAATATATAAAGGTATTATTAATTACGGCTATAATAATTAAGCTAGAGGTATTAAAGCTATATAGTAAGAAAAGAAAGCTATAAATTAAGACCTCTCTTAGTAATATATAGAGTATTATAGTTTACCTACTATAAAGGTTAATAATAATAATATACTATATCTTTATAGATAACCTCTTTTCCTTATTATAACTTTTTTACCTCCTTTAGTAGCTTAGTTATAAGGCTATAGGTATAGTATGCCTTAATTACGGTATTATTACTATAATAAAGTAAATTAAAAAGACTAGGAAGCTTCTTAATAGCTAGCCTTTAGTATATAATAAGGTATATCTAATCTTAATAATAAATAAATAGGTATAGATAGCTTTACCTATATTTCCCTTATTAATCTATCTCTTTTCTTTCCCTTTAGGTCTTTTAAGTTATTTAAAAAGATAGCTTTATAGTCCTTTTCCTTATAATTATATATAGTAAAGCCCCTCTTAATTATATATTAAAAGAAAGGAAATTACCTATTAAAAAAGATATAAAGGTAGAGATATAATACCTAAAGGAGGTCTTTAATAGAGATTAGGCTAAGATAATTCCTATTTTTTTTATTACCGTTTAGTATAATAATAAAATAAATTATATAAATTACGGTAATTAAATAAGATTCTATACCTTATATTAATATCGTTTCTAATATGGCCCTTAATAGGTATTATTTTAGTCTTTCCTCTTTAATATTATATTTATAAATAGCTTTATTTTATAAAAAAAGACCTAATAGCCTTATTAAAAGCCCTATAGTACGTTTTAAGACTGGAAAGAGGCTATTTATAATACTATTTTTAATAAATACGGTATTGATAGTAATATAAAGAAGAGATACTATATAGGGAAGGAAGAAAATAGTAAGGATCTTAAAGTACGGTAAATTTATCTATAAAGAGATATTAATTATATTAATAGAGGTAAAAACTCTACCTGCCTAGCTTATAAAGGCTATAGGTAAGGGCAGTTATAACCCTTTAAAAAAAGAAATAAAAAAGGAGGTTATTTATAGTTAATATTAAGAAATTAGCGGCGGTTATAGACCTAATATGGCTATAAAGAATATAATATAGCTATTTATAATATAGTAAGCTACTAGTACTTCTATTATATACTAAATTAGGTATGTAAAGATATACCTTAAGTTATACTAATTTTAATTGGCTTTAGACCCCTGTTATGACCTCGTTACAGTCTTATGCCGGTCAAAGAGATAACTAAACTTGAACTAGTCTCCGTATTAAGCGATGGCTGTTGTTCCGCTACCTAAGGTTTACCATGAACTCCACCTCTGTGAACAAATATTACTCCTTCAATCAGCTAATCAAACCAATTTCATTCTTTAACAACCAATAGACCTACTATATAGTCAAGGCTTACAGTATAAAAGATTATGCCAAGATTGAATGAACTTGAGGCCACCGGCTAATAGTGGTTACCAGAGGTGCTAGTCTCAAGTGGCCGATGAGACGGGATGGATAATCATGGAGTGGATACAGGGAGGCGTTGTAATAGACACAATGATTTGCAGGACCATGGGCTACCTTCCGTGATCATTGTCACGACGAGATCGCCAACATAGGAAGTAAGATGAAGCGAAATGCTGACCAGGCAGCTGGATTTGGTAGCCGGATATGCGGGAAAGCCTGGTGAAAGCGGCGTGTCAGCCTTGGGAAGCCACATCGAATGCCATTGAGCCACGACCCAGATTGATGCACTGCCCTAGGCATCAGCTTGTAAATCACAAAGAGTCCCCTTATTAGAATGCTTTTAAAAAAGGGGCCATCTTCCGAACAGCACTTTACCACTTGTCATTCGCATTCCAAATGCCTTCTACAATCCATTCGCAAGACGTCGAACGCCAGGTCGACCTCGGCGTTCAGACACATCAACAAAAATTGAAAAATATACCCAGCTTGCAAGAACGCGCAGGGCAAGGCTGTTTTCTCTGCTTAGAGAGCCACGGCCGAAGACCGTACGCTATTCTTGTACCATGCCTAAGACCGACAGAGGCCAGGGGCGTGAAAGAACGTATAAGGACTGGCCCTCGCAGTTGGAAAGAAGTATACGAGGGCATGATGCCTTGGGAAAACGCTTGCGAATCCGATGAGGACATTTATTGCAGATTAAGAGATACATGTTATCGGCGTCTAGGTTGGTGGAAGAGATGGTTGCCTTACTACGGAATCACCGATGTGCTAGAGGTCAATGTAAGTATGAGTGCGTTATAATAGAGCTGGAATTTAACAGCTAAAAATACAGTTTCAATTTGCTGGTTCTGTCGAGCAGGACGGCCGTTATAACATCTGCATGAACCCTATCGACATTAAGAATGTCTTAGAAGAATGTGAAAAGGCAATGGCAAGGCATCCGACCAGTTCGACCGATCCGTCCTTCGATTTCAACGACGAATGCTTAGACGACAATAAGCATAGCGAAATGTGTCTGACTAGGACGGAGGAATATTTCCAGCCTTGTACCAGAGACGAAGCAGAGAAAGCAAGGAAGCGTCGTAAGCGGCTGTTGTTCTTGTCTGATCTGAAGGAGTGTGCCCGAAACCCAGCAAGTGCCAATGGGCGATATACATTCGAAGGCTTAGCGCAAGAGAGCTGCATATATGATATCAAGTATGTGTAGTGTCTTATGTCCTCTTTTCCTCCTCGAGAAATCATTTTCTGACTTCCTTAGGGGTTCGAAGCAAATTAAATTACCTCTACCATATAAAAAGTTCCAGGAAACAACTGAGATAAGAGGCATGCATTTCATTCTGGGATGGCAGATTGACCGCATGCATAGAGAATTACCGTTCAAGGGTTCATTTGCTTGGTTTGGAATTGCCTCCATCTGGTTCGGCTTAGTCCTCTGGAGGGGGGTAGGGGGAGATTGGGGGACTGCTTTTGCTTTTGCGCAAGTTGTCGCAGCATCCGTTGCGATTATGATAACCAAAGTATAATCGTGGATGGGACACAAAGTCCCTTATGGTTTCTTATGAATCAACCTTCTCAAGCCATAAATCGATCCAACGATAAACCTCAAACGTGACCGTTGAGGTCGGCGTTTTTCACTCCCACCCTCCCGATATCTCAATGTCCCTATCCAGCCAAGCCTTGGCCGCTGTCAAAGTGGGCTTCCGGTTATCTGAACGCTTTGCATCTCGCTTGAAGGTTTGGCCATTTGCTCTTACCGAGATGCGGATGCGACCCTAAGAACCTGATATCAGCCTTGGCCTCCCTGCCCTAAGACACTCGCTTGGTGGTACAGCCTCGTTTACGCCCCAACATTACCGACAAATCGGATCACCGCCGAAACATAGCAGAATCCATGGCACTAAGCAGTTACAAGAGCGTGCAGGAATATGGGTCATACGCGAGAGCGATATAAATTGCTTGTGATACCCTTGTCCTTTCAGTCTGGTTGTCTATGCTAGGGAACCTTTGAGGTCATGTAGTAAGGGTGTATGGCAGCAAACACTACCGGTGGACTCACAACAGTTGCCCTGAATACAAGAGTACTCATGGTAGGTCAGATCTTATTTTGAGTCGCTCACTTTACTGCCCCTTTGCTGTAAAGTAATTATTGTGGTCAATTTCCGAAGATGAATTAAAGCATAGTGAGATAACGCCCTAGCAGATAAGAACGAATCCAGGGGTAATTGTAGACTTATCTGTTAAGAGCTTATCTTTCCGGCCCAAGCCCAGCAGACTAACGTTGGAATTTAACCACACGAAGATGATGTCGATTTGTGACGCCTTATGGACATGGAAGACAACTTGGAAGCACTCCCGCTCACAACAATTTTAGTTAATATCTATTAGTACAAGGAATGGCGCATTGTACTGAGGTTATCTAAGTGTTTCCAGCAAGCACGAGACCTTGCATGAGATAAATCGATTCATTGCATATGCTTTACCCTAGAGACTTACTCGGTCAAACAAAAGCCATCTTCCCTCTCAACTCATCACGTGCGTCTTCCACGGGGAGTGTCCCTTCCAGGCCATGTGCCCAACCCCTTGGGTTCCAGCTAGACATGGGGCTGCATAGCGCCGTAACTAACTAAACCGCTCACTGATATCCGGTTGACCAGCTCCGGTGCCATCCTCAAATTGTATGTAGGAGCCGTCTGCTGGGGACATTAGCGTGGAGACGAGCTATACTCGCATCACAGTACAATGCGTGCTTTCAACATGCAGGACCCAAGGGACGGCAACTCGGGCCACTACCAAGCGAGGCTATTGGAGTCTCCCATACGCCTCGCAAGCATGTCAATGGCGAAGTGGCAAAGGAGAAGCCTTACTACAAACAATAGACGCCAAGACTTCACCCCGGAGATACCAAGCGCGTGGCATGCTCCCCAGACCTGTAGGCCTTCCACACCAATACCACGATCCGTAGATCGCCGTGAATGCAGCTAACGAGAGCCTACCACCACAAGATCTACACGGTAAACTCGGCATGCACATGTTAGGGCGACATATCGCCTTGCCTGCTTGCTAGCCAGGCCCACGCCGAGATGCAGCTTTCTTGGGCCAGCTGCCTGGCCTGCTCGAGGGTCCTGTCACTTCTCAAAACCGGGACGTCGTGAATACTATTACCGCATCTTTCTGTACTACACAAGTCTAGAGGTATGCTTGATTGAGGTTTAAAAAAATTGAGATGTGATGACTTCTAAGTGGGTGACGGCTGAGGACGGTACTGGGAGTACCATACGCGAAATCTCAAAAGACTCGGTAAGGACCACAAGCTAAGGGCTCATGTGTTATGGAGATTAATTTGGAACTAGTTGAAAAGATACTGGAATCGCAAGACTCATTACTGGGCTCAAAACGTCGCATCATGAGATTGCAAAAAGCAAAACTAGCACGGTCACGAAAGCAATTCCTAACACAGTGAAGTTCGACAGAGAACTGACACATGATTCCACTGCTTGAAAATTTTCTCCACTTACGATCTAGAATTAGCCAAGCAGGTCAAGAATGGAATCCTCGACGGGATATCGGCCCAGGCTCTGGGCGGCATGGGCGGCCGTTGCGCTGGGTCATCAACCCTTACCCACGACGAGACAGAATCCTTTCGGAGCGGACCGACCGTTGGCAGTCTCGTTGCGTAAGAATAGAAGCACATAACAAGACAATATTGAAAGAGTCGGAATGGGATTCCATCCAGTCGATCAATGACTCGTCCTGGCAAGCCATTACCGGCGCTTCAACTGCTGCTCAAAGGCGCTGCCGCCATAATCTGTCAAAACAGCAAAGCAGGGCAGTTTTTTCAGCCGCAGGTAGACCATTCCCGTTGAGACCAATTAGTATCGGCAGGCTGGTCTTCAAGTTCCGAAAACTGGCTCGATCGGACCATGCCGTTGGGAGATGGCTGGGCTCTACATAGACCGCAGCATGTGCTTGGCGTACTCTGGAGAAACAAGAAGCTTACCCCATATGGGGGAGGGTCAATCCCGCTTTTGCCGCATGCTTCTTTTTCTTAATTGAGATTGAGTCGATTGAGTGCCATGGGGTCGGAGAAGTCGGGATGATGATCCGTATGCCATGTCTGTTATTCGTGGAGAATTGGGCCTTGGAATGCGGGGGAGTAAGCTTGTCCAAATCCTTGAACAGTCATCTCATCTTGAAACACGCCATTTCTAAAGGCATCAAGGTAAAGCGAGAAAACACAAGAAGAAAAGTACGGGTATGTGATAATAAATCCATCATAGCAAAGCCATCTGTCTGTGAGTCTATCGATACTCCAGCAATACAATCTACAAGCAATATGAATGCTGTTTCTTCCATCAACTGGCCCTATTTCCAAGTCTCACTCCTATCAGAACTTTTGTCCCCGAACAGGGATCTCAACCAATCGTCAAGCGGTAAGGCGGGCCGGCCACCACAATAACTTCCCCCTACCTCTACCAAATAAGCACACCATAAGGTAGCAGCAAATTTAGCGGCCGCGTTTAACATGCCCCCATTTACGGTGCGGTAGGGCAATTCGCTTGAGCCCATCTCGGCTGGTCGCATAGTGAGCCGGTACAGTCTGAGAGAGGACCAGCAGAGCAGTCATGCATGGCGGAGCACGAAGCCGAAAGGAGTACTGAAGTCTCGTGTAGTGTTTGTCGGAGGACTCAAGCGCCGTTGACACACGAGAGCAGCAGTGGTCACCTCCCAACGCACATGCACATGACTCCTGCGTCCAATGACAAACCAACCGTCTGTCCTCACTATGCTGGTCTGCTACCGAATTCTCGATTCCCCATTTCTTCCATCCCATACGGTAGTCGACCGAACTGAACCCCCGGGCTTGTCTCGGCCAGAAACAGGACCTGGCCGTTCTTGTCAGATTAGTCTAGATTAGGCCCTAACGCTCCCGTCACTCGATCGACCACTCTCATCAAGCTGTCGGAAGGTTGGCCGTCGATCCGTCATCCTGGGCAGAGACTGTCCGCCACGAGCAAGCAGCCTTTTTGAGATCTATGAGGTTGTATCGGATCTGCAGACCGTGTTCCATTGTGTAGCTGTGGCACGGGGCTTGAACGCGGTGCTCAGGCCCAAAACCACCATCACCCCAGCTTTTTCTGCGACTGACTGGAATTTTATATATATTCCATAATCCATCGTGGATCCAGGAACCTCTTTTTTTCTCCATCCAGATCAACTCACCCACCAACAAGACAACCAATTCAGCTTGATAACTGAACAGCTTTCATCGCTGAAACATCATCATCATGGGCTCCGATTCCCTCCACAGCGAAAGGCACAATGAGAAGGACGTGCGTCTTCATTCCTCACCACAAGTTCAATTGGAGAAATACTGACTTGTTTCACGCAGCCGAAGCAAGAGGTCGTCATCGTCAAGACTGCAATTGGAGATGAGGCCTACCAACAGGCCCTGATCAAGGAGCCCCCTCCTAAGATCGCAGCTCCCATCCTCATTCTCGCCAGTATGGTCGCATTCTGCTGTTCAACTGCCAACGGTTACGACGGCTCGCTTTTTGGCACTCTTCTCTCCAGCGATGACTTCTCCAAATTCTTCGCAGTTGACAATAAGGGTATTGGAACGGGTATGTTTTTGTCCAATTGGGTCAGCTATGTGTTTCTACCACGGTACTAACCGATCTCCTCTTGACAGGTATCGTCACTTCCATGTACCAGATCGGTTCCGTTGTCGCCATTCCTTGTGTTGGCCCTGCCATTGATACTTGGGGTCGCCGTGCCGGTATGACCATTGGCGCCTGGATCATCATCATTGGCGTTATCATCCAGATTGCTTGCATCAAGACCGCCAGCGTTGACCAGTTCATGGCTGGTCGCTTCTTCCTCGGTTTCGGTGTCTCCATTGCTGCCGCTGCAGGACCCACCTACGTTGTCGAAGTCTCTCACCCTGCTCACCGTGGTATCATCACCGGCCTTTACAATGTCATGTGGCCTGTCGGTGCCCTTGTTGCTAGCAGTGCTTCTCGTGGAGGATTCCACTACGAGGGAACAAACACCTCTTGGATGATCCCTGTTTGCCTTCAGCTCATGTTCCCCACCGTCATTGCTTTCGGTGCCATGTTCCTCCCAGAGTCTCCTCGATGGCTCTACACCCGCGGAAAGAAGGAACTCGCCACCAAGCACCTTATCAGACTCCATGGCCATGGCAATCCCGAGAGTGAGTGGGTCAAGCTCCAGCTCAGCGAGTACGAGGAGCATCTTGAGATGGACGGTAGTGACAAGCGATGGTGGGACTACCGTGCTCTATTCCGCAACAAGGCTTCCATCTACCGTCTTACTTGCAACTGCCTCGTCTCCCTCTTTGGACAGTGGGCTGGTAACAGCATCGTGTCGTACTACCTGAGTGCCTTCCTCGAGACTGCCGGTATCCAAAAGGGCTCAAAGCAAGTCGACGTTGCCATGGGCATGAACGCCATTCAGATCGTCTTTGCAGCCCTCGGTGCCTCTCTCACTGATATTGTAGGCCGTCGCCCTATGCTTATCGTTGTCAACCTTGTTTGTGCTCTTTGCTGGGTCGGTGTTACTGTTCCTGCCTCGATTGCCAACATCACCGACCTCGACGACAAGTCGCAGGTTGATGGTGTCACCGCCCCTGTTAGCAGGGCTATGTTGGCCTGGGTCTACCTTTTCCAGATCTTCTACTCTATTGGATGGACTCCTCTCCAGGCTCTCTACCCCGTTGAGGTTCTTAGCTACGAGATCCGAGCCAAGGGTATGGCCTTCAGCTCCCTCTTCACCAACGCTGCTATGCTTGTCATGCAATTTGGTATCCCTGTTGCTCTCGAGAACATTGCCTGGAAGACCTACATCGTCTTTTGTATCTGGTGTGTCTGCCAGTCTATTATCCTCTTCTTCTTGGTCCCTGAGACCAAGAACCGAACTGTATGTATCCTACCCCGCGCTCATTTAAGAACTTGATAGCTAACAAATGCTCAGCTTGAGGAACTCGACCACATCTTCTCATCTCCCAGCCCTGTCAAGGCATCCAAGCAGAAGAAGGTCTTTGAGGCTGATGCCAACGCAAACATCATCCACATTGAGCCTGCGGTTGCTGCCCCCAGCAAGGCTTAAGCCTTGAACCATTTGCAGACTAGTATGCTAGGAACAGATTGCACGAATCGCAATCGGACACGAGGATAGAGACTCAGATTGGATGAAGTAGGAACTTAGTAGGACTTAGGAAGCTACGCGCTCAAGCTCATGAGCCTTAATACATTCTTTGCAACCATATCATGATTTTGCACGACTACTTCAAGTGAGGACAATCCCTAACAGATAACGCGAGCGCGAAAGAGCAGCAATCGTGATTCCGATTGGAGTCAGAACGCCTAGCCAATAACTGTAGAAAGGTGTTCAAATGTTTGAGCTAGAGGGCTTCTAATGAGATAAAAAGCTATGCAAGGTGCTTTCATTGAGTACCGATTGCTGTCTCTGATCTTCTCTGATCTTCTTAGCTAACCAAATCCTCTGCAGCAAGGATCATCACCCACTCCAGCATGCTTTGGGGCAAATGCATCGTAAATAAGCTTGAATAAGTACCATTAACTGAAATCCTCTTTGAGTCAATGCTGATGGGGACGGCTAGTACCTAGCGGGATTTGAAGTTTCTTTAGATACGATAGTTCGTTGACCACTTGTAAGTTCTTTACTAGATGTCAGCTGGCAATAAACTTTATCTAAGACTTGCTTGTAGAGCTATTGGTCACCATCCCGCATATCAGTAAGAAGAAATAGACCAAGATTAGAGTTGGCTATGCAGGATAATGGGTGCGGGGACTCACAAATACACGAGCTTTATTCGAAGGTAGCATCTCCACTTAGCCGGTACGAGGCGGGCTCCTTGGCAGTCGAGGACAAGCGTCTAGGCCATCCTCTTTCAACCAACAACTCCACTCTAAGTTAATTGAACCAACATACATATGTACAGGGTTAGCCCACCGGACACCCCGTGTCACATAACAAACCAACATACATATATTTATTTAAAATGAATAGAAATAATGGAACCACTAGGTCAAATTAGGCTCATAAATCGTCAAATGACTTACCCAGAATCGGCTCATCCAACCTATGCGAAGGGTACCTTTATGATGCTGAATGGAATAAGTCTTAGAAAGCCAGATCAATGCAGCCTTTGCATCTCTTTTGAAGTCGCTTGCTAAATGGTTATTTGTCTCCTCAGCTTCTATCCACCACATTGTTTTATTTACAAATACAATATCATCAAGTGATAAACAACGGGTTGCAGTTACGGAAGGTCAATACGACAAGGATATTTAAAATTGGTCGGCAGACCGGCTTCAGCATCCACAGCCCTTTGAGGTGGACTGCACAAATAACATAGTGTAAAAGTCTATAACCTATCCAGGAACCCAAGCTCAGGGAGTGGAACTATCAATTATGTAAATATTTCCCTCCCTGTCGACTCAATGTTCGCGAGATATGGTATGTGGCGATTGGCCAGCAGGGGTGAGAGGATCCTTTGTGCGGAAAGCGTTCTTTTCCTGAGCCAACATTCTTACATAGACCCGAATCATAAGGTGACCATGATCACGGCCTCTTTTGAACTCACTCAGAACCTAGCAACATAACGCATGATTACGATGATTAGAACAACGATGTATTCCAAATCAGTGCCGATATCCGATGCTCCTCGCATGAAGTTACTCAAGTCGTCCACATCTTCACACCCACCCTGTGAAGCCACGACAAAAGATCTTACCACGGTATATGCATGTAGTTTCTAGTCAGAAAGGCCTTCGGGTTCGAGAACTAAGTGGCGACTTTCCGGAAATCATGCCATATGTACGGCAAGAGAAGGCGAACGAGGACTGTTGTGGACTAGACCACGATGCAGGATTGGGGTATAAAAGAGTCCATCCCTCTGCGTCTCTGCTCACCAATTCAATTCAAACACGACCATTATTCTATCCTCTCCATCGATTCACAATAACCTCACTCAGACACCTACATCCTCCACATGTAAGTCTAGCCAGTCTACCGTGTTAGAGTTCTTGCCGTTGCTGATTGATCTGTTTAGTCATAATGAAGCTCTCTCTCCCAACTATGATCTTTTCCCTCTCCCTCCTCGGCACGGTCGATGCGTCCCGCATTGAGATTGATGTCACGACTGGCCCTGGAATCCTAGACGTATTTTCGTCTGCGTACTATGACGACAAGGGAAAGTTTTATTCCCTTGGTGCCTTTAGGGATGGATGCAAAAAGACACAATATGATTGGATTAAGCAGATGTGTATTGATGGTACCAAGAACCGGGCGCACGTCACCTACTCGGGTGGATCGAGGAACTGCTACAAGCGGACGAAAAACACCTCCGAGATTTGTGGTGGATCTGAAGGTTGCTGGGGCGGTGTTTGCAACAGGTGCTGGCATTACGTTTACACCCAGACGGCTTGCACTTGGAAACGTGACGATGACACCGAAACACCCACTGGTGAGCAGTGGTCTGCCTGAGCTGACTCCAAAGGCTCCCAATCAACACGTCACTCGATCTGCCCTCTCAATAGCACTCAAGGGTCTTCCTGTCTATCAGTCTTTTCCACGAACTTCTACTCCTGACCATGTATTCTGTCTTTACCTATTCTGTCTGTAATTAGTCAATACATTCTTTATTTTACACCCTACTTTGTGTTCTGATGCTAGGCGCGTACTGGAGAATATGGAGGCCTTGGCGGGGACCTTTTTTATGGAGCAGATCCAAGAAAGATCCGAATGATATAAAATCATCCAGCCGCTGAGTTATCGAGCCCCCAAATTAATATTTATAGTTACTGATAATGGCAAAGCAGCTTTGCTGATAATGATCCTTTGTGTCTGATGCGCTCAAGTGACGAGTATGGAGATAAGTTGTGCCCTTTTGCCTTACAACACGCTTTAATTACTAAGAATCTGATATTTAACTAACCGCTTGGAGGATTTTACATGCTTGTTGAAGTGAAGATTAGATATAGACGACTGTAAACTATCTATTTGGATAAGGGTACGTCAGGAAGGGGATGAATTTCATGGAATAAATAGGCAGGACATGAAGACGTAAGTGGTAAAAAGGCACACCGAATTTCTCCCGACTCAAGATAAACCCAACGAAAAGCTTGACGGAGGCTCTTAGACTCTGTTCAATGGTCTCTCGTGGGCTACAATATCTAGAACAAGGAGGCTCTCTGCACTTCCAACATAGCTGCGACCTTCCTACTCACGGAACTATGTAGCGAAACAACTGCCCCCACAGCCAAATGTGTATTCTCAGCTTCCAATGAGATGCGAGTGCAAGTCCCGAGAATATCAAATGGCCAAGTTGTGTAATTACAACCTCCTGTCCTTGATAATTGACTGAGATTCACGAACATTGCCGGTCCCACACCAAAGAAACACCCTCAAACAAACATATCTATCAATACGATGTTCTAATACCATACGGCGTAATCTATCAATACGACAGGAACTAAACCTAAAACTTCAAGATTAAAATGTGGCATCCTCCTCCGCAATAGGGACTAAGTCTCCCTTGCCCTTAAACACCTCAAGGACATCAGCCTGCTCCGTAAGGATAAAGCGATCAGTCTGCTTGCCAATACTGGCAAGCTCCCTCCATCTGTTGAAATCTTTCGGGTTCCTCTTGTCACCATGAGCCTCCTCCGCATGCTCCCAATGGCCCTTGGAAAAAGCCAAAACACTATTCATGGTTTTGTTGGTTATATCGTAGACCGCAGAGACAATGGTTCCAGTCTCCTCGAGCCAGTTGATTTGCCATAGCTCCCCGGGGCGAATGCACTGGTATGCCACAGTTTGGTAGTTGGTGCGGCCGGCCATGGGCCCGCCGTGGATGGCATAGACGATGCGATCCTTGGAGAAAAACCACATTTCGTAGCGCCATTTCTCTGGGTTTCCCTCTGCGTCTGTGGCGTCATAGTCATAGATGAGATGGGTGTCGAGAATATCCTTCTCAAAGGAAGAGTGTAGGGGTGTGTTTGTTTGGTATCGTGGGAGAGACATGATGAAGATTGAAGATTTTGGAGTAATTACTGAGTGAGTTAATGTCTAACCTCTTGTCAGGTGTTCGTGGTCTTTATATACTGCTTCAGAACAAATCAAACACGTCGTGGGTGGCTTGATACCTTGGTAACGAGACTGGAGTGCAGTCATAACATCATCCATTCCCTCGGGTAGAGCGGACGCCAAATTCCCACTAAAAGTAGCTGTCGATCAATTAAAAGCTTGGATTGGTCGACTAACGTCTATATCCGACTCTTAATCCTATCCGAGATCTAGTCGAAACTCAATTCGACATCGTATGATGTCACACGGGACTAGCAAAGAATCCACAAATCCACCGTAGATCTCGCCATGGCCTCGGTCTGATAATGTCGGCAATGGGAATCGGTAGGACCAAGTAACCTCACAATACTTGCGGTGAAAGGTCTGACTATGGGCGGTTTTGTTCGACATCTCGCACCAGACGAAACGTCACCCAAGGCCAAGGATATTTCTTCTGCCACCAGTTCAAACTACGAGGATCAGTTTTGCTCATGCACACATACCATATAGATAACTTACAAGCTTTTTCGGCCGGCGATGCGTGGGTGCAATGCCCAACTCCCTCCAACCACAGCTACGTGCTTATCATCCATGAAGTCGGCTAAATACAAGGTCAGATCACGAGAGCCTCAACATTTAACCCGTAGGAACATCCACAAAACTCACCACTATAGCCCGGGTAAATGTCCATCGGTTTGAAACCAGGTTGAGGCGCAAGCAATGTTTTAGTCCACTCAGCTGCACCTCCAGTATCGCCTAGCCCGCAGAGATATGCTTGGTGTGTGACGCCCATAGGATGGAAATTGTGGAAGCTTGAGTTTGTCTCTGATAGATCAACGAATATGGCTGAAGGATCTGTGTGGAAAACTTTGTTAACCTTGCTGTCAGGAGCTTTACGGCGACGCTCAACATGCTCATGAATACTTCGCAGTTCATGAAGTGTTGGTAAACGTGCACCAGCCCATTGGGTATATCTTTCAACCTCATCAAAAGAAGCCATCACGGGCCAATCTAGGGCTTGTGACAGGGGAACAGGTCCCCAGACCGTCTTGACGCTGTGTCGAGCCACAAAAGTAGTGAAGTCTTCGTCGGCTCCTTCAGGTCGAATCTTGTTCCAGGTTGCAGGGACCTGCGAGTCGTTTGCATCAACGAGGTATCTAATGTACTCTCCATTGCTGACCGGTCGACCCTGTGCCTCGAGCCGTGGAACCTGAACATCGTACGGCTCCCGTTCATTGTCCCACGCAAAGAATCTGTTTGGTCCATCGTCACTCTCAGGGTCGTGATACCCGATCGTGAAGTTCTGTTCTGGTATTGAAAACCACGGATTACTAACCCTTCGCGAAGCGGCTTCTTTGGCTAATTTGGGAAAATCTGGCCTGTGTAGTTTGGGAGGGGGGAGCACGTTGGGGCTTTGGATGGTCATGAAGAGAAATGTTTCTACATGAAGGCCTGTAATGGTTAGAGGTTGGGATTGAACACGATAAGATCCGCTTACCCTCATGCTCAAAACCTATCCAGAGAGCACGCCCGACACATCGGTCGGAGTAAGGCCTTTCAGTTTCGTAAAGGGCCACGATACGTTCCTTTACACGCTGGCGATATTGAAGGATTTCCTTGAGAGACGGGAAGACATCTGGAAGTTGGCTATGATCATGACACTTGGAGGGATCGTCCACATCGGGATCTATGCCCCGCTCAAATATTTGATGGTAGTACGCTGGCTCAGTAGGTCCGGCACCTGTCGCTCGCGTCAGGTGAATATCTTCACTACGACAGAGTATCAGCTGAGGTGCAAGGCGATTCCACAGGTGACTGACAATGTCGGAATATGACCGAGATAGAATAGCAAAGGGTTTCGTAGGGGAATTGGTTGTTCCATCAATGCATCAGGTTGGATCATTTCCGTAGTGACGAGATCCCAGACCCTCCATAGCTGTTTCCATTCCGCTAGCGAGGGGACTGGCGATGGAGCGTATTTCTCTGGTGTTAGTGGAAATGCGTATGGGTTGTTGGAAGCCATTTTTGGTGTCGATGATCAATCAAGGGATAAGAATGGAAAGGGGGAATGATAATAATAATAATAGACTATCCACTACAACGTCATCATTCACGATTATCCACTGTAACATCTTCAGCTAAGACACGGCTCGTGCCTGTTATACTCAATATGGTTTGGTCTCGTCTAGGAACCACTTACTTCCCACGCTAACTGATGTACCTATCCCAGAATGTAGAAGCGTGCATGATAATGCTCTATCTTACAGCCAGGCAATCCGATCCAAATCTGGATCATTGACCCAAAACTGAACAACCTCCAGCCCAGCCGCTTGAATATTTGTAGCCTTGTACTTATGAAAGTAGACACATCGTCTTTGGTAATGCTCGGGGCCTTCTGGATATTGTGGCCATTGATGCAGAGAAATTCTGAAGATACGATGAGATCACACATGAATTATAATACTATGATCGGCAGCACAGGTAGGTACTGCCATAGCATATGTGAGAGGGGTCGGAGTACAGAAGCTTTCATACTTCTTTTTTATCACTCCTGCAGAAGACAATAGACGCAACAGTCGGGAGATAAGTAGCCTTTCACCACCAGACTCATCAGACAACTGATCAGTTGAAATTCTGATATCGTGGTTCTTCATGAGATTGAAGAGGCTGAGACTGATAACTATGAGAGTAGCAGCGATGACAAAAGGGCTAAAGTAATGGCATAAGCTGAGATCCGCGAAACAAACTAGGCTGTCCATGACCGACGTATGGGAAAAGTGTGTTCAATTACACTATTCATTGATTGGGTGACTCGGACAAGGTGCGAGCCTTTTCCTCAACTCTGCTGCCCTCTTTCGAGCCTTGGTATCCTCCGATGGATCTTCTGCTGAGAACCTGTTCAGCTCGGCGAACAAGTCCGACGGATCAGCGGCCATGATCTCGGATCCGTAATAGCAGCTAGGAATTCATGTCTAGTGCTTACAATCAGCCTGGGGGTGTGTGGTCAAGACGCCCAAGATATTGAGTGTTGTCTAAATTGAAACAGTTCGTCGTTCGCCAAGGAAGGAGCTTTCTTAACGAACTGTATTTCTTCATTTTAACAATCCATTGGATGTTCTGGTCAAAAATAGAGGAGATGCATTGGACTATGCAGAGAAGAGAGCGATTGCAATACAATCATCTTTGTGCTGTGTACTCCCCCAGAGTACCCTGAGTGGCCCACATTGGCTATCCAGCGAAAAACACTTAGTTACGATATCGCTTGACTAATAATGGAATCACAGGACCTAAAGGCTGGATCATGACACCTAAAGCGATATTTGTAAGAAGTGGGATGCTTCTGATGACATGTTGTGGAATTATTTATTTGCCCGAGATATTTCAGGCTGCGTTACCGCATCTCCGCGGCGGTTAATTATCTTCGTGTAATACGCGTCCGTGTCACCTCACATCATCCAGGATGCATCAGCTCCCAGCACAGACTTGTGCAAGATCTTTTGCGAGCAAATAGGTAGTCCTTATATGCAGTAAGCCTTTCTAAAATTGGTTATAATTCATGCTATAGTTACACAACATGTAAATCTGGAACGTCCCCATGGGATGCGGAGGTATCTTGATTTCTTGCTCACTAGCCAGTAATATGAACTGAACACACTGACAAACCGCTGTGCAGTCATTCGTAATACTGACTCATAATCATTACTCTACAAACGCTCAAACATGGACTTCGGTTCTCGCACGGGAATTGTAATAAAGGAAAAGACACGGGATACCGTGCGTTGATTGGAAATCAATGCTACTCAAGATCTCCGAGGAGCCAGGGTAAATGCGGAACAGTCCAAGGCATCACCATCCCACATTAAAACTTGACCGATGTAGTCAATATGTGATATAAAAGACCCTTGGCCTCGTTAATCACTATTCCCATCATTAATTACCCATTATTCAAACACACATTACCCCGCTGCTACTCATAGTACACTTCAAAGTTGTATCGATTAACGCTACACAATGGCTTCCGATGCACCAAGCTTCCCATTCCAGCGTGCTTCTGGCCCAGAGCCACCAGCCGAGTTCGCCAAACTGCGAGCTACTAACCCTGTATCTCAAGTCAAATTATTCGATGGTAGTCTTGCCTGGCTGGTGACGAAGCACAAAGATGTCTGCTTTGTCGCCACGTCCGACAAGCTCTCCAAGGTATGATCTGATCGTGTCCAAGCTACTGTCGCTTCTAACTGTGTTCAAGGTCCGCACGCGCCCCGGATTTCCCGAGCTGGGTCCCGGTGGAAAGCAAGCAGCCAAGGCAAAGCCGACATTTGTGGACATGGATCCCCCGGATCACATGCATCAGAGGTAAGCACACTTACACCCCGTACGATTGGACAGAGAAGGTAACACATGACGAAGAGGCATGGTTGAGCCAATCTTTACCCCAGAGGCTGTCAACGATTTGCAACCGTACATTCAGAAGACGGTTGATGATCTCTTGGATGAGCTGAAAAGCAAAGGCTGCGCTGATGGCCCGGTGGATCTTGTCCAAGAATTCGCTCTTCCCGTTCCCTCTTATGTAAGCCATTTTCATGGTGCATGGACTTCTTGTGGTTTTATCTAACAATGATACAGATCATCTACACAATTCTTGGAGTGCCTTTCCACGATTTGCAGTACCTCACGCAGCAGAATGCCATCCGCACAAATGGCAGTTCCACTGCTCGAGAAGCGTCTTCTGCCAACCAGTTAGTCTCATTTCATATGCATTGACTACAAACAATGCTCATATCCTATAGGGAACTACTCGACTATCTCGCTACGCTAGTAGATCAGCGCCTCGATGAGCCCAAGGATGATCTCATCAGCAAGCTATGCACCGAGCAAGTGAAACCGGGAATAATCGGAAAGGCCGACGCTGTCCAGATTGCCTTCTTGCTCCTCGTCGCCGGCAACGCTACCATGGTCAATATGATCGCACTCGTAAGCGCCACTCTTCATCTATCCCTAACCTGCTGACTTCTTGTAGGGTGTGGTCACTCTAGCTCAGCACCCGGATCAGCTGGAGCAACTAAAGGCAGATCCATCTCTTGCTGCCAAGTTCGTTGAAGAACTCTGCCGCTACCACACTGCATCCGCACTAGCCATCAAACGCACTGCCAAGGAGGACGTCATGATTGGCGACAAGGTATGTCGTATCAATCCAACTGGCTGCATAGACAAAAGGAATTGACACCCTTCCAGCTCATTCGTGCAAATGAGGGCATCATCGCCTCCAATCAGTCCGCAAACAGAGACGGAGATGTTTTTGAGAACCCTGACGAGTTCAACATGAACCGCAAATGGCCTGCAGAAGACCCCCTGGGTTTCGGCTTCGGCGACCATAGATGCATTGCTGAGCATCTGGCTAAGACCGAACTCACTACTGTTTTTGGTACGTACATCAAGATCTGACTTGAGATATTCTCGCTGACTGAGACTTGATAGCAACACTATACCAGAAGCTTCCCAATCTCAAGATCGCTGTTCCGTTTGAGGATGTTAATTATACGCCACTGAACCGGGATGTTGGAGTAGTTGACTTGCCAGTGACCTTTTAATACCTTGTATGGTAGTGTCACGGAATAGGAAATTTGACTTAGACAGACTTTCGATCTCCTCAAAATAGAACATCTCAACTCATATGCAATCCTATATAGCAAGTGATCGTGTATCAGATCCTAGCTAGTCATTTAATCAAATCTAATCAAAGTCTACGTCAGGCTGACGGTTATGGAATGGAGGCTTATTCGATGTCATTTGCCGTGACGTATAAGTTTCATTTGTTTCGCCGTTTCGGCGAATATTGAATCATGATTTGCTTGTTTACTTTGTTCAACTTCCGATTCCTCTCCCTGTTCCGTCTTACTACCGCCGTCTCAGCAATTCTAACACGCAACATTGAGATGCCACACCAGTACACTTTCCCGTTCAAATTCTTGGTGTAAACACCATTTTCAGCTCAGGGACTTCCATGGTAAAGCAATCCCTTAGCCCATTTACAAATGCCTCTGGACTGGTGCCTGGAGCAGCTTCGATGTTGTAGCGAGACAGGATCTCGCTGAAGATGTATCGCACCTCCATAAGAGCTAGCTGTTTTCCAGCACATGAACCACGACCTTCGGCTGTTAGTTGCGAGATGATAAAAGGATCATTGGTAGCTCTACTTACCCATATGGAAGGGCGAAAAGACAGAGGCATCCTTCACCAGCTCAGGCTGGGACGTCCATCGCTCGGGGATGAATTCATTAGGGCCTACAAAGCACCGCTCGTCTAAAAGCGTTAGTCAGAATATGTGCTCCAGCATAGATTTGGGGGTTTGTACCGCGACACATTGTATAAGTGGGAGAGTGGAAGAGGGTATCTCCAGGAATGTAAATTTCGTCAACCTGCATCCCTTCCGGAGGCGTGACTCTCTGGAGACCAGATGGAACAACAGGGTACAAGCGAAGAGACTCGTCAAGACAGGCATTCAGATATGTGAGCTTCCCAAGAGACATGTTATCAGACTCCTCGTAAGTCTTCTTATACTCATCGATCTCAGCTTGAAGCTTGCTCATGACCTCGGGATGGTGAGCCAAGAGATAGATCAAACAGCTTGTGGCAGCTGAAGTAGTATCACTATATGAGGTGAGTAAGGTGTTTTGAATAATTACTTCAGCGATAACTGACCTTCCTGCACCGCAAATTAGATGAGCGTCACCATAGAGGTTGTTCAAGTCCTGCTGAGTAGGATTCTCCAGTGATTCATAATCCTCCAGAATCCACGAGAATACGTCCGGTCGAGATGGTTTGTTCTACAACAAATTAGATAAATCCGAAAGCCTGAGAGGATATTTACCTTGCGTCTGTTCTCGACCGTATCTCTCAACCATGCCTGGAAAGACTGCCATTGACTATTCAGGAGAGGAGTCCCTTTGAAGATGGGCATCAACCATAGAGTCCGGCGAAACATCCCCATCAGTGTGGCGCTCACGTGGGCTTCCTCCAAGAATTTGTGTTTAATTCCATCGCGGAGCATGTTGAAGCTATTACCAAATGCAAGGTCGCCCACGATGTCGAATGTGAAGAAATTGAACCACATTGAGATGTTTAGCGGTTCACCAATTGTTTTATCGATTTGGTCGGTCAAAAGCTTTGTGCAATTAACCACACGAGGCTCATAGTCCCGCACAGCTGTTAAAATCTTTAGTTTTCCCGCATGCAGAAGACCGAAACTGAAAAAGTGTACCTTTCGTAGTAAAAGCCCTATCCCATGCCTTTCTTCGACTGGCGTGGCTTTTCTTGTCCCTGTCTGCTAAAAGGTTGATGTTGGGATGGGCGACATTATAAAATGGCCCCTTGGTAATTGGTGAGTTACTGGCGTGCAGGGTTCGAAACGCTTTTGGCGTCGCAATTGATAACTCGGTGGGCCCTGTATGAAGTCAGACCTGCTCATCACACCACCTGAGAACCGACGAACCAATCCTGACAATATCGCCATATCGACGGTGCAGCTCTTGGACCTCAAGGTACATGTGCTCATCCTTGTTGGCGAGCTTGGTCGCGTAGAGGTTTGACAGACGAGCTCGGAAGGGACCAGGAAATCGGCTGAGGCGATGGAAAAATGCTCTATAGATTAATATGCTGGTTGTCAAGCCGATAGCAAATGCAAAAAGGCTCTTATTGGCGGTTGAGAACGCCTTCCAGGTCGACAGATTTTCATACTGAATCAGGATGCAAGGTGTGGCAAACTCGTACAAGACCCAACTTCTTAAGAATACACTCGCCCAGAGATCCCATTCGCCCTTTCGAAATATGAAAACGTGTGTAAGGACCCCGATAAGAAATAGGGCGACAAGAGACTCTGTTGAGTCGATATCGACGTCGGAAAACGCCATCATAGGTGGTTTGGCGGCTCCCATAGCTAAGGAAGGGAGTTTTCCATCCGTTGGGGGCCATTAATAACTTTTTATATCACAATCTTCATCCCGTCCGGGCTTCATTACCTAAAAGGTGGGTTACGGTGAGTGAGACGCTGCCTAAGCCGCCCGCTTGACGAGTCATCACTGCCGATCCGAAAAAAGCAAAACCAATATGCATTATCCTCACACACACAAGGTCCAAAAGGGAGATGAGGGCCGCTCATGCAGAGTACCTCGTGTGCCCAAGAGCGATTGGCTCGGTTCATTGCCTTATAAGGATCAACTAATAGGAATAGTTTAATTACCAATTTTGACCATGCTTGTAAAGACAAGTAAATGCAACAGATTAAACCCTAGAACTTGGTATTTAAGGCAGAGAGGTCGGAGCGTTCCACGACCGGCCTGGCTACACCGCCGCAATATAAACTGTACCAGATAAATATGCGAATACTTGAGGGTTGCTTATGAAGCCAAGGCCCCCCAACACTTCCGCTCCATGCATGCAAGCGGTGACTGGACGAGTAATCAGAGAACCAATTATGTTTGCTTTCAAGCTTTTCATCCCCAATACGTTACATCCTAATTGTCCCCGGATTAGCGGCCGCCTTATCTCCTCTAACGCCATGCAATCGCCAATTTTGCCGCTATTTCAGGCCTCGGCCAATGCATGCCGACGTCCCCCAATCTGCTGTTTGTGTAACACCCGAATTAAAAAGGCTGTCCCAATCAACCCAACTGCCAAAGCAACCATGGTGGGATATCCCTTGGGATAGCTCGGCGCCTCAACCTGTTGCCATATAACCAACGGCAACCAAGCCTGAAACACATACGCCATCTGGTTCATCGCACCTGTGACAAGAGCTCGTTCCTCATTATCGTCACTACAGATCTCATGCGCCCAAGCAAATGTTAAGCCGCTGATTCCTCCGCCGAAACCGCACAGCATAAAGCACACCCATGTGAATGCTGTAGGGACCTTCCACACTGTGAGGCCGACGTAGGCTATGATCTTGACCAGACCAGAGAAGACGATTGCTGGCCAGCGGGCGCCGCGGAAGAGGCTGTCTGATGTCCACGCGTAGATGAGTGTTGTGATGACGCTAATAATATCGACAATCGTTGGATAAAGGTTGACGTCTCTGATTGAGTAACCTTCTGATTTCAACCACAGAGGAAACGCAGGCTGAGAGTTACCACCATTGCCGTTATTGAACAGTATGTACAGCAGTACCAAAGTGTAGATGTGCCAGCTGGTAAAAATCTTCTTAAACTTGGCTTTTGTGTACGGTGCTCTCTGCGCTCTGCCCTCAAGTTGCATACGCTTCTTCGCAAGCGCAATGTCCTCTGGTGTGAAGTACCACGCTCTAGTGATCTCAGGCAAATCAGGCAGGAAAAAGAACCCCGAGATGGCGATGGGGAGAGATACGACGGTGTTGGTGATGAATAACCACTGCCATCCATGGTACCCATGCACGCCATCGAGGTTATGCGAGCCGGCCATCAAATAGCCCGAGACCATAGATCCCACGTTGCCCATGGCGTGGAAGAGACAAGACCGTTTGGCGAGTTCGTCTTTTCGGTACCATGAGCCGACGATGTACTGCATTCCTGGATAAAAGGTGCTTTCGGCTAGACCGATGAAGAAACGGAGGACATAGAGCTGTGTGGAGTTTGTGCATTGTGTGAGGAGGATGGTGAGAACGGACCAGGTGACCTGGAATGGTTAGTTTCGGCATGCTTGGTCATGAGAATGGCATACCTCGCAGGCTGGGATCCAGATACTCGGCCGGATACGTGTCAATAGCATGTTACTATTTTCTTAGCCCAAATCATCATGATAGTGCAGTGATGTTCCTACCTTGGAATCTCGCCAATAACGTATCCGACAGTCCAGCACGTCTGCATATAGTTCAACTCGTTTCCAAAGAGATTCATATCCTCTTTCATACCAGAGACAAAGGCATTGTTTATGTTGACCTATCTTGTCAGTACCAACACATCACGCCAATCTAGACAGTCGTACCTGGTCAAGATACTTGATGAAGTATCCTAAGGACGCCAACGTCATGAGAGCACAATCAAGTTTGAAGAGGAACCGGCGCTCTTCAGGCGATTTGTCGAAAGTGTCCCATAAATATGACTTCCAGCTCCTCTTGGGAGTTTCTTGTAGCACAGCCACGACTGATGCATCGGAGTCGGATGCGACAGGATGATCCTGCCCACCTCTCACTGTTTCCGTCAATGCGGCTTTCGTATTCTCAGACATATTTGGTTCGGTGACAAGGTACAGAACGAGAAATAACGTGGCTGCAGAATCGAATTTATGCTTCTTTTAAGCTTATATGCCTGTGGATAGCTTGTGGATATTACCCCAGGCGCCTTATCGCCTCCTCGCCAACCCATTATGCAGCTTGACTGAATCAAGAAATACCATCGCACAAAAGCCGCCATATGACCGTGTGTGGTAGACAAACAGGTCGTTACTTGTACAGCATGCTCTGAAGGAACCAATCGGACACATTACGCTGCACGACTCATTCTGCATATAAATTGCGTCAATGTTTAATACCAGATAGTCAACCAAGGGTACTCAGATCGACATCAATTTACCCGAGTGCAGACTTATTGTATCGGGATTAATGCGAAAACTGAAGAATGAGAAGCTTGTGGTTGGCTAGTGTCGGTGACGTGACCGAGACCCGGTATGCTGTGCTTTACTTCTGTCCGGTATGAGGGTTTTGAATGGTCCAATCAAGCTTGGCTTCAACACAATATACTGGCCAGCGATATATATTTCAAGGAGTCACGTAGATCACTTTCTACATGAATAAAAAGCAGTGCGGTGGTGTAGCGTGTTTGAGTATTGCAAATGTACCTTAACAGAAGCAATCAAGATATAAATTTCAATTATTTATGACATTCGAACTATATTTGGTCCAGATGCCTATGTCGCCTTTTTAACTACCGACAGATTCGAACATATAATTCATTACTAGGAGACACATTAGTAATTGGGCAGGTGAGAGAGGTTATATCTACTTACCACTTCAATCCACCTTGCCATCCACTTCTCAACTGCTTCCTTTGCCTCATCAACAAGACCGAGTTCTGACATCAGTTAGCAACCAGTCGATCTATTCTAATAAGATGTACTCATACCTAACAGGAGCTGAACAGCACCTCGAATACCGGACTCGAGGGCAGACGCAATCCAAGCATGTGTGTACGAGGTGTGCTCGCCAACGAAGATCATCTGTTTCAAATTGTCAACCAATCGTTCTGTTTTGAACTGATAGACCACTTACCTTGTCATATGTCTTAAAATACTCAGGGATGTACAGCTGGTGCTGTCCCGCAGTTGGACTAGCCCAGCTTCCTGACTGGAGAGGATCAAGCGCCCAGCATCTCCTGTTATACTTTCCTGTGTAGAGATCCCGGGTGGATTCTCCATGAATCTCAATCATTGCATCCAGCACCATCTGAACATGCTCCTCTTCAGTCATACTTGCCAGACGAACGCCCATGTCGCCGCTGATATAACTGGCCAGGATGGTAGCGGGACCTGTACCGTTCATGTTATAGGACGGGTAGCAGATACTACCAATGGCAGGGATATCAGTGTTTGTGCTGCAGCCTCCGAAGATGGGGTTTTCATAGTGCTCCCAGAAACGCTCAGAAAACTCAAGTGCAACTTTGCAGGCGGTTCCGTAGTTGAGCTCCTTGATGGCGTTGGAGATGGTAGCTGGAAGCTTGGGGAGGCGCCAGCGCCGAACGATAGAGAAAGGTACGGCGACAACTGCGTAGTCGAATGTCGAGTTTCGGAAATTCGTGTCGTTGTACTCGTTACGCCATTGCAGTGTGACCTTTTCAGCTGTCTCGTCATACCTAACACGCTCAATCTTACGGCCCATGGTTGTGATGTCGTCGATCAAGGGGTGGAATGAGAGAGGCAGCCTGTTCAGACCGCCATCAATGGTCTTGTAACTCGCCGCTTGGAAGTACATGCCCTCGTAAAGCGAGTCCCAGAACGTTGAACTGGACCAGCCACCAACCATATCAGTACTGTTAAGACTTCCCTTGAGGTAGTTGACCATAAAGGCGTATTCAGACCACTGATCACCTCCGAGCCCGTTGAGTCCAGTTTCGAGCCATTGTTTGTGGGCCTTGAACATGTTTGTAGCCATCAGGGTACTAAAGTTCGAGCCGGGCATGAAACTGTCAACCTTGGCCTGGAAATCTTCGATCTCTGGGCTAGGAACCGTACTGACGCCGAGTGAGGCATTGTCTGCAATTTGCTTGAGGGTTGGGGGCAAGCCGCTCGGTAGCTTGAACTCGTTTTTGTAAGAAAGACCGTTGGGGTTAGACTGGATCCAAGGAATGAAGTCAACGCTGAGGTTCTTGTCGTGTTTGTTAAGCTTGTTCATCTCATCCGCAAGTTGAAATACTAGCTGATGGTCTGTGATGTTCATTGTCACGTTGGTCTCGGGGTCTTTGTAAGTCGAGGGGAATCGCATAGGCCCCATCTCCTGGTAAGAGTAGTCGAAGGGACCACCAGTGAGGTACTCTGTGTGAACTCGACCACCAAGACGCTCGCCGGCCTCGATGATGCTGATGTTGGTCATGCCTGATTGAGATAGTACCAGATAGGTCATAAGACCCGACATACCGGCACCAACAATCGCAATCTCCTTTGACTTGGCAGCCTCTGCATCAACGGCTGATACGCCGGTCTTGGCGAGGTGATCAACACCGTTGAACCATGGCCCCAAAGTGTCGATGCCATTGGATTCGTCCATGAGAATTGGGTCTGTAGAATGTTAGTGCTGATCTCTCGATAGCGGGTAGACAACAAGTTACCCGTTCCTCGCTTCTGAGGTGATCGTCGCCTCACACGATGGAGTCTTTGAGGCTCACTGCGCCCAACAAGCACACTATCTCTCGTCCATGCCGAAATACATCCGTTGTCTTGAGAATCGGCAGGAATGGCCCAAACTAACCGCGAGACACTTGGGCTTTCGGTTACAGCAATAGTGTGGTGAGCCTCAGAAAGAGACTTGCTGTTACATTGCCCGTAGGTAAAAGACAAAGAACTCTCCGCTAGTTGGTTGAACTCCACGTAAATATTGGCCAAGTGAGAGGTCGGAGCTCCTCGAGTTTCGAGTCGAACTGGCAGGGTAGAGGCACAGGCACTGCCCAAGCCAAGGGCGATATTTGCAATAGAGTGTCTCATAGTGTCTGATTATTCTGGTGGGTTCACTACAAGCTCTCTGTGTCCATGGAAACTATACTGCCATTTTTATATACATGTAAACTTGAGTAAATAACTCAACAATTACTATTAACGATAGATAGGCAATCGGGCAGGTCGGCAACCGACAGTCCGCAGAAACGGCTATACACGATCAACAATTCATCCAGGAACTTTTGGCCGACATGTTGGCGATAGGTCTATTCAATTCCCCATATTGAACGATAAGCGGCTTATTTCGGGAACAAATCTTGGCGCCGTTAGGCGAGCGATATCGCTGCGGTCCGCTTGACTTCTTATCAAGATACGGAGTGTGGAGTTGGGGGTCACATCGCCTTATCAGGCCCGAGAGAACCATGATTCTGCATCCATCTGGGGGGAAACTCAAGAAGGATCGGTTGTCTTGATGCATCGGGCCGCCGTAGCGGTGACTGTTTGTGTAATAGTGGCGGGGAGGATCATTGAGGGGTCCTCTCGGCCAATTTTAAAGAGGACCTCTGGCAAAGCTCGGGAAACTTCAGCTCTTCATCCATTTCACCGATAAGCGGACAGATCTATAAAGGTCAAATGAATAAGATAAAATGCCTATCACGGAGAAAAGACACTCTTTGCCGGGGCCCGAATGTTAAACTTGAGCAGTAAACCCGACCGAGCTGGTGAGTCACTGCGTCATAGTTCACGGATATAATTCACAAACATCATAAACGACACAAGTCTTACTTGCGGATCAATAGGTGAAGTAAATGAATACTCTGCATAGAAAGGGTTCTTAATACTTTTCTAAATCTAAGGCCAAGCCAAACCTCTATTACTACTATACACTCTAACTCTTCGTAGAAAATGATATCCTAAGTTCTCTCGGTATTTGCTCCACATGCTTGAGTACCGCTCTTTGACGGCAACAAACTCGAACAACCCCGAAGAGGAATAGGAGAAAGAAAACAAACCTTCCGCAAATCAAATACAGTACACCAATATCTCTACTGTGTCCTCCACGTTTCAACTTTCCTAGCCATCCTCTATAGCTTATCAAAGCAGTCGCCGGGAGAGACTAAGCTCTGAGTAGTGCCTCAACCTCTTTTGTGATATCCCTCAGTGGGAAATCTGTCCTGTTGCCCTGAACACCGTCGACGGCATCTCCAAAGAACTCGCTGACGGCATAGAGACTGTCCGAGATCTGAACAGAGGCAACTGTGAATCCACCCTGGCTGACCAGAGGATTGGGGATGGTTCCGAGATTCTCTGCGGACTCCCACTTGCCATTGCTGGATCTCAGGACGACGGTTCCGTTGACATTGTCTGATACAAGAAGAACAGTGCCGGCGTAGAGCTGGGGCAGATGAATACCATCAAGGTTCTGTCCGATAGGTTCACTGTCCGAGCTGCCATCTTTCGACACGGGGATGTGAACGGGTTTGCCCTTTGAAGCTCTAATGTCGAATCGGTACAGCTGGCCATCAGTGTTGTCGTTGACCACGAGGAAATCATCCTTGCGGACAATACCGGAGAATCCGTGGATGGTGTGATTGGCCGGCTTAACCAGATACCAAGGGATGGCCGATTTTCCATCAGCGCTGACCTTGATCAAGCTGCTTGGGAAAGTTCCGAGCACAAACGTATTGCCAGCTTCGTCGCATTCGCTATCCTGGTAGCCGCTGTACACGCCCCCAGTAACTTTGGTAAGATTGGTTTGCCAGAGGAGGCTGTTGTCTCGCAAGTCGTACTTGACAAGGAAATTGTCTCCTGAGGTATTCTGACCCGCAGTGTCGAAAGACGCGCCAGCGTCGATGATGACTGACAATCGATCCAAGGGGTCGACTCGAACTCCACTGGCATGGAGCAAAGGATCCCCGCTCAGACCAGGAGCTTCGAAGGTGTGCAGGATCTTGTTCTGGTACGGGTCCCAAGCGACAGCTGTTGCGTTGTAGAGAACACTTATATTCTGGTTAGTATGATGTCACTGGAGCAATGCGCAGCCCGCTTCTTGTTGTACTAAGCTTGGATAGTTACTAACCTGGAATACAGAACGCAACGACGAGTGTCGAAGTCGACATTTTCGGGGTATAGTTGATACGCATCGATGGTCTTATTCCCAGAGACGGGTGCGCAGCTCAGCGGTCGGGAAAGAGGACTTGCAAGGCCGGCTTGAATGGCCAAGCTACCGAGAACCATTTTGGACAACATGATGAATCTCGAGGTTGATGATGGATCGGTTGGCTAAGAATCTTATTGTGAGTCTGAAGTAGAGTTAAAAGTAGAGGGGGAATAGAGGTATTGGTAAGATACTGGTTGGAATCAATGTAAAGTTGGCGGCGTGCAACTGATTTATAGATGAGAGTCCATATTATCAATTTCTGCACTGCCAGGGGAAAGTCATCTCTTTCCAACTGCCGAATTTACCAAGCCTAGCTCGCATCATGGCTCAGCGTTTTCGCATAAAGTAAGCAAAATACGGCAAAATCCGATTATGAGTTCAATGCGCAGAAAAGGCTTCGCCGAGTGGGATAAAGTGGCGTGCAGATCACTCACATGCAGATTTCTCGAGCTTCCAGGTGCCCAGGTTTCAGCTTCGTGTGGTCAGAGCTCTATCCCACTCACCATCCCGCCTTGTTAGTGAAAACCCAATATGGGAGGCCAAGCACCACGAGCACAAGGCAAATCACTAAATGGCTGCTCATAACACAAGACATCTTGTAAGTATCAATAATGAAGGTCTATCTTCCCAATTATCTTTCTCAATTTTTCTTTTTTTCTTTCTTTTTTTTTCTCTTCTCCTTCTAACTTAGCATAGTCGTCACAGCTTAGTCGAACTCACACACTGACCATCTCATGATTATGGGATTGTCTTCGTAAATACGAGGCTGAGTCTGATATCCCACTTCGCTATCCCACCACTAATAATGCCGCAAATCATACCAGTCACCTTGCATCATTCGTTCTGCGAATAGACAAATAACATGTTAGTCACTTTTGGTTTCACCGTTGCCATCTAATTAAGATCCTTAGCCACAGTATTTTTTAACTTTTACATGCCAATGAGCTTGCGAAGTTTTGTTCCTACGTTTTCAATTTGGAAAAATGCATGACCATTCAGGGGTCACAGCGCGAAGAAGGAGGATTGGAGGATGGTTTGACGAAATCCTCGCTGAGAATATTAAATAAATCATATCTTGCTTCAAGATAAATAATTATTAGCTTTCATAGCTCCCTATGGGATTTACATAGAAGACAAGTGTTGCGGTATCGAGCGCACTTTTTATGACTTAAATATTCATGCCTCAGGGTAGGCATCTGAATCTGGCCTGTAGGCGATTGCGGTATCGATAGCTTATCGATACCAAGATCTAATCGACATCCGGTTAGAAACAGGCTCTCGGCAACCGGATCAGAAGATTGGCCATAAACAAATAAGGTGGATTCAAGACCTCAAGGTCGAACCAACAACTCTAGGCGATGTTTCCCAGATCCGGCTCGGTTTTTTTTTTCCATGTGGGCGGTCTAGAACCTTTGTATGGGGCATTGCCCAAGATCAGAAGACAAATAATTAGCCAATTGGCCGAACAAGAAGCAGGGGCAAGGGGAGATTTGTCGCTGTCACCGAAGGTTTAATACGGACCAACAAAAGACGCAAACCTAGGGACAAATACACAGGCAGGTAACAAATAGCCCAGTAATTTGATGATATTGAGAGAGGCAATATGAATACATGTGCTACGTGGGCTAAGTCCTTTGCTGTTACTGTGCCTCGTGCAGCTGTCGGCTAGATATGTAAATTGAGGCTTGAAGGATTTCCGGATTGTTATGTCATGAGAGTCTGGCTAGACCCAATCAATCCATCTACACTTACGCGAGGTGGCTTGGCGGCTCAGTCCGAAGACGGGGCGAACGGGCTTGAAGTGTGCAATTGCGTTTTACAGAATACAGCACATGCATTCGAAACGAGACGTATGAGACGCCATACTTCCGACACAGACTCAGATGATCAAGAATGGCCATCTCATCATAGAACCTACCTACCAACCATTGCTTTCTTCAAAGCCGGGAAAAGAGGACTGTACCTTACAGTGCCAAGAGAACCATCAGGTGACGGCCTGACCCCATCTGACATCAGACCAAAATCCCTGTCACAGCGCCGTGGATGAACCATAGCTTCAAGTAGATGGACCAACAAGGATCCACATCGTATTCAACCAACACACAGCACAATCCGTTTGGGAGGGCCCTTTTGTCTGTTAATTTGACTGTGCCGCCCAAGAAAAGGAATCGATTTGAGGAGAGGGCTCGCCCGGACCTCGAGCTAATTATCCGGGTATTGGGTCATACTTACAAAAGACCACTTCGGCCACTTTTCTCGTTTGGAAGATCTTGCTCCTTTTTCAAATAAGTGTTACTTCGCCAAACTTTCTGGTAGAAATTCCCCGTTATCCCGTGTTTATTCGGCTTATCTCGATATCCGGCATTATTCTCAAGATGGATGTTTATCCCTTGAAGCGTCTCAGGAGGAGAAAAGACATTGTTATCGCTATGTGTCTTCTCGTTATTGTTGGCTTGGCAATCCATATCTACGCCCTCCTGTTTCTACCTTCGAGCGAGGCCCCGAACCCAGGTAGAGTTTGAAACCTACTTGAGAGAAAAGCAGCTTTTATCTCAAATCATGAGACTCGAATCAGCTGTTGAGGTGTCAATTTGAGCAAGCAAAGGGCTCTAGTATGCACACATCAGTGGCAGTGGTAGCCGAAGTTTGGCAAGGACTTTCTGCTTTGGGTCCCACTACTTCGTTCTCCAAGGAGGGATCCCTGAGTTGAACAGGACTCGACGTCCGCAGCACTTGGATAGATTTGTCGACACTTCTTATCACCAGCTACGCAGGTGCTCTCTTCATATTGTATCATCAGCTGCTAGACGAACTTTAACTGTGGCCACGATATACATCAACATCCATGGGCCTTTCTGAATCTTGGATGTAGTCGAAAAGCTCGAGATCCACTTCGAACGTTTGTCACATGCTGGTTTCCAAGAACGATTCTCATTCATCCGATATTCGAAGCTTGGTCATTAAGAAGGCCCAGTGGGGCCCAAGGTACCGTTCGACCTCTATAAATATCGCCGGGCACAGTATGGTTGCAACCAAGGACACAACCGAGTCATCGACAGAACGACCAGTCATCAACAATATATCCGATGGCTCTATACGGAATGGACTATTTCTACGGAGTAGATAGCTTCTATCAGAATTGGAAACCGTAGCAAAGGCCTCAGCGCCATCAATGGCCCAAAAACCTCAATAATCCGCCGCTTGATACTCTTGCGAACACACCTTCAAGGCTCGCCATTTGGGACGCCTTTACCGGTTAGAAATAAATGGCATGCTCTCATATATACACATCATGGATACCATGCCAACATCCCTTGAACAACAAGGGGCCATTCTGAAGCTGCACAATCGAAAAGGGATTCAGGATATCCTTACCACTCTTTGATCCGGATGCAACGCGCCTAATGGCTGAAAGAGCGAACAGCCTTCAAAGATACCAGTACATTTATGGGACGCAAATCAGAAGGCCTGCCATTTCTATCAGTATATGACCGTCTGAGCAACTCGGTCGTTGCTATGGAAGATGATACAATACTCAGAAGGGTGCAAAAGCTTGTTGACACGCTAACTGACAACGAGAAGAAATGGTACCTTTTCAGTTCAGCCTGGGATATATCTTGACAAGAGGGACAATAGTTGTGACAGTGAACGACCAAATTATGTTATATGAGATGATATATAGACGAGAACCTAAGAGAAGACTAAGCTATCTTTATTGAAAGCAAAGTTGGTGTATCTCACACTGGTATTTCGTTACAGGTAAACAACAACACTGAGAGATCACTTTATGAAAATAAAAGAGAGTTTCACGGCGGCGGCGATGATGTCTAAGGCGCTACAATTTCTTATCTAAACTCAGTGGAGGAGTATTGCGCTTCAACTACTTCTATCTTTATGTCGATGCGTTCGCTACCACAAACTCGAGGATGGTCAAGTTGGGTCCCGTCCAGTGCTTTCTTGCATGGGTGAACCACAGACCAACAGCAATAGCCAAAACAGCCACCATGACCGGACCACAATAATTCATGTTCTCGGGAGTGACTGGCAGGGTTGATGGGAACGGAAGGAAGATGATAATGTAGAGGGTATAGACCAATGCAAAGATGTTGATGGGAAGACCGAATCGCCCAAGATTCCATTCTCCAAGCTTGATGTTGGAGCCGGAGAGACGAACATAGATAATGCTACCGATCGCAATAGCGTAACTGATGTACAGAGCCAATGATGAGAGGGAGGTGATGGCTCCGAAGGCCACATAGGAGGTGCTTCCAATGTTGAGAAGGTTGAGAGCGCAGACGAGGAAGACAGTAAGGACAATGGAGCGTGTGGGTACACGGTGTGTGGGACTGACGTAGGCAAAGTAGCTAGGCATGCCTCCATCTCGAGACCACGCCCACGTTAGACGGGAAACGGACGCAATATTGGCAAGGTTTACACTGAAGGACACAATAAACAAACCAGCAATCATAGCGGTAGTAGCCTTGTTTGAGCCAGTGGCATTGAGGAGAATGGCCTGAATCTGGCTGGTTTGGGAAAGCATATCGTCGACCGGTCCCATGGCGGAGATGAGGACATTGACCATGATGAAGCCAAGGATACCGTTCATGAAGATGGACCAGAACATGGCGCGCGGAACAGCAGACTTGGCCTTTCGAGTCTCCTCAGACATGTGGATGGCACTGTCAAAGCCTACAGATGGTCAGTGTATGAATAATGTGAAGCCGTGGAAGGTATCTTACCAGTGAAACTCCACACACAGGTGAGCATGCCTAGGTTCCAGGCAACATACTCGTTATTCTCCCAACCTGAAGAGATGTCACGCTCCAGCCAGAAGGAAGCAGGGTTTCGGGGACCCATGACCATGAGAACGACAACAAAAATAACGAAGAGGCAGACATGGAGAACACCAGCGACAAGCTCGATCCAGGGGATAAGCTTAAATGCGAAGACGTTCATCAATCCATGCACCAAACACATGGCGATGACCAGTATCGACGTATGCCATCCACCAGCTACGTAGTCGGGGTGGTTGATAGTGATCATAGACTCGAGAAGGATGATGGTGACGTTGGCAATGGCTGCTAGTAGGGAGACGTAGCCAAACCAAGTTGCCCATCCCTGAATCCAAGTAGCAAAGCGTTTGACGGATGCAGGTGCCATGTAGTACTGCCAATGGTCAGCTAACATTCTTCTAGATTTCTACAGCAATATGATGTAACGTGTCCATCAAATCGTAGGGGATAGAAGGGAAATCCATACAGTCCAATGATATTGAGCTCCGGCTACAGGCTGGATAGAAGCCATCTCTCCCAGTGATGCAGCCTGGGAGATGGCACCAAAGAAGACAATGATGAAGCTAAAGAGAAATGTCTGAGGGCCGCCATTGAAGAGGGCAAAGTACATATTCCTTGTCTTCAGTGTCAGTATGCGACCGCGGCATCATAAAGTGTATCAACTTACGAGCACATGCCCTCCCATAGTGCCATGTATGTCAAGGAAAAAGCAAACAGCTGAGAAAAAGAAAACACTTTGCGTGTTCTCGTAACGCTATCGATGTTGGCCGACTGCGTAGGCCTGGTCGAAGCGTCAACACTCACAGGAATAGCCTGCTGCTTGCCCGAAGGCTCCAGCTCGATGCTGTTGCTGTCGGCGTGCGACATCGTTGTAAACAGAAGCAGAAAATCAGCTCCAGATTATGTGTGTGCTAATGAAATGCAGGAACGCGGGTTGGGTTTGGTATGTTGAGGGGAGGACGCAAGATAATGGGACGGGCAGAAAGATCGTCGCACTTAAAAGGCTTATGCGTGGACACCTTTTGGTTACACTACAGTGTGGGAACCAATTCCAGGGAATGGACCTGTCGGGGGAATGTGTGATGAGACTTTGGACCCCGCGAGCTATTCCCTGAAACAAGCATAACTTTGAACTTTTCTGTCATAGTCATCCAAGTTGGGCGACCAGAGATGCGTTAGTTAGGCGAGGCGAGATTGCCGCGAATACGCCGGGGATGCTGCTAAAGATCGAACGGTTTTCTCGACAGCACAGCAATAGAAAGGTCTAAGCTCTGGGCCCTGAGTGTGGCGGCGTTGATCACTTCCGATTGGCAAACTCGGCGGTCTTCAAGTGGACTCGAAGGAAGCTTTGGCGTTTTACTAGCAAGGACCAGGCTGATGGAACCAACGACCATCATTGCAACGCCCCGTCAGTCTATTACTTGTTATTTTCTCTTTGCAACTGTGACATTGAGAGGCAGACTTCCTGTGGCGGGCAAAAAGCGGTATCTTGGCTTTTGTGAGCGTCTCACTGCACCATGTAACATGCTGAATAAACGCACAGGGGTCGTAATTGTCATCACCCGACGATCCCTGACAATGTTATAGATCAACAACCTCGACAACACCTCATAGGCTGCTGCACAGAATGGCGTCGACTCCACAGCATGGCGGCAGATAAAGTGGACGGTGGCTACAGAAGTTTGAAACTAGGCTGCGTGCTCGTTCGAGAAGCAGCAGATATCCTTGCCTCGTCGATATGACAGGACCGATCTCGAGCTGTTGGTTGTTGTCTCGGGCGCTTTCGTAAAAGCTGAAAAAGCGAAACTCGCTAGAAATCCTCAACTGAGAAATCATGCAAGTGCTAAAGCTCCTTCATTTCGACCGTGGGCTCATCGTGTGTGGATACGGTGTTAATTAAAATGCTGATCCCCTAGACTTATGCTGTAGAATTGTCAAGTGCCATTGAATGCAACTCTACCAAGATCTTCCTCGTCGACAGTCCTCCCCACTCTCCATCCGAATGTGACCTGAGCTCCGTCTGCTTGGTACACAGCCTTAAGACAATACGTTGGTCCCTCTTGATTGAGCACGAGGTTTAAAGCACGCCGCCCTCGAGCACGTCTGCGATCGAAAGGCAACGGGCCAAAAGAGCGCGAAAAGGCATGGCCACTCATCCCCAGGCGGCTCCGCCATTTTACCCATTGACGGACAATAACCATGCTGCCCTCGTGGTGATAACCGCGATCATATTCTTCATATACGCTATCTTCGGTATTATCGGCAAGATGATCATTCGTTTGAACATCACGTCTATGAAGGATTTCGATATTCTTCTACTAGCGGCAGCTCTTCTGTATTTTGTTCAGACAACTTGCGTTATTGCCGCGTGCAGCAACGGTCTTGGCGAACACCGCGATGCCATTTCAGATGACGACTTTGTCCGTTTCAGCAAGGTGGGCAAGTCTTTTGGTTCGTCGAGGAGCGACTTTGCTAACTGTTATAGTTGATGTATGCATCACGAATATCCGGCATACTAGTTCATGCGACGACAAAGGTCTCTCTCGGTCTCCTCATCAGACAAATCGATAGGCAAGGTGGACTAAATCTTGCCAATATGGTACTCGGTGGAGTTGTTATTGCATGGGCCGTTTCAGGAGTACTCACCACGGCTTTCCAGTGCTCTCTACCTCAACCTTGGCTCGCAGAAAACAGACAGCAATGCCCGAACCAAGGTCCAATCTTTGTCTACAATGGCATTATGATCATTATAACCGATCTCGCTCTCTGCATTCTACCAGTCGCTATGATGTGGGAGGTTCAGACGTCAATCCGAAGAAAGATTATTGTCATGGCGCTTTTCGGCACACGACTCATCGTTCCGATTATTACGATCCCCGAAATTACACATGCCCGCTACATGTTTGGAGACTCGGACGACGCGACCTGGCAGGCTGTATCGACCATGATCTGGGGACAGATCGCCCTTGGTTTATCAGTGCTTACAGTCTGTATCCCTAGTCTGAAGGGTGTCATCGACAGTCTCCTAGGCTCAACCGCCGTTGCGGCGCTCAATGCTCCCTACGACCTCAAAGACAGCGGCGACGGGACAGGTCTCGAAATGACAACCATATCAGACTCGAGAACCAGGCAGACCTCGAAGCAGGATAGTGGTATGGGCAGTGCGTTACGGAAAGGGTCCAGAGCAAGACACAGCGAACAGCCAACGTGGCGCAGGGACTTGACGACCGAGGTACGGACAGAGATTGCCAGTGGAAGCGAGAGTGTACGGAATTTGACAGAAGGTGTCATGGTGAGCACAGATTTCGAGGTGTCGTACGATGAGAGGCATGCCTCACGGGCTGATTCTATGGGCTCTACCGAAGCAGCATATCGTATGCAGAGCAGTTAGACAAGTCGCTTCCAATGATTATCACCTGCAATTCATCATAATATGACCTCACTCTTTTCTCACCTACAACACGCAGCCCGCCACGTCTTCGGAGATGGGACATCGAAGATTTAGCTTCTTCTAGTGCCTCAGCCGCAAATCCCCCGTTTGTTGTCTCATCATCACCTGAACCGAGTCCGCGGTTGCGGGGGCGGCACGGGCAGATCTCAGCTCCTTCTATCTGCAGAATCTCAGCGGGATGTCCAAGCGTATCTCAAATCGGAGTCCAGAGCAAAAGAATTAAAAAGCCCTGGGCTTGAAAGTGAAAGGGGATATGAGGGAGAATCAAGCACTCGGCCCAATACCCCCATTGTCGCGGTAATTAAGACAAAAATGGAGTCTCTTAGGGGTGACTGTCGTTTGAAGCTTCTAAGTCGTTGATGGGAATTACGGAAAATTATCTTTGGTCCACTTGGCGCGTACGGAGCAGCGGAAGGGAAAGGTACTCGACGGGCCGGAACCCTAGCTTCTCGGGGCAATTGTTAAGGCCGCGACAAGCCCGACTCGAGGAGAATTGCCGTTGTGCCTAGCGGAAGTAGGGATAGTACAGATTCCGCATGAGATGACCATTGTGTTCTGGGTAAAGGGGCAGGTGAAGAGTAAAGCGCAAGAGAAAAGTATCAAGAGACAAGAGGCTGACAGGCTGCTCGCATGAGAGAAAACTTGGAAACAATCTGTCAGGAATGGCCAGAAATGTAAGCTCGAGTCTTGGTATCAATAGTCTCTTGAGCTACTGCAAGTAAGTGGGAGTATGAAAATACTAGCGAAATCTTCCTGTATCAGATCAATATGCCCTTGTTCTAATCACCTTGAGAGACTACCGAACGAGCGCCTTTTTCGCTGTCGTATAAAAAGCTTCAGTGGCTACAAGTGGGGTTTAGGTGGTAGCGCGCGGTATTTGTGTTGATTACAGTGGGTAACGGGCATAATTTGGTACGTAACAATTTAATAACTGTCGATCATAAAGGGACAGCACCCTTGTCCAGGTTTGCCAGGGCTGATCAGTCCGTGCCACTGTGGGATATTTCATCAGGGGAAGACAGCGGAGAATGATTCGATTTCTGGAATCGGATCGTATATTCGTAACGTGATTGTTGGTTCGCTGTGCGGCTCCGTTGCCACGGCTATGGAACGATCCAAACTGTCTTTTTCGGTTGTGTGAACTCTGTCTTGTTGCTGACCACTGGAATTCCGGCTTACTGCTGACTCAACGCTTCTCTGTGTCATTAATTCTCTCCGCACAGGGATCCCTGTTCCACGGTTCAATTGCGCTAACAGACAAGCTCTTGTCGCGAAATAATCGCCTACGGTTTCGAGCTAATTCCACCATCCTCCCTTCTACTGTCTGTCTTGAACGTGCTCACCATGGACAGCAACGACGATGAGACGGCCCGTGGTGAAGCTGCGCCATTGTTAGGCGATGCACAGCAGACAAGTCCTTCAGTGCCTGCTCACGACTGGTGGACTGAACTGTCACTCATCGCGCGCTACACAGTGCCTCTCGTGGCTACGTACCTGCTCCAGTATTCCTTCAGTGTCATCACGACAACGACAGCTGGCCACCTCAGCCCAGATGATCTGGCGGCTGCTGCAATTGGCGTGACCACGATGAGTATCGCTGGTCTTGCCCTCTATGAAGGAATGGCAACTGCTCTTGATACCCTTTGTGCGCAGGCCTACGGGGCGGGGAACAAGGCTGGAGTTGGCCTGCACGTACAACGTATGCTTATTCTTATGGCTATTGTCACTGTCCCTGTGGGTGCCATCTGGATAAGCTCGCCTGCTTTCTTGACTCTTATACTCAAACAAAATCACCTGGCCGTCAAAGCTGGCTCATTTCTGAGAGTCAGCTTGCTTGGAATCCCCGGGTACGCGTCCTTCGAGGCCCTCAAACGCTTCCTCCAAGCACAGGGTGATTTCAACACAGGCATGATTGTCTTGGTGATATGTGCCCCTTTAAATGCCCTCCTCAGCTGGCTCTTCGCCTTCCGCCTCGGCATGGGCCTTGAAGGTGCAGCCCTCGGCGCGGCTGCAGCCAACACTCTCCGACCTACCCTCCTTCTTGTATGCATCTACTTCAAAAAGTCCACTCACGAATGCTGGCCGGGCTTTACTCGTCGTGCATTCCAAAGCTGGGGTCCCATGGTTCGGCTATCTGCCGCAGGCTCGGCTGTGACATTGGCTGAGTGGACAGCGTTTGAGATCATCACCGTTAGCACGTCATACATGAGCACGATGCATCTTGCAGCACAGACGATATTGACTACTACCTCGATAGTCATGTGGCACATTCCCTTCTCCCTTGGTGTGGCTGTGAGTACAAGGATTGGCCACTTGATAGGTGGTGGCTATGTCGCTGCCGCCCGGCGCATTACTATACTCTACGGCATTCTATTCGTCGCTCTGGGCTTCTTTAATGGTACCGTCTTGTTCTTGTTCCGGAACTACATTGGTCCTTTCTACACCAGCGATGAGTCTGTTCGACGCATTGTGGCAAATACCATGCTTGCAGTAGCTGCTTTCCAACTCGTTGACTCGATCGTCTGCGGTTGCAATGGTGTACTTCGCGGTCTGGCAAGACAGTCTGTTGGTGCCTGGGTCGTTTTCTTCGTCAATTACTTGGCTGCAGTGCCCATAGCGGTCTGGTTAGAATTGGGACTATTGCATCTGGGCCTCAATGGAGTATGGTCAGGAATCATTGGTGGCTCGGCCGTTATTGCTGCTGTTGAAGTCATCTACATGATAAGGGTAGACTGGAGAGGTTCCGTGGAGACTGTCAAGTCCAGAGAAGATTGATCTTATACTTAGCTAGTGCTGAACAACTTCCAATATCAATGCTTGGCCTTCGTCTCCGGCTTTTGTGCAAGAAACCTCTCGCTAGTATGACTGATCGTGGGAGAACTGAAACACAAGTCTGGGGGCCACAGTCCCCAAAGCAATCAAAGCACTGGTTAGTCTGGGAAATGCTTTTGCTCGAGAGAATACTAGCACCTGAAAGCTCGTAACTTAGAGAGGCCGCATTCTGATTTGAATGGTTCTAGATGTGGCCAACACAGCTTAAAAGTTGCTCTGTGTCTGTACTTTTTTAAAACGTTAAGTCGTAAACTAAAGAAACTAACAAGCCTCTTATCTCCTTCTTAATTACAGGAGAGAGCAAGCGATTTTCTCCAACTCCAGACATATCTATTTCTACTTCCTACTATCTGCTGGGTGCCGCGATATTGCAGTCACTTTGCCGTTTGCTTACCAGGCCGTTCTTCAAACGATAACCTCCGCTCCATACTCTGGATCTCCGGCATTTGCCACAATTCTCACGGTGCTGGGGTCAGCTGTCCCGTCTCCTGGTAGGTTATAGTCAAGTCTCACGCCTGTTTTGACTGCATCTTGAAATGCTGGTCGATCGTCACCAGTGACAGATCCTCGGGCCAGGGTCCCATAGAATCTCATAATTTTTAAAGAGCATCTCAATCTCTTACTCTTCACCCACTGCCGTTCTTTTCCATATTGGAAGAGAAACAATTTGGTGTGACTTCATGTCACGTTGTATCCGTAGACTGAATCGGTACAGTACTGGAAATTGCAAACCGGGAGCTTACGGAGGATCGGTAACCACTACAGTGTTCCCTTACGTCAGGGCTCTTCCGTGATGTCTGCACAACAACCCGGAACCAACCAAATGTTGCCGATGCGTCCTGCGCGAGTGAAGGTTGCTTAAAGTGCAATTGTTGCCCGCCAGTAGTTGTCGTCGCAGCTGCGGACAGCCTCGGACCTTTTTAGAAGTGGAAAAACATGGGTAGCATGCAGATGAGCTGTAACATCCCCTTCTTTCAAATTGCAAAATTCAAACGACATATTGAGATGAGAGAATGTAGCAGCTGGGCGGTTTACACAGGACGAGATTGAGTAGATTGTAATGCGGTCCAGTAGCGGTAAGTAAACCGCCATTTCCCAATCAACCTAATTCTAAATCTGGAATCTGGGGCTTAACTTCACGCTCTTGGTACTTGGAACTAAGTGGCAATACGGCGGCTCGGTAGCAGGTCAGCCCATGAATACCGGCGGCCCGAAAAAACGGCGACATCTCGGAGCGATGATTCTAGTCTCTGGAATTGATATACTGGGCATTTCCAATTGAGCACTAAGAGAAATGTTAAGTCTCCTTTGAGTGACGATCTCGACCGGCTGTGAGCCATGACATCTTGATGATTGGGTATTCTCCCGCACATATGCGGATGACATGGACCCTTGTGCGTTGTGCTTGGGTCGGAGACTATCGTGAGAAAAGTGAATGCGGGAATGCATTGTGCAGTCAATTAATTTGTTTATAAATATGTGCCTACGTCTAAGAATCTTTTTCGTATCGCTTAGCCAGCAGCAAGAGGCTTGAAAAAGAGGTGTACTGCGGGTCACTTCTTCAATTCTCAACTGTCGACGCATCATGACTTCTTCCAACAAAACCTCATATATCACGCTCATGAGCGTCAACGGTGAGGCCCCCAAGGATCACATCCTGCTCGGACATTTGACTCACTAAAGGACAACCCTAGGGAATATGGGTGCCGTGGCATACCAGCGCTCCGCTCAGACTGGCTCAATGACGGTTGAATATTCCGTTAAATCTCTTTGTATCGATCGAATTGATCGCGATGACCTTCGAGCATCAACGCCTCGGGCTCCTGTGCAAGGATCTATGGATCGGTACCTTTATGGTCTTGGGGCATGGGCCTTAAGCCATCGGGTTGAAACGAGGTAGACTCGGTTCGACAACTGCTCATAGAAACGCATTCTTATCAAGAGTGGTTGGTTCCATGCTATTGAAACTATGGCATCATGAGTAGATAACAGTATACTCTTCAAACATGAACCATAACCAATGGCTTTTTTAGGTTCATCAAAGATTTTACTACTATTTATAAACGACTAGGGGGTCCTTTTCAACTTTTTAGCTTTGTTATTTGCAAACTCACTGGTGGTCAGAGATATGTGGCGAGGAAAACGCGAATTGAAATGAGCAATTGTTGAACCTTTACTCCTAAATCCCACCCATCATATACATAACTCAGTCAATTGAAAGTGAAATAGGATTTCAAACGAAACAAGGATGGTTAGCTAATTAGGCAATGCCAAAGCCTGTTGTTTCGTTCAGGGTTGTCTGAGTGAGACTCAAATATGATATCATTTATTTGTTCGCCTTAACAGTTGACTATTGGTGATGGTCAACTCTGTTTAGCCAGCCTTGCCTCTACTAGCTCAAGAACTAGTGCTCTTTGTAAATACTTACCAGAAGGTTGTCCTTGCCTCACTCAAAGTGCTACCGTAAAACCCATACTATGATTGGTGCTCTGCTACTTCAGGCAACCCGCAGAAGCTGAATTCTTCGTAAAACACAGTGCCCGACATGCCTTACAATTTCTGATTGGTATGTCTGAACCTTTTGGTCTGTTACAAAAAAATTGCTTCTTTTATCTTTCAGACGTGTCGTCCATTTGAAGCTTGAGATTTGGTCATACCGGACTTTGACACCACTAATGTGGGTGTCCCCACGCCCAGGGTAGGTTTGTCAGCCGCTGTAACCGCAGTGCATTCACAAATGCGCGGACCAACAACTTGAAATCCCAAAGTGCCATCTTTGCTGAGTTGCACCAGATTCGCAGACATTTCACTTGCATCACGCTACTCGCCCCAAGTTGTTTTAACACTAGCCATCACTGTTTACGCTCAGACACATTGGTAGTGTCAGTATGGAACCACCGCAGCTGGCACCAGATGCTTGTGCCGCTTGCAAGACCGAGCAACGTCCCTGTGACGAGATTGCGAGCATTTCTACCTGCGAGCAACTCCCAAGCTATGTGTCTGAACAGCTTGGCGATGAGGCAACACAGCGCGCCATCAGCTCGCGATACTTCCAAGTCACTCATAATTGGCTCCCAATCATCTCCAAGCAGCGTTTCTTTCACCGTTTGGATGCACCGACTGAGACATGCCCCCCAGATTGGAAGCTACTCCTCCTCTGCATGAAGCTTATTAACTGGCTGCCTGACGCAAGTAGCCCGCAGACACCCCTCTACCGAGCAGCTAAACGCTTCTTCCTCGAGGTTCAACTCAGCGGGGTCATATCCTTGGCCGTACTTCAGGCTGCTATCCTGATTGCGTTCTACGAAATCGGCCACGGTATATTCCCCTTCGCTAACATCTCTGTGGGTATCTGCGTACGTTATGGTGCTGCCTTGAGCATAAAACCTCGATCCGCGACCTCTGCCAATACTTGGGATAGAAGCTGGATAACAGATGAGGAACAGACGAGATTATGGTGGGCACTGCTGCTGCTAGATCGGTTGGTCCTTTTTATGCCCTGATTTGGCCTATGTGACACTAACTGTGTGTACTTGCGAAGTTTCACTTGCCTCACCCAACCCACACAATCGTTGAGTATCCAAGGGCCCAAACCCGAGTATATTCTACCCTCAGATGACAAGCTATGGGACGACGGAGTCAGTCCATCCTATCCATAGAGCACCCAACTACTAACAATTGTGGTCACAAGCCATCGATCCTTCGCAACAGGCGACCGTCGCCTCACCGTGTAAGCTGCAGCATCCGCGCTTTTCCCTTGTAGCCCAAGCAACTGTGCTATTAGACAGAGTGCTAAACCGGACTCATCACAATGGGAAGGCAAACATGTCTGAGGAGGAAACGCTCCAGCTTCAACGTATTATCGAGGACATGGTGGAGTCTACTCGCGTCGACTGCCCTGCGCGTCATCTCCTCGGAGTTTTTGGCTGTGAGGCCAAGGCTATTCTGTTTGGGTAGGCCCTCATGTTAGAGACCCTTGCTGGAGTGGACAGCTTACATCTCCCTCCACAGTTCACTCATTGCTCTCCATGACGAAGAAGATTTTCTCCTCCCTGTGCCACTGGAAATTCCGCTTCTTATAGGAAGCGAGTTGGCCGCGAAACCATGGGAAGCCACCTTGCCGGAGAATGACATCAACCGTGATCAATGGCCGCCGTTTGCTGTCCACATCATCTTCCAAGCGGCGGTCAGTATCGTCAGAAGCAAGAGGGATGAAGGCTACGAAGCCGTTCAAATTTGCCTTCAGCCATTCAAATCGGCGCTGGAGATTGCTGAGCAAAGATGGTTATCCGCCGGTAAGCAGTCTTTTGTCTCTTCTCTATACTCGATTGTTGTTTCTCTCCTTCATTTCGGGATAGTATAAGTTCTGGATTAACATTGAACTGACTTCGTGAAGACTTTTACCTGATGCACCTAGCGGTCCTAGAGAATCAAGTGGTATAAACTATACCAGACCTTAAGCCTGCTATTAGCGGACTGTTTTTCTGTCACAACCCTTTCAATCCGTCTCACTCCAACCAGAAGCCTTACCATATTCACGATACTTTCCTCTACCAACATGTGCTCCACTCCGAGAATCTTCCTCCAGGACACTACTTGGACACACCGGCTGCAGGATATCCACCGCTCCTAGCTTCCGGTGCCGGCAGCTTGTTTTTCGAGCCGGAAACTGTTTCCACAGAATGGTTGTCAAGTTGAAGCTAGGGTTATGCTTCTTACTAAATCCCAGGCTAACCCTTCGGCTGTAATCTTGCTACCTGTTAATCAAGATAGTCCGACAGTAGTCACAATAGGGCCTTTTTCGAAACAAACATACCTACATAAGCAAAGACGGGGCTGGATTGGATCTGCTCATCATTTAGAGAGTCCTAGTGTCATCGGAGTAGAAATGTGTGCAGCGACGAATCTAGTGTAGCATCTTCTGAGGATGAGTGTCTTGATTTATATAAGTACCCACACCTTTGACAATTATGAGATACAGGATCATAGTCCCGGACTCTAGAATTCTTCTTTCTTCCGATATCCAGCGTGTAATAACCCGTAATTTCATTACGCCATGGGCTAGTGAACGAGGCCCCATCGTCAATCAGTTGTCATTATGTACTCTGTAACTGAACACAATATCATGGCTCTCCTTATCCCGTGGTAAGCATTCTTGCTCTCCACTTGAACTCTCACGCCCATGCTTCAGATATGTACGGTCAAAAATGGACAGTAAGAACGAGTCACTTATCATCCGAGGCTGTAAGCAGCTATCAACTATTTATCGCCCTGCCGGAGACCGCGGAAGATCGCTAGCATGCGGCCGCACATTGTGGATCCAGGGCCGCAAAAAGCTGGGGCCGCATCGGGTCGTATGTTTCTACGTTAACGTTAGCACGCCCTGTGGCCGACAAGTTGTTGCACGCTTATTACTCCTCTCCATTTCTCTTATTCCAAAGTAAAGAGGGGTTGCCGTAGCATTGACAGTTTTCTTTGCTGCTGCCTGGGTCGCGTTGCTGTTATCACTAACCAGGGGCAGCATGCATGACGTAGCGTGTATGTAGAACGAAGGGCGGGTAATGGTATCATTACTAATTGAGGGGAATAACATGGACGTACGGATAGACTGTTGGTATATAAGACACAGGGCGTACCGGATTCTAACTAGCATTTTTAGAACAGACAGAACATCGGAATAACACCTCGGTGCTACTATCTCACTTTTTCTTGCAACCTTTGCAATCTGCCTACAATATTCGGCCAACACCCTGCATACAAGATGAGTGACGGCTACCATAATATACCCGCTGGTGCTCAGGTTGAGCCAAAGCCTTTCCAGATCTCCATCCCGGAGGAGAGAGTTGCTGAGCTCAAGCAGCTCGTCAAGCTGGGCAAGGTCGCGCCGCCAACCTATGAGTCTACTCAGAAAGAGCACAACTATGGCATTGGTCACCAGTGGCTTACCGATGCCAAGGCAGCTTGGATTGACTTTGATTGGTAAGTTTGATTAAAGCGTCGTTTGTAGTTGGTCAACTATGTCTTAGGGACATGAAACAGTACAGGTGACTTACCATTATGACTATTAAGGCGTGCCGTGGAGAAGCATCTCAATTCGTTCAACCACTGGACTGTACCCGTCAAGGACACCAAGGGCGAGTTTACAATCCACTTCACAGGACTGTTCTCAGCCAAGCCCGACGCTATCCCCGTGGTCTTGCTACATGGCTGGCCTGGCAGTTTCTTGGAGTTCCTGCAGATTATCTCCATCCTTAAAGAGCGTTACACCCCAGAGACGCTGCCTTATCACATTGTAGTTCCTTCTTTGCCTGGATATGCCTTCTCAAGCCCGCCTCCTCTGGATCAAAACTTCGATGCCCAGGATATTGCCCGTGTGGTCAACACCCTCATGATCCAATTGGGTTTTGGTAATGGTTATGTTGCGCAGGGAGGTGACATTGGGAGCAAGGTCGCTCGCTCGCTCGGGGCTACTTACAAGGAGTGTAAAGGTAAGCAATCCTACTCATGCGACGCAAAGGGATGTTTAGGTACTAACGTTCCTCTTCCCAGCCGTTCATATCAACTTCTGCATCATGCCCGAACCTGAAGGCGCAGGTGAGGTCACAGAGGCAGAAAGGAAAGGTCTCGACCGTACCAATGAATTCAACACTCTGGGTACTGCTTACGCCTTTATGCATGGCACTAAGCCCAGCACAATTGGACTCGTTCTGTCGACGTCTCCTCTCGCACTGCTAGCCTGGATCGGCGAGAAGTTCCGCGATTGGTCCGATGAGACTCCTTCTCTCCAAGAGGTTCTCACCTCAGTCTCTCTGTACTGGCTAACCGACACCTTCCCAACATCCATCTACACCTACCGCCAGCGCTTTGACTCAGGCAATGTCGGCGCGAACGACCACCCGGATTGGAAGATCAACAAGCCAATGGGCTATAGCTGGTTCCCGTACGAGCTCGCTCCTATCCCCAAGAGCTGGGTAGCGACAACTGGCAATCTGGTGTTCCATCGTGCGCATGATCGTGGTGGTCACTTTGCTGCACTCGAGCAACCAGAGTTACTGTTGAGGGATTTAGAGGATTTCGTGCAGCAGATCTCAGACGATGGGTCTCTGAAGGTCCAGTGAGCCCAGACTTTAGGTGGATGTCGCGAGGTTTTAGTTGATTCAAGAGCAGAGCCAATGAATTAGGTGCTAATATCTATTTTGCCCGAATGATAAACTTATTTAATGATATGCTTGTTTGTTGGCGTGATATTCTGTCCAATCACGCAATTGACATGCGGTCAAGTGCACCCCAGCGGGAATTATGACTTCCGCAGTCTGTCTTCTCCTCATTCAACACCTCCAAACTTGAACGTCGATACCAGGCTCTAAAATGGCTGAAATAAGCAATCTTCGACCTATTCTTGACCACATCGTCATTCTGGTCTCCTACCAAACCCTTCAGGAACTTCCTAAACGCCTAGAAAAGGTGCTCACTGTAATTGACGGCGGCACCCACGCGGACGGCCGTACTGTCAACAAACTCATTGAATTCTCCGATGGAGTCTACATCGAGCTCATCGCATTTCAAGATGGCCTAGATCCCGAGAAGCGCAAGACGCACAGGTGGGGAGAGCAGGAAGAGAACACAGTGATTGACTGGGCGTACACTCTCCCTCAAGAAAAGGACTTCGCGGTGATTCAGCAACGTGTCAAAGAATCCAACTCTGAGGTGGCCTACCACGATCCTGTCGCTGGGGGCCGTATCAGACCTGATGGTGTTGAATTGAAGTGGTCTGTTGCTTCAGCCCACGCCACTACCGGCGAGGCTCTGGATCCTGGAAAGGCACCTTTTTGGTGCCTCGATCGCACGCCGAGACATCTCCGAGTTCCGTACAAGGAGGAGGATGGATCTTCACCTTCTTACACAAAACATCCATCTGGAGCAATTGGTGTCTCTAGCGTTTCGATTTCAGTACCTGAAGCAGAGCGGGATATTGTTGGCAGGGTTTACAACGGCATTCATGGATTATCTACAGATGAAGGGGCCTGGCCATTTGTTGTTCACTCTGGGTCAACGGAAGGAAAGCATCAGATCACATTGAGCACCAGCCAGGATCAACAGCGGCAGATTCATCTTGCGCTTCTTGGTAACGAGAACAGTCCCAGTAGCATCGATATCCTACCTGGACTGAAGTTTAGCTTTGAGCGTTAGAGCATCTTCCATACAAGCTGTATTTCTTCAGTAATTCCAAGTGGCTTTTCTTCCATCTCATCAATTGTGATGTGAGAATGAGGGGCACTTCGCTTGTTAGATCCTAAGGAATCGAATGTGGATCCGAAAGACTCCGCACACCATTTGACTGCCTCGTGATGCATGGCAAGTATAGCCGATGGGAGCCAAGACTACGGGACATTATCGATGTACAGACACTAGAATTCGCGTCGACATTTGTGGTCTTGATATTTAAAATTGCGGAGAGACTGTTGAGATAGTTACCCATGACGGCATGATGATGTCAGTGTGAAACAGTGGAAGAATAGGTAATCATCAACGTCACCACTAAAGCCTCGACAACAAAACATCAAATTCTATATTCTTTGCATCTTCACTTCACATCCACGTTCACGCATAAAATCTCCAAGCTCTATTGTAAGTCATTGACTCGGGCTTAGTCTAGGCCATCTCACACACCAACTCCCTACTGACTCGTCACCACAGATCCAGCACATCACCTCCCAATCCAGACAAGATGGTTCACAACATCCAAACGTAAATTCACCGGCGATCTTTGAAGACACTACCGACCAGTTACTGATTTTGGCTTAGCAAGCAAGACTTCCAAGACGCTCTGAAGCAGTACCCAGTCGTCGTTGTGGACTTCTACTCTACCCACAGTGCTGAGTCTAAGCACATTGCTGCTACGTTCGCACAGTAAGTCTCCCAGGATTCTCAAAGGGTCCGTCAGCTGATTTGAATAGCGCCAATGAGTTGGATAAGTACAAGGACTTTCGATTTCTCAAGGTTGATATCGGTGACCTGAAGGACCTGGCGAATGAGCTCGGCGTTTCGAAGCCAGCTACCTTCCAAATGTACAAGAACGGACAGAAGATCAACGATCTGCAGAGCGATCAGACAGAAGACCTTATGCAATTTCTCGAGACCGGGCTGTAGTATTTAATTTTATAATAGTTCATAAGCCGAGATTCACATCACCACCCAAGGGTTGTGCCGTGACAGTGTTGGTAGAGAATTCAATCAGTGTCATCTTTGTCGAGACACCAAACAATATTCATTCTGCTTCTAACGTAGCCAGTGCGCCTCCATGTTCCCGTTTGATTAGGTTGGATCAGAAGAGTCTAGTTTTTTTACCCTTTTGTCGCAGTAAGCAAATAAGCCCATCAAAAGTTTGTTTTAATACCGCGCAGTTCAGCTTTAAATTATCAGGATTGATAGCAGGCACCATTGTTGTCCGCTGCCATTTCCCTTATACATCTATAAAAACATTAGCAATCCGTGAGACAACATCATATATATCATGCGTCACGTTTGAAGTATACGGGAAATTTTGTTTGTCTTGACGAGAATTAAGGGCTTGTACGATACATGCTAAAGCTCGGCATTCAGCTGACGCCCAGATGATCTCAAAACGAGGCTGAGGACGCAACCAACAATGAAATGTCAGCAGATCGATTATGCAGGGAAGAATCAGCCTGGTATACATTACCCCGCTTCACAGGTTCGCGTTACGAGCAAAGCCTTTTTCAACTAAGCATTTTCTTTTTGATCTAAGTTACCAAACTTACATGTACACTATCACCATGAATGAGGTTCTCGAAGTTTTTGCGAAATTGCTTAACAGAGAAAGACAGCGCTTTATTAACGTAGAGACGATACAGCTTCATACTTTTTCTGCTGGTGATGTTCGACTTGGTGCTCGCTTCGAATACGCGACGCTGTCGCACACATGGGGTCAACATGAGGCGACATATCAAGAATGGGATGATGCCCAGACTCGTCAATCAGATGGTATAAAGAAGATCCGAGATGCCTGCAAGGTGGTGAAAGAATCCTTGGGGCTTCAGTGGCTTTGGATCGATACCTGTTGCATCAACAAAGCCGACGAAGACGAGGTCTACCAAGCTGTCAATAAAACGTTCTCGTTGTATCAGGGCTCTACGGTTTGCCTGGCTTACCTTAGTGATGTTCCCACGGCCAATACTGACAACAACGAATTACTATCGTCTCAAGTCCGCAACAGCCGCTGGTTCACTCGAGGATGGACTCTTCCAGAGCTATTAGCACCAAAGCAGTTGATCTTCTATGCCGCTGACTGGACTGTCTTGGGACAGAGGGACGATTCTCTGGCAGAACTGATAAGTGAGGTTACCAACATCGACCAAGCATACCTTTCAGGGCGGAGGGATGTGCAACAAGCCTCAGTTAGTAAGAGAATGTCCTGGATGTCAAACAGAAGGACAACTAGAGCCGAGGATATGGTATATTGCATGCTTGGTATCCTGGATATCGAAATGGATATACACTATGGAGAAGGTAAAGGAGAAGCCATGGGTCGCCTCATAGAGGAGATAGAGCAAAAGGCGAGGGATAAAAAGGATTCCCCGAAACCACCTCCCCTAGACCCTGAGCAGGGTCGAAGTTACATGATCAATGTCAAAGCGGGCCCCCCACCCGCCCGTGATTGGTATCGTCCAGAGCTTGGGCCGTCAGCTGATAGACATATCACTACTAATACTAGTCAGTATAACGGAGGTAGTGATGAGAGTCCATCGGTCTCGATGTTTGACTTCAGTATTCAGAGTGGTGGAACACAACCTTCGACCGTGCCAACGTCGGCTCCTTTGGTGCCACCACGTGTATCTGGAACCGCACAAAAAGCTGATCTTTCCCCTGTGGAAAAGCACAAGCCTCCTTCAGATTGTCTTGATGACTTGGAGGATCTGTCAATTCTGATAGGGCAACATACCGGAGTGCATGAAGAGTCGGATACAGCCACTATATACTCCATAGAGACCCTCGCTGATGATCCAAAACTACACTACTTCCAGGTGTTCGTGGACCAGCTCGCTGAGGATGTGAGAACTGGGGCGGAAGGCATGGTACTGAAGGATCTTGGGCCAGATAACCTTGATCATGCATTGAAGGAATTTGCCTGGAAGCTTTATGAAGAATCATCCAATCCATTCCAGCTTGAAACATCAGTCATTATCCATCGAAAACGGAGGTATGTTGACTGAAGCTTTATGTGCTATATGCAGTTCTGACAGACAAGCAGGAATGTTGTTGATCTTCTTGATTTTGAGTATCCACAGTTTGAGATATCGGAGAGTGAGTCAGAACAGAGCTCGGCAGAGTCTGACGTAGGAGATGATGGCTTTTTGACCGAAGTTCCTTTCAGAAAGGCCGAGGAAACGATCGTTGCCTGGATAGGCGACATCAATCCTGATCCTGCATCAACTACAGATCTTTCTCAGATGCCTCAGTACAGACAATTCATCCAAGAATCCAGTGCCTACCGGTGGCTCTTAACTAAGCTTAAACAGCACAATCGGTTAACATGCGAGAAGCCTAACATCATGGATGAGATTGGAGTGGTTATAAGGAACAGACTCAAGAATACGGAATCACTACGCAAAATGAGCAGAAACAGAGCACCAGTTCCAGTTGAGATGACTTACACTGTAAACTGGAACCTGCTCGGATTCATGCGAGATCGCGGCATTCCGTCTCCTTTCGCACCGGCTCTACCTAATATCCTGTGCTTAACGGGCACTTGGGACGAAGTCCAGGCCACGTCTGTTATTGAGTACATGGATCAGACATGGCCACAGTCTGGCAAAGCCCTCATCGCCTTGTTGCAAACGCTATTGTCAGCTTTGGAAGAGGAAGGTGTGTTGTGTCATGAGTTGTGGAGATGCTTCGATTGTGTGTGTCTGACTTCTTCTAGATGAGACCGGCGCAATGTCCGGGCATGCTTTCAATCTCGGAAATCTTGAAGTTAGGTACAATCGTCCGTCACTGTATATTAAAGTAACTGGCGGTCAGTACCTTGTTTCGGAGGTTGGAGAACAGATTGCATGGCTGGTGTCGGCTCTACAAGTTGTACCAGGAAGTCCCGACAGCTTCACCATGAGCTTTCCTGGTATCCTAGACCTTGCTGTACACAGCCCCTCACGCAAAGGGAAAAGAGTGGGAAATATCAGAGCCAGTTGTACCTTCGGAGTCGACTGGAGGCAGCCGACCGTTGAAAACGTCCCTCTTGGAGGGTGCTGGAGACAACTATTCGGTTTACCTGTTATTGTCCATGGCTACCCCATTCTGCGCCGATCAGTACCCAAGTCCGGTCTTGAGATTTCCCTGAAACTTGTGGCATCGATTATGGGATCAAATCAGGTGGTTCAATTAGATAACAGACTGTTGATCAAAGGGTTCAATATGCTCATGATTGCCACTTTGGTGGCTGCCGATATCATGGTGTGGCATCTCTTTATCAGTGAGAAGGGAGGACAGCGAATCTCATACATGGACTCGAGGCTCGACGAACTCAATGCAATGCCTTTCGATGAGGTTTCCCTCCATCATATACCGGGGAAACGCCATATCGTAGGATGGTGTACTAAAGCAACAGACTGGTGTGGTCAGTATGATTTCTTAAGGGCTTATTATCGATAGCTAACAACTTCATAGGAAGTCCATCTACAAATCACAATATCAGACCTGCAGGTTTGCCCAGATCTCCTGCGTCCTTGAAGATAGACAAGTTATACATTGAAGGCGGAGCTACAGTTACTGGTGGTTTCATGATGGACATCAACAAAAAGGAGCAACCATTTTGGCTCCAACGAGAGAAGGACTATCCGGATCTACTAAACTGGGTCAAACTTCGACCTATCGTGTTCTACGATGTTGAGGAACGTCGTGCGTGGCTTGTTGATGGAGCCTCCGCCTTGCTTCATTTGGTTCGCATATCACTCCATCAGGATACCAATGATACCGAATCAGCCTACGACTGGGTTTACGATTCTGGCAGGCTTAAGGATAATTGGCCAGGTGTGGGAGGCCGCCAAGCAGCAGTCAACACTTTGAAGAACTGGGACAATCGCGCACTTGGCCTGCACATAATTGGAAAGCGTCCTGGTACAAATGGTGTACTTGTCCCAGAATACTCGACTTTTGAAGATCGTGTTAAGAAGATTCTTCACTCGATTGAGATCTTGATCGATCAGCAAGAGAAGGCTGCTTCACAGGATGGTTTCAAGATTTCCCAGACTTGGGACCCACGTCGAGACATTATCGGCTTCGAAATCATGGACGTCATAGGTCCCTCAGGTCCCATCTATTCACGAGTGCAGCGCATCAACTCATGGGGTCGCGGCTGGACTGACTTGGCACCCTCTATTGGACTCACCACCATCTTTGGCCGAGGTTTCGGAAACTTGATACAGGCAGATGAACCTAGTGAACTGTGTCCAAATTGGAGATTAGTCCCCAGTGGAAAGGACTTTCTTGTAGCTTCTGTGTCAACTATAAAGATGCTATACGAAAAACAGCTCCTCAAGCTAGAACCGGGTCGATCCGAAGACGAGATTGCCAAGAGGGTCACTATCGTAGCTGCCAAAGAGACGTCAAATCCGTGCAACTGCCTCAAACAACAAGGGAGCAATAGCAATCACCTATCCGTGGTCGAGTGTCACCACAAGCCTGTCCAATTCTTAACGAAGAGATGGTGGTTGTTGGGTGCCCTTCCCAATGGACTGGTGCCGGTACGCTTGGGATCACTACCTGTCAGAGGAGCAGTGATTCTTGGCCACACTGTTCTAGGTCTAAGCAGCAAGGATGCGTCAACGTCGAGACAGCCAGACGACGATGGGTCAGGATCTACAGCTACTGGCGGGTCTCTACAAGCTACAGGATCGAGTTCGGATGTGACTGAAATGACTGCGATTACAACTCCGAGTGTTGGGCCATCTAGCCAAGAAGCAAGTGGAGGTGGCCAGAGTTCCAATTCTGCGAGTAAGCAAATGGATGGGACGAGAAACAAGAGATGGTCGAGATTCAAGGATTGGGTGAAGAAATGAATGGACAGCGCTAGCAGAACTCTCTGGCAAACATTACTATTTCCTAGCTGTGCGGGATATACAGACAGTTTTTACTCGACTGAACGTCGGCAATCTGCCTGCCGATCTCTTGACGTTGGTTGCAGCGAGATTGTGAGCAAAACTTTGTTGTCAGCAAGGTTGATCTCTTTTAGTTTGGTTCGCGCATCATCAAGACGATCACTCGCTATGAACAGCGCTATGTTGCGAAATAATTAACCGCAAGGATGAGGTGGCGAGTTGGCCTGTATGAGATTGATAACTAACGTTCGTGCGTTGCAAAAGTGTCCGGTCCGAGCTTGCCTTGTTTAGTTGCAACATTCTTATGTGAAACGGATAATACATACGCAACAGTCATGCGACGGTTTTAATGCATGAATCGTCTGTGCTGCAACCTCTACCAAGTCATACTCTCCAACCCCGTTTCGCCTTGTTTCATGCACCAAAATAGTGTCAGCGTTAGGTTTCGAGAAATACAACCTGAGTCAGGTAAACCCGCGTCATAGCACCAAATGGCAAGTACAGTTGATCAATCATGTGTAATATCTATCATTACGATGTAAAATCTATGTCATGCCGTGAAGGCTTATGCATGGGCTTATTGTGAAGCCTTGAATGTGTATCATGTCCAAAGGTCGGGAGAATGCCCGTAGAAAAAAAGAAAAGCCAACACTGTTTGTGTGGTAATGAATGATGTCCTTTGCCAGAACCCAGGTCAACCAGCTGACCGGTTGGTCGTTACTCCAAAAACGCCTTTTTCTAAATGCCAATGCTATGTGCTGAATGTCTAATAGAACTGGGAAATAAAATTAGTAATTGTTGTAGTGAGTGGATGATGAGAGGCACTTACCAAGTTGAGGGCCCAGAGGAGGACAAAGAGGCCAAGCATGCGGATCTTGAGATTATTGGCCCAGGATGAAGTTGAAGGCAAATGTCGGGTAAACGGCGACAAAAGCACATTACCACCCATAAGAGGCTCGGCATCAGCCTTGGCCTCAATGTCGTACTGCTCTGCTTGCTCCTCGACGGCCCAGTCCATGGTCAACAGCTTGACCATGCCACCTGTAGCATCAGCCACGCGAGAGCTGAGCCAGAGGAAAATGGGAACAATAATGATCAGAGACCTCCAGCGGTCACAGAGAAGGGTGCCGTCGCCCTTGAAGATGTCGAGGAGGAGGAGACCCTTGGTGTCAGCCGCCAGAAGAATGTGGAATTGGAGGGTGAAGGTCTCCAGAGAGCAGCGACCGATCCAGGCGAAGGTACGGGAGTACCATGTGCGGGCGGCAGGGAACATGTTGCGAGCGGCGATAAAGCCCATGATGGGGATGAAGGAGAAGACGGGGTGGAGGGCGGTGTAGTCTTGCTTTTTCTCAGCAGAGCTTACGGCAACCCACCAGTACAAAGGCATAGAGAGAACACCAGCAATACCGGCCAGACCGTATGACTGAGTGAGGATCTTGTTGTAGATCTTGGTTCGGACAGAACAGACACCCATGATAATACCAACGTAGACAATCAAACCATCCAAGCCAAGGCGGAACTGCCACTCATGAAGATCCCACTCAATCTTGAAGACAATGTTCAATGCATCGAAGACCCACTGAAGAACAGGAGTCCACAACATAGCTCCGGGGCAGATAGCAGCTGAGATGGCAATCTTACCCATGAGAGCCCAGGTGTTGTCATTGTACTTCTGGCCAATAGCAAAAAGCGCATAGATGATGAGGAACCAGAAGCTGACGAGGGGAGCAAAGTAGTAGAACATGTAGTCGGTGTTCATGAAGAAGGGGAGAGCACAGCTGAGGAGGTTGAGACGGAGAAGCACGGCAGCGATTCGCTTGAAGGAGAAGTCCTTCTTGGAGCTGAAGAAAACACCATGGCCGAAACCAGTCTGGAAGAGATACGCAGCGACCAAGAGACGGATGCCGACGTAGATGTTGAGGTCTCTGGAAGCACCGGTCCAGTGATAGACGAGGATGAGAGCCTGCATCCAACCCTTCCACTCATCAGTCTGGTCACGAGATAAAGGCTTCGCGTCGTCAAGAGTCGCGGGGGCGGCAGTGGCAGCAGCTTGGGCGCCGGGCCGGGGTGGTGGAGGCTTGGACTTTGTCATGAAAGCCAAACCAATGATGACACAAATGGCGGAGAGAAGGTTGAAGTCGAACATGTTGTACTCCTTGGAACCCTTGGCAAACGACTGGGTCCGGTCGGCCCAATAGCAGGCGAGCAGGCCAGTGACGAAGGTAGCGACATCGAGGTTGAAGATAGCCCACTTGGGGGCCTCGCTGGATCGGAGGGCGATGATCTCGGTGATGGCAGCACCGCCAACGTAAAGGATACCGAGTGTCACGAGGATGATCTGGACGAGAGACTTCTCGCCGTAGTTAGTACAGCAAGTGCGGTCGTAAGGGTAGGACTTCTGCATGTCGAGCTTGGCGTTGCAGCGGAGGTTGAGAAGGATATGAGCCTTCATCTCCGCGACACTGTCAGTCACATGGAAGCCGTTCTCGTGGTCGCCGATGGCATCCTTCTGTTCGTACGACAGGGCAGGGAATGACCACATCATGGGAATACCAGACTCGACCTCCTGGGTCTTGAGGAACTCGTCGATGGCCTCAACCTCACCAGGCTGAGAAGCGATGCCAGTCTTGCGGTACTCGGGCAGCTCATCGTAGAAAGGCGGGGCAACAGGCGCGAAGAACATCTCTGTGCCAATTCCATCCCGAGGGTCCATGGGTCGGTTGCCGAAAGGCGCAAAGTCCTTGTGAGAGACAAGTTCGGAGACGTTGGCGAAGGCAGACTTGAACCTGGGGAGCGACTCCTCCTTCTCGAAGCGGGCGGCGAACCAGACTCCCATGCCCATAAAGGCCAGAGCAGGGCCCTTTTGCTCCTCGACGGGGACCTTGTCGAGTCTCTCTTGGCGGTAGAGGGCGAGTTCGTCGTGGGCGATGGCGCTGTCGTTGCCAAAGGGATCCCAGATTTCCTTGAGTCGGATGCCACCAAATACCTCGTCGTGGCTCTCGTGCTTCAGGCTCTTGGCCTGAACTTGCTCAGCCTTATCGCTGTCGAGCTGCAATTGAGTTAGTCATCGTGCTGGTAATATTGGAATAATTCGTCGTCGGTATAGGGACTCCGGTATCGCATCGCTGTAATAAAAATGTCATCAACTTACCAGACGAGCCATGCCATAAAAGACCTGTCGAGTCGTAGAATCGCCAACGAAGAGCATGTGTCGTCCCTCCATGCACTGCTCAATCTCCTCCTTCTTGTACTTGTGAATCATGCATCCAGGCGGCTGCCATGTGTTAAAAGGCGCCCTGCTTCCATTCTCTGCAGGTGTGTCGAGCCAGTTGCCGTCGTTGAGCAGGGCCTTGCAGCGATAGGGATCGTCGCCGAGCTGGAGCTGGTTGATGGCGATGCCCAGAATGACGACCAGCGTCAAGCCGAGGGCCAGCACCCGGCTAAGCGCAACACCAGAGAGTGGCATTGCTGCGCCCATTGTCACGGGTCGCGTGTGTATGTGTGTATGTTAAAAACGATTGAGTGATGGTTTGAGCCTAGCGAAGAGCGAATGTCGGGCGACAGAAAAAGGAAATGGACCACGTTTAACTCATCAGAACCTGTGGGATGAATTGGTACCGGTGAGGTATGTTGAGAAGCGAGAGACAGTTGTGGTTTGGAATGAAACAGCAGCACCAGCGATAAAGAAAAAACGCAGAACTAAGACAATAAACAACGGAAATAGTCAAGACAAGCGTAAGGAGGGACTTGCTTCACAGTTTACTTTCTGGAAGAAAAGGAAAAGATGGACGATGACCGACTGGAGTCTCAAAAGTTAAAACGGAGAAAATAAGAATAAACCCTTGCTACAGTACAGGTATTATTGATATGAGGTAACGGAACGCGTAACACTTGTTCACTCTCTGCGACAAGATGCAATTCTACAGGCCTGCAGCCGCCCTACGATACAGCCCCTGATCGGCGGAAACACTGGCATGACCCTCGCCTCGGAGGGGTGGGTTCCACAGAAGTGAGTCCGTCCAGCAATGGCCATGGCAGAGGGCAATGTCACCTCAGGGTTGCGTGGTGGAGACTGGCGACTGGCGACTGGAGACTGGAGTTTGGGAGTAAAGGGGATCAGCACAAGACAGCGCCAGCAGCGGCCAAAGAACGAAAAGAAACAACGTGCCAGACAAAAGGGAGAGTCTTGTGCTTAGAACCGGTAGTATGGAATGCCTCCCTTGGCTGGGCGTTGCCTCTTCGGTCTTCCAACACGTTGAAATCTATTTCGGTTGTCTTCTTTTTAAGCTTATTTGGGGTCTAGATCTCATTACCTGAACGCCAAGTCTTGTAAAGCGAACCACGATTTGGCTACTGAACGCATCGCACCAATGAACCACGCCACCTTCTCAGGTCTGCCACACTGTACACAAGCAAGTGACAAGTTTCCTCCCCCTTACGGAGTACTCCTCACAGAAGGCGGCGACCCTTGACGAATTAATATGTTAGCGGGGCCTGCTAAGAAGCTGGGGTGGCTTGCCTTTTGAGATTCTTGCCCACTCACGTTATCTATTGAGCTTCCCCTGTCTCGCAGATAAAATGCTGCTCAATTGGATGCGCAGTAACGGGAAAATTCCCTTCAATCTGCTCCATGGTCTATTCCCAATCGTTCCCTTTGTTCTCTCCGTTGCGCTGCAAAACGCTCACAACTTCAATCCCAATAACCCTTGACCCTCTCCTTCGCGGGTCAAGAAAAGCTTGAAATGTTTAAGGTTACAGAGGTCTCTAGCCCCAAACAAGGCAAGCTGCCGGGAATGCCTGTCGAGAATATTACGGGCGAGTGTCTCAATCTGTTGCGTCATTTGCGAAGAGCTTCGCGTGGAGCGGTTGCGGTGCCAGGGTGCTCACTCCGCTGTGTGCCCTGGCTTAGCCTGGGCGCTTCCCCTGTAATTCCTTCACCAATCCCTTGCATGAGGTGACCTGAGCCTGTTGGTTGTGTTTCCAAGCCTTTTTATCGTATTGTTTCTTAAAAACGGCTGCTAAGGAATTGGGTAATGCAACATCATTCAACGGTGAATATCGGGGGCATTGTCATCACTGCTCGCTCACTTCTGAGAATTTATGTCAAACTGACTGACAATTTCTCGAGCGCCTGCATCCCAATCTCTCTCTTTCTGTCCTGAAACAGGCCTCTCCACTTTTGCCGCTTCTTGTGTGGTGCAGTTTCTTTCCGCCGATCGTGCGACAAGCAGGTTTTCGCCCTCAGACCACAGCGCAAAAACTTGGTGATCACAGAAATAAATGGAGAAGGCAAGATGAAGCGTTGCGCAAGCTTAATCTCCCAGAGTCTCCATCGCAAGCACTGAGAGCGCAGTAAAAGATTGGGGTGCCAGTGGGGTTTTAAAGTAATTAATTGCGATTGACGACCCGGTTAGGGAGCTACGGAGTACTGGGGGAGAAGGAAAACGGTTTCTTTTCCGCGTTAAGCTTTACCTTGGCGCCTGCTGCGCAAAGCTTGGCGATATAGAGTTTTCCTCGCAGTGCTTTTGATGTGAACCGCTGTAATTGAATAACGGCTTCTTGATTGACGTGTAACTGCCGCGATTAGCGTGGGATCAGTGCTGACCACCCAACCACCTCCTTCTCGTCGACTGCCGGTAGGATCAGCGCTTCTAGAGAGGATGGTGTCCAACAGCGGGACCAGGATGTCGTCCTACGAGACCATCGTCATTTTGTTTGCGGGCCCTAGTCTCGGTTGCACTGGAGGAATCACACAATCATGGTCGGACGGAGTAGAGGGGATGAATTGGGAAGATAATCGGCATTCGGTGACGATGGTCTGTTATAAATTTCGGCAGTTTTGATGAGGCTGGGGATCAAGCTTTCATCAAGCGAAACCATGCAAGATATTGCCCGAAGCTCAGAACCATTTCAAGTCGACCAGGCTACAGAGTTCGTTCCGTTGCTGTTACTCTGATTGCTTATCTGAATTAAAATGGTTGATTCTACCACTTTTCGTGACTCGACCCCAAAATCCCTAATAAGGGTGATCATGGCTAACTACTGAACAATTGTATTTGCTTCTGGATCAACGGAGTGTGTGCTAACAACGGACACAAACAGGACAACATATAAGAAAAACTCCCGGTTGTCCCATCGTGAGGCACTAAATATTTTTCCAATGCGAGGAGACGCTCTAAAGTCGCCCAGCAACTGAAAGCTGCGTGCAAAAATGATCATCGATCTTACTACAGGGTAGCTTATCAGCTACTCCACTGTCGCTACGTCACCTTGAAATGTATAATTTTACTGCCCACTCTATAAGTAACTGGGGCCTCTTTTCAATATATTCACAGGTCCAATTGAAAGGGAGACACCCGACTAGAGAGCCCCTAATCTATTAGGCACTCATATAGTCAAGGTACAGAAAAGTAGATCTAGCCATAATTGAATAGCCTCTACTTACTAATACAACGTACCGTAGTAAAGTTGTTTCTTGTAGGTATGCAGTAAGTCAAGGCCGTATTCCAGCTGTGTAATATTTACTGAATCAGTAAGAAAATATCTTTGAGTCTATGAGTGATATTTTCTGACTCTGTTAGAGAATGCCTTTAAGTCTAGAAGCCTTTAAATCGCGTTGAATGACAGTACTGGAATGAATGCTAAGACAATCCGTGATACTAAGGGAGACCCTTAGTCAGTACCTTGCCTAAACTAACATGAGAATTTCTATCACGGTCAATAAACGGGAACCTAACTTGACTAAGGCAATCCTGAGGGGAAGCGATTGAGTCAAGTAAGTAAGAACACACGTGAAGGATTAAGAAAAATAGCCTACCTCTGCACTAGCGACACGTTCATTCAAGACTAATATCTGAGCTTGTTACATAAATGTAATGTTTACGTGGGTGTAATCTCCCTTGTAGAGGAATGATGGTTCAGCCACTCATTAAATCCATATTGGGATCTCACTTGTGTCGACTGTCAAGACAAGTTCAACAGATAAAGAGTAGATAAATATTTCTTTTAGCACCTCTGGTGCCAAGCTTCTCAGCCGGGAGGTAAGAAAAGGCCGACTACATTCATTTTATCAATTTGAAGTACATTATGTACAATGTGGTTCCAGCTATCCACCCTCCAGCTTGTTGCCTCTGCGGTCCTGCTGCCGGCCTCTCAAGCATTCAGCATTGTAACAACTAATGATGCAAACACTCTGGCCGCTGCGATTTTTGGCCAGGGCACAACCATTCTTGGTGCCACTTTCTCAGGCTCATCAGCTAGTTCCGGGACCTTTACCGATGGGCCTTTTGGTATCGGAAGCGGTGCGATACTCACCTCTGGCGCTGCCGACGGTGCTCTGCCCAACGGTGACCACTATGTCAACAACGGAGCATCTGGTTCGGCTGACTATTGCGGTCCAAGCACCTTCAATGCAGCGATATTGTCTGTCGACTTTTTCGTTGACCCAGCCTTTAACGGTGTCAGAGTTGAGCTCATTCTTGCGTCGGAAGAAGAAGGGTAAGATACAATATTGAGAGAGACAGGCAGGATTAATCATCTGATTGACAATATTTAGCGGTTCCGCTGACCCCGTTGGCATCTTTCTTGACGGCACGCAATATGCCTTCGACCCCGATGGGAACCGAATAACCGCGGTCACTCCTTATCTTGCGCAACCTCTTGTCATCACGCCGCCCAACAGTGTGACCTCATATCCCGGCTCAACGGCACCTTTCTGGATTGATATCCTCGCCTCCGGTGCTCATACCATGGTCATTGCTATTTGCGATCAAGGTGATGCGGAGTGGGACTCGGGGCTTCTGATAAAAGCTGAGGGCTGCGTTGATTGCGATAACGAGGTTCGCCTCGCCTATGTAACGACCACAACTACATTAGCGGCAGGCGAGGCGCCTTTCACGTCGACTACCACGGCTTCAGGAACTGTGTCTGGGACAATCAGGATCGGGGTATTAGCCGAGGAGACAACCACAACTACTGCCGAAGAGACAACCACTACAACTGCGGAGGAGACAACTACCACGACTGCAGAGGAGACAACCACTACTACTGCCGAAGAGACGACCACCACGACTGCGGAGGAGACAACCACCACGACTGCGGAGGAGACAACCACTACAACTGCAGAAGAGACGACTACCACAACAGCAGAGGATACAACCACTACTACTGCGGAGGAGACAACTACTACGACTGCAGAAGACACAACCACTACTATTGACGAAACCACAACTACTGTTCAAGAGCCCTCAACTGCGACAACCAACGACGAGCCCACAACTACCACTGCCCAAAGCCCTACCATAGATGGAACTACTGAAACATCAACAGTCACATCTTCTGAAGAACTGCTAGGTACTACTACAACAACTCTAGCGGCAAGTGATACAACGACAGCGTATTCCCTCACTGCCACCGAGTCAATGTCCGATACTACCACAACGGCCCAGGACTCTTCCATTGAGAGTACAACGGGTCAAGAGACGATCAGTTCGTCCAATGCCCTTACCGATGGTACAACTACCTCCTCTGATGATATTGAAACGCCCTCCATTAGTTCAGCAGCCTTAATTTCTACTGATGAACTCCCTGGGAGCTTGAGCAGTGGCATTTCAACCCTGGATACTACAGGTATGTTTTAAGCCCAGACAATTACAGACCATCTATTAGCCCCCTCTGCCATCACAGGCTTTGCCCGGAGGCCATCCAAACATCAACAAATGTAAAGATCTCAGTACTGATATTGAATCAAGTCTCGAGTCCTAGCACTACAAGGATAGTCGAGCCTTTGGAAACAACCACGGTCCAACAGACTGAGTCGACTGACATAGTCACTCCCTCCTCCACAGGGTCCAGAGAAGTAACAAGCTCGGCCGATGGTAAGTCTGCTACATCCATAGAGACATAAGCTCAATGTACTCTTCGTCATCGTTCAATATACACTGTCTAACTATCTATTCTACTAGCCGTTACTTTAACTACAGAGGATATGACAAGTACAGCAGCATCGACAATTGCCACCGCGTCTGTTATGCCGTCTAACCTAGCCGCGATTGGGACATTTAGGTTCCAAGGCTGTCTAGGATCTCCAGATGGCTATCCCAGCTTTGAATTAATCGGTGAAACGCCCGAAATGACCACAGAGGAATGTGTGAGACTCGGAACCGGGCGTGCTTATATCGGTATCTACTTAAGGTAACTTCCTGCTACAACAACCAACTATACATAACTCAACTCACCGTTTTTAGATCCTGCTATGCAGCGGATACGTTAGACTCTGCCGACCTAATACCGAATGGTCGTTGTGATTTACCATGTCCTGGTGACCTAGGCCTCTTCTGTGGCGGAATAATCGACACGGGCTCAAACCTTGAATCACGCTTCAAGTCTCGCCGACGTCTCAGCCGTCGAGATGCTCCGCCAAGTATTCTACTTACCTTATACGCGAATATCAACGCCGCTTCTGCTTCTCTAGCGACTTCGGATGTTCCCAGTACTGTCGACGCGACGACAGACAACTCTCTCATTCCTACATTCAACCCTACCATTCCTGTTTATCCATCTTTAAGCACACAATCTTTTATACAATCTTTCATTAACTCCGCTATCCCCATCGAGCCTTCAGTTTCTATCACTCAGTCACAAGGGGGACGACCCATTATTCCTCCATTTCCAACAACTGCCCCTTTCAATGCTGGAAACTTCACGAGGACTGAAGCTATCGCGCCTATAGTTACTACTATAACATATACGGCCGTTGACCCTAATAACCCATCATTTTTAACCGTCACTGAGTTTTGTACCACCTTGAGGCCTCCTCCCTGCCGTCAATGCCAGTATCAGAAACCACCAACAGTGGAGATAACAACCATCAAAGTTGACTGCAATGGTTGTGGCCACTACGGCGAGAACACAATCATTCTAGAAGTTCCAGCGGGTGCAGTCATGGCAGCTCCGACACGGGGTCACTCTGATCACGAACCTCATCAAGTGCCATATCCAGCGGGTGCAGTCGTAGCAGCTCCGACAAGGGGCCACTCCGCTCACGAATCTCACCAGGTGTCATATCATGAGGCTGAGCCTGAGCCTGAGCCTAAGCCCGATGGACAGAAACCTCGCCCTTATGAGGGAGACCCTCATACTGGGCAAAAGCCCCGACCTCAAAAGGCTTCGCCCGCCGCTGGCGACAAATCATATAATGTCGACCAAGGGTATAAGTTTGCTCAACCTCAGGCACACGAAGTCAGACCAACTGGCGCTGGGGACAGTCATGAAGAAGCCGAGCCAGCTGCAGTTCCCAGTACTGAACCAGAGCTTAAACCGGTGGGAGGAGATGACAAACCTGAGCCTCCCAAGCCAACACTCCAACGCAGGCCAGGTCTAGGTCCAGTTTCTCCACATCGGCCACTAAGTACTCCTATTGTGGTGGTCTCAGGGGCAATAGCAAGAGCGTGGGAGGGGGTGTTGATAACTGTCTTTCTTACGACTGGACTTGTTTTTCTTTTGTAAAGACATAAAGATTTAACCGAGTTGCTAAGACTAGCCATTATTCTCTTTTTATTCTTTTTATTATTATATCCCTAACTTTTATTCATTTCGTAAGTACATTAACTTAGTTAAGCTTAGGAGGACTTAGTATTTTATAATAATTTAACTTTTTTACTTCTTTTGTACTTATTAAGACATTAATTAATAGAATCTCTATTCCTGTTACATAGCATTATTATGACTGGCATTTTGAGTTTATTTAGTTAGGGATTAGTACTTATAAGCTCTAGGTAATTATACAAGCTTCTAATTAAATACTTATTTGAATCCGGGGTGAGGTAAAGATGAACGCATAGGGCCACTTGGTGCGGTGATTCCGAGAAGGTATGACTTTATGAACATCCCAACTGTTTCATCTGTCGCAACGATTTCGATCCTAGGGTTGAGATCGGAAATTAACCAATGTACCAAGGTACCTAGCCGCCAATACGACTAGTACACGTACTTCCCTCGAAAATCGAGTACAGTGTAACCTGACTGGCACTGCTCGTCAGTTCCGGCTCAGCTTCTAGGTGTGATAAGCAGCTGGTAATTACATTTTCCACCAACAAACACACTGTCCAATATGTCATACTGACAAAGGTGAGGATCTGATTTTAATGAATGACGGAAACACGTTCCAAGAAGCCGCTCAGTCTTTGGACACACACATACTTCTGGGACGAAGGAGTTTCGGAGAAGTTCCGAGCGTGTACATCATCGGATTGCTGTTGACAATAACGCCCCTGGTATCACGCGACCAGAACGCCATGTACATATCTAGTAGGGAATACATCCGATCAGCAGTGAATGCCACTCTTGTCATCATGAAATTGGACATGCTTGTTCTGGAGATGCGGCAGAGTGAACTGAGAGATTACATACGGGTAACAATGTAATAGTTAACCATGAACGAAATGAGGAGCCATGCAAGAATACCGATTCGGCATGAGGGTGATGATAAGAAATCAACAAGCAACTCGGGTTGGGTTGGTAATGCAATGCAACCAATAGTCCCTAGCTTGTGGACAAGCTATCTGGATGAGTAAGAGAGTCTTTCCCCAATCGAACATATCCCCGCGTTTAGATAATAGTTAATTTACTGTGCCCACGCTTATGCATTACCGGATGTATTGTCCAAGCTGTGCATGGATTGTCTTATTTTCAGCTGTCGATGTGATTAAAAGGAGTACAACTTGTTGTACAAGGAAAGAACTATATCGTGGATGGGTTATTTGTGATTGTTTGTATAACCGTGAACTTCTTCAACGTACGACATATCTGACCGACGTTCGAGATTACCTACAAGTGTCTCGCAATCTCACTCGATACAAGGCAGCCAGCGTCTGTTGCTTCCTGCTGAGTGTAAGATGTTGGATGTCGCCTGGCAAAAGTCAGCTGCACAACTATAAGCCGCATATTCATACAAGCTTTTGTATAGGACCCTTCTTTCATGCATGGTCAACAAGCGAATGCACAATATCAGAGCAACGTACCATTCCAATTCAAACAGTTGCAGACAACCTACCTTCACACCTCAGTGTTCATAATTATGCATAACGGGAAATACCACCCCCTGTCCTGTCAAATCCTTCTGCCAACTTGCCTGCCCGTTTCGTCACATCAATCGTCATAATCCCTCAAGCGCGAATTAAATCACTGCCCTAACCAGCACACATGCAACTCCGTTGAAGTTTTCCTCGTGAAAGCCGCGGCCTACGATGCCGCAACCCTTGTCGACCATGGCCGTTAGTGAAGATCCACACCGCAATGAATTGAAGATTGCCAAGTTAGATCAGCCACTTAAACAAAAGGTCCGTGGTTTTCCTGGAGATTTCCCCATGGGGAGGTGGATTCATCTACGTTGGCCGTCGACCGCACGGCGTTGAGTTCCTCTTTGAGGATAGGTGCGGGGACAGAGGTTGGGATTACACGAGACCACCACCTTCAGCCTTCCGACAGAGGACAAAGACACAGCAAAAAACTGGCATGTGAAGTGTCAGTAGGGCAGTATAATAAGAGCAGGCGCTTCCTGAGACGTAAAGTGTTTCTTCTTGGCAGATCTTGCAGTCCCAATTGACCAATCGATTACTCGTTGTATCAAGCTCTCTGACAATATGCGTCTCAGCCTTCTCCCCTTGATCGCCCTCGCTGGCTGTGCTATCGCATCTGGAGATACTATCTCATCAGCCATAGACAGCATCTCCAATGCCACGCTTGCTCTGAACCATTCTGTCGCAATCTGGCCTCAGACTCTCATCGGCGCCCTGCCCATCACCACAAAGTCGACGCTACTTCTCACCGAGATCCACAAGGGAACTCTGATCGCTCGCAAGTCTGAGGCTCTATCTGTCGAGGAGACTCTCCAAGTCGCCAAGGCCACTTCCGAGTTGAGCCACGACGTCGAGCTCACCATCGACACCATCATCAACACCAAGCCCAAATTCGACAGACTTGGGGTCAGCCCCGTCATCCTCCTCAACCTCGAGCTACAGCGCGCGCTAAGCGCCGACTTCTCCGAAGCTGTCATCTCCAAAGTCCCCAAGAACCTACAAGGGAACGCAAAAGCGCTAGTGCAAGGAATTGACGAGAGCTTTGCTAGAGCTATCAAGAAATACAAGACACTACGGGGATAAACGGGGAAACGAGGGACGAGTTATGAGTGATAGACCGCGACGACAATAATTTACCTTTCTTGGGCAGCAGCACTTAGCAGAGATTTTAATTTTACGTGGAGAGTCGAGTTGATTAATAGAACATAATTGATCTGTCATTTTGCGGGAATTTGTTTATTTCCTGTTAAGGAAGCTGGATAGCCTTGCCGAGGCAGGGGAGTTATTAAACACGTGAGGATGAAGTGAGGAGAAGCGGACCAACCATTAACTAACTAACTGTCAACCAACGGCCACTTTTCCTATCAGGGCAAATGATGCGTGCAATACTAGACTCGGAAGGAATGCAATGGCCGACCTGATCCTAGCATCCAAAGTAAAATTATGCATGTTATTGTGCAATATTACTCTATGTGTGAGTATTTATCAATGTCATGTGTGACTGCACGTAGAGCTATTAATTGGGGCCAAGTCACTTTAGATTAGTGGTTCAGAGTATGGTGGCTTTAGTTGTGAACGGTGCATAACTGGCACGTAAGTTAAAAGCAAATGTGCAGCCGACAAGTTCACACCTGTGAAGCATTAAAGCGAAGGAAGACTATATGTCTCAGCTTTATCGGTGAAACTTATACTGGCTCATCTGGTGTATTTTACAATACTCAGACACAAGATGCCATTTTAGCACCATCTTGCAAATTGATCCGTTAAAAACAGCGTTGAAAAACCTGAGTACGGCCTTCGCTACTCGCAGTCTTTGTGGGCTGTGGGCATCCCTAAGAGTGCAGCTGTGGAGCTTGAGAAGGATTGAGCCTGCTTTTCGCCAAATGCAGTATTGCTCATTATCGTCGCCTGTAGTTTTACTATTGAATCTTACCATCAAGTAGATAGAAAGGGAAAGAGAACTAACAGGGCTACTAAAAACTAGTAGTAGGACTTGCAGTAATCATTACCATGATAGTCGGTTAATAATAGAGTGAAGTAATAATTGTATTTTTCTTCAATGTTGGCATTAAATATTACATCGTTGTCCTTCTGATGTAAGCTTTGACAGGTATTAGAGTCTGGGCCTCGTCTGATGAGGGCATTGGAATATAATGTCAAGTGTGAAACAGTGGCATTTCCGTTTTCAAATACTCTGCTCTAAAAGAATACATCAGCACGAAGAAGGCATACTAGGAAGCTGCAAAAAGCAAAAGCTACTCACTTCACTCTTAGTCTGCAATGGACCACATGACTGTTTTATTGCTTTATGTGAATCCCTTTCCACGGTCTCGCAATATGTGTTAATAACAGAAACGCCGCTTTGATTTTCCACCGAAAAGGTCTAGACCCAAGGTTGGTAATGGTTTCAAGCCACCAACTTCATTCCCACGGCGTCGGGTTCGTCCCCGTAGAACTTACGCCAACTCAAGTCAGATTAAGGTAGGTATACACGCAGCTAGTGTTCAGCTTTAGGGGCAGTCGTTCAGCCCTGTGGTGAGCATCCTATCAGCTTGTCAGAAAATTTCCAACAGTGTGGTAGCGGCCAGGTAGAATAAAGAGCTATTGAACTTTTACAAGAAAGATCCTTGTAGAGGATCAGGTTTCATCACGATCAATCACAAAGAAAAGTATGGGGTAATGGTCTAGATCTCTTATAAACCTGCGGATTGTTGGGGAACTCCGTTTTTTGAAGGAGATTGACGTATTGCCCCTGTCAAAACGGCTTTTTAGTAATGGGGATCGAGCCCTGCGGCTGAATTATAGTTTAATACTTGGCGTCCTACTTCAGGCACAGGACAAAGCCATCCAACGGCATGTTCCGCTTAACCCTCTCCCTTTAGGAAAAAGACACTCGGCTTCGCGATGAGCCGGTTATTAGGGCTGCGGTGGTGAGGCACGGTGAGGCATTGAGCGTTCATCTCCAAATTGAGGCGCCTTCTATACCGCCACGGCCCCTAGTTGATGAATGGTATATTTGAGGGGTTTGTGGCACTCAACATTCAGCCCTGGAGGCGTGGATAGAAAGAGAGCTAATAATCTCCGAGTATTGATGAGCTGCGGCCTTCCTTCTAGCAGTCAAGATATTGAACTGACCGTCGCTAGACTGTCGACCCTTCATGACATACCTATTTCGGGTTCCTGAATGCTCTGCAAAGTAAAGGAACTGATACCTCTCATCGAGGAGCGACTTTCAACCTTGGTTGACTATGGGTCTAATTTCACTTGAGGAGAGTGGTGCCCAACGCCCTCTCGTCAATGTTGGATCATAACTTTTGTCCGTGAGCACCTATCAGCAGCTCATCCCCCACACCATAGCTGAGCTGGCCCAAGCACTATTTGACGCCATTTCTCGCGCCTCATATCACCTTAGCTGTAAGCTTGCCATTTCAAGTAGCAGCAAGCGAGCTTTTGACTTTAGTGTCTGCATCCGAGGACGAGACCTTGGGTCTTTGCTTTTCTTACCGGGATGGCAGTTCTAAAGCGATTCTGTGCTATCTCCAGTATATAAGCTCTCTCTTCCTACAGATGTATCCATAGCTTGAAACCTTCTTATCACTGAACTTTTCACACAACCATACCTCTATCGTCTCTTCCCATCACCAATCATGAAGCTCAGCCTGACACTTGCAGGCCTGGTTGGCCTTGCCGTTGCTTCTCCTTTCACGGAGCATGATACGTCCAATGGTCTACTGCGTAAGTACAACCATGTAACTCTTATCCAACAGTACGACTAACTGCAGATGAAGCCCGAGGCGGGAAGTGCAACTGGCATGACAAGCACTGCTGCGCCTACCCAGACAGGTACAAGACAGCTCCATACGAACCCGAACACAAGAATTACTACGGTTATGGTCGTACAATCTACGTCAAGCCAAACAGCAAGTTCAAGATCCAAGATGCCATCAAGAAGGCTTCTCCTGGTGATCGCATCGTGGTCGCGGCCGGCACGTACAACGAGCAGCTGGTCATCAACAAGGATGGCATTCACCTCGAGGGCCATGGTGCCATTCTTGCGCCTACGACATACAAGAAGAACGCCTGTACAGGTCTGGTTCAAGACCCCCAGAAGAAAGACCTGGATGCGGGTATTTGTATCACGGGACACAAAGTCAAGACCACTGAGTTTATTACCGAGCACAAGAAGGTCATTTCCGTCGAGAGATTCGTGAAGGGGGTGTCTGTCAGTGGATTCACTTTCCAGGGCTCTACTGGTATCAACATCGCCATCCAGGGCGCGAAGAACACTCGTATCAGTGGGAATACTCTTATCGATGCTGGAGCCTACGGAGCTCTTACCATCGGCTCTGTCAATACCGTCTTCTATGACAACAAAGTCACGACAACCAAGGGAGGCTTCATTGGTATTTGTCAGGACAACAAATCCGATGTGTTTACTATCAAGAATGATGTCTCTGCTCACATCATCGGCATCTGTGTCCAGACCAATAGTGCGGTGGTAGAGCGAAACACACTCTACAGCAACTGCATCGGCATCTTTGTCGACCCTGGTGTGAAGGGTGCCAAGATTTCTCACAACACCATTGGACCCTCGCCATCTGCATGCGGAAACACTGGAGCTGGCATCATTATCGGCAGCGGAATCGGAACTCTGGTCAGCGATAACACTATCACGGGACAGCGTGCGGCTGATAAGTCAGGAGCGGGCATTCGAATCTACGATGACAAGTGTGTTGCTACCCCCGAGATGCCCATCTCGCTGGCTTGCATTACTCTTGGACGTGCAGTAAAGGCTAGAGACAACATTGTCATCCGGAACAAGCTGAGTGATAACGACAACGACATTAGCAATTTGAGCGAAGGCACTGGAAATGTCATCAAGTGCAATACTTGCACGAATGAAGCGAACATCAAGGCTGGACAATGCAAGAAGCCCTAGAGAAGCAGAGTTGTTTCAAGGAGGTTGTAATGTCTTGAGGCAGGCGAAGTGTTAAGGAAATACGGATAGGTCTTATTATCAGGGGGCTCGTTTGGATTTGCTGCAATACCAATCTGCTAGTTTCCTTATTGAACTTGACTAGGAATTACTATCGCGTTTAAGAATTATTATCTCGAGGTATCAATATTACTGAAACGCGACGTTAAACCGAGCAACTTGTAGCATGTTTCTACGCGAACAATTAATAGTAACCAAAGTTTCTAAGGATAATCATCATCGTCTGACAGTATCTAAGTAACGTTCAAGCTTCGGAGCAGCTATAATGCTTTTCGTGAATTGATTTGTCCTAGATTTGATATTGCCTATGTGAATTACTCCCTGTGGACTTGAACCACTTCTCTTTCATTTTAAATGTTTTATTTTCAAGCTGGCTCGCATTCTCTCATACTATGTTTGACGTTTGTTTCGATGATGATCCTCATCCTACGAAGACAGGATACTTAAAGAGTCACAAACTTTCCTGAGCAGTCCGTGAGAGGAACCTATAAACTGTCGATGAATAAGACTATCAACTAGACTTTTCAAGAGCTACCCTATCGACGCGCGTCAAGTATTGCATCATGTCAAATCGACGATGTCGTAATGGGTCTAGCCGCGATTCATTGACGATTCATTTTGCGGCACGGCGATGGGGCTACTGTCGTATGCCAAGCCTTGGCCTTTCAGTTCTTGGCTTCAGCTGCGAAAATTCAGTGCGAAAAAAGAGGAAAAAAGAACCAAAGCCCAATGCGCTTGGAATGCATGCCAAGTCAATTCGAAAATACCAGTAGTTAAAATTGTAAACGTCACCATCATCATGTTGATATCGATTTGCCTGAAGTGATGGGTTTGTCTCGATGAAGAGTGCAAAAGGCAGATCTGCCAGCGCACCAGCCACACTCACTTTCCACACTCCATTTCCTCATCCTGGCTCAACGGTCAACTTCAAGGTTATCCAGAGCTTTAAAGTTAAACTGCATTATGAAGTGCCTTAGGGCCGTCCACTTTAGTGCACGTTTTAGTGCAGTGCGAGTTATTATGCCATTTTGGCAGCTTGCTTCATCTTGTTGAACAAACAGTCTGACATCAACCTGCTCACGACATTATCCCTGAGAAAACATAGCCGAGAGAATTTGATGACAGGGCACAGCAACAGCAATCTTATCACCGGAGCAAATGCAACGGCCCGTATCCGTGCGACTTTGCTGTTCACAATGAGCTAACCACTGAATCATTCACGTCTCACATGACCTATCAAACGCTAGAATGCCCGTGACAGCAGGTTTCAGAACGCTTGGCTAGGTGTCGATCCCATCTACGGAGTAATTCCCGTGTTATTAGCCAAAAGATTCCTTTACGAAAAAAAATCAAGCCACAGCCCATGCCACACGGCCGGGGGCTCCCTGGGCTTGCCAAGGATGTTGGTTGGATCACCACGGCACGAAACTGCCGGCCCGCAAGCCCACTCGGCATGAGACTGCCGTCCAAGGCGACGTTTCCTGGAAAAAAAGAGATTTGACAGACGCAATGACGTCGGAATGTGTGGCTTTACGTAGCGAAATCGCTGGTTTGCTGTAAGAAAACTGTGCCTGGTTAAGCATAATGTTATTGTTGCTGGGGAGCGGTTGGAAGCGTGTTTGAATGACGGCAGTGACGTCAATAGCATGATTGAATCGCGATGCGTTGCTGTCGCACAGATTTATAGAAGGACGAGGTTCCAGCCTCAATTGCTTGGACTGCCCAAGACAAGAACCAGCAAAGCTCCTTCACTGTCTAACAACTTTGGGTGTATAACCACTCAGTACGTGGTTGGCCTTTAATTCAGCCTTTTACACCATCTCCAATACCATCACTATCAACACCACACAACACCGTGGCCAATATGGGTCTCTTCCGCAAAGAAAAGACTCCTCACGGAGCGACACCCGCCACCACAAAGACCCGACACCAGAAGCCCGTTCACGATCCTCTGTCAATGTCGCGCCGCCCTTCTTTCGGCCAGTGGCTCAAGGCTACATGGCTCGACATTCTCACCATGGCTATTATGGGTGCCATCGGTCTCGGTGTAAGTTGCAGCGCAACCAAACATTCTTACTCTTTTCGCATTCTGACAATATTCTAGGTCTACTGGGCTAAGCCTGCACCTGCGCGATCCTTCCCTGTTACCTTCAGCGACGGCGAGATTGTCTGGCCCGAGTACGGATACCCTCTCCGCGGAGAGATTGTTCCCATCTGGGCTGCCGCTTTGTTGGCTGCTCTTGTTCCCATCTTCATCTTCCTCGTGATGCAGATCCGAGTCCGCAGCTTCTGGGATGTCAACAACGCCACCATCGGTCTTCTCTACGCCCTCATCACTGCCGCCGTCTTCCAGGTCTTTGTCAAGTGGCTCATCGGTGGTTTCCGACCTCACTTCCTTGCCGTCTGCAAGCCCGACATGCAGCGAGCTCGCACCATGGGAGGATACAACAACAAGGGATACCTCCAGCTCTACTACACCCCTGACATCTGCACTGGTGACAAGGCCGAGATCAACGATGCGCTTGAGTCCATGCCCAGCGGCCACACCACTGCCGCCTTTGCTGGCTTCGTCTACCTTTACCTGTACCTCAACGCCAAGCTCAAGGTCTTCTCCAACTACCACCCCGCCATGTGGAAGCTCATCGCCACCTACGCCCCCCTCCTCGGAGCCACTCTAATCGGTGGAGCTCTTACCATCGACAAGTACCACCACTTCCACGATGTCTTCGCCGGTGCTGTCATTGGTACCATCTTTGCCTTCTCTGCCTACCGCATGACCTACGCCGCTGTCTGGGATTGGCGCTACAACCACATTCCCCTCAACCGAGGCATTCCTTTCAACTACTCCATGGGCCAGGCCGAGCTCACTGATGCTGTTTTCACCCGCAAAGTTGGCTGGGGATCCCACGGTGGTAGCTCCTACGGCCATGGCCACCACGGCCACGGAATGAAGAGCGATGGATCTGAGCACATGCACGGTGCTGGATACAACAACGGTTCTATTCCTCGACGACCTGTTGGGGAGGGTGTTCGAGGTGAGCACATGGTTTAATGGTGTAATAGATGGTGAGATGTGTTTCGCAGGTTGACTTGCGAAACGGAGAGGTTATGACACTTGTGCTTTTGAATATCTTCATGATTCATGAACCTAATACCTTTACGGCTGAATAAAATATCTTATAATTCACATAGCTTAGATATGAACGTGATTAGACAATGCTGCCAGTGTATGTTGTCAAAGGTGTAAAGCGTGAAGTTACTTGCGCAAGCTTAAACAATCGCTATCTCAGCAAATTACCCAACATTTAATTACTATAAAGAAGAGCATTATTAATAGTTTGTAGGTGGATTCATGAAACCTGTGCAACTTTCACGCAAATTCACTGCCAAGCAATGCAATCAACATTGGGGTCGGGCTTGTCAAGAAATTATACTGATGGGCACATGTGCTAAGGTGATGACGCAGAAGCGAGGGTTGTTAGTTACCTCGACAAATCATTCGTGCCAAAGCCGTAGGCAAAATAGATAACGTTCAAGCCCCCCAAGATGCAACCTGAAATTCTAGATGTTCCAAATTTATCAACAATTTAATTGATGAGATATTACATCGCCTCTACATGGGCGGATATAGATAATTTCTTGCCCAGACTGGTTTGATGTATGTAAGGTATGTAGATACTTGATAAGATAACAGAACCGTAGATAAGATAACAAGCCCGATGTCGGTAAACCACCCGATCTTCGAATTTTCGCTCTACGCGTCTTAGGGAAAATCACGCGTAAGAGGCAGCATTGCTAATCGGTAAATAATTAGCATCGCTATTCCCCATTCCCGAGTCTCAGCAGCCGTCATGTCAGGTGATGCGAGTTTGCAAGATGTTTTACCCCAAGAGCTTATGGAGCTTCAGCTTGGTCAAATCGATCTCTTGATGGCCATGTATGCCTCCGATAATGCGATATCGATGGATCCTGGGTCTTCTGATTTACTATATGCACTCAAGTCTTGGTGTGAAGATGGCGGAGACTGTCCGCCGAAGCTCTCCCAACCAGTTATAAACCTCCAGCTCAGGCTTGATGTTGAAGACGACAACTCTTTAACCAGGACTCTGCAGCTCACATTGACAGTGCCGCTAGCGTACGAAAAAGGACAAACATTGATAGAGCCACCATCAATCAAGACCAGAATACAACAGCCGGACTGGATGAGCAAAGGAGATGTTGTCAGATTAAATACAGACATCCCCGATGAAGATATATTATCAGTCATTGAGCATATCAAAGAGTCCGCGTCACAGTACTTGTCAAGCCAAAAGCAAGCAGAAGAAGACAGCACCGCATGCAAAGACACATCCATAGTCCGCGTGTGGTTTTACTTCCCCTCCATCAGTACAAGAGCGAAGCGTGACGATTTCATAAACTACGCTCCTGGCTATGGTCTCACCGGCTTCCTTCTCGCCGGAAAGCCAGGCATTCTATGTCTGGAGGGAGGTTCAATAGCGATCGACGACTTTATGAAGTTTATCAAGACGGAAAGCTGGGGTGACATTCCCGCGCATCATAAAAAGGTTGGTGTAGCGTTGCGACCTACGTTGAAAAAAACTAACCGGGAGACTAGGTTAGCGAGCGGTATCGAGAAGAAGGAACGGACTTGCAGCGTGCTTTTACGGATATGCAGGAGATCACGGATATGATTGAGAAGAGGGGTGCGAGAGGAAACCGTGGTGACATGAAGGCTTTGGAGGCGTGGCTGGTTGAAAATGGACTTGGCGAAGCGTTTGGCAAGATTTTGATGTAGAACCTAGCGACTCAGAGTATTAACAGGTATTCGAAGAGAATCTAGCAGCGACTGCGCCTTGCTAGTGATCATGCAGCTTGCCCTCTGTCCTAGGATTGGAAACATCAGCATTCAAATTTGTTAAGCATGCACACTAGCAACTAGAGATGATATGAAATAAGTAAAAGATTGATATGCTGTGAGTAAAGAGAAACGGCTCTAATTCTAATGATAACCAACGCCGGCTCTGACATAAGAAACGTAGATAATCGACATAAATGAATCCATGCAACTGCTTCACCCGCTATTAAACACTCTCGGCATAGTCAGCCTCCTTAGCTGGCTTCTGCTTCTTGGTAAACAGCTTCTGTCCAACCTTATCCGTCATCTCATCCGCCTTTTCACCCAAGAAAGTCTTGAGGCAGCCATACACACCCGAGGTGAGCCAAAGGATGGAGTTGACAAGATCAATCCAGACCGCAGTCTTCATCGCGCCCGTGCTGGCACCCTTGTACTTGTCGTCGCTGCTTCGGCCGAGGAAGATCCCAGCAAAGATTCCGAATACCACGAGCCAGGTGATAAAGAGGATGAGATCCCAGGCAAATGCTCTGTAGGTCTTGAAGAGCTTAAGCTTGCTGCCGATAAGGGGAAGAGCGCCGAGAGGTGTAACGGCGACGAAGATCATGGATGTGGCGGCCGAGAGACCTGCGATGGTGAGGGCAAAGTACCACTCTGGCGAAAAGCCGTAGTCGCCGTCGCCGGCTTCGCTAACGCGATGGCCGTAGAAGCCACACGCGATGAGAGCAAAGATAAATTGGAGACCGCGACAGACGAGACGTGGGACCACTTCAAAGGTCTTGAGCCAAGTCTTGCCCATGGTCTTGCCGGTCTCCGTGCCCTCGTTGAAGGCATGGCGACCGGCTTGTCGGCCCATTTCCTTCTTATCGGCAGCGCGAAACTGGGAGGCGTGGCCTGCGAAGGTATTCGCGGTTTGACCGAGTTCGATGACGGTCTGACCGGCTTTGATTGCGTTGTTGAGTCTGCTCATTGTGGAGTTGTATTATTTGTATTAGGTGAATGCCCTGTTGTGGTTTGAAGGTGACCTGTGTGTATGCGCCGATGGATATCCTGGCGGGAGAAATGGCTCGGTAGATGCTGAAAGAATGAGAATTAACTGCCCAGCAGTGGAAAAAATGGAATGAAAGAGAGATGATGGTAAAGCGATAGTGTGATGGTTCAGAGAAGGAATAGAAGCAAACGCAGTCCGACAATCACGTCTTTATAAAATCCGTCTGTGATCAACACTGCCAAACAGCCGCTGGTGGGCTTCCTCACGACAAAAGATTACCAGCCAATCAAGCGAAAAACAGACAATGAAACAAGACATTTGCAGGCCCTTGACAAAGCGACCCAGCGTTTGGGAAATAGTCAAACGAGCCCCAATCGTTTGTGTGTTGTGTTGGCGCTGTTGTCAGGCGCTTAGCGAAACTGGACTGGGCCTTTGTTACGCGCCCGCCAAGGAGAGCCAATCGAGGCCTGTGCACTGAAACAGAAAGAAACAAGAATAGAACAATTGGAACAAACGCTTTTGAGTGAAGCGAATATTGACGCGCGTGAAAAAGAATGCCAAAAATAAATGCATTGGGTTGTTCTCATTGAGATGTTCGCGATGGGCACTGGTTGAGGCCTTTTGGACCAGTCTTTTCTCAGAATGGTTATATGTGAGATGTTGTATCATGCGATTTGTTCTGCCGTATCCTGTATTCTTCCTTCGGCATTCCTTCCACGATATGAATGGAGAACCCGAAAAACGCAACAGTGGATTGATCTTTTTGAGATAATCCCGCTTCTCCACAATCTCATCCCACCACTTTAATGGACTGACTAACGACATGAAGGCAAAGGAGTCGAAAACAAGCTTACTCTTGGGTTAGTAGAAATCCAATACTGACTTACGAATTGAACTCAACCATTCAACATCATCACTGTGCTTATGAGGCACAAACATGGTTAAGATGCGCACCAGCTACGACAGATCACGGTGGTTTGCCTCGTTGAGGTATCGCGCATCACATTCGCCAATTAAAACAACAGCAACGCCCCTCTCGTCGTACATGATAAATAAGCTAGTGTAGTCTTACTGACGTTACATATAAAGAGCACAGATGAACTCGTCTGAACCCCTCATTAACCTGTGAAGTTGTTATTTGCAACAACACCTCAACTCTATCGCACAAACCATCATCATGGGCGGCCCAATCGTAGTTATTGTGCCCGGCTCTTTCGGACCTGGCAAGCATTATCGCACCTTCACAGAGAGCCTGGAGAAGAATGCCATTGCCTCACGCGTTATAGAGACCCCCTCAGTGGGCAGAAAGGATCCCCTTCCGCCTCAGACCATGAGCGATGATGTCGCCGAGATCACAAAGGTTGTAACCGAACTTTTCGACGAGGGCAAAGAGGTTGTGCTTATGACACATTCATATGGAGGGATCCCCGGTACGCAGTGCCTAAAAGATCTATCTCGCAAAGCCCGCAAGGACCAGGGAAAAGAGGGAGGAATTGACAAGATTATCTATCTCGCGTCCGTGGTTTTGCAGCCTGGTGCAAGCAATTTTGATGCCTTCGGAGCTGCTATGCCTGATTTTGTCACCGTTACAGTAGGAGCACAGGCCTCTTGATGTAGAAACGCTTAGCTAACTTGACTTGTCTAGGATGACTATATGACACTCGACCCCAAAGGCCACGCCTCCAGCACCTTTTCAGATCTGCCTGCCGATGAAGCACTAGAATTGGCCAAGCAGATGCCAGACCACTCTACCCCAAGCTTCAAGGAGCCCTTGACCTATCCTGGGTACAACGATGTGGAGGTGCATTACATCGTGTGTGAGCAGGACAAGATTATTCCGCCCATGTATCAGCGCGGCATGATCGAAGCTGTTAAGATGTCGGCTGGAAAGGATGTCAAAGTGCACAGCTTGGACAGTGGACACGTGCCTGTCATTAGTCAACCTGACAACGTTTCCAAGATTGTAAAGAAGATCATAGACGGTTGATATATATCATTAATTATACAAAGTATTCAGATATCATGCTTATTGGTCAGTGTACCTCTATCGATCAAGGTCTTTGTTCAAGCGTTTTGGTGATTTCTATCCAACATCTAGACTATTGGTATCCATTAGATGATTCACGATGCTTGTATACCTCGATATGAACTTTGTGGTTCAATCTTTGGACTGATTTACACATTGGTTACTCGTGGTTGTTAATGCAGTTGACGGCATATCTTGAGTACATTTATTGTCTTCCCCACATTTTGTTAGAATTTCCCTCGATTGTTTGCCCGGATTGTGCATCGGCAACACCAACCGAACCGAACATTATCGTCGAGTCGGCGAAGGCAGAAATAAAGCAAAGCCAATTCAACAACATCAATCGATTGAAATGTGAGCATCCAACCGCAAATATAACCCAGTGCCGATATTAACAAATCCCAAGACTCAAAGCAAGTGAAGCCTCCACAATGCCTCGGAAGCGGGGTACATCGACGATAAGAAGCCCAGGCTCCAAACTTCGTGAGAAGGACAGAACCCAAAATGAAGGATCGAAAGAAACAAGAGGCTCGCTTTGGAGTAACGTCGCTCTGGCGATAGGAGTACTTGCCGTTGGTGCATTGATCCCAATAATTCTTGGTCTCCTCGACAAAACCCAAAAGACCACCAGTATCGACCTCAAGAAGCTACCAGCCACCGCTCAAGTAATCGACCAGAAGAGCTTCAACGTCCTCCAACATGTTCCGCCGCCAAAAGAAGCCAATGCAACAACAGTGCGTCATTCAAGACATAGTTCCAACACATGCTCATTCGTCTATAGCGATTTCTGTGGCCAGGAGTCACCTACGAATCCCTCACCAAGCGGCCATTTCATATTTATGATGCAGAATTCCTAGACATTATTGGCAACGATCCCACTTTGACCCTGATCGCTACTTCAAACACAGACCCAATCTTTCACGAAGCTGTTGTGTGGTTCGTGACCCTCTCACCACCTTGTTTCTCCAGGACGGACCACTAATGCATGGAGACGCAGGAGCCCTGGCACCAAAGAGGTCTTTTTCGCCCAAAACGCAGGTGATCCGGCAGCTGGCACTGGCCTTGAAAAGTCTTCGGTCGTTCAGAAGATTTCCTTGAGTGATGCCGAAGCTGTAAAGAATGGGACTCATATGTCTGAAGAAGTAGAGGTCAAGATTGTGGATTCAACACCACAAGTCATTAACCCGAATGGTATATACCAAAGTCCATTTGATTGATTTTCATACTAATAAGTTGGCAGGCGGGACAAACTACAAAGGTCAAATCATCTTTGCGGGAGAAGGACAAGGAGACAATATCCCATCGGCTCTTTATCTGATGAACCCCAGGAGCCCACATAATACAACAAGTGAGACACCGTTGGGGCACCGGAAGCTATAGTCTTGCTAACAGACATCTAATAGTACTTGTTAATAACTACTTTGGAAGACAGTTCAACTCAATCAACGACGTCTCTGTCAATCCCCGTAATGGCGACATTTATTTCACGGACACCATGTACGGCTACTGGCAGTATTTTCGCCCACAGCCAGGACTGCAGAACCAAGTATATCGCTTCAATCCGGAGACTGGAGCCTTGACTGTTGTCGCTGATGGTTTTGTCGCCCCGAACGGTAGGTTATCGGGAAAGGCGCTTGCCAAGCACTCGTTACTGACGTTACCGTATAGGCCTCACATTCTCTCCAGATGGACAATATGCGTACGTGACAGACACTGGTATCAGCAATGCGCTTTTCGGATTGAACTTTACACGTCCTGCTTCCATGTGAGTTACTAAGCATACGCATCTTGCAACACGATCTAATCATTGGTCTAGCTATCGTTTCGACGTCCAGAGAGATGGAACCTGGGAGAATCGAAAGACTTTTGCATACGTAGCAGCGCGTCTACCTGACGGTACGCTGCTGACCTATTTTATTGCGAGATCACTTAGGCCGAGTTACTAACTACCATTGTCTTTCTTTTAGGGATACACTGTGATTCTAAGGGTAACGTGTACGCAGGCTGTGGAGATGGTGTACATGTTTGGAATCCTTCGGGGAAGCTCATCGGGAAGATCTACACAGGAATCAACGCAGCCAACTTTCAGTTCGCTGGAAAGGGCCGTATGGTGATTATGGGGAGGACGAAGCTATTCTATGCCACGCTTGCGGCCTCTGGGGCACCCCTGAGCTGAAGTTTGAGTGAAGGAGCAAGTGTTGGTGGTAAAATAGAGAACAGGATCGTTCATTACAGACCACTCCACAAAGATGAATGAATGACAACGCAATGGAATGCATATACTGCCACTTCTCTTCACAAATGGGGGTTTGCATTCAAGGCTGATTAACCTTCCTATTTAGGCAATTCAAAAGATAAGTACTGGTTTCACGGTCGGACAATTTGTCAAAGCACCTGGATGTGGATGGCAGGATGGGTACGGGAAACTACAGTGCCGTAGGGAGACACTAGGAGACCATGATTGTGGATCTCCAGCTGCCATTGATGGTCCCCGCAAGCTTGAGCCCTGCGATCGATAATCATGCGTTACATCTCAATGTAGGGCGGGCACTTTGGGCGGTATAGCACTCGGCTCCGAGCTTCTCCAGGATGCTGTATGCCGATCCCCAGGGCGATTCCACAGGGCAGTGCGGCTGAGGCCGATCAACCAGGGGTTACCATGTCGGCCTGTAACAATAGAATCCTTCTACACGGATGGCCACATTGGTTGTCACATTGGAGACAAACCTATTGGCCACTCGACCTAGCGGCACGGGTTTATGCATAAACTGTCAAGATCCTTCGGGTTTTACAGGTAGATAATGATGGATCAAACCGAAAGAGGCTCCATCTAGGGTGAAATTTGACTTTGGATCAGCACGAATGAGTGGAGCTGAACAAGACAAAAAACACGACTTGCCTAATTCAACCATATAACTCAGTAGTGACGTCAGATTCATTATAAGGCAGAACTGTTCGAGAAAGCTCAGAGTTATTGAATAACTGTCGAACGGGCTAGCCACAAGTCTGTCTAGGACAACTAGGAAGATCAAGTGTCAAGAGCAAATCTACGATAAGCTCACAAATGCAATACATATTTACTTAGTAAACCATTTAGTTTGTTTATACCCTTACCATGATGTGTTCGTGCAAGATGCATCATGGTGTTCAGCTGCCTGGTGCTGGCCTAACCGAAGCAATCGACCCATTGACCCACGTGCCTGATTGAAACACCTTAACAAGCCTCGCCGATCACTCCAAAACTTCATCCCGCCTTGACTTTCATCCGCATTAACGCTTCTGCCAAGCTACCAAAAGTCCCCAATGATGTAATTGACTCTATAGAAATGTTCCGAAGCAGGCAGTGCTGAAACAACCCACTAGAAACAAATAGAGTGATTAGGTCTTGTGCATAGTCGAAGGATTCGCCCGTAATATACCGAGACGTCGTATCTGTTTTCATTGGTGGGGTGGACAGGCGATCCGGGGTTACGAAGCTCCGGAATAGAGCATAGGTTTCCTGCCATGATGCAAGAGGATCGTAGTTTGGTGAGAGTTGAGCTTGTTGTGCCAAGATTGAGATCAGCGTCAATGCAACGTACATGTCTAAGATGTGCATTCGGGTTAACAGACGGCACACAGACGAAAGAGGGGATACCTATGGTTCTGTTAGTCTACCATTCGAGATGACAGGGACTATAGTGATGTCCAAACATAGCCTCGAGATATAAATACTCAGTAGCCATCCCTCATATCCAGCTTCATTCTCCAAGCTCATCAACACCTTCACCTCCTCACAACACAACCTCCTCCCCAATCATCACAATGCAGAACAAGCTCTTTACTGCCGCCGCCCTTCTGGGTGCCCTGGCTTCAGCCTCGCCTGTGTCCAAGAACATCAAGCGAGACGTCCTCACAGCTCTCCCCGGGAGTGCGGATGAGATCGAGAACAAGTTCCAGCCTGCCCTTGATTTTGACGGCGACGGCTGCTACCAGACTGCTGCTATCGACCCTGATGGCAACCTCAACCCCGGTCATGATGCTACTGGTACTCCGCAGGGAGACTGCCGTGATCCCCCCCAGCTAGACAACAGCAACACATACTCCCGCAAGCGCTGCAACAACGGCTTCTGTGCTATTATGTAAGTCATCCACCCCATAGCCTAAATATGGGCAAAGCTTCAACAAATACTAATTCTGGATCTTAGGTACGAGACGTACTATGAGAAGGACCAAGGCGCACTGGGCACCTTCGCCGGCGGCCACCGCCACGACTGGGAGAACATCGTAGTCTTCGCCCAAGGCGACACCGTCGTCCGCGTCGCGCCCTCATGCCACGGCAAGTACGACAACGCTAAGAACGAGTTCCCCATCGACGGCTCCACGCCTCTCCTGGTGTACCACAAGGACGGTGCCGGAACCCACTGCTACCGCTTCGCCAACGACGACGACCGGGCCAACCCCGAGAACCCTACCGGCTCATTCTTCAAGGCTCCTCTTATTGGCTGGGACAGCTGGCCCGATGTTGGTCTCCGTGACAAGATGCTTCAGAACTGGAGCGGTGGTGTTGGTCCCAAGTTGGATGATGAGTTTGGCGACTCGCTCAAGGCGGCCGCTGGTGATGGTGTTCAAGGCTTTGACCCTTACGTAGACGCGTAAAGCTCTGTCTAGAGGGATTGATACATATATTTTTTACAGCATATAAGATAAATATTCTCATACTTAGATACAGTATTATACGAGGACAAGAATTAAGTTATCTTCTTACTATATGTGGAGTGTACGTGAAATGTCCCTTGACTTGATTAAATCCATCACACTAAACTTTGCCGTCACGGGTAATAATCACAAAAAAATACACCTAAATACACCTTATCCCTTCAGAGAATCATGCTTTTGGCCGACAGTCTAACGAATTTCAATAACTCGCTGCAAAACGCCATCCTGCTTCACATTCAAATCTTCCCCTTTCTTAGCCAACCTATACACACCATCATGTCTCTCATCCTGCCTAGTTGTAACTCTATCAAATGCCTCCACCCCATCCCAAAAGGCCTTCACATCGTCCGGCTTATCCATCACACAAGCTCCAATTCGCACACAATATAGCTTGTTCCGTTCATCCCGTCGTTTATCCAAGACCAGGCAATGCAGTGGATTTGTAATCCTTGTCATATCTACAAATACAGGGACTGCAAAGGGTGTCTTGCAATTGAGAGCTTCTTCCTCAAATTCCACGTCCCAATAGTTCTTACTATGAACCTCGATGGCATCCTCATCCCAGCCCGCCCTGCCTGGAGCATTGAAGTTGATGAACTGCATGCCACCTCCGTAACCCAACGCCGCGATAGGAAGCATTGATCTCCGCAGACGAAGGAATGAGTCAGGAGCAGCGCAGTATTCCAAACCACTCAATGGATTCTCGGGATCGAACTTGGGACTAGGAATGATCTTCACATCGAGGATCTTGACAAATTATGTGTCGATCGATCGTGCTTCTTGCGGTTCAATAAAGGTATCTTTAAGGGAACACCAAGACCAAGATGGGGCAACATATCTGTTGTATCGTTTCCCGGGTGCTCCAGGTGCGTTACCGTTGAGTTGATATCGCTGCACCCTTGATGTTGCTCGCCAAATCAACTGCATTTCTGCGTACGGACGCCATAGTCCAGCGATAAAATTTACCTCAGTTGGCCCCTGACCGGAGGCTTCTCCGTCCTGACCCACTAAGTCAGACTCGGTTCCTTTCCCTTTATTATTTTCCTTGCTGCCATCTTCACTTTCTGGTTCCCCAGAAGCAAAGACCTGGTCAAAGGTATCCACGAGACCTGCTAGTGCAATCAATTTGTCCGCTTCCACTGTGAGCTGTCCCTGTCCGTAAGCTCGAACAATTTGATTCCAGTTCCCAAAGAGATATTCAAATGTAAGATTATTGTTCAAGTCGTTATTTCGGAGGCCAATAATGAAGTTCTTGAGTGGGCTCATGAGAGCAAACCCCTCGGCTGAAGTAGGATCGCCAAACGGAAGCCGTTCACACACTGCAGTAGAACAGCACTCTAAGGCGACTTGTTCCAAGCCCAAATGCAGTACTCTAGGTGCCAAGATTCGCTCTTGAAGTACCCAGGAGCGTTTATTCAATGATGAGTTTGTCACATGCATCCACCAGTGCTGATACTCGGAGACGCAATAGTCGCCAGAGAAGGGGCCGCCCATTCGCGACGTACCCAGACTGGGAGCCAAGCATTACCGTCGCGTTGCTTGGAAAAGAGTCCGTTGTTATCTTCGGCAGCCACATGGGCGGATATGCTTAGCCACGCGTTGCCATAGACTGATGCCATGCGTCCAGCTTCAGAGGCCCAGTCCTGCTCGTCATCTTGGATGATGCAAAGAGAGTCGATCCAAAGGTATTCATAGCCCAATCTTCTCACAAGTTCGCATGCATCGTTGAAAGTGCGCGACAGGTTGTCCAGTGCCATTGACTTTTTGAATGATTCCAGATTGTCCTTTTTGAGCTGTATATGTGACGCAGAGCCCCAACGATGACTGAGTGTTATATACTCAACCTGATCTGGGATATCTGCGCCCTCAACAAGGCGAATGTGCGGGGATCTCAGTTTAGGGCTGATGTGCAACAGCCGAGTAGGCTTCCAGGTGGTGTCTTTTGCATACCTGCATTGGTCGTGGTCCTGGTCACAACGCTCTAGCCATTGTTTGATTGACCCCATCGTTACATCACTTAGATCTGAAGGCGGCAGCGGCTTTGTATCAATGGTGTTCGCATCTATACAACACAGTCAGCTTTGTGCGTTACCAAAACCTAGCAAATCAGGCGAAAACATTACCATTAGCCTTGATCATATCAAGCGTCGCCCAAATAGGACCCATTCGCGGCCATGCAATCTTTCTTCTGAACCCTAGTCGCTCCCAATCTGGGAGATCCAAGAACTGAAGTTTCACATCCTCCGGCTCCATGACGTTCTGCGCCAGAGGATGTTGGTAAAGCGCAGCATCCTGGCCTGATTCCTCTAAATCGCTCATAGATTGACGCAAGGCTCGCATCCACATTGCACACAAATGGCAATAATCTGAGGCATAGATGAGATCTGTGAGAGCTCTCATTCGAAAAGGCTCGCCATCTTCTGAAACGCGTTGGAGGCCATCGTGGCACCAATCACAGAGCGTTCCATCTTGGATTGATAGGAACTTGTGAGGCAAATTGTCAACATCTGCAGGCGATTCTGGAGCTGACATTTTTACTTAGTGAAGGAAAGAGTTGTTGTAACTTCAGCAAGATAGGTGATAAATCTTTGACATGTATATATAAGTACTTGAGCCCTGGGAGGATGAGGCGCAGTACAACTTTGTGCTGACTTGTCTGCCTAGTGAGGCATCCTATCTTATATCTCAAGGCAATAGCTTCTATCATCTTGTTGATCTCATCGAGATGGAAGATATCTTGATCAGAAGAGCAGCGCATCACATTGTTCCTGTTTCGCACGATTCGAGAAACTTGATAGTACTAAACGGGTAGTTGAGAGTTACGATCTACCATGCTTAATTACGTTTAGATGCTGTTCAGTCTGTGAGCCGATAGCGGCCAAAATGAGGGGCAATTTTTGAGCCAGAATGTGGTTGTGAACAGGCAGACACGAGTATTTGCTGCCGAGTTTGACAAAAGTACTGGACGACCCTAATACAGCAGACGAAAATAAAATAAAATGACAATAACGCGAGATAGCAAGCATGGAATGTTGCAGAAAGATCCAAAAAATTGAATCCCCGAAACCTGGATCGAACAAGTGACCTTTCGATGACGTGTATGCAATTACAGTCGAACGCTCTTCCAGCTGAGCTATTCGGGGATTGGTCTTGGGATGTTGATGTTCGAGTTGCAAACGCTACTGAGATTGTTTTTCCAAAATCTGAGACACTGTAGTTAGAAACCTTCCACTGCAATGCTTAACAGGTACAGATCCCGGTCAATAGTATAAGGAGAAGTAGGGCTAAGTAATGTGTGACTAGAACTGTGTTGTCGTTCCAGAAGTAAACCGTGCCATAGTGAATGGTGGATAGAGTTTTTCGTACGTTGGCAGCAAAGTAACTCACGCATTCACCTCGGGGCTCCAGTGCTTTGTGCCGAGACATAATACCGATATCGCCGATCTGTGAATAGATTCATTTTTTCCCTCACGACGTTTGACTCACTACCGTCGGAAATCGATAGGCGAGGTCACAATGCCGCTCGATATGGTAACTCGGTGAAATCCCCCGCCGATCACGGTCCCGATTAGCCCGATCAGCGCACCCCGCAAGTTCACTCATAGTCTCATACGCACGCAATCGATCTTCAACTGCTCTCTCTTCAACCTTTCACTCCCATAACATCATGGCAAATCAGCGAACCTCTGTCGCCAAAACCGCCGCTTGGTTGTACCATGAGTCTGGCATCTCAGCCGTGTACCACGCCGGCAGAGATGCCTGGCTGCTCATCCTCTCGCGCACGTGCCGCATGTTCGCCTTCAAGGCCGTGACGCTCACGATAGCCCAATTCTTCTCAGAGCTGGGTTTCTCCGATTTCCGCATTGGCTTGTTCATGAGCTTGACGCTGCTCGGCGATGTTGTTCTCGGGTTGGTCGTCACGCTCATGGCTGATGGACTGGGGCGACGACGAGTTCTTGTGGCGGGTGGACTTTTGATGGCCGTCTCTGGTGCAATATTTTGCACGTTTGAAAATTTCTGGGTTCTGCTCTTTGCGGCTGTTGTTGGCGTTGTCAGCGCGAGCGGCAGTGATTTTGGTCCTTTTCGAGCTATCGAGGAGTCCATGTTGTCGCATATCACATCTGCTAAAACGCGAGCTGATGTCTTGGCTTGGTACATCACCAGCTCCAGCCTTGGTGCCGCTGGAGGAGCGGCTTTGGCAGGTAGATTTGTCGAGACAATGACTGGTAAAAAGGGGTGGAGTCTTGTAGCAACATATCATGCTACCTTTTGGATATACATCTTGATGGGTGGACTGAATGTCGTGTTTGCATTGGTCATGAGCAACAAGACTGAGGCGCATCAAGATGGTTCTTCGGAAACTTCCGATGAATCAGCCGAAGGCCTTCTCCACGACTCGATAGATGAAGATGAAGGTGAAGATGCAAGGAGACGGAGACTATCCGCTGCGTCAAATCATCCAGCACCAACGAGTCGCTTTTCAAGTGTTTCATCGAGTTCCAGATCTGTCATGTACCGGTTATGGTTCCTTCTCACCATCGATTCCCTGGCCGATGGCATGGTTTCCGAATCGCTGACAACCTACTTCCTCGACTCAAAGTTCTCATTATCAAAGGCGACTCTTGGAGATATCTTCTCAGGAGCACAGGTCTTGGCAACTGTCTCGACTGTCTTTGCAGGGCCTCTATCTCGCCATCTTGGTCTCATTAACACTATGGTTTTCACACACCTTCCCTCGTCCATATCAGTCTTGTTCTTCCCCTTTCCCAGTGGAATTGTCATCACGGTTATACTTCTCTATATCCGTATGGGCCTCAACAACATGGACCAGGCACCCAGATCAGCCTTCATTGCAGCCGTGGTGAAACCCGAAGAGCGCACTGCAGTTATGGGAATCACTGCTACGCTTCGAACATTGGCTATGGCCACTGGTCCTTCATTGACAGGTGGTCTTGCTGAGAGTGGGAAGTTCTGGATTGCCTTTGTCGTTGGTGGTGTTTTGCGAATCATGTATGACTTGGGTCTCTGGTTGATGTTTGTGAACATGAAAATCAACACCCACGAGACGCCGAAAGGTGGGACGGTTTCTAGGGAACATTCTATCGATGAGCAGGATGTGGAGTTGTTGCGTGAGTCTGCTGAGCGAAGGAGATCAGAAGACCATTAGGCGTGAGGGAGTGAGTAAAAGCAGCAGAGGTTTCCAAAACTTAGGCAGGGTAAGGGCCAACTTGGTTAAGTCACATATCGGCTGCTACGAGTTGCTTGGGACTCCAATTGTATAAAATTAGGTTGTCTTTTGGTCTATATTACTCCGCAAATACGATTAGAACAGTGATCAATCAAGCTCTTGATATTAGATATTGATATGCTGTTCAAATGAAATATCTCCATCACCCACTTGCACGTACAGGAGGTAGTGACAGCTTATGGTTCTTAATAATGATATCCCACAACTCGGACAACTCTCCAGTAGGGAGTTTATCATCCTCCTTGATACGTCGAATATCATGGAAGAAAGCATCTCCCTCAGGCCGCAAAGTCCGCGGTATTGTCTCCATATCAGGGAAGTTGAAGAACGCTACGATGGACACCTTGATCTCATCTCCACTGATGTCAACATCGTGGAAAGTCGGGAGAAACTCGTTGGCCCATCGATAGAGCGTTGAGCCACCCATCATGATGGTGCCTTTGTGGCCAGGAAAACGGACCGTTCCATCTAGGTCGTAGACACGAAGCCCTGGACCGTTTGTGATCAGTGCGGACAGAAGGTTGCCGTCTGGGTGAAGACCGATACCGCCTGGAGCTCCGGCGTGGGGCGTATACTTGATGGCACGGTAGCGAACGGTGCATCGCTGGACTAGCTCTGGGTCAATGCCTACAGCCATACTGGTCCTTACCAAAGAACTGTCAAGGACCGATTTGAGGCAATGCATTGAATCTCTAATCTTTGGGCTGTGCAAGGCCTGCAGACCCGTAAGACCGTCTTTGAGATCTCCGTCGAACTTGGCAATGTCGCTCTCGGAGTCTAGAAATGGGTGACCGATACCATGACTGGCAAACCAGCATGACTTTCGCCACACTACCTTCTTGTCCGTTCCCTCGTAAGAGAGTGAGTGGTCAAGGTCGGTTAGGTACGTGCCGAGATCCTGCATTGCCTGCTCAATACGAATCTCTTCTTGACTTCCCCATGGAACGACGTATTCCTTGCCAGCCTTGAAGGCGGTTTGGATGTCAGCGAAGCCTTCATCTGCTACGGATTGTTAGCATTGAACATCAATCTTGAGAGTTCTATTGCCCCACGTTTGACCTCAGGCTGTGACTTGTCCCAGCCGGACAGCGATGGACCGGCATTGATGTATTGTTGAGGAGCGAGCATTTTGTTTGGATTTGTGATGGAACGTGAAAGAGTTGATAGTGTACGGCGAGGCACAGCGAGAAGTAGAATATTTAATTATGCTTTGTTTACACCGTATTACAAACTTGTAGCTACAACGTAGCCAAGTATCTTCCCTTTTCTGCATGTCTCACTGCATCCGTCTATCCTTGCTAGTTTTGTTATTGGCGCAGCGCCACGCCGTGACGATCGCAGATCGTGGTGGAACTGCCTGGCTGTCTTGGCTGTCCTATGTCATCTTGCAGGTACATTTCAGCTAATATCGTAACTTTCCGCCCTGCATGTCGCATCCCGCTTTGCATTTACCGCGCCTCGGCAATTTCTCTGAGTACCACATCAATGTTGTCCATCGACAGCGATCGTAGGTGTACGTCCCTGCTCATGAATAGCTCAGCTAATCTTGGACAGTATGTTTCTAAGCCTTTTGCCAACTGCTCCTTGGATGCCTCCCCGCCGTTGTCTGGCAGGCCATAGTGTAGAAGCCAGATTTGTTTGTCTAATAGCTTCAACATCAGTATAAACTTGGATTTCCTCGTTTATTTAGGTACTTACCGCTCAAGAGGCTCATTTCCCACTCCCATCGGTGAATATCTTCTGGATTCGTAAACCGGTTCCAGTCACCAGGGGCTGCGAGGATTATAATTTGAGACACGGAATGAAATGTCTTGGATATTCTTTTGGTGACCTCAACAGCCTCTGTTGTTCTGGTCATTTGATGTTGGTCAAGCCAGATTCGCCGGCTGTTCTTCTCAATCACCTCGGCGACTAAACGCGCCATGACACGACCCCTCTCATAGAGATCTGGCGACAACCAACGGTAGAAGAGTATGTAATCGTATGAGTATTTTGGTCCGACATCTTGATTGCAAATGTTAGTTATTCGGCGCAGATTGGACTGCCTCCTGCCAGGCTGGATTGGGAACTCACTCAGGCGGTCTCTCATGGATGGAAGATGAGCCTCCACGGCAACGCTTGGCTTGAGGGTCAGCATTTTGGAGTGATATAATGTTCAGAATCCGAACTGATGAGGGAAAAAAATATTAATACGAATATATACGATGATAAACACAAGAGTGTGACATGGATGAAGTCATTCAATAGCATCTACACATAAAAGTGTTTCAAAATTGTTTTCGATTCTAAGCACGATCCAAACCTGAGATTTGCTTTTTATACGCATGCCTCTAATGCTCCGGTAACGTATGCAAATGCCGACATTGGAAAGCCCCTCAGATGTCTCAAGTACACAAACTCAGCCCGTCCACAACAGCACATCATTGCTGGTTTTGTGACATCATTCCAGACCCGGTTCACCTCTTGTCCAATATCAAGAAAAAGACCCTGGGATACAAGTCGATAATGTCCCAGCTGTGCACGATCACTTCCCGCTTTCAGTTACCTTTGTCTCACTGCGTTGCCCAAGCGCCACTTTTCAGGTGAGCTACGAAGGGCAAGACGGGAGAGGCCGTGCACAAGCGTGTGGAATCGCAATTCGATTGGCTGTTGCAGAAGGGATAGAGTTAGTGGCTAGGTGGTTACTGGGACGGAAAAGCGGGAAAATGTGTGATCTGCAAACTGTATCTGGATATTAATCTGCTCGGAAGGTGACAGATCCAGTGCACGGCTGCGTTGATCGATGTAAGATTGCATCTTCCAAGCCAATGGATCCAAATACATCACAGATTCGTAAGGTTTCCACATACTCACCGATCTCGTCATATCGATAGTCTCAGAGGTGAGTGGGTCTTGGTGCAAGATATTTCGAAAATCTGGCGACCTGCAGATTTTGTTGTGGAACTTTGCACGACTTTGCAAAGTGAGGAGAGGCATGTGTCCGTCTTCTTTCACCTCCAGACGAGTAACTAGACCTTTAAATTCGGCGCCCGAGGTATCTAATACATGCCATGAGTTCTTCGTTGTCCATTAGAGCTGGTGGCTTCGTACCATAGGGGCCGTTTGAACCAGGTCAACTGGGCAGAAAAACGGAAAGTTTAGCCTGCTGATGCTAAGCTCTAGGGTAACGTTTCCGTTGTCTTACCATACTGTATCCGTGCGGTGGTACACGGGTAGGGCTTCGAGTCCGGCTCCCCGTATGGAGCATCTTCCCCTCCCTTCCCATTGCATGTTGTCTTGGAGTGCCTGAAGCAGGCTCACCAGCGGTTGAACTCAAGCCGTGTTTGCAAGACCTGCCAAGGACATGGGCTGTGCGCTGATATTTGAGGAAATGACGCTTGTGGATCAAGGTAACTGAAAGCTCTACAACATGACCGTGGTGATCGGAGGTGCCAAGAGATGAACACATCCACATGCTAAATAGACCCTGAGCTCTATTGCGACATAAAGTATAAGAAACATATATCTTCCAGAGTCAGTTTGCGCTTTCTCTACTACAAACCTTCCCCGGTGGACTTTCATTCCCACTTTCTACCACTTCACCTTATTATTCTTGACCTCACGTATGCTTTCTATTGTCCATGCTGGCAGAACACTTGCTCGCATTGCGACCTCCATCTATCGCACTGGTACTCCGTATGTCGTATCTGCCTTGTTGATCCCGAGTAGCGACTCCCTATCGAATCTTGAGATCATACGAGATATAGCAAGATAATTGAAGTCAAGTCACCAGTCACCAGGGCAAGTTGTTGCCTTTGACTAAACGCGCCCAGACATGCCGCCGACAAACATACAGTTGAAGATGGCTGCATTTTAATGAAGCATACGAGTCTCTGCGCCTGGTCATCTCGTTTAGACGCTGCTGTACCGTGTTTGCAACAGGACCGTGGGAGTTCGCTGTCATGTCAATCACGACACCAGCTTTATCCAGACTACAAATCCTGGTGAAGCCATCTACAGCACGGGACAAGCACAATTAATTGTCCCAGCATGCCGTGACTTGTAGCTCGTTCCTGTTCAACTTTGTCTCTCAAAGGCGACGAGGCAAGACGTTCAGCGTTTCTGCATACCTGGTCTGTAGTAATGCAAGCGTGAAAAGAACTGCCGGTCAGCCACCCCTTTATATCATTTTAGGACCCAGCGCAGGTCCATAGCTGAATGGGGAAAACAGGTGACTGTCGTCGCTAAGGCAAATACGAAAAAACAGGTGGATCCTGAGTTATCCGTACTAGCGACTCTAATGCCGTGACTCGAGGTCGACCTGGCATGTCACTCTCGATGCAATTATTCTCCAAGCAAGGCGGTCAATCGCGACTAACAGAGACAAATCGAGAATAAAAGTCAACAATGCTTTTCTGAGACGAGCTTTTCCCGCTGCGGAGTCGGCATCGGGAATTTATGAATTGATCGACTTCCCATCGCGGACGAGTAGGCGCGTGCCCTATTGCCGCTTTGGGTTCTCCAATCAAGAGCTAAGCTGAAGTTCGGCCACTGTCGTACGAATGTAACACAACGCTTGGTTGTGTATGACGGTGAGGCTTACGCGGCAGTTGCAAGTTTGCAATGGCGAATGAGGTGGTTCGACAGAAATTAATCATCAGGCCTCGCGGTTTAGAGTTTGGGTACGTGGTTTTAGGTCTACGGGATGACGAGTTGTTCGGCCCGTGGAAATTGCTCTCCCACATCTCGGCTCCGGAACCGGAATTGATCGGGTCTTGACCCAATTGTGAGCATCTGTGGCTATGGGGTTTGACAGATGGCAGATGGATTATTGGTGATGCCGCGATATTGAAAACATGTCTTTAGTGATTCAGACAGACCGGCAGACAACCTACTGCCATAGCACCAAAGGAGGTATCATAGATATGTTTAGCTCGCTCGCTGGGCGAACAGACCTTAAAACACAAGTCAAAGCTCCCGTTCTCCGGATCTTGTCTTATCCTCAACTAGACCATTGCGGTAGATGTAAAAAAATAATAGCGCCACTAAGAACTGTCACTGCCCTGCTACAAGCTGTGCATTGACGCTGGTCTACGTGCCTGACCACGAAGCCTGACACGATGTCGCATATGTCCCCTCTTTAGCTTTCACCCTTGCGCTGTAAGTCTAACTCATCCTGGGATCGTTTAGAGTTGTTTTCCACGATGCCTTCCATCGGATGACGCATTGATGCTTTGCTCGAGACGTTCTTAAGATGGTCCATCGCCGAGCCGTCGATCAATGGCTTGACCTGCATAACCACTCGCGACATTTACAATCTTACACATTGGTTCATTAGGCTTTGTCAATTAAGCCACAATGTTACGGCACTCTTTTGCGACAGCTCTCCTGTTGGCTTTTTGCCGTGGCGCAGAGGTCAACAACACTAAGCTTGAGCCATTGCAGTTTAAGAAAAATGGCACTTTTCAGATTGCCATCTTTTCGGACATGCATTTTGGGCAATGTTAGTCACACAGCCACATTTTACTATGAACACGCAATTAATATTTCATCCCAGACGAATCATCAACAGGACCAGAACAAGATCGCTATTCTGTTGAAGTACTACGCAATGTGCTTGACTCGGACAGGCCGGATCTTGTCGTTCTCAATGGAGATCTTATCAATGGCGACTCGACGTTTAAGCACAACAGCACACATTACATCGACATGATCGTCGAGCCCATTGTTAACCGCAGTCTTACTTGGGCATCTACCTATGGTAACCACGACCACAATTACAACATTGACGGCGACGACATTCTTGTTCGCGAGCAGATGTTCCCCGGAGCGCGCACTCAAAAAATGGTCAACGCAACAAAATCTGGCACCACTAATTATTACCTCCCTGTCTACCCATCCGACTGCGAGGACACCAGCAATTGCAGCCCCAATCTCATCTTGTGGTTCTTCGACAGTCGCGGCGGCAACTATTACCAGGGAAGCTGGATGGAGAACTGGGTTGATCAAAGTGTTGTCGATTGGTTCAACAAGACGAGCACAGAATTGACCAAGGAGCACAACAAGACCATCCCGTCGCTCGCCTTCGTCCACGTACCCGTCAACGCAACCGTGGCACTCCAGACAGAACTGGGTATTCGCAAAAACTACCAAGTTGGTATCAACGATGACCCTCCAGTGCCGCAACAAGGCTACGGCTGGTGTGCTGACGGAACGCCCACCTATGACTGTCCCTACGGCGGCCAAGACGTTCCCTTTATGGAGGCCCTGGTCACCATTCCTGGAATCATCGGGTTGTTCTCTGGCCACGACCATGGAAATACCTGGTGCTACCGCTGGGATCAACAGCTCGAGGGGATGGACATCGAAGGAAATGGCATCCACCTCTGCTACGGACAGCGCTCAGGCTACGGTGGCTACGGCGATTGGATTCGCGGAGCGCGAGAAATCGTCGTCACGGAGGAAATGCTGGAGAAGCTCGAGGTTGAGACCTACATCCGTCTTGAAACCGGCGACGTCGTGGGCGAAGTAACGTTGAACTCGACCTACAACGACGATTATTATCCTGCAACACCAAACACAATGACTTATATGTCTGAGGAGACGACAAGTGGATCTGCAAGTATTGTACCAAGATCGGAGTTTGCATTGGCGGCGTTGGGAAGTTCATTGGCAGCGATTGCTTGGTTGAGTCTTTAGGAGTGCGATTTATATGATTCACGATGATCTGGATACCCATTTTGTTTTATGTATATATACGATAAATCAAATGCTTGATACCCTTTACCTCTGCAACTCTGGATTGATTTTTATATGTTTCTGGATAAGTCTTATTGTTTGGAGTAGACATCTAAGATAAAATCCCAGTGAAACCATCTCTCAAATATAACTAGGTATTTTAACTTGACCTATTATTGTCCATAACTTCCTTCTTTCCTTACCTTTAGGTGTTATTCGCATTGCGTTTCGCTAGCTCCTCATGTATCAAATTCACAGTTAGTCAGATCATCTGCAGCATAGCCAATCACAACAGAAAATCACTGCCTGTCAGACAGAATAAGCAGGTCGTTGGACAATTTGTAATCATACCATATTTGCAATACGCCCTTCGGATACATCGACGCTATTAAAGAGCGCGCTCGTAGCAAGTTCTCCAAACACCACATACTCAAAATTATTGGCATCAGCATCACATCATGTCGCAACCAACAAAGATAAAGGCCGTCTTCTTTGATTTCATGGGCACATGTCTCAACTGGCATAGCAGCGTTGTTCAAGCTTTACCCTCCGCCATCCCAGAAGCCGAGGCATCGAAGTTCGCTCTCGAATGGCGACGACAATACTTCATCTCCAACAGTGAACGGCTTGCTCAAAAGCTCGAGCCTGAAGATATCGACGACACACTGCTTCGCGTACTAGATTCTATTCTCGACCAGTCGCCTAATTACAAGTCGTACTTTGACGCACAAGCTAAGAAGCGACTGATCAACGCTTGGCACTCGCAACCAGCCTGGCCGGAAGTCAAAGAAGCAATCGACACTATCCGCAACGATCTCGGTCTCGAAGTTTTCGTGCACGCCAATGGCACTACCCGCCTCCAGCTGGACCTGACGCGATTCTCCGGGCTCAATTTTAACATGCTCTTCTCAAGTCAACTGCTGGGTACCTATAAGCCTGATCCAGAGGCGTACAACAAGGCCCTACGACTCGTCAAGCTCAAACCTGAGGAAGTTGTCCTGGTGGCAGCCCACGCGTATGATCTGAGAGGGGCTCAGAATGTGGGGATCAAGACGATTTACATCCATCGCTGGACGGATGATGTTGATGAGGATATGGACCAGGTCAGAGGGGAGTTTGGTGCTTTTCTGGAGGGGATGGAGGAGTTGCCTGCTACGATTCGCAAGATGCAGAGTTAGATAGTTAATCTTATGTTAGTGTTTGAATAGGCGGACAGGCTCTATACAAGATCAACAGCATTTGAATTTCACACTGTTTGAATACATCGTCCCTTGGAGGCCGTCAAGAAACGCGCCCATTGAGAACTTCCTTGACCCCCCTCAATTCACAGCTGCATGTGTCCTGATGCGAAAGCTGATAAGCAATACATTTCCGGTAAGATGAATTGTCGATCATCACCAATGATTTGATAGCTGTCAGACGGCGCAGCGTACACCTCGCGCAATCGACCTAATGCAGTTTAGCGTCTCAGTGGCGCAGTCTTGTTCACCTCGCACAATGCCCCCAATTGGGAATAACCTCGTATTGGGCGATGATCATATGCCAACAGATTAGCTATAAGACAGTTGCGGTGCTCCAAAGTGAGCAGACCCAAGGATCATTATCCCTCTACGAGTATTTGCAGTCTCTAACTCCTAATAAGCTACTCTTTTATTTTGTAAAATTTGAAACACGAGCCGATTTGGCTACAATGGACCCTTATCAGTTTGACACCATGCAGCAGCAACAGTTGACTGAGCTGCATTATCACAATAACTACGCCCAACAACAAAGTCTTTACACTTACCAACAGCCATCTCAACCCCAGCAGTCACTTCAAGCTTCATTCTATTCTCAACAACTAGCTCCTCCTCCTTATACCACACAAGCAACCACCTCTCAACATCGCCCGATTCTTCTGCCCGCGACTACAATCGCGGGCACACTTAGTGCCGCTCCGCCCTTCATTCGAGCCTATCCTCCTGTCCTCAGCTCGTATGATATCTCATCCATGGAATTCACCGCCATCATCGACGCAATCAACATCGCCCTCGCTGAACCCACTCCTTTCACGGTATTGGATGTTGCCAGTAATGGCGTGGGTCTTATACCAGAGGGCATCGCCCAGGGTGTTTCCCTAGGTCTCGGGATAGCCGCAGGTGCTGGATCTGCTGCTTCTGCTTACATCAGAACCAAGAGGGCACTGGAGAAAGTAAACCGGGAGGTCTTTGCACCAAAGGGCTTGAAGCTGGAGATTGTGAAAGATGATGAAGTCATGCGACGGCTTAACACAACAGCCAAGAGTCTCGATCCTCTTGAGAGGCTGCAGGAAATTGGTCCGTTTGTCGAGACGCTCTCTTTTGACGTGGGCCCTGTTATCAGGCACAGCAATGTGATAGATCGCATTAGCGCAAAGCAAGCTGCTATGAAACAAGAGGGTAAAGAGAAGAAAAAGCATGAGAAGGAAACAAAACGGATCAGAAAGCGTGAAAAGGCAGCTGAGAAGTACAGCCGTCCCGTTGAATCCATCGACGAGCAGTGGAACTCGGACACTGAAAGTCTTATCGAGACCGAGGCAAAGCTGGCCAAGTTGGAGGGTAAGATCGCAGACATCAACGCCCATGCGGATGCGAAACTTGGGGAGGCGAGTAGTAAAAGAGCCAGCGAGATTGAGAAGAGACGGCAGAAGGATTTGGCAGAGGTTGAAAAGGATAGAGGGAAGTTGCATGAGAAGCATGAGAAGACCATGGCCAAGCTTCAGAAGAAAGCAGAGAAGAAGGGGGATAAGGGTGAGAAGAAAGTGGCAAAACTAGAATGGATTATGATACACACCGCCTGAAGAAAATGAGTAGCTATATATTTACAAGTCATAAACTAGATGGGTATTATTCTTGCAGTCCTCCACGCTCGCCTTCTGCCAATCTCAAACCCGTGCGTCCCAGCAATAACCTCGTTCATAACCTCATCGGACCGCCTCTCCTCTACACTACCCTCACCGAAGTTCATACTAGCAACCTGCAGCGGAAATATGAACAAAAGCGGCCCCGTGCCCGTAGTTGTGTGTCCAACGCAGGATGTAGCCAGCTGGTATATCTCACTTGCGATGGCTGTCCTTACAGCTTGACGGTCCTCGAAAGCTGCGGGTATTTCAGCCACAAGAGGGATATCCAGAAAGGCGCAGAGGCGAGACATGCAGAGTATGATGGCTCTTTGCAAGGCGAGAAGGGTCTTATCTCTTGTAGAATGAGCGCTGTGTAGAGTTGGGTTGGAGAGGCTGGTGAGAGGTCGAGGGTGGTGATGGAACTGCTCCCAATCTTCTAGATCGGATAATGTAGTCTCGACACGTTGACGCAGGTCATGGACAAACATGTCATCGACTTCACCTCGCTCCATACTGTCCATGTCGTGCAGGTGGCCAGGAACACGGGCAAATATGTCGTGTAAGGTATCGCTTGCTGTCTTGGGGACACTTGCAGGCCAGGGAATGCTTCGCCACTCAGGAAGTGTAAGGTAGCAATGGGACCTGCTGATCAATGCGCACACGATCTATGTCGAGTCAGCTATGGTTCTTTTCAATCAGGCGTTGAACACACAATCTCGAACCGACATTGCCTCAACAGCTCTCTGTCCAGCGGTGTCTGATGTCTCGAAGGTCCTCTCAACTTGACCTACACGAAGACAGTTAGCAACGACGTTAACAGTTTCCTATATAACACAGAGACTTACCAACTGAGTGATTCCCTCGTAGTGCTTCAACCACCCCGTCTTATCCGTAAAAGCAATATTCTCAAACATGCACAAGCACACGACACTCGCCAAAGTATCCCACTCTAAAGCCACGGTTGAACATGCCAGGTCAACCTGCACGCTTTTCAAAGCTCTCACGTAATCACGGGTTCCTGAATCAGATATGCGTTTATTGTAGTTCATTTTACCGAAGTAGATTCCCGCTAGAGCTCTTATCGCGAGGGTGCGTGTGGAGTTGTTAGGTGAGAAAGAGTCGAGATTGGACATGAGGGGCTTGACTTCATCGATCTTTGAGAGGAGATGGGTATGAATGACGGTGTTTTCGTCGAGTAGCAGCGGCGAGGGACTAGAGATTCGCCCGATTGTCTTTGAGGGTGTGTTCGCTAGCTGAAGTTGCAGCTGGCTGTTCTTCGGTGGTGTTGCATGCTTAGAGAATCGAATCGTCTCATCTACAAATTCACCGTGGATTACATATCCCTCACATCTCAACCCAGCTTTTTCGCATCGTTGACAGTTCGGCTTGCCATGATCTGCGGTCAGGATTAATACGAGCGCTCTTCAAGGACAGTGACAGTCAAGTACCGCATTTCACACGCCTTCGCTTGCAAGTTCTGCAGGCTTTACTTCGTCCTCCACGATTGACCATGGCGATAGCATCCCTGTTCAATTAAACAGGATGTTTGTAGTTAACGATTCCCATGTCGCAATGAGGGGAAGATGTCAGAGCTGCCAAGCTTGCGCCACACTTGACTCGTCATCATGCTGCATTTGGGATTCGGCGATAACCACATTGATACAGAGAAGGATTGTCTGCAGGTTTTGGGGTAAGACATGGTGAAAATACTTTTACATTTGGAATCCTTGTGCCATGCGGTATGGAGTGGAGGGGGCAATTCTAGACCATTCCCCAGAGTACGCTCCTCGAAGCTTATGCTGCTAATGTTGCATGATGCGTCAGGTAACCGTAAACTCAACACGAGACGAGCCCTCGTATTCAGCGAGATGCTAATCTCTCAGCCCTACCCTGAGCCGTCAAAGAACTTTAAAATTCCATAGCCTCAGGCCCCCGCCAGTCCCCTATTTTACCCCCTGGAAGTCTTCCCCGCCCAACCAATGAACTCAAGGCTTGGTCTACTAAAAGTTGCTAGAAGTGGCGGGCGCAATCCTCTGAATCCATGACCGTGGGACTGCTGCTGGAAATTAAATTTATTACCTGATGTGAATTGAAGGCACGCGACAGCGGGGCTGAGAAGAATTGTCGTTTCATTTTCTCAAAGGGGGGTAATCAATGTCAGGCAAAGCAGTCACCAGTCATGTAAATTGTCATGTTATTCAACTGTACCAGGAAATCTCTAAATGCCCTCTTCTACCGCAACTCCGTATCCCAGATTTATACAATGTGCCGTACTAACGTAAACAGGCCGTACCGTATATGCTATGCTGTAATACAATGTAATACCACTGCAAAATTAAACTAATACCACTCTATTACCAATTACTTTTGTTGGTCTCGTTTCTCTCGTCATGATGCATGCTTTGTGATGCTGCTCCGATACCCGTGCGTTGCGCCCTGGCAGAAGTAATGATCCAGCACCAGCTCCTCCGCCTTTATGTCCAGCCATCCAGGAGAGGAATCGCCGATGCCGAAGCTCAGCCAGATCTCGTCGTCGAGAAAGCCGTGGCTGCGCTGCTTGGGCTGATCTCCGTGGTAGACCATGCTGCCCGTCCAGATGTACTTGCTGTTGGTCTCGCCGTGGTACGTGAGCTTCTTGCTGATGCTCATCATGTGGAAGGGCGCGACGGGCGAGTAGACAACGATGCGGTGGTCGTACCACGTGTTCGTGTACTGGGGCGGGTCGTAGCGCATCTGCACCATTCCCATTATGATGGTGTTGTTCTCCATGGGCTCGCAGGCCCCGCGGTTGCAAAGCGTGAGGCTGAGCATGGGCGTCGATTGGTGCACGCGCTTGTCGGTGAGCATCACGTCGTTCATGCACGTCTTCTCGGCCGAGTGCCACGTCTTGGCCTCGTTGTCGGGAGGGAAGGGCTCGTCGACGGCGGATTCGTGTTCGGCCTCCATGTCCATGACGGGCTCTTCGGTCGAGTTGAAGCGGTACAGCTGACTGGGCTCCACCATGAACATCATCTCGTCGTCGTCGGCGGTGAAGGGGGAGTAGACGGGGGCCCAGTTCTTCTCGCGCTGGTACCGGGCGTCCTCCTCTTCGCCTTCGGGGGGTTGGCGACGGAGGAGCTTGGGTTCGGTGAATTCGATGGGCGGGAGTTCTTTGGCGTGCTTGCCCATTTGCTTGACGAGCTCGGGGACAGCTGCGCGGGCGTCGACGATGTACATGCCTTCGCAGAGGTTATCGTCGTCGACCTGGTGGGTGAAGATGAGCATGGGGGTACCGTTCTTCCTCCAGAACAGCTTCATGTCTTCGGGACCAATGTATTTATCCATGTCGGGCTGCCTCTTGCAGTGGTGTTCGGGGCCTTGCTTCTCGGTGAAGTCCTCCACGAGCATCTTGTGCCAATCGTTGTCCGCAGTGAGCTCGGGCCGGCCGAATGAATCCCAGGTGAGGCTAACAAATGTGGCGACCTGCTGAGCCCGTCTGTACTTCTTACCCTTGATATCCTGGTCGACGTGCGGCGCGCGGGCAATGACGAGGAAGTCATGCTTACTGCCCTTTGGCAATTCGAGAAGAGTGGGATTCATGATCTTCTGGCCCGTCTTCTTAACATTGATGGTATTGTAAAAGCCCAGGTTATTCCGTCGGCTCGTGAGGAGACGGTAGTCGTTGGTTCGGGAGAGGAGAGGGTCGTAGCCGGTGGGGGCTGGGCCGAAGAAGCCATTTCTTTCCAGCGAGAAGGTGACGATCATAAGGACAATGATGGTGGTTATCATGGCGTAAAGCATGACGCGCCTCGGGTGAGGATGGGGGATTCGGATTTGAGACATGCGCACGCTCAAGTTGCGCAGACTGTTGGGGAGACGCATATTGGAGATGCGCATCTTGGGCACGACGGGTACCGCTTTCGGCGAGAGGAGAGAGAATCGGGGAGAGGGAGAGGCAGAGGAGATGCCCTCACATGAAGCGATGGAGAGAGAACGTGTCTCGATCGGTTTTCAGCCACGATTCGGCGCCAGTCGACTAGGTTTGTCGGTCGTAGGCAATGCAATGCAATGCTCGATTAAATGCGACAGAAGAAGAAAAAGAAGAGCCAAGAAAATGACAATAAACTAAAAAGAAAAAGAGTGGATGGAAGAGGAGATAACAAAAAAGATGGAGGCGTTTGCAGGCAAAACCTGAGCAAGCGACAGGACACGATGGAACCTCAGTTAATTTTCTGGAGAATGCGATACCCCCCTAACTTTAAGGGGCGCAGGGGTGGAGGAGCCCTTAAAGCTTTCGCTCAATTCTGTTGGCCAATGCGTAAAAGGAAGAGGAAAAAAACTGTGCCACATTCACAATTTGACCCACCAACACTGCTACCGGCACTGCTAAAACCTGCTGCTGCATGCGGGCAAAAGACACTGATCTTGATCTTAGACATTCTTTAGCTTTTAGCTTTATCAGTAACTTCTTTAGGCTTTCTAATGTTAGTTTAAGCGTCTCAGATATCGCTCAACCCACCACGTGGGGTAGCAAGTCATAGTCACATCTTCATGACATCAGTAGTTTTGTCAGTGTGTGGTCGGTGTTACGCAAGCCATCAGCAATATCACGCACGGCACAGTACAGACGGTAGAAGCCTCGTTCTGGACTCTGCGGAGAAGCCCTGTCTGTGCATTGAAAGTATCGTATTTGCTGGCTGGCGGCCAATCCGAGGTTATTTTTCTTGCAAGCCAATCCGCCGACACAACAGTCGGTCCCGTTGAGCATCTTTATACCCGCCAAGGCTGTCATAGACGCATCCAAAGAACCAGTGGAGATGCAGATTATCAATACGTAGAAAATAACCATTTCGCCAAGCAACCTTTTATCCACCCGTTACATTTTCTCCAGTGAAATTCAGCCCTATTAAGAACTTTATTTTCCAAGCATTGACGTTGCTCAGTAAAACGGCTACAAGAGCCAGTGAATCCATAATTGTTGGTTCCTGGCCCTTCAAAGTGAGGTCCTTGATATTTTTCTTGATTGCATGACTAATAGGCATCAGATCACTATTGACCCACCGGTTCCATCCTTGCAGTGAAGCCATTCCGAAAAACCAAACATGGGGTGGGTAAGTTGAGCACCTCTACGCGAGCCTGCGGCACGAAGGGCTAGACGGGATCCTCAGCAGGGTCCCTAGAAGTAAGATGGCACAAATTTCTGCAGGATGGTCTGAGTTCTTTTCTTAAGACTTCACAATAGTCTCAAAAAGAGACCAAAAGAGGAAGAAAAATACGAAGGAGGATGAGCCGAAGGAAGAAGGAACACAAGAGGGGCTAGACTAACGCATGTGTCGTCAGCATTAGAGGCTTGGACACCTGTCAGATTATCCGAGGGCTTGGCAACCGTAGAGTACGCGTGGTGAGTTTCCTTTTGTGGCTTGGGATTATTGCCAAGTCATCACACCGCAAACGAGACGGATGGACACGGCAGCGGTGTCTTCTCACTTCTTTTCTTTCAGCCAAATACATTCGGTCTGTTATTCCCAAGCAGCTTGGATGAACAAGCTAGGTTTGGGTGACTCGCTCTGGGTTTTAAATAACTTCCAGGCAGACAGGATACGTCGAGCTTCGAATCAGGAACTCGTCAGATAGTCTGACGAGAGAAACTGGCACCGCTGTACGCAGAATAATATTGTTGATATCATTGAGAGATTTGGAAAGCCTGGGTTTGATAAAGTTGAAGGTTAAAGCAAAAAAAAAGAAAACACGCAGAATATCACGCAGAACTCAACTGACCACACACGCCACAAGGTATCATCTAAGCTTGACATACGACTATACGAAGTTGCTCCCCTCGAGCCTCTAATTGGGGGATGGGCAAGCTTCATGCATATGGTCTGGTCGCTCCATCCGTTGTAGGATGGAGCAACAAAAGTAGTGGTCAAGTATGGCGAGCCATTTATACCATGCCATGCAAATAATACCCTCATAATAGGTCTTGTACAGGTAGGCCCATGATGTATGTAGACCTGACGCCGAGAGACAAAGAGTGTTGAAGTAAGGTGTTTGGCAAGACTGGCTGTAGATGATATGTGAATCGCGCATCTGGACGAAACACAAAATGGAGTTCCATTCTTGACTTTAAGCATAATAAGAACCTAGCATATTCTAGCCTAGATGACGTGATTTATAGCGGTATTGAGATGTGAAAGGTCGAACATCGATTTGACTCTGACTGGGTGATAGTCAATGCTCATCGGTTTATTGTTACCGAGTTCAAGCAAACCATCAGTCTCATAAAGAACGTGGTTAGGAGAGAACCAAACAATCTATCCACTAATCTGGCTGATTTTGGATTATTATACACAAAACAAGGCCAGCTCCCGTTCACATCAAAAGCTCCCAACAAGAATGAAGCACATCGCAAAGAAACACATGCGCCCCGGTTTTTGAGTTAGAAGGAGCCTCTCTACACGATCATGTATAGAAAAATACACGAGTTAGGTCCCCGAACTAGGACTACGGAGGTATAATCGAGACACTGCCCATGAAATGTAAATACAAGACTTCGACGCAGCGCTGTGGATGTTCAAGAGTCTTGCAGAAGGCCCGCGTTGCGGAAGTCTACTTGGCGGGCGCGTCACTTATCGGATCATATCTTCTAAGTCTTGTAACCTTAGTTGCATGCTAGGTCGCTTATAAGTGGCCTGAAGTGACAAGCTTTGAACACAAGTTTACCAGAACAAATAAAGGTCGATTTTCCATTGACTACCGACTTTACATGGTTATAAGCAAGTCCACTCGTGGAACTCTTCTACTCCCTCTGTAGCTAATTGCCAAAGAGTTCCGAAGTATTATGAGGTCGCACAGGTTCAAGTTATGTAACGTCTTGGTGAAGCTACACATTACAAGACTCCAAGGTCGGACGTCTTGGTGTAGGCAGGCCTAGGGGTTCGTGACCCAAATGTAACCGACTTCCCTAGTCCATTTAGAAGTTATTGAAACCAATGGAGTGAACCCGAATTATCTGAGTGATTATAACAATATCTTGACTTTGGTTTTTGATCAGGGTCTACGAAACTGGGTTTGTTACATTCCCATCAGTAGGTAATAGAATAATCTCTTTCATCTGTTAGAATTATCTGAGTCCTCATAACTTGAAATTGTCAACCTGTGGGAGCTTGGTCTGCAAGAGCGTGGCTCTCTTGCTATATTTAGATTTATGTAATGTCTGGTAGCACCTTCAAAAAAGAGGTCTAGCTGTCCCAATAAAACCCACAGAAATATCAACAATAGAGGTCTCTACACAGACCGAAAAGCAACAGTGTCTCAAATTTAATAAGGTTAACCACCATATCAGCCACAACTCTATTTCTCAAAGGCATAAAAACCCCTGTAAGAACTGATGGGGCCATGCTATATTCAAATAACTGGTTAATCTTGGATATCTTACTTATATGAATGATTGATTCACATGCTAGACAGTACGACCCTGGAAATAAGCCAGACAGTGGACAAAGGAGAAGCCTGTTTTTGAAAGTGCAGACAATGAATGATCCGTCCATGTAGGAACTCTTTCATTGGCAAATAGATGACCTATTCACTTAATTCTTTGGAATAGAGACGTCAGAGAGTGATGCTAGCTGGACTCAACAGAAGTGAGATTGTCCCTCGCACATAGCTTTCTTGCAGCCAACAAGCGATCCCGTGGCTGGGGTACACATGCTGTTTTGAAGGTTTTGCGAAAGACCAGATGCAAAAGTACGTGAACCCGACGATAGCCACTGAAAAGACTCAACATTCCTCTTCGATTTATTGAGTAGGAAATTGTCATAAGAATCAGCATTTCAATTGCACTTCTTGTGTCCCATAGCATGTAAGTTACCTGGCTAGGGAGAGAAGTAAAACACCGGCAGTGACTCTGCCATAAGATATCTTTAGTTAAGTATAATAATATTAAATAAAACTATTTATTTTTAATAAAATATATCATTAGATCATTATTGCTTCCTCCAAACTTTTATTATTTTCATTTTCTTTATATAGAATTTTTATCAATATTTTAGCCAGAGAGTCTAAGACGTAGGAGATCTAATATCTGGTGATTTATTTTCCCCCCAAGGCCTGGGTGCAGCAATGCAGGCATGTGGATGCGTCGCATTGTTTGGACTATTGATTCAGCAAAACACCATGCATCGTCTGTGGAGACCCAATCTTTAAGCCTAGAACTAGTATCTAGAGTTTGACAGAACAAGTGGACCAGTAAATATTGATCGAGTCTCTCCCAAGGTAGCCCAACGTCAAGGCACAAATAAAAGAAATTAGGATGATGCGAAGGGGTTATGAACCCAACATCCACCGGCCCATTATGAAACATTTGACTCGCTAGCACCTGGGCACTCGTCAACAAAGCCTTGCTACGTACTAGAAGAGAAATATCTTGGTCGGTGGCTGTACGCGTCTCCGTCAATCGCGATGTCAAAAAAATTAATAGGCTATTTTCTTGATTTCTATAGCGCCAAGTCTGTACGCTCGGATAATGCGGCCTCGGCTGACGGCGGTGCCAACGAGGTTAGGATGGAGCCGCAAATCTCCGTTCCAATCAGACGGAGCAATTGCGAGAAACTGCAAGGAACAAAGAAACACAGACAGGGCACGACGTGGATCATTTATGCTAGTGACGTCAAGGACGATCGATTGTTGTTTACCCAGCATCTCCAATGATCTCATATGTTTAGGCGGTTGGAGAAATAAATAAAATAGCCATGAGCGCCAGAAAGTTTAGAGTTTCTCAGCATTCAGACTCGTTACTAGTCTTTTTGTAACCTCTCGCTGACTCGCAATGCCTCGACAAAACGCCCCATTGAGCAAGGCTCTTGTGAGCCTGCTGCCTTTTGTAGCACAGGCTTCGGCCGCGACACTCAACTCCGAGTACAGCTTCAACCCTCTTCACCACCTCGGCGGCATCGCTCCCTACTTCGAGCCCCAGGATCCTCCCGCCTCTCCCGATGCGCCCCAGGGCTGCACCCCCGAGCGCGCTGCCTACCTCGTGCGACACGCTGCCATCTACGCCAACGATTTCGACTTCGAGGAGTATATTGAGCCGTTTGTTGAGAAGCTCCAGAACAAGACCAAGATCGACTGGAGCAAGATTCCCTACCTCAACTTCCTGGCTGAGTGGGAGGCTCCCTTTTCCGATGCTGAGGTTTCGCTCTTGACCAACGTTGGTCGTCTGGAGGCTACGCGATTGGGTGTCGATCTGGAGTTCCGATACCCTGAGTTCAAGCAGCCCAAGAAGATCTGGACTTCTTCCGCTGAGCGCACAGTCAAGTCCGCCCAGTCTTTCGTCCGTGGCCTCGAGTCAGATGACAAGAGCATCAAGGTCGAGAGCATCTACGAGTCTGAGGAATCTGGCGCCGACAGCTTGACTCCCTACAAGGCCTGCCCTGGCTACTCTGGCTCAACTGGTGGCGAGGAGTCCGCCGTTTACCAGGAGAAGTACGCCAAGCCCATCGTCGCACGCCTCAACGACCTCGCATCCGACTTCAACTTCACCATCAACGACATTTTCGGAATGCAGCAGCTCTGCGGCTACGAGACTGTCATCCGCGGCAAGTCTCCCTTCTGCAACCTCGAGCTCTTCTCCCCCGACGACTGGCTAGGTTGGGAATACTCCGAGGACGTGCGATACCACTACAACGCCGGCTACGGCAATGAGATCTCCGGCTACGTTGGCATGCCCTGGTTGAACTCGACCGCTGATCTCCTCATGAGCGGAGACTCCGACGAGGACCTCTACGTCAGCTTCACCCACCGCGAGCTACCCCCCATGGTCCTCGTCGCAATGGGTCTGTTCAACAACTCCGAGCCCGGCGGTAGCGAGTCCCAGATCAACGACACGATGCCCCTCAACAAGATCAACTACCGCCGCGCCTGGAAAAGCTCCCACGTGCTCCCCTTCCTCAGCAACATCGCCATCGAGCGCATGAACTGCAGCAACAGCTACGGCTACGAGGATGGCGAGTACTATCGCGTTCTGGTCAACAGTGCTCCTCAGCCTTTCCCTGCCTGCGAGGATGGCCCTGGAACGAGCTGCAGCCGAAAGAGCTTTGAGTCATATATCCAGGATCGAGTTGACAAGTTCACTGGCTTCTCTGAGAAGTGTGGTGTGGAGTATGATAACTCTACTGATACTCTGTCTATCTACCACGAATAATGATAATCAAGATTAGATAACGTTCATATAATGCCATTTTAATACATATTTCAATTAATACTTGTGGACTCTTATTGCCTTTCCCGCTTGATGTACCTGATCTTTAACTTTTATGTAACCCAGTTAAAACTCGCAAAGTGTTTTCTCACCAAAGTCTATAGAACGCAACCTGTCACGACAAGAATGTTATACGAAGAACTAACTCTAATTACCTGCTGGACCAATGTCAACTCAACAGTATGATATTACAGTTTCTGTGTAACTTTCAGGGCAGTAGCCATACGCAATACTACTCATACATATAAACCTCTATTGCATTGCTGAACTCTAAAATTCCTGTTAATAAAAGGACCAGCCAGGCCACTTTGTGATCCCTCGCCCAAACACGGACACTTCAACATCTATCGCGCAATCTGCAACAGCAGTCTTCTATCACAAACCATCCCGCATGGATACTTCAGAGAATCCGAGACGTAAGTCTCATTCACATACTGCAGCTACAAAAAGAGCAAAATGCCTTTCGTTTCCGAAATTTAACCAGCTTCCGTCCGAAATACGACTGATGATCTGGGAGGCCGCTGTCTCGCGACATACAGATCTCAATACAGTATAGGTGATACGGGTGTCTAAGGTACCCAGGAACCCCCTCGGAATCCAGAAAACCGTTTCAAGGCTATTGGGGGCTTGCTCCGAGTCTCGCAAAGTAGCGTTAAGATGTGGCTCCCTTATGCCTGTTAATCGATACGGGCGCCAGTTGCTACCAAATATGCGCCAGGTGCTATCAAAGGACTACATCTGGATCGACAATGAGATCAAGACCCTGTTCTTTCAATGTGTCTCCACGCTCGACGATGTAACCACAATACCGAGCAACATACAAGCTATTGCCTTTCCGAAGATCAATACAAAGGAGCAAGCCTCGGTTACGAGCTTTGTAGAGAGCCGTATCGGGAGCTGCAACATAAAGACTATCTACGTTGCGCTCTTATGGGTACCTTTCAAGAACATCGAGTTGGAAGGCATCACGACCTCTCTGTGTGCAAACTCAGAACTGGAAGTCGTAGACTACGACGACGAGATGCTGCTCACTTACATAATCACGGCTTTGAATATGAACCGGCTGATCTGGCTGTTGGACCGGATGGATGAAAGACCCTACCTCGAGCGCGCCGAGGAAGCCATAAGCCAGACGAAGGAACATCTACGAGAGCTTACCCACAAATATACGCAATGGCAAGAAGAGACGCGCGTAAGATTCAAGCTTGCTGCAAGATTCGGACCGCGAGAACACTTGCACGTGCAGGGGCAGTCATTAATTCGGAAGGAATTGGCAGATGGATGGGAAAATGGAATGGTGCATGTGTGGTGATGAAGGCATAATATACCCGGACCGTTTTGGAAGGTCAAATGCGAACTTGGATTGGAGAGAAAGACTACTTGTGGACTAAGAGATGCGATAGGTACCGGCGGTCTGTTATGTACTATTTAGGAAAGGAGCTTAGATGAAAGACAGAAGGTCTTTGGTAGTTTTGTCCACTAAAACCCACTCATCTTGCTTTGATCCTGATTTATGATCCTCGTCGCCGTGCTTGCCCTTTTCTGGGTCCGGATACTTTCTGATATTCTCGATAGCCCAAACAATATCTTTACTCAATGCTGGCGGTATCCTGCCATCCCCAGACAATGTCCCTAGCCCTGCGATCTGGAAGAACCCATCTAGCCATCTAAAAGTCTCTCCAGTCTCCCACTCTATCTCGTGGAACTTCTTCCCTTCTTGTTGGCGGGTCTTTTCTCTGGTTCTCTCCCATTTTTGTTGCTCTTCTATAGGAGGAAGAGGAATGTTGTTCCGGCCGGAGAAGAGTCGCGCGATTGCGATGGCCTGGTATTCAAAACTTCGAAATGTCAATACACGTGGCATACCGATGATTGCCAAGTTGGGTATATCGTAGAAGAAGGTGTGCCAATAATTGTTGATCAGCTTCTTCTTACTATAGTCAAACAGTGCTCGTCCATTAACCTTGCTGTTCCAGAAAGGATAAGAAGGAAGGTAACCTGTACAGTAGATGACATGGTCGACGTCCTTGAGTTCGCTTCCATCCTCGAAAGCGATTGTGCCGTCCAGTTTATATTCCTTGATTACAGTTTCCCATTTTATCCCTGGGGGAGGACCATCGCCGTCTAGTCTTCCGCGCGATCTTCGCGACTGGTGTAGTGGAAGCTGAACGGCTTGTAGGAGGTCAAATGCAATATCGTGGCCTGAAGCTGAGTTTCCGATAACGAGGATTTTCTTATTGGCATATATCCATGGTGACCGGTAGAATTTGGAGTGTACCACTCGGCCTGGGAACTTTTCCATATATGCCTCCAAGCCTTGAACCCGTGGAACCTGTGACGAATAGTTAATACAATGTCGCTGAATGGGAATGGGGAGAATACCCAAGGGACGGAATAATGTCCGTTAGCAAGGATTACTGCGTCAAACTCTTCTTGCCACCATACATCAACGTGACGCAGACGGTCATACTTGCGCAAGGTCAACTTCCAAGTCTTCAGCCCATCTCTGGAAGCAGCCGGTAACTGAGTCAAGTCTTCCACCGTGGTGCCAAGCGATAAATATTCATCTGTCTTGTGTATCGAGAAGTAATTCTCTATGTATTGACGAGGTACATAGTGCGGGACAAAGGGCCCGTAGGAAAATGACGAGTCTGAGAAAGACATTGCAATGTCAGGCACGTTTGTCCTTTTCGTATTAGTACGTCTGAACTGATACTTCACATACATGCAGCTACTTACGTGAGGTTGTAATAGACAGGCGTGTGGGCATATCTTTCTTGTTCATTCGGAGGCACTATTGCTGGTACGTTTTCGGGAACCGCCAGTGGTTTATCGATGTCGGCTGGCAGACCTCCAGGCTGAATGGGAGGAATCTGCGGGTCGGCATCGTAGATCCTACTTCTGATGAGAAGTCGAAAGTCATGATTCCAAGTCATACTGACCATGTGCCACCAGGAGTCTCCCTTCGTTCGAAAACACGGATCCGATCGAAAGACTTCTCCGCTTTGAGCGCCGCTGCAGCAATGGCTCCTAAGAACAATACGATCAGCAATCCGGTATTTTTAGTCACTGGGGTAAAAGGTCAGGTTACCGGCAGCTCCGGCTCCGATAATAGCAATGGACTTGATTTCACGATCTCTCATGTTTTGGGTTATTTGATGAAGATTTATTATTGAATGATAAATTGTTAAGAATACTCAAGTGAGGTGTATCAATAGCTACTGAAGCGGAGAAATGTTGTAACACGGCATAATCTTGGATTATTCACCATATTCGTCATGTTCAACCTGGATGTCACCATTGTGTATCACGTGAAACTATCACCTCATCTTTATTCAGAAAGTATGAAATTTCAACCTAAGATCTAATAGGGGTCCCTAACGCACATTAAAGCTCTGTCTCAAAATCACTGAGTCTTGGAACTCGACTTTTGCTCTTTGAGCTTTCGCTCCAAAACATCCACCCCACCCATCTGCTTCAGGATTCCATCAAAGGTGCCAGTCGGAAGCAAAGAGCCATATCGAGCCAATCCCGCGCTGGCCCCTCTGGAGACCAAATGCGGTGGCTTCTTACGACTGAGATCTCCAGCAACTTGCTTCGCCCAGCTCTCAGCACTAGATTTGTTCAAGCCGACCTCGTTGCCAGACATTGTCGATTCGATGGCCTCTTTGGCGATTTTGTACATGGAGTCTTCAGGCAGCTGCGCACCAGGTGAATTGCTCCAAAAGGTTGACTTCACCCCGCCAGTCAACAGGTTGACAACTTGAATGCCAAACGGGCCCAGCTCGAGTCTAAGGATTTCAGTCAAGCTGGACGCCGCGGCTTTTGACGCTGCGTACATGCCCTGGAACGGAAGACCAGCCCCCAGCAAGCCCATGCCGGAAGTGTTGTTTACCAGAAGGGCTCCACGAGTTGACTTGAGGAGTAGAGGAACAAAAGCCTGGGTGACTCTGATGATGGAGAAGAAATTGAGTTCAAAGAGCTCGTAACCCTTTTGGATCTCGACGTGGACGATAGGCATGCTGTAAGCGCCACCAGCATTATTGATAAGTGCATCGAGTGAGCCGCCTGTGAGCTGCTTGACCTTCTCAGCTGCAGAACATATGGATTCGTCGGATACGACATCCATTACAACATATTCGATGCCTGCAGCTTGGACAACCTTCAGCTTGGCGGGATTTCGTGCTGAGGCGATTACTCGCCAGCCTTGATCTTTCATGGCCAAGGCCAGGGCCGAGCCAAGACTACCATCGGAGCAGCCTGTGATCAAGACGGTTCTCTTTTGAGACATGTTGGGATGAGTTGCTTTGAGAATGTGTTGTTTTAATGGAATGATATGATACAGGGCTTGAACAGGACCTTTCTGAAGATCAAATGCACAGTGAGGCAAATCCCAAGCTTATTATATATTCTAAGCAAAACCATTTAATGACAAATCCACATATATCGTGGCTTTTTTTGACGGGCAATGGTCACTCCGAGATTCAATGTTGATTCCATGAATAGGATCTTTTTCAAAGTCTGTGATTGGGTGTGGCAGTGGCTGACAAAGGTTGTTCATCCTGCAAGATCTTTTTAGCCCTCTATGATTGGCTTATGCTTCTACTCTCATGATACTGGCTTGCTACGCGGAATAGTCGCAAGGCCAGTATTATCAAGTTAAACGTCGCTATTTCCATTATAAAAGCTTGATGATAATAAAGTCGTGCTTTTCAGCCTCTCTTCTACGTCCCCAGGTGCCAGATGAATGAGAAGTCTAGTCTAAATATTGTTCAACACTGACCATTCCAGAGACATTTCCGGGGCAATGGTTGTCCCGACGCCTGTACTATCCCTCCCATGGCGGTGGAATTGCGGACTTGAAGCAGCGGAGTTTCCAGCACCACCAAGATACAGCAACACATTGGCCTTCAAATTACAGACATCTCACTTTCTCCCCATTGCATGCTCAATCTCTTCCAATGCAGCAAGAACCTTCTCGTCATACTGTCTTCGGCCAACCACCTGCAGATTGATAGGCATGCCGGCAAACTTCTCAGGCGTGTACATGTCATACACGAGTTTGTCCTGGTCGTTCTTGGGGACATACTCGACGTCCTTGGGGTCTTTCAGAGGGTCGACTGTTGTCACCGGGAAGACAGCTGCTGGGCTGTGGCATACTGTTAGCGAAAGAACAAGAGGTGCTGGATAATGCGACTCACTAGTCAAGTAAGTTCCAATGAGACGTGTATCCCCAGTAGCGAGATTGGTCATGTGGTGCTGCTGCGCCGGGGAAGGGAGGACAAATGATTACATCGACTTCTCTTCCACCGTCGTTTGCTGTGTATGACCAAGCTTTCGCATACGCAGCGCGGTAGTTGTCGCGCTTGGTGCAGAGCTGTTCGAGTGTCAGTAACACCCAACATAGACGAGAACTCCAGACTTACCTCCCAAAGCTCGTGCATATTCAAGTTCTTGACACTGGGCTGCTCCTGGATGATGAACTTGGTCAAAGGCAGAATAGGCTCACCCGCTGCCTCCATAAGATCCAGCGCCTCTTTACCTCCATCGGGCCAGTACAATGCTGAGAGGATCTCCCAGCCTAGCTTGTGATCCAACGGCTCACAGTCCCAGTCCACGACTTCCATGCCTGCTTTACGGCACGCTTCGGCGACCTCTTGTAGGGCCCTGGTCATCGGAGGATGAGGCTGTACGACACCATCCCACCATTGAATAGCCACCTTGAGGGGTCTGTCGAACTTGTAAGGCGTCCATTCCTTGGCGGTCAGAGAGGGGTCGGTCAGCCAGGGCTTTGATGCGAGAGCCACCTTCATGAACAGCTCAAGGGTTTCGCGGTCAACAGTCATTGGGCCTGGTGTAGAAGAGACGGTCTCCTTGCCAATCATCACTGCTCGTGCGCCCATAGTTGAGATACGCTTGAGCGTTGGCCTGACAAAGTTTAGCAAAGCTAGTAAGTAAACGTTAATGCACGACTTACTTGAAGCCGTAAAGTCCATTGTGGGCAGCTGGACAACGAATACTGCCGCCAATATCACCGCCAACACCCTACCCCTATTAGCTATAGGCCAGAAATACCAAGGACTAATGAGGCTTACCAGTAGACTTCCACGAAGCCCAATCAAAGCTCCCTCGCCACCACTGCTTCCACCAGACGTCAAATCACGGTTGTACGGATTGACAGTTCGTCCATAGATGGTACTGTTGGTCTCAAGGTGCATAATTGTCTGTGGCTGGGTCGTTCGTGTGTAAAAGACACAACCTTCGGCATACAAGTCGTCATAGAGAAGATTAGAGCCATGTGCTTTACCAATCCATGCGACGAATGAGGCGTGAGTCGTGACGTTATCTCCTACCATTCCGTGGTGTTCCTTGGCAGAGATGGGCAGTCCAAAAAGCATTCCCTTAGGCTCAGGCAGTGAATCGAGATATCTGGCACGCTCGATAGCTTGATCCCACATGAGCTCGACTAAGCAGTTCGTCTGTTCAGGTCAGCCACGAGCAAGATAGCTTCACGTGTGGGAGTTAACTCACGGCGGCTTGAGCCACAGCAGCTCTCCGCAAAAACGCTCGGGTAACCTCTTCGACCTTGATTTCTCTCTTGCGTAGCACATCGAGAAGCTCAGCGACAGAGTAGTTCTCAGTGATCTCAATCTCTCGTGCCGTCAAAACAGCCTTGGGAAGACTTTGACAGTTAAGTGGGAGTTCATCTGGGATGCCTTGCAGCTTAGGTTCAACCTTGGAGAGGCCAACATCTCGGTGTTGCAACGCCGCCGATACTGTTTCTTGATAAGTTGCCATGGTTTTGAAGAGTTTGGACTGTATCATAGAAAGCGTCAGCTAAGTTTCTTAGTAAACAGGAAGAGATTTGGTGGAAGAACTGACAAGGATGAAGTTAAAAGATTATGTACGAGTTTGAAAGAATCTAAGTTACGATCAACGTGATCATTATCTCCAAGTCATCAGTCATGCGGGGTTCTGGTATCTTCACTTATTGGATTGACCGAGGCTTATCTCATCTTAGTTGGTCAAGCGGCGACGCGAGCCGATAATATCCAACCGCTAAACCCCGCATTTGGACGCCCTTTAAGCTGTCATGTCAAGTCATTCACGATCCATCAATGGCCGTTAGTGATTCTTTTGAATTAGGTCTAGATCTTTAATAACGGAAATTCAAGATTCTACGGTTTTCCACGGTGGGTAGCATAGCGAAAAGTGTTACCCACAACAAAGACCTCCTTATCAGTGACCCCGAGACAGAACTGGTGAGTTGCAGACAGATGATGCAAGGACCCCTGTGGCACTATCTAACCCCGCTGATCATTACTTGCAATCTACTTAGTATGTCGTATGATGTTTATGATAACTCGTTGGATTCCCTCATAAAATTATATATACTATGGAGCAGGGCAAGGAATAACAACTCGGTCGAAAGCCGAATTGTTGAATACCAGCCAGAGTATATGTATAAATGTCATGTACTTTAATAAAAGCTCGACCCTAACAGGCAAGTATAAGAATAGCATCCCGTTCTTAGATGACTCCTTGTGGAGATTACGATGTAGAGATGGAATTACAACTTTGAGCTCTATGTATCTTGAAAATAATTTTCACGTTTTAACCAAATCCTTGCCGGCGAAACTGCCGCACTAAATAATGATAAATAGCGTGGTAACTAAGAGCTTGGTGGACAAGCACCAGAAGACAACATACTTCGAATCAGATGACTCGGACTTCGTAGATTATTAGTCCATCGAGCTTACAGATTCGAAACTACAAAAGTGTAGATTTTAATAGTCTCTTACTTTGTAACCTGATGATGTATACCCAAGCTACAAATGCTCCAACGTTTATGCAGGCAAGGTACCTTTTCAGGACACCGTTCGTACCCAAGAGTCCAGCCACCTTGTCCGTGAACAAGTTTGACTATGATAAAGTCGCAGATGAGTTCAGCAGTATGCAGTAGCTGCGCAATGAAGAGTGAAGAGGGATGAACGAGGTGAAACCAAAAACGTCTGGCAGATGTTATGTTCGCAGGCTGTAGCCACAGCTACCTTCACGGTTTTACGAACAAGACTTTGTGAAATTTCAAGCAATGTGCTGGAATTAATTTGAGAAAGTCTCCCGTCTATCTCATCTTCACCCCCATCCTCCAGTCATACTCTCAATAGTTGTTGTAAGAATAATAACTGTGATAATACTGTAGCTATACAGGGTAGGTTACCAGTTCGATATCACGACATCTGTGTATGCGTTCAAAGGCCGACTGATGGCGTGCAAATTGTGCTGCGCGAATTATACATATATGGGTTTCCGAAGCCCGAGACTGCTCGGAATCATATTGGCGCGGGTTATTGTGTATGAAAGTATAGGGCAGCAAAACGAAGTTGACAGTATGTCCATTCAAATAGGACAGTGAGCAAAGACGACTTGATTGTTACAATATAGGTTAATAACATCAATCATGATATGTCCTGCTATAATAAGCAGTACGCAAGTCATAGTGATATTACCTTGGTAGCAAAAACCGTATTACTGCGGACCACTGGCCTCGTGACATCGTCCTTCTTTATTTACACCGGCAGCGCGTCCACCAGGTTTTTGGTGAATGTGTTGGTACAGTTGCTTAGAGGACTATGATCTAACGGAAGAAGGGACCAAGTGCTGGTGGTGAGAGTCAAAGCGGCCAAAGCGCTGAAGATGGGGCTGCCATTTTGGCACGGCACAGATCTTGAAGGTGCCGTTTGTATATATAGACGTTGCTGATGACAGTCGGAGCCTCATGGGCAAGTGACAGCCTGTCCAAACGAGCGATCATTCGATATGCCCAATTGCACGTCTTAGATATGAACAGACCGGAACTCGGAGCGATAACAAGATCCTTCGGGGCATCACTGTTACCGTGTCCCGGTTTTGGCCCGCTGATGGCGTCGTCTTGACGTCGGCCAGCGTATGAGTACCAATAAGGTTAGCAGATTAATCGAGCGAAACGTTGAGCTGACAATCACAAGCCAAAAACAAAAGGACTTTCCACGTCTCTTGTAATGTTTCACTCCGTGTTAGCTTGTTGAGTCGTTGAAGAAAACGCCATCGAGTGCCGAAACTTTATTAACAATAGCGCAGTAGATCCACTGTCACCACTGCACACCGCCATTAATCGCTCCATATTGCCGTGCTACAGGCTATAAGGGCTCTAAATGTTAAATTCCGCGATAAAATAGTTGTTTTTGCCAGATCGGAAATATCTAGAGGATATCTTACTGAATACCTCTGCTGATTGATATTGTAATACTGAAACCTGATTTCGCTGATCCAACCCGATTATCCAACAGAAGAAGTATATGATACAACATTTGGAGCCCTTGTAGCCCGTATCATGAAGTTACAGCCTGAGACACAGGTATCCAGAACCCCTGGTTGAAAAACGGAAACCTCGGCTCGATTCGCACCATGGTGGGCTGTTTAGTCGACGTACATCCAATGGGACGAGTGGGATTAACACCTGCAAAGAGTGGGATTAAACAAGGAAAAAATTGCCAGAGTTTAAGTTAGACTGAGCGCCCCAAAATCGAAGGGTTTCCAATGGGCGCATCTTGAGTATTTTTCACGATGGTAAAACAATCGACTACTGACGTTGGAAAGAGCCGCGTTGCTATTATAGGCACTGGTCTTGCTGGCCTTACCACTGGGTACCTGTTGCAGAGCGATGAGCGTAAGCGCTACAGTGTAACGCTATTTGAGCAGGTGCGAGACATTCCATCCCCTCCAGTCGTCATAGACTTTGGACCCTTCCTCTAACATTAACTTTTTTCGTTTTCTCTTGCTAGGCCGATAGACTCTCTTTCGACTCAGCGTCTGTTACGATTAGCAACGAAGCGACAAACGATGCCGAGCGAATTGATCTGCCGATGCGCGCGAGCGCTGCGGGCTACTACCACCACCTGATGCGCATGTACGAGCATCTTCAGATACCGCTTCACCCTGTGAAATTTCTCTTCGCCTTTGCGAAAGCTACCCCGACGGCCGATGGGACGATCCCGCATAGCAGCGAAAACGAGAGCTACTTCATCCACGCGTCGAACCTGCACCAGACACCGCCGCCGTGGCCAGGCAAACGCAGCGTCATCGCGCACTTGACCGAGATTTTGTATCTCATTGTGTGTCAATTCTGGTTTACCATCGCATGCTTCCTCGTCGCACCGCTCGAAGTCACCGCGTCCGGGTACAGCGAATCCGTGGGCGAATACCTCGAACGAATTCGATTGCCGCGACGATATAGATCACATTATCTGCTCCCGCTGCTGAGCGGTGTGGCGACGTGTACGCACGAGGAGCTGCTTCGATTCCCCGCGAGCGATGTTGTCAATTATAAGAAGCTTTCGCATGGGCAGCAGCATTATGCTGTTTGCGGCGGAGTGTCACAGGTGCAAAACAGGTTAACTAAGGGATTGGAAGATGTGAAGCTCAGTAGCCGCGTGCTTGAAACTGTGCCTCAAGCAGACGGAACGGTTGTTGTTCGCTGGCAGTCACTTACTGACGCATCCGGTCGCATCCAAGAACAAGTCTTCGACCGTGTTGTGCTGTCTACGTCTCCAGATGTTGCAGGCCAGATCTTCAGCCCGCTGAGGTCTACGTTAGAGAAGCTTCCAACGCGTCGCGTCGAGAGCTCTGTTCTGAAGCCTGCAGACTCAGGGATCAAGCTTGTCAAAGACGAGGAGGGGCAATCCCTTGCCTGTATGCATCACTCAACGGGAGCTCCGTCAGCCCAGACCATGACGCTGAGGACGCTTTTCTCCGACGTAGGCAGTCCTCGCACAGAAGCACTCCACGCCATGCCCTGCGGTGTCGTAGTCAGTACCTGTCCACTACGCGAGGAGGCGCAGTCACAAGTGCTCAAGAAGGCCCAGTTCATCAGAACCTTTAGAAGCACAGAGAGCCAAGCCTTGGTTCAACGATTGATGGGTAGTACTAGCAACAAGAAGAACGAGGATGATAAAGCGTTGGCTTGGGTCAATGGGCAGGATAACATTTGGATCTCGGGAGCTTGGTGCTGGGATGGGATGGTCCTGCTGGAGGGGTGCATCGTGTCGGCCATGAGAGTGGCTGAAGATTTCGGCATAGCAATTCCTTGGGAAAAGGAACAATGACGGGCTAACGAGCTTAATGACATATAATAAACAATACCTCTTTCCAAGACTAATGACAATTAACGTATTTCTGATTTAAGCATAATAACATTCGTAACTTTAAATATGCATTTAGTCATCTACCGAAGGCCGTGGTGGGTTCACCGTCAATTACCTGCCAAGCTGTCAACCGTCTTCAACACCTATCATTCCCTAGTGACGGCCCGTTAGTCTACGGCGCGGACCGCAATCGCTACAATGCATTTCAATCAAGACAGTTTTGGCGCAGGCTTCGCAGCCGGGCTTTTCTGCGCTCTGGCCATCGCCGCCATCGTCGCATTCGTGGTGATGCGGATGAGCGATATCTACGGCCTCGGACACTGGAAGCTCAACATCTCCTCCCGCCCTCCCTCCATGTGGATGAACGTCGGATATTGGTAAGCAACTTCCGTCTGGGACTCGGTCATCACCGAATAATGAAAACTTACTCCTGAGGCTATGTTAGGAAAACACAAGCAGGCGCGCCAATTGAGAAATTCCCCGAGGCGTGCTCTGCCCTGCTCGAGCAGGTTGTCCACGCCGCCGGCCTGTCTGACCACGACCGTCCCCATGGCTCCCTCGCAGTTCTTGACCTGGGGTTCGGCTGCGGTGACCAGACTTGGCAGCTGGCGAAGCTTGCCAACTCGCAAGGCTGGAGGGATTTTCGCTACGTGGGACTTACCCTGAATGACGCACAGGTTCAGACGTCGCGCCGCAAGATTTATCGCGAGATTGCCGAAGCGGGGACTGGTATCGACGCGGAGTCTTTTAGTATGTTCTGTGCCGATGCTGCAAAGCCTGAGACTTGGAGCTCTGCTACTGCAGAAGCTGTTCATTCTCTCACCGATGAGAAGTACACTGAGCGCTGGCTTCTTGCCCTTGACTGCATCTACCACTTCTCACCGTCTAGAAAACCCGTTCTTTCGTACGCAGCCAAAGAACTAGACGCCAATTTCATGGCCTTTGATCTGCTCCTCAACGAGAAATCTTCAACTGCCGATATCTGGAAGGCTAGGCTTATCGGGAAGATGATGGGCTGCCCGCTCAAAACGTTCCTCTCGGAGAAGGACTACAGAGACCAGCTGGTGGAGTGTGGGTACGACCGCAACGAGATCACGATCAAGGAGATCACAGACGACGTCTTCTCGGGACTGGTCAGATTCCTCGATCGCCAAGATCAGTTGCTTGCTGAGTATGGGGTCACGATGGGCGGCTTCAAATTGGCAGGCAGACTGTTCAATTGGTTCGACAAGTCGCGTGTCGTCAGAGCCGTGGTCGTCGTCGCTCGAACAAAGAGCAAGACAGGATAGGCAATCAGCATCCGCCCACACACATCTTGCACCATGCAGATACTATTATTATTTAAGCTTGGCCGAATTGCGATACAGTATTATCTACGTGATTTCCGAGATCAGCATCAGGATTGGCTCCATGTGTTTTAATAGACAGGAACCCGGTCCTATAACCGCGTGGAAGAGTCCGGTTTCCGCGTTGGTTCTGTTCTAATCGCGGGCAATCCTTGCTTGAAGGGCCACCTGCAAGTGTTTTACTTTGCGTAAACGAGAGTGCAGTGCTCGTACCCAGCGCAATGGCGAACGGGTATTGTATCCCACTAAAAATTGGGTATTTTTATTCTAGACGTTTCACTAAGCGGCTCGCTAATTAGTCGATGTCGATGCGTAATAGCACCATACGATCCCAGGAACCACAACGCTGGGTTACCCTCGGACCTGAAGTTTAACGGGGGACCGGGGTATCAGTGTCTTGATTTTCCATTCCAAGTGAGGCGAGAGGAACAGTAGCATCGGGGATCGGGCTTGAGAAAGACTCCACGAGCCATTTTAAACTGCAACTGGCACTCTCCACTCGTGGGTCGATAGATGGAAGCATTGTAGAAGGCAGTTGCGTGCAATCGCCTCGTCATCCTTTTAGTGATGCGACCTATATCTCAGCTTCTAATTGTCCGTCCAAGTCTGACACTCAGAGCAATTTACCTGGAGGAATGTTCTGGGCCCCACGGTCCAATCATCCACAATTAGCCGTGGAGCCCGATGTCCAAATAAGATGAAGCTACCGACATCCCGATATCCTAAAGAACACCACCCTAATGGTTCGTCATTGTCTTTTGTTTGTGATCCCCCCCGCCACAGGAAAAAGGGAACAAATCACTTTCCACTTCCCGTGAGGAACCGTTGGATCTTGTTCTGTCTCTTCTAAAAACGGGACCACATGGTTTGCAAGGACGAAATCGTCCAAGCGTTGGTTTGGTGCCCAGGCCCAGGGGTCATGGATGAGGAGGGTAGATCCAGGGTTGAGTTAAACCACGTATAGGAAGCGTCGATGTGCTCCCGCCAACAGGGGCCACGTCCTGCGAAGAATGTGCACTTTTAATCACCTTTTCCCTCTTCTTTTCTTTTTTCCTTGCCTGTTTCACTCTGCATATGCAACCCCGGACCTAGCATGCGGGAGACGACTCTAGTGACAACCACCCCCCGCGGCTTGATTGGCCCTTCTTGGGATAGGTCCGGTACTGGATGTTTTGAAACTGCCTTTATCGGAGCCACCGTGTCAGGTCTACGGAGAAACTAATCAAGTATTGGAAAGAAATAGAGTCTATCCTGAGGGTGATGGAGAATATGGGTTTCCCCGTTGTTTCGGTAGTCAGTTGGAAAGACCTTTTTTTTACCTTTCTCGATGCTCAACGACATCAGTTTCGAGTTTCGAGATACGCGTAATGCAAAGTTTATTTTTCAGCGATGGATAATCCCTGGCATCGTGATCCTTTCGTCGATTGATAACCTTGCTCCGTGAACTAACGGCCTAACTGTCCGATTAAGGTAGACCCCGTCCCGTACGAGCTCGACCAGGCTACCCGGGGAACGACAGGACACCACCCAGGCTGCCAGGCCCTTTATTCACCTGCAGGGAAGGGCAAGGGCCAGCATCTCGCCTACGCACGTTGCATTCTACCCGCATACAGAACACATACATAAAGGCGAGGTGATCAAGACCATCCCCCATGCGGGAGCAGGGGTTGTTTGTTCGTTCCGAATCCTTCTTTTTCCACATTCGTTCCCCCCCATTTCTTTATCTCATTCTTTCTTGACACTCTTTCTGTTTTATTGTTGGCTTGTGGCTGTTTGCATATTGCATCCCCCTCCCAAATCTCCATTCATTTGTGCCAAAACGAAACAAACCGGGACCTGTGATCTGCGGCGCGGGACGATACGAGAGAGAGAAAGAGAAATATGTGGCGATGAAGCTACAGCTTCGCGACGACAATGAGGACGGGCCCGTCCACCCGTTCGTCAATCCTTATACCGAGTTGAACATTGGGCTGTGGTTATTGTTTTTTGGAGCGTCTGTGTTTTTGTTTGCGAGGTTGTATGTCAAGGTTGCAAAGAGGCATGGCATGTGGTACGATGACTACATCCTCATAGTATCATGGGTGAGTACCAGCACTCGAAATATCAACGGCCTGTACTGACAAACGCCCCCAGCTCATCCTTCTCGCCAACAACAGTCTCATCGTATACGAATTCGGCAACGGCTATGTCCTTAAAGACTCATCACAAGAATGGGACGACAAAATGCACATCCTCATCAACATTTCATCATGCGGGACATTGATCGGCCAGGCGTTGACGAAGACAGCATTTGCAGTAACGCTGCTGCGCATGAGCAACCAGTGGCAGAAATGGGTGCTGTGGTTCTGCATTGCCACCATGAACGCGTACATGGTCACAAAGGTTATCTTCCAGTGGGCCAAGGTCTGCGGCAAGGATACCTACGACAACTGGTACAGACTTGATTTCTGCCTGGAAAAGGACTTCCGGACTAATTTCAAGGAGGGCGGCAACAGTGAGTCTTGGGTTGAGTGGTGGTGTGGATTGACGCTGACTTTACTTGCAGTCTACAATATCATTATGGATTTTGTGTTTGCGAGTTTCCCGTGGCTGATTACTCGTTCTCTGGAGATGAAGCGAGCTGAAAAGGTCGGCCTTTGCTTGACGATGAGTCTGGGAATGATGTGAGTCAACATACAATATCTCACTCAGAATATGTCTAACAAACGTCCAGTGTCGCCATCGTCGCAGCTATCAGAGTTGGTTGGAAAGACCAAGGAAACGGCCGTGACGCTTACTACATCTGTAAGTCACACTCAACTCACTAGCACAGCTCTCACTCACAATATTCGCAGGGCGCAACGGCATGTCGCAAATATGGTACTCATCAGAAGTTGCTGGAACAATCATGGTGCAATGCATCCCCATTCTCCGTCCAATTCTCAAAAACATCCACACATCATTCACATCCCGAAGACTCGAATCCAGCAACGGCGAAAGAAAGGGCTCCGGCTGGACCTGGACGCGCAGCAGCAAGCACTTCTCCACAGGGCCTCTCACACCAGGCCACCCCGTCGTCGTCAACCCCGACGCCGTTGAGCTACGAAACATCCCCGAGGAGCAGGAACCAGCAGAGTTCGACTTCTGGGACAAGCACCGCCCGCCGTCACCGGATGATATCGAGGAGGCCAGACCAGCGGAGCACAAGTTCACCAGAGACGATAGTTGGCCGCTGGGAGGAGGAAGTGAGTCTGGAAGAAGCACGAGGAGCCTTGAGTTGGCGCAGTCGAGCGTAGGGCTGGCTGTCGAGCAGGAACACGCCCAAGGACTGAGTCCACCACCACCCAGGAGGAGTTAAAAAGGGCCCACATCATTACTTTCCACTTTGTTTATAATAGGGTTACAGCAGTCTGCTTAGACACGACGTTATGTATATTTTCTTTTTTCTCGGAACTTTTTTGAAACGAGCTGTGACACATGCATGCGTGATATGAATCGTGGCTTAATATGTCGGAGCCAATCTGCACAGACAGAAACAAGTCACGTCATGCCGGGAGCACTAAATTAGTGTTCTGTCACATTTATTCCTTTTTCTTCCTGTTGTATGACGTGAAAAAGACTGCCAGATCACCCTGGACCTTGTAGTTAGTTTATTACCCTGTGCCTGAATTGCTTTTCCCAAAACTTCCGAGACGCCTTGCCCATGCTTTTCCTAGCCTGCAGCCTCGACTACAACTTGGCATGGTCTTCCTGCATCGGGTGAATAGACGCTGTGGCAAGATATCTGATGTCGGGCAGTCCCTGCTCGACCCAACCAACCATAGTCTTTTCGTACAGCTCCCGCTGTTCTTCTACCGAGGGGGCAAGCCCGTCGAGACCCCTGGCCTGTCTGCTTTCCTCGGTCTCTACCAGCCAAGCATCCTCGTCGCTGTCGTCATTTTGGAACACGTATCTTCTTGTCTCGCAGTTCTTCCACCCTGTACCGCATCCTGCGCAGCTGTCCTCCCAGTCGTTGCTGAAGTAGTGCATGAAACTCCCGTGAGCGACCAAAGCAATATGAATATCCTCGTTGGTGTCTTGGCTTAATGCGATGCCCTTTTCTCTGAGTATCCTTCGGACCGTACGAGCGCGAGCTGCACACGCACCTGTGACGGGGCTGTTGGGTCCATAGAGATTCTTGTCGTTCCAGCCATTTGATACGAGACTCAGGTCAACAGGCCATCCATTCTGCAGAGTCTTTTGCCTGAGTACATCGGGGTTGCTTCCGATATCACAGCCATGATCAGAGATCTCTTGAGCTTCCGGAATAGCAAAGATGTTTTGCGTTTCAAGTGCCGAGTTGAAGATGAGATATGCCGTGTGTAGAGTCCGCGTCATGGGCGAAGAAGCAATGAGGTCGAATTTCGATTGGTCCTGAAACGAGGCTTCCCGACGCTCAGCACACTGTTGCTCCCCGCGAGGTGTTAGCGCGGGGTCTTTTAGACCGAAGAATTCTTCGCCCAGGTTGTGGTAGCCCTGGGCGTGTCTGACAGCATGGATGATAATTTGGCCTGACATGTTTAACGGTTTTTCGGGTTTTCTTGCAAAGATCGTGAAAGTCCAATTTTCACGGGCCGTCCAATTTTTATAGAAAAGATACCCAGTCACAAATTGACGTCAATTTGCCTCCGTTGTCGCTTTTACCGCGCTGGGGGCCCCAGTTGCCCCATAAAGCGCGCGTTAGTGTCTTCATCCTATCTTGGCAATTCACCACGACGGCTGCGTCAACGTGGGATTTTGGCGGATTATCACAGGCTGTGAGAGTCGCCGAATTCGCTTTGTAAGCCCTGGAAATACTCTTGGACGACTACGTGGCAGTGATTGACTTCACTGTGTGCCGAAGATGTTGATTGGTAATTTTTGGTTACCCCATGCCGAAACCTTCATGCTGGTCTGTTGATGTTGCGTTATGGATCTACGTGCAGCGCAATATGCTAATGCGTGGATTTGCACGACTCATATCGTAGATTGTAAACCTTGATAAAGACAATCGTGGTGACGCTGAGATGCGCCCAGAACTAGAAAGTGGCGTCTCTGCTATAGTTACTCGGACACGACGCAGCAATCAATTGAGTTTCTCCGCTTCAACATCCCATTGTAAAGTTAATATGGTGCATTGGGCCTTCCACGCGGGGGTATTAAGAGCGTGGCAGGGCCCATATCATTATGTCGCCGAATCCACAGACGTAACCGATTACCCCATGGCGATCACCTCGTCTATCGACATGATAAGACGACTCCGCTTAAACAAGCTATGGCCCCATAATACACACTCATTCACATCAACATAAAGCTATGCATAGATCCCAACGCAGTCTGATGCCACTTGATGTTAACCCCCTCCCTAGCCCGTAAAGCCCAAAGCTCTTTGACGAGATGTGTAAATTGCGACCAGATAGCCAGCTCCGACCTCTCCTCGAAGAAGGCAAGAGACTTCAACATGCGCTGCTGCAGCGGTCCCTCCGCAATCTCAAACGCAATGATAGCAACGGGCCAGATCATTGGCGAGAAGCGTTGGGTAGTCCCCGCTGGCATGGCTTCGAGGTGAGGCAACGCCTTCTCAACAAGTGGCTGTACCTCGGCCAGCGGCATGCCTTTGAGTGTGCGCTTCATATGGATGAGGGCGGCGTAGTAGAAGGTGCAGCCGTGATGGTAAATCAAATCACCGTATTCTCTTGTTACCGAAGCTTCGGGCTTGGTGGGTGCGGAGAGGTACAGTTCAAGTTCCAGTCGGTCGAGCTCCTCGGGTGAGGGGTCATTATCAGTTGAGGACTTCCTGCGCATTTCGAGTGTGTTCATGGCACGCAGACCTTGGAATATCGGTTGGGGAAGACCGAGTGCTGTGTACAACACATAAGGTTCAGGTTGTGGTCCAAGATCATTTGTAAACTCCCAATATGAAGTCTCGTGGCCGTCAAACAACAGTTGTGCTTGCACCACAGTCGCCATACCGCGAAACATCTGGTAGATACTCGATGCTGCTTCACTCCTGTGCCAGACTTGAGGATCGATGTGATTTACCCACTCTACCGCGCCGCGGAAGTGCAGGCGCCAGAAGGTGGTGGGCAGCGTGACTGCTTCATTCATGAGGCACAATATCAACGATGCTAGAACCGACACACAATTGGCGCCATCTTTAGAGGAGCGGATGTTTTGGGAGAGATGCGTGATGCCAATATTGTGATGCTCGAGGGCGACGTTCTCGAGGGCGCGTCTAGACTCCTTTGTGCCTCTTGTTTTTGCAAGATGAAATGCAGATGCCGAACATATGAAATGAAATAAAGCAGTTGCGCCGGTCGACTTTTCCGAGTCTGTTCTGCTTCCTTCTAGTGCAATAGGCATCATGGCATTCCGCATGGGATTGAGAACACCAGGCACCGGATTTAAAGAGTCACAGAGACTAAGTGTCCAGTGTTGGAGTAGTTCACATTGTAGGCCGGGGTTAGGAAGTATATCGAGATGGCGTGTGATGGTGTGTCCTGGGCCTTGGGTGTTGGCCGGTGAGGGTGAGTGAGATACGATGTCGGATACGCTGGGTAGGGGTAGTGATCCAGGACTGATGCCGGTGATGCTGGCAGGTGTGGACGCGTTTTGTGTGTTGTATCCATCCTGGGTGATGGTGTTCTGACTGAAACTGCTGCCCAATTGAAGCGGTGGTAATTGGGTTTGTGTTGCTTGTAGTGAGACATATGGACTCCCTGTCGTAAGCCCTTGTCCGAGTAGCTCATATGAGTGAAATATCCGTGTGTTTAGATGATTGTTGAAAGGGTCTTGATTAGAAGCCGATGGCTGATTGTGAATAAAGGGTGTTGTGATCGACTGCATCTCAGGCGAAAGGTCTGAAGGTCCCCCATTCAAAGGCCCTTCCCCTTGATCACTCTCATCTGCACCATCACGAGGTGAGGCATCCTGCTCCGAAGCAGTCTCCTCAATGTCGTCCAACCCCCTTGCCTGACGCAATTTAGCCGACGCCGCCCTCCTTCTTGTCCCCCTACGAAACGTCGAAGGACTCCTCACTGAAGCCCACGACAGCCTCACGCCGTATCCCGCACACTCGACGCCCGCGGTCTGACAGCGCTTGCACGCCGGCTTGGCCTCGTCGCACTTGACGTGCTTTGCGCGGCAGGTCCAGCAGCCTGAGAAACTCTTTGACCGCGGTTTGCGGGGCTGGCCCGAGGCTGTTTTGCCGGGTGATGGGCATGGCTCAGCTGGCATTGCTCAGGTGCTGGTGATGAGGTGAAGTTAGGGATTGGTATGGTGTGGCCTTGGCTCTGGATTTGGGGGTGTTTACGCGAGATGGACATGGTCTCGCTGTGGACATCCTGGTTTGGGATGGTGTCAGTCTGGGCTCTGACGCGCTAACTCGATCTGGTAGAGACATCTGTGGTTATCAAGCACTGCTCTTTAGCATATTTAATAACGTTGAACTGGGTGAATGATTGTAAATCAAGATTGGTTTGTAACAATTTTCTTAAGTTGAATTCTCTTTCTTAACATTACGACATGTTAGAATGCTTATTCTCCTAAATTCTCCATCTCGTGCTCCTGTATCAGTGTTGAGAGCATGTCGCGATAGATTACCGTAAAGAGTTTAGCCTTCCTTTGGGTCCGATCGACCCAAGGACTGGGAATACCATTCTTGGCAGTTCGACCCGGCTTCACAAGCTGTGGATTATTACGAAATGACGGAATTATTCCTGTTACGTGTCATACGAGCAAAATACCTGTGGTATTCCTTATTACTTGCTGCATTCCATTCGATCCCCTCTCGTTCTTAGCTGGAAGCATAATTACTCACTCAACGTTTTCTTCGAACGGTGGTATCCTCAATACAAACAAAGAAGCTGCATATTATCGTCGACACAACAACGATGCTCACGATGGATCGATTTCCGGGGTTAAGCAGACCAAGGATATCATACTTCCCACTGTTCAAGGCAAAACCACCCAAGTCCCAACAAGCACCTCCAGCTTCTCTTGAATGCCATATGGATAGCTCCCCAATCATTGTTCTTGACCACAACCACAGCGGCGACGGTTCGGTAATCTCAGGATCTCTATTACTACACATCACCGAAAACGGCATCCAGGTCGAAAATCTTCACGCAATTGTAAGAATTCATGCAACGTACAAGAAGCCTTTTAAAAAGGGCTGCAGAGGATGCAAGTATCAGACCACCGAACTCAAGCGTTGCCAGCTCGTCACGACCGCCACCTCCCTCGACCGCGACACCTATAGCTATCCCTTTTCTTTTCAAATACCGAGCTATACTCCACCAACAATGGATACATCGATTGTTTCAATTGTCTACAAGGTAGAAGCAATAGCTTCTATTCAACGACAAGGACCCAAATCACAACCTTCCGAGAGTATTGCCTTCAGCCGTACCATTCAAGTCGCACGATCCATCCCTGTTCCCAGTACTCAGGCAATTTCGAACCGCATCTACCAGGCTGACGGGATTGAAGTGAGCTGCCGGTTCAACTCTGTCATGAGTCCTACGGGCAAAAACAAAGCAACACTCACCATGAGCGGCCTTCGGAGTTGTCCTGGAAATGGCGAGGATGTACAATTCTGGCGTGTGTGCAAGGGTACATGGATACTAGAAGAGACAGCTGAAACCACAGCCGTGGCATGCACTGAGCATGCACACGGAAATGGTGCTGAAAGGAGCACAGCCCGGAAGAAGACAAAAGCGTTGGGAGAGTCATCCTTCTATGATGGATGGGCGACAGATGATCAGGCTGGTAGCCTCAGCATAGAATTCCCCTTCTCGACTCGAACACGCTCGATGAAATTCACCCAAGATACAGGCGACTGTGGCGATACATTTATCACTCACACGTTGGTACTCGAGCTGCAGCTCATGAAGGAGATCTATCCAAGAGGCAGATCGGATTTATCAGTCAGGACAGGCGTGGGAAGAATACTTCGTTCAGAACATCGGGTCGTCTTCAGCGATTATGCAAGACTTTCAGGTTCTGCAGACGCCCATGCAGAGAATTTGCCATGCTATCACGATTTGTGGCCCAGACCCCCTATATACAAAGAGGAACATGTTGGATAGGTGGCTCATTTGGATTGTCAGATTCGTTCGTTGTTCGATCAGATATGTCGAGTAGGAGATTGGTAACTTTAGTATTTATACCCCAGTTCAGTAGTATTTACGGAGACAAAAATTGTTGCCACCAGGTGCACCTATAACATGACCACTTATATCGTTTTTATTTCATTGAAAGGGATTGCAATTGCATAAAGGCAGGGTCTTGGCGGTGTAAAATAGAAACCGTCGGGCGCGTTGTCATTTAATTGTGGGGGGGACCCCAATTCTTACCAGGCATCCATCTTCAAGAATTCACGGTGCTTCAATACTCAACATACTACCTCCTTAGATACCAGGTTCCATCTTTCAAAACGCATACTCAATTCACCCCCGCTATGGCAAGTCAAAGAAGGCGAAGTACTGGCGGCAAAAGACCACGGAGGGTATATCCTGGCCACCGCCAATTCAACGACTACACCGGCCGCTCCTATGATGTTATCACGGCTTGGGAATATGGCCCGAACACAAAAATACCCAAACTGAGCATCCAACTTTATCGCCTAGGCCATCCAAAGTCCACCCCTTTTGAGATGGGTCTGGCCCTTCTACAATCTGATGCGATCACAGGTTGGGGCAACGCGCGCAACTGGTGGCCACGTTGCGATGTATATACTGGCTTCAAGAACGTAGAGGAATGCGTGGAACATCATCGCCAAGAGAAAGTCTACCGCAGAAAAGCTGTAGAAGAGATGAGGCAAAAAGCTGTGGTTGGTCTTTCGGAAGAAGATGCACATGAGAAGCTGGTCACAAAAATCCAGGGCTATGAGCCTCTGCCGCATATCGTGCCGTCTTGGTGCAAATCAGCAAAGTTTGTCAACAGCTGGGACACGGATAGATACAAGAGTTGGATCTTTGTCATCCCTGAAGACCTTCATTCATGGGAGGATGTCATCGACAAGGGCCTGCTCCAAGTCAAGTTTGATCTCGACGTCTCACCTGAAATGTTTACCGAGTCTTGGGATGACTTTGAAGAGTCCACCTTGGGGAAGGACGGCTGGGTCGATGTAAGCAAATCAGGCATGGACAAATGCAAGCCAGTTGAGATCCTCCATCTATGCGCAAGCTACGAACGGAAGAAAGGTTACTTCGAACCTGACCCGGAGGAAACCCCTGGAAGCGACAAGAAACTGTTTGACGCATGGATTGATGCGACGATGCACTTGAGAGACTGCACTTACAGGACCCAGGAGTGCGAGGAGTGTGAGGAGAACGAACCGCATGAATGGTGTGAGAAGGAGAGAGATGAACATTACTTTGACGAGGAGGGGCAGTGCATCGCCTGTCGGAGGGAGTCGGAGTAACAGCGTCGGAGCAAGAGAGTTGCCGCGCGGGAAACCAGCCTTGATTATACTGTTTAGAAGAGAAAAGCTCCGTAGTCCAATTGATTGGCGGATCTTGGATAAAATCGGACTTGCGCATTTACATGTGTAGTTTGTACTGTCGGACTTTGCCAAGCCTGCCGACATGCTTATATATCGTGCTTACAGATTATTCATTTGCCCCCTTCTTCTGAGGCGTTGTAGTGCACGCAGCTGCAAAAGCTATGATTGAATAAATTGTCCAAAAAGATGATATTGTTCTCAGTGATACAGATAATATGACGTCAGCAATGCTGACGCTGAGCAATATATAAGCACACGTCGACTGACCACATGTCGACTTCCTCCTCAACCCAACCCAACAACTTAAAAATGGCATACCAAACTACTCCTCAGTACGAATATATCCGCTTGGAAACCAAGCCAAGCGCACAGCTCAGCTACAGCTTTACTTCTGCTACAGCAGTTGATAATAAGACCCCAACACTCATTGTCTTTCTCAATGGCCTCGGCGCACCTCAGGTTGGATGGGCTGCAACCATCGCCAAGCTCAAGGAGCTTTCGCCCCAGGGCCTTCCAGCAATCTTGACCTTCGATCGGTTTGGACAAGGCCAAACTGCTGACCGGGACCCTAACGATGAGGGCGCGGAGGATCCGATGCATGCCCACGACAGTATGGCTGTGGTTACCGACATTCGTCAGCTTATCACTCAGATTTTGAAGGAGAAGATGGACATCAACGATCCAAACAGTGCTCGGCTCCTTATTACTGGCAATTCTATCGGATGCGCTTTCACTCGCCTCTATGCTGCTCAATATCCAGGCACCGTAGCAGCAGTCCTGCTCCTCGACAGCGTTTTGACCGACACAGACTTCGTCTCCGTCTTCCCCGACCCAGATGCAGAAGGTTTCAACCCAAATGATCTCCCCAAAGGTGTCACAGCTGAGAACCTGCGCACCGCTCGGGAAGAGACAAAGAAGCGATTTCACCCGAGCCTTGGTTCCAGAGAAGGGCTCACTCGAAAGAATCTCTCCCAGCTTCTCCCGCATGCCGACTCGCCCGCACTTCCTAAAGTTGACGGAAAGTCACCCTATGTCACTGTACTGGGCCACGACTTTGATTATTTTGCTGCGCGTACAGGAGCGGACTTCAACATTCCCGGAGAAGCCGTGCAGGCTTACATGAATAAATATTGGAATCATTACAACGAGGGACTTGCTAAGCTTACGACTTCGGAGAATAGCGATGGGCCAATTCAAGCGCCGGATGCTGGTCATTTCATCCAGATTGATAATCCTGCGTTTGTGGCCAAGAAGGCACATGAATTATTGCAGAAACTGGCAAGCGAATAAGTGGACTTGCCATTCATGTGTCTGACGCTAGTCTATCCCTGAACTACTATATAGATTATCTTTTAATGTGTGAACGCATATTTACTCTTCGCCCGTATCTTAGGCCCGTAAAAGTAAAGAATGTAGGGAATCGCCGCAAGCACCACTGACAGGCAAGCCATGATGGTCAAAGTATAATGTGTGCCCATGTTTTCATAGAACGGTATCCCAACCACCGTCATCCCTCCAGCAATGATGTACCGAATTAGAGAAACAAAAGTCAGCGCCGATGCTGAGTATATCTCGTAAGAGTCGATGATGTACATGTAGACACAGATGAAGATGCCAGTCACGCCGTACCCGAAAAGAACAACCGCAAAGATGGCAGACCAGATGCTGATGCTAGAGTAGTTCGTCCAGCCAAGCCAGAAAAGCGAGATGGGGATAGCTGCAGCTGCGCCGAGCATGGCGTACCAGAGACGTATCTCGGGCTGGAAGCGGCCTTTGCCCTGCGTCTGAGTGGCTCGAAGGGTCTTGCGGTATACAATCGGCACAAAAGCAAAGTTGATCTGAGTACCGAGAAACATGGCGATGAAAATGATGTTGGCAAGGCCTTGATCGATGCCGTAGGTTTTCTCGAAGATGTAAGGCCAGCCAACAAGGAATGTGAAGAGTACAATGTACAGGACACTGATGTAAAGTGTCATGGCCATTATGATGGGTTCCGTCAACATCAGAAACGGTCGTGTCATGCTGACCTTGAGTCTACTGAAGAGACTCGCATCAGCGATCTCGTGCTGGCAGCGGAAACGATCATCGCCCGTGATTCGTCGATAATGAGCTGCCTTCCACTGCAGAAGCAGAGGGCCGTAAGTTTCAGGCATGAAAAGCAGGACCAGGATGAGGACAAGCCCAGATGCAATAAGCATAGTCCACTCAGTCCACCGCCAGCTCACAGCCGTTGACGGTCCAATATACGCACCCATAACAGCACCGATCATGGGCCCGCCAAAGCCAGCGACAGCATACAGGGGGAAACTCCACGTCTTTTCGAGGCTGTTGTACATGTCTGCTATCGAGCCGCCTGAGCATACGAGTGGCGTGGAGGCGGAGCAGCCAGCGAGGAAGCGAAAAGTGATCTGGGCGCCAAAGTTGGGGGCGAGGGCTGATGCCATTATCCATATCATGAAAATAGCCATCGAGGCAGTGTAGACTGCGTTTCGGCCGAATGTTTCAGAGAAGGGGCCTGCTATCAATGACCCGAGACCCATTCCAACCAAGTAAAGACCTGGAAAGGTTAGTCACTCTTGTGTAAGTGTAATGATGAGGGAATGTGGCATACCTGTAGCTAGAGATTCAGCAACCTCGCTGACTCCAAGTGAAGCTGCAGCTTGGGGAAGAACAGTTGCATCGATCCCAGACGCTGCACCGACAAACAGGGCAATGACGGAGATCTGCAGCGTAACTCCAATTCGTCTTCCGACTGACCAGTTATGGGGATCTAGGGGATCGTCTGGACCCTCCCAGTTTACCACAAAGACTTTGCCATCTTGGCCTTTGACATTCTTGTGGTCTTGAACTTGAATCCCCGTGAGTACTTGACCCAATGCAATACCCCCAGACAAGCACTGCTGAATAGTCGCCGCAGTCACACTCCGCTGCACCGGGCCCGACAAATCTTCTGTCTCATCATCATTTTCAGTGATGGGCGACAAGGCACGTCGCAGCTTGTGCTTATCCTTCTCATCTATTGTGCTCTGGCTGTCCGGCCTAGCCGCTTCAATATCACGACTCGTATCAGGCGCCGTATGCTGCCTCGCCTTGCCGATGTCTCTGTCAATCTGAGCTTGCGCCGCAGCGCCCGCCCGTCGATACTGCAGCAGCGATTGCATCTAATCACTGCACGCAAAAAGAAGGTCACAGATGGAAGAAAGATAAAGTCTTTTGCGAAAATCTGCGTTCTAGCGAGAAGCTCGTCATGGAGCCTGTGGGTCTTATCATTTCAACAGTCGCATTATGACGGCGTCGAGGACATTGCCCGACGAATGAGGGACTGGTGATAAGAAGAAATGGAGTCGTTGGAGAGGATCTTCTCGGTGGGACTGCGGACGGGATGATCCGGCGGTAGATCGGGAATAAGGTGATTTGAATTGGCTCCATTCCATTTTTTATCTCGTCGGATAGAAGCCCGTATCCCGTGATTAAGATCTTGTCAGCAAGGGTCGATAACCGAGGATTGCCGACGAGAGAAGGAGATGATTTTATTGTTCGTGGTATACTCAGGTTGTCAAGGGCCTTCGAGTTTCGGCCTATAATCTCCGGGGAATAAGACAATTCTGGGGAATGAGAATCCTTTAGCCTTGGCAATTTGCTTCCACGCATCAAGTTCTGCAGGATCCTGCGTCAGGAGATGATGCTGCTGAAAACCATCCCACTTACCGAAAAGACGACATACTGTAGCACTTGATATTTAAATATAGAAGGAGCCCTAAGTTGAGTGAATACCGGTTAGGATTGGAGAGAATAAGAGTAAAGTTCATACCCCGGACTCTCACCAAACGCTGTAGCCTCTGTCGTACCATGTCATGAACTTAATGCAGGCGCTAGTTCAAAATTTAACAAGTCATCCCTTCCCCTCGCATCACATCACATCCCATGTTTCAACTCAGCTTCTAACAATATTTTGTTTGAACACAGACCACATGCAAGGTACACGACCTTCCTCCCAAGGCTCATATTTCCTCCTTTGGAATAAGAAGATTGAGTCAGCTCGATCCAATTTCCTCAGCTTATTCCCTGCCCGCACGACTCGGCAACTCTTCAGCGGCCACCACCCGGTATCAGGATGTCTTAAATCAGCAAAACACACCAGGGATCACCATCCCATGAACCAGCCACAGCGAGTAAAAATGCGAGAACATGGGGAAAAAAGCTTCCAGGCGAAGGATGCGCACACACACACACATTTGCTGAATGAACCGGGGCACAGCGCCGACAATCGGTGGAGAAATGCAAATCCGCCTAAAAGCCAGGGGTCATTCGCAAAACTGCTGGTCAACAACCAACAGCCAACAGTCGACCAACAGAGCGAGCGAGTGGCTTGAGGCAACAGACACTAGTTTAACGGCTGTACTGCCATTTCGGACGCCCGTGGTGGCGTTCCCCTGCCTCTGTAGCGCTTCAATCAGCAGCTTTGACAGACGCCTCTTTTTCTGTTGATTTGTCTTCATCTGGTCTCTTTGCTTACGGACCCATGGTCCTGTCGTATTGTCCGCGGATCCGAAGGTTGTCCCGCACAAAGCTGAAGTAAATCACCACCAAATGCACTCGGTTGTTCATTCTGTCACATTTCCCCCAGGATTGTCTTCTCCGCGTTGGGGAAGGGATCAGTCCACTCTGGGGTATCCCCCCTCGTTTGCTGTGATCACCAACACCTCAATCGGCCTACCCCGGAAATATGCTTCCCCCCTGGGGTATTTCACCATTCTTTTTTTCTTTTCTTTTACGTATCGCAACCAATCTCCAATATTAAAACTGTGCCCCCGCTTGACTTTTCTTTTTTCCCATTTTCTCTTTGCTGCAGGGCGACCATGTTGACACTACCACCACTGGACCCCAAATCGACGACGATCGCACTTTCAGCATGGAACCAGTCTACTACGAGCTGAGCTGGTCGATCCTCAGCACCATCGGGATCGCCAATGTCTTGTTTGGTCTCATGGTCGCTGGCATCACAAGCTTTGGCCCTGTTTCCATTGTCCCCATCGTCACCTCTGCTGCTGGCGCTATAGCAAACGGGCTTTGCTATTATGCCTTTTACGATAAGAGCAATACTGCTACCACGCAGGCTGTAGCGTCTGTGTTTGCCGATATTCTATGGCTGGTGAGTGTGTTCTGCGTGTGGAATGACTGTGCTGATGGGTATTTGCGCCGTAGGTACAAGAAGCCGGCCTGTCGTTTTACAGTTACATCATTTTGAGTCGAGTCCTACGCGGTCGCCAGTGGATTATCTTCGCCGTCTCATACTGGTCCATGATAGTTTCCGTCTCAGCTATTCGTTTTGTTATCGCAGCCGTTCGAGCCCGACGTATCATCCAAGGTATCAACGATGACCAGTCGTTGATCAACCATCTACACATGGGCTACTTCATCCTCATCGCCCTACTGGAGTGTCTCAGTTCCTTCTTCCTTCTCAGAGTCTTTGGCTCGGCAAAGTCTACGTCCCTAAGCGCTGCTATCAAGGCTGGTCTGTTCCGGTATCTCATGCGAAGTACCGAGGTGCGACTCGCCCTTCTCGCAATCCTGGGCATCATCCGGGCCGTCACATATTCCTTTCAAAACTCACAACAAATGGCCACGAATCTTGCGTCGCAAATTGATCGGTTTGCATATGCTATGGAATGCATGTTCCCAGTCATGATGATGTAAGTCAACCTCGCACTTATTCATTTACCCAAATTAACAAGCTCCAGCATCGATATCCTGGCTTCAAAAGTTGTCTTTCACAACCAAGTTTACGGATCTTCCGGCCATAGCAGACACCAAACCGGAGGCTATGTTCGTCGCCAATTTCCTGGCGCGGGAGGCAATATCGTGCTTACGACACAGCAAGGTGAAAATATCGTTGAGGTCAGAGGGGGCGAGTCAGTTGGCGACAGAACGAGCTCACAAGAACGCATCATCGGTCGTAGGGACCAAAGAAATTCTTCACCTGATATCGATATGGACGAGATGGACCATAAACAGGTTGGGATCAGTAAAACTGTTGCGTTCGAGGTACATAGTACTGAGCATGGTATGCGTTGAACACTCGATAGAAGGGTGTGCATGACCAACGACTGCATTTATAAATCTAATCATTATATGATCTTTCAAAGGAATTAGATGATCGTCCTCTAGTGTGTTCACCAAGTTACCCTCGCCTCCCATCAACTCATCAGCATCCAGCTCCAGCTCCAGTCAAGTCACCAGCAGCTGCCACTCCGTTGATGGCTTTTGTGTTTGGGTACTATGAAGCATTGATTGGGCCAGTGAGCTCTTCTAACTCTGTCACGACGTCAGTTAAGTACTATAAAGACTGTTGATGAAATCAAGCTCCTCTCACCCTGTCCTTTGCGCCTTGGCTCTCAGCAATATCGTGCCAAAGTCTCAATATCCACAAAGCAACCAAGATGTCTCTCATTTGCTTTTGTAGTTGAACCTGGATAACTAGCTTATGCTCATCGCCATTTCCCGACTCATAAGCAATATTTTGCCCATCGGCATCGGTCCACTGATAGTGGCCGCCCTTCGACTTTGGGTTGATATCGAACAGCGTCCGCTGAGTGTCGCAATTAAAGAGTAAAACATCCGCAGCTGACTTATCATCATTGAGTATTGCTTTAAACTCGGCTCTTTGTAGGATTGTTTTGGAAATATCGAACTGAACATTTCCTAACGTTCCAGGTGCTGCAGCTGTGATGTAATACTCTGGCAAATCATCGCGATAGTGAGCTTTGCGCGGATGCACAAGGTAATAAAGATCATGGGCTTGTCTCCTTCTTTTTGAGCTTGTGTTAGACTCAACAAACTCGACCCTTTCAAAGATGATACTCATATTCCTTTGAACCATACATGCCAACTCGCGGCTCAATGAGTACAGAGGTATTGTTGGTGCATCTTCTAACGCTATTTGCTGACCAGAAAACACCAGCGTGTCAAAAATCAACTCTTCATCGGAGGGAGCTGGAAGGATGGGAGTTGTCGAGTCTGTATCCATTTTGGCTGTAGTTATCACATCGTGGATAAGAATGAAAGTCGGTGATGAATATGCTTCAACAATTATTTACCTCATTTTGGGGCTATTCCACGTGACACCTGGAGTATTGGTTGAGTATTACAGAAGGGTCAGCAAACACCGATCAAGACATGGAATTTGAAATTGTATCTCTGATTCTGATTCTTTAAGTATATTTGTAAGGTTATCAAGATCAATACAATCTACCAAGCGACACCATTGTTCCTGTTCCAAGTTTATCAGCAGGATCGGGCTGTACAGTAGGGCCTAGTGGGATGGTGCCACTAAGTTACAGCACCACCCCTGCCTGTCATCAGCAGAAATTGTATTTTCCAGATGCTCTCAGTATGTCACTGGTGCATGGAACAAACTTGCCATGTTGCCCCGCACATGCTTGACAGTCTCTGGACAGATCAACAGAAATCGCGTCATTCCAGTCTTGAGATCAAGGTTTGAGTCGATGTCAGCATGAGCCATGAGGATCCAATGCTAGTCTACAGGGCACAGCCACCGGCAAGGCTCCAGCGAGGCACACAACTCTAGGCTCAATACAACCACAATCTGCAGCAGATAAGCTCAGATTGCAGAGGCCTCCATTTCTACCCCTCTTTACTTCAACTTAATAGGGCTGAACGTTCCAAGAACCTGGCAGGGTCTGCTTCAACATCAACCATTGTTTAATCCTAGTATTTACCACTTTACTGAACAATCACCTACATGTCTTCACAGCAACCCCCGTATTGGCAAGGCTCTCAGGGCGGTGCGCCACCGCAGCAGCAACAGGGCTATCAGGGACAACAACAGCCTGGCCAGGGCTACTATCAATCTCCACCTGGGCAGCAACAGCAGCAGCAACCACCTTATGGTTACCCTCAGCAAGGACATCCTGGGCCTCAGCAAAACCAGCAATATCCCTACTCTGCTCCACCTGGCCAACAGCAATATCCCCCTCCAGGCCAGCAAGGCCAATATCAACAACCTCCTCAGGGCTACCCGCAACAGAGTCCCTACGGCCAACAACCTCCTGGCCCTCCAGGTCCTCAAGCTCCTTATGGGCAACAGCCACCTCCTGGCCCTCATGGACAGGGACAAGGACAGTACCCACCGCACTCTAATTACCCCCCTCAGCAATACGGCGCTCCTCAACAGGGCCAGCCTCCTTACCCTGGCCAGCATCAACAGCAACAACCACAGCAGCCACCGTACCCAGGCCAACAATGGCATCAGCAACCAGGACAGAATCAATACGGCGGACAGCCATTCAACATAGCTCCAACTCCAGCATCGCCAGGCTACGATCCAGCCCAGAAAGCTTGGGTGAAGCCAGTAGACACATCCTCTGATGTTGAGGCCCTTCGCAAAGCAATGAAGGGTATGGGTTGCGACGAGAAAGCTTTGATCCGCGTGCTCATCAGCCCCAAGTACGCTGACCCATGGACCATGGCACAGCTTGTACGCGACTACAACAGCCGCTTCCTGCGTGAGCTGGCAAAGGACATTGAGAGTGAGACTCGCGGCGACTTTGAGACGTGTCTACTAGCCTTGGTTCGTGGACCTTTGGAAAATGACGTTTACACTCTCTCCAAAGCCCTCAACCGCGCAGGCACAGACGAGGATGCCCTCAATGATGTCCTTCTTTGTCGCTCAAACGCAGACCTTCGTGCAATTTCTGCTGAGTACAGGCGTGCCCGTGGCAAGGAGCTTCTCGTTGATATCAAGGATGATGTCGATGACACTCTTTACAGATTTTACAGCATGGTTCTAGCTGCTACTCGCGCGGAAGAAAGCACCCCTGTCATCCCACAAGAGATCGACCAGAAGGTCACAGAGCTTCAAAGAGCAACGGAGGGTACAATCGGTGCAAATGCAGTGGCCGTGGCGCACATTTTCACCAGCAGCAACGACGCTCAAATGCGAGCTATCAATGAGACGTACCAGCAAAAGTACCACCGCAGCCTCGAATCCGTCATTGAGAAAGAGTTCCGTGGAGACATGGAGGATGCATTGCTGCGGATACTTTATCATGCGATGGACCGTGCTCGCGCTGATGCTAAGAGCTTGCATGTGCCTCTGAACAAATCGATGCGCAAGAATGGTCTGTTTATCAATAGGCTGGTGAGTTTGTACTGGGATCAAGGGCGGCTGCATCAGACGAAGCAGGCGTACAAACCTGTGACTGGTGCTACGCTGAGTGGGAATATCAAGTCGGTTCTTAGTGGCGACTACAAGGACTTTACTTTGGCTTTGATTGGGGAGAAGTAGTAAAAGATCGTGGCAGATTGAATATGAGATGGATTTGAAGACATTATAGCGCCAAAAGAATGTGTGTAATTGAATTGTCACTGCTCAACTCTACTCCATTGCCTGTATATATGCTGTCCGCTCAGAGCGCAGTCGACATGCCTCCATCGAGATACAAATTGACGCCGTGAATATACTTGCCGAGTCTACTGCCCAAGAACACCACAGCATTTGCAACATCCTGACCCTGTCCAAAATCGCCCAACGGAATAGACTGGAGAATCATATTGATAAATTCCGGATGGTCCTTTTTGCTTTGTGCAAATGTGCTCAACTCCACAGTCCCATCTGGATGTTGAATCGAAGGCGAATCAACAGCTCCTGGAACGATGGTGTTGACCCGGACGCCCTTTGGGCCAAGCAAGCGCCCAAAGTCCTTTGCAATAGTAGCCTGAGCACGCTTAAGGGTAGTGTAAGGTCCTCCAATTGCAGGGTGCTTGGCTTCAAATCCAGCCAGGGAACTGATGACGATGATGGAGCCAGTGCCGTTACGCTTCTCCAGGTGTGGCGCGGAAGCGTTGATGAGATTGATGAGGCCAAGAACATCAGCCTGGAAGCTCTTTTCCCAATGATCGACAGTGGGTTCAACGAACTTGGGACAAGCTAGAAGTAAAAATCAGTACACATAACTATTGATAGTCTCGATGATGGGAAGTACCATTTGCAACAACAAGGTCGATTCTACCAAACTCCTTAGCTGCGGACTCGACCCAGCCTTGAATCGAAGTAGCATTGGCGATATCAACGCTTGATCCAATAGCGCGTGCATCAGCTGCAGCGTTCTTGAAATTCGCGAATTCGTCGCCCCGAACGTTGCGAGAACAATAAGAGACATTGACTCCTTCGCTGAGGAGGGTCTCGACAATGACTCTGCCAATACCTTTGGTACCACCGGTAACCAAGGCGTGCGCGCCAGTGAGTTGAGGAGTGAATTGAGACATGGTAATGTTGAGATAGTTTCTTGAAAGATTGATTGTGATGTTTTGAATACTGAGATGCTCCGATGTTGAGGATTGTATTGAGTGACCTAAGGGGTCTTTTCACCTCTTTTATAAAACATGATGCAACTGTGCTTCATCCATGGAAACGATATGATTTTCCTATTGAGGAAAATCGAATTGAAGCTATCATGGTATTACTCCTCTACCGGATTATCAATCAATTCCCAAGGATTGATGGACACAAGAAGCTCATTATCTTGTTGTGGTTTAGCTTACAAGCCTCCAAACTGGGGATACTTTGACAGCCAATCAATCTCATTTTCCTAAAAGGGCAGAAAATGGGGCGAAGGATCGATTGCGCCGAGCCACATCGTCAGTTCGTTTGTAAGCCTACGGAATTGAATTGAAGCGTCAAATTCATTTTCCTCTTTCATCTTTTTTTTCTATCACTCAAGCTTCTTCTACTCCGCAGATGGTAGCAATGACGCCGTCCTTTACGTTTGTCAACGTCAGCAATGCGCCTGGTCTCGGGCCGAAAGAGGCCAGGCCGATGAGAGGCCATATTACGAAAGTCAACTTTGCCAAGCGCAGACAAAGACTGTCAAAGGAGAAAAATAACGGGGAACCGGCCAAATCACTTCAAGGCTTTGCCTTGTCAAAGGCGGACGCGCAAGACTTGTGGCTCGAGCAACAGGTGATGGGAAGTGTCTTTACTCTTGACCCAGCATGCGACAGGCTACTCTCTCATGTGCCCGATCCCATATCCTCACCCATTGACTACTGTATGCATTTTCTTCCACCTTCTTCATCCACCATCTAACAGTTCATAGTGATCTGTGAGTTCCGTCCAATGATCTTTCCCGCCGGTACCGGCGCTCCCGGTTCATCCAGAGAAGCAAGTTGGATCGGCCTCCTCCAGTCTGAGCCAGCGCTAGTTGACGCTTCTGTCGCGATTGCCTTGAGGCACAGCCCGAGGCTTCAGAACCCGAAAGGCTTGCGTGATGCCTCTATATGTAAAGGCAGGGCTATCAAGTTGATCAACGAGAGACTAAATACGCCGCTGGGACTGACAGATGGAGTGCTCAGCGCAGTCTTTACCCTAACATATGCAGAGGTAAGAAAACCCATAACTCGCAGTGATATCTACAGCTAACAGGCATAGCTTCTAGAGAGTGATGGCGAAGCCCGAAAAGTTCATATTCGTGGCCTGGCTCAGATGATCAATATTCGACGATCATCTGGTAACAATGCACTTCCAACATGGTTCTGCGATTTCCTTCTATAGTACGCAAACATCGCATCCGAGGAGTTCTCTAAATCTAACTTAGCTACTCTCAAGCGATTCAATTGGCAACTCGATATTATCAGCTAGCTATGCTAACCAACCACTCATTCAAGCCCTTCGTAACGAGGATGACCCCAACAAGACGGACTTTACGACGCTTCGTGATGAACTCAACATACTTCGCCATTCAATCGACAAATACCACGCATCGCCCAGTCCAAAAAGACACGATGCGGCGATAATTCGCTCAGAGGTCAAGCGCCTACAACTTGAAATAGACACTCTGATGGGCAGCCAGGAGAACTTCGTCCGGTCGCTACATGACAGCTTACAGTTATTCCTCCTGCTCCTCTGGCCAACTGAGAAAGCCAGCCGTCTAGAGTTTCTAGCTGGAGAGCTGAAGTTTGCTCTTCTCCAACCCCATATGAGGCTTTGTTCTTCCATGCACCTACTCGTGTGGCAGCTGTTTGTTGGTGCCACAGCTGCAAGACCTTCGAGCGAGGTTCGGTCGTGGTATATTACCAGGCTACGAGAGGTGTTGACATCTCTCAGTGTGGGGGGACAGGCTACTGCGATGGAGACCCTGACTGAGTCTTTTGCACCTGATAAATATTTATTGGAAAAGTTCAAAGCTGTTTGGAGAGAGCTATCCTGCTGCTAGTCGATTAGTGCATGGTGTAAAGTATGTATAGGCAGGGGGGAGTCACATCATAGCAGTATTTGACAGGATAGTAATATTAATTTGGAGGTCGCATCATATGAAAAAGAATTGAAAGAAGAAACAAAGCGATTATGCTGGAGTGCCATTGTACGTACTTCTTGAGATCGTACTTCACTGAGCCATAAACAACGATTGTTTGTGATAAATATCTGCCCTCTACAATACTACAAGTGTGTAGATAAGCCAGTTGTTGATAACAACGAGAAATAAGTCCTGGAAGGATGTGCTCCATTCCCTTGAAGAACACTCATCTCACTAACTCCTCACTTGATTGCTGATAGATATAGGTGATGTGTAACAGTCCATATCTGAGTTCTATCAATCATCCGCACGGTTCTCCAAATTGCTTTTCAAATTAGCATGATTGTCTGGCTCTCGATATCCTTGAAGAGATTACTTCCTCCGCTGTATGCAGGCAACAGGAAGACCCCGATTCTACAAAATGATCCTGGCTCTTCTGCAGGGTGGATGATGAGTCCCCATGTGTTCCTGGCCAGGCCCTCATCTTTGCAGCACTTGCAATCCTGTCTTTCCACCCAGTCTTTTCCAAGTGCGCGACAGAGTTGATCGCCCTCTATCAAGTTGCGACGCAACTCCTCGGGGTTATCTTCTGGGTTTGCGTACCACATGATGCGTCGCCAGTTGCTCGTGGAAGAACAGCAGCTCGTGATGGGTAGTAGCCGCATCCTCCCCGGCTCCTGGACGGTGTCGAGTTGCGAGGTCCAGTCAAATTGGCACGTTCCAAGACCATCAGTGAAGTACCCAAAGTCATGACGGCCACTGTCTTCTCTTTTTCTGATGAGCACCTTTGAAGGGAATGGAACCACCTTTCCGGAAACTCTAATAAACCCCCCTTTCAAGCGCCCAAAAGGGCTCACCCCCCACAAATCCATTTTGAACTCCTCCAACTTGAACTCGGACCGCGTGTGGCACATCTGGGTTGTGGTATATGACCAAAGCTTGAAACGGTTCTCATCCGTCTCGTCAATATCCTCTTCCTGTTCTTCCAAGATATACTGTGTATCTATCGCCCTATCAACCTTGCTCTCCTGCGACGCCCAACTCCAAGATGGAGCTACATAAGGGCTCGGGTTCCGAAGGAGATTCAATCTTTTGTCTAGGTCCCCGGGTTCAGGCCAGCAGACTTCCCATGTGAGGTCATATAGCAGATTGTCCTTCCAGTGACCTGCAAGATAGACATCGTTGACCATGTTAGCGTATTGCTTGGCTATACCTGATAAGCCTGGCAGAAAGTCTTCCTTGTAAGTCCATTTTCTTCCCTGTATCATCTTTATGAAATCCCATAGGTCGTAAATCTCTATTCTTTTGCGGACTGAGTCGAGGCTGAGAGACTCCGACTCTATCAATCTCCGGCCCTGACAGTGCCCACTAGAGTTATCCACAAGGTATCCATTTTCTGACGAATCTTTGTTCTCACATGAGAAGTGGCTCATCGATTCACCGAAGAACAAGATGCGAAGTGACAAGATGCCCTCCTGAAATGTCCAACCCCTGGTAGGCCATGATGACTGGTTCTTGTCGAGATGCCTGGATAGCAACGATGGAGGGCGATCAGGAACAACGATTTCTTGGCACTCAAAGATAGAATAAGTCCCCCGAACTCCCGGTCGCAGAGAAGACTGAAACTCGATTTCTATTCCTGAAGCCCTGGGTGTCAAGTATCCTTGCATGCAAGACGTTGAGACCAATGGACAAATGGTGAGATAGGAGCAGTAGTAGACTTTGCCCATCATTTCACTCTCTTTATCCCAGTCTCTGGCGTCTCCCTGGAGGATACAGAGGGCATCAACCCATACATAACGAATGTTGAGTGCCCTGCAAACAAGAATAGTATCTTCCACCACGGGACTCATCTCACTTAAGGGCATTCTGTTGAGATGGAGAGACAGGTTGTCTCTAGTCGTTTTCACTTGTTGTTTGGCGTCCTCCTTAGGGCCCCAGCAGTAGCTCAATGTCGCGTACTTGACAGAGTGGCTCACGCCATCATCCTGGCTTTTTGGTAGATCCGCTGTGATGACTAGTCGCGCATCATCTCCGTGCTGCGTTCCAACATCAATCAGTCTAGTCGGTAGGAACTTGGGGTCGTATGCTGTGTGATCGCATTGCTCTTCGCATCGATGAATTTGATCCTTCATCCAATTGATATTGCTGGGTTCCAACGGCTCTTGACACCGTTTCTTATCCATTCTTAACCATTTTCTCATCTCTTCTAAACGCCGTGTAAGCATCCTGCATGCATAAGTGTTCGGTATACTTGCCGCTCGATGTTTCAATGTTAAAGTTGACTATGCAGAGTTGTTTATCGCCATTAAAAACCCCACAGGTCCAAGCAACAAGACCGTCGTTTCTTGTGTCAAACCTGTCTCTGTCGTATCCCCATAAGTATTTTGCTCGCACCTCCACGGGTCCTGGCGAAAGGATTTGCTTTCGGAGGAGGACTTGCTGTAGAAACTGACAGAGATGACAACCTGCATCAGCAGTTTCAGCCATAGCCGGGAGATCAGGTAATTTATCTTGCCACGTTCTTTCCAAGCCCACGTTTGCGGAACGCTCGTCCTCATCCACATGCTTAAGGAACGGCGTATCGCTGCTGTCTCCTAAGGTTGTTGCGAAGAATTTGTCAGCCGAGTCATCAATCAAGAGCGAGACTGCGCATTCATGGCAGAGGTCTGCAGCTCCAACTTTGGATTTATTTATATGCGTAGCTGAAGACATGAATAGTTGGTTGACCCTCTCGGGATCTTGTGATGGGATTGGTAGAAGGGGGAAATTAGTGATGTCTGGACATCTGCCCCCAAGAGAGGAGAAATCGTTTCCTTGTAGCCTTATTGGTTGCAGAAAGTGGAATATTCTGCCGAATTTGCAGGGAACTGGGCTCAGGCAGCTGGTTTCCGCCCATAGATAGCATACTGTAAGCTGCGAGCCACAGCCTCGGAATGAAACATTTCTGGTAAATCGGTACCATATAGAAATTTAGGCATTAGGTCGGCAAGTAGGATGCTTATTTCCAAGATTTGTTTTCGTTTTTTTATTGTGATCAGTTAAATCGTGGCATATTGCGAGACGGGAAACCGGTACCTTCCCTTAACATTAGGTATAGATTAGTAGGAAAAGAATCTTCATTTACTACATGGTATAGCTTTATAATTAACGAAGTATAGAACCTTATATTAGCTATTTATGGTATCTAATAAGCGTTGAATTACCAAAGAGAATCACTTGTACGGATAACTAAGGCTCTTATGCCCTGTTACACATTCACAGTGGTGAATGTAGCTGCTAATAATATTATTTGGCAGCCTACCTTACCAAAACCCTGTTTAAAAATACCTCAATAAGCACAGGCTTTAGACCAGAACGCATTTTTCTTACTTCCCCATCTTAACAAATGCAATGCATCAATACACTTGGAATGGATGAAACGGCGACGGCTCTGGACACCAGGAGACCCTGCGATCTCTGCGTACATAATATTTCCATCATTCTGAATTCCAGCAACCCAGCTCAACAACAGCTAAAGTGGCACTCAGAGCTTGGCCAGCTCCAGGCAGCAGCGAAAACTTGCTCACTCTGTGCAGTCATTTGGGATCTTTCAATGCTAGAAAGTTACTCCGACGCGATAAATCGATTTTCGGGCTCCATTCCAGATCCGTCTTCTGCTGTTGCGCTGAAGGTTAGAAAATTGAGCGAAACTAATGGAGTATCTTGGGCAGTCCTCAACACGGAGATGAGAGTGCGGGAGCTGGGGGTGTGCTACGACGATATTGATACGATTGGGATATCACGACTGCCCAGAGATGGAGGTAATCGATTGGCCCAATATCAGATCCAGGTGACACAGTAGATATTGACTTACTTATACAGCTACTATCCATCCTGCTTTTTGGACGCGTGAGGAAGCGGGAGACGAAAAATCCTCCTCGAACAGTCGGAAAGCACTTCTAAAGGAATGGCTACAAGATTGCGAAAAGAATCATAAGATTTGTCGGCCAGCCGCGAAACGATACCCAACGCGCATACTCTGCATAGAAGTTGAACAGCCGCTACGTCTCGTGTCAGGAGACCAAATTCTGTTGGGAGATGGCTCAGTCCGTTATGCGACCTTGAGCCATTCCTGGGGAAATCACGTACCTTTGAAGACCACAAGAGCAACAAAGTCCAGCTTTGAGAAATCAATCCCCGAAAATCTACTACCACAAACTTTCAAAGACGCCGTCTCAACAGCAAGGGCCCTCGGCATCCACTATCTCTGGATTGACTCGCTATGCATTGTGCAGGATGACCCAGACGATTGGCAAGCAGAAGCCCTCGAAATGCAGAATATTTACTCCGGTAGCACAATTAATATTGCAGCTAGCGACGCTGTAGATAGCAATGGTGGATGTTTTGGGCCTGGGGGTAATGTAACCGTTCCCAAGAATGGTGACTCGACAAACGTTGGCCACAGCACCGAAGCCCAGAATATCAAGAGGGGGGCCAGAGAGCGACGATTCATTCACTTCGAACACGGAAATGAACCCGGAAGCACTATGATAAGGTTTCACATCGAAACAGCGCGACAGATACAAAGCCGAAAACACCTAAGCACCCGCGGCTGGGTCCTGCAAGAGGAGATTCTTTCACACAGAATTATACACTGTTCCAGATCTGAAATCTACTGGCAGTGCAAATGTTCCTACAAAACCCAATCTGGTCAGACTCTAGATCCGTTGGAGGTGTTCCGTGAGCCTGGGGACTTTCATGTCGATCCTGCAAGGCGGGAGGAGAGAATGTGGTATGAGTGGATTGAGGACTACTCCTCACGAAATTTCACCTTCCCAAGTGACAGGATCCCAGCCATGAGCGGAATACTGAATCACTACCACAAACTTTCAGGTCAGACGCCTGTCTTGGGGCTGTGGAAAGAGTCTTTTGCCGAGGGTCTACTCTGGGTTCGACTGGGGACATTAACAGCTCCATGTGCTCTTGATATTCCATCGTGGACTTGGTTGTCTTGTAATACATCTGTGATCTTTGATCACTTGCAGAGATCATTGCCAAAAGATAGCAAGACTATTCAAGATCACATTGTGCTCCGCAAGTGCGATATCACTTGGAGTGGCTTGCCTAACGTGTCCAACGTCAAGTCCTCGGAACTGATTATCCAGGGTCCTATCACCGACATTTGTCTTAGGGTTGCACCCGATGTCTTCTCCAGCTTTTCTGCTTTTGAAATACAAGGAGACGATTTAGACAACTCACCACCACAACCTGGATCCTGTTCTGGACAGTTTGATGACCCGGCTGTGGCACCAGAGGCATTTACTGCTTATCCTTGTGTCCTGGTTCGGTCAGTTGTTGAGCCGGGGAGTACATTCTATACAGCGACGTATCTTATCTTACAACCTGTAATGGGTTCATCCGACGACGCTACAAGGGAACTTCCGCGATACCGTCGCATCGGTATTGGTTACTTTAGCGGAAAGAATCATCGGTTCTCCTCAGCTGAAAAGCTTGAATTTATGCTCTGCTAAGTGCGAAGTGTCATTCTTAGACCTTGTCTGGTGGTCTGGTGGTCTGTACGTAGCAATATGGCTTCCCATGTGAAATACATAGGTCCTATCTTTCGAAGCTGCAATTTCGTGCAGTATAAAGCATAAAATGAACATTCTTGACACATAAGTAAAAACAATATGTGGCCGAACAATGCTCACATTGCTTGTTGATAATTGGACAAGCTGAAATGATATTCTGCCATTTACTTGTCCATAACTAGCCACGAGTGACTGTTCGGAAAATGACCACAACGTGTTGCGACCATTCGCAAATAAACCACCGGCAGTCGGCCATATAAACCTGCCGTCTATTATGACTCTTGGGTATCTTTTTAAGTGATGTAATCTGACTTCGGTATAAGAGGGACAAGACACACCGAGACGCGTTGCGAAGCCAATGACGATTATCAGTGGCTGCATAAGCCGGTGGGCTAGCATAAACTGCCTAACGTTCCAACCTCGGCGACCCTCTTGACAGTAGACCAGCAGCCTGTCGCTGAAGCGGAGTCATATGCAATGTCTCGATCAATCACAGCAAATCCTTTGAGCCGTCCAGCTTGTTATTTCCAGGGTGGGGATGAGCTCCTCACCCCGCTCGTGCTATAAATGAGGCTAGCTACCCCTCCATTCATCTGTTGTCCAACGCTTGTCTTCTCACCCAAATTCAGATCAAATCCAACAACCATATATACCATAATGGCTGACGTCCTCGTTGTCTACCCGTCCGGCAAGGACTTCGACCTGAAGTACTACACCGAGAAGCACATGCCTCTTGTCACAGAGTAAGTAAACGGTCAGGTTGAACAATAATGAGGTACTTATGCATTATTTTTCAGGAAATGGACACAGCATGGGCTGAAGAGTTACACCATTCTGCAGTTCCAGGAAGGCGCCCCGTACCAAGTCCAGGCTACGCTCCGTTGGGGCAGCGTTGAGGAGTTTGACAAGGCTGCCGCTAGTGAGGTCGCTGCTGAGATCTTTGGTGATATTAAGAATTTCTACTCCGGAGACCCTATCATCCTCAAGGGAAAGATTGTTTCCACTGGTTAGAGTGTTAATAGTGCCCAATAATCAGAACCAAATAGACGGTGTCGAATACTCTGTATAAGTTGCTGCGTTTGGGATGTATATTGAGTCCTACGATTAGCCAGCCACTCTTCGACAAGAGCTGTGGTGTAATGTGATGAGTCTATTGATTGTACTTGGATGGCAGAGGTATATTTGCAAAGAAAATGCAACCAAAGTATTTCCACATGCAACTTACGAGATGTTTCTTGCCATCAGCTGTCCCATTGCGCCGAAAAGTGATACGATGTTTCCAGTTGCAGATTACCTTGTTTCTGTAGACACCTTTTCGCGGCCCGATGAGGCCAGCGGATATAATCCACCGAAGTTGAAGCTTGGGCTAGCTACGGAATACACAAGGGCACATTGTTCTTCTTTCAGGGATATCAGACAACCGGGTTGCATATTATTCACGCAATTAGAACTGAAACATTCTTACAACCTGCCAAGTCCAAGTTTAGCTCTCGATTTAAATGATATGATGCATTTTGAGAAGCTTCTTCTTATCATTTCTTATCATACCTAATCGGGCCGTAGAACAATGTCTCTAAGCCATATCTAGCAATAGCTGCTGACGATCACAGCTGATTGCGTCAATTTCGTGTGACGCAATGTGAACAAAGTTATTGAACTGATATTTCCAACCTGGCAGCTTCAACATCAATCAAACACCACACACAAAATGTCTTCAACTTCAGAAACCTCCGAGCTTGAGCTCACCCAGTTCCTCAAATCAGTCCTGCCTCAAGAAAACAGATCGTCACTGCGCGACTCAGTCATTCCACAGCTCCTCAGCTCTATTTCCGCTATCGGTACCGAACTGAGAAGATCATATGATGTTTCCATCGTGGGCACAGAAAATGCCTTTGGCGATGAACAGCTGAACGTTGACGTTGCGGCCGAGAACATCATCCGCGAAGGTATCGCAAAGGTATCCTCTATTAAGACAGCGAGCAGTGAAGAGGATCCCGTCGAAAAGCCTGCGCGCGAGGGAGAAACGACGCAGGCTGATGCTGACGCTGAGCAATACACTGTTGCGTTCGATCCTCTCGACGGCAGCTCCATCATTGGACCCAACTGGTCTGTCGGCACTATTATCGGCGTATGGGATGGGATCACTGCCGTTGAACAGCCCACCGATAAGCAAATCGCCTCAGTTCTTGGTGTTTTTGGCCCACGAACCCTCGCCGTCGTAGCCATCCGCGTCCCCGGATCGCGACCCCTGTGCTTCGAAGTCAGTCTCAACGACAGCGAGAAATACATCGTCGCCCGTCCCGAGCTCCGCCTCGCCGAACCCCCCTTCAAGACACGCTACTTCGCACCCGCCAACCTCCGCGCTGCCGCCGAGAGCGAGAAGTACATGGCCCTCGTCACCAAGTTCATCACCGAGAAGTACACCCTGCGATACTCTGGCGGGCTTATCCCCGATGTTTACCACGCGCTTGTCAAGGGCCATGGAGTTTACATCTCGCCTGTGACGTCGGCGAGCAAGGCCAAGCTGCGAAAGCTTTACGAGTTGTTCCCTGTGGCGCTGGTAATTGAGTGCGCGGGTGGTCAAGCTATTGACCCTGCGACTGGATCTAAGATTTTCGATATTAGGTTGAAGGGATGTGATGATAGGGCGGGATTGGTTTGTGGAACTTCAGAGGAGGTAGAGGCAGTGAAAAAAGCATTGTTGGATTGAGTTCTGCGATGATATATGAACCTACGAGTATGAAAACTAAAACAATAGACAGCATTTGGAAATTTCAGTCCGTGATTCTTGCAGTTTGTAGTCACTCAAGCCTCCCCATGTGACTGTTTTGCCATTTCTGGGAAGTGAGGGTTCACCACTTTGACACCCTTTACATCCTCCGCCAGCGGCTGCCAAATTGCGAAGTAAACGCTGGTTCGATCAATCAATTCCTCCAGTTCAAACGCATCGGGAAAGACACCTGCAACAGAGTTCGTCTGAGCCACCTCCTCCACTGCTTCGTAAAGGGCTTCATCACCACTCTCCTCCGGTTTTGGGAATGACATGTGCACACCGATCATCTGATCCTCAGGGCGATGCAAGAGCCAAAATGCCCCAGCTCCTCTATTCTCGGCTGCGTCCTTTAGGACGGGATACAGTTGTGTCAGGATGGACTCTACGCCCACGTGATGATACGTCCAACGCTGCATACGGCCAATGCCATGCTCATCGATGGGCGTGAAGTTGTGAGCTCCGATGACGTTCCAGGTAAAGGCGTTGACTGATTTGAACAAGGGCTGTTTCCAGTACGTCGTCTCTGGCTCTCCCACTTTGAAGTCATTGGTTGTCCAGTCCTCATATTCCTTCGCATTGTCGAAAGTGTCGAAGAGATAGCATCCTCCAGTCAGCATGTCTCCATTGACTTGGTTGTACTTCGTGATGAGATATTTCATGTGCATTCCAGGGCGTTTGCCCATGACCTGGGACCCTTCGTATTGACTGTGCCAGACGTCTTGGAGCCCGACGCGTGCGGTGATGTGTATCTCGGCAGTGAAAGCTCCTTTTGCATTTATCTTACCGACCTCGTAGCTCGAGATCTTGCTGTTAGTTTCGGCGCCTGTGGACGTCAGCAGCAGACCAGATAGATTATGGGTACGTAGAAGCGAGGGGCTTACCCATCGTGGATGTTAATTACGAAGTTTCACTCGTGTCGTCTTGGGTATCTTAGTTGGGTTTAGATGGCGGGGTACCCTCGGCGAGTCGTCGCCCTTTATGTTATTTTATACCAGGCCAAAGACTGCCGCGAAGGGCTTGGTGTAATGTCAGAATGACGTGTCACGCGCTGAAGCCAATTAGTGTCCTGGACTGTGACGACTCTTACATAAGATTACAATAGGTACTCTAGGGTTGAAGGCCTCCGTTTTCGAGCGGCGGCTAAAGGCATTTTTAGTTTTCTAGCGTAAGCCAATCCTTTTCGCTTGCTTACTGTCTTCACTGTCCACTGAACCCCTCACAGTGATCACTAAGGGTGTGGCTTGAACCGTCCTTGAACCGATGGATCCGCCATGATATGATGCTAGAGAGTGCTTCTATAGTCTAGACAGACCAAGATCTATCAAGCAAGCCAACAGCCATATCAGAGAGGGTCAAGTATACTATTATTCCACATTCTCTAATGCTGGTATATGTTATGTCACCCGACAGGCTGGCCTCATGATTCCTGGGCTAGTGGTATTCACAGCAATAGATAGAATATGTTCGTGTCAATGTAGCTGTAGGGGCAAGGTTGTAGTTTTCAAGTCTACCTAAGCTGCCTACGGAAATGAAATTTATAAACGGAGCAAGCCAATGGGGAAGGATCCCCCACACAGGGTCCTCCTCCCGTTAGCATCTGCCTCCTCATAGATATACTGCTGTCAGTAAATCACGGCCATGTATCAGCCCTGAATTACCCCAAACTACCTACACTAACTGCATTGTGGTCATATAGAGTCGAGTCAGGATGATTTGAACCAGTGGAAGAAGCTACTCTGACAAGAGCAGGTGACCATGACTATATCAACAGTCTCGAAACACATTTCACAGTTGTCAAAACTTAAGTTTCTACACTACAGCTTTCACCACAGTTAACACTCAATAAGCTCATTGCAAATTGAAATAGAATCCTACAATGTCTGAACCAGTAAAGCATTTACACCACATATCTCTCGATCACATCACGGATGTGACCAAGGTGGAAGAGGTACTAAAGGAGATCTATGGGGAAGGGAATTTTGAGGTGACATGGACCGATGCGGCGGTCAACGTCGAGACGGTCAAGGAGGAACCTGTAAATCTTGTGGGGGTGCTTCAGGAGCACGGATGTTGACACCATTCAGGGATCCGAGTACGCGCATCAGAGAAGTTCCATGCGATGGCCTCATGGTCCTTCATTTCTTTTTCTCTTCTCCACTTTTAGACTCGGGTTGATGCTTCTTAGTTAGTTACTTCCAAGAAAGTAGTTCCAATATTAGAAGATAAGATCTTTATAGTGACTGAATCTGAACCATCGCCCTCACTACTGTAGACTGTAAACTGGTGAACTCACAGCTTCGGCAGACATCAGCCCGAAAGGCCGATTTAATTCCCAAGTTCAGGCTTAAATAACAAGCTTAAATCCCCCAAACCACCGGCGTTCCCCCAACATCTTAAAGTGAAACACGTCCGAGATGTCACTCGTGTTGTCCGAAAGGGGTGGTTGTGTCAATACCATTGGTGGAAACACACTAGCGCCGTCACCTTCGGAGTGGACATGCCCGTTTACCTCATTTTAGTAACTATTCTTTCAGACATAAAATGTGTTGATAGTCTCTTGGAACATGTTAATTTTCGATATCGACCATTGATCCTCTGCAATCATGTTTATTATTAAGCTTACACCCGCAGTTGTCCTGGCCTTCCTGGCTGGCGCTAATGCCAAGGATATCTTTGTTTCTCCCACCGGTACCGGTTCAGGAACTCTTGCGGCGCCCTATGGATCAATCCAGTCAGCTATCGATGCTGCCAAGGCTGGTGACTTTATCTACCTCCAAAAGGGTACTTATGCGCCTTCAAAGAACATTCAGATCAAGACAAGCGGTGCCAAGGGTAGCCCTATCACCGTGAAGCCTTACCAGAGTGAGAAGGTCATCATTGATGGAGAGAACATGCCTGGGTAAGTCAACATCGCATTGAGAACTGCAGCATTTCTGACACAGAATAGTACACCCAAAGCTTTAGACGAGTCTCTCCCGAACGCTGAGCGTGGTGTGTTTCACATCCAGAATGCTGAGTGGTGGTCTTTCTACAATCTCGAGTAAGTCTCACTCCAAGGAATATTAAAGACACAAGACTCATCAAGCTCAGGATCATCAACGGCCCTTACGGTATCTACGCCAGAGATGCCTCAAACAACTACTACGAAGGTCTCTCCACCCACGACAACTACGAGACCGGCTTCCAGCTCGAAGGAGCATCCGCCAACAACCAGGTCATCAACCTCGACTCCTACCGCAACCGCGACCCTCGCAAGAACGGCGAGAGCGCAGATGGTTTCGCCTGCAAGGACGGCACAGGCGAGGGCAACGTCCTTCGCAACGCTCGTCTGTGGGATAACGTCGACGACGGCCTGGACCTGTACATGTTCGGCTCGCCTGTGACGCTGGACGAGGTATACGCCTGGGGCAACGGGTTCAACCTCTGGGACTTCAAGGATTTCAATGGCGACGGCAACGGCTTCAAGCTGGGCATCACCAACAACCCACCCGCGAACCACATCGTCAAGAACTGCATTGCCTTCCAGAATGCCAAGAAGGGCTTCATCGACAACGGCAACCCCGGCTCTCTGACCTTCAATCGCAACACGGCGTGGAAGAACGGCGACAATGGCTTCAACCTCCGCAGCTCGTCATCAAAGGTTACCAAGAACATTGCTGTGGGCAACAAGGGCGAGCAGGTCAGCCTCAACAGCAAGGTTACTGCCTCCGGAAACTCGTGGGACAGCAAGGATACCTGGAATGATGCGTCCTTCAAGAGCACGAACGCGGCGACACTCAAGGGTGCTCGTGGCTCTGATGGTCGCGTGAAGGCCAGTGACTTTTTGGTTCCTGCTTCTGGTGCTGGTCTTGGTGCTACTACTCAGGCCAAGGTCTGAACTGGGGTCGGTGTGCAATTTCCTGTATAAATTTGATATCAGTTTGCGATTGAATGCAGCTGGATGTGGTATATAAGTTTAAGTTACATATACTTTCGTTTGAGATTCCTGTGCGATATTGTTCTCGATTGTGATGAGGACTTGGACTTCTCCTACTGTATTCTCGCAGTGAAGAGATAGTAAGATTTTCAACTACATCAAGTACGCTGGCCATCATGATGAATGAAATGTGACTCCTTTATATAATGCTCGATATACCACTTGACCTGCTACCTTACTATTGCTCAATATTGCCCCACAAGACATACTCCCAGTCCTATTCTACAGTATCCATAACTCTCATAACTTCCAAGTCGGGTTTCATATCTATCTCACTTTCGCTCCCTGCAACACCCAGATATCAGCATCTCAACATCGTACATGGCAGTCCGAGTACTTACAGAATCTCGTCAAAGTAAGGGTGGTTCAGCGCCGCCTTGGCAGAAATTCGAGTAACGGGGTCGCAGATAAGGAAATAGTCAAGCAGCTCCAAGCCTTGATCGTCCAAGTTCGGGCACAGTGGCGTCGAAAAGTCGCGCTGCCACTTGGGGAACGATGGTTTGAAATCGGGGTACGACGTGACGCCGGGCCAGGCGTCCTCGTCGGGTGTTCCAAGAGTTCTAGTAAGATTAGCATACATCCTTGCGACATTTCCTGAAAATGGCACTCACCGGAAGATCTTGAAAATCTCGTCAATCTCGGAATCACCAGGGAAAAGGGGCTTTCGCGAACACATCTCTGCAAAGATAGTGCCGATGGACCACATGTCAACTCCAGTAGAGTACTGTCGTCCTCCGAGCAACACTTCGGGAGCGCGATACCACAGAGTAACAACCTCGTGGGTATAAGATCTCAAGGGCACACCAAAGGCTCTCGCCAGACCAAAATCAGCTAATTTCAAGTTTCCATCCTTGTCGATGAGCAAGTTCTGCGGCTTGAGATCACGATGCAATATTCGGCGCGAGTGGCAGTATTTGATGCCCTGGACCAGATCAAGCATGAACTTCTGGACCACCTTCTCGCTCATTCCCAGGTTGCGAACGGTCGTGGCTGTTCCCGTGGGGAGGGGCTTCCCGCGGCCTCCGTCGGTGACTGGTAGAGAGTCCATGTACTTCTTGAGATCAAGGTCGAGGAATTCCATAACGAGGTAGAGCTTGTGGCCGTCGGCGTGGACAATATTGAGCAGTTTCACGACATTTGCGTGGTTGAGTTCTCTCAAGACGGAAATCTCACGTATGGCGGTGCTGGGGACGCCCTCATCTTCAGTCTCGAGACGGATCTTTTTGAGGGCGACGATGCGACCGTTGTGGCCGAGATCACGGGCTTTGTAGACAACTCCATAGGTACCTGGACGCGATGAGCGGATTGCAATGAGATGAGGCTAAAGCGGGGAGACTGTGAAACCTTCTCCGACTTTTTCTATTCTCTGGTAGTTATCCATGCTGGGCCGTCAGGTCAGGGGTGGAGACTCAAATGAAGGGGTGAGGTGAGGCGAGGCGAGACGAAGTGAGGCTCTGTTTCGTTTGGATAGGGCAAAAATAGAGTTAAACGCGTCGGACCAAAGCGGTAAGTGAGGTCAAAGATGGGACAACAGGAGAATTAATGAGATATCGTCAGTCGTGATAGCGTCGTCACGGTTTGTCTTGTCTTTTTGGTTGTTGTTCTGATCTCGGTCTTTGTTCTGTTTGTTTGTTTCGTGTCCCTCTCCATGAAAATTCGATGCATTGACGGATCATTTCTTCTCCCGGCGCGCGTTGGCATTAGCCTGTTGCGGGGACAACTGTACGTGTACGCGCCCAACTCCGCACCGCGCTTTAGGCACCTGGGCTCACTGAGATGTGACATTTGGACGAGTGTTGGCATGTTTTTATTCTTACAAATTTGAGATGAATAGAAACATGGCTTTCAATAGTTCAAAGTTTCTCATCATTATCATTATGGATACTCTCGGACTTAATTCATCCATGGCTGATCACCAGTTGGACTCATCTCACAGTGGCGATCAGTTTGACATCATTTACGCTAATACTCCGAAATTGAATTACATTTTCTTCACGGCCTTGGTAAACAAGAGGTTCTCTCGACATTTTATCCATTAGCCATGACATTATTCCCAACAGTAGCATGCAAGCTGTAAAATCCCATCCAGCTTTATTCACTCAGTACGAGAAACAGGGTTTCTTCATTCAGGTACCCGCGCGTTGGGTTATGCCACATCAGACACCAATCGGACACCTGTTCTACCCCTTAATCTAGTGCCGCCCACATCGCTGTCATCGCTATTGGAGTCAACTTCAACGCTGCAGAAATAATCCTTAGCTTATCAAACTATTGGCAATAGTTCAGCTATGGCGTCCGATTTACATCCATCCGTTATTGACTTTCCCAGGCTGACGCAAATAATGGAATGGGGAAGTAGATAAATACGACTGCCCACCTTGAGGGGATCTTCCGTAGCACTCTCTCTGATTTACAATCTTCTGTGCCAAGCACTGTCCGTTCGCTATCCATACACCCATCTACAATGGCTCGTCATGGAATTGTCGCTATTCTGGCTGCGGCCGCTTTCAGTGTAGGAGTCAACGCTGGCCCATGCAAACCGTATTCCTCCGTAGGATTGTCGTCAACCATCATCGAGACAGCCGCCTCAACGATCACCACCGGTGTCACTGGCACAACGGATGTGCTTGGAAGTACCGTCACAGAGACGTCTCAAGCTACTGATAGCACTGAAGTCCTCGACACAACTGTGACCGAAACCGCTACTGGTTCAACTGAGGCCACCATCAGCATTGAACCGACTATCACTACGGACGCTGCTACCACTCTTGCGACTACCACTGCCGAAGCAACTACTACCCAAGAAACTACCGCAGAAGAAACTACTACCGAAGCAACCACAACCTCAGCCGAAGCGCCTCCAGCCTGCGAGGCAACACAGATTCTCGTCAACCCCAGCTTTGACGACAACAACGATGCGTCCCCATGGGACCTTGGTGCCGGTGTCACAGTCTCTCAGGTCAACCCCCGCTCTGCTCCTAACTTCTTGCAAGTCATATCCAACCATCTTCTATCAAGCAACGACTGACCACATCGAACCAGGTACAATACCATGAATTCTGGCAGAACCTCGACCACTTTCTCTCAGACTCTCCCTCCCCTGGGCAGCCTCAGCTATCAGCTTGACTACTATTTCAATCTGCAATCAGCCGTCAACAGTCAGGGTTTCTCCTGTTCAGCCGTCCCCAGTATTAACGGTCAAGAATTGAGCCGAAGCGAAGTCCTAACTGATAATGGACCCTATGGCTTCCGACTTTCGACGCAGAGATTCACGGGCGATGGAAGTACTGAAAATGCTATACTGTCTATCACTGTTTCTTGCGCAGGAACCTACGGCTTCGTCATTGTCGCCGTCGATGACGTTTCTCTCCAGCGCGTCTGCGAGACTTGATACAAGAATACGGAACTTGGGAGGGGTGGAGTTTCTAGTATCTACTATCATATTATTGTTCTTGTAAATAATTGCAAATCCTATAGTTTGGGTTCATTTCAATACATGCTCTGTTTAATCATCATAACGGTCATGGTTGTATTCAAAGGGGATTGAAAACCCCTGTATCTCCGCTCATCAAATCCGAGGATCTCTATCATCGGGCCCCTGTATATACTGTCTGGCTTGACGGTGCTGTGATGCAGGCTGGTACACCGGAGGCCTCATGCCTTGATAAGCCCGTGCAGAAACCATCTGGGGGTTTCTCATGTAACGTGATTGAGCCGCCGTTTGCTGCGCAGCTTGGGCATGAAATCCACGCTCCACTGGTGCGTGTTGCGGGTCTTGGTACTCAGATAGGCAGCGTATAGATGAATAAGGATTATAAGATTGATCAGAATTATCTGGGGCCTGATCTGATGACATTTGTTCCCTGTGATTTGGCGGCTGAGCTTGCGATATATGTGATGAGTTGCGAGGGACAGCTAGGTTAGAGGATGGTGGGGGGTATCGATGTGTCTGGTTCGATATACAATTCTCGGGGTGATTGAAATATCGTCTCTGGGAGGTTTCATGGGACGGTTGAAAGTTTTCTGCTTGGACAGGATATTGAGCATTGGATGGCGGTCTATCTGCTTGCGCTTGTAGATATAACTGTGCTTGTTGAGCAAGCAACTGTTGATCCCGACGTTGGCTCTGTTGGGGAACCTGTCGGGGAACCTGTTGGGGAACCTGTTGGGGAACCTGTTGGTTTAATTGGTGCTGCGAAGCCCGCTGGGCTCGTTGCCGGTCCCAATAACGATCCAAAGTTAGCTGTTGTGCTGGAGTTAGAGCCTGATGGTGATGTCCTTGTGAATCTCGATATTCCGTCGGAGTCGTCTGCTGGTAAGTTTGCTGGGAAGAAGCATGGGGCCGGTCCACGGCAAGTATTCCATGTTGCTGTTCCCAGCGTTGTCGAACCGCTGTTATGTTATTGACAAGAGGCCGGTGAGACATCTCCTGACCTTGTTCAGACTCCGGAGCTGGAGCGTTGCCTCCCGGGGGTATGGAATGGGAGTTCGTAGGTGAGAAATATAAGTGTCTCGACAGAGGGGGTTGGGAGGTTTGTGGTGGGGTTGGCTCCTGTAATCGAGGTGGTCGATGGTGTTGGGATTGAGATTCGGGGTGGGTTTGCCCCGGGCTGAGATGCACAGCAGCAGACACTGGGCGTGAGTCGGAAGTAGCTCGGGTCTGGCCGTGGATATGGTAGTAGTCTTGACCCGATTGTGAGGTATTGGTGGCGGATGGACTGCGCAGGTACAGATGCCCTATAGAATAGGAATTTCGCTCTTGGGGAGCTCCCTCCCCTGTGTTTCCAGTCTGATAAGTCTCCCTGTCTTGATATGGTACTTCGTGATCTAGTGCGGCTTGAGCGATTCGTGAAGCCGCAGCTCGAGCTTCATCCTCTGCTGTAGGTTGATTCGTGATCACTGCTGGTTGTGGCTTGATAGTTGATTCTTCATGCTCGGCTTGATACTGGACAGGAGTATCCAATCCTTCAGTATCCTGTGCCAGGCTTTCAGAAGGGGCGGGAATGGTATCGTCTCGAGTCAGACCAACGTTAGTGTCCTCTTCGTCGTCCCAGTCAAACTCCGACTCGTCATCAGAAATATCAATAACAACGGGCTTCTCTTTAGCATTGCCAGCTCCGCCACGTCGTCGTCGGCTACGAGAGTGCCCAGGTGTGGCCGGTGGTGAAGGCATTGGGAAAGGACTGTTAAGAATAGCAGAGAGCCGTGGGTGAGACACGCCTCTTGCTGGGGTTGATGACGTTCTTTGAATCTTGATAGATGGTTCAGCTTCTAGGGCAGGAGCTTCGGCTTCTGATGACCGTTAGCTTCTCATTCTATTAATACGGTTAGTTAGCTTACCTTCCAGCGGCGCGGGTTCCTGTTTGTTTGTACCTGCGTTAGCTGGAGGGGCCTGAGGCTCTGGTTACGTTAGTTAGCTCTGCGTTCATTGCTCAGCTAGACGAGAAAAGAACCTACCATTTGAAGGTCCTGCAGTGGAGGGTTCAGGACTGTTTGAATCTTCTTGCTCGGCAATATCAGATAAGTGAGAGCTCAACCTTTCTGATCGTCCCACTTCCTCATCCTCTATTCCGTATGACGAGGCCCTCCCACCTTGTTGTTTGAGATACTTCAGAATCGTTTTCCTATTCGGAACAAGTGAACTTCCAAGCTTCATGTGGAATTTGCGCAGATTCTTCGCCTCAATCCACATAATGGCGCTTTTGTGAGGAAAATCCCGCCCATCAAAGAACATCACCGGAAACATGCGTTCGTTGACCAAACGCATACCATCTTGGTACTCTGTCGTCCAGGAGTACTTCTTCTTCTTCGACCTATTGTAGCGGTAACATGATGGGAGAGATTCCGACAGGCCACAGGTACTGATAGAGCCAGGGATGCCGACGCTGTTGAAATCGCCCATGGGGAGAAGAAGCACGGCGAGCCACTCTTTAGTCTTGGCCCAGAAGGTGAGATAGATCCTCCCCGGTTCCGGATCGGTTATGCCCTGAAATTCTTCAAATCCAGTCGATTGATTGCGTCTGTGGCTTTGGCGGGTTGGTCGTCGTGACTCTTCTGCAGGCGTAGCAAATTCGGGGTCTGGGGTTGAAGCTGCTGAAGCTGTTGAAGCTGCTCTACTAGTTTTTCGTCGCTTATTTGTTATATGAACTGGAGAAACAGCCCTACGCTTGTTCTACAAATTTCATTAGCAAGGTTTGAAAACGGGCTCTCAAAAACCTTACTCTTGTTTCTCTCGCACGCGTGCTCGTCGTGCACGTCTTTTCGACTTTTGGTGGTGGTTGAACCATGGTGCTTGTTCCGACCGTGATGGTGTCACATGCCGGTGAAGGTGGCGCTGAAATATCCTCATCTCTGTCTTCTTCCTGGCTGACGACATTTTCAAGTTTGTCGTTTTCAACAGGCTCTTCTTTTATAGGTACGTTTTCTGTAGCGTCATTCTCAGTTGAGTCGAATCCCGCCGGCTCATTCTCAGCTGCAATCTCGTCACCTATTTCCTCTGACAACTCTTTGACGTGTGGGGCGTCGTCAGTTGGTTCGTCCTCAACCAGATCAAAATTGACAGGTTCATTGTCGGTCTGCCTATTTTCATTGGTTTCGTTCGCAGAGTCATCATCCAGGATAATTTGCGGTCCAGGCTGTGGTTGCGATTGTGGTTGCGGTGGGGGCTGTGATTGTGAGTGAGGATGAATTTCAGGTTCAGGTTCAGGTTGAGGTTGTGGCTGTGACGGCGGCTGTGATTGTGACTGAGGTTGAGTTTTGAGCTGAATTTGAGGCAGACTTTCAGGTTGAGGTTGTGATTGAGGTCGTGCAGTACTCGATGCCGCGAGCTGTGCAAGTCGACTCCGAAACTCATCCATCGTCTCCCTCAACCTCGTCTGGTAAATGACCTCCCATCTCTTAATATTGGCCTTATAATTGATCTCCATCTCCTTCTTCTGCCCGCCCAACTCGAGCAGATTCTCCTGCAGCTTCTCCCGCTCATCTGGTTCTGCAGTAGCGATGCTTGCCCACAGCTCAGTCACGCGATCGCGAATTATCGCAATGCCCTCATTGTAAACCGTCTGGGGCGATTTAATTGACGCGAGGATCGCGTCGTAATGGCTGACGACATCCTTGATGTCACTAAATTGTTGCAGAGGTCCCTCGGTCTGCATCGTGGATTAAAATCTCTTCTCCAAAATCATATTGTCAGCATAGTCAGCATAATCAGGGCCAGAAAGTGCGCTGGGCCTGTCGGCGCGCTGGGAGTTTGAAGCAGTTAATCGATGGATGACGATGGCGATGTGGAATGTGAAAAGTGAAAAGGAAATGAGTTCGTGTCTGAGTTTGTTGGGCAGCGCCAAAAACAAACAAACCTGGGGCAACAACCACGGCAGGCTAGACAGGGTCTGGTCAGGGGCTGGTGGGGTAGCTGAGTCCACAGCAGCCCAAGTGGCAATAGCGGAAGTCTAAATATGATGGGTCATCTGCCGAGGCTGCCGTGATGTAATTAAACACTTACGCTACTTCGCACAGCGGTCATGATAGCATTAATAAGTATGGGCCAGATACCTGATGAGACAGAAGAGGACAATTACATAGCTATAGATCTCTTTATAAAAACAAATGCACATGCTCTGCCCTGTCATAGTAGAATAAACTCAAGCACATCACAGCTACTTCTAGTAACTTGTGGGGCAGATTGCAGTACGCTGTACATGTACCACGTAAGACAGCTGCCTCCCCCGGCCTCTGATAAGGCTATCACTTTGTACCCTACGGCTCGTTCGATCGGATCAGATATTATTCCAGGGCCGAAAATTTGGTCGTATAATTAACTATCAAGTGCGGGTACAAGTACTCTGTCTCATTACTCTCAAAAATTGGGATAATCGATGCAATGAAGTACTGATTGATGTAAATATACAGGTACCTCCATCTCTCGTCGTATGCGAGGGGATGATCGCGCAACTTTGACCAGTACATATTGGGACTAGAGGGTGGGCTAAGGTTCGATAACCCGATAAACTGGCAGGGATAGCAGCAGTCAATGCGTTTCACCATCTAGACCGGGAACTTACGGCTACCACGGACCACTGCACGGTGGAGGTGCATTCAAGCTTACCCTATACTCCCTTATGGTTTTCAAATTGTCTGCTTCAAACCTTTGATTTTCAAGTTGCACGGCCTTATACACCACCTTTTCGCAATTTATCAAACTTCCTCTTTCGCATTGTTATATATATTGCTTCACTATGAGTACAAACGCGTTGTTGCGCATCGGAGAACCTTCTCATCAAATTTTGTTATTGCTTTGATCCACTGCTAATGCGTGTTCCCAACATTAAGAGCTCAAAGATTGAAACATTCCCACAAAACTACCCTCGAAATCTTTCAAATCAAACCCTCGAGCATTTTCAAACACCCGATTAACCCGCGGGGCTAATGATTTGTGTAAAGTGCAAGGATGATCCGTAGACCTTCCAGGAACACGCCAAGGCGGCGCTGTCAAGCCTAGTATTGTACTTCTCGCATCCTCTACCTTCCACCCTTCAAACGGAACAGCCGGCTTTGCGGCTGAAAGGCCTCTAGCTCGCATTTGTTTCATCAAAGAGCCGAGCAGCATGCTGGCGCAGGTCTCTGAGCATCCCGCTTTGCCCTCGAGAAGATCCTGCTGGAAATTATACAGATGCCCGAAAAGTGTGTTGAGGACGTATTGGCGCTTATCATCAATTTTGTCTGAGACATAGTCAGTATTTGGTCAAGTGGGGGTTACGCGGCTGGCTGTTACCTAGTATTGGCTGTGGTATGGGTAAATCGACCACATATTTCCCATTGTCATATAACAGAAGCATTTTGGTAGCAACCGTGAACAACAACTCCTGACGAAAGACCCAGGAGATGAACAGCCACCGTGACGGGTCTTGCTTGACAAAACTCTCAAAATCTCCTCGGTAAGCCATCCATGCAGTAAAAACAAGTTCCATTATCTCGTGACAGCCATAGTAGTCGACAATTATTGCAATATGCGACAAAGTCTCCACAGATATCCGTTTCGGCACGTCGCGATGATGCCCGTGGATGATGTCCAGAAGTATGACAAGCGCTTCAGCATCCCACTCCGTAGCTTGAATTTCGTAAAGATCTTGTTCGTTTGGCTGAGATTCCTTGAATTTGCTCTCGAGCATCGCCCGGAAAACGGGAGAAGCCAGACTCAAGTGTCGCGACGATACTCGAAACTCGACCTGTGTTGTGCTGCCGTCATCTAGAGACCCCCTCGGATAAGTCTGGTCATTATCCAGCGTCATAGGAGAGTCGCGACGTGTCTTTGTTGTCTCAGCCAACCCCGCCTCATCCGACCCAAGGCGCTCATACTCCGGTTCCGAATCCACATGAGCTTCACATTCTTCTGCGTTCGGGTTTCGCAGAATGAGCAGCGTGTCAGCGCGAGGGTCGAATGTGAACGGCGATGGCTTCATCTTATGTGATGGGTATATCTCAATGGTGTTTGTTATGATTTGAAACTGACTGCTTGCTATTGATTGAGGGGAAGCTGAGAGGCTTGGTATGCGACGTGGCTGCGTCATCTGATCAAGTTGGAGTAAGTGATGAGCGTCCAACATCAGCCGCTAGACCAATAGAGGAGTTGTTTGGAGTCACACAAGATCAGTCTGTGCATTATTTTATGTCTCGATTGTATGTTTATGAATAATTACTACTGACCTGAACACTAATTGGAAAATCCATAAGTGTGTTAGATTTGCAATTATATACCTAGATTATAGTTTAGACCTCTCTTCCCCAACCAGCTTGGCCTTCTCAGTAGAGTTGAGCTCTCGCCTCGCAGGCCCACCCCGGCTACCATCTCCAAGGAAAGTATCCTCACGATGCTCATATTCCTTATGAAAGCGCCACTTCTCTGCCAAATGACTGGGAAGGGTCTTGTTAATAGCGCCTGTCATACATTCGCCCAACACTGGGAGAAATTTGAAGGCACTAAAAATAAAGGTATCAGTCTGGGAATAGATGCCGTGGGGGCTGCAACTCACTGTCCACTTCCGCCTCCACCGATGAACAGGTTCTTATAGTCTGGGTGATAGTCCATGATGAAGTCACCCGTTGGCGTATCCGTGTACCAGCATAGCGCAGCTCTCTCGAATGCTCGATCAGCCAGCTCAGGTAGAATCTCGCGCAGACCATCTCTGAGACGTTGCTCAGCATCAACAGGCACGAAATTCTTGCGCTCTCGTGAAACAGCTGGGGGTACCGAGATGTTGGACTTGATCGCGTTGTTGTCGCTTTCGGAAGGCGCCCGAGTATATCCCCAACCATGCACCGCAAATTTGAGCATGTTTGTGTCCTCGTGTGGAGGGAAGTTGAACCATCCCGTGGAGTAGTTGACATAGATGGGGAGCTCCTTGTACTTTTTCATCTCGGACTCCGTCAAACGAAGAAATCCCAAAGCTTGCGCTGTGGAAATTGTTGAGTTATACGTGGAAACCAAACCGGAGGCCCAGGCACCAGCCGCAAGAATAAAATTATCCCCAAAAATAGGTGTTCCGGCGGCTGTTTTCACAGCCTTAATGACACCGTTAGCATCGCTGTCGAAACCAATAATTGTACCAGCTCGACCAGCGACGAAGGAGACGCCTAGTTCAAGACATTCGTCGCGGAGTTGCTTGATTGCCTTGTTGGCATCAGCCCAGCCACCAGAGTTATTAAGGTAGCCTTCGAAATTAGGCCGAGCGAGTTCACCCGTCAGAATGGGAAACCCTTGCTTTGCCGCTGCGGTATCGGGTAATCGAGTGTAAGGCAGTTGTCGCTTATCTAGCTGAGCTGTAGTCTTGTCCGTCCAAGACTTTTCAGAATTGCCCCTCGAACCAGCGATGATGTACTGGGTCGGGTAGAAAATGCCCCTGTACTTGGGGTCCTGTGACCACTTGCGATAAGCGTCATATGCCAAGGTGCAGTAATCACTGTCAGCATAGTCGAAGCGGATTATCCGGGAGATGTCAGAGCTTGATCCATCGGGAACCTGTAAGAATTGAGTCATAGAACTTTGATGGACGACGATGAAGTCTCTTACTGGCGGCATGTGTCTGTCGATGACAGTGATATTCTGGTGACCTTCTAAGGTGAGTTGTTTGGCGGTCGTCAGGCCAAAGACGCCCGCCCCGATGATGACGATCTTGCTATTGTGGTCCATAACTAAATACTTCGAGAAAATGATGTTTCTAGGAGCTGCGTTTGGTATTTCAATATTGGAGGATGCTCTTTGATATATTGCCTTCGTTAGTCTGGTGGGCCCGGATGTCAAATGGACGGAGTAGAGAAAAGTGGTAGTGTGCCGTGCACGTGAGCGGATACTTGGTTGAGATGGTGACAATCCGCACTCTCTGGACTATGTGTATGCAGTACATCAATTAAGGTATGGAGGATGACGATGATGAGAATAAGAAAGCTCATAGCTAAGAGATAATTTAAAAAGAAAATCGTTTCGTAGATGAGGTTTGAACTATTGTTCCACAGAGTCTACCTATTCTAGTTCGTCCAGACCTGGCATCCAGCTAGCAAAGATATTGTCCAAATTAACCTGCTCAAGGACCCCAATATCCCATGAGAAAGGATCATTCGATTCAAGGACATTATCTGGTTGCTCAACTTGACTTTCCACCAATGGCTGGATATAATGCGTCGAGATCCGTATCGTGGCGTCCTGAAGACTATTCGACCCTCGGCTATGCGATATCGAAGGTGCCATCTGGCTAATCTTTGGATCTACCAGTGCCCAAAACAGAGGAGGATGAAACAGAATGTGTGTCCCTCTTGAATTCGAGGCTTGTTGGTTATTTTCCGCGATGGAATCTAAACTTCGTAAAATTTCGAGCTGGCAATAGAAGTGTTAAGTTCCGCATACTGACAATTCGGTCGAACAACTCACCTTTTGTACGATATGCGGCCATGTGGAAGAGAGTCGCTCCAAGAAGTCCTTACACCACTCGAGATCAGTCTTAGCTTTGTGTGCAACCTTGGGGTCAATCGCGCGCTGGAAAAGCCAGGGTATCGTCGCCACCACCGCAACTAAATGACCCACAAGAGGATCATAAATCTTGAACTCCTGCTCATCGCAGAACTTGAGAAATTTGAACACCCAGGCTGAATGGTAAAGAGCTAAGTCTACAGTCTGCTGTAGAAATTGTCGCGATTGCAGACCGCGAGACCGATCGCGCATGGCGACTAGATGGATGAACGGGTGATTCAGAATCGCGGTGATGGCGTGGGATGTTACTTGCTGAAGAACCCACGGAATCCAGTATTCACGTGTTTCCGCGATCTCAGAAGATGAACGCTTGGTGAAGTGGACGTTTCTGAGAAGATGGATGTGCGGAGTCTTGGAATCGTACTCGTAGATCCGTGAGCAGAGGACGTAATGCATAGATCCTGGAGACCACGCATTATCCGCCTTTCCAATTCGTATCTGGTGCATGTATGATGCAAGATGGCCCCAGACCCCAATGATCTTGATGTAGTATGCCGTTACGCCCAGGTCTTCAGCACCGTCGTCCGAGAAAAGATCCGGTGGAAACTCACCATCGCTAATGGGTGGCAGGGATGGTGGTCTGGGGACACTGGATGGGTATATGGGTTCGTCTACATCATGAACTGTGGTGCGTTCCTGTGGCATGAAGGTTTGCTCCAGAAGAAACACAGTCCAGTGGCATCCCAAACTTGCTTCGTAGTCAGGCGAAGATGCGGCAAGAGCAGGCTGTGATAGTTGGCGAAGAGCTTCAAGCCGTGAGAGCGTCCCGATACTCATCCATGCTCGACCTGGTTTACAAGCTATGGTTCTCGTGTAAGTCTTTAATATCACAGCATCAGGTAGACTTTGTACACACCTGCAACATCAACGAGGACGAGCATACACAGGGCTTGAACTACCTCGATCTTGGGGATACCCTGGGAAGCAAGGCTTATTACTGCTTGGTGTGCCAGGTCTGTGTAAAACTCAACCGCCTTGGACTTTTGGCCCTTGTAGAAGTCGTGGGTGCTGTATCGCACAGTAAGGGCCACGAAGCTCGAAAGAAGAAATTGAGGTGATGAAGTTAGGTAGTTCTTTAGATCAGGAAGCTTGAATAGCTGGAGTGGCTGGAGATGAATTTTGATGCGATATATCTCAATGAGATGATCGAGGATTTCCGATGGAGGATTCAGACTTGAAATTTAGTGACTGGACCCACCGAGTAAAGACATGACTCACTTAGATGTAGTGAAAGATGCTTCTATGACTGGCTGTGGTACTGTGCTCGGGCTTGTGCTAGTATTTCCATCTTGTAAATCCGTGGAAAGAGCCCTCGTGGATATGTTTGAAGGAGACGTGAGATCAATAACCGATGGTGGTCTGGAAGATCAGAAAGAGCCAAGACAATGAGTATGGGTCGTAGTCTTACTGTAAAATATTGTAGATGCCTTTGACCTGTGACTCTAAATTCTGAAATCGTTGCTGCAAATCACCTTTCTTCGTGCTTGATGTGTTAACTCACTTTATGTATTTTAGGTCAAGATAAACTCACGTTTTGGTAACTCTTTTATTTCTCCTTGATGTACTTTGTTCAGTTTGAACCGATCTGTAAGTGCAAGATTGCTCGAGTCGCTGACAGAATGAACAAGTTGGTTTTTCGCCAGTACATTTACTCTTCTTTTTTCTTGGTGGCAATATGAGTGCAATGTACTACTGGCAAGGGAGCTGAGATCTCACCGACATGGCTCACATGCTTGTTTGCTTCGGGGTTCCATCTCTCTTTCTTGGTATATGCATCTGTTGCTTGGGACGTATCAAGGTAAGCATGGATTTGGGTTGAAAGATGGGGACGGGAACGGAAGCGAGTGCTTCATTTGACGCACGTGAGCGGAACTTGTTAATATCTCCACAAAATCAAGGTTTGTACGCGGGAGTTGCGAGCTTTGCTACATGAATCTATTCTCGAAAGCACCTTTAAAAATATCAAGGTTTCATGATACAACAGCTACAAGAAATTATATGAAGGATTGTGAAACTAAAAGTAGCAATCGACAGATGGATGTAGAGCTGTAGCCAGTGCATATTGGTAGACCAATCGTCACATCTCAAGTGGTGCCTCCACGCGAATCGTCTAGCCGTCAGCAATCGTTGCAACGTATCTCCCATGCTGATTCAAGGTCACTTGACGTGCGCCTTCTTGTAACACTCGTGAGGGGTTCGAACTTTACAATAAACAGCATCAATTTCCATCTTTTTCTTCCACGCAGCCTAACAAAATGTCATCGTCTCACGCTATTTACCCAAGCTTGCGGGGCAAGACAGTGCTCATTACAGGCGGCGCAGAGGGCATCGGCGCTGCGACAGTCGAGTTGTTCACCCTCCAAGGCTGCCAGGCCATTTTCCTCGACATTGCTGAATCGTCAGCGCAAAAGACAATTAACAGTGCCGTATCGCGATCGCAAGACGCCAAAGTAGATGCGAAAGCGCCTATCTTCTACAAGTGCAATGTTGCAGAACTATCTCAATTGCAGGCCACTGTGAAGGACATTCAGGAAAGACACGGCATGGTCCATATTTTGGTGAACAACGCCGCGGCAGCTGGAAACAGAGCCAGACTTACCACAGAAAATGTCACATCCGACGATTGGGACTTCAACATCAACACCAATCTGCGACATGTCTTCTTTCTGAGCCAGGCTGTTCTACCAGCCATGAAAGAAGCAAGAAGCGGCAGCATCATCAATTTAGGATCCATTACCTGGCGCATCCCCGCCGAAGGAACCCCAGGTCCGCCCACATTCCCGTCTCCCAAGTCTTATCCTGCTAACAAATACGCCAGTTTACGGAGCCTGCAAAGCCGCCATCATGGGCCTCACACGCACGCAAAGCAAAGAATTCGGCAGGTTCAACATTCGCATCAACAGCGTCATGCCTGGCGCCATCGCAACGCAGAGACAGAGAGATGAGGTTCTCACGCCAGAGTATCGCGAGGTAGTGATGCGGGGCCAGAGTCTACAGCGGGATCTTGAGCCTGAGGAGGTGGCCAAGGTGATTGTGTTTTTGGGCAGCGATGAAGCTAGCGGCGTGACAGGTAGCTCTTATGTTGTTGATGCTGGGTGGTGTAGCGATCCTTGAGATTGGATAGAGACCCTGATCCTGTCGAATATGAAATGAAGTTATACAAATGGTTCAATACGCAATTTGCCCAGTCTTCTTTATTTATTAGCGAGAGCTGGGCATGGCAGAAGTTCGTGATCAATCACGTTCGGTGGAAATGCCGAACCCCTCCCAGCTGCTCAGTGGACCCAGCGATTCAATGAACAATGCGGGGAAGCATCCTCCATCATACCTAGCTACCAAACACCCAAACAGCTCGCTTGCTTCTAGACCAGCCCGTCTCCCGAGAAGACAAGGATATGACCAGAAACATGGAGCCTTGGAGACTAACAGCTACCCAAGTCTTGGAAAAGCTTCGGCTCCAAGAACTAACCGTTGAACAATACGCATCATCGCTCCTAGACCACATCAGCCAGCGCGACGACCATGTCAAGGCTTGGTCATACCTCAACTCTCAAGCTGTCCTGGACCAAGCTAGAGAGTTGGACAGAGTTCCATCAGGCAAACGAGGGCCCCTACATGGTCTTCCTGTTGCAATCAAGGATATCATCTTGACTAAAGGTGAGAATATGGCCATGCCGTTGGACAAGGGTTCATGACAGTATTATTGACAGACTGTTAGGCATGCCGACTGAGCATGGATCGAAGATATATAAGAATGATCAACCTGAAATAGACGCTGGATCTGTCATGGTTCTTCGAAAAGCTGGGTGCCTCATTTTCGGTAAGTCACTCGGACGGTCCCAACTGTCTTCTTTCCTGATGGCTTCTCAGGCAAAACTACAACAACCGAGTTTGCTTCCTCATTCGTTGGACCAGCTACCAGAAATGCCCATAGCACTTCCCGCACGCCGGGAGGCTCCTCCGCCGGTTCAGCTGCCGCAGTCGCCGACTTCCAGATCCCCATCGCCGTAGGCTCGCAAACTATGGGCTCCATCGTACGACCAGCTTCGTTCAATGGTATCTATGGTTTCAAACCGACCTTCAACGCCATCACGCGGGAGGGGCAGAAGTTCTGTGCTCCTAGCTTCGACACAATTGGATTCTTTGCTCGTACTGTTGCGGATTTCGAGATACTAGCTGATGTATTTGATCTACATGACGATGAGCAGAGTACCTTTGCAGACATCAGGGGCTCCAAATTTGCAGTGTGTACAACGGCGCAATGGGAGTCCGCAGATGAGGGAACTATTGAAGCTATGGCGAAAGCTGTAGAGATACTTAGAGCCCACGGTGCTGACGTCGAGGAGCTTGAACTCGGTCCTGACTTTGGTCCCGTTGTTTCTTGGCACTCGCATATCACAAGCATCGAAGGAGGAACAAGCTTCTTACCTGAATATCGACATTCCAAAGACCAGCTTGATCAGAGATTAGCTGGATGGGTGGAAAACAAGTACAAATCCTCTCGTCGAGCGAAACTCGACGCGTACAATGGGCTTGCTGCGCTTCGTCCATGCTTTGACGAGATTGCAGATGAGTATGTCGCGGTCTTGGTCCCCAGTGTGGTTGGAGAAGCACCAGAGGGACTTGGGAACACAGGTGATCCTATTTTTGCGTCGACGTGGACTGTGAGTAATTCTAAGCTGATATTGAAGCCCTGCTGACATTCCAGGCCTTGCATGTGCCAGTGGTCAATATCCCCGGCTTCAGCGGGGAGACCGGCATGCCAATCGGCGTGTCTTTGGTAGCTGCCAGGCTCCGTGATCGCCATCTGCTCAAGGTGAGTGAGGCAGTTGGTCGCATATTCGAGGCCGAAGGTGGATGGAATCGAGAGTCTACATGAAATGTTGCTTCTGAAAAGTTATGTAAGGGCAGAAACAGAAGCAAATGAGCATTTTCCTGATCTATGTGTCTATGTACAAGATAAATTGGATCTGTTTCGATCTATCGTCTATCACTATCTTCGTCCTCGTCTTCCTCGTCTTCCTCGTCATCTGATGCTAACAAAAACTCCTCGTCCCTTCTTAACTCCTCCATGGGGATATCCTCCCCCTTCAGCCTACTATACGCCGTCCGTTGCCGCCAAGCCTTATATCTTCGGATTCCAAATATGATCGCGAGGACAAATCCCGACATAACCACAGCCATAATCCCCAGTGATCTCCATAACCTCCATCCTTTGATGCAGCACGGATACCACGCCATGAAAACACCAACCACCCACTCCTTAAAAACCATCTTTCGCGCATTGTCGCGCACAAGGCCTTTGCGAACAAGATGTTTGTAGCGCGGCCCATTAGGTCCAGAGTTGAAACGCTTGAGACCGAAATGCGGTACGGTTTCTTGGCGCGCATCCGAGTCTGGATATTTGATATCTCCCCAGTGTCCGAGATAGTCGAACCACGAAGTGAGGTTCTGTGCAGGCTCAGTTGTAGATGGCTGAAACGGCGATATTATTGGTGTGATGGAGAAAGTCTTGGGGTTGAAGCGGTAGAAGTAGGCTGATTGAACGGGATCCCAAATCTTGCCCTCGTCACAGTAATCGAACAAGGCTGCGTTGTGTACTTGCATGCCTGATTCAGCGTAGTTGGCATGAGAGCCAAGAGCACTGTATGAGATTGGTCGTCCGTTGGTTATGTTAATCTTCGAATCATCCCACTTGTAGCCCATGCCATCGACGTGCTGGCTGTAATAGACGCCGATAGGAGTGCCATTGTGGAACCTGACCATATTGTGCTCCCTGTATCCATCGAGTCAGCAAGCTCCCGATTCCTCAGCGCAGCGAAACTTACCAGTCTCCAACGTGATTCCCAAAATGCAACCCTGCTGCCAATTCCTTGCCCCCAACGAACCAGTCAATCGGTTCCAGGACTTGAGTGATGTTGGGGCCCTCGTTGTACGAGTAGAAATAAAAGTAGAACGCATCAATGTCCACGTCGCTCTTTTCTACTAGAATGACAGCACACGGTATAGAATCGTGTATCCGACCGCTTGCATCTGGCGCTTCACCTAGTATCCATGGCGGATACGTCAAAGGGTCTTCCTTGGAAGTGAGAGCAACGTCTTCGCCACCGTGGCTGTTAAGCTCCGCGAGGTTCTCCAAGTCGATAGAAGGCCCGCTGATTGGCTCCCCGTCAATTTTAGGGATTGTGTTGGAGACATGAGCCGCCAGATCACTGGGCATGAAGCGATCTTCCGAGTGTAGCCATACTAACGGCGCTGCGATACCTCATCAGTCACGACTCGGTCACGATCTTGACAGATATAACTCACCGTGATTGGCGACATAATCCGGACACCGATCAATGGCCGATGCCTGTGTGTTGCCCCAGACAGAGCGGACAAGACCAAGCAGCAGCAGCAACTCTTTCAGTCTCGAGCGGCTTTTTGACGCGTTCTCAAACATGTCCAAAGCCCAAGTCCTCCCTTGAACTTTGAGATGAGAAACAGATCTAGCCAAGCCTGACGCGAGATGCTAGCTTAGCAGCATACCAAACCTCGCTTAATCAGCACCGGGATCTTCGGCTGTTATCAGTTAGTGCTGATTGGTGTCTTTCGTATGTCGTAAAGATCGTATCCTTGACCAATTAGATGGATGCTCACTGGGCACGGACAGCTAAGAATAACCGGACACGAGTCTGAGAAGGGGTTGGCGATGTTTTGGGGCAAGGCCAAAAGAAGAAGGTGGCAGTGGACAGAGGTCATTATAACTACAGATACTGGCTGGTATGATTGAAATGCCAATGCGAAACTTTGATTTTGTTCAAAGTGTGGTGGGAACAGTTTTCCTTGTAAAGCATTCAAAGCCAATTGGCTTCCTCGTTACTATCTATATTTCGCTACCAGTGATTAGGTCCATCTCACAGAGTGGAACTGTCTTGGTCCTAAAAACCAGCTTGTGTCCAACCACCATGACAAGAAACAATATCAAGCTAATATAATTAGTAAAGAACTTGCTAGTATCCCATTTGATGAACACCTCAAATCCACTGGTAATGATAATCAAGACACTGAAGAACAACCCGTACCAAGACAGATAAGGTTGAAACGGCGCGACGTACGGCAAATCAGATCGAGATAGACCTTGGAGCGACAGAGCCTTCATAAATCGAATGTGACACAGAGAAATGATAGCCCATGCAATGAATCCTGCCACAGACGTGATGCTCAGGAACCAATCGAAAACAACAGTTCCATCATTCGACAAATTGAGGAATGACAGAAATCCTACAGCTGCACAGACACCAACAGCATTATACGGAGTTCCAAATCGGTTCGTTTTCTTCAGGAATGCTGGGGCGTGGCCGGAATCTGCGAGGGAGATAAGGATTCGGCTACTGGAATACACGTCCGAATTGGCAGCTGTTAACACAGCGGTCAACAGAACTGCATTGAGAATCGAGGGAAGAATTGGTACGCCAGCCAATTGTGTGACAATTACAAGAGGAGATGCTGAAGCATCGTGCGATCCGCTGAGGAGGTCTTTGTTCGTCGAGGGAATGTTGAGGCCGAGGAAAAACACTGTCGCGATGAAAATGGAAAAGACGCCCCAGAATGTCCAGCGCATGGCTGATGGGATAGTCTTTCGAGGATCCTTGGTTTCTCCCGCTCCAATAGCCACTAATTCCGAACCTTGGTAGCTGAATCCTGCTGTGACCAAGACAGACCAGAAGCCAACAAAACGTCCCACATCCCCCTCCACGAGGTGTTCGTTGAAAGCACCAGGATCTTTCCAGTACTTGAAGCCAAGATAACCTTGGTCGCCAACACCTGCATTGACGCAGATAGAAAATATAATAAAGCCGACAATGGTGACGACTTTAATGCTGGAGAACCACATCTCGAATTCCCCAAACCAACGAACGGGCATGAAATTGGCAGCAGTAAAGAAAATCCAAAACACAGCTATCCAAATGCCGATATTCAGATCTTTCTCCCAGTATTGAATAATCAGACCCGCGGCTGTTAATTCGAGAGCAAAGGTGATCGACCAACTGAACCAGTAAATCCACCCCATAGCGAAACCAAACGTCGGGTCCAGGAAACGCGTCGCGTATGTCGTAAAGGCACCGGCGACGGGTATGTACGCTGCCATCTCGCCCAGGGCTGTCATAACGGAGAAGAGAAGCGTGCCGACGAATATGAAGGCGATGAGGAGGGAGACAGGTCCAGCTGTGGCTAGGGCATTTCCTGTTCCGATGAAGAGGCCTGTACCGACCGCAGCGCCGATGGCGATGAATTGAAGATGACGGCCATGGAGGGCGCGTTCTAGTTCAGTGTTTGATGTCTCGATGTTGTGCTCAAGAGACTTGGTGGATGGTGTTGACTCATGGGTCTCAGGGTGAATGCTGGATTTTGTTTGTATATCCATGGTGATTTGGGCTGGTAGCGAATGACTGGGATACGCCCTGGGCCTAAACGCCCAGATGTCTTGTTCTTATCTTATTACTAACCCCGAGATCGGCCAACCTGGTCTAGTAAATCATCTCTGTATTTGCTATGTCTTGTGACGAACGGAGATTTCTAAGGGGTACTTGTTGATGAAAGGCGGACATGGTGGAGAGGCATGATGTCGGCTTGGATATGTATTACACAATAGATTGATAGAGCTTACCAGGTAGGCCTTTGCCCCACAAAACAATATACACTCGTAGGGTGCTAGTAAGTACAGGATGCCGGGCTACAGAAGGGGAGTATCAGAATATTACAGTACCTAGGTAGCTTGAGGTTGCCTCTGTGGTATTGCGCCTTAGCGTAACAGACAAGCTGTCCGCGATTGATTATCCCCCTTCTGGGTACTCCTGCACAAATGCATGTTGGGGAGATTACCCGAACCAAGTTGTTTTTAGTAATAGAAATGAATTAGTCAACAATAATGCCCAGCCAGGGCGGATGTTGAAGTTGGGCGTTGTGGGTCTGGTTGAAATGTTGCTGTAGGGCGGAGACTAGCGATGTCAATTGACAACTGCTTATTTGGGCTAAATCCCATATTCAACTGTTCCAAATACTCCGTAATGAATCAGTGGGAAGTCGTTTGAGCCAAGACTACCTTTGAAGTGTGCATATACCGTCATGGTTCGTTGTATTTATGAGACTAAGACGCCCAGGCTAGACCCAGCGGAAGAAATACAACAAAGGCCTGGTCTCGGAAGTCCCAACCGACGCGGTTATACCAGCCAAGCGATATAACTTTACCTTGATTTACGGTTCAGATTTGATAGATGACAGAAGTCCCCTTGCGATTATTTAAATTATTTAAATTATTTAAATTGTCCACTTATACTTGGACTGTCTCACCGTAAGCGATTGCTCGACATCCCGTCATGATAATCACCAAACCGAAAGAGAAACCATATGCCAAACAGTATTTTAAAAGATGATCGCGTCGGTGAATTTTTATCTACAGGATAGTCATATGAATTTCAGGGTACTTTATGACAGATGAAGAAGATGCATCCTGTTCCCAAACATTAGTAAAATGGTATTCGATATAGAGGCACGGCTGACTCACCAACCCTCCAAGGGTACTCGCTCTTCAAGCATCCTTGCTGCATGCATAGCCTGATCCAGATTGAACTTGACGGCTATTCCCTTCAGCTGATCTATTATGTACAGTCTCGCCAGCGGGGGGCAGATTTCGGAAGCAGCGGCATTGACAAGTGGCCAGACCAGCGCTCGCGCGTTCGAACTTGAAGGCGTGTTGGTTATTTCGAGCGAGTATGGCACGCTGGCCAGCATGTCGTCGACTATCTCGCTCGTCTCTAGCACTGCATGGATGGGCAATCCACCCCAGTCCGCTGCGAGAGGATCGTCTATGGCCGGTTGGTCTAGAATGAGGCCGTAGGAATTCCCGTCAAAAACACAGAATATCCATTCCTTGATCACAAGCCTCATCAGGCGTGCCGTGTTATAAATTCGGGCTGAATGCTGTGATTCGTACTTGTGTATGGTATTTTTGTAAACACAGACCTTTGCATCTGGGCTTCTCCGCCGCTGGTCAGATGTAGTGAGGTCAATAACTTCGAATGGCAAGCGCTCGAAAAGGCTATCAATCATCTGAACGGCTTGATCGTCAAGCTCCATACATTCCCTCACAAAGTCTGTTGCCAACATACCCCGTTTGGACTGCCACAATCTGGCGAACCGGCAGATGAAGTTCACCATCTGTGCTCTGGGGTGGTCAAGCCCCGATAGTCCAGAGTTGACGTAGTCGTGCAGTTGTAAAAAGTCCTCGGGAATCGGAATACAACGCATTATACAGTTCGTCAGTATGTTCACGCTTGCATGATGGAAGAGTCTGCGGCCAAGTTCCGTCTTGAACTGCTCTTTTTGCCTCAAGACCAAGAGCTTCAACGAGCCTTGGACGTGCAGCTCCCAATTCCTTGGTGTACTTCGGCCCGCGAATACCAAAGCCTCGAAGCTCGACAGAAGAAGTACTTGAAGGAGGGTTTTGTCAAGAATAGCCAATTTTGGATCACCCAAATCTTGGTTAGTCTGTGCCAGAGCTTTGGAGTAGTGGCAGCGCGCGACCCGCAGCAGCTCTGGGTTCCGGTGCTCGAGAGCCATTGACGCAAGAGCCGGGGCATAAATGGCTTGTTTGATGTCTTCATCCATCACTATAGCGGATGTATGGTCAAGCATATACAAGAATGGGCCGGATTGTGAAAACACGAAAAAGAAGTACCCAAGGGCAAGTTCTTCGGGGTAACTCGAGATTTTTAGACATTGTAAACTCCCTGTGCCTGAAGTTGATTCGTCGGGCAACCTTTGGCCTGTCGGTGCAATATTGATTGCTGGTGATGATTTCAAGACGACTTGCTTTTGACGTTGGACTTTTCGTGCCACAGCAGAAGTCTCATCTCTGAATTTGAGTTCCTTGAGATTTCGATATCCGGAACAAATAATATGCATTCGTACGCACGAGGAACAGTGCGGCCGCCTCAAGTCACACTATAAGCCGGTTAAGGACAGAAAAGATTGAAGATGAGAGATCCTTACCTTTCTCCGTTTCTCACGACATGGTGCACATGCTTGTGATATCTTTCCAGAGAAGACCATGGTTAAATCCCCCCGGTAAGTTTGCCGCTGGTTATCACGTGCTCAATAATACTGAATATCTGGGCAATAATACCAGGATCACAATAGTACGTAGGGTAAAGTGGTTAAATTGGTAGTCAAGGAGTAATTCGAAAAGGGAGATGGGTTCGACGAAATCGTAACTTCTTTGGCGACTCGTGGGTGACTCTTTGTTCTCGAAGTGTGGAGATGATAGCGTCGAAATGCCCACCAAAATTGGGTTAGACCATGGCTGAGCTAGCGCAGGCTGTGCTGTTGGTAAGCACGGATATTCGGCAGCCTTTCTGATTGGTACCTGCGTTCCAGTTCTTTGAAGTTCCTGCTGGAGGCCGTTGGATCATCTGTAATACTTAAGCCCAATAGAACTCCAATGGCGTAAATATGGTCCGTGAAGCTTACGACCACAGTGCATACAAATAGTACATGGTGCGAAGTACCCTTTCACAAACCTGGCCGTTTAACCAGTTGCAGCGCAAAACCGATGACATCAAGTTACTATCAAGAACAGGTCCCACCTCAAATTGTGTGACACTACTAGACAAGAGGTCATATACATTGTAGTATGGAATATTACTTAGCGACTAAATCTTAAGCGTTAATCCCGTCCGTGGATGAGGTATTGTTACCTACCTAGGGAGATGAAGGATCCCACGAGCAACACCCAACTTACCATCCTCAGCCTTACTGATGTTAAGTTATTGTTAATGTACTTGCACTTAAAAATAGGGTATGATAAATATTACCATACCATATTTCCAGTCCTCTGTAGTTAGGCTTTAGTGGTGTCCTTTGAACCGAATACATATGGTCAAAGGTTGTGACAACTTTACAACTGGCTTGACCAATAGTCAACAATATTATGCTTATACCCTGATAACACAAGTTATTTCGAAATGCATGTTTTAAACTGGACTTTCTGCAAGGTTTTACTCATTTTGGGGGTCATCTCGGCTAGATGACATTGATGAACCTACCGCAGTGACAGATTAAAGATATGCAGCTAGCAAACCTTCATAACCCTTCCAAATATTATGATCTACAGCCTATTTAATAGAATATATACCTTGAATAGTAGTGGAACTAATAAGGGCAGGGAGTTTTGTCATAAGGGCCACATACGCAGTAACTAAATGAGTCTTTGTGTTGATATTAATAAGGTACTCCGATGATTCAGGGAGATAACAGAGACGCTGCATGAACTAGTGACTTGCAAGCATTCATCAAATATATGTATTTGTCGGTACTAGCCGAGTCTTCCCATAGATATGTACGGCGAAAGGTAATGCTAAAGGTACATGAAGATATGTAATAAATACATGTGCAGCGAAACCTCGATCTTACATGTAAGAGCCATCGTAGAATCCCTTGGAGGCGTAGTTGCCTGAAAGGACAGTCGAGATGGAAACAGCATTCGAGAGCGTAGTAGCAAACGAAGCACGCTGGCCGGAAGATCCCGCGCCAGTGTTACCGAACTCTCCGAACAAAACATGAGCAGTGTTCTCCTCACCGGTGTTCCAGATAGACCAGCCCTTGGAGTTGATGACGGAGCTCATGCTGGTCTTCTGGAAGACGACGCGAGCATACTGTCTCCAAGGTCGGCCGAGGTAGTATGCACCGTTGGCGACGGTGTTGCCGGCTGCGGCGGCGATGTTGCAGTTGTTGAAGACGTAGTATGACATGTTCGAATCAGAGTCGCGCCCGTTGGCTATTTACTGTCAGAAAAAATGTTGGAATGTATAGGCTTGGACTTACCAGTGATGTAGCCAACGTTGGCAGTAACGACTCGGAGGTCATTCTTCTCAAACCAGACAGAAGCTCGCTGGCCGAAGATAAAGTCAGTGGCGCCTTGGATGAGGCAGCGAGAGTAGAGCTGATAGCCCTCATTGGCGAGGAGGGTGTCTTGGAATCCGGTAAGAGCACATCCGCTGTAATCACGTCAGAGACATTCAGGACCATTAGTGCGAGCTCAAACTTACTAGTATCCGCTATCAGCATAGGCGCTCAGAGCAACAGCCTGGCTGCCTTTACCATAGGTGTTGGCAACATTGACATTGTAGAGCTTAAAGTTGGCAGCCTTGACACGAAGCGTGGCACTTGCGTCGTTGTTGACACCATCTGCTTGGCTCTTTTTGGCCGTGATGGTGACCTTGTTGCCGCTGTAGCCGCTGGTATCACCGGTGTATCCGTAGATGGTCAACTGAGCATTGCGACTGGAGACAAGCACTTGCTCGCTGTAGGTTCCTTGGTCAATGAAGATGCATTGTGTTCCAGAAGCTGATGTGGACAGAGAATTGACTGCAGCTTGGATGGTGCCGAACTGGCCGCTTCCTGGAGACTTCTTCACAGTTATACATCCGCTAGGGGCGGTTGTTCGACTGGCAGCAAGAGCCGCAGTGATGAAGTTGAAAGTCGCGAGAAGTTTCATGGTGGTGATTGAGATAAAAGAGAGAAAGTTGGTCACCAAAGAAAAATAAATCCAATAAAAGTGAATGCTCTTTATATTTATGTTCTCCTTGCCATCCCTCCCTTGTCAGTATTGGATAGAGTGTCGTAGTAAACCTTAAACATCGCGCTGGGACAGAGTTTCGCTATTGGTGGATAAAAAGCGTTTTCTCAAGACACGAGGTCACAGCCAAGGATCCTTCGGCTTCATCGGAGGAGAAGCCTCCGCGTTGGTTTCAGCCGTTTCAAATCGATTGCCGTTACCCCAGAGTGTTTAACTCCAATAAGACTAGTCGGCTATATTGCACGATTTATCGTCAGATCCAAACCTCGATCGCAATGATTTCCTTGGCGGAATAACAATTTCCATGTTTTTGTTCTGAATGCCGCTCGAATCCGGGGGAGTCACGTTTCGTACGTGTGCATAGCAGCTCATTTCCATCGTGATTGTGACCAGCAACCTCCTGACGCAAATTAAACCCAAAGTCGATGTTACATCAAACTCTATAATTACAAGGGACGGAAACTTACTTCCCGCGTAACGGAAACGAGGCGAAACACGTCAGCTTCTGAGAAAGACTCAAATTTAGATGACAGAGAAAGTCAATTAACCTCTGGATGCAGAGTCTAAGGTAGACTGTGTAATACATGTACTCGCCCAAACCAAGGCCCGCCATCCAGAGAATCTCCATCGAGTCGTCGATATTACATACGTGTTTATCGTGCACTATTTTAAAAGCCAGCGATGCCGGCAACACCCATAAAACATAAGATCATGAAAGATAATAATGTAAGTATCCCCTGCACTGAACAGACTGCCCACTGAGAAAGTAAGAAGGGAAGTTGCGGGAGCCCCAGAGCAACGGAGTTGAATTAGAAGAGCGAAGTGAAGAATGTGCGGCTAGGTAGCTACTAGGCGTTTCTGTAGATGTGTTAGTACAAGGTCAGATAGGAATAGATGGGGATACTAACAGAGCAGAGCAACGAAACCCATGACAAGAAGAGCCAGAACGGGGCGAACAGTCTCGCCGCCAGAGACAATGACGATGTCATCGCTGGAAGACGATCCGTGCTTGCAGACAGTAGGCTCAACGTAAGGGGTGACTTCGAAGGGGCTGTAGCCGAGGCAAGTGCTGTAAGCAGTCTTGCATGTCTCGACGAGAGCACCGGAAGCGTCGCAGCAGGCCTTGTAGACAGTGGTGCACTCAACACAGCACTCCTCATCGGAGCCGGAGGAGCTGGAGCTGCCAGAGTGGTTGTCGCCCTTGGAGTTGGAGTAGTCGCCAGAGTTGGAGTTACCCTTGGAGTCGCTGCCAGTCTTGTCGGAGTAGTCGCCGTGGTTGTCAGACTTGGAGTCGCTGCCAGTCTTGTCGGAGTAGTCGCCGTGGCTGTCAGACTTGGAGTTGCTGCCGGAGTTGTCACCGTGCTTGCAGACAGTAGGCTTGACGTAGGGGGTGACGTCGAAGGGGCTGTATCCAAGGCAGGTGGTGTACTCGGTCTTGCAGGTCTCAATGTCGTGGCTATCAGCGGAGCAGCACTCGTCGTAGACAGTGGTGCACTGGACACAGCACTCCTCCTCAGAGCTGGAGCTGCTGGAAGAGTAGTCATCGTGGCTAGACTCAGAGTAGGAGTCGGAGCTGGAGCTGGAGCTGGAGTCATCTCCGTGCTTGCAGACGGTAGGGGCGACGTAGGGGACAACGGTGAAGGGGTTGTAGCCGAGGCAGACAGTGTAAGCGTCCTTGCAGATAGTGATATCAGCACCAGGAACCTTGCAGCACTCATCGTAGACGGTAGTGCACTCAACACAGCACTGCGCAACGTCGCCATGCTCGTAGCCAGAGTTGTCAGAGCTTCCATGCTCGTAACCAGAGTTGTCAGAGCTTCCATGCTCGTAACCAGAGTTGTCAGAGCTTCCATGCTCGTAACCAGAGTTGTCAGAACTTCCATGCTTGCAGACAGTGGGGGCGACGTAGGGGACAACGGTGAAGGGGTTGTATCCGAGGCAGATGGTGTACTCCTCCTTGCAGACCTCAATGTCGGTGCCAGCAATCTTGCAGCATTCATCGTAGACGGTGGTGCACTCAACACAGCACTGCGCAACGTCGACCTCAACATCGTAGTTCTCGTGGCTGTAGTTGTCGTACTCGGAGTTGTAGTATTCCTCACCGTGAGTGGACTCGTACTCGGAGTAGTAGCTCTCCTCGTGCTTGCAGGTAGTGGGCTCTTGGTAGGGGATGATCTCGAAGGGGTTGTATCCGAGGCAGGTGGTGTAGGTCTCCTTGCAGATAGTGATATCAGCACCAGGGACAGAGCAGCACTGATCGTAGACAGTTGTGCACTCGGTGCAGCAGTACTCGGCAGTGTAGTAACCCTCGTGGTAAGAAGAGCCAGAGTGATGAGAAGAAGAAGACTCGTAGTAGCTGCCGTACTTCTCCTCGAAGTAGTGGCTGTCGTACTTGGACTCGTACTCAATGTAGTAGCTCTGGTCGTGCTTGCAGACAGGCTTCACAAAGTCGAAAGAGCTGTAACCAAGGCAGACAGTGTACTGCTTCTTGCAGATCTCGATATCTGTACCCTCAATGCTGCAGCACTCATCGTAGATAGTAGTGCACTCAAGACCACAAATCTCAGGAGTGTAGCAGCTGCCAGTGCCACACTCGCAAGTGCCGCCACCGTGGTGAGGGGGGAGGACCGTGACGGTGGGCTTGGCCATGGTGGTCATGGTGGTCATGGTGGAGGTCAGGGTGACAACTTCGGGGAGCTGGGAAGAGGTGACAAAGACGGAGCTGACCGAGGTGGGCACGTTCATGCCACCAGAGGTCGTGGCGTCCGTGGGGACAGGGCCAGGAGTGTTCTGGGCGAAGCCAGTGGAACTCATGGCCACGGTCAAAAGACCGGACATAGTGTAGGAGTATCTCATCTTGGAAGCAAGATCGAGATGAGGGGAAAAAAGAAGTGGGTGATTAAGTAGGGTAAAAAGGCAAAAGGCTTGAAAGAGTGAATTTGTAGTTGGTTAGTTAAAGAGAGTGTGGAGTCGCAACCGGCTTTGAATGAGTGATGCTGGTTGAGCTGAAGAATTGAAGTTGGGGAGATGCTCAAGGCCTTCTTATACTCGATTTCCAAAAAGCAGATGCCCTCCCGTCAGCTTGTGCTAGCCACGCTTTTGAGACATGACAAGTCTACGCAGACCTGCAGAGTCTGGGGAAGGGATCTCTGGAATTGGGGAAATTCGATTATTTCCCCAGATTTGGTTAACAGACTGTAGGGAGGCTAAAAAGGGCGACCTGCCGCTCAGGACCCAACCGTCAAGGGGGTATGCCCCTCGAGAATGTCTCAAAACCCCATATCTCAGAGTTTTTCAGCAGACCTCTTACCTGGGTGAAGAATGTTGCAATTCCGCGATGAGATTGAAAGTGATGTTCTATAGCTCCCGGCTTGGCAAGCTGGAGTCGTCAATCGTTGGTATGAAGCAAAGGAACACTCCCATAGTAGTTCAAGGCTCACCCGTTGTGTTTCTCTTGGCTCCCGAGGGTCCATCAGCTCCTCCAGGCTGACGGTCATGAACAAGTGGCTAGTTCACCAGCTGAAGGGTTGAGTGAACACAATGTCTCGGTCCCTCGGTCTAGCCCTAGGCTTTTCCCAACAATCACCAATCATGTCTTCTAATGAAGAAAAAGCTTCATACCTACGGCAGACTCGCATTTGCCGAAGGGCCGATGCCCAGACTTTTTGTCTGGGAGGTTAGAGTATTCCAGCGTATAAGCTTTGCCAACCCCTGATATGAATATCCCGACATACCTTGGCATGTTTGGAATTTCACAAGGGGAGTTAAATCAAAGCCATTGAGCTTTAATAGCGCACTCGGGACACTGTTCGTGTAAATTGATATTTTCTTTGTTGCCTCACCGGGTAGCTTACTTCAAAGGCTGTTCTGCATGCATGGTCGAGACTTTAATGTCCTCACCGCTACCAATCTTCTCTAGAATAAGTCGGTGTAAATGTTTCTCAATTTTCTGCACAAAGCCTTAATTAGCCGCCCGCGGAAGTGCGTATTAATTCGTGGCGCAAAAGGCATATCAAAAAGTCTCAAATAATCCTTGGGATTGTTTTACCACCGCAGGTCTCACAAATAAGCACCTATGCATTTTTTTAACCTTGAATCCTTATTCGTCTAGCCTGGTCCATTCCCTCTCCAAAATTACCGCTACATAACACGTTTCGCCACCAGTCATACGATATGGCATGAATGGTGGGCATTCTAGTCCGACATGTGAGGAAATTAGCTCAAGGTCCAAATATCTATGAGCGGACAATCCAATGGGAGGAAAAGAATTTATTTTGGTTGAGAGAATTAATCCACCCTAACTAAGTATGGAGTTAGGTATCAAGACTGACGTATGAAGGTACAAGTCTGTGTCCCAATCTATCAAACGCTTTGAGTACACAAGACTCCATAGACTATAGCGCACCACCTCGTTCAACTCGAGATTAGCAATCCCTCCAGATGCTTCAATCATTTTCATAGCCCCAAGTATGTGTTTTGCAGCCATACGATGGTTGCCACAAGCCATCTGCGTGCCATCAATATCGTGTATATACCTTCTGATACAATGCGGATTGACAACTTACCTCGTCAAGTGCTAAGACCGTGGTGATCGCCACAGCTTTACGTCGCACTGATATATCGTCTGACAGTATGTATCCCCGGAGGGTCTGTAGGTAGTATAGTTTGTATCGCATTGCCAATTGAGTATACTCATCTTGCAGTCCAACCAGTGACAAGTGTCGACAAGCCACAAGAAGGAAACCGCGTAGCATCATAGGATCACTGGCGTTAAAAAACATCCAGTAACTACCGACGTCCATAACTTTATCTTTGAGCCCCCAAGCCAGAGGGCAATCGCTGACGAGATAAGGCAAAACAACTTGAGTATCTGCAAGGGTTAATATCCAGTAGCGATCTGATTTCACGTTCGGGCGATCAGATGTTAGGCTACCCTAGACTTCCAAACTAGAAATACTCACAGTGATTGAAAATGAAGTGCTCTCTTGATGAAAGTAATTGGCGGAAATGGGTGATTTGATGGCACTCAAAATTGCCAGCCGGGGTGTCAGGTATAGAGTATACGGTCAATGCCGCCTCGAAATTTCTTGACTTCGGGCTGTCGCTCTGGGGAACGCTCTCCGGTCGATGATCGTGCGAAAGTGCTTTGTCTTTCACATATTCCGCCATCCGTTGTTTTCGTGCCCGCGCGTGAGCCACTCGAGCTGCATGAGAATGAGCACGTCGCGTTGTTTTGGCCGACGCGCGCTGGCCTGGCTCAGACACAATGACAAAATCCATGTTCACAGTATTTGGCCTTGGCTTTTTCAGGAGGCTTGATAGGCTTAAGGCTTTGGATTTAACATATAATTTTCACGCAAGTGCAACCTCGATCCCGCGAGCCAAACGCTGTTTGTAATTGTATTTGATATGTCAGCAATGATCATGGCTTTCCGTTCCGCCAAGAGGTGCTCCTACTCTATATGGTCTAGTACTGCAGATCCCTCTCCACGGTCCCTCGTAAGTGGCCACAGCGAAGCGTGCCCCATTTATCGACTTTCTTATCGAGAACTGGTTTAACTTGAACCAGATAAGACTGGCAGACTGTGCCTCTGGGGCAGGATCAGTCCCTTGCTTCACTTACATGTGGTACTGCACCTGATCACCAGCCTCCTTATAAACATTGTCAAAAGCAACAGCCACTTCTTCAGGCAGCGGACCCTCTTCGATCACATCCAGGTTCTTCTCGAGCTGCTGGTTACTGGAAGCCCCCACAATAATAGCATCTCCATACTGATTGTCGAGAATGCTGTGGTGAGCTGTCCATCGCAGCGCTGCAGAGTGGCCAGCAATGTCATACTTGGCTGCTACGACAAGGGCTTTGTCCACAGCCGTATCTATCGCGGGTTTGGCGTACAGAGAGGCGTACATCTGTCCCACCTTAAGCTAAAATGGAAACAAGTCAGCTATCTTTCTCTTGATCCAATTTTACTCTGCTGCTTACAGTCGGATCGAACCGCGAGGCTGGTGCGGCGGTCTTGTGGCTCCCAGCGAAAAACCCGGCTGCAGCAGGGCTGTAACCGTAGAACGCCATTCCATATTTTCGAAGAAGCGGGAAAAGCTCTTTCTCGCCACTTCGTGCGATTGGATTGTACATGCCTTGATAGACGCTAGGCTTGACAAATCCACGCTCCTCACATATATCAATGGTTTGCTGAACCTCATCGGCTCGATAGTTTGAGATACCCCAGGCTTTAATCTTGCCGTCTCTATAAGCTTGGTCGATAGCCTCAATGGCAGGTTCAGGTGGGTTATTGCGATCGGCTACATGGAAGTAGTAGATGTTGATCTGGTCAATCTTCAGGTTCTTGAGTGATTTGTCGATGTCTCGTGAGACACTCTCTTTGGTGTGGCCTTGGAACCAGTCAGCTTTGGTGTCGATTTTGAACCTGTCGCCCGCAGACGCTGCTCCAATACGAGGCTCAGAGCTGTATGGAGCCTGAGGCGAATACGCGGCGCCGGTATCGATCTGGTTGTAGCCTCGCTTGGCGAAAACGTCGAAGAAGGCATTCACTTGGTCAGGAGTGTCAAACCGTGCCATAGCGTCGACAGATGTGTCTCCGACCTGCAAAATGTTATTCAGCTGTTGGTCTGCAGGTGGCTCTCGTCATACTCACATTGGCGGCTCCAAGAACCAGTTTTAGAGGTGATTTCTTATTATTTGCCATTATAGATTGTTTTGAAAGTGATGTCTTATGATAGGATGTGGTGGGATGTCGATGAGAATAGAATCATAACTATGGTGGTGTGTTGGTCGTGCTTTATACCACAACTCGATATACTGTGATTAACAATCAGAAAGGAGCCTCAAGATCTGCCAAGACATGCTCTTTCCCAATTAAGAAAATTCGTATAACAAAATCGAGGCTTAAATGCTTCGCCGTGAGTTGGCTTCAAGAGACATGATGGCCATAGCTCGGAGCCAAGAGGTGCAGTTTCCTAATTCGGTAGGTGCACAATTGGTGGAGTGTAACACATCCTAGCCATTCAAGACATGAGGATGACAAATGTTCCAAAGTACTACAGGAACTTTACTATGACAGTGAATTGCGCCATCTAGGCTATTCCATGTGCTATTGCAAATGATATGCTGGATCCCGGTTCATTGTAACAGGTCTGCGGGTGATTGATGACGTCTCGTGGCTACCCGGTAGCGAGACTCAGTTATGAAAGCAAACTGTTACTCAGTGATATTATTTCGATTTATCGGAAGAAGAATGGTTTCTTAAAATGTGCCTATCATATATCAACTTCATGGGGTGTTTGGGGGTACCATCTTTTGGAAATGCTTTTTACTCCACAGATATGATCAGCTAGAAGAAAGCTGAGACCCAGTATAGATGAATGTTAGCCATCATCTTGGTATTTACAGCTTTATCAGACTCTCATAAATCTGGTATAGTTATCACGGTATTAAGAGTTTGCAATCCTCTAAATATATATTTCGGTTGGTCCGATGGCTATATTGTTGCTAATTCTTATGACAAGCACATACTAACGTTAGAAGCTATGGCTACTATCATTACTTTACCAGGTTTATTTACGGTTATGGCACATACTTTAACCATTAGACTATATGTTAATCATGAAAAGTTCGCTCTTACCCATCCAGATTAAGAACAAGTGTAAGCTTATGACATCATTGCATACCACTCGATCTTTCCAGGCGGGGTCAATTAGAGGGTTATCTCAAAGACACTCTGCAACCTGGGAAAGTCTGGTGTAGAACAACACTGGAAAGTCCTAGCAAAGAACTCACTACAGAAATCTAGGACTACTCAGTACAAGGATTAGCACCTACCTCAACTCAAAGAGGACAGCCAAGGGCGAGCGGGGTTTAGTCTGTCAGCAGGGTTGTTACAACCATCACAACGGAACCTGACCCTTCACAAATGTCGAAAAGACGCAAAATCATGGATGAGTCGAAAGAGGTTTCACCCTGGAAGCAGCAAGATGATGGCCTCTGGCGTCGTCCCCTTGTCGGGCCTGAGCGAATGTACGATCAATGGCTGGAGCTCGACAGTTGGACCGAGTGGATGGGTGCTGTGATCTTTACTGTCGCGCCATCTCTACTATCCGAAATTCATACCAGAACCAGCCTTAAAACTTGGTTCTAAAAGACCATGTACCATGTTTTCCACAGCAAGATCTCTCTGTTCGCTACTATTGATCGTGGCGAAGGAGCTGCAACTGCAAAGTCCCGAGATTTCGTCTATCGCCCGCTCACTTCTGATGACGACTTGGCTGAAAGAATTGCAACGCGGACTACTATCGTGCATACATCAGAGACGGTCCAGGCTGGGTTGAAGTCGTTGACAGATGACTTCTACTCGGACCCAGAAAAGCGCATCAGCTTTGAGCTCGGGGACCATCTAATCCACATATCACTCATTGTTTCATCCGCAGAGTCGGGGACCTTTGCTATTGCCATTCGCTGCAACCATGCGCTTAACGATTTTTGGAGCGGCGCTGGGGTTTTGGACAAGACTCTTGGTAGCCTTGCCAACGGTTTAATCAACGACGAGCCACTGCTCCCATATGAAATATTTTCTACTATGAATCTGCATCCTTGCTATCTCGACCTTCTGGAGGACCCGATTGGGGATGCACCATTAGATGATGAATCCAAAGAAAGAGCAAGACAGCTTCTCGCCGCTAACCAGAATAACATTACGTTATGTCCTATCTCGGAGGAGCCGGCAGGAGACTTACCAAACACCGACTATACTGTCCGGAGACGAGAACTTTCCGAGAACATGACGAAGAATATCATCCAGATGTGCAAAAGGCACGGCGTTACTGTGACGTCTTTCCTGACAGCAATGCAAGCGCTTGCCCTGGTCGAAACATTCCCGCCACAAGACCCGGCGCGAACTCTGGCAGCTCCTATCTGCGTGAGTAACAGGTTACGACACATGGTTTACCAATACAGCGATCGATCAGCCGGTACACTAAACCCACTAGACGAAGTGCACAGGATCGGAGCTATTATGGGACCCATCATGGCTTCTACCATCCTTGTGACTCCCTTCTTGGTCAGCGTATATGACGGGCCCAACGACGGCCATAGCTGGCGTGCCAATGTCTGGAAGGTAGCCAAGAGTGCTGATAGAGCGACCAAGGAGGAGGTAAAGAGTAACATCAGTGATCATGTGGATTGGACGCAGGGTCCAGCTGCCTTTGGGGTTCTCGCTCAAGCGGTAGAGGCGATGAAAGCTGGACATGTACCACCGTGAGACCAAGTCCTCCGTCCAGCATAGTGGGCCTACTAATATGTTTAATAGACCGCCTGGTGTGTACACACCTCTTTCGAATGCCGGTCTCTTAGATGGGGTTCATCTTCAAGAGTCACACAGCACTATCGGCAAAGGCAAGAACAAGGGCCCAGTGATAAAGCTGGAGGACTTCTCATTTTACCCACGGGTCAGCAACTGGTTCGGACGTAAGTAGACATGCATCAGCTTTTATCATCGCAAAACGCTGTTCTCGCCTCTCTTCTCGTTAGGACTTGGCTAACCAGATTAGCTCAAACTTGGGCTTGGATGGCCTTGGGAAAACTGAACATCATTATGGTAATGCCTGATCCACGTGTGCGATCGGTCCCGAATCTGAAATGGTGGGATTTATACAACGACAAGATTGTCAAGTTCTTGGATGAGAGTGTCACTGTAGGGGATATATGAGTTTCTTTTGTCGCATCCAGTTCAGTAATATCGTCGCAAAGTGGAGAGCATGCTTTCTGTTAGAATCAACATTTTGGGATTTGCCTAAGTAGATTGTTCAGTTCAGTATGGAACGGGCATTGTAGCTTAAGGCCTTGCATCGGTTCAGATTCCTTAAATGCTTATTGAATTATGCTGCTTATTTTTACCTTAAATATTGTTTTTAGCTACGTTCGGAGATATATGTATGTTTAACGCCGAAATTCAGGTTCGTGACTATTCCGTCCGGCGTCAATGACATAAGAGGAGAGAGGGGTACGCGAGGAAGTCATCTTTGACTCAGTCAGATTGCGCGCCCTTGGAACGTCATGGTTGATGCCAAGCTCTAGGACATTCCGAGGCGGCGGTCTACTTCGAAGCATAAAAAGGAGGGCCTGGATCATGAAAAACGAGCGATATTTCGTGGTATCTACACATATTGTGCTGCAATGGACTCTTTACACGTTATAGATCAGAGCGCCGAACTAGATTCTATATGCGTATCCTTCCAGGCTGTTTTCGATCGACTCCTGAGGACCACACGAGATGTCAGGAAAGACCCTTTGTTGCGGGTAGCGCAGAAGCCAGAAATCCCTCGACTCAAAGAAATCAGCACTCCTGGCGATGCACATCCAGTGCAAGACGCAATCGAGGATGCATTCGCTATCTCCGACTTCCGGCTGCGCATGAACCATCCTCGATGCTTCAGCTTTGTTCCAAGCCTTGTCTCGCCACTATCCTAGATAGGAGACTGTCTTTCCAGCGCTTTCAATTCCTTTGCTGGGTCAAAGCTGCAAGGTTCGGGTGTGGCTGTCGTTGAACAAACTCTGCTGCAGTGGCTGTCGTCCAAGGTCGGGCTTCCAGATACTGCTGGGGGTGTTTTTGTCTCTGGAGGCTCTATGGCGAATATGAGCGGTATGGTTTTGGCAAGAGAGTACATCTTAGAACCCGGCAGTGAGGACCTCGGTGTTGCATATCTCTCGGATCAGACACATCATTCCGTCGCGAAAGCGCTTCGCATCATTGGTATCAAGCGTAACCAAGTACGTGTGGTTGCGACAGATTCGTCTTACCAAATGGATGTCACAGCACTCAGAAAGGCTATCAAAGACGACCGCGATGCAGGACTCAAGCCGTTTGTTATCGTAGGTACTTGTGGGACAACAAACACTGGAATTATCGATCCGCTGGCAGACCTAGCCCAGGTGCGTGATGACGAGAGGATGTGGCTTCATATCGATGGAGCATACGGTGCTTCAGCTTCACTCGGCACAACACGAAACTCAGTCACTGATGGACTTGGTCTTGCTGACAGCATATCCTGGGATGCTCACAAATAGTTGTTCCAAACGTACAGCTGCAGCCTCATCCTCGTGAGGAACAAGATCAACTTGACAAGAGTGTTCACCAACGATGGCGATTATCTGCGCGACGCCCTTGAGGATGAGGACATTCCCAACTTCTGGAACTTTGGCATGGAACTGACACGGCCCCTCGCGCGCAATGAAACTGTGGTTCACGCTGCGAGTTCTGGGCGTGGAGAGACTTGGACAGATGATTGACCATGGCTTCCATCTCGCAGAGATTGCTGAGGCAGAGATTCAAAAATTGCCAAGTTGGGAGATTACGAGTCCAGCCAGTATGGCAATAGTGACTTTTCGATATGCCCCCGAGGGGAAGACGGAGGAAGAGAGGGACGAGTTGAACGGCAGTATCTCGAGGCACTTCATGGAAAATAATCTTGCGGGGATTCTAACAGCAAATTTAAGAGGAAGGGTTGTTTTGAGAATCTGCTCTATTAGCCCGGTGTTGAGTGCGGATGAGATGGTGGAGGTTGTGATGCAGCTTGACCGAGTTGCAAAATTCGTTTTGCGAGGGGGGGATGAGTAGCGAGACGGTTTGTATTGTACCTGAGTGTGCAAAAGAGAGTTGATAATTGACTTCGCTTCGTGCCTGTGACTCCCTCGAATTGTTAATGCACGCGTGTTGTAAGATAAAATATGTGCTTTTTGAAGCAATAGGTAATCGGTGTGATAATATTAACTCAGCGTTCTAGGATTTCACCCAAGCTTCCATCGTCTGTAAATCTATCGGACTTCGGGCAATGCGGGAGCGCGACGAGCCAATGAAGGAATAATTCTAAATTGGGGATTCGTAATCTACTGACCATTGAGAGGACAACCCCGCCAAAGATTGGTTACACTACATTACTACAATCGCGCGCGGTAAACTACGTGTCGCTTTGTAATCCCGTATTGCTTGACTAAGGTAGCACGAAAAGACGTTTTAAGTTTTATAAACAGCCACCAACATTTCGTTGACAGTTAATAAAGCCATTCGATATATATCGCATCTCTTTCTCTTGATATCTTCGTCGTCGCACTCAGAACATCATCTTGCAATCACATCATGTCAACCAGTAAACCAATCCTCATCTCAGGCTCCGGCCTAGCCTCCCTTTTACTCGCGCAATCCCTCAAACAATCCCAAATACCCTTTAAAATCTTTGAGCGCGACGCATCTCTTATCTTTCGCGCCCAAGGATACCGACTTCGCCTCTCCAACGAAGGCCTTGACGCAATAGAGTCAGTTCTTGACACCCAAACGTGGAACAAGTTCTGGGATCTGTGCGGCAAGACGGGCGGTGCTGGTTTAAAAGATTTCGATGCCGTCACCGGCGAGCAAATTGTGAATCCCGCAAAAGAGAACCTGCCGTCGCGCGGGGGAAAGATTGTGGGGATTGCGAGAGGAGATATGCGGAGGGTCTTTGCAGAGGGCTGTGAAGAACACATCGAGTGGTCCAAGAACGTAACAGGCTACGAGTTGACCGACGACGGTGTCAAAGCCATCTTCGACGACGGATCCAGATCTATCGAGGGCTCGATGCTTGTCGGCGGTGAAGGCATCTACTCCAAGGTTGCAAAACAGGTGTCGGATGGAAAGCTGAAGACTTACGATACTGGTGCAAGAGGTATTCACGGCCAAGCACCTACCACCGCGTTCAAAGGACTGGGCGAAGGAGTTTTCCGAATAAGTGATGATTCGCGCGAAGGCGGTGCTGCATTTATCATCACAAATGTCCGTTCTGGAGATATGGACGACCCCGATGTCAGTTTTGGCTGGACAATGGTGGGACAGCCTGGTGTCATCCGCGCCCCCAACGACAATTACTCCATCGTCGGAAAAGAAGCCGCCAACATCGCCAAGTCGATTACCGAGAAGTGGAGTCCGAAATTCAAGCCTTTATTCGACCAAATGGAGGAGTCCGAGGCTGCGTTTTGGAAGATCACATGCTCAACACCATCAGGTGTGCCAGAGTGGAAGAACGAGCCTCGCGTGACGGTCATTGGCGATGCGGCTCATTCGATGACACCGGCGGGCGGTATTGGCGCCAACACGGCTGTTCGCGACTCTGCATTGCTGGGGAGATTGCTGCGTGAGGCTGGAGGATACAGTGCTGATGTCACGGCGGCGTATGAGAAGGGGATGAGGGTATATGGTAGTGAAGCTGTTCACCAGAGCTACTCGGCAGCTGTGAAAGGATTTGGTATTGTTATTGATGAGGAGACTTCCCCAGTTGTGTAGAGATGGGCTGGCAGTTGTGATATGGGGGTTTACGTGTCTATGAACAATTGCACTAATTTACTTGTGAAATCTGAAACTTGATCATTAAATTGCTGTCACTCGTGTGTTTGGGATAACTGCCAAACAGACAAACAAAGACTAGCCGCCGGCCCTTATCAACTGCATTTATCCTGCGAATTACGCACCTCTAGTGTCTTTAATTAGATCCTCGCACGCGCCGTCCAGTAATGTGGGCTCGTGGCACAGTCATCGGTTGATGCGGCATTGCGTAATGCGATACGAATCACGTGATCTGGTGATGCTCGTTGGTAGTCCCATGTATCAACTCCTTTCATCTTATTTTTTTGTCAGACCATCAGCAAAGCCTTTAATCCTTTCTTCTCACATGCAGCATTATTTTCCATCGTTTTCAACGCATTTTGGTGGTAAGATCATGCCGAAGTCTACCTAATTTCCTCAATCGCGACTGTGCGGCAGTCTGCCCATTATTTCGAGCTTACGACGACAAAACCTTCAAATTTTCAACGCATACCACTTTGTTCGTTGAACTAGCCTTGGACATCTTTTCGCCTGGAATCTGCAGAACTTGTCAGTGTAAAGCATGCGCAGCTCAATTGTCTTCTTAACGCGACAATATTCGACGGCGTTCAATCACGACTTCGCCTCTTAAATTCCCATCAAATTTACATCAGCCCACAACGCTCTCGGTTGTGCAACGGTTTTCCTCTTTAGCGAGCAGGTCCTCTCGGCTGTCAAGTTTGGCGCATTGACCAAACTTTATCATATATCGTCTCGAGATGCATCAGTCTTGGCAAGACAAGGTCTCAAAGGGCGCCACTTTGATCAATTTCGTCACCACGCGCCAACGCTACGTCAAAATCATCGTTATCTTCGTCAGTTTCATCTGCCTACTCACGCTATGGGAATTCTGGTCAGACTTGTCCTTTGCATATAAAAGAGTTACTTCGTCGAGCTCGGCGGAACAGTCTGCTGCTGAACTGAATTCTTCATCAAATGCCACCTTGGAGAATAGCGCTCAGTATGAACCAACTTCTCAGACAAGCGAGTTCTGGGAACAACTTCTCGATGAGTTTTACGCAGCAGAACCTCATGGCCACAAAATTTTACCTCCTCAGAAGCTTTCACGGGATAAATTCGACCCTCACGCCGACGATCCACAGCTTCATACAGACTGGTTGGAGGTAGCTGGAGAGGATATTGAATCCTTGAAGGAAAATCATGAAGCATTTGTGCAAAGTATTCGCCATCTTGTTCCCAAACTACCCTTCAAACGCAACACCAAGGGGATTGTTATTACTTCCCAAGGGTCAAGGTTTGGTGTCGCAGCTACCGCTGTCGTAATGTTGCGAAATGTGGGATCGCGTCTACCTATACAGCTATTCCTCGACTCCGCGAGCGAGGAGGAATATCAAAAATGCACTGATACGTTGGCTGGAATGCAGGTTGAATGCCTCAACATGGACGAGTTTCTACAGCTTCCACCAAATTCTACGGTGACGAAGAAGCCAGATGTCGAAAGATTTCAGTACAAGCCCTTATCGATTATTTTCTCCAGTTTCCAGGACGTCTTGTTCCTCGATTCCGACGCTTTTCCCATCAGAAACCCCGATCACCTTTTAACCACAGAGCCCTATAAAACTTACGGACTAGTGACATGGCCGGATTTTTGGCTGCCCACGATATCTCCTCTATTTTACAAGATTGCAGGGGCAAAGATGCCAAATGTAACTATTGAGTCCAGAAGTTCCGAGTCTGGCGTGATGCTCTACAACAAAGCGAGACACGCAGATAGTCTCTTGCTGGCAGCCTACTACAACTTTTACGGTAGCAAATTCTACTACCAGCTTCATTCGCAGGGTGCTTGGGGATCAGGCGACAAGGAGACATTCATGCAGAGTGCGTTAGTACTAGGCAATCCATTCTGGCAGGTGTCTACACCTCCAAAGGAGATTACAGACGGGAGTATCAACTGGGGAAGCGGCATCTGGCAGGCGGATCCAGAACAGGACTGGAAGCTACAGAAACAGCGAGGTCAAAATATGACCACGGTCGCTGCGAGAAAACAAAGGCTAAGACAGGGAGATGAGGAGGTCAGCGTCACGAGTGCAATGTTTGCCCATCTCAACAGGGTCAAATTCGATATAACCCATCCGATGGAGATGGTGGAGAGCTTGGCGCCGGAGAGTCCAGATGGAAGGCTACAAAGGCTATGGGGAAATGATGTTGAAAAGATCACGGATGTTGCTGGATATGATCTGGAAAGGGTCATATGGGAGGAGGTCATCAAGGTGAATTGTGATCGAATGATTATGGATGAATGTGAAAGGATACGAAAATATTATGAGGCAACATTTAGTTAGATGGGAGACGTTCACATGGAACTAGATAGTGTACTTGTAGAATTTTGATATGTGACATCACAGCCTGTGCATCATATTCATATTTGCGCTACATTATCAGACGCTACATGACCCTGATTTAGTTCTTGGGCGCATACTTGATGCCGCTGTCAGGGCAAGAACTCTTGCCTCCATCGGGCTCCGAGGCCACAAACTGGCCCTCTTGAAGCGAACCCTGAACATTGAAGTGGTACCAAACCTCGTTGAGGGTCTTTGACTTGCAGCCGATGGTGACACGAGCTCCGTGCTGCGAAGCCAAAGCGTCCTGGATCTCGGTGGCCGTGTACGTCTTTGAGTCAGAAGGCTCGATGCCAGCCTCGGCGAGCCACTTGTACGTGGGCAGGGTCTTGAACAGTGAGATGGTCCTCTTAACGTAGTCTGCCGCCTCGGCGCCGGTCTGGTAGTTGGTGTAGCAGCTAGGCTCGAGGGTGCTGATGCATGTGCCGTGCTTGTCCCACTCGTGCTCCCACAGCGACTCGTCGTTGCCGTCCTCGCTGACCCAGTACTTGTCCATGTAGGATAGTGTGCTGTTGCCGAGGAACTTGGACACGATGCTCTTGATGTTGGTGTACTCGCGGCTGGAGTCGCAGAACTGCGGGTATGTGCCGTCGCAGTAATCAGGCCAGAGACCGTGAATAGTCCAAGAGTCTAAAATTAGTTAATATGATGAAAGCTTGAGATTTTCAGGTTTAACTCACCAGAAGGTCCTCCGGCGGGGTCTGAGTCCCAGAATTGAGTCTGGAGGAGCTGGCCGGCGGGGATGAAGCAGCAAGTATCTGAAACGCTGGTGGTGTTGTGGCACGAAAGAGGCAGGTCATTCGGGCATGAAGCAAATGAGCCAGCTTGCGCTTTGGCAAGCAGGAGCGCAAGCGGAATGAGGGCTTTGGTGAATGTCATTTTGAGCGTCAACAGTATGATTGAGATATTTCAGCCAAGACAGAGTTTCCATTATGCCGGACTAGAAGGATACTTATATTTTTCATCTTACCCCACGTGTCATGCATATCAACATGTTTATCGTCCCTAGTGTCGGACGACGTTGACAGATGAAGCAGTTGTTTCGGACAAGACCAGGTTGGATACTGATAAGCTGCAATCTGTATCGTCCAAAAACCCACGTGCATGGTGTATCAAGAATTATTAGGGACCTTTTGTTTCTGGGTTCCACAGCCAATGGGAAGCGAGCTGCGCCCATTTGTAGGTGTTGATCGGCAGAGTAGGGGGAACTTTTGGGCCACCGAACAGCAGACGAGTCGGCCAATGCCGTCTGAAGATGCTTCTAGCATGAAAAGATGGCTCTGATTTAATTATATGGCTTTCTACCAATAGAAATGAAAGAGCGGTTAGTTTGAGTGTTGTGCAAGATTGACGATAGGCTTTCAGATGGTGACAGGGTGGTTGTAGATCTATGCCGAGTTACCCGTCAACGGTCATCGGTGACCCGTTTCATCGCACCGGTAGATAATGACGAGGGGGCTGCGGCATTTCTGGTCCTATTTACATGCCTATCAAGGTTACCTGATTTTCAACAGTAAAGTCAATCTGTAAAATCATCCTGTTTCGCCAAGGGCTTCTTCTGTTAGGTTTGGTGACGCTGCTGTCAATGGGTGAGCCCAATCGCTAGATATCGGCTGTGGTGAGCCCACTACCAATAGCTTAGCAAACCGGACCAATGCCCTGACACAAAACCAACCTCGGCTCAATCGTCGAACGCATTTAACTATATAAAGAGCTTGTCCCCAGTTTGGACATCATTTATCACTTCTTTTGGTTGTGTTCTGCAGGTTTATCTCTGGCTGGAAATATTATCATGACGATGCTAGCGACAAGCCTTTATTAGCAGCTTGCTGCCAGACATTTCAGATCAACATCCATACTGCACAGTCAACAGGCGTCCCATCTCTATATATGCCAGCCGATTTGCATTGCGCATGTGTAGCTGGTCTCAATGCGAAATGGGAATTCTTTACTAGACAATGGCAAAGGTATTGTGGCATGATGTAATTACGCACAATGCATTGGGTGGCGAAGACTGCGGTTGATGCTTGCAGGAGCACTTAGCTTGGCATTTTGCATGAACGAACCTTTTTCAGCGCCACCAGTTTGAGAATTAATTGGATCTAAATAAAGCCGATGGGGGTTTTATGTTTATTTTTTATTTTTACTTTTGCACGTTTCGACCAGCCGATTGTCGAGCATGACAGCTGGTGCATAATTGTTATGCGTCTGGCCCAATCGTGAGATGCGATTGACCTCAATTGAACCTGCATCAACATGTTGAGTGAGTTGCCTCTGACGTTCTCACAATCAAAGCCGCACATTTGCCCCCTTTTCCCCAAGTTCTCTTTCACGGGGATTGCCCAAGAACAGAAATTTGACCCTTTAGCGGACATGGCGCGATAAGATAAGCTCGTTTGTTTCGCGAGGAGTTCGCGAGTGGGCCAAACACGGAAACACGAGAAACCCCCCGCCTCGATAAAAAATCTCCGAGCTCTTCGGAGCTGACTCCCCTTTATTCCTATCGTGGATCAAGTTGCGAGCCTCTAAGGCTGAGTGTAGAATACAATAGGCTGATGTACGTGGTTAAATGATCACCACTGGATGTAGTCTAGTCCTTTGCAATGATACACTCGCTTCGATGCGTGAACTTGAGCCGTGCCCACAAGGTCAGGTCATAACTGAATCGTCGTTTTGTTCGCTTGTCGGCAACTGCGGTGTTAGTCTTTGAAAGTGCACGGAAGTTTTCTCCTATGGTGGGCTCTGTTTGCCAAGATGTCCGCATATCCGGTGTGTGATATGAGCAGTCTAGCAGTGAACAAACAAAGCAAGTGATGACTCAATGGCATTACAACGTCCAGTTTATAACAACATGCTCACACCTTTGTATTAAAATCAGTATTATATCTGGCTGTAAACAATTAATGCCTTTAGCTTTACAAAACATCTTATCCACAAGGCTGTACAGTGACATTCCTGCTCCGAACCATGATGAAAAATGTCACTTTAGGGTAGCAAATGATCTCTGTCAAGCTCAATCAAGCTACAAGCTCCAAGCTCCAAGCACAACCACACTGACTGTGGAACCAGCTCTCAATGAAGAAACCACGAATACTAATCGGGCAAAGCTCTTCTCTTCTGGTCATTCAACGCCAACTCTATAGCTTGTTTGACCACTGCGGTGAGAAAAGCTCAGCTATCCCTGCCATGATGTGATGGCCAGCAGGGGAGCGCACTCGACAGTGGAGGCTAGCTGTGGCTTGCGGGCCGGCTGGTGCCCATTGCGCACTGAAGCCAGGCAGCTAGCTTTTTGTTTCAATCCCTTCTGGGAAATGTGGCCGGTGTAGCAATTAAAACGAGACGGATCGCCCGGGGGAAAGCCCGCTTTTCGTCGATCCAGCATTAGTCTTGGTCTTGATGGGGAACACTTTCAGGTGGTTCCCTTCTCAGCCCAATGCTTTTAAGATTGCAAAGGCGGACATGTCCATGCTGTCGCTGTGCGCTCGCTCTATCTTTGGAAAAATAACGAGACCTGAAACGAATCTTTCTGGAACAAAAACTGAAACTAACTATACCGAGAACATATTGGATTTGCGCCGCTTGACGGTGCGCCTTGACCTTGACTTGGCTCAGTCTGGTAATTGAGTCTCTTGACCTTGTCGGTTATTTTCGCCTCAAGCGGGAAGCTGAAGATGCTGGTTCACGACGATCATAACGGTTTGGTACGACCGATAATACACAGCGTATTCAGCAAAACCTCAGTTTGGTCATTGTCAACGTTGGTATTCGTACAGAAGGATTCTTTTCGCTTTGAATGAGCAATCTTAAAAGTTCGCCTACAATATCAACCACCCGCAGTAGTGTCATGTTTCTGCACTCTGCAGCAATCTACTGACTGCTCGCTGACTCGAACCCACCCCTGCCACCCCCAGCTAAATTTGGAAGAGGAAAAAAGTGTAGACAAAGCAAACGTCAAAGCCCTCCACCGTAACCACCAAGTTGCGGTAGAAGCTCGTGAAACGTCTGAGCGGGCGATCAGATTGACACTAGACCATGAACACCAGAGACCCCTGGCCCGAGTTGACCGAGCTGTCTAGTGGAGAGAGGCAAGTTTCCTGTCAACTCATGACTCCGAAGTTGAGCTCGATGAGTTTAAAAGGACGGTCATGGCCAGCTTCAGTATCTCTCTTTTTTCTACTCAGTATCACAAACGTTCTATCTGTTTTTCTACTATCTCTTTTTTCCTTCTTTTTTCCTTTATACATTCGTTTTTCGAACTTAATCGTCATTCGCTATTTCATTATACACTCGCTATAAACAAACAAACAACAGCAACAGAAACTGCAGCTTAGCAGCAACTACAACAACAACTACACACACAAATAACCTTTAGTGTATTCACTCGTTTAACGCTATGCGTTTCTCAACTGCTGTCCTCCCTGCTTTGGGAGCCCTTGCTTCGCTGGGCGAAGCAACTCCCACATTCTTTGGTGGCGGCGGCTCTGGTGAGGCTTCTGGTGAGCTCTCTGGTGGTGCCCATCTCGGAGCTGGTGCTGGCCTGGGTGCCGGTGCTGATGCTGGAGCTGGTGCAGGTGCCGGAGCTGACGCTGGAGCCGGCGGAAAGGTTGGAGGAGGAGCCGGTGCTCATCTCGGAGCTGGTGCTGGCCTGGGTGCCGGTGCTGGAGCTGGTGCCGGAGCCGGTGCTGGTGGAAAGCTCGAGGGTGGTGCTGGCGGTAAGGTTGGCGGCGGTGCTGGTGTTGGTGCCGGCGTTGGCCTCGGTGCCGGTGTTGATCTTGGTGCTGGAGCTGGTGCTGGAGCTGGTGCTGGCGGAAAGCTCGAGGGTGGTGCTGGCGGTTCCGCTGGTGGCCACCTCGGCGGCGATGTTAAGGGTGGTGCTGGCGGTAAGGTCGGCGGTGGTGCTGGTATTGGTGCTGGCGTTGGCCTCGGTGCCGGTGCTGGTGCTGGTGCTGGAGCCGGCGGCAAGCTTGAGGGTGGTGCCGGCGGTTCTGCTGGTGGCCATCTTGAGGGTGATGTTAAGGGCGGCGCTGGCGGTAAGATCGGTGGCGGCGCCAAGGGTGGCATCGGTGCTGGTGTCGGTCTTGGTGCCGGTGTCGGTCTTGGTGCTGGTATCGGCGCCGGTCTTGGTGGCGGTCTTGGTGCCGGTCTCGGTGGTCATCTTGGAGGCGGCCTCGGCGGTCTTCTCGGTGGTGGCATCGAGTGGAATGCTGGTGGCAAGGGTGACTGGCACTCTGGTACCTCTTGCAGCATCGGCAACGCTTGGAAGGATCACGTCCTCTTCGAGGGCATCTGTGCCCCTGAGACTTCTTCCTCCCCCGCTGTCAACCTCGGCCTCAACCTCCCCAAGTGTCAGCTCTCTGGTGACATTGGCTTCGCTTGTGGAGCTGACTTCCTCACCACTCCCAACGTCCGTGTCGGCCTCGGTGGCATCTCTGCTTACATCGAGATCGATCTCTCTGCCTCTGCCTCTGTCCACCAGACTGTCGAGCTCTACGCTGCTCCCAAGATTGGTATTGCCATCCCCGGTCTTGACGCTGATCTGAAGGCTGCTATCGACGCTGCCATTGCTATTGATCTCGTTGTCGGCTGTGGCAAGGCCATCGACCTCTCTGCTGGTGTCTACATCAAGTTCCCCGAGTCCGCCTACGTCGACATCTCTCTGCTCACCAAGGAGGTCATCCACGCTTCTCTCGAGGGTCTCGTCACCAAGGCTCTCCCCGTTGGCGTCGGTGCCGAGGTTGATCTCGGTGCTGGTATCGACCTCCAGCTTGGTCTCCGTCTTCGTTCCGAGCTCGCCATCGGTGGTGGTCTCGACATTCCTGTTCTCGGCCTCGGCGGCAAGGGCTCTGCTGAGGTTGGCTTCGGTTGTGGTATCTGGTTCTCCCTCTTCGACTACAGTGCCACCATTGGCGGTGCTGCTGGTGGCAGTGCTGGTATTGATATCACCGGTGAGTTCGGCTGCAACCTCGGTCTCGCTGTCGACAAGAAGTTCAACCTTGCTGGTGATCTCTTCGGTCTCATCCCCAACCTCTCCGTCGGCCTCGCCAAGGGTATCAAGTCTACCTTCAACCAGGCCACCCGTGGTACTTGCGGCAAGTTCATCGACTACTACAAGAACGAGGGCTCCAACGACTCCCCTACCATCACCGCCTCTGGCATCATCACTGCTACTGGTGGCGCTTCTGTTGACATCTCTGTTCCCGCTGGTGTCACCAAGTCTGTCGAGTTCTCTGGTTCCATTGGTGTCCCCGGTGGTGACCTGACTGACTCTGGATCTCTCCCCGCTGCCACCACCGCCCCTGGTTCTCCCGATGAGACTCCCGGATCTCCTGACGAGACTCCCGGATCCCCCGATGAGACTGCTCCTGGTGTCGATGTCACTGGCTCAGACTCTCTCCCCGCTGCTACCACCGCCCCTGGTTCTCCTGATGAGACTGTCTCTGGATCTGTCCCCGACACCACTCCTCCTGGTGCTATCCCCACCGGTCCCGCTGGCGTCCCTGACCACACCATCACCCGCGGCGTCGATGTCACTGCTATCTTCGGTACTCACGCCCCTGGTGCCACCGTCACTGTTTCCGGATCTGAGGGTTTCACCACCTACATGTCTGGCTCTGAGGGCTTCACCTCCATCTACTCTGGTTCTGAGGGTTTCACTACCGTCTTCCCCGGTGGCGAGGGCTTCACCTCTATCATCTCTGGATCCGAGGGCTTCACCACTATTATGACTGGTTCCGAGGGCAGCTTCACCTCCATTGTTTCCGGATCTGAGGGCTTCACCACTGTCATTGCTGGCGGCGAGGGCTTCACTTCTATCGTCTCTGGCTCTGAGGGTTTCACTTCCATCATCTCAGGCTCTGCTGGCTTCACCACCGTCATCCCTGGTTCCGAGGGCTTCACCACTGTTCTCACCGGCTCTGAGGGCTTCACCTCTGTCTACTCCGGATCTGAGGGTTACACCTCTGTCTGGTCTGGATCCGAGGGCTGGACTTCTGTTGTCTCTGCTGATGTCCCTGCCCAGACTCCTGGATCGGACTACGGCCTTCCCCCCAACCACAACGCTGATGCCACCACTGCTGGTAACACTCAGGTCGGCTCCGGCAGCCTCCCCGTTGCTACCAGCGGCCCCGTTGGCAACTCTGACAGCCCTGCTGCCACCACTGACGCTGGATCTGACGCTGATGTCACCTCTGCTGCTCCCGCTGTCACTGAGGCTCCTGACGCTTCTGGCATGATCACCAGCACCATCCGTGAGACTCACGTCTACACCATCACCTCTTGTGCTGCTTCCGTCATCAACTGCCCTGCCTCTTACACCCAGAAGATCGTCACCCAGCGTGTCATTGAGCGCACTACTGTCTGCCCTGCCACTGCCACCGCTACCCCCGAGAAGCCTACTAAGGGTTCTGACAAGCCTGCTGGTCCTCAGGAGGGTGGCGATGCTAAGCCTGTCCCCGGCACTGACAACGGTAACGGTAACGGATCTGGCAGCGATGGCTATGCTCCTGCCCCTACCTCTCCTCCTAATGCTGCCGAGACCACCATTGATCTTGTCACCATCACTCAGGATGTCACCACCATCGTCCCCTGCACCAAGTTCGTCACCAGCACCTTCGTTGCTCCTACCAGCGTCCACATCCCTGACGCCGCCACTGTCACCATCATTGGCGACCACACTGGCCAGCTTCCTCAGGAGACTGGTACTCAGCAGCCCGAAGCCCCCGGTGCCTTCACCACTCTCACCCGAGTCCAGGCTTCTGCCACCGACTCTGGTGAGTACCCTGTCGCCACCGGTGGCGCTGAGCAGGCTGCCCCTGGCTACGATGTCCCTGGTGCTATCCCCACCAGCAAGACTCCCACCAACGGGACCATCCCTGGACAGGTTCCCGTTGTTGCTGGTGCTTCTCTCGTCAGCGTTGGATCCATGATCCTCGCTCTCCCTATGGCCCTCGCCTTTTTCATGTAAACTCTCATGTATATAACTTAATACCGGAAGCATTTTAGCTTTCATGAACAGATAGAACGTAATCATGTATTTCATAAATATCTTTTCTCAACCTTGGTGACCAATGCGATGTGATGACTCTTGTTACTTGTGATGTGACTCTAAGCCATTGCAACACATAATCTCTAGCTTGTGCTTGGTTTGTGCTTTGCCCTCTTCTCTTTTGCCTTTTGTCTCTTTCCTCCTGTGACTGTCTGTCCTCTGACTTGGGGTTTTTAATGATGCCGATGGGTTTTGAACATGCCCCAAAAGATATGCTGCAGTTTCCTGGTGCGAGCATGGACCTTGAAGTATACTTGAACTTCGGAGAATGACTCTGACTCAAGAGTTCCTTATTGACGATTCGTGGTAGGTAAGTACTGCAAGTAAGGTACCCATCGAATCCTATGACGTTTAGAGTGGGACAGGAGTTTGCACAAGACAAATAGCAGTATGACATTCTTTTGTCATGTATTAATCAATTATCTTGAGATCAAGTCAAGAATACTAAATTATAATGTGCAATATCCTTCTTTCTCGGGTCATTGGGTATCTATTTATACATAGGGAAATTAATTGTTGTAGTTCTGTTACGAACGCCTTTCATCGACCATGATAACGCCTCTTACTCCCCCATAAAGATTTTTAACGACGATACTCCCTCTTCGATACCTGCACCACTGTTTCGCTTGTTACAATAATACTACCAAGGCGTGGAACCTTCTGCGACTCGATCGGGTTGCCTGGACCAATTGCAGTAGTGATACCACCGTGACGTCTGTCGGTATCGGTCTCGAGATCTGAAGAAAAAGAGTCTCTTCCTCTCTGTTCGGGTCTGGCGAGCTCGTGTGTGGAGCTAGACTCCTCCTTGGGCATCGTCCCGAGACGAATTGACTGTTTTATTTGACTTCGGGCGCAGCCACGGCCGTAGTTGTTGGATATGGAGTTGATCGACGACGGCATCGGGTTCTGACAGGAGAAGAGATATAGGCAGGCGGGTCGTATAATTGGAAGACAGGCTTGAAGAAGACTGTTAGTGTGGCACAGGCGACCAGGAGAGTAAAGGGTCTTACCTGAAATTGTCACGAGATTGACCTCCACAGAGGCCCAAATTATAACTGGTGCTAGTTGCCATGTCATATCGAGTGAGTTGTTGTCAAGCTTTGTAGAAATATTAACGATGACTAGACCAGCCACGCACACTCTGAGAGAAATTGGTCAGAATAGGACCACGGTTAGATTGCAATAAGGAATGATACTTACAGAGTGCCAAATGTAAACATGAGCATAATCGCCACTTTCTGCAACCTTGGAAGCTGGAGCTTCTGAATTTGCATAACGGGCAGGATCAAGATGCCAATGTCTATTATAACATGCGCAAGGACAGTCCCAATGAAGAAGTCGCTGCTCTTGATAGGACACGTATATTTCTCAACATTCGGATCCCAAAACGCATGCACAGGATAACAGTGGAAGGTAGTAAGAAGGGTCTAGGCCCATTAGCACCAGTGTTCTTGTTCTGCGGGATTGGTTCAACTTACACGAGCGATAATCCAGATGATGGAGCAGACTAGCCAGATTGAAATGATGATTTGAATGTTTGCAACACGGAACATACGCCAGTAAAAGGATAACATGGAGAGCTTTGCAAAGAAAAGAGTAAAGGCGTATAAGTGCTCTATGACGAATAGATACTTTTTGGTAAGGTAGTTTGCCTCTATGACGCTCATACCTTTGACATCGTCTGAATGCAAGCCGAAACCGTGCTGAATCCCTAAAGATAGTCAGTATTGTGTTTTCGATAGCGGTGAGCATTCATACATATGGGTAGTACAACGGCCCAACCTACAGCAGTAACCTATGCTCGGTTAGCGTTAACGTCTATGGAAAGATTCCCAAGAGTGGCATACATAGCAGAGGATGGCAAAAAAGTCATCCCACCAGAACTTTGCTCTTGTGATTCTACGACTAATGATGCGTAGTATTAAAAATATAGTAGCCGCTGGAAACGTGACGAACTCAGCTGCCAAAAGATTAAGCTGTCTTGAATGCATCGTGATCAATGTCAAGAAGCTGAGAAACGAAAGACAAAGATGATTCCCAGATTAGCGAACCGCATGTAGGACCCCATGGAGGATATATGCCGAGCGGCTGATGTGTCACGGAGCAAGGTCGATCATTGCATGCAGCTAACAAGCCTCGACAGCATGGTTGACGGTCTGGACTACAGGCCTGTAACAGGGGTTTGATGTGATAGCAGCGCGGGAAGCGGTAGAAGTCAAACCCAGAAACCACTTGTTTCATGTTGATCGCCGATGATGCAGCTCGGGAGAGCCGAGTCGAGTGTACTATGTATGTTGGTGATGCAGTGCCGGCTTGTGAAAGCCGCGGAGTTATTTAAGCCCTACAATTGTCCAAGGGCTCCCCTGGCTTGGGCGCATTTCATTCGACTCACAAATGGGGTAGAGCCCCGTGCGCAGCGGATGATGTGACCCGGTGTTTGGCTCTGAACTCTATTATAGAGCATGAGCTGCGAATGCATAATGTTTTATTACTTTGTGGCTTGCCCAGCTTATTTCCAATGTCGTTGGTGCAGGTGGCGCTCTTCAACATCTCACGCCATCTCGCTATTGATGACTGGCTAGTCGTATTGAGATCTAGACTCGATGAGGAGCAGAAGTTGACACGGGAGTCGGGGCTGGGCTTAAGGTTCGTTAGTTTAGGTCAGAGTGCTGGGGTCAAATTTTAAGGCGGACGTGCTTGAAACAGCCAAGACTGATACTGAGGGAACTTCACAGCCAATGTCCAATGCTCATGGCTCTAACTGGAAGCACGAATAGTCAATTAAAATAACAGATGAGAGCGATAGAGAAACCACCGTGGCATTGCCAAACTACAAACGGAGAGCGAAGATGCCGTGCGTTGGAGGGCAGCGGATGCCAGATGTCAAGGATGTTATTAAGCTTTGGGAGATCGTCGCTGGAGTTTCTTCCCCGGCCAGGCACCAATTCCTTCAAAATGAGACGATCATCCTGCACTGGCCAATTTTAATGGCTGGAGAGTGAGGCTCCCGATTGGTATGACACGGATCGATTATCAACGCCAAGTGTGTACATATTGAATCCGAATGGAGGCAACACAAGGTTTTCGGTTCGCTCGCATATGAAGAGGCTCAACGGGACGGGTATTGCACCCGCTGATATTGCTGATATGGAGCCGAGGCTTGTTATGTGTAGGGACCTCTATTGTTGATATTTCTGTTGGTCTTATCTCTGTATCAAAGGTGTTACCAGACCTAAGATTAATGTAATGACAGATATCGGGATGGGATCTGGGAGATTGAGTTGTTATCCACATGGTCTTGTTCAATGTAACTATTTTTGTGTATCTGCTTGAAGCACTTCATATTGAGGTGGTCAATATTGAATATTCATCTTTATTTAAAGACCTTGTTAAGCTTTTGCTACAGAATATGAATTGCAGACTGAATATTTCACGTGATAGGTACGAGGCTCAGTAACATGGATTGCCAAACAGTCCCTCACTGCTAGAGTACCAGCATCATTTACGAGTCCCTAACCTGCCTAGCTTGCGATGTGCTGTAACCACAAAAACCGTTGGGAATACGGATGTCCGTGTTAGTCTGACAATAAATCTAAAACCCATGTCTTTAACCCGAGATTGCAAGGCACTGCCCCCAATAGGCAAAGCCGTTAAAACACTTCTCCGCTTTGCAGTCGCATCCTTGAACATTTGCCCTGTTAACTCTGTCATCACCATCACGGCCTGGAATGCGTCGTATACGATAATACGTACCGCATTTTTACCTTGCCTCTTGGCACCCTGTCTACCATAGCCGAGATACGCGCGAGACATATACAATGGCCAAACCTTGTCAGCATTGCGCGACAATATTCTACATACAGTCAGATTTATTGGCTGAAGACAACGATCCCTACCCAGACCATGCAGACTACAGCCCTGTGAGGCATCACAGCACCGTTGAGGATCTCATAAACTCCACGAATACTTGCGGTCTTTGCAGTGCGATCAAAAAGTCATGGTCGCTACCGCGTCTGCTGGCAAAGTTTCCTGATATCAAGGACGAGGATTTTGGCTCACTCGAGCTTATTTGGAAACTGACTGACGCTAGCTCTTGTGGTCGCGATGTGGTGTGTAATTTTCTCTCAGGGGATATTATTGTGACGTCACATGCCTATTCCGATACTTTCAAGTTGACGATTATGACTTGTCGATTGGAGAGTATGAGCTCGCTTGCCTTTCTGCTTCTCATCACTGTCGCTGACACTTTAAGCAGGTCAGACCAATCAAGCTGCTTTATGGAGCTCTTCCCATAAGTCTCCTGCGAACGAACGGAACCAAATTATTAAATCTTGGTATACGGACTGTGTGTCTCACCATCCTGAATGTGCACCATCTACCTCCGAACTTCCAAGGCGGCTCGTCAAGTTTGGGTCAGAGAAGAGCGAGCTTCGTCTAATAGATACGACCGAGGAAACTACAAAGAACATTAGCTATGCCACTTTGAGTTATTCTTGGGGGTTGTCACGACCCTTCACCACCACTCAAAGTAATATTAGCACCTTTCTCGAAAGCATACCGGCGGAGTCGCTTCCTAAGACGTTTCACGACGCCATCGAGACTACCTGGGAGCTGGGGCTCCGCTATATCTGGATAGATAGTCTTTGCATTATTTAAGACGATCTGGATGACTGGAGGAGGGAAGCCTCTCGCATGAAGGACGTATACGCCGGCAGTTCAGTCACTATTTCAGCATCAGATGCAAAGGACAGCACACAAGGCTGCTTCGTCGACTTTAGGGTGGATCTTTGGGAGAACGATGGCAAAGGCGTCGTTCCAATGACTGCTACTATTCATGGCAAACCTCTTGAGATACGCGTTCACCAGGGAGACATCAGACGCCGCACCGTGGACTCGAATCTCAGCACCCGAGGCTGGACCTTGCAAGAGCAGATACTGTCTCACCGGGTGATCCACTGCATGCGACCAGAGATACACTGGAACTGCCACCGCAAATACCACACAGAATCACAGTTTACCTTTGATGGTGTCAGTTTCAGGCCTTTCTTGTCCAAGTTTCTACCGAGCCATGCTACTGCAGCCGAAATGCAACGGTTGTGGATCGAGTGGATGACAGATTACTCTAATAGGGATCTGACCGTCACCAAAGATCGCCTGGGAGCTCTGGCGGGAATGGTACAGCACTTTGGGGAAATAACTGGATTCAAACATCTATTAGCATGTTGGCAAGAGACACTTATCGATGATCTGCTATGGATCCGATGTGGTGCTGTTGCCAACCCCACCATACCCCTCCCACAAGTACCTTCATGGTCGTGGCTCACTCGGACAGGGGAAGTCAGCTTCAAATTTTGGTTTCGGGCCATGGGCGGTTGCAAGTATTTTCCGCATGAACACGTCAAGATAGTTGAATCCAGCGTAGACTGGACCGGAGAGCCGATGATTTCTGATATTTCATCCACAAATCTGGTTGTCGAGGGCCCCGTTATGCAAATGAGGCTCCGCATAGACCCGAGAGCTCAGATCTTCAATCCACCTTATATGGATGTGGGCGACGAGGTTCAAGATTTTCACAATCATCCCATTCCATGGCGGTGTGCAGGACAGTTCGATCTTGAACAAGACAGGGAGGATGATTTGTTTACATGTCTCCTTGTCCGATCAGTTACTCCAGATCACGATGCTCCCTTGAATCGCTACCACCTTCAAGAAACATTTCTCCTACTCTTGCCAGTGCCGACTCCTGAAGGCTTGTGTTACCGGAGGGTTGGTATCGCTATGATTCGCGGGAACGAGCCTGAGTTCAGATCTGCGGAAATAAAAAGGATTCGGCTGGTTTGAGATGGTTGCTCTAATACAATAGAGCGCTTGTACCTGGTAGTGATAGGATGTTGTCTGGAGCATTTTCAGCTCCTAGTATCAAGTACGGCCTGACCTTAAAGTAACTTTTTTAATATAAATAGCTGTGAGGGATGATAATTTGAGTGAATCTCAGTAGCGGAAAGCTCCCCAGCATATACACTCAAAATTGAGCCAATTCTCTCAACATCTCGGTGCGCTGGCGCAATGGTAGCGCGTAGTCCTCCTAAGACTAAGGCTCAGGGTTCGAGTCCCTGGTGCATCGTCGTGGAAGCTTGATCATTAGCCTTGTCAATGATTGGGTGTCGACATTTTTGGAACATCTGCCACTTTCTTTTCTTCTTTTCTTCTTTTTGTTTTTATCACTCTATATACTACCACTTATCACCTTTATTCACCATTCTTATTGGACTCAGTATGACTCTGAGATGCAGTTCACCTCACAATCCCAAGGACAGAGCGCCTACAAGATGGTGTATTGTGATTCCGAGAATGGCTCCGGCTTGAATTGGAAGCAGATTGATTATTTTCACTCTATCCACTTGTTTCTCTCCACTCAAGATCAGATTCACTGATTCTATGCCAATCATCGTTACCTGACGCCCCTGACCCTTCTGGTATCAGATATCCATCTGCGCCATTGTCTCCTCTGCCTTCTCCTTCCACTCGTCACGCCATCGCGACAAAGGAGGTCGCCTCTGAACAACATCGCCTGCAGCCCACGTCATGCGCTTCTTGTCCATTTCTTCCGAAACATCGTTGTCGGGGCAGATTATGTAAAAAACATCCTTGCCCATGTTCTCGTAGAGATACTCCGTGACTTGATCCGGGGTCCAAGCTCCAGCTGGCTTCTCTTGACTCGGGCTTGCGCCAGTCTGTAATAATGTGAGCTGCGAGTTCCGCATAATTCTGACAGTTCACTCACCATGCCAGTAAAAGTCCAGCCAGGAACAAGTAGATGTACGCTTGTGCTCTGGTCCTTAAGATCCCAGCTCAAATGTTCGGCCAGGGTCTTGACTGCAGCCTTGGAGGCGTTGTAGGCTGCGTTGCCAGGAGGGTTGGTAATTCCCTGTTTACTGCCCGTGATGACGATACTCGTCGGTTTCGACTTGGCGGCGTCTTGAATGACAGGGAGAAATGTGTTGATGCCATGAATAACGCCGAAAAGATTGGTTTCCAGTGTCTGGTTCCGTCAGCAGCTGCTGTTAACATATATCTATCTTACTCACATCTCGGAAGAAGGCTTCATCTCCCCATGTACCCCTCATACCTCGACCAGCATTCAGAGCCAAGAACTCGATGCTTCCAAACTTCTCTAGCGCAAGGTCTTTCAGTGCCTGCCAGTCTGACGTTACTGAAACGTCAACCTTGGAGGTGACGACTTCAGAATCATTTGCAAAGTGTTCCTTCGTCAACGCCTCGAGAGCTTGCTCGTTGTTGTCAGCAAGCAGCAGACGCATACCCTTGCTACGGCACATCTTGGCAATGGCCAGGCCAATGCCTGATCCTGCTCCGGTGATCAAGGCGGTCGATCCTTGGCGAAAGACGTCGGTGGGAGACATGTTTGAAGTTTGTATGAGGAATTTGACACTACCAAGGTTGTCTTTTGGGCTGGTAGAGACTGAAGAGGTTGGATATTGAGTGTCGACTCGGGAATCTCTGAGCTAGAATTTATAATCGACAATTCGGAGTTAACGGGTGATCTCAAGTTAACTGCTGAGCGCCCCGCATGAACGTGGTGTTTGATGCGGGGCAGTGGGTGAGTTAGGGCAGTGTTAAGGTAATAGGCCGAGATACCGCCTAGAACGAGAGAACAGGGTGGTGGAGTAAGTATTGTGTTATCTGATGCTTATGTAGACTAACTGACTTGTACAAAACAATTCACCACCTACTTACTTCAACAGCATCATGTCAAGGCGAATTGTGCGAATTGCTCAAAGCCAAGTAAATCAAACCAAGCAATAAGAGGATTACCTCAATGCTTTCGTTCATACTACCTTGCAGTACAATATGTACAAATAAGCAGCAGTATATGCTATCATCATGAAAATATTATCCATGACGTATACTTTAAACTAAGTTCACAAGCTAAATTTGCTAATTCCTTGTGGCACGAAAACAGAAATCCTTCCGATGAATCACGCACCGTTTCCAGGAATGATGCCTTCCCAAACTCAAGGACGCAAAATTGCCATCGTTGGCTCAAGTGGCCAGGTTGGAAATCCCACGCTCAAAGCCCTTCTGGTAAAAGGTATTCATACCATCACTGCTGTCCAACGAGCCGAATCAATAAGCACATTTCCTCATGGAGTGCTCATCAAGTCTGGTGATCTGACCGACGAATCCTTCCTAGTCAGCGCATTCCAGGGCCAAGATGCTGTCGTGCTCATGCCGCCTCTTCCTCACATTACGAGCATACAAGAACCGGCCGTCCGTGCAGCTGCTAAGGCAGTCGTTCCCTACGTTTTTCCGGCTGAATTAGGACCAGACCCCTTCGCAACTCGGCTTATACAAGAGAACAAACTTCTTCAGGATAAGAAGAAAATCCGGGACTTGATCGAGGAGCTTGGAGTAAGCAGCTGGGTCTCGATAACTGTTGGTCCGTTCCTTGATATGAACATCAAGAGCGGTCTCTGGGGTATTGACGTGGAGAATCGAAAAGCTACAATTTGGAATGGGGCAACTGGCAAGGTAAATACTTCGAGTGTTGCCCATACTGGACAAGCCACAGCAGCAGTCCTTAGTCTTCCCGATGTAGACTTGTCCCAGTACAAGAACAAGGCGTTCTATGTGCCTTCTTTCCATCTGACGCAGCAAGAGCTCTTAGAAGCAGTACAGAATTCAACATACACGACGGGGCAGGACTGGGATGTGAAGCATCAGGATATCGAAGACGCAATTAAAGATTGCAACTTGAAGATACAGCAGAAAGACGATATGGCTCCTTTTGTCAAGTTCTTCCTTACTCATTTTCAAGAAAACAGTGGAGGGGATTTTGAGCACAAGGTCGTTGCTTCTGAGGTTAAAAAGTTGCATAAGATGGGACTTCAGGACGAAACCCTTGAAAGTGTCCTCAAGTCTTCGCTATAGTAATGAGTCTCGCTCTACTCAGGTCGATGAGAATATATGGAGTTGTACCAATAAGAGCAGTGCACTGTCTCTAATGGCTTCTAACTTCTGTGCTCACTGCCCTCTTCTACAGCAACTTCCACTATGGGATATCTTTAACGTTCAGGTTTCCAAGATTCTCAACAAGATTGCCCAAAATGTGCGACTTCATGTCTTCCTGTTTTTTGACAACGCTCACCGGCCAGTGACTTCGAATAGCAACAGCCATCTCTGGTTCGGGATCAACCTCGTCTTTCTCCAACGCCATTGAGCTCTTCAAGAGGCTGACTTCCTGTGACCGCATTTTTCCGCGAATGACTCGAAACAGTGCCTGCGCTAAATAATGGTTGCGGCGCTGGCTGTACAGGCCCTGTGCAATCAGAATAAGGGTCGATCGCAGTGTTTCCGTCTCTTCCCCCGGGGTGTCGTCCTTGATTGCATCTATGGCCTCGTAGCCGATGATCATGAGAGGTATGACGATGAAAAGATCCATCGCTTCGAATCCGTGCCGTAGATAGTAGAGCCTCACAAGGGTTTGGAGATTGCGTTTAGCACCGGCCACAATTTGTTGAGGAGAAGGCTCTTTGGTTGTTGCCACGTCGAAGAGAGGCTCAAATATCGTCAACAGCAAGTGATAATAATACATACTGGATTTGTTGTCAGTAAAGTCTGTTCGACGGGAGAGAGTTAAACGATCGGCTGAGAAAGATGGAAAGCATACTGAATTTGCAGTTGTCCAGGAAGTACAATTCTCTTCGGAGTCAGAGGTTCTCGTAGGTTGTTATACCAATCCTCTAATCGTTCACGCAGCTGATAAGCTACGTCGATGTCCACTTCTGAACCTTCTGAGTAGGCCGCTTCACAGAACTCATTCATAATGATTCGAAACAGACTCCTAGCTCGGAACACTTCACTAACACAGGACGACGAAAGCCCATGGTTCAAGGGATATTTAACCCATACTTCGCCATACCATGAAGGGTCCTGCAGAGGGTCTGGTAGTGGCCATACCGGAGGCTTCTTGATCAATGGGGAGAGCATAAAAGAAAAGGCCGAAAGTCTAACACTGTTATATCCTTGTCAAGGTTCATGGACCAAACCGCACTTACGTCTCCCAGTTGTACATAGCCCAAGCAGTACACTGCCTACCTCTACGGAGTCTTTCACCCTGGCCTTCTACGGCTGTATCAAATATGCGAAGCCGATGCGACAGAGCAACCGCCTGTATTCTGTAGGCCTGTCCGATCTCATCTAGTCCGGAGAGATTATGAATCACACTGAAGATGATGCCGGGCTGTATTGTGGTGATACGGGCGATGGTGGCTTCCAACTCCCATAGACGCTTTGCTTCGGCGAGAAACCGGTACATGAAGCTGCTGGGGTTCCAATATTCAACGCGATCAGAGAACCGTGGGTAACAGACCTAGACACACGTCAACACAGCAAAATATACCAACTGAAGGAAACCCTACACAAGCATAAGCAAGAATAACGTTGACAAGAAGTGACGAGCAAAAGTCGGTGCGTTTTGCAGCCATATCCTCCAAAAGAAGGTCTTTATGGAAGGCTGCAGTGAACTGATACTCGCAGCGAAAGAGCACATTGAGCAGGCCTCGCATGAGCTCATCATCTTTGCAGACAGTGGTCCATATCGAAGGCTTGGCATCAGAAAGTAGAGGCTCAATCACTTGCGCTGCATGGAAGGGCTTCAAATAAAGGCTTCTTTGCTCCTCAGAAGCAAGACTTGCGAGGAGCCCTGATGCGGATTGTTCTCCAGTCCGGTTATTCGAGTAGAGCGAGGCTGCCTCATACACTAGAGAGTTCAGATACGGGTTGTTGATGCTGTACCCTCTGGGCATCTCCGCTCTGTAGGGGAACTCATATCGTAGGCGAGTCTCGGGCGCGACCGCCATCTGGAGAAGCACATCCCCAGCTTGGACTTGATTCAGAACTGACCTAAGATCGGATCCAGATCTGATACGGCGCAAGACATCCTGAGCATCCTGATCAGGCAGGTTCCTTAAAAGCCCGATGAGGTCCTCGTAGATTGACAGGTCCTGGTTTAACCCTTCCATGGGACCGAGGGCTTGTAAACGCGCCAATCCTAGGGTTTCTCTATATTTACACGTTACGCGTCGTTGGTAACAGTGTCGGCATGTCGGTCTCTCGCCAGAACACTATCACCAGCGGTCAATCGTCTTTGCGTCGGGTTTCTGCAACGATGAGGTTCTCACGTACCTTTACCTTGCGATGACGGCATGCCTCACAAGCTGCTATCACGGGGTTCAACCTTGGCACTTTTATCGTGATGTTTGGGACTGGGGCCCGGTTAATTCTTTCTTTCGAGGGTAGAATACGGCGCATGGTCCCAGTTTTGACAATTAATGCAGTTACTTGAGGGTGCAAACTTGACGGCAATTTCACACCTTTGGTTGTTTTTGAAGTCGAACTTGACAGATGTATGTTTTCTAGACAATAAATCAGACTTAGGCCTACAATGGCTGCTGACTGATGCCATCCGGCCACATATGCTGGTAAAAACTCTCCTTGCTTCTCTCCTGTGAACCAAATCACCGTCATAATGACATGAAACTTTGCTAGGGTCTTTATCCTTAGTCATAACTTTTTATCACGCAGTATCTCGGTAATACCGAAATCATTACTATATTTCCGTCAGGTACTCCTCAATCATAGGCTTGGTTAGGTTTAACCCGGTTCTCGACCGGCACCAACCCCCTAGTTGCCCGTAGTCTCAGTGTACTTCCATCTGTTGAAACACAAAAGTTTTGACTCATTATATCCGGGTCTTGCCCATACGCATCTCCCGAGCCTATTCCTGTGCTCCGTTCTGCAAGGGTGAGCGCCAGAATGTCCGACGCAGACTCCCACGAAGACGACGTGATGCCCGACCAGATAGACCACAGTGAGTACAAGATGACGAGAAGCGCATAGACGTAGAAGACAGCCATGGCGCCACGCATTGTCAGACTGTTGTCGGCAAAGGCAAACCCGGTCACCCAAGTTTCCATCTCTGTCTTGAAGTAACGTTTTTTGTCATCCTCTGACACGGAATAGGGACTTCCACCAGGACCAAATACTTTGCCATCCTGCGGCATGAAGCTCTTCCACCATTCGCCGTCGGGATCAGCTAGAGTTGTGATGGCAGTGGTGTTGGGTGTTGATCGCCCAAGACCGTTGGCCGCCAAGGCTCCAAGGATCGCCTCTAGGTGCGCTGGTGATTTTGACCCTTTGCCGTCGCTGGTCCATACACCGCTATTCAGAAGCATCTCATGGATAACAGTTCTATTCGTCTTCGAGTCGAGAGGGTTGAGATATTTAGCAAAGCTGGGTGCAAGGTAGACACGCTGACCGTAGCCTTGATTACCAATCCAGGAGCCTCCAAGTGAGGTAGGAATGGGGTCGGAGAATGGTGGGTAGCCTTTGCTGACCATACCAACTGCATCACCGCTTAAATCTGTCATAACCCACCGGGCATCGATCATGCACCCGTAGATATCAGCGGCCTCGCTTGACCTGTTAGAGGGCACAGCTACTACTACGCCAACAGAAGTGTGTGCGATAATAGGTGCTGAGTCGAACCAGAACACTTCGGGTTTCTTCAGGCTAGGGAGTACATCGGACAACCAATCGCTGACAACATCGTTCGTGACGTTCAGAGTTGTAGGTGGGAATGCCACGAAGTCAGGGAACAAAACCGTCTTCGTCTTTGCTGTGGTGTTGCTTACTGATGTGAGCTCGCACCTCGTATTAGTCATGGGCATCGGCGCATTGAGCTTGTGGCTGAGTTTCTGGTAGCTGTCGAGGCGAGTTTGGCCTCTCTTGGCAGAATCTCCCACAGCTTGCTCCCAGTGCAGCGACGTTGTAACACAGGCTTCAGCAGGTCCAAGATGTGGCATCCTGGCAACTGTATGGTTGGGGCTATTCAGGTTGATCCACTTCTCTCTGATATCAACCACGAAGTTGACAAGTGTCGAAGATAATCCGGCCAGTAAGATTTCCTTCGGGGGCCGTCTGACAAATAACCCGTTGTCCACCTGGCCCGACAGTCGGAGTTTCGAGATCAACTGGCTATTGATCACATCCCACTGCCAGGATGGACATAACTCGTTTCCGGTCACTTCGCATGCAGAACCGATCGTGTTTTCATCCGTCAAGTTAGTTGGGAACATCTCCTCGCGGGTGCCGTTGAAGTAGACAAAACTACCGCCCGCTCTCCAGTCACCTTCCTGTGGCATCATCGCAACAGCACTGAGAGACGAGGCACCCAGTGCCATGATAGTACAGATGAACACAGTGATGATGAAACCAATTTTCTTCCACGTACGAGAGAACTTCCCCTTGATAATGCTGAGAAACTCTTCAGACCATAGGAAGCTGATCTCAGATATCTGCTGCCCAGCCACCAAAGCGCCGTAAGGAACAGACTGGCCGATCGTGGATTCATGTCGGATCATGGAAAACACGATTGCGTTGAGAGACAGCACAATCAACATTTCCATCAACTTGGCCGCGAACTGGATCCCAAGCTTTTTCTCGACATCGTAGTTGGGTTTTCCTTCAAGCTCCTTGCCAATGTAGTAATTCTTGAAGATGTAGAAACTCAGTGTAATGATGCCAGCAATCGCCGGCAGATGGACCAGGGCAGCCAAGGTTGCGGTTAAGCGGTCTTTCACAATAGGCACCTGGGGATTCTTCTTCCTCTGGATCACAGCTTGAATGGCTTGTATGCGCCATTTCTTCAGGATCGTCTTAAGTCGCCAACCGGTTGGCTTGGCTCTTGGCCCTTGCGTCCCTCGATTTTGGGAGAATACAGAGACATTATTCTTTGAAGGTGCTGTTGGTTCTGTCCTGGAATGACTTTCGTCGTAGTCGGATGGTCCATCCAGGGGATATTCATCCGAGTGGACAGGCTTGTACTGAGGCCGAGTTTTTGGGGTATTTCTGTCCGTCATACTGGGTGTCACAGAGAAATCATAACTACATTATTTGAGGAAGAATAGAATGTGAATGGGCGATTTATTGTTATATCACACCTATGTGCAGTGTTCGCATCGAATACTCGTTCTCGCATTGGGGGCCAAAAGGCTGACAGACTATTCGTTTATCACCTCGGAATTGACCCATTCACCCAGGGCTGACGATGTCAGTTGCAGATTTCAGACACAGCCTTACGCAGGGGTTTTATGCTGCTGACGGCGCTTAGCCGATGGCATTAACAACCATGTTTATAGGAGGGGTTTTGGGGGCTGTACATTTCTAAATGCCTCAGTCTGAACAAATTTACAAGCGCTTCTGCAACATCCTAGTACACTCGCATCAGACAAATAACCATGTCGCGGGTTGCCGATTTTGCGAGTGATTCACTCGGTTATCTGCTCCACATCATAAAGCGAGACGTCATGACGGGGGAGATTGTCCACTGCTGACCACCATCGCGGAATTCAGAGTGAAGGAACGCGCTAATCAAAGAGACCTGGCACTATCGCCCGTTGCCTGGCCTTGTTACCCAAAAGTTGGTGCCCCAGCCACATGTATAACGGCCCCCAAACCCTTGACTAATATTTCTCACGATGAACGGAGTACGCTGGATAATTTGGGCTGCACGGTTCTTCCGACCCGGGGTGGTTGGTTGCAAAGTTTTACCAGCGCAAGATAAGATAAGAACAATGTCTTCCTCAGGCAGCAAACTATTTGACACAGGTATAGGGTAAAGACATAAGCCCAATTTTGGTCTCAGAACAGCAGAAGTAGCTGTAGTAAAGCAGTAGTTGATGTGAGCCGATTATTGTAAAGCTCATGTTTTATGCTCTCGGGTAGTGTCATCTCATCGGTTCAGCAAGCATGCAATGAAGCTAAGACTTGATGTACCATTTCTCCGTTAGATATTCTCATCTAGGATTGCTTCAAACAAGTTGTGTGAGCACTCCGGAGACCTCGAAAAAGGGCGAGATTCCAGATGCTGTTGAGATGGATCCGGCAATCCACCGCTAAACAAAGCGCTGTTTTAACTGGCTAGGGAGGCAGATAAGCTCGCTCACTAGCCAATCAAAACGAGCTTCTGTGTTTGGAAATTGATCACACCGCCAGTTGGAGTCTCCACCAGGGGAAATGAGGCACACTCCACCTGTCTCGCTCCCCAACCTCTTCACTACGCAAGGGCACAAACGGAGGAGCAATTAATCCGATGGAGCACAGACCATCAGCCGACCTCTCCTCACTATATAATTCATCATTTCCTCCGCCCTTCTGTTAATCTTTTCCTTTCTTCTTCATACTTACCTTGCCTGGAACTTCGCCCATGATCAAGAATATGGGAGTTCAGCCTGGGGCATCTGCATTGCACATCGCGGTATCGTCCTATGCTCTATTATCCTTCGGGGTCGTAGGAGGTGGAATTTTTGATTTCAAACCATTTTTTTCATTGTAACTTGGGCTTCATGCCTGACTACGAAGAAGAATTTATTCCTTCTTGTGTTCGTGTGTGCGTGAGCTGTATGTAATACCTGTTGCCTACATGAGAGTCCGACGTTCTTGTGTGAACTAGTGTTTGTTACTATGAGTTGGGTGCACTGATAGCAGGCCAAGCTGGTGAGACTGGTATGATGGTTTGATGACGAAGGTAGATGAGCGGTCAAACATCACATCTGTCACTGGTGTGAGGAGTCCCTGAATACATGCACCAGTTAACTGGTCGGCGAAATAGATCGATACAAAGGGGATCTCCATTGACTGAGACATTTCACTGACGGCGGGTCACTTAAAAAGGCATGGTCTGTCTTCATGCGCTGGAAGTATTTGTGCTCATGTGAGGGCGTCTGCGAATAAACACATGGTCGAAGTTCTCAATTTACTAGACTTTATCTGTTACTGTATCTCTTTCCGCTGATCTCAATGGCAAAGTGTCAGTGTTTCCCAAATGCAAAAAGGGCGTGTCCACACATGATGGACAGCAATTGATGCGGTTTATGTGGATCGAACACATGACCTTCAGATATCGGTGATGAAGTATGGCTTCAGTCTGACGCTCTCCCAACTGAGCTAAACCCGCGTTTTGAGTTAATGCAAATCCTAACGCTAGACTAAATGATGTTGCGATAGATCAAGCGTACCAAGCCCAGCTGCAACACTCAAGTGTAGTCATTTCTTGTTATTAGTCATAGAAACACAGACTTGCTTTTCTAGGTTTCCAAATAGAGAATAAAGATTGCTCTGACTATAAGTAAATCTTACTGAAGATCCCTTGAATTGATGCCGTGCTTGCCGTTGTCCTTGTCGTCATTCATGGTCAACTTGAATTTAACGGTAAGCCTCTGACGGCTGTAATATATCACATATGACATCCTCACATTATAAGCAGTCCTCGAGTTCAGTCAGGAACTAACTACAAGACCGTGAAGAAATAAATAGTAGTTGCCACCGCAGCGTAGACAAATATTTTATCATGGTTCACTTCATATACATCGGACACAGTCTACTACTTATTTACTTATTTGGCATCTAATCCAGCTAACCATTACCTTATCATCACCCGGTTTGAAGAGGGTTCAATAGGTTCAGAACAAGCTTAAAATAGAGCGGCGATAAACGAGGACCTTTGTGCCAAGAACTCGGACAACTGCTGGGGTTTTGCAAAAGTCCGAGATTCAATCAAGGACAATGCGGTTGTCGGCCGGCCCATGGTGGATAACCTTGTATGCACGGAACTCGCACCTGATCGGAACTCGCAACTTTTTCGCGACGCGAGTGGTCTGATACGACTCACGGGTGTCGATCATTATATGCACTACCGGCAGGCTTAGTGGCTCTCCAGACTTGGAGCAACTAGTATTTCAATGCTTGAGGGCGCCCTATGGCTTCTTTTCCTACCTGGCAATCTTGTATTTACAGATACATAGTTGCCATTATTGAACAGCCATCAAGCATAGGTTGAGGATATCCTGATCATGCAGTGGGATAGTCTCTATGTACCGCCCACTGCCGTAGGAGCATGTACAGGAGCTATGTAGAGTTATTGTGACCAGTCTTATGCACCACCTATGAGTGATGTGTTTCTTGAAACAAGGAGAGATGCCGCTCTTCCTATTACACTACACCATCAATACTACTGCCGCTTACAAACACCCGGGTCGGAGATTTTGAGATTTCCGTCGTAGATAATAGTTTGAAACACCTGGTGATCGACCGACTTTATTCCCATTTTGCGCTGCCCACTTATGCACAGCGATGGCCCAGCACGACCAGCCGGTTATTTCTCTGACCGAGATCCGTACCTCCTTGGCATACCTGGCTAGTGGCTACCGTATCTTGATGTTGAAGTAATTCAGTACGATATAAATACTCTGCTTCCTACTACAAGACAATACTCAGGCAAACCACTCGCATTACAACTTTATCCTCAAATATCTTTGTCCTGTCAGTGCACTCCGCCCTCGTTACTTCTATTCATCTCTATCACACACCGATCTTCCGACATTCATACTCCACCATGGCTCAAGGCGCCAAGTCTCAGCAACGCAAGCGGTACTGGCTTCTTACGTCTCCTCGTACTGCCTCCAATCTGCTAGTCAAGATGCTCAATCTTGACGAGCAGGGTGTCCGTCCAGCACACAACGGAGGATACTTTTTCCTCCCAACTGTGCCCAAAATCTTCCTCATCAACGAGAAACCAATGGATACTTGGACACACGAAGAGAGCGAGATAGTTAGCACCGCGCTCCAAAAGTGCTCGGAGAACTTTCAAAACCATATTGCGGCAGCTGAACAGGAGGGACAAACCCTCTACGTGAAGGAACATACTCTCATGATGACACATCCGCAATTCGAAAATCATTATGTACATAACGCCAAGGTGATTCAAGAAGAAGCAGCACCACTTGAGATGAGAAATATCGCTCAGCCAACTCGATCGCCGCTCAACCTTACCCTCTTCCCAGACGAATTCCTCAAAACCTGGAATCCCACATTTCTCATTCGCCATCCTGCATTGATGATACCTTCCCATTACCGAACCTGCCTCTCTGACCTAGAAGTGGACGGGTATAAACGTCCGGGCAAGAAACCCATGGCATCAGAGATCACGACGCGATGGCAAAGGACTTTATACGATTTCTACGCCGAGCATTTTGCAAATGACAGTATTTGGCCAATTGTCATCGATGCTGACGATGTCATGACATGTCCTCCACTCGTTTCCAAGTATGCCCAGCTCTCAGGCCTTGACGAAAGCAAGGTCCGCTACTCTTGGGACAAGGTGGGCGAACAGGAATTGAACAAGATGAATGACAGTGCCAAGAGGATGCTTAGCTCTATCAATGCAAGCACCAAGATTGACACAAGCAAGGTTGCAGGCAATATTGATATTGACCAGGAGGTCGGAAAGTGGATAAAGGAATTCGGCGAGGAAGACGCCCGCTCGCTTGAAAAATTGGTGCGGGATGCAATGAACGATTACAACTTTTTACACTCCAAGAGACTGAGGCTGGAGCAGGAATAGTAGACCAAGTTTAGACTGGTCTTGGGTGTCTTATCTAATTGAATCCCAACTTATTAAATACTGGTTGACGTACTTGAAAGTGCAAGAGAGACCGGGCTTACAAGCTTGGATCACATGGTATTGGTGGTCAAATCTTTACTCTCCTCTCCTCTTTAAATTTGATCGTGTGGCATAACGGGTAGTATCAGAGATGTCTTCAAAACGACCCACCTTGTAAGACGTCCCTGATTTACCGACTAAGATGATAATAGCCTTATATTGCCCGGGAGCTAGTTTCATTCATTTTCTTCAAGCTACGTTTAAATGTTAGCTAGCTGTATAGTTGGTAAGCCATACAAGCAATCGGACTGCATTATCAATGATTAACACAATCTGTGGCCATGGCGAGGCACCCGAGACAGCCACATCTCGGAGTTTAAACAGCTAAGAAAGACCGCTTAACTATCTCAAATACAAGATAGCGAGTAAGATTGTGTTACAAGACCCAGTGAGAGCCACCTCTAAACCTTTTCGGTGTAGGGTGAGTGGTTCTAAGGCCGGAAATGGAAGTCGACCGAGAAGCGAGTCTGGTCCGGCCCAGACACGCGACATGTCTCGGCTACTCCATAATCCCGACTCGCTCTGTCTAGACCTTGTGGAGAACTGATGTCATCCATCTGCTTGCGGAGAAGAGGGACTGCTCAGAGCAGAATAATCGAACGAAGGACGCAGTTAGAAGATCCAACAATGACATATGAGTGTTTGTTGTCATCCTCGTTGGTGGCAAGAAATGAGGTAACTGTTCGTACCGATTCTGGAAACACGGGAGAGCATCATGATGTAGTTGAGTGCAAACCTGCAGCGTACTGTTGACTAAGATCCTCCTGCTCATCGTCGATGACTCCGTCCAAAATTTAATCGAGACCACGTTTGCCCCGGCTTTGGAATGAGGGGTCCGACGATAAAGGTTCTATGATTTGGAAAGGACAAGCCGGAAAGCGAAAAGTTGCAAGTGAGTTTGTCCCTGAAAAGCGGTTGTGGAATTTAAAGACGCCAATCTTGCATTAATCTAGGAACGAGCAAAGTATGCGGGCCGCTAGTCGCCCGTAACTTTGTGTCCATGACATCTGGACCTTGCATATGCTCCGATAAGCTTCAGGTCCAGTGGCGTCGTGGCTTTCGACGGGAATGTCAACAAGCCACGGCGTCGTGCCTGAACATGGACAGCTTGAACGCTATGTCAAGTATCATCGAGACCAGACTCAAAGGCAAAAGCTGTCAAGTATGAAGCTAATAACATATAAATGCTCCTCAAATTCCTGGTAGAGCTCTCTTCTGAACTTCTCTATTCACTCACTCACACTCAAAAGCTCTTCAGTACTTTTCTCTATCTGCAGTCTTTGTCACAAATACTCCTTACTCACCGTATCTCCATCTATACAAGTCTACACACAACAATATGAAGTTTTCACTTCCTCTCGTCGCTGGCCTGGCAGCTTCCGTCGCTGCGCACCCTCAAAATGGGAAGAAGGCCGGTGTCACCACTACTACCACAACTGGTACCTCTACCACTGCTGTTCCAACATCCGCCAAGGGCCAAATGCCTTCTCTGCCCTTCTTGCCCTCATGGCTCTTTAGGGATGCGGGCAACAAAGGCCAAGGTCAAGGCATAGAGAACGGCTTGAAGTGCATCAGCACCTACAACAACTGCTTGGTCAAGTCAACCAATGTGGTGGACTGCGCCTCAGCCTACGGATCATGTATCAAAGGCGGCAGCACTACTGCTACCGGTTCTACTACAATCTCTGCCACCGGCTCTGCCACTCTGACAACAAAACCTGCCATCTTGACTATTCCCAGCGCCACAGGTGCTCCTACACGAACATTTGCCCGACCCCAGATCCCTTCAGTTTCTGGTCTTGCGAAGTGGTGGAAGCACGAGCAAGGCGTCCGAAAGTGCAACTATACCTACTACACTTGCCGCCGAGCCAAGGACTCCAGCCAAGACTCGTGCAGGTCTGATCGAACTGCTTGTATTGCAGCCGCAAAGGCTAGTGCCAGTGCCAGTAACACAGCTACGGTTACCAGTGTCCCAACCACCATTGCTACTGCTGCCACATCGGTGACTACAACCTCAGCAACTGATTCTGCAAGCTCTGCTACAGTCACTGCCTCTTCAACCACTGTTATCGTGGCGGCCAGTGCTGCTGCTGACGCCGACGCTCCCCTCGATTCTGATGATGCTTCTTTCGACGACGACAGTCCCGATGGAGACTCTTAAGAAAACACAGGCAGTATTTAGTTCTACTCAAGCAGATATTGGTTAACCGGGAAGTGCTATCGCATTAATTTATTTACCAATCCCCGAGCCCTTTCGGCTCTCAGCATGTTTTCATTATTCAGTATTGCAACATATTGCACAACGTTCCCTTGATGCTGTACCTGGCTACTACTGTCTTTTCTCGCAAAGAGCTAGAGTAGATCTTAGACAAAGAATGTACAAACTTGTTTACTATAAACGTCTTCTGTGTGGCCCATTGTGTTAGCAGATTGTGATCTTCGTTGAAGCTGTGTAGGAACCCATGGTGTGTTTACCTTCTGCATAGGGACCTCACACTCAAGCAGTGAGTAGTATTGCCGATCGACCAATGTCACCTGGTGTCTGCAGTTGAAGCCATCATGCACAAACAGACAGCCAAGGGAGTGAACGTGGTGTGGCACAGGTTTTAATTGTTAGAGCACACGCGTCGTGCGTGCCAGTTCGAGGTCGGCCTTTGTCTCACGTCGGACTCGCGCGACATGGAATCATGGCTCTCCGTGACTCCTGTTGGTTGGCAAGTGTAAGGCTCCAGTGGATGAGTACTAGCCCAATGCATACGAGATCGGGGGTGGGCATCCATTTGCTTGCACCCCATTTCAGCATAACTTAGCCCATGATACTTAGGGCCAGATACGTAAGGTCAGTTAAGATCTCACCCTATACGGATACCTACATGCCAAGACTAACTTTCCCGGATCTAATAAGGATTTTCGGTATATTTAATAGTATAAGCTATCTAGATTAAATAAATTATTTTTTTAATCTATATATTACCTTTATATAATATATTAAGCTAATTAAAGCTAGTAAAATAACTTAAAATAATAATAATCTATAAAAAAATAATAAAAAATTATATTTATTTTAAAAGTAATTTCTAATTACTTTTAAAATATATCTATATATATATTATTATTATATATTTATTAAAAAGATTTTATAATAGCCTTACCTTTAGCCTTAAATAACTTTAATAATTAAATAAAAAGAAATATAAAAAAGTAATAAAAGTTTATAAATAACCTTATTATTAAAGATAATATAAGAACTAGGTTAATAAAAATCTATAAAGTTATTATATTTATATATTAAAATAGCTAAATAATATTACTTAATAATATAACAACTTTAAAGTTAATATAATATATAGATCTAGTGTTTTCTTAAGTATATATTAAATAGTTTCTTAGTAATAATAAAATAATATTTAGGTATTTATTTTATATAAAAAAGGTAGTATTTATATACCTTTATTAATAGCTTTATATTTATATTATTATATATAATAGTAAATATTAATCTCTAAAGTAAAAGGTTATAATATTCCTTTAGATTATTAATTTAAGGAAAGCTTAATATAATATAGGTTTTTTCTTTTTAATTATATAGGTAATAATATTATAAATTATTTATTAATTTTTTAATCTATTTTATATATTATATCTATATTTTATAAAGTATATAACTTCCTTATTAATTTTAGTTAACTTAAATAAAAAATTTATATAATTTAATAATATTAATATAATTATAAATAGAACTTATATATAGGTATTTATTCTTATTATTTAATAAAAGAAATAGTAATTAAGGAAATATTAAATATTATAAAATATCCTTATAAAAGTTAAACTAAATAACCTTCTCTTTATATATATATTAACTAGCGCTAAGGGCTTTATTTATAACTCTTTTTTTATAAGACTTATTTATACTAATAGTAATTATTAATTAAATAAGAACTACCTTATATTTATAAATATTAACTTTAATATAAAAAATAGCCTATTATTACTATATATAGAAATAATATACTATTTTAAAAAGTTTAAAAGTTATAATTAAGGGCTATAAAATAAAAAAAAGTTATATAACTTAAGGTATATATAACTTTATAGTTATATTAAGTATACTTTCAATATATAAAAAAGAAAGTTTAAGATTTTTTAATTAAGCCCTATAGAATATAGTCTTAAAGATTAGTAATTAATTATATTTATAATAATAACTATATATAACTTTATACTTATTAAAGGACTTCTTTTTAAAGAGTTTAAGTATTAAAAAAAGCTAAAATTAACCTTAAGAGAATATAATATAATAAAATTAGTATAACTTTATATTAAGACTATTTTTCCTTTCTAGATTAATATATAAATATAATAAAATATAATAAGATAGCTTTAGTACTAAGGAGAATATAATAAAAGTAAAAAAAATAAGTTAAAAAGTATTAAAAGTAAAAAAAAAAATAATAAAATTATAAATAATAATAAAAATAATAATAACTTTAATTTAATAAAAATTAATAAACTAAAGGAAATATAAAAAGTAAGAAGGTAGTAAGGGGTAAATTAGTAAAAAAAGGTAGGCTTAATAAAGCTTTTATACTTAATTATTCTCTTTAGGTTATAAAGTATATAAAAATAGATTAGAAATTAAGGGTTCTAGGTATTTAAAGCTATTTAATTTAGTCTGGCTATTATTAATAGTAAACTTTTTTATATAAAATAAAAATAACCTCCTTTAGGCCTAAGCTTTTTTTTTATATTATATTATAACCTAGCTTTTTTATATATTAAGTAATTTTCTTTTTATTATTCCTTAATATATTTTATATAATTATATTTATTAACTTATTATTAAGAAATAATACTATTTATATAATTATTAATAATTCCCTTTTTTTAAAGACCTTAAAGTAATTAACTATAGCTTTTTTAATATTATTAAATCCCTTAGGCTTTATTATAAATAGGTAATGTCTTTAAACTTCCTTTTTTTTTAAAAGCTTTTATATTTTATTTTATAAAAATCTAAAATATTTCCTCTTTTTTATTAATAAAATAGCTTTAATATTATAAATTAATATTATTTATAAGTTTCTCCTTTTGTTATATAATATATTATTACTAGAGACTATAAAAATAAGTTATAAGTAGCTTATTAACTTATTATAAAAGTCTTTTTAAATAGATCCTTAGAGTTATAAATAGCTTTATTATTTTTATTATAATATAGCTATGGTTTTAATTATTAAGGGTAATTTCCTTATTTTCTTTAATATAATTAGTACCTAAAAAGCTATATATTTCTTTAAAGATATATTAGTATTTCTTTAAGAGAGTTAGGTAGTTAATTAATATTTTTCCTAACTAATTAATTAAAGGCTAATACTATTAAAATAAAGATATAAATAACTTTAAGATTCTTATAATAACCTTATTTTTAATAATATTAAGTTTCCTTTTATAATAAGCCTTTAATAATTACTTTAAAAAGTAAAAAGTCTATTTATTAAATTATTACTAGCCTTAATTACTTATTATTATAGTTTATAATACTTTACCTTAAGATTTAAAAACTTATAAGGTATTTATAGTAAACTATTTAATTTATACCTAACTTTATTAATATATAAAAGGTATTATAAACTGATTTTTTCTAGTAATAGGCTTATTTTAAATAAGATATTTAATTTTATAGTTTATACCTTTTAAAATATATCTTTAATTACTTAAAAATATAGTTATAAAGAATAAAGATTATACTTTAATTATTATTATTATAATAACTTTACTTATAAAAAAAGGCGGTAAGACTGGCCGTTAAATAAGGTTAGTTATATTAATAATAAGGTTTTAGGTATATAATACGGCCGCCGCTAATTTAATAAGTATAGAAGTCCTTTACTAGAAGTATATGCATTTTAACAGATCTTACGTATCTGGCCCTTATACAGGCCATTACTCACTCGCGTAGTGACATGCTAATAAGCAACAGTCTAAGGTGGCCATGTCCGAGGCAAACTCCCAACGACTTGAAGCAAGTATTTATGTATTATATTATGCTAATTAACACGCTGAACTCGCACCCGTCTCATTCACTTAATTCTCCCATTTGTACTCCGGAATTGGAAACTCTTTCGCATCGCCAAAGCTAGCGCCAATGTACCTCTGCGCAAACTCAATCAATCCCGTCCACGCAATGAAGGCGAAAATGTTGTTTCGCAGCCAAATGCCCCAAGCCGTCTGCGGCGCCAGAATGGTTGTCACCAGTGGTGGAATTACCTGCATTTTATTAATCAGAGGTCTGATTTGCTGCTCATAACCATGAAGGCCTGCTGCAATGTCTCCCTTGTGTTTTCCTAGCTCGCCCGCTAGAATGTACGCTCCTGCGAGGGCCAGGCTTGTCCCAGCGCCCGTGAGGCCTGCTGCGTAACCAGCGTCACCTACCAAAACAAAACGTCCCTTGTACAAATCTGGCGTTTTGACCTGCACAATCTCACTCGCGTAAAAGTCTTTTGAGTCCATCATCTCGCGCATTGCAATGTCGCTCTTCCAACTCACACCTCGGTAGTGTTGAGCAATGTACTTTTTGAGTGCATCGTTTCCTTCCGCCGAAGCCTCCCGAAACGCCAGTGAGCTCTCGGGCTTGTCTTTGGGGTTCATGCACATGACCAGAGCGCGACTGAAGCCTGCTGGATCCGTACCGATGCTGATATTGCGCCCTCTAACGGCACTGAATCCCTGTCCAATTCTGCTTCCGTTGAGAAGATCTTGAGGCATGGAAAAATAAGCTGCCCAGCAGTTGGTAGGGATGATGCGGTCGTGGACGTTGCCTCCAAAACCCAGCACTCGAGTCCTTGACGTTGCGCCGTCACAAGCAACCACCAGGTCGTACTCTGAAGCCGGGGTACCGTTCGCAAATGTGACTTTTACAGGGCCCGGTCTTTTTTCGCTTTGGGACATGGAGGCTATCTGTTCATCGAAGATATAGTTGATGTTTTTGTTCTCTTTGGTGAAGTCGAAGAGAATTTGGGACAGATCACTGCGTAGAATCTCGTACTCAGAGACGAGCGACTGTTGATCTGGGTTTCCAGAAGGCCGGATGACCCCGAAAGGTCTGCCGTCTTCCCCAACAAAGCTGATCCCTTCTTCTTGAGTCGTCTTGGCTCGCACCGCGGCCTCTAGCCCAGGCATCTTGCGCATGACAGAAACGCCAGCGGTGCGAATATCAATAGCCTGTCCGCCAATGCGCAGAGCTGGAAATCGCTCCACGACAGTGACCCTAGCGCCGGCTTTAGCTAGCCAGTAGGCGGTTGCTGGGCCTGCAATGGAAGCTCCCGAAACAAGGACTTTTAATCCCGACATTTGGCTAAGATTGAAAGAATGAGTTGATGGATAAGTGGTGTAATGATAAAGATACATAAATAATTCCACTTCTTGGCAGTGGCGATATAAGCGGTTTATATAGTAAAACCTCTTTCTCAGGTATAACTATTCCCGGACAAAGGAAATTAATAGCGGACAACGGACTATATGAATAGTCCTTTTTTGTCCTATTTGACACAGCTCTTATCACTTCGTAAGCATTAGCACTATTTGGATCGAGGTACGTTATTCTAGCGTTGAAAATCGGTTAGCACGGCGTCACTGCGTCATAGACTGCCGGACTGTAGAACAGAGCCTGGATTGCAAGGGAACACAGCAACGGAATCATTCTCACAACAAGATACGTCTTGATCATTTTCAAAACAGGGCATATCAGTCACAGTTAACTCAAGCGAAGTAGCTTACCATTCCCTGTGAGTTATAATTGTCTAACATCATATGCTGCACAACTAGGAGAAGCCTCCTCTCTGAGCGATGATGGATTGTTTGCTCGAAGATGTCCTCTTCTAACCAGGTATTTTTGGCTAGCTCCTGTTACGCCATTAGCATTGAGTTTCCAAGCACCAACTCATATACTTCAGAGCAACTGCCCCCCAAGTGGTGGAAAGCTTTTGGCTACCACACCAAGCTTACAATGTTAGTGTACTTGATCCATGATGCTCTATTAGGCTGTTCTTTAGCTGTTCGAGAAATTGAGAACATGTAACATAGTTCTTCCACAGTTCCGGCAGAATACTGCCATGCTTGCATGGTCAGAATACATTGCGGAGCATATATGAGTAGCAAAAATTGTGTTTGGACCTGTTTCACGGCTTTGTATGATATGTGATCCAACAGAGGCTGCACTAGTGGGGAAATTCACCGGCGTTGGGTGAAATCCCCGGTCGGAGGACCGGTCTTTTCGGTGGAGAACGGGCGGGCTCGCTCCGATATTGCCACTGCAAAACACCGATAAGCAACGCAAAGGCCGCAGTCAATAATATTATATATATTTAAATAGTCTCATACAGACCATTCAGAGTCTTCCTAGTATTATTCATCTAGTATCGCCTCTTAACTATCTCTATTATCCAATTACAATGGCCACACCCGCAATGCCTTTGGAGACCAAGTCTTCCTCCCCAGTCGATGTACCGGTCTTATACAAGTCGATCAGCTCAAATGACTGCGAAGTCCATGGGATTACCCAGACCCCTCACCTCGACAAACTTCTTCAGAACCGTCCGAAAGCTGAACTTCGAGACCTTGCCGATGTAGTCCAGGCCCTAAACGATGGGGATCAATGCGCCAAATGCGCCGTTCAAGCTGCAGTCACCATCATCACTGGATTTGTGCAAGAACTGTACACTGCTAAGAAATCTGGGAAATTGTCCAAGGAAGAAAAGAAAGCTCTCAAATTGGAAGTCAAGGGATTGGTGAAGGGGGTGAAAGGGGACATCAAGAGCCAGCGAAAGGAGCTTAGAGGTCGGCTATAGGCTGGAGGTGTATTCTTCTACATTGGATTCACAACTTTAATACAATCGCAAAGTTCAAACGAGGGTCAGCTTATTCAGAGCTCCTTATTTAGTCCAGTAAAAGTATAACCCGAGGAGGGTTAACTTTAACCATAAAAAGGTCTGGGCTAATACGGATCTTGTAAATAATACTCTAGCTAGTTATGATATATCTTACTCAAAACTATACGATCCTTTAACAGTCTTCCACTGATAATCCCATTCCACTTTTGGCCTTTTAGGAATCCTAGGGAGTCCAAACCAGAGCTCTTTCAGGACCAGATAGTAAAGCATTCTCTTCCACACTGGATGATAAGATAATGAATATCCCCCTAACTGTATCTATCACCAATATCAGAAGTAGAAGGAAACTTTTCACTTTTAATATCTTTAGTCACTTGTTGGACTACATATCGTGGAAACTTGGCTGGCAGCCTGTGCATAGTCAAAGCCACTCTCTTGTTTAAACAGGGCCGTAGTCTCGCCGGGCCGCAGCAAGACCCAGCTATTCTTGTCGAGTACAAATACTCTACTTGGTTGCAAATATGTTCACCTGCTGAGAAAACGAGTGAGAATCGGATACTGCACTAAATAGGATTTAATGTGATTGTGGAAATGTGATAAAAGACCGCAGAAAGGAGGCAGTTGCGCTCCTCACCAGAATAAATTCTGGTATCAGAAGAGAATGCATGCTGTAAAGTGTGTTCTTAAAAGTGGTTAGGTGGATATTCGGTGTTTTACTACGGAGTACCTAGGTATGGACCATAAATTAATTCAATCTCACGTCAGCCGCCCCTTCCATCGTCTTGATCCTAAGTATCCACTCACCACGGAATCTATATATACCTCACGATTGCGCAAACGTGTCCAGATTGTATATTATTTCTATTTTCCCTTCGATTTTGTTCGTTAGAACTTAGTTTTTCAAAAACCATTAGTCCGATATGGGTTCTGCAACGTACGACTATATCATCGTTGGAGGTGGCCTTTCGGGCTGCGTCCTCTCAAGCCGCATTCAACAGTACGATAACACAGCAAAGATTATACTCATAGAAGCTGGGGAGGATACACGAGACCGGCCAGATGTACAAAACATGCAGGTTATGAACCTAGGCGGTGATTTGGACTGGCAGTACGAATCCGAACCTGTTGCTGCACTCTCTGATCGCCGCATTACTCTCAACTCCGGCAAAGGCCTGGGCGGTAGCTCATCAATCAACTCTGGTGGGTAACTACACATTCCAGTGAGCCAGGAACTAAACCACTAATACTCTCATTGCTGATAGGCGGATGGACTCGTGGCTCTGCAGCAGACTATGACGAGTGGGCATCGTTGGTAGACGATGACCGCTATAGTTACAAAGGCCAGTTGCCCTGGTTCAAGAAGTCGGAGCATTGGTTTGATGATAAGAATCCCCAGCAGCACGGCCAAAACGGGCCAATTCATGTCACCTGTGCAAAAGCGACGAACCGCCTCTTCCCACTTGCCGAGCAAGCTGCTGCTGGATGGGAAGAGCTCGGTGTCCGCACACTCCCGAATGGCGATCAAAACACTGGGGATAACCTCGGACGTGCTTACATATGCGAGGCCAGATCTGATGGGAAGCGTCAGTGGTCTGCTGACCAGTACCCGCTAGGTACAGTTGAAGTTCGATTTGAGACCTTTGTCAACAAAGTCATTTTGCAAAAGCTTGACGGAAAGCTCAAGGCAACTGGGGTTGAATTAGCTGATGGAAGCACAATTGATGGAGAGAACATCATTCTTTCCGCTGGAGCGCTCCGATCCCCTCAACTCCTTCAGCTATCTGGCATTGGTCGTAGCTCCGATCTACAACAGTATGGAATCGAGTCGCTTGTCGATCTTCAAGATGTAGGCCAAAACCTGTCTGACCACATGCTGTTTTTCCAGCATTGGCGTCTGCAGGATCCTTCGGCCGGCCACACAATTGGATCAGCCAATCCCCTTTTCACACAACCGCAGTACTCGCAGGGAGTGCCATACGACTGGATTGTTACCACCAGTGTTTCAAGCGAGGGTCTGGCCAAGGCCATCGAGAAGGATGAAGGCACAGTGCCTGATGATTCCACGCACCCTCTTCTTGGCAAGAAGCGCACATTCCTTGAGAACATCGTCCTCTTTGCCAAACTTCCATTCCCAGGTGTACCCGCGGATGCTGAACACATCACGAGCGCGGTAGTGAGTCTATTACCTACATCGAAGGGATCTGTGTCATTGAGCTCAGGAAAACCTGATCAAAATCCCAAGGGTAAGCATGGTTGCCTTATTTACATGAATCGTTGCTAATGTCTTTCCAGTGAACCTTAACTATCTCGAAACCGAGGTTGATAAACATGTCTTTCGTGAAGGCTTGCGTCAGCTGACAAAGTTCATGCTCCAATCCAAGTTCAGTGAGAATATTGTTGGCGAATCAGTACCAGAAGGCCTTCCTGCGGAAGCTCTCACATTGGACGATACTGACGAAAAGCTGGACCAAAGACTGGCTATGACAAGCGGAACTACATGGCACCCTTCTGGAACTTGTTCCATGGGTAAGGTGGTGGATACAGAGTTTCGTGTAAAGGGAGTCGAAGGTCTCCGAGTTGTCGATGCGTCGGTTATCCCTGTGCCATTGAGTGCGCATATTCAAGCACCTCTTTATGCACTTTCCGAGCAGGCTGCGGCTATAATCACGGGAAAAGCCTAAACTTGTAAGAGATGTATCAGGATAGGAAATAAAGTCGTGGTTCTGGGATTACAATGTGGAAAATATTAAATCCGCGCTTTTGAAGTGAAGTTGAGGTGCTGCCGATCATTCCCACCCTCAAGGCTATTAACTCATTTACTCCATGTTTTGGAACACTTTCGTTGGCAACTATCGGCTAAAATAGCTGCTGATCCAACGACCTGCATGACAAGAGAGGAGTGAATTGGTGGGATTTAACCAGCCCACACCACCGTTTTGCCGTGCCACAGTAGACAATACAAGGTTGAATTTTACCAGGGCTTTTGATGACGAAACCGCAGATGCTCGGTACAATGTTATCCGGCATTGTTTACCGATCGGCTCTCTTTACCCCGGATTTCAGGCAAGCTTGCTATACTAGGATTCCCCGCGATTTGTGTTAAGAGGTGTAACAATTCTTGTAATTTAAGACATTGAAACTCCGAACTCTTTACAGAAGACTTGGAATACCTTTGGCTACGATGATGTGGCAAACACTGTGTTGGGTTTTATTACCCAGCCTTGCTTTTGGAGCCATCGACAGGTAAGAAGCAGTCATGAAATATGCAAGCTAAGCTGACATGAAAGAAAACGTATCGTGTCGGAGCACAACATTGTCCGTACGAAGCTTATCAACAATGAGACAACACCTCTTCAGGTTGGAAATGGCAACTTCGCCTTTAGTGTTGATACAACTGGCATGCAGACATATCTCCCTTTTAACACGATGTCACGTTGGGCATGGCACAATGACACTGAGCCAGAGGGAGAGTAGGCTAAAACAGCTATTAGGGAAATGGTACATACTGACACCTATTAGACTGATTGATGCATATACCGGCGTACCTAAGGAGACACATGGAAGGAATGTGTCATATGACATTCCTGATCCCAACCTTCCAGAGGTTTCTCAATGGCTTATCGGCAATCCAAACCGCATCAACCTTGGCCGCATTGGACTGGGATACAATGGCGATACCCTCAATGCCAGTATGATTTCCGAGACGCACCAGAAATTGGGTCTGTGGGATGGAGTCATCACATCAACCTTCAAGATTAATGGTGTCAAGGTCAAGGTTATAACACAGGGTGATTTCGAGGCCGATGCAGTCACGTTCAACATCGAGTCGAAACTTATTAAAACGGGGAACCTCACGGTTGAATTCGACTTTCCTTATCCACCTCTTCATACGACCAAGTACAAGAACGAGGTTTTCGTTGGTGTTTATGACTTCCCCTCCAACCACACAACAGAAGCCTCATCTGGAGTACGAAAGAACATAGCACACATCTACCATAACCTCGGAACTAAGTACTATGTTAATATTTGCTGGCCAGAACAACAGCCACTGCAACTTAAGAGACTTCAGCTGCTAGGGTCTACACAGCGCACAGCCCATAGATATATACTCTCTTCCGCTGTTGGTAAAACAATGTCCTTTACCGCCGACTTCTCTCCCAGCAAGAAACTCCCCGACCTTCCGTCGTCAAGTAAGAAGCGCAACTCCGCTGGGTGGCGTGATTATTGGCAAAATGGTGGTTTCGTGGACTTGACCGAGTCAACGAATCCGAACGCTACTGAGTTGCAACGCCGGATCATCACCTCCCAGTATCATGTCAGAGTGAACAGCGCCGCCGAAGGCGAGTCGCCGCAGGAGAGCGGGCTTATGAATAACGGCTGGTATGGTAAGTGGAGTGTTGTGGCATTTGTGATACGAGGACTTACTAACTACTAGTAAGGGAAATTCCACATGGAAATGGTTGTATGGCACAATGCACATTGGGTCTCTTGGGGTCGTGATCAGTATTTCCACAACATCTTCCCTGCTCTTTATGAGAAGCTTTTACCAACTTCCCTTGCCAGAGCGAAGCAAATGGGATGGGAAGGAGCTCGTTGGCCGAAAATGACGGAAACGATAACTGGTCGGAGTTCACCTGGCGGTATCAATGCGTACCTCATGTGGCAACAACCGCATCCTATGTACATGGCGATGCTTGCTTACAAGAGCAAACCAACGAGGAGCACGCTTCGGCGGTGGAACCCAATTCTTGAGGCTACCGCTGATTATATGGCATCTTATGCATGGTTAAATGAAACCTCGGGCAAAAACGATCTCGGGCCCCCGTAAGCGAACCAAGAACAGCGCTCGTCATGGTGAATTACATGCTGATTCAAAGACAGGGCAATTGGCGTCACGGAGAACACGCCGCCAGATCTTACTCTCAATCTCGCTTACGACATTGCATATTGGAGATATGGACTTGATGTTGCTCGTGACTGGAAGAAGAAGTTCGGCCTTCCTGTGCCCAAGCAATGGACCACTGTTGCAAAGAACCTGGCTACGCCCCCGCAGATCAACGGACTCTACACAGTTTATGACGGGCTCAATGCGACCTGGTGGGATGATCCAGCGCTCAATCGAGACCCACGAAGCCTGATAATGCTACAAGGAATCTTACCAGGCACGCCGGCAGTAAACAAAGAGGTCGCTCGCCGAACGGCGGATAAGGTATGGGAGGTTTGGACTGACCAAAACATTCGCGGATGGGGACGGCCCGTGCTTGCAATTAACTCTGCCCGGATTGGTAACCCAGAGCGCGCGATCTATCATTTGACGGCTTATGATTACTGGAAATTTGATGATGCAGGTAAGCAAAAATCCTCAATTTAAGCGATGCAGCCACAGCAGAAAACTGATGAGTTGAGATACAGGATTTGCAATTCGCGGAGGTGATGGAAATACACCACCTCCATTTATGCCAGGCAATGCGGGCTTACTGTTGGCTGGTAAGATGCCTTCAAGGCGGATGATGAGACGTTGACTGACGCTGCAAATAGTTGCATACATGGCTGAAGGCTGGGACGGCTCTAAAGGTAGCACGCCGGGATTCCCTAAGAATGATGGATGGATAGTTAATCACGAAGGGCTTCGTAAAGCACTTTGAAGTGATACCTCGTGTGTGAGAACTCGCCATAGGAATTTACAGTAGCATACCCCACGACTGAATTCAAGCCCCGTTTCATAGAAAATACAAAACATTAAAGCAAGCATGCATTTACTGAATGAATGTATAAAAGGATGCATATCAAATACCTTACTAATATATATAGTCTCCATTAATCGGAATAGACACAAACAAGTACTAGTTAATGCAATGTAATAAATGCATGATCAGTTTCGATCCAGAAAGCCAACAGTGTTCCCACATTCTTGGACTTACGAACCAGTAGACACAGGGTGCGATGTGGATAAACTGTTATGTATCGTGTAGCCAGTAATTTTGTTTAAGGGAGGGTGTAAGCTGAGTCAGACTCACCCACACCTTTCTCTGACAGGATTTCAATCCTTACACGCTCACACAACACGTAGTACAGTATAGCTTTGCTGACATCCTGTTAACTTCCGATTTGTTACTAATTCTGCAGATCCTTTGCGCTCGCACTCCCATAGTCCGAGATTAAGGTGTGATAAGCTTTGGTTCCAAGCTAGAGGGAATATTAGCTAAGTGGGATATATAAAACAGGACGCAAAATTGGCCGCTTTAACCGGGATCTGATTTATATAATCTTACCCGACGTTCATCGATTAGAGTAACACCTTGGTTCTAAACGGGCGTTTGCAAAATTCCACGACTGTTAACTACAGCTTGTTTTCAAATTCACATTAACAGTACACCATGATGCGCCTCCCTGAAATGGATCCATCCGGCTTCAAGGTGAAGCTGGCTGAATATGCTGTAATATTTTACATCACCTACAAAGTATTTACCTATATCCAAAGACTGTACTTTCACCCTCTGTCGAAGTTTCCTGGGCCGAAGATCGCCGCAGCCTCAAAGCTGTATGAATTTTACTGGGACTCTTATCAGCACGGGCGTCTGTGGGCGAAGCTACCAGAACTTCATAGACACTATGGTGAGTAACTTACCCTGGTTACTTTTCTCTTACTCAAAGTTATGCAGGACAGATAATCCGTATCGGACCCAATGAGATTCACATCGAAGATTCTCAGTATTTCGATACGATCTTTGGATTTCGCCCTCTGAACAAGGAGGCCTTGACTGCCAAGGAATTCGGCATCAACCATGCTCTTTTTGGCGTTGAAGATTACAAGACATACACCAAGAAACGGGCAGCATTCGGGGATGCTTTCTCGCGGTCCAAACTGTTCAAAATTCAAGATCAGATCAACAATGACATCGAGAATGGATGTGCATGGGTTGAGGAGCAAAGTAAAAATGGGGGACCTGTTGACCTGGCGTACGTTTTCCCCGTTGTATGGATTGTGATTATTGCTAACCTCAAAAGATTCTTGTTCCGGGCTGTGCCAGCGGAGATAATTACCAGATATCTGTTTGGGCAAGAGTATGGCTTTCTCAAAGACGTGCAGACAACCAAGAATTTATACGACAAGAGGTTAGATCGTTTGTTTGGACTCGCGCATCTAGGTCGATTCATCCCCAAAGATATACCACTATTTGCATCGCTTTTCCGCCAGCTTGGAATGAGGGCATTAGGCTTGAATGATCCTGGCTCCGCATTTTTGGACTACTTTATGGCAAGTATTGCATCTAAAGGCTACCCGGCAATAACTAACGAAAAATCCAGCTGGCGCAAAAGCTGGTACAAAAGGTTGTGACTCAACATAATGACCCAAACTCCAACATCAAAGGTTCAAATCAGCATACGGTCTTCGATGACTTTCTAGACAGCTCATTGCCCCAATCAGAGAAGGAAAAAGGACCTCTTACTCAACAGGCGGTGGCTATCTGGAGTGGCGGCTGGGACACTGTTGGCTTTGCGTTGACCATGGGAACCTACCAGCTGCTTCAAAACCCTGAGATCATGGAGCGACTCTACAATGAACTGAAAGAAGCGTGGAGGGACCCGAATGAAGCACCGGATATTGCAGTTCTGGACAAGCTACCATATCTCACGGCCGTGCTGAAAGAGACCTTCCGCCATTCGCCTGGAGCGCTTTGCCGTATAAGCCGCGTCAATCCACGACAGCCTGAACAATATGGCGATTGGGAGATTCCACCTGGTACTATAATCAGCATGTCCATCCCCGATGTTCTTTCAGACCAGAGCATATGGGGTTCTGATGCAGCCGTCTTCAGGCCTGAGCGGTGGCTCGATCGCACAGATCTGGATCGATACCTGGTAACATTTAGCAAAGGGACACGAATCTGTCCCGGCATTGAGCTGGCATGGATCGAGATACGACTGATAATTGCCAGTCTTTTTAGAAAATACCATATGAGTATTGCGCCGGAAGCAGGCATCACTGATGATGATATCCTACCGTTCTACGATGGTTTTACTCCTGCAGTCAAAAACTGGATCTCACGTCTTCCAGTAACGGTCAAGCCTAGAGACTAAGTTTCAAGACCAAGTGCTACTGAACCAGCAGGTCTCCTGCCCAGAGTCAAAGGTAAATAGTACCAGAGGGACTGTCTTTTATTTGTTTCTGGGGCGCAATAGCTAGTTCTGCATTATAATCGAAAATAAATATTCGGTAATTATGTGCAGTCGAGACTGCTTTCATCAACTTGACCTTGATTAAGCTCAGGCTTCGTGCGTCACGCATGATAGCGCTAAACCCTACAATGCTTAATCCGTCCAACAATCTTACTTCTTCCAGTACAGCGTGCGAAAGTCTCCACCCCTCACCTAGATTCTGCCACTCAGAGCTATCACGGTGCCGTGTAGCCGCTTATTAGGGCTGGTAGTGCCCCTCCGCTAGTTATGCAGATCTGAGAGCGGAGTTAAAATGGACTTGATTCTCCTCGATAACTTTGACATCATCTTCAACATTAACTTCTCAGCCATCATGTCGAACAGAGGACGTGGTCGAGGTTCTTTATTCCAACGTGGCAGAGGCGGGGGCCTGCTAGGCTCAGCAGTCCGAAGCGTGGCTGGCGGCATTGGTCTCGTATCAGAGAGCGTCAGTGCCTACAAAGACAAAAAGAGCTCTGAGAAAGGTACAGCCTCGTCAGAGCCAGGCCCAAGCCAGCAGCCTCAAAAAAGCGAGGTCGCTGCCAGTGACAAAACACCACCTGACCAGCATCTGCAGCCCAGCCCTAAAGATGATTTGACGGAGAGGCAGTGGGAGCTCGATGAAACGCAATCTGAGCTGCTATCGAATCCTGAGGGTGATTCCACCTCATCGAAACGGGTACAGGATATACCAGATCTTGTCAGCGCGTTTCTCAAAGCTCATGGCTCGACAACTACCGCGACTTCCGATCAGCCCAGTTCCCGTTTGGAACTTCCCGTGATTCTTGCGCAGCGGAGGCCAAAGGACCGAACTCGTGGATTTGTCCGTGGTTATGCCCCCATGCTCGAGACAGTTGGCATTGACCAGGCGGCTTGGCTTGATTTCCTCGACAAATTCGATCAGTCCACCACATCGTCGTCGTGGATCCAAGTCATCAATTTTGCGGAAATAGGTGGCTTCTTTATACCAATTGCGCCCAGTATCGCTATAAGTGCAGCGGTATATATGACTATTGAGGTCGGCAAGGATATGCATAGCAGACAGAGGTATTGTCTCTTGCTACAGTCGGTTTTCTTTATGCTGATTACAACCTAGGTCGAACAAGTTCTTGTCTGAGATGAATGAGCAGTATTTCTATCCAAAGGGCTTGTGTTGCCTTCTTATGACTTGGCGAGAGGACACCGGAAAGCCTCAGGAGATTGTTGATGTAACATCGACTGTTGCTTCTTCGATGGGATCATACGACTCTGGGATAACTAACAAGTTCAAGAATTCTCATGGCAAGACCTACGGCGACTTTGCTCTTCCGGAGTCTGCACCTCTTATCTTCCCCACATTGGATGTTCTTGCTGCAGCCGATAATGAAGAGTCTGTAGGGTTCAAGCAGAGCTTGGGCAATAAGAAATCATACATTCAGGAATACTATGATAGGAGATCGCAGGCTCAGTTTGTGAGTCCATAGAGACGAGAGCTTGTAATACTGTCGACTGACCTAAACCATAGGCTCAAAACAGACCAGATAATCTCCTGGCTAACCAGCAAGAAGCGCCACAGTTTACGTCCAGATACGCTGACCCAAGCCATCCTTCCAACAACGGGTCTGTGATTTCGCTCATAACTGGAGGATACATCAACCCCAATCGACTTCGCCAAGGCGCGAATGGGCCAGCTTCAAAGCAAGAACAGGGTGGTAGACCAAACAAGCCAGGGCTTCCCCTGCCCTTCAAGCCAGTTCATGCGACAAAGAAATTTCTTTTCAATAAGGTAAAGACACAAATTGGATCAACTATGCTCAGTTCCCATGTGCTAACATGACGAAGGACGTTCTGTACCTCATGGTGGTCAACCTGCCAACAGAGGAAGAGCTCAACGAGGCAAAGGCTGCTTTGGCACAGAGATAGAATAGGATTCTCGGAGAACCGAACGAGCTTTGCAGTAGGTGTTAATACTCTGTCTATTAACGATATCACGCTCCTGTATATGGATGGCTTGATCGTTGGTGGTCTATGGTGCCCTTGGGTGTTATTAAACCTTTGTTTATAGAGCTTCACTCCTGATTTAATTGCAAATTATCATTTAATGTAACGAAGAGTCATTGTAGCGAAAATTAATAAGGGTTTCAAATACAATCCTTTTGGCTAGGATGTACATAGCATCTAGGCATTGCTCCTATAGGGCCGGTAGCTATCGCTCTCCTCAACTTTAAGGCTTAACAGGTTTCAAGTGCGACTGCGCCAGGTTAGTGAAGAAGCTTGCTCCGAGAACCTTGCTGGGTGTAGCAGGATCTGTTGCGTTGCAGAGTTTTGCAAAGTTTCCATTCTTCCTGAGTCTCTCCTTGAGAAACTGGTGGTACTTGGGAAGTGAGCACGACTTGCCAGGACCATCCTTACAAGATGGTACAGGAAATACAACGTCGTTGATAAGGATTCGGACAAACTGCTTCGAAGGCTGCCCCTTCTTCGCACCACAGTTCAGGCGCTCGAAGGCAATGCTGCCTCGCATAGGAGAGATATTGGAGCTGCGCCACAGTCGATCTTTGGGAATGCGGTCCAGGGGTAGGGGCTTCTCCTTGTCGAAAACCCCAGTAGCGGCAGCCAGCTCGTTCAGTTGACCGTCGTTAAGGAAACTCATGAGGAGCTTTGGAAGCTTGAATGTCTTTCCGTCAAAGTCGGTGCCCGTCGCCTCTGGACCAGCGACAAATCGTTGGACCAGAGATTCAAGAAAGGGTACCATCATCTTCGAAGCAACATTGGCACCAGGGCCGACACCGTAGTAGTATCGCAAATCTTGCTGGTACTCGTACTGCTCCAGTTCTTTCTGAGTGAAGGTTTCGCAGAAGGGTGAGAGTCGGCCGGTGATTTGTGACTCTAATCCACAAATATAGGGGAAATCGTTCCACTGCGAGTCCTCGAGGTCAAGGTCTCCATTGACATACTTAGAAAGACGGTCAATAAAAGCGGGTAGCCATCGTGCACGCCAGGCATCTGTTTGCTTGCTACTGTCATCAACGAACGTTGGGCACATGTCGGACGGGGCAAGAGTGTCGCCTAGATGCGCGGGCATTCCTTTGCCCGTAACAGACACTACCGTGCCTAGTGAAGAGTTGGTGCCCAAGAAACCATGGAGGAAAAGCTGCGCAGTTTGAAGGACTCGTGTGTAGTTATTGGCCCAAACAACGAAGTTTTCGCCCTCGTTATAGAGATCTGGGTACCTAATGAAGTTAGCTTAACATTCAATTGCGCATCCGAGGTCTCCATACCGGGTTCTCATGGTGTATCCCATATCGAACAACTCTTTGTAGCCTGTCTTGCTGAGTTGCGCGATCTGGATGTTTGGGTTGCTGAGTGGGGTATCCCATGTGCGGATGAAAGAGAGAGACCCAGTGGCGGTATATTTGGACTCTTTGAACTACAGGAGTTGAGATGTCAGTTTCATTGCATCTCTCAGCAGGTAATGTGCTCTTTCTTACTCGACGGGCCATATCAACCCAGCCATTGTGAGCACCAGCATCAGGGTACCGCGACCCATGACGAGAGACGTAGGCAGCTTGGTCGACATGGCATCCTTCTGGAATATCTGAAGAGATACCAGTGATTGGTTCGCCTGGAATTGTCAGAAGTTGCAACCATAATTGACCTTTTTTAATTCTTACCGATATGCCATGGACCGTTACCACCAAGATGCGTCAAAGGACTTTTTGCAGACGTAGTATCAGGGAGCAGAATAGCTTGGACAGGGTCGAGCGAGCTGCCTGATTTGGCAGTGATTGCAACACCGCATGTGCAGAAAACCGCTACTGCAAAAGTTGGCACCCTCATCATGTGCTGTTTAACGCGAAGCTGAATGGTTGGAAACAAGACTGAGACCTTTGGGGATTCGCAGCTTGAAGTACTTTGAGAGGAGCTACACTTAAATAGACTACTTCTACCGTTGATTCTCTCGGAAATGAATTTACCTGTTTTGTAAACGCCTAGGTTCATTAATTGGCTTTTTCTCTACTGAGTTCCACCAGATCGGATTCTGGGTGCTGTGCCACAGGTCAAGAACATTTAACAGGGATTGCAAAACCACGTGCGAATTTGATGACGAGTTATTCGGCAGTCTTGGATTTCGATCAACGGTACGGTCGGTAGTGCATTGGTGGAAATAGACCTTCGGTAAACGCGGGGGATTTGCCGTAATTGGTGTTGTTTTGATAGCTGACTTGATCCAGTAAAACGTCTCAATACATCTGCGTGCATCTACAACCAATATTTATACCTCCGTCATTGACATAATTCTTGGCTCTTAGGATTAAAAGAGAAGGTATATGGCCATATGCATATCGGACGTCGTATCTATTCAGGGACCGAGCCGTGTTATCCCGTCACCAGGTCCGGCTTTCAAGCCATGATAGGAAGCCATTATGCTGATCACGATGCTACTATGGCGCTTGGTCCAACGGCCTTGAGCATCAAATACTCGCCTTTATGCCGCTTAAACCAAGAGTGAAGGATCTCATCACGACAACAAACCTCTCCCCTCTGTTCTCAACTCAAGCCAAGATGTCGATCCGCTCAATCTCCAGCAACCTTCTTTTCGCCGCCCTCTCTTTGAGTGGCCTTTCTGCTGGCCAAACAACCGGAAAATTCAGCTTCCTTACCTACAATGTGGCAGGTCTACCAGCCATCATTAACAACAACGAGGTCCCGGGCGACAAGGCTACCAACGCAAACTTGATCGGCACCGTTCTGGCTACCCAGGCTTATGATGTCGTTCATCTCCAGGAAGATTTCAACTTTCACGCGTACATATACGCGACCGACAATCATCCCAACCGTACACCAACATCTGGCGGTGTACCATTTGGAGATGGCCTGAACACCGTGGCCAACTATCCCTGGACTGGCCTCACCCGCAAGAAGTGGAACAAGTGCAACTTGAACTCAGGCGATTGCTTGACACCTAAAGGCTTTAGCTTCATGCGCATCAACATCCAAGGAGCTGAAGTTGATCTTTACAATCTGCATGGCGATGCCGGGTAAGTGAGGCTGTCGATGAAGACCTACTATCATACTGACTTAGTTCTGAATCAAGCTCTGACAAAGGGGACCTTGATGCTCGATCAGCCGGCATCGATCAAATCCTTGATTACGTCAAGTCCAACTCAAAGGATCGAGCTGTCATCGTGGCAGGCGATACAAACGACAGGTGGACCAACGCAGGCCGAAGCATCGACAAGCTGACCGGAGCTGGCTTCAAGGATGCTTGGGTCCAGCTGATCAACGGGGGTACGTTTCCCGTAGCTGGTGCAACCGCGAACCCCTGCAAGGTGCCAGCGGCGGACAACAAATGTGAAATTGTCGATAAGGTCTTGTAAGTCAATGAAACTACCGTCAGCTAGTCTGAATTGTACTAATTAAGAATGTAGTTATCGATCCGGAGCTTCAGTTACACTGACTGCCAACACATTTAAGTACGTGCCAGAGGTGTTTGTCCAGCCTGATGGAAATATTCTATCAGACCACAACCCTGTCTTGGTTAACTTCTCGTGGAGTAAGACCAGCTAGATTAGTACGTGCAAATGCAGTAAAGGAGAAAGGAGACAGGTATTTTACTATTAGTGGTTGTAGTTGAAATACGCTTATGGGTATGATTGATCAGTATGAGGAATGACAGAAATCTTCTTAGATATATAGTATTTTTCGGTACATAACTTACTGCCTTTTATATTGATATACATTGCCTCGAAATGTTTCGGAGACATGAATAAGTATTCTCATGTAGTTTTACCTTTCTTCAAAGACTTACAGCTTAGAGGAAGTAAATGATATCTAGGAGTATAAATATAGAGATCTGATGAGATGGGAGGATGGCTTTTAGAACCAGTCCCATAAGGGGGAGGCCCTATATATAAATATTCAGAGGACAAGGTACAGGCACTTACACAAATAGGAAGTGTACGGATACGACAGCCTTATCGCTTGCCCCTATTAACTATACCTCTCGAAAAGTGACAGAAGGATTTGAATCCCTGTGTTACAGAGTGCTAAGCTTTCGATTATTGGCTTTGTTTAAAGCAAAGTGGGTTTCGTCTTACTCCTTCAATCTCGCTAACCAAAACTCGCGCTTATTTCTGACATCTATTTGCCCATAGGGCTGATAAGACTTTTCTATCGCCTTCATTCCCAAAGAAACTTCTTAGCTCTCTTTTACCCTTAGGCCTCTTCATACCTACTTTGCAGTGATCATGGTTGTGATCATCCATCCTTTACTCTATCAGAGTCAAGACATCGCTGTGGCCGATTGGTTCACCCTTTTCACCCTATGTCTTGCTCCTCTGATTGCGCATGTCCTGATTGGCGCACCTTCACCGACATATTTGTCCCTCAGTCGTCCAGCTTGGCATGACCGCATCTGCCACTACAATCCCACTTCCATTCTTTGGCGGTACGCTTTGGTCGCCGATCGGCGGATTCGGGCACGAAACTGGGACAAGTTTGACTTTGCCGCTACGAACGCCTTATTCTGGACTGACCATGGTTGGGACGGGACTGAAGATATTATCAAGTACAGCCGACCGCGCTGCGTCCAGCTACCGGATAGCAATATGGTTACACTGCTGTCCAGAGACACAATCAAGACGCTCATTATTACTATCCAAGGGCTACAGGCGATTATCCTACTTCTAGGTAGCCAGCTTGACCCAACTGCCCCCAGATTCACAATATTCATGGCTGTCGACATTATATTCTTTCCCATGGCACTCTTTGGTCTGTTGAGACTTTGCAGCTGTCTTTGGCTTACCGATGAGTTTGCATTTGCTTCTGTTGAAGATATTCCAGCAGGCACTTCACCGGGTATGGGCTGCAGTACCACATCGTTCGAGCTCTTAGCTGGTAACCCTTCGATCCCTGAACCACAACGATTCCGCCATCCAAAGACTTGGGCAAGTGCAGCATTTCGACTTGCCTACATCTTGGTACTGCTTGCTTTATTATGCCTAGCACTATCGTTCATAGTGCCTCAGAGCTCGGCCTATGTGATTGTTTATACAATGACTACCTTTGTAGTCGTTTTGTTCTTCATCACAATCCTTGGCTTCTCTGTTATTATCTTCATATGTTTCATGGGTTTCAAGAGAAACACCTCTACCGTTATACCCTGCATATCCTCTATATGGTACAAGCTCTACACTGTCGCTCTAACTTGCTTTGGAATTGCTGTGGTTGTAATTGCTTGTATAGAGACCCGAAAGACTCCGTGTGGAAAATTCACTAGTGGCAGTGTAGTTTCCGGAGACGTCTTAGCATGTATGAGCACAGGATTCGACAAAACCGAGACGAGACAAACCGTCGATGGTCCTTACAACGGGACTACGCTTTACCGCTTCTCGCATGTTAATAATGCTAGCTTTGTGGTGGCCCGATACGAGGACGACCAGCAAAATACCTTCAATATTACTAGAATGTGTTTTAGTAATATCTGGGGTATTTAATCTGGGAACGTCAGAGGATTGCCATGCCATAGGCTTATGGGAGTTGTTTGTTCAGTCAGCGTACCCATCTTGAGCAACAACAACGATCACTTCGTGGATATCACATTCCTAGCATAATCTCTCTCTGGTGTCCAGAGGAGCTTAAGAAACTGGTGATTTTCCATGAAGGGAAGGGTGAAAAGGTTATCAGGCCAGCTTCCGTAATACCCCGACAATCCGAAAATAATACACGTTTATAATTTCCCATACAATGTCATGTACAGTACTAAAATACATCTTTGATGCTGATAAGAAAGAGGATCAAGACAATTACTCACTATTTCAGCACATGCTGTTATGTTCGAATCGTTTCACAGCCAGCAAGCCATCCCGATAACGTATGATTCGCCTGGTAGTTTCTGCAGGGTTACAACAACAACAACAAGGGTCGATTGGTCTGAGGCACCTCCACTCATGCATGTTGCTTGTCAAACGGTTAACCGTTGGACAGTGCTATGTGAGAGAAGAGAAAACAACGCGTGTTGACCCTGCTCACGTCAAGCGAGTACGACGTGAGGTATTTAAACCCCAGACTATGCGCGAAGGGTTTTGACAGCGAGTTCCCGTCCTTCCCGACATCTACCAAAACTCACAAAATCTGACACTATGACGACCATTGAGGCGCACCCTGTCGTTGATGCTGACGATAATGTTAGTATCAATCGTTACATGCAATTGCATAAGCTGATGATTAATCGTAGAACTCAGATGCAGACTCTTCTCTTGGGACAGTAAGAAATAAAAACAGCTCTATTCCTCGTAACTATCTTGTGAACTAAGCATGTGACAATAGGATAATGCTTCGTCAACTGATAGCTTGAGAAGCTCCATTCTCGATTATCGTCAAGAAAACGGCAGAACATATCACGCCTTCAGGGACGGGAGTACGTCAGGATCCCATGTCCTTGCAAGGTTCCTGTAAACTGACCTGTGACCGCGTCGATACAGAATACAACTTGCCGAACGATGCCGAAGAGAACGAACGGCTAGGTAAACCGCCTCAGTTCCCAACTGCCTGTCAATCAGCACTGACAGATTAGATCTGCAACATAACATGATGCTTTTCACGCTCAATAACAAGCTTGGATTAGCACCCCCGCACCAAGCCGACTCGAAGGTCAAGCGTGTTCTAGATGTGGGCACCGGTACGGGCATCTGGGCCATTGACTTCGGCGACGAACATCCTGATGCAACCGTGAGTTAGCGCGCCTGGCACATATCTGGTATAGATGCTAACTACTACAGGTGATTGGTGTTGATCTTTCACCAATTCAGCCGAGCTTGTGGGTAACAACTGCGTTTATCTTGAACAGCCACTAACAGCACTCAGTGTGCCGCCCAATGTGCGGTTTGAAATCGATGATATTGATGAAGAGTGGACCTATAGTGAGCCATTCGACTTCATCCATAGCAGATTTATGAACTTCAGTATTCAGAACTGGAAGAACTATCTCACCAAGATTTACGAGTAAGCTCCTGCCTTGCCTTGCTCCGTGATATCGATGTTAACTATCCAGGAATGTTACTCCGGGTGGCTATGTTGAACTGCAGGATGTAGATGTTATTATGGGTAGTGATGATGGAACCCTGAAAGAAGACAGCACCATGTATAAATGGTGTAGGCTCCTCGACGAAGCTGCTGGAAAGTTCAATCGCTCATTCGAGAGGACTACTCGTTTCAAGGACCTCCTGAAAGAAGTCGGTTTCGTTGATATCGTTGAGACACGCTACAAATGGCCCACCAACCACTGGCCCAAGGACAAGAAGTACAAAGAACTCGGTCAGTGGAACAACGCCAATGCCAGCTCTGCGCTCGAAGCACTGACCATGGCTCCTTTTACAAGAGGTCATGGCTGGAGTCGAGAGGAAGTAGAACTGTTTCTAGTCGACTTGAGGAAGGACTGGAATAACCCCAAGATCCATGCTTACTGGCCTATGTGAGTTCTTTCGCTTTCTTTACAATACGAGTACTAACTTAGTTCTAGTTGTGTGGTTTATGCGAAGAAACCAGAAGCTTAATTATTAAGAAGAATGCAAAGGTCTTAGTCTGCAAGCAGTGATAGTTTAGTTAAATTTCACTCTACCAGCTGGGTTTATATTACAAATTTGATTCTTAATAACTGATGAGTAAACATTACGAAGTCTGTTAGAAGCTGCTGGAAATTCTTCTCTGACCGAGGTTCCCGTCCTATGAGGAAACTATACTCTTCCAATGATTTCTCAACCTCAGATGCCCGGTCTTGCAAATCGAGATATTGTATTTCGGCTGACATATCGTCTTCAGGCAGGTCGAGGTACACATAAGAACACGGCCACTGGGCAAACGTTTCAGGGCAGGGAGCGTTGGTTATGCCAAATCGGGGGTTGGTGACTGCTGGAGATGCTGTTGTGCAAGAGGCTGTGGTACGAGGGGCTACAGATCGTGAAAATCTCGAACCTTGACAACCTCTCGAGTCAGATTGATGATGGCTAGATGTATGGCTCATCATGTAATAAGAACGAAGATCAGATATTGGTGGAGAATCAAGACTGAGTATAGTTATTCGGGTAGGGATGTTTGATTGCCGTTGTACTAGTCTGCTAGTGGAGTTGGGTTGCATGTTGAAGAGGGAGTCGCATAAGTCAGCAAAGTTGACTGCTTGAATCCCGACTGCATCAAAATCGCATTTCGTTGCGTTCAAGAGTGAAAAGCCCCTGGTCGCGCGAATGTGGTCTCCTTGTTTCCGTGAAAGAACCATCGGTACGGCAAAAACACTCATGCGATATCCATCTCACTCTATCGAACGCTTTGTATTTCAGAATTAGCTTGTGGAGTTTGAATAAGAAATCAGGGAAGCCGACTTTCTCCTCCTGATGAAAATCGGAGCATCGTCCGTTACTCCCTCATGACTGGAGTCGAATACTCCGTGAAGTCCAAGCCAATATTTATCAGGCTTGTCGCTTTCGCCTTAGGTAAGTATGCTCGAGAGAGACATATCGAAGGCCTGGAGATATGGCCAGATGTGTTGAACAACGCCGGGGCTTGAATGATTCAGGGCATTTCCGTCTTGTACCGTGAGGCAAGGGCATGTGATGTTTCTTGACTCGATTGTAGTTGACAATATCTGCGTTTTCATTGTGTCGCGGCCGTGAAGATCAAGAAAATGAATCGAGTATTGGTTCATGTTGGATTTTGCCACGGGAGTTAGTGATTTACGGCAACATCATATCTCTCGGGGAGGGCTTGCGCTTGTGTAATGACCACTTCACGTTGAGTATGCCAGGCCTGATATGCTCACTAAAATCTGGGCAATAGAGTCGGCTTTCGTTTGATGAAGACCAAACCTGTACCCTCGAAGGGGAACAGCCGTGGCGGCTGAGCACGAGGTGGTGCTTACCTTCTCGTTGGGGGTAGTCTGTCGTTGATCATCTTCGGTGGAGGCAACACTCACTTCCTTTTCTCTAGCGCAAACCCTTACAGTTTCATTATGGACGTTCCATCGCCTCGTCGACCGGATGGCTTAACATCCGTACCCTGCAGATGAATTACATGTTTGATCAGCAACAAAACGCAAAGTGAGGAAGCTCATGGCCACGCACACCAGAAGTCATTGATCTTGATCTCTTACACACTCATGCTACTACTGGACTCCAACACAGACAAGGCTCAATATTGTGTCGCAAAGAAATTGCAATGAGCGCCGCGGTTCGATCTCTTGTAAGCTGGGGTTCTTCGAGGGGTGCTGGGAGGGCGAGAGTTACAAGGCGTGTGCGGTTGAGACGGCAGTTGGTGGGTGTTTTCAATCTGGCAACTGAGCGACGAGAGGCGAGAGGCATCACCAATCATGGCGAAAATGCTCAGAGTGTCCAGAATCTTTGATTCGCCTCCTCTCTTATGTAAGGTTTCGTGTTTCGTACGTGTGAAGGAGGTCCGCTGCTTCGATGTCATTCAGCTCACTCAACGTCCTTGGTGTAGAAAGAGATCTCAGTACAGTCGCTTGGTGGCTGAAGGAATCTATGGCTTGTAGTTGATCAGCGAGAAGTTACCGAGTCGTCGCGAAGTCATTTGGGGTCTCGAAGTCTCGCTTGCGTTGGCATGGTCGGATGAGAGCATTCTGTGAACGGTGAGGGCTGCGTTAATCATTGCGGTACACAGAATACCAGCACTCACCAATGGTAATTAATCGTTTAAGAGCTCTTCGACCTATCATAGTCGAATTTCCTTGAGTTAAGACAAAACATCAAGTAGTGGGGTCTCCTGTTGGAACTGACTTATCTGATGCCGCAGTTGAAAGCCTGGTTGCTGGACCAGAAACCGCTTGGCAAGGAATAGTGGTTGATACAGAAAGAAGAAAGGATACACAACTTTTCGTGACGGCGAAGGGTTGACCGAGTGACAACGGAGGATGATAAACAAGGGGGATGAAGCACAGAGCACAGCGAACAGTATGCAACTGGACCAGCCTGTTTTGTCAGTTGTGTGACACAACGATGAATCCCGTCGTAGACCGTTCAATTCGAGGGACCGTCTCATAAATTATGAATCCTGACGTCCAATATCGAGAGGAGTGACGTGGAAGGGAGCACGATGGAGCGGGAAACGTTTGGAGTCGGCCATCATTTGTGGAATTGGCGTATCGCACGTCTCGAGATACTTTCTCCATCTTATGGATCGTTCGCGGTTCAGAGGATGATAGTGCGCCTTCCATCATCGATCGAGTCTAAAACTTCAAATGTTGGTGAGTAGCTATGAGATATCAGTCCGTGGAAGCAGTTCATCAACACATGCACCTCGTTTGTTTGTGAGTTGACTCACGCAGTACAGCTCGAAAGGCGGCTTTGGGACCGAAATCTATCCTAAACGATCGAGTTCCTTTGATAGAGTAAGAAGGTCGGGAGACAGCTAATGGCGCCGATTAAGAAGAGACAATTGATCGGGGTCATCGACGCCCCAGCAGCTTCAGCTCGCTTTAAAGATGGTCCTTAGTGATCAAAGACTTCCAGTGAGCTATAGACTCATCATGTCTTTGCGTTCCCGGAGCAAAACGGTCCACCAACCGGTGTACGCCAGGGGTCAAAGCTGCAATTTGCGCATAAGGACCAGAGCCATCATGAGATCCAACGATCCGCCCGAATGCCCTCTGAGGGCTTCGATTCAAGAGGGTGTCCGTAGTGCTTTGGAAGGCGCAGCAATGGGTCACCAGGACGGCGGTAGTGACTGTTGAGATTGGAGGAGGTGGGTGAATGGGATACTCTGAGTATCGGTGAGCCGAGACATGGGCAACGGTTTTGGAAGCAGTGGCGAATCTTCGAACAAGCGCAGGATCGGAGCTGTAAAAGATGTTAGTATAGTGAGACAACATCAATTTCGGTCGCCGTCCTCTCTTGCCAACTGACATCTTCTCTATCCCGCCATCATTCTCACCCGTAGAAATCGCTTTATCTCAACAGAAACGAAATGTCAGACCAAAACATCTCTGAGCGACTAGACGGATAGCTTGCTGTAAGCCCCGTGTCGTCAAGCGGGCTGTGGCATGAGATCGATGAGAACGAAGCCGACGTTTGATCCAGGGTGACAGCGCAGCGGGAGAAGAGGCGTAAGGAAGAGAGACCTGCTTCTTTTTGGGGACACAGAATTTCCATGTTGCATATGGTATTCGGAGGGTCGAGGGCAAGAATCGGTTGGCAATTGTTGTGTCATAGGGTTGTTCAAGCAACAGTGTAAAGCTTTGGGGTCAGTTGGCGATGTTTGGATGGATAGATGTGCGAACACATCTAATTGACAGTCCTGAAGACGGCGCTGCAGGATTTGTTGAGCGTTTCATCGCAGGTCAACGTGGTCGTTGCAGAAGCTTGACTCTGTCTCCACGCAGTTCCAATATTGGCCACAAGCACAGGTCGGGCGGGAACTGCATTACCCAGGTGGTTCGGCAAAGAAGTTCTCCCCTTTGTAGAACATTTGTAACGGTGTGAAATAAATCCCCAGTTGAGGTCTACGTTCAACAGACCCAATCCGTGGACATAACGTTTGGGCGCAAATAAACGTAACCAATAGTACAGTCTTTGTCCTCTGGATAAGGCAATCTCAACCATCAGTCCCTGTCGGTGATCCACCTGGCGTCAGACCGTTGATATGTTGGTGGGTCACAGGAACCAGCCTTGAATACGGATGCTAGAGTACCTCCAGAGCTGAGGGTCTCCAGGCTTCAGTACTTTTCCCATCTCAGCGGGCGGAGCATTGTGAAACTGACTGCTCTCTTGACATCAACCATGGCCGCGACATGTGAATGCTTGTAGCCGAATACAATGGCGTCAGCTTCATCACCAAAGCCAAGGCAACAATCACGCTGAGTATGCAGGCCCTGCTTCGAATTATATGACACGACCGGTTCGGTATTCGTTGGTGGATCGGAAGGCTCGCGGGGAGGTCGGCGGGTTCAGTGGAGGAGTCTGTGCTAATCGCTAATCGCTAATCGCCAATGGTCAGATGTCTCAGATGGTTGTGTAGATCGAGGGTCGAGATTTTGGGGGCAGGGGAGGTGGGGCAATATTGGGGACATAAACGAAGGTACTTCTGGTGCCAGTCTCTTGAGGCAACATTCATGTTCGCCGGGAAGCATGGAATGCTCCGCCAAGAAGTAAATCGTGACTGGCAGTTACAGCCCTATGACCTTGCGCTTGGTGCTAAGTCTGCCGCGAAAGGATACTATCGGAGCCTGTTGACGCGACCAACATATTGACGGTGATCTAGTGGGAGATGTGGAGTGCGTAACGACGTGTCGCGGGGCCTGATATTGAGAACTAACGTTAGTTATCTCTTGATCCGAATTCGCTAGCATACTGACCTATGTGTTTCTGGAGTGCTCTGCAAGAGGCTTCTGTCGAAGAATGTAATGTCTCATCTTGAGCGGGCTTGAACGTCTTTTATGACGAAATGACTATCAAATATTCGTTGTCAAATAGGTATGCTGTTGTGATAAAGCCTGCTAGCCTGCAACCATAGGGAAGGCGCCTTCACTTTTGGGCCTGTGGCCTAGTGGAAGCTTTGCGACAGTCGTGCATCCGGTCATCGGAGACCCACCCACGATCTTGCATCTGGACCCACTTTACGCCTGACTCTCAGGTGCAGAACAAACAAAACAATCTTCTGTTCTGAATGTGAAAAGTCTCATCATGGAATACCTGAAAAGAGCACGGGAGGCAAGGCGCGCGCTTAACTTCAGCTCTGAATAACATGCAACAGATCGAAGCGAACGCGACCCGACATCGCTACAACAGATGTCAACCGTCCTGTTCCCATTGGCCCGTGCCCGTTGCTGACAGAAGTGTGCCTGTCCATCTTGATACACGAAGGCCACAATCTTCTCGCGGTTTCCATTTCTTTTTTCCCTTCTGCACTGGCTCCATCCGAATTTGTCCCTCATCTACCACATTTGTCTCTACTTTCTTTTACTTCATCATCCAACTCGATCAAGCCCTGGCTTTCCAAATCTCTCAATGATATCAAGTCGACACTTCAAAGGCTGGCAAGGCTGGCAAAGCCGTAAGCCAAATCGGCCCCCGCGGCCGCTTCGGTATGTTCAAGTCCGCTCTACTGCCTATTGTTCCTATTCTGACGGTTCCAGACCAACTCTCCAACCCTTCCCCTCTACGGGGTTCCGCGTGTAGACACACCAGGAAGAAGCCCGGGACCTTAGGGCCCGTGCCGATGTAAGTTCCAATTATCGCTACGACTCGGTCACAATGCCAATCCATGTTCTCAATTGCTAACTTTTGACAGGAACTGGAAAAATGGTGGAAGGTATGTGTCTCATTCCCCATATCATACCAGTGCAGTCACTGACATTGTCTACAGGCCGACACAATGAGTGCTGCTGTAAGTTTCAACAAGCATATCAGAGGAGAACTCGTCTGACGATTACGACGTTTCAGCGCTATAACAGCGAGGGCAACGTAAGCTCACGTCCGTCAACTCCATATCTTTTACTGACAGCAAGTATAGAAGTTGGCTGAAAAGGAGGGGGGGCCCTCCAACATTGACGTAAGTCAATCGCTTGCTGGATTGAGTCCCACATGCTAACTAGCAATAGGATCTCTTTGAGCAGACATGCGTACGTGGCATTCTTTCAACCAAGCCAAAGCGATATGAACTAACAGCACTGCCTTTCAGCGTGAGATCAAGGAGGAAGAGGCCAAGAAGGCCGAGGCTGAGGGGTCTGAGACCCAGAAGGTAAGTTATTTCTTAGTAATCTTTTTTTTTATAAAGATATTAACCCCCTACAGTAATTAAAGCTTGAAAGAGGATAACAAGCTTTTTGATGACCTTGGGGGACGGGCAATGAAACTGGATCGGGTGTTAAGCAGAATCATTCGTTCTTCAAACACGACAGCATCAGGCACGAATAAAAATAAAACACGCCTTAAGGCTATAGTTTTAATCATGACTGGTAGTTATTCAGTCGTAAGATTATCTACTTTTTTCTTTTATTGTATCCTTGGTCTCTACCCCTATCCAACTCCGCCAGCTCACAAGGGGGCCCATCCAAGAAGCCCAACGGTACCGGGCTTCTCGGCTTCAAGGCCGCCAGCGATGTACCGGTCAGTGAGATCGCTCTCTAACTGGCAAACAAAGCTAAGCGAATCATAGATCTGGTTGTACCAATTGGTTTCGACCGGTCCGATATATTCCCAGTCGTCGAGCAGTTCGTCAGTGCCGGTGATCGCCAAGAATTTCCTGTCGCTGGCATAGAAAGAATTGAGCTTCCAGGAACAGTCTGACTCTTCCTTGAATACTGGAGCTTGACTCTTTCTTTTCAGAGAGCGGTCAATGAACCACATGGTGTAGTTTGCTCCGACACAAGCGTGTAAAAGCTCATAGTCAATCCTAATTCCATCCCCCCAAGATCGGTCGTACTCGATTGCGATGTGGCCCACCGCACCGAACTCTTCTCTTGTTGATGCCAAAGAAACTTCATAACCAAGGCATAACCAGTCGACCTTGTCAAAATCATCGTGCTGCAGGATAAAAAGATCTCTATTAGGGAAAACTGTCACTATTTCAAGAGGAGCACCATCAAAGTAACCTGACGTGGCCCTTTTGAAACGTTCTTTCTCGCTAGAAGTTATTCCGTATTCGTAACGAGGACGTAGGTTTGGGCGTCGTTCTGATTGTTTGAAATGCTTTTCCATGATGCATCGTGACTCGTGACAAGCGGTCCATAAGCCGCCGTCTATGAGATATGTCGAAATATTCTCGTCGCTGCGATGCTCATCCAGGCTCTCAAAGTATCGGCTCCATGAAGGCGCAGCCAGGTAAAAGCTTGTACCGCCCCAAGATTCGATACGATGGCTTGCGGTCTTATATTCTCCGAAGATGTGTACTCCTGGACGGTCATCCCGGATGGCAAGGGTCCAAATTCGATCTCGAATCTCTCTAGAGAGCTCTGTAAATCTTTTGAACGTAGTCATAGTTTCTCAAAGATTTGGATTGAGGTAGAGAGAGAATTTGAAACTGAGGTAACGATGATGATGATTTCGGAAAAAGGTATGGAGTCCCCAGTGTGTCTCGACCTTTGGCGTTGAGAATTTACGATCAGGAAAAAATAAAGAGGAGAGTTTGGGGGACCATGAAATAGAGGAGGACACATATTTATATCCTGTCCCTTTTATACTTTTCGTCGTTACTCGTCACTCTCTTGACGTGGAGTATTATTTGCTATCAAAACCCTTAGCAAAACCTTGTTATCGCACACCATTCTGCATTTTAATCATGTGTCATACTCATCCTTCGAAACTTAGGGATAATTAAGGTATATTGATGACAAAGATTAGGCTATAGGATCAGAAAACCCAACAATGAAATTGGAGTTGAGTCAGAATGCTGCCTGTACCCGATGATATGATGCAGCCAGTCAATACCTCCTTCGGTCAGATGTGAGTAACTCTGTACGGAGTAGATTGACGTGGACAAAGCTCAATCTCGAATTTCATTGTTGGGCTTTCCCAGTGCAAAGGCTAAAATAATATGTGGTGACTAGCATCCCACAGGAGTATGGCCAGATGCAGTTTGGTGCTTTCATTACTCCCGCATCTCCAGTGCAACTGGGCGTAGCTAACCGATAGGTTGTAGCCTGCATCGGCAGCCTGTCATGCTCTGTGGCCAGCTTACAATAGGCAAAATCCTTGCCTAGGCTCTGTCAGAAAATCAGGTTGGCCTCCTAGGTTATTAGATACTTGGGCAGTTGCGACGATGGCTTCGCCGACTGCCCAGTACAAGGCGACCCAGGTCAGCTCCTTCCTCAAAGAAGGAACATCGACATGAGCATAACCGGCGGCCACATCAGAGTGGGAATTTCTTCATCAAGCACACACACATACAAGCTCAGATTGCGTTGTTCAGTTGATTCACAAACACACACACTGCTATCATCACGCTCATCACACTTCAAAATCAAGGTAAGAAACAACCCAACAGCGTCGCTGACCAAACTGACGCATGCATCAGTTCCAAGTCATCAAACAAGAACATGGCTTCGACTACTCGTTCATCCCTCAAGCGTACACGCTCTACAGCGGGCTTGGATGATGCCGCCCTAGATGTTCTTTCCAGCATCGCGGCCAAGTCCCGGAAGATTCAGTCGCTTGGCCCCAACATCCGAAGGCTAGCGGCGAAACTTACACACCGGGCCCGATGTGCAGCCTCCCACGAACTTGACAACCTAAAGGACTCTTGGGAGGCTCTATCGCTTTTGATCGAAAGGGAATACGAGGTCAAAGGGCTCGAGGGCCGCCTCAATACCCAACGTGCCCATATCAATAAGGTACATTTCGATCTGCACATCAGAGACTGGGCTATGGCTATTCACAATCGGGTGAAGGCCGGCGAGTTTGACATCGCCACCAAATACGGCGAGGCTTTACAAGCGAGATTGACAGCAAGCGGAATGCCTGGTACAGACGCCGTTCGCGTAAAAGATGCCTCCATGAAGTTCAAAACAGCCCAGTCACAGCAAATTTCCGAGACTCTCGATCATATCCAGCCAGAGATCGACGCCGTTACAATGTGGCACTCTGAGGGTGGAACAGCAGAACCTTCTGCAACGACATGTCTGGATCGGGTGGCAGAGCTTTGCAGTCGTGTCGGTATAAAACGAAAAACATATATCGATATCCTGCATCTTGGAAAAGCACGCAATGAGACAGCACATCACCCCGAACCACACATCGAGGACTACATAGATCAAATTGGAAACGTCGACTGGTCTAAGGTCAAAAGGTTTTGTCGAAACCGAAAGGCCAGCTTCCGAAGGCAGTTCAAAAAGGGCAAAATTACCCAAGCCCAACTCGAAACCTTCCGGAGCATCATCGATACGTGGTACAACATCCAAGTTAGCGGTCACAATCCAGATGGATCCGTTAAACTGGGTAAAGGAATGGAGAAAGCTATCAAAGAAGTTCGAAAGAACATAGCCAAAAGGCTGATTCCAGTTCCGATGCCTGATAGCCCCTATACAGAGGGCAAGTGGGACGACCTTCTCAATTAATGGAAGTCCTGCGGCAGGTTACGACAGCTGTCACATCGACCTGACGAGTGCCAAACAAATGTTGGACAGAAGAGTTTGTATCTAAGCAGACTCGGTCAGGAGGAGTTCTAGTCCCTGTGCATGCGATGCTTATCATCGGTCAGGAGTGCTAGTTCCGGTTGCTACGATGCTTGTCATCGGTCTGACGCGCACCAGCCCATTGAGGGAAATTGGTCAGAAGAGTCCTTAGCTTTATGCTTGACTCGGTCGGAATGGGCTTGTCCTTATAGCGATTTCGATATTTTTCCATACACTCGTTCAGAATGGCGAGGGAAGCTGGCCCTCACTCACTTCTTTTGAGGGGGGTCGGCGGGTGGCGAAGACGGATTCTGCAACCTCCACGTGGTGCCGCCTGGGAACCCGGTTTGGTCGACGCCGGAGCCAAAGCAGAGACGCAACAACCCTCATGAACACTTTGAGCACATGTTACAAAACAGATCGAGATCGAATGTAACTCTCAACTACGGTTATACACCTACAAATCCACAAATACTACTTTCGCATGCAACTCGCAACTCCGATTATGTACCTACAAATCCACAACAACTACTTTCAAGTACCATAGCTTCAGCGAAGAAATTACAACTGAGCAACTGAGCAACTGAGCAACTGAGCAACTGAGCAACTGAGCAATCAACCACCCGAGCAAGCAAGTAGCTTCTATTAGGCATCATCTCAGCGCGAACATGCCGCGATACAGATACTGAACAAGGCCGATGCCCTAATGGGACTGATGACGGAGCGAACCCGATGATCGAACGTGTCTTGCGACCGAATGAGCCTTGAGACCGAACGAATTTTACGACCGAATACTTTTGCAACCGAACGATTTTTGCGACTGATTGTTAACAATTTGAACCTAACGATCAAACGAAGTCAGACGCCAAATGAATCAAGAAATCATGGTTGATATAGTTGCGTAGGATACGTATAAAGAGCTTCAGATAAGTATCCTGTTTTCTCTCCACTTGGCAGTGGCTAATCTTCCCATGGGGACAACTAGAGCGGTTCTTCAGTTACGGACGGACGTACGCAAAAGATAGCCTACATCCTGCGGCTTTAGGGAGGCCTACAAATGGTTCCAACGGCCTGTACAGCCAACCCACCAGGGGGAGAGGGGGGTATTGCGCTGCTCATTGGAGCAAGGATCGATCCCATTACCCGAAAGTTGCAAATCACAGTGAGTGATGTGCAATCCAAATGACAGAGCAACTAACTAACAATGCACAGTAGATTTCAACAGTTGATTATCACCACAAAAGTTGCAACAGGGGCCCCCCAGTCATGTACCGTACCCTCAAAACTCCTGATCCCTCGCCCAGCATAGCACAACGATTACTCTTAGGCAGGGACATCGTTCAACTGGTCACCATCGTTCTCTGAGCGGCTGAACGATCTCAACTCATGTACACGCAAAGACTACAACGCTGCATCGGTTATTAGTACGATGGACACATTGATTCAGAAGAGGCGAGAGACAGAGGGTTATTGATACATCTCAGTTGGCTTGCAGAGGCTGAGGACGCATCGGTCACACCCCTACTCACAACCTTTCCAAGAGGCGTAACGCATGACAAACTATTGGGGATTATGATGATAGCAAACATTGAAATCACAGCGATTCTTGAATCATGCTGATAACGTCCTAATTCTTATGAGCATGACAACGTGATGTTATTCTCTTGCAGACTGTCGTTCTCGGCGTGACGTTGAAGTCATTGGATGCTGATGCGAGCACTGTATTAATGCGGCCAAATCGCAAGTGTGTTTTATCACCAAACTACTTCCACCAAGTCTAAGGCCGGTAAGCTCAAAAGACGAGCTACCGAGGTGTTAGCTTGTGGCAAGTCTCAAAGCCTTAGAATGGGCCATACTTCAATCTGCCCAGCGAACTCCAGCTTGTCATCACAAATGACGCAGGCCAACCGACAGGTTATGTAATGCTTCGACCTGCCAAAGCCGCCACGTCAGGGCCCACTTTAACGGGTTGATGTTCAGAGACGCAAAGTCTCAGTGCAATCGCTGCTTTCCTTTCATGCTCACTACTCATATTTTTCCTGGATATGCCACCGCAAAGATGCACATCGCTCGCCAGAATGATCTCAAAATTCGACATGGCGTCAACCCCAACGATGCCCAACAGCGACAGCGACCGTCTTCCAGCCCTTTGAGACCACGTCAAGAGAAGCTTCTGCGGTGCAACTAAAGACTCTGGAATGGCTCTACGCAAGGCCCCTTTTAATGAAAAGTATCAAAGCGAATTCAGGAGGTTGCCAGGCAGAAAATGACTGACGTTTGGAAAGTGAACAACAGATGACGACCAAGAAATGCCCCAGGTGCACCAGAGCGCAACCAACGTACGATCGGTACTTTGCCACACGCCGAATAAACACCTCCCGCAAGGTCACGGTTCTTTTCGGTCTTGAAATAATTTACGGATCATTTCTTGGATTTCTATGAAAGATTCCTCAAGAGCCTGCTCACCAGAAGGACCCTATTTACATATTGGTACTGTATAGCCTCATTGCATCGACCTGGATTTGCCCACCGAACAAGCCCCGTCGAAACCTTACCCAACGGCCTTCGAATTTTCACCTTGGCCGTTGCCATGCATGAGATTGGCGCTATCACACACGCCTCTCTGCTTCCGTTCTCAGCCTTTTCCCAACAAGCCAAACTCTTTCGCCCAACACAATCACGACTACAATATCGGACAACGACATGTCCTCTTTGCCCTCGCCGGGACTCGTCGATACCGCGGCATCGCCAGCGACGGCAACCTCATCGCTGAGCTTGCGACCCGAGCCATGTAGGAGACTAATGCAAATGCCGTTACTGCATCACTCCACAGATACCAACCATGCTATCATATACACTTTGACCATTCAGCACGAGGGCGATGTCGAAGCCATCTGAGGCCGGTGGTCCCCTTCATGGTCTCCCCATCATGACTATCAAGGTAGTGACCACCACTGAGCTTGGGAGATGAGTAGCAATGCTTTGACTGCCTCTATGGAGCTAGCTTGCCTGATGAACAAAAGATTCCTTGATGTCTATCATACTAACACTGTTCCAAAGATGCCGGTGAGGCCACCGTTCTGAAGTGCGATCTGCACACCAACAGCAAGCTCATTGACATCGACACTACTTCCATCCATCTGGGTTTTGTCTTTTCGATAATTGCATTCATTCTTCAAGGATGTCTCACTTCTCGCCCGGAAAGATGGATTCTCTGGACCAGAAGATGAGGCTGTGGTAGAGTGCGCCTTCATCCTCATCTTTAACGAGCGTCAATCGGGAGTTCTGTTTAATCATTCTCTGGGCTTGCACTCGGTTCATGCCATCGTTAGGGATAAGCGAAGATACTTCGGCCTTTGAGAAGCGACCTTTCTTCGCTGTTGGCGCATCCGCTAGAGCGCCTGTATTGGGCCACTTGTTGGACTGTGCGCCTATCTTGTTCTTTTTGTTGTGATTGGGGGTTTAGTGATGCTGGGATTGACCGCCATCTGCTGCGTAGACCGTTGTCGTCGATGAATCCCAGGTCAGGCACTTTGTGTAGTGTTCATATACTTCTAAACTAGCTAACATGGTATATTGAACCTACTGTCCAGGCGCAAGACTTAAGGACCGCTGGACTCAACTCACGTCAAGCGGGACCGAACAAATGAAGTTGGGCTGGCAGAATGGCGGTAGTATTGGGGGTCTTCGAGGTGGCAGTGGTTTGAGTTGGAGTATCTGCAGACTGAGAGAACAAGAGGGTCTTATCCTTGCGGCGATCGTGACAGTTGAAATTAGTACAGTTCTTCGACGTTGCAGAGACCTTCGGTTCGGCGTTGCCTTCTCATCATATCGAGGCTCTCCATCATTCTAGGCGGCGTCCATGCTGTACGAATAAGATGAGAGGTGAGCCTCTGACCTGGATTTGTCATCTTATTGACCACTCGCTTGACGAAAACACCAGACTATGGCATCCTGGCGGATAGAAAGACTGGTCCACACACCATCGTACTAAGCCTTGAGAATCACACGAACACCAAAGCTCGACACCGGTGTTCGAATTCAAGTAGACCGGCTCCCCAACCTCTGTGATCTCACCATGCCCTCTACTAGTTTCTTGGGTCTTCGTGGCAAGGGTTAGGTTGGACTGCCAGTCTGTCACTGGCGTAGGCACCTTGAATCAAGCGGTAACGGTTAGATTTAGTGTCCATCTCATGATCTTCTTATATTCTACAGGGCTTCAAGACTTGTCTTGTCCGTGTTGATGGCCACAAGCTCGCACTACTACGGTCGCCTCCTTTATCTTCCTGCCAAATGGTCTCAAGTAGCTGCCTTAGGGTATCCGGAGGTCGTGGCAATGGTTGATATCATGAGGGCGTCAGTTCAAATCATGAACCTTCTGGTCATGATTTCCAACATGTATTCCTAAGAACGATCAATCGATAAATAATGTGGCTTGGGATTCATTCGATTCAGGCCACTCGCGATGATGGCCTATTTCTCCAAAGGTGAAACGAAACCGGATTGAATCGACAGAGGAGTGAAAGTTCGGACTACATATTTGCTTGGCGTTGTGGTTTCTAAGATCGAGTTAGAAGGCTTTTCTGCGGTTGAGGTATGTCATCACGCAGGGGAAACTCAGTGGTGCAAAAGATCTGCTTCCTACGGGCTCGTGCGGTCGTGAAATCTCATCCTCTGTCCTACAAAGTCGCCACCGGACTTTGCTGGGTGGTCATGAAACTTAACGGTCTCACACTCCAGCACCTTCATTCGCATGTTGTTGGGTACGCGGAAGAGCGATGCCTTTGCCTCTCGGTTGGTATCTTGAGAAATAGACCTGCTTCGAGGTTGAGATTGATATGACTGTGCCACCGTTTCTTTGGAAGTCACATCCTCTCGTCGAGTCCGTGAGAGTCAAAATCAAAGCTTGCCACTTCTGTTGATCTCGATTTGAGCTGGAAGTTTCCCTGTTGGTACGGTTCCGTGCAAAAGTCCCGACAATAAGCCAATAAGACATATGTAATTAAACAGACATCTAAAATATGTTATCATTAGAAGACTTATTATATAATCTTAGGATACAATAATAGAAGATTATAAATTAATAGAATCTTAATGTAGTTTATAAAATTTAGAATAGAGGAAATTGTCGAAACTTTTACCCGCCTACTGTACTTCCGCCACTGCGCTTCACGTCTGATCGTGGAGTTTACTCTTAGAAATATGTTATTCTAGTTTAGATTGCCACGATAGATAGTAGCAAAGCTTCTTTGTCTATACAAAACCTGGGTTACTTTAATATTGATATAGGTATATAGGCGACCAGTGTACTGTCGACTACACTTTCCTAGAAGAGGTACTCCAAGACTCGGGTGAAGCAGACACAGTTTGCGACAAAGACATTTTGTTTGAGAAATATGTGGCAGGACAAGAGGCACTGGAGAAGAAGTTCGGACCAATGCCTATCGATATCCTTATGGAGATGGCCCCCTCGCGACGTGGTCATGGAAGAGTTCTTCCCACGGAATTTAAACCGCCTCCCTCGGAAACACCACAGAGTTTATTTCCCGTTGGAATTAGTCGTCAGGCAATCCCCCATGCCACTCCTTTCATTCATCGTGATGATCCCGAAAATATTCTCATTTACATATCTGAAGCCAGTCTCACCAATGGGCAAGAGGACCCGCAAGGTGGATGGACGTATGTCTTCAGACTATTAGCACCAAACATTCACTCAAGTGTCTCTGGCCGCCTCGAACACAAAGGACCAATGGAGGATATCCACTGGCAAACCAACGACAGAGCCGATCTCCGAGCCGTTATCGGCGCCCTTCGTTTTCGTCATTGGAGGGGTGAAAGGTTCACGAGACTCGTTTTGGGTACCAACTCGGAGCATGTGGTGAAGGGTGGGACAGAAAGGGCCCGAAGTTGATGTTTGAGTGGCTGGAGGACAAGCTATGGGCGTGCACCTAAGAACAGAGACGTGTGGGAGGCGTTCTTTGGGTGGTTGGAAGGGTTGGAAGAGCATTGTCTTTAGGTTCAGCTATGTAAAACCCCCCGAAAATTAAATAAGGAGGCGATAAATTTGGTTAAAGAAGCCACGCGGGAAGATCAACTTGATGGTTACATTAACGTTATAGGAACGCTTTGCTAGGCAGAAGACGAAGGCGCACACGAGTCTGTAGGTGAATAGGCAGTTTACAGATTTGAGTTCTATTCATAGTCCCCAAGTGAGTGTTATGGTACTACTACATGCATGATTGCACCTCCCAGCCTTTGCCTATTGCACAGCACATGCATATCTCTGGTCAAGGAAGACAAGCCACTAGATGAGACGCATGTTGGACGGCAGTTGACTGTTACTGATGCAAACACATGAATGCCTGTTCAGCTTGGACGAGTACGGTGAGGTGTGTGTGGGAGTCAAAGCAAAGTCGGGCGAATGGAAAGCGCGTCAAGCAATCAGCACCGGTAAGCTACCCAGGGTGTAGATCAAGGGTTCTAGAAGCTTTCTATATGCTGTTGGTAATATCACCCCATTCCGGATGCCCGCATCAAGTATAGCTGCCTTGGCGAGACACCAACAGCGGGTTGAGGTGGCTGTATACACCATGGTTGCCGAGGTTGATCGCTGTTGGTTGGGTACATACCGCAGCTGAAGTGGAAGCACGCTTTCTATTGTCACGGATTTGGCTGAACCTAGAATCACGGGAGACGTTGTGCTTCCGATGGCAGTCTAGACAATAGTCGGAAAACTTAAACTGGAACAGACTTTGGTTATCGTATCAGATCCCGAAGTTAAAGGTTAAAGCCAAGGACAAATACCAGGTTTCACTCTCTGTACTACTCGGAACTAAGGAAGACTAACTAAGAGATGCAAGCCTGATCTGCCCGGCCGCAAAGAGTCAGCTTCAGGGTGATCTACAAGCAAGGTGCTTGCTCCAGGTATTTCATATTATTCAGTCACTAGATCGAGTATGGGGTTATAGGCATCATTTTAATGCCAGTGGGTGATCAAAGAAAGGCCCGACTATTGGGAGAGCTGACATGATGCTAATTAGAACCCGTTTAGATCGATAATAGGCTGTTTCACATAAGAAACAGACCAGTGAAAGCTAGCATATTAGTGCATTTCGATGATGTTCACCAGTTGGTCCGAGGGACACGATTGCTTCGGCAGTAGTACACTCGCGGCAGCATCCGCCGGACCACAGCAGCCTCGAACTATCTGTCTTGAAACCTTCTCACACGGGTGATGCTGGAGTGGGTGTCAAGAGGGCCCACACAGAAGGCGTTTGAGGCGCCTCACTCACATTGTCAACTGATGAAGATTCTAGATCCCGTCTACCCGTTTGCGAAGTGGCGCTCAGCCTCCACAAAGAACAATACGCGGAGGACGGAAGGGAAGCCCTCCCGGGGCTATTGCGGTGGTCTAGCGTTTTAGTCTGGTCAAAGATGGAGCTTTTTTTCTCACAAACCTATGCTGATGCACTTAGCTCTTGTTTGTTCTGTCAATGATCGAATCCAGCACTGCATTTCCAGCCGGATCTAGTAGGGATAGAGCTTGAAAAACCAACTCAGTCATATCCGACAATCGACACATTAATCAGCTCTGGACACTTTCCGAGACACTAGCACTCCACAGAGGCGAATGCATAGTAAGGTTCCAGTGTTATCTGTCGGTAACGTGCTTGGCCTCGACTTTGAGCCATTTAATTAGACGAAGCGTAGATTCAAGCTTGAGTGGCCCAGACCATGACGTTGCTAGGTTACTTCGTCTCCATACCCACAGTATTTCAGGGTCCTTAGCTGCAGGCATATTACTATTGATCCCCAGTGTTTGTTTCTCTTATCTGCGGTTGTTATTTGCTATACAATGACGCAGACCTGGATCAAATATCGGCCTATTCCCATCTTTTCCCACAGATAATATGGAATTGCCCAAGAAGTTACAGGAGACGCATATGGAGTCTCCTGTTATCAACGTCCCATTCTGTTCATGTTAGCTCGCGGCTAGTGCTCTTAGTCCACCATCACCACGCAATCATGATATTCTCAATACGCTAAGGCAGATTAATTTGCCCCAGTTATACCCCTGTTTGAACGACTTTTCCATGCCACGAGGCAAACAAACCTACTGCAGCAGTTAGATCATGTCGAGCGACGTGTCACTTTGCCATTTGGTTGATAATCATCTTGAGGGACAACAATGTCATTGAAACCTAGCCTGCTGAGCTCTTGACTGACTACATCGAGCCTGAGTCAGTCAGATGATCCAGTATGGTTGGGAGTTATAGTCCCTTGAGTTAGTCAAGGATACCCTACCCAAGGCCCTACCCTAAGTGTTTGTAATCTGTTTGTCAAGGCCTCACTAGTAGAGGTTCCAGTAATAGCCGGCAGTACGGAGTACGGAGTAGAGAGATGATGTCGTCAGAACCACCTGATGCAATCTTCCAACGGCCGCTGGTTTTGCAGCTCTGGTCCGGAGTGAGTATCCCGGTTCAGTACTAGTGCCCGTTAAAGGTTTCTTGTGCCCAGCTCGGTTCACTCTTGATGAGATTAATTATATGTCCAGCCCGCTTCTATAAATTGTTGAGAGGCCAAAGCTTGTTTAGCGAATAGGGGACTTTTTTTTGGAGGTATCGCACTCTGGGCTGTGCGTCAAGTGTATGATTTGAAGATGTTTTCGATGCAGAATGCGCGCAAATGACCTACCCATCAAGGATCGGTCCGCGACGGATACAGAGGCATCACTTCGCCACCAGGCAAGTTAGCGCCTTGTTAGTCTCATGTACGGCTCGGGGTCCAGGACCGGTCGACAATAGGAAAGATGGATTGCTTCAGTATCACGAGCCAATAAACAAGTTCTAGTTCTCCAAGACCGTATAAGGCGCCACTAGACAAGCTACCCCCAAGTTCCCACTGGCTAGACTAGACAGTCTTGGGGGCGTCTATTCACTGACCCGGGCGTAGCGTACCATTCAAATACCCGACAATTCCGATTCTCAAATGCTCTGACGAGTGTTGACATGTGATGTGATTGCTACTGCAGATGATTAAATCAAGGTATCGAATCAAGAGAAGCAAAGAATTGAAATAAAAGGTAAACAAAGGGATATATAACACAAAAGGCCGTATCAAAGCTGTTCAAATCGCACACCCCCGCCATTCCCTCCTTCTTTATCGGGTCCCAACAGTCACCTGGAGTCTTGATAGCTGGTCGAGTCCGTGCTTGTGACACTCCCCGTGATAGAATTGCTGTTCATGGATTCGATCTTGGCCATCTTCTTCCGCTTATCAAACTCGTCCAACAGTGCATGAATGGTACCCAATGGGAATTCGTGGATCAGCGGCCTTGTTGTGGCAGGGCAGACATTTGACTCGTAATCCTTGAACTCCTCCATCGCGAGGTTCAATCGCAAGAGCTGTTTCCACGATACGATGGAGTCGCCAATGAGGAAGGTCGGCACCCGCGCCATCGCCATCTCTTCGAGGATCCATCGTCGGTGGAAGAAGTCCCGATTGAGGAAGTCTGCGGTGCCAATTGCGGCTTCGGCGTTGACGTCGAATAAGTGGATAATGGGAATCGCCCACTCGTGATGGGGCGCATATTGCTCGGGATGGATTTCTTTGTCTCCAGGCTCCTGCCACGTCTCGGGCATCGCGTTGTCGAATGCTTGGATGAGCTGAATGCCCAGATCTGTTTGCGGTATCTTGAGTCCCACCCAACCCACAACCATCTGCGCGCGCTGGTACACGTGGTACATGATGACTCTGCTCTTGGTGTTCTCCCTAGTGTCTGCGGCGTTGACGCAGAGACAGTCAATCCATACCCTCAGCTTGGGTCTGCCATAATCTTCCCTTCCTGCGATATGTCGAAGGAGACTCCTCAACCATCCTGGCGATTGCTTCTTCCTGCCCAGGTTTTCGGTCGAGTTGCTGACTGCAGGATAAAAGACTGCGCGGACGTGCTTCAGCGCTAGGATGATGTTGAGGGGAACTGGGATTGTGGTTCGGTTTATGTTAATTCGGTCTTGCTCTGTGGTGTCGCCGAGGAGGGAGGATATGGCGATAAATTCGACGTCCCTGCTGAGGGGCAGGGTGATGAGGCGGCACACGATCTGTTCGTCGATGTTGTTCGCAGGCTCAATCTCGAGAAAGCGCACTTCCTCCTTTGCAGGATTTAGACGTGAATATTGTATGCGCGGTCGCCCATAATCCGAGGCCATTTTCGTATCGTATCGTGGATGCAATGCGACTTTGTGTTGGTTTGTGCTGTCAGATTGATCGTTTCAGCTCTCGATCGCATATGCATGCAGGTGGTTGGTTCTGGTACCGGTACCACTTTCTCGGCAGTGTCAGAAAACGACAGGATAAGGATTACCCAAGAAGAAAGCCGACAGCACGGTAAATGAACCCAGACTCATTCTGCCGACATGTTTTTTTCTCGTTCCCCCCTGGCAGATTAGTCCACTTTTAACATGATCCCAGACCCCTCTCCACTGAAACGGGTCCAGCTTCTAGACTCACCCTAGGGAACTAGGGAACTTGCCTAGCCTCCCCCGACAACGCAGCGCGACGCAAACGGAACCGCTGTGTTAGTGTCTTTTGTAGTGCTTCCGTAGTGGCCTCGTAGTGGCCTTTGTTGGTGGAAACAAGGATCGCTGCGTCTCTGCATCGCACCAACAGCTCAATCATGAGGCCTTTGCTTGTCAAGACAGCACTTGGTTATTCCTTGGGGGTGGTGGATCTTTGAGCTCTCTTAACCCCTCGTCTTCCGCCTTCAAAAAAAAGCCGTTTGCTCTTCAAATTCCTTCGTTCCCTTAGTTGAGTGTACTAAGACACTTCTCGAACCCTCAGACCTCTCGCGTTGCTATACGACCAAATACGACCAAACTCTATCAATGGCTCCCTCGCTGATCACCCCACCTCCCAGCCGGTCTGGCGAGACACCAGCCATCACTAACAACGCCTGCTACGACCAAGCGCAGGAAGTTGCCCAACCCGACGGCCACTGGATAAGGCTGCCCGAAGCCCTGTTTTCGTCTATCATGGCCGTGGAGCCAGAGGTCAATCCCTTGTACAAACAATCCAAAGCTCTATCAGATGAATGGCTGCAAACGTAAGGGTCACGCTCCGCGCATCTCGCTAAGCGTTTCAGACGACCAGATAACTGACCACAACTCCATACAGTGCATTGCAGATGAACGAAAAAACCGCCAGCATCTGGAGCAGACTGGACATTGCCTTCATGAGCGCAATTTGTGCTCCGCATGCTGATCTCGACACGTTAAAGCTCATGAACGACTGGAATGGGTGGGTTTTTGCATTTGATGACCGTGAGTAAACGAACCAACACCCAACCCAACCCAACCCAACCCAAACAATTCCCAGCTCTGAATCCCGAATTCCAGAAGCGCCAAGGCGGGCCGCTCCGCTATGCGTAGTAAAAAGTGGCTTCTGCTAACAAGGCAAACAATACAGCATTTGACGAGGGCACATTCGCCAACGACCCCATCAAGGCAGCCGAAGAAGTCATCTACACACTCTCGACGCTAGACAATGTCCACCCAGTAGTGTCGCCTCAGGAGAACCCCCTACGCCATACCCTACAGTCCTGCTGGATGCGCTTCCGAGAACGATCGAGCCCCGGCCTACAGTACCGATGGAAGAAGCACCTAACCATGTACTGTATTGGCGTGCTACAGCAAGTTGGTGTCCAACACAGGGCTTCGAGACCAACCATCGAAGAATACATGGATATGCGCGCCGGTTGCGTGGGCGCGTACCCCTGCATAGGGCTCATGGAGTAAGTTCTTTCTAATTGCGACCGGCAGTTTCAGCCTTTGCGCTGTCTTTTCTAGACTGCGACGGCCGCAAGTGCGGTCCCTACTTAAAGTTTGCTACCCAAATACCTAGCACTGTTTGAGGCAAGATTGCAGCATTTCATTGGTGCTGCTAGGTCGAGATGTCATTGTCTGGCTAGCCCGATCCGCAATTTCGAATCCTTTCCAGCGCTGATTCGAGCCCGCCCGTGTTGATTTGTGCCTGAACACATGTGGATAACAATGCTAACGACCAACTCTAGATTCGCTGAAGGAATTGACCTGCCTCAATACGTCATGGACCATCCCTCAATGGAAGCCATTTCACGAATTACCTGCGATCTGGTCACACTGTAAGTAACTCATTGCACTCAATGCCAAAATGGTATGTTTCATAAGCTAACACCTCCCAGCCAAAACGACCTTTGCTCGTACCGAAAAGATCTTATCCAGGGTGAAGAGAGTAATATTATCTTCATCCTGAAGGATCAAGGAATGACCGATCAGCAAGCTGTTGACCAGATTGGCGAAATGCTCTATAACTGCTACAAAAGATGGCATGTCGCGATACTTGATCTTCCCTTTTGGGGAGAGGGTATTGATAGGGATGTTATAAAGTTTGTCAACGGCTGCCGCAACATTGCCCTTGGCAATCTACACTGGAGGTATTTGCACCCCTAGATCAAACATAATTCACCATACTGACATGTGGACTCTAGTCTGTATACCTTTAGGTACCTGGGAACCGAGGGCCCAGAGGTGAAGAAGACACGCATGATGAAGCTCCCCTTTACATCGAAACAGTTAAACTCTGTTCAAGGAAGCGAACTAGAGGGACGTATGGAGTATTGATAGGCTGCTAAAGCTTTTTTTGCTATTACCATAGCGATGATGCAGACGAGTCTCATGGTCTGAGGATGGATATCAAACAACAAAATTCCCACATGAGGCTCAGGCGATGCTGTTAGAGCTTACAGGCCTCTCCAGTATAGCACCAGGGCGGAGTACTAATACTAGAGCATACTGAAATACAGAGCAAATATACCCCTTTGACTATCTATCATAACTGCTGAAATGCAACTTAATTGCATGGAGTGGTAACTCTTTGGGACTGACTGTTAAGCTTACATGCCTTGGAATCCCGAGACAGAAATGCATGATTGTTTTTACAGGTCGGTGAAGTTCTATCCTGCTTCCCTGCCCTTACTAGTGCTGGTGTGTTTCTATTTTCGTACACTTGCATACTGAGTGCATGTGAAAGGCCTGCTATTTTAAATGTATGACAATCAAATCAAGTTGACAATAGAAACACCAGCAACCTATCATATTATATTGAAACAAATCCATTTAAGAATGCATTCGTAGTACCTTTTCCCGCTATGGATATTAGGGATAGAAGTAGCGGTACTATTACAGATGAAGTAAATGGCAATTACTTTTAGATATTCAACCTGCCGCAGCGGGATTTCAATTAAGAAGAATACTAACATAACAGGAGAATAAAAAAAGAATCTCTTACCGTGTTTTAACTACTTTGTCGACAAACAAAAAGTTTTTACGGATTGGTCAAATCCTTTGAATGATTCACCGATGTTGGCCTGATTCGAACAGACGCCTCCGAAGAGAATAGATTTCTAGTCTATCGCATTAGACCACTCTGCCACAACACCTTGTGTGATTGTTGAAGAATGTTCCCAGATGTCACCACATAATCCCATGCGACGATCAGAAGCCAGCAGTTTAGTACTCATTAGTTGCTTGAATAGTACTTAACCCAAATTGTGGTTGTGTTTTTCCCCTTTTGACGTCGGATTTTAAGGTAGGTATGAACACTATGAGGTACTTGCTAAATCCTAAAAGTTGTATATAATATGCGACCTGTGCACATCGATGCGTTAGGTCTTACCCTATGTCTCGCATCACACTCCAAAGAACTCGCATGCTATAGACAAAGTAATGAGGCATACTCTAATACATAATCCTAGGAATAAACAAGCAAGCATATGATCTAAGGTTTACGGACATACAGCTCAATACATAATTAGCTCAACGGGGTATCCTTGTCCAGTCAAGAGGTCGTCAACCGCGGCATTCGCTAAAAGCAGTCTAGAAGACGTGACAGCATCAACCGAGATAGCCGACAATCATCCATGTGATTACCGTTGTCAGATCATCGATTGAAGCCGTTAGAACAAAACGGGAAAGCAAAACTTGGGTCCTAGCAATCGAATAACTAGTCAAAAGGCCCGATCATCAACTTACTACGCCGCAGGAAAGAATTCAATAGTGCACTGTTCTGCTGGTTGGGCGGGTGAGAAGGACCGATGTGACCTGATGAGCTAAGCCCAGGGGAGCATCTCGAATGCGGGGATCATCGGACTTACCCCAGAAAGCATCAGGAGGCTAAATGCATTCCTGGGGACGCGGCCATCATTGGCTGAGAGTCGCTCTGGTTCTCGGTCAAATTAATGAAATGAGCCCATCGAGGTCAGATGTCAAGGGATAGCTTATGACGATAGAAGTTAATCTGATCTTGGATATATAAACAAGTAGGTCCTTGTGTTTTTATGATGAGCAACCCAATCCGCTTTCATTTCGTTACATACTTGACTACAATTTGGTCATTCGCCATGTTCAACCAGATCATTTATGGCCTGGCAGCCGTATCCCTATGGCAGGGCCAGGTTGCCGCATCGCCTAGTCAAGGATCTAGCCTTGATCGCTTCATTACCAAAGAAGCTGATGTAGCCATTAAAGGTGTCCTAGCCAATATTGGCGCTGATGGCAAACGTGCAAAGGGCGCTGCACCTGGTGCTGTTGTAGCCAGCCCATCGAGGACAGACCCAGACTGTAAGTCTTTGCCTCCATGTCGGCAATAGAGCATCAAACTGACAGTCATTCAAAGACTGGTACACTTGGACCCGTGACTCAGCTTTGACATACAAAGTCCTTGTCGAACGGTTAATCCAGGGAGACAAGTCCCTTCAGCGCAAGATTGATGAGTACGTCTCTGCGCAGGCCAAACTACAGGGAACCTCCAACCCATCTGGTAGCCCTGAGTCTGGTGGTCTAGGCGAACCAAAATTCCACGTCAACCTCACCGCCTTCACTGGATCCTGGGGTCGTCCGCAGCGCGATGGCCCTCCTCTGAGAGCCACGGCCTTGAGTCTGTATGCCAATTGGCTTATCTCTCATGGAGAGCGCTCCAAAGCAGTCAACAAAGTATGGCCCGTTATTGAGAAGGACCTTGCCTACACTGTCAAGTTCTGGAACCGTACTGGCTATGATCTGTGGGAGGAGGTCAACGGCTCGTCCTTCTTCACTCTCTCAGCCACGCATCGTGCTCTCGTCGAGGGAGCGGCACTTGCAAAGAAGCTCGGAAAGTCCTGCCCCAACTGTTCCGCCAGCGCTCCCCGCGTCCTGTGCTTCCTTCAAAGCTTCTGGGTGGGCGGCTACATCGACTCCAACATCAACGTCAAAGATGGCCGCAAGGGCCTCGATGCGAACTCTATCCTCTCATCCATCCACACATTTGATCCTTCTTCAAAGTGCACAGATTCCACATTCCAACCATGCTCGGCGAGGGCTCTTGCAAATCATAAGGCAGTCGTCGACTCTTTCAGATCTATCTATGGCGTGAACAAGAACAGAGGACAAGGAAAAGCAGCTGCCGTTGGTAGATACAGTGAGGATGTGTACTATGACGGAAACCCGTGGTACCTGGCCACTCTTGCTGCAGCAGAGCAGCTCTACGCTGCCATCTATCAGTGGAACAAGGCTGGTTCCATCGTAGTTAACGACGTGTCACTGCCATTCTTCCGGGATCTCGTCCCCAAGACTTCCAAGGGTACATATGGCAAGAGCAGCAAGACCTTCAAGGCTTTGATCAAGGCAGTCCAGACTTACGCCGACGGCTTTGTCTCTGTTGTTCAGACTTACACCCCCAAAGACGGTTCTCTGGCTGAGCAGTTTGACAAGTCAACTGGAACCCCCAAGTCAGCTGTTCATCTCACCTGGTCATACGCCTCGTTTGTCAGCGCCACTGAGCGTCGCGACGGCATCGTATCCCCATCTTGGGGAGAGAGCAGTGCCAACAAAGTGCCCGGCGTGTGCGAGGCAGCCCCAGCCTGTGATAATATTATTAACTTTAGTGTGAAGAATGTGGAGGTGACGTCTGACCAGAAGGTTTATGTTGTTGGCTCTGTGACTGAGCTGTCCAACTGGTCTCCCGAGGATGGAATTGCACTGACAGAGTCCAATGGCCTGTGGACGGCGAAGATTAAGATTCCATCTGATACGACGTTCGAATACAAGTACATTAAGAAGGCGACCAGTGGAACGGTCACTTGGGAGAGCGATCCCAACAACCGGGCTGTTACTGGTAGCAAGTGTGGTAGTGCCACCACTCTTGATGATGAGTGGAGGTAGATAGATAAACAGCATTGGTGTCTTGTTTTCTTGTACTGTACATACGAATTGTTTGAAAATTTCCAAAACTAGCATTTCTCACAATCCATTCTCAATTTCACAGTAATGCTGGATGATTAATTCGATGTATAGCTAGTTTGTCAAGATCAGTGGTGATCGTCATAGTCGCAAATTTGATGAGCCTCACATTTAAGCTATTCATCGGCAGGCTGCCTAGGTGACCTAGTCCCTGCGTTACTCAAGCTAAAAACAATCGGTGTCCGTATCTCCCTTGATAGCCTGGAAACAGCATCGCCATCCGAAAACCCCATCTCACTGATCCCGTCTAGCTCATCCGCCTCTTGAAGTATGTGTGCTGGGGTCTCAATCTCGAAAACAGCTTGTATGTCACCATGGGGTGAGAAGCCTGTGAATCGCCACCACTTGAACACGCTGGCCTCGGAGGCTCTAGGCCACAATCGCCGTCGTTCATAGAAGCCAATGACAAACAATAGTGGTGCGTTAGCTATTCGAGCTAGTAGAACATGGACGGCGTAGAATTCATATGGAGACAAAACCGTCTTGAGAGGCAGTAATATCAGCAGGGCAAAAAGATTGAGAGGTGGCGGATAGGCAAAGACAGCATCGCTTTTGACGCCTTCGAAGGTGAGAACTGCTCTCCGAAATTGTATTTCGACTGCTTCTGAGGCGACGATAGTGCTGAACCTGCTTGTAAGCAGTGAGACAAGGATCGTGAGAAATAAAGTATTGCCGAGAAAGGCAAATGCGATGGTAAGAGCTGGTCCCAGGATAGCATGAAACTGAACAGATTCCTCGATGCCCGTCCCATCCAAGCCGAACCATATCCATAGAAGCCATTTGATGATGGTAAAATCGCACGGAATCGTGTTGTCCCCTGGAGCCAACCACTGGAGTGCAAGTAAAAAGCCAGTGAAGCACCATATTGCGAGGAAAGTGAGTATCAGGAACTCTCTCATCATAGCATGAAGCGATATGAAGACAATGTGGTCGGGGAGAATGTTGAACGCGAGGCGGGTGAGAAGTATAGGAGCTGCTAGACAGAGCACGTTATGCGCTGTGCCATTTTTGATATCATCGAGGGCCATTTCGTAAGCCCGCAGGGTGATATATGTCAGAAATATCAGTGTGTACGAGAGATCCAAGAACGACCAGAGGTTCTGGGAGTGTATCGTCCAGCCATGTTCGATAATGGTTGCCAGCTCATGTAGCACCCAGCCGGCCGAGTACAGAATGAACATAGCCTCAATACCACCCAGGCTGTCTACCTCCCGATACTGCATCATGTAGATATAGAGAGCAGTAAGAAGGATATAGTTAAGTAGTTCAATGAAGTATCGGGTTCGAGGAACCACCAATCGATGATGATCGAGTAATGGCGCTTTGAGGGGTTCATACAGAGATACCGGTCGATGCTCAAAATGGTTTGGCAGAAGATCGACGAATGACAAAGGAGTGTATACAATCTGACCCCGATACACGGCATCAATCACACTCCCGCATCCAGAGGAGCTGATGAAGTTCTTACTCTCGGATATGATGGCGAGTTCAAGCGCCGTGAGCTTCCTCTCGTGTCCACCACGGTTCTGAATCGGCCACTGCGGGTAGCGGCCATTTTGCTCAACATGGATAGGTGCGCCATGAAAAGGATCGAATCCTTGGACTAGAATTTTGGAGAGTAACAGGAGGCCATCAAGGCCGGGGTTATCGTCCTGGAAGTTGCGCAGGATCTTAATGGCCAGCAGCTCACAGAGTGTCGCTCGTGCTATGCTCGTGCTCTGATCCAGCACGCTGGATTGCTCACGAAGGAACTGTACTCTGTTTGCTAAGAGACAGTAGACTGTAAATGATCAGTGAATTTGTTTTTTTAAATCCAATAAGCCTTCTCAATGAGGCATTATTGCAAGGTGGGAGACTGACCTGTAGAATAGTCGCTTTCGTCATACAAACGATCAACCAGTGGGCGAACGATAAGATTATTCACTCTCGGACTTGTCAACTGTTCAAAAGAGTACGGATCATCTATCCACGAGCCAAATCATCAGTCATTGGAGAATGTAAAGGTGTTTAGAGTGTTCTACCAATGCTTGCAATGACAAACTTTCTTATCCTGCAAAGCGACGCAGTCAGCAATAATTTACTTCGATCTTTGTGAGTGTGATAAATGTCGTACCGATGTAAAGTAATAAAGACTGATGGTTGATGCCACTCATCCTCTTGCTCAACATCCGTGTCAGTGCGATAGCTCCTGGCGACATCGCTGAACAGTGTTCTCTCGTCTGGCTCGAACGCGTCTCTAGAGTTGAGGGACAAAGAGTCCGCGTTTTGGTTCATAATATTTGAGCGATTGTGGGCAGACAAGAGCCGAACTTCAATTATTGGCGGAGGGTCTTGAGATTTATTAATGTGCAAGCTCGGGACGATGCCAAACTCAATGCCGCTGAGTGGAGTTGTTCACTCTTCGGCCGGTTTGGTCTTGTGTGGAAGCTACCGATCAACCCCGTTTTATTGACCTTTATTCCTAAACTCCATGGAGCTCCAAATTCTCGAGTGGTGCACGCTGTCGTGCTCTCAACCTTTTTTTCTCACGGACATTATTCGATGTCGGGCTTTGTTTATTAGTCTTATTACTCCCCAGCCGTCGCACTCTTTGCGCAGCTATTTGTCCCCTCTCCGAACTTGAGGTGAACAAACCCCCTCATCAGATCGGTCGAAGGGTTGTACAGATCATCAGTCCAAATAGCGTAAAGGGTTAACCGGGAGAAATCCACATTGGGGCTGTGTAAAATGCGACCGACTGCGCCTTTGTTGGTTGCCTCCCATCTAGCCATTCCATTTAATAACAATTCTGGTGAGCAAGTTCTGGGAGATGACTTGAGTATCACCTCTCTGGCTATGACGTACGCGGTAATTTGGCTTGGCACTTTTGTAGTGGATCGCTGGTGTCAGATGCACCCTGTGCTGTAGGGAGTGAGGGGTTCGAGCAGCGGTGTGAGCTCTAATTCAAGACTTGTTGTAATTGAGCATGATCTGACTGGACAGAAAGCGAGTGAGCAAGCGACACCAAAATGGCTGACGAGATTCCACTTGACCTAAAGACACGTTGAGCATCCATTCCCAGCATTAACAAAGCTACCAGTAATCCAGCCTGCGATGCCACTGGTAGAACAAACAGAATTGCCACAGTCAACACACACGCCAAGTCATCTCTTTCTTCATCCTCAAGCCCCCATCCCCATGGATGTTGTGAATGCTTATTACAGACAAGCTTTTTAGCGTCAGTTACAGGCAACAACACCCCTGCACTGGAGGCTCAGGTGTGCACACCCCTAGCTCAAGACGCGATAACACCAAGTAGCAACTGCATGAGACTTGAACAATACTTGACAAACAATACACCTGCGGTGATACTTTTTACGTATCGAAATCCCGCAAAGATCGGTCTCGACGTGAGGGATTTACTTCCAGCGTTGCCGTGGTATTCATCAGCGAGAAATTGAGCCTGCGACGATGCTGTTCTGGGACAGATCATCTGTCCTTTTGTCCCGCCTTGCTTGTCACGTCGAGGTATCGTTCCCAGCTTGAGATTATGTCCGGAGACTACCACAATACCATGTGGTCTGAGCATGCAGGGCTGGCTCATGTGGAGACCCTCCCTGATCGTTCATGGGCCCTTGACACATCACCCTGCCGATCCCTGACTTTTAGCGTGCAACTCTTTGACTGGCGGGTTCGTAACTTTGCATCAAATACACTCTCCTTTTATCTTTCCGAATAGGTGAGCCCTATAATGGTATCCCGAGGTGAGGTCGTCATAGATGGTGTACATGGGCAGCCACCGCGAAGCACAAGCCAAACCAGATAGAGGAACCTACGGGAACGGCAGGCACTTGTGGTTGCACGCCGAGTTCGTCAACAACCAAACGTGCTTATAGATTGCGCATTGGATGCTGGACGTGAATTGATAACTTTACTATACTAAATCATTTTACTTTATTTGTGTAGGCTAGTATATGAACGTAAACCTGTACTAAGCATAGAGTGTACACCTCTGTCCATAGACGAATCAGCAGATAAAATGTAGGGTAATGGGCTCCTATGGATATTGTTCGTCGTAGGTTCCATATCAGGTTTCGACGAGTGACATCTGTCAACGAGTAGCATCCCAAGCTCTCCGCAATTTGGCGACCTAGCACTCTCAGCATTGACTTCGAGTGGCCGTGACGCGTACTGCCGGCGGTTTCGTCAATACGGGCAAGGCAGACAGATCTACGCGACTTCATTGAAGAATAAATATTAGCAAACAAAAACACTCGAGATAACCACAACTCACAACTCACCATAGGGGACATGTACGCGAACGGCGAGTAAGCCATGGATCGATGCATTCAGGATGGAACAAATGACCGCAAGGTACTCTTCTCAACCTGGCCCCGTTCTCAAAGTCTTCCGTGCATATTGAACAAGCTGGTCGAGTGCTTTCTTCCAACTGTCCGGTGTTTTCTTCGTCGGGATTTAGTGAGCGTCGTGGAACACTAGGCGTGCTAAAACAGCGCTGTAGCTTGGCCAGTTTTGTCGTCGACTTCATTATTCGTAGAGTTGGTATCGTTTTGGAATGCATCCGACTGTCGAAAATAATCGTAGTCATGTTTTCCACGGCATCCCTTCCCAACCCAGCTGTGGTTCTGCGTCGTGAAAGTTGTGCTCTTTCTAGGGTTTGGCGAAGTCTTCGGTCTTGCCACACCCAATGATAGATACAGAACACGGCGATGATAATCATAACCATGACGCAAAGAACAATTCCCCAAAGAGTGGCTGTTTTTGTATCATGAGATGTTTTTGAGTCCTCAGATTCCGCCATGTATGATATCTATGATTGAAAGAGAATACAGAAATACCAGCAGTTAAAGGACTCAATGGATGGATTAAAAGAGAAGAATTGATGTTCAATGAATAATAATGTGTTTCCCCCCTCCGGATTTGCCCCAGTTTCTCTAACTTATGGAATCAAAGGCTGGTTTGTTTACGCAGGGTTTATTCCCGAGGCACATGCTTACTCGCTAAATTCCTTGGGGAATTTGCTCACAAACAGTCATCCAGGTGTGTCTTTAGTGGCCTGATGTATGTCGGAAGTATACCACGAGGCACAGCACGACTAAAACAACAATCGATTCGCCGTGGATCTTTGGGTCTTGCCTGGACTGAGACCCTGGAATGCCAAACGTAAATAACTCAATTCAACCTTATTGGCCGGAAGTTACCACATCGTATTAAACAGACTCATCTCACGGTCCGCTTCCATATTGCCTCTCGCCGTGTTCTCTGAGTAGTCCCTTCAAATCCCTATTTTAATCTCCACCTTCAAAGTATCGGCACCAGACGATGTATTTTATATAATTTCTCATATAGAAGTATTTCTAATTATTTACATTTGGATTCAGGCACTACTAAGGGACATGAGTGTGAGGCTTCCCACTTTTATAAGGGGGCGACAGAACCAGCAAGTGCGTTAAAACTGCAACTTTTTAATCAGTCTGGTTAAATATACTAGGTGACTAAATAGGTTGGACATTGGAAAAGTCACGCAGCACTATATTTATTGTGTATTAGTATTTTTGTCTGGGTACTGATAATATATGTGATCTCGTCTAGGGTAGCTTGATTACGGTTTTGATGTAGTGATGGGTTTCGCTGCCTCCTCTTCAGAGGTTGCAGCGCAACTACTGAAGTCCCCGGCTAGAGGTAAGTTCCACTGTACACTCGAACCAAGTAAGCTTATGTCTACAGACAAGGGATCAGAGACAGCACCACCTTTAGTAATCAGTTAACCCGGTCATGGACACGTTTATGAGCTACTTTTCCAAGTACTTCTACAAATGTATTTTGAACTTTACTGCATTTGTTATAGATATTACCTATAAATGTTAAAGCTCTGGCAAAGCTTTTTGATATATGGGATGTAAGTCCGGTCTGGAGTAGGCGTATGGCTATGTTGTAAAAGGCTTCTTTTGCTCAATTGTCCATGGAGATATACACAAAGCCTGCTGTTATTGATATGGTAAGCAGCTATACTACATGCAGATTAAATCAATTAAGAAAAGAAATATCGGAATACCACAACAAATTACCTCAGAACGAACTATAGAAGAACTGCACTCGATGTAATATGGCTATCCCTATATTATCTTGACAAAAGTACCAGAGCGTTATGCTTTGTAAATCGTGGACACACTAGTGCCTTAGCATTTTATCGTTTATGGCCTGGCATTGATTGCATCATGCTTGCTATTGGTCTAACCTGCTGCGTGACACGGAAGAAAATAAATGATAAGGATCTCAGGGCCTTATCAGAGAAGAATAACATATCGCTTCTCCTGTCTGTTTAGCATAGTCAGGTATTGAACTCAATAGTCTTAGGTCCCGTTAGACATATACCTGCAGGAGATATTAGATACTACTAGTTAAAGACAGTGTTACTGAAATTAAACCCTTAAGCTTTTCTTTCGCTATCCCAATAACCTCCACATTCCTTCTTTAATACAGAGTGAACGCACTCGATGTCCACGCATTGGTTTGCCGTCACAGTTTGGTAGCATGCGTTCCATTATTACATTTGCCTCGGCCATCAGCGGGTGATTAGTTAGCGTTCGAGATTATCTTTCTATTTACTGAACTGTTTTATAATTATTAAATTTGGAAGAAATTCTCAAGCACCTGCATGCTAGCAAACTCTCGAGCCTCGGTCTGTCTAAGCTTGAGATCAGGACAGCGAGTCACCATGGAACGAAGATCTATGGCAGACGTCTTTTGATGTTTGTAAATATCCCGAAAACACAACTACGTCAAGGTTCCTATGAAGAAGATACTGTGTGTTGTTTACTAATCGTTCAACCGAGGTTAAAGTTTCCCACGTCACAGTGAACCACCAACCCTAGCTCGCAACCTAGTCCGAACCGGGAATGGGCCGAGCCTTACAGAAGCGAAGGGCAATGGCATTTTGCTCCCAATGGATACTTCTGAGTCGCAAATTTGGGGTATCTGTGTGATCGACGAGTGTAAATTACGTCACAGGGTCCCTCTGGAAACTCTTTGAGGCAAGATTGCGACCATCGTGGGCCCGCTGGATGACGCACACACGGATGAAACAATATCAGACTGATGGTCGATTTAATTGTTGAACAAGACACCTCAACAAAAACTGACAAAACAGAGCACGCGACAAGCAACTGATCGCTGTTTGCATTCGCGGAACCGGTCGACCTAAATAGGTATTGCATTCGAGGACAGTGTGGGGCAGTGAACTTTGCATATCAGCTGTTTCTTTGCTTTGTCGCCTTGCTCCTCATACTACGCGTACATTCTTACCTACTCCTGGTCAAGGTTGCGAGTCTCTGACGAAGGCCTATCGCACATGTCGAAAGATCTGTTGAATATTCCTGTTCCATGTGTCAAGTTAAGAGTATTAACCTCGGCCTTTGCTTCAAGACGAAGAAGCATTAAAGGCACCGATGCGATTGATGAATCATCACTGCGTTCCAGAATAGTCTTTCCATCTAACTATTCAACAACATCACTCAACATTCACCTTTAACATACGATAGCACGACGAAAAATTCATGATGGGTTCTCCAAAATCTATCAAGTCTACTTGGCCGCTCAGCAACAAGGCAGACTGGAAATTAAGCCAGCAGATCATCCACTTACTCGACGTTTATCCTGTCAAACCAGGCAAAGAAGTGCCTGTACATCCGAAAACCGACAAACTGCCCTACTTCGCTGAATGGCAGGGCCACGTCTGGGTCATGTTGCACGCCCTTGCTCCTATCACGATCCACCAGGCACTCCTTGCAGTCACCCACGAGCAGGGCCTTCACCCGATCATAGTCTTCGTCCTCTACTTTGTCACATTCAGCTGGACGGTCGTGCGTCAGGTCAGAGCTGCCCAGAAGCTCGGCCATGAGTATGGGTTCCTCGATGGAGATGTTCACGAAAGAGACGGGATCCCTGATATTGGAGTTGATAAGGTGGTTGCATCCCTGTATAAAACAACTGGATCTCGGATCTTCTTGGCCACGCATATCAGTTACAAAGTCAACCAGTCTCCTATTTCAGTCATGAGCGATCCGTACTGGTGGGCAATGTTATGGCTTCAAATTGGACTCTACGGCGTTATTCTCGACTTTTGGTTCTACGTATATCATCGCGCTATGCACGACATCGACTTCCTCTGGAAGTACCACCGAACTCACCATCTCACCAAGCACCCAAATACTCTACTATCCGCATTCGCCGACCACGAGCAGGAGTTCTTCGACATGGTTGGCATACCTTTCATGACCTGGGCAACCTTCCAAGTCTTTGGCATTCCCCTAGGCTTCTACGAATGGTGGATCTGCCACCAGTATATTGCCTTTACCGAAGTCCTTGGCCACAGCGGTCTCCGCGTCTACGGCATGCCACCTTCAACATTCTCTTGGATACTGAGCCTACTTGGTCTTGAGCTGGTGATTGAGGACCACGACTTGCATCACCGCAAGGGATATAGAAAGAGCCACAACTATGGCAAGCAGACTAGGGTATGGGATCGTTTGTTTGGAACATGTCATGAAAGAATTGAAGCGACCAAGGACAATATTGATTGGAATGAATCCGTGTATTTCCCTATTTTCTAGAATACATTATATAGCAATAGGTAGTTAACTTCTACCTATTTTCTACTCGATCTTAAATTGAACATACGATTACTCATATAGTATGCTTGTGGCATTTTAATTGGTGATGAAAAGATTACGTTGTTATGAAGAAGAAAAGTTTTGTGTTTAGTAAAAGTTGAAAGGAAAAAAATAACGTTACTTTTTAGGCTTCCGCTCTTCTTTAGTTAACTTGCTTAACCTTGCAGATTAATAGTGTAGTGCTGGGACCTCAGCAGGCTCTTAGGATCTGTAGATTTGTCCAGCATAGCACTAAAATCAATAATGGCTTCTTAACTCAAGAACAGTCTATCTAGTAGTGCCTATATAAAGCTTGTGAAAATTGCCAGTAAAGGGGTGCATATTTGCTATATGTTTGGTCCACCTGCTTGTGTCCTTTCTTTGAGTCTTGCCTCCGTTTGGTCACTATTTTCACTCGTTTCACTCGCTTGTCTCTGTCGCTCTTTATCATGGCTCGCCTGTATTTTCTCTCCGGGTCCATTGCCTTGATCGCTCTCGCTGGCGTCAACGCTGGACAATGCCGTCCCTCATCACCTGCTGTGACTACCACTACTGGCCTTGAAACAACAGCAACCACGTCTATCGATATCGGTGACACCACCACCGTCCCGTTTACATCTCTTACTGCGACCGAGTCGACGGAGACGCTCGCTGTCACACTTTCAGCCTCCGAAACAAGCAACACTGGAACAGCTGTGGCTAGCACTATTGCTCCTGTCGCGTCAGATACCACCACCGCCATGACTACCGATGCCGTGACAACTACTGTAGACGCCACTACCACCACTGTGGCTGCAACAACCAGTGCTGCTCCAGCTGAGGCATGCAATGGGCTGCCGAGAGAGTACACTGCACCTCGAGGGACCACGTTTGACATTGACTGTGGACGTAGGCCCACTGGCAACGTGAGGCTCATTGGCCAAGAGGATGCAACTGACTTCAAGGCTTGTGTGTATATTTGTGATGGAAATCAAGACTGTTCGGGTGCAATCTGATTTCAAGACTCCAGCGGGTATCTCTTGGTCGATTCATTCGATGGTACTGAAGCGTCCAATAGCGACGACTTTGCTAAGGCGAGGTCACGCGGTACCTGATCTACCTAGGACCTGTTGGTGCACAGAATTCCGCGACGTGCATAGCTGTATGGAGACCTTTAGTATGTTGAGATATATGCGGCTTTTGGTTGAGCCAAACCACGTTATCAAGTCATAACAAATTCAAGTATCAATAGATGGTTGCGATCCGGGGGAGTATTATCCACGGCTAATATTTATCAATACATTCCCACTCGAGAGGTGGACCAAAGTCAGAGTACGATGGTTCTATGCTTACAATCGCCGAACGTCACTGTTTATGTGCTGACATTTTTCTCCGACACAACGGTAGTGTTACCGTCCTTGCCAACCTTGTCTACCTCAAGAGACTCTTCAAGATTCTGTACTGATCGGTCTCCGTACTTCTTCATCGTCATCTTGTCAAGCTGGAGAGTATTAGAAACTTGATTTAGCCCTAACAAGGAAAACTTACATAGTTAACAAGCCAAATATAACAGAACATCACAGTACAACCGCCCAGAAGGGCGATGGAGCCCTTCTTCCAGTAAGGTGCATCAGCAGCACTGTAGAAGATGATGCCCCAGAAGGTCCACATGACCATTGAGCCAATGTTCATTGAGTAGAGGGTCACGCTGCGCATGGCATCATCGCCAGTTCGCTGCAAAATTATATTTGCCCAGCCAAAGATCAGTGGGTTAACCATGTAGGCCGATCCAGCAAGATAGAAGGCAAACATAGTACCCTCCATAGACAAGTTCTTGACGAGGAGCATCGATCCCACGATAATTTGTAGAAGGACCGCAAGGATAGCCATGGGGATGCGTTGGCCCGTTGCGTCCATGTGCCAAGCGGCAAGCATATTAGCAACAATACCGACAGCTTGTACTCCAAGAGGATACGTGTTGATCTGTGCCTGCGTGAATTTCTCGTTGTAGTACTTGAGCCACAGAAGAAAGCTGTTCTGGAAGGGGAAGCCTTCAGTGCTGGCACAAACGGGTGACCAGAAGAAGAGGACCCAGCTATTGGCAAAGTCAGTCGATGTCTCTATACAGCAGGGGAGGGTGCGATGCTTACAACATGGGAGTAAAAAATACACGCTTGATCAGAGACAGCGGCATGATGTTGTGGCCGTCCTTTTGAATAGGAGGAAGTCTGGATACTGCCATCTTTCTCTCATCTTGGGAGAGGTATGGGGCCTTGGTGTTCTCTGGGATGTCAGGGAAGTAGAGGAAGCCAAAAACAGCAATGGGCAAGGTGATGATGCCATCTACTTCAATCAGCTTTTGTCATAGCGAGTAAAAAAATGTCACTACTCACCGATCAAAAACACCCACTGCCATCCATGCAGACCAGACATACCCCTCATTCCTTTGTGAATAGCGGTCATCATAACACCAGCAAACATAGTGCCGACTTGACCCGATGCAGTGAAGAGAGCAGTCCTCTTGGAAATCTCCTCAGGCTTGTACCAGGCGCCAATGATGTAAATGGTACCAGCATATGTACTGGCTTCAGCCAAACCAAGAAAGAATCTGATTACGCAGAGTTGAGTGACTGTTTTAGCTGCGGCGCTTGCCATCTAAGATGTGTAAGTTGGAGAGCTCTAAGCTGAGAAAGAGACATGATCTTACTGTCAAGCCAGCCCAAACGACAACCATTGAGGGAAACCAGATACGCGGCGCAATCTTTTGAATGATGACACCGTGAGGGAGTTGACCTATAGCCATACTAAACGGAAGGTAAGAAAAGACACCAAGTGACGAGTCGTGGTACTCACCCAGCTGTAGTGAGGGAAAGGACCTTATTGTAGTCATAGCCGGTCATGTTGAGGGATTCACGGAGTCCAGCGACCTACAGAACGTTAATTACGCGAATCGGGATACTACTTAATATAACATACGTATGCATTAGCGAAAGCAGCGCGGTCTGTATCACATATTAGTGGTATCACATTAATAGCAGAATTAGAGCTTACCAAGAAAGTTAAAGAAGTAACTGAAGCAACAGTATGTCTGGATTGGATCAGTAAATATTTACATATTTGACTTAGCCAACATACCATAATGAAGAAATCTGTGAAGGTCAGCAACTGGCAATTTCAGTGAACACAAATGGAACGTACCTAATTTCCTCACGAGTCTTCTCTCCTCACTAGATTTTGCCGCCGCTCCGAGGAAGAAACCTTGCCAAGTCAGCGCACTTCGCTATACCTTCCAGACAACAGCTTTACTCACTGCGAAGGCCATTGCCGAAACCACCTTTGGATTCCATCTTACTTGCTTTTGTTCAAACAATGCGTGCCAGGGGATCAAAATGAAGGCTCAAACCAAGAGGAAAACAGATCAGCAAACGATTTTCTTTATCAATCAGCGAAACCCCTCTTGCCCTTCCAGATTAGATTATCTGATTAATAAGATAAACCGAAAAGTTCCTCGCCGCTTACCTGCAAGCACGCTGGCACGTTGCACTAAACTCGTATCGACCGGTCGCACTTCCAAGAACAGGTTAGCCAAGGGTCTGCCAAGGGTTTCCAAGCGGACCCTGAAGCCAGAAAAGTCACCTCGGTCGCGAGAGTTGCATTAAAGTGGAGGATAAGGTTTCTTTTAAGGTGTAACCATAGCTTTAGGCGAGTCAGATGCTGGGTTCGGCCGACTTTGATCCACAGACACGCGTGGAATTCCGATTTTAAGACGGTTCCAGACACTCGGTTCGAATGATCATGCACTCGGCTACAGTTGTTCGGGCCATTCTCTGACGCCAATGGCTGGATGCAGGGCTGAGGCATTTTAAAGCTTCGGCTCTTGAAATTAGCATCGGTATTACCCTTGTAGCTACAGCATCGGCTATCATTAGCCGATAGGTCTACCCGTAAACCGCAGAGAGCTCGCTTACTACCCAATTCCTTCCTAGTGAGAGATCTAATCAATCATACACACGTAAGTAACAAAAGCCCAGCACGTATCGCTTACTACCCAATTCCTTCCCAGTGAGAGATCTAATCAATCATACACACGTAAGTAACAAAAGCCCAGCACGTACAACCATTCATCTGGACGGAGTATATTATGTCGAGTCAGTACGGATAGTTGGAGGAAAATGTACCTCCTCCGCCAGTAACCTTATCAGAAAAATCCCGACTCTCGCTTGAAATCCGACAACCAGGTCAAATTATCAGCTGGAGTTTGATTCCATACATCATCACTGATGGGGTCAAAGTCAGCTGACACGACAAGACTCAGCCCTAGGGTCATTACTTACCTGTCATACTCAATCCAGCGCGCCTGATACTGAAGCTCTTCATCTGTGGGTAGATGGCTTGTTGGATTTAACGGCGAGATGGTACGCGCAACGTAGCGAGTCAGGGCTCTGGTTAAACCTCTATACATGTTGCCATCGTTGAGAGATACCACTCTCTGTCTCTCGGTAAAGGCGCTTGTCTCGAGGCCATGTTGGGATGGCAAAGATGTCGGTCCAGTGGTTTTGTCCTCGGGGAGGGGTTGATATGTTGTATTTTCGCTGATAATACCGGTTGATATTTGAGCAGTGCTCAACGAAGCACTATCATGCGAACCTCCGAAGAATGAATTGCCATTACTGAGAGGTAGTCCTGTCCGCAGCCGAAACGGTCTCAACCAATGTGTCGAGCCATACACCAGAGTGATCAACAAATTAACAAACATGGGCGACGCATTTGGCATGTGGTTGATGATAGAGCAGGCCTCTCGCTGGACTTCATCATCACCGATATCCAGGTTGAGTAGCTTCAACATGTCGACATACTGACACAGAGAAGCCTCGAGCTTACAATCCTCGAAAATGTCCTTTTTGCTATGAATCCTCAATTCAGTGAACCGAGATCTGGCGGCACTCTTCATTGGCGTCATACGTGCTCTCGTGGTTATCTCATCCGTGCCCATCAAGAGATCTCGTAGCCAAGACGAAGCTGTCGGTAAGGTGTCCTGGTAACACATCTCGGCGCCGAAAATAATACAGCATGCTTCTAAATGCAGGGTCTTATCAGATGGAGTGCAGTGATTTATATCGACATAGTCTGAGTAAAAGTAGTCGAGTTCCAGCTGCAGTAATTCGAAGGCGCTGGTAGAACTGTACGGGGCACCTTGCTGTGTGGTGAAGGGAAGCGGCGAGTTACGCTCGTAGTCGATGAGGTCTGTTACAATATCAGCAGTGCGCAAAAGCAGCACCTCAATAAGGATAACTCACACGGAGGCATCGAATTCTCCACCATTTCAAGCGTTGCAGCGTCAAAGCCCCAGTTGCCCTTCCAGTCAGCCATTGTGCTCCCTTCTTTAAAGTGCCCTGCCAAGTGGTTGCCCCTTTCAGACCAGGTCGTCATATCGACGTCGCAGAAACCGCACCTCGATATCACATTTTCATGCTTCAACTTCCACTCTTCCATTGGCCATTTCATAAACTCGGATCTATGGACTAGTCGCAGGTGCTGTCGTAGGTGGTCTTTTCTGAAGAAGGTCCTTTCTCCTCTTTCTCTGTTATGACATAGATCGTGGTTATGTGTCTCAAAGTGTAGATCCCCTGGATTGATGATACCGCAGTAAACGCAGACTAGTTCACCATGCTGGTTGAGCATCGTTGGTCCAGAAGGAGAGCACTCCCACTGTTCAAGGGACAGATGCTGGGTTCTTTCGTGTCTCAGCCATGTATGTTTGAGCTTGAACGTCTCAGTACAGAACGTGCATTGGAATCGGTGGCAGGCCTGTGATAAGTCTCTTGAGGCAATATTTCTCTTACGGAGACCACCTCGTCGACGCTTTTTGGTCACCTTTCTGAGTGACTCAAGAGATCCGTCTGACCCTTGGGAATAAGCAGAGGCTCGCGAACTTCTACTCGAGTCAGAAGTCTCAGCGCTTGCGATAGTCGAAGATGGCTTATGTCTTGGTCGGCTGCTGCTCGGCGCATCATCCAAGGCGCCAGACAATGCCCGTGCGATTGCTTCCATACTGGGAGGCTCATCCTCCGGCGGAGAGTTCCTCCATCGATCAAACGGAGTCTGCTGAATCGAGGGGGTAGCCGGGCGCCGAGACGGAATATCCCGAGGACTGGTGTCAGAGGATATTGAGCTCTGGTCTGTGGCATCTTGCGATGTGAATTTATTCCTGCGACGAGCATTGGCGAACCAATTCAAGATTTGTTTTCTGCTGAGTCCAGATTGCCTCTCTAGAGCCTCCACATCTTGAACACTGGGGTACGGGTGATGCGTATTGTTTGATAGCCACTTGTTGAGTATTCGTACTGAGTTGAGGGAGAGTCGTCTGCCGCATTTGGGAGGGGTTGGTGCTGGGGTTTCTGATGTCGCAAGAGAGTTAAGAGGTGCTGAAACAAACCCAATCGAGTTGGAACTGGCTGGAGCGAACGTCAATCCAACTACCACGTCGTTGGGAAATGCTCCGACCTCGGGATAGTGGCCGGTATGCAAGTTGCTTGGATCGACGGTATCCTCAGATGCAAGATGTGATGTCGCAATGTGAAGGTCAGTCAGACCTTCGGTTGGCGATGTTACGTAATTGAGTATGTCATAAGTTCCTGACGAGCTCTCATAGGGGTCGGAGTTTGGATAGACTTCCCTGCTGCTATTGTCTTCCATATTTGTACCCGAATTGAGGCAATGATGGTCCTTCAACTTGAGATACTGATGGTAAATCGTGCAGTGAGTTTGGCCGGCCACTCGGCCCACTCTTTTCTTGTCATCTTCAACCCTTCAGTCTGACTCCTAATCAATTGTCGGGGACCATTTTATTCCGGATTAGGATTAGCCAAAAATAAGAAGACAATAATGAACAAGATTAAAATACTGTGGTCTGGCCAAGGAGCCCGCATAAAAGGTTCGAGTCGATTTGTTTATGAGCTCCAAAGACAGATCTCTATGAGCAATAAGGTCTAAACTTCTAAATTCTTTACTCTTGCCTTATCCGCTCTTCTAGTAGCTTCAAGAAATAACGCAGAAAAGGCCATCGTAACACCTGCAAAGATCTGTGCTCCCAGGTACTTTCCATCCATTGCTCCAATGAGAGCTCCACCAATCGGCGATCCAATCAAGCTTGCAATACTTCCAAGACCAAAGACCATTCCCATTCGCGTGCCAGGTTTGTCAGTGCCTGCTGTTAGATAGGCAAGGCCAGCTGGGAAGAGACTCTGGATACCACCGGAGAATATTCCACAGAAAACTGTCCAAGTATACATTCCTGGAGCTGTTTTGACTGGGATCCACAGGAGAAGAGTAAGAGATGTTGCTCCAAGGATAGGGACGAAGACCATCAAAACTCCCAGTCTGTCTGCCACTAATCCGGAGCCTAGACGGCCGATGAGGTTGACACTGTTAAAAACCAAGAGAAGATCCATTGACTTCTGGTATGAGAATGGAGGCGAGATTGATGTTTGCGAAAAGTCGACGACGAAGAAAATGGAGATATACAGACCCAGCAAGGACTAAGGAAATATCAGTTAATAATCTCAGGAATACACGAGACATGTTAGCGCTTACCAGGAACACTGATATGGTATAGTTGTTAAACCGGAAGTCTTCAAACGCGGTCCAGTCGACCCAGCTTGTAGTCTTCTCCACCTTTGTTCTCGGCCTCAAACAAACATTCGCCATACCCAATGTTACAAGCTGAATCAAGGCAATAACCCGCATCGTCCACGGAAATCCCAACGTAAGAATCAACTGACGCATTATCGCGGAGTAGACCAATCCTCTCGTACATGATCCGCACGTTGTAATCCCAATCGCCAACCCACGACGGGCGGAGAAGTATGGCGACATGACAGCGAACATAGGACACGACATCAGTCCGTTACCTAAACCAACACCGAGACCGAGAGTGGGGAACATGATTCAGAGCTCTGAACCGAAAGACGCAGCGAAAATGCTAACGACGCTTGCGAGCGAGCCTGCTAGGAAGGTGACTCTAAAGTACCCAGCGTCTGTGAGTCGGCCGGAGAATACGCCGATAAAGAAGTACAGGAAAATCTGCATGGATCCAACCCATGAGACGGTTGAGGATGGCTCGATGTATGTGTCGATGAAGTGGCTTTGAAGTGGCTTTAAAGTGCGCCAAAGGAATTTGTGAAGCCTGAGGTGTTCATGACGACGAAGTGTGATGAGAGCACGACTATGCAAGTCAGCGATATGAATTGATGTCTTGGGAATTCCCTTACTGAGTATACTCGTGCGCCAGCTAGTTTCTGGCTTTTTCTCGTGATAACTGTTATTAGTTGGGGCAGAGCTTAGCTGAGAAGCCCGGGTGGTGCTTTTGCTACTGCAATCCTCCATGTCGCTCGATCCCATCACTTAGGCTGGTTGAACTGTTGTGTGCATCTTGACGTTTGTCATCTGGTACAATAAGGTGAGAAATGCAGTTGAGAATGATCTGGATTATTTACTAATACTTTGAGCTCAAAAACCAGAGCGGACTTTGTGGTTTATGTGAAGGCGTTAATGTGGGTCTTGTCAACCGAAGGGTTGAGCTATTGGTAGGGCAGCAATTACATTACACGACTATTGAGGCGATACGAGAAACGTCACTAAACGCTTTAGTTCAAGTACTCTGCAGCCATGGAGCCCCATGATCAAACCTACAGAAGAGCAGATTTTACTACGAGGGGTGGCTATTGATATACAGTACAGAGGACTGTGACACGATATTGGCTGCTGAGTTTTAGGGACCCTACTAAGCTCAACACCCTGGTCTGCTAGAATTTAGGTGGTCTTGGCTTCGGGACCTCTGATCTTTACTCATTTTGTGAGCCTTACTGGATGATAACGGTTGCGGGGCGGGGTAGCTTCAATTTTATCTCGCGGTCTCCAGATCCAATGTCCGAAGATCAAATAGAACACGACAAGATACAATCGCTTGCTGAATCATAGATGCAATCATGGACTTTACCCCCATTATCGACCATCAGGTCGTAAATGCGTCTCTTTCGGACAAAATGTTCTCCATCATGGCTCCAGCGGCCTTGTTTGGATCTCTGCTCCTCTCCTTCTTAGCCACTGCAAACACATCTACTCCGCATGTCACCCTCCATGGCTATGGGATATTCTCTGGCACGAATATCACAACTACTTTCAAGGGCGATGGCCTTCCCATTGGTGTCGATGCTTGGCTTGGTATGGACTATGCCGAACAGCCCGTGGACAACCGGCGCTTCCGTCCACTACAATCACAGCCTGCATCATTCAGCGGAGTTCGCAACGCTACCAAGTACAGCTCTATCTGCCTACAGGATCTCAAATATCCATATCCTGACGAGCAAGACGAGGCATGCCTAAACTTCAATGTCTATCGCACGCCTGGTATTCCTTTGAGTAGGAAACTACCGACACTTGTCTGGATCCACGGCGGAGGCTTTGCGTCCTTCTCGGCGCGAGACTTTGACGGCGCTTCCTTCGTCGCTTCTTCCGCCAGTCCAGTTGTTGTTGTCACTTTCAACTATCGTCTTAATGCGTTTGGCTTCCTACCCAGTAAGCTATTCAAGGGTCAAGGTCTCCTCAATCTCGGTCTTCAAGACCAACATTTCTTCTTGAAGTTCTTGCAGCAGCATTTGAGCTCATTTGGTGGAGATCCTCGACAGATTACGCTTGGAGGTCTTTCGGCAGGAGCACATTCCACAGGCTTCCATTATTTCCACAACTATGGAGTCGATAAAAACAAGCCTCTCTTTGCTAGGGCGTTTCTTCAATCCGGTTCAGCTATCGCTCGTTCATTTCCAGGTGTGGACTATCCCCGCTACAAGGAGGATTTTGCTGGTCTCATGGACCACACCGGCTGTTCGCCTGATGGCGATGATAATGCGCAGATGGATTGCCTGCGTGGTGCATCAGCTGAGAAGATCAGAGAGTACGCAGGCAAGGCATACGAGAATGCCAAAGACCAATTGAACTGGCCATGGCAGCCATCCATCGGCGGTCCTTTGCTAGAGAAAGCAGGATCTCAGAGTGGAAGCGATAGTACTTTTCACCATCTTCCTATACTCACAACTTATACTTCCGACGAGGGAAAATACTATACCCCTGGTAACTTGGAGACGAACGATGATTTTATCCAGTTCATGCATCGAATCAGTCCCGCTCTCAACATCACCGACCTTGCCCTTATCAATGAACTTTATCCAGACCCGTCCACAAATCCCGACTCACCTTGGGCTGGCTCTCCCAATAGCACGCAGTACAACCGCATCTCAGCTGCATGGTCTGACATGTCTTACATATGCCCCAGTCGGCAAACGGCAATTACAACATCACGCGCAGGGGTGCCTACGTGGAGACTGCACTTCAACACACCTGACTTTCCACTGGAAGCGCAGTCGTGGAGAGGTATCCCTCATGCTTCAGACTCGGCATATGTGTGGAATGATCCGCAGGTTGCCTATCCAGAAACGGCGAGGATCTACTATGGGTATATCAATAGTTTTGTAGTCACTGGTAACCCTAACACGTTGAGGCTGGATGGCACGGTGGAGTGGTCAGAGTACAAGGATTCTGATGGATATGCGAAACAATTGTTGATGAATCCGGGGAACTTTACTGTCGTGGAAAAGGACAGCAGCAGATCCCGTCAGTGTAGTTTTTGGAATGATATCGAAAGGGCTGGCAGACTTTATAAATAATAGTAGGCAATCGGTGGCGATCTTATCTGAAACTCTCTGAGCTTTCAATTAGAAAATGGTGCTTTTCTCCTAAATCGAGAGCTGGATACCAGTTTTGGATAAGGGCTGGAATAATGAGAAAATCCCATACTGTAGCGAAAGATGGATTGGGATTTTATATACCATGAGATCCTTTACAGCGGTTTTATTTGAGGCGTATTTTACCCAATTCGATAGTCCTTATAACATTAGCGTTCAGTACACAGTTTTGTCAAAAACCAAGTGTTTAATTACCTCAACCTGGAACGCCAAGTTCTTCATTCACCTATAACTTCTTCCTACGTCGCCGCAGCCATGGCTGCGTATGATCCTTCGTAGGAACGCAGCTCAGCCTTATCCTAAAATGCTTAGAGTATCCGTCCTTTCGTGTGATAGTTCGCTTAGTGAACCAAGACCGGCATAGTATTACGACAATGCACAGCCCAGTCCCGAAGGATCCGTCGGCAATTAAACGTCCCCCGAGATGCACACAAACTCACAAACGGACTCCCTTTATGTAATCGACATCTCAAAAATGACATCAGTACTCATCCCTTTGCTCGAAAGGATAGCCTTGTTCCGCTGATTCAGCTAAGAATAAGGTCAGCAGGCCCACACACGGGATCCCTGTCTCTTCCTCCGCGGGGCTGGATATTCGGACTCGCGTCAGATTCAGCCCGAGCTATCCTGGGGTTCCGAGACCGCTATTGGTTGAACAGCCGAGTCTATTTTTGTGATTGTCAGGAACGCGACATAGGATTTGCCACGCCACGAAGCAAGCCTCAATAAGACTCACCGTCGTGGCTCATGATTTACAGACATGCCGATGACGAGAATGCGAATTGGGTCAAAAGGATTATCAGTAGGCATCTAAACGTTAGTACTTAAATATCCGTGAGCCCAATATTATTTGTGTCAATTGTAATCATCTATCTATTCATCCATTCCCTCACTTTCGTGTATTTTTATAGCTTAGGTTCCAAGGCGCATCTGTAGCGTTGAATTCTTTTTTCGTCGATACCCTTGTTCTTTATTTTTAGCATTTCAAATATTCTCATATTTCACAATGGACTACTCAAACAGCTACGGCGAGAACCCTACCACTCCGCATGGGAAGGTATCAAAGGCCAAGAAGGGAAAACCCGTCCACGTTTGTTCTGAATGTCAAAAGGTATGGGCATCCCTCCCACGAATGTATCTGTCACTGACCAGATAGGTTTACACACGAGCCGAGCATCTAAGGTAAATCACTTTCACCAGAGTTTCTTGCATCTAAGGAGTCCATTGACAAGTTGGTAGACGCCACCAATCGTCGCACGATGAACCCCAGTACCAGTGTCAAGTTTGTGACAGACGCTTCTTCCGAAAGGATCTTCTGGAGAGGCACTTTAGACGGTCAGTTCGATTTCTTTTTGTACTATACGTCACAGAACTAAAAGTTACAGACATGAGGAAGAGATGAATGAATCCATGGCATCTGGCTATGCCCAGTAGCAAACGATGCGCGAGACATACAAGAGTCGAGATGGATGTGCGATATACTGATAAATGGTGTCTATGAAAGATACAGGGGTGAGGAGTGTGGGCGCGAATGTAAGAATAACTGATGAACTGTATTTGGCAGGGTGGTTTAATTGTTTAAGACTGAGATGGATAGAACTAGAGACTGGGGGCTTTAAGATAGAAGGCTTTAATTCGATTTACTTTATGGTATCTGCTACTTTACAATTTCTTTCAGTTGCCCTCACGTACAGTCCCTCGATCCTTCCTTTACACCGGCAAAGCCCAGTCTCTAACCCAGATCGAATTCAACACCTGTTGAGCGGGCAACAGCAGCGACGAGCTGGGCGGCTAATGAACGTGCCACGTCGAGCTGGAAGAGTCTTGAATCAGATTCTTCTTTTGCGTCTGTAAGGCTGCATCTTGCAAGGGTGGTAACAAGACAAGGATGCGTTCCGTTGGGGCCGTCGATACTGAACTGATCGACAACTCTGGGGATTAACGGTTCGTCAAGTGGGATCGTTGCAAGTCGACACAGAATACCAGCTTCCTGTTTGTCCGCATCCGCTGTTCCGATCTTAACCGCCACATATACGGATGTTTGCAGATCATGAGCAAGCCAGGCAGTTGAGAATGAACCGTGGCCGAGCTTGTGCACTATGCGGTAACGATCATCATGCAAAGAATCATTGATCTGGATGGGGTGGTAGCCGCCAGGTCGATAGCCCTCAATTGTTTCGACCTCTGGAATAAATCTGTATCTAAATGGCGGTGTCGATATGGCAGTGTTGGGGCTTTGAGAATAGGCGCGGAACACAGACCTCGGAAATTGGCCAGGTAATGAGTAGGGAGGTGTTCCTGCCACACGTCGCGCCAAACACCGAAGAGAAAAGCGAATCATTTGTGGAACGGTCTCTAGGGGGCTCAGAATTGGGAGCGTAAGTATGAGTTTTAACAAACTGTGTTGCTACCCGGGCTGGAAACTGCGGGTGATATGTGTGAGAGGAGGCTTGAGTTTGTTGGCCTGCCGAAGTGCGACATTGATGATTATGTAATATTTTATCACGAATAGGTTGGTGTTCAGTGAGTATGTTGACTGATTCCTTTTATGATCTGCGTAAACTAATGATTGACCCTCGAGTTTCTGTGAAATAAGGGAGCTTATTGCCAGTAAAAGGCGAGATAGTATAAGTGATGCTTGACCATGTGTAGCATTGGAAGATTGTTGGAATTCCTGTGTATTGTTTCATACGAAGTAAATGTCGTTTTGTCCACATATATGCACTCATAACCCATCTTCCCTTAGCCAAACTCCTCTACATCAAACTTGGAAGGCGCCCAAGGAAAGAAACACCTCCACAGAATAGACATTGAGTTTAAATGCCCTCATAATTGCCTGCAAAGCCAAGGTAACCCCTTACTTGGAAGCGTTGACACGGCAGAGAACCCAGACCGGAGCAGCGGGCTTAGTGCTGAGGACAGCACTCTTCTTGGCGGTGAAGTCCTTGCTGGCAGGAATAGTGCCCCACTTGTCCTTGTACGCCTGGCAAGTGACCTGGTCGGCCTTGGGGATCTTGACACCCTTGACGCTGGAGTAAACATTGACGATCTCGAGCTCGGTGACCTTGACGCCCTTGTTGGTGCTGAGGACGCCGAAGGGCACGTTGAGAGGAAGCGATTCGTCGCCGTTATAAGTCATCATCGCAACGCCGACGTTATCCTCCTGCTTCACGGCGGCGGCCATGGAGCCGGATACGGTGAGGAGACTGGCGAGAATGGTGGGGACGTGCATGATTGTGGTGGTGCTTTAAAGGTTGATGGAGTCGGTTGTTCGGGTGCCGATTGTTGAGATATAAGTGTGATAATATTGTTTCTGCAGCGAAATCGCATTGACTTTATATATTTTCCAATGTTATCTCTTGTCTCCTCAGTGCATTATCACCTTTGTTGACTTTATGCAGTATTGTCTAAGCCTCCTCGTATACAGGTCCTGCGTTTTAGCACAGCCCACAGTCCTTCGCCCGGTTGAAGTCGAAACATACGACCTTTGTCACCGCAACACCTTCCGTGCGCGCAAATCAACAATCGACTATTGCCAAGGGTTGGAATTCGTTCTTGGAAAAGGTGTTCCGCGACGAGACTGATGACGTCTTCACTACGGCGACTGCTACATCTGGACGTATTGGCCAGGGACTGCATAATGCTTCGGATCCTTCATGATAGCCACAAATGGAGGTTTATGTGGGTTTTCTACCTTCCTAAGAGGCAAGAATCCCCATGATGGTAGGCAGTTTGTTCGCGTGGTCTGATTAACCTCAGTGGGCAAGGAGACACCTGGAAATGGGATGGGGAGCCCTAGATGAGGCTATTCTCCATATACCTATTGGCTGCTGTTATCCATTTAAGCTGAGCCTTTGTTTCGGCTGACTGCAGGAAGCTATTCCATTAATGAACCACTGCTTCCTTTACCAAGGTTTGATGTGCAACAGAGCCAATCACGTTTGCTGTAGTAGATGTGCATCCTCATATGAACCTGTTGGTCCTACAGACCTTACAGATGAGCGATTTATGATCCGCACAGAGCAGTATAGTATATGCCCTGATCTGTACGACACGAACGTAGTACGGTCCGTAGGTCCTACGGACTTTCCAGATGCGCGATTTATAATCCGCACAGAGCAGTATATCACAGGCCCTGATCCGAGCAATACGAACGTATACAATTGAGAGGCGGATATGGGGTAAAAGTGACTTGGTATATCTTGGTAGATATCTCGCTTATAGCCGCTTATGCCCTAATCTAATTCAATTGTACGGCGTATTTTAAGTGTTGCTATTAGCAATAAAAATCTCCATCTGCTCTAATAGCCTAACCCAATTAGAAAGGGAATTGGTGTCTGAATTGATGTATACCCAGATGTTAATTATGTGTGTTTGTACTGTATAGATCAGGGCCTCAATTTCGGCCCTTCAAGTAATATAGAAGTTTAGTCTTGAATAATCCACGCTGGATAATCCTTGAAGGATAATCCAATCACGTATCTTCTATTAACGTGTGGCGAGAGTTGGTTACATAATGTTTTAGCCAAAATGTAGATTTACAACTTTTCAACGCAATTCAATATCGTGAAAGACAATTAATTTATTTTCCAATATAGGGTATAAATCAAACCTTGAGAATAACTGGAAGGATAAGAGCTTCTACGACCGGGGAGCATAGATTTAAAATACTTCACATATCATTTTAAGAGGTTGAATGTGTAGAGATATAATCATCTGCTAGAAAAATGCACAGGATGATAATTTTTTCGAGACTTATTTACTCCCTAACAGTCAAGCTTTTATGACTTTTAATTGCTTATTATTTTAATTACTAGTATAATATTGTTTTGCCGGTAATGTCTTGATAATACTTTTAAATCTAGAGGTTAAATGTTTCACTCGGCCGAGTGACCACCTTAGTACCTACTCATGATGTCATCCAAGCACGGGGTATAATCTCCGGACGTCAAAACCATCCAGGCTCACGTGCACAGGTAGGCAGAGAGAGAACCGTGGTAATCATAACCTGCAAACTCAAAGACGAACTCTTGACATCACCGGTGGTGTCCCAGCAGGGCATAGGGCGTTTGTCCGTATGGGCGGGAACTCCACTATACCTGAACGTTAAATCACATCCAGACCGTCCATGCATATCTCCGTAAACCGTGTAGGACTGTAAGATCAAAGCATTCATACGATCAGTTAGTGTGACGGCCATAAGGATACGCTAGACAGTTCAAAAAGACAAAAACTAAGTCTAAGTTTAAGCATGGCAAATACGGGATGCGTGAGCCAAATTCTCCTTAGTGCATGAGGGGTAACACCTATTTATGTCCGAAGCTCTAAAGTTTAACTGGAAATCCGAATCAGCACGTCATTGACTTCTGCCACAGTCCAGCTTTACATGTTCTGCAATGGAGCAAGTTTGAGTTCTCAAATAATGCAGCTTGTTTCTCATTCTTCTCTCCCTATTCTCCTCGCCCCCCGCCTCACCATGAGCAATTGGTAATTGACAAAACTATGTGGAAACCTGCCATGTGCTCTCTTTAGGGCTGGTGGCGTCACCCTTTTCTCACGATTTCCTCTTTCAGCGACGTAAAGCTCACGAGAGTGCCTATCCAGCTCAAACTCCAATCAGCGACGAGCATTTCCTCAGAAAAGTTCTTTCAGCTTTACCAATTAAGAATTGACTTTCTCAACAAACCTCATCTCGTCTAGAGGGATAACGTTTGTCTCGCAGCCACGCTGAATACTATCGATCGATCAAGTTTAGTTTTATGCATGTAAGACTGTCGCGACCAACACAACGAAAACAACAACTCCCAAGCATTGGTTTGTTGGATTCTGACACTAGAACTGCCCGAATTGGCGTGGTTGCAGAGCTCATTGATGAGCTCACGTTAGCTTCCCTGGACAAGTGTCCGGAGATATTTAGTACGCAACCTTCGGTAATGATAGCAGATATCATTGGAGAGGGGACAACATGCGGGGTATCTCCTCATGGATTACAGGCGTGGTGGTCAGATCGGGATCATGGCCGATTAGCCTGGTTTTACCTCGACATCTAACAGTGAGCAAGTCGGAATGAAAACTTTATCTTGTTTGAGCCGCTGAAATTAAGAATTAGATAACCGGTAGGCGAATGCAAATTGAGGCACTTGTAGTAGTCTTAACATATCGTATGGATATGGGCTAGTGATCGCACGAGACAATTACCCTGAGTGCTGCTATGTAAGGAACAAACGCTCACGCCATTTCTTTCTTGACAAGTGCTTTAGCAGAAACTATTTACGTGGCTGCATAAGCATACCAACTACCTTCTCGTTATGCTTATCATCCTTTGATTAACATGGAAGAGGTCATCGCCATCTGCCCATAATTGTCTTGGCAAACTCTACGGACCACGCTCATGACGAGAAGATTCTCAAATACGAGTTAGTGGCTGAACAACACCGGAGAACGGCAAGCTAGACTAGGACGTACATGATTGGATCCGCTAGGTTACACAAGCGGGAGCCGCTCAACCGTCTTACTAAATCGCGAATTTTGCGCGTTAGAGTTCAGTAGTCTCCTCAGATCTAGGGCATGGAGCTGACCAATGGGCACTTCTTGAGCGCAAAGGATGGAGGGGGAAACACCAGGTTGAAGCTAGTGTTAGGCTGCTGAAGCCCCATGCTCGATGCTTGGTGTCAGCTAGTCCGATTTACTTCCAGAGGAATAACCGAGAGCTGCCTGCCTCCACACGTTCTCTTGAGCCTCCAGCTTTTAGTACCTCCACCATCAGCAGCCGCAGATAGACTGCAAGTCTGGACTGCAACTACCATAGTAGCTACCCATTTTGTGATGCTGCGCTCCGGGCAGAGCGGACCAACAATGCAGCCCAGCGGGGACCTTTTCAGCAGCATCATGGACGCCTATCGCAATACAAGCTTTTGTTCCCAGCTTCCAAAAGCAGAGCTCACATCATTACCACAATAAGACTAGTAATCCGGTTTGGACAGGCCTCGATCCAGCAGAGGCGCCACCGGCTACTGGGAAGCAAGAGTATCCGAGTTAATACTATGTTGGACAGCAGATAATGGAATGATCTAGCGAAAATACACTTTTGAGGTTCATGAGATGGCTGCTGAGATGTATCGTTAGCATGCTAGGGAGAGCTGCAAGTGGATCACGAAGTTTTGAGAGTATGGATGCTCTCGATCTGGGAGTAATATCATAGCTTTAGTAGTAAATGGTAGACGAAGGATTTGAGTATAAGAGCTCGAGTAATCCCCTCCAATCCAGAACATCTTTTCTCCAGACTCAAACCACAAGCTCAGTCTTACTTAAACCACTCTTTCCAACACAAAACCACCTCTACATCCTAGTACTTTCGCTACTTCAGCCAAAATGAAGTTCTTCACTCTCGCTTCCCTCGTCGCCCTTCCCCTGGCCTTTGCTGCCCCCAACCCCATCCCTGAAGCCGCTCCCGAAGCTGTCGCCGAAGCTGCGCCCGGCGGTTACGGCCAATGCCAGCCTCAGATCAAGTACATTACAAAGTACGAGACCAAGTACGTCCCTAAGTACATCACCAAGTACGAGACAAAGTATGTCCCCAAGTACATTACAAAGTACGAGACGAAATATGTCCCCAAGTACATCACCAAATACGAAACCAAGTACGTGCCAAAGTACATTACCAAATACGAGACAAAGTATGTGCCAAAGTACATCACAAAGTACGAGACCAAGTACGTTCCGAAGTACATCACCAAGTACGTCAACCAGTGCAACAAGTACGAGGGTGGTGGTCACCACTAAAGAGGAGGATAAAGCGTGGTGGTTTTACATTCTTCGGAGGATATTAAACAATTCGCTGGTTTTAAAGCTGGAAACAGAAATGGATTAAGTGGCTGAGCTTCAGCATAACTATGGGAAATACAGATCCCAACACAACCCTCCTTTTAATGCAGTAATGGCAGTAATGACAACACTATTGATGAGTTTTATAATTCGTCGTGACCTTGCCAAGGTGCTCTATGCCTTTCGCGTCTATTATCTCCTATGTATTAGTATCAGAAGCTAAAGTAAGAAAATCTTCAGCTATTAGACATGGTAGAGTCCTGTTATTTAAGAAAGACGTGTATTTAAATAGTAACATACATGGTGGACTACTTAGTAGTGAATTATAAATGCTGTCAGCCACGTGATAGATATAATACATGCTCGGGCAATAGCAAAATCTGTCTTGCAGCTCTATAATATAGTGGTTGCTTGTTACTGACCATTTTTTTCTAATTCTGAGGATTTTACAAGGCTTAGAGAAGTTAATATCCTAATTCAAAGTAAAAAGGCCAAGCTGAAACTGAGATACACAGTGCAACTATAGGCTCGGTATACTATCTCAAAAGCAGCTTCTGTTCTGTACTAAAGCTGCTGAAGTCTTAAAAGTCCCGTTCAGTATTTATAAGATTTTCTAATTAAATACAATATTGTATCCAATTACATTGCGAGCTCGGCGACTTAGGGGTTGGGAGACCTGCTCGGAGACTTCCGTGATCCACAGTGCTCTGCGAAAGTGGATAGTCTCGGCAACATGATGATAAATCGCTATGTTGATATCTCGCCGAGTATTAAAATAATAACAATCAGGGGGCCAGGATTAATGTATATATATCACACAATATATGACTCTTTCTTACAGCCGAACAATCCAACTAAACTCCAACATCAAACCTACAACTGCCTCAAGCAATACCATCTTCTACGCAACTTTGACCAATATTATCATCATGGCCTCCCAACCGTGGCTTCTTTACGCATACCCTTGGATGCCCTATCCTCGTAGAATTATTATTCATCTTCGAGAAAAGAACATCCCTTCTTCTCTCGTCACGATTGTCCCTGTTTCTGACCCTCAGCTCGGCGATAGCGCCGCGGAAGGATTTCCCCCACGTCCCAAAGGCAGCCTCCCTATCTTGGCTATCCCAAATTCGGATTCAGCTGACTCTAAATCCGAGTCATACATCTACATTCGCCAGTCACTCGCCATCATGAACTACCTCGATGAGCTATGCGACGCTGGTGCACAGGGATTCCCAAAGTCCACATACCCCATGCGCGGCGAAGATGCACTTAGTCGAGCTCGAGTGACAGAGCTCATGTGCCTGGCAGACGAACTGACCACAGCCTGGAACCCCGTCAGAACCTTTGGCACAGGCGCAGGCACCATGGCTCTCCCCGAAGCGTCCAAGGAGATGCTACGATGGCTTCAACGAACTTTGACCACGATCGAAGGGTGGTTCAAAAACAAAGATTTCTCGGATCTTCGCGCAGGTGGTACCCGAGGGCCTAATATGGCTGAGATTGTCCTTTACCAGTTTCTCGAGTTTACCAAAGACTGCTTCGGCAAGGATATGACTAAGGGGTCTTTGAACAAGGGGCTGGATGTTTATGGAAGAGAACAGGCTCCCGATGAGTTTCCGAAATTGGCCGAGTTTTGCGAGGCTTTCAGTACCAGGGAGAGTGCAGTTCGGAAGGAATCTGCTGGTGAGGTAGCGGGGGAGAAGACTTTGAAGGCTATGCAGACTTGGAATTGGTAGGCAATGATAGTAATATCTTGTCTATGTCTGGTTGTGTCTCGTGTACACAGTTCAACGATAATAGCTTCACAAACTTAGCATAACTTAGCACTTTCAACAGTTGCTCATACACAGATGGAGTACAAGTTTCTCTGCAGATAAAGAAAAACCTTAGACAATCTCATCTTAGTTCAATTCCACCTTAGCATTCAGCCAAGCATAGAAGTAGAAAGTTCCCCTCTGTTCTCCCACTAAATAGATATTAGTGTAAGTCTCACCAAGCCCTTCTCACCAAGCCACATCGTAATCTCAATTATAGCACGTATGGTAGTAATGAATCCTTAGCTCCTCTATTTTCTCTCAAATCTAACGCCGACATTGCTGTAGCCATTATGCTAAAATCTATGGCTTGGTCTTTCTATGGTGCGCTGTTATCACTGTCAAGTGTCAACTTGTATCCGGAGACATTCTCAGACTAAACTACGTTCAGTGTAAGATGAATGTGGCTTGAGATAATGTTGTCCGATTGGACAGAAGCGAGACATGCGGTCTAGTCCAGCCCATCTCTACTGCTCGGCGACAAATCGGCGAGAATCGGACACTTATTATTCTTGCAAAGTAGCCGACATTGTTTTGCAACCACATCACTAGCACTATAAATTGCAGACTATAATTCTGGTTCTGTGTGAAAATTGTTCCCAAGTCTATTCACGTTTAACGCTGGTATCTATCCCACCTACTGTCGTTGTTCACATTCTCCCCAAATACTGCGGCAAAACCTTCAACGCACAATGGGTGATCTTTCCGCTGCACCTTCGAATAAGTCCCTCGGACAGATTAATAGGCAATTTTGGAAGTATGTTCGCTGTTAAACCCATCCAGCTCCGAAAAGTTCATTATCATGTCTCTTGGTACTGACCTATCAGTGATAATATGCACATCATTTCACAACAGCAATGGGCTCAAGACCTGGCGAAGCAGCTCGTCAAAACTCTCCAGGACAATCTCGACTGGGTGGGCATACCCAAATCCATTGAGACAGCCCAGAAGATGCAGCTAAGCCTCTTGGACTATGCCTGTGGGACTGGGCTAGTTACGTTTGTAAGAACATCTTCTAGGCGGATGTTAGCGCGTCTTGAAACCATACTTCGGGCTAACTCTTTTCATCAGGCATTGCTACCGTGGTTTTCCAAGATCAGAGGTATTGATATCGCAGATGCAAACGTTCAAAGGTATAATCAACTGGCCCTTGACCAAGATGTCTCACCAGATGTGGTCCGCGCAATCCAAGGAGATGTCCGGTCCCCAGACTCCGAAATGTCTACTGAGGACTTCTCCGGCTTTCACGCCGTAGTCATCAGTATGGCTCTTCATCACATCGATGATCCGAAGACATTGCTCTCTCATCTTTACCAACAGCTTCGGCCGGGGGGGCATCTCCTTGTCGTGGATTGGACACCTGAGCATTATGGAATTGAGGTGTGTAGTCTCCAAGCAAGCTTTAGAGATGAAAACTAATTCACTGAGCAGGGCAGCGTTGCGAACCATGCGGCTGTTCACACAACAGGTTTTTATGGGTTTGACGAGGAAGCAATGCTTGAGATGATGAGTTCTGTTGGGCTGCAAGACGTGGGGTTCATTTTGGCTCCGGAGAGGAGCTCAATGGGCAAGGAGATTGGTGGCGAGAGACAAATGTTTTTTGCACATGGAAAGCGACTGGCTTGATAGCTCAAGGATAACTCAAGAATTCATTGAACATAGTTTTGCAATAGATGAGGTCTTGACTATACTGTTTTTCCAACACATTTGAGTCTCTATTCTTCATCTGAGCAGACCTGGCCCCTTGACGGCATCGTCACCAGAGTCAACCAGATATCAGGGCAGAAAGAAGCAAATGCATTACCTCATTACTCATCATCTTCTGGCATTTCGACTCCAAGCCCAACCAAGAACTGTGCAATCTCTGGCTTCTCCCTCAGACACTCCAGAAGGTCTTCCTCGTCAACAGCACCGATATCCGCGCCATGCTCAAGTAGCAGTTCAACCGAAGTCATTTTCCCATATATAATGGCATGAGACAATGGCGTACGACTTTCATGGTCCACGATAGCAACGTCGCTCCCACATTGCAGCAGACGCCGCAGTGTGTTGGAGTCATCCTCAATTTCTGCCGCTATATGTAATGCTGTATGGCCATTTGTAGTACAGGCTTCAAGATCTACCCCACTGTCAATTAACATCTGTATCGTGGTCTCTCTAACTCCCAGATGGGCAGCAAGATGAAGCGAAGTATAGCCACGCGTGAAGCAGCGCCATCGCTCCTCACCTTCCTCACACTCATCGTAGGTTTCTTCGTCCAAGTGCGGCCACGCTTCCGCACCTTGCAGATAAGATTCTATCTGCCCTTGAGTAGTAGTCAACTTTAGGAAGTCTTCGTCAAAAGACTCCGGAACGCCGATGTTTCCAGCAAGGCTGGGAGAGAGATTCCGAGCAGCATACCAGAGGTACGGGTGCGCCTGGAATCTCTTTTTAAGGTCTTGAGAAGAGTTGCAAGCCCCTGGCGAGAAAGAATCTTGCGATAGATATTGCATCAATACTGCGACGTGCCTAGTGTGGTCCTCGTCCCCGAACACATTTAGGCGCAAGTATTGCATCAGGAGCGGTGATCGTAGCCTCAAAGTATGGGTCTTCGGGTCGAGAAAAACAAGCCCGGCACATGATTCCAAGATTTTTGCGTTTGAGTATTCCTCTCCGTTTTTGTGTCTAATGCCCCAGGTGTCGAGAGCCTCATACGCCATGGGCAGAGAGAAACTGTATCCCAATTCATCAATCTGGACAAGATGGTAGAGTACACAGAGAATCATCTCAGCGTTTTCGTTCAGCTTTATCTGATCAACAATAGCTTTGCAAAACGCATGTGGGACATTCCTGTTGGATTCTTCGGACCATAATTCCACAAGGTCGAGGAGTACTTGGTTCGGTTGCGACCCGATGTTTGTGAACCAATGTGGGAGGATTGGAAGAAACCTGGAAGGCTTTAGCTAATGCTTCACAACGGGGACCGGGGTCATTACAGTCCATCAGACATGTCAAATAACTTCTTATAGTCAAAGAGCTTGGTATGCGACTCTTCGAGATATGTAGGGTCGACAGGGGACTCATCAATAGCTCTGCAGTAATAAAGAGCCAGGTCTCCTCTGTTAGCACGAACTTCAAATACAGACGAAGGAAGAGGTCGGATTGACGCAGCAGTAGGTAAAGAGCGGGCTGTCATCAGTAGCCGCACTGACGGATGATTCTGGTGGTCTGAAAAGAGAACACGATTCAATGCGCGAATGCCATCTTCGTTGGTAGGGTCGACTCCATCCAAGACGATAACCATCCTATCGTACTCGTAGTTGACCCTATTAATAAATTTGAAGGAACAGTAAACATCCCCTTCGTCTGGATCAGCCTCTTTAGGGCTGCTTTTCAGGGCGGTAGACGTAGACGGAAGTTGTGCAACAATCTGTCTTGTGATAGAGCGGAAAGCGAGGTTGTAATCAGCTGCATTACACTGTACATCTCGCCTGCCAAAGTAATACGCGCCGACAGCAACTTTTTGGACTTCTATATTATTTGTCAAGATATTATCGACGATGCTCGAGCTAGATGGATGTCAGACTGGCACCGAGAGTTCTTTGGTGGATATGTACCTCAAGAATGTCTTGCCGCTACCACCTGAGACCATCAGTAATGTTTCTCGTCACAAATTAAGGGTATGCTCACTTGGTCCGTGGAGCCAAAGAACTGGATCACCATCGCCATGTAACCAGTTCTGAATTCTCTCGTCTTCAAGAAACCACCGGCATGTTCCGGGAATGCGTGCGTCATTGAGCATTCTTTGCTGTGTGGCGAATTGGTCACCAGGAGAGAGCCTCCGGAGCAAGTGTTGTCGGTCGCTAGACGCCATTTTCGATGAAGACGAATACTACTGGAAGGTTTTCAGAGTTTGATGGACTAGAGACATAGCTTGGGGTAGATCGATGCTCATATCATTATATGGTTTACGCTTACGTACCCCGTTTAGGCAGCCAACGGCCCTGTGTGCACGGTGCATCGTGAGATATTGTTAGGAGCAAAGACTTAAGAATTCACGGACACTTCTATGATACACGCCCCGCTCCTTTTCTGCTGACAATTCCTCCGGGCATTAACATATTCCGTCTTAGTTCAAATACCTCGTGGGCTGGGACAGGCAGCCAGCATGATCAATCTTGCCCCAACGTGAGGTTCTGGAATATGATATCAATCCTCTGCTTACCAGTGACATTATAGTCTTCCACATATCTCTCACCAAAAGGTTGCATCCAAGTATCTTGTAGATGTCAGTTACAGCAAAGATGACGCAGGGTACTTGTGCTTACCATAGGTAGTCTGTGGCTTTGTAGCACACAACCAGATAATTGTTTGGTTGATTTGATCCTTCAGATCATTCTTCGGATACGCTTTCGCCACAGCAGCATATTTCTCTTCTGAAACACCATATGCTGGTCCTGAGAAGTCCAAGGATATTCCTTTCGATACAACCTGTACATCGACTTCTTTGAAGTACGCGATGGAACGTTCAGTATGAAGCGCAATGGCATCCCACACGAGCTGAACTTTCCTTTCGTCCCATTCCTTCGCGTCTCCGTGCTGATGAATGAACTCGCGGGCTGCGAAAGCACCATCAACCTCGAATCGCTTATCGGTGCTGACAAGTGTCGAGTCTTCTGCCATGTCCCAGCCGAGGTCATGGAGAAGCGTAGCGACGGCGTGCACTTCTACATCAACGCTTTGGCCGAGTGTTTTGTTCGCATCCAGCATAAGCACGCCGTACAGCCACGATCGCATGACATGTTTATAAACTGCGTGCGACGAATGCTCTGAGGCAAAGTCTTCTGCAGCTTGGACAAGTGGAGTGTTGATGACCGATATACCTGCAATTTCACGCGTCGGATAGTTGTGTTGCGATGTGTGCGCAATGCTCCTAGCTTGGGAGTAGCTGAGGAGCAGGCTTGATGCCCAAAGGGCACTTGCAATCTTCTGAATTGCCATGGTGAGAATTCCACGTTTTGACAAATACTAGGACAGGTCCTTGCAGTTCATTCTTATACTTAACGGCTCTGTGTGGATTACATATCACCTCTTCATAAGTTCCGAAAGCCAACGGATATATTGAGTAATCGGGTGAGATAATGTAACACTCCCATTTACATAGCAATTCCCATTGGTACTCGGGTGGAAGGAAACCACAAAACCTCTTATGTAGCTTAGAAATCGCATGACCACATTATTAATCACTTTTTAACGTGAGCATGAAAGACTAGCAAATGAGCTCATTCCTTCTGAAGCGTTCAATCCAAAGTTGGAGCTTATTCTCCTGGCAGAGGACGAGGTTTTTGACATCAATACGATCGGATGACGACGGAAACATACACGTCGCTGTCTTGTATTTGAGGTCCGAGATGTCATGTCAAGTTGGTAAATGCAATGAAATGGTCAGGTTCGTATAGGGAAAATTATTGCAGTCTCAAACTGTCTTCCATAGCAGTAATTCTGGCGTCTCATATTTTAGCTTCCCCGCTTAACTTCACTCAACACCTACTCGGGTGCCACTTGAATCAGCATATTCTAATATTCATCACAAGAAGGAATAGCAAGTCTATAAAGAAGCTCAGATTCTCTCCCAATCAAATATCGAAACCAAGCAATATCTCAAATTTTCTTTGACCTCATGCGGGGTCCAACCTCATTCCTATTCAACCCTAGCGCATCGAAGGAACTTTTGGCTCTTAAGCTTATTCGTATGGTTGCCTCACCCCTGCACACTTAGGGCCTTGGAACTCTGTCCGACCTGCCATATCAAGAATTTCGCCATTATCAACATCCTCTTGGTCTTGCGGGGTTATCAACCGACCCCATATGCGCTACAACATCGATCGGCCGTTGCTCTCAAATTGCCTCGCCTGCTGGCGTCACCGCTTTGCGATAAGGAAGATGCCGAGCATTGACTAAATCTGTTTGTTGATGGCGATCGCTCACTTGCATTTCTTGGGCGGGTGCACCTTGCAATGACCTTCCAAAAGCGATGCTATACCCGGGTATTCGAAAGTTCCCCAGCATGGACTTTGGTATAAATTGACACCATAGCCCCAGTGTGACGCTCCACGATCGCCAACTCTTTCACTCAAGTTCACTTCTGAGTCGTATCGCCAAAATGAGATTCGGTACTACTGTCGCGGCTTTGCTGTCGCTGGCCCCAAGCCATGGATGGGCCAAGGGAAAGAAGCTTGACTCTAAGAAGATCCAAGCAGACATGAAGACCAAGAAGTAGTGGCCCCAGTTCCTCAACCATTGGATCATGTACTGACACGCATCCACAGCCTCATGGCAAACCTGGAGACTTTCAACGACATTGCCTTTGCCAACGGTGGAAATAGAGCCTTTGGTCTACCAGGATACGACGCTTCAGTCGACTACGTCTTCAAGCGCATCTCCAAAGTCAAGAACGCAAAAGTCTGGAAGCAGAATTTTCCCGCGCTGTTTGCTCTCGTCGACTCCATCGAATTGACCGTCGACGACAAGCCCATCTACGTCTACGGCCTAACCTACTCCCCCTCCACCAGCGCAGAGGGCATCACCGCCGAGATTGCCCTGGGTCCTGAGGGCGCTGCTGGTTGCGACGCTGCCTCGTACGACGGCCTCGACGTCAAGGGCAAGATCGTTCTTGTGCAGCGTTTCAGATGTCCCACCGGCGGAACCCTCGCTGGAAGAGTCATCCCTGCGGCTGCGGCTGGTGCTTCTGCCGTTATCATCTACCACGATCTGACAACTAATGTCACCGCTGGTTCTCTCAGTCAGCCCGACCCGGAGAAGCACGTGCCCGCTGGGTTTATCACCTTGGCTGATGGAGTGAAGCTCAAGGACAGGATTCAGGCTGGAGAGACTGTTGAGGCGCATTTCCAGCAGACGCAGACCATTGAGGAGAGGATTACCCAGAATGTTATTGCTGAGACTACGGGCGGCGACCCTCGCAATGTTATCATGGTATGGTAATCTCCTGCAGGGACTGGATGAATGCTAACATTTGCAGCTTGGTGCCCATCTTGACAGCGTGCAAGCTGGCCCTGGTATCAACGACGACGGTATATAACCCCATCCCTAACAATCGCCCACACTAACACCAATAGGCTCCGGCTCATCTCTGATCCTCGAGCTCTTCCTCGCCCTCTCCAAGTACAAGACCAAGAACAAGATCCGCTTCGCCTGGTGGGGAGCCGAAGAGAACGGTCTCCTGGGCAGCAAGCACTACACCTCGACCCTTGCCGCCAAAGATGTTAACAACCTCCTCGTCTACCTCAACTTCGACATGGTCTCCAAGGGATTCTTTGGCGTTGCTGACACCGACGGAAGCTCCCACGGATCAAAGGCCCCCAAGGGCTCCGAGGTGACCGAGAAGATCTTTTCCGAGTACTTTGCCAGCCAGGGCATTGAGACTACTCCTGCTGTTTTGAGCAATGGTAGTGATTATGCGCCTTTCTGGCAGAATCTGAACAAGCCTTTTGGTTTCCTACACACTGTAGGTTTGATAAGCATAATATTTGGATATTGCTGACGAGTTTAGGGCACGGCTGTTGAGCAGGATCCTTGCTACCATCAAGCTTGCGACACGATCGACAACCCAGACTCCAAGACACTAACCATCAACGCCAAGGTAAGAGTGGCCCTCGAAAGCATTCCTAGTATTTTTCTAATATTTCCAGGCCGCTGCCCATATTCTCTCTGTTCTTGACGAGAGAGGAACAAAGCTTATCCCCAAGACCAAGATCAGCGAGGCCTCGCTCAAGGGTCTGCAGCAGAGAAGTGTTGGACCTGATCTGGCTCAGATCGATGAGCTGGAGGCTATGGGTATTAGACATTTGGGATGTGGTATTCATGAGATCTAAGCGGAAGCTACGTAATGATCGAATGCAAAAAGGCGATATTGCAGCTGCGCGGCTTGTGATCAGATGAGTTTGGAAGCACAATAGTTCGCTACAAGTATACAAGATGTCACAATGAAAATTGCCATGTCAAATACCCCAGTTTCACCCCAATCACTCTCCTGAGAATGCATCAACAGACCTCCACTTCCACTTTCTAAACCTCTCATACGCCATCTGATCCTCCCCATAATAATTAACAACATCCTCGACAGTCAAACTCCTCCAATCCCTCTCAAACTCCGGTGGTCTCGGCGCACTCGTATCCACGCCCTCCGCCCACCTAGTTTTGGCCGTACTTGCCCACTGCTCCCCCGTAGTCTTGCAACCTTTACTCCTTTTGCACCGTTTTCCACATGATGGACATTTGTAGTTCTTCCACGCTATCTCGTGTTCGCGCTTCCACGCGTCGCTTTTGGCGTGCGCGTACGAGCAATCTGTTTTGGTATGGCCCATTTTGTTCTTCAGGCGGTTTTCAAAGTAGATCTTGCCGAGGTTGTCAGTGTTGTGTTTCTGCGGGTGGTTGTGCCGTAGAGAGTCGCGGTATAATGCGTCGAGGGATATCCAGCAAGATGAGGCTCGCATAAGACCTATTTCGAGGACATAGTCGCTTTTTGAGAGCATAACACCGTCGCATATATCGTCTGTTTCGTATTCTGTTGGTGTTGATGGTGTTACGGAGGCAATATTTACTTTCTCTGTTCTTAATTGGTCGAGAAGTTGTTTATTTCCGGGGTCTCTTTGTTGTGACTCTGAGAGGTAAACGGTAAAGTCATGGCGTAAAAGCCCGTGGTATCCACGACCCGAGGAGTATATGAGCCAATCCAGGATAGCTTTGTCGGCAGGGTTGGAGTATCCAAGGATATAGTGATGACGCAGCCCACGAGGTGGTTTCGTGCGTTGTCGAAAGGTAGCCTCCCATCTTTCAACCGGAATGGTTTGGCCGACCCAGAACGACAGCCAGGAGTGCAAGTTAAGCCAATCACACTCCGAATATTTCTCGAGTCTATCTTTGTCCAAGATTGTTCGTATGTAAGCGACTCTTGTTGTTGTTGTTTCAAAGCTGGTGGTGTCTTGCATTATGGGTTGATCTCCACGTTGTGGGGGAGACGATTAACTGGTAAGTATTAGAGATCAGCGGGAATACAGTAAGCTTCAAAAAGTCTTGTGTTGATCTCTTGTAATAAACAAAGTTCTATGTGCTCCTAAATAATTGAGAATATATCTTCACTGTAAAGCGGCCTGTGACTCATCGCTGGAACTGCAAGGCTCGTATAGCGGTGTTAGGCCATTACCAACCATCCCTAACTAGAGTATGTACCTTTCTACCTTGTCAATGTGCAAAGATACTTTGATTAGATACACAAACCTCTTAGCGCCAAAATTGGTCTTGTCTTTGTAATTCTTTAATCAGACTGTCCATACCCTTCTTTAATGTTAAGATGTTTTTCCCTATTATAGAGCGGTTGGTAATAAGTAAAAAGGTGAAGAGGGTGACTACCAGGTACTATTCGCTAACAAGACATTGATCTATTCTTGCCAGACAAGCTGGACTCAAATAGCAATACTAGGCATACAGCAACCACATGGGTCAATGGTAATTGTTGCAATTGAATGGTATCTCTGTTTGCTGAAATCTCTAACTACTAACAATATTATTCATGCACAAGAACTTTATCCCTTGAGCCTTCTCATAAGCATAAGGCACACTAGGCGTCTTCCAATGAGGTGACACTTCTGCATCACTCATACTCACGACAGGCTTTAGAATACTTAACTTCTTTCCATCGAATGCGCTTCCCTCGAAACTCTGATACCAGCCACCATCCTCTGCCAAAGCATCTCCAAGAACTCTCTTCCAGCCATCCCACACTGTCATCAGAAGATCGAGAACATGGTGAGACCCTCTCATCTCAGCCCATTGGAAACGCTTAGCACACTCGGCGACGGTCTCAGGCGAGTATAAACCGATGTCAGGGCGCAGAGCAAAAGCGTTCACAGCAACGAGTGATGCGTGCACGGCGTAGCTTCCGCCCTTGGTGGCGCGATCGCGTAGGGCAATCAGAGTGCCTACCGCGCCCAGAACACCAGTGGACATGTCGCTGATAGGGAGCGAGGGGAGAACAGCCTCGTTGTTGGGCAAGTTAAGGGATTGTCCAGTGACGTAGGCAGAACCAGCAGCTGCGTCGGCAATTTGCTGCCAGCCTGGGCGCTCAGCGTAATACCCATCAGGACCATAGCAGTTCTCGGAGACATGGACAATACCACGACCGCGCTCACCGGCCATCTTGAGGATATCGTTCAAGCCAAGACCAAACTTGGGCATCTTGTTCATGCGGAAACCCTGGATGAAAACGTCTGCCTCGGCGAGGAGATACTTGATGATTGCTGCATCTTCGGGCTTGCGCAGATCAATAGCGATGGTGCGCTTGCCAGCGTTGAGAGTAAGCTGCATGATGTTGATGTCGGGAAGATGAGGGGGGTTGACGCGGATGACATCGGCGCCGAAACTAGATAGAATAGCACCGATTTGAGGACCGGCGATGACGCGTGTCATCTCAAGGACCTTGATTCCAGCCAAAGGTCGCTTGTCAGATGAGTCGAAAGGAGGGAAAGAGACAGGTGGTGTGGGGATGGCATGAGGTTGCGCCTTGACGTTGACAAGAGGGTGAGCGGCGAGTGACTTGCCCATCTCACTCTCATTCCACTGCTTTGGTGTGAAGACTACACTACCGCAGTTGCCGTTAATCAGGTTGGTGAATTCAAGCTTTTCAGGCGAGAGCTTGCTTGTGAACTTTGCGATGTGAGCAGCAGCCTCTTCGTTGGAGGAAAGGGCCTCGGAAGGGTTCACGCCAATGGACTTGAGGACTGGTTCGGCGTTCATGGAGCCGTGAAGCGAGTACCATACTTCAGGGTCAGAAGTAGGATAAAGACCAGTGGTGCGGTACTTGAGAGGAGTGTCGACCCAGCCGTGCTCCCAGTTAGGCAGAAGCTTCTTCATCTCTCCTGATTTAGACAGCGCAACTACATCTTTTCCATCGACGTACGCAGTAGCGACATTACCGAACCAGAAGCCAGTATGTGTAGTGTTGACTGTGATGTTGCGGTCTTTGTTCTCAGCGCCGCGGAGGGTGAGAATCTCGTCGGCCACGACACCGCACATGGCGTGTAGTGCGGCTGCGACTGAGACGGCTTTGATAGGGCCTGAGATGACGGGGAAGTCCTCGCCCTCGAAGTTTACTTTGGAGAGAAGGGATTCATCTTGTGTGAAGCCAGGGGTTTGAGAGGCGATAAGTCGGAAGATGCGGTCTGTGTCTTGGGGAACTGGGACGAATGTGCGGTCGGTGTGGGTGCCGGGACCGTAGACGTCGGGGATTCTGGGTTCTTGAGACATGTTTGATGTATTGATCAATGTGCTAAGTGAAAAAGGATGTTGTGCAATAACAGGCTTGTAGTTAGAATATCGAGAGACAACCAATGTAATGTAATTAAGAATATTCCTAAATCAAACTCAGAAGAGGAATATGGATATTTATTATAGAGAAAAGCATCACCGCTGTTTACACTCTCGCATGATATACAATCCACATCAGCCCCCCCAAGCCTCGGCACTTGTCTCAAGATCCATTGCATAGATCCGAAAAGCAAATCGGAGATCGTACAAACGCGAGCGCGAGCGGGAGCGGATACACCAAAACACAAAATATGTGGGTTTAAACACGCGGCCAGCAAAACCAAGCATGGATTACAGCTCAAACAAGCGGAAGCGTTCCAGTGTCTCCAGTAGAATGCGCCGTTCTTCGGAGTATTTGCCCCACGATGACGTTGGAAACGTCACAGTGGAGCCTTCTGAGAACGGAGATATTCCGCACGAAAAAGATTTGTTTCTGGAAACCTTCTAGAAGCTGGACCCGTGTGTTCCATGCCACGTGGAAAACTCTTTCATCGGTTGTTGATCCGATGGATTAGATCAAGCTTTGTTCAATGCTGAATTGGTCGAGTTAGTGCATGGTCAAGTACCGCGCGCATGACGCAGCTAGGAGTAAATGCCGAGAAGGTGATCGGGATGAAGTGGAGAGTATGTTTGGGGCTGATGGGATTTCTGGATTGGCGGTTTGAGTTGTAGATAAATACTAAATGGCAGTATGTCCCAAGTGTATTGAATACACTCTGGCAGTTGAAGCAAACCAATAAATTATACTATAAGATCATCATTAATATTACACACCATGTCATCAATCATTACAGTCACCATCGTCGGCTGCGGCGCAATCGGCGCATCATGGGCCGCCCTCTTCATCGCCCAAGGCCTCAAAGTAAAAGCCTTTGACATCAACCCCACCGCAGAGACCTACCTGCGCAACTTCATCCGCGACGCCCTACCCGTCCTCTCCTCAATCGGCTTGGTGAAAAACACAAACGCCAAACCAGAAGATGTCATCTTCACCACCAGCTTGGCAGAAGCACTCCAGGATGCCGACTTCGTGCAGGAGAACGGTCCTGAGAGGTTGGATTTTAAGCAGAAGCTCTTTCAGGAGATGGGAGAGGCGTTAAAGAAGGATGCTATCATCGCGACTAGTTCGAGTGGTCTTACGTGCTCTTCTATCCAGGAGGGTATGAGTGGCAATGCTATCCCGCAGCGCTGTGTGGTAGGACATCCCTTCAACCCACCGCATCTTATTCCTCTTGTCGAGGTAGTCGGTGGTTCACAAACAGACCCCAGTGTCATCCAACGCACAATGTCTTTCTACGAGGGTATCGGAAAACAACCCATCCATCTCAAGAAGGAAGTGCCCGGCCACGTCGCAAACCGCATCCAAGCAGCCGTGATGCGCGAAGTCTTCCACATCCTCCAACAAGACGTCTGCTCCGTGCAGGCCATCGACGACGCAGTCTCGTACGGGCCCGGTCTAAGATGGGGCGTCATGGGTCCGAACATGCTCTTCCATCTTGGTGGTGGAGAGGGTGGTATTGAGCATTTTGCAGACCATCTCCTGGGTCCTCTGCAAACGTGGTATGCACCTGAGAACCCTGTGGTGGATGAAGAGTTGAAGCAGAAGTGGATTGGCGGGACGAGGGGAGCGGTTGGGGAGATGAAGTATGGAAATTTGGTGAAGCAGAGGGATGAAGAGCTTGTGAGGTTACTAAATGTTAGGAAAGAGTGGGATAGTTTTGCACAAGGAGAAGGAAAGCAGTAAAGATACCATAGAATGATTTCACGCATATTAAAATATCTCTGATAGACGAAAGTGTTACAACAGTACCTTTCATTTTGATTTGTGGCCCTGCTTAAAATGAGCAATTTCGGTTTCTTGACCTGCCTTGTGTAAACATCTTTGGCTGTTGTGAACTTAAGATATTCACAAACAAGCTTTGCCATCACTGCACACTGAGAGACTTTCGTGTTTATGTCCATCTGTTGTTGAACACAGTGTTACCTGAGCTGAGTCCAGAGAAAGAGCCGCATATGAAAACTTCAATTAGGGCATTCACTCATCCCGCACCTGTACACGACCATAATTATTACAGACGATTTCTTCAACTTTGGCAGCACAACGTCTGTCCATCTCTTCCACAAGATGTCACCCCTTCAGCCCACAAACTCGCCAATAAGAGGTTTTAAAGAAGATAAGATTTCATCTGTGCCACATACCCTGGATTAAGATCATCATCGCGATCAGAGTTTTGTTTGACGTCATGATTCCGCAGTGGGGCTTGCTTCGGCGTCGCCAGACCCACAGCTCCGGAGTGTCTCCACTATTTGCGGAAGCCGGCATTGCGACAGTAACTGTCAGCAGTGGGCTCCGGTGCACGTTCTTATCCACTTGTTCTCCGATCTAGGTGCTTTGATAAAACATCGCCGCCTTTTGAAAGAGTTTTGTACAAATTTCGATTCCTTATAATCTTAAATACTAACATCTTCATAATCCTTAATATAATCATCACTTCCAATAACATCACATCACATCTGTATAATCATCAAACATCTACATCTTGGTACACTCACACCTTTTCTACAGCTTACTCACCTCATTCAAAATGGGCTCCTCCATTCAACCCCGTCTATACATCTTAGATACCGACCTATCAAACTTCCCTCATCCCCAAGGCCGTATCCTATCATGCAACACAGACGGCAGCGATCTGTACACAGTCTTTGACCAAATGGCGACAATGCCAGACGGCATCACAATCGATCACCAGAAAGGCCTCATGTACTGGACAAATATGGGCCCAACATTCAAGTCCAACGACGGATCCATCGAACGTTCACGACTGGACGGCTCGGAAAGAACCACCATAGTCAAGACTGGAACCATTGGCGTTTACACCCCCAAGCAGATCACCCTTGCTCGACAAAGCCAAAAGCTGTACTGGTGTGATCGAGAAGGAATGAAGGTTATGAGATGTAATCTCGACGGATCAGATTTCGAGGTTCTTGTCTCAACTGGCTCACCCGTGGAAGATAAAGACGATTTGCATCGATGGTGCGTGGGTATCACAGTAGACGAAACAAGCGGCTACTTTTACTGGTCACAGAAAGGCCCACCCAAGGGTTCCCAAGGACGCATCTTCCGCGCCAGGATAGACAACCCGGCTCAGACCGAGGTGGTCCTTAGCGGTCTCCCAGAGCCCATCGACCTGGAGATTGACGAGGAGTCTCAGATGCTGTACTGGACCGACCGAGGAGACCCACCAAAGGGAAATTCGCTAAACAGAGCATTCGTCGGCAACTCAACGACTGAAACTCCTCAACCGGAAATCCTCGCCAAGCGTTTCCACGAAACCATTGGGCTAGCGCTGGATAAGAGTGTTTCGGTGGCTTATGTCACTGACTTATCAGGAGGTGTTTACGCTGTTGATCTGAAGACGAAGACAAAGACTGTCTTGTTTCCTGAGTTAGGAGATATCACAGGAATCGCTTTAGCTTAGACTTAATATTGAAGAGTATTCTTAACAGGTTTCAATCGGGTGATAATTGCGTGATAGAGTACACCATTCGACGTGACATGATGGATGTTCAGTTTGGTTGTTGTGTTAGGATTTTATTTGTGCGTGACTCAACTTGGTCATTGTGGCTAATTACGGTTATGTGGCAAACTTATATGTGCTGGGTGAATAAGGTCTCAAGGGAAGAAAGCTTGTTCGTATTTGTCGTATCCTTACTGGGTAGGGAAATGTGAAACCCATATTTGAGGTTGTGATAAACTCTCCCCGTAGAATTGCAGCCAACTAATTCCACTCTGGAAGGCTGATACTTTACTCCCAGAGCCATCATTCGTTATGCTTTTCAAGAAAGCAGTATGAGTTCGCACCTTAACTTACTAAACTACACGCACAAACTCTGTATTCAGTCCCGTCGCCGAGGGGATTTATTTTCAAAAACCTCGTGGGGACTGACTGTGGAATGTTTTCTTCCCTTTCTTCACCTCTTCTCTTCTCTTCTTCAATCGATCGTCTCAACTTCAAACACCTTTCCGTGTCTTAACCACTGTCCATACTCAGACCTTACAGTACGAACAGACTCCAGCCAGTAATACCTCAACCAACACCTACCATTTTCTCAGACTCTTAACAACCATGGGCTGTGGTAACTCGAAAGTCGTTGTCGGTAAGCGAGAAGCCGCCAACTACTACGGCATCATCGGTACCCGCCCCAAACTCATCGCCCGCAGCGATTACAAAACCAGACGATGGTCTGAAATGCCCAGCGAGCGCAGACAGGTCATCAACCATCGCCTCATCACCTTCTGGCACGACCCCTCCTGTCAACTATACAACCAGGTTTTGGATGTCATCCTGGACCTTTGGGTGGCACGGATCGACATCCTTCGAGTTGGGCCGAGGGGATGTCCAAAGCCGGTCAAGCTGGTCATTACTATCTGGCCTGATACATTGGAAAAACATCTGGCGTGGCATCTTGCTATTGGGTGCCGGGCTGTTCTGCTAAAGTTTGGGGTTTGGGATGTGGAGGTCGAGATCCTGGAGGATGCATGGGCCGAGACACGCCGGGTTGCAAAGCGCGTGGAAGTGGATGAGAAGAATGGCGGCCGATAATTGGACTTGGCCTTCATTCGTGTCCAGTCTGAGAAATGCCGTTACTGAACCCTCAGCAACACTACGCCTCCAAGTCCTTGATTCTCCTCGCTCGAGGCGCCAAAGACTTTGCTGTGACAACCAATGGTGTGCGCCACCGAGCTTGGCTTATGTCCATTTAAGCAATTCTCGATTATTTCATCAGGGCGATGGCTCAAGCCATACGCTGTGGACGTGGCGGTTGTACCCGACAACTTCGCCAAGTCCTAATACGTGCAACAAATCGACTGCACTAAGAATTCATACTTGGTTTCTGGAAATTTAGCCACCAACATGGTCCAATGACCTCGAAAGACGCTACCTGCAAATAAAATAACGTCTTGTCGACTCTCAGCAGTGGGTACCGGTTATTCTATCTCTCAGCATTCACCATCACATATAGGATCTTCCGCTTAAAGATTTCAATCTCCGATGTATACTATTCCGAGTGTATGGAGAGGCCCAACTGCTACTACATCTGATGTCAAAGAATGACTGGGAGTTTAGTAATGGCCCGTGTGGTATGTTAGTTAAGTAAAGGGAGCAGGCAGTTGCTTGGCTGTGGGAACTTCGCAAAGAATAATCACTTAAAGACCCCCACTGCTCTTAATGTCATCTCTGTGTCTCCAGCAAGGATAGTATCAAGATATTCCAGACACCCTTGCTGTCATAAGATAAAGGATAAGCATTAGGGTGTCTTTTCTTCGCAAAGAGCACATGGATCTATGCAGCGCGGATGTCACAAATGTTAGACCCTACGCCCTTTTGCATGTCGTTTGCGCCCTAGCCATACAAGTGTCTTCGTTATTAGATATTGGGTCTTTCACCGAGACTCCTAAATTTATCGCAATGATAAAAATTCTCAGCGATTTTAAGTCCATAAAACCAGCAGCGATCAGATCAAATGGAAATGTACAATTATAACAAGGGTTGAAACAGAGACAAAATACCAAAATCCCCCACTCCAGAATTATCCTTCACTCAATTGGCCTTCCACATCTCTCTCTAAGGAATATTCTTATTCCACAGCCTAGCGTCCCAAATCCAGCCTAGCCTCACTTCTCCGCATCATCGCCCTGCCTCGGCAAAGACAGCGATAAGCCGGCTAGACAAGGAGAAGTGATGATACCTTTCCCGATTTAGCAACCGAACGCGACGCAACAAGACCAATGTCCACGATCAACGCGGGGATACAAGATCCTGAATGTGACATATAAAACATCTCGTATTCCCTATAATCTGAAACATAGGGGACTTCTCAACTGTCTCTCTCTTGACACAGTACCAGCATCATGACAAACTCAATTCCCCTGGGAGCTTACCTCTTTGAGCGTCTCAAACAGCTCGGCATAGGTTCCGTCTTCGGCGTCCCCGGCGACTACAACCTCAAACTACTCGACTACGTGAAACCGGCCGGTCTGCACTGGGTCGGCAACTGCAATGAACTCAACGCCGCATACGCCGCAGATGGGTACTCGCGTATCCACGGCCTCGGCGTGGTAGTCACCACGTTTGGCGTGGGCGAGTTATCAGCAATCAATGCCATCGCGGGCGCATTTGCTGAGCGCGCGCCTGTGATTCACATCGTCGGCTTACCTTCGAGGGATACGCAGAGCGCGAGGGCTTCGGTACATCATACATTCCTGGATGGAGAGTATGGACGGTTTGCGGCGATGCATGCGCATGTTACTGCCGCGCAGGCTATTTTGACGAGTGTGTCGACTGCGGCAGACAAGATCGATTGGATCATTGAGCAGGCTATGATCCATCAGCGACCGGTTTATCTGCAGATTTCGGATGATATGGTCCAGGTGCCTGTATCCACGGCGAATTTTGAGATAAAGTCTGTGATTAGTCCATCGCCATCTGCGACGGCTATAGATGGGGATGTCACTAATCAGATCTTGGAGCGAATTTACTCTGCTTCCAAGCCTTTGATCCTTGTTGATGGCGAGAGTCGAAACCTGGGTGTCGTCGAAGAGATTGGGAGCTTGATCGAGACCACAAAGTGGCCAACGTGGACATCGGCATTCGGCAAGGGCCTTGTCAACGAAGAGCTGGCCAACGTCCATGGCGTGTATCTCGCTGGTAATGGCGACGAGGTTTCTCATGAATACTTCAAGACGGCCGATCTTATTTTATTCTTTGGACCGCATCTGAGCAACATCAACACTGGTCTCTTCACGGCAATTCCCAGCGAGGATGTTACTATCTCTTTCTCCCCCGACCAGATCAAGATCGACAGCAAGATCATCCGAGATATACCACCTCAACAGTTCATCCAGAACCTTATCAGCAAAGTCGACCCATCACGACTTGCCAAAGTGAACAACCTAGACATTCCTGAAAAAGCACAGCCTGAGCCTGTACCATCTGACAGTCTCTCACAGAGTCTGTTCTACCCATACATAAACTCCATGTTCCGTCGCGGCGATACAGTCTTGACGGAAACGGGTACAGCTGCAGAGGGCGGAAAAGTCATAAAACTCCCCCAAGGTTGTCGTCTCTTTACAGCTGTAACGTGGTTGTCAATTGGATACATGCTACCCGCCACTCTGGGAGCAGCTCTCGCGCAGCGCGACGGTGCACGAAAAGGTACAGACCGCACAATTCTCTTCATCGGTGATGGGAGTCTGCAAATGACGGCCCAGGAGATCAGCATCATGGTCAAAGAAAAGCTCAACGTCATCATTTTTGTTATTAATAATAATGGGTACACCATCGAGCGGGTCATTCACGGTCGGGCTGCGGATTACAATGACATCGCACCGTGGAACCACAAACATGCGCTTGGGCTGTTTGGACATAGCGACGAAGAGGCTGCACGTCGATATTTCTCTGCACAAACATGGGAAGAGTTACAAAACGCTCTAGACTCACAGGTTATACAGAGCGATGATGGAGTCAAGATGATTGAAGTGTTTATGGGTCAGGAGGACTGCACTGGAGTATTAAAAGGGCTGCTCAATAGCCAAATCGCTCGAGAAAAAGCATCACAATAGGGTAGCTGTTCCAGCCCAGGAACAAGCCTTATCTCGATCAAGATTAGGTAAAACAGAAGCTTAAACGCATTACCCTTTGCATCTCATCACCATGCACCACTCGTCTAGCACCAAAAAGCAAAACCGTATTCATAAGATGAAGCATTGAATGAATTGGACCCATGAGATTATCCACCTCGTGTCGTGGCGACAACGAAGTTCCCCTGCATTAACGGCCCCAATTTAGCTACACGATCACTAAAATTGCCCCACGGAAGTTCCCTGACATCAGATGAAGGGCTAGACGCTTTGACACGGATAGGCCGGCAAAGGGTACCATGTCTAGTGCAGCCTAGTGGGAGGGGGGAGAGTGGAGGAGCCAAGCAGCTGGGCCAAGCTGACGGGATGACAGAAACGGTATCCGTAGAGCTGAGAATGAGAGAATAATTTGCCCTCTCGGACTGGTTGAGTAGGAAGGTTTGGCGGACTAGCATTTAAATGAGAGGAATCAATACCCAAGGATAAATAGACACACAAGATATTCCCATCGAATCAAAAACGCCTCGTCACCGCTACACTCCGTTTTGGGTGTGTCGCATCACATTTTCACTGGTCCGCCAGAGAGTCAGGCTAGCGCAGGTACAAGTCAGATTTTCTTTTCTTCCCCAAAAAAAACAGACAGAAACAGCGAGATCCGTTGCTGACCTCCTTTCCCAGGCGCTGTGTGGGCACACTCTCGGCCCAATCACCAGCGATACACCCGGTCCGAGTTCCGAGATTCGACTCTGGCAAATTGCTCCTTCGTATAGAAGCACTAAAATAAACAAAAACCTGTTCCTGAAATAAACACGAGCTTCTCCTGGCCCCTGCGTCGCCCCCGGACCCAACCAGTGGAGATGGGCGACAGTTGGGACTTGGGAGAGGACAGGCTGGGCTGCACGGATCGATCGCCTGCAACCGGTAGTTGGATAATAATAAACATAACATAATTAACCAAGGGCTGAAAAGCAAAAGTGAAAAGTGGTTATAAAGACTCTTTCCCACTTCCCCAGTCCAACTTCTTTTTCTCTCATCCCCATCCAACTTCAGACAACTACATTCGTTTAATAATCTGCGTTCTTCGCTAACACACTCGCTTTACAACTCAACTGCATTTTATCAGCACCAACGCTTAATAAACAAAACCAACCGTCACAATGGGTTTCATTCAGACTGCCGCCATCGCCAGCGTTCTCCTCGGAGCCGCCACGGCCACTCCTCACTACGCTCCTCCCTCCAACGAGACCATCCACTACACCACCGAGGTCGTCACTCACCTGACCACCTACTGCCCTGGTGCCACCACCCTGACCTACGGCGACAAGACCTACACTGTCACCAAGGCCACCACCCTCACCATTGAGGACTGCTCTTGCACCATCACCAAGCCCGTTGCTACTGCCACCGGCACTGGTTATGCTCCTCCCCCCAAGCCCACCCACGGTGGTGAGTGCGTTGACATCTGCAACGACAAGTACGATGACTGCCGTGTCGCCCCTGGTGCCAACATGGCCACCTGCGCTGCTGAGTACGCTGGCTGCCTCAACTACAACCCTTGGGAGAGCGGCAAGTTCGTCCAGCCCACTGCTTGCAAGGCTGGCCACGGTGCCAAGTCCACCGGTGTTCCTTGCACCACCGAGACTGTCACTGCTGTGACCACCTTCTGCCCCGAGAAGACCACCCTCACCTACGGCAACCAGACCATCCCCGTCACCAAGCCCGGCACCGTCACCGTCACCGGTATCCACCACGTCACCACCGTCCCCGTCAAGCCTACCGGCTACGCTCCTCCCGCCACTCCTTCCACTCCTGCTGAGTCCAAGGACTGCGCCGAGATGTGCACTGATAAGTACAACAAGTGCCGTGTCGCCCCTGATGCCAACCGTGCCTTCTGCGCTGCCAGCTACTCTGAGTGCCTCGGTTACTCTCCCTTCAACTCTGAAGGTTCTCTCGTCACCCCCACTGCTTGCCACGCCGCCCCCGCTGGTCCTACCGGTACCGGTGCCGCTCCCCCCGTTGTCCCCACCAACCCTGCCGGCACTACTGGCACTGGTTATGCTCCTCCTGCCTCTACTCCTACTGCCGTCACTGCTGGTGCCGCCCAGGTCATCCCTGCCGGTATCCTCGCCGTTCTCGGTGCTGTTGCCCTTCTGTAAATGTCTCCTTCGCTCCGAATATAGACTTTTAGTCGGGAGGGTTGATGGTTTGCGATGGAGGGGTTGTCAATGGCTTCTCGTTCCATAGGTAGAGCTTTCAATTCATCTGGCATACTCTTTTTGTACCTAGATTATACCTTTACAATGTTACATAGACGATGGAAATACGATCTGGTGCTATAATTCTTTAACCTACATTGAACTCGAGTGACATGTTTTAAAACCCTTTCAGGAGATGAACAGCAAGTGAACAGATATTGAGGTGAATGTGTAAGATTGTACCGACTCAATGGCTTATTTGCCAATCCACAGTCGCATGCTCTTTACCGTTTCTCGAATGATGAAACTTCACTCGTGTAGACTTAACCGGTTGCTAGGATGATCCGAGTACCTGATCCCGAGGCTCGTATTAATGGGGGCACGTGGAGACGGCTCTTGCATGTAAATGGCTCCATCGTATCATTGAATGAGGGCCTGTTTGATGGAACATCCTTGTCCCGAGCTGTCAATGCAGGGGTTCAACATATCCTAGTCTCGTATCAACAACACACCATGTTGAATTGGAAACCTCGCTATAAATGCATTTTGCAATCCGGGAGATGGTAATTTGCTTCTGTGCCAAAGGCATTTGTTGTTTGAGGTTGTCATGAGCGCTGTGGTTATCACACACAGCCTTGAGTAGACAAGTGCCTCTATTCCCGTTACGAAGGTGCCGCGCGTGTTATGAAATTCTTATCCCACGCTCTTAACTAATGTCGCATGGGGGAAGCTCGATATCAAAAGAAGATCCTTCTTTTTCGTTGGTGATGCGAATGCGAACCTGGGTGGAGTAAAGATCATGCACGCCCGATATATAGGAGTATCAGAAAGCGTGCCATACATACCCTTCAATTTTTCCTATGCCATTAGACAAATGTGTTTGTGAGCGTAGGTGTTGGACAAGGATGTTGCTATTTCAAGACGGAATAATTATATACATATATCGGGTCCACAGACAGTCCAACAAGTTTCCCACATAGCAACCACACGTTATTCAATGGCAAATTCAAAGGCATTATAGGGCCAGTAATGACCTGCGCCCAGTTGCCCCTTCTTTCATCAGACTGATGAGTGTAAAATCATCTCTCTCTCTTAAATAATAAATGCGTCATGGGCATCATTGTGTCTTTCACTGATATGTTTCGAGAATGACAGTCGCGGGTCGATTTCCACCATTACCACTCCCTTCCCTGCGGGTATCGCGGTCGCGGGTTCGGGTTCTCAAGATTATGAAAGTCGATTATAGTTAACAAGCAGAGTAAAAGGCTCTCGAAGTTCATAAATTTCCGTGAAATCATGAGGCACCTGTTGGTATAAGGTTGATCACCGTCCTGTATCGCATGATCGATGCTTCCATAGTCGCTGCAGAAGTAGACACGGTATGATCTTCATCTATTGACTGGCTTATACTGCAGCAAAGCGGAATATTCTGCTGCAGGAGGAAACTCTCTAAAATATAGTTAGCATCCTTGAAGAGACGTGTCGTGTAGATATTCCTTAATTTAATCGCAGTAGCTTAGCTTATTTGCTTGTAGTCAAGATTCGCTCCTTCCCGCTGTCCAGGGGCCAAGCTGCTGGGATTCCACGGCATGTGTTTGATACCTTTGTCAATACTAGCGCGGTAAAATCCACTCTCTTAATAGGTTGAGTAAGAAACGGTTCTTCTCAATAAGTTCTTTGCGACCTCTGAGGGATACCTGGAGAGAACTCAACCTAAACTTAGTTTCACCGCACTGCAGCGATTTATTGGCAGTCCTGCAGCACTCTATCGTTTGTGACTGCTTGAAACAGAGCTGAAAGAGGGAAAGTCAAGGCTCTAGACTCGCATCTACCTCCGCCCCGGCTACTAGTGTGCGTTGTATAATCGATCTGGCTAATCCTATCAACGAACGACATAGGTAGTATTGTGCAACCAAGTCAATTACTAGATGGAGACTATTAACATCTTGTAGTAATACCTGGTACTAGAGGCCCCTCAAGCTATGCGGATCAGCTTAGAGATGGGACGCCACAGACAAGTCTAGGACTTTTATCAAGTATAAGAAGATGTGGGCGATCGCAAGGGCACCTGAAATCCTGAAAGACTTTCATATCCATGATCTTTCTGTATAATCTCGAAACACTTTAATGAATATCCATTTTGAAACTTGGTCATTTCTACGTGACCTTCGGAAGATCAGGAAGAGATACTGGTTCCCACTCAAAACTCGAGGCCTCTAAAGAAGATATCGAGCTCAATTTTTAATTCATAAACTCCAGGGCGAACAGCGCGGTCGGACAAGATTGTATCAGGTGACTTGAAGAATGAAGCCGTTGTAGAGGCAGCATATAAGGCCAGGGTTGTAAGCCACCTAGTATCAGCCACTCCTTGGTACGTTCCATTGATTGCTTGGGCAAAGAATACAACTCACTGTATGTACGATGGCGATCACGTATGCTACGAGCGATAGAAAACGTTTTGATACCGAAAAGGGCCGGTTTCACCAAGAGCTCGTGTCTACGTTCACTGAAGGGTTGAATCTGCCATCTTCTATCATATCAGATGTCGAGGGTGTACTTACCGAGATCAAGCAAGCAATCACTACCACAAATCAGTCAGAAAACGGAGCTAGCAAGCTACAGTTCGTCATAGTTCTGAATGTGTTCAGATTCGACGAAATGTTGGAATTGTGGCAATCAGGTATGCGGTGCATAGTCTTAATCCGGCTGAGGATCGTGGGCTAACGTTTTCTACAGATACCCGCACAATTGGTTTCCGTCCGGATAATTCTCTAATTACGTACATCAGAAACAAGAATGAGACCACAAAGGTCAACCTCTATTCAGTACAGCCAAGGCGACACTCAGTTCGATGATCGAATGTTTCAAGCTAATGCCAAGGGAAGCATTAAGCAAATTGTTGCAAGTGCTGGGAGAGCGGAAGGGTTGTTGGTTGATGTATTTAGGGGCAGATAGCACTTTGGTGGTGGAGGGTGGTAATGCAACTGCTCATGGTAAAGAGAGTGTGTGTGTTAATACATTTGAGTAAAAGGTTTTATACTGTAATAGATTAGGGCTGAGCTATCCATCTTGTAGAGTTGGTCTGATAAGGCAAGAAAGAATATTTATATTGTGGCTGGTTTTCCTACAAAGTAAACTAAGAGAGTAAAAAGAGAAAGGAGTAAGACGACTAACAAATATGTTTTACATATTGGATTGATTAGAGTGGAAGAAAGCAAAAAAAGAAACTGTATGGAAATGGGATTGCTCCCGCCAGGGCTTGAACCTGAGACCTTCGCATTACCGGATACCCGGATGGAGTATTAGTACGACGCTCTAACCAACTGAGCTACGGAAGCCACCAGTTTTGATTGGTGGACATCAACATGTTGCAAATTATATCGCTAAACTCAAAGAATTTCACTCTAAGGAAAAGACTGTCTGTCTCGTTCTGGGTGGTCGCAAGCAAAGTATTAAACACTGCATCTTTTGGGACAATACTACAGCGCTTATGGCCACACCCATTGTGACCATCAGACGCGAAACGCAGGGCGAATTTCAACCAATCACAAGTCCCGGTTCCGTGGTCTAACGTTAGTCGGTCATGGCATCTCGTTAACACCGAGAAGGTCCCCGGTTCAATCCCGGGCGGAATCTCTCTTTTTGCCCGTAGAGCAACATGTCCAGGCACTGCGAACCATCCAAGTCGCTTTCATTCCAATGCATGCAGGTGAGCTACTTTGAACGCTGTGCTCGCACTCTACTTTTTGCCTTCCGCACTTAACACACACAAGTCTTCACACTTCGGAAGTTTCTCTTGTTGTGTTGGCGCCACTTCTTCCTCTATCGCATCGCCCTTTTCTTTTCCATCAACTCACTCCTCCTCATTTCTTCATATCCCCCACTCCTTGCACTACCCTTTCACCTTGCGGCCATAGCGTCAATGATGAGATCCTTCCAGCGCAACATGGACACTGATGATTATTTCACTACTGAGCCCAACGGGGACTAGAATTCCTCGCTCGTCGTCCAGGCACTGATCTCTTCCCCGCGAGTGACGGATAAACAAAAGATCCAAGAATCCGGCACTGCCCGCCGCAACAATGACAACGATCACAGAATCGGCGACCAGGCAACTGTTCTGGTATTTTGTGAAGACACGCAACAGCACAACTCCAAGGAGTGCAGCAGAAGCCTTTCGGCGATTCTATCGCAGCCTGAGCCCACAACTCAACAACTTTCTTCCGATGTTTTTCACTATCGCACTGAAGCGCATTCGCCCTCGCAGCGCAAGCGACAAAGAACGGCTTCTGATGATGATGCAAGAATGCAACACAGGCACAGCCGTCGAACCCAATCCCAAAGATCCAGTGGTAGGCCGTTTCCCACTTGTGATACCGCATCTGCTGACTATACTCTAGCATGGATACATCTCCTGGCTCACTGAAAAAGCTGCTCAAGTCCAAAAAAACATCGATAGCATCCACAGCCTGGACGATCATTTGGAGACCCTAAAAGTATTTGAGGCGACCTTTTTAACCCAGGAGGAGCACGAACAGAAACTTGAGACTCTTCAAGCTGAGATGCACGCAATCCAGCAAGACGAACAAGACAACATCGCCATCCGAAACTCCATCCAGCCCATCATCCAGCGACGAGGCTCCAGTTGCGCTGAGGAGTGGCGCGCAGCCCTTGAGCGATGCAACAAGTCTCTCTAACTGATTGAAACGCGAAAACGGACGGTCGAGGACTGTATCTCCAAGAGGAAAGCATTATTCGACCAGGAACTCCAAGAGTATGATACGACGATTAGGGAGATCGGCGAGTAGATTGAAGCTTGGGCTCCGGAGCTGGCGCAGCACGAACGAACCAAGAGGGCCATCCACATCATGAAGACATTGGTGGAAATGCGAGAATCTGGCATGGCGTGCTGGAGCGATTGCGAGCTTGATGGCCTGGAGAAATGGCTTGGTAACCTGGCGTTAAGAAAACCCATTGGGTACAGTAATTAAGGGCAGGGCCTGCTTGGAGCAGAAAGGGACGATAAAAGCCCGAAGAGATGCTTATGGGTCAAAGGCTTCAGTCTATCTAGCTTTGGTATTCTTAAGGGCTCTTGATAGTTAGCAGTGAAGGTGAAGCTGCATGGACAACTAGCATCAACAATTTGAGATGGGGAACGTGCCCGCACCATAGAAAATACCTTATCTGCTGGTAAAGCTACCGCTAATATCAAGGTCTTCTGAGTTTAGCTGTCTTTACTTCCCTCTACAGTTCACGCTGAACCTTTTTCTACCTGTTTTATACCGTACAGAAGTTACTCGGTGTTACTATTACTTAAAACTTTTCCGCCCAGCAAAAGAAGAGTATGTATTTGAGTTTTGCCAAATCTCCTTCTTCGAAATTATTACAGCCCAACAGGTTATCACACATAAAATTTCTACACTTATCTTTAAACTTCAAAGGTGTTCAGCCTTTTGCTGCTTGCCTTATGTGTAAGAAACTTTTCAAAGCCCAATTGCTTACTCTTGGCATATTCTGCCCTCGATTTTCCGGAAAGTAGCTCAGGTTAATCTGATCTCACAGTTGTTCAAGAAATATTCTCTCACGCACGAAAATATAAACGCTACACTTTTTACAACGGCCTATTTCATTTCCTTTCCCACTCTTCTTCTCCAGCACACCTTCTTCTTTCTTTCATCGCATCCTCCTCCCTCAACTCAACACAGCACACAACTTCTATCCTCTCTCACAACTATTACCCATCTCATCAAGGCCGACTACCATTATCACCAATGTCTGCAGCCATGACCCTCGAACCCATAGTATCGCTCGGCCAAATGCCAGACGAGATTCTCCTCGAGATTGCAACCCACATGCCTCGCATGACCCAAAAGTCCATGGACGGCATCACACGAACGTCCAAAAAATTTCGCCTGATATTTCTCCGTCGATACCTAGGTCAGATCACCTTCGTAGGAACCATGGAACGGATATCACACCGCCTTGACGCATTCAACGCAGTACATGCTTCTTCCACGGGGCCTATCTGGTCATCTGTTAGGTAAACCCATCTCTGCCAGCATTTGTTACCTATGACATTCTTTGACTAACATGCTAGAACTGTACGGTTCTATATCTCGGACGCGATTGAATCACCCGATACTCGTCCTCCAGATACAACGATACCCGGCCTTGTTGGAGACTTTCTTAGCAAAGTAGCAGCTGTCAAAGAAGTATCTGTTCACATGGCTAAACCTCCGCCTGGTCAGACTACATTTCAAGAGTTTCTGGGAGATGCGAACTCTTCATGGACGGGCTTTCCAAAGTTGAAGCTTACCACCCCCGATACAAAGATCATTCACGCCGTCATACGCCTTTGCCCCCAAAGCGCCCTGCAGGTTATCAAACTACCTTTGTATCCCAACTCCCCTGAGCTACGGCTTCTGACACGCCAGTGCCCAAACTTGAAGCGTCTACACGTTGACGCCCCAGGAAGCTTTTCCTTTCGCAATGCTAGGGGAAACTGGCTTGTCGATGACATCTGTGGAGCTTTCGTACACTTAGAGTGGCTAGTACTTGGAGGCATCTTTGATTCTGATATCGAAAGGTTAAGCGTAAGTAAATACCAACACCTGTCTATGTGGTTGCTAGAAATGCCATATACACTGCTCAAATTCACAACTAACATGCTTAAATCAGAGTTGGGCGATTAACATGATCATTGCCGCCTTGAACTCAGCGCCCTCCTTGGTCTGTTTCGCATTCAGGGTGCCATCCAATACAGATACTTCGTATATGGATGCACTTGAGCAGATCCTCACATCTGTTCCCAAGCTTGAGGAGCTCTGTTTTATCTCTCAAGATTCAAACTCTCCCGAGAGATTAGCAACTTTGCACAGGGGAAGTCGCAAACCTGGTAGATCAAAATTGATTTTCACCCAAGAGTCTATGACTACTAGTGAACGGGAGCGACGATTTCCTTGCGCACTTTTTGGGAAATGATTTGATCTAAACTCTATCTGGGTTTGTTGATTAAACATGGGGGATGTGTTCATCGATTTACGGGGAAATTGTGTAGACAGATTTGCTCAGCACAAAGGAACCCCTCATACGTTCAATAACACAGTCTGCTAAAAGCAAAACTTCGGTCAGGTCCCTTAGTCGGTGGAAGAACTCAAGTAAAACTTGAAATAAGAACTTCCTTGTCGGTACGCTTGCCTTGTAGCTCAGTAAGCATAATAGAGCGTCCCCTCATTCTCAGACTGCCTAATCTTCTTATTCTCTCTCACAAGCCAGAATCTCATTCCCCACGCACCAATCGCGGTCGCCACACTCAACGCAGCACTTGAAGACATGGCCATGGTGTATCGCGGCTCATCTGAAGAAGGCCACATATAGGGGGTCCAGATGAATGATGCGACGGCGATACAGTTGACGATGGCAAGGGAGCACGCTTTCTTCTCTTTCGTCTGTGAACAAGTTGCAGAGACCCAGCCTAGGATAATGCTGTTGACGGCGTAGGTACCGATAGAGAAGACACACATGGCAACTGTAGCTTGTTAGGCTTGTTCCTTGGTTCACTGGGGAGGACTTACAATATCGAGCGCCTGTGTTGAGTGTGGCGCATCCAAGAGTGAAGCCAAATACCGCAACGGCTTTTGCGATGGTGATGTGCCTACAAATTAGCATCAAGGCTGGGTAACCGGATGTGAAAACTCACCATGTCCGCTCATTAAATCTGCCAGACGACCAGGACCAGGCAATCGAAATCACACCAGCAATAAGATAAGGAGGACAAGTCAAAACAAGGGTTATCTCCTGATTGAACCCCAGTGTCTTGACAGCAGTGGGGAAAAAGTTCTTGAACCCGTTGGCTCCAAGATGGCAATGCTGCATGACGACAAATAGCCATACCTTGGGGTCTTTGGCAGCTTCGCGAATTCCTGACCAACTTGTTGTTTCGCCTGAATTGCCCACTGTGTCACGCTGTGTTCGCTCGTGCGCTAGGGCTTGTTCCTCGGGGGTGAGCCAGTGTGTTGTGAGAGGCTCGTCGGGTAGGATGAAGAAGCCTACTATTGCGATGACGAGAGTTACGGCGCCTTGGATTATGAAGAGCTATTGCCATCCCGCAAGGTTGGCCTTTTCTTGTTAGCAGTGTTAACAGTCAACGAGAGTGACGCGCTTACCATTCCGTCCATCTCAAAGATCCCCAAGGCAATCAAGCCAGCAAAAGCGGTAGCAAGAATGTTTCCAGTATACAGAATGGAAATACGTGTCGCAAGTTCCTTTCGTGTATAGAATCTCGCAAGAATATACAACGCACCAGGATAATACGGCGCCTCAGTGATTCCCAGGAAGAAACGCGTGAGGAGTAAGCCAGTGTAGTTCCGACTCAAGGCAGTCAGACCACTAATGATTGCCCAAACTGTCATGCACGATGCCATCCAGATACTCGGTCTCACACGCGTGACGACCATATTGGCTGGGATGCCGACGATGACATAACCAGCAAAGAGGATCGATACGCAGGTTTGGTACTGTGAACCGGTGAGGTTGAGGTCTTTCTCGATGGTGTTGAGACGAGCGAGGGCGATGGCATTACGGTCCTGGACAGTCAGCGATGAGTACTGGGTGGTGAAGTCTCTTTATTCATACCAGGTAGTTGAGCCAGTACATCAGCCACAGGATGGGCATGATCCATTTGTCCAACTTGCGAACGAGGGCGATCTCGCGAGGATCGGTTTTCTCGTGGGCGCCCGAGTAGTCGCGTGCTTGAGGGGGTGTCTTGAGCACTTCTTCGATCTCATCGAAGGGTGTTGATGGATCTCCATTCTGCTTTTTGTCGAGTGAGTGACGGGTCGTCATGGTTGCGAGTGCTCTCAGATAGGGTGATGAAACCTAGAGGGGCTTGAGACTGAGGATCTACAGCGGCACCTGACTTTATAGGTATGTGGCATACCATGAAAACCTCCCCTGGATACCGCCCTTGGGTTGTAACGAGCTATATTCTCTTATCTATGTTCCATTGCGTGCTCCACGATAATGTTGGTTGGTTCTTACAGCAGGCAGCAAGACCATTACCACATCCAGGATCTCCAATACTACCACAGGTGCTTCTTAGAGCGCGGGGTCAGCGTGGGATGCTCTTTTATGAAGATTCCAATTGGACATCGCGAGTAATATTGGAGTGCCAAGAACTGCTTGGCAGGCGGGGTATGAGCTAAACTTTTACCTTAAATCAAGCTTAAATGTCTAGGCTGCAGAAGCCTAGGACCATATTGGAAGGTGCTGTGAGCTTAAAGTAGTATGTAACCCAGATTCTCTTGGCTATGAGATTGATAGGTCTTCTTGGCTCAGGGATTTGGGCATACTTCATGACTGGTGGTGGGTTTGGGATCTGCCAAGGTAAAAGGATGTTACAATGGTTCTAGATCTGTAGTCCGAAGACATGTCTACTCTGGATGCGGGGTTGTTGGGGAGCTTGGAAGTACAAGAGTAACTTGTTGCAGTATTTGGCTCATTCAATCTGGGGTAGCTGTACAAGAGCCATGATGCACCGAGTCACGTAGCAGAATTACCTGCACGGTCCAGTTTGATCTCAGCTACAGACATGGCCCAGACTCGAAAGGGATCCAAAGACCATAAGAACACAAAGATGTTTTAAAGAGCGGAATTTTACGGTACAATCACGATATCAATAGAATCAAGGAGTTGAGTAGTGAGTATATATTTGCACTACTAGCCTATCTGCAAGACGAGAACCAGCTAGCTACCACACTTAGAAATTTATACTAAAACAAAAACTAATATGTGACAAGAAAAATGTATGTGCAGTGATAGAAAAACACAATCACACCTCCATTGTGTTCCCTCCAAAATCTCTCTCTTTCTTTCAGGACCAGTCCTGAGAAAACCTCTCTTCCAAACCAATGCTACTCAAAGGAGTCGGCATTTAGCGGAGAGCGTTGACAACAGCAGTGAAAGCAGGCTTGGCCTGGTAGTTGGCGTTGAACAGGAGAGAGTCGTGCTCCTTGCGCCAAGAGTTCTTGTCGCTGACACCCCAGACAGTGATACCGACACACTTGGGGACGTTGAGGCAGGCCTTGGTGACGGTGGCGTAGTCGTTGGCAGGGGCAGTGCGGATGTCGAGCTCAGTGATGGCAACCTCGCTAACACCGGAGCTGACAAGAGCCTGAAGAGCGCCCTGGACTTGACCAGCCATACCGGGGTCGAGATGAGACTGGGAGCCGATACCGTCAATGGGGATGCCCTGAGAGATCCACTTCTTGACGTGGTCGCGCATGCCGGTGGTGACCTTGGCAGCGTTGGCAGAGTCAAGGCTGTAGTCGTTGATGTACAGCTTGGCGTTGGGGTCAGCCTTGCGGGCAGCGCGGAAGGCAATGCCGACAAACTCCTCGCCGAGGACGCGGGAGAAGACAGAGTCACGCAGACGGCCGTCCCACTCGAAGATCTCGTTGACAACGTCCCAGGCGTAGACCTTGCCCTTGTAACGTCCAGCGACGTTGGCAATGTGGTTCTCAATGACAGACTTGAGCTGGTTCTTGTCGTTGATGTTCTGGACCCACTGAGGCAGCTGAGAGTGCCAGAGGAGGGCGTGGCCGCGGACCTTGATGCCGTTCTGCTGGGCAAAGTTGACGACCTGGTCGGAGGAGCCGAAGTTGAACTTGCCCTGGCTGGGCTCAGTGGCATCCCACTTCATCGAGTTCTCGGGGGTGACCTGGCCGAAGACGGCCTTGACGGTGTTGGTGTCCTGGGAGTTGGCGAGGAGGTTGGGGTCGGTGATGGTACCAAAGTACTTCTTGCCCTTGTTCTGGATCAGCTTGTTGAGGCTGGTCTGCGCCTGGCGGGGCTCGACAGAGGCGGGCATGGCCGCGACCAGCGAGGCGGTGAAGAGGAAGGAAGACAGCTTCATGGTGAATAGATTTGGTTTGGTTGTTGAGGTGAAGAAAGAATGAATTGACCTGCAATAGAGAGGTGGTAAAAAAAGAATGAAGATGTGATTGTGAGTGAGTGTGAGAGTGAATGACTGAATGCCAAGTGCCAAGAGAGCGGGAAGTGGTCTATCTTATATGCCAGATCGGTAAACAGAAAACTAATCGATCATCCTATCCCTCCCTTAGCAAAAGGAGAAGAACATCCAATATCCGGAATTAGTTTGTCCGATAAGGCATGCTTTTCCCTTCTGAGGTCAATGGTAAATCGGAGTGCTACTCCGGCTCACTCCAGGGCTGTTTCGAGATGGATTTTCATTTATGCCGGCAGCCAAAGCGTCAAACCAGGGGGTGAGTGGGGTATGAAGCAATCGTTCTTGGATAATGTCCAGACTCTTTTGGAACTTTTGGGAAATAGTACCGGGGATATGGTTACATAGCTTCGGGCCCCGTTATTTGAGGTTGCTTACGGAGCACTGCTGTGTTGTTCTTGTGTCTGTCTTTCGATACACTGCCAGTTGTGAGGAACAGCTCTTTCGATGGATGGTTTCGATATGGGACGACATGTTCGGCATTTCTTATGATGCGGAAACGCGTGAGTTTACGGATAGAGACAGACAAGGGGGAGATCACCGGGAAGCGAGAAATATCAATGCTTGTTGTTTTGGGTATATCGTTCGCCCGATTAATTTACAAAGGGGCTCCACAGGGTCCTATTTCGGCTGAATGCACTTAGCTGAGACGGAGTTGTGGTTAGTCTCAGCTCAAAGAGACCGCTCCCGCGGGAGTGCGGTACCGAGGTGACAAAAATACTGCTAAATTGAGCATATATCACAGGCGTTTTTAGCAGGAGTCATTTCTTTCAACCCTTTGACGTAGTAACCGGGAAAAGGCAAGGCTTGGACCACGTGGATCATGTTTCATGTATGAGGTCCCACGACATTCCAGACTCTTGCCACTTGCAGACTTATTTGGCGCAATATTTCTCCGTGGTTTTAATCCACCAACCATGGCCATGAAGGCGTACGAACGTGGTAATAGGGTCGTGCCTTGGAACGGCTAAACGGTTAGCGGCGATTAGAAGGCTGACTACTCTTGGCTCTGGGGAACTCTGTTATTGATACCATTTTGATGGAGTGACGATTCATGATGAATTGAAGAGAAAGCAAAGAAGATAGGTGTGTATTATAGGCGAAAGAGAGGAACAGACATGTGTAATCGAAGATTCTTCATTTACTAAATTGACTTCATCACAATGCAAAGCATCCTGCAGGAGTGAAGGCTACCGTAGAACAAACTCTACATGCCCTTATCTTACCCTGAAGTCAATGTCTAAGATTACTTACATGCCACTAACGTTAGTGGAAAGCTTAGCAGTAAGCAAACAACTTTGGATTTCATCACAATTCTCCCGTCTTAAAGATTAACGGATCAACTCCAGGCTCTTTCCTTAGTATGCACGCATTTACCCATCCGCCAGTTTGAAGGTGAGTAAGACATGCACAATATGATCACAGGATGCGTACCCCGCGTTTTGCTAATGCACAGTGCCGTATTGAACGAGTAAGTGCCAACTTGTAGGGTAGATCAGAAGCAAGTAAGAGGAGCTCTGGGAGTAGGAATCGGAGTGAGAACCCTCGATATAACGATTGTGTTACTGCATACATGCTGGTTGCGAGTTGAGGATTTAGCCCGGATTAATTTCTCCGTCAAAGGGTGACACGGCTATTGCATGATACGGGCACAGTTATTGCGTCCGTGGTATGGAATATCCTTCTTGTGATTTGTTCGGATATCCTGCCTCTGGATGTGTGGCTGTGTATGGGAAGTCTGTATATCCGGCTTAGGGAGCGCTTCTGGCGATGGCGAAGGCATATCCAATCGCACCTTTACACATTCAAGATACGACAAGGTCAACACAGAAACTTCTGCAATTACAGGCCACTCCAAGACCCAGAGGCCTACTTTGAAGGGGCAGATAATGGGGGTATCTCTAAAAGTCTATACGGATAGACATAAGCTTTGCAATGTTAGAGGAGCATTTCTTATTAGACTTGTCCACATCATTTCATCTCTTGAGGTTTGTGGCTTTGTTGTCTGCTTCTTGTATCTGGGCTATCAGATCCTACCGACTGGACAAGGCTGGAAGTCGAGGACTAGTCCTCAACGATACCTATGGTATAAGATACAGAAAGCGGTATAATCGGTATGCTAACACCAGACTCCCGTCTGTGAACTCTCCAAAGCTATACAGAAGCCAGCCTATAATTTTCCACACTGTACACTCGATCGACCATCGCTCTAGACTCTATCAACAATGATTCTAGCTATGATTTGCGACGGAAAAATAGCGTTATTGGTGCGAACAAAGTTCAGCCCCTACCCATCCATTACATGCATTGTCGACCAAAAAGAGACCGTGAGGAGACAATATTCCCCCTCCCCAATAAGTCTGCCACCGTATCCTGAGGCAAAGTGTGCGCCAGGATCGCGTGAATTACGAGGCCGCCACAGCCCACCATTGACCTGTCAACTGCCAACAAAACACGAGGCCCCTGCGATGTTAATCATCCGTCCGTAATAAGGAAGACCCTGGTCATAAGCAAAGACCATACCAGGGTACTGGCAGTTGTCAAACAATACGCTAAACCGCGTTAGGGATTTGTTTGCGAAGGGCATGAGTCTAACCACTTTTTGGGACAGCTTGGAACAAAGTTCCAAATGGAGGCGCAATGTGCAATTAGAATAATGAAGCATAATCCTTTTTGGTGCTTAATTGTGCATCAGAATTATGCGAGCTATTTATCGATTGAATTTGAGATTCGATCTGTATAGAGTTTGGCGGGAGCGGCTGTTCCTGATCTACCTAAGCTTAAACATAAAGGCAAGCGACTAATGCAGTGTATTTGGACACCATGCAATTGTGCCATAGTATCGACAGTATGTTTCTTTCCCACTATTACCATTACCTTCACCATCACTATTGTTGTCGTTGACTACCTAACACAGCTCCAATCTATCATCCGATCACGAAATATTCAGACCTGAAGGAACTGGACAAACCACTCACCACTCACCAAGCCAACTGCAGTTGAAACGAGATGAAACCAAGATCGCGCATCTACCAATAACAAGGATCCAAACATCTTGAGTAAAATTAAAGGGCCCCTGTAAGTTCGTTCTTTTTCCAAAACAGACGGAAAGGTGGAAACATTTTTGAACTTCCCCAAATAAGAATTGTCCCAAAGGCCAAGACTTTGGTGCGAAACACCATCGTTAGGGTGGTATTCTCAGGTACGGGACGATTTGGCCTCGCCTGTTCAGCTAAAGGATATTGATCGGGCGCGAAGATGGGGGAGAAAAAGCTCCTTGTGGATACCCTCACAGAGAATGCCTGCAACTGTATGGAGCATGTTCTTGAGATCAATGGTGAAAGATGCTATATAAATCAGTTCACGGTCCCCCTCATAGATTCTAGATCATCCCATTCACTATCAGCCAATTCCATTCGTTAAGAGCTAGTCTCATTCATTCTTTCATACCAACTTACTACCTTCGCTATCTGTGATCAGCAACCTTCTTTTTTTCTTCCATCATTCATCATGAAGACCACCTACGTTTCCGCTATCCTGGGGCTGGCCTCCTCTGTCTGCGCCCACTACACCTTCGACAAGCTGACCGTCGGAGGAACTGAGGAGGGCGCCCCGAACGAATACATCCGCAAGCACGACAACGGCTACATGCCCACCAAGTTCAAGGGCATCCCCGACGGCTCCATCTCCCCCAACGATAAGGACTTCACCTGCAACAAGAACTCTATTGCCTCTGCCAAGGTCTTCAAGGTCAAGGCCGGTGATGAGATTGGTCTCAAGCAGGCCTTCGGCGGTACTGGAATGGAGCACCCTGGTCCTGTCCAGGTTTACGCCGCTGCTGTTGATAACGCTGCCACTGCTTCGCCCTCCGACCTCGACTGGTACAAGATCCACCAGGCCAAGATCTGCAAGGCTGGCAACGCTGAGTCTCTCCGCTCTACTGCTTGGTGCAGCTGGAGTGAGGACTCTGTCCACTTCAAGGTCCCCTCTACTCTCCCCGACGGCCAATACCTCATCCGCGGTGAGCACATTGCTCTCCACGGAGCTCACGGTGGCGAGGCCGAGTTCTACTACGCCTGTGCCCAGATGGAGGTGACCGGTAACAGCGCCTCCAGCATCCCCGGTACCTCTGTCAAGATCCCCGGTGTCTACAAGCAGGACGACCCTGCCGTCAACTTCTCCCTCTGGGGATCTTCTACCGCCTATGATGTTACCCCCGGCCCCGATGTCATCCCCGGTGGTACCATCCGTGGTAGCGCTGACGGTGCTTCTGGTGATGTTACCGAGACTGTTGAGGGCGGCGCTTCTTCCGGCTCTGCCCCTGCTACTACTCCCGAGGCCTCCAACAACGGGACACCTACCAACAACGAGACACCTGCCAACACCCAGGCCCCTACCAACAACCAGCCCCAGCCCTAGACTCAGCCCGAGGCCCCCCAGGGTAACTCTGGTGGCAACAACGGAGCTGGCTGCGACTCTACCTACGTCCGCCGCCACGCTCGCGACATTGTCCGCGCTTAAAGGACTTAAGACGACTATCATGGACAGATGATTTGAGGCCATTGCGATGACTGGGCATGCTGCACGCAGGTCGTGATGTTTTACAGCCTGCTCATTTTGTCACTGGCTTCTTGATGGAACATTGATCACGATATTGGTGTGGAAGATCTTCTTATCGATTAGCTATTTCTATAGCGTAGTTTCTTGTAAATATAATATTACGGGCTGAACAATATGCTGCAAATGCTGTAGACTTGTGGTGTTGGTAAATAAGTAACAGTTTTCATATCGCTTGATGTGCTCCTGCTTTGCTCTGTACACAAACTCACCACCACAGTACAATACTATCTATGCCTGCGTATAATATTTAAACCAACATTTATACTTGCAATTTAATCGATAGCTATTCTAGTCATTCATCTGTTAGAAAGGGCATGATAGAAGAGACAAATTACCCTCTTGAAATTCTGACCGTGGAACTGCTTAACCGTCATCTCTTCTCATTGGCCAGAAATGTTCCCGTTATGCATGTATGTTGATCAGACCAGGCTGTGCCCATTACGCAAGGAAGCGTCTACTGATCCAATAACCATATAGCACGTATCTGAAGCTGACGGGATGCATTGTGAAGCGGGGTTTTCAGCTCTTAGCTGAAACTTCTTATATCCCCCCAATGCTATTTTTCCCTAGCCTTGCTGACTTTTGCTATCCCAAACAAATCCAATTTCTGTGTTGTGTTTAACTACTTACACTTATCGAATGGACCAAACCCCACGGGATGTCTAATACTGAAAAGCCCTCCTGGCGTAGTCTGGCTGGGAGCTGCGACTTGTGCGGCCTCTGCCACAAGGAAACGACGGCATCGGCTGACAATCACCCACCAAGGACGTCTTCCGTGGTCCCAAGTACGTACAAAATCCGAAGAAAAAGGTCGCACGAATATGATATTGGAAGGACTGACAATCAATCCAAGACAGAACATCAGCCGCCTTGCCTCCCGATCAAGTATCGCTAAGATCTCTTCCTCGAGCGAGTTCCGCACCTGTTCCAAGTCCGCAACCACCGGCTATTTCAGTGACAAAACGTACTCCCATTGCTGCCGTTACAGCCCAAGTCTTCACTGCCCCACAGCATACGCCGGACTTTCCCGTTGCACCTCAAGTCTCTAGTGCTCGGCAGTCTACAACATACTCTTCTGGTACTTCAACTCAGCAGCAAGCTGACCTTCGCCAACTATGGGACGAAGCTATCCAGAAGATGAAAAATTCGCCAGATGGCGAAAAGCTAGCTGAAGTGATCCAGGTTCAACAGAACACCCATTCAGGAGATACTGATGTGACCTTGATGGGACTAATGTCTCGACTGCAGAATGAGATGGGGCGTGTGGGACTTAAAGGAAAGATAGCAGATCTTATGGGCAAAGTAGTTTCCCATTTGAATCGCTTTGCTATTGTGGGTGATATTGCTGTCAGCACCAACCCCAATCCTGCGGCATTGCCTTGGGCTGCCGTACGATTTATTCTTCTGGTATTCTATACATGTCGTTAATACATGGCCATGATACTGACTCTTACTAGAACCTGACCGCCGGTGAAGAAATCAGGGACAAAATCATTGAAGGCATCGTTCAAATCACCATCCTGGAGTTCGAATGCAGTGTCTACCAAGAAGTTCATCTGGCGTCTTTAAACTCCAGCCAACAAGCCACGCGCCGAAGACTCCGAGATGCCATTGTGGAAGTATTTGCTCTATCCATTAAACTTCTCGGTTTTGCCCTTCAAAGGCAACAAGCAGTAATGAAGAGCATGACGGACGCTTTCCGGATTGAAGACTTTGCGAGCTATTTGAGAGATCTCGCTACAGCGAAGGTCCGTCTACATGACGCTGGCCACCACTGTGATATGTATCACAATTATGAAAGTCGAGGCCAACTCAAAGAATTGCACGACCTGGTAATGCTTAATGTCAAGTAAGTACCTGGTCATGAGATATCTAGCCAATATCTAACGGTTGTTATAGTGAGGGAGCCGAGGATAGGGCCAGGATGCAGCTGAAGGATCTTCTCATCGACCCAAAAGATGTCGTCGACCACATTCACCATCCCGGAAACTCTTTCTGTCTCGAAGGCACACGGGTGGCTATTTTACAGGACATCATGTCATGGTCAAGTGATTCGAAAAGCCCCTGTGTTTGCTGGCTTCCAGGTCTCGCTGGCACAGGGAAAAGCACCATCTCTCGCACGGTTGCCCGCGACCTGAAGGGCAAATCACTTGGGGCGAGTTTCTTCTTTAAGACAGGCGCTGGGAATCGCGGTGATGGACGGTTTGCGTTTGCCATCATCGCCTATCAACTGGCCCTAAACTTTCCTCCGATACGCCGCCACATCCTTGTCGCGGTCAAGGAAGATCCGACATCAGCTATGGCTCCAATGCAGGTCCAATGGCAGAGACTGATCCTCAATCCACTTTCTCAGCTACAAAGCAAAGAGCTCGGAAAGCCCCTGGTCCTAGTTATTGATGCATTGGATGAATGTGAAGAGAACGACCGGAAGCAAATTCTTCAAATTCTTCAGGCATCATGTCCAGCAGCTTTACGAATATTCATTACCAGCAGACAGGAACCTGATATTGAGGGTCAATTTGCAGCGTATCAACAGTCATATCAGCAGATTGTACTTCACCGAGTCGACCAAGGAACCATTGAGAAGGATATCACCGCGTTCCTCAAGTACAACGTTGAGGAGTTTGTGTTTGAATACAACCGATGCCATCCACAGAAGCACTTGCAGATTGATGCAAAATGGCCTGGCAACATGCGTTTCTAGCTGCTTGTACAGAGATCCCTTCCCTTGTTCATCGCCGCCGCGACATACATTCGAATGATCAAGGATCGTTACTGGACCATGAGCCCAGACAACAAGATGAACTTTATCATCGAGGAGTCAACGAAAGTGAACTCAGGATATGACCCACTATACCGGCCTGTTCTGGGTCTTATACTGTGTAGGTGTCCAGAGGAAGTTTGCGGCAGAGTAACACAAAGCTTCGTCGATGTCATTGGCTCACTTATTCTACTCGCCAGCCCTCTGTCAATAACAGAACTTGCCAATCTTCTCGGTACCGGTGCTCGGGAGGTTGCGGGCCAAATTGATGCTCTACGGTCTGTGATCGATGTTCCATCTGACAATGGCAAGATTAAACTGTTCCATCTGTCCTTCCGAGATTATCTTCTCAGTAATTCAGCTGGAGAGCTCCAAGTGGATGAGGCCAAATGCCACGCAAAACTGGCAAGCAGGTGTATCAACCTTCTGAAGGCAAAGCTGAAACAGGACATATGTGGCCTTGGGTCTCCTGGGACACGTATTCGGGAAATTGACCCAGCGATTTTGGACAAGCACCTGTCCGCAGAAGTCCAGTATGCATGTATATATTGGACGTTTCATTTAAGGCTGTCTGGAGCACGTCTTGGAGATCCAGAACAGGATAAGAATGCTAGAAGTATCCTTAAGTTTCTCCAGACCTTCTTTTCAAACTGGATAGAGGTGTTATGCCTGATAGGAAAGGTCGCTGATTCCTTCATTGCCCTTGACCAACTACAGACTATTGTTAACGTGCGTAACATCCTTTCCAGAACGTATAATATCCCAACTAACAGCCTTTCCAGGATGGGGCGGGTGGTCAACTTCTACGATTTATCGCCGATGCAAGGCAATTCATTCGTTACTTTCGCGCAGGGATACAAGAAGCGCCCCTCCAGATATACTACTCAGGCGTGATATTCAGTCCAAAAGCAAGTATTGTGCCTCAACCATTGGCCGACCGACAATATCCAGATTGGATCGCCCAACCCTCAAATATAGACTCTGATTGGCCACAAAGGTCGCACACCTTCGAGGCCGACGGGCAGTTCATTTTGCAAATGACTTTCCTACCTGACGGCAGACTAGTCTCACTATCCCGTCTCGGGCAGATCAAAATTTGGGATGCAAACTGTGGTTTCTGTCTATTCACTATATCGGGCAATGAAGACAAAATGTATCACTCATTCTCCGTGTCACGAGACAATGGCGTTGCAGTGCCGTCTTCCAATTCAATCAAGATCTGGGATGCAAACAGTGGCACACTCAGCCAAGAGATTGTCCTAGAAGATCATGATGTTTATGACGTCGCGTTTACAGACGATGGCAAGTTTATTTGCTCAAGGTCGAGACGAATAGAACGAGACGTAGAATCCAATGACTCAGGACTGACTAGTCATCACTCAGAAGGCGAAGTTGTAACCGAATCTGATCAGGAGATCATGTGCATCCACGATGTCACCACTGGAGAATGTGTTCGCGAGTTCGGGTCTGGACTCCAGTTTTCCACTCCCAGCTTCTCTCCAAAAGGTCAATGGATAACAGTGAATGAAACAATGCTCTCAAGATGGGATACATGTAGCGACTTGCTTTGGATGAACCTGGAGACTGATGGCAAGCATAGCGCATGGGGATTCTCTGTCGATGGTACGCTGCTGGCTTCAATCAACGCACAGAGGCGGCCACCCGAGATAAAGGTGTGGTGCACGGAATCAACCAAGTGTTTGCACACGTACACGATCCCAGATGAAGACTCGAAGCCCATGAGTGGCCTAACTTTGACGAAAGACTTGCTAGTATATACGTCGGTGACTTGCGATGCTGTTTTTATCAATTTGAAAACAGGCCAAGTATCCCGCAGACCCGACATCCGAGTCTTCCATCATCTTGCGTTATCCTTTGATGGTAAAACCCTTGCCACACTATTGTTGGGTGGAGTCATAGGAATATGGGACCTTGCGTCAATATCTCAAGTCGAGCCCCCCGATGTACACTTATGGCCTGTGGAATGGGTGGCTCCGATAGCTGATGGGAATACCATTTTGTCTTTGACACGCGGGGATTCCAGAATCTGGGACATCTCTACTTTGCACTGGAGTGCAACGGCCCACCAAACCCGGTATACCGGAGCCTACTACGCCCCCCCGCTAAAGATAGCAACTTCGACGAACAAGCCACTCTACGCAACATGTAGTTTGGAAGAGGTTGTAATATGGCACTTCGACCCGGTCCATGGTATTAAGCGCCTGCCGCAAGAATATGCCACTGCGGCAAACCAGGTGGAAAACATTGCAATCTCTGATAATGGAGAACGACTTGCTGTCTACCTATATGATGAGCTTCATGATGAGCGGCGTGCTGTTCAGATATGGGACTTAAGGACTGCCGGTCTGCTACAAACGATTGACTGTGGCCAATATCCAGGACCTGCTAAGACTGGACGTTTTCGATTGGCTCTTTCGCATGATGGCTCGCGAGTTGCGTATATGACTGATGATTCCATCAAGGTTCAAAATGTATCGAATCCTCAGTCTTTAACGACCTGCACACTACCGTACCCTGATGATGACTCCCTTTCACACTTATCATTTGATAACGGGAGGATCCTAGCCATCACGAGATGGGCCATACAAAGCTTCGACGATGAGACCGGCGAGGAGATAGGAAGGTATAAACTTGAAGACAGTACTCAAAAGGGTGGAGTAGAAAAAAGCTTCATCAATATTGAGGCTATCCATAGCACTAACGAACAGCCCAGACAGCACATCAGCGACATCATGAAACCCTACTACATTCTGAGAGATGATCGTTGGCTCCATAAGCATAAAGAGGATATACTTTGGCTTCCACCTGATTATGTGCCAGAATCGGCATGTCTGGTGGGATCAACCGTCATCGTTGGCACAATCTCAGGGCGATTATTGTTCTTGTATTTAAGAAGTTGACTTAGTAGAAGGCAGCCTGGCCAGAAATTGAACTCTATGAGACATTGTTATTAGCCTCGGTCTTGATCAGTATAGCACCGGTAGATTTCTCTTCGTCTCGCAGTATTTTCCTTGGTACATTCCCTAGTTCTGCCATATCTTTCACGTGAGGCTAGAATGTTTGGTTTCGTATTTAATCCGATCATGTAAATAGATGTAGTGCCTTGATTTACTTTCGTCCACTCTGTACAAACAATGTTCTAGAACTTTCTATGTGACGTGACTTTTATAACATAGCCATAAGGTTGACTGACCTTTGATGGAGATGATAGAATAAAAGCAGTTTGAAGTTCAGGTCAAAGTCAGATCATTCAGAGTAAACAGAGTATCATTTCAAGTATCAAGCCATAATCTAACCGTTGCAAAATAAATACGAACTAAGTCCAAGCTAATCCCGAACCAGGGAGTTGAAGAAAACAAAACAGAACCTCTTAGCTGCGCATCCCAATTTACTCGTCAACAGCAGGGTCAAAGCCAGGGGCACCATCACCAGCAGCCTTGCGGAGAGTGTTGGTGAAGCTATCGTCCTTGTCCCAGAACTTGGGTCCGATTCCACCATTCCAAGCATCGTAGAGGGTGTCTCGGAGAGATCGGCCGTTGACAACGGGCCAATTGTCCCAGCCAACAAGGTTTCCAATGAACCACTGGCCAGTGAAGTTCTCGATGCCATCGTCGGCCTCGTTGGCCATGCGCCAGCAGTGGGTCTCGCCCTTGTCCTTGTGGTAGACAACCTTGGCGCGCTGGCCATCGAGACGAGGCTCGTTAGTGGCGTGGTCGTATTTGCCGTGACAAGAGGGAGCGACTCGCTTGACATCCTCGCCTTGAACAAAGACAACAATGTTCTCCCAGTCGTGGGTGTGGCCATTGCCAGGACCGACGCCGATGGAGCCCCAGCTACAAGATTGATTAGAGAGTGTCAAATAATTAGATCTGGATAGAACTTACACAATCTGGTCCTTCTCGAAGTAGTACTCGTACATGATAGCACACCAGCCATTGTTACACCGCTTTCGGCTGTAGAGATTGTTGTTCTCGAGGCGGTCATTGTTACGGCAATCAGCAGCAAGGCCCTTGGCAAAGACATCCTTCTGGCCTAGACCACGGTTGGTGTTACCGTCCTGGTCAATGGCTGAAGTGTAGTAGCAGCCGTCAGTGTCGAAATCAGTGACAGGCTGGAACTTGTGCTCAATCTCATGAGCACCATCGGGAATACGGCCGATAAGAGCGCGCTTGACTTGCTGGAGAGGGCTGGCCTCAACACTCAAGGCCGCGGCCAGAAGAGTTGTGAGAGTGACGGCGTGCATGATTGCTGATGTGAAGATGTGTTTGTAGAAGTAGAGGAGATAAGATTGAAGAGGTTACTGTTGAGAAGGGAGTAGAAGATGAAAGTGGTGATGATGAGATGAAGAGATGAGTTATTGACGGAATACAAGGCTTCTTAAATACAACAAAAATGCAGACCAGATACTATTCTCAGCCTTGTTGAAGCTCACGATGACATCAAACCGTCAGTAAGCAACACAGACACGAAAACAATAAGCGGGAACAACGAAGGATCGACCATGCCCGAAGATTCCCACCCGATGGACCAATCATGCTCCCAAAATCACACGTAAGAAACATCTCGCTGCATAGTCAATCTGTGCTCGAGTCTAGCTTGTTACAACTAACCGCCTAGACCAGCCAAGGCGCAGCAGAAGGATTCGGCCCCCACAGCCAATCAGAGGAATTTCGCGTGCATCTCTAAAATTAAGCATGATGGAAGGATTACGGATCTTAACGGGGGGCAGTGCCGCCAAGATCGCAGATTAGCCAATCAGAGGCGCTCTGCGACCCTATTTTAATCTACCGTAGGGCTCAACCAGTCTTTGTTTGAAACGAGTGAGATGCAAGCGCATCAGCCCTCTAGTAATCAAGCTTGTAATTGCTTCCCTGTTCCTGGTTCTTGGGGGCTACAAGTCGTTTTTTTTGGTTGTGGTACCGCCATTGATTACTGTTAACGCTGCGAAGAAGTGGCTGCGCCATGAAACAAGCCCTGTGAAAAGATGACCAGGCTGAGCCTGTTACCCCTCGTCCCATAAGCATTCATTGGTACTTTGGCTATGTCATTTATAGTAATAGTGATGGATCTTTGTCAATAAAGATGAGAATAGCTTGATTCTCAAATCAGAGCTACTGTCAGATTCCCGTATTGAGCTACAGTCCCGGAGGAGTTGAGGCTTCTAGGGCTTCTGTATGCAAGAAGGCCGGCCAGGATCTGGACCCCAAGTGCGTAGTGCCCTATGCTGTCATCAATCGATCTTTCAGGCTGGGATTGGCCTGCACAGTGACATATTTTTGTAATCACCACTCTATCAGGCTGCTGCTCCTCGTACTAGCAAACGCACCATGACAGTATTTCAGTCAATCTGGAGTGCGACCAGACGGAACAAGCCAGCCCCGCTCTTCTGCCTATACGACATGCCTAATGCTATTGTATGGCCGTTGAAAGGCGGCCGCCGAAGTAATCGCAGTAAGCAGACGAGATTGTATCCCCAGACGGAATCGAGTTGGGGCTGGTTTGTAAGCGTGAGTTCATCCTTATGAACGGTGTTTGGAGCTGACTGTGTCGTTCATCCCAGAGGCTGTTGATCCTCTGCGTGAATGCATAGCCAGACTGAGATATTGGTATTGCCACTTTAGCCGATGGCATGCTTGTATATGGATAGGGTAGTTGGATGAAATGAGACAAGTACCAGTAATCCCCCTTGAATGGGATTGTAATATTGTGACCTAATTTCTCTGCTTACTACCCTAGACAAAGGGCATCGGGTTTCTAATTTTGTACAATGAAATACTCTGGTCTGCTTAGAAACATGCTGAAGATGAACTAAAGCCTTAGTGGATTGGGTTATGTTAGTCATGTAAAATAGTTGAAATCTTGGAGGTAATCTTTCTGCAGCGGCATATTTCGATGAAGCTGGACACATCATAATCCACAAAAGTGACCTTTGCCTAGACAATCCATACGAGTGGAGCCCGACATGATGGAATCATGACCCTCAAAATATTTCCTAGACCTTATTCTTCACGCTCCGAAGTGAGGTAGCATGATCCCTGAAATAATCATGGAAATAACTGAAACAGGAATACAATCTTGTCCCACGTACAAGGCCGCGCTTGGGGGATAAAAAGAAACACGACCCATATATGCGTACTATTACGCCAAAAATGCCTTGTTCAGGGACTGTCCTCCTTCCCCTGCTCGGAACTTTAAGGGACACTCTAGAGCAAACAAACGACGTGAAACAATTAAGTTGCTACACGTAGGTAGGCGAGGAACTATATGTACAATCTTGTAAAAACAATTCGCATTGTAAAGTTTAGAAAACCATTACTGTGCCCCTTGTGTGAACCAGCAATAGTGGACTTCTTCGGATGGACATCAGACAGGGCTCAGAGTTATTAACTCTTGTTACCAGCTTTACTTTTGGTTCGCTTGGATGATAAAAGGGAATAACCCACTGAGCTGGATCAAAGGAATGGCCCGAAGGATCCTTTCCCCTTGTCCAGGGAACTGTGGTTAGGCTTTTATAAAATACAAGACAGTTTTCACCGCACCTTTATCGGTAATTTAACCAGCTAATGCGTAGAGATTCTCCACTGAAATTGAGCATTGGTGTTTTAGGAAGGAAATCATCAATGTCTAGACAAGCCCTAGGCACGGTTCGCTTGGCGGTAAACTCTGACTTACCGGTGAATGGGCTGAGTCTGAATGAAACAGTCCTGTAAGGAGCTACATTTGTTTATGAACTCAATTCTTTCCAGAGTCTACATAGCTTGCTTTCTTGACAATCGCTCGATTTGCTCAAGTCTCGCGTTGAGTTACCCGCACAGGAAAGTCCTCAATCAGCCAAATACCCTACGAAAATGATTAGTCACTAGAACACCACTAAGAGGTGTGTCACTCACCGCATTCGTAATATTCAGAGGCCTTTCAGGTCGGGCAATACTGAAGTCAAAACGACGGAATAGCTACACAACCATGTTAGCCTCATAGAGAACTCCATTCGGCAGGATACGCTCACCTCGATAAAAATCTTGTTCAGCTCCATGATAGCAACTGGCTTACCGATACATTGCCACTTTCCACTCGAAAACACAAGGCTGACTGTCTCAGACATAAATTCGAGACGCGCGGGGTTAGCATTCAGCCATCGTTCAGGCCGAAAGATACTAGCATCTTGACCGAAAATCTCCTTGGAGTGGTAAATACTGAATGGAGATGTGCCAATTTGAGTTCCGCCTGGGATAAACTTTCCATCGATGTAGTCACCTTCCTTGGGAACCTGCTTAAAGAGCGGTCCAGCGGCGGGGGCCTTGATTCGTAGACCTTCCTGAATAATAGCCTGTAGATAAGGAAGCTTCCGCGCCTCAGCATCGGTGATGGGAGATGATATGGCCCTGACATCGATAGCGTTGTCTATCTCTTTCTGAAGCTTTCTGTAAGCTACTGGGTTGGTGAAAAGACACACCATTACCATGCGGATCGTGGTTGCTGTTGTATCGCCTCCGGCGACGACGTTGAGCAGCGACTCTCGAGACGCTTGTTCTTGGCTGAGGCCGTGACGGATGAAAGACCCTATCATGTCTGCACGCGGCTCAGCGTTCGGCGCGAATTGCTCTGCAATTTTCCTGTTGGCGACACTAGACTGGTGAGTTGGTGGACTTCGCCCAGTAATGATAAGACTCACCCAATGAAAGCTCCGAAACCAAGATTGTCGGTCTCTTTTGGCAGAAGCCCACTGAACAGCCTGGAGTGCAACAGGTCAACCACTATTGGGAGGTTCGCCATGACCAGAGTAACGGGGAAATACGAGCGAGTAATACTGATGAAATCGAATACGTCTTCATCTTTCTCCAGGTACCCAAAAGCCTCACCAAAGGCAAGATCGCTGATAACATCCAAGGTGAAGAACTGTACCTTCTGGGCAAAGTCCACTGGGTGATATTCTTCCTCCGTTGACAGATACCTTGTTTCAAGGAGTGTGATGAAGTTGGCGATCTGGGCATCGACAGCCCGCTCCAGAGACGGATTCTCTTTGCCTGAGTACTGGTGCCAAATGTTACTGTTGTTGTTCAAAGAGAGAGTGACCTAGGATGACCTACACCTGCAGTCATCTTGTTGCGTAATTCTTTATGGGCGTCATCATCACGCATGGAGAAGAGATTGTCCTTTCCGGGTTCAAAACGGAGAGCGTTGTACCCTAGTAACTTGTTAATGTCTTTGATGGCAGGTTTGTCAGTATAAAAACTGACAAGGGCCTCTTGTATACGATGAACGAGCAGACATCATACGTCGCAGCAGCTGAGGATCGTCTGTGGCCAATTCATTGGGACCAATGCGCACGAGTGACCCTAAGCCAGATTGTTAGTGAACCTGCAAAAGCCATGTCGATTGGAGATACCCCACCATATTTCTCATTTGCTCTCTGGATTGCATACGGCTGCTCTCCCTTGAAAGACTCTTTCACCATCCAAACCTTTGAAAACCCCGCTAGAAACGGCCCCGGTACGTTAGACAGACGATACCATACCCGCAAAGTATCCGCCACAAAGAGAATCACCAAGCCAATAGCCGCTGTAAGAACAACAGTTTGGGGGTGATCCACAACGCTTTGTAGGGCGTCCTGCAACAGTCCCTTTGATGCATGTATGCCAGAACTCATTGTGTTCCTGTAGGTGAAGACCTAGTTTGCTTCAAAGTGAGATTTGAAGAAAGTAATGAGAATGCCCCTCTTTTGTACTTTTCCCAATTGAATATCCGTTTAATCCGACTGTAACGTCTGGAAGCGAAAGTGGAGATATTGAGCTGCAGGTTCGCGGCGCGACAAAGGCCAATTATTAGTCGAACAAGGCTGATTAGGTCACAAGCTCCGAGCATGGTAATCAAAAGGTAGTGCTTGAATATCTACGGCGCAAACGCAGGTAACATTGTTTTCATCAAACGTTGGAGTTGGCTCCTAAACCTTTCTGCCTTGTGTGCTGTCACGATGCAGGGTACTGGGACGTATGTAACAAAAAGGCGCCTTCTAATTCGTGGCCTGTGTTTGTGTGTAACGATCTCTTTGTCGTTGGTTGGTATGTCATCCAATCTCACAAGCGTTAGGCTTACAGTTGATGTCATGGCACACCACCAGGCAACCTCGCAGCCTGATGAAGATACACGTTGATGAAACTATCTGAAAGAGTTCGATTTCGCAAAAGTGGAACAAAGCGCCCAGGTATGAGAGGTGTATTTGGAAAGCCTTCAAAGAATTCTAGGCAGTGGCAGTTTGCACTCACAGGTATTCTCTTAGCAGAATGTGAATTGAGTCTGGGTCATTGTTAGGCTGTTATGCAGGAGGCCGACCATCTAGGCATCGCCACCATAAAATGCCCACAGCTCAACTCTAACTACGAACTTCAGACTCACCTTCTTCATCAAACAACTCTCAACAGAAACGCAAAATACATCCATCAGTTATCCTAAAACAACACATCTCAAGCCTCGACAAAACCTCATCTCACATAACAAATCTCACAATACGCACACGACGCACCAGCCAAAATGAAGCCTGCAGCCATTCTCGCCACTCTAGCTTGCTTCTACCCAGCAACCTCTGCAGGACCCATCGCCTACGGAATCTGTCAAGCTGGCTGCTCAGGCGTCGTCATGGCTTGCTATGCCGCAGCTGGCTACACTTGGGGAGCCACACTCGGTGCTTCCGCACCAGCATCAATCGTCGCTTGCAACGGCGCTTTTGGAACCTGCTCTGCAGCATGTGCCAAGATAGGTCTCTTCGCCCCGACGCCATAGACGAGGATGACGACGAGGATTGGAGATCGATTGCAGGTTGGATGATGGAGCTTGGAGGGAATGGTCTCGCGAGGAAGATCGGTTGATGTATCGGCTGCTTTATTCTATTGATATGTAGCGTTATCTGCAAATTCCACCATTGGCTGTTCTTTTAGACGCAAATTATCTTTCTTCTTCTTGTCCCTTTACACTTCGCCAGGTTGACTCTTCCACGCGCGCGGCTAACTTGCTTCAAACTGCAGTATAAATACCTCAGCAGTGGCCAATCAAACAGTGATCAGTGACTACTAAGAGTCAAGGGAACCAGTGATTCAAGAGGGTGATAAACAAGAAGTGTCCACAGGGCACTTTGTCGGCCATGTTAACAGGTAGTATTTCTAAGCGCCCATGAATATCCTTGTCCCTCTTCCTCCCGCATTTTCTCTAGGTTTGACTATTAACAATCAGTTTCTATTTGCTCGATCTAAACCAGAAGTGAGAGTACATGAAATCGAACAAAAGCTTTGTTCTTTGATATTCTTGTTTCGAAAGCGCGTACTGACTGAGAAGACTCACTACCACACATCGGATACTATGCGATGCATCAATACGGCGTTTTTCGCCCTCATATATTTATCTCCGTTATGTGTTTCGATCAGCACCCTCCCAGAATCTCATAGTTACAAGAGGTCAGAGCAGGTCTCCGACAACAACAGTTTCGATCACCGAGCTTTGCTATCAGGTGAGCAATTCCGCTCGGAACACCAATACAATTCCTTTGAGTCCCAGCTCACCTGTTTAGGTGTTGCTATGGGCCATTATGAATATATAGTAGGCGGAGAACTTTCTTCCAGCGATGACTATGAGTCAACTCCAGGGAGCATTCCCCAGAAAACTGCACTGAGATCAAGTGACTTAATATTGCCCCATCACTGTCACATTGTCGGTATCGCCGCAAGAATCTTGGATAAACGACTCAGTGACTCTCCACAAGATCACTAAACGTTCGTCACCACATTTGAAGCAGCTAGGTCTTTGGGTTGACGATAAGGGATCATCGATATTCTCTTGGGGTGCTCAAGGGTCACATGGCAACGTCTCAACAGGCAGTGACCACCATCTCTGGGCACTCAAATAGATTCTCCAGACAAGGCAAAGCCATCATCCAAACCATCATCGTCACCGAACGTGCCAGTAGGGGTGATTTTGGGCGGCGTTATGGCTGGTATTGCTCTTGTTATGATCATTGCAATTATTTGCATTTTTACCCGCCGACGCCGAAGAAGGTGTGGCAGGAGAAATGACCGGAACGTCAATGAGTGCAGGGACAAGGCTGAACTGCCTGCAGACAATCAGGGAACTGTGGTATGGTATGAGATGGATAGCTACAGGCAACATGAATAACTACCAGTGGTGGAGGTGATTAAAATGGCAGTGAATGGGAAGGGACAGAATGAGCACGGTCATACAAAGAGATATGAGTTAGAAGGTAAACATCTCTACAGGATAAAGGCTAGAACGGAGACGACGCATTTACACCTGCCAATATGTAAGTTATCTTGAGTAAGGTAGAGAAACCCTGCAACGAAAGTTCTCATTTCCATCTCTCAGTCTGGGAACTACACCTGCGTCTCAAATTTGCAATTAGCAATGTACTCAACATTAGAGTGTTCACAACCGAGCACCAGACTAAAATCATTTCTATTCCCAACGGCATAAATAAAATAAAATAAGTGGAATTTCCCTGTAGCGGCTGAGCCGTGTTAACCGTGTCGGCCGCCTCTGGAACGAATGAGAAAGGAAGATTCCCGCACAGCCTCGTGATCAACGGCTTGGCATCTCTGCACTGTTCCTTATCTCATCTCATGACTTTTAGAGTTCTTTATGGTTTATTTTATATTGGTTTGCATACAATAAGTGGCTGTTTTGATATTATCGTGCCGTTCTTACAAGGCGGTTTCTCTCTCGTCGTAACGACAGATCTAGGACTGGGCTGAGCTTTTCCCATAACGACGTACACAGCCCAAGCCGGCAAACTTGCCGAATCTGCTGTTTAAAACCGTTCTACAGATCGTCCAGCCTTATGAGGCATAGAAGGTACAACCGAAATTACCATCGTCAAACTCGAAAAGTGTGGAACGTCTCGGGCTTTATTTGGCACTAGCCTCGGCAATAAGAAGCCACGTCTTGGACTCTGGCTGCGCCTTGTTCCTCGCAGGGGTGAGCCTCAAACGTTGGCGTTATGAATTCGTGACGTATTTTCGTCAGTCATTAAACACTGAGACCAATGAACTGTCGCATTTTTCCCGTACGGTCGTTTAAAAAACCGTAGGCTGTTGAGAAATTCGTATAGCTGAGTGGAGCCCGAATCCTTCACATCATCTACAGTTCTAAACATAAAACTTGAAACGATTTTGCGTGGCTGGGTCAAGTGAGTAAGCGGGTTGCAGGCTTATTCATCGAATCCTCGTGCCATTGCTTGTCACTGTCAACGAGGCTAGCCTGTAACAGGATGAGTTGACTTTGCGCCTAAATTGTTTGTTGGAGAAAGTGTTGGTCTGTGTGAGTATTTTTACTGATGTTTGTGATGTTGAGTGCTGAGTTAGTGCTATGTATAACACATTTCAGCATTTATAACTGCCATTATACCAACACAGCAGAATTCACCAGATGGGGAAAAAGTAATAGTAAAAGTTGAGAAGTCTTTTCACCCGTGTAGTATAGTTTAAACTGTTTGTCACCCGGTCTATGGATGTGTTACCGTTGCGATAGCCTTAGTGATAACTCTAAAGATGATGAAACCACCCTCGCTTTAGTCTACAAGACTGGGGCATGTACACGCGGCTACAATGGACTGGATGGTACAGGGACTCCCAAAGCTCGTATTAACTACTGAAATCATGCCAACAGACGTGGTTTCTGGTGGCTCTTCGGCCGATCACGAAAAGAAAACCCACGGGGCGGCCGCCCCTAAACACGCCTTATAACTCGAGCATGGTACCGGAGGGTGCCCTACGAGCAGTACTGAGCCTTCAAGAATGCTTCATGTGCCTCATAGGAAACTATTATGAGTCTTCTCAGTCAATATGTTACTTCCAAGAAATAGAAAGCTCTTAGCAGTCTATACCTCCTTCGCCAGCATCTGGGTCCTTCTATTCCAAGTCTGCAGACTGTACACCTACTCAGACCCATCCTCGTTCTTCTACGATCGCCATCGAGCCTACGAGACGAAGTATACGGACATCAGAGAGAAGCAAGCCGACGACTTCCTCGCCCTAGCCAACCATGAACCTATAGAAGAACTATCGAATATCTCCCTAATAAACAACGACGCCGTTACGAGGTCATCAGAAGAGAAGAGGTTTTGCATTGGCATACCTAGTGTCAGGCGGGAGAATGAGCAGTTTCTACCCAAGGCGCTGGCATCTCTTGTCCAAGGACTGAGCATCGAGGAAAGGCAAACTATCTACATCACGGTTCTACTAGCCGACGACGACCCTACAAACAATCCCGCTTTCGGACAAACCTGGCTCGACCGTCTTGCCGATGAGGTACTCTTCTACGGCAACGGATCACTGCCTGGCTCCTCAGAAAACTACAATGCTGTGATGGGAAAGCATTCAAACAGTGACCAGGAGCTGACCCGAAACGACCGAGTCCATCGTGACTACGCAACGTTGATGGCCTCCTGCCAGACCCGAGAGACAGAATACTTCGTCTTAATAGAGGACGATGTCATCGTTGCCCAACACTGGCTCGAACGTTTGTCAAATAGCCTGGACATACTCGAACGTACCGAAAACCCACATAATTGGCTCTACCTTCGACTATTTTATTCAGAAACATACTTGGGTTGGAACTCCGAGGAGTGGCCTACTTACCTCACCCACGCTGTCTACCTTTTTAGTGTCGCCCTGGTTTTATACCTGTTATTCACCGCTCTCGATTCCGCACGAAGATCACATACCCTCCACCTTAAATCCATAGCCTGGAACATACCGCACTTGACCTTTTGGACAGCGTCTTTCATCGCGCTATACTTCCTTGCTGGAAGACTCACCGTGGATCCCTACCCAGCAGGTGTCCACGAGATGGCCAACTATGGATGCTGTGCGCAAGGACTTGTCATCCCACACCAGCATCTAAACACTTTAGGGTCCGCTCTAGGGGCAGCCCCAGAAGGTGTTGCTGGTGATAGCTTTATTGAGGGATACGCTGATGAGCATGGATTGAAGAAATATGCCATCACACCGAGCGTTTTGCAGCATATTGGGATAAGAGGGTCGTCGGATAGTGGGAGCACTAAGAAGTTGACTTGGAACTTTAGCTTTGAGAGGATTGAAGACAAGACATTAAGATGATATTAGGCCTGACGTCCATATTATGAAGATATTTTATCACATGACTAGTTTGATAACGGTGTAGCGCAGCTGCTTCCTATTTGAGTGTGATACATCGCTCCTTATTCTTAATCGGGATCAACAGCCACTGATGAGGGTCCATTACAACCTACTTTATTATGCTAGACAAGACGATGCATCGTAACTCCGCAATCAGCTACAGTGTTAGCGAATTACCCCGAACACTCAGACAGAAAGCCCAGCAAGACCTCTCAGACTGCAGTTCAATTTCGAGGTTGAACAGTAGTGACACTAACACTCGCATAGCTGTATTGAGTAATGCTGGGAGAGTACCGAAGTTGTTAGTCCCTATCTGGAGCAACCACAAAGAATAAAAGTCTCAAAAGGGTGAGGATCTAAAAAGCACAGTTTATACAACACAGATGGCCGTTAACGCTCAGAAGTCGAGGGCCGTTGCACCTATACCGCGTCTGGAATGGCTGGCGACTATCGTATTACATGAAATGAGCAAAGTTTGTATAACAAAGCCGAACTCTGATCATTCTGAATTAGCACTGACTATGATCTGGTGTTGTGTCTAGGGTATTTGCGGAAAAGATGCAAAGATGCTATGCAGGAGGACATACTTGCAGTAGATCTACTGTACTCTCCCTAGTGACTTGGTAGGTACTACTCTGGTAGCCAATCAGCTATCCATGGCTTCATCTCCTATTTAGACAACTCAGATTGTGCACCTTAAGATCCATAGCGTCTTGACGAGGTAAAATATGTTTTAGTTAGACAAAATCTTACTTTGTCTCTGCCCAACGATGTTTAATGTCCTACCAGAGCCTCCACATTTCACCTCTCATACTAAAATATGGGTTTATTGCAGTACAAACGACGGCGTCAGCCTTACTCGCCTTGAGGCAGCGCGTGACCTTGCCCGAGTAATGGCTGCCAACAACATTGATCTTGGTAAGCTTCGCCATCACTCGCATACGAAAACCAGATAGCCAAACTCAATCAGTTTATGGTGTTAAAACTAATGATATCATAGGCGAGCTAGCGAAAGATTTGGTCTCCATCAATGGATCGTAATCAGTCCATGGTGTTATCCACGTAGCTCTGCTTGAGTACATGTGCGATGGCTTGCACCTACATGGACATGTCCCTGAGAAGGCTACCTTTGGCCGTTTGCTATCGTGAAAGACATGGCTGCTCGGAGAAAACTCATGATAGCAGAGATACTGGCAGGCGACCCAAGCAGTGGCTTCACTGGTGTGGATGGTGTCATTGGGACCATGAAGATACTTGAGATGACGAGTTGGATCCGGCTTGGGAACATACCTATCGTCTTGCTCAATATCGAAGGGTTGGGTAGTATCATAAAGTGGTTAGACGAGGCCAATATTTATTGGAATCTGGAAACAGGTATCTTTTCGCTGTTGGCGAGAGTATCAAGGGCTCAATCAAGGCTTTGCACCACGTTTCGAGCACTATATTGCAGTTACAGTCGAAGATTGAGCAGCCAAGAATAGCGAAGTCTACCGCAAATGTCTTTCGCAACCGTGAGCATTTATTACAGACAGAACAAATAGGCAAATGCCAACTTTCAGGTGTGGCGGCCGTTCAATATCTTGTGCTTTGACTATTGGCCAGGAGGTAAATGTGCGATGTACTGCTCAGTTTAATTCAATCAAAACTGTGATGAGTGATGAAGTAAAGAGGGATCTTAGCAACGATGCCTCTAAAAGCAATACATATTTATAGAGTTCTAATTTACACTATTAATAGTAATAAGAGCCATGGTTAGATTGTTGCCTCTTAGTATCCATGGGATATACCAAAGCTATGCACCACACCGAAATTGTTTAGGTTAATAACATAAGAGCCTATGACCTGTAGCCAGATTATTAGTCCTCTATCTTGGGGTAGCTGACTTGAGGCAAACTGTTTCTTAGTAAGAACAACCTTCTCTAGGTAGGGATTTATAAGCCTTCGGGGAAACGCGGTGGCAGTACACTTATGCCCTCGTCTTACTACGTATGCAGTCGAGTTGCCTCAACGAGTAGACTCTGTCACTACATCCAACGGAACTCACCGGCATGTGAACCCACATTCCCGTAGCGCGTCGGATAATACACGACTAACGAAATATTCCGGGGCCCCGCAATCTACCGGAGATGCATAGATTTAGCTATTGGAACTCAGAAGACATGGTCTGCCCTAATGATGTGGAAAGGCCAGTGTCTCGTATAGCTGACTTACGCAATCCAAAACCTATAGGAGTTGGGAGATATTCTTGTTCTGGAACTCTTTAGTCTGAAATGGAATGTGGCTAATTATGGTATCCGGATTTGCGTTACAATATTGAACTCTTTGATGGGCGTGGCTGAACGCGGAACTTCCCTATCGATAGTGAAGCTTTCCTGCACCCGGGCGGAAGTGGCCTATACCAGTACAGTCCAGAGATAAGAGACGTTAACATCAAACCGCGGTCTGATCCAGAGGTTCAGACCAACCTAGCCAAAGACACCTGTCTCTGTCCACTTGTCAAACGGCAGCCTAGCAGGCAGTTGTTACACTCAATCTTTATGCTTATTAAAAACTGTTACGAAGCTACAGGCCATGGAAGATGGGGTTCGGCATCAAATCTAGCGACCCAATCCACAATCTCGCCGAGACACGGGATCTTTTGGCATGAGGATTTCACGTAAGTTTTCTCCCGTTATCTAGCCTTTTGATCTCTGCCGATGGAACTGTAACGTTGACAATCACCTGTGGGGAAGAGCCTTGGCCACTCAAGAATAAGCATTTAGCAAGATGATCGGCATCTAGCCTGTCCATGACGTCTGTGATAGGTTGTACGGTCTGCGGGTTAATGTTGTCCGTGGTTGTTTGGTGCCGGTTATCCGTGCAGATCCTGGCAGTTGGCCGAGGTGAGGGGGTAGGGAATCCTCCGGTGGGAAGAGCGATTGTGGTAGATGGACATGAGCTGAAGGTAAGACCACCAAAGACTCATAGATTATAACTATCTAAGCGAGGTTCTGGAGTGAGAACAATAAAATACTGAAAAATAGCCAGATCTTTCACTTGGCCATGATGCCAAGTCAATAGAACTCCCCAGATCACAAATACTAACGGTGCGGGGAACGGGCAACCCCAACAACAACGTGGGTCTCCCCCAACGGAGGATCCGTCTTAGAACGGGCGACATCCCTGGAAAGGTGTCCACAATCGGCACAAAATAGCCGTGGAGCGTGTGGAGGCTGCGGGGAAACCTCCAATCACACCTTACGCGATTCATACCTCCCTGTATTTCCCCACGGGCTCTGTCGCGAGAGCGTTGCTCTTTATAAACGCTGTGTTCGGTTACATGTTGATGTTGAAGGAGATCAGTTCTCGTCCTTTTCTCGCTTGTTGTAATTGTGTTGTTACAAAAGCGCAAAGATGAAGTTCACACTCGGTAACAAGGCTGCTATGGCTGAGACGCCTAGCGAGGTGCTCAACTGGCGACTTTACTGGAGCACCTTCGTCTTTGGTAGGCTACCCCAACTCACCGTCTGACACAAGGAGAAAACTAACACTTCTGTAAAGGTGTTCTAGGTGCTAGCCGTGGTCTTGACGAAGGCCTTGTCGGCGGAATGGTCACCCTCCAGAGCTTCAAAGAAGAGTTCGGCTTAGAAAACGGCTCCGAGCACCACCAAGCACAAGTCGAGTCCAACATCACCAGCATGGTCCAGATCGGCTCCATAGCCGGATCCCTGCTCGCCTTCTTCCTCTGCGACAAAGTCGGCCGTGTTCGATCCCTCCAAATTCTCTGCCTCCTCTGGCTCGTTGGCTTCATCATTGTGATCACCAGCCACGGCAGTGTGGGACAAGTACTGGCCGGACGCTTCATTGCAGGACTCGGCATTGGCATGACTGTCGTTGTAGGACCTACGTACCTTGCTGAGACGGCACCGAGGGCGATCCGTGGTATGCTTACCAACATCTTTGCTGGTTCAGTGTATCTCGGTGTCATGATTGCTTATTTCAGCAACTGGGGCGCGTCCATCAATATGCCCAACTCTTCTCGGTACCAATGGGTGGCACCTCAAACGTGCCACATTGGCTTTTCTGGGTATGTATATCTCCCCCGAATTAAGACTTCTATCTAATACGCTGCAGACTTCTTCTTATTCTCTCCTTTACCGCCCCCGAGACCCCCCGCTGGCTCACCATGAAAGGCCGCGACGCCGAGAGCACAAAAGCCCTCTGCAAACTCCGCCAACTCCCCGAAACACACCCCTTCGTACAGGCAGAGATCTACGGCATCCGCGACCAGCTCGAGCGAGAGCAAGAGGCTGTCCTCGGTGTCTCGCGGTGGGGCAAAATACGCGAGCTCGTCACTCTTCCTGCCAACCGATACCGCTTTATGCTCGGCTTCATGGCTCAGCTTTTGGGACAGTGGTCCGGCGCGAGTGCAATCACCATCTACGCAGCTGAATTCTTCGGCGTGCTCGGAAAGTCAGGCCAATCTGAGAAGCTGTTCGCTACATGTATCTTGGGTGTGGTGAAGCTCACTTCTGCTTATGCCTGCGCTTTCTTCCTCGTCGATTTCATCGGCAGACGTCGTTCTCTCTACGCCGGTATCTCGATACAGTTCATCTCCATTCTGTACATTGCCGTCTTCCTCGCAGTCGTCGGCACAGAAGCCCTGGAGAATGGTACCTTGACCAGCACCCAGAAGCAAGCTGGCGTCGGGGCAGTTACAATGTTGTATCTCTCCGGAGTCGGCTGGACCATGGGCTGGAACTCTTTCCAGTACCTCGTCAACGCCGAGATCTGGCCTCTCCGTCTTCGAGCTCTGGGCAGTTCCCTTACCATGTGCTTGCATTTCGCTAACCAATACGGTAATACTAAAGCAGTTCCTCTTATGCTGCTTGCGATGACGAGTGCTGGGTTCTTCTTTTTCTGCGCTGCTGTTTGTATCCTTGGGTTGCTCTGGGTGTGGCTGTTTGTTCCTGAAATGGCAGGACGCTCGCTCGAGAGTACCGATGAGCTTTTTTCGTTGCCTTGGTACAAGATTGGACGTTACGGAAACAAGCTTGCGCCTGATGGGGAAGCTATTATGGCACGTGATGAGAAGGCTGATATGAAGAATGAGGTGGAGATGAGGGAGGTTGCTTAAGAAGAGAGAAGCAGTAAATCGAAACAAGGCTTCTTAGATATTATGAGAAATGAATGCAGAGTACATTATTCTAAACTAAAGTTTTAAAGTCCAAGGGTGCTTTTATGCTTGGTTTACTACCATAAGACTAGGTAGTATAAGCTCACCCAGACCATTTATCCTAACATCGTGTTCATATTAAAGTAAGCTAGACAAGTTCCCCCGCAATTCTTTCCCCGATGAGTCTTGTATTTAATAAGTACAGCCAAGTGCAATAGTCAAGTGTCGACTCTCCCCAAGACCTTAACTCAGACGGCAGCAGCGCCACCTTTATAGTCCTCTTTCCACTCCACGGCTTTACAATCTGATCTGTACCATAAGGGCTATTTGCCAATTTTCCCTGATCTTGATACCTCCCAACAAGCAGCCAACGAGTAATCTTCGGATGTGGAAGGCTTGCTTTCAATCCACTTCTGCAATGCCCATCCCCATCACTGTACTCTAACCTGGCTCCTTTTCTGACCAGGAACTTCACAATATCGAGTTTTCCGCAAATAATTGCACTCAGAACAGGCGTTCCAAACGATGAACCGCATTGTTCGATATCTGCTCCGAAATTGATTAGTAGCTCTACGGTCTTTCGCCTACCCCTTGATGCGGCCGCGCAAAGAGGCGTGCCAAATGTATTATCATCCTGTCCGACTAGAATCTGTCTCGTAGCAGGGGGCATGGAGCGAAGAAACTGCCTTAGAAAAAAGGGAGTCTGGTGACAAGATAATCTTGCCAAGGGGTTGAAAGATATAGATCCTTGGCTCACGGGGAAGAAAGTCGTCTGATGCGTGGAAATCAGGTAGCTTTGAGCGTATTCCCATACAAGCGTCCGGGACAGCACAGGATATCCGTGTCTGTCGTGATGATGAGGGTCAACTCCCCTGGAAATTAGATACCGGAAGGTTTCCTCCGCAGAGTCACCAATTATCTGTATTCCCAGAAGGTTGGTCCCCTCCGTCGTCGTGAACTGTAGAGAGTACGGACTCGCCGAGTCCAGAAGTTGGACCATCTCTGCATTTCCTCGGGAAACCGCTATTGCCATTGCGGTGCATGTGGTAAAATCTCTCAGCTCGGGATCTGCCCCCCGAGAAAGCAGCTCTTTTGCAACAGTGAGGTGGTTATTTTCAGCGGCGATCATCAGAGGTGTTTCATCATGTTTGTTCAGTGCGTTTACGTCGGCACCGTTTGAGATGAGAGTTCGCACCATGGCTAGATCGCCCCCCTTTACTGCGAAATGAAGGACTGTGCCTGTATCTCCAGATGGGATGCTCATAGATTGGCTTATGAATCTGGTTCGGAATTCGTCGATCGAGTCTGTGTGGAAGTCATCGCCGAGCTCAAATATCCACGCATTGCTGATCTTGTTAAAACGTGCCCATCGAAATTAACCCTTTGTACTTACTGGTAGTCCTTTATATGTAAATTGAAGTGCTCTAGAATCACCTTCACTGATTCCAGCTCTTCGCGAATGATAGCTATGTATAACGCCGCGTGTAAACCCGTATGCCAAATGGTCTGTTGCTTGAAGGAGGCGGTCAAGATGCTCTTCATGAGAGCCGCAGAGTCTATGTTAACTGCAGCATGTGCCACAAGCTTCTTTTGGACATTGTGGTCACACTTGTTATCTAGAGTACTGGCTCCCTGATCGAGCAACCGAGCTGTAATATGGTCCTGGCGCGCCCGGATAGAAAGGAATAGAGGCGAGCACAGGCAACTGGGCACAGGTCGGTCGACTGAGCATCCTGCCAAGAACGCCTGCTCGCACTCGTCCAAGTCTCCATCCCATATGGCCTTCTCAAATTTTACTCGACGTCGCATCTCTAGCTCCGCGGCAGATGCTATCTTATTCATTTGCTTCTCATCCGTGAATTGCTCTTCTGGCTGCGGTGAGCCAGCCTCGAGCAGCATAGTGACAACTTCCTCGTAATCGTGAAAATGGGCGTAGTCGATGGCGAGTTTCCCGCTCTTGTCCCTAATAGACGGGTCTGCGCCCTGGGCAATCAACATCTGGCAGCCAGTCTCAACTCCACAAAATGCAGCCCAGTGCAGAGGTGTTCTCCCATTGTATGTGACAATATTCACGTCGCTAAAAAGCTTATTGTCAAGCATGTACGCGAGTACATGTGGCTGAAGGCCCCCCATATGTAAGAGCGAGAGTTGTGTGTCAAATATCTTTTGTTTCCTCACCCGATTGGGATGACTCTCCGAACTGCCAAAGGAAAGTGTTTGCCATTGCGCCGTCTCCGATACAGACTCCATCACCCACTTGAACATGTCGAGATCACCTTGACTCACGGCGTATTGAGCAAGCCCCCAACCTCCGGACGATTTGACAGAGACGTCGTGTCCAAGCCGTGCAAGACCTTTCACAAGATTCCATTCCGAATCGCTTGCTGCCTTGACAATCAAAGGACATTCTAAATTCTCTGGCATAGTGACAGGTCCTTTCTCGGAAAGTGCTTCAAGGAGACGCGCCTTATCTGGACTACGCCCGTACACGAGCAGCTCGACTGGAGTTCGGCCTGATGTGCCTGGCACTTGAAGACGCTCTAAAGATATATTGTCTAACAATAGTCGGAATATCCCCGGCTGTGCTCGCTCACAGCCCATCTCGAAAAGCGACTTTGGAGTCTTGGATACACTATCTGGCACCCGCCGAAGAAGATCAACTTCTTGACCGATGAGTTCTTCTAGTAAACGCATGTGGTTCCCGCACATAACTCTGATGAACAGCCCGTAGTAGTCTTCGTAGTCGCAGAATGAAGCCTTGATGCTGGAGACTCGCAATATCTCTCTAATCAGGCTTGTGAATGAAGATTCGCAGAAATGTGCCCGGTGGTGACGTCGCGCTGATTTTATAAGCGGCAGAATGCCTGGCAGCCCCTGCGAGTTCTCGTATGATGAGAGTATCCCACATCTGAAAATAGTGGAAATATCATGGGCGAGATAATACTCGCAATCGTTCTTGGTGTCGCTAGATGCACCTCCATTATCATCTTTAGGAATCAAGCAGCAGACTTCCGCTTGGCAAATACAATGGCAGATGATCTCCCACGCATGAACGGATCCAGTGTCCCTCACGAAGACAAAGTTCTCCGGAAGTAATAGCCTCAGCAGTTCGTTGTCCAGAAGAATAGTGCGATGTTTCTCAAAGTCTTCGTTTAGATAAAGCCATCTTTCGAAAAACAATTGGAACGGAGAACAGCCAGAAGCATCTAAAGCAAATGGATCATACATTGTACTTAGGTATCGGGCGAATTGTGGTGTGCATTTGCCCGACAAAAAATGCATGGGATTCGATGAAGGCGTACTGGTGCTGGTAACAATATCTCCTTTGGCCAGTAAAGCTTCGAAAAGCTCTTTTGAACCGATCATGACCGCATCTTCGAGAGGTGGCACACTGAATTGGTAATAGGCCGGCTCTGAGGGACATATCTCCAAGAGGAACAAACACGCCTCGACCACGGCACTCACAAAGGCAGAACCCAATGGTGTCTCCTTGTTTTGGTTCGCGATCTTCAGTGCTTTCATAGCATTCTCATCGTGCTGGAATAGGTACTTGAGTAGATCTTCGCGTCCATTCGAAGCCGCCAAATGCCACGGTGTCTGGCCTCTGACGTCGCTCTTGGACGAGTCAACCCCGTGCGCGAGAAGGATGCCCACCACGTCAAAATTAGCTGAATGACAGCTGATATGAAGAGCGTTTCGGCCGGTTGAATCCACTGTGCTTGGGTCTATGCCAAGATCGAGGAGCATCTTGAGGGTCTCGCCACTGCGGCCGATTCGGCTTGCCGCAGCGGCGTTGAGGAGTGCAAAGTTGCTCTGTCTACAGGCTTCATCGTGGAAACGCGGGTCAGCTATGAGTGCGGCGAGGTCTTCGGTATACCCAGCTTCTATTGCTACCTCAAACGCCTTGGGGTAGTCCTCGTCGGTGTACGTGTCGGCTGGGAGATTAACAATTTGGCCCGGAACTCCAAGACCTCGTCTTCGAGAATGAATCAATGCGGGCGCTGCCATTGGCTTCCACTGCGTGGGAGCATCTTCACCGATCGAAAGGTCCAAGACTGCTTGTAGAAACGCATCGTCTGACTTTTCGTCCCAGATACGATCCGAAAAGGTCGCTACGGCATCTTCTGGTACTGGTATCGACGCACGAACGAACGGCAGTAGATCGTGGCCTTTCAATCTCTCAAAAGCCGCTGACAAAGTGCTCTGTCCCCGTCTTGTGAAAAGCACATCAGCACCGTGGTCTAACAAGATGCTCAAGACCTGGGTGTGACGGTGACTCCAAAACTCATTTCCATCACTCTCTTGGCCATTTTTCCTGCCATGCTTAGCAATTTGGAATATTGCGGTGGCCAAGGGAGTCCATGTGTTGTGTACTGCATTTACTTCGGCACCTTGTTCCAAGATGTACTCGCATAGTCTGGGACTTATCAAGAACGCAGCCAGGTGCCATGGGCTGGACGAAAACTCATGGAACACGGTGATACTTTGCGTAACAGTACGCAGCCAGTGTTGATAATGCCCGTTCTTTTCTCCGCTGAATAACCTCTTTAGTAAGCTAAGAGCAGGCTCTTCCTCGAGGGTCGCTGTCCGAGTATGGCTGAGGCTACGGACGCAGTGAAGATCGTAGGGTATCTCTGCCGCAACGCGATAGAACGGGTGTTCTCTATCTCGCACCTCACGATATGCTTCTTCCACCGTCTCAATGAGCGAAGGTGTCCTGTCAAAGCATGGGAAGAGGATAAATCTGACTGACGTCTCAGCAAACGATCGGTAAGCGCTTTCCTCAGCGAAACGAAATCCTTCAACAGGTGAGCTGGTCAAATATTCCAATACGGTGAAATGGGCAAATTCGAAGAACTTCCCGTCCAGAGACTTGCGCAACAGGCATCCGCAGCGACGAGAGATAATCTCAGGGTCAATAATGTCATCCTTTTCAATGGGATCAGCTTCACTTTGGATAGACACTGCTTGACATAACATAGGAATGTCCATTTTGTAGTCCGCCAAGGCAATCCACTGGAGGGCTTTCTGCAGACAAGCCAGTGTCCCAGGAGGACTCTGCGCTATATTTTGTAGAACGCGGTCATATGTGCCGAATAGAGTTGGAGGTAGTTCTTTTAATGCCTTCTTTCTGGCGTTGTTGTTTGGTTGGTCGCAAATGTGATCAATTTGACAGGCTACCCAGCGAAACCTTTTTTTACCTGATTAGACAGTTTCACATAGCGAAGGGGTGGTTACTCACATTCCTTGCGCACCTTGTACCAAAGTATGGAGAATGTCTTTGTACAGCAACGGATTTGTCTCTTCAAGCCTCTTGAGAACCTTCCGTTTGCCCACCTCTGCAAGGGTATAATCCTCCAAGTCCTTCGTATGAGCCGAAACCTCGATATGCTCAAACTGACCTTCAAGCTCCTCGCGAATCTCCTCTTCCTTACGACTAAAGAACGCAGCGCTGACAGTCTGAGACTTGTCAACTACAGACCTCAGAGCCTGCGTCATCCGTGAGACGTGGATACCGCATTCATCCAGGCCGTCAACTATGACAAATACTTTATCGTAAACTTCTGCCATACAATCGATAAGCTCGAGGAGGTCATCTAACTTTGGTTGCATAGGGAGCTTGTCTTCAGGATGTAACATGTCGTAGTACTCCTCGAGAGCATCGAAAGCTTCTTCGCCTTGGAGACCGAGCTGGACGGCTAGAGCAGCGATGATATTCTCTGGCAAGCAAGTGTCGGAGTTTTTATAGTCGCAGAAGGCGTAACATACTGCTGTTGAGTCATCACTTTGTGCAAGTACCGTTTCAATGACCAATCCACAGAGGACCGTCTTTCCGCTGCCTTTTCACAGAATTAGCTAAGTGTAACAAAGACTTATCCAAATACCTACCAGGAATACCACTTAACCACAGCTTGGAATTTACTCCATCTATCCACTCCGAGAACGTCGAGTCGCCGCTTGTAAGCCACGACCCTGTCGCCTCATGCCGCAATTCACGACAAACATCAAGATAGTCTTGAGGCTTTACTCGCAAAAAGAAGTCCATGACTTCCTTGCGTCTCTTATTAAGCTGCACTCGCGTGTCAAAACTGAGTTTCCTTTCAATCAGGTTAAGAATCTGATCCTGCTTTGAGAGACTCTTCAGTAAAGCATCCATGCTGTCGGCCGAAAGGGCAAGCTGGACAGTGGCGCGATGATTAGCGAGATCTGATACTAGATCCTTCGTTTCGGAAAGTGAGAAGGGCCATTTCAACCGTCGCGAAAACCGTTTGGCAGACTTGCCGCTATCAAAGTCGGCCTGGGCTTTATTCAGAGTGGTGTTGATCTCATCCAACGTTCGCTGGCACGAGTCAAGATGATGTGTCTTTAACGAGGGATTTGAACTCTCAGTCTCAAGGGCAGAAGCAAGAAGCCTGAGATTCTCAAAGATGCCAGCAAGCTCCCTGGTTTGGGTGGCGAGTTCCTGGGCTTTCGACGGCGCATCCTTGGCCTCCCTGCAGAATTTGGTGACCAGCTTGAATACAGAGCCTGTGAGCTGGACGAGGCCCGCGATGCTTGCGGCTAAACCCACGGCCTCGGCCATTATTGAAGTTCCACGATGGGCCGTGCTTAGGTGTAAGAACAGGTAGAAGTAGCTGCGGAGAAATGTCATCATGCTGTAGTAAGCATAGCCCCGATTTTGGCAGCGCACTGGTGGGCTGAGCAGGGCTGTGCGCTATTAATGGAGTGCGCCAGTTGAGACTCGGTCTGATTTGACAGGGATCATTTCTCGCTTTTCGATCGGGTGTAATACGAGACTCGATTGACACCATTGCTTGTTACAGAGTGGAAAGAGTATTGGTATGAAAATGACAACATTTATCAAGCTAAATTTCTCCCCAGGCAGAAGATGACATACTCTTTCTGACCTTGTAATATACTTGATCTATGCATTTACTTCTCTTCCTATATAACCTGGTTGATTTTGTATGTCTAATCTATTGAGCTTTTCTAGTTATTATTCTATGCAGTGAGACAATATCGCTGTCGGTGAGTGAGTCACCCACTTCGAATGACAAATCACAGTAGAAAGCAGTGTGCGGGGAATGAGAATAAGAAGCCATTTACTTAATATTAGATTAGATGGCCTTCACTTCCCCCAGCACGTCGAACCTGGACTTCGGTTTCTACAACATCATATTACTTATCGCATATTTTGAAAGGAAAACAACTTTCATTCATTTTTCGTAATAGTAACAAAAGACTCAAACTACCCATACCTCCATCATGACAAAATCTATTGAAGCTCTTCTAAAAGACACCGAGTTCGACCCTTCTCTCGTCGAACGTATTGGCTACCGCAAGTATAAACTGCCAATCGCAATCGTCGAGCCAGACCCTTCATGGCCAGAGCATTTCGCCCGCGTTAAAGCCCGCATCGAGTCTGCCCTAGGCGACACGGCCGTTTCAATCGACCATGTCGGCTCCACGAGTGTCCCTGGTCTACCAGCCAAAGCAGTCATCGACATCGATCTGACCGTCCAGGACGTCAACGATGAAGCATCCTATGTATCGGCGCTTGGAGAAGCTGGTTTCGACTTCATGCTGAGAGAGCCTCATTGGCATGGACATCGCTTCTTTTGCGATTACGAGCCTGTATCGACGAACTTGCACGTCTGGGGACCTGGATCGCCTGAGGCGGAGCGGCACAAAATCTTCACTAATTGGCTGAGGCGTAATGAAGACGATCGCAAGTTGTATGCTGAGGTGAAGAGAGAATCAGCTGAGCTGAGTGTTGAGAAAGGCGAAGGCCTGCAGGGTTACAATGACCGGAAGCAGGATGTGATCCGCGAGATCTTGAAGAGGGCTTTCAAGGATCTGGGGTACGTGTAACCAGTAGGGGAATAATCAATACAGGACTAGAGGAGACAAAGAAACAGCCGAAGCATTCATATTTTGATGGCTTATACTAGGTTTGGATTGAGCAAGGAGCTTTATCTAGATAGTAGAAAGCACCACGTATAAGATGTAGTACTCGACTAGAATGAAAGGTAGCCTCTACCAAAACTTGCTTGACATATTGTTGTTAACTGCACATTCCTTTCTTTAACTAGTTTTCAGCTGGCCCAGGAAGAACTAGAATGGCAAATTCCGAGCTGCTGCCTGTTTAGACCGGGGGGCCACCTTGTAAGGTTCAGGCAGAAGACACTCTTTCCGAGAGACTGTTGAAACAAATTTGATAAGAAATCAACGTCGCCTTGCTTATTTCTCACGCTGTTAATGCCCGGAGAGCCAGGAGGTCTAACTGCTCGCAACATGACCCAGCAATTGCCTGATACCACAAATCTACATCAAGCTGCCCTCCAGGGTGACACACAGCGCTTAGAAGAACTCTTAAGAAATGGCGCTGATGTCTCAGCTACGGAAGCGCCTCGACACTTCACGGCGCTTCACTGCGCTGTTCAGTCTAGAGACGAGAGAGCTGTCAGGCTGCTTATCGACGCCGGAGCCTGCGTATCTGCGCAGACCTACGATGGCGTTACACCACTCCACAATGCAGCTGCCATGGGCTCAGTGGAGATAGCCAAACTGCTGCTGGACGCTGGTGCCGATACCGAGCTGCCGAATGTTGATGATGAAACACCACTACATGTTGTGGCTTTGTTCGGCGAGACACAGATTGCCAAGCTTCTTGTAGATGCGGGAGCAAATGTCTCGGCAAAGGATTGTTACGGCAACTCAGCACTTCACATCGCTTCTGCTCATGACTTTGTGGATCTGGTCCAGCTATTTCTCGACTGTGGTGCTGATCCAAATGGTGTTAATAATAACGGAGACCCAGTCCTACACCATGCAATCGGAGACGGACAAGCATCCGTCAGGCTACTTCTCAATCATGGCGCAGATGTTTGTATCAGAGGACAAAACCGCGACACAATTCTGCATCGCGCTGCCCAAAGCTCTCCCGAACTCATACAAGACTTGCTTGATGCAGGTGTTGAGATTGAAGCACAGAACGACGAAGGTTATACGCCGCTGCATGTAGCTGCTGCATATGGCGAAGAAAAAGCCCTGAAGATATTAATCGCTAGTGGCGCCAATATCATGGCAAAGAATACCAAGGGCGAGACAGCTCTGCATCTTGTGGCAGGACTTCCAGATGCTCCATTTTTGGGGGATGGGACAGATTCTGATATGAAGGCGGCACTCCTTATCGATGCCGGTGCGGACATTCAAGCAAAGACGAAACTGGAACAAACCCCATTGGATTATGCTGCTGAGGCTGGGCGTGTGGCCGTTACGAGGGTACTTCAGCACAGGGAAGCTAAGGATTGAGTAGTATGAGCAATCTGGAATAGTTCTATGTATAGAGATAGAGCAATAGTGCAGCAAATCTCTATCAGAACTGGTGTTTAGTTAATTATCCTCCACATAGCTACCCAAGATTGCCATACTCGTATCTCGTCACTTTATCTCTTTATGAATCCTCATATCAGATATCCCACCACGCACAGCCTAACTGCCATCAACAGTAGCCCAGGTGTGATCAGCAATCTTCTTCGTCTCCTCTTCACTCCACTCCTTCTTGCCCTGAATCTCCTTCCCATGGTTATCAATACAGCTCCAGAACACTCCCTGCGCCTCTTTATCTTTAGCACTCTGGTATAGACCACCCAACAACCTCTCTGCACACTGGTCGGGCGTCGTCCCGATTACTTTAGAGGCAACCTTTGACACGGCGCGGAAGTACCAGGGCGAGTTTCGCGGCGTGGTAGTATCCACGACGCCAGGGTATGCGTGCGCGAAAAATCTTTTGCTGTCTTCGCCCTGAAGCTTGGCGTGGTATTGCACCATGGCGTCGTTCATAACAGTGCAGTGGTTTGCAGCGTTAGCAAGGCTGAAGGTCTCCTTCAGGTCGAGATCATCCCAGTTGAGTTTCTCTGGTTTCCCGTTCAAGCCATCCAGGACAAGAAGAACCTTTGTGTTCTGGTTCATAATGGGACTCAGTTCCCGTATGAGAAGTTGTTTTCCGTAACAGTGCAGTGCCATTTTCCTGTCGATTCCCTCAGAAGTCTCGGTTCGCCCGGCAAAAGTCATGATTCCTTGGGTCATGACAAGAAGGTCAAGAGGGCTATTGCTGGTATTGCTGCGAAATTCTTGTGCGAACTGTTTCAACTCGTGCATGGAGCTTGCATCCACGGCACGAAAAGACGTATCTTCCGCGGGCATGACCTTGGGTTTGTTGCGGCCAACGATGGTGACTGCGGAGAAGTGATAGTTGGGTGCCGTGGCGATCCGCTTAGCTATGGCATAGCCAATTCCACTCGTGCCTCCCACGACGAGGGCGTTTGATCCTGAAATCGTTCTGTTCATACTTGTTTTCATACTTGATGGGCAAAGCGAGTTATTCCAGCAATGGAGATGCGGGGGCGTGGAGGTTATACTGATGTTATTTCGAGAACAGGGCGGTCCAATATGGCAGAACACGACAACAGCGGCGAAGGGGTGATAAGAACGTTTATTACTAAATCAAACTGCAGGATTCCATAATGCAGGAATGTTATCCATGTCCGAGAGCGAAGTTGCTTCAACCAAAACTAGACTAGTGCTGACAGCTTCGTACGGACTTCATGATAAGGGAGGTATCTCATTGGGTAAAATGTCCGTTTGTGCGAAGTCGACCACCCTTGATGTCTTCATTGAGGTCAATTCATTGACTTCATAATCTTCTTCACGTCAGCAAAAGCGAACTCATCCATTACTTCGTCCCAAAGCCTGTCCTGAACCTCCTGTCTCTCTTCGGTATAGTAGTATTCTCCAAACCTGCAATATGATCAGTATGAATTGTGAAAGAAAAGTGGTATCAGTATTGACTTACGGATAGACCTTCCAGTCCATGAGGAATGAGCCATGAGACTCTATCCCTTGTGTTATAGCGGCATCAACATATGTTGAAGCTGCTTGCTCGCCAGAGCGTCCAAACAGTTTCGCCGCAATAGATATGGCAAACTTCATAACCCCCGAGCCCTTGTCCATTAGCCCTGTACCTTTGGTCAACCCAGGATCAACACAATTGATGATCACGTTGTTGGGATCAACATGCTGCGCAAGCTTGTCGACGAATAGTTGGCCTAACAGTTTCGACTTTGCGTACTGCTGCATGCCGTCATATCCAGTTTCTGAATCTAGTGCCGAGAGGATATGGTCTGCCTTGGCTTCAGGTAGGTCAGAATGCATCGACGTTCCCGAGTTGACTATGGTGAGGCGACCAGGCTTTGCCGGAGGGGCTTTGGCTTTGAGGATAGGAAGAATCAGGATAGACAGATACATGGTGGATAGAAAGTTGACCTGCATCGTCTCCTCGTGACCCGTGACTTTGTTACGTTGAAACGCCGAGCCGCCCATCCCGGCGTTGAGAATGACAAAGTCAATCCGAGAAAGACCCTCGCAGCGCCTCACAAAGTCCGCAATAGAGGTGTAAACCCCCATGTCTAGTTCCCAGACATCTATCTGACAGCCAGTCCCAGGTGAAGCACTGCGAAGTTGCTCAGCGGCCACATTTCCCTTCTCTTTAGAACGGACAGCGAGTATGAGATGGCTCAGGCGATGTTGGATGAGGAGTTTGGCACAAGCAAAGCCAATACCATTATTGGCACCGGTGATTATTGCTGTTTGGCCGGAGAGACTGAGATCATTGGGGACATTCTTTGGTTTGGCATAGATTTGAGATTGGATGAAGAGTTGGGCTGGAGAAAGAGTTAAAGCGGGGAGCTTGGAGGAAGCGCTGGTGAATGTGTTGTCTTTTGCCATTTTGGAGATGAGATGAGTGAATGTGTTGATTCAGCTTTTCAGTTGAAGGGCTTCATTCATTTATAGCAGTTTGTTGTACCAAGTTAAGCCTTTACTCAATCTGTATATTGTTTTACTATTTCCTGGTGTTGGCATCCCGACTAGTCTCAATTCAGTTCACGATCTGGCCATCCTCTCTCCCAATGGTCATTTCTTAGTAAAATCACAGTCAAAAGCCTGGGCAGTTTTAAGACTGCAGCATTGACTCTTCCACAACGAACCACATTACTGTCCAAAACTGGTTAGAAGCTAAGGGCTATGATAGCACCTGATTGGCTTAATTAGTAACGATCTACACTACCTAGACCGGATCGTTGAAGGCTCCATCACAATCGGAGTGTTCGGATTTATGGACGCCGATAGTTGATCTAACTAAGTTTGGTAATCAATGTGGTCAGTCAGAGATAAGCGCTAACTACTGCGTACTCCCCAGGGCCATTGACGCGAAGGGACAAACCGACCACATTACAACCCTTTTTCGGCCAGGTCACATACTATTCTCTCTTCACTATTACGATTTGCATAATGCCAGGTACTGAATTTACCTTTTTGACTGTGAATGGTCAAGGTCGTCCCTTAGAGCCTGGTAGTCGCTCCACTATTCGAAGCCGCTGCATGATGGGCGTCAATGTCCGACAAGATTCACGTCGCTCCAAAAGACGCACTCGAAAAACGTCGTGTGCAGCCAAACCCAGTACACAGAGCTCTCCGACAGAATCGGCCCTTACAGAGAGGTTTGGCAAAACAGGTACTACTTCTACATCGAGTGCCAAGACCACTACAACCTGCAGTCCATCTTCGATGTCTCTACAGTTGAGGAGCAGGCATTTCACTCCAGACTTACCACATATGTCATCCTCGACACTGCTCACCGGTTAGTTATCTACTAGTTCCTCTCATGTGTTAGATCACTAACGCGGATGTCTAATACCAGTTATGAGGTATAATGACTTACTCTCCACTGCTTATCCCCTGGAACCATACCTCGCTTGCCCAGAAGACCAAGGACAGGGGATGTCTGACTACCTCAAGCTCTTGAACGATAATCAAGTACTTCTGAATTCCATCTTCTTCGCTACATATGCCGTAGACGATATCTGTGGCGGTAAACAGCTTTCGCACAAAACACAACTGCTCCTTAGTTCAGTTCTATCCTCCCTGAACCAGAAGCTGCACCAGGTGGCCACACAGCGTTCATATTCTACATTCCTCATCATTCTCATACTACTCTTTGCCGCGGAGGCTTTCCACGATTATGATGCTGTGGCGACGCATCTTGACGGGCTAAGAAGGTTGTTCCAGTTATGTGAACGGCCTACTTCTGTTGATCCTCGGCTCTTGTTCAAAATTCAGCAGTTCGATCTTAGATCTGCGCTGGCAACCGGCCGACAGCTTTATTTCCCCTTTGAGTCCTTCGGTCCAGACATCGTCTCAGATGTCTTATTTGACCTACCGCTCAGCAGTTCGGACATCTTAAGCTTACAGGCGACATGTCCGAGTTTGCTTCGATGCTATCAGGGTTTACAGAAGTTGGCCCATGATATTAACCATCCTAATTTCTCAGGGACATACCTGAGCTGGGCTGATTTCCAGACGAAAGTCAGCATCACGCAAACGCAACTAATTAGTCTTGAAACGCAACAAACTTCAGAAATTGGCGAAGCGTTAAGACTCGGTTTGCTCGCTTTTATAACTACGTTTTCGCGCAGTCCGGGCCAGAAACCCCATCTTCCAAATTTTGTTGCTCACCTAGAAACGAGTTACTTAATCCTCCAATACCAAGGGGAGACACACAGAGAGACGTCCAGAGGACTTGTCATTTGGCTTCTATTAATGGGCTTTCTCTCTACTGTTGAGGTTTCGAACTCCACGTCACGCAGTGTGTGGACAGATGTAGTAGGCTGTGACCTTTCTTGGCAGAATGCGCGATTGATGATGGGGGAATTACCTTGGATTGGAAATATCCATGATGAGCCAGGAAAACAGGCGTTTATGAATATGCAGACAGGAAAGCATTTTAGGATCCGTCCAATGGTCTTATAAAATTCAAGTCTGTCTACCACGTTATATCCAGCTAGCTTTCAAGGACTACCTACAGAGTAAAGCCTCATCTGATGTAGAACTATAGTAATCTCTAAGTTTACTTTCATTCTTGAAAACCCATTCAATTAAATCCTCTGCAACTAGATCCTACAGAGTATTCATTTACATATAATTGAATATGTGCATTGCCCTGGGAGGCACTAGGTAGAATTATTATATGTATACTACTAGGACATTTGACAAGCCTGTTCGATATTCTTCAAACCTAGCAGTTCTTTATCCCACATACTGAAAGACAGATTCTCCACATTGTATCTCTGATAATGCCCCTAAGGCACTTTCTTTGTATCCATCATCAGGGGCTAACATGATATCAGGAGTCGTCCTACACTACCCCTGGCTCGCCCTTGCACCTAGATCTTGAACCAGTTTCTGAAGTGCGGGAGGATTAGCTCCAGATAAGCTATCAACTTTTTCACCATCCTCGAAGGTGAAGAAAGCAGGGATGGAACGAATGCCTAGCTCTTGCGAAATATCAGGAGCTTCGTCCGTATCGAACTTGATGAACGCGAACCTCTCAGGTATTTCATGTTCACTGGCCTGCTTGTCGAAGATCGGAGCAATGGCTCTACAAGGTCCGCACCAAGATGCAGTTGCATAAACGATGGCGTATTTGTGGGACTTGAGAAGGTCGTCAAGCTCCTTTTTACTCGTAATCATAGTGATAGGCATTTTGGCGGCGCGTGTTTGATTGAGATGTGTTTGTAGGCGTTGGTGGAATTATAGATAAGCGAAGAGGCTGGCAGTTGTGGAAGGCACTGTAATCCAAAGCTAAAGACGAGAGGAATTCACATGGTTATATAGAAGACCAGCAGCCGTCCAGCCACTGACGTCGAGCTGAGATCGACATCAACCACTGAGCCTTCTGCTGAGGACCGCAACAAACGCTAACTGCTTTTGAGCACGAGGCAACATTAGTGGCCAACATATGTCTTCATAACTGAGACTTACATGCCTACCACACACTTCATTAAGGCTTTAGGCATGCAAGGAGATGAAGCCTGCCAAGCTGAAAGGTAGTCAGCTCCACTGCTATGCCCACTCAGGTCAATGATTTGCGGACTGCATATTTCGGGATTAGCCTGCGAATCACAAGGTGCATGTTTCTCTTCTGGCTGAATCAGTGATCAAAGCTCGCATTTATATCTCCTGAATTTACTCCAGGTCTATGACGTGTGTCTTCGATCTCGCGACAGTGAACCGCGGGTAGTTCCAGTGGCATGTGGTGGCAGACGAATAGAGGAAACGAACTTGAGTTGGGCACTCCCTGATTGCTGACAGACTCACAAGATCGAAGACAGCCCGAAAAAGAAAGGATGGCCACATATGTTCGTAGCTCTTGATATTAGAACTGGATTAACTTTGAGAAACTGACATAAGAGGATATACTAACGTCTTCTGCATATGCTAGAGCAGGTGTCTATATCCTTCTATGCTTTCACGACCGATAGAGCTTCGTCCAAAACTCAGTGATTAAAGTAGCCACATCCTGGACCTTATCTCGCACAACACCATGTCCAGCCTGAGGAACAACAAAGACATTTGTAAACCCCACTTCAGCCAGCTGCTCTTTACTACACAAATCATCCAGCTCTCCAAGCACCGCAACTGAAGGAATTCTTGTTTCCGCTGCCTTGACGAACTCAGCGTGCGAGTCCATAACACCGCCATCCCTGAGTATACCTACCACTGAGGCAGTATGTCCGGGATGTTCACGCATCTGCCACTCTCGCACTGCTTCAGCAACGACCTCTCCCTTGGCAACCCTTTGTTTCCAGTCTGAAGGCACGACAAGCTCGCCACCCTCTAGAAACTCGAGAACCCATTTCCTTGCCACTTCTGCGTTGTCACCACGTAGGCAGTTTAGATCTTCGGTGGTGAAGTTTGAGGATCGAAGCAGCCCAGCTGGAGCGACGAAAGCGAAGCTCTTGACTCGTGATGGTCTTGATGCGACGTAGCTAGCAGTTGTCGCACCTCCAAAAGAAAAGCCAACGATATGGACTGTAGGCCAATTCAAGTGATCTAGCAGATCATCAAGCAGCTGGTGAAATAAAGCTGGCTCATGTGGCAAGACGGGTGTGTCACTCAACCCGTGACCCCAGAGGTCAATCAGAGCCAGATGAGCTTGAGGGAAAGATTTCTCGAGTGCTCCCGCAAGCGGTAGCATGCCAAGTGCCGGAGTCTGGACACCATGCACAAGCAGAATCCTATCAGGCTCGTCTGTACTTTGGCTGGGCGACGAAGGGAGTATTTCATAGTAAGCTGCTTTTCCTTGAGGAGTGCTCAGATACTTGGCGGTCGGGAGCAGTGCGCCAAAGGTTTCTATGAAGGCTGCCTCCGATGGTCCTGAGATTGGTTTCTCAGAGTTCCCATGGGGAGCGCCGGGGCGCGGAAGAACAAGCTCGTCTGTAGTTGAGGACATGTTGATAGTACTGTAGTTAGAGAGACATGAAGGTGGTATGCGGGTTTTATGTTTCTGACAGCACCTAATCAGTGGAGACAGATGTTGCCGAATCAGGTTAGACAGACACTGGGTCCTGGTTCAAACTGGGCTGTGTTGTGTACGAGAGATAACAAGCGAGCTCTGAATATAGCTACTGCTGGCAAACTTTGAGCTATAATAAGTTATAAATAGTCTTGCGGACAGTTCAATGTTTCGGCCCCAGTATGCAGTAGTGTAGAGACCATAGTCAAGGCCACGTTGTGTAAGACAGATTCTACAGCCTTCTGTTGCCTACGGGTTCAGATGGATTTTACCTATTATTCACAGGGTGAATAAAAGTAAGAATTGAAACTGCTTCTCGCAAGTACAACTCACAGCGCTGGAGTGCTTCTCTGTTCTCTGTGTTATTAGTCAAAGATATACCTTTCCTTGATAGTCTCCTTATTAGGAAGTTTTGGTCTGGTGTGACCCAAGTCTATCTGCTGACTTCAGAACAATTGTTAATTCATATGTAGAATATCATGAGATTGGGACTCGGTAGATTATAGGCTTTACCATCTTCATAAATAATTACCACTAATCACATCCCCTTTAGGCTGTTAGTCAACCTGAGTGGGTCAGGAAAGATGTGATGCGGGGATAATCTCAATGGACGATGTCGTGACAAACTTTTGATACAGCGCGGAAGCAAAGCCACAAAAAGATTCTCGCTACCTCACCAGACCTTAGAGACTTCTATCGATCTCACCCAAAGCCGTTCCCGCTGCTCCTTCTACAATGTCGCAATCACCAGTCTCGAGTCTAAAATACCGCATCAGGCCCGGCACGTTCTTCGATGTGCCCGCCGTGACTGGAATTTATGCCTCGGCATTCTCTACTGAACCATTGATCGATTTCCTCTTTCCTGCGAGAAGACAAGATCCCGTTTCGTTCTACGCATGGGCTTATCGGAGAATGCAATGCCGATACTGGACGTTAGGCTACTCGCTCACTGTTGTCGCGGATGAGCATGATTATCCTGTCGGATTTTCCTGGTGGAAGCGTCCAGATGAGTCTTACACAGTATTGCAGAGAATTCTATCTTCCGGTAAGTTCTTTCGTCCAAGACTTTTGTCCATAGCTTACAAGACATAGCTTTCTGGGTAGGTCCAATCATGAATACCTTCACAGCCATCAGGAACTACCTCTTCCCTGCTCATGGACTTAACGAAAAACATGTGGAAATCTCAAAGAAGGCTTTCTCGGCTGTGGAGCCTCATATACTCGACACGCCACGCAGACAAAAAGCGCAGTATCTGTCTTTGCTTGCTGTGGACCCAATTCTTCAGGGACAAGGTCTCGGACCAATGCTGCTCGAGCATGGTCTACGCAGAATGGATGAGGAGGACTCAGCGGCGTGGTTGGTCAGCTTGGCTAATCTGGAAAAGTTTTATTCAAGATATGGATTTGCTGAGACAGTGAAAGTTGAGATGGAAGGGTTGGAGGACTGGAAAGGTGGAATGGCTATGCTGAGAGATTGATCGGTATCTGGTATTTTAAGATCTGGAAGAAGGTTGTTGGATTACTTCAAGGAATGAGGGACTGTAGGATGAGCAGTCTTTATTTACCTTTGGATTGAGTACTTCTCACAGGCTTGTTAGCTACCTAGCCAGCTCTTATCGATGATCACACCTAATCCACTACTTCCATGCATAGAAAAATGGCATCAGTGTAATCTTGGAGCTTTGGAAATAAGTAAGCACTATTTCCCATCTGGTTTAATTACCGGCCACATGTAATGCAGCCTATCACCGCCCTTCGGTCCTCGGAGCTCGGTCTTGGCTCTTAGCATCGCATTTTGCTGACACCGATTGAACTCTCACTTTGAATGCCGTGGAAAAAATGGCCGGTCCGCTTGTGACACGGCGCAACGGTAAAACACAAGCTTGTGAGCCTTGTCGGCGACGGAAAGTAGCATGCGACCATTCCTATCCTGTGTGTCGGCGTTGCAGGCGGAAGCCTAACGGTGAAGCGAATTGCTACTACGCTACTGCTAGTCAGGATACAAGTGCGCCGGGAATATTGCAACGACCAGAAAATGGACCCTCACTGGGAGCTACGACATCAAGAGAACCTCCATTACAGTCTGGGCATTTTGGTCCAGATGATAGACTATGGAGTTCTCCTGCGGCACGGGCACCGCTGGGATTCTTTGGTCCAACGAGTTTTCCAGCAGCTTACGAGGAGACCGAGACGAGCCTGGCAGCGCAATTGACAAGAGGCGAGAATGTACCACCATCGCCATCATGTACTACTGCGCCATCTAGGGTCGACATACAAAACATGGTCAACATGGATCAAGAAGCCAATTGGCTGGCCATCAGAGTACTGCAAGCCATTCCAGAGAAGCCCTTTAGCGATTCATTCCACTCACACGCGAGCTCTGATGGCTGGGTGAGAAAGATTGGCGAGAGGTTAATCACCAGCACGTGGGAGACATTCGGTTCATATCTCCGCGACAGAGGAAACGTCGTAAAACTGCGCGAACTGGGCAGCATGATATGCATCAACACGCGAAGAAGTCTCAAGGAGGACCAAGACGACCCTCAAGCTTGGATAGAGACCTTCTCGGGACCGAGTCTGCGATGGGAGGCGATAGGGATGATGTTTCTGTATGCAGCACTTGGTGAGCTTTCTGCCAGTATGACTGCCGAGTCGAGGAAGGTCTTGGAACATTATACCGAGTTTTGCTCGTCTTGTATTACCCTCGCCAACATGGGCGGTAGTTCGGGGTCTCTCATGCTGTTTTTGATGTACAAGCGCTCCGTACTACACGCGTGTATGCATGGCGAAACCAGTGAGGCGCTTCGTGCTGTGCAACATATCTCTGCTTTCGCTAACGCAGACCAGGTCTTCCATACTGGAAATTCCACGCCGAAACAGTCGCAATGCTGACATTTTCTGGCTTCCACGATAATCGGCCCAGGGACGCATCAGGTAGCTCCTCTGAACCGACAGTTGCGATGGAAATTCGTCGACGCGTCGGGTGTCAGATCTTCGTGGTGGATAAATTCCTTGCTACTTTGGTCGGACGTCCGCCTCTTTTAACGCGTCGGTTTTGCTATATTAAACCGCCGTTGGACTTAGATGATAGCGCATTACTTTCGGACAAGGAAATGTTCCGAGCAAGAGTTCAAGGCCTTGATGCTGATGGCTGGGAAACAGACGGGCGTTTTCACTCTACTACTCTCCTTCGTGTTCGGATGATGGTGGCGATGATTCGCGATGAGATCCTCGAGGCTGTGCTCAGCCAAATTGGGGAAAGCACATTTGGGCACCTTATGTACAAGACACCACAATTTTTCAATCCCGATATTTACTAATAGAAAACAGGAGTCTTAAAGTAAAAGAACTAGAACTATACCAGAGACTGCCAGCCCACGTTATCTGCAGCCGCACACTCGACGAGATCCGGAATATTAACCTTCACAGCGACTACCCTAAACTTCTTACCAGACTCGACCATTTGCTGAACTTGTTCTTGGTGGAGAGGGCGCTAGTCAAGCAAGGCCATTCACGAGTTGATCTTTTAACTATTAGCTTTGAGATGGTGGTCTTGACATTGAGTCTCTGGACGCAGAAGCATGTGTGGGCGGGAATTCAGGGCGAAAGTCAATGGATTGTGAGTACGTTATTTCTTGATCGATCTACAGTGGCTAATTTCTTTGGTCTAGATAATGGGATATGCAACTCTTGCCGGGGCTGTCTTGTGCCTCGAATTGATGGACTCCGATCCTGTCATCATCGCTCCAGGTAATAACGTCATTGCAGGCGAGACTTATTCCAGATCCTCTATTATTCAGCAACTGAGCCTTCTCGTCGGATGTTTGAACGCAACAAACTCATCGCAGCCAAACAGCTCAATCTCTCAAAACATCAGAGCTGTGATAAAGAAGGTTCTCGACCATATTCTAAACAACCCAAGTATTCCACCTGCCACAATCGGCTTCGAAGGTTTTGACTTTACCGCCGATTGGGATACCTTCGCGCAGTTCAACCTGTTAGATGACTTCGACTGGCTCTCTCAAGACCGCGAAATGGAAGACTCCCGTGGCTTGCAGTAGCTGAAAGAAAAAAGCGTTGGGAGAAATAACCGCTGTGTCAGCCTCGAACTCAATATTAGCCTTAATGAGCCAACTAAGTTCGGAACTCACCGGGAGTTGGAAAATTACCCCTGAGGCTTGCCTAGGTAGCAGCGCTAGGACCTGAATTGCCTGAATTAGCGCCGCCCGTCAAGATTGACAAGAGTGAATACGAGCGGCGGGTTATTAGTTAACGCTCGGCCTGTGTTTGTTTTCTGTAATGTACTTACGGTAAATGAACCGGCTGCTGTCCACGTGAACGCCGATCACCCTATCCCGTGTCTTGGTTTTCTCCCCACAAGAGCTATGGCCAGGATTGGCAGGTGCATGATTGCATCTACAACTCCGCTGTCCAGCTTGGTCACTGTTAGCTTTGGAGGCGACCAACCATTAGCAGCATGTCCCCTGAAGCTAACATTGACCTTCTGCCTTCTGCCATCTTCTCAACCTATCACGCAATGCCAAAATATGACCTGTTGACAAACCATAAAATTAAAGACGACATATCTAAAAAGCTTAGCTCTCACCTAATTCCCCATCTCAATCGCCAAGCCAATCGATCACCCAGCAGTCTCCACACCCAATGGCCGCTAACCGCCTCCACCGGCGGCAGGCGCTCAGCCGACCAGTATTAGCTCCAGGGGGCAGACGTTCTAGGCTCTGGACAATGCTACCAACCTTTCGGATACACGGATCAACAAATAAAGACGAACTATTAACAGCCACACTAATATGTCGATACGAACATACGCTTGACTAAGGGGCCAATAGCGTAGGCGCTTAGTCCATCTCCCCGTCTCCACGGCTCGAATGTACGGGGTTGAGTGACAGTCGCCCCTGGCCTTGTCAATAGCTTCTCAACAATGGCGCTTGACTCCGTACTCCAGAGGAGATTAGGTGCAAGGCGATTAGTGACCGCCGTATAGGGCGTTATCCGAGATTACCGTACCATGTCAAGCCGGCAAGTCACTTTCCCCATATGAAAATAGATGCATCGTGGTCTGCAAGATAGATATAAAAGACCAAGACTCTCATCCCAATAGCTACCCTTCTTCACTCTTCAGTCATCACTCACTCCTTCTCCACACTCTTTATTCCTTGCCTCTCAACATCCGTTGTCAGACAAAAGTCACTCTTTAAACTTTTCTATTCTTTCAATACAAATCCGCCAACATGAAGCTGTCTGCTGTCACCCTTCTCACCCTTGCCACTGGCATCCTCGCCGCTCCCGTCGCCGAGGCCAACGCCGCTGCCAGCTATGGCTACGAGGCCCCCAAGGAGGTGAAGCCCGCCTACCCTGCTCCTCACCACGAGCAGCCCAAGCCCAAGCCTCCTCACAAGAAGCCTGAGTACCCTGCTCCTCACCACGAGAAGCCCAAGCCCAAGCCTCACCATGAGAAGCCCAAGCCTCACTACGAGCAGCCCAAGGCTCCCAAGCCTCACCACGAGAAGCCCAAGCCTAAGCCTCACCATGAGAAGCCTGCTTACCCCGTTCCTCACCACGAGAAGCCTAAGCCCAAGCCCCATCACGAGAAGCCCAAGACCCCTTCTTATGAGAAGCCTAAGGCTCCTAAGCCTCACCACGAGAAGCCTAAGACTCCTTCCTACGAGAAGCCCAAGGCTCCCAAGCCTCACCATGAGAAGCCCAAGACCCCTTCTTATGAGAAGCCTAAGGCTCCTAAGCCTCACCACGAGAAGCCTAAGACTCCTTCCTACGAGAAGCCCAAGGCTCCCAAGCCTCACCATGAGAAGCCTAAGACCCCCGAGTACACCAAGCCCAAGGCTCCTAAGCCTCATCACGAGAAGCCCAAGCCTCACCATGAGAAGCCCAAGACCCCTTCTTACGAGGCTCCTAAGGCTCCTAAGCCCCACCACGAGAAGCCCAAGACCCCCGAGTACAACAAGCCCAAGGCCCCCAAGCCTCACCACGAGAAGCCTAAGACTCCTGAGTACACCAAGCCCAAGGCCCCTAAGCCTCACCACGAGAAGCCTAAGACTCCTGAGTACACCAAGCCCAAGGCCCCTAAGCCTCACCACGAGAAGCCCAAGCCCAAGTACGAGCAGCCCAAGCCTAAGCCTCACCACGAGCAGCCTAAGCCCAAGTACGAGCAGCCCAAGCCCCAGGGCTCTTACCCTGCTCCCAGCACTCCTCACTACTAGATTCGCTCTGGTAGACAGCAACGCGAGACGGTTTCTTTTGTGGTGACATGATGGGTGGCTTCTCGCTGGATGTTGTTAATGTGCTGGTGTTGCCCTTCCATGGTTACTCCCTTGCAAGAGAAGACTGACCACGGGATGGATGAGTTCGATGAGTCACTGTGGACGTACAAATCTTTAACCTACTTCGTATCTATTCGCTTCAAATAATATTAATAATTGCCGGATTTGTAAATCATTGTTCAAACTGATAGAGTGACATTTGCTGTGTGACATGTTGTAAAGTTTTAAGCTTCTGGATGCGTTATGCTATGTTTGTTCCTGGCCATTTACCAGACTTGACAAAGAGTTGCATAATACATTACAATAGAGGCCTGCTCTAGGTAGACATGTCTTGTGGCAGATCAGCACTTGTCCACAAAAAACCGGAAACATCATACCTCGCCCTCCCCATCTTGTTTGATATGTCTTCCATTCAATAAAGCCCTCCCAACATGTCAGCAATCAAGCACCAATCCTAGCTTTTAACGTTGACCCATCGTATACCGACTGCAACTGTCCATTACTCAATGCTCGATAAGCAGCCACAGTATCCGACTACCTGTGACATAAGCATGAGACCCGAATAATTTAGAGTCATTGTATCACTCTTTCGCGGAGTTCGGTGCTCGGTGCTCGGCACTCGTTCCCCACTAACCACTGCCGTGCCTTAGAGCAGGAGAAATTTGGTGGGGTATCGCGGTGTTGCACTGTTGCTTATGATAAGAAAATTACACAGTTACATTGCAGAAGATGGAAAACAGGATTTAAGGATGAAAGGAGAAGCTGCCGGGTTATTCGGCTCAGGATATAAGACTACAAGCAATCCCTTCCAAAGAGAAAACTCAGATCCTTATTCGAAGCTTCCCAGATCCAACCATCATCATGACTTCTTCCCTACCCAAGACTTACAAGGCCTTGTTCTTCGATAACGAGGGCGCCGAACTGTCTCTCAGAGATGTTGAGTTGAAAGAGCCCGGACCAGGCTATGTCCTTGTTAAGGTTGTCGCCTGCGGTGTCTGTCACTCTGACCGATTCGTGCAGCAAGGCAATTTCGGTGATGTCTTCCCTCGTGTACCCGGCCACGAGGCAGTTGGAAACATCGTCGCTATAGGTGATGGCGTTACTCGTTTCAAAATGGGGGAACGAGTTGGCGGTGGATGGCATGGAGGTAAGATCAAACCATCCTGGTTATTATCAGAGTAGCTGACGATTAGGCCATGATGGATCATGCCGCTCCTGCCAACAGGGCATGTTCCAGATCTGCGACAACGAACAAGTCAACGGCGTGAGTATGGATGGCGGCTACGCAGAGTACGTCCTCCTCCGTGCCGAAGCAGCAGTTCGAGTCCCAGCGGATGCCAATCCCGCCGAAGTGGCCCCCTTCCTCTGCGCCGGCGTCACCGTCTTCAACGCCATACGAAACGCAGGTGTTCTTCAGGGCGGTGTTGTAGCTGTGCAAGGCCTTGGAGGTCTCGGCCACTTGGCTCTGCAGTACGCCTCCAAGATGGGCTACACCGTTGCGGCGTTAAGCCATGGCGCTGATAAACAGGATTTTGCAAAGCAGCTGGGTGCGCATCATTACATCGACACCAGTGCCGAAGACGCAGCAGAGGCGCTTCAGAAGCTCGGAGGTGCAAACATGATCGTCGCCACGGCCCCCAATGGAAAAGCTGTCAGTCCTCTTGTTGCAGGCCTCGCACCTCAAGGAAAGCTACTGGTGCTTGCTCCTCTCGGACCTGTCGAGTTTGACACCAAGATCATGGTTATCAAAGGTCTCAGCGTGAACGGGTGGAACTCAGGACATCAGCAGGACTCGGAGGATGCGATTGCTTTTGCGCATCAGCATGGGGTGAAGTGCATGATTGAGACGTTCCCGTTCATGTCAGACTACAAGCAGGCGTTTGATAAGATGGCGGATGGAAAGGTGCGCTTTAGGTCTGTCATGACTTTCTAAGAGGTCTATGGGCTGTGTCAGATTGGTCATGGTTAAGTACAAGGGTGTACAAGGGACTTCACGTTTTAATAGGAATGATTAGTGCCGTCTGAAAAATCATTCACTTATTGTTTGCTACGTCTATGTATCTCAAATTCTTATCTGATATCATTAAGAAGACCAGCCAAGATGGCCGAGTGGTTAAGGCGCTGCACTCAAGACCCTGTCTTAGCCAGTTAACTGGAAATATTGCAGTATCGAAAGATGCTTGGGTTCGAATCCCAATCTTGGCAAACATTCATTTTTGCTCTCATAGCTTCTAATGAAGAGACATTTTTAACCAAGCGTGACTCCTTACCATACAAGGAAGCTATTTATTCAATCTTGAGAAGTTGGTGACAGCAATGTCATCTCCTCATATCTTCTCCTATGCCGGCTCTCATCTTGTGAACACAAAGCTTTTAGGAAGGGCAATAAAGGCTCTTATTCATCTAGTCCTTAGAGACGGCACAGACCTGGTGCATAATTGCCATTCTATAATGAATTGACCCATGTAAAAGTGAATTGGATAGAATGAAGCATACAACAGTTGAACCTCATTCTTTTCCGATTTGAGTCGCAAGTGGAGACTTCGGCAATGCGACGCCGAATTCGGAGTCGGAATCGCATCTCGGGTTTCAACACCACAAGCGTCTTCTCTTATCGCGAGATATTCACAAAAAAGCCTCTAAAGATTACGGCTAATCCTTAAAACCAACCAGTCCCCGACTTCCTCTTTGCCTTGATTCTCACAGATAGTCAGGAAGGCGGTGACTAATTATTCAGAATGTCGTGGGAGACTACTGTAAAGCAGAAAAGAGCTCTTCGGGATGCTGCTGTCGAGCAAGCAACTGTTTTTGTCGACAAATGTACTTCTGAGGAACAAGATTTGGAGGCCCTGGTTCCAAAACATGCTGATATAGCCTCTCTTACTACCAAATTGAGTATTGGTGAGCTATCAGCAGAGGCACTTGTTTCGGCTACCATCAGCCGGTAAGTCACACAACGTCACTATCTATCTATCTGCTCGTCTTACTGACATATCTTTACAAGAGCCATCAAGTCGCATAGAGAAGTAACCAACCCCCATCCCATTCGCGATGTGACTAATATCCCAGACAAACTGCCTCAGCGAACCACTCTTCAAACCTGCCCTCGAGCGCGCTAGATATCTAGACACCTTCTTCCACACCCACAAACGCCTCATCGGTCCCCTCCACGGCATCCCCATCTCCGTCAAAGATCAATTCCACATCAAAGGGATCGACACAACCCTCGGCTATGTGGGCCGCTCCTTCAAGCCCGCCGCCGACACAGCCGTCATGGTCACCATTCTCGAGAAGCTGGGCGCCGTCATCGTGGCAAAGACGGCTATTCCCCAGAGTATCATGTACGGCGAGACAGAGAGTCCGCTCTGGGGATTGACGACGTACCCTGGGAGGTCTGAGCTATCGCCTGGAGGTTCTTCGGGAGGTGAAGCTGCGCTTATGCTCATGTCTGGGTCGCTTGGCGGGTGGGCTACTGATATTGGTGGCTCTATTCGTGTGCCTAGTCATTTGTGTGGGCTATTTGGGCTGAAGCCTACTTCTGGGCGCTTCTCTTATGCTGGAGCTGCGAATTCTCACGAAGGACAGACTCATGTGCCTTCTTCCATTGGACCTATAAGCCCTTTGCTTTCGAATCTTGTCACGATGACTAAAGAATGTCTGCTCGCCGAGCCTTGGACCCTGGATCCTAACGTCGTCCCCATTCCCTGGCGACAAGAGATATACGACCAGATTCAACAGCGACCGCTCACCATAGGCGTCATTCTAGACGATGGCGTCGTCCGTCCTCACCCTGAAGTACAAATTGCCGTTCAGCGAGCAGTGGCACTTTTCGAAAAAGCAGGACACAAGGTTACTCCTTGGAGCACTGAAGAACACATGGGCTGTATCGAAATCCAAGACCAGTTCTACCGCGCAGATGGGGGAGAGGATATCAACCGCGAGGTGGCTGTAGCAGGCGAGCCACTGATTGCACATGTCGAAGCGCTTGTGAAGTCGTCAAAGGCTATTTCGGTGTATGAGTACTGGCAGCTGAACCGCCGAAAGACTGCAGCGCAGGAGGCGTATAACCGGAAGTGGAAGACTGACGATGGAACTTGCGTTGATATCATCATCAGTCCAGTTTCACCGCATACTGCCGTGCCACATCGCTCAAGTCGATGGACGGGGTATTCCAAGATCTGGAACTTTATGGACTACACGGCCATGTCATTTCCATTTGCAAAGTTTGGTCCTCCAAAGTCTGGTGACTCGTCCAGAATTTATATCACAGCTAGTGAGAATGAGCGACAGAGTTACCAAGATCACACGCCTCGAAACGCAATTGATGAGTGGATACACGGGCTTTACAATCCCCAGGCCATGCAGGGACTTGATATTGGAGTTCAGATTATTGGACGGAGGTTTGAGGAGGAAAAGGTCTTGGGTGTGGCTGCGCTTTTGGAGGGTCTGTTGTCAGATGGATCAAAATAGAGTATAGGTAGATTGTAGATAATAATGCTTGCAATTCATTTTTGGCAACTACCATATCGATCGGATGTCGTTCCGCTACTCGCATGGCTTGGCAAATGCCAAGCGGTATCCGTGTTCCGTAATGGTGTTTATCCCCTGCTTTCTCTCTTCCTACGTAGTAGCAGTATCATCTGCCGTCTTGTAAAATCTATCATTGTAACCATGGTTTGTCGGTAGTTTAATAGACTTCTACTTGGCCTATTGATTCATGGGATATCTTGACTCTCCCATGACCGGTTAATCTAGATATCGTATTGAGTAATGCCTCGCCTATCCAGCGGGTTTTGGGATACGGTATTTTGTATGGAGAATTATCAATTGCAATCACCTGCACCAGATATACAACTCCTCAAACTTATCCGAAAGTTTATCAAAGTAGCAAGGGTATATGGCTCGATCAAGAGCAGTGCATAAACTCCAGAAGACCCAAGCTCTAGCCGCATACCCATCAAGACAACCATCCATTTCAGGCAAGGCATACTTCACGCAGAAAAAGCTCACATAACGAACTCTCCCCACATGATTGCGGAATTATCTATCTCCAACGCCACTACTAATCAAAGATAGGCAAGACGATATCGGCCGATCAAAAGGTCCCTCCATCACCTACCTACACACATGCTGCTCCTGAAATTGAAATTACGGAGCATCTCGCCTGTAAGTTAAAAAAGTTCCACGGAGAATGAGCCCCAGTGCAGGGGTGTGTCCCGCGCCATTGCTACGCTGGCCCCTGTCGATCAGAAGCTCAGACCGGGGTCGTCGGGCTCTTATTCGATCCCCACCATCTCAAGACCATGCTGCTTTAGGGAGGTTCGGCAAGTGATAAGGGAAACCTTGGAACTTATGATAGGCTGGTGGGAACTGTGCTGCAAGGGGACCCTTTTTGATTTGGCCTACATATCGAAAGTGGTTTCATATGATTTGAACTCTATCGCGGCCTGCTGTATCTGGACCGGAGTGTCGTTGGTTACATGTGCTGTAGATAGGACAATGGTATATAATGTATTCATATCTCCCTGGTAATTAATCTGTCAAGCTTCCTTGCTCAACCACATTCTTTTGCTATCTGCAAACACATTCGTTCTTTTAGTCATTCTTTTGACAAACCACATTCTTTACAAACACACTCTTTACACACACTCGCTATGGTCCGTTTCGGATTGACGGCGCTGCTCTGTGCAGGCCTGTCGGTTGCTGCCCAGGATGTTGAGAAACCCAAGGAAGCTATCACTGCTGCTCATATCCCTGGAGCATACATTTTTGAGTTCGAAGAGAACCACGTAAGTATCACTAAATATTTGCTATAATTTTTTACTGACAAGTTCAGGACACTGCCAAGTTCTACAAAGAGGCAGATGGCCAGTCCACCACTCGTGTCAAGTTCGACTACGACCTTTTCAAGGGCGTGTCTATCCAATTTGACGATGTCGAATCTGCAGAGGACCTGGCTGCCAAGATGGCTTCCCTTCCGGTTGTCAAGAACATGTGGCCCGTCAAGGTCTACGGCATTCCCACTCCTCGTATCGAGTGGACTGCCACGCCTGGAATGAAGGCTCCTCTGCAGAAGCGTGGTGCGAACGACACTGACACTTTCTCGCCTCATGTTATGACTCAGGTTGACAAGTTGAGGGCCAAGGGCGTTACCGGACATGGCATCAAGGTTGCCGTTATCGACACTGGTGTAAGTTCTTCAGTATATGTTTTCTATTTCGCAGCTGACAGGTCAGATTGACTACGAGCATCCCGCTCTGGGAGGCTGCTTCGGCCCCGACTGCCTTGTTTCCTTCGGCACTGATCTTGTCGGCGACAAGTACGATGGATTTAACGCCGTCTTCCCCGATGAGGACCCCATGGACTGCGCTGGCCACGGCACTCACGTTGCCGGCATCATCGCCGCGCAGAACAACAAGTACGGCTTCACAGGTGCAGCCCCCGGCGTAACCCTCGGCGCGTACAGGGTCTTTGGCTGCTCCGGAGAAGCAGGCAATGACGTGCTTATCGCTGCCTTCAACCAGGCTTTCCAAGACGGTGCCGACATCATCACTGCGTCCATCGGTGGACCTAGTGGCTGGTCTGAGGAGCCGTGGGCTGTTGCTGTGTCGCGCATCGTAGAGAAGGGCGTGCCTTGCACCGTCTCTGCTGGCAACTCTGGTGACGTCGGTATGTTCTATGCCAGCACGGCTGCGAACGGAAACAAGGTTATGGCTATTGCCTCGTACGACAATAGCGACTACATGTCCCTCCTCAACATCTCGCACTACTCCGTCAACGGAAGCAGTGACAGAATCGGCTTCGGAATGACCGCCGGTACACCCGCTGCTTGGAAGAACGTCACCCTTCCTCTCTGGGCACCCAACCTGGATGTCACTGTTACCAACGGCGGCTGTGATCCTTACCCTGCTGACACCCCCGATCTGAGCGGTTACATCGTGTTGGTGCGTCGTGGATCGTGTACTTTTGTGCAAAAGGCCCAGAACGCGGCCAAGGCAGGCGCAAAGTATTTCCTTGTCTACAACAACGCCGGTGGAGCTTCAGAGATTGACGTTTCTACCGCTAACGGTATTCTCGCTGCTGGCATGGTCACCTCCAAGGTTGGAGCCACGTGGATTGGCCTTTTGAAGAAGGGATCCAACGTTACTCTTGAGATGTCTGATGGATCCGATGGAGAGATCATCCTCGAGGAGAGCAAGAACGACAAGACTGGCGGCGCGGTCAGCACGTACTCCTCGTGGGGACCTACCTGGGAGATGGACGTCAAGCCCCAGTTTGGCTCACCTGGTGGAAACATCCTTTCGACGTACCCTCTCAAGAAGGGCGGTTATGCTGTTCTCTCCGGTACTTCCATGGCCTGTCCCTTGATTGCCGCAACCATTGCTCTCATTGCCGAGGTCCGCGGTACTCTCGACCCCGTCACCATCGAGAACCTTCTCTCGTCCACTGCCAACCCCCAGCTCTTCAACGACGGAACTACCTTCTCTGACTACCTCGCCCCTGTCCCTCAGCAAGGTGGTGGAATGATCCAGGCCTACGATGCTGCCTACTCTACCCTGCTGCTGGACATTTCTAGCATTTCTTTCAACGACACTGACAACTTCATCAAGGTCCGCAACTTCACCCTTCACAACACGGGCAAGGAGGAGGTTACTTTGGATGTTTCCCACATTCCCACCAAGAGCGTCTACACACTTGAGGCTGACAGCATCTACGCTTCTGCCTTCCCCAACGATGTCGCTGATGCTCATGCTACTCTCAAGTTCAGCGAGGCCAAGGTCAGCATTGGTGCTGGTGAGAGTGTCACCATCGAGGTGTTGCCCACTCCTCCTGAAGGCCTGGTCGCCAAGCGTCTCGCTCTTTGGTCTGGATACATCGCCGTCAATGGCTCCGACGGATCATCCCTATCTCTTCCCTACCAGGGCATGACCGGATCTCTGCACGATGCCCAAGTTCTTGGCTCCGAGGATACTTGGATCAGCAAGTCCAACGACAAGGACAAGCTCACCCCCGTCCCCGCCAACACAACCTTCATTCTCCCTGCTCAGGGCCAGAATGCCACAGACGAGAAGCCCGCCCCGGCACTCGCCTGGAACCTCGCCCTCGGTTCCGCCAAGCTGGAAGCCGAATTGATCCCCGTCGGTGGAAACTCGACCTCCAAGAGTCTTGGTGCTCCTGCTGGATTCCCTATGCTCTGGAACCCAATGGGCAAGGGCTCTGTTGTGTGGAACGGTAAGCTGGCCGATGGTGGTTATGCTCCTGCTGGAAAGTACAAGGTTTCTTACAGGGCGCTGAGGATCTTTGGTGATGAGAAGAAGGAGAGTGATTGGGATAAGTCCGTGTCGCCTGTTTTCGGTGTCAAGTATCCTTGAGGATTGACTGGAAGTAAATGATTTGATGTGATATGGACTTGGTATCTGATGGACAGTAGCTACAGCAAAGTTACACTCTGAGAATATAATTCCTTTATGTATTTCAACTCGCCCATGTTAAGCCATTACCGCCATCAAAGTGATTTATACTCCGTGCCTTTTATTCTAGATGTAACGGTGGTGGGATAGCCAGGAGACTGAATTATCCATCTTGGAAAGGACGAAACATTGTCCAGCTGAAAGACATGCCATATCTCGTCGTGGGGAGTTTTTAAACCCGAGTTGCACTCTGTTTGTGTCCAGTTCGGAGTAGTCAATTTCTCGGTGAGGCTGAAGCCGTGGTCATGGAGATGTGGTCGAGGCCTTGTTAGATCATCAGCACCGACGTTCAAGAGCCAGGCACCTACTGGCATGAGCGACGGAAGAAAAATCTCCTCTGTTCAGCCTAGTGATCATAGGCGCTCAAAGAGCTATGATAGAGGTATCCCTTCTATTATACCATACCTCACTATGTCAGCAGACAGGGCCTATAATCAGGCCGGGCTCCTATATAGTACTGTGATAAAACCTGCTAGCATGCACTCATAGAGAAGGGACCTTCACTTTTGGGTGACTTGGTCTACTGAGCTTTTCGACAATCACTCAGTGCGCTCTCATAAATGCATCAGCTCCCATCACAGCCCTCCCAGACCATATAATAAAGCTCTGACTCATCCACTGCCCAACACATACATTGATGGGGGAGGCAGATGTCGAGCATACCCCAAAACTCGAGCATCTGGCGTATTTCCATCACGTGCCAACCGCAAGAAAACCCATTGCTTCTCGATCTAACAGAGACTCCTTCTTGTGGAGATGGAGGACTATCAGCGTCCACTGCTTTGATAATGAAGTTTTCCCGTCCTATCTGCTTGAGTACCTGCTCATCGGCGACGAGAAATACACAGCATCGATGGACCGGTTCGGGTTCTCCGCTAGTCTTGTCTTTGTAGACCTTACACAGCTCTGCTAGACTCAGTCCGTCGAGCAAGGCTGGGTCAGAGCGTGCATCTAGACGGAAGAGGGGTTCAAGCTTTTCTGCAATCTCGTCATTTACATCATACACGCAGGCGATGAGCCCCTTGTCGGCTTCGACTTTGGCCTTGTTGCGTAGAGTGTCCCAGTTCTGATCAGAGCCGAGGCCGTAGTAAGTGCGGTAGACGGTGAACCCCCAGCCTACGAGAGATGGCTCGACGTTGTCCATCATGGCTTGTTCTTCTTCAGATATAACATAATCTTCGGGGACGTCGAATTCGAGTGGAAAGGAATATCGCCAGCATGCATCGAGGATTCTTTGAAGGTCCGGCATGATAAAGAGGTAGCCTGGAAAAGGGGAGTTGGAGTAGAATGCGGTATAACAAAAAGAGATCCATAAACCTGTTGGTTGTTTGTTGTCGAGATTTATACCTGGCCACTGGATATCGCTTAATTAAATACCGGGTAAAGAGCTGTCTGGTCTTAAATAACAAATTCTATCATGCTTTATGGATATAGATGTAATGTTGTATTGTTGATATCATTGAGAGATTTGGAAAGCCTGGGCTTGATAAAGTTGAAGGTTAAATCGAAAAGAGAAAAAAATAGATGTAATGTTGGAAGGTATTGTTCAAAGGGGTATGTTCAAAGGGGTATATGCTGTAAATTCATTTAACTATGTATTTTAATATTTCCTTTTATCCAACTGAAGAATGATGGTAATAGATTCGAGGCTGGATCTAACCACCAAGGCTGAGTCTGTAAACTCGCCAACATCACTCACTGGCAGTCTACCAGACACCTGCTGGTAGTTGTACATAAGAGTGATGAATATCATTAAGCCCGTAGACTTGTTCAAGGTCTCCAAGACCGGAATGTCTCTGACATGTTCTTCTCATAAATAAATCTCCATAATCTTGATCCCAGTGGCACTAGGCCAACTCTCTGTGTGATAAGGAGGGTGGTGTAAGATTCCCCTGTTACTGGGGTCGGTATCGGTATGACGCGTTGGCTTTTGCCAAGTATCGCGTTCAAATAATAGTGCTGTGTTGGAAAGCAGCAGCTGGTCCACCTGAAGAGCTGGATATTCCAGGTGGCCTTGTGTTGTAGTAAATCCATCAGTGTGGATTGATGTAAAGCCCTGGGCAGGGCGAGCGAGCAAATGGCTGCTCCAGGTTGTGATGCGGTTCGTTTCCAGCCTCGTAAAAACGAGATAATCGACCATTATTCATCCCTCTCGCAGCTCATGAATGCATTATGCTCATTCGATATAGCCGCCGGTAAGTTGGCTAAGCCACGTCTTGACTCGTTTCGTCACAGGCGAAGGCTCATCGTTATCGTCCACAGCAACGCGCTTCTTGCTATCCTTTGCAGGTGTCTGCTGCTCCTCGGGCGCGTCGCTCATCTGGCTCGTAGCCTTTGTCGTGGCGCTCTGTTCTGTGTCCCGCGCGTTTGTAAAGATTGACATGGGCGCCGTGCCTGTCTTGACTGAGGCTTGGTCCGAGTGCTTCTCGATGCTGGGGAGGGGTTTTTCGCTGCGGAATGTGAGGACGGTCTCGAGGGGAGGTTGGTCTTGGTGCGGGGGTGCAGCCTCAGCCTCGACAACATCTTCTTTCGTATCGTTCTGGGCAATCTGCGGTTCGGCGTGGACAGGTGGCTCTGGGCGAGATGTCGGTTCCGGACGGGCTGATGGCCTCTGCGCAGGCTTTTGGGGCTGTCGTGGGAGCAGGGCGTTAAGGGAGTGACGTCGGATCTCACGCATGGTCTGACGGAGATGTTTGGCGAGCTCAGAGTCGGGATCGAGGTTCAATAGCGCTCTTTCAATGCTCGCGCGCAGAATGTGAAGATCGCTCTCCTCACGAGCCGCACGCTCAGCGCGGGTGAGCTTGGCCATGGCAGCTCGCGCGGCGGTTCTTGTCGAAGGTCTGTAGAATGAGCTCATGTGGGCGGTGAGCTCTGGGCAGGATCAGGATCAGGGATAAGTAGAGTTTCAGGTTCCATAGATGACGTATTACGTTTATTTTGTCTGTGGAATGGGATGGGATGGGATCAGGTGGTATCTCTTTAGATCCGAACAAATACGCAAAGAGCTATTCGTCAATACTCTGAGCGTCTTTGTTTTAACTTTTTGAAGTTCTCATGATGAAAGATGCAAGATTCATGCAGGATGAGCTGTCGATGGCGCGTCAAGAAAGAAAAAATGATAGTGTAGCACGGGACGGAGTTTTGCAATTTTAGTGACCCCGTAGTGGATGGTGATGCGCCAATTAAACAGGTGTAAATCCTTGATAGTGTGACTCATGGACAGCCTTAAGTCCCTCAGTATACCCTATAAGCAACTTTGTTATTGGTGCTGGGATTCTTTATTTACTTCTGTGACGCGTCGCGCAATGCTGTTTGCTTATCCGTACTCCAAGAGGATGATTGATGTCTGTCAATTACTTGTTCATCTGTCCTGAATCCAACTACGAACGCATTTCGGTAGTAATCTATAGGGCTGAAATACCATCAGACTTTTACATCAAGGCCGCTAAACAATCGTGGCCGTCGCTAGTGTCTGAGGTCCACACCATTTTCAGGGTCTGGTCAAACAGGCGAGATGATGGTGTACATGAGGTTTGTTATTGTGATGACGTATGGTCACGATTTTCAGTTGGCCTGTTATGTCTTGCCAATTATTCTAAGCTGAGTAGTCCTGGCAGTTGATGTCTGTATCTTATCTGAGTTCGGGCTATTGAGTAAGATGTTATTTCGGGACTGATGTTTATGTCTTATCGCGAAGTTTGATCGTTAAGAGTTATGATAATCGCTTGCGGTTTTGATAGTATTCGCTGGACAAACTCACACATTATGATCACGCTTGACAGTACGTTCTCAAATATGAACTTAATAAGAAAAACCATGTAAAGAGTAAAGTCAATAAGCCTTCTTCAATATAACTAAGAGAGATAACATGGTAATGATAAATATGTCCTTGCCTCTCGGGTAGGCTGAACAAGTTTTGAGCTTTCAGTTGTGGGGGCTGGGGGGCCACTGGGCTAATTATCTCCGATAAGCTATCGCTTAGCAAGGCAACATCTAAGCGAACGTTGCTGGCCTACTAACCATTACGAGCTTAGCACGTCTTGCTCAGCTTGTCTTATCTTATCACCCTCTTTTTAATCGCCCGGTATCTCACCAGGTCCAGGTGTGATTAGTAGCTACGTTTACCAAATTAAGCATTTAAAGAGGTTATAAAAGCCTTATATTATAAGCATGGTTTTAGTATATAGCTAGCTTATTAAATATAATAGTATAGTTAATATAATTAGGTATACTTAGTTAATTATAGGGCCATACCTTATAATATACCTCTTTAACCGCCTAGCTATAGTATATTTAAATATATTTTAGGTACTTTAAATAGTAATAATAAATTAAATAAAGGAAATTCTAAATAGTAATATAAATAAAATTATAAATAATAAAATACCGTAAAAACTTGAAGAGTAATAAAATAAGGCCTATATATTTAAGTTATATATATAAAAATAGAATTCCTTATATTATAATATTATTTTCTTTTTTCAAGCCTTTATTATTATAAAAATAGTATATTAATTACTATAAATTCCCTTACTTAATATAATATATAAATAATAATAGGATATTAATATATATAAATAGCCTTTTTCTAACTTTAATACCGGCCTTTTAGGCTAGAATCTTTCTATAATACCTTATATAAATAACTTAACTAAATAAACATTATATATATTAATATATAATATAATATAATATTAAGGCCGCTTATTATATATATACTATAACTATTTATATAGCTAAGGTTATTATTATTACTTCCCTTTCCCCTCCTTTTAAAAAAAAGGAAAAAAAAAAGAAAAAAAAAAAAAAAAAAAGAAAAATAATAATAATAAAGATAAAATCCTTATAATACCTTTATAGATAAGTATTTATAACCCCCCTACTAGGTAAGAGCCTATTTATTTTAAGCCTCCCTATAAAGGTTATTTATATAATATTATAGTTAATAAAAACTAATTAAAAAAATACCTAAAGACTTTTAATATTTTATATTACTATATAATTTACTATATAGATAAATATATTTATATCTTTATATATATCTTTCTTTTTTTTATTTTATTAAGTATACCTTATTAATATTACCTATTTTAGTTATTATAATATAGCTTCCCTTACCTATTATATTCTAGACCTTTATATTTAATTAGATATTATATTACTAGGTAATATTAACCTACTTTAATTAATAAGTTTATACTTTATATATATATAAATACTTATTAATTATATATATTAAGTATCTAACTAGAAGTTATATCAGGCTTATTAGGCCCTAAAGATAAGGTAAGTACTTTTAAAGAAAAAGGCCTAATCTAAGGAATAATATTACTATAATATAGAGAATATAGCTTAGGTTATATTAAGACCCCTAGGTAACCTTAATTCTTTTATTACTATAATAATTACTTCCTTAGATAGAGTAATTATTATACTAGTTAACTAGGTAATAATTACTATATTTATATAGTAATAATAGTAATAATAATAGTAATTCTTAGTTAGTAATAGTTTATCTTTAGTATTTTTATATATATATTTTAGTATTACTTTTTTCTATTTCTATATATAGTTTTATTATACCCCCTGGCCTTAGGCCGGGGTAAATAATACCTTTTTTTTATATATATTTTATATATTTCTTTAATTACTTTTCTTACTTTATAATTACTTATAATATATTTAATAATACTTAAAAATACTTAAACTTTTACCTTAGTAATACCTTAGTTAAGCTATCTACCGGTATATTTACTATAATAAGGTAAGTTACTTTAAATAAGCCTTTTTTATATTCTTACTTTAGTTATATACTCTAAATATTAATATAATATAGCCTTATTATAATTTATATACTTTAATTTACTATAAGTTAGATTATTTATTAATTATTATAATAAATTTCCTAAGGTATATTTAGATTAAATTAAATATCTATAAATAGGTACTTTAAACTTATTATTTCCTTTACTATTCACTTTAAAGTAAGTATTTAGCTTTTATTATTAATATTATTATAGTTACTTATTTTAATACTTTCTAAAGGATTAGCCTACCGAAAAGGCTAATTAAATAGCCCTATAATAACCTTTTTATATTTATATTATTAATAAATAATATATTACTTACTATTAATAGTCTCTATACCTTTAATAAGCTATTATATATAATTTAGTAATTATAAATTAAGTATAGATACTAGATTGTTTAATTAGCTACCTTTTTATATTAATTACTTAAATATATTAAGAATTATAAAAAAATACTTATAGTAAGTATAATATTAATATAAATTATTATTAATATATAAAGTACTAAACCGATCTCTTTTTAATAGATCTTAATCTTTATAACTATTACCTAATTAAAATAAGCTTTAAATTTAATAATAAAAATAAAAATAGCTAAAAAGCTATTATAATTATACTAACTAAAATATTATATTACCTTTTTAATATATAAATTATAGTAAAGGCTTATTATATACTTTTCTTAGTCTTTAATAATCCTAATCCTAAGGAACTATTCTATATTTTCTTTATATATAAGTTTAAAGCTTCCTTTTAGTATTTATATAAACTATTAAGTAATTAATAATTAATTTTAATAATAGAAAATTAAGATATTATTAATAAAAAAAACGAGATATATATCTCTCTTAGGTAAGTAAAAAAGGTATAGCTTTTCTTTATATACCTTAAGCCTAAACTTATAAAATATTATAATAAAGATATTAAATTATAATTTTAATAAATCCCTTAGGCTATATAGTATTTAATTAAGCTTTAAAACATACCTAAGGTAATTAATACCTAATAGTATTTAATATATTACTAGCTTATTATTTAGTTCTCTAACTATATTAATAAATATATTTTTTATATTTATTTAAATAATCTTAAGATTAAAATAAGTAATTAAAGCTATTATTATATAAAAAAAGTATATAGTAAGGGTTATAATATATATATTTTTAATAATTAATTCTTAAAAATTATTATATATTACCAGTCTAGCTTTATATCTTTTAAGGAAGCTATCTTAATTATATTTATAAATATAAACCTATTTTACTAAAAGTAGCTTATTTCTAGCTTTTTTATACCTAACCTTTCTTTAGGTATACTTTTTATATAATAAATCGATCTTAATCTATATTACTTTCTTAAATAGTAACTTTAATAGATATATAAATATCTTATTATATAACTTAAGGGGCTTTAAGAGATTATTATAGTATTTTTATTACTTAATTAAGCTTATAATAAATATTATATAACCTACTTATCTTTCCCTTTTTATTTTTATATTAACTATACCTAAGAATATATAAAAAACTATTTTAAACTCCTTAATATCTATATTAGCCTCTTTTATATATTTATTTATAAAAATAACTATATATATACCTTTTTAAAGTTTATATAAATAGTAATTAAAGGTTTTAATATACCTATCCTCCCTCCTTTCTTAGATTTAAATATTTACCTTTAAGGAAGCTATAACTTAAGTATTTACTTTACTTCTCTTTAATTATCTTACTTACCTTATTCTTTATATTAAACTACCTCTTAAAGTAAATAATATATTATTTATTACTTTATTTACTTTAAAGAAATAAATAAACTTCTATAATATATAGGTTATAGGCTATTACTTAGGTTTAATAATAATACTGCCTTTAAGAATATATAATATATTAGTTATTACTTTATATATAATAAAAAAAAAGGATAGACTTTAATAATATATAGATTATAGGCTCTTATTATATTTATTTTTAAATAGCCTTTTATTATATAGAAATTAAAAAATAATAGCTTTTTACTATATTTAATTATTAAGTAGCCTTAGTTAGGTTTATTATACTTATAGCTATTCTTCCTATAAGTTTTATTACTTTATAATTATTATTTAAGGATTTTAATAAGCTTATAGTTTCTTTTAATAATAATCTTATTAAATTACCTTTTAAACTAATTACTATCTTATCTCTAATCTTTATTAATAATAGTAATATATTTATATCCCTAAGATATAACTTAATTACTATTATATCTTATAATTATATATTTAATTATTTATTATTTATATTTATAAATAGTATTTATATTATTTAATTTATATAATTAAAATTAAGTTAATTTAAAATCTTAATATTTAAATTATTATTTAAATTAATTAGAGGTCCTAATATATTAAATCCCTCTGGCTATATACTTTTATATATCTTACCTAAGCTTTTAAGTAATATACTTTACTTTAAAGTCTCTTACGGTATTTAAAGTCCTATTAATACTTAAATTAGTATATATTTAATATAATCCCTTAAGTTAATATTTAATATTTAGGTACTTTCTTACTTATTTTTAAGTATAGTATTTTTATATAAGTCTATAGTTTTATATAAATCTATAAAAAAGTCTAGCTTTTTTTATAATAAAAAAGCAGCTAGTACCTTATTATTTATTCTATTTTATATCTTTATCTTTAAGTTTAAATCTATAGGTATTTAAAAAGGTTAGTTAATTAGTACTTTACTTTCCTATTTAGGTATTTTATAGTAAAGTAATTAATCTTTTAATTATAATATAGTAAGCTTATTTATATTTTCTATTTTAGGTTTATAAAAGGTATTTTTATTAAAATAAATATCTTTTATTATTATAACCTTCTTAAGTAATAATAACTATATATAATATAGATTATATATTATATACCTAATTAAATACTTAATATATATTTTAGGCCTTATTTTAAATACTTCTCTTTATTTACTTTTTATATAGTCTTAATTTAATAAATAGGCTTTATAGCTATATATATATATATTACTTTAATTAGGCCGTAAGTTAATTATATACTTTCTTATTAATAATAAAGTATAGTCCTAAAATTAAGATTTAAATATTTTAATAGGTATTATACTACCTAGCCTAATCTATAGACTCTAATTAAGTAAATATATTACTATAACTATACTCTTAGGCTATAACTTTATTAATAGGTATACTCTATTTAGTATTATATTTAACTTATTTATTATTTTTTAATTAACTTTCTTAATTCCTTTATTAAACTTATAAATATAGACTAGACTATTTTTTATTTTTATACCTTAGTTATATACCTAAGCTTAAAAATCTATATTACCTAAATACTTAATTATAGCCGGTTTATTATCTAATTTTATAATATAAATAACTAGCCTAAATTAATACCTTACCTAATAGTTAAAAAAAAAATCATATTAAAGATTAGTTCTTTCCCTTTTATTATTAAAAGGTAAGTATATAAATAGTTATTATATTTATCCTTAAGTAATAAAAGCTATTTATAGCTATTATATCCCTCTTTATATTATTAAAGATCTTAATATATATATTAAAACGGTTAAGGTAAATACCCTTTTAATAACTACCTACTTACTATATATTTAATATATATTATTATATATATTTTATACTTTATATAATTTATTCTTTTTATTTTTATATTCCTTACCTTTATTATTAATTACTTTAGAGTATCTTTCCCTAGGTAGCCTATTTAAATATATTAAAAAGTAATTATATTAGCTCTTAGTAATAAAAAGTTAATTAAGTAATAATATCGTTAAGGTCGGTTATTTATTATAGTTATTATAAAGAATAGGTATTTATATTAAACTAAAAGCTTTAAAAATAAATTCTCTTACTTAGGTATAAAAAAATAGATATAAATAGGCTTATATTAAAGGATTATAAGCTTATACTTTATTTTTAGCTATATTAAAATAATATTTATATTAATTAGTCCTTATTATAAGGTTTTATTAAAGCTATAATACTAAACTCCCTTTTTTTATAATACTATTATTAATATAAGGTTAATATAAAAACCTTTAATAATTATATACCTTTTAAGGGTTAGGCTAATTATATAAATACCTTTTAGCCTATTTAAAACCTTCTTAAATATATATATATTAAAGCTAGATATCTTAAAGTAACCTAATCTTGCTTAAATAAATATACTATTAGTATCTTTAAAGGATCTAAGTATAAAAAGACACTAGTTATTAACTATATAAATTATTATATATATATTAAAGTATATACTCTTTTTAAGTAGGTATAAGGTCCTTTATTATATAAATATTATTATTTTATTTTAAGGCTATTTAAAAAATAATAAATTAATTATAATAAATATATAAAAGATATTATCTTAATTTATACCTTAGGCTTATAATATACTTCTTAAAGTAAAGAAACCTTACTATAAAAGAACCTATATTTTTATAATCTTTTAATATAGCTTATTAAGGGTAATATAAATTTTATTAAGTTTTTACTTAAAAGTATTTTTTATAATTATATTATACTTATTTATAAATATAGTTTTTATAAATATATAGTCCTTAGGCTTTTAAAGGTAATACTTTTTTTATAAGGGCAGTCTTTCTTTTTAATACCTTAAGACCTTAAGTTATTTCTTACTTTTTACTTACTATTAAGGGTTATATAAACTATTAGGCTAGTTATATTATTAAGACTATAATTAAGAATATATATAAATTATTATATATAAAAAATAACTTTATATACTTTTTTACTATAGGTAATTAACTTATTTATTTTAGTCTAGGCCTAAAAAGAATTAAATTACTTTATTATAAATAGAAAATTAATAAAAGCTTAATTTCTTTTAACTTTATAAATCTTATATATTTTAATATATATATAAATAATATTTTAATAATTAAGTTAAATCTATAGATTACTATATATCTTTATAACCTTAGTTATAACCTTTTTATATTCTTATTTAATATTAAAGGTTATAATTATTTATAAGACTATAAAGTAATTATATAATTTTTAAAGTAATTAGTATTTAAAAATACTATCTAGGTATATTACCTTAAGGGTAATTATTATTATTATAATTATTTTTTTATTTATAGTTTTAATAATAAAATTATTTATAGTTATATTTTATATTACTTTTTCTTTATAAAGCTTTTTATAATAGTTATAAGTCTTTATTTTATAATTAAAGGCTAAGTCTAGTTTAAAAAAGGTAGGTTAATTAGGGAGTAATAGCTATTTTATTTTTTACTTATTTAATAGTTTTTTATATATTACTTTAAGCTTATTAATTTATTTTATATATTTAGTAAGTATTTTATTTTAAAAAGCTTTAAAGGTTTAGAACTTAAGGTTTTTTAAAAGGTTATATTTATTATTTTCCTTTTTTAGGTTAATTTACCCCTAAAAGCCCTATATTATAACTTAAAGCTTAAGTATTTAGATTTATTATACTTAATAAATAAGAAAATTAAAATAGGCTACTCCTTAGTTATTAAATATAATATTAAGTATTAACTTAAAAGTTATCTTAAAAATATAAAATTAGATATATATAAAGTATATATAGGGTATACTATAAAGGCTATATTATATAATTTAATTATATTTATATAGTATTATTAACTATATAAAAGGGAATTAAGAAATTAAGGAAATAATAGAATATAATTTAAAAAAAGTAAAATAATAAAAGTTACTAAAGGTATTTTTACCTAGGCTTATAATTATAATTAGTAATTATATTTACCAAATTAAGTATTTAAAGAGGTTATAAAAGCCTTATATTATAAATATGGTTTTAGTATATAGCTAGTTTATTAAATATAATAGCATAGCTAATATAATCAGGTATGCTTAGCCAATCACAGGGCCGTGCCTTGTAACACCAGGAGATAAGATCCAGTACAGGACATCACCCGCATTTACAACATGGTAGCATAGCAAATATCATCGTATCCTCACCAAAGAGTATGTAAAACTGCACTATATCACTGGGACCCTTTTCCCCCGTGATTTAGAGCTCTGATGCGTCCAGACCCCATTTGTCAGCATCACTTCCGCGGAACCGACCCCACAATGTTCCTTACAGCACATACACTCTTCACCCCCCACTGAGACTGTGAATACCAACACCTTGTCAGCACACTGAAAATGATGCAGAGTAGCCCTGCAAGAAAGGTTCGTCTATAATCTGACATACTATAGTCCCGCTGACAAGCTAGGCATGTGATATCTGCTACCACAAACGAATTCGATGTGATGGACAAAAGCCTCGCTGTTCCCATTGCGTTTTGTATAACTCGTCGTGTACATTCCAGGCCAGGAGCCGGAAGGCAAGGAACTCGAAACAACGACCTTCTGCGTGTGTGGATGCACTGAAGGGTGAGGTTCATCGTCTGGAGACAAGTCTCAATGAAGCGCAGCAGAGGATTAAAGAGCTTGAAGGTCAAGTATCGCTACAAACTGATGCACTTCCCACTGATGACTCTATCTACGCTTCTGAGGAGTACGTCATCATTCCACCTGAGATAGACTCTGGTGGTAATGACAAGGAGCTACCGCCACGGCAAGAGGTTTTGTCAGCGGCCAACAAGTACCTAGACACTTTGAACTCCGTCTTGCCTCTTTTCCACCCTCAGAATCTGATGAACTCCATCAACCGGTGGTATGACAATCCCGAGTCCCGAGAGACTTCAACCTGGGCAGCAATAAATGTTGTCGTTGCCCTGATCTACCGTCAAAACTCCCTCGTAGGAGCCAAATCGAGCACTGCAGTGAGATTCCTCAACAACGCACAGACTGTGCTCAACGAAGTCTTGACTGGCGAGCCAAAACTCCTCGATGTTCAAACACTCATCGGCATGGTTCTGTTCCTTCAAGCTGCTTCGGACCTGAAACCAGCCACGACGCTTATGGCCATTGCATTGCGTCTTGCGCACAGCTTGGACCTCCATACTCGATCAAATCCGGCAGTTCTAAGTTCTTCGGAGATGCTGGAGCGAGATCGTGTGTTTTGGATCGCCTATATCTGTGATCGTGATATAGCAATACGCACGAGACTTCCACCACTACAGAACGAGAAGGATATTAGTATTGACTGGCCATCTGCTAGTCCAGTCGACAAAGCTGGACTGATTACCACCCGTGATGGTACTTCCAGCTTCAACTTCTTCTTGTCTCGTGTGCAGCTCGCACATATCCAGGGTCAGATCTATGAAGCTACACAACCCCCACTGTCGCCAGCATCGGAAGCCCACATCCGTCTAGAGAACGTGACTCGAATCCACCGTATGCTGGACAGCTGGTATGCTAGCGTACCCCCACCCTTCCTCCCCGGCGCCATTGTCCAAGCTGGAGACGTAAGTATATACAGGCCTCTTGGCGTACTCTACGCAAGTCATCTTGCCTGTCGTAGCTTGGTCTGCAAGGCCCACGCCATGGAATGGCAGTGGTTAAGAAGTTTACAAGATTTTGGCAGAAAAGCGGCTATTGGGATTATCACATCACCTCATCTTCCAGTGGGGTGGACAGAGCTTGTTTACGAGTCCCGTCAGTATATGACGCTCTTTACGAATATTGAGTCTAAAGATCCAGCGTTTTACTGGTATGTCGACAAATCCGAGATACGTACCTCAAACTGACGAAATATTTAGGATGACTGTGTGCACCTATATCTCAGGTGCTGTCTGTTTAACGGCCAACAACATCTTCAATCCATGGCATGAAGACATGCAAATTGACAATGATCTGGTAATGCTTTCGTTCAGGTTTTTGGAGGATATGATACGAGAAGCGCCTTCTGAACCGTTGCAGCGCTTAAGAGATTCGTGGGACGAGCTGTTGCAGCACGCCCGTGCGAGATCTGCCCAGTTTATGGTGTCAGACACCGATTGGCTTGGAAGGATTTCAACTTGATATTAAACAGCAGTTAAAGTGACTCAGAAAAGCCTCGAAAAGGAAGAGAGTTACCAGAAGTATGAGGGTAATCGATGTACAACAGTCTTAGATACCACAATCGACAGAAATCCCAGAGTTGTCTCAGAGCCCCTCAGCATTTTGTGTTACTAGCAAGATCCACAAGTTCCGCGGAATAACAAGCTGAATCATCAAGAGGGATAAACTGCTTCCCGCATTCCATTATCCTACACAATTCAAGGCTTGGCCGTATGTTCTATTCCGCGGAACCCTTTGCAGTCCAGAAACTTACAAAGATAGTGGGGAAAGACTGTTTGGTGTGAATCACCATCTGTCTTCGTGGTACATTGCTATATAAGCTCATAGACATTCTCGTACCCAGAAAGAAGATCCCATACTTTACGGGTGCACTGAATCATTCTCAAATCACCTCTAATTAAGAATTTCTGCCACTTGCACCTCAACATGGCACCGATTCCCCTCCCTGGCTTCGTCTCCTTCACCAAGACCTGGCACAGCGAGCCATACCCATTTATCTCACCATTACGACCTGAACTCTCAGCAGCCGGAAAGAATATCGTCATTACAGGCGGCGGCTCAGGTATTGGCCAATCTATCGGCATAGCCTTTGCCCAAGCCGGAGCAGCGTCTGTCGCCATTATCGGCCGAAGACTTGGCCGCCTCGAAATTGCGGCAAAAGCGATCCGAGCTGCGAATGGATCGACAAAGGTTCTTTATGAGGCCGGGGATGTTACTAAACAGGAGTCTATCCAGAAAGCTCTACAGAAAATCGTCCAGAAAGTAGGCAAGATTGACATCTTCTGCGCCAACGCTGGTATACTACCCACGGAAGGTCTGGTCTCTGGCTATGATGAAGCAGAACTTCGACGAGGTCTAATGACCAATGTCATTGGCTCCTTCAACTCACTTCAAGCATTTCTTCCTCTAGCAGCACCTAGAGCTAAGCTGTTCTACACCGGATCTGGGATAGGCCATTGGAAGCCCATGACAGAAGTCCCTGGCGTCTTTGGTTACGCGGCTGCAAAGGCCGCAGCGCAGAAAATGGTCGACTACTTCGCTTCTGAGAATCCGCACATTCACGTCGTGAGCATTCAGCCAGGTATCATCGCCACGGGGATCAATCCAGATCTCACAATTGGGTTCGACAAAGGTATTTCACCCTGTAACAAGGTTGTGTAAAAAGCTAACAAGCTAGTTGAATTGCCTGCACACTTCATGGTTTGGCTTGCATCGGAAGAAGCCAAGTTCTTGAAGGGAAAATTTGTATGGGTAAATTGGGATGCGGAAGAGCTGTCGGCTAGAGCAGATGAGATTCAGAATTCTATGCTTCTGGAGGTAACTTTGAATGGAGTTGATATGTAAGCTACGTACTTATCAACCATTACCAAGGACTACTATTCCTCGGGCTTGGTCGCATATACCGACCAACCACCAAAGGATTAGCTTATTACAAGACATTAATGTAGAGATGGTGGCTTACATTGGCCAGTACGAATGAATGTTCGCATTTTTCATATCTTCGCGGACATCTGTGAGAAACCCCCCGACTTCCTCCTTACTCCAGCCGAGGCCACCTCGGCCTTCAGGGCGCGTAAACACGGCCAAACTCAAAGCCTACTGTGGAGATGCTGCACTGACCGATCTGCTTATGCTTTGGATCCTTGGGCCAATGGTTCGTCGGCCACTTGCGCTTGGCAATGTTGATATCCACAAAGCCAGCTTCCTCAAGCTGCTCTTTATACTTCAAAGCGCTGTCCATTGGGGTATTGTTCCTGGTGAAGATGTCTAGAAGTAGCTTCGACCATCTGAATGAGGCCGAGTCCTTGGCTAGTGTACCATCATCGGACTAGAGAGGGTAGAGAATGTCAATCATCTCGATTCGGCCGCCGGGATTGAGGTTTCTGGTAAGAATCAGACTTGATGATGTCAAGTGACAGGTATGAGAGATTTTACTTGAAGCTCTGGTTGAAGAACTTGGGCCAATCTCGAATAGAGCCGGTAAGGAACCGAGCAAAGACAAAATCGAACCTTTGGGAATAGTCCCACGGCTCTTCCAGATCATCTACAAAGAAGGAAGCGTTCGGTGGAATTCTTTGCGTATCAGCAAATACCAATCAGTACGGAGGAAAGACTACATACGCGACTGGTTGGATCGGGCTCAGATCAACGCCAATGACCTAGTAAGATTACATTATGAACAGGTTCAGGAACTTTGGTTCGTGAAATTACCTCGCATTCGGTGTGTTCATCCGCTGAAGACCTTGTTAGTACGTCTCATGATGATGGATGGGATGCTCACCAAACTCAATAGCCCAAATTCCAGTACCACACCCAGCATCAAATGCACGCTTGAGAGTTTTGGGCAAGGGTGATGCGTGGAGATTTTCATAGAAGGTAAGAAGAAACAGATGGGGTTGCCGATCTATTACAAGAGGTTAGGTAAGCTTGGGATGCTGAAAAGTCCAGTCTACCTAGTCGTTCATTTTCAATCTAGACATATCGGATTAGCAGTTGTGACAGGATTGGAGTATCAGGGCAAAGAATACTTCATCATTCGGAAGGACGTAGGCTGTCTCAGTCAGTTTGTTGTCCTGTCAACTCGTGATAGATTATCATGAGATCTTACCGCCATCCTTGTAGGCATGGTACGTCCTGCCTTTCTCCTCACGGTACTGAAGGATGCTTAATCTCAGAGACGCAGTATCACTCCCCGCATCCTGAAATCACACTCTTTCAGCAAGCTATTGCAAAAGAACGTGTTAAACTAACATCCACAAGACCGTAGTCAGCGTCGTTAAACGTGTTATCCTGAATAACCTACGGAATAATCAGTGGGGTCAAGCAGTCGTAAGCTAACTGCTTACATTTTCATTAACGACGAGACGGTCGTCGTTTGGCACGTTTTCGAGTGTTGTTGGATGGTACTTTGCAGAGATTAATACTTTCGATGTTTGGCAGCGAGGGGTAGGATGAAGATGATCTGTTATCAGCGGGAATTGTCGCTTGCCTCATCCGATTATCACGTGAATTGTCAGTATCTCCTAATACTACTATATAGTATGTTTACTTAACTTGGATAAGTTCTACCTTACCTCGCCTATGGTAAAAGACATCCCACAGCTCCCGTCTTACTCTTTAAAACATCCCCTGGCTTAAACATTATCACATCATGGATATGGTATGGTAAGTGCTTGGCAAAAAGGTCATGCTGAATAAACAACTAATTTACATACCCATTTCCTATTTCATCCTCCGAAAGGAACAACTTTAGGATTCCCTCCTCAGAGACAGCAGGGTAGTAATAAGTCGGTCCGTTCCCCATCTCAGTCTTCTCCATCTTGACCACCACATCGACCTTCTCCGCCACGCTACCCAACACTCTATGCCCTCTCTCCTGGGAGTTATAAGCTTCCAAGTGTTGCTGCCACTGTGTCTCGAGCTTATCCTTGCACTGACCCAGGTCCTTCCACGATGTCAAGACCAAAAAGTTTGCCTCGTCCGGCAGGGTTTTCATACGGATGGTGTTCATGGTAGAGTCTGTCGCACACGCACCGCAACTGAACATGCGACCCTCCAGACTGTACCACAGTCTCTTCTGGGCTTTACAGTAGGAAGTGCAATCTTCCTTATGAGTCCAGAGGCACTTGCGCAGTGCACTCATGGGCCTGAGGCTGTGGCGCTTTCTCGGCCCAAACGACCACTGCTCATCGTTCCAGCACAAGTAGCCCAACTCCTTGTCGAAAATGAACGGGTATATCTCACTCCATTGCGCATGTGAACAGATATCCCCGATGTATGGCTGTTCATCAAACGCTTCCTTCAGAGCACGAGTCTTCTCCATTGTCAACGGCAGGTAGAAGCCCGGGCGAACAATCTTCTCCGTTTTCAAAATAACGTTTCCCTCTGAAGAGAAATGCACCGAGTGCTCGACCACACATCCCAGCTGCCCATCGTCACGCAAGAAATGCTCCACTGAATTGAGAAGACTTGGTGGGTAGACTGGCGGCTCTAGACGAAGCCGGTGGGATCGTCCGACAGCAGCCAGCAGTTCGAAATGGAAGTGACAAGGGAGATATTCCGAGAAGGACCATCTCTGAAACCAGCACAGATCCGGATTGTTACAAGCACGGGTTCGCTCGTGGCTAGTCAGCTCCAAACCCCTTTGTGGCTCGTGGAACTTTTTGCAAACCCGACAAAGAATCTCCGATGTCCACATCGCTCGTTCTTCGAGCTGCGAGAGCAACTCGATCTTACTGACAGTGTTGGAGTGTGGAATGACACCGAATATCCAGCGACCCCATTGGCTTGTCAAAGCAAGACAGACCTTGTCACCATGGGACAGGTAATCCCCGATGTCGAGAATAAGCTCCGTGGGAAGGTTCTGGAGAAAGGAAACGGTGCGTCCCTTCTGGCCGTTGGGATTCATCATGTCTGTCTTGGGATTGATAATACCACTGCTAGGTACTGTTAGTACCCGACTAATAGGGATACTCTAACGACTTATTATAAAAGTTTAATGGGCAACTAACCGTGAATCTTGGTGAGATTTGTTACTAGCGTTTTGCTTGTGGTAAAAGTTCCTTGCTGGTCACAGTTAGATGCGGTGTTGAGTCTCGAGCAAGTTTGTGAGGGAGAGGCGCAAGTAAGCATGGAAGGGAGGGAGAATGCTGGTTTTATAAGTGAAGGATTATATTCACTCAATGTAAAAATTTGTCTGAATGAGAGCTACGGAAGTGGTGAGAAAGAGAGTTGGTGTTTACTGAAGTGATTGGATCTGGTTGCAGAGCTTGATTCTGCTGCAGAGCTAAAGTTGAGGCCTGAGATATTTAGACTTCGGTTTATGAATCTTCTCAGAACCTAGTTGTATAACGCTTTGGCTAGGTTCTTTGAACTTTCTCCTCTGGTCAAGTGTAAACGGGACCTCTATCCTGACTCTACTCGAATTATATATAAGACCATGTGTTTAATAAGTGCGCGCCCAAATGTCCAAGCTAACTGTAACTCCTACTACGTTTACGAGATATCTTGATAGGTAAAGTTTTATATGATAACAATAAGGCAGAAGCTGTTTCGGTATCTTAGACACCTCATATAGAGTGTGAGCGCCACAATCTGCTTGTTATCCACGTTGCGGTGAAAGCCTTCGTGCTCAAGGCTGTTGAGTTGTGAGGGTAGATTTTGAGTGAATTTCCGGAATATACTTGATAAAGCTTAGTGGTTCTTATGTGGTTTGAGTTTGACGCAGATATACCTTTGCCCTCAGCTTTGCTATTATTTCGCAGTTTATTCCATTTGGATTATGCCTGAAATTCCACTGTGGCATCAGCAGGGCATTTGTTTCTTTCTCTTCCCTTCGTCCGTAATGGGAATCAGTGCATATACTTTATTTTAGTTCATCGAGTATCTGGAACTTCTACAGTTCAACATCCATGAAAGTGAGAACACTGACTAATAATTGTCAAACCTCAGTTTCCTCCTCCATTTTATGCCAGGAGCAGTATTCATGCTTTGGAATAGTACTAGGTGAATCCTTTACGGAATTAGGGTACTTGAGAAAGGGGTTCACATTTTATTTGGCTGGAATCTTGATAATGTACTAGTCGTTGAAATGAACAGATATCTATGTTCCTTGCTACTTGGGGGAGTGACAAGGATAACGGAAGCCAAAATATAATGGCATCTTCTCCAAAAGCTACCATTCTATCCGTGTATCCGGAGGGGATGCATTTTAGACGTTCCATTCTTTATTATCGTACCGGAATCACTCGTCATTATCAGCGATAATGCATAGTAGGGGTATAATCTGCAAGAATGGTAGACATAGGGATAAACTATGTAGAAGAGCTCCATTGGCTTAGTTATCTTTTACGAGGACTTGTCTACTATACTCTTGCTCCTTGTATTGGATAATGGGAAAAGCGAGACGGAGTGCATGAGCAAAGTACCAGGCTTACTCGCAAGTTGGCTTTCCAGTCATCTTAATAACCGATTCTCTAGCAACCGTCTAAGCATCCGTATGATAGAAAATATTAATATAAAAGTAAAATCCTCCAATCATGCTTGTTAATGTTTCCTGTGACCTTGATGGACACGGACCAAGTTATAAGTCGAAGTATCCGAGTAGCTATAGCATTAAGACAATCTCGGCACTTAAAACCTGAATTCATAAAGATGAGAGACTATTAACTAAGGTCCTGAAGTTTCCCGTAGCGGGCGTCATATCCTCTGTCCTTCCGGACACGAGTAATTGGTTTATCATTAGCCGCAGCTATTGTAATTCACCCAAAGTTAGATAAGATAAGCTGCAATGCAATTCTTCCACAACGGCGAATTCTATATATAAAACAATTATTGCAGGCTGACAGTCACCCTACTTTTCGACCTGCCACTTCTGAATAGGGTCATCGCCATGGGGCCAAGCATACTATTTTCTGACACATTTCTCAAAGCATCATCTGGGGAAAGGCAAGGGCATTCAGGCTCAAATGACATGCATCAGCGTAGCATTCGTTGACATTCACACAAGTTCCTGGATCCAATGCCAAGCAAGAGATAGTTCCCATTCGCGCGGCTTGAAAGATCAGCATAATAGTCCCTGTCATAGTGAGTAAGCTCGTCATCCAAACCCAATTTCTGGTATTTACCCGGACCACCAGAGAGGAAGCCAAGCAGACTACCCCGCAATCTCGTATATGTGGGGAAATAGGCTGATCTTTCAAGGGTACAAAGTTTATCTAGGATGTCATTACGGCAGTTGGGGCGAGAGTGAGAAATGAGTATTTAAGAGTCTGGTGGTATCTGGGTTGAGAACGAGAGATCAGCTAGGCACCTGCTTCTTTCTCCAAACCAGATCATTACGTCCTTTCTTCTTTGACTCATCATGAGATCTAAGTTGTTGTTCTCAGCCGCCTGGCTGCTTTCCCTGGGCAACTCGGCCCTGGCCACTGACTGTCCGCTCATCACAAGCAGGTGGAGCGCAGACCCTTCAGCCCACGTCTTCAACAAGACTCTTTATATATATGCGTCTCATGATGAAGCCTCGGGCATTGTCTGGCCTGGCGATGGAGGCGCCTACGCCATGAGAGATTACCACGTCTACTCGACCGAGAAGATCTACGGGTCGCTTGTGGTTGACCATGGTGTTGGCCTTTCAGTCGACGATGTTCCCTGGGCCTCTCATCAGATGTGGGCACCCGATGCAGCTTACAAGAACGGCAAATACTACCTGTACTTCCCCGCCAAGGACAAGGATAGTATCTTCAGAATCGGCGTCGCAGTCTCATCCGATCCGGGCGGTCCTTTCAAGCCCGACAAGAGCTGGATCCCCAACACCTTCAGCATTGATCCCACCAGCTTCGTTGACACCGACGACAGCGCATACCTTGCATGGGGTGGTATCCAGGGCGGACAGCTCCAGAACTGGCAGAACAAGAACAAGTACGATCCCAACGGCAAGGAGCCACCCAATGGCACGGCTGCCCTGAGCCCTCAGATCGCCAAGCTCAGCAAGGATATGCACAAGCTGGCCGAGAAGCCCCGAGACATCAAGATCCTAGCCCCAGAGAACCGCAAACCCCTTCTTTCCGATGACAAAGATCGACGCTTCTTCGAGGGCCCATGGATTTACAAGCGTAACAAGCTGTACTATCTCATGTACTCTACCGGCGAGACCCATTTCATGGTCTATGCTACTTCTAAGAGCCCCTACGGTCCTTATACCTACCAGGGTAAAATTCTTGATCCTGTCGATGGGTGGACAACTCACGGCAGCATCGTCGAGTACGAGGGTCAGTCGTGGTTGTTCTACCATGATGCTAAGACGTCCGGCGTGGACCACCTCCGCCAGGTCAAGGCTAAGAAGATCTGGTATGATAGCAAGGGAAAGATCTTAACTAAGCGTCCTTAATAAGGAAGTTTCAGGTGGTACTAAGCCATTCGGAGTGAGTGTAATTTAAGAGATACTATAGCTAGAGACTTCTCTTTAGGTAACTATATAGTCTCAAACATAATTGAGAAATAAATTATCCAATCCGTGACTTATATTAATCTGAGATAGTAGAAGATATTTCCAGTGCTTTGGACCAATAAAAGCATCAAGAAGTTCAATAATCGGGGTATTACCCGTAGTGTAAGTAAGATTTACACAGTTTATACAAAGTTCTAATTCTCATAAATACAAGCTTCAGTTCTAAGAACATGAATATTAAAAAAGTGTAACTCGATAATAATTTTAATTAAGAGAAATCCACCCTGCCGATGACTAATATTGCTCAGGGCGTGAAAATTAAAGCCTGTGGTATCGTTTATGCGGTAAGAGAACACTATCAAGTATGCAGTCAATGTTACACAAGGCTGTAGTATTCCCCACTTGCCCATTCCTACGAAGTCAATTTTCCCTGTTTTAATGGCTATGGGTACGTATTTTCGAGAGGAGAAAAGGAGAACCAGACACGAAAATATTAAGATTTGAAAGCACGGAATGCATCTACGGCATCTGCGCCTTTACTGAACCGCATTATAACTAGAAACGAACAATCAATCACTGAGCCTAAATAACCACCTCACTTCCTATCGCTATCACGGTTTGCCTGAACTTGACTGTTTGTAGCTGCTTCCTACTGAGCTGCGGCGACTGCAGCCTCTCTCTTAATCCGGGCCTCGATATCGCGCAGCTCAGCCTCGCGAACCAGGAGCTCCTGGTTCTTTTCTTTGATCTCCTGCTGGATTCTCAACTCGATCTTACGGAGGCTCTCTTCTTCTTTTCGGAGTTGCTCCTCTTTCAGGCGTATTGACTGGGAAGCGAACTCTTCTTGTCTTATGGATAAGTCCCTGCTTGATACACTGTTAGCAAAGCTGAATTTGTGATATAAACGCTTTCCAGAAACGTACGCCCCATCAGCACCTTCCGTGACCTTTGAGAGCTTCTCGGTACGGTACGTCTCGTACAAGAAGTCATACGTGACCTCCTTCAGATCTAACAGATGACTATGGAGTAGTGCAGATCGAAGAGCCAGAAAATCCGAGTGGCGTGGATTATCCACCTCAACAATACCCCAGGGGTATTGCCGCGCGCGGACTCTCCGGCCACCGATTTCAACGAAATCTTCGCTACCTATGATAGCGAAAGGCATCATGCCCCGCAACTCAGCGTTCTCTTCAATAGTCTCTTCATCGTCCTCCTCAATATCATACGGGAAGTTATAGACTGGGATACGATAGTGCTTGATATCCTCCATGATCAATTTCTTGGATTCGGCTAGCTCGGCTGGGGTAAAGGTGTCAGCGTGACCAATAACTGGAATGACGTTGATGCGGGGGGCGAGGCGCTTCATGAGCTCGATATCGAGTTCGCGGAGGCTAGGGAGTGTCAGTGATCGAAGGTATGCAGCGAGACGACTTGGCTAAAGCCCCAGCGACCGAACTGGTAACTTGAGTAAATGAGGAACGTACCCATGACCGGTCGGAGTGATGAAGTAGAGCATTGCATGAACTCTGTTGTCCCTGAAGCGAGGGTTACGTTTGATGCGAGACTCCTCTGCAAGCTGATCGTCGTACTGTCGTTCAAGAAAACCAACAATCCTCGAGAAGCTAGGATGGTTGTTTTAGTGCTGTTACTCGTAATCGTATCGTGCTTGTACAGTCAAGCCCAAGTCCTACTCACCTTTCCTCATTATCAATTTCGTCTCCGAAGCCGGGTGTGTCGACGATGGTGAGGAATATGCAGGTACGTTCCTCCTCCAGCTCTATTTCTGCGAGGCAGGCATTAAAATCTCCTCGAATGAGTGCAAGTAAAAGACATACCAACAGTAATAGGCTTAATCTCAAGCCCTTGCTCCGAGAGTGTGCCATCTTCAGCATCCGAGTCTCTGTGCGGCAGGACGGTGCTCCCACAGAGCATATTCACGAAAGTGGTCCTACCTGTAAGAAACAGTTAGTTCGTCATCAAGATTCTTTCCAGCTCTGGGGGGCGGCGTCTGACGAACCAGTTCCCGATGCGCCGCAGACCATAAGGGAGAATGGGATTCCCTTCTTCGCGGCTTTCTTTCGACGGATCATCTGTTGTAGAGAAGTGGATCAGCTAACGTATGGCCATACCTGCGACGGCTAGCTTCGAGCGTCACATGTTCGACAATAGCAGGGGAGAGAACACAAACAGCATTGGACATGGCGTAGGACAGTGTGTAGCCAGCAGAGCCACGAGCAAGATGGTGTCAGGCGTTTGCCAGAGAGGTTTTTGCAGGTTTCAAGAAGTTGTTTGGAAAAAGAGATGCTGGAGGGCAGACAGGGGAGCTATCCGGTAACATTTATATCAATCTTCCACCCCCGACTGTCCCGTGTTGCAGATGGCGCTACTATAAGAGGCGTCCGCTCCTTTCCTAGGCGAGTGCTTGACATGGATATTGATTGGCTGGCTCTACACATACCATATCCGGCTAGCGTATATCTCTACGTTTGTCCAATGCCTGTTAGACAGCGCTCCCAACAAATTAAGTCTCAAATTGATTTTTCGGGAATTAATTAGAGGACCTTCAGAATTGATTCAGAGACGCCAAAGCTGACTTAATTTAACGAGATTCAACTTGACTTGATTATAGATCTTATCTTATTGATAAGACTATCGATATGAAAGCCGACCTCCTGGATGGTGAATCCATCTGGATAATAAGCCGCAGCCTTTTGTCAGCTACGCTCATCTCTATGCTAAATTTCACTTATAACACGTCTGAAGAAGCGTCCTTGCTTAAAGACAATCTCCTCTGTCTATTCCTCTCTCATATAATTGAGATTCACTAGGCGAGGTTTGGAGCTAGTACAAAGGCTCAACAAAGTAAATTATTTAAAGAACTGTATAAGTATGATAAAACCCAAAGACTCAAAAGAAATGCATCCTCCACTGGCCAATCTCCCCCTCTATACCTCAAATACTGTTCTGGTAAGGCCACTGCCCTCCTGGCAAGCTGAGCTTCCGGCAATTCTTGGCGAGCAAATGAGCGACGCAGAACCGCGTGTATTTGAACCCATTGTCGGCTTTGTCGCAGACGGTGAATGAGACATCAGGAATGCTATCCACGTACGTGTCCCACTTGTCCAGCTTGTTGAGATCACATACTGGGACGTTGAAGTACGTCATGTACTGCTTGCGTTTGTCATCGTCCTGCTTAGCGGCATCGACGAACAGCTCTCCCAAGTTGTCAAGACCTCGGGGTATGAACCGTTGGGCACGGTCCTGAGTCCTCTCGGCGGCGTTGATGACGGTGGCATGGTCAAGGCCATACTGCTTCAGCGTCTTCTCGTCCGATCCGATGCTGGGCCACTCCATTGCAGCGTTCTGGTTCTCCTTGGTAATCTGTTTGGCCTGTTCGAACACGTTAGCAACATATTCACGATTTGACTTGAGTCCCAATCCGAGACTTACAATGAGGTAGTTCTGCCCATTAATGCAAGCAACGTAGTCGTCCATGAGATACTTGTCACCGCCAAAGCATGGGTTGAACCCCCAGTCCTTGGCTAGCGTGTGGTCCTTGGACCACTTGAAGATGGCGACTTCTCCTGTGTTCCACATCTCACTGATCATGGCGCCTTGAACCATAGACTTGACGTCGTCGATCGTCCAGATGTCCTTGTATTCGGGATCGGTCACGTCTTGGTCTGCCCAGACACCTGACTCGAGAATGCGAGCCAGCTCAGATCCGCGCTCCCTATTGTTGTTGGGAGGCGTATCAACAAAGTACCGGTTGAACTGGGCCCCCATGTTTTTCCGCGTCCACTCGAGCATTTTACCAAGCGAAGAGCTCAAGTCAGCAAACGAATCGAACATGGGGCCAGAGTCGACATCATCTGCGCCAAAAGACGCAGCGCCGGCGCCGATGGTAAAGACACCAGCAGCCACATTGGAAGCAACAGCGATACCAGGGGCCACAGCACCAATACTTGTGAACATGCCTGCTACGATGGTGAGCCAGGCGGCGGGATTGGCGAGCGATGTTTCGGGGGAAGTGACCAGGAACGTCTTGGCAATAGATCCGGCCGACAGTGCGGCCTCATCCACACTGGAAAGTATGGTCAGTAAGTCTATGGCCGAAACGAGTTGGACCAGATGTATATGCTTACCCGTCTTTGATTGCTTTGTACCACTTTTGTTGGAACTTTGCAAAATTGCCCATCGCCCAAAGGGAAAAGGCTCTTTCCTGGTTATCCTTACACTTGCTGGCAGTCTCAACGGCATTCTCAAAACTGCAAGTGTCGGTGATTCTCCTACAAGAAGGGTCGAAGTTAAAGGCTGTGTCGCGGTAGAAAACGTCGTACTCGGCGATAACACGCGGAACACCGTCTGCGTCCTGTGGCCAGCTGTTCTCGGCTGCACTATAGAGGTCGGTCCTCTGCTTGAGCCAAGTGCCAACGCCGTGCTGGCGCCAGAGATCGGGTGACCATCTGGCGCCATTGCCTCCCTCACAGAACCAATCGTCGTCGGGTTTCGGGTCGAGGTCTGGAGGAGTGTACGAGGGCAGGTCTGTGTCGGTCTCCTTGTCATCTCCTCCGGCGGGACATGTGTTAAATGAGATATTGGCCTGTGGTATGTGGTTAGAAATGTATTTTTCAGAGTCAAGATTGGATACTTGGTGACTTACCTTTGCACTTGTGGCCTGTGCGTAGACCATATCAGCACGACCCTGGTTGTTCAGACGAGGGTAGTGAGTGTCGGGTCCTTTGACTGATCCCTGGAACAGCTTCTCAGGTCGATCCCATTTGATGATGCTGCCAGAGTTTCCAGCCCGTTCTGCTTCAGTCACGACTTTGTTGAAGTACCAAACTTGTGTATCGCCGCTGAACTTATCCTTGTGCAACAGATCGGCATTACCATCGCCGTTAACATCAGCGAACTGGAAGTTTGCTCGGTCCAAGTCCTCATGGTACTTGATCTGTCCCGAAGCCTTAGCCACGCCATCTTTGCCTCGGAACCAAGCCCAGGCCTGACCGGACGGCGCCATGCAGATGTAGTCTGTTCGCCCGGAGCCTGTCAGGTCAGCAAAGTGGTGAGCATTGTCGAATGGTAATCGGCCAAACCCTTGGGTGCACCATTCTCTGCCAGGAGGGTTGGGGATAGCTTGTTCCTCCCAGTTGTGCTGCGCTCCATTCCAGCGACTGAACCAGACCTTGAGAGCACCCGTTTCCAGGTTGGTCACGCCAATAATATCGTCTTTACCATCGCCATCCCAGTCGGCCAAGTGAAGTGCTCGGCGTGGGAGACCAGTCTTGATCATCTTGGGCGCTGCCCAGGCATTGGTCTCGTAGAAGTCGTGCTTGCCGCGGGTATTCTTGTTGACAAACACGTTGACCTCACCGTGCATCGAGATCCAAACATAGTCGTCCACACCCTTACCAGTCGTATCGCCCCAAAATATGCCGTCGCCTGCAACAGTTAGTGTCGACGAAAGGCACGAAGAAACAGAAACTTGACTCACCCTTCTGCGAAGTACCCCCCTCGCCTTTGTTCTCCCAAACCTGGTACTCAATACGACAGATGACGCCTCCGTTGCAAAGCTTACCCTCGCGGCTCCAGTTGATGTACGAAGGCCGTCCGCTGAGGATACGACCCCATTTGATGAACTCCCGGTCCTCACCGATGTTGTAGCCACGGCCAGCATGGGTAATTCCGGCCTCGCGCCAGTAGGGCTTCATACCTTTGCCGTCACCTCTCTGGTTGATGAATCTGTCAAAGGTGAGCATCTGCACGCCCGGTTCCCGTCTTCTTCCACTTACGTCTTGACTTGACCCTCCTTACTCATCCATGTCCAGTCGTACCGACCGCTTCAATATTGTCAGTGACCTTAGATTAACACACAAGGTACATACTTACTCTCCGTTGACGTCGACCAGCTGTACACCACGCATATCACCTGTGTTTTGCGACGCAAAAATGTGGGCTCCTTGGCCCATGTCCTGCCAATATGCAGCCTTGTCTCCTATACCTCCGTTTCTCCAACAGCTAAAACCTGTTAGATCGTCCGTCTTCTCTTGCAAATATTCGCAAGTAACTTACTGAATATTTCCGGCGTTTGAGATAAGGCAGTAATCGAGGCGCCCATCACCATCCATATCTCCGAGACGCACTCGGTCACGGCCAAGGCCCATCTCCTGCTGCTTGTAGAGACCAACATTCTGGAAGGTAGGAGGGCTGCCACCCTTGTTGATTGAGACGTAACTAGAGATGAGGATTAGCCTTCTAAGCAAGGGTCAACTAAGAGGACCGTCAACTTACAGCTCTCCGTTCTCCTGGATACAGATGAAATCATCCAAACCATCACCGTTAACATCGCCCCATCGAACATCTAGAAACTCCCGTCAGTATGTATAGAGAGAGCATTGATGAATCATGGTAGACTCACGAGCGTTGGAACAGCTCATCTTTGGATCAATCTGGAATGCATCGTTGAACTCTCCGACGCCGTTGTTAAGGTACATGACCAGTCTGCGATCCGACTTGTCCGAAGGCGCCAGAATCAACTCATCGCGTTCATCGCCCTTGGGGGAGTTCTGAGAGTTGACGAGCTGCGCAAACCACATATCCGACGTCTTGGTCATGTCCTTGTCTGGGCCACCGCCAACGGCATTGGTGAAACTTCCCTTGCGGTCGTCACGAAGCTGCGACGCGTGTCGGTAAGTGCCATCGTCGCGAATGGCCGGGTCGCTCGCATATAGAATCTGTCGGCCGCTCCTATTGTCTGAAGCGCCGCTTCCGAACTTCTTGAAACATGTCGAGGAGCCTTCGCCATCCGAAAACGCGCTGCTCTGCTTGGGCGCTTTGATCCAGCCTCGGTCATGGGCAACACCAATAGCCCTGGCTTCATGTTAGATTCTTCACCACGAGCAGGGCAAAGAGATTACTTACCAGTCCCAAACAGCTGCCATCTTCCTTTCACCCAAGATAGTCGGGTGTGTTTTATCATGAATGTCATTGAGAGTCAGAAATGGCTGCATCTCAGCCAGGATGACCTTGAACTGCGGATCAGGTTCCTCTTTGCCATCCTTGTTCAAAGGCACGAACTGGCGGTAGACAGTACGATACTGCTCGTTAATCTTGACCACGTAGTCTTCATTGCCGACCTTTGGGATTAGAGTAGACAGAACCACAACAGCTTGGGGAACCTCTGCAAATATGCCTTCGATGAGCTCCTTCATTTGAAGGCCGGTACGTCCAGCATTGACATCATCCTGCTTGCCGTTGGCATCGTTTGTTCCTGCATTAACCAGTACCACGTTAGGCAGCCATATCTTGGCGGCATCACGGCCGCGCTTAGCAATGGATGTCACAACTTCTCCAGAGATAGCCTCGTGGTCCTGTGATTCGAATTGGGTTAGCTTGTTCTCTTGATGAAATGTCTTTGCAACTCACGTTATCTGCCATGGTTCCACCATTCTTGGTGCCAACCATGTTGACCTTCCATCCCCGCTCACGTAGCTTATCACGGGTAAACTTCCGGAAGCCGTTCTTGGCCTTGTCTTGAGAATACTCTCCTGCCACGATGGATGCACCTAGGGGTAAGATTCGTAGGTAGAAATCTGCGGGGTCAGCTCGAGAATAGAGGGTTGAGTTGTGCTCGAGTGGGTCGGACGATTCCATGAATGGTTGTGGCCATGGTAGTGCAGTTGCGGGCAGAGCGAGTAAGAGCCCGATGATGGTCCTGGGAATGATCATGACCGAAAAAGTCTAAATGCAGACTCGATAAGTCTGCTTGCCTAGAAAGAGTGATAGGCGTGAATGAGTGAAGACTTGGACTGAGACAACACCAGCCAAGTGCATGGCTCTTATATAACATCTGCCAGCAACGCATGAAAGATCTTATCATAGGCCCGGGCCCAGGATTGGCTTGGCATAGCCAAGAACTCGGCTTAGCTGTAGCCAATTCAGATTCCTATGGCACTGCATTCTACTAACATGCCCTTGAATATGGATCTGGCATATAACGGTTAACGCTCTTCTGCCTACCACACGCTTGGCATAAGGAATAAGGCATTCTAGAACTATAGCGGTCTATTCTCAAGTAGGCAGGTCTTGTATACCTTATGATGTTGATAGGGCGGAAGATTCCGTGCCGGTGCCATTTTATCTTGGCAATAAAATCCTTCGAAGCCCTCAGCCGCTTCCTTCAAAACCTGTGGTATACTTCAGAAGTTGTGCTCTGTAATCAGCTCTGTTATCGGAGATTATGACCAGGGTAGCGGGCCGCAGCCGCTAATATCATGTGGGTGCCCCTTGGTATTAACAGGTGCAGTGTGCGGTACCACGCGAAAATTTCACAGGGAACCGGTTATTGCCCATTATAGATGGATAACAGGAACTGGCCATAGTTACATGCAGATCGGCAGCTGTATCGATCAAAGTTTGTTTTTAACCTTATTCAGTATTTACAGCGATCCATAGTTATGGAGTATTGGGTCCATATTTTCCCACCGTTAGAGGGGCTCCTCTATCCTTGTGCGGAATGGATAAACTACATAAAACGCCAATCACTAAAGTTAATAGCAAGCAAAACCCAAGGACCCATTTAGTAAAACAGTGTATAAGTCCCATTAGCAGATTCTGCACATTGACGAATGTCTTTAATCTAAGTTGTAAGCGCCGCAACTGTGATTCTGGTCACTGGATGGGAAAACTCTCTATGCCAAGAGAAGCGAGGCCAAAGATGGGAGGTCAACCCGGCGCGATGGATCAAATCACGGTTCAAAATTTCAAATGATCTGAGTGCAATGTGTGTATCTCGAGTTTCGGCAGCAACATGCCCGCCAAGACGGTTCTGGCGGCCGACCACCTCTGGGCATAACTGATTATAAGTAGAAGCGATCCTTTAAGGAATGCGATCCTTGTCCCTGGTCTACCCTAATCTATTTCTCCGACTGTAGTGTGAAATGATCCGTTGCACTAGGGCTCGCATCCCTAAGGATCCGAGGAAACGTATTGGATGCGATCGATCCGCCACATATACCAGCCTCAACGAGGCATGATACTGAAGAGAGAGGTGACATTGAGCATTTGATTGAATAAAGCCTCTGCGGGTATATCCATTACGCTCTCTCGGATCCTAAGTGATACGATCGAATCATCAACAAACTATTAGCCTAAGGGTTAAATGTGCCCTGCAAATGGGGTACCAGACTGCCGATCAAAATTAAAATATTTCAATGAAGTCAATACACAGTATGGACTGATATTTGGTGTTGATTGAATTATTCATTAAGAGATTTTCTTACTGAACCTCAGCTATTTAACTTCATAACTTACACAGCCTTCAAGAGTGGATTTTATACTGAATAATATAACCAGTATTGAGAAATTACTAAATACTTATATAATATTATATATTGTTATAAATATTATATTGCTTACTGTATATAATAATCAGACTAGAAGCTATCCTACTTATCGAACATACTAATACTTTAAATTAACAAGACAATTAATAATCTTTACTCATTTATAAAGAAGTAATTCTGTCTTTTAACATACTTGATATTATCTATATAGTAATAAGCTAGATTTATTAGTAAAAGCCCACTGAGACGAGCGTTTGGATCTTAGAACAACTAAGGACACCCTAACAGCCGGTAAGTACTTTCCAACAGTCTCGACTCCCTTCATGGAAAGGGTAATTGAGGTGTTAAATAAGACAGTAATATTCTCAATTGAACGAAGCAGTAGGAGACATAAACCTAAGGGGACAACAACTATCCAGTTAGAGTATATACCATTATAAATACTATAAAGAATATTAAATGTTACGTCTATAGTAATTCAATAAACTATATTATAATTTAACCTACTTTTAAGAATAATAGTAAGTTTATTTCAATTTAGACCACATTCTAGTGTACCCTTATCTAATTATGCGGTGAAAGAATAACATTAGGTATGCAGTCATTGTTACACAAGGCTCTAGTATCCCTTATCCGCTGACTGTAGCCTATTTACCGCTTTAGTGAAACACTCACCGATGAGGGGCAGAGACCAATGATCAAGACTACCTGCTCATTATCGTAAAGAAGGCTGCAGAAAGTGAACATACTCCGTCTCAGATCATCCATCATGTGTGCACCGAATGACAAACATGTCCCAATCAGCTCTGAGCGACGCCCACCCACGACGAAAATGCAGCTATATGAGAGTATCACTAATTCCAATTTTGAGGCCCTCTAATATCTCCACTTACTTTATCTCATCTTCCAGGCCTCGACCAATAGCATGGCTACAGTCAAGATTGAGGCTTGTCACAAATATACGATATTTGAGCCGCATGCCAATTATAAGGCGAAGGTAGGGCATCCCGGGTTTTGCTAATCAGAAATCATTCAGCCTTCCCTGGTTATACACTTGTCATATCATTTCCCCGTCTGTATGTCCACTGAATGTCTTCTTTGTCCCCAAACATTGAGACCCCAACTATTCGGATCGATGACCTAACAACCGACAATGAGGAACCTTCCTGGGAGGTTCACACACATGAAGACGATGCTCTTATGTTTGTGCAGGGCACCTGTCACGATACGAGACATCTTCTATCAGAAGGCTTTGTATCTGAAGGCCATGGCATCAAAGCTCTCCAAGGCACCTACGATGGCTTGAACCGTGGCCATCCAGTAGGCTATACATATGAAGGAGATGGGATTCTACCAATTGAGGGCCCATTCGAAGACCTTGGGGACCTCCTAAGGTCTTATGAGATCCAGGGCGTTGATGATACATTTCTGACCTACAAGCTGTTGCGACATATTCTGAATAAAGACCGGATTGAAGCAGAACTCCGGCGTTCAAGTCCTCAACTCAATCAGCAACAAATAAAAAATTGCATCAGTTTAATCCTGGGAACTTCAGAAGAAGCGAAAGTCAAGGGTTACTTACGAATATTCGCCATTCTCTTACTAATCGATCGCCCTGGCGACATCGAGAGTTTCATCAATAGTGGCTTTAATGATCGCAGGCTGCCCATTGTCATACGACCAAACCCTATAACACTCCTGCGTAAGCGGGCTTGTTTCCTGGATTGGGGGTCTGCGGCGCTCGATGCCTTTCTGACATTTCAATGGAGAGTTACCACCCCATTCTTTGACACAACTACCAACGGAAAAGTCCTAAGCCTGCCATTGCAAACAAGAAAGCCATGGCAAATATCTACAGTCACTAGAGGCATGGCGAAAGATGAGCCAGTACAGATGGCTGGGGCCTATGGCACAGTCACTCGTGTCGACATACATCCCACTTCTCACGCCTTCCAAGATCTACTTCTTGGAGTAAGTTCCAATATTTGTAACTTGGCATAGGAAAAGGAGGCTGACAGAGTTGGTACAGATTAATCTTGAGTGTGCAAAATTCGCAATTAAGACTCTCCACAATTCAGATCACAGGGCCAAAAAGGAATTCCAGGATGAATGGAACATGCTGCAACGCTTCAATGGGCATGTTCACCCTCATCTTGTGACCGCACTGGGGGCTTTTAATCAAGGTGAAAAATGGAGTTTTATATTTCCGAATGCGGCTCATGATCTAGAAGACTATCTCGCTATTGCTCAGCCGCCTCGCGGTCAGGACGGCGCCTGTTGGGTTTCTAAACAGATCTTAGGCCTTACAGGTGCGCTTCACACCATACACAACCCTGAGCATTTGGTCACAGATACAAAGCGATTTGGTCGGCATGGAGATATAAAACGCGACAATATCCTTTGTTTCCAGCGATCTGGAACAACTGCTGAGATGATCCTTGTGATTTCCGATTTTGGACTATCTGCTTTCAATCGCGATACCAGTCGGTCCAACATCCCTAACAAGAAGGTCCCCCCAGTCCCAGGATATCGACCGCCCGAATGCGATATTGAAGGCGGAATGATTTCTCGGGCCTTTGATATCTGGACGCTGGGGTGCCTGTTTCTTGAGTTTATTACTTGGTTTCTTGGGGGCACCGAGTATGTCAATCAGTTTTGTGAAGAAAGAGAAACCGTCTACATTAATGGGACGTTGAACGACATATTCTTCTCATTCAAGAGAAGTGGCCAGAATGGAAGCCTTGTTGCTCAAGTGAAGCCAGAGGTAACAGAGGTGAGGTTCCTTAACCGAACCCCGAAGAACATGATCATTCTAATACTTCTAGTGGATATATAAGCTTCGCCAAAACCCCAGCTGTTCCGGATTCGTACATAATATCCTGGACATTATAGAAAATCAAATGCTGGTCGTTCTATCCGTGGATCAACTGCGTGCTTCTTCTGGAATAATTCTCAACAGCTTAAACGAGATCGACAAAAGGTGTAGGCATGAAGCCGAGTTTACCAAAGGGAAGCCATGGAATTCCATCCAAGTTGACCAGTGCCGAGATGATGTGGCCGTTGAGGCTATCCCTAATGACTACACACGAGGCATCATCCAAAACCTTCAGGTACAACTGCCAATTCATACCGGGCGAACGCGTAAGTCACTGCGGGCGGAGGAACTGAAAAAGATTGATGTGAATTGAGGTTATACGAGCGAAACCTCCTCTCCTCTCCAAAACGAGATGAATGCGGGAAATTGTTGAAAGAAAACAGTTGTCTTAAATTTTGGCTGTACGCTGGTTTTGCTGGGATCAAATGGCTACGGGTGAAACATGTTAGGAGTGGTAGTTGTTTATTGATAGGACCCTCTGCTTTCTAGTAATGCTCAGCTCTATTTACGATTTGCTTCATTTCTTCCTTCTCGGCCTTTGAATGTTAGCAAATCCCAAGACTGTATCATTCAAGCACAAACCTCGGTCAACTTTCTTGGAATAGTGCATTGGAATCTGCCTCGTCTCCACTGTGTGAAAGTTAAAAATGGAATCTGTGTGGGTTGAAAATGGCAAATACTTACAATAACGCTCGCACCTCCACGCCCGAAAATGTTAGCCAAAAAGATTTCCAAGGCAGTCTGCTCCGTATATGTTGCACGAACAACCTCGACCGCCATATTGAGTGAATAGCCCCTAGGTAAGAATGATGTGTGGGTAGAACCGACGGGCAAAGGCGAGGATCACGAGGATCTATGTACTAAAGCCTTGTCTGATGGGCTGCTTGAAAATGGGCGCAGGCTTATGACACGTCGTTCTTGTCTTACCCGCCACGCACAAATTTTTCATTGGGCTATGGGTATGAGCGGGCGAGAATTTGCCGCTCTACCTTGCATGTAAATTACACAATGGTGTCTCAGCATAGCCATCGCTGGCCAGGCACTATTGGTACGACGGTGGCACCAGCCTGCCTGGGGTAGCATTGAACTCACACACCGCAATTTTCTAATGCAGGTATAGGAAGCCACATCCGCTGTTAAAGCTCTCCCTTCGACAACACTCAGGTGCATTTTCAGCTAACTTGAGCATATCCATACCAGTATGGATTGGGCTAATGACAATGCTATATGCTGCGAAAACAAAAACACAAACGTTTTCAAATATGAACAAAGATCAGCAAGTATAGTGCGAGTATTTCCAGATGGAAAGGTTAGTTCAAGATTGTCTTCCTGGGCTCAAATGGCTGACAACATGACAGAAACCCCAAGTTTGGACAATGGAGGATCGATCAGATTGGGAACACTGGTTCAAGACAGTCGGTATCTCGTGCATTTCAATAAACAATACTGATGTATATCTCAAGAATTACCCAGCGCTAGACGAAAATAATTCCGGGCTGATTTTAATGTATGCATTCTGTTTAACGCCCAGTTCCGGAGCTAACAAAAATACCTAGTCTATCCAGACGCCCTGGTGAACGAAGACTGGAGCCCATTGCTCGAGTCAAGTCTGAGGAGAGGCTTGGAGGTACTTCTGAAGTAACGGAGAAAGTTCAGCACACAACAATACCAGCAAAACAAGGCTCAGGTGGTCAACGGTCCTTACGAAATCTGCCATTTTCTGAACAAACATTCAGAGACATCACAAGACGTTTCTATATACACGAGTCAATCGCTCGGGTTGTTAACCGCGCAAATATTCCTGACTTTTCAGCCATGCATCTCGAGATGGGGCAGCAGGATGGACTAGGATTCCCTGCATATGGTATTATGTTCTTTTCTTCTCATATCAGTACTTAGCTAACATAAGTAAAGTCTGCAATAGCCGCACATCTAATGCTTGGGAGGGAGATCTTGCTATATCTACAACGTACTTTCCCCATTCTAACCTGACGTTCGCTATTATGTTTGGCTGCACACTGTCTGTGGAGATTGAAGTACTATCAAGGCTTTCAAAAATAACTTATGAGGCCTGCCATCCACTCTTGATGCCAAGCATTCTGGCTGAACTTGAACGAAAACGCCAATTGCCGATTATCGAGGAACAATTAGATAACATACAGGCGCAAGTCTTGCAGCTCGACGAAGATATTAAGTCAGAAGAAATACTTTCGGATAAGGAGAGGGTCGAGCTAAGGGAGGCAAGGCGTGCCGCTTGGCTTGATATGATGTATTATCGTGATCAGCTGAGAAGTTGGAGTACCTGCTTAGAATCGCTCTATAAACACGCAAATCAACTCAACCGGACGATGTTTTCCGAATTTCGAACAAACCCTCGCCATAACTACGATCAGACAGATGACGATGTCGAGTTTGACGATATCTCTGACTCGACCTCGGAACTTAGCTTGGGTCCACAGCTCAGAGAGTCTTTCTCGGAGTCACTTTCCTGGACCCATATCCAGTGTGAGCAAAGGGACAAGCCGCAAAAAGAACAGGCCACCTCAGCTATATTAGAGAGAACAAGTTATCAACGGCTCATGCCCCAGAGTGTTGTAAAAGCACAGATAAGACGGACTGGAACCAAGATTCAAGATCGATTACGTGAAATTATAAAGGATTACCGCGAAAAGATCCGAGAATGCAACACTGGTGTGGAGGGTATGATAATGGCAGCGCAATACGTAATTTTACACCCAAACTACACGGAAACAATGGCTAACTATTCCAAGGCCCAGGGAGAAACAAGTGTCGAGATAGCACTAGCGACCGGGCAAGATTCGCGCCACATGCGATCTATCGCACTTGTCACAATGCTATTCCTACCAGGGACATTCTTTGCTGTAAGTTAATTGGATCCCAATAGAGGCACATACTTATAATGCTTCCTAGAGTATCTTCTCCATGGGGTTCTTTGAATGGACAGGTAGTAACGGTTCAGTGGTGATATCTCAGTACTTCTGGATCTATGTAATCCTATCTGCAGGCTTTACGGCTCTTACTGTTGGATTCTGGTGGTACGTAGGGGTCTATCGCTACTCAAAACACCGACATGTGACCTCTGAAACTGGAAAGAGGCTCTCTTTCAAGATAAAGCGAATACGGTCAGTATTTGGGCATAAGATGGAATAGCACAGTGGTGTATGATGCTATGCGCTCTCTATAAGTCTGGTCATACTCCACTTTGAACCGTGTATTAGATATACATATGTACAAAGTAATTTACACAAGGATAATGACCTCTTATAAGTCTTACGAGTTGCTATAATAGTACAACCAGCTTATCCAGAGTACTTCCTGAGGTCAAACAGATATACAGGAGCGCTTCAGCAGGGGTGAAATGATAAGAGATAATCTTGTTATATAAGTTCGAATTCAATGTCCTCTGTGGATCTATTGTAGATTTCCTCACTGAGATATAGACTTGCTCAATTCCAGACAAGAAGTAATAGGATTTTCATCCAATCTTGGAGACTCTTTCTAGACTAGGATTCAACTTTCTAACAGCTGATAAAGGGACTTTCTGGGTTCTGCCTGTTTGCATTGGGCATACAAAGCGTTCTATATTTTACACACATTAGCATTCGGAGCAGAGTGCTGATGAACCAACAAAACCTACCACACTGAACTCCTCAGTGGTCTCAATCTGGTATATGTTGTGTCGCATCTGGAAGCTTGATAAGTGGCTGATATTTTAGGTGACCCGGATTTCTCTCTTACGTTGACTGAGAACTCAGCGCTGGGGCCCAGAAGGTTTCTCAATTCCTGGAGAAGTCGCCGTGGTGTTGCGTGGTGGGTGTGGAATTCTGTTTGAACCCGTTCTGATGACATTGCAGACAGTTCAGGTAGAAGCCCGGCTAGGAATATGAAAAGCAAAGTATTAGATAACGTGAAATGTCGAAAATGGGATCTTCTCCATGAGAGCCTGGACAGGACCCAAAGTGGGAAAACATCAGCTACAAATAACCACATTACATTACAGCTCGGGGTTCACACAGGCCTGTAGGAATTCTTGTTACACCATAAGGTTGATCAGAGCCTACCCATAATAACAACGCAGTGCAATAGGAATGCCCATACACATCTCGTGGCAAAGCCACCTCGACTTGAATTCAGCACAATACGCATTCACCACTAGATGAGTCATGTGAAAGCCAGTAGGGGGAATGTAAGCTGATCTGTTGTCGGCTGGTTGGAAAAACAGCGTGGAGGCTAATCGTAAAAACAGGCCAGGTGAAATCGGCAGAACGCCTCATTTCTACGTGTCTTGCTAGCACAGACCTGTGAAATTGAGGGACCGTAGCTGTCATCTGACTCGTTTTGAAGGGTGTGAAAGTCATGCAATTATAATGTCAGGATCCGTTTGGTAGAACAGGCTGCGGATCCGTGCATTATAAGTGGTGCAGCAGAGCCACCACAACACTCCGTGTGGCACCCGATAGGCTTTCCGCCGACGTAAGACAAGCTGAAAGCGTATGTAGCTCATGTGTAACCTCAAATTACACAACAAATGCCTCAGAAAGGGCCTCCACCCAGGTTGCCAATCAGCCAAGGCGCCCGATCACGCAGTGATCACAGCCCCCTTCGATTGCAATCGTGACTCCGTGGCAATATTTCGAAGGGACTTTGCAACACCTTGGGAGGCCTGTGGCGTAACTGGCACAGCCCTCTTCTTCTGTCTCAATCAGCCACCACAAAATGTACTGGATGCCTTAAAGTGCAGGTAGGCTTTTGTGAGTAGGTTGAAAATGGCTGAATATTGCATTTAGGTTAATTTAGCCTCACCTGCGTTATATCAATACTCTATTAAGAAGACAATGCGGCCACAGGATTGGAGGCAATACTGGTTCCCATTCATTTTTACCTGGTCGAAGCACGATTGGAAAGCATCCAGATTCCAAATCAGTGGCCAAAACAAAGAATGTGAGTAATGTCTCTGCCTTAGTGGAGGTTTTCGTATTCGTGTGACGTGCACTTCAGCTGACTCGGGTACGCAAGATGCATGGGCCATCATTGGATATGCGTCAACAGACCTCGGATGGCCACGTACCATCTAGAAGCCAGACATCGACTCGACGGAAGTCCGTTACTTTCCGGGATGACACAGCTGAAGTTTGTGATACCCACACGCTTGCCGGAGGTAATTGCTCGGATTCATCAACTATCTCTCGAGACATAGATTCGGAAGACGACCATTCGGATAAAATATTAGGCGATCTTATCAGGGATAACCTTTTCGAGCCTGTCGACGATCGTCTTGAAAAATTTCTGCCTCGGAACGAATTAGATGAGATTTTAACGGAAGAGAGGATTACCTTTACCTTGGGCAAGGAAGGAGGTTTCCCAGCTGAACAACTGCTAGCCACCACCACAGCAATTGTACATCCTGCAACGTCCCTTAGCTCGTCACAACCACACCTCAATTCCAGAAAGCAATTGCTAGCAATTCTAGCACTCTTGGAGAAGATTCCAGCCATTCAAGATTTTATCAACGAAGGCCTTCATGACTACCACCTTCCTTTCAGTGTCCTCCGCGAAACAGACCCAAACAAAGGTGGTCGGCGCAGATATGTGGTGAGAACGAGCGCTTTTGGAAATCAGCCTCTACCAGTGAAGCTTTTCGCCAAATGGAGGGACACAGAGATCGATCAATTCGAGAGTCAACAGTGGAAGGTTCATGTTCCGGTTTTCAGTACCATCCCAGGAGACAATGGCAAGCCGCCGCACTATGACCTTGCCCAAAAGGCCGTATATCCTTACCTGTCGCGAAGGGAAGTGGGCCGAGGGGGCTTCAGTGCCGTGGACAAAGTTGAAATCCACACCGGACATACTATCGCATCGACCAAAACGGTAAGTCGCAACAATAATGGGGATCTAGCAAATCAACCACCTATGTACTCCTGCTGAACACCCCCAGACCAACAGTCAAATATTTGCGGTAAAGCGACTGGAAGCTTCAAGCAAAAGCTTATTTGAGAAGGAGGTGTCTAATTTGAGTCGCTTCATCGACAGGGACCATCCCCACCTGATCAAACTTCTCTGGACATTTTCATGTGGCTCCATCCATCATCTGGTATTCCCTTGCGCCGATGGAAACCTACAGGACTTTTGGAAGATTCACAGTTTACCCCCTGCCCAGAAGCGCGATCATCAAACTGTTGTATGGCTCGTGAGGCAATGTCTAGGGATCGTTGAGGGACTCAAAATGATTCACCAGGACAACGACTACTGTCATCCCACAGACACCAAAAGGCACGGAGTTCATGGAGACCTCAAGCCTGAGAACATCCTGTGGTTCCGGGACTTTGGTGGACCTGAAGAAGGCTACAGCCTAGGCACGCTAAAGATATCTGATTTTGGCCTGACTGGCTTTCACGAGACTCTTTCCAAGTCTCGAATCAATGTGGAGGGTATGGGAGCGTCCCTTACATACAGAGCTCCGGAGTATGATGTGTACTATGCGGTCTCACAAAGCTATGACATCTGGTCACTTGCGTGCGTCCTCCTCGAGTTCGTCACATGGTATTTCAAAGGTTGGGAGGGGGTAGATCAGTTCTCAAAGGCCAGGGAGCTTGAAGACAAAAGCCTTTTCGTACGGGGCGACACATTCTTTAACTCTATTTACAGCGGCCAAAGTATGAGTGCTATGGCTAAAAAGTCGGTTGTTGAGGTTAGTTGTACCTGGCCGTCTTTCCTAATTGATACCAGCTATTTACTTACTTGATTTAGGAGTTTCAAAGTCTTTATGAACACGAGCACGCTTCGGATTTCACTATTGAATTCGTGCAATTTCTTGAAAAAGGACTACTTCGGATGAGACCCGAGCTCCGGAAAAAGTGTATTGATTTACACGACACCTTTTCAAGGTTTTTCAAAGATTGTGTCAGCGAGCCAGATTACTGCCTCTTGAAGAAGGCCAACACCCCACCTTCCAGGAAAAATACGGAACTATCACTCTTGGAGCCCACCGAGATACCTCGTGCTTTTAAAATGGGAGATTTGAAACCCCAATACCCACCGAGACGAGGGTCAGGATCTCAGGCCGCAATTACTCGTCCAGGATCCCCCCTCAAGCATCTAGTGCAAGAACCACATCCACTGGAAGCACAAACAACCAAGGACACCACAACAGCTGGCGAGTCCTTTCCAACAGTATCAATCCCGTCTGTGGAAACGGTCAGTGAGGCCCCAGAAGAGACGTCAAGGCCCTCCATTGAACCAAGCATCAGCAGGCACTCGGCTGAGGGAGTAATAACTTGTCAGCCACGACATGTACCTGAATCGGCACTGTCCACAGATGTATCTCAGGATGAAGCCAGACAATCGCAAAGCAGATGTCAAACCGCCGTGGATAAGTCAGTGGATGAGGATTTGGGTCACCAGGGAGTGTCTAACGGCGGCAATGAGATGCAGGATCCATCAGAACATGGCTCAGTTAAGGGTAATCCGAAAAGGGGTGATGGTTGGAGACATAATGTACTTACTATACTCTGTTGCCGTTCATGAAAGTTTAACAGAATTTCTTAATGTATGATTCAAATAGAAGTCTTGGGAATTAGAAGTTTAGCACATGATCAAGTAGTATATTACAGAGCTCGAAAGCAACCCCGCAAATTCATGCAGAGCCGTCTTCTATCATGCCATTGCAATCAGTGGCAATAAGATCGAAGACACCACCATAACCCAATTGTTAGAGCCACAAATTGAGCCAGCACTATATTTATCCAAAACAAAGACCTTGTTCCCGCGTCTACCCAATCAACAAGACACATTGGGAGGGCAATCTAAACATCATGTCAGTAGTGAATAAATCTCTGAACCTAAAATTTCTTACTGCAAGTAAAGTTGCCGTCCAGAATACAAGAGCAGCGTCCCTCAATGAATGCATGTCTCGAGGATCTTGGTCGGTTGGTAGTGTGTTTGTAATATCGGCTGAATTCGCAGACTGGTTTGAGTTAGAAGGCTTTCATGCTCGGAACAAGGGCTTGCAAAATTTCATACCGTGTTAGTTTTTTTCTGTTCATGGTTGTGATTGTAGTTAGTCTCTTGCTCACGGCATGTAGTGGTGTCAGTAGTGGAATCCATGTTGTTTGATGTGTTGTATCAACTGTCCATTTGTATCGGAGTCGGGTAGAGTGGGAGACGGTTCTTATAGAGCTAGATGTCTGGAGAGTGGAGACAATTGAGTAATGATACATAACGCGCAGTGTGATTCCAGTCGAACAAGTCTCTCTGAGTCACTATCAGCTTGTCTGTTTCTGACGAAGTGAAATAGTAGGAGTGAAAAGAAATGACTGAATGAGTGAAAACAATCACAAGTTCTACCGCACACACAGCCACTTTGACCGGGAGGACCTCTTTGCCTCAACAAGATGAAGCCTCTTCTGAGGCTCAGTGATAAATGGCCAGCGTACGGTCAACCATTTATCATGCGATTCACCCTTGATAGACGAGACTTAACAACAGGGAGTTCAATTGTCAATGACGCGCAGCCTATCTACTCACGCAATAGAAACTAGGGTTCTGTGCTTTGTGTTTGACCCTCACGTGCCTTTCCACATTTGCTTTTCGTGACGCTCCGTCTCTGGCTAGCATGTATGTGCATCCTGGAAAGTCACAAAACCATCGAAATGAACCATGTCTGTCCTGAAAATGCCGATCACAATCTTTACTTAGGGCAAATCTTGAATTGCATCCGGGCATTTGACATTTGAATGGCTTCGTATGTGTCTTGAGATGAGCTCTGTAGAGATGTTGGTGTTAATGCGTCGAAGAAGCAAACCTAGGGGATATACTTACGTGTGCTTCTTTTTCGTAGGGAGTATCGCTGGGCACCTTGGACATTTGAGAGCATTGGTAGGAGATGCATCATCCTGGCTGTTGTGATTTGTTTGAGAACTAAAGTCCTCGAAAGTATATTCTGGCCGTGAATCTTCTTCAACTTGCGCGCTCTGTCCAGCAGGCTCTGCAGTACTTGCACATCCCCAATCGTACGGAGGTAAAGGACCCGCATTTCCGGATGTGATCCAGCGGGGGTCAATGAAATTGGGAGGTCGATCCTCGTGATAGTGTTGATTAGATGACCTCTCTAGTTCCGGTGGCCCTGTTTGGTTCTGACTAGAAATGAACGACCCCTACCTGGGTGTGGGACTTGGTGATGGCTTGGCCTACTGCAACGGGGCTGACAAACAGAAAAAAGAATACAACGGCCTAAAAGAGTGATGAAGAAGTGAAAGGTTTGACGGAAGAGGTGGGTGAAACGAGTGATGCGGAAGCACCCTCTGGGCGGACCGTGAAGAAGAGAAAAAAGAAGGAAACATTGTCTGCTCGTTGATCAGATATAAGTACATGAGCCATAGCGAACAGGAGAAACGAATCGGAGACCATGGATTAATTCCCTATCCCCGATTGGCTCACTGGCTGGCTAGGCCTCAAAATCTGCAGGATGATGCAAGGTGCATATGGGCAATCTGGCCAATCAGGCTTACTTGTACTCAGCAGTTGTGTATGCGACTTTTACGCAGCAACAGTAGTAATGTATAGAGATAAAAGATGAGCTGTCCTCCTTTCCTTCCGGTCATATTTCCTTTGATTTGGATAACTTTCCCACTTTACATCCTCTCCGCCATGTCTTCCCTATTTTGCTGCAGCTCCATTGAGCCCTATCGCTCTCAGTACCTCTCTCACCAATCCAAGTTCAACAACTTCATGGCATGGGCATCTTTCCCCAAGGACTCTTCACCTGGAGAAGCCAACATGTCCAAAATTACTCCACCCTTTGCGGTGCAGCTTGTTCGACAAGTCAACTTTGGCCCCCTTGAATCGAAGAGATACTTCATCCCAACTGATGCTACTGAGGATAATTTCGTCGAAATCACTGAGAATGATTTAATCCAAGCTAATTTCCAGAAAGTCAACACGTATGTCACCTCTTACGCTGGCAGTAGCCACTTATGATACTGACACACTGAAAGATACAAGAACTACAGGTGTCGAGGCCACAACAAGTTCTTCGAGGTAAACATCTACCAGAATAACCCCGTAAATGAACATCACTGGCGTGCCAATATTGCTCGACCAGCAGGTTCCATTGATCTTTGAGTGTTATGGGATTTGTGTTCATGGGAGGATGTCTTGTACCTCAGTAGTTGCAAAATGCGACGCCAAATATCACATGTATCAATGCAGGTCAATCTTGTAGATCATTCCCAGCCCCACGTATCTTGTCTTTGCACCTCCTTTGTTATTTTATTTTATTTTATTTTATCAAAATGAGACTCTGTAACTGTTCAGGTTACAACATTAGTCGTCATAGTCTACTTTCCCAATCTAGCTTGTTATCAAATCCTCTATTTCTTTGTAACATCTAATAGCTCGTTAGTATTTCTCTTTCAAGTTGAAAACTACTTGTAACATCACTGGGGATTTGACTTACTGAACTGGAAGTGGATGATATCTCCGTCTTGGACAACCTAGAAGAGGACAGTCAGTAATTGCGTGAAGAGTGAAGTAATCCCACGCACATAGGATTTTCCTTCTTGGCGGTATTTCCCTGCTGCCTTAATCGGACCCATAGACTTGTTGCCCTCACAGAGATCAAAGAAGTCTTGGTAGGCGACTACCTCGGCCTTGATGAAACCTCTCTCGAAGTCACTGTGGATAGCGCCAGCAGCTTGAGGTGCGAGACATCCTCTGGGGATGGTCCAGCATCGAATTTCCTTCTCACCAGCTAAATGCACGTCAGCTCTGATGCTTTGTGACGTAAGATAGGGACTAACCGGTGAAGTAGTATTGCAGACCAAGCTTGTTAAATCCCTCAGTGATGATCTTGTCCAGCTTAGACTTGACCTTGATATCCTTGAAGAACTCGGCCAGCGCATCAGGATCATCCTTCATGCTGTGGACCTTCTCCTCGAACTCGACGGAGAAGGGGATGATATCACGGGGAGTACCTCCGTGCTCGGTGACCCACTTGGCAATGGCCGGGAGGTACTTGCTCTTCTGTCGAAGGTAGTCCTTCATTGTTAGGTTGACGAGGTAGATGATGGGCTTTGTGGTGATGAGCTGAATCTTTTCGTTGATGAGAGCGATCTCTGCGGGTGTCCAGCTTCCGTCTCTGACTGGCTTTTCTTTCTCCAGCATCTGTTACTGATTGTGAGTATACTCTATCCTAGGGGCCTGGGGCTTAGACTTACTTCTCTGATCTTGGCTGTTGTCTCGTAGAAGAGAGGTAGCATCTTGTACTTGCCGCCAGCTTTCTTGACAATCATCTCCTCAGCAACGATCTGCTTGTCTAGGATGTCTAAGGCAGAAGGTTAGCTTTGTCCAAGTTAACCAAGAAAGAATACACACCGAGATCTTTCTTGCAAAGCTCGCTTTGGATAGTGTCTGTAAGATGCACCGGTCAGTTTTACCTTTCGAAGAATGGGATTATCATAACTGACTTAAGTCACGGACGGGGTCAATCGAGTCATCGACGTGCAAGACTTGATCGTTATCAAAGGCTCTGTTGAAAAGTCCAATTAGTTCAGAGCCTGAGTTTTCAGGTCGTCAATACCATACCTGACAATGTGGAAAATGCCATCAACAGCCTGAATATGAGACAAAAAGGCATTTCCGAGTCCCTCTCCTTGGGAAGCACCCTTGATCAAACCAGCAATATCGGTGACCTGGAGGTATGCGGGGTACATGGACGGAGGCTTCCAGAGATCACACAAAAAGTCCTGCAACTATATCAATATTGATTCTGCAGAGTCTTAGTATCTAAACTTACATATCGCGCATCGGGAACAGCGCATCTCGCCTCATTGGGCTCAATAGTGCAGAAAGGGTAGTTCTCCGCAGCAGCGCTCTGCTCAGTCAAGAGGTTGAACAAACTTGACTTTCCCACATTAGGCAACCCCACGCATCCCATCTTGAGGTTCTTGCGAACCCTTCCAAAGGCGACGACATTATCGATAACGGGCTCAGCCTTCTTGGGAGGCATTCTTTCGGTGATTTTTTGAGATGAACAGCAATTTTTGCGATGTAGGAAGATGGTCGTTTGATGTCAGAGAGAACGAGAGATCTTTTGGCAAATTCTTTCAAAAATGGCCTGATAGCCCACTTAAATGTCATGGGTGTATTGTGTTCTCGACCGTGGTTCGTAAGCCACAGGAATAAATTCTAGTTTGGAAGAAATAATGAAAAAATAGTTTCAGATATTGAGGAGTCAATGTATAATTATTTGAGCTCATAATAAATATTCGAGGGTTAGAGTTTTTTACAGGTCAAATACCCTCTAACGGGGTGTAGGAAAGCAAACTTAAACTAAGTTGAGCTTCATTTTGGAGCTTGATTATAAAAAAGTAAACAATGAATAACTGCAAGTCGTGAGTATAGAAAGATAATATCTACCCGGTATCTCTAGTTGTATTAAGAAAGAGAGACATACTATAAACCTTTACCTTACAGAGTAAAAGTGTGATTGTGCCGCCAAGTTTTGCGATAAGGAGAGATAAGCGATCCAGTTTTTAACAAGCTGGACAGTTCCTTACCAGCAAGGAAAGGGCTTCTCAGGACTTCTCTATATATCAATTTACATCCTCCACGACTATTATACTACTCATATATGTATTTATTTTCATATCCATAAAGACGAAATGTCCATGTTGTTCAACAAGAATTATCTTCTATGCTCACCAACTGAAATCTTCACCTGCGTCGAGCTTACACACAGTCTCTACTATACACCCAAAATAACACTCCAACCAATCGCATACTATACTAGCAATTGTAATCTTGCCATGATAATTTCAATTACATAACCAAGTTAATGACGGAAGTTGCCCGCAGGTAAACCTATCTCCGTGACAATTTCCAGACCAGTAATCAAGGAGACAATTCATGCATCATTGCATATGCGCCTGCCTGTGAAATTCGGCAGTTCTTTAAAGCTTCTGTTTAAGCTTATTGGCTTAAATACAAATTAGATCCGCTAGTTGGCAGAAGATCCTTCTGTAACAGGCAGGTGGCTAAGTGCCGAACATCGGCCGTCTCGTATATAGCACCGGACACGTTACCCTCATGGGAAGGTAACCAGGATTATTTCCGACCAGTGGTTTTTCACTAACATGTCTAAAGAGCAGAGACCGGCGAGGGCTATCCACCAATGATCTAATATGGCAGGTCGTGGAAACGGAGCAACTTGAACCTGGGGCTGTCACGATAGATAAGTAAGATCAGGGAGAAACCGACCCGCCCGAGAAACCGACCCCATGAATAAAATCTCATACATAATTGGCTTATATCAGGGCATTTATATGGATCACGCTTGGTGCTTAGATATGGGCAAACCGTCTATTCAAAATCGCAGGGAGGGTCGGTTTCCCTGACTCAACCAAGACATGTCCGTGCTCGGAATGCAATGAACCTTTGAGATGAGTATACGGAGAGGTTGCCGAAGTAGTAACGATCGTCAGAAACATATGGGACATTCTATACAAGGTGGATTCAGTCAAGAAGCCGAGTAATGTATAAATATTGATAGAACTTCATCGAATATGTCTTGTCATCCCAACTTCATCAGCTCTTCTACATCTGTCAACCGCAATCATGGTCTCTAAGCTCATCCTCGGACTTCTCCTCGGCAGTGCCGCCGCTCTTTCCTCTCGTGAGAGCCTCCCTCCTCGCTGTGCTGTCGCGGACCCTACCGCCGCGCAAGTCAGCCAGGCCCAGAACCTGAAGAAGATCGAGAGCATCTCCAAGATCAGTGCTGCATCCATCACCGTCGACACCTACTTCCACGTCGTCTCCTCCGCTGCCTCAAAGTACATCACCCAGAAGCAGCTCCAGGATCAGCTCAAGGCTCTTAACGATGCCTACGGCTCTCACGGCGTTACCTTCAACCTGATTGACACCACTTTCACAACCAACGCCAGCTGGGCTGCTGGTAACGGAGAGGTTGCCATGAAGCGACAGCTCCGCCAGGGAGATTACAGCACTCTCAACCTGTACTTCACAGACGTTGCTAAGCTCGACGGCTTTGAGGCTCTTGGATACTGCTACTTCCCCGAGCCCGACGTCTCAACAGGATCTCAGACCTTTATCAAGGACGGCTGCGTCATTGTCGCCGAGACTGTCCCTGGCGGTAGTGCCGCGCCTTATAACCTGGGTGGAACTGCCGTTCACGAGGTTGGTCACTGGTTCAACCTCTTCCACACCTTCCAGGATGGCTGCACTGGTGGAGATCTCGTCAGCGACACCCCTGCTCAAGCCGAGCAGACAAGTGGTTGCCCTACTCGAGCGGACACCTGCCCTAACCAGCCTGGCGACGACCCCATCCACAACTACATGGATTATTCTGATGAGTAAGTCGACACTGTCTTTCGCGCTTGGAACATCACTAACATATTCTCCAGTGTTTGCTACGAGGAGTTCACACCTGGGCAGCAGACCCGCATGCACACCGCCTGGACAACCTACCGAAAGTAGAGAGGTTGCGATCGAGATGATGTGATGAAATTGTGGAGTGTAGTTAGCGAGTGTGAGTTTATGACTTGTATGAAATTTTGTTGTATATATAGTTGTTGTATAAAGATGAAAAGATATATTCCTACGACCTTCTTATTTTGTGGTAAAGGTGACACTGATATGTATAATTATCTCTTCTGGTTCGACCTGATTCTGCCCTAGGGATTGAGTGTAATAAAATGGCAGTTAATCTATAGTATTCCTTCTAATACAGCTACTATAATATATTATCTACACTAAATAAGAGAACCTTACCTATCGGCTTTAAGAGCTATGTTAGTAATAATTGTATGTAGTAGAACATAAATGGCTTAATACTAGAATTATTAATACGCCTGACTATTAAAGAACTAGCTAAGAAGAGTGGAGATATAAGATTACTAAAAGAATAGTCAAAGGTATTGAATACTTCTCAACACAATGCTTAATATAACAACTTAGACATGGTTCAACAGATTTAAGAGCTAATAAACCTAAGAGGTAAGTTTGTTTTTAATATAAAGGTAAATTAAATCCACTAAATATAAACAAGTATAAGTAACTATATTCCTTACCCTAGGAAGTAGGGGGTTTTATACACTTAGTAAATAGAGTTGTTATGGTTGATATAGTAGGTAACGTTATTGAATTTAAGATACTATTGCTTTTCAGTCTATAAAGAGAACTCTATTTATTATTCCTATTTTAATTAGTTGATTTAAATAGCTACATCGTTTTTTTAAGGCGCCACTGAACTACTTATTAAATAAGTAAGCTATATTTATATAAGTTTGATTAATAAAAGCCTACTTATAGAGTATAAATACAAATTTATATAAATAAGTAAGTTGTATTAATATACTATATATATTAAAGATTAAATATGCCATGGAATTACAAAACTAGAGCGTCTTAATTGTAACTAAATACTGATAACTAGTTATATTAAAAAGATACTTCAAGACATTATATCATATATATTCAAGTATGTATTGAGGCAGAATAAGAAAGACATTGTATTTACTACACAAGTTTAACCTCTTGCTCAACCAGACCTTTAAAGCAGTTACTTAGCCACTTCTCTGACCTGCTGTCTATGTCTGGGGCAATCATCACAATTCGCTTATAAGCCCCTGCTATTCTGTCAGACGGTACTGTAATTATAGCTCTAGGGCAGCGTTCACTATTATCTTCCACAAGAGTAGGAAAATCATAATAACCAATAAGAACCAAGGTTAATTCCTGCCCTCTAGAGTCTTCATTACCACGGTCCCAGTGAAATGTGTATCTCAGTGCACTTTCTGAGCACACCTTGGCCACAAGCGTCCATAAGACAAGATATCCATCTTTGACCGCTCCCATTTCGTCTTTTCCCTTAGGGGTACAGAAGGTATTGACTACCTTAGCGTATCCCTCTGAGATTCCTTCAAAGTTACCAAGAAACTGAAACCGGGCAGATACTGGCTTCTGATTATCCATGGTATATCCTAGGCCAAAAGGAGACCAAGAAGGTGCGATATAATTCTTGGGGGGATATATCTTTGTCTTATCCCAGGCTTTCCACATCAATGAGTCTAAAATATTATCTTGCCACAAGCCGGCGAGATATATCCCAGCCCCACGCATTTTCCATAGATTTGCCAGACCTGACAGTGCTGGGAGTCTATCCGACTCATAGGAAATCGCCAAACCGCAGGATGCTTCTAGTAAGCCAAGCCATGACCTGTGAAGTGTAACGGAACTGTCGTAGTAATGTTTGCTGAAGTTGAAGAAGTGTGCGTTTCTTATCAAGTTTACTTCTTTTTGTTGTGGCTGTATTTCATCCATTTCCACACACTCGCATCTGAGACACTCGATACACTCCCATAATACTTCATGACAAGTAAAATGAACTATTCTCCGTGGGAGTATATTCTCCTGTAAGACCCAAGCCCGCTGGTTGAGTGGTGAGCAAGTTACTGTGTTGTGATGTCGCTGTTTGGCCCCACCAAGACCCGTGTCCTGAATATATATTCTCGAAACAGTTGAATCGGGGTTTTTTATTTGTCCTGTCTGTACAGGTATATCTCTAATTGATTGGTGATCATAAGCGATTCCTTCGCCGAAGTATTGAGGCACATCCTTCCTGTCGAGAAATCCTTCATATGAATCGGTTGCTTGAGTTGCAGCAATAATTAGGTAGGCGTCGCGATATATAAATGACATTTTGGAAGACTCGACCTCCCAATCTGTAGTATCATTCTGTACTATGCACAGGGAGTCGACCCAGAGATACCGAATTCCGATACTGCGAGTGACTGTCATAGCATCTTGGAAATTCTTTGGAAGGCATTGAAAGTCAATACCTTGCTGGTAATCTTTGATCGTAGAAGTCGTAGTCTTGAGTAGAATGCCATTGGGTCCCCAGCAATGGCTGAGGGCTGTATAGGACGCGACTTCGCCGGAAGAGATGTGAAGAAACAGCCGCTTAGATGTGTCGGTTCCAACATCTAAAACCCGCTTCGGTAATGTCGGATCAAAAGCGGTGCAGTTTCTGTGAGTTGAGTTGCAGTTGTTTATCCAGCCATTCAGCAAGGAATGACACTCCTCTCGCCGACTACTGAGCAGGAATTTTCCAGGTTTGATAAAATTCCAGATAGGCTCAGGTGTGCTACCTAGATAGAAAAGTCTGAAACGGAGAAGTGGCCGCCAGGTCCCCGACTCTGAGATGTAAGCACCGTTTATCACGCCAGCTGACTCAAGGTAGAAGTTGATAAGAAGATCTTCTGGGCAGTACTGATACACGCTTACGTAAATCAGCATGCATTTAGGACATCCAGATTGTCCACTCTGTTTAACTTCTTGTATTGTTATATATGCCTCGTTTTGGCATACTCCATTGCATTGAACTGGAGTCGGAGGCCATGAAATATTAAATGAATCCATACTACAGTGATTCTTAATGAAGGTGTTAAGTAGTAGGAGGAAGCCTCTGCTGAAAAAAACACAATGAGTTCGTGTGTGAAGCAACCTGATATACCTGTGGTTCCCCAAGAGGAGGCTGGCTCTTTAGCAATTGGATTGCATAATACTGTATATGCAGCTTGCCTTATTCGCATTAGGCAGTGACATATTTACTGTACGATGATTAGAGCTATGCCCCGCCTTGTTGTGTTATTTTTGTCACAAAGAAAAGATCACGAAGCAGTATGGGACCAGTAAGCTCGGTTACTTTTTCTGAATGTACAGGCAAGGTGCTGACCTTGGTCACAGCCACAAATACCAATCTGGCCATCCTTCACATAAGTGGGTTAATTCTACCCTATTAGATTGGCGTACACCTTACGCCGCGATGTTACTTAGCTCTAAGTCTGTGAATGGGTCTAAGTCTAACGACTGGGGGGGAGGGGGGGAGGGGGGGAATCTATTTTCACAACAATATAAGACTTGGACAATTGCGGTTTTTATCACATCTTCCTTAGCGTTGGAGAAGCACGTAGACCTGTTCTAGTCGCAATTTACACTGCGTAGTACTACCTTCTTCTTTTATCCAATGTAGCTAAAAGGCCTTAAAATTGAAACTGGGAGGCCTCAATATTGGAACTGGGAGGCCTCAATATTGGAACTGGGAGGTCTCAATATTGGAGTGACTGAATATAAGATACTTACCCGCGCCAATGAGGCAACTTCCTGTCATATGACATAGATTACTTTTTTAACGGTGGAATGGTTCCATTAATGGGCGTGATACCCTATGAGCCCAGCCAGAAAGGCCTACCAAGGAAAGATATTGCTGTTACCCCGCGATTGTTTTAGTTATAGCTTCAGTTAAATTACGAGATTAAGATTTTTCCTGACGAGAAAGTGTCTGAAAGGTGGTTTGCAAGCTCCTACAGTTAACACATTACAGGCCATACTATCTATTACGGGCTATATATATATAGAATTAAAAGGCTTATTCAAACTAAGTATTATTTAGTATTTTAGTAAAGTTTAAGTATAAGCAGTCTTTAAGCTTTTATATTATAGAAACAACTAGGCTAGGGGTAGCTCTAAAGTAAAGAACCTAAAAAGTAATAAACCTATCTATATAAATTATAAATGGGTTTCTATAAGTAAGAAGACTAAGTAAAATTAAATTGTTCTAAACTTCCTCAGTAGTTACTGAGGATATTATAAAATATTTCTTATTAACTATAAGTTTACATAGCTATTATTTATAGCCAGTTAATATAGCCTTATTATCTTGACTATTATTTACCTAGTATACCTATACAGGTTGTTAAAACAGTAATAGATACATAGAAACATAAATAAATAGATAAGAAAATTACAGCCTTCCTATAGTAGAACTTTACTAACCCCTTTCCCTTACATTACTATAATAACTATACCTAAATACTAAGACTCTACAAGTGTAGCCAGTAAGATAGAAAGGCTAAGTATTCCTAACCCTAGGCTATACTATATCTCTACTGTCTCCAGTTAATAATATCATTAATGCAATTAAACACTTAGCGAACTCTAACGACCTATCCCGGCAATAGGGCAATTTGGGGGGAAAGGACACGTCTTGTTAAGTTCTTATTGTTATAAATACCGCATTGTATCAAATTGACATAAAATGGCGAAGAATAAATACAAGGCCAAACATATAGCATGCAGTAAAGGGGCTTTAACGGCCCGATAGGAAGGTCTGTCTATAGATTAACTTTATTTACATGCACCAGGTTGGGGTCGAAAGTTCTTAGGAGAGTTAATAAATTTCGCGAATAACTGAGATCTACTCGAAGGCGTAACAACTTTTAGTCTGGCTTGGAGAACCGGGGACAATATGTAAACAGTAGACACTCGCCACTATAAAGCATTAAGGAAAGCAAATTCGAACCAACAATGTATATTTCAGCTATTTCCCCTTCCCTACAGGCCTGCCTGTTGAGTTTCTCATACCTCCCAATCCTACACTTGACAACTTATTACATCATCCACAATTATTCCATCTTTTTTATTCATCCTCCCCTGGCCCTGGGCACAAACCAAGTAACAGCCGCGCCTCACAGGGTAACATCTGAGCTATCAGATGTCACAATGAGGTGGGATGTTTAGTTGCAAGCAGCAGCAGCGTTTGCGTTTCCGCCGTTGTTTTGGCCTCCCTGGTGGTGTCGAGCAGAGAGGTCCCGCTTGCCGTTGCATGCAGCGTTGTTGTTTGCGTTAGCGCCGGCGTTGGCATTGGCGTTAGCACCGTTGTTAGCATTAGCACCAGCGTTGTTGTTGTTGGCATTGGCACCGTTATTGGCATTGGCACCGTTGTTATTGGCGTTGTTACCAGCGTTGTTGTTGGCACCGGCGTTGTTGTTGGCACCGGCGTTGTTGTTGGCACCGGCGTTGTTGTTGGCATTGGCTCCATTGTTGTTGGCGTTGGCACCAGCGTTGTTACCAGCATTGTTACCAGCGTTCTGAGCATTGCCGGCGTTATTCTGGCCACCCTGGTGGTGTCGAGCCTTAAGATCGCGCTTGTTCTTGCCGTTCTTGCGACCACCATTCTTGTTCTGGCCTCCTTGGTGGTGGCGGACTTCGATGTCGCGCTTGTTGTTGGCATTACCATTGCAACCGTTGGCAGCAGCGGCAGCGTTGGCGTTACCACCGTTGTTCTGGCCTCCTTGGTGATGGCGAGCAACAAGCTCCTCGTCCCTCTTGGCGTTGCATCCGTTGTTGGCGGCGGCAGCATTAGCATTACCATTGGCGTTCTGGTTCTGGTTCTGGGCCTGGTTTTGGCCCTGGTTCTGAGCAGCCTGGTTCTGTCCCTGGTTCTGGGCGGCATTATTCTGGCCTCCCTGGTGGTGAGGCTATCTCTTGTTAGACGTGATATTGATAACATGTACAAAATCACTCACCTCTCGGGCTTCAATGCTTCCAAAGATGGGCAGAGCACTTGCTGGGAGGGCTCCAGCGGCCATCAAAGCCTGTGACTGTTAGCAGAGAAAAACACACTTGGGAATGAATACATACTCCGAGCTGTCCAACACTGGGGAGAGATGCCCGACCATCACGGGAGAGGGCCTGAGCGGCAAGGACAGTGACGATGACGTTGGAGAAGAACATCTTGGCTGAGAAGTGGTAGTAAAGTTAAAGAGATAAATAAGACTCTGACCAGCAGTAGGAAGATGAAAGAAGGTGTTGAAATAAAAGGACTAGCCTTGTGAATGAAAGATGTAATAAAGAAGACAAGGAGATATTGCGTCAAGCAAAGTAGTTGAGTCTGAAGAAGTGAAGCTGAGTTGGTTGAAGAGATATGATTTGGGAGGAACATCGAAAGCTTCTTATACAATATTGTCCTAACTCGTGATGCTCGCTCTTCATCCCACCTTCTTGACTTCTCAGAATTCTATTTCTCGCCGCCAGTGCTAGCGTCGGGCGTTGTCAAACTTCAAATGCCAGGGCAAGACCATAGCTGTCTGAGGTCAGTGCCGCTTTGCCGTTTGGTCCAGGTCTAGACAACATGGCAAAGGTAGCGCGCTTCTCCAAACTCCTGAGAATGCATACTAGCTGCCTCCCTCGATCCCTTGGTGTAAATGCTCCAGAGTGGCCAATCACGGAGTTGAGGTGCTGGGTGAAACCTACGATGGCAGGGCCCTCTATACATAGCGACATATGACCACTGACAAAACTATTGCTAGGGGCTGTTTATTGGTGGAGTTAGAGCGGCCGCCCATGTCTCGACCGTTTCAAGTGGCTCGCGGATAACCCCGGTCGAGTTTACTACACCAAGTGCCTCACCTTGGGCGAGAATACCACCAACCCCGTGTTACAGCCCGTTTACCCCAACAATCCATCAACTAGTCTTTTTTTCTCGATCAATGCAACACTGTTCCGTCGCATTGGGAAGACTACTCAACCCTGAAACCAGGGAATGTTTTTAAGCGAGCGGTTATAAGCCATTTTCGTTCACAAACACAACCATCAACCGCCCTAGCGCATCTCATTCCAAGTTTCGTCTTGGCGTTTCCATTGCGAAAGTTCTGGTAAACCTGTTTCGGCTAGCGACTCATCTTCGTCTCGAGCATCAATGACATATCCACACCACGGGGAATGAGACAGATCAAGGCGGCAAACCCCAATTGAGGATTTGTTCACCGAGATCTATACATAGTCACACTTTTGAGTCTTGCAAAACACCTCAATACAGATATACTTCACTTTCCCATTCGCCCAACTATCCTTTCCCTTCCCTCTTTCCCTCCTATTCTTTTCTCAAGCCCCTTTTTTCTCATTCGTAGGTTTGCTGGCTCAAACCAACATTTTAATAATGGACTCCAAGTACAGAGCGGTTCCTGACGAGGAGCACCAGACTTTTGAAAAGAAGTCCCTCCTATCGCCAATCTCGGAATACACCAGAGTCCCGCCTGTTTTCACTCGTTACTCAACGCACCCATATGCCATCTGGATATGTCATGGGCTTCTGCTTTGCTTCTCCTTCACATTCTTTATCCTCTCCTTGCTGCTTCATATGAACACCAAACATACCGGAATATGTTCTCAGCCAGAATTCCCATACTGTCAGTATATACCCTCCCGGTACCTACTCTCCTCTAACCCAGTACAGCTCCTGCAGAGAGCGTCGCCAGCTTCCACTCGGTTCGATACAACATCACTCCAGCTATGGAGATGTCCGAATTCGTCGGGTACGGACCCGAGGTTGATAAAGCATGGGAGCACGTCACATACGACGTTGGTGACCAGATGATCACAAAAGACAAGCTCGATCATCTGGGTCTTGACCCCAAATCCCTCACCATCAAGGACCCAAAGACAGGCCAAGAAGGCTACCGTGTGGGAATCCAAGTCTTCCATCAACTCCACTGCCTCAATCTCCTTCGACAGGAAACATACAGGGACTACTACTCCACCACAGGGGGAGACATCGATACAGATCCTGAGGACCTGAGAGGCCATCTTGGTGAGTACAAACACCATCCAATTATTGAACCAACACTAACAGGGCATCCAGACCACTGCATTGAGATCTTGAGGAACAGCTTGATGTGCCAGAGCGACACTGGAGTCTTTGCTTTCAAGTACTACGACGGTTACGATGGTCATTGGCCTGACTTCAGCACCCAGCATACCTGCCGAAACTTCAGTGCGATCCGTGATTGGGCGTTCCAGAATGCCGTTGTATTTGGTGATGAGGACTAAGTGCTGGGAAATTTGAAGTATTATGTAGCATAGAATAAGCAAGCTTCGTCAAGTGTTGGCTTTAATAATAACAGCCCTGTCGATATTAGTTTTACTTAAATTACAGCTTGCTACACTTAATTATTTCGGTCATTGTTTCCCTTTTCACTTGAGTGCAATTTGAAATCCCGGTGCAGAAATACTCCCGACGTAGTGGTTTCTCAGTCACAGTGTTCTGTGTCTTGAGAATCCACTAATTCTAATAATAGAACCCATCCATTCCAAGTGCACAACTGTTTCAATGGGATAGCTTGAACGAAGGGATGACTACCCTATATCATATAATTATTATTTGTTAAAGAAGTAGCGAGAGTGATATCAAAATGAGAGTCAAAAGCTCTTTTGAGTACAACACATATTTATCAGTTTAAAATCACTACTAGATAATACAACAAGTTTGATCATGAGCTTTTAAATCTGTGCGATGAAAGTGGCGCTTTTTACGAACGCTTCTGTATAGTTGACTCACCCAGTCGTCCAACCCTACAACCTCGAAATTCCTCGAGAGCTCTTGGAAAAGCTCAATCATATGGTAGTTACACTTCTAAGTATTTATGTGATAATAAATTATAACTTGGTAAAGTTATCCTTCTCTCAGATGTGTATTGTGATTTATATCTGAAACCCAAAAGCAGTTTAGTATGAAGAAACAAATATTCGTACTCTCTTGGTCCAGATCTTCGCTAAAATACGGGGAGAGGATTAAAGTGGATCAACCAACCAAACTCTCTCTAGGGGCTACAGACTGTGTTTCACAAATTCAGCTGATGGCCAGGCCATCCAAAAACTCCAGTATCCCAGTTCATAACATCTTCACTATGAACAATTTTAAAGACAGGAGCTAAATGAATATCAGACCTGAACTATGCATTCGCCTATTTTAGCTCCCATGCATCGTTCAGATGCTTCGAAAGACTGTGATAATAACTGTATTAAGCTCCCCACTTGAGAAAAGCTCTCCTTTTGTAGGCTGAATGATGTCGGAGCCGAGCTGATTACCGTTGTGGCGCTTGCGTTTACACAGAGCGGAGACTTTCTTATCCATCGTTGCAACGTATGAATACCTTGGCAAATCGTCATTGACATTTGGTTGATGCCGTCGCAATGTCTCAGTGTGTACCAGAGCAACAACTCGTATACTTTGAGGCTGAGAACGAGGGACCTAGCATATCCGCAGCAAGACGTTTATGCATACAGTCCAAGAGAGGATTCACCTGCTATTGGAAATAACTTACCGCACTTAAATCATCTCTGGCACTCTTATCATGGCTTACGTCGCACTATTTGTATGGATCACAGCGCTCCTCAGCGTTGCACGGGCAGCAGAAGATTGCGGGGCGTTCTCAATTGACGGACCCAATGACGCGACTTTCCAGTTTTACCGATTTTATGACTTTCGCGATGTTCCCACTATGGAGAGAATGCCATCCGGAGACCCAGCGGCTAGCAACAGGGAAGAGGCCGGCTCTCTAGAAATAGGCAAGGTAACCACTGACTCCTCGTGGATGAACGATTGGAAAATCACCTCGAGGTATCCTAACGCAGCTAATAAGAAATCTTTGGCACGCCACTACGTCCCTGATCATGTCTTTATAGGTATGATCCTGATATGTGTTAGACATCGCCTGCTAATGCATATCCTTAGATGAACAAGCCGATGGAGCTCAGCTGGTTCTTTACACAGACCGTCTGAGAAACGACACCCAGCAGGCAGGGGAAATTTACTTCAGTGAAGCACTAGTCGACTCGGTGTCTTTGCGGGTGAAAGCTCGTATCACCGGCGCACCAGGTGCGGTGGCTGGCTTCTTCACCTACTTCAACGACACACAAGAGTCGGATATTGAGGTTCTGACTCGAGACGAAGATAACCGTGTGCACTACTCCAACCAACCCACCGAAAACACCACCACAATGACTACCATACCCGGCACAACATACAACGAGACACGCTCCGGCTCGTATCAGAACTGGACGGTCTACCGCCTAGACTGGTTGCGGGACCAAGGCTTGAGTGTATGGTACATTGACGGTAAGCTGGAAAAGACGTCGCGGGTGAATGTTCCCGTCACGCCGTCCACGGTCTACATCAACATGTGGAGTAGCGGTGCGAGCTTTTCCGGACGCATGGACTATGGGACCAATGCCACTTTGGAGATCCAGTGGATTCAGATGGCCTTCAATGCGTCTGGTGTTGCGGTAGAGAGTGTGCCGAAAGATGGGACTGTTTGTGCTGTTGAAGATGGGACTGCGGATCCGAGCTCGGCAGGGACTAGGTTTGCTACTGTGTTTAGTGTTCGAGCGTGTTTGTTATTGATTACTGTTGTTATAGTCATGCTTTAGTGGCTTTACTATGTTTGCATGGGAGATGATTGGTATTGTTATATTAATGCGTCGTACTACAGTAATCCTATGCAGATATTGAAAATACAATGCTGATTCAAAGAAACCTACTACCATAATACCCTAACACCACCAGTCCTTACAGCCCTCTTTTCTCAGTCATCAAGTTTTTAATTCAAACCATTCTTTTTTAGGATAGCCACAAGTAAAATTTCCTTTCGCAATGATTAAGAACCGCAAAACGGAGATCTCGTCCTGCTCTCCACTGCCAGACTCAACTCTTCAATTCCTGTCTCACAATCTCACTCAGGCCCGATCGCCAGCCCATCCGCTCATTCTACGAAAGACCTCTTCACCACTCATCTATCAGCAGTAATACAACAAGTCCTGTGTTAACCCTTCCTCCCACCATCTCTCCAGATCGAACAGCACGCAAGGTCGGGCTTTCCGATGGGCACTCTTCTGCATATGTAGAGATGCCTGAGCGAAGCATTTTCTCAAAATACTTGAAGATGGAGATGATGCTTGATTTTGGTTGGATCCCAGGTTTAAGACAAAACCTGCCCTGCTGGTTGACAAGAACGAGGAGATGGTAGACAGCAAGTCCGTTCTACCTATGGTTAAGAAACCGATGACAAATTCATCGCATGCACTGTATAATTGAGCATGCGATCGAATGGGTTGTCTTTTGTACACTACTGTATTCGTAGTAAACTCTTATTTGATAGTGATTATCAGTGAACAATTTACTTCAAGTTGAATGATTGGCTACGCTAACAAAGTGTCCGGATACCCGGATACCCGGTGCCCCGCTCCGTGCAACCCGCAAGGACTTCTTTCGAAGTCGGTCAATCAAGGTGTATTTCCCAACTGCGAGACTATTCCCGTTCCTGCGCCATGAATCAGCCCGACCAGATACCCGTGCCGAGCCGTATCAATACACGCTCTTCTCTAGCTTGTCTGCAATGCCGATCAAAGCATATCAAATGCGACGGGAAGAAACCGCACTGTAGCAAATGCATTGCGTTGGACAAGCAATGTCAGTATACTGCCTCAAGACGAGGAGGACTGGATCGTGCTACTTTGTCGGAGAGAAGGAAACGTCTTGCCAGGGGAAATGAAGCCAGGACAGATCATGCAACGCAACTCGCAACCAAAACAAACCAAGATGTTGGTGTCACAGATTCCCGTGCACAGTCTGTCATCACTTTGGACTATGTTGATTGGGGCTTCAACAGAGACTCAAGTGCTCAAACTCCTCCTTCCTTAACCGCGGATAGCTCACAGCCAACTCCTGAGAATCTGTCTGAAGACCCCCTTATCATTTCCTACTACACAAATTTCCATCACCTCCACCCTTTCGCTCCGCCCTTACCACACTTTATGAGGCTCTGCCAAAGCCCCCAAGAAGGACCATTCCACTTCACATCCCTGGCAGCTGTGATGCGCCTCATCGGAAACCTTTACACGACCCATGAATGGTCTTTCCCGCTCCAAGCTGAAGCTGAGACACGTATCTCTCAGCTCTATTCTTCAAATCCAGTCCAAGTTCAATGTAGACTCCTCTACTCTATTTCTCTATTCTGGAATAACTTCAGATCAGAAGCAGACAGGGAGATTGGGACTGCCAAGGACGTGGCTTTGAACTTGGGCATGCACAGACAAGAGTTTGCTGCAGCTAATGCATTGGGGGATGAGGTTCTGATGGAGTCTTGGAGGCGGACGTGGTGGATGCTGTATATTATTGATGCTTACTACGCCGGGACATTGGGGACTCTGAACCTCAAGGTGTTCCACATTGAAGCCTCCGTGGATCTCCCATGTGAGGAGTGGGAGTATGAATCTGGGGTAAGTCATCCATGCACAGAGAGTTTTTGTCAGCTGATCCGGTCTCAAGATCATTCCTACACCACGCACAATAGAAGACTTTAACTCCCGCGAGTTCTTCGACGAGGAGGTAACCTTCTCATCATTCGCTTACCTTATTGGCGCCGTAAAATGCGCTGCATTTGCAATTTCCACGTCTCCCAAGAACGCCACAAGACAAGACTCGGAGCATATCATTCAGGCCGCAGATTCGGCCATTGATGCCTGGCTCTTACTACTGCCCAAAGAACAGAAGCCTGTCATGAGGAGTGATGGCACGATTGATGAGTTGATGTTCCAGGCTTACATGCTTGTCCATGTGTAAGTACTTCGATGTGAGGGATGACGCAGGCTGATGATTATAGTGCAACAATAGGATTGCACAGGCCATTATCGGACCTCAGGTTCAACCCTGTAGAGAGCGTTTCCAGCTGTGCTCGAGAACCACCCCCAGATACACCCAAGCCCGATCTCATCAACGTCCATACAACAAGGATCCTAAACTCTGTCAATGCTCAGATCCAACTACTAGCATTGCCCGTGAGGCCCTTCCATCACACTCCTTTTACAACCTGCATGATGAGCGAAGGCACCCTCGCGCTTCTTTCAGCCTGCAGATATCTCCTGCAAGATAAAGCTCTGGCGATAGCAAGAGACCAGATCAGATTGAGCATTGGGTGCCTGAAGACACTCGGCGAAATATGGCCCAGAACGGCAAAGAATGTGAAGGAGATACAGACAATCGCTCGCCATGTGTTGGTGACAAAAGGAGGTACAGCAAGCGATGTGACGCCCGGCTCGAGCGGCCTTTTGAGTCTAGCGGGCAGTGATGGACAGACGAGTACTGAGACGTTGGATGTAATGGGGCAGACTGATGACCTTCTTGCTTCTTTAGGGCCATTGGAGGATATCTGTGGATGGTTTAATATGGGCTCAGAGCTCAATTCTGATGCATGGGTGGCTGGTGGCACCTGAGCTGTACTTGAGGCTCTGATTTGTCTTTTACAGTGCTCACTCAACAATATCACGGTCGTACAATATCGATAGAATACCTTGTGACTCATTGAAATTTATTAGTAATATCTTTGTTCCATCACGCAAAGCAAAAGATACAAACTAAGACTAAAACTCAATGACAACCTTCTCACCCCTCCCCCTCTGCCGAGCATATTCCCAAGCTTCTACCGCCTTCTCAAACGGAAATACCTTCACCTGCAGTGGTTTTATCAAGCCCGCATCAATCATCCTCGACCCCTCGCCCAGCCGTTCCGCATTTGGTGAGACAATAAAGTGCAAATGTTTAACTCCTGGATGCTTCAGCGCTTCCGGGGCAGTTTCCTTCCCGAAGGCCCATGCAGGTGCGGGATCTCCAACCGTAACTATGGTGCCATGGCTCTTGACCAGGTCCCATGTTTTGCTCAGAACGTCCCCTCCTACCGTATCAAACACAAATTCGACGCTCTGGATTGTTGTTTCCCAGTTAGACACTGTATAATCAACATTCTCATCAGCACCGAGAGATCTGAGCAGCTCGTGATTTCTACTCGAAGCCAATGCAATAACATATGCACCAGTGAGGTTCTTGACAAGTTGTACAATCTGCTGTCCAACTGCGCCTGAAGCACCAGTCACAAGGACCCTAGACCCAGGCGTCAGATTATCATGATCCACAATTCCCTCCCATGCAGTAAGCATAGGAATCGGCAGCGCTGCAGCTTCCGCGTGTGAGAGTTTGGCTGGTTTGGGTGCAACTTCATTAGCGGAACAAATGGCGAAGTCAGCCTGGCCTTCGCCTCGATCTGCGGATATGAGACAGAAGACCTCCTGTCCAAGTACAAGTGGGCCAGAATAGTCAGGGCCGAGGGCTGCGATTGTGCCGGATATGTCATGGCCTGGGATGCGTGAAGGTGTTTGGTACACCTCGGGCCAGACGAGCTCGTCCCCAGTAACGCCAGCTGCGTGGACTTGGACTAAGATCTCAGCATTGGATGGCATAGGCTTTTTCATGGAATAGCTGATGTTGACTGACGGATGCGTGACATCTCCAAGAATTTGAACGGCCTTCATTGTGGTGGTGGGTGGTGGTTGAAGCTTTTGAGAATATGCTGCGTGGAAGAAGAGTTTGGCGCTGGTATTTATCGGCCTAGAGGATTCTTCTTACTGTCCTTCGCGGCGTTGAATCAGTTACGGGGTATCCGTTTCCGATGATAGTTACACAGAATAGTACGTGTGTGCTTCACAGCATTATTTACGAGTACCCGGATACCCGGATACACGCGCCCAGCCCTGGACCAATTGGCTGACTGCACCAGTTGCATCGATACCGAAGGCGGGAACTCGTTAACATTCAAGAGAATACTATCTTATATAATGTCATTATTTCAATATAAATAAGCAGTAAACAACAGTCAATTTCTCAAACATCACGCACACACATCATTCTTCCACGCATACATAGCTTTTCATCCAAAAACTACCTCAAGACATAATGGCATCTATCTCTCAAGAGCAACGGTAAGCAAAATGCCTACATAAAAATCAGCACAGACTAATCATTCCAGCGACCGTCCTCGCGAGACAGTCAAGGTCCTCTATGACTACGAACTAGCCAACGCACCCGGCAAATCCATCGTCGGTCTACAAGTCCACTACGGTCCCAACGGCTGGACGCCTCCGCACACCCACGCAGGCGCAGACGTCGTCGCAACAGTGACGCAGGGTCGCCTCCTCAGCGGGATGAATGGCAACACACCCAAGGTATATCACGTGGGAGAGAGTTTCCGTGAGCTGCCGGGATGTCATCACACTGTTAGCGATAATGATAGCGCTACTGAGGATACCACATTTATCGCGGTCATGGTATTTGATACTGAGGTTGTGAAGAAGGGGTACCAGGCTCTTGTGGTGCTGGATAATGGCTATGAGTAATCAACAAGAAAACATAGTTTTATACACAATTGATCGGCAGCTTCCCTCGCCGGAACACACACCGTTGATTTGCTATAAAGGTTCCGGTTCATGACGCCTTCAAACTACCCTACAGTGCGCCACATTAATTCCCAGCCATTCAATGATCCATCTCCACACTCTGGTTGAACACCTCACGCCAATCTTAGCAGACGGAATATTTGTCATGGTCATCCCGTTTCCCGGAAGCTCGGATAATCGAGCAAAAGTCCCTTGCTAGTACAGACTAAGCTAGCTCATCTGGGCAGCCCTTGTCGTTTATCACCCAGCTAACCACCACTAACAGTTGCTAGGCTGTGGATGTGAGTCTTGGTAGCTCGAGCGTCCGATTATCTGGCATTGCAGCACAGATTGAATGCAGTTTCGTAAATTTTTAAAACAAAAAAACCTCTTTACTTGACATTTCCTTAGTCTCAATGTATCAAATTGAACTGCTTGCATCAATTATATACATGGCTCTCCCACAGACTGTTACCAGCCTTATCGCTAAAAGTTAGTCTCGGTCTAAAAAGTCATAAGCGATATGCTCATTTAACTTTCAGGCCTACCGCACACTAACAAGAGTGGAGGAATAATCCCGAGGCTGAACTAAGAGGCGGGGGATCTTGCTCCATTTATCGTTCGATCTCTCCTATCTTTTTCTCAATCACGATTGACCACTTGCATTGCATACTGCCTCATCTTATCTTGAACGACTTATCTCACTACTCAACCTTCAGTAGCCAAGTTGACTCGTGTTTATCCAACCAGCTGAACATCGATTTACTCCAACATGAGCGATTTACCGACTGCTATCCCGAGGGGATCGTGGATCCTTGTCACAGGGGCCAATGGTTACACCGGGAGCCACGTGGTTATAGAGGTTCTTAAGCAAGGCTTCAATGTCCGTGGTACCGTGCGAGATCTGAGCTACAGCCAATGGCTTCTTGAGCATCCCTCAGTAGAGCCATTCGTCAAGCAAAAACGCGTGGAGCTGGTGGTGGCCGACACAGCCAAGCCTGGGGATTTTGACGATGCAATGAAGGGAATCTCGGCTGTGATTCATCTCGCTAACATCGGTGAGATGTCACCGGATCCTAATGTGGCTTTTGCATCGGCTGAAGAGGTTGCATTGAATGTGTGTCGATCGGCTGCCAAGGAACCCTCGATCCAACGCTTTGTTCTAGCAGCGGGACTGTGGTCATCAGTCTGGCCGAAACCAGGAGACAATTCACGCATTACAAAAGATACATGGAACGAAGATCTTGTCAAACTGGCCAAGGCGCCACCGCCTTATGATTTGAGTCGGATGCTTGCTGTTTACCTGGCAGCCAGAGTCGACGCAGAAAAGGCAGTATGGAAGTTCGTGGAAGACGAGAAGCTGCCCTGGGTTGTGAATTCAGTTGCACCTTGTTGGCTCTTGGGTGCTCCGCTACATCCAAGACATCTTCTTCTTATGCCGACTCAGCTGTTGCAGCAATTATACCTTGGAAAAACAGAGGCCCTGGTTGAGAACACAACTGGTGAGTATACTGCTAATGGGTGATTGCAGGACTAATTGTAAATAGTGTACTACACTCACGTCTCCGATGCGGCCGTCATCTACCTCGCCGCAGCCGTTGACCCTGAAGTGAAAGGCTGCCGCGTTCCAGTCCTGGCTAAATCATTCAACTGGAACAACGCCCTGGCAATTATGCGTGAGGCGTATGCCGATGAAGACATTGCGGAGGATTTTATCCCTGGAGATCCTGTCCTCTCGTATACCATTGAGGACGATATCGCGCCGGGGCTTCTACAGAAATGGGCTGGAAGAGATTGGATCAGTCTGAAGGACGGCATCACTGAAGTGATTGACTATTCTCTCAAAATTGGTAACTTGGATTAATGATAATGACCTGGACGCAAGGACACGGAGTGTCTGTAGGATCGAGAGTCCCGGATTTGGGTTCTAAGGCGCGGTGTTAGCTGCATAACAGCGAAGAAGTCAAATTGGAATTCGGGTTCAGGCCTGGTAATCAATGGGCCAATATCCATCTCATGAATACCCAAAGTTCCACCTATCCACTTGTCTATACGACACTAATATCACTCCTGATTCCCTTCGAGGTCAGCTCTTTATGCCGAGGAGTTAACCGTATGCACTACTGTGGAATTATCAGACTGTTGTTTAATGCAGTAAAATAAGAGTGTTGTAGAATTCAACAGGCTACATATCAAGAAGATTCTTCGACTTGAGCCTTAGAGGCAGGCTCCTCTAGAGGCTTCTTTCCGTAAACGACATAGCTAAGTATCCCTTTATTAGCAACAAGATCAGAAGGTGTACCATGGAACTTACATAGGAATGTACGCATGAACGTTCCTATCGCGGAGCTGCTTCCTCATGGCAGAGCAAAGAACCCGAACCTCATCTGCACTCCAACCTAGGAATCTAGTGAAGAGAGCGAGTAACAAGCCCTCAAGACCATCGTTCATGTTTGCATACGACCATCTGCCCAGTTCCTTGTGGTGCTTGTCCTTGGGCCACTCATTGATAGGCCACTTGAACTTCTTCTCAACCACATCAGTGAACCCAGCCTTCTCGAAGAAGCTCTTGTACTTTGGTGGAAGGTCGATGACACGTCCTGCTTTGGCGCTGGCCTCGATGCTTAGTTGGCCGGAGCGGACGAGGGGACTGTCGGGGAGGAGAGTTCCATCGTCGCAGGCGATGGGGTACGTGAGATCTTGCATCTCCAGGTAGCCTCCAGGTTCGAGATTGCTGGATAGAATGAGTGGGCGGTTTAAATGAATTAGTTGTTATTACTCACGCGTAAGCATTGTTGACGAACTTTTCGGTATCCGCAAAGGACCCTGTCATTGTACGGGCGAAGATGAAGTCGAATGGTTCAGACCAAGTCCACTCTTTTTCGAGGTCATCAATTTCGAAGACGCAGTTCGGGGGGACCCTGGCAATTGTGTTTAGTATTTTGTTACACCATGAAATGAGAGCTTAACGTACATCGATGGTTGAATAGGGCTGAGGTCGACTCCAATAACCTGAAAAGTTAGTTATATCCATATGGACTCGGTAAGAGATAGGTGGCCGTACCTGTGCCTCGGGGTGAAGGTCGGCTGGGTTGCAAATGTCAGCAAGTATCCGAGTATCACAAACGATGTAGGCAAACCATATTCGATTGCCCAAAGACCAGTTCCAGTTCCAGCGTCCAAGACTCGTTTAGCGGATTCTTTAATCTTGGGGTTCAGGCCGAGTTCTCCGTGGAGTGTCAAAAGCCAGAGATTATGCTGGAGATCTGCACCATACCGTCAGTGACCTTCCCCAGAATTTAATTAGCTCGCATAATAACCAAGGCGTTCACTCTCGGATTCATCGTTAGGGAAGTTGTATTCTGCGCTCAGTGTCAGTAGGGACACGCAGCTATTAAGAGTTGGGCTGCCCACTTCCGGAACTCATCGCATGGTAGGTTCGGCCATTCTCTTCTTGGAATCGTAGGACGCTAGATCGAAGCGATTCGAGGCTCTCTGAGTCAGTCTGGGGCTGGTTAGATCACTGTTCATCGGTTGCAAAGCTGGCGATGATCTCCATTGTTGTGTGGAGTGGTGGAATATTGGACCTACGCCAGAAAAGGTCGAGTCACTGTCATCGAAAGTGTCTGCGGCCTACTTTTTGGATCAGTCGCGTTTATCTCATCTCTATTTGAGACGTCACCTACCAAGGGCTCGTGGGCGGGCTGTTCTGTTAAAGCAGCCATTTTCTCGTCTACTTAGCAAAGTCTATATGAGAAGGGTGTGACTTTTTCCTGTGATAAAAGAGAAGAGAACATTTATAGGAGGGGAGAGAGAATTATTTTATCCGGAGTCAGACGATCCTTGCCGCAAACCGAATCATGATAGGAAGGTTATACGCGGCATGCAATGCCTGCGTTGAGTAACGTGAGTCCGATGCATTCGCCAGGCACAGTGATGTGTGTGTAACCAACAGACCCACAAGCGACCTTTGGAGTTTAAACAATACTGGCCCAACCTATTATTGTGTACTTCTATTAGATAGGTAGGTAACGATGCTTGATCAGTACTTCAGTAACAGTCAGCCATGTTTTATATTGTCTTGTTTGGAATCTGCGTCCAGCAGTGGCAGGTAGTCTATCGAAGGAGTGAAACTCATGAGTTTGACATTTGTTGCAATGTAACGTTCCTCGGCCAATATCTCCATCTTCGGGTATTATCTCAAAGCACCCTTGTTGGTTGACGTGTTCGAGCGGGGAACCGCGGAAATAAATGTGGAAGGGTCTGGGGCAAGACCGGAAATATGCAGCCGTGAATAAAAGGGAATGTAACAAATAAGCTCTTTCACTTGTAGGATAACAGAAGGTTTAGCATTGCTGTGGCACGCAAAGATGCTCGGATATGAGCCAGTTGTGACGGCGAAGGATGGACGCTCATGGGGTTTTAATCCCTGTATGGAGTACCAAATAATAATAGCCATAACCAACAACAAAGACGCATATGAAGAGCAGTAAAGTGTACAAAATAATCAAGTGGTCATGTGATACAGTGTTATTCAGCAGGAGAAATACCTACGGATGCCTGCAAGCCCTACCGCCTAGCCCTTTTATTATATATATTAATAAGGGCTATTGGGCATTTCGATGCCAGCCCACTACCCTCTCATTCTCAGCCACATCAAATAAGAGAATTCCATCTGAACTCACTTAACAGACCATCTGTTGCCCTGGCCCATCTGTACCCAGGAAAAGCTTCTCTCCGCACGCCACAGCCAAAGATTCAATCCTCTCGACTTGGACTATCGTTGGATTATCGCAAAACGTCTGTGATAAGTTAAGAACCCTAAGGTTACTGAATCTTCGTCCAGACCCAGCTTCCTCAAGCAGTTCCATCATTCCACTGGGCAAAGGTTTAACCATCTTACTCTTGGTACCCTAAAAGCTGATGAAATCGGGGCATCTGGGTTTGAGATTTTGCACAGGCTTGGGTAATAGATCAGGCATGGAGTGGAACTCAGTCCTCCCTGCTAAACAGGCCTTGCCAAAAAGGCTGATTGATGGTGCAATGAGCCTCTTAGGTCGAGAGAGATAGTGGTAAGTGTCTCACGATAGAGGGGTCTCAAATTCCAGTCTTCTATGCAAGGGAGGGTCGATCCAGCTAATCGAGATGTGCTTGTCTAGCTATTCTAGAGACTCTGCGTTCTTCGTCAAAGCCTGTGACAATTTCTCAAAGTCTGCTAACTCAGCTCGCCCAAGAGCATGGGCTAAGTGAAGTCTAAACTTACTCAAAGCTCGGCATGCAGAGAGGATCTCTGTGGATGAAATCCCCAAACAGCCAGTATTTTCGACACTAAATTGTTGTCCGTGGAAGGCGAGGTGTCGCACCCCACCAAGGGGAAGACATTTCGCCAAACGAGCTTCCTCGCCCTGAAATCTATGTACCGTTTGCTTGATAAACTTAGAACCATAGAGTTCGTGCTTTATTCTCAGCAAAAGCGCGGGTCAGTAAACTCCACGTAAGTCAGCCTGACGGTCCATGCCATTCCGAGTAAGTGAGTGAAATCTTCCTCTTCAAAAAGGCTTCAATGGGATTAAATTACTTGCAAATTATGGTTCTTAGGGGCCAGAGATTATGGCTTCGTTTCTGCGCTTCTTCGACATGAAACAGTTATAAGCCGTTGTTGCAAACCATTTTATTGTGAGATTATGTTTTTTATGTTTGTAATTTGCTGCACGGCGACAAGGCCCCTGTTAACAGCACTGATGACGATAACAGTCAGCCCGGTCTGGGCTACGAATCACTGCCCCTCTGTAGTTGATTCCGCACCTAATTTTCAGACGCTATGTCCGCTATGATTTAATGCTTTGACCGTCGGCAACACCGCTATAGTTAGGGGGAAAAAGAAAAGAAAGGCAGCTGAAGGAAGCGAACTGGTTCAGCTCAATAATTCCCGCAACAGGCACGGCAGCATTCCCCAAACGGACGAGTTCTACAGCAATAGTTTCATTCTAGCACTGGGATATTGGGGGGAAAATACGAACATCTGAGATATGGGAAGATAAATACTTCTGTGCTCTCACCTCTTTGTGCAAACCCATCTCCCTCAGTCACATTCTTTGTCACCCGCCACAATGGTTTACACCGCCGCTACAAGACACCCCAGAGGCCTTCGTCTGCTCGCGCTGGACGGGGGCGGTGTTCGAGGTATCATGGGCCTGACCGTCCTCAAACATCTCATGGAACGCGTCCGTGATCGAAAGGGTCTCGCCGAAACACCACGGCCCTCCGACTACTTTGAACTTGCGGGCGGTACCAGCACTGGCGGAATCATGGGCATCATGCTGTTTCGTCTTCGCATGTCCGTCGATGATACCATCAAGGAGTACGATAGAATCGCCAAGACCATCTTCCGTCCCATGTTCTATGGTCGCGATATCAGCTGGATCCCTGGCGCATCATACCTCAATAATAGCAAAGCTCTTGTCCAAGACAGTCGCTTTGATGCTGGGTCTATGGTGAAGGCTATCGATGAGGTTGTTGAGAAGTTTGGTCTTGATGAGAATGATAGGAAGCTTAAAGGAAATGCACCTCTCCAGCATGAAAGAGGAGCTCGAATGTCAGTTGCTGTCACCAAATCTTTAGACTTATCTAACACCGCATAGGTTCTGCTGTACCACTGCCCAAAACAGGAGCGAGTCATTGTTGATGCGGTCCTACAGAGATAAGACCATCTACGTCAAGTCCAAGGCTAACGATGCCATGTCCAAGTATGGAGACAGGATGACCATCAGTATCGCTGCTCGCGCAACATCTGCCGCACCGACATTCTTCCCCGAAGTCCGGTTTCCTGAGGAGCAACAGAAGCCCGACCTTGTCTTTTGGGACGGCGGACTTCTCAACAACAACCCCATCGACCAACTCTGGTACACAAGATTCGAGCTCGTTGAACCCAATGACCCTGCGCCCGCGGTATCCTGCGTCATCAGTCTTGGTACAGGCTACGTCAGTCCCGCCAAAGCTCAAAAGTCGTGGATCAAGGTCGTTGGAGTCGCGTCAAAGGTAATGGACTTTGCGACCAACACAAACGCTAAGGGCAAGGACTTTTCGCGGCATATGTCTCATCTCAACTTGCGGGAGGAGCACAAGGACACCAAGTACATTCGTTTTAACCCATATCTGCAAGAGGAGATTGGCCTGGACGAGTATGGGAGAATGGAGGATCTTAAGACGATTGCAAAGAAGAGCATGGATGATCCCAGACCCGAGACGCAGGAGTGGATTAACAAAGCCGTCGATGCTATTTGTGCTTGAGAATATCATGAACTATATTTGTAGAGTCGAGCTATTCTAGTAAATGAGACTTAGAGTGAAGAAATACTAACCCACATAACCCGGCTATTTCTATAGCGCGAATTGTTTGGTAGGCAATGCTATGCGCCTGTATGAGACAATCACAGACCAGCCAGAGTATGAGTCAAGAGATTCTGTTCCTTGATTTCAACTGCGCGTTGCATCACTTCGTTTACATCCCAGTTCGTCCAAAGAAATCTGCCCTTGAGAGAATCTGCATCTTGCGAAGCAGCGAGCCAGACACAATACGACCCCGGAAGCCCTGTAGAATGTTAGTCCACTACCTGAGTATTGAGCGATGAGCAACTTACGAATGCTGTCCACTGTGGCAATGTCGCCGGATTTCTTCTGCATGTCGGTGGCAATAGCTCCAGGGTTGATGTTAAAGACTCGAAGCTCGGGATGCTCAAGCTGGACGAATTCTATAACCTTGGCGAATGCCAGCTTGGATGAGGAATAGGCTGAGTATCCAGGGATGCAAGGTAGGTGTCCAGCCCCAGATCCGATATTGATGATCGTGTCACCGGGCTGGCTGTGCTTGAGAAATTGCTGAACGACAATGAGACCACCTTTGACATTGATCTCGAATGTTTTCCAGTAATCGTCAAGATCAGAGTCCAACAGAGATTTATGGTCGTCTAGATATCCTGCATTCTGCACGAGGATGTCAATGTGGCCGAATGCTTCAATACACTGCTTGAAAGCAGCTGCAACAGCTTCTGTATCTGTGATGTCGGCCTTGGCATGATGGACAGATACCTTCTTGCCAGCGGAGACATTCTCAACTTCCCCTGCCGCGCTCAGCAACTCTGTTATGGTTCTTCCAATCAGGAATATGCCTTTGGCCCCAGCCCTGGCAAAAGACTTGGCGATTTCCCGACCGATGCCCCGACCACCGCCTGTAATGAAGACCACTTTTCCCTTGCAAGACAGTTCCGGATTGGTTTCTGAAATCGAGGGGTAGGTGTCATGGTGATAGGTCGGAACAAAGTCTGTCTTGAATGAAGCCATGGCTGATGATGTGTATATGAATGCTGAAGAGAGGTGTTGATAGGTGGTGTGATGCGGTGGTGTCTGAGATAAGATGTTGGGTAGAGAAGGGGTCATTTCATCCTTATACATACCTACAGATCTGAAAAAGAACCTGTGGAGTGTCCTTGATTTATAATGCAATGTTTAGCAAGAAGCTGAACTTGGCTTCCGCTCATCGCTGGAGGCTTTACTTCCGCACATCTTGCTTCCGCAAAGAATAATTCCTCCCTTCCCTCAACCTACTACCGAGAACAGAAACGTAGGTAAAACGTATCGAGCTAATAACGACCTTGTCACTTTAAATCAAGGTTAAACTGGAAGAAATGTAGCTGAAAATCTTGATTTCTTGATATTTTAGTTATTGACACTTATTAATCCAAGTTGTAAGTAAAGTATTTTATGCCAGGTTCATCAACTTAGCGGAAGTTGCGGAAGACCCACCTATCTGCAATTCAAGAGTGGATGAACCAATGACATAGTCTCAAAGTGCGGAACTGGCGATATTCTCACCTTAACTTCCCCTCATCATGCTAGTTAAGCACTGACTTTAGGGATTGACAACACGTCAAGCGTCTTTCTCTAATTATGCCACCGCCCCATCGCCAAGTATGTGCTGCATGCGTCAAATCAAAGAGACGGTGCGACATGGCCATTCCAAAATGCTATCGTTGTCGTGTCCGATCACTCGAATGCCATTATCCATCTTCTTCAAGACGAACCCTGCCGACGGGCTCGATACCTGCTCCGCAGGGAGTCGACGACACCCCGGCCAACGAATATGAAACAACTTTACAGATACAGGACCTTGCCTTCGATTTTAACCTTGTGGCAGATAACCTCTCCTTACCACCTTTCCCAGACTACGACCTCGATTGGCAGGAAGCAATGACAAATATCCAGGACTTTTCGGTTCCCGACATATTGAGCGCAGATGATACAGCTGGAAGGAGTGTGCTAGCTGGTCAGATATACCAGCATCGCGTCGTCTACGCCGTTGAGCGTTTCAAGTCATTTCCCGCGCAGTTAGTGGTCCAGGGCCAGAATCCATTTATGCACAATAGGTTGCTTGGAGAGCACCTTTCAAAACGATTATGCAGAATCCTGGGTATTTGCTCATTTTACCAGATGAAATCGGAAACAAATAAACACCTAGTTTATAGTAGTATCCAGCAATATGCTGATGAGTTAATTGGTATTCCGCAAATGGCTTCAACCGACACGGAATTATTAGCTATCACTCAGACATGGATTCTCCTACAGATCATCCGTTTATTTGATGGAGATATTCGGCAAAGAGCCAATGCCGAGATTGCACGCCCTTTCTTCCTTAATAGTATCCGGCGTTTACAGCAACGAATGAAAAGTGTCAAGGACCCAGGGCAAGATATGGCCTGTATTATAAAAGCACAGGGGTCTGATGCTTGGGAAGCTTGGAGTCTTGCCGAGAGCATCAGGCGTACTGTTATACTCGGACACAGCCTCGATGGGCTATATTCATTCCTGAAGAATGGTTGGGATGACGCGCGTGAGTTTGAAGTACTGTCGTTCTTCGGACAAGGGGCTCTATGGTGCGCAACTTCGCGATTTCAATGGGAGTCAGCTGTGGCTCAACGTCAGGCATTACCCATACAGCTTTCTAATTGGGATTCATGTCTAATGAATGCAAAGCCGGAGGATATGGAAGAACTTGGGATTATTATCATGGTGCTTGTGAAAGGAGTGGATTACTGTTGTCATTGGGTTGGGAATGACCTTCTTAAGAAGTTTGGACTCAAGACATAATTTGAAGGCTGTTGGCAAGACCTTGTAGAGCCATGTGGCCTGACATTATTAGTGAAGACGTGTCAAATACAATCACACACATTACCTCCATCACCACCAGCGTTTGGCATCAGGAATGTGCTAAATGAAGTGACTAATATGTGTGGAGAGAACGCAAACGGTGCAGCGGTATAAAGACCTAGGACTAGTCGAAGATATTTATGTGTTGTTGCCGTTTTTACACTATGTTTATTTATACTGCCTTAGCTTTATAAAAGTCTTCTAATACCCCTTCCACAAGCGACTGTGACTGGATCTCATGGACCATACTAATATACCGGCTAGAAAATTGCATTATCATCCTATTACCCTCGAGATAACCCTCGTCATGTATTTCCCACATCTGTTCTACCCCTGTCGGACTTGACGTAGAGCCAGACGTGCAGGTTGTGGGAGATGAATCTCTCTGACACGGCCTGACAATCCATTGCGATCTAATTACATTTCCATTTGGAGCAGACACCCGCAGGCGAATACCGCCAGGGACACACTTATAAACTACAGGCCATTGCATGTTCGTTACAAGGCCTGGGTTCAGTGCATATTGCTCCTCCACCTGGTAGGTGCGGACTGTGGCATCTGCAGGGCCAATGAAAGGGTCATCCGCAATAGATGCAGGCAGGGTGGGAATCTCCACGTAGCTGAGCACCGAGAAGTTGTGTTCAAGCGTTGTGGTGTATCTCTGCAGCCAAGTAACAATAAATTCGTGAGGTATGTGACTTGGTAGGGGTAGTGTGACGGAGAAGTGGTGTTGCATCCGCATTAGTGGACTAGTTTACTCAATACACCGCAGTAGGGATTACAAACTGGCTGTAATACTGATGTTTTTAATTTGTAATGCTTGGTAAACAGGATATGCGGTGATGAGTCAAAGTCTGGGTCTTTCTAATTTAGTTGTTGTTTAGGCGGGGAAGTCTTATCGAAGGTAGATAAGATAAGATATGGAGGAACCCTAATTTTAGATGGGAAGAAGACCGCTAAGCTTACTAGAAAGCTTCACGTTTATTTTTCTTATTTCTTTGAACAATTGAGTAAGAGGGGAATTAGAGTTCAAGAAGAGAGTTACACTATTTCTCAAGGAAGCTGACTACCAAGTATATAATATTGTACTCATTTAAGAGCTTTATAGAAGTAATGATGTTGCAATGAAATATAATGATAATTGAATAGACTATTAAACCACAATTCCTTCAATCTAAAAACTTCTATTTATACCACTAGATCAGAATTGAAACAGCAGTAACCTCAGGCTGCATGACAGGATACTCAATTGAACCCTCTGTCTGGATCGCAGAGTAATACTCAAACGCAAGGCCAGCATTCTTGAGACGGCTGTAAAAGACCTCGGCCGCTTTACTAATAGCCTGAGAATGCATCTCGCTATTCTCGCAGCTCGTTCTGTCCTTGTTGACAGTGTACAGCGAGTTGGCATAAGTGAGGAGGTTGTAGCGGTCCTCGACCTTGAAGCTCAGCAGCTCTGGCAGTTGGGCAGCTAGCAGCCAGTCCTTCCATTTGGCGTCCTTGGTACCAATGGGGAGCGCGTCGGTGAGATCTTTCTCGGTGTAGGTTTGCAGGGTCTTGAGGTCCTGGGGAAGACGAGTGCAGAGGGCGGGGGGCTTGGAGGGAACGAAGCTATAGTAGTAGTCCTGGAGATAGTTGACTGCGGTGTGCTGGGGCGATGCTGTGTGGATGCACATGGTGACAGCGTCGATGAGTTGGTCCACAGTGGTAATGGTTGGGAAGGAAGGAATCTGGCCACTGGTTTGGATCTCCTTGCACCAATCCGCAATGTATGGGTCGCTCGTTACATCATTGTCCGATTTGTACTTCGTCTCGAGAACAGACTTGGCAAAGTCCCGAATAATTCCCCAAAGAAGCTGCATGTTGGAAGCGTAGGGGTAGTTGCGGTATTTGTCACCCTTCTCTTCATCAAAATTGAACCCTCGCTTCTTCAAGTCGTTGGGGATGTACTTGTCTTGAAAGTTGAAGTTCTTGCAGGACCAGTTAACCAACCCGAAGGCGCCGCCCACACCGCCAGGTTGAGATGGAGGATTGAACCCAGAAACTCTCTTGATGACAAGAGGAACGAGTAGCATACGGGCAGCCTCGTTGAGAGCAAGAGTTCTAAACCAATGTGGGCTGAGGATCTCGTACAATAGATGACGCTCGGGGATAGTTCGGTTGGTGGCAACGATAATTGCTTCCTCGATCATGTGCGTATCGACAAGATGGGTGGCAACCTCATGTCTTGCCCAGTCGGCGGTTTGGGCAACGGTTTTGGCATATCTCCAAGGCCAATCTTCTTTCTCGTCAATGTCTCCCTTGTCGTCTGGAGTGAGTCTTTGGTTGAAAATGGTGACGGACTTATTAAGAGAGCCCTTGAAGTCGAGAGTGATGGCCAGTGGGTGGAGACGTCCATCTTGGTGGAGTTGGAAGATAACGATGGATGCGCCGGTGTAGCGGTAAGCAGTGTTTGTGCCGTCAGTGACTGTGTTCTTGAACTCATCATCTTCCTTGAGGCCGGTGGCTTCGCGGAAGTAGGAGTAATCCTGGATCAGAATGTCCTGTCCGTCTTGAAGAAGGCTCTTCATCTTGTCGAGGCCTTGCTTTTCGGCTTCGACAGCGTAGGCCTTGATCTTGTCCACAGGAGCGGCCTCTATCGTGCACGGGTTAACACCGCTGAGATGTTGCTGTGCAAACTTTGCATCCGAGTACCAGTCGGCATGTTCACCGATGTTCCTGCCTTTCATAATGTCACTAGCCTGGCTTTGGTACTCCTTAGCAGAGCCATTCTGCTGTCCATCGCCCTGCGACGCGGACCCTGGCATGTTATCCTTGTTCCACTTTTCAACGTCGGCGATGGTAGGTCCCACAAAGGGTCCGTCTGTGGAAGAGAGCTCCTTGGGAATGATGAAGGAGACCATGGATGCGATTTTGACCACAAAGTTTTGCTCCTTTTCGTTGAAGATCTGTCCGACTCCCTCTTGTTTAGTGCCATTTGTCTTGCTGGACTTTTGATCTGGAGGGAGGGTAAGCAAGTGAGGAGGGTAACCGTCTTTGCCATCGCTCCATTGGTAGAGACTCTGCTTGAGGGTGAGATCTCTCTTGATGGGGAAGATGGGTTCAAAGCCTTGAGTGTCGAAATGAGAGGCAGCACTGGGTCATCATAATTAGTAAGCTTGGACTGGAAAGAATTTTAGAAAAGATTTACGCTTCTTCGAGAATGCTGTACAGCTCAGTCAAGGCAAGACGGGTCCCCATATAAGTTCCCTTCTGTAGTCCTTTGCTGGCAACAAGCTGACCATCAAGAGCGCCGGTCTTGTCAGTGTTGAGAACAAGTCCCTGTTTGAGAAGTTCATTGAGGAATACTCCTTTATCCCAGACCTTCAAAGGTTCTTCATCCAGCTTGAAGTTGACCTTGGAATTGAGAATCTCGTCCAAGGTCAACTGTGAGGGACGAGGGGTATCACAGGCCGCAGACATGATGTAAAGGAGTTTAGCTGGTAAGATTATGTGATTGAATATGGTATGAGTTGAGAATGATGATACTGGGTTAGAGGTGGGATGTGGATTGCTTTATATGCAGATGGCAATATTCTCTTACCCCCAAACTGCCTCAAGCTGAAGGGCACAATGTCCTCTGGTGGAAACGTGTCTCCCAAAAAGTCATCAGCGGTTGCAACGACCGCCAACAGCTGCCAAAGATGAGACAAGTCCATCCGTTCCTCGATCTAGAACCTGGAGAGGAAGCCATCGGCATAGTCGAGAATGCATTGCTTCCACACGCGAGGATCAGCTCGCCACAGACTCAGCAGTTTTCCAGCTTCAGCCAGCCACCCAGAGACCAACATGAGCACGCCTTAACACCATAGGTCTGGAAAGACAGCTCTAGGTCAGTAATAAATGACAAGGGTGAGACTCAAGTGAGTTGGTTTCATAGCCCCGCAGAACACGCTCGGTTCTGGAGCATTCTAAGTATAGAGTAGTACAGGCTAGAAGGCTAAATAATGTCTCAGTTACCATGGCATGTATATAAGCCATTCAGATAAGTAGTTCAACCGGCGAAGGAATGCATCAGATGGCGCCAACGCGAAGCGAGTCTAGATACGACCAATAAATCCTCATAGTCCCTCTATTTCTCAGCTACTTCCTCCCGTACCAGATAGAGTTGTCGCAAAGTCGGGACCGATTTCAGCGAATACGGGCTTGGCTTTTGGTCATCACGTCAGAAATAGTTCCAGCGCCTCTGAAACTATTTACTACGCCGGTATAAAATGTCCAGCTCAGGCTCGACCGTAGCGTTCTAGACCAAAGTGTAACCATTCAGGGCTAGCCTTACGTCTGAAACACAGCTGAGTACCCCTGCTTTCACACTCTGTGGCTGGCTGGCATACCTAGAAAATCACTCTATCGACGGACTAGGCACATAATTATTAGTACATGCATGAACTATGCATAGGCGAAGCTGTGTAGTCGCTCTAGAATCCTAGGGCTATGCGCTGCAGGAATTTGTTCATAACCACCTACAGCCAACTATGTAGCCAGCCTATCGCAGACAGAATACTTGGCGATCTAATTAGATATGAGCAAATGCTGATTACCCACTTCACCGTTATGCATGTCTCACGTTGTGAGACACTATTGTTAGGCTTGCTTGCAGCTTGCATTATTACTTCTTGTTTGTAAAAGTGAGTTTCTCAGCGATCCAGTTATCTTGCTTTCACTTCACAGCCTCCCTCGCCCAATCGTTCCAAACCATAGGTCTAGCAGGATTGCTCCAGCCTGGCAGTATTGGCTCATTCTTGCAGCTTCTCTCCTTTCTCACGTAGTGAATTGACAGCCGTTCCACACCACCTTGCACGCAAAGTTCTATCTTCCACCATCACATATCGTCCCTTGCATACATGTGGCGAGCTGAAGTTCATGCGTGAGGAATCTGTGTGATATGCTACGTCTATCGCCACAAGCCATTGTCGCACGCAGATGATGTCTTATGCTATGGCTGAGCCAGGAAGCTAGTAACTAGGGGAAACTGGATGAACTCGTGAGCTCTGAAGGCGGCCGCTCCATGCCAAGATCTCCACTCTTGCGTTATCAGAGGCTGTTGGCAGAGATTCGAGACGACCATACTACCAAGCCCTATCTCGGATAGAAGTATTTATGAGTTGATAACTTCCTCGTCAGACAGAAGAACCCATACCAGTCACTCTAACCATATCTCATCATTCGTCAGTCTATTCCATCATGGCCGCTCAAGTCATCACCCCGAACCCGTGTGCAGGGGCTATCCCAAGCAGTACATCGGATCACAACTCCAAGCCTGTATCAAATGGCCCTTCTCCTAATGCAGCATCTTCGGGAGATCTGCTCTCAGAGAATCTGGTCAATCAAATGCAAACCATATTCGGCAATCATCCCGGCTATCGAACAAGTAGGTCATGTCCGAAACCTCACTCCAAATCCAAGGCTGATATTTCATCGTACAGCACACGCCAAAGGTCTTCTTGTAGAAGGTGTCTTTACGCCTACCAAAGAGGCCAAGACCCTCTCCACTGCTGCCCACTTCAACAACCCCTCCACCAAAGTGATTGCTCGGTTCTCGGTCGGCGGTGGGATTCCTCATGTTCCCGATACTGCATCAGCCGCCACACCAAAGGGCATTGCTATCCGTTTTCAGATCGACGATAATACGCACACTGATTTGATCGCGCATTCCTTTAATGGATTTGCCACTCGCAACGGAGAGGACTTCTTGGCGTTTCTCAAGCTCGTCAGTGCTGACGGACACGCCGAGGCAATGCTCAAAAAGGCCAAAGCTGGCGGTGGCGACTCGTCTAAAGAAGAGAAGCTTTACAAACAAGCCCACGATGCCTTCTTGTCTTTCCTTAGCAAGTCTGAGCATAAGTCTGCCGCAGTTTTCGTACAATCTGAGAAACCCAACCCTCATAACTACGGCACTATCACATACTACGAGCCCAACACTCACGTCTTGACCAACAAAGAGGGCAAGACTACAAATGTTCGCTATCGCCTAGACCCTGCCGACGGAGAGCATCTCTACTCTCAAAAGACACCCGAGGACAAGCAGAAGCTTGCTCAGCTTGGGATCAACTACCTGGAAGATGACCTCCAGCAGCGATTTCCAGACAAGCCAATCGTCCTCACCATCCAAGCGCACATTGCAGGTCCCGACGATGTGTTGGATGATGCAACCACGCCATACGCAAGCAAGAGTTTTGTTCCTGTCGGCAAGCTTGAGATCAACAAGGTTTCGGATGACAACGCTGCTAAGCAGCAGCAGATCGCATTCCATCCTAATCCTGAGAAGGGTGGTATCCAGGGCATCAAATCATCTGATGACCCTCTAATTCAGGCGCGAAAGGGTGTTTATTGGATCAGCTCGGAGCAGCGACGAAGTGAGAAGCAGGTTGAGTAAGGCTTCCTGATTGTACTTAGTCCCGATATAGACATTTGTGAAGGCGAAGAAAGACGGTAACCTTTAATACAAGATGAATTACAGAGTACTCAAAGTTGAATGAACAGAATCTATGGTCATGTAGAGTGGAAGCACTTTGTATACTACAAGACCAGCTCGGTTTCCACTAACACCTTAATTGAAAGATGTAGCTGATGGCCACTGTTAGGGTTCATGATAGAGTTACGAGCCTGTTGCTTCCTACATATACCTTGGAAAGCATCATTCTTCTTGTCTCAATCTATCATTTCCATCTTCAATCTCTCCTCCAGCCACTGAGCTTACACAATCTTTATAGCTCGCCACCAGGTATATCTAGGGGTATAATAATGTACAACACCTCCAAGTTTAATTCACGACTTATCCCGGCTATTATTAAATGAAGGCATAGGTGGGGTTGACTTAAATCCTTTTCTTTCATTCACGTACGCTCGGAGCATTGTGTATTTCAAAAGACACTGTAGTTACTTCCAATCTCACATACGGTATCTAACCTAAAGCACAAACTCTGTATAAGTAAACAAATTCCACTCCTACCATCCCAGAGCTGACTTGATAGACGCCGCAAGTAGGGCACCACCCTGAGCCTGGGTAGCAGCGTTGGGATGATAGTCGCAGCCCGAATCCGAACCTTGAGTAGGCCAGTCCACCAGATGAGTCTTGATACCGCTCAGTTGCTTTATCGCATCATTGAGTGCCTTGACATGCGTGGTGTGCTGCGCATCTGCCTGCGTGGGGTAGTAATCACTCAGCAGAGGCGAAGACACGAAGAAGAACTGCGCCTTGGAGTAGTGCGAGTTAATACTCTTTACAAGAGAGACCAAGGCTTTGGTAAGATCTGCTGCTTTGACTGGACTGCGCACATTGAGGTAGCTAAAGTCGTTTGTTCCAAGGTTGATCACCACAGCATCAGGTACCCACGACTGAGGGAATGTGAAGCTACCGTCAGCATCATTGGCACCGTAGCGAGTATACAGAAGAGGCAACACGGGTGACGTGTCAGGAGGGTCAGAGGCGTAGTTACGTGTAAGACCCTTGCCACTCCATGCAACGACGCTGTAATCTGCCTTCAAAGATCGAGCTGCCACAGCGCCGTATGTCTTGCCGTTATTTTGCAGCACAGCGGAGTCAGTGCAGGGGTTGACGCCGTCAAGGCCATATCCAACGGAGATGGAGTCCCCAATGATCTCGACCTTGCGCTTGGGAGCTACGTTCTCGACAAGGGTTCCATCTGTCGTGACACCAGTGACACGGAACACGCCAAACGAGGCCTCAGATCGCTTGCGTAGCTCGACGGTGTGAGTACCCGATGAGAGCTTTGGTGTGGCGATGGAGTTGCTGTTGACATTGCTGATAAGTATGGGATTTCCACCGTCGATAATTAGGTCTGCACTTGAGGTACCCGATATACCATCAATGTTGATACTTGCTGAAGTGCCCTTGAAGGTAAAGGCGACTCCAGTGCTCGGCCAGGTGAGCTGCTTAGTTGCAGGATTCACTCTTCCGACAAACCGGTAGCTCTGATGGAAATGTTAGTATATGCAAATGTAGTGAGGATGAAAGATGCTGATTCACTGGTAGTGTTGCCGCCGCGATGGCAGTGACCAAAAAGCTCAATGTGGCCACCTTCATATTGATTTCGAGACAGTGGTCTGATAAAGGAGTAGAGTGAATGAGCCAAAAGTCAAACCAAGAATTATTATGGGCATCCTCGCAGGCCTTCATATCATTGTATGCCTTTCTAGATCCCTGATCCCTCCTAGTCTCGGCATACACTATCCGAATTCCCCAATTCGGTAAAGGAGAACAGGCCCGAATACCGCAAATGATCCACCAGTTACATCACAGGTTTTTGATGAATCGGAAACAAGGGCAAATACTCCGTAACTATGTTAAATGAAGGAATGGACTGCTGATCTTCCCCGTTTAAATAAGTATCATCTCAAAGGCCTCTGTATCGCAGATCGGCGAGCCACTAACAGGAGGAGCCATTTCATCATTCCTCTCGTCCCACAGCTTAAAGGACTCTGTGAAGCCAATTCTGGTCAAATGGTAATTCTCGTCCAAAGTACAGACCAAACAAGCTCCTGGTCGAGGTTCTACGCCATTCTCCCTGATTTCCGATAGCATGACGACCCTGACACTAATAGGCTCACGAATCGGCTCCTGACTTGCTTGGCTCTCATCCAACCACACAAGATCTGAAGTTTCCCCGCCTTCGAGCATCAAGAAAGCGCACTTTTCTTTCAGAGGATCAACAGTGAAGCCACCACTAGTACCCGCTTGGGAATAATTTTTGAAGTCATGACCACAGTTTGGAAATACTGAACCGCGTGCAACTTTGGCTTTTAGCTGTAAATAGCCACTCTGATATCGACCAAACACACTGTCGTCCAAGGTTTGACCTCCCCAAGCCACAGGCTCAGCAGCAATCTTATCGTCGGCAGTACCAATAAAGTCGAAATAAACGTAGTTAATGGCTGAATCCTGACTCGCCCACGACCATGACGGCGCACGATAATCAGGTGACTTTCTTCCAGGGCTACCTCGTGACCAGCAGAAACTCCTGATCAGGTCATTATCAGTCTCACCCCAGTGGCCAACCATGTATCCCAGGGGTGCAATATCATTGAAGGCTTTGGCAACGCCACCAATGGCGACTAGTTTATCATCGCCGTAGGTCAAAGTCCTGTGGGAGTAATCTCCCCCAACCAAGAGCACGTACCAATAGTGAAGCATCTTCCTCAGCTCTCTTGCCTTTGTCTCTTCATCTTTGGCAAATTTGACTCTGTGCGCTGTTTTGGTGATATTGGAGTTCTGGCCCATCCAATGGAGTTTATCTTCGCTTTCTTGAATGCCGTGATAGCACTCCCAGTAAAGTTGGTCTGAGGCATAGTGTATGATTCTAGGTGACAAGATGCGCTCTTGCATTGTCCACCCTCTATCTCGTAGTGAGCAGTGACTTAGGAGATCGCCCATATCACGTATCTTGGTAACTGGGCTATCGACCTTTGTCTGTCGGAAGCCAAAGACGATAATTGAGCTCTTTTGACCTGTTGAAAGCGTGTTGGTGATCTGAACGCTGTGATCTCTATCCAACTTAGAGACTGACTTGTCGTTGTGTAAACCTGCTTTGGCGTCTTGGCTAGAATCGGCAGCAATAGTGACAATGGCGTTTTGGTAGACGTGAGCCATCTTGACAGCTTCTCTGGCCCAATCGTCTCTATCGTTCTGGACGATGCAGAGGCTGTCGATCCAAAGCCATCGGAAGCCAAGGTCCTTGGTAACACGGACCGTGTCCGATAGTGTTTTTGGGAGCTCATCGATGGAGAATTGCTCCCGTCGCGAGTCCAGGTTTTCGGTGGTTGTCTGCCAGACGGCTTCGAGAGCACCCCATCTGTAGCTCAGAGCTACGTAAGGTGTACAGTCGGTCGAGCCGTTGACCAACTTGAGCTTGATGCTGGATTCTTCGTCGAGGATCTCAACTAGTCTCGCGGCGCCTTCTTCCTTGGTGGTCTCGTCGGTCTGGTTGTGTGCCCTTTCCTGGTATAATAGCTTGATATTCTCAGATAGCTGCACACGCTGAAACTGGGTTTGTTCGACCGAGTCGCCGTGTTTGTCTGACGGAGAGAAGGTGTTTGAGCTGTGACCAAGTTCATCTGCACCAATCAGGCTCTTTTCAAGCTTGTCGTTAACAAAATGCGAGCACCCTTCAAAGCAGTCCTTGCTAGAAAGACACTCCTTCAGCCATAGTAAAGCACGAATAGTTGATATCACGCTGGAATTGCTTTCGGGCACGAGGTTTGCCACATCCACGCCGAACGCCTGTGCGGGATCTCCAGCCTGAGTTTTGATCAAAAGACAAGTGAGTGGCTTGCTACGACTTGGTGTTTGTGAGTCAACATCTGATACCACTACGCTTAGGAGATGTACATGGTGAACGTGCTGTCCGTAAAAGAGGCGAGCCTGCGCCTTGGCGAGAGAGTCTTGGTTCTTATCAGTGTTTTCCAGTGCGCTATTTTCTTGACGTATGCGTCTGGCAGCTCGGTTGCACAGCTCACATGTGTCTGCACACTTGTAGAGATCGATCAAGTTTTCATGTAGAGCAAAGCCGTGTTTACTCGCGATGGCCTCGATGTTGAGGGTTGCGCAGACGTTACAAAGAGACGGAGGCATGGCGAATGGATTGAGTGAATGAAATACTTTGGTATGTGATATGCTGGTGAAGGGAATTGTCCAGATATAAATTGTTGCTGATCTCTAACCCCACATTGGTTATGTATGGGTAAGCTGGTGCCTATTTTAAGTCATCGGAGAGGCTGAGGCGTGATGGGCTACGGGGATAATGACCTAATATCATCCGTAGTGACCCAGGCTAGCGCTTTGACCTGTAAAGTCACTGTGGTATTCTTACATTAAACAGTCCATTCTGCTTGTGTGCATGAATTAGTCCCATACTAATATGAATTAATATATTTTTATGTAAGTCATCCAAACAATCAGGCGATGAAGTTTTACCTGCTCATAGTTTCAGGAAGTAACTATCATACTCGCTTATTGGAGGGGTAGCTACTGAGGTGAATAAGAAGTTGGTGATGAGTACATCATCGGTGACGAGGGAATATCATAGTCGTTCTCAGACCCCTCCAAAAGCCAAAATCCAGTTTGTTGCCTCTCTTCCAGATGGAACGGAGGGCCAGGATAGCTGTTTTCAAAAGGCATACATATCATGTGTAGACTTCCATCCAGACTATCCCAGACCTGACTGAACGATTCTCGGTTGCCATCCATACCCGTGATATGTTTGAACAGTGCCTCTGGCAGTGCGAAGGCGCATTCACGAAGGCCTGGCCTGTTCTTGACAAATTCACGAAGCTTCTGAGCCACCAATACGTGCTTTGAAGGACGTGAGAAGTCTCGTGGCGGCTTGAGTTTCTCAAACGAGATGTACAGTCTTTGAAGGCTTGGAAACTGCTTGTAAGCTAGGATATCGAGACCAACACTGAATTGATCTATGTCCAGATGGAAGTCCAGAGGGAATGGATCTGCTTTTTTGTCTGCGTTGGTAACGGATACATTCTGCAGCGGCCACCTTATCTCGAGAGATGTTATTACTGCAAGTCGCTGAGGGAGAAGGAGTTGTGGGATGTGAGATATCATTGCTTCGCCAGACATAGCTATTGTGTTAGTAGAGTAGAAGGCGTCGATGGTTTCAGCATAACTATTTCGTTCGGTCAGCCACCCACTCTCATAACCAAAGTTTAATTACTCTTAGACGCACTTTTGACGACAGGAGAGAAGCCAGCCTGTCATTCCAATGAAGCCCTGCCTGGGATCACCGCTCTTGCAGCTATCACTCCAAGGACCATAGTGATTACCTCCGCAGGTCATTGGCATAGAAGGCTGATTCTCAAGGACAGGTCTATGGCAAACAGAACCAAACCATTGCCAAGACTTGCTATCTTTGACATCTAATGCCTCCGTATTCTCGTCACGTTCATCGCGGCTTTGGTAGGACAGACCCATATGCACACAGCGGTCGCCAAAGGCCAATCGTAGGATGTCTCTTCTGATACAAGGTGGGAGTTTAAACCACACTGATCCCTGAAAGAAGGCTGTGGGATTTGGCTGCTGTACAATCTGATCACGGAACCCAGTTGGTGTGAGCCCACGTGGACGTATATTATCAAGGAATGGCATCTCTTGTACATGGTGTCTCCAGCCTGGCATAGAGTCATCTGTGGGATCTGGATTTGGTTGGATCGGTAAAGTTGGCACTGGGCTGTATGTGCACCATCCTGACCTGGGCGACAGTGGAGCGCGTGGTACTGACGGCGGCGGGGAGGGGGACAACATGATTCCGATCGATGTCGGATAGAAAGATAATGTGAATGGTGGAGATTAGAAGAAGACAGAGTGCGTTGCTGCCTGGGTAACTGGGCCGTGCGATGAACACGTGATAAAGACGTAGAGCCAACAGCTATTTCCATAATAAAATTAGCAATGCTGGTGTAGTAGAGTACTGGATATTAAATATTGGAAATGAGTATAAGCTTGATCTGGGACGTCTTAGAAAGCTTGCAGCGTGAAATAGCAATGACCAGTTCGGCCTGTTCTGCACCTGGGAAAGGAATTAATAAGACCAGGAGTCGGCATTTAGGCCAATTAAAATTTAGCAAGAAGCTAATTAAAAAATTACAAAATAGAAGACAACTTCTAAACTTATATAAAGTAATTATTTTAATATTCCTCAAGGTTACTTAGCTGCACTGTTTAGTAACACTGTAATACTAACCTTGTATTGCTATTCCCTTGACCTACCCTATTTTTACACTCTGCGTTGAATTCTATATAATTGTTAATCATTGGGCAGGCAATCACATACGACCATACCTATCAGAGAACTCGGGATCCCGTCCGCTCTCCCATAGATAAGCTGGTAAGGGGCGGATTAGTAGTTGGGTCGGTGACGACCAGCGAATCCCCGCTGTTGTATGTTTTTTGCCCTTTTCCCTTTTCTTTTTGCCCAGGGGAAGGGTAGAGTAGTCAAGCAACAGTAACAGCTGCTAAGTTTACAGTCACGGATGGTGTGACAGAAGTGGTTGTCCTAGGTTAGATAGCTAATGACATGATAGATGATAGTCAGACTTGAAACGCGTACTAACCTTGGCGCTCAAATGTAAAAGCAATGTCATCCCGGAGCAATTCCCCATCAAACAGATACACAAATCCTGTCTCAGTCTAGGTTCCCGCATACCTTGTCCATCCATTGATTATTACCACTAAACCCTTCATATGGTAGAGAAGGCTTAGCATTCGCAACGTCCCGATACATAACTTCCCGCGCTGGTTTGCTCCCAAGACTAAACTTGTTCTGCTTTGCAATTCCTCTTCCACCCCTCTTGAACTTGGATGCAATTTGAAAGTGTGATTCGTCAATGGTCACGCTTCTGAGCTTGCAGTGGTCTTCCCACCTATACTTGCGAGCCTTGGTGGTATCTTCTCTGGATAGATAAGCTTTGAGCAAGTCTTCAAGCAAAGCCATGTTGGGCTCGTCTGAGCAATGATGAGACGCCCAGCTGGGTGTATTTGAGAATACGATTGACTCGAGGTTAGTGCCACGTTCGAGCGCTTGCCCGAGTGCCTCCTATTCTAACATTAGTATTTTCTTTAAAGCTTTGCATGGACCATCTTACAGTATTATCCTCTTCTGGAGCGATTTCAAGTAATTTCAGCTTGGGCAGGCTGTCAATAAGAGTCGCGACAGCTGTTGCCGACAGGTAAGGTAATTTTTCGCCGCTTCTGATTCCACAATAACATATCCCAAGACTGTCCAGGTTGTTATGTTTGAGTATGGCTTGCATCATAGCGTCTGGCAAGCCGGGATTACCAGGAATCTCGGCGCTGTATTTGCCATAGTCTTTTATGTGCAGACTTGTGAGAGTCTGGAATGACGACAGGAATCGAATCTGCGAGTCTATTATTACCTCTCTTTCACCAATATCGCTGACAGGATACGGGAATGACATGTCCATTGATAGTTTGCGTAAATGTAGCGCTGTACCCTGGCTTCCTGTTGCTGAGTACAAGTTGGCAAGATATTCAAATAATAGGTTACCTTGTTGAAGAACGTTGGTAATCGTTAACTCTCGCAGTCGGGTAAAGTCAATCATGGTGTTCAGCGATCTAATTGACCAGCTAGTGACCCAGGGCGCATGGAACCAGTACCCGCTTATTGTGAGTGACTTTAGAGCGGGAAAGTCATAACGCCGGCCTGTACCAACTCTCTCTGCCTTGAAAGCCGTCTCTAAACGCTCCCAGAAGTTGGGGCGGTCCGGGATAATATCGAGGCTCTCGAGGGTGGATCCTGAGTTTAGCAGAAGAGCCTGGAGGGTGCCGAACTCGTCGCTACCTCCCAGACGTAAATGTCTCAAATTCTTGATCACTTTGAGTGAATCGGATTCAGCCTGGCTGAATTCCTCTTCTTCATAGTTTGGGCAGATGGATAGGGCTTGTAACTTCTCCAACCTTGCAATGCCCTGAGCTATTTCACTATAAGCGTTATTAGCACATACATAACACTCTAGTAAAGTAGGTGTAGTTAAGGCTTACTAGTCAATAGTATCGAATTCTAGAACTTCGATATTTCTCATGTTTTGCAATGCCTCCTCGATATACCGATACAGGATCTGGGCATGCTTCCTGCCTGGGTTGAGTTGATTGACAGATAGCTGGCGAACATGCTCTGCACAAGCCGGCTTCTCCTTTGGACCAAGGTTGCTCGGGTACTCGTCTTGTTGCCCTCTGTACTTCCCTTCCTTCTTCAGCTGTTTTCTTTGCCTGATACTGAGGTGCGGTTCAATGTTGCGAATGAACTTTGCGATATGAGAGTGGTAAGTAACATCAACAGAGACGCGACTGTAAAGACGTGGAGACAGGAGCGCCTGAAAGTTCTTGCTTGTTCTGCTTAATCTACTCAAAGTGGCTTTGTTGGGAATCTGGATATGTTAGCACGTGAATGATGGCTGGTATGCAGATCCTACATTTTGTATGATGAGGTCAAATATCTCCGGTGGCAAAGACAGTAATTTATCCTCAACATCCGTAATATTAGCCTTAGTAGATGACTTTGATGTTTTCCCGGTCAAGGCTTTTGTCTTCAGCACCTTGCTAGCCTTTACGTTGCGTTCAGAGGTAATTGCTGTGGCTTTCCGCTTTGTTCTTGTTGCCGAGGGCTCGGGGGATGGCAGTTGCCCGATTGTGAGTGGCTTCCTCGGTATTGAGGCCTGAAGTCTGGCGCTTCGTCTAACGTTAGGTGACATTTTCTGAGGTAAGAATCACACAGCGATCTTTCTCAAACTTGTCATGAAAATGTCAAGTTTGGTGTGGGACGTCTCGAATGAGGGAGGGGACGGTGTTGTCTTAAGCGACACGGTCCAGCCAGGCAGCGCCTCTAGGCAGCGCCTCTAGGCAGCAGAGGCGCCTGAACTGGGTCGGTTCAGAATCTTGGCCAATCAGCAGTTAGTATCTTTGCAACAGACCCCTGTCAGGACTTTCACCAATGGCAATGATTTGTGGTAGAGCACTGATATTCAGTGTCGAAATTTATGTTAATATCCTGAGATACTATATGTCGCGATATCGCCATAATTTCTTTTATTCTTCTCTAGGTCACTATTTTCAAAGCGTTGATAATGTACTAACTCAAGCACCTATCTCAATCAAGAGTAGCGTGGAGGAACACATAAAATATTAGACACAGTAAGCTGACAGGATTCATCTACGGATAATTGCAAGGCTTCATGGTCTTACCAGCCAGAATTACGGATATAAATACTCCCATTAAATCTGTTGAATTTTAAGACAGAAAACTCGTAACTCTTGTTCTTGACAAACCATCTACCCACGCTTCATACCCCGCAACAAGTCAATAGCTACCAAGATGACTTCGACATCCCACCTCAATAATGAACAAGCACAAGTATTGGCGGTTGTCAATGACTTCCATGAATATTTCAGTTCTCCGCCACCTTTCACAGAGGGATCACGCTTCACCAACCCACAGGGTTTGATCACAGTTCCTTTCCCGCCTGAGATGGGTGGTCTCAAGACCGAGAACTTCAAAGACATGTATGAGCGAGTCAGTGGATTGCTTGCCAAAACCCAGGAGGCCGGACCAACGGGCTTCAAGCATCAACTAGCTAAGCCTGAGGCGGAGGTCTGGGTGTCTAGTAACATTGCTGCTGTACTTGTTGGCTGGTCCGCGTCTATGGATGGCCGCGGGGAGTTCGTCCATACAGTTCACCTTGTCACATTGCATCGGCTGCTAGAGGACGATTCCTCTGCTGGCAATCCGTGGCGAATTGTGGGATCTGTTGATATGAATCACTTGCCACCGGATATTCCAGCATCCCCTGTGGAAACAGGTCCCTTGTCCGAGGTCATTGCACCCTTCGAGGTCCTGCTTACTCACATCAAGGCCCAAGACTGGGAAGCCATTACCCCGCTACTCTTACCTGGAGCTGGTGCAACGGTCTGGCAAGATTCGCAAGCACCGGAAACATTTTTGTGGACAGAATACGTCAAGCATCTGCAAGCTCAAGCTAAAAGTGGCTCAGCTGTTGAGAAAAAGCTCCTGAACAGTGAGGCGCGACGCTGCGCTGATCTCGCTTTTGTATGGGCGCCATTTATGATTGAGGTCGACGGTGAAGAACGTAGCCAGGGAGTCAGTGTTTGTACATTTAGGCTGCAAGATGGAAAGTGGCTGATTAGTGGTCTGCAAGAGACAACTTTCCGAAGGTAGTCAAACTCAGTATTCATGCATATTTCCATGATAGCACACTTTGATGTACAGTGAACAACAGAGTAGAATTAACTAAACCACCGTAAACAATAGGTGTATATGTGCTACTACGAGCACTTCTTGTACATACGACCAAAGGTAGTGGAAAATACGGGATCCCGTCCGCTCTCCCATAGTCAAGCCACTAACCGGCGGATTAGTAGTTGGGTCGGTGACGACCAGCGAATCCCCACTGTTGTATGTAATTCTTTTGCCACAATCACGTATTCTTTTTTCAATTAGGATTCTTCTTTTTGCATATTCACAATGTCAGAAACTAATTGCATCTTTGCTTTCAAGTGATCTTTAGGAAATTTACCTTGAAGAAAATAGCCGTTCCTTAGATAATACTGTCCTCGTTCATTTTCGCGCAGTATTTGGTGTGTTGGGCCTCTGACGTATCGTATTGCTGGTACGGAATAGCGTCTTGAGGACTGTAGAGCTGCTGTCTTTTAGTGCACCACAACATGCGCATATGCCAAGCACAGGAGCATGACCAAGAATCTCCTTTCAAAGTATAGAGAGCACTTCATTCAGACCAAACCATCATAATGACGGTAGGGTCTTGTGCGGTATAGGATCATTGGCTTAAAACCCCTATCAAGTCAAATTTCTAAATGTTCTTGAGTATCATAGGTATACTGCTCATACCTCAAAGAAGCACGCTTGTTCATTTAACATGTGCTTGCTGTTCTGGATAGAATAATGCCCTGTTCAAGGATCCGAGCACACTGTTCACGATTATAGCAGTGTTCTGAACAGGCATGTCAAAGAATAACTGCCATACCTGGCAATGGTAAATGTGGGAAATCGTGATATTCCTTTTATAAAACAACCCCAAACCCCATTCCAGATTCAAGCATCATCAACAACACACATTTATTCATTACATACCCACAATTACAACCATTCAAGTAACAATTCCTCACAGACATCAACCAACCATGGAGTTTTTCAACGAGAAGGTAATCATGATCACGGAGAATATTAATCTTCTTCGACAGGACGTCGCCGAGATTCACAAAGAATTTCCAAACCTCAAAGACAACACAAACTCTGAAACCCAGGTTCAGGCAGGCGATACCCCGAAATCTCCCAGCAAGGCGACAATGGACGAGCTTTACTTCCGCATGGACGAGATTGACGAGGATATTCTGAGCTTTGCAGCTCTCGTTGACTTCACTCACCAACTTCCCCAGTTTGCGGCTCTTGTGATTGCCTCCCGTATGTTGAAGGTTGAGCTGGAACTCATCCTCTTTGCAATCTGGACTAACAACTTTGACCGCTTGCAACAGGACTTCCTGGCTTGGTTTAACGAGTAAGGTTGCAGACTGTCGATGTGGCCACAAAGAGTGTAGGATTTGATTTGGAGAACTGGGGTAAAAAGAGTATGCAGGTCATGCTTTTAGAGGATGTGGACTAGCAGTTTGGGGGCATTTGTATAAGTTCGAGCTAATTGAATTTGGATTATCAAAACATATGACCATCGTAAAAACATCTTTCCTCGGAGGTAGATCGACCATTTAGAAACATATCTATTCCTGTTTCGTACACTCTGTGACATTCCCCGCTTACTGATCTTGTAATCTTTTCTAACATCATAAAGCATCAGTCAATAGATGCAGCATGTCAGGGATTATTTCCCATTCCCACCCACTATTCTAGATCGAGTAATTCTTAGTTCCATCAATAACCCGCCTATCTCCGGCACTTGTCCGCCAGAAACTTATCACTACCCACACACGCAACAAAGGTACATGGACTTGATTAATAGCTCTGATTATAAGTTGATTACTCTGTGAGTATTGATCATAGTGAAACATAGACAAAGCGGAGTTAGCCTTTAACAAGCTTTTTACCAGTCTTAACTCCACCGAAACCAACATATAAAGCCATCCGAGATTATGTCTTCGCATTTGCGGTTTTGTTGTCATTAACACAAAGCAACAGAGCTTCATCTATAACCCTCAATCGATCATCCAAGATTTCTTTCAACATACCGAAATCCGAAATGCCCAAAGTACTTGTCATCGGTGCCACAGGCTACCTTGGCCGTCAAATCTGCGACACCCTTGTCCGCAGCGGCCAACACAGAGTCTATGGCATCGCCCGCAGCGAGACCAAATCAAAGACCCTGGCTGTGTCTGAAATTATTCCTGTCCTCTGCCCTGATCCTATCGACAAACCGGCTGCTTATATGGATGCTATACGCGATTTCAACATAGACATAGTTATTGATGTCTCTGGTGCTAATCAGGATTCCATTCACTTCCTCGAAGACATCAAAACTGTTGGCCAAGAGCGTTTAGACAAGGCAAAGTTAGCGGGTCTGACACACATGCCCAAGCTTGGATTCATTTACTGCTCGGGTACTTGGGTCCATGGATCAAGCCACAAACCAGTCAACGATTTGGACATCGTGGGGTCTAGTGCATCGATACAATCTATACCGCTTGTCGCATGGCGAGTGAAACACGAGAATGCAGTTTTGGCCGCTTCCCAAGTCCTGGATGTGGCTGTTCTACGCCCAGCTCTCATCTATGGCTGTGAAAGTACAATCTGGACCCCCTTCTTCCTCCCACTTCTCCAAGCGTGTCGCAACGGCTCTCCAGACACACTGCAGATCGCTCTAAGCGTTAATTCACGACCTGGATTGGTACACGTAAGCGACGTGGCCACCGGCTTCAAGCAGGCCGTGGAGAGATTGTCTCTCATAAATGACAGCTCGATCTATCCTGTCTTTGATCTAGTGACTAGCCAAGAGAGTGTGACTGAGATATTCTCGAAGTTATCTTCTTATTGGGGCTTCAAGGGACAATGCGAGCTGGTAGGCCCCGGCGACGATTTATTTGCTGAAGCGATGGGAGCTAGTCTGCGAGGCTCGTCTGATCGCGCGAAGCAATTACTGGCATGGGAGCCATCAAGGCTGACTGGATTTGTTACCGATATGGATGTTTATGCTGATGCCTTTGCTGCTCAACATTAATGCATGATTCTTAAGTGCTCAAGGCAAAATGGTATATCTCGACACAATTTCATGGCAGCTACGCGTATGGTATATATCACACTAAGAAGACATTCGGTGATACAGATTCCTAGTCATTGCTATGTCACATATCTTTGGAAACTTTACATTTCACCTTTGTACCAACTTGTCTCTACTTTTCGGATAAATGCAACGTCTCTTGTCCCGTCTGTTATGACTGTTAGTGATGAGGACTCGATTTATTCTATGTAAAGAAGAGACTACAGGCTATCCTTCGCGTCCGCGTCATTCAGCGCGTAATTCTATGACACCATCCGTGTTAGAAGGCTTACGGGTAGAATCTTGATCCGAGGAGTTGAATAGTATAGAGTCGACTGCCCCACTGGGGTCTAAGGCTGGGGCATGGAGGCACCTTTCGCTTGTTAGTGCTCCGATCATTGCTTCTTGAAATCTAAAATAGCCACCTGATCTCAAGAGTTTTGTTTTTGTTAGGCATGATAAGTACAGCCCCCGTAACATTTAACACTAGCGCTTTGCGGGGTGGTGCAACCGTGCTGTAGTCAGCTAAGCACAGGCTTTGCAGGCGTCGTACCTCTTTCACAGAGGTAGGTCATATGAACACTGAACAAGCGAACTCAGTCGAAGGTTGGTAATGAATCAGCATCCGTCTGAACTAGGGAACAATACATTTGTTTAGTATATAGCTGCCATGCTTTCTTCTATTGGAATTCTCAGGCAGTCTGACTAGCAATAAGTATCTTACCGTGTAAGCAGATTTACTACCTGCAGGCATAACACTTGACATAGCACACACGCACACCCGACTTACTAGCAATTCAACAATGGAGCACCATAGTACAACCAAGAATGACCGTCATGTCATTGGATCTCGCCCTGGACATGTTGATCCAGATCAGGAGATTAAATGTCATGCAAATCAGCCTGCTCCTGACGATAACGAAGACGTTGTTGGGTCCCCTGGCCAACCTCCTCCCGGCCATAGCACCAGTCAGGATGACTTTGTCGTAGGATCAGCAAGTCAGTCTCGTACTCAACCCATTGATCGATCTCACGTACATTTCGTCGAACCAGACACACCTTTGTCTACAGAGTGCCTGGTCCAGCTAATCTTTGACGCCTACAACTCACGCAATCACGCCAGCGTTAAAATCATCACTCCTCTCAAACCTGAGGAATCGCCCAAGGAATGGCCATTCTGTCTCAAGACTCTCTCTGAACGACCTTGGACTTTATGCGAGCTTGGACATAGAAAGATTGGCGATTTGGAAGTCGTCGTGGCTACAAAGGAAGAACATGCCCGTTTGCTGAGCCGGGATGTCTCTAGTGACAACTCACGCGAGAGATTGGTTTGTCTCTTCCGCATCTACGGTCAGAAGCCTGACTTTAACCAGATTGAGGAAGAATATGGCCTGAAGGTTCTGGCTTGGACAGTTCATGGTCCGTCACATGGTCCTTTCATGGATCGAGAAGGGATGACATTGCCGGTTTCCAGTTTCGCAAACGGACCTTGGCGGGACTAGAGACTTTACCATAGAAGAGCATAGCACATTATAGAAGCATAGCACATTATAGAAGCATAGCACATTATAGAACATTATAGATAAAAGGTTTTCATGAAGAGTAGCGCTACAAATACAGCGTGGAAATATCAGAAAGTAAATGCTACTACTAGACACGCCACGAATATGTTTTTGCCCAATTGCTGTGAGATATCTTGTCAAAAATGCAAAAAGATAGCTGATGGGCACTGAGAGACTTGCTCCCGCCAGGGCTTGAACCTGAGACCTTCGCATTACCGGATACCCGGATGGAGTATTAGTACGACGCTCTAACCAACTGAGCTACGGAAGCCAATCAGCTGTTGTTGTGGGAGGTCCACATATTCCAGAACACACAGTCTTAGCCGAAGATGGCTGTCAAATAGCCACGCCTGTTGAAAGACGGTCTCTGTCTCCATGGCCTGTCTCTTGCTTCAACTGTGGTATATATATCTACAGGGATTTCAACAACTATTCCACGATAGGAAATCTCTCTTACGCACCTCCTGCCTATGTACCATTATTTACTACTCCAAGTTCAATTTCATCTAATAACTACTTTCTCAACAACCTTCTTACCATTATCGACAAGATCCCATATCTCACCATCCATAACACCAAGCACCACCGCTTCACCCACCAGGCTGTAGCATTGCTCTACTTGACCCCTTAAGCCCTCAATGTCTCTGCCCAGAGCCCGCAGAACAAAAGGCACACTAGCACCTTGAACAACAAACACCACATCCCCAACCTCACTGCGATCAGGCGCAAGACCAATACTCCCATCATCCATCACAGCCATTCTCTTCCCATCACTATGTTTCAGAATCCAAAGCGCCTGCTTGTCATAGCTCGGGCCATATGAGAAACGTTCTGCAAGGGGCATCCTTTCCTTTTCGTCCTTACTTGGGATCCCGAAAGCTGCCCACTCATTTTCTGGCTGTTTAATATTCTCCCCATTGTACCGTCTGATGTATGTGATGACAGCTTTGACTGCCATTGGATACACAATGTCGCCCAGGGCCAGAGTTAGGGCGAACGGAGATAGCAAACTGTTATTATAGTCTGGTTTAGACTCGTCCCCGCTCTCAAGATACGATTCATCTGGCATAAGGCTTGCCCACTGGCCGATTGGGAAGTAATTCTTTCCAATATCGCAAACTTCACCTACTTTTGTTATTGTGCCAATCCGCACGGCCCGGATATGAAGCTGGGTTGACATCTCATCACTGGAAGATATGTATTCAGAAGCCGTCCAGGTATTGATAAGATGGGGATATACATTCTTCCAGCCCCAGATGAGGTTTGGAGGTCCTTCGGGAAACCCTGCAAAAGGCTTCTGTCTGGGCACTTTTGGTGCCTTGGCTACCCAGTAGGGGGAAGAGGTAGTCCAATCCGGGACCCAAGATGGAAGATCATTTGTCGACGGTTTTCCCACAACATACGTGAGAAGATCGAGACCAACAGCACGTAGTAGCTCCATGGCAAGACCTGTGTAGACCTGTTTCACGGAGTGGTTATAGTTAGGCTGGATAGCCAGACGCTGCTGCCGAAGGTGTAATTCTTGTGTTTCTTTCTCATCATACTCCCAATTTTGTTTTGCCAGCCGAGATATCATCTCATCATGCTCCCGATCAGTCAAGGGAAGGATTGCATACAGCCTATCTCTTGGATCAGTGGCGCCACAAAATCTCGTGTCTTTGAGGGTTTTCAATAGTCTGTCGCCGTACGAAAGTACACTAGAATTCGCGATCCAAAACGCCGAATAGCTAACAGAATATGGAAGTCTTTGGACCCAACGCTCGCTAACATTCCAGTGGTGAAATTCTTTGAAACTCTCCCAGTCCACTTGCCGGCTACCACAGATCACGGTGGCCTTTTGCGCAAAGGTGATCTCTTGCAGTACCCAGACTCGGTAGAACCATGGACATTCAAAAAGATGGTTTACCGCTGTGCGTTCATCTTGTGTGTCGCTTTGGGTTTCGTCCATTGTGTTGCGGTCGCCATAGTCAGAGGGTTCGTCAAGTTCACGGATGAACTTCATCGCGACGTCGCTGACAGCCGTGCCTTCTCCCAGGTATACAAGAACTTGTGAGGCATTCTTGTAGATGTGAGCCATGAGATTGAGCTGATGTGTCTTCTCTGCCGAGGAAGACTGATTGATGCATATAGAGTCAATCCACAATACTCGAGGCGAATCCACTCTTCGCAAGTTTTTCAATGCAGCTTGGCAGTTGTGTGTGACATCTATTCGTATTTCTGTATTCTCTTCATCGTCTAAAATCTGCACTGATCCGGGCTTGCTTGCATCACCCCAGACATAAGAGATGGCCTCGTAGGATTCCGTGTTGTGGAGAGTAGTGTTCGAAAGGCGTATCGAGAGTGGGTCATCGCTGTGTCCTGGCTCCAGTGAGATGAGACGGAAAGAATCATCCTCATTGAGAATGTTGCCCATATAGGGACCGGCCAAGCTAGTCTCCATACTCATTAAAGATTTCGGTTATCGTTTAAGAGGTTGGTATACCAATAATTCCCTCGTGCAGGTAAGGTGTAAGCAGAGCGGTGGATAAGGGCAGATGGCTACATTGCATATTCCCCGCAGTTCTAGAAGTATGTATGTTAGGTACTTCAGAGGTCTCGTTCAAAGAGACGTAAGTGGTAGCACCAACTGATTAAGATCTTGAAAAGACTTGTATGTGGTATTTACATGGGGAATTATTATTTATAACAAATTACACTCCACATCTGCAACCTAACACTCGATAGTAACTCTTACTCCATCACTACCACTCTCCGTTCTAGGGATAAACATGTCGTGATCGTATCGGACATCCCGTTCAGTTGTCTTATACAGACGCATATGAGGCATAACCCTGAGAGTCAACGCTGTGAGAGAAAGGTACAGTTCACAAAGCGCAAGGCTGGAAATAAGTTAGCAAACAGAACTCTTGAGTCTGGGATTTTCATCTGAAAGAAAGACTTACTTTTTACCAAGACAGCCACGGCTGCCCTTGGAGAATGCCATCATACACTTCTCCAAGTTCTTATCAAACTTGCCCTCACCATCTATCCATCGCTCAGGCATAAAGGTATATGAGTCTGGAAAGACAGATTCATCGTGATGCGAGATAGCCGACGACATACCAATGGCATAACCTCGAGGTAACACCAAAGTCACAGGCTTCTTGTTGAATTCTCCTTGGTAGACGAGGTCCTCTGTTGTAGGTACACGGGCTGAGCGGCTGGAAACACCATAGGACAGACGCAGACCCTCTTGAATCACGGCTCCGAGATAGGGAAGTTGTTCAAGCGTAGTCCAAGAAGGGAGGTGGCATGGATCTTCGACAACTTCAGACAGTTCAGCGCGTAGCTTGGCCAGAGTTTCGGGTTGTGAGAGGAGGAAGTAAGTAATCACAGCCAACGCCCAGCTCGTGGTCTCGGTTCCAGCGTTAACAGCAGCTACAGCTTCTCCGGCAAGACGATCAGTGTCCTTTTCATCCTCCGAAAGTTCAGATTGCAGAAGATCAGCGAAAACTGTTGGTCGGTCATAGGTAATGCCGGAATCTAGGTCCGCTTTGGTCTTTTGCACGCGAGCCGGAATATCAATCTGCAGTGTCCGAATGAGGAGCGAAACATCGGTGGGGAGATAGTCGACAAAGTGCTTGCCAAACTTCACGCTCTTAGCGAGGAGGGGGAAGAATCGCAGGACGAATACAGGCTTGAGCACTGCCAGAGTCGCTTCACGGTAGTTGGGCTGCCAGCCTTCGCTCGACAACAGCCCAAAGGCTTCACCGAAACAGTAACTGGAGATGGCGTCGGAAGTAAAGCAGCTATAAGCGTGCGCAACGTCAAAAGGTTTGCCGCTGTTGTTACTATTCTCAGCCAGAAGTTTGGTGCAGAGTGTTTGAACCAGTTCGTGGATCTCCTTCTCGAGGCGTGCAATCATGGCTCGGGAGAAGAACTTGGCGACTGGTGCGCGTCTGGCGCGGTGGAGATCGTGGTCAACTGTGCCGAAACCGTTTGTTGTGCCAATTGCTGAGCCGCTGACCTGGTGGTGAGGCTTGTCGCGTTTGCGGCCACCAACAGCGTAGATCTCATCCGAGAATGCCATGTCGGCGCAGTGTGTTTCATTGGGGTTAATTCGGACAATAGGGCCTGTGAGACATTTAAGCATTAAATCACCCGATGCTTTCAACTTGGTGCAAGAATTATTCAGAAAGTACTAACCGTATTTTTCGTGCATCTTCTTGATAGCATGGGTGTAGCGACCAACGAGAATCACATCGTGGTAAAATTCGGGCAGATATGTTGCTCCTGCGAGTTTCGGGCCAGGCACCTTGCTCAATGGGTGAAGCGGCGAAATATTGTACAATGCTTGCAGCAGTTTAAATACAAGCCAAGCAGAGATGGTGGCCACGATCCATTCTCGCGCCGTCAGTGACGTGATACCGCCCTGAAAGGCTGCCCATGTGCCATCCGCCATTGTTAACAATCGTAAATGGAGCTTGATCCAAGTACGTACAGCAATTTGAGGACAAGTCTCGCTCTTATAGGGCTGACTGTCTTTCTGCTCCTTGCAATCACATGATTCATTACGTGTCGGCCCTTTCGCTTAGTGAATCAGGTCCAACAGATCCTTTCATCAAGTAAAACGGTTAATGGGGAGTGGGTTAAGATTAGACGGGGCTGTGGAGCCTTCGCCGTATATCCATCCAATGCACAAATGGCCATTCGAGATCTGGTGCTATAGATAGGAGGGGAAGGATCCATAACCCCGCTCCTTTTCTTCAGTAAAATGCTACGATAGCATTGAAGTGGATTCAATAATCCGGAACTAAAACATTAAACGGGCGACGCTCCGGGCCGGCCTAACGTGTTCCATCTTGCCAAGGGACTTTCGGAGGTGACGATGTGGGTCTATTCGGAGTTGGTGTAACACGGACGCTGGACAGGCCAGGTAATGGTCTTTTAACAAAACTCAGCCCTGAGCTTTGGTTTCTCGAGACGTGTAATCACAGTTGAGATCTTGGACATGCTCCTGAATAATTTCTTGCGAATTACAGTCCTTGCCTAAATAAGCCTGTTCACCACTGTTAATCTTGCTCGGGCTACCCTATATGGTTCCTGAGCTTTGATCTATATCTGGTTGGCCTTGTACACTTATCTGTATAGCTGTTACTTCATCCTTGATAGTTTTAATAGGAATTGTGTGTAGGTTCTTGATAGCTGATTCATATAGAATCCTAATTGGCTGTAGTTTTAGTTAAGAATTTTATAATAAGTGCTGATAAGAAGTATGAAATTTTCTTTTTAAAAGTAGAGAAGTAATAACACTCTAACAATAAAAAAAAGAGTTTATCGTTACTACCTTACTTATTTAGTGACTTTTATAATGAAGCACTGGTTGTATTGTATACCATTGTTACTCTAGCCTATTTCTTCCTCATATCAAGTTACATTATTCAGTAACCAGTATGGACTAGAGAAATTATACTGCGCTGTAATGCTTTATTAAGATAGACCTGTAAAAGAGTTATGCTGCAGTCTGAAACGCAACAGGTATTAACCCCAGTGAATAAAACTTATCTCAAACGTATCAAGCTTGAATACATAACTTCTTGATAACAGTACTTTTATCATTAAATAGCTAATACTAGTGTTGGCCCGTCTAAACCATACAATCCGCCGACTTTTCTTTCTCGCCACTTATGTTAGCATCTCCACTCCATTGAGTCAATATTGTTAATCTCTCTTCGTAGCATGTTATAAGGTCTTGGTAATTATCCTTCAGTTGTGCGGTAATCCGTGGAAACGAAGTTGTCTCAACGCCCATAATAGCATCGATATCTTCCGTAGTCTTCTTAATGTCCTCGATCATCGATTGCATTCTACTGGTTGCAATGCTTAGCTTGTCCAGCTTCTGGAGAACCTTGGTTGCCTCTCTGTATTCTATTCGTGGTTTATGCCGTTGCGCTGCTGTCTGTGGTCTGGGTGCCGAAGAGATGGATTCATCCGAGTCACGCTTACTCTACGTAGCTGAGAATTAGTCACATAAAAGGACACAGAAGCATGGAATGGGATTGCAAGCTCACATCACGAGGTCCATCCATCCTTGATATATCATCCAGACTCTTAAGCCTCGCTTCAGCCTGAGTAGGTACGTTAAGGCTTGTGAACCAAGGCCCATTAGACTCAATATTCGTAGCCGATGGAGAGTTGAGAAGGGTCGCGACAGTTTTTTTCTGCGCTATTGCTGGCTCGTCAAATAGTGGCCCCCCCACCTTTCGCTTCTTGTCTGACGTGGTGCTAACGTTGGAAGCGGAAACCAGCCTCTTGAAAGAGGGGCCTTGAGAGGAGCCTTGGGAGGGAAATATGGGTGTTGTAGTCGGCATTGCGCAGACGCAATCGGTGCGTTGTTGAAACAAACTCATATCTGTGGACTTGGACGGCGTATATGTATCACAATTCCGGCTGTTCTTAATGTTGATGTTGTTCAAGGCTGAGAATGAGTCTCGGGAACCTGCATTTCACTTTGCAGATGGAAATCTCGATGGTGGAGAAAAAAACAAACGCAGCTGAAAGTTTCCACACCCAAGGTAGACAGACTACTGCGGGCCGGAACTTTTCAGGCTAGTTAAACGGGAGCTCCCTTGCGGGCCGCAAAACAAGCTTCAAATAAGACAGAAGAAGTGTTAATTATATGATAAGCTATATAGCCATGACTTCCTTCTGTAATCTTATTCCTGTCCCTGAATCAAGTAATTTGGCCTATCGTCGTGCCGGATACTATGTACGAGACTACCGGTGAAGTTTCTGGATGCAGTCCAGTGGCACGTCATTCGCCACATCTCGGTGTGTCACCCAAGGATAAGAATACGAGCTTCAAACGCGCGTTTCTCAGGCCACCTCTGCATACGGCGACAAGCCACGAGAGCAGTGTAATTGCATTTCTACGGGAAGCTGCCTTGCACGTTGTCATTTATCACATCCATCGTGTTTGCAATCGGGCCAACGCAAGATAACCGAATTCACTGTTGATATTTGCGCCACTATTCTGGCTCTAAGTCGGACGGTTATAACCAGCACAAATTTTACAATCGTGAGATTTCTATCTTCCCCGACAGCAGGATCCATAGTCTGATGCAATCATGACAATTTACAGACAGCACTCACTCGTGCTGCTTTTGCTTTTAGCCAAATCTCATTTAGTGGGTCGATGACCTTAGACATGCAGCACACTATGTCACCGATAGATCAGCCACCCCTTTAATGGTTGGCTTTGGTGAGAAGATGGCTGACCTCGGTCACGCGGAATATTAAGTTTCCGATGCAAACGGCCGGATACCCTTTCACCGCCTTTGTTCGTGTAACCGACCTCAACGTTTGTTAGAGGCGTTGTAACATCTGGTTCCGTTCGTCATTGAACGTAGGAGGCTGGTGGTGGGCCCTGGGGCTTCTCCACATCCACTGCACAACTCAAGGTAGGGGAAGAGCGATAATGGCGTGTGTAGAAAATACTTATACATTCTTACTGGTACAATTGAGCTCCCCAGTACCATCATTTATTGTCTCTAGTTATCAACACTAACACGTCTGCTAATCCTCATCAGAACTTCCTCTCTCCATCCAAGTAGGCCAATATGAGCGGCAGCTGGTCCCAAAACAGGCTGTGCAACCACCAGCGCCAGAGTAGCCCCCACAGCCTCCTTGTTGGTAACATACCCTGAGGTTCGTAGATGAAGAATGCGGTAGATGCTGTGTGCAAAAACAGAAGTCGCGTTCAAGAACATATCGCGCTGTAAGAAACCGAAGATCTTGCTTGCTTGATCAGAGCCACATGAGCTAGTGACTAGTTCTCCGATCTTACCAAAGACGCCAGAAAAGCTAAGATCTGAGCTGGATGAGATGCGGTAGAGTGACCACAGGTGGACGAGTGCTGCCGTGGCGGTTCCAGCAATGTAGACAGATCTCAACATTGAGTGAGTTGCTTCCTTTTGCTTTCTCACCTCCTGCCGTTCCTTGGGTGTTTTGGGCTGATGTGCAGTAGCCGTCGTGGCGGCTCTTTGTCTACGCAAGACAGAGGAAATACCAGCTGTAAGGAGACCGACATAAACTGGGAAAGGCTGCCATAGGGCAACAAACTTCTGGTAAATGGTCTTGTCCTCAAACGGCCACAGCATGAGCGCAGTCGGCAAGATAGCTCCCAGGCCGAGACTAGGGATGAGCGAGTCTACAACCTCTTTATCGATGTTTTGTCCACTGACGGGCCCCATTGACCCATGTAAGAACTGCTCGCACACCGTTATCAAATGATAGAGAGGCGCAATCCGTCCGATACCCTTGAGTTGGTATACGGCGCCGAAGATGGATGGACTAATTTAAGATCTTATTAGCATGATTGTGTATTATTGCCCTTACTTTTCAACTTACAAAGAGGTAAGTAGTCCTTTCATACCATGTCGATAACTTTCAACAGTCCAGTCAAGGGTGGTGGACAGTAAGAGTGGCGTGAAAGCAACCCACTGCACGTTGGATTCTTTATGGCCTGATCCAAGAGGGATGCTGAAGACAGCTACCAATGCCGACAAGATCTTGTCGACGATACCTACGCCTGTATAATGGTGTAGCAGAGCCGCGCTACCAAACGTGGTGGGAATCTGCAAGGGAAGCAGGATCTTGTTAGATAAGCGAAATAACACGCCCTGCGTTAAAGCCCCAAGGCCGACCGGAATCCAGGGTAAAGACAGAGGTTGAGCAGGTAACTCGTCGTTATACGGAACCGAATGTTCTCGACGAGGGAGAGGGATACAATTCAAACGACTGGCGGCCAGGTTCTTGCTACCCGATAGCCGAAGTGCAGTTGAGGTATCCAGAAGACGACCCAAGAGGGGACCAACGAATGCGAGAAGGGGTGTGGCCATGGCTTGCATTTCCTGAGTCTTGTGTGCATCGTCTACAAGCCACTGCACTCGTTCATTGCGCTCTTCCTGCACAGCTTCGAAGGCTGCTTCAATCTTAGAAATTTCCCAGGTAGGGGCTATATCTGAAATCAGGTGATTCACAAGAGTGGCAGCAGTCTCAATTGCGGAGTTACCTCCCCAGCCTGTTAGAGGCTCGAACTAGTAGCTCTAGTCAGTGTGGAGGGTGTAAAGACCAGGGAAGATAACATACCTTGTGAGCAGCATCGCCGATAGTAATAATTCGTTTGTAATGCCACTTCTTGAAGACGTACTCGTGAAGTGGAGTTAGGGTCGACATAGTCTTGGCGGCGTAGAGTTGACCAAACGTAACCTCGGGAGTGATCTTGTCAGATGCATGTTCCTGGACAAGCTTCTCCTCGTCCTCTTTAGTGTATCTTGGAATATCCTTGCCATAAAGAGGGACAGGTAATTTGACAAAAAGGAACCAGTAGAACCTCCCACCAGGTCCAATCATAACCAGATAGGAGAAGCTGTGGTTGTAGACATAATGGACGCCTTTTGTTAGTTCTTCCATAGAGTGCGAAGTACCGAAAATGCACTTATAGTAGCAAGGTACGTTCGACCATTCGTCATGTGGGAAATACCCGGGGGATGACTGGTTCCCCAAGCGCCACATTTCTCTTCGTACAGTGCTGTAGATTCCATCAGCGCCGACAAGAATATCTCCTTTGAATACATCGCCCTTCGTAGTCGTAACCTGGATGCCATTTTCCAGCTCTGTGACCTTTTCGACTTTCTGACCAGGGTGAATTGATGCTGTAGACTCAAGGTTGTCATATAAACCCTTCAATAGCATTTGTCTGTCAATGAAGATGGTAGGGTAGGAATGTCTGTGGAGATCTGTCAGCGGAATAGTCTCAGTTTCGCAGTGTATGAGAATTACCTCTCGACTAAGAGATCTTGAAGCTTGCGATGATGCTTAATCACAGACCCATCAGGGTTTCGCAAATATGACTCATTCAATGGAATGTCGACCAGCGACATGAGTTCCTCAGCACATCCAATCTGATCAAGGATTCGAAGTCCGCCTGCTTGTAAACCAATGCTTGCGCCAACTTGTGGTGTCATATCATGGTGGGCTTCCAGCAAGACATATCGTATACCAGCCTTCTCCAGCATGTTCGCTAGAGAAAGGCCAGCCACGCTTCCGCCTGCAATTATGATTGTATGCTCCGATGCTGCCATATTTAGTCTTGTCAGAAGTAAAAAATAGAAAGAAGGCACAATAGAAGCTATGTAAATTGCTGGCGTGATTCATAGCATGAGGTTAATCACTCACTTTATCCTTTCCTAATTTGTCTCGGGACGCATCTACTACCCGAGACCGTGTTTAACAATTTAAACCCGGTCCAGTAGGAGACCTCCCATTGCTACAAAATGGGTCTTCTAAGTCTCAAGATAACGTTGGTTACAAGGGTTTGTTCGGATGTAGAACCTGGTTACGGAAACAAGCGGATCCAATTGCACCATGACCATGGATAGTCCACGGAAAAATGTGCGAAGTACCAACAGAAAGACAAGAACTTATACAGGGAGGGCCCTGCATTCTACGTATCGGATCATTTGTCTAACTAGCCTTGGAATAAATAAAAACCAACACTGGTTAGTTCATAGACTGAGGTAGGTAGGTATTACGTGGACTTTTACGGATACAACTCTGTGATTAAAGTTCTGACTAGAAGAAAGCCCGCATCTGGTAAAGAGATCCACACTAGCCGAGGTATCAAGCGCCGGATATACCAAATAGGAAGAACACGCTACTTTTGTATTTCTAGTGGCCACGATATTGTGAGTCTTTTGCAGGATTTTTGTTTAAACATATAATAGTCCTGCGCTATACTTATTATACTTCTATAGGGTAAGCTCGAAAGTGCATAAGCCTCTAAGGATATTATTACAAACCGAAAATATTTTAGAAGTAAGCATCTCTAAAAGAAATAGAAAAAACGAGATCTTAATTACTATAAAGTATCTATTTTAGTAGAGAGGATACTGCATATCTTATTAGGCGCCCATACATAAAACTCTTATTGTTTATAGGTGCTATACGCCTCTGACATGTGATAGTCTCTGTCATCTAAACTCACGCAGGACAAGGTTCCAATTTTGGCAGCTTCCTTTCAACCCACATCTAGAAGGCTTCCGTAGCTCAGTTGGTTAGAGCGTCGTACTAATACTTCAATCCGAGTGTTCGGTAATGCGAAGGTCTCAGGTTCAAGCCCTGGCGGGAGCAATCCTACAAGCCGTCTAGATGTGTATTTTTTATTTCGCGTGGTTTTTTAGTACTCGTGGAGTGGAGTACGTGGTGGCCTGGAATTTCAAGTTAAATTGCCCCGCACTTGCTGTGTACTATATCGAGATCCACCAACCTCCATCCGCATTGATTCTTCCTCCAATCTACCATGATCAAACCTGAAGAAAGGTTTATGTCCGAAGGGCAGACTTATTTCGGCTCGAGGGAAATTCCTGACTCGCCAGCTTATTGCAGCGTCTGGGATTAGGACCAACTGCGCATGATCAAGGTCAAGGGCACCGCCAAACTTTTTCCACCTGAAGAGGACCTCGAGGTTCCAATACTGGCACAGTTCGCAGATTATCTAGCTCCCCAAATTCATGCGGTCACAGTCGACAACGAAGGACTCATTTCTGAAGTCTCGACAGATCCAATGGAAGATGATACTGAATTTATTGCATATCTTCCTTTCTCAACGACTGAATCTCTCCACAGTTGCCGCACTGTCAATTACTCTAGGCTTCAAGAGATCGATCGGCTTGGACCTATATTCTGACGAATCCGGAAATTCTCAAAAAGTTGCTTTCAAATTCAATCCTCTTGGAAAGCCTCGAAGATTACAGATGGCATGGGATGAGCTCAACATTCTCAAGAGTCTGCCCCAGCATGAGAACATTGTACCACTTGACCGCGTAGTCCTCGAGGACTCCGAGTCTCGTGTTATTGGGTTCACAACAAAGTACATCCTCGGCGGAACTCTTGACGATTCAAAACTACCTTTTCGCTTCGAGTGGTTGCAACAACTCACCCAGCTTATTGACTTCTTAAATCTGGATCTGGGAATTATGCATCAAGATGTTGCGCCACGCAATCTACTCATCGATCCAGAAACACACAAGATTCTTCTCTTCGATTTTGACTGGGTTGCTTGTGGGAAAAAGAACCTGCTGGATGGGCGTGATGATGTGACTGGCGTCGTGATTGCTCTATACGAGATTATTACGGGCGATGAGTCTTTCACAGACATCCCGCATTGGGATCGAACTATGGATATGGTGCAAAGCATTCCAGAGTGGCCTTGCAATCGCGAACTTGATGCTGGCGTATCCACATTTCGTGACTTTCTGAATGAATGGGTAGCAAAGCGAAAGTCCGGTGATGATATGCAACAATATCTAAATGCACCCAACCAACTTGGTTGGCCGGATCTTCCAACGCCACCTGACTACGATGTACCTTTCGAGATGGGCACTGATGCCAATGGGGAGACGAGATGGGTCACCGGTTCGCGAATGAGGCGTACCGCGATAAGGAAAGAACAGTATATCTTTCGATGGGAAAGGCCGCCACAAAGCAGGTTAAGAATGGCTGGAAATAAGACTCACACTTAGATCTACTAATCCTCTATCTATTCTTATCTTATAATTACTTTAGCTCTTTGGCTTTTTTACAATCCAGAGGGGTATAAAAATGTCAAAAAGTAACAATTGGAGGGCACTGGGATTGCTCCCGCCAGGGCTTGAACCTGAGACCTTCGCATTACCGGATACCCGGATGGAGTATTAGTACGACGCTCTAACCAACTGAGCTACGGAAGCCGTCCAATTGTTGAGAGCCCGTTTCGAAATTGGCGCACAAGAAGGACAGATTGCAGTAGTGTCTTCATGCCTGTCAATTGTCAATTCCTCCCATCACCCGAGGCAAGGATAAGTTCAAATGGAAAACATGACCTCCTCAGAATATCCTTCACGCTACAGGGCTACCATTTATCTACCACTAGGACGAGAGTATTACCTAGTTCTATTGTCTTTGTGGCCTGCGCTTTCTGTGGCAGTGAATCATCACAACCTGGAGACATCCCTGGTATCGGCTGGCTACTTAATCTATAGCATCCTCTGTCAGTCGGCCTTGTTTGCCACTGAGATGTCTTCTCCGCTAGTTACATAAACTGTGTTGACTGGGATCTTGTTGACTACTGAGACTACCTCTCCAGCAGGTGTATGATATCTCGACTGTGATTTTACTATCTCCTTAATATTCGCTTCCTCTTTCGACTTGGAGAATGTATCAACAGTTGTCTCTATTACCACTATTGTCTTATTTGCTTCAATGTAGTTCTAAACAGAGTCGATTATAACAACTACTTTTAACTAGGCCAAAAGCACTTGACTCTTCTTCGATGTATTGTTCAAATAACCAAAGAGTTGTGATAACCCGAAAACTTACCCTAGACTTCATAAAACTTTTCTCGCATCAGAATCCTATTAATCACAAGGCAAAAATACGATAATGAAATGTGTACACCTCTGGGAAAAAGATAAATAGTTCCGTAGATGCGTAATCAGGGAATCGAACCCTGGGCTCCCCGACGCTGCACGAATGGCAACGGAGAATTTTACCACTAAACCAATTACGCTTCTGATTTGTTGAAACACGATGACGAAAAAGAAAACCATGTTGTTCAGTCGGTAGTGGAAAGGAGTCTTCTACAACTATTGTACAGTCGGTGGCCTATACGAATTTCGGCTCACCTCTGAGATCATCTCCCTAGATAACAATGGAACACTTCTCTCTGTCAGTGGGCCATATTCGGGCCGGAAGGAGCCTGGCTGCGAATCTGTTGCTGTCGTTGCTGATACTAATACGACGAGCTGGGTTCACCAAACTGAATTGCCATGCTGTGGCGGCCTCTGATAGCGGCAATGCCTACTTGTCCAATGAGAGCCTCTATGTGGCAGGGTGCTCCAAAAGATACTAGCCCTCCTTCCATGATGCCACTCACCAAAGCCGTATCCCATCCAATTAGCATTCGCCGCTTTGGCTCAGTGGTAGAGCGTGTCACTAGTAATGACAAGGCCCACGGTTCGATCCCGTGAAGCGGCAACCGGTTTTACCCATGGGACCTTCCTTTTTACCTTTTCTTAGTACAATACAGAAGTCTCAGATACATACTGCCCACCACAGTAAACTTATGCAAAAAACAAACTGTGACCTGCAATCCCGTTGGGAAAGATACCAGATGAGCTTTCTCGAGTACATCTCCTCCTATCTACCTTAAAGACACATATCCGTCAACAAAGAATCATATTAAATAAACCTATTCGATCAGACTAGACGGCGGTTAAGACCGCCTAGCAAGCTATGCCAGGAGAATACCTCTTTTGGTTTGTAGGATTGAGACCTCGCCCACTAATAGCGGCAAGGGTAAATAAAACATTAGGCAGTTTCATATAAAGTAGACAATGGGCTAGCTAGCATCTACTTCTCAATTACAAGCTCATACCACTAATGTTAAATGGATGCATGGTCTTACACGCCGATTATAAAACTGGTTACTCGGCATTCTATTATACTAGTAGTATCTGGCCTGGTCTCTCAAACTTTGTTCATAGGGTAAGTACACTTTACTTTCTATTCACTCGTATTAAATGCCACGTAACACATCCAGTAGTTTGTTCTCGAAATACACAGTAGCTGAGCTCCTGATCCATAGTTGTGGTCCTGCCATCCCGATCTTCTTACCTCCTTGAACCTTCCTCTTGGCTCTTGTCAATACAGTGTCATAGTTTTAAAACACATTCCGGTGGATTCAAGGCAGGATTGACGCTTAGAAGACACACCGATCAAGTGTGTGGGCCGAATAGGTTCCAAATTGAACCAGGCTTGTAATCCAATTTCTGACCGAAATCGAATGATTTACACTATTAGGTGACCTGCGATCGACCTTCACTCCTTGTTTGACCTTTCGGCGAGTGCGTAAGCTTGTGACACTAAATAGGGTAGGTCTATCCAGCTAGCTCTTTGTTGGGTTGTAGCAGTCAAGGTGTATCAGGGCACGGGCATATGTAAAGCCGCACCTTGTCTGTAGAAACTATGCGCGGCAATGCAATACATCCTTCACTTCTACCAAGGCTGGCTATTGATTGTCTCTCCGGTATTTAACTCTGGTATAAGTTTGAGCTGGTTATATAAATCGCAATGCTGCCTGCTTCTACTGTCATCTGAAGTTTCATCTCCTTTCACCCTTCTAAGCAATTTAGCACCTCTCAAACCAAGCCGAAACTTAAGTCATGTATTTATCTTCTATTCTCCCCGTTCTTTCTGTATGCTCTGTCATATCCGCATATGATCTCCCAGACAAGCTGAAATCCCTCTACGATGAACACAAAGTACGACAACCAATATTGTTGATGCCAAATTCTAACGAAAGATAGCTTGGAGCTTGTTCGAAGCCATTGTCTGAGACCTTCCCTGAGGGAGCCCAGTATTGTGGCGACATCCCTGGGGCCATTTTCTTGAAGGGCTCAGGCAACTACGATAACATGGATATTGACTGCGATGGTGCAAACAACAGTGGAGGGGCTTGCGCGAATGATCCATCAGGCCAGGGTATCACTGCTTTCCAGAGTATCGCAAGCAGCTATGGTATTGTCGACCTGGATTCTCATATCCACCCATACGTTGTATTCGGCAATGACGGCAGCTGGCCCTCCTTTGATCCTCAGCAGCATGGAATGCATCCGCTCAGCGTCATGGCTGTCATTTGCAGTGGGAAGCTTGTAAGTTCAATACCATGATATTCGCACTCAAGCTTACTTTGAGCAGTATTATGGCATTTGGGGGGACGTCAATGGCGGCACATCAACTGGCGAAGCTTCGATTGCCGTAGCTGATCTCTGTTTCCCAAACGAGGGTCTCAATGGGAACATGGGCCATGGAGAAGAGGATGTTCTCTATATTGGTTTTACTGGGGAGGATGCAGTCCCTGGCAAGAGTGGCGCCGCATGGGCTGCTGCCACCCGCGATGATTTCTCTGGTAGTATTAAGATCTTGGGCGATCGGCTTATTTCTAAACTGTAAGGCAGTAACCATCTAGGTGTATTATCAGCTAGGCTTACTTTATTATTCGGGGGATTTATTAAGCATCTGCCTAGCTTGGTGATGTCCTTTCTTCACAAACAGATAAATAGTACTTTATCAGGCAGCTGTAAACAGTTAGCTAGAAGAAGTGTGCAATGTGACACTTGTACATTCGAAAAGCAGTGTCTTCTATTAGTTTCCTTATGCACATTAGACACCAGCATGCGGATTCTTTACCACTAGATAGTTAACTCTTTAGCTCAGTAATTTACAATTTAATGGATGGACATAAACCTAGAAACGATGAGTTTCCTTTTTGCCGAAGTCCTGTTGATCTCGTGAGAGTTGGTTTGTTTTTATCACTCATGTGGTTCTATTTACCTTTGACCACAATTGGCTAATAATCTCAGCGCGTGTTTTGGATATTAGGAAGACATCTGATAGATTTTAGTGTTCATGCACTAATGTTATTGTACCAAAAGTATTGAAACAAGCGAAGGATTGAAGGTCTATACCACCTTTTACCAGGATCAGCCAATAGCCTCGGCATGTGTTCTGGATCTTAGAGGAACTTGTCATAATCTTCAGTGTCCATGCTTGCCATGCACCATCATTGCCTAACTAAGCCTTTGAAACAAGCGAAGGATTGAAGGTCTATACCACCTTTTACCAGGATCAGCCAATAGCCTCGGCATGTGTTCTGGATCTTAGAGGAACTTGTCATAATCTTCAGTGTCCATGCTTGCCATGCACCATCATTGCCTAACTAAGCCTTTGAAACAAGCGAAGGATTGTAGTCAGGGTGATTCTGACACCCTAGAAACCGACCCCATGTAGAAAATCCAATAGATGATTGGCGTATGTCGGGGTATTTATGTGGATCACACGCAGTGAATATGTGAGCAAACCAATTATCTGTCTAAGATCGCAGGGGTCGGTTTCCCCTAAGGCAACTTATAATTGGCTCACTCAAACTTGAATAAAATGCGCTAGAGGTAGCTTATCTTTTAGGGTTCCGGGTAAAGACGCGGGCGAATCCTTTAAAGGATTAGATTGTTCCCAAAATATAAACGGGGAAACAGGTCTGATCACGTCCCTTGCAATCTTAGTATTTAATTCCTATAAGAGGTGGCAAAAGCCAGAATACCATAAGAGAAGTATAGGTGACCTCTGGATATATCTGGTGGAAACTATCAGTCCAGTCTTTTCATCATGTTCAAGCAAGTCGCACTCTTTTCACTCGCTGTTGCGAGCGCTATTGCAACCCCTCAGCTGAAACGCGATGCGTCTATCAGAGCCGCCGGTTCTTGGTATGCCGACATGGACCATACTGGAGACTTTAGAGGTAAAGCTCCTTATGCTGCTGACTCTTATGAGGTCTATAAGACTGTGAATGTCGGTAGCGGTGACAAAATCCAGGACGCGATCAACTCAGGCGACCGCCATAATCAATGGCTTTCCTCGGAGCCACGGGTACGTCTATGTTGACAAGCATATGGACTGGGTTAATCGCTAATTCTCAAAAGGTTGTCTATCTTGCATCGGGTACCTACGAAGTCGGCAGCACGATTAACCTTCGAACCAATACTATCCTCATGGGAAATGCAGCCGATGTAAGTCGATACTGCACAATACCTCCTCAAATTGATACCTCACTGACATGTCATGGAGCCTCCTGTGATCAAAGCTGCTGCAGGGTTTAATGGTGATATTCTTGTTTATGGAAGAGACCCGTCTGTTGGCATAAGTGGTGAGCTTTCTTTCAGCTGTGGTCTGAAGAATATCATTCTCGACACGACTGCTATTGGCGGTGGTAAGTCTTATTTCTTCTAAACAGTATCTGTTGTACGCTCCAATCTAACTGAGATCTAGATAAGAACTTTACCGCGCTATTTTGGGGGGTCGCTCAGGTCAGCCAGATACAGAATTTAAACATCAAAATGCCAGAGTCTGGAAAGGACATGGGACACAACGGTATCTGGCTTGGCCGCGGTTCTACTCTCGGTCTTGCAGACATTCGTATCGAGAATGGTAGGGTATGTATATTTCACATTTTTGGATACGAGGATAACACTAATAACACATTAGAACGGGGTATGGCATGATGGTCATCAACAAGCCTTCTACAAGAACATCCACTTCTTGCAAAACACTGTCGGAATGCGAATTGATGGCGGAAATACCATCAACCTACTGAATCCAACCTTTGAAACCGTCGGTACACCTGTCAGTCACTTCTCGGGCGCGCCATTCATCGCTATCGTCGACGCCAAGTCGATAAACTCTGGCGTGACATACAATTCTACGGGCTATGCATCAATTCTGATTGAGAACCTCGACAAGGATTCGGACTCTGACATTGTGAGACTGCCGAGCGGTACGGCCCTGGGCAATGCTAGCCACGTCGATACCTTCACATACGGAAACACAGTTGGACGTAATCCTGTCTACGGCAAGACTATGACTAATGTCTCTCGACCTGAAGCCATCGCACCTGGAGGTCGTATCCCTGCAATCGCCGCGCCTGGATATGGAGATCTTGCAGTGGACGATTTCATCAATGTCAAGGACCCCAAACAAAACGGAAACCATATCATCAAAGGCAATGGCCAGGGCAACGAAGTTGAGGCTCTTGCCGCTGTTCTTCAGTACGCTGCTCAGAACAACAAGATTGCATACTTCCCATTCGGCGACTATCGTATTGAGTCAACTCTGCGAATTCCGCTCGGATCCCGTATTGTTGGTGAAGCCTGGTCCACTATCTCGACAGCCGGAGACTTTTTCAAGAACGCGGATGAACCCAAGCCGGTGATCCAGGTCGGCGCCCCAGGCGATGTAGGCACAATTCACATACAGGATATGCGGTTTACTGTCGCCGACGAACTGCCAGGTGCTGTCATTGTTGAGTTTAATGCCGCTGGAAACAAACCTGGTGATGTAGCAATGTGGAACTCGCTTATCACTGTCGGCGGCACGAGGGGTGCGCAGGGTCTGACTGACAAGTGCAAAGATGCTGCGAACCCATGCCAAGGAGCCTATCTTGGCATGCGTTTCACTGAGAGCTCTTCTGCGTACGTCGAGAACGTGTGGGTCTGGGTGGCCGACCATATCACGGAGGAATTCAGTGGTGGATCCAGCATCGCAGGCAAGGGCGGAGTGCTGGTTGAATCGACTAAGGGTACATGGCTACATGCTGTGGGCGTCGAGCACTGGTGGCTGTACCAGCTCAATCTACGCAACGCGTCCAACGTCGTGGTCAGTATGCTCCAAACAGAGACAAATTACGAACAAGGCGCCAATGCACAGAAATTGCTCCCAAGCCCGTGGACAGTCAACAAGAACGGTTGGGGAGACCCTGACTATGCCTGGTGCGGCGATAGCGATGGCTTCTGCCGTATGGGCTTGTCCAACTATGTTAATGGTGGCTCCAATGTCTATTACTATGGCTCGGCCTCCTGGGCCTTCTTCAATGGTCCCGGATACCAGAGCTGCACAGACTCGAACAACTGCCAAGGTATGTGACTGAATATCTTGATGAAGAAATGGCATACTGACACTCGGCAGAATTTATTCATTGGATTGAGAAGACGCCAGATAACTTGCAAAGCTTTGGCTGGTGTGCTAAAGACTCCAGGGTTGCCCTCCGTTTGGCCAACGCTGAGAACATCATGACCAGTCCGGATTTCCAAGGGTCTTGGGGCAGTTCGGTTGTTCGTTACACCCCATAGGGTTAGATAGACGATGGTGAGGGACGATGTGATAAGGGCGAGGAGAGTGAATCGGGATTAACCAGAAGTGAGAGGAAGACAATGACAATGCTGGTAGTCGTAGTCGCGAACCAGATGTACTACAGAACTAGATAGACAGAGCAGGAGAAATTAAACATGGTGTGTTCGAAGGGTATTATTCTAGATTATCTAGTTTCACATCTTTCATAACCCAACTGCTTTGTCTGTACTAATTAAACTGGAATAATTTCAACCACACAGTCAGTTAATGCCTGCCTTCATATCTCTAGTCATAACCCTATGCTTAAATTCTCCTGATGACTACGATCTACTAAGGGGGACCGAAGATCGGGGCGAAATGGGAAATGTACGGACTTTACTTTTATGTAATAAGACACACCACGCAACGGCCAAGTCCAGCATCCACTCGAGGGTGCCACACAACCCTATTGGTCAATGTTGCGTGGCAATTAAAAACGGCAGAAAGCGATTGGCTCATTTGCAGTGGGTACTGAAGTCATCACCAATTTTCACCTCCAAAATCTCAAGATAATTAATCCCGTTGGATCAGAAACTGTCGCATATCTACCCGCAGGGATATGTCCGGGGAACCTTAATCTGTCTATTAAGTACCCGACTCAATTAAGATTTTCTCGGCAGTCGAGACTCCGATGCTAGGACTGGTTTCTTAATACTGGGGCGAGGTGGGCTCACTATGGAGACTGGTTTGAGTTTTACGTATAAAGAGCCACGTCCAGCTGCCTCTTGGTGCTTGGCAACCCTGGTCTCCAACCACGAGAAAAACTACCATGCGTAATCATACCACACGTTCAGCTGCAGAGGGCGGGAACGGGCTGGCCTCGCCTCCCTTGCAGTTGAGCAAATACGACGACGACGACTCTCCCAGTCGCGATGCCGTCTTTGGCGAAATTTCAGATGAGGGTCCGGACTACAGAAGTGTAAGCAAATCTGTCCGGGGCGAAAAGGGGGACCCACAGGGTTAATGATTTTTCAAGGTCGGACTCATTGGCACAGCGGGCTTGATGATGAAAACGCAAATCGGACTCGGCGTGCTGTCCATTCCTGCGACGTTTAATGCGCTGGGAATGATTCCTGGTATTATCTGCCTGCTGACAGTCGCTATCGTCACGACATGGTCCAATTGGATAGTGGGCATCTTCAAGCTGCGACATCGTCATGTTTATGCCATTGATGACGCTGGCGGAATGATGTTTGGAGCTGTTGGGAGGGAGTTCTTTGGGTTTGCCATGTGGATCTGTAAGTTCCGGCACTGCGGCGATGGTCTGGCGTGGAAAAGAGGCTGACTTTGATAGATTGGGTGTTTGTTTCTGGCGCTGGCATGCTGGGTCTCTCAATCGGCCTCAATGCCGTGTCAAATCACGGGGCCTGTACGGCTGTATTCGTTGCAGTCGCTGCAGTGCTAGGTTTCGTTCTCTCAAGCATCAGGACCTTGGGCCGCATGAGCTGGCTTGCATGGGTTGGCGTGATCAGTATCATGATCTCCGGTGAGTGGTACGATGCCTTGTGATGTTCCAAGCTAATCGTCAAAGTGATCATGGTCACCATCGCCACAGGAGTCCAGGAAAGACCAGCAGCAGCCCCTAAAGAAGGCGTCTGGGTCTCAGACTACAAGCTCTTCAACACACCCTCATTTGTGCAAGCAGCTTCCTCAATCTGCTCTCTCATCTCAGCTTACGGAGGCACTCCCGGATTCTTTGCCATTGTTGCTGAGATGCGCAGGCCAGAGCAATACACCAGAGCTCTAATCATCTGTCAAAGTATTGTGACGGTGACCTATCTCATTATTGGCTGTTTGATGTACTACTTCTGCGGATCATATGTCTCCTCGCCTGCGCTTGGCTCAGCCGGTGACACCATCAAGAAAGCCAGTTATGGCGTTGCAATTCCTGGATTGATCGTATCAATCACTTTGATTACTCATGTATGTCATATCCCTCCCTACAACTCCAGTCAGCTAACAAGGAACAGCTTCCCAGCAAGTACATGTTTGTGCGATTATTGCGAAACACAAAACATCTGTCCTCCAATTCTCTAGTCCATTGGAGTACTTGGCTAGGCTGCACCTTTGTCGTCTCCATTATTGCATACATCATTGCCAGTGCGATCCCCATTTTCTACAGCCTGGTGTCACTCATCGGGGCCCTTGTGGGTACATTGATGTGTTTCCAGGCAATGGGCTTCATGTGGTTCTACGACAATTGGGAAAACCGGACCATTTCACCCAAATGGATATCAGCGTGTGGCTGGGCTTCATTTGTCATTGCTTCAGGGACGCTGCTGATGGTAGCTGGCACTTATGGATCGATTGTCGAGATTATACAGGCTTACAAAGCGGCTGGGGGTTCCGGGGCATGGTCTTGTGCTGATAACTCTAACTCTTCTTGATATGAGGCCTAGAGATTACTCACAGAGTTTAGAAAGGATTGATACAAATATTTTAGATTAATTAATAATAGTTTCGACGTACTGTGAATTGAAGGTATCCCAAACCAAAGGGATTCCTCAGGACCCCAGGCGAGAGTGCGATATTATAGCTGTGCATTAGTGCGCAGGTCCTGCCAAGCCGCTGTGGAAGAAATGACGAGACTATAACAGAGTAATATTGGCCAGCCTGATTATTCTGAGAGAAAACCTCTTTGGCATGCCCGTGCACTCTGCTTCTTATTTATATGACCTATAAGTGTCTGCCAAGTTGTAGACAATATGGACTGGACAGCATTATAAACTACAGTCCATAGTTACACAACCCTTGCAGTGCTTTACAATGTGACTTACACCTGTGTCCAAGTGTGTGTCTAGACGAACAGCCTCTACACTGCAGTGACTTGTTCTTCTGGGCCTTAGGGCTGTCACTGGTGAACACTTGCAAGGTGAATGCGTCACTCTAGGCTACACTGCTAGCTTCATTAACCTCGCCGTTTATTTACACTCCCTCTGTCTCACACCCTGCACTTCCAGTGCCAGGAGGCATCTGGCCGCACACTGCATCAGTATTTCTTCGTCAAACCCTAGGCATACCTGCTCTCAAACTCTCCCCGGGAAACAAACCTTTCGCCAGCAACGCTCTCGCAAGTCTCAACTGCTACTTTCACGCAAATGCTTACTTGCTCATCGGTGTAGGACCCGAATTTTCCGCGCAGTCTTGGAACAAGCGCATCACCCTTGGAGCTCCATCTTGCGAAGCTTGGATATTTCGGTAGGTCCAATATGTTCACTCACTGTCTTTCAGCACATTTATTGTACATCGACTAACTTTCTTTTGGTTAGACAAACGACCCGCTATAGGTACCAAACCAGAAATCTACACCCATTATCAATGTCTCAGCTCGATCGAGTTTCATAGACGAAACCTCGAAGCTACCAACCCACCAAGCTACCAGCGCCGCTCAATCACTGTCAGTAGGGGACTCTTTCCATGATACGGATGAATTATCCACTAACCTCTGTTACAACAGCCTTCATCCCACGGCCGATATACAATTCTTGTAGTAAGCAACCAATATGTTCAAGCAGCGATCTCACGACACCCATTACAACACCCACTTGCCTCTCATCACCGGTAATCCTGGCCAGTACACCACTGCACTTCTGGGATCCAGTCTCATGGAGCGCTTCAAGACTACTGGCGCCCAGCTCAGCATCAACCAGAACCCGCAGATTCTCAACCTTGGCGTTAGTGGCGACAAGATCCAGAATGTGCAGTATCGCATCAATCAAGGCCTCGTCGACGCCCTCAAGGAGCACCAGCAGATCAAGCTCATCTATGTTCAAATGGGCGGCAATAACCTGGTAAAGAATGGGCTTCGCAAGGAGGATGTGGAGGGCTATGCGGAACTGATCAAGGGACTGCGCGCTGAGCTTCCGGATGCTACGATTGTAATCACAGCCTTGTTTGTGCAGCGCGGACTCGAGTTAAGAGTCATTGAGCAGGCTAACAATAGCCTGCGAGGAATCGCTGCTGAGAATGGCTGTGAGTTCTTACCTTTCGGCGATCAGCGAGGTATGATGGGCAGGGACAAGGTGCATCCTAACCTCGCTGGGTACACCAAGTGGAACGAGATCCTGGAGAATGACATGAAGTCTCGATAGAAAGGCAAACTATGGACTGAGAAGGAGATACAATGTACTTTGTGGTTACGGTGGTCACATCACTAAGAATTACAATCCCCCAACAATGTGTACTATTAATAGCAATAAGAATCTTAGGCTTCCGAGGCTAGTAGGGCAAAGTGCACCCGTCTAATATCCAGCAGGGGATCTAATTTACAGGACACAGCCACCACTGGTAATTTAGAAATACCACAACAAAGGTCCTGTGGGATCATTACTTGCGGATGTCACATTCCACTTGCAATTGTTTCCGTATTCTAATTCATTTACTCCCTAGATTCTATGTATTCCCTCTATCATTCTTTCTTTATTCGTACACATGAATACTCATACATTAAGGTTACTCATTGGATGAGTATAATGACTCGCGTCTATGAAGTTTTGTTGCTGCGCATGGTGAAAGCCCGCATGTATCCGCTTCATGAAAGTGTCGAGGATGCTTTCACGCAAGTCATTCACAGGATAGTCCTTGTGGAACCAGTGATGCCGAATAAAGACTCCGCCGCAGCTCTTATCGCCGATGTAGGGAGCTCCATTTCCATCCATGCACGGTATCACACGTACATCATCAGTCGAGTTGTAATCGTAGCGGACATAGTTGGAGAAGGCTGCTTGTTCGTGCGCCCAGTCCTTGGCCCATCTCCGACATCCCTTGTACTTTGCTTCTGAAGGACATTGGTTCCAGTCGTGGAAGAGGTCTTGTGTCCGATTACTTTGGCGGGCCACGATGAAGCCCGTATTCATCATGACTTTTCCTTTGTCGTCGCGGTTTCTTGGAGAATCTGGGTCGTTTGACATGGCGAGTAGGGTTTTGTCTGTGATGTTCCATAGGTTCATCAACCACTCAAAGGGCATCTCGGGGTACATGAACACAGCGTCGGCATCGAGGAAGACAACGGTCTCGTGAGTCTTGAGGGCTTCTTTGATCATTGGAACCTTGACCCAGGTCCCGTGGCGGTGGCGGTAATTGGGGGCTCGCACAAATCGGTAATCGTATCCGTGGATCATAGCTGGAGGGCAAAAGGTATTAGTCAATCAGTCTGCGTAGAGAGATTATGATGGGATATACCATAGAGATAGTGGTTCATCATTCCAGCAGTTCTCCCAGTCATTGCGCTGGTATTCATGGGTGACCTGTCCATCATGGCGCCAGCGCCAGTATCCAGCCGAGTATCCACGTCTAGGATAAGCAACTTCTTCTTCAAAGGCTTCGACCAGCGATGATTGCCTTTGTCTATACTATACTTGTATCCCTCTTTTGAGATAAAGTGTGTAGCATTGAAGTTGTGAAGGAATGGCTCCCATAGATAATGCATTAAATCTGGCGTGTTCTCCGCAAGCGCGACTGGCAAAGGAGTCGAGAGTGACGCTCTGATTAGGCTGTGGGTTAGAGAAGTTGGTGATGTAGTAAAGGGATACTTCAACCTACCGGAAGCTCAAGTCGGTGACGGATGGGAAGTAGAACAGCCAGGAGTGCAGTAACAGGCCAAAGGTCACAAGGATGCCCATAGCAATAAGAACACCTCTTCGCCTATTGGCTCGGAGAAGGAGGAGGTAGTCCATGGCCTTGTGTAGAAGAGGACTCGCCAATTCCTGACCTTCTAGCATACTAATTGGTGGAAGTTAAACTTGAGGAATTTCAAAAACTGCGAGAAAGAAAACGGGGAGCATCATAGATAACCGCGTTGGTGGCGGGGCTGGCAAGGCATTTTAAATGAACTTTAATCATTCGACAACATGGCAACTGTTGGTTGTCAAAGTATGCCACTGCCACTAAGCTCGAAGCGACCCCCAAGTCCATCATTACGGAGGCCTGGTGCGGAAAGGACCGAAGCTATTCAGAAATAGGATAAGCGATCAGATCACTCTTTACGGGGTGGGGCTCGTGGCTGTGTCAAGGGCGTTTATTGGGTACACCGGAAAGCTTGATTGCGCGGCAGCCGCTTAGCCGAGTTATACGCTTTAACGTCCCTGCTTTACATGCCGAATTATCCATCTCCCTTTTGCCGGCTCGTGCGGTCAAGAAAAACAAACTCATCGTTTACACCAAACTTTGCGGTACGAAGAGCCAAAGCTTTCCTTCACCCCGCGGCCTCCGAGTTTTCGGTCCGTTCAATTATACGACAAAGTAAGCCAGTGTCAGAGTCAGGTTGTCAGATTCAGCCAGTCCCCACCTACCCTTGTTTTCAACTCGATTGGCTTGGAGGGAAATGACAGCATAGTGAGATTAGCGGTAAATCTGTGCTATTCCTGGAAGCAAAGTCTATGTTACGAAAATTATTGCATTACGAGGCGATGATGCCTACCGTATGGTCGGGCCTCATGGACTGGTGTCCATTAAAGTCTTAATACACAGCCACTTCTACTTTCCTTTTTCCCCTGAACACAACCTTATTCTTAGGGATCTTTTTCAGAGTACTTTAATAGCAACTTAATAAGAATTGCCTATACGAGATGTACATATTAAGCGGATAGGAGACAGGTATGTTGTGCTTAGGGAGGTCTGTTAGTAGGGAAAGTGGTTTATAGAAGTGTTGTGGGTGCTTCTTCTTGCTTATGTTATAGAATCTCTTTATTGTCCAAGATAGAGCTACTCTTTCATACTTCGTGATCAGTCTGAAACTAGGGCATCTTTCCGCTCTTACGGTCATTTAAGCTTCAGTCTGTAATATGCTGCTAGGTTCTATACCACAGTGCACTTCCTACTGGGGATAGAAATAACCTTCCTTTTTTATTTCCACGGCAGAGACATCCATATAGTTACGATTCTTTAGAGAAATTAGTTTACTGCTGTTAACTATAATCTGTAGCTGCACGAACGAGGATCTATTACTCTTTCAAAAATTTCCAAGGCAATTTCACACAATTAAACATCATTAGATCACCCAAGTGCAGGAGCTTATACAAACTGTCAGATCATGGATCTTGATAATCACACTTAAGGACTTTTAGTTCTCACTGCTGCTTTGTCTTCTAGTAGCGGTATAGCTAATCAACTTGGAAGACTAACAGCTTCCTATGTATATTCTACGACAGATAAGTTGAAAAGGTGGCTTGTGATGTGTGGAGATAATGGGGCAAGGAATTATTACATGGGGCTACAATTTGCCACCGTCTCTCATGGTTGAAAGCCAATAAGGTTTCGTGGTCTAACGGTTATGACTGCGGATTCTGATTCCGCCAGCGAGGGTTCGACTCCCCCCGAGACCTTCTTTTTGCCCCGTTACAATCGGATTCTCCTATTAAACAATCAATAAAGCTGAAAATCAATTCATCGTCATTTGAAGCACATTTGATCGCCGTATTGACCAGACAAATCTCATTGTACTCAATCCTACATTAGATGGATTATAACATAGTTGGATAAATCTGCGAACAGACTCAATTGGTAAAGGCGGGAGAAAAAGAGCAAAGTAAGTATAGTGAGTAACGAGGACACTGCTCTTTCAGGTCCTGAATAACGTATGCAGGTTAACCCGCGTCTTTCACAGTAGCTTGTTGCAATAAAACCTACTAGTCTGCAACCATAGAGAAGATGTCTTCAATTTTAGGCCTGTGACGTAGTGGAAGCTTTGCGACACTTATTAATGGTGCAGATCAGGCTTTACCCAGTGTTAATAGTTCTACGTAAGATGTCGGTCTGATTAATTAAAGCGCTTGTGAGATCCTCTGATTTGCTTAGAGAATTAGTAGCGGGCCTGAGGTTGGTTTCGCAAAGTCAAGGATTGCAAAAATGGCAAAAGAGAATTTTGGAGGTGGAATCAACCTGTTGTAAAATGCGTAATCTGGGAATCGAACCCAGGGCTCCCCGATGGCAACGGAGAATTTTACCACTAAACCAATTACGCTTCGATGTAGATTGCAGAGCTATTAGTACATATACAGGCAGAATATCGAAAATGACAGCCATCCTCATTTGTTAAATCAGTCCTTTTAGTGGTAGAGAACCCTTCAGTGATACTCCTGTGTCTGATTTGATAACTTGATAGTAAAATTCGACTTAATGACGGTCAATTCCGACGTGGCAGTAGTAAGCATGGAGTTTACAAGTTGAACTCAACAGAATGTAGGTCTGTCCAGGCGAGGAATGATGTAAAAGTATTTATAATTTACAGTGCAGATTATTTAGGGAATACCAGACATGTAATACCTTCTATTATAGAGCTGGAATTATTTACTACTGAGATTTCTTCTTCCTTCTGAATTAGATCTTAAATTAATACGGTATTTAATGATGTACCTAAAGAGTAATAAGTACTCCCGGGTAGACAGTTAGAAAAATACACATAGGGATTGGTTGGCCTGTCAACCACTATTAATAGCTCCATGTAATCTTAATATGTTTGCTCGAGATGTAAAAAATATCTCATTGGCCTTTCAGAATAGCTGTCAGGATTAACAATTACACAACACCAACAAGATGGCGACAACAGCTGTTCAAATTGACCCAAACGGCGACACTATACTGACTCTACTGATAAAGAAAGGCCCGACCATTAATTTCGGCAATCTATTTAACACCGAACCCTCTCTTGCTCAGTCTACGGAACAACCAGAAGAGAAGCAGTTCTTATGCTCACAGAAGCACCTCACATTGGCATCCCGTCGTGCATCCAAGATATTCTCAAGCAACTTTAAAGAGGCTTCAAAGGAGGATGACGGCTTTTACCACTGGAAGTTTGGGGACCTTTTCGACGCTGAAGCCTTTGAGCTGGTGTTGAAGATCATCCATGGGAAATCCCGTAATATTCCTCGAACCGTCTCACTGGACCTACTGGCTGCCATGGCCTCTATCGTGGATGACTTGGAATGCCACGACACAATCGCATTTTTCAGCCAGGGTTGGATTCTTGCTTATGGGAACATTACACCAGCAAGCACTAAAACACTGGCCCAGCTTATTCTTGTCTCCTTCGTCTTTGAGAATGCCAGGATCTTCAAAACAGCTAGTAGGCTAGCCATAATACATAGTCGAGGTACTGTCTCGAGCTATGAATTGCCCATTCGTGTAGCTATTATGGGTAAGTGAATATCAATGAATATTTAACTATACCTTACAATTTAGACGTCCTGGAAAGTAGGAGAATTACCATCTTACGTACCTTGATTGCAGACCTGGCTGCGCTGGAGATAAACCTGCTCAATGAGAAAGCAGGTTGCAGTCGTGTCTGCAGGTCCATGATTCTGGGTGATTTGCTACAAGCGACAAAAGGAGGCAAACTATACCCGCGACCATCACCGCCATTCAGTACTTTGGTATTGCAGCAGGTCTTTAACTCTCTGAGAACTGCGCCTTCATCGAACTGTTTTAGCTCGTTGGAAGATAGCGTTGATACGAAGCGTTCGGATCAGTGGTGCCGTGCTGTTCTAGCTGGCCCTCAGCAAAATTCCATCGGATACCCGTTCTCTAATGGGAACGCATCTCAACCCAACGCAGCAAAGCAACAACAGAAACCTCATACTGGCCATCAATGTCAGAGCACACCTCACATTCATGGCAGCTCAACAGGATCGTTTGGTGCCGCCGCCACGGAAAAGAATAAGCTACCGCAGATTCTAGTTCGGCATCACTGTGGCCTAACCGAGCTGATGGCGCCCATTATTTCTAAAGCAGAAGCTTCGACAACTGGTCTGGACCTGCCTAACTATCTCGGACCTTGAGTACTCAAGCCTACCTAGTCTTTAGCAATTCGAGTAACAAGAAGGATAGAAAAGAGCCCAATGACGTTTTGTAGTTAGTAGGGCATGCTTGAAATAAATAAAGTTTGTTTGAGTGAACGAATAGCCCAGTAGTGTAGCCTGAACAAACTCTGATTCAAAGTCCTACGTCGAGGATGCTAAAAGATTTCTGTTTCTCATCATGTAGCTCTTGGGTACTCTTTTGCAAACGGCTTTCAACGAATTACATTCAAGGTCGAATGGTCTAGTGGTTATGATTCTCGCTTCACACGAGTGCGCGAGAGGTCCCGGGTTCGACCCCCGGTTCGACCTTTTTATTGGTCAGGATCTTTACTTTTTACTCCATCTAAATACTTCTTGGACAGAAAATCACAGCAGCGAGAGGCTATGTCAAGAATGTATCATAAGCATCTATTCTCAGTAGTGAATTGAAGTCTTACAGTGTTATTCAAGGAGGGTAGTAAGTGTAATAAATTTATTATCCCGCTATATTTACTTCTCTTAGTTACTCACCTTAACTCTCGGTTATATTATTCACTGGCCCTAATATGCACCATTCTGTTACTCACGGCACTATTATCTATATATAAGACAGATTTACAACTTAGTTTTAACTTATCTAGAACAATCCTGCCAAACAAATTATCCAATTCTTAAGTCTCTGTAGAATCCTTTACCCCAAACGTAATATTACTTCACCAAGCACTAATACTAGACGATGGATCAAGCCACGGATGGTGTCCCTGAAGAGGAGGAACAGGCAAGCTTTGGGTATTATGAATCTCTCCGACGGTCTCTCAATCGTCTCGCACTGTATCAGACAGACAAACGGTATATCCAGGATTTCATTACTAACCAACGGGGAGTGGTCCGGGTATTGAGAAGGTTTGCTCGACATAGGCTCCTGGATTCTGATACTCACGCTGGTCGACAGATCCGGGAGCTTAGGACAACTATTCTTCAGGAAGTCGAGGTGATGGAGATCGCTTTTAGCTATTTAGATAACGCTTACCTTGCAATTGAACCCAGAAGACGCTTTATCGAAGGAGTCATCAACCCAGACTTGGCGAATTCTGGGACCGCCACCCAACGAAACGCAGCTTTGAGGATGTTGAGGGAGTTTGACACACATTATGCTGTAGTCAATGGGCAATGGGATGCCTTGTTGAGGCACACACCGGAGGTTCGGTATTTTACGGAAATGGATCTCAGTTAGAAGCGATAGCTTATATCGGTCGCTTTGACACCTTATGGTAAACGCATCGCCTGGTCTGGTGGTATGCTGTAAGGCGACTTTGCCTTTCATCAGTTGGCATGGAGCTAGCTGATATGGAGAATTATTTGACTTCCCGGGTTAGACATTTCCCTAGCTAGAGAATACTACCACAAGTCACATCCTACGATAAATAGACAAAGAGTCAGTATGTGAGAGGTTTAGAAACCTGTTTGCATTACATGCTTATTATTTCTTAACTGATTCAGAGCTCTTACCCTAATGGTACATATGCCAAGAGGGGAATCTCATAAGTGTGTACAACTAAAAGACCATGCCCTTTGTCTGCTTTCCCTTCTCCTCCTCTACCTTGCGGACATTAATGTTTCTCCAGATAATAATAGAGAGAACACAAAGAGGCATAGTGGCAACACCCGTGATGGCCATGAGTCTCATTGTGTGAGCATATGCCCCGACAATGGCCTCGCGTTCAAGAGAACCATCGGCAAATGACTTCTGAACCTCAATGCTACCGAAGATAATTGAGGCATTTGCCTTGGCAGCTTCAGGAAGACGTTGGGCCAGCTGAGCGGGCATAACGTTGTTCCAGAAACCACCAGCAATGGCATAGCCAATACCAGCACCGACACCACCAAACAGACCCGAGAGAGCACTGGTGACAGCCAGGTATTGGTGAGTGACAGGAGCCATGACGGCGACTTGGTCCACAGTGGAGAAGACACCAGCACCAAAGCCAACAAGGATTTGGGTAAAAGCCAGGAGACCAACGTTGGTGTCTGGTGCTCGGAAGGGAATGATAAGGGCAGTGCCGAGCAACATAATGGGAGCACCAGCCATGGCAGTCCACTTGATGTTACCCGAGTATGCGACCCACCAACCAATCAAAGGTGCAAAGACGGAGGAGGTGAGAGAGTAGGCGTTGAGGACGTAGTTGGCGTTGGAAATGCTCAACCTGTTGACAACCTGGAGGTAGGAGCCAAAGTAGGCATTCCAACTAAAGGTCGACAGAAACATGATGCCGTTGAGCAAGCATGAACCAATGATAGTTCCCTGCTTGAGGTACTTGAATGGCAAGAACTGAACGGGAGCCAGCTTTGCCTCCCACAGGTAAAAGATGGGAATCAGGACAACTCCAAGAACCTCAAGAGCAATGATGTAAGGTGTCGACCAGACCTTGGGGGCATATGGGGCCAAGCTGTAGGGAAGAAGAAGGCAAGAGATGCAAGCGCACAGCAACACGATACCAATAATGTCAAACTCAACAAAGTAGAACTTGAGAGACTGGAGGAATGTGCGGTCAGATCTCTTGCGTGTGATGACGCCCTGCTTGGTGGCGGTGCGGAACATGTAGACCATTGTGGCCATGGCAGGAATACTGCAAGCAGCGATGATGATGGCGAAGGAGCCAAACGCCCATCGGAAGTTGAGGTTCTCGTAGAACCCTGTGGCGATTTCGGGGCTGGCAAAGGTGGCAACGATACGTGGAGTGGTGTTGATGCCGTAGATGAAGGCACGGTTGGTCAAGCTTGTCATATCAGCCAGCATAACGCCGATGACATACATGACACCAATGTGGCCGACCCAGTAGAGAATGTGGGCGCCGATGTACATCTGCACAGTGGTGCAAGTCGCCTTCATAATCATGCCGACGATGCAAACGACCATCATGAAGGCAAAACCCTCAACTCGGCCCCAGACATCAATGGCTTTGGCCAAGGGAAGGGGAGCACAAGCACCGATAATGGAGGCTAGGATGCTACCAATGTTGAGGAGACCGTGGGCGCCGAAGCTTGAGGTAATGTATGGGTTGAGGGCCGAGTCGACGTAGTTCATGATCATGTCAACGAAAGAGATCAAGTACAGCCTAAGATGGTTAGAGAAAGGTATGTCAAGAGTCATGACCATGACAGGAGCTTACATGATGAACATGCTGAGGAGGGTCTTCTTGGACCAGACAGAGGTGATGGCACGCACGCGCTCAATACCTTGCTGGTACTCGCCATCGGACTCAAAGTCCGAGGAGCCATCATGGACAGCAGCACTCTGTGTCTGTGGGATGCCAGTGTTCTTCTCTTCGTCAGAAGACCTGCCATCCTGGTGGGGGACAACCTCGGGAGGGTTCATTTTGCCTGCAAGCACTGTAGCAAAGATTAACAGGCGTGTGTGAGAAGAGATGGATGTCGAGGAAAGGTTGATCTTTGAAGGATGATGCTCTGTATCCTTTTTAAAATACCACCAAGAGGCAAAAGGCTCAAACACCCTGGCAAAGGTTGCATGCAGAAGCTGTCTTGGCAGTTCGACCGATGATCCTTCGGGCTGGTTAGACTGGTCTGAGTGGGCAGATCCGGGTGCCAAGCCTTACGAGCTCGGAGGTGGCTTCCAATATCAGATTAGATCTTTTAGATATGATCCTTCCCCCCACTTCGCGCTGTCTTAGTGTCAAATTCCATCTTATCAATCGATTTTTTCCCGTCTTGCGACCGGAGACATGTGGTCTGTCATCTTATCTGATCACCTTGATCAGTTGCTGTCGCGGGAATCACTGGAGTCTGAATTTTCCAAGCTATTGGTCTAGGGGTCTTGGCTATGCTTGGAATTCTACTGAGTGGGTAAGACTGCTGAAGGTCGGATATGTGATCCGTCATTGGGTTTGATCTGCACTGGAAACCCCTCATTGAAAGAGTGAGTGATCAGGGACTGAGACAGATAGACGGTTAAAATTAACATAATGAAACGGTAGCTCTACAGAAACGGGACTCATGCAGACAAAGCTTGTTCCTCGACCGATGAACGGAGCCTGCTGTGCAGCTTTTAAGATATCCCGTAAACCGGACTTTACCAGCAAAAGAGGGTTAGCCCAGAGCTCCATCAGACTCCACTATGAGCTTGAATCTCTTCCGAGTCCGCGGGTGAAGGGTTTGCCTTTGCTGACTTGCGCGAAAAATCAGCAGTTCCCCGACTGATCCTGGAAGCATTTCGGACCCAAGGAGCTGGCAAGGTAACCGGTCCGTCGCTAGGTCCGTCTAACTGTCTCTGCAGCCAGTAATATGAAGCTTGAGGCTCAAAAGGTTATCCCGTGCATGATCTAGCATTTCTAGACCCTTAACGTTGAAGCCGAAGTGGAGGTAAGGCCTGAACGTTACCACCACCTGCTCATGGGGCGAGTATTACATAATGAAGACGAAGTCGAAAGTATCAATCTCGTTCTGAACAGGCAGTAGTAATATGGTGATCTAGAAGAGAGGTTGAGCCATTAAGTATGTATGGACACTCTCAAGGACCCTTTTCCATGCAGCAACGAGGTTTATGATATTAAAATATTCCCACATATCTTCTTTCGAAGTGTAAATTAATGACAACTTTACTTCAGTAAAACCTCATGCTTATTTATGGCGCGCTCTCACAGCTTGTCGCACCCATTCAAGACCCTCGGTCAAGCCATCTCCAGTAACAGCACTTGACCCCTGTACGTACTATCAGTCACAAGGTTAGCACCAGCTCTGAAGTTTAACAAAAAGGAACACAAACGCATTTCAAGTCCCTTTCGAGATACTGTTGAATGTCAAGAAATTCGGTAAGCTCAGCGGCACTCATGGCTTTCTGCTCAACATTAGTTCCAGCTTTGCACGTGGTCGAAGAGTGTTACTCACTGGATTATCCTGCTTGTTGGCGAAAATGAGAAACGGCTGATGATCCAGCATTTCTTCTTTCAGCAGGTATGACAATTCAGTTTTGGCTTCTGTTAGAGTACCTCTGTCCGCGCTGTCGATAACAAATACGACAGCGTGGACCCTGGTCATAAAACTTCTCCAAGCAGGTCTTATTTTGGGCTCGCTCGTATAATCGAGCAGATTAAAGTGCTGGTTTGCCTGCTGGACCGGATTGGAAGTAACTGCTGTTCTCTTTATTAGTATTTATAATCTTATAATACTGAGGTGACACACTGTCGGTAGACGGTATTACTGGTGCCTTATTCCCACTGAGTTTGTATGCAATAGCTGTTTTACCCGCCGATTGAATACCAACAAAGCCCACCAAGATTGGCTCAGGAGTCCATAATCGAGAAATCGTAGCGCCCATGTTGGATCTAGAGGAAGGGAGTAATTATTAACAACAACTGAGAAACCAGAGGCTAATGGCAAGTCAGTATAATTTATGTATTCGCATCAAAGCGCTGTGGTGTCCTTATAATAGATAGGTAGGCATCAGCGGGCTTTGTAAATAAGCACTGACTGAAAGTGGGGGAGTTAAAAATGGCAAAATGCAAAAATTACAGTCAGCGGGCGCTGGAGACTTGCTCCCACCAGGGCTTGAACCTGAGACCTTCGCATCACCAATTACTCGGTATGAAGTATTAGTACGACGCTCTAACCAACTGAGCTATGGAAGCCTGTTGACTGTTGTTGAAGAGTACACTGCTTTCACAGACTGTATAGGCAGAACGTTTGTAATTATTTACAACCACGAAAATGGCAAACAGCCTAACCGTATATCACTTTAGATAGTTCAACATTGACATTCACTATTTTGAAGGAGATTACTTGGCTTGGAATTTATGGAACCTTATCTCACGATAAGAAAGGTAGCCATTTTCAACAGTTTTATGCTCACTCACTCTATATAATCTGCTGCTAGCTTTCTTGCACGTTACAACGATATTAGAAACATCTCATCTCTGTGTATGTGCAATGTCTAATTTGAGATTTCATGCTTTTCAACTCCCTAAAATTCTAGTTCTAATACAGTTGAGGCTGCCAGACCGTCCCGACCGCTGAATAACCAGTGTCGGCTGCTGATTTAGTCATCTCATAGCTTTGACTAGCAGTCCTGATCTACATTGGGGGATCTCTCCTCACAGGCCTTAGATGTAGCCGCACTGCTCTCATCGCTCCAGCCTCGTTTGGCTCCCAGCAATTGAGCGTGTATTTGAGTGTTGTCCTGTTTCTCACAGCCAGCCAGATCTGGAAGGGAATCGCTCCCACAACAGTCAGCCCAGTCAATACTGCTGTGACATAATGATTCTTCTTGGAAATCGGACCACTGATTCCTTGTGGCGTTCTGCTGGACCCGCCTCGTTGCCTCATTACTGTCTTCTTGTGCTGAATCGTCATCTTTCCACAATGTTTGTACCATTTCACTGACGGGGCCAGAAGGCCCCATTCATCTGGCCCAAGGTCGACCATGTTGTCGGGTACAATTTGATAGGAGGACCCTGGTCCTTCAAGAGGCATTTTCCACGCAAAGAGCGACTCGTCATTCTTAGCTATCAGAGCATCTTGGAGCCTTAAAAAGGCTGCTTTCCCTTCTCCGTACTGGACAGGCAAGTGAAGATTGAAGATCCCAAAGAGGCTGTACGCCATGTCCTCTTCCTTTGTCGTTTCGCGATCAGCAGCCCAGCTCATCTTGGCCGCAATGCAAGCGCTGCGAAAATCCGTTTCGCCTGTGAGATACTGCGCCGCAATACCAGTGACTTTCTCAATTGATCCAGCCAGCTCCTGCTTAGATCCGAGATAGCTCCAGTCTGCATCGTAGAAGAATAACTTTCCAGGTGCGAGAAGCTCTTGCAATGTCCATCCACGTGTGAACCACTTCGTCATCTCGCCAGTCTCAAAGCTTCTAAACACATGCGAGTCGACTTCACTGCCCGAGCACTTGCGCACGTCAGAGAGATATGTCAGACATACCACAGCTTCTCTGTACCACTTGAACATTGAATTGATTGATTCAGATAGCTCACTGTTGTCGGACTTGTTGATACAACAATTATCGATCCACATCCATTGCAGACCCTGCTCTCGCGCAGTGTGGCAAGCTTGCAGGATCTTGTCAAGCTGTGGTCGGGCGTGACGACCTTTGGTGTTCCTCAGATCCTGAGCAAATTGCCCTATCTGGGCAAAGAGAATCTCATCGGATCCCCATCGATGAGACAGGATTGCGTAGCCTCGCTCTTTGAAGTCGTTTTGTGTACTGGTACAGAGATCGAATGTGGCCGTGTTCATACAGCGCATCAAAGCCATATCGGTTGTTGTACTGGGCTGCACGAAAAATAGTTGAGTTGTGGACGCTTGAGTTGAGTGGTGTGAAATACCAATATCGAAAAGTTGGTATTAGGCTGTGACTAATGCGGTCAATTATTGATGCTTTGCGAGAGGTTTGGATCAGAACTAGAAGAATTTATCTGTGAATATACATCCGCTTGGCAGGGGTCAGGTTCCGTGTCCGACGGAGTTGGTTGCACCCCTTGTCACTGACTGTTTCATTTGCTTGACGCTGCGCCTTGCTGACTGTAATTGGGTGGGCACGGCTAGTACTTCAAGGCCTCCAATGAACCTAGTAGTATTGTTCAAATTTCTCACATTCTTGACTGAACTAAAAGTAATCAAAAGCTTCTGTATAGCTCTATCTTAGATCATCAAGCGCATTGTTGAGTCCCGCCCTTCTTCTTTCGTATTTTTGACGCAGCCTTGATAGGTTCCATTACCCAACTTTGCTTATAGTCATACGGATCATCATCCTGTGAGGTAAACCACACGACTTCATACCCCAAAACATCCTGATCGTCTGGAAATACAAACGAAGATATACTCTCTGCGTCTGCATTCCCAATGTAGAATGCCTTAGATTCAGAGACAATAACACGATGACCCTGATCAAGCACATCTTGAGTGACACCGTTATGCCAGGTCTGTATAATCCAGTCGTCGGATATGTTTATATCCTTTTCTTCATCAGTCAGAGGGTCATCCCAGAGAATCAGCGTTTTGGTTGGGTTTGAGCTCTTGAGCCAGTTCAGAAACGTCTCGAATAATTTGTTGTCGTCCTTCGTCTTCCAAATGTATGACACTTCATCACCGCCAAAGTGATGGATTGGAGATCCGAAAGACTGGTTCACCGTGGCAACCAGACTCTTGATGTTCTCGTATGTTTGTTTTTGCTGTGGCCTGATGTCGAGTTGGGCTTCCGGATGTGTCAGACTAGGTTTGCCTACTACCAGGTTCTTATGCCACAGTCCCCTGATAAATAATAGTTAGGGACTGTATGGGAAGTGTAAAATAAACAAATTTAGGGACATACCAAATGTCACTATGACCAGGCATGTCTGTCTCTGGGTAAACTTGAATCCCCAACTGCTTCGCATGTGCGACAACAGTCTGAATATCCTTCATGGTATAGTACTCGGGCGATTGACTGTACTTGATACTGGTATTCGTGAGACCACCATCTGCAGGCCAGTATATTGGGAAGCTTTCCGCATCGTAAATATGCCAATGAAAGACATTGAAGTTGTACTGCTGAAGCACAGCTAATAAGCCGAGAATGGCTCGGACTGGAAAGAACTTTCGGCCTGTGTCCAGCATGAAGCCTCTGTGAGGGTAAAGATCCGACGCCATCTTGTCTGGCCTTCGAGTGTCACGGCGTCACATAGATGGTGGTTCACCGACTTGATTGTGAAAAGAGGTTCGAGAGACCTTTGTGTTCCAACACCAAGATGGCGTGGTTGAGCTATTTAAGTAGCGTCAAAGCACGCATCCTACAGAAGGGGGCGCAGCTCGGCCAACCGGAGGCGTGCACCTGATCACGAGAATGCTCTGTCTTTGTACACTAGACTCAATCGGCCCGAGCCTATATTAATAAGTTAAGACATTTTATGTAAGAATTAGCATCGTATTGGAATGACCTCTATGGTGTGCTATTATGGCGAATGCATGACTTGGGTAATAGAGAACTTTGGTAATGCAGCCGGGTGTTAGGAGCTAGGCTAGGTTATAGTTGTCCAAGAACATCCTCTAAAAATTGTGGCTGGAATGCGAAGCGTGGTAAACTACCGTTTTATGGTTAGTATAAACCCAATATTAGCTTAAGTCTGCATAGAACTACAGTTATATCTCCTGATGTCGGCTAGAGCGGCTCAGATTATTAGGAAGGATTGTGGTCATAGCTTTTAAGGACTGTAAGTGTCCCACATTCCAATACTCTGCTAGACTTATTTCGGTCACGCCTCAGGAATCCTTCTGAACCAGGATTGTATAGGGCCACGTCTTGGCCTGGGATTGGTGAGTTTATGTCTTATCACTGGTAAATCTGTTAGAGTCTATTAAATAGAATATGGATAGAAATTTGATAACTAGGATGTGTAACTTAAATGAATATAAAGTAACCAAACTACTACAATAAATATTTAGCTTCAATAAGAGATTATTAAGTAGGACAGGCGTAAACTATGTAACTACAGTTGGGCCTGACTAGGCTGAATACAGAGTGTAAAGCTACTACGGACATCCAAGACCTAATGTATATATATAGCACTATAGTATAAGCCTTAAGGTAACTAAGTTGTAGTGTTGACTTTTAGTTACTGGTATATTAATAATGTCTTTAGAAATAGTCCTTGTATAGAGCTTCTTCCAGCCAAGCTATATTAATAAAACGTCCTATTAGTTTCTAAAAATATGTTGGGAAAATTAAAACCATTACAATAGTACCAAATTTCTACAAACTTGCCCTAGATAGATCTTACTGATTGGAAATTACTGATGTAGTATTAACTAAATAGATAATTATACTAGAAACTCTTGAACTGGATAAAAACTGACTTGCCTTTATCTATATACAACATGGTCCCAGTATAAACCTATTTGTCTTGGCACCAGGATAGCTTTACACTGTGGATCCCATTGCAGTTATTCTTCGGAGCTAATGTAGGAACTTAACATCTCTCTACTCCCGATCCCTTAAAGTCTTTCCAGCTGCCAAGCTGGTTTTGCAGTGGAATACACGGTATCCATGGATTACTTCCATTGCCGTGCACGCTCCATCATCAACACAACGTTTGCAATGATAGTCATTCCCTGTTGTAACAGAGCAATCTCCGTATTATCTCTCATTAACTATACAGGCTAGTTAGTATAGTAGTATGGAAAAAAGGGCATAATCTTTTACCATTGCGGGTTGGAAATATACTTACGCCCATACATCCTATAACTACGGTCTTGAGAGATAGCTATTAGTAGAGATTGTTAGTCTTTCTCTTGTTCTAGGTTTTTTATAGGGATATGTAACATACTCCAATGATAAACCAGGGCGTGGCTCTGGAAGCTCATTCCTAGCGGGTCAATATCTCGTGTAGGGCCCATGTAGTCGCATGCCCTCTTGCAACGGATGCCAGTCTTGTCAACACTGACAGCACTGCGAGGTGCCCATAGTGAACTGTCGAAAACCGAGGTACGTGTCTGGCCTGCCTCGATCATGGATTGTCCATTTGCCCCCAAGATCGAGATCATAGATCGCGCGATGGGTTAGGAATATATCGAAGTCAGCGTCTCGGCGGCTGGCAGGAACGCAGCCAGTAGGGTTGTAGTAAGTATACTGAATTTCGTAACGTTCTCTGTTGATAGCGAATAGGCGAATATAGGTGGAACAAGAGGTATCAGGAAGCCCAGCTGGAACAAGCTATATATATGAAATTACATATTTCGCACTGGTAATATTTTCTTCTCACCGCAGAGATTGCTCTATGGTACGGTAGAGAGAAAGGCAATCTCACGTCTATGAGCAGTGGATACCACGGAGTAAGACGCGAGTCGAGCCGCGGGATAAACAATTGATAAACGCGATATAGTTTTGACTTGTTCTTACTCAAAATGTCCTGCCTGCAGGAGAGCGTGTAGAGAGACACCCATGTGGGCGACAATTCGCCGTCTCAGGAAGGCATCCTGGATTGACCTTTCTAGACTATGAGAAGGTGGAGGAAATGCTCAACTCTTTTGAAGCATCTAATATGTGATATCGCTTTGCGACCTGGCCACAAACCATAGCCACCACATTCCACCAAGAGTAATCAAGAGGCTCCCGAATCATCCAATATCACTTAAATTCACACTAGGTTTCTTCAGCTGTGGAAGAAAGCGGCTATGCCAGCCCACTCGGACCATATCTACGACTTCCTCATTTCGAGTTGCCCTCCACTTTCTACTAAAATCACATCTCAGTCTAAAAGTATCACAAGTGGCAATCCCAATACTAATAATATTAGAGGTGTCCCAAACACCCGAAGCTGTCCAGGACGACCAGCCACGCAGCCTTCGAAGCCTAAAAGACTCAAGAAGAAACTCCAAGAATCTCAGGTCGCTGTATTCTGAATATGGAACAAGCATGTCAGTCCGGGCGTTTATCGCAAGTGCTAGAAATGGCTTGCTCGCTGCTTTACCTTTTACATCTCGGCCCTTGTTCAGTTGGTCTTTCTTATTGGTGATAAGTTCTTACTCGTTTTCTATCTTACCGCTCACTCTGCCTGCCGGTCTTGTCCTTGCAGTGATCTCAGCACTACTGCAAGATTACCATTGGGCAATCTTACTTGCATTTTGTTTCTTACCTGTGGTAATCACTGTTCTCTATTAGGATCAAAAGGGCATTCTATTCACCCACCCGTTCTCCCAATGAGCGTATTTTTCTTCATCATTGTTCTATTGTTGTACTCAGTATAAAATGTGAAATGGGGTAAACGGGTAGTGGTTACTTAGCCGAGGCCAGAGCTGTCTGCTTTGTTAGTATTAGATGGAGTTGATACTGTATTACAGGGCTGAACTCTCCCATGTAAGAATGTGACAGATAAGCGGCAGCGTTCCATTCGAGGCCTCAGGTGGCTTCAACTCAGAAGCTTTAGCGCAACAGGCATTTCAGCTCCTGGCAATAATTCGCTTTCCCCCCGCGAGGTGGCGGGCTGAGATTCCATAGCGCCCACTAGCCTGACGAACTATTTGGCCTAGCCACCCCCGAAAAGAATTATGCACGGCACGGCACGACCAAATGGAGAGAGTGTTATTGAATGGGTGTGCTGCGATGTCTCAAACTCTCGTTTTCAAGCGGTGCGATAAGACTCAGGCACCAGCTCAGTGGCTAGCTGGCCAAAATCTAGATCGCACTGAACTGAGCGCCCCAATCGCCCTTACAGGCTGCCTCAACAAGTCGTACAAGTCCAGAGTAGCCAAAGGATAAAATTCATTGCTTCCCCAGCTTAAGGGCGGTTTTCCTCCAGACCAATTCCATTCTTAAGCCATCCACATCCAACAGGCTTTATTCCCTTTATACCCAGGCGTCTTATCCTTATCTTCAAAATGACACAAGGCAGTGCGCATGTGGAGGAAGCCATCGTTCCTGATGAGCACACAAAGCTTATCATCTGTTTTGATGGCACTGGCAACACCTTCAGTGGTACCAATGCTGACACCAACGTTGTTAAGATCCTGCGAAAGCTGAATCGCAACCATCCCAAACAATTCCATTATTATCAGAGTACGTCTGCAATATTTTACTGCCATATTAAATTCGCTAATGAACATAGCTGGTATTGGTACATATGACATCAACGAGACATCAGTCAACAAGACGTATCTCGGAGAGATCCGCAGCAAAGTATCCAAGGCTATTGACTCAGGATTTGGAACAACTTTCGATGCCCACGTTATAGCTGGCTACCGTTTTCTCATGCGATATTACAAAACTGTGAGTAATATTTGGAAGGTCTTGTCATATCTGATCTCGCTAACCGGTATACAGGATGCAAAGATTTACATCTTTGGTTTCAGCCGCGGTGCCTTCACGGCCAAATACTTAGCGCGCATGATTAATGTGGTAGGTCTGCTCTGCAAAGGCAACGAGGAAATGGTTCCCTTTGCCTACCGTCTGTACCAAAAGTCCATTGAGTGCGAGAGCGCCGACCGCGTTAGGGCCCAAAACAAGAGCAAGATCTTTGTCAGCTCACATGACCACGACGAGGAATCTGAATCAACCGAAAATGCCACTGAGAGTGATCCTTTGCTTACAAATGGAAATGGTGAACCACCGGCGGTCAAAGCATGCCCCGACGCCCTTCTGGCTGGCGACAACAAAGTCTTGGAAAGCAAAGAGACTGCTGCAGCGAAGAAAGAGATCCGAGCTTTCGGTGAGACATTCTGCAGGACGTCTGGTGACTCTGGTAGCAACCACGAGAATATCCAAGTCTTCTTCCTTGGTCTTTGGGACTGCGTCAACTCAGTCGCTGTGGTTGAGAAGAATGCGCCAGCTCCGATTGCAGTAACTGGAACAGCAAAGCACATTCGTCACGCTGTGGCTGTCGACGAGCGACGTGTAAAGTTCAAGCCCGCTTTGCTTGCCCAGGACATTCGAAATGACACAGCGAACAAGGAAGACATTCGCGAGGTGTGGTTCCCTGGCAACCACGGCGATATCGGCGGAGGCTGGCCGGCCGTAGACCGCTCGAAATTGACCGCCTGGCAACGCTTCAAGTACGCCCTTCTCTCATTGAAGGCCAGTAACCTCCCGGACAACCTCGAACTCGAGGATGACCGTCTACAGATGAGCGACATGGCTTTGGAGTGGATGATTCGAGAGGTAGAGATTATTGGCAAGAAAGACCCGCGTTCTGCTGTCCACTGGTGCCACAGTAAGGACGAGTTCAAGGCCAGAATGAACGCAAGCCAGAGCGTGATGGACAACATCACCAAGGGATTCATGCACGACTGTCTATCGGTTGGGCGTGGTACCGCCTTCTCTAAAGTCCTCATGTGGAAGTTTATGGGTAAGCAAGCTCTCGTCTTTAATGCAAGAAATAAGCTAACTGGGATTTTTAGAAATATGTTTCTTCATTCCGCGCTGGGAGCTTAACGACGCCATAGAGCCTGAGAAGAAGGGCTGGGTGTACTACAAAGGTCTACCTAACTTTGGTGCCGCTCGTGATATCCCCCGAGGCGCTGTTCTTCATGAATCTCTCAAGAGGAGGCTCAAGGAGGTAGGAGACTACTCCCCCACCAACAACCACGGTGATCGGGACCCCGAGGATGTGAAGAAGTTCAAGCTATCCAAAGAGGAGGAAGGCGACAACCAATGTCTGAGGCCAAAGAAGGGTGGGCTTCCTGATCTTAAGCAAGCTAAGCAGACTCGTTTCGAAAGCACAGGGCTCAAGATTGATGGTGAGAAGTGGGACGAACGTCATGACCTATGGCAGTTTAATTACCCATCGACAACTTCACGGACAAATGGCCACTAAGGCAAATTGGGGAGAGGAGAGAGACACGAAGGATTGAGTCTGTTATTTGTGTGGACTGTAAGGCATTGGCTTGCTCTCTTTAATATTGTTAGATAATGCTTGCCTGTATTGCGTATAAATGCTTAATTCTCTAGTATCTTCATCCTTCACAATTTCGATAGAGTCAACTCCCGCCACTATTTGGTATGTGGTAGCCTCGGTACAAACCCCGCCTTTTGGGCGATGGAAGCAGCCAGCAAGAGACATCAAACGTACCATTACTAAGCAGACTTGCATGCTTGCAACGTCATAAGTATTCGTCCCCTCAATTAGTCTGCGTCCTATTCTTGTAGATATCTCAAGCTTGTTGTTATCTCATCTGGCTGCAACAATGTCACCGAAACCCTCATTCGATTCTCTCCCACTACGTAAAGATGGCCCTCGCGGAAATGCCTGGGGCCTTTTTGGCGATAACGACGAATGTGGTATGCTCAATCTCCTGACGCCTGAGGTAGTAGCCAAGGCTGCAGCAGAAATACGAGACGGCGTTCGTGTCTCGACTGACTGGCCCCTCGATCGAATGTCAAGACCGTGTTTTGGTCGCGCACCTTTCAAGCACGAGATAAAGACAAAGTCCCCTCGGGCTGTGAACGATGATACTTTGACATTCAATACGCAGAGTAGTTCTCAATGGGATGGCTTTAGACACTATGCGTACCAGAACGAGAAGGTCTGGTTCAACGGAAAGACTCTAGATGATCTTTTATCGAGTGATGTGAATGGAACCCAAGGTGAGTGAGATATCTACTCCATCGAGGCGGGTTAAACTATATGAACTAACGCGTGCAGCTTGGGTCAACCGAGGTGGTATTGTGGGACGTGGGGTGCTACTCGACTATGCAGCTTGGGCAGACAAGAATGGCATAGAGATAACCCCTTTTGAGACAAAGTCGATCACCGTCTCAACCTTGAAGGAAGTTGCTGAGAGTCAAGGGACGAAGTTTCAAGCAGGAGATATCCTGTTTATTCGATCTGGATGGACCCGAGCATACGAGAAACTCTCCGACGAAGAGTGTAAGACTTTGGCAGACTACCAAGTCCCACCAGCGCATGGGATAGAGTCTTCCGAAACGACCCTCCGATGGCTCTGGGATAATTCCTTCTCAGCAGTGGCTGGCGACCATCCCAGTATGGAAGCATGGCCGTGTCAGAATACTGATTTCTTTCTTCATGAGTGGCTTTTGGCGGGCTGGGGTTTGCCCATTGGGGAGTTATTTGATCTTGAGAGGCTGAGTAAAGAGTGTCAAAAACGCCAACGATGGACCTTCTTCTTTTCCAGTATGCCTCTTAATGTAAGTGTGCTATTGAGCCTTGTAACAGCTGCGAGCTAATGCGTTCTAGGTACCCGGGGGCGTTGCAAGCCCACCGAATGGTGTTGCTATTTTCTAAGTGTCTACTCTAGTTGTGTGCAGGAAGGTCACATATCTTATATGAACCTTCCAAAAATTCATGATAGGTTAATACTAAGAGCAGATATGGCATAGATTGTAGAGTAGCTATTGGACTTGAATTTTAGTTTAAGGGTAAGTTCCTTGCCTGACACTTGGGATTATTATTCCCACTTTCCAGCTCTGCTCTCATCCAGAAGCGGGTAATCCGCGGAATCATTCGGTTGGCTTCCGTAGCTCAGTTGGTTAGAGCGTCGTACTAATACTTCACACCGAGTATCCGGTAATGCGAAGGTCTCAGGTTCAAGCCCTGGCGGGAGCAATCCCAGTGCCTTCCGAATGTGTTTTTTGGTTTTGAAAGATACTCCATCCAGTATTTACTTTTTCTTTTTAGGGTGCCTGCCTATCTATCTATTGCAGTAATAAATTACTGTTATGTTTGAAGTGAAAATTAGTATTAGAATTAGAGTGACTATTTCATAGTTAGGACTGACTACTATCTATGCTCATCCCCAGGCTAGTCTTAACCCAATTTTCTTTTCTTACTCTTGTTGCTGCTCTGGATATGGGTCGCCAAAGAGATATTCACACTTGCCCTCCTTCTCCTTCACCATAATCTGGTAAACTTCCCAGTGCTCAAAGACCTTCATCTTCTCAAGAACATGCCACAGTTTGTCCTTTGTCTTCTGCGGATCATTGAAATCCTTTAGGATAAAACATGTGAGCCGCCCATTTTCAAGATCAACTACTTGACGAGCGTCTGAGCCGTACTTTTTCTTAAGGCGGTGCTTATGTGGCCCTTCGGAGGGCGTCTCTCCCTTTGGGACCAACTTGGCGTCCATTCTGTCATACCAAGCTACGGGCATTATGAAAGTGATTATGTACAATTGAGTTGAAAAACTGATTTGCTGCACGTGGCCTGTGAATTTGTGTGAGTGCTTGGTGAGACAGCAGCTAAGAACAGAGCATAGCACATTCATATATCTGGATGGACGAGAATTGGCTGTAAGTTCACTGGGCCTTGTGATCAGTGAGTCAAACGATAAAGGCCCTTATTGAGACATAAGAGTGGCATAAGGAACAGCGACAATGCTTGAATGGCTGTGATTTACCACGTGGGCCAATTTCCTTTTTCCTCGTCACATCACAGTTTGGACACGCCGCCGATTCACTACGGGCAGGATAAGAAAAGAAGACACTCCGCCATATATGAGCAAGACTCCTATACAGCCAACGTTTTTACTCTTATATCCAAAATAATATTCAGTCAAACTGCGCAAGTGTATAAAGCTAGAGGGGGAACTCTTAGAGACACTCTATGGAAGAAACTGGGCCACCCTACAGCAGCACTATGAAAAGAATAGTAGAGTAGGTCTATAAAGACCACGGTGTAGGAAATAAATTTGGAGCATTTGTATTCTCTAATAAACTTTTACCATCGTTTCCACTTTTTCAACTTCTCTTCTGTTGTTTACCGTGCAATATTTTGAGACTTTGTTACCTGTTAAACGTCATCACAAGTTTACTTTTACAGTTGGCCTACTCAGAATCATTTCCCCGCACACAACCGCATTTAACACTGTCTCTCGGTATGTGGGCGGGCTACTAATTTAAAGGAGGGGGTAAGAGAAAAGAAATGTAGTATAGAATATATCATATGTAATATTATAGACGCGTCGTGGAATCCAGATGGTTGAATTTGGACGGAAACTCAGAGTCCCGAGTGCGCTAGTGTCTTGTCACGTCGCGAAATTGTATCAGCTAGTGATTTAAGCTTAACTCCAGGCACCCAACACCGCTGTGGAGCCCTGTAGCCAAGGGAAAAACAGACTTGGCATGTTTGTATTGAGCGTTAGTCTAACTATACTGAAACACGTTTCAAATGCTAGTTCAGGGATAGGAATACGTTGTCTGTGATAATTACATTTATATTCGCTAGTCTCAAAAGTTAATATTCTCAGTATTCTTTTCATCCGAGCTCTAACTCCTTTCCATTTGCATTTGCCCATTTTCTGCCCTGGTGGCGTGTTTGTTTATTCGTTTCTTTGCCCTGGCGGCCTTTAATTCATAATTTCTTTCAGCACTCTAATACCATCATGTCTTGCCCCGTTTCTGGGTCAGTAGAAGGACAATGTCCTGTCGGTGGCTCTTCTAAGCCCGCTCAAGGGCGTCGAGGATGCGCGTTCTCTGGAGCGTCCCAGCCCGGAGATATTCACGCCGCATTCGACGTTAGTTACACCCTGCACGCTCTGAGAACAATGGCTAATGAAATAAACAGATTCCTCGCGGTATCGATGCAGAAGAATGGCTTCGTACACGGTAAGAATCTTTGAGAAATACCATGACGCACGTTTAGCATCACTGACATGTGATTGTACAGTGAACGACAGTCGATTAACGACCTCCTTTACGCTAATTACCCATCTCGCGAACAAGTTGATTCTGTCAAAAGCCAGCAAGAACTCGACGGAATGAATCCAAACGACCAAGACCTCCTCGCCGTCGCACTCGGAGCTCCAGCACGACAAGTCCTGCGTAGAGCCGAAGAGATCGGATCACAGACTGGATGGCGTGATGGATACCTCAGCGTCGAGCATGGCTTTTGCCCAGCAGACTACGAAGAGCCCATAAGCGCGCTTGCTAAGTCGCCTGGCAGGATCTGGTCTGACCTCTGTGAGCGCATGCCTGGTTGTGTTGCTAGAGGACGAGTCCGAGAGGCAGTGGCTGCGCTTCCTCTCGTTGAGGGTGTGGAAGAGAACATCCCTGACAAGGCTCTCTGGGGCGCGGTGGTGGCTCTTGGTATGCTGTGCTCTATCTACCGATTCGAGGATAGACATGACGGAAAGGACGGCGTGACAATCCGGAACAGCATCACAAGTAAGCCACAATGTCCGATGGGAGATGATCTCTGCGAGGAGCTCGAGGATATCCCGTTGTGCATCGCACTTCCGTACTATCAGATCTCACGAAGAATGGGGAGAACCTTGCCTCATCTTTCGTTTCCCGATCAGGCATCATACAACCTCAAAATCCGAGACGTCAAGTCCAATTCCCCATATCTTGCACGGTTCGACAACACTGATCTCAGGTGGCCCATGTTCGGAGAGAGGGCCGAGGTCGCGTTCCTCAAAGGTTGTGCCGACACATCTGGTGAGCATCCCCTCTGCATTCCGGTGTAACTACTACTTACTAACACCCGCCAGCTTCGTTCCAACATGGCCCAGATGCTATTGCCGCCTGTCAGGAGCACGTCATGACTGGTAATATCGAGGGTCTTCTTCACGAGATGGTTCGACTGAAGGAGATTCTCGAAAGAATGCCCAATGCCTTCCACAGTATTTCCCCCAATCCCAACGCAGGGGATAACTACGTGTCCGCCGACCGGTGGGTTCGATGGGGCCTCTTTTCCACGCCTCTTTCCAAACGGACCCCAGCTGCTTCGGGGTTGCAATTCCCTCCATATCTCGTTATGGATGCCTTCTTGGGCCGCAAGACGTGAGAAACTCTCTTTACTAGCATTTACAGACTCAACATTAACATGAAATTAGGCACACGTCGTTCCTTGGAGTTGAAGCCCTCCACCTTCGAGCCTGGCTCCCTTCGAATCATCGCGCCTTTATTGCTGCAATCCAATACCACTACTCCGTTCCCGAATTTGTCCAACGGTCGGGAGATGCCCGCCTGATGGGCGTCCTCGAAGGCATTGTGGAAGCCTACGCCGGTGAACGCGGCTTCATGGGTGTACACAGGTACAAGGTCTTTGGAATACTAGAGGTCGCAGCTAAGACTGGCCGAACTGCCACCAATGGCCTCTCGGGCGCCGCAGATGCAACAAGGCCTTGGGAGGAGACTCATCGACAATTCTCAGATGCAATGAAAGAGCGCCTTGAGCCGTTCCGTGGCAAGCTTGATATGGAACCACACTCGATGAGAGGCACCTTTGAGGAATGTCGGTACGTGGCTAAGATTGCGAGCTGTTCCGCAGTTGACACAGACGTAACCCGTTCCACTGCCCGGGTCACCCTTGACATCAGAGATACTGGTATCACATTTGCACCAGGAGATCGTGTGGCTGTGATGCCTCTAAACAGCTGGAAGGAGTGTGCAAAGATGGTGGCTGCCCTTGGTCTTGACCAGCATCTTGACGAGCCTGTTCAGACCTCAGGTTTGTGGTCACGGTTTGAACACCATCTCTCTTCTGTGACGAGGTCTTCGCACAGGCAGCTTACAGTTGTCGACATTCTCCGCCGCGGCCACCTTGCTCCCATTACCAAGGAGCTCACTGTCAAGATCCACGAGCTTCTCCATGCTTCCTCCAACACTGTTCTCCAAGTCCTGGCTACCGAAGAATGGCCCGTCAATGGATCGCTGGGTGATCTACTGCAAAGAGCAGTCATCGATACTCCAGGCCACATATGGAACAGGGCATTCAATCTTAACGATCTGAGCTGGTTGTCCGACCTCGTTCAACTAGAGGTCCCCCGAACGTACTCTATTTCAAGCTACAGCGACGAGCTGCTCCCCAGCACGGTTGACTTGACTATCGCTCGTGCCGAATATAAACTCTCATCGATCTTCGCCAACGGACAGCAAACTGTGGGAGCCGGTGTCTCGAGTGGTTTCTTCAACCCGGATCCGTCGTCAACTGGAGGCTCAGAATCCGACCAAGTGTTACTTGGTGTGTCAAGGCCGGCATCCTTCCAGCTACCACTTGACAGCATGGCTCCTTGTGCGTTCTTCGCAGGAGGTAGTGGAATTGCATCTTTCCGTAGCTTCTGGCAGCAAAGGTTATCGACATCAGGCCTTTCTGGAGGTCGCAACGTGCTGTACCTAGGCGTTCAGTCCCGTGACAAGTTCTGCTACGAGGACGAGCTTCGCAGGCTGACCAAACTTGGCTTTATCGAGGTCAATCTTGCCTTTTCTAGAGATTCCAGAGGGCTAGCATATGACACTGTGACACGAGACCTCGTGGAAAGAAAGACATCCCCTCGCTACATTGACAGCTTGATTGTCGAGCAGGGGGAGACAATCTGCGATATGGTGATGTCCAAGAAGCAGGGCAGCTTAGGTGGCTACTTGTATGTTTGTGGCTCAGTCTCAGTCTTTGACTCTGTTATGAACGGCATCCGTAAAGCCATCTACACATACCGAGCAGCAACCATGGACACTGTCGACTTGATCATGGACAAGGCTTTTGCAGAGAGGCGCTTTATGCTTGATGTCTTTATGTCCCCCAAGCCTCTGTCGTGCAACCTACCCAAGATCTCTCTCTCAAGTCTGGCTCTACATACTGGGCATCGACCAAATTCTCGAATGTGGATTGCTGTTCATGGAAGTGTATACGATGTCACCGACTTCTGCCCGATGCACCCTGGAGGGACACTTATCATCAAGTCCAACGCAGGCGTCGATTGTACCCAGTCCTTTGACAACCTTGCGCATACGAACAATCCCGAGGTGTCCAGTCTTCTCACAAGGTACTTCATTGGACATCTAGCCCCTAAGCCCGACTATCGGGGAGATAGCGACATCTCCAAGCTTCACGACCTCTGGGCATCTTACTTGAGGGTTTCAGTGGAGACCCTTGTTGCTCATCAGTTTGAGATGCATGATATGATGGGCGCTTCATTCGAAGCTCCATCTGCCCACGATCCAAATGGTATCAACAACATTTGGCTACGTGAGGATCTACCCAACACCATTGCCATCAGAGCATTCCATGCATATCAGAGTCGACTCTTGCAGGGCGGCTTTGCTGCACTATTTGGCCCCAAGCTAGAAGAGTTGGTCCTCCGTCTGTCCTTCAGCTTTGCCAGCGCAGGCGGGCCTGGTGCTGCCAAGAAGATGCCAGACATCCTAGGCACAATCTCTCGTGCAAGGTCAAGCCAGGAAGCAGTTCACAGTATCAAGGGAATCAGTGCTCTTGGAGACCTCATCAGTGACCCAAACTCTGACCTGCGATTTCAAGAACGTGGAGTGTTCGCCTACACCGCAAAGTGCATGCAGCTTGACATTGAGCTTCTGGAGGATCTGCGACAAGAAGCGTGTAATGGAATGGATGCCTTCACCAGCATTGCTTCGGCCCTTGAACTTTTGAAAGACGGTGATGGAGACGCCACGGCATTGGCTGCTTTATGTTCCACTCTGCTGCAGACCCTGGAGAGAATGGCACATCGACTGGCAATGTTCTATACTCAACTGGCTCGCATCTCGCTTTATCAGCCGGAAATCGAACATAACCCAGCACGGACTCGCTGGGCGTTTGTGAGGCGATGCGTTCGTGATGGTACCTTCTTTGTCATGACCCAGAGGACTAGTAAGGAGATTGCAACAGACGGTCCAGCAGAGTCTTACTACATGCCCACAAAGTTGATGGAGAATACTACTTTTGACAGCATTATTTCTCAGATCAACAGTGTTATCCAATCGTCGAGCACAGAACCGATGCAGACCTTGGAAGTAGCGACAGTCAACACAGTCCATCAGGAGAGAGGCAGCACAGTGAGCAAAGACACAACCATTGCTTCATCTGCTTTCAGACTCAATGCTGGAGCTCTTGAAAGTATGGAAAGCTTCATCAAGAAAAATCAGAAAGCCATCCGCCGACTGAGCCACATGCCTAAGCCATCCCAGCTTTTGGATCTGCAAGAGGCTGTTGCAAAGAAGGACAAACCCAAGGTCTTTCAGCTACTGGATATCAAGACGGCAACATCACTGGATCCATATGCCTTGTCTGCCTGCGATAACCAAATGATCACTGCGCGAATGAGGCTAATGGCTCTGGGAAAACTGAAAAGTAAACCGCAACCAATTTGCGATAACAGCGGTTCATCTCGGCATAGCTCAATTGCTCCAGTCAAGATTGATGAAGTTGGGGAGCTACTCAGTTCCGACAACCATTATCTCGTTAACTCCTCGAAGACATTCTCCGGCCATGAAAGCATACCATCTTCGGCTTCAGGTACCAGTGTTGGATCTAGAAGAAGCTCATTGGGTGCCAGCTCTGTCGCAGACACTATCACTGAGAGTACTGTCTCATACAGTACTCCAATGCGACAAAGTATAGCCAGCATAATGCCGCAATTGAAGCTTGACGGACTGAACAGGAGGTCACGCACAGAGTCAGTTTCATCCAGGCAGAGCTCCATATCAGCATCGAGTGCCATGGGCTTGAGGAGGAATAGGTCAGTGTCAAATACTAGAAGGGCTTCAAAGGGATGGTCTGTAGATCACGGGCACACGAGGGAGCAATCAGCTGGGAGGTTATTGTCATTTAAGTTGGGTGCCTTAACAGATCGCAGAAGGTCTATCACCACACAGTCGTTTTGATCAATTAGGTTGTTAAATACACGATTAACTATTTGGGTTCTATAGTGTGCCACGTAGGTCAATTGACCTGCTCATTAACGTATGTAGTAGGAGGCTCAGTAAATCTTATTAGAGGCCCGAATCCACATCTACCTCAGCTGTGAGGACATGTTTCTGCTTGAGATCAGGGCCCATAAGCGGCAGAACAAAGGTCACATCACAGTGTTCCCAAACAAAGGACAGGCACTAGTCTTGAAAAGTACTCCTCATCTACCTTTGCAAGTTATGGACAAGGTCTACGTGTCCATGCCGAGCAGCCGGGACTGATCGATCTTCAAGCGGCTAGTCATTACAAGAGCCAATGTCTGGTTGGAGAAACACAACCCACCATTATGCCGAGATCGAGATCCAGTCGAGATCATCAGGCTGCAGCAGATTGATGGCTCAAAGCAGAAGGAGCAAAAGATCCAAGGAAAGGCGAGTACTTCCAGGGTCCGGGAAAGCAACCGCCACGATGTGTTGTGGAGTTTGATGTCACGCCTTGGGACGTCTCATTTTTAGCAACGCTCCGTAGTCTCAGAATTCCACGCATTTACGTAACTAACCGATAAGGTTTTACATCGTTTAACTCTACGGTTCAATAAATTTCTATGACTTTGCTGATCTAGGCATTAGGCACATCAATTGTGCATCAGTCACGACTGCGCACGAACCCGTTGGGGGTCTAATCCAAGGGTGTCATAAAATTGAGATGGCGCAATGACGGATTCGGATGTCTGCCGATCATGCCATATAAGTCGTGACATGTCTCAGCCCCATTTACAATCAAGATCAACTACACACACCCTGCGTATCTTCACCGCCTTTGTGATAAGGGTTGCAGACTGACTGGCATGTAAAAAACTGTCTTGGTACTAACTATCCCTGCATATGGAACGCATTTAGGTGCAGCATGTGTATAATCAGTCAACGACTAGGAGGTTATTTTCCGCCCGAGGTGCGGCCCGGACCGTAACATCAAACTAGAGTTCGTACTATTAATGAAGATGAGGTCTATACAATCTAGTTCTTATCGGTCTGAAGAATCCAATAGAAAGGTCTGAATACTCTTGCTCAATCGTACTCTTTTTTAAAATAAAAAAACACCACTAGTATGTTCTATCCTTTCATAATGCTGTGAATGGAAAAAAGGCTGGTGGAATGTCACACTGTGAATTTGTAACCGGGGCTGGTGCTCGTGAAGCCAGCAGATCTCAGTCGATCAAGGAAAGTGTTACTGTAGTCCTGTAGGAAACTGCGTAAAGTGAGCACTAAACACATGGGTCAAATTAATAACGCAACCTGCCCAAAAGGATAAGACTTTGTCTTGGCCACTTGCAATACTATTGCATCATTAGTAACACAGAAACAACTTGTGGGCCTGGTCTCAACCATGCAATAACCAGTAGGCTATGGCCAAGACTCAAACGTGCCTCTTCCATCTTATGCATAGTCAACAAGCAGAATGATAGACCACAATTCTGCTGTCAGACAATCCGTGGGACCGCAGCAATCTGCTTCTCCGGACAGTGTTGTGCCAATCCCAGTTTGTCTTAAAACGCAATATGGAATTGCCCCAAACGGTAAGACAAGCGCCGCCAGCTGAACTATGCCAAGGCACCGATGGGGCCGTGGGGCAAGTCAAAGGAGAGGCATCATAGGATGGATCTACAGCAAAGAAGCGCATGTTTCAGGGAGTGACGAAAAGGGCGAGAAAAGGCTAACCCGAATTACGAACCATCGCATACAAGGGGACTTGTTCATTATGAGCAACATAGCACAATGCTCAAATTGTGGAAAATATGGGGTATCTCCTAGTGGCCTTGCGGGTAACGTAAAATTTAAACGGCCCTTTGCACCATGCACACTTGTGTACAGTATTGTCAAGATCACATCTCTTGAAAGCCATGTGTCAGCCAATTCCTAACGGCTCGGAAAGAACCCTTAAACAGGTTTCAGCTTAGGTAGATGACAAGGACGGAATGACATACGTGGTGAGACATTTCGTATTCAACTTCTGAGATCATATGTCGCAATCGCTATAGCTATCAGTAGTTACAAGGAATGAGGTGTCCGATGATATCCGAAAAATGAAGCCGTGACCATGTAGCGCTTCAGGTGAGTTGACAGTCTTTTTGATTAAACCAAATATCGACAGTGAATATGAGCATTATGACGAAGACCCTTCCTAGGTATGACCTTGGACCATTTGTGGAAGATAAAGATCCTCCAGGTACCGCTCCTCCGCTTCAGTAAGTTCCTTGCCAATTGATCCTAAGGCCTCGTCCATTCGTCCAGTTGTGCTAAATCCAATAATGGGAGAAGTAACCCGTCTGTTCAACCATGCCAGGCCGACGTGACTCATAGGCCAATTCCTGTTGAAAGCGATTTCCTGGACCCTATGTAGTAACTCCTCTGTGTTTGACTCATCACTAGCGTAAATAGACCCAGTGCCGTTGGAAGACCGGATAGTGGATGACTTCTGCTGTGGTGGACGCGCCAGTCTGCCTGATGCTAGGGGAGCCCACTACCATCAACATGTTAGTAAACAGCAAAACATGGGCGATCGAAGTCTTACCGGAATTAAGCCAACACCAGTCATATTGCAAAACTTGTTCATCTCTCGTTCCTCTTCACGATAGATCAAGTTATAGTGGTTCTGCATGGATACAAACTTGGTGTACCCTTTTCTCTCGGCCACGTGTTGCATGGCAGCCAACTGATATGTCCACATAGAGCTTGCTCCAATATACCGCACCATTCCCATCCTTACCAGATCGTGCAATGCGCACATCGTTTCTTCAATAGGAACCGTATGATCAAAGCGGTGGATCTGAAAGACATCGATGTAGCTTGTGTTCAGCCGCTCAAGGGAAGCTTCCACGGCATTGAAGATGGCAGAGCGAGACAGTCCTGTAAATCGTTAATAAGATGACAAGAGCTTGAGAGGTAGAGATCTAATAACCCCATTGATTGACATAATCCTTGCTCTTGTCTGCCAGCTCGTGATGCATTGTGACTGCGGCTCCAGCATCATAATGTTCAGAGTCGCAGATAACTCGATAGCACTTTGTCATAATTACCACTTTACTTCGAGGGATCTTGTACTTCGAAATTGCTTTCCCCATGATTCTCTCTGATTGCCCATTTGAGTAGACATTGGCCGTGTCCCACTATACACATTAGATTTGCTTTGCTAAGGATGATTATACATACGGTGTTGATACCGCGGTCATACGCTGCTTTTAGCAACGGTAATGCCTGAAGATAAAAAGACTATGTTAGTATGTATGAACACTCCATGGTAAGTAGTCAAATACTGACCTTATCTTCCTCTAAAACCCATGGTAGCCATCTCGAACTGCCCAAGTGCAAGCCTCCCAGAATGGGGTTTGAGACTCTGAGTCCACTATTGCCCAGGGTACGATAATCTGCTTTGGTTTGGGACAGAGAACAAGACAAGGACTCTGGTATCCTCAGCAGCTTCTCGACGGCAGCCGCAGGTCTAGCAGCGGCCATAGCAGCCATGTTGGGCAATGAACAGCGGGTTGGTGGTGAAAAAGTAGAAACAGTAAAGCTACTGCAAGATTTGAGAAAGATGTGCAAGCTGCTTGATCGTTAAGGGAGTCTCCCGCATGTCTTTAACCTCAGGTTGGATTTGCGTCGTGATTGTCACGTCAAAGGTGTGGGCAGAATATAGTGGATATCTTTTCAATTGTTGGTTTTCTCTGCATATCAGCTTTGATGGTGTCTTGCCCTTCGTCCCTCGTCGTCCAATCCTAGCTACTGTTTTGGCGCGGTGTTGTTTGGCATGAGACAATTACGATGTGCCCAAGGGAGGCATGTTGAAAAAGACGTGAGGCATTATTAAATTGTCAATGTGGAACCAGGTGATTCATGTGAAACCCAAATATGTGGTTGTTTTGACGAGGATACTTTCGGCAAGATATCCTCATGACCTCAACTCATTGATCTTAATCCCTTGCAGCTACCTGGCTGAGTAAAGTGTATTTATTTGAGTATAGTTAGGTGTCAGAGGTTGAGACCAATCATTGAAGTAGAATAGAAACGAACCGTATTCATTTCAATCAAGACCCACTGATATGATATGGCGGTATAACAAATCACTAAATATTACTTAGCATCGTTGAAATAACTGTCATACACAACTTGATAAGTTTATTCCAACCACTTAAGGTGTTTGTGAGATGAAGTCATGACAAGTGGGATGTAATATTTGTCCAAGGGCGGTTAAGAAGCTCCTGCCACTACGATCGAGTGACTTTAGCCCTTGAAAGATAGGGTAGTTCTGAGACGAAACAATTGGGAACGGAATGCAGAGATGCGGTGAGGCATGCATACACCCGTGCGGATCGTCACCTGCTTGAATAGGTCATTCGTGATGAAAGGCGGAGATTATTCGCGCGGGCCGCGGGGGGCTCTCCGTAAAATGTCTCTGAAGGCCCTTTTGATGCAAGGAGTTTTGAAAGGGTCCATATCTAGCTTTGCACATAAGCCACAGAAAGATTCTGATCTCTTCTGCATGCCAAGGAAGGATTGATATCATGCTCACCTGTGCGAAACATAGTTTCAGGGAGCTACCTCGTGCTAAAAACAGTCGCGGAATACGAAAACGATAGTAATACTGTACTCTCTACCTGATTTTGTTGGGCAACCTTGTACTGACTGAGAAAGTAGATAGTACTCATATTTGGCAAAGCGAGCTTCGGGTAACATGTATGCTAATCACGTACCCTTCATAGGGGGGAGTATGCGCATCATACGCCTGTCGAGGAAGCCTGGTGAAGTCGAGTCTCAGCCACCTGTTGGCCCACTTGGCTTCCATCCACGGAAAGTCCATTTTTTCTCAAGCTTTCGAAGAACGTGCTGTTGTTTGTAAGGGCTCAATCACGAAGTAGAACACGTGTTAATTGAAAATGTCTCAGCGTAAAAGTCTGAAAGGTTCTGTACATATAATACAGCCCATCAATTATCGGCTGAAGCCGACAGGCTGATCAGGCAACTGAAGTAGAATACCAGACAGCCCCCTTTCGCAAATTTCACTTACACATCGTGTAATTAACCATAACCACACTGGAGTCATTTCAATCGATCAGCATTTAGGGTATGTCAAATCGAGTGGTTGAGTTGAAATGTCAGAGCAGTACTGACAGCCAATAATAGATGACTTTATCTGTTCCTCTCCATCGGGACATGGAGGTCCTTGATATCAAGGAGCAAGCAATTAGTGTTTCTGTCTCGGCAGCCTCTGGCTCTTCGAGTGACGATGAAACAACTGGCCATGTCACTCCCACTTCGACTTCAACTGAGCGTAATGCTCAAATTGGAACTGATGAATTGCTCGCCAAAAATCAGAAATCAGTCATCAGCGATCATGAGTCCTTTTCATTTCCAACGGTTCCACGCTCTGTGAATGCGTTGTCACCAGACCAAGTTGTGCAACACCATTTGTCTTCTGTCCATGAGGTATCTGGTGTTAATGTACAATCCATCATCCACGCCGCATGGGCTTTGGTTGCTGGCCAAATGACCGGCTCCCAGGATATCGTTTTTGGCGTTTCTATCCTCGCCGATGATGTTGTCAACAGCCTCCCATTCCGATTGAGATGGGCCAGGGATCAACCTGTCAGATCCTATCTGTTGGCAACACAGAAAGAGGCTCTTGAATTGTCCTCCTCTCGGGCTGGAATTCCCGGGAAGACTTCCCATACAGATCCTGCATTTCAGACGCTAGTCACATTCGGGGATAACTCCCAGAATGTGTCTATTGAAAGAAAGCCTGCTGGAAAACGCTATGCGTTGGAACTGGATGTACTATCACGAGATGGGGAGTACCTGGTTTCAGCCAGCTCTGACTCCAGGGTGATTTCAGCTTCGCTCGTGGACAGGCTGTTGCTGCGACTCGACCACGTTGCTACACAGCTGTGTTCATGCAGACCCCAGCAGACAATTAATGAGGTCGATTTGATGACTGAAAAAGACCTTGAGAGCATTTGGAATTGGAACCGGGAAGTCCCACGGACCCTGGACTGCTGTGTACACTCCATCATCGAAGACCAAGTGCGCGCCAATCCCGAAGCTCCTGCAATCTGCGCCTGGGATGGAAATCTCACCTATGCTGAGCTCAACGGCCGAGCTGGTCAGGTTGCAGAGCGCCTTTCTGCTGCTGGCTTACGTCCAGGAAGCATGGTGCCACTCTGTTTCGACAAGTCAATGTGGGCCAATATCACGATGCTTGGAGTCTTGAAGGCAGGCGGAGCACTTGTGATGCTCGACCCTATGTTGCCGGAACAGCGGCTGAAAAGCATTGTTGAGCAGGTTGAGGCAGAGCTGATTGTGTCCTCTCCTTCCAATCATGAGCTAAGCTCGAGATTTTGCGATAAGGTTGAGGTTGTGCGACCACAAGAATTTGGCGGTCAATACCATGCCAGCAAATACTCCCCCAACTTATCCCCTTCGTCCACTGCGTACGTGCAATTCACATCTGGGAGTACAGGAGTCCCCAAAGGCAGCGCCATATCACACAAAAGCATCTCGTCAGCCATTCACCATCAGTTGGGGCCACTTGGCTTCAACACTCGCTCCAGGGTGTACGACTTCTCGTCCTATAGTTTCGATCTCTCGATATACAACGCTCTCACAACTTTGGCTGCTGGTGGCTGTTTATGTGTTCCGACAGATTCTGGTCGGAAAGATGACTTGACAGCAAGCGTTCTCAGCCTCAGATCCAATACGTTGACATTGACGCCATCGACTGCTCAGACATTGGACCCGGAGGACCTCCCCGATGTGAAGACCATCGTATTTGCAGGCGAGGCTCTACGTGTTCAGGATGCCGCGCCATGGTGGAAGCAGGCCCGAGTGGTGAACATATACGGACCTTCTGAATGTACTCCCGTCAGCACAATGAGCTTCAATTGCCCGAGCCCTGCACAAGTGACTGATATCGGAGTGGGTGTTGGCATGAACACCTGGATTGTTGATGCCAATGACCACCAACGACTACTCCCGCCTGGATGTGTCGGCGAATTGATACTGGAGGGTCCCCTCGTCAGTACCGGCTACTTGCGCAACGCGGAAACCAATGCAAAGACCTACATCGAGGATCCTACGTGGCTTCTCCAAGGCTATGGAGATAGGCACCCTGGGCGTCACGCGAGATTGTACAAGACTGGCGATCTTGTACAATACAACGAAAACGGAAGCATTACCTTTGTTGCACGCAAAGATACACAAGTCAAGATCCGTGGGCAAAGAGTTGAGCTCGGTGAAGTTGAAACTCGAATCCAGGAGTGCTTACCCGAGATGCTCCAAGTAGCAGCTGAAGTCATCACGACAAAGGATTCAAACCCCATGCTTGTTGCATTTGTGCTGCAGAACAAAAGCGTTGCCCTTTCACCCGAAGCACTCAAGCTTTATCGCGTTCCAGAGGACGCCAGGCATAAGATCGCGACCAAGCTGCCGCCCTATATGATACCGGCGGCTTATCTCTCTGTCGCCCAGATGCCTGCAACAGCGTCGGGAAAGCTGGACCGAAAGCGTCTGTGTGAGATAGGTGCGGCATTATCACCCGAGAAGCTTGCCGAGATGAGCGTCGATGTAGGGACCAAGAAGCAGCCGTCATCGGAAGCAGAACGCCAAATGCAGGATATCTGGGGCCAGGTCCTTAAGTTCAATGATGCGTCATTAATTGGCGTCGAGGATAACTTCTTCCAACTTGGCGGCGACTCTATCACGGCTATGAAGATCGTGCGCTCATTACGGGAAGTTGGGTTGGAACTCTCGGTGGCTAGCATTCTTCGCTTTCCCGTCTTGCAAGACATTGCCACGCGAGTCGTGGACGCCAGCTGTGACTCTGATGAGGCAATCCGTCCTTTCTCTCTATTATCCGAGGACTGTGACATATCCTCGGTGCTTAGGAGTTATCATCTGGACCCTGGCCAAGTCCAAGATGCCTTCCCTTGCACGGCGATTCAGGAAGGTCTCGTCTCTCTGTCTTCGCAGCGTTCGGGTGATTATCTCACCCAAGCAATTATCAAGCTGTCGCACGGGGTTTCCATCGATCGGTTCTGCCACGCATGGAGTGCAGTAGTCGAAGCCATTCCCCTCCTGCGGACTCGGTTCGTTCAAGGTGACACGGGGCTGTTGCAAGTGGTTCTTCACGAGCAGGTCTCATGGAAAGAGGTGGATGATCTACAGACCTATCTCGATGAGGATAGAAAGCAACCGATGCGTCTTGGTGAAGAGTTTACAAGACATGCCCTGGCTAAGGATGCCACTGGTCAAGTGGTCTATTTTGTCCTTACAGCGCATCATGCACTTCACGATGGTTGGTCTTTGGGCATGATCATGGAAACACTTGACAAGGCGTACACTGGCGGAAAGGCCGACAGCTTTCCACCCTTTCAGAAGTTCATCAAGTATATCCAGAATGAAGATGTGGATCAAACATCCAATTTCTGGAAAAAGGCCCTTGACGGGTGTGAGTCTGTCTCCTTCCCAGCGCTCCCTTCATCTGTCGAAAAGCCAAAGGCCGACGCTTTGGTTACACATCAACTGCCCAACTCAGTCTCTAGTATCGATGCCACTACTTCGACAATCATTCGAGCTGCCTGGGCGTTAGTAGTGGGATCCATGGTCAATTCTGACGATGTCGTCTTTGGTGCTATCGTCACTGGAAGACATGCTGAGCTGTCTGGTATTGATCAGATACCCGGCCCGACCATCGCAACAGTCCCTATGCGTTTCCATATAGACAAGAGCCAGAAAGTCACATCGTTCTTGTCACAGTCCCAGAAGCATACCACTGATATGATCCCTCATGAACAGATGGGCCTGGCTCGTATTGCCAAGTTGTCATCCGATTGCGAGCAGGCCTGTAAGTTCCAGACTCTGCTAGTCATCCAGCCGGAAGATACTGGCATCTGGACCAACAGTGTGGGACAGCTACGAGAAGAGAATGCAATGCAGTGGTCCAGCTCCTACGGATTGGTTCTTGAGGTCCGGCTTGGGCACCCGAAAAGCACAGTCACAGCTAGCTTTGACTCTCGGCTTATCGACCGTTCGGCTGTTGCGGGTCTTTTGAGCGGTCTAGAGCTTGTCATTGATCAAATTGCCTCGGCAGATTTGGAATCTGTCATGACTGTCAAAGATATCAACGTGCTTACGCCTGATGATCTCAATACTATCATGAGCTGGAACAAAGTGGTCCCTGAGACGATCAACATGTGTATACACGAGGTGGTACACCAGAGAGCCGTTGAAAGCCCCGAGCAACCAGCTGTTTCTGCCTGGAATGGGGACTTGAAATACGGCGAGCTGGATATTTTGTCAACCAAGCTGGCCAGCCACCTCAGACGTATTGGCGTTGGGAAAGATACTATCGTGCCTTTATGCTTCGAGAAATCCATGTGGACTCCTGTAGCTATGCTGGCTGTGTTGAAAGCAGGTGGGGCCTTCTTACTTCTCGACCCTTCATTGCCCCTTGCGCGCTTGGAGGTTATGGTTAGGCATGTCGATACTACGCTTATACTGGCGACTGATACATGCGCCAACCTGGCCTCCAGTCTGATTGGAAGCGTCGTAATTGTTGGCACAACACTCTTCTCAACATTCGACCATTCATCAGATGACAGTCAGTTTTGCTCTGATTCTTCTTCCAACGCCTATATCATTTTTACATCTGGTAGCACTGGCAATCCCAAAGGCGTCGTTATTACGCATAGCAACGTTGTCTCAGCCGTTACCCAGCACAGCAAGGCCTTTGAATATGAGAAGTCCTCCAGGATCTATGACTTTTCGTCTTACAGTTTTGGAGCCTCACTCAACAACATGTTTTGCGCACTCACCTCTGGAGCGTGTCTATGCATCCCCAACGACGATGAGCGGAAGAGCAACCTCGCCGGAAGTCTCACATCCCTTAGAGCGACCAATGTTCTCCTCACTCCCTCGATGGCTGAGCATCTATCGCCCGAGAGCGTACCAACTCTGAGATCTCTGATCCTTGGTGGCGAGGCAGTTCGAGCCCAGGATGGCAATCAATGGCTGGGACATGTCACGTTGCGTACTGCATACGGGCAAAGTGAAACTACAACCGTCGCCACAGTCAACCCCCATCCTGCGACCCCCGAGCAAGCCATGTCTATCGGCAAAGGCGTCGGGCTGGTGACTTGGGTGGTAGATCCCGAGAACCACGAGAACCTCCTACCTCTAGGTTCTATTGGCGAACTGCTTCTTGAAGGCCCTGCGGTTGGGCATGGCTACTTCAAAGATCCGAAAAAGACTGCCGAGGTCTACATCAGCGATCCGCACTGGCTTATCAGGGCTGGAAGGCGTGGACGTCTTTACAAGACAGGCGATCTGGTCCGTTATAATGACGATGGATCTCTGGCATATCTAGGACGAAAAGACAGCCAGGTAAAAATCCGTGGTCAGCGCATCGAGCTTGGAGATGTCGAATACTGGGTCCGCGAGTTTATGATAGAGGCAGACCAGGTCGTCGTGGAGGCCGTCACGCCAAAGGGACCTGGAGGTCGCCCAACTCTTGCAGCTTTCATCAAGGTCAACAACGCTGAAAGCCTATTCGAACAAGGCGATGTAGCTCCCGCGAAGCTGATCCGTATTGATGCTGAGGTGGAGAAGATGCTCAGGCGTCAACTACCGAGCTACATGGTACCGACTATCTTTATCGCCATGAAATCACTCCCCATGACACCCACCGGCAAGATGAACCGCAGAGAGCTGCGGATCATTGGTGGTGGAATTTCAGCAGAAGAGGTCAGATCAATCCAGCTGGCAAACAACGGCCTCAAACGTCAGCCAGTGACCGACAAAGAACATCAGATGCAGCGGGCTTGGTCACAGGTGCTTGGCATTGAGCAGCGGCGTGTTGATCTGAACGCAAACTTCTTCCAGATAGGTGGTAATTCTATTGTCGCTATGCGGGTGGTTGGCGCGGCTCGCAAGTTGGGACTTGGTATCACTGTTGCGGAGATTTTCCAACATCACACACTCAGGCTCGTGGCTGAGAAGAGTCGCTACACGTCCAATAGTAAAGTATCGATCCGGCCACTTGCATTAGTTGGCAACAACTTGGATGCAAGCGAAGTGCGGTGCCTTATCTCCCAGGCCTGCCGAGTTGATCCTGAGATGATTGAGGATGCATATCCTTGCACGCCGCTGCAAGAGGGCCTGTTCTCGTTGGCGTCGAAAAGGCCTGGCGACTACATAATGCAGGCTGTTTTAGAACTATCACCCAAGGTGGATATCACCATGTTTCGTAAAGCTTGGGAGTCAGCTATACGTGCTGCTGCAGTTTTACGCACGAGGATTGTTCACGACCAGAAACTCGATCTTGTACAGGTGGTTTTGAATGAAAAGCCAGAATGGCATGAAACAACTGGCCTAGATGACTACATGCAAGCTGACAGGGCAGCTCACATGGCTCTCTCAACCCCTCTCAGTCGTTTTGCGCTGGTCAAGAATGACGAGGGCCACGTCCAGTGGTTCGTTCTCTCCATGCATCATGCCCTCTATGACGGATGGTCTCTTTCTCTTATCCTGGACATGGTGCGCGATGCCTATTCTGGTACAGATTTAGAGGAGGCTGCCTTTCAACCTTTTATCAACTATGTTTTGCAGCAAGTTGACGACGTCAAGACAAGCCAATACTGGCAGGCCGAGCTCGACGGGTGTGAGTTCGCACCATACCCTGCTTTGCCAGCTTCTATCAGCCAACCTGTCTCCGATACTGTTATCCAACATCTTGTATCGCGACCAAAGGATTCATATCTCGACGTGACACCTGCGATTTTGGCTCGTGCAGCATGGGCAATAGTCACGAGCCGTGTGACCAATGCTGAAGACGTTGTTTTCGGAGTTACCACGTCCGGCCGCAACGCACCAGTGATGAACATTGACAAGATGCCTGCGCCTGCGTTCGCCACAGTTCCCGTCAGAATCCAAACATCTATCGGCCAAAGGGTTTCTGACTACCTTGAGGCTGTTCAGCAACAGGCCATCACTATGATCCCCTTCGAACAACTAGGCCTGCACCGTATCGCCAAGATATCTGCTGATGCACAGCAAGCCTGCAGTTTTCAAACATTATTTCTGGTCCAGCAACAGACCACTGAAACCTTTGGCGAATCTGATCTTGGACGCTGGCAGAACCGTGACCAGCAGGAGTTCTTCAACCCGTATGCTCTCACTGTTGAGGTGAATCTGCTTGAGACTGGACATCTGTCGTTGAAGGCCACCTTTGACTCGAGAATAACATCTCGCTGGAGGGTGGAAAAACTACTTCAGCGGTTCGACTTTGTTGTTCAACAAATTGAAAAGACAAGGCCAAGACAGACGCTTGGCGATATCTCGACAATGACTGAAGCAGACCTTCAGCAGATTTGGACTTGGAACCAAGCAGTCCCTGGCCCAGCTGCCGATATTTGCCTCCATCAATTCATTGAGCAACAGGCTGAGGCGAATCCGGAGAGGAGTGCTGATTCTGTCAAGGATGCCGCCCACGTCTGCAAGGGCGCCGGTATCAACACCTGGGTAGTAGACCCCACCAACGCCAATATCCTGTTGCCGCCTGGTTCAATCGGCGAGCTTCTTCTAGAGGGCCCTGTTGTTGGTCTTGAGTATGTGAACTACCCAGAGAGTACTACCGGGTCATTCATCCATGATCCTACTTGGCTTGTCCGGGGAATGTCAGGTCAGGCTGGCCGTAGTGGTCAACTGTTTAAGACTGGACATCTAGTTCAATACGACGAGCACGGCAATCTTGACTTCCTTGGCCACAAGGACTCTCAAGTCAAGTCCCGCGGTTTGCCCCATTGGCGGCAACAGAGAGGCACCGGCTCATCTTTCCATACTCAGACCCAGGATGAGGAGTTTGCCCAAGCAGCCATTCCTAAGCGTCAACCAGAGACTCCTCTGGAGCGACAACTGCAACAGATCTGGGCGCGGGTTCTAGATCTAGATCCCGGCACTATTGGTCTAGACGACTCCTTCTTCCACCTGGGTGGTGACTCGGTTGCCGCCATCAAAGTCACCAGCGAAGCTCGCAAGGATGACGTTAACATCACAGTCGCAGAGCTCTTCCAATATCCTACGCTTGGCGAAGCTGCGGGCCAACTGGCGAGTCAAAGTAGTGAGCCAGTTGAGAGGATCGCCCCATTCGCTCTCCTCGGTGCAAACGTTGATGTGAAGAAACTTGCCTCTGAATTAGCCAGCCAGATGCACTCCAGCGTGGACATTGTTCAGGATGCATACCAGTGCACACCATTGCAAGTTGGCCTTTTGTCACTTTCATACAAAAGACAGGGTGGTTACGTTATGCAGGCCACCATAGAACTTGACCCAGGGTGCGATATCGCGAGATTCAAGCGGGCGTGGGAGACTACAGTCCAGGCAACACCAGTTTTGAGAACGCGAATTTTTCATTCTGAGTCAGCTGGATTGGTGCAGGCTGTTCTGAACGAAAGCATTTGTTGGAATGAATCGTCCGAATCTTTGGATGCATATCTGCAACAGGACCGAGACTCATCTATGGACATTGGCGAACCTCTTACTCGCTATTGCATGATTCACGACGGTTCGGACAAGCCCAAGTATTTTGTGTGGACGATGCATCATGCCCTTTACGACGGATGGTCAATGAAGCTAATCATGGAGGCTATCAACCGGGCGTTCCGTGGCGAACAAAGTACTACTGAATGGCCCCAATTTCAGCAATTCATCAAGCATCTGCAAGACCAAGATGACGAGGCCTTAGAACGCTACTGGAGAGAGTCACTGGAAGGGTTCGATTCTGCGCCCTATCCTGAGGTCCCCAAATCTCTTACTGAACAGCCAGTTGCGGATTCAAGTATTCAGCACTCCTTCATCTACTCACAAAGCAAAGAGTCTGGCATTATGCCAGCAACTCTCGCCCGCGCAGCCTGGGCTCTTGTCGCTGGAAGCGCGAGCAATTTGAGTGATGTTGTGTTTGGCGTCACTCTGTCCGGTCGAAATGCGCCCATCAGTGGCATCGTCAACATGCCTGGCCCTACTATTACGACTGTCCCCGTTCGTATTGATACTTCGAGTGGACAGACAGTATCATCGTACCTACAAAAGGCCCAAGTCCAGGCTACCACCATGATTAGCTATGAGCAGTATGGACTACAGCGTATCGCCAAGGTGTCTTCTGATGCCCAGCGCGCGACGCAATTCCAGACCTTGCTGGTCGTTCAGCCAGCTGGCGATGAGGACTTCATGATCGACGAATCAATGGGTAAATTTTGCGATAATGCAAACCAAGAAAACTGGTTCAACACTCAGCCTTTGTTGATTGAGGTCACGTTGGGCAAAGACAAGATCACAGCCTCAGCCAACTTCGACTCCGATGTCATTCCGTCGTGGCTGATCAAGCGACTGCTTCAAAGACTTGAGATTGTTATGCAGCAGCTAGATTCTGCTGGACCTGGCACTATTCTTGACCAGATCGATAGTGTCGAGCTTAGCGAAGCTGAACGTGTTGGAATGTCGGGCAACACGCATCAAGAGCCTCTGCCTTCTTTCCCTGTCCAGGACCAGACTCAAGAGGATGTCCCCAAGAGACAGCCAGTCACTGAAGTAGAGCGCGAACTTCATGCTATATGGTCCCAGGTTCTCAGCATTGACCCATCTGACATTGGTCTTGACGATAGTCTATTCCACTTAGGGGGTGATTCCGTTTCAGCCATGATGATTGTGCAACAAGCCCGGAAGATTGGCGTCAAACTTACCGTCTCGGATATCTTCCGGCATCCCACGCTCCAGGATGTAGCCGCCTCATCAATCCAGGAAAGGGGGACTGACAAGCACACCGAGTCACTTGAGCCCTTTGCACTGATCGGTGGCGAGAAACTATCTTTCCTTCGCGACATCTCGGCGCGGTATGACATCGATGAGAGTACTATCCAAAACGCGTATCCATGCACTCCACTACAAGAAGGTCTCATCTCACTGACATCCAAGCGCCCTGGCGCTTATGTCATGCAAAACATTATCAAGCTCAACACCAAGATTGACCGTTTCCGCCAGGCTTGGGAGGACGTTGTCGCTAATCTTCCTATCTTGCGGACTATGATTGTTCAACATCACAGCCTTGGTCTACTGCAAGTAGTTTCCAACACAGTGGGTGAATGGAGCGAGGCAGACAATTTGGATGCATATATCAAGGCAGACCGGGCAAGGTCTATGGATATCGGCTGTCCTCTTTCTCGTCATGCCATCGTTCAAGATGGAGCACGTGGAGACTACTTCGTATGGACGATACACCATGCTCTCTATGATGGTTGGACCATAAAACTCATGATACAAGCTCTTGAGGCTGCCCTCCGAAACGAAGTATCTGCAAAATGGCCGTCCTATCAGCCATTCATCAATTACATCCGAACACAAGATGTTCCAGCACAGACTCAGTATTGGGAACAGGCATTCATGGACTACGACAGCTCCCCGTTTCCATCTTTGCCTCCTACTATCGAGCAGCCAACCGTTGACTCAGTCATTGAATACCAGTTTCCAAACCCTGGGGACCAAAGCACCAAGATGGGAGTTACGACTTCCATACTAATCCGAGCCGCCTGGGCTCTGGTTGCTGGCCACACCAGTCTGTCTGATGATGTTGTCTTCGGTGTGACCCTTTCCGGGCGCAATGCACCTATCTCTGACATCGACAACATGCCAGCTCCTACCATCGCGACCGTTCCCGTGAGGGTGAACACAACCAAGACTCAAAAAGTCACCACTTACTTAGAGTCTGTACAAGATCAGGCCACGATCCAGATTCCATTCGAGCACACGGGCTTGCATCGGATTTCCAAGGTTTCCTCCGAGTGTCAACAAGCATGCACATTCCAGACCCTACTTCTTGTACATCCTCAGGGCACGACTGACATGGATCTGACGTTTGGTTCGTGGCTGGATACCGAGCAGGAGGCCGATTTCGCGTCATATTCCATCATGGTTGAGCTCTTCCTCGGCAAGGACAGCATCAGTGGCAAAGTCAGTTTTGACTCTAGGGTGATTGCGTCGTGGCAGGTCCAGAATCTACTTGAGAGGCTTGAATCAACTCTAGCGCAATTGTCCAACGCCAATGCTGAGACTACCCTCAACGACATAAGCGCTATGACGCCGCAAGATCTTGATTTCATCTGGGAGCGCAACGGTAGCCCTCCGGTAACAGCTAAACGTTCTGTCCACGACATGATCCAAGATGTCGTTGAAGTCCACCCCACAGCTCAGGCTACCCACGCCGGGGCAGGTACATTAACCTGGATCGTCCACCCTGATGATCCTAATATCCTTTTACCGCCCGGCGTTGTTGGTGAGCTTCTTCTCGAGGGTCCTCTTACAGAGCAGGGTTACCTTAACGACAAGGACAAGACAGTAGGGTACTTTATTGAAAGTCCAACATGGCTGCTTCAGGGTGCTCCTAATGTTGCGGGTCGCCAAAGCAGACTATACAAGACTGGAGACTTGGTTCAGTACAATCAAGACGGAAGTCTGATACATCTCGGCCGTAAAGACACACAGGTCAAGATTCGTGGACAGCGGATAGAGCTCGGCGAAGTCGAACACTGCCTGACAAAGTCAGTGTCCAGCATCGAACAAGTTATTGTCGAAGCGATCAAGCCCAAGGATGGGAAGGGGAAGACTATATTGGCCGCCTTTATTGTTAGAGACAGCCGCGGGAGCAAGACTGAGTCGGAAGATGACTTATTACTCAGTCTTGAGGATCTGGATCCGTCTGTGATGGAGGTCCTTAAGAGCCAACTCCCAGCTACCATGATTCCGTCTGTCTTCTTTTCCATGCCAAGATTGCCGCAAACTGCTACCGGAAAGACCAACAGAAAGATCCTTCGCGATCTCGGGGCCAATTACTCACTGCAGCAATTGACAGGAACCAAGTCATCCGACGTTTCCAAGATTGAGCCAACAACACCCGAGCAGAAGCGGATGCTGGACATCTGGGCTGCCGTCCTGGAACTTGATTCTTCCATGATTGGTATTGACGATGATTTCCTTCATCTTGGTGGTGACTCAATTGCTGCCATGAAGGTTGCAGGAGAAGCTCGACAGGTTGGTCTCCAACTTTCAGTCGCAGACATATTCCGAACACCTACGATTAGAGCTCTGGCTCTTCACACATCGTTAGCACCCAAGGAAGCCTCGCATGCGATAACTCTTTTGCCTCACTCAGGCCCTGTGGAACTGTCATTTGCCCAGGGACGTCTGTGGTTCTTGGAGCAGCTGTATCCGGGTCTCACATGGTACCTTATGCCTATCGTAATTAGATTCCGTGGTGCGCTTCAACTGGATGCCCTTGAGGAATCGCTTCAGGTCATCGAGAGCCGCCACGACTCTCTTCGGTCCACCTTCCTTACTCGCAACAATGTCCATTACCAGAAAGTCCACCAATTTGTTCCTAAGAAGCTGTCCATCGTCGACATCAGATCGGCCGATGAAAGCTCGTTGTCCGAAGCATTGAAAAAAGACCAAGCCACTACGTTTGATCTCACTCGCGAGGCGGGCTGGCGGGTAACTGTCTTCAGGCTAGGCGAAAAGCATCACGTTCTGTCTGTTGTGATGCACCACATCAATAGTGACGGTTGGTCTATTCAAGTGTTCCGCAAGGAGTTATCCCAGATTTACTCTGCTGCGGTCAAGGGGCACCAACTTCAAACACAGCTTCCGCCTCTTCGGGTCCAATACCGTGATTACTCTGCCTGGCAAAAACAGAAACTCATTAATGGCGGTTATGAGAGGCAGCTCGATTATTGGACTGGCAAGCTTCAGACGAGTCGTCCGGTGGAGTTCCTGACGGACAAGCCGAGGCCCCAGACACTGTCTGGAATGGCAGGAGAGCATGAGTTCATGATCAAGGGTAACATGCTGAATCGAATCCAGGCCTTGTGTAAGGAGTATGCAGTGACTCCCTTCGTTATCCTTCTTGCTGCCTTCCGAGCCACACATTATCGCATGACAGGAGTTGAAGACGCTGCTATGGGAACTCCGAATGCCAACAGAGACGACGCCGATTTGAAAGACATGATTGGTTTCTTCGTAAACATGCTGTGCTTTCGCCTCACTGTGGAAGACGACTCTTTCGAAAGTCTTATACGCCAGGTCCAGCAACAGACCGTGGAGTCGTTTGACAACCAGGACATTCCGTTTGAGCAGATCGTTTCCAAGCTAAATCGAGAGCGAGATCTATCTCGTCACCCAATTGTACAGGTAGTCTTCGCTTACCATACTCGAGGAACCTTGGACACGTTTGACTTGGAGGGTGTTGATTCGGAGTTGTTGGAGCTTGTACCAACCACGCGGTTCGATCTCGAGTTGCACTTCTTTGAGGAGGCGGATTCACTCAAGGGTGCTTTTGTCTACTCAGCAGACCTTTACACTTCTGCAACCATTACTAATTTGTTGAGTGTATTTATGGCTGTGTTGGAGGGTGCATTGAGTGAACCTCGGTCCAAGATAGCCACCCTACCACTGCTGACTGCTGAAGGCTATACTGAGCTCAAGTCCATGGGATTAATTCAGATTCATCGAACAGACTATCCCCGAGATATGAGTATCGTTGATATCTTCCAGCAGCAGGCGACTGCGCACCCTGACAGGGTCGCCGTCAAGGATTCCATTTCACAAATCACATTTGCCACTTTGAATGAAAAGTCCGACTTGGTTGCTCAGTATTTGAGAGCACAAAGCTTTTCCACCGAGACAGTCATTCCCGTCATTGCCAAGAGGAGCGTTGAGACAATTATTTCGTTTCTGGGCATTCTCAAGGCCAACATGGCCTACCTCCCACTTGATCCAAATGCTCCAATTGAGCGCACAAAGCTGGTTCTTTCCTCTATTCAAGGCCCTACGATCATCTTGCTGGGAAATAGCGTTCGCTCAGCCGATATTCAAGACACGAAATCGATATCCATACAGTCTGTTTTAGAAGATAGAGTCCAGCCATCATTCTTCCAGAGGCTTCGCACGCACACGAAACCTTCGGCTTCGAGCCTTGCGTACGTCCTATACACATCAGGATCTACTGGAAAGCCCAAAGGTGTTATGGTAGAACACCGATCCATTCTTAGGTTGGTCATGCAGAGCAATTGTACCCAATATCTCACGGGAAATGGCGCTATTGCTCACATGGCCAACACCATATTTGATGCATCAACGTTGGAGATCTATATGGCTCTTTTGAACGGGCTCACTCTAGTATGCCTCGACCATGAACTCGTCTTGGATCATACAGCCCTACAGAAAGCGTTCTCAGAGGAAAGAATTGGTGCTGCCTTCTTTACGCCGGCGCATCTGAAGCAGATCCTTGCCGACAGCCCTATGACTCTCAGCCAACTGGAAACACTTATGGTTGGCGGTGATCGCTTCGACACTGATGACTGTATCCAGGCACGGAGGGTGGTTAAAGGCCATATCATCAACGGCTACGGGCCAACCGAGAACACCATCTTCAGTACTATGTACCATGTCGAAGAAGGGGACTCATGGGCCAACGGACTCCCAATTGGTCGCGCTATCAGCAATTCAGGAGCATACATCATGGACTCGCAGTTGAATCTGCTGCCATTAGGTGTTGTTGGAGAACTGGTAGTCACAGGCGACGGCTTAGCAAGAGGTTATACCGAGTCCCAGCTAAACACGGACCGATTTGTGACGGTGAATGTTGACGGCGAGCAATTGAGAGCTTATCGCACTGGCGATCTGGCACGCTTCAGACCGGTTGATGGCCTGATTGAGTTCTTTGGGCGCGCTGATGCTCAAGTTAAGATTCGAGGCCATCGTGTGGAGCTTGGCGAAATCGAACATATCCTTCTTGGTCATGGCTCAGTAACCGACGCAGTGGCATTGATTTATCAAGGAGACGGGCAACAGCCTCAACTTTACGCTTTTGCCGCAGTTCCGAGCCCGATGGTAAATGAAAGGATGGAGGCCGATAACACAAGCCACGTGAAGGGGGGAGAGGAGGAAAAGGACGAAGAAGCAAAGCACAGGCAGAGAGTTCGAGAGGAGCTGGAGGCAAGGCTCCTCGATCACCTCCCAGCATACATGATTCCAAAGGTGATCACCATTCTCGATAAAATGCCTGTTAACGCAAATGGCAAAGTCGACCGCAAAGCCCTGGTTGAAACTCTGCGCACGCGGACAGCTCCAGTTCGAGAGGTTCGCGAGCCCAACACAAAGACCGAGGAGAAATTGCAGGGAATCTGGGCTCAAGTGCTCAACATTTCATCAGATGGGATCGGATTGGACGACAGCTTTTTCCAGCTTGGTGGCGACTCCATCACAGCAATGAAGGTCGTCAATGAAGCTCGTAAACTAGGCATTGATCTGGATGTTTCGGACATGTTCCGCAGCGACAACCTCGAAGACCTTGCATCACAGGCCTTGCAGCATGTTAGTGAAGCTGAAAAAGATGAGGAGCCAGTCATTCTTGTGGATAAGGCCACCAAATCTGCTCTGCTTCGAGAGATTGACACGTCCGGCACTAGCATCCGGTCAGATCAAGTGGCAAACATTTTACCTCTTACCAGTATGCAAAAGAGATACATCAAAGATGGATACACCAATGGCCTGTTTGTCCATTATTTCTTCCTGGACTTCAGTCTTGATCTGGACATCGAGCGTCTCAAAGCTAGCCTACAACAGCTTCTCCAGTCCATACCTATCTTACGAGCTGCATTTTTGGAGCTTCAGGGGAAATACTGGCAAGTTATACCCGAGGTCCTCGATTTGCCATGGGTTGTTCGGGATGTGGAAGAGTCACTGACAGAGGCGTTGGGCGATTTCTGCCGCGCTGACATCAAGAAAGTCTCATTTGTCGAGCCGCCGGCCTCGTTCACGCTGCTGAGGAATAAAACTGAGGGCTTGAGGCTGGTCATTCGTTTTTCGCATGCACAATACGATGGTTCCAGTTTCCCAGCGATACTCAAGCCACTCATCGATGGCTACTTTGGAAGGCCCACGACAACAGGTCTAGATTATTCAGCCTTCTTGGCTTACATTGTGCGCCGTCGCCCTGCATCAATTACCTATTGGAAAGATCTCCTGCTGGGATCGTCTCTCACGACGCTACAGCCGCATGTATCCACTGGTACTCAAGTTCTCAAGCCTGCTCTTATTTCCGTCCACTCAGAAGTCACTTTGCCTTCCCTCCCCAGCAAATTCACGACAGCAACCCTTGCTAGCGCAGCGTGGGCCCTGCTTCTTGCACAAACCACAGGTGGAAAGGATATTGTATATGGTCATATCGTCACTGGGCGCAATGCACGCATCTGTGGACCAGAAGAGCCTGTAGGAGCATGCTTGAATGCCGTACCTGTCCGTGCCACCATGTCATCATCACAGACGCCCCGGGAGTTACTGCGACTTCTACAAATGCAGTTTAGCTCCATGGGCGACGCGGATTCGCTAGGTTACGATGATATCATTGAGAACTGCACGGACTGGCCAGCAGGAACTCAGTTTGAGTCTCTCATTCATCACGCCAACATCAACGAGCACCCAGAGTTTGAGTTTGGCGGGGACAAAGTCAAGTTAGAGTTTTTCCATACCTCCGAGCTAATGTCGCAGCACATCATGCTCATGTCATATCCTGTTGGCAACCGCTTGCAGTTCAATATGATGGCCAACACAAGTATCATGAGCGTGGAGCTTGCACAGACCCTGGTTAACAGACTTTGCACGATTGTATCGAAAATGGGAGAGGCTCTTGATGAGCCGGTTTTTGAATGGCTGGATGAACTACGATTCAGTGTATAGATAGGTTACATATTGTTTGGATTCGTGTCATAGGGATAGTCAAATCCAGTTTAATTCTTCAAACTTGAGTATCACAATTTTACCCCATTGCTCATTACTGGGTTGGGAACACTGTGAAGTATCGCATCTTAATATTAAGTAAGCCCTCAATTTGAAGCTACATACTATCAGCTTCTTCGTACTACAGAGCGCGTTATCTCGTGATGAACCGTAACACTATTCACGGTTTAGCTATCAAAGGTCGATCAACGAATCGCGTGCAAAATTGAATATTTAACGATCAGGCACTATCTCTGATAAGTCGCAATAAATACATGAGTCTCGCAACCCGTCTCACGTATTCCCTTGTATAAACGGATGAGCGGAGCAGCTTATTGTGACTGAAACGGACTATCGGGATTGTTGTATTTCCAGCCTAGGCTGAAAGCCTGTCATATCACAACTAGCAGAAGTCGAAGAACATCTCCTCCTGTGGATGGTGGGAGTTTTGGGCAGTTTTGAGAATACAGGCAGTAAAATTGTGTTCAGTTGCGAAAATTATGGATTGACCTTTACTTGGCAGACAGCTAATCACGCTAGGTGCACACATAAATCCAAGGCCGATGTTTCTGAGAGCAATTGCCCTCGGCACTCACACGGTCCGCAAGGAATATCTCCATCACTCTTTTCAATCAAACCTGACAACCTGTTTGCCTCCTGCTACCTGGCCTGCCCGCAATTTGTTCAACCCCTCCAGCACGCCATCCATGCCACTCTTCAGCGTAATGGTAGGAATGGGCTTCAGGATATGTGTAATTTGTGGCAGAGTTTCGTAAAAGCGAATAAGAGCTGCGCGATCTTGTGGCCTAGCTTCAAACTTGGGACCAATTGGGGGTAGCCACTGAAAGGGTAGCCCGAACGCTGTGTACGACATCACAAGGTCGTAAGTTACACCAGGAGTGCTGGATTTGCCGTTGGGCAATAGTGTGACCACTTTGCCTCCACTGGGCTTGAGCACCGCAGCGCAGATGGACGTTGACTTGCCCTCAGAGAAGCAATCCACCGCCTTCGTGATGTTGGGATACTCTTTGATAATGTCTGCCGCGACTGTTGGTGAGTTATAGTCGAAGACGGCATCGGCGCCGTAGCCTTTTACCAACTGGAATGAGCGGGGCGAGGCAGTTGTGACTACCTTATACCCAGCGGCCTTTGCGAGCTCGATATGGTATAGGCCAGCACTGGTTGCTCCGGCGTAGATGAAGATAGCTTCATTCTTTGGAGTGGCAGGTTTGGTATCGACGAAGGGGAGCCCGTGATGAACGTTGAGTACTAGCATGGCGGTCACAGCAGAGACTCCGTATGTGGTTGCGTCCGTGTCGCTGACGCCGTCGGGAACCTTCCAGGCCAAATCTGCATCGGTCTTCAGGTACTCTGCGAAAGCGCCTTTGTCAGGATACAGGCCGCCGTGCACGGCGCCGGCCACACGATCGCCGACATTCCATTTGCCTTTGGCAGAGTCGCCCACTTCATGAATCACACCCGCGTAATCGCATCCGATGATGGAGTGGGGAGGAGAGATAACATCTAGATGCTTGAAGTCTGTCGGATTGAGGGCTACAGCCTTGACTTTGACAAGAATCTCATTGGAAGAAATGGTGGGAATCGCCACATCGTCCTGGACGCGACCACCCTGGCCGCCGATGGCCTTAGAGCGCGAGGCGTTAATGAGTCTGGTGACGATGCTTCTGTTGGAGACGAGGGCTTTCATGTTAGGCATGGTGATGATGCTAGGAATAAGAGATGAGAAGTTTGGCCAAAAAGGTAGCTAGACACCGAGAATATATGCGCAACAATTACTGGTGGTATGATACCGCTGGTTGTTCACTAATCCCACATGATTGGTAACCAGACTTCTGCTAAAGCCAGTGTTATTAATACTTCTTTTAGACTGCAATCCTCTGTCCGCGGAGCAACCATCTCGCCGAGACACGGACTTCTTTTTTTAGAGTTGGTCCGCCTACGGCGAGCTTTGCCCTCCTTGAATACGCGGACTTTCGGATTGACGGGTACGAAAAAGTATATTATTAAGAATCTCGAAAAGACAAAAAGGTTATTAACAGCAATATTCGCAGCTGAAGAAGTGTCTAGTCTTTGTTATTAATTCTATTACTGTCTGCAAACCATGTCTAACTCATCAAAACGATCAATCCTCATCACTGGGTGCGTATCCGAGGCCTTGTACTCTACGGTCTTTATCCTCTAACTTTTTATTATTAGGTGTTCCCAGGGCGGCGCCGGCAATGCATTGGCTTTAGAGTTTGCAGCCAAAGGCTTCCGTGTCTTCGCCACCGCGCGTTCACTCAAGTCACTTGGTAACTTGACTGAGAAGGGCATTGAGACCCTCACTCTCGATGTGACCAAGCCTGAAAGCATCGCCAATCTGAAGACTGAGATAGTGACTCGCACGGGAGGTTCTCTGGACATTCTTTTCAACAACGCCGGTGCCTGTAAGTCTCCCGTTCTCGCCAGGATTCGTTCTATAGAATACTAACAACTGTTTTTCAAGTGTACGAAGCGCCTGCCGTAGAGGCCGATGCTGCCCGCGTTCGTAGCCTGTTCGACACGAATGTATTTGGACTTATGGAAATGGTCACGGCCTTCACGCCCCTTCTTCTCGCCTCTGTTTCTCAAAATTACGCGCCAACCATCATCAATGTTGCCTCAGTTCTCGCGCGCCTCCCGAGTCCCTTCTCCTCCGCTTACAATGCGACCAAGGCGGCAGTTGTAGCCTACTCTGATACCCTTCGACTTGAAGTGCTACCACTAGGCCTTAAGGTCGTTACGCTTCACATGGGAGAAGTATCTACCCCCCTGATGGCGACGGACAACATCAATTTTGGAGCTGAAAGCATCTACCGTGACGCGGAGGAAGGTGTCAAGCAAAGAACAACCACTCATTTAGACAAGACAATGCCGCCACAAGAATTCGCTCGTCAGGTGGTCGGCGAAATTATCACTGGAAAACAGTCTTTTCTTTGGAAGGGTACCAACGCATTTCTGGTATGGCTGCTGAATGCTTTAGGACCTAGGACTGTTTTTGACAGTACCTTGATCAAAGCAGCTGGATTAGACAATAAGAAGACTCGGGCGAGTATATACAAGCGAGGCCAGGAGGTAGCCAAGAAAACAACCTAAGCATAGGGTATTTTCAAAGGGTGCAAACCTGAAGTTTTTAGGCCTGGGGTTAGTTTTAGCTACGCATTCAAGGAAAGCTATGTACACTTTAATATTTTCGGGAGGGATGGATCAAGGGTAATCTTAGCTCAATACTCGGTAGAACCGTCTGCTTACAATTCAATGCTGAGTGTTTTTGTCGATTTAAACTTGGGAATGGCGTTTAGAATAATGCTAACGTCTGAATTTTTTTCTGAAATTGTTTAGATAGTCCGTCTGCTTTCAAGTGGATACCCAGAGGCAGTAAGAAGCTTAAATGAAGGACAGGATGCGCACGACCCTTACTCCATACTGACACCTCTATTATTTACACACAAAAGACATGAACTTTTGAGTTAATTAAAGATTCATTTGGATTCTTCATAAGTATTCAAAATATGACTTTAAAGATAAGAAGTCAAGTACCCTAGTTGCTTTTCTAGCTGGTTCTTGTTCACTGTACATTATGGTCGGCTTTCCTTTGGGTGGATCCCTTTTAAGTTTTACGAAAATTATGGAGTACCTAGATTAGTAGATCACTAATCAAAGACCGGGGAAATTAACACAACCTTCATGGCTCGGAGCAATGAGTCTGTCCGAAAAAAACACATGATTACATATTCACTGGCTCGATATAGCTCTCGCCATACAATCAAGCTGCCGAAAATAGTTGTCTACTAGATCTTGGCTTGGAAAATCCACACTCCGCCGAGTGGAGGGACTAAGTCTTGAAGAAGCTTAAAGATATAATGTAGTCCGCCATAATGACGGACCTCCGCATGTGATTGACGCGATACCAGTATTGACGATGCGGATATATTCCTTATTACCGGGAGCCGATTTGCTGGGCTCCGAAGCCAACTGGGCTGGTTAATCATGATGAATGACTTTTTCATGCAAAAGCATACAGGCGTAAGAAAAAAGTTTCTTCATTGAAATACTCTTTTCTCTCTCCCTTTATCATAACTATGCGGGTGGCATTGCCATCTTTGTAACCAGGCAATGACTACTCCTTCTGTGGTCATTGAATAATCATGGTGTAGTGTTGTAAACTGGAAAAGCTCTAGGTCCTCTTAAGTTCACGAGCAGAGACGGTTGCCGGTATGCGCGATGCCTATGCCTTCGTCGTGTATGACTACGGTGTTGAGACTGCGTGGCTAAGTGGTCCCCTTGCCTGCTTTATCTTCATTTTCACTCTAACTCTTCAAGCAAGGTAGGTGTTTGTCTCTTTTACTTTAACCTTCAACCTCACAAAGCCTAGGCTTTCCAAGTCTGTTAATCATATTTATAATAGCTCAATAGCAGTAGATATGACGGTATGTAACAAACAAATCTCATATTTAACAGGCTTAATGGAGAAGACACTAAACTAGTGCTCGCGCCTTCTCAACCTCCATTGGAGGAAGCATTCCCATCTTTGCTAGTTCTTGAAACATTTCAAAAATACTCTCCAAAGAATCCACAAACCCGTTCCATCCAAACATGCGCGCCTTATTCGCCGCCGGGGTTCCAAAATTCAAATAGGCGAAATCCCCCACAAACACACTTGGGGAATCTTCAGTTATGTCGTATGTGAGTTGGCCGTCCGACGCCGCCATTAGTTTCTTCCAGTGGTCCTTGTTGTCTGTCTCGGCAAACCAGTCTTTCAAGCTGAAAGTCAAGGGCAATGTCAGAGGAGGGCCATATCCCAAGGGAGCATCCTTCCCACCGGCGAACTTGGTCACCTTGAACTTGCTTGCTTCCTCCTCCGGGCCGATCACGCCTTTCTCGACTCCGTACCAGCGAGCCAATTCCGAAAAGAAGCGATCCCAGGACAAACCTGCACCGTCCTGGGCGTTGAAGGCCTGATTGGCACATGTCTCCTCCAGAACGGCCCACTCGCTAAGGAAGCCGGTCAGGATTGCCGTGGAGTGACAGGCCCCGAACTGCCAGGAATCGAAGTTCCCTCCAAACCTCAAAGGCTCTTTCTTGTGAGCCTGAATAGCAGCATAAGCGCCGAAGCCATAGAATGTGTTGATCTGGGCATTCGTGGCAGTGCCAATGATACCGCAAGGAAAGATCATGTTCCATTTGGTATTTGGGTGATTGTCACAGAACTTGAGGAGGCGATCCTGTTGCGCGTAGTAAAAGTTGGTTTGCAGGTGTCGCGGCTGAGGATCAGACTCAACGACCGGTGTACGTACGCGCCCAATGTGCATCCCATAGTTCTTACCACCAGTCTGAAGAAGAATGCGCTTAGGTTCGATGTTGGCAAGCTCCAGGCCAGTGATGAAGTTGTCAAACATGGGCACATTCAGATCATATAGACCTTGAGCCATCGAGGTACTCATACCGCTTTCGGATGATGAAGGCTGAAGGTAGGCATAAAAGAATACATAATCAGCCTGAACCCCAGCCTGGACAAGAGAGTCCTTGACCTGGTCGGCAGATTGAGTCAGATCCACGCTGACATGCTTGATGCGGGATCGCAAGGAGGGCTCAATGAAGTCGAGCTGTTTTGGCGGTAGTGGGCTTCTGGAGAGTGTGTAGATGGTCGACCAACGCTCGGGTGAGTCAAGCAAGGCCCTGAGCGTGTTAAAACCCGAGATGCCGCTTGCACCACAAATGATGGCGCTGAGGCCCTTGATTGATGGATCAAATTGTGGCAAGTTGCGGTAGATGCCGGACTGGCGCAAAGGGTACTGCTGGGAAGACATGGCTGATCGATAATGGAAGTGGCTTGGATGGAGGAGCTGAGAATACCAAAACATCTCAAGAACGGCTGCTTCATTTAAGGACTTTCAAGAGCAGGTCAATCAACACCAAGTGCGAATACGATGCACTCGTTGAAGCGAGTCTCCACCAACGTCATTCACGGCGGGATTCATCATCGTGCAAAAATGCGCAAGATTTGTGTAGTAGCTATCACAATAATCAGAGACATGCAGAATGAGAAGGTTGAGAAGAGAAAACAAGCATGTAGTCGGTCCGGGAATGACATTAGCGAGACTGTACGCGCGACAATCGGTGCACAATGCGACAGCACCCTAGGACCAGCACCAAGTCCACATTGGGTCACAAAACTACCTCTTTAGGTATTCCCCGGGTTTTATTTACTTAGCAAAAGGGATCTCACTGTCCGTCGATCGCTGACTCAGTCTTCCGCTGCAAGACTCGCGTGTTATGCGTGCTAGTGGATGTGGCGGGTCTTAAAATTGGATTCAGGCCCTGCCCGGACAGAAGCATTGTCCGGAAAGCCGAACCAGTCTTCATACCACGGTTCGTCCCATGATGGAGAAAATGACGAGTAGGATCCAGATGTTGAAACATAGGACCCAACAGGCTCCGCGTGCGATCACTATAGCCATGATTCTATGATCGGACCTCAGCATTAAAATGGCTATAATGTTTAGAGCGTAGAAGAAACTCAACTCGGAACACATATAGGTATATCGAAGAAGACATAGGTATCTGAGAACCACAAATCATGACGCTTACATGGTAGTTGGTGGTAGGGGGGCCGGACCATGAATCTGTGGGGCGTGCGCGCCTAATGCCGATCCACAGATAAAGACAATGTACCCCCCATCGTGATTTGTTAGTGTCTTTGATACAAGAGCAGCCTTACACGGCGTGTATAAGCTTAATTGCCCCTAAGAAAGGTTCCGTCCCAGTCTTCTCTATTCTCCAAAGCTTCAAAGTTTACCAACAATTACTGTTTCTACGCGAGAGTACAATATCAATACCCAAACTTACCCAGTTTAGATGTTAAAGTAATTAAGCGCAAGACATACCCAATAATCTTTTCAATCACCAGTTTATCCCATCGCATCTTTCCCTCACTCGTTTCCTTCTCATCAACTCAATGTCATCTTTAAGGAGATCATCAAGAGTCGTCTCGCAGCTTTCTCATGGCAGAGTCACAGACCAAGGGAACATCAGAAAAATATCAACATCCACGACAAAACGACCATTGGCCGCAAAGAAAGCAGAATTACTCTCCAATCATGTTGAGCAGAAAGGCGTATCACCACTCTCAAGTGATGATACAAAACCAAGAGTGGGCGACGATCAACTAGCTGGGAAAAAGTGGAAGTCCTGGTCAGCTCACGCATTATCATCGCCGTTTCCTGACTTTGGTCGGCCGACCCGTCACGAATGCGAAGAGGCTTATCGTGTTCTCTACGAAATGCATAACGACGATGTCGAGAAGGAGTTCCAAGATCCATATACGCCTGACACCATCCCTCACGTCCTCGACGCTATGATTGTTGCGGTCCTGAGCCAGGCCACAAGTTGGAGTAATGCAAAGCGCGCTATGGATAGTCTTGTGGCCACCTATGGATCCATTTTTGCATATGATGAGATTTTCAATGGCGGGATGGAGAAACTGCAGAACGCACTTCGCTGTGGAGGTCTACACATCCGCAAATCCAAGATCATCATGACCATTTTGGAACAAGTCCAACAACGGTATGGCAAATGGGATCTCGATCACCTATTTGACCTAGGGAATGAGGACGCTATGAAGGAGCTCATAAGTTATAAGTATATCGGACCCAAGTCTGCCTTTGTTGTCATGGGCTGGTGCCTCAAAAGAAACAACTTTACTGTTGATACCCATGTCTATCGCATTGCTGGGCTCTGGGGGTGGAGGCCCAAAGAGGCCAGTCGAGAGATGACGCAAGCACATTTGGATGCGCTTGTTCCTGTTGAGCTGAAATACAAGTTACATTTCCTGCTCATTGCACACGGTCGGGCTTGTCCTGCTTGTCGTGGAGGAAGCAAGCAGAATCAGGCGTGTAGTGCCCGCAAAGCGATGGTGAAAAGTGTGGAAGGTTGTAAATAGAACCACTGTCAAAGTATCTTAGTCAAGAAGTCCGCTCAACTTACTAATATGATATAGCCCATTTTGATAAAAAGAAAAGCCTGATGGCTCATGTCTAGGATAGCCACTAAAACATTAGATGAGATACCAATGGAGGCTTTTTTCTTACATAGAAAACAAATCTAGGCAGCTCTCTTCCGAGCTTTGTAAGCTAGCTAACATTGGTAAACATCACAGTCAGAATGGAGAAAAATTGAAAACCTGTTGTAGAACCACAATGGTTTCAATTGATGTTAAGTCTGCAGGCACCTTAGAAAAAGAGACCAAGCTGTTCTAATTAAACAACCGAAATGTCAACAACAAAGGTCCATTTACAGACCTGAGAGCAACAATAACTCAAATTTGTAAGGTTAGCCCAATATATGTAGAGTGATGAATAAAGTGTTTTATTGTGATCCGTTTCGAAAGAAAGGACTCATACCTGTAACTGATAGTAATCTAAGAATCTGGACGTAGAATATTCGCCATAGCCTCAAATCCTTTTTCAACGGCACAGTCCAGTGCTGTTTGGCCAAATATATCCTCGGACACCACAGAAGCACCGTTCTCAAGTAACTGCTTAACAATACTATCATATCCCCTTTGAGCTGCCACAATCAGCGGTGTCTTCCTATATGCATTACGGCACTCAACTGCAGCGCCCTTCTCTAGCAGCAACCCAACAATGTCATCATACCCCCGATCAGCTGCCACCAACAGTGGTGCCTGACCAAATCTATTTTTACACTCAATTACAGCCCCCTTCCCAAGGAGTAGCTCAATGATGTCATAGTGCCCCCTTTGAGCTGCTGCTAGTAGCGGTGTCTCTTCCGATCTGTTTTGACACTCAAGTGCGGCGCCTCTCTCTAGGAGCAACTCAGCAATGTCTTTACATCCCGTCTGTACAGCTGCCAAAAGTGGTGTCTCGTCGTAACCATTTGTACACTCAACTAAGGCACCTTTTTCAAGTAGCAGCTCAACAAGAGTCCTAGGCCCCTTCTCAGCTGCAAATACTAGAGGTACGTCAGCGTCTATATCTATACAGCCAGTATCAGCGCCCTCCTCAAGCAGTAGCTGAATAGTAGCATGGTGTAGACAAATGATTGCCTGCCATAGTGGTGTTCGAAGATAGCGATCTTTTGCCTCGATGTTTGCTCCCTTCTTAAGCAGTAGCTTGACAGTAGCCTCGTGACCGTTTTCAGCTGCCTTCAAGAGTGGTGTGCGACTGGACTTGCTGTCTTTTGCCTCGATGTTTGCTCCGTTCTTAAGCAGTAGCTTGACAGTATCCTTGTGCCCTTTTGTAGCTGCTAGAAATAGCGGCGTGCGATTGTACTCGCTGTCTTTTGCCTCGATGTCTGCTCCCTTCTCAAGCAGTAGCCTGACAGTAGCCTTGTGCCCTTTTGCAGCTGCTAAAAATAGCGGCGTGCGATTGTACTCGCTGTCTTTTGCCTCGATGTCTGCTCCTTTCTCAATCAGCAGCTTGACAGTATCCTTGTGCCCTTTTGTAGCTGCTAAAAATAGCGGCGTGCGATTGTACTCGCTGTCTTTTGCCTCGATGTCTGCTCCCTTCTCAATCAGCAGCTCGACAATATCCTCATACCCACTTATAGCTGCTGATGATAGCGGCGTTTGACCCTGGTTATCTTTTGCCTCGATGTCTGCTCCCTTCTCAATCAGCAGCTCGACAATATCCTCATACCCACTTATAGCTGCTGATGATAGCGGCGTTTGACCCTGGTTATCTTTTGCCTCGATGTCTGCTCCCTTCTCAATCAGCAGCTCGACAATATCCTCATACCCACTTATAGCTGCTGATGATAGCGGCGTTTGACCCTGGTTATCTCGTGCCTCTATATCTGCGCCATTTTCAAGCAGTACCTTGATAGTAGCCTCGCGATAGTCTCTAGCTGCTAATAATAGCGGCATTTGACCCTGGTTATCTTGTGCCTCGACGTCTGCACCCTTTTTAAACAGCACCTTGATAATATCCTCGTGACCGTATCTAGTTGCTAATAATAGCGGCGTTTGACCCTGGTTATCTTGTGCCTCGATGTCTGCACCCTTTTCAAGCAGCACCTTGATAGTAGCCTCGTGACAGTCTCTAGCTGCTAATAATAGCGGCGTTTGACCAAAGCAATTTTGTGCCTCGATCTCTCTGCCACTTTCAAGAAGTATTTTGGTAATAGTATGATGTCCATTGACAGACGCTATCATGAGATCGGTTGAAACATCGGTCCGGAAAAAGAAATCATACCAAGACCACTCCGAGTAGCTCCTTGAGGCTGTATCACAAATTGCTAGAACGGCAGGTATAATGGTAGCATCGTCCATAAGATCAGCCTCACGGACATGAGAGCCCCAATTTGCAGCCGAGTATGCCAAAAATACTTGTGTTTTGTGATTGCTGTCGAATCTCTCAAGGTTGTTTGTAAGCGAGCTGGAGTTTAAGTTCAGAAAATTTAGAAAGAGCACGCAGATCTCCGCAAGAACGTTGTGTGCCTGGCGGCTGGTAAAAGAGTGATGCCAATGGAAATCCGATGTTATGGTTGGGGACAATGTCAAATCTGCGAGGAGAAAGTCGCGAGCCGTTTGGTGGAGGAAATAAACATGACCATGATGGATTGAGACGAAAAGTCCACACAATGATCGGAGACGTGTTTTAAAATCCTTGTCATCTTCCAAGTCGAGGTCGTCGATAGACTTGGATTTATAGCCGATATTGACAGCAATGTTCATTTCTGAGAGATTTAGAGGCCGTCTCGCTGCCAAGATAATACTCAGGACTCTCCGAACCATAAGCTCTTCGTTGGTTTTACTGAGGATCCGCTCATATGCCTCATTGACGCTTTTCGGAAGTGTTGCAACAGCAAGTTCAATCCCCTTCGGTGTTTTTTTGAAGTTGGCTGTCTTCAAGTAATCAAACACAAGGTATACCCAAAGATACGTGCGGTGAGAAGCTTTCTGAAGCTTATGCTCCAGGTGGCTCTTGATCTCAGGTGGCAAGTTCCTCTGCAGTGCCAGCTGGTTGATCCGGCACGCAATGACGTGATCTACCTCCTGGCTAATCGTTTCTGATTTATCCTCTCCAGGTATATGGATATTCGGAAATGCTTCCAGAAGACTCCAGAATCCGGATAGGATCTGATCATATGGGCGGGATGTTAGAAGATACTTTAACTTGCTATATTCCGAGTGATTATTGCTGAATTGACTTTGCACATGTCGCACAAGGTCCGCAAATTCGGATTCAGCACATTCATCTAGGGCATCAAGGACGATAATCACAGGTCCTGCACGGGGATCTCTCACAGCATTCTGTAGGATTTCCCAAAGAGATGCTGTGGTGTTGACCAAGCTTTTCCCATTTTCGCGGAATTGTGGTATAGCATGTTCAATCAGAGGTGGCTTTAGAGAGAAGAGTTGGTGAAGTAAGGCACAAAGGGCCTGTCGGGTGGTATCCTGGTCTTGATTTTTGAAGAAGAAGTAGCAGATAGTTGCTGATCGTGGCAGGCCTTGGTCGATTAGATACTTGGCCAGCACCGACTTTCCACAGCCAGGGTCTGCTGACACTAGCAGGGGACCAGATTCCTGGCTTAACCATGACTGAAAGTGCTCATGCTTAAGGAACCACATGCATGTGTTCTCAATCCTTTCTTCCGTCCGATCTTTATACCACTCGTATGTAGCACCTCTGTTGCTGGTTGTAAGGCGAAATAGCTGGTGGCATTTCTGTTGTTCTTCGGACAGCCTTTCTTCGGCTAGACCTTTCTGGACTTGAAGCTGCTCTTTGGCAATATCACGGTTCTCTTTCAAAACGTCTTGGTTCTTTTGTGCAATTTCTTGGAAGCCTACATATATGGTCAATGAATACCAAATAATAGCATGACTCTAAGCCTGGGAGTTACCGGATAGAATGTCGCTGATTTTCTTTTCAGCTTCAACTTTCCTTGGAGTAATCTCGCAGAGAAGATCCTTTGCATACGTAGCAGCCGCCATTGCCGCATAGCCTTGCCAAGCCTTATTCTTGTGAGTATCTGAATAGTCACAAATGCCACGAATGATAAGACAGGGAAAGTGATTCATAAGTCCAGCAGCCTCCATCTCGAAACAAAGGACATCTTTCTCGGCCGATAGCTTATCACGGATATGAGCATCCTTCATAAGCTGATTTGCAGAAGCGATAAGCCCAAAATGAATCATCGGGCTCTCCTCGTCTCGTAAGCTTCTGAGAATTAACTGGGAATCGTCGGTGCAGACAGTCGAACAGTCCTGTTCTTGTCCCACTAAATGTTTGTAAGATGACTTGAATAGCTTGTCTGTATCGGGGTCGGGCTTTTGGTATTTGTTCCGTAGTCGCGATTTCTTGTCGAGAACAAGACCGATTCTCGCATCAATATTGTGACCATCGCTCTCGTATCTGGCATTTAGGAAGGGAATTGCTCTCAGCAAACACTGCGGCGACTGATTAAGGTGTCCTGTGATGGTAAAAATCTCATCCTGTATTGTCTTCCCCAAGTCATACTGCAAAACTCCGCCCATGCCAGAGCCTGGTGAATTCACGACAATGTCACCTAGCCGAATGTCATGCTTTGGGCTTGGAGCACCACCGCCGATGCCGACCATTAGTCCAAACCTAACATGTGGAAAGCTACGTGCCAGATCCCGAGAGACGATGGCAGCGCTAACAAGCCCATATTGCCCATGGGGTAATGCAACAATAACTATGTGGACTTTGCCCATCTTTCCCAGGATATATGTATTATCATCATAAGGAGGAAGGTCGTCCGGAATGTCATGCTCTTCGTCGAGAAATTGTTTGGCGGCCACCAGCTCCGTGCCAATAGCACAGATCCAGGCTACCGTGTAAGCCGTAAGATCCGGCATATTCAGTGGCGTGTGGGTTTTAACTGAGATGTAATCATATAAAGGAGATGTATTGGGTAGTTCTAGTGATTCAAATAGAAGAAGAAGTTCCTCAAATCTATCTATTTCTTCACCAAGGACCGGCCAGTGGGGGGTTAACAATATGCAAACCCCGCCCCGGGTCATGCGACATACTGCATTCGCTTACTTTGAGGCCTGCTACATGATTTGCCCGGTCTGGGGCCAAGGCCATGGCATCGAAGACACTATTGATGTAGATCGCTTGATTGGGTGTCTTGGGCGGCTCACTTGATTTACCTTGGCTGTAAGCAGCGCACACGTCAGCCCGCCTTATGAGGCAGCCGAACCGCAGAGTCTCACAGTTCGCATGGGAGCCCGCTCGAGTCTTTTCTTGCTAGGATCCTCAGATAATAAAGTAAAAAGCACTTTCAACCACACTTACTCATTCCAATTAAAAATGAACACGGTTGGCGTCAAGAGTAACAAGCCCACCCAAAGTTGGCATCTAAGCAAATATCAAATATAGTTTGCGCTCAGAATGTCTTTGTTAGGCTATATGTTTGTCAAATTCACTTTGTGGCTTGTTTTCTACAACAGCACAGTCAGAAGTGTCAGTAAGTCTAGACGTACTCGAAATGACACCAAAGATGCGTTCAGAAGCCTCTTTATCTAAACTTCAGACACCTTGACCCGCATTCACTCTGCAGTGACCAAAGCTGTCGTCTATTAAAATCTTCCACTTTGCGGTGATAATTATTATATGCTGCATTCTGTTCATCTCATCAAAGACCTTGCATTGCAAGTTAACATTCAGAAATGCGCAGAGACCCCTGAATTATTTAACAGGCTAGAGAGAATTGCGAAGCCGAACAGAACCCTGATTCCTTGTATCGAAGATTTCACGGTAATGCTTGTTCGGTCATCCATCCCAACAACATTCCAACTGGACCATCATTTATTTTTTCTATATTCTGCTCCCTACGCTTCTCTACAGCCGTAAGATACTGAAGGTTTCATCTTCTACCTAGATTGACAGAGACTGAGTTTTAACTAAATGAACTCTCCCAGAGATATTTAAATTTCGGTACAAAGTCTCACAACCTTAACATCTTCGGCAGCATGTAAATAGTTTCCTGGTTCACCTTTCGCACCTGACTTTTATACCCATCATATTATACGAGGGTCAGGGAAACTTGGCCTTGGAGTTTGGAGCTAGACAGGGAAACAATCAGTTTACCATATGGCTGCCTCGCATCTTCAGACCTTTAGGGTATCTACCTTTTCGAGGCTCCCTTTTGTTCTACCCTCCACACAAATCTTCACCATAGCGTTTCCGACTTCCACCGCGTCAACAGCGAGGCTAAATGATCTCATTCACGTTCTCTCTCCGTCTCGGAGGAAAACATCGCTTCAATGTCGGAGGGATTTCGGGTAGATAACGCAGCCGGAATTAGCATAGCCGGTCTTACCGCACATTAACCAATTAAGCCATATGTCAAAGAGGGCGACTAGAATTTCATTATTGGCGGCTCTAGAGGTACTAGTATCTTTGTAATCCAGATCGTGAAGTCTGTTGGTTGTCATAGGACAATTACATCAGATCAGACTACTATAATGCAATATATTTTCTACTGAAATATTTAATACTAGTAAGTTATTATTCCATAGCTCTAGATAATCATTATTTGCTCCTAAAAGTTTAAATTGAAAGAGATTATATACTACTAATTGAAATCCAAGATTAAAAACCCCTGGTCTTGGATGTCCAGAGCAAGAAAATTACTACCATATTCCAAACCGCAAATACAATACTCCTTAGGGATTGCTAGTAACTTTTGTGCATTGCATGAGATCCATGTAGAAGTAACATCGATCCTCTTATTATAAGTCAAGCCTGCGCCGCCTATCGATCCTGGTGGGGAAATCTCCTTTGCGATATGATAGGTCTCTAAAATGTTGAAATACCCCAAAGCATAGAGACTTTGGTCATCTTTTGTGAATGAAATTGTATCAGCCCCGTAGGGTACCTCGAAGGTTGGAAATTGAAGGCCGCACGATGTATTCCACAGGTGAACACGTTTCTTACCCACATGTGATGAATCTACCAACCAAGCAAGAATCTCCCCGCTTGATGAAAATGAAGCTCTCCCAGTACACCCGAAGCCACTGGTTTGAAGAAGGCATGTGGTATGCTCGCTCATCGTACAACTCCAAATGCTGGTTTCGGTAGTGTACACCAACAAAGACTCATATGGCGAAAACACTAGCGATTTGACCTCGTCATTAGTTCGAAGCTCGTGCTTTGTAGAAGAGTCTACCAGCGTCTAGATCCTTATAGTAGTACCATAGGATATTGCTAAGTATGTCGAGGTTGGCGAGAGAGCAATTGCACTGATTGGGTGGTTTCCGGGTTCCTTGAAATCAAAGTACAACTTGGCGCTTGAACCTAATTCGGAGACCTCAACTGTATCATTGAAGCTGACAGCAGCCATTCTTCCATCAGTCATCGATAGATTGACATGCTGAGGAGTGATACCCAGTGGAGCGTACTTTGGATGCCGATTGCTCAGTTTCGATATTTCTTTCCTATGCGCGCTTATAGAACCGAGGCAGAGATCTCCCATTGGGAGCTTCATGCTGCTTGGATGTTTGATGTGTGTGTCCTCTATTCTTTCCAAGAACCAAATATGAGCGGCATCAGTCACTAGCAGTATGAAAGCCTCCTTATCTTTGGAGATATCACTTGGTTGGGAGAATGACCAGTCATACCTCTCCAATGATGATTTCACTGTCAAGCTTCTTTCAAATGTGGCTTCGGGGAGACGCCAAAGGCTCAGGCTTTGCTCGTCTTCACTTGAAATAATCATGAATTGACCACTGGGCGATATAGCGACTTTCTTTATGGGACAGCCATCATCCAAACGTCGCGAATCTGATTGCTGGGGGGCTTCAACAATGGAACTAAAGGCTTCAAGGTCCCAAGACGTGAAATAGATGTGAGACGTCGTGAATATAGTCGTGTAATCCGGTAAAATTGCCATGGCGTCAGCCACGAAGTTCTTGGGAAGGCGGAGATGCTCGCAGGCCCTAGACGGAAACATGAGAACGGTCAAAGCTAAAAGGTTCCTGTCCGATGGGTAAATAAAAAGTCGACATCCATCTGGTGAAAAAGCAAGGCGGCTTGTCGCATTGACCCTTAAGTCCTGGATACAGGTACCAGTGTTTACTCCATGACTTGAACTCTGTCTTGATGGCATCCTGAAGACTGCGCTTCGACAGAGATGGCAAGAAGAGAACCGTCGGGTGACAAGGCTATGCCAGAGACTGTCGACTCTAGGAATTCCCAAGTGCGAAATGTCTGATCTCTTTAAGTGAAGTTCCATGTAAATACCTCGGACTTGATAAGCTCCCCGCGTGACACGCGTACCACAGAGGCTATTCCAGAAGAGCATATCGCAGCATGATCATACCCTCTAGCTGTCGCGTATATTGAAAACCCAAAAGAATTTGTTGTCTCAATCGCTCGGTCGAGGCGCACAACCTCACCGAATTCTGTGATAGCGAGGAGGTAATTCCCGTCACAAGACCATGTCAGAGCGAGCAACGGGGTCTCTGTGCTGAATCGCGCAAGAAGAATCCCGTCTCCTGTATTGCGAATCCATACTGAAGGCAAGGTTCTGTCGTTAGAGTGACCAGCCATAGCTAGTTCTTGCCCATCATGTGATACGGAAATCGAAGAAATGGACGAAAGATCCTTGACCTTTTTCAAACAAGGACCCCAGCGATGTTCCAAGTTGCGAATGACTCTAAATCCAGGATTCCGGGTCTCCCAGAAGCTGGGCCTGACAATGCTTTCCACGGGACTAAATATAAGGGCTGCACCGTAGGTCTGCAATGGGTTCTCTCGGATGGTATAACCATGTCTGAGGATAAATCGTCTAGCGTCTTTTAAGAATGGAACAAGAAGATGCACGGACTCGGATGGATGCTCCTTCACATTCGTCAGTAAGTTGTCCTAGTATGATAGCTAATAAGATCATGATTATCCTTATGGAAGCACATAGCTCTTTTACAGCCTTTGAGGCAAATGGAAGCCGATCAAGAATTGACAGACATTCAATCCAATGGAGAAAATGGGTTTTTAGGATCGGTAGCAGATAATCATATGAGGGGCCCTGCTTGTCTCCCCTCTGCAGATGATGCCACCAATATGAAGATGCGTACTGGACGCTGCTGGGAATGTGAGTCTCAATAACATTGGGATTGATGGCTTCCCTTGATACTGCAGGATCTTTGAAGTCGCAAATATCCTTCCTTAGGGTTCGTAGAAGCCTCACACATCTCTCTGCTATACGATCATTCAGTTTGACCTCATCGGCATAATACCACGACCTTATCCTTCCATCCGTGGGTTTCCTTAGTAGGAAGTCACTGAAAGACTTGTGTACTGTCTCGACAGGCTTTTGGTCGTTGTCCGAGATCTCCAGTACCGTACGGCAGAGATTAAGTAGGCCTCTAGTCTTACCCAATGCAACTCTTGAAATCGAAGAAATTGCCTCTCTCGACAACGGCTCAGTGGCGAGAACAATTGTGCCCAGAATTGCTTGTAGATCTTCCTTCTCTTCATCCATAAGAAAACCGGAGATTCCATCATCCATGTTGCGGTCTAGGTTTTCAAACACTGTTGTGTACATCACTTCAAGTTGTGATGCATCAGCTGTGCCAGGGCCCTTCTCGATCCACTTATCTAGACGTTGTTCAAGATAGCCGGTTCGCTTGGCATTATTGAGAAACCTCAGCAAAGTAGCGGCATAAATAAAAAGAGGAGAAGGTTCAACTGAGCGTTGCCATACTATCTCAAATTGCTCTTCCTTTGGCCAAGTATGGTTGATTTTTGTCTCCTTTCTAAGATTCTCAAAGCCGAGTGTCAGAATTGACCTGATATCTGAGATGTTGTCTTCGCGAAACTTGGTGGCCAGTGGCAGTGGAATGTGTTCCTGGTGTTCGATAGCCTCTCGGGCCAAGTCTTCGTCGCGACTAGTGACTAAGAGACGAAATTGCAAGGGACTCGAGCTCCTCAGGCTGCTCAGTAGATTTATGATCTTAGCCGCGTTAATTAGATCAGTGCATTCGTCGAGTGCATCGATGATGATGACTTTAGTCGAGGCGAGAATGTCTATTTCCGATAGTGGACCTTTAATAAGCACCCTGAACTGCTCATCAAGGCGCATCGTATCGATATCTGGGTTCTTAGACGCAATAATGGACTTTCTTAAAATTGATTCATAACGCGGAATGGTAGTCATGAGCTGGCTCGCTATAGTCGGAAACACACGAGACACATCGTTTCGGTCAGCAACTCCGCGCTTGAAGAAGTATCCAGCGGCAATCTGGCCAGTTTCAGCCAATTCCCTTGCTATTGTTCTGGCCAAGGTCGATTTCTCCGTTCCAGCATGACTGTAAATCCATAGCAATGCTTTCTCGCCCTTATTGATCCAGTCGTGTATGTATTGTATTGCGCTGATTTGGGTTCCTGCTTGACAGACAGGGCTTGAGAAAACATCTCGACTGTCGAAACGTGCCTCCCCGGAAGTAACTAAATTGATTGGAGGCTGACCAATGTCTTCAATCTCGCGACTGTAACCACGGTTAGCCATCGGCGTTGAAAGCATAGGGAGGCAGAACGGTACCTGAACCTATCAACAAGAGCTTGTCCTATATCGTCCGGCATCTTATCGTTTAAAAGACTGTCGAGGACCATTCTCAATGACTCTCGCGGGATATCCATGGTCCTACCAGCTGCAACGTCCAGTTTGGGGATTCTCCCAGCTGGGAAACTGATGCTGGATTCGTCTAGTTCCTCGGAATCTGAGGGCATATTCCTCAAAAGTTCAATATCCTCTTGCTTGTCGATGTTTCCACCTAGCTTGGATCTCTTGAAGTGTAAACAAAGCGAGTAGCAATAAGCAAGCCCCTTGGTGATATCAACCACGATTTCTTCTCCCTGTGACAACGGCCCAGCCTCTTCCTTATATAGCAATGGATGGGCGATCTTGTTATACATATTTGTAGGAAGGCTTGTAACTTGGATTTCAAAAATAACACCATTGTATGTGCTGAGCCGGTTATCCTCTCCAAACTTGGACGAGACATGATAGTTCATGCACTCATAGGCTCCGAACCATGGCTGCCACAAGTGACCGACTTTGCGGTTTGCGTGGAAACGATTTGGCTTCTTCTTCTGGTTGAAGCTGCCAGTGACAAATTCAGACACATCCTTGAGATGATCAAGGTATTCAACAATGATACGAATACCGACGAGATCGTGCAGATCTTCCAAGATATCGTGAAGGTCTTTGTACATTCCTAGGTTTTCCTTGTTTCTGTATACCTCCCCTCGCTGCAATGACTTTGAGATAGATGTCCGTGATTTGACTCGATCTTCGACTGCAACCGGGATTGGGACGCTGCGGTCGGTCAACTCAGCTTTGCAGGCTTTTGCAAGCTCGTTGGACATTGTTTGGTAGTCTCTCTCCAGTTTGGGCCAAATTTGTTCCAGAAAGACTTCCTTGACATTTCGACCTGCTTCTCCATTCTTGCTGTTGCTGTCCTCGACAAGTTGTAGAGTTTGTCTTCGCAAGGGTATGGGCTTCTTTGGATCTCACTCGTTTGAGAAGTTCGACATGAGTCGGTCATCCATCCTTAGCATAGAGGCAGTAAAAGACCAGCGAGCACTGGTAGATATTACGACGAAGCCCAGGCCTGAACCGATAATGATCAGGCGGAAACGAAGTCAGGTCTGAGAAATAACTTGAGGTGATGTAGAAACCACTTATTTGGGAAACTGGAAAAAGGCTCAGTTCGATCTGTTCAGCTCTGAACCAGGCTTGCATTCAAATTTTACACCTGTCAGCTTGTTACTGGTTATCAAGCATAGACGGTACATGCAGAGGAGATTTGCATGCATTTACTGGTCAACTTATTGGCTCGGGGCCTACTCTGCTGCAGGCTGGTTTCACAAGCCCCGCTTACTCCAGGCAGAAATGCATACATACCGAGTCTGCGTTACATGAGTCTGAATTTCCCCTCAGAACTCGTAAGTCAGGCAGAAATGCAAATCATAAAATAGGCCGGGCGCTTAAATTAAAATTGTGTCTATAACATGGTCAAAACAACAATACATTAGATCTCACATCGTCAACAAATGCCATCCCGATAACAACTAAACTCTCTTACATAGACCATATTCGTCAAAGAACACAAACGAATCTTGCCTGAACCCTCTAATCGACTACCTTAGCAAAGCACCTCAATTTAGGAGTAGGGTGCACATCCTCAACATCCACACCTCCCCATACTCAATACTTCAAAGAGTCGAAATCCCAGAGGAGGAGATTTCCCGTATCTATCAGAATGATGCCCTCGTTTATGCTCGAATAGTCTTAGTCGAGAATATCAACTCTCGTCTCATAAGTCGAATCGGAGAGGCACTTAATATCGACCCGTTATTCTTTACCGGTCATGTCATCACAGATTTTAAAGACATCGAGAAAGCACCTCTACCGCCATCTCTAGCAATTCTGCCATCCATCGCCGCTAAGAAAGGATATCTAAACATCCATTTTCAACAGGTACTAGATCTAGGAAGCTCAGATACCTTTAGAAATGTTACCTACTCTTTAACAACCAATTCTAATACTCCTCGAAACGTCAGGCGTCTACCCTCACTTTCTAGGAGACAGCTTAATCTTAGTAGAGGCTATTACTCCATACTTGTTAAGCGATCAAAGAAGACATCGACCTGTAAGTTAGTCCGGAGCTCTATTTTCAAGTTCGTATTCTAACACTTTTCTAAAGGCCTACTCTTAGTCAATCCTCCGATCACTCATCTTCAGGTTAGACTTCAGACAGTCTATCCAGCAACGCGCCTTCATAGGGAAATCGAAGACTTTAAACAATCGGCTTCTTTCAGCGCCCTATCCCATCAATCCGCTGACAAGTATTAAAATAACCATTCAATTCTTAGTTATTTACTCCATTACTTTAGAAGCAACTATTCCATACTTCAACGTAAGCCAATAACTATCTTAGGCCTAGCATACTACCCGGTGCGTATCATTCTTAACGAATGGAATATATACACCGGTTTGGTCAGCCGGTATTCTAAATATTATAAATATTCAATAAATAATATCACTAATAGGCTTCATAACGAAGATATTATTAACCTCCAGCAGTGGCGTCGACAAAGCCAGCAAAGTCAACACAAGTTAACAGCACTTTCAGACTTCATCAGCTTTCAGCTTAACCAGGAACCCAAGCAAAAGCGCTAGACTCAGGTTCTCCAAGACATCCGCTATTTACAGCGACAAATACAGATATATAGTATGTCTCTAGAACAGATGCTTACAGTAGCAACATCAATGGTTCAAATTCTTGATTCAAGAAGATCTATTACAGAGGCTCTTCACATCAAACGTCTAACGTATGTCGCGTTGGTTTTTATACCACTCTCATAGGTCGCAAGCCTCTTTAGCATGGCCGAAGGGTTCTTGCCAGGGCAGGAATTCTTTTAGGTATATTTTTCTATAAGCGTTCCCTTGGTTCTTTTGGTCCTTTTACTATCTGCTACTCCATATTATAAGCTAGGTCACTTATATAGACGGATTAAATAACTTGTCAGAGTATTATGTTTAGGCACGATTGAAGGTAGTAGTTATGATGTTTAAAGTGTGTTCTAAGCTAGGGAATTAATCTATCTCCTGTAGTCTTAGTATTCACATATCTGCCTAGGCTGAAGGAGGGATCACATCCCCCTGGGCATTCGTTTTAACAGAATCATCCAAACCAGGAACCCTCTCACTGAACACATCTGTGATCTCCGTGTACGGTGGTGGTATGACCCAAATCAAATCGAACATGCTGCCAGGATACTTGACTTCCCCAGACCACCCAGTCGCTGTTGCATATCCCTGGACGCCAATAGCCGTGGCAATGTTTGCTAAATTATGATGCTCCCAGCATAGCAGTAGATTCCCCGGGCCTTCAAAGGATAAAGCTTCCTTTGCAGCCTTTCCATGGTCATCTCTCTTGACGTGGTGATGAATCTTCAACTTCAGCTCCTCGGATAATGGCTTCACAGTGTCAAAGGGCCGTTGGTCGGAGTCTATACCAGTCAGACATTTCAAGCGCACCGAAAATGAAACGAGTCAGTACAAACCGGACTTAGGTTCCTCCGCCATGATATATCCAATATCATAGCTTGATTCCTTTCCGAAGACCTTACGGAGACCGTCTGCTCGCTCTTTGCCTTGGGCCGACAAGCCATCTGGCACTTTCCCATTTACTGGGGCGGGTTTCTCTCCATGTCGGATAAGGAAGAGAGTAGGTTGTGTCTGCGAATTTATAAGTACTTAATTCAGGCTAGTTGAATGCGAGGGGACAGACTGATTGCTCGCCAGCCATAATTTCCGGAATAAGCCCAGTATAGCTTTGAGAGATTCTTCTTTTTAAGCTGAATTTTAAATAAGCTTAAATTCTCTGGGAGTAATATCTTTGGGTTAAAGTGAATTAGTAAAGTAATGGAGGCTAGAGCAAAGTAGTGGCAGGTAAACGCGCTTTTATATTAGAGAGATAACCTTCTTAGATAACTAGTCACATGGTAGCTAAACATTCCTTCAGCCGTACCATGCATGCGTGCGTGAGGGGTACAGCTGGTATTTGTGCCGGAATCCGAGACACAGCCATCGAGCGGAACACATTTTTTACGTGCAGTTGTCCAGGCTCGCTTATACGAAGCTACTATAGGTATTGATTGACAGCCACGGTCAATGTGGCGCTCAGAAAGAATGAAAATAGGGTTTAGTCTGGTGGCCGCGGCAAGTCTATCCGCATTTGCCGGGCCGTTCTGGAGTCTAGCTCTAATTTCATACTAACTAGCCCGGGTCTGCATTGAGGCTTATGGAAGTCGAGAACGAATCTCGTTACCGTGTGATGGCCTCCCCGCCATTCCTGTTCCTCTTCTTTTGGTTTCCCAAGTCTGCATGTTTACTCTTCTATATCAAAGTTTGTAAACATCTTATTAATCGTCCTCCCTAGATCCTTATCGACTTGTCTGCTTATCATCTCCGCAGCCTTTATCCACTAATTCTCATCACACGAATATTGTGTGGAATGATATTTTTGCCTGCGGAATTCTGGCAAGCCGTCTTGTGGTTGGTGGAATTATTTCTTAATAACTCCTAATACTCGATAACCCGATACTACTGCCTAATAAAGACCGCTCTTTATTCTCATTCATGCCTCCTATACCCATTGGGTGATGGCAGGCGCAGTGATACTTCTACGCTTAACGTTTCATTTGAAATACAACCTACCCTATACCTGTAACACCTCTTATTCTATCCTGAGCTCAGCCTTATTTCAACAACACGATGCCCCAGACTACCAGGTGTATATTTTACATCGACAAGCTGCAAGCTAGAACCATATTTGTATTTGTTGGTTAATCGGCAATTATGAAAGCCTGTCTGACTCTTTATATATCTCGGCCCCTACATTCTCACATTGCCACATAGTATCTACCATCCTGCTACTCAGACCAAAGCTCTGGGGATACCGAATCTTTTACTCAGCACTACCCATGCAGCTACGCTGATAAGATTCCGAAAAGCCCTGTGTGACCCCCCATCACCAAAAGCCGTCTGGAGAAGCGGCTCGACGTCTTCCCAACTTACAAAGCCAAGATTCTCAACACTCTCGCGCGTGACCAATTTTTCAAAGCGCTTATACAAAGGACCTCCCACGGGCCATGCTGCAGGAGCTGTGTACAGGTGCTTTCTTCGCTCATAGATCTCATCTGTGAGAAACGGCCGGGCGGCCTCTCGCAACAACCACTTCTCTCGGAATTGTCTAAGCCCAGACTCGTTACCACTGGTCCACCATGGACTGTCATCTTCTTGGAGATCCATGTTTGGGTCGTGTCGGATCTTGAGATTGGCTGGCAGTGAGTTGACATAATCCGTCAAGTGATGGTCTAGGAAGGGTACTCTTCCCTCCACGCTGTGGGACATCTCTTGGCGATCGCATTCCAAAATCATGGCAAAGTTGGCCAGCTGCGTCTTGTTCCACACATACAAAGATGAGTGGAGCGGATGCCAGTCCCCTTCCGCCATATGTCGTTTGCCTTCTTGAGGAAGACAATCCAGCAGTACTCGCAGCTTCTCATCTAGGGATCTTCGCAGTTCGGGCTTCAAAACCTCCTCAGCTGAACCCCACATAATAGATGCGATGAATCCATAATTATGCCCGAGCTCGGACAAGAGTTCTGGTGAAACCGCCACTGGGTCCCAACGTTCTCCCATCATTTGTCTAAAGCGGGTAACAATAGCTTCCCTGACTCTTTCGTATAGCTGGCTACTATTATGTAGCTGAGTCTTTGACGTATCAACAGAATCGGTACTCTCAAACATATCGACCAGGAACCAAGGATATCCTCCAAAGATTTCATCAGCGCCTTCGCCGCTAAGAATGGCCTTGTAACCAGTCTCCTGCACTTTGCGCGACAGGCAATACTTGCCGACTGTACCCAAATCGAGGGAATGTCGCTCATTGTGCCAAGCTGTTGCCTCAAAGTTATCTGCCAATGCAGCCTCATCCACCTTGCAACGATTGAGGTGAAGACCCAGATGATCCGCTGTTCGTTGTGCAATGTTTGCCTCGTCAAATTCAGATTCGTCTCCAAAAGAAATGCAAAAACATTCCATCCCAGATTTGGTGCCGTTACCATTAGCTGTGCTTTCTTGATCTCGCAACTGCGATGCTATGCCTGCGATGGCTGATGAATCGAGGCCACCAGACAAGTATATACCCACAGGGACGTCAGCGTGTATTCGACGGTTGACTGAATCAACCAGTTCCTCCCGAACTTTGATAATTGTTTGATCAACGTCCAGGGGAATTCGATCTAGGGATGAAGAAAGCTCATTCGTATCGGCTTTGTGACTAGAGTACTCCATATCCCAGTACTGGTAGTTAGACATTCCTTCTGAAGTGATTGTGAGAATGTGGCCAGGTCGAACTTTTCGTATATCTTTGAAAAGAGTTCTCTCATCGTCGTAATCAAACGCCCCTGTTGCGATGCTCTGAGTGTCCCACTCTGGTGACCAACCCAGTGGCAGGAAGGCCTTTGCCTCTGAAGCAAACAATAACCTCCTCTCTTGATCGTGTCCATCAATTACCGTCCAAAAAAGTGGTTTTATTCCATAGCGATCTCGTCCCGCAATGACTTGTTGCTTTTCTTCATCGTAAAGCACGAAAGAAAACTCGCCGCGCAGATGATCCAAGAAGGTTGGAGCTCCAAAGACTTTGTAAAGAGCGATGACTAGTTCAGAGTCACTGTGGCCTTGAAAATTGTAGCCGATACGGTCGATACAAAGTTGTCGTAGAATATCGTAATCGTAGAGTTCACCATTAACAACTGCGTGGACGAGTTGATCAGGACTGTGGAGTGGCTGACGTCCAGTAGGGGTGAGGTCATTAAGTGAAAGCCGGCAATGGCCAAAGGCTATCTTCATGTCAGCACTGTAATTCATAATGCCTATGGAGATTAGCCTTACCAACGGCGTTAGACTGGTTAATCCAAGTGCCTTGAGAATCCGGACCCCGATGATGTATCTGATCCAGTCCTGCCAAGAGCTTTGACTCTAGCATGTGCTTCTTAGCATGGCCCGGAGGCCACGCCATCTTCTTTCGGGTACCACTGTCGGCTTTGTTGCCTTGGCTTGGCTTTCCATTCGTAGTCTGGTCTTTGATGGCATTTTTGCAAACGAAGCAGTTTGTAAATAACTCTTGAAAACCATTCGTCAGAGTATGATGAAGACTATCTGCTAATGAGTCGTGTGATAAGCTATCTCGGCCATCCCCAGGAAGACTTTGTTCTTTTGGACAGGCGAGACAGTACGAGGTGCCCAGGGCAATGGATGCAATAATTCCACACATTATGATATCTTGAGAGAGAGTAAGAGACCTTACGCGACAGAAAGTTCTTTCATAAATGACCACTCTTTCGAGAAAGCCCAGTTTATATATCTTTCTTCTGAACACATACTAAAAGGCCTCTCCAGCCATTGATACTTCGAAGAATCTTGGAACAGCATTTCGCATCCTTCTAGCCCCTAAGAGATAGCATAAGCTCCACAAATGGATTTAGCGGTATCGGTGTCCGGAGTTATATCGCCTTTTATGGCAATAGTCCGTTCGGAGTTTGCACTCAGTTAGGAAGCTAGCTTTTTTCGAAGCCTAGTCTAAAATCCTTCTTGATCCTCTTGATCTAGTGTGTCACATCATAGGCATTTAATCTCTATCGTGACAGCTAATCTTTGGCACCGTTATTCAACGATAGAATTCTCTTTACTTGATTCGCTCAGCAGAGTCTAAAGCGTGGTGTCGAAGTCGTGTACCTAGCCTATTCTCTTGTTTTACTCTAGGTATTTCGCAAACAGGGTTCTCACTCATGATGAGCTGGGGGTGGGTTTATCGACGTCCTGACAGTTCATGATGTGCTTCTGGGGTCGTCTGCCATCAGTGTCTAATAAGTACACCACCCATTCAATTCCAGGCTACACGTAAGCTCACTAGGCTCATCACACGGAAGGATCCAAATTCCATAAATGACAAGCTCTGCAAACCTCTAGCGGGCGCGATGGAGGCTTATAATTACCTTCCTACAAACTCTAGAATTTAGATATTCGCCCTAGTGCTTATTACAACACTATTAAGTGGCTAAGTTCGTAAATAAGCTCATAAAGATCTTCTTCACTGCCGAGGCTGTCGGTCATCGCACATGTTTATATGATAGAAGAACAATAAAAAAGCACTTTGTCCTCGGGTCTTGTAATGAAGGTAAATCCAACATTCTATCATAGTATGGTTCAGGTCGCAGGGTGGAGAGGAGAAGGTGTCTGGAATATATTACATGCAGTTGAATGAGCATGATGGAAGAATATAACGGCCACTATAATCCAGCTTGTCAAGAATGTCCCATAAGCATCTGTAAATACCGCAGTGGCAAGACCCATTCCATAAAAGGAACAGATATCGCTATCTTATCAGCCCGGTATGTGGCGGGATGGGCCGGCCGCAAGGGCAAGGTTTGCTAATGTAAAATGATAAGATTTACAGGGATTGAAAGTAAAAGATAGAAACAAGCAAGGTTCATAATCCTTCCTATGAAGGGTATGTATTTAGCTAGTAAGCTAAGCTAACTTGATTCTGCGGATACGTGGTAAAGATTGTAATATGCTGGCTTCGAATATAGTAGCTGTAATCCTCCATACATATGGTAATGAAGTATTTCTCCTTTGCTTTATCCTTCAACTTTATCAAGCCTAGGCTTTCCAAATCTCTCAATGATATAACAATAAGACTGCTGCTTTATAGATAGATTACCTGTACCGACAATTGTGAGTGTAGTTTAGGCAGTTCATCCAATCGAGCAGATTAGAGGTGTTCACTCTCAATCCATCCTAATTCATTCCAATTGTCTACAGACGTTACACTGGTTATCTTGGTATCTGCTATCAAAAAGTGGTATGATATTATGAGCCTAGGTACAGGTGACGACTCATGGGTTCGAGATCTTAGGCAGAGTTAATCGCCCGGTGCAATCCTCATTAGCCCCACGGTCTATCTTTCAGCCTTTACTCTATGTTATCAACGCCACACACAGTACCGATGTTCTTTCTGGACAAAGCTACAGTCCTTCCTAAAACTGGGGTTTCCATTGTTTGAAATCCTTCTGAGAGACTTTGTTATCCTCGCAAGTCTTGTAACACTAGTCGCCTGAGACAGCCTTGTAGAGATCCTTACATCCTGTCGTCATTGCGGGCTATTGTAGTGTTGCCAGTCAGCGATCTTGGCGAGAAGGTATCTAATACGTGCAGCAGTGGGCGATGGAGTGGTTTTCCGTTCCGACTTCGTCGTTGAAGCCTCCGTCTGGCTAGTGCATGTGGCGCTAGGTGTCGCCTTTGACGGAGTGGAATCGTTTCTAGTCACAGTTGCTCTGGATGATTTGTATTCATCCGGGTTATCTTAGTAGGCGAGTCAGTATGATAATAGCGACTAACATACCTTGACGCATGACACAGTGTCTCTCCTCCTTACTGATGACGCAAGGGGAAGTATCAGCAAGACTGGGATTCCACTTCTTCAGATCTTCAACAGGAGTTCTGTTCGTTAACATCTTCGTACTGGGTCACTATCCACTCATAGTGGATGCGACACTTGTTGGTGTCTCATGTACCAGATGCCATAGGCCTCTTTGTGTCCAATTTCTTTAGCGCTTCTATCTGAATCCGGCAGTGATAGTCTCGAACGGTTCTCCATCTGTGTAGGTGCTCTACGCTGGTTTCTTCGAGAACGTGGACATGTAGCCTAAGTAGGTCCCGATATCCCCTATAGCCTTAATATAATAGCTTTCGCCGAGGATGAGATTAGTATACTTCTTGTTAATACTTGGGTTAAGGAAGAAGAAGTTATTTAAAAGTAAACTTACAGCCAGGGTAAGGTCGGTATAGTTATCCCCTCTAGTGATATTATAGTATTGTACGTACCAGGTGTTTGTTCTGTTGGCGAGGTTGCTTGGCTTAGGTCTGCCTGGGTGGTCTCATTTAGGCTTCTGGTTCGTTTTGCAGCGGAGAGTATACTTACGCTAGTGTGATGGGCGCGTTACTGATACCTGTCGTTATTGACGGCTTCAAATAACCCAATCCTGGAGGGGAAACGCAGATCTGTATATCGACGTAATTCTTTATGTTAGAACACACGTCGTTAAGAGTAGGGTTCCATGAAAGGAGGTGCGTGATGCTAAAAGTATAGATAAAGTCACTATTTATAGTATAACATTTATTATCTTTCTGAACAGTGTAGACATCACATGTCGTCGGCAGATATACGACAGTTCCCGCTTTAGGAAGATTGCTGCATCATAAATTTAGCCAGTAGGTGTGAGTGAATGCGTAAGGGGACACGTTCTACGACTCGTAAATGCCGTTACAAGTGTCGCTGGCTGCATAGTATACGGAACCTTGCAGGGTTCTGTGGGGGTTGCTGTACAAACATACAGTATTCATGTAATAGTCTAGAATTAAAGAGGTTTCAAGTTAAGAGATTATATAAAACTGGCTACCTAAAGAGTACAAGTGTGTTTCATTAATGTTTCTGAAGTTAAATATATCTATTAATTAATTCTGAAGATGTTAAGACTATAAAACTATAACAGCTAAGCTTTGATAAATATAACTATGTTAAAACTTGTAAACAAAGGCTATAACCCTTATCCATTCTTCACCATTTCTATATAGAAAATTATTATTTAAGCATCTACATTAATAACAGGCTGGTTGAATTTTAATCTTTCTTATGTCTCTCAATACTATACCAGGCCAAGCCTGTGGTACCTCGATGCCAGCACCGAACAAGTTATAGACACGCTTGGTGCGGGGGAGACAAGAACGTTCAAACGATCGTAACTTACACCACCAAATTTCCACATGGAGACGTGCCGTGTTTTCCTCACAACGGACACGTCAGACTTATCTTCTGCAGGATAAGCACTAAAGCCGTTTGTAAAATTAGTCAGCTAATATATCAACCCTATTGGCCACGGCATAAGGCATACATGCATCACTTCAAATCATTACCGCTTTCCTCAGCTGGGGTGTATAACAGCTCTCTCTTCGTAAACACTCCAGACTTCTTCGCAATTTTCATTACGAGTAATTTCTAAGTAAGACCGCTACAGGATTCTCCTTCAAGTCTCAGAAGGCGCAAAAATGGACCCTTTGACTGCACTCGGCCTCGCGGCAGCCGTGGTGCAATTCGTCGGCTTTGCTTCTCATCTTGTCTCCAAGACCAAAGAAATCCAGGAATCCGCGACTGGGCAAAGCAAGCAAGCAGCGACGCTAGAGACAATCTACACCCAATTACAGCATCTGAACTCTCGGCTGGAGCTGTCTTCAAAGCGTGATCCAAGACTCGAAGTAGTTCAAGGGTCGACTGACCTTGTGGCGCATGTTTTCGCCATCAACGACTTGTCACGGATATGCGAAGGTGACTGCCAGAGGCTTCTAGATATCGTACGCAAGCTCCAGGTGGGTAACGATTCTAGGCGCCGATGGCAGAGCTTCAGAGTTGCCTTGAAAACGATTTGGAAAGGTAGCGAAATTACCGACCTGGAGCAGCGGCTACACAGCACGCAGACGACTCTGACGCTCCATGTCTGCTCGCTGACAAGGTATGTTGAGCGGTAATTAATATAGATCTATCCAGATTGAGCTAAAATACTTTCGATCAGTTATTGGCACCATAACTTCGACCGGCAACTCAGAGAACTTCACAGTGAGAGCCAACGATTGAATGCGCAGCAGTCGACAAGGCTCGACGGTATGGCGAGGATACTTGGAGAGCTGAGTGAGCGCATTGCAGCGAGCAGATCACCATCAATGCCTAATATGCTTAATTCGTCCGATATTACAAGCCTGGAGGGTCAGATGGCACAGCTATCGCTGTCCAAGGCGGCCGCGGCTAAAGAACACCTAATCCTCAAGTCGCTCAGCTTCAAGAGCCGGCCCATCCGGTATAGCTCGATCCCGGAAGCCCACAGCCGCACGTTTGAATGGGCTTTCGAGGACCATCACTCACGAAGTAAAGAGGACACGGAAACTAGTGACCTGCTTGCATGGCTCAGAGAAGGGAAAGGCTTCTTTTGGGTGTCAGGGAAACCTGGTTCGGGCAAATCGACATTCATGAAATTCGTGGCAGACCATCCAAGCACCTTGTCCGCCCTCACTCGCTGGGCATCTCCCAGGCGTACAGTTCTGGCAAGTCATTACTTCTGGAGCGCCGGCACGCCGATGCAGAAGTCTCAGCAGGGCCTCCTACAATCGCTACTGTACGACATCTTCCGGCAGCTCCCAGATCTCATCGAGTCGGCTTGCATCGAGCGGTGGCAGAAGACCGTGGAACAGCTTAGCCACGAACCGTGGCTTGTATCCGAGCTACAACGGGTCTTGAAACGAATCTCGAGCCGCGATGTGACTGCCAATTTCTGCTTTCTTATAGACGGTCTCGACGAATTCGAAGGTGACCACGTCGACTTTTGCCGTAGCCTCCACGACCTCGCGCAGTCGCCTCATGTAAAACTTTGCATCTCGAGCCGGGCTTGGAATGTCTTCGAGGACTCATTCGGTCGGGCTGGTGCGGCGAAGCTGTATATTCACGAGCTGACCCGCGACGATATTCGCAGTTATGTCGAGCGACGGCTCCAAGACCACCCCCGATGGAAGGAACTCGATGCCGAGGTTTCCGACGCCGCATGGCTAGTTGGAGAAATTACTAAACGAGCAGCAGGTGTGTTTCTCTGGGTTTTCTTGGCCACCGGGCAGTTACGCAACGGCCTGACTGAGTATGACACCTTCTCTGACTTACAACGCCGACTTGAGAGTATCCCTGCCGACCTGGAGGCTTTTTTCAAACAGATTCTCCAGTCGGTAGAGCCATTTTACCACGAGAAGATGGCCTCTACACTGCAGATTGCCCTCGAAGCCAGGGAGCCTGCGCCTGTGGCAGTCTATGGGTTTCACGAACTTGAGTACGACAATATGAACTTCGCTCTTGAGTGTCCGTTGCGGGCGTTGAGCACGGAACAGGCTACTACCAGGCGGAAGCAGATAACCCGTCGACTGAATGGACGGTGCCGTGGACTTCTCGAAGTCAACCCACTCAGTCAACGTGTAGAATTTCTCCATCGGAGCGTCATGGACTTCCTGAGAACAAGTGATATGTGCAAGTTCCTATTAGAGACAGCCCCCCGGAACTCCAACGCGAACCTTTCGCTCCTTCGAGGATATACGGCCTACATCAAAACCACTAAATTCTTGAAGTTCGTGGACCGCACAGCGTTTGCCCAGTTTACCAGCTCGTCTCCAATATCAGCTCTAGAAGAAGCTGTGGTCCAAGCACGTGAGCTAGACAAGACCATGGAAGCCCATCTGCTCCTCGACGAACTTGATCGCTGTGTTCCCGAGATGCACAGAGTGGGACAGGCGATACTAAACGTGTGGGGGAATCCGTCGAATCCAGTTGTGGTCTTCTTGCGGGAGCTGGTAGTCAAGAACTGCCTGGTCGGTTACCTCAACCGCACACTACCAAGCCAGCCCAATTACTTCATTGATTTCGAGAAGCCGGTCTTGACATCCGTGATAGATTCACTCATGATACACTGCACGTCTTTGGGCCAGTTTGGCGAGAATATCGAAATGCTCCGATGTCTTTTGGAGAATGGCTGCGATCCCAACGCCATTTATTACGACATGACTAGAACCACGGATCGCGAACGAACTCCGTGGAAAGATCTCAAGAGGTTTTTGTCAATGCCTTCGAATCATTATTCTCTATTACATGGTAGTTCGAATTTTAGACAGATTGCCATAGATGATGGGCGGCCCTCAATGCTGATGCTCAAGTATGGGGCAAATTGAGGGATCTGTTTAAGCTATCCCACAGTAGTATTTGTGAGTTTTATCCCTCGATTATCTTCTTACTTGTGCTATATATACACTCGCCTATTACATAAAGCTAATATCAAACTTCTTTGTCTGGCCGTACTTCGAATACCAAACAACTGCGGCCCCGCGACATATGCTGTTGCACAATCTTTAGCAGTGTCACAAGACAGACATTAACAGGGGGCAGTTCCGGCGTATCTTTCCATCGAAGGTTAAAAAGTCTTCGGGAGCAGCACTGGTTAAACTGGCACCTATTTCAAGGGCGAGCTCATGACTACAAAAGTATGGGCAGAGATATCAGTCAGGTCTCAGCTCAGTATCGGCCTTGAGGTGGTCGATGCCATTGGTGCCAACGAGTTCAAGCGCGACACAAGGGCCCTCGAAGCCCTGCAAGGTATCAAGGGTGCTAAATACGATATCTCGCTCTACTGTGCCGTTGCTCTAATTCTCAACACCAATAAACTGGTCTTATGTTCTAGCTCCGTCGCATTGAAACCCAGGAAAATATTCTCATCAGGTCCGGCGAAGAGTCATAGTTCGAAGGAAGATAATTACGGCTAATTCCGAGACCCAATAATAAAGTCTTGGTTACAAGTGAGCATGACCAACAGCAGGTCAACCCCACACCCAAGCTCAAGCGATACGCATCACAAAGGGTGCAAAGAGAAATACCACATTCATTTTAGTTTTCCGTGAAATCCTCTTTATTAGAAGATGGGGAAAATATCACTATACATATAATCTTGAATTAGCAATCGATTCTTTACAGGTCGATAACCTTTGTAGTGCTACACCCAGACAATTCACTCAAGCTGTTCGCTCTTCTGTGGCGACACGTAAATATACTTGACAATAGTGCAAAGCTTCCCAATGAGCTCCTCAGTTCCTAGACAACTTAGGCCTCGGTAAGCAAGGCTAAATATCCTGTTAATGGCATACTCTAGTTCCAAGACTTAGCATCTTTGCCCCAGACAATCCTTAGCTCTGTGATCCGTTGAAGAACTTGGCAAAACTCATAAACTCTCACTGAGGCACAATAGGACTGTTATAAGTTCGATTTGAATAGTAATTACAGAGGGTAAGAAAAGGCCACATATCTATTTTGTTCAGCGCGCGAACAAATTGTGCGATATCCATGCCATAGCAACAGATGGCTGCGGTCTACAAAGTAGATGTCAAGCTCCCGGGTAGACCATGTTAATTTGCAACGAGGTTTCCAAATTGAACCTTACTGATTAATATAAAAAATACACTTGGCTGTAGGCATTCATTCTTATCCGGACTAATTTCTTCATAATTCGAATAGTTCAGTAATCTCAATGGGATGAAGAATGCCAGGATCCAAGGCAATAGCGAGAAATGGAATTTTTATTACCAAGGACCCTCGTGAGCGCTGAACCGACAGCAACAGCTTGAAGAACATTCACCCCCTAATATTCAGCTCCTAGAAAATTAACTCACAAGCATAAGAGGAACTCTAATACCCTGGAGAACTTTATTATCGCCGGATGGTAGGCCTCCCAACCCAGAACATAGGCTTTAAGGTGTTTAACTTTTTATCCCTGAGCATAGAACACAGTTTTCGGACCCCTGAAAACTGGCAGCGGGAAACCATTTTAGGCTGATATTATCCCTGTGAGAGACAAGGGACTCGGCTACTTTGTGGAATCAACTTCTCTTGAATAGCGGACCCATCGACAAAGATAAATTCATGTTGCGGTATGCTTTGGGAAACTGCACGCCCGAGACAGGCTTAGATTTGTGTTTGACCCTCCTCCACGACTGCATGTTATTGATCAGAAGGTATTACATACAAGAAACTGACTCGTGAGATTCATGCGAGCCAGCTATGGGCCTGTCCCTGGGGTTTGGCTGTTACTCGTTTAAGCCCATACGAGAAATTTAGAGTTTACACCCTTGTTTCAGTTAGATCTGGAAACCGGAGAACCCCATAAAGGGTGACCTGGAGAATCTAAAGGTGAGGGAATAGTGGGGGATAGTTTTTTCGTCCCATTCGCCATGCGCTGAGCTCATTGACGAACGGGTGTTGCTAACAGGTCCTGGCTATTGTTAACCAGGGTGCCCATGCCTTATGGCATCCCCGTCGATAACACGTTTGAGACGCACGATGATGGAGCTCCTATGCACCAGTCGTTGAGATTCAAGATAGCTTTCCTGCCAAGCAGTGTCAGAATAACCTTAAATCCATCATGCGCATGCTTCGCTAAGGGGCGTTATCCACAGCTTGTCTCATCACGTCGGTTGGATAGACAGTATCAATAGGGATGACGGAAAGAAATGGCAGTTAGAGAATATAGAGAGCAGGAATACAAATATGTATAAATATCATGGTTTGTCCGTTCAAATTATTCATTCTCTCAACAACTCAACTCGCACCTTCAACTTACACTCACTCTCTATTCTCAACTCTTCGCTTCAGCTCCGCCTATTTACCTATTCAAAGTCTGTGACTTCTTTACCAAACCATTCTTTCAACATGCTTTCCTTCACCACTGTCGTTGCCGCCATCGCCGGCTGCTCTGCCATCGTCAATGGCGCAGCTATCCCCAGTGAGAGTGGTCTTCACACAACCACTCTCTACAGTCGAGACGTGGCCAAGAGCCCTGCTCACGTCCTGAGCAAGCGTGAGCCGGTTACTGTGGCCATCCTCACCGCGGCCGGTACCGCGGCAGCCACTGCCATCGTGACCGAGGCCGTCAACGCTGCTGTTGCTTTCATCGGCGATGTCGCCAACTTCGACTCAGCTCGCGAGGCCTTCACCAAGCAGACCACCGATGCTATGATGGCCAATAACCCTGATCCTGCTCGTTTCCAGGCTGCTGCCTGCTACAACAAAGGTTTCTCTGTTGCCGACCCTGCCAACATTGATGGGCAGTCTTCGGTTGAGTTCAAGCTGGGAGTTCTCAACACTGACTACGAATGCATGTACATTGCTGCGCCAAACCAGTTCTATACTGAGAGTGAGGGTGGTTTCATTAACGTAAGTTCCAACCCAGTTGCACACACCATGACCACCTTGGCTAACAACATGTTCAGCTTTCTTATACTCACACCGACCGATGCACCTTCGACCAGGAGACCGGCGATCTCACTTGTGTTTGAGTGACGGGTGGACCATGGAAAGAAAGAGGAGTGTTTATTTCCATCTAATGGAAATCTAGGAGAGTGTAAGGCGGGGGGGTGAATGGAATTAGAAAACGTTGAGATTTGCACAGCAGCCTACAGAATAATAATCCGGAGGTTCGAATCGGCCTTCTCTTTCCTTTTAAATTGTGAAGACAATGTACTCTTGTAGATACTTTTTGAAATGTAAAGCAGAATCATGTATCGATGCTTACGTCAGAGTAGGCGCTAGTCCAAAGACTCCGAAAACTCTCCGGGTCGAGTACCTATATATAACATCGAAGCAACACAGAAACCAAGACAAGACAAGATCTATAATCCAATTTCATCCAAATAGTAGCATCATGACCAGAGATATTCTAATCGTTGGAGCCACAGGCCAGCAGGGCAAGGCTGCCATTGATGCATTGTTCAAGACACGCGACAACTCCGCTCAAACACAAGACATCCGGATCCTAGCTTTAACGAGATCAATCTCATCGCCAAAAGCTCAGGCACTTCAGTCCAAATACCCAGACATTATTCTTGTCGAGGGAGACACCCAAACGCCACAGCCTATTTTCGAAAAGTACCCATCCATCTCATCTATCTTTGTTGTTACGGTCCCGCCCAATGATGAGGCACAAGCCCTTCCCCTCATCGAAGCCGCCGCCATGACAGCCAATCAGGTAGATCACATTGTCTTCTCGAGTGTCGACCGTGGAGGCGACACTGAGAGTTGGGCTCAGCCAACGGAGATTCCTCACTTTGCGGCAAAACATCGTCTTGAGCTACGACTTCGCCAACTATGCAACGAGAATAACAAAAGGTGGACTATTCTCCGGCCTACTGGATTTATGGATAGTTATAATCCTGGTTTCTTTGGCAAAATGATGGCTTCGCTGTGGGCAGAAGGCATGCCGAAAGACCGCAAGATGCAACTGGTCAGCACCCATGACATTGGTGTGTTCGCGACCAAAGCACTCCTCGACCCAGAAGGCTGGTCTGGAAAGGCGACGGCGTTGGCTGGCGACGAGTTAAGCTTCATTGAGCTTCAGGAGATCTTCAAGAGAGTTGTAGGAGAGGAAATCCCACAGACCTATAAAGTGGTGACTTACCCGATTCTCTGGATAGTTGCGGACGCGAACAAGAGCTTCGAGTGGTTCAGAACAGCAGGATGGAATGCAGACATCAGTGCATTACAAGCGCAGGAGCCGTCTTTGCAAAACTTTGAGGCTTGGCTTCGAAACTCTAGTCAATGGAAAACGAGCTGAGTATCTCACGGGATGAGATTGATTTTAGTGTTGGTTCCTAGTTATACAGAAACACGGTTTATAAGGATTTAATATGCTAAACTGATATACGAAACGTACCCGCGGCCACGCTTAGCTGCCTCCAGGCTTACGTCCATAAACGTATCGGACTCGCATATATGTATGAATCTTTGGGTTTCTTATAGCCTTGCGAATACTCATCAAAAAGATCTGGTATTCATCCTTGGGCCACTTAAGCACGTCTTGCCACATCATAAGAGTATAGCCTTAGATAAAAAGTCAGTTAAGGGTTGGAAGAGTTGAAATGAGTTTGCTTGCCCTCGATGTCATTTTCCAAACAGGCTCGAACATATCTTCCGACCTCGGCGAGCTTGGGATCCTTGGGCCAATCACCCACGGGAATCTAGTGGTTCTTGTTAATTCAGGGGATTCAGAGTATGATTCGACGCCCGTACCTTGTAGTCAACGGTTTCAATATCTTCAAAACCAGCGTCTTCAAAGCCCTTCACCTGTTGATCATAAACAAAGAAGGGATTTCCAAGGATTTTCCCTCCTTCCTCGAAGAGCTTTTTATAAACCTTCAGGTTAGGCTCTTTATCAATGGTGCCGTCGTCACAGCGGAACTCAACATCGGCCTCTGCTGACTGAACCCAGCCTCCGGGGGCACAGCAGCGATAGGCCTCGCGGAAGAGAGCGGTCCAGTCTTTGATGGCGCCAAAGATATAACGAATATGGATAAAATCGAACTCGTTGGGCTCCCAGGTCCACCCCATGACGGCATCGTCTATCTCGAAACGAACGTTTGGGGGTACCCATTCAGGCTGGCATGGGGAGAGATCGGTACCGATGATTTCAGCATTCGGATAACGATCGGCAAATTCACTGGCTGGAGTCAGTAAGAGACAAGAGTTATTTCAAAACGAAGCGTACATTGCCCAGATACCTAGTAAAACTTAGTTAGAAATGAGAATAACAATTAACGTAGCCGTGACTTACCAGTGCCAGTTCCAACATCAAGGATTTTCTAGTAAAGTTTACAAATGTCAGCGATACAATGATGTGCCATTTCCAACGTAAAGTGGTCTACCTGTAGTTTCTCTTCTTTCACAGGCGCAAGGAATAACTTTTCATCCAGCAGGATTGTCAAGTAGTGGTGTCTAAGCAAAATGTCAGAGTATAAGAATAAAGATAGAGTCAAGCCTCATACGTTAAATCCACAGACTCCAACTGTTGATCGTCATTGGGAAGAAAATAATTAGTAGTGAATTTATCGCTGTGGTAAGTACGGCCTTGACTACGACGGTATTCAAGAATGCTAGCTGAGACGGAAGCAGTAGAGCTTTCCCTACAGGCATAACAATATTAGTTTTTACGTGTTAGGGAGTTGGTAAAGTGCAACTAACGCGTCCGAGCCAAGGGTCGAATCAGCATCGTCATGAATATCATCCTAATAAGTTAGCTGATGGGTACGTTGTGATGCGTTATTTATCTCCACTTACGTTCTCGTTATCGGCGGCGATAAGCTCAGTTTGTGGCGGTGGTGGAGATGCAGATCCTAGTGCGGGCTCAGCAGTTGGCGTGGCGGCCACTGCAGGTGAAGAAATGGGCTGCTCTGCCATGGTGACTTGGTTGGGAAAAATTAGCAATCAGCTGGTTTGAGAGAAGGCATTCAAAGGAATATTCTGAGATTGAGGAGTGGATACTACACGTGATAACACAGGGGTGGAAGCAATTGGCGGCTAAATGGATATAAGGATCGAAAGGATGAAATAGATGTGAATAGTCTGATGTTATTACTTAGATATTATAAATGAAACGATCTGTATCGGTATTGAAATTTTTCAATATGGAACAGTCCCTGTTCCTGGTGACCACCATTATACCTATTTCCTCCACAAACCAGGTGTATCATATTTATAAGCCAGTTATTATATAAGAGCTAACTATACACACTTGTATAGCAGTTCAAAGAGTAAATCTCAGGCTAAATTTGCTATCTTATTCTACAATGGCTTGTAATACTACTATAATTATAAGTGTGAAGTAAGCCATCAGATACTCGCGTTATTGAAGAGCTCATGTTTATTACACTAATCGGTATATGCCACAGCCAGCTGATTATCTATACTGATTACTTGTCTTGGTATGTACTAAAGAATTATTAGATCGGAAAAAATCACCACACTAGGTAAATACTCTTCTTTAATCGCCTTAAAGACCTCTTCTATTGGCTCAGATACGACAAAATATACAATAGTTATGTTGAAGTCATTTCTTTACTGGAAAGGATATCGCTATCCCAACTTATGTCACCTTCTGGAGTGAAATTATTTAACGAGTCATATGTTACCACTCTCCCTCTGGCTCCGTTGTGTAGATTTTCTGCTGTCTTACTTGTGTAGATGTCTTCTTAAGCCACAACTGACTAAATTTGTCCTCACGCGAGGATCCAAGCTGACTCAATTAAGGAATGTCTCACACCATACGTCCTACGTAGCAACTCGTCAGTATGCGCGGTTCGCGGCTAAGATGAGGCACGTCAAAAGTGGGACGGGTATCCGCAAAGTAGCTGTTGCTTTTGCTTGTTGGTTGCCAGGTATGCAAGGACAGCCTTGAATGTGGATTACGCGAGCGTCTTCAGGCACTCGCTAAGTATTGACATATAAAGAGGGTTACTAAGACGGCCACGTTGTAGAAATCAGCATGGTCGAGACTTGCGTGATATCAGCCGCTGTAAAGATACGTCGGTGACGGTCGGTCCAGTCCCTCGAGCAGGTCAATGCAGCAAGCCACTGGGTCTTTTCGGCTATATGGACGCCGGTCTCGGCCTATATTTCGTGTTCCCTCCGCTAGTTGTCATTGGTCGTCACATTCTAAGTTCGGTCCGGTAGCGGTAGATCCCACTTCAGTCTGGCATCTCTGGAATGCGCCACATCCAAAGACGGGTGCATCATTCGATAATTCCCAAAGATTGACAGAGACCTCAAGATATGGAATGGCAATAAAACTTAGACGATCACTTCCGCTCTCAAAATCCGAAGGGCCGTAGTCTTAAAGATGTTGCCGCCCGTTTGTAAAACAAGCCTCTGCTGTCTGTTCGTGATTTTCAATTCCCACGTTTATTGATGTAGACCTTGAACTGATATTCAGTTCGAACATAAACGGTTTCTTACATTACGACACAACCATTTGGACCTAGCACTCTCTATTGATATCTCGGGCACCATGGAGCCAGGGGCATCAGCACTGCTGGTTCGTGCCAACAACCCTCAACTTCCCTCGTCTGCTAACAGCATCACAGATATCAGAATGGACTCTCATATCCTTATCGACGCTTGTCATCGCCGCTCGCATCTACCTTCGACTAGTCATCCAAAAGCGTCCCCTTCTCAGCAGCGACATCGTCATGGCATTTGCATGGGCCATGGGCATCGTGGTGGCCTCTTTTTGCCTCACATATGTCCACATGGGAGTAATGGAACCGGACATCGACTACTCTCTGAAGAACTACAACGGGACCGAACATGACAAACAATTCATTCATAGGGTACGGCCTCTTCAATGATAAAGGATATAACAAGGACTGACAATGATAAAGTTACTCTGGATTAGTTCCCTTCCGTTCTTGGCTTCATTCTATATCAGCAAAGCCGCTCTGCTCTGTGTATACCATCAGGTCATTCCTATTTTCATGACCAAGAGAAGGTGGTTCCTCTGGGCTACGGTCACTTTCGTGGCGCTTTCCTTCATCACAACTATCGTTCTTCTCTTCACCATATGCACTCCCGTTAGTCGGTTCTGGTAAGCTTTCTCCTCTTTCTCTTCATGGTTTACATATCTCATGGATAGTGTTGCGTACTAACTGGCTAAAGGACACTTGATGCTGATCGCAAATGCCCTAGCTCATCCTTGGCGGTCTTTGTGAGGACAGCCTGGGCTCTGAACTTCGCCAGTGACATACTGGGTGAGTAAAGCATACGCTACTAGGACTTTCAAAGCTAACAAACACAGTTTTTGTCCTTCCCTGGCTTATTGTTCCCGATCTTATGATCAAGGGCTATCTACGAATCGGTATCTATCTGACATTTCTCCTTGGTCTCATCAATATGACCATGAGTGTTGTTCGCTATACCAAGTTATACACTGACGAGCACTTCGGCAAAACATCCTTGGTTACCACCCGTGAGTTGTATCAATATCCCCCTCGCTTACCACTCACTAACAACCGGCAGACTTTTGGAACTCGTTGGATCTCTATATCGGCCTTGTTATCGCGTGTTTACCCGCACTTCGGCCATACTTCAACCTTGCTGCAGAGTCTCGCGCCTTCAGCTATGTCAAAGGCAAGACAAGTGCTCGCAGCAGCCAATACACCGGCACATCTGGTTCCTCTGGTACTCGCTCGTCCCATGTCACTAGGCCCCCGCCAGCTTATAGGCAGCAATCTTCGTCCTCATTTACGCCTCTGAGACGCCTATCAAACTCAGCGTCATATGATATGGATACTGAACTAATGAACAAGGTTTGAGCATGATAACACTTGAAAAAAGAAAATAGTATCTTGCGTTTGTCTATATCGTGCCGACGCGTTAAAGATTGTCTAATTTAATTACCATATTTAATTGAGTTCCTTTACAAACGCACTGAGTCCTCCTTGATTTTGGCCATCATTCGCTGGCCGATCTCACCATCAACCTTGCTGAACATAGCCACGACGGCCTCACGTAGAGGAGTAGGTACGCCTGCCATACTTCCTACCACATTTGTCACAAACTTTCCCTTCTCAGCCTCATCGAAGACATTCCTCCACAGGTCTCGAGGCTGCACGTAATCTTCATCGTCAACAGGAATCTCGTTCAGGCCGAGCAAAGCGTTGGCAGCAATGCGCTCGTGGTGTTGGATTTGAGTAGTAATGGATTGGCTGGTGACACCCGGACTGAGAGTGCTTCGAACATAGTTGGGATCGCTACCGTAGTTCTTAGTAGCAGTAAGGCCATCGCGAATGTAGGGTGCGTAGACGGGAGCAATTGGTCGGTTGGGGGTCAGCTGGGCGTAGTTGGAGCCAAGTCGGTATCGTTGGGCGTCTGGGTAAGCAAACATGCGAGCTTGCAACACTATTGACGGTTAGGAAAATGGCTGAGGCTCATTGGAGCATGTCACTTACTGGGATCAGGTGTCATTGCGATACCTGGGACCAAGTTGGAGGGTGAGAAGGCGGCTTGCTCAATCTCTGCAAAGTAGTTATCCGGCTGTTATTATAGGATCAGTATGTAGCTCTTTTCTCGTTTTCTTTCGCCTTGAACCGACTTACGTTCTTGTTAAGTGTCATCTTGCCGACTTCAATCAGAGGAAACTCCTTATGAGACCAAACCTTTGTGATATCGAACAAAGCTCGGCCGAAAGTCTCGGCCCTTTCGGGCTCCATGATTTGGACGTAAAACTTCCACACAGGGTATTCTCCACGGGCAATGGCGTCCCACAGATCTTCAGTGTGGTAATCAGCGTTGGAGCCCGCCTTTGTCTCGGCTTCGTCAGGGGACGCAAAGGTAGTCGAACCGGTCTCGGGGCGGAAGTGGAATTTGCAGTATCGGGGGCGGCCGGAACTGTCTACAAGTTTAAAGGTATGGATGCCGAAGCCTGTCACTCGTCGGATGGAGTCAGGAAGACCACGGCTGCCGAAGAGATGCATCAAGGTGTGCACGCTCTCAGGTTGGTTGGCGTGAAAGTCCCAGAACTAAGAAACGTTAAATCTTCATATCAATAATTCGATTCCATCAAAAGATACTCACCATAGTCGCATCAGGTCGGTTGGTGGCAGGGTGTCGCTTGTGGCTGCGGTTAAGGGAGGGGAATCGCATAGGGTCACGAACAAAGAAGACAGGCTAAACGTCTCAGTACGAGTGTTGAAAACGGGGAAAAGAACTGTACTCACAACGTGGTTCCCAACGATATCATAGTTTCCCTCCTCTGTGTAGAACTTGACAGAGAAGCCTCGAACATCACGAACAGTATCGGCGCTTCCCTTTTCTCCGCCAGTGGTGCTCAGTCGGAAAAGGACCTGAGTCTTCTTGCCAACGGTATCAAGGAACTTGGCACAAGTCAATTGGGCGATTTCAGGGTTGGTGACTTCGATCTCCCCAGGCACCAGCAGCCTTTGCATGAACAACTCTGCGAGTATGTGTTAGATAGTTGGTCCCCGGCGTAGCACTGGATCAAGACTGGTCGTACCGTTCAGGAATACGCTCTCGGCTGAAGTGGGCTAACGTCTCGATCAAGAGGGTATCACCAAGAGTCGTAAGGCCACCGCCACCAAAGACAGGTAGAGTGGTGCTCACGGAAGGATCGCGCACAGGCTGGCCTACAAGGAAGTCAGAAAATGCGATCTTCGTCTTGGGCTGGGAACTTGCCTTCAGCCAGAGTGTATACCGGGTTTGACATTGTTGTAAAGCTTGTCGAGAGATTACTAGGGGTTCGATAGAGTAATTGGTGTGAAAAAGGCAGAAGAAATTTCAGCACTGAGGCCGAAGAGTTATTTATCTGGTACTACGCCATGGTAACTGGGTGAATAAACACCGAGCTACCCCCGGCAAACTGGTTGACTGGAGCATTGATCCTTGAATTGCGGTAAAGCCTGCAAGACTGGATAAGACACAGAATACGGAGTATTGGAAATCGCCCTCAGTAGACCCAATCGTGAGATAGCATTTCTAAGCTTTGGTGTTGATGTGGATTCTCAATCTGCGGCGATGTTACCTCTTTTGGTTATTACTCACCTGTAGCCTGTTCGGTGGATGCCGAAGAGCCGCTTAAACTGGGTCTTGACGAAGATTTCGTGGACGTTTATCAGATAGGGCATCTCGGGACTGGCTCGGGAACCCTTATCTACGGCATCTTTATCAAGATATTGTTTAAGAAGACACCGAAACCCGCACCGAGAATTTCAGCTATTATCGATTCCGCATTTTAAGCATAAACTGCGAACTCGATTCGAAGTGATAACCCCCAGATTATGGGTAGCTTACGTAGTATGTCGCAAGCATAAAGGTCTAGTTCCCGAGTCGACGCCAAACAAATGTAGTATTATCTTGAATGATGCTAACTTGCCAAACTAAAATTCTGTAGCTTGGCTTTGCCATGAGTTGGTCATTGCACACTTGCTAGTTATCGAAAAGTAAATAATGCTTTAAGCCAAGAAGCAACGTCCACACTTCAGATTTATTAGTGTTTCGAGACATCTATTCACTGCTCTTTGCCACACTTTTACGGTGAGACTGTGCATTCATACAATACACAAGTGTACCAACAGCACTTACATACGTTCAATGGAGTACACAACAGGGAATAATGATAAGTCCCCGGTTTCTAGCCGTCTGCATACTTCACAGAGGCTGCTGAGTAGACAACAGCATCTTCATTAGCCCTGGGTCAACCTGCCTTAACCCTAGGCGCGATTTGTAATCACCTAGCCTTTCACTTGCTGCTCTTGCAACTCTGTAACCAACATTAATGTAGGGCTCCCAACAAATCAAATATCAATTTTTTCGGGAAGTAATTTTGACGACCGCCGGAATTCTTTCCGCGATGTTCGGATGAACTTAATTTAAGAGATTTAGGTTATCTTGGAGTTTCAGATGAAGGTCAGATAAGATATGGATTGATAAGATAAGAAAGAAGAGGAAAATATTTGTTTGTTTCTCGTCTCTGGATAAAAATATTTAGTCTGTGTACAAGTTCAGATGCAAGAGCTAGATCAGAAGTCCAAAGTAACATAATTGTATGCGTAACTTTAATTCGAATCTGGACTCTACAAAATGATTTTCCGCCTGTTGCACTTGGAGTAAGTGAGACAGTGCTGAATGAAAGTGGCATTTCTTGTTAATCCGGAGGTCAAACACACGATTGGACGATTTAATCCTCAGAGCTGGACGAAAGGATCTGAATGCTAAAATAAATCATTGACGTTGGCAATGACGACGTATAAACTGGTAGATCATAACCGGACCGGGTATACGGTTCATCCGAGCAACCTCAGACCAAAAACATCTTACATCTACGTCATACTAGGTACTGCAGTAACAGATCTTCACCACAACTGTTCGAAACTTTCCTTTTAGGCTAAAAATATCATAGTCCTAAACTCAATTATCGCAATGACATCCTCTACAGTCAGGCCAATTAACGTATTGCTGGTCACTAAAACCCGGGGTTACCGCCACGATTGCATACCCAGCCTCATCTCCGCCTTTAGCTCGCTTCCCTTCACGGTCAAGCCCACTGAAGATACGACTGATATCCTCTCTCTTTCGAATTTCGACGTTGTTGCGCTTGGCCATAATACGGATAAGTTCTTGACAGAAGAAGAGGCTGACTCTTTGTTGTCTTTTGTTGAGAATGGCGGTGGCATAGTGGGCATTCATGCTGCTACCAGTGGTATGCGGGCAAACTCCAAGTACACCAGAATTCTTGGGGAGGTTTTCAACGGCCATCCGCCTCCACAGTGGATAACTCTTGTGGTAGAGAATCCTGAACACTATATTAACGACCATGAGCCTCTCCCTACAACCAATTCTGCACCGTCCTCTGCTCTACCCATTTCAATCAATACAGAATCTATTCCAGCGAAGCATTTTCCGTGGTTCGATGAGGTTTACACATTTAAATCCCACCCTTGCGCCGCTACAGATCGCACAATCTTGTTGTCAGTCAAGGGAGACAACCGTGGAGATGGATCAGATGGTTTTCCTCTATCTTGGTTACAAACCGTTGGGAAAGGAAGGGTATATTATACAGCTCTCGGTCATTTCGATGAAGCCTACCAGGATCCGTGGTTTATGGAAAACATACGTCGAGCTGTAGTGTGGACTGCCAAGAAAGAAGGATAAAAGTTCTCCCTGTGTTAGAAGCAACTTATAGACAACGAATAGGAACACCTTCAGGGTAAGACTTTGAAATATGTCATAGCACCTGACGATAGTGGTATATGTTCAAAGCTATAGTTATTCCCACGCCATTGACTAAGAGTTGTGAAGTTCCTTATTTCAGTATACCTAAGGTGAGTATATAGATGTGTTGTTTGTACCCACTTGTACAGTCGATAGCCTATCCTCACGAGGCTCCTTGAATACAAGTAACATATGTCAGCCACACAGTAAGTATGTTTCTTATGATAATTTTATACGGTCGTTATAAAATTTGCTTGCCAATTACATCCTTCGTACGCTTAACTTCTGTCCTGCAGGTTACAATAAGCTGAGGGGTATGTCACGCAAGATAAATCGAACAGAGCAGGGCTCTCCCATATTTGAGATAAAGACTTGTGAATTAGGAAGCACTCCCCGAAAGATATCATTCGGCTGCAGCTCTGAAGAGAATGATCGGGTTGCTGTATTAGGATTCTTTACGGAAAAGGGTGGATGGCCAGCGACAAGGAATATTCTCCGTACCTTCTGCATTGTTATCGTCCCTGGCTGCCTGGAGAAATAAAGATATATCCACCAGGGCATCCGGGGAATTACGGGTCAAGCGTGGGATAATACGGAGTAGGCTTGGCCTGAATCCTAACCACCAACGCCAAGATACACGTGGAGGGAGAGGTTGGAGGAAGATATGGTCTCGGTTGACCATAAGAAGTAAACGGAGAAATTCACCGTTCACTACATACCCATTTTTCTGATATTTAGATATAGATATTAATTGATTCTGAGGATTTGTCTCCCCAGACTCTTCTTGGCGCTGTGTTTGGATTTCAAGTTAATGGCGGTCGGAGCAAGCGATCCAATCAAGATGCGCGGAGAGAAGATATTCCGGCGGCAGAAGATGTGTGTGCTTCCCAAAGAGGTAAGATGTGCAAAGATGGAACTCAAGAGTCAATATCCTTGACGGGCGCTCAAAACTGCGAGTTACGCGCCTGATTCCTGAGTCAATTCTCGTGGCAGGTCATGCGAGGTCTTGTTTTGCCAAGCAGCCAAGATGTGATGAGGGGAAATAAGGGCGAGGGATCCCTTCTGCGTTCCTTCTCTTGACTAGCCCCAACAGGAAAGGTACCCGGTTGCGGATGCGTGATAACGCGACGCGACTGTGTTTGTTCCTTTGGCGAGACCATCCGTGTACAGCCTTGAATTGGTTGAAAGAAAATCACGACGTGATAGCGACCCCAGGACCCTTTGTGTGACAGTCTCGGCATGTTTTACCGGGTAGATGCCCAAGGTCCATATCGTGCCTAACTTTGTCGTCAGAATAAGGCGACTCGAGTGACGGTGTAGCCCTCCGCTAAATAAAAGTCGGCAGAAGCGCCAACCTCTCACGGCATGCATATAAAGCCAAGCAATGCTTAAGACAGCCGTGGTAATATGTCCATGGAGAGTCGCTTTCTGTGAGAGATAAACACTGGGGAACCTTTGAAGATCAAGGACCAACAGAGCCAAACCCACCGGGAGACCCAATTTGGCGAACCGAGGAGGGTCTGGCAAACTCCATCGAAAGGTGTCGATGACCGCGACGGGGTTCGCAGAATAGGATCAGCGTGCTTATTCTAGAGCTTATTGCACTTTGTTTGCGCTTCGAGTAATATTCTTGTGTATCTACTTGGCATTTTCTTGAACCCCAGAGTTGTTTTGTCACATGGAAGGTCTCAGGATGATGGATTTCCACATTTTACGGAGTATGTGGAGGAAATTGAATGATGGGATGAGGTATCGACCAACACGACTTCGGAGGTGTTGTGCAAAGCATACATTCAGTATTAACCACTAAACAACACAGAAGAAAAACTCTTTTAATAATTTTCATGCCTGTCCTTTTTGCCTGCTGTAGTCATCTCATGCTAAAGTCACATGCAGGCAAATTGTGAAGTTACTGAATAATCCTCAACCTACCCGAGACCACAAAATACGACCAGACCCACGAAAAACCCCATGGCGGCAGTCTATAGCCCCGAGATTGCGGCGACAGAAATGACGTTGATGCGAGGACTTTTAGCTAAAATCTTATCCAAACCTTATCCACAGTAAATCCACATGTCACCCACACCTCGGCACTATTCCCCAATTATTTTCTCGGCCGTGGGATGGTGAGGGGAAGGAAAGTTGGAGTAAATCCATGTATGCAGGGAGAGTGTTTGGATGTTTAATGGTTATTCTCGGGTTTTGAGCGAGGGAGGTTTTTGTTGAATGGAATGTATCGTTGTAAACAAGGGGTGACTGGCTTTAGTGACACTGCGTCTCATCTGTTTTGTGTTGCACTGTTGGTCATGGTTGCTTTGCGCATGCAGATCGTCGTACTTTATCTCGACGATCTTTTTGGGTTTCTTCTCTGACACTTTCTCACCTCAACCTCAACCTCTGCGGTAAACCACGGCGTCATGCATTCACAAGCTACAGGTCGCACAGCAGCTGGGCTGGAGCCGTCTAGTCATGTAGTTGCAGCCTTCCAGGATAAAAGAACCGAGAAACGGGACTTGTTGATTCAAGGGTTCTGTTCCCTTTTAGGACATTTGTGAAGATCGCGGAAGCGCTATGACGTACAAGCATCGCCAACCCCGGGCACAAACACGGGACGTCATTTACCCATATTTAAAAATTTTCAGGCCATTTCCCTAGCCTCTATCGCCAAAGAAGACTGATTTGATGCTCGCATCCTTCTCTTTTCGTAGCCCCAATCTTTTGCACCGTTCTGTTACGTCATGCGGGTCCCCCTGGACTAGCCCGGCTTCCATTTGTTCGATCTCTAATTTTCTACGCCAAGTGACGTTGTTGGTGATAGTTTTGGGTAAAGTGTAGAAAAACTCTTCCACGGTTGTGGCCGTAGATACTGTGTAGATGTGCGTTTATCTAAGGTTATCTGTGAAGGACCCTTTTTCTCCTCATACTCCAAGATTTTGGTGCCAAGTTTCGAGTCATTCCCCAACCCAACACAACCTTGAAATTCCTCTGCTTATCAGGCCCACTGTGCTGTGACATAAAAACATTGGGTCTGGTGGATTGCGTTTTTTCGTAGCAGCTCCACGTCTACTCCAGATTTGACTTGGCATTCTTTGCGGATTGTCTTTATAAAGATTCTGAATCTCCCATTGCTTTGAGGGTTCGAATAGATAGACTATCACCACCAAAGAATCATAGAAGAGTTGTCCGTCTAAACATCATTCATCATGGTTCACGTCGACAACGAGGCTGGAGTGCCTCACTACTGGGGCAAGACCGGCAAGGGTCTCCAGAAGCTCATCACTATCGTCGCTACAACAGACTTTCTTCTTTTCGGTTATGGTAAGTTGAAATATTCTGGGGTAACTACAGCTCAGACCAAAAAGCTAACCATGTGGTCCCCATTGCAGATCAAGGTGTCATGTCCGGTATTATCTCCGCACCCGCTTTCCTACGCGATTTCCCCCAGGTTGAAGACGAGACATACGAAGGTTTCGTCGTGTCCATCTACGCTGTCGGCTGCTTCCTCGGTGCTCTCTTCATCCTCAACTTTGGTGACCGTCTCGGTCGTCGCAAGTCCATCTTCCTCGGTGCCATTATCATGATTATCGGTGTCATTATCCAGATCGCTTCTGTTCCTCCTTCTGGCGGCGCTACCGCTCAATTCATTATTGGCAGATGTATCACTGGTATTGGAAACGGAAGTAAGTTTTTAACATACCCAATTATACTTCCGTATAGTATTGGCTAACAATATCCCAACAGTCAACACCTCGACTATTCCCACTTACCAGGCTGAGTGCAGTGAGTCCCACAACCGTGGAAAGCTTATCTGCATTGAGGGCGGTAACGTTGCCATTGGAACGTTGATTGCCTACTGGATCGACTATGGATGCACCTACGGCCCCGACGCCTTCGTCTGGCGATTCCCCATTGCTTTCCAGTGCGTCTTTGCCAGCATCGTCCTTGTCATGATGATGAAGCTGCCCGAGTCTCCTCGTTGGCTCATGACACATGGTCGTACGGAAGAAGCAGCAACTATCTTGGCTGGTCTCAACGGCAGTCCCCGCGACTCTCCTGAGGTTGTCACCCAGATTGCTACCATCGAGAAGGCTATCACCGCGGCTGGTCACAAGGGTGGCAAGACCCCCTTCGCTGCTCTCTTCACTGGAGGAAAGACCCAGCACTTCCGCCGTCTCATTCTTGGTGCCTCTTCTCAGATGATGCAGCAGCTTTCTGGTTGCAACGCCGTCATCTACTACTTCCCTATTCTGTTCCAGAAGTCCATCGGTACCGACCACAACATGGCTCTCTTGCTCGGTGGTGTCAACATGATCATCTACTCCATCTTCGCCACAACCTCTTGGTTCGCTGTTGAGCGCATCGGTCGCCGCAAGCTCTTCCTTATCGGTACCGTTGGCCAGTGCTTGTCCATGGTTCTCTCATTCGGTGCTCTGATTCCTGGTACTGCCTCTGCTTCCAAGGGTGCTGCTGTCGGTCTCTTCACCTACATCGCCTTCTTCGGTGCTACCTGGCTGCCTCTCCCTTGGTTGTACCCTGCCGAGATCAACCCTCTCAAGACTCGCGCAAAGGCCAACGCTACCTCCACTGTTTCCAACTGGCTGTGGAACTTCTTCATTGTCATGATCACTCCTGTCATGATTCACGGTACTGGTACCAACGGCTGGGGAACATACGCTTTCTTCGCCGCCATGAACGCCATCTTCTTCCCCATCATCTACTTCTTCTACCCAGAGACCTCTGGTCGCTCCCTCGAGGAGATTGATCTGATCTTCGCCAAGGGTTACACTGAGAAGATCAGCTATGTGAAGGCCGCCCAGCAGCTCCCTCGCATGGAAGACCACGAGGTTCACGAGAAGGCTCGTGAGTATGGTTTCACCAGCGACGAGGAGGGCAATGTTGATCACGCCGAGCGTGACAACGGTGTTGTTGTCTAAAGGTCGAACTGGAATTCGACTTGCAAAGACTCAGCATGCTGAGTCTTTGCATAAACTTACGATTTAACGGATCTCCCAAGGCTGCTTATTAGTAGCCATGAGCGTTTAGATACCACGGGAACTCTTTTAGTTTACCCGACCAATACATAACATTTCAAGAACTTCGTTTGCATCGTAATTGTGACATTTCCGTCGTAGCCAATGCGAAGCATTATAGCCGCACTTTAATCACTTATCACTAAACGAAACGGAACCGATGCTTTTCATAGACAGGCAATACACCTTACGATGATATACCGTCACGCCCTCTATTAAAACTGATTATGTTAAAATTATCTACCGTGAATACAAGTTTATAGTTGTTCCACCAAACCCTCCAAAGAATATGACATCCAACCCTACCAGCTCAAAGTCACCACTGTACCCTTCAAATACCCACACAATTGATCGACCCAATCACAGGTTGACCTGAAAACGAGTGCGCATTCTCTCTCCATATGTATAAAAGAACCACGGCACAGGAGTAAAGGCAAGGCAGATAAAGCCTAACACGCTGTTTCCCCAGCCCAATCCGAGCTTCGAATAAAGCGGAAATGCAGCAAGGTCCAGAAAAGCACCAAAGGGAGATCGAATGAGCAAGTTGGCTGCCATGGCTGACGCTGCTGCTTCAGCACCGAAGGAGTCTACGAGGTAGATTTGTCCAGGTATCACCACAAACAGGGAACCGAAGCCAACAACAAATGTGCCTATGATGGGCACGATCCAGTGAACACTATATTCAGCTGCCCAGCCATATATGAAAAGGCCCAGCGGAGTGATGGGACCTAGCCATTTCATCAAAATAAGACGGTCCTCGGGCCTGGGCGCTGCAGGCTGGAGACCGTCGCCGTGTTTCATCCCCAGGAGCTTGTCGCTGAGAATAGAAAACGTGAACAATCCCAGGGCTATGCCTATTCCCAGTCCCAGATAGGCTAGCCCGGCGACACCTGGCGAAAAGCCATACGTGTCTTCGAAGACAGAAGGAAATGTCGTGAAGAGTAGGAAGACCAGGCCGAAGATAATGCCGGTGTAGAGTGACACCAGTAGGACAATTGGAGACATGATAAGTAATTTGACTGGTCGCACAATGGCGCGAGTGATCATCTGTCGCGGTGTATCATTTCTAATCGTTTTGGGGATAAGCTCGTCGTTTCCGGTCTCTTTACGCAAACGCTGTACTCTCCTTTGTAAAAGGATAGTAGAGTTCGTCTCTCGCATAAAGACAACTGTGGCGATACCGACTATTCCAGACTAAGACGAATTTAGAAGAGTACTAGATTTAAAGTTGATAGTGAGACTCACAAGAATTAAAAGTATGCGAAATGTCCATCGCCAGCCCACGTCCTCGGAAACAAATCCGCCAATAATAGGGCCAATTACCTGACAAGTGTTAGGGTGGTCATGCTGCGAGGAGAGGACAATACTTACAGGACCCAATAATGGCCCTACAGTGAAAAGTGCCATGGCCTTACCCCGTTCCTTCTGAGGAAACAAGTCTGCTATGGTCCCGCCGCCAACAGACATGGGCCCCGAGGCAGCACAGCCGCAGATCATTCGAAAGGCAAGAAACATAGCGGTATTTGTGCTAAAGGCGCAGCCGAAAGTGAAAGCAATGTAGACCAAGTTACAGTAGTAATAGATAACGAGACGACCGTAGAGTTCGGAAAGAGGCGCAAGAAGAAGGGGCCCGAATGCGAAGCCGAGGACGTATAAGCTGACGGTCATGGCCTTGACAGTACTGTCGGTGATGTTGAATTCTAGGGCCAGTTCGGCTGCTCCGGGGGCGAACATGGTTGCGGCGAGATTTCTAGAAAATGTTGATCAGCGACGTAGATATTGATTGAAGACCATGCACTTACGCTGTGAGAGCGAAGAGACTAACGATGACCAAGTGCAGATTCTTCTGACCCTTGGACCAATTGAGAGGGTGTTCAGGGTCATCAGGGCCGTCCCAGTCAACGACGTTATGATCTAGAGGCGGTTCATCGACTATGGTACTAGCAGAAGAAGGCTTCTCGAGGTCTTCAGCCATGTTGATGCCAGTGCCTTCTCCATTGGCTGCCTCTAGTTGGGCATCCTGGAGATTTGGCGAATGCATCTGGGAGAGTGTTGTCGCTCGTGTTTGTTTATCGTGGTCGAATAAGTATAGTTCTTATTGGAAAGGTATTGGAATTTATCAGTATGAGACGATGGATTAAGAGACCTTGCTGAATGAGATGTTGAATGAACGTGGTCAAGGTGACTGACTATATGATAGACAGTCCGATTCTGAAAAGAATAGCTTAGAGTTGTATTTAAGGTACCCCCGACTACTCAGAAACCCATCTATATGTAAATGGATCATGCATGGAGGATCGGGCCGGGAATCTATACGGAGGATGGCAGAACTGGAGCATCGGAGGATCGGAACGGAGGATCGGAGCGGATCATGGCTCGGACCCGGATGACAAGGGTCAAAAGTGGACCATCCTATAACTCCATGACTTGCATCCTTCATCTTACAGCTCTCACAGCGTCAAATATCCCCAATCTCAACCGTGACAAGTTGATACCGGAAACATCCGTTTTAGAGCATATTTTGGGTCCGAATTACTTCCCTCGTCCGATGGCTGACCAGGAGGCGTCTGTGGAGTGGGGTCCTGGCAAAACCCCCCAAGGAAGAGCTCGACTACCCTCAAGCAGGCCGAGGGAAAAACCACAGCTCTCATGTAATTTATGTAGAAGGAGAAAGTGAGTAACTCTGAGGCTTCTTTGCTGATGACTTGGATGCTGGAGCTTCCTGTACCTGCTAACTTTGCACCACCAGACTTAGATGTGATCGTCAGCGGCCCTGCAGTAATTGTGTCAAGCGAGAGCTCGGCTTATCATGCACCTACACCTACACGCCAGAAAGAGCATTAGCTACCCATGGATCGCAGCAGTCGCGGGGGACGACGACACAGGATCGTATTCGTCATCTTGAGGGACTGGTATTTGATCTGATGCAGCATTCATCAGTCAGCCCGAATGGCTCTGCTCAAACAACTGACTCTCCGCCCTTGGAACTTCCCCAGCAAGAGGCCTTTTGTGAGTCTAGTGACACTGCATCGCCAGCGGATTACGGTGCCATGCAGTCGACAGGAGGAGGGGCGAATTACGTGGGCAGTGCTCACTGGGCTGCTGTCCTCGATTCAATTGCTGAGCTTAAAGATCATTTTGACAACGAAGAACCATCACATCTGGACGAACAAGTGGAAGAAGACTCAGATACCGAGGTGTCTGGACCCCAACTATTATACGGGTGTCCGAAACCAACTACCAAAGACGAAATACTTGCGTCATTACCCAACCGTCAGGTTGTGGACCGTTTGGTGTCTCGCTATTTTAATTCTTTCGAGATGAGTTCTTGTTAGTGTGCACCCAGCACTATTCGTGTTATCACCAGGCTTACAAATACTCCACAGCCGTGCTACATACCGTTGAGTTTCTTAAAGAGGTAGGAAGAATGATCCAAATGACCTTTACTACGATAATTATTGACCCTGTCAATAGTATGAGGCATTCTGGGAGGCCCCAGCAGCAGCCTCGCTCATCTGGCTGGGTCTTCTGTTTACAATAATGTGCTTAGCAGTTCAGTTCGAAAATTCTCTATTGGGCCCTTGTGCCACGGACCCAGCCGCAGTATTCGCCGAGCAGGATCTGCAAAACAAGGCGGACATGTTCAGGCTCCGAATATCTCAATGCCTCGTTCTCGGCAACTACGTCAAGGGCGGCCCTTATGTTCTCGAGACGCTTATGCTGTACATTGCATCTGAGATCTTCACTCGCAACGATGCCGAGATTGACATCTGGATCCTCATGGGTACTACCGTCCAGATTGCAATGCAGATGGGCTACCATAGAGACCCCAAGCACTTCAAAGAATTGTCACCCTTCGCAGCCGAGATGAGGAGACGTGTTTGGGCGACCATTATGGAGATGGACCTTGGAATCTCAGCCCAAATGGGCCTTCCGAGACTTGTCAAGCAGTGGCAGACTGATACACAAGAACCATCAAATCTCCAGGACAGCGATTTCAACAAGTCTACTCTTGAAATACCACCGTCAAGGCCACTGACAGATTTCACACCCATGCTGTATCGTCTAGTCAAAGCTAAACTAACGGCCGTTATTGGAAATATCTGGGACTTCCTCGCTGACGTGAGGCCGTACCCTTACACAGAGGTGCAGAAAATGGACAAGAAGCTCGACGAGGCACGGAATTCGATCCCGGATGGCTTAAGATGGCACTCTATCGCCCGATGTATCACAGACTCGCCTCAACGGATCATGCAAAAAGTTGTTCTCGAAACACTGTCCCACCGGGCCAAGATTGTGCTGCACAGGAAATACATGTTCTGTTCGTCAGCAGAGTCTGCTGACTCCAAGCGCATAGTCTTGCAGTCTGCGCTTAAACTTCTTGACTACCAGCACATGCTTCAAGAGGAGACAAAGCCTTTTTGCCAGCTATACCATGAAAGATGGCGAGTGTCTTCGTTAGTAAATCATGATTTCCTTCTGGCGACGAGCATTCTTTGCTATTATCTACAGCACGCTCGCGAGGAGCCACAGCAGTCTGATGAGCTATCACCAACGAATGAAGCCATCCTGGGGGTTCTCCGGAGGTCTTATCATATCTGGCTGCAGTCGAGCAACCAATCCAAGGAGGCAAGAAAGGTTGTTAAGGCGCTGAAGGTCGTCCTTGACATTGGAAATAGTCATACACCTTGCACTACTGACTCAGTAGTCGACTCAGACATTGCTTTTGATATCCCTTCCGCATTTTTGTCTTCCAATATGAATGAATATCGCCAAGGTAAGCCGTCACGCAGCGGGTATATCTGTCGCATTACTGACATGTTGAGTAGGGATTCCGGGTGGGTTCGGCACCCAGTTTCCAGCTCTAAATGATCCTTTGATGTCAAATTGGGCAATGCTTGGAGATGACCTACTCACGATACCAACTACGACACCTAATTCGGAATGGCAAACAATGGATGGTAAGTGGAAGATTATGGTTTCGGATTATCATGGCTAATCAGCAGGGTCATAGAGACGGTGGGCGCGATGGGATCTATGAGATGGCCATGGAATATACAATGATGTTATGGATAAGAGTTAAGGATGGAACAATGAATGAAAACAAATCTGAAGTAATGAACTGCTTACTACCTAGGCCGTTTTGAAAGAATCCGAACCTTCGCCATGTCTCCTGTTTCGGAGAGGAACGCTCTTGAGATGGTTGTGCGGGGTAAGACTTACAGCACAGTAAGAGCCCAAGAAGCATCACTATGTATCTAAAAATGGGGAGTGTTTGTCATGGGACAAAAATAATGAGAAATGGCTGGCATATCACACCACTAAAACTGTCCCATTCATTTGGGAGGTCTGTCATTTAACTCACCTGATAAGCAAACCGGTCTAAGTGGGTCTTGAGTTGATAGTGCATCATTCGCGTAGAGCTGCTTTCTTGAGAAGCTATTTAAAGGTAGCGGCCAGCATTTGAACAACGCAGTCAAAACATCATCCCGTCGAACACCGATACTCAAGTTCTTTCAATTAATTATGGCATCGAAACCATTCCCTCCAGTGAACGGGATGACCTCCTTTTGGCGCTCCTCACCCGGGTCACTTGACAACCACCGTTCCACAGAAACACTGCCTTCTGAATGCGACATCCTTATCGTCGGAGCAGGGTTCTCAGGCGGCTCGCTTGTAACACACATGTTGGCGCAGCCCGAGTCCAAGGATAAGTCCATTGTCGTCTTGGAGGCTCGCCAGCTTTGCTCTGGAGCAACAGGAAGAAACGGTTCGTGGCAATCATTCTTCCAGCATTTGTCGGGTTTCTAACATTACCGCCAAAGGGGGCCATATGAAGCCCGATGTGTACAACCTGTGTGGAAGCATGACCAAGAAACATGGAGTCGAAGCAGCAGCCGAAATCGCTGAATTTGAGCTTGCAAACATGGAGGCAGTCAAGAATTATGTTCTAGAGAATAATGTGGATTGCGACCTTATTCTAACTCAAGCCGTCGATGTACAACTGTCGAAAGAACATGATAGCGCTCTCAAGGCGGGCTTTGACAAACTAAAGGATGCAGGCGTGAGCGCGACTAAAAAGGCGTTCTACATAGATGGGAGATATGCCGAACAGGTAAGTATCGCCACCCAATTGCTGTCGATTAGTCAGGACATGTTTTGACTTGAAGATATCATGAAACAGATCTCGGGCGTTAAAGGCGCAAAGGGAGCCTTCAAGTATACCACTGGTCATCTCTGGCCCTACAAGCTCGTCCATCACCTCTTCTCCCAGGCACTGAAGCACGAAAATTTGAACCTCCAGACGAACACCCCTGTGACGGAGATATCATCTTCTACTGATGCAGATGGAAGATGGACTATCACTACAGGCCGTGGTAACATCAAAGCTCGGAAGGTCATTATGGCCACTAACGCTTACACGGCTGCTCTTCTGCCAGAGTACGAGGAAAAGATCATTCCCTACCGCGCTATCTGCAGCCGAATCGTTGCTCCGAATCCGCCAATGTTCGCAGACTCTTATGTCATCCGGTTCAGTGACATGGACTTTGACTACATGATTCCTCGTCCTGATGGGAGCATTGTTGTTGGGGGTGCGAGGAAGGATTACTTTAAGCATACGGAAGACTGGTATGGGAACGTAGATGACACGAAGCTCATTGAAAGGGCGAAGGATTACTTTGAGGGGTATATGCAAAAGCATTTTCGTGGGTGGGAGAATAGCGGCGCGCACACTGCTCAGGTGTGGACGGGAAGTAAGTCTGCCAGTATTCTGAAGTTCTTGTCTTTCTATGGCTAACCAAATCTTCAATCTAGTAATGGGCTACTCCTCAGATGAACTTCCTCGTCTCGGTCGCGTTCCTGGCAGAGAAAATATGTTTATCATGGGCGGTTTTACTGGGCACGGAATGCCCCAGATCTTCTTAGCTGCCAAGGGCATTAGCGGTATGGTTCTTGAAGATCTGACTTACTCCGAGACCGGACTGCCTAAGCTGTTTGGAGAAACGAAGGAGAGGCTAGAGAGCAAGGAGAACTTTGTGAGAGATATGATTGATAGGCAGCCACCGGTTGCAAAGATATAGATATGATAGCATCGTACAGAACTAGGTATATAATAGAATTGAAATGATTAAAAAGACGATATAGGATCGTGTTCATCAATGCTACTAGGATTCTTTGTTATTTACCGATAAACAGCTTATCAAGTTATCATACGTGCTGTGAATATAATGTGTACAAGTATAGTCTCCCCTAAGCTGCCATTCTCGTCTTAGTGCCTGCTAGCGTATCGTTTGTGCCTGCCTGCTCAGTTATGGCTGCTGTGCTATCTCACAAATGAGCCGGGGACTACATCTACATCCCGCTTATCCCTACTTTTCCACGTTCCTTTCCCCTCAGTTTGCCTATTTGTGGTTAGCTCCAACTACAAATACCAGCATAATTTGCCAACGACTCTGCACTGTGTCCGAAAGCTGACTTTGGCGAGTCAACCCTCAGCCTTGGCACTTTCTTGGCCAAGATAACCTCACTCAATTGAGGGGTTGTCTGCTTATTGCTTGCAGGACTCTGTCTTCTTCAGGGTTAACCATAGGAACAGACGTTCTTATAACCAATCATTGAGTATACAATGTTATCTAATATGACAAGGTTACCAAACTAAGTTAGAGAAACAAGCGAGCATTTCCATCGGGTCCTATAATGCACTCCGTAGTTGGATGATCAACTTGGTGACATTCTCTAATCTATAATACTACGTTCACTGTAGCCAGGATCGCCAACTGGAATCTTGTCCTGACCCCAATTCTTTCTTCTCTCAACTGAATGCCGAACCACAATGCCCTCCCAAACTGAAGATAAACCCAAACCTGACCAGCAACGTGGCTCGAAAGACTTTGCCGACGGTGAAGTAGTCAAGCCCACAGAGGCGCTGGCCGATGAGGAGCTGGTCATAGCGCTGGCGAATTATTTGCCCGACACGGCTGAGGAGAGGCGCCTTGTTCGTAAGATTGACTTTACTCTTCTGCCGTGCTTGTGGTGGATGTATGTCCTTGCCTACTTAGACCGTGGCAATATTGTAAGTCTTTCGCTGTGTTCCATACCCTGAAGTGAGAGCAATATTGACCAAGAGAAGGCAAATGCCAATGCAGCCGGCATGAGCGAGAGTCTCAACATGAAAGACAATGGTAGGAACCTTTTCTTTTTCGTCAAGTATGCACACTGATCATGACCCGCCAGATTACTCCCTTCTTGTATACCTGTTCTTCGTCGGCTACTTTCTTTGTGAGGTTCCTTCGAACATGATCATGAACAAATGTCGCCCCTCAATTTACCTTCCCACTATTGTCTGGGTCTGGGGTTGCATTGTTATTGCCTTGTCTCAAGCGAAGAGCTACGAAGGATTTCTGGCTGGGCGCTTTTTCCTCGGTTGTATCGAGGCTGGGCTCTTCCCTGGTGCTATCTACCTGTTGACCTGTTGGTACACCAGGAAGGAAATTGGTAAGCACATGAGCTGAAATCTCCGGCTGAACCCCTGCTAATCGCTTGTTCATACAGGTAAGAGGTTCTGTATCTTCTATACATCTGGCTGCATTGCCCCTGCATTGGGTGGGATTATGGCTGGTGCTATTGTCAAGGGTCTTGATGGCGCAAAAGGTATTCCTGGTTGGCGCTGGCTGTTCATTGTCGAAGGAGTCCTCACCGTCGTCTGCGGGTTTGCTCTCTACCTCCTCCTACCAGATTACCCCCGCAACGCCCGCTACTTCTCACCCGACCAGCGCCGCCTTGCGCAAATCCGCATACTGTTCGATCGACAGCTCAGCGTTAGTAGCACAAACCGCCGCATGACTTCGTGGCAAGCCTTCAAAGCTGTTGTTTCCGATGGCAAGACGTGGTTATTCCTTGTAGCCTACAGCGTTATCATCTTGGGAATGTCCATCTCCTACTTTGTGCCGACAATCCTCAAGAGCATGGGATACACAAACGTCACCGCCCAATGGATGACAGTCCCCATCTGGATCACAGGCGCTGTGTGTCAACTAGCTCTGTCCTGGACCTCTGATAAACTTCAGGACCGAAGGTGGCACAGTGTCGGCCTCTACGGACTGGCCGCAGTGGCATGTTTGGTCTCGGCATTTGTGCAGTCTGCCATAGCCAAATATGTCATGATGTGCTTGCTAGTCGCGGGCCTGTACACTGGCCTTCCTCTCATGCTTAATTGGACAAGCGAGTCAATTCCCTTCCCTGACCAAAAGCGTTCCATTGCTATTGCCTTTGTCAACTCGTTTGGGCATTTGGCAATTATCTATGGAAGTTATCTATGGCCCAGCCCCAACGCTCCACAACATCTGGTTGGCTTTGCAACATTGACCGCGACCTGCGGCTTGGGATGCATCATTGCTATCCTTGTACCTTGGTACTTCAAGATGTTACCCAAGGAGCCTGTTACCAAGGCTGAGAGGGACTTGGTCGCCTTGCAGTACCAGGACCAGCAGTTGCAGGATATCTAGAATAGTTGATTGGATATGTAGGAAGTGAGGGAAGCTAGCTTCTGTTGACATTGGAATACATGACTTGAAACCCGTGCCTTATATGCACTTCGACCTTTACTCCTCAGATGAATTTCTATTAATATTCTCGCGTGGCAAATGTTGCCGGCTTGGCATGATGTGATTTGTTAAGAGATCAGTGAAAGCTTGGCAGGAGGTCTCACGTTTTCTGCAAGCGATTAAAACCATGAGAGGGGCCTGGCCTAATCAGGTCCAGTGACCGAATCGACGGGTCGCTGTGGGTTGCAGGTATTTTACAATAATTACACTATCCGCCAAGATATCCATATCCTCAACCATTCATCGCTCCGGATAAATTATTGGTGTTTGATAAATCATCTGTACTTTAATAGTACTGTTCTTGTATTGAAAATATTCTGGTAATTAAAGAAAATAAAGTACACAGCGTCTAGCCATCCATTGGGAGAGGCCGGAGCTCAAACCTTTAAATGTTTCACGTCTATTTTAACAGAACAATAGTTAGCAACCTACCATTTTAGACAAACAGGCTCCAGCGACGTTTCAAACTTTCTCAGTTTCAATCTATCCGCCAATCACATCTGATTTAATTACAACCCATATCCTTAGCTTCAAACATTAATTCCTAATTATAGGGTGCACTTAACGGCCCCTGGTAACAGAGCGGGCTTGTTTTATAAACAGAACGCATCAAACACGAACTCCAGACGAGACCGGGTTTAAGCGGGCATTGTGTAAACGTTTAGCTAATCTGAATCAGAAGCTATAACGCTCGCTTACTTGAATTGGTAACTAGATGGCCGAAGGACAAGGCAAACGGTTTGAGGCTATTTGTAACTCTTGGCTTCGAATGGGCAACAACTACAAATACTCGCGTGCCTTTGGCATTTCCCATAACGTTAACAGTAGCTTCAAGCACCTCAACAGCTTACAACTCATTCGCAAGTCCTACCTCACCTCTTTCGACAAGCTTTTATCAGTCTTGCAGTATCACAATCACAATTCACGATGCCTCTTCTACGAAATCCACGCAGTCGCCGTTCTACCAAAAGACATGTCAACCCTCACCGAATCCTCTTCACCAGCCTGCTCCTTCCTGCCCTCGCATTCGCAGATGACGAACCTACCTCCTCAACAAACCAAGTCTCTGAACCATTCGTGGACCAAGTGACCGGCCTCACTATGGAACGCTTCTTCGGTGCTCGCACCTCTTTCACCTTCGCGTTTGCGTTACCCGAATCCCAAACTACTGCGAATACTACTGCTGGGTCCTTTGTCGGGCAAATCCAATTCCCTCTTGTCAACGGGGAGGGATGGGGATCTGCTGGCTTGACTGGAGACATGGAGGGCAACTTTATTCTCGCGGTCTGGCCTGACGGCAAAGGTGGAGTTATGGCGTCGTTCAGACAGGCCATAGATGAGGACAACCCAGCAGAGGTCTCGGGCGACTTCAAGGTCAGACCTTTGCCCGATGGCGTCTCAGTCAATGAGACTTCACTACTGTACACATTTCTCTGCGAGAACTGTCTCGACAGTACCCTGGGACTAGGACCAGAAGCGGCTGGCAATGCAGTCATGGGATGGGCAATGTCCGAGAAGCCACCAAGAGGAGATCCCTCCAATCCCGGCGCAGTCCTTGGGTTTCATGAAAGGGGGTTTGGGCCCTTCACTGCTAGGCTAGCAGAAGCCAAGACAGCTGGCTTTGATGCTGTAGCGGCCAAGGCACTTGCTCCTGTGGGAGACTCTGGAAGAGCTGTTCCTACCATACCTAATGCTTTTCAGGATGGAGGCGACAGTGGTGATGAGAGTGGTGATGAGGCAGGTGATGCCAATGATGTCGATAATGACTCAGGGGACGAGTCGGATGATGATGACTAGTGGAATCGAGTCAGCCTTTTTATGTATCAAAGTTTCCAACATGAATACCATAACAGCGTTTTTCTTTTACATGCAAGAAGTCACATGGAGTATTCAACACACCAGAGGTTAATTGAAAGAACTGTGTCCAGATGGACTTATCCTCGGAATGTTTCTATGCCGACCGTAGTGCCATCAAGGCAAGTGTACGGGCTGTAGAAATACCGATGCAACACGCAAACTCGGCTTTGCGGCAATTGGCATATGAAAGGGCCGATTTGAAGCACAGAAGACACCACAATTTATCTTTTCAATGTCACCCAAGGTTCTCATGCTTGCACATTTGTTTACAGGCCGCAGGGGTTCCAAATATTAAATTCCGCGAAAAAATAGGTATTTTTGCCACAGCGGAAATATCTAGAAGATATTCTATTGGGCATTTCTGCTGATGAAGATATGAAAATTGGGACCTGATTTTGCTGATCCAAACAGATGAGCCAATAGATGAAGTATATGAATTAACATTTGGAGCCCCTGCGGCCTGTATTAACCCAAGTTGCCGGCAAAGGAATGGCAATGTCACAACAAACAGAACAATACTCCGGAGACACAATAAAGATAGCGGGCAAATAATAGGCTTTGCGTCATTTCAAAAGTGACAATAGGTACCTAGATTAATACCATAGGGTAGTTGTTAACAAATGTATGAGTACTATAAAGCATAATTACGCCGTTCTTCCCGTTCGGAATATGGGTCCGGTAGTTGATCTCGGCTCTTGATCGGATGTTGCCGACGTGTTATCGTGAACAAATGGCCCGTGGATGCTCCATGGAACATCCGCGGATTGATTACAACTTATGATCGCCCATGCCCCCCTTGTTTCCCGCGCCAGCGCATTGGGTTACAGAAGGCAGGATAGCCATGACAGAAACACAAAAGATCTTGGATTAATATGGTCACTGCACGATTTACACACTGCCGTCCACATCCATCCACTTCGGATCCGAGATGCAAGAACCGACAAGAACCATATTAACAATCTATTCTGTGGACATTCTGGAATTGCAATCGTTTGCGTCAATCAAAACACTACTAAATGTCTCACATTGTCGTCACAAGTTCCATCAAACTGATCTACACGTCAATACCGGGACTTTCGGCTGTAGGCGGATATTGAGCACGGGCAGAGTGCAGATCGATAATTACCACCGTCCACACAGGATTATTCGATATGTTTGCGAAAGGCCGAAATTTCTAGGTGTAGGACGGCAGTATCGGCTATACACGTCTAAGATGGATATCTGTATAGTTACGATACGTAGGACGAATTGCCGATGGATGCATCTTGTTCAAGGTCCACAAAGTGGTGGGTCTATTGTCTCATGGCGACATACGCGGGTTCTTTACATGCAACTTCGAAGCCGCATTCCCGAACCTCTACCTTTATTGACCAATGAAGTGTCCAACTCAACGCTCGGACAGGAAAAATGATCAACACTCGTTTCGCTACGTCGCTGGAATGATAGCATCATGTGTGGTGGGATATTGAGTAACGGCGCCGAGCTATCTTAACTCCAGATACGTTAGCTTCACGGCAGCCAAAACGCTATAAATATGCCGCTCGGCACTTGGGAAAAGAAATGCATTATCACATAACTATCTACATCGATATCATCTCAAGAACAATATGGCAGCTCCACGACGCAATATCGAACATGTCGAACCTCCCACTTCGGGTGGCGGCGCAACTTTTCAATCATCGAAGCAGCAACTTCAAGCAGACACGCACAGCCTTCCAGCGTTTGAGCCCAAAGGTTTAATCGATCTTATTGATAATATTACCTCGGAGGATCCTACACGACCTTTCACATACATTGCCTCATCGGACAATCCTCGAGATGGATGGAAGCCTGTGTCTTTCCTCCAAGTCACGAACGGAATGAACTATCTCGCCCATGCCATCTCGGAAAGGGTCAAAAACTCGACAGAGAAATTCCCCACTGTAGCATACATTGGTCCCAATGACATACGATACCCAATGATACTTCTTGCTTGTGTCCGAGCTGGCTGCAAAGCTCTCTTCATCTCCCCAAGAAACACAACCGCTGTCCAGCTGTCGCTCTTCGAGGCTACGAACTGTGACTTTCTTTACTGCGCCGAGTCATTTCGCTCAGACATGCAGCCGTGCCTGGAGCAACGAAAAATGGACGTTACCACGATCGACAGCGTTGGGCATCTCCTGAACGTTACTTCAGCTCCGTTCCCCTACAACAAGTCCGCGAAAGAGACTCAATGGGACCCTCTTGTGGTTCTACACACAAGTGGCTCTACGGGAACCCCCAAGCCAATTGTTGTGCGACAGGGCAGCCTGCATGCATTCCAGAAGATGCTCCATATGCCCAAGTTCCATGACTCAAACTTCACCTTTGCGGAATGGGCGAATCAAGCGAATAAGCTTCTGGTCGTTATGCCCATGTTTCATGCCGCGGGTGCTATCATGATGCTCATGCCCATATTTATAAATATCTGTACTGTCATGGTTATTTCAACTAAACCCCTGAGCATCAACACGGCGTTGGAATGTCTGGAGTACGCTGAGCCCGATGCCGCAGTGTTACCTCCTTCAATCATTGAGGGCCTTGCAGCATCTGAGCAAGGCACTCAGGCCTTGACGAAGCTCAGCTTTCTCACCTTTGGCGGCGGTAAGTCCTCTCGCTTTCTTAATGCAGGTAGAAAAATTAACATTGAATAGGAAATCTGTCACCTGTAGCGGGTAACGCCCTCGTAGAGAAGGGTGCCACTTTGTTCAATCTCATTGGATCGACAGAGTAAGTACCCTCAAGCTATTCCGACGCATCACAGATAGAGCAACTCCTAACGCAATGCAGATACTTCCCCTATGCCATCTTTACCCCCAAAGACCCAAAGCTTTGGCAATACTTTGTCTTCGACGGCAAGGCCATGGGCATCGATTGGCGTCCACGCGGGTCAGATGGATATGAACTTGTGATCCGACGCAAAGACCCAGAAGATCCTGATATTCAGTCATGCTTCTACACGTTCCCTGAACTATCGGAGTGGTCTACAAAGGACATTTACCAGCCCCACCCGACACTCGAGGATCACTGGATATACAAAGGACGTGCCGACGATGTCATTGTCTTCTCCAATGGAGAGAAACTGAACCCAGTAACTATTGAAGCTACTGTTAGTGGCCATCCTCTAGTTAAAGGAGCCATCGTCGTCGGCCAGGAGAGGTTTCAAGCAGCTCTTATTCTCGAGCCCACTGAAGAGGCTACACCCAAGAATGAAGATGAGGCGAAAGCATTCATCAGCAAGGTCTGGCCACTGATTGAGAAGGCCAATTTTGAAACAGTTAGTCACGGAAGAATCACCAAGAACCTTGTCACTCTTTCAGACCCTGCAATGTCCTTCCTCCGCGCTGGAAAAGGGACAGTTCAACGAGCAAGCACAGTCAAGCTGTATTCCGACTTTATCGAGGCATTGTACGAAAGAGCTGAAGCAGATGGTTCTGGAGATGTTTCCATCACATTGGACCTTGAAAGCGACCGCACCTTGACAGAATCAATCATTGGTGTCTTTGAGAATGAACTCGGGGTTAAAGGTCTTGGACCCGACACCGACTTCTTCTCTGCGGGTGTCGACTCGTTGAAGGTTGCGACTGCAACAAACCTGCTACGGTCTGCATTGAAGAAGACAGGCATAGATACGACGACAATCGCGCCGCGAGTCATTTACAGCTATCCCACACCAAAGGCGTTGGCCGCCTACATTCTTTCCATCAAGGGTGGAGAGGCAGACCAAGATGACGGCTCTAAGCAGATCCTGGAAGCCCAGAGGCTCGCCTCAAAATACGCCGAGAATATGCCAAAATCTAGAGCTGATAAGCAACAAACTTCGGACAACGATCAAACGGTCGTGATCACCGGGACCACAGGTTCGCTGGGCGCATACATGCTGCACCAGCTCTGCCAGCTTCCGTCGGTCAAGAAGGTCATTGCTCTCAACCGGGATAAAGACGGTGGCTTCTCTCGCCAACACTCAGTTAACGAGAGTCGCGGCCTGACGCAAGACCTTTCCAAAGTCGAGTTCCTCTATGCAGACTTGTCGCTTCCTGATATGGCTGTCGGAAAGGACAAGTACGATTCTCTTCTTGCGAGTGTTGATCGTGTTGTTCATAACGCCTGGCCCGTGAACTTCAACATCAGCGTGTCTTCTTTCGAGAGCTCCATCCGTGGCGTGCGCCATCTAGTCGACTTCTCTGCTGCCGCTTCCAAGCATGTACCCATCGTCTTCATTTCCAGCATTGGCACTGTCGGTAACTGGAAGTCATCTGATAGAGTCCCCGAGGTCGCTCTCAAAGATTGGACTTTGCCACAAATGGGATATGGACTCTCCAAGCTAGCCGGAAGTCTGATTCTGGACGCAGCTGCAGAGGAGGCAAACGTGCCTGCGGCTTCAGTGAGAGTTGGTCAGATTGCAGGTTCTAGAGGGGAGAAGGGCATTTGGAACCCGCAAGAGTTCATCCCTAGCTTGATCGCAAGTTCAGTGTATCTCGGAGCCCTGCCAGATCATCTTGGAGCACAGCAAGAAATTGCCTGGACTCCTGTTGAGGACATCGCCGGTCTGATTCTCGACGTTGCGGGCATCACAGCCCCAAAGCCTGTGTCTGAGATCTCTGGCTACTTCCATGGCGTCAACCCTTCAATCGCGGATTGGGCCCATCTCGCACCTGCTCTGAAGGACTTTTACGGAGATGGGATGAGTATTGTGAGTCTAGAGGAGTGGGTTAAGAGATTGGAGGACAGTGAGAAGGAAAGCGATCTACCAGTGGAGAAAAACCCTGCTGTCAAGCTTCTCGATACTTACCGCGGGATGTTGGCGGCAAAAGAACAGGGACAGACGATGAGGTTCTCTTTGGAGAGAACTAAAAGTCACAGCCCAACGATTAGAGAGGCTGGGCCGATCACGCCGGCGTTAATGGTGAATTGGTGTCGCCAATGGGCCTATTAGCTAGTGATTTAGATACTGTGTTTTTTGATCAGCTACTTCTACTCTATACTTTACCACTGTCACTTCACTAGAAAATAGTCACCGTGACTCGAACACACTCAGAAAAAAGGGTTTGTTCATCACACTGTAGCAATTAAACCATTCGTGATCAGGTAGTGCCATTGGCTATACTAACCTCGAGTTTCTGAAGACGGCATCGCAAACATGCTCCTTTCCGACGAACTTCAGCAATTGCCTTTCTCCTTTGGTCATCATTTGGTTTTTCTCATCTTCTTAGCAGACCGTAATGGGTTGCTGTCCGAGGCCTCTATTATGAAATAGAACATATATGGTGCCATTCTCTTATGCATGTCTTCGAAAGACGGTGATCTTGGTCGACGCCTTGCTGATAACCAACCGGAAAGCTTCCGGCAAGTCTTGGTGCTTATAAGTTGGCTCTTACCGAACAGTGTAGTGCTGCAGTCTTGTATGTTTGTGACCAGCGAACAAAGCGCCACCCTCTTTTCAACGACTACAATCATCACAACTACTGCACCGACATGACGACATGAGACTAGCCAAAGCCTCAGAGCGCACAGCAGGTGGTGGGCTTTGCCATCTGTAACTATGCCCAGTAGCAGGAGCGAAAGAGCAAAACAACAACCATCGACCTCGCTGACCAGAAACGTTCCTAGACCCCTCACGCTCCAGAAAAGCGAGAACAGTTACTGACTGAACTGGACCTCAGTGTCGATCCCGATCGAGCCAAAATCCTCTGTAGCGCTACAGAAAGTGCAGTTCAAAAGTGAGGCCGCTCATAACGCCTCGAGTATTAATCCAGCTAACGGAGCCTGTTCCAGGTGCCTAGGCGGCCACATGGAGCTCGACAACATGGAAATCGACCCGACTACTTCCGCAAGGGCTACGGTACTATGCTATATGGCCATGGCATGGAAGACACCGGAGAAGACAATGTTCCTGTAGACATTATCGCAGCAAAACTCGGAATGAAGCCCTACGAGTATCTTGGATACTCCTGTACTGCTAATGTCTCTCTCACTGATGGCCGTCCTGGCCAAGATGCCAGTGTTGATTTTTGGGTGCAGAAATGGAACCCTAAGGACAACTAAATGGTTAGGGTGGAAGATCCATATAGATTTGGGAGCGTATTATGATGTGTGTTGGTCTTCCAAGGCGACAGCCTCGTTTGCTTCAAGGATATTCGTATGGCAATGTGTAATGCAAAGTTGGTCGGCGGCATCTTGTAACACCACTCACTTAAGGCTGTCGGCATATATCACAAATCTCACAACTAGACGCCCACGGCGCAATCCGGTGGAACAATCAAAGGTCGGTATCTTACTCAACCGTTCATCGCCTTCCGCTCAATTGGTAAGGGATATTCTCGCTTCAAATGTGTATAGCATTACGGGTCAACGGATGTACCGGGTCATTAATGATCTAGAGTTGTCAGCAAGTACTATAAAGGGTATCTATGTTTCGGTTCTATACCCAATACTGTAGTATGTACTTGGGCCCTCATAGTAGGATGTTGGTGATTTGAATAGAAATGGCATGCCCAGATTGTTCGAGGAGACGCAAGTTCGGCTGGCTGACTCAAGGGATAGAATACGAGAGATGTGTTTTTCAATTCCCAAGACTTCAATGGGGTAGTTAGAAGGGCATGTACCAAGGGGATAGCTAAAGCTACTAACTAGTCAAGATACATGACAAGGTGAGCTTATAAAGAGCTTCAACGATGTATTCAATTTATGACCTCAATGTAGCTTGATGGTACATGTTTGTTCAAAATACTCTTACACCTCCAAACCAAGTTTCCTTCACCTCGGCCTTGAGTAAAGTCTTGGGGTCCCATTCCATATCAACCACAATGAAATCAGCCAACTTGCCAACAGATAAGCTCCCAACACGGTTCTCTGCAAATACACTGCGAGCCGCACCTTCTGTGGCTGCGACAAAGGTCTCGCACATCCCCAGTTTAAAATGTTCGTGCACGATCTTGGGGTTCGTGGGATCTTTCGAAGATTGTCGATTGATGGCCACGTGGAAGTTGTGCATTGGAGACCATGGAGACGTAGGGCTGTCGGTACCAATGGCCATCAAAGCACCGGCGTCAGCGAACTCTCGGTATGCAAATGCTCGCTGGTAGCGTTCTTCTCCCAGAAGTTCAGGCCAAGCTGTCAATGCTGTAGGGTCTGAATGGATTGGTTGGATAGACGCTGTCAGGCCAAGCTTTCCGAGCCTTACGGCATCCTCTGGAGATACAAGTTCCAGATGCTCAATCCGGTGGCGCCGGCCGGGTGTGGCATTCATTTCTATGGCGTCGATGGCCATTCGAACTGCACCGTCGCCTATTGCGTGGAGAGCAACTTGCAAGCCGCCTGCATCCGCTTCCTTGACAACTGGCCCCAAGTGTTCGGGCTCCCAAATTGGTGGTGGATTCCCTGCTGTAGCATATGGCTCAGATAGGTAAGCAGTGCAGGCGTCAATTATACCATCTGTGATGACCTTGATACCGACGAGACGGAGATCGGGACTGGTTGCTGAGTTATACTGTTTGCTCAGTTCGATCGCTCTCTGCACCTGCTTAGAGTTTTGTTCCGGATTGGCGGTTGGCTTGATCAGCCAGTGTGCTGCGATTCGTAATGAGAGATTGGGTGTCGTCTTTTTGAGTGTGACAAGAGCATCCCAGGCCTCTTCATCCATAGCCATTTCTACTGCGCCAGTATAACCAGCTGTATTGTATTCTTGTATGGCAGCTCGAATTGCCTCGATGCGTTCCTGCTTCGGGGATGACTTTGCTTGGAATGGCCAGACTGTTTAATACGGTTAGGTGGGAAGTTTCACGAGAGGCAGTGAACAAGCCCGACTCACTGATAGACATCATCGCGCCCTCATCTAAAAGACCAGATGGCCTTCCATCAGCATCCCGATAGATCTTGCCTCCCGCCGGATCTGGCATGTCGGCAACTTCAAGTTGTTCAAGGGCTGCGGTATTGCACCAGCAGGAATGTAGAGAGCCAGCATCGATGAAGATAGGTCGTGGGTCAAGATCGTCCAGCATAGCAGCAGTCACACCATCTGGAGTCATATGATGTCTCCATCCTTTACACAAGATGGTTGGAGTTTTGGGGTTTGCGACCGCGTAATCTTTTATACACGATCGTATATCTTGGACTGTTTTACAATGTGACAGATCGAGTTTTCGGAGGGATTGGCCGAGGAGAAGGAGATGCATATGGCCGTCGATGAAGCTGGGGAGTACAACGCGCTGGTTGAGATCACGGACCTCGGTGTTTGAGCCGACATCTGAGGCGATATCGCGACGAGCTCCAATGGCGATGATCTTATCCCCCTGTACCAAAAGACTGTCTGAGAACTGAGCTGTGCCGTTGAGACCAACTTCTGCCTTGGATAGGATCCGACCGTTGACAAACAGGGTTCTGGACATAGTGTCGTGGTTTGTCTCGAGTCGGGAATTCGAATGAGGTGTGTATGCGGTATGTTGTTTCCAACGGTCAATGCTGTGAAAAAGCCTCAAAGTAGCGTAGATCAGATGGCCTGATGCTGGAAGCTACAGTCGAATACCATAAATGTACAAGAATAGTTTACAGAGGATAGTTACTCGAGGGTCAAAGTTGAGCATCTGGAGGCTGACTAGGGTACGCTTTTCATCAACGCGCTTTGACCTTGGCCGAATCGTTTTCCCACCTTCCTTCCCAGTGTGTCACGCCAAAAACTCCACACCCAAGAAGATCGTCTCAGCTGATCGTCCAATGGGTATGAGGGTGCGGAGTGCGGAGTGCGGAGTGCGGAGTAGTGAGACACCGATTCTCGGCTTTGGGGCTCTCTCTACCCAGACCCAGACACTAACCTCATAGCCCAATCATATTCTTTTCCGATCGTGTTAACCTGGGAGACCCTTGCATAGTGTAGTGTTCGGCTTTAGGGAACGTCAACTGATGGGTAATGGTCCCTGTCCTTTGGGGAATACTTGTTACGTATGAGATCTGGCTTCCGTCAACAGAATGTGGTCTTTATCCAAACCACGCCATTTGGCATCTCTAAAGCCACTCATTTCCTGGCCTGATCCATATTTTGGCTTGACAAATATTGGGTCAAAAAAGTCATGGTTGAGGGCTCGGGCCAGTTTGTCCCACTCCCACTGACTAGTACAGGGCGTTGCGAACTTGTCATTAACAGCCAGTGATAGTCAAGATGCTAATCGAGGAAAAGGCCATGATGCTGCCCGCATGTTCCAGACACCCTTACCGACCCAGATGTAGAACAATGATTGCCTCAAGTCAGCTCCGTCGGTACCCCATGGGGAACTTGGGTAACTGTTGAGGGTTGAAGTGGAAACATTTTGCAAGGTTGCCTTCATCTTCCCAGAATATAAGTTGCATCCTGTCCCCTCCCCCACAAAGTCAATCCTCACAGCCTTCTTTCCACTCCTCGTTCATCCATCCTCTTGTTTATCAGTCACTCGGCCATCCTCCGCAGTTAATCAGCCTTAACTGACACCCGTACCAAACCATGCCCGACATGGCGAGCCAGCCCAAGACCGCAACCGACTCAGACGCCATCGTCTCGAGCCAAAAGCTTGATGATGAGATCCACCGACAGACCTCATTCGGAGAAGCCACGGCCGACATGTTACAAACAGACTTAGAGAAGGAAAAGACCATCCAAGGCACCGCTCACTTCCAACGCTTAGGATGGAAGCGCCTTACCGTCGTCCTCATCGTTCAAGCCATTGCTCTTGGTAGTCTGAGCCTCCCTGGCGCCTTTGCCACACTTGGAATGGTACCTGGCGTTCTGGCCTGCGTTGGTATCGGGCTGATTGCCATGTATGCCAGCTACATGGTTGGACTTGTCAAGTTGAAGTATCCTCATATCGATCATTATGTCGACGCTGGCCGACTTCTGATGGGAGGATTTGGTGATAAGCTTTTCGCAGTGGTGTTTGTGGGATTGCTGGTACTCGCTACTGGCTCACACTGCTTGACTGGCAAGATTGCGCTCGTCAAGATTACAGGCAGCAGTGTTTGTACGTTGGTATTCGGGGTCGTATCTGCTATCATCCTCCTGATCCTTGCGATTCCACCTTCATTCACCGAGATTGCAATTCTTGGCTATGTCGACTTCATCTCTATTATTCTTGCGATTGGTATCACTATTATCGCGACAGGGATACAAAGATCAGATTCTCCAGGTGGTTTCTCTCCATCAACTTGGTCAGCATGGCCGCAGGATGACCTTAGCTTCACTCAAGCCCTCACAGCCGTCTCCAATATTGTCTTCTCGTATGCGTTTGCGGCAGCACAGTTCTCCTTCATGTCCGAAATGCATACGCCGGCCGACTTTACGAAATCTATCGTTACTCTCGGTGTAACTGAAATAATCCTGTATACCATTACAGGATCAGTTATCTACGTATTCGTAGGACAAGAAGTCCAATCCCCAGCATTGTTATCAGCAAGCCCGTTAGTGTCCAAGGTTGCCTTTGGTATTGCATTGCCTGTTATCTACATTTCCGGTTCAATCAATGCCACGGTCGCTTGCCGATTTATCCACGGCCGTCTTTACAGGAACTCAATCACACGGTTCATTAACACACGCAAGGGTTGGATCTCTTGGCTAGCCGTTGTGACCGTGGTCATTCTCCTCTCATGGATCATCTCTGAGGCGATTCCCTTTTTCTCCGAGCTCTTGGCAATCTGCGCTTCCTTATTCATTTCTGGATTCTCCTTCTGGATTCCTCCCATCATGTGGTTCTTCCTCCTGAAGGAGGGCAAGTGGTACGACAAGCACAACATCAAGCGGGCAGTCTGCAATTTTATTGTGTTTATCATAGGATTCTTTGTCTTCATCGCCGGCACATATGCCAGTATCGACCAGATCGTAAGTGCCCACTTATTCCCAGGTCCCAATCAAGCTAATAACTCGATAGATTGCAAAGTTTAATAAAGGCCAGGTCGGCAAACCATTTTCATGCAATCTAGCTTGAGATGTTTATTCGCTCCACCAACTGTTGACAGCTGGGTCATGTGGACAATTTGGACCGTTGTTGGGTCTCTAATGACTAGTGCAAAATTGGTGGCGATGTATCACATAGATAGAGTTAACTTCAGCACAATATTTTGCATTCCTTTAGGGAGCCGTTGCTTTTCATGTGATCAGTAATATATCGGCATTACTAAACGTGGCCCACCTTCATGTTCTGCCGTCGAAGTCTGGTGCGTAATTAATTGTAGTATACTGAGAGAACGTATGAATCAAATTGACTTCGATAGTCTCACTTTGACTCAAGCCGATGATCTCCGCGCAATGTCGCTTGCAGTCCGAATTCCGGGCTTGTGATAATCTTATCTCCCCCACTTCAAGCTGGCTAAACGAAAATCCACTCATCTTCCCCATTTAACCTGATTTCCCACCTTGCAAGGTCCAATTCCGAGCTTGACAGAGCCAAAGTCAAGGCCAATTGACGATATGCCCCGAGGACGCAAAGGCTGCTGGACTTGTCGAATTCGTCACCGGAGATGCGACGAGTCAATTCCGAACTGCAAAGAATGCAGCACAAGACAAATTGTCTGCCACGGATATGATGCGGATGCACCAGAGTGGATGAGTGACGATGCACTGCTACAACGAGAGCTTCAACACATCAAGGCTGCAGTGAAAGTGAACTTTCGACGCGTCAAGACTATTCAAAATCGCCAGCTTGCTCAGAAAGGTCGAGAAAATTCCATTCAAGCCAAGTTTCAAGTAGAAAAAGACGAGGAAGCTGCACATGCAACAGAAGCAAATTCATCGGCAACAAATGTCATATTTCGAGAGGCACAGCATCTTGTTCATTATTTAGACTACATTTTCCCTATTCAATATGCCTTCTATGTTGATGCTCCAGACCAAGGCGGTAGAGGATGGTTGTTGTTCCTCTTGGAGAGAAGTACGGACATTCCTCAGCCATGACCCTACATTTCTGACCTGACTAAAGATGCACCTCTTCGCAACGCAGCTCTTACTCTTTCTGCCTTTCACCAACACAATCTATCCCCATATCACTCAGAGAACCAGGAAAACGAACTGTTGCAGTATCATACCAAAGCACTGCAAGAGTTACGACACGTAGTTGGTCACCAGGACTTGGGCGCCTTTGCCGATCGGAGCGAGGAATGGCTCAAGTTCCTGGCTGGTGGAATGTTCTTGATCTCTTTCGAGGTATGAGTCAAGGAAGAAACGCCTCATCTTCAACTAACTTGGATTCAGGTTTTTAGGGGCGGTACTAACAATTGGCAAGCTCATTTCAACGCCTTGGTCTCCGTCATTCGGAACTTGACCTCGTCGGACTTCGATTTCGGCCCTTGTGGTCTCTCAGACCCTGACTACGAATTAAAACGAGGCATGAACACTGCTCAAAGGTTTGTACTTGCGAATCTCGTCTGGATCGATATACTTGCACCATTAGCCACGGGGACTGTACCGCAGCTCCCGTATCACGACTGGCTCAACACAGGCAAAATAGACATGTCGCGGGTTATGGGCTGCCAAAACTCCATTATGATAGCCATTGGAGATTTGATGGCACTCGAATCAAGAGCTAGCTCTATGAGCACTGAATCCTTGCAGGCTGGTATCTTCAGCCTGGATAAACGAATTTTGAACGCAGTAAATAAAGTTCATAATTCTCAGCCAGAGGTTTGTGCCTACACGTGTGTACATAACGACTAGCTAACTTGAACCGCGGCAGCCCAGTCAAACCAACCGCCATGTCACCCGTCTTTTCGCCAACGCGGCACTAGTACATCTTTATACACTTGCCTCTGAATATGGTATCGCCTCACCTGACCCCCACCAAGCAGTCTTACGAGTGATAGAAGTGCTGGATCAACTTCCGTCGCATGTTTCTTTACGCGCAACACCTTGGCCCTTATGCGTGGCCGGATCCATGGCCTTACATCCGAATGAGGAGTATTTTGATAGATTATTGAGCAGACTTATGGACCACTCCGAGGCGGGGTTCACTAATTGCGGTACTGTTTACAGCATCATGAAACACGCGTGGAAGAAGCGACGAGAATGTCCAGGTAAACTTTGGAGCGCAAGGCAATCTATGGAAGACATGGGTATTTCTGCTCTTCTGATATGATCTACAGGGACATAATGTCACAGATCCATCACACTCTACGAGTTTTCATGGCTCGGTGTTTTCTAAAGGCTATTGTATAGAGCTTGAGCCGGCCATTCCAGCCAGTCAAGATAAACTGGGTCTACAACGCCCTGAATTCCCGACAGAATATATTGGGGCCATCCATTCGCGAACCAGATATGCCCCAAGACCTTGAGAGGCACACAAGAATATGCAAACACTACAAGAGGAATGGGAGATTTGTTTCTTAGCCGATCAGCAAACCCACTGTCCAAGTGACATACCCATATAAATGGCAGCTGATATATAGCCTCACCGGTATATGTCCCGTCAGACCTTCCCCATGTTGCTTCGTAGCATACCCGCAAGCTTGCTAGAGCCTTCAGGTCTGATTGGCAATCGGTGCTTCTGGCATCAATGATGAATTGCTTCAACTGATCGAGTTGGTCGCTCCAATGAAGATGTGGAATATTGACGTGTGCCACTGCAGGCTCCCGAACCTTGGCCCCGCTACACGCGAACTTTCGTAATGGCCCTGAGAATGCATTTTCAATACCGACCCTGGCAAGAATAGCCCGAGGTCCCTGGAGTAGTTCAAACAATGAGGGAAGTCCTGTGTCGCTGAATAAAAGGTAATCTCCTCGACAGGGTCCTTTTGCCAGTGTTGTGATACAAACGAGTACAGATGCAGCGAAGAGTGCACGTCCGTGATCCCCATCGACCGATGATAACATGCGGGCAAGGTTGTGGATACCCGAAGAGCGGAAGCCTTCTGCAAGGTCTTGGAAGTACGCCTGGCGATCAGGTTCCAGGAGAGATAAATGGAATGTGACGATCGAGCAGACCAAGTCCAAAATAAAAGAATATGGCAATTCCAGGTCTAGATTGTTGATCCGCTGTATGATATCTCGCCGAGAACTCACGCCCTTTGTGTCGCCAGTCCATGAGAGATGATCTTGAAGGCGATAATATGCCTGAGTGGTTTCACTGGATAACTGGAGAGCGTTATCAATAATGGCTGCTGATGATTGTGATTGGGCAACTACTGGCGGCCTTTCGGGCCAGTTGCTCCTAGGACGGCCTCTTGGTCGGTGCGGTTGAGTACCATCGACCAAGAGGAATTGCCGAGGTTCCATGGCTGGTAAGGGACAATTAGATGAGTAGACACAGCTGACGCCAAACTGGCAACAGTTGGCGCACTGGGGCTTTCTTTCGTCACACTATTGTAGTAGTCAGTAGAGGTTGCATAAGGTCTGAGGCTACTACTGTACTTTTACGCGCCTCATTTTGCACACACGGCATCCCAACCGGGACTTCCGATGTGACCTTCTTTGCGGATTATCAGCCATTGAGGTAAGGTAGTGGAGATACTCATTCACGTCGCTCCTTGAGGGACCGAGCGGAGGAAGACCTGGGCTGAAGAAAGGGTTGACGTGGTGTGTACATCACATGACACCCTTGAAACCTTACTTGGAAAGATTTCATGTCCGAGCAACCAGCGCTAAGCCTCAAATAGCAATTTTCCGTATCGCATGGTGTTTGATTGGGCACGGTGAGATCCGACAGACCGTAATGATGTGGCTTCTTGGTTACAAATCAAATGTATCCGTATAAACTCATATGATAGGTAATACGGAAAATAACCATTTTAAGTATAGAGTATAGAACAGTAAGGAGTCGGTCAGAGAGCTCAAGTCTCAAGCAAACACTCATAAAAAGGCATAACAATGCCCGTTTCCCTGAGACAAAATTGTGTTTAATCACTATCTTTTCTGACCTCTCTGCACCCTGTCTACCATCTTGGACTGTCCAACAATCTACTCATCACAATGACTGAAAAAACAAATGTTGTTCTTGTCGGAGCCAGCGGTGAGACTGGCAAGTCTGTCGCCGATGGCATCCTTGCTTTTCCGGATAAATTCGTACGACCAGGCGTCCTATTTCCTAGTCCCAAGGCTAACCTATCCTCCGCCTAGAACCTAACTGCACTCGCTCGTCCAGCTTCCATAGACAAGCCGGAGTACCGAGAACTCAAGAATCGAGGCGTAAAGATAGCTCCGGTCGATGCCAGCAGTGTGTCGGATGAGCTTATCTCGCTGCTCAGTGGCGTTGATGTCGTCATTACATGTCTCATTTTGACGGATATGATGCGATGAAGAACATTGCTATCGCTTGTCAGAAGGCAGGTGTTGGTAGATTTATTCCGAGCTTTTGGGGGCCGATCTCTCCTCCCCGTGGTGTCATGAGACTAAGGTCAGAGGTAAGTTCGAGAAACAACAATCCGTCGACCACCCCTTGAAAATTTCGACACGACTTAAGCTGACTTTTAAATAGAAAGAGGATCTCCTTGACTTCATGAAAATTGTCTATCTCCCCTACACGGTCATCGACGTCGGTTGGTGGTATCAAATGTCGCTACCAAGTTTGCCTTCGGGGAAAATCGACGACCGGATTGTGTTCCCAGTCACTAGCATCAAAGGCGACGGAAACACTAAATCAGCTCTGATTGACAAGCGAGACATTGGAAAGTATGTGGCAAGAATCATCACGGATCCCAGAACTTTGAACAAGTCTGTTTTTATCTACAATGAGATCTGGACCCAGAAGGGTTTGTTTGATCTTCTTGAAAAGGTTTCGGGAGAGCGAATTCCGAGAAACTATGTAAGCCACTATTCTATGTCTAGTCTCCAACTTGTTTGTTTGGATTGAAGCTGACCTATTTAAAGGAGAGTGGGCAGGACCTGATGGCGGCCATCAATGACGTGAAGCAACGATTCGCTCATGATGATCCCCAGCTTCTAATGGCCATAGGCCTACGAGAATATTATTACTCCCTCGAAATTCGTGGAGACAACACCCCAGAACATGCTGAATACTTGGGTTATTTGAACGGAAAGGAACTTTACCCCGATGTTCAGGTGGAGACTCTGGAGGACTATATGAAGGGTGTGGTTGATGGAACCATTGAACGACTGTACATTGGACGTCGTTAAGGCTTACGTCGAGAGTCTGGATGTGTTGGTCAAATAGCTGTCTTGCCAATTATGTTGGATATTCTATCCTAGCTATATGCCGGATTATAAGCAGAGATAGGGCAGATACGAAACTTTGCCACCATAATCCCTGGTTTTATAAATACATGATTGTGTTATTCTCTTATCTCATCGTTATCGTCTCAGTTTTCCTAGGCACCTACAGTCTCCTTGATAAACGACTGGAACTCATCCATGTTTCGAGTCTGGATGTAAACAGAACCAGGACCCGTGAAGCGGCAAACAAGACCCTCGCCCGTCTTCATCCCAGTCATAGCTCCTCCACCAGCCTTCTCGATCTTGTAGTTACAGCTCCAAGCCACGAGATGACCGTTGTCTACAATGTGCTCTTCACCAGCTCGGAGCTGTTTTGTTAATATTAGCAGTGCACAGTGAGTAGTGTTAGGATTCTTACATCTAGTCGATCGACAGCACCAAAGCTCGTCAACCACATGATACCCTGACCCTCGATGCGGAACACGAAAAGGTCCTCTCCAGAAAATAGCGCCTTGCCAATTCCTTGAGTTTCTCTCTTCTTTGTGACTTCAGAAGTACAGGCGAGGAAAGCGTCTTTGCCAATTGTCCAAGGCTGGCGACCGTCGACGTGCAGAGTAATAATATCTCCGAACAGTGTTGGGCCCAGAGCGACACGGCCTGGTCCGGCATATGTCGACTCGAACATGTTGCCGCCCGTGAAGAGCTTGCCAATGGAGAACTTGGACTTTCCTGATAGTTCGATGGTGCCTGACATGTGAATCATGGCACCAGACTTGGAGCGTACCGTGGCGCCTTGCTGAAGCTCAATGTTAAGCACGGCGTTGGTGTCACGGTGAGCGATACTGAAGTTACCGCCTGGAAAGCCGCCTTTGTCGTTGTGATTAGGGGGCATTGCCTGTTGGGGGGCCGCCTGCTGAGGATGTCCGTATCCTTGTTGGTATGACATGGTGATAGTTTGAATTGGTGTATACTTGGGATGTGTGTGAAAAGAAATAAAGATGCTCGAGATTAGAAAAAGCGCGACTGAATAGCCCTATATATAAGACCTTTAATACAGCCCTACCACTTATCCCGCCCCTTCTGTCTTACCTCATAAAGCACATTGGCATGGATCCCGCTTATGCTTTCTCAGCCGCACTTGTTCCCTTTTAGGCATGTCAGTGTTTGAATCAGCCCGACCCTATCCTATTTAAGGATAGCATAAACTTAGTGTAACTCCCTACAAGGATTATTAACAAGTCAACAGCCTTTAAGCTAAAGTGTCAAAGTTGTCCCCACTTCCCTCGACGTTGTACAAGATGTTCTGTTCAAGTAATTCTTACATAACTAGAGCACGGATATGGCATGTGATAATATAACATGAGCTGAAATTGAGGCCTCCCGACTCCGAGCGACGTATATCCTAGCTTCAGTGTGAGTACAATTCCGCCTTATTCAAGAATTGCCAACAACAGGTACGTGCGTCAAACCGCTTACATGTGATGGTATCTAAATTTAGAGGGTCAAGCTCAACTGTCATCTTATCTCTCAATTCGACCGAGTGGGATAAAAAGGGTTTATTGATATGTTCCGATCTCCCAGCAACTTTTGATCGGCTCATTACCTTCCTGTCTTACCAGCAAGTGGCTCATATATGCTTTCAGCTGTCGAACTCACAACATTAAGACAGCACTCTGCACTATCCGAAAGATCTAGATATTCACACTTGGCTAACTCCTTGAGCCTCTTGATCCAAAAACACCATCTATCCGGATTATACCCCGGAGAAGAGAGACCCGATTGAACCGCCAACTCTCCTAATCCAGAAAACTCTGGCGACAAAAGAGAGTCTGCAATGTCGACACTTTTGTTGCTGAGGTCGATAATGACTCCCTCTGAATGGCATAGCATCTGCTGAAGTGCAAGCACCAAATTCTCAATAGGTAGGACTGAGTCCTTTCCGCTATCTTTGGTATCAGCTGTCGAGACTAGCGGCCTGGGTGTCTCCAGCGTCTTCTTGAACAAGGAGAAGGCGCACGCAGCTGGTCCCTTCCAGATACCCACCGAGACAAGACGGCCAACAAAGGCTGCCAGATTAGAACGTAAGCTGTTCTCGCCATCATAGTCAGCTGTGTAGAAGCGTTGTTTCCGTTGTGGGGATGAGAATAAGTTGGCGGCGGTGAGAAGGTATCTTATAGACAAGTGTTATTTGCTGTGTTGCCAGTTCTCAAGAAGAAGCCAAACGTACGAGAAGTTTAAGAGCTCAGTGACATGTCGCAAGGGCAACTGTATTTCCCTCTGGCGGGTTAGAGACCTGCGAATTTCGCATAAAATCTTGTGCCTCCTTGACCCATTTAACCTAGGCAGACTCGTGACAAGACTGGTCCGACACCTTGTTTGGATAGATGCACCGGGCTTAGTGGGTTCTATAAGAGAGGACTTTTGCAGGCGAGCGATTCGGGTAAACCGGTATGGCCCGACCCAACAGCAATTGCAAGCAGGGAATGCATATACGAGTAGGACTCTCATGCTACGCCGTAGGGCCAGATAAGATGATTGTTAGTGGTGTTAGACGACGCCATTTGATCGAAATTTTACAAGAGAAACGCGGCCGACTTTTACACATAGGAAATCTGCTCCCTATCTTAGATAATCTTATCTATGGATCACATATTCCGTCCTTCGGCGAATTTTTTCGCTCCCTGTTGGAGCCGTGGTAGTTCTTTTTGAATTACGTAAGTGAATATTTAACCTCGTCAAGTTAATATTTTTGGTGACTGTGTATATAAAGCTTCCGTAGAGTCAGTAACCAACCAGTACGCTTAATAAGTTCCCTATATACTACCTTAATAAACAAGTCTCACATATCAGTTTCTTCTATTATAATATTTAGGGCTACTTCTGATAGTATTTTCTAAAGAGAGATGGCGAAACATGCAGAGGTGGCTTGAAGAGCCTTTTATTGATTGTGTAGTGTGCGGAAGACATTCACCCTCTCTCCCCAATTTTTCAGTGACATCCAGCTTGTTGGCATTGGTAAGGCTATCTTATTCCTTTACTTTTTTCGCTGTGAAGTCATAGTCTATCCAAGTGCCAATAATTGCTTGAACACGCTCATAAAGTGCCGACCGACTCTTCACTGCTTGCGAATCCAACTCAGTATAGTCCTGCAAACTCTCAGATGCATTTGCCGATTTGAGAATTGCCTTAGCAGCCGCTACATTCTGTTCCAACTCAGACAAAGTGCTGATTCCCGTTATCGTAGATACCTCAAATGAAGCAGTAGAATTCTGAGTGGCCTTCAGAATAGCAAATTGCATCGCGAGGAATGCAAGAGTCTCCCCATTCCCATGCTCATCTACCCACTGCGCTGCTTCAGCCGCCGCAGCCCTCAAGCCTTGAGGCGCAGGGTGCCAATCGCCGGTTAAGCCTACAGGAATGCCGCCAGTCCTGAGGAGCCCAACTGCCAAAGGGCTTGAGCAAAAGACCGACTTTACACCAGCGGCGCGGAACCGAGCGAAACCTCGGGTTTCTGCTTGTGTATTTTGAAGGGTGAGCTGAGCCCATGTCTGAATAACATCCACAGGTCGCCCGTAACGCTGTTGAGCGAGCGTGGCAACTTCGGCTAGGACATCGATGTCATAGCCTGAAATGCCGACACGCAAAACAACACCTGCGCGCTGAAACTCTAGGAGCACACCAACAGCAGTCACTACCTCGTCTTTCGAAACATATTCGACATCGTGACAAAAGACAACATCCAAATACGTCGTCTTGAAGCGCTCCAACGATCGTGCAACGGACTTGCGGATCCAATCTGGCGAGTAGTTGAACTCGTTTTCCTTGATGCGGCCAACTTTAGTCATGATCTCATAATCGGCTCGCTGGTATTTGGAAGTAATGCGAGAGTCAGAAAGGGCTGCTCCTATGAGCTGTTCTGACGGCTCATAGTACGGAGAAGTGTCAATAGTGTGCAGGCCAAGATCGAAAGCGCGTAGAAGAATGTCGACAATTGGAAGGGATTCGGGGTTTGGGTTAAGCTGGTAACTGAAACCTGCACCGCCCAATACCAGCGGAGAAGGTTGAGTCGATGTCATGATTCTGCCCTGATCTAGTTGTAAGCGGGGATATTTAAAATGGCATAGCCAATGTTAGTTACAATGTATTTTCAACTCACTCTATTTCAACTCATGCTTATTATGAGCGCGGTTCTGGAGGAATGGAAAAGAAGGGAAGTCAACAAATGCATTCTAAAGCCTCAGATTCCAGCCTAAAATGCTAGGCTAAAAGCCCGCTCCGACATTCGGATAAACGTTTTTACTCACTCTATAATGGATCAGCTCTTGTAGTTATTTCCCTTCTAGACCCGATCGTCAAGGCCAAAAATATACTTGTTTGCTAATGTGACTTTGCTGCCTTCATTAAAAGATAGGATTGTTTTCAAAAAGAAATCACAATTTTAGAATTGTATCTATGTGTTAATTGTTAGCTTGCAGAGCATCAATGTGGGCTTATCATAATTTAACTACCTGAAATTACTGTTGAACTGTTAAATAAAGATACTATTTACTAAATAGAGGACAAAACGTATATTTTGATGTGGCTAATATTTACAAAATTAAGACATAATCAATCAGTCTCAGAGATAATGGTTGTGATCTATCTGTTTCATTAAGCTTTCTTCTTCTCATGGTCGTCGGCTTGGGTTCCATGGGAGATCAGGATTCGATGGCACAACAAAGCTTCCCATATCAGTCAGTCTTAATCCCTCTAGCATTCATGTAGGGACATACCTGTTCTGCCTGTTTGCCAGGCCCTCGTACATAAGATACCACGCCGTGAACGAAACCAACAAGCCAGTAACGCCACCACACTTGATCAGCACGTTATTAGGAGCTCCGGACTCTTCAGTGCACAGGTTAGCTACACCGAGGAACAGCCAGGTGCAGTTGACAAGGAGGCAAAGTGTCAGAGAAAAGACATTCGACTTCATGGAGCACAGAGTTATGGCCACTGAGAAGATGAAGAATCCCTAAGGAATGTGAGTCGTGTCCATCGGAGTAGCTGGTGCTGGACCTACCATAAGAAACAATCCGTTGGCATGGTTATAGTCGGCAACACTGGGGTAAGCATCCCTTACGTGGAAGCTAGGAATGAGACTTATGGCAAAGGAGATCCAGAAGCAGCCATACGAGCAGGCAATAGTTGCGCTAACTGTGTTGCCATTGGCGATATCCCTGCATGTCTCATGAGATTCGATCCAGTAGAATCCTGTTTCAGACAAACGGTAACTTACCACATTCCTGAGAGAAGTTGGGCAAGGCCTCCATAAACCAAAGCCGGCCCAATGACAATGTTGGGAATAGTAACGCCGCCAACATTGAGATTGACCAAGGCTGTTAAGAATGTCGCAAAGGCAAACCCAGACAGACCAAGGGGACCGGCATCTCCAAACTTCTGGCGAAACTGTATGTCGGCTTGCCGAGCTGCATCTTGTTTGGTCGTGGTTACATAGCGATCGGCTTTTGTGTCTGAACAATCCTCTTGCCCATTCCAGAATGTCGCTTCTTTATCTCCACTGGCTTCGTCTTCTTGAGCTCGTCGTGCCGACATTTCTTTTTCGATTCTTTCCTAACAGTAAGACAATGATTCCTTATGAACACAATAAGTGGGAAGAGATCTAAGAATTATGTAAAGAGAAATAATCGGAGTGGGAAGAAAGGGGATCTCTAAGAAGCTTGTTTCTCTTTTAGTGGATTTAGTGGATCTGCGGAGAAAGAAAAAAAATTGCATCCTAGTCTTCGGCCTTTAGGCCAAGAGAAGACAAGACCGATACTTTGTAATTATCCGCAATCTGCTCACTATTTGTGTTTCTGGGCTTCGTCGGTCTCGTAAATCTCACTACGCTAAACCTCCCAAAAGAGAAGGTCCCTCCTCTATGAGGGCTAGCTATGGCAGGTCTTGTGATCACCATCGGGGTATTACGTACAAAATCATCGCCAAGCGCCTATAAAAGTCTCCACAGAGAAATGTGCCGTATTGTGGTTTGTATGACGCTTGGAATATATGAAGAATAATCGTAATATAGTCTGTAAAGGGATGATTAACAAGACGTAAGGAAACAAGTGTAAAAATGAGTGGGTTTTCCCGTATGTAATGTATTATCGCATTTAACTATTGTGTGTAAGAGCGCTTCCACCCTGAATTCATATAAGTTGATTTGATAACCCAGAATGCAATTCCAAATATAAATCAGCTACCTATCCGTATTTTATAATCTACTAATATGAGCTCAGTGGTTAATAAGGAAGGAAAACACCATTGGCTGAGTTATCCAATTGGGTGAAGAAATAACAGACGCCATAAGCCGCTAATTGCCAATGGCAATCATGAAGCCTAGCGTTACGATACATAAGGGAGTTATACACGTTTATGCAAATAAAATGCTTATTTTCCACCACTTGACCTTGAGCTGATGCGGGGCTTTAATGCACATTTCCCAATTCGAGGATAATAGGGCCAGATCGCGGCCGAAGTGGACCTTGCAACCAATCCTGGGGAAAACGTAGCTGTTGCTTTTGAATTGTTGCCTTGTTGACCCAGTCAATCGTGGTCCATCATTGGTCAATTATAGAGCAACACCTTTAATTGTGTCGATAGTAAGTATACAGGTCATGGAAATATAAAATGGAAGTATCCCTTTTCGATATCTATTCGAAGTTCACTATCACTGCTCTTCTTTATTGTAATAAAACGGAACATCGAATCCAAGACTATCAAGACTTTATACCTCACACTATAACCAACACGACACGTTTTAAAACCGAAACAATGCCTATTGAGCAACCCTCGCAGATTCGCACCAGTCTTCAGCCGGTCCAGCTGAAGTATGTGCCTCTACCCGCTCCTCTCCCACCTTTGGGCGACCACCCCATCACGATGACAGTTTTCGACGGACTGGGCGCACCCTGTCGTCGTTGTCTGCTTGATGCCAGCCCAGGTGAAATAATCCATCTCATCGGCTATGATCCTTTCCCCGTGGACAGCGTGACGCCTTACCGAGGGACTTACGCAATTTTCGTTCATGCTCACGACTGTACCCCCTTCAGCGGAACAACTTTGCCAGACAGTCAGTTGAACAGACTACAAGTAGCGAGGGCATTTGATGAGAACCACATGTTGGTGGCGTCAGAGATTGTGAACAGAAGTGAATTTGAGAAGGTTGTTGGGGAAATGTTAGCAGACAGGAAGGCGAGCTACGTCAACGTGTACAATGCGAAGCCTGGTTGTTTTGCAGTCAGGGTTGAGAGGGGCTGATAAGAGAAGATATTAGCCCGAATTCGACATGTGAGGAAGGATGATGTTTACTTGGAGGCTTTACCCATAAAACAATTGACTTGCATGACACTAGTATGCACCTTACTTCTTTTACAGTGAGAAGTAAGTCATTTTATAGTATTAGCTGATCATAATTAAATGTTACTAAATCATATGTCGATACATATTAGACCAGAATATTAAGGCATGTGGATTGAACTAGCGTAAATAGCAGGCCGGAATTCATCTCAAGGAATCCAATCTTTGCTTGTTCAATATTCTCCATAGGCTATTAATGACCTAGAACTTTATGTGATAAATTACCTGTTAAGGTCCGTAAAGATGCGTTGGGTAGGAGGCCTTGAATTATTACTTCCCTTCCCTGGAGCGACCCAAGGCAACTAAAAGTCTAAAAGAGCTTTCCCGGAATTGAAATACAGAACGTGATCGCCAAACAGAAGTCATCATAGAAGAAAAGCAAAGAGCTTGTCAAGAAATACAAATCAGTGAAAAATATTCTCGAAGACAAGGACATAAAGTCCCCACCGAAAAAGCTAGAAAGCTGCAAAGGAACCGCGGATCAATAGGGCACGCTTTAAGTGCTGCTTGCGGAGCACATGTACAAGAATAAGCGCATCGAGTACGAGAGTCTGAAAAGGCAGGCCGAGGATACGAAGACAAATACTGACATACTTCATTATAATATCAACAAGGTTATAGAGGCAGGGGAGGACGTTCTGGACATTCTAGAAAAGGGGACACGGTTAACGAAGATTATGGTAGAAACAAGCTCCCTATGCCAAATAGAAATGTCTGTGGAGGATGTGCTCTGTTCTTGAGGGAAGTCTTGTTTTTGCGCTCAAAGCCGTGGTAGGATTGGGAATCGATTAGTGCACTCGATACTTTCCCTACATACTACTCTATTATGAAAAGCTTGTTACCCTTGTCCAACTTTCCACAACTGTTGGTACATGTTATGCTTTCCGTGATGATAGCATATGTAGGGGCTACACATGAGCTGATAGGTATGGCTCATGGGGTGATAGACATGTTTACCTCACAGGTGACGGTAACATCGATTGTAGTATTTAGATGGCTTTTTCTTAGAGCCGGCTGATCTGGCGTCGGCTTAACATAGCTTGATTAAATGAAGGTAGAGGTTTCGGCCAATATTCACTTAGCTCACCGTAGTTACCTATAAGCCACCATGGATCATATCGCAACACAAGAGAGCTATTTTATAACCTATATAAGTCTTCATTTCTGTAACCATCTGATATTTATATACAATTATTACCATGAAACCTGAGCAGAGAGAGAAAGTAGTCACCACGAGCCATCATCATCATCATCAAGAACATAGAGCACTTCTTTCGGCTTAACGGGAACATTGAGGAGCAGGACCCTGCTGATCATGAATCATAAAACACGCCAATGCATGCAATAAGTAAGCCCCAAGCCTTGGGCCGTGCTGACCTGACCGTGCAAACCTTTCCTGTGCCTACAATGTAGTTTGGTTCGCTCTGTTTTCATGCCTGTTGGTCTCGAAATAGTATCTGTCCACTTTCTGAAACACGACGCACTACGGTGATCTCCACAATGGGTATAGCCAGGGCCTAAGGCTAATCTTTACCCTTATCAACTGTATTATAACCGTAACGTACTCAAAGACCGCCAGTAGCTGGAGTGTGACAGGTAACACTTCCACCACTGAACTGAATTCTTGCGCTGCGTCAGCAATCAAGTGGGAGCCTGTGGGCTGCGGGTTTTCTGATGAGTCAGATTCCAATGTTCAATCAAGATCTGATTTGACAGGGGATGCCGACATTCACAGAAGGTGCATCAAGAATAAGATACACAACGGTACTATGGACCAGATTCGCGAATGAGCTTCTTGAGGGGTTCCTGATGAGCGGACACTCCCAGAGATGATTTCGACCGCTTGGAATATATAATGCCAGCTTGTCATAGCATCACGGCTGCTATCGATCAATAGGAAACGATTAGCCACGCTCGCTGCCTAACCTGTTACTAGTCGCTCCAACACTACAATTCTCCAGCCTGATACAGCAATCAAACGCTTCAGATCTCGGCCTCTACTGCATTTCATTTTCTCCCATGCGTCTTGGAAGGTAAATCAGCTATTATATGCCACCGGATCCTTGCCAGCAAGTCCGCAAAACTGGATTGATCAAACCGACGTTCCCAGAACAGAGATACTCAGCGCTTCATAATTCGAATGCGGTGAGGAGAAGGACTTTTCGTGACAGCGGTTGGGGGATAATGCCGATTTAACTTGCACCATTAGCGAAAAACATATGACTTATTTACTTAAACGGGCTGCTCTAAAAGTCCTCCAAGTTCAACCCTGCTGTCGATATATCCAGACCTTCCGCATCCAAACAAAGACTCTTCTCCAGCTTACAAGGGTCTGCTTTCTGTTTTCTATCTAACCAAAAAGGAGTTTTGATACCACGGAAGAAGTCAGCCACTGAAATAACACTGAAGCCCAAGAATGGGCTTTCTGGCCTCATCATTGGCAGACCCAGGTCCCGCATTTGTTTCATTAGGTATCCAAGAAGTCTACACGAACATTCCTGGGAACAACCGACTCGCCCCGCGAGAAGCTCTTCTTGCAGGGTATATAGCCGAGAGACAAGTGGATCAAGGAGTCCAATACGCTGTTGATCAATCTTATCTATCCCAAATTAGCCACTCTACCTATGTCGTGGGTTAAGCAGGAGTTCATACCGAGGATTTGGCTGGGTATCGGCAGATGTGTTTCAATAAGGCCGGGTGTTGTGAGTATTGCGGAAATTGTCAGGTTCTTGAAGACCAATGGGTGTTGAAATTTCAAGGCAATAAATAACAGCAATGACTCGGCTTCACCAAAAGAATTTGTTAAGCTTCTGTCAAAGTTCTCCCAGATATATCTCCACCAATCGGGGAGATGTGCTTGCCAGTGATCAAAGAAAACCTGAACAATTTCAAGGCAGTCGTAGTAATCAACGAGGAACCCAATTTGTGCTACGGTGTCCAGATCTAGGTTTCTTGGTACCTGACGGTGGTGGCCATGTATAATGTCAAGTAAGACCAGGAGGGCCCGGGCATTCCAGTCCGAAGCTCTAATTTCCAAGAAGCCTTTGTCGTTGGGTTGCGATTCTTGAAAGTTGCCTTTTATCATCTTTCTAAAAACTGCTGACGCGCCACAAAGATGCTTGGCGGATACTCGAAATTCAATCTCGTTAGGATTACCAGTCTCCTGATATGGTTGTAGAGATGTGATACCATTCAGGTCCGTTGGTGTTTTGCTTTTCTGGTTGCCTTTAGTTTGGGGCGGGGAAGTCGTCCTCAGTTCGGCCTTATGTGTCTCATGCTGTACATCCTGTTCCTTTACTGGATGAACCTGTTGCAAGTTGGGACATCGCAAGATGAGCAGCGCATCGGCTTCTGGATCCAGCTCAAGGAGTGATTTCTTCATTATGAAGGCTTGGGAGACAGCTTTGGGGTGTGAAACAGAGTTTCCCCGCTTCAGGCACTGATATTATCTGGAGGGCCTCCCGCGTCAGTCGCCTGCATAGTCCTATAAGCTAAGACCAATCGGTGCACAGTTGATATGTTTCCCCCCGCTTTCTGTGGAGTAAAGTTGAATTTTGAATTGCTTCTTATCTGAACCACTGGTATCTTGGGTTGACATAATCGTGGAATAGCGAGATGATTAGATAAGTCAGACTCGGATGAAAAACTTAGCCACTTCAGTCAAGTATTCTTGGCACGAACGCGACACTAAAATGCATAGCAGCACGTGAGAAAATAGAGATTAATTGAAGGTTACTTGCCGACAGTATAGAAATATGACAAGAAGGTTAAAAAAATGTAAAGGCTCGTTCCAACCCTCTCGTAGATCTACAAAACATGCTTCTAGTAACTTATGAAGCAATTCAGTAATCACTTTGACTCAGGATTAGTCAGGACAGAGATACCAGAAGTTACTGCTTATACCGATTATCCCATCCCGGAATAGCGACGGAAACAAACAGGACATTGATGACAAGTCTTGTCGATATTACAAGCTAGAGTAGTCGAGAGCTAGCAATAACATTTCGTCTCCTAGAATACCTTTGCACTTCTTCGTTTCTGATTCCCGCAGTACCTTGGTGCTCTTATCGACCCGTGGCAGTATTTATCAATCGCTCCAGGATTCCGCTCCGTCGTTTCTTTGCAAGGGAAATACCTCAATCACGACTTCTTATTCTAAACCACTTGCAGTTTAGAAACCCCAAATCGTTACGCTATGGCTGAGCAGGCCACTGATCAACGGTCCAAACACCAGGCGCAGCACAGTTCATTTTAATAGCAATTACATTCCACCTAGAAGCATATTAATTAGTATTTGAACCTTAATTGAATACTCGAGACTTCACTTACCCGTCGGTATCAAACTGCTGCCCTCCAAGATTGCTGCCAAAAAGTATACAGTCACCAGGACCATCGGCGATTCTAACATAATAGTCGTAAATAGTATTGGTATGAAGGTTGATGACACGGTTGGGGTTCTAATAAATAGTGTTAGTTCAATGTTCAACAACTTTTAGGTAAATATCCAAAACAAACATCATTGCAGACTGCAATGCCAGCACTATTGCGACAGGTAACGCGAACACAAAATCGTGGAGCGAAGGCAATAATCCTGTTCATGCTCCTCACTTCCCCTATTCCATTATTGAAATGGGCAATGTGATTTGCGTAGTTGAAATGGCATACAGGCGGCCCGGCGAAAGCTCGTTTATCCAGTGCGCTTGTTGCACTAGCTTCGATGTCGGTTGGAAGACCAGCAACCTGAGATTTCAAATTAGCTTCTTCTTATGCCTGGTTTACCATAGAAGGACATACGGTAGAGCTAAAGGCGAACGATAGTGATAGAAGGTTGGAGAACTTCATACTGAAAGGTGGTTTGGGTTCTGAAAGCCGTTGTTGGGTAATAAAAGAGCCGTTAGATGTGGGAGGCTGTTGCTGTTTATATACTTGAGAATGATAGTTAATACCTTTCCTGAATTGATGCCAACAAGCCTTGGCATACGACGATCTCCCAGTATTAAACAAAAAAAAGTCAAGGTAATATTAATCCGATCCTTTAACTCCGCCTCGTTCTTGACATGGTGTTAAGCTTAACTTTTAGCAACTCACTAGTTAAGCAAGAACGCGGCACAACCCTTGTTATCAAGGTTGGCGACCCCCAACCTCAGAGCGGCATATTAAACTCATCTCTACTTGGCTAGAAGGCTCTGCTAGGTCCTCTGTCGCCTGCATAAAAGGTCAAGAGAAAACTTAAGACTCCTATAGCAGTCCTCTCCGGTATTTCTAGAAAGGGGCGTGATCTGCATATCTGATGTTTAACTTAGTGTGTACAAATCTCAAGTCCTGTAGATTGCAGCGGGGCGTGAAGAGGAAAGAGACAAATTTGCAAGGTGGGCCGTAAGTATTGCATAACTATTATTGTTCTGTAGCTAGTGCGACTTCTCGAATCTATGTGAACTGGTATTTTGATTTGCAGGAGATGAAGTTTCAGACAAAATTGTTATGATCACTGTTGTTCAAACAACTATACCTCTTACCCCTTTTGCTTCTCTCCCGTCGGTATTTTCTCTTTGTGAGCTCCTTCCCAATTCCGTCAATCCTTTCGCACTCTCTTCCTAATACAATACACCTTCCTGATATAGCGTAACTTGTTAGCTTGGTAGATCTCTTAAATCGACGTGGCAGTCATATTGTATACTATGCGGTCTTGTGGCACAGGTTGGGAGACTTGGCAACGTGCACTTAGCGTCGTGGTTGTAGCGATTGGAGAAATAAGTTCTTCTAGAGCGAGGGTTTCCTATGAGATCTCCACGGCGGATGCGGGGAGACAAGGTCGTTTAGATTCCGGTCACGTTGTATTAAGCTCTTTTGTACTAAGGAAAGGTTTCGAACTAAAGATGCATAGCACTTCAGCAACAAGCCAATTACAGCACTGTTCGGGTGAATGTGTGGCGGCTGCGCTCTTGGCATTGCATTCTTGGCGTAGAGCAACATTATAGTTACTAGCGGCTAGATAAGATAATAGGCATTGCGCCCTTGGCATCAAGCCTGCTATTTGCTATCCTACCACACCGCTATATGGAGCTTTTAACATCTACGGGCCTTTTGTCGACATTACAATTTGCCTCAGCTAATAAGCGTGGTACAGAATCATAAGACATGCAAGACGCCAGATGACTGCGAGGATTTTGACTGCGAAGAAGGTACTAATTCTATGCCTGAACCTGAGACGTCTGTTCTTCTCCCTAAATCTTTCGGTTCTACTACTGCGCCAAAAAGGCAAAGATCACCCATTCTACCAATACTGCAAAGGAGGCCCCAGCTACAGTTACCGAGGAGGCTGTAGAGACAGCCGAAGATCTCAACGCCAATGTACTGGAGATGGAAGGCTATATTCATAATGACTGTGAGGATTGGCGGGGCATGTGTGATGATGTTAACAAGTTCTGTGAAGTAATTGGCTTGGAGTTAGTTAACAATCTCCCTACATTCATTAGCTCAAAGCCCAGATGCGTGTAGATGCTCTAAGTACCAGGTTATTATTTGTGCTTCAGACGTTGTTAATCAGCCTTAACGTTTTTTTGTTTTTGTCCTTCCTATTCCCATAAAGGAAACTATCAATGGCTTCATTCGCCTTATTCTTAGACAACATTAGTTTGATAAATAATAAAGCTTATCATACGCTAATAAGCCCAGGTGTTAGGTTAAGTAAACAAGTAAAGACTGGCTTAATATAACAAGTATTAAACTCCTAACTCTCTTAACTGACATGTTTCTTTATAACCAAACTGCTTGTCTCCAGACAACAAGGCAGATACTCCCTAAAAAGTAATTAAATACGGTATGGATGTGCTATGTTTAGAGGATAAGTAATCACTAGTGTAACAACATCCCTAGATTTTACGGAGGCGTCTGAATAGCAGAGTAACGCAATAGAGGCTCTGTCTATCTAGATCGCGACTTATATATATATATAACAATATTGGTACGTTGTTGCACATTGTTGCGACGTAATTAATACATGGTTCGTGAACTATAGTGCCCATGGTATACTCCACTGATCGATAACTGAACTAATACTTAGTATGTTCATCCTAGATAGCCTTAACATTAGAATAGGGCCAGTTTAAGCTTGGCTTCGAGAACTACAGGTTACAGGTGTGAGATCCCGACTCAATTGTGTAGTTAAAATGGGGGTGACATGGAGGCTGAAGGCGTATATTATGGCCTCGCGATATGGATATAGGGATTAAATGGCGGGCCCTACGTCTTGGTTTGCCGTGTGTTTAACCAATTGTTTTACATAAGGAGCCAGAGACTCTATTCTCTATACATCTGCATAGAGAACATTGTAGCAGGTAGGCAGAAGTTCATATCCCTTTCTCTCTCTTAAACCTCATTGACAATAATATATATTACAGTTAACTCTTATATTCTATAAAATTCTATGTAAGACTATTAATAGGCTCTTTTAAACTATTCTCATTATTATAAATTTTATACATTACTATAATTATATATATTCCCACTTAAGTTATCATTGTAGTTCTTGTATGGGACTGTCAAACAATCTCTACAACTTAACCAAGGCGACGTACGGCTATATTGTACAGCAGGCACTCATATACTAAGTAAGAACTAAAGACCATCATTTTATATATAGAACTAGTAAGGACGTACCTGCCAAGCCTACCTTATTGTTGAACTCATACTTATCGTATTATCGGAGTGCCTCAATGGCGTCTCTAAGCATAACCTCGGTATCCTTTTCTTTGAAATCCGCTGCCTCAATCTAGGTAGTCACATAGCCTTCTTCTGCCCACTTCACTGTTAACGATGGAACTCTGTCCTATAAATCGTAAGACCGATAAGCTCCTCTTGGAATGTGGTGGGATTGACTTCGACTATGGTATCTAGGTATGATTTTCTAAAATGTAAGTAATACAATCGCACTGATAAGAAACCCAATGCTGGATAATTATTACCGAGATATGGAGAGGGATACCGAGAGATAGGGAAAGATAACTAATTTCTAACTAGGCTATGGATATCCGTACCGAAGCGCCCAGCGGATGTGGAACAGCGGGGTAATTGCCGACGCTAGTACTCTTCCCGCTGATGGGAAAGTAAAGCTGGGACAAATATTGAAACTAAATGTGCCGTAATATAACTGAGAATGATTCCTTCATGGAGGAATAAGAAGTCTATTGTGCAACTCTTGACAGGAACGGATGTACTACTTGTAGCATATCCGAGACCGGATTATACATACAAAAGAGGGATTGTTTTAATAATCCAGTGGGCCTGCCGTCCCTTGGCGACGACCTTATCCGAGGCCTCATACCTATCATGAAGCTATAGGCTAAGTAGCTCTGGCTCTTGATAAGAGGTATACAGATAGTCTGGAGTATGATAAGCTCTGCTAGTCAGTCTACTATTGCCTCTAGTAAGATAACAGAGTGTGTACATACCTGCCCACTAATGATAGTTCTATAGTCTAGGCCAAAGATAAACCTCGGTATGTAACCTGGGGTTAGGGTCGGATAATGAAACCAGGCTTTCCCAGGGGCCTATTTGTAACAGACCAGCTCGCCTTGTCTTTCTCCCCCTCCTTCTCTATTCTCAACACCGAGACAATCGACAAAAAAATGGCCTCCCACAACATCCAAGCAGACATGGCTGATGACAAGGTCACTTCTTACAAGCCTCAGTATGCTGAGGAGGCTCCATCTCTCAAAGGCGAGACTCTCGAGTCTCATGAAGTCTTTCGGCAGACAGATGAGGGTGTTCAATTTAGAACTGTGAGCTGGCAACGAGCAACAATCATCTTTCTCAAGATTCAGTTTGCCATGAGTATTCTTAGTGTGCCCGGAGCATTGGCTACACTGGGAGCTGTTGGTGGCGGTCTGTCTCTTGTTGGCTGGCATACTCTCAACACCTGTATGTCTACCCCCTTACTCACTTTATAGCAACTTGGCTAATCAATGGTGTGTAGACACGGCAGTTATCCTAGGAGAGTTCCGAAACCGCCATCCCGAGTGTCATAGTACGTCTTCGATCTTTATTTCCCCGCATATACTATCAGCTCTAAACAAGCACCACAGCTCTAGCCGATATGTGCGGTCGTCTCTGGGGCCCAATTGGTAAAGAACTCGTCGGCTTGCAGATCCTGGTTGCCCAGGTTCTCATCTCTGCTGCCGGTATCGTTTCCATCTCGACAGCTTTCAACGCCATCTCCAACCATGGGGCATGCACCGTGATATTCACCCTCATCGGTGCCATTTCGATTACGATTTTCTCCTCAATTCGCACCTTTAGCCGACTTGGTTGGCTTACTTGGATTGGATTCTTCACTTTCTTCGTTGCTGTCTTCATATTTGTCGTGGCTGTAACCCAGCAGGATCGTCCAGCAATGGCTCCTCAGACAGGCGACTACGAGCTGGGGTGGACTGCTATTGCTAGCCCTACATTTGTGGCTGGTATGACTGCTACCGCTAATATCTTTATCAGCAACAGTGGTTCATCCATGTACTTACCTGTTCTCTCGGAAATGCGACGACCCGAATACTACAGAAGGGCTGTGTTGGTAACAGGCGTGCTTGTGCTCGCCATGTACCTGTCCTTCTCCCTTGTCATCTACAGGTGGTGCGGTGTCTGGCTTGCAACGCCGGCCTTTGGAAGTGCTGGCGCGCTATTCAAGAAGATCTCATATGGTATCGCTCTGCCAGGGCTCATCATAGGCGTCGGGATTTATCAGCATGTCGCTGCTAAGTATATCTTTGTCCGTGTTCTCAGGAATTCTCACCATCTCCAGGAGAATACCATGGTCCATTGGACTACCTGGATCGGTAGTAATCTTACTCTCGGAATCCTTGCCTTCATTGTCGCTGAGGCTGTTCCGATTCTCAACTACCTCTTAGGTCTTGCCGGAGCTATTTGTTTCGCTCCCTTCAGTCTGGTCTTTCCAGCCTTATTGTGGATGCAGGATTACAAGCACTATAGAAAGGACACTTTGTCTAGGAAAATCACATACTGGTCACATGCACTTATTGTGCTGCTCGGCGCCTTTATGGTTGTTGCCGGAGTGTAAGTTTACAAGTCTCAGACAGTTATACGCATTAGCTAACTCCCGTACCAGTTACAGTGTTGCGATATCTATCCAAGATGCATACCGGTCTGGTTTAATTGCCAAGGTGTTTGATTGTGCGGATAACTCTGGAACTATTTCTTAAATTATTGATAGAAACAAACGAATGTTGTTATATATTTAGAAAAGTTGATTTCCTAGTACACGTAATATTGATTATTGACGAATACTAGGCAATGGACAATAGTCACGAATATAGCACCAACGCAATTGACTGCTGTGCCGTAACTTGCAAAAGATTAATAATTATTAGCCACCTATGATACGCTTTGCTATCTCATCAAAGACTTCTTCTTTTATCTTTGTAATCAAGTCATCATCTCTATAACCCTCGATAAAATCTACACGATGACCTAGGACGGTAATGTCCTCTCGTAGTTCTATTGACGCAGCCTCGTCTGCATCATCCTGATTGACCTGCGCAGTCTGCAATGACGCGACATGTGCTTCCAGGTCCTCATGCTTCTTCTCCAGAAGGGTCACCTTGTCTCGAAGCTGGGCATTCTCAGCTCTCAGCTCCAGGACCACCTGCGACATGTCTTCTTGATGGACCTGCTCAGCCAAAAGCTGCTGCTTGAGATCTCGGAGCTTTGCGTTCTCGGCTTTCAGCTCTTGGACCTCACGTACAATCGACTCGAGCTTGTTGAGCTTGTCCCAGATCTGTGTGAGGTTGACAGGTCCCTCGTGCGTATCTGTTCGAGGTCGTTTGCGTCCGCGCGGGGGATCGTTCGGTGGTTGCAAATTTATGGCTTTCTCATAGGATGGAGGTTTGAGCGGGGCGAGGGTTGTGACTCTTCCACCTTCGCCGCTGAACATGCGAGAGATGTCGTAGTCTGGCCCGGAAAATGGTTCGAGCTGATGCTGTTCTATCCGATTACTGATGGCTTGGAGGTCGTCTGTGGATAGTTGGGAGTCTTGTATGTAAACGCGTAGCGAGGTGGCTTGCGTGAGCTCGTAGAGAGAGTCGAGGATTCTGCCTGAACGAGCTCGTGATGCAGCGATAGGCTCCTTGACGCCGCTGGGGACGATCAGGGTAATTGTGTCATTAAGTTGCAAGTCGAGGCATGTTGTTGTGTCAAACAGCTGTTTTACAACTTCTGGCGCGTCGGTCGGTGTAGTGAAGCCGAAGGAGGTGATGGATGCAGGGTTGATACGAAGATAGACCGCTGCGCCAGCAGGTTTGTCTTTGAATCTGATGGGAATGACGATCTCAAAGTGAGCGCGATGTTGGCTGTCGCGTTCTGTCGGTTCGAGTTGTAACGTAAATCGTATCGCGATATTTTCCGGGTCTGGGGCTGACAGCAAACGCGTCACACCCTCCCACTGCCACTCAACAACAGCTGTCACTTGCTCAAGATCAATAGATGAAGAAATTGCCATAGCTGAGTAAGCAACATGCTACCAATTCACAAGATGGTTAGTGCGCCAAATTTGAAGGACTTACCTGCAGTCCCTACCACTCAGCAACACAAGACGGAGAAAAGAAGCCGGCTTCGCTGCCAGGCGACCTGTGACCTCCAGTAGAACTGCTAGGTCGTCCCAGAACTCCAGTAGAACTGCGAGTTGCCGAGTCAGGTCCCTTCCACAAGCCCCGGCTATTCCAGCAAAGGAGGCAAGCTCGTTTGATGGGTATAATCCGGAATTTTATACGGCTGTGTCGCGATTCACGGGCTTTTTCTCGTCGAGCATCGTTGGGGAAAGGTGTCGGCCGTAGAGAGTCCCGTCGGGTTGATGTAAAAAAGGCGCTTTGAGGAGAAATGCGTAAGAGGATGATGGAGCGACAGACGAGAATGGTTATGTGGTGGACTTTACATTGCGAGGGGTTAGGAGTGTTGAACCGCGTGAGGCCGAAATGACTCCGTGAATGGAAATCGTGGTGGAGAGGAGAGGCTAGGCTTCGGCCGAATATTAGTCCGGAGTCCCCGATGCTGTTATGCTGATGTAATCGATTTTTAGTTAAGCACAGCCACCACAGCCGCCACAGCCACCACGAGCCACAGTAGGCATACCCTGTACTCTGTTTGCTATTTACAAATCCCTTCATAAACTCATCGCTATGGACCAATGTCGAACTCCCTGATGACAAGACTGTAGAGGCTGGGCGTGAAGCCGTACTGAGCCGGTGGAATGTTGGTGGGTGCGCCAATTGCCAGCACCACTTGGACGAGAACTCGTTCATTGCTATCCATGAGAAGACAATGGGATTGTTGAAGGATGGCAACCGCGATGAGAAGGATATCAAATTCCACGTTAAAATTCAGTCGCGTGATTTTGACGGGAATCGTTTAGGTGAACCTAGACGACAGCCTGTAATTGAGTTTCTGTAGCTAGAACTCGACGTGTCGACAATGACAAAGAGGTGGATATGGGTGAACACAGTCTTTACAACTAATCTTCATACAACTACTAAGTCTTATATTTAATCTGGCACTTAGTGTCCCTAAAGTACCAGTTCCTGAAATGAAGCTTAGCCAGAATTATCTAACGGCGGTGATAAGTGACGACCCATCCTTCACGTCTTTATTGATGCGCCTCGCGAAACTGCGTTTTGGTGAAACTATGTTGAGATTTCTGAAGCACTTAATCTGGTCTGATAACACTTGTCTAGCCTGCATTCAGGCTTGTCAAGAAATGCTTCTCGTGTAACCCGCTTATTTAATGCGTAATGAATAGACTTATGCTGTTGTGAATGTAACTACCAGGAGAGTTAGGTTGGAAGTTGAGACGTGTGAGTGACCTATAAACCTGTGAAGTCTATGTATTGTTAGTACAACAAACCACAGATCAGCTTGGAATCACACCATCCCCCGAAGACAGTGAGTAACTAACTACGCTATGCTGTTCAAAGCTCAATGGATCAAAGCAAAACAGAGCTTTGCACTGGCAGTGACTGTTATCTTCCTTTCTCCTTGTAAAGCAATGAATGAAAGCTTCAACCAAGTACAAATAGCTCCCCTCTCAGGCGGTTCAAATCTCCCCAAAACACTTCTACTCAGCAAACACAAAATACATAAAACAAAGCGAAACCCCCCAAAACAACTTACTACTACACCCATATTTACTCAACAGTCCAAAGATCTAGCCTTTAGTTTCTGACCATGCCGAAAACAACCACAGATATTCGAAAGGACCACAAGAAGTGGAAGTGCAACGGAAACGTGGGCAATAAGCCTTGCGGCAAGGTACACGACATGGGCAAAGTCTACTGCGAGTGCGGCAACAGGCGACAGATCAATGATGAAGCTCTCGCTGCTGACGGATCCACGATTGGGCAGATGTACAGGCTGGAGGAAGACATGACTGAGCACTGGGAGTATACTAGTCCTGAGCCTCTGTAGGACCTGTAGGACTAAGATGCGGGATATGGTCAAGAGCATAGTTTATAAATATTCAATATCAAAGGCTTTTTATTCCAACGTAAAAAAGAGATTCTTGACAGTAGCGGGTTAACATTGTGTGAAATAAGTACTTCCTTTTACATACTTATTCAATCGAAAGATTTGCCATATATATTACTCCCTTGATAGAACAAGAATAGTTCTCGTACCCTCCGAACTTTCAGGTATGTCTTGAAAATACTCCTTTCTGAAACTAGCACCCCACCCACAAACTTTTGAATCTAGATGCCATTCTTCCTCTGTCTCGTTATGGTTGAGCTCAAGTTGTATCTCTCGAAGATTCGAGATCGCGCAGTTTGTGATAAACTCTCGAAGTTCCTCATTTGCGGCGCGATTCCTGGCTTCATATCCGTACCCACAATGGTATAAAAATAATGTTTCCAAAAATGGCGGCAAGGCCTGATCAAATTGTAAAGCTGGCGTCTCCGATTCCTCATATAGACCTCGTATGGGCCCGAGAAGTTCATCTCTGCCAGTGTTGAGATGCTTCAAGGAGATGAGAGTTTGGAGTGATCCGAGTCGACCCTCTGTGCTGTGGTAGTTGTTATAGTTGTTGGTGTCGATAGCGAAATCTTCTAAGTTTTGCCCAAATTGTCTCAATACGTTGCCGAACTCCTCCAAGTCAACTTCCCAGTCTTCCACATGCTGATCTGATTCTCTATGATGGGGAGCCATCTCCATCGATAGACCCTTCAACCTGGGGCATCGAGTGAGAATGCCTCTCATACCGGCAGCGTCTATGATGGACTCTTTCAAGTCCAGGTATTGGAGATTGGAACCCTCGGTAGGCCAAATCAACGGCTTCTTATCTTTTTCAAGCAAGTCAATGCCAAGAGCACGTAGTCGTTTGAGCGTGGGATGGCGAAAAATTGGCTGAATCGTGGAGAAAGACGTGACACCTTCATAATCTGCTGTCCCGATTCGTACTTCTGTCAAATGAGGAAAAGTATAGGCTGTAAACATGTCTTTCGGTAAACTGTTCCCCTTCTGGTCATGCGTTCTGGTATCGTCTGGGTCCTCCTTATCTCTTCCCTCGAGGTCACCCAATATGTCTTCCTCCAGCCCGAGACATCCACTGAGCATTAATAGTGAGGGAGTGTCATCCCTATGCACAGTGCAATCAACAAGCTGTGATTGGGGCATATAAGCCATGAAAAGGGCTCCAAGGCCACCACCACTTTGCTGTTCCAGGAGGGACTTTTTGATTCGTCTCATAGCAGGTGGCGGAAGACTAATATAGTCAAGACCTGCCCTGAGTATATTGTAAAGAACAGGGTGCTCTATTGCCCGGTATCTTAGATACGCCCCTTCCGCATCATCGTCAAAAGAAACATTGCGAACATGCTGGCCAAGTTGGGGATGTTCACTCAGTGTCCTTAAGAAGCGTGCCTGAACTAGCTTTTCAGCACTGCATCCTTCCATAGGAATGGTTCGATAAAGTAGAGGCTGTGCAACGCGTTGGAACTGGTGGGAAACTAGGCAGAGTGAATGAAGGGTGCTCAAATCTTCGTGCCTGAGTCGACTCCCGCCCATCCACCAATCCTCTTCTATCGGCATGTGATCCTCAAAGTTGGAGAATACCTGCTCCCAGATTTCGTCGGGCACGTGTGTCATTTTGAAGGTAGTTTGAGGTTTGTGTAAGGCTGTGGTTCTTGCTACTGGTCTTTGGAAATGCTTGTGTCGGTAGAATTTATGCCAAGCGGAACGTAAGCGGTAAGAATAGTCTTCACGTGTCGGGCCCCACAGTAGTGCATCCTTTACAGTAGCCGACTCTAGAAAGACAAGGGAGTTTTATTTACTCCTTATAATGCCGCTTTATCTCAAACTCCAATACTACTGTAGAATAAGGAAAATTCCCATTACTTCCACTTTACCTTCACTTCAATTGATAGATCCTCATCGCTATAGTAATCTCCCCTGTATTTGTAAGGAGTCGAGGGGGAGTGACTGAATCATCTGGGGCTTCTTATTGAAGAGTATGATAAAAATACGTTTAGTATTCAGCTTACAACATCGTCATTTATTACTGAGACGACAATCGCGACTACTCCAAATGTTGAATTTTGAACCCTCGGGGCTCTTCCTAAACCTGTCGTTCGATGGGCTCAATGGAAATCGAGAATACAATAGTACTCCATCGATTTTCGGATACTCTGTGTCTCTCGTGTCTGTTCGTCTTAACTACAGCCTTAAAAATAGTATCTTATTAGTTGGTATAATTCCTGATTCATTCGTTAAGGTATGATATATTCTCGGATTTATTTTGTTGAATTCCTTTCTTAAAAATTGTCCTGCTACAAATGTAACAATTTAAACAGAATGAGAGGTTGGAAAATCATCTGAATCTTTGTATGGAACGTTACTTGGCTGACAGGACATGGCTAAGGGCTGTAATAATCCTTGTCTACCCCATACTTATCCACCCCTCTTCTAACTCCCAACTTCCAAGTTACTAAATCACTCATTAGCTCACCCACGCACATCATATATAATATGAAGCTGCAATGTTCAAAGTCACTAAAGCTCTATAAACCGTCAAGTCCCTGCAATGCCCGTACCACTAGACGTCGATCATGACGTATCAGAAAGGTGGGCTGGATGCGAAACCTGTCACGCCATCTGGCAACGGCTCACCAGCGAACAGCCAGTAGTTGGTAATGTCAGCCTCGGGTCATTCGGTAAAGCACTATCCACTCCCTGCCATCGCCACAAACCCCTGATCCAAGCATTCTATGAGTACACCGGATATAAAGACGAGGAGGGCTACGACGTATCCACTTCCAAGGATGTGGGGTTCTGGCCTGGTGGTGAAGGGCACCATGTCCATGTAACTGAGTCTGTGTCTTCTTACGGCTTCTGCTGGAGTGTTGCTCTGGTCAACAACAACTCTTTGCCAAACCACCCTGGTACCGTTCGCGTTTTAGACCCGGATTGGGCGGATTTGGACGTTTTAGCTACGTGGAAGCATGCGTGTATCTCGTCCCATGGTGCTGCTTGCCATAACCCTCTGAGGATCTGGCATGCAAGACCAGCTTGGTTGATCGACGTTGAAAGAGAATGCCTCGTTCCAGGGAACATCGAGGGTAACTACGTGGCTTTGAGCTACACATACGGCGATCAAATTGGACGCTTGATCGATGTTGCCGTGCGAGAAAGGCTTCAAGTCCCCCCTGCATTGAAGGATCCTAGCCTTTCAGAATACATCCCGGCGATTTTACGCAAAGCAATCTATTTGACCTCGGCGATTGGAGAGCGGTACCTTTGGGTCGATGCAATTTGCATTTGTCATGAAAATCAAAAGTCAACTATTAACCAGTTGCGACTTATGGGAGCCATCTATGCAAATGCAATTGTCACCATTGTAGCGACTGATGGTGATATATTGACGGGCTTGGCGGGCCTCAAGGGCGTCTCAGAGCCTCGCCAGTTGGAGCAGAAAGTCATCCCTTTTGGAGATGAAAAACTACTTTTTCGAGATAACCTTAGCTTCGAAATGGAAGCCTGGAGGCCGTACTATGAACGAGGCTGGATCTTCCAGGAGCTCAGACTATCTGCTAGGAAGAATATCTTCCAGGGAAGTAAAATCCACTGGAAATGTCAATGTACTACCTGGTTCGAGGAATCCACGCCAAGTATCAAAGCGGAACTGAGATCCGACTTGAACAATCAGTTTAAGGTTCTCTTGGCTGGATTCTTCGATTGGGGGACCTTCAATTTGCTCGTGTCAACGTACAACGACCTAGTGCTTAGGTACGATGAGGACGCCCTACCAGCTATCTCGGGATATCTGTCCATCTTGAGTCGTGTCTTCAAGGGCGGCTTCTTATATGGAATACCAGAATTGATGTTCGAGCGTGGGCTCGGTTGGAAGCCAACTTTCCCCACTTGCAATCTGAAAAGACGTATTCGCTCTTCTAGGTCACATGATAGTCAGTTAACACCTTCTGGTCTCCCTTCCTGGTCATGGATCGGATGGGAAGGGATAGTGCACTCAGGCTATAACGAAGCCACGCGAGTTGGAATAAGAGGCACGATTGAGGAGAGTACACCCATCACCGAATGGTACACAAGCCACTCTCCACACGACCCAACTGAGAGGTGGCGAAGAATTAAAAGGTCATGGTATGAGAACAGGGATGGCTATAAGGACTTTACAAAACCTTTGCCTCCTGGGTGGATACGTCACAATGCTCCCGACAAAGCACCTGGAGACAATGGACCTCATCTATACCCCGACGGGTGCGACAAGCATGTTTTTCAACATAAGTCAATGCCTCATGACGAAATCTCGACTACATCTTCAAGGAATTGGTATTATCCGTTTCCGGTACTCGAGGTAGATGAGTCAACACAGCCTGATATGCCTGAGCAAACAGAGTATCTCTTTTGCAAGACAGATAAAGCCCATCTCCTAGGATTCCAGAAGGATGATGAAGGGAACGACGTAATTCTCTACAACATTCACAACGAAAATGTTGGATTCTTAAACTTGGTGAACGAAGAGTTTCTAAGCCGCTTTCCTAGGCTCCAGACAGAAGACAAAACCAGCGCAGGCTTGCTTGTCGAGTTGGTGGCGGTTTGCAAAGTCAGGAGCTATTCTAAGACCTGGAATGAATGGGAGAAGGTTTATGATAATCCTGTGTCGATTGAGGACACATATCTCGTGCTTTGGGTTGAATGGGAAGATGGAATTGCGTATCGCCTTGCAAGCGGGCATGTAAATGTCGAGGAGTGGGACAAGCTGGATTTAGAGACAATATCGTTAGTACTAGGGTAGCATTTACGTAAGTAGAGACATGGTAAGAGATAGCGAAACATTACTTCATCTCAATAGTTTATAATGGCTTAACTTATAAGAATTATCCTTCGTACAAAATCCGTCTTTCCTTGCCACAAACTCGACTACATCCTAGACATTTAATCGATAACCTTACCTACCATCTCAGTATCATTCTTCTTTCCAAGGACATCCTTCTCCTGATGAACGGCTACATGGTTGTTGAGTAAATGACTAGGATCACGGATAAACGCAGCTGCAATCATAGCAACCACACCCAGCGGGATTGTTGATAAAAACACAGTTCTAAAGGCCTTTGCATAAGTGTTCTTGAACGCGGCAGTTGTCGCTTGGAGAACCGGCTCTGTTACTCCAGGGACGTTGGCAAGCGCAAACGGCACACCAACCGCATTCTTGATGACAGCTGGAATCAGAGACGGAAGATCTTTCGCGGAGAATCCCTCGCCCATGGCAGCTCCAGCAATGTTCTTGGCTAGATCACGGTTGATAATGGATGTCACAATCGTGCTGAACATGGCGTTACCCAGCGATCCGCCAGCGCTGCGGAAGGTTCCCATAAGGCCAGCTGAGATTCCAAGCTCCTCCTGTGGGACCAGAAGACCAGATGAGACGTAGGACAGTACTGTAAGCCAGGTAAAGCATGACTGACCAAACATGGGCAATATCATCCAACCGGTCTTGTTGTGGGGAATAACAGTGGCATAAGATGCGGTGAAGACAATCTGCAGGAGAAGGGCAAACAGAAATTGGTATCGGATGTGCTTGATCTTGTGAACAAGGGTGGGCATGATCCAACCTCCGATAACCCCAGAGATATTGGCGGGGATCGAGATGTAACCAATCTCAACTATATCGTTGGTGAACATGAACAAGGTGCCCTGGTTTCCAAGTGTAATCATGGCCTGCCAAATCATACCACAGACAAACAGGATAACAAGATATACTGTAAACTCCCGATACATGGCAAACAGCTTGCGTGGGAAAAGCGGCTTCTTGGGGATAGTAATGTCGTAGATGAACGCAGCGATAAAGACACATGCCCCTATCGAAATAGTTGACGCGACGAGTGTCATGGATCTATGGGAGGCGCCAAGGAAAGTGATGCCAATCAAGAATATGGTGAGACCAGTGGCGAAGAGGAGGAGTCCGACATAGTCCAACTCTTTGACCTGCTGCCAGCGCGTCTTCTCAAAGTCGTGCTGTGGACGGGACGGAGGGAAGTAGCAGATAAAGGTGCCAACCAGGCAGATAGCAGCATAGATGATGGTGATGTAGTAGCACCATCTTCAAGTGGCCTTCAGGTAGAGTTGTGTGGCAATGAGGCCGCTCACCGAGCCCCAGGGGATAGTGATGCAGAACTCGGTCCAACCAATGCCAATACCTCTGCATGGGGGGGATCAGATACTGTGATTGGGAAATATGAGGAACCATGATGAGGTACATACCTATACTTGTTGGGGAGAAGCTCACTGATGCCGGGATACGCTACCATGATAACGCCGGCACCAAAGCCTACCAGAGTAGTTCCGGCGACAATGTTCAAAGTAGTCTGAGCAAAGGCGCAAACAATCTGCAAAAAGGTTTGTTAGCCGACAGGAATCCTTTTTCTTGATCGTGTTGTGTTTTCGATTACTTACTGCGCCGACCAGGATGATTGTCTGACCACTCAACAGCACCCACCGGCGGCCAAAGACGTCGCTCAAGCCACCAGCTACAGAGAAGGAGACAGCAGCACCGATGGACCAACCACCAGGAATCCAAGCAATATTGTCGGTATCTCCCAGAGCCATACCGATTTGTTGGAGGATTTGGGTCGGCATGAGGAACGCTGTTGCGATGGCGGGTACGTAAGTCAGGCCCATGAACTAAAAGTATTAGTCGACCGCCATGAAGTTCAAAGTACAGAGTAGCGACTTACAAACACAGCCAGGATAGTGGAGCAAGAGACCTTGGGCTTTCTTCGGATTCGACATTTTCGATATAGGAAATTGCGGCTCCTTGGTTTTGGCCGTCCGACAAGGGGGGAGTTGACTGCTTGATGTCGTTGGCAGGCAGCGTAGACAGTTTCGGGTTGGACGCCATATGGACAGGCTTAAGTTCTGTTACAGAGTTTTACAACGAATTGCTGTAGAAGGTAAAAGGTTGAAGCTGAGATATAGCACATCATAATCTTGAAGACAAGGGCAAACTATATATATTTGCATTTCCCCCTATCCCGCTAATGATATCCCTCCATAGTTTATTGTTCCCCAGAAACTTGGAATGCGGAGAGGCTTGACACTACTGCCCCTAAACACCCTAAACATGGGGATCTGCTACTCGGCAATGGTCGATATGGCTTTAAATCAGTCTGCCCCGCAACCTTTCCAACATACAGTAACCCTCGGCAACAAGTTAGTAAGTGCACACAGGATGAAATTAAATCTCGCGAATCTCGCTTCCAGGATTGAATCTTACCTATTCCGGACTGCCGGGTCTAGTGTGGATATTACCATGCAAAGGTAAGGTTAGCGCTAGAAGCAACGTGGCGGCACCTGACCAGGATACGTCACTTATTGGCGCCGATGAGGCTCTAGACTACGACTAGTAGAGGTGCGGATGGAATGCCCAGATAAGGTACGGATGGAATACCCAAATGGAGGTTAGCTCCATGTTTTGACACTTAGCGAGATACTCTTAGGAATAGCATCCAACAAACTTCGGGGTTGCGAACCCGAACTTGTCGATTAACATTCGCTTTGGATATACCTAAACTCATGACAAATGGCCCAGGCTGGACGGAATCCGCGGGCTACCGACAGTTGATTATCTTCCTCCCCTTTTACGGCTGGCTATCTCGGTAGTTGCTTGGCACGTGTCAGTACTTGAAATGAGACAGCCCGTTATATCATAGTTATCGTTATACTACCCAGCCTTTGGCCACTCCTTAGTGTGGGACATTCGTCAGTCTCTTCGTCCATACCATCCTAAAGCAGAGGATAGAAATATGACCGAAGTTGTCAGGAGCCCAGCGGTGGCGAAGACCTTACCTTGGAGGAGCCAACTCGCTTTCAGTGTCAAGATCAGAGCAATACAGAAAGGCCTCACATGTCTCAATTGGCTCAACTCAGTCAACAAAACTTCAAGCCCCGCTCCTAACATCATCAAGACCTACGAGACAAGACAGCATCTGTCTGTACGGTAAGTTATCAGTTGTTGTTCCTCCTCTCCAGCCCTTGGATGCCCACCTCTACTCAAACTTGGGAACTGACCAAACTCTGTGAAGAATATTCATCCCTTCGTCATTTCCGAGCAATTCGTCTGATACCCTTCCGACTCTATTCACCATCCACGGCGGTGGCTTTTGCATCGGCTCGTCCCAGGATGATGATGCCTGGAACCGTACCTTTGCCGACACGCATTCGATACTGGTTGTTGCCTTGAACTACAGTAAAGCGCCTGCAGCCCCCTTTCCAACCGGCCTTGAAGATCTCGAGGCTCTTTATCTAGCCGCCTTGAACGACGAGTCGCTTCCCATTGATAGAGCAAATGGTGGTCGCGTTGCTATCTGTGGATTTAGTGCAGGTGGCAACCTGACCCTCGGCCTCTGCCAACGACTTCTTCGTTCTGAACATCAATGTCTTCCCTCATGTCGTCCCCGCGCAGCCATCTCTGTTTACGGTGCACTTGACCTGAGCGCTTCTCCAGAGTACAAGATCACTACACGGCAGTATAAAACAGAGGCCAGTCTTGGTTCTCCTCGCACATCCACTCACGACACCCTTCTCAGTGTCGCTCCGCTCTTTGATTGGAGCTACCTATGTCCTGGACAGGATCTACGCGACCCTCTAGTGAGTCCTGGTCCCTATGCTCAGCCAGAGGACCTACCGGCACATGTGTTTGTCATTGCATCGGAACTGGACATGCTTGCAAATGAGAGTCGCGAGCTTGCAAACCGTCTCGCACACCAAAGAGGGAGTTCAAGACATATCCCTGGTGGAGACTCAATAAATGAATCAGGAGGACCACGCTGTGGGCGCCCTGAGCCAGGACAGCCTGGCGAGCTAGAGCTGGACGATGAACGCTTTGCTTGGCAAGAAACCTTTTCTGATGGTAGTGTCAGATGGTTGTTGGTGCCAGACGTATTACATGGTTTTGATAGCCTGCCCATGCGCGAGAGGCTCGGAGGGAAAGAGACAATGAAGGACGCAGAGCTCAAGACAGAGGCATATTGTAAACTGTTGGGTGAGTGGCTTCTTGGTACAGTCTTTAGCAGTGCCTAAACTCCGGTGATCCAATGCGATCTGCAGAAGTGTAAAGCTTTTAGTCCCCAACCACTTCTTTTGTAATGGGTGGGACAACATAAGAGTCGGTGGCATTGTAGTAGGTTATCCGAATAAATTAGGTAGGTATACATGAAACGCATTCGTTCGCTGACACGCATGCTTTATGACCGTTACACGGACGCTGTCGTGCTTATCGGCAATTGCTCCGGTCCAATGATCATCTAGACAAATAAGAATACCCTTAGAGGTCGGACGATTTGATATCCTTGGCAGGCGGGCCTTACAGCCAATTAGCTTGATGACATTGTGTTGTCCGTACCTTGTAAAGCTGAAAGGCTGATCTGCAGGCAGATGACATTCTAGGACTCTAGACTTTCCAGGCAGCGACGCGCTCTCTTCACATAAGCATTATTAAGCTCAAAAATAACCTTTTCAAACCCCAATGGCGACCTGTCCTAACTTAGTCTCGTTACGGATCCACGTTATCAGCATCAGACAATAAAGCCGTGCAAGCTTATTGCATCACTTAACCGTTGACTATTATTACTAATAAGTGTCCAGAGACAAATCTCTTACCATGGCAAAGATTGAAACAGGTTTTCAGATCCTGCCGGAATTCCCTTTTGAAGAAGAGTACTTCCAGCATTTTCGCATTCCCCCGGATTGGCAAGGGTGGGAAACTGCCTGGCTTTTCCGCTTATCCGCCATCGTTAACAACCCCCGTGTTCCAGCAAGGATGATACAAAGTGGATGCACATCAGAACATGGAGACGTAAATTGTACGCAGGCCTGCGGTGACGCAGCCATCATGTTTGGAAATGCCGAGACGCTTTGGAACTGTCTTACCCTCGCTACTGTCGCTATGATGACGACGGGAACAAATGCGCCACATCAACTCAATCAAGAATCAGTGAAGAATGTCACAGCCATGTTCAATATTGGCCCGCTGAGCGACTTTACTCGGATGTTCATCTTTGGAAAATACGTTCGATGTGCACTTCAGTCCTGTTCGGATTCGAGATTTGGTGCTTGCCCACCAGAGTTATGGGATTTCGAGTACAAGCTCGTGAACATGGACAACATCAAAAGGCTAGGCCATATCATGGCCTCTAATTATTGTGCCGTGGCAGATCCTGGTATTGACTATGATATCGCAGGGCCTGGCGTGTGTATTATCAATCAATCAACTGACAATTTATGCTGATGGCTTACAGATCATTGTGGCCTACCTCATCCAGTTTACGATAGTATTCTTCTTTGCACTTGCTTTCAAAATCACCAAGACTTGGGTCCGTAACTTTACTCTGGCCTCGCTGCTCCCATTCCATGGACCGATCAAGTCTCTGGAGAAGGCAACTCTTTGGCAGAAGAAGGTTTCGAGAAGCAGTTTCGGTGTGGCTGTGGGGTCCACCATCGTTGACCTTCAAGAAGGTCAGGCTGTGTTTCTGACTATCTTCTCTGCGGTTGCCATTATCACATTCTGTGGATCTAACTCAATCGGCCTGGGGAATATCAGCTCGCTGTTCTCATGGCTTGCAAATAACCTCGCTCTACGAGGAGTGGTCTCGGCTGGGATGTATCCACTACTGTTGCTACAACTCATATTACACAAAAGTAACAATCGATGGTGGTATACCCTATTCCTCGTGGTAGGCAACTGGATCTTGGTTCTTGTTATAGTCCAGCCTCAGACAATTGAGGACTCCCTAACTGAGCATATCCAAGAGACCGCATCTTTGAATGGCTGTGGAGGCAGGGCTGGGCCGAGAACATACTGCCAGACCTTCAACAAGCCCACTAACCCTCCGGGAGGTTCAACCATCGCCAATGATGCGGAGCTTTTTCACCTGACTCGCGATATTGGGAGATTCTTTAGATATCACTCCAAGACGCAGGCACCTATGCACGTCATCATAGCCTTTCTGATACTAGACTGGATGTCTATGGTGATAAGGATGTGGTGGTTTGAGACCGATACCTGGCTTTCTCGCAGAAGCAGGGCCTGGGTCAATCACTTGCCTGCATCCATTCGACAGTTTATCGTCCAAAGATATTTCTTGCTCTTGCTTGAAGCCTGTTGGGTCTCGATGGAAGTGCTTGCCATTGTCATGGCCATCATCGGAATTCACGAATTCACGACCTTTATTGATATACTGACTGGTGGTAGCTATGGTGAAGACAGTGCGATTTGGATTTCCAAATGGGGCTTTGGTCAGCTTGTTGCGGTTTGTGTGTGGTTTCCTTTCGTTCTCAAATTCATTTCTCTTAATATTGGTAAGTCGGAAATATTTCCCGGCTATGAGGTCAAATCGCTAACTGTTATGGATTTGCAGATGGAGCCTTGCCAGGTTTGCGGAGGCGATTAGGGGAGTTTGTTGAGATATCTTACCGAAAGGAAGAGGAAGACGGTGGTAATGATGTAGGCTTGGAAACTTTGCTTCCAAACAGGCAACGTAGGAGAAGTCAGACTAGTATGATATAGGGTCTCCAACTGGAATGGCACTCAGCCGCCACCATAATCGACTTGAAATCTTTCAACTATACCAGCGGCTATAGCCTCGCCCTCTTACTGTTTGCGTGTAAAGATAAACTTTATGAGGATGGCTGTCTGGATGCGTGCAAAGAGAAGATAACGTCTGACAATGGGGCACAGGACACCACCTAATCGCTATACTGCCATTTAACTTTCTAGGTATTTCTATCTAAAAAGGGATATTAAATTAATTTATATGGGATTTAAGAATCTTAATATATCCATAATAGTATTTAGAAGATGTTACGGTGTTGTTAGTACAAAGGACATGTATAGGGTGGGGTGCGGAATGGATTTCCGCATTTGGCCCTGAGCTGAAAAACTATTACCTCGCTTGGCCAAACTCAGACAAGTATCATCGAACTATCGATTCTAGTTGTCCGTTACATGCTTCTAGCTTGGAGCAATCTTAAATGCTCCATACTAAACCGCTAGGATTATACACAATACTTGAAGGAGAATATTTCCCTTTTTCTTTCTCTCCTTCCTTTCTAATCCTCACACTCTTTGTTCTGTCATACCATAACCATCTTATCACTCTTTCTAAGATGGCTTCCCAGAAGATTCTCGCTGCTTTTGTAGCTCTTGCCATGGTCATTGGATCAGAGGCAGGCCCATGCCGACCTATCTCATCGGTAATAACCAGCGCCACGTTGTCGTCAGTGGTCATTGAATCAACAGCCACTGCCACTATCGACGCCACGTCTACCGTTGATCACACCTCTGCTGCAACTACCGCAGCCACGGATGTCACTACCATTGAGATTGAGGCAGCTTCCACTGAAGCCACCACGGACGCTACTACTGTCGTCGAGTCTACTTCAGTAGATATTGCATCCACGACAAGCATAGCGTCATCTACCACCGAGATTGCTTCCACCACCACCGCTGCTGGAGTTCCCGTCGAGACTGTATATATCGCAAACGGGGACTTTGAGACTGGCAATGTAGCCCCTTGGTCTTCCAGCGGTATTGCCGCAGTCGTCAACGTCGTCAACACTCAATCTCATGAAGGGTCTTATTCTCTTGCAATGGGGTCACAGGCAAGTGACTACGTCGTCATGTCTCAGACTCTTGATAAATCGCTTCTCGTCGCCATGCAACCTTATAAACTCTCTTTATATGCCAAGGTCGGCGATGCTGTCAGATGCTCCAATGGTATTACCATGTACTTCGATAACGGCTCGCAGCAAACTGCTTCCGGAACAAGCGTTTATGTACCAGGTAGCCAGTTGGCCGACGATTGGGGTTATGTGGGGGGAGAGTTCACTTTCACGGAGGCTGAACTAAGTGGAGCTGGTATCATAAGATTCGTTTTCAAGACGAAGTGTGGTAATGGATACTTCGCCTATGTCGATGATGTTAAGATGGAGCTTGCGAATTAATACATATTCATCTAATGGCTCAGTAATCATTTAAAATGGTTAGTAGTAGAAGTACTGATATATATTCGATGTCATGTACGTAATAATATTAATTCTGCTAATATACGTATGCCCTTATATTGTTTAGGCCTTGATGTATATAATATACTCTTACACATTTTATGTCATTTATCGCTTAGAAAAACCCTGATTTTCATGCAAATTTGAGATTTCTGTCTTTTATGCCATCGCCTCCGGATTCATAAGGTTTTTTGAAATTTAGGCACCAAATCCCTATGATAACTCGTCAAAATGCCCCTTCGTTTGTCGACTTGTTGGGCAATTATTAATAAACGCCACATTTCCTATTGTGTTCATTTCCTGTTATTATTACATATCAGGCTTCACTTTTTGGTCCAGATCATACACCGACGTTTTTGAGCTCTTTCCTAGCAACGCCACATTGCCTCTCGCATGTATTCTCAAGACACTGGAACATGCTTCTACAAAAATTATCTTCACTACTGCTGCCAGGTAAGGGTATCCAAGGCGGCTTACAGGTGGTATCGAGTTGCACGAGATCCACACCTAGAGCAAAAGTGGGGTTTATTCTTGCATGGTATTATTTATAGCAGGCAAGAAATGATGCGACACGATGATGTATCTTGGACTTTGTCTGGGGTTCCAGACTGGTCGAATCTTTCGAGAATTCAACCAGGTATACTTACCAGAACATAGCCTATGCTATGTTCGCTCTCTGCCAGTGAAATATTTTAAGCATTCCATGTGTATTTAAGTAAAAGAAAGTCTCTTTTCAGAAACCATAGCTAGCAAGAGATTTATGTAAATAAAATTTATTGACTATACATATCATATCAGTACAAGGGGGAATCTCGAGCTCTGCACTCAAGACATGCGTAAATAGTTATGCAGTACTGACGGTACTTGTGCTCTCTATCGAATGATGTCTGTTGCATGGTTCTTGCGAACCAAGCGGGAGGGGCTGGCGTTGTCATCCCCAGCAAACACTCTATTGTTACTAAGGCAGACTGGAGTCAAGCGGAACACGAAGGAATGATTGACAGAGAGAAATCTGCCGGGATCAGCTCGGATTTGACTCAAGTTGATGGTCTTGTGAAAGCTCCACAAATGATCTTAATGATGGCAGCAGAGTCTACAGCCCTCCCCTATACTAATAAGCCTGCTCCTGATGTCTCAGCACCTGCCGCTATACTACGAAGCTACGACCTGAAGTTAGTATTATGCGACTCATGAAACCTCCAAAGAGCCTCATCTAACTGGCCTGGATAGCGCTGACAGCACCTCGATCCGTAGCATTGGCCCCCTACAACCAATTCGACCCATGACAATACAAGCTTCCACATTACTGCGGCGATTGGGGATAGAAATTGGCGATAAGGTTAGAGTATCGATTCGGATAGTATATTCGGGATTGATCGCCCACGCTGCCGACATCAACATTGGCAAGCTTGAGAATGCCAAAGACATTGCCTACAGGGACCTCACCTATAAAAAGCTCCTTGGGTGTGATTCTTTACTCAAGTTACTGTTTTTGTTCTCAAACAACATGGAGCTTGGCTACATCCCTAATGGTTCATCCCTTCAAGGTTATGTCTGGGAATATGATCCAGAGTCGCCTGGTAATATGGGAGCCATACATTTCGTTAATAGCGCTGCTAACCCTCCGCCTACGTCAGAGGCGATCACTGAGGCGAATCGATCTGCAGCTTCATTCACTATTGCTTCTGCACCCCCTCTTTCACGCTATGAATCTCCTCAGCACAGACAGCTTCGTTCCTGATGTGACCTGGCTAAAGGCTCTCAGAATCAATAACCGAGCGGTTAAGGACTCCGCGTAGCGTCTTGTTTACAAAGCAATGCTCTGGTACATGAGTAATGAGAACCTCAAAACTTCATCGGTGAAAATAGACCAACTATCGGGGACAATGAAGATGATTTGCCTGTGTTTGTAGATCAGCTCGAGAAAGAAACAGGGGATTGGCTAATCAATGTTTATACCCCGGCATGTATTGCTCTCCACCTTGATACAAACCAGCGATATAGCCAAGGAGACATGGAGAGTCAAGTTGAACAACGATGAGGGCAAGAGGGTCTTGTACTTTTGGCGTGGTGAGAGCGAGAAATCTCTCAGCAAGATTGGATATTGCTGTAAACGGGTCAAGTAGGTTCGAAGTTATTCTTTCGGAAACCTTTGAAGAGAAGGCACAGGCGCTAGATACTGTTAGTATACCATTTGTGCTAAAAAGTAATAAACTAGGCATAAAAAGAGGAAGAGAAGCTTGTTAGAAATTCAAGATTCATTTGAATATTTATACATAGCTATGCGTAAGAGTTCCAGTATATGAGTCACTTACTTTTTATCATTAATGTTAAGTCTGGTAGCAGGTTTAAAGAAAGAGACCTTACTCTCCTAATAAGACGTATAGAGATATTAATAATAAAGGTTTTTATATAGCTAGACTTAAAGGTAATAATAATTTACAATTAATAAGATCAGCTAATTGTATTAGCTACTACAAATTTATTTCCTAAAATGATAAAGTAGCCCTATAAGAATGGTAATTTACTATGGCTATAAGTTTGTTTTTATTTTCAATTAAATTACTATTTTAATAAATTGAACGTAAGGAATAATTAGAATAGAAATAATACCGAGCTAATTGCTTAATAGATATGACAAACTTGGATTCAAATAGCTATTATATACCTAAATATAAGAGATAGATATATTACTTCGTAATTATTATCCAAGAAAAGAATGTGATTTTCTTTCTAGCTAAACTACAAGTTCCTCCCTTTTATATACAAGGTCACCACCTAATATTCCTTCGATTGTGTAATAGTTATAATATTACTTAAAAATAGTTATGTAGAATACTGAGAAATAGAAATGTATTAAAAGCCAAGTTATCTTATAACCCTTCCTGAGGAGTAAATATACTAGACTATTCACTATTGCGAGCATAAATTCAGAACCTATGGCCTTTAATATCTCACACCATGCCTTATCCTATCAAACATCACTTACACGTGCTGTAAGTAAGGCTGCGTGATATGCCTCAATAATCGGAAAGAAAGCTGTAGTCCATTTTTCAATCAACAGCTTGTCCGAGGGCCTATAATTATCGGCCGATGGGTAGCCCGTGCAGGTGGTCTGATAAGCCGACCAATACCAACGTGGCCGGCTGTTCCAGACTTCATGGCTATGTTCCGATTTATCGCCTCGGCCCAATGACTAAGATTGCCTTTGAAGTTGCTCTCCCAGTTCCGGCGTCGATCCCTCAATGCCTGTTCCAAACATACAGCAAAGCCAGCTGAGCCTCGATGAGCGCGCATACTTGAAGAGACTGCCATCATAACTTGCTTTTCGTGGCCCTCAAAATTTTCGCGTGAGATATGAGATCTTGCAGCAGCACCGGCATGGGAACAGTTCAGTATTGCGAGAACATCGCACCGGACGGGAATGATTGCATTGACAACATCCGACCAATGCATCCTCTCCCCGTTGCCACTGAAGTAATGTTAGTAATGGCATAGATTCGGTAACAGCGACGTGGGTCTTTCTTACTTGGCTAACACCAGGTGGCCGTGCCGATCTACATTTGCGTGACCTTGATAGTAGAGTATAATCAAGGTAGATGTTGAAGCAAGGCTGACAAGCTTTCTCTGAAGGAAGCCGGGGAACTGGCTTCTCTCTTGAGAATGCCTGGGGATCTCACGGCGTCTCGCTCTGTATCCGTAGTTTTGGAAAGCCCCAAGAACCATGCGGAGTTCCTGGTCAGCACCACTAGCTGGCCCCTGCTGGCCATGTTTTTCCCAGTCAAGTGCTATCATTTCCACATGGTGGTAGGGCGAATGACGTGGAGGTGTCATTGATCTTAAAAAACCTCAAAATACTATATTAATGTTAGGAGAATCAGAGGTTCCGAGCGGATTTAGTGCTTGGTATGACTGAAAATAAGAATTTATATAAGACTAAGCAACATGACTCCAAGGTCCGCTTTGCTGATGCGGGTTTATATGAAATCCGCTGGAATGCAACTTATGCCCTTTATTGATAATGACCTAACCATTGCCGGAGGGTTTCTTGGCCAATCTACAAAATAAACCTTTGGAACCTCACGCATTTGGGAAGCTGCATACGCTAGTACACCGCTTAAGGGAATCAACTTTCAGCTTTATGAGGCGCAATGTGTCTGACGAGCCTTTCGTATTCGGCTGTTGTCATGTCCAACCAGTACAAGGAATGCAGCACATCAGCCTAGACACGCCACAATCCAGATATCAAAAGATTTGAAACAAATCTCTTATCTCTTTGATCGGCAGAAGGCATCCACAAAGTATCGACAGGAATAGAGAGCCAATTGAGATGACTGTGACATGCGGTACCTCCACTCACACTTAAATAAAAGTGTAATAGAAGTACCAACAGTCCGTATTGTTTCAAATCGCTACATTACACACTTTGCAGCCGTGCCTACTAACCTGACCTCTTCGAGAACTTTATGTACCCCGCAGGTACCTGCACAATTGGTCAGAAAGGCGGGGTGAGTGACCTCGTGGATGCCTTCCGCCGGTTAAAGAGATAGGCCGCTGTTATGAATAATTGAATAACTTGTAAAACTTTACTAAAAAGGAAATACGAAATTGTGTAGCGCCGGAGAGTACTGTGAGGATTGTCTAGCTCAAGTTGAATTGTTACTCGCTCGCTGTATTGCTCAAGTAATTAGGTGATATAAGAGGGTATAATAGAAGAGAATGAGTATGATAAACATGAAACAAGGCCAATGATACTTTGACATGAAGCCCAATCCCATATAACCTCCCCCTTACTCCCCACTATACTCGGCACATCATGTTCCAAACATGATGTCGGCAGTTGAATAGGAAAATGAGATTCCAGAGAAGCAGCATCCTTCACCTAACTCCACTAGGTGGCAAGCGGATAACGAATTCCCTAAAGTTACGGAAGTCGATGACAACACAGTCGCCATTAGCCTTTTCCACCAACGTCCAAGCAAACTCCTGCTTCTTCCATGGCCTGCTTGAGCGGTAAGCATCTCGTTGTTCAAACAGGATGTTAAACATGGCCAGGCGAAGCTCAGTCCCCGAGGTATAGGCCCAGTCACCTCTATCTATCGTGCCCGCGAGTCCGACAATTCCTACTTCTTCTGCTCTATCAACGTTTCCATCTTCTTGTTTGTCTCCTGTACGAGCAGCCCCCACCTTCCTAAGCTTGTCTTTGGCGCTAGGGAGGACTTGAAGTATTCTTAGCAAAGTTGCATTGTCAAGGTAGGTAGAACTTACTGATCGATACCGTAACGCGCGAAAAGTCGCTTATGGATGACTGGGGGTCCATAGTGTCGAGATCTTCCACATGTGCAGGTAGCATATGGGACTATAGTAGATTAGAATTGTCATGGCATATGAATTGCGAGATCCCCGATACGGCAAGCCAAACTTGGTCTCCAAAAACGGCTCATTGCAATTTTTGAAACCAGGCTTCACAAGTCAATGATAGAATCTGTACGTACATATTGAAGGCTTCTCGTTCGCATAGGGAGCCAGAGTTGAATATTGTTTCCTCCACCGTTGCTGTAGTCGTTCATCGTGGAACGGACTTGGCCCTCAGTCGCTTCGAACACTGTCTTAGTGACCCTGGCATCATTTGCAGTCTGACCTGGTCGAATCGGTTGCCAGCGAACCCAACAATCGTTGGCTTCAACAACATCCCAACGACGATCACCCGTCTGAGGGCCGAATGGATCAATTCCGTTCGCGAGTGGGCCAAGTGCAGCAGTTAGGCCATCTCCGCCCCATCCGAGTTCATAACATGGAACAGCAGTTACTGCACCGAAGAGGGAAGCTATCAAAGTGATGGATTGGGAGCGCATGGTGTGCGGTTGCGCTCCTACAGAAGAAGAGATGGGAGTATTCGAGGGTAAAAACTTGAGAAAATGTGAGCCGATGCTGTGACTGATTGAGATATAAGGAAACCTTGCATCAAGCAGGGAGAGAAGAAATTCGAAAAGGATTCGCAAGTGGCGTGTTAGGCAAACTAGTCGTGATAGAAAGGAAATGAGATATTCAACGTGACCATGTTCAGTGGCACAGTCATGGATGCATCCATTGTAATTTCTCCGCAGGATTCATCCCGTTCCTGGATTCAGGTGGAGCCAGTTTCTCGGAAGGATGAAAGAGGCGAAGCATTAGTTGCCCTTAGTATGGGCTTGGGTTCAGGGTTCATGGACAATGTTTCCGTGACATGTGATCGTTTTTATCCTAGAGATACTTTTCTAAATTGCTGGTGGAATACCAATCAAGGTTACTGATGTAGTAATAGTAAAGTAACATATCTGTTTCTAAACCAAAACGCCCTAAAAAAGCTCATTTCTATGGAACAAATTCGCTTTAGTGTTCATATGACCCCGGCAGCCTGCGCCTCATCTAGCGGACATTTACAGGTTTCACTGAACCGTGCAGCTGCCGAGGCACGCGAAAATGGTTCCAATAATTAACTCTAATGGCGGATATAGATGAAACCAAACAAGCATAAGCGCCGGGGTTTCAAAGCGGCCGACCCTGGCCGATCTCAAAGGATCAAGATCCTTATCTTTAAAATCACCGCCAAGCATCCTGACTATGGAGTAGAACGTGCCGTGACCTATCAAGTACTCATCCTCTTGGGATACTTGTGGAGTAGATTACACTGTGACCTATCGCTGTTGGTTCCTTCAGAAAGTCCGAGGGCCTAGATCGCCATCTTTTGTTCTCATTGCACTATGCATTGCCTCTGCGGGAATTGGCAGCCTTGCAGGGTTCAATGGTCCGTTGCGTCGGGCAACTTTTCTCAGCAGTTGATCTGTATATCCTCAAAAGTATAGTCCTATCTGGATTTTCTCTCTGGCCTCTGTTCTCCACATTCTTCCAAACCTTTCCAACATTATACACTCTTTTGTTACTGTTCAATCTCTGCACAGAACTTGCCGTCATGCACGTCAAGACTGTGTTCAGTCTGGTCGTGCCAGGTCTTGCATTCTTGGGCGAAGTAGCAGGTTTATCTCCAGGGCATTATTCTGACTACGAATCAGAGTTCGGAGAGAACAATTTTGGCTCTATCCATGTTGGCGTTGGCCTCACGACTCGCCAAATTGCGAAGCCTGCCTTGAGAATTCTGCCCCTGGGCGCTTCTATTGTCAGCGGTGTTGGATCAAGCACTGGCAATGGGTTAGTCATGGATCAGGGAGATGACCTGGGAAAGAAGACTGACATGGTGTGTGTGTAGATTCCGAAAGCCTCTCAGAGATCAGTTGAGATATAAAGGCGTATGTATACTTTCAAAATCCAATCTGTCTATGTACTCACATGTTGTTTTAGTGGGATGTCAATATGGTTGGCAGCAAACAGAATGGAGACATGAAGGACAGAGTAAGTTTACCCTACAAGATATTAGATCCATCTCTCATTATTAACTCAACAGGACCATGAAGCCACCAGTGGTTTCGTTATCGACCAAGCCCGAAATGCAGCACGTAACTCGTATGGCTACAAACCCAACGTAGTTGTGGTACGTTATACTTGATATACTGGATGTGATCGCAAGACTGACAAGATTAGATGAACCTGGGCACCAACGATGCAAACCAAGATAAGGTATTTCACTCTACATCGTTGCGAAACTGCCATCAAGTAGTCACTAACAATATTCTAGGTGGACGGGGCTGGCAACCGATTAGAAGGGCTACTTAACGACCTTTGGAGTGCCGATGACATGTCTAAAACATATGTCGTTGTTTCATCTGTGATTCGACGAAACGATGCCAAGGCAGAGAGCAATCGTAAGCAAATCAACGAGCAGTACAAGTATGTCCCTCCGACCATCTTCCCATTCATGGAATATGACTAACTTTATTGTGCTTTTACTTTATCTTAGGAAGTTGATCAGTCGCCTCAAGAGCACTGGAAAGCCAATCACTTACGTTGACATCGACATTCCGCTGAATGAGCTGACTTCCGATGGGATCCATCCCAAGTAAGTTCGAGGCCCCTTAGCCCAAAATCCTAATACTGAAGATAATAGCGATGCTGGACACAAGAAGATGGCCGTAAAGTTTTGGTATGCCATCGAATGGGGTCACCAGGCGGGTCTCATCGGAGAAGCTGCCCCAATGGCCAAGGCAACGGGCAACACTTGTGACAAGCAGCCCGGCCAGGCTCAATACGGTGGTGTCACTCAAAAGGGCTCGGGTGACTCCGATGGCATCTACTACCACAGCAGCCAGGAGATGGGCACTATCTGGTCGTATACCTCCGAGTTCGATCGCGATCAGTGGTTCTTTACCAGGCTTTATGGTACCAAGTATGATGACGTTGTTGGTTGGTGGTATGCCGACAAGAAGTTGTCCTTCGCCACATGGAAGAACAATGGCGGCGGCAAGTTCTCTAAAGTCTCCGACCTTGACACCAAACTCTTCTGCAACGTTGCTGGTATCTGGTGGGTCGACATCAATAACGACGGATACGACGACTTTCTTTGTGTTTCGCCCAATGGAGACACATTGGCTTCCATCAACAACCGAGACGGAACTGCCACAAGCCCACCCACATTCAAGAACATTGGCATGATCAAGGGCAACGTCGGGTACAAGCAGGACCGTGTGAGATGGGGCGACATCGACGGAGATGGCAGAGCCGACTACATGATCATTGATGACAGTGGAAATGTTCATGCATGGAGAAACTCTGGTACCTCTGACACTCCCTCCTGGCAATCTCTCGGCTTGCGATTCACCGCCAAGGGTATGGGTGACATGCGAGGTGTTCGCTTTGAGGATATCAACGGTGACGGGCGCGACGACTGGCTGTGGGTGGACGACAAGGGTGCCACAACAACTTGGACCAACTCTCGAAGCTGTAAGAAGGGAAAGCCTGGTGATGGACTCAACGTTGCTTGGCGTCAAGGATTCTGGAAGGGCGCCACCTCTGGACCTACCCATGCTGGTGCTGGTGCAGATGGCCGAAACAGGATTCACTTCGCCAGGATCTACGGCGAGGCTGCCTTTGGACTTCTACCAAAGGCAGACTACATCTACATGCAGTCGACCAAGCAATCCGACGGCAAGTTCAAGTTCGACATGAAAGTCTGGAAGAACACTGGTGGCGGCTCCACCAAGCTCAAGGCTGATGGCAACAAATACTGCAACATGCTTGGCCATGACGATGGACGACAGGATTACGTCTGGGCTCTGTCGACTGGTAAGATGACCGTCTGGCCCAACCTGGGAAAGAAGTCTGTCAGCGGCGACAACGATGTATTCTGGGGGACACCCAAGGACCTCTGGAACCCTGGAAAGGAATACGATCGTAGGGATCTGCATCTCGTCGATTGGAACAATGATGGCGCTTGTGATATCGCCTGGGTTGATCCCAACAACAATAACAAGGTTTCTGTCTGGCTGAACAATTACAAGAAGACTGGAGCTTTCGAGTGGACATATCTTGCCGACCCGGCGCCACAGCTGAACTGTCCAGAGAAGAGAGGTGTCGGAATACACGACCTCGCTGTAAGATTCGCAGATATTTCCAACAACAAGATGTCGGATTACATCTGCATTCAGCCTGACGGAAGATTCTACGGATGGACGCACAACAGTGATGGTTCTTGGGAGAGGATCGCGCAGTTCAAGAAAGCTGAAGGCATCGATCGCGCCAATCTTCGTTTCGGCAACGTTAACGGACGTGGTGGCGAAGATATGATCTGGGTCGACAAGTACACGGGCGACGCTACTGTCTACATCAACAATGGTAAGATGGACACTGGGGGCAGTAACTGGTGGTTCTTGAAGAGTGGAAAGCAGTACTCGGGCTCTTGGGCCGGTACCTGCCAGTACTTCCCCGATCTCGATGGAGATGGCAGAGCAGACTTGCACTCCATCATGGCCACCTTTGACAACCGCGGAGAGACCTTCTTCAACCGCTGCGGTATGACGGATACCTCAGGTGACGACGCAGGCTGGGCCCCAGGCCAAGACCCAGGGTTCGGGTCCCTGCCATCTCCTAGTAACGACGAGAAGCCAGGAAGCGGAAGCGGAGGAGGTGTTCCTTCGCTCCCTTCTACTTGCAAGGAGACTTGCTGGAATGTGGCCGAAGACAAGGAGACCAAATGCAACAACGACGGTACGCAATGGGATATGGAACCCAGAGACGACGGCGTCCCTGAGGATATCTTGAACATCCGCAAGCTTGCTGCTATTGGAGATTCTTACTCAGCTGGAATTGGCGCTGGAGACAGGCTGGGAAGTATATACGACGCTCTCAAATCGGGCAGTGGTAAGTCTGTTTACAATATTGTTACCATGCGGAATACACTAACTTTGCAAAACCAGACTTTGCCTGCGCTCGATACGATCACGCTTACCCGTATCTTGTAAACCAAGATGACCGAATCGGTGACCCGGCAAACCGCAAGTTCCAATTCCTCTCGTGCTCTGGCGCTGTCATGAAGGATGTGGTCGACAAGCAGATCCCAGACCTTGACAGCAACCAGGACGCCATTATGCTGTCCATTGGTGGTAACGATGTCGGTTTGATCAGTTTGTTGAATTCATGCATTTTCCAAATGGGTGTCTTCACCCCACAGCAAGCCGCGGCCGCAAAGTTGATCGCAGAGGTGGACAAGGACTATGCATGGGCCAAGGACTTTGACTGGGACGGTCTTTCTCGAGGTTGCGAGGGTCAGATCGAATACAGCAAGTCACTGGCTACTTCGGATACCTTTGGCAAAAACCTTGATGCCTTACTAGCAGCCGCCAAGAAGAAGTTGAACAATGGGTATGGTCTTAATCTCATTCTCATTCTTACCCGGGCACTAGCTAACAACGATGCAGGGCCAAAATCTATGTCACAGGCTATGCCAAGTTCTTCGGAGAAAACCTGTCAGACGATTGCGACAAGGTCACCTGGACGACATGGCTTTACAAATTGGAAAACCTCGGGCAACCGGCCGCGTACTTGACAAAAGCACGACGTTCAGCGATGAATCAATTGGTTGACTATGTCAACGGGCAGCTTGTTTGTTTATCCCAACCTTGAACGTTGCCCTCAAACTGTACTGACAATTCATTCTAGAGAGCGGCAGTCACACGAGCCGGAGATTCTGTGAGATTCATCGACTACGACCATCTTCTTGGAAAGTACCGCGGCAGATACTGTGAGCCAGGAGTCGATGAGTCAACCAGCGAATCCAACACAAGGAATGGCCTCATGTTCTACGAACTCAACTCGTGGGACCCTGCGGGAACGACTCCATGGAAGCGCGACACCGAAAAGGGCGAGCTCAGCGGCACCTTCTATGGTGACATGCTCATCCTTGCCAAGATCACGAATCTTATGGATCCTAATGCTGAGCTTCACCATGACAACGATAACAGGAAGAGGGATCTCACTGCTCTCGATAAGCGTGCCGACATCGTCGATTACCTGGTGCCCAGGGGCTACGCACGAGTCTTCCACCCTCAGATCCCGTTGCATGAGAAGATTGCAAAATTGGTTGTTTTACAGATATCCATGGAGCACGAGGCTCGTAAGGGCTATGCTACATGGAGTGATTTGAACAAGAACACATATTGTCCCCTGTAAGTATGGCCGATCCATTGCTATCTTCTTTACTAACCGTAAAATGCAGAGTACCGGAGGAGCCACCAACAGACACGCCTCCTATCAGAACGAAGAAATGGTCCTGTAAGTGACACATTTACGCTGTCTACGCCCATCCGAACTGACATACAATAGTGGAAATTCACGACCTATACTCATCAGACTTTTCAGCAGACTGCACTAGAAAAGACTCCAGACGGTCCAGGACGGTCTGGGGTTATGAGCTAGGCAGGTGCTACGATTTCGACCAAATGCCTGATACAGACTGTCGGGAATACATTGGAACGAAAGAACAAGGAGGATGTTCGGGAAGATTGTCCCCACAGAGTGTCATCGTTCCGGACGAAGGGTATAACTGCCTCTTTTACGTCGGTGATGATTGCAAGCGACCGCTTGGACGCCTCTCCGACCACTCCTGCATGTTAACAAATATGCCCGACATCGACTGGATCGGCAATCAAATAGGGTCTTTCAGATGCGTAAGTACACTCCTGCCGCCCCTTTGCTTATCATTTTAAACTAACCATTTTCAAAGTTGCAAGAATTTAAGTAATGATCCGTTTCAAGAATCATCATAGTGCGGGAGGATATGGCGGATTGCTTCAAGCCCTTGAACAAAAGATTCATGGGACTACCCCCATAGATCAGAATCCTCAGCTGCCATTGGAAGGCCATTACATTCGGTATTTCTCTACCTGGTTTCCACATGTACATAATTAGGATAATCCCAGGATTAAAAAAGAAATACAGTTGTCCTATAAAACAGATTTGATACAGCAACCTCCTCCCAGATGTTCCCTATGTATTTAGTCGGCAGAATAAAAACTGTCCTCGTTTGAGGTAAAGATCTAGCTCAATCTACTATCTGGCCAGTCTTGGGGCTGTGGATGACCTGGATGCAGTTGTCCCACGTCGGCGTAACCATTGCTGTGCACACAACCTGTGATATCCAGAACCTTCACGATCCGATTTTTAGAAGGCGAAAGCATGGCTAGTCTATATGCGCTGATCTGGACTGACAACTTCGCAGTGGTTATTTACGAAGATCAGTCAAGGGGCAAGACTGAAGAAGGAAAACGATCCAGCCTTAACATCTGGCCAATTCAGCATGTTGGTCTTGTTAGAAAGTGCAATTCCTGTTCCGGATGTTTGCATGGGTGCCTAATCTCGGTCAGGCATCACTGCATATGCTGTTTTTTCGACATTCTTATAATCTGAGCTCTGGAACTTTCGTGTGGCGGTCTATAATATTGAAATCCATACCTATCCGCTTGCGTATGACCTGTAACGTTAAATACATAGGGGCTATCTGAGCACTAGCAACAATTATAACTCAGTATACTAAGCGCTTGAGCTATGCAAATACTTAGGGTTCTTGCTAAATAGTCAAAAACTGGCTTATTTACTAGTATCATCGTCGTACTTGTACGTACCCTAGGTACATAGGTAGTACAGACACAACAAAGCTACTTTGCTGTAGATCGCGGAGCCGACTTGAGTGGGATACGGGTAGTGCCGGGGATAGCAAGGGTCTATCCGTCCAACTCACTCCTTGTATCTAAATTCTGTGAAGCGAGGAACTATCTAAGCGAATAGCTCTCTTTCGCTGCGTGACTTATGTATACCATGCTAGAGAATAAACTCGGACTCGTTCATTGATCAGTTGTGTCTACCCTGAAAAGCTGATTGGCGCCAATCTATAGATCGACGAGTGGGTGGCGGACAAGGCCAAGAAGGGATCAGCGACCGGAAAATTGACAGGTCTAAAGAGAAGGCAATATCACTTCGCATGTGGCCAATAGGAGCTCGAGTCTCAGAGCCTGCTTTTCAGCTGATGTATGCGAATCACAATATTGAACACTCAAGTCTACCAACTGCATATTGCCACAGGACTGATACGACGCAAGCTCCTCTTTTCGAATGTTGCCACGTAAGTTGAAGCTGATATTTGAGGCTGTTTTCTCGAACACATCTGAGCATCATCTCGCCTCGAAACATCGTGCCATACATTTTCCTTGACACTATCGTTGTAACAATTAGCGAAATTATGCTGAGGCCGAAATATCTCCGTCTTTTACTCGCTTTTCTACCTTTTGCAGGAGTAGCAGAAGCAGTTGAGGATGAAGATGACAATACCGATTTTCTCCTCAATGTCTTCTCCGATGTTGGCCCGTAAGTTTCTTCATATGGCGTGATATTCACAGGACTGATCATGAATTTATAGGATCCTCGCACTATTTGGTGAGCAATTCGCTCGCCAGTTCCTTAGTGGTACTTTTACGTGGGAAGACCATGTGATCTTCGCCTGCGTTCCACTGGGGATCATGACTGCAATTGCTGGTGCAATACGCGTCCAGGGTGATAAAATGCTTAAAGCCTTCATTGGACGCACACGCGAAAATTATGCTGCAGCTGAGATCGGCTTTATGTCCTCTACTTCAAATGAGGTCTGCGAACTATCTAATGGCAAGGATATCATTAGGACAATGGGAGTATCGCACAGCTAGTAGTCTTGCCAAATTACTTTCCAAAGCCTGGCGACAAACCTGTCGATCTATCCTGCGGGGTACACACACTAGAGTCTGCGACGGAAAACGGCATTATGTATAGTAAAGTTACGTGTTATGGAGCGTCAGCCATCCGTTCATTTGTATACTAACATAGCGCAGAATACTCTGATCACTTTAACCTGGATCTATCGAAGTGGTTTCAGATCCCTAAGCTCTTGTCTTTGCCTTCCTCGAATCTTTCGGAGGTCGAGAAAGGCGAAATTGGAGCCACCAAATACCGTCCTGGCCAAACAGTACGGGTCCCAGCTCGCAGACAGGCAACCTGGGATTCCTTGAAGTCCCCTAATCTCCAGTTGAATGCCACATACGAGAGAGGTCCGGGGAAAGAACGACGTATTGAACTTCTCTTAGCTGTGATCGCATCGTTGATCCTGCAAATTGGCTTACTGGTAATCGCTGGGACAACAGCAACGCTAGTATCTAAATATGAGCCTAAACCTTGGGGGTTGCCTTGTTATCTAACGGGTTATATCCTTCTTATAATTGGCATGCTTGCTTGTTCGGTGGCCATCGAACGCAGCACGGAAGAATACACATGGCAACTTTCAGAAAGGGTTTCAAGAGACTCAGACCAGTTCCGTTTGTTTTGGATCCAACGCGAGCAACGGGTGAGCGATCAAGATTTCGGCTCATATGTGATTTTTAGAGGAGAAAGAAGCTACATTGTGACGTCCAGTCGATCTGAGGAGGTGTGTTCGGAGAAGAGTATTTCAGTGTCCAAACAGCGAGCCGAAAAGGCTCAAACAACTACTTGCAAAGTGGATTCGGCAACAAACAGCTCAGAGACTCAGCAAACGATTTACAACAAAAGGAGAAATGCTCCATTGTGGCTTAATCTCCTACCTCGTGTTAGAGTTGTGGCTGGCGGTAGTGAATTCGCTGTCCAGTTCATTGGTTTGAGAGGGCTACCCTGGCCTTGCGCCGTGTCTCAGCTCACAGCAACCTTGATCATGGCTCTGATTAGAGGGCTAATTCGGCGTCGGCTTGGGCATCTCATGGCACACTGTACGGCGCCAAAGAACTACGAGCTCGATTATTTGGCCATTCGACTTGTCAACGAGCAGTACCAGATGCTTGACAACAACAAGAGACAATTAGCTATTTTCCAGTATGTGAGCTCGCAGTGGGAAGCCCAAGCGCCAGAGTACGTGTTTGCGTGGAAAGTCGAGACTGGTGAGGAAACTGAGCCTGGCACATATTTCATTCCATATCCCAGACCTAGAGAGAGCAGCAGCCCGCCAGATACGCACAATACCGATGCCCAACGTGTTGTGCTTGTCAGAAAGCGGTTGGGTGATCTTTGCAGGTGGACAAGCAGTGCGTCCAAGCAAGCACTTATATTGACTCAATCAATCGAGAGATTCCTCGATGAATTTTTACGCAACAGGTTGCCAGCCTCAAACAACGTTGCAGAAGTCGGTACTACGAGTGTCGTTAGACATCCTCCCCAAAGTTCGACGACAGACTGTGACAAGATGCCTCTTCCAGACATATCTGAACACTTGGAAGAAGATGAGAGAATAGAGTGGGATATTCCCTTCAGCTGCTCAAATACAGGTGTCAAGACAGAGGTGAAATTGCTTCTCATCAGAGGTGGCAGCGGGCGATGGATGGTCGACTTGGCGGGAATTGAAGCTGTATTGTCTCTTTGGATGGCCAATCTGAACACGAGAAATTCCCTGCAGGACAAATATCTGGAGACCGCAGACTGGCGACGCGCTGGAATTGCTTCCAATGTCGACTACTGCAGAATCCTGGGCGAAAGGCGTGGTGGAGTGCTGAAGCGCGATATCTCGTGGTGGGTAAACGACCCAGAAATACATGAGGAGAAAGAGATCCAAGAAGGAGAAGGCCCCGACACTGTGGCGACAGAATCAGCCGCCAGGGGTCACCGAAGCAATGAGATCAAAATTACCATTGGATTTTTGGAGTTGTCGACAGGTTTGCGTCCGACGGAGCCAACTAAAGCGTCCGACTTACTTTTGCAATACTCAAACGCCGACCTGACGACTCTCACCGCCCAGCATCTATTTACCAGCTTTATGTGGACCATCGGAGAATACATTGCGCGACAGGTTTCTCATCAAGAGTCACTCGATATCGGGGAACATGTCAAAGTTCAACCATCGAGCAACTTTGATCTCCATCCAAACATGGGTAGATTATCGGGCAGGAAACTAAATCATGTGAACCTCACAAGATTCGTTACTTATGCTGAGAAGCAAGGACTTGGCACTGCAGACGAGATCCTGCTGTGCATCATTCCCACACTTAGCTTTTATGACTGTTTACCGAATGACGCGGTCTTTGGATGCGATCAAGCTAAAATCAAGCTTGCAGGAAGATCAAGGTCGAAGGAAATGACATGTGGACGTTAAAGCTACTTTCTCGATTCATTTCGCAGCAAAAAGGAATGCAAGCCTGGGAGAATACATTTACATAGGTGGAGTAGCGAGAACTATCGAGTTCAATTTGCTTATGGAGCGAGGCCAGTGCTCCATTTGAGAGTAAGCCGTCATCGAGGTTTGATAAGGCGAAACCTATTCCAGACACCTTCGCAAAAAGCGATGGCGATCTAGGCCGACAACACCAGTGATCATGCCATCGAATGAGCCAAAGAGGAAGATTTCCAAGGAATCAGCGATATTGCTTGAACTACTCTCAGGACCATTTTCTGATATCCTCAAAAACTTACTCCCATTCTACGAGAGGGACGAAAAGGACCATTGTGGATACTTTCACGATTTGTTTGGGTTGAAGCGACGATACTACTTAGTCAGATCGGGTGCTTAACACAGATTCCATCGATCAAATTGTATTCAAAAATTTGCATCGCAAAATTACCAACCCACGAGAAAAAGAACTGACTCTAGAGAGCAATCTCGCTGTGCAACCTCTAAGCAATAGATCAACTAATTATGAATCTTACGAGATCCTGGTGAAGGCGCCAAGGCATCTTTGGCTGGACAGGGAGCACCCTTTCATTATGCTTCTGCCCGTACAGACATCCAATCTTCTGATAGCAACGTAGATGTCAACGATCCATCGAGCGCGACTACCCGCATACTTGAAAGACTGAGACCGTTTCTCGCAACCAATCCTCCGACGAGTTTGTGGCTTGATAACCTCAATTGGAGTCCTGTGCACATAGTAGTTTTTTCTCCCCCAGAAAACAATAGCCTTCTCAAGGATCTTCTAGATACATTCCTAATTCACGATGGAAAGTCGGCCATGACCATAGGAGGGCGGGATGGAATGAAACCGCTCCGTCTGGCTATTGAACGCCGAAAGGGGCATGTTTTACTACGCTTCTGGGTGAACGTGGCTTTGGCAAAGAGATTGAGGTCGATATGCGGAAACAGAGCCCAATCCGCACGGCAGTGGTTAATCACAGCTACAAGTGTGGGCGACAGCTATCCTACAGCAAGAATTTTGATCTCAGCCTCAAAACACCCGATGGATTTTGCAGACCACTATTCTTTTATATCATTAGTGAAGGTCTGAAAGAGAAGAATTCGCTGGGTGCACAGATTCTCTTGATGCATTGGGACAAGTTTGAAGCTCAGCATGGTGACAAACAAAGGGCTTTGCACCATTCTATTTCGGACATAGATTACAGTCGCTTTTTCACTTGATCATTAAGCTCAAGAGCGGTGAGGAGGCAAAACGACTTCAAGTTGACTTAGTCAACAAATATGAAGAAACACCATCACACTTGGCTGTCAGAGATAAGAGGTTCAGCCTGGTGGAGTTTCTTGTGACTCCGACGCAGTACCATAGGCGATGAATCGTAACCAGCTATCACCCACGATGCCTGCTTGTGATATCGGCAACCTGTCTCTGGTGAAAAGGATTTATCGGGCACAAAGGTGTCAGGGGTCTGAGGTTGACAGGCAAGGAAGGACGGCCCTACATCATGCCATCTTGAACACGAAATGGTCTGTTGATGATTGTGCCAAGACCGTCCAGTTGCTACTGGAAGTGTTACGGTAAAATTCTAGATACTGGACCAAGACAACTGCAGTCCGTTTCAGTACGCCGCTGATACCTTCAATTGTGTCGTTTTTCCTACTCTCCGGGCATCTGATGCCAGCATTGACTTGACGGATAAATACGACAAAAATGTGCTCCACCGTGCTATTATTTCACTCAAGAGAAATCTTGACCGTTTGAGAAACGATCTTATACATAGTATAGGTATGTAAGCATATTTTAAAGTTAGCAATTGATTCAAGAGATAAAACCTAGCTGATGATATAGTCTTTTAGATCTTATCAACAGATGCCAATCCCAAATTTGAGGATCATTCCCGCATGGCTCCTTTCATGATAGCCTTTCGATACAATCGTTCGCATAAGTTCATCAAGTATGCTGTCGAACAGTCCAACATGGTTGGGTCGAATATCAATAAAGTTTAGCCTACCATTGGATATGTTTACAGTAACAACGCCTATCGAGATGACACTTTTAAGGTAAAATCCTAGTTCGAATCCACTTATGGCCAATCTGGACAGGAAAAATAATTTGGATATGGTTATTCCACAGCGCAGGGTCCGCCTTCCTTAACGAAAACCAAAGCCTTTGAGTTTCCTTGATCTTTAGATTTTGTCTTGATCTTCAAACTTTTTCTTTCAATAAATCTTCTTCTATCGCCATAACATCAGAACATCACCAGACGCATACTATAACATCACCAGACCCATTAGCCACTTCTTGTTATACTCCAATCCATTATACTACTGTCATTCGCACTACCGGAACTACAAATTTATAGTACTACCCATACCGCTCACAACGCCATGGAGTCCAGACAAGAGCTGTCCGACCATCAAGATACGCAAGATATACATGTTAATATCATGCAAGATTGTACTCCTGCCGAATTTCATATAGTATGGAATGCTGAACGTCACCTATGGAGCAAGAAGAAGAGCAAGAAAATAAACAACAAGAGGAAGAGGGTGATGATTTGGCCTTCATGTGTCCAAACACAATACGATCGGTGTAAGCTCTTCCAAGGATTTCGCGATGAATCTGCGGGGGCATTCAAGGATTTGGCCCGCGCCCTTCTTGGTGCCCATATTCCGACACGTTAGGAACGGTTCTTACCCTGGTTTGAAGCCGAACTCCGAACTAGGCAGGTCAGCCTTAAAAACATGAGCTTGCTACTAGAAATAGCCAACGAGGTTGTTTTTCTTTCTCTTCAGTAAGTATGATTACCAAACCCTAAACCTATAGATTGCATTCTGACAAAATATAGACACTTCAAGGGTCGCAACACAATGCTCGAAACCTATCCATTCGCCTATATAACTCTTCCCAATCGCCGCCGGCATGAGGAGGCAGCAAAGACCGCTAAAAAGGAGATGTTATACTGGAGACGTACCTCGAAAATACTAATAGAGTTGAGAGGAAGGATTGAAAGAGACGAAAGGCTATTGGCGGTAAGACGAGGGAAACTGGGCGTATCATTCTGACGACGGATGTTTGTTTCGAAAAAGTCCAGGCTACGGTTGACCTTGGCGAAAACATTCGCAAACAAGGCGACGTGATGCGGATTGGCTTGAATATGGATACGGGAGGATTTATCGTATTCGCTACGAAAAGGAAATCGAGCCAAGTGAGACCACCCCGTCTTCCCCCACTATGCCATAGAGAACACTTATTGACTCATGATAGAAAATGCTTTCCAGGGCTAAAACTTTTGGATCGGGAACCTTTACCTGTGCATCGAACTGCGTACAGGAGGAAACTGAGACGAGTTCCAGGTTCATGTTACTCTTCCAGGTTGTGTGAATACTTAAAGCTCCAGCTCAATGACTGTAAAGATTGAGATCCAAGGATTAGTAGAGACACAAATAGCCAGATAGTTTAACTCCATTGTGACCTGCGGGAATTAATTAATCTCCGTATATTCCTGCCTATTGATTGTTCTTGCGATTATACTCATATGACTTTGTTACGGGTAGTTTAGCCGACTAGGTTAGTATTTATTACTTTAAAACTAGGACTGACTGAATGCTACCTTACTAATTAACTGGGGACATATACACAACAGATGTCTTAATAAAATCAGAAAGATCAGTAATGATACAATTTGTATGTTAATATTTAGAGTTTCTTTTTAATATATTTGTCCTAAATACTAATTAATAAAACAGTTTAGAATTTACCATCAAGCAGTTAGGGTATTCTCGACACCCTGATCACGGGTAACTTACTCCCCGATGAGCTATCGAAGAACCGTTGACTTGGACCGAGATTCCCCTTGAGTGATACGCGCCTACACTCGTCATCATCCGATTCAACGGGAGGATCTAGGCTCTTTCCCATTTTGTAATCGTGCCACTTCTGGGATCTTCTTCTACGACGCTCAAGCTTCGGGGCAAGAAACATTTCGGCCTGTTGCTTGTCAAGTTGGTATATGTCGTTCAAAGTGGGGAAGTATTGTCTGGCAGGATAAAACCTTGTGTTTTCAAAAAAGCCCCATGCTCTTTGCTCGAGAATGCCCTGTTGAAGGGCGCGAAGCCTTCGCCACTCCCGACGAGACAAATATCCTCTCTGTTGGTATTGATTGGCGCCGCTTCCTCGATACACGGTGTTGCGACGTGGGGGCGGTTTCATCGCATGGCCTTCAGTGGGATCTGGAAAGGGATAAGACTGATCGGATGCAACTGTATCGCCTAGATGATCCAGCCATGCCGGTGCGTTACTTCGCATTGGGGTCTGGTCTAGCCACTTACTTATCACTTTTCCTTTATCAGGGTTTCTTTTTAGGAATCTGATAAGCTGTACAAGAAGATCTAACCCGAAGAATGGGAGGTCGCCTTGCTTGCCTGCGCAATGGTAGTTGAGGTCCTCCAAGTATTCTTCGGCGTCAAGGAACATATTGTCAGGAAATAGCAGTCCATGGTCTTGCGAAGTAGGGTTCACTCTGTTACCACCATCGTTGACCTTTACGTGTTCCTCTATAGCACGGGTCGCAGACTGATGGGGAATATCAGGTAGCCACGAGTCCTGGCAATGAGCACACAAAGCTCCGTAGACTGACTCGTAGTATTCGTGGACCGAGCTCAAGTCATTCAAGCTTGGCGATTCGGAGGTTCCATACCTTGCCCACAGATCTTCGGGGTCGTCAAGTTCTGTAAAATGCCAATATTTGGGATGATATACCCTGCAGAAGAGCTCATGTCGTAAGAATGCACGCAGAAATCGATATCGCTCAGTTGGAGATAGGAAAGAGAATCTCACCGTCTTGGCGCCCAGTCGCTGTCCTTTGAATTCAGCTTCATTGCCAAGAATTAGATCCGGCAGGCCAAGATAGCTTCGCGGTGGATAGATGCTTGTTGCCTTGTTGGCATAGTCCTCGATCATTATGATGACTCTGGAGAATAGGCGAAATAACGTCTGTAGATCCGCGAGACCGATGGGATCAGGCAACTCTCGAGTCTGCCATAAATTCCCATGATGATACGCTTTGGCTGTTGTGATGTCCGAGACGTAGATTATCCCTAGCGCATCTCTGAGTAAATGACCCGAAGTATCGCCCTTGAGAAGGCGGTTAAGGATACTCTGTAGAATGCTTTTCTTATAGGCGAGGAAATGCCTCAGCATCGAAGGCGAAGCTTGAATTAATTGCGTGATGCTTGACTCGGTCTCGAGATGTTCGAAAATCTCGGTCTGTATAAGCGAAGGCAGTCCTTGGAATGGGTCCATTTTGCTTTTTGGTGAAAGAAGAAGAGAGGTAATGAGAAAGCGAGGGATGTTCAGGTGTCGGAGCGACAGAGAAAAGGGAGGATTCAAGCGACATGTTATACCCCAAATCAGTGCATAGATGACTCATGATTAGACAACCTTATTTAACATCTCGCCGAGATAGATTAAATTTACACAGATAGAAATATTATTCCATCCTACACATTAGGTTCCCATATCCCAGAAATTATAACCAATTGTAAGCAGAATAAAACACAAGGAATTATCCTTCCAGGACACATCCTTGGCAAACCACCAAAGACAAAGCCTCAATACAACAAAACAATCGCAATAGTTATTATGCACATTGGAAGGCTGGCTACAACTTCGCGTAGATGGCTCGGAGGGGGTGTTCGCCAGTCGAAGGCATAAGCTTTGGTGGGCATTGGAATAAAATATCAAATTTGTGGCATTTCTTAAATACTGGGCTTAACCGTTTTTTAAAAGAACAAATCATTAGCATGAGACAGAAAAGCCACGAGAAGCCCACTTTGTGGTGCACACTTCGTAACTTCACTTAAGGGTAAGTTCTGTAAAGTTTAAGCTTAAAGCCTTTGCGGAGCCAGTGGAGGACAAATTTATTAAACGCATCAGCTATGCCCGGTATTATCTGAGAATGGATCCAATGGCCCTGGAATATTAACATTACTGACCCTAGACATCATTTGGTATTCCTAGAGTATTATGATGATATCTCTGGGATATTATGTAAATCAGTGGGTTGGTTTGCGAGCTTCAGATTTACAGGAGAGAAAGTCAAATATTGGACAGGATCTTTTTGGGAAGTTACTTCGACTGGAGGCAGATCAACAGATCATTAGCCCAAAAGCACGAGACCACGGTTCAATCCAGTAGAATAGAATAAACACTAAAATTGTTTGGACGCTAAACGAACATGTGACAGTCTATTATCTATGTATGCAAGTCTATAGGTAGCCATCTATAAAACAAAAGAAAAGTCTAAATCAAGAACCCAGATGCAACAGCCAACCTTCCATGTCCTGTGCCAATCGAATGCCGACGTCATTAAGCTCGTCCAAATCCTGCCATGTCAGATCGATGTCGAGACCTCCTCCTTTTACAGAAGCCATACCGATCTGCATAGCCGGGCCAGCGACATCCGCACACAAAGAAAACCTGGCTTTTTGAAGTGACCAGCCACCACCACCATTTTTAGGCTGACTGTCCATGACTCCGATGTTTGTGACGATCCATGATAGCTCGCGTGGCTTCTTAAGTGTATCCCTGTGGTACTCCTGCCAGTCTGTCACGAGCTTCATCAAACCCACGACGCTGTTGGTCAAACCGAGGTCGAGTCTCTCTTGAACATCGTTGCGGATTATCTTGGCTGCCTTCCAAATTTCTGGCTCAAGAGAATGGATAGGTTGGGGAGCCCAGTTGTTGATACGTGCTTGTGCTCGGATATCGCTGACAATCTCTCTACCAAACGTGTGGTAGATTGAGGCAACGCAGTTTTGTATACTGTTCTCTGGGTTCAACTCAGCAAATTTGGATGGACGGTCCTCTTCGAGTATGAACCTGCGCTGGTCCATCGCTGTGATAACGTTGAAAGCATCGGCTGCACCCTCTGATAGATCCACGGATAGACAAGCCAGTACGATTCCGTGAAGAAGACCAGTCAGGGTAGTTTCATGCTCGCGACAGAGGCTGAGGAGTCGTTTCAAAACGACAGGATTGATGTTGATACACTTGCTGCGCGTGATATATGGTGTCGCGCGAATAGGTGCCCATCTCGCCTTTGCTGTTGACGAAAGGAAAGCAGAAGGGCCAAAGTTGTGCCAAATCTCAGAAAAGGCAAAGCCGACTGTGACTCGATGTTTGGCCAGCTTTTCCTGTGGCTGGGGAAATCTCTCTTTGGACACGGCTGTTGTCATGACCCTTGAGGTTCCGATGAGAGGAGTGGTAGTGGAAGGTTCGGACAAGTGCTTGAGGAGGGTTTGGTGAAAGATCTTGCTGCCCACGCCATCCGTGTTTGTGTGATTCCAGACAAACATGGCATCAACAAAGTTACCTGTCTGTGGGCGCATCAAGAGCAGTCTCCAACCTGGCTGAGTTTCGAGATGCTCAAACTTGGCGTCTAGCTGATATCCCAAGTTGGCCTCGAACTCTTCATCGTAGTTGGTCGAGTCAGCTCGGACATCCCATATTATGTGGGCGGCCAAATTCACAGACGGGAGCGATACCCAAGCAGGCTTTCTCGTGCCTTCACCGACGAGGCCGACTTGGAGCATGGGGAATTGAATTACAGTTTGCGCAACTGCCGCATCGAAGGTTTTCGCTACCTCCGCGTGTTTGTTGCATCCGACTAATGAAGGTGGAAGGGTGTAGCGGCATGTTGTGATGGTGCTGCAGTAGTGATTGACATCGTGCATGCCTGATTGGTACAACTCACTAAACCTTGCGTTAGCATCTCGGAGGGACAATCTGTTTATTGGATGAACTTACATGTAACCAAGACGGCGTAGAAAGGACTTGGGTTTGGGTGCCATGATGTTGATCAGAATTCGAGATTGAGGAATGTTGAGAGTGAAGATGAGATTGACAGATAATGACCTGCCTCAATTATCCCTATATATCTTAACAAAATGAGTCAATCTGTGTCAAACTACTCAGGTGAAGCTATCTCACCAATAGTCTCGACAATGGCTTCGCCCTCGGGCCCGCGGGCAGATTATTCACTCCCCTCCATCGGCTCGGTCGGCCTGCCGAACAAGGCTGTCTGTCCCTGATCAATCTAAAACAAGACTAGAAATAACCAACACGAATAGTCCGTCATGGATAATTAATGACACAAGTTGGGTGCTGCGCCTTGGCATGGGCCTCTAGTGGGTCGTAGACGCGTCTCTCGGCAGTTAGTTATACCTTGTCTGAGCATAGTGAATGGAAGCTTCGGCGCCTTAACCAAGCGCCGTTTTGGCTCTGAAACAGGGTATATAAAGCTTATTCTTTGTTGAACCAAAGATTTGCTGTGTAGATAAGGCCTCGGCGATTTCGTTAATGCCGAATAATAATCTCGTATAACATTAGTCTGTAGACTATTGTATCTGAAAAGTATTCTTAACCATCACGTTTCCAGTATTGTGGCTCTACAAACGTACGATCTCGACTACCACCGTGATCAGATCTCTCTAGCCCGATCTGTCACCACTCCGAGATCTCATCCAGCCAAACGAAATGAGCTTATTCACTTCATCTCAGATCAGGGAGATCATGGACAACATCTCAACAGTGAGTTATGTCACTCAGTTTCTCAAACATGAGATCAACAAGCTCGACTCGAGAGAAAATTGCTGGCATCAGTCTGGCGTTGGCGGACTAATTTCTCTACTACGCGCCAACGTTTCCCATTCGCAGTCATGGGATAGTTCGTGGAATACAACTATGGCTATGCAGGGCTCGTACAGTCTCAACAGCTCAGGCAACCTTTTCGATATCAATCTCCAGACGAAGGACTTTAGTGTCAATGGGGTTGACAGAGACACCTTCATCACATGGTCATATGTTCACGGTGCGTTATCCATATCTCGAAAGATTGCTTGACTGACCTTTACAGCATTCTGCATGATCATTGCCTTTTTCTTGGTGTATCCCATTATTCTCCTCATGGAATCTACCACCGTCCTTTGCGATCTTATCAACCGTCCCGTAGCAAAGCACAAGGTGCGTAAATGGGAGTCAGCCCTGCGAGCCTTCGTCTTTACTCCCCTCGTCATCGCTGGGTTGGTGTCTGGCATTATTGGCATGGGCGACTCAGATCATTTCAGAACTGAACATGGTGTAAGAACACTCAACACAACAGATAGTATCCAACTGACCATTGAAAAACAGATCATGGGTCTGATCACGGTGGTATTCGCAGGATTCTCAGCAATCCTCTACTTCTACATCTTCTTCTTCGACTCGTGGATGCGCCGAACAGCTCTCCGATTGCGATGGCTTCAGAACGTCCAGTACTTCGACATGTTTGTGTGCCAAGTGATCCTGATGCTCTCGGGGTTCGCATTGACAGACGGCTTCAATGATCTATCGGTGATGGGTCTTTGCTATATACAGATATCTACAGCGTGGGCGGTCTCGGTGGGGATGATTTCGTCGTTTGTGTGGAATAGTGCGATGGTCTTGATGACTGCTCAGTGGTTTCTTGTTCGGCGGGCGAGACCCGGTGGTGTTGGAATCGGTACGGCGAGGGTGTGGAGGTTGGTGCACTTTCGAAGGAGACAGGAAGTGATTGAGGCGGAGGAGGTGCCACAGGAGATGAGCTCGTTGTCTGAGACTTGTAGGCCATGATCACAGCGGGTGTTTCAGACTGTGGATTCTCAGGTCAAACCTCCTTTCTCTAGTATTATCCATTCAGTATTTCTTAGGTAGAATAGACCTGGTCATGAAAGCAATGATAAATGACTTTCTGTATGAACCATTCTCGCGTTTAGATATCCCCAGGCCTGAAGGTGGCATGTTATTTCCGATCAAGACGTCAACATGCAGATCAATTCTCTCGTTCGATACGGATAGTTCGGTTGGCTCCTAGTCAGGTAACAAGGCCCCGGTTTCAAGGCTATTAGACAAGACCAAGAGAGATGGGTGGCGTCAAACGGCTGTGACTGCATTTCCAACTAGAAACAGGGAGCTCATGCCAGGAACCACTATAATATAAATGATTCGTCACCCTTCATTATTTTTAGAGTGTCACATCATGGCTTTGCGTTCGGGTGCCCGCGGCGTGCCGACATGGGGCCCCGCGGAGATCTTACAGGGATGTTCATCGGGCCCCCGCGGACGGCAAAGACTGGGCCAGACTTGGCATGATTGACACGTCCGATGAACGAGCATTAACGCTCCCGTCGGGGTCCGGTAATGTCGTAAAAAGTAAAACTTTGTGATTTACGTGGTATTGAAGGGTTGGTTAGACATTGCTCAGCCTCGTCCTGCGGTTGCTGTGGGAGAATACTCAACTTATAACATCTCGTTGAAGGCACTACAGATCGATCAGTTCATCACAATAAGACAATTCATCATAATAAGATAATTACAATCAGAAGCACAACAACAGATCAGACTTCACATCAAACCTACCTACGACCAAAACTTTCTCTTCTTCATTCATACACCCAAACCTCATCATGGCGAACGGCCAAGTAAAACGTCGCAGTCAGCTTCCTGGACCCAAAGGTAGTACACCAAGATACAATGAGTCTCATAAACTAACTATCTCGAGGCCTTCCTCTTATTGGAAACCTTCTGGATCTGGATCTCGATGACTTCATCACATCATTAAGCGAAATGGGCAATAAATACGGTTCGTAACCTTCAGTCCAAACTCTGCATCAGCACTACTGACCAACATAACCAGGGCCGATATTTTCCCTTGACGTCGGCGGGGATAGACAAGTCATAGTCGGCAGTCGGGATATTCTCGACGAAGTATGCGATGAGTCTAGATTCCACAAGCTTGTCATCGGCGGTGTCGAGAAACTACGGCCGTTGGCTGGCGATGGGCTCTTCACTGCTCAAGCCGGCAACAAAGACTGGGCTATCGCACATCGTATTCTCATGCCCTTATTCGGCCCTCTCAAGATTAGAGAGATGTTCCCCGATATGCAAGATGTCGCAGAGCAGCTTTGTCTCAAATGGTAGTTTACCACGCCCTAACTGATAACTCCGACTAACATGATGTAGGGCCCGATCAGGTCCGTCTACAATTATTGACGCCTCCAGCGACTTCACCAGATTGACACTAGATACCATCGCGCTCTGCACAATGAACTTTCGCTTCAACAGCTTCTACAGCAACGATAAGATGCATCCCTTCATTGAGAGCATGGTCGCTGCCCTCACCGACGCAGACAAGCAATCAATGTTTCCCGACTTCATCGGATCATGCAGGATACGAGCTCTAGCTAACTTCCGAAAACATGTTGCATCTATGAAAGAGCTATGCCATGAGCTAATTCAAGGGCGGCGGGACAACCCAATTCAAGGGACAGATTTACTGAATGCCATGATGGAGGGTACAGATCCGAAGACGGGTTCAAAAATGAGCGATGAGTCCATCGTTGAGAATCTCATCACTTTCCTCATTGCGGGCCACGAGACAACGTCAGGACTGTTGTCGTTTGTGTTCTACTACCTCCTCAAGAACCCGCACACCCTGGAAAAGGCCCGCGACGAGATTGATGAAGTGATGGGTGAATCAAATCTCACGGTCGACGATCTACCCAGGATGCCTTACATCAACATGATCATCAGAGAGACTCTCCGTCTCATGCCCACTGCTCCGGGCTTCTACCTCACCCCCTCCAAGGATGAGATCGTCGGCGGGCAATACAGCATTCCAGCGAATGAACCGGTGTTCTGTTTCCTTCATCAGATCCATCGCGATCCTGCAGTCTGGGGTCCTGATGCAGAAGTCTTCAGGCCTGAGAGAATGGCGGATGAGTTCTTCGAGAAACTTCCCAAGAACGCCTGGAAGCCTTTTGGAAATGGTATGCGAGGGTGTATTGGTAGAGATTTCGCATTGCAAGAAGCCCAGCTTGTAAGTGGCAACCCTTTCCCCCATTCTTTCTGATGGTTTGGCTGACTTTCGTTGAGGCTATGATTATGATCATCCAGAACTTCGATCTTTGGCAGGCAGATCCCAACTATAAGCTCAAGATCAAACAGACTCTCACTATCAAGCCTCATGGTTTCAATATTCGCGTCAAGCTCAGGGAGTCGCGAAAGCTATCCAGTCTTTTCAAGACGCCCAGCATCTCCAGCCTTCCGTCCTCGAGCCGAGCTAGTCGACAACACGTTGATCTTTCAGATTCCAAGGACTTGAAGCCTATCTCCATCTACTACGGATCCAACACCGGCACTTGCGAGGCGCTCGCTCAGAGACTCTCTGCTGATTGTGCGTCATTTGGCTATATGCCTTCGAAGCCGCTTCCACTGGACTCGGCGACGAAGAATCTCTCCAAGGATGGGCCGAACATATTGTTTGCTGCATCTTACGATGGGAGACCTTCGGATAATGCAGCTGAGTTTGCTAAATGGGCGGAGTCTCTGCGATCTGGGGATCTTGAAGGTGTTCAATTCGCTGTTTTTGGTTGTGGTAAGTATTCTTCTCAGTAGCTGCATGGAGTACCGCTAACGAGGAAACCAGGTCACAAGGATTGGGTCTCAACTCTTTACAAAGTACCTAAGATTCTAGACAAGTGTTTGTCGGATGCAGGCGCCGAGCGAATTGTCGACATTGGCCTCACTGACGCAAGCACCGGTCGCTTATACCCCGATTTCGACGACTGGACCAACGGGAAGCTCTTCCCAGAGCTGCTCAAGCGACATGGTGGATCCAAGGACTCTCAGGCTGATGGGCTCCTTGAACTAAATGTCGTTGTCAACCAGCCCCATAAGTCCGAGATGGGAGGCAACTTCAAGAGAGCTGAGGTTGTCGAGAATCAACTCCTCACCCACCCAGGTGTCTCCAGGAAGCACAGCCTTCTGCTGAAGTTACCAAAAGACATGACATACTATCCAGGTGACCATGTGTTGGTACTTCCCAAGAACCCGCCTGAGTTGGTTGAACAGGTCATGTCTTGCTTTGGAGTGGACAACGATACAGTCTTAACTATTTCTTCCGGAAGATCGACCTTTTTACCGACTGAGATGCCGATTCTTGCATCGAACCTATTCAGTTCTCTTGTGGAGCTGTCTCAGACTATCAGTCGCACCAGTCTGAAGAGGTTGGTAGATTTTGCTGGCAACGAGAACACCAAGAGTGAACTTCATATACTGGCCGGCGATAAATACGACAAAGAGGTCGACGAGTCGCGCCTGTCCATCCTTGATATCCTACGCAAGTACCCATCTATCAACATCCCACTGTCCACCTTCCTCTCCATGCTACCACAGATGCGTCCCCGCACGTATTCCTTCGCTTCAGCGCCAGAATGGAAGCCAGGCCATGGTATGTTGCTCTTCTCGGTGGTTGAAGCAGAAGAGGCGCATGCAGGACGCCCCGGTGGACTTGCTACCAACTACATGGCTCAGCTGCGACGTGGTGATTCTGTTTTGGTTGAGCCGCGTGCTTGTAGACCAGAGTTGCGGGCAGCGATGACCACTCTTGATCATAAGGTGCCCATCATTATGATTGCGGTCGGAGCTGGACTTGCTCCCTTCCTTGGCTTCCTGCAGAAGCGCTACATGGAGACACGCCATCACCAGTCTACTGGCTCACCGACTTGTACCCTCCTCTTTGGATGTCGTGGAGCCAACAAGGACGATATCTGCCGCGATACACTTGATGAGTACTCGCGTGCCGGAGTCGTCTCTGTTCACCGAGCGTACAGTCGAGACCCTGGCGCTTCATCCAAGTACGTCCAGGGCCTCATCACCAAACAGAGCGGAATGCTGGCGAAGCTGTGGGGTCAGGGCGCAGTCGTCATGGTTTGCAGTGGTAAGAAGGTCGCTGATGGTGTCATGGATGTACTCAGTCCAATTCTTCTCGGGGAGGAAAGACGGCTCGGTTTGACAAATGCGTCCGATTGTGATGTCTGGTGGAAGAATGTTGGAAAGGAGCGGCTAATCTTGGAAGTCTTTGGGTAGATGGGGCTTACGGTCGGGGATACTTGGTTCCTGTTGGGTTTCTTTTAGCGCTTTGATGGTTCATTTGTATCGGTGGATTGGCGTTGCATAGACTAGTTTAGATTGTATATTGCTTTAATTATCCTTGTTTGTATTTTGTGGCTTTAAAGTATTGATCTATGTGAAGATTGTAACTCTTATTGTGAATTTGAGTCCCATCGTGGAATAGATTAATCATCAGACTCAGCTCTCCATTCCTCGTCATTCAATGGCTCCTTTTGATATCTCGGCGATGTTGTAAAGCCACATAAACACAGAAGCACAGCTTTCTTCTACAGATGAAAGCTATATAAAGTGCCATCCAACACAATTTCTCTTTATGAACCTCCTGGACAAGGGTTTCAAACCTTCCCCTTCCTCTTGTAGCATCGTCGTAACCCCTCATAAGCACAGCAAACGTAGTGATTACAAATAAAAAATACCATGAGACAGAATATACATGATTACTAACCCAAATCAAAATTGCAATATAATATGTCAAAGCGAACAGTCTCGCTTTGATGCAAACATCTGCCCAGGATTAGATGGAAAAGGGCTCCGTCGCAATTCCACGAGGCTGGTTCAGTGGTCGGATGGGGGCCTTCTCGCTACCCGGCGCTCGGAGTAATGGAAATCACTTATCATAATCGCTTGTATTGAAACATGCCGATCTTTTCCTCCTATCTCAATTCCGCCTTGTCTTTACTGTAACTGGCCTAGGCTGAGCACGCAAATTATTAGCATACCCGCGAATAGCAATCTGGAGTCCGAGCCCATGAGGATAATTCTCCGAGTCGATTGTTGAGTCAGCACCTAGATAAATCCTAAATGTCTCATGTCCAACCGTGAACTTTGCTTCCCTTAGCCATTCCCGCGTTTGTTATATCCCGTCGATATTGATATCCAGCTACGAGGAGCTGCTCCAGAGATCACCGCGACAGCCAAGACACCAAACTATGGCTGGCTACCTGACATGCGGGGAACATTCACGCCTGATCGGCAGTGCCATGGGCCTCTACTGCGTAAGTATTGAGTGTTAACACAGCCGACGTTTCCGGGGCACAGACTTGCACAGACGTAGATAATCACGACCTGTGTAGATAATACTACAATAACGACGAAGCTACAAGCGACATCTAGTTATATGTTTGGAAGCGATGTTGGGGGTAACTGCCGGGACCAGGGGCTGTCGGAAGGTTTTTTGTTACATCAGATTGTCTCGGCAGCGAGAGGTCTGACATCTGAGACATTGCTAGAACGCCTCATTGTTTGGCGTGGTAGTGACAGGTACTTGTCGAGTCATGGCGTGCTGCAGAATGTGTCAGTGGTATCTGAGTAGTTGCGCCCCAAAAAGGTCTATGCGCAATAAGTGCTAAGTGACATTATTCTGGAGTTTAGCGGTAGACAGTGACATGCACTAATTTGACGTTGCCAAGGCCCAACGCCATCTCAACCAGTACTGTTGTTAGCCAGTTTCAGGTGCAATTTCGAGATACGACACTGGTTTGTGGTCCAAGTTCTGTATTCGAGTACTAATCGACTACCTCAATTAAATTAATAAATCTTTGCCCGTAAATTTCACGCTTTGCCGTAAGGTTATTTTTATCTCCCGTTCATCCGATTAGGTAAATCACTGTTGAGAAACGTGCACCGTCGTCTCATTCTTGACAAGAATTCCCCCAAAATTAGACCCGTATTCTCCTCCACCCTGGTTGCTGCCGCCGCTCTGACCCGTCACGGTGGAAGTGTACTTGTTCCCCGGCGGGCGGAAGCGGTCCATGGCGTGGGTCTCAAAGTCGGACACGGAAGTGCGGCCGTTGCCGTCATCGGAACCCGCGAGCTCGCGCGTCGAGCTGGACTCGTCGTTGGGGATAGACGACTTGTTGATGGTGTCGAGGCGGATGGACTGCTTCGTTTGGCTGCGGCTGTAGTTGTTAGGGTAGCTGCCTGAGCTGGCACCTGTTCGGGTCTGTGGGTGCGTGCAGGTGAAGATGTACATGCAGGCAGGTCGGATGGTGGGGAGGGAAGCTGTAGATGCGTTAGGCTAGATTTCTGGGGATTGAACCTGCAGGCGTTTGTTCATACCGGAAACGTTGATGAGGTTGACCTCTACTGTAGCCCAGATAACAATATCGCAGATATTCCATGTCAAATCGGGTGATGTATCGTCAAAGACTCGGGCGGCAACAATCAGTCTAATGGCAGCGGCGCAGATGCTGTTTCCGTTAGTATGTGGAATGTTAGGTAAACAAAGTAACAATGACTTACAAGAAGCCAAAAGTAAACATGACCATGATGCCAGCCTTCTGCAGCATAGGGAGCTGTAGTCGTCCAATCTGCCACATGGGGAGAATCAAGATGGCGATATCAATGGCAGCGTGAACCAGAGTAGTGCCGAAAAAGAACTTCTTGTCTTCGATGGCGCAGTATCCCTCGACTGTTGAATCCCAGAATCGCTCCACGGGCACACAATGCCAGATGCCCATGAAAATCTACCAACAATTAGATCAAAGGTGTTAATCAACGGCGGATGTACCTACTCGGAAAGTAATCCAAACACCAGCGCAGCCAAAAAGAATCTGGATCGGGATCCGGATGCCCGTGACTCTAAACATGCGCCAGTAAAGACTCAAGATGGAGACCTTGGCGAAGAATAAACCAAAAGCGTAGAACAACTCTGCGATGAAGAGCAGTAGCTTCGACTCCTCTAGCAGTACACCCATCTTGGCCATGTACTGGTCCTCAGACATCTTGACGCCTTTGGGGTTTATGAGGTAGTCGATATGCAACCCGAGACCGTGGTTCACCCCTGGTCAAGCATCGTCAGCGTCTGTTGGTTTGGTCGCATGCGCGGCGGTTAACAAAAAAAGGAAAACCTACAGTAGGGAATAATGATGATCCAACCAAGTGAGATGGCCTGCAGGGAATTGTCAGCAAAACGCCAAGCAGCAAGGGAGTAGAAAGAATGTCTTACATAGCCGCAGAGCGCAAAGTAATCGTCCCACGATAGCGTGATTCTCTTGAGTCGGCGACTCAAGAAGCGCAGTATCGTGATGATTGTCGCAGCCGCGAACGTGATGAAGAGCACAGCCCACAGCTGGTTCTGCCGCGACTCCATGGCTGTCTGATACTGTGTTGGACAAACAAACACCAATAAATCAGAAACAACCACACACCACAGTCAGGTCAAACTAAGACCTGTCACTTTTTTATTTTATGCCGCGTTGCACACTTCAATCCGTCTAGAACCGGAGGGGGCAACGAATGGGAGAAAAGAGATGGGAAAATGATTGGGAAAAAACAAAAGGGACTCGGGACGAACCAACAAGCACAGGCACGAACCAACAGGCGGGATGGGGCCCAAAGATATGTACAATTACGCAGGGGCCCTCATCCTTCGAACATACCGAAGGGAATAAGAAGAAAAAAGACGGCATTTCGTTATTATTATCTTTTCTTTTTTTTCGAAACAATGCTCAAGCAAACGTTGTTACCCACGCAAGGCACCAAGTGGAGCTCCGTGGGTGAAAGGAGACTACGTCGGTGGCCGATCTTGTCTCTGTATGCTATACCTAGTTAAACACCAAACAGCTAAGCTAGACTTGTAGAGAGGAACTTGCCGGTCGTTAATTCTAACCTCGTAAATTTTCTTCCTTGGTTGCAGCGGCTGCCGCGACGATCAGGGCCGTTGGGTAGCTGCCGGATGGGGAGGGGGCTTTGAAACCACCGCGGGTCTAACTTAACTCAACCGGTGGAAAAAGGGGAAGCTAAAGTGGTGAAAATGACCTTGGACTTTGGTTTAGTGATTAGTCTTTGCCTGGCCTGGCGTTAGTCTACTGTATCTACGGGGCGACTTGGGTAAAAAAGGTTCGTTGACGAATGTCACTCTGCCTCGCATTCTACTCCGCTTTTGTGAGGAAACGTTACTGATACGCGTGCCCGTAGGCATTGATTTCCCTATGTGTTTTTAATTATACGGCATTCTCCGTCTTGGTATGCAAGGAACGGCATCGGTATATCCCAGGTTTCGAATCCAGATTAGCATAATGATCTCATATTTTAGGGTTAATCATCGCTAATGTTTGACATGCCCCTGGTGGTGAACAGTATTGTAGTGGGCAGACTCCACAGAAACATGTAGACCCGGCAGAAAGCAGAAAGGCAGACCAAGTGAGGAGTAGAGTAGCCCTCGGGTGGAAGAAATACACCGCACAGTGAGTGAGGATCCAGTGCGGTGTTTTCTTTCCCCCTCTAGAGTAGGTACAGTACTCTGTGGCTGTACGTTGGTGTCTCAAAAGCTTACCGCCGACATTATAATAAGCACTTTATCGATATTCAGCACGCGCCAGCAAGTTCAAGCAAGGTCAAGGTCAATAATATCAACGGCTTGCGCATGGAACTACCGTATGCGGTCTAACATATGCACAGTAATTACTGTGTAAGGCTGCCAATGGCGCATAACCATAACTCATCGTTATACGAGTGCCTGGGCGATGATCACGGGGCGTTACGCGGTATGTAGGCGAAATGGTGCGGCTAGGGAACCATCCGCGAGCGGATATCACCACAGATCCATTGGAAGACCTGCCGGGGCTACGGGGGGACCTAGACAAATTAGCGTCGGGCCCGCTCAACTGTAGCGTCGCAGTAGAGATGTTTTCGTGCTGAAGATCATTCTACAGCCCTGAAAGAGGAGGCCGGAGGGGGGAAAGCAAGCGTTGGGCCTAGAACAAAGGTCAAAGCGATAGATGGACAAAAGTCAAAAACCAAAACCCAAATTCTAGGTTTTGTTAATTGACGTTTGACAGGTTGACATGTCACTAAGATTTTGAGACTGATGAATCAATCTTTGTACGCTGGTCTTGGCTCAACCGAGTGACCGGGTTCTGCAGGGCCTCTTCTTCCGGTCCAATAACTCCCTTGCTGAATCCTTCAACCAACCGAGTGGATATTCTCGACTCCGCCAATCATCGTGGATGTACTTTATGCACCTGTTCAGCTCACTCCTGGTTCCCCGGCATGGCAAGTTCCGTTATCACGACAGATAATGCCCTGCCCTGTTCACTGCCGGGTTCTCTTCTTCAGCAGAGGCCCTAATAAGCCTATCGTGCCCCTCCCTACGGAGTAAGTAGCAATGAATCTGGGGTCTCTGACGGCCCTAGTTTCGAAATGGACGCTGGCACTCATTGCTAAAGTGTGTGCCCCGCAGCACCGTCTGTTTTGCTAGAGTCAATTTGGTAAAGCACAGAACTCCAGAATCCTTCGTCTTTTGGGCAGCAGGGTGCAGGGCAGCAGAGTAGCAGGGTAGCAGGGTAACAGAGAGAAAAGCACTCAGGGGTGTTGGTCTGTGCCGCGTCGCAAATGAAGACGCCTTCATGCTTGCCCGAAAACAAACCTGATCGTCACGGAAGCAGGAACTGGCATAAAACTTGTGCAGTTTCTCGTCGTTGATCGCTCCAAGTCAGCACTTACATATCAACCATCGACCCCGAAAAAGCCTAGAAAGCCCACTGGGCACCGTTGGAAATGTCCAAGCGGTGGTTAGTGGGCAATCAGGCGGTAAGTGGGCTGCCGAGCGGTACGGATAGAATAGTGGGATATGGGCTGAGAAAGGCCAGTTTTAAGGCGCAATCGCAATAACAATACCTAGCCTACAGGATATTTCTGGGTGAACCCGTTCATGCCTTCGAGCTAGAATGGATGCGAAGTGCATTGCGAAACTTCCCCTCCTCAACGCGAAGCGAGCTGGAGAGCTAGGCTAGACCTCGAAAAGGCGGTATGGCCGAGGCTAGGAATTTGATACCGCGCACATCGCGTCTCGAAGCTGTATCCGTAAAATCTAAAATCTGCCCAATAGCATGACTGTTAATGCTAATTGAGGTGACCCTCCTCGGCTCCGCATACTGTACATTTCGCCTCAGGGTCCTGGACACTTTTTATATTACAGCTCGTCCACAAGGTACGGGCCGTTGTCTTTGCTTGGCACTTAAACTTTCCCTTCCATATTCTAGTCTCCAAGCCATTTCAACACGAACAAACCTTCATACTCCTTCCGTCCCGTCCCCTCTACTGCACAACATATTACGCTTTCTGCACAACATAAAGCACTAGAAATTCATCAATAATGGCACCCTCAACCACCGAGGATCTCGTCCCTGAGCCTGTCGCCTCCGGCCAGACCAAGCTCGCCGAGCGACCCAAGGATGGCACAGCCCTGAACGAGCAGGAGCGCGAAGAGCTTGCCTTTGTCGACAAGTACAGCGCCCCGGATATCTACATCAACTCCAAGACCGACACTCTGTGGTTCCCCTGGATCGGACCCATCGAGTTGAAGCCCATGCGCATGGAGAACAGAACCGGCACTTTCGTCGTCGGTCTCCGATCAAAGGTCGCCGCCAGTCTCGGCAAGCACCGTCACCGCGGTACCGTCACAGCCATTACCATGTCCGGAGAATGGGGCTACAAGGAGTACGTTTCTCATTTTGCTTTGCTTTTTTTTACTTTTAATCCTACCTGCGCTATGACAATTCCATGACCTTGCTGGCTAATCTATCGATCTAGATACGACTGGGTTGCCCGTCCTGGCGATTGGGTTTGTGAGAACCCCGGCACCATCCATACCCTGTCTGTCGAAGACGACACCGACATTGTCTTCACCATCACCGGTAGCATCGAGTTCCTCAACGACGACGACACCCTGAAGTTCACCCTGGATCTTTTCAGCTTCTCCAAGCTGTACTACGACCACTGTCAGGCTCAGGGCATCAAGCCCAACGATACTCTCTGGCACTAGAGGAATAAGATAAATATAAGGCTGTGGGTATCAGCTCATGACAAAATTACTCGTATAGGCTCCCTGGCCTTAAACATGAATAGCGCAAAGTAGTATTTAACGAAAATAAGATATGAACATGACCGACAAGTCAATGATTTTTTTATGCAGATGTGCCAACGAGATTATATAAAGAATGATCCAAGTACCTTTCCCCTATGTAACCCAATCATACTGTCTTCAACACACGGGAGATCATCTCATCAAAGCTCTCGTCCTGTTCCAAGCCAAGCACGGCATTCCAGTGAGCTGCCTTTTCAGGAAAATACGTGACCTCACTGTCGCTGTACACCGTAGCAGAAGCCAATTCGTAATATCCAGTGTTCCACTCGCCTTCTTCGACATGCTTAGTCGCACGAGCATACAATTCTTTGTTGTCCAACGGTTTGAGCTCGAACTTTGTCTTGGAGATCCTCTCAAGTGCTTCAATGACTTGCTTCTGCGTGGCATTGTAGGATCCCACCTGCACATACTCATTCTTGGTCTTGTGGGATTGCGACAGTGCAGCGGCGGTAGCTTTTCCAACCTGAGATACGGTTGTAGTGGTGAATTTCGGTTCGCCAGAGTCCACAAGCTCGCCAGTCTTGGTCTTGATGTCGAGACACAACAGCCCACGACCTTCAATCAGCATCTACAGAAACAATGAGTAAGTAGTGCATCAAATAATGGTAATTTTTGGTGGAGAGGAATAAAACTCACCCAATCAATCCACGGTCCAGTGTAAAGCGCAGTCCAAGAGAGCCCTTCCACCTCTTTAGTCTTGACATAGTCCATAACATCCTGCTTTCCTTTGAGGAAAGGTGCCATGGTTTCAAGTCCAGGCACCGAAGTATCGCTGCCAAACTCGCTAGGCATAAAACGCTTGACTTTTGCCGCCGCAACAGCATCGATGACAACCATCTGTTCAGCGACGTTGGCTGTTGAAAGAGTGGAAATAACAGCGTCTTGGCCGGTGAAGACACTGACCAAAGACGGGAAAGTGTAATCAGATTTGACCACATTAGCTCCTTGAAATGTCGCGTCGGTCACGCTGGACGAACGGCTCAAGATGGAGACTTCAAAGCCAGCTTGAAGAAGTGCAGCAATGAGGTATGGTCCGAGGTTTCCACGCCCCTGGATATTTGTTAATAAAAACGGTACCTGTAGTAAAGTGTCAACAGAAGGGTCTTACACCGAGTATCATGACAGTTTTGATTTCTCCAGCCATATTGTAATTTATTAGAGTATGTTATTTAAGGATGCAGGGTAGGTAGATTTGGTAAAGGTGAAGGCTGGATAGAGCGACAACATCCCAGAAAGAACAGCACCTCCTCGACTACTTATAGATAAAGCTTCCACCATGATTTACAATCTTCTCCATTCCTCAGATCAAGTTTTGCATTACAAATTATAAACATCTCATCGTTCTCAGCTCGAAATCAGCATCATGACGCATTTATAGAGGTGGAGTCTAAGCCTCTTTCGATCGCGATGTGGAGACTAGTCCTATTCAGGAACTCCTCACGGGCTACTGATTAGAAACTCATCCATCACTGCCCACGTGAAAGAGAAACGAATTTCCTGCCACAAACAACAACAACGTTATCATACAAATAACCCATTCTCAAATGACCGTGCTACGGAGATCCTGCCAAGCTTGCGCAAGAGCAAGACGGCGATGTAATCTCGCAGCTCCCTGTGAACGATGCTGCACCAAGCGTATCACCTGCCGCTATGTCAATGAGCCTGCCCCTGCAACTCTCAGCAGCAGTCCTGTCAAGGCCGTCAAAAGACTTCCAAAACTCAAAGGTCCTCAGAATATCCAGAGTTTGTCGAGACTAGTCATCGGTGGGACCTTGGATACACACTTGCAGATGTTTATCAGGGGAGTGCTCCGTGATGGGCTGTACCAGGGTTCTCGACCTCCTCTTACACAGTCAGACGCATCATGCCTGCAGGATCTGAGCATCACGCACAAGTCCTTCGACTCTGGTATTCAAATTTTCAACCCGCTGCGTCTTGAGATCGTTCGCGTATTCAACCAGTCAACTCTCCACCGCCTGATAAATATCCTGCGCAGCTTCCCAGTCGAGTTTGCTGAACGTGGCACCACCCCCTTCATCCACCCAGGAATCTACGGCGCAAACCTACCATCTCCACTCCAAGATATACGCGATATCTGCTATAGCTACAGTGTCGGTGGACAGTATCTTGCTAGCAATAGACTGGATGCTCTTCGGTTCACCATCCGACGTTTACTGCGCTCCTCAAAACGCGCCAGCTCATTCCCCGAAACTCTAGCTCATGCGCAGGCTATCAGCCTCGCCCATGTCATTCGCCTCCTCGAATGTGATTTTTGCGATGATGATGCAGAGCGCGACAATGAAGAGATGTGGGCGCTTACGCATAGGCTGTGGCAGCATGCCCCAATCCAACTATCAAGAACATTGAGTCCCTGGCAGGCATGGCTATTCTCCGAGAATGTTCGTCGGACCATTGTGGTGTGTAATATCCTTCTTGTGGTGTATACTTCGTTGAAGAGGGGTTATGCGATGCACGCATTGTGTATCGAGGCTTTGCCGTTTGATGTACGTACTCAGTTGTGGGATGCGGATAGTGAGGAATCGTGGGTAGCTGCGGTTTCAGACGCCACGAGTCCAGCGTTGGTGACACTGAGTCAATTTACAATTCTGAAACAGTTTACTGATGGTGGTTCGAGATTCGAGGATCTTTTACTATCATTTGGGAAGTAACTTGTGTATTGGTGGTTTGGGGTAGTACATGCATTCATCTTTGCTATCACAAAGTAACTTCTTACATGATACCACTATGTGGTGTAAGCCAACAGAGAATAGTCACATGATGGAGATTGTAGTATTTGTTTATGTCATGAGGAACCGTCTGGTCATCTATACTGGCAATCCGTAAACGTCCCGTGGCCAATTCCGTTTTATGTTTCATCGTCTCCGTCACGTAAAATCCCTCCAATCTCATGCTTCATCAATCATCCTGTTAAAACAACCATCTAGCATGTGCACTTGGCCAAGCAGAGAAGAGGAACATTGGGGTCAGTAGCACAGGTGCCAACGAAAGCGCAAGTACCGCCAACACAGCTGGACTTGCAAGGCTCAAGAGTCTTTTGATCCGAGTAGTAAACTGCGCCGTTGTTGCAAGAGCTATACATTGTTAGTTTAATTGATTCCTCCTGAGGTACAGGAAAGTCTTACGCTTGGGGAGCCGCCATGGCGACGGTGGCAATAACCAGGATGCTGAAGATGGAGAACTGCATTTTGAATATGTTTGTTCGTTTGAGGTTGTAGAACTACACTTGATTATTCGGGTCGTCGGTGTCCTTTTATATGCGCCCGGTACCAAAACATGACCTGTTTACTATCCAGGATCGAATCCTTCTGCTCCAACACATTCCTATTCCTATGCTATACGACGGCTTTATGACCGCAATCCACTTCCCACCGCCAGCGTGCAGAGGCGACAGATACAAAAGCAGGATCCACCTGCCGGTTCTGGTTAAGGTAATCCTGGGCACGCATATGCATAAACTCCTTCGGCTCGCACGGGCAGATCCTTTTACGCACAAAAAGCGACGTTGCTTTGGATTATGGTTAGACTACATTATCATGGAGGTCTATGTTCCTATAGGATGCGGAAACTCGGATGTAACTGATAGGATCGCTTCCGGGGAAATATCCGGGAGCCGCGCTCTTACACTCTATACGGGATGGACATCAAACGTACGATATTGCTAATTGGCCAACGTACGCATCTATAATTGCCTCTTTACCCCCATCAATCTATATGGAAAATGCTCTACTCAATTCAAAGTTGATACTTCTCATTCAAATCTCTCTAATATTGTTTTCAAATGATCATGGAGGTAATGTCTTGGTGATGTAGCTATTTTCTGCCGTAGGCCAACGTTTTTAGACTAAAGTGTTTGAAAATGTCATAGTGTCAGCCTCTCCCTGCGTGTTTCAATAAGCTCTCTTGCTCTCACAGCACTCTCTTTCATTGTGACTCAATCTACGAAGTAGGAACCCAGATGAGGAGCTGTGAAACCGGAGTCCGGCAACTATACCGGGCCGGGCCTTTCGGAGCCGATCCGGCCATCGGAACCGACACCGAGGCTTTAAATGTAATCATTCCCATAAATCCAAGGAAACAGCCTGAAGTAAAGCCTCCCACTACCAACATCACATCCATCGCTGAGAATGTCATCCGCAACTTACCAAATCGAAAAGCCCGTCCGTAGTGACTTCGAGGAGTGGTCGAAATTATTCCACGACTACATCGCTTTCTACAACTCGAAAATCGAAGAGGAGCAATATGCGAGGACCTTTGACCGCATCATTGAGGGAAAGAACGGGCTGCGAGCCCTAGTCGTGAGACAGGTGCATGGAGATGTAAAGAAATTGGTGGGAATCGCCCATTTCTTTCCTGAACAAACGCCTTGGAGCGAGAAGCAGATTCTTCTATTGAACGGTAAGCCTGACTCCGCTTCACGTCTTCGGCATAAGACTGTTGTTTGGAGAAACCACTGACAATTCAGATTTATTCGTTGATCCTTCTGTTCGCGGTGCTGGTCTAGGACGGAAACTGACACAAGCTGTGGCGGATGTTGGAAAAGAGATGGGCTGCTCGCGAGTCCAGTGGGTGACGAAGCATGATAATACCACTGCTCGCAAGCTTTACGACACGTTGGCCGAGACCCAATTTGTTCAGTATAGAATGAACTTGCAATAGGAATACAATTGGCTTTCTGCTACGAATAAGCTACGAACCCTCACTCGAGCTCGGCCTTGACAAGTGGTAGAACTGTGCGCATTACCTCGCCGCGTGACTTGTACTTCTTACCTACTACAGCGTCTGTCCAATAGCCTGATTCCCTTATTGACCCACGCAATCTGTAATGAGGAAGATTTTCCACTTCGTCTGGCTTAATAGTTATCTGTCTCACAACATCGCCCTTCATATCACGGAAGACAAGAAGCATCTCTTCGTCTTTGGAAGCCTCCTCGTCGAGAATAAGTAGCCAGCAACCTTGAATAGCTGCTGCGGCTACAGCATCTTCATAATCATCCTCATCTGACTCTCGAGTTTCCAAAATTTCTGATATCTCTTCCTTCACGGAATCGACAACATACTGGTTGAAGTGACGCTGCAGTGCAGGCGTAGCCAGTTCTGGCAATACGTTATACACGCTCTGCCACTTCTCAGAACCCGTTTCGAAGAGCGATGCATCGTCGAGAACGTGCCACCAGCGGTCTTCGAGGCCGCCAAACAAATCCTGCCCTGGGTTAGAGTCTTCGAAGGACTCGGCTGCATCATAGAACCAACGACTCATCTTGGCATCATCACTAATACCTCCGTAGTAGGTCCGTAGAACAACTATGCTGTCGAATACCATGTCGCATGCGTATTTCTCAGCTATGCGACGCAGCTTCTGGGGCCGCCATGGAACAAGGACAGTGTTGATCAGGTTCTGCATATCTGTCGAAAGCGATGCGCCAGATAAGGTGGATGTAAACGGTGAGACGTCATCTTCCTTGAGAAATGCCTGCACAAGTTGATCTCGTTGCTGTGTGACGGAGAGTGTTGATGTAGAGTCCCATCTGGCCTGCAAAAGATGAGATGGTAAGCAGCTTTGATGTAAGGGGCCTTGGGTAGCAAGCGATTGGGATTATAGCTAACTTACCAGCAAGTATTTTTCGACCGGCAATGAACCCCAAGCAGGTAAGACCTCTTCATTGGAGTTGCTCATGATTTCAACGACCTTTGATTGTCGTGCAGTGTAAGATAGACAAGTTGTAAGCAGCGGAAGTAAAGATTTTAAGTACCCATGGATCCGTCAAAAATGAGGCCCTACACAGAGAAAGGGTGGCAAATTTTAATTAGGATAAGGTTAAAATCATAAGAGAGTCGATTTAGCAGGTATATTATATTTTACCTAATCAAAATATTCTACATACTGGGTTTTTAATGTTATTCAGTCTTTCATTGAATTTATTAACGTTTTCTAAAGATTCATAATATAATGTACAGTTTTTATAAAAAGGTGGAAAATAAATTAAATTTGCCAATTTACGATTCTGCTCTTCCCAGAATTTTGCTGCCCACTCTATGAGTAGGCCCTCTTTTCTGTGAGATCCATGGATATGTCGCAGAGTGATGATCATGCTGATCGAATAGAGCTTCGGTATAATTGAATTTGACTAGGTAATTACTTCTGTAGTAGAAGTAGTCTTTCAAAAGTCAGTCAGTCATACTCAAGCCAATAATCGTGGCTGCAGCTGGAATCCTGCGGTGATGTCATTTCTGCGCCCTTCAATGACATTGCAACTTGTGGTCGACATTGACTCTCATCCTACCGAGTCGAACAATTTTCATATAAACTTGTCAATCAAGCAGCTCATTGATTTTCCGTGAGATCCAAAAAGTGAATTAAACTGTAAAAACCTACCACACCGATTACGCCCCTTCCAATACACGCGACAACTCCCTTGAACTATGACATCTTCATATGGAAATCTCTCCGCAAGGGGCGATGTATTCGCTATGCCAAGCAACAAAATGCCGCTGCTGGATATCCTTTGTGACTTGTGGCATCCTGAGACGAATCCTAACGGGTATGTCAGTCTGGGTGTGGCTGAGAATGTGAACTATGATTCCAGACCAAGAATAGCGCCTTCAAGACTGATACTTTACAGACCTTAATGCACAAAGAACTGATTGAGCACATGACCAAAAATGTATACTGCTACCCGGATCTTAGATTCCTAGTTATACTAACCCTGGCAGTTTACGGTCGATAGCCATTCCTTAACCTGCGGGGATGGCTTCTCTGGCTCTCACCGTCTACGAAACACTTTGGCCAGGTTTTTCAACCGGAACTTCCACCCACATGAGCCAATAACCGAGAAAGAACTTATTGTCACATCTGGTGCAGGTCAGGTGATCGAGCTAAGCGGGTTCTCACTCTGTGACCCTGGCGACGGCGTTCTGCTTGCTCGTCCACACTATGGCAACTTTCCTATAGATCTAGGATTCCGAGCACAGTGAGTGATTGAATAGTATTACGTATGTGCGATGTCTAGATGTGGACTTACCGACTCGAGTGTAGGGCAAAGGTAGTCGGGGTATCATTTGGGGACGTAGATCCTTTGACCCTCGAGACTGTGGATGTCTATGAGAAAGCTCTTCTGGACGCGCAATCTCAAGGAATCCGTGTTAGGGCGCTTTTGTTGTGTAACCCACACAATCCTTTAGGTTGGACCACAATCAAACCCCGGATAAACCTTTCTGATTCTCTCCAGGTCGTTGCTACACACGGGAGGTTCTCGAGGCATACATGCGATTCTGCCAGGAACATAATCTCCACCTCATCAGCGACGAAGTCTACGCTCTCTCAGTTTGGAAGAACCCCGAAGTACCCTATGCTCCAGAGTTCACGTCACTGCTAGCTATGAATCCTGATAATATTATTGATGGAAATCTCATCCATGTTGTTTGGGGAATGAGCAAGGTCTGAATGCCGATATTACAAAGACAACTGGGGATACTAACTGTTTGCAGGACTTTGGCTCCAATGGTATCAAAGTAGGCTGCCTCATTACCAGGAACGAAGCTTTTATGCGTGCGTGTGAAGCAAACTCCTACTTCTCCGGTCCGTCGTCTCTCTCCGATCTTACCACATCACACATTCTATCAGATAATACCTTTATCGATAGTTTCGTAAAGACGAATCGACTACGTCTTGCAGAGAACTACCTCATCACGACTCGAATTTTAGAAGATCATCACATACCTTACAAAAAAGGCTCCAATGCGGGCTTATTCGTCTGGGCTGATCTGTTCCAGCCCATCCGCTCGGAGATAAACGCAACTTTGCAGAAAGAAGTAGCATCGGGTAAGACTACAGACCAAGTCCTGTGGGTCCTTGAGGAGAAGTTGCAGGAGACTCTGTTGGCGCATAAAATCTTCTTAGCGCGGGGGGCGGATTTTGGAAGTGATGGGCCGGGCTGGTTTCGTATTGTGTTTGCTCACGAGAAGGCATATCTGCTTCTAGGTCTGGGGCGTGTTGTTGAGGCTGTCGACGTTTTCCGTCAATCCTAGATGGTTTGATCATACGTCACGTTGATGGGCAATCCTGGTGTTATTCAATTTATTCTCTCGCTCGCCTTTGGATCAAGGTCGCAGACATAACAAGACATAATGAAACAAGCGGTTGGCTCCCTGGAGAAGTGCAGTAGGTGAGCAAAAGTTCCGACAACCTCCTCTTTTCTAAACTATATATGTAAGATAATAAATTTCTTATCTTATATAATCTCCTATAGCACTATTCTAGGATTATGTATGAAACATCATAAAAACTTTTTATATCCATCTTTGTGGTTATATAGGTGGTTTTTGGGGTACTGTAGTTTTGAGTTTCGGTGGAGAATATACGCGGGGAGTCATGGTTTTACCCCAACTCGGACTATCGCGATTCAAGGTTTCGATGACGAGATAGATAACGTTTCATCCTTTATCGATGACAACTTAGCACGCCATCCCGAGTGTTCCACATATTCATCAAGGTTGTAACACGAAACAAAGAATTGACCATGTGGACTAACTGAGAATAAGCATAAAAGATATGTCATCCGTTGCCGAAGACCAACCAGGAAGATTCAAAAGCAGTGTTCAACCAAAGGGACAAGTGTACGGAGTAGACAGAATGTAACTGCGACTACCTATACTCCGTACCAACTGCCGTCATAGCAACAGAAGAGTAATTAAATATGAAGCAGACATTATCGATGATTGAATCGATGACGGATCGAGATCCGAAGACCACCGACTTCCACAAGCGATATCGGTGAGATGATGATCATAGCAAACTAGCACCACAACATCAACAAGGACCCAGCTCTTCTGTCCAATGATTAGTAGCTGAAACTGACACCATCGGGCAAGTTGGAAACGCAAGACCAATAATATTATTCGATCTAATCTTGTCCCTTTGGTTTGTGGGGTATATAAGACTAAGCTTGCTTAGCAAAAGATGTCGCAAGACGATTGACGGATTATGCGATCTCTCCACCGCGGGGAAAGGCGCTACCGCTTCATATAAATTCATACTTCATAGAAGAACTCACAATTCATCTCATTCTTGAAAATCTGCCTTTAGTTGAATTTTATTCGTGACAATGTCTACAACCACTACAACCACAGAGACGCAGCGAATTGTGCCTTTCAGCGTCGAGGCCAGCAAATATCCAGAGCCTCTTGCACTCTCCGGCGCGCTTGATCAGTTTAAATATGAAGAGTCAACTCCCGTCATTGGACGAGAATACTCAGACGTCAATCTAGTCGACGACATCATCAATGCTAAGAACGCTGATGAGTTAATCCGCGATCTCGCCATCACAAGTGAGTCATCATCAACCCTTGACACCACCACTAACAATCTCAGTCTCGCAGAGAGGCGTTGTCTTCTTCCGCGCCCAGGACAATCTCACAGACGAGCTCCATAAAGCACTCGTCCACCGCCTCGGACAACTCTCTGGAAAACCAGCAGACTCAACACTGCATATCCATCCTCTCCTCAACAGCACCAGCGAGTTTGGTGTAGGTGACAACGAAATCAGCGTCATCTCATCTCAGGTTGAATTCTTCCAGGATCGTATCAAGGATAGAGATGATCGAAAGCAAGGCGCTGCCAGTTGGCATAGTGATATCCAGTTTGAGCAGTACCCTGCAGATTACACAAGTCTAAGACTCACCAAACTCCCATCTGGCGGGGGCGATACGCTGTGGGCGTCAGGGTATGAGTTATATGACCGTTATAGTGATGCGTATCAGAAGTTCTTTGAGGGTCTGACGGCCACTTACTCTGGAGACGGTTTTCTTCGCGCTAGGGATGCCAGACCTGATGTTTGGAAGGTTTACGAAGAACCAAGAGGTAACCCAGGGAATATCGGCGATGCCCTCAAGGCTATTCACCCCGTGGTGCGAACCAATCCCGTCACAGGGTGGAAGTCCATCTTTGCCATCGGCAATTTCCCCAAGAGGATTAACGAGCTGAGCGATCGTGAGAGCAAAGAGCTTCTGGAGTCTTTTTACGCGAGAATCGAGCAGAACCATGATCTACAAGTTAGATTCAGATGGCGAAACCCGAACGATATTGGTTAGTGTCTTTCTAGAGTTTGATATCACGGTGCTAACCTGTGTACAGCATTTTGGGATAATCGCAGTGCTTTCCATACCGCGACAAATGACTATGATGGTCTGGGCGAGCGGACAGGCCATCGGGCTGTTGGAATTGGCGAGAAGCCTTTTCTCAACCCTGATAGTCTGTCGAGGTCGGAGGCTTTGAGAAAGAAATAGACATTCAACATGGTTGTTGGGCGAGATTCATATATAGATTGCATTTAAAAATAAGATAAGAAGCGAAATATCAACCATTACATTATAATACTCCGCCCTAAGCACTGGTTTTATACGCGGTATCTGTGACTGGATCTTGTGGCAACATATCTCGACTAGGCAACCGACGATATTGTGAAAGGTAGCGGGCAAGTGACGCGTTGATCTGCGCCAATATCCGATGATCTGAATAGAGTAATATCTTTCACACTGAAATTCATTTGCAACTATTGTATGCATCAGCAAATCACGAGTGTTTCGCGCAGCAATAAGACAACTCGTCTGTGGCGCGAGAGAGGGATAAGCCGAATAATAGCAGCATCTCCATCATCGAGCGAGGGATACTGGAGGTTGCCGCCTAACCTTCCAGCAGACTCTATAAGGCACCGGCGATACTTTCGGAGTATGGTGCTTGGATCTCACGGAGTACCCTTGGCATGCACTGGCCAATATTGCATAGCTGGTTGGTTGTGTCGTAAACCTTTGCGCCTGTCTTACCAACGCCATGAAGAGAATGTCATAGCGTTCGGTCATTACTGAAAGGGGATAAATTCACAGTAAGGATCTGCAGCCAGCCAGCAATGAATCGTGAGAACCAACAATTTGGATGAATTTGTTTTCATCTTAACATCTTATGACCATCCACGACCGCAACCATAAACACAACTACCCTACTTACCACAACAAGTAAGGCAACATGCTTGCCAGTGATAGAAATCAGCTGCTTGCAAGGCTCTGTCCTGGTGACCGATCTGAGAGTTGGCGGAAAGATCTCGAACGTTCACGCATCCCCGGTTCATGCCAGTGGATACTCGACGACCCAAAAGCAAAGGAATGGCTACATGATTCTACTCGACACCATTTGTGGCTTCATGGACCATGTGAGTGTGAACAAATCCCGAGAGTATTTCTTTGCTAATTCCTTCCAGCTGCAACTGGCAAAACGTTCTTGTGGTTAGTTCATTTTCACCATGTGCAAAGAGATATCTGTTAACCTCCAACCCAGCTCCCGCCTCATTGAGCACATTCAACAAGGCCCCGAAACCAAAGAAAATGCAGTTGCCAGTGTCCACTTCCAACAGAACCACAGACAGTACAACCTCGCCGACTTCAACTATGCTTTAACCTCTGTTTTGAGACAGCTTGTATCACAGCTATCCAGCGCATCAGGTATTTTGAAGCAACTAGCAGAGATGGATGAGATTCCATATCCTGGTGACGATGAGTTTTACGACATTCTCTATCAGGTCGCTTCGGAGTTTGACAAGGTGTTTATTGTCTTCGATGGTGCTAATAGCGTCACCACGTCGGCTTTGAGAGATCTGATGCTTGCTATCACTCCAAATGGTTCTGATCCGATATTCTGGGTCCTTTTCGTAAGTCGCAATGCACCTTCTCATGATTCTGCGGCATCGTTTAAAGTTCTTGATATCTCTTCAAGGGCGCATGACAGGGACGTGGAGGTGTATATTACCCAGACGCTCCGAGATGTCTCAGCCAAAGACTTGTCCTCTGGCTATGAAGAATTGGTCCAAGACCTAGTTCAAGTATTTGATAGCATGTAAGTTTTATAAATTCTATCAGCAGTGAAATACTAACACTGATAAGCTTTCTTCCTATACCGGTTTGGCCTGTCGAAATTCCTATGTCAGAATTCCTGACCAGTCTCAATCAGCTGCTTTCTGTCTCTAGGGGCGCATCTACATCGAACAGGATAGATGCATTCTGTAAAGAAACTGTAACACAGATCATGGCTTGTCGATGGAGGGATATGATACTCTGCATTCTTTACCACATCATCAAAGCCGCTGAAGCTGGCTATACCTTGACAATGCCTATGGCCCTCCAAGCGTTGGATGCCTGGCAGATCCAGCAAGATAACAAAACTTTCAATGCTGAAGAGATTATTCTACATTGTCATGGCCTCATCTCCCATGGAAGCGATGAGTTGATGCGCATTATATCTCCTCTTCTTGGCAACTACCTCAAACGTGAAGTTTTCGGGGTTGACTACGAGAAGCGAAGCATCTCAGCTTCCATGCGATATTTATCGTCTGACACTTTCGCCCAAGGCGCTTGCACATCATCTACCGCTCTCAGAGAACGCCTGCACAACAACAGGTATCTGTGGTACGCCGCCAGGATGCTTGGCCCAAGTCTGGCAACAACCACCCCAGAAACCTTTGTCCAAGACTTTGTACAGCTCTCGTCTCGAAGAGGATTGATTGAGTCGTACCTTCAAGCGGCTGAATCATGGCCATATGAAAGTCAAACCAGCTATGATGAATGCGAGCAAGATGAAGAGCGCTGGAGATGCTTCACGCCTGGATATACTGCGCTGCACCTTGCTGCCCATTTAGCAGCTCCAGCCATTTTGATTGACACACTCATAACCGGTGGAGAAGTCCTTGAGGCTCAAGACAGTGATGGGCGTACAGCGCGGCATCTGGCCGCAGAGATCGAAGATGACAACCCCACGCTCAAAGCACTTTTGAGCGCCGGTAGCAATACGTCAGCAGAAGATAATCTAGGGAACACGCCTTTGTCTGTTGCCATTGTCAGCGGGGGCCTTGAGTCAGTGAAGATGTTGTTGAGCTATGGTGCTGAATTGGGTGAGCTTGACGAAGAGACTCTCGAGCAATGTGGGCAGGAGAAGCCAGATATTGCGTCTTATCTGAGGGAGCTTGGACTTGATGTACCTGTTGATGTTGAGAGTGATGTAGAAGATTGAGCTCTTACGGTAATGTGCTTTGGGCGGGAAGTGTCAGCAATGATTAGTTTACTGAATGAATCTGTCTTGTAGGTATTCTCTAATTTATCGTGTATCTATCATTCTAAATCATAAACATAAATCATATCTTCTGTTGGTATTTTTCCTTTCTTACTCTAGGGCACTCAACCATCTGGACAAATCCTTCGCTCCATCCGCAGTTCTAAACTTTTGTCCGCCGTCATCCCAAGGCGCCACCTCAGCTGGTCTCACAATATGAGCCAACTGAAGATGTGCCACCGCCATCATGGACGCATTAGATATCCTCACACCCTCGCTCATCGACACCGAAGTCAACAGATCAATCTCGTGTTTTCTCACAGTGTCTGAGGTGGTCTCCTTTTCTTGGTCAAAGATTGCCTTCCAGTGGCCTGTTCGCGATACTTGGGAGCGGATGTCTTGCTCCTCCTCGTATACCACTTCTTCGAGGGTGCTCTCGCTAGCTAGACCGGAAGACTCTTTGATGCTGCGGATCTTGCAGAACCACTCCACCTTGGACCCCTGGATCTCGACACCAAAGACAAGAGTGGCGATGAAGACAGAGGCGCGCTTCTCGTTCTTTTTTATGTTTTGCATGCCTTGGATGGCCAGGACGCATCCGTAGTGACCAGCTTGGTCCCAGGATCTTAGACTTATGGTTCCTGAGTCTAATCTGGGGTATGAGGTGATGCTGTCGTAGGGAATAGCTCCACTGTCGAGTGTAACGAGAACTTCGTAGGCGCCATGGCTGTAGAATTCGGGTTGGATGGAGGCACGTTCTCTACTGCCGGCAATGAACATGCTCTCCTCTCGGAGTTTTGTAGATCCTGTCAGCACGGGCACCGGACACGGCGGTGTTCTGTTGCGAGTGCAGCGGTCTTTTCCAGGTAATCTGTTGAGAAGAAGAGCGACCTGCTGGTTCTCTGAGTCTCGTCGGGCGTTGAGAAGGACTAGCCACTGCTCGACGGATTCCGTGATGGTGTTCATGATGGGCAGCTTGATGGATAGTCCAGCGTTCGTCATGGTGTAAGTCTTGGCTTCGTGGACAGGCCACTCTGTGTACATGCTTGAGTCGGCAAATGTTTTGGGCGATGGGGATAGAATACTGGCCCAGTCGTTGGGAACGTAGCGGTCGTCCCAGGCCCAGCAGAAGAGTGTCTGGTCGTTGGAAACTCGGATGATCTCCTCCTGCAGCCGGATGAACGCCCTCATTCCCTCTCCATAAACGATCTGCATGTTGATGTCGAAGATACCAAGCATACAGTAGGCGATGTCCTCAACCCTGGTAGTCTCTCTCTTGGATAACCAGGACATGCGCTCACCGATGCTGGCTTTGAAAAAGGTGCAGTCGAGGTATTGTTGATCGATCTTGGTGACAAAGGATATCGTGTTGGCGAGAGATTGTCTTGTTCCGAGGGTTGTCCAGTCCTTAGCGAAGAACACCACAGAGGTGGGTGCGAGAAGCTCAGGCAGAGTCCATCCTCTGGTAAACCATCTTGACGATCTGAAAGGCTGCATGGGATCAAAAGCACCGGTATCAAGAGCAGGGACATCGCTCAGATACACATAGCAAACCGAGGCGTTCTTATACCACGAGAACATGGCGTTGAGAGCCTCAGAGACCTCTGAAGAGCTGCTCTTGTCGATGCAGTTGGTGTCGCACCACAGATACATGAGGCCATCCTTTCTGGCCTGCTCGCAGACACGCCTGATCTTCTGGTGGCCCTTCTTGAGCTGCATGAGCTCGAGGTTGCCCTGCCAGTCTTGGAACGTGGCCTCGTCGGGACCCCATGTGTGTGATAAAATGGCATATTCTGGAGGCTGGCCGTAGAATTCCTCTAGCTGGAAGGTTTTGGTGTGGATGAGACGCATGTTTCTGACGAGACATTTAATTGCTGAGTGAGTGAGGAGGGAATGAGGAGGGATTAGTTCAAGGGTTTATGTGGTGATGGTCAAGTATTAGAGTGAGATAGAGACCCATCGCGATTTGATGGGGTTGTAGCGGTGAAGCCCCACAAGTGGCATCGGGGGATGATGTGGCATGCATATAGAACAGTTAAGACGCGAAAACACGATGGTCGATTTGTTGGCAGTTGAGTTTTGTGCTGTTGTCATGAGTCAGGGTATGTGTTTGTGGAATTTGGTGCAGTTGATGCCCAAGCAATGTGGTTCGTGGTGTTCACTGTTTGGTGACTTGTCAAGTAGGAGGGTATTTGGTGAGTCACACAAAAAGTGGTATGATGTTTTTGGATGTCTTTACTGTATCAATTGGATTATTTTAACGTGTGGTATTACATATAAGTTCTGCATCTGTTTGCCTGTCAAATAAAGGTGCCTGATCTACACTAAAGGTGTCTCGCATGCAGGATGTTGAGATGTGATTATGCGGGTACCTGACACTGCACGTGATAGTTTGCTACGAACTTTCCAACGGGGTTTGGAACTGACACTCCCGTGTTATTATTGGCTGTTGTCTTAATTGAGCCAGGAACCCAACGGTGCCGGTCAAATCTGTCCATCAGCAATTGCATTTGTTTGGCTCTGCAGCATCTGATCAGGCTCAAGGCCAGGACAGGGATTGAATGCACAGATTGTAATCATACAAGGGCTCCAACTATCCCAAAAGAGGATTTTGGGATGGGTAGTTTTCATGTCCCACAAGTTAACGTCATTTTATCCCGTTTTGTATTTTTGCCTACCCTATGGCCTTAGGAGCAAAACTCCGGTAGCAATGACCTACCGTTTGCGGATACCTTGGGCCTAGAACAACTGACGCAATCTTTGTCAGGTGGAGAGAGATCTCGATCCGGTCTCGATCGTCGAGCAACATCCGGGCCTTCGTCCATCGCCCCGGTCGCTCTTGATCATTTTCCTGCTTTCCAATTCATTCATTTCAATCCCCGTCTCTTTTGGGACCTTTCCCAAATTCACCATCAAACATGTCCTAAAAAGTGTACTTTTTATTCCCAAGCCATTTATCTAAATGACCTCGTTAGAGTAACTTCACTAAATGCATTTTTTCCCTCGAGCAGATACCGCTCTCCTCTCCTCCACCTTTGACTACCACAAACTTCCCCCGAGGCCGAAGACCATCGGCCCCATCTTCGATGCAGAGAACTTCAAGACGCCCGTAGAGGCCTGGGCCCCGGAACGCGACGACTACTTATACCCCGCGAAGCCAGACCCCTACGCGCCCACCTCAATACCTCCTGAGCCGACCACTTGTCCCTCCAGATACCTCCGGACGCGACTGGCCAAGAATGAGAGATTGAGACTGTCGATGCTATGGTACTACGCGAGAGACCTCGATAACGAGCCTGAGCTGCTGGCGGGCCTGCAGGAGAAGGCATGTCTTGCCCAGGAAAACTCGGGCTGGGAGTTTGCGGTTATCGGCCTGCTCGACGCCAATGTTTACATCCGCCTGGCCACCGTCGGTCTCGAACTCGCTATTCTTCCTCGCGGCGAAACCATCTGCGCACACACAGTGACGCAACCCCCAGGAGTATGGCCATCCTATCCAATCCCCTTTCCGAACCCGCGCTGAGACTCCAAATTATAGAACGTCTTTCTCCTACCGAACATGCTCGAAGACTGGCGATTCCGAGAGTGTCCGTACGTTGAACAAGGCGGCCTTATCGCATACGCAGGCGTCCCGCTTCGAATGCAGCACGAATCAGGTGAATGTGTTGGCCTCGGATCGCTTTGCGTAGCGTCATCGACACCGCAGCCCCCGTTGTCTAAATCGCAGCAGCTGGCACTCGCGCGCTTGGGCGACTGGGTTGTTTCCGATATCATACAATGCGCCCGGACAAGGCGCCAGCGTGAACGAAACCGGCTCGTTGGACTTATTGCGGCTCTTGAAAAGGAGCCTGAAGGCGATGATGTTCAGGAACCGGTTCTGCGAATACTTCGCGAAGCATACCCCGACGAGTCAATTAGTCTGCAGTCTACGGGAAGTGGGCAGACAGGCACGAGCATACCATACCCCGCGGCGGCATCGGACCTGAAACACGGACTGTGGGAGGACGATAACTATATCGAAGACTTCATCGCCAACTCAAATTACGACGAACCGCCGAAGGACAGGGTTGTCCGCTACATTTCAGCACAATGCGAAACCAAAGTCGGCCTTTCAGCACTCGTGTTAGCAACAAAAGACTTCAAACGAATATTCGACGACGTTGACTCATGGTTTGTCCATACGTGCGCTACCCAGCTCACCCAGCGATGGCAGAAGCGTCTGCTGAATGAAGTCATGAGGGCAAAGGAGAAGTTCCTCCGGGGTGTATCTCACCAGCTGCGAACACCCATCCACGGCATCCTTGGCGCTGCGGAGCTTCTCACAGAGGACCTAAGGTCGTTAACGGTGCCTGGTAGCTCACAGCTACGGCCTGGGGCGGAGGCGCTGATGCAGCCGCTTGCTGACATTGCAAAGTCATATGTTTATCTTGATACCATCGCGACAGCAGGTAGGGAATTGATGTCGACCGTCAACAACATGATTACTCTCAACAGGTGGGCCGATATCGCTGCTGCCAAACGGCAGTATGATACATACGATATCCAGGCGTTGGAAACGACGCTCGTCAAGGGGTTATTGGAGTTTCCCTCCAGAGATCCACGGTTACAAGCCCCCGTTTTCTTTCATCACGACTTATCCCCCGAATGCGACGGTCTTCGCCTTGATATGAATCTCTTCCGCGACAGCATTCTCCCTCTTATCCTCAACGCTGTTCAGAACACATCCGAGGGTGTCGTAACGGTCACACTGTCGTACACTCAGAATACGAGTATGCTCACGGTTGACGTGCAAGACACGGGCTGCGGCATTAGTCTAGATGACCAGAGCCGTATTTTCGATTTGTATGAAAAGGTCGCGGAGCATTCCACAGGTGCTGGACTGGGTTTGACCGTTGCTTCCAAGTTCTCGGCGTTGCTTCATGGATCTGTGGAGTTGGTGTCATCGGAGGTTGATCGTGGATCTCATTTCCGAGCAACGTTCCGTGATATGCTTTGCACGGCTTCATCGTCCCCTGCGCAGTCTGGAACTGTCTCCCGGTTCAAGCACCTCCCACAGAAGTTCCGCCATCTGCCATCAGATTCTCCAGACGTGCACTTGCCGTCCAACTTAGCGAGGTACCTCGGACGAAATGGCTTCTCATCATCAAATGAAACCCACGAATGTCTCAACATTGTTGACTACATTCACGACCCGCAACAGCGCCAAAAGTACGAGTCAACACTACCTCAAGATCAGGTTGCTGTCTGCCTTGTTCCACACTTGCACCAAATTGAGACGCAAGAATCTCGGAATATTATTTTCATTGACGGACCTTTCTCAGCATCCACGCTTGATTCTGCGCTGCTCAAAGCCGATGAGCTATTGACGAAGATGCGCGAGTCAATAAGTGAACCTACTCACCCGTCATCTGCTCCTACACAAGATGATTGCGGTGCTTTACCAAGACCTTCATGCAGACCCACAGGATGTGATCAGGACTCGGGCTATGGTTCCATGAACAGCTCATCAATTAGCGGAGGAGGAACAAATACGCCCCAACTCCAAACCCCATCAGAACACCAGACTGCAACTTTATTATCGCAGACTGACGCACCGCCCGTCAACCTCCCCATCAGACCTTTAATACCCCCTTCGGCCCCCACAAAGCCCTTTACCCTCATCGTCGACGACAACGCCGTCAACCTGCGCATCCTGGAGATGTACTGTAAGAAGCGCGGCCTCCCCTACCTCAGCGCCGTCGACGGCAAGCAAGCAGTCGACATGTTCACCAAGCAGCAGGCTTCTGGCGGTGCCCAAGTCGGGCTCATCCTCATGGACTTGCAGATGCCCGTGTGTGATGGTATTAGTGCTACCCAGCAGATCCGCGCGTTAGAGAAGACAGAGGGAAGAGCGGTACTATTTATAGTGACGGGACAGGATAGCACACTGGATAGAGAGGCGGCGAGTGCGGCGGGGGCGGATGATTATCTTGTTAAGCCGGTGGGCATCAAGCTGCTGGATAGTAGTCTGAAGGGATACTTCCCAGGCTTGACGAAGTGAAGATGGATACCCTATGCACGATGCATTATGTCTTTCACGACTCAAATTAAGAATAACACAATGAGTTACATGCTGTTTAATGACTCAGGTTGGTGACATTATTCTCCGACACTCAAGTGATCTCCGTTTGCCAAGCCCTTGAGCGACAAAAGCAATGCCAATCAGACGCAATACAATGCACAAATACTTCATCCTCTCCGGTCCGAGGATAACTCAAGTCACCGCCAGACCGTCATAGGCTTGCATCACCCCAGCTAAACTCCAAACCCCCCAAGACATACCAATCCGGTTTTAGGCCCCTTGGCACGCTCATTATCAGCGCACCCGCCAAGCAAAAATAGCATCATCACTCACTGCAATCCCCGCTACACCACCACGCGTCTGCAAAGATCATTGCCCTATTTCGCAGGACGTCTTACTCGCCACTGACGTACTTTTATCTCCCCAGTAGAATGCCCTAGTGAATTAAAGTCTTTCTAGTGGATTAGAGTAATCGCCAGCCTGTATTTAAGACAGTCTTTTCCCTCTTTTTTGGAAACTCAGGGAATAAGCTTATTTTTAAGCTTAAGCCACCCAAAATAATAAAGAGAATGGCCACGAACGATGCGTTGACAACGCAGAATGAAGCGTCTTCTGCGCCGAGTACGCCTTCTATGCCTGCCAAAAATGAAGTCTCCGACGACACGACACGGGGCCCTCCGCCGCTGCCGTATAACCTGCGCGAACACAAACTCATGATCTTTCTGTTCTGGCTGCTCATCTTGACAGAATGCACGCTCATTCCGATTATTTTCTACTTCTGCATCTCCAACCTCACCGATCTTCGGCCAGGTGCTATGTTCGCCATCATCACCGCCATGTTCGGCTTCATATCGGGCGGAGAATACGGCCTCCGGGGTCTACGTCTTGCGCTGAAGAGGGATACATACCGGCCGCTCAAGAACGCGGGGCGCTGGAACTTCGACACGGTGCACCTCGTCCTTGGGCAGCCGTACTTCGTCATGACGGCGCTCATGATCGGCTTCAGCGTGCCGGACCCGCCCATGATGCGCGGCCTGAGCATCATCATGCCTGTGGGCATCCTCATGGTTACATCGTACATGATGTGGACGGGGGTCGCGCACCACTTCGGCTGGCACCTACGCTGGCACCGCTTAAGCTCTCACGTCGTCGGGGACGTCTACCCGCCGCTGACGTTCTGCATCATGGAGGACATAACGGCGTGCGACGGCGGGGGCGGCAAGGAGTATCGCGAGGCGGCGCTGGCGCGGTACAACGCGTCGCCGCGGTTCCGAAGGATGTTGGTGGAGATGCTGTGGGCGTGGGCCATCAGCGGAGCGGTTCTGAGTATTGTGCTTATTGTCCTGGCGTGGGTGTTGCCGGTCGAGGTGGGATACACACTTGGTTGGGCTGTTCCGTCGGTTTGGGGAGGGATTGGGGCGTGGGCTACTATTAGATGGGGGCAGCGGTCTATAAGGATAGAGAGGGAGAATTGGACCAAGGATAGGATGGTGGGTGCATGAGGATAGAATAGATGTATACTAGATGTACTACATATATGTTAAAAATTAGAGTCTGTAATCAGAATATTATGTATCTATCGTGAAGGGTTACGCAAGGTATATACTTTGTACGGCAGTAGGAGAAATATCTTTGTAATCATTCACACCTGAATGACACAATTTCTTGGATACCATTTTGGCAAATGTCACTACACACCAATGCTGAACAAAATCATCGGGCCGAACCTAATTGCTTATACTTAGCTCTCATTAGGACCTCTTAAGCAAATAAGACATGATCATCCATACATCTCCAACAAACACATCTATACCTACACTGCGAACAAGAAAATACGGAAGCGTATAGGGTAGGCACAACGCCAAGCTTCGTCTTGTATCTTATCAGCACATGGTCAAAGCTGTCTGCGTCTCCTTATCTTATCTTCCAGTATATGAGATTTGTTTCAAGGGTGACTGACGCTTGTCGTTCTTTCGCCCTACGGTGAGTGGCCATATTCCACCGTAAAACATAAAACATACCATATGCCGATTCCCGGGCCACGGATCTTACACGTCGTCATTTTCCCGTCCAGCGTGGCTGTGCTCTATCGTTCAACATGTCTATGTCAAACACGCCATATGCCGAGACCCGCGCTGTTGAGCAAGAATTGCTGAGCAGGATAATTCTTCCATTCATGCGGTGAATCATTTGTCCTTGTTGTATCCGTACACGAACTTGACAGGCACACGTAACGAGCTGCATACAGACAAACTCAGCCTCAGCTAACCCCTCACGATCTCAGTGATTCGTTATTTGTACGGGCACGGATAGAATATTTCCTTCTAGAACTAATATCTAATATCCGCTAAATCTTTAATTCGCCCGCTTACACCAATCTGGCTAAAGCCGAGTAATAAACAGGTTGCCCAAGAGTCTGATAGGCGGAATAACCACCATGTTTGAAACGCATTTGCCATTTATTCCCACGGGAACGTCTGTAATCTATGACCAAGGTTCGTTTCCTATAGCACTGACGTCCCTTTTCGCGATCCAGCCAATCGCACACTCTTCCATATGCCCCCCTTTTAGCCTAATAAAGCTGTACCGGCCGGGGGTTTAGTGGAGGTGGGCAAATATGGGGTGCTTCTGCTTCTGCTTCTGCTTTACCGACGGTAAATAAGGCCGCTTTTGAACTACTAGAGACTATGCCTATGCCCTCCACAGCTTGAGTCTTGGCTTTTTCACAGGCGCACCAATGTTTCTGGCTAGTTCGGAAGATCTGCTTGAGATGGAGGTGCGGCAGTGAAAGCATCAGCCAGTTTGTAGATATGGAATAGGCATGGCCTGGGACTGGAACGATGATCATGTGGTGGCTCAGGCTCAGGCGTCGAGCTGGGCCATGTCTTCAATTCTCGTATTGGGGCAGATGGACAAAGTGGAGGCTGAAACATCGCTGCCAAGATGAAACCCACTATGGTTCATCTTAGCGAAGGTTTGTTTATGGTGAAGCCGAGAAACATGCCGTTTCTCACGCTGACTGCGGGTGCTGTAAGGCGAATCCAAGACTATTCCTCAAAAGAATCCCTTCGATATTCTACAACCACAACACAGCAATGATAGTTGGGGTACGCCATATCCCATCAGCACCCAAAAAAGAAGTAAGGAAAAACATGGCACGTTGCAGGGATTACTGTATCTAGCCGTCTCGTCTCCTTAGGGAAATGAGCAGGCAAAAGACGTACCCGATAAGTCAAAGCCCGATCACACTAACCCTAAAACACTCGCACGGATCCGTCTCCGTGGTTCTGAAAGGGAAGAACGGCATCGGTAAAAAGGATACAGCAACAGGGATTGACTGCTTTGGGAAACTTGTTCGGATCATCTAGACCCACGACGGTAACAACGAAAATCAAAAGAGGTCTGGGCGCTGCGGTTATATCACGTTGGATACAATCTACAATTTCTCCTCCAATACTGAGCTCTATGATATCGAGGCCAATTGGAAATTAAGGGCCGTCTTGATAATTATGCCAGAATAGACTGCCGTCCCATCGAGTAACCAGGATCTACAGACATTTATATCTTATATATATATATCGACCAACGACCGCTTCTTTGATATCACTTCCTCAGCCTGACTCTCACAGCCAACTCTCACCTCACACAGCCAAGACATCTCTCTCTTTCTACTTATCATGAAGTTCCTCAGCAACGACCTGCTCGCCACGAGCTTGATGCTCCTCGCCGCCGTCGGTGACGTCTCGGCCCAGTGCGCCCTCCCCTCGAGCTACAAGTGGACATCCAGCAACGCCCTCGCCCAGCCCAAGTCCCCCTGGCTCTCCCTCAAGGACTTCACCGTCGCGCCCTACAACGGCGGCCAGCTCGTCTACGCCACCGTCTTCGGCACCGGCTGGGGCTCCATGGCCTTCAGTACCGTCTCCAACATCAACCAGCTCGGCTCCGCCACTCAGACCGGCATGAACTCGCTGGCCGTTGCCCCCACCCTGTTCTTCTTCCAGCCTAAGAACGTCTGGATCCTGGCTCACCAGTGGGGTCCTCACAAGTTCTCCTACAGAACCGCCAGCAACCCTACCAACCCCAACGGCTGGTCCCAGCCCCAGCCTCTCTTCACCGGCAGCATCTCCGACTCCGGCACTGGCCCTATTGACCAGACCGTCATTGGAGACAGCAAGAACATGTACCTGTTCTTCTGCGGCGATAACGGCAAGATCTACCGCGCCAGCATGCCCATCGGCAATTTCCCCGGCAGCTTCGGCTCTGCCTCGCAGATCATCATGTCGGACACCAAGGAGAACCTCTTTGAGGCCGTCCAGGTCTACTCCGTCAAGGGCCAGAACAAGTACCTCATGCTTGTCGAGGCGATGGGCAAGAACGGCCGTTTCTTCCGCTCATTCACCGCCAACAGCCTCGACGGCCAGTGGACTCCCAATGCCGCCACCGAGAGCAACCCCTTCGCCGGCAAAGCCAACAGCGGCGCGACCTGGACCAACGACATTAGCCACGGAGAGCTTATCCGAACCAGCGCCGACCAGACCTTCCCTGTCGACGCCTGCAACCTCCAGCTCCTCTACCAGGGCCGCAACCCCAGCATCAATACCGACTACGACCGTCTCCCCTACCGCCCCGGTCTGCTCACCCTCAAGAAGTAAGGGGCTGGCTCGGGTTGTATTGCATATGACACGGTTATCCTTCTTTTGGGGCTTGCGCAAGCGTGGATGCTGAGCATCGGATCTTGCGTCTTCAGTGGGTGATACATAATGGTTCACCCATGACACTCATTCAAATATAAATAGTTGTTTCTGATTGTATATTTTTATCGATGAATTCGAAATGAGTCACATTATCTGAATGGAACTTCGCATACCAACTTTGCTCTCCTTACTCTCCTGTTTCTTTGTGACATCTTTGTGGTAATATCTGATCTTGAATTTCGAACAACTCAAATATCAAGTCATTGAGATAATGAGTGGAATTGATCTTGGTGCAGATCAACTCGGGCCTCTTTAATGCTTCACTCTTGGTATCCACGACATCTAGAGTGCAGCCGCAAAACCTTACTTTATATACAAATTTCTAGATACATTTATCGATAGTGGAGAAGGAGACAGTCTTTAATACTTGTAAGGGATGCTAAATCACATCTGCTTATGGTTTTGAGCCTGTCAGAATACAGTTCTGTTTCTTACCTGAGGTGGCAACAAATCACATGAACTTTTTCACATGCTGGGCTAACATATCCACGGATTGAGAATCGAGAATGAAGTACCACGATTGACTGTGGTAACTTGACTTTAAATAATGAGTTTCCCCTACTATTTGATATCCGCAGTCCACGTTCTTCATGTGAATATCTGTCCTTTGACAACGGAAATGATAGAATCGTGCCTTTGGTGTAGCGATTCCAAGAGAAGAAGCGTTAATTGTAGCACCATTAGTCCACGTGGTGGTTGCCAAATATCCCGTACAGCGCCCATCTAACAAATCCCCCTCCAGGCCGTGAGATCACCTCTCTGACAGTAGCAAAGTCATACTCATCACAAGTTTCCAAACAGAGAATGTTACCTGTCATTCCCCGAAACATGAAATATGAGTCTGGCTGTCTCTTACTAAGGACCAGACAGCTGTCACAGGAAGAGTGGTGTACTAACATTGATGTAATAGAGTCTGTCAGAGTTGCCACCAATTCAAGAATCAAGGCAGAATTGCAACCCCGTGTGAAATTCCGGATATCAAGCCAACTAAGAATGTATATAATAATCAAGACATAAAAAGTCTATGATAATCAGGAAAGTATATATGAACAAGACTATGAATAATAGAAGAGTTAATTGTAATTTCCATCATGTCTTCCACTATAAAAGAGAGGAAATTAAAAGAACTCTTCCACACCCACTGTAGTATGCATAACAGCTCAGAGGCAGGGCACAACTATGCTCTTAATCTCCATACACGAGAAGCTATCCAGTTCCTGCTCACCGGCATAACGTCAGTAATCAGAAGGTACTCACTAGTTTCTTGGCAAGGTTGACCCGATACTAAGCCAAGACAAATACGTCATGATCGACCTTGATGGACAATAGCTTCCATTTAATTATTGGGGATTTTGGAATGATTGTAGTTTAGTCATTCTTGGCTTATACCAGCTGAGCACAAGAAGGATTCGGTCAATGCGCCGAGACCCATTTCGATGAATTAAAAATGTGCATTGGGTAATTGTCTGGAGAAAGCGCAGCTTGGCTCTTTGTTAGTGGATGATCCAACATTTGAGGAATCGCAATGAGATCATCCTGCCTGCGCGCTCTTGGTATAAGACGGATAATCCCCCCAATCTTAAGAATGAATCATATCAAACAAGACGGCTATGGAAAACCTTAGAATGGCGAGAATTCACTTGATCGCCACGCTGTGCCTCGCTGGACATGTCTCAGCGCAAACCAATTCCTCTTACAGAGACTGCCCAGTCGCCATTCGAAACATCGCCACCGAGAACTGGCCCTACAACTCCACGGGTACCCTCCCCATAGAAATCGAAGGACAAGACGACCCATGGCGGATATCCGTCGCTGTAACAGACAGACGAGCGCCTGATCTATGGTTCGGCGACCGAAGATCTGATCAGGAAACTAATACCTACCTTAGCGTTCCCAAGTCGCTCATTGGGTCTTCTGAAGGCAACGAGACGTTTGTTTGCTTGTATATGATGCCTGGGGTCAACCAGACGGCTACGAATGCCACGGAGGCGGATGGCTCGTGTAATGGGATTTTGAGCGATGAGTGTATCGATGAGTTTAATGAGGCGCCGACTTCAGACGGGCAGAAATGTCCCACTGTCTCGGCCAGCGAAAAGTGTGGGCGATTCGTCGCAAGTCAACGTGTGTCAACCATCGATCATAGTCCTGTCCCATACTGACAATCTCCAGTGACACCTCTCAACTTTTCCAGCTCACGCTGTGCCCTTGACGAACTGCCGAGTATCGACTTGCCAGAAAACTACAAGACCTTTGGCGGGTTTCCTGGAGGCGCGCTTTTGGCTGGGGATAGAGAGCTGGACGAGTATGACGCTTATAATTTGAGAGTCCGTCAGCCTATCCCGTTGCTACTCACGGCGCGATCTGGTAATACTCGGCAGAGCAAGATGGTTTGTATTGCTCCGAATAATGTCGTTGATGGTAGTCGGATACCTGAGTTGGACTTTCCGCCTTCTGGGGCTATGTCGATCCATGGGGGGTTTGGTACGGGGGCTTTGATGGGGTTTGTTGGTTTGGTGATGATGGTGAACAGTATTTGGTGAGAATTTCCTGTAAGAAGTAATTGAATAGATTAATAGGAAGACGAAGATTCCTATTCATTATTGGATCTGCCGCGTATTCGGGTTGGCGCTGTCTATCACAATACCCCGCCTTTCAGCGATAACCAACCAACCTCCCAAGTCGGGGATAGACAATCCCGCGATAAGCTGGTATCTCCAACCCTGCTGAATTTATAGTGCCGTTGATAAGAAAATAACAAGGTCTGCAACATCTGCCTTGTCCACTTTTGGAAGGAGGGCACGCGAGCTGGGGATACTGTGATACTTTAGACTGATATTCCAGGGAACTTTTGGTCTTGGCGAGGCGATAACGGACATGGCCGCACTCCGTTAATGATTTCCTAGATAAAAGATCGTCGTGGGCGCTCAATTGACTCAGTTCAGTCCTTTCTCACTTGTCCTTTTGCTTGAGACGTTACAGCTGAGACAAACTAAAGATGCGTCTGTCGTCAATCCTCGCTGGAGTAGCTTTGCTCTCTGCTTCGTCCTCGCAGGCACTGAACATCCTTCTCAACAACGACGATGGATTCGGTTCGGCGAATCTGCGCGAGACATACCGTCTGCTCAAAGGAAAAGGCCACAACGGTAAGACCATCCCCTAATTCCCAATTGGCAGTCATTGACATGTGCCTCTAGTCTGGATTGTTGCACCTGCGACGAAGCAGAGCGGAAAAGGCGGTTCTTCGGATTTCACCACCGAGGGGAACTTGACTGAGCCGTCGATCTATGATTTGATTCCCAAAGGAGCACCATCTGTAAACTTCCTCAAACGCTGCGGTTTGAATTGTCCTCTGATTTGTGTGATAGGTTGGAAGTGATCCCAAGGATAGCCAGATCTGGTATTACAATGGCACCCCGGCAGCGTGTACCTTCGTGGCTCTTGACTACGTCCTCCCTCGTTACGCCAACTTCAGTGTTCCTGATCTCGTCGTCACGGGCCCCAACTTTGGAACGAACCTGGGCGGTTTCGTGTGGACTTTGTCCGGCACAGCCGGTGCTGCGTAAGTCCTCATCCTGTGATTACAAGACTGGGGTACTGACTTGAATTAGATATGCTGCTACGCACCGCGGTATCGCCGCCATCGCAATCTCAGCAAGCAACCAGGAAACCCCGTACACAGAGTTAACAAACCGCACAAACCCCGCTACATGGGCCGCCGAAGCCGCGGTGAAGTTCGTCGACAGCTTCATCTCCACGGCACCCAAGACTGGCCCTCTCCTGCCCACTGGCTATGGCGTCAATGTGAACATCCCCGTGCTTACCAAGAAGGACCACGATCCGGATTTCGTCCAGACGAGGTTCACGGGGAACGCGCATGTCAATGAGGCTGTGCTTGACAAAGAGAAGGGTACGTTTACGTGGGCAAACATCAAGCCTTATGCTGCGGGTGTGAATGCTTGCATTAACGGGGACTGCTCTCTTCCTGGTGAGACGTATGTTGTTGAGAATGGGAAGGCTTCGGTGTCGTTTTACACGGTTGATCATTCGGCGCCTAGTACAGCTTACACGCAGTCTCTCATCAAGCGAGTTGCGTCGTTTATAAAGTGATACGTACAAGGGCAGTTTGTAGTGAAGAAATCTTGCACACCTTCGATTATCATCGCTATGCTTGCTAAATAGACATTATCAAAAAATGGCAAGTTCAACGTTCCTCAGCCGCGCCGCGGCCTCAATATCAAACGTTGACGTCCCGTCCTCCCACGCTTCACCGAGTAACGCAAACATGATATTTATAAGATCAAACGAATCCTCTAGAAAGGAAGCCTTTACTTCGTCAAGGGTTCTCTTCCAGGTTGGATGCATCTTAAGTAGGGGCACCTCCAGACCGGCGTTTATCACTGGGTATGGCAGCCCGTTGTGCACTAGCAAATTTTGATTGCGAGGTTCCTCGTAGGCCTTCTGTAGAGCGTCTATTGATGAGATGAGACGGCAGAGGACGATTTCCGTTTCGGGTGTTGTCTTGGCTGGATCTTCATTATAACCTGGGATACCTCTTGCCTTTTTGGCCATTCTTTGTCGACGCCGGACCTCGAGAATCCCTGATAGCCTCCAGCATTCCCAGTAGTGGCATTGAAGGGACTCGCCTACCTGCCCGGGCCACGTCCAGAATCGCTTTTCGGTGTATTCGGGATCGTTGTCGACCATTCCGGCGAAGATGTCGAGCAATGGCCGAGGGAGGCCGGATACGACTTCGATACCAGTTGCCCGACCTTGGGGAAGATCATCTTGGAGACCGCGCAGAAGCTTCCAGACTCCTATGGGTTGGTTGATGCGGCCGATGACCATGGAGGGAAGATCCATCACGCCTAATACTTCCATGACGTGCTGTGTGTACAATTCGTTGATGGGTATTTGGCCTGGTTTGTTTAATTTTGTCTTGAGATCGTAGACCTCAACCATTAGCTCCAGGTACATTGTCCATGGCTGAGTCTGGAGCAGCTATAGGTTTGTCAGCGCAAACACAGGGTAAGGAGGGACGGAGTACGTACACACAGTGAACAGACGAGTAACCCAGCGCATATAGTGGCAACATGCATCTTAGCATACCGATCGGAAAGCTCCTGTCGGAACGTCTGTAGAGCCAAGTCGATATACTCCATTGACTTGACCGATATGCCCTGGTCACCATCGTCCAGGTAACCCTGTATCGCCCCCGCGATGATAACTACCGCCGGGCTCTGCTGAGCCATGTCCTCAAAGAATGGCTTGATCCATGAATTCGCTTCCGTGGAGTAAAGCCGGTTGAGGCCATTTTTCATGACTAACTCACGATGGTATTAGCATATTTTCTATTGGTTGACTAACTACCTCGGCAGTCAAAGAGGAGGTGAGGAGTAATGACATCTTTGAAATATCGCATCTTGAGGCTCTGGCAGATTTCGCGGCGAAAAGGCAGATGATGACCCCGTGCTGGAAGTTGACGCGGCGTGGCTTGGCGTGGGCGTGATGGCGATAGAGGCAGACTGCGAACGAGAAGCCACAGTCTCGGAATCAATCGACATGTCGGAGGAAGGGTCTGGGACCAATGACGCGTCGGGGATGGATGCACCAGCAAATCTCCCTCTAGAGGCTACGCCGTTGACCCATCGCAGCGGCGTCGAGTAACCCTGGCACCTCATGCCTCTTTGGGCGCAAGCCTGGCATTCCGGTCTGGCCTGGTCACATTTCCGCTTGCGGGCTTTACAATTGAGACACCCTCCACGCGATCGAGCCATCTGTCACTTGGACTCGGGGGGCCACAGCAGATCTGCGGGGAAAACGGATAAAAGAGGGCTGATGGCTGGGCTGGTATCCGTAGGGATAGTCGCTAAAAAGGTATCTCGGTACGTAAGACTAAAGATCCAGGGATGGGGGTTGGTGAGAAGAGGAAGAAGCTTGCGGGGCTGCGGTTACAACGCAGAGTTTATAGACGAAAAGGGGTGAAAGAGGCGCCGCGCGATTAGCAACTACTTCAGGCCTAGTGCGCGCTCTGGAACATCTTATCGCCATAGCCTTGATTGGGGGGGTTCAATGGCTGTCTTCAGCTGTGATTTGCTCCCCAGGATAACAAGGTTTAGACGGGACAGGGGTGTCACGGTAGATAGCTGAAAGAGACTGACGGAGATCACTGATCTTCTCACAGACCACCATCCAACTGGGACGGACCCCTATCATTCAACTAAGAAAGATTGCAACTGTGACTGTAACTGCGACTGCGGTTGGATGCAGAGTGCACTCGTATCAGGTTTGTCTCGTGCAGCAGCTGGTGCCTTTTCCACGATTGGAAATATTTGTGCCCTCAGGTTTGGATATATAACGTGGCTTCCTCGCGTTGATCCTCCCAACATGTCATATCAGACTCAGTTCCACTCAGCTCCTCTACCAATCTTAACACATTGTATCTGACAACACTCACCTGTGCTTCATAGTCCAACATCGCCATGGCATCTTCCGATCCGTACCCAGTCCCTGGCGGGGTCCGTTTGATCCTGGGTAAAAACACCACATCTACCTATTCCCACTACACACACGCTGATACAAGTCATCTCACGTAGCAGAAGAATCTACCGACGCGTCTAGTTTCGTCTTGCAGCCAACACCCTCTTCTGATCCCAACGAACCACTCGTAAGCCTCTCACGCGTCAAGCTTCACAGCCGTGGACTAACACATTCTAGAACTGGAACACTTGGCGCAAATGTCTTAACTTTAGCTTCGGCATTGCCGTTACAGTCGCTGCATTTACCAATCTTTCTATCCAGACTGTCTTTTGGCAGCAGATGACCGTTGACATGGGCGTCAGCATCAGCCAACTGACCAATGCCCAGTCTGCACAGCTTGCTGGTCTGGCGTTGGGCTGTTTGTTCTTTATTCCCTTGACTATCAAGTATGGACGTCGTTCGACTTATGTCGCTTCGACGGTGGGATTGGCTGCTGTGGCTTGGTGGACTTCGAGGATGACGTCTTATGGGGAGTTGATCGCCACGTCTGTTTTTACTGGTCTTGCCGGCGCCATTAACGAGACTGCTGTGCAGATGACTGTAAGTTGTAACATCGAGGATGTGCGATATCATGTACTGACTATTGCCTAGATCGCAGATCTCTTCTTTGTGCACCATCGAGGCTCTGCAAACGCCGTCTACTTCACCGCCGTCATGGTAGGCGCCTTTCTCGCCCCCATGGCAGCTGGAGTCCAAGCCTCCACCCAAGGCTGGCGGTGGTCTTACTACACCTTGTCCATCTGCCTCACCGTCCTTTTCTTCGTTTTCTTGGTAGCGTTCGAGGAGACAAAGTACATCCCTGTCTCAGTCGGCCAGACAGAAGGCGTGGAGGTTTCTTCCGAGCACAGCAACTCCAAGGAGGACCTTGACGAAAAGAAGAAGATGGAAGGCGATGTGGCTACCATCGCTACACAGACCGAACCGACTATCCCCATGAACTCGTATCGTCAACGTCTCCGTTTCATCACCAAGACGAATGAGTCTCTTCCTCGACTGTTCATGATGCCTCTTTATGTCATCACCCTCCCCCACGTCATGTTCACCGCCCTGCAGTTTGCCTCTGGAGTCTGCTGGCTGGTCATCTTCATGCAGGTTACCTCCATTGTCTTCTCGGCGCCTCCATATCTTTTCACCACCGCTGGAGTCGGATACATGGCCTTGGGACCATTCGTCGGTAATATCTTTGGCAGTATATACGGTGGATCCTTTGCAGATTGGGCTATCGTTCGGTTGGCGCGACGAAATGGTGGTGTTTTTGAGCCCGAGATGAGATTGTATCCTCTTGTGCTCACTACTATCTTCATGGCTGGTGGAATCATCATGTTTGGCGTTACAGCTGACCGATTACGTAACTTCCACCAGGTACAAGACATTGCTAACATGTGATAGGGCATGCACTGGATTTATCCCTCCATTGGTGGAGCATTCTTTGCTTTTGGACTTGGTGCCAACGGCGATATCAGCTTAACTCTTGTCATTGACACTTATCGCGAGGTATGACTAGTCCCATTCTAACAGAAAGCCCCATGACTAACCCTTGATAGCTCACTGCCGAGGCCTTCATCGGCATCGCCTTTATGCGAAACGCCATCTCCGTCGCCGTTCCCTTTGCTCTCGTGCCTTGGATGAAGAGTATGGGGCTTTCCAACATGTACATCATGAGCGGAATCATTGCTTTTGCCATTGGTTCTCTGTTCGTGCCTATGATCATCTGGGGACGTCAAATGCGCACGGCTTTGGCACCGAAGTATTGGAAGTTGGTCGAGATGCGCTCCAAGATTGGGTGACGTGTTTTCGCTTACGAGATGGGGGGAATATTTGGAATTGTATGAGTCGGGTTGTTATTTATGTCATTATTTAGTTGAATACGAAGCCATTCTATCATTGCGAATTGTTTTCCTGTTGAGTCTCTACGTATCTCGTGAGCAGTTGGAGATGCGGAATATTGCCAAGCTCATCGTTACCAAGTACAATGACCTTGCGCATTAGGACTCATATCACCTGAAATGAACAAGAGTCAAGATCATTGACAAAATGAACATTGAATTTTAACCTAAGTATAGTTCTTAACTTTCCATCCATATATAAACACCATAGGTACTTAAATTTCTGCTCATGTGTACGGCGTGGTGATAGATTATGAAGTAGCAATTGATATACGACTGGGTCCAATCGTTACATTACATCTACAGATTCGCCGCCAACATTCCAGGAAAGTTAGTCAAGCGATAACAATCAATGACCGGCCTCCCCTGCCACATAATCATAACACCCATGGCAACCACCCCATTCAACCAGCCATAGGCGCTATCTCCAGGCGCCTCAAAGGTGATATGCGTGAAATACTCCATCTCATCTTGCGACACGCTATCTTTCTCCCCCGCCTTTTCATCAATACCTGGTCCGGTCCTGTAGATACCCTGTGCTTTGACAAGGATGTAAATGTTATCGTCTGTCTGCAGCGTGTACATGGCGTTCAACCTGGTGAAGGACTGGGGTTCTCTGTTAGTCTCCATCTTGATGTCATCTCCGATAAGGTTTTGTACCTTGTTGGGGTTGATGACTTCGGCCCAGTCTGCGCCGCTTTTCTCAACGATAGTACCCTTTATCTGAGGTCCGTTGACATAGCCTCCTTGAATAGGTAGGACTACTCGCGTACGTGATGTGCCATCAACGCCCTTGATCTCCGTAACCCCGCCCTTGTCCATCTCGGCTACTATGCGGTAGATGAACTCTAGATGCGGCATTCGCATCTGGGGCATATCAGGGTCGGAAAGCACTTATATGCATGCATCATGATACAGTCGATCAGAGGGTCTTGATACCGTATCCAGCTGCCGATAGCCGGGCGCCTAGACCTTCCGAATAGGGGCATTAATCGCGCCGCTCGACTAACATTAGTCGTCTCAAGATGGGGTCTCGGCAGTGTCATCGGGGAACCTTTTGGCGGGGGGAGATTAAGAGGATCTAGACTCGGGCGATCCTTTACCAGAATGCGAAGCGAATGCTCCGCTGCCATTGCTATTAAACAATTGTAGAAGCCTAACATTCATTTCTCCTCTTTTTCTCATTCACACCCAAAGTCTTTTACTACTATCCCCATTTGTTGTTCACCATGCCTGCTACCACCAACTGGAAAACCATCGCCGCTCTGCATCGTGAGAAGCAAGTCGAGGCCGTACCGTCAGAATGGCTGCTCCCAGAGAAGCAACTCCAGGGCTTGAGAGGTGCTGGAGATGCGGGTAGCAGACTTATAGAGAACAAAGCTGTGCAGCGATCTGGCCTTCTTTCGCAGAAGGAGTTGGATATTACCGAGCGGTATACGGCTTCCGAGTTGCTTGATAGGCTGCATCGACAGCATCTGACTTCGGAGGAGGTGACAGTGGCTTTTTGCAAGCGCGCTAGTCTTGCGCAACAATTGGTTCGTGGTGTATATCACTTTTGGAAAGATTGAGACTGACTTTGGAAGACTTCTTGCTTGACGGAGATTATGTTCAAAGAAGGTATTGAGAGAGCTAAGGAGCTGGACAAACAGTTGCAGACAACTGGTAAGCTGTCAGGTCCTTTGCACGGCTTGCCCATCAGTCTCAAGGTATTTAATCTCACCCGCAACGGCAGCAAGAGTTCTAACAAATCAGGATTCATATATCGTCAAAGGCCACTATGCCACCGTTGGATACACCGAGTTTCTTCGCCAACCCATCCCTGACACCAACTCGTCACTAGTTGATCTTCTGCTCGACGCCGGAACAGTTCTGTACTGCAAGACTAACCTTCCACAAACTATGATGGTAAGCAACCTCATATTTTACACATGTTCTCTGCTAACTGTTCTCTAGACTGCTGATTCAGAGAATAACATCTTTGGGAGAACACTCAACCCTCACAACACCAACCTCACAGCAGGCGGTTCAACTGGTGGCGAAGGCGCGTTGATCGCGTTTAGAGGGTCACCTTTGGGCGTGGGCAGTGACATCGCTGGATCTATCCGGATACCCTCGTTGTGCTGTGGTATATACGGCTTTAAGCCAACGTCTGACCGAGTCCCCTTCGGCGGCCAGTCAGAGTATCCTTTCCCTCAGGACCACCTCCCTGGTGTCCCTCCAGTTGGCGGGCCTATGGCGAATTCAGTTGAGGATCTGGAGTTGTTTATGAAAGTAACCATGAGCCAACGCCCTTGGCACTACGACCCCTCTGTGGCAGACATCCCTTGGAGAGATCTCAGAGACTCATCTGAGAAGCGTCTCACCATTGGAGTCTTGGCTGAAGATCCTGATTATCCTCTTCACCCACCTGTTCGACGCGCACTAGCAAAGGCCGCTTCAGCGCTCGAAAACGCAGGCCACAAGATGGTTTATCTATCCTCAGACCCCCAGCGCGATGCAGGACTCGGCGGACGTCTTGGATTCCAGTTCTTCAGCCTCATGGGTCCTGACCCAGATACCATCTCACGAGAGATCGGCGAACCGCTCGTTGCTTCTGTAGCAGTGGGTGTCCATCCTTTTTCAAAGGGAGAATTCCCTGTGCCGCCGCAGCTTGACGTTCCGACCCGGCTGGCCCGGCTGAATGATGCTCGATTTGAGTATACTAAAGCATGGCAGCAGGTCTGGAAAGATAACGGACTCGATGTTGTTCTTGCTCCTGGGGCTGCGACGACGGCGATTCCTCATGATACTTACGGCGTTCCGGTCTATACCCTGATGTGGAACGTTTTGGATGTGAGTCTACAGATCAAGAAGAGAATGAGGATTGATGCTAACTTGAGATAGTTCCCTGCTGGGATAGTCCCATTCGGAAATTCGTCCAAGTTTGAAGATGCTGAGGTTGTCAAAGCCAAGGCAGCGTTTGATCCAGATTGTAAGCTTTTAGACTCATGTTGTTTTTGCTTCGTTGCTAACTAGGGCAGATATTCCGGAGGCTACAGACGGCGCACCTTGTGCAGTTCAGATTATTGCACCTCGGTTTAGAGATGAAGAATGTCTCCAGGCTATGAGTATAGTAGATCGGGCGATTAGGTTGGCTCGGGCACAGAAGCTTTAGGTTACATCCATGTGATTATAGAAGCTATCGTTAATGAAACACGCAAGTCCCTGGATCTCATTACCCTGCCCAGAATAAAATAAGAAATTATTCAGCGTCGTTGCCCCTTATCATTTTCGCATTACCGCATCCTCAACATCTTAGTAGCAGGTCTACTCTCCGCCCGATTTGACCTCTCCTTCAGTAACCCCAACACCACAATCTTAAACTGCTGCCCAAGATCCTCCCATGCAAAGTCAGGATTCAATGTCTTCACAAATACCCGCATCGTCGAAACAGGAACCTTGGTGATCTTGCAGACATCATCGGCTGTGAGGGCTCTATCCATCGCGGAGATAAAGCTTGGAGCGAGGGAAGAGTTGAACTGAGTGAAACTGTCTTCAGAGGTAGGTTCTTCTGCAGGAGCTGGCTGCTGTACGGGAGCTGGATGTTGTACGAGTGCTTGGGGTTCTGTAGATACAGGGCGTGTACCTGTTAGCATCTCCTCGAGGAAGTCTTCGTCGAGGGGTTCGAAGCGGCTCTTGGATAGATCCTTTCCAACCTGCCATGGCAAACGGTCCTTCTCTGCGTCGTCCATAATGCGCTGGACGACCTTCTTGGTATTGTTCTTGGTTTCCTGATCAGCATCCTCGGACACATCTGCATCAATGAGCAAGCGGTAATTCTTCATGTTCTGCACCTTCAACTTCTCAGGTTCGATTTGCCATAGGGAAGCAATCTCGGCGTGGTAGTCCACGATACTTTGACAAGACTTCTTTGCTGTTTCCCAGTCCTTCTCTCGACATGCTTCAGCGATCGCCGTCTTGAGATCCTTGAAGGCTGCTGAGCGCTTGGTGTAGACATTTGCGTAGACCGTGTCATCAGCAGGACGTCTGTCACCGCCCTTGGAGAGATGGTCAATGTAACTCATCATCTTCGTGTAGCCAGAAGTCTGCTTCTCCAATTTATGTGGTACATTTCCTGCCAGCCGTGTCGCAATAGCTGGGACATCTACACCACTCGTGGTAAGCATGCGCTGGAAGATAGTAACGATAGTGCGACAGTGCTCAAGCTGGATATTCCGAAGCTTGCAGAACCGCGCCATGTCTTCACTGGCGCTCTTCTTGATCTCAGCGACGTTTTCGTTCTTCATTATGACCCGCACGATAATCTTGTCGAGGAGTTTGCCGAGGTTTGTGTGGAACTGCTCCAGAGGCCAGCCAGTGTAGGGATACAGCTCGACGACGTTCTCGTACCAGACCCAGTCGGCATCGCTGGTGGGAACGTCGTATTGGGGCTCCAGACCGAACATTTGCCAGACCATGCTGAGAGGGCGGACACCTGAGCCGGCGATGGTCATGAGGTTGCCAAAGAGGCCTCGCATCAATCTAGTGACTGTATCCTCAGCTTTGTCAAGCACAACGGGGGCCGTTGTCCTCATGTTCGCGAGCTTGGACATGGAAGCCATAAGCAACGAGCTCATCAAATGGCCAATTTCAATGCTACCAGACTCGAAGTTATACTCCCTTGAGACAATCGCACGACTAAGGGTATCTCTCATCATGATTCTCAATGCTGCAATGTGTGCCTCGTTACACTTCTCCATCCAGCGCACCCGGTAAGGACTCTTGAGATTGACGAACTCGTCCCAGCACACCCAGGCCAACATGGAGCCGTCTCCTCGCTGTTGGCTGAGGTAGGGGAGGGCAAGAGTGGGATGCGTTGGTCCGGCTTGGCTTTGGAGAGGGCCGACGTGCTGGCTCTGAGATTGCTGGATTATAATGCCGGCGTCGAAGCCGTCGAGATGCAGAATTCGTGAGTCAAGCTCACACGCAGGTCTATGATATGTTAGTATTTTTAACAGGATGCATTTGAAAGAACTCACCTAGCGTCAATGTCGCGACTCGTCAGCTTGGACAAAAGTGCCTTGTAAGGAAGTGTCTCAATGTTGACCAGCATCACACCCATCTCCTCAGCATGCGCCTCAAGCAAACCAGTCATGCCCTCGAAAGTCATAGACTTGGTAGCCTCGACATTATTCTGGATCTGCGTCTGTCGAACAAGCCGCTTCATGTCATGCGTTCTCTTGGAAGTTGTCTGAGAAGACAGCATGTTGGACAGGCTCGATATCACCGGCTCGAGGACAGCCTGCGTTTCCTTGGTAGCCTTCCGCAACTCTCCCAGCATTCTGTTCTTCTTAATAACGGACTCCTTGTTCTCGATGTTGAACTCTGTGGCGACGAATTGAATGTAGTCGCGTCTCATAGGCCCCACTGCCTTGTCGATCTTGGCGGAGAGTATGTTTACTAGATCCTTGGACAGGTTCTGGAGATCCTTCTGGCTCAGGAGAGCCTGTAGTTGAGGTACGGCTGCTGTAATATCGCTGTGCATGGTGTTGATCTTATCGATGCTGAGCTGCTCGAAGATTTGTGCCAAGTCTTGTGGCTTGACCACTTGGGAAGTGTAGGGCAGAACGATGGTGTTGTCCTCCCCGAGGTTGACCAATCTGGGAACCTTGGGGGCCAACAAGGACTTTAAGCCCGTAGACTTGATGATGCCTGTGATATCTGCTCCAAAGTCTAGCTTGGATGTGTCTAGGATCTTAGGATCTGCTAGACCGCGGTAGAAGTAGAAGCTATCGTCGATGTTGGCCACGATCAGAGACTGCGGTCCCGCGAGCGCCGTCACCGCATTGATATTCGCCGAGCTTAGTGCAGATACAACCTCATCCGTAGTATTGGGCTTCTTGGCCGACTTGACCTTGACAATGAACAAGGCATTGAGTCTTTGGCTCGTCGCTAGATTTCGTGCATTATCGGTCATTCGCTCGTCTACGACCACCGCAATGCTGTCGAGTTGTTCGTAGTAAGCACACAGGGCCTTCTCATCGCTGAAAGGGACATTGGAAGGGACATTTCCAGTGGCTAAGAGCATGGGACCTTGTAGCTGGGATCCGAAGATGCAAGGAAGGACAACGGCTGACTCATTGGCCTCTTCGGCTTGGAAATCAGAAGGCATGAATTCAATACTTGTGCCGAAGCGGATGACCTGTGCGTCGGAAGCAAGAACGCTTGGAATGGCTGATACATCGGTGGTCAATATCGCGTGCCGCTTTTCCAAAGCCACGGTGTCGTTTGTCAATGCCAACCTGGACAAATCGGATTCATCATTGCCTTTTGCTACAAGACGTCAGTAATTTACCTCAGACTTGATAAAAGAAAGCTACTTACTCTGGGTGATGGTAGCTTGAGGCGCGGAAAGCGTAAAGTCAGCTCTCCTGATAGCCTCAGGGAAACAAGGACTCTTCGTCTTGTTACTGTGACACATCATGTCTCGCTCCGTCGTAGCAGTGGGCAATATCGAGCAGATGATGGAATCCTCATCGCGCTTGATTACCAAAGGACAGCAAAGTGTTGCATCCCCGATGGTAGCCTTGTCCAGAGGAACAGGGATGATATAAAGAATCTGCAAATGTTAGCTCGCCCGATATGAATTTCGAGGTCCCTTGGCATACCTTGTCTACATGATCCGCAACCATCAATGCAGGATTCGTCCCCAGAAACCTCGTGATCTGCGTCTTCTGGTACCCCGAAATGAAAACACCAATAGGCTTATGCGTCAACTTCTCCGCATCTATCTTCACATAGTCTAGCAGATCTCTGTTGTTGAGGAGATCGCCGCTGTGTGTGATGCCCGAGAAGGTATCGCGCGCTAGCCAGCAGCAAGAGTTGCATTCCTCGTCCGAGAAGCAGAAGTCGTAGTACGTAGGGGTCAGTTCTGAAACTGCGAGGATCGTGATGTTTCCTGATACTATCGGGATTTTGAACGTCGCTGCTGGAGCTTGCATGATCTGGAAATCGTCAAAGACCGCTGTGACCGTTTAGTTAGTTTGTGCTTTGAGGCGCAGTCGATAATCTTACCTAAATGGTTCTTGAAGCCTGCCATGCGTCTTAATAGGATCTCGCCCATTTCGCCCAAATCAACCGCGTTGTAGAAATACTCTTCATTGTAACTAGAGATATCAATCTCTTCTATCCCGTTATTCGTCCGACATAGTAACACTTTTTCAGGGCTAAAAGGATGCGCCGAGCCGACTGGCAATTGCTGCAGAAGGTCGGTAATGCGACCCTTGGTCGTGGCCAAAGGGTCGAAGTAAGTCTTGCGTACTCTCTCCATGATAAATATGATTGATAGAGCAAGAGAAATGTTTTGCGAGTTGCGAATGTTGGTGCTTCTTATACTTAAATCTCACCGCATGAGTCACAGTGCGTCTTGTAAGGCTAGGTAGATAAAGTCTATAGGCAGTTGACTTTAGGAATTAAGTTATGCTGCTTTCAGAAGCTAAAATTATGCCTTGCCAATCATCGGTAGTGACTCATGTCGGGGTGCATAACCAACGACTTTTATGGCATCAACACAGCCCTAGCACAGCCTGCCTAGACCCTGAGGTCACTACGCCGTGCGGATAATAGGTGTGGATAAGTATTATCGGCTAGATAACGCACTTTATACGAGATTAGAGATATGTATCTCGTATTCAGTTTCGCATGCACAATTAGAGGAATTGTCTAATAACACACATATTTAGACTTCAATTGGACTTGAGGCTGAACAGGTTAAATAAAGAAAAGGCCAACTCGTCAGAACAAGAGCTTGTAATTTTCGAAAGAGCTCGCTCACTGGCCATTGACACAACAATAACGTTTTAGACAACGTGCATGGCATACAGAAGTATTTGAAACTCATCAAAGACCAACATCATGGTCGCATAACCTACCAACCCACCCCATGACTATCATCCTCTCCCTCAGCCAATAATTTTCACCTTATCACCGCTCCTCGGCCTGATATCACAGAGAAATGCCAACGGCTTAGGATTTGGTGTCGGCTCATGTCTTAGAGTAATTTCAACCGGCTTATTGGTGGCAGGATCAATCGGTTTGCTGATCTCGCAAGCCCAGGCGATCTTTGCCACGAGAATAACCAAAGTCCGCTCCGAAAAGTCATAACCAGGACATGCGCGGCGGCCAAAGCCAAAAGCAGCATAATTCTTCAGGTTCGGGTGTTCAGTGAGTGGCGCTTTGTATGTTGGGTAGTCTTCGTCGAGCCAGCGGGCGGGGTTGAATAGTTGCTGGTCCGGGTACAGCTGCTTGTCCATGAGGATGGCCCTGTGATAATGGTTAGCTATTGGCCTGCTGTGAAGCATGGTGGTGATATACGTCAAGTTGCCGTGGAAGACAGTGTTCTTCGGGAAGAAGTATCCTTGATAGATATCATCCACTTCTAGACGATGCGGAATACCCAGCTCAGCTTTGATGGTACGATACCGGAGGCTTTCTTTGACAACTGCCCTCACAACTGGAAGGCTTGGAATATCATCAAAGCAAGGCTGTCGATCCTTCCCAACGACTTGGTCGACCTGCTTTTGTAGCTTCTTCTGCCACTCGGGATACTCCATCATGAGAAACAAGAACGTCAACAGGAGATTATGCGGAGAAGCCACCCCGGCAGCAATCATAGTCTCAAAAGCATACCCAGCCTCATCATCAGTAATTTCATGTTCATCGCGATGTTCAACAAAGTGCCGATAGGTACTGGTGCTAGCAGTGCCATCCTGGACTGACTTCTGCACCCTTTCTCGCAGCGCGCAGATCTCAGCATACATATCTAATCGCATCTTCTCCATCTTGCCTAGCGACGGGACCAGCCACGTTGGAAAGACGCGGAGGAACGGGAAGACATTGCTGGGGTATTCGTCCGGCCGGAAGCCCTTTAGAAACTCACCGATCTGGTCTAGTACATGGGCGATATAAGGGTCATCGCCTGTCTTGATGCGAAAGCCGAGCATGGAGCGAGTCAAAACACCGAAGGAGTATCGAGCAAGGTGCTTGTCAAAGCTTTCGGGGTCGTGGATTAGATCACATAGGGTTACTTCGGCTTCCTCTTCCATGGCGCTAAGATATTTATCGGTTGCTGTGATAGAGACGGCCTGGTGGATGAGCTTTCTTTGCCGCTTCCATCTTTCTATGCTGCGTCAGCTTAATCTCTGTTAATTGAGGATAGAACTTACCGTCATTGATCTCCAGCGTCGGGTTCATGTAATTAAACATGTGGGAAATCGCATGCGGCGTTCCTCTCCCCGAGTATTTCGAGCCACGCATGACGAATAAGTCTCGTGTGATGCTCTCTTTTGCCAAGATCACCTGCTTCTCACCGAGGATACTGAACTGCACAATATCACCATATTCATTCGACCATTTGTTGAAAATCGGGATGAGATTGCCGTCAGAGGAGGCAAGCTCTGGGGCATTTCCTACGATGGGCCATCCTTCAGTGAATTAGTTGCCCATTAAGTACAGTGCTAACGGCTAAACATACCTTTGGGTCCTGGTGGCTCTTTTGCTCCTTTCATGCGACGCCGATATGCCACAGCTTGGTAGATATACACAGAAGCCACTCCCACGGCTGTGAGAATAATCACTTGATAATATGAAGAAAACATCGTGTCGTGATCAGTACAGTGGATTCACAACTGAGCTACTATTGAGTTCCGATCAGGCACACCATGTTCTTATATGCACCACGAAAAGAATAATGATATCCTCGCCCAAATGACCCTCACACTAAGCGTCTTCTAATCAAATCTAAATCCGACACAGTAAGCCTTCGCAAAGGCCTAACCAATTGTTTCATGCCATGTTCATTTAAAGGATTCAATATGTCTGACAATAAACTCTCCGTGAAGTGTCCGAACCACGCCTTTGTGCTGGTGATTATCGGACACATTCTTGAAATCCGTAGGACATACCACTGAGAAACGATCTAGCTTGTCAACCCAGTAGATGCTTTTATCCGTGGCTGTGAAATGGTCTCATTATTGTGCTACACAGGCTGATATGTTCCCTTAAGTGGTAGAATCCTCGTCATCGCTATCCTCTTCCACCACAAGATCAATCACCAACGCAGACCGATCGTTCAGCTTATCAAGCTGGAACCCCGCGCCAAGAACATCCGTCGCATCGTGTATGCACCCCGCGACATCCAGACCGATATCATACTCCTTGAGAGCAAGACATATAACCCGGAAGTGCTCATGATGCAGATCCTCCACTAATGCATCCTGCTCACTTAGGGCGCCATCGAAGATAAGCACAGCGTTACGGTGGATGAGACAAAAATCCTCCTGCACCCCGGGGTATTTCTTAATGGCTGCCAGCTTTTCCGGGGTGGTGCTGGCGCTTGCGACGAGGCGGGTGAAGACGCGGGCGCTTAGTAGAGCCTCGACCGCTGAGGGCTTCTTAGGTGAGAAGATGCAGACATTGGCGGGGAGATTGGGCAAGGTTTGTTTTTCTGAGTCAGATCCGGCTGGGGGAGACTTTGTCGACATTATGGCTTGCGAGATTTGACAAAAATGGAGAGATATCGACCTCTTGAAGATTTTCGTGATGGAGGAGAAAAAATAGAAGCGCCCACCCGCTGCACTAAAGTTGATGGATGACTCATCCACCGCCCAGGGCTGGATATACGATGTAGTGCTTGATTGTAATTAATTCAATTAATGCAATAAACTTGGTAAGCTGAGGGGAAGAAACATTAGATATTCTATAACAGGTGTACCACTAGAAGAATTTTTGAAATGCAGAGCTAGTATAGGAAGTACTAGTACGATCCTAAGAGTGCGCGCAAAATTACACGGCTTACCGACATCTCTGTTCGGACGGTTTAGAGGAGAGGATGATATGTAACAAACAAGTTATTTTATTATCTGATTCAGAAGACAGCTCTGCACATAATTCCCAATAGAACATGAACCGCTATCCAATGTACTATTCTAGGCTGCCCGATGGCTCCTACACAGGCCCTTCACAGCCGAGACGGAAGACTTATGTGGGCCCTTGGTGGCAAAACAGACCGCGTTGAACAGGTCGACGTCTTTGAGAAGCTAGTACAACAGCTATATAATCTGGTTCGCCCCAAGGAGAAAGAGTATGGATGAGAGGATGGGCTACTGAGTCACACATGGGCTGCAGAAATGCGGCAGATGCTGACAAAGCTTGAAGAAGGAATGAAAGGTGAATAACTGCTGTTTGCTTAGATTATCCTTTTGCTCATATTTAACAGGTGAAACTCGTCGTGAAGTTTATTTGTGGCTAGGAAAATCTTCTCCCGACAAGTACGAAGACTCAATCGAAAAGCGAGTCGAGAACACATGCGATTGGGTTTTGGATCGATCATTCTTCACCTCCTGGATGGAATCTGAGGATTCTCCAGGACTGAAGCTGCTTTGGACCTATGCACTAGCAGGCTTTGGAAAAACAATACTGTGTGCCCATATTATCCGGCACCTGTCAAGCGCTCTGGCTTCACCTGTGGCGCATTTCTTCTTCACGTCAGATCACGAGAGCCGAGAAGGTCCATTTGTGGCTTTGAGGTCCTGGATATCTCAGATTGCAGCTCAGAACGAAGATGCCTTCCAACGTGTTCACGAAGCTTGGGAAACCGACTCTGCTGAAACGGCTTCTCGAATAACCCTTATCGAACTGTTCTCTGCCATAAATCATTCAGTGCCTGGATGCATATTTGTTGCTGATGGCCTGGACGAATGTTTTTAATTAGGCAACGAAGATTCGCCAGTAGCGAGATTCTTATCTGATACCATCTCTGCCGTTGCGGATAGCAGCGCCAAATTCCTATTCACGAGTCGAGATGAACCCGAGATCCGCAGTGTATTAGAGAACAGCGCAACGACTTTCTTGGCGGGATACAGGGTTCTGCCAGAGGACGTCCAAGCCGATACTGCTGTTTTCTCACAATTCATTGTCAATATCAAGCTCTCCAATAAAAGCGAAGCTATCCGAACCTCAATCTCGGATGTCATGACGGAGCGTTGTGAGGGATAGTTCCTATGGATCAAGATGCAGGAGGAATATTTGAGAAAGGGTATGAGCAGGAAACGACTCCACGAAGTCGTTGAGAATTCACCTTCTGGCCTTGATCGTCTCTATGACCACAACTGGAAGAGGATTTTGGACATGTCCGAGTGGGAGCGAGATCGTGTCTTTGCGCTTCTGCGCTGGGCTACGTTCGCAATGCGGCCCTTGAATGTCTACGAAATCACTGAGGCTGTTCTCATTGCTCGGTTTGAAGAGTTGGACCCTGAAGAATATCCCGACTCTATCGGCGACGACTATATCAGAACTGAGACAATTGGACTGTGTGGTCCACTGCTGGAGATCAGAAATAATCCCGACTGGCCTGCTGTTGGTTTCAAAAGTTTCCATCTTCCGCACTTCTCAGTACGGCAATACCTTTCCCAGCGGCTTCCGATTCCAAGCTGGATTCACGACAATGGCCAACTGCAAACGCATTACGAGAGAACTCAGCACACCGTTCTTGCGAGGTCTTGCATTCAGTATATAAACTTGTCTCAAGTCTGGGCAGACAGAATCGACCACGATGCTCGTTACAAAAGTCTCCGCCATTACATTATGGCGTTTTAGTGCAGCCACGCACGATTGGCATTTGAGGATCCATCAATCGTGGAACTCTGTGATGCACTCCTGACGGAAGATAACCCTATATACTGCTCTTTGGCCCAGTACGATGCTGCTTGCATTGACGAGTACCTCGGCGAAGAGCCCGAAGGTCCAAGAGCGCCGACTAGCCCTCTACAGAAGGTCTTGACAGGTTCTGAATGGACATTGATGGCGAAGATGCTGATAAAAGACTCAAACAAGAACAATATTGGTCACCTTGGTAGATCGCCTACCCATTTTGCTTGTCTTGGTGGCTTGATTGAAATTGTTCAGTAGCTCCTTGAAGCCGGCGTTGACCTTACCATCAAGGATAATGAAGGAAACACTCCTTTGATCATAGCAGCTCATAACGGGTTCAAATGATATAGTCGAGGCGCTACTGAATCACGGTGCGGATGTGTCAGCACAAAACCTGAACAGCTATACAGCACTTCACATGGCAGCGTGGAAAGGTCACACCAAATGTTGCGAATACCTCATCAAAGGCAGCGTGAGTCCAACGACGAAGAGCCACCTAGCAGAAACCTCTTTGATTGTGGCATTTAGGGCGTCTGGACAGAGCGACACAGTGAGACTACTCCTTGAAAACGGGCCCGACACTCTTGCAACTGAATGCGGTGCTACGCCGCGCTCGCCGTTGCACTGGGTATGCAGCAGTGGTGATGTTGATGCGGCCAAGGCTCTGTTTGAGTTTGGCGCCGCAAAATCGATGTTTGATCTTAACGAGGAGGGTCTGCCACCACTTGCTCTTCCGGCTTATTATGACCACGCTGAACTTGTCAAGTTGCTTCCAGACCATGGAGCAGGGCCAACCATTTCGATTGCGGGCGATCACGGCTATACTATATTGCATCTCTTAACTATCAGCGGAGCAAATGATGAGATAATGCGTCTGCTGCTTGGTTCATGTACTAAATCTTGTCTGAGCATGGTAAGCGACGATGAGAACACGCCCTTGCACGACGCGTCTTACAGCGGGCACACCAATATAGTAAGACTGATACTAGAGAATAAAACGCAAAGCGTGCAGCTTTTACTCGAAGCGAGAGGCAATTACCTGCAGACATCACTTTTCTGTGCAACACTCTCAGGGCATTATGATATTGTTGAGGAGCTTGTTAAAAATGGTGCTGAGACGACGCTTGCCATTCCAGAGGTGGATGGCTATACACCACTGTGTATAGCCTCGTGTCTTGGGCACGGGGAGATCGTCGAGACGCTTCTTACCTGCGGAGCTGCAGCAACTGTTGCAATCGCCGCCAATAATGGCACCACGCCTTTGTTTATGGCATCGACAAACGGCCACACACGGATCCTTAAGCAGCTATTAGCTCACGGAGCCGAGACAACTGTTGCGTGTAAGACCCAGGGCGGTGATACAGCGCTGCTCGCTGCGATATACAAGGGTAGGACTGAAATCGTCGAGATGCTACTCTCCCATGGGTTCCAGAATGCCGTTGTAATCCCCGACTCGGGCGGCGCGACGCCGCTAGCTGTGGCGTGTCTCTTCCGCTTTGTAGAGATCGCCAGGCTGCTCCTTGACTATGGAGCCGAGACAGCTATCACACTTGCCGATAACAATCAGAGGACGCCACTGTTCGAAGCATGCAGGAGTATCTCTATAGAAGTTGTCAAATTGCTGCTTGAGAACGGAGCTGAAACTACGATTGAGAATCTGAACTCGAATGACGATAGTCCCCTACATCCCGCGACGTTCGGTGGCTGCTACGATATGGTCTTAAAACTATTCGCCCATGGCGCTGGTGCAAGTCTGCTGGTCGCTAACAAGCAAGGTATGACGACCCTGTACATTGCAGCAGGAATGGATGAAGCACAACTGATGGAGCTGTATCTCGATATTCTGAAAACCGTGGACCAAGATCAGATGAACCAGAAGACTTACTATGGGATGACGCCCTTGTTCATTGCTCCTCGCTTTGGGCACCTTGAAGTGGTTAAGCTTCTCATATCCACGAGTTATATCGATTTAAACTGCGAGAACTGGATGGGATTAACTCCACTAGTTACTACAGTGGCAAATGGGCATCTAGAAGTGGCCAGGCTTCTTATCTCGCGCGGCGCGACTGTGAGCCCATGGGTACCTATCGGTCAAAGTCTCATATGGTGGGCACGACGAACGAGTAACGAGGACCTAGTCCAACTGGTGGAGAGTCAAGATACCGCAGCGGATGTTTCTCTGTTTGATGCCCACACTCGGTTTGAAGAGCCACCCTGCGATGCCACTCAAGTCTCGTTCGAGACCAAAGCAACATGGTGCTGCATTTGCACTCTCAGTATAACCGATGGCCAGGTATATACATGTGAGGAGTGCGAGCATTATATGAATAGTCATGTTTGCTCAAAGTGCTTCGATCGAGGATTCCGGCTTTGCCAGAGTTCTCACGCACTGATACTGCGTTATGAAGAACTGTCGTGGAATGTTCTGATGATTTGATGACTTCATTTAATACCATTGCCAAATAAGATCTCGTTTATTTTTATGTATCCGACATGTCAAAAGTAAACGCCAACAAATAGATTGTTTACGAACCAAACTTCTGAACCATGGTTCATTGCTACGTCCGTCTCTTGCTCTCCTGGCCCACACAAATTTCCAATTGATGCACGATGTGTCTTCTCAAGCCGTCACTGTTTCAGATAGATATCTTGTATTTATACCGCATTTCCTATGTCACACTAGTTGCAACTGCACTTTTGGGGACTTGCCAAGAGTTAAACTGTAGTCTGAGTCCCCGTGGAGTTTAGCCAATATTCACCTGCCGGGTGTAGTAATCGGTGAGCAACGCCAAGAGCTGATCTACTTTCAGCTCGCCTCTGGTTTCCATAAATCATGGGACATTGCGAGACACAAATACCAAGTCGGTAAAACAGTACATGTGAACACGTAACTAGGCCAATTAGTGCGGTGTTTATTGAGATCGTCCGCGGGTCTCCGAGGGAAGCCAGCCAATATATCGCGCAGCCGTGCTGCGTTATGGAACCTTAAACCATCTGCCGCCTCCAGCCATCTACGACAATGTCCCGGCCGGCCCGCGGTTGCTCTTGTCTTTTGAAGGTATTGATCAGCTACTACAGTAACTTATTCTATTTAATGTCCATCCTGGAGCGTGTCTTCTCTGAAAACACTTACTATTTCTGAATTAATCACGGTGTCGGAACATCTCCTAACTATCTCGATATTTCACACTCTGACAAATTACTGACAGCCCCAGAAGAAGTCATTTCCCCATCTTCTGTTAGTAAATCAATCAATATGGGGGCCGAGAGCAAGGTATCGTCTTCGCTCAAAGGTTAGTCATAACTTCGTGAGAACGGCCAAGTAAAGCCTTAACTGACATCCACTAAGTCTGGGCCACTCTGGTAACAAACAGCGACTACCTCAAGGGCGTCTTGACTCTCAACTACCGTCTTCGCTGCGTTAAGTCAAAGTATACATTGCTAGTCCTCTATACCAATACTCTGTCTCAAGCCAGTCTTGATACGCTCAAGAAACGCGACATAAAAACATTAGAAGTCCCACGACTAGCCCCTCAGAATTCACAGGATTACATCGACGACCCGCGCTTCCTAGAATGTTGGACCAAGCTTGTCGCCTTTTCACTGACCGATTACTCTCGAATTGTTCTGCTTGATTCGGATATGTTACCTCTTCACAACATGGATGAGCTTATGGATCTAGAGCTGGATTCACCGTCACTGAGCGGATCCGGGGACGCGGTGTGTAGTAAGAAAGTGTTTGCTGCATGCCATGCGTGTACCTGCAACCCTCTGCGTAAGGCGCATTACCCTCCAGATTGGAAGCCCGAGAACTGCTCCTTTACCTCTCAGCATAACAATCCAGAACTGGCTCAGAGTACTGGGGCAGGTGCGTCAACAGGCCTGGGCAAGCTCAACAGCGGGCTCATTGTCATCAACCCCTCCTCGGATGTCTTTGGACAAATCATCTCCAAGATGGAAGAGTCAGGTTCTGAGTACCAATTCCCGGATCAAGACCTCCTTGCAGACCTCTTTAGGGATCGTTGGATTGCGTTGCCATACATCTATAACGCGTTGAAGACAATGCGTGAGCCTACAGTACATGGGGCTATTTGGCGTGACGATCGAGTAAAGAATATTCACTATATCATGAGCCCAAAGCCGTGGGACGAGGTTGAAGCTGATGGGTCGTGGAAGGGTGGTCAAGAAACCCACAGATGGTGGTTTAATGCGTATCAATCTATGCGCGCAGAGGAGAAGGCGCTTGATGTTCCTGTTCGAGATACTCGCTACGAAACTACGGTGGGGTATTAACGACGGGTTGCTCAATGGTGTTTGTGGAATATTAGCTTTTACTCATTAAAATGAGAATCTTCAAGATGCACTCTAGTTTTTGATTTTCAAGCATTGCAAGTCCTGAATCATCCAGAATTGTCTAAAACTGTGCTGATGAGACGTAGGCTCTGAAACAAGGTATTTAGTTCGGAAAGTAATAGCTCCCTGGCGCATTCCAATTTCTCATAAACGGGACATGCTTAACTGATAAAGTTATGACAGGCCCGTTGGGTAGTTCATAATGGTTGGATGCGAATACGCAACTGTGGCCGATGCGACAACAATTTTCCTTGGAATCAGTCGAGATCACTTGACTAGAGACAAAGGTAAATCAGGCCTCCTCGTCTATTTTAACATACAAACCATAATCCAATTCCTACGTCGGAACAGCCTCCGAAGCTATCATCGGGCCAGTAGTTCTTCCGATTATTAGAGTGGACCTTCAACATATACTCCACCACTCAAACAAAGGCGGAGAAGAAAGCCGCCAGCGTCCGCCAACTCTTCCGCCCATCCGCAAGAGTTTTTCCAGCGTGTCAGACTCACAACCATGGAGTCTGCAAAGCGGAAGCGAGCCGCCAAAGCATGTAACTACTGCAGAAAGAGGTATGTACATATGTTTTGTAGTATAGCTGGCTTTCATGCTAATTGGTGCTGCAGAAAGAGAAAATGTGACGGCAGACAACCTGTCTGTACGCTTTGTGAGGAGGCGAATAACTCGGAGTGCGAGTATCGTGAGGAGGGCATTGAAAACAAGTATGCAGTCTTACCTCTCTTGTACCCAGTTGAGGGTGTGATGATATTTTGTTGGTGCTAACGTATCAGACGGATTGCAATCTCAGTCGACAGAGTCGATGAAATCTTTGACCGCCTTGAATCACTCGAATCAACTTTCCAAACCGCCATAGCCGGACGGCGAGAAAAAAGTCCAGTTTCAACTCCCTACCCTCCAATACCAAGATACGGAGAGGCCATCAGTCCTTCGGATGGTATCGTCGCTGCTTCATCAGTCCACTCAACCGGCCCAGGAACGCAGACTTCGCTGTCGCAATTTGCTAACAATAATGTCTTCAACACCACCATGGACATCCCCCTGTCTCATTCCTCAACTACAGGAAATCTCTTGCGTTCGGCGCCCGCCAAGGCTTTGCTGGGACATTATCCTCCTGATTTGTTTCTTCATATCGAGTTAAGACGGCCAATCCCTGAGGGTCTTCGACTCAATGCCGTGCCTGCTAGCCAGATCGAGCTCCCTTCACTACCCCCCAATGAAACAGACCATCTCGTCAGGAACTACTTTCAACTCGTCCACAGATTTCACCCCATTCTTGACCAAAGAGCTTTCTACGACTTGTATGACCAGACTCTTGAGCATGGTCCGCGGGCAGACCTTGCTTCTGCGCTGGTCCTGGTTGTTCTGGCTCTTGGGACTGTTGCCGCCGAGACACCAAATCGCATGGATGCGTGCTGGTGTCCCGGAATCAAATATTTCACTCCAGCAGTTCGACTTTTACTGACAGAGTCTCTGTGCTCTTTTGGGGGTGATCCTCTTCTACCGCAGGCGTTGTATCTGGCGGCGCTGTACTACAGCTACTTATCCAGGCCTTTGCTTGCGTGGCGATTGGTGCACATGGCTTCTACTGATGTGCAGCACTACTGGATCAGGTACGTCTACCTTTTCTAGTTCTTACTAATCATGCTAACAATAATTCAGATCAGAAAAGCTATTACGTGACGGGCAAGGCGGTTCGCAAGACCAGTCCATACTGCGAGTATTTTGGGCCATTTTAGTCCTCGAGTGGTAAGAATAAGTCGCTACAGCTTCAGACAAGCATTCTAACCGGCGTTAGTGATATCCTTGCTGAACACCATCTTCCCCGGAGTGGTATAGAAAAGATCGTTGATAAGCTGCCATATCCATGGTCCGACGGTCCTTTTGAACCATATATGCATCGCTGGCTAGCCGATCTCTCTTCTCGTCGCTTACTAAACCGAATTCACTACGTCCTCTACGCCGAAGCCGAACCAGGCACAGGCGATAATGCAGGCGACAGCTCAGAAGATACACTCTCAAACCTTCCAAACCTAGCACATGAATTGAATCGTCAGCTGGGTGCTTGGTATCATCTCCTGCCCCATAGTATCCGACCAAATCTGGACAGTCCTCCTATAGGTATTGATGATACCATGGTTAGCATACGATATCATACTACTGGCGATATCATATACAGGCCATTTCTGTACCAGGTTTGTGCGCTGGCGCCCGGTACATCACCCAATCCAGCCACGCTTGAGAATGCGCGACAATGCCTGGTGCACTGTCGCAGATATCTCAATGCGGTGGAACATGCAGTTCACGCACCGACAGCCTCATTGGAGAATCTCTTGCACGGGTATGTATCTCGCATCACATTGGGCAATTCATGCTAAGACAACTTCCAGGACCATGGCTGTAGTGCTACTTCTATCCTTCGCCGCCTTCTCCCGACTCGATGCACTGAAGGTCCCAGATCTCAACCAATTGCAGGACAAGGGCATTAGGATCTGCGAAAGATGGGCGTTTCCAGGATCCAGCATTGAGCAGATGGTTGTCATTTTGCGCGCCCTACGTGCGAAGTGTATTGACACAGGATGACCCTAGTTCGTAGAGGAAGACAAGACAAAAATTTGGCAAGCAAAAATTAGAGTGTTTTGACTATGATGGTTGAAACCGGCATTTCCGGTCCCAGAAATGGTCAATTGAGGCACAGTTTTTTGACATTAAGGGCGTACGCTAAGGTAATCGAGCGGGGCCATAATGGGCGAAAAATTCCAGGCTGTGGCGAGATGTTTCCAGAAGCCAGGAGATAAGCCTATTTTCAACCTACAGACTGTGATTAACTTTCCAATCTGGACGGTTCAAGTATTTCTCGCCGTCCTGTGGAGCTAGACCGGTGTTTGCATAAAAAGATCTGCATTTATCGTCGACCTTCATTATCCGCACCAGCCGCACAACATATTCACTATCCAAATATCACCAGCTTATCGTTTCCAGCCGCATCAATGGCAGCCAAAGAACCACAATCGGGTTCCAACCCCCAAAATCCAGTCAAAATCACGTTTGCAACACTAGCCGATGCCGGTCGCATCGCAGAGCTCGGCGCCAATGTCTTCTCAGCCACATTCGGCCACTCGGTGGAGCCTCACGAACTAGACGCCTTCCTAGAAGAATCATACACAGAAGCTGCCATCATCAAAGACATCAACGACAAAGACAGAGATGTCATCATCGCCACTAGCAACGAAGACGACTTGCTCGGTTTTGCATATCTTACTCGAGGGAGCAGCGAGCCTTGTGTGGAGGGTTTGGAGAAGACTGTTGAACTACAGCGTATCTATGTGCATCCTGCTTCTCACGGTAGTGGTGTTGGGAGGGTTTTGGAGAAGGCCATTGAGACCATGGCTAAGGAACAAGGGTTTAAGAATCTATGGCTTGGCGTGTGGCAAGAGAATCCCCGGGCGATGAGGGCGTATGAGAAATGGGGGTATAAAAAGGTTGGAGTTCATGATTTTACTATTGGGTCTGTGGTGCAGACCGACGATATCATGCTGAAGGCTTTATAGATTATGGGCATTTAGAAGGAAGGCGTTTAGTAAACTATCTTTTAACGGCAATGCTGAGATAGACAGGTCAGAAAGAGAACCAGATGAAACGACAGATATTACCAACAATAGTGGATTTCGGTGGTTACACCCGAATCGATTATGCTACACAACACACGGCGCACCTCAACTTCGGTGACACATGCGCGAAATATTAACAATCACGGCGCCGCATCCGATGACGCTACTGCAATTGAAAATGACCAATTGCGCACATGCAATTTGTTCAACGCTGCTTGGAATGACTGTACCTCTGATTCGACCGGCCCGGTGCAGACGAACGCCGTTGGTGACCGTGGCGGCCCGCCTCCTTCGCCAGTTGTTTATTACTCGGGACAATCTGTCGTCTTGACGTTGGCTGCATTATTTCTAAACTACGAATGCATCTTCGACCTCGCAATTTCTGATAATATTATTCTCAACACCGCAAAACAATTAGCAGTCGCTGTCGACCATGTACATTCGTGCCGCTCACGCCGAAACCGACCTCCGGGTTCTTCGCCGCCTCGTCCACGAGAATCCTCTCGGGATGCTTACAACCGGTATCAAATCCCCGTCGCACTCGTTTCTCCAAAGCAGCCACATCCCCTTTCTTCTAGATGTCCAAGATGAATCCAGCGAGACTGAACTGGGTCGACTAAGAGGTCATCTTGCGCGACAGAATCCGCAGAGCAAGACTATGATGGAGCACTGTTCTTCCAACCCCGGGCTGAATAGTTATCTCGAGGATGAAGTTCTGGTTATCTTTACAAGAGCAGCGCATCATTACGTTACGCCAAAGTTCTATACCGAGACGAAACCCGCTACAGGGAAGGTTGTGCCGACGTGGAACTATGCTGCGGCGCAGGTATACGGCAAGGCACGCATTTACTACGAAAACAATGACGAGACGTCAAGTTTCCTTGGGAAGGCGATTTCAGACCTGACAGATCACAATGAGAGGAATACCATGGGGTATACGGGCGGTGATAACCCGACTCAATGGAAAGTCACGGACGCTCCTGAAAAATATGTCGATTTGTTGAAGAGGAATATTATCGGTATCGAAATCGAAGTGACTAAGCTGGAGGGGAAGTTCAAGATGAGTCAAGAGGTGGGTGAGGGAGATCGGGATGGTGTTGTCAAGGGGTTTGAGAATTTGAAGACGGAGGTTGGTGATGAGATTGCTAGGACTGTGAGGGATCGTGGGGAGGCAAAGGATAAGAAGAGATGAATGATGGTGTATTCTTTAGTGTCCTTTTTTGCAGTCTTCGAGAGACTTAGATGCATGTAGTGGATAGCCAGTCGCGTATAAATGCCGTCTCGGCCGATAGATTCACAATTCCATGAATTACCTAGTTAACCAGCGTGAGTCGCAATCGTGCTCTCGGGTAGATACAAAATACTGCTTAGATCAATTCTCAAGATTTCCCTATTAGTTACGATGTGTGTTTACAAGTTTCGGCAGCTTCGGTGCCTCAATGGCAAGGTTGTGCCGCGTGACGATGGACAAGATCGTGATAGTCACAAAATTAAACACCACGCTCTCAACGGATCAGACTATTATCGGTCCGTTTCTTCAAATTTTTAAACATACGCATATCCATCCGATAATACTCAAGGTGCTTATGCCATTATTATCCCTAGTCCTGACCATAACGGAACGTCCGGATTCCAACATGAGCGATCATGTGGTCGTTGTGGTCGTAGGGTAGGGAAATTCCACACCTCCAAAGCAGGACGCTAAATTAGTTTGGAGAAATTCCCCGAACCTAACAATGGCATGATACAGTATGAACACCAACCATCTCATCTGTTGACTCGTTGTAGAGCTCCAACGTGGAATATTAAATATGTGAGACGCCGCTTATTAACAACCTAACAAAGCCGTCCCAACCACCTGGCTACGGTGATCGCATTTGGGTAAATGTATCACCAAATGAACCGTGCTCAGAGCCTCAGCTGTCAAAAAAACTGGTTTCTGGGGAAAGATGGAGGGTTGGATCAAACAGTGCAAGGAATGACGCCGTGGCGCTGGGAATACCGGGGTTTGCAGAAGCGGCTGAAAAGGAAACATGCATCCAACTCCCAAACCGTAATGTCACTCTTGCAGAAAACCCTCGGGCACGAGAGTTGAGAAAAAGTCCGGGGATACCAGGTCATGAGCGGAATACAAATTGATTACAGATGCAGTTTCGGCCGAGGCAGGGCCGTCCGGTTCTTGACCCAAGAATGATAGGAAGCAGAATGGAAGAAAGTGGATATTTTTATTCCTGGTAAACTCTTTGTCTTCCGGCATTTGTTACAAGTGATGGACGGTTGGACGTCATCGTTTTTGCGTGCCAAGGTTTTGGAGTGGACGATCGGCAAACGGGGCTTGGCAGAGATCGGACCAAGAGTTTTTGACGGCTGGGCGCGACGGGGATAAAAGTCTGGGGTAAGAGAGATGTGGTGATGAGACGGTGTTTGGAGGATTCACATACTTCACAAAATAATATGTTTAAATGGTTAAAAATTGTTGATAAAATGAAGCACCATCGTAGACAACACGAACTTACTACAGTGTACGGATACCGTTGCAAGGTCATCAGTGTCGTATCAATTTTGTCCTCGTAGCCGGATCTCTCGGGTGTCGTCATCAAATGTCCTTTTTAGTTCCCCCGATACAGCCTGTCAGCAAGGATTACCCTACTGATCCCTGACGACAGGGCTACTGCACTGTACACTGTTTGTATTCCCTGTACCTGAACTTACACAGCACCTAACGTCCGCTGCAGCCCCCATCCCCAAGGCACAGAAAGCCACCACCAGGACTCGTCGTCCTATGAGACAAAGCATCAACGACGCAACAAAATCCCCCTTCGCTGCAGTGTGTGCACACCAAAGCCGAATCGTCATAGTGCTTTGTATGCTGTAACAATCAGAGCTGTGGTCAAGGCTTCCCCGTCGGATTTCCCCAGCTTTTTCCATTCCCACAGAACCCCATGGAGAAACTTCACCAATTGACATGCATTCTCCCCATCCCCACAAATCAAAATGGGACGGACCGATTTCATGGTCTCGAGACCAAACCATCCGGGGACACCTCCGCTATTGAACGCCGACACATACCTGACATCACTTTTGCATCGACAGGTATATAACGTCATTGCATTGACTGAAACAACTCGTGGTATATTTATTCCTCATCGTCTGCTCTTATGTAGTACACACTCTCGATCAAACACCACATCGAACTCCTTTTATATATACACATATAAATTGTTCTGGTTCAAGGCTGATTGCCTTTATTGCCCAGCATGGCGCCGTCTTTCCTCACCGTTCATTTCGATGAGCAGAATCCCAATTCAGAAAAGGGCAAGGAGGCCGGTGCACGTCGGTCCCTGTCTGGACTCGACTACTCGCCTCTACCTCGCATCACAGGACGATCGTTCCTCCTAGCCACCTTTGTATCCATGGGTGGTCTTCTGTAAGTCAACCTCCATACTGCGCATCTAATAAGACAAGCAACTTATACGGAATAGTTTCGGTTATGACACAGGTCAAATCTCAGGCTTCCTCGAGATGCCAGACTTTCTCGACCGCTTCGGCGAGACGAACAGTAACGGAGAGAAAGAGTTCGGCACTGTTCGATCTGGCTTGATTGTTGCGCTTTTGTCTATCGGTACCCTCATTGGTGCCCTTGTTGCAGCGCCTGTGTCGGATCGCATTGGTCGCAAGTTTAGTATTTCGGGATGGACCTGGATCATTGCGATTGGTTTCATTATTCAGATTTCGTCGAACCACAACTGGGTTCAGATCATGATGGGCCGATGGGTCGCTGGATTGGGCGTGGGCGCCTTGTCTTTGCTGGTTCCTATGTTTCAAGCTGAGGTGAGTCTCAACATGGAGTTGCTATTGGATTTTACTGACTTTGCCCACTAGACTGCTCCTCCTTGGATTCGAGGTGCTATGGTTTGCTGTTACCAATTGTTCATCGTGAGTTCATCCAACTCGGCCCTACCAATGAGAAGCATTCTCTAACAACTCGCAGACAATGGGTATCTTCCTGGCTGCCTGCATTAACTACGGCACAGTCACCCACCACCCCAACAGCTCCGCATCATGGCGCATCGTCATCGGCGTTGGCTGGGCCTTCACTCTTATCCTCGGAATCGGCATCCTCTTTCTGCCCGATACGCCCCGATTTGACTACCGCAAGGGTAAAATCGACCGCGCCCGTGATACCCTCTGCAAGGTCTACGGCGCCACGCCAAACCACTGGTCCATCCACACCCAGATGGAGGAGATTGAAAGTAAGCTCCGCGCCGAGAGCCAGATCAAGGGCAACCCCGCCAAGGAGTTCGTGCAGATGTTCAAGGCTCCTCGTATGGCGTACCGCATTTTCCTCGGAATGGCTCTGCAGATGTTTCAGCAGCTGACTGGTGCTAACTACTTCTTCTACTACGGCACGACCATCTTCCGCTCTGTGTCAATTGACAGCTACAAGACCCAAATCATCCTCAACACAATCAACTTCCTCGTCACTTTCATCGGTCTGTACATTGTTGAGCACTACGGTCGACGAAAGTCTCTTATCGCAGGAAGCACCTGGATGTTCATCTGCTTCCTTATCTTTGCATCTGTTGGGCACTTCGCGCTTGACCAAGACAACCCTCAGTCTACTCAAAGTGCCGGCATTGCCCTGATCGTTTTTGCCTGTCTTTTCATTCTCGGTTTCGCTACCACCTGGGGACCTATGATCTGGACTATCATGGCCGAGATCTTCCCCTCGCGATACCGAGCCAAGGGTATGGCTTTGGCGACTGCAAGCAACTGGCTGTGGAATTTCCTCCTCGCATTCTTCACACCCTTCATCACCGCCGATATTGACTTCCGCTATGGTTACGTCTTTGCAGGCTGCAATCTCCTCGGAGGAATCATCGTCTACTTTTTTGTCATCGAGGGACAGGGCCGCACGCTTGAGGAGATCGATACCATGTATCTTGAGCGGGTGAACCCCATCAAGAGTGCCAAGTGGGTACCGCCTCCACCTGAGGAGATGTCGCGAATCCGCAAGGAGGCTGGTCTTGATATTGAGGGAGCCGCGCAGCAACAAGCTGGCTCAAGTGACGATGAGACTTTGGCTCGACCTTCTGGTGTTACCGACGCAGGTCATGGACATAGAAAGGAGGAGCAGGCTGGTACCATTCACCACGAGTAGGGGGGATACAGTGCGCGTGAAAGTGGTGCACGGCGTGTATAATGAGTTCGAGATGAGATTGTATGATACCAACGATAAATTCATAATATTTTAGCCAGTTCAGAGTAACTATTTACCACATGAATATGCCTCACAGTATTCGCCAGGTGATTAAGAATGATGAGTACTTACGTTCTCTGGGGCAAACTCCCGTGGAAATAATAGCTGACACAATTTGCAACGCCATTGATGTTTTCTATGAATAGCGAGTCGACCCAGCCACTGCGTGATTGTCTCTTCTTCGAAGCTTATCGATCGTTATCATGCTTGGTAGAATTGACAACAGGTTCCTCTAAAACATGACCCTCGAATTATTCACAATCGCATACCGGAAGCCGGATGGAATCTTTATACTTACTAGAAGACTCGATTGTATGCAAACAACGGCTGCGTCGCGCTTACCCGCTTTTTCTGACATTGTATCGTTCCTACTCACACAATGTGAATACTGTCACTGCACGGCAGTGTTTACCTGCCGTGGGTTTGATTCACCACGCACTTCCAGGTAAACAACTCCCCATTTGACCTTCCCTCATCCCCATCCCTCAACAACATTCCATCTACGATCCTCTTGCTTTGCTAAAATCAACAACGCAACCATTTTTACTCTCTCATCATCTTTCATCATTCAACTGCATCATCCATCACATACCTTAAACCGCATCGCATACCGGACACATACCACATTGTATACTACATCGCATACCATCATGTGCTACATCACGATCCACCGAACCCTCTGCGACGTGTGCCACGAAGTACTAGAATATCGCAAATCCATCGATGAAAAATGCTACAGCAAGCTCAAGACCGACCGTTGCAACATCCAAGATCCCCCCAGCATGAGAGTGAAACATGTGGACTCCAGCAACTGCCTTGCCTGTGAGGCCAGGCGTGCCAGCGTTGAGGCTGCCAGGAAAGCCGAGAGGGAGAGAAGGGAGCTAAAACGACAAATGGAGGTAGTGGAACAGATGGAGGCAGACAAGATCAAGAGGGAAGGAGTCAAAGCGGAATCGATGACGACAGAAGACATAATTAAAGAAGAGGAGGAAGCGATGGAGGCTGTGTACAAGAAGGCCGCGGATGCTAAGGTGGCGCGGGAGAAGAACGGCAGGGTTGAGGAATGGATTGATGAGGTGCTAGAGTTGAAGAGGAAGCCTGGGGGAAACAAGGAATGAGGGTTGATACTTTTGGAGGATGAGAAGGCGGCGCATAACGCGAATGGATGTGTTATGGCTAGGCGTTGATGGGGATGAGCGCAGCAGTTTTCTAGCGCTTTGGTAGCGTTTGAAGTACTCAATCGACAGGAATCCTTTTCTAGGATTCCTCCTCTGATTTCAGATTTCATCGGCCAAACATAAGAATTACGTGACGATTATCATACTAGTTGGTGACGATGATGAATATGCATAAAAAGTTCACCACGGAACAATCGCCTTACCCAATGTGGGTGTTTGCACAAAGCCATGTGATGTGAGGCCTCATGGAATTTTGGACAAAAGTTATGCTCTTAATATTTGTAAACATATGAGCACAGGAAGAAAAGAGAAAGATTAATAAATAAGAATAATCTTTTTACAAACATGGACCCGATTAGGCACAGCTGGTCACATACATCTTGAATGCGTGACGTTTGCATGGCCACTGATGCATTGTCCCCCCTGCAGCTACAAGAACGCAAGCTTTCCACATTACAGGGCCTTTGTTTCCCATTGAAGCAAACATTAACCCTAAGGTAACTTACCACCCTTGAATAAAAGAGATCAATAGAGTCAAGGTATTTCGAAATGTGCAAGAAGATACAAGAAACATGGCTCTGCAAACATTGCTTTAAAGTCGTCAAGAACCAAACATACGTCACCCGTAAGTGCACAAGTAGGTTAGAACTGGGAATTTGCAAAGAACGGAATAGTCCGAAGGAAGTGGCTGTTGATATGTTTGACCCAGACTGTCTGACATGCAATCAGCCAAGGAAATGGCCGGCAAATGATCTCGATGATGTGAGAGAAGGTGGGAAGTGAGTCTAAGGCACAAGCCTTACTACTACTGATACATGGTTTAGATATTAACTTAAAAACATTTTTAGCCACCAAGTGTGGACTTTTATATCTACTGTTGCTACATAGTATGCACGTAATTCGGCGTAACTAGCCCGCACTTGTCTCGGCATCGAACCCGACCAAGTGACACGGCATGTCGCTTCATCTACAGAACCGACCAATCAGATAGACTCTATCTGTAAAATATGGGGTCTTATCTCTCATCTTCATGATGATAACCGCGCTTTTCTCCCCACACGTTCATCCCCTAGCCCATCCCCGGACTCTGACCTTTTTAGCTTCAACCTCTTAACTACGTGTAACTGCGTGGCTCCGATTTACCGGAATTCCGAACCCTTCCTCTCACCGTGTATTCTCCTAGACCGTCCCACCAATGCCGAGAACGAATGCACTCGAACCTCGTGTAAGACGCTCCTGTGAGCGCTGTCGGTAAGTTGCCCCTAAGAGGGATCCATCAGAACTGATAGTGTTACTTGGCAGGGTGAAGAAGATCAAATGTCCGGCTGAGAAGCCTGGCTGTTCGCATTGTCGCTTGGCGAATGAAACGTGTACCTATCTTCCTCGGAATCCTGTTAATAGTGATCGACGAGCATCCGCACAGTATGCGCAAGCTTCATGTTGATCTTGACAGTTGTTGATTGTCTATAGCAAAGCCCTCAAAGTAATGCGAAGTGGCGTATCGCTGGGTACATCGCCAGAGCCCAACAGCCACGAAGTAGAGTCAGTTTCTGTCCCAAGTTAACACATCTCCCGTTTACAATATTGCTGACTTGGGTATCCTAACAGTCCGATCTTGAATAGAAGTAATGGCCATCGCGAGGAAAGTTGGCATAACTACGCCAGCCCTTTGCTTAATACAAACCAGCAACTACCCCCAATAGCGACCATACTGTCTGAGACAGCATCATGGTAAGCCCCATGAGCATTCCCACCTGAATTGTTTGTTAAAGAAGTTATAGGTCCCCCGCAAACCCAGAACCGTCGACAGAGGTTCTAAGTGACTTCGTAAATGCATATCGTGAAAAGCTGTACTTCCAACCTCTTCCTCTCTTCGACCCTCAACGTCTCCGGACAAAGATTCACACTCTGCCTCAGTACTTGCGATGGAGCTTTCTGGCACTTACACTACACTACACAAGCCATAGCTTCTACTATGGACTCGAGGCAAAAGCAATTGAGTATTATGCTAAATCTGCAAGGAGTATAGTGGTTGATATGGCAGCTGAGGGACTTGCCGAGCTTGAAGTCATGCAAGCTTTGTGTCTTCTGGCGTTGTGTGATCACATTAGTAAGTCCCCACGCCAACTCCATAGTTACCAAAGCTTATAATCGTCAGCGGGGAAGCCATCGCGTGCCTGGATGATGATTGGAATGGCAGCGAAACTCGAAGCCCTTCGCCTCTCAGAGTCAAAAGACAATAAAGGCTCACGTCAGTCTGACGATGCAATCTCAAGATGTCACTGGAGTATTTCCATCCTGGAGAGTACCTTTTCTCCTCACTGCAGCACTCTATCAGAAGTATCTCACGCCCCGAATTACCCGAGAAGTGTATCTAGACCTACTCCTTTACACTCATCGCATGGGATGAAGAGCTACTGCGCTGATCTAACCGATGCGTACGAGGGAAATGTCCAAGACGTCGGCATTGTCGCGACTTGTCTGGGGTATATCTCGATCTGGGGCAGTATCATCTCCTATCTGCGAGACATCCGTAACGGAGCGAATGAGTATCCATGGCTAGCCAACTCACGACACAGCCAGCTCACTGTAAAGTTGTACGAACTTGAGAATGTCACTTCCCATAGACACCTCATTCGCAATGCGCCTTTTCCAGATCAGCCACCCGAAGATCTTAGGCAGAACCGCGAATACTGGGCCCCATGGGTGTTATTCCAGATCATGATGCACGCCACACAGGCTATCCTGAACAACCCCTTCGTCCAACTCGTCGCGCTTCGAAGAGCAGGTCGCAAATTCCAGCCGCGTTCCTTCTTGCAGAACACAGTTGACCAAGCCTTGTTCCACGCAGAGTGGGTTTCTCGTTTGGTGCAAATGTGCGTAGATCGGCAGTTTGAAGTGAACGATCCTTTGATTGGACAAGCTGTTGCTGGATGTGTCTCGATACTGTGGATATTCCAATTCGCGCGAGATCGGAAGGTGTCAGAGAAGGCCAAGGAGAATCTAGCCATCTGTGAGACGTTCTTGGGACATTTATCTCGAAAATGGCCTCATATTGCAGAAAAGGTGAGCTGTTATTTTGTTGCCGAGAAGGCAATGCTGACTTACGCATAGGTCGAGATACTCCGAACTCTCAATATCAAAGTCACCAAGAAGCAGCAAACCCCGCAAGACGACGACTCTGCCGGCGCAACTATACAGTTTGAGCCGGATATGATGTGGGAATTGCTTGATCCTGCCATGTCGGGCGTGGACTGGGCTGGTTTGTGCAGTTCTGCAAAGAAAGGGGAATCCCAAGTGGGCACGAGTGCTACTATACGCGTCGCGACAAAGTTTGTGCATCCTATTTATAACGATGAGGATGATGCGCAGGCGCCGACTTTGCATAATCTTTTTGACTTGGAGGATGTCTATGGGGAGCCGTTCCTGGATCAGTTCTTTTCTGATTCTTTGCTTGTTAATATATCGTAGAGCTTAGTATAGTTATGGATTTTAACATATATTCACTTTGGAACCAACTTGACGTATGTCTTCAAATCGTGTTGCATGAAACATCCTGTCAACTAGTTTTAATCTGAGACCAAGGACTGGTCTAGAACATGAAGCAGTGATAGCCATCGTAGCTTTCGGGGCGCATCGATCCTTTCTCTAAGTGTGAGACACCACAATCAAGCTGAACCTTGAAGCTGTCAAACCAGTTATGATCGGCTTCGTATCTCAGCTGGACTTGTGCCGCGCATTAGCGCTGATGTAACGACTATGTTGCTCTCGAGGCCCCCACGTTATGCAACCTCTCATTATTGTCAATTTTCATCATGCACGCTGCGCAAACACTTCTTTCATTTGGCTCGCTGTTCGGTGCGGCTACGACTTTACCAGGATGTGGTGAGGTCAACGTCTTGTACACGTATGATATCACCTGTCGCAATTGCTCAAACGCTCACTAACGTTGATAAAGTGGCTTGCCAGGACGTCATAACTATGTGACGCAGCGGGGCTACGACCCCGTTCTCACGGAGGCACAGATCTTTAATCACACACGCGAACTGCGTGAGGCAGGATATAATGTGCGAGGTATGAGTCCCGAAACCATCCCCAGAACGGCATATAATGACAATGTTGGGTAGCTGTTTGGAGAGGCCCCGAGATTCCTGGGTCTGAGCTCAGCGAACACATGAAGGATATCCATTGGCACGCTGCTGGTATTGGATTTGGCGTTCGGGGATCTAGCATATCGGATGTCATTACTCTGTTTAAAGGTAAGCACGTACCCAGACCAGGCGTCGTTTCTGCTCCGGCTTGTTTACTGATCTTGCTCAGAGACGATTGATATTTACCGCAAGGAAGCTCCCGATGCCAAGTTTGTGTTCAACTATAACCCGCTGACGTTTTTATGGTCTGTTAAGCGGTATTTCCCGCTATCAAGTGACTGCAAGGACCAGCTAGGAAAGGATTTGGTAAGTTAGCCAACCGTGCAATGATGTAGAGGCTGACATGAGATGATAGGGATATGTCACGCTTTGTGACAAGGAGTGCGCTTGAATTGACTCATCTTAGTCAGAGATTTATACATCAAATCAGAACAATATGTCAAAACGTCTCTCAATCAACTCTTACATGTATTTATCGACTTCTATATTGCTAGTAGGGACTCAGCAAGCCTACAAGATAACGTGTCATAGCTGTTGTTCAAGGAATACCATGGCTTTTACTTCCCTGTTGCTTCAAAGGGACTCAGCCCAAGACCAGATGGGAGCCTGGCCCTGTCGACTTGTCGCGTCTGTAAATGTTTCAATTGTGAAGCACATAATTGGCTCAGTTACGACCAAAACTTCAACTCAATATTTGCACGCTCCTTGATAGTGGATCTATAGGGCATATCTGATCTCACAGGTTCATACGCTAATTTAAATCTGACGGAGACAACCAACCACATCTCCTAATGAACTAGTAGTGCTTACTATGGATCCCTCCCAGGCGGCCCGCCGCGCCAATCTGTAGGCACCAGGGGCGATTCATCTCGATTCACAACCCAATCTCAAAACCTCATCCTAACATCTCCCCTCTAAACAAAAATGGTCGAACGAAAATTTCAACTCATCGACAAATACACCTTCAACCGCACATATTACGGCATACCCCTCTCCGAACAATGGCAAGCCTGGGAAACAGCGCACTTCTTCCGCGTGAAATCCATCGTCGATCACCCCAACGTGGGCGCACGGCTTATTTCCTACGGCTGCAACAACGGCGATCCGAGCACCCTCAACTGCACGACTACGTGCAACAATGCGACGCTCATGTATAATTCGCCTGAGAACTTGTGGAACTGTATGACGCTTGCTACGCTGGGCATGTTGGTTGGACCCGGGAATGATACGATCGACAAGGGGAGTGAGATGAAGATGGATGAGATATTTCACTTTCGCACCGTGGAGAAGTTCAACAGGTTGAATGTGTTTCGGACGGTGAGAGATTGCGCTTGGGCGTCTTGTTCCGACTCGACGTATGGGCATTGTACAGGCAGTCTGCAGCGTTTCGAGTGTAACCCTGTGTCGCCGACCAATATCGAGAGCTTTGGAAATGTCATGGCGAAGCCGTATTGTCAGGCTGCAAGCGCCGGTATTGATCTGGACATTGCAGGTCAGGGTGTAAGTCATTCCTATCTACCTACCTTGATGTCTTCTAACCATTCCGCAGATCGTGTCAGCATATATCATCCAACTAGTCCTCGTCCTCTTCCTCAGCATATGCTTCAAACTCACAGCATCCTGGATCCGAACATTCGGCCGCATATCCAGTTCTGTCCAAAAGGGCTCTTCATTTCGCGAGACATGTAACCAGTGGCAGACTAGACTGAGTCAAACTCGCCTCGCAAACGCAACATCCGCCGCGATGCGCGACTTTCAAGAATCTCAAGCTCTCTTCGCAGCTACCATCTCCATTACAGCCATCGTTACATTCGACGGCGGAAACAGAGCTGGTCTGGCAAACATGCTTACCCTCTTCTCTTGGATGTTCAATCACCGTATTCTGCAAGGCCTTATCACCGCGGGTATGTATCCCGTTCTGATGGCGCAGTTAGTCATGCACCGAGCCGGACAGCGTCGCTTCTATACGCTATTCTTCGTGGTCCTCTCGTGGGTCCTCATGACGATTATCACTGAGTTTCAAGACTTCAACGCCGCTGAGTTCGAGCAGCATCTCAAACAAGTCTCCAATGTGGGAGCTTGTGGAAATATGCCCGGACCCATGAGTTTCTGCCAGGGTATTAAAGATAGAGACAACTATGAGTTCTTTGCGCTTACTCTAGCTTCTCGCTTTGCCGTTCATATTATTATTTCCTGCCTGATCATCGACTGGGCCGTTCATTTTATGAACAAGCGGCTTTCGGGGGGCAAGATAAAGTATGCCCAGATCGGCGGGGAGACGCGCTCGTTGTTTGCTTTTGCAGAGACCAGGGGCATCAAGCTGTTCTTGGGAGTTTTCTGGGCTGCTATAGAACTCCTCACCGTCAGCCTCATATTCATCGGATTGCGGGAGTTGGTTGAGCTTCTTGATATGCACCAGGCAGATGGTGGACTGTCGACTTGGGGTTTTGGTCAGCTTGTTGCCGTGGCTATTTGGTTCCCTATCATAATCAAGTTCATTAGTTTGAATATTGGTAAGTATTTTCGATCTTTGGGCTCTGATACGTTGCTGACATGTGCAGTTGGTCCTAAGAAGGAGGTCAAACAGCTGGAGCAGGTACAAAGGCCTCAGGCTATGGAGTTGGACAGCTACTCCTACAACAAAGCAAACGACCCCCACGTTAGGCCTGTAATGTAGTGATGGGATGCTACAGTCCTGTGCAGAGCTTCCGACAACGAGCTAACTAGGAATATATATAATAGGATAAATATGTAAAATGTATAATAATTAAAACAGTTTATCTATAATATTATCCCAAGATTATTAAAGTTAACACAAAATGAAAGAGATTATTATGATGTATGATATCTTGAATAAATTTTAGAAGAGGGGAAGTTGCCCGAACCTTTGCACGGGACTGTATATACTGTATACCTATGCTATCTCACTACTTGTTATCGGCATAGTATACATCCCAGGCAAACCAATCAAACATAACATCAAAAGGTCGTTTTGTGCCGCGGGAGCCTTGATCCGAAGGTGTTCTCTCATGGACTGGCCCTTTATCCGATGCGCTATTCCGCATTTCTCGAGAAATAACAGGATGGGTTGGGAGCAGATCTGTGGGGAGCCACTCAAGATAATGTTCCAGATCTGCGCTGATCCCATCACTCAACTCCTGACGCATTTCATCGACGGGCATTAGTGGGATATCCACTCTGCCACCGATAGGTTCTCGAGTTCTTAGTGACTGCATTGCCCCCTGAGGAAACATCTCAACCTTTTCTAATCCACCTCGGCTATTTATCTCGTGCTGAACCAACCTCAGGAACACATTTGCAACATTCTCCAAGCGTGCACACAGCGGAGCTAATAGCTGCATCTGGCCTCTCATATTTGCATAGTACGAAACTGCTGTTGCCAAGAGGTCTGTGTCCTGCTGTATGGTTCTCGCACTTAGTGAAGCATGATCCTTCATTAGATGCCCATAGATGATGAAGTATGGTATAAAGGGGAAGTATAGCAGATGCCTATGTCTGAGTATTAGCTATGTAGGCTTAAATATTTGGGAAGGGTGGCGTACCAAATCATGCTATTGAATAGAGATGTCCAATTCGACACCATGGAGGGCAGCAAGGAAATTGCCTCCCGAGCAGCCTCCAATCGTAAGTTTGAAGATGAAGGGTCCCCGTTGGTAAAAGCCATAAGGGTGTGTAGATATTCAAACTTGACGGTGCTGATGCCTAGTGACATCTCGTGTAGCTGATTGGGACTAGATGAAGGTCGTTCACTATCCAGAGTGTCTTGTAATATCTACTCTGGTATCAGCATTATAATGATGCCATCATCTTTTGTGTATAGCTGTTACCTTGACTGTTCGAACATGCCACTCAACGAGATTTGCTCTTAGAAGACCTCTTGCCTCAGCCGTCCCTTCATTGCTTGGAAGCGCATAATCATCACCAGTAAGACTAGCGAGTTCTATACGTGCAAGAAACATATGCGCTCCAAACATCGAAGATGGTCTTTTTGTTTTACCAGTTGCAGCAAGGTCGCTGCGAGGTTCGAACCTCGTTAAGTAACTGAAATCAGGAAGTGGAACATGCGAGTGCACGTCCGATGGAAGAAAGCATGGTCTCCCAAATGCAAGAGAACACGACCTATCAATAGCGAAAAGAAGCCAGAATAGACTCAGTCGTCGCTGCCGGGTCTCATAGTCTACGTTTGTAGAAGGGTGTAGCCCTAGTGCCTGAGCTTGGCGACATGCATGGCCGACTAGCATCCAGGATGAACTCGGCGAGGAGTAATCTTCTCCGTGAATGGCGAGGAGGATAAGAGCTTGTAGATGCGCTTCGTGGGGCTCGAGGAAGATGCTGCTGTCATTGAGCGCCAGTTTCATATTCTGGCGGAACTTCTGAGCTTGTGTGTTTTTGTCACCCGATAGCATTGCGAGAAGCATGTAGTTGACGTACACCACCCAAGCCTTTCGGGTCACAGTTTCTGGCTTGAATATTACTTGTATGAGAAGGTCTTCTGATGGTGCTTGGAAGAAGTTGTCGCCCAGGCTTGCGTTTTCCAGAAACTCTGTGAGATTGCCTGTTAACGTGATGTGTGTAAGTATGGCGATGATGATACTAACTTCCAATTAGCTGGTACCCCTCAGCTCTGGGTGGTATATAGAAGTTTGTCTCCGCTACTCCCTTAGCGACAACAGTCGTTGTGATTGCGTTCGACAGATATTGCAGCTCGTCTCTAGCCTGGCGATGGAGAGGATCTGAGTCGGGAGCCGAGACACGAATACTGGCAGATGCATCCTTCAGAATTGAGAAGGAATGAGAATCTCCAAAAACTAAGTTGGCAGCTGAATCATCCTTATGAATTGTCAACGAGTGCATCTTGGACTTTCCTCCAGCGTGGCTTGACACAACCTGGCCCATGCCATCCAGAGCTTTAGTGACAGTATCGGTCAAAGTTTGGATAGCCTTCTCTAGCTTGTCCAATCGACTATGAATTCCTTCTACCTCTTGGTGGCTTGGTATCGTAAGAGGCACAGGCGCGAGGTTGTCGCGATTGGGTCTTGGAGCAGGCACATCTCTGGAATAGTCACAAGGCCCAGGCCATGGTTTGCAGGCACTGCATTTCGGGAGTTCCTTGGAGCATCTCAAAGTCTCAGCCTTATAATTTTGAACATTCCTGAGGTGGATTTAACATACCTGAGTTTCTTCTGTTTGCAATAGTCACACTGAACCATTATTAGCGTCTAATTCCCGGCCCTGGGGTGGATATTTACAGCGTAACGAGCTAGACTGATACTCGCCATGATGCATATGAAGAGATTCTAGCATCGATTGCGACGTGTCGAATTCTGCAAGGTTTGTGAAAGGAAGAAGAAAGGGATTAATGGATGTGGGCATTGAAAGATCCTCTCTGTCATTAACCGAAGGGGAGAGATTTGATTGGCTGGACACGGGAGAACAAGTGCTTACTCCGAGTTCAGCCAATCAACTTCAACCAATCCGGAAATATGATTAGAACGACAATGAAGCTGGCTGCTCAGAGTTCATCCGGCTGAACTTGAACATCTGGAAGTGGATAATGAAGGAGCCTACAATTGATTCTGGGCAATAATTGCGGACATTTAAAATGTCCGTCTATTTAGCAGGTACATTCTGACTATATAAAAAGGTTGGACATCTCTCATCATAACCTCTCACAAATTAGTCGCAGCCCAACCAACATCTAATTCACAACCCTGAACACTAGAACATTATACAACCATGACCTCAAGCCTAGCACCAATCGCCATCATCGGAGGTGGCCCAGGCGGGTTAACCCTCGCGCGCCTGCTGGAGATTAAAAACATCGACTACATCGTCTACGAGCGTGGCACCAACTCTGAGCCTAAGTTTATCAACCAGGGTGGAACTCTTGATATCCATCGCTCCTCGGGACAGCTCGCTCTCAAGGAAGCCAGACTCTTCGACGAGTTTGAGAAAGTTGCAAGATGGGATGCTTCGCGTGTTTGTATGCAGAATCCATCCGGGACAATCAAGGCGGTGTTTGGGGAGGATCGCGATGCGCCGGAGATTGATAGGTTGCAGCTTCGGAAGATGTTGCTTGATTCTATCCCATCTCACAAGATTCTCTGGGGCCATGGTGTTAGATCTATTGAAAGAGGAGAAGCACCTATCGACCATGTTATTCATTTTGCAAATGGTCACTCCGCCTCTGGATATCGTCTTATCGTCGGAGCAGATGGTGCTTGGAGCAAAGTCCGCTCTTTGGTAAGTCTACGATTTCCAAGTTTCTGTCTTAGCTAACATATTAACAGCTCACAACAGCCAAGCCAGTGTACTCTGGCAAGGTCTTCATCGAAGGTAGTATCTCGCAAGACAACCCAAGCTATACTGCCGCACTCGATCACGCAGGACCCGGCAATATGCTAGCTATGGGTCAGCATAAGATGCTTGCCGTCCAGCAATTGGCCGACCGCTCGTATCGTTTCTACATGGGAATGGACGCCCCCGAACACCTTTACCTGAAACCAATTGGTATCGCCGAAACAGAGGAGATACGTCGAAACTTTTTGTCATCTCCAGAGTTCTTCGACACTTGGGCGCCAGAGCTCAAAGAATACCTTGCCAACGCAGAAGGGCCGTTCCATGCATGGCCTTTGTATCGTTTGCCTGTTTCTTCATTAAGTTGGGAACGGGTACCTGGGGTTACCCTGCTTGGAGACGCTGCTCATCTTTCTACGCCTCTTGTCGGTGAAGGTGTGAACATGGCCATGCTAGATGCTCTGATGTTAGCCAGAAATATCCTCAAACATTGTGCATCTGGTGGGGACGGGGATGCCACACGAATGGAGAGTGCAATTGCTGAATATGAGAAAGAGATGCTCGAGCGTGGAGGGGACTATATATCACGTTGCATTGGACGTGAAACAGAATTCTTCTCGGAGCACGCCGCTGAGGATTTTATCAACATGGTAAATGGCGCGAATGAGGGAGGCAAAGACACCTAAGTAGCAAAGGCTTGATAGCTAGGGAGGTAAGATGGCACAAGAGGTTAGTAGAATCGAATCAAGAGATACAGCAAGTCACATTCACGTTGCAAAGGACAAAGTATGGGGATAAATATCCTTGATTGTATATTTGAAGTGAAAGTAAAACCGTGGATGCTGAGTGATTTATCATCTCGCTCTCAGACCCGGTATCAAATTTTTGCGTGAAAAGACGGGGAGGTTAAATAAATCCCGGTCAAGTGCCCTAACATTCCCAAACATTCGTATACTCATTTCAGCAGATCATATCTGAGGCTTTTTGTTTTACGTTTCTGTTTTGCGCTTCGTTTTGCATTTATGTGCTCTGGACAGTGACGGCCTTGGCGACCTGCTCCTGGAGACCATTGGCCTTCTCCTTGAGGTCGCTAAGGATTCCATTGCTCTGCTTTCCGTTGGTCTTGGACGAGCCGAGGACGTAGTCGTCGTTGTCGCTGCTGGAGTCCTGCTGGAGACCGTCAACTCCCTCGGGGCCAGAGGCATGGAGCTTGGCGTTCTTGACGCCGTTCATGGTGATCTTGCCCATCTGGCCGTTCTCAACGGGGGCGCCGTTCACAGTGTAGCCGGTGTCGCTGGAGTCGACAAAGGCCTCGAGACCAGCACCCTCGCGGGGGTAGGACTTCATGATCTTCTTGTGCTCCTCGAGAGCAGCGACCATGTCGTCGTGGCTGACGTCGTTGAGGAAAACGCAGTCGCCCATGGGGTTGACGGGGACTGCAGCGCGGAGCTTGCCGTCGCGAGTCTTGAGGATGGCTGCGGTGGCCTTCTCAAGCAGAGGGGCATCGAACTGAGGGTGGTCCATGGAAAGACCGGCGCGGGAAAAGAGGTTCAGGAGGCGGGTATGCTCCTCGGAGGAGAGGAGACCACGAAGGTGGGCGAGAGTGGCAGAGTAGGCCATGTCAATTGAGATGGCATGACCGTGGCGGAGGGGAGTCTCAGGAACGAGCTCGTGAAGAGGAGACCAAGTGTGGCCGTAGGCAATGACGCGGTCAAGCATGATCTCGTGGAGGTTAGGGGTCTCAAGCTTGAGCATCTCATGGATACCAGCGCGGCAAATCTTGTCAGCAACCTCCTTGATCTCAGGAGAAGCATTGTCAGATCGGCCGAAGCCAGTGTCGATGAGCTGCTCGCAGTACTTCTCGAGAAGGTCGTAAGTGTCCTTGTGGGCACAGGTGGAGATCTTGATCAGCTCTGCGAATCCATTTCGGATCTGTGCCACTGGGAGACTGCGGAGGAATGTGAAGTCAAGGAATGTGTGAGAGGGAGCGTGGTAGGCTCCGAGACGGTTCTTGTAGTTGCCGTAGTTGACGGCGACTTTGATGGAGACTGAGGCGTCAATGAGGCCAATGACTGTGGTGGGAATGCGGACGTAGTTGGTGTTGCGGCGGTAAGCAGCACAAGCAAATCTGCGATTGTTAGATGTTGTTATTAGAGAGGTAGTGAGAAACTTACCCAGCAACGTCAGTGACGAGACCACCACCAACGACAAGGACAGGCTCCTTGCGGTAGATACCAAAGTCGGTCATGGAGTCGACAATGGATAGAAGAGTATCCATAGACTTGGCCTTCTCGCCAATCATGGTCTTGTGAATGGTGAGAGGGATGCCATAGTGATCAAAGTAACGCTGCATCTCGGTACCGTACAGGTTGAAGATGTTCAAGTCCATGACAGCCAGGCATCGTCCCCAGGGGGAGTAGAGCTGGTACAGCTGGGGGTTGGCAGGGTTGAAGACACCATCGAGAAATTCAAAATCATACTCGATCTTCTCGTAACCGCAGACTGCGAAGCCCTTGGCCGTGGGCTCGACGGTAGCAGTCATATCAGACATGGTGGGCTGTGGTTTTGGAGGGTGGTAGGACAAAGAGTGTCGTACAGGATTTATATAGAGGGGGAGGGTGTATGGGAGGAGGAGAGTGTGCAGGTTGAGAAGTGTACGGAAGTCAATTGAACCTGGGATAAAGGCAGCTTTTATGTATCTTCACAACCCCTCAGTCGGAACAAGTCAACGAGGGGTTTTCGACGAGTCGATGGCTTGCAGAGAGAGAATATCCAACTGCCGACTCCGGAAAGAAGCTTTCAAGCTCGTGTCTTCACCAAGATATGTACCCTCTACATGAGAAGCAGCCAGAGCAGTGATGGCTGGGGAAGTACAAAGACAAGACAGCCAGTCCGGTCTACCTCATTGGCCATGGATAATATCGAGGATCCTTTGAGGCCAGAATGAGGTGATAGACTTGCGGGTTCACAAAGCTGCATCCTAGTTATTTTCCTCACCCCCATAGCTCGTTGCCCCATACAATGCCCCTCACCCCGCCAAATGTTGGTGTCATGATACTGATTATAATGGGGGTCCTGGAACAGAAACCTCTTAGCTCACGTTCCTGCTTGAGTGGATGGTGCTTGAAGTGGTTGGGAGGAAGAGCAAAGGGTGGGATGGAACCCCCTGAGAAAACGCCCACGGTATGCCGTATTCTAACCTGGTTGGTGCCCACGTCTTTACGCAGCCCACCGTTTGAAGGTGTCATACTGAGCACGGGGAAGAGAAACGGGACGTACCGTCAACAATAGTTCAAACCGTCCGTTAGCACGAACACGTTTAGGGGGTGCAAGTTTAGAGGCTGGTGTGACCGCCAGAAAAGAAAAAGACAAGGGGCTCGGGTATCGTTAGTCTAACTCGAGATCTTAGACCCGGGGGAGGATCCGCGTGGGGCGATTGTACCTGGATCTTGCTGGGTCCGGTGCTAAAAAAGCGAACTTGGATGAATATAGTGGGCTATGGAGGGGGATCTACTGTATTCTCGTAAAGACGGAGCCGCTGAGAATGGGAAAAGAGGACGGAAGTTAAAAACGGAGGCTCGTTCGATTACACTACCATCTCGCATGTGCGCGTCATTCATGTAGTGGGCCTCTCTTTTTTTATATAACAATAACCCCACGCTGGAACTGGAACTAGACCGGTTTTGAATAGAATGGACATGTGAGGGAAAAGGCATTGGAATTCGAGGGACCCTGAAGTAAGATCGGGATGTTTTGGAAGAGGGGGAAATAAGAATGGGAATGTTAGACTTGCTGATCTACGATGCGACATAATCTGATCCTAGTATCTCCCAAAGCCGTTGTCCTCACAAACTGACCGGTCTATTCTTATTTCTCTTTCGTGCAGTACTATTCTTTCTGCTTTTTCTTTTTCGGCTACCTGCGTTTCGCCTCAGTTACTCAATGTGTAGACATCCACTCACGGTCCGAGACTTCTTACCAGTTTATCACGTCATAGAAGTAAGCACAAGAGTAATAGGTGCAAGCAGTGGCCGATGAAAAGAGGGGTGTTTTCTGCATTTTTCCATTGGAAATGTCTCCCCGTGGCGAAAAACTGCGATGGTGAAACTATTCAAGCATGCATCTCGCGAGATAATGTAGCGTAAACAAATGGTCTCGGCCCGTTGTATCGGTAATCGTACCATGGTGTGGCACACACACACAGTTCCGTTTCTGCGCACATGGTGTGTGATACAAGGCGCTACAACCGTGAGAGAATACCACACTGTAGCAATTGGCCCAGGTACGCGTCTGTGTTACGCGCAGAGGTGTCGGGGTATTTACCGGTGTGGATTGGGATTGCCCGCATATGCAGATTGGATCCCTTCTGGCAGTTATGTAAACCAGCATGTGGCTGGGCAATGCCTGCTTGAGACAAACCGCGGAGCGAATATTCCTGGCGAGAGGGAGCTAGAGAACGAGCGTCTATTAAGAAATATCTTTCCCCTCATTTTCCTTGTGCCGTAGGCAGTTCTTAGACTAGGTAAGCCGAGATGTACATGCACACGCCCCCGGGCCTCCTCCGGATTCGGTCTCCACTACGCCGAGAGAATCGGGCGTCTCTTCTCTTGCAAATGGGCCACACCAACAAGTCATGACGTCTTCCAATTGGCACTCCCAAACCTCGAAACTTGGTCCCTCCCTCTCTTTCTTCCCAGCGCTCTTGTGCCTTTTTCTCTGCCTCGTGAAGCTTGCGATCGCCATTTACTCAAGCCAACGTTTTCATCTTCTAGAGTTTGGCAATTCGCTATGGCTGACCCTCCGGAGACCTCCCGTGTGCTTCAATTCGCCAAGAATTTGTCCCTCTTCCTGCTCAGCTTTGCCTTTCTGCTGCCAAATGTTCTTTTTGCCCTCGGTGCGTTCCTGTGGAGTCGGGGCACGTCCAGGGCTCCCAAGCATCGCAATGATGACAACCTGGATAAAGTCACGGTTCTAGTGACGGGCGTGAATATGGCAAAGGGCCTTTCGCTCGCTCGCATATTCCATCGCCGAGGATGTCGTGTCATTGGCGCAGATTGCTATCCTCTCTCCCCCGGTCGCGTCTCGCGTGCCATTGACGTGCACTACCAACTCCCTACGCCCTCAGATCCTTCAAAGAACACCATGAATGATCCCTATCTCAACAGGATAGTCGAGATCATCCACAGCGAGGACATTGACCTATGGGTTTCCGTCTCTGACGTCAACGCCGCAATTGAAGACGCAGCAGTCAGAGAAATTATCGAAGCCCGCACGAGCGCCAAAGCAATCCAATTCGGCGTTGAGGATATCCGCAGACTCCACGAGAAGGACGCCTTTATCGAACATACAAAGTCTCTCGGCCTAACGGTTCCCATAACAGAGGCGGTGGAGGATAAAGAGGATGTAATTAACTTTCTTTGCCGCAACGGCGGGCTTGAGCATAAACCTGGTGCGAGGCAATATCTTGTCAAACCCGTTGGCGTTGATGATGTTGCGCGCTTCGCTATGCCGTTACTTCCTCTTACGTCTGAAGACGCCACGCTTACACGCATCGACTCTATTCCCTTCAAAGCTGCCAAGTGCTCTTTCATTATCCAGGAGTTCATCACCGGTCCTGAGTTCTGCACGCACGCTCTGGTCGTTCGTGGTCGGATTTGCGCCTTTGTGGCTTGTCGTTCAGCGGATGTGCTTATGCATTACGCCGCTCTTCCTCCTGACTCCCCACTAAGTAGAGCAATGCTCGACTTTACCCTCAAGCAGGCAGAGGGCTGTGGAGATAATTTCACGGGACACATGAGCTTTGACTTCTTAATCAACAAGGAAGATGAAGATGCTGCCCAGTCTGGCGGTGATAAGGAAGTCACTATATATCCCATTGAGTGCAATCCCAGAGTCCACACTGCCACTATCCTCTTCAACAACACCCCCGAGATCGTCGACGAATATCTTTCTGTCCTATCCCCTGATGCACCACCCAGATCCCTTTCCAAGCCCCCGCTTACACCCTCCAACCCTGAGAAATACTACTGGGTCGGCCAAGATCTGGTCGAGCTTGTTCTGTATCCCCTTTATCTTGCATTGTTCCGCGGTACGATGGGATTGTCCGAGGTTAGAAAGTCTCTTCGGAGTTTCGCAGAGCATTTGCTCTACTGGAAGGATGGTACTTTTGAGGCTTGGGACCCTCTGCCTTGGTTGTGGATGATGCATGTTCATTGGCCGGTGCAATTTGCGTGGTATATGTCCACTGGTTCTGTGTGGACAAAGGTGAATGTCAGCACTGGAAAAGCGTTTAAGGGATGAGTGGGATGGGCTTTAGTAGTAATGCTAGTCTTGGTAATTGATCGGCGTTTATAGAGCATGGTGCATGGCGAGGCTGCAAGAGGCGTTCAAGGTTAAATAGATATCTGTCGGAAACCTCTTTATGAGGAAATATTCAACGTTCGTCTCTCTAGTGAACTCCAACATATCGCCGTGTATTTCCTAATGTCTAGTACTCTCGTTCTTAGTACGTAGTCCACCGTATCACCACACCTTCGCCAACTGTAGCAACGACATTTTCACAAGTTCCACTTCACACAGGTCAACCCTTCCAATATACTATATCATATTCCCTTTTTCTCAAAAATCATATTTTATTCGTATTATGCATCTTTGCAAGTCGTTTTGTACTTCTCACAGACCAACAAGCCATGTCGGCAGGGATTCACCACCCCACCATATCTGATAAGCCCGTCAAAAAAGTGTCTATTCCCACACGCCAGAGTGGTATATCTAAAAAGAAATGCCAGATGCTCACAGACCGCCGTCACCCCCCAGTTTAGGCTGTGTCCCAAACCGTTTCGCCCTTTTTCCTCTGCACCCAATAACCAACCCAGCCCCCCAAGATGCGTGTGTCAGGGGATCTGGATCTGCACGCCATACCACCCTGAAGCCATTCCCGGTACCCGGTGATACGGGCGTATTGCATCACACCGGATTCTTTATCTGACAACTGACACGGCAGTCTCTAGCGTGTGGCTTTTCTTGGGGAAAGGGAGGGACGGGTTCTTGGGAGATCTGTTACCACGTGGCTCGACACGTTGACGGCTGGTCGTCTGTGCCCTGCGAGGCTCATCCCTACATTCCGGCATAGCTGAGGTTCCTGACACTGTGTGGTCATGAGGTGCTTTGCTGGGATTGGACTTTGTAGTGCAGTACTGGTTAGTCTTCGAGAATGCTCTAGCTAATTGCCCCTTCTGGTAGGGCTGATGAATGTTGGACGAGGTATCACGCCTATGACCCAGACAACGCATTTGGACTGGCACAGTATTATATGACGAGTTTATTACTTGCGAGGACATTAATACTGCTATTGTAGAGCATAGCACTCACTAAATTAGCATTAATTGGCCTGTAGTATGCTACCTCTTCTCTGATGGTCCCCAAACCCATTTCCAACTTCCCACTCACAGGTTCCACTGTCATTGAGAAACCAAGTAGGTTTCTAGTTAATATATCAAATATTTAAACACTGCCTGACCATGATGCGTGTTGATTTATGTTGTAGTTCCGTGTAAGGTTCCGATAATATGCCAGCAAGGGATTTATGGAATTGATAATATTTAGAAGACTTTAGGTCTAGTTTTAAGAAAATACTACATCATACTATGTAAATTAAAAAAGAGTTTATTCATATAAGAAAATGGACAGCACTAAAGTAGATAAATTGTCAGAATTCTGCATGCCCGCTGTACATGTCAACTCGCCCCGTTATACTCAGCCTTATCCTCCGTCCTCATACCCCCCGCCTCGCGTTATCTGTTGGATTAGTTTGGTTTGAGTAGAAGCGGCCAAGTTCTTTTTCTATGCTCTATATCGAAAACCCCAAGCCCCAAGATCCATCGCATGCGATCTAACTGTTGCTCTCCACAGCAATACCAAATTCACCGCCTGTGCTCTGTGCCTTATTTGTGAAGGTCCTCATCCATTGACATTGACATTAAGGCTTTGTGAAAATGAGGTAACCCTACGTGCGCCACGAATATGCACAGTAAAGGTAAGATGCGGAATAGTTTGACTTGGTCGCGTATGACATGTTATACAAAATTTGGCCCGGCTTCTATGAAGTTTGGTGAATGTCGTGGTTACTGTAGTTCGTAGAATCCGTACTGCATATCCACAGGATATTCAATTGATTACACGTGATGAAGCTGGCGACCATTTGCGCGAAATCCTCAGCCTTGCCTCTTCGAGACGAGCCAAAGGCCTCTGTCCGCTTACCCGATAGCAGTCTTCTTAATCTCATTCCAGACAAGCTGCTCAATGTGTTCACGCTCCTACTTATGGGCACATTGTGCCGGTAATGGTAAGATCACGAGGGTCAGAGGCTGAGTTAAGAGTAAAGCCCAAATATATCCCTTGAGCGAGGTGCTGGATGATTGACAGATATCGTACGCCCACGATTTGCAGAGTGCAAGTATCGGTTAGGACAGATAAGTTATTTAATTGGCAAGTGTCGGAGAAAACCCCATCTATCACAAAAGATTTAGGTCTGCCCTTTGTTTTCTTAGGAGTCTCCTAAGTATGGCTAGGGTCGTTGCATCAGCACTTTGACAAAGGCTCATTCCCGCCAAAGGCAACTCTCGTTTCCACTCCGCAGCTAAACTGAAGCGGCACATACCTAGTGACATAGTGCAGCTCCGACAAGAGCGAATACTGAGAAAACCATCAAATACAATGATGCTCAGGAAGTAGTAGGAGTACAATCCCTGTCGCTCCCTCTCACGGCGATTGGCCCGCTCGGAATTCCCCGTACTCTACCCCATCCTAGTGTAGATCCTGAAGATCATGAGGTTCACATGCAAGTAATTCAACATCTCTCCATTGTGACTCGCTTACTGAGAGAAGACATGGAATAGCTGCGCCACGAGCCAAGCGAGAGAGGCTGTACCCTTGTCAGGGGCGCTTTGTTCTCTTCAATGTTAAACCTTGTTAGTCAGCAAATCTTCGCGAAGAGGCGGTAAAGCTCGCGTGTGTTTTTTCATCACTCCAACGATACAGTTTCTCATTTTCAAAATCAGTCTTTCATCTGTCAAAGAGACCAAATATGGCTGATTTAGCTTATGATGTGTGTATGTCTAAAATGTCTATTACAATATGCTAACCTCATTTCACAGTACCGCTGGAAAAGTTTGTCTATCCCCTAACCCCTTACCACCCAGCCCCTGACTATCATTACAGTGCTGGTCCTTGGCGACTCGCAAGGAGGAAAGTCAAATCTTGTGAGCCAATTCGCCGAGGGTGTATTCGACGCCAACTCGCAGCCCACGATGGGCATCAAACCAACTTACAAATTCACGCAATGCAACTCAAAGACAATCAAGGCTGCCATCTGGGACATCGCTGGCCTGGAGAAATACCGCTGGAACATCATGAAGAGCCCCCGTTATCACGAATCGGTCGGCGCGCTGGTCGTGTACGATGTCACCAGTCGGGAGTCTTTTGAGAATGCAGCGCGGTGGTTGGGTGAGGTCCGGGATCATGCTGAGCCCGATACGGTCGCTATGCTTGTGGGTAACAAGACCGATTTGAAAAACAGGAGGGTGGTGAAGACGGAGGAGGGCAGAAAGTTTGCTCGTAAGTTTCACTTCCTAATGCATTTGTTCCAAAATCTGACCAGTTGCGAGGTGAAAACAAGACGCTGTTTGTTGAAACTTCGGCTCTCGATAAGAGCCAAGTTGATCTTGCATTTCAGAAATTTCTGAATGGTATGTTGATCTCGACATAAGATGGTTCACACAACTGTTACGACTGACACGAAGATCAGGTATATATAAACAGAAATGCACAGATCAACAGCAGTAATTCATACGGAATCACAACCAGAAGCCGTCAGCTACAGCTTTCTTCAATGGAGCGAAATGTGTCAGGAAGATGGTCGATTAAGTAAAGTTCAACCCCAAGGTGTGATTCAAAGTTGTGAAGAGGTTAGATATGTTCTAAAAATAGCTTTTTTATTTATCCGCCGTTATAATGAAACAATAGGCCTCGAATATCTATCGTGTCAACATTCGACAAATCTATGATACATCTAGTTACTCTCAAATGAAGTTTCACTCCACCCATATGCCCGATTTAATCGTCGCGCAAGAATCAGAGTCAAATATCCCTCGATCTGCGACTGATGAGGCCGATGGATACTGACAGGTCTTTGGGCCGCAATAGACTCAGAAGGGCGGAACGTATAGACGGACCCGAATCTGGGAATGACTGAAAATCCCAACTCAGCCATGGCAGCCTCGAAAGATGCCCAGCTCACTGATCCTCGGGATTGGTTCTTGTCAAAAAGCGTGGCAAAGACTTCTGCTGTTGTTGAGCTGACCTTGATGGGTTGTGCTGGTGGTGCAGAGTCCTTCTCTGGTAGTGGTTCGGTGGTGGGAGTGATGGCGTAGATGGATGAATGCGATGGGCGCGTCTTTTCCTTTTTTCTTCGACTCTCGATTCGTTCCACCGGGTCTGGAGGAGTAGTGTCGATGGGAAGGATAACTGATTTGCTGTTCTTGGCCAGTTTATCCTTGGCTTGTTGATACTGCTCCTCCAGGGTCTTGAACGTTTTCTCCAAATCATCCTGGTAAAGGAACCCCATCTTAGTACCTGTCTTGTCGATAACAAACCCGTCTAATGCTTCGAGAGCCTTGGCAGACATACCAGGCTCAAGAAGATTGTCAATAGGAGCCGCGTAATCTCGCAGATCGACTTGCTTCTTCAATAGATTTAACTCAATCTCAAGTTCTTGGAGAGCGGAAACGAAGGAGTGCCCTTTCTTCTTGGAGGGGGAAGGTAGCGAATACACGGAAGAAAAGTCCTGGGCAAAAGCAACTATGGCGGCCATGTCGTACAAGGTGCGGTCTTCCCTCTCGTAAAGTTTCTCGCGGTCCTCAGGGTGAGATCTGTGAAGATCGCCAAGCTTTTCCATCCACTCAACAGCCTTCGCGGCAGTGACATCGGGCTGGCAAAGACGCAATAGGTAGTGAAGTTGAGGATCCGATCTGGTGAGTTCCTCCGGCTTGCCCTTCATCGAGAGCTTAGCATTGCCCAAGTTGTCGTACACGTTCGAAAGTCGTTTGAACCACTTGGAACCCATTCCTGTGGAGATCTGGCGTTTGAACAGGGTCTGAGTGCGAGTGTACTCGAGTTGGCACAAATTGGATAACTCTTGGAGGACCATGGACTTGTAGAGTTTGTCTGTAGATGGCTTCTGAAGAAGGTCAACGAGACCAGTGATGGAGTCCCAGATAGCAACACCTTGAACGGCTTGGTGAATGGCCTCAAATACAGCCGGGCCAATGTATTTGTCGGTATGAACCGGCAATGATCGGCCTTTCTCATCAGGAACAAGCTCTGAACGACTGAAAAACTGATGATTTACTCCAGGACACAAAACGGTGGGTTCTGAGCGAAGAAGCGACAGGTATTCTTCAAGAGATGACTTTTGATCGCGGGCACTGGCAACCACCTCCTGGGGTGTAGGCTTCACAGCTGGGTTTTTGGCGGCTTTGGAAAGGGGAGCAGTGGCAGCGTTCCTGGATTGCTTGTTTGACTGGCCCTTCTTTCTGGTATGTGATCCCTGCTCCAGAATATCCTCAATAATCACATTGAGGCATTGCAGTAGAGTGATTTGTCTCTGGAGAATGAGCTCTCCCAAAGATTGTGGAACAAGAATGCCACGATCGATGGCAACACGGAGGCTAGCCAAGACCTCGTCTATGTGTTCTGATGAGACTTGGATAGATTCGCCATATTTCTCATCGTAAAAAAAGGTATAGCAGTTGGTGAATGGGTTGACATGGCGGAGATTCTTCTTCTTGGTCATCTCATCGATCAACTCAAAGTCTCCAGGCGAGCCATTCACGCCCTCGCTGTACTGCTCAGAGAGGGACGTCGTAGCCCGATGCTTGAGAATATCGAGCAAGCGATCGGATTTCGGGTCCGTAAGATCGGCGAGATTCCATTCGGGGATGAACTTGTAGACATTGCCGAGAGATGTGTCTGACGAATGCTTGAGGACAGCTCCCTCTGCCATGCCGTCTTTCATGCATTTTGCGCGCTGGAGCCTGTTGAAGGAACGCCATGCAGCTTCGACCTTGGCGCCATGAGTCTTGTATTTCCGTGCAAGGTCGCCGTGAAGCTCCTTGATCATGAGGGAGCTCGAGTAGTCATCCATTTTGGCTGGTCTTGGCTTTTTCGGTGGTGCAAGGGCAGGTGAACCGAGCGGTAAGACCAGGGTTTGTGTGCAAGGTGAGTAGGATCACGTGGGAACGGGTACGCCACGTCTGTGGCGCTGTCGTGAAGTGGCTGGTAAGCGAACAATTGTAGCGATGACAGTTTCATGAAAAGATAAATATGGCCCAGAGGATGATATAGAATGGTATTTGAAGCTTGGTGGCTTTTTCTTGTAGTTTCCAGTTGATAATTACAATGTTGGATTGGAGACATCCAATCTTCCATGCATATCCAATGCAACAAACAAGACTCAAAACACCGATATCTTAGACATAGTGACGACTTCCAAACCAATAAACCAAAGGAGGAAGCACAACCTCCCTAATAGCTGCATTTCTCGCAAATGGACTCCCCCAGCCAAAAGTCGCAGCCGAAACAATCCGGCCTATACCGCTAAGCCCTCCAGCAATCAAAAGGATATTCAAGGGAAGCTGCCTAGATTGGATATCATTTGCTGTCCACGCAAACATTGCTCCGTAGCCGATGAATACACCTCCCAGGAATCGGTAATTCGTGTCTAGCTTGGAGATTGAGTCTGATGGTAGTTTGACCCGTTCAGAGGCCGGGAGATACATTTTGATGCCTTGGGCGATATGTGCGGCGCCGGTGTAAATGCTGATGGCGGAAAAGCCTAGGAGGACGATTGGTGTGCACTCGATTGATGATATGTCGAACATTTTGAGAGGTCCTTTTGAAGACTTGTTAGCGGGTTGAATTTGATTACTTGGTGAAGTCGAGACTGCAGGAAATATGCATCCAACACAAAGCGAGCTGACCTGGACGATTCTTTTATACCAGTAAAAGTAATACCAGATGATATGTGATCTGACCGACTCTAAATAGGCGACTATTGGCTGGTGCGGCAGAACAATCTAGCCGTTTGATAGAACACCTTGAAAGAGCCAATTAAGTAAGTCACGAAAGGAAGTATCACATCAGCAATGCTCACTGGCACCAGCATCAAGCACAATTCATCAGCACTAAGATGCAACAAACAATATGTACAGTCAGAGCTAGGAGAGACTTTTCCTTATCTATGTCTTTATATCGGTCATTTTTGATGAGGGCGGCAGAAACAGGCCGGTAGTGGTCGATTTTAGCCACTCTCTGCTTCTACACGCTTCGTCAGTCACACAATAAGCCCGAGACAGATGAAAAGAACTCCCTCTCCTTCAAATTTCTTACTTGATGTTTAGCTTAGCTCACTAGTCCCGCAGTCGTTAGGCACACAAACTCCTAGTCTACAACCTCAAGTTGAGTTATACACGCGTGTTTTCGGCAGCACCTTGGACGTATTGAGTCGCCATCTTGTTACAATTCAACTTGTCACAAATATAATCTAAGACTCATTCCAATCAACCAGCGCATCATCTCCAAGCTTCTCCTTAATGAGACTTGTGCTCAAGTCCCACAAGTTGGAGGCAAGCTCGGGGTTCGACGCCTGAGCAGACTCCTGGCCCTCTTGATCAGGGTCTACAAAGTAGTAGCCATTAAGATCTTCCTCCTCAATTCTAGACGACGTCAAAGCCCATAGTGCACTGTAGGACCCTTGCTCCACATCTCGTCCGATGGCTAGCATAGCCCATGATAGAAGCTTGCCTGTCAGTCCGGGGTATGCGTCCTTCCACTGCTGTTGCATTGCTGTGTTGACCTATCCCTGCATCAGTATCGCGCCTTGGGTACTATTTGAAATGACTTACTGCGCCAGGATGCACGGAGAGAGCATAGATCTTATCCTTGTTATCCGCAATGACCTTTCCTGCCAGGCCATATTTGGCGAATAGAATCATGGCAAGTTTAGTTCGGTTGTATCGAGCAGTAGGGTCTAGATCTGGGTCATTTATCTCCTCCTTTGTTCTGAACTGCACGTTGGACAGCTGCGCTAGACGATGCATCTCACTGGCCTCGAAGACAACTCGCGGGGGAGGTGTGTTCTCAAGTTTGCTCGTCTTTCGCAGCAGAGGCCACAGCTGGTTGCACACATAGAAATGCCCAAGGAAGTTTACACCGAAATGACGGTCAATGCCATCAGAGTCCAAACCGAACTGGTTAGTGTTGATACCAGCTGACAGGACCAAAAAGTCAAGACGATCGAGAGATTCACGGAACCCACCAAAGACCTCCCGAACCTGTGAGAGGTTTCCAAGATCACATTCTTTCCAGTCAATGTCAGCGTCTTGCTTCTCGTTCTTGACGGCTTCGATGGCACTGGTGCCCTGCTCTTCTTTGCGGTTCACCATGATGACTCTACAGCCGGCGTGGGCGAGGGCGCGGCTGACTTCATAGCCAATTCCGAGGGCGCCGCCGGTGACGATGGCGACGCGGCCTTGGAGATTTTCTGGCTTGATGACTTGAGGGCCGATGCCTGTTGCTTTTTGGAGGATGGACTGCATGGTGTTTTATTGATGTTGATGTGGTTTTTGATAGCTGAAAGTTGAGGAAGAGTTTCTTGGTATCAATCACAAGTAGAGTTTCTTGTTGGATGTCGTTAAGTGGTAATCAAGTGGTATACTTTTTAGTGATTCATCTTTCAGTCTTCCTTTGCAGTGTGGCGAGGCATCATAGTGACGTTCTCCAGAGTTCATCGGCAGGGGAAAGCTGGTATGCATGACATCATTATTCTATCAAGGGATCATACACTGCGTTTCGCATTGCGCAAGTGTCTCGCTTGTGAACTGGAACAACAAGCCGCATCTAAGTATTGTTGGGGTCGATGAAGGGATAGATCAAGATGACTTCGAACGTTGAACTCTTGGGTGCGGTGATGACGGTGGTGATGAGCAACACTTGAGGTTTTTTATCTTGACTCGAGTATAACCTTTTTAGAAAACACGGAGTCAAATGATACAGCGATAGATAAAGATAAACGTTTATAGCGAGTTTGAATAGTATAAATTGCAGTTAATTATAAAATCACTCCGTCATTTGGTCGTTACTTACGAGAAACCGTGACAGTTTAGGGTAGGCAGATGTCACGATACTAGCAAACCTTCAACGTTACCTCGCAGCGAAATCGCAAAGTCTAATAAAGTCTAAACCGATGAACAAACGGAAATTGGCTGGAAATTAACGTGAATATCTTCAACACACTAAGCTTAACATGACTTAAGTTGGACATCACAGGCATGCTTTCTCCACTGATCGTCCGCCCTACAACTCGCCTTAAAACGAAATAAAGATCTTTTCACGTCCTAACTCGCTCGTCGCGCTTTTGCAAAAGTCAAGAGAATTTTTCAACATTCCTCAAGTGAAGGTATTGTACGGATACCACATCATAGCTCAATGTCACCCTGGCCTATTTGACTGAGTGCTTTGACTGCTGCTGCCTAAGACTTGCTTCGCTTAACAGGCAGAGGGAGAGGCTCAAGAAAAACGCCGTCGGGGCCTCGGGCCGTTTGGAAATGCCAAGTCGTGCGGCTGGACCCCGAAATGATCGGAACTTCCAGAAATGGCCTAGCAATTGCAGAACAGTTTGCAGCCTGTGGTGAGACCGAGTCACTGGACCGTATTATATTGGGTCCGTCGGGCTGTTGGTTGTGTAATAGCAGGGTCTGTTTTGTCGCGATGCTCCGTAGCACGGTAATTGCAGAGAAAGAAGAGACAGTTGGGCCGAGGGTTGCAGGTTGCACAGATGCAGAGCAGATGCATCCCGTCGGTCAATCCGTCAAACTGCCAGTGCTGGACGTCAGTGGCTTGCGTCAGGTGTCAGGTACTAAAACTCGGTCCAAGTGTTCGCCGATGACATTCAAGAGCGTTAATTTAAATTACCCATGAAATACTAACAACGGCCATGTGCAAGAAATGCATGCGTGAATTGGCAATCGGCTCACGGCAACTTCTGCATTCAAACTAGGGCGACTAGTAGACTAGGTCAGGGGTTGCTCTCGCTAAAAGTGATCCTTCGCGAAACCGCGCGACAAAAGGGCCCCTCCTTGCAGGTTAGCGCTTGTTGGTGCTGAAAAGATAACGGACGCTGGTGTTAGTAGTTGTGCGGAGATTATGCGGTATCCACTAACGGGGGATTTTTGGAGCCCACCTGTTGGGCTGAGTTAAAATCTAGACCCAGACAGTGAAGCGTGGTTTGGACCAAAGAGGAAATGGCCGGACTTAAGCAGATGCAGGGGGATGATGGGTTTGGCGGTTGAATGGGTGAATTGTGAGTTGACAGAGTGAGATGAGATGAGAGATGACAGACGAGACGAAAGGATAAACAATTGAACCAAAGCCTACGAGTATGAACTGTCTCGGCGAGTATAGCAGCCACTGTCTCATTGCAAGTCAATCATATTACCATCCCCGACCTTACGTACCTGTCACTCGGGACCCAGAAGGACTGATAGATAGCCCTACAGCAACTTCGTACCTGCACTAACGTTAGCTAGGGGTTCGTGGCGTTTTATCCCACATCCAATGGGTCACAGTCGCAACCGAGTAACCGAAGTCAATTTACGGATACCAAGACCATGTTTCTTGGCTTGACTCACTCATCCCATCCCCAATCATGGCCACCACATGCCTGACTACGCCTCTTTCGATAATCGCTGAGAATGTGTTAGTCTAGCTTGAGACATACGCCGCAATCCAGTCCCCCAGAAACAATGAAGACCTAGCTCTCTCGCCCCCATTTCCGTGAACTTTTGCTTCTTGTCTTGTCTCCTCCTCACACCTCGTCATTCGCTCTTTTTTTGCAATTTCTTGTCTCGAATAAGTCCCTTTCGAGCAGAAAGACTTACACCGCCCACGATGGCTCACTCATCGTCACTCTTTACCTTTTTCCTTCTCACATTCCTTTCTTTTTTCGCTGCTGCCCAGGACGATGTTAATCCCGGCGACGTGAACCCTGTCCCGCCCGTTGGAGAAATCAAGACGGAAGATCCCATCTCGAGCCCTCTCACAGAGGGATGTCCCAAGTCTTGCGCCGACGCCGGTAACGACCCTGTTAATTGGACCCAGCTTCACAGCCTTGAGGAACTTTCGGGCTGTGATCTGCCTATGCTGTTTGCCTTCAACGTCGAGAACGATTACAGCGATGATGCTACTTTATACACCTGTGTTACCGTTACTTCGTCCAAGACCCGTCGCGAGGAGGGAAGCCGTGTAGAGGCGCGTGCTGCTGAGAGCTCTGTTTCTCTCGTGAGCAACTGTGGTGCTGAAAAGGCCACCGTCAAGGCTTCTTCCTCCTTCGGTCGCGCTGGTGCTCTTCGATCTGGTAACAGTGTTGCTGCCGCCGCTGGTCTCCTCGCCGACTACCTCGATAGCGGTGCTGTCTGTGGCACTACCATTCTTTTCGCCAAGTCTGGCTCCTCCATCGCCGGTCTGTACGTCGGCGCCGAGGTGCAGAAGTCTAGCGCCTCGGGCAGCCTTCGTCAGTCACAGGCTCGTCTGCAGAAGGGTGTTCAGGCCTTCCAGGTCTGCGATGCTGGTGACAAGCATGCCCAGACTCTGGGCTTCTTCGCTGCTGATGCTGTTACTGACCTCGAGACTGTCCAAACTGCTGCCAGGACCTGGTCCAACGGCAAGTGTGTCAACATTCCCCAGGCTACCCAGGAGTCTCTCAACCTTGGTATTCTCACCACCAACACTGTCAAGGCCCGAGGTGTTGAGCTGCGATCCCGCTTTGCTGGTGTTGACAGCATGCTTGCTCCCCGTGCCGACTGCCGGGCTATCCAGGTGAACGCCGGCGACAGCTGTGCCTCTCTCGCAAAGAGGTGCAAGGTCACCACCGCCAACTTCAACAAGTACAACACCCAGAAGAACTTCTGCTCCACCCTCGCCGTGAAGCAGTGGGTCTGCTGCAGCGCCGGTACCCTCCCTGACAAGACCCCCCAGCCTTCCAAGGACGGAACCTGCTACATCTACAAGATCAAAGCTGGTGACGGCTGCTACTCGCTCGGCCAGAACTTCGGCATCACGCAGAAGTTCATCGAGGATGTCAACAAGAACACCTGGGGCTTCGGCGGATGCACCAAGCTCCAGCTCGGTCAGCCTATCTGTCTGAGCAAGGGAAAGAACCCCATGCCCATGCCCATCGCCAATGCTGTCTGCGGTCCTCAGAAGCCTGGCTCCAAGAAGCCTGCCAATGCCAAGACGGGCTGGGATCTCGCCGGCATGAACCCCTGCCCCCTCAACGCCTGCTGCTCTGGCTATGGTTTCTGCGGCATCACTTCCGAGTTCTGCACAAACACCACTGCCAAGGGCGGTGCCCCCGGTACAAGCCAGACACAGCCCGGCTGTATTGGAAACTGCGGCAACAAGATCGTCGGCAACACCAAGAAGCCCGCCAAGTTCCTCAACGTAGGCTACTTCCAGGGTTACAACCTCGGCCGTCCTTGTCTCAACATGGACGTCACCAAGCTGCCCGAGGTCAAGACTCCCTACACGCACATCCACTTCGCCTTCGCTGGTTTGACCTCTGACTTTTCCGTTCTTCTGCAGCCCGACGTCCGGGAGCAGTTCCTCAAGTTCAAGGAGGTTAAGGGCAGCTGGAAGAAGATCATTTCCTTCGGTGGCTGGGCCGGCTCGACCGATTCATCCAGCTTCCAGCTTTACCGTGACGCCATCAAGCCCGCCAACCGCGACAAGTTTGCCAAGAACGTCATGACTGTGCTTAACAACCACAAGCTCGACGGTGTTGACTTTGACTGGGAGTACCCCGGTTCTGCTGGCTCTGCTGGATCTTCTGCCGATACTGCCAACTATGTTGAGTTCCTCAAGGTGATGAGGGCCAAGGTCGGCAAGAGTGGAAAGACTATTTCTGTTGCTCTCCCTGCTGCGTACTGGTACCTTAAGCCCTTTGCCGTGAAGGATATGGCTCCTCTTGTTGATTACATTGTGTACATGACCTACGATCTTCACGGTCAATGGGGTACGTTCTTCAACCTCCACCGTTGTGATTTTCATACTGACTCCCACAGATTACGGCAACACCATGATCAGCCCTGGCTGCCCCAACGGTAATTGTCTACGCTCCCACGTCAACAAGACCGAGACCCTCGACTCCCTCGCCATGGTCACAAAGGCTGGCGTCGACCCCGCCAAGATCGTCATCGGTATCTCCAGCTACGGCCGCAGCTTCAAGATGAAGGATCCCAAGTGCACCGGCCCCACGTGCCAGTTCACCGGCAGCTTCAGCGTCTCCGAGGCCGAACCCGGCGTGTGCACCGGCGAAGCTGGCTACCTGTCCGACGCCGAGATCCGCCAGATCGCGTACGATGCCAAGAACGGCAAGAAGGGCGTTACGGCCAAGACTTGGTACGACAAGGCTTCTGATTCAGACATGATGACCTACGGAACTCAGGGCAAGGGCATGACTGATTGGGTTGCCTACATGGGCCCCACGACCAAGCAGAAGCGTACGGAGTGGGCCCAGGGCTTGAACTTTGGAGGTGTTGTTGACTGGGCTATTGATCTGGAGACTTGGTTCTCCCCCAAGCCTTAATAATCTGGTGTTATGATGAGGGGTTCTTTTCTTACCGCCTGTAGCATGTCTCACATGCTGCTATGGTCTTTTTTATGTATATTTAATTGCTAGCTCATGAATGTATAATGAACTGCTATGACTGCGGGGCTTCGGTTTTCTTCGCATCTTCTTCGTATTGCTTCCATCGATATTCCCTCTCAACTCCATTCCGTCGCTGTGCTGTGTCGCAGAGTTTCTCATTCCCGCAGTCGCATTCTGCGCCGGGGCGAAGCCATCTATATGTAAGACTCCATCTAAGCTGTCTCAACCTGACGGTCCCATCAGGAAGAGTGTCTGTTTTGCGAGATTTAATGCCGTGAGTCCAATGCAATCGTGAGTCACCGCTCATCTGCATCATACTCCTCGGCAACAAGTCAATCTCTATCTTCTCTCCAGTCTCTTTATTTGCGAATTGCATGAACAAGGGTGACCCAAGAGAGAGGGAGTAGAGTTGATCAAAAGGGCCGTGGGTGTCAACGTGGGGTGGTATTCCCGTGCCTGGAGCGTATTGTTGCAGACAGACTTGATCAGGATGGCGTCCTTCAGTGGTTGGAAGTAGAGGTTCTAGCCAGTCTGGGAACGGCTTGAAAGGTGTTTCCTCGTCGATGCCAAATGTTTTGTAGCTGAAGGTGTATCCATAATGCAGTGATAGTCGTCCTGGACGAGTTGGCCACTCTAGCTCATTCTCAAAGATGTAAATAAGCTTTTCTTCGTGTTCAGGAGTGATGAAGTCCTGCTGCATGAAAATGCCTGATGGTTTTATCGGAAGCTCCTCCATTTCCCAAGTACTATAAGTTTGTATGTTTCATGGTTGAGGTGAATTTCGAGATGAGTGAGATTACCCACAATCTGGAACTCTCGTACGAGTCGATATTCTGAGTTTTCATGTCACGTGATAATTCAAGACAATGATATTAACAAGATACTGTAAAGCTTATACAGGCGTCTAGATTCGAAACTCAAATACATTACGGCGCTCTATCTCTATTGATAAATGCCATAGCTTGCGGGGCCGTCTGCCCGATCACACCATCAACAACAGCATCCCAGAACTGGTCCACAGTAGCATCAAGAAACTTGTCTGCTGCCACCGCCGCTCTTTCACTGAGACTCTTGCACTCCGTATACATCTTGCTAAGAAACTCATCATTAGAACCCTGTAGGCGCTCCTCAAACTCCTTTAAAGCAGTATCGATCTTGGCTTCGTCCTCTTTGATCGAACGTGGTACATCATGCAGACCAAGAGTCATATTGTTAGCCGCCAGAACCGTGATGGCAGCTTCGCATACGCAGGTTGAACTCCTGAAGATTGTTAGTATATCGTGGCACACGGCTGGAGTGAACTCAGCTGGTACATACCATCTCAGGGCGGTATTCCGAGAAGGAATTTTGCTAAGCATTGTCAAGCAACATCGCGCAACCTTAACCAAGGTTAGCCAATTAGAAGGCAGTAATAGAGCTCTTTGAGCTGCGTTCAGCCGTGTCTTGCTGCTTGCATAGTCGTCCAAACGTTTGATCCAATCGGTGTTGTGAATAGTAGCCCTGCGAGTGGAAAACAGGCACTGGTAATATGTGATATGCGCCGAGATTGAGAATCCCTGGACCGATCTCTTAAAGTTGGGTGGCAGCGAACTATACCAATCGTCAAGCATGCCGTCCAGACCCTCAAGTGCCTGCTGTTTCTCGCTTGGAGACATTCTTGATGCCCGGACTGAGTATACCTGATCGTAGATCTTGCCTTGAATGACAGCTAGCCGCGCCCGGGTCATTGGTATGTTAATTTCAACAGCTTCCTTGTACTGCCTACTTCTCTCGGATGGATCGGATAGAGAATGTCGCAGAACTTTCGGCGGGATCCGTACACACCCCTTCCCCGGACTACTGCTCATATCATCGATTTCTATACCGATGTCGTGGTCCTGCAGCAGATATGGCTCCGATGTACGCAGTGATAATTCGCGATCCATGGTATAAGTGAGCCAGAATAGTCGCGCTCTTTCTGCAGACTGCTGATGGTGCTCAGTCGTTTGAGGCGGCACGTTGAGCTTTAGTCTGTGAACGAGTTTCACAGCTGTAGCAATCAAGACGCAGGCTGGGTGAGGATGTGCAGTATGCATGAAAAACATGGCCACGCCAAGAATGACCTGAAGTCCGAGCAGATCTTCAGTGCGATAAACAAGCTGATCCATAACCGACTGAGCCCGTTTGATACATATAGCTGCACGTGCATCCGCGGCAGTAATTTTATCAGGGTCCAGGTAAAATTGCAGAGCGAGGACCACATTAATTGCTGACCATGTTACTTGGTCACGGTTCTCGGGAGGCCCGTCGTAGAATTCATCAAGCATCTTCATGAACGTTGGTGCGGCGAAGAGCTGTGTGGTTTGATTTACGTGCTTGAAGTAGATGTTGGCAAAAGCTTCCGCATTGGACCACTTGGGAAAGGGATAGCTTGGTGTCAGATCATCGTGAAAGAACCTCGAATTAGTATCATTTGGATGCATAAGTGCCTTTGTAGTATCGGCCGCAAGTGTACTGCTCGCTGAAGCTATGGATATCCGTGAAACAGCTACTGGAACTGCTCCTCGCTCTAGACTTGGAATTACCGAAGGCTCGGGCGTGAGTGAAAATGGTGAGTCACAATTTGACGACTCAGCCATATGTTGATCGTTATCATTGTCGTCAATAACGACTACATCCACGGCAACTTCGTTAACAAGCGTTCCTTCAGCGGAGGACTTTCGCCAAATGTGGGCTTCAATTGCTTTCAGGCGATCTTCGATGGATACAAAGCGATAGTCGATTGCGTTGCTATCGTTGTCAGTCTTTCTTTCATACTACCGTGCAGACAATACTGACCCGTCTGGTGGTGTTTGTCGAGGCAAAGACTTTTTGGGTCGTACACCAGCAGTCCATACACAAGCCACATTATGTAAATTACAACCAGAGCATTGTGGCTTCTTTGCATCACATCGGATCTTCTTCTGGCAGCAAAAGTCACAGGCCTATCACAGAGTTAGTTCTGGTGATTGCACGCTGCGGCTGATGTTACCTTTCTACGCCCCAGACCCCTTTCGTCTCCTGATCGATCCATTTGATAATTGATATGTTGATGTAAATTAATTGGAGTATAATGCGATGAACGGGGAACGTCGAAGCTTACTCGTGATGAAAAGGATGAAGGAGTCAAAGTCCGCGGACTTTAGCGTTTTAGTCATTTCCCGTTACCCCACCAATGTCACTAGCTTGTCTGGGATCTTGATGACTGGCTTCAAAAGGCCCCGGACTCCGAAAGCTCCAGAGTTTCGAACATAGACTTGGAACCTGACAAGAGGTAACATTAGATTTTATTAACGTTGCAAAACGTCACTAAGAATAGAAAATAATTATGATCAGCGTTCTAGTGTCTATAACTATGGCTTTACCTGAGCAGCAGGCGAAAACTGTGGTTGCTGACCCTCCCGTACGCCAAAACCGTCTCCCCTAAAGTCTGCAAGCACTAAAACGGGCTATATCCATTCTTGGCCTTCTCAACGCAGTCTTTAACCACCTCGTCCAAGTCCTCCTCAGGCAACTGAAGAATCGCATTATGAAGTTTCTCCTCAAAGTTCAGCTTCTGCCCCTTAGGCGAGAATATGAACGAGTAATAAGTCTGCACAAGTCCTCGGAAATCACCAGACGCCGCTTGCGCTTTGCCCTTTTCCATGCGATCGCTAGTAGTCTCATACTTGATATCCCAATCGGCATCAGAAGTATTTGTAACACGCTGCGCACTTGCCAATATGTCCTTTTGACTGACATAAAAGCTTGATAGGTAGAGTGGTTTGTTGCGGAACTGCGCGAGAGTAGGTGAGGCGTCATTCTCGTCCTCAGGGAGTACTTTGAGTCCAGCAAGAGCAGCTGTGCCGCGGCCATACTGAGCCCAAGTACTTGTATTGACTTTTGCCTCGCCGTCGTCAAATAGAGTTGCCTGACAGTTGTTGAGATCGAAGCCCATGAACAATGGCCCAGCTGGGAAACTGTAATCGAACCAGATGCTGCCGACAAGAACAGTCCAAGAACTGACACCAACCCGCTCAATCTCAGTGAGGAGATCCCTCAGGCCAGCAGCGGGGAAGAAATCATCGACGGCTCCTTTGTTCTCGACCACAATGTTTGCGGCAAAGATATTTGGTACGATGTGAGCAACCCCGGCTTTTCCAGCAGCGCGAACAATGCGATGATGAACCTCGGCGTCGACTCCATTGGCAAGGGTAATGATTAGGAGTTGTTGGCCCTCGAGCGCGGCTGCGATAGACTCTTCATCTTCGTAGTCGACACGCGCAATCTTAACACCTTCGGGAACCTTGGAAGAGCTGCTGTTGCGAGTCAGGGCTGTGATGGTGTGTTTTCCCGTCTTCAGAAGCTGTTCGACGATATGGGAGCCTTGACGACCCGAAGCCTAAAACAACTCAGCAAAAGGAACGTACAGTTAAAAGGACAGCCACTTACACCAACAATTGCAACTCTTTCGATATAGTTGGAGAAGCCTTGTGGCTGGTCCTTTGCGAAGTGAAGTGTAGACATGGTGAGAATGGATGGTGTTGTAGATTTCTTTTTGGGAGATATCTGCTTTGTGTGGTATGAATGGAAGCTGATGGTATGAAGATAAGTCTTGAAAGACGTGGGCAAAGGATAGTTTTATAGATATAAACCCGACCATTTGGATTAATCCTCCGCCTCGAATATGTAGTTTGAAATCCGGACTCCGGTCCGGAAGTCCTCGGACTTTTGGCTTAGTGACCAGAAATGCTTTGTAAATGGCCGACCACCAACATGATCCTTCGAATTTGACCGAACCGAGCCCTCGCACCAAAAAGAGAGAACTCGCTCTACCTTTGATCAGCTTTGGTAAACACCCCGTTCTTAACAAAATATCTCCCCTCTGGTTCCCTTTGGCTAAACATCCGGCCAATATCCCGAAAGAAGTCCTTGATATGTCTTATCTTGCCCTCGGATGGCTCATGACCACGCAGCCACTCCTCAACATCCTTGTCCGATGTAAGTTTTGCCCTTTCCAAAATTGGTTTGACGTCCTCGCTCTGGGAAATCTGCGCTATGGTATGCCACGCGTTGTCGATAAAACTCGAGTCTGTTGCATAAAGAAAGAAGAAGGCGACGATGAGAAAAGCCAGTACGTTCCCAACAACAATGGCCATGACAACAGTTAATCCCCATGTTTGTTGTGGTGCCTTGACAACTTCGAAAGTGGTTATGCTCGTCAGATCATCCTCCGGGGTCATCGTGGGCATGAAGTTGTAATAAGCCATCCTCATTGCCAAAGTGAAGATGGTTCGAAGAGCGAGAGCTGGTGAGCCTGTCGAATTCAACACGTCGTTAAAGACCTGCCAGGTAAATGCACCTGTGACAAGAGACAACGTTCCTACGCACCCCCCAATACAAATATACAGGGATGGAGTATCCGTTAACAGGATCGACATGATGTCCAAGGAGTACGACTCTAGAGATCTATTTAAGTCTTGCTTCGAAATTTCGAATATCTCGCGCTTGGGGCTCCTTTCCTTTTCTTCGCGGCTCACCGCCCCGAGCTGATTACGTATCGCCAGGGTGTCATAAGAAAGAGTTTGGGAATCAAATCCAATCGTCGGCTCTGTATGATTGAAGATTGTTGAAGCTGTAATATTAAGATAGTTGATCCTGTCTTTCTCAGTAACCATCCCGATGTGAGCGGATTTTCCAGTCCTTACGGAGAATGAGCTAAGGCGTCAAAGCATAACGACATGCGGATTTCACAGTCGTGCTGAGTTTCTGAGCCGTGGGATTTGACTCGCCCAAATTGCTGGGTCCAAGGACCGAATTCGCTGGAGTTGACATACTCCCACGTGGTATTTTCTCCCCACTGTAGATCTTCGCCCTCATTCTGCATAACTAATATGGTAGCCAATATGCTAGGGTTAGCTGTATATGTTCTCGCAGCTTCTGCATCTTCTAGCTTTCTCAATGGCGACTTGAGCCAAAATGTGTCGCCAGTTGTTTATAGGCGGCGTAGAACCCAAACTTGGTTTGAGGCACTGTCCTTGGGATCAGGAAAGGTATATCTGGCAGAGCCGGAATATTCACGAACTCTATCTATAATAGGTTGGTGACCGGCATGATACAGATGTGAGACGTTGAATAGGTCGGCTGTGATATTTGCTTCTAAATAAGGAAGTGAGTTATCCATATCGGTCACATCATCAGCAGGGGCATTGGGAAACTTGATAGTGAACTTAGGCCGGATGCATATGAAACGACTGTCGATAATCCGGGCCACTGCATTGAAGGAATGTATGCTCTCTCTTTGAGATTGGGAGTAGAAAGGGAGAAAAGCCCTTAGACTCTAGCCAGTGTCATCGATGTTATCCTTCAGCTGGCCAGGCTCTAAATATTCGGCAAAGATGGGTGACTGCATAGGTGCCCTTGACCACTCGTCATCAGTCTCACCCAGGGGGTCTTCGCTGGCAAGTGCGTCAGGGTTGTGGAGCCATGCTCTAAATCTATGTCTGTAGCTTATATGCTTGGGGAAAGAAGTGAGCTGGAAGAGTTGAAGGTCTGCAACAAGAAGGGTTGAGAAAAAAGCTGAGAAGCCGCGACGAGGATGAACAAAATGGCCATGCAGACTTTGATCCAGCCCCTGAGTGCTGTGCCCGGTAGAAGCTTCTTGAATGACTGTGGTCCATTGTTTGTGAAGCGGGCGATAGAGACTTCAGCGACTGAGCGTTTTGGGATTCCATGGAATTCGGCAGAAATGGATGCAGCCATAGATGTTGTGATAGCGGCGAGAGACCCAATCGACCATCTGATGAATACGCACATAAGAGTGATGGATTGGGTCGCTCGTCCCGTAAGCACCAAATATCGCCACGACTCATTCTTACGGTCTACAAACCAGAGCCAGGACAAGAATGTGAGGGAAGCGATCAAGGCGGAGAGCGAGGTAGCAATAATAAGCCAGGTACCAGCCCCTACCATTCTAGGGCGACTGGTAGATACACGGTAGTCGGTGGCGGTTGTGTTGTTACCGCCGCCAGATGATTCTAGCTCGGCTTCTAGGAAAGGGTTAGATGCATGCTGATGAGACCGTTCGTGCATCTCCAGACTACGGAGGTCTTCTAAGTATTGATAAAAGGTCTGTTGTGGTCGGGCTGAAGAACGACGTTTTCGATTCATGTTGGAGAGGCCATTCGACAGTCAAAGTGATGGTACTAAAGGTGAAGCTTTTAACATGAGAACAATATAAGCTAGATGAAGAAGACTCGAGGAAAATAAGACAATAAATTCCGAGCGGAGGTCGCGAGATAACTGAACATTGACAATGAAGTCAGGCTGGGCTGTTGTCTGGTCATGGGAGTGTTACACAGCACCACTGCATGTTGGTCTTCCGCATGTGAAGCTAATGTTGGTCAGATGTGTGATTGCGGTCTTTGGATCGATCAAGTATTGTTCAACCGTTGATTATAATTGGAATCTACCGTGCGGCTTGTGGCGTTCTTGACACGCAGCGGTCAAAACATGGTATCTGTGGCTCTGGGTAAGAAAATACTATTCGAATCGGGGTGACGTATTTGACTAGGTAACTACCCAAGCATAGGATCCGCGGCCTCTGACTGAGAGTTATGGGTGGTATGTGGTGGGTTGGTAATTGGAGGCTGGAGAGAAATGGCTGCTCAGCTGGTGGTGAGGCCTTCCATTTGGCAGGAAATCCAACCTATAACGTCGAGCTGACTGGAAACCAGGCTCCCAGGTCTCCTTTCAGTTTATCTGCTCCACACAACTTCATGTACGACAGCTTTGATCTGTAACAAATAATTAATTAATCTAAAAAATATGCTATACTATACCCGTGCGAAAGTCTAGACCCAAAAACACACTCCCCTTATACAACAACAGGCTTATTATCCCACTTCAACTCCCCCTCCTTGAAATTCGGCTCCGGTAAAAAGTTAAGAGTAACCGCTTTCTTTACCGTAGGACAGCACATATGCTTTGCCAAGATGGTATCACCATTGATGTATGGCAAAACATACACATCCAAGAACTTCCACAGGAAGTTATCCCACATGACAGCCCGGGTCGATGTTCCTGCTAGCTCTACATCCTTGGTGACATGGGCTTGTCGGGTTTTCTGATATTCTGTGAAGACCTTTGTGAGGTCTTTGATGTCTGGTTTTGGTGTTTCGAGGATGAGGTTGCGTAGGAGGTTGATCAGCACGACGGTGGATTGCCAGCCTGTGTTGAGACCGAAACCGATGTTGGGGGTCATCTTGTGGACTGAGTCGCCGAGTAGAACCACACGGTCTCTGGACCATTTCTTGGCAACGCCCTCTTCAAAGGGGGCGGTATGTGTCCAGTTCTTTGCCTCCCAGACTTCCTTAAAGGTAACACCAGGAGCCAAATAAATATCACCATACTGCTTCGCAAGCTGGTCAGCTTGCTCATCGGTGATCCAGTAGCGTCCTTTGGTAGGCTTATCGAGCTTGAGGTAGATTGTGAAGAAGTATTTCTCATGCGATGGCATAATAAGCTGTGAGCTGAAACCCTCCGAGTGGGTTTCGTAGTCAACTCCTGGTTCTAACTCTGTCGAAACAGTTGTTCCATGGCCGTAGAAGCCGTAGAACGTCGTTGTGAAATCTTCGTTTGTGTCGGCCTCTTTTGATTCGGTCTCGTTGACAAAAGAACGGGCTGTGCTGTTGATGCCGTCGGCGCCGATCACCATGTCTCCGCGGTACGAAGTGCCGTCTGCGCAGGTCACTTCAACTCCATCGGGGTTTGAAACCACAGAAGAAACTTGCTTATCGAGGAGGAGTTGGTTCTTTATGTCGGAGAGTTCGTTCTTGAGTAAATTGATGAGATCGCCGCGTTGGAAGAGCATCCATTCGTGTCCGTGGCTACCGATTGTTAGCATTGCACTCGATGCATTAAGGAGTATCTTACTAGTGTCCGATGTTCTTAATCATATTACTCCAGGCCAAAACTGTACCGTCGCGCTTGAGGTTGCACTTTCTCTTCATGGGCAAGTGAAGGTCATAGGCCTGTTGGAGTAGACCTAGCTGGTCAAGTACTCGAGCGCTTTGAGGCCAGATACAAACAGACGCTCCCCAATTTAAATCAGCTTCCTTGCGTCTCTCGAGAATAACAAAGTCAATTCCTGCTCGTTGCAGTGCAAGACCTGCAAGAAGACCTGTCGGTCCAGCGCCAACGATGAGGACTTTAAAGGTTGACATTTCGATAGTTAATGGAGTGGAACTGGAAGAAGAAACAAACGTGGAGAGTGCCTAGTTTTGTACTCCTCTCCTCTCCGCGACGGCGGATACATCAAAAGCATCCCCGGTGAAACTAACTCCACCACGCAACTCTTTCTGAGCTGAAATACTACCTTGACGTCTTTGATAGGATGAAACATTCGCCCAATGCGACGTAACTAGGGTTATAAACATGACAGATCCAGAACCGTTGGATCGCTAGTATAGAGATCGGCACTCGCTTACGATCGTATCCGACATGGGGGTTGAGATTCTTGTGTTGCTATTCGATGGCTGTGGACCCCTATGAAAAGGAGGAAAGGACGTTAGGGTTTGGAGGAAACATGGAACTGCCGAATGTTACTCTAGAGATTGTGATATACAGGGACAAACCTAGACTTTGAATGATAGTGTAATTGAGCTTAGCTGTGTTCCTTTTACCTTGTTCCTAGTAGGGATATGATTTGGAATAATCAATTATAGAATTTGGTTGGCTAGTTGGGTTTATAGAGTGGTTTCCCATGGCTATGGCCTTTTGAAAATGTCAACTACAGCGTTTACGGACTTTTAGAGCATCAGCCAAATCTCCACCATTTATACTGCACGTGAGAAAAAGAATCAAGAAAGAGCAAACATACTTTCGATTGCTCATCGGTGTGGTACAGACAAGAGATCGAAAATACGTATTCATATTGCTGATACCGCTCTTCTGAAGATGAGTGCTTCGCAGCTATAGCACTTATGGGGACATTGCAAGATTGAAGACTAATCAATTATGTAGCCACTACGGATTCTTCGTATCATTATTCTCATTTTCCACAGTCTAGTTTGAGATGAAACGCCATTCTTCCTACTCCTTGTTCTATACACACTTACATAGAATTATGATTGAAATAAATCGAATAAATGTCTAGCTTGGATAAGCCGCCCGATCTATCGCGAAGCCCAATACTGTCGCGCTTTATAGAAAGCAACGCCTAAAATCCAAATGGCAATAATCACCAGCGCCTGCACAGGTGCAAAGATAGCACCTCTAACAACAACAAATCCGCTGACGAGGACAAACACAATCGGGTTAATGGAAAAGGTCTTGTATGGGCGCTCCAGATCGGGTTCTCGGTATCGAAGAATGATGGCACCAAGAACAGTGAGGAAGAAGAAAGAGTACTCGCCAAGACCGTTGAGAGTTAGAAGAGCTCGGAAACTGCCGAAGAGGATGTACAGTGACGCGAGGATGACCGATAGGATGACGGCGTTGATGGGCGCATCGCCGGCTTCTTTGGCTGGCTCATCTGACGACTCGTCTGTCTCTTCAGGTGAGGCTTTGAGGCCTACCCGTCCGACGATGGTGAAAAGACCAGGAATCCAGTCTTTTCTTGCAGCCGCAACACACATGCGGCTTGCGACGAAGGAGTTGCCCAACAAAGAGCCCGCAACAACTAAGCAGATGAGCATGGCGGTGACAATACCAAAGCCACGGCCCAAAAGCCGAGTAATGGCGGTGACCGCGACACTGTCAGTAGTGCTGACGACATTCCAGGGGAGGAGGATGTAGTATCCTGCGTTGGCGGCGAGGAAGCATATGATAGCCGTAGGAATAGATGTGTTGATTGCAAGAGGGAGTTGCTTGGCAGGCTGTGAAAGCTCCGCAGAGACGTAGATAGCCTGATCTCGTAAGTACACGTACCAGTTGGGAAGAAATGCTCATCTCACCTTGTCCCAGCCAGAGTAAGCCCAAAGTGCCGCGTACAAAGCAGCAGAATAATGGCCAAAGATCTCCCACTGACTCAACTTACTCCAATCTGTATCGGGTCCGTTAGGGTTATACGTATCGCGGTACTTGAACCACGACTTCTTGAACCAATCGCCTCCACCAACCTCTCGATCAGGATGCGCAGCATGAACACCCACGACCGCCAAAGCGGCGACAACCACAACCAGGATACTGAGGAACTTGAGAACCACGAAGAAGCCGTTTAGACGGGTACTGGCTTTTGTACTGATGGAGTTTGCGACGCTCATGGCGACGAGAACCAGTATGGACAGAAGCTTGTGTTCTATGCGGTAGTCCTCGTTGATGACTCCCGCTGCGGAGTAGGCGCTCTCAACGAAGACAATGGAGAGGATTGCCAACGTCGCGGGCATCACGGCAACAATCCATGTCCACGCCGCCAGAAACCCCCAAATATCACCATAAATGTGCTGCAGATACGGCTGAACACCACCTTCTCCCGGAATCGCGGTGCCAAGCTCGGCAAATGTCGTAGCTCCAGTCCAAGCCAGGATACCTCCGATAAGCCAGATAGCTAGCGCGATACCAGGCGACGGAACGTTCGTGTCGATTGAGCCAGGCGAGGTGAAAACGCCGCTGCCAATGACGATGCTGACAACAATGCCGAAGGCTTCTGCGGCGCCGAGGTTACGGGTGAATGTCCCGCGAGTACGCGACGCGTCTGAGACATCTGGGTCCTGGTTCGGGCGTTGCTCGGAGAGAAGTGGCTGTTGACTCGCCACGTCTTCAGCTTGCTGTGAAGACATTTTGAGTTTGGTTTATCTGGAAGATACTTTGGTGTTGAAACAACGTGAGATGGGAATGGCGAATGGCTGCTGAAATGGAGTCATCGCAAGGGTGGGTCATTGCGTGACACGGCGGCTAATTACCGGTGAGAATGACGCAATGGCTGGTTGAGGCTCATTTTGAAGGAAGTCAAATAAATACCTAAGCTTTAATCTTGTAATCATCTCGATCTTTCTGTCTCGTGTCTTTTATTTTTAATTTTTCCTTCTTCATTAGCCGGCCTTAACTTGGCAGCTTTTAATCCCGAATTCAGCGTCAAATCAAAAGTCTCCGTTAAGTAGGTAACAAGCCGGAACACCTATCAATTTCCTTTACAGGGCTCAATTCTGCTACAGCAGTCCAACAAGTACAAAGCTCAGCCTGGGTTGTAATATACAACGATACATTGAAGAGAAAAAAAGATTAACAAATTGACTAATTCCAATTTAGCATAGATTTTGCCTGATTTGTATACATTCGGGGAACTTCAAACTACCGTAGATCATCTCCGTGGCAATGGTGTCTTCCCTTCCTCCGAGATCTGATAACCTTATCAATCTTTTGGCCAACGAACATCCTGTGGATGCAGCACATATAAACATAAAAAGTATATTTAAACCTACCATGGTATTATCAATAATGCCCTTAAATATGCCTCGTCGCTCAGTGAGCGCGTAATTTTGCTGTAACCGACAACCTTAAGCTGCACAGATGAGTATTTAATCTTGCCTTTCCCTCCAATCTCTATCCCCATACTCAACAATTACTCTTATCAGAATCCGTCGCTGCAATGGAACTCTTAAAGATCTTCATTATCGACTTGTGGTTTCTCATCACTTGCGCTCTTTCCGTTCCTCATGGTGGCCCAATACCACCAAATCCTTTTACGGATCCCAATATTAGCCCTGGGGGCCTCCTCTCCAAGAATTCGACTTCTTTCCAAATCATTGGAGGCAGCCCTGAACAAGCCGAAAGGGCACTGGAATGGCTGGAAGGTGCTTTTGATTGCTTCGCTGTAAAGCTCCAGTGGGGTCCCCCGCACACTTCCATCGTCAACTTCGAGACACACAAAGGACCTTTTCCGAAACTCGATGTTTACTCTATGAAGCCTCAGGGCCATTTCGGTGGTAGATTCCATCACAACCCATTGAATGGAAATGCCTGGCTTCAGGTTGTCGATAAATATCTCGATTCAGGTATCACTATTCATGAGTACGGCCACAGTCTGCACCATTTCCAGAACGCATGGCTTCATCAAGGCCACACCAAGCCTTGGATGGAAGCCTTCTCCAATTGGGTGAGAGATACCTACGACAACTCTGAAATATGCGCCGACTCCCGACAAAAGCAAAAGCAAGGCACCCATCCAACCGTATTCGACCCGCAGAAGGTTCTTGGATATTCGTATCAGGTCATTGTACATGCGAGCCCCGGGCTTGGTAACCAATATGAGGCATGGCCTTTCCTGACATATCTGACGAATAACCCTGACGACTTCGCCGGTCTTGGCCAGGATAGCATTCGACAGTTGCAGCTGCAGTACAAGATGGGTAGTGGCGAAACCCCCCTTCATACCCTCGCTCGTATCTCTACAAATGCTACTGTTGGTGACATTGTCGGTCGATATTGGGCTCGCATGGCATACGTCGACATCAACCACACTCTCGCCCAGAATAAATTTTACGACGAACGCGGGAGAATTAATTTGGCCAACGTTAAGGATATTGGCAACGGCACTTATAAACCCCACCCTGAACGTCGACCTCAATACATGGGCGCCAACATCATTCCCATCAAGGTGCTCGGATGGAAGTTTGAGGTCAAGGTAACTTCGGATGATGAGTTTGTCGCTACTGTTGTTATCCACCAACGATACGGCAAGACGTCGTATGTTACGCTTGTAAACGGTGCTGCCAAGGCTTATGCTATGCCGGAGGATGAAATCAGTGTTGTTGTTGCGAATGCCCCTGCCAAGCCTATTCTGTATAATGGGTTTCGTCTTAGCAAGGAGGTTACCAAGGGGCTTGATTATACGCTTGAACTGACTGGTGCTGTTGCTGTGAAATACACTGTGGTGGTGGAAGGTCCCAAGAAGAAATAAAGTCGCAGTGTGAGCTAGTTTGGAGCAAAGATAGTACTGAGAATTTACTTTACTCTCTCTGACGATGCCTTGTGGGAGTGACTGTTTGGGCAAAGCGAAAGACTGCAGGCCATCTTCTGAAGGGGCTTTCGGATACGAAAAATAGATTGATCTTTTCAGTATGGATTAAAGTTTAGAAGGAGCACGTGTTCACACAGGCAACGATAGATAGTATACGTCGTTGGGCTTAGTATTTGCAGCAGCTTACCTCAGTACCTATGAAGAGCAAAGATAAAAAGAGTTACAAAAAGCAAAAGAATTGATGGGAATTAAACCACCTGCATTGGACGAACAGGAAATCGAACCCTGAATGGTTCAGGGGCTAAACGGTTCCGCTAGGAACCATTTGGCCTCTGAATGGATTAAATAGAAAAGAAAAGTAGAAAGGAAAAATTAAGAAGAAAAAAAAGAATAAATAAATACTTGCATCCGAGTTAGACGAAACTTGCTAAGGGAGTATTATACCACTAAACCATTCGCCCGGAAATGTTGATGGCTCGAGTCGTAGTTTGCGTACCACTTCCTCTCACACTGGGCTTCACGAGGGCATAGCGTCAAATCACAAGACAATGTCTTATTCGGCCCACTATCATAATCTGCTAGACTTATCACATTGCTAAAGTCAATGACGAAATTCATGTCTTAGGTGCGTAAGGGCCACTTGTCTGAGACATCATGGCTGCAGATTGACGACATATGCCCAAATGGTGGCACTATAGATGTATGACCTTGAGGGTCGTGACAATTTCCACGGTTCTGAAGCTTCTCATACTGAACAGGTTTTGATAACATGTGAAATTGCAAGTCTATATGAACACAGTATATACCTCATTCCAAATCATCCCGCAAGACCATTTCAAGCAACAACTGCAGCAGAGACTGCAGGGACGGCTGCAACCTCGGGCTTGTTTTCAATCTCCATCTCAGCCTCCATCTGCAGCGTGACCTTCTCCCACACCGCAGAACCACTCAGCTCGGCAAAAGTATCCTCAATGACACGTGCAGTTCGCTCAACAATATCATCGATGTCCTCTTTCGTGACAATGAAAGGTGGGCAGATGAGGAAGTGGTCGCCGCTGTACCCGTCGTAACCGCCGTTGGCGTTGAAGAGCGCAATCTCGTAGCCAGCGCTCATACCGCGCGAGTGAAGCATGCTGTTGAGACCGAGGCTGTACGGGAAGGGCATCTTGGTCTGTTTGTTGGTGACAAACTCTACGGCCCAGAAGAGGCCTCGGCCACGGATGTCGCCGACATAGGGCATAGGCAGAAGACGCTCCTTCAGTTGTGAACCGAGGTACTCTCCCATGGTGCGAACGCGGGATACTAGGTTCTCGTCGCGGATAATCTGTTGGACCTTGAGAGCGGCGGCTGCTGCTTGGGGATGGGCCATGTATGTCTGTCCGTGAGCAAATCCCTTGCCGGATTTCTGGAAAGAGTCGACGAGTTTGGCATTGATCATGACGGCTGAAACAGGAGCGTATCCAGCTCCGAGACCCTTTCCGACAACGAGGATATCGGGAACAACATCTTCCTGCTCCCAGGCGTGGAGTGTTCCGGTGCGTCCCATCCCGCACATGACCTCGTCGAGAATGAGCAGGGCGTTGTACTTTTCGCAAACAGCTTTCATAGCTGGGAGATATCCCTTGATGGGCATGGCACAACCACTCGCCTATAACCAAGTTAGACAAGTCACAATGTGCAGAATGGGAGACTTACACTTCCGCCAACAGTCTCGGCGACAAAAGCGCAGACTTTCTCAGGCCCAACCTTCTGGAACTCATCATCAAGCTCTTGCGCAAGCCTCTGCACATACGCATTCTCACTCTCGCCATGCTTCATGCCACGGTATGCGCTACAAGCTGAGATTCGGGATGCGTTCTGCGAGATCATCTGCACGAAGGGATCTTTTCGGACCTTGAAGTCTCCCAGGGTCAACGCTCCGAGGGTGGCTCCGTGCCAAGCGCCCACGCGTGTGATGAAGTGGCATCGTTCGGTCTGGGGAATCGCGAGGTGGGAGAAGTGTGTTTTGGCGAGCTTGAGTGCTACTTCGACTGCTTCGGAGCCTGTGGGGTTTGAGTCAGCAATGCAACTCACATCTGTGGTGTGGACTACTCACCTGAACCGCAAAGGACCGCCTTGGACAATTGGCCACCAGTGGACTCGACGAGGAAATCGGCTAGATCCTCCGCGGCCTGTGTCTTGTAGAAGCCAGGATGACAGTATGGGACGTTCACCAACTGCTCAACGACAGCTTGCTGAACGGCCGTGTTGTTGTAGCCCAGACAAGCAACAGCTGCTCCGCTGGTTGCGTCGAGAATTTTGCGTCCATCGCTTGTGTTGAGGAAAATACCATCTGTGGAATCTATCAGAGCCGCGGGGTGTTTTTGAAAGTTCTTGTAGAGAAGACTGTTTGTTGGCTTGGTGGAAGGCATATTGTGTTAAATTACTGAGATGAGGCGTTGAGGCGTTGAATGGAGGCGTTGGATTGTAATTGTATGGTAGCATTTTAGATCTTTGGACATTCATCTTTATATATATCCTTATCAACCAATATTCTGTATATTCGTACTATTTGCTCTCCCTCTCTCTGTCCACAAAACATCCTCCCTCAAGAAGCGTTCAACAAACCTTTCACTGAGCATCAGTCAATGCAACATAATCCGATATCGTGGCTGAGACAAGCCAAAGCAATATTTCCAAATATGCAGTGTAATCAAGGGTGCGGGCGGCGGGCCGCATCCGCGCCGGTGACGGGAAATAGCGGTGTGTGGCTTCAATGGCGAGCTCTGTCGTATCCTTTGCTGTAAGGCGCTTCTAAGACTTTGGAGTACCAGTCAAGATCGTTATCATTTCTGGATAGTGAGTGGGCTTGTGGATACACTCAGACCTACATTGATCTAGTTTAACGCGATGTTGTTATCCAATAGACTGATAATTGCCGGTTTTAAGGGTCTGAGATAGAAGGGTATCCCTTAAAGTCTTGTGTATCGTATGAGATGGTGAAATAAGACACGGGAAAGGAGCTTGGGCTTTTGTGACACGTTAGCAATTGAGTGATTCTTATCAAATGTCTTAATTGGCTATGATGCCAACTTGTGAACTGCAGCTTTCCCAATTATGAGATGGCATAATGTCCCAACGGAATTACGACGCTGACAGTAACAATTGGCATTATGCAGCCAAGAAACTCAATCGGAGTGATCGCTATTTTAATCCTATCCTTTCCTGCCGGTTCTCTCCTTGTGCCCCTACTAGCTCCGATCATATTGCTTCTTGCTGGTATCAAGACATGATTTCCGAAGAATCACTGCTGGAATAAAAAATAACCCTTGCTTTTCCTTCTGAGAGCGTAACACCAAAACGCATCTTGCAGCGGCAGGAGCCCCGTGTCTCAGCTCAGCCCAGCCAGAGCCAGCCCCCAAGAGGAGATCTTTCCTGCTTCTGAGCTTGCCCCTCCCTTTGGGCGGAAGTGGCACTTGGTAGTCTGCTTTCTGGAGCCTTAAAACCTAGTTCCTTGTCTTTTTTTATTCTCGCATCACATCTCCCAGTGTCCTTTCTCAATCGTCCCATTGGCGATTCTGTCTTTCTTCGATCGACGTAAGTGGAGATGGGAATTCCGTTCCTGGATCACGCCTTTGATGCGTCTGATCCTTTTGGGTCAGCCGTGCCGCTTTTGCCTTTCCTGTTCCCCGACCGTAAGCCTACCGACGGAGACTTGCGTATCCAGCCTCTCGCACAGGGCACAACGAATGGCGTGAGTCTTGACAAAGATCCTCCCCTTCTCAGCTGTCTCAGGGTATCATGACACATGCTAAATAATCTGGCAGCTGTTCAAGGTAACCAATGGCGCGGCCACTGCAGACGCCGTGCTCGTCAAGGTCTACGGAGATGGCACGGACATCACAATTGATCGTAACAGTATGTCACTTACCTCGTCTAGAGCTTCCGTCCTGGAGTTCATGTCTAACGTGTGACAAGAGGAGCTCAAGGTACACAAGCTACTCGCGGATCACGACCTTTCTAGCTCCCCCCTGGTTCGCTTCGCAAATGGACATGCATATGAGTTTATCTCTGGCCTGGTCTGCTCTGAAGACGATATGTCTAAGACAGAAATTTCCCGCGGTGTTGCGAGGGAGCTGGCGAGATGGCACGCGACACTTTCCCTTGTTGAGGTGCAAAGTGCACAGGAGATCCTTAACCATGAACCAGGAGTATGGGCGACGGCCAAGAAATGGCTCAATGCTATCTCCAAGCATCCCGGACAGTCAAAGACCGAAGTTGAGGCCCTGCATGAAAGGTTTCAGTATCTTGCCGATCAGCTGCTGCCCAATGACGATATGTTGGAACCCTTGGTACGCATGTAGCATGCTCTTGACGTTTTGCCCTACTGACTCCTCGATCAACCAGGTGCTCGGCCATGGCGACCTCTTGTGCGCAAACATCATTGTACAGTCGTCGGCTGATGGCATAGGGGCTCCCGATGTCGCAGCAGTGCGGTTCATCGATTACGAGTAAGTCGTACCGAAACCCCAACCGTGCTTCGACAAACATGCTGAATGTCATGCAGGCATGCCACGTACTGTCCCCGGGCGTTTGAGCTTGCGAATCATTTCGCCGAGTGGACAGGCTTCGGGTGCGACTACGATCTTTTGCCCAGCAGGTCAGCCCGCCGAGCCTTCGTTCGTGAATATCTCGAGGCCCGCGCCGACCTTTCTCGGAGGCGTCAAGATGCAGCAGCCCATCTACCGGGCAAGACTGATGTGTCGATCATCACTGATGATGATGTGGAGACGCTGATGCGGCAGGTTGACGATTACAGAGGCTTCCCTGGATTTTACTGGTGAGTTTTCTTTTTCCTTTCTTTTTTCTTGGTTGCACAGGGGTTGTTGTGGTTGTACAGCCTCCAACTGACCCGTGTCCACGGCAGGGGTCTTTGCGCCCTCATCCAGGCTGAGACAGCGACCGGAACTATCGACTTTGACTACGCCGGATATGCTGGGAAGCGCTTTTCGGAATACGACGCATGGAGAAAGGTGCATGACGGGAATGTCAAGTCGGCTGATGACATGTCATTGAGAGAGAAGAATTGGGCACGGCCGTGAGCGTGAGCGTGAACGTGAATGTGAACGGACTAGACAGCAAGGGAGCAAGGTAGACATGTAATTTCTAAGAGACCGAGTAGGCAGGGCATCTAAATTATCGTAACTGTGGGGTATGGGGCGCGGTTATGACATATCCCAGCTGTATTGTCTCAGACATGAAATAATTGCCGGGCTGAAGAGTGGGTAGAGTGGCAAGGGTGATTAGATAGCCGAATGTTAGCGTGAGATCCTCGTCCCAACTTATGCCATCTTCTCTCATGTATGCCGTGTTGAGTGTTGAAGGATACGTCTTGAAAGATGCGTCTTGGAGCATGCATGCATCTTGGTGGCTATGCAGAACTCAATCCCACCTCTTCGGCATCAAAGGGATGGACATCCATTCCTCGCCTACCCCCAATAGAAGGCGCTGAAACCCCCATAACCCTTCACCCTGCCACCGCCATTGGACACACACTTCTGTGCTATGTATGGCTCGGTCTGGTTCTACCGCATGTAGCGCCTCCTCCCCCTCATCCTCCCAACCCGTCAGATTCTGGAACCCGACCTAGCCAAAGAGAGAGCCCCAGAAGCACACAGAAGTTAGCTTTGGAACGTGATTTGCTCCTTCAGCCCGTGTCAGGCAGGCCCTTGCTGTTGGCACTGTCTTGGTTGCTTCTGAGACAAGTGTGTCTTTTGAGAAGAGAGCTGACGACTACTTTCTACAGTGCCATACTCACCCGGTACTCATCTCCCTAGTTCGCAGACACGGCCGTAGCAGACAGACCGCATGATCGAGCAGGCACATGCATGTATCGTACTTCTCTCACTGTATGTACCATACCATAGTGTGTGTGGGGAGGGACGGGATTTGCGTTGGTCCCTTGTCCCTCGGGTCGGGTTTTGACGTGTGGGGGGCACGCCTTAAATATGGAGAGTGATTAACTAGCAAATTCTTTTTTTCCATGCTTGGCTAGGGATTAGCCATTGCCGAATTGCCTCCTTGGAAAAAATTGTTTGCTTGTATATACTATATATCCTCGGCTGTGAAGCCTCGTACAACCGCCCTTTTTCCCCCCGGGCATCGCCATCTTCTTTCTTCCCCACGTTAATCCCCTACCTTCCCCTCCCCCCCTTTTCTTATTTCCCGATCATGGCTAGATGGAAACCCGCACGTAACTTCCTCTCCAGCATCGGCGCCGATGTCCTCTGGCAGTCGAACCGAGACCTCAAGATCTTGATCCTGCTGCGCTTCATCCGACTGCTCGGCTATGGAGGCACGACGCTTGTTCTCGCGCTGTATCTCAACGCGCTGGGATTCAAGGATACGCAGATCGGTCTGTTCATGACTCTGACTCTCGTGGGCGATCTTGCTATTAGCTTCTTCCTCACTTGGTTTGGAGATCGTGTTGGAGTGCGCCTCACGGCGGCTGTGGGGGCGCTGTTTATGTGTGCCGGTGGTATTGCGTTTGCCTACTTTGAGAACTTCTGGCTATTGCTTTTGGCCAGTATTCTCGCTGTTATCAATCCAAGGTATGTTCGACCACCTCATTGCTGAGTTTTGTGCTGATTCGTTAGTGCCAACGAGATCGATCCCTTCAAAGCCATTGAGGAGTCAGCCATCGCCCGCCTCAGCACCCCGCATACTTGCAACGACATGTTCGCCTGGTGGTCCATGCTGGGTATGTTTGGCACGGCTGCAAGCAACCTCCTCACAGGCTGGGCCATCAATGCCCTCGGAGACTCCGGGATGGAGAAGGTCGATTGCCATCGCATGGTATTCCTCGCCTACGCCGGTATCGGACTTGTCAAATTGATATGTTCTATGTTCTTGAGCTCCGAGGTCGAGCTCATGCCCTTTCAAAAGGAACGCTGCGCAACGCCACCTTCTGGTATCCAGACATCGGAAGATGGTGAATCAACTGACGACGAGAATGCGCCGCTTCTCGCCGAAAACACACCTGGCTATGGAGGTATAATCCCAGATTCTGCGACACCCGAGTCACAGGCTCAGGTTCTGGCAACAGCGAAAGAAAAGCGTCTCTTCACTCCATCCTCCTTCGACTTCATGTGGAAGCTCTCCCTCGCCATGGCCTTCGACTTTGTCGGATCCGGTCTCGCGCAAATATCATGGATGACATACTTCTTCAAGCGCGAGTACGATATGCCCGAAGGCGCTCTAGGATCTGCAACATTCACCGCGGGAATCATCTCCTCTGTCCTCAACCTCGCCTCATCACCTCTCTCGCGCTCAATCGGTCAGGTACAAACCATGGTTCTCTGCCACACCGTCAACTCCATCTCTCTCCTGATGGTTTCCGTGCCGGGGAACAAATACATCGCTCTCATCATCTTCATCTTCCGCATCGTCACGCGCGAGATCGACAATGCGCCGCGCCAGGCATTCATCTCTGCGGGTGTTTTGGATCACGAGCGAACCTCTGCCATGGGAGTGGTCAATATTGTCAAGACCATCGGTAGTTGTCTGGGTTTGTACATCACCGGTTTGTTTGCCGGGCTGGACAAGTTCTGGCTTGCATTTATTTTGGCTGGCGCTCTGAAGCTTTCCTATAATGTTTTGATTCTTGCATTCTTCTGGAAGAGGCGTTGAAAAGTTTATTTTGTCAAGCATTTACACTCATTGGGTCGTTTATATGGTTGAAAGCTTATGGTGTGATGATGTACCGTCCTTGAAATCTAGTAGCTAATGTTTCTTTTAATGTCACCTGATGATAATGGCACAATTGTTTGTTGGACAGATCTTCTGGCACTTCATCCATAGATCATACGAATTGTGACTTGGTGGTAGCTAGTTCACAGCATGAGAGTAGCATCTTGTCATATATTAAACATGTCAATGTGCAATTACCTTGTCCGAGTGAGCTTTTATGATGCTTGCTGATACGTAGTGTCACGGTACAAAATGTGACGAGTACACGAGTTGACGGTAGCGCGAAGATTCCTCATTTGTCTCAACTAGACAGTACAGCGCACAAGCGAGATACTGCTTCCCAGCATAAAGGCATTGTCAGTTATGACAAATTCTGATCCCAGATGTTATGATCAATTGTTGTGTCTGTCAACCACTCCACCTCCATCTCTACACGAACAGACAACAAGTTACGAATAGTAAACCGTCCGTGATTCTTTTACCCCATGTTAGTCTTTACGAGTGCGAGTAGTATCAACGTGGCTGTCGCAAGTCGTTGGTTAGTGCGCAGGCAGTACACAATCTGATTCAGAAAGGTCTAGGGTAGTTTCAGTTATGGTAATGTCTTGTGTAGCAACAAATGAGTTCAAAGGGGGTTTAGCATCAATTTCGTGAAAGAATGGTTTCTAGTGCTGGTACAAAGTCTTTGAAGACTTGGAAAGTATGTACAGTCACTTTAGGTCCAGTCAGCTGAAAAAATATAGATAATGGCTTTGTGATAACAATCCTGGGAGCAAAACGTCGGACGGAGTATGAGATGTTTTCGCGAAATAAGTAGTTTCAAAGATGATGTGTGAAATCAAATTTGATCAAAAGAACGCACATTAGAGATAGGTTATTCTGTCAATCTGATATTGGGGAGGCTAAATGATCTGTTTACTGGTGCTGGATGTATCATTTGTGAGTACCATACTCTGAATCCTCACTCGGAAAATGATGCTAGCGGCTAACCCATGACGTCAGACCGCACCATCTCCTTCCAGGGCTGATCATTTCCGAGCTAGTTCAGCTGCATCGGCAGTGATCGCCAAGCATAAAAAACCTCAACACCAAGAGTTGGATATCTCGTGATACCGTATCAGAAAAGTTTGCAATGAGTATCCGTCTTTTTTCTCCACTAAAATAGGCAGCGACATAAAGTACATTACCCCGTGTCACGAAATCCACATTGTCTCCGCTGGGGAGAAATCCCCATGGAGTGGTAGACCGAGAATTTGACCGATGCTGGAGATGAAGAGTGAAAATCATGTCGGGGAAATAGGGAAGTAAGGGAGTAGTTGTGCTTAACACATGTGAATCGCAATATTTGTGAGATACTTTGGCAGAAACGTAATTATAGTGATGATCATATGGACACAGAATTGATTGAACACACTTAAGATCTTCAAATTAAAGATGCGACCGTACAACAGCCACCAGGACCACCAGAACGAGAACGGCAGTCTTGGCAGTTCTTCCAGATGAAACGTTTCGTCGGAATTACTAATCGAATCAGCCTCATCCAACGGCTCCATCTACGGCGCAACATGTCAAACCGGTATTGAAAGAAATTGCAATTGGGTCGCGCCACAAACAAACGCTCCCGTGAATTAATATCGTGATCTCCCGGAGGCTCTGCGGTACGTACCGTGCACGAACGAAAACGAAGAAGTGAAAAAAAAACACAAAAAGCCCTGCGTGGAGACGGACCCGTTGTTTGTGCGTCAGTGGGGAAGCAGGTTAATTTTCACCTTAACCAGGTGAGACCTACCCTACCCAAGCAGGCTTTATCATTTATTAATCTAGAAGCACAAATTAGCAGTCACGGCAAGAAATGAGTTACTCGCCAAGCAAAAGCCTAGAATTCAGCTTCGATCGCCCAGGGCGGGTTCTTCGGGACCAAGACCTTGGCCAAGTCTTGGCTTAATAAATAAAATCCTTCAGCAAAAGAACCTCACAAGTCAGAGGGAAAGAAAAAAGCAGGGGTAGTGCGGGATGTGACAATTGGAGGTTGCATAATGACGCAATTGGAAGGGAATAAGCAGGAGACTACAGACTAGAAACAAAAGATTGACCAAATGTCATGTCATTGTGGAGTCTAGAGTCCGGAGTTTAAAGAAAGAATTGTGCTGCCTGGAGTCAGCCCTCTCATCACCGATTGCAAGTTTAGAGTTGTTGGTTTGAATCCTTTGAACCTTTTTCTCTTAGTGTAATTGGTCTCGTGTCCGGAGGGAACACACGACGTCATCACACTGACTCGGCCGAGTTCAGTGGCATAGACTTTTACCGTTCAACGTCAATCCAAACGCATCATGTACCCCGACCTTTTTTCTGTGATCAGTGCCACATTAGATTAGCTGCGTGATGAAATAACCACAATCACTAAGCTTGTTCCCTTCTAGGTGATTCGTCAAGTTCTTCTATCCCAGACACCAACAAGTCTTACAGTGGGCAATACCTGTTGGTTGGGGCTTTGACCTCTTCTTTGTATCCCCGGCTAGAGCGGCACAACGCCCGCTATATTCCCCACGTCAACGACACCCACACCCACACCCCATCTGGGGATGATCTTGAACAGGAGCAGTGATGTCAAGAGTGGATTCTCCCAACTTACTATGGACATCTGCTCAAATCTTGGTGATCGTCCTGGCCTTTTAAATATGTAGCTTCCCCGTCTCCCCAAGTATCCCAGTGTCTGAACCACATCCCCTTTTGCCTTCTGGGTCAAACAAACAAAAAATGCCGACTCATTTCTCAGAAGACCCCCCGCAGGTCATCAACCATGATGATCTGCACGTCGCAAACTCGCGTCTGCAGCAGAACCTCGACGGCTCCACTGACCACGAGCACAGCAGTGATGAGCGCACCCACCGCCCCAGCAACATCAGTAACGGTAACGGCGCTGGCTTGGAGAAGCTGGGTACCTACGACAAGTACGAAATCACAGAGGACGACTGCTACGATGAGCTGGGCTACTCGTACTCCAAGTGGAAGAAGTGGTACATCCTCACCGTCGTCTTCTGGGTGCAGGTCTCCATGAACTTCAACACCTCGCTCTACTCCAATGCCATCCCTGGTATTTCAGAGGAGTTCAATGTTAGTGCCCAGGCTGCGCGCTGTGGTGCTATGATCTTTCTCGTTCTATACGCTTTTGGCTGTGAGCTCTGGGCCCCTTGGTCGGAGGAGTTTGGTCGCTGGCCTATCATGCAGGCTTCTCTGCTCCTCGTCAACATCTGGCAATTGCCTGTTGCTCTGGCACCTAACTTTGCTACCATCATGGTCGGTCGTGCCCTCGGCGGTTTGTCATCGGCTGGTGGTTCTGTCACACTCGGTATGATCGCCGATATGTGGGAGTCAGACAACCAGCAATACGCCGTCGCCTACGTCGTTTTCTCTTCTGTCGGCGGTTCCGTTCTGGGCCCCATCGTCGGCGGTTTCACCGAACAATACCTCAACTGGCGCTGGTCCATTTGGATCCAGCTTATCCTCGGTGGCTTCATCCAGATCGTCCACTTCCTGACTGTGCCCGAGACGCGAAGCACCATTCTCATGAACCGCATCGCCAAGAAGCGCAGACAGGAAACAAACGCCAACGTCTGGGGTCCCGATGAGCTTGTTCCCTTCCGAGAGCGTTTCTCCGCCAAGGAGATCCTCATCACATGGACTCGCCCCTTCAAGATGTTCCTCACCGAGCCCATCGTGCTGGTCCTGTCTCTTCTTTCCGGTTTCTCTGACGCTCTGATTTTCATGTTCATCCAATCTTTTGCCCTGGTCTACGGCCAGTGGGACTTTGACGCTGTTCAGATTGGCCTTACCTTCTGCGCCATTGGTATCGGATATCTTTTGGCTTGGTTGATGTTCATCCCTGCCATCAAGAAGAACATCAAGGAGCGTAGGGATAACCCTGATGATGAGCGTGCTCAATACGAGTCGCGTCTATGGTTCTTGCTCTACCTTGCGCCTTGCTTACCAATTGGTCTCATCGGATTTGCGTGGACTATCCAAGGCCCTCCTATGCACTGGATTGGTTCGATGATTTTCGCTGCCATTGTTGGTATCGCCAACTACGCTATTTACATGGCCACTATTGACTACATGATCTGTGCCTGTAAGTACACCCACTCCAACACCCATTTCACTACTGACATTCTTCAGATGGCCCCTACTCCGCTTCCGCAACTGGAGGCAACGGCTGGGCTCGAGATTTCCTCGCTGGTGTCCTCACCGTCCCCGCAACACCATTCTTCTCCAACATCGGCGCCTCTTCAGGCAAGAACCTAGAATACGCCTCAACCATTCTCTTCTGCATTTCTTTCGTTCTCGTCGTCGCCGTCTACGTCATATACTGGAAGGGCCCCGCCCTGCGAGCTCGATCACCCTTCGCTCAGCGTCTGGCCGGAGAGCGACAGGAGAACGTCCAACAAGGACGTCGTGGCAGTGTTGCCTACGATGCTCGTCGCAGGAGTAAGTCCACTGAGTTTGGTTCATTGGTGATGAATACTAACGGTGTCATAGGCTCAGCTACTGGAGAAGCTGACGTTGAACGTCCACCGGTTGCGGCCCGTCCTAGCTATGGACGTCAGTACAGTAACTCGAACCGTTTCTTTGGTGAGAGTCGTGTTACTCCTCGCGGAACTCCAAGAGGTACTCCATCGGCGAGTCGCCGCCAAAGTGCCGCGAATGTCCACAAACACCAGTAAAGCATTTGGATGTTTTGAATAGGTATGGAGAAGAAGATGTTTTGTCGTGGACGCTTGAATGATACCCTATTTTGGAAAGAATGTTTCAAAGCGAGTTGATGGTTGTATATTTATCTGAGTCTTACGCATAGTTCATGACTGATGATTGATTAATTGTACATTACCGCCTGTTTATAAATTCCGCTTTTACCAAATTCCTTTGTGCAGCTCTCGTGCTGTCACAAGCCCAGTCAATTCTTAAGTTGAATTTGTGAAGCGGCGTATTATACCAGCCAAGCGGTTTGCATGTCTGGTGTGAAGTTGGAAGTGCACAACAAAGTTGGGAGGTTTTCAACCCACGACCGAAATAGGCATAGCTGTTTGCATATAAACATAGCACAAAGTGTAAGGCAACAATGGCTAGATGCGTAGAAGCAGACCATATTCTTTTATACATGCAGTCCTGCTCTATCTCAGCGAGATATTGAACAAAAGTTACTTAGTGATCACTAACCCGTGGGGCATTTACAAGTACTCATCAATAAGTATATTTTAGAAAGAATGAGATTTTTATTTGCCAAGTTACATTAAATATAACCAATTGATCCCATCTCTTCCGTTGAGTCCCATGGAAGCTTCCCTTACCCAATAATGATATCAAGCTCAAGGTTGTTTCCCTCCTTAACCTTGTACTTGGTAGAAATGTTCCTGCGATCAATATTCAGAATATTCTGCTCCGTCCTCTGAGACTCCCTAGACCGGGTACGATCCGACGCATTACCATAGTACTCCGGCAGAGCCTTAACACAGGTGACCTCATCCCCGAGACCAGTGACGGTATCAACCCAGGGCTTGTAGTTGTGCACGCCAAGAGCCACGAAGAAGGCTTCCTTGCCCTGCTCGGTCTTGAAGCGCAGCATGCCAGAGGTGCCACTGCCGCCCATGGACAGAGTCAGGATGCCGTCCTGCTCAGTCCACTGGGCACCGTTGGCGTAGTGCCAGCAACCCTTCTCAACGATGTGGAAGAAGGCATTGGTGTTGGTCTGGTAGACGCGGACTTTGATAGTGTAGGACATTTCTGGGGTGCGTTAGTTGGGCTCAGGAGGGGGGAGGATAGGACGGACTGAATGATTGATGTTTAGATGTTTAGATGTTGACAGTGTAGTGTTGCTTTGGTAGTGCTGTTGAGTTGTTGTGAGTTGAGGACGAGAAGGTGGGTTTGGGAGAGGAAGCGGTCGTATTTATATCCAATATTGATCATTTATTAGGGTGAAAAACGATGTATCTTTGCCATCGCTTGGACCCTTTGCCACATTATTCCTTGCTGGCATCAGGCAATGGCCTCTTGCGGTGAGGGCTTCTGCATCGATGAGTGACTGCAAGTCATATGCCGTGTCTCAAAAGTGAACTCTGCATCGAGCTTCAACACAAGGTGAAGCAGTTTATTGGCTATCGTGAAGACACGGGAAGTTGCGGGCTTGAACCACAATGTAACATCGCCCACCACTATAGACAAGGACAATCAAACACAGAATCATGTGTTACCTCACAGGCTCTCTTCACCTTCGGATGGTTCATAGGTCCATACTGAGGTTCGGGTTTACAATATCTATGGAAGTAATACTCCTGGAAGTATAAAAACTACCAAGATTCGGCAATCACGAGCTTGATGAGCAGCCAACAAGCTCTTGAAAGTACACCGTGCATCATTGTTTCTCAAGGGGTCAATCTGCAACTCGACATACTTGGAGATGCAGTTACATTAGCCCACAACGAATACATGCAATGAACGGATAAAGCCGGTCGATTCATCCTGCAAGTCATCCAAAAGACCACGGCAGTAACTAGCTCACGTCTTGATGTGTTCCACGACCGATCTGACTGTGCGGGGTAGAACTTGGTCTACATTCACTGACTGAAGTGGTGATACAAGCAGGAAATGGAACATAATTCCCGTGCAATTGCAGAGTTCAGTTGAGGATGACTACTACCATTGACACTAAGAGAGCAACTTTAAGCGCAAAAGAGCAAAGACTGCTTCGTAATTCTTTCCACAGTAGTGAACTCTAAATCCAAAATTACATATCGAACTGGCTTTGCGCAGGCAAAGTGGGCAAGACATGCAGATTTCAGCTAGCCACAGACATGCACTGGCTCAGCCAGCCACCAGGATGTCATCAAGCCAATATATTGACTCTAGCCTGTCCAATCGATAACCGTTCAGCTTTGATGAATTTAGGAATCGATGCTGTATTTACCTAGATCTCTAACACTGTCTCAGACCTCGTCAATCCCCCGCCTTGTACCAGGTGAGTCTGCGTTGAGGCGGACGCATGTCGTTGAAAGAAGGATTTTACGCGTAAGAAGAGCATTTCAAGGCGGGGTCAAAAGATACTCTAGAATATCGAACCACCTCTCTCTCTTACTTGAGAGAAACAATGGGTCTATATGATTTCTGTATGCGATAGAGGTCTAATCTCATGATGCTCTTTGAATACTGCTACTCGTAATATGTAAACATTAGTTCTCATCATAGATGATGTTAAATTTCAGGCACAGATGGCCCCACCATCCTCCAGCTGCGGCCCGTTCCTAAGGTCAACTCCCTACTTCTATTCCATTCTCATGCATGTCGATGAATGGTTGATTCCGATTGGAAGCTGATTGCCCTGTCGGAAAGTATAATTTGCATCGGTTATACGCGGCCAGTGTGCTTTGAATGGGTGGGAATGATGACTGCATGTAAATGTCTCAGACAATGGATACGAGGAAACTCTGTGCGAGACGGGGAACAGGAATCACTGCCGAGTTTCGATCTACGGATCTCGGTGACTTTTTAGGTTGGAACTGGTGATCATGAGCTATGACAAAGGATACCCGTGGCTGGCTGGCTGCCCATACACCTCAACAAGACTCCGGCAAGGTTGTATTCAAGGTCCTCAATCAGCAGTTCAATGTACCGTTTCCAAGGTTTGCATGTGATATTCAAATTCTTGAAAAGTCAAGCATGTGGCTGTACCTTGGGCTATGGGTGGTTGTATGCTCGGCGCAGGAGTAGGAATTTAAAACTGTACCTTTAATTTGATACCCTGAGCAGTGAATTGATATTCAAAACTGGTGTCATAATCTGTCATGCTTGAAACTAGTTTCATAACGACGATGATTCCAAGGCAACAGAAACTTGGTGTGCATCTGGATGCGACTTCCACAGGGGAACTTGGTTGGAAAAATGAGGGTTTATAAGGTCAAGTTATTCGAAATGCAATAGCAAAGCCAGGTTCTCATTTGTACCCACTTGAGGCCTTCGATACTCTTTCAATCTTAACCAATAAATCACCTAGAAACTATATCCATGAAACCTAGCTCCCTTTACCTCCGAGGGTGCGGAATCGTCTTACAGTCTACTGGTAGGATGAGGGGGTTCCAAATCTTTCCTTTTCGAATTACGCTCTTTTCAGGGTCAGGGATAGCGGAGTTTTGGATCCGTATATAGATGAAAAGAGATATTTGAGTAATGAAAACGACATGTTTTCATGGTTTTCCTCCAACCATACGTGGTGAAAGGGAGTAGCGTCTTAGTTTGGTCCAACGTAAGTTATGCGAGTTTGATAGCTGACGGGGACCTATCGAAGGACGTTTCTACTTAGCGCGCGACGAATAAGCAGGCGGCCTACATGAGTTGATCACTATTATCGAGTTCATCACATCTTGTACAAATAGCTTTAAATTGGCTGACGCTGTTTCTGAAACAAGCATATGCAGATATCCAACGTGGAACGTGATGACAACGATACTGATACCACAAGTAACCACGACTGCTGAAAAATCTTATACACGAGCCTAAAGCTCTACAAATCTGATACATTTAGCGTCTTCACAAGAAAGTGAATAATATTTGAAATTGAAGTTTACAACTGCCAAGTTCGGAGTTGATCCATTGCCCGCTTCCATAGACACTCCATAGTAAGCAGTGATTACCCCCGCAACTCATTGGCACATCATCATCTCACCAATGCTATCGCCTTACAAATCCATGGATGATTAGAAATCCATCACCACAATGTCGCAATATCACAGCATATAATCACCAACCATAAAAGGTCCAACTCATCTCAATATTCCTGCACTGAACATCGGAATAAACTAAATAAAACACTCAAACTCTCACAGTAACAAAGAATCCTCACAATGGCTCCCATCCGCACAGCGATAATCGGCCTCTCATCCTCTGCTAAAACCTCATGGGCCAGCAACGCACACCTCCCCTACCTCCTCTCCCCGCGCGGCCGCTCAAAGTATCAAATCGTGGCTCTTCAGAACAGCAGCGTGGAAGCTGCCCAGAAGGCCATCGCGCACTACAACCTGCCGCCCGAGACTAAAGCGTACGGCTCGCCGGAGGATCTTGCGAGTGACAAAGATGTTGAGCTCGTCGTTGTAGCTACGCGTGTGGATGTGCACCACTCCAGTGCTCTGCCGAGCGTCAAGGCGGGCAAGGCGGTTTACTCCGAGTGGCCTTTGGCGCAGGATGCTGCGCATGCGAGGGAGTTGGCCGCGCTGGCGAAGGAGAACGGCTTGAAGACCGTCGTTGGGCTGCAGGGCCGGCTTGCACCGCCTATTGTCAAGATTCGTGAGCTTTTGAAAGAAGGGCGAATTGGAAAGGTTCGTAGCAGTGAGCTTCATGCTGCCGGTGGGACGAATGATCGGGAGATCTTGCCGGCCAGCCTGCAGTACTTTACGCAGCGTGCTATCGGCGGGAATATCTATACCATTGGTTTGGGACATGGTAAGTCAGCATGCGCAACAGAGGTTTGCAAAAACTAACAGAAACAGTCTTTGATCAGTACCAATACATTCTCGGAGACATCACCAATTTCAAAAGCCGCCTTCACAACCAGCGCCCAAGCGTGAAAGTCCGCGACCCAAGCACAAACGAAATCACAGGAACAGTTACCTCCGACGTCCCCGACATCATCTTCGCGACAGGCACACTGCAGGAATCACCCATCGCCCAAAAAGACGCCAGCGTGCTGATCCGCTTCCGCCGCGGCCAGCCCTTCCCCGGCGACCCGCACCTCAGCATCACCATCAACGGCGAAAAGGGGGAGATCAGACTACGGACCTTTGGCGGGACAGCGCTGCACGCTTCGGCGTACTCTAGTCCTTCTATCGCGAAGCCGGTGGTCCTTGAAGTTCATGATTTCGAAAAGGATGCTGTGGAGGAGGTAGAGTGGAAGTGGGAGGAGTGGCAGGAGGAGGTTCCTGTTATTGGGAGGAGTGTTGCGGCGGTCTATGATCGGTTTGCTGATGGAGGTGAGGAGGGGCTGGTTTCTTTCGATGATGCGTTGCTTAGGCATGAGCAGCTTGAGGGACTGCTTAGGGAGTGGGATGCTGATAGGTCTGAGTGATGATTTGATATCGTGATGTCTTTGACTTCTAGCTTAGGAGCCTAGTTTGGAAGCAATATACCAAAGTTGGATAGTTTAGGTTGTTGCGGATTGAATAGTTTGATGGGAAACATCAAATTGAGTTTATAAGATCTGGTTCTGATAAACAAGCGATTAGCCTCGCAATGTTTTCAGCCTTCGTGATCTTAGACGTCATGATTTCATATTCTCTTCTATTTTAGGACCAGCTAGGATTCTTAATTGATATACCTTTGTTGAACACAAATCCGTATGCTTCCAGTGTCACAGCCATGATTAGAAAAACAACAATCATGATGGCTATCCTGAAGCTTTCTCACAAAGAATCGAGGGAGGTTGGCCAGTTACATATATTATATACCTAAGCAAACGTAAATAACCCACATCAGCCACGCGAAGCGCACACCTCCTTCACGTCACAGCATAGGACAATATTTTGCAAGGGGCTTTTCATTGCCATAACTCATTAATGGTTCATAAACCACATTATGTACCCCATACCCTAATTATACTATACTCCTAGGCTGTAGTCTCTCCCAATTACTGCTCAAACTCTCCCGCATACATCAACTCTCCACGCTTGCCGTTCATCACCTCCCATACATCTCGCTCCTGGAGGTCTGCCTCTCTCTTTGGAAGACCAGCTAATTCAGCAGTTTGCTGCTCACGCTCAAGTTGCACTAACAAGGATTAGCGTACGTAACAGACAGTCTGATGGGAAACTTACCATGAAGGAATACAGCCGCCCGCTTGCCGGTGAACAAAGCATGTGGTACATTGGTAGTGTTGTCCGTGTTAGCGTCGCCAATAGCGTAGATTCCGGGGATATTGGTGATCTGTCCAGCTGTGCCATTTGATTGTAGGCGACCACCGTACAGCTGGACACCGGCCTTTTCTCCAACGTCGGAACGCTGCTCGTCTGGGAAGTCGGCCAAGAAAGCAGCGCGTTCGACGGGCTTACCTTCATCGAACTCAACGCTGAAAAGGTCGAACTCGGGAACCGAAGGCAGGCTAGGATCAGCGTTGTGGGTGTCTCCGTTCTCCAGACGCTTGACCTCGGTGATAGTTCGGTTGTCAACGGTCACGTTGTGAAGCTTGAGATACTCCTTCCATTGAGGTAGATCTTTGTCTGCAAGGGCACGGTTGGTGCTGTTGTCGGTGCCATTGACGAAGGCGTAAACGTTTTTGTTGAGAGTCGCCATCTCTCTGACTAGGCCGGCGATTTTGTTAAGAGGGGCGAGAAGGCCGAGGGGTTGGTCGGCGTGCTCATGGCCGTCGCACCATGGGCACCAGAAAATACCCTTGCCCCAAGCATCTTCAATGCCAGGAGTGTTTGGGAGAATATCCTTCAGACCGGTAGCAAGGACGATCTTGCGGGCTGTGATTTGCTTGCTGGGCTGGCCGGGGTATTCCACCGCGACAGAGAACCATGTGGCACTATCACCCTTGCTCTTGCTCTCAATATCTGTAACAGTTGCGTTCTCCATCTTCACAGTAGGGTAGTACGACAACTGTCTTCGAGCCTCATAGCGGTAGTACGCAGGTTGCACGCCTAAAGGGTCAGCACAAGTGTAACACGTAGAAAAAGAAGAACTCACCGTCAAATCCTATCACATCGTGCATGTGGCGCGTAGGTCCATTCCTATACAGGCCATTGTCAAGCAGGAGGACATTTCGACGCACGCGCGCAAGACCACTCAGTGCAGAGAGACCGGCAGGACCACCTCCGATAACGATGGCATCGTAGTCAGTCTTGGGGACCTCGGAAGAGGATGACTTGGCGATGGCTGCAGCGTTGCCAAGGGAGAAGAGCGCTGAGACAGCGAGAGTCTGGAAGAAGCGCATTGTGATAAGTGGGAAAGATGTACGAAGAATGGATGGGTGCAAAAAGAAAGGGAGATATGGGAGAAGGCTTGGTGTTATATAGGACGGTCTGGAAGTGTCTAATTAATGCGATCCATGTCTGTGATATCTCCCACAAAGCATGTCTTGGGAGGAAATTCCCATGTCCTCGACCGGAATTCCCCGTCACCACGGTAGTTAAGAATGAGATCGTCAACGCAACGCAGGCAAGTGGAACCGTCCCCAGTTAAAACACGGCAGAAGGAGCAACTCAGCTGCCCAAACCCCGGGACGGGAGCTCCGCACCGCTACTGTGCGCGAACGCTGCAGACCAGGGGAAGTTAAAAAACTGGTGGACGGTTGATAAAAAACGTCGAACCTTATTTGGTGGTGAAGCGTGCTAGCGAGTCCGGCTTATTTAAGGAACCCTGCTTGGTGGTGTCTTGGATGATTTTCGCTAGAGCTTGTACTGCATCAATAGCGCTGGTAAGCCCGCAGCTGTCTGTCCCCGGGAAGATGCCGTCTGTGCGATAGCTGAATCTCAAGACTCAAAGATGGGGATTGTTGCAAGACTTGACCCAGAAAGAGAAACAGCTAAAACTCAACTTACGATGGGGTTGTCTGGACCGTTGGCTATGCAACCGCTGTCGGTTAACTATGTAACGTTTGATTCTCGCCTTTTAACTTGACATGGCAATACTGGTGCGCTTTTGTGTGTGTCTAAACTGAGACACAAGGCCTGTCTTTCAAGAAGCAGGGCCTCATATTGACCGTGCATGCATTAATTGCTCAAACGTAATTCTGCAATATGCCAAGCACCGACCATTTTCAACAGGCAAAAAGCGAACTAACCCAAGATCTGCACATCGTCCCGTACCGCACAATGGGTGACAGACCTCCCTCCCCCACACGATTCTCAAGTTCGACTTCAGCCCAACAGCTTCACACTAACCAGCTGGAGTCTTCAGCTCAAGCCTGTCACATTCTTTGTGAAATGAGTGTCTCATTACCCTACACATGAACCAGTTGTTCCTTGGCCATTGCCACAGCCTATGTTCAGCCACAAATGTCATTTTGGCTTTCCACAGCAATTGAGTTCCACCGTTTGATCCGACCAACGATCCAACCAGTTGGTGCTCTACCCAATTCAAGAAATCACCTTTCCCAGCTCAATATCTCAGCAATCGAATAGCAAACCACATGTATAAAATAAATAATGCTTATATGAATGGTATATCTGTACCTAATGAATCCAACGATGCAGTCCATGCTATTCCCATGTCCCAAAACACCTCCCAAACAATGCTGCTCCATAATGCTTCTGCTCCATAATGCTTCTGCTCCATAATGCTTCTGCTCCATAATGCTTCTGCTCCATAATGCTTCTGCTACTGTAAATAATTATGTCGTGAATAATCTCCCTCTATGACCAATTCTCTCCTCTACTGCCCACGCTCCCCTTTGCTGTGGACTGTCTATTCGACTCCTAATCCCAGAGCATCCAGCCTACTCTTGCTTCTTGCCGACGATCAGGCTCGTCTGCCTTATCTGGGCTATGTGAAAACTGGGGAACATCGTATGGATCTGGGTCGCTTGCATCTGTATCATCTTGATGGTCGCTCGAATGGAACGCTTCACTTGTTTCTGCTTCCTCTGTTGCAGAGGTAACGTTGCCTAGTGGTATAGCCTCTGGCGTCGCTCGTCCCGACCCTTCGGAGACTGCCTGTGACTCGCTACCCTGTGGACTCTTCAACGGCGGAGTAATTGGCTTCGAAAAATTAAATGTTGGGGTCGCTTCTTCAGTGTCAACGACGGCCGAGAGAGCAGCTCGGGTGTGGATGTGAATCTGAGACCGCGCTGCTCGCTTGAGACGAGGTTTGCGCTGTGCGACTGGAGATCCAGCGCGGCGGCGAGACTCCATCTCTACGCGCTCTTCTTGCTCAGTCTCGTCATCTGTAATGGTGTTCGTATCGAGTAGCAGCCATTGTCTGGGTGCGACGTGCAGACTGCTCACGGACTTGCGACGATGCCGCTTTTGGTTCTTTGCCTCAATTGGCGACTCAACCACTGTCTGCCCATGATTGACTCTGACTGGCAATTTCAGTGGAATATTACCAGCAGTGACATTCAATCGTCGAAGATCCCGTTGGCTTTCTGAAAAGACCACTCGAGCTCGAAGTCTATGCACAGCTCGATCCAAGGCCAGCTCAATGGCGCATCGGTCTCGCACTCGGCTTAGTTTGGGCCATGTAGCCCGCTCACCCATGAGACATGCTCGCATCATGAACTCGGGACTGGGATTTCGCAGTAAGCGAGGCAGGTCATTTATTCCCATGTCGGGGAGGATGTTGATGTCGCCAGAATATTTCTGGCTGAGTACACTCTGGAATTTGGTAGCAAGATTCGGCATGATACCAAGCTCGGCCAGAAAATGGAGACGGTGTAAAGCCTCATCGCGTGCAAGCGATGTCATCGTGTACAGCCAGTCATACCCCTCGGCGTTTGTCTGTTGACTAAGTTCAGGCTTCCGGAAGGGCGATAAGTGGTCGTCTTTCGAAAGAAAGGGCACGACGTGGGGGTTCACTTGAGAAACGATGAAATGATTGACGTTGAACATCTCCGACAACCGTGTCATCGGCAAGTCATTGTCCACGGACCCGTCAATCCATCGCTGAGGTGTTGGGTTCCATGGTAAATGCTCACCGGTGATCGGATCTTTGACAAGCAATGGCGCAGCATTAAAGACAAGAGGAACAGAGCATGAAGCTGCGACCGCAGACCAGATCATGACATTTGGGGCAGTGACGTAGTTGAGTAGACGTGGTAACTCGTACATAGACGCTGTTGAAACGCAGATATTGAGAATGCGGCGCGTCCTGTTGTAAGCTTCTTGAAATGTCATGTCTCCCATCAATCCCCTCATGACCCGAGTGAGATGTTTAATGTCAGACCAACTTCCCTCCGTCAACAGCCGGCGCAAGTTACTCCAAACACCATCTTGCCCACTGGGGTCCTCAAACACCGCAAGATCTCCATAGGGAAACTCTTCAATAAGTGTTGGTATCTCTTCGTCGGTTCGTGTGCACATGGCGGCGCAAACAATACTGCCTGCGCTCGCGCCCGAAATGATTCTTGGCAGCAATTTCGCTTCGAAAAGAGCCTTCAGCACACCGATATGGGACATGCCAAAGGTTCCACCGCCAGACAGGAGCAAGGCGCTTCGGCCGTAGCTTTGTCTCGCAAACAGAATCCCATCGAGCAGGTCCCTGTTCTCAATGCTCTGGTCTATCCTGCTTTGGGTAACCACAGCATCAATGGTTTTTACAGTAGACTCAACGTATCGTTCGATTAGGTGTTTTGTTCCGGAATATGAATGTCGGTAGAGGTCGACATTATCCATACCGCCGAGGTCGCGAGACAAGGCGGTGCGAATCAAATGCATCATTGTATGGACGTCGCATTTCGTCCGGGCTTCATCGAGGGCTTCGAGTCTTTCTTGGATCAGTTCCGGGTTGTAGTCGCCTGAAGACGAATCGCGCTTCCATTCATCGTTGCCTTCGAGGCTATCGAGCTCTTTCGCAGCGGACTCCCAGTTCGCGTGAGATTCGGCCTGGCCGGTCAGTCAGGAACAGGAACATAGCATTATCAGACAGGCAACCTACATTTTGCATGCGCGAGCATAGCGTCCGCTTCCTCTCTTCCAACTGTTGTATCTTTAGGCGCTGGTCTTCTGTTAAGCCATCTTTACACCACTGCCATGTATCGTTGGCTTGTTTAATGGCCTTTTGTAGAGTATTGACGACAGGAACCGAGGACGCTGGCGGTCGTTTCGCTTTCGTATTGGATTTGACCGGCGATTTCGAAGATTTGCTATACAGAGCAGGGCCCGCGCGAGCTGGGAGGATCAGATCGGCCATGGTGAATGGCTACGCGGGCAAAGCGCAGGTTCAGAGGTAGTTTGCGAGGCGGTTGAAACGGGAGAACGAATTATTGCATGGCAGGGACTGGAACAGATTCGTATACGGTATGTAGATTCGAGATAAATGGTGCGGCTGAGGGCGCAAGGAGGCGTAGGCTTGGTTATTATTCGAATAGTCAAGTCCAGGGATCAAGGTCACAGGTCGGGAGACATTCGTAGGTGTGCGATCGCGGAAGTGGTGGGGAGCTGAAAGGAGGGGGCACTGAGACAGACGGGACGACCCAAGGCAGGAAGAGATCGGGATTGGATGAAGGAAAGGGCGAGGTTGATCTTGAGGTGGTGATAATTGATATCGCAAGAATGATGAGATTATTGTATTTTCGGTTTTAGAGTTGAGAGAGGAATTGTTTGAGTTTGGGAACGAAGCCCAAATGACATCGAATCCACTTCCACTTTCCGAGCTGCCATCCCCACCAGAATTAACGTGGGGAAACAGGGTACAGCTAACCACTAAATGCCCTGTAAATGCTGTCAATCACTGGGGGTATTCACCGACAAGATTATTCTCGGACCCAACAAAACAACATATATCGGGTCTTTTGCTCGTGAAAACACTCAAACATCTGACCTCTTTTTTCTTCCAGCCTCGAAATCTCAGCAGCGCATCCCATTTCAGGACATCCTCACCGCCAAATGGAGGGTCGGTACCCAATCACGACGCTAAGTACAGCAGCCCTTACAGCGGCACGTGGTGCAATGTTACCAGCGCTGGCTGTTGATGCGTCATGAATCGGGTTTGGGGCCATTCACATGCCAATATGCTTCTGCGTTGTTATTGGGCTCTCCACGTTTGGAAAGGAGCCGATGTTCGGCAGCTGATCATGGCCAGAAGTCTGGGGAATATTTGCGGGGGTGAGAATTTAGCCATGATATGATTGATGACTGAGGATTGTCCAGGTGAAAGTCGAGGAAGATGATGGAATGGGGGGGGATGCACGGCACGGTGAAGTGCATTGCATCACGGTTCCTCATGCACTCTCCCGTGCAGAATTCCGCGCTCCGAGCCCCCGTCTCAAAACATCTTGTTGTCTTCTCTCAGCTGAGATCCGAACCTGAAGGTTGAGACACGGGCTGACACGGCCGTCTTGGAGTGGTTGACACAGAGTCACCTGCCCACAGCCTCCGAGGTTCCCTGCCTGCCTGCACCCAAGAAGTGATCTTCAGAAAACGATCGAGATTTCTCTGGTGCAGATCTTCCCAAGGCAGCCGAAGCACTGACGAAAACTGCATGCAGGGGGTAAAATAAATGTTCCGCGCCGCTGGTCGTAGCAGAAACACCCCGCCGGAATGGTGGTTGGATTTACAGGGCGGATATCTGTGGCTACCACTGGTTTAGCAGGTTCTAGCTCGCGATCGAAGCTTGGAGTCTAGACTCAATGATTTGCACTCTAACCTTATTGGAGCTGTTGGTGACGTTTATTTGGTGCAAGAGCTGCAACAGGTTGTATCGTATCCGGCCTTTTGTTATTTTCTGTTGTGCTCTGTACGCGTTATGCATATCGGCCAGTGGTGTTTGTGTCACCAGCCACACGCAGCTTACACGAAGCTTCAATTCGTCCCTCAACAGTTGGAGCTCTTCATCTTGACGTCTGCTACAGCTTCAGTGGCATGATCTTGTACAATAACATAGCAATGGAATAGCTTACCATGCAATTACTTTAAATAACTCCAAACTCAAGTATCAGTAAAGTTCCATCACCGCATAACGCGTGCATTCTCAAAACTTCACCTCTTGGTGCAACACAAAATTACGTATTGGTGACGCCGCCCACGCACGATAATCGCACAATCCTCCCCTTTTGCTTCACGTTCCCCCGCATCCAATACCTGCTTTTGTTCTTCCCCTTCCGCGACAAAACTTCCGCCCCCGTCGACATGTCATTGATGACGTTGTGTTAGCTTGTTTTGTTTTCAATTGTGTTTCTGAAGCTTACCCCGAACGCCTCACGCCTCAGGCCACAGGCGACGAATGCGGCGTAAGCTCTCGCCTCAATCGCCTTCTTATAAGCTCCCCGCCCCAGCTCTTTACTTCTGCTCTCTTAGCTTCCCGTTCTACTACCTACTCTTGAAGATCGTTCATCAGATACTTTGAATAGCTTCAATTCATTCCACAATGGAGGCTTACAAGACTCACGGAGGCGTTTCGCCCATCCCCACTGTTGTTCGTATGTACTGCACTGATTGCCTGTCTTGATATGCATCACTAACATACACAGCTGAGCCGACTCACTACCAGACCATCGGCCACAATGGCGTCCGCGCTCTGTGGGTTCTCTTCGTCGCCATGACCGTTGTCTCGGCACTCTTCGCCGTTCTGTCATGGAACGTCGCTGTGCAGCGCCGCGTGTTCTACTTCCTGAGCACCCTCACCACAATCATCTCCGCCCTGGCCTACTTCGCCATGGCATCTGGCCAGACCTCTTACTACAACTGCGCCAGCGTGCGAGACCACCACAAGCACATCCCCGACACCCACCACGATGTCTGTCGCCAGGTCTTCTGGGCTCGCTATGTCGACTGGGCGCTCTCCACGCCTATTCTCGTTCTCGAGCTGTGCTTGTTGGCTGGTGTTGATGGTGCCCACACCATCATGGCCATTATCGCCAATGTCATCTTCGTTCTTGCCGGTGCTTTCTCTGCTGTTGGCCACGCCAACACTGCTCAGAAGTGGGGTTGGTACGCGATCAGTCTTGTCGCCTTTGTCTTCACCGTCTGGCACGTCGCTGTCCCTGGATCTCGAACCTCCCGAGCTCGCGGCACTGGAATTGCCCGTCTCTTTGGCTCCGTTTCCATTGCTGCTCTGATCCTCTGGGTTGTCTACATTGCGTAAGTTTTTCTTCTCACAAGCCAATTGATTTGATACTAATAATTTATAGCGTCTGGGGTGCTGCCGGTGGCGCCTGGAAGGTCAAGGTCGGCACTGAGGTCGTCATCTACGCTGTCCTCGATGTCCTCACCAAGGCTGTTCTCGGTCTCTGGATCATCACCGCTACCCGCAAAAACCGCGACACCACTCCCGACATTGGTGGCTACTGGGCCAATGGAGCTGGTGCCGAGGGTACCATCCGCGTCGGCGACGATGATGAGGGTGCTTAAACGTACTTGGAAAATTGCCAATCGAGTCCACGGATCATTCTGCCTCGGACCAGGATTTTTGACATCCAACCCCCACAAATTATGCCCTTCACCGTAAATGGTGTTAGTCAAACCGAGCCAGTCGGTTTATGGAATGATCGAGATTGAATGCTTTGGAATGCGCTGGAACACGCGCACCTTGATGAAAATGGGCGTTGTGGGCGTCAGCATGAGACATGTATGGTTATGATTCAAATTTAGCATTAATACGATGGAACACGAACACAGGACAAGTAATACCAGCTCGCGTGACAAAATACCACTTTCAGTGACTTGTATAAAATTCACGCATTACAGCGGACCAGGCCACTTAATGCAGGTCGCTACTTTCTACGTTCAGGTAATCTCCCTTTCGATAATACCTCTGATAAAGAGCTACGTTATGTGTAAGGTATGCATCGTCCCATCAAACCTAGGATCGATCGTAGAAAATTGTCCCGAAAGTGGACCCAAAGGTTGCAGAGCCGCGAACTCCACAACGCCTGCAACCTGTATAACGTCCATCTCCAATTATACCTCCACATCGACGACCCAATTGCCTTTTTCGTTACCGAAGACACTGAAGGGGATACCCAAATGTCGTCACTCTTCTGCCTTCTGCATGAACGTTTGATGGCAGTTGACAAACTGACCAATTGTTGCCAGGGAAAATCCGTTGTACGGGCAAATGCAAAACAATAAACTAGCCGAGAGATCCTCTCTCTGTCGTATTCATTATTGTGATGCGCCACCCTGGTAGTTCTAGAAAGAGGTTTGTAGAGGTGGTATAGAGACCTCAAGTTACGCGGATACAGCCTCCAGCCACATCCATTGCTACGAGATATGTATTTATAACATAATCTGAATCCTTGGCTTCATGCTGGATACCATGGCGGGATCTGAGGTTGTAAGATGGGAAACACCCCCAAAATATTCACCATCCATGGTTGAGAGCTCGGGAAACTAAATCACCGCGTATATTAAAAGCTTCTAGTGTCCGGTTAACACACCCACTCATAATTTGCTTGCTTAGGTAGTGTCTTTGATCAATCTGTAGCTATCTGCCTTATTGAACCAGTCCTTCTTAAAGTAGAAAACAAGCGGGTAAAACTTCAAACCAGCCTTGACCTAAAATCTTGCATTTATCCCTTCTTGTCCTTCAGTATTCATGAATATTGATTAGAAGCACATATCAACCAGTGCCCGTAGCACTGCCGATGTTTGTAGCATTGGTAGAATGCTCTTCGCTTTTGTCAGCCGCCTTGTTGGCCTCCTTGTAGTTACCAGACGAAGCTGCGGCATCGGCTTCGTTACTTTTATCCATCGCGTTGTTCTCTTCCTCCCGCTTGACGACATCCAACCCCTTGAGCGTTGCCTCTGACATAGTGACAAGGTTTGGTAGGACTCTTAAGCCTTCAGCTCTGGCTTTGCGCGTGTGATAAAAGGGGTGCTCTTACTGTGGCGATAGATCTGAAACTATTTATCAAGTGGTGGAGTAGTCCGACGTGGTTAAAGGCTTCTCCTGATATAGTGGTATTTGGAGGGGGTAATTAGTAGATGCAGAAATAAAAGATCATGGTCTCCCAGTTTAGGACGAACGAGTCCCTATATAGTACCTAGATAAGCCAAGTTTGTCACATGTGTCTGTGAACGCTTGGTGTAGCATGTCCGTGAACAGTGCTATGCTAACCGTCCAATAGTTTATAAAGTGCAACACTCCAATATGCCCTCCCCATGCATGTAAGAAAAAACCAGTGTTAGCTGCCTAATCAAACTCCAGAACGCGCAGCCTAATCACATTCGCTTTCATATGAATTCATGCGGAGGCATCCATCTTAGTAACTTGATTGTAATTTGATGCTACCGCATTATCATGATTGGTTTGTAATTTGGTGATGTCTGTTCAGCTTCTGTACTGTGCATGGCTAGTGCAACGGCTATCAAAACAAAGTATCATAGGAAGACAACCTGCAGGCTCAGCAAACAACACACCTTGCCTTTGAGCCTTTCCTGAGTATCCCTACTGATCCAGGCAAGTGGGACTTCGACCTCGTTCCTGCGAGTTACGACCCTTGCCATGGCTAAGAAGACCAATACGATACCTCCTACCAAGAATTTGATAGTCAGCAGTAGATAGGCGCGCTTTGTGACTAAAACAACGACTTCCAGATCTATGCTGATACATAACTTCTCTACGAACATATGGCTTGCAGTATTCGAAATTTGTAGGATATTCGTCTGTTGTCTAACGATCGTCTTGGTCAATGACAAAGCCAAGTCTCGGAACCAGCTGGAAGTGCCGATCTCTCGTGTGTAAGATACTGTTCATTCTTATCTCAAGTGTACTCTCATATGCGATCTGCTAGGTAGTCACGACGGCGAGGGCAATGAAGAGCCCCATAGCGTAGACCTCCTCTCCTACTAGAATACTGTAAATTTGAGAAGGCAGGTTCATCCTACCATCATGAGCATATGTCACAGGCAAGCGGAACAGTTACCTAACGAGCACCTGCCTCTGCCCCCATTCCTTTGGTGCGCTTGCTCGCCATATATGGTTTCCTCCATCACACTCAGTAAACCTTTTCTTCTTCTTTTCTCGCCATCTTCTGACATACAGATATCACATCAACATCGATAAACCCCAGGAAACTTAACAGATAATTTGGGTATGCCCACCAAATCACCATCCATTCCGTTTGTTGACACATACAGCACTTTTTATGCAGCAGGTTCCACACGTCGCAGAATCCAAGTCAAGCACCCTTGTAAAGCCATCATGGACAATCAACCGCAAAATGATGCGAACAGGATCACAAACCGGGTCCAAGACCGAGGCAGAACCTTGGCGAGACACCCTCATTACTATCTGGGAATGCAGCCAGGACTACCTAGAGATGCTGGCAACGACAATCAGCATACTCCTAACAACCCCTCTGGTCCCGATCGACGCCACGGCACCGGTGACCATCCTGGCCCAATTCCATACCCTGACCCAGTCCAAATCGACACATCCCAGGAGTTCATTACATCACCTTTCCCGCCGTTGACATATCGCAAATTCACGGTCCATAAAACAATTTCAAGCGCCGAGTGGGTTTCAGCAAACACAGATATTATCTATGAAATGAGACAGCGCGATCGCCAAGATGTAGCCTTCCGAGAGAGAGTCAGACATCGCATCTCACCCGATCTATGGCCAATCATCCCACTGGTAGTTCGGCCTTTTGCATACGAGTGGCTCACTGAATCTCAACGGGCCACCCTGGGTATGCCTCCTCCCGGGTTTCAAACACAGATAACCATTGTCGAAGAACATGAGATACCTCCACACCCTAATGAGGCATGTTACCGCGCCCTTGAGAGGGAAATCAGCAACTTACCCAAACATTGTGCTTACTTAGCCGCGTTGATGAAGTTTGAACTTAACGATATGTTCACTCGTCATCTGCATTGGATAAGGAGGCTCAAGAACGCTCAGAAGTGGCTTAACCAGCAAATAGACCAGACACGCCAGAGCACGCTTGCGACGTGGATTAATTCGTGGACTGGCCGAGATGATGGCATGCGCCCTCCACTCTAGCCCGCTAACGGACTGATAAGTTGGAGAAATACTCAAAATTGATTTGAGACAAACCCAAGGCATAGGGGGGGGGATGAGTAAAAGTTTTCGAGGTATCTTCTAGCGTCGTATCACAAACAGAAGACACAGCGAGTATATAAACATCAGCGGAAGCCATTCTTATTGCTGGTTTTCAATCCCTAGTACTGTATCTTGATCTCAATTTCCATCGCACTACAATCGTCCTAGCTAGTCCTACCAGTTAACACGCTTATCCCGGAATAAGGAAACCATGGCAATAGGCAGTAACTCAGTGTTCACGATGTTCAGTCTTCCGAAGCGATCCACAATCTCAGGACCATAGAAAGTCGTCACCCATGTCCAGTAAGCATCCATGTTGGTCCACCAACCAGTAATACCCTTGAGCATCGGTTCCTTGCGCAGCTGCTCCATAGCAGATGATATCTTACCGTCGCCCTGCTCCACCTTGATCTCACTGGGTCTCTTCATCAGCTTGCGAAATATGCGGTGTAGTCTGTTTGAGCCGCTGAAATTTGAGAAGAAGAAAGCTTCTCGGTAGCGTGTGAATTCTTCGAAGGACATGAAATTGTCTTTCTCATGCTGCGAATCGGGTGTCCATTCGGGGTCATCGAGCCTATACCTTTCCGTTCTAGTTTTGCCGCTGAGGAAACACTCTTTGTATGAATCGTATGCGCTACGCTCGGCTTCTTCGAAGTCGACCATCAGCTTGGGGGGAGACTCGACGACTTGATCGTGAATCTGGAGAAGTGATATGAACGGCGATTTCAAGTCGAGACCGCCTAGCTCCATGGGGAAGTAGAGGTAGCCGTCAGGAATATCATCGACACCAAATCGTTGACCAAGGGCTCTCTTTAGATACTCGGCCACGCTTGTAACTTCGCCCTCGGAGAGTTTGGTGAACACCTGTTGTTCAATCTTCTTGTGCGTCGCCAACATGTTATCGACATGCTCGCGACCGAAGCAGTGTGCTGCTTTGCCAAAGTTGGACGTGAAGAAGGTTGCAGCATAAGTGTTCCATGCTTGGATGAATCCGAGAATACTTTTACGCTTGTCGACAAGCTGCTTGTGGAGCTCGTTGATGTGAGAGTCTACCATGTTTTGATCGATCTCAAATCGACCTGATTTTGGTGACAGGCTGAGGAATCCCCAGCGTATTTCACCCTTGGGGAGTGATTCATCGATAGGGAGAGTCACATTGCTATCTTTGGAGATTCGGATGGAGCCTGTTTTGTAGGGATTGACTTCAACGCCAGTGACACTGGTGAACTTGTCGACCGTCTCCCAAGCCTTGACTGCAACCGAGTGGTCATGGGACCAGAACCAGAAGTTGTCCTGAATCCTCCACAGGTTGCTCGAAGTAGACTGGTTGACAGAAAAGTCGAGGCAGAAGAGAGTTATCTCACCAAAGACATCGCTTAGAACGTGACACGCCGGGGTCCCTCTGCGGCGCTTGCGTGCAGTAGAGTCATCGTCGTCAACGAACTTGAGGGGAGCCTCAAGGAACTTCTTGAAGAAGCCGAGCCAAGTATCAGAGACGCCAAGATATTTGAGAATTGTCAAGACAGTGTCGTGTGGCAGCTTTGGGTTCCATTCCTCGAATACGGAATGGAAAGCCGTTGTCTCGCCATAGAGATAAGTATTGATGGTGATCTCGGTCGAGAGGAGGTGGAGCAATGTCTGTTTGAGTGCCATTGGACTGCGATCATTATCTCCCTCATCATCGTTGTCGTCTTCATCGTAATCATCATCCTCGTCATCGACTTCAGCCTCCACATCTATTTTTCGATGTCTCATCGCGCCTCCTCTGCCAAGACCCTGGGGGGCCATCCGTCGTGCTGACATAGCCATCTGCGCCATAGGTGTCTGCTTAGCTCGTGGACGCCTCTTTTTGGAGGAAACAACAGATTCGTACTCTGCTTCCTCTTCGCCATCGGCAGCCCCAGAAACTTCATGCTCGTAGTTCATAAGCTGAGCCATGAAGTATCTCTCCTCGTTGACCTTGGCCCGCTCGGTCTGTAAAGAGGGCGAAGTCTCATGGAATCCCAGATAGTAACCAAGACGTCTTTTATCCTCTAGAGGGATGTTTTGTCCCGCAGCCTTCCAGGCTCCGGAGTCCCGGAAGGCTTTGAAAGCCTGTTTGAGTACGACACTCCATTTGACACCAATGTACTGCAGGAATATTGCCTGAAGAAGGTCCTCGTGCATATGGATGTTGTAGATTCCCGAGATCTTTCTCTGCATTGATACATCTACTGGGGACTCCGAGTTCCAAGTCCAAGAGTCCAAGGCATTGATGCGCATGTTGAGGACGTCAGCGATCTCTTTGAGGATCATATCATTGCTCTCGAAGTCCTTGAGTACTTCCCTCTTCTCATTGGACAGGAGGTCGGATGAGTGAAGGCCTGGAATGATCCACTTCAGTGATGCCACAGTGAACTGATCAGGCGTTGAGATACGCCCTTCATGGGATGAGATGGAGTTGCGGAGACGTTGGAGTGAGTTGGTGATGGTCTTTTTGTCCTTCTCGCCAGTGCCAAAAAGAGCATCCAGGTATCGCTTTATAGCCACAGTGTCCACGCTGGCTGGTTCAAAGACGGTGTTCTCCCAATCGATCTTGGACTGAAGCTTGGCTTGCTCTCCAACATCCTCAAACGCCCCACCCATCTCGACGTCTGCTTCCGGGTCTTTCTCCTTATCGCCAGCCAGCCACTCAGTCACTAGCTCTCCGTATAGCCAGGCGTACTGGTACTGAAGAGCCTGCATATCTAGCTGACGAGTAAGGGACTCCTCCCATGCAGCCAACATCTTGGACGACACGGAGGGGTCAGTCTTGGCTTGATCGAGGAATCGGTCAAGGTTCTTGAGCTCAACTTCTAGATGCTTGAACTTGGTACGTCCGAGAATGACTTTGTTGTCTTTGTCGAGCTTGATGGCGAAGCAATCCTTGACGCCATTGCTCAGGGTGATGAGACGCTTGACAGCATCCTTCTCTTCATCGATGGAGGAAAGGATTGATGATTTTGCTTCCTCAAAGCGAGATCGTCGTTTAGAGAGTTCTTGGAGCTTGGTATTGGTGATCTCTTGTAGGGTCTCGGAAAAGACACTGCCGGAGGCCGCCATGGTGTAAGTAAGTTGAGGCTTGGGGGCAGTAGGCTGAGTCTGTTGTTGGGATGGTTTCTTTGAGAGTCTGTATCGGGCCTCGACGGATGAAAGGCGGACCTTGGATTTGATGAGATGATGGAATGGAGATGAGCAAGAAGAGGGGGAAGTGGTCGAAGGAGGAGGTAGGGTGTGGTATATATAGGTAGCAGAAGGATGTAGTGTCCTCAGGCCACAAGTTCCTGCATGCTGCATGAGCCAATCGCTTTCGAGCGAAAGATGCAGTCACAATTCGCGAGTTGTGTGATGGACCAAATGCCCAAAGCTACGTAATAGCCCTCTTCTCTCACTCGTTTCGACCCATGCGGTGTGCGGACAGTCGTTGAGTGCGCATTGTGAGGTCCTTGGTTGTTGATGGAGCGTGTAAGTGAACAAGTTGAACCTAAGAAACTTGGTTGGCTCACGGCTGACTGATGCTCAGTGATGATTTGATTCGCCAACTAACACGATGAGGTGGGTCAATTTAGGCTGCACTCCTCCTGTTACATCACCTCAATCCTCGTACTACAAAACTCTTTCACATGCTGAGTATCGCAAAGTAGTGTTTTATTCAGAAATTCGATCTTATAAAAACAACAGCTCTTTTGAACTGTACGGCTGGCTGTCATGTTTTACTGCCTGTTTCATGGGTTGTAAGTCCAATCGAGTCAACGCCGGGGTCTGCACTCTCAGTCCTGTAAGCAAATTCCTTCTTTGATTTAGAGATGGAGCGAGAGAGGCTTGGGGACAAGAAGGAAAGTTCATTATAGGAGTCTGGTTTACGGTCTTACACTTCGTGTGTCAAGATCTATCTACTCCCTCAACTATTGTTCCGGTTTTGGTGAACTATGGCAATGCGTCTCAACTGTATGCAAGACCATTTTCCGTACATACACTTTATGAGAGGACGTAGAAAAGTTTTGCTCGGTTTAAGAACCTGGTTTGATTTGGCTGCAAAGCAAGGACCACCCCTGATAAATGTTTATCGATGATAGAGTCATTCATGGCATTTGTCAATCCCTTTCAGTTCTGTGCACACACAGAACCAGGTGATATTGTTAGTTCCAGATATTAATATCTACGGAGGAAGAAACTAGATGTCCAAAAGACTAGCACGTACAAGTTATCCAAGCTTTCCTTATCTTTAACTTTGATCGGATTCCCCCGCTGTAACAATCCAATGCCTCAGCCCTTTGGGATCTTGTTAGATTATACTAAGATCTCTCTTCAGGTCCTCGGCCCACCGCATCATCATTTGTTCAGGTTCTATCATTTTTTTATCCTCATCCACTTCCTCCTCATACCAAAGAGAAACGCCAAGGTCTTCTAGAACCGTTTGATCAGGATTCCAAGTGGCTGCCAGCTCTTCCTTGATCGCACGAATCCGGGATGGCCAAACCTTGTTCCAGAATTCTAGGATGCGTTGGCAATTGACTTTGTCCTGGTTCACAGATTTATTTTCGCCGTTTGCAAAAGCATCCGAGGTTCCATGATCAACAATTTTGTCTTCTCTGCGAACGAAGTCTTGGAACTCCATCACTACAACGTCGAGATATCTTGCTGTTTCGAAGTCCTCTTCCTCATGGTCATCTTCACAACTAGGATGGGTGTATGAATGCGGTCTATCTGTACACGTATGAATCATGTCCAAGGCTTCGAAGGTTGCTTGTCGTATCATGATGATGTACCGGTTCAGATCTAGGGCCCCGCTTTGATCTTCAAATAACAATGACAAAAGGAAGTAACTTGGTTTGTTCCGTGAAACACAACGCGTCAACCACTTTATGGCTAAGTCGAATGGTGTGCAACCTTCTGGCGAGCACTTACAAGTGCAACTGTCTACAATTTCAACTTTTGGGAGTTTATTACTGATAAGTTTCAGCAAATCAACTTGTTCAAAAAGCTTACTCTCGTAGATAGTGCATCCAATGATGTCGGCCAATACATAATCTGGTCCCTCAAGCGCGTAATGGTGGCACATGAACTCCCAAAAGTTAGGGCAATGTTCAATCAACCAGAGTGAGTATTCCGGTGACGGATAGTGGGAAAAGCGCTCGGCTCGTCGGTTTGTCCAGTCATTATGAGGTGGCCAGACTCCAGATGAAAGATCAATATCGCGAAAGCCTAAGGTCCAAAAGATGGAGGCGTCTTCTGGTTCTTCCAAGTTCGAATACACACTGGCATAGAAGGGTGTCTCCATCCGTATACGGCTTTCACTGCTAGGCCCAGTAGCAGATAATCGTCCAAAGGTTAGGAAACCCTTTCGGCGCAATTCCGAGTCCAACTCCATAGCGTGATAATCGAGCTCTGCTTCCGACGAGTAGAGACAGCTATACTCCGAAGGGTGTAAATTCTCTTCCGCCACTTGTCTCAATTCTCGGCGACGTATTCGTAGCTCCTTAGCTACCAGAAACTTGCAGTGCGTTGAAGCTTTGGAGAAGAAGTTTTTCTCCCTTGCAAAGCCACCCCAGAAGTCACGGCTAGGAATGATCGGGCAATCCGCTTCCAATAGAATCTTAACTGCCGCAACGCATGGGCAAAGAGACTCATCAGCACCACCCTGCGTCTCGCAAATCGCGTTGCTGATCCTTATTGCTTTCCCCATAGGAGTAATCTGATCCCATATGTTCACGTTCTGCTGAACCAATTGTGCTGGAGTTGCTCGCCTGGCGATAACCTTCAAGACTTCTGGTCTGTCCACAGCCAAACCGCAATTGGTTTGACCATCGATATTCAATTCTCCAAGAATCTCCGGATATATCTGAAGGAGTTGATTTACTACAATTGCGTCGTTTCGGATTATAGCTACGCCCAAAGGCCCAAACAGTGCTGTCAGAGATTTTAGTGAATGTAAAGCGCCACGCACAGATATCGAGTATAAGATCGCACACCTTCTATGATCTGTGGGGTTTCTTGTTCATAAATAGCGAAGTCGTTCTGAACCATGTAATCAACCCTAGGAAATACGATAGACTCCCTATAGTAGGGCGTGTCTGCGTTATCGACCAGCAGTACCCTAACGATTGATGCTGGAATTAAACGGGTCTCAAAAGCTTCATATAAAGGTAGGCTAGAACTTATATCAACCCAGTTCACGAATGTCCATTCAACGTACTTACAGCTTAGAAGAGTTTACAGTATTCACAGGGACCCCTATGGTGGTCAGAAACTCAACCAATGCTTGGAGACCAGGAGTAAAAAGGTTATTGGGAGTTGATTCGGGACCTAGACTTCCGATCTATAGTTATAAGCTGCTTCTCTTTTCTTTCGCTACAAGTTCAAGACTCACATAACCAACCACTTCCATCAAGGCATGAAGCAGCGTATTGCCGTCTTCATCAACATCGGTAGGCCTCGTCCTTCCAGAGCGAAAGATCTCCTGTAATTTCCGAACTGCTTCCCGAAGGAAAGATTCTTGGTATACTTCATTTAATCGACACAGGTAGACCTTCCCGAGGATATTGATAACTTGAAAAGCCGGGGCTATCATTCTATCAACCACGGTAAAGGAAGTGATTGAGGGGCTGATACCAAAGGCTCCTGCTCCTCTATTTGTACGGAGGGTTATCTCAATGGCTCTGTTTATCAGTCTATTGAAGCCATTAAATGTTATTGTCAGAGTTCTCGAGTATTCTGCATTATCCAAATTGAAGTCGCAACTCTTGTAGTGTCGAATGTTGGAAACCACATCGTCTTTAAGATATAGAGGTCCAAGCTTGACCGATCGGTGGGCACGGAGCCGCCTTGCTCGACATTGACAGGCCGAGACTGAACCTGCTACTGCGGCAAGAGCACTTGGCTTGGATACCAATTTGTAGATCGCGGGATCGTGGTTGCGTTCGTCAATACGTAGTTTTGATAGTAACTCGTTTGTCTGAGCACTGCGTCGAGAAACCGCTGCGGACTCTGCCGCTTGAAAGGATAGCTTGATCTCCTCCATTTGTGTTCTTAACTGCGCCTGTATCATCAAATTTATCTGTGGGACTAGCGCATCGACTGAGTTCTGAAGGACAGGAAACTGTGACTGGATGTTCGAAATGGGGGAGTTCAAGCTGACAATGGCAGTCGAGATATTGGAGACCTCGTTGTTTGTTTGCTGTATCCTCGTCGTATTTCGATCCAAGTGTTCAGAGGTTGATTGCTGCATTTCTCTGCTCACGGGTCAGCTTAGTGAGTGACATAAGTCAAAGACTTACAATTGTAGGTTCTGTATTGCTAGATTCAGCGGGGTGCAGAGATTATCTAATGTACTCCCCAGTTGCTTGAGTTGAGATTGCTGCAGGGGGTAGCTCAATTTGCGGTAACCATCTTTCAATTTGTCTTTGGATTTTGGGTCAGACGTGACGGGGGACGAAAGTTTCTGTTGAAGTTCTCTTAACTCCTTCAACCCATCCTCACAGCTTCTCAAGCAGTGCAAGGCATGGTCTACTACTTGAGAAATTGCTGGGTTCAATTGGCTCCGCTTCAAGAGAGCATCAAGCAGTTGGAAGCTGCCCTCCAGGGACTCGGCCTGGCGAGCCACGCGAGCAAGAGCGTCATCGCGGTCTTTAATACTACCGAGGTAGCTCACTAGCCCAGAACACGTTTTGAGGCCGATTGGAATGATGGCAAGCGCTAGCTCGGCCATCTTGGCAAAGTATCGGCGGGGGAGAATACGAGCACTACCTTATGTCGAAGGAGAGAGACGAAATGGTCAGAGGAGAGGAGAACATAAAGCGAAAAGAATATGTGGGAAGTACAAAAGCAAACCAGGCTACCAGTAATATCCCACCACGTTCACTTCGCACATTCACCATAGCCACAATTACAGTAAACAATAGCAATCGTAAGGCTTTGCGATCATTGGTCGCCTAGTTTTTTCAAGGGCGCTTACTAACAAGTAATGGAGAAACCAGGCCTCAACTACCTAATCTTTGTTCATAATTTATGACTCTGGCGCTGGGTATCTATCGTTACAGTCCCGTGCAAAGATTCCGATAACGACCCAACTCGGAATACAAATAATCATATAGAATAAGAGTTTGCTACAATTTATATTATTTTATATAAAGTTTAAAGTAGAGCAAATTGTGGGAACCTTTGCCCGCCCATTATACGTTTTTAGAATCGCATTTTGAAGTGTATGAAAATTGCTAGTGACTTGGATCACCCGCCAACATTTTGTTTAGGTACTCACTTGTCGATCCTCACTTGCCAGTCGTGCATAAGATGCAATCACCGAAAAAAGCGAGATTTACTAGTCTTGAGCAATTCTAACTTATGGTTAAATAATCTTCATATATGAGATCATCTCCGTTGATATTCTCTGGGCCAAATAATCATAACTGTGTGAGAATCAAGGCAGCGAGATATGGTGTGCTTTACCAAGGCACCAACAAATAAACAACGCAATCATCCAGGCAACGAGCTTGTGACTCCTTATATATACGCGTTTTAATTTCAATTCTGTGAAGCTGTTCAAATCAAACAAACCGCGCATTTTGCACCGCTCTCACAATGACTATTACAGAAGTTGGTTGCATGGTTGTCAAGCCCGACTTGGACGTCATGAATGATTCTACGCCCGAGGGTCAAATTCTGACTAGAACATGGAACACTGTTCTGAGCAAGCCTGGTGGCCCTCAAAGAGTTTACTGGGGCTTAGAATCCAAAGATCCGTCCAGACTCTGGGCCTTTTTCGACTTTGAGTCTGTTGAACAACACCAACAATTCGCTCAAGAGTAGGCATCATCACATCATTGTCTACTCAATCGCTAACTTCTATAGATACGGCGCAGATGCTGTCAAGGATATCCCCAAGATCTGTACTCATGGAGAGTTTACAAAACACGTCAAGTTAGACCCCTCCTCAGAGGTTTTCGGGTATGCCAAGGCAGAGGCCATATTGGTATACTTTCAAGATGATACTACGGAAGATAAACGACATGCTCTCGCGTTGCAAGTCAAAAAGATATTCGATCTCACATTTAACCATTTCCCTGGTGTTGAAGGGGTTGCTTGCGGATGGGGTGTGGAGAAGGACTTCCCGGCACCAAATGAAAATGGCCAGCCCAGAGCGGTTCTGATGGCGGTTGTGGGATGGGAAAATGCTGAAGTGCAGCGGAATCATTCTGAGGAAGATGGTCATCAAGAGGCGATTAGCATGATTGCTGGGTTGGAAGGATGTACCAGTTTTGATACTTTCACCATCAGCTGTCGCCATCTGACGAGGTCCTGATACGCGACACAGAATGTTATTGATCAAATCAAGATTTAAACTACCAGATATGGTCTTTTATTATAGTAGTCATGATTGGAAAGAAGTTGTTTGTAAAATGCTTCATCAATTACGATTAGAAAATCTCGGGCTTTCGGACTTTCGTGACTCATTGGTAATCAACACATCTACAGGAAATGGGTAGTCTAATTCAGGCAGGACCACAAGAGTCACAAACCTTCTTACAATTGAGATTTTGACTTAACCTCCTCTTGATTCAGTGCCATCGTACCGATATAGTTACTCGGAGGAATATTAGGATTGTGCCATTCGAACATTACTTGAGCCTAGAAGCGAGTCGGACTTTGACATCTCCACAGCAAAGTAATCTAGGGATACGACCGTTTTTATTCGCCACTCGCTGTCATGTTAACCACTGCAGAGTGTGGCACTATCCATTTCTAGATTAGCTGAGTCCGAAATCCCGAAACTCCGGCAGCTGTTGAATTACTTCCTATCTGGGATGGCGGATGACTGCATTATCAGAATGGTGGAGTTTTGTATTTTTAATCCTTTATTCGGGCAAGATGTGCCTCTTGAGGCGAATGCATAGACAGATGTTATATCCAGCTTCGTCCCTTAGACCAACACTTACAACTCCCAACTCCAGCCCATTCTTCGGACTCGAGACTCACACCCAATATTCTACCCCATCCAATAGCCATTCAACATCGAAGCATGACTGAAAAAGATGAAACCCCCAGTGGTGTTCTCGACCAAGTCTCACAATCCCGCGAACCATCTCTCTATGACCAAAAAGAACTCGATCGTCTAGGTCGCGAGCGCCCCGCATGCTTCTCCTCACTATGGTCTGAGCTGGGCTTTATCTTTGCCGTCGTGGGGTCAATGATGGTCAGCGAATACTTCGTCTCGGGCTTCAACATAATCCTTCCTTCGTTGGCGGTCACGCTTGAGATACCGGACTCGGTTCGTACGTGGCCTGCTGCTGTTATCAATCTTACTACTGCAGTCTTGCTACTTCCTTTTGCACGCTTATCTGAAATCCATGGAGGACGGTTTATCTTCCTCGGTGGTCATGCTTGGTTGATTATATGGTCCATCATCGGCGGCTTCAGTCAGAATCCTACTATGCTCATCGCCTGCCGAGCCATGCAGGGCCTAGGACCTTCGGCATTTCTACCATCCAGTGTTGCCATTATGTCACGCATCTACCGCCCCGGCCCTCGCAAGAATCTTGTGTTTAGCATGTTCGGTGCATTTTCATGCATTGGCTTCTACTCTGGGATCATCTTTGGAGCTTTATCCGCCCAGGTGTTTGGCTGGAAGTGGTACTTTTTCATTGGTGCTTTCTTCTGCACCATTATCTTCATCACCGGTATTTTGACTATCCCGAAGACCCAAGGCGATCCGCAGCCGGGCTTGAAGATGGATTGGCTTGGTACTGCTACAGTTGTCCCGGGTCTTTCACTAGTTGTGTTTGCTCTGACAGACGGCGGCAATGCGCCTCAGGGTTGGAGAACACCTTATGTCTATGTCGCACTCATTCTGGGAATTGTCTGCTTGGCACTCTTCGTCTACATCGAAGGCTGGAGGGCTAGTCAGCCTCTCATGCCAGCAGAGGTGTTCAAAACAAAGTATATGGCTCGACTGGTCTTTGCACTGTTCATGTGTTACGGCTGTTTCGGATTGTGGTTGTTTTTCGCCAGTTTTCAGTATGTGAAACCTCTACCATCATTCCAATCATTCCAGCTAACGCGATCTCTAGTATCGAATCGGTCTTGCACATCGGACCTCTGCTCACTGCCGCCTGGTTTATTCCGCTCGCTGCTGGTGGCTTCATCCTGGCAATTGTTGGCGGATTTGTTCTTCATCTCATTAGTGGCCGACTACTGTTGATTATTTCTGGCCTGGGTTTTCTCGGATCAAATATCCTGTTTGCCCTCATTCCTGACAGCGGGCGATCAAACACTTTCCTATACTGGGCATTCATCTTTCCGGCCATGCTCCTAGCTACAATCGGAGTTGATATTGCATTTAGCGTTACGAACGTTTTTATCACGACGTCTCTGCCCAGTCATCTCCAAGCTGTAGCAGGTGCCCTGATCACCAGTTTACTCTATCTCGGCATGGCCTTTTGGTTGGGTGTTGGCGAGATGGCAGTCTCTGTGCATAAAGATATCCGTGGAGCAGAAAATGTCAGTGCGCGGAGTCAATATCAGATTGGGTTCTGGACTGGTGCTGGGCTTGCCGTGGTCTCTTTGCTTATTTTTGTCACGATCAAGATGGAGTCGGCAAAGGCTGATCTCACTGCAGATGAGAAGGCTCAAAGGGAGCGGGATAGGATTACTCAATAGACCTTGAAGAGAGACCAGAGTGTAACTTGGCATATTTGATATATAAGGAGTATTTCTACATGACGTGGATTTAGAGTTTTGAGTGGTTGAGAAATATGTTTTGATAGCAAATATATGAGATCACGCTTTAGAGATGAGATGATTTGGTATGCTGCATGCAACATGCGAAGAAAGAGGACCGTGGGACAACACGAATGATTCGAAGCCCAAATTGGCAGGACTTCATGTCTCACGATAAGTGAGTTGTCCATTCAAGCATTACACCTAGCTTGACTCAAGTTTAATTACGATTCTGAAACGACACAGGGTGAACCTGGACAAGCACATTGACCTTTGCAGCAACATGGGTCTTCGGCATCCAGACCGCCCAAGACCACTCTCACCCCAAAATCATAACCATCATTTGTTCACAGACCCTGTTCGTCAATTCAACCTTGGCCATCCAGTAATTTCCTCGCTGGTTGAGTCGACGTCCTTACACCAAGAAAGTCCCCCTCACCGTTGGGGTTTGCGGGGGAAACGTGGTTAACAATGGGGGCGGGGTGCACGATCTGCAGCTAATATGGGGAAATCGAGCTCCACGGGATCTCTGAGCCGCGGATAAAATAGCGTCCACCAATGGGGCAATGCCCGAGGAACATGCTTAAGCTCAATTAGCTACGACGCTTGGCTTTGTATGGGAAGTCTTTGTAAGGAGACTCAAACTTCATCTGGGGTCGGTAGCATTGGCATGTGGCCGGTGCCATTCTAGCACGGAATGGGCCTGTTATGCACAGATAAACGTTGGATTGAAGAGACTGGGGGTGGAGACGGAAAGTCCTTCCGAAATGACAACCATCTCAATCCATTCTGTATAAGAGCTCTCTGTAACCCAGTATAATCCTACTTTTGATCAGCATGCTATCAATCTTCATCTCAGTCAAGACTCGTCAAAATGAAGGTCGCCAGCTTCTTTTCTACGCTTTCCCTCTTTGCAGGCGTTCTCGCCGAGACAATTGAGCTTCCCGCCGGTGTGCCACGCAGCGTGGAAGAGTTCAGAAAGCTGCACCCCTACGAGAACCCAGTCAAGAGAAACCATCGCAAGGTGGTTACCATCAGACATAGTAAGAACGACGGTGATGATATTTCATCTGAGTTCTACAAGGGTCTGAAGAAGGCCAACAATGGAGGCACTCTTCACCTCCCCAAGGGTCACACTTATGTCATTGGAAAGCCTTTGGATCTTACCTTCTTGAACGATGTTCACGTCCATCTGGATGGTGAGATTAAGTTTACCAATGACACTGCTTACTGGCAGAAGAATGCCTTCACTCATCCTTTCCAGGTATGTATATCCCATATGAGATTGATCACAGGCTAACATATTGCAGAACTCTATCATGTTCTGGAAGTGGGGTGGAAAAAGCATCAAGATCTACGGAAAGGGTGTTCTGAACGGTAACGGCCAGAGATGGTGGAACGGTAAGTTTCCTTCGCCAGTTATCCTAACACGCGTGCTAATAATATTCAGAGTTCGCTGGCAAGGAGATTCTCGACAAGGACAATGCTTACCTTCGACCTATCTTGTTCTATGCTCAGAACGCCACTGGTCTGGATATTCAAGGTATCCACTTCAAGGACTCTCCCTGCTGGACCAACTTTGTCGTTACCTGTAAGTCACTAACAACTTTTGGCCTTTACAACCAAAGACTAACCCCATCTAGCCAAAGATATTTCCTTCAAGGACATTGTCTGCACTGCTCGCTCAACCAATGCCACTGCTCTTCCCAAGAACACTGACTTCTTCGACTCTTTGAACGTCGAGCACGTCAATGTCGAGCGCGCCTGGGTTGATATTGGTGACGATTGCTTTTCTCCCAAGAGTAACGCAACTGATGTCCATGTCGACACTATGTACTGCAACGGTATGTTTTGATTTCTCCAACTCGTCTATATGCAATGCTAAGAACATCAGGTACCCACGGTCAGTCCATTGGCTCTCTCGGTCAGTACAAGGGCGAGATGTCCTTCGTCAAGGACGTTGTTATCGAGAACCTTTGGATGCTCAACGGACAGCACGCCTCTCGTCTCAAGACCTGGGCTGGTCCTGATGTTGGCTACGGCTTCATCGATAACGTGACTTTCCGCAACTTCTGGGGTGGTAACAACGAATACACGGCTTTCATCGACTCGTGCTACTTCAACATCAACGCCACCACCTGCAACCAGTATCCCTCCAGAATGAACATCAGCAACGTTCTATTCGGTAAGAATCTCCTCCACGTCCCCATCAGTTCTCTTGACTAATGCATCATTTAGAAAACTTCACCGGCTACAGCTCCGGCAAGTACGGCGACGCTGTTGCACGCCTGACATGCTCCACCAGCAAGGATGCGGTCTGCGAGAACATCAAGTTCAAGAACTTCAACATCACGACTCCCTGTGGCGGAAAGCCTGTGATCCTGTGCGATGGTGTCAAGGACATTGGTGTTGATTGTGTTAGCGCTACCAGTGCTGAGGGCAAGGCTGCTTTGGCGAACAAGTGCACTGCGCCTGAGGCTAGTGCCTCGCCGTTTAAAGTTAGGAAGTTCAACGGATGAACGTTGATGCCGGAAGCTTAATTACCTAGTTGTGGGGAGATATGTGTTGAATAAGATGCCAAAATTCCCTTGATCAGCGGTTGCCGTAACGAGTGAAGGTATAGAAGTGTGTGTGGTTTTGGTGTAGGATGTCGCAGGCAAGACTCTCAAATATTTCAAGTTTCGAGAGACTGATTCCCCAGTCAAAGTCTTCATGCTAGAAGTAATATGTGTGATACCTGTGAGTTACCAAACTGAAAAGATTATCACCGAGCCGCTTTGAGCTGCAACTAGTCTGGGTTACCATGGCCTTACGCAATTTTAATATTTCACCCCGCTTCAAGAAAGGTTCTATACTTTTGATTGATTGATCAATTAGTAAAAAGCACTTTAACGAGAGGTTAAGATAGGCGGTCGTGGTGGAAGAACATCAGGTTTGCTCATGTTACTGAAGGGATTGTCTAGGGTAAGCACCACTGTTCTAGACCATTTTGATTGGCTCGATAAGAACTGCCGAAGAGTGGGATCAACCCCACACTGTACCTGCCTGCCCAGTGCGACCAACGGTTGCCCTGTCACTTACTAATTAACGCGTGAGGACGCGTGCACCCTGTACCTGCCGTACCTGAACTTTGCCGCGACGCGATTGCCAATGTCAATTTAGGACAGTCCCACGTAACCATGAACATCTAATCTCAAGCTTCCACTTCCCATCTTGAACCTATTCTACCCTTTCTTCGACCTCATCTTGATTTCTGTCTTCTAGTCAATCGTTTCCAATCGTCTCCTTATTGACTTACAAGCGTCATTAAATCTTGTTCTTGCCTTCCGGTTGATTCACGGTCGTCCAATCCGTTGCCTCAGTGTCCAGCACCCGCAATCGAAGCATTCTGGTGAAGCGATTCACCACCGTCGAGCCCATTATGGCGAGTGAACGAAATACCACGGCACGCACGCCTGCAAAGGCGACCAAACCACCCGCGCCTACTTCCTCAGCCAAACAACGTTCAATTGTTTCCTTCTTCCAAAAAGCTCCGCCCTCTTCCCCCGCGGCCCCTGCATCATCACCTCTAGCAAAAGCCACTCCCGCCAACAAACAGTCTTCGTGTTTGAAAGAGACGACGAAAGCCAACACTCTCCCCAAAAATACACCACTTTCTAAATCCAAGGCGACACCAACTGCTTCCGTCAAACAAACAACACCCGTCCCTGACAGCGACGTTATCGAGCCTCCAAGCTCTCAAGAGAATCTCGATGCAACCATCAAGGTAAGCGATCGCCTCTCCACCAGTCTTCGTATCGACAGCTAAACATGAGAAAAGAAGTCTTCTACCAAAATGAACCACGACGCTCTGCCCAGCAGTCCGACTCGAAAGGTAAGATACTGGGAATGTCTCCTCCTGCCACACCAAATCACTAACGTTCCCAAGATCAAAAAGGTTGTTAGCTATGCCGAATCTTCCGAAGAAGACGAGCCTTTCCAGTTTGGCGGTCCATCTACTTCTCGTCGACGGTCTAGAGTACCTCGGCAGGTTGTTAAGGATGAAGATGACTACGAAGAAGCGGAGGAAGAAGAAGTGGATGGCGGAGATACTGGTATGTACATGTGCTGGTCTTACTTCCCTGTTCGCCTCTAACATCAACAGACACTATGGACGACTTCATCGCATCCGAGGAGTCAGACGATGCCTCCCGATCCAAGAAGCGAAAGCGACCCTCAAAACCAGCCGCCTCTCGAAAGCGCTCCAACCGATCTTCGCCTATCCCCACACCCGAATTTGATATCAAGGATAGCATCTTGGAGGAAGACGAGGTTATGAATGATGTTGAGGGCTCTACTGCGTCTCAATGGAACTACAACCCCGACTCCGGCGACAAACAAGCTGTTGTCAAGCCTGCAGCAAGGGCTGTCTCAAGGGACCCCAAATTCAAGGAGAAGGCACATACCAAAGACCCCGATCAGAGGTATACTTGGCTTGCCAACATCATGGACAAGGAGAAGAGAAAGCCCAGCGACCCAGACTACGACAAGCGAACCATCTTCATCCCTCCTTCTGCCTGGAACAAGTTCTCGCCTTTCGAGACTCAATACTGGAAGATCAAACAGGACCTGTGGGATACGATTGTCTTCTTCAAGAAGGGCAAGTTCTACGAGCTTTACGAGAATGATGCCACTGTGGGTCATCAGGAGTTTGACTTCAAGATGACGGACAGAGTCAACATGCGCATGGTCGGAGTGCCCGAGAGCTCGCTCGATTACTGGGTGAACCAGTTCATCGCAAAACAGTACAAGGTTGCCCGTGTTGATCAGATGGAGACCAACCTTGGTAAGGAGATGCGCGAGCGACAAGACAAGAGCAAGAAGGCGGACAAGGTCATCACTCGTGAGCTGGCATGTATCTTGACTGCTGGCACTCTTGTCGACGGTGGTATGCTGCAAGATGACATGGCCTCGTACTGTGTGGCCATCAAGGAATCTGTCGTTGATGATCTGCCTGCTTTCGGTATTGCCTTCACTGACACTGCCACTGGTCGCTTCTACCTGTCTAGCTTCGTGGACGACATTGACTTGACCAAATTTGAGACCCTTATTGCTCAAACCGGACCGCGAGAGCTGCTTCTTGAAAAGTCTCACCTGTCTACCAAGGCACTGCGTATCCTCAAGAACAACACCAGTCCCACCACAATCTGGACACACCTCAAGCCAGGCACTGAGTTTTGGGACGCAGATATGACCCGCCGTGAGCTCGACTGCGCAAACTACTTCAGGGCTGAAGATGCCGACGAAGAGATCTGGCCTGAAACTCTCCAGTCATTCCGCGACGATGATATCATGATGTCCGCAACCGGAGCATTGATCTCATATTTGCGTTTCCTCAAGCTTGAGAGACCTCTGCTATCTCAAGGTAACTTCGAGGTGTACAATCCCATCCAGAAAAACGGAACTTTGATCCTGGATGGACAGACACTCATCAATCTGGAAATCTTCTCCAACTCGGTCAATGGTGGTTCCGAAGGCACACTATTCAGCCTGCTTAACAAGTGCGTTACGCCCTTCGGAAAGCGCCTCTTCCGATCGTGGGTAGCACACCCGCTCTGCCACATTGAGCGCATCAATGAACGTCTCGATGCTGTCGACATGCTCAACGCCGATCAGACGGTTCGTGAACAATTCGCCTCGCAGCTCGTCAAGATGCCCGATCTAGAGCGACTCATCTCACGAATCCATGCCGGCGCTTGCAAACCCGAGGACTTCGTCAAGGTCCTTGAAGGTTTTGAGCAGATTGAGTACACTATGGGACTTTTGGAGGCATACAAGGGTGGTAATGGTTTGGTCGACCGCCTCATTTCTTCAATGCCGAACCTTGATGAGCCTTTGTCCTACTGGAGAACGGCATTTGACCGTCGCAAGGCTCGTGAAGAGAAGCTTCTCATTCCTGAACGTGGGATCGATGAGGATTTCGACCAGAGTTCAGATCGCATTAAGGAGATCAAGCAACAACTCGAGGATCTCCTTGCAGAGAAGAAGAAAGAGTTCAAGTGCAAGTTCCTCAAGTTCACTGATGTCGGCAAGGAGATCTTCCAGTTGGAGGCACCGAAGAGTGTTAAGGTCCCTTCAAGCTTTCGTCAAATGTCGGCCACAAAGGACGTCAAGCGATGGTACTTCCCTGAGCTTTCTCAGCTTGTACGAGAGCTTCAAGAGGCAGAGGAAACACATTCACAGCTTGTGCGCGAGGTTGCCTCCCGATTTTTCCAGAAATTTGACGTTGACTACGAAACCTGGCTACAGGCCATCAAGATTATCTCACAGCTGGATTGTTTGGTCAGCTTGGCCAAGGCATCGGCATCACTTGGTCAGCCAAGCTGCCGTCCCGAGTTCGTGGACGAGGAGCGCAGCAATGTTGACTTCCAAGAACTTAGACATCCTTGCATGATGAACACAGTGGACGACTTCATTCCTAACGACATTAAACTTGGTGGTGATCAAGCCAAGATCAACCTGCTAACAGGAGCCAATGCCGCTGGCAAGTCTACTGTTCTACGCATGGTAAGTAATCCCTTCAATTCAATACGGTACGATTCTAACAGTCACAGTCTTGCGTTGCTGTTATCATGGCTCAAATCGGCTGCTATGTCCCTGCTACCTTCGCACGCCTCACACCTGTCGACCGAATTATGTCCCGCCTCGGTGCCAACGACAACATCTTTGCCGCTCAGTCGACATTCTTTGTTGAGTTGTCCGAAACCAAGAAAATTCTGTCTGAGGCTACTCCTCGGTCACTGGTCATTCTGGATGAACTTGGTCGCGGAACCAGCTCGTACGATGGTGTTGCCGTTGCCCAGGCTGTTCTTCACCATGTTGCTACTCACATTGGCTGCGTTGGTTACTTTGCCACTCATTACCATTCCCTTGCGACAGAGTTTGAGAACCACCCTGAGATTCGAGCACGCAGGATGCAGATCCATGTTGACGATGAGGAGCGACGCGTGACCTTCCTGTATAAACTTGAAGATGGTGTCGCTGAGGGTAGTTTCGGCATGCACTGTGCTGCCATGTGTGGCATCTCATCTCGCGTCATTGACCGCGCAGAGGTGGCTGCCAAGGAATGGGAACACACCAGCCGACTGAAAGACAGTCTAGAGAAGGCAAAGACAGGATGCTATATTCCACTAGGTATCCTCAGCGACATAGGTGGGCTACTTGGTGACAAGGGCGAGATGGGCGACGATGGAGTGGATGTTCTTCTAAAGGCGATTGAGGCGCTGTAACATGATACAAGGGTAAATTTGGGTGCTAAGGAGCTCGAGCTAGAACAGTGGTTTCTCGGAGGATGCAATATCATTTTGCAAGGCGAGTATGTCGTTTTCACATGTAATTGGGAGATGGATGGGAGACAACCTCTGATAGAGTTGTCAAAGGGATAAACAGGCGTTGCAATGGAGTTTCTGCCGATGGGGGCAAGGAATCAAAATATGTGTTAATACTACAAGTGCGTAACATGCGACTGTGATTAAATAAAAAGTCTACCTTTAAAAGAAAGCAAAATGAATGGCATTAACGCCGTCCCTCTACCATACCCATTTTGACTCCCAAAGCGCAATCAACATGACACTATTCCCATGAAATCCCAAATAAAGTCGGAACCAAGCATATCAGTGTCTTAATACAAGGTCAACCAAACTCAACTCCAAATCTAACAAATCACGCGTCCACATCCACATCCTCATCTTCATCCCCATCCTCATTCTCATCTACAGGAGCAACCACCACTGCAGGAGCAGGCGAATCACTAACCTGTCGTCGTCGAAGTCTACTCGACGTACGCGAAGGTTGAGTACTGGCCTTACCAGTCTTCTTAGGACGTCCTGGTGTCTTAGGCGCTATTGAGGCATTAGTACCGGTCTTCAATGCTGTGTCATCGAGGGGACATACCAGTCTTGCCCTTCTTGGCTTTCTTGGCCGCGGGTGCATCTGTGTCGTTCGCCGAGGTCGATGCGCTAGCGCGGCGCTTCTGTCCTACGCTGATATCGCTTTGCAGCTCGGCGAGGTCGTCTACATCTGGCCTCAGCCCATCATCCGAGTCGGAGTCGCTTGAGTACCGATATGAAGGGTCATGGACGTGTTGGCCGATATACTGCTCCCGTCGCTTACGGCCAGCTGCGGTGTCATCCCATGGCAACCCAGGTGCCTCCCATGATCCGGGGAACGGCGGCAGGCCCTCGTATGGAGGCCAGGGGATGTCCCACAATGCCATGTTGTCCTCGTTGTTGGGATCGGAGCGCCAGACGGAAGCGTAGTTATCGCTTGCTTTGGTTGGATACAACGTGCGCGCGTAGGTTGGGTAGCGGCGGCGGAATTTCTCCTTGATATCGCCCAGTTTCTTGGGGAGTTCGCGGGCTCGGATCCAGCCACTGCGATTGGGGAGATGGACCGCTGAACCTCTTCCATTGCGGATGCCACAGCAGCGATCCTTGTCAGTGTGGAACTAGGATGTGTTAGTGTTTGCTATAAAGTAAGGAGAGGGGGATATACTAACCTCGAGCTCTCGGGCACGACCGATGGGTGAGCGATTGGGACTCTTGCTTCGCCTCTTAGGCGCCTTGCGAAGACATTTGGAGCAGTACATGTCATCATCAGGATCAAAGTCGGGATCTCCAGGACCAAGTTTCTTAACCCAGTCTGGAGATCTCGCCCGACGACGACGAGTGACCCCTTCATCAAGCTGCTCCTCATCGTATTCATCGGTCTCCGCGCCATCATCTTCGTAGTCACCATCCTTCTCACCTGCTGGACGAGGTGTCTTGGACTTCTTGGCTGTACTGGCTCGACCTTCGGTGACTGAGCTCTTAGACCCGCTACCTTGGGTATCGCCAGCAGGTGCTGCTGTCACTGGCTTGGGGCGGGCTACCTTACTAGACCGTCTGCCGCGGGAGACAGTAGAGGCGACGTCGCTTACGGTTTCAGCCTCTGAGTTGTTAACAGGTCGAGGCTTGCGAGTGTTTGTCTTGGCGGGGGTCTTCTTCGCAGGCACCACAGCCCCAGAATGGGTAGACTCTTCAGTATCCGATGAGGCCTGGGTCGCCTGTTTCGGTGGAGGTAAAGGCTTGCGCGGAGTGGGTTTGGGAACAGGTCGTCTAGGAGTTGGCGTTATCGAACGAGGCTCTTCGTTCTCAGTTTCGTCCCCACCATCTTCATCATCAGACTCCAGAATCTGCACTTCCTTTCCATGACTTGCACGGATGTGACGACGGAGCTGCTGAGCGGTCATGGCATCAATGTACGCGCCGCATTTCTCGAAGAAAGCGCACTTTTTCAACAATTGAGACTCAGCTGGCGTCTGCTTCTCAGCCTGGGGAACTGCAGGCTGTGTAGAAGCGGGTTGTGCAGTAGCAGGCTGGGCAGTATCAGGCTGAATGGTTGTGGCTGCTGTGGTAGCGGTTTGAGGAGCAACAGACTTATTCCTCATCGAAATGGTCGGGAGGCCGGGGATCTTGCCAGCCTTTTTCTTCTCTTCATATTCCGCCATCATAGCATCCCAAACTTCTGGGGCAATGGTAATGGGATAGCCAGAATTCCACTCGGGCGTGTTCCACAGCGGGTGCTTACTTAGCCACCCAGGGGGCTCCAGGATGTCCCAGAGCTTGTAGATGTGGCAATCGAAGTGCTTGATACACTCCTCGACCTTGCGGTCTTTCAGGATCATTTTGCCCTTTTCGTCCTTGCCGGCATCGTAACGAAACGGAAGACGGCAGAAGGGACAAGCGTCCATCTTATGATCGGGATGGGCTAGTTTGAAGTGCTTCCACACACCATCCGAGCTGAGATGCTCCATTTCTGGAATCGGGCACCTTTGGTAGGAGCACTTCTTGAGAGGATCTATGTGGGGAACCGGCCCAGGCATATCGTACCACGGAAGTGGGTATGCGAGAAGGCGTGGTGGTTGGGAGGGCTTCGGTAAAGGCCTCAACTCTTCCCTGACCCGATCTGCAATACTGAGAGGCGCTACTGGGGCGGCTGGTGAGGAAGAAAACGGGTTAGGGACTGGTGGCCCTTGGACAAAGGATCTGTTATTCTGTGCTGGATTGGTTCCTGTCATGAAGGAGTTGTCCATTTCGATATCTGTACCGGCCCCAGAAGGCCCAGCTTGGGCTGTCGGTTGAGGTTGGCTACCAGGAGGCGCCCGAGTTTGCGTACGGCCCCAAGACGGCGCAGGTCCTCCTGAGTGCGACTGCCCTCCAGAGCCCACGTTGTTATTCTGTGTTCCGGCGAAGGAAACTCGCGCCGCGGCGTTTCCGACACGAGATTGCGCAGTCCTGGTGTCTGAATGGCGAGGATTAGGGAACCGTTGGGTGTTAACCTGCTGGCTCTGGCGAGTATTTGTAAACCGCTGGGCCTTACCCTGTTGGGTTGAAAGACCCAGAATAGTCTTCAAGCGGTCGCTGTGCTTCTCCCGCATATGCCTATCCTTCTGCTCTGCATCCCACCATTCAAACAAACTCTCGTCACACCAGGGACACTTCCGTGACTGATGCACACTCCGAGTGTGCTTGCCTCTAGCTTCATGATCATCAAGACGGAAGGTGAAGTCGCAGTTCTCGAAAGGGCACTGCATGGTGCGCTTGAGGAGCATGTTGCGAGCGTCCCAGAGGCTGCGCTGCAGCTCGGCCTGTTCTGTAGCAGTGAGAATGGCCTTGGAGACCATGGGGACGCTGTTGCTAATGCGGTGGATCTTCTCAACAGGAGCTGCGGTCAAGGGGATGTTAATATCATCAACAGAGGGCCAGGTATCAGGGTTGGTGCCATCGAAGAGGCTGGGTTGAATGGCCCATGTGCGGCCTCGGTCATCTCTCCCAACGGTGTCATCACTGCCGGGCATCTTGGTGAATGGACCAGGAAGGGAGGTAACAACGTCCTGCTCCTCTTCGACTTCGTCGAATTTATCATCTTCATAGGCAAAAAGATAGGGATAGGGTCTCTGATCTGTGTCGTTGTCCACGTCCATATCGTCGCCGATTTCCTCTTCCTCTTCCTCTCCGGGAGCCAAATCATCTTCCATGACAGAATCTTGATCTTCAGTAGACTCCTCTTCAGAAGACGTATCGGAAGCCCCATCAAAGAACTCTCTAATATGTTTATTTACCCAATAAGGTCGTTCCGTTGCTCGGACACCAATATCATGCTCCTCATCATCGAGTGTGGCGGACTGATTACTGAGGACTGGAGCACCCGGTAGCTGGAGAGTAACCGAACCAGCTTTGGCTTGAGCCCCTGCCTTTGGCAGCTCGGGCGCCCTGAAAGCCGATTCCCTCAGTGAAGACGCTGCTCGCACAATCCTGTCATCGCGAACTGTAACTTCTTCGTCTACAGGCTCGACGGGCCTGAGGATGTAAGGATCAGCGGGGTAGTTTGCGTGGAGATCAATTTCACGGCCGTCTAGAGCTTTTATGTCGAGAACGTCTCGTTTCCATCTTCGCCTGTCCTGGACGTTATCGTGATCGCTAATTCGTGGACCCCAGATGTTGCTTCTGGCTATGCAGGTTGTCCAGTCAACCTCTGTCTTCTTGAAGAAAGACACTATGATACTGGGGGATGTGATGTATCGCCTGATGCGAAGCCAGTCGTTCTCGGTTGTCTCGGGAGTGATCAGATAGGCAGGCGAGTCCATGTCTTGCACCTGAATACTGTCCACAGAAGGAGTCTCCTTGAGTAGGATATGATCCTTGCGCGGATCTCTCTCATGCTGAGTGAGTAGACAGAGCTCATGAATAGCGCCCTGGAAGGTCTTCAATTCTGATGTGAGAGGTGGCATCTCTACAGAGACCTTCCCGCCACTGTACCAGTCTGGGAACAAGCGACAATGCCCAGGAGACCAATTCACATAGAGCATAAGGAACCATGTTGACCTTTGCCTCAACTTCCTGCCCAAAGCCCATGCGTCGTCGGGATTCTGTATGGGAAAGTCAAAGTGCAAGCCTTCGAGGGGGTATTGGAAGGAAGCTGAGAGATCGCCATCAATGGCAGAGATTGCATTGACCTTTCTTACAGTCGACGCGTCGAAAGCCTCCGTGATGATTTCAGTAAGCGAGCTGTGGGCCTGCTCATAAGTAGCTGTATCAGGTTCGTCTTCTGACACTAGGTGCGGGTTGGGTAGCGGGTAATAGTTTGGTAGGATAATAGGATCAACATTAGGTTCAAGCCAGCAGCATTCCACCATCCAGCAAGCGCCGGGGTTATTGAGCGGATGAAGCAGTTCCCATGCCCACTGCGGAAGACCCATGCCGCCGTAGATGATAGGGATATCCCACACAGCTTTGGGCTTGTTCTTGTCGAATATCCGAAACAAGGCATGGTTGTGCTCTGCGTGGCGTGGAATACCGAAAAGAACCTCGATAGCGGCCCTCAAATGAACATTGTACTGATTAGACGCATACTTGCCAACGACAAACGTTGAGCCCTTGGTCTTGGGGAATGCGATGTAAGCGTAGCTGATGACGTCTTGCTCAGGTCCATTTGGTGCATATCCAAGAGAGCGTCCGATTCGGACCGTGTCTAATTCGAGTTGCTGCTTGAGGGGCTCCCATACCTCCGGTCCCCTGTTGACCTCCGTCCAGCCCTGATCGGCAAAGAGAATACAACAGTCCTTCTGAGTATGCTTTCCGTTGCTGGTAAAGTGCTTCTGAAGATGAGCCATCGCGGGACTCTCCTTTGTCAGGGGCAGACTATCGTGGATGATCTGGGGCTTGCCGATCTTCAGATCGTATACTATTAAGGAAATTTTATTGCCAGACCCGTTGTCGTCGCCATCAAGGGTAGTTGAATTGGTGCGGAGCAACTGGCGGAGAACGCATGAAAATGAAAACCACTTTCGAGGGGCAAAGGGTACACGCCCGTTAACACCGTACAGGTAGACCCATTGTTCATTTGCATTGGCAGGCATCTCATCTTTGGGGAAGTAGTCTTGGAGAACCTGAGAGTCCACAGTGGTGTCACCTCCACGAAGACCCAAGATCGGTTCAGATGTTTTGGGGATCTGTATGGGGTAATTTTGGGCTTCTGGAGCTTCAAGTTGTTAGTGTCAGGCAAAGCAGAAGGGCTGGCGAATGAACTTACCTTTCAGGCTATCCTTCCCCCAGTTTCGGCGGTCGTGAGCAGTGAGAAAGTGTAGCGGTGGCCTGACCTTGTATCGAGGGACCTCTTCTTGCTCAATTCCAAGACTCTCCGCAAGCTCTAGCAGAGGATTTTCCATGGGAGCGACGGGGAGTCCAAAGTAGGTCATTGTGAGCTTTGTTGCCAGAGAGTCTTCGACGTCCTTGAAGCGACCAGCGAGTAAAGCCTTATATCGCTTTGTATTGGCGGCATGTAGTTCTTTAATATCGGGGCGATCGGAGGGCATCAGCATGAGAGCTTCATGGCGGGTGAAGGTAATCCTTAGTATGGCATCGATAGAAATGTCCGTATCCAAAGCCTCGATGAACCATTCGTGCCTTTGTGTCCAAGATTCGCTTTTCGGATCGATCAGAAGGTCAATCCGATCACCAGGATCTCCAGCGTAGGGGATGTTGTTCTCATCCTGATCCAAGGACGCTGAGACCTTGACCTCTTGTTCCATTTCGGTGGATAGTAGAGATCACGAACGAGAAGATACGGCGGTTGTAAGAGACAGGGCCAGAGCTGTAGAGCGCAATGTCTATGGTTATAATGCAGAATCAAAGAAAGTACAGAAGACAGAGCTCAGACAGATTGGTATGAGAGGGTTGCTAAGAGCTCAGATGAGGATGATGAAGAACAAGAGAGAGACGATAAAGAGAACGAAAATATAAACGGCGAAAGACTTGAGTGAATGAAGGGGTACAGAGCTTGTTAAATCGCACACCTGGTGATTGAGCGTCCTTTCAGGTACGGGACCTCAGGCAGCCGCACTGGCCTGACCGCAATACCATTGTTCTCAAGACCAACACCCTGGCGCATGCCAAATGGAGTTTGTCATGGTGTTGAGGACAAAGGAGGACGTTTTTCTTTGACCAATTGATAAGGTGGTCTGTGTCTTCGCTCGCTCTTTTCCGGCATCACCGCGTCCTTTGAGATCAACCACCTCCGTTTTCCAGTCGAAAAAGGACACGATATGCTTGTCATTATTTTAAGCCGGTGATAAAAGTATGGAGATTTGAGATCCATTATCAATCTACAAATTGTGAGTTTGTAAGTGGCTACCCATTCGTGTAGATAGGTATCACCATAAAGGGCACCGATGTTAATCGTCACGCCAACGATCGAGTACTTGAAGGTCAATCCCAAAATGGATCACAATAACGATTGATGAAACAAAATTAGCAACACCGAGGCCAAAGCTCTACGTACCATTTGATCGTGCCACAATCCAGCCTCCTTCTCGTGAGTGGTGTGAGAGCTTCTTTGTCCCCGACCCAGGCTTGGTGGCCCCGAAAAGAGGGGAAGCTCAGTCAACGTCAACAAAGAAACTGAAGCCTTGGTCGAGAACTCGAGTGAGTATCGTCAATAGCACCATGATATTTGTTGCTCTAGCTCTTTGTTCACTCGTAAATGATGGGTTTCGATGCATTTGTGAAATCACGAGAGGGCGATGGTAAGGCCGTGAATGAGGTCGTTCATTATGATATTGTAAAGCTGCTTCCTTTGTCCAGTCTTGTCCGTAGAGTTTCTGCTAACGCAACACCAATCTGATTGACAGAAACGCCCGTGGATTATGCCGCATGCTGCCTCACGAGCTCTTCCAGCTTTTCCTGGCAATCGGCGAAGTAGTTGATGGCTTGGATAATCTTACCTTCACTTGATCCAAAGCCGCTCCTGGTGAAAGCAATCCTCCATGCACTTTCATCTTTAACCAAAGTATGGTAGTCTCTTGTCTCCCAGCTATTGTTCGTAGGACCTTGTGCAAAGTAGTCGCCGAGTTTGCCATTCCAGGCTGATAAGTCGGTGGAGGCCAATCCATCAAGCAGGTTGGGGGAGATAGTAACATGCTGAATGCCCGCGAGCTGCATCACTTCGTCTGTGGATGTGAGAGATGCCGCGAGAACCTGTGTGCGTAAGGAGTTATTGATATAGTAGGCTTGCGCTTCACGGCAAAAGTCAAAGGCTTTGTTTTGATCCACGTATCTGCAATTGTCAGAAAAATGCGACACATCTGCCAATACAAACTCACCCTGCTTCAAAGTGAACCTTTAGTTCATTGACATACGGCGCAATGTAGGTGCACTGTGCCTCGGCAGCCAAAGATGCTTGTTCCATGCAAAACATGGTAGTCGCGAGTGTTGCGATACCCTCCATCTCCAATGTGCGACATGCTTGTAGACCTTCCCAGGTAGCTGGGATCTTGATACACACTCGTTTTGCGTCAAAATCAGGTGCTAAGTGCTTGAAGATGGCGACAATTCCTGAGGGGACTGTAAGTACGGGCGCTAGAGGTGGAGATCAGGAGACCTACGGTGGGCATCGCTGATTGTACCGGCAGTCGAGTAGGAAAGCTTCGGGTTGGTCTGAATATGCAGATAGCCAGTGACGTTGGGGAGTATCAGTAGTTGTAGTTTGACCATCTTCCCAAGTTAGTACATTTCCACTGTCCCGGGGTGCCTGGTGTCATACTAAAATCTGGACAACGAATTCCTCAAAGGTAACAGACCCTTGTAGTTCTTTCATCGCACCTTGAGCTCCTTGAATAGCTTCTTTGATCAAAGCATCATGATGTAACAGAGGCTCGCCGGCGAGTGGCCTTGAGATCTCAGAGAATGCGATCGCCTGGATTGTCAACGCGGGTATCGGGGATGGGAGTAAAGAGGTTCATTACTTGATTTGAAGTGCAATCCACAAAAGGGCCTAATTGATGAGCGACTGCAACGATGTCAGCTATGAGATTTCAGTACAAGTGGTGATATCTTGGGCGTACCATTGGCATCAAGAGTATCGCAGTCAACTCGACTGGTTTGCCGAAGAGCGTCGAGTAGTGTCGTCATGTTGGCGCCGAATCAATGATGAAAGCGAAACTGTTGAAGGCAAAATAATGGTTTATTGAATGCTATAAGTACTCTTCAAGTTGACAAGTCGAAGCCAAATCCTGTACGGTGGTCTCGCCGATGGAGTCGTCTCGTTCAAGTTAAGCTAACAAGCCGAACTGCCCCCCCGCAAGAATAAGACGCTTCTGACGAATTTTAGTAGTCATTGGCTCGGCTTGGCTTCCCAAAACGCTCAGCAACAGAGCCTCCCGTCTCCATTTCCACTATTGTTCGGCTACGATTACCATGAGAATAAATAGGGTATCGATTTCCCCAGGCAGCCATATAAAGCTCCATTTCGGTTGAGTTGATGGGGTACAAAATTTTCTGCTCCAATGCCTAGACGACGTTGCGATCATGTGGTGGAACGCGTGGGGTCCAAGAGGTGGCGCGCGGATTATCACATTAGACGGTGACTTGTTCCATCTGCAAAGGAAGCGATCTCGGAGAAGCGTACCGGCACTTGTCGGTTCTCTTCCAGCTTTTGAAGCTATGATGGAAAGGACCCTGAGAAGGTGACATTGGGTTTAGCGGCGATCAATAAGAGTCCGTGAATTAGGAATGAGAACGAGTAACAGGAAGCACAGGATAGCGGGGTCATCTCCAACTCTGGCTCACACGTGATATGTCACGTTTCCTTTCCCCAGGAATTCCCCGATTGGGTTATCCATCGATTGCATCAAGAAATCTTCCGTCGGAAATCACTCCACCAAAGGTAAGCCTCACGTCCAAACCTCAGCCAATCTCCAACATCAGGCCGTGTCGGTTATGGACTGAGTCTCGCTCAGTACGGCCATGAACCCTTTCGCCAGGCCATAATGCGACCACCAAGATGTCTCGTCCCCGCCGCGGAGATCCTCTTCAAGGTCCCAGCCAGCAGACGATGCATGTCCTCTGCCGCAGTCTTTCAACCGCCTAGAATAGTCGCTGCTACACCATGGAAGCCCCCAGCGTTTTTTCTGTCAAACAGATTGTTCGATCGGTCAACATGTCTCGATTTCGTGGTGCTGCGACGGGCCAATGGCATCTATTCGTCATCGGCTGCTGCTTCTGGTACATCTGACTCAACATTATCTTCCTCTACAACGAACACTGCTGCGCAGACCGAGCCCGAGATTGCTCCTCACCGAAAACGACAAGCTCAACGTCGCGAAAAGGCAGCTGCCGAAGCCGCAGCCGCCGCTGCTCGAGGCGAAAAGCCTTTACCCCCCGATGCATCCTCTTTACTCTCAACCCACGCCGCCTCGCAGACGAGCGCTATCCGCCGCTACCTCTCCGTATGCCTCTCGCTTTCGAAACCCCGATTGACGATGCTTGTCGTCCTTACCGCCATGGCTACCTACGCACTATACCCCGTTCCCGAGATGCTGTCACCAAGCACTACCGAGACACCCAGTTTGAGTCCTTTAACATTACTATTCCTCACGATAGGAACAACACTGTGCTCATCCAGCGCCAATGCATTGAACATGCTTTACGAACCGTCAACCGATGCCAAGATGACCCGAACTAGAAACCGTCCTCTTGTGCGAAAGCTCATCTCCACACGGAGCGCTGTCTTGTTCGCAATCCTTTCTGGGGCCATCGGAACGGGCGCTTTGTACTTCGGTGTCAACCCCACTGTTTCTGGGCTTGGATTCGCCAATATCGTTATTTACGCTGGAATGTACACACCACTGAAGGCTGTGACAGCTTTCAACACCTGGGTCGGTGCTGTCGTTGGTGGTATCCCTCCTCTAATGGGTTGGGCTGCAGCTGCTGGTGAGACTGCCACTAAGGACGGTTCATGGCGTGAGCTCCTATTTGCCAGCGATGGCTCATCCATTGGCGGCTGGGTTATGGCCGGTTTGCTTTTCGCATGGCAGTTCCCCCACTTCATGGCTCTCAGCTGGCCCATCCGTGAGGAGTACAAAAAGGCCGGTCTTCGTATGTTAGCGTGGACAAATCCCGCCCGCAACGCCCGAGTCGCTCTACGATACAGTTTCGTTTTCATCCCGCTCTGTCTATCACTCTGCGCCGCAGGAGTAACAGAATGGTCCTTCGCCGTGACCAGCTTCCCGATCAACGCCTGGCTTATCCGAGAATCCGTGCGTTTCTGGCGGTACGAGGGTGAGAAGGGCAGCGCGAGAGGTCTGTTCTGGGCAAGCGTGTGGCACCTCCCCGGCGTCATGATTCTTGCTCTCTTGCACAAGAAGGGTATGTGGAGTAGAGTTTGGAGGAGTGTGTTTGGCGAAGAGGAGGGAGAATGGGAGGAGGAAGAGCTGGATGAGATGATGAGCATGGCCGCTGATAACAGGAGCAATCAGTTGCAGCGCGAGAGACCTGTGCGATGATGTGTAGGATAAACGAATGAATATTGTAACAACAATTGTATGTATGTGAAGGGAGATAAATCTAGCATCTTGGCTGTTGTGTGCCATGATTTTGTACAAATCTCATGTATGATCATTGTAGATTATCTGTTATAAATATTTCAAGATACCAAAGGCAGTCAAACAAGATTTCTTTGTAACAAAACGCGTCAATTGCTTGTAATAAAGTCGATGCGTTACTAGACCCCCATGCATCTCCATATCGTGGTATCTCTATCTCTAGTTATACAAAGAAAACGTGCTTCGATCATTCCATGTCCTGCTAGCCACCGTTTTGAGACCGCACAAAACAAGAAACAATGATGATAAAACATTAAGCAAGTGTTAAACGCCCAAAAGAAAAACAGTAGAATAATGCGTTATTGTCGTTATAATCGCCCAGTGAAGCGCCAGAAACACCAATATCGCCCATGCTGCTCGCCATGCAGTAAAGAGAGGAGGTCGTGGATGCTGGATTATAAGGATTGACAAAAAGAATGGACGGCGAGGATGGGTGGAGTATTCGATGAGGATGAAGTTGTTGCAGAAAAGTCATGAAAGAGAGTTGTAAAGTAAGGAAGAGATGGTGAGTGTGGTGAGATGGAGATACGATCAAACACCACCTCTTCCTGGCCTGTTAATAAGATTCCCAATGCCCATATCTGTACTCTGGGGTCGTGTCAGATACTGCTGAGGACTGTTCCCCTGGCTATGCCCGCTGTGATGATGTCCGTAATGTCCCGCACTCGCATTCGAGCTCACGCTCGACGAGTACCCATGGCCGCCGTACCCAGGGGCATACGCAGGACCCAAGCTGTATTGAACGGCAGCGGCCATCTGGTGAGGTTGCAGGTGCTGGAAGGAGGCGTTGGCCGAGGCCACAACGGACGAGGCGCTGGTCTCGGGGCTGCTATAGGATGCGTCTAGTTCGTCAACCGGTGTCAGGCCCATGCCGGAGATGCCGCTGTCGTCGTCATACCCTGAGAGAGCGCCGGACTCGAGACGGTCGCGACGGGCTGCGGCGCGGGCGGCGCTTTGCAGATTCTTGAGGCCGTTGGACATGCACTATAGAGTGCGTTAGAGGATGGACTCGATATAAGAATGACGGTGGAGGATTGCTTACCTTGGCTTCGACGACGTTCCACTTCTCTCCAGTTCGAGCTGCGAGACCACTCCAGATCTCCTTCCTCATGGCCATGTACTCCTTGGCCAGACGCTGAAGCTTGAGGTTATCCCAATCATCAGCACCCTTGCGCTCCAACAGTCGCTCGTGACGCTTGCGGCACGCATTGGGAGTCTTGGTAGGGAAGTAATTCGCCTGGATCTGACCCCAGTTCAGACCCTGCATTCGTGCAGTGAGCAACTGCTGATCATCCTGAGGGGTCCAAGCTCCGGAACTAGCTCGGTGCTGTACAGGTTGAGGCACAGAGACAGGAGGGGCTGAGGATGTAGCATAGGACTCATATGTAGGTTGTTGAGTTTGGGTTTGTAGAGCGATCGACGATGCACCGGTGGTTCCCATGCCATAATAGCTCGGCATAGGCATCCGTTGCTGGTCGTATAATGGAGAAGGGGCTAAAGACACTGGGATACCCGCATTGTAGCGGTTCTGAGAAGAGCTAGGAGCTCGGGAATGTTTCGGCATCATGGATGCAACGGGTGTATAGTAACGAGAGGTGAAAGGATTCAGAGTGAATCCTGTAAAACAATTACGGATTAAACGTAAAAAGAGAGGAGAAGGCCCGGGTCAACCGGCCTGGTCTGGTCTTAGAGATGATGGCCCAAAAAGAAATGGAGAACTCGTCCAAGCAAGTTGTCCCCGTGTAAGTGAATGGGTCTAAGGAAGTCTTGAGATGAGAGAGTATATGAAACGAGAGCCAATGGTCAAGAAAGCGACAGGTTGGGAAAAGCGCTAAGTATAGAACCACAACGAGAGAATAAGGAAAATAAGGAAAAAAGGAGATAATGGAAAAGAGGGCTGAGTGTTTGTCTGAGGAATGGAGAAAGAAAAGAGACGAGGCCATGGAGGCCGGATATGAAGCAGCTTTAAGGCCCCGGGACGTGGATCACGATGTTCGAGGAAAGGACCAAGACCAATAGCAGCGTTGGCGGTTCTGCCGCTGAAACAGGAACAGATAGATGGCAAGAGGTAATGAAACAGCACACTCGTGTCTGAAAGAAGTGGTTTTCCGTGAATGGGCCGCTGATATTGGTCAAGAAGGCGGCTGTTTGAACAGCTGGGCGGTTAAGAGCAATGGGCGGTTACAGTAAATATGGAGAGATATACAGAAACTTCATCCGTGCTTCGAGCAGTAGAGGGTTTGAGCAAGCGCCAGACTCTAGGTGCCGCTGTCAAACAGGGTCCAGGTCCATGGCGAGTGTGTTAAACAGATCGACAAAGTTTAAGTCCAGAGGTGCGAGATCTTGTCAGCCAGCCGATCCGCATATGTAGGTCCCGCCCCTAACAGGCGATGGGAATAGTCGAGCGCCTGGGGAAATGAACGGGGTCGCTGCATTGCATGTGCCTGGCATGTGGTGTGAGCACAAGAGACAAGAAGAAGCGCGAAAGGGGGGGCCAGCGGGAAGGCTAAACAAGGATGCGCATCATAGTTGCGCCGGCAGATGAAACAAGAACCCTCTTGTATGTCAAGAGGAATGTTATCATGGGCATGTCGTTGAAGAAAGCGCCTTACACAGGGCTTGGTGTTGACTGTTGAGTGCTTCTCCAGAAATAAGGGTGGATCTCTGCGGCCGCTAATTGGCCTCTGGGCTTTGGAGGCGCGCGTTTAAAGTAATTAGGCGACTCTCGAAATAGTTAGCTCGGCTATTTTGGGAACCCTTGTAAGTGCTCATTGGGTTAATGATCTCACAGGTACCGCCAGTCGAGGATTGGTAGATGAGGTACAAGATGGATCGGTTTCGTGGAATGAATGACAAGCGCTTGGGCAGGGGATTAAAAAAGATCGTTGGGCGTGTAGTGAAGCATATGGTGGGACGTTTCAGGTTGTTCTACAACGGCTCACGAGTGTTGTCTTTCGCATGTTGCTTGCCTGCTATTATTTAGTGATAAGATAAGATAAGATATGACGCCCAAACAGAGCACCGGCAAAACGTTTGTCCAGAATCTGGCCGAAGAAAGCTCGTCATGATGGTGGGTAGGACAAGGGAGCAACTTAGCTCCCGCCAACGGCTCCATCCCGGGGCTCCGCGATATGTATTGAAACCTCATCGTTGGTGTTCCAATTTACAAGGAATTCTTCCTCCCATTTTTTCTTTGATGTATACCCAGCATCTCATCTACGCGTGCTCGAAGAAGTGGTGACCGTTGATGTGAACCCGCTATCAACAATATTACCAGCAGAGTGTAGTAAGCTACGTACGGTCAGACTCTGGAGAGTCTGCTTTAGTAAACTGAGCGAGAATTGATCTGAGTTCATACAAGCATCATCTGGTCTCAACTAGGGATCTGTACATAGTGTGTGTCCCTTTTAGCTGGTTGGCTGCCTAAGATTAGTGGCTTGGTCAAGGCAGGGGCAGCCAGCCTTCTCGTTTTGCCGGCCTCACGCTGAGAGGTCCTAACTTTAATCATTCACACAACTCACACAATGCATTCCAGTACGCGACCTGCTCGTCGCTTACAGACAGTCGACGTCGATGAACTATCAGATTACAAGTTAGGCGTTGCATCAATGGCCGACAACATCGCCCCCAAGCGTCGGGGAAGGCCTCCAAAGCCCCGGCCTTACGAGAAGTCGTCCACATCCAAGTTATGCGGCAGCCTACCCGGGACCAGACGGCGAGGAAGACCGCGCAAGCCTGCGAAACACTCCATAAAGCAAAAGAATGTCTCGAAGAACGTGCGGCATGCCATGTCTGACCAACAAATCGCAAAGAGATTGGGCTGGGTAATGCGCCGTCCCACGATGGGGAAACGGTTTGGCGATGCGTCTCGGGCAGTTTTTTGGCTCTCAGGACAGTGGCCGTGGGACTTGATCGCGGACTTTCTCCCCAAAAGATGGGGTATCCCGATCGTGGAAAACTTGAGAAGGCTGTTCAGAACTGTCCATCGTCGCGTCGCGACTGTTGACTATGGACATAACTTCCAAGTGGTGAAGGATTATCTACAAGGTTGTGCAACAAAACGCAGCGGGTGTCGCCCCCATCTTAGGAACAGCGATGTCAAAGATGCTTGCGACTATTTCTCGGCTCATGACTATAGAAGTGAAGCTGTGCAGACAACAACCATGAGGACTCGAATCAGGCGTATCACTACATCATTAGGGTCTGGTGAGAACAGCGGGGACGACGAAGGTGACGGTGATGACTGTGAGGATCATTCAGACGATGATATCGATAGCGACGCGGCCAGCTCGGAAGATGAATGGGAGGACTGGATTGACTACCAATACCCCGACGATGAGGAAACAGCGATGGAATGTACGGTCGCGATTAGGAAGCGCTCCAGGTCATCATCCGTACTTTCTCGAGCCCCGAAGCGTGCTTGCACAAGCGACACCGACGCTGCGGGCAATGATATGGATGATGTGATGAGTCTTGACGCATCACCTAATGCCACGAGGGAGGTAAATCCATGTCTTTCACATCCGCGATCAACCATGATCGAACACACGCAGTCCCATTCTCATTCCGACTTGGCACACACACCAAATCTGGCAGACCTCATCCCTGCACTAAAGTCGTTGCAAATCGAAAAGGAGAAACAGCTCGACGCGGCTACCCGTTCACTCCATGACATCACAGTTTCAATCCAAGCAAGCGAGTTGTCCGCATCACAATCAAGTGCCAGCAACAAGATAATCGATAGCTTATGTTCAGACATGAAGCGATATGAGATAGAAAGGGAGAAGATACTGAAAGGTAAAAGGTTCGTTGAGGAACACCACGACGATATGGCGATGGGTGCCGAGGACATTGCAAAGACCATGCAACAGTACGATGTAAGACTTGAAGAATGCGATCAATCAATCGCGCAAGCAAACGCAGGCGTGCTGGAAGAGCTGGGGCTGATCGCCCAGAAGGACTTCGATCTTAAGGCCGAAGAGCGACGGTTGTGTGTGCATCACCAAAGGGCCATTGAGGAGGTAATGCACTGCCAGACAATTGGGACACTGACGAGGCTAGGCTCATCAGGAATGACGACCTTGCTGCTTGAGCTTGAAGAGAAAAACATTGATTTGGTTGGTCTAGCTGAGGCTATCATGGTAGAAGGCGCGGTGGCTGCGAAGGAGCAGCACTCTCCTGCTGATGACTGATACAGCGAGCATTCGTCACTACTGGGGTCTACCTCGCAATACTTGAAGCGAAAACATCGATGAAACATCCCCGTAACAAACTTGACAAGAAAGAAGCGCCGATAATTTTCGGCATCAGCCGTTCGCGATTAAGCCATTATCCTCATAAACTTCAATTCATAACCCTATTCCCAAGGCTTGACTCAGTTTTATACAAGCTTTTATTAGAATGACCACTTCACAGTGGGCCATACCCAAATGCTACGCTGTGCCAAGTTGATGTTCAGTCAACTAAGGCATTTTTTTAATTGGTCAACTCATCCACAAGTGAGGTCTTGCACAGTGTAAGGTTGCATTTATCAGCGTCCTATTTACATGAACTCTAATTGCTAAATAGCCAGCCTAAACGCTATCATGACGTCAAAATGAGCTGATATTATAAGTATGCTGATATTTGTAATAATTATAGTTCTCAATCTCTCCTCTTATTTGCAGGATGAAGAAGGCGGTGGGTAATGGAAATGTTCAGAGGGCTGCAGTATGTCACTTTAAGTACTGTTTGTGAGTTTTCTCAAGTTGCCCAATTATAAGCGAGGATTTGAGCTATTTAGTGAATTACTCACCGGGTCTATCCAATTATGATCAAGCTGACTTGGCGAACACATCGAGTGACATTAACGAAGCTTTTACCGCATTTTAGTGCGAATGCAACATGATTTGAAACCAGGTTACCCCGCCTAACCCAGGTGCCTATAAATACATGGCTGTTCCTCCACCAGACATAAGACCTTATTAGACATATTCAAGAGTTCAACACTATCCAACAATCCACCACTGGTTATATAAATAAACATATAAGTCACAAGACCGCATTACTATAACATTATAATACTAAACAACTCAACCAGACTATTACTGTTATATAAATTAAGAAAATGGAAAATATTATGACAATAGCTCCTAAGCCTCGAGGACGGCCAAAGGGAAGCGTTGATAAGAAACCTCGTGCCAAGAGAGGATCAAAAATGGCTGTCAAATTCAGCCTAAAGACACTACCCAGCAAGATGTCATATGCACGCTCATCGGCCCAAAATCTAAAGATAGCCCGGCAAGCTCAGATGTCTGACTTCTGGATTAACCAGAAGCTCGGTGGGAAAAGACAGGAATTAAGCTCAGATATGCGTGCTGCCAGCGCTTCTCGCACAATCTTAAGGACCACCAGCCAATGGCCCTGGGAATGGGCTGCTGAGTTTCTTCCTGTTGAGTGGACTATTACCATATTGAACGACTTACGACAGCTTGTTCAAGGCATACAAAACAAGCAGAATCCAGGCCTGTGTGCCAATAATTACCAAAGAGTTAAGGATGCCATCGGTGAGAAAGCGCGTATGCGCGATTATCAAAATCCGCATCTGATAGATCACGACTTGCAATATGCTTTTCGCCGCTACGGGGTCGAACCCAAGCGAAGACAGATACAAGCACCAAATAGGACGATGGCAGCCACGCCTGCAACTCCTATGGCTCCCTCTATCCCTTTGACTCCGAGGATTCCCATCATCCCAGCTGTTTCACTTGCAACAATGGGCGATTCCGATTCCTCAGACGAGGGGTCTTTATTCGTCTCAGACTCGTCTTCCACTGTCAATGAGCCAAATAGTTCACCTTGCCGCAAATCAAGTATTCTTTCTATGACATCTGCAAGTAGCAACGAAGAAGCTCCGCAGCCGTGGAAACGTCCTCAGTCGCCGGTTCAGCGCCCTGAAACTCCTGAACGCACTCATGCCACTGAGCCAGAGGAGCCAGAGCGTATGGATATCGATAATGCTGTCCTGAATGAGGTTGTTACAAACGATATGATCAATCCCGGCTGGGACTTTCCGGTAAGTTTCTAATTTCAATATCTCCCTCGATTCACGCTAAGGATCACAGGCACAGTTTGTCCCAGCTCCAACGTACCGAGGCCCAGCAGATCTTGCAAGCGGTATTGAGCACCTGGAAACAAATCAAAAACAAGAACAAAAGGAGCTTGCTCAGAATATCGCCAGCTTGAAGACATCAATCCAAACTAGAGAGGCTAGCATTGCAGATAAGACGTACATGATGGCCCACAGCGAAGCTCTTGGCAAATTAAAGCAAAACCTCAAAAGCCATAATGATGAGAAAGACAGGCTGAAAAGGGGCCGAGTATGCTTCAAGCAGCACTCCAAAAATGAGATGGCCCTGGGCGACCAGCCCGTTGCTGAGACTCTCCGGTGGTATACACAAAGCCTCCAAGCCTGCGACGAAGCGGTCAAGACAACGCAAACACAAATCGACCAGGAGCGTCGAACGAACGCCCAGCGAACAGCCGACTTCAAAGCCCAAATCGATAAAGATATAGCACAACTTCAGCGGTTGGAAAATCGTGAACGAGATATAATTCGCAACCTGGAGTATTACTCTGTTGTCAAAGGGCTAATCAAGCTAGGGCCTCATGGCATGGAGACGTTGCTGACAAAACTTAAGTATGATAATATTCCAATCCTCAAGATGGTTGAGGAAGTCCAAAAGGTATGTGACTTGTAAAGGGAAGGTGTATACGATTGCTAATATGTTGAGTAGAGACAAAGTATTGCCTGAGGAACAGCAAATAAGTTATAATCAATATTATATGCCAATACTTTAATTTTATAATTATAACACTATAATTACTAAGAACTTGTTAAGACAAGATATAAAGTTTATTTATTATAAGGATTATTAAGGTTTTTTCTGGGGAGTGAAAAGACTGGAGGGGTGTGGTAACTCATTCGGTTATGGAATGTGATCGCCAGGTTGTCATATAGCTACTGTTAGACAGCTAGATCTTGGCCCGAGAGCTTTCAACAAGCCCTGAAGTGTGAAATAATATTTTTGTTTGCTGGAAATTGAGAACGTATGGTCCGTGATGTACCGATTTCCCAAAGTATCACAAGAACAACTGTCGCGGTGCGTACTATGATACACAGCTATGACAAACCATTCCATTGATAAAGTAGCGTTTCACGACAAGCAAACAGTGAGAACTCAAAGAAACCAATACAGTCATCGCGTCAGGAAGGGTGCAATATGCTGCCTAATTGATGCCTTGCATGAACTTAACTCGCATAGCTAGCTGTATTTGGATGCGTTTCACCATTCGACTTAGGGTAGGCATCAACTCCAACTGACACAAAGAACCAGAGGACCATGGAACCAACAGATCATGCCGTTGTCAGTTCCAGCTCGTCATTGTTGCATATGTACATAGCCACAAAAGAAGGCTGACCAGAACACGCCTTACGGTGCACCCATCCTCTGCCTTCACTCCACCTGCTAATTGATCTTGTGATGCACACGATTGCCGATCCTGCCAGGTATAAGACCACCTGCATGCGAACAGCAGGGATATGAAACTGGTCTGACGATACAGAACTACAGGAAAATAATAAGCCTCAATTCTCACTGCAGACTCTATATGCGATGCTGTAGACAGCCACTAGACAGTGGAAGTCTTCCTGCAGGTCCACGTATACTTACTGGTCAGCATCACACCAAAACGGTTGCCTCTTCAGTGCGCCTTTCAACCACCCCGTATGTAGGTAGTGATACATCATGCAGGGTCAGACGGTACAGGGCGGAATAGCGAGCGAATGCGCCGTGCAGCACCAGAAGTTCTCAATGGCAAACATCAGCCTCATGACACATAAAGAGGCCTCAGCATCCTCAAATCCCCCTCAGCTACATCTTTCTCATTCTCAAACATGGCTTCAAAATCACCAAGCAGTAACAATCTCTTGACCAGTGGCTTCATGGCAAGCCTCATAGAGAGCCTCTTCCCCTCTTCTGCAGGACCCCCCTCGGTCGCATTCCTGCTGTACCTCACCCCGTTTGTCGCGCAGGCATTCAAAGACTCTTTCAAGACGCAGTTCGTCTCGACTGTCGAGATTAAAGCGGACGATGAGATCTTTACCTACGTCATGGGCTGGGTCGCCAGGAATAGCAAACTTTCGCGCAACAACCATCGCCTTCTTGCTTCAAGTAGCACCAGCAGTGACGAACATACCCTGATTGGCCTCAGACAGAAGCAGGATGATAGCGATGTCGATGATGCAGCTGACAACCTCGATGGTGAAGAGAGTCTGGATGCTTTGAGATCAAATATATCGCTCTACAATGCACGCCCCCTCCATTGGACGCCTTCTATGGGGACGCATCTTTTCACGTTCGAAGGCTGTCTCATCTCGTTTACAAGAGTTATTGAGACTTCCGAACCGGCTATGTTCGGCCGCCGATCAGAGCACGTCAAGATGTCCTGCCTCGGCAGAAACCCCGAGGTTCTCAAGCGTATTATCTACAATGCGCGCTTCGAATACCTCGAGAAGCAGCGTGGTCGGACGAGCATCTACCGTGCCGTCAAAGCTTACGGCGATGACCTCGCCTGGACAAAGTGTATGTCCAAGCCTACGCGGCCCATGTCGACCATCGCGCTGGACGAGGCACTCAAGAAGGGTCTCATCAAGGATCTCTCACGCTATCTGAATCCCCGCACCAAGAATTGGTATGCGACGAGGGGAATCCCGTACCGTCGAGGCTATCTCTTCTCTGGCCCGCCAGGTACCGGAAAGACAAGTCTGACCCTTGCAGCTGCTGGACTCATGGGCCTGAACATCTACATGATCAGTCTGAGCTCGCCAAATCTGTCGGAAGACAGTCTAGCCACGTTGTTCCGCGACCTGCCCAGGACGTGTCTAGTTCTGCTGGAGGATATTGATGCAGCGGGCATTAGCGACAAGCGAAAGAAGGCCAAAGACGAAAAAGACGGCCCGCCCAAACCTCAGCGGGAACCCATCTCGCTATCTGGATTGCTCAACGTCATCGATGGCGTTGGCGCACAAGAGGGCCGAGTGCTAGTCATGACATCCAACCACATCGAAAACATAGACCCAGCCCTCCTACGACCCGGCCGAGTTGACTTTTCTGTCGAGTTCGGCCTGGCATCCTCCGAGACCATCACTCAATTATTCAAGTTGATGTACGGGACTTCATACGACAACGTTGGAGAGAAAGAAGCGGAAAAGTCGATCTCTACGACAGCTTCCATCGACGCTTTGGCAGAGGAGTTTACGCGAAAGGTTCCTGAGCTGGTGTTTAGTCCTGCGGCTATGCAGGGATATATGCTCATGTATCAGGATGATCCGCTTGGTGCTGTTGATGCCATTGGCGGGTGGGTTGATGAACAGCAGAAGACAAATGAGAAGGCTGAGACGGTTGAGATCTCTGGAGATAAGGAAGTGAAGACTAGCACTAATTCTGAGAGTGAGGCGGAGAAAACTGAGACTTTGGAAACAACAAAGTCTTCAGAGATGACGAATGGAGCATGATGGAATCTGAACTAGAGCAATACTCAACATGACTGTCCGATATGACAACCTGAACAGTTAAACATCAACACAGCTCACAAAATTACAGCAAAAGTTTCATGTCTTGACGTATCTTTTATATCATGATATCTATTCTAGTCAACCATCTACAGCTTCCACCGTAGCAGAGTAAACGAGTGCTTAGGGAACGTAAACAAGCCCTCGCCATTCCACTTGGACTCCTTAATTCCAACCTCCTCCTTCTCCGCCGTGTTAACGACCTTGACATCCGCACCATTAACAGTATGCACCTCGACCTCCTTTCCAGCCGTAAGACCCTTGAGCTCTGTCTCGAAGTCCTTCTCCTGGTGGATGTTCACCACGGCGAGGTTCACAACGCCGTCCTTGTCCAGCGCTGCGCTGACGTCCAGCCAGGGCGTCTCGATGGCGCCTCTGATCCACGCGGGTTGTGTGTCGCCCAGGTACTCGCCTCCGCGGAGGTTGACGGCGATGGTGGAGCCGCGCATGTACTTGCTGTACAGCAGGAGGGGCCACCAGGTAGATTGTTTGAGGATGCCGTCCTTTGTGGTCATGAGCGGGGAGATGACGTTGACGCTCTGGGCGATATTGGCCATGCCCATGTGCTTGGATTGGCGGATGAAGACGTTGAGCCAAACAGCGACGGCGAGGGCGTCGGAAAGGTTGTACTTCTCCTCTGCGCCTTCTTCACCGGGGGCGCGCTCAGGATCCCAGACGTTCCACTCGTCGAAGCAGATCTTTTGGCGACGGACGGTGGGAGGGACGTTGTTCTCAATGCGGGCGAGATCGATGAGGCCGGCTGCGATCTCAATGGCACGCTCAGCAGATCGAGGGGCTGTGCTCTGTTAGTTTCCATCCCAATGACGAGTGAGACAGATATACATACCAGTAGCGTTCTTGTAGTGATCTGAGCTAGCAGTGTAGATGTGAATACTGTGCTGATCGATCAGACTAGCAGTGGTACTTCCACCGAGTCCATGGATATCAAACTTGATGCACTCCTTAATGACATACGAGTCCCAGGTGCTGTGTCCAGTCTCACCGCAGAGAATCAGCTCGACGCTGGGATCTAGGAGCTTGATGGCCTTGGCCCACTGGTAGGCCTTCTTTGCGTAGTCCTCCTTTGTCATCTGGCCGACTTGCCAAGCTCCCCACATCTCGTTACCGAGAGCCCAGTACTTGACCTGCGAGTTGTTAGTTCATGATATAATAAAAAAGGGAGAGGGTTTGACGTGCATTGTAGGGCTTTTCGCGGCCGTTTTGACGACGGAGGTTGGCGTAGTAGCTAGGTCTGTCAGAGTTGCAGTACTCAACCCAGGCCAGAGCTGCGGAAGTCAGTATTTTGCCTTGAGGGAGATGAATCGTGAGACGAACCTTCATCGAGAGTTCCTGGACATTATTAGCATGCCGTTCTGTATAGTGGTCATCTGCTCAAGACTCACCAGTTCCAAAGTTAAGGCAGAAATAAGGCTCAGTGCCTACGACCTCACACCACTTGAGAAACTCATCTGTACCAAACTCATTGCTCTCGGTACCAATCCAGGCAAGTTCAGGTCTACCAACAGTCAATTCTCACTCCCGGCAGCAAGTCAAAGTCAAAGGAGCTCACCTAGCAGGTCTCTTCTCCTTGGGGCCGACACCATCCTGCCAGTGATACGTCGCAACAAAGTTACCGCCGGGGTACCGCACGACAGGGCAGTTCAGCTCTTTCATGGCCTCGATGACATCTTTGCGGAAGCCGTTCTCATCGGACAGGGGGTTTCCGGGGTCGTAGATGCCGCCGTAGATGCAGCGACCCATGTGTCTGGGGATGTCAGCGGGCAATCAATCATTGGTAGAGTTGGTGAGACATACTCTGTGAAACCTCCATAGATGTTATCTTCGATCTTGGAGAGGACGGCACTGGGGTCTACTGAGATGGTAGGACGCTCATCGTCCGCAAGGCGAGTAAATGTAGCCATGATGAATTTACTAGCACAACAGTCTCTCAATCTCAATTCTCAAGAGGTTGATATGTAGAGAGAAGGGAACCAGAGAAAGGGAATATCACAATTTATGGCTCGTCTTTCCCCTCAAAAACCACATTTCCCCCATCTCCAATCTTTCCCACGAACCCCTCATCTTTAACCTCCACCTGTCAGTCAGGCGGTACAGATACGCTATCAATCATGTCACCGTAGCCAAAACCCCTGCTCGTAGACCCCTGGTTCGCGCGCTTCCTCCACGTCTCCTCTTTTCGCCGGTGATTGGTGCGCTTGATGTCTCTGTGTGTTAGACACGAGACAACCCCAGACCCAAGTTAGCAGACGCTTTGTTAGTCTATTCTCTGTTCTCCACCGCCCTCGGTTTGCTTCGCGCGCCAACCATAGATTCTCCCATGTTTTTGGGATTAATCTTGAGCCTCCTGACACATTTCAGAGCCGCAAATGCGCGCTCCAATCGGAACAGCAGGGCAATGCTATAATCTCCGGGGCACTGACGTCTATCCTTTCCAATATCAAACAGGACACTCCGCCAACAGCCAACAACTCCACAGAAACCGTGCATCTCCTCTCTCTATGTACATTCTTTTGTTCCCCAGGCCTCGGATGACAACAACAGAGACACTCCACCTCCGTGGGGAAGACCGTTAGGCGAACTCCAGCTTTTCTGGCAACAAAGTTATCGTACCCCATGGGACCCCATGGGACTCGCAGCCTGACCCAGCACTAACCTAAACTAAACTTGTTTTTCCCTTCCTCTGTCTCCTCATGGGCGGAATGAAAAGCCGTTGAGTGATCCCGTCCAAAGTTCCCTGCACCGATACTCGGATCATGACAAACGTCCCTCTCAAGCTTCGGTTACTCGGAACTGAACCCTGTCGTAAAAGAACAACAGTGCGTAGACAAATGTATTTAAATAGAGCCCGTTGATCGCCAAGTATTCTTCTTCTGTGTGTCTTCATCTGTCTTGTTAAAAACAAAAGCAGTCAAAAACTGCTTCTTTCCATCATGGCTCTCCCTCCTAGAGTGTACCAGTTCCTGGTCGCCATCTTTGCCTCACTTGGCTCTCTTCTATACGGTTATGATCTTGGTGTCATTGCCGAGGTGATTGCCTCTGGCAACTTCAAGAGCAAATTCGGCGATGATCCTAATGCCACGTACGTTTTATCCGTTTGCTTCTTCTTGGGTGCTTGACTAACACGATGTAGCGGTGCCGTGGTATCGGTCTTCACAGGCGGTGCTTTCTTTGGCGCCATGTTTGCTGGTTACGCTGGTGATCGCATCGGTCGCAAATGGACCATCATGATCGGTGCTCTTATTTTCTTATTGGGAGGTGGTCTTCAAACCGGAGCCGATCATATCAATTATCTCTACGCAGGTCGTGCTCTTGCTGGCCTCGGGTATGTCTCCTGTACAACTCTCACATATCCCCAACTAACACCCTCAGCGTCGGTTTTCTCGTCATGATCGTCCCCGTCTATCAAGGCGAGCTTTGCCATCCTGACATCCGCGGCCGTGTCACATCCCTCCAGCAATTCATGCTCGGTATCGGTGCCCTCGTCGCCACGGCCATCGGCTACGGAACATACACCGGTCTCGACGACGATAACTCGGGCCAGTGGCGTATCCCTCTTGGAATCCAGAACGTCCCTGCTTTCTTCCTCGCTGCTCTTATTCTGTTCTTCCCCGAGTCTCCTCGTTGGTTGATTGACCACGGACGCGCGGAGGAGGGTCTCCAGACCCTTGCCAAGCTTCACGCTCATGGTGACGTTAACGATACCTGGGTCCGGGCAGAGTTTGATCAGATCCAAGAGCGTCTTGCTCTTGAGCATGAGGCCTCTGCTAAGAGCTACAGTGAGCTCTTCACTGACAAGTCCTGCTTCCGCCGTCTCTGGCTTGCCATTTCCGTGCAGGTCGCTGCCCAGATGACCGGTGTCAGCGCAATTCAGTACTACTCCGTCGCCATCTACGCCAAGATTGGTATTCAAGGCGACGAGACCCTCCGATACCAGATGATCTCCTCCGTCATCGCCCTCATCGCCCAGTTCATCTGCATGGTCGTCATCGACCGCACCGGTCGTCGCTGGCCCCTTATCGGCGGCAACATTCTCAACTGCATCACCTTCATCATCGCCACTATCCTCCTTGCTAGCTTCCCTCCCGGAGCCGAGAGCGCTGGTGGTGGTGCAGCTGGCTGGGGATTTATTGTTGTCACCTGGGTGTACAACTTTTCCTTCAGTGCTACCTGTGGACCGTTGTCTTGGATCATCCCCGCTGAGATCTTCGATATGAAGACCCGTGCTAAGGGTGTTTCCGTGGCTACTATGATGTCCTTTGCTTTCAACACCATGATTGGCCAGACCACCTCTGTCGCTCTCGACGACAAGACCGGTATTGGCTGGAGATGGTACATCCTCTTCATTGTAAGCTCACTCCCCAACATGTCTCTTCACTGTGCAAATACTAACGAATTTAGGTCTGCAACTTCACCAACGCCGTCTACTTCTGGGCAATCCTCCCTGAGACCGCTAACCGCCCCCTCGAGGAGATGCGATATCTCTTCACCGAGGCTCCCTTGTTTGTTCCTCTTATGGACAGTTCCAAGTTTGCCGCTGGTCAGGATCTTGAGCGTCGGGTTGAAAAGGTTGAGGAGAAGCAGGAGCTTGAACACCGCGATTAGATGTGGGATGAGGTGTAGTCTTGTGTCTAGGTTAGATAGTCTCTTGTTGTAGCGTTTTATGAATTTATAGGATATTCAATAATATCCAGTAATTCATAGGAAATTTCACAAAAGTAAAAAACGATCATAAGGTGCAATCTCAAATTCGACCAGGTCACGTCCTATCGTCGAGTCTGCCAACAACCCAGTGCTCTCCCAACTGACGGCAACATAAGACTTCAGTATGCATTATTTATTCGTTACTCGTAATTGTTACTCTTCTAGACATATTCCAGCTACCGATCAAGTCCCCCATTAACCTTCGAGTTATCCATGTTTCTTAATCATTCCAGCCAAACCCCTACTCCAAAACCAGGTTCCTACCCCATAAGCAGCTCATCAGCAAATCCCTCAACCGCCTCCCTCAACTGATCCAAAACACCCTCCTCAGTCCAAAAATGTCCCGCTGTCTCAATCTCCTTCCCTTTAAACAACGATCCTGGTTTCCCCTCCATTCTTGCTATCCAATGCCTGAATTTTCCCACTGACGAAAACCCATCTTCGTCTCCAAATACGACAAGCGAATGGTTTCGAACCAACTTCTCTTCTGCTGCCACACCGTGCGGATCTTTGTTCTTTACCAGCGCCGAAGGCAAAGGGGACAGGGTCAATAGGTGGGTGAAGATTCCTTGGGGTGGCGAGATCGTGAGATAAGCAGGCCTCGGCATGGTGAGATCCGTCATTCTGGGTAGATGCTCTCCAGGCTCAGGCTGAACGACACTCGTTGGCATGTTTTGCGACACGTTCCTTGAATGTCTTCCCACTTTCGCCTTAGCGATGAAATCATGGACGCCTCGTCGAAATCTCTCGTCATCAAGTGAAAAGCTCCTTCTCGCACTAGATTGGCTACGCCGTGGACTACCCCCCTCATCACCACCAATTCTGACACTTCGCTTACTCCTCCCTCTCAACGATCCTTCCATCATCGCAGAGCGAGCGCTCGCTAGAATGATGTTCTGTTGCTCAGCAAGATGCTCAGCTCGAAGACGAACCTCTGCAGCATCCGAGCCAGCAATGGGAGATATAAACGGCTGCAATATGGCGTCGAGGGGAGGTATATGTGTAACTATCATGGCGCCGTATGAGTAGCCGGCCATCAAAAGGACAGGCCGTATTCGAGGCGCTGAGGTGATAGCTGCATCTAAACTAATAGGCGTTTCCAGATTCGTCGGCGTCGAAGGCTCGGTTTGTAGAACACTACCCCAGTGCGGTCGAAAAGGATCGAGGTAGTGCACATAATGTAGAACAAACGCAGTGACAGTCGCATAATCTTCTCGTTCGGGTTTCGCAGTCCACGAAGTACGTCCCGCAGAGCCGTGTGCGCCTCTACACCCATGAACACGCTGCTGCCATCACAGGAAACAAATAAACCTACCGGAAATTAAAAGTCCCTACCAGAAACCCCTTCCGCAACAACTGCGCAGCCACAGCTCCCACCACGGGATCATCATAGCACCCTCCCATGGGGGCATACGGATGAGCCACGACAGCGGCGTGCTTCAGCCATGCCGGCGCTTTTGAGCTTGCGGAGAGCGAGAAAGGATGATAGATGCGACAGTCGAGAGTCAACCCGTCGCTGATGCTGGGGAGGGTTAGTGTGAGTGTTGGTTCTGGAAGCATCCTGGTGGTGTCATAACATATTGGTGAATTGAATTGAAGCTGGTTTATATGCAGGAGTGGAAGATGGGAATGATGGATGACATGGGATTGTGGAGGAAATACGTCAATCCGGGAGCACAGACGGGGAATTTCAGCCGAGATCCGGAACGGGACAATCACAGGCAAAAGAGCACACACACTACGTAATGAAACCTGGGGTAATTCTGCTTATTTCCGTGCCGAGAGCATAATTGGCTTTTTTACAAACTTACTCAAGATTCGACCAAACTGCGGCAGAGACGAGACTGTCAGTGGTGGAGCATGTTGATCACGGCGTTCAGGTACCCACAAGCATACGCGCATGAAAACAAGTACATAATTAATGCTCATATCTAGTTATACTCTATGCCATCATCCATGTCGCTCATTGAGCCTTCTTCTCTCCTGCATCCTTAGCCTTCTGTCTCCTCCTTTGAAACCACCGTCTAAGCTCGTTGATCAACCCCATCACCAGCGGAACGCCCACTGGTCCAAGAAGCGGTAGGTAAACCGCAATCTTGTGCTCGTCGGGAAAATACAGCTGACCTACCATACTCTTCTCAAAGAACGCCCGCTCTGCCTCCTCTTCCGCGATTCTAGCGTGCAAGAGTCCAGAGGGTGCACCCAGGCTGGTACATGCTTTTTGGAGGTGGTCCATTGTCGAAGCGACACCATCGGCCACGCTGTGAGGGATGGAGATTGAGGGTAGAGCAAGGGATAGTCGTGCTAATGAGCCCAGAGTTGATGAAGCGCGAAGCAGTAGATCGGCCGACCTGATGCGAGATAGTGTGGATAGTCTCAAAGACAGGGACCCCGATTGAGGAGTACCCAGAAGTGATAACAGATGTCCAGTGAATGTAAGCATCGGCTGCTTGAGCGTCTCACTGTATACATGTGTAGTCGTCTCGGGAAGCTTGAGAAGGTACACACTGCCCCACTGCGGGAACATCCACGACTGTGCCGTCTCTGTCTCCGAATCGAGACCAATTTGTTGGTCCCCAATGTAGATAACAAAGTTAACTGTCGGAGCGCCTGCAATTGATGGTGATAGAGGCCATTCGGCAGCGTTGATGAAAGATGCAAGGTCCTCCTTGCTCAACACCTGCGATTGCGCACCTGGTGTCGCATAAAGTTGCACCTGAGTATCAATTGTAAAGTTGTGGATCGGTCCCAACACATCCAGCATGGGTTTCATGTATTCCTCAATCGCCTTCTCGATATCCCAAGTACTAGGAGCAGCGCCTGCGGTGAAGAGGGAAAACGTGAGGTGGTATGTGGGCGAGTATCGTAGGGATCGGGTTGTTCGCTTAGACAGCATATCAACTATCTCGGGGGTCAAGCCTTGAGGTTTGGTATCAAGAGCCGAGGAGGTCGACAATAGGTAGGAGATGATGGATTGTTCTTCGGAAAAGGTTGATTGGAGCTCGTTTGCGATGTAAGTTGCGAGGGCGGAGGAAGATGAAGATGCGGAAGGGATTGCGTTGGAGGGATAAACGATGTTGAGAACGGCAGAGTCGGGGTCTAAAGAAGCAGAGTTGCTCTCGCCGGGCGCAAGTTGGATTGTCAGGGCGACATGCGAATCGTCATCGGCAGCGGGTGATGGTGAGGCGCCACCCTTTGAAGCAAGTTGCAGGCGAAGGTGGTGACCCGAAAAGTCGTTATGATCATCGAGAGCATGCTGTGTCAATCGGACGAGGTTTTGCGCTTCGTTCTCTTGCAGCGCATCAGCCTTGACGGAGATTTGGAGGGGAAAGACAGGACGGCAAGCCTGGCCAACATTAGCACACTGACAATCGCAAACGAAGACGATATCTCACCTTTCCCTCTGCCCATTGCATCATCTCATCGAGAGGGAGATTTGCGCGATAGATAGTAGTCGTCTTCCACCAGATAGGTACACCAAGACAGAGGACAAGCAGCCAAAAGGAGATAACGATGCGAGTTCTCCTTGAGATGTCGGAGGGCTTCTCAGGAGGCGGCTCAAGTTGTGCCTGAGAAGGAGCGGGCGGCGCCGCGGAAGTGTCTTGGACGTCGTCCGGCGCCATGATGCCGTCCAGGAGAAATATAGGTTGAAGACTACGGCGGGGAAGTTGGCGAGTTCCTCATCAAAGCTCCCTGTCAATTCGATGCCCATGGTGGAGGGATGGAGCTTAGCTTAGACACGACATCACGATATCACGTGAGATCGGCGAGTACAAGTGCCGACGCCGATCATGAGAGGTCATCTCATGAAAAGTCCAGCGAAGACAGACTGACATTTACCTCTAGGATAAGACAATTCTGATAAATTGGGATAAGTTTCATTTACTGACAATTCTCGACTATACGCTTCTTCAACATACGTGAGGAATAGAAAATACCGGTGCAACTATCACTTCAATGCTTAAGTCTAAACATAGGTACCCACTTACTGTCCTTGTCTAACACTCAAGGCCCGAATGTCACTCGAAACGTTGGAAATTTTAATCACACCAGAGCGAATGGATGAAAGGTTTTAACGTTAAATCAGCCCAAGCCCAAGTAACCCGGCTGGGGTCTGTAGATTTATAATAATGTTTAATATCTATCAATTGGGTTTGATGTAGTATACACACCCCACAGTGTAAGGCGTGGGTTTCGCAAATCATACAAATCACTGTGTCTGCATACATGCTAGGTGCATACATAGAGTAATCATTACTCGAAAATAGACTACTAATCTGATCAATTTCAGCCCTGTGAGAGGCCGTGCTGACTGCAACCAAGATACCCGTTAGGAGATCGCCAGGAACCGTCAGCAATTGGACACCATTAAGCGCAAACGACGATCTTTTCTTTTAGTCATGTAGTCTAGCACAGGATTCTCCATGGACGGTATCTCAATAATTAAACAAAAGCTCGTTTGGTCTCTCTCCCATCGCTTTGCTCTACATTCTTTCTCTCCCCCTCATTTGGATGTGAAGATGCTGCGCCGTATTCAGAAGCCGAGGCATCACACAATGATCTTCGAAGTGGTTGCATCCTGTTCGAATTTGGTAATTCTGGCGCCCTATTCAGGATTGCACAACTCACTCATTATAAACATACTATGACCACCATACTCCAAACTCAACGATTTACTTCCCTCTTAAATCGAAGTCTGCTGTCCTCTTGACCGGTAGTACGCATTGACGCTACTTCGTCCTTGTAAACCTTCAACATCGGACTTCGGTGCTATAGTGGAGAGCTGTGTCGTCACCTCATATCGCTATCAGCTCACTGACCCACGTCTACGACCTACAGTCGTCAACTCCTTCTTTTCTCATCACAAACCAACATTTAATTCAGGCGCAAGATGCCTCGTAAGTTGCTCTCTCTCGCTCCGAGTCGACTCAACTAATCCTCTAGTCCCCCTCGCAATAACCGCTCCCGCAATCGCGGCCTCCCTCGCCTACCTCAACGCCCGATCATCAACCTGGTACGACCTTTTTCTCCTTCGATGCGTCACCACCGGCGCATCGCGCATGTACTATCGCGAATGGGCCGATCGCCTTAATCTCTTCTACCTCCTCGAGAATATCGCCACGAAATCTTCTACTTCTGACCGCGCTCTACTCATCTTTGAAGGCAAGCGTTATTCCTACGCAGATGTCTACGATCGTGTGTTGCGCTATGGTCAGTGGCTCAAGACGGAACTTGGTGTGAAGAAGGGTGATATTGTTGCGCTGGACTTCCAGAACTCAGAGACATATATCTTTGTATGGTTGGGGCTTTGGAGCATTGGTGCTAAGCCTGCGTTTCTCAACTACAACCTTTCTGGAGCGTCGCTGGTCCATTGTCTAAAGGCTGCCACGACAAAGTTATGTATCGTGGATCCCAATATCGAAGAGAACGTTGGCCAGGATGTTCGCGACGAGCTTAAAGATATTCGCTTCGTCGTTCATACGCCAGAAGTTGAAGCCCAAGTTGCCGCCACTGAGGCAGTTCGCGCGCCAGACTCCGAACGTTCCGAAAAAGGCCTTTCAAGTATGGCGATTCTCATTTACACTTCCGGAACAACCGGTATGCCAAAGGCTGCCATTGTGTCATGGGGGAAATTGATCGTTGCTGGCACGATGTCTGAGCAATTACTGAATCGTTCAAAGGGTGACATCATGTACTCAGTAAGTTTTAACACTTCCTCATCTCATACCATGCTAACCATTCAGTCAATGCCCCTGTATCACTCCTCCACGACAATCTTTTCTTTCAGCGCAACCCTCCTTTCCGGCAGCACTCAAGCGTTAGGTCGCAAATTCTCAACAAAGACATTCTGGAACGAAGTTCGTGACTCGGGCGCAACATCCATCCTCTACGTGGGTGAGACGCTTCGATATCTAGTTTCTGCACCACCACAATACGACCCCGAGACAGGGGAATGTCTTGACAAGAAGCACAACGTCAAAGTGGCTTTCGGTAATGGCTTGAGACCAGATATCTGGAACGAATTCAAGGACCGATTCGGCGTGGAAGGTATTTGCGAGTTCTACGCCGCCACAGAAGGAACCTTTGCGACCTTTAATCTCAGCAAGAATGACTTCACTGCCGGTGCTGTAGGTCGCAATGGCTGGGTTTACAATCTTCTCCTGAGTTTCTCTGTTGCTCTCGTCGAAGTTGATTGGGAGACTGATCTTCCACGTCGTAGCCCCCAGACAGGTAGATGTTACAAGTCTCGTACTGGCGAACCAGGTGAGATGCTCTTCCGCCTACCGTCTAGTGACCCGTACCGTCGCTTCCAGGGCTACTACGGCAACAAAGCTGCTACAGAAGCCAAGATCATGCGTGACGTGTTTAGCAAAGGCGACACTTGGTTCCGAACAGGTGACATTGTCCGATGGGATAGTCAGGGTCGCATCTTCTTCCACGATCGAATTGGCGATACGTTCCGCTGGAAGGGTGAGAACGTATCCACAGCCGAAGTTGGTGACTCCCTGTGCAAACACCCCAGCATCAAAGAGGCAAATGTATACGGTGTATCTTTACCGCACCACGACGGTCGAGCAGGTTGTGCAGCAGTACATATCGCGTCAGGTCCCACACCGGAAGTCATGCAGGACATAGCAACGCACGTGCGTGCTGAGCTTCCCAAGTACGCCAGACCTTTATTTTTACGCATCGTGAGCGAGTTGGGAGGTGGACAAATCACAGGAACTATGAAGCAGCAGAAGCACACCTTGCGAGAAGCTGGCGTTGATCCCAGTGCTGATAAGAGTCTGGGCGAGGTATACTGGCTCAAGGGGGAGGCTTATGTACCTTTTACGGAGAAGGATTGGAATGAGATGCAGGGTGGTAAGGTGAAGTTGTAGGATATAGCGATCTTTTTATTGATAGGATACCCATAATGATAATTTTAGCAACTTTCAGTTTCTATGCGTTTGTTGTCTAGCATACCGTTTCTTAATAATGTGGAAAGTTGTAGCTTGGCCTACAGTAGGTGCAGACTTGGTTACGTGAGACACCAGGATGGTGAACGACCGACATAATGTCGACCTAAACAGCTATCAATACATGGCATCACTGTACAAATGATATTGATATATTGTTATGTACCTCGATGGCTATATTCTCAGAGACGGCAAAAGACGGCAAAAGCTGTCCGGGATATTCTGTTTATCTGACGCGGGCTGTTGAATCTGTTTGTCATGAGAATACAGGGTAACCATCCATAGACAACGTGCCGCCTCAGAATCATATCACCAATGCTAGCTGCGAATAAACACGTCCATTGCCAATACCTGTTATGCTTGTCAGATATTCTTTACGCATTGGAACATTGATATCTCAAGTGATAATAACTATACGAAACAGATGTTTCTTTATACCACACTCTTGGTTCTCCATGGCACACATAGATTCCGAAACTAACTACACCTATGCTCATTTGGCACCCTTGGCATTCATGCTGACGATGTTTGTAGAAACGCCAAGATTAACACACACAGATGTGATTAGAATAACTCTAAGTGAAACAAAGTGATATTACCTCTATAATAGCAGTCAATTATACGGTAGAACTGCTGTATTACACAAAACATCAGTTACCAGTTCAGGCCCTGCATCAAAGGTAAGTACGGAGTATTTACTATCCTAACTGAGAGACTGATGATCCCCAAGGACAGATGGTCAGGAGCAACTCGGAACCATTTGTCCATACAGTTTAATTGTACTCCGTACGAATCATTGATCTGTCTGCTCCCAGGCATGCAGATATTTGCATCGTTATGACACATGGATGAACCCAGGAAACCGGGCTCAACAGGGGGGCCCATGTTGGGTCAAACGAGCTAAGCACAAGCCCAGGGCTTCCAATCTTCTAGGCGCTGTCAGTCTTCTTAGGGGGTGCCGCCAACCAACTTCCATCCGTGGCTAGGGCTAGGGGGGAACCGAGGGACGGGTTCAGATCCAGTGTTAGAGACTAATTTAATGCTCTGGCACGGGCGTCTTTTACTATGCACCTAGAGGCACCCGACGGGATAATACTCAATTCGGACTTACGTAGTAAGCCACCGGTGCTATTTTACTCCATTTATCGATGTTCCCCTGACGCGTGATTAGTGCTTAGAAGTTGGAGGTAGTCAGCGCTTCTCTGTTACGCCGCAGTTGGGTCAATTATCTTGGGCTTTGCTGATTGGTTACTTCGTCTGATGTTGCTTGTCAGGTGCATGAACTATTTCGTCTCGTTTCTCCTGAGATGGATCCAACGTCTCCTATACTATTACTACAAGGTATCTTGATAAGTTCATGCCGGCAATTGTTCTCTCCTCTCTTCTGAAACACCCCATTTGGCCCCCTTTGTCGTCATAGTCGATCTCAATCGGATACATACCAGCTTTAATATGTGTCCCCTGTGCCTGTGTCTGCACACCTAGCCCTTCCTTTCTGTCCAGGGTAACGATGCCACGAGGTGTTTAACTTTGGGCTACACACTACGGTACAATCCCTAGAGGATCCGCTCCACCGTTCCCATTTGCTAGGGGACCAACAGCCGCTAGAATGGGGCTGATGGGTTTCGAGGACAGCATGGCAGATGAATGGGCATTTTTACGAGACAGAATACATCGAGGCATAACGTTCAGTATCCTGACCAACCAGATATAATGTTTCCTGCATATAATATGGCTAAAACAATGTGAAAGAAACATGCGTATCCGTATGCGCTTACTACTGTACAATGCTTGCAGCGTCAGAACCCTGATCGCAATAGGTCAATCACACTGGGAAGCTCACAACCCCCTCCTCAAGCCCGTAACTTTTGTCGTCGGGCCCGTGCGTTCAGCTGCCAAATGTCTCCCCTACCTCCCTAGGTACCCTGTCACTTCACCTCACGACATCGATTGCATTGGCTCAATCTCTTCATCGCGACTTCAGGGCCTGTCGATTTCCGCGGACCCTGTTGTTTGTCGCTGTCGCTGTTCGCTGCTTTTGTCCCTGGCATATGTCGGTCAGTCACAAGGGAAAGGACAAAAAAACACGCGCTGTTTCGTGCATGCAGGCAAGGCAGGCTACCTACGGCATTCAACTTTTTGCACTTTTCCCGACCTCCTGAGTCTGAGCCCTTGCATCGCTAGATTCTCTCCTTTGATCAACGTCTGCCCCGTATCGTAGTAACGGTCTTCAAAGTCGAATTATTACAGTACGTATCATCCCTACACAGACTCTGCCCTGCTTGCCCTCTCCCTGCCTCCACCGCGTGGCCCTTGTCTCGTCCGTCCCGCCCCGTCCCTGTCGTTCTTATCCTCCTTTGGATACCCATCTCGGACCTGTCTCCAGACGGAGCCTCTTCCCCCGCGACCGTTCAACCGCCACGACTCTTCCGCTCTTCCGCCTCCTAGGACTCCTCGTTTCGTCTCATCTCGTGTGTCTCTTGGCCCTTGACGACGCTCTAGTCTCCAGTCCTTCCACGATTCGATCAGCGTTCGGTTCCTCGCTTACCCTAACTGTCTACCTGGTCCTGTTCATCTGGCCCTGTCCTGACCCATCTTTGGCGGTGACGGGACGCCCCTGTTCTTCACCGGATCGTACTCACGATCTCCAGCGCAACGTCTGTCGGGTTTGCGATATCCTTATCCTTTGCCTTGGCTCCCGTCTTCTGGACCTCTTGTTGCTTGTCCTTCCTATTCGGTTAGCTCTTTGTTCAAGCTCCTTCACTCTTCCCCGCCATCGCCAGTCGTTACATTGAGTCACATTTGTCGCCTCATGTTGTCGTTCACAGCCTCTAGACAGACATCATGGTTGACTCTCCAGAACTAACAATCCGTCAGGATTTAACAGGCAACGACGACAATCCTCGCTTTCCCGATCTCGTTTCCGACGATAAGCCGACCGGTCGATACACTCCTGATATCCTCGCTGGTGTGTATCGAGGCATTCGAAAGTTGCCTTCTGTCAAGCTCTCTCGAAGCCCCTCACGACTGCATCTAAAAAACTCATCGAATAGTTTGCATTCGGCCAACTCCTCTACCTCGAGCGTCCAAGCTCCTATCACGAGCGAAACATCGCCTGCTCAGCATGTTCGAAACTTGACTCTTCAATACAGCCTGTCGAAACCTCTACCACGATCACCGCCCTGTCAAGATTCGGCACCCTCAATAGATTCAACATCCCCCAATCTGCCTAGTGTACCAGAGGGGGAGATCACCTCACTATATTTCTCCGAGCCGTCACCTTCAACATCGCCTCTACCGACACCACCGCCGAAGTCGGAGAGTTACCTGCACAGCAGGTCAGGTACCATGGAATCAATGAATGCCTCGCAATCGCAGCACCCATATGGTGCTCACGAAACCAACAACAGCATGAGCAGCGTGTCCAATGCCTCGAGATACGATTCCCAAGATCCCAACGATAATCTCAAGCCGAGAAGTACCTCAACTTCTGCTGGGCCATCACCAAATGTGGCACAGGGGCGGTCAAACCCCGTTGGTGGACCTTCCAATGGACCTTCAACGCATTTATCTGGTTTGATGTGCAATGTACATCGAACCACTGGACGTGAGCCCCATGCTCTGGTCGGCGCTACGACCACCATATTGGGCGACAAACTTTACGTATTTGGAGGACGGATTCTGTCTAGGAGTCGCCCAGCGCCTCTGACATCGGATATGTACGAGCTGGATCTCATCAGGCGACACTGGAGCAAGTTGGAAACGACAGGCGACGTCCCCCCACCTCGATACTTCCACTCTATGTGCGCTCTGGGTGACACCAAGATGGTTTGCTACGGAGGCATGTCACCCGCCCCTAACCAGCCACCTGGCGGCGATCAACAACAGCCCGAGATAACCGTTATGTCTGATATTTACATTTACGACGTCAACACCAAAGCGTGGACTTTTATTCCGACACAAGACCCTCCACAGGGCCGGTACGCACATTGCGCCTGTATCCTTCCTTCTTCCGCTTCGTTCTCTTCGCACCGGGCACCTCTTTCTGCTCTCCAGCACAACCCCTCGAACGGTAACCCCAACGAGGGTCGAATTGGCATAAATATTGATGGATCAGGAGGCGCTGAGATGGTGATTGTTGGCGGTCAGGATGGCAGGAACAACTACATCGAACAGATCAGTGTCTTCAACTTGCGAAGCCTTAAATGGACCTCTACACAACCTTTGAACAAAAGCTGGGGCGCATATAGGAGCGTCACTGCCCCTCTACCTCCAGCGGTAGCCTCCAAACTTGGTAAACAGTCCAATGGAATGTACCGCAATGAAGGAGGTATTAGCCAGGAAGCCAGGGAGCCAGGCGCCTCGATGCTGATTTACTGCAACTATAATTTCCTGGATGTCAAACTAGAGCTACAGATTCGGTCGCCAGACGGTACCCTTACAGAGAGGCCAATGTCTGGGAACTATTCACCACCGGGATTGCGATTCCCGAATGGAGGAATTATTGATACCCATTTTGTTGTTAGCGGAACGTATCTCACCTCATCTCGACAAGAATACGCTTTATGGGCTCTGGATCTACGAACATTGACTTGGAGTCGTATTGATGCTGGAGGAAGCGTCTTCAGCCAAGGGAGCTGGAACCGGGGAGTTTTGTGGAACCGTCGAAACACCTTTGTGATATTGGGCAACCGGAAGAGGAGTCTCGTGGATGACTATAATCATCGACGTATCAACTTTTCCAATGTGTGCATGGTCGAGCTCGAAGCATTTGGCTTTTACGACAACCCGCGCAAGACCAGTCCGCTTTCAGGTTTCATTTCAGCGAGCAGCCCTTACGCTGGACCTGGTTTGAGTCTGGCGCGCAAAGCCGGATACACCGCGGGCGGACGATACCATTCAAGGGCGAGCGAGGAGCTCGGCGAGAAGTCATTTGCCCTACGAGAACTTGCGGATATGGATATTCTCTGCATTGGCGGCGAGCGAGTCCCAGTCAACTCGAGAATTGTTGGACGACGATGGGGTCCTTACTTTGTTCAACTTCTACGCGAAGGAACAGCTACACAGGATGGAAGCGATGCTATGACTCTTCGGTCTGGACTATCTAGCAATCCTCTGCGCGCATCTGCTATTACAATCACACCAAGCTCAAGAGTTGCGGATTCCTCGGCGTCAATGATCAGCACTATAGGCTCGTCGTTAGGCTCTTCTGGTGTTCCTCCGAGCACTGCAGCTTCAAGTATTTCAACAGGTGTCATGGGTCACGAGGCTAACCCAACAAACATCAACGCGGCGCCTACGCCTCACTCACTACCGCCAAATTCACGACCCCGATGTCTTTATCTTCCACACACTTATCTCACGATTCAGGCGCTACTACACTTCTTATACACCAGCTCTCTACCACCGCAATCATCCCCTCTTTGCACGCCGCAGATTCTCTGCTCATTGCTCCAAATCGCCCGGCCATACCGCATAGATGGACTATTGGAGGCCGTGGTAGAGCGACTCCACTCTTTACTCGACAGTCGCAATGCTGCAGCTGTGTTCAACGCGACAGCTATGGCTGCAGGCGGTGGTCGAGGTATCGATGGATCCCTTAACCCCAACTTCTTTGTTGGAACTTTGGATCCTGTTGGTTCGCCTACTGCTACCTCAGACTTCTCACTGGGACACGCGTCTGGTGACAGTTTCTCGTCAGACCTTCAGACTCGAACGGAAGGTCTCAGTCTCAACACAAACGTGCAGCAATTTAACCGACCCTCAAGTGATGAGCTATCTGCTACGGCAAGCCAAAGCGGATCTGAATGGAGTTCGTCAGAGGTTGGCGGCAGTGAGAGAGACAACTTCGTGTGGAGTGGCGAGCTGAGCAGTGTTATTGGACTCCAAAAGCGAGGATTGCGAGGTCTGATGGAGGGTAGAAGGCTAAGAGAGCGTACAGGTACAACTGGCGGCAGCGGCAGCGGCAGCGGCGGCGGCGGTGGTGGTGGTGGTGGTGGTGGTGGTGGTGGCAGCAGCGGGAACGGCATGAGCGCGAGCTACTCTGGTGGTCAAGGCCAACGTGTTGGTCTGGGGATAGCAGGGTCATGAGTTGGCCAGCACGATGAGCTAAAAGAGCATATTTGGGATAGATTTAACAAAAATATTGTGACGTGTAATGAAACCAGTCACGGTGTGTAGAAGAGGAGGACATTGAGTTGGGGTGTACATGAAGCATTGATGGACATATCACATCACATAGCACATAGCATATTCTACCGCCACATCTAAGATGTGTGTATTTAAATCAAAATCGTTTAAAAGTATACCAATTGGTATCTGTTTTTGTAGCATTCTCTCTATTAGAATATCACGATGATTGTCAGGCCGATGGTATTACAGGCAAGTTATCAACGAGTAACCTTTGACAGCATTATTCTGCATCGGACATCAATCTGCAATTGTATTATTTGGAAGTAGCAAACCAGGGGTTGTTCTTATGCATCCAAGAATGGCAGGGTTTGCTGATGTTAATTTGAGTGCCTTCTCAAGGTGCCCATTCCTGATCGTTGTCCCACCTGCCAATTACGACATGAAAATGGTCAGACAACTTGGACTTGACAACCCCGCATTACCCTCATCAGCCTGCACAGCTACAACACATCCAAGTAAATAGAGGACAAAGATGCCAGTGTCAAAGCAAATAGTCCAGGATGTCTTGAAGACAATCCCCTCCCGCATCCGCGGTCCAGGCGGCGCCATCGCCGTTCTATCGGATGGAGCCCTCGTGGACCATAGCGTCTGGGGATACGCCGACTTCAACCTCAGAATCCCCATGACCCCAGAGACGCTAATTCCCATTTGCTCCATATCGAAACAGATGCTATGTGCCCTTGTCGTGGATCTCGAGCGCAACCCTACACCGGCTTTGGCTGCCAAGGGCGACGTGCGCGAGCAGTTCGAGGCTAAGCTCAAGGAGCTTCTTCCTGAACTCGCCAAGAACAATAACTTGGCCCTGGAGGATCTTTGCAACAACAGATCTGGAATTCGAGACTATTGGGCTATCACTCTGCTTTGGGGTGCGAAGCCTGAGGATCCTTATTCGATTGCTGAGCATAATGGACCGATGATGAAGACGATCAAGTCAACTCATTTCACCCCCGGAACAGAGTACTCTTACTGTAACACCAATTACAATATTGTGGGACGTGTTGTCGAGGCCACGACTGGAGATTCGCTTGCTTCTTTGCTCAAAGAGCGCATCTTTACACCTGCTGGCATGAAGACTGCAGAACTATGCCCAGACTCAGCAAAGGTTCCTGTGCCAATCGTTGGCTACGAGGGTGATGAGCAACGAGGCTACATCCCTGCTGAGAACCGCATCGAATGGGCTGGCGATGCTGGCATAATTGCGTCTCTCGCTGACATGATTGCCTACGAGTCGTTTCTGGATCGCAGCCTATTCGACCCTACAAGCTGGTACCGCGCCATATTCCAACCTACGGCTTTCAGCGATGGCATCCCTTCACCATACTCCCAAGGCCTAGCTCATATTGAATATGGAAGTGCAGCAGCTATTGGTCACGGCGGCGCTTTACGTGGTTTCCGCCTTTTCAGGGCGCAAGTACCAGAGGAACGTCTGTCTGTGGTGGTCATGTTCAATCACGAAGCCGACGCTGGAACAGTCGCAGAGTACATTGTCACGAATATCCTGGGTCTCCAGAAGCCCCCTCCACCTACACTGGTCGATGCATCACCTGCGTGGCCAGGTGTGTATCTCGACGAGGGCACCCAACTTGCTATTACTGTAGCACTTGGCACCAAGGGTCAAATCCTCGTTACGTACGCCAACTATGTCGAGCCCGTTAAACTGACAGATCCCGAACGAGGTGAATCCCGCGGAATGGCGGCTGTGCTCAACGGCGATACCCTTCAAATCCAACGCCTGAAGGAGAACAGGGCCATTACTGCGCGACGCCTCCAACCGAGCACGACTCCCGTCGACAACTCCGTGTTCGTCGGCGACTTCTACTCCCCAGAAATCGACTCTACGTTCCACTGTGTTGATCAAGGCGGTCTCATGTTCGGTACATTTGACGGATTTCTAGGCCAGAGTCCCGCGCAGTTCATGAGATATCTCGGGCAGGATGTGTGGGCACTCGCGAACCCGAGAGGTATGGATGCGAAGCCGCCTGGTGACTGGACGCTTGTGTTTCATCGGGATGAGAAAGATGGTATTGTGGGCGTTACGGTTGGGTGTTGGCTGGCGAGGAAGATCGAGTATGTTAAGAAATAAGATGTGATTCTATGGTCTGTGGAAACGGATGGTAGGACGTGTCAAGGCTCTGTGTTTGTTTTCTCGGATGCTGAGTTAGTGAGCATGACTGGTCGCAGTACGTACACGGCATTAAATATTAATAAACGGCCATCATATAAATACACCTGAGAATCCCTGTGAGATGATTCTTCAAGGTCCTGCTCATGGTGTCTCGTTGAGGCTGGTGACGTTTAGCCAACAGCTCATGTGGACCCTGATAGAAGCTTGGGTCCGGCATCGGCGACTCACGACCCAGAACCCCGCATTCTGATCTAATCTCATGTCGCAATTGATGGGCTTGTAAAGAAGGTAAAGGGATTTAGAGCAGATTATCAAAAAGTTCTCATAGTGACGGCAGGCAATGTTTGTTCATTTGTTTATTTATTCTTCATCTCAGAGCTATCGCAAATGGCTCAAGTCTAGACTAATATATTAGGGACAACTGGTCGTTCCATCATGACAAAAACACTCGTTGACGTTTTTCTCACATGTACTAAGCCTCAGCTCCCATAAGCTGGACCCTCCTTTTTGCGCTGCATTTGCAAAGGTATCATAATAACTCCGTAGCTTCTTTCCTTCCTTTTTTTAAATTATGTTTGTCTTATTTACTGGGGGAGAACCTTCTCCTTGGCGAGAGGGGTGAATCGGAGGTAAGGCTTGACGATGCGGAACTCGGGGAAGAGGGTCTTGGCCTCCTCGTTCTTGACGGAGGGGTGGACAATGACGTCCTCACCAGGGACCCAGTTGATGGGGGTGGTGATGCGGTACTTGTCGCCAGTCTGCAGGGAGTCGATGACGCGCAGGACCTCGGCGGCGTTGCGGCCGGTGGAGGCTGGGTAGGAGAAGATGGTGCGGATGGTCTTCTTGGGGTCGATGATGAAGACGGAGCGGATGGTGAAGGCAATGCCCTTCTCATCGACGTTGGTGGCATCCTGCTGGTCGATCCTGGGAGCTTGTTAGTCAAGTTTCCAACACAGAGACGAGAGGAGATCTTACATGTCGTAAGCCAGAGAAACCTTGCGCTCCTTGTCACCAATGATGGGGAACTCGACGTTGCCGCCGGTGACCTCACCAATGTCCTTGATCCATCCCTCGTGGGACTGGATGGTGTTGGCGGAGAGACCAATGAGCTTGACGTTGCGCTTGGTGAACTCGGGCTGCAGCTTGGCGAAGGCACCGAGCTCGGTGGTGCAGACGGGGGTGTAGTCCTCGGGGTGGGAGAAGAGGATGACCCAGTTGTCGCCGATGAACTCGTGGAAGTCGATGTTGCCCTTCGTGGTCTCGGCCTGGAAGTTGGGGGCTGTAGAGCCCAGACGGAGGGGAGCGGGAGCAGACATTTTGGAAGTGTATAGTACTTTTGTGGTGTAAAATGAGAGATGAAAGGGAGAAAGAAGGGTTGGGGAGGCGGGGAGGGAGAGGGATTATATACGTAGGTGACGACAACTGAGACAGAAATGCCACCTTTCTTAACAGCACAGCTTTTGAACTTGGGGCTCCAGCGAGAGCTTGCAACCTTGTTGGAGCAGCTTGGCTAGTGACACTCCCAGATTGGTAAAATGGAGGGCACTAGGGGATGATGATCTGGGCTCTTTGGCAGGTTGTCGAAGACGCCACGAGGGCTGTAATATGGGTGATTGGAAGGCCAAGCTTGAGGTGCGGATGTTGGTGTTGGCGTTGCACGTAATTTGGTATGGCCCTATGATAAGAGTAAATTGTATGGATGCGAATTAACCAACTACTTCCAGTATAACCTCTCTATCTCTACATTACCGCCATAGACCTCCAACTATAATGTATATCTCATGGCTAATCCCACGATATAGCCATCGTAAACACTTACCATCCCCATCATGACAACAGACAACCCCACCATATTTTTCATCTACAGCTTAACTGCACCCCGCCCCCCTGGTTCAACAACCCCTCACTTAGAACTAGCAACCCGCTCTCCCAGAAGGGGCAAGGCTCGATATTGCGTGCTGCGAAATCGAGTCCATTGGCTGCTGTGGGTATATTTGCCATCGATGTTGTTCCTGACGCCATTTGCGTGGAGGGATGGTGCGATGAGCCGGGGTTTTTGGGCGATTTGTTGTTGGGTGGTTTCGGAAGTCGGGGTGGGCTGGATGATGAGGGTAACGATTGTAAATGGGAGGATTGGATGAATTGCTATTTGGTAAATACAGTGTAACTAACACAAGAGTTGATGGTTCATTCACAAACTGTTAAGAGCCCGCATTTCTGTCATTGATGGACTCGGTGCTGCTTCGTTGCTTAATCGCTCGTGACGATAACTCGGTTGACGATATGTCGAAGGCGCAATAGTGGCCAAGCCATTCTATAACCGTCACGTCAAATCGCGTTATGCTATAGCCAGAAGATACCATCTTGATAAGACAGACAGCCGATACATGTCCCGCCCGAGCCGACCGCCGTCGAGTGCTGATAAATGAGTATAGGGTACTCAGTGGAAGTATGCTTGAGAAGTGCTTATAACGCTGTGGAGTAATTAAATACGGCCAGTAGTCCTTGCAATGCCACTGGTAATATGTGAAGTTATCTCACAAGAGCTTCACTTGTCGCTTGTCGATGAGACTGACTTTCGTTCACGGAGCAGCTTCCATACTGCGGCTCCTAGTCAAATGTTTGACCCTTGTCTTCATCGAATAAGATAGGCCGCGTGGCCTAATGGCTAAGGCGCTAGATTTCGGTTCACCGTCATCCAATTCTCTAGAGATTCCAGGTTCGACTCCTGGCGTGGTCGCTTTTTGGCGGACCTCTAATCAATAAGGAAGATGTCTTTCTTTTTTGTTGCGATCCGTGTTCTGTAATGCGATGCGATGCGGATATTCGGACAATGGACGCACGCGCGACAAGAAGATAATGAACAGATGATGCCAAGTTAAATCTCGACCATCACCGTTACCAGCTTTAATCCAAGACAATGGAGGGTTTTATGGCGTGGCTTTTTGGTTTCTTTTCATGCAGGGTCGAGGCGCCACTGGGTAAGCTTAATTCAGTAGCGGTATCATATGATGACAGCCAAGCCAACCACCAACGCTCCACAGCCATGGTAGAATCTTCACACTCTACAGGCCACAAGGGCTCCAAATGTTAAATTCCGCGATAAAATAGGTATTTTTGCCACAGCGGAAATTTATAGAAGACATCTTATTGGAAACCTCTGCTGATTAATGTAGGAATACTGGGACGCGATTTTGCTAATCCAAACGGATTATCCAATAGAAGAAGTACATGATTTAACATTTGGAGCCCTTGTAGCCTGTACCTGGACACTTCAATCCAGACGGAAATGTCCATCGTCATTCTTGATAACCTTGTCAATCAGTCGCAGTGACATCCCAATCAGGGAAACAGCCTCATTGCGATCAGCCCCGGTTTCACTCTCGGGAGGAATGTGACAAGGTCTCACACGCCTTAGCCCAAGTTCTGAAACGGGGGTTCAGAGGTTAGTGTCAGAAAGTTAAATCATTACTGCACTGTTGCGACTGTTTCTTCTAAAACTACCGCTGCTGGAGAATAGAAATGCCACGCGTCGGGACCACTGACCATGTTTCCTTGTTTTTGCTCCGTCGCTCGTGGCCAAATCATTTGTCCAATGTATTAAGGGGTAGTGGAGAACAAGCAATTGATCGCCCTGAGATGCCAGGGAATTGAATCGTCAAACGACGGCGTTTGCGTAGGGGATGGGTTTAATACTGTACCACCCCGGATAATTCGTTTCTTCCTCATCATCTTTTTTACGTCGTTTTTGTTGTTGTTTATTTATCTTGTATTTGACTGCAAGGGCGCTATTCATTCCTTTTTCTTGTTGGATATCGTCTTGACGATGATGTTCACCATGTCGCGCCCCTCAGTCATAACGTGCATCATCATCGCCGCCAGTGTCTCTCTTTTCCTGGTCATGGTCACATTTTTCCAAGAGTCTCTAGAAGTACCATGGGACTACGCACACAACAAGGCAGGAGAATATTGGGACAGAGCCTTCTCGTAAGTCAATCACTCGCTCACCTTCATTCATTTTCCATCTGTTCTTGTCGGTCGAAAGTGGCTGCATTAGCTGTTGGACCCCGCGCCATCTGAACTTAAACTTGGCATCTTTTCTTGGCTCACGCTAATCTTTAACTTCACGACAGACAACAACAGAACCAATCAGTCTACAACTGTGAAGATCCCTATCGTCGACCTGGGTATCTTTATATCCCCGCTGATATCAACGGCACCGACGAATACAAAAAGACACAATGGATTCCGTTTACCGACGATTTGCTTGATGCTGAAGCGCCCGATTACGCTGTCTATCCTCCTGCTGGCGAGGTTATCTTCAACGCAACGCAACCAGAGCCAGAGTTTTTTAACCTCACTTCTGCACCGCGACAATGGCTTCCTGAAGCTATCGCTGAGAGTCAGCGTCGAAAGAAGGCAATCAACGCCAATGCGCAAACGGGCGTTGACGCTTTTGCTCCCTTGAAGAATGAAAGCGACTTTGGCTGGCTCTGGGGTCGTCGCATCGTACTGTTCAGCGACTCGGTCGATCGATTCATGATGCAATTCTTCTGCAGCGAGTTCAAGCGAGGTATGAAACAGCCTAAGGCACACACAATCGCCACTTGCGAGATCCCCGAGTTCAACCTCACGTTCGTCCACTGGCACTTCGCCGGCTCAATGACCTACCGCCCGGACTGGTGGTGGATGGACGACATGGAGGAAATCTCCTTCGAGGAGCGCTGGGACAAGTACTGGACGCCCATGTACGACCAGGTCCGCGGGCCCAAGAACAGACCAGACCTGATCCTCTGGCAGAACGGTCTCTGGGACCAGCGCGCCTTCTGGGAAGCCGGCGAGGCCAACCATGAGAAGGACGTGTACCCGATGGGCTCGCGCGCGCGACAGCTGGTCTGGCAGGAAGTTCGCTTCGCAGCTGCGCGCATCCGCGCCTTCGTGGAGCGCATCAGCACCGAGTTCGGCGACGCGCCCACCATGTTCCGCAGCATGACAATGCACCGCGTGAGCGACGCGGCGGACGCCTCCATCTACGACCTGGACCGTCTGGCACGCGCGACGGCGGAGAAGGCGGGCCACGAGGTGTTTGAGTGGGGGCGTCTGATCACGTCGCTGTCGATGCTGTACAAGGACAAGACGCATCCCGGACGGGGGCCCGCGAGCTGGCTCTGGGGGAACATGGTTCTTGAGTACCTTGCGAGGGTTGGCGAGGCGGGTGATGAGACGAGGAAGCCCTACTTTGACGGGTGGGATAAGTGTCATTCGCAGCTTGTGAATTGGGGTGGGCGGTAGTTTGAGCGTGTACATGGATGACGGAATAGAATAGAATAAAAGATTAATAATGTTCACATTGAACCTGTGAGATGGCTTGAGACATGCGTGAAGTAGCTCAGTGATGCATTGAGATGTCGCTGTTGGCAGTTGAGTGTGCACTTTATCACTGAGACCATAAATATCCTGTCAGAGATAGTTATCCGCTATCTGTAAGCTTCTAATTGCCTCGTCCTTCTATTTAACAAAATCCTTCCATTCTATGCACCTGTGTAAGTTGAATAACGCCGTTCTATGCTCCCAATACGCCCGCCATTTACTCTGTTGAAGGCCAGTTCCCATACTAATTTCAACTCCATCACATGCAATACTAGATCAGTCCCTTATCGACCCCTAAGAAGCCGCAAAGTTATCCGACAGCTCCTTCACACGCGCCACAGCCATCTCTCCTCTCATAGCATCCGGCGCTTCAACTGTGAACACCAACGCCAGCACAAGCGCAGCATCAAGCCTAAGCAAATACTCTTCTTTCGCAGTGACCTCAGGGAATGGCGAAACCTCTTTATAGCCCTTTGCGAAACCTTCTCCCACATCGCTGAACTCCATCGTGCGGAAGATGTCGACCGCTGCTGGTCCGACGAGAGCGTTCGTCCAGTCGATGACGGCGCTTATACGACCTTTGTTGTGGCGGAGGTTAACGTCGCGGAAGTCCATGTGCAAAAGGCTTGAGGGGAAACGTTTGAGATCTTGGAGGGTGGTGTGTACTTTGTCCCAGCTTGTTAGCCAGGTAGAAGCCTCGGGTACTGTTTTAGAAAGTACGGAGAAGCGTCTCTTCATTCTTTTCTCAATAGTCGAGAAAACATCCGCAGTCTCCATTGCAACTGTCTTGATATCTGCATCAGACACGGACGTGGAATGAATCGACGCAGCCACACGTCCCATATCCTCGAACGTGATATCTGTTCCATCATCATCCACGTACTCGCACAGCATAGCCGGATAACCGTTCTCCTCGAGGTACTTATATGGCTTAGGCACAGCAACCGATCCATTTTGAAGAAGACTGTACATGAGGATTTCCTGCTGGATGAGGGCACTTGCTGCAACGCTAGGGTCGTTGGCGTTGTGGTAGACTTTGACTCTTGGGACCCTAAGGACAACTTCTCCGTGATCTGAGGAGGTAGCTTTGTAGACGAGGCATTCTAAACCTTGTCCGGCGATGGAAACGTCAGTTAAATTCTCTGCTCGAATGAAGTGCTGGGCTATCTCCATGGTCGGCAGGCGAAGTGGGGGGATATTGCAAGTTGCGTGTTGAATTTGAGGAAGAATGTAAAATCCTATTAGTTGGCGCTTCAAGCTACTCTTTGTAGTAGTAGCTCTTTATAGTATTCGTATCCGCGCGAATAACTTGGTGTTTTGAGGATGAGTCACGGCACAAAGTAGCCGGGGTGAGATCTTAGTTCAGAACTTAGTTTGACGGTACTTTTGTAAGTGATAGATAGTCTGATAACACATTAGCAGGTTTGTGGGTACGTGGAACTTGAGTACGGCTTGGGCCAGAAATGTTAGAGTTGTGTTTTCACTCTACTGTAAGTAATCGACCCAAATTAATATGTTCGGTCCAGATAGCCTCTACACTTCGGAAGGCTTACGATGAGGCACTTTTGATGGATCATCTTGGGGACTCTATTCCATGGATCATTTCTATAGAATCACGAAAACTTGAATAATATGAGCCAATATTACTTTGTTTATAGCTTCTAGATCTAAACACTTCTCCAGTTGCACATCTCCAGGGTTCAACCCTGCGGAACTGAGACCCTTAGTACTGGTCCTCCAGGGACGCTGCCTCAGGTGCACCAGCAGGCATCTCAACTGGAGGCATACCGGCTGGAGGAGCCGGGGGAGGAGTTCCGGAAGGCGGTGTGGGCGGCGCAGCGGCAGACGGAGGTGGAGGAGGAGTTCCGGAGGGAGGAGGGGGAGCAACACCAGAAGGAGGAAGTGCAGCAGGGGTCTCAGCTGGAGGTGCAGGAGGAGGACTCTCAACAGGAGGGGGGGGAGGGGGAGGAGCACCAGCTGCAGGAGTATCAGCAGGGGGAGGGGGAGGAGCCTCTTCCTCAGCAGCTGGAGTAAACGCCGCATCTGCCAGAGGGATCTCTCCCACTGTTCCACCCGTAGGATCACCACCATCAATATTCGCCAGCGCACCGGCTGCCTTCTTATTGAACTGAACCAAGTTCTCCTCGCTAGGTCTGATACAGAGTTAGCATATGTCAAAGGATACAATGGGGCTTGCTCTTACGGGTTGATGGCCATCACCTGACCAATCTGGCAATGCGGTCCGGTTGCGCAGTACAGGTAGATAGGTTCAGTGTTGGTAAGAACGACACTGAAAGTTCCGACGGTGGTCTGGCCAGCCTCGAAGGGAATGTGCCCACTGTGGATTACACCAGACTGTGTCGCTTGTAGGGGCTGGCAGGGTGACTCCTCTGCACTTTGAGTGACTGTGTGGTTTCCAGAGCTGAACTGGAACTGAATCACATCGCCAGCTGCTGCTCGGATCATGTTGGGTACGAAAGTATCCTGGGGGCCGCCCACGACAACAGGGACGATTCTGTTGGCTCTACCCATCAGAGGTGGGTTTTGTCTGACTGTGATGTGTTAGTTCTCATCTTTGACAAGTGTTGATAATGACTTACTAGCCACTGGCTTGTTCCTCTCCAGCTCATCCATCCTGGCTACTTCTCTCGTCGACAACTCGATTAGAGGCATGGCAGTAGCCACTGCAGCCCACAAGCAAGCCTTGAGAGTGAACATGGTGTCGATTATTGAATATGAAAATGGGGATAATGAATGATCAAGCGGTTGATTAGGTCGGTACTGGCAACACAACAAAGAGTGGATAGTAAGAGAAGGCCCAGCCAACTAAATTTGATTAACAAGTCCTCGCCGGGAGGAATGAGAAGAGAAGTTCAAACAAGAGTAGAGAATGAAAGGGCTGATGTCTCGAGTCAGACCATTCACCACAAAACATCGTACGTCCTCATCTTATACTTTACTTTGAGAAAATCTTCATGATATCTAACGCGGAGCCGCATTTCGTAATCGAAACAGCTCAAGTCTTGAGCTATCGCAGAGAACAGGCTGTGTATCATGATACGGACATTTTCCACCCAAAATCGCCAAGTTGTTTCAGATTACGATTAAGCGATTCGACCAGACCGCCGAGAACGTTTCACCAGCCACGCTCCAAAAGAACCAAGAAACCCAAAAGAGACTTTGTTTTGCAATATGTGTTGTTTTGCAAACAGCAAGTGTTTTAGTGACGGTAAAGTGCTGTCATGTTTGAATCGAGGGCATGCGTGGCGGACGGGATGTGGGAGGTTGTACGGGACATACAGGGCTTGGACGGATATATGTGCGATCTATATAATGATGCGTTACATATCTACCTTAACCTGTAAGCATAATGGCGTTGCAGATCAGATATATATCCTTGTCGCTACACATGTCAAAGCCAAGCGGATGAGTTAGCAGCATGCTGTAGTATGACGTTGAATGAGGAAGGTGTATGCGCAATTTGGATGACGTGAAAAAGGACTGATGTATTGGGGTAGTTTGAAATAATTTGGTAGAAAGTGTTAGAATACGAGAATATCAACATGAGCCCTTGAAGGTTACTGCGCAGTGAGTATAGTGACTTGTTATACATTCTGCCAAGGTAAACGAGCCTCATATAGATGGATTTTACTTCCTATCGGTCTTGTATATTTCTCTAAGATGATAAAAGAATTTCGGGGAGAATAAAATAAATCAACTTTGAATACCCAAGGAAATTGTTCAATAGTCAAAAATAACAGCTGGCAAAATTCAAAAAGTTTATTATATACCAGGTATAATGGTGTGTACCTGTGTAAATAAAGTTCCAATAATAATATTAACAAGAAGACTTTACATATCACCTTATCTTAAGGTTGCATAGATATCATCTAAGATTATCTTAAATAGGAGAGTTAAATGTAATTTATATCATCTTATCTGAACTTTAGAAGAGGAAATTGTTGGAACCTGTACACACCCAGTCTCAACCAAACCCAAATCTTTTAGCAACCCGTAGATAGCTCCTGCGAGTGAGAACCTGCAGGTCTATTCATACAACATTGCTGCACGAATGCAGCCTGCCCAAATCCTATCCTAAAGCAAAATCACGATAACCACCCCGTGGGGGCAAACATCCCCATCTCGTCTCCCCACAGAACCCCAACCCCAACTTCGACCCCAGATTAGCCTAATGCATCCCCCACAATGAACTCTGAATAGCGTCAAATACTAGGATGAATCAATGACTGCTGTTGGTGGAATATCATTGTCCGATCTATCCTCGACCGACTAGTGATGTTCCATTGATCATCTATAGTAATTACCACCATATTAACGGCATCTCATATCCGGCTTTTTGCTTTCGAGCATGCTGGCTATTTCGTTCTTTTTATTTGATTTGTGGATTTACCAGCGTTGTCCAGGATCGCGCTTTGTGCTTCGAGGGGAAATCTAACTTAATATTATCGTGGCCGGGATATATGCATTTGAATAATCTGGTTTATTTAAAGTACCATGTCCGTCGTATGTTCAAAGATCCCACAGCCGTAAATCATCACAAAATGAGAAGCTTCATTCTACAAACGGCACTCATAGCCGCAACCCTCCTGTCCACCTCCAACGCATCCCCCAAAGGCCCTGTCGACACTTACAAAAAATGTCAACGACAAACAAAGCGTGCCACAGAAGGCTGTCCCAAAGGCACCCTGTTCGTCGCTAAAGATGATCCCCGGGCAGATTTCACCTCTATCCAAGATGCCATCGACTCCCTCGGCAACACCACAATCGCTGGCCACATTCTGATTGCCCCCGGCAACTATACCGAGCAATTAAACGTCACCCGCCGAGCTCCTCTCCACTTAATTGGTGCTTCCAATGCACCTTGGGTAAAGGAACTTTATGCGGATATCGACGTCAACTCGACGGCGCAGAATGATGTGCAAATTTGGTGGAACTCGGCGAATCGAAATGACGGCTCTATGAGTGATAACGTGTACACGAGCGTTTTGACGGTTGGACCTACCCTTAATGCTACGTTGACAGGGGCTGGGCCCACGGGGTTTGCAGTGCCTGCCGATACGCCTTTTGGGTGTACTGACTTCCGGGCGTACAACATCGATTTCAGGAATGACTATGCGCCGAGATCTGCGGGGCCGGCGCATGCTGTTGGAGTCAGCAGAGCCAATGCAGGCTTCTATTCGTGTGGATTCTACAGCTATCAAGATACGGTAGGTCACTTTGAAAAGTCCTGTGGAGGTTGCTTGCTAACACAAACAGGTCTATGTCGGAAAGCTTGGAAATGCCTTCTTCTACGACAACATCATCGCTGGAGAGACAGACTTCCTTTATGGTTTCGGTACAGCATGGATTGATCGCTCAACACTGTCCCTTCGTAACTGCGGCGGTGGCATTACGGCATGGAAAGGTTCGATTACATCCTTCACTAACAAATACGGCGTCTACATCGACAACACTCAAGTCATCCCCTCCAACTCCACAATCGCTACAAACCTAGTTGGAAAGTGCCCCCTTGGCAGACCATGGAACTCACAGCATAAGTCCATCTTTATGAACTCCTACCTGGATGCCATTATCTTGCCGGCCGGGTATATCGAGTGGAGTGTTGCTACGCCACGTGTGGATAATTATACCTTCATGGCGACGTGGCACGATCATGGACCGGGGTATGATGTCGAGGCTGAGAAGGCGAGTGGTATTACCAAGGTTTTGACGGATAAGGAGGTTAAGCCTTATAGATCTCCTGCTGATGTGTTTCAAACTCCTGAGGGTAAGTTTGGACATGTTGGTTGGATTGATAAGAAGGCGCTGTGACTTCCGAGTTTGGAGTTGGACCGGTTAGGTGAGGCGAAGATAATTTATCGCCAGCTTTAACAACAATCATTAAAAGAGTTTGAGCCGTGCCTCCGAAGTCTAATATCGTCAGACATATGTTCACCTCGTCAGCCTCACCAACCTATAAATATCAAAGTGTCACAATGGCATGATTCGATCTGAGTCGTCAACCCTGCTGCCAAGTCTGTGAGGATTTAGCATAAGCTCCTGATGAAATTACAGCGTGAATCCCACCTGCAGGGGTAGCGGTTTGATCCAATCGTATTCTTCGGTATCAAGACGGCCCCTTGTTTAGTTTGCGGGGTAAAGACGCTAAATTGATTAGTTGGGCGATCAGAAAATAGCGACTTCCTCTTGGAGTTTGATATGGAGCTGTGCCTGAGATATTCCAAAATGATAGCCATAGCTTGGGGGGAGTCTGTGGAAGGGAAACGGATCTGTGTGACAAGCAGATGGGAGTTAGGACTTGGGTTTATATTTTTACACTCATTCTGTCGAAAACACCTCCCCACACAACAGGAGCACGCCGAGTTGGAGCTCTGAACACAACAACACCAGTGGCAAATAAACCAGTCACCTCCCAACCAACAAGCCACATCCCATCCTCACGCATCCAACCGGAGGAAATGCCCCCGGTAATAATCCTCATTAAAAGGCCTCGGCCCAGGTCACATCCGCCCCCTTGTGATATCTCACAGATCTACATTGCTGACATCCTCCTCCACTCTTCAACTCGTACCATGATCGCAAACGACTGAGCCCGCTGCTGTCCAACATGGGCTACTCAGGGAGTGAAGACGAACACGGCCCGTCAGTTTCAATACCTATTGCTGTCTGCATGGGCTTATCGCTTTACAACGTCGTTGAGCTGAATGTGCTTATCCTTACGACCTTCAAGACGAGAGGAAGTCTGTACTTTTGGAGTTTTGTCGCCGCCACGAATGGAATTGCGCCGCATACTATCGGGTTCCTGCTGAAAAATCTGGTCCTTTCCGAGAATTTTGTTCTGTATATCACGCTCATCTCTATCGGCTGGGTTTTTATGGTTACTGGTCAATCACTCGTTCTGTACTCACGACTGCATCTTATTTTCTGGAACCATTTTTACTTGAAGCTTGTTCTAGCTATGATCATCGTCAACGCTGTTGTATTGCACCTCCCCATCATTATTCTTATGTATGGCTCCAATAGCAGTGAGGATAACCCTTGGGTACACCCGTACAAGATATACGAGAAAATCCAAGTCACTGTCTTCTTTCTGCAGGAACTCATCATCTCGGGCCTTTATATCAAAGCATGTTCTTCATTCTTCGGAACGGAGGGGCTTTTGCATCGCAAAGGTGTACGGCGTATGCGGAAGCATTTACTTCTTGTCAACGTCATCATTATTCTTCTGGACATACCCATTCTGGTCCTCGAGTCCGCCGACTTTTACGACTTTCAAACAGCATACAAAGCTCTCGTCTATAGCATCAAGCTGAAGCTGGAATTCAATCTTCTGAACGGCCTTGTTGAAGTGGCGCAAGGGAGTGATGCAATTGGGTCGCGAAGTGGGAATCAAATCATGACCAATTTACGATTAAGCGTGTTTGAAGAGGATGGGATGGGTGTTGTAGCTAGAGATTGTGAGAATGGTGGGGTTGGAGGAGGAACTGATACGAAAAGGCGAAAAGCAACAGGCTCGAGCTCAGATGATCGAATGTTGATGGAGATGGGAATATCTGTTACTTATATTGAGAGGAGGGAAGATGATGAGGAGCGCATCGGACACCACATATCGACATAGTGGCTAAATAATCAAAAACAGCAATCCATCCATCTCCATGATGTTTCTTATGGCTGTACTGACTCCGAACTACAAAATATCCTGCTGTCCCGAAACAGGTATTTCATACGGTTTTATACTTCTTCACTACCGAAGCCCTTTTTTAACAAAGGGGAATATTCTGTTAGTAACTTGTAAAGCCTAAGAATTCTATTCAGAGACCGGCGAGCTCATGTCAACTTTGACCCTCCCATATACGTTAAGTTGTCGAGCTTCTGTAAAGTCAGTCAGCCATTCAGAGATCCGATTGGAAAATAGACTTGGTGCACATGTTTGACAGTGCAATGGCCCGTGCAAGAAGGAGGGTCACTCCTTCTCAATTTAGCTGCCTAGGTAGTCTCCTGGGTCTGTGAATGAGGAAGCTCGTCGCCCTCCGCCCCACCCCCCTCGGCTGCCTATGAGCCAGGCCTAATTCAAAACCTCTTCCTTTGATGTTTCGCTTGATTCCCATGTCAAAAACTGCCAACTAAAACACCATGTCGGCCTTATCTATTGATCCTACGAGCGGTGCTACCGCTGTTCCCGATGTGGATTGGGAAGGCCCTCCATATCCTCCTCCGCCGCTCCCTCCAGAAGCGCCACCCCTGCCAATCCTTGAGCAGACGCCAGTGAAGGCATGTTTTTTTGACTTAGAAAGGAACATGCACGCCCGACCTCCCATCTCTCGTGAGTATATGTCTATTGAGGTATATGGACAATTCATCAACTGAACCTGCAAATAGTTGCCGACATGGAAGAAGAAGCCGAGGCAAAGTTTGGTGTCCTCGAGGACATGGCCCGTGAGAGTCGTTTTGGGGCCAGCCTAGCTCATTTGCCTCATTCAAAAGTAGACTGGAGCACCTCTACTGAAGCAATGGCAGCTGGGGCTCTCTGCTGGATCCCAGAAGCAGGATGTGGTGGCTTTGCGCCTGGAGTTCTTATCACTGACGACATAGTCAGAGATCACTTTCGGAGCCGTGTTCATAAGGTAACACTAATTCCCTTTTATTTCTTACCTAGAAGCAAATGTTTCATTGCTTAATTCGCCAATTCTCTCGGTTACTAATGCCATATTGACTAGAACCACGAAGAAGCCATGCGGCTAGAGGCCGAAAATAAAGAACCATCTCCTCCTCCCCCAGAGCCTAGGTTCGTCATGTTCCGTACCATGAACATTGTGTTCCTGGATCCTCCTGGCGACCCGGATCGGGTGATTCCCGATTCTTAGGAGGACCCTTTCGCTTCCTGCTTTGTCATTGGAGACTCGACCGCCGGGTAGATGGGAAGCTCTCTTTCCCGGCGTATAGCATTGGTGTTGTGGCCGCCCGCTAGGACACAAGCGGGTTTTATTTTTATCATATGCGAAGGAAAACGCAAGGAACCCGAGGAAAAGATCACTCGTACTCTACTGCGATGGAAAACGTACATAACCTTCAACAAGGTCATATCTGGTCAAAGGTCTTGAGGCCCGCTGATGGACGGCTCCCTTTGACTAGATCGGTGACAATGACCGAGTTGAGTACATCGACGATGAGTTCGCACTTCTACGCAGTGTCGATGATCAACTCCTTACAAGGAGGCCAAGACGGACTCAATCTCTGATGCGATGGGACAGGATGCTCAAATTCTTCTTACAAACGAGCGAGACACACTCTGCACATCTATGTCTAGCTCAAACAGCCATACACATATTCTGCAACCTTGCCCAGGTCGTTTTCGAATACTCAATCCTGACCAGTTTCGTATATCTGGATAGTTCTCATATCTGAGGGCATACAGCAAGGACCCATCTACCAAACCACCATCAACCACCATCAACCATCATCAACCAAGTTACTGTTAATTAAACTGCTGTCAAGCTTTGCCTAACCGATAAAATTGATTCAAACACTTCGTGGCTCAGCTTTCGACCACAAACATTCACATCTGCGGCTTTCATTACCAGTCTAGATTCGGAAGGGGCTTCATATGCTAGACACTGTGATCTAGCTGTGGTTTGTCAGTTACTCCCGAAACGAACCTCACCACTGTTCGTGCAGGATTCCACAAGCGCTCTTTCAGCTGCCGGGAGATTTGTACCTACTTTCCATTTATTTCGAAAACTTGGCAGGAACCATATTGTGTCCCTTCTATTTTGACTGGCTTCATGGAGTTCGCCACCAGTCCTTCGTGTTCACCTTTCAGCGCGGATGATCAGTGGCGCGTTTACTCACAGAATCTGTGTTTGAAGTATTGCGATCAGCTACGGCACACAACCATTACCATGACGACGACAGCAAGTCATCATCATAAGCAAGGCAAAGCGGGCATGCGTCTTGACTTTGGTCTTCCCACGAAACCTCTTCCTCTGTTGGAATTTCTTCGGATCTCCGTAGAGGGGATGTTTTATGTCTGCCTTTTGAGGGTCGCGATCACCATCGCAGCATTCTTTTTCACGGCATGGCGAGGGCGCATTTCTCTACACATTCATCACCATTTCCTCTACTCATAGCACCGCTATCTCAGTTGCGCTCCCGCAGCTTTATCTTCCCGCTCAGTCATCAACGATCCCCAAGTGACCTGCCAAGCCCTCAGTAGACCCGTTGGAATCGAATGAACAAAGCTAAGCTTAAAATTAGTCGTGTCGAACGCAAGCAACACCCTCCAGCGAAGCCTGCCTACGAGCCTACGAAATGTCGATGCAGTACAGTATCCTGGTATTTGAACTTGGGTTAATAAGTTCAACATCAAAAAATATTATTTTCCCACAAATACTGATATTTAAGCTTTTCGATCTATGAAATGCTGAAAAAGGCTTGCACCCCCAAATTTGACGCAAAGTGTTTTCTCGAGAGGTATAAAAAGCTGCAGACTGTTCCTCTTAGGCGACCTCTCCTGCAAACCACAACCGAAGTCACAACAAAATCAAACGAAACTCTTACGATAATGACCTGCGACTATTCGATGTCTTCGCTAGCAGCTATACCGCAATCGATTTCGCCGCCTTCAAAAACAACAACCCAAACAATCTCCAGTATTCAGATAGCTTGAGAAGGCTCTACGAGATCCACTCCTAGCTTAAGCTTAACAACCGGATTATGTGACGAGGCTATCGTTACCGTCTTGCAACCAGCATTATCCTCGAAGACCGGGCTGTGGCACTTTGATCCATTTCACCGAGATATGGTTCGGGTTCGTTCAATCATTCTCGCCGAGAACCGCAAAGAGCCACGGAGAGAGACCAACAAGCTATCTGCTATTAAGCAAGATACCGAGACCGGCAAAGGGCTGTTAGACCTCGTCATCTTCGGCTGCAAGGTCTTTCGGTGGCAAAAACATATTTGCATAATCACGCACAACAGCTTCAATCAAGGGAGCATTATTTTCGGGTCGATTCCCCATGGGACTAATCTAAAGGTCAGTCAATCTGAGCCCGTGCTCCAAGAGTTGGCCTTGCAAAACCTTGATGCTGAGAGCAAGCTATCATCACAGGCAAGGTAAAGCGAGATTGACTTCATTACTTCTTAATGATGAAATGACCTTACTCAATATCCCGGCGAGATAGATTAAAGTTACACAGATACAAGAACACGGTTTCCTTCCACGCATCAGGGCATTATATACAATGCCCTCAAAAATGTTACCCTCCGGAAAAGGACACATTAGCCGGCTTATACTTTTGACCTTGGAAGAATTCCAAGACACAAGCAATCGTGCCCATTTAAGAAAAATTCCTTCCCATCGAGATATACCACCAACCAAACCCCTAGATCGCATATCCACAACAACGGCCACGAACATGAGCTAGGAGAAGGTATTGGACTTGCGCAGGGTGACAGCTCGCTGTCAGAATCAAGGTCTATCATACGTATACCCTGACAATACGCAGAGCAATTTCAACAATAGCGACCAACATATGACAAACTTCAAGCGCTCCAAGAACTACCATAACGTTGGCCCCTCGATCATGACGAGAAACAACAAGTCCAACACCAGCGAAGGGATCAAGAAAATGCCTATATCCGCGCCTACATACCCATCCCCAAAGTCCTTGGCCGGATCAAGGCTAATATTACTCGCCGTTTGATTACCATGCTTGATACTTTGATCGCAGCCGGTTTCGTGGCGATTGTATCGGCGCCGGGGCAAAACATCATCATGGGATATGGGATTGCTATAAGTCTGCCCCAGGAATTTGAAGTTCGGACATTGTGGTGTAGGTACCTGGCAACGGGCGAAGTTTCATGTGGCGGCAGGGCTGTGTGCATATGTAGTTATGTACGTAGCAATTCGGGCTAATGGTAGTGGTTGAATGAAATAAGAGAGAGAGGGTCGAGTAATTCTAAGACAGAATCGGCAAGGACTGCGGTGACCTCGCATGGCCGTTGGATAGGAATGGTAGGGGTCAACTCAGCTAACCTCAACCCGTGACCCAACGGAGGTTTGGGCCAACACTTGACCGCAAATTTAACAAGAGTCCCTTCTTGAATTACATGTTCCTCCGAGTGTCTCAGATTTGCGATGGTGGTAAAGATGTATAGGCATGAGTGCCAACCTATTCAACTGTTGCCAATACGGAAACCCCACCATGCCAGGCAGAATGTGTCGTGGTCTACGGAGTCGGACAATTGGGACTTGAAAATTCAACCACGACACTTGTGCAGACCAATAAACGACCAGGATATCATGTCTTTCAAAGTCTGCCCATCAAAACGCCTCGTTCTTGGCACCACTCAGCCCTCCCCGCGCATCAGCACCAACCCCTCTACCGACATGTTCATTTTCAGCTGCGGCTGGAAAAGAAAAGAAATACTCAGAAACCCCGCCTTGTGAAGTTTTCTTCTCTCTTGTACTGCAAATCGCTATTGTAAACCGTCATCATGAAGATATCTTCATATCTGGCCTTGAGCCCTTTGGCTGGTGTAGCTAACACTTTGGCTATCATCTCGGAGGCGACAAAGCGTCCCAATGCTGGATATGTCCACCTGCCTGAACCGACTCCCATGGTTGAGTTCCTGGACGATTTGAGACACCTCGCGTTGGGCAAGCGACAGGCGACTTCTACAGATGATATCACCTACACGCTCGTCAACAGCCCCGATTCAACATGCGGATTTCTCTCGGGTTCGCCGGGAAATGCAATTACTTGCTCGAACGGCGAGAGGTGTAGCTGGGAGCTCGCACATGTCACGGGTATTTTCTGCGGCACTTCTGCATACAACAGATGTCTTGATCGATCAGATGCTCTTGATACGAAGCTTTGCAACGATGTTTGTCAGAGCAACTCATATAATCTTCTTTGGTACATACCCCTACATGATTTACATGTATTTCACTGACGGTTAGAAGCACCGATAAATCAACGCCGTTCTGTGGTACCTATGCCTACGAGTCTGGCGTCCGTGGCTTCAGGTGTGCGTCAAGCACGCTGACAGGCGAACAAAGCGTGTCTTTTATGTATAATGGCCAAAAGGATCGCAAGCTTTCTACGACATACGTTTCTGATGAAGTAACAACCACAACAACTTCGGAGACAACGGAGTCTAGCTCTCAGGAACAAAGTTCAACGACTTTAACAACTTCAGCAACGACAACTTCAGGAGAGCCAGAGCCACAAAACACAGGTGATGGCGGGCGCAGCAAGACTAACGTCGGAGCTATCGTCGGCGGTGCAATCGGAGGCTTCGTGGTGCTCTCCCTCATAGTCCTTGGTATAATCTGGTTCATGCGACGAAACAAGAAGAACAGCGGCCCCCCTCCTCAACAATCCACACCCGCAGCCGTTCCGCAGCCACAGGTTCCGCAGACTCAGGTAGATACTGTCCCGCCCATGAGCCAGCACTACACCAAGTCTGGCGTGACGTCTCCCACACAGTCCGAGTGGAGGGATTCGATGGTGACGGCGCAGAGTCCGGGTAGCCCTGTGTCGAATATGACGTGGACGGGACAGTATCCTGCTCAAGCGCAGGGAATGTATCATGAAATGCCACAGGATGGGAGCTATGGCCGTTGATTGTAGAGTTGTTGGTTGATGTAGGGTTTGTGTCTGTGGTGAAAGATAGTTTTGGTTTTATCTGAACTTTCAGGATTGATAACTACATAAGTTTCTTTTGAAGCTAATACGAATTTCGCACAAATTGCGATACCTTTAGTTCACAGAAACTATCTTCTAGGCGAATACCATCAGTGATGAAGTTTATTTCTGTTGGTGTTGCTTATCTCTTGCAGCTGCAGAATTTTGTTCATGTCAACGCTCATAGATACAAATGCTCTACAATGCTATCGGCTATCGAGTTAGTCGCGCTTTCCCTTACGAGCTTGGAACCTAAGATCATTGTTACCACTTGCCATATCAATCGTTCCCACACCAATACTAAATTCATTTACACGTCACGTCAGAGCATTTGAAATTCTGGATCCAAGTTTTAGGATACTGTTCTTGAAGACTAAGTCATATACGTTTTAATGCGTGTTAGATACATCAATTCAATAGAACATAAATCGTTATTACTTCACTCGCTAAATCAACTTGAACCGGCCTCTCAATCTCAGCCTATCCAATCCACAAATAGCAATCTCCCACATATTCTCAGGTTAACCCCTTACAGACGATGTCGAACCTCAAATTCACCAGGTGCCCGGTACGTAGGAACCTTCATATCAAGTGCCTCTCCAGAGTAGCCAAGGTCCTCGGCAACAAGCATAGCAGCCTTCTCGCCGATGAGAAGAGCGGTGGAATAGGTGTTGCAGCCGACATTATCGGGGCAGATGGACAGATCGGCCACCTTGAGGCCCTTCACACCGTGCACATTCAAGCGCTCGTCGAGTACTCCATGCTTGACGATGCTGTTGCCCTCCCTGGGTGCCATGGAGCATGTTCCGAGGCAGTGCCAGGTTGACTCGGTGTGGCGCTTGACCCATTCTGCAAGAGTTAGCATACATTGATTGTATGGTTATGTGGGACGGTGGAACTTACCTTCGACGGCTTTAATGTCTTGATCGCTGTACTTGAGCTCCTCGCGGATATGGGCCTTGTTGGAGTTTAGAATGTTGGCAGTGGGCTTGCGGTCTGCCTCGGGGAGAGGTGAAGACCAGCTTCCGTGGCCAATACCAGCGGTGAGATTGCCTGGGAGAGCATAGGACTTGGTAGTCTCGAGATCCATATCGTGAGCTCGAGCGGGACTATCATAGTCAAAGAAGGGGTGCTGGTAGAGTTAGTCACTGTGTTTGAATAGTGTAGACTTTGACTTACCATATTCTCGACCTCGCCTGCGTATGCATCCATGCGACGAGCAGTCTCGCGGGACTTGATGTAGCCCCAGACCATGGGAACCATGTCTCGCTCATCGTTCATCTAATCACGTCAGTATCGACCGTCTACACTATCGGCAAGGTGACTTACGAAACCGGCATCAAAGTCAGGAGTGTCGTATGGGTCAGCACTCTTGATGTGAGTGAAGCCACGAGAGAAAGGATACTCGAGGAAGTGGAACATGGAAAAGAACTTTCCAGGAGGCCTGCGCAGCTTGTTAGTCACGGAGCAGTCTTTTTCATCGGGGAGAACATACATCAGCATGTGGTCGCCGAAGAAGCCAGCAATCACAGAGTAATGCATGACAGGCTTGTCAGGCTTGTTCTTGAAGTACGACTTCCAACCCTCGGTGAAGTGAGGAGTGGGCCACCTCTCGAATTCTTTCAATTCCTCCTCCGTTGGGCGGATCTTGACACCTGCGTCAATGCCATTCGTGGCAAGCGGACCTGTTCCTTTCAGGGCCCACTCATCGAATACTTTCTATAACAATGTTAGCCGCTGTTGCCATATCTCCGAACCCGAGCTCACCTTTTGAACTTCGGGATCTCCTCGAACAAAGTCATCGAAACTCTCAGTCTCAGGCTTAGCCCTGTATACAGAAAATGTCAAGTAGTGGTCTTGAAAATTGGCCCCGACTCCAGCCAAGTCAACTATGGGCTTAACGCCCGCAGCACGAAGCTTCTCGGGGTCACCGATACCAGATCGCTGCAGGATCAGAGGCGACGAGAGTGTACCGCCGCTAACGACAATCTGCTTACTAGCGCGGAAGGTCCTCGTCTGGAGCTGGTTCGGGTGCAGCGGCTTGGTAGGCACAGTCTGGACTGCGACGGCTCTGCCGTTCTCCATGATGATCTTGTCGACCTTGGTGTTGCACATGAGATACAGGTTGTTGTGCTTGGCGCGCGTGGAGTGTACGTAAGCGTGCGCCGAGTCGCTTCGACGGCCTGTGTCTCTGTTGATCCATTTGAGCCAGTGCTCTGCGCCGTGGCCGGTACTGAGGTCTTGGAGGTCATCGACAAAGGGGATGCCTTGGGACTCGGCGGCACGGAGGAAGTCATCCTTGACCGGGTAGGTGTAGTTACCGAAGGAAACTTTAATGGGTCCCTCGTGACCGTGGATATCTGGATTTACCGAGTGGCGCTGGTAAGTCTCGTGCTTTCTCATGAGAGGAAGGAGCTCATCAGTCGTCCATCCCTTGGCTTGGAAGTCGTCGTCTGGGGATGTATTAGTCATGCAATTCATAGGTTGTGAGCTCTCAACAGCGAAACAGCTTACAGTCAGAAGCACTGGCACGAGTGTACATCATAAAGTTGATTGAGGAGCCGCCACCGAGGATATGAGCACATGGCACAGTGGCAGCACGTCCTCCAAGCCACTTGCTAGGACGAGACTTGTAGAATGAAGCTGTCTTGGAGTCGAGCTTCATGTTACGGGGGTACTGAAATTAGTTAGTAGCTGTCAACAAATAAAGTGGATGCAACTCACGATTCCAGGACGGAACACCCAGGGGTTGTTGAGGTTGCTCTCTCCGGCCTCGATCAAGAGAACCTTGAGGTTATGGTCGAGGTTGGCCAAGCGGCCTGCAACAACACATCCGCAACTTCCACCACCGCATACGATGATGTCGAACTCATCTGGCATGGTGCCGAGATGGCTCGCGTACGAGTTGGGAGTCGACATGATCAAGTCTATCCAGTGATGAGAGTATAATTGTGTTCTCTTCTCTGTAGCTTAAGTAGTTTATATCAGAGGCTTGAGAAGACAAGTGGAGTGATAGTCTATCTGGTATCTTCATGAGGAACCTCTCAAGCTTATTTATAACCACTCGAAAAGTCTCGACCGATCAATAACACAGGCGACAGCTGCACCTCGATTCAGACCCAGTCCTAGATGCCGAACGAACGCCGAAGTATGCCTCGATGTCGTAGCAGATTACTGGGGGAGCATCACCAAATTGCAGAGAACCCCTCCCCTTGAGGAAGTGAAAGTTTGCGGGCACCAATGGGCACATGCATCGCAGGGTCATCTGGGGTAATAAGGATGTGGATAATGGTTTCATTTTCCATCAGCTCTAGCAGCATTGAGTATGGCTCTTTGGGTTTGGTCTTGGCTCTCCTGGCTGTGCTGGGAGATTGCCAGCTTTGTTGCGTTGCTTGGCTGCATGTCAGGGATATCATCTGCTTCGCCGCTTTGACTTTCGGGTTGTAGTTTTCCGAGAGGAGAAGGGGTTTTCATACTGTACAGAAACAGCCAATTGAGTTTTGTACTCCTGAATTGACTAGGTGAATGGATGCAATTGCTATCCGTGACATCCGGGCCATTGAGCTGTGATAGTTGGGAACTCAGACGCAGACAAACTAGCTCACATATTCATATCCCCTCTTGCGAACTATCATCTTCCCCCGCCGGATAAAGCAATCAAGAAAGAAAGCTCCCCATCATCCTGCATATATAATGTATGTTATCCTCAATCAGGCAACTTCCCTTGTCCCGCAGCATCATTGTCGATCCAAGCCCAACAAAGACGATACCAAGAAGTTGTCTCGCATGCCAGGATTACGAGGCCAACGGGCGTTAAACAGCTGTGCACGTCGAGAGAAGCTACCCTTGTCAACTAACTACCCCCAGGTTTTCTTTTTCCCGAGCAAATAGGATCTTTCGTCAGCTATCCGTACATCCGCGGGTTCGCTCACCCCCATCTTTTATGCTGCACCCCAGAAGGGCGCCTGGGAATGCGGGGAGGCCAAGACCGGGGGAAGGGGGTCTGAGTTGACGATATCGGCAATCAGGTATTACAAGGAAATGACGAGCGGGAGGAGGGGTTGGTTTCGGCTTACAATGTGAATGTCCTTCAGCGAGGTTACATGTCGTTTGTTTCGCTTGTAAGTACTACTGAGTAGACCAAACTCATTTGGGCTGGATCCTCGTGGTTGCGGACGCTTCCCCGCAATCTGACTATCCAGGGTTGTTTGGGCCAAGATATATCGGGGGTCTATTTCTAGCGACCAACCTACCCGATGATACCTCACAAAGCAAAAATGATAGCCCAAAACAATGGCCAAAGGCAAAAACATACAACAGCGGGGATTCGCTGGTCGTCACCGACCCAACTACTAATCCGCCCCTTACCAGCTTGACTCTGGGAGAGCGGACGGGATCCCGTATTTTCTGGTAGGTATGGTCGTATGTGCTTGTTTTTCTTCTCAATTGGATATATAAACAAAACCCAGCAGTGAAGCCCCCAATCCTGAAAGCTTTCCCAGGTGGATGGAAGTCCATAAGCTCTGAACCCCCACACGTTGGTGGTGTCAAGAAGTGATAGGTCCCTGCTACTCTGCCAACTGCACTGCTGCACTGCAACGCTACACCCTGTCCGCGTCAGCAGCGGAAAAGTTGCAGGAAAGTTACCGCAGAGGAGATGCCCACCGGGGTGGTCAATGGGTTTCATTTCCATGTCCTCGGAATGGTCCATTTTCCTGCTGGATGTCTCGGTTCTTGACATCGGGGATAAGTCTTGTGATGGCTGATCAAGCCCGGGTATAAGCTCCACGATAGTTGTTGTGCGAGTCACGCTGCCGGGGCACAAAAAGTCATAGCGTTGATCATCATGAGATCGGCATTTATGTCTTTACACTACGGTTTGCCTTGTCAATTGGCTTCCGTATTGTGCATGTGACTGGGCTCAGTTGTCATGCTGGAGAGAAGCGGTAAATGAAGTGAACTCTGCCCAATGTGGAATGTATTATTGGGATATTAAATTCATAGACCAATGTTACAAGCTACCTTAGTATGAAACAATTATCTAATACTTTAGAATACTCATTATTTGCATAAGTAGTATAAGCTATATATATAATAGGTAGACTAGACATATAAAACTTTTAAAAATCTCGTTTTTCTTAAACTTTATATAAATTATATAAATTATAATAAACTCTATATTAAATTATAATATGTTCTCATTATTTTATATAACTCTACATAACATCATCCTAAGACTACATTTAAGATCCTCTGATTATCTATATTATATTTCACACCCCTAGGTGGGTTATTACTGTAATTTCTACACAGGGCTATGTTGAACATTTAGGCATTTATTCAGATGATATCTCTTTTAGATAACATTGCCAATACTCGAATTTCAGTATCCGTAATGTGTGTCTGTCAGTTTGGCAGATGACTAGCTCTGCTTTAGACTTTCAAGTGAGGGAACGACATCTGGGGGAGATCGGAAATCGATCTTCGGCACCCTCTTTGGCTTCCCTTATCGACGAGTCCTGCAGGTCATAGCTTGACACCGAACCTTGCAACAAACAAGAACTGGTTCTATCTTCCTAGTCCCTGAACTTAGCTGCCTATCATGATTGGATAGATGGAAGATTAATGACTAAGAAAAATTGCAAGCGAAAGTAGTTTGAATGCCGATACGGGTGGTTGTGGGATCCTGACGTTACTGAATGGAGGTTTGATGAAAGTCTCACAGCCGATTGGCACAAAGGGTAATGAGAGCATCTTGAGGATAAATAACCACTGTCATTCTTAGAAGAGGTACTTGGGTTAGAAACTATTCTAAGATAAAGGTATTTAGTCAAAGTTTCCCATCTACTTTAGAAAATAATGGAGGGATGGTATTGATCTCACTAATGTGTCGTGCAGGGGAGGAAGAGATCAAGGTAAACTCTTCTGATAATAAAGGTAGCAAAAAGGCATATTACACGGGAGAACTTCTTGAATTTATTCTAGACGAAGCTGTGTATAAATATGGAATATAGTACCATAGAGATCTAATTCTAAACATCTGAGTGGTAGCTGTTCTTTCCAGATGATTTGGTAATGAGACGGTTAAGAATCAGAGCTATCGATGTCGATGGGAGATGGGAGGTATGTTAGTGCAAAAACAAGTCTTCCTAATTAGGCATAACAAGCAAGATAAATGAGCATCCCATATGCTGTCCTTCGTTGTAGTCCATGCCAATGTACAAACATACCCTCAAGCATCCTATTCTAATCTCTAACAAGCTGCAGGTACTTTATCTCAATCTTATCAATCTTATGATGTCATGGTGGAGCTAAGATATCGTATCCCCTTGCACGGTTTGAGATGGAGATACCCTAGAGTTCGAACAAGTACAACACAGCGATTAAGGAAAATATTATATAAAAGTAGCAAATCATGAATGAACTACATTACTGCAAACAGCTGACAACGATCTTGGTGCATATTATGATCACGTCTGAACACACACGTGGTGGTCAACTTGATCATCCTGCCAATGACGCCATCAACATCACGTCTTGCGAAGCCTCTCAACCAACCCATCACAAGCCGTGAAACACTCAGATATCTCTCCACGAAACACGACAGCTTATTAATGTGAATCCTCCAGAGATTACGCCTTACTCTGAGCGATATTTAAGAAAGCACCATGTCTTCAAGATAATGCATTCACAACGTATGCACTATGGCCGACGCAACAGCAGCCGTGCCGCTGCTACACTCGCGGCAAAGCTCATATGACTCGACATCAAACAAAACAACATCACATCACGATAGCGAAACCGCGGGAGATATCCACCCCAGTCGCGATGTAGAAGACGACGTCCTCCCCGAGACATCCGCCATCGGCCGCAACCTCTCCTGGCAAAGCGCCTACGTCCTCGTGATATCCCGCGTCGTCGGCAGTGGTATCTTTGCAACGCCCGGTACGATCGTGCAATCCGTCGGAAGTGCCGGACTATCTCTGTCGCTTTGGCTCGTCGGCGCCTTTATCGCAGCCTGTGGTCTCGCCGTGTCTCTCGAGTTTGGCTGCATGCTGCCCCGGTCGGGAGGCGATAAGGTCTACCTCGAGTTTGCATACCGACGACCGCGGTTGCTCGCTTCGACGCTGTTTGCTATGTATGCGGTGCTGCTGGGGTTTACGGCGAGTAACTGCATTATTTTTAGCCAGTATGCACTGTTTGCTCTTGGCGTTGAAGAGGCGAGTGATGTGCTTCGCAAGAGTCTTGCCGTGGGATTACTCACATCTGTGTGTGTTATTCACAGCGTGTTCCCCAAGGCTGGAATAAAGATACAAGACGTTCTAGGTTGGGTCAAGATCGGTATCATAGTAGTCATGATCCTCTCGGGCTTCTACGTTGTTATCTTTCGCCCAGATACAAGCGCTGCTCCGACTGGGCAACTTGCGTGGGAGCATCTATGGGAAGACAGCAGCTGGAGCTGGGGCGCCATTGCAACGAGTCTCTTCAAAGTCTTCTACTCCTTCGCGGGTCTCGATAACGCCGCGAATGTCATGAACGAGGTCAAGCATCCGGTGCGGACGCTCAGATCTGTCGCGTTGACAGCCCTGGCTACAGCGTGCGGTATGTACTTGCTCGTCAACGTGGCATACTTCTTGGTCGTGCCGATTGAGGAGATCAGAGGTAGTGGGGAACTCATTGCTGCTCTCTTCTTTGAGCGATTGTTTGGAGAGAACTTTGGGCGAATTGTTCTTCCTACTGCTGTGGCGTTGTCGGCGGTTGGGAATGTCATGGTTGTTGCTTTCGCTATGGTATGTATCTCAGCGACAAGATGCTGAGGGGTCGTATGCTAACCGTGGGCATTTAGGCACGTACAAAGCAAGAGATTGCGCGACAAGGTTTCATTCCATACTCTTCCGTCCTGTCCTCATCCAAACCATTCAATTCACCGATGGGCGGTTTCGTCATACACTACATCCCATCATTTCTCGTCATGGTCCTCCCACCGTCAAACACCATCTACTCATTAATTTTAGAAATTGACGGCTACGCGGCGCAACTGATCGGCCTAGCCGTAGCGATTGGTCTTGTTAAACTTCGCTCGCAGCGTCCAGACCTCAAGCGACCGTTCAAGGCGTGGATCCCCGCTGTGGGCGTGAGGATCATCATGAGCTGCGCCTTGATAGCTGCTCCATTCTTCCGACCGCCGGATTACCAAGGGGAGATGTTTTACGCGACTTATGCAGTCTTTTCGTGGGTTATTGGCATAGTTGGGGTGGTTTACTGGTGGGTGTGGACAATTGGTGTGCCGCGTTGGCGAGGGACGAGGTTGGAAGAGGAGACGGATGTGCTGGATGATGGAACGACGATCACGAGACTGAGATATAGATCATAGAGTAATTACTCAGATGGATATAGAGTCAATGTTCTAATAACAACCAATATCCCATGTGCTACCCTACATGTATCCCACGATTGTTGATTGTCGATCTTGAGTTTGAACATCTCCACATGCTCCAGTTTCCAGATTTCCAGGTTTTCGGGTTTCCGGTTCCTGGCGCCGATTGCCAAGAGCTAATCAGGTCACAATTAAGATTGCATATGGGTCAAACCAATCTATCGATTGTTCTAGCCTCTTACCGTTACTCGTGTTAGTGTTAGTCTTTATCTTCTCGCTTCCACAGGCGCTCTCCGAAGGGAGACGGAAGAGGGAAAAGTTGGCTCAGTGGGGAAGCCCTGGAGTTGAAACGATCCCTGGTCAAGCCATGTTTTTGGGTATAAGGAAAGAAAAAAGAAAGAAAGGAAAAAAACAGTTGACAAGTGACGCGTGCGCGGTATGGTCGAAGGCTCTTTGTTTTGCTGTCTGAGGGTCACCCCTGTAATAAAACGTGTCTGATTTGCCAAGGCTTTAATGCTTCGAGCTGATGTTGCGCCGTGCATGGGATGAAAGAGAGGTCTTTGCGAGGAAACATTTTGCGGGTCGAAACATCTCATCTCATAACGGCCCATTAACGCTTCACATTTCCAACTCGGCCGAATTATCCTACGTCATTGAAGCTTTATCTGAGCCTCTCTTCGCCATCACTTGCAGTCCGTCGATAGTTACTCAATAGACCCGATCCGAGGTTTACCTGGCAGAGGGAGAGGCGCACAACCGTTTCTCCTTTGTTGAAGCCACGGCAAGCCACGGCGTTTTCTAGGTGATAACTAAGTGCTGCAAATTACATGACGCTAAGTTTATAGCTCTAGGCACAAAGACTGGGGGGTGTGATGGCTACTAGGGTAGGGGGCGGGTGGACTGTCCCCGTTATTCAGCTCTTGATCGCTTTTATGCCTTGAGAAGGCAGAGATCGTCGTGTTCTAGACGGAATGGTTCATCGATCTATGTCGGGATATCGGCACCGACCAGGGTATTTGCCAACATCGCTTTGTTAGATTGGGTTTTTTTCTGTCTGAGCGGACATGTTGTGAGGACTCTAGATGTAGGTGACGACGGTTGGAGTGGTGGATACTTGTGGCGTTTAGAATCCGCTACGGAGTAGACGATTGGTGCTCTGTGGTATTCAAGATTAGGTACCATGTGTAGGATAGCAAGAACAGCCGTTATAGGCGACTGGTATCATTTACTTGTCAACTCTTTACGCCTTGACTCAATTATGATATCAACTGTAATAATGTCTCAACCCCAGGTCTCACAGCAAAGACAATCTCTCCCTATAAACCGCCAAGTTCGCCTACAAACAACAGCAACACTAACAAATTTCCCCCTGCATAGCGCCTCCATATGTTTCATTTTATTCCCCGTAGGGCAGGCTCCCTCCCCTGACTAGCACACGCCTACGCGCCTACACCCACCTACCACCTCCACAGGCCCAACCAGCGACTCCACGACTTGAACCACCACCGCAAGCTATCGACTCACCAAGCCCAGAATCAGTGATAGCTTCAACGCCAAAGAACTCGGACCCGGTCTTCCTACAGCTGAGCAGGCCCTCTCTCTCTTGCCTCCCTGGCCGACCTAGCCATGAGTTCGTCTCCAGAATTAGATCGGGTCACCGTCAGTTGCACTTGCAACGGTGGGCGCAACGTCAACTAAACTCGCTGCGTACGCTAAAACAGCTGAGCTATATCCGTGGGCGTCTTCTAGTTCTGAAGTTCGACTTGTCAGTGGCCATGGGATGTGGGAGTGCCGGTAATTGCAGCAAACAACATGACTCCGACTCCAAGTCTGAGCCCTGGTTGTATATATACAGCGTCAGCCATTTCCCGTCCCTGCTTTCTGTCCTTTTTGTTCACTCCAGTGGTCAACATCTTTACTTTCCTTTCTTGCTGTTGCTGTGCATTCCCCTAGTCACTCTTTAGACACTCTCCAACTACATTCACTCTCTTTTGAACACCGGGTATATACATAATCAACCCACTCACAATCGTTACATATCAGCAACAACATATAGTCTAATACCCGTACACTCATTCACGCAATGCCTTCCACAAAGGTCTTTGCGGCCGTCCTAGCTGCTCTGACCATGCCCATGGTCAACGCCGGACCGTGTAAGCCCGTCAAGCCCGTCAACACCAGCGGCTCAACCGATGCCATCATCACAACCACAGGCCTCACAACTGGCGGAACTGAAGCTGCCACCGGAACCACCGATATTGTCGCTACTACCACCGCCGCCGCTGCCTGCACTCACTTCACTCCTCTCGCGCGCCAGCCCGCCGACTGTGGTAAGAAGGGATATGCCAGCACCAGCGAAGGCAAGACCATCGGCCTCCCCATTACTGCCGATTCCTACGCCGACTGTGGTAACAAGTGTGGTATGACCGTCGACTGCAAGTCATTCTCTCACATTGCAACTACTTGCAACCTGTTCACGGTTCCTGTCTCCGAGCTTGGCTTTATTGCGAGTCAGCAGAGCATGACTGCTCTTTTCTACGATCTCGAGAACTGCTTCGGCTGTGGTGATGAGCCCGGTGCTACCTCTGTTACTTCTGCTGCTGAGACTGCCACCGGCTCCGAGACCTCTGCCACTGGTTACGAGACCCCGGTTACTGGATCTGCCACTTCTGGTACCGGTTCTGAGACCGCTACCTCAGCCGCCAGCACAGCTACTTCTGGTGTTGAGACTGCTACCTCAGGGGCTGGAACCGCTACATCTGGCGCCGAGACTGCCACCTCCGGTACCGAGACTGCTACGTCTGGTGTCGAGACTGGTACTGGCTCTGAGACTGCCACCTCGGCCGTCAACACAGCTACATCCGGCGCCGAGACTGCCACCTCTGGTACTGAGACCGCTGCTACAGGCTCTCCTACTGAGACCTCAGCCACTTCAGAAGCTCAGGTTGACACCACAACTGCCACCGCCGCTGGCACGACCGACACAGCCGTCACAACAACTGCTGCTGCCACCACCACCGACGCTGCTTGCACCGCCTATACTCTTGTCCCCAACGCCCCCGCTGCCAACTGCGCCAAGAAGGGTAAGGCCGTTGCCCCTCAGGTCATCCAGACCGAGACCGTCGAGGACCTCGATGCTTGCTCTCTCAAGTGCGGCAACTACATCAACGATCTATTCACATCCGTGGTCTGCAGGTCCTTCTCCTTCAAGGCTAGCACCAACGCTTGCACTCTCTACACGGCCAAGATTAGCGACATGAACGTCGTCTCTTGCTCTGTCGCTGATGAGGAGGACTTCTATGACTTTGATGTCTGCTACTCTTGCCAGGAGGGTGGTGCTTCTACCACTGAGGCTGCCACCACTACTGCTCAGTCTGCTGCCACCACTGAGACTGCTGGCACTACCACCGAGGAGTCTATCTCTGGTTCTGCTACCACCGTTGAGACTGGCGCTGCTACCACTGAGACCGGTACCGACACCACTGAGACCATTTCTGGTTCTGCTACTACTACCGCGGCTGTCTCTGAGTCTGCCTCCGACTCTGCTACTACCACTGCTGCTGGAACTACCACTGCCGCTGAGTCTGTTGGAACTACCACCGCTGCTGAGTCCGCTGCCACCACCACTTCCGTCGATGCTGGTATCTCGACCTCTGCTGCTGACACCACCACCGCTGCCGAGTCCGTTGGAACCACTACTGCTGCCGAGTCCGTTAGAACTACTACTACCGCTGCTGAGTCTGTTGGAACCACTACAACCGCCGAGGCTGCTGGTACTACCACAACGGCTGAGTCTGTTTCTGAGGCTGTGACCACCACTTCCGTTGATGCTGGTGTCTCTACTTCTGCTGCTGACACCACCACCGCTGCCGAGTCCGTTGGAACCACTACTGCTGCCGAGTCCGTTGGAACCACTACCACCGCTGCTGAGTCCGTTGGAACTACTACAACCGCCGAGGCTGCTGGTACTACTACAACTGATGCTGGTGTCTCTACCACTGCTGCCGAGACCACCACCGCTCAGTCTACCAGCGAGGGTGTCACAACCACCACTGAGGGTATCACTACTACCACAGAGGCTGCTACTACCACCGCTGAGCCCACCACCACCACTGCCGCCCCCGTCTGCACGAACTACATCATCAAGCCCAACGCTCCCAGCAGCTGTGGCAAGCAGGGCAAGGTCAGCTGCCGCTCTAACCAGAAGCTCGGCCAGCCTAGCACATCCGAGTCCTCCGCTGCTTGTGGCAAGACTTGTGGAAACACAGACGGTTGCAAGGCCTTCTCCTGGACCTACAAGCTGCGTTCCCAGAGCACATGCCAGCTCTACAGCGCTCCCCTCAGCGAGCTCAGCTTCACCCCCTGCAACACTGGCACCAAGTTCTACGACCTCGACATCTGCTTCACCTGCTCCAACACTCCTACAACCAACCCTCCTACTCCTAATCCTCCTACTACCAACCCTCCTGCCACCTGCTCCAAGTATGTCCCTACATTCGAGACCTGCAGCAAGGACACCCACTGCGGAACTCGCGGTGAGATCTGCAACGAGACTCGCATCTACACTACCGTCGACAGCTCGTGCCTGGAGAACTGTGCCAAGAGCTGTATCCAGTACGGCGCTGACTGCAAGTACTTCAGCTACAAGGCCGCTGACATGTTCGGCGCAGCCAAGTGTAAGCTGTACAAGGCCGGCAAGATCACCTACAAGAGCTACTCCTCCACCAAGTTCTATGAGCAGAAGTGCTTCAAGTGCAAGGACACTCTTACCGTCAAGAAGGCTACTTAATAAGCTACTGGCAATGAGTATGAATGGAATCGTGAGTCTTCATCTTAACTGAAGACGGTTTCGCGATAGGTCTAGAAAACCCCTTTCTTTTCAATTTTCTACGACTCTGGATGTTTAGAGAATGTTGGATAGCATTTTCATGTAATTACTTTTAGACAATGAACATATGACTTGGGCAACCACTATTCTGTCCCTGATCAACTCACTGCAAGCCGACTTTGTGAAGCGTTTGAAGCGAAATTGTCATGTAACTTGATGAAGGGCAGACTCTCCGCATTGTTGGTTAGTGATGTTATCCTTTGTAGTCTTTCCCTGGCACTTGTCGTTTAGAGACATGCCAATATCAGCCCCTTACCATAGCACGATGACTTATCTGTGTGGCGTCTTGCTTTGCTTGGTCCTTTGAAGGCCGTCTTTATCATACATGACACATTACATTGGTCTACACCTGGACACCATCTCTGAGAGATGGCCCTCGGGCTTTGACTTCAGTCGAGGAGGCGAGTCCTTCTCCCTGAGCCCGACCCTGTCTCAACCTTTCAGAACCTGCTCACCCTCTGGTGTGAGCTTTTCTCTCTCCAGCTTTTCTCGCTCCTCCTTCTCTTTATTTAGCCTGGCCTGCTTCCACGGAGGAACCTTCTGTTCCCTCTTCATAACAACTGCTCTGAATTAGTACCGATATCGCGTTTCCCATAGAGAACAACTTACGTCTTTGAAACAAATCATAACTCATAACTAGGAAAACCGGCATTCCAACCATAAACTTGATCCAATTCCTCTCCAACTGTTTATACCTCCGTTTATAATCCTCCTTCTCCTTCTTCTCACTCTCCTCTTTCGTCAATTCCGTCTTCGTTATCTCCTCAGCTTCGTTCTTCTGCCTCTTCGCCTCCACAAGTCGATCTGCCCTCCTTTGCCTCGCTTCTCGTAGTTGTGACTCCCTGGCCGCTGCCAATTTCGCAGACTGCGCTCGAAGCTTTTTTTCCATCTCCGCAGATTGCTCGGGTGCCGTGAGAGTAACAACCATTTTGGCGGGCTTTTCGCCGGGTCCCACAACATCCCTGGGACTGGGGATTTTGACGCGACGATTTGTCGGTGTTGTAGAGAATGCGCATGTGGTAGGAAATCGTGGTTGATGACAGAGAAACTGGTATTTAAGGCGAGGGGATCGCAAGAGGGTTTTCGATGCCACTTTCTGTGGCGCGGTGCGTAATGACATCGTATCGGCGGTAAATGAGTGACTCGAGGGAAATTGGTACAGGATGAAGCTGTGGTGTAGTAGAACGCCGCTGAATTGAAGGTTGACATTTCCAAGCTCGAAAAAAGATCGCCATTCCTTATCGATAAAGCGGCAAGCTCCTGGATTAAACCTCATGTCATTAATTCGAGTTTCATTTCACAGCCACTTGATAAACTAATTGTTCAAAATCCATATTTAGTGTCAATATCTTAATCTCGACCAGCCTTTTGCTGGAGTATTTTAATTATACAAATAGTCAAATAATCCCAAACGCCTGTCGCAGCCACTCCAATTTATACCCCCCAATGCTCTTTTCATTGTCCAGTCTTGCAATGCCTTCAACTAATCGTCATCAGTGTATCGGGGACCAGTAGCCGCAGGGGTCTCTGGTGCGGCGTAGGCTGCAGGTGTAGGTGCACTGTAATAGCCAGGTGTAGGAGCTCCAGCAGCTGGAGTAGGGGCCGAGTCTGCTCCCCATCCACCTTGCCAGCCTCCAGGCGTAGGCGCGCTGATGGCAGCAGGAGTAGGTGCAGAATAAGCACCAGGGGTAGGAGCTGTCATTGCACCAGGAGTTGGGGCACCAAGTGCAGCGCCGGGCGTAGGAGCGTCGTATGAGCTCGAGTTCGAAGCTCCAGGCGCGTATCCCCATGAGTCGTTGCCACTAGCTCCAGGCGTGGGCGCAGACACTCCCCAAGCAGGAGTCTTGGAACCCGAACCCCAGCTATCTCCTCCACCGTACGCAGGTGTGCGTGATCCAGCACCAAAGGCATCGCCAGGGGCAGGAGTCCTTCCACCAGCCTGCCAAGCAGGCGTGCGTCCACCCGAACCATACGCAGTACGGCTACCGTCGTAGGGGTTGACAGTTCGTGAGCCATCTGCCCATGCGGGAGTTCGAGCACCAGACATATCCTGAGCCTTCCAGGCAGGAGTTCGTCCACTTGCAGCAGGTGCTATATAACATTAGCGAATGGAATAAATACATCCATCTATCAATAAACTTACTTCGTGATCCCCAAGCAGGGACTCGGTCTGAATTACCACCTGCCATGGGTGTGCGAGAGCCGCCCTGCCATCCTGGCACGCGATCACCACCTCCTCGTCCGGCACCTCCACCAAATCCACCGCGACCGCCTCGACTGGCGATGTCAATGGTGGCTCCAGTCATCTTGTTCTTGAAGCTGAGGCTGTCTTTAGGCACCGTGATCGTCTTGCTCTTTGTGTGAAGCTCGACACGAGCATGTGTATCTGTTGTGTCTTTGACAATACCCAAAAGACCTTTGTAGGCTCCCTTCCTGATAATAACAGTCTGTTCAATTGCCTTATCCCGGCCAAAGGATTTGGGTGGCTGCACCGGCTTGTTCTCACTGCCGTTCTTGTGAAGCTTGAGTGCCGGGTTCATTGCCGTCAAATCTGGACCAGTCGACGTGGCAGCACTAACTCGGCCTCCCTTGGCGGCGATAGTGTTGACCATGCCAGCCTTGGTGACAAAGACACCGGCATTCTCGTTCGTGTCGTTGGTGTGCAAGAAGACATATGATCGATGGATGTGGATAATCTTGCCCTGGCGCTGCTGGCCTGTGTACTCCTTGACAACATCCTCAAGTCGAATCTCAGAGCCATGTCGGTCAGCGGCGACAGCCGTCTTTCGCTTGGGCAGCTTGTTGGCAATCTGTGATGGTGTAACCTGGCGAGTGTCGCCAAACTGGTCAAGAACAACAAGTGACTCGCGATCAACCTTGACAACACAGCCAACAGTTGTTGGATCTAGCTGCACAAGGTCGTGTAGCGAGTACTGTCCCAGCGATCCTTGACCACCAATATCACTTGCTTCACGCAAATCTTTGCTAAACACAGTAACCTCCGAGTTGGTTTGATCTGTCAACAGGGTGACTTGGTCATCCTTGATGTTGACAACCATTCCAACCTCATCTCGGAACTTACTACCACCAATGACCTTGACGTGATCACCAACCTTGAAACGCTTACGGAGAGCTCTGATAGGAACATCAATCTCCTGGCCCACAAGATCACCCTCAGTAACATTGATTGAGACAACATCAGAGTGAACTCGCATAGCCTTTCCAACAACACCCTTCTGCTCGCCAGTGTAGACTTCGACGACATCACCAGGAAGGTAGGTAGCCAAGGCGTTGCTGTCCTTGAGACTGTGGGCGAGCGCCTTCAAGTCAAGATTCTCAGTTCCATCATCAGCACCTGAAGCAAACCGGGTAACTTCCTCAAGTGAGGGGTTGACGTCGGTTGTAGTGAGCTGTTGGATCTTGATATCCTTGACTTGGAAGCCATTCTCAAACTCATCACCCATGTATGTCCATGTACCGGTGGTAGAATTTCCTTGGATGTGTCGGGGATGACGCTTTCGGGCTTCAACCTCGCTGAAAAGTCTCTGGGGTGGCTTCGGACCACCAGGGTTACCAAAAGGTCGCTTGCGTTTGCCGTCGGCGGTGACTGAGGAGAATGCATCATCTCGCATACCGTAATCGAGTCTGGGAATGAAACGAACGCGAGCCTCAAGACCGTTCTCCGTAACATCGATAACCTGAGCAAGATCGCCGTTGTGCTTCATAGGCCTTCGGAGACGAACCCAGGCACCAGGCTCGAGTGTCGGTGTCTTGCTAACGCGGAAAAGCTCGGGCATATCCTTGATATCAACCAGAATCATCTTGGAGTGAGGATACACATTAAGCATACTGTCCAGTCCTTTTTGAATGTCGGTTTGACGTCGGGCCTCGACGTATACGAATCCCTTCATGACAGAGTCGGTGCCTCCACGTTCGAACGCAGCAGTGATGGCGACTTCGTCCTTGGTGCCGACTCGCTCTTCAATGCGCTTCATGATGGAAAAAACAACCTCTCGCTCCTTGCCCTCTTTACATCGAACGGCCCAGATGCTGGGGTCGTCCACTGTAGGAATGAGGAGGCGCTTGGGGACAACAGATGCATCTCTGAAGCCCTTGCCAGATCGTCGATTACCGTATCGCTGTCGCAGAATTTCTGCCTGTTTCTCGGCGTCCATGCTAGAATCCATATCGCGACGGCGATCGAGCTCGCGATGTCGTCGGTCATCATCAATACCGGTCTCTGCGATGTCGTCGGGGTGATCGTTGGTAATGAAGTCGCCTATCTCCTCTCCTAGCATCTCGTCGTCCTCGCCTTCGTCTTCATCGTCGACTTCGGCTTCGATATCGAAGAAATTGGCGCCTCGCTCCTTTCTGCGCTTTCTGCGATGGCCCTAAAAGGGGGTCAGTATTGGTCAAGACCCAACAGGCAACAAACGCGCCGAGGCAACGGCCGACTCACCTGTTGCACGTCGTCTTCGTCATCTTCATCCTCTTCATCGTCCTCATCATCGTCGTCGTCGTCGCGACGCTTACCAGCATCTTCCTCTTCCTCTTCCTCCTCCTCCTCCTCTTCGTCATCGGCGTGTCGCGACTTGGGTGGTCGCTCATCCTCGTCATCGTCATCATCGCGAGGTGCAGGGCTGCTATCGCGCGCTCTCGACTTCACTTGCCGAGCATCGCCATCTTGCTCATCATCGGATATATCGGCCGGCGCAGGGTTGAAATCTTCCTCATCCTCGGAATCATCGTAGCGCGGAGGATCGTGTGAAGACATGGTGGCAAGAAACCCGCGACACTTGACGTGTCGTTGTTATTTTCCGGGTTCTCGTCGTTTGAATATTAAAGAATGAAGAAATTGCTAAGTGGGAAACGTGCGAGAGAAGAAGAATAAAGAGTCGCTTGATGGATGACAAAGATGAAAGAATTCGAGACGCTCAAGTATCTTTCAGGTGTAATGTTAGAAGCTCCAGACGGTAAAATATCGGGCCTTGTTCATGATTGCACTAGCTGCACAAGTGGTGGGTACCAAATTATGAATATGAAGATCGCACCCATGCAAGCGTTAAAACGAGAGGCATCAATGAGAAAACATTACATATGACAGGCTTGGATATGCTTTCCTCTTCCGTAGGAATTTATGACCCCAGATTCCGAAATGAATTTTGATGAAGGCGGGTATCCCTAAAAAATTAGTAGGTATCCGAATCGTTGCGATAGGATAAGTGATTTTGCTGTCATGTAGCAATGCGACGAATCTTGCAAACTTGCATGTGCGCTTTACAAACTGGCCAGAATGTAATTAAATATCAGTATTGAGCAGTGATACTAGAACATGGTTGCAGTAATCCGTCAACTTAGGCATATCTGCCTACTTATCGAGCAGACTTTGTGAGAATCCAGAGAAGCGTCCGGTGAAGCGTAAAATTGCGAAGTTCATCATATTCGGCCGGGTCTCCTGGTTGGTTTATCAGGATCACTTAAACTATTTGCTCCTCATCTATATCTACCCAAGCACTAACTTCCACCAAGCGTCGCATCTATATCCACTCATAGCTTCGAGGAGCCCAGACTTTGAGATTTCAAATCACGGAGCTTATACAAGCTTCGGTAATCCAACTTCGAAGACTATCGTCCGAGACTATTCCCTTGCACAGCTGCTTATAAGAGAGTGCAAACGTCCATGCTACAGGTTCGTGTTCTTTTTATATTGATCAAACCCGAGCCGCGCACCCTGTTTTGATCCCAACATCTCGAGAATGTCGCAGATGCTCCCATTCAGACTTCCAGAAGCCCCCTTGATATAAAAACTCCAGGCTCTGCGGAATGCAATGTACCGTATCCTTAAACAGCCGCATTCTACATGAATCGAGCAACGTTTCTGTACCAGAACCCAGAGGCTCTGTCTTACGCATCACAAATGACATCAGCCAGCCCATTACTGCATTCTCACATAACCCGTGTTCCCCAGATACCACGTCCTGCACTCACGCCGAGCCATTCGCCGTAGTCGGAGTTGGGGAGTTGAGGCACCCAGCCTAGGTTGCCAACTTCGTAATCGCACTGCCAGCTAGCAACGGGGCTCTTGGGGTTCTCTGGTTGGGGGGCGCCGTTCACGGGTTGGTTCGAGTTGTAAAGATCCCAAAGAAGAACCTGGCAGTCGTCGCCGCCTGAAGCAAGCATTCCGCGTCGGTGAGGCGACCATTCAATGCAGTTGACATTGCCACCATGACCACGGAGCTCGAGTAAAGCCTGGCCAGGTTGTCGCACATCCAAAATACGGATAGCGTTAGAGTCTTGAGCAAATGTAGCAAGGAGGTGTGTATCGTGAGGTGAAGTAGCGAGCCGTAGCAGAGGGGGAGGGTTGGCCATTGTTTGCTGAGCTAGTGTTGGACTAACACGACCTCCGTTGGGATCTATGTAAATATTAGTATATGATCAAGATAAAATATACGATCGGCTTACCTCGCTCCTCCTTGCCCGTGGGCTCGTAAATGATTGTCGAGTGCTCCAAGCTTCGAAGATCAAACATGCGGACACTACCATCCTGGCCACAGCTTACAAAGACATCAACACTCTTGGCGCAGAACCTAACATCATAAACCTCTTTATCGTGGGCAATAAGCTGGGTCTTGGCGGTGAGTGAGGGAATATCCCAGATGGTACATGTTGTGTCTATACTCGAGGTAATAATAAGACTAGGTGAGACAGTGTTCCAATCGAGCGATGTGAGAGGCGCAGTATGATCTGGGGTCTTGGAGTTAGAGAGCAGTGCGAGGGGCGTCAACTTGGTCGTGATGTTGTCGCGACGGCCGATGGTGCTACTAGGTGTTGTGCTCGAATTCTCGCTGGGAAGAGACCACAATCGCAGGTGGTCGCCTGAAGTCGCAAGCAGGTCAGTAGACTGCTTTTGCGACGAAGGTGGCTCCCACAGTAGGCGGGTCACAGGGTAAGAGTGGGTAGCTTCGGCAGCTTTGGTAAATTCGAGGTTGAACTTGGATGAGCCAGGCGTGTAGACATCTTGAGGAGTGGGCGCAATGTGGCTGTCGAGGATTTGAATCTGACGATGTTAGCAGTTGGATAAAGGATACGTGAACAGTGCATGAACGTACAAAGTTATGGCCATCCTCCAAGTAGCTTCCTACAGCTAGCTTACCAGCACTATTACCTTGGGCCGGCCACTTGCACCAGTCGAAAGCGTAAATAGCCCACGGCGCAAGGTAATTGCTCGTTCCTGGTTGAGCACTGTTGGCATCATAGCCCATAGCAGCTCCAGTGCCATCAGACATGCTCGAATCGGCGCGGGGACGAATATCAGCTAGACCAAGCGGGGTGTTGGAGATGGTGCGCTGGGATCCTGGAGCATTGTACCGGGCGGGGTCGATTGGAGACATGAGATGTGAAGACGAAGCACCGCTAGGAGTGGTAGGAGTGTATGCATGGTAGCTCGAGGAGCCATCGTAGCCAGCGGCTGGGCTGGAGCGGGAATAGCTATGGGACATGCTCAATGGTCTGCCTGTGGCGGCGGCGGACGGGGAGTTTGAATAGTCCTGAGAAGGCTGACCGTGCTGCGAAGGGATCTGCAACGGCTGCTGGGAATGATGCGAATGCTGTTGGTGTTGAGTATGCGACGGCGGCTGGTGAGAGACGGATGAGGCAGCGGGAGAGGATTGCTGCATCGGCGAGGGTAAGTTGGGCGAGGCTGGGGCGCCGCGAGTGGACAGGCCACCGGCGGGTTGGAGAACGTTGGGCACCGAAGAGTTGGAGGGGTTTCTGTAGTGGGAGCTTGAGGGTGAAGACTCGAACTTGATCTGAGGAGGGTTTTCGTATTCTTGAGGCGACATAGAAATTGCAGCACCAGTTTGGCTCAAGCCCGACATGTGCAATTCGTCGTGCTGGGGCTGGGGTTGAGGGCCGGATCCAGAGCCTGAGCCAGCGCCAGAGCGAGGAGCAGATGCAGACATAGAGTCCACCTGCGTCTGACGCAGTGAAGAAGGAAATTGCTGTGATTGGCTCATGCCTGGATGATTTGAGTGCTTCTTGGCTGTACTAGGGCCTCGGGCTGATTGACTCGACAAAGCCGCAAGGTGGCCTGGCGCCAAAGGATGGAGCGGAGCTGCAGTAATGAAGATGCAGCAACGTTGTGAAACAACGTGAAAGGGCGCGCGACAGGAAAAGATGAGAGTAGGTGTTCGTAATCGTTAATAAAATCGAGGTGGAGCAAACAAATATCCCTTACAACTGGTTTCTGAGGAGGAACGTCGGCAGTTGGTAGGACTAAGGGAGAGCAGATGCTTGCTAATGTCGCGCCCCTCCAAAAGGCTGTCGCGTTGAAATCCGGAGGCTATGGAAGTAAGAAAAATGAAGCTCGGAAGATATTTTGACGATGAAAGGAAGAATGCACGTAAGACTTGGTCTGGACTGGACTGGACTGGCCGGGCTTGGCTGTGGTCGGGTCGGGTTTGGAGAAGGGCGGAGGGGCTTGCCGACATAAGTCTCTCGTATAGAATGGCTAGGTAATAAGAAGATGATATGGCAATAACAGGGTGACGTGACCTGTACATGAAAACTTAATGATACGGTTGCTGTGTTCGAGTGAAAATAAACTGAAGCTTTAATTGTATGATTGTCCACAATAGCGCAAATGTGAACTGAAACAATCCGAAGCCATTGGTGACAGGCTTTGGGAGGTTATGCCTTTAACCCTGGTACAGTAATGATACCTTGTCTAAGCAGTTGGGCCAGGTACACGATCTAATAACCAGCAAAGAGGGCTAACACTCTCAAAACCTTATGTTTCGTAACCCAGTTGATTTTGTCTCTTCTTTGTATGGTCAAAGACGGATTGTTATTAGGTATGGGATTAAACTACAGTCTTTGAACCGAAAGTTCGATCTATCTTGTACAACATCATGAGGCTTTGGGGATAATCTACGTTATAAACCATGTTGTCGGTTATTTGAATTGAAATTGATATTGCATCCTTCAGATAGTCACCTATATAGTAGGTAGTAACTATAGGAGCAGCCTATTACACTGCATGTAATCTTCAACATCACACATGAAGACAACGCCCGTGACGCGATAGTGGTACAGACCCACTCCCCGCCCCGTGGATCGCGGCAGGTGCAGTGTGGAAGTGGGCACATGCCAACCCCAGATCGTGTCTAAAGCTTCCACCTGGTCAAGCTTCGCCAAAGCTCCTTGTGACATTACAACAATTTCTACAACCTCATCACAGCTTATCGCTTTACCAACCTGTCCACATCTCTCTATGGTCATACTAATGTGAAGAATCAAGACTACACACCTCGCAGGCCTTCAAGCTTCAAGCCGAGACTATCCGACTCTGACGAACGTATGCGACAACTTCTATTATTGCGACAACATCCTTCGTCTGTTCATACCAAACCCCGTCGTCGCCTATTGCGATCCTCTCGTACATCATGTCTTCTCCGTCTATCCTCGATCGTATCTCCAGTCCACGTCAGCGGCTCCTCAATATGCCACTCCGTAGTCCTCCTATCCGGGCAGTTAGCGAATACGACTTAGATGAGCTGGAGCCTCGAACTGAGGACCCTCCTCTGTTTGATCAAGGTGCCCCAGGCCCTAGACTGAGAAAGACAACCCAACCTGCCTCGACCACCTCGACACAACGGTCCTCGTCTCCTGCGTCCTGGGATAGCAAACATCGTTATTCCAACTCACCACCCCGGACCAGATCAAAGCCAATCTTTATGGGCCCGCCGCCCCCGATCGCATCCTCTATGTTGATAAACCAACAGCCTTCTCGACAATCGACCTCGTCAAACCAAAGCGATAATAGCCGAGGCTATGGGTTACTCTCACCTAGCCGATTTGGATTAAATGATAGCTCGAGCCAAAAGCACTTAGACAATCGTCCGCGCCTCGATTCAATATGGAGAAGCTTACAGCGAAGAGAAAAGGTACTGGAGCGTGATATTCAACAACTGTTAGATCTCCAAGCGTCGGGTTTAATTGCTGGAAGTGGGAATGGAGGTTCTGAGATCAATTTTGGGAGCGACACGGGTACCGGGGAGAGCACCTTCTATTCCACGGCGACCTCAAAATCTCGAATGGTCAACTCATTACACATACCGACACGATCTACCCCAGACGGGAATGTTATACCTGTGAGGCAGCCTGCCCCGAATAAACCACGCGGTCTTAAATCGGCTCGAGCTGGTCTTCAGCGGTCCATGGCAGCTCTGTCCGATCTAAAGGCAGAGGAGGACTCACATCTTCACACCGCACTAGAGCAAAGGAAAGATGCTTTGGCATATCTTGACAAGATGAGTAAGAGGAGGGACGATATTTATTCTGAGCTTCATGCGCTGGAGGATGACGAACAAGAACCTCTGGGACAAGAACTTCGCGAGTTAGGGGCAGAACAGCAAACCCTAGATCATGATATACGACAGCTTGAAGAGAAACTAATTCGTATGCGAAATCGACGCAGATGGGTACGAGAAAAGATGGAAGACGTTAAGAACCGGCGAGAGGCAGGGTTGAGTGGCTACAGAGCAGCTGGTAGAGACGTGGATATGGAAGTGCGCACACTGTTACAGAGACCACCCATCACGCCGCTAGATGTTGATGCACTTGGCTCCGTCACAAGATCGCAGTCGAAGGAGAATATGGATATACTTCGTGGTACCGAATTTCTACAGCTCCGGCCAGAACGGCGTACCGTGGAGATGGCCAAAACATGGTGGCAAGGTGAAATGGCAGTGCTTGAACGTCGCAAGGCACAGATCACAGAAGACCGCCAAGCTTTGATTGAGGGTTCCGAAGTTTGGTCAGAGGTCACTGGTTTGGTCGCACAATTTGAAGCAAAACTCCGGGAATTGATCAAGGCCAGCCAAGCTGGAGATGCTGACGAGGAGCCGCAACAAGCCGCAATACGAGACCAGATGTCCGAGATGAATGATGTTGTCGAAGAATTGGAGAAGCGCTTGCAGCTAGCCGAATCGAAGCACTGGAATCTTCTTATTTGCGCAATCGGCGCCGAGTTAGAAGCGTTTCTTGAGGCCAAGGCTGTTCTCAAAGCAACATTCGCAGTTCCCGATGAGTCTGTCACTACTGAAGATCCTCCGGAGCACAGGGTTTCGACAGATACCACGGAAGAGGCGAGTCACGAGAGCCGAGAAGAAAGTCATGATGAGAGCGATAATGAAGTTCCAGCCGACTTGTTGGTATCTCGATTCGAGGATCATGATCACAATCCTCCAGACAGCCCTCAGCAACAGAGTGTAGTTCTGAGACGAGATAGCTCGGAGAACTCTGTCCCGAGTGAGTTCCTGGCTGAGCATAAAGATCAGGTCAAAATCGACTAGGAGAATGAGATCGAGACAATAATAAGGCTGATGATTAATGATTCAACGAAGAGGGAGATAGAATTGGACACTCGGGTTTAGGCTGTATTTTATTTCCAACATTGTTCACACTATGGTAGGATAGAAGGTCATGGTCTCGTTGATTCTGTATCATTGATCCAATTCACATGCATAGTCATATATATCCGAACGCCTATCTGAAACCCCAGCGCGTCGTCTCACGCGTATTCAGGTAGCTTTGGCCATCCGTTGCTCGCGTTCGTAAGTCGTTCAATAGAAGCCCGCGGCTGAAAACTGATTGGAGGTTCCATGGTATCAATAGCTAAAAGGAGGGTTGATATGTCGTTGTGTTTATCGGGTTCGTTCAAAGTAGCCGCTCGACCCGGCGATCGCAACGGATTGATCCATGACCCATTCGCCGACGCCAAGGTATCTATCGATCCAGCCGGTAAAATCCTTGTTCTCGCCAGCGACTCTGTCTGTCTTAAAGCTGTTGTTGTTCATATTAGATATGTCGGGGATGTTGCATAGATGGTAAAACTCACGTCAAACCGGTAGATCGCTTCATACCAGCGAGGAAGGCCGAGACTATGAGAGGTTAGTGCCCACAGCGCGCATAACGCTGTCGATATTAGCGACAGTGGATGGAATCGAACTTACAAAGAACGGCGTCAAAGGCATAGTGCGTCAACCGTCCAACCTTTGACCAGAGTCCCAGAGTCAGCAGGTTGAGGAGCTGTGAGAGGAGTCTTTAGAAGACATGCCAGGCCAGCTCCGAATAACGGGGCTGAAGGGGAGGGGTTCGGGGGAAGGGACAGGTACTTACCACCATGATGACAGTCTTGTGAGAGCTTTGGAAAGGGTTTAGAGGAATGTAGATATCGTTGGTCTTGGGTTGTACTGGGAGGGATCTCGCGGTGTGCAGCTCGTGATGGAGTCGTTTCTGATCTAATCTTGGTCTAGCTTAGTCGTCATGCGACACAGCCGCGGCGGGAACCAGGCGGAAGTGGAGAATCCGGCGAGCCGGCGCCGAAAGCTCCGGGGAAGTGCCATATCACGTGTTGGACCCAAGCATTTGGGTGTTGGCATTTGCATGAGGATTCACGAGAGATGCAAGAGAAATGAGATGGAAGCTAGACATTGCATCGAGATGTAATTGGTATCAACCTCATTTTGATAACTAAACTGAATACGGAATAGTTGTTCAGGGACCAAGAAGCGACGCTTTCCAATTGATGTACATTCCCTCCAGGTGGAAATAACTCAGCATACTTTCGTCCTTCTCAACTTGACGCTTCTCAGCGGAAACTCCTGATCTGGTAATGCGCCTGGCTTAAATCAATGGGGCTCAATTATCATGTTGCATTACAGCACGTTGCACACCGGCGACCGCGAGATTAGCGGCGGCTACACGCTGCGGTCAAAGCCAACCGCTTGTTCGCTCGCATTCCGGCGTTATTACAAAGAAAACCCACTCGCAACTTTTTCAACTCAACGTCTGCGTGGAACAAGGTGAGGTCCAGACACGAGAGGGGTTCAAGGGTCTAGAAAGACTTCGCCGAGTGCATCGCCGTGTCTATCCCAAGAAGAGCCAAGAGTGAGAGGGGGAGACAGAGTCGGAGTCAGAGTCATGAGCAAAATCCCTCACTCATGAGGGATGGTATCCTCTTTTTGCGCAACCCCCGCGCCGCCAAATTTTTGACAGCCAAAAGGTTACCCAACGGGTCTGGTATCTACCGATATTAAAAATCGACGTTGCTTAGCTTGCCGTTACTCAATACTATGAGCTATGTCTGAAACCTCATTCGTGTCTGGGATTGGTGAGGGAGGGGCAGTTGTTAGTGTTCGAGCTGGCGTTTTTTCTGTTGAAAGACGTGTCGGTCAGCCACAAACCATATCGAACCCTGAGAATTAGTCAGGGGATGGGGGTCTATCTGAGCCTCAAGCAGCTGAATGATTGCGACCCAATGGTGATCTCCGCGGCCTATAGTTATAGGTTTTCTGTGGAATATAACTCGTAAAGGGTTAACGGTTGGAGCCGACTTGCGAACTTAGCCTGAACTCAAGAGGACAATGACACAAGATGTTGAGCTCTAGCTTTGATAGGGCGAAGTGTTAGATAAGAGTCTTTATTAAGTATTCTCTCGTGTCATGAACACAATCTGGTGCGGTTGGTCTGGCGAAATCCAGGTCAAAGCACTTGTCATGACTATCCGTCAACAATACAGTAATTACTGGCCTGCCTAGACGGGAAGAGAACGACCCTTGAAGCTGAGGTGTATCATGCCAAGAGGCTCTGCAGCCCCTTACCCATATGCAATAGTCAGACAAATCTCAACCCAATCGTAATAGCATGCTGAGCGAATAACTGATTGATTGGACATATTCGATTCCAGCCCAATTAAAATTGGAGGACCGTTGTTGATGTATTACGAGGCAAGGTCAGGGACACTCTTCTCAGGTGAAAAAGAGGTAACTTCATTCGTTGGAACTGGGCGCCTTTTCTCCAACTCTGTTACTCTGCTGGCACCATCAGATACCTTGCCACTGAAAGGTATTGCAGGTCAGCAGTGAGCGGGGGATTAACACTTGTTACGCGTCGCAAGAATATTAGCAGGGCGTTGATCATTATAACTGGGGAGAGATATAGCCATTGAGAATTAATGGATTTGATGATAACCCGCCTTTATAAAGAATGGTGGCTAATTTGGAAGCAAGGAGGCGATGACCAGATACCATTTTTAGGTGGGACATTGAAAAATAGTTCGCGAAAGACGCAGGAGCTACTGTCGGACACTGCAGTAGCGGGCGGAGTGCTTTGCCCCGAAAGCGCTGCTGTAACAATGGCAAAAGCCACCTAGCGCGATAGCGGGGTCAAGTTTGGTGGGGGAAACAGCTACGCGACATCTTGAGGAGGCGGGCAGGATAAGAACTCCAAACTTCAAACCCTAAAAGTCCATGGCCATGTCGTGGTGAGAACCTGAGATGTCAGAAGGATGAAGAAGGATTAAATCAGACATCCAGTAGACATCAAAACTTACTCAAATATCTAAAAGCCTATACTTTGAGCCCTGTAAACTCCCATGCATCTCACATCTCACATGGGAAGCGGGGTGCAAGGAAGCTCCCCATAATTTTTAACAAGATCGCCAGAACCAGAAGAAGAAGAAAAAAAGAGCAAGGGAAAGCTCATCCATCTCAACCACAGGAAGAGCTCAGACGCCAGAAGAGAAAAAAATGAGATGCGGGCTTGGAATTTGCCGTGCTAAGTACATCTGAGGCAAGTACTCCGTAGCGCTACTCCAGGCTTGGCCCCTGTCCCTCCAGTCATGATGGCTGTGATTTCTCGGTGAGACAGACATATTTGTTGATTGGGGAGAGAAGAGTAAAGTACCTTACCCTCTTGCCATTGAGTGTTTGCGGTAGGTAATTTTAGCCTTGGCTTGCTTTCCGTGTTGTGCTGAGCTGGGCTGGGCTGGGTTTTCTCACTTCTGTCTTTATTATCATCATCACCACACCAACTTAACTTCTCCCTCTTCTTCTCTTTTTCTCTCCCTCATCTCCCAACCTTTTCTACCGACGACAGACTTACCCTTCCACCCCCACTTTCCTCTCACGCCTCGACCTTTGTGAGCCTTCTCAAACATCGAACGTCGATAATAAAACCAGGACGAGTGCACGTTCCTCTGCCACTCTGATCATATCATCATTTTGGATTATTATCGTACGGTGCAACACTCGTACAACAATATCCATATACTCCTGTAAGTGGACATGCTACTGCTACTGCAATGCTGCACCTGAATGGAGACGGTTGTGGCTTGTGCCCTGAATTTCTGCTCTCCTGGCCTTTGCTAGGCATGGCGATAACGATATTTGTGGCAATACCCATCTTTGCAGATGGTCTTTCTGGCCTTCTGGACGCGCTCCAGAAACACTGGCCTGTCAGCGACCCAGAACTCTGCAGGTGTCGGTTTTGATCTCGGTTCTTCTGGCCCGATTAGCGACAATCTGATGATTCAGAACTCAGCCCATCTACTGAGCTCATGGGTCGTCTGGCGTCCTTCTCGCCGGGCAAGCCAGCATCTCTGTGTCGCGCCGATTACTCTGCCCCCCACCACGTCACTTAACGTCAGATCCGCGTTAGCCCCTTGTCCTCGCCTACCGCTCATGAAAGGATACCGTTGGCCTGCATAGCAAGTGCCCGCAGAACGACCTGATATCCTACTCTAGTGGTTGCTAGCTCTGTTAATCAGTTGATTGACTGAGAGACATATATTGCCGCTCCTGTTCAGTCTGTTCTGGATTTGTTCCCTCACATCTTCATTCTCTCACAGCCAAAGCTACCCCGCCAAGCGCCTTTACCACATTGATACGCTTCAGATTTGCTAATTTCTTCTTTCACAATGGCTCAGAAACACTCAAGTAACGAATCCAAAAGCATCATGGCTGCTACTGCTCAGGACCACCTCGAGATGGGAGGCAAGATCTCATGGCTTGCCTCTCTCGACACTGCTTTCCGACCCGAGCGCAACTACCGCCGCTCCTCCATCATCTGCACAATCGGCCCCAAGACCAACTCTGTTGAAGCCATCAACAAGCTCCGAAATGCTGGTCTCAACGTTGTCCGCATGAACTTTTCCCACGGATCATACGATTACCACAAGTCCGTCATTGACAATGCTCGTGAGTCCGAGGCCACCCATGCCGGCCGCAACGTCGCCATTGCTCTTGATACCAAGGGCCCTGAGATCCGAACGGGTAACACTCCCAACGATGAGGATATTCCCATCTCTGCCGGCCATGAGATGAATATCACCACCGATGATACCTACGCTACCTCTTGTGACGACAAGAACATGTCAGTGAAATCGATTCTATAATTTGCCTCTTGCTAACTTCCCCAGGTACGTCGACTACAAGAACATTACCAGCGTCATCGAGCCTGGCCGTGTCATCTACGTCGACGATGGTGTCCTCGCTTTCGACGTCCTCGAGATCGCCGACGAGAAGACCATTAAGGTCAGAGCCCGCAACAACGGTGCCATCTGCTCCAAGAAGGGTGTCAACCTGCCCAACACCGATGTCGATCTGCCCGCTCTCTCCGAGAAGGACAAGGCCGATCTTCGATTTGGTGTTGAGAACAATGTTGACATGGTTTTCGCCTCTTTCATCCGCCGCGCCCAGGATATCACCGACATCCGTGAGGTCCTCGGTGAGAAGGGCAAGCACATTCAGATCATCTCCAAGATTGAGAACCGACAAGGTCTCAACAACTTCCGAGAGATCCTCCAGGCTACAGACGGTGTCATGGTTGCCCGTGGTGATCTTGGTATTGAGATTCCTGCTGCTGAGGTGTTTGCTGCTCAGAAGAAGCTCATTGCCATGTGCAACCTTGCTGGCAAGCCCGTTATCTGCGCTACTCAGATGCTCGAGTCCATGATCAAGAACCCCCGCCCTACCCGTGCCGAGATCAGCGATGTCGGAAACGCCATCACTGATGGTGCCGACTGTGTCATGCTTTCCGGTGAGACCGCCAAGGGTAGCTACCCCTCCGAGGCTGTCAAGGAGATGCACGAGACTTGCCTCAAGGCTGAGAACACCATCCCCTACGTCTCCCACTTCGAGGAGATGTGCACTCTCGTCAAGCGCCCTGTCAGCACTGTCGAGTCTTGCGCCATGGCCGCCGTCCGTGCCTCCCTTGATCTTGGTGCCGGTGGCATCATCGTCCTGTCCACCTCTGGAGAGTCGGCCCGCATGCTTTCCAAGTACCGACCCGTGTGCCCCATCTTCATGGTGACCCGAAGCCCCACAACATCTCGATTCGCCCATCTGTACCGTGGCGTCTACCCCTTCCTGTTCCCTGAGACCAAGCCCGACTTCACTGAGGTCAACTGGCAGGAGGATGTCGATCGACGAATCAAGTGGGCTGTCAACAACGCTCTTGAGCTCAACGTCCTGACCCCCGGCGACACCGTCGTCGTTGTCCAGGGCTGGAAGGGCGGAATGGGTAACACCAACACCCTCCGCATCGTCAAGGCCGACCCCGAGCACCTCGGTATTGGCCAGCTTCAGTAAAGCACAAAAGTCTCTTAGGGATGGACCCGGAGTGATGGAGAATTGTTTAATGCGTAAATTAGTAATGATAGACACGGCAATGGTTGTTTCCAAGGTTAGGATACTGGATTACGAGTTCTGAGTCACGTAAAGAAATAAACAGGGCAAGACCCTTTTGCATCCAAGTATTAGCCTGAATCTACTGTGAATCTTGTACTGGAAGAAAGTTGATTTCGACTGGCTTTCATTAATGCTCGATTGGTATGATCGAGAATTCGAATCTATTGAGGAAAAGATGCACTGGCGAGTCAACAGATGTTTTCAACAGTGTCTATCTAATCGTTAGCCAATCGACCCAGACGCATGCAGTCATGGTCCAGAGGGCTGAGCATGGAAGATCACAAACCAGGGTCATATCAAGGGTACCATGACATCCCTACCATTACGGTACGATGGGGCTGTCAACATTTTGTGCTCTGTGAGAGGTCGTGGTGTGATTCTGTAGGGTCGGGTGAAATCGATTTCTGGCATGATGCGGAAGGGAAGGGTTGGGTGTCGGGTCTTTAAAGAACCGTGGAAAGACAATAACTGGGTATATGGGTGTTGATGTAGAAAGATAGCCTGGGTGGCATAAGGATGCTACGACGGTGTCTACGCTTTCCTAACGAACTATTAGGATGTGTGAGTCGGACCACATCAGGTTTGTAAATATAGTAGCTAAAGCTAGACCTTTCTGAGTTAAATCCTTTGTTTTGAAGATATAGAGACTGTGCTTTGTGAAGGCAGCTACAAGCATGTGATAACGGGTCAGCCGGCAAACTAATATTGCTTGTATGACGATAGCTTACCGGCTCGGGTCGAACCGCGATGGTATCAGTCAACGTTGGAATGTTTAAGCCACATATAGAACTCGAATTTACAACTCTGTGAAAAGAGTTTCGACGATAAGACAGCTCGGCATGTACAAAGACTGTTAATAAAACAATAAACTTATAATATATCTAAGTAGAGTTTAGCAAAGTCTAATAGAATCTAATTAAGTCAAGTGAATTTATAGGAACTGGCTAAATTTCAGATGAAATAGAGAAGAGAGTATAATCGGAGCTGTTGCATGACCACTATTATCCGGTCCTGGTTTTACTTCCACGCTTAACATGCAAGTACATCGTCTTTCTACAAATCTTTAATCTCGAACTTCTTCCTCAAATGCTCTCCATACTTGATGAATAGCCATGGTGCAGGAATTAATGCAGCAGCAATGAACCCAAGAAGACTGTTCCCCCACCCCATTCCAAGCTTATTGTACATGGGCAGGCCAGCGAGAGGAAGCACCGCTCCGGCAATGGATCGCATCACAGCGTTGGCGGCGAGAGCCGAGGCGGCATAGACGGTGAAACTATCGATGAGATACATCTGCAAAGACTATGATGCGTTAGCTGGATCAAAAGAGTTCATGTGTTTTACGTAACATACCATAAAGATCAACAGGTTTCCTACGCCAATAATAGCTGTTCCAATGATAGGTACAATCCAGTGCGTCTCATACTCGGCAGTCCAGCCATAGATAAACAATCCAGCTGGAAGCAGGATAGCTCCGGTCTTGAGTGGAGGAAGACGATGTTCGGGCTTCATAGACTCAGCAGGATCAACAACACCCTGCTCCTTAGCAGCAGCAGCCTTCTTTTTCATGTACTTGTCACTCGAGTAGGAGAAGTACGCCACACCAAGCATACTACCGACACCAAGACCGAGGAACGTGAGCCCTGCGTGTACGGTGTTGAAGTGGTATATCCGCATGAAAAGGGGCGTGAGGCTGGTGAAGAGGAGATAGAGATATGCGTAAGCGAGACCGACGTACAAACCGCAGATGATGCAGATGGGTGAGAAAGCCAGCATTTTGAATGGGCGCAGAATACCACGCTTGAAATAATCTGCTGGACTTAGACCAGCATCAAGTTTGGATCGCAGATTTGGATTTCCGGTCTCTTTTTGGAGTTTTTTCGTCTTTCGTGCTAGAATAACAGGCGCGTATGTCTCTTCAGAAGCAAAGAAGAAGACGATTGACAAAACGCCAGCCATGATGGCGATGATCCAGAATACCCACCGCCAGCCGAGGGCATCAGTCACAACACCTCCCACAACAGGACCAATAATAGGGCCAAGCAGAGGGCCGATAGTGAATGCTGCCATGGCTGCACCGCGTTTCTCTTGGACTATCATGTCGGCGATTGTACCGCCGCCGTTCGTAATAGGGGCGGAGCCGAATGTGCCGCTCAGGAAGCGGAACGCGATCAGACTGCTCAACGAAGGAGCTTTCGCACACGCGATGACGAAGACTTACCAGATTATTAGTGCTGTGTACATCGTGAAGGGAGCTAACTCACCAATGAAGCCCACATTGCAGCAGTGGTAGACTATCTGACGGCCGTATAACTCGGATAGAGGAGCGAAGAGCATGGGACCTGCGGCGAAGCCCAGAACGTAGACGGATACGCAGAAGGATGCTAGTTCAGGACTTTGGCTATTGAACTCAACCATAAGCTGAGGGACACCGGGAGCAAACATAGCTGCGATACTGTTAGCTTGAACCTTTCATATGCAGATCATGTTACGGCGTGTGTGGCTGTGAGACCGCAAGTATATGGGAGAGCGAAACCACTTACACGATGCTAATGGCGTGATGAATGTCAAAGCACTCACGAGCGTGCAGTTGAGAACCTTTTTCCAAGACGCGAAGTTATACGGATTCTGTCGATCTTTATCCCCATCCCACCACACTACGTCGCTCTCACTCTGTGTCTGCGAGCCCTCCTCTTCATCTCTCATTGACGCATCTTCTTTACTGTGTTTTTCATGATCCAGTGACCCTCTCTCTCTTGCATGGCTGATACGTCTTTGGCTAGCGAGACTTTGTCTTCGTCTGTGCTCGTCCCCTGGGGTTGGTACGAAGCCGATGTTGCTAGGGATGTCGGCATCGTGGCCCTCGTCAATTGCCTCGCGCGTTTTTTCTTCGCGTGTTGGTTCGCGTGTGAGATCGTTTGGTCTTGACTCGCTGTGAGTTGGGTCGTCTTCTTTACTCATTGTTTATAGCTGGTAGTTGTCAGTCGAGCTGCACGTTGAGACCTGGGGGTGGTCCTTGTTTTGGGCCACTTTTGGTGGAGAATGTACCTTTATCCCCGGATTTCGGTAAGTTTAATTCAGTGGGGATGAGAAAGGGGAGTAGCACACGTTTAATGGATGTTTGTGGAGTCGTTATCGGCTTTGGGAAGGGTGAGTTGGGCCGTGAGAGGTTGCGATCTGTTGGTATAGCGGAAGGGTGCGAGTTTTGGGATTGCTTCAGAGAAGTATTTGATGTCTCATTGGTGATTGATCCGGAACACAATAGATGTCAAGGGTATGTGAACCAACAAACGTAGCCTGCGTCGATGTACGTGGGAGCAGGAGTGAGTCGATTTTCGTTCACAGGAGGTTGAAGCGAACGAAGAGAGATACGCGAGGAAGAAGTCAATGCCACAAGCAGAGGAAAAAAAGGCAGAATACGACACTTCGCTCACGCGATTGAGCATGTAACCTAACCAGGGCCATCAACCATTCACACACCCGGAAATTCTGTCTTGATTCTCTCGTCGATCAACGAACCTCGGCCGGAGCTCTTATTCCCCCTCCATTTTCGGCTCCTCGCCTTCGGGATCAAGCCATAAACTCCGTCAAGGTACATGACACTAAAATCGCTACCTAGCAAAGGGTCTTTTCTTCGAACAAGGGAGGGTGGGATTTTCATCTTATTGGGCAAGGGGGTTGCTTGAAACGGACTGATTGTCCGTTTGGTGGGAGATGTCGTGCTGGAGTTCTCTCGGCCGAGTCGTGGGTTGCTTTCTCCGGTCTTATTCCCTGTTGATATCCGTCGGCTCTGGGGTATTTCTTATTATGCGGAGGGACTCCTTGTGGGGACATCAATGTGCATCTTTAGGCATGATGGTATAAACAAATAACGCTACAGTCTGGTAAAACTGAAATAAGTTGCTATAAGAAATGTTCAGCTCTGGGCTTATATTGTGTAACGTCTTCTAGATCCAGCGTCCCAACGTTACATAGCAAATGCCCAAGGCTCTACGTTTCCCCCACAGTTTGCTCATCATATTATCCAGGCAAAGCGGAGGTACTTCCCAGAGTTCGGAAAGTGAAAATATACAAATGTACACTCTCTCTTATAATATCTACATCGACGTTGGGCACCATGTAACTCCGCATCGTATATGACAGCTAAAGTTCTGTCTTCGTCCGGGTTGGCCTCCGTTCACACTGGTCCGACGATTGGGTAGGCGGAGTCTTCCACTATGAACCCATGTGAGTTTATTCGACCTGGGGAAAGTATCATGTCATCAGCGTTGACAATTACTGGAAAGCTCTATTAACATGTCATCATTCCCTATCGTGAAACCACACTTGCTTTCGAACCCGTTATCGCCAAGACCATCGGTGACCTGCTTCGCCTGCTAGATGTGATGCGCAAGTATCTCAGAAGTAAACCACGGCCATACCGTCGTATGCTGATACAGACAAGGAAATTTGACGCCATAATATGCGTAGTACGAGAAGTGTCTCGAGAGTGGTTTATAGCGGCTTAGATCTTCTTCAGATACCGCCACTCTCTCAACTCACCTCCTGCTTGGTTGGGATTACTGACACTCGTAGCGAATATAGCTGACATCAATAGTATATCGTTCACCTAGGTCTGCTTTGCACCTCTTCATTGGCCAGCTTGTAACTGTAGAGCGACAAGGGTGTTCAACAGGTCCTAAAGACATAAAAGGAAGGCAAGATGCTTGATTATTCATCCGATCAAGCCCAGCTTCATGAGATTATCTCTTAAGGACTGGAGATCCGCAAGAGTCTCTGAAGCGCGTTCTTTCAAAGATTCACACTGGAGACCTAAGATCTTGGCTGCTCCTGATTCGTGGCCAACAGCCAACGACACTGCATCATGCAGCTGCTGGGCCCGAGCCTTGAGTGAAGTCTGAAGCTCAATCACCATCGCAATCATCATAGAAGCCGCTGAAACCTTTGGCGCAACGAAAGATCCGATCTTAATCTCGGGTATGTCGAAATTTGGCTCGTGGTCTTTGGGTAACAAGGGGACGGCGTGAGCACACATACGTCCATGGTTAACAAGACTGTCGAATAGATCCAATATTCTGAGATGACAAGCTAGTAGCAGGTGAACAAGAGACTGGTCGATCGATGTTCGTGAGTTTGATTGTGAGTATTGGGCAGAGTTGTGGACGCAATCTTGGACATTGCAGGTGCTATCCTTTGTCTTAAGTCGTTTAAGAACTTCGGGGTACAAGTGAACCAGCTTTTGTGAACGTTGCAACAACTCTTCCAGGAACGATCCTAAATCGAATTTACATATTTGCATAAACTCGTTGAGTTCGCATATTGAGAGATGATTTGCCCTGGAGGTAGGGAAGGTGTTCTGAAGACGATCCAGGGCGGCCATCATATCAGTCAATTGAGAGACTTCAGTGATTGTGGCTTGAGGAGGCGAGGCTGAAGCAGCTTCTTCAGCAACAGGCACCGTTGTTGTTAAATCCAGATTGACCCCGAGTGTTGAGTCTATTTCTGTGTTCATATTGAATATCGCCCAGTCAAAGGCAACATGGTCAGGATGGCGAAGAGATCGGGAGGGAGGACTGAAGAGACATGTTACACCAGCTTTGACGCAGCGGGTGCAGACTAAGGACCCTGGGATCTTGGTGCATCTCAGCTTCTTGCTGTGACAGCGATCACACGCTTGTCTAAGATCTGCCATGTTTTTGGGTGTGTTGAAGAGTGAAGGGAAAGTTGCGTGTACTTGAGGAGGCCTAGACATGGCGGAGAATGCCCGTTTGTGGCTGGGCGGCATGGCTTTTGAGCCTTGTCGCATACCCTATACCTTCTTGGTAACTATTTGAGGGATCAGAACAAAGATTGATGGTGTCGCAAGATCGATCTGACGAGTTTTTGATATCAATTACATTATTTATCATTTTGTTTAAGCTTAAATCAGAACGATTGATATACTGTGAGTAATCAATATGCCCTTGACTTGCTCGTACACAACTTCTAATCCGTGGTAGCATGCAATCAGATGATGCCAACAGGGATATCCATCATACTCTACATCTGCTATTCAATTGTTATTAAAAGAATGAGCTTTCTAAGTAAATTGAATAAAGAAGACATTTCACTTGGGTTGTTTTATTCATGTTGCACTGCTACGTGTTGCGGGTTGTGCCTATTTCTTTGTGCACCTTGTCAGCCTCAACAACACCACTGCCACTTCCATTCCCCCTTCACAGAGCTTCCCCGCGAAACTTCCCGCTTCCATTCCCACATTAACCATACCCAGACCAAAAACATACCAGCGTTTCTCATCATCGCTTATCATATCTAACATGACCGCGATGCTGAAACCAGCATCCGACGCTTCTGCTTCAAGCATATAATGTCGCTGATACCGTATCAGCCCCATGAGGGCAGAGAAATTGTGCTGTACGTCATAATCCTAGCTCGTCGTATACCCACCATTGCAAGCTCCAGCTCCAGCTCCAGCTCCAACTCAAGCTAACATTCACCTTCACCCTTGTAGGCGCCACCACAACGCCATTGTAGTTCGCGATTCTCAGTCCCATCGACTCGAAATTCGAGGCATTTCAACATGCCCAACATGCCATCAACCGCTTACTCGTTCCGAAAACACTTCCGATCGAAGCTATGATCGCTCCTTTGGCGCTCGACAAGAGAGCTACGTCGATCCCGATTACTTTCGCATGCTCCGCGCCGTCAACTCGAATCCCGATACAACGACCGATCATGGACCCCCTAGTCCCGTAAGGAGACTCTTTGGACCTGTTCTCGGTGGTGGCAGTAGCCCAACTACAAACCAGACATCGCCGTCGCCGGCTCCAGACGAAGCCGAATTTGTCTCGAGCACACCTGGTGTCGCACAATCAGAAGGCAGCAGGATACGAAGGGATGCATTTAGTCCACACTATTTCGATACTTTCTTTGTCGAGGAACGGATTTTAGGGAAAGGAGGCAAGGGCGTCGTGCTGCTTGTAAGGCACGAGATTGATGGTTGTGCCCTGGGCCAATTCGCCTGCAAAAGAGTCCCCGTTGGAGACGATCATGCATGGCTAGAGAAAGTTCTCATTGAAGTCGAACTGCTTGCGAAGCTTTCACACCCGAATCTTGTCTCCTATCGACACGTCTGGCTCGAGGACGTCAGACTCACTCGATTTGGCCCCAGCGTAGCTTGCGCATTCATTCTTCAACAATATTGTAATGGTGGCGATCTCCACCAGTACATCATTGGCGGCGCACCCCGCGAGGCCACCAAAGAAGAACTCAAGGCACAAATGCGCCGCAGGTCAAAGGGCCAACTAGACACGCCTGTTGATCTGTTAACCGGCAATCGCAAACTTCCGTTTGATGAGATTTACTCGCTGTTCAAGGACATCACTTCTGGCGTAGCATATCTTCATGCTGCTAATTATATCCACCGCGATCTCAAACCAAGTAATTGTCTACTCCACCGAGAAGGTGGTAGGACGATTTGTCTCATCAGCGACTTTGGTGAAGTTCAGCCCGAGAACATGGTTCGCAAATCTTCAGGTACTACTGGAACTATTTCATATTGCGCCCCTGAAGTACTCAAGATGGATACCACATCAGGACGTTACGCAAATTTCACGACAAAGTCTGATGTATTTTCGCTCGGAATGATCCTGTATTTTATGTGTTTCGGGAGACTCCCCTACCAAAGCGCAAATGCTCTCCAAGAAGAGCTTGAAGATGTGGATGAGCTCCGAGCAGAGATCACCCACTGGCAAGGCTTCCAGGATGAGCGACGCGAACGACCTGATCTCCCCTCAAAGCTCTATCAGCTGTTGAAAAAATTGCTGGCGCTCAATCCTGCCGAAAGGCCCAGTGCTAATGAGGTCCTCAAGGCTATGAGAGGCGAGTCGATGAGCTTTGAGAACGGCACAAGTCAGGAACCCACGCCAAGTCTTGGAATCGGGACTCGCATACAAAACCTAGACTCACCCGCTCCTCCAGGTACCCCAGTTCCAGGTAAGTTTCTGATTCTCATGTTGTAGCCAACTTTGCTCTTACTATTCTGTAGGCCCTCGACACCGACATCAGTCAGCACCACTAGATAAGTTCGAAGAGCTTGGTACATTGGCGAGATCGACTTCACGAGATATATCGCCGTCAAAGAGCGGACAGAGCTCACGTCTGGATCCCACTCGCCAATCGCTATCGCGGCATCATGGCTCTCAGTCCATGGTTGTAACCCGCAGCCAGGAAAGTCGTCGTAGTTCCCTCGTGACCCCAGCTGTCAGCGTCAGCGATGCTTCCGAACATGGAGAACTTCACGAGAGACGGAACTCCCAAAGTCCTCCGCTTCTCATGGCACCGCCCACTACGGCAGCTGATGCTCTGAGGCGGAGAGTAACCGTGTTCATCATCCATTTCATGCATCTAGCAGGCCCGTACTCCCAGCTAGTAAGCTACATGGTCCGTCTGGGTCTCTTTGCCGTCAAGATAACAACCCTCACTCGTCCCTGTTGGCCACTCATGGCTCAGCCCAACGTAGCGATCCCCCTTGTTGGCGTAGCAGCCCTTGACCTTGGTCTACCGCGAGTCACAAGTTACTCGCCTGTGCTTAGGCAGGACTACGGGGATTACTTTGCCAGTGGACCTCGGGCGTGGGGTTTAGGTATGAGTCTGATTCTGCTGGCCCTTCACTTCACAGTGCTGTGGGTCGCATCTGGTTGGGAGACTTTGTGTATGGTGAGGCAGCATGACGTCTGGGCGGATGGACCGTGGTGACGCGAGGTGTAGCTTATGAAGCACCGCGACACAATTCTTCCATATTGCGAATTAACTAAGCCAGTCACAGATTACTGGTGCAAGCAAGAAGATGAAGAGCTGTACTATATCAAGCTGTAGGTTGGACGGTAGACAGATTTCGGTACGGAGTCGTGGTGTAAATGATCCAGGTAAACAGGGATGGCTAGTATGATTTGAATGAGAACACCTGGAACAAATATAGTTGCAGACACATTGCCATATGAAAATAGATTTAGTAGAAAGTAAATTTGATCACTAAGAATACACCACTCGCTTCTTTCACACCAGACACCAACAACCAGTACAATACTCCAGACACGACCGCCATTTCCCCAATCATGTTCATAAAACTTCTAGATCTTCCTCAGGGACTTTTGAGTCAGGATCCTTCGTCTATCCATCTCCCTCACCGCCAAATCACTTTCTCTACAACCCGGAGGGATACGCTTCCCACGAGTCAAACTGCCAAAACCGAAATCGGGCTCACCACCAAGACTGCCAAAGATGTCACCCACGTAGTTTTCAGCCTTGATACCGTCTTTGAAGGTGTCATCCCAGTATCGAATGATCTCTTTGACGATTTCAATGCCGGCGTTGAAGATGTTGGCGATAGCTATGTTAAAGCCGTTTTGTTGAGCAGTTAGATGCTCTAGGTCGCTGCGGCCGAGAGGACCACGATCGAAGTTGGAGCCTTGGAGAGTTAGGGAGATACAATCATGAGAATGGGGTTGGAAGAGCAAATACCTGTTCGTAAGACCATGACTCTTTTGAAGTCACAGAGCTTTTCAATCGCTGCACGTACTAGAACTTCCAGTACAGCGTTATCCTCCTGCGCACTCATGCAGTAAACACCAGTGCCATTTGTCCATACTCGTGTTGTATTCTCAAAAGACTCGGAGAGTCTACTGCCAGAGTAGTACACATCACTCGTAGCAGTGTCGCACTTAACAACGGAGGGAGGTTGAGATGCACTTTTATACGACTCGCCCATACGACCGTATAGTGCACGGTACTGCTTCGGCTCGTTGGCATCAGCTAATTCAGCCCTGGAGGCTAGTCTGTATGCAGTGTCTTGGAGTTGGGCGTTCAGTTCGAAGACTTCAGTGCCGTAAGTGATGAACGGATATTCGTGCGGTTGTTCACGGCCGTAGGAGATGTACCCTGTTGCCCAATTGGGAGGGAGTGATCTTGAATCGATCTCGTATTGGAGAGCAACTTGGACCGCATAGCGAGCCAGAGCAACAGTTCCAAGAGTGCCATACTTGGGATTGACACCGGCTATACCGGCGATTAGGAAATAGGTATGGCGGAGGTCAAATTTGGGTGAGAGGACGAGAGCCATGAGGGTTGCAGCTGAGTTGATTTCGCCTTCACCAATAGTGAGCTGGCAGATATCGCCGTTCTCAGTGCAGGAGGCACAGGGGGATAGCATGGAGAAACCCGGAGAGTGAATAACCTGTGAGGAGAGGTTGCCCAGATTGGAGCTGGGGAGATTATCGTGCCAGATATCAGCTTCTGGTGTCCACTGACGAGTAACATTAGAGAGGTTATACTGGAAATGACACAGTAGCAAGCATACCATTGATATAATCATGACTTTTGGCGCAATGACTTTGTCATCACCAGGGTTTGATTGCCGTGGAAATGCTATCACAAAAGGCATAAGACCGACTCGCAGAATTACTAGAAGAAATTTTGATAGCTCCATGGTTGACGGTATTGCCTCGAGTTGTTTTGCAAGTTAATCGGAATTGATGGGAAGCCACAGATCTTTATCCCTGAATCACCATCCACACAATGATCAAGACTAGCAGAACAATTACGAGTTCGAGACTCTCAACGCCGAACCGTTTCACACACAATATTCTATCAAGGGGGTCCATCCTGTGGAGTGCAATGTCTTGTCAAACTGAACAACAGCAGCCATAGAATCAGACGTAGACGAGATTAGACTGGGAATCCCACGGGTATCGAGCATCGGATGTCGCCCTCTTGGGGCAAACGACGGTAGCGAGTCAGTTTCGAGGCATGTTCATTAATCGGAAACAAGTGGAGGACAGCGACGGGATCTTGATACGGGAGGCCTGTTTGTTTAGAGCTTCATGTCCGATGGAGGATTACCATTATCATCTTGGAATGTGAGGATTTGACAGTACAGAGGAAGGCAGACAGGCAAAGAAAAGGAGAGAGAGGACTAGTCAAGAAATGAAACGAAACAAGACACCATGTGCTCTATGTTTGGAGGTCGAAGCGAAAGACATCGCCGTGTCTCTGTTTCAAGCTTAACATTTGGCAACCTCGTGGGCGATAGAAACCAGTCTTGGCATGTCTCTGCCATTCCTGTCGATCTATCACTAACCCTTTTCTGTTTTCTGTGTCACCCGGAAACAAACACCTCTGATAAGGAAGCTTTGCTAAACAGTGATTGAATCCAGTGTCGTGCAAAATATCCCGTCAATTGAGAGAGTCGATGGGTACCATTCCCAATCATTGTGTGCTTGTGTCACCCAGACGCTGAGAAAGATTCATGACCGAATGCGATCTGGGATCTGCATGTCTCGGCCGGCAGGGCGCCGAAGCGATCGGATGAGGTTGGCTTGATCAATTGGACGAACGAGACGAGACGAGTCTCAATAGAGAACTGTATTTAAAAAAAGGAGATTCTTAGACTGGGTGATGTGAAGTGGTGGTGATGTCTTAACCGCTTAGCTGGATCGTGCTGCGCGAAGTACAAAACGGTAACGCAGGTGCATTGAGGAGCAATCACGAGCTGTATTTTGGTCTCATTGTGCTTGTGTTCGCTATGGGCTTGGTATGCTGGTTACGGATGGGTCGTGAGATGTGAGGCCCCCAGGCACAGGCTACAGTGAGTTGAAGGGATTGGCTTTGGTGGAGTGAGTTTTGTGTTTGGTGCACGTGGTTGTGCATGTGCCTCTTGCTCTTTTTGATGCAAGGGGAAGTTGTTATTTGAGTTTGTGGCCGTTTCAATTGTAACGGTGGGATTGAAGCGTTATTGCTGTTGATGTTGGTTGAGATATCACAACCGCCTAGAATAAGCTTCAACAATGGCCCCGCCAGAACAAAGTCAATTCTTTCAACGATTTCCAGGAAACCTTATTGAGTGGGAACATAAATGATACTTTGTTGAATTCTGAGGATGAAGTAAGTGTCCGGGGTTCTAACTGATGCAATCATCATTTACTGGAGTAACAAGCGTGTGATACTTGCATCTTGTGACTCGTTGACTGTTCGCAAGAGAATCTTGGCAGAGACAAAGTAATGGCCTCAATAATACTACCTGGTTCTTGGCGTGGTGGTTTTGCCAAGAACTGGTTGCCTCTTTCCTTTCTGCTTTACACTCTTGCTACGGAAGCAGCAAGGTGATCAAGGCGGGCAAGGAAATGGAAGGTGGAGGCCAGGGTGCATATCCCACCGCTGAAACAACCTCCTTCATTCTCTTAGACTCTAATTCTTAAATCAACGACACATGAAGAATGCAACAAAAACTCCATTAAAACACCAGACATCAGAGGCGGCCACGATGACGACGACTTATCTGCTAAGCAAAGCTTCTGTTTCGATTAGCACGCCCGCGACGTTGCAGCCAAGACAACTGCCAAGGCGCGAAAGCACTGATGCCAAGCATTTTCAGGAATATCAAGCCTAGCAAGCCTCGGTCTTCCCGGGACGATAGCAGGATGGGCAGTGACAATATTATCACGTCCCCCGACTTGCGGCATCTTCCCCTTCTGTAAGGCGGACCAGTTACAGTGGGTTAGCGACGTGTCTCCGCTGATTTTTACTGGATATAGCGGAAAGCCCCAGACAGTCAGAAAGAGAGATTGACCGCCAAGCACCACTCACAAACCTCTCCCAAGTTCATGTCATTTCCTGGTGGGGGCTTGCTCGCCCGGGTATGACGAGTTTCTCTTTAAGGTTCTTTATTTTCCTGCTGCTCTGGACTCGCTAACTCTTTCAGGGTAGAGTCTAGTAAATAACCCCCCCCGTTTTAGTGCTTCGGCGCGTCTTCCACATTCAACGGTCCCGTTCCAAACCGTCTCCGAGCCATCGAATTCCTCGAATTCCTCGCATTCTTTGTTTCTTATTTAATTTTGGGTCGTCTTTCTTGAACCTCCTTCAGTAAAAGTACCCTGTGCACCTGCGGCTGCTTCGCTCACATCATTCTACTACATTTGTACATTTATGGACGATATCACAACTGCATCCCATCCACGTTATGGCGGCTCCATTGAAGGATCCAACTCCAACTCCGAATCTGGCTCTGGTAGCCAACTCCAGCCCACGATGGACAACGCGATGATATCCCAAGCTCCTAATGACGATCCCCCGCCATTCGACTTGCACGACGACGATCCTGTTAAGGGAAACAACTTTGCCTTTACCCCGACTCAACTACACAAACTCCTGACTGCCAAGAGCGTTTTTGCTCTTCGCGCATTTGGGGGGTTGTTAGGTTTAGCCGCTGGTTTGCGCACCGATATCTCGGCCGGACTCAGCGTCGACGAAACATCGCTGGAGGGCGCTGTGACTTTCGAAGAAGCTGTTGCGTCTGGTAGCCTTGAACGGCCGCCCATGCTTTCTGTTGCTTCTGCTCCTCCGTCGCCGTCGCTTCTCCACAACGGTCTGTTTGAGCATCACGACAACCACTTCGTCGACCGGAAACGAGTTTTTGGGGAAAACCGCCTTCCTCGAATAGCACAAAAGTCTTTCTTCAGGCTGTTATGGATAGCGTTCAACGACAAGCTCATTATCTTGTTGACCATTTCTGCTTCCATTTCACTTGCCATTGGTATATACCAGTCCGTCGACCAGTCGGAAGGCGCATCGCGTGTTGAGTGGGTGGATGGTGTGACCATTGTTGTTGCGATTCTCGTTATCATTATAGCCAGTGCTGCTACCGATTGGCAGAAAAACTACAAGTTTAAGAAGGTTAGTGAGCGCAAGCAGCAAAGAGACTTGACAGTGGTTCGCTCCGGCAAACTGCAGCGCATCTCTGTCCAAGATGTTGTAGTTGGCGATATTTTACATCTCGAAGCTGGCGATGTCGTAGCGGTAGACGGTGTTCTTGTGCAGGCGTCAAGCCTCCAGATGAACGAGTCGTCCATCTCTGGCGAGGCTGACCTTGTTCACAAATCTGTACCAACACCGAATCATTTAGCTACTTCTCGAGTCGATCCTTTCATCCTGAGCGGAACTACTGTTGCGCGCGGTGTTGGATATTATCTGGTCACTGCCGTTGGTGTTAACTCGACCTATGGCCGTATTCTAATGTCTTTAAGAGACGATGTCAAAGAAACACCGCTCCAGGTGAAACTTGGTCGTCTTGGAAAGCAACTTATCGTCATTGGTGCTATCGCTGGTTCCATCTTCTTCCTCGTCCTCTTTATCCGCTACATGGCCACTCTCAATACTGTTACCGGAGGGCCTTCACAGAAGGCTGAAGATTTTTTACACATTCTGATCCTAGCCGTTACGGTTGTTGTCATTACTGTTCCAGAGGGACTGGCTCTTAATGTGACCGTCGCCTTGGCGTTTGCTACAAAACGCATGCTTCGAGACAACAACCTAGTACGACTTATTCGATCGTGCGAAATTATGGGCAACGCGACAACTGTTTGCTCCGACAAGACAGGCACTCTTACCCAGAACAAGATGACAGTAGTGGTTGGTCGTATTGGACTCGAGTCTTACTTTGACGATACTGATCCTGTTATCCCGGACACGGATTCGTCAATGTCGCGTGCCTCGACTATCAAGTGCGATAGTTCAATAGATATGGCAAAGTCACTCTCTCCAGAAGCTCGACGATTAATCAAGGACAGCATCGCACTAAACTCCACGGCCTTTGAGACTGACGACTCGGGGTCTGCTCCTTTCATGGGCTCAAGCACTGAGACTGCTTTGTTGCAATTTGCTCGTCAACATCTGGGCATGGGTAATTTGGCGGAGGAGCGAGCCAATTCTCCTATCGTTGCTATTCTCCCCTTTGACTCGTCTCGAAAGTGGATGGCTGTTCTAGTCAGAATCCATGATAGTCGATATCGACTTCTGGTCAAGGGAGCTGCAGAAGTTGTGTTTGAATACTCAGCATTCGTGATTTCTGATCCGTCGTTCCGAACGCCCATTGTGCGCCTCTCAGAGACTGATCGTATAAGCTATCGCAACACAGTTGAACAATACGCCAATAGAATGCTACGACCTGTTGCTATGGCGTACAGAGATTTCAGCGAGCAGGACATCTTCGACGGCCCGGATGACGACCCTGACAATATTAACCTAGAATGGTTGGCCTCTGGCTTGAGCTTTATCGGCACCTTTGGTATCCGTGACCCATTGCGTCCCGAAGTCGTGGACTCAGTCCGCCAATGTCAAGAAGCCGGAGTCTTTGTGCGTATGGTCACGGGTGACAACTTCTTGACAGCCAAAGCTATCGCAGTAGAGTGTGGTATCTACACGGCTGGTGGTATTGCAATGGATGGACCAACCTTCAGAGACTTGACACCTGAGCAGCTGGATGCTGTTATCCCACGACTCCAAGTCCTGGCCCGATCGAGTCCAGAGGATAAACTGCTTCTCGTCACCCACCTGAAGCGGATGAACGAGACGGTGGCGGTGACAGGTGATGGTACAAATGATGGTCTAGCACTCAAAGCGGCGGATGTCGGTTTCGCTATGGGTATACAAGGCACCGAGGTGGCAAAAGAAGCTGCATCCATTATTCTTCTCGACGATAATTTTGCCTCGATCGTCAAGGCTTTAGCTTGGGGCCGAACTGTTAACGATTCGGTTAAGAAATTTTGTCAGGTAAGTCTCTCACAACGGCCAAGGGGTAGGGGTATAAAGCTAATACGTTTGGCAGTTCCAATTCACCATCAACATCACTGCAGGTATTATTACTGTCGTTTCGGAGCTTGTTGGCGACGCCATTTTTACTGTAGTTCAGCTGCTTTGGATCAATTTGATCATGGATATCTTTGCTTCGCTTGGCTATGCTACTGATCATCCGTCGCCCGACTTCCTGAAGCGAAAGCCTGAACCTCGCAATGCCCCGATCATCTCTATCACGATGTGGAAAATGATCCTTTGCCAAGCCATCTATCAGTTGATAGTTGTCTTTGTTGTTCATTACGCCGGCTGGGACCTATTCAATCCCGACACTGAATTTGAGATAGAGAAGCTTCAAACGTTGGTACTGAATATCTACGTGTGGATGCAGTTCTTCAATCAACACAACTGTCGGCGGGTCGATAATAAGCTGGATATTTGGTACCAAGGGATTCTTCGCAACCCTTGGTTCATCGGCGTGCAACTCGTTACTGTTGCCGGCCAATTCGTCATTGTTCTCAAGGGAGGCGAAGCATTCGATACATCTCCACTTACAGGTGCTCAGTGGGGATGGAGTTTGCTCTTCGGTATCATGTCCATCCCACTAGGTGCCTTGATCCGACAAATCCCGGACAGCTTGGTTGAGCGTCTCTTCAGCTTTGTTTATAGTTGTTGGCAAGCTGTATGGCACCCTCTTCGCGTATCCACTCTCAGGCTCTTCAGCTGCTGCAAGCGTAAGAAGGCGGACGACAAGGAACTGCAGCAGCAAGAGCAGGAGATGGGCCCTGTCGAGAACATACTTCACATGATGTACCTGACTGCGGACCCTCAAGAAGACGAGACTCCGATGACACAAGAACAAAGAGAAGCAATGGAGCGATCAGACCAGGGAAGACTGAGGAAGGAGGGGGAGAAAGAAAAGCGCGAAATCGACTTGTACGGGTTGGTGGAGGCAGCCAAACTGGGCAGAGAGCACAAGGGTGCAATTCTGGAGCTTCATCCAAAGACACTCAAAGACGACCCAATCCTAAGGATCGGAGGTGGTAAAAACAACACGCTCCCGCCAAGCCAAGATGCAGAGTTTATGAGATTCGTCGTGTTGAACACAAACCGACAGCCCCGAGCCACGAGAAGGGCAAACACCAGACACCAGACACGTCCAGTTCAACAGCGACAAGAGCAGAAGAGCTCATGGAGGCACCATATCACCTGGGAGGGACTGTTGAGATCTAAGAGACGATAATGAGCATTCCTATACTATCATACAGCGACATAGATAAGAGGAGGGCACATAGCAGACGGGCACGGAACCCTGTTTTGTAAATGACAGATAACGACTTTATGACAGATAAAGGGATTAAGATACCAATACAAAGGTCGCTCAGGCCCTAATAATAACGCTTCAATCCCGCAAGTAACACATAATATCCATAAAAATTCCCATGCTAGATGTCTACGCCCTTCATGCTTATCCAACTTTTCAAGGCTTTATGATGGCTTCCTCAATTGCACTTCCAATCTCAGCCCGAGGGATTCCCGGCCCTCTCATCAAACAAACAGATCTCGTAGCAAGAGACGTGATGAGCTTAGGTATGCTCAAACGCACCGTCACAGGACTATTTTTCGGCTGCGGCGGAAACGAGAAGCAGTTGACGAAACTCCAGCTTTCGGGCTGCTTCGGCACAGCATCTACGACATTCGGCATCGGCGAGCTGTTCAGATTGAGTTCCAGTGTTTCAACATCCACGACTCGGGCGCCTAGTGCAAGAAGTTGTTTCTCGACTCCGACGATGCTGAAGAATCGCGTGAAATGATCAATGCGTCCGCCGGCACCACGTGTTGGCCATGGCCATTCAATGTCTTCCACCGATGCAGGATTGAGCTCTCCGTTGGTGTATACGTGGTGACCATATCGTCCATAGGGTAGATCAATAACGCGATGCATCTCGTGTTTTCCAGGACCGATGAGCCAGCGTAAACGGGTGAGCATCTCGTCTTTCGCGCGACCTTTGAGGGTGTTGCAGAAGAGACGTGATTCGGGGGCGCTCATGGAGTACTGGGCATGCGATCTTACCAAGAGATGACAGGCTACTGTTAAAGCGGTGCTGGCGAGGCGGAATGAGAACGAGGACTGGGCTGTCGAGGGTGAAGGCGACGACGTGGTGACGTCGCCGTTGGAAGCGGGCGTTGTACCGAGCCAGCCGTTACCGAAGATCTGAGGAGACAGGGAGAATGGGACTGTGAATGGTTTCGCCATGGGTGGCTGCTGGAACTGATGGGGATAGAGACTAGAAAAGTGTGACGCTGGCGTTGGTGCCGCTATAGAAGCTGTGTATGTCGAGGCAATAGGTTGTGGCGTCGGCTGAACCCTTCTCACTGTGACAGCCAACGAGCCTGAAGAATCTGACGTCGTTTCACTCTGCTCACTCTCTGGCGACCCTGAACTCCCTCCCGCTCTCCTCTCTTCGCTAGGAGAGTTAGACCTTGGAAGCATGACGAGGTCCTCCTCGGGTCCAACAACCTCGTGCGCCAACTCCAAGATCTTCTCCATACTGCGCCTCAAGCTCCCTACCAGATTCGGCTGACTGCTCACAACGGCTTCAGTGGTGAGCATCTCGTCAACAAAGGTCATGAAGACAGAGCTCATTTCCTCGATAACTTGCTCGAGACGACGGACGCGCTGAGCCTGGGCTGCTTCGGCAGCTTGGCGGCGGCGACGGAAGATATTTTGGGCTTCGCGGTTGCGCTCGCGACGAGCCTGCGGGTGTAAGTAAGGGGCTTTGAGACGGATGAAGGGATGTGTATGTATTTACCTTAAGAGCCGCATCGTCGTTGTCCTGGGTGCTGGATGATAAGCGAGCACGACGCTTCGGGGGTGATTGCGCAGTCATTTGAGTAGGGTAGGTAGTTATATAAGTGGATGCAATAAATACGAGTTTGAGTTTGAGTTTGAGTATGAGTATGAATGCGACTATGAAGGAAGATGAGAAGTGGCGGGGCCGATAATAATATACTGAATCAATTCCTTGCAAACCACGCAGGTTGTCCAGCTCTTTCTTGGCTGTAAGATGAATAAAAACTTTGTTGTATATAAAAAAAGAATAAGTAGTAGAAGATGCGCCGACACGTGAATGATTAGTGTTCTTGTTCTCAAAGTGGCGAGTTGGATGAAACGGGGACGACGTTGGAACCTTCGGCTTGTTGCTCGTTTTGCCATCACGCTCTGCTCTGGACCCCGTGACCCTTGTTGCGAATCACTGAATTTGTCATCAGGCGATTGTCCAATCATCGTCTTCACTACGGTGGTGCCAGCGCTACAAATCCTGGGGAGACGGGTCTCAACTCCACCAACAAGCACATCGACATCGACATCAACAATGAAGAGAATGATAAGTAATTATATAACGTTGCTTCAAGATTATTCAAAGATCGCATCAAAAACTCCAACTGTCACTCATATTCCTTGCTCTTATCCCAGCCTCCTTCACCAATGACCTCCCAAAATGGTCCTCTGGCTTGCAGCAATTCATGATAACTCCCCTCCTCAACCTTGATACCATCCTCCAGCACCACAATCCGATCTGCGATTGCCATCATCTCTTTACTGTGCGTTACTACCACAATTGCCATATCTCGCTTCGACTTCCTCGCGATCCTCTGCATGGTGTGTCGGATCATCTCTGCGCTCTCTGCATCCAGTGCACTGGTAGGCTCGTCCAGCACGAGGAGTCTTGGCTTACGAGCTAGTGCACGCGCGATGCTGAGACGTTGCGCTTGACCACCTGAAAGAGCTTGGCCTCCGTCGCCGACACGAGTGTTGTAGCCGTCAGGGAGCGATGCGATAAATTCGTGAAGCCCAGCTGCTTTTGCGGCGGCCATGACATTGGGGAACTGACGCTGAGGCGAAAGCTCGCTCAACCCGTACGTGATGTTTTCTGCAATGGTGGCTGGGAAAAGGAAGGGTGTTTGTGGCACATAAGCCATCATCGAACGTAAATGCTCAATGTCGATATTTTCATGGGAGACGCCGGCAAAGCTAAGCGGTCCCTCTCTGCTGAAAATTGCAGTTTCGGAAGGGGTATAGAGACCCAGCATGAGCGAGATAATTGTTGACTTGCCGCAACCAGATCGACCGACAATGGCCAGGCAATCTCCAGCAGTTACCTCAAACGATACGCCTCGCAGCACCGACCTCTCTGAGCGTGCCTTATACGAGAACTCAAGATTGTCGAGTCGCACTGGAAGTGGTGTCTTTGGCTTCTGTTTCCCGCGACCCTCGGTTTTTGGCGTCAAGGGCATGTTTGCGTAGCCCAACATCTGAGCCGCGGTAGATTGGGCCATGGTGACCTGTGGTATCGTGCTAAGAATACTGGTCGCTGTGCCCATACTAAACAGAAGGAGATTGACAACTGCCACCACGGCTGTCGCTGTGATTGCCCTCTCCGATGCCAGCAGTACGGTCCCGTAATAGAACACCAGGGCTGTGAGGGGATAGTTCACTGATTGGTACAGCCCAAAGAGCGTGCTTGCGTGCCCAGCCCTCTTCTTTCCTAGGCTCAGGGTGTGCATCACTGTTTTGAGATACTTCGCACTCATGTACTTTTCCAGGGTAAGTGCTCGTACAACTCTGATGTTGAGGAATATCTCGGTCAGAGCAGCACTCGCATCTTCTGCACCCTTGTTGCAGCGCGCCTCCCACTTCCCACTGATAATGGTATAGCCTTTGACTGCGCCCATAACGACAGGCAGCGGCGCGAGAGTGACGAGCGTGAGTTTCCAGGATATGATGAGGGCCCAGATAACGGCGGCGATGATCATGACGGTAACTGTGATGATGATGGGCAAGAATCTACCAACGATGTTGCGCATCTCTTCGGCATTCCGATCAAGGCATTCGTTGATGCGACCAGGAGAGTTGCGCGACCGATCAAACCATGCTCTCGGCTGTCGGAGGATTCGTTTTAGAGCTTCCACGCGGATGGTGTTGATCCAGGCTTGGCCTACCATCTCGAGAAGATAACGACCACCGCCAGTGCAAAGTCCGTCCATGACGGCAATGACGATGAGATAGATTGCCCACCTTTTGCCCTCTTCTAGTTTGTCGCCTTGAGACCACATTGCACTTAGAAGCTGTGCAAAGCAATAAGCGAATGCAGGAATAGATCCTGCTCCAATCAAACAGGTAAGTACTCCAAGGACGAGAAGAACCCGATGTCCACGTCCGAGAGCTGGCCAGACTGTCTTGAGAATCGCAGCCAAAGGCATTGGGGGCGGGAGATCCTTAGTCTCGTTGTCTTTGTCGTCCGCCTTGTCAGTCTGAAGCTTGTCATCGTACCTCGCCTGTCGAAGCCTGGTAATACTCTTAGGACGCTCTGCACCACCAAATAGGTACTCAGGTTCATCGAGCGGGCCTAACGTGCATGAAGTCTCGAAGCCATCCAAGCTGCTTCGACTTCTGAGTGTACTGTTATGCTTCTCATCGTCGAAGATTGTCATTGGAATGCTGATGGCAGCCGACCTTGGTCGATCAACCTCAGAAAAGGTCTCCATGTCCCAGGCGCGGGCTGTCCGGATGCGAAATGCAGCTGCTGTGTTCGCTCCGAGGGTCATGCGACGTGACGCACTGGCTGAGGCTGGACTGAAGGACTCGAGCTCTCCAACAAACATTTGCGAAAGGCGTGATGCCCTGCCAGGAGGAGGGAATAAAGGAGAAAGAGGAGAAAGAGGCGAGGTTGGTGAGTTGACGGTTATTTCAATCGTCGTATCTACTGTATCCGATGGGGTGCTGGATGCGAGGGTAGCAAAAGTCTTACCGATCTGCTTCTCTAGATCCTTCCTGAAACCTTCCTGCACAAGGGATGCATTATCCATCACATACACAAAGTCGTGGGCCTCGATCTGAGCGACGTCGTGTGTTATAATGATGGTTGTCTTTCCCCTCCGCCAGGCACGAATTGCATCCATAATGAGCGTTCTGCTGACCTGGTCAAGGCCACTTGTGATCTCATCCAGGATGAGTACTGGCGGATCACGAAGTCGAGCTCTAGCTAGTGCCAGCCTCTGCTTCTGTCCGCCGCTAAGATTGTATCCGTCGGCGCCAACATCGGTATCAAGGCCTTCGGGGAGAGCTGCAAGCGTGGACTGGAGCAATGCCGCGTCGCAAGCGCTCATTATTTGGGATCGACTTGCTCCATCAGGGTCGCGGTGACCGAACGCCACATTCTTCAGGAAGCTCTCGTTGAATAAAACGCTCGATTGCTGAATCAAGGTGATGTTCTCACGGACCCATTGTTTGTCGAGGATCTGTAATGGTTTGCCGTCAACAGAAATCTGCCCACCTAGTGGCTCGTAAAAACCAATGATGAGGTTTCCCAGCGTACTTTTCCCGGAGCCGCTTCTTCCGACTATGAAAGTCATCTCACCAGAAGGAAAGAAGAAGCTTGACTCTTGGAGTACTTTGTGTGCTGGGTTTGAAGGATATGCGAAGCTCACCTAATAAAGTCAGCGCTCATCTTCGTTAGTCCGTAGGGGTGGAGAGCCTACATCTTTCAGTTCAATATCGCCGCTACAGAAATGAGGCCTTGAGGCTCCAATCATAGGTTTGAACAACCCACCGTTCCGCATGTTGTGAGTAATTCCAGAGAGGAAACTGCCAGCCGACATACCCTTCGCGAGAACCAGCCATTGTGGCATCAATGCTTCAATACCCTGGAACGCTGCCAGTGTAGCGTAAAAGGTCGTCAAAACACTACCTGCTGGGAGACCATCGTTGTTGACAAGCACAACGCCGTACCAAAACCCTACGACAAACATGGCCACAACCCAGAAGGCAACGTAGCCCATCTGGAGAGCGTTGCATTGTGCTTGGATCAGATACTGCTTCGCTGCAGCTTTGGCAGCTGGATAATACTGCCAGACCTCTTGGTCATAGCCATTGAAGACCTTGACTAGATCGATAGCTGTGATTGAGGCAACGGCGAATTTTGAAGCTACAGCCAATTCGCGCTTTTGAGCTTGGATTGCGGGTTCCAGGCGTCTAGTTGCGAGAGATAGGACAACTGCTGAGATGGGAAGTGTGGCCAGGAGAACAAGAGTGAGTTTCCAGGAGTAGTAGAGAGCGATGCCTAAGGAGGCGAAGGAGGTGATGATGTCGCCAACGAGGAGACCTAGGACCTGAGAGGATGCGAGTTGTAGTTCTCGGGTTTGGCTGCCACAAGTCAGTGATAAAATTGGAGTCGAAAAGGAATACATACGTTTGGATCCTGATAAGAAGACTCGAGATACCTTCGGACTGGGCATCGAACCAGGCTATATCCTTGGACAGGAGACTCATAAATATGTCATGTCGGACACTGCATGCCTGTAGCTCCCCAAAGATTACCCAGAGCGCAAGAAACGCTGTACTTGCGATCCAATTCCCAATGCCCAGACCGAGAAGGACCAGTGCCCAATCCGATATTTGTGCCAGGGCCTGATCCCCATCGAGTGAGCCATTCCCAAAGCCTGCGATAATATCGAAGATTTTCCCAAGAATGACAGACAGAACGGTTTTAAAACCTGCTGTAAACCCAGCTGCTAATAGAGCGGCTATGAGAGCCCCTGTGTGTGATCGTTTTGTAAATAGAAATAGTTGTTTCCATGATGATTTGACGTCTTGCTCCATTTCGAGTGATGTTGCTGTAAAGCAGAATTGAGTATCATGGTGGATTGAGATGGAAGAGTATGATAAATCCTCGAGAATACTGAGGAGGCGACATGGCGATTCAAGGAAATGAAGGAAGGCGTTTGGCGACAAAGAACAATATCAAAGGCTGAGAAGTGGCGATGGTGCACAGACGAGGCTGAGGGCAAGGGGCCTTAGTATTGTTCTCGTTGATATTGTTCGGCAGGAGCCCCGCATGTAACTTACCAACAATGCGGGGAAGGAAGCACTCCTGATTTCTTGTATACCTATTTGCTTGATAGCCTTTCATCTCAGACGATTAAAGAGGGCCGAGAGGCCGCGTGTTGGTGATGCGGATGATGTTGCCACTGCCAATATTGCGTTGGAAGAGACGAGGCCCATGGCTGATTCGTGAGACAAGATTCCTTCTTCAAACAATTAGGTCACTCGAGTTCCTTATGCTGTATTAAATTAACAAGTCAATCTCTTGGTTGGCTTGGTTGTATTTTGGAACCCAGTCATCTCCTAAGGCGCCTATATCTCTGTTTTCTTACGCGAGCCTTCCCCGACTTCGATGAAACAACATCCAATTGCACCTTAGTCATACACAATACTCAGATTTGTGAAGTTCTATTGAATGAAAAAAGAAGTCTCCCCCATTCACTTGCATCCAACTTCTTGCAGCTCAAGTCCGCGAATGTGCATAGCCTAGAGTTAATCATCCCCAGTCTAAGTAGTTGTTAGACATGGAGCAGTCAGGCAATCCTACGGGTGTGTAAAAACCCCCGTTTCCAGTGAGTTCAGGTTGAAAGACTAACTATAGGGAAGTAGCTGGCGATCAATGAAAAGTCCGCACAACGACACTGCGCACCCAAGCAAGGCCGACGCAGTACGTTTAGTCAACCTGCCGAGAGTGTAAGCATATCCAGCTGTGTAGCTAAGCTTTACCATTATATATATGGCACGCACCCATGTACGAGTCTATCTGCAAGTTATGGGTGGTCTATGTATACTTTTAGGTTGAGTGCTCATGACCCTGGTCGGGCCGCTGGCCCAGAGGGACATCTCACAACGTTTCATGACCTTTGCTTATAGTCAGTCAATGGTGGACTTTGCCATATTCAACAGTTGACGTTAGTAAGAGGGGTTCGGGTACTCTACAGCTAGTCACAAAGCAAGTGTTCTAGCAAGTACAGTTTTGCATAGCATCAACAGAAACAATCCGGTATCACTAACATGTGAGTCCATTGCTTGCCCTTTCTTCAAGGACTCCTCGAAAGTTTAAGAACAAACCAAAATGACACATACAAAATAACTTGTCGATATTTTACGCAAACCTACTACGACTTCGTTCGCCGTGGCCGTCATGACTTGAAGGGAATTTATGATATTATCGGGATCTAATGGGTGTACTTGGCTAGAACCAACCGTGTTTGATGTTCAACAAGACCACCAATTGGCTGACATGTACGACAAATAAATACTGGCCGAAACCACCAGACAAATCAGGTCTAGTTTCCTGTATTAAAACTGGTCAAAGTGACTGTGAGCTTGTCAGATGTTGCCATCGCAGAGCCGTCTACCATGTTCCAGCAGGCACTAGATGCAACGTGCATACAAACAATCTTTTTGTGGCTGCCCCTCCATCATCAATTGCCCCACGTTCAAGGTTTTTGCCCAACGACAACCTCAAAATCAAGTTCCGTACACCAACACCAGAAAATCACCTTTTTTACGAACATCACCACCGAAATACCTCTCAATATGGATCCCCTCGATAACATGGCTGGCGCCCCTGTGCCCAAGAACTTCAACGCCGAGGATGCCGAGAACAACGAAGACGTACGTCTCGCTCGACCCCGCGACGATATGAAACAGCCTCAGTAGCTAACCCACAGTCCCCCAGATCGAGAAGCAATTCGCCGTCAAGGTTGTCCAACACATGCAAACATACTGGTCTATCCTCGAGCGCGTCAAGGGTTCGTCCCTCCGACTGACCAAGATCGACGACGAGATCATGGAGCACCTCAAGGAGGCCTTCCCCGAATTCGACCCTGCCGCCAAGGTCGATGAGGATGAGATGAAGAGCAAGGCCGGCAAGGATAGATGGCGCGAGTTCATGATGAAGTACGAGAAGAAGGTGGATGACTACAACTTCGGTACCATGGTGCGCGACAGCGCCAAGGTTGAGTACGAGGAGGACACCACCATCTTTGTGCCTCGTATGCAGTTCTACGCTTTCGAGATTGCACGGTAAGAAATATCGCTATCGAGTGTCGAATTCGAGACTAACTAGGAATCAGAAACCGTGCGGGTCTCAACGACTGGATCTACGAGCAAGCCCAGGCTGAGAAGGCCAAGTCCAAGTAAACCAATACCAAAACGGAAAGAAAATACATAAAAGCAACTCACGAAGTCGAGCCGTGCGTCCGCAGCGCCGGGCCTTGAGCCCACATGAGCCCAGTCTCACAGAGCAAGGCTGCTGGGAAACGATCTGGTTGAGAGCATTGGTGCAGAATACCAATGACCTCATGAAAAGTATGAGCTCAGGAAGACGTGATTGGAAAATAAGATGCGATGGGGCTTGTGTACTGGATTATTCCGTGATACCCTTAGAAATACATGGCATCAATATCTGGCTCCATCATGACGCTCTCCGTACTCATTATAGGGTAGGCGATTGAACACTAGGTACTCTGAACTCAGTAATCTAGACAGCCTGTGATTCAAGCTATGCCATAATTCTGAATTATGTAGAAAGTCGATTCACTCATTATGAAAACAACATGTGTTGATCATTAATATCTTGATCTTATCTACTTATGTGCTGATGCATGCAAGTATACGTAATGTTAATAGCGGGGTACCTTGGTCTTGCACAACCACGAAGTCAACATCACGATATTCCAATTTAGTCACATTTAACTTCATTTAACTTCATATAACCTCTGCCTCAGCGTCAGCTGTACCAGAAACACTTATTCGAACAGAAACCACATTGCCTTGTTATTCGAATCGAGTTTCAGTATGGCTTCATCACTTCTTCTTCTCCCTTCCCCTCCACGACCACCATCACCATCAACACTCTCCGCCGCCTACCGCGCCCCTCTGACATCCGTCTTGCTCAAACTCAAACAAGCGCCTACCCCTCAAGTTCTCATAGTCGGCCTCGCCCTACCTCTTCTTGCGGGCCCATCGCTTAACAATAAAGCGATTGCGTGGTCAGCCGCCCAATCTTTGCTTGCAGGTCTATACACCCTCACATCCGTCGTCTGCGCCAAGGAAGGTATCCCTGTTGATATCGGCGCTGGAAAGGGAAGCGTAGATGTTCGAATCATACTCATCGACCATGAGAAGGGCCGACGGTATGAGCCTAACTTCGACGGTGGGTTTGAAGCGAATTGCACGCCTGTGTTGGATTTGGCAGCGTTTGCGACAAAAGTAAGACCGTGGGAGATCGTGTATCATCCTAGCTGTGAAGAAGGATATGAGTTACTAGCCTCGTTTCTCAAACTTGCAGAGAAGAAACAGACGTTCACACAAAGTCAATTAGTGGCTGTCGAAGGCGGTATTAGCTTGACTGTAGAGCCAGGTCTACCCTCCGATGAGCAGCAACGGGGATTCAACACAGTTTGCCTAGGAGGAACCTTTGATCATCTCCACCCAGGACATAAGCTGCTCCTGCATACAAGCGTTCTTCTTCTCAACATTCCACGAAAGGATTCTGATAAAACATGCACGCTTGTTGTAGGCATATCCAGTGACGAGCTTCTTGCAAAGAAGAAGTTTGCAGAGGAGCTCCAATCCTGGGACGATCGTGCCAAGGCCGTTCTCTCATTCCTCTCAACACTTCTGGAGTACGACACCACCACTACCTCACCACCTACGCAATCTACGCCTGATGAAACGATCGCCACTCTTCGCGATGGAAAGGTCAAGGTTCGGTGTATCGTTCTTCGCGATCCGTTTGGCCCACCGATTCATGAGGAAGACGCCGATGTTATTGTGGTTTCTGGCGAGACGCGTGGTGGCGGCAAGGCGATCAACGATCGCAGGGCAGAGAAGGGGTGGAAACCGCTAGAGGTGTTTGAGATCGATGTGCTGGATGCTGATGAGGTTGTAGATGGAGAAGTGAGCAAGACGGATGATTTTGCGGCTAAGATTAGTAGTACGGCTATCAGACAGCAAAGAGCTGAGGCGAAGATACAAGGAAAGGCGGATTGAAGTCGAGTGTTTGGAGGTGATGAATAAGATGGCTATGCGGAAATAACAAGACGCAAGTTTGGGAATGTGTCACCTAAGTAGACCGATGTACCAAGTGTTCAACACCATTAGATATTTTGTTATACATTCAGCAGAAACTATTACAGAAGTAATATACTGCATTTCTAATATTTCGTCTCCTTGGCCAATTCAATTGGTCCAATGCGTAATCTCATACCTTGAGAAATTCGTCAATGTCCACCCTCTGGAAGTAGCTGACATGACCAAACCCAATCCAATGCTGTGCCAAACGATCGTGACTAACTAGTATAAGTTGACTCTCAACATATCGGTCTGTGCTCCTGTCAGTAAAGAGTCTTCCAATATCGCAATTGACGGATGCTTACCTTGAGTAAAACCTGTATTTGCAATGTGGCCTTGACTGTACACTGTCCTTATACCCAAGAACCGAGGATCTGGTGGTGGACCATCTACAACACCATCAGGTCCTAGGTCATCAGCTACGAAGGTTATTTCCCCTCGTGGAACATTTGGATCACCGGTTAACTTTATAGCCTCGAGCCGTCCTTGGAACGTCCGCCCTTCTGTCCGTCTTGCTTCCCAAGCTTCTTCGGTTTCCGAGTCTCTGCGTACAAGACCGAGCTCTTCGTCTGTTGCTGAGTTTTCATCATCAGGTTGATGAACGAGTAGAAATTCGCAACCGTGGGTGCTGTAGTCACCAACCCAGATACCTCTCCATGGCTTTAATGGTGTTGGTGTATATAATTTCGGATCGAGAGTTGAGTACGTGATGAGTTCTTCGCCGACATGAACGCCGGGAAGACCACCGGCGGCTGCGAGGCGCGATAATCTTAGCATGTTATATATCCCAGTTATACCAGCAGCCATACCAACACGAGCTAAACCACCAGCCATTTCCATCCATTGTCGGACTCGAAAGAATCTCTCTGAAACATCTTGACGGCGCCATGGCCGACTCGCCGGTGTATTGACGAATATGCCTTCCTCAGTAACCTGTGTGCTGCTGCCGGAAACATGGTGTTCTGACGGCACCGAAGGCGGAGGCCAGATATTTCCGTATGGAAATGACCTTTTGAGGGATTCCTTTGCTTCTCCTTGGTCGATCTCACATGTAAGCATAAAGTTGCTAAACAGAGCATCAAGCCGGTCGTCAAGCGTAATGGGCATCTCATCGGCGAACCGATTGGCCCCAGGTCGATTCGTAAAGTCAGTCGGTGCCATTTCGCCTATCCGAAACTGCAGAATAGGCTTGTCGAGGTGTAGTTTGACTTTGGGATCGAACTCGCTAATCAAGACATCGCCTTGGAGGAGGCTCTGATTTAGCGGTCGGCCTCTGCTGGCCAGCAACTGATAACCTTCAATGCAACCCCGTCGGGGATCATAACGAACTAGCATGAGCCTGCCAGTAAGGTCACGGTCGCAAAACCAGATCTTCTGTCGTGGGAGGAACCAAAAGCGGTCATGAGCGATGTAAAGCTCATGGTAACTATCGCATGGTTGAGAGCTTGTGAGAGTCACGCCGGGAACGTTCTCTTGGACGAGCGGATGCCATAGGACATCTGAGAGAGCATGTTTGTGGAGGTCTCTGCATGTGCCGGATATAGCTGAGAGGTCATAGGGTGACAGATATGACAAAATGTTATCGATGAGCTCAGGAGGAAGATTTAGAAGTAGAGATGTCCTGGCTGCAAGCTGTGACTCTAAATATGGTGACCCCGATAGCGGAGACTCTGGGCCGTTGAGGGAAGACATTGGCTAGGGTTGATGTTAAAGTAAAGGAAGAGGTTTAAAAATTGCTGTCCCTGTAAATCTTGTGAGCTTGATCAAGAAGAGATGTGCAAGTGTTACTCTGTACCTTGTCCTAAATTCTACAGCAGGGGCGGCGAGCTGAGGAGTTGAGTGTGGACCGGTCTAGATGTTTGGACTTGGAGCTGTAAGGGAGAGCTCCAGCAACGATAATCAAGTAATGCGACTAAGCGGAGTTCAGCCGCAGGGATGCTCTCTCTCACCTTAGAGGGGGTTAAAGCAATTAATTAATGATTCGAGTTCGGTTATAGGGAGAATAAATACCAAGTGGAGTTTACATGTTGTTGGCGGATTGCTTTATCCGATAGGTTACTGATTTGTCCTATCTGTTTGGCTTTACTGTTATGTAGTACTCTTCGTTGACGACGACATTCCGTTAATAGCTGGTCGATGTGTGGAGATGACCTACGACGAATCAAGATAGTAGATAGTAGCCACTGTCTATCCTAAAGTCGACCTAAAAGAATAGAAAAACAAGTTAATCACGAGAGCTCTTTTAAAGAATTACCAAAATTCTTCATGCAGTGGCACCTGTCCAACCCCAGATTTACTTATCTCGTCTTATCAATCTGAGTATCCGTAGGAATGTCTTCCTTGAAGCCAGGGATCTTTCCCGCCACTAACTAGCTCCGGTGGCTGGGCTGCATCTGCACCTGCAGCTGAATGCTTGAGGCCTAATCTTTTCCAGCTCTGATTAAAACACCAAATCTGCTCTTTATCATCAAGTGAAGCTATTCTTCTCATCGCCCTAAAAAGTGCACTTGTGATACCACCTGACGCTCTAACTTCTTATTGGCACCAAAAGCCTTGCTTCGCTGGCAGACCCCTCACCGTTGGATTGCAATCAGGCGACGTCATCACCGGCTCATAATCATTGGGAATACCTTCATCTATTCGCCTCCCACGTCAGGCGCTGCTCCTCGACAATACATCAGTCTTCTCCAAGTTATTAACGGTCAGATATTGCGTCTATCACTGTAACTCCACCCAAACTGCCAATGATGAGCTCCTTATTACCCATTATCTCGGAGATTCTTCCGATGATAATGCCTGCATCTGCCGACATCACGCGCGCAAAACAGCTGGAACCAAGTCACCCAACTGTAGAGGGTCCTGTCATTGAGCGTCCTGCGGTTGTTGGAAAGTGCGATAACATGTGTGTTACTGGTAAGTTGCCTCAAATCATAATCCCAACCATCCAGAAATTGACAGGATGTAGTCCTCACCACGAGACCGCATTCCAAATCCACAGTCAGGCATAACAGCGAACAAGGTAAGTCTACCCCGCTGAGTTGATAAACCAAGCTTAACTTGTTAGACACTATCATCTATGCTGTCTCGGGAAACGGAATTCTTGTCGTCAACGAGGCTGTCAACTCCGAACTCAAGTACCACGATCTAGCACCTGGCGATTTTGCCGTTGTCCCTGCCTGGGTCGAGCATCAGTTCCAGAATAACACCGGTGAAGACGCGCAATGGCTTGTTATCCAAAACGGGTCGAAACCCATCCGTGCAGACCTGACTGAATGGGGTGGCGATGTGATCAAGGCAAGAAATTAAAAGCAGTACATACGGTATGCTTTTGTGACCGATTGGATCTATTCATGGGCTATCTGGAGATACCATCCACTAATTTTCGCATCTCGATCTAACCATCTGAATTACTGAATCTCTGCTTGGGATATCGTCAAACACCTGCGCATGGTCCAGCTTTGGAAACATGACCACTTCTACACCGTTGTGCGATTCGGCCACCACACCACCACCCCTCGCTCCTAGATCGACTCCTAGGTATTCCGCAACTGCGGCAGTGTCGACTATGAGGTCTCGACCGGAAAGTGTCACCGCAGCATGCCTTGTATGGCGGCCGTCGCTTTGAGTTCCCAGCAAATCTTCCCTCCATAGGATATTCTCGCGCCAGAAGAAATGTCTGCCCAGACAAAGCGCAACACCTGGATCAGTACTGGCAAAGTACCACAGCTGCCATTCATTCGCTCTCTTGGGTCTCCGACGAGTAAAGTTGTACGCTACATTGGGAAGATGCAGCATGATGGTGACCGGGTCGATGAGAACAACCGAAGGCACGCGTTGTTTTAACTTGGGCTCGTGAAGTATGTGCGTTGTTAGGACAGAGCCGTAAGAGTGCGATACCAACGCAAACTTTTCCCAGCAGTGGTACTCCAGGATGGTTGTCATTTGAGCCAGGAACTCGGCCTTGTTGGGGATGGCCGGTGTGAGGCGAAATGAGATGGGTAAAGTCTCGACGGCGATAACACCAACACTTCCTTTGCCGTCCTCAGTTTTGTGAAGGCCGGCTAGAAAACGAACATACGTCCAGAGCCCGATTCCGATGCCATGGAAAAACACGACAGGCAGTTTGTCTTCGGCAGTGTGTGGACGATGCCAGTAGCTCATCTGTGAGGAGGGAGATGTTGGGCCCGGGACCAACTCTTGTGGACGCGGGGGGAACACACGAAGTGCAGAAGAGCGAGGCCGGCGATAGAATTCAAATCCATGCCAGCGGAAGGCGAAGTGAGTGGCCTGGTCGACAACGAAGACGACCATGTACCAAAGAAAGCTTCGATACGTTGTCGTGATCCCATCAATCGTGAGACGAAGACTCTTCACATTTCCACGACCATCTTCAAGCTTTCGTCCTAGCCGTTGCTCCAAAAGACTCAGATAGTGCTCCAATTCCTCCTCTATGGTTTCCCCGTCATCGTCTTCCAAGCCTTCACCATCGGGGCGTTCAAAGAAAGCCCACAAAAGAAACTCTCTTACGTTGTCCCGCCGAATATCATTGGGGTCCGCATCAAGAAACCACCATCTCAGGTAAGTTTCGGTTGAGGCCACACTTCCAAAACTCCGTTCGAAAAGGGCTTTTCGCTCTTTGCTTGATGGTGCAGGTGGGTAGACTGCATTGCGCTTGAGCCTTTGGAGGTATGGTCTGTATATAAGCAAATAGAACACCAACTCTGCCAGCGACGCTGCCAGAAGCACACAAATAACTGGAAATACCACCGAGACTGGCTGTATGAGAGGCAGAAATAAGATGAGAAAGATGTAAATTAATGGCGTGTAGCGAAAGAAGGCGATGGATAAGCGGATGAAGACCCATGCACCAAACGATGTGCCGATCATTGGGTTAATCAGGTGCCGGACTGAACCGGAGTTGGTTTCTTATTTCTTGAAATACACGGAATGATGATATTTATAAAAAGAAATTTTGGAGAAAAAAGCAGCGGTGACGTGTTTTGTTTGTTGAACCACAGCTCTTCTCTTGTTGGGGGGAAACAACTGGTGCGATGATCGACCTGTAACGGCATTACAAGGATAACGATTGCTGCATAAGGTATTGTGGCTTGTGGCTTGTGATGATGTAGCCACACTGCCCTTTGGAGGGATGGGCGGACAGCCGCAGAGTCGTTGATGAAACAGTCCACAGGCCGCATACAGACTCGACATGACTTCCACTTTTGGTGTTTGAGAAACCTCAGGATGAGTCATGCGGCTGTGTGGTGAGTGTGAGCATATCAAGTAGAAAGGGATTTCATAACAGCCTTATTCTACTTGAAGAAGTACGGTGACCTTCTGCGTTAAGTTAGTACCTACCGAGCGTCCTTAACCTATATCTTGAGACTGCAATCCATTATGAGCTCTCGACCACAGCCATGAGCGAATATTAATTTTTATTGTATTATCATATTTGAAGACAAGTCCATCCCATCGAGCCGTCTTGTGCGGTTGAAGTTGAAAAGATGCCCCGCTAAGCTTGATTGTCTGTAGATTCCTAACAGCGGTAGAAGTACCGGACCCTTCCATTGCCCGCCCGTGACATGTTTCAGGGTGTAACTCCAACAATGATCCTTGCATCCAGCACTCATCTAATCCGAACACAGAAACATGAGCATGCTACCAAGACAGGACAGGCCTTGCATCTGGGTACTAAGATCTGGCATTTCTCCGTAACGATCATTATATACATTGGCGATAAAATGTTACCGCTACTGTGGTGAAACCCAAACAACTGGACTTTCTCGATGTAACCTGCAAACTGCGAAGTGCTCCCTCTTGAACAGGCCAGAGCCTTTCGGGATCAAAATAGCAATTAATGGTGGTAGGCACTTTTTCTTTCATATATAGTATAGCTTGGATGTACCTCGATTGAACTAACTGCACTAATAAGTTTACGTCTGGTTGGTCTAAGAACAGTATTCCTGGTCTCATTGAACTGGCTACATAGAGTATGTTGTCAATGTTCTCTCTGGCATCTTGAGCCGCAGGAGCAAAGCGGGAGATCTTATCTTGTGCAAGTTTACCCAACCTTTTAGCACAACCGACTCTCAAGGCTATTTATATACTAACTTCGCCAAGTTACAATGCCGATACCCCGGGGCCACGAGGAGGAAAGACACATGCGTTTGTTTGCGGCTATGCAGACGCTCTTTTAGGGTATTGCATGGAAGCGCATAGTTCTTCTTAAGTGGTACAGTAGCGGCAAATAGGTCGACAGTGAATCACATCCATCGAAGACCGGATAGACGTCGTACTTGCTTGCACAAAGACATGTGTCCATGTAGAGCATCTATGCACGGCTGTAGGTACACTGTGTTGAACGCGTAAGTTAGATTTAACGATTAATAGAATGAGATGGAATTCAGAGAAGGAGACGTGAGTTCTTGTAATGAAAGGTGGACGATGAGGCGGCCTGGAGTGAGGTTGTGCGAGGTTGACATACTGTTGTCTGATTGGTCGATGCGGGGGACCGCTGGTCTGGCACTCCCATAAAGCCATGCTCCCCCCCTTCGAGTTTTCCTCTGGCTCCCATCCTCTTCCTCTCTTCATATCACTTCTTCCTTTCCATCATAAACTTCCACAAAATACTTTCAAATCCTCATTGCATTTGGCTTATATCACTTGATAGCATCTAAGAACGTTTTGAGTCCTAGTAGGACTAACTTATATTCATCTCCGTCCTACCCTGCCGTCGCTGTCAATTGACTTCCATATACTGCACATCAATCCACATCGCATTAAACATACCTTCCCATTGCCTTCGATATGATGACTTCTTATCGTCCGTCCCATTTGCCTCCCTCTCTCTCCCCTTCACCTGAGCGTCGAGGCGTTCACAGCCATTCTCCTGACCCAAACCATCAGCGGACCAGCGATGAGGAACGTCGATCAGTGAGAACAAGGCACAAAGAGCGTCAAGATAACCGGAACGATGACTCCATGTACTACCCTTGGGGAGATGTTCCCCATGTCTCTGAACGAGTGCGTGGGGGTGATACTCGCCCACAGAGTCAGGTGCCGCGATCACAAAACACGCCCCAGCTATTGTTACAGATGCTTTCCTCACATGAGAACCAACCACTTCAATCTGAGGCGGAGCTAGAATATGAATTCTACCAGATGTCGCCTGGTATGCGATTTCAGGCTTCATCTGGGAACACGGTTGGTCCATTCCACGACAATGACGAGTTTGAATGGCCCGCGACAGATGAAGCAGGACTTGCCCACACAGGATCATGGTGCCACTTGGCATCCATAGATTTGATTCAAGAAAGATGGGAGTTTCCCGACACAGACCAGGACGTTCTCGCGGACGACTGGCGGCCAATGACCCCCAGAGATACCCGATTGTCAACACCAGACCTCCCTCCTCTGTCTACAGACTTTGAGTTTTGCCCATGCCATCACTCGGATGAGACTGAGCAGGAAAGGATCAACGAAGACTTTTACTTCGTTTCAAGATCAAAAATGGACATGCAGAGTAGGTTGATGTACATCGGGTTAAGAACCCTATTGTTTTTGAGAAATAGCTGATGAATGCAGCGATAAACGCACTGGCGCACATTGCCCAGACCCGATCAACGTCTCGTTAGAGGCGCGGCGAATATTGCGATGGATAGAAAATGGGGACATAGTAGCGAATCCGTACAAATTGGATTAGAAGAACTGGCGTTTATGAACAGGAGCAATGGCGAGCTAATTGGTGTTTCAAGAAATCCCCAAGTACTATTAATGTGTTAATTAGTTCAAGTGTGTATTTGGTACTGCGGATTTAGATGTGGCTATAGAACGAGGTCGCAGGACCTCGTTCAATCATGGGTGTGTATGTTGGGCTCGATATATGATCGAAGTTAGTATATAACAATAACTTATTACTTGAAGTGATTTTGATGCAAGTAACGTTAATGATGAGGTTGAAGAGTGTGTGGTGGGGACGACACGACGATCAGCGCTGGTTAAAATAATCTTCATCGTTACGAGTGTCGTTGGTAGGAATTCGAGAGTAGAACAAGTAAAGAGGAACGGGCAAACCTGGGGGGACTGAGGTGGATGCGCAGGCAGAAGCGCAGTTCAGGCCTGAGGCACCCATCTGCTGCTTAGGTACTTCAGGTTTCCATCACTGGCAAAGAGATGTCGAGAAAAACCATCCATATCTGATGGGATAGAGAGCCCGAGAGCATAGGAACGTGGTAAAATTGTCATGAAACCCACCTGAAATTATCGAACGCTGACTGAATTAGTCCCATTCAACTGCAACGAACGATGCGGCCAGCCATCGTGCCCTTACAACTTACAATATGCTGTGCATCCATCCAGCATCATTAGACAGAAACGCTGGATGGCACAACTTAATTCTAGCATGCATGATTTGCTGCTTTGACCCGACTTGGATCGTTATTTTGCTCTGGTAAATCGGAATATCCCTTTGACCTTTTGACCTGATTGTCTTGTAAAAAGGTGTGATGGCGGAGCTGCTTTTGGGCTGGCGTGGTTGATGTATCCAATGATGAAGACTTGAATAAGTGATAAAACCCTCACGTCATACCATTATCAGTGCCACGATCCAAAGCTCTGTTTTTGTTAATAGTAAAGCAATCCTACAATGATCTTTGTTTAGATTTTCAACCTCTTCATTGACTTTTGCTGTTTTGGTTGACAAATCTTGCCAGGCACGAGCAACTTGTTCGGTTACGTCATTGAAACCGGTCATCGTTTTCATAAAGAGCAAGCGTTCTAACGTTAGACGAGACCCTTCCAAAATATAGATATACAAAGCGAGATACCCCGATAGACAAAATGGCAGAGAACTACGTCCTTCGTATCACAGCTGGTGCTGATTATGATCCGAGCCAACATGTCGAGGTCCCAGTCAATACAGCCAAGCCCATCACCATCAAGAGTGAGCGCGCTGACGTTGAGCTCAATGTTCGGATCAACGACTACAAGGGCCTGCCTCGCAACTCGCCGACCACTTCCCCTTACTTCTCTACGGAGCCTCACGCCTACAATAAGGACCAGTACAGCATCTCATTCCGTTTCACGCCAAAGAAGTCCGCCGGGGACAATGATGGTGCTGGTATCAAGGCCACAGACCTGCAGTTTGGTAATGACTTTGATCATCCTATTCGCGACCGTCTACCTCCAGGTTTCAACACCGCTATGAGCATTGTTCGATGGTGGATCGACCCTGGTCTGGATGGCGATGCCTACGCCGATAAACCCTTTTTGTACGGTCCGGCGCTGAGCTCATTCAACGCCATCCATGTCGGTAAAGGTGAATTTGACGAAGAGAAGGGTGGTCTTTGGTTCGAAGAAGGTGGTGATGAAGATGGTCTCGAGGCTCGTGAAGAAGTTGGCGCGCCACTTACCAGCAAGGCTCGAATGAAGTGGGCTCTAAGAGCGGATAGCAAAGAGAAATGGGTGTTTGAGTACAACCAGACGTACGGCTTCGACTTCTTCAACCCCTATCTTAACTTTTCCGACCTCGCTCTGAACTTGCCTGGCTTCCAGCTGCCAATTCTGAGGTACTGGGACGGTCAAGGTCTCAGGTAAGCAAACCTTCTCCTTGGTTCTGGGCTGAAGCCGTCCGCTGTTGCACATCGCGTTACCTCTGACAGAGGAAACGCATCCCCTCCTTCCACGCCCTCTTCATTTACACTCGTTACAGGCCCGGACCGAAACGCTCACATCAACTCAGATACGTCTTGCGCAACAAGGATACAGGAGAACCGTACCTTGTCATCCTTTTCTCGCTGTACCACAAGGATTACGTGAACGACGATGGGTCCCTTAAGGAGGGTGCTCAAGATTCCTTCAAGCAGCACGATACGCATGATACGGAGGACGATGGTCACTTTGATGGAGATGGGGCACTTGCGAAGGCGACTGAGCAGTTGGGACCTAAGACAGATGAGAAGGGAAACACGCAAACGAGTGTCGATGATATCGATTGAACAAGGGAAGAGGAGAATCTTCTTAGCCCTGGTACCCTAATGACTTGGAATAGAAAGACTCGGTTGATAGATATGATGCCACAATGCCATAGAAATGTGCTATTCCCGTGTCTCCTTGGACATGAATGAGGCCGAGTTCCAACTTCATCCTCGAAGTTCTACAGGTCAATCAGACCGTTTGGTGTTTATGCTATGCAATCGACGCCAGGTTCCACCCACCTGCATCGTAAAAATTGAGAAATGAGTCTATCGCAGGTTTTATAGTCTTTGCGGGTTACAATGATCAAGAAGATATAGTCAGCTGATACATCACGTGTGAGCATCTGTTTTCTCCAAGCTGAGATTTGAATCCGTCCGCAAGATTGTTTCTCCTCCAATTGAGACACGTATGCGTCACCAACTCTGGCCGAAAGTCAGATGGCGGGGAAATCTCACAATTTCGGATCTGCAAACGAGATAGCCGGACGTGACCGGTAATAGCAAGAAATGGCTTGCTATTACCGAGGCCTCCCCTCATCCACCAAGAGAACAGCGCCTCCTCAAAGGTCTGGACCGGATTCCTCGGATGTTTCGGCCAATCATACAGCTCACATCTCAACTTCCCGGCTCTTTTCTCTTTTACACTCACCGTGGCTGTCCGAAAGAAGTGGCTGCCGAAACGGCATCTCGAGAATGCATGAGGTGACGCTGAGACAGGCTTTGTTACTTGGCTAATTTGTTTAGCGTTAAGCTTAGTTCACATCCATGTTATTCCCGACGCTTTGGTCAGGTTCAATTCTTGGTACGGCAATTCAGCCCGGAAAGTCGAGTGCTTGTTACGACAGGGCAGAGGGGGGCAGATTGCAACTTGATCTTGTAGTAACCAAACGTTATGTTCCTCAGGACCGTCTGAACGAAGAGATATTGGCTCTCCAATGAAGACTCTACACCTTGGCAAAAGTCACTTGCCGATCCCAGATGCAAGTACCTCCCAACGCTGACCTCCATGTCTCATGCTGTGCCGTGCCGCAGATAAGATCCTCCCCCTTTGAGCATCCTTCGGGAAGAATGCCTTCTCCGTTAGCGTTTCCTCGTGGCCGAGTCACACATAGACATCGTGGGCCGGCAAGGATATAACGCCAAGACACTGTTATTCCCGTCGAGATCCCGCCTTTTTGGCCCTCATCTCCTGCGACCCTAGCCTTTATAATTCAGGGTGGGTGCCCGGATACTAGACGGCCACAGTTCTCCCCTTGGGTTTGGGATACCGCCCTTTTCCTCTCCGTTTTCCCAACATTTTGTCTTTGTTTTGTTCATCCTTGAGAGCGTGATTCTTACCGGAAGCCATCTTAGCGTCAGACCTTCTCGAAGTTACAAGAATCCGGCGGACAGTCACTGACAACATCGCAATATATCAATATGGCTGGGTCTGAGTTACACCAGACTGCGGGTGCTTCTTCACAGGGCCCTGACGATCTCGAAATCGGGATGGGAAGCACAATGCCGTCGTCAACGTCACAACCGAAGCTTAATAGTGAAGAGCCTATATCCTACCTATATTTAACACTCGATACTCCACTACCAAGAGTGCCCTCATATAGCGAGTGTGGTTCTGCCAGAACTCAGAATCTACCGCCATGCCCAGATCTCCGGCCGTTCGACTCACCTTTTACCCTGCCGCAAGCCAGGAAAAATGTCTTCCTGGCGTTGTCCTGCATTGCTACAATGCTGACAGCATATACCGCTGGCACTTACTCACCACCATCGAGAGCTATGGCTAAAGATATCGGCGCAAGCCATACAGCAACACTTGTTGGTATTACAACTTTCTGTGCGGGATTTGCTATTGCGCCCATGGCCCTTGCCCCAATATCTGAGATCTGGGGTAGACGGCCAGTGTTTATCCTTGCCGGATTTGTCTTTGTTATCTCCCAAGCTGTCTGCTCAGTCATGCCAAATTTGGCTGGCATGCTGATCGCCCGCTTCTTTGTCGGCGTTGGCGGTTCTGTGTTTAGTTCAGTTGTCGGCGGAGTTATCGCAGATCTGTGGGAGAAGGAAGACAGAAACACCCCCATGGCCTTGTTCAGCGGTTTCGTTCTTTTTGGAACAGGTCTTGGACCGTTGGTGTCGGCGGCTTTTGTCAACAATTTGGAGGACGATACAATGGCTTGGAAATGGTCATTCTGGCATCAAGTCATCCTCGACGGGCTGTTGTTAGTAGCCATTTTGTTTCTCTTTAAAGAGACTCGAGGATCAGTTCTGCTATCGCGGAAAGCCAAGAAGCTTAACAAGTGGTACCAAGAATTAGAGGATGCAGGCGTCTACGGAGTCTTGGTCACTGATTCTCAAGAAGAGGCAAGTGTCAGCTCATCGGCGTCGAGTGTCAAGACCTTGCCAGGGCACGACACGATGCTTGAGTTCAACAGGCCAAGTCGTCTACAAAGAATCCGATGGCTTGTGGAGGCTGATGAACAACGACCTCCTCTGCGTCAAATGATTGCTACCTCGATCAAGAGACCTTTCTACCTTCTTTTCACAGAGCCAGTTGTCTTCTCTTTCTCCCTCTGGGCTGCATTCTCATGGGCTGTCCTCTACTTGTCTTTTTCCATCGTGCCATATCTCTACTCCGACAATCTCAACATGTCCATGCGCATATACGTTGCTATGATGTCTTCGGCCATTGTTGCAACTACCGTTGGGATCCTTCAGGAGAATGTGATGAAACATCCTCTCTGGTGTGGAGACATTGATGAGAAGAAAGTGCCTCAATTTTGGCGGTTCATGAGGAAGCATTTCCCTGTTGATTCCCCCGAAGCTCGACTGTACTTTTCCTGCATCACCGCTCTCCTACTTCCCGCCGGCTTGTTCGTTGCATTTCTGAGTCCAGCAAGCACAAGACACTATACCCAGGCCATTGGTATCGGCCTCGCAAATTGGGGCATTTACTCCGTATATCTTGCCACGTTCAATTACCTGGCCGATACATACCACATGTATGCTTCATCAGCCCTCGCTGCACAAAGCTTTTGCCGCAACGTTCTGGGTGGCATATTCCCAGTATTGACTAGCATAATATTCGACAACCTTGGATTGAGAAATGCAGGTTGTGTTTTGGGTGGCATTGCTACACTTTTGACAATTATTCCGTGGGTTTTAGTCATTTTCGGAAGCAGAATCAGAGCGAGAAGCAAGTTCGCAATTGTAAGTTAATCCTTGGATTTGAAGTTTGTATTTGACTTTGTGGCTATCTTGCTAACTCTATATAGTCTTTGCAAAAGCAGTGAGCATATCTGCGTCGGAGGAGTAAAAGTCTAGTTAGAGTTCTGTTTACGTTAGATGACGCAAAACTTGTGTCTACATGACTTGATGACCATACATACGACCTGCCACGGCGATGGTCGAACGACCAATAATAATACATGGACGATCACACTTTCCCATTTCCAAACCTCATGTGATGCTCGGCAATATTTTAATATGTTGCAGCAGCTTCCTTGCTCATGGCTCTCTTCTTCTTGAGCTTTCCGATGGCGTAATTGCTCTTGAACCACGCGAGCTTCTTCTTCTCTGACGTCTCGCTCCCCTTTGTGCCTGCTTTGCTCAGTTCTTCGCACGTCCGTTCTGATAAACTGGTTCCACTCCTGGGAACAGCATTCCTCAGCTGTTGCAGATCACCCACGAGAGCTGGGAGAAGAAGGTACCCCTTGGCATCGATTAGAGGTGGTGGAAGTTGAACACAACCTTCCCATTTGCGTAAAGAGCTGTGTATATCATCGGAGGCTGGCACCTCGTGTTCATCCACCGCCAGGTTACCATTACCTAGGTCAACGTAAGATTTCTGGCCGTTTAGTTTAGGCCAGATCGTCGATGGCGCAACGCGATAGGCAAGGTTCTTGTTCTCGTCAGAGAAGAGTGTTCCAATAAATCGAGCTGTATATTCATCGCTGAAGCCACACATGCGAATAGAAGCAATGCGCCCTTTGAGGTGGAGTACGCTGTTGCAGAAAAGGAGATACGAGTCAGGGCAGTACTCTTCGACCATCGGCAGTGAGGGGAGGGTTGGGCTGCGAATTTCGGGCAGCACAGGACTTCGTAGTGCTTCACTCTCAGACTCGGATTCGTATCGTCGGGGTGTCATTGCTCTTGGGCTGTAAGGTTCTGGAGATTTGGCGCTTCGTGAAGCTGGTCGACTGTTGCTTATGGTATACCGTCCGGTCGTGATTCTCAGGGGTCGCCTTCCGTGGAAACGTCGGCAAAGAAGAACTAGGCTCCCCATAGGACACGATTCTTTGCGCTTGAGTTGTGCCGAGACGAAATCTTGCAGCAGGTTTTCGACATGCTCAAGACTTGGGGAGAGGTCTATGGCGGCAGGGTCAGAACCACAACCCAGATGCGTCAGGTCTAGCTCGATGGCAATGTTGCTGGCGTACATCCCATAGCGGTTGAGCCATGTCGTCGCAAGCGGGCTAATTTTTGGTCCAGTAAACGGTGAGAGGACGGCGTGAAGTCTTGTTCGTAAAAGAAAAGTGACGAGGACATCTGCACGAAAGGCGAAGGAGACCTGGAAGTAGCAAGAGAGCTCATAGAGCGTCGAGTTCGGCGTTTCAAAATCTTGCTTACGCCAAACATCACGGTTGAAAGAGTGCTTGTTCAAGCGAATAGGCTTTTCAATATCGGGAAGCAGATACTGGCAGATTTTGAACCGAACCGAGTCTGGAAGACGAAAGTATCCAGAACGAGACTTCTTTCGAGCATGATCCTCCAAAAAGGAACCGAGAACTTGTTCGAAGCTTGTCTTCTTCACTACACTGTGGTAAACAGCGTCGAAAGTCCGATCCCATGCTGGAAGACCTTGGCGATGGGCGATAGGCGCAGGAGCCAGCAGCGGATAGTGCTGCGACGACGGCGTAGGAGGTTGCGAACGATTCTTCCAGGACGAAGGGTTAGAGATGCTCCTGGCACGTGATTTGGCGCTGGCTTGAAGGGGCATTTTGAAGTCAGCCTTTGGAAGTTGATGCAGGTGTAGATGCAAACAGGTAAAGGTTCAAGTAGACGCGCAAGGTACAGGAGACGCACTCATCCTCAAAGCTTCCAAACGCTCAGAGATGTCATTTTTTGCTTTGATGGAGCCGACGCGACGGAGGAGGGAGGAAGTTGAAGGGCTGCGCGAGATAGATGGCGAGGGCGTTGCTGATGTTGATACTGAGGTAGTCATGATGAATACGGCACCGTCACTTTCGCGACACTGACACTGACACTGGCATCTTTTCCATCCACCTTAACCATGTCTTTATATATCATCAGTTACGATATAGCGAGATATGATGCGCTGCTTACTTCCGCGTGAGGGATTGTTAAACACTCACTATTCATGTATTAATTACTAGTAGTTCGGGAAGTTACAATCTACCTACCTTGCCTGATTCAGGGACCCGTCTTTTTCCCATCTATACTTTGACTTCGACTTAAAGTCAAATCACCACCAAGGTCACGGGACCGCAATTCACTTACGATGGTATTGAGTTATGTAAGATTGTAATGTAAATAATAGAGTTCTATTACTGTGGCTTCTTCCATTAACTACTAAAGCAGCACGTCATATTTCCTCAAAAGGGGCTGAGGTGTAAAGAAACCTAAAACTTCAACCACATCGTGGAGTAGGAAACACATGTATAGATCTATCACTCAATTCTATCTTCTCTTAGAGAGATATCAAGCTAAAAATACCCATCCTATATATTCTTCTCAGGCTATGTTCCTGAACAGGCCATAGTCGTAGCTACATACAGACCCAAAGGGTTGTTGAGGCCGGAGTGTACTCCGAGTGGCTTACTGCTTTCCACGTCTCACGATGCTTCATCTTCAAACTCTCTCGACACCTTATCTAGAAAATGGGGTGATTAGGCATACGGTAACCAATGCCCTCAAAGTATCACTAAACAACCTTTTTTCGCCTTCATATTGAGCGCATAAAAGCACACGACACATTCATCTCAACAGACATGACCTTCCCCTCTCCTTTAACCTGTTCTCAGCCTCTTCTGTACGCATCACCTTCCCCTCCCACATACGTCCGAACTCGTTTCAGTCTATCGAGATCCCCATATCCACGATGGCACCGACACCGCCACTGCTTCTTGCAGTCAATATGACTCTTCCTCCTCAGTTAGCAATAATGGACACTACGAACTTCAAAATCACGGACCCTTGGTCCTTACATGAAGATCGCCAGGCAGGTATCTTCGCTTGGTCCATCATGGGTTTCATTTTTGTCTTATTCCTAGGCATGGTTATCCGCGACATGTGGCTGAAGTCCCGCACCGGAGAGCTCAGAGACGAGGCAAAAGGCTGCAAAGAACTCCTTTTTCTCCTTTTAATGATGCCCTTCATGATCTTCACCAAGCGTAATATCAAAGCATTGTTAACCTGGATCGCCAACATTTTCCGCTCTCAAGAAAACAAGCGCGGTGGCAAGATGGCAGGGACGGAAGGTGCTCTTATGGAAGAACACGAAAACGCAGCTGTCATTGAACGACTAGGCGGCGGATCGACCAAGTCTGCAACATCCTCCGAGAAAGGCGAAGATAAGGGACTGGATTCCAAGGGCAAAACGGCCGAGAATGGGAGCCTGCCCAAGGTACCTGGCTTCGACACAGAAAAGGCCATTTCCAAAGGCCATGGGCTTCCACCAATTCCAGGACTACCTGCTGTTTTCGAAGTTCCAAAGATCCTACCGGCGATAGTCGAAGGAGGTCAGAGCAAAGGAGGCATCGCTAAACCTGAAACTGGCCCAAGTTCAAGCGATTCACCGTCACTGAGCTTGAGTATCAACCTTGGGCTCCTCGAAGCGGAACGACAACGTTCTTCTTACCTTGCTAGTGACACCGGGTCTTCTACGCAGGTTGGTGGTAGCTCTACTCCTGCCAGCCGGCATCAAAGTCATGGTTCAAGCTCTGCTTCTCCAGCCCCTGATGGCGCTGATCCTGCTTCTCAATCTGTCAGCCACACTGATGCAGATACTGGCGGAGCGCGTGATGCTGAAGGTGACGCACACCATAACTAGGCAACCCTAATTATAGGGCCGGTTTCCTTTTTGAGGTTATTCTGTAGGCTGGGAGTTGTGTCTGGGTTGGTTGATGTGCAGCAAGGATAGAGTGGTTATAGAGAGACATTGCACTTAGAACTTGATGTGTTGTTTGAGCTTGACCAAGTGTCGAATATCAGCATACTGTTACGCGACCTAGAAAAAGAATTAGACCAGATCAATGGCAAAAGCTTTGCGAAGTACGATGTTCACGACAGGCATCGCCAGGGTTCTTTCACCTTTTTGGTGAAATGTGTAGAGGTGGGCGGGGGGTAGACAATGGAAAGTCTGTTCAGCTTCGAGCCTTTGGAGCAATATTGACCAAGCAAGTAATGCAATCTGAGAACTCATCAACAACCAAGTGAATACCTCAAGCCCAAGCCCGCAATCGGAAACAACATTGAATGGTGGATCCATATAAGTAAAGAATGTTGTAAGACGAAACATCCAAACTTGGGTATTGGCGGCACTGTTGGATGTGACCCGGTATGCCTTAAGCAAGCCCTTTGGGTGTAACTGGTCGTAGCTTTGTTCTAGGAATTGTGTTTCAGTCTGACTATCTATGATAAGTAAGGATTTGCTTGAGATAGGTAGGGAAGCCATCTTAATGCATTGTCGTCGGTGACTGAAGTGACTAACTCTCGGGTGACAAACGGCAGTCACACAAGAAGAGGCTGCAGATAATTACAGGGGTGTCTTCCACTGAGCCGTAATGTCTTCCAGGGCCTGCACCTTCCTTTCAGGGTCTTTTCGAGTGATACCAGCCAATCACCAGTCTCCATCATGTCTCAAATGATGTAAGATTTAACATGGAGGTGAAGGCTTCCAGCGGGCATCAGTCGGCAGTCGGCGATTGCGGAGGCTCAATCGGCGACCAAAAATAAACCAAACTCCCCAATCTCAAGAAATGTTATTATCAAATTGAGTGCGACAGTCACGATGCTTGTCTCGGCATTCCACCGTGTTTTTGTTCACGTGTCGCTCTCGGGCTCACTCACCGCTGGCTTATCATTCACTTTCTTTTTCTTTCTCATGATGGCTTATATAAAGTGAGATTCCTCAATGACACGGTCTTTGGCTCACCTCCGAGAGATTCCCCGACGTCATCTTTTTGCTCGAGATCCATCTAGTCCACAGTGACGTGCTACTCTAAAACTTTAGCAGAGAATTGTTTGCGACAACACGCATATTGCCTCAGGAGGCGGCCTGCTGGCGATGCATTGTTGCTAATCACCCATCAGAATAGCTCTTTACCCAGGAACTCCGTAGACATGTTGTCACGGTCAACCCAGCGCCTGGCCAGCCAGCTGCGATCTCGGCCCCTGCGATCCTTGCCAACCCTTGGCTCACAAGCCCCTGTGAGGGCACAATCTCGCTGTTTCGTCGCAACTCGACTTTCAAGTTCCAGCTCTACGAAACCTCCTTCACCTACTAAGCCAGCGGCTTCACCGAAATACCCAAACGCCTCCGTTGCAATCCTTCTCGCGGGAGCAGCCTCACTATACCTCGGATACAACTTCGCGCAACAACCCCCTACACGATGCGATGCCCTCGAGAGCACTTCCGTCAATAGCACAGATTCCTCTCTTCCTCGATATCGCATCACCGAAGTTCGCAAACATGATGCCCATTCGGACCACCCTTGGGTTATCCACCGCGACAAAGTCTACGACATCACCGAGTGGATAGGGGCGCATCCCGGTGGTGATGTTATCCTTCGCGCTGCGGGCGGCTCCATCGACCCTTACTGGGACATCTTTTCCATACACAAGAACGACTATGTATACGATATCTTGAATCAATACCTAATTGGCTACGTCGACCCAGCCGATCTAGTCAATGGGCGCCCGGCGCAAGAAGCGATCGAGGATCCATTCTCTGATGATCCTGTGAGACATCCAGACTTGGTGACCATGACGGAGAAGCCCAGAAACGCAGAGACTCCCGCAAATGCTATGACAAACGAATTCCTCACTCCGAACGACCTATTCTACGTGCGCAACCACATGTGGGTGCCAAAAGTCGCCGACAATTCAAATCATCACAATCTCACAATAGAGCTTCCCGACGGCACTATAAAAGAGTACACCCTCGGCGATCTTAAAACTCGGTTCAAGCCTTACAAAGTCACAGCCGCTCTACAGTGTTCCGGCAATCGCCGTCGTCACATGAACGACGAATCAGGCCACAAGACCAACGGTCTTCCTTGGACTACTGGAGCTATCTCAAATGCTTGCTGGGAAGGTGTATTGTTATCCGATGTACTGGCAGATGCAGGCTTTGACTTGCACTCGGGTCTAACAGGGGAATCTGAGGCCAAGCATGTTCAGTTCTCAGGCCTAGAAGCTTACGGCGCATCCATCCCCCTCAAGAAAGCTATCGATCCTCAAGGCGACGTGATACTCGCTTACGGAATGAATGGCCAGGCTCTTCCTCGGGACCATGGATTTCCTTTGCGAGCTATCGTTCCAGGGCACGTCGCTGCGCGATCTGTAAAATGGCTGAACCACGTGACTCTTAGTGACGAAGAAAGCACCTCGCAGTGGCAGCGACGTGACTATAAGTGCTTCGGTCCAAACCAGACACAAGTGGACTGGGATACAGCACCTGCTATCCAAGAATTGCCAGTGCAAAGTGCCATCACCACTTGCAAGCTTGGCGACTGGACAGTGAAGGATGGCGACTTCAAGACATATACAAAACCAGCTTCATTGACAGGCTATGCATACTCAGGTGGTGGTCGCTCCATCATCCGTGTTGACATATCCGCCGATAACGGGAAGACCTGGTCTCAAGCCTCCATTATCCCTGACTGCTCCACCAAGGAAGGCGAGCAATCACCCTGCTTTGGCCACGCAGCCTGGGCCTGGCGAAGATGGAAGTTCCAAGGCAACGTGCCCTTAGACGCATTTCAGACGACAGAGTCCGGGAAACGCTGCGCTACGTTCGTTGTCAAGGCTACGGACGAGGCGTACAACACACAGCCAGAGAGTCACGCTGCAACGTGGAATCTCCGCGGGAATCTTGCCACCGCGTGGCACCGAGTGAAGATATGTGCCGATAGCCCCAGCGAGACGAGCAATGAACGTGTATAGTCTATTACATGGCATTAATTTCACGGTTCTAAAAGATAGTCGAGTTTTTGGGTTTGAGCGCGATGTTCAACAATAGCACGTATAATGAAGTAGCGTTATTTAATAATTATGATATTCATGTAAAGTCTGGTAGCACCTTTAAAAAAGAGATCCAGCTGTCCCAATAAAATCCACAGAAATATCAAGAATAGTAAGTAATTATGATATAACTGCTAAAGTAATCACGTGTTAAATTGGAACACAGGTGTTATTACAGACGGCGAGCCGCCAACTTCTATTCTTCATTGAATGAATACATCCTCCCAAGGCGTTTTGTACATTAGCCCTCGCCCAAATACCGCTCTATTCGCTTGATCGAACGGATCTAAGTGTACAATCCAACTGTCTCGACGGCATTAATATCATCCGGAAACCATTCCCTGTAACACTAGTTACCCTTAGTCGCTATCGTCAGAGTTCTCAGCATCAGTAAAGTACTCAAACTCCTTAGGAGTCTTGGCTTCTTCGTCATCATCAGAGTCCTCGTCGACGGCAGTCAGTACACCTGCTGCAGCAGCAGCGCCTGAGCCACCGTTGCCACCAGGGGTTTCGGGGGGTTCAGAGCCGAGAAGACCAAATGGTGGTCGACCTTGGTTACGTAGTAACTGTCCAATCATGGCACTGTTGGATGATCCACGCTGAGCGTCGGCAATGCCATCAAGAATAGACCGTCCCTGACCACCAGATCGCCCGCCTCTGGCATTTTGCTGACCGGCGACGGGGGCACGTTCGGTCGTGACTTTCTTGAGCTTCTCTTCGAGCAGACTCTTTTCTTCATCAGGTTGGCTGTCGATGAGCAGTAGCGGGCCGCCAGTGGGCTATGAAGAGTTAGTCAACCACACATGGAGGGGTTGAAAATCAATATTCTTACCTTCTTGACAGGCTTATATCGGCCAGCGGGAAAACTGATGTACTTGAGCTGGCTAGGAAGAACTCGAGTCATGTTCTCAACCTCATACCCAACCTTCTCCTTCTCTGGCTTCTTCTTGCTATCTGCGGCAGCAGAAGTTTCCTTTTCTTGTTCGTCTTTCTTGTCCTTGCCCTCATCGGTCTTCTTCTCCTCATCGACATCCATATTGTCGCCACCGCTCTTAGCGGGTGCGTTGTCGATATCCATGCTCTCTGTTCGCTGAGCGCGCTCCTTCTTCTGAGCTCGTCGCTTGGCCTGCGCGGTTGTTGACAAGATTGCAGTGGCAATCAGAGCAGGACCCTCCTCGGTCTTAACTTCTTGTTCAGGAGGATAGTCGAAGAGGCTTGGTCGGGTGGCACAGTGGAACTTGAAATCAGGCATCTCGAGGTCGTGGTCGAGCCCAATGATAGAAGTGGGAGAGAAACTCAAAGACAGGAAATGAGTGAAGGGGAACCAGTACCAGTATTGAGTAAAGACAGCCATACCAACAATGCCTGCCATGTTTAGGTTGCCAGTTTGTGTCTGGAGGCCGATGGTGCAGTTACGGCCACCAGCATCAATGATGCCGAGAGCCAAGGCAGCACCAAACTTAGTCATGGCATCTTCGTGGCGGTCGCCGACCACCTTCTTGAGTGTCTTTCGGATCGATGAGACCTTGGGGTTCATCACCTCATTTTGCTGGACAAGAATCATTGCCAGAGAGATAAGAGCACCCTGTCGCACAAAGTCTGTAGGGTCCTTCATCATAGGCTCGAGCAAATCGATAGCCTCATCAAGGCCAGTGCCGGCACATGAAATACCGAGCGCCATAGCGGAACCGTATCGGACATGGGGGTTGTAGGATTCGGAGAGAAGCTCCACCATTCGGGGCACACTGCCAGGCTTGCGGAAGAGGATAAAACCCAAACTCATAACAGCGATACGGCGCACATCATCGTTAACATCGCTAACAGCAGTGTGGAGAAGCTTTCGAATAGCCTTGTTGCTGCCGGTACCGCAGTAGGCAAGAGCAACAGTCATGATACCACCATAGCGCAGAGTGGGATCGGGGTCGTTGAGGAGTCCTTCAATGAGAACATCGGCTCCCTCTTGGCGGCCAAACATGATCAGAGCCATGCCAATGGCAAGACCACGAACAATCTTCTCGTGTGTAGTCTCGTGCGCATATGTAATCATATCCTCCAGAGCCTTAACGTTTCCTGTGCCAAGCATGATGAGACCCATAGCTAGACCAACAGCCTCACCGTTGAGGGCTGAATCTTGGAAAAGGATTTCTCGAAGCTTCTCGAAGACTTCCCAGTCACCAGTGGCCATTCCTGCGATACCGAGACCAAGAGCACCACCATGCTGAACAACCTCCTCCTCTGCCTGACCAAACTGCTCCTTCAGATAGCTCAGGGCCTCAGCTCCGTGGTTGGCATGAATCAGTCCATAAGCATACAGCGCACCACCTTGGCTAAAGATGGAACCACTGCTGAGCCCACCCTGTCTGGGAAGATAAGGCTCGAGCAGCTTTCTCGACTGAGAGAGGTTTCCACGGTGGATGACTCCCAGAGCGGCAGTAGCCGTGAACTTGGACCAATTCACAGCTTTACCCAACCACTCCAGGTTGTCTCTAAAGAACTTGTCATTCGTAGTTCCTTGGTTCATGAAGGCGTTGCAGAAAGTGACAGCAGTGTGGAAGATAGAGTTGCGTCCTTCGAGACTGTCACGGACTTTGTTGAGGATGCTTAAATCGGTTCGGTTGTTGCGGTAGAGGAACTCAAGGTTGAGGCGGATTGTCTTACTGCCATCAAGAATAGCGCGGATGTTGCTATATACTTTAGAGACTTGCTCAGGAAGCTCGTTCTCGGGTGCTTCTTGCTTGTTTTCGAGAAGCGATTCGCTCTCGTTGGCCTGCTCGCCACTCTCGTCTGTCTCCTTTTTGGTGACATTGGGGGTCGGTAGCGACGCCAAAACCTTGCCTAGGAACTCTTGAGTGCCATTGTCGTAGAGGTCGAAAGCAATTTGGTAGGCGTTGGCGATGGAAGAACGATCGCCTTTCTCAACGAGGTCGCGTAGCATGCGGGAGGCTTCATCATCTGAGTTCAGGTAAACAACACACTTGGCAATAGCGAAGTAGTCAGGGTTGGGAATCTCGTTAAGGAGATCAAGAATCAGCCTTAAGATCTCCGTTCGAAAGCCCCTCTCCTGGACAATGTCCATGCAGATACCCAGTGTGTACTCCATCAGATCCTCAGCTGGACCAGGAGAGTTCTCGAGAGGGTTGGACTTCGCCTTCTTCTCATCATCGCTAGCCCGCTTGATGACGCTTCGTAGAACATCTAGGTTCTTGGCCTCCACTGCGATGCCAACAACCTGTCGGTATCGGCCCTTCTCCAAGCAGCTCTCGAAAAGTCGATCAATGACTCGTTGCAGTGAGCCGGTGGCCTGATCGGGGAGCTCGGCGATAGAACCAGATCGGCCTTGTTTGAAAGCAGGCTGGAAAGTCGCCTCAAGCATGGTATTGTCGATCGAGTCGCGAGAAAGAAGTGACTTCGGGGGCAGAGTTGTTTGCGAGAAGGGTGTGGTAGGGGACATAACAGCACCCTCAGCACCGCTTGCAAAGGTAGTAGCTAGCTCTGGGAGATCGGTCGTCTTCGAAAGTTTGGGGATCGACTTCTTCGCAGCGGTGACGGCAATGTACTGGTCGACGCACTTGGAAATGATGGTCTCCTCAAACTCTCCCGGCAAATCGAGCTTGAAAAGATCACCAGCGGCGAGGGCGAACACCATGCTATCATTGTATGCTTGAAGGTGATAGTAGACCTTGGCGAGGACAAGAGCAGCGAGTTGGCGCTCGGGGAATGATTCATCCTCGTAGAGAGCCTCACTTAAAGGTCGTTAGCAATCACAGCCCATCAAAACAGCAGCTCCAGAACGCGAGAATGACGTACATCTGGGTCAACACGGCGGCAACCTCGGTCCAGACAGTATCTATATCGTCGTTGAGTGTCTGCAAGGCAAAGACCTTGAGCTCGGGCTCCTCGTCGGTAAGAAAGGCGAGGACGCCGGTCGCCGAGACGATGCCAGGCATCTTGAGAGGCGGTAGGGGGTCGTAAGGACGTCGGTTGAGATGCAGTTCGAGAGTCGTGAGGGAAGGTGGTCGAATAGAAGGAAATGCGTTGTCTCCGTGCAGGATTCGAGGGCTGCAAAGAGCTCAGAGACAGAATTGGTGGGAGTGTACAGAGATGATGAAGAAAACTAGAGAACTAAGAAAGACGGAGGCGATAGATTGATTGGTGTTTTGCTCCAGGAGGGTAACTCCAAGATGGTCCACGTCAGGCACAGCTCTGCCTTGCAGTTGGTGCACGGGCCAACCAGAGCTCCAGGCAGGTGCGCAATTACATAAACCCCATTTGATGTAGTAGCACGTGACTGCCCATGTATTCTCGAGGATATACCACACAACAGGCCATGTAAAGACATGGAACGATTGAGCGGCGGTCTGTATTGTATTACATCGAGATAGCATCAAGCTCACGAGTACGGAGTATACTTGGCGACACGGCAAGAGTGGTACCGACCCTGGACTGTCGTCGCAGGACACTTGTCTCTGGTGCAAAGGTTGCCAGCTGTATCAGTCCTGTGACTCGACACAGTTGCTCAGCATCTACTCAAACATATGATACTGTCTCCAGTTGCACAATGAAAACATTAGTCAAGAATGTAGCTCAACACTCAGATTACAGCTACAACAATACAAGACGTGAAGGAGAATCGGGTTGGAAATCGAACTACGGATACAACGTCAGGCATTCATTCTTAGGGGATTAGTAGGGATGTGAACGGTGTAGCGAATAAGTCTGGCAAATTCATATACCAAATCAGTAAGGCTGAGTTTCGTCAACTTACACCGTAGGCCCCTGAGATTGCGAAATCTTTTACCTCAACTGCAAACGGATGGCATCCCGGTCTCTAAGTTGGTGCTTCATGTCAAGGGCATGGAGTGACAAGTAGCGTGTCTCACCTAAAACAGCTTAGGTTCCTCATTCGAGATTGCTCAGCCTCCATCCCAGGTTCGATGATCGGTACCTGGATCTCTGCAATGATTAGCCCACAAAGCATGTACTGCCAGCCAGAAACAGCTTGGCTGCCAAAATAGTTCAATCGCTAACAAAATTTGTCCCGTCGTCATGTACAGTGGTACCTTCCACAGACACATCCCTGAAGCTCTAGCGTCAGGCTGTCGCCTATCCATCTTTGTTTGTCGCGAGAAAACGACGACAGGACACCAACACCAAATAATCCAATCGAGCCCGACCGCTTGAAGTCGCGAGCACCATCTAGCGCACACGATCTATCGCCAGCACCCTACCTACGACTATCCATCAGCCGCGTCCATCCGTCAACTTACGCGGTCTTCATTCGCCAATCGTCAATCGTCAATTCGACAGCGTGGCAGCCTCGCCATGGCGGCGTAGAAACAATCCAACTGCTCATCCATGTTCACCTGCGCCTTACTCCTCCCACGACGACGAACTTCCTTCATCGCTTCCGCAACATACTAGGTTACCTTTCCACAAGGCAAAACCCGTTCTTATTCAGTTGCGCTCGAGTCGCGTCGTCATTTTGGTTAAAGAACTGTAATCGGCATTAGAATTGCTTTGTGGTCTCCCCTCGCGCCGAAACTTGAAGGCGTCGTATTGTCGCAAACCCCCCATTCTTTATTCATCACATTGCCATCGCCATGGATCTCCGATCCGTTCTTAATACGTCTGATGGCGGCGACCGCGCTCCAGCCAAACCTGCGCCGAAGCCGCAACCGCCGCCTCATCACCAACAGCAACCTCACCAACAGCAACCTCACCCACAGCAGCAGATGCAGCGACCATCTCAAAGCCCAGGCCAGGCACACGCACCCGCACCACATCCATACTATCGAGATTATAACCGCCAACCACCACCTCATGCTTCGCCGAGCAAACCTTTGCCGCAAGAATATCCTCCACATGCTGGCCATCCTCATCGACCTCAGTCGCGGCCACCGTCGCATCCTCAGCCATCTCCCCATCAACCACCGCCTGGTGCGTATCCACCACAATCTCCGTATCAAACACCCGGGCCATATCCAGGACGTCCTGTTCCACCTCCCATCCAGTCGGCGGGTTCCTTTCACGATGTTCGATCACCAGGTGGCCTAACTCCAGGTCAATCTCCCTATCGAGCATCAGCAACTCGATCGGCTATATCGGGTGACGGTGCCTATCCATTTCCCACCACTCAGTCTCCTGCCGAGATGGTAAGCCCAGTTCAACGACATCAATACTCACCTGCCCAGTACGCACCTCGGGAAGCTTTCCCCCAGGGCCCACAAGGCGTGCCGCAAGGACATGCACCCGGTCCCTATACTTCAACCCTGCAACATCAACAACAGCAGCAAAATCCTATTCAGCAGCAATACCTAAATCAACGTCCGCCTTCAGCAACCCATTCTGCCCACTCCACCCCTACTCAAACACCTGCTCAACCCCAACTTCCCTACAATTCTTCTTTCGTTCAGAGCAGCCCTGTCACCGCTTCGCGTCCACCTCCTGGAGAACACAGTCGCCAACCATCACAGCCAGCAACCCCTGCCGGTCCACCTCTATCTGCAGGATCAAGACAAGCATCAATTACAGGAGGTTTCGCACAACCTTCGAGTCCATACCAACAAAGACTTTCCTACGCAGCAGCGGTCCCAGTAGCGCAAGCACAGGCACAGGTACAAGCACAGGTACAAAGCTCACCACCTCCGCCTCCACCACCTGCAAAGCGTATATCTAGTAGCTACGGTTCACCGGTTCCAGACGCGCATCGAAGATCCCAATCCCACAGCGAACGAGCCCCGAGCCCATCCGTCAGTCCCAAAACTCGAGTACCATCGCTTCAAAGCAATCCCGATCCACTCGCTGCACTAGCAGCAGCGGATGCTAGAACAAAACAGTCGCATTCAGTTTCGCTTCCGCAACCAATGGCCATCGATACAGAGCGGGAGCGCGCGGCGACTCCTGCCAAACGCAAACTAGAGGAACGCGACAGCAGCCCTAGGCAAGAGCCTGAGAAGCGAATCAAACCTAGCCAGATCAATGGTGATCAGAGCACTTCTAAGCACGAATCGGTGTCTTCAAGTCCGCCAGTCGCATCTTCAGCTATAAGGAAGAAGAGGACACGCTACCTACAGCCTCCGGTATGGGCACAAGATGCCCGAACGATTGGCAATAATCGAATGCCTTCGAACCCGAACTTCGTCCTTCAAAAGAGGATGCATTCTCATATCAATGGCAGAAAGGAACCGGAGCAGAACACCCGCTCTAGTCGCCATACCTCGCCTGAGACTAATAGGGTCAATCCTCCAGCTACTCATGCCGTCCCACCTGTTGAGTCAGGGCCACAGGACATGCTTGGTCCTTGGGAGCCCAGTATCACAGGACTCAAACCTTATGAGGAGCTCTCAAGACAGGTCGCTGATTTTCTTTTTGTCAATGTCCTCAAAACTCCAGACATGGGAGAGATCACAAGTCGGGGGATCCAATTCGAGGTGGAGGCGAAACTTGGTACCCTCATCGATAGGGATACCAATCACCGAATTTCCCGTGGCGTCGCGTCAGAATGCGTGTTGTCAGATAATAATCGTGTCGCATTCAAGAGTAGCATGACTGAGGTAATTCGTACAAGCTCTTCTACATATCACAATTACTAATCGGATTTAGCTTGCGCACCAGAAAAACAACGAGTTTCTCAATGATATCGTCAAAGCCACACATCCCCGTGGCCACGGGGGTCCAAATCGTGTTTCAGTCGTTTATAAGCATCGCCGGGAAATAGATCGCTTCTTTGAGCTTCCAGCAGATTTGCAGGCCAGGATTCCTGGCTGCGTGCGAAGTCGTCTCGGGAGAAAGACAGTTCGCGTGCGAGTGACATATGATCAAAAGACACAAGAGGTTCTTGGCAAGATCATCAAAGCTCGCGTAGCCGACCTCGATATTCATTTCCCTGACATGCCCATGGACTGCCGTATCAGCATCAATCTCGAGATGGATTGGGATGGCACAGTGGAGGAACTGGAGCAGCTCCCAAATCGCGGAGATAATCCTGATCGTAACAAAGATAGACTTAGTTACACTCAGGGGCCTTACCAGGTCGACCTCACACAGGTCATTCATGCTGGGCAAGGGGTAAGTCAATATTCATTTATTACTTATGAGAGTCTATAGCTAACGGTATCACAACATTAGGGTCGGATGGAAAAAGAGCACGAGCTTGAGATCGAGCTCAACCCGAGGTTACTCGTCGAAGAAGGTCGTAAAGCTGCTAGCGGTGGGGTGCATCGCTATCAAGAGCTTGTGGAAGGTTTTGTCGATAACATACGGGTGCTTACTCGCAAGGCGCGGGAGCAAGAGATGGAGTCATGATACCAGAAGTTAGAATTCTTCTTTACAAAATCACATATTTTCAGGCATAGCTTTACTCGAAGATTTTTTGAATGCTATGACTGCCGACTTATTTCAAGTTTTTTACTTTGCTTTCCCCAGGAGAGATTGTCAATCTTACCCAGGGAGTTGTCTACCAATTGGTCCCATACATTTCTGAGGTTTTCATCACATGCCTCCACACACATGTCAATAGCTTTAGAGAATTCAGGCATATACCAGTCTATGGGGTAATGTGGAAACAGTCCTCGTCGTGACGTTTTTGAGGTCGCGAGCCCTGAAAGTGACGTGACGATACTGTTGAGAGTCTACCCCGTAACACCAGCCATTCGCAAACTACTATAGATGTCAAGAGACTAGGCCTTACATTCACGATATCTCCAACTGGGAAGTTTGACTCTTATTCATGCAAGTCATATTGGTTTGATGGGAATAGTTGTGTTTGCAAAATTTAGATGGTGCCGCCTTAATAGTCATTATTGTATTCTGTATAGCTTCATGCTCATGGCCTGTAATGAGCATGATACGCCTTGGTGGGCTGAGAATGATTCTCCTGATAGAATGCTTCAAAATCTGTTCCTGCATATCTGCTGGCCGAGGGCGCTGACATCGTGGCAGTGCGTTCTTCAAAGCCTCCTGCCGGCCCAGTGCCACTCGACTCGTGAACCTCACCTGCAATCCAGCTTAGATACACCGTCTCGTGCACCAGAACGTACCCACTGGGCTTCTCTCCCGAGCCATCAGCATCGGCACTCTCGAACTCGGGCTTCTTCTCTACCACAAATATCTCGTTTCTCTTCTGCTTCCTGCGCCATGCGAAGGATACGAAGCCGAGGTACCAGAGCACACTGCCGCCAATGATTGACCAGGTAATGACGGGTATAAGCCACCAGCGGAGACTTTGCCTGATGGCAGGCTTGATCCAAATGGTGACAATTGGCCATAGACCACCAACGATATATATGACTGCACATATGACGCTCAGGGTTGGGTTGATGTGCTTCCCTGTCATCTGGCGCCACGTCTGGGGAGCTGCTGCAGGGCTTTGCGTCTCACCCTTGTCCGTTTTTGGGGGACCCTTAAAGCGCAGTATAAGAATACCCAGCCCCAAGAAGATACCAAAGAAGGCGTTGATAACATATGCACTCAAGCTTGTGAGTAATGTGTAGGAGTTGGTAGGGGACATACCCCAGGTGGCGAAGATAAGGATAAAACACGAGGTAAGATGCAACAAGAAGGCGCCAACTGGGGTCCTCTCCCTGTGGTCCTCAGGTGAGAACCAGCGTGTGCTCAAGAGGGAACTGAACATTCCTTTCTTTTGAAACCAGGATAATAGGCGCCCGAGGGATATATCGCCGTCTTGAGCGAAGAACTTGGCATAGGGAATGACACCTTCCTTGGCAATCTCTTGTTTTACACGTGCAGCTGTGTAAGTCATGACAATGATGTTTCCCATGCTTGATATGGCCAGGAATGCGTTGAAAATCCGCTTCCCAGTCTCATTCTCTGTTAAAGACCCGAGTGTTCGCTCAAAAAACTCTTGCGCTACGTTGGTGGTTATTTGAGCGTTTCTGGGGACCACAACCATCTGGATAAAAGTTAGTGTTGTCTTATTAGCAGTGTACGATGGAACTAGACTCACATAAGAGATGTTGACAGCCATGTATAACAGGATAGCGATGCCGACACCAAGCATCATCGCGATTGGATGCTTCCGCCTTGGCCTACTAATCTCGCCCATGACATAGTTTGGCTGCTCAAAACCAGAGAAGCTAAAGATAATAGCGAGGAAAGCATGTGCATATCCATTAGCATCACCGGAGTCTTCGAAGGCCCGAGAAGGTTGGGTGTTCTCCGGTATGTAGTTCTTGACTTTTCCCCCATCGTGTGTCTTCAATCCTCCAGCCCCAACAACAATAGCCGTAATGATAATAAGCAGTAGAATCATCACTTTGATCATGGCCAGCATATTGTTAAGAAGGATGCCTCCTCTTCGAGAAAAAGTATGAATGAAGCAAGTAAGAATTGCGATGCCAATAGCAATGCCTCGGACTGTTCCAGGGGCTGGATCATCGTTGCCTGATGCATAAAGGACCCTTGTAGCAAAGCTGATACAGTTGCCTGCCATGTTTCCAAGAGCGACAAAGCAGAAGCCGAACATACATGTACTTAGGAGCACGGTGCCGCTTCGATATGCAGGCTTTCGATACACATACTGGAGATAGTTTAGGTCGCCGCCGCTGCGAGGCACGCTTTGCTCGATACCATTAATGGTGTAGCGTGGGACATTGAGACCGTATTCAATATAGACATGGACTCCAGAGAGGCAATATATCATCCCGGCAAGCCATAGAAGAAGAGAAGCGCCTGTTGAACGGGTTCCCTCCATTACTCGCTGAGGCGAGTTGAAGATACCGGTTCCTGTGACGATAGTCAGCAACTGCAAAGCTTCAAAGTAGCAAAACCTCTGGTAATGCCAGATTCTATTGCCTCAGACATAGCAAAATTGACGACGACAGGGAATAAAGAAAGCAGTTCCAGCAAACAAGGTTGCTCTGACACATGAAAACTAAATTGGACGAAGGAAGGAACAGTACATCCCCACTTGGATCCATCAGATCTTTGGGACCATCAACTTTGATCCAACTTCAACACAACATCATCAGAGCCCGCCATCAATTTGTTTGTGGTTTATCTTAAAATTTCCATAAATGAAGTTCGATGAGACAGCAGGAACTTACCAATCATCCGGTTAAGCACCAGACACATAACGTCAAAATACCCAAGCTTGAATGCCTCCTTGGGCGCGGACGTGAAGATTCCATTTGGATTATCGGTTTCTCTAAAGATCACTGATCGGTCGCTGTCCCAGTCTGGGGCTTCACGTCGCGGTGGCTCAGTATTGCGCTGTTGATATGCCTCGAAGTCGTTCATCTTGCGTCGTATCGCCGCAGGTCGCTATACTTCGAAGAAGGACTTGCAGGGCCCAAATTGGTGTGTAACCAGTTGAGGCGTCAGTTCGGGGCCAAAGCTGGCATTGAGGAGACAAGTTATGGAACTGATACACCAAGGGCAGACATCAAGTTCCAACATGATCAAGTGTGCTATCTGGGAGCATGAGCATTAATAAGTACCACCTTCAAGCTCATGTATGCAGGGTGCGACAATCCCACCAAAGCCGGGCGCAGAGCTCTCAGCCCAAAAGACTTGGTTGACCAAGCAGAAGAGGGGTTTCAAGCCTCACCACCGTCGTGTGACCCTTTCAACTCCCTAGCAATCCTAGGCAGACTTTCCCCTCAGTTCCGACGAGGATCCAGCAGTCATATTAACGACCAAACTGCCTTGCCGATGCGTTCCAACCACATCAGGAACTGCAACGCTAACCATTGCGCTTCTAGCGTCTTTGCGATAAGTCCAACAACCAATCTGTTAACCCTGCATAACACAGCCCCGATGCATCTCAGACATGGGACGCTGAATTGCCAAGCCGAGCTGAAAGAACACTGGGTGTCAAAATGGCATACTTGGGAAAGGAACTTGGACTGGGAAGACAGAAGATCTATTATCCCAAACCATCCGTAATCCGACAGGGATGTCCGATAAGAAACTGTTGCACCGTTTCTTGACAGCTATAGCTTTTGCAGCTTGATCGGTTGCTTATTGATAAAGAATGAGGGCGTGAGAAGCTATCATCCCCTGTCCTCCGCACCACTACTGCAAGAGGTGCTTGTTCGCATCGGTAACCCGCATGAGCGACCGACGACATCTCGACTGAGACCAGCCACGCATTCGTGTCAGTCTGTTATCACTGCCTGGACGAGCCTTTTACTCCTGTTGCAGGGCGATATTGCTCTAGGCACGATACAACCAGCCGCTTTGGACTCTCGCGCCTTGTTTCGTCCGGACCGTCCACACCTAGCTTTCATCATCCTTTTCAAAGACTCATCTGGCCCTTACGAATACATTTCTATTACGGACAAGCGGGTGGATTTTATCCATACCAATCAGATAGTTCCGGTTCAAGCTTTGTGTGGTCATACTTCCGTTGGCCTTCGAAACAAAAGTCCCTACGAAGAAGATTTCTTTATGACTTCTGCCCATCTTGCCTACATCCTCCACTCGACCTGTTAAACCTTAGTATCCGCTCAGACGATCGTCTTGTGTTTCTTTTTCTGTTACAAACCCTGGCCATCCGAAGCGCTCTTCTGACCATAGCTGAAGCAGCATCCGATGGCAGGTCCTCTCCAGGTTGGAGACATTATCAGCCTTGGGCGCCTAGCCTGGGAAATCTACCGCTTTGGATGGACAGAGGATCATAACGCAAGTAAGTGCTCGAAGTTAGACGTTTTTGTTATTTCTAGACTACTATGCCTTGCAGGGTTTCCCCAGCGAGCTCTGTCTGCTAAACGTCAACCTGCACGAATAAACACATGTGCATGTTGATCATCTACCTATCTCATTCTGTCCAACCCCATGATCGACTCACCATTCTGACTTTCTGATAGCAAGACAATATGCGGAATTTGGAAGAGACGTCAAGGGGCTTGCTGAGAACCTCGACATCCTCAGCAGAGTGGTTGCATGTGCAGATGATTCTCTTCAAAAGCAACGGCGACAAGGTGCACCAGCCAGGTTACGATGGGACAGGAGGTCACTGATTGAGATTATTGGCGATTACGAGATGACACTACGAGAATGCGACAAACTCCTCAAAGCCAATAGTCGATATCGAGTTGGAAGCAATCCTTTACGCAACTTGGAATGGAATGTACTCGTCCAACCCATGGCCGACCAACTACGCCAAAGGATCACGCTACACAATTCTAAAATTCTTCATGTATTGAAGCCTTTCGAAGTGTAAGTTATCTTGGCTGGGCTTGTTTCATAAATCTAACTAGCTCAGTGATCTTCTCTTACGAGTACGGCAGGACATTGAGTTTATGCACCGAGACCTCGCAGATCGCATTACGGCTGCTCACCATGATATCCGCCGTCTAATGGGAGTTCTTATTCCTGACCTTGACGAAGCACTTGATCAACGCATTCAACGTAGCGTCGTCCTACTTGAAGTGCCTGTCGACCTAGACGACCAGTTTCGCTTTGCAGCACTCACTGGTCATCCGGAATATCGCATCGAGGATGATTTTGATCTCAGTGAACTGTCAGATGCATTCATACTGAAATTCCACAAGAGCACAGTCAACTTTGAGTCAGGGATGCTAGTCGAAGATCGTATCCCAACTATGGACCAATATCTCAATTTGTTGAAGTGTGTCTGGATCTTTAAAAGAATACAAGCGTGTCCTGCTCTTCGGGTAGCGGATAAAGACACTTCTCACTGGCCATCCTATGCCCGGCAATTAGAAGATGTAAGGTCCTTATAGTCGAAACGAATCTGCCTGTGCTAACTTTGATAGGATCTTTCATCACAGTGCTCTCGATTTGGTCGCGAGTTGGTCACACCGAGGATCATCACGTCAACACTTAAGCGAGACATGTTTACCATCTGGCCCGAGAAAGAGTCTGTCCCTCTTGTTGATGTGGTAACTAAGGACGAAATGATGGAACAGTTGCTCGAGGTGTAAGTTAGCCTTTTTTTCTTTTTCATCCCACAATCACTAACTATGTCAGGCCTCTCCAGAGCTATAACATAGGTATCGAGAAGAAATTGAAGCTTCTTCGCAGGCTTGATGACGATGGTCGGCGATTTAGGGTCATTCTGTCTGGTTCGGCGCAAGAGACTTCAGGTAAACCAAGACAGAAAAGTATGTACACCTATGGCTCCTCTTCTTGGATGAACACTGACTTAGTTAGCCGAAATTATCGACTTTGATATCACCTCGATGGTCTTCAATCCACAATATGCCTTGCCCACCGGCACTCATATGACACAGGAGATCATCCTACGACAAAATGAGAGAATCGCCCGGCTAGATTTCCTTGATGGGGGTGATATACTCAAATTCCAACAAGCTTTCACTGGGTTTAAGCCATGGGCGTCTGTTACCCAATATGATTGTCAAGTCATTTTCGTTCTTGGTGGTGTCAAAGAGACAATCATGGAGAACGCCTGTCTTCAGCTGTGGATACCGAAGCCGACCGAGGGATCACTTGTCACTAATAGTGATGCCGCGGCCAACACGATAAAGAGCTCGCCATCAAGCCGGCAGAACTCAATATCTACATTTGCTTCTGGAGCTATTCCCAGTTCACCTCTATACGGGGATAGGCCATTCGCATCCCCAGGACCAGCCCTTTCTCCCCGCGGGAGCAATGGAGGTGGGCTCTCAGCAGGTTCTCCTAGCCGCCACCCTAGCCTTCCATCGATACCGCAACGTCAGGCAGCACCACCTGTGTTCTATGGCTCTTGGCCCGAGCGAAGCTCACCAGAACCGATAGGATCATCACCCACAGGAAGGCAAAACTTCGGCCCACTACCAGGGCCGCCGCGACAAATTCCTCCCCGAAAGCCAGTTGGACAACCTCCGTCTCCTCGTCGTTCGAGCTCTCTTCTACCAACCCAATCCAATAGTACAAATGCGACCAACCACGGACGTTCATTTAGTATTTCTAGCGGCATTTCGAGTAATAGCAATTCCTCCAATAGCGACGTTCGTAGCGTCTCCATCTCGACAGGCACAAACACCACGGGGCTCCTCCATAAGCGCCCGGTCAAGCCAATGCTAGTCGTTTTCACGCAGAGCCGCCAAGACAACAGATTCTCATTCGTGACGATTCAGATCGATGACGAAACAAATATGAACCCAGAGCGTTGCAACTGTCGCAGATCCGGAAGGGATGGGGCATCGTGCGATATTGCAGCTATCGAGAAGAAAAAGGGTGATGCTCCTATTGCGGCTCGACGTTATGAGCAGTCAACGTCAGATGGTGAAATGGACTGGAACCTGGCCCGACTGGCACTCAACAACCCAGCTGCGACCAGCGATAATGTCAATTGGCCCAACCTCAAGCGTCTTAGCATCAAATTCCCCACTGCCCAGGCAAGAGCCAGGTTTTGTGGCACGCCAAACGTATGTCACTGCAAGATCAAGAAGGAAGGCGACCTGCTCAAGTGCATACAAGAACGCCATCGTGGGTTGTGGGGAGAGGTACAAGAGAACTATCGGAGGCAGATGAACAGCTTTCACAAGCAAAGATACGAAAGCAGGTCACACGTGGTGTATGGGGTGACTAATTAATTAATGATACTGATGTGTGAACGTTATATGGATAGATTCACGATACAGCGTGAGCGCTTGGTTAAATGTACGAGTTGTGTCTTGAAACAGGCGGGGAGTTTTGGGGTTGGCTTTTGCAAGTCTTCATTTGTTAGGCGTATTAGTGTTCGGAAGAGTCTTGCCGATTGTTTATTATTCAAGCCTTGTAAGGGGCTGGCGTCAAATGCATCAATCAAACTTTTCATTACCATTCATTGGCGGCTATTCGCATAAATACAAAGTCGTGCTTTGTTTGCCAAAGCTAAGTATACCAACTTTACCCTCCACTTTTTATCCTTGCTTCTGCGGATCAATACTATGCTCCCGGCTTGACCCTGCGACAGCTTTGCTTCGTTCAGTCTCCTCATGCATCGTTACATTGGTTATCGATCTTGCCGCATCAATGTCATCTTCCAACTCTTCTGGCAAAGTAAGGTTAAGGATTACGCAAACAATGGCGGCAACTGCGAATCCTGTTTCCATTATGAGGATGATGGCATCCAAGAAGCCCTGGAGAGAACGGTTGTCTCCCTTGTATGTGAAAATCTTGTCAAAGTAGTTGGGGAGAAGCGTAGCGCCGTAGCCCAGAGCGAGGCCAGCTGTCAGGATGAAACGATTGCGACGAGTGAAAGGAACGCCACGGACAATAATAGACATTCCCGAGACAGCCACGGCGCTGAAGAGGAAGGTAGTCATCCCCCCGAGGACAGCCGACGGGATGGCAATAAGAGCTGCTGCGAACTTTGCAAATATTCCCATGATGACAAGGAACATGGCACATGCCAGACCAGCTCGGCGGTTAGCACAGCGGGTGAGTACGATGACACCGTTGTTCTGGGCAAAGACAGACATGGGAGTCATGGTCATGAGGGCACCAATACAGCCGGCAAGGCCATCAGACAATATTCCACCCTGAATACGGGACTCGTAAGTCTTTCCCGTGACCTCAAGTTTTGAGACGTCGCAAGTGGCCGTGACATCACCAATAGCTTCGGTAGCGCAGACGAGGTAAACAGCGATGAGAGGAAGGACTAGTGGTCCATAGACTGAAAGCGGGAACGTGTGCACCCAGGCGAACGAAGCAACGGGAGCTGAGTCGATACCAGATCGATCGAAATAACCACAAGCAGCGGCGATAATGCAGCCAACCAATAATCCGATGACGACCGAGGTGGACTTCATGATAGGAGAACCGAATCGCTCGCATAAGATAATGGCAAGAAAGACTGAGAAGCCCAACCCTAGAAACTCTGCAGATCCCCAAGCAAGAGGGTGGGGTGCGTTAATACTTGGACAGAGAGCGAACAATCCCTCAGTAGCTGTCATACAAGCTCCGCTACCGCCCATCCAGTTGGAGAAGCCTGATTTTATGAGTTTAATACCGATGAGCATAACCGTAGGGCCTGTAACAATTGGTGGCAGTACCCGCAGCAAGAGCTTTGCAGGGATAAAGGAGACCAGGACGTTAATGAGGGCACACACAGCGGATGTACCAAGTATGGCTCCATAACCCTTGGGGCAAGGCAAAGGATTTCCATCAGAATCAGAAGGGCAAAACCCGTTGGCGTACATCTGAGCAAGACTACCTTGGGCAACAGGGATTACACTGAAGGAGACTCCTACTACAGAGAGCACCCCAGTGCCAATATAGTATCTACAAAACAACGATTAGCAAAGATACAAGCATACGTGAGTACGCATACGTACTGGGTACCAAAAAGTCTGAACCGAGTGATCTGGACGGCGGAAAAAATACCCGAGACAATGAGTGCAGTTGACACAAGATACTGTTGCTGCTCTGGCAATAAATTGGCGCTACCACTAATGATTATTGGTGGTGTAATAACGCCTGCCAACATAGCCAATGCATGCTGGAAACCAAGCAGCAATCCCAAAAGAACTGGCATCTTATCGTTGAGTCCAAAGAAGGGACTTGGGTTGACGCTCTTCTTCATGAAGGGCAGATTAGGGCGGAAGAGAAATGCATAGTCGTAGTCGCCGATTAGGCCATGCCTAGTTGTGAATGCTTTGACAAGTCCATTGCAACGCTGGGCGATTGTCTTGGATGGTGTATGCTGAGGCGCAATGGATTGCGGTCCTTGATCTTCGTCCATTACTGAGGTGGTAAAAGGCAATTGTGCGAGGAAATTCGAGGTGTGTTGACACTGGAAAGGATTTGACTTGAGGTTGCCCAAGTGTCGATCGTTGAGGGCCAAAGCTAAAGAGGTATGTAGGCGTCGATCAAACTGAATAGAAGGATTGAATAGCCGATTATTATGAAGTCCAAGGTAAAGCGATGCAGCTAGGATCCGAAGGCCTGGTTCCGGAGAAGGGCAACTCCGAGATTTATAATTGTCTTGTTTGCGTATAAGCACAGATGAGAATTACCAATGGCAGCGAAGCCGTTGTCGGGTGCACACCCAAGACTTGTAACTGTCGCCCGTGGATCCAGAGATAGCTTATCAGCACTTCTTGATCCTCAGATGCTTGGTAAATGGCTAGAGTTGGGGAGGCGAGTGGGTGTCTGCGGGTCCGATATCGAGGGGCCCCAGGCGAAGTGCAACGGATCTCGACCGACAAAGTCAGCTAAGAAGAGAAGACATGTGATGTTAATCTTGAGCCTGATATCGATGTTTCAACATGGCGCAACCACTTACTTTAAATATGCAACCCCAGATTTCATGGGGAATCAGCACCTCACAAATTGGCCGGCTATCAATCCGGGGGATTAGCACTGGAGGCGAGCCAACGTGGGGGCTGCCACACCCATTGAGCTGGGACGGGATCGAAGAGATAGCGCATCGGCGTAAAATAGGCGACTTCGGCTGGCTATCTGACAAGGATTGGAGTGATAGACAACTTGAGCAGTGGAAGGACAGGCTGGGCAGCGATGGAATCAGCTCTGTACCTTCAGCTCATAGCCTCATAGCTTCAAAACCCAATTCAGTCTGCGAGACCGGAACACCTTGTGAGGAAGATGTTACCTCATTCGTCTTGTCTGCCATCCAACTCGCACCCGTTTATCTCGAACATGCAGGCATTGAACGCCACACTCTTGACAGATAAAGTGCTTCATACTTTGTCCTGCTTTAAGCCGCCGGCCCAAGTAGCTTATCGGATAAGATAGCATCACGATTCAAATCGGCTGTCGGCAGCGTCCGGTTATGCACTTAGAGAAAATGTGATTCTCGTGAGGACGGAGTCGGGCGACTGCGTAACATCTTGCTGGTGATGTTGATGTTGATTGATAACATCTCCGGGGGATCAACTCGCGTAACCTCATCGTTGTTCAAAGGCCGGAGATATGCCATTAGTAAAGAAGAGTCATATTCGACAGAGACCGCCGATGCTTCTAATTGAGCTTGGGACAATGTTGGTGAGAAAGGAGAGCTGACTTTAGCGCATGGATACCAGTCAGCAACATATATTGAGGGCCAAAGTGGGCAAGCTCGAACTATTTGTAAGGGCGGGAGGTACCGAAGACTGCCGCAGTGTGCCTGCATTCAGGAAATTGTTTATGTTACTAATGGACGTCTTCGCACTCGTGAACTTCGTACAGGTAAGTCGTCATACCAGGGCTATTTGGTGTTAATACCGCTCGATCTCCTCCCATTCGTTTCCCTTAGTTGCAGCAAGATCCTTTTGCCGGCAACCGAAATGCATATCCACTGGCAAGCTACTCGGTATTTATATCTCTTTCATGAGCTGTTCCAGATAGAAGAGCCCACCCTCTTTCCCCATCATTTCGCGGATGTTTTACATCGGTTACGCGTGTCGCAGCCAAATCATGCTGGTTCTCTTCCACTAGGACCATTTTTGTTTTATGTTATTTGATGGCCGATCGCAGACTTTCATTGGCTTGCACGAATTCGTGAAAGTATCAGAAAAGAAAAATTCACTTCCTATGTATAACAGCTACTAACGTCAAAACAAGTATCACTCTAAGAGCTGCCAAAGACTGAAATAATTTTGGAGTATAGTTCCACCCCAAGTTGGGAAAGACTTAAGTAAACTACTAAAATGAGAACAAAATAAACAAAGGAGTACAACAAGAATATGAATTAGTAAATCTTAAATACTAGTTTTAACAAAACTAAAAGATTATAAAGATTATTTTAGGATTTAGAAGGATGTATATGATATTATCAACACCTTTCTAAATCAGACTTACAGTTAAGTGCTTACCCTAGGTACCAAGGTATTAAAAAAGCTACTTATAGGTTTGGCTTACTTAGGACATTCTGTTCGGCAATAGCGTCCAATTATGTAGTGTATTAATGCACATTGTTTTACCTACATATCTGAGATATGCCAACACATGTATCACGTCTTCAACACCCAAAGAATGTAATTATCGCTTTATTTCTCTGTACCGCGGCCTAACGATCCCTCCTGTCGATTCTAATTGGCGGACTCCCTCCGGAGGTCCACGAGATCTCAGAGGCTGTCTCCCTCCAATCACTAGCCCACACGCCGGAGCCAAGGTCCGACCGGAACGGAATAACTAGCTCTGACTTGGTTATGGGGGTTAATTGTGTGCCCATCCATTTGCCCGTCCACCTTTGACGTCTTCATTACAGAAGCATTACCGTATTTCCCCCCTCTTGTCCCCAAATTTCCAGTGTCTCTTGCAGGGGATAGGCCGCCAGCAGCCAAACATTGCCATTCGAATTGCCCATATTTCGTACTTGAATTGCCGTCTTCGGTTCTAGGCCTTTGATCAACTTGTCTGTCGTTGCTGGTCGGACCCTTTTTTTTCTTCAACGTTAGCAAGAGAAAGGAAGCAAATTTCCCAAACACCTAGCATAGGAGGTGGTGGCAAAATACATCAGCAAAGGGACGCCTTCTCACAGGTGCTGCTAAGGGATTTTCACTCAAAGGTCTTGCACCAGGTCACGCCTATCTGCCCATAATAATGTGCCCTAGCTTACCTTGTGTTATGTTTCTGTCTTGTGAATCTCTAATCCTTCATCAAATCTCGATCAAACTCTTATTTTCTACCTTCAACTATTAATCTATATTGCCATTTTGGGCATTTGATTGATGTCGCGCACGTTGAGTTCGTCATTTCTTACCCAACGCCGTTCGATACTCTCGACAGCCAGTGTTGGCCCTTCATGCGCCACTCCACCAGCGCCATATATCTTCCACCTCAAAAAGCCACCGATCCGGACCTCGTCGCCATACGTGCAAAGCTCTTTGCAGCTTTCGCTGTAAAGCCGCCTGCTCTTGTGACGCCTCCGGCTACAGACTTGTCACTTCAATCTACTCACGCTGGTCCCTCCGCCACGGACCAGCGACCTCGCTGCCGATCTCGAAATCGTCGAAAACATCGTCACGGCTCACCACCTCGTGTAGTTGTTGGACCCGACGCTATTAATCGTCTGCCATCTGAGCTGGCTCGGCTGCACTTATCTTCACCGCTCATCGTTTCGAGCCCGTCACGACTGAACCTCGCCCGCAAGATCCAGGCTATTGTTCCCAACCTTGATACCCGAATTCTTAGTTCATCCGTCGTTACCGTTCCGACCCGAGTCTCTGGCCGAGACTGTGTTGTCAGTGTTGGAGGTGGTTCTGCTGTCACTTTGGCCCGGACTATTGGTTTACGAAAAGGAATCCCTCATATCTGTATACCTACGACCTACAGTGGAAGCGAACTCAATCCAGGTGGCGGACCCAGCAACTCCTCAACTGACGAAGACGACAAGGACGTCAGGAGTTCCAAAACACTTCCTGTTGTTATCATCTACGACGACAACCTTACCATGAGCTCCCCCACCAAATCTTTGGCACCCAGCGACACGGAAGTCATGGAGGACCTGGCGCGGGCTGATCACTCGCCCAAGTCAGAGGACGCTTGTTGGAGTTATCTTCATCTCCCCGGCGTCTAAGACCTTCCTTCTTGATTTGTCAATACGACAAGATCTGATTCATCATCTCTTTTATACCAACCTGTCTTGTAAACTGCAAGGACTTTCAGCCTCTTATTCCCATACTGAATCCCCCTTCTTATACCGATTTCTCGGATTTGGGATTACAATGATTTATGCGATATTTATACGAGGGACATCGACCCTCGCCCCAACAACCCGTCAAGATTGATGAGCTTTTGAGAAAGCAGCACGACCCCTATCCCACAGAGTCCTCAGACTCCGTACCTAATCAATGGGATATCACGCTCTTCTCAGCAAGACACCAATCAACAGCCGAATCTTCTAGGATTCTCTGTAATAGAGAAATTCTGGGCTTGACGCTGCTTCAAGTCCTTTCTCTGGTCACCGGTTCAGACGCAAGCCACGTGACGCCATATCTTGATGGCTGGGTTTCTGCTTCTGCCCCTAACCGGGATGGAAAAAGTGCACTTGTATTCCGAAGCTACTGGGCTTCGAGAAGACTCATCATAAGAGACTACTGGGTCTCGAGTCAAACATGAGGCTACTGGGCCTCAAAGATTTACCGCCGAGGTCGTGTAGCATCGACCTAGGGGTATCTCCCCCCGACTCAACACGAATGGGTTCTTGGTTATTTCACTACGTGATTGTGCTTCGTTTCGGAAGACCACCAACTGCACATGAGTCGTTGGATGTCCACCTCCTAGGGTGGACCTCTTCAAAAAAGATTAAAAAAGAAGATAGTTAGCCAGATATACAAACATCGAAGGTTTTCAGCATTAAATCTGTGCAATTGAAGTGCTTTAGCGATGTATTTTGAAGTCTTCCATGACCATAGGGTATTATCGGCGGTGTAACACTTTGCGAATCAAGAAAATACTCCATCTAACTAGTCCATGTCAAAGTGCATGACCCCGTTTGCGCCATAGGGACCAAGTTTTTCTTCCCGTGCCTGACGTCGTCTGGCTCGTCGCCCGCCTCGTCGCTTGCCTGGCTTCGTCTCCTCATCACTGTCGCTCTCTGCAGGTCGCTTGCCGTGGCCCTTGTCACCCGTTTCAGCATCACTATCCTCGTCTTCATCCTCCTCCTCGTCACCGCCTTGTAGCTCAGAAAGCTCCTCCCAAAGCTTGACAGTCCTTCCGCCGGCACTGATAAGTCGGTTCTCGGAATCGAAACCCAATGACACGACGCTCTCCATGCGATCATGCCGCAGGTTGATGGAGAAGTCTACTTCACGGTTGACAAGATCAACGATGCGGAGGCCACCATCACCAAGGCCACAAACGACTTTCTTGCCCAGGTTCATCTCCTGTGGGATAAAAGCCATAGCATCGATGCTTTCGCCGCTACCTTTCTTATCGCCATCAACAATGATGCGTTCTTGCTGATCATCCCAGGCTCCCCTGTCCCACATAGTCAGAACACCAGAGCCAGATCCCAAAGCCATTACGCCGTTGTCGCGGTGCCCTTTGGGACCCATGCCCGGTACAAAGCAAGAAGATAACAGCTCATCTTCTTGGTCTTCGCTACGCATAAGTACTCCCCTTCTCACATCTGTTACAGCAAGAGTGGTGCCGCCAGTACTAACCCATTGCTTGGGGAATCCACTGGTGCTCTCTTTCGTCGGCGGCAGAGGGGTAATGGAGGAGACGTAGTCGATATGCGGAAAGTGGGTTTGGGCAGGCTTCTTACCTGGCGCGCCGTCTCGGAGGTCGATGATGTGGAGGGCGCCAGAGTCAGTCGCAAGAAGCAAACTCTGAGGGTTTAGAACGTGGAGGAGAGTGGGCGCATCGGCAAGTGAATTTTTGGTAGGAATCGCAATTTTGGAAATGACCATTCCCGTCTCGGGCTCGAAGTGCTTGACCAGCTCATCGGTTCCTGCAGAGTACACAGCTAGAGCATGTTAGCAAGATATGCCAGGAGGTTTGAATAAGACTTACCCGAGCCATCGTGCGCGTAGACCAAAGATCTGCAGCTTCCCTTATGTCGCCGAGTGTGCCAAACAGACTCTATCATGCCCTTCCCATCACTCAAGATGCTAGAATCCGCGTCGGCGTTGTCATCAGAAGAAGAACCAGCAGGTAATCGATAGGCTTCAACATGGCCATTCGCTAGGCCAACCGTGAGCAGAGGCTCGGAGGGATGAAGGGCTGTCGCAAGCACATCAGCCGTAAGAGGCAGGGTGCCTGTATTTTCGAACATAGTATCTTATATATGCTGATTTGTGTGTGAGGTGTGAAGGAAAGATCAAGGTCAGAAGCTAGTCAATTGAAGATCGCGAAAAAAGAATGTTAGGATCCAGTAGAAAGCTTATCGATAACATCGCATCGCACGACCGTGCCATGTTTTCCAGTACCTTCTCCAGGTTAAAAACAGATAAAACTACCAAGCATATCTGAATATGATAGATAATTTAAGAAGAATTATATTAAGCCTAGTAGGACTTATTGCATTTCTAAAGGGTTCAATTAGTTCAATTGAGTGTTATGAAACGATGTATAGAACTAATATATGAACGTAGTTTATTTTTACTATTTTATGAATTCTAATAAACCGATGTTATAAGATTTTATCTTTCTGCAGTCTCAACTTTGATCCAACTAAAAACGGTCTTCAATTGCTGCTACAGATCCCGTGTAAAGTGCAGTGGCTGGATTAGTGGTTAGAAATAAGGGGTTAGGACTGTGGTTAGTGGCTAGAATTGCGACTCAATATGCGAGGTGAGCATCACACAACCAATAAATCGATATCTATGTGGAGCAGTTTCTATTTTCTATGTTCATTGCCTATCTAGGTACTCCGTACCTTGGCCAGGGCTCCAGGATGTTCTATCTTTCTGGGGCCCATGAAGCTGATGAAGAACAGGTCAGTATCCAACTTCAATCACAAAATTAGATCCGTGTAAGACATTTGGCGACGAAGACGCGAAGGACTTATCGTAGTGCCCCTGCAGCTTCAAACAGATGACCTTCATGGCTGGGTGCCTGACCTGGTCAAATGTCCATGCAACTCATCATGGAGGTTTAAAGCACATCGATCGATCTCCCGTTTTTATGCGCCAGATCTCCATGCTAGGTAGGCTTAGGAGCTCCACTGTAGCATCTTATTTAGGGCGGCTTGGAACTTTTACAAGGGCAAAGCGGGGTGGCAATAGCTCTGACCTATGCAATTGTAATGGGTAGGGACGCTGTGAGTGGTGGCTAGTCTAGATCGATCCTCAAGTAATCCTACCAACGTTAGAGGAATTCTGCAAGGCAACTATTTTCCATGGCCTAGATTTCCTGAACCTTGCATCCAACTTCGTCGACGGTCAGCTTGCGGAAGCTGTTTTACATGGGTTACAGGTGTCGATCATGTCTGGTAGCAAGGTGTCCGAGGCATCTCGCGAACGAGAGACATTCAAGTACGCATCACCAACTTTTATCTTCGACCCGTGCCGGGACCAATGTGGCGATATAAAATGGAATCTTCTAACCGCCATTCAGATATGATTCGGTCCTGATCGCTAACTCAATCCCCAATGATGTCGAAAATCCCATTCCCCCCTCTTCTTTGCGGTCATGCTCGGATCCCGCAATGACAGCTTTGGCTCAGGTGGCTCTGTTGAAGCTTGGTGCCTCCCATGCCATGGTGTCTTTGTTCGATTGCCAACACCAGTATATCATCGCAGAGGCAACTCCTTCACTGCGCATATCCGCCCATGCCAGCCCCGCTAGCTCTGGGTCCGACACCCTCTGGCTTTGTGGCACCGCGATTCCCCGGGACTTTGGGATCTGCGACAACGTATTGGTTAATATAGAGCATGATGACTTGGGACAAGCGTCCCCGTCATCCGAGCTCCCTATCAAGGTCATAAGCGACGTCTCTACTCACGACAAGTTCCGACATACCTGGTACTGTCAGCAACGACCTGAGCATCGCTTTTATGCTGCGGTCCCCATAAGAACTCGACGTGGAATCAACATTGGCATGTTCTGCATCCTAGATAACAAGCCACGAGAGAGTTTAGATGAAACGTCCATTCAAGTCATGCGAGATACTTCGTGGTCTATCCTGGGGCAGCTGGAACTGAGTCGATCTGGGGGTGGTCGCCGCCCTGGAGAACGCATGGTACGTGGCTTGGGGAGCTATGTTGAAGGGAAAACCACCATGTCCGGTTGGCAATCCAGTTTCGCACATGACTTTGATCCTGACACGGGGACGGAAGAAGGCAGCCTCAATAAAAACCAGCAAAACCTACAAGCCCAGCAAGAACACGCCGCAGATGTTGCTAGTGGGGAACAGAGTCCAGATGGTAATACCTTCGTCCTTGAAAGCCCATATCTGGAACGGCCGTCAAGCTCTTTCAACTCGCAGAAAGAGACCCCTCGACCGCTGGATACAGGGGAGGAGTCGCGACAGCAGCAGCTAAATAAGATTTTCTCCAAGGCCGCTAATATTATAAGGGAGTCGATAGAAGTTGAAGGGGTGGTTTTTCTAGATGCAGGCATCGGTTCTTTTGCGGGCAAGGTCCGGTCTGGCTCTATACGACGTGAATCGCAGACACAAGGACGCTCCTCGTCATCGTCATCTTCGCCTTCTTCCTCGACCGACCGAGGCCATGCTTCGATCTCTTCCCCCGTGGGCTCCGGGGATCCCCAAATGAAGGGAGCCATATGCCCTGTGCTCGGATTCTCAACTTCCATGTCCTCCAGCATCAACGGCGAACCACCTTCAGCGCGCAGTCGAAGTATCCCCGAACGACAGCTCCAAAAACTACTTCGCCGTTATCCAAAAGGCAAAATTTTTAACTTCGATAGTCAGGGAGTCATGGCCTCGAGCGATACAACTAGTGAAGATTCAGCGATGGCCGCTTTCCAAGCTCGAAAGGTCCAAGATCTGCAAGAAGAACAAAGCGGCACAACCCGAAAATCTAGGAAAGTAAACGATCCATATTCGCGACGAAATGAAGGCCTGGCCATCCGTGATCTCTTTCCTGGTGCACGCAGCGTCGCGTTCCT